GACCTCAGTATAATCAACATCCGGACCTCAGTATAATCAACATCCGGACCTCAGTATAATCAACATCCGGACCTCAGTATAATCAACATCCGGACCTCAGTATAATCAACATCCGGACCTCAGTATAATCAACATCCGGACCTCAGTATAATCAACATCCGGACCTCAGTATAATCAACATCCGGACCTCAGTATAATCAACATCCGGACCTCAGTATAATCAACATCCGGACCTCAGTATAATCAACATCCGGACCTCAGTATAATCAACATCCGGACCTCAGTATAATCAACATCCGGACCTCAGTATAATCAACATCCGGACCTCAGTATAATCAACATCCGGACCTCAGTATAATCAACATCCGGACCTCAGTATAATCAACATCCGCATCCAGATCTCGATCTAATTACCCCCACCCCATCTATCTACACTTACACACTCCACTATGAACTAGTTGGTGTATCCATTGTCTTATATGAGTCATTCAATATCATACCCACTCATCATCTTTATTTTTAGTTCATTGTGCATGCAATTAGTTTTGACGTTTATCATGTTTCTCTTGATTTCTTTACAAAATATAAAAGAACAAACAATCTGTAATTTATTTGATACAACATAAAGAAGACTGTCAAACGATGATCACTGTGCCCTCTAGTAAGAAACACACCGACTTGGTCTCTTTAGAAATCGCACTCTTTACTTGAACGGTGTATTTACCGAGTCTTGACAGTCTCATATTCTTTTGTATCGTAAAATATTTGCGTCAAAACACAAAAACGCGTGTTTACGATGAAAGAAAAAAGATCAATGAAACCACAACAAAACTACAACAAATGAACACACATCAAATAAATACACAACTTTGTATGATACGGTAGTAAGAAGATGTAGACATTGTAGTTATACACGCATTTGGATGTCCATTGACACCACCATGACTACTTAATGTCCAATATTAGTGGCGTCAATATTAAGCTACTCAAGTAGTCAATCTGTCGAATAAGGTCACAAACAGAAGCACAACTTTGTTAGAGAACATATTACTTTAAATGATCTATGTGTCTGTAGCTATCTATCCATTCCATTGAGATAGCACAAAGATGGATATAGTCGAGGTTCGGAAAAATTGCTCACGTTAATCAACTATGTACACGACCCCGCAGTATATTGCAAGCAATCAAGCACCCCAAGATGTCCTTGACACACAATATTGATGTGCTTCAGTTGTGGAATTTCTATACTGAATGTTAGTCCTGCGCTGACTGACATCTTGGGGAACAATGACTTGTAAAACGAAACTTGGTTTTAGAGCTAACGAACAGTTCTTTGCAGTGTTGGTACATCACTTTTGTTAATGTTTGATCGATAATAGATTGTCATAATCAGGTTGTGTGTTGAGTTCTTCTGTAACAATGTCTTGGACAATAAATTCTGAATGGTTACGGTGCGTGTATTATGCTAATATATCATTTTGGGTCATAGTTTGTGGGTGAACGCTCTTTGCTATGTGGGTTCAAGAACTCTGTGTGGTTGTCCATTTTTCATTTCGATTTCTCGTTTCTTTCGCAAAGTACGTTTCGGTTAGATTGGTCGTTTGAAGTTTATCGACCAGAGGAAAAGACTCAATGAGCTTGGATAAATGAAGATGCGTGTTTGCTGAAGCCTCACACATTGCTATCATCGCAGGTATCTTATAGTTGTTACCTCTCTATATAATTCTTAGCAAAAGTTTCATTGATTGTTGCCCACAAGCTTTTCGTAGACTTGGGTAATTCTTCAGTCAAAGTGTCAATCTGGTCTTTACTCAATGCATTTCCTGATAAATCCAATTCCCAAAAACAGTTGTAGTTTTCAGCATCACCCAAACATTCCACAGAAAACCCTCTTAACTGATTATATCCCAAATCAAGGTGCTTGAGCTTGCTTTCTCCTTTAGGGAAAGTTAGATGAAACTTTTCTATATCATTGGATGAAAGGTCCAACACTTCCAATGAGTTAGAGCAAAATGTCAATATGGCTGACTCAATCTTGTTCCGAGAAAGGCCCAAGTAGCGCAAGTTCTCTAATCGAAGAATATGTGGAGGAATTTCGGTAAGGTTATTTGAAGCCAATTCGAGCTCTTTTATTGTTGATGGAAACAGAATATTATCAATTTGATAGCAATTTTCCAACTGGAGTTTTGTCAAGTTAAGGAACTGGGTAGGTGGAAATCGACAGTTTGTCAATTTCAAGTAACGTACGTTCTCTGCCTGCAAGAACAGCAAAGTTTCAGTTGCAGTGCAAGTTGCCAGTAGTTGTTCAAGATTATGCAGGGATATTTGAATGGAACCAACAAAGTTGTTGTCGAGGTTCAACCTTTGCAAAGGCGGGGAGCTCTTACCCAACAGCAATTTCTGAATTTGGTTCAAATTCAAGTTTAATGTCTTTAGTTGTTTTGGAAACGCTACTCCTTCAATCGTGGTGATGTTGTTACCTTCCAAAATCAATTCTTCGAGAAAATCTGGAAATATAAAATCTTCAAGACTCTGGAGCCAATTAGAAGTCAAATTGAGATGTTTTAGTCTCTTGAACTTCGAAAGGTCCCGCTTAAAGTTATCCCAGTCCCCACAAACAAAGGAAAGGTCGATTCTTTCCAATGATGGAGGGAGAATATCAAAAAGCTGACCGAAATCAACATTATTATGCCCAACTAACTTCAACTTTTTCAAAGTTGGGGGCAACTTCAACTGGCAAACCAACAGGTCGTTCTCGTTGTAACATAACTCAAGCTCCTCTGTTGGATACATTGGCGGGACCCCTACAAGAGGACCCTCGACAGCTAACGATTTCAATGTAAATCCTTTCCTTTTAGCAACTTCAGCAACCAATACAAGAAAATCGTCGACGCAATCATTACCAGTGTATGAATATTTGATGCTGGTGGTTCCTTGGTATGTCATTTGCATAAGAATCTTTTTTACATATTCAGGAACTGGTTCGCCCGAACAGGTGAAGGACAACTCATCAAGAGACGCATCACCCTTTACCTCGACATCAATTCCATTGTAGTCCGCAAGCTGTAGAATCTGTAGCGACAGGGCCAACTCAACTGTAGCAATCACCGGCTGTAAAGAAAACTGTTTGAGCCCTGACAATGAACCCTTGAATTTGCTTTCGTTTAGCTTCAAAACCTCCATGTTCTCGAAAAGATCTAAATCAATTTCCCCATTTACCTCAGTTCTGGAAGATACTCGCAACGAAAGTCCAATCACACGATTCCTGATATGGTCTAGAGACTCAAATAATAGAGTCAAGTCAAGACGTTGATAGCGCCAGCCACAAAAGTCCATATCCAAATGCAATTTCAGTTTCAGGCTAGGCTTTAACATGGCGAGAAACTGTTGAAGCTCAACAAGATCAGCCATGCATACCATTTTGGAGTAAATCTTCGACACCGCTTCCAACTCTTCATCAACGCAATACATATCAAACATGTGAAACTCTCTCGCATTCATGAAATCGCTCTCACTCCTTGCAATTGACATGTTGACAGGCCTTGCCATCGTAATCTCATATCTATAGCTGGCTTTCATTATCTCTTGATTTACTGCGTACTTTAAATTCCGGCTCATCTGTGAAGGGTCTGAAATAAGTTGAATAAGATTGGAAAGGCTCACAAAAGATACAATCTTTCGCAACACATCCTCAGGGTAGCAATCAAGCATTGTCAGGCGTTCCATCTGAGTGTGGTAGACCAATGAGTTGAAAGTATATTTTCGATTTTTGTGAGTCATGATTGAAATCGATTGGTTAACTACACAAAACCCACCAAGGTTCAGTATACAGTTCAGGAGAAGGGATTATTGAGGAGGTGAAATTGTGATCAACTTTTGTAAACCAGCCATACCTTAAAGCGATTAGTTTTAGTCATCAATAAACAATGGTGATCGTAAATCCTCAATAAGCTGCGAAATTTTGGCCAATTTTTGTGTAAGCCGAGGTTGAGCAAATCGATACACCAAGGAGAACAATATTGTTCAAGAGCGGCAAGATGATCGATTATTTGATTGAGAAACGTTAAGAAAACAACTATTGGGTGAGCTAGTACTTACGAGGTCATCGCGATGTATACGATTCATTCCCAAACTTTTGTTGTCAAACACGATTTCATTACAAAGCAATCTACTTACAGGAAAATGTCACCATAGAGCCAGTTACCAGGGCCACTTGATGTTCGTTTATCACCCCATAAAGTTCGAACAGACCCTGGTAACTCTGAAGCCAATACAGCAATCTGATTAGCTTCAAGTAAGTTGTCAGACAAGCTTAGCTCGTATAAATTATTGAGCAAGCTTTCACTATTATGACCGATGGATCCTATCGAGACCTCTTTCAACTGATTCCCACATAGATCCAATTGCTTGAGATTAGTTGCACCCTTTGGAAAAACTAAATTAACCTCCTCTATTCTATTTGATGAAAGATTTAATACTTCCAAAGAATTTGTGCAGAATGTCATGGCGGCGTCTTTGATTTGGTTATGATTTAGCTTCAACACACGCAATTTCTCTAACTGGCTGAGCGCAGACGGAATCTTAACCAAGTCGTTGTACGAGAGTTCAACCGTCTCTAAATTAGGCGAAAACTCTACCTCGATGTTATCAGTCAAACAATGTACTATCGACAACCTCCTTAAGTGGGTAAATATCAACTTCGTTCCCTCCAGAATCTCACACAATTCCATTTGTAAACTATCAAGGTTGTCGAACCGACAAACCCCTGACAACTTGCAGCGATTCAAGCTTAAAAGCTTTAGTGGCAAGTTGAAATTTGAGAACTCCATTTTGTTTCCAAGATGCAAAGTCTCCAAATGTAACGACCCGAGGATCTCCTCAACATGCTTACCAGACTTGATGGCGTTACCAAACAAATTAAGATGTCTCAATGACTTGGGAAAACTTGCATTATGCAAGTATTTTATATTGTTTCGACTTATGTCCAAGTATTGGAGTGAATCGGGGAAGGTTAGGCCAGCAAGGCTCTCTATATCCAGGTTCGACAATATGAGGGACTTTAAGTTAAATAGTTTTGAAAAATCCCCCTTTTCCCCAGTCCAGTCAACACCAGATAAATCCAACACTTGAAGCGATTGCGGAAACTGGAAGTTGTCGATATCATTGAAGTTTATATTGCACAGATGCAAAGCGAGGTATTTCAATTTTTTCAATTTAGACAAGTCAGTGTTTAAATCGTCAAAGTCATCTTCATCTCCTGATAGCTCCAAGTATTCCAACCCACTAGGAACAATGTTCACTAGTTCACCAACTTTCAATGACTCTTGTTGTACCAAGATTAAGCGTTCCATAGTGGGAGACAACTTTAACCAAGAAATCAATTCATTATCAGACTTTCTAAGATCAAGTACTTCGGTTGGACAGGTGCGCAATTGGTCATTGATTTTGCCGCCCAATGTCAAAGACTTTAACGTAAAGCCGACTTCCCTAGCGACCTCATCAATCAACATAACCAAGTCATCAAGATTTCCAGAACCATCATCCATGTACTTTATACTTTCAGTTGCAGGACAAGTCATCTTCCAAAGAATGTCCTTGACTATGGCAGGTAATGCACTTGGAAAGCCAATGAATGATAGCTCTTCAAGACATGGATATTCACCAGCATCAGGCAAGGTTGAATAGAGACTGAGACTGTCAACATCACAAGTAAATCGCTTTAAGGTTAGTGGTAGATTACCCACATCAAGGGGACATCCTGGTTCTCGGGGGGATACATAAATAAGTTCCCTTAAATAGCAACATTTAGAAATAGATCCACAAACTGAGATGCCACAAATCTGCAATACTTCTGCATTCTGAAAGAAGTTCCAATCAAAATCTCCTATTATGTTGATGTTATCAGGATTTGCAATAACAAACCCAGTGATGCGATCCTCCAAGAGTTTGATAGCAGAAACAATACCGTTTAGATCAACAAAACGTAAACCACATGTCCTTAGATTCAAATGTACTTTTAGGTCTAAAGAATTCGTCAGATGTAAAATGGAAAAGAATCTTTCAAACCCGATAAAATCTTCGACATTTCGAAGCTCGTAATGAATGTTGCAAACGGCTCTGACGCATTCAGCCTTGCAGTAGTCATCAAAGATCTCAAACTCTCTCGAACTATTGAAGTCAGATTCATCGAGGATATCTTCCTCTTCCATCAAAAAGCCGAGTCCTGTCGTGTTATTGTGATAGGTGTAACCTGATTCTGCAATAACAGTATTGATGGCCGCTTTGAAGTTTTGGTTCAGTTTCAAAAAGGAAGGACACGGGAGCACCTGAAGGAGGTTGTTGACGCCTGCAATGGAAACAATCTTGTGTAGTATATCATTTGGGTACAAGTCTAGTGAGATCCTGTATTGCTTGGGCATTATGAGTGTGAGAATGGTTATCGGCTTTGGTGATTGTGTGCCATTAACGTTGATGTCTATTGCTATTTACGGATCTGAATGAGAATCAATTGGATTCAGAAGGAAGTGCAAGATTCGATACCAAAATCAAATTCTTGAGCGTCGTCATATTCGGAGAATTCTATACATTTTACAAAGATTCCAATTCTAGCTCCACCATCTACAACTCTATTCATATGGTGTGACATGAATTAACCACCGAATTATTATCCTTCAAAAAACACATCGCACGACTTGGCTCCGTTTTAGGCAATTGCTGTTGTTTCAATTGGTTAGAAATGAAAAAGTTATCCAAAGTTTTGAAAATCATACTACCAATTTCCAACACTTTAAGCCACAGGTGTATGACAACCTGTTTGAGGATAGATGAATTCAAAAAGCTGTAACTTGAGGTCCTTCATTGGTTAGAATGAACTACTGACACCATTGATAAATTTCGATACACCGCTGTTGACAAAATCAGCATACACAAACTTACACTCCTGAAGCCTACTAAAGAACAAGACTACAACACTCGAAAAACAAAACACCACATGTTTCGTCCATGTACTACTATATACACTTATTTTCTCCACCAAACTGGTTCATCCTCTTTCTTTCTGTGAATCCTTTTAATTTCATAGTCGTCTTTAACTTTATCCAAATGATCTGTGAGCAACCCCAGGAGCCTATAATAATCGTCCTTTTTGTTAACCTTTCGCTTGTTCTCAATCATTTCCAACATCTCCTCCTCATCTAGTTGGCGGTGCTTTTCGTCATACCTTTCCCATTTAACACTAGTAAATTTCTGAAGGTAGATTGATCCAGCAACTATTGAAAGCAAAAATGGAAGCCCTAGGTATAAGAAGTGGTTTTTCTTGACAAGCTTGGAGTACCTTCCTGCTATACTCTTGTCGTATAGTTCTTGTTCTTTCTTTCCTCTGAATACGTTAGTTCCAAATCTAGCCATTGTGGAGATGAATGTTGGATGATGTTTTAGTTTTTTGATTTTTGCGTAACAAGTGCAGAAAAAAAAGTGAAAGGAAAGCCCATCCCATCCCATCCCATCCCATCCCATCTCACCTTTGGAACCAAACGATGGTATCATTTTCATGCGAAGTTTGTAACGACACAGTGGTTAAAAAGAAGTTGGGTCAGCATCAGCAAAGATGTCGTGGGGCTTACTTCACCTGTATTGACTGTTCAACCACATTTCACAACAATGACCATGATAAACACACTAGTTGTATATCAGAGGCTGAAAAATACGAAAAGAGTTTGTACAAAGGTAAAAAGAAGCAACCTGTTACACAGAAGGAGCAACCAAAGCCAAAGAGCGTTACAGAAAAGTCATCGCCACTAGCCCTGTTGGTAACGGAAAAGTCAAATTTTTACAAGATTCTTAAAAAGGCATCCAAGGATGATAAAAAGAAGCTAAAGGAGATTTTGAAAAACTTGACCGTATCAAACATTGATGGGAAATTGATTATACAATAGTTTACTTGTTTATATACTTGTTCACCTTGTTATAGAATAAAGGAAGGTTTTTAAAGTCAAATGAAAAGCTATCCAAAAAGTATTCAGGCAATAACTTCATTGCTTCTTCATTACCGTTGAAAATGGGAATGTAGGTAACCTCAGATCCATCCTTCGGTAGTATTAACTTGTACTGGATTTCCAATTCTTTACCAGAAGATTTCATTTCGTAAACCAATTCCTTACCATTGTCAACAAAGTAGGTAACTTTTAATCCACTCATAATCTCAAGAATATCCAATGAGTAAAACACGTCTTCATTGTTTTGCTTTTTCACGGGGGAGCTGAATTGAGACCTGCTCTCCAGCTCCTCTGTCAATCTGGCATTTTCTTGTTGTAATTCTTGTATCAATTTGTGGTCGGCTTCCATTTGTTCCTCGGCAAACTCCTTATACTTTGCGTGTATGACATCAGCATTCGTGTGAACATATTGATTAATGAGATCAACTATCGATGAAGAGTCTGTCTGCGACAATACGTCTTTAGCAAATATAGGACGAGGCGAGGATTTCGTAACCTTGTTTTGTTTCGGTTTGGCCATTGTTGATGGAACTCGAAAACATAAACAACATGAATTGAATTTTTTTTTTCCTCTTCACAACAACCTTTCCAAGAGCTTCCTAATGTCATCCTTTGCTTCAAAGTTGAGCAATATCAATGAAACCCAGGACTCAATCAACTACCTATCTGGGTATATGCTACAAAATGAGCCGTCGTCGCAGTCATTCATCGATATATGGAGATCTCAGGTGTTTAATGCACCACCATCTACCAAGCTCTTACTACTATATCTTTGCAACGATGTCATCCAAAAAGCCAAGCGTCATCACAAGCAAAAGTACATAACAGACTACTTTGGACCTCTATTGGAAGTCATAAACCCTATATATCACAGTGTTGACTCGACTATAAAGAAAAAAATTGAGAGGCTAATCTCAGTTTGGCAGGACAGGTTGGTCTTTGATGCCGATGGGATAAGAAAGTTGAAGGAGCGTATAGCACAACCTCCACAGAAGCCAGCTGCTGCTTCGTCCCCGGCAATAGTGGCTGAATTACAAGCTATTAACAATCTATACCAGCGAATCAATGATTTGACAGATATATCGCAAGGTAATCTCACTCAATTGGGTATACAATCCAAAACCTATTTAAACTTGGGAGCAGATACCTTACCCGAAACTCAAGTGCATCTCAACAAACTCAAAATGTTGGAAAAGCTTAGCAATGTATCGATAAAGAACATAGAAACCATCAAGTTCACACGGGAGCAGATCAGATCTCATTTGGAAACAATGCTTCAGTCTATAGAGAGTGGGCTTCAAACAGACGACAGCAAGATTGCCGTTGTCAACGACAAGTTAAACAAGATTGATGAAACGAGGCGTGCATTGCAAGGAGTCGTTGATGAATCAGATGATGAAGAATTACCCAAATACGAGGAAGACGACTCTGATGATGAGCCAGAGTCAAAAAAGAGAAAAGCGTCGCCTATTCCATCGGGAGGCTCAACGCCGAAAAAGGTTGCGTTTGCTACAGACATTCAAGTGAATGAATATGAAAACAAACCAAAGGGAGAAGACGAATCAGAAGAGGATACAAAAGAAAAAGAGCATACACCAAGCGCTGAGGTTATGGATATACTACTGAAATTAACATAGTGCTTTCTTGTATAGATTGAAAAACCGTCTCCCCGCTTTCATTTTGATAGCGTCTGGCACTCTGTTCAAATCTCGTCCGACAAACTTTACAATTCTCTCATCAATTTCTTGTTTGTCGTAGGTTTCTTTCCCCACGTATAGTAAACACTTGGCTCTAGTGATCGCAACGTATTTAAGTCTCGACTTTGGCAACCTTGAAAAGTTGGGAATAAATACCACAGGAAACTCTAATCCTTTTGCCTTGTGGATTGTCGACACATTGACCCTATCTTCTTCAAACACTGGCTCATCATCGTAATAGCTCTTTAAAAAGTAATCTAGAAATGTACCTTTAGGTTCGGTTAGGTATTTCCTGTGTGATGTTTTCAACGAAGCATAAAATGAGCTCAATTCATCCGTTTCGATGGCGTTGATTAGCCCTGTTTGTATACTTATACGACCCAATGAGGATAAAATAGAAATTGGGGTACCTAACCCCACCCTCTCGTTTTCAATCAAATCAAGAAAGTTTTTGATTGAAACACTTGTACTCCTCTCCCTCAAATAATCCTCTAGCCTATTCTTTTTACTGCAATTCCACTCGTTGTACTCTGCAAACAACTTTTTCAAATTCTTGACACCCAATTTCTCCAAAACAAACAAAAGTGCAAAATCAGATCCATAACTTCTTCTAAGAATGTGCAAAAAATCCAAATACATGTGTAACTTTGAGCTTATCCACTTGTTACCACTAAACTTGTTGCATTTTATACCATACCTGGTTGTCAACTCCTCGGCAAATTGGTCGACCTCTCTATTCGTGAATGTGAGAATGATAATATCGGAAAATTTAATCAACCCGCCCGATTTTGCAATTAGCTCAACAATGTCTGTGCATAAATCACCCTGCCGTATCGGTCCAATACCCTCATCTTTTACACTTTTCAATTCCGAAGGTATAACCTCTTTAGCCATTGCTAGCACTTGGGGTCCCAAACGGAAAGTCTCTTTTAAAACCACCTCAGTGTGCTTGAACTTCAAGTCATGTATAAACTCATCAGTGATTCCTGGACGTGATCCCAAAAAGTCATAAATGCATTGATTCTTATCACCGGCTAGTGTCACATGCTTTGGCTTGCCATACACGGCAATCTGCTTGATAAATTTCAAAAGGACTGGTTGCATATCCTGAAACTCATCAATGATTACAACCTTGGCGCCAGCCAACGGCAACTCTCCATTAGACTCTTTGAATATTTCTATTGCACTAGTGATCAACCCATGGAAGCGAATCATTCCATTATCTTCGAGATATTCCAAAGTTCGCTCTAGTTGATCCCTTGAGATTGAGTGTTTCTGAGCAACCAGGTCTATTAGCTCACCTGACTTGACAGCAAGCACAGCAGCATCCAAATCCTTGTGTTTAGCACTGAAAAACTTGGCAAATGACTTCCAAGTTGAATCATCAACAACACTATTTGGAGGGCGGCCAGGAAAGTACTTCATAAAATTATCGTCAAAGATTAGAGCTGCAAAAGAGTGAAATGTTCGGATAACCACATCTTGAACAACCTCGTCCTTTATACCCTCGCTCAATGCCTGCTGTAGCAAATTGACCGTTCGGTTTGTCATTGACAACACGATAATCTCCAGCGGTTTCACACCATCCAGTAGTAGCCGTTTGATCCTGTTTATCAATGTCAACGTCTTGCCACATCCTGGTCCGCTCTGTATTGACAAAATGGTCCCCGGAGTGTAGTCATATTCCACTGCCTCTTGTTGACTAGGCGTTAGCATTGTTGACGTGCCTGAAAAAAAAAATCAAAGTCTTATTCAAAACAAAATTTTGATGTTTCATGATTTCACACAACCTATAATGGGAATTTCAACTCTTGAAAAGCTACTACCACTAGAGAACGAGGAAGTGGAGGTCTCTCCCAAAGATGTTTCAATTGTGAGCGATTCACTCTTGGAACATTATCGATCCGATCTTGAGGCCGATAAACTGGTCGACGTAGCCGAGGCAATGTCACACTTTTATTCATACAATAAAGAGTTATCGTTGCACAAGAAGAAGCTAGTGCCAGTGGGAGCTATACTTGATGGATTCTCCAAGGACTTGAAGCAATTATCATCCAGTTTGGTATCACTTGAACAACAATCCACTGAATTGTCGAGGGATTCTTATACAAACAAAATGATAACACAAATGCTAGAACGAACAATTAATGAAAAAGTGTTACCACCAGAGCTCATTCGGGATGTGCTTTATGAGGAATTGTCAAACAAGTATTTTGAAAAGGTCAACTATCTACTAGATAAGATGAATGAGGAAGAGTCATTGTTGATTAAAGCTAAAGTGGTGGAAAGAACAAGAGACTTTGTCATATCGCAGATCCGAGCGCTAAGGACAAAGCCCATTTCATCACAAGAGATCCAGAACAAGCTTCTTGCATGCTCTGACTTGTTCCACTTTTTGCAATCGCAACAACCTAAACTTGGAGAACAATTGCAACAAGCATATCAAAACACGATGAAGTGGTACTACAAAAGCAAGTTTGCAAAGTACATATATTCGTTGGAAAAGCTTCCCAGAAGGCACCTCGAGGTACCGATATTTGACTCACCAAACTACTTGTCCACTTTTGAATCAAGGTTTCGGATATTATCAAACACTGATGCTTGTATTCCATCACAATTGGCAGAAACAATGACTATCCCCTATACGATTGAATTCGTTTTTCTCCAACTTCTTAGGGCAGTCACAGACAACGTATCGGTCGAGTATTTGTTTGTTGTTAGCTTTTTCTATCAAGGGAATGAAACCAATCACACCTGGGCATTGGACATGTTTCAAGATGTCTTTCAAATAAGTACCGACTTTCTCACTCTCACCACAAATGGAACTTGCGACGTTTACGCAATTCTATTCATCATTAAGTTGATTCACAATTTTCAACTACGATTGCATGAAAATCACATTCCTGCTCTCGATGACCATCTCAATTCATTGTTGCTCATCTTATGGCCAATATTCAGCAAACTAGTGGATCTCAATTGTGATGCATTAAAGAAGCAAATACCTAGAACACCAAAGTCATTAGTTCCATTAAACGTGACGCAGCAATTTGCTTTGTTTTACCTGGGTTTGCTCCGCTTGTCTTCAGCAGGTGAGCCTTCAGAGACAGCAATTGTAAGGCTAAGGAACGCTTACGAAAGTAATCTTACCAAAGCAGCAAACGCATTTAGAGGACACGATAAAGAAACTTTTCTTGATCGAAACTACTCATTAGTGTACACGGTTGTGTCCAATGAGGCAGAAGATGCCACCTCTGAAATCAAACATTTCCAAGACTTAGCTAGTGTATACAAATCATAAATCGCAAATCTTTGCATACATACCACAAAGCTGTAAATAACTACCAACACCTTCCAACACTCTCATATGGACAAATCCAATCTCTTTAATCATATTCAATCGTTTCAGCTCATCGACGTTGGGAATAGTTTTGGCAACTTTGAACGTCAGTGTCACTATATCGATTGCTGAGTACCCTTTGTGCCAAAGACCATCCAATAAACCCAAAGCCTTATCCACATCTCCTTGCAAACAATTTGACAAGATGTTCTGAATCACGAGCGGATGTGGTTGGTCAACAATTTTGAACACGTTGACATCATTAACAAAGCCAAATCCAGCAACTGTACTCTGCAAGTTATTAATAGCTTGTCTCATATCTCCTTCAGCACTGAAAATCAAGGCTTGCAAGCCCTCGTTGTTATATTGCACATTCTCCGACTTGATAATATCCAAAAGTCTTTTCAAAACTTCCTCATCTGATAACTTGTTATATCTCAATATAGCACAACGTGATTGTAGTGGCTCAATGATTTTCAGCGATTGATTACAAGCAAATGCAAATCTTGTAGTATTTGAGTATATTTCCATGGTCCTTCTCAATGCTTGTTGTGCACCAGGAGTCATAGAATCTGCCTCATCTAAAATTATAATCTTTGTCCTTCCTGGTGGAAGCAGAATCTTTGTCTGAGCAAACTGTTTTATTTTGTTCCTCACAACATCAATTCCTCTGTCATCCGATGCATTAAGTTCCAATGTAGCTTGGTGGTAGTGCTCTTTACCCAATAATTCATACGCCAAACAGTGAACAGACGTGGTTTTCCCAATCCCAGGTAGTCCACTAATTATCATATTAGGCATGTTGCCATCTTGCACAATAATCTTTAATCGTTCTATCGTTTCTTCATTTCCAACTATGTCATCCAATACGTGAGGCCTATATTTTTCTACCCACGGAAGTTCCAATGTTTTTGACATGATGATAATGGTTGGTGGTATCTACGCTGAAAAGAGTGAAAAAAAAAAGATCAAAAAATTACGCGTGTTATTAGTGTCACATTTAGTGTCGCAAAAAGAATGTGTTATTCATACATCCTTCCAGTTTTTATATACAGGATATTTATCACCATAAATCATTTATATATTTTTCTAGAGATTAACCACTTATCATATCTTAATATTCTGACATAGGTCATTGAATACTAATCTGAAATAGAGAGAGTGACCGTTATACGATCTCCGTTATCCTAAGCCTTAGTCTATTGACAGTTTATTATACAAACTTGGCACAACCTTTAAATAAACTCGGATCCACATGAGATCATGCGTTGGATTTATCTATTGACTCTGAATTTTTCTTCCTGTTCTTGTTCTTCTTCTTCTTCGTTCTGCCTTGAGGTGCCTTCACCACCAATTGTTTCACTTGTGGTTGATAAAACTTTCCTGGGGACTGAAACACATCCTTCATCCAGGGGATCTCTATATCCTTAACGTGTTTGTCGATAAGTTCATATATAGGCTCAACTAATGTAACGCCAGTAGATAAACCTAAAATGCCTGTGTTTGCGACACCAGTTATACTTGAAATTCTCTCCATGCTGCCCTTGGGTAGTTGAACTAGTTTCACCATGTCAGATGCACTTTTTGACGCAGTGAAGCACAACACGGGAAACATACTAGTCAACAATTGCGGCGTAATGTCATATTTACACACGATGAGGTACTTTATTTGTCTTATGGAATCTTTATGTTTGCCTCTATTATTTGCAGCCTGTCGTTCCAACGTTTCCACTGTAGAGTTGAAACCGTAATGTATCCATTTTAATTTATCATTGTTGCTTGTCTCAGAAGATTGTAAAGTAGGACGTAGTAAAACATCCATCAAATCCAAAAGGTCTTTTGCCACTGATGGGGTCACGAAAGGCCAAGTATTCGATTGAGTGTAAGGGTTATCAAGTAAAGCTTTGAACACCTGATTTCTTTTGTTGTTTCTAGACTTTAGTGATGTGGGTACTGCATTATCAGGTTTGGTCACTCCTTTATTAGACATGTTGTGGGAGTGAAGAATTGTTGGTGAATGAAAATAAACGACAAGAATTTTAAGGAGAAAAATAACCAGTTACACCTTTAATTGTGGACTACAAATAATATTAAAACACTAGCTCCTATAAACCGTTTACTTCTCTTCTTTCTTGGGTGATTCAGGGTTATAGCCTGGAGATCCAGGAGAGTAGCTTGGAGAAGTTGGCGAGTACTGAGGACTCGTTGGTGAGTACTGCGGGGACGTAGGAGAATACGTTGGTGATGTAGGTGAATAAGATGGAGACGTAGGTGAGTAGCTTGGTGATGTAGGTGAGTAGCTTGGAGACGTAGGTGAGTAAGATGGAGACGTAGGTGAGTAAGATGGGGATGTTGGTGAATAGCTTGGGGATGTTGGTGAGTAGCTTGGGGATGTTGGTGAGTAGCTTGGGGAAGTAGGTGAGTAACTTGGAGATGTAGGTGAGTAACTTGGAGATGTTGGCGAGTAACTTGGAGATGTAGGTGAGTAGCTTGGAGATGTAGGTGAGTATGATGGAGACGTAGGTGAATAGCTTGGTGATGTAGGTGAGTAACTTGGAGATGTTGGCGAGTAGCTTGGAGACGTAGGTGAGTAAGATGGAGATGTAGGTGAGTAAGATGGGGATGTTGGTGAATAGCTTGGGGATGTTGGTGAGTAGCTTGGGGAAGTAGGTGAGTAACTTGGAGATGTTGGTGAGTAGCTTGGAGATGTTGGCGAGTAACCATACCCTGGGCTGGTGCCACCATAGCCTGGACTTGTTCCTCCATAGCTTGGACTAGTTGAGTAACTGAATGGAGAAGTGGCACTTGGTGAGGTTGGTTGCCCTCCATAAGAAGTCAAGCCTCCGTTCATACCTTCTGCTGTTGGTGCTTGATGAACAGGAGAAAAACCAGCACTTTCATCAACTTGAATCCTATCATCTTGCATTTCAGCTTCCCTGTAAGGAGTAGCTCCGCCATCGTCGGCAATAACCTCCATCGCGACATTAGTTGGGGCCAGTTGCAACATTTTGTCGTCAACCATAACATCAAATGCACCGGTTCCCAATGGTGCCATTTGTCCCAACATAACATTCTCTGAAATCCCCTTGCAATCATCCAACTCGGCAGCGGCTGCGGCATCCAACAAAATCTCAACAGTCTCCTCAAAAGAACAACGCATCAAAGCACCTGTATCAGATCTGTTGATACCATGACGAGTAATGGCCATCAAATGACCACGCGATGTCATCACATCAACCAAAAGCGCCATATGACGGTAATTGACGTAAGAACCATCGAATGCAATAACATTCAAAATCTCTTTGTACAAAGCAGACCTAGTAGCTTCTATACCCAATACCGACAAAATTTCAATAAAGTCATTGGAATAAATACGAGCTGAGTCAACACCGGGAACTGCCATAACATCGGCCAAGTTCACACCATCGGTTTCCAACACCCACTCTTTACCTTGTTTAAACTCACCGGTCTCATCTGGCTTGCTCACCTTGTGTTGCATCATAAACACTCTTGTGATACCAGGAATACCTCTCAATGAAATAGACTCCAACATATGAGCCTCAATACGTTTCAAAATTTGATCCTCTTCCGCATCGGCATCCTCGTCCAAGGTTTTTGGATCTCGAACCACTCTACAACGAATAATCAACTTGTCAGCAGTATCGTCTGACCAAATAACAAACAAATCTTCACCAAAGTTTTGCGAAATCTTTTCCGCAACCTGGGCCATTGTCAATTGTTTATCCAACATCTTGGCACGGTCGAGCTCCAATCTCAATAGCCATGGCGATTGTTTCTCGATGCTTTCCTCAACTTTTTGATCGGGAATAGCAAAATATGCCTCAACGGTATCATAATCCTCTTCGATAACTGTGGTTCTTGGATCTGGATCGTAGTAGATCTCTGTCGAAGAAGTGACATTCTTCAAAGTAGTGTGCTCAATCGAAGATTGAACAATCTTGGCCAATTCAATGTCCGAGGCTACCTCTGGATCCAAATACACAGTCAATGCTGGGGTTTTGATATTCTTCGCAACGTTCAAAATTTCCTTAAGTCTTGGAACACCCAAAGTGACATTTTTTGATGAAACACCGGCATAATGGAACGTATTCAATGTCATTTGAGTAGCCGGCTCACCAATAGACTGCGCAGCAACAACACCAACCATTTCACCGGGGTGGACAATAGATTTCTGGAATTGTGTCTCAATTTCACCCAAAACCCAATCAAAAGAAGACCTGTTCAACTTGAATTCTTCAATGACTCTTCGCGCAGCCAACCTTGATCTTACCAAACATTGGAATAGCAAAGTAGCATTCTCTTGTGCCTCTTTTGCCAATTTAGTTTTACCTCTGACAACTAACAACTTTGTACACAAATCACGTACACCATTGACAATTTCATCCAATCTCAAGTCCGATGCCTTGTAACGACCATTGTGAAAAATTTGCTGTGCATTTTGGATAATACGACGCAAGTTCACTGGCAATGGCCAGCTGAAGTCACCATTGGGGAAACAAACATCTCTCAAGTACCTCCTATCCTTGAGCAATTGATTATACTCCTCATCCAATAATTTTTGCAACTTGACATCACCCTGAATTTCTTTGCCTGATTCCAACAATGACTCCGAAATTGAGCCATTCTTTTCCAACAAGTCGATTCTGTATCTGCGTTCAAAACTTGCATCAGATCCTGGGATTGTATCAACAGATTGCTTTTCAACCTGTGTCGCATCTATACCGTCTTCACCATAGATGAATTGGATAATGTCACCCAATGAGTTCCTAGTAGTACCATCGTAATGCACCATGATGTCCTCCAAAGCTTTGACCAAACGACGTTGAATATAACCAGTCTCTGCGGTCTTGACGGCGGTATCAATAAGACCTTCTCTCCCTGCCATTGCATGGAAAAAAAACTCTTGTGGAGTTAAACCCCTCAAATACGAGTTCTCAACAAAACCCTTTGATTCTGGAGAATAATCATCTTTAGTGAAGTGAGGTAAGGAACGGTCGGCAAAACCAAAAGGAATTCTCTTACCCTCCACAATTTGTTGACCAACACACGCCGACATTTGTGAAATATTGATAAAAGAACCTTTGGAACCGGAAGTAACCATCTGTTTCACATTATTCAAATCCTTCAAACTCATCTCGGCTGAACGCCCAGCGGTATCACGTGCTTGATTCAATACACGAGAGACATTGTGTTCGAAAGATTCCCTCAATGTCATACCTGGTTCTGGATCTAATTTGTTGTGTTGGGCGTCAAGAATAATCTCTTGCACTTTTTGCTTAGCTTCTTGAATTGTTTTCGTAATGTCCTTCATGGTGCTGGCATCGGCAATAGTATCCCCAATACCAATACTGAACCCGTTGTGTAGCAACCAAAAATTGACCACTTTTTGAATCGAACTAAACAACTGAGCACAAACCTGAGGCCCCTTTTCTCTCATTACTGTGTGAATCAAACCACCACCGGTTGCACCTACGGTCTTTTTATCAACAACACCAAACATGATTTCACCATCCACAATCAACATACCAGTATCCTTCGGACTTAATAAATCTCTTCCACCATCAAATCTTTGAATGTGGATACCCTTTGGTATAGCCATCGACAACATTTGTTTTCCCGACCACAAGGGTTTTGGTTTAATTATTGCTGGTGGTGGGATAACACCATCCCAATTAGGGATCCAATAACACATATTCATCACCTGATCATACTCTATGAAAATATCTCTCAAGGTCATCTTTCGAATACCACACAACGTGTCCTGCACGATACCCATGACTGGCTTGTTAGATTGTGGCGACACAATTTGAAGAGGAACAGCACAAATTTGTGACAACTCGGATCTAGTTTCTGGCGATTGAGGTACATGCAAGTTCATTTCGTCACCATCGAAATCGGCATTATACGGTGAAGTTACTGACAAGTTTAATCTGAATGTAGAATATGGCATAACCTTCACTCTGTGCGCCATCATAGACATTTTATGCAATGATGGTTGACGGTTGAACAAGACTGGATCATCGTCCATCAAATGACGCTCAACTTTCCACCCATATTGTAAAGCGATGTCACCTGCTCTTTTGTTGTATCTCAAATCAATACGATCTCCGGTATCTCTAATCACATACTTTGCACCAGGATGTTCATTTGGTCCGTTTCTCACCAATTCAGTCAATTTGTGAATGTTGTATGGTGTTACTATTTCGGGATAGGTTAAGGTCTTGGCAATTGATATTGGAACACCAACTTGATCCAAGTCCAAATTAGGATCACCAGAGATGACTGTACGGGCCGAAAAATCCACTCTTTTCCCCATTAAATTACCTCTCAACCTCCCTTCTTTACCCTTCAACCTTGCTCTAATTGACTTGATTGGTCTTCCCGTTTTCTGCAACGCTTGTGGTTGTCCTGCAATATCATTATCCATATAAGTGGCTACGTGAAACTGAAGCAATGCTTCAAACTCACTAATGACATGTTGCGGAGAACCATCAATTTCCAAACGTTGGACATTTATGTTGGCTTTTATTATATCAGCTAACTTGAACGTCAAGTCATCCTCTCCCCTGGCCGTGTCGTTGAACGCAATAGATGGCCTTACTGGTGGGGGTGGCACTGGCAAAACAGTGATCAACATCCACTCGGGCCTAGCATAGTCCTCATTGAATCCCAATCTATAACAATCCTCTGGACTGATATGCTTAAACACGTTGAGAATCTCAGAAGGCGTTAATAAACGACGTTCAGGTTGATCATTCTCTTCAAAGTTTTTATTGTGTTTCCAAGTTCCCCACAACTTTAGTCCATCCCTACGGATGGTTGGTTGTGTGTGTCCACAGCCTCCTCTGACATTGTGATCATTCATCTCTTCCTCGCTGGTGGCTGTCTCACAAACCATTTTACTCTTACATATACTCCAAACGGCATTAAATCTCTTTTTAGGGTCTCTGATCTTAATCGCCTGTGCCATTAACGGATTCAGTTCGTCCAATAGTAACTTCCCACAATGCATGCAAATGGATTCACAGACTTTTTTAATTTTGGCAATGAACCCAATATGGAATACAGGTTTGGCCAACTCTATATGTCCAAAATGACCTGGACACTCAGCCATATCCTCGCCACAAGTTTGACATTTGAAATTTCTATCGATCGAGCCCAATCTTGGATCATTGAGACCACCTTCACGAGGTCTTTTGGTTGCTTGGTCCATTGTTTCCGGATACTCAATCTTGGCAACAGATATGGCCCTTACTTCCTCAGGGGATAGCAAACCAAACTGGACTTCTTTGACTGAACGGAGGGGGGCATTTGAAAACGGAAATGTTCTACTCATCTTGTGGTTTTACTCGATGATTGAAGGTTTTGCCACTGAGTTTTTGAAAAGTTTTTTAGTATTTTTTTTTTTGATGAAATTTTTTTTTTAAAAATATTTGATTCTTTTTGTTGACAAGTCTATAATGAAACGAAATAAATTATATATATGTATGTAGTAATAGTAACTCGGACGTGTTTATGGTAATGATGCTATTGATTATGATACAAGTGATGATATATTATGGATAACCCCTCTCGGTATAAAGTCGTCGAAGTACTATTTGTGGTGATATTCTAATTTTTTTTTCCTTTCGCACTTCTTTGAGATTTTTTTTTTTCGTCGATTCTGGGAAAAATGTTATTGCGCACACGACCGAAGAAGCTACCAAGAATGGGAAATTAAAGACAAGAAGATGATAGTGATGACATGGTGAGGGGGTTTCGCGTGGGATGATAGAAGAATTGAGGAACAAATACGAATAACGAGAGAAAGAAAGGTTTGACAATGACAGCGACTGAAAGAGATAAGGGGAGGTGAGGCACTCATGATAGTAGTTGATCACCACTATCCACTTGTGCAGTTCTTTCATGGACAATGATTGTAATAAACAGACACAAGAGTTACATCTCACGAGCCCAGCATCTACCCTCACCTTCTTTCAACATTTGCGGTCTCTTTATTGTCTATGAGGGAAGCAATTTCGCAGCTCTCGAATTTTGTGTCATTTTCCCTTCATTTCTTCGCAGCTTCCCAAAAAATCAAAATTTCCAGAAACTTCCATTGACAGGGAACGATCGTTGTATTTAACAATCAACGAGTATCCTTCTTTTATTCCAACAAGTGGCTGAACTCACAACACTCCCAATCCATTCAATCGTTAATGACTGCCGCCGAAGATTCCAAAAAAAGTTTAGTTTACTTTGACATTACCTGCAATGGTAAACCAAAGGGAAGAATAATCTTCAAATTGTACGACGAGGTAGTACCCAAAACTGCCAAAAACTTTAGGGAATTGTGTACTGGAGAGCATGGTGTTTCCAAGATATCAGGAAAACCTTTGACCTACAAGGATTCAATTTTCCACCGAGTAATTAAGGACTTTATGTGTCAAGGTGGAGATTTCACCCATGGCTCAGGTATCGGCGGTGAATCAATTTATGGCGAAAAATTTGAGGACGAAAATTTTGAAAAGCTCCATGACAAGCCTTTCTTGTTATCGATGGCTAACTCTGGGCCTAATACTAATGGGTCACAATTTTTCATCACAACTGTCCCTACCCCTCACTTGAATGGTAAACATGTTGTATTTGGTGAAGTTGTCCAAGGTAAGTCCATTGTACGTCAATTGGAAAGAAGCGAAAAGGACTCAGGAGATAAACCTGTGGATGAGTGGAAAATTGCTGATTGTGGTGCGTTGAGTGAGGATTATGTGTTGAACCCAGCTGATCAGGATGATGGCACGGGTGATTTTTACGAAGAAGTTTTGCACGACAATGACGTAAAGAATATCGATGTCAGCAATCCTCAATCAGTGTTCAATGCCATTTCCAGAGTCAAAGATATTGGTACCAAATTGTTGAAGGAGGGTAAATTGAACAAAGCGTATGAAAAGTATGCCAAAGCTGCAGGTTTTGCTACTGATTATTTCCCAGAGGAATTGTCGGAGGCTGATGTGTCAGAGTTAAACAAATTGAAGATTTCATGTAGCTTGAACTTGGCACTTGTGGCATTGAAATTGAAAGAGGGGAAAAACGCTATCAAAGCTGCAAATGAAGCATTGGAAATTGATACAATTGACGACAAGTCTAAAGCCAAGGCTTTGTACAGGAAAGGTCTGGGGTACTTGCTAGCTAAAGATGAAGAATCTGCGCAAAAGTGTTTTGAAGAGGCGTTAAAGTTGGAGCCTACTGACGCTGCAATTCAAAAAGGTCTTCAAGATGTGAAGGCACAAATCAAGGCTAGAAAGGAAAAGCAAAAAAGGGCAATGTCAAAATTCTTCAAATAAGACACTTTTACATATATATATATATATAGTACATTTATTAAAGCTTTCTCCAGCTCTGGCTACATACTAGCGAGTACTACTCAATTCCTACAGCTGGGAGTTACCTCTGACTGGATCAAAATAAGGATGTTGCATAGCTTCCTTAGCTGTCAATCGCTCTTGATGGTCGTACCTCAACAATTTGTCAATAATATCCAAAAATTCATTCGACACAAGATGCTGGTTGTTTTCATTAATGAAACGTTCCCAAGGTCTTCTATTATAGTATCCAATATCTTCGTATTCATCGCCCAAAGTCAAATTGTACTTGTCCAAGTACTTGTTTAAGTTGTTGGATCCCAAGACACGCACAATTTGTACCAATTGATCGGTATTTGATTTCCCGTGGAAGAATGGTTCTTTCATGAATACCATTGAGGCTAGCATGCACCCGAATGACCAAAGGTCTAGTGAATAATCGTATAGTCTATAGTCAACCAACAATTCTGGTCCTTTAAAGTATCGTGAAGCCACTCTCACATTGTATTCTGTGCCTGGATGATAGTACTCGGCCAACCCCCAATCTATCAACCGCAACTTCTTTTGCTCATGATCAATCATTACATTGTGTGGTTTCACATCTCTGTGCATGATACCCATGGAATGAGAATAATCCAATGCCTTTAATAGCTCATACATGTAGAATCTGATATCGTAGTCAGTAAACGTAGGGTATAGAGTTCTGAAATCTATGTTGTTGATGTTTTCAAAAATAAGCCCTGGCGTCTTCAGCTGCGGTTCCCTCACAACATCCAACAATGCCACTATATTGGGCCCATCAACCAAATTCTTCAAAATCGAAATTTCTCTTTTAATTTTTTTTCTCTTAACCGGTTTCAATACTTTGATCACAACTTTCTCTCCTTTCACGAGATCGATTCCTAAGAACACTTCTGAATATTTACCTCTCCCCAATTTTTTGATAATCTCATAATTTTCTTGGGGGTTCCATTTAATGTTGAGATCATCATAATCCCAATAGGATTGTGGCTTTGACGCCAAAACATCGGCATACACTTTGGATATACTGCTTGATGAAATCATATTCTTATCTTTTGCTACTGGATTCTGGAAATAACTGGTGATAGGTGACGTAAAATCTAGCAAATTCGTTGAAGGACGTATCGTTGTTAATAGCAAAATGAAAACGGAGATAATAATCAAAGCTTTGGATATCAACTTGATGCGGTGTCGTGAAAATTTCAACAAAGGCAATGCTATGGTAAAGCTTGCCACTTTTTATGTGTTTAAAACAAAAATAATCTTAATTTGGAGTATCAGGTCACCTCGAGTACATGCAAACACTCGTTAAGGTGGCGTCACTCTCTCGGAATGCAATTCCTTGCTAAACACTGTTAAGTGTGCAAGATTTTGAGACAACTGATGTATCAGCTAATTGCAGCTGACTGATGTGGGAAATAGATTAGATCACCAGTTAATGTAAAACAATATGAAAGCCACTTCCGCAAGCTTCGAATGTGTAACAGTAGCGCTTTGATGGATCACTGATGTGGTTGTCAATTTACAACGTTAGTGTTATTGACTTTAAATAAAATGTTGAAAATACGTGGTTATTGTACTTTCTATGTGATAATTTTTCTTTCCGTTTTTTATTTTTTTTTTTTCCTTCTCCCTTGTTCTTTTGTTTTACGGGTTTTTGACGAGTGTGTCGCAGTTTTAGTGTCGCCCTTTTGATAAATTAACTATACCCATTACAAAGACTCTAATTAATCTTCATCTCTGCGAACGAGGAATTCAATTTCTTACCGGCCTTACCTCTGGATACTGAACTAGCTGCTTGTTGCAACTTTGTCTTCTCTGCATCTTTTTTTGTCAACTTTCTTCCACCACTTTCTAACTCATAATTGTCCAAGAAATCATCAACCATGCTCGCAAAATCCGTCCTTTCACTTTCCATATCAAATGGTTTGTACTCCAGTTCTTTGGTGTCACCACGATTGTAGTTCTTATTCATTTGTTCATATCTGTCATCGAGCACTGAAAGACCTTCAGATCTAAACAATGCAGAGGAGGACATCGAAAACGAGGATGTGTCGGTCATTGCACCTTTCTTTCTCCTCAATTTGGTGTTGGATTTGGAAGGCTTAGACTTCATATCCGGTAATGCTCCTAAATTGTCGATCTCATCTTCTTCTTCGCTTCCTTCACCAAACTCATCATCTGAATCCCAAGTGTTCTCCTTATTTTTACTCTCTTTTTTAAACTTCATGAAATCACGTTGCCAATCTTCATTTACTCCCTCCTGGCCAATTATTTCCTCGGGATGTTCATCGTACTTTGCATTGTACTCGTCTTCGTAATTGTCCAAATCCCATTCATCATAGTCGTCATCGTAATCCCCTTGTTCGTCATTGTACTCATATTCATCTTCCTCGGCTTGTCCCGATTTCAACAAGTCAGCAAAAATATCATCATCATAGTCTTCCTCATTCTCATTATCCCCTGTAGCATCACCTTTATGTTTAATCTCCTCTATGTACGCTTCATCGTCCAATGCTTCAAGGACCTCTCTTAGCCTAGGATCCATGTTTGGATTAAAACCTCTCAACTCATCCGGTATACTTTGATTCAAGTCTTTTGTGACTTTACGCTTCTCCGAAGAAGGTAGTTGATCCTTCAATAATGTGTCCAAATCTAATTTCTGCTGCTGCTGATGCCGCCTCCTTTGTTGTTCCTGATCTTTTGCCAGGATGAAAACACCATCTGCATCTCCTAAGGGTTTCAAGTGTTGCATGTAATCATAGTTGGAATCATCAAATGTAATCCCGTATTGCGCTGCCAACCCTTCATTGTCTCTAACCTGGTCCCTTAACCTAGCTTCAAGCTCGTTCTTGGAAAAAACCTTCTTGGAGCTAGACTTTTGCTTCTGAGACTGTGCTGTTGGCACTAAAACATTAGTAGCATCATCCTCAAAGAATCGAGCATCGTCATGAGCACGATGTACAATGCTATAAGTGGTGGCATTCTTTTTATCAAACTTTTTAACCATAATGTTGTCTTGGAGTCTACGAGATGAGCATTTTCTTGGAGCAGATAATTTTATTAATTTTATTTTTTCTTTTTTTTTTTTGGCTCTTGTCCACTTGCAGCCCACGATTACGCTTATACAACAACGTTTATGTATTACACACACGCCAACATACAAAGTTTTACTCGACTAAGCACCGTGTAGCTTTTGCGATACAGCAATAATTGTTTTCCAATCGCTAGCGTAGATCGAAATACCCTCACCCATGGCCAAAAACACGACACCCAAAATCAACCCGTACCAAAGCCCATTCAAACCATAGTCTAATGTGAATGCCAAAACATATCCAACTGGGATTGCTATCAAATAGAACGCAATAGAGTTCAAAACGGATCCAACACTTTGCCGACCCTGCCCTCTTAAAACACCCGCACCCAATACATTAAACGCATCAGCTAGTTGATTGATACCTGCTAAAATGTTCAACCAAGCGGCAATACGTATCACTTGCTCATCAGTGGTGAAGATCTTAGTTAATGAGTACCTTCCAAGATAGAATATGGAGAAATTGAGAAGTCCAATGAATGGGGCGGAAGTGAAAGCCACTTGGCAGTCAACCTTTGCCCCTTCAATGTTTCCCATGCCAATATAATGACCTATTCTTGTGCTGATAACTACGGAATACGCAAACGGTACCTGGAATAGGAATGCGGCTAAGTTGGATACAACTGATTGGGCAGCAATTGCTTCGGTGCCAAATTTCGCTGCCAAAAAGATTTGAATCTCAAATGCAATAAACTCGGCAATCACCATGAATACCCCTGGTACTGCAAGTTTGAGCACAGGCTTCCAGTTGAAAAATGCTTGCTTGCTCCAACCACCCCAACAATCTTTCCCACTAACCTGGACCACGTATGCAAGCAATAACAACGACATACTCCAATACGTTATTGCAATCACTACGGGAATCCCAATGAATCCCAAACTCGTATGCTTATTCCAGACAAGTGCCCAATTAAGTATGAAGTTTATAGGTGCCATGATTGCCAAAACGTATGTCCCCGCATGATATATATGTTGCGCTTGCAAGAACCGTTTCCCAGATTCAAAAAATATAAGTCCCGGAACACCAATTATATGCCATCTGAGGAATGTTTGTGACATTGACACCAACTTGGAATCGTCGATAAAACATCCCAACAAAATCCCCGAGTTCCACCAAAACACAGCCAATGGAATCATTACCGCCAATAGTATTAATGAGCACCTCTGGAAATACAATCCGACTCCATGATAATTGCCACATCCATAAGCTTGGGAGCAAAGTGTATCCAAGCTGGTTACTATTCCTTGAAATATAGCCAAACCTGCAACATTGAATGTCGAAATAGCCAATGAATAAGCAGCCAATTCTGTTGCGCCTAGCTTTCCTGCCGATATCGTTGACGTTAACGAAGTAAAATACTGAAGGGCGAATGTAACCACTAGCGGTGCAGATCCACGTAGTAAGTGCTTTAGCTCGCTCAGGTATGTGTGTTTTCCATTCTGGTCTATAGAGTCTATCGATTCATAGGTTTGAAATGCACCGGTTAACAAAGATTCTTCACCAATCATATTCTTGGAACAGATGAAGAAGAGTGGTATGTTGTAGTACCTACTATGAAAGAGAAACGAAGCTGATATATAAATAACTCTACAAACCTAAATCTCATTCGGGAAATACCAATAGCTCGTGCATTGCGCTTTACAGATTTCTGAGTGGTAAAAACATATTCCATTTCTGACAATCAAAGAGAAAGCGCATATCAATTACCGGATTCAGAACAGTCGTGCAGGTCGCAAAATAAATTCCGTTCACTGGCACGGAAATGCTACCCACTATGCTCTTTTTGAGGGTTCTAATCAGTTTGATCAAAAACCCAGCAAATAGGAGAGGCATTTGCTTTGACTCAAGGAGATGTCCAGCTGAATTAGATCACGGATCCCTTTCAAATCTGCTTTTTTGTCGAGTTCAAAGCTTTAGTACAGTCTACTTGGCAAGTTGGCGATGACACTTCACACCTACACAATAACAAACTTCTCTATTTACTCGCCGTGACTATCGCTTTGCTCCACTCAGCCCAATCATCAAAGTTCCTCAATCAATGGCTTCTTTTGCACTCCGTCGCGGCCAATATTGAACAAGTCTGGTAAATTTTCGTCCTCTTCTTCATTTTCCCCTTCCAATTTGAGCTCTTCAATTACTCCTAAAGCTTCATTCTGCTGCAATTCATGCAACTTCTTAAACCCCAAATCACTCAACTCGTGCATTGTTAATTCAGTTTGGGTCAAGTCACCCTTGGCGAGCATCTTAGGGACACTATAGTCTCTCTCCAAAGTGATTGAGTTAATCATCTCGATTGACTCAATACACCACTCTATCAAAATAAGTTTCAAGTCTTTGCTAATTTGACACCATCGAAAACATTCATCATTTATGCAACAATCGTAAACCAAAGATGGGAACCCCTTCTTGTCTTTTGACTCTTTGGCCACTGATGCTACAATGGGAATTTCCCACTGATTCTCAATAATCATTGGAAACACTACCTCCGGCTCAAATTCTTTCGATGGCTTTGGGACTTGTGGATCATGGCATATATTGATGAAAACTTTTGTCAAAAGTTGCGAGCTATTTTTAGACTCTAGTATTTTAGTTTTGATAACAAATCCTGGCTTCGGATGTAGCGTTATCTTTGTTTGATCTTGTATCATGGACATTTGAACGAGATGACTCAGAGTCACGAATTTAATTTTCTTTGGGTTGAAGGATGTTGGAGATTTTTTGGATTGGTTTTCTTTTTTATGTTGGGAATTTTTGTATTTTGCTTCCATTCAGATACATTTTCCCCGTCACAATGAATGTTTTGGTATACTCAGGTCCTGGGACAACCACCGAGAGTGTCAAGCATTGCCTTGAATCGTTGAGACTTCATTTGTCCAAGTATTATGCTGTGCTTCCGGTCAGTGACACTGTATTACTTACTGAACCATGGATGAGAAAGACATCAATGTTGGTGATCCCTGGTGGAGCTGATTTGCCATACTGTCAACTATTGAATGGAGAGGGAAACAGAAGAATTAAAAAGTACGTCAAAGATGGCGGTAAATTTATGGGATTTTGTGCTGGTGGATATTACTCTGCAGAAAGGTGTGAATTTGATGTTGGAGGACCATTGGAAGTGTCTGGTTCTAGAGAGCTTGCTTTTTATCCAGGAACATGCAGAGGCTGTGCATTTAAAGGGTTTAAATACGAGCTGCATTTGGGTGCAAGGGCATCAAAGCTTCTGGTCAACACTCATTGGTTAACTCGTGCTCCGGAACAGGTGTACACATATTACAACGGTGGAGGCATCTTTCTTGATAGTTCAAAGTTCAAAGACGTCGAAGTATTAGCAAGGTACGATGAAAAAACCGACATTGATGATCAAGATCAAGCTGCTATCATTTACAGAAAGATTGGAAAAGGTGGTGTTATCTTGACAGGACCACACCCAGAGTTCTCACCTAGGTTATTCAAAGACGTTGAAAAGGAGTTTGAGCATGTTGTGGACCAACTTAAACTGCATGACAAGGACAGAAGAGCTTTTATGAGAGAGTTATTGAGAAAGCTTGATCTTCGAGTGAGTGAAGACATTGAAGATACCACTCCCAAGGTAACGCCTATGTACATTGCATCTCCGTTTTCAGGAAAAGTTCACAACTTGCTCACTACACTTCACGAGAGCTTGGAAGTGGAAAATGGAGTATTCAAAGATGACAATGATTCATTTATCTTTCAAGATGAATCGCATCCACAGAATCACGATAGTGAGCCCCAAGAAGAGGATGACCCTACAAAAGGAATCAAGCACATAAATTTCATCACATCGGGCAACATTCCTACCGGCAAAATGACTCCTTATTTCAATTTGCAAAAATATTTTGATAGTCTTCGCAAATTGTCGAAGGATACCGTTACAGAATTTGGCAGTGTACTTGGGTATTGCGAAGTAATCACGTCCACCAACACTATTCTTGAAAAAAATCCACATTGGTTGCAATATCTTCCCAATGGATTTACATTAACTGCATCGACTCAAATATCGGGTCGAGGTCGCGGCGGTAATGTCTGGATCAATCCGCGAGGTGTACTAGCTACATCCATCTTGTTCAAAATACCAAAATCTGAACTGGCTTCCTCGTCTGTTGTAACGTTGCAATATCTATGTGGCTTGGCTCTTATTGAGGCGATATTGGGCTATGGAAGTACAGTTTCTGGAGAAGGTGTTGGCTACGAGGATATGCCAGTGCGTCTCAAGTGGCCCAATGATATTTTCACATTGAAGCCAGAGTACTTTGATGACTTGAAGCAAAAAGAGGACACCACCACAGTCGATGGCAATGACGAAAAATACGTGAAAATTTCAGGTGCGTTGATCAACTCACAGTTCATCGATGGCCAGTTCAATTTGGTTTGGGGCGGAGGAGTTAATGTTTCCAATGATGCCCCTACCACATCTTTGAACTTGGTATTGCAAAAACTCAATGACCTTAGAAGGAGCGAAGGGCAACCAGCATTACGCCCATATGAACCTGAGATATTATTAGCAAAGCTTGTATTCACCATTGATCAGTTTTACTCGGTTTTTAAAAAGTCTGGATTACGTCCATTCTTACCATTATACTACAAGAGATGGTTCCACTCCGATCAAAGAGTCGTTGTTTCCGGTGACCATGGCAAGTCAAGAACTTGCACCATCAAGGGTATAACACCAGAATACGGCTTGCTTATTGCTGAAGATGAAAATAATCATGAGATCTTGCACTTGCAACCTGATGGAAACTCATTTGACATTTTTAAGGGTCTAGTGTATAAAAAGAGTACATAGATTTTGATAAAGCATTTAGAATTTCGCGTTACAGAAGAAGAAAACAAAAAACAGATACACAAAAAATCAACAGCATTACCACATCACGACAATAAATTGGCTCCTCCCATACAGATACCAAAATGAAAGTGACCGTGCTCGAGTGGAAAGGATTCTGCACTTGGCATTGGGACCTATCGTCGTCTCTTCCCAATACTGGCAACAATAGTGGATACGTCGAGGAATTGTGTGGAATATGTCGTGTCTCCTTTGATGGTGCATGTCCCACCTGCAAATACCCCGGCGACGAGTGCCCAGTCATTCTTGGACATGGATGCACCCACAACTTTCATTTACACTGCATATTGAAATGGCTAGAACAGGAATCATCAAAGGGGTTGTGTCCAATGTGCAGACAAATATTTACGTTCAAGCAGATAGCGAATGGCTCGCTGGTTGAGTATGCCAATCTCAAAACTTTGATTGATGGGCATAGAGTAATGAGAGAAAGGCTTCTGCCGAATAACGAGCTGGAATTTGAAGCATTCGACGCTGAAGGCGATTAACACGAACACACAAAATGTTCATGTGAAAAAAAAAAAAAATGGTGAAAAGAATGCTGAAACTTTTTTTTTTTTTACTTCATCTACGTTAACATCACCTATACCATGTCCATTCGCTTATTATCTCCCTTCAAAGTACCCATCTCAAAACGGCTCTTTTCAGCATGCTCAATTTTATCCCAATTAAATGGTTCCAATGCCAAGCTCTCCTCCCACCAGGCTCAAATAAAACTCGCAAGGTCTAAATTTACCCCACAGGAACTAGAACTAGCTCGGGTCACTAGAGAAGCGAAATTGGGGTGGCTCAAGAATCTCCCTGAAAAATGGATACCATACTTTGAACTTATGAGATTGGAGAAACCTGTTGGAACTTGGTTGTTGTTAATACCTTGTTATTGGGGAATAACCATGGCCGCGTATTCCATAGCCGCTCCTTTGACAACAACACTTGGAGCTATTGGATTATTCTCAGCTGGTGCACTTATAATGAGAGGTGCTGGATGTACCATCAATGATATATGCGATAGAAATTTAGATAATCAGGTTGCAAGAACCATGGAGAGGCCAATTACAAGCGGAAGAGTGACAGTTCCACAAGCAGTTGCATGGCTTGGTGTTCAATGTTTTGCTGGATTGGCTGTTTTATTGAGCTTACCTTGGGAATGCTTTTACCTAGGAGCATTTTCATTGCCATTTGTTTTTGCTTATCCTTTGTTCAAAAGATTCACCTATTACCCGCAAGCAATGCTCTCAATCTGTTTCAGTTGGGGATGTCTTTTGGGGTTTCCTGCGGTTGGCGCTCCTTTGAATTTATGGGTGGCTGTACCATTATTTATTTCCAATTGGATTTGGTGTTTGATCTATGATACGATCTATGCTCACCAAGACAAAAAGTACGACATCAAAGCTGGAATCAAGTCAACCGCGTTGGCATGGGGAGACAAGACTAAACCAATACTTAAAGGATTGACAGTTGCACAAGCTGGATTCTATACTATGGCAGGAGTCATGAATTCTATGGGTCCGGGATTTTACATTGCTGGAGCTGTGGCCATCACCAGGTTGTATAAACAGATAATTAATGTCAACCTTGATGATGAAAAAAGTTGCTGGAGTGCCTTTTCATCAAACATTCAAACTGGATTTATTTTTTGGTATGGTATCTTATTCGATTATATTTTGCTTCTATTAGGCTTTCTATGAAAGATCTTTTATTAAATGTTTAGTTCTAGATAATTCCGATTTAATAATTGACTTGGTCATTACTTTTTCTCTCGACTGTAGCTGCATATTTGTGATGGAGGTTCTGAGAAATTTTGTCAAATATACTAGTGGGAATTTGTCCGGAAGTAGGTTAACAATCATCAAGGGGGAGACGTGTGAGCTGTAACTTTCCACAAAATGTTGGATTGCGGGTTCCACAGGTTCACATTCATAAAGGTTCAAGAAGTGTTTGAATATGAGTAGAAGGTCCTCTTTGTTGACCTTAAATTGATTTAAACGTTTCTGCTCATAATAGCGTTTCTTTTGTGCAGCATGCTTACCCAATGCAAGTCTTTCTGCAGTGGAATAATCAGCAAACTCAAGCAATCCTGGTATATCACGATTTATGTAAAGCTTGTGATACTGGAAGAGCAGTTCCTCTAGATGCACATTATCCATGTTAATCAACAACTCAAAGGACTTGAGATACAACTCAATAAACATCTGATAATCCTTTTCCTTAGCCAAAGCAACAAAGTCTATCCAAGATATTTTGGGCCATTTGTGTTTGGAGAGGTTATTCATCTCCTTGTATTCGTCATGTAATTTCTTGATATACTCTTCAATCTTGCTATCGTATAACGCGACTAAAGTGGATGAGATCAAGTCCAACAACTCCCCTCGTAACCCATCATTTTCAGCATATGAGGATTCGAGTAGTTCGATGCGCAATAAAGCATAATCTTTTTCTCCCTTCAGGTCATCAGACAATTCGTCCAAGATTTTTTTGTTAACTTCGCGATACACAGAGGACTGTCGCATCAATGCATACCCTTTCTCTTTGTTCAACCTTAAGATCTCCAATATCAACTTTGTGTAGTCGTTATCATCGAGACGTTCATTGGCTAGAAAGTCGAGAGCATCATCAACAAGGCTATTGTCCAAGTATTGGAATAAGAACTCCTTATATGCCGAGGTCACAGCAGACAGTTTGGTTGTTCTTTTATATATTTGGGAGACCAAAAACACTTTGTTCCTCTGAATCAACACGTCTATAATTTTCTTATCATTCGATGAAAAGTTCCATTTATCCTCAGCTATTAATGACTCAAGATGATTTTCTGAAAGAAGTTTGTAGCACAACAATCTTGACTCGGGAGTCATATCAGCGGGTTTCAATTCTTGCAAGTACCTCCTCGTCGCATCCTCGTCTTTAAAATCCCACATGTCTACGACATCCTTCAATCCAGGATAAACATTGCAGGGATAGTCGTAGCCCAATAGTCGAAGAGCCATGTGTGGCTCAATAATCAACTCACCATTTTGCCTCCTTGTTAGCATCTCTGTTGGGTCTTTGTCAGTTAAAAAAGCCCCCATTGTTTTGAGAACATGCACATACAGAGAATCGTCATTTGCAATAGCTAAAAAATGGTCAAACTCATTGGACTCCATCGCCTCGTGGAACGCTTTGTTCGCCAATAGTGTGGAACTTTTCTGATGAATGACAAACAACTTTGATTTGTCATACAAAACCATGTTGGTATTCAGTTCCGTAGCTTGTCCGGTCACTTCCTGCAACGACTTATCCAGAAAAAGAACTTGAAGCTTTTGAATGCGGAAGTTAATAAAAGTATCTGATCTTCCACCTTCTCGCGTGACTATCTTCTCAGTGTTTATCTCCATCACTGTTTCAAGTGTTTCCAAGGATGATATGATTATCGACTTTTCAAACAATGCAAAAGTATGTGGCCAATCAACAACGACGCCGCCGCGAGGGTACCCGCTATCTAACCACGTCAAAGTCCCCCTCGTTACATCTCCGAAGTCGCTGATAAATTGTGCAATGGAAGTATTCTCATCCGAGGCAATTGTAAGTAGGTATTCTTTTGTGCTAGGCGTTTCGAAAAGCACAATAAATGGGGAGACATTAATATTAGACTTGTATTCGAAAAGTGGCATGACGCTTCCAGAGCGTGTATCCAATACTTCATACGAATTCTCATTTGCTAGCAAAATCAAGTTGTTCATTGGCGCGGTTCCAAGTATAGCACCTTGTTGTTTGAATTCTCGTAGCAACTTCCATGAATTATTCTGAAGTTGAACAAGTTGAACCTCTGATTGTTTGATAATCATAAGTGACAGTCCATTTTCCATCAAACATATGTGTTGTACATTCTTCAACTGTCTAATGGTGTTCGGGCTGAGTTCGGGAAGTTGGAATACCAAGAGCGTACGGTCAATAACGAGAAACAACTTCTGTAATGACTCGGATGGCAACAACTGTGTGATCTCATGACTTCCAACTGATATCAGCGTGATTTGCAAATAGTCTGTTGCATCTTCGAATAAATGATAGTGGAATAAACTTCCTTTTGAAGTGCCAATGTAAATATTTCGATCGTGTGCAGCAACTGCCGAAATGTGTTCACTCGGCTTCAAGGGTAGGTCATCAATCAATGGATCTATCAAGTAGGGGATCATGAATGAGTGAATTTCACACTTGGTATAAAAGTTTGGAGTTGAAGAGTTAATCTTGCAAAAAAAACAAGAGCCAAAAAAAAAGAACCTCATTCTTCTATTATGCACAGTCATAGGTCTATCTACACAACGCCATTATTGTAATACAAAAATCACATCTTAACTAGTAACGATTCCTCACTATAGACAAATACACCTAGACTAGTTGGAAGATGGGGTTACTGGAGGAAAAGCCAAGTTGTCTCTATGAGCAACATATTCACTATCAGCATATCCTAGAATAGATTCAATCTGACTACTCTTGTGACCTTTAATCATTCTTATTTCATTTGCAGTGTAATTCACACGACAATGACCAACCTCAACCATGTCATGCTCGGATAATTTCGTTCTATCAGCTACAACCTTGATTGCAACGCATTCATTTTCATGAAAATTTCCCACTACATCGATAATACCAGCGGGTAAAAGGCCTGCTCTGTCTCTTCTCGTGAGTGCAGCAAAACAACCTTCATCTATAATGAGTGCCCCCTTGGTCTTTAATCCATGAAGTATCCAAAATCTTCTATCTGATTTGATTTGTGTATCTTGAGGCAAACTGAGGAATCTAGTATGTAGGGGAATTGTCTTGTTACGGATGTCATGTTGTAAAATTTTGCGCTGCTCAACGATACTTAACCCTTCCTTTTGTGATTGTATATGAGCAACAATGTCTAAAATGTAGTGTGGTTGAGTTGATAAAGTAATGATTGTGGTGACACCAACATTAGTAGCCAAACCTGCAGCAATCAACTTAGTTGTCATTCCACCAGTCCCAACATCGGATCCGGCTCCTCCGTCATCATTTGTGCTTACGTTCAAATCGTCAATATTGTCAACTACTAAAATTGGTTCCGCCTTTGGATTCGATCTTGGGTTGTCGGTGTACAAACATTCCACATCGGTCATAAGAAACAAGTAGTCAGCATGGATCATACCAGCTGTTATAGCAGATAACGTATCGTTATCACCAAATTTGATCTCAGAAACAGACAATGTATCGTTTTCATTGACTATGGGGATTACCCCCATTTCTAGTAACTCATTTATCGTATTCTTGGCATTTTTGTACTGCGTGTAATCAACAATGTCGTTCCTCGTGATCAATATCTGTGCTGTGGTCTGATCCATTTGGCGAAATAAATCATTAAACAATCCTATCAACCTGCCCTGGCCAATAGAAGCAAGCGCCTGTACTGCAGATAGTTTGGATGGCTTTGATTCCAACTTCATTACCTTCATGCCAAAGGCAATAGCTCCCGAGGATACTATAATGATCTTGTGTCCTTGCCGACGAAGTTTAGTAATGGTTTCGACAATTAGTGCCATGTTTGCAATTCTGGGTTCTCTGGTGACAGCATCGACCAAGGAGGATGAACCTATTTTAACAACAATGGTAAGCTGCCTTTTTTTCCCCTCCATCGTGGTCATATCAAATTGAAGTACCTGCTTCAGTAGTCAACAGTTTCAAAATTTTTCATAGTTGACTCATCAGTTAGTGAGCGCTACCGGGGACAAAATTGGGCCGACTATTTCAGTGAAACAGGAGCGAAGGATAAAGTAGAAAAGCATACATAGAAGTAGCGTGAGAATGGGGTATTCACCACACCTTGATGTTTTAGCTTAAACTTTCTGGAACACCACAATTCACTTAGACTGAGAAGCTCAAGAAGAGAAACTTTTTAATCATTTATTATCACCTTCAAAATATCACCTTCAAAAGACAATTCATCAACAAACACAGACGTTTGCAAGCAAAAAGCGGAAGAGTTTATCAGCCAATCTCAAAAAGGTATTAACCCCTGATTCTATTGCATCAATTTTGTGCTCATTGTTGCTATGCAATTTCGACTCTTTTTCTTTTTTTTTTTTTTTTTTTTTTTTTGCAACCACAATTGCGATATAGGGATTAACGATTGCGTGAATATAAGACACCGCTATAGTCACTTGCCCATACCAGTCTATTGTCTTTGTCTTCAATATACGGAGTACGAGATCAGTCATATTTACCCGACAAGTATCTACTTCTATACAATCTTCTACAATGCAATGGAAGTGGCAAAATACCGCTCTCCGCCCGTTCCTATCAGCGCCACACTTTTTTTGAACAATAAAATTGCTTACATTTTTGAATATACTATCCAACTGAACATCCTACATATAACTTCCAATGGATAACTATTACATCTGATTACAAATCAGCAACAGCAGTCAAATGCACATCACTAATTCTATATTGTAGGTGTGTGTGTGCAATAAATTAACAAATTAAAGAATGACGCCACAGTTAATTTTGATTTCACTATTGGCCTTTGAACAATGCAATTGATTAATTAACACAACCCTTGGGTTCCAAGGCTTATATGGAGACAAAGCGTATATAAACCAACTCAAGTTTGCCGTTAGTTGCCAAGATGGTTGCAAATTTCTAAATAAGGCATGGTAAACTTGAAGAACTTGCTCTTGGCACAAGAGGAGGTGGGGCGACTTACAACAGTCTCTACCAACTCATCACATTCTTCTGGCAAACTTTTACACCCCACCAAGAATAACGATGTTAGCGTTACTCAAAAGCAAATTCCATCACAGTACATTGACATTTCAAGCTCAACGTTGACCCCTGAAGAGTTGGAGCAAAGAGACAACTCTCTAAGCTACAGGATCAAGAAATTTTTTTGGGACGGTACTGGAAAACACCCCAGAGAACAGAAATACTTGGTCAAGTTGGATTTCTTTTTGTTGACTTCATCCTGTTTAGGCTATTTCATAAAGAATTTGAATCAGTCAAATGTCACCACTGCTTATGTGAATGGTATGGATGAGTATTACAATATGAACAACAATCAGTACAACTATATGGTTACTTTATTCACTGTCGGTTACATCATAGGCCAGATTCCGTCAAATATGATATTACACAGAATATCTGCCAGATTTTATCTTGGGGGATTGGAGATTCTTTGGCTGATTTTAACAGTGTTGATGATAACTGTTCCACCAACCAATATAAAGGGAATGTATGCCTTGAGGTTTTTCATAGGGTTGTTGGAATCTGGTTATTTTCCAGCCTTGGAATACTTGTTGGGCTCTAATTATGGTACACCAGAGTTGCTGAAACGTTCTTCATATTTCGCTATTAGTTCTGGATTAGCAGGGATAATTAGTCCTCTTTTGCAAGAAGCTATTATCAAGAGATTCAGCCATTCCAGTTTGCCTCCTTTTAAATGGATGTTTGTGTTTGATGCGGTCATCAGTTTTCCCATTGGTGTGTACACCATGCTTGTAGACCCAAACACGCCACTGACGACTGATGCATTTTACTTTTCTGACGAGGACAAGTTGGTTGGATTGGAAAGGAGAAGACTATTAGGGGCAGAGTTGAACACAAGACAACCTTTTACTTGGGAGAAGATCAAGTCATTCTTCAACACTTGGCATATCTATGTGTTTCCACTACTCTTTTTGTGTTACAATAATAGTGGTGCTGCTCATAGTCAACCGACTTTCCAATCGTTCATGAAAAACTACTTGCACAAACCGTCAAGTGTTTATAATACATGGCCCTCAATTTTAAGTGCTATTTCTATTGGTGTGACAATCATATTTGCTTACGTCAATGATATTCTAGGTGGTAAAAAGAATGTTTGGTTTGTTAATGCATTTTTTGTTTGCTTGATAATAGGATGTGCCTTGCTTGCCTCGTGGAATATTCCTTTGGGATTGCATTGGTTCTGCTATTTCTTGGTTGGTATACCCACAATGTGGGGTCAGCCATTTATATTTTCTTGGGTTAATCGATTGCTTTATGCCGATGACTTGAAGAGGAACTTTGTTGTGGTTGTTACAAATACGTTGGCATATGTCACTGGAGCATGGGTTCCCATTCTTGTTTGGAACACCAACGACAAGCCTGAATATTTTATTGGATTTACGTACACGGCAGTGTTGGCTTCAGTGGGATTGATCTTGACACAAGTAGTACACTATTTGAGTACAAGAGATGAAAAAAGGGCTACAAATGAAAAGGATATAGAGCTAAGCAACTCAATCAAGCTAGACTCGGATTGAAAAGCTTTGTATAGATCTATAAAAGTTACCCCTAACTATGTTTTGAATATGGATTTTAAACTCTTAGGGTCTATGTCTCCCCAATAAGCCAACTTGTAGGGTAAACTCTCTGGTAAAAATTCTGGGTAGTGTTGCTCAATCGTGTTCATGATGGCAGTGTGCAAAATTTTGTAAGCCTTGGGGGTGAAATGGATACCATCATTCAAGTAACTACCCAATGAACCAACTTGTGACTCCGGGGAATCCTTCCTGAATGAAAATAATTGCTCTTTTGTCCAGCCACCGTCGTTTCTAAATTCCTCCCACAAATCTATGAATGGAACATTATATTTTTGGCAAACATTCTTTGCGCCCTGAGCATAGTGCCAGTATCTTTCGCATGTAGCAACTTCTGTCTGTACCTCACCACCCGAAGACTCAGCTAAAATATTCGGATCGTGCAAGCTCGGTCCAATCACGATTGGTTTCACGTTGTTCTTCAATGCTAGCTCTACCAAGTATGCGATATTCTCTTTGTATCTCGACAACTCCACTGGTTGAATAGGATTATTATCAATAAATCCGTCGTTGGTACCAAAGAATATTGTCATCATCTTCACATTATCCTTAGATTCGTTCAATTCGGACTCTAAAATTTTAGGAAGAATCAATCTGGCATGCTCTGAATTGTATCCACTAAAACCACGGTTGAGAATGTCAAGTCGTCTGATGTACGTCTCTTGTAATGCAGGCTGGAGAGCAAATCCATCAACTATTTGATTGCTAAATTGTGTAATTGAGTCACCAAATAAGATAAATTTGTCGTAATTCATTGCCAGTGGAGGACTCTTGTAGTAGGTGGATCTTTTTCGATTCGTTTATACTGTTTGTTCACAAAATCAAAAGTTGAATTAAATTGACGCTACTTACAATCTACAAAAGTAACCAAAATCAACGGCTCCACGATACCAGATAATCTCCCATGCTATCATCTAGCCCGTCAATGATCCCATTAAACCAAAATCCAATCATCACCACCAAGTAAATCAAAATCAAAATGACACCTTTGAAATAGTTTGACTTCCCCTCAGCGTAAATGTATGTAAATAAATAGATGGAGATCAATGTTGCAATGATGTCCCACCTGGGAAAAACTAGTGAGAATATTTGCTCAACATTGACAAAATTCTTTAAAACAGAGTAAACCACAAGACTAGGAATTTGGATCAAGACAACTTGCAATGCATAGGCACTACCGATCTCCATTGACAATGCAACATTACCACCTATGGCAAACGAGATGGCATTTAAAAATTCAGTTGTATTCGGAACCAATGCAAAAATAGTCAATCCCAAAAATTTAGGATCAATTGGAAAATCAGCAAGAATCGAGTCCACATTGTTAACAAGGATCTCAGCGATGATGGCATACAAAACAGTGGCTCCTAGCAAGATTATAGTTGACTTCTTTTTCGACCAATTAGGAGCATCATGACCACCACCTTCTTCCACGTCCTCTTTGGCTTCTTTAGTAATGTCAGCCTCTGAAGTCGAGACTACACTATCAACAGAGCGTCTCTCCATATTACGAGGTGGTGCTATCGACAACCTTTGCTGGGATGAGGATCGTTGTTGTTGTTGTAGTTGCTGCTGTTTGCTTTGATCCAAACCAGCTACACTTACGACACTAGGGGTTCTTGGATGTTCTTCCTTCTTAACTGCTTCATGGGAGTTTGTTGCCCAAATTAATGACGCATGGGTCCTCAAGGTGAAAAACAACCCACATACGTATGCTGCAAATAATGCAACAGCAACAATAAGTGAAAATGGCTTGACAACTTTGTAGTATAATGGGTCTAATGTAAAAGATGGTTGAGTAAAACGACACTTATTACAATCATCAATACCGCTCCCTTCATCGCATCCGCTGCATTTTATCTCATACGAGCCATAAATTTGGTAAAACAACGACGGAGCAAACATGGTAACCATTGCAAATAGTAACATGGTGGAGGATACCCCAGCAGAGCGAGGATTGTACCTCTGTGTCTTTCGCTTCAATGCACCTCCACACATGGACAACCCAGGAAGGAGTAACACACCACCAAGTATTGATCCAATCATGGAACCTTCAACCAACTTTCCGTTTGATTGATTTAAAGCAACACAATAAAGGAAAATCTCGACAATGGTTGAAAAGAATGCATTTATAACGGCACCAACACCCATTGAAGACTGCGCTGAAATTGATGCTACAGCTTGCCCGATAAAGTATGCCAATGGTATAATTGAAAACAAACATAAGCAGAAAATGATATTCGAGTCAGTCAAAACTGAATCCCAATGCAAAGACTCCTTCAAGAAATAGAAATCGACAATGACAAACAAGACCATGAAAAGCAAGTTTATGAAAAAGATATTTGTACCGTCGATAGTGTATTTGTAGTAATGCCAACCACAACATCTGTAAGTACACAACAATATCACTTGCTTCTTTTTCTTCAATGACGGATCTTTTTCTCTTCTCTTGTAGTATTCTTTTTCCAGCTCAAAATCTAATGCCAATGGATGACGTCTGACGTGGTCATTCAATGTAGACGTGATGTTAGCCATGGGTATAGCAAATACAATTAACCAACTGAGGAAACCAAAAAAATAGGAGATGGGCTGCACAATGAGGTAAAAGAACAAATAAAATGCAATCCTCCCAGCTGTCCAATCCCCACGGCCAAAGAATCTAACCTTGATATCGTTGCTTTCATCATTATCGTCTTCATCTCCATCAAGTTGTCGTTCATTGTGTTCATTGTCAGTTGCCAATGAGTTGTAGGCATCCCTCAAAGGTCTACCTTTGTGATCTTTCATTAATGGTGCTGATTCCTCTGCGGAGCCAGTGTAACGTCGAGGTGGAGCAAAAAAGAGTCGTCCTTCTTCTTGTAATCTCCATTGATGAAACTCATTCAAGGTTCTACCCTCCAACTGGTCCTCATCCATGTAGTTTTTCTCCTTATTCAAGAGCACGAATTTCCCAAATGGATAGAGCCAATATCTCCCCAATCTTAGAAATGCTCTAACGTACAATCTCAGACCGGAACTTATCGCAAAGCCTGAGAATACAAAGACAAATAGTGCTCCAATTAGGCACGCCACGTACATCAACAAACCGGCTGTTAAACTCCAAATCAAATTGGTCAATCTAACACCCCAGAAGATTCTGGACGAAGTTGGCCGCCGTGGGTCAAAATCATGAATATCCTCATCAGCTCTCGTTGCCACCGATCTTTTCTTCTTGTACAATGAAGGTTTCCAAATCTTTATACCAAAGGGATGGGTTTCATTGATGGCGTTTTGCCTATCTTTCAAATTCAATGACTCAGTGGATGAGTTTGAGTGTATAGATCCATTTTCATCGACATCTACGTCATCGTCTCCATCCTCATCAGCGTCTCCACCTTGACGATCTGCAACTAAGTCTAGCTTATCAACACTTCCAAATCGTTTTGGGTCTGTGGCTTTTAGTCTTTTAATGTTTTGTTCTGCCTCTTGCAAATCTCTAGCAATTACGGATTCAATGTCTACCAATTCATCAGGCGTACGCAACGGTGTTCTCTCGGAAATGTCTTGATACAGTCTCATTGGACTCTTACTGCTTTTCCTGTGGTGAAATGCCCTCAATGCGTCATTATATCCTTCAAGATAATCTTTGTCGTTTTTGATTTTATTGTCGTGTTCTGCTCCATCACTTCCATCACCGTTCTCATCTGCTTGTTCGTTGATATCATCATCAACTGAGTATATCAACTTTGGGTGACTGACACTTCCATGTTTAATCAAAGATGGTTTCGATTTTCTTCTTTGAACACTCGTTGATCTATTTCTCGTAGTGCTTCCAGCAAGCAGCACTGCCGACGAGCCTGGTTCACGATGGTCGTCGCTGCTGAACGCTCTTTGAGTATTGGGCTTCGACAGCCCCCCAACGATCGGTGTAGACATTATCCGCAATGAAACTGTCAGTTAATAACGTTCAAGAGGGAGTTGGAACGTGGGTTGAAATGTTGAACGTTTCTATTGTTTTTATGATTACACACGATTTTTGTGAAACTATCGCAAGTTTCCCCAAAATTGTACACGGAGAACACAGATTTGAGCGGTATATATACTATCTTTCTACAACGGTGCCGCCGCAACATTCACTATGTATGACTTTTTCTAAAGCCTTGTTGAGTTTTCAAATACAGCCTTACTCTCGACACAAATCTAGCTTCTGAAACTAATCACCCAACCTATGGCCCTTTCCTTTAAATGCCGTGTTCCCTCCAAACCATGAGTAACCGGTGGTGCTTCCGGTCGGCGATGCTTCTCTTTGGTGATTTGTTGAGAAAGAAGAGGGAGCAGTTGCTCTTCCGGGAGCTGGGGAAAATGCAGTGGCTCTAACAGATGTGTTAGTTGGGTATGACAAAAGGTTGTACAACCATTGAGGTGCCTTCAAGTAACCTTTGTCATATATGCTGTCCTCGATGTAATCAGCTTGAAAGCCACCGAAATGAGCAGGATTATCAATGTGTGTCATTCCAACTCTTCTGCCTTCGTCGTTTCTCCTTTTCTTTGGAGTTCCATAGGCTCCTGGTAGCAAATTGTAGATTGGCATAGTGTTCAGCTGAACGCAAAGGTACAAGTACCCGCTTATAATACCCACCAAAGTATCAATAAGCGATACAGGCCCACCGAGTATTAGCTTCACGATTAAGTTACCCAAAGGCAAATAATACGCCTTTATAGGGACCAACCCTAACAAATTAATCCTAGCATTCTTTAGACTTCTTGACCAAACGTATGTCAAGCAGGCTAGCAAATTCTCATGTGGGAAGTAAGTAGCTGGCGAGTAGTTTCCGGTGATAGCTTCCAATGCCAAATTGAACACTTGAATACACGACCCACACAAGATAATAAACCATAAATAGTCTGGAAAATTACCCTTGAATTTGCCTTCATGGGCTTCCAAGTGGTTGGAGAATGTGTAAAAGAAATAAGCATCAAACAAAGCATTGATCCTATTTGTAGACATGATACCTGGTGGGATCAAAAATGACGTAACAAACCTATACCATCCTAGAATCCCTGTGGCAACAGCCTTAAAAATGTCAAAGTACAGCCCGTGTCGAAACACAGCTCGAACAATCGTATAATCGCTAAATAATGCATTTAGGTTGATATACAACGACGGAAAGGCAGAAAATGTAGTGACACCCAAACACGCCAATACGGTTGATATGGTAAAAAAACGAGTCACTGGAGGAATTGTTTTAATGTTTTCTATCAATGGGTTGGTCATGGTGTTTTGACTCAGCTGGTTGAATTGTCGTGTTATTTTCAACTTGTTCTCTCTGTTCTGTCAATTCAAAGCGCCAAGTCAAAGAAAAAAACAAAAAAGTACAAGTTAATGAGAATTGATTCAACTCATTGCGTAAACCCAACCACACTACACCCCAACCCTAACCCGAAGATGAAATTGGTACGATTTTTAATGAACATACCCAACTCAACAAACCAACCGGTTACAGTTGAATTGAAAAATGGAAATATCATTAATGGGACGCTATTGTCGTGTACACCACTGATGAATCTCAATTTAAAAAACGTTAAACTACAACAGAAATATCAGGATCCAATTTTGTTACAATATATCAACGTTAGAGGCAACCAAATAAGACAGATTTTACTACCCGAAGATTTAAACATTGATAGTGTTTTGGAGAAATCTCAAACAAGGATTAAAGGTCAAGGGGCCGGTCCAAGTGCTAAACCTGTAAAACGAGGAGGATTACGTGGTAGAGGAAGGGGCAGAGGAAGTGGTCGTTGAGCATACCATAGCGATATACAATTTCAATTGAATTCAAGCAATGGAACCAAAATTCCTCATCTATATACACATCTATTTTTAAAACCATGTAGGTTTCTTTTCTTCTCTCTTTTTCAACAATTTCTTGTAGCCTGGCCTTGCCTTGGCAATGATCTTGTCCATGTTTTTAATTGCTTCCTCTCTCTTCTTGAATTTCTCCTCCAATTCAGCTTGGTCGGCTCTTCCAGCTGGTTGTATCATACCTTGCATCCATTTCTTATTGTTATACTTCTCTTCGTGGAATTTCCTTGGAGTTGGTGGTAAAAGATCTTGTATGCCAAATTTCTTCGCCAATTTGTACAAGTCAGCAGATCTTCGGCGTGAGTATAGCGAGCTATGCCACCTTCCTGTTTCGGTATTCTTATTTGGGAAAAATGGATTCTTTGTTGGGTCTGATATCACTGATGGTCCATTCTTATATTCAGAAAAGGGTCTTGGTGGATACTTAATGAAGAAGTTATGTAGCTTTTGAGGAAGCTTTGCGAATGCCTCCTTGGCTGTAAGGGACATACTTGATGTTGTTGGGCAAGCCGTGGTTTGAATAAGTAAACGAAAAAAAAAAAAAAGGTAAAAAATTGAATGAAAGGAAAGATTTTCAATTTCAATTGGTAGCTACACTATACGATCTACTTTGGTCCATCAATTATACACTTTACTGTACCCTTCCCTTCTCTCACTGTGTCATAAGCCTTAATAGCTTCATCAAATGGGAACCTGTTGGTAATCAACTTTTCAAAATCAACCAAGATGTGGTCTTTACCACGACCATAGTTTTGCTCCAAAATCTTGATAGCAGTTGCATAATCACCATAACCGTATCTAAAACTACCAAACAAAGTAATCTCTCTAGTAGCAAACTCAATGATGGGAAATGGAACATCGCCACCAGCATTACCAATCTGAGCAATTTTTCCTCCATCTCTGACTACTTGAACCGCCAACTTGATACAAGGAGCAGCGCCACTGCACTCCAAAACAACATCAGGTCTAACATCACCAAACGCTTTAATCAAATCTTTGTAATCACCAGTCTTTGAATTAAAGACGTGAGTGGCTGCGCCGATTTCCTTGGCCAATTTCAACTTGTCATCAAAGATATCAACAACCATAACATTTTGTGCTCCGTAAACTTTAGCTGCAGATGCAGCCAACAATCCAACAGGTCCAGCACCAAAAACAACAACATTTTCTCCAAAAGACAAGTTCACCAATCTAATAGCGTGTACTCCAACACTCAATGGTTCAACCATGGCACCCAATTCCAAACTAACACTTTCTGGTAATTTGTAAAGAAAATCAGAAGGTGCTTTGTAGTACTTGCACAAGGTCCCTTGAGCACTTTCATCATCGGGATTAGTTGGTGGGGTAGCAGCGAAGCTCATACATGGGCACAACTCATACTTACCGGACTTGTATGCCTCACTGTATCTTGATGGAACACCAGGCTCGATTGCAACTCTGTCCCCGACCTTTAAATGCTTGACACCTGAACCTATTTTGCTAACCACACCAGAGGACTCGTGGCCCATAACCATTGGTTTTCTCAATACAAATTGCCCAATTTTACCATGCGCATAGTAGTGAATATCTGACCCGCAAATACCAGTCTTTTTAATTTCAACTATAACATCAGTTGGTTCTGTAATTTGAGGAATTGACAAGTCTTCAAATGACAAATCATCGATCTTGTTGAGAACCAAGGAAGGGTTACCGTGTTGTGTATCTGACATATTAGGCTGAAGAAGAATTGTGAAGGACTGTTTGAAAATTTATTTTGCCCACGGGGAAAGATTCATTTGGTTCTATTTATAAGGGTGCATGGAGAGTGCAAAAACGTTACACAGAAACCCGAAGTCAAGAGAAACGTATGTTGCTTTTCCCGCGAGTATCTGTTCCGTAGGCTGAATCTGTGTCCTCACCCCACCTCACCCCACCCGCTAGCAAGAACGAACGGTTGAATTGTACATTGTTATAGTTTTACACTGCCTGAAATTCCAATCCAAAGTCTTTTTTGTGGAAAAAGAAGAGCCAAACCGGAGAGATCATCGTCATCATCAGCGCATCTGCCCCAGCACCCACTATCCTTTTTTTTTTTTTCCGACCAAATTATACTCAATAAAGGGACAAAAATCTTGACAATTTCTCCGAACAGAGATTCCCCCGAATATGTGAACTTTGTTTATTGTAAAAGAGTGTGTGTGTGAGGGGAATGGCCACGGAGGAATTATAAGCGAACTGCACCGTCGTTGAGCACAGATATAGAGGACTCAGATCGTGACGAGTAATTTAGTACGAAACTCATTTGTAGACAGACTTTCTTTTGTTTCTATACAAAGAATATATATCCTGAATTTGGGTGCAGGCAATCTAGACCCGGGCACCTCCTTCATACGCTCCAATATGCATGTTATTGCTCAATTACCGATCTCTTTATTTAGCAACATGTTGCAAAGCTTCCAAGACCTCCAACTCAATGTTTGCTTCAGCAGCAACAGTCTCATCACCTGATTCAGCCCTCTTTTGCGCATCAGCAATCAAGTTTTTGACAGCAGAAGCATCAATTTGATCTGGTTTGAAAGCTTCAATTGCACTTATAGTCAACTTATTTCCTGGTTGTACCATAGCAATACCTCCACTAACAAAATATTGTTCAGTTTCACCACCTTTGGAAATAATCTCCAACAAACCTGGTCTCAATTGTTCTACAATTGGAATGTGGTTAGCCAATATACCCAAATCACCATTGACTGATGGCAAGTTCACTTGTTCAACTTCTGAATCAGCGTACAAAGTTTGAAATGGTAAAGCCAATGACAACTTCAATGCATCGGATGATGGTGCAGCTTCTGTAGCATAAGTTCTTCTGACAGCCGATATGGATTGTTTGGCAACTTGACGGAAAGATTGTCTAAACATTGTGAATGTGGTGTGTGTAATATGGCTCGTCCTTTACTCAATCTTTTCTTTTCTGTTTTTTCTTTTTTTTTCAGTGAAGTTGGTTGACCGAAAAACGAAAACTTGAAATGTGTGTTTGTGTGCAGTATTTTTTATAGTTACTTCAATTTCATTGGTTTGGAGCGTAGACTGCCTAATGCGGAATATTATAACAAGAAAAAGAAAGCGAGTGGTAAAACAGTACAAGCTATTACACACACTATTAATTACCAAATTGATTCAAGAAATTGTCCACATCGAACTCATCACCTATCTGTGCATTGTTGGCATTGTTTCCATTGTCACCAGCATCGAAACCTCCTTCTAATAAACTCATATTCAAACCATCTAGTATCAGTTCATCATTTCCTAATAAATTGTTCATGTCCAAATCCATATCATCTCCGTTTTCTGGTAGCTTATTCTGTTGTATTGATTCATTTTTATCATCTACCGCCTTCTGAGCATTATTGTTATTCGCCACTTTATCCACAACTTGATTGCCAGTATCTAGGTCTTCAATATTGAAATCATCAAACACACTGTTATCAACTTTATTGGTATCCTCCAAGGGCATATTCATATTCAAATTGTCGTAATTCATGGAAGATAAAAAGTCGTTTTGGTCATCAATGTTAGCTCTGTCATCGTTTTGTCCTAAGTCATCCATATTGAAATCCATCAAATCATCAAAGTTTTCAAAATGTTCCAGCGCTTGGTTCGCAGACTGTAGTTGTTCCCGTTGCAGCTGCTCCTCTTTTCTGGCTTTTTCTTCCGCCTCTCTCTTTTCTCTCTCCTCTTTCTCCCTTTTTTCCAACTCCTCCTTTCGTTGTCGTTCAATCTCAATAGCCTCTTTTTCCGCCTGGGCTCTTGCTTCTGCCTCTGCTTTTGATCTAGCTTCCGCTTCTAGTTTTGCCTTTGCTGCCGCCTCTTCCTCTGCTCGTTTCTTGGCCTCCATTTCTTCTTTCAACCGCTTCGCCTCAGCCTCTCGTTTCTGCCTCTCAAGCTCTTCTTTGATCTTCATCTCTTCCTGCCTTTGTTTGTTCTCTATCATCGTATCAATACACCATTTTGCATCATTAAACTTGAAAATCGTTTCGTCAAGTATCGAATCGAATTCATTAATGTGATTTGTGAGTTGCTTAATAATTGTCGGTTGTATTAGTTGATTATTGGGGCCTGTTATCAAGGCACTTTGCTTTTTGTTATTATTAATTACTTCGAATATGAAACCCGCTGTTTTAAGTACTTCATAGAGGGAGTTTTCTAGTTTAGTTTGTAGGTTGGCAGACATAGTAAGGTTGTGTTTATTCGATGATATACCTTATGGTTCATTCCAGCTGTTCAGTCTCAAGTTATTTTTTTTTTTGCTTTGTTTCCGAAACAAGCAGGGAAGAGCATACAACAAGTTATTCGTTCAACAATCATCATTTTAAAAAACAACAGCTTTTTGATGGTATGCACTAGGCTTTCTCAATTGTGAAAAAAATTGTGAAAATGTGCTAAATGACGTTGCTAGATAATACAAGTTGGAGAAGTTTTGAAATGCCATGCAACAACTTATCTAGAATGTGGTAGCGCTTTTCTTATCTCCAAATGTCGGTCGCATTTGCAATTCACAATCAGTAAGTTTCACGAGGTGACATAAACATGTTCTTTAAAAGTAATTCTTGGAGAAGTCCACTGGCTTGATACACAGTGTTAAACGAGTAATAAAAGTTTTTCTCAACCTTTTTCAAAGTTTTTGCAACAAATCACGCAAAAACTACAAAGTAGTTTAAATCACACTTTTTAGTGATATCTGGTCAAAGTGTTCTTGCGTTAAAAAACTCTCTCAATACAAGGCTCCACCTAAGCTCTTCTGATCAATGTATGACAACACTGGTAACAAGCCACAGACCTAGCTGTAGTATCTCAGTTGCCGCCGTATACTCTCATTTGATTAAAAGAGCACACAACGCTACCAATTGAATTTTACAGAACGCGTAAAAAAGACCTATTGTATCGCGTTCGTTTGTGTGAAAATGTAAACAAGGTATTTCATATCCAAGCAGAATATATCGCCATTGAGCAAAGAGACTTTTCATCACCATCACTTCTATTGGACCTAGCATATACTTGTTTTTCAGCAGTCAGGTTTCAACACATTCTTTTAACATTACATTCGCTTACGATTTGCTCGTTCACATTCTTTTTCCCATGCTCAACACTGCGTTAATATCAAATGATGGTCCATTGGGTGATATTTGGCTCGCTGCCAACTATGACAAGAAATTGACAAAACACCAGCTTCTCAATACAAATATCGTTGAGTCGGCAAAGTACATCACCAATCGTACTCACCACATCGGCAATCAAACTGAGGACAGTAACATTTCAACAGACATGGATGCTATAACATTACGTTTATCGGGTCAATTGCTATTAGGGGTAACGAAAATTTACTCAAGAAAGACAAAATATTTGCTAGATGATATCAATGACGTCTTGTACAAACTTAGAGCTGTATTTAGAATGTCAAGTGGTGTCCAATTGGGACCCGACGGAGGAGTATCGACTAAAGTCAACTTGCCACCACAACAAACTACAATAGCTGACTTGAACACAATTACATTAAAGGATCAAGTTACTGGTTTTGACTTGTTGTGGCAGGAGAATTTGCAACTCGAAGAAGAGCCGATCAATCCAATGGACACAGTCTTCAACAATGATAACGATAGTCTGAGATTGGACACGTCTGTGGGATCCATTGAATATGGTAGATTGGAAGATAGGCATGGCGGTGATGATATTGCTGACGATGAGGATATCAACTTGGATTTTGATTTGAACTTAGACGACGGTGGACAAAGTTTTGCAGGCTCAATTGAACTTGGACGAAATGCATCCAATGCAGGAGACGAAATTCACAACTCGGTATTGGAAGGACACCACCACAAATCGAACAATATTTTTGAATTGGATTTGGGCCAACCATTGCAGAATATCGACGATTTTGACATCAATTTCGACGACGGTTACATGTCATCTTCCAGCATTGCTCACAACGAACAACCACCAGCTGAAAATCAATCCGAGGCAACTCAATCAAGGGCAAGACAGAGACAAAGACAACGGAGAACTAGAATAACAGACGATGGACAAATGGTGGTTGTAAACAAAAAATTGGTGGTGGATTCATCAGATCACTTGCAATTATCATTGGACACTTTAAGGGAGAATCAACATAATGCATTAACTCACACAGTACAACCAAACAGCACAAAGATGTCAAACAATGACAAATTACTACTAATTCAACAAATGTCCCTCCCAGCAGCATCAAAGAAGAGAAAGTTGTGGGACTTTAGCACCGACTTCCATTTCAGAATACCACTAGCAAAAGACGACAGTGATGATGAAGGGGAACACGAGAACTCGACTGATGACAGTGATGATAGTATTGACAACTCGTTGGATGATATCAGCATGTCCGATAATGAAAGCGAAAAGGGGAAAACTACAAAATCGCGCAAGGTGGATGATGATGACAAAGAAGAAGAAGAAGATGATGATGATGAAGAAGAAGAATCAGTCGATGAGTCCTTTTGTAGCGATGGCGTTGAAAATGTTGCAAAGAGCACAAAGCAAGCTGCAGATGAATTACAAGACTTGTTCAGATTGGATGCAACTGTAACGTTTGAGGATTTTGTGAAAAGTGATACCACTGCGGTGAGACCTTTAGGGTTAAAAAATAAGGAATACGTGAACCACAAGAGAGAGGCATCGAGATGCTTCTTTGAACTATTGGTTCTTGCTACAAATGACTGTATCAACTTGCATCAGGAATCTTCAAACTTGAATATCCAAAGAGACCTTCATATCACATCTAGAGACAGTTTATTTAGTTTCGTATAATTATAAACCTTTATCAAAGTAATTTTCAGACATTTGCCATTGATGATCCACGTTGATAGAATGGAGTGAAAACTGCCTCTCCTTCATAACCAATATGTCATTTGATTCAGTGAATTTGACACTGAGAATAGGGTCGATATCTTCCACTATTCTCAACAATGGCGAATACAACCTTCTAGAAACGTCCCAAAGATCCACAAAATACTTTCGCTTTATCGATCCCACGGTAACAAATTGATAGTCAACAAGCGGTCGTTGTGAAACATAACTCACCACATATGTCGTTGGTAAAACTTTAAATGGTGCCACTTGCCCTTCTTTCCACAATCGCAACTTCCAGTCCGAGTGAGCAGTAATGACTAGTCCCTTACCAATGTAATCTAAGGCATTAATCACGAGACTATTTTCATCTTCATGAATCATGTTCAACTGTTCATCATAAAGCTTCCCATCGAGTCCAGCAAGAACCATTTTCAACATACTTTTGTTGATTTCCCCAATCAATGCGTCACTACCGAGATACACGGCATCTTTCACCCATACATCATTAGCCTCATCATCACCTAACTTGACAGAGTATTTCGGGCGACTCAAAAGATTGCTCGACCAAATGTTCAAAATACAATCCTTGGACACAGTCAAAACACATTCATTGGTATCAACTTTTATTTGCTCGAGTAAAACTAATTCACTCCAATGAGGTAGCCACTCTTTTTTAATTGTTAAGAAACAAGGAGGAGTTGTCAATGTTGGTGATTGCATCAATGAGGCCGGCTCAGTCTCCCAGATACATACCCCACCATTATTAGAGCTGCCAATTATACGATTGGAATTGTTGACGTCAAACCTTACTTTGACGATAACAGGAACGCACGTTAGATAATTTACTGGAATCAATTTTCCCTCAACGACATCGAAAATAACCGCGTCATGGTTCCCTGCCGTTGATTTTGCAAAGCTAATCGCTAACTGATTGCTTTTATGGGGTGAAACATCAATATCAGTCATTTGTCTATCGAGTTTGAACGAGTGCGATTTGAGAATAAAAGCTGAGTTAGCTTTAGATTCCACTTTGACGTCATTTAAATTGATTGTCTCGTTGATTTGTAGTTGGTTGACAAGCTTAATTGATTTTATCAATGCATCATTCAATTCAAGAGTGGATACCTCTTTATTGGAGGGTGGTAGGGCTGGAGTTGTTTTTGGAAGTGTTTTGTCACCCATTCCACCTTCATCCCCTTCCTCAATTCCATACACTTGAATCGCAACATCAAATCTCGTTAGCTGTTTATTATCCGAATGCAGTTGGGTGTCCCGCGATGGCGCAACTGTCGGCGGGACATGCTTTGCATCATCAAACTCTATAGTAGTTTGCGTCGCAACATCGACTCTAGCCGCCCTTGGCCTCGGTATGTCAACTACTGATGTAGCCTGCCCGCTCCTTCTCAGTTTGAGCTCCTGTAATCTCTTCCTCTTTTGCTCTAGCAATTGCTGTCTTTCCTCAGACATATTGCAGGAGTTGAGTTGTACAAAACGCGTCAATGTTTTTGAGAATTTCCAAAAGTTTTTCAATACCTCTCCATTTACACACAACACTGATCTGTCATCATGGACATTGACGACATCTTGCGAGAGTTCGAAGAGTCCTCTACCAAGAGATTTGAAACAGCTACATCAAACATATGCCAAGACCTTATAACTGCGGCTATGAATGAAAGAATGGCCCCTGAACTTTTACCATACAAGGCATCCTTGATGAATACAATTTTGACACATATTTCAAATCAGCAACAGTACTTGCTAGACAGTCATGAATATGGAGAGATGAATAGCGCAAACGGTATCATATCCAGTGATTTCAAATTACAGTTGATGATCATTGAAACTGATGTTGAGAGGTTGAGCTACATTGTTCGATTGTACTTGCGTACAAGACTATCAAAAATAAACAAGTTTACTATTTTTTACATCAACAAGTCCAACAAAGAAGATGATGGAGATGATTTATTATCAGCGGAAGAGAAGGATTATATTCATCAATATTACTTGTTATTGACACTGTTATATAACAATTGTTTCCTCAAGAAGCTACCGCAAATTTTAACTTACTTGGATGACAACAGTGGAGGGCAGAATATGATTGTTGCTCCTGATATTGACCAGTTTGTGTTTGTTAAATGCCTTTCCGAAACACCAGTACTACTTCACTTAGAGGACGACGAGTTGGAGTTGGTGAAAAACGGTGTTTATGTGGTCAAATACAGTTCGGTAAAACAATATCTAGAGATTGGCGATTTAGTTCTAATATAGAAACCTAAAGAACCTTGAAATCACATCCGCCTGGGCATTCAAGATTTTCTCCTTCCACGAACCACTCCTTCAAGCAACCATAATGTCCACGATGACCACACTTTAAACTCACAAGAACAACGAGGCCCTTGCTAGGTTCATTGCAATATATACAATTTGACTGTTTTCTGTGACACGTGTCGCAGTACCAGTATCCAAATTCGCCTTTGCCATTGTGTTTTGATTCTTCATTGACCAACAACTTGGAACAAGACGAACAGTATAGCCTAATCAAATCTGATGTATACTGCTTCATTAGATTCAGCTGTATCTCAACAGGTGCAGAGTTTATCACCTTTGTAGCGTCAACAGATAATCGTTTTCTTTGTAAAATCTCAATATACATCAGGAGCCAGTCCAAACACTCTTCCTTTGAAACAACCATTGTGAGATTAAAGAATAAAACGCCAGCAATGGCGCAAAATATAACATCACCTTGTAGTTGGGCGTAGTCAAGTGATTTTCTTAGCAAGTTTGTAAAACTCCAAGCTTGTAGATCTTCAGAGGATACAGTAGTGGGAAAACGGGAGTGTTGGAGTTTGTGATCGTCTTTTGCACCCTCCCCAAAAAGTTGCTCTTGCGCCTGCGGCCCCTGTGGTTGTATATTTCGCAAAGATCTTGACAGTGACACAACGCTAGCATGTGTATTGCTCGATCCCAATGAGTTTGGACTAGATGTAGGGAAAGCAGCACTCATCAAGTCTACGTTTTCTTTTTGAAACTCGGTCATTTGATTTTCAGAATTGATCAGAATTGGCCTGGATTTTGCGTGCTGACTAAAAGGTTCATTGTGGATATTGGTTAGTCGCGTGAAGCTGCTTGCACGACTATTCTTGCCCGGAGAAGCCATGTGAAGAGAAGCACCGTCACTTGTTTGCTTTCCCAAATTTCTCCCGAAATTGGTGGTGTGAGTGGAGTTTGAATTGAAGGAGCCAACTACGTTACCCAAATCAGACTGGATAGATTGTTCAACATGTGACAGCGAGTTTGTACATTCAAGAGGATGCACTAATGCTTCACTTGGCTCTTCCAAAAATTGACCTGCATTCCCAACCAACTCAGATGGAAGAGTGTAAGCAAGCATTCTCCATACTTGGCATGTCCGATGGAGTCCAACTCTCTCTGCAACATTTGCATTAAACAAACAAACGTCAAATATTCCAAACCCATCAGGAATGGACATTAAATAGTCATTGGATAAAGTTTGAAAAATGTAATCATCGTTCAACAGCAATGTCAACGACACAGGAAGAGCATAAGGAGAATGAAAGGGAATGGATTTTTTTGATGCCTTTTTCATCTTTGCTGTAGTACCTGGTGGAGCCGATCCAAATGAAGTTGAAGACTCTTGTGATGGCGTCTTGGTAAGTACCGGTCGTCGTCCTCCAAAGGCAGACCCTGAAGAGGTGGGTGGATCAAATGAGTTCGTGTGTCTCGAGACCGGTGGTGGTGACTTTGCTCCAAGCTGCAGCATTGGATTATACGAGTACGACCGGATTAGCGAGGGCTTTTCAACAGGAGAAGCTGCAAGTGAATTCGCCAGTAGTTCAGCATCATCATTATCGTTAAAATGGCTCCGCTCGTCTCCCAGATCATAAAATTCAATACCAGATTCGTCACCTACGCCAAATTGATGCTTGTCTTGATTGACCATCATGAAATCGTTGTTGGTATCCCAAGTCATGGCAACACTATTTAAATCATCCAATGGACGATTTACATCAACATCACCGTGCAGGTCTAAATTGTAGGTGGTAAACACATTGGCTTTGGTCAATGCCCAAATTTTGTGACAATGTTCCCCATTTTGAGCCCACACAAAGTTGGATACAGGTTTTTGCTCATAGGAATTGACAATACGTTTAGGAATAAATTTTCTGTCCAAGTTGAACGTGGTAATTGTTGGGTCATCATTGAGGTACAGACAAGCAATATCATAATTGGATAATTGCGTTGCATTTCTATCATCAAAGTCACCTCTTTTGTAATTTGCGTAGTGACTCCATCGCACTTTTAAGATTGACCCATACGTATTGATCATGCACTCCGGAGATGTTCTTGTAGATGACTGCGAGTCACTGTAGTTGAAAATGCAGATTTTTTGGTCCCTACCACCAGTGGCAACAAACTCCTTCTCTGGGTGTATACTCAAGGACAAAACAGGTCCCGAATGCAAGTTCCATTTACGATCTGGATTTTGTGGATTATTGGCTAAACTAGTTCGCAAGTCAAATTTGCACAAGGCTCCAGAATCATGGACAGACAAAATGCAAATTTTATTTCTAACCGCTGAATGATGGCTATATTGACACGCTCTGATAGGATCATTATGCAATGCTGCATGCAATGATAGCATCGGCTTTGTCACAGAAGCCCTCAAGTCCCACAACTTTATACTTCCATCCTGGGAGCCGGACACAAGCACATTTTCTGAATCAATAAAGTCAAGTGAATTGATGCATCTTTTATGATCAGAGAGTCTCGCGTGTAGTTTACTCTGACCAGATGAAGATACCTTGTAAAGCGAGATGATTCCATTTGAAAGTCCGCAGGCAACAGTGTTTGAACACGTTTTGATTGTGTTTATATTTTGTAGTTTATTCGGACTTCTCGTCGTGTAAACCGACTTGGTATCTAATAAGTTCAAGTCTTGCAATACCTTCAGTTGATCTTCATTCAAACATAATAAACGAAGATAGTTTTTTCCACCAATAACCGCATGATGTCGAAGTTCGTTTCCATTGTTGTAGTTGCTGATCTGAATGCCACAATTGAGCTGGGACAATGCTTGTGTTTCCCGTTCACAAATGAACACTGGTTTCTGGTCCAATTTATCCGTGAAATGGTTATGTCTTGAATGTCTCGAATTTAGTGAGGAGCTAGGAGAGACGGACTCGTTCGATTGAGGGGTTCCTAGTGATCCATAGATGTTGAAAGCAAATTTTGCCAACTTGTACTGTCCTTGCGAGCTTTGCGACATATGACAGAGTAATCAAGTTGGTTCCTTTGGTACCTTTTTTGCAAGCCCTATTCTCTTTTTTCTCTCTTAGTAAATCTTCCAAATTTCTCCCCCCCAACCTCATTTACAATTAAACTTCTTCAACCTACATGGTCTGGACAGTGTACGACGTAGCCAAAACCACGACTAAGCTTGGTGGTGGGATGGCTCTACTAGCATTGCTTGGTCTTTACTACTACCAGAACTCGCTCATCTACCCAGCTTCATTGAATGACGGACATGGATACTGCGCTACTCCAGATGAATATGGTATACCTTATGAGGCAATAAAACTCACAACAAGTGATGGGGAAACTCTTCAATGCTACTCCATGAAACAGGATGCGAAAAGTCCAAACTATACGAACAAAACAGTACTCATACTTTCCCCTAATGCAGGGAACATTGGCCACAGTTTACCCATCGCTTCAATCTTTTACAAAAAGTTCGGTTATAATGTATTTATATACAGCTACAGAGGGTACGGATATTCAACTGGTGCACCAAGTGAGGTGGGTTTGAAAAAGGATGCAGATACGGTTGTTGAATATTTGAGTCAGAATGACACCCAATATCAACAATCGTCTATTGTGTTGTATGGACGATCTTTGGGTGGTGCAGTTGCTATTTACATAGCAGCATCTAAATCATCTTCAATCGATGGTATGGTTTTGGAAAACACATTTTTGTCAATTCGAAAAACCGTTCCCCACATTTTCCCAGTTTTGAAGTATATAACCAGTTTTGTTCACCAAAAATGGGATCTGGAAACGCTACTTCCAAACATTTCACCAAAGATTCCAGTTTTGCTACTCAGTGCTCGTAGAGATGAAATCGTACCACCTCAACATATGGATGATATTTACAACTTGTTACCAAGTGATTGCAAAGAGATTGTCAAATTTGAGGATAGTTTCCACAATGATACTGTGTTGCAAGAGTCTTATTGGGACACTATTCACACATTTATCAAAGACAAAGTCAACCCTGTAGGTTTGTGAAAATCGATAGAAAAGTTATACATTACAATCAAAAAAGAAAATACAAGACACATTATTAACCCGGTTGATTTCATTTCACTCAATAGTTTTACAAAACAATTTGAGCCTCTGCACCTCTAATGTTGGAAGCGTCATGAGAGATGAATTCAACTTTTTGTTCATCTTTCAATTGCAAAATCTTCTTTAACCTCTCACCCACGGTTTTCAATTTCGATTCATCGCAATCCTTAGTCCAAATACCAATCCTGTATACCTGTTTCCTAATGTTGATGACGATTCCGTTAACTTCATCCTCGTCGTCCTCTATAGTTTCACCAATAACGGCTAACAAACCACGTAACCATAAATCATTGATGATTGGGGTGGCTTCACCCTTACGAAAAGAGTATTGCCATTTACCTCCCTTAGCATTGGCTTCATCTTCCCATTCTGGTCTAATGCCTTCTTTGAACAAATGGTAGTCTGATTTCAAAGGTAATTGGTTTGCAGGTGGAATGGAGTTATATATTCCCCAGAATTCCTCTACTGAGGAAAAAGTTATGACTGGTTTCAACAAATCATGCCAGTTTTCGGTCTTGCTAGTTTGAGGTTTTGTATACCACAAGGTCCATCTACTATTCAATGGATGTTTAGCAGTAAATTCATCTTTCGAATCGAAAACAGTTTTGTCTGATTGTTGTTTTGAATCCAAGGACAAATCTTCAGTTTTTTGAGCAAGTTCTTCAGACATAATCTATCACAATGTTAGTAAGCGTTCGGGCGTAGATATATCAACATGGAATATAGGCACACACATACAAGTTTATTATTCGAATGACGGACAGTCTCTTAAACCCAAAGAGAAAAAATTTTAATGCGAAAAAAATAAAATAGAGAAATATCAAAATTCCTCTGCAAACGAGACAAAAAGCACCAGATTTAACAACACTTGCACGACATAATGAAATGTTTCTCTTTATGAAATCTGTGGTGAAAATGAACCTCTCTATTTGAGCGTCAGCCATGAAGTATGTGGTCTGAGGCACCATCAAACTACTGTGTGATTAGTTTGAGCTGTGAGAGGTTTGAACAAGGAGGTAATCGATATTGCCACAGAAACAAGCCATGCATTTGCCACTTCTATATTCTGCCACGTCAAGATTACCTGCATGGGGCAGCACGTGTAGATGGAGGGAACCTTTGAGTAACTCTCACACTAGCTGCTAAGATGGTCCACCCTTTGCTATCTACATCTGCAAACGCAATTTAAATATTTGTAATCTCAATTCTAACTCTAAATACGTTTAAAACAATCCCAACAACACAGCGACTCCACCAACAAATCCAGCATACACATTGTATGGCATATAAGCAGCACCGTCAGGAGCAGCATTTGATATCGTAGTTTTGTCATAGGATTTAACATTTCCCACCGATCCACTCAACGAACCCATACCAACAGTTCCACTTTCAACATCATTACTATTTGCTTCTGTGTATGTAGACATGAAAGTTTGACTAAATGTCGTTGATGCCGTTGTCAATTTTCCATCAATGGTTGTGGTAACCCACACTATAGTGTTTGAACTGGTTTTGGCATCACCTCCAGCACCTCCCCCGGCACCTTGATTAGCCAAGCCATGTGTCATCAAAACAAACAGAAACAAAGACAATAGCGTGTGTAAAAGTTGCATGTTGTATGGAAATGTAGTTTGATGTATAAGCTTTTGTTTTTATAATGTTTCTTGTTTGTGACTAAAGCAAATGAATATAAGCCCCCTGCCTTGGGTATTAAATATGTGTCTAGTTTTCCTAAATGGAATCAGCGAATGAATGATGAGATACGGCCCTCGTAGACTAGTTTGCCTGCTCGAATGGTGGTATATTATTATTCCCAAGGAAGAACGTGTGATGTAAAGATTTTTAAATCGTTTTCGTCACAGCCTTCAAAACTAAAAAAAACCTCTCTCTCTCTCTCTCTTTGTTTGAAACACGCCAGATTTTGTAACAATAAAAAAGAAGGAGAGCGGCAAAAAGGGGAAACAAAATAAAACAAAATAAAACATAAAGGACGTCACGTGCAAGTGCTAGCGTAGTAAATTGTTTGCATAGAAGTAGAGAATGCTATCAAAACTCACGTAGATACTTTCTATAGCTTGATTGTTTCCCCTTCAATGCAGCGGTGGAATGTAGAGCTTGCAATGGGGCAGCTTTGTTGGCTTTGATGCTCTCGAGATTGTGTAAGGGAGTCATCACAATATTGAGCAGAACTATCAAGAAACACCTAGCAGGCAAGTACAGCACCTATCATGCTACAACTGTCCCCCGAGGACACGCTATTACATGTAGACACCAATTTGTATTGCATCATCTTTTGAAGCAAAACATTCGTGCTGCTGATGCTTCTTGTGCTGTAGTATATTTGTAGTGAGAAAAAATTGAAAAATTACTTTCCTCGATGAGCATCTTGTTCTGCACAAATTATCAATATATTTCCTTCCTCACCCCACCCATCCATGGCCAAAAAAACACTTGCCGACGAGATATCTAGATTTTATGAACCCAATAATGAGTTCGATATAGAAGACTTCGATAACGGTTCATCAAGCAAGGATGTATTTCAGCATGAAGAGAATGAATCGTCTGAAGAGGAATTGTCAGATGATGAATTAAAGAACGACCATTATGTTGCTACATCAAAATCGAAGTTACGAAGTCAACAGGGACCAAATTTGGGTCAAAAGTATACAGGAGATGTGGTGAGTAGAGATGATATTTACAACTCTTCTCAGGATAGCGGTGACGCAGAAGAGGAAGAAGAAGCAGAGGAAGAGGCGGACCAAACTTCAAGTCAAGAAGAACCAGAAGACGCAAATGAGCTCGGTGGGAATAGTGATGTTTCAGATGAAAGTAGTGCCTCACAGTCAGACTCAGACAGTGATGAATCTGGATTCGGGGAGAAAAGTCAAGGGAAACAAGCTAATGGTAAACCAACACATCAAAAGGAATTGGTGAAGCAGCTTTTGTCAAAGGAAAGATCACACTTGGTCAACAGGCTATCTCAGTCTGCAATGAACGATACATTGAAAGGATATGCCGTCAAACAGCAGCACAAGACTTATGAAAAATTGGTCGATGTGAGGATCAAGTTTCAAAAGGCAGTCAATAGTGCTAATCAACTACCGATTAATATCACTACCTATGATGAATACAAGACCGAGGAGAGTGATGGTCTACTCAACAATGCAAAACAAGCTTTGTATGGGTTATTGAAAAATGTGCTTCTGTTGAGATCACAATTGGGAAGCACAAACATCACCCCGCCTAAAAAGAGATCATTTGAAGCAATGTCAAAAGCAACTGAAACTGCCGATGGAGATTTAACAATTCAACGTGCAAGTATTTTAAATAAATGGTCTTTTAAAGTCCAAAACTCATCGGGAAACTCCGCCATGAATGCCAACAAGTTCAAGACTATCAACCAATCGTTCGAGCAACAGGTGAAGAACAACTTATCCGATATGGAAAGACTAATCAAGAGGACTAAACTAAACAGAAAGCAAGCTGTACCACTAGGCTACATTGAAGAAGCAGAAGAGAAGGTTGTCACTTCTGGCCCCCAAGATGACGACGAAGTTGGCGAAGAATTAACACCACGTAAAAAGGCACAGGGTCAAGAAAACCCCTATATATTTGATGATGAAGATTTCTATCGTGTCTTGTTGAATGACTTGGTCGATAAAAAAGTGCAATCTTCCGATCCAACATCCAACATCACCATAATCAGGTCAGCACAAAAGGCAAACAAGTTGAAGAACAATGTTGACACTAAAGCATCGAAGGGAAGAAAGTTGAGATTCCATGTGCAGGAACAAATTGCTAATTTTGAAACTTCTACTGGTGGTTGGAAGTGGAGTGATGATCAGATTGACGAGTTTTTTGCATCATTGTTAGGCCAAAAGGTGAATATGAATGAAGATGAAGTAGAGGAGGACGAGGAGGAATTTTCAGAAAGGGAAATTGAGGCGGAGTCCAATGGTATACGACTCTTTGGTTGAATAGACTTTTGTATAGAATTATAAGCAAAGTAAAAGACTCTTACATGTGTTAACTTTGACATCCCCATCCATTCTTACAAACAAGTACCAATCACTTTCTTCAACAGGTATCATCAGACAAAATAAAATAAGGTAGCGTGGGTTTTTCCACATCGACATTACGTCTCGAGCCAAATGCACTCAGAGTCATCATTGAAAACCTATTTTGTTGTAGTGATTGAAATACTTTTAATGTAATCGAACTGGATGCCTTCAAATTAGCAACACCTTCACTGTTTGCTAATTCGAAGAAAGTTTTTTCCAAACATTCAATTCAGTTAAAAGCAAAGTTCAATTGGGTGTGAAGAAAGAGGAAAAAGTGTTGTTCGTGGAAAATTTTTTTTCATTCTTAGTGTAATGCCTTTTTGTATGAGAGATGAGAGGAAAAAGTTCAATGTCGTGATTTTGATTCAATGTCGTATTTGTACGAAAACAGAACCTACTTCAAGACACTCTACTGCTACCTCCACTGCTATACCCTCCACCATCACACACCCCAAAAGACATGTCCAACGATAGCAAGTACAAGTATAGAATAGAGATACAACAGATGATGTTTGTCTCAGGGGAGTCCAACGACCCCCCAGTGGAAACGACATCATTGATTGAGGACATTGTTCGAGGTCAAGTTATTGAGATATTAGTACAAACCACCAAGACCGCCAACAGCAGAGGGTCCAAAAGTATAGCACCGGAGGATGTCATTTTCCTCATCCGCCACGATAAAGCCAAGGTCAATCGATTGCGTACCTACTTATCATGGAAAGATGTTCGAAAGAATGCAAAAGATCAAGAAGGTGGAGGTACTGAGTCATTGCTTGAAGGAGGCGCTGATGGAGTAGCCGGTGGTCTGGGTGATTCGAAACTGCAACAAAACTCAAACGACTCAAAGATGTTATCACGATACAAAAAGTCCAAAATCAGGCTTCCTTGGGAATTACAATTTATGTTTAGTGAACAGCATTTAGAGACTAATGATGATAATGAACAAGTGGACGAAGAAGAGAAAGCAGCCACTATTGCTTCTTTGAAAAGATTGAAGATGGCAGATGATAGAACGAAGAATATGACAAGGGAGGAGTACGTTCATTGGTCGGAATGTAGGCAAGCTTCTTTTACATTCAGGAAGGCAAAGCGGTTTAGAGAATGGGCAAATATGACACAACTATGTGATACAAGACCCAATGATGATGTTATTGATATATTGGGATTCTTGACATTCGAAATCGTGTGCTCTTTAACTGAGGAGGCTATGAATATAAAGAATTCCGAGGATAAGTTGAATCAAATCCAAAAGGAGAAAAACATGGAACGAGAGAAACAACCGAAAAAGAGAAAGTACTTGTTTGATAGACCCGATGAATTGGCTAGTCCCATAATGCCATATCACATAGAGGAGGCATGGAGAAGATTACAAAAAACCGACTTTAAGCATAAAGCGGGGAGATCATTTGGCGGGGGAATGGTTAAAACGCGAACTAGACTTATTTAGATGCTCTATCTTTTCTATCCTAATTGTAACGTTCCATTAAGCGTCGACTTGTGCTGGAAGTCACGATATTGTAGAAACTTTTTCAAACTCGGTTTTTCTTCATTCAAAGTTTTGGTCTCATATATGTCAAGCTGTGTTTGGAACGCTTGCCATACTCTGGTGAATGGTAACAAATCGAGAATAAACGGTGATGGCGAAATGTTGTAAATGAATGAGGTTTCCGGTATACCTGTTGTGGGTTCAACAATATCGCTACTGGAACGAGTTGCCCGCTTCTCAAAGTCTTGATAGTAGTAAATTGGTAATTTTTTGCTTCGTGAGCCGATAAATTGCTGACATTCAAATTGCAAGTCATTGAATGTAAACTTGGGAGCTGGAAGCGTTTGATTGTTTTTCGAAATCATTTGCAACTCATTTCCTATATTAAGCTCAAACGGCAAATATCCTTGAGAATCATCAACGCAGTAAATATCAATCAACTCATTGTCGCCTGCAGCTTGTGGAATTTGCGACTTGAGACAACTGTTAATGACATCTCCACATGAATTCAACTCACAGTGGAATGCCTTTTCTTCTAGGTCACTCACAACTTGTGAATTTTCATCAGCCCTTTTTCTAATCACCACCAATTGGTCCAGGCGTTTTTTGCACATAATTTCGCAACTCATTAGACACCCACGTAGATCATAATTGTGACCATTCCACATCTCATCAACAATTTGCTCAAGAATATCATCTCCAACATCAAAACCTTCCACCAAGCAACACATCCACAAGTAATCAACCACAAGTTTCCTCGAAACTATACGATCATCGATGAATATGATTGAATCGTCTTCTTGAGCAAAATCAATTAAAGTCTTTGGGATATTCCACAACTCTTCACATGTGATGATGATTGGTCGTTTGGAGACATTTATGATATCCTGCACCACCAGCCAAAACGTCTTGTCTTGTTCGAAAAGGATGTTGACATCCTCAAAAAAGATCAAGCCTGGTTTAAAGTCCTTTGTGTCATGCACAAGTTGTGTAGTTGACAACTCCTTCAAGTTGTTGTAGATATCTTTGCGACCTCTAGCCATTCCACTGTTTATCTCATGAACGTATCCATCTAGCTCTTTCATTGCTGTGTATACTGCTGTGGATTTACCAGAGCCACTCGAACCTTGTATGATAAGGAATGGCAGTGAAAATTCCTCCTCGGTGTCCTCGTAAACAATGAATGAATCTAGTCGCCTTTTCTTCAACTTTCGGTTCAAATTCTTCACGGGAGCTTGTGTCTGTATCTTCCCGAATGAGTCTTTGATCCAATTGGTTATCAACTCGATATTCTGTCTATGCATCAAAAGATCTTGAGTGCTCTTGGGTCTAAATTTATCAACCCACAATTGCTTCCCAGAATCATTGTCAAGAAGATCGAATATCGCATTGAGAGGTGCAGTCTTTTGAAGACACGGTAGCTTCTTCAAGGCATATTCCTTTTTGTTGACCTCTTTTGTTTCGTAAATGTAACATTCAGGTTCCACTTCTCTTTGCAAAGCAGGTACAGGCCCAAAATGATCTTCTAAATGCACATTTTTTCTTGCTTTAAGTTCCACTTTATCCCATGAGCCATCAAATACGTGAAATTCGCTTTTGTTCATGTAGGGGGGATTCAACTTCTTTGCCTTTTGAAGTGGAGTCATCTTGACATTCCTGCTAGCGGTCATCATTTCACTAAACAAATTCTTGCAAGACTTTCCATTGCTATTATTTCCCTTTGTCACAAAGTAGCTCACCTTGGCCAATTTTTTACGATCTACTTTCAATGTCACTTTCAAGCTGAGGGGATTGGTATTGTCACTTTTGCGCTTGAAGTTATTGAATATGTCTCGCGCCGACAACAGCTTGGCCCTAGAGAATATTCTGGACTCTAGTTCCTTGTTTGATCGACAACCCATTGGATCGCTTGACGTCTCATGATCAACTAGTTCACTCTGTAATTTTTGTAGGTGTGCTGGCGGTAATCTTATTACAACCTTCCCGTCAAACTTTTTGTTGTAGGTTGCAAGTAAATCCTTCACCGTCGTGGATTTGACTTTGGAGTAAACCATGTCTTCTAATGTCTTTGTGTTTGGAGCCACCTTTGGAACATTCTGCTCCACATGTTCCGAAATTTTTGGCACCTTTTTGTTTCCATTAAGCACAGACATTAGCATGCTAGATCCGCCCGTGTCGTTCAGGGTCATACTGGACTGTGAGGGTAATGGAAGGTTTATCGACAACGTATCCGTATTTGTAGTACTGTTATCATTTTTTTCCACTGGTTCTTCCTTTTGGCGGTTCCCATTCAATATTGACATTATCAGAACAGATTCAGTTAGTAATGCTTTCGGGTTCTGAAAAGTTTCCGATGGTTGCATAGATGCATCAACGGACTCGCAAATATTTGTGTTCTCGACAACTCTCTTAGGTCTTTGATTCCCATTTAAAAGTGAAATCAACATGTTGGGCTTGCTCTCGATGGCAGATTGTTCTTGTGAGCTTGTATGTAGTGTTGTGGACTGCTCATCTACATCAGTGATGTCGCTAGTCGTATCTTCTTCCAGTAAGCTGTTTTCCTTTTTTCTAACATCTTCCAGGCCAACGATTATCATTCAATATGCGGATACTTCCAAGCTGCAAAATGGTCTTTTGATGATATTGTAAATATTTTTCGAAACGCGTATGTGTATATACAGAGAGCGATACGCAACAAAGCGTAGCATACACAAAAACAAAGTTCACCATCATTTGATAAGGGCAAGAGCGAATTGGATGATACCAGTGAAGTCACCCTACTAGTCAATAAAACCAATTGACTAACTTTGGGAAAGCGCAGTTATATAGGGTAGTGCTAAGCATCTTGTCCATACTTCAAACCGGTAGCGCACTCCTATAAATAGTCATCGTGTGAGCCGCACTAACTAAATAATCAACATTCCACCCACCATGTCGACAAGTTTAAAAATCAACCTCAAGAAAAAAGCGGGACCCAAAAAGCTCCTTAAACAAGAGCCTACAGATGAGTCAAAGACTCTAATAGAATCGTACACGGCTACTAAAGCTAACCAGAACCAAACGGAAGAATGGGTGATAAAGCCAAAAAAGATTAGTCGTTCAATAATACAGCCACAAGAACCGAAAAAGAAGGAGTCACAGGATAAGCTACAGTACGGGGTTACCACTTTTGAAAAACCCGAGCCTGTGAGAACAACACCTGTGATTCGGAAGTTGACTTACGAATCGGATTCAGATGACGAAGAAGAAGACGATGAAAAGAAGAAGATCCCCGTTGAGGAGTTTGGTGCTGCATTTCTTCGAGGACTAGGATGGGATGGAAAGAAAGACGATCAAGACACATTTGACGAGGATGTTAAAAATCGGCAGCGAGGTGTGACATTGGGTATTGGCGCCAAGCCCATTGACAATGATCTAGCAAGGGAATTACAAAGTCAAGTAGGCGATGTACCTCTAGTGAAGCGAAGAAAAAAGCACTAGCAAGTGTTGTCAAAGTCGTCAATCGTTATCTGATTAGTTGATACTATATACATTATCTAAGCAAGCGCACCTAATCCCAAAATTAATAATTGAGTAGCAATGGCACTGGCCCAGGTTTTGGTCAGAATGATTCTTTTTTCATCATCTTTAACCATAGACATTAAGTCATCATACATATCGGCAATAATACTATCAAACATCTTTGTTTGACCTAAATGTTCAATATCTTGCAACTCAGAAGTTTTTTCAATGATTGTAGTCTTTAAAGTGATTGGCGATTTTTCTTGATTTACAAATCCAATCAACGACCGTAAATCAGATAAAGAAACGTATGGGGTTGAGTTTGCTGACATTGGTAAATTATGAGGCAAACTTGCCTGCAAGTCCCATAACTTGACCTTGACATTAACCATAACATACGATTCATTGGTAACTTCCTCAGGTTCTTTTTTAAAAGTGTGATAAATAGCACTGATGGCATCTTTTAGCAAGGACTCTTCTTGCCCATTTTCAGTATATGCATTCATACTTGAAATGTTTTTAAATAACTTGCCTATAGCTTCTCCAACTGATTGTTCACTTTCTTTGTCCTTTGGTAGAGTGATGTCAGCAATTACTTCAGCTTTGCCATTGACGATCCAGTTAAATTTCAGTCTCGAGTTTGCTCGAGCGATGTTTCCCAAATCTATGGCATCTAACTTGAATCTTATCAACTTGTCATCAGGATTGCTTTGTAAGTCCAAGCTTTGCCTCTTGTGGATGGTAAATAACGAGTTGTTAATTGCACCGCTTGCATTGTTGGCATTGAAAAAATCCAAAACTAATTGGTCGCCTCTGACTTTGGGTAAATCGCAATTAAAGATGTTGATCCGCATAGGTTCGCCATCGTTTGCGTCAACAACTTCAATTAAAGAATCATATATCTTGACGTGTTCGAGAAGGTAATCTTTGTCGACATTGAAATACTTTTTGGATGCTTGTTTTGGTTCTGTGTCTTTGGATACTTTTGCATTCAAGCCGTACAACTCGAGGTCATACACCAATCCATTACCTTCGTACCACTTGTTGAATGACAAGGTAACATTCATGGACTCGGCTTTCGCATTCACTTTGTACTCGGCATCGTCCTTTGATGTAATGGTTACATTCTTTAGTTTCAATTTACCATCTTTAAACTCTGGCAATGACCCTTTTTCAAATTGCAAATTAACGCCAAGACCATGGGATAGTATGCTTCCTGAAATGTAACCAAATATGCTATGGCGTGGTGTTTTTTCTTTGTCACTCCCAACAATATTATCCAAGTAATGGAGGGAATACATAACCATTAACCCAAATGTTGTAGTTCCTAAAATGATCCACAATAAGTTGCCCATAATCATTCCCGAGATAAATGCTGAGGATATGTCCAATTTTGAAGTCTTGTTGTCTCTAACCAAAGGCCATTTGATATTTATCCAAAGTTTACTCAAACGAGAATTGGCCTGAGCTAGCAATGTAGCTTTTGTGACTTGCTTAGTCTCATTGACTCTAATCCCTTTCTCTTGGTTGGCACCAGATGGTGTTTCATGTAACCTTCTTGACTGCGAAAGATATCGTATTCCTAAAGTATATGCCCCTCTTTGACGTAAGGGTAGCGTCGGGAATGATATGCCACGCAGACTCGGTAGACCTCTTCTGCCAATTAGTAGATTGATATTGACAAAAGCTTGCATTGCTGGAGTCGGCAAATACCTTGCTGCTCGTGTGTAAGCACTTGCTTTGTTCATGAGTTGTTGAAAACTGATGAAATGAAGTGAGATAGTACTGCCCGCCTCTTCTTTAGTGAAAAGAAGTCCCTAAGGATGCGAATAGTAAAGATATATATATATATATGTATGGGGTAAAATAAAAAGCAAAAATGAATGATTTGTCAATTAAAAAGGTAAAAAATTATCTAACCAATTAAAGTGAAAAAGTTAAAGAGAAAAGAGAAAAGAGAAAAGTACAAAAAAATAAAAAGAAATGTACATTGTATCTTTTAGGTAACGATGCATTCTTTTTTGCATTGTGTCGCATTCAGTGTCGCAAAAAAACTGAGAAAATCTTAGAATCCACAACTAATGTGTTGTGAGAAGAGCAAAAAAAAAAATATAGCGATAGGTGATGAGATAGATCTAGAAGAGAAGAACACACGTATCTTACTGAGATGAGTGCACCAACAGCATTGAAAAGGGTAGAAGAACCACAAAACGTACAAGAAGTACATGACGTACCACCACAAGGAAATGAAGTGGAAAATGACGACGAAATGCTCATTGATACAGAAAATGTACCATCCCATGAGCTACAACAACAAGGTAAAGCAGATGCACAAACTGTTGAACTTGATGAGCTGGGGAAACCCAAGTTTTCAGGAGAAGCACAGTCCAATATGAAAGTCAAGTTAGAAAGCAGAAAAGTACCTGTCCCACCACATCGTATGACACCATTAAAGAATGTATGGACCAAGGTATATCCCCCATTGGTTGATCATTTGAAACTACAGGTGAGAATGAATCTCAAAACGAAAACTGTTGAATTAAAGACAAACAAATCTACGACTGACCCTGGCGCTTTACAAAAAGGAGCTGATTTCGTTAAGGCATTCACATTAGGGTTTGATGTTGATGACGCAATAGCGTTGTTGAGGTTGGATGATTTGTACATTGAGACATTTGAAATCAAGGATGTGAAAACATTGACAGGCGATCATTTGAGTAGAGCCATTGGCCGTATAGCTGGTAAGGATGGTAAGACCAAATTTGCCATTGAAAACGCTACAAGGACAAGGATAGTATTGGCAGACTCCAAGATTCATATATTGGGAGGATTTACGCATATCAGAATGGCTAGAGAAGCGGTAGTGTCGTTAATTTTAGGTTCGCCGCCAGGTAAGGTGTATGGAAATTTGAGAACAGTTGCAAGTAGGATGAAGGAAAGGTATTAAATGTGTAAACTATACAGCTATTTCTTCTAATAAATCTTTAGTTAAATCATCTTCGACTCCATTTTGTGCCAATGATGGTAATAGTTTTTCCAACTCTAACTCCAATTTCATGGCGTATGCATCTTCTCCGTCTTGATAGTATGACTTTTCAATCAGTTGCACTTCAAATTGTAATGAATCTCTATACAAGTGCAATGCGGCTCTATTGGATTTCCGTACATGTAAGGAAACATACTTGGCATCAAACAGCTGACACATGGCATATAATGATTGACGCATCAATTTCTCAGCTATTCCCATTCGACGATACGTTCTCATAACTGATAATGAAGTGATATGGCCGTGAGGCGTTTTGTCCTCAGCCTCTGGGTCATCCTCCATCTTCCCAAGAACATATCCAACAACTTTTTCCTCTTGTCCTTCAGAATGTATGGTACTCGTTGTGGCAACAAATGAAGCTTGTGGCCAACTAAGAATATGATACATGTAGTACTTTAGTTGATAGTTTTCGGGGAGATTGTGTAAGTTAGCATTTTGCATAGCCTGAACATCCTCAATCGTGGCTTGACGTATGGTAATCCCCATGGCTGATGGTGTTGCTGGAGTACACTTTCAATCGCTGCAAAATCAACAATTTTTTTCATTTTTTTTTTTTCAGCGACCAATCGGTATCTACAGGGTCACCAACGGAATTGTACATGAGTAGAAGATTCACGAGATTCTACAATTGGCCTAGGTGATAATAATTCATCTACCAAAGCAAACCATTACGTTCGTTCTTTCATGGTTATCTCTATCATCAACTATTCTATAACTCCATCAACTACGACCGCAAATTCTCTCTGGTTACCACCAGTTGGTCAAATTTGATCAAAAACACCGTCCTTAATGGATTTTGCTCTGATTCAGCATTATGTGCCGTTACATTAGCACTAAACCCACTGCTGTCCAATGCCCCTTCAATTATACCAGCAACAAATGCTGAGCAATTCAAATCACCATAATCACTCGGTACACTGATAAATCGATTCAACATCGGTACATTCTCGATAATCATATATTCATTAGCAATATTTTGAGATTTCTCCAATTCGTTGGCTACTTTACCAAATATGGTTTTCCAAAAAGGTCCATGAATGAATTGTAAGATACCGATAATTTTAATCTCACGTTTGTTTAACTTGAACCCTTCTTTTATTTTGACAAGTTCAAGGTACCGCTGCCCTATTTGATATCCTAAACCATTCAATCGGTTCTCTAGATCTTGTATATTCTTTGATTGTTTCCTCTCCCAGTCAACAATCTCACAAAACAAGAATGACAACGACGATAGATTGATGATGTCGGATTTCTTGGTTATGATGTTTACTCCGTTCAACACTTGCGATCGTTTATTGAGTCCTGGGGCTGGCTGTGTGGTGTTGTGGGACATGATTGTGGTGGATTAGGTGGGATAAACGGGATTTAGATCAAATCGCGATTTTGATGGAAATTTTTGATTTTGACGATCTACGAGGAATGTACCACTCGCCCGTCTAGAGCTGCTGGATCAACTACTATAACTTTCTGCTTTTGCATGATCGAGACTGTTATTCTTTAAGCGTGCGTTTCTAGGCGATTTTAGGACCACTTGTCAAAACTACGATCAGTTTTGCAACATATTTAGCGGAAGGGTCAAACTACAGGGGGCAAAGATCAAGTGGCTGTACACACTCCAATGGCACGATCAAAAAGACTCACGTTACATCAAATATACAGTGATGATGTACCACCGTTAGCTGATTCGACATGGCAACAACTACCTAAACCCAAGCACAAATCACAGAGGCAATTGAAGGCAAAAGCACACAATGCAATAGAAGTGTTTAGAGGTAAACATGCTGGGTTAATGGAAGAGCGACCCGTAAGGGCCATGCCAATGTCACAAATCGAGAATCCCACAATACCATCAGTGCAAACAATTGACCATCCTGTAGTACCATCCCCGACTCCAGTGGCGACACTTCGAGCAACCAGGCTTCCGACTATAAGAACTCTATTGAGCAAAGTCGGTGAAACTCATCCAATAACCACAGCTCAAAGTGTGTTTGATATGTGCAGCTTCTACAACAAGCCTTACTCTTTGGTTTCTGAATTCAAAGGATACATTCCAGGCAATCAGCAGTTGAGTAGATCGCAATTCAAAAGCGTTTTTGAGGCGCAACATTGTATTGCCGAACAGACCTATCCAAGTGAAGACGTGAAAAAGGTTGCGATTGAGTCCTTGCTCAATAGCGAAGGGGAGATAAGTCCAATAGATCATGCACTTACGTATTTACGAGAAGCTACTGATATCGTTTGTGAGAGTTTTGGTGCACAGTATGATCCGCCGAATAACTATGAACAGAGCTATCGAAGCGACAGTGCCCAGAGCAATACCCAAAGACGCCAATTGCCCGTGAGTCATCACCATCATAGAACGACGGCCAGAGAAACACGGCATCCTGACGCCGTATTTGATGCAATGGATTTGCTTCATTGTGAAAAACCACTCTACTTGCATTAACAAAAGATGTGACTTCAATTCTATTAAATTGATTTCTCCCCTTAATCCTTACATAAAGTCATCATCATCCAAATCGTCTAAATCACCGCCCATGTCATCGAAATCATCCTTTTTGAAACCTCCCACATTTGGTCTAGCTGCAGGTTTGGCTTTCTTCTTTCCTGCTCCACCACTAGCAGTTCCTCCAGTTTTCTTCAATCTTGCTAATCTTTCTTGTCTCTCCTTATCTTTTATAATCACATTCAATGTACTGATAACTTTCCTTGTATTTTCAACGGATAATGGTTGGGTTAAATCTCTAATCAAGTCAATTGCCAAGCTTGATGCATACAAGAGGGAACTATCTTCGTTCAAAGAGGTCAATGCGGTACCAACGGCCTTTCTCAATTTCTCGTACTCTTGTTTATTCGTTGGTTGGAATAAAGGATGATCTTCCAATGGGGTATCTTTAGTCAACACTGGCTTTCTTGAAGCTGCTTCTGCTTCCGCCCTTCTCGCTTTTTCTCTAGGATGTTCATTAATATCGAAATCATCATCGTCGTTGTCGTCATCAGCAGCAACACCAAGACCTCCAAAAAGATCAGCAGCATTGTTCAAATCAGCAGACAATTCAGCCTTCCTTAAAAGCTCCTTCTTACTTTTCTCATCCAAATTATCAAACTTTTCCATTTCTTTTCTCTTTTGCTCTTTCTTTCTCTTGGTTTCTTCTTCTTTAGCCTTTTGCTCAGCTTTTGCTTTTGCTTGAGCTTCCTTTTCGGCTTTCTTCTTCTTTGCCTCTTCCTCTGGATCAACGTCCCAACTTTCTAAAAGTGGATCATCATCTTCCTCATCTTCCCATGATGCAGCAGTTTTGCTATTTGTTGGAATATCGAAATCTTCGTCGTCCCAGGCCATTGTTGTTAGCGCTTCTCTATACTGATGTAGTTAATCCGTTTCGGTGTGTCGTACTAAAAAAAAAAAAAAAATTTTGTTCTGCAATTGAATCTGGCATTACGCGGCGTGAAGATATATCTCCCTTTCATTTGCAATTTTTCTTTTTGCCATGACGATTGAAATTTCGAAAGATGTGAGGATCCCCGGGGTTGGCAGTCATGAGGAGTTTGAGAAGTGGATTGCGGGTCAGCACATAACGGGGGATGTTTCCGTTGGTGAGAGTTTCGGGGTTGGTTTATTCTACAAAGGCCAAACCAACGACATAGCCGAGGATTCAATTGTCCTTCGAGTTCCTTCCCTGTCGGCTCTCAATATGGACACGTTGTTGGACCTTCTTGGGGAGTTGAAATTGAGGGACAAGGAGCTGCATGTGTCACTAAAGGAGTCCGAATTGATCATCAAGTTCCTTGAGATACTTAATCCAGGGACAGAGACAATTATTTTGTTGGCATATCTTTTGGCGTTTGAGTTCTTGAGACAAACAGGTGATAGAACGTCCGTATATTACTCGACATCGCCATTGAGGACGTGGGATACATATTTGGATATCCTTTTGCTGACAAAGGTGTTTCTGTTTGATGTCAGCAATGATAATCCATATGCATCCAGTTTTGTCGAATTGCGTGGAATAGTGTTAGCAGAGTATGAGGCTTTCATTGCAGAAGCAAAAGAGAAGCTTCCCAATGTCAATGTTGCCAACAGAATATCTTTTGATAAATTTTTCCAGCTATTCCTCGCTGTAAGATCAAGGTCACTAGAGGTTCCAAAAGAGGTTGAAGGAGGAAACCCTGATTCAGAGTTCCAAACAGATGTCACTTTAGTCCCTGTGTTGGATTTCGCAAACCATAATCGTGATAATAACGCCTACTTTGATGTTGATAGAGAAAACAATGATATCGTGTTGAAGGTAAAGAAAGAGGCAATTACAAAGGAGCCATTTGAAGTCACCATTAGTTACAATCCGGTCGACACGAACCCCGAATTTTATCTTACGTATGGGTTTCGATCTGCAGCTCAATTACAGTGAAATGGACTACTCTATCCTTATACTAGTATTTATCATGAAAATAGAATATTTGATCTACGGGTACCCCCAAATCCTTTGTAGGTACATCAATGGTAAACAAGTTATTAATTAACGTTACACATTTATCTAAGCGTTTGCAGCAATTGCTTGTTTAATGGCTGATGGGTTAGCACCAATAACTTTTTGAACAACCTCTCCATTCTTGAAGAAAATCAAGGTTGGCATGGAGCTGACTTCGTATTGTTGGGCAATATCACCTGATTCATCAACATCAACTTTGACAAAGTTAACATTGGAGTATTCAGTGCTAAATTTTTCCAACAATGGAGCAATCATTTTACATGGACCACACCAAGTGGCGTAAAAATCAACGACAGTAAGACCGACGAATTTCAAAGCTTGTTGGAACTCAGCAGCAGATTTAACAACTTTAACCATTTTTGTAAATATTCGATGTGATTAATTGAAGTGCAATTGATGGCAAAGGGGAAAAGATGGGTTGAATGGAAATGGCGGTTTTTTTTATATTTGCTTCCACAGTATTGTCCTCCGTGCACGCAATATCACGAAATTAAAAAAAAAAAAAAAATTGTTCTAGAGCTACCACTCAAAAGGTTCCAAACATTAGTAAGCCGCAAAAAGAAAAAATGATGCAAGACATTAAAAAGCGAAGCATATGAATTTCAACTGACGTATATCATTACTCAGCTTTTATATTTGAATGACTTCTCTCAGATGGTGATACGTTCATGAAAGAAAACAGCTTCAAGTTTCGTAAGCACGCAATTTCATGCAATTTCTGGCAATTTTGCAGTTAGCTTACAACAAATCGATTCTAGTACTTCTCTTCTTGCTTGATAGAAAGTCGTCATTTTATGAATGGGACAATAGAGAGTCTCGATGCTCACTTCAATGGTCTTTACAGCTTTTACAACAATGATAATGTGGGTTTAATTTTTCTTGAGGACTTCTACAATTTTGTTGCAAAATTGTTGCAAAAGTTTAATCCTTGACTTTTCTAAGCTGAAACTATACATGCTAAGCCCTTTCATCAAACGGAGCAGCGCTACAAGTCAACTCAGGACCCTGTGTTATTTGCGATGGCTTGTCTGAACATATATCTTCAAATGTTTTATCGGGGTCATCCAACTTGTATGTTTTAGTCTTGTGTTTTTTCTTATGGATCAACACTGGTATCAATTTGGCGTTCTCAACAGGATAATCCCGATGTCCTACAACGTCTAAAATTGAGCCAATTAGCTCAGAATGAGAAACAAGACTCACTACTTTGTCACTTTTACTAGCTTCAAAAATATCAGTCAACACCGAAGCAGCTCTGTATTTGCGATGTTGACTGGTTTCGCGAGAGCTGTTGGACCACAATTCATCCTTTTCTGTGAAGCCGTCTTCAAAATTAACATATTCCCAATTTGCTTGAATGTAAGACTTTGGGTGGCGCTTGCTCTCCGTTTGAATACCATATGTCTCTCTGGCAAACTCCTTGATGGTTGGGGCATCACTCACTAAATCTCTCCAGACATAGTGCCAAGTTTGCAACGTTCTTCTTAATGGACTTGAATAGTAGCGATTGGGGTAGGGAAACTCCTTTGTGTTGTTGATTTGCTGCGAAAGCTCTCGGCATTGATCAACACCTTCCTGAGTCAACAAGGCGTCGGCCCATACTTGTCCCCCATAGCCATCAAGAGTTTGCCAATAACATGTCCAATCTGTAGATGGAGTATTACATTGGTGAACACCAGCGGCATGCCTGATTATGAAAAACAATTTGTTGTTTTCATCGAGTTGCTCCAAAACATCATTCCATGAGTAATCATTTTTTAACCCGAAGTTATGAGTGTAGTTGACGTTTGAGGTTGGTACATTTGTATCACTTTGATCAAAGTATTTTGATGACGACTTGAATTTTGGCAATGTGTGGGATTCTTGACTAAGAACCACCTGAGCAAACGCAACCGCAACTAAACAAATTGAAAGTGACAATTGAGTCAAATGCATCTTGCGTGTCAGTATAAAGACGTGTTGACTTGAAAAAGTATCAAATCTGTTCTTTCCCCGAGGAAATTCAACGATTTATATGTATATATGTACGACGCACGTGGGCGAATTAATTGCGCTTCATTGAGGGTTGCAACCATCAAGGTCTGCAACTTTGTCGAGAAAAAAATTCAATGTCTCATTACATGTCGCAAACTCTTACTCTCACGAAAGAATTCTAATTGGTTGGAATAGAGCTCCATGAATGGCAACCCGTTGGTCTTATTGCTAACCTACCGAAGGCATCTTCATTAACACCGATGCAGAATCAATCAAACCCTCCGATCGGGGCACGTCCTATTTGCATAAACATTTTTGTTCGAAATTTCTGACCAGCAATCTATAAAGAGAGAAATACACCCCTTGTTCTTGTTGCACAACAAATTCAATACGCATGGAATTTAAGCACGTCAATGGGCCAAGACGATTTACCCGTGTACTTCTCTTTGGCCAATACTGAGCTGGAAGTGGATCCCAACCTTTTATTCCCATCAAGTGAGCAATACTTTTGTCATGCCAACGACAAAAAGCGCCCTATCAAACGTACTTTAAATTTGCATCCAGATTTTACACCGGTTACCTGACTGAATTTGCGAAAAAGTCAAAGCAGTATACATTTACGAGAAATTGTTTTGTTCGCCCTGAATATAATTCAAGTTTGAAGATTGTGATAAAGGATCACGACAACGGAGCAAAGTCGTTTAAATTCAGGTGCACCAGCTGCCCTGCATCTTTCAAATATCCATTATTCGTCTGCCAAGACCGTTTTACGGTATCATTGAGAATGACAAGAATGATTCGTTTTCAAAATTGTGCAATGAGATAAGAAATGGAGTGTTGAAGGGACAAATTGAGGAAAAAATTAGCGAACAGACAAGAAGAAACTTGGAGCTAATGAACAAAGGAACAAGACAGGAGAAAGACGTAATCTTTATGAAGAAGTACCCATTCCCAAAGCGATTAACAATGAAGAAATCCATCTACTGCGTCAAGTGCAGCTCCAAATTGTCTACTGAATAGGCACAAACCAAATCGAAATTTCGAGAATGCGCATTGGCGCAAAGCACGACTGCACTTGGTTGAATGACCACATTCACTACTACTCACAGAGTGACTAACAACATAGTCAATCCTCCCATCTAGCACTTGCATGATGGTGGCATCGCAATACCGAGCAATCACCATAGTGTTTCCGTATCATGAACCCGTTCCAACTGTTCAACAACGCATACTCGACTTTGTGTAACGCATATAATCCGAGATATTATATTTGTATGCAGGAAAAGTACACTCCGCGTTGAAAATTATTACTCCGCGTAATAACCTTTTGCTGCACAAATATCGCTCACAGATATTACCGCAAACTATTCTATGCAATTCCACTCGGAATGAGCGATATGCTCGATATCAATTGCGGTTTCAAAGTGAATATAAATAGGTGAGGAAATCCTTTTTTCTTAGTGACAATTCCATCATCTATATCGGAATCATCTCCTATAATCACAAACACACACTTAACAGACAATCAATCGAAAATGGCTAGACCAAAGGTTTTATTAGTTCTTTACGCTGGTGGTAAACACGCTCAAGAAGAAAAGAAATTATTGGGTGCAATTGAAAACGAATTGGGCATCCGTCAATTCATCGAAGACCACGGTTACGACTTGGTTGCAACTACTGACAAAGACAGACCAGGTTCTGCTTTTGACACCAACTTGGAAGATGCTGAAATTGTCATCACTACTCCATTTTATCCAGCATACTTGACCAAGGAAAGAATTGCCAAGGCACCAAAATTGAAGATTGCCGTTACTGCCGGTGTTGGTTCTGACCATGTTGACTTGAATGCCGCCAACGAAAGAGGCATTGCCGTTTTGGAAGTCACTGGATCCAACGTTCAATCAGTTGCTGAACACGCCGTCATGACCATGCTTGTTTTGATTAGAAACTACAACATTGGTCACTTGCAAGCTACATCTGGTGGTTGGGATGTTGCCGCTGTTGCCAAACAAGAGTATGACTTGGAGGGTAAAGTTGTTGCCACTGTTGGTGCTGGTAGAATCGGTTACCGTATCTTGGAGAGATTGGTGCCATTCAATGTCAAGAAGTTGTTGTATTACGACTACCAACCATTGCCAGCTGAAGCTGAAGAGAAATTGAACAAGGCATCCAAATTGTACAACGATGTTGACACCATTGTTGAAAGAGTTGAAAGCTTGGAAGATTTGGTTGCTCAAGCTGATATTGTCACCATCAACTGTCCATTGCACGAAAAGACCAAAGGTTTGTTCAATAAGGAATTGATTTCAAAGATGAAGAAAGGTGCTTACATTGTTGACACTGCTAGAGGTGCCATTTGTGATGCTGATGCTGTTGCTGAAGCTTTGGAATCTGGTCATCTTGCCGGTTACGGTGGTGATGTTTGGAACGTCCAGCCTGCACCAAAGGACCACCCATGGAGAAAGATGCACAACCCATACGGTCCAGAATATGGTAATGCCATGACCATCCATGTTTCAGGTACTTCATTGGATGCTCAAGCTAGATACGCTGCTGGTGTTAAACAAATCTTGACCCAATACTTTGACAAGACTTACAAATACAGACCACAAGATGTCATTTGTATTGATGGTCACTATGCTACCAAAGCTTACGGTCAACGTGATGCCAACAACAAAGAAAAGTAGATACTAGGCTGTTTATAGGAATTTAGTTACAGCTAAATAACTGATACAATTTTTTTCTTCAAGTAAGAAACAAAACATTAATGGCACTCACAAAAACAGATCCATCACACTTCGATTCAAGAGATGAGTAAATTCCACTAAAACCCTGTTTGAAACTGTGAAAGTATGAAACGCTAGAACAATCGAAGCTGATGCAAGTTTTCATCAACAGATAACTGAAAAAATCTTGACTCAAACCACTACCTCCTCCTCTTTTTCCCAGAGCCCCCGTTCGCTTTCAATTTTGAATCCAGTTTTGACTCTGGCAACATGATCCCGATCTTGTCTCAGGTTCTGTTTGTCGCTCAAGTTCATCAATCAACCCCCTGACTCCTTTCAATTCTGAAGCTGTAAGAATTCGAGGAGGAACGTTATCGATCATCGAAATCCAACACGAGATCAAGCTTTCCAGAGAGCATGTATTAAGATCGTAATTATCAACCCTCATAGTTGGTTTCTGCGCTTCTGCACCATTATATTCTGCTCCAATGAATTGAATCCTAGTGATAATTAACGTCCCCAAAGTGCTATGCGTCATGGATCTTAGTTTTGCAATAGAAGAAATACTTCTGGTCCTTGCGTTAAGTCTTATACAAAAATGACTGAGCTGTAGGTATTGATCGGCCAAATTTCGGTGGGAAAAGTGTGAAAACGTTCCATAAAACTTGAACGATCTCAGTACAGCTACTTCACGAAGCGCATTGGTGTCAAATGAGTCACTCAACGGTTCACAGCGAAAACACGTGAAGTGTATATGCAACTTGTGTAATCGCGAATTGCATCGATGGCCACGAGGAAATAGATCATGACCGATGACAGTTAAGGCAATCAAATTTGGTAGCGAACAGTGGAAATCTAGTTCTTTTCCTTGTTTGAGAATGAGATTGAGCGAAATTGCAGTCACATCGTAAAACCACTTTGATTTTGAATAAATAAACGTGGAGGGAGTGAACTTGGTGTCGGAGTTCAATTGAAGAAAATATTGTCTCACACACAAATTGTCATCTCTGTCATAAATATTATAATGAGGGCGGAAGTTAGTGATTTCAAAATGCCGAATTGATTTGATATGATCGAAAACAAGGCGGAAAAGTGTACAATCAAATCTGTATAGTTCAAAATGATAAACAATTGCATCACCAATCATTTCACTGATGTGGTTCATTAACGTTTCTGAAGACATTATTGTATATGAATTGGTTTTGTCGTTATTGACATCTTTATGGTATTGAAATTTTTGATGAGGGTCGTCATCTTCCAATAGGGGCTCTTCCTTCAAAGAAAATGGCTCATAAACGTGAATGTTTCGTATAACTTTGCTTTTGTGATGAGGCAAAATCTTGAATGTAAAGGAGCAAGATGCAATGCCTGGTGTTGATTTAATTGCCAAAACACAACTTGTAATACTTCACAAGGTAAATCTGATAAGCAATGCATTCGACGAAGATCGGGCAATTAACGCACTTGTGAGAAACCGACAGGACTGAATACCTTCAAGTTGATGTTGATGTGTCTCTTCTTAGCATTGCGCTTCCTCTGTTATTGTACCTCTCACGCGTGCTGAACGGTCGTCAATTGCTCTTTCCTAAAGCCAAATTAGAGTCATGTCGAGCAGTGCTGCGCTAAAGTAAAGTTTAGCGTGCTTTTACCAGGAAAAAAATTATCTTGAGCGATTGATCTTGGCGTCAATTGAAGTATCATTCATTTGCTCTGGTGTACAAGTTTAGTTGAAGTGATCAAACACTTTGGCTAATTTTACTTGAAAATTTGGTAGCCTACAACACACGATAAACCACACTTTTCTTCTTTCTTCACCAATAAAGTCCGTGATGGAGCCACAAGATATACCAACGCAAGAGAAAGCTTCCTCAGAGCATGCACAGTCACCAGAAGAAACAATACGGAAAAAGTTAGAGTCCTTGCCTCACGAGCAGTTGAAGAAACTTATAAATGACCAACTAGACTTGGAAATCAGACTCAAGCACAAGGAATTGAACATGGCTGATAATGAACTCAGCAAGACCGAGTCGCAAATGTTGCTTCTACGAAAGTTTCTTGACATTCCGAACAACGATACATCGAATGCCAACAATTTGACTGTAAAATATTACGATTTATTAAGCAGGTCCTTGAATGCAACCTATGATAGGTTCAAGGAAATCCCAACAACGGGGCTAGAGTCAACCTCATTGTCCAACCCTGATACATTGAATCCACCACCTGGCCACTCATATAGAACAAGATCTACTACATCTTCCTTACGTCCATCATCCACAACTTCGCTGCCACGAGGTACAAATTTGGGATGCTTGTATCGTAGGTCGGATGGGGTAGTTGTGAGACTTACATGTCCCGATTGCCTTCGAAATAACTTTTCATCAGCACAAGGGTTCTTGAACCATAGCAGGATTGCTCACTCAAAGGAGTATACGTCACAGGATACAGCTGCAATCAAGTGCGGCGAAGTACTTCCCGATATACCACAGGATTCCGTTGGACAAAAGAGTATAAAGTCATTACAAGAAAGAGGGTTGGATCCTTCAAAACATTTGAATGTGAGTGAATTCTTATTTCAAGACGTTCTGTCGCAATCCGCATCTCAAGTGGAGACACTAGAGAAATTCGAGTTTCCCAAAAAGACTGACAAAGAACCGGACAACAAAGCTTCCGCATCTGGTAATAACGCACCTCTGAATGAACTTATGAAGAAGTTAGTTAAAGAAGGCAAAATGGAGTTGTCTGAGTATGAAAAGTTGGTGTTGGAGACTCGCAAGCCAGTCAGTAACGCACATTTGTTTGACGATGAAGATGAAAGCTACGACAGCGAGTCACCAGCCAATGAGCCCGCACTTGCATCGTCTTTGGTTAGCTCGGGTGAAAGAAAACGAAGGCAGTCAAGAGGAGGTATCAATATCGCTGTATTGAACGCCCAGACTGCAAGTGAAGAGGAACCGGTTGATAAAAAAGCTCGTGTTTAATTAGGTAGTTTTATGTCTGATATATAGGTATAGTATGGCGGAAAGAGTTAATACATATATATGGTCCTCTGCCGAATCGTCTTGCAGCTACCACACCATCTTTGAGAAGCGGAAATTTTTTTTTTTTGCAATTGGATTAGGCCTCATCGCAAGACATCAGCAAACTTCATTTTCATCGTCATGTCGGGTCCAGTGCTACATTCCAAATTCGACTCCAAGAATGCTCATCTAGCGTCTATCATATTATCCCTCGACACCCATCAAGTGCAAGTAAAGTCAGTTCACTCAACGCAAGCTTCACTTAATACATCATTCAATCTTGACAAATCAAACAAGGTTTCCAATTTAACCTGGATATCGACATCACAAGACTCGGTCGAGGTCTTGGCGTTGTGCTTGGAGAATGGAGGTATATTGATATATTCACCACATACAAATGAAATCATTTCGGAATTAACTACATCTGCTAATGTCGCAGTTGTAGATTTCCATTACTCAGTAGTGACTAAAACCGCATGGTCTTGCGATGTTCAGGGTGGAATTTACGAGTGGGATGTAATTCTGTACCGATTATTACGTTCTTTCAGGATTAGCGAGATTGTGGAGTCAGTTGAATCAATAAACAGAATTTCCAGTTGTTTATACAATTCTGAGCCCCACTTGTTACTAGCCTCCAATTCAATTTATTTATATGAAATCAAAACGAAACAAATAAGGAGAACATTTCCAGGACACATTCAACCTATAACTAGTATCGTTTCCCTTGCAAACAATATGTTTATCACTAGTGCCATAGGTGATCGATTCATGAATTTATACGAGTTGAACAAGACTACAACAAAGGCTATATTTGTTGCACATGCTGCCGTTTCAAGCTTTTGTATCGGGTCAAATCAAAATGAATCGGTTTTGGCAGCAATAGTAGAGACTGGAAGCGTGGAAGTGTTCAATGGTCCACTTTCAGATACCAATCTCCCTTCGGCGACTCCTTTAAAAAAGAAGAGAAAACAAGTTGGTGCCATCACCCATTCGTCAAATTCCACCATCAAGTTGTCCAGATCTTCTGAAGAGAGCAGAAATCCACAAGATGTAAACCTTGTTATTAACGCCATTAGTTCAGATGGTGACTCTTTATTATTCACGTGGATGGAAAGCGGCACTATTCCCTTTTTCGATTTAATAAAATGGGTAGGTTCAGGAAACTATTTGCTTGATGGAAACAAAACTATCATCAAAAACAAGGCCGATCTAAAGCAAAGTCAAAGCTCCTCGCAGTATGGGCATGACGTGGCAGCGTCCAAACTTTATAATGAGAGTCATGCTGTGGTTAATGATGGAACAAGTTTAGCGGATTTAGAAGACGAATCTGATGGAGAGACATTAGCTGAAAAATTTGATAAACTTGCAATGAATAAACAACAACCACAGCGTAAAAAGAAATTGGAGGAAAACCGAAATGGAATGTCGTTGTCTATCATATTATCACAAGCACTTCAAAACAATGATCACTCATTGTTGGAAACAGTGTTGCAAACTCGCGATCCTCAGTCGATACAAAACACTATCAGCAGGTTAAACCCCTACTCTTCGGTAATTTTGTTGGATAGACTAAGTGAAAGAATTCAACGTCAATCTTCAAGGTTTTCTCAATTGAACTATTGGCTTAAATGGATATTGGTCATACACGGCTCAGTGATTGCCAGCTTGCCAAACTTGAACCTGAAATTGTACTCATTGCACTCTGTGTTGGCTAAGAAAGCAAATACATTGCCAAGACTACTTGAACTACAGGGTAGATTGAATTTGTTATACGACCAATCGTCTTTGAAACAAGATTTGAACAAAGAAGAAGTATTTCAAGATGGTGAAGAGGAAGATGTTGCGTACATTGAAGATCTTGATGATGCGCAGTTTAACGGTGAAATCGATGTCGACATAGATGAGGTTTCATCAAGTGAAGAAAGCGACGTCGAGTTTGAAGACGAAGATGATGATGACGACGAGGAGCAAATTGCATCAATCGATGAACTAGAAAATGCAAGCGATGTTGAAGTTTAGTACATATATATATATAGATTCCACATCATAGCTTGGAAGATAGTCACATTTTAACAACTGCTCTGATACAGTCTCCCTTGTGCATAGCATCAAATGCGTCGTTGATATGGTCCAAGTCAAATCTGTCAGTGATAAACTCTTTAACCTTAAGCTTTCCCTCTAAATAATCATCTACAATTCCTGGCAATTGTGATCTTCCTTTAACACCACCGAAAGCGGCACCTTTCCAGACTCTTCCCGTAACCAATTGGAATGGTCTGGTTGAAATTTCTTTTCCAGCAGCGGCAACACCAATAATAACTGAGGTACCCCAACCTTTATGACAAGCTTCCAAAGCATCTCTCATGACATTCACGTTACCAGTACAATCAAAAGTGTAATCACAACCTCCATCGGTCATTTCAGTCAACTTTTGCACAATTGTAGTACCCTTTGGCAATTCAGTAGGATTGACGAAATCAGTGGCACCAAATTTGGTTGCCCATTCCTTTTTCTTGTTGCTGATATCAACAACAATGATTTTAGCAGCCTGTCTCTCATGACATCCTTGAACAACCGACAAACCAACACAGCCGGCACCAAAAACGGCAACATTGTCACCCTTTTGAACATTTGCAGTGATTGTTGCTGCACCGTAACCAGTGGTGACACCACAACCTAACAAACAGGCAGTGTCAAACGGAGCTTTTGGATTGATTGCCACAACCGAAATATCAGCAACAACAGTGTATTGAGAAAAAGTGGACACTCCCATAAAATGAAGAAGTGTTTTACCATTGCAAGTAAACCTTGAAGTTCCATCAGGCATAACACCCTTACCTTGAGTAGTTCTAATCTTGCTGCACAAATTGGTTTTACCGCTCTTGCACATTTTACATTCACCACATTCCGGGGTGTACAAAGCAATCACATGGTCTCCAGGCTTAACATTGGTGACACCATCACCAACTGATTCAACCACACCTGCACCTTCGTGCCCCAAAATGACCGGGAATTCACCCTCTGGATCAACACCACTCAATGTGTAAGCATCAGTGTGACAAACACCTGTGTCGTAGATCTTGATACGAACTTCATGTGCCTTTGGGGGAGCAACTTCAATAGTTTCGATACTCAATGGCTTTTCAGCTTCCCATGCAACTGCGGCTTTGCATGTGATTGTCTATGAAGAATTTTGCTGTTAGTACAACCACCAAGGTTAAAAAACCGTTGAAGCCAGGGGAAATAATTTTGTAAAAACTTTTCCCCAGGAATCATTTTTACACAATTGAGTGTTGTACATACTTTTCCTGCTGTATCTGACATTTTTTAAGAATGGTAGAGGTGGTGGGGTGTCTTTGATATATATCAATTGAATGTAGTTTTGTTAGTATGAGTGAAAAGAAGGAGAGCAATTCTGGGAAAGTATTTATAGGTTGAAAATAGCGTGAGGGCGGCGCATCTCATTACCGTTTAGGGAAAATCAACCCGTTAAGTTTATTTATTATAAATCTCTGCAAACTCCTGTCAAGACCAGATAGGGGACTCTAAACAAAACTTGATCCGAGCCATTTTATCATATATCGTTTGAGTAAGGGCAGTACGGGCGGCTTCATTTAGAGCGTTGGGTCAAGCATCGTGGTTGAGGATTTTCGTCGGTGGAGGAAATCCATGTGCACACATTCATTTCGGGGGAGCTAAAATATTCTATGAATTCAGTTTCACCCTCACAAATCACATCACTAATGGTTTTTTTAAAAACCGTGCCGTTTCGATACACCATTGTGAGACACAAGTCATCATCGTTGAAAAAGCATTTGCAAAAGGTCAAAGGCGATCCTTTCAACGACAAGAAACGGGGTGAGTTTTACAGATCCAGAGCGGCGTTTAAACTATTGGAGATTGACGAAAAGTTTCATCTTTTTAACAAAAACTGTCACAATATAGTTGACTTGGGGTTCGCACCAGGAGCATGGAGTCAAGTTGCTGTTGAAAGGCTAGGAGATAAAAACTTTACAATATTGGGTATTGACATCAACCAAGCCACTCCGTACAAGGGCTGCCATTACATACAAGGCGATGTGACTAAAACTTCAACACATACCAAGACCAAAGACTTTTTTACAGATGAAGACGGGTTGACGCAACCTCTTGATCTAATAATGAGTGACATGATGGTCAATTGCACCGGACACGACCATTACGATCACATAGGTAACATGGAACTATGCAACGCCGCTTTGATACTTGCATTCAATCAGCTACGGGCTGGTGGTAATATGGTAATGAAGGCGTGGCAAGGTTCCGAATTGAAGTTACTTGAAGCTAGAATGAAGGTCCTATTCCTTAAGCAACATGCTTTCAAACCTCACTCTAGCCGTTCAGAGTCGAGCGAGTTGTACTTCATTGGTCTTGGTAAGAGAGACTTGCAGCACAAAGTGCTACTCTCGGACCTTTTCGGTGATTTGGAAGAAGTTGGAAAGCTACAAAGGCTGGTGAGGTGACTTTATATATTCAATGAAGGTACACACTAAACTTTTACAAAACAGCACCAAACCCAAAAGTGATTTTGATAGTTCTAATATACATGTCCTCAAAATTGTCTCTAACCCTCTCCTCTTCACCAATTGGGATGCCACTAAATTTGACAACCACCTTGGTCTCCCCACTGCTTTGAATCATCTTCATGTCTAATTCAGCATAGTGGCCCTCTTTCCAATCCTGTAATCTCCACAATTCGACAATTTGCTCATTGGGCACTAGTTTCAAAAATTTTCCCAGAACCGCACCACCGAAAAACTTGTAAGTCGAACCCTCTTTAGGTGGAAACAGTTCAATTTCGGGAGGAGACCTTGTCCAGGCGGCAATTCTTGAGGCATCAAGTAAAGTTAAATAGATTTGTTCAGCCGAGGTATTGAAAGTTGGCTCAAGATGTAAGGTTGTGGTGTTGTACTTTGGAACTGAAGATTGAGACTTTGCTTGTTGTCCTGATGAAGGTTTGGCGATAGAAGCACCCTTTGATGACTCCGTTTTGGGTTGTGTCTTCGTCTCCGACTTGTTACTTTGGGTCAAGTTTGCTTTCGTAAACGTCGATGTCACTTTGTCAGCTTCCAATTGAATATCCTTGCTGTTCATTTCGATCAAATCTGGTCCAAATTGAATCAACTTCTTTCTCAATTCTGGGATCAATTTCCTCTTGATCAAATCGGTAATGCTTGAATTTTCGCTTGACTCGTTGTAGACACTGATATCAAATACCAACCCATCAGAAGAGCTGTCATATGCCAACTCCGGAATGGTTATTGACCCGTTGATATCGCCAACTTTATCGTTGGATCCCTTGAAGGTCAACACAATTCGTACATCAAACAATGATATTACCTTTCCCTTTCTTTGCGAAACGTCAACGTCACCCTCAACAGAAGAAACATTGGCAATTTCAACTTTGCTACTACCTTCCTCCACTTTCAAACCAGTCAAGTTTTCGTCAAAGTATTCCTTAGACCATGCCAAACAGTTTTTGTCAACCCAATGCCAATTATTTGGATTATTTACCACCATGTCGAGTGAGATGTGTTTGTGGGAGGATATGAAGTGCAGATTCGATATGGACCAAATATATGCTGCTTCTTCAAAAAAGTTGCATCGAAAATTCCAGAACGCGCTCTATTTGCCACAAAAACTGGCAATCCCTATTAGAGAATCAAACTTTCTTTTTGTAAAACACACATTTTCCACACTTGTAAACATTTGTCTAACACATTCCTATAGATTTCTACACAGTGGCATCGACCTCCATGTTATCGAAGGTGACAACAGTTTCTTCAATGTCGCAAATATCACGTACTTTTTGTCCCAATACCGCTGTAGTTCCTCTTGGAAACTTGTAGTCTCTGCATTTCTTTATTCTCACATTTGGCGTGATGTAATTTCTCATCAAGTGAGCATCCTTACCCACTTCCATCACACAAACATCAACATTGGAACCCGAACCCAAATCATTCCAAATACCAGCTTCGATGGCTTTTGAGCACAATTCTATGGCCTCTTCTTTAGTCATGTCCTCTTTGAAATTAGTTTCCAACACTGCCATTGCTGCTAACGAACCAGACCCTAAACTTTGATACTTTCCTACATCAGTTGATCCATGTGCTTGTACAGAAAGAAGGTGTGCTCCTGTAGGATCAACTCCAGCAACAATCAAGTACGCACCCAAGTGGCCCTGATATTTGAACAAGTGTTGTTTCAACATGGTTACTGCTGTTATCACACGTGGTTGTCTATTCTGTGACAATGCATGTAGTTCCAAGTTTGATGCAATCAATTGAGTGACCATTTCAGTATCAGCGGCGGTACCAGCACCAGCACACCATATTTTTGGTGCAAGTCTGTGCAATTTTTCACAATTCTTGTCAGCAACTATAGGTCCAGCAGTGGCTCTTGTATCAGCGGCAATCACGACACCATTTTTGAATTGGCAACCGACAATTGTCGTACCTGTGGATGTAGCTTTTGGTTGTGCAAATCCTTTGGTTGTCAAGAACTGGTTTCTCTGATAGTTTTCGAAATTCAATCCTGCCATCTTGAGGTTTGTAAAGTGAAGATGTGTGGTGAATACTGGGTCTATTCAAACGTGATTTTGCCTTCACGTTTCTGAGTGAGAACAAAAAAAAATCCAGTCGAACTTCAACAGATGGAGAGTTAGACACGACTTTTTTTCAATTTTGTTTACCAAATTTGGGATCAACCATTTGAATAAAATTTTCCAATCCAAGGAGGGCTAAGACTAGATAGGAGAAGGTCCCATTGAGAAAAACTGTCAACTATTACCATTCCTATACCGCTTTACGAGTTCATGTCTGTCAATACATGTCCAATAGATACAACTTTATCACTCCTGCCACCGTCAGGATACTATTAGTGCCTATAAATGGTTGTTCTCTACGCGACTACAACAATTACATCAATCTAATTACCTCAAGCGTGACTGATTTACGACTACTTGATCTCAAAGGCAACGCTAATTTGCATTTCTTCAATCCCGCTACATTTCCAGATGGACGAATAATACCTGAATTCACAACCACTGACGATGATCTGATATACTTGCACGAATTTGAACCATTTAGAAAAACTTTTATAGTTTTGGGAATAGGTGGGTACCGAAATGATAGCGAGCATTTGACCCATTTGAAAAAGTTATACCCAGGTGCAATTGTTCATAGTACAATTCAATTCGACGCACCTGAGTCAATGATATCTAAATCAACCGCAGATTCTTATTTTCACAATGGTACATCCACCCACTTTTCTGCAATCGAGGGTATCTTTTCAGAAATACTTGATTCTTTTTTGATTGCATTAGATGAATATGCATCAGCATATAGTAACATTTCACTACGATCACCAGTATCTATTACAGATAGTCATGTGCTTACCAAAACCATAAATCAAGCCCAGAAACGACTAAGTTCAGGATCAACGTCGTTCAGAGCATCATTCAATGGCATGCCTACGGATACGCCAAGTACACCCAAGACATCAACAACTGACAAATCTAAAACGCACACGAAATATACTGGGAGATATTTAAAATTGATGGGGAATCTATATTTATTAACAGGGAAGTATACCGACGCATTACACAGCTTCACTGAAAGCATCACCACTTTGAGAAGATTTGACGATTTTCTCTGGTTGGGAAGCGCTTTGGAAGGGTTAGCACTAAGTATATTTTTGCTTTCCTTTGTACAAGCGAACTTTCAGTTGAACCCCATGCTTGGATCATGGTTGCAAATTTCTAAATCTTCAGTCTCGATAGACCACTCTGCATCAAAACGTTCATCAGTGGAATCAAATGGATCTAGGGCAACTGTTGTATCACCAAGGCCATCGTTGACCGCATCGACTGCATTCCCCATAGGACTAACATCATCGGTCGACTTGAATACGTTGCCGGTTCCGGAAATGTTGAAAGTGTTGCTAACCAAAGCTATTTATTTCTACGGGCAGAGCACTGATGATCCCGAAAATATGGTGCCGGATGTAGTGTACATTGAGTGCATCTTGAGGAAATTGACGCTAATGATTGGATACCATTTAAGTGCCCCATTGGAGGAGATTGTTTACGGAAAGATTACCTCAGACAAAGTTGACAACACTTTTTTTCTGACTCAAGATATTCTTGCCGACGTTGACAAAATTTTTCTTCTTCAATTGATTGACTTGAACCTCTTGGACCAGTGTCATATTTATTCATACGTTGCTCATGTGTATCACAAGCTAAAGTTTTTCAGAAAAGAGGCATTTATTTTGAGATTCCATTTGATCGCGTTGGTCTCGCAATCAAAGAAATCGCATGATTCAAAGTCAATTAAGGAGCTCTTGGCTGACTTGTTTGACTTATACGATATTGGGAGTGAACCGGATGTGTCTTTTTTGCAGCTGTTGCCTTCGAAGAAAACCGTGGAGTTGTCGTTACAGCTACAAGTTTTGAAATTAGCTCTTAATTCAGCAGAGCACATCAACGATATGGAACTAGCACTCAACATTTGCTGTCTTCTGCTTGCTCGTTACTCTCACTGTATACCTGCTGAAGGACAGATAAGATTACGAAACATGATTGAGAAGATAACTAATCAATCACTGTTAACTGTACCACACTTTGACCCATTTATGGTTCGCAAGGTCAAATTTGTCTCAACTAGACAAAAAGATCATTTGATTCCATTTGTTGAAAGTGAGGCTGAATCATCCAAGCAATCATTTTTTGATCCCTATCATTTAAAAAACGACACAGTGAATTTGGATCGGATTTTGATCAAAGATGAGATTCATCAGCTTAAGATTACGTTGCATAATCCTTTTGCCTTTGAAATTGAAATCAATGATTTAGAGGTGATAAGCGAAGGCGCACAAGTTGAAACGTTGAAGCCTATGACACAACAAGTAATCCCTCTGGCACAGAGTTCACCTGCACTCAATAAATTAAGATCCAATACCAAACGCAATGCCACCACATCAAATGTCGCTCAGATAACAGGGCAAAACACAAACATTGCAACTATATCTCCCATGTCCAGCTCCACCATTGTTGTCTCTTTTAAAGTATTGAGTATGGGTGAAATGAAAATCACCGGGTTTACGATCTCGGTTGCTGGTTGTGAAAAGCAACAATTCCCGATTGTTGATAAGCTTTGCTCCACCAATGGTCTCAAACTTGTCAGTGAGCTAGATGACGACCATGTCGCTCACCCCAATTCCTTCGTCTTTGATACCCTTTACAAATATTTGAAAGGCGAGTTGAAAGATCCCCGAGTAATGTACCGCAGTTTGCCCTTAAGTGTGATCCGACCCCAACCCGTATTAAAATTAGTTAATCTTTCAATTCCTAATGGGTGCATCATGCTTTTGGAGGGAGAGCAAGTTGAGTTCGAGGTCAAGTTGATAAACGACTCATCTGAAGAGATTAACTATTTATCGTTTTCATTCTGGGATTCAGCAATCGATTTCTTGGATCGTAAATTGAGCCAACCTCATTTGAATGCATTTGAAATCTATGACTTAGAGTGGAGCTTATTAAACTTCAAATCGTTTCGAATATTGAACAAAAACATCATTGGTGAGACAATCAAACCTGGGGAAGAAGTGTCAATTCAATACTTGTTAACAAGTAGGAAATTGATGAGACAACTGAAAATTGTATTGGATTATGCTAATCGATCAAACAAGCAATCCTTCGTAAAACATTTAGATGTGCCCATTGCTGTCTCAGTTGTTCCAAGTTTGGAGGTTGTCGGGTGCGATATCATTTCTCCATTCTCTTCTGCAACATTGGAGAATGATGATTTGCCTGTTGCTATAGCGTGTGTTGCCAATTATTTAAAGAGAGTTGAAGATGTTTCACAATATTGTTTGTTGGTTTTGGATTTAAGAAACTCCTGGACTAGTGCATTGCATTGCAATTTAAAATTCCATGATTTTAAGTTACTGGACTTGATCGAGTCAAACAAAACAGCAAGATATTTCATACCGGTAAGGAAAGTTTCCAAAGTACCACAAGATCCTATACCTTCGTTACGAAAGAAGCAATTTATCAAAGACTATGATATTACCGCTGAGGAAGAGTCTCAGATGATCAAAATGTTTTGGTTGAAACAGATCATTTTGGAGAAGTTGACTGGAAGTTGGACAGTTGATGATAGACACGGGTTGTTGGATTTGAGGAGTTTGAGGTTCTCACCAAAGATGGCAAGTATTCTCATCATTAATGAAGTGGAGGTAGAAACCGCAATTGCTCTCGATGGAGAGGATTTCAAACCTGGTCGAATACAAAACCTTCAAGTTGACCAATTTTATACAATGCGGACGACAATAACCAATCACACCGACCATGAGATTAGTGGGTTCGTACGGCAATTACCTTTGCCAGCGACAACTTCTCCTGCCGCAAACTTGGCCAAACTGCTCTCAATTGAAAAGAAGATCTTGATCAATGGTGTTTTGCAGCAGAAATTCCCCACGATGGCACCACTGGACAGCATACATATAGACACAAGCTTTGTCATTCTAGAGAAGGGCGAGTACGAATGGGGAACAGTGGTTGACCTAATGACAGAGCAGTGCATAAGCAAGAATCCCTCACATATCACAGCAACCTAGCATAGAATACTATCATTATATATATACACTTTATTTAGATCTTGACACCATTTGTACAATCACTTCTTTATACTCTCAATCTTGAATGGCAATGGTTGAGCACCTTCGCTTTCTAATTTAGCAATATACCGTTGTCTAACCAAATCATTGTACCTCTTTTCCTGAAAATATTTGACCCAACTACTAACGCAGTCTCTTTCAAACTCCTTTTTGATTTCACCACATTTCTCATTTACTTTGGGTAATTCTTTGGGGTCTAATGAGTTGTCAATGTAATTTTCAGAAAGACATTGGAAAAAACGGTCCCTTTTATCCCAGCATTTGAAGCGGGCAGACTTGTCTGGTGCTATATCGACTTCCTCTCCTTTGGAAAAAAACGGCATCGTTTAAATGGTGGGTTATGAATAGTGGAGTTGTTTTATACAGATTCTGGATGAGGATGATGAGGAGGAGATTCAGGGCCCTTTTTATTTTCTCTCTTGATTCTTTGCGCGAAGTTGAGAATTATGAGAAATTGAGATTCCCGCAATTTCTATCCAGTTCTATTTCTACTTTATACGAAATCTATTTGGCTACTAACTGCATCGTGTGCTATACTGTTTTAAACACCTTCTTTATCTTGCTCAAGTCGTACCCCTCATTTAAACACAATTGTAATAGAATTCTTGCCTTTTGCGGATTCAAGTAGCCACCTGCAACAGCGTTATCAAACACTTTGCCATTGAATCGGGGTAAGCCTCCTAAAGGTACCATACCATCCATTGATCTTTTGCTGTATATAATGGGGAACCCTGGTGTAACTAGATTGTGCAAAAATTCATTAGTTTCAGCAGATAATGAACCAGCACCCATACTTGCAATTACCAAGCCCTTTGCATTCATTTCCTTCAACGACAACTCTAGGATCTTGTTGTTTAGTCCTTGATGGGCGTAAATTATTGGCACTTCAGGTAGATTAAATTGCTCGCCTAACTCGAAATAGGTCATGCCCAAAGGTTTAGCAGCAGGGAAGTAATATTTCACCTCATCATTGACGAAATTACCAATATATCCTTGTCCTACTGTTTTGAAGGTATCTAGTGAGTTTGCATTGGACTTGGTGATGTAATAACCGGCACCAATACGATCATTCAATGCGATAAGTACCCCACGTCCATGGCTCTCAGGATGAGACGCAATGACAATAGCTTGGTATAAGTTCATTGGCCCGTCTGATGAAATGGCTGTACTTGGTCTCATACTCCCACAAAATACAATTGGCTTGTCAGTATTTATAGTTGATTGAATGAAAAATGCGGTCTCTTCCATTGTATCAGTTCCATGAGTAATCACAATCCCATCGTACTTGCTCAAGTCCTCTTTGATTTGTTTATACAACTTTGCCACCTCAGGTAGTCCCATATCTTTCGAGTCAATGTTCATAACTTGTTCATACTCTAGGATACACGTTGTAGACAAATCGGGTATATGACTGAGAAGTTCTTCAATAGTGAGATCTACAGCATAGCCAGCAGTTACATTCGACGATTGAGCTTTAGATGCAATTGTTCCACCTGTTCCCAAAATCTTAATAACTGGTAATGGTTTCTCTTCTTCGGTGGTTGACGCAGAGATGATGGAGTTTGATCGGTATCTCAACTTGAAAGCATGATGATCGTACTTGGTGAAATCGGTAATTTCAACTTGTTGCGGACACGTTGTGCAACTCTCATTGACATTAGACAAAGGGACGAAGTTGGTGATTGAATTTGTCATTCTGCGTTAGACTTATGGCATGTACTACGTAGAGCCAAGCGGAGAAGACCAAAAAAAAAAAAAAAAAAATTAAGAAAAAATATCAACACTCGTCGGAGTTTATACCTACGGATGATAGATGTACATCACACGTACAATGATCAGAAAGCAAGGCTTGATGGGAACATTATTTGATGGATACTAGTGAAGCGCAAGGAAGAAGGGGGTCTTGACGAAAAGTAAGATGCAATTCGAAAACATCCAGGTGCGTGTTTATGAAGGCATTGTGGCCAGCTTCAAAGCTTTTGGGGATCACATTGATACGGGCCTCCCGAACGTAACAAGGTGAGATGAAGCAGTGTATTCTTACTTGAATAAGTGTCACCATGTGGTTGGTTGGGCCAAACTGTCCATCGGTACACACCAGTCCTCTCTACCGATTGGTTTTCAACAGCAGCTATGTTTCATTGATTTGCAGGTAACTTTTAGTTGGAAACCATCTAATTGCAAGCTTCGTGGATAAAGAGCTCATTGAAATCACATCAGCTTACCAGAATGCAAGCCTTATGGAAAACTGGTCATAATGAGAAGTTTTTATAGAGCTCCAATGATCCTACACCACTATTCGCACCACAGAGACGTTCATAAAGACAAGATGCCCACACTTGAAGTCCCTTTTCTCATACGGTCTTTGTCAAATGTTGTGCAATAGCTTCAGCATACCAAAAAAATAAAAAACAGTGCAGTGATCGAAAGTGTCAAATTAGTTTTTGATTTAGTTTTTTGCAACACAAATCCAATATCTATATCCCTTTAGCACTATCTATTCGCATTTATTATCATCAATATCAAACATAGGCACAACCAAATGACAACATCAAAAGACCCCAACGTTATTGGGGCTCACTATAAAGTCGATGGTGAAGTTCACACCAGAGTTCCTCGATTAAGACGCAATCATCGTGGTGTTCATCGAGAAATTGCTGATCGTTTACAAGACCGAGCAAATAGAACTAATGTTCATGCAGTTGATCACGATTTTAGTCAATTGTCAATCAATGAGGGTGTTGGGAATGTCAATGGTGCAGCTTCATTATCCAATTTTTATCCTTCATTGATGACTAGTAATGGTACAAGTAGCAACAACAGTAGTTTTCATGCAAGGAATGCAACTGCTCATGAACTGTTTCACCATTCATTGTGTCAAGTGAACAGTTTTAATGAGTATGGAGTTACAGGGCGGGATTTTTCGTCAATGACTTATCAACAACTGACAATTAGAGATTCAGTTAGTGATAATGGGAGGCAAACACCAAGAGGAACACCACCAGTAGCGCAAGTGCAAGCACAAGCACAAGCACAAGCAAAAACATTAGCATTAGCCCCGTTGCCAACTCAAGGAGGATCTATTGGTCAGTTTGGCGTTTCACCGGCATATTTGCAACAAATGATTCAACAAATATGCTCAGCTTTAGATATGTCGTTTTCAGATGCAAATATGAGCAAAATTATTGACAAGATAAGCAATTTGAAGACCAGTCAATCAGTTTCGTTCCAAACTCAAACTTGGCAGAATGAGCGCAACAATTTACAAAAAAAAATTGCATCTTTACAAGAATCAATTTCGGACAAGAATAACGTGATTAAAGCTCTCAATTTAGATGTACAGGACTTAAAACAAGTTGAACTGCAACAAGTTGGCAAAATTGAACTATTGGAAGCACAATTGAAGGAATCTTCATTGAATGCAGCCAAGACGATTCTGGAATTATTGGAATGCAAATCAGCGTTTGAATCATTTGAACTGGAACTGAATGGTAAATTTGAAAAACAAGAGGATAAAATTGTGCAATTGGAAACTAGTGTTGATACATTGCAAAAGGAGAATCACGAATTGAGTGAAAATTTGGACAATTGTAAATTGCAAGTGTTGAACTTGACCAATGAGAATCAAACATTATCGACCAATTTACAATCACTTGATCAATCACATAGTGATGAAAAGAGTCAATTGGAGAAGAAATTGCGTCACTTGAAGAAACAAGTTGTTGAAAAAGATTCCAAATTGGAATCACTCGTGAATCAAATTGCCACTACAAAGACTAAATGTAATCGTAAAATCACCACATTGGAAAATGAACATGGTACACTTGTCGATTCATTGAGTGTTGAGATTCAAATCTTGCGCAGAATCATAAACAAGTATTTTGAAGCTGGAAAGGGAGAAGAAGACGGAGGAAATGGAAATTATCCAGCTGGTTTGAAATCGCTTAATGGGTTACCACCACCAACAAGATCAAAATCACTATCCATTCCCAAAAATGACAACAACAACAAAAATAGTGACAACGATGCCCGCGACAACAATAACAATGTCTTGCCACCACCATCCACCAAAGACCTCGACCCAATCAACTCAGCATCCACAGCCCCACACGCTCCCACTGCATTGCCATCCCCATCATCCACCACCACGCTCTACTTGCACCAACTCTACGAAACCAGATACTTGCAAGCCCTCAAACACCAAAAAGACCTATCGGACTCAAACACAATCTACAATTCAACCGTGGCCAATTTACTCAGTATCCATCTCCACTACTTGACCAAATTCCTAACATTCGGTGGCAGTAGAGGCGCTAGCGGCTCTATTGGCTCTATTGGCTCTATTGGCCCTATTGGCTCTGGCTCTGGCTCTGGCTCTGGCTCTGGCCCTGGCGGTTCCGAACCACGTTTGGCATATTTCAAATTGTTGATTAAGGAGTACCAAACCCGCAAATTGCTAAATGGTGGTGATTTGAGCTTGATGCGTAAAATTGTTGAAGTCAATGGCGGGTTGATGGCGGAGGCTTATAAGCGGGTAAGTGAGTTGGATAAATATGTATTGTAATGGGAATGGGCAAGGATAAGGTCCCAATTTGATGCGTTTCTTCTCCACTGGAAAACTTCTTTTTTATTTAGTTTGTTTTTATATATTTTAATCTAGAGTTGGTAAATGAAAAATGCAAAGTAAGTTGATTTTGAAAACTGTAAAATATCAATAAGCTAGCTATACAAAATGAACCCTTTTCAAATATTTCTTTAAAAAAAAAAAAAAAGAAAAAAAAAAACTTGCACAATATTCAAAATTTAAAAATCTAACAATCCATTACTCACTCAACCACGTACATCGTATTTCCATCATTATGAATCCCCATAAGCCTTCTTGACTTGAGTTTCATAAGTCTTTAAAATCTTCTTTCTCTGCAACTTTTGAGCTGACGACACAAATCCATTTTCGGGAGTCCATTCATCATGAACCAAGACAATGCTTTGCAACAATTCAATACCATTCAATCCTTGAGCTTTACCAGTGGCATTCAAGCTGTTTACAAACTTGGAAACCAATTTACGGTCATCATAAGCGGTGTTGGAATCAAAGCCCAATTGGTTCAAGAAATTTTCTTGGGGCACAACAATGGCAATTGGTTTAACCTTGGTTTCATCAGCATATGCACATAAATTCATAACCAATGGGTTTGATCGATACACAGACTCCAATTTCTCCAAGGCAATGTATTCACCATTCAAGGTCTTGACAAGATTCTTTTTACGGTCAATAATCTTTAATCCACCATCAGCTTGCCATTCACCAATATCACCAGTCTTGAACCATCCATCTTCGGTAAAACCTTCACTGGTTTCCTTTTCATTCTTATAGTACAGTTTGACAACGGGACCACCTCTAATGTAAATTTCTCCTTGGTTGTTTTTAGCAAAATATCCAGCATCTTTAACATCAACCAATTTAACTGTAACTGATCCAACCAATGATCCCAATGTACCCAATTCAAAGTGTTTTGGTTCAACAAGACAACCCATGGCACAAGTTTCCGTTAAACCGTATCCCAACAACATTGGTGCAATCAATGTCGAAACAAATGTTTGTGCATCAATGGAAATTGGTGATCCACCATTCATGGTGTATCTAACACGACCACCAGTAGCTTCTCTAACCTTTTTGAAAAAAAAATTAAAAATAGATGCACCAGGAGCATGCATTTTATTCATGGTTACTTTATAATTAAATGCAGCCCAAAACAATTTTTGAGCAATAAAAGGAGCCTTGCTCAACTTGGCCAAAACTCCCTTACGCACCGACTCCCAAACGGCAGCAACACCAACCATAATTGTTGGTTTAAATTCAGCCAAATCCGGTTGACAGTTTCTGCATGAAGCTTCAGTTAAAGTCTTGACATTGGCGTATCCCAATGGTACACCCCACCACAAGGTGAGACATTCAACCACCAATTCAAAAATGTGAGCCAATGGCAAAAATGCAATAACTGAATCTCCATCTCCAACAATATCTCTACCAGCATTGGTGGAAATACCAGCCACAGCAGCCAAGATATTAGCATTGGTGATGGAAACCCCCTTTGGCGGTCCAGTTGAACCTGATGTGTACATGATACATGCCAAATCTTCAGCTGTTGGCAAGTGCAACTCTTGACTTGATTTAGCACCCAATTCAATAACTTCAGCATAGGGGATAAATTTCAAATTGGGGTTAACCTTCAACAATGCATCTTTAGCATCTTGAGCATCCTTGTAAAGTTGACCCTTTTTTCTGGTATCATTAGGGTCAATTGGTTCCGAATGAATGATAAATTTGACATTTTTAGCTTCCTTCAATGGATTAGCCAATGTTTTCAAAAGAGCATTATCAGTGAAAATTGCATCAGCATCAGTTTGAACCAACGAGTGAGTTAAACCCAGTTCACCAAGAGTATCATAAGCAGTAACAATGGGCAAATTTTGAAAAGTTGATGATAAAAATGTTTGTAACCATTTTTGCGAAGTCGAGGCATAAACCATCAATTTTGATTGTTGATTTGGTTTCAAACCCAATTCAATTAAACCCTTGGAGTAGTTTTTAATCAAAGTCAACAATTCTGGATATTTGATATAATTGTATGGTCCCATTTCGTAATAAGTCCAATCTTTAGAAATTTTCTTGGTTTCACCATCGATATTCTTGGTAATTTCCTTGGTTTCAACGTAAACTTCTTTCAAATCTCTCCAACCCATAGCATTCTTGTTTCCATTTCTCTTAAAACATTCCTCAATAAATTCTGGAATGGTGGTTCCTTTACAGTCAGCTGGACGGTCGATAGATGCCTCTTTTTGAGCTGCTCTTCTCCTTGGAGCAGTTTCATTTGGTTTAGCTTCACCAACAGCAACAGTTAACAAAGCCATTTTTTTATTGTTTTTTGTAAAGTTGTTGTAGTGGTTGCAATAGTAGTAATATCTAAATGTACTAAGTTGTGCTTAGCTTCTCTTAAAACCTCTCCAATACTAAATTGATGAGAATCTGATTGCTGTATATAAATGAAGGGAAAAGAAAAGAAAAGAAATGGCAAAAAAATGTGAATTTTGTTTTCGTTGCTTTTGCTTTTGTTTTTCCTTTTTTTGTTGGGGATGGGTGGGGGGGGGGGGGGGAAGGGTCGAGATATGAATGTGAAAAGTTAGTGTGTGTGAGTGAGTGAGTGTGTGTGTGAATGTGTGTCGTTTGTTTTTCTTTTTCAAATAAGTAAACCAACCCACACGAAGTCTTTCTTGATCTAAATCTTCTTCTTATTGATCCTTGTCCCTTTTCAAGTTTTTTAGTTTCTGAACAATCAATTGGGTACTATAGGCTCTGTGTATTTATGTATAGTTCTGCAATTGATTGTTGCTTTTTCTTTCTTTATGTGTATATATATATATATATATATATATCGTGTAGTTTAGTTTAGTGTAGTGTAGTGGGAAATGAGTCGTTTTCAGTAAAATATAGTGATGACAATGATGATTAATGAGTATTATTAAACGTGTGTCAATACTTACTTACTTTGTATATATGGTGTTTGGTGATAAAGAAAAAAGGAAAAAGGAAAAAGGAAAAAGTTTATGATGGTGTTGGATTAATTGATGGTTCTACTGTTGCCTTTATATATCTACTTATATACATATATACATATAGATATAGAACTTGTATACAAAACCACCCCCCCCCCCCATTCCCTTCTCCTCTTTTAGTTTGTCTTTGTTTGTTTGTCTCTATGTAAATCCCTTTGTCTTTTATGTTACAAACATTTTGCGTGTGACTTCAAAATTACGGGAAACTTAGTTTTATTATTATTAGTAGTAGTAGTAGTACTAGTACTAGTAGTAGTAGTAGTAGTAGTAAGTAATACTAGTAACAACAATAATAATCATAATAATTATAATAATAATAAAAAAGTGGGGGTTAGTAGTAGTAGTGGTAGTAGTACTATATTATTTTTTAGTCTTGTGTTACTTACTACTACTACTAATAGTACTACTACTACCACTACCAAGAACTATACCCAGAATAGGATATATAGCATGAAAACGGATAAAAAAAGGGAAAAGGGAAAAGGGAAAAAGAGGAACAAAAGGTTTTGTTCATGGGAAAGTTAGGGTGATACTCCTCTGGTCAGAGAGACAAAGAGAGGGGCGTATGAAGCTTCTACATCTTTGTGTTGTTGTGTTGTTTCGGATTAAGGAAAGTGATATTTCTTTCTTCTTAATAAATGTCCCTACTAAAATTCGTTTAGTCCATAATGCATAATATTACAAGAGAGAGATGAGTATTTACTTGATTAGGTTAAATTCGAGAGGAGTGTAAGGATACTTGAAGGTAAGTGAGCAACCCTCTCAAAATATCTTGTTATACATCGACTGGTGTGACTATACTGGTAGTATATATATATATATATTATTATTATTATTATTATTATTGTCTGTCTATCTTTCTCGCAACTCATTTGCAAATGACAGTGTTGACAGTGGACAAACATTGTACGATTTGTGTAAGTTTAGTGGCTTTTTACTTTTTCTCTTCTCAACAAAAAAATTTAAAAGAAAAAAAGAAAAAAAGAAAAAAAAAAAAAAAAAAATATTTTGCTTACACAAACCATTCACTGTTGAAAACAAAGAGAGCATCATTGAACCACGGTTTTATCCATGTAACTTTGATCCGAAATACAATGGTAGTAATGAGATATTGTAAGTACAAAGTTATACAAATAAAGTGATATGACTGATACCAACAAATACCTATAAACTACTTCTGTATGAGTAAGTATAACTGAGTGCATTGGGACTTCTTTCCAAAAGAAAAGACCCAAGGAATTAGCAGCTTTTTCTTAGCCTCTTGGATAGTCACACTTTCATGCCTAGAGGGCGAGAGGTGAGAGGGGGGAGGGGGCTGTAGTGAAACGAAAGGACGTTGGCTTCTCTCTTGCTACCAGTTGAAACAACACTCTCTTGTTCTTCATTGAACTTCCACCACCATCTTGTTTCCTGGTTTCTTGGTTGTTGGTATTGCTAGTATCATTTATAGTTTCATCTACTACTGAATAAACCACTTCTGATGTTTGAGCTTCTTCTCTTAGCATTCATTCTCTATGATGACATATTGATACTTCAGCGGGGAATAATACAGCTGAAAGTAAGGGGGCAAACGCAATAGATAAAAGCACAACACCGTTGATTGGTGAAGCGAAAAAAAAAAAAAAAAAAAGAGGAGATATCAAAATCAATTGGTGATGATGGAATGGAACAACCGTCTTCTCCCATCACGATACTCCTACAAGTATGGCCCTAATCCAAAATCAATCGGTCCTGGCATCTTCCTTCATAACCCATCACCACCCACGCAAGGTTATACTAATCTGATAAAAGCTGTGTTGCAAGGAACCGAGAGGGGGGGGTGTAAACTTTGGCTTCTCGCGTAAAGTAAAACTTTTGGTTTTTGTGGTGCTGAATACTGCATATAGAAAAGTATAGGTACACAAAATTGAATGAAATATATTTTTGTTGGGTAAAATATCTATATACAGGAATTGCATTTGCCTTAACTCCTATCACATTCTAGCTTTACAGATATAATGCACAACCACTTAAACATGCTTTTTAAATCCAAATGTTCTTACAAAGACACACGGCTTAAACATCCGACAAAAGCGCATCCTCTATTTCATTCAATAACTAAATCAACCACGGTTATGAAGTAGTACTAAGACCACTATAGCTGACAATCTTTTTTTTGGATCATCATGTAACTGATTGGCATCAATTCCAAAACTTTCTCGGGTTGTTGTTGTTGTTGTTGTAGCCTAGTTCGTCATTGCCCTACTTTACAAACATAGTAACAAGTAACAATTGTGTTAAATTGGATAAAAGACAATCTTCACTCAAGTGAAAACTTATTAGCCATTACCGAACATTTATCCCGACCGATGGCCGAATCTTTACGTGAAGTTCCAGTTCGAGTTACCAGTGACTAACTATTCCAAGCTGTTTGTTTTTTCTGCCCCCCCTTGATATTTCTCTCCTCGGTACAACATCTCTCTAGTGCTTTTGATAGCTTTATTGGCCACGGCATAAACAATTTTAAAAATCGAGGTGAAAAAGTAACACAAGATTCAAAAGCTACGTCTCCTGTCAATTTTCCCAGGTTTTTTTTTTTTTTTTTTTTCGTTTTTTTCGTTTTTTTCGTTTTGTTTTGTTTTGTTTTGGACAGTATTATATATCCCATCTTTGTTACATATACGCCCCTTTTCCAAAACTAATACGCAACTATCCCAGCTATTTGTCCTTACAGTTTTTAGTTCATTTTGCGTTTCCTATTTCCTTTTTTTATTAATATTTTACCTTTTTTGTTTTTTTTTTTTGTTTTTTTTTTTCGTTCGCTTCTCGTAATTCTAATTTTTGTTTCCGATTTCATCCTCGTCCCGAAACGCAAAAAGGCTTCATTCATTCAAACCTTGAGCCTCGGCATGAGCCAAATTCAAATTTACAATCTTTTCCTTTTCAAGACGACTATCAGAGTATACCCGAGGATCCTAGCTTCAATCGTGAGCTAAACAAACACTCACCACACACTCAAGAAGCAACCTCTCTTTGCAATCACCACTTTTCAAAACTACACTCCAAATTACAATAATCAATATTAGTTTACTATTAAAATTAATACACTACAGCCGCAATCTATGAACTCCCCTTCCCCCCCCCCCCCCCCCCTTGAGCTGCCTCTCCTTAAACCAATCTCTCCTCAAATCTCAACTCGTTATTAATTGGCAATCCAACCAACAATCTCAACAAATTCTCCAATGCCTGTCTCTGTTTATTCAATCCATTAATAGTCTTGAACCCTGGTCTTGATAATGGTGCTTTCAACCAATAACTCAACAACGTCAACACGGCATAGAAATCATGATACTCTTGATCAGACTCGCTCAGTTTCTTGTATTGAACCCTTTGCAAAAACTCAGTCACTACAACCAAGTCAATAATCAATGGTGTAGCCAAAAGAGAATCTTCACACACATTGTGGATGGAAATCTTGTTGTGGCCACCAAGCATCAATTCGGAATAGTATTCATCCATGGCAACTTTGGAATCACCCACAGCTGGTAAATACTTGATAACAATACAATGATCAACTTTATCACCCGACTCTTTATTGTACAAGATTTCGTTACTTTCAATCATATCATCAACAACTGATTGTTTTGAAATTTCCTTGGATCTAAATTGTTTTGGTGCTGAAAGATTGTATCCATCATTGTTTCCCAAATGATTGTATGATGCAATTGATAATGGTTTGATACCAGCATCAACAAGGAATTGAGCAAGCACCGATTTGATCTTGGTTTGGCCCGATTTGAAATCATCACCACCAATAAATGAATGATGCTTTTCAGCCAATTCAATGACACCAGGGACAAATGTATTTTGTGGTGATCCATTAATGTAGGGAACATTTTCCAAAATTGAAGCCACAGCGAAAATGGTGGAAGGGGCAATCTCTTCATGATTGGATTTGATAGCGGCAATTAAATTGTCAGCAGTATCATTAACTTTAGGCAATACATCAGCATACCTTTCAGTGTTTGCCGTCCACAAGACAATAACTTTATCCAATCCATTCTTTTGTTTAAAATCTCTAATATCCTTTCTAATCTTTTCAACATCTTTCCATTTATCATCAGTCTTGACTTCACCATTAACCTTGTTGAAAACATTGTCAGCTCTATCACCTTGGTTGGCAGCAATGAAATCAGGATAGTAGATAGACTCCATTGGCTTTTTACCTTTTAAATGTGGCACCAATTGCTTTTGTAAAGTAACATCCAACACTTTGGCTCTCTTCATGGCTTGATCCAATTCCATCCCCGAAATATCCCAACCATCAACCACCAAATCATTAGGGTTAACAAATGGAACAATAGAATTGAATGGAGCATAAACATCATTACCATCAGCATCAACACCAATCTTGATTGTAGAACTTTGTGTAACCGAACCATAGTAGTTTGGCTTAACAACACCTTCCTTATTTTCAAATGAGATATTGTGCTTATTGGCCAAGATCGACGCCATTAAAGTGGTACCATTGTTTCCACCTAAACCAACCAACAATAACCCAACTTTGGGCACTTTTAAATCCAATTTGAAATCATAATCAACCGATGTGGGAGTAACGTGAAATTTACCTTGAGCATCCTTTTCAACCAATGAGTTTTCATAGGTGAATTTAGTGTAAAGGTGGTCGTCTTTGGCGACGGATTTGGTAGATTTGAAATCGATTGAAGACATTGTGGAGAACGATACAAGTTTTGTTTAGTTGTAAAAGAAAAAGGGGAAAGGAAAAAGAGTTTGGATTTGAAAGTGGGTGAATTTCAACGACTATTTATACCATTTCCCAGTTGAACGAAATTTCGCCGAAATGGAAGTAAGAACACGGTTGTGGGTACTCTATTTTGTAGGGAAAAATCACAAGAAAAAAAAACAAAAAAAAAAAACAAAAAAAGAAAATAGCAGAACTATCGGGCAGTACCTACAATAACAACCAACACAACTTCAGCTGTGTCCTACACACGACCTTTTTACACATTGCCTATTAAATTGCATTGTTTTAAATACTTCTCACAAGGCTCAACTATGCTAATACATAATTCTAACGCGCTCATTGCTAACTTACAGCCAAATTTTCACTCAAGCACCAATTGCTCTATTCTTTAGCTACATATCGACACCCATTACACCTTCCTAGCTCCAGTAAGTTGGATCACTCTCAGTGCAGCTTCCACCTCTTGTTCAAAAAATTTTTTTTCTTTTTTTTTTTCTCTTTTAAGATTCGCCAATTCCTTATGTGTTTACATTGTGAAATTTACAAGTTGAAAAATCCCCACTCGTATTAGCCGTATTTTGTGTAATCTAATTCGCTGAAAATCCGCCGAAATTTCAGCGATACTGCGGTACGGATGCGAGTATAGCAAAACTCAACAAAAATAGCAAAATAGGGGCGAAGCCCCCTCCTTATTGACCTCTTGTAATTTGCATATTTTCCTGAATCTGGAAATAGAATTACACAGGGCAACCATTGGTTTCGAATCCATAGGTTGTCCCCTCAAAATCGTAGTGATCAGAGAGAGAAAGTAGTAATTTTGGTATTACGAGGCTATATTGATCTGGAAATAGACCAAAACTTTGTCATAACTCTACACTAGTATACAAGCTTATAGCTATTTGAAAAATTGCCATTATTTTAAAAATGCTCTATTTTACTTAACTAGCGGGCAAAGTTTGTTCAATTTAAGTCAACTCAGCTGCATTAACGCGTAATACATTATTTTATTTTTCTTCTCGACAATGAATTTGTTGTCTTTTCTTTGTCATTTTCGTCAAAGTTTGTTTACATGTTTGTCCTTTTAAGATTCTCGTTCGATGACGAAAGTTCCGAATTGTTCCCCGGTTGCTGCAACACAGATTTTCAAAATACCCGAACAAGGAGCTCCGGTGCCAAACTTTTCCATCTTGCAGTTGATTCAGCCACTTGCTTGATGCTGGTTGATCTTTTTGATGCATCCGTGGACTCTGTCATGGAAACTGTTCCTATCTAAGACTCACAACTATATCATACACATTGATTCGACCTCGAGCCTTTTAAGAAGTCTTTATATTCATTTTAGCTTCTTACTCTTCTCAAAGTATTGTCTTGGGGTGCTGACCCTGCACGTGACACGAAACGAACCTCCAATCCCAAAAGGGAATAAGGTTGAGGCAGTCATAGACACGATGATGGCACTGTAGAGTATGTTTAGCTTGATCTTCCAAACATCAATCTTAAGGATAATAGGTACTATTTGCGGTGCTCTTGGATTGTAATTTTGATTCACTCATGAAGCACTTCAAACTATGCAAAAGTCAGAACAATTGGCTCAACTGCTCGTGAAGAGTAAATGTCAAAGTAAAACCTTTCAACTTTACTTCTAATTTCTACGAATTTGATGGCAACTTGAGCGAGTCGACACCTTTGCCAAAGTAAATTCTTGTTTTCTTATAATAACTTTTAGCGAACTAAGGATGCTTTTTGAACTAATAGTCCAGTAGTCAAATAAGCCAGCCATACAACACCACCAACACCCCATTACTGCATAGTATTGTTAAAATTTCAACGTCATATCTTGAATTTGCAAAAATATTTGCTCAAGCTTTTTGTCAAAAATGTCACAAACAAGAATGGCACACTGGACTAGGCTAGTTTCCTTGTCGGACCCAAGGGTATATCGTCCATCTATTATAAAGATCTAATGAGTCTGGTCCCTTAATTGTTGATAAACTCAATGCGCACTTTGTATAAGTCAGTTAGAGATACAATAAAGTAGTCACTCTTTACGCAGAACAAAACAATGTGGGTTGTTGACTTAGCAAAGAATCATACGACTGTAATTACGAAAGTGAAAACAAAGACCCGAGAGAGCTTTCTATTGTAAAACAATATCATCGACACGCAGCGAAGGAAATATAGACAAATAGACCGATATACAAACGTCCATCGTACTCTCTCTTTGAGAAAAGAACAAACACAATTTATTTTCTCAGTAACCACAATAATGAAACGCATAGCCAGCCCCTTCACCAAAAATACATCACCGTGTACTTACAACATTGTACGTCATATAACTCCGTGTCAGTATTTTATTTTCTATTTTCAAGATGTGCTGGTTGATTAGTCAAATTGGGTTCAATTTTGTCCCAATTTAGAAGCATACTTTGGTTGCGAAAAAGAAAAAAAAAAAAAAGGGAAAACTTACATCAATTAAAGAATTTGCAAACATGAGTTCTCCCTGTAACTGAAGTTTTGGCAAGACATGAGTGACCCGCCTCAATATTTGAAGTAGCTTGAGCATTGGTGTCTCCTTGGCAACTCACGTGAGCGCTAAAAGCATCCAATTACTAAGTCATTTTGATTTTCGACACCATTTCGATGTTTCAAGTAAAGCTGAAAAGACCGTGTAAAACTCTCTGACACATACGTAGTAACACCCATTAAAGATAGATTTTCTTCACTCACCACTTCAAGTTTTTGAAATTCCCTTTGAACAACTTCTCTGTCCCATATGTAATCGCGCTTATTTTAATCTTCTCACTCGTACACAATTTTTTGCTTATTTTTATTTTTCGCACACAAAAAGAGGCTGGTGCAAAGTGACAAACTAGGCAAAAAAACCAACACTTTGACATCATGCATATACCAACAGTTAACCATATAAGCGAAAGAATTACGAAACCTCACGCAGACATACATTATTGTCCTATACTTTATGCAATAGATAATAACAACAACCATCAACAATGATTATAATTTGCTTTCCGTTTTGGTCCAAATTTGTTCCCAACTGGGAATAGATATTGAAAATTTAGCTTGAGGAAACCGAGAAAATACTCACCACTTTAGCTGCGAAAGAATAAGAATTCCCAAAAAAAAAAAAAGAAAGCCATTGATAGATGGATCTTACACAGAATGGAACGGAAGGGGGAACAAAAATAAAACAGGCAGATGTAACGTAATTATGGGCGGCGCCTTTTAGATTTTGGTATACTATGGTGTGGTTTCTTAGTTTTGAGTTACAAAAGATTTTTTGAAAAGGCAGATTTCCATGGAAAAGCCCATTACTATAATTCCAGTTGGGTATCATTTAAATACCATTGTAAAAGTCCGTTCTTTCGATAAAGGTGTTTAGGTATTTCATTTCAAAACTCAAGTTCATAACGTAGTCAATTCAGCGTTAATATTATAATACCCCTCCCCCAAAAGTGCCCAATCAGCTTGATACCCACTCACCCCTTTCTGATTTTGACAAATATAGGTGGTAAGATTCATTCCTTCAAACAAAAAAAAAACACAACAACTTCATTGCTATCGAACAAAAAGCACCACCTTACACGTCACAATGTTGAGTTTATTATACCTTATTTCCATTTTTGCGACAGCTGTGTTTGCATTTGACCCAACCAGCAACGCCAATGTTGCTGTTTATTGGGGTCAGAATTCCGGTGGTAATCAACAACGATTATCCTACTATTGTGATTCCGATGCTGTTGATATTGTCATTTTATCATTTATGCACGTTTTTCCCAACCCAGTTCAATTGAATTTCGCCAACGCTTGTGAAGGTACATTCACTTCCGATGGGATATTGAAATGTGATAATATTGCTGCTGATATTCAGTCTTGTCAAGCCAAAGGCAAGATTGTTTTGCTTTCGTTGGGTGGAGCTTCAGGCTCATATGGTTTCACGTCAGATGATCAAGCTAAAAAATTTGCTCATACGGCATGGGATTTATTTGGTAACTCAGATACCTTGTCTGCTTCCGAAAGGCCATTTGGTAGTGCAATTCTTGATGGATTTGATTTTGATATTGAAAACCATATTAATACTGGTTATGCTGCCATGGCTAATGAATTGAGACTGATTTTTGCGACAGATTCCTCTAAACAGTATTATCTTGGTGCTGCTCCGCAATGTCCCTACCCTGATGCTTCTGTTGGTAACTTGTTGCAGGAAAGTGTGATTGATTTTGTGTTTATCCAATTTTACAACAATTATTGTAATTTGGGAACAAGTTGGTTTAATTGGGACACATGGTTGGACTATGCTGAAAATACTAGTCCTAATGCCAATGTCAAGTTGTTTGTGGGTGTCCCAGGATCAATCAGAGCTGCTGGGTCCGGCTATAATCCACCAGAGTTGATTGAAGATTATTTGACTAGTGATATATTGTCGAGTCCACATTTTGGAGGTATTTCAATGTGGGATGTTTCAGCAGCTTGGGATAATACTGATTCCAATGGTAATTTCGTGGAGAATATGAAACGCTTGGTTGGAAGTGACTTTCAAGCTGCTGCAGTTTCATCTTCATCATCATCTTCTTCATCAGATAGTACAACGACAACCACAACAACCACGCTTACCACTACTTCAACAACATATACAAGCGATACAACAACGACAAGCACATCGAGCACACCAAGCACTTCTAGCACATCCAGTTCCTCCACTTTAACCAGTTCTTCAAGCTCCACCAGCTCCACCTCACAACTCATTTCATCCATCCATAACGCCGATCTCACAACTACCGGTTCCACAACTTCAACTTCTTCTGACACCAATACTCAACAAGAGTCAACTTTAGAAGTTTCAACCGCTACGCAACAAAGCACAACGCGTCAACAATCATCATCATCATCAACATCCTCGGTTCCAAACACATCCACATCCACACCAACAAATGTGTTTACTTCGTTTGTTTTTGCCCCAACTACAATGACTACTGTTGCCACTCTTTATAATGTCATTACCACGAGAACTAACCTTCAAACGATATACGGTCCGCCACCAACTACAGCAATATAGGATTGTTTAATGCTTGAGATGCCATTCAACGAAAAGTTGCTAACCTCTTTTTATACCCTATTTTTTCCTGCTTCTGTAATTGTATACTAAAAAAAAAGTCTCTTTTTTATTTTATCAATTGTAGCAATTGTTGTTCCATTCTGAACCCGCTAAGCACCTTTGTTGCCGCATGATTTAAATAAGCAGAACACAAACTTCCACCTTCCCAATTGTCATAATCGTAGTGATCCATTTCATTTTTCAATGGTGAAACAATAAGATTTATCATTGGATACGAAGACTTGTTCAATTGAGTTATGCCTTGCACGGTTAATGGATGAGGGCTCACCATCATCATAAACGTTCGTTTCTTGTTGAATTTATGGTACTCTAGTATCCCTGACAATTGCCGTACTTCAGCTGCTCCAAGCCTCTTTTTGGTGTTTTTACATTGAACCACAAGTTGTATATCATTCAGTAATGAAATAGGGCGTTTGGTAGATGTTCCTGGTAGAAGGTGAAGTAGTGAAGCATTGTGAATCTTATGTTCCACATTGTTCATCTTTAACGAAATTTGGTAGAATGGATCAAGGTCCCATTGTCCTATAATATCTATTCCGTTGTCATAAGATCCACCACATCGAATCATATTTTTACCGTGCAACTTTAATTCAAGTAGATGTTTCACGTGAAACTCATATAGTGTACCACGAAACACCGTCGACGTGGTATTGACTTTTTTGAGCTTGCAATGTTTCAAGTACTGACCAACATTTTCAATCAACGCAGTTGAGCTATACTTTCGTGTCAATAGCCGATAACTATTCATAAGGGTGGTTGAAAAATTGCAAATTCTCAACACATAGTAAAACAAACAGCGCAAAAAACAAAAACAAAATCTAAAAAGCATATCAAATTCAGATTCTGAAGGAGTTTTTGAGTTGAAACATTTTTGCAAGATATGTCTTCAATACTTCAATTTATCATTGTTACTATACTTATCTCAGTTGTTTCATCAAAAAGAATCAATTTATTCATAAAACCAATAGATCAAGTTACATCTGATCCAATTGGGTTTATTGAGAATGACGCTGTATATCTAATGGATGTGGCTGATCTACAACTAGAGAACCAAGCATATTGTATAGGAACCAAGGATATACATAATAACGAGTGTTTTAGTTATCAATCCAATGCACCAAACTTGACGCAAGCTGTGTTTAATTTATTTCTCGATGGGGATGGTGATATACTGAGAATATCGTTATCATTTGACGACAAGTTGGCTAAACCGCAAGTGAAAAAGCGTAAACAGGTTATTGCAGCACAGCCGAACTTGAATCCTGATTCGTTAAAGAAACAAAGAGAAGAGCAACAAAAGAAAGCTGGTGATGGCCCTGTTGTTGAGAAGGTGAAACAAAAAAAGTTGATTAAAGAAATTGATGATAATGGAGTTGAAGTAACGAGGGAGATTGAAGAGGAAGTTGAAGTTCCAGTCGATGATAGATCATGGATCCAAAAGAACTGGATGTATGTTGTACCTCCATTGCTTATATTTATGCTTGCAGGTGGTGGTAACGAACAAAGTAGATAGCGTTAAGTAGTTCTGTCTAAGAAGGTATGGTGTGATAACGTAGTTGTAATGATCTTATATGGGTACGTACTGTAGTATCGAATAGTCTTTCATAGGTATATGTGCTGTTAACACCGAAGTGTAAAGTAGTAAATTGGCTTTTGATGTAACTGGTAGCGTGTATTTTTCAACCAATAACATAAATGTAAATTTTCATTATTAAGTTTACATAAGAGAGCAGCATACAGACAAGGAAAGACAAAAAAAAAATTCAGTGCAAAAAAGACCAATATAAACCAATCTACCAAACTTCAAGCTAGACTTTTGGGAACATTTACAGACTTGTCAACAACCAACCCTAACTCGTCAACGACACATTACCTCACACAATTATTGATTAATAGACTACTACTCATTAAAAGAGAAAGATACATTAGATCCCAACCCTATCATATATATAAACACATATTCACCCCACCACATTATGCTTTCAATAAGGTCTCATATACTCAAAACTTCCAAACGTCACATTTCTGCTTCAGCAAAAAGACTAGCAGATGTTGAAGTCACAGTTGATGGTAGAAAAGTTTCAGTAGAAGCCGGATCATCCATCATTCAAGCAGCACAATTGGCTGGTGTTCAAATCCCTCGTTATTGTTACCATGACAAATTAGCCATTGCTGGTAATTGCCGTATGTGTTTGGTTGATGTCGAAAGAATGCCAAAGTTGATTGCATCTTGTGCTATGCCCGTCCAAAATGGTATGGTTGTTCACACTGACTCCGAAAGAATTAAAAAGGCAAGAGAAGGAGTCACGGAAATGTTGTTGGAGAACCATCCTTTGGATTGTCCTATTTGTGACCAAGGTGGTGAATGTGATTTACAAGAACAATCACAAAGATATGGATCTGATCGTGGTAGATTTAAAGAATTGGTTGGTAAAAGAGCCGTTGAAAATAAAGCCATTGGACCATTGGTCAAGACTTCGATGAACAGATGTATCCATTGTACTAGATGTGTTCGTTTTATGAATGATGTTGCTGGTGCACCTGAATTTGGTACTGCTGGTAGAGGTAACGATATGCAAATTGGTACTTATATCGAAAGAAATATCAACTCAGAAATGTCGGGTAATATCATTGATTTATGTCCTGTTGGTGCATTAACTTCCAAGCCATATGCATTCAGAGCTAGACCATGGGAATTGAAGAGAACTGAAACGATTGATGTCTTGGATGCCGTTGGATCCAATGTTAGAGTTGATTGTAGAGGAATTGAAGTTATGAGAGTTTTGCCAAGATTGAATGATGATGTTAATGAAGAATGGATTTCCGACAAGACAAGGTTTGCTTGTGATGGTTTAAAAACTCAACGTTTGACTACTCCATTGATTAGAAATGGCGATAAATTTGAGACCGCCACTTGGGATGAAGCCTTGTCAACAATTGCTGCTGCATACACCAAAATTAAACCACAAAATGGTGAATTGAAAGCAGTTGCCGGTGCTTTGGTTGATGCTGAATCATTGGTTGCTTTGAAAGATTTGGCAAACAAGTTGGGTTCCGAAAATGTCACCACTGATGTACCACAAGCTGTTGATGCCCATGGTTTGGACATTAGATCAAACTACATTTTCAACTCCACCATTGATGGAATAGAAGATGCTGATCAAATTCTCCTTGTGGGAACAAACCCAAGGTTTGAAGCTGCTACATTAAACACGAGGATAAGAAAAGTATGGTTAAGATCAGGTTTGGAGATTGCTTCAGTGGGTCAGGAATTTGATTCTACTTTTGATGTCACCAAATTAGGTGACAATGCCAATGATCTTAAAAAGGCACTCGATGGTGAGTTTGGTGAAAAGTTAGCTAAAGCTTCAAGACCATTAATAATTGTTGGATCAGGTGTTGCTGACTCCAAGGATGCCCAAGCCATCTACAAAACCGTTGGTGAATTTGCCTCTAAACACAAAAATTTCAATACCGAAGAATGGAATGGTGTCAATTTATTACATCGTGAAGCTTCAAGAGCAGCTGCATTGGATCTTGGATTCAATACCTTGTCAGAACAAACTGCCACCCCCAAATTTATTTATTTATTAGGCGCTGATGAAATCTCCAACAACGAGATCCCCAAGGATGCATTTGTTGTATATCAAGGTCATCATGGTGACGTTGGTGCTTCATTTGCCGATGTTATTTTACCAGGTTCGGCATACACTGAGAAATCAGCCACATATGTCAATACTGAAGGAAGAACCCAAATCACTAGAGCAGCTACCAACCCACCGGGGGTTGCTCGTGAAGACTGGAAGATTTTAAGAGCATTGTCAGAATACCTTGGTGCTAAATTACCCTATGATGACATTGTTTCTGTTAGGATGAGATTGGGCGAAATTGCCCCACATTTGGTGAGACATGATGTTATTGAACCTGTATCTTCAGAAATTGCTCAAATTGGATTCCTTGATTTGGTAAATAAGAATAAATCAGCCAAGATTGCTGGTGAACCTTTGAGGAATCCAATCACCAACTTTTATTTCACTGATGTGATATCGAGATCTTCGCCAACAATGGCTAAATGTGTTGCTGCATTTGGTGCTAAAATAGACAAAATAAAAGATGAAAAACCAGCCATCAACTTTTAAACGAAGAAACAAAGAGGTGTTGGAGTAGAGAGTGGTTTTGGAAGTTCTTTTCCATTCTTTTTCATTTCACATTAGCATAGTTAGTTTGTAGCATTTATATACCTTATCCCGTGTACATTAAAAAGAAAAGTATTTAAGTGTATAACTTAGGGAGGGAAAGTCGTTTATTAGATATCAAAAGGGGATTTCTCTGCTGCAACGTTTTTACCGTGAATTGTTGATAGCTTACTTCTGATATTGGGTTCCTTTGAAACTGTAGAATCATTAGCACTTACCCCTGGATCATTAGCACCCATGGAGTTTTTGCTATCAAAATCTGGTGCATTTTCATCACCGAAAATGTTGAATAAGACATCTTTGAGTGAGCTCTTTTTTGGTAACTCTTTATCTTCTTCATCACTGTCACTATCTGTGTGAACAACCGAATCGTGTTTCTTACGAGATGGTCCGTTATTTTGTGCAGTTTCTCTTTCGTTATTTTTATTGTTCTTTTCTTCTTCCTCCTCTTCATCTTCATCTTCATCTTCATCTTCATCTTCTTCCTCCTCTTCAACTTTATCTTCTTCCCCGCCCTCATCTTCGTCCTCGTCTTCCCTCTCGTCGTCTTCTTCCTCCCCCTCACTTTCTGACTCCACTAGCGTCTTTATCCTTCCCCAATGCTCAACTCTAACATCGCCATCAACACTATGTTTATCTCTATACCCGCTATTATTATAGTCCTCATCAATACCAGGTATGATCAAATCTTGATACGATGGAGGCTTGCCAATATCCTTCATTATCGTAATCCAAGCAGGTGCAATATTCAAATCATGGTCATTCATCCCCAATGCCTGTCTCAATGTTTTCGAAACCACACCAGGTCTCATCTTTTTAGCTTCATTGGTCAATTCATCAACTAATTCTTTACCTTCTTCATATAACTCACCAAATTTCGATAGTCGTGGCTTGGATTGATGATGAAAAAATGCGCGGTATAGCTTTTCATAATCCATGTCCAATCTGCCTAGTTTTACTTGTACTCGTTCACGTTGTTGTTGTTTCAAAGTACGATCGTCGCTTGAAGTGGTTGTCAGGCGCATTTCTTCAATACCGGTGTCGCGAATAAACTTGGGCAATTGGAACGATGGCCTTTCGACGCCTCGTTTTGAAGAAAGATAGTCACGTTTGGAGCTCCAGTGCGAAGGGACCGGAATTATATTTGGTTGAGATTTGATAAATACAAGCAAATACGGATCTTGTGCATCGGCATCGGTAGGTTCGACGATTTCCGGTCGATGAGTCGACATCTTGAGTGATGCTAGTGAAACCTTATTTCGTAGTCTTAATTGCCGCTTTGATAATGTGGTGTTTGTGGTGGTTTCTGCTTGCTCATCTTCATCTGATTCATTCGATGTATATTCTTCATCATTGTGCTGATACCCATTCAGTACCTCGACTAGTTGCAGGTCTTGCTTTTGGGACATAGGGGTGAATTTTTTCAAGACTGATTGAAATTGCTGTAGTAGAGGATCATTCTCATCTATTTTAATGTCATGGATTGAACCATCGTGATCTGTCTTTGCCTCGGGTTCAGTCGACTTCACCTCGGACTCAGTACCAGCAGCTTTACTTTCGTTTGTCTCCTCATTTTGCTGCTCCTCGAGCCTTCTCTTCTTAAGTCTCTCTCTACGTATCTGATTCTTTGACCGTTTGACTGACATTGATGGGATTGAGCAGTACGATATTAGAACGTATATTGCGCTTGTTTTTTTTTGTTTTTTTCACTTATTGCATCATCAATCATTGGGAACACTCTATACAAAGTCTATACCCATCATCATACTACTACGCATACTAGTCCCTAATTGACCCACCCTTATTTATTCCTCTGTTTCAATGCCGAGACTCTCTTCAACGCAGAATCAATTTTTACGCCTATTTCCTTGTCGTTTTTATCTAGCAATTCTGTGGCCCTTGCTAATTCACGCTCAATCTCATGTGCTATATCAAATGAAGTAGGTTTCTTCTCTATGATAGATGTGTTTGGTTCGTTTCGGGATTTATTTGATGTTGTGCCGTTGAGTTTTGGTGTTGAAAGACCTTGTAGGGAGCTGGTTTCGGGTCCTGTTGCAGATGTCACCAGTGAATTTCTCGACATCTGGTAATGAAAATGATGCCAAACGAGTGGTGTGATATATTGTCTTCAATGATAATGTACTTGATAGCTTCAGTGTTTTGCAAAGTCCGCTGAAATGGGGTTTCAATGTATTATCCTTGTGATCTCTTGAAGCGATATAAATCCTTTTTTTCAACTGCGCTACAAATTGATCTCCACGTAATTCATCTCTCTGCGCCCTTGAACACACCTTGTCAATGAATTTGCTCGTCATTCTACTAGTCAGTCTTTTCAAGGTATCATCTTCACTGTCACAATCCACCCAAACATTGAAAAACCGCATAGTTTACGATAATGCTCGAATACCGGTTGACGTGGCACATTCGTTAACACAACAAAAGTCCGAGTTGGGTCTGTTTGAAATAATGTCCCTAAATGCAAACAATGAAATTGAACCTTACATATGCCACCTACCCGTCGACAAAAAGGTAAACATTTCCAAACCCGTGCACCATTTTGCCACATCCGAATTGAAGCAAACGGCAATAAATATCATTCTGGAGACGTTTGATGATGATAAATGTACATTGGAATTCAATATACAGGCAGGTTACTGGACCGTGGGGTATTGCTTTGGTGATAAAATTATGCAGTTTCATGAAGATCTCGTGGATTTCCTTAGCGGCAATCACAGGGCACAATTACCAAACCATGTTTACGTACTAGGTAAATTCCCCAATGCCAAACCTTACAAACAAACAGAAATTAGGAATCAAAGAGATGAACAGAACAAGGTCAACTTAGATCCACGCGATTTCATTGTTTTTGAAGGTGAATTTAGCTCTTTCGGTGATGACGAAGTTGACTATTCAACAAATACCCAAAAATTTATCAAACATACATTGGGGAATGGAGAAATATGTGATTTGACACTACAACCAAGAACGGTTGATATAGTGTATAAATGTGATCAAGATTTCGGAAGACCAGGGATAATGGAAATTCAAGAGATTAAGACATGTCAGTATCAAATGATTGTGAATGTACCAGGACTTTGTCTGCTTGAAGAGTTTAGAAAGAATTTGATTCATGAAAATATTGTTGACATCACATGCAAGAAAATAGACCAAGATGATAACTTATCACTTCAGGAAGTTACGTATGACACATTTTTTGAATACCAACTGCCTAACCAGGGTTCTCAAGTCGCCAAAGTGAAGAATGAAAAAGTCGACTTGGACCAGTTTTACATCAACCCCATCGGAGATGGATTCTATCTTGGAAGTTTGAAACACGAGTATAAGGGAGATAAGCCTTATTGGAATACCAGAGTCATTGCTATTAATGCCAATGACATTGATGAAGGAGACTTGTTGAATCGATTTGGCAAATTGTTTCTTCACACATTAGAGAGAAAGTTCCCTTCTCCAATCACAATAAATGACAATATTGCTACAGCACTTCAGTGGGGTGATTCATTCATCTATTGGATAGAAATGTATGACATGTTTGGTAACTTTGTTGCATTGTTTAAAATGGTTCGTGATGGGAAATTGGATAACCATGAAGTCGAATTCCACAAAATCAGCGTAGTGGACAAGCAAAGTACTGAAAACTTTGCCGCCAACCTAGACTATTTTGACCATCCAAACAAGGATTGGAACTTTGAATACTTTAAGCGTAATCAAGAGTAGCATATAGTATGTATAGTCATATAAAGCGTTTTCGCTACCAAAATGAGCTGTAAATTGAAAAGAAAAAAATTTCCAAAAATTGGCGTTTACCCATTAAAGTTGTGCTGTATAAATCATACCATATAAACTCTGAACCAATAGAGTCACTGCCAGTACACTTGAGTTCCACATCGTCACACAACTCGTTTTACAATGATTTACTCCATAAGTCACGTGTGCAGGCGAGCTGTACAGAGCAATGTATCCAACAGGAGGAGTTTCTCATTGTTTTGGAAAATGTTATCCATGAATGATCCAAATAAGGAAAAGGACGAAAGAAAATTGTACAATTGGGATGAATCACCCTATGAAGACATCCGAACACATGCTGCACTTATAAGAGCAAAAGCGTTGTGTCCAGTAACCCATAAACCTGTCAATTTTGTATGCCCGTACTCGGGAATACCAACACACGCATCAAAAGAAGCATGGGAAAATGATACTGAATACCACGCAAAGAAGAAATATGAACTTTTGAAAAAAGTGAATTTGTATGAACATGATTTGAGATCAGGAAGGAAGTTCGAAGAATTTGCATTTCCTGGAGAGCAAGAAAGAGATTTCATGATAAACATGAGTGATTGGGATTCATTTTTTTATACGAGGGATTTCCCACCCATGAATGATGAATTCAATTTGGCTGCAGCCACCAAAGTTCTTACTTACCCAATGACTATTGGATCCATTTTACATAAATTTTCCCCATATCAAATTGAACCAAAAGGTCCTGTGACTGTTGAAGGAGCCAAGTCGTTGGGAGCATTGAGATACACTTTGTATCCTCCATACCAAAAAGCAATTGATGGAGTAACGCATTTTAAAGAAAGACCAATGAGGATATTTATTTTGGGTCCTAGAATGGAGTCTATGCTTCCGGGATACGTTTGGAAGCAATTCGGATACTTGTTTCCCAAAAGCAGATTTGAAATTCATTTAATTGGACCTGAAGCATATTTTGACAAAGAGACGAGGTCATTTGCTCCTGTAAATATCCCAAATGGGAAGCCATTGATTGAAAGATTTGATGACCAGATAACAATTCACCATCACACCCAATACTTTAATGAACTTTATGATATGGGTGACTTGTTCCCCTTTGATCCCTACTTGGACGTGTTTTTCCTTTTCCACCCCGGTTTCCAAACTGCTGACCATATTCATTGGGATAAGTCGTTAAAAGGGTTATTGGAATCAAAGTGTCCGATTTATGTTACCGGCTTTCATGATGAGGACATTGACAAGGAAATTGATTGGTTGAAACGTCATGAATTGAATGACGAAATGGATTTGCTTATGAAGAAATCTGATAATAAGTTTGCTTGTACTAAATTGGACATTGTTGATTCAAATCCGACAGAGACATTCAATTTGAATAGTAAAGTTTTTGGATTTAGAGGTAAGAGGTATCATGCTATCAAGGTATGATTTGTAAATAGTATAAGGTGTATATACTGTAAATAACCCACCTTTTCAGAGATGATTCAAGTTGGTGTAGATTTAGCAAAAGCGCAGAACCAATTTAATGCGCAAAAAAGTACCAACCACGTAATACAAAACAATCTGCCCTACACAACCGCTTTGAAACAGCATGAGCGAAGCACCACCAATTAGAATACACGTATTATTGAGATCCACGGAACCAAACCTTCAGAATGAACGATCATTGTTCGAAATTAATTCCAACACCTCAGTCAAGGAGTTGAAACAAGCAATAATTCAAAGGTTAGACGATCGACAAGTCACAAGGACATTTTATGAACAAGTGGTCTTGTCATTTCGAGAAGAAGTATTTCCGAATGATCCAGGATCTGATGAGCTTACTGTTCCTTCATTGCTCCAACTCACAAACGACGATATACGGGAGATGAACAATGTCATTCCCGTAAATCTACAAATCAAGAGTTCCGTGAATGGTATTTTAAGTCGAGAGTTTTGGCAAGACTTGACTGCAGACGACAGATTTGATTTTTTGCCAATAATAAATCAAGAGGCTGAGAGAACCCAAAATGAAGATACTATTCCACCTGATATGGCGATGGTGGATCCAATGAAAATCGTCGTTGGCGATGATCGAGTATGGCATCTAACTGGCACTAGTTATGAGTCGATATCCAATGGTCAGGGATCAAACAAACTTGTGAATCAAGATGGCATATCCCTGAAGGTTTATGAAATATCATCAGCATCAAATGAACATGAAAAAGTGGTATTAAACACTTCGCATTGTATTATAGTGGACAACGGTCAACATCAACCATATATGCTCTTGAGTCCAGCTGGTATTGCCAAAGTAGACTCTGTGTTTAAGCTGCAAAAAGTAAAGGTTGTCTTGCACAATCTGACAAATACTGCGCAGACACCTGCACCTGCACAAGAACAAGGTGCCCAAGTCCAAGTGGAAGATGATGTGCTAGCAAGAGTTGTAACCGCAGGAAAACGATTGCTCATGCTTACATTTCAAATCGCTCTAGTGTTGTTAATGCTTGGCTATAAGCCCAATAAGCACATGCAAGAAAATTGGATCAAGTACTTGATTTTAATTATTGTGTTGTTCAACATCTATATATTGTTCTTTACAGGGGAGAATCGAGTTCAAAGACTAGCAGAAAATGACATTGATCTAGCCAATCAACCGCCGGCAACACAAAATTTTATTCATATTGTTCGCAGATTGGCACGAGCTAGGGAGAATGTCGCTGGTATTGTTGTTGGGGTCCAGGATGAACTTGTAACGATTGTGGCATCTCGTACTTGGGACTTTGAGTACATAATGAGCAAAGAGCCAAACTGGTATTTTGTGATTGCCTCCAATTTTGAAAATATCTGGAAAGATGCATTAATTTATGTTTTATCCATTTTGCCTACTTTCCAAGTGAAACTTTATGATGAATTGCATAAACAGAAACAAATGGAGTTGAAAGTTTTTGAAGACAAGGTACGTCTGTTTTATGACCTTGTGTTGCTGCTCATTCAAGAGTACAACAAAGAGTACACTCCGCAATTCATTCTACCTCACAATGTTGCACTTGAACCAGTCCTCGAAATTCTAGAAACTTTGAGAGAAGATGAGAAATTTGAGTTTTTGGTAAAGTACTATAAATGCATGAAATCAATCTATGACGTGTTCAATAAGGCGTATGTCAAGCACAAATCATTGACTAATGAACAGATAGATTTTTTGAATGGTGAGTCTGATAGATTTATAGCACCTCGTAATTAACTACAACCGATTTTGAAATTTTTGTGCGACAGTTGAGCAAAATACACACATAATGTAACACGCGTTGTAAAAAGGTTTCCACAAGCAAATGGTTAGGCTTACTGATGAAAGCCGAGCATTCCACTACGGTGTATACTCCATAGTGTACCAAATTCCACCAGGAAAAATTACAACATACGGTATGTTGCCATCGAATCTTGCATGTTTTGTAAAGACTTTTGATACTAACTTTCAACTCTAGGACACATCGCGTATCTATTAGACAAACCAGGCAATGCAAGACAAGTTGGTTCCTCTTTAAAGCATTGTACTATGATAATTCAGGATTTGAATCGAGGATTTGATCCCAGTGAAGAAGAATATCTCAATATCGATTCGCTTCCGTGGTGGAGAGTGCTTCTGAGTTCTGGCAAGATTTCCCCTCGTGAAAACTCACAAGGTCAATATCTTCAAGCAGATAGATTACGAGAGGAGCAGATACCAGTTTCGCAAGCACACTTGGTTGACTTGGAAGAGTATGGTTGGTTTCCAGAAGATGTTAATCTATGAGATAAATTATATGTACATTTTTGTATTATTACAGTTTACGTACCATTGCATAGTTTTCTTTTGGTATCTATCGGTTCCATAATGTTTCCATTCAGCTTTATTTTGTCCTGTTTGGTTCCGTTTGGGCTCTTTTGTGAACTCCCGCGGTGTCCATTCTCGGGTTTCCTTTTGCTTCTTTGTTTCTTGTCAATTTTCAATCCACCAATCTCTTGCTGCACTTTTCGAGATTCTTCCTGCCACCACCTTTCAAACTCCTGCTCTTGTTGAATTTCTGCTAGCGATTTCTTGGGCAAATTGTCTTCCTGAGTGAAATCTGTTCTCAAAGGTTCACCACGCATTACTTCTGCCAATGATGGTGTAGAATAGATACTGGAAAGCGAGGAAGTGGATGAATTAGCATGAACCATTGGCGATGCAACATCTCTTGTAGATTTCGATGAAGGCTTGGTAGATGGTGCGCTCATCGGTGACTTTACTCTTTTGGCACCCAAAGTGGGGAAGTTGGTGGAAGAAGTGGTTGGTGGATTCTCAGAGGCTGCCGCTGCTGCCCATGGAGCTAGATCGGTTTGCTTTTGTTTTGGTAAAGGCGCTTTACTCTCAGTCAGTGTTGACAGATTCGTTGCAGTGACTGCAGCTAATTTCTTCCTCTCCCTTTGAGAAAGCTTGACATGAGGTCCCATTTTGGGTTTAAATTGCTTCGATTCTGTTGTGTTACCCATCAATGCGAAAGGCTCGGGAGATTTCGAAACAAACCTTTCGGTTTGCAAGTGTGATGTTGACGGTGGCGAAGTTGCCCACGTCAAACGTGGGGATGCACTTGCTTGAGTAGTTGCCAGAACAAACATCTTGGGTGAGTCACCAGTACTAGACTTTCTTTGTGTGGTGGTAGGTTTGCCATCACCGCTCCTTATGTGCTCTTTCAATGGGGGGCTCAATTCGTCTCTCATCAACTTCGAGCCAGAAGTTGTTTGAGACTTTGATCTTGACTTTTTGGAAACTTCAATAAAGTCACTTTCAATTGTCTCTTCAATAACTGGCGGTGACACTTTGTTGGCCTCAGCAACTAAATTTTTTCTGAAATCCACGATATCGGCATTTAAAGTTGAGCTTTTTCTTGATTTTCTTCTTTTCGTAGGTTCCCTAGGTTTTTTTACTTCCAAACGTGGATCAACCAATGGCTCAAAAGATGAAAACCCCTTGTGGTCACTCATGTAATACTCGTTGTGTAGTTGTAAATCCGAGATGTAGCCAGCGACAGATATTGAATTGGGAATCAATTTACTAAACTCATCCATTGCATCTGACTCAAAGTCAAAACAGCGTTCAATTTTTGCCATAATGTCCAACGGAATCGATTGAAACATTGGGTCATAAAGAAGCACTTCGAGATTATGATGAATAAACCAGCAACACTGTAAAAACAACTTGCGTGCGGAAATATAATCGGCATTGACAACCAAAGACAATACATTTTGCATTGAAATCAATTCAGCGACGGCGACTTCAAACACAGCCTTTAATTGGAACAACAACAACTCATCAGCAATTTCAATCATCTCTAGCGCTTCTTTCACGAATGTCTCAGTTTCTGCAAATTTGAAATTATAACTGTTCAACAAATCCTTATCCTCAACACCATATAGATGCCTCAATACAATTTCCATTTGTGCTTTTGTCAACCCAGTGAAATCAAAAACCATAAGCGATGAAATCCCCCATCTTTCCGATAATATCGTTTCAAAAAAAGCTGATCTCACTCTGAGGAGATATGCGTGAGCAAACATTTCCCCATCTTTTAAATCAAACTTAACAGAACCAGTTGATGCTGACAACATATTGGTGAAGCCTCGTCGAAGTTGTTTGGGCCCAAAACTAACTTGAAATAGGCTGCATAACTCATCAAATTCATCAAACACTAGCTTCAAGTTTTTTGGCACTTTCAGTCTTGATCCAAAGCTTGACCATGGATCCACTTTGGTACCCATGTAAACACTCTGTATGAACAAGAATACAGAAAGGGGCTTTGTCTCGGAAACAACTTCTAAGCAAGACTCAGCTGAACTCCATTTAGCACGGAACTGCTTGCCAACAAGTTCGTTCCCGTCGTTCGCGATTAATTCACTAAACTTGCTCGACACATTTTGCAAGAAGTCCTTGTGGAATTGAATCCTTTCATCGCCAAGTTTCACACTAGCGTCACAAAGCTTTTCCAGGTTATTAAAATTATCGCTCTGTGATTGAAACTTTTGCGACAAGTACAGCTCGGCTTGCAACAAACTCAAATCAAATTCATCAGAGTCACCGCCAATAACGCCATCCCCATCACCCATCAACTGGTCCTGTTTTCTATACAAGTCTAATTCTGACATAGGAGATAATTGACGTACATCAATAACAAAATCATTCACCTGCAATTCCATCGGTAACGATTCAATCTCATTTCTTATAAATCCAAATGACAAAAATTTAGAATCACAAGTAACTTGTACTATTCTGTTGACATTTTCGATTTTTTTAAACTTGTGTTTATTAACCAGAATCGGCAAGACGGCACCACTCATTGAATTCCTTCTTTGAGTTGACTGATTGAGCTTCAAGAAAACTGTCCCCGCTTTAGTACATAAAACCACCGATCCATCTGTTCCCATATCAAAATCAACCACCTTCATATCTTCATTTTGTGGCTTCCAAACATTAACATACTTTGTATTTTTAACGTCGTCTGTGTTCAATGAAAAGCTTAAGATGGATCCATTGGACAATAAAATCATAGAGTTTGTGGGCCCACGAGTAATAATCTTTGTAATCACTGTACCTTCGGTCAATCGACGGGGCTTGAACAAGTCAAAATTTTTATCACCTAACCCTTTAACAGGAACCTTTGGTAACTTGTAATGTTGGAAATTGTAGTATATGTGAATATCATTCAAAACTGTTACTACACAAGTGCACAACTCAGTGGTACTCACACACTTGATTTCATCTCGTAGACTGGTAATTCTAGGAGATGTTTGTACTTCACCTTTCACAGATTCGTCGTGTAGTTTTACTTCGACGTCATTACGAATACGTTGTATCCCCATTTGACCCACATTCAATCCCCAAAAATACATTTCATTCTTTGTCCATGTGACCGAATGGACCTTGGATACTCCGATACCTAAAAGCTTTTTGGTCTTGTTTTTTCTCAATTCTCCAGCAACCAATGTTGGCGTGGCAATCCAATCATCCAAGTAACTATTGATGGTTTTTGTGGATGGGGTATTGACACCTAGTTGATTAAACCCATTCATTCCCCAAGTATACACATCACCATCACTGGTTAAGGCAATAGAATGGTTGTTGGAAATGGCAATATCCAGCACCATTTTCAGCTCATGGAGGAAAAATTCAACTCGTTTGAATTTGAATGAGCTTGTCAAGTCATCAGAACCATGACCCAATCTTCCTCTAGATCCAACACCACAAGTAAACACATCCCCATCAACCGTTACAATCGCCGCGTGGTTTTTTGAAATCACCATTTGCTTGTATTTTGGTTTACTGAATCTTTCGGCAAGAATCTCAGAATCGTTTTGTTCATGTATGAATGCATCATCAAATAATTTCAAAGGTTGTGACCTATCTTTGGAGTCACCTAAACCAAGTTGATTATTGCTATTACATCCAACCACGTAAATATCAGAACCTCCTAGAATCCCATCAGCTGGTTCCAACTCATCAACATCTTGCTCATCATCCCCTTGGAACTTTTCTGTACTTAGAAGCAATTTCAAATTTGAGCCTATTTTACTTTTACTTCCCCAGTTAAACTTGTCATGGATATCAATATACTCCGGAAGTTGGTGGACCATAGAAAGATCATGGTCCACCAACTGCATGCAAGTACACCCACACCGATCTTTACATTTGAGCAACTCAATAAGGGCTCCATTGGGAGCAAACAAATTACCCAAACTGGTATGCAAATACAGTATTAATACATTAAAGCATTGTAGTCTTTTGTAGAAAATGATATAATGCATACAATTCCATCCGTTTTCATAGTCACAAGCATGAAGGATAAATTTGAAATTGGGGTTCTTTGTGAGTTGGTTCAACGACTCTGGATCGTTCAGTAGTATAGATACATGGAGCACAGTTCGTCCGAAAACATCACGAGTTAACAACTCATCTTTAGTTAATTTCTTCAAGTTTGGAGCATTGTCAGTTATCATAATTAAGTGGGTGGCAATATCAAGATAGTCAGTTAACGTAGTAGTAGTAATTGTATTAGCACATTTGAATGGTGAAAGAGGTTAACTTTCAGGTTGAGGACGTGAGCAGGTGGCGTTTGAAACGGAAATCTTCTACAAGTATGTATCTTGATTGAGAAGGCTTTCGAAAATTTCAACGGTGACCGCGAACACCCACGTTGCCCTCATCAACAACCAACAATAAAAAACGCGCAAGAGTATACAGTGAACCCTTCTATTATAATACAAAAGCTATTTATTTAGTCACTTGATCTACCGAACTAGCGGTGGCATCATTTGCAACATCGTTCATCGGGGTATCTAGATCTGCCGTATCTAGAGCTACATTCGGAACATCAGGACTCTTTTCAACATCTCTTTCTCCCATCTCATTCTTCCCTCCATCGGGCACTTTGTTTGCAGTTGTATCATCATCAACAACTGGAGTTTCAATTTTCTCCTGCTTGACAACAACCTCGGCCAGGTCCGCGGAGTCCTTATTCTGCTGCTGTTCACTGTCTAATTCCTTCTTTATTGTTGGCGAGGATGTCTCTTTTCCATCCTTCGTCACTTCAGCATCCTTCGACTCGTTGGCACCAGCTGCTTCAGCTCCCTTCGACTCATTGGCACCAGCTGCTTCAGACTCCTTCTCTACTACATCATCTCGAATCTCATCATCCTCAGGCAAGAAAAATGAACTAGCAATAATCTTCTTCTTAATAGTGGTGATTTTACCAGTTGGCGGCAACTTCGGCCTAACATTTCTCTGTTTTTGCGGCAACTCATCATCCTCAACCAACGCAAATTGTGAATCATCAGGTAATTCAACACTTTCACCCTTTTTCTTTTGCAACTTGATAAACTGTTGCTTAGACCGATCACACAATTTCTCATAAAATGGAATCAATAATCCAATTTGTTGCGGTACATCATTAGCATACAATTTCTTGGTTTCAAAATCTTGTAAATCCTCATACTTGTTGCGTTTAATTGAAGGCCCATTGCCACTAAATTGATTATGTAATCGTGAATGTAACAAATAAATGGGGATGGATGATGTCAACATATTGTACTCTTTATCCAATCCCAATTCTTTAAACCCAAAGAAATCATCACCCAAGTCATTGGAGAAATCACCCGTCATGAATTGCTCACTATTATCAGCAAAACTCTTTTCATTGAAATTTTCCAACCCAGGCCGTAACAAATCCTTGAGGAAATTGGAAAGACCCAGACGTAACTCGGTTAATTTGTTGCGTTGTTTGATAATCTTTTCCTGAACAAAAGTGTACAAGTCATCAGGCTTATCGACACCATTTTCCAATAATGATAACAAAAGAATCTCCGTTGGCGATAGGCGATTCCGTGAATTGGTTTCGCTATGCAATTTCAACGACTTGGCAATGTTACCCATATACATTTCAGCAATTTGGGTCAATGTGCTAATGGCTGCACCTTCACTGGTTTCAAACCCCGTTTGCATGGCAATCTTGGCCACATTTCTTCTCAACACAGCATACTGCACATCATGAGTATTTGGATCGTGATTGGGCAATTTCGAAGCGGCATCACAGTCAACTTCCTTTATCATTTCAATTTCCGGTTGTTGCATTTGTGTATGATGAACAAATTGTTGCGTTTGCATTTGTCGTATTAATGAGATTTTGAAACAAATCTTTCGAATCTCTTGAATCTCAGAAATATTTTCAAAATATAACTTGTTTAAACCTGATTCATTTGATAAAACAAATTTGGACTTTAGTTTCGATGCATCACCTCCAGTTTGTTGTAAAAATACATCGACCAATTTGTTTTCGGTCATATCTTCAACTTGTTTATTGACTCCTGCAAATTGAAACCCAGGTAAACCACCAGTAACATCATACTCAACTAAATACGGCTCATCGTTTTCAAGTAAGCTGGTGTTGGTTTTAGAAATAACTTCTTGGTTGGATAAGTAATGATTAAAATTCAGCATCTCATTTTGTTTCCGAATCAATGCTGGTGAATCTGAACGAAGGTGTGAATTTTGATCAAAAAGATCGGCTCTTTGAGAACAATAGTTGGCGCGAGACTTGGCGGTAAGTGTTCTCCAAGCCTGCAATTCAGGGTCAAATTCTTCTTCCTCTTCTTCTTCCACGAGGTTGCCATTGTTCATTCCAGTTTCTTCTTCCTCATCTCCGCCAGCTCCATTCATGTCTTCATCCTCTTCCTCCTCCACCTGTTCATCGTTTACACTAGTGCCATTTTGTTTGACCTGCTCGTCCGTACTTGTTTCAGCTGCTTGTGGAACCGGAGTTCCAGCTGCAGATGGAGTTACTGTATCTCTTGGTGTGCCACTCGCTGTCTCCGTCGCATCATTTTTCAAATCATCCAGACGAGTTCTTTTTCTTCCTTGTTTGGCAGATTTCTTACCACCTCGTGCACCTTTATCTTCATCGTCCTCTTCTTCGTCATCCTCCTCTTTGCCACTTTCTTTGAGTCTCTTTTTCATGTCGGCTTCTTCCTCCTTTTCAAGGTCAGCTTTACTCTTGATGGTAATGTCCGGTATCGATGGCACTAACTTTAACGTCTTTTTCTGCATGGCAATAGCATGAGCTCGTATAAAATGCTTTGGATCGGCATTATACGTTAAACAATTACTCCAAATCAACATAAGATCATCAACAAACTCATGCTTGGAATTGTAAGCCAAGTTTTTCAACTTTTTCATCACCGTGTTCAAATCCATTGGCTTTTTGATAATAAGTCCATAATTGGGAGCTTCTCTTTTCGAAACCTTGTTTAAGAAAAATGTTGAATGCTCGGTGTAGTTACGCAACTCCGTGACTACTTTTTCACAACTTTCGTACAATTCCTCTTGCCCTATGCGGTCATCATTTGCCCATTTTCCTCTATTTTTACGAACGTCCATAAACAATGCTCGAAGCTCATGATCATTTAGTGGGATTTTCTCCCTCTTTGCCTCAATGGTGGATAACAAATGCTGTAGGGATGTCGATCCTGTGCCCAAGGCTATTTCCATTTGAGTACTTTGCTTCTTGTTGTTGTTGTCCTTTGAAGTGTCATTTTTGTCTGGTTTGGTCTTTTCCAATTGGAGATCTGATTGTTCTAATTTTCGCCTCTTGATCAACGTCTCTCGATCGTACTCAAAGTTGTGATACACTTTGTTAAATTCTTGGATAATTTTGTCCAGATTTTCATTGTTGCTTTCCTCAGTGGTTTCAGCTGAGTCGGATGAATCTTTCCTCGATATATTTCCAGTATCACCAGCAGGCTTGGTAGCAAATATTGAAGCTGGAATATTTAACAATGGTTGGTTTGAGTCATTATAACGTAGGTTCTTTTCCTTTGTATTGGAATCTTCTGCTGTTTTCGTTTCACTTTGTTGCTGCTCCTCCTCATTGTCATCTTCATCAAAATCATAGTCGTCTTCTTCTTCACGTACTTGTGGCTTTTCAATCGATTCTGTCACTTCAGTCTCGTATTGTTGCTTGTCTACCGTACTCATTGAATCGATCAATTCGTAATCATCAGTTACTTCCTCTATCATATTTAGATTCTCATCCAATGACTTTGACTCGTAATAAAAATCTATCGCTTTCTCCCAAAGAAGGTATCTAATATGTAGAGCGAGCTTTTTACTGAATACAACTCCTTCTTCAAACGACAGCTCCAAGTTCTGCTCAACTTCATTCATCTCCTCTTCTCTGGTAGAGTTTTGTCCCCCCTTTGTGGTCTCTTCTTGCTTCTCCTCTTCCCCTCTCTTTTCTTGTTCAGTGTTCTTATCATCAGCTTCTTCATCATCAATGATATCTAGTACCGGTTTTTCAATTTTTTTGTTGCCAATTGATTCATGCAATTGATCACGTTCATTCTCGGTTTTTTGCAAGCACAAGTTTCCTTCTAAAAACTGGCTCCACACATCAGCATCTTCCAACAGTAAAATATAGTCGATAATCTTGTATTGGGTCTCAGTGAGAAAAGTTTCGAAAAATTGGCGTTGTTTCAATTTTTTTGCAAGCTCAAACAAACTATGAGAATCATTTTGTTGAAATGGGTTTAGTTTCTCCATAATTGGCTGTATTAGAGCAAAGCTTCGATTGATAATGGTGATCTCAAATGTCGTTTTGGTCTCAAGTTTTAAAAAATGCCTTTCTATAGTTGCATAGGTTGAATTGTATTTTGGACTTATGCTATAACGCCGTTAAATATTCCAGTATGTGCTCGAGTTCAACTTTTAAAACAGCTTGTCTTAGCTCCTTTTTCCCTACTTGATGTGTCTATGGCTACTTTTTCAATACTCCCCTTGACTAATGGTAACAGTTGGCGATTGATGGAGCTTGTGTTGGTGGGCGATTCGACTCGATTATTAGCTACACTATACACAGACACTCTATTCTCCATTTTTTTTTTACCAAAATTTTGAAAAATCGAAAAAGAAAATAAAAAACCGTTGCAAAAAACTCGGTGTTGCAAGAATTAGTGAATAGTAGGGAAGTTTAGTCTATATAGGTGTAGTAGCAGGTATTGTCTCTAGCGAAGTAGAAGGGCCAGAAAAAGTGGGGTATATTGTGGGCACTGTGGTTATTCCAGTAGTGAAGTTCACAGCTGCCCCACTTGAACTAAAACTCGTATAAGCTAAATTCTAGAGCAGTACTTGTGCAAGAGATGCCAGGTTTCATCAAGCAAAGCTACATTTGTATATTGAAGTTTGTATATGTGAACCTATATCGCAACAACAGCATACGTCAATAGCCAAATCGCCAGACATTCAAGGGCTACTTTTCAACTCCGATACCTCAAACAGCATACTTTTTAGTCCACTCTTTGGCAGTAGCTTCGTACTTCTTTCTATCTTGTTTATAAATGTGAGCGATTTCAGGCACCAAAGGATCATCGGGATTAGCGTCAGTCAACAATGAACAAATAGACAACAAAACTTTTGAAATGGTCAAAGCGGGTGACCATTGATCCTTCAAGATATCTAAACAAATGTTACCATTGGAGTTGATATTCGGATGATATATTTTCGTAGTAAATGCAATCTTTGGTGGTTTGAATGGATAATCTGTAGGGAAATGAATACTTAAAAAGAATACACCTCCAGCATATGGTGAGTCTGGTGGACCCATTATAGAAGCTTGCCAGTGGTATAAGTCATCACCTACTGGACCCGCTGAACATGATGATGGTGGATCTCTAAAAAAAAAAAGAGCATAGTTAGTATATGTTCTAAAAGATTTATAAACACATGAATTTTCAGCTCTGGATGTCGAAAACAACTGTTGTAAAGTCAACTAAGGTTTTGACCTGAAATCAGTCTGTCTGACCTGAAAATGAAGAAAAAAAAAATTCATTGGTCGTCATTGTAGGATCGATCACACCGCGTAATTATCATTTCAACAAACTTTCAACGCCATCAAAAAAAAAAAAAATTGAAGCAACAGCACATCGGTTTGGATTGTAGATGATTATGACATAACCAAAATCAATAATGTGTAGTTATAGCTGCTTCTAAATAAGTAGCGGCTTCTCTGAAGTCGATGAAAATAATAATGATAATAAAAATCAAATCATAAAAAAAAATGATTGCTGATTCCAAAAGATCCAAAGTTCTGAATGCATCCAACAGTTGTAACTGAGTGTATATCTTTCTCTATACATACCTTCCTAAGTCTGATAACTCCTTGTTAATACGTTTTAAAGACATTGTGAATAATAGTAATCTAGTTGTGTGTGTGTGATAAAGAAGTATATGTGTGTGTGTGAAATATGAAAAGGAAATTACTAATTTACGTGTGAGTATATTAAAGTGTTAGTTGTTGTAAATTTTTTTTTTTCTGTCTCTCTCTGTCTCTCTGTCTCTGTCAGTTGTCCCTAGTTTTATATGCAGTACAGCACTATTATAAATACTAAAGAAAAGGTAGTGTAATTATGTACAATATCACTTTGATTGTGTTGTAGTATTTGTATACTATTATATAGTATAACACCCTATATTGTTGCTCTTAAAATTAAGACGAACTTAGATGTAACCTTAGTGGAAATGTGCTTTTGTATAAGGTTAATGGAGTTACTTAGTCAAAACACCCTTGTTACTGTCGTGTCGCTTTTTTAAAGTTACGGCATCACCCATCCACGACATACTAGAATTTTCTCTTACGCTTTTGTTATTAAAGGTCGTGTGATTTGTAAAACCCAATTTTTTGCAACTATTGGAAACATACGATGATATAGTACAAACAATAACATTTGAAAAAGAAAGATAAAAGAACGTCATTGCTGTGACCATCATAAGTGAATGATTGCAGTGCTCTAACATCCAAGTCTCTAATTTCATTTTCTTTGGTACCAATACGTTGCCAAAAATCACAAAAGGCTGATGTAGAATACTTGGAGTTGATAACAACACATTATATTTCCTAATCAAACCAAACACACTTGTCGAATGAAACCTTACGCTAATAAAAATCAGGCGTGTTGTTCCATTAACAATAAGTTTCCATTTTAAAATCGCAACATAAATAGTCACGTGACTTCCTTAATTGTTTCTATTTTTCGCGATCACCGATACATCCATACCTAGAAGTATTCACGGAGGGCTTCTTCAAACAGCCGACACAGTTTATTACAGCTCCGCACCAACTATTTTCTTGACCGGGGGAATGAACGGTTTGTGTCGTTGCATGCAAGTTGATGTATGAGCAGTAACCGGAATTACATAATACATTACCTAAGTACTACACCCTCCACAAACAACAACGGAAAAGAAAAATATTTGATACACACAATCTCTTACAAGATTGGGTCCCCAATTATAATTAAAGGGTGAATTTCCACTGGAAAAGTTCACCAAAATTACTACTTACTTGTAAAGGATATCAAACACTCGTGGAATTATAACTAATCCTACAAAGTTATCACCAATTGTCCAATTGAATTTTAGCACTTAACTTAATTATTTTTGTTAAACCCCACGAAAAAGTAGTTTTAAACCCAACAAATATCAGTTCTATTTTTTTATCATACAAGCACAACATATCTCCGGCGATAGTTTTTGTCCAAATTGATGCTAGTCACTTTTAACTCAAGAACTACATCTAGCAAGTTGAATCAGAATAATGAACGTGGTGACGACACGATGACTTCGGAAGCGGAATCCGCAAATGAAAAGATGACACCAAAATCAGCTAAGCTGAGTGATGATGCAAGTGTGACAACTGAAAAGCAAGACAAAAATACAAAATTACAAGCACTACAACATCAAAATAGTTTCCAAGTTTCATTGCCACGTAAGAACAATACACTGAATAGAAATGGTGGAGGAGGTTCATCTGATTCCTCCGGAACCAACCACTCATCAAATTCACTTTTGATCAACAGTCCAAGAGATTTTCACAAGTTCAAGGAGAATGGGAGATCACGTCTGGGATGTTTAACTTGCAAAATACGAAAGAAAAAGTGCGATGAAGTTAGACCAGTTTGTTCTGATTGTAAACGATTACACAAGAAATGCCATTATGTTGATCAATCTACCATGACTACGGAGGAGATTCGCAATTTAAAAAGAAAAGTGGAACTTGAAGAGAGTAACCATAAACTAAGACGAAGGAAAAAGACCAAGTCAAAGGCGCCTGATGAAGATAAGGAGGTAGTGGAGAATGAGAATAACTTGAAACCGCAACTACCGCTGTCAAAGCAGACGCAATTTGAATCAGTAAATGTCTTGAGCCTGACTGAACTGAATTTGCTAAGGGGCGAGCCAGGTGCTAGCCGTACAGAGCAAAACTCTTCCACCAACGCCAATGACCACTCCATACATTCTCCTACTAATCACGACATTCTTTCATTTAGTCCATCCGATAGAAACATATCGGCCAACTTGTCAAATTTGCGGAGTACAACTGGCAATGATACAGTCCCAATTACCGACTCACAAGCTAACTTGGAGACCGAATTCAACCTACATCCAATCACACCCAATTCAATCCTACCCCACCAAACTGATCCATTTGAAGATGTCCTTGGATCATTTAAGTACCCGCATCCTGCCGACAATTCAACTATTGAATCTCCTTCGGCGTTTTTGAATCTACTTCGAGAAATGAACAACAACACTACTACATCCACCGATAATAAAATTGAAGAGCTCGACGACTCCAAATTTGACGAGTTCAAACATCTTGCAGCTACGTCCCCTGATGTTGCCCCTGATATTTATGCCATGATTGAATCTTTCGATCACGCGCGAAATCATGACCATATGGATAAGTCATTGGTCACTTCTAGTCCTTCGTTCCCGGACTTGGTATCCACTTTGAGTGCTCATTTTAATCCATCGCCCAACCCACAACCTAGTTTATTATCGGTTCCAGAACTTGCTGACCCATCAATATCGTACCTTTACAATTATTACGTTGAAGTTATCTCCAAAAAAGTGTCAGTGGCACCAACATCTCAAAATGAGTCCAATTCTTATCAAAATATCTTTTTGCCATTGGCCCAAAAAGATAAAGGAGTGTTGTATAGTATCTTAGCCTGGGCTGGATTCCAGTTAGGCGGCAAATGGGAAGTCGAAGCTACTAATTATGTCGCCAAAGCTATGCATCATTTTCACAACAACAAAATTAACAGTAAGACCATGCAATTGGCATCTGAAGGCTTACAAGGTGACCGAAACTCGATAATTAATAAATTGGCAATCTTGATGATTCTTGTTGGAGCACACATTTGCAAAGGTGATGTGAAAAATTGGAGTGTTTACCTACAATGGGGATGGAAACTTCTTTCCACCAATGGTGGTATTTTGAGGTTCAACCAGTCCAAAGAGGAAAACTGGTTGATTTCCAATTTTGCGTATCATGATGTATTGGCTAGTTCAACGAGTGAACGAGGGACTTATTTCACTTCACGTGAATACAACAAAATTTTTGAAGATCATGATGTTTTTTTCCTTCACGGACAGTTGAACCCGTTATTGGGAATTTCGAAAAAGTTGTTCACTATTATTGGTGAGATTTCAACTTTACTCTATGAGGGAAGGAAGCTATTACATGAATATTATTCACGTGGGGTTGATAACCATTTTGAACAAAGTAGGGGTTTTTTGAATGAGTATTTCCATGACATTGATGGTGATTCTAAGCCAAATGGTGAAGTTGTGGTTGATGATGAAGAGGATGAAGAATATTCTGATGTAAGTGACCATACTAAGGCTAATCAATTGTTATCGATTATGATCACAAAGGCTAAAGATCTTGAACGACAAATTGATGAATCAAAACCAGACAAACGAGATATTTGTAACTTGACTGATTCTGATCTCGAGTTACAATTGACATTATTTGAAGCATTTCAACTCAGTGCCAAGTTGTTTTTACGTGAATCAATTCTTCGATGTAATCCTTCACATTTGGAATCACAAATGATTAATAACGATTTGATTAAATGCTTGGATATTTTGATTGGAACACCAGTACAAGCATCCCTTGTATTTCCATTCTTCATTTCAGGGATCCATTGTGTTTCCAAGCATGATCAAGAGGTGATGTTGCAACGTGTTAATTCATTTATTGACCAATATGGAATGTTTAATGCTAATAGAGCTAGAGAAGTCATGCAAAAGATTTGGAAGGAAAACAGTAATGGTGACAAAGTCACTAATTGGCATAGTATGTTGAATGATTTGGGATGGGATTTAAATTTCGCTTAGACAGTATATGATATATAGATGGATGATAGATTTCAGTTTATGTTTGCGCTACCACTATTTATCACGTGCTTCATTTCCAATTTTTCTCATCTCAAAAATCCGACTTGAAAAAAAAAAAAACTTCACCCAAAGAGCGGCATAGATAAAAAATCAGCTTAACCCCCCTTTACATCTACAATATCATGGCGGGATTAGATTACCTTCTCTTCGAAGAGGCTACCGGATATGGTATTTTCAAAGTCCTCATACAGCAAGATGACATCGCCTCCAGGTCTAAAGAAGTTCAAGAAGCAGCCCATGACTTGTCAAAATTTTCCAAAATGATTGAATTAGTTTCGTTTGCTCCTTTCAAAGGTGCTGCACAAGCTTTGGAGAATGCGAATGATATTTCTGAAGGTTTGGTCTCTGATTACTTGAAGGAAGTGTTGGAGTTGAATTTACCCAAGACCAGTAAAAAAATCACTTTGGGTGTATCGGATAAAAACTTGGGTCCATCCATAAAGGAAATTTTCCCCAATGTTGATGTATTGTCTAACGAAATAGTTCAGGATTTCCTCAGAGGTATTAGAGTGTTTGGTGCCAAATTGTTCAAAGATTTACAAGATGGTGATATAGAACGAGCACAATTGGGATTGGGACATGCTTTTTCTAGAGCTAAAGTTAAGTTTTCGGTGCAAAAGAATGACAACCATATTATCCAGGCTATTGCATTATTGGATCAATTGGATAAAGATATAAATACATTTTCAATGAGGGTTAAGGAATGGTACGGATGGCATTTTCCTGAATTGGCCAAGATTGTTTCCGATAATTATCAATTTGCCAAATTGGTGCTTTACATCAAAGACAAGTCGAATTTAACAGAAGATGATTTACATGATGTGGCTGCTATATTAAATGAAGATTCAGGATTGGCTCAACGTGTCATTGACAATGCCAAGATTTCCATGGGTCAAGATATTAGTGAACAAGATATGGATAATGTCATTACTTTCGCTCAAAGAGTAGTCAATTTAACTGAATACAGACAACAATTGTTCAAGTACTTGACCGATAAGATGCATACTGTGGCACCAAACTTGTCGACGTTGATTGGTGAAGTTGTTGGAGCTAGATTGATTTCTCATGCCGGGTCATTGACCAATTTATCCAAACAAGCAGCATCAACAGTACAAATCTTGGGTGCGGAAAAGGCATTGTTTAGAGCATTAAAGACAAAGGGAAACACACCAAAGTATGGGTTGATTTACCATTCATCATTTATTGGTAAAGCTGGTGCTAAAAACAAGGGAAGAATTTCGAGATATTTGGCAAACAAGTGTTCTATTGCTTCAAGAATTGACAACTATAGTGACGAGCCAACCACGGCTTTTGGTGAAGTATTGAAGAGGCAAGTTGAAGATAGATTGAAATTTTACGATACTGGATCAGCACCAATGAAGAACTCTGATGCTATTAAGGAAGCTTTGGCATTGACTGGAGGCTCTGTTGGTGAAGATATTGAAATGGATGATGTTGAAGATAAACTGGAGAAGAAGGAAAAGAAAGAGAAGAAAGAAAAGAAAGAAAAGAAGGACAAGAAAGAGAAGAAGGACAAGAAGGACAAGAAGGAGAAGAAGGAGAAGAAGAGAAAAGCTGATGATGAGGAAGAAACGCCAAAGAAGAAGAAAAAGAAATCCAAGGATTAATCGATTAACGTCTAGTTTAAACCCGCTGTATATTATAATAAATTGCGAAAATTTAAAAGAGGAAAAGTAGTCTGATCTACGCATTCTGATTTGTTTAATGAAATCTTTCTTTGTTCAAGAACACAGTATTCCTAATCTGTTAAATGGGCTAGCAAATAAAAAACACAACAAGTACAAAGACTCACATGGTCGCCAGAATCACCCGTGTTTAAAGTGACAACTACATCATTGTAGTTGCTGCAACTATCCTCTTCTTCTTCTTCCACCTCTTTGGTGGACCCCTCTACCGGTTTTCATCTAAAAAAGCACGATGTCTTCTTCACCTCTTTCTCAACTTTGACATCTTGCGACGTATTTCCATTAGCATTGACAATAGTTGTGTTTCCATTATTGTCCTTGGTTTCTTTAGTCATGATTGATCCAACAATCTTGAATGTTCTCGCAATTTCACTTGTTGCAGCAGCTGTACTAGCAGCTCCGGCACCGTTCTTTTCATTACATGTCTCTCCGACAGAGCTTGCAGCCAACTTCTTATGATTGGGGAAATGATTATCAACAAATTGTTCCAAAGATTCATTAAATGGAGCAACAACAGGATCAACCGGCTTGATAAAGATATTCTTACCATTAGCATCATGAGTCTTGTTATGCAATTCTTGCGACACATTAGAAATGCAATCTTTTGTAGGTTCAACAATGGTTTTACTCACTGGTTCGATGATACGCTTGGATACAGTTTCATTAATGGCGGAAATCTTGAAATTTACCGTGTCAACGGCAACAATCACTGGTGTTGTTATTGGATTGGTTAAATCTTGTACTTCAACCGTTTGCAAACTTGGTGCCCAATCGTCCAATTTGGATAAAATTAGGTCGGAGTAAATGTCACTGGTTTCAACTAGGTACTTGATGGGTTGGAACCCACGGAAAAAGGTAAAGGTGGATTTGGTGGCATTGGTGATGTATCCGCTTAATGGGATCATCTTGACTGCTGATTCACCTGATGCAATAATGGGATACGATTTCAAGTGTTTTGGAGTCAATAGACCTGGTAAAGCACCTTTATTTAAATCTTTAGTGACTTCTGATGCCTCTTTTACACCCTCTTGTTGTTGTTGTTCCGGTTGAGCATTTTGATATTGTTTTGATGATCCTTCGACTGGTGAGTGATTACCACAAACACCATTTTCAAAAGTCTGTTGTTGTTGATTGATAGTTGTAGTTTTAGCAGCTGTCATGATTGAAAGTAATCGTTTGATAATATCTAGCACTGATAAAAAGCAAGCCAAGATTAGGAATGAAAGGAGTTCAGGAACTGAAGAAGACATATAAAAGAAAAGAAAGAGGGAGGGAAAATGGAAATGCAAATAAAGCATTGAGTGGTTTTGATAAATCCTATTTGTAATTTGACATAGGCAATAATAGAAAAACCTCTTTCTAGCTTTTATTGGTATGGCTGCGAAAACGACACAAAAGGGGATTTATCACATTTTACGATAAATGAATATAGCGCCACCAAAGAAAGGCAAACCACCCCTCTAGCAAGGAAGCGACAAAGTAGTTTTATTCAGATCAACTAAACAATATCCAGTATAAAAAAAAAAAGCGGTCACTCAATTGAAAACTGATTCAGTATAAAAAATAACAAAAATGGAGAAAGATAGAAAGATAATGAGGCAATCTATACCATGAACAGAACTTTAACAACGAAACTAAACACCTAACCAACTTGAATCAAAAGTGGTAATGTATGTCACATGCAACAGCATGTCAGAAGAACACAAAAACACGCAATAGACTTAGCAAATAATAATCAACTTTTCAAACTCCTCCTATCCAAACATCAAGTAGAAACTTCATCTTTGCCAAACTCATCTCAACACTACTCAGCAGACCAGTAGACCAGAAGTTGACACTATTGATTTCACAGATCACTTTTATTCGACCCTCCACATCTGCCTCTTATCTTTCCATTAAGGCCATCCACAGATTCTCGTTATTCACATAGCACCACAAATTCCTTCATTCGCTGTTCTTTGAATCGTACCGATCAGTGACCTCATAATCGGTATCATCACTCTTGTCAGCGAAACTACCAGCACAACTGGAATGATCGGATACATAATCAGTCAAGTCAGATTCAAAATCGCACCCACCATATGCACCACATGCATCGCACGGACCACAACCGCTACCACACCCTTCACATCCATCAGTAGTGGATCCAATTTGGTTCATGATCCCCATTACATTATTGCCATACTCGTCGCAATCGTTAGACAAGCATGACAGTTGGTGGAAATCGAGAAAGTCTTGCTTGATATGGTCATTGTTTATATTATTGTAAGTTGGATGATGAGGTGGTGGTGGACAATTGACATGAGTAATGATGTTGTTACATGGAGTGGAGAAATGGGCCACGTGGGTGTCGATTGTGGGCGTGGTGATGACAACATACACATCATCGTCATCTTCCACCTGTTGGTGATGATTCCTAGTGTCCATGTGGTTAATCCTTGCCATTGGTGTTGCAGCCAAACCTTGAATGTTATTACTACTCGATGCTGGCGTGATTGGATATTGATAATTCCGAATGCGATTCTTATTCGAATTGTTTCTGTCTGTATCAAACTTGCTTGATGACTCAATCTCAGGTGTTTTCAACATAATAGTGCTGTCAGCTCTTGCATTACAATAACCAAATTGGGTGCTAATACTTTGAGGCTCAACCTCAGACTCTTCTTCACCACTGTCAACGTATTCCTCATCAGTGGCATCGCCAACATTCTCGTCAGCAGTTTCTTCTGAATTGTAGCTAAATGGTGAACCAAGCTTTGGCTCTTCTGTAAATTGCTTGGTGACTGGATCCTTTTTGAGGATCATATTTTGTTCTACTTCCATCCTTTCAGCAAGGTCAATTTCTGAATGCTCAACATTCATATTCTTATCCTCCCTCTTCACAGGCACAGTGTTGAAGTCTTCCATTTTGGCATCCTCTTCATCATCTTCAAGACAATCAATGTTGCGAGGACCTTCACTACCGACAATAGCATCCAACTTGGTTTCAAAAGCATTCCTGCTGCTTATATCACCATCACCATGCCTGTCACTAACCTGTTTCTTCAGTTTCTTTGTCAGATTTTCCCGTTTAGCAATTTCTCTCTTGAACGTGGCTCTAGTTTGCTTTCTCCCCAAACTAAGCTTTTCGACCTTCCCACCACGTCTGTGTCTCAACTTAACCACCAATGTCTTTCTATTACCACAACCAATAGTCTCTTTTTCATCTCCAACATCCCTTTCTTCCTCCTCATCCATCTCATTAGTCTCATTCAACCCATAAATACGTGTATTCATTTCCCTGGGAACAATTTTACTTGCCATAATAACTTCATCTTTTTTGAAAGGATGCTTTACCCAACTAGTCATGATTTGAATTCTATCCAAATCAAACAATTTTTGTTCATGTTGAGGAATCAAGTAGAATAGTTCATCCTGATGACGAAGTAAATTAAAAAACATACGTTCATACATTGCCAAGTACAAGATTTCCTTGAGCAATGAATACAATACTGGTTTTTCTTGATATTGTTTTAAATCAACTCGTCTTAAATCAAAACGTGGGTGTCTCAAAACATTAATCAACACTTCAACACGACCAACTTTGTCCAAATGATCAGGCTCTATGTGATTAACAAAAGGTGGCCACCAATCTGGCTTTGATTTATTGTAATCACGATAAGGAAACAATGCTTGTTTATTAGGTTCAAGTATCTTTATCCACGCCTTAGCAACATCTTTACAAACGTATTGTGATAATGAATTGAATAAATCACGATATTGATTCAACAATTGTTGTGGTGATTGATTCTTGGTTAGTGTTAATGGGAACAGATTGATTAAAGTTGGTTTAATTGTCGTTAATGACGATCTTCCAAGCAACAACTTCAAATCTTCAATTTGTCCCAGGTTGAAATGGGACGAATAATGGAAGGTTAATTCAGTATTTGGATGTGAATCATCTTGAGTTACAAGCATATACTTGTATGATGAGTTGCCACTGATCTTATGCAATTGGTTAATCACCGAGGTTAGCAGCTGTATTTGTGACATGATTGGGGCTGTAGCAGTAGTTTATGTAAAGACAATGTGAACAATGATTGCAAGATTAGTTTGAGGTAAATAATTGAGGGATTAACGCATGGTATATATACATTCCACTTAACAACCGACTTTTTGAAGGACAAGGGATTTTGCACCACATGAATAGGGATCAAGGGGGTTGTGTGTGTGTGTGTGAGGGCTGAAGCCTATTGTGTGACTGTGTTTTACAATATATCCTTTAAGGGACAACTCAGATCCATTAAGCCCATCAACAATAAGCGCCTCAAAGAAATCTTGTGTGGTATTATTTGGTTTCTTTTTTGTTTTTGGAAAAGAGTTGACAAAACCTTAATTTCGTCAATACCACAATAAGCCAAACTACAACCGCAACGATTTAGTAACATCTTGTGAGTAACAACACTATGTCTGTGTAGCCCTATGTTTATGTGTTACCTAACAAAAAGGGGAATAAATATTGCTTGGACAACAACAAATAGAGGCAAATACATTTTGTCAACTACATTGACAATAGAGCAAATAGAGGCAACAATCCAACACCCTCATTGTTGTTGCTTGAGTTAACACAAACCTTTCAAAGTGCGGCGGGCTCCAATGTACATTTCCAAATAACAAAACTTGTATATGCTATTAGCTTCATTGTAAAGAGTGGACAAGAAGGGGAGAAAAGGTCGGTAAGCGCCGTGTGAATGAGTTATGTACATTGTTCAAGTACTCCTGCCATCCAGACACAGGGACGAGAAAACACATAAAACATGAATGAACAATAGAAACAATAGGAGGTTGCCATACTTGGTAATTGGTTGCTAATGACAACAACAAACACCAGGACAAGACAAAAGCAGCTGACTTGACAACCAATTACAATGTATTTTACATACCGCAGACACAATGGGGGACTAAACTGTAGAGTACATTACCACATGGCCGAGGAAATCACAAAAGAGGACAAAAAGAAAAACACCTATATGCGGGCTTAGGTTGGACATACATTTGGTCCATTCTAACTTTTGCGTGAAAGGAGATATCAAGAAATGCTACATTGCTACTGCCACACCACCCAAGGTGTTACATGCTGCATACATACTACCTGTAGTACTTCTTTACTTTGTAGTGAGCCACCACCTTGCAAAAAATGCCTCCATTAGATCAATCACTTTTTGAAAAATGAGCCCATCTCTAAAGATGTCGTTTGGTTTGGTCTTGTGTAATTTATGTTACTACACAAAAACCAAACGACTACCACATGGGCATGTGAATTTTTTCTTTATTCACACCGACAAAAACTTGGCCTTTGGACGTCTGTATTTTTAAACAGCAGACACTAAGAAAGCACCCCTCTAAAAGTGGTCTAGCTCTTACATTAGCTACCCAGATAACAAGAAAAAGAGATTTAACTGTTTTAATATTTTTCGATCTGGTCTAAATAACAAAGTGTGTTTGATTATTTTTAGTCTCTATTGTGTTTGATGCAACTCCAGATTGTGTAAGCATGAATTGAGATATAATTCGATATAGAGATAAATTCACTCGAGAGCTTGCACATGGGATTAATTGCACACTGGTAACTACTTGGTTTATGCTAAACTACCATTTTAGGTTAGTTCGGTAATGTGGATCAAAATCCAACTGTGTTATCCCAAATTGAGTTCCTCGGTTATAGCAAAAAATAGAGTTTGATTTAAATGCCGATCGGCGAATGATTAATTACACAAAGTAAAGTTTATGACGAAATATTTTTAAAAAGCTTAATTTGTTGATGAATCAGATCTGGTTTCTCTAAAATTGATATAACACTTCAATGTAAGACTTGAAAGTTGGATCTGCTTTCAGCTTCATATCTCAATCCAACTAAAAGACATCACAAACATGTATTAAAAGTCAGTTGATATACCGTCCCTTTAACACACATACACTCTGTAGTTACAAGTTGATGCCAAAATGTCGGTTGGTAACTAAACTATTCTTGTGGCTTTTTTGACTCGTCCCTGTTACACCACTTACACAAAACGAAGAGCAAGATGTTTACCAAAAAAGCCTTTTGCGATATAATATACGAAAGCTCGAAATTAACGCCTGACATATAATTGAGCCGACTAATTAATTCACAGCTTTGTTCGGCAGGGTCAATTTTGCCATTCTATGTCCAAGGTTACGTTATGCACAACAGTAGCTAATTACCTATCAAATACCAAGGACGACTTGCATTAATCGAAATGAGGAATTTAATTTGAAACAAAGAAGCAATGAGATGCCTTTTAGATTTGCTGTTCTCTTTAAGTCGAATTTGTAAGGTTGAGGAGAGTAGTTTGTTAAAAAGGCACAAACAGAAGTGTGTTCACACAAACACTGTACTGCGAAGGGAACATTGGCGCCTTTGTCGGCCTAATAAATTCATACGTTTTCTTGATAGTTGTCTCCCCTTTCTATTTCCATCAAGACGACGTTTGCTAGTTACAAACAAATACACACACACTCTCTCTCTGTGTGTGTGTGTTCTAATTGACCTAGCATCCAAATACGTTTGATGCAGTTGACACTTTTTCTCAAATAGACATGGCATTGTTTTATTTTGTGTCTCGTGTCTGTTTTTCCCCTTTTCCGCAAATACGTTTGGTTTAGATCTTGGGTGGTTATGAGTATTTGCTATTGTTATAATAGCACTGTCAAATATAAATGATATATAGCAGTGAGTACATATACGATGTTGTTAACCAAATTTAATTTAGCGCCAGCAAGAAAACAATCACCTGGCAACCTTTTCTTTCTTCCTCGGGATTTCAAAGATCTTCTTGTTGAAAATATGTAGGTGGGATATACATTACAACCACATTGTTTGGACTCCCACTCACAATTCGATTTACAAAGTTTGGAATTGGAGGGGTATCAAAGAATTGGTTGTCGGAAAGTCCTTTTTTTTGAGAAGGGGCGTATTTTAGATTATGCATCTTGACGGACACTACACCATACTAAAATCTCCTTCGCTTATAATAATACGCACCACTACAAGCACCACTAATCAAGTAATTGGACATTTAATTATGTGACTCTGAATCATAAACAGAATACACAAGTGCATACTTCAATTTTTTGAAAAGAATAAAAAATGCGCTTACAATTCCATCTAACTTCAAAATTCCTTCCCCCTTTCATTCTAGGACCAGTCGAATCCATATTACAATATTGATAAAAACGTTTGACCTTGGAAATTAGTCCACTGCCGACATATTCGGTAGTTCGTCTTTTGTATCGTAAAAATCACACGCCTTTTAACAAATTTTTCGGATGAGGACATTCCTTTTACTTTTGTATAGTTTTATCAACGAAGTCAACAATTGCCCCGAAAGATAAGAAAAATGAATCATTCTGGAAAATTTACAACAGCTGCTGGCAACGTGTCTCAAAAATATCGGCTGAAAAATACTCTCCTGAACAGCTAAAGCCTAGAGACAATCTGTGAAGGATACAGTTTGATAAATTAGCAATTTTTACATCATCGAGTTTTTTGTTCGAAATACCTTATAGTCGTAACGATTGTAGTATTTTTTTATACACACGCGCATAGCTTCCCCTAATCAAAGCAAACAATCAAGATCTTTTTCCAAATAGGTGCCTTGTTATACCGTTCCTTATCCTCCAAATTCTGCAACTCCAAAATCTCAGGATCATAAATAACACGATCTTTATTAACATCAATCTCTTCAACCGGTTTCCATAATCGCCAATTGCGAGTATAGAGTTTATGACAAACATAACACAACAACATGACCGGGGCTCCAAGATAATTTTCGAAAAAGTTGTTGGCATCAGGCTTGCCTTCGGGGAATAATGATGTCCAAAATTGAGCAATCAAGATTAAACTGTTTATAATTATTGAACACCACGAGCCAATTACTCCGGTGGGAGCAACAAATGCCAATGTATCCAAGGCAATTCCATTATGTTTCAAGGCTGCTCTGAAACGAAGATGGGACACACAGATAAATAACCAACATACAACAAATGAAATACCCGAGATGGATAATAGCCATGTAAACACCGTTTCTTCTTTATCATAAGCAGCAATAAATGCAAAAAACGAAGACAAGATGGTAACAAACCATGCACGCAATGGTCTTCCTTGTTTATCAACATAATCCAACCATTTGGGGGCCAACTTCTGATGAGCCAATGATTGAATTAACCGTTGAGAACTATACATGGCAGCAACCGATACCGAAGTGACAGAAATAAGAATCACGGCATTAATTATATGGGGCAATACTTTAACACCATGCATTTCAGCAGCAATAACATAAGGCGACGAGTGAGTAGCTGCACTTCCTGATCCGAACAATTGTGGTGAATTATGAGGCACCAATAATCCAACAAATGTCAATGATCCAAGAAACAAAATGATAACTTTGAAGTAAACCAACTTTGAAGCTGCACGGATTGAGCTTCTTGGATTCTTTGTTTCAGCAGCTGATAGACTAATAAACTCTGAACCACCCAATGAGAATGCACCGGTAACAAACACTGATGCCAATCCTTTAAAATTGGTGAAAGCACCCGGGTTATGATAATATCTGCCACCAATAAACCCTTGAGGTCCACCACCAACATCAATAATCAATCCAAATATAACAAAACCGCACAACATCAAAACTTTACATGAATTGAAAAATCCTTCAGCCACAGCATACACTTTGGCACCACCAAGATTTATGAGTAACACAACGACAAGAAAAATTGTCACCCAAACGTCTGGATTCACTGATAATGTCCAAAATTTAATTGTCATTGCTGCTGTGACCAACTCCAACGATATAACGCAACACCATTGGAAAGCATAACTCCATCCCAAGGCAAATCCCAATGAATCATCAATGAACTTGGAGTAGTATGATTGGAACCCACCTGGTAAGCCAGGATATGCAATAGATAACTCCGACACTGAGGAAATCGTCGGCACAAGCATAACCAATCCCGTGATTGCATATGCAATCAAAACACCAGCAGGACCAGCCATACGTAATTTATTACCAGCAGCCACCAATAACCCTGTACCTAATCCCGTTGATAACGACATTAATCGTAATTCGTTTTTAGAAATTGCTTTTTTACGATCATCACCTTCAGCAGCTGATGGTGGTGCTCGTTGGAATCCATCGAGAAATTGGTGCCAATATCCTTTGAATTTGGAATGAGATGTGGTTGTTCCTGATGCTGATGAGTAGACGTCTTCGTCTAGTTTGTCAAAGTTTTCTAATTCTATAACATGCGGTTTGGAAATTGACATTGTGAGAGTAGGTTTAGCTGTGGTTGTGTAGTATGATAGTATCTAAGATGTAATTGAAGATGTGATAATTTTTATTGTAGTAGTAGTAGAACTCTTTTAAATTCTCTGGTAGTAGTTGCAAAGTAAGTCTAATAACTCAGCATAACAAAGATCTAGTCGCTATAGATAAGAAACGTCAATTGGCGTATGTTGTGGTAGATTAGTCTTTAGTTATAATAAAATAGAACCCTTTAGTTGTCAAAATATTATATGAATGCAAAAAATAAGTGAAAACGGAATAGAGTTTTGAATTTATACCGAGAAGTGGAAGAAGATTAAAAAGATCAAAAAGAAGAAGAGGAAGAAGAAAGAGGGACAAGACAATAGATATATATCAAGAAAAGTCCGAATCAAACAAACCTCAAATAGTGCGGGGATGATAGATGAGTGGATTATCGGAGGTAAGACAACGGAAGTTTACCATGATTAGTAAAGTAGGAGGGTATGATGCAGAATGACAAAAATAACAATAATAAAGGGCATTCATATACTTAAGCCCTATTACTTTGCACATCTCTTCTTCATATCCAACCAATATGATTTAATCGCTATATGCCTAACAAAGAAAGAGAGACAAGAAAATTTTTCTTACTTACGTATGTTATATCTCTTTTGTGGTTTGAGTACAAAAGTATGTCATCGCCTTCAATCATGAAAGTATAGAGTAAAGCATAGCGAGTTTTGTCTAACTAATGATATCATACCATACTAGTGTGCATAATACATTGATTTCAATTGTTAATTCCCTTATCTATTCCAACAAACTGGACCAACACATACCCCCCTCCTTCTCAGCATTTACCTTACTTCTACTGGATATAAGCTTCAGTTATGTACTATGTCTTCATCACCGTCTTTCTTGTCAAGCCTCTGTTCGTTCCTTTTTCTTCTTCCTCTGCTTCTCTGCTTTTAGACTATGCGCTAATTCTTTCTAATTTTAAATTTCTTTTTTTTTAAAAAAAGTTTTGAGATATTATAATTACACAAAGCTAAACCAACTTCTTTTTCTATTTTTGTTGAGTCCGAGTACGAGACGACAGAATATTTACATTGGCGGTGTTTGATACCAACCATTTGAACACGACTTCTTTCTAGTGGCTTAGCTTAGATACTAGATGTATATCTATCCTCTTCATTCGTCAAAGATAATAGAAAAACAAAGAATGGCATTCAATAAGTACTTTTTCTCTTTTACTCTATCTTTACCCATCAAGAAAAAACTTTATAGTAGAAGCCTTAAAATATCCTCGGCATTGGAAGAGGGATATTGACTTTTTATACTTTTGCTGTAAAGTGTCAAAATAAACTATAAACGTACAACTAAAAGAAAGTTAGCTCTGATGCGATTGTAAAATTGTTGATATTGATTTAAGTTAGCCCCCTCATCTTTACCCCACATTCCACTAGAGCATACGAGATAGTCCGTGTGTATAGATACATACCACAACTACTACTACTTGTGATGAAAGTAGAATGGAGTGGTGTGTCCTGAAGAAAAGAGAAGCATAAACTGATTTTTCCCGCCAACTTTAGACACAAAAAAGCACACACACAAAAATAAAACGTTTCTTGCTAAAATTGATTTTTTTCTTTTGGTGTTTGTGTAATCTCTCTAACAATTGCCGTTTGAAAGAGAAATGCCTTAATAGACATAGAAAGAAAGAGATGTATTCTTTAGCACTCAACTTATATGACACATACGTTCTACCATACCTTCTCTTGAGCATACCACCTAAAATCTAGAAACGAAGGGATTCAAAGCTCTTCATCTACAAAACGAATACCACTTTCAAGAGCAATTATTTACCTCTTTATTTTTTTTTTTTTGGTCACGGCAAACGTATTTTCCAAATATGCAATTCAATAATACATATACAACTATTGCTATATGTGACCACGTAGAACTCGAATGATTATGTATGTACTCTGCCTCAACTGTTTTTTCTTCTGCATTCACCGAAGTTGACACTCGGGCCGATAGAAGCAATAGTACTTGCTAGCAATATGTATTTCGTATACATTTACAATTTTTCTGTTTCGTTTCGCTATGCCTATACCAATTCTTTTTTGCTTTTTGCATAAAACAATCAGAAACGTTCATGTTTAGCGAGCAACGGCAAAACTAAAGGCTATCCAAAACTATATTAGAACCTATGTACACGCAACAGATTGCACAACACAGAGGTACCCCACCCATGTGAGTGATGATGCAAGATCTAGTCTATTGTAAGACAATAGGGGACGGGACGTTGGTGGGGATGGTGGAGATGGTGGGGTAGACGAGTTATAGACTTCATTAATTGTTGGTTACAGGGAATACAAAATCAAATTCTTTTAAATTTAGTTAGCGCATTGTACGTAGGATGAATCAGAGGTCACACACACACACACACATAGCGCGCATGCAGTTGTTGTTTCAATGATGAAGTTAAACCAGTTGACATATTCTTCTGACATTTCGGTCAGAATGTATACTTTTTGCACTGCTAAGAGGGCTGAAAATTGCTAAATGACATCACCATTACTTCGAGACCAGCTAGTTTGTTCTTGATATATCGCAGCTAAATACGTCATGAAATTTCCAAAAATTAACTTGGTTATTAAACATCATCTTCTTGTAAACAATGTCGCAACCAAACTTGCTACGACATTAACCTTGAACGACACTTTGAATTAAATGGACTTCGAAAAAAAAACATGCCACCATGAACAATAAAAAACCCTTTCTTATCCATTTGCAAAATGATTAAACTTGTGAGGCTCCCCAAGTTGCCTCGCTTTGCAAGTGCCACCACCACTACCACCACCAGACTCTACCACTCAACTGACCATATAGGCACCAACACAATCATAAACCCCAACCTCATTGAATCAAAAGTCTTGACTAGAGCCATTGATTATATCCCACAATATGGGTTCCACCCCAAAACAATCTCCAAAGCAATACATGACTTGGACTACCCTGACTCATTGATTCTGGTATTCACTACATCACCTAGTGGATATTCACTCTCTATGCAGTTGATGTTGTTTTGGTTGAAATTGAAACGACAAGAATTGGAATACTTTGCAAAAGATAAAATAGCTATTGAGACAAACGCCGATGCTATTGCTACTAATACCGCTAGCGCCGGGACATCTGAGGGTGATAAATTGAAACAATTGATAAAGTACAGATTACAACTAAACACCCCCATCAAATCTCAATTATCACAGGGTCTAAGTCAATTAATCGTGCCCTACAACATATCAGCCTCCTTGGAAGAATTGCTCCAATTGGGCGATGATATAGCTTATTACGCAGGAGACAAGTCAAATGATTTCGCATGGTACCTGAAACGAGCAGCAATCTGTGGCATTTACGTCAAGAGTGAATTGTTTATGTTGCAAGATCAAACTGCAGATTCACAATTGACTAATCAGTTTGTTGATTCTAAAGTTGATGATTTTGTTGCCATGGGCCAGGGTTTTAGTAATGTTGAACAGTGGATTGAGTTTAATGCTTTTGGATTAGTTAATTTGATTAAATCGCAATTAGCAAGAGGGTAGAAACCTACATACAATATATATAAGGTCTTGATACAATGTGCTAGTTGATAAACGTAATCTGAAACTGGGAGTTATACACTCTGTCCTGTGCTCCGTGTTCACTCATAGCAAAAAGTGCACATTCTAACTCCAATATTCAGGCTATCATGTTTCTCTCCCTAACTAAGCCCAGGTCTGAGTTTAAGCTCGACTTAGAGGTTAATTTTGTGCCTTACGCCTGAGCTTGTTGTGTCCGAAAAGCAATTAGCTCACTTCTAATCTTGTCCATTTCCACTTCCTCATTATCAATCTTCTTTTCCACCCGTTTAATCTCCTCCAGTATAAACTCGATCCGTTTATCAACATTCAATTTAGCTTCATGAAATTCCTGAGGCAACAACACAGGTCCAGTCAATTTATAAATCTTGTCCGTGGATGTTGATAACTCCGCCAACTCCTGTTCAACAATTTTATTTTCTTGTAATTGAGTTTCTAAAGTTGATCGTGATGTGATTAGATCATTTAGACTTTGTTGATGATTTGAGAATTGTAATGAGAGTTGTTCTAACTTCTTGTTTGGATCTGACATTTGATTTGGATAAGGCGTGTGCAAGGTTGTTCTATATAGGTTGATGTTCTTCTCTTCTATCGATGTTAATTTTTCTTCAAAGTTTGTCTTTGTTTTCCTTTTTGCAATCAACAGAGAAACTCTGCACACTATGGAAGCGATGAATGACAAATAACTATATGACATAGTTATGCGGATACATTGATGATACCTACTTCCTCTATATACATACCCTCCACCAAGGGGGTGGTCCTCTGACGTTTGTATTGCCATTTGCTTCCATGGTTTGAAACACCAGAAGTCCCTATAGCAAAATTAACCCAGCCACAATTGCATAATCGTCACGTCTCCTTATTCTGTAGTTTTGAAGGTACCCATTATATTTCCGAGGTTGGAAATATATCATGATCTTCATTTTCATCAACCAAAATCTCTGTTACGCGTACCTTGAATCGTCTGTTATTAAAATCGCCTCCATACTCATGCATCTCTCTATAATCATCCTCATCCTCATCATCATCATCATCATCATCCTCCTCTTGGTCTTCGCCTTCATCATCATCTTCTTCTTCATCCGCCTCTTCATCCTCTTCTTCGCCATCTTCATCCCCGTCTTTATCTTCTACCCCTTTCTCATGATGTTTACCTCCGCTAGAGGAAAACTCCTCATTAGCATCATGCATCTCCTCGTCTTCATCATCTTCAGCATCTTCATCATCATCAACAATAGCATGATCAGACACATTAGAACGATCAAATTGCGGCCGTGGTGGATGATAACTAGTATGTCTCCTCTCGTAATCTCCATCACGACACTTTCTCCCACCACCAGTACCAGTACCACTAGTCCTTCTGGTCAGTGAAGAGCTCGACCTATACTTCTTGGCATTAGCTTGTTGTGATCGTACTTGTTGATAAGGAGTAGCAAACAAGTCCTGGTTGAACAAGAACCCCTGGCATTCGCGTAATGAAATTATTGAATAGTTTGAAGCGTATCCATTCATACCAGAATAAAAAGAAGTTCCCGATTCATAAACATTGAAGTTCTCATCTTGGATCATGGCCGGTGATAAGAATGAGTTTCGCCTAAACCAGGGAGACGATGTGTTTGCAAATGATGAGTTTCTTCTCTTGACTATTGTAGGTTCTGGCCGTGGAGAAGTTGTAGTTGTTGTGATAGTGGTGGTGTTGCTATTGGTATGAGCAGTTTGTGATGATGGAGATTTACCTCTTTGCATTGTATTGGTTATTGCTGTTGTTGTTGTTTTAGTTGTCGGAGGTGAAGTTGCTTTTTGTTTGCGTGAAGAAACTGTGGTGGTAGTGGTGGTTGTATCTGCAGTCGCGGATATAATTGATTTGCGTCTGATTTTGGGTGTTGAAGGAGAGTACAGAAAATGGCTCATAGAACGGGGGGAAAGTTTAAAATGTAGTATGAAGCTGTGTATATGTGTGGGGCGGGGTGTAGGTTGATACGTATTGGATATCTGGTGTAGTTAACCTTTGTTTGTTGTATTCGATAAGGATTTCTATGTGTATGACTGATTTTTGCTGTTTCCTAAAAATAATAATCACAGTATAATAATTGTATTGTGTCTTATGTCTTGTGTCTTATGTGTCTTTATCGCTCTGTTTCAACCGAGATTGTTAGTAAGTAGTGGTTACCACGCTACCAATCAATGGACTGAAATTTTATCCACTCCCCCCCCCGTCTCATTCCTAGCTATTATCCTACAGTCCTACAAAGCAAAAACCAACCTCAAATTCGTAATCATCGTCAGTTAAATAGAATATATACAGCTACTATGCTCTATACATCAACACCTCTTTTAGTATTTGTTAAATAGTTTCTTCCCCTTTCCTTCAACTTCATCATGACATAGTTCAACCCTTCTCTGGTATTTTGTATATTCTTCGTAAATCTTTTATGACTCCATTCTTCAACCTTCAGTTTCAATCCGAACAAATTGGAAGAGAATTTAACTTTTGAATCAACAATTGTACCATTCAACCCAGTTGCAAATGTATTGTCCTTCTTCTCGCTATAATATTTCAAATATTCCTCTACTCTGATAAACTTTCGATGATCAATATTACTCGTATACGAAACCAATGTACTTGTCCTTGGGTTAATGATTGATTTTTCAATTATCCATGAATTCAAATTTGCAACACCAAGAAATGGTTTAATGAATTTGGGCAATTTGCCAGTCTTGACTATGATTCGCGTAGTACATAGTTGTCCTTGCTTATCAACATATGATTCCAAAGTGTCTACTGAAAGTACATGCTTGGAGTATGGGTTAGGATATCGGTTTATAAATGCTAAACTGGCCGTTTCAAAGTCAAAGTCGAATCGATGCCTGTTTTCAAAATACAAAACCATTGAAATTTGATGCTGGGAGAGTGTTGGGACTTTGAAATGGGACGAGGACCGAGGATAAGCTATTGTGGATGATGGTGATTGTATACCCAAGAACACAAGGGGGTGTGATGTAGTGTTGGCAACTAGTTCTATTCGATAATAATGCGGAAGGACAAACGTGATGAAATTTTTTTTATTTTTTCTCCATTTGAAAGTATCATCTGAGGATTTCGCATTTTTTCACCAATTTGTTATCACCGAGATTTCTAATAACGGTGTTAGGAAATAACGCTACGGTTGGTGTGATTAACTGCCGCAAAGACCGCAATTGATTGTATCAGTAGATATATATGCACAGTCCATCACCTGATAACACATTCGAATTATACCCGTCTGAATTAGCTGTTTTTGCTAGATTGGACGAATCAGGTGATGGGGATTTACCATTACCATCAAAAGGTTGTGCACGTGACTGGCTGGGATTCAATACAAACTCCGACGATCGCTCACAATGGTAATTAGGAAATGTAGTAGTACATTTATCAAACGGAAGCAGGGGGGATGGAGCAGAGGCTGGGAGGGGTATTTGTCTTTTGTCAGTGTCTCAAAGCCTTATTTGCACACGCATTGGAGAATGAATTTTTGCATCTCGGAAATGTAAGTCCGAGTCCATTCGCAAACAGGAATTGAAGTACCGTCAAAGTTTGAAACAACTCATGCGTTTATGAGTTACTGGTTTGCATGCTATCATTGCCCAGAGTGTAGGATCCTCAAGGAAACCGAACTCCAAAATCTCGTATATGCATTTTGGATGGTGAAGAATTTAGAGCATATAGATATCCGGAAAAGGCATACTCCGAGTGCATCGAGCATTGCCTAGTTATTTGTTTTAAGTGAGATGGTGGCCTTGCATACTATTTTAGCTGAAGCTGGCTTAGAATCGATTTATTTGCTCGTTCTGCCACGAAATTTTTAGGTTTGATTAAATCAGGCGATAAATATATAGTGGGTAAAATCGGTGTCGACAGTTCAACAGTGATTGCACAGGCTTTCCGTAAAAACCCTAACGCCTTGGAAAAGAAGTTGTTTGTGTATTTCCATAATCTTCAACAATCGTCTTCAATGGACAGCACACAGGATCTTATAAATTCACAAGGATTACTGATAAAGGCATCCCGTTAGATCTCAATTAAATGACCTTTATATGACTTCAAAACAATAACATGGTCCAATAGGGAAAAACTATGACACTAGGTCTAGAACAAACGGGAAAAGAGTCCCTACCATTCACCTTTAATTTCAAGAGGATACGCACCACATTGTAAACTTGGCGTGAGCTGGGAGAAACGCTTTTTTGTATGCGGTTTAAACCTTATTTCAAAATGGGGCGATAAATAGTAAATTCAATTTTAAGACACCAAAAAGGAAAAACCTAGTTTTGGAAACAACGTTGAACCTTAACCCCATTCACGGCGTTACAGTGCAAAATCGGCTTGATTTCACGAATGCCACAGCAGACTTTAAATTTATGAAATTCATGACATTTTGGAAAGATGTAAAGGAAATCAAATACATGAAACTCTCAGTTTAGCACTTGTTCGTAACTCAAGGTGTGGCCGATTCGATTAGTAATAGCATAGCATCATGAAATTGATACAGTGATAAATATGCCATTTTGCATCTCTCAAACACGGAAGAACCTTTCTTCAACGGGTAAGGTAAGTCCCGATTTTTCGAAAATGCAAAGAAAGCTAAAACCGTATATGTATGGCAAAAGAAACATAAGAAAACAAATCTACGTATGCTAATTGATCAAAGTGATCTTTCTTGAACTCTATGCCCTGCCAAGAACAAACCCTAAACTTCTGTTTGCATAAATGGTTTGAGTACGTTTATTCTGATCTCGGTTTGCCACCACATTACCTGATATAGCCTAATATCAAAATATGAAAGCAGCTGTTCTATTCTACCTGACCCTCATCGATGCTTCGCCTTGCTGATTTTCTAATCAGATTGCGAGACGGTTGAAACATTGATTCAAGTTTTGTGTCATTTCTGTAAAATGTTTTTCCCCATTGACACAAAATGCGAAATATTAATGGTGTTGCGAAAAATGTAAAAGTATCAATTCCAACGTTTTCAAAATGGAGACTGGTTTAAAGCTTCTTGGCTTTCCATTATCAACATTTTTAGTGGAGTCTTAAGAGACCATAAAGTCTATGCGATTTTAGCAAATGCATTTATTTTTAAAAGTGTGTTTTGCACTAAGAATTAACTATAATAAACAGAGCTTGATCTGACGATCTTTAGGTTTGGGTCGTGGTCTTTTAGTAAGACAATCCTTCTCACTAAATCACCCCGCATTTTAAGTTTATCTTTCACCTTCAATTATATATAAAGTCCCTATCATGCTGTATTCGTTCATTATCGATTTTTATCTTTGGTATTGTTGCAAAATTTCTTCCATAATCAAATTCAGCAATCATAAAAGACGAGTTCGAAACAACTCAATTTGATATAGTTATTACACACAATGTCACTCGATAAAGAGAAAGGGGTAGTCGAAAATCAAGAAAGAGCAGATTACGATCTAAACTCAACAACTTCAGGGCAAATTCACCATAAAGGAATCAGAGGATATTGGGATTCCTTTGTTGATGGTTTCCGAAGAGCTCCTCCAGCAGCTGTGACTGGTGGTTCCTACAAAAAGGCAATTTCCAAAAATGAGTTGAGGCTAATGTCATTAACTACAGGGTTAGGCACTGGGTTGTTGGTAGCCTCGGGAGATAAATTACGTATGGCTGGTCCTGCTGGTGTTTTGATTGCGTATGCCATAACTGGGCTTATCATGCTTGCTCCTACAATCTGTTCCGTGTCTGAGTTATCCATAGCGTATCCTGGCTTACCAGGAGGGTTCCAATCATATTATTCCAAATTCATTGATGATTCATTGGGATTCTCTTTAGGGTGGAGTTATGCGATACAATGGTGTTGCATCATCTCTTTGGAGTTGGTCACAGCAGCAATGACAATTAAATTTTGGACATTATCGGTGAATCCAGACGTTTGGGTGACAATTTTTCTTGTCGTTGTGTTACTCATAAATCTTGGTGGTGCCAAAGTATATGCTGTGGCTGAAGGATTTTTCAATTCATGTAAAGTTTTGATGTTGTGCGGTTTTGTTATATTTGGATTGATTATTGATGTTGGTGGTGGACCTCAAGGGTTTATTGGTGGCAGATATTATCATAAACCGGGTGCAGTTACGAGCTTTAAAGGAGTGGCATCAGTGTTTGTTACTGGTGCATTCTCATTGGGTGGTTCAGAGTTTATTAGTCTATCAGCTGCTGAAACAAAGAATCCAAGAACATCTATCCGTGCAGCTTCAAAGTTGGTTTACTTCAAAGTTATCATTTTGTTTCTTGGATCATTGACATTTGTTGGATTATTGGTGCCTTATGATTCACCACAATTGTTCGGATCAGGCGATATCGCAACACATTCCTCTCCGTATGTCTTGGCGGCCGAATTGAACGGAATCAAAGTTTTGCCACATATAATCAACGTTGTCATTTTACTTTCTGTCACATCAGTGGGAGTCGCAGCAATGTATAGTTCTCAACGATTGATTCAATCGTTGGCCCATCAAAACCTAGCTCCAAAGTGGTTGGATTACATTGACAAGCAAGGAAGACCATTACGTGCATGGCTCCTTACTGTTCTCACATCATTTTTCTCATTCATTGCTGCTTATGATGATCAAGAGGATGTCTTTGTCTGGTTGTTGTCCATTTCGGGAATTTCATTTGTTGCCTGCTGGTTGTTTATTTGTGTGGCACATCTTCGTTTCAGAGCAGCACTAAAATACAATGGCATTTCTACTGACTCGTTAGCATACATTGCTCCCACAGGTATAATTGGTTCTTGGTGTTCAATTATCATCAACAGTTTAGTATTGATTGCTCAATTTTGGACATCATTATTCCCCGAAGGCAAGCCTGATGCCAACAACTTTTTCAGAAATTATCTTGGAGCACCAGTCATGTTGTTGTGTTATGTTTGTCATAAACTCTATACTCGCAATTGGCGATTATGGAAACCGGTTGAAGAGATTGATGTTAATAAAGATCGTGTTATTTATGACCCTGAAGTATTAGAGTTGCAGAATTTGGAAGAGCAGGAGAGGTATAACAAGGCGCCTATTTGGAAAAAGATCTTGATTGTTTGTTTCGATTGAGGAATTGTATATTGTAGAATAGCATTCCCAGCGATTCGAAAATTTATATCTTCATATACAAGTTTAGCTGCGAAAGGGACAAAGTTCTGAACGAATCAACACAATGTAGAATAATAGACAATCAACTGATCATTATCTTCACTGCAAAGTGGAGGAGTACTAGTTATTGTATTCCAAAACTACAATATTTGTATTAAATGATTGTAGATCCCTTGCAACCTCTAAACGTAGCTCTCTCCCGAGGTGTAATGAAGATACTATCAAGAAACTATCAAGATCAAAGACTCTGCAAAACAATAGCTGTCAAAACCCCATATAATGGCTTGTTTTCTTGAGTATGTCACCATGACATTCCAAATGATTTACTTAAAAGACAGAAGGCATGATAGTGTTGATGAACATCTTTTACTCAGTGGTGCCTTATTCGTATCACAAACACAAAGAGTAGTTGAATCGTTTTTATTGGACAGAGACAAGAAATCAGACCACAAAAGGATCAACTACGAAGCAACGCTCTATATTAGAATCGTATTGACAAGGGAGCTTTAGGCAGCACTCGGCGTGCCCTTTTGGCAGGTAACTAAGTGCCCCCTGGATGAATGGAAGTGAATACCATATTATTGCTACATCAACTTTTAAATGCATGTGAGAGCACAACGTAATATTTCTGGAAGAACGGAAGTTTCTATGGATTCGATTGCGCATGGACAACCGGAGCCAAAAAAAAACAAAACAAAAAAAAAAAAAGGTGGCATGACTACTGAGGTAACTACAGGGGATTGTCTATTGTGCGGAGTCTTACACGTGGGACCGTTACCTTTGGAAACGAAACCACAATGGCCCATTATTGTATTGTGGAAACCTCGGAGGTTAAAGTGCGATAAAAAAAAAACCCAATTGTTTGCGATTATCCGGGGAAGAAAGCTACAATACATTTTTTTTGTTTTTTTAAGCTCGGCTTAATTACGTATTGTCAATTGTGTTGGTAGTAATAGTCATTTACAAATGAGTCAACCTTATATAAATACTGCATATAATGGGTGATTGCGTAATGGACACAAAAGAGAGTAAAATCTGGAGAAACGGAAAACTATTATCATCACCAAAGCACAATTCTCAAATTATAAATATCCCATGAAATATCCAGTAGAGTTCAAACTGGTATGTTTCTGCTTCATACCAACTTTCATATTATACCCCTACAAGCACAACTATTCCACACTACTACGATGGTCGCACAAAGAATTCTCAGTGTAAGCAATATACAAACTGCTGCCAGGCATTGGGTTCCAATTGCTAAACAACAAATCATAAGATACCCAAAATCGCAACCAAGCCAACTCATAAAGAAACAATTTTACTCATCAAGGATAAGATGTGTAAACTACAACAACATCAACGACATTTCATTGGTTTCCAATGACGATGTTATCAATGCTTCTGCTGCTGCCGCTGCTACCACTACTACAAAAGCTGAAGATGCTGAACCATTTGAGCCAACTATATATTCATCAGAAGACGTACATACTGCTGGACCAGTTAACAGAGCTTAGAAGATAAGAGTGGCGCTGTTGTATTATACTTTTTTGATGATTTAACGAATGTAACGAATGAGTTTATAACTTTCCTGTGAATAAACATTGAAGGTAAACTAAATGACGAGCATTGTAGATTTTAACAACATTACTAACTGAAAGCGCGTGTTGTTCGTACCTTCTCCGCATTTGGAGTTGTTGCAGTAAACTTTGATTCGATAAAGGTTAGAGTGTATCAAAGAAATCTCTCATTATCTGAAGCGGAGAACATCTGTATCAATTGCAAAACTTTGATTTGCGAAAACCTTCACTCCCCTCATCTGATTGTAAAACGTTTGTTTGGCTCTGCAACATTTCTTATCAATGACAAAGTGATGCAATCAGAGAACTCTCCGGGAAAAGGAGGAGAAAAATCACCGGGGGAAAGATTAGAAGAAGCTCGTGCTGTAGATTTCGAAGAAGTTCAAACTTGTTAATCGGGGGAGGGAGCAAGTAGATGGCAACCTCGCCATATTTCATTAGAAAAGACGGTAGCGTTACCAATGGACCATTCAAAAAAACGTCATTGTCAGCGCCACATATTTTCATGTACCAGTAATACATCACCTTACAATGAAGGTTGCTGTTGGTCAACTATGTTCATCTTCAAACACCAAAAATAACCTTCGTACAGTATACAAAATCCTCAATCTTGCTATACAAAACCAAGCTCGCATTCTATTCCTTCCAGAAGCCACCGACTACTTGGCTCAAAATGCAAAACATTCACTTCAATTATCACAACAAGTCAAGACAGCATTCCTCACGCCCTTGGTTGAACATATTAAAGCTCTAAATCAATCTACGTATGTGTCCATCGGTATTCACTTGCCCAATGACACTACCACCAAGGTCGAGAATGTTCACTTGTTGATAGATCCAAAGGGGACAATCGTATCGCGATATCAAAAATTGCACTTGTTCGATGTTGATGTGCCCAATGGACCAATACTCAAGGAATCAAATTCAGTGGAAGCGGGGAACACAATCACACCGCCGACTTTAATCGACGATGTTGCCAATATCGGTCTTTCAATCTGTTATGATATACGGTTCCCTGAACTCAGTTTGAAGTTGCGTCAATTGGGAGCCAACATCCTCACTTTCCCCAGTGCATTCACAACGAAAACAGGCGATGCACATTGGGAAGTGTTGAGTAAAGCTCGAGCTTTGGACTCGCAATGTTTTGTGGTCAATGCAGCACAATGTGGACATCATGATGTTGGGACTAATGAAAAGGGGGATACAATAGAAAGGATAAGCTATGGTGACTCCATCATTGTTGACCCCTGGGGTACTGTGTTGGCAAAAGCAAAGAAATTTGATGACAAAGATTTATCTGTTGATGACGATAGTGATTATTTTGAGGTGATTTATGCTGATTTGGACTTTGACCAATTGAACAAGGTGAGAACCAATATGCCTTTATCGCAACATCGAAGAGCAGACGTGTTTGGAGATTTGTGAGAAGCCACTCCCAGATGAATTGTATTGGGGTTACTATGCTTTTGTTCGTTTGCCTTTCGGAGATTGCAAAAGCCGCGCAATTGACTCGGCCAAGACATGTATCTGCAGCAGAACTTTTCAATAATAATTACATCCAAGAAGACTCGAACAATGCTTCCGGGATATGAAGGAGACACCCTTAATTGGCCCCTTTCATCGGAAAAGTCATCAATTTAACGTTATCAAACTACACATGATACAGACTATTCATTTAACAGATCCTGTTTTAACAACAACTCGTTCATATTTCCCTTCGAAAATATACATATTTATGAATCCCCCTTTTTTGCACCCAGTTGGACGCTCCTGGAAGTTTGTGATTTTGCAAATCAAGCCCCTCAACCTTGCTTCCTTCAACCTGAAGTGTGGGTATCTTGAAAGCAGTTGCGCCAATATGTTTCACATCCTACTTTGGTGATGTAGCAGTAAACAAATCCAAAAGCAAAAGAAAAGAAGGGTGTTGACCGTTTGTTAGGGCACGAAATGAACGTTTCCTACTATCGTTCAAGGAATAGAAACCGAATAGATGTAAAATATTGTACCTATCTACAGAAATGTCATTAATCTTCTACGGAACTGGAGTTTTCGCTATGGTGGAGATAAGAACTCCAGATAAGGTACAAAGAGCTTCATTCAATGCTTCCCACATCAAATTCATGGGATAGAGTAGCCACAGAGAATGCCTTCCCATTGGGTTGCATCACCGTTAACGATTCACCATACGTAGTAGATTCTGGACATCATTGAGGTCAATCTTGTCCTTCAAGTACTCAATCCCCTGGTCGATCGTATCACTGCCAAGATTTTCCCGCAAGTAATCTAGTCCCTCGTCAATGATTGGGTTGCCTGTTTTCCCTCCACTAGTTGCTTCCTCTGCAGCTTTCCAATACTCTTGATAGCTTTGTTCCTGTCCTTTCGCAAATGTTCCCATTGTAGTTTTGCCAATCTTGTAAAACATTGATGCAAACCCTTGGATGCGGGGAATGTCAAAGTTGTAAAAAGTCTCCCAACCTCTGACAGATATGGCATATGCTAGAACAATGAATGCCACAACTAGGACCAGTTTCATGAGACTAATTGTAAATCTAATCCATGCTTTTGCTGATTTGACAAGTAACGAGTAAACTATGTACCCGGCAATGATGGTAAACACAATGTTTGTGTATTCAGGGTACTTTTCATGGGCAGCAACGGCAAAGCCAATAGCTGTAGCAAGCACTCTCTGGATAAGGGAAACAACAAGTGCCAAAATATCGGTTAGCTCCATATTACGTAGTGGTAGTATCGTGCCGTAAGTTGCAGAAATTATCAAAATCCTGCCTTTGACGTGGAGAAAAAAACTTCGCATCCATGCACACATACTTTGGCAGCGTTGACGCTCATCACCAAAAATTCATTTCTACAATTTTTTTTTTTAACTTCCTTTACTTCTTCTTTTCTCTTTAGAAAGTTGTACTCCGAAAAATTTGGCAGTAAGTGCAGTTTTCAGGTATGGCAAAGTCGAATTGGAGCTATCTCGTCTCAGATTTGAACTCCGTGTTCAATGAAGGAGAGCTTTATCTCATTATAAGGTCGCCTGTCTCGCCTATTAAGTTAGGGAGATAAAAACATTTGATCTTGAGACTAAGTCAGAGGTGCTTTGCATTCGTCTTTCGCTCATGCTGTTGCCTTGTTGTTGATTACATTTCGGTTAGATCAAGGTGGTTAAAAAGAATATTTAAAAGGTTGGAAACTTTTGAGTATCCCGTTATATCACTACATTTTCCGCCAGATGTTTTGTAGAATTTTCTCATGCGGCTGTGTATCAGAAAATATGACCATTCAAAAAATTTTTTACAATACAATAGTTCTTGTGTAGATAGTGAAGTGGTTACATCTCTGGATGGTCTCGAGTATCAACTTAATCGACCAATCTCACTGCGTCCACCAACATTATAATTCCTTTCGGACGTGTTTGATTTACCAAAAAAAAAGTTGTAACTGCTAAGCTCTATCAGAGGGATCAAAAGAAAAAAATAAATAGAAAACTCTGATCGGTGAAATAGCAAAGGTCAAAGATTTGACACATACTTTATTGTGGCGCCCTTATACACATATCACTCAACTAGTTGAATCAAGAGCAATTTCATACCTTCCCTTGTCACCAATCACATTCAACAGACCCAACATACAAGATGTTTAGAAAAAAACCAGCTCAAGTTACGTTGGAAGAGCTTGAACAGACATACAATGATTGTTGCAGTGAGACAATAAAGAACCTAACATTGGAGGAAGAGAACAATGTCGATGATGCATTGAAAGGATGGAAAAGCCTACATACAACATTGTTGTACAAGTTGGATCTTTTCGACAAGTATAGCTCCAAGTTGGAGCCTCAAGAGAAAGCAATATTGGACAGTCTAAAGAGTATACGTGACGAAAATGTTAAGCATTTGATAAGAGTTCAACTAAGGTTAGACGAAAAGAATCGAAAATTGAAACGGGAAGCTAATGGCGCACCACCTCCCCCTCCTCCAAGAGGCATTAGAGATAAGACGGTTCCATCGTTGAGAGTGACACTGCCCTCCAATTCTTTTGGCAGTTCAGCTCCACCACCACTGAGACATTTAATGAAATCATTACGCACCCACTCAAATGGGGGGTCGAGCAAGACCCCAAGCACGAGGTTGGCACAGGAATCAGTCCAGCAAGCTTCACAGGCAGCATCGAAGTCATGGCAGAAACCTGGGAAATATAAGTTCGAAATGTCACCGGCACCAAAAGTGGAAGTTTCGAGCTACTTTGCCGATTTCGATCAAGATACATACACTACCAAAGGGGATAACTGGGAAAAGGTCGACTCGTCAAGATCGTCTTCGGGCTTGTCAGAAAACTATGATGAACCTAATCTAATAGATATGGATGACTCCGCTCGATCAAAAGATGTCTACCGATCCATGGATGATCTAACAATCAAAATGGTTTCCGATAGTCCTCCAAAATCCGCATCTCAACCAAGGCATGATAAGGGTATGACACCAGTTGAGCATATTTCTAAAAGCACCACCGATGTTCGTCCAAAGCCTAAAGGACCATACGTTTACAACAAACCAAAGCCGCTCAATTTACACAAGCTAATGCAACAGCTGAAAAAACCTACACTGGCCCCAACGGTAGCAACCAAGCCGAAACCAACAATTACTTACAACTATGTTAAACCCAAGCCTACTCAAGGAAAGATTCGTGTCGCAGCCAATGGCGCCGCTAATGGAGCAACAAAGAAAGTGGCACCTAAAAAGTCTGAGCCTGAAGAGGAGAAAGAATCGATCAATAGTCCAACGATGGACGATTTACTAAGTGGTTACGATGGCGAGAAGTTTGAATCGCAATCTGATCCAGTGTATGCGTTGACATCTGAGAAGGAGCAAAACACTTTGATTTCTTCTATTCGAGGAATAGATCCAATTGCAGCCAAGAACATTCTTAATGACGTTGTTGTACGTGGAGATGAAGTTTATTGGGACGATATAGTTGGGTTGGAAGGTGCAAAAAGCTCTTTGAAGGAGGCCGTGGTGTACCCTTTTTTGCGGCCTGATTTGTTCAAAGGGTTGAGAGAACCAACAAGAGGGATGTTGCTTTTTGGACCACCTGGAACGGGGAAGACAATGTTGGCTAGAGCCGTTGCCACTGAATCACAATCGACTTTCTTTAGCATCAGCTCATCGTCACTAACGTCAAAGTATTTAGGTGAGTCGGAAAAGTTAGTCAAGGCATTATTTCTCTTGGCTAGAAAGCTAGCACCCTCGATTGTGTTTATGGATGAGATTGACTCGATTTTGTCTTCGAGATCAGAAGGCGAAAATGAGAGTACTAGACGTATCAAGAATGAGTTTCTTGTTCAATGGTCAGAGCTTTCAAGTGCTGCTGCTGGTCGTGATTCGGGTGAAGACGTGTCGCGAGTTCTCATCCTTGGAGCCACCAATTTGCCATGGTCTATTGACGAGGCAGCAAGAAGAAGATTTGTACGTCGACAATATATTCCTCTACCAGAACCTGAAGCAAGGAAACATCAAATCATGAAGCTATTACAATATCAGAAGCATACATTATCGGATGATGATTATGAAAAGTTGATCAAGCTAACTGATGGATTTAGTGGTAGTGATATAACAGCATTGGCTAAAGATTCTGCCATGGGTCCATTAAGGTCTTTGGGCGACAAGTTGTTGCTGACACCGACAGATCAAATAAGACCTATCAGTTTGGAAGATTTTGAAAACAGTTTAAAGTACATTCGACCAAGTGTGTCAAAAGAGGGACTTCAAGAATATGAGGATTGGGCGAAAAAGTTTGGATCGAGTGGTGCATAATTTCGGATGCATGGAGGGGGGATCGACTTTGCCTAGGCAAGAGAAGTGGAGAGAGCTGGAAGCTGCATGCTCGGCAGATACACTGAAATTTATGGGATGAGTTTGAATTGTGTTTATCTCAATAGTGACTTTTGTGTTGTTTGTAGCGGCATATAAACTTACAGTAGGGTAATTGAAACGTATGATGGGCTTTGTTGTAGGTGAATCCTAACGTTCTTCGATAGCTAGTGCCGGTTTTTCAAAATCTTTCGGATATGCGCCTTTTATTGGTTCGTCATTTTCGATCAGCAGTAAAGCAATGCACGTCGCTGATTTTGGTTAATGATCGTGGGCTCGCTTAAAGCAGACCAAACACTCTTTTGTGATGCATAAATGTAAATTAAAAGTGAGAATTTCAGTTCAGCTTATTGTCCTTGTCGGAAATACCTTTGTACAACCAGCGACATGATGATTTGTGTCCATAGAGAATTCTTTTTTTCTTTTCCACCACTTTGAACTATTGCAACCAGCAGAAGGAGAACAATAGCCAAGCATAGTATACTTTTCATCTTCCTAACTGAGTGGTTCTGTTTCTAAATTTAGAAACAATAACACTGCCTGTTAACAATGGGAGATTTCAAGACCGTTAATTAATTAGATACGCATCAATGAGTAAACTTTAGCGAACCACTGAGATGAGACAGTGATTTGATCTACAAGAAATCGCATTTGCTCTTGTCTAACTTGTGAACCTGCTCAAAATACAATACTGAAACGGTTGTATTATTTTTGGAGAAAATAGATCTAGATTTGGGCTTAGTGTATGGATTATCCTTTCTATTAGTTTGTATTAGATGAAAATGTAACTTCGCCAAAACGTGTCTCGGCTAATAAACATACATTCGCTTGCTTATTTGAACTTTTGATTGTTTCATGTTGTTAGTAGAAACCGAAAAAAAAAGGTAAACAATAAGGTACATAATTAAGAGATCTCATAAACATTCCATTTTGGATCCGGAAAAAGAGAACATAAAGTGATCAAGACTCAGGGTTCATAACCTATTGTTTGGACCACATTGTTATTCCGTTATAACCAATAGTTGTCACATATTTAGACCCATGACTATTGTTCTTTTGCACTAGTTCTAGAACAAAAAAAAAGCGCAAGGTTTACGAAAAAAAAAAAGGAATTCATGTTTGCTGTAACCAAAGTCATGTACTTGAGTCTCACTTACAGCAGGCTCGTTCGTTTAGAAAGAAGTCTCGTATGAATGCTATATTTTTGCAAAGATAAAAGTAACCAAAATTCATCAAACTTCGAGACGCTACGTCTTCGCCCTGCATATTCAAACCCTTCGAAACTAAGCCCTGTGACTGTTTTTTTTTTATAACGACATTTTTCGGTTAAAAGTTGTAGATCAAGATATTAATAACCAAATCAACGACTTGGCAGTCCTGATTTGCAACACATTTGAGCGGTTGTAGCAAGGGGACAGTGGGGAGAAGAAGTACAAAACCAACCCTTCGATCAGTACTTTGTTTAATGTAGCAACCAAATCATCGCAAATGATACTGAAAAAGCTTTTAGTGCCCTATGGCACTTAGAAAGTTAAGTCAGAGAAGAATTATAAAGGGAGAATGAAAGAGGAATAAGAAAAAAGAAAAAAAAAAGAAGCCAATTTCAAGGCGTGATGTATTATATTGTTCATTACGGACTGCATTTTGTGTCAATCGACGGACTTAGTAGTAAAAAAAAGTTGAGAAAAGGAAAAGTAGTGCTGGCATTTAAGAGCCTGTGCAGATGCTTGAAGGTTGCTTTACGTTAAGTTGTATCTCAATTAAGTAAGAGTGCTTGTGGAGGAGACATAGGAAGAGAAGTTGCTCCTTTTCCAATTTTCACAATGGTTTAAGTGCTTGAGCTTCATAAACCTGTGGGCTTATTTCTCACTTTATGATTGTACATTATTGTTATAGCGCACGCTTAATACGCTTATTTTTCAATTGATGTTTGTGCCATATAATATAGTCTATGCTCTGATATTTTAGGTTATAAATGTTTTGTGTAATATACAATTGGTGCATATTGAGTTAAAATGCAAAATCAATTTTATTTTTTATTTTTTATTTTTTTATTTTATTTTTATTTTCCATTTTTGTTACCGCTAGGAATTTTAGTTTTCCTTAATAATTCAAAAAGATACAAAGACAAAAAGAAAGTAGAAGTGAGATTCTATTACATATAGATAGATCTCTTGAAATAAATATATAAGTAGCTACTTGGAAGCTATTTATAACAAGCTTGAACAAAGAGATGCAATTTTGGGGTCCAAAGATTTTTATTTTTATTTTTATTTTTTCCCGATACCATTCAAAACTTACTGTATACATATCAACACTAGATTAACTAAGTAACCCTCGGTCAGTTAGCGTCATCCACCGGTGTTCATCATAATTTTCAATTCAAATTCTATAAAGTCGCACAATTCCGCTATTTATTCACTCGTTTACAAGCCAATACCAAAGCGCAATACCTACCAAAGGAAAACCAACTAGTCGCACATAATTCGAACCATTATAATCGATATACATCACCAGCTGTGGTCCTGTTGAACTCCAAAATCATTCATTATAGCTCCTCAGCTTTTCGCAACAATAGCGGTCACATTCAAGCCAGATCTTAAATACTTGTAAAGTCTCAGGTAGCCAACCCATATCTATTAATTATCGTGTGGGAAATTCAGCTCCATTTTTTAAGGCTATGTTAACGTTAATGGGGAATAAAGATATTTTCAAACCTTCAACGTTTCCAAAAAGAAAGCGCAAGCATGAACAAGCACAAGTTGCTAAACCACGAAACTTGAGGTATAAACCATCAATTGAAGCGTTGAATATATTAAAGAAGCCCATTAACTTAGGTGAAGGTGACATGAGCGAGGCTGAAACATCACTAGAGTCTGTTCCAAATCCTGAAGAAGGTGACAGCAGAGCAGATGATTCTTTTCTGTCGCAAAATTTTCAAGTTAAAGACAAGCATAGTCTGACGCAGGGTCTGCCATCTGCGCCGCTTCCCAGTCTGAATGTTTTATTCAGATCGCAGCAAAATCAGCTGCCTGTTCTACCACACATAAACATCGGACAAAACTTAACCCTTCCTTCAAGACATGTTAATGTATCACGAAGTCAACAAACCGAGTCTGTACCAGAAGCGGCTACCGTCGTCTCGCAACAATCTTTACCTCAACACATGCCAGAACAACAATTGCCTCCCATGCACACATTACAATCTTACCCTACATCTCAACAAAACCTTCCATTGCAACAAGAGACTCGATATTACTATTCTTCTTCACAGCTGCAGGCCCCGGCTGAACCATATCAACTAATACCACCACCTCAATCTCAAACTACACCATATCCTCCATCCCTCATTCCACTACAACAAATCCCTACGACATACTCCCACAACCCTGAGTACTATCCTTCTTATCAACCACCTCAATTACCACCACACCCACAGTATATTCCCATGCATCACATGCAACAACATTATTACCAACAACCAATGTCGTCCCTGTCTCTGGCCCCTGCACAACATCAATTTTATTACAATGTAGTACCATACACAATGCCAGATCCTTACGCTGGTTATGTTGGAGTTCCAAGAAAATCAAAACAATCTTCAACATGGTCAGCTGACGAGGATAAACTATTACGAGAACTAAAAGAAGTGCAAAAGTTGGGATGGAGAGAGATTTCGACGTTTTTTCATGAACGTACACCGAATGCGTGTCAGTTTCGATGGAGGCGCATTATAAGCAATCTCGATGTTGGTTCAAAAGTACCCAGTACTGAGGCTTCTGATAAAGAGAAAGAACTGAATGCTTCATCATTTGCTGAAACAAATTTCGCTAGTCAAGAAGAGCGGCAAAGCCGAGTTGAGGGACTTCCATCAGAAACTCGTGCTTCCACAGAAGAAGATGATGATGAGACGAACTTGAACAAAAAAAGCCACAATCAAACCAATAAGATTGATTTCTTACTCAACTAAAAATGAGAATCTAAAAAATATTAGATTAAAGTTTACAAAATTACTAAATGTAGAAAATACACCAAAAATAACTATTTGCTTGTGTGCCTGTAGTTGGCAAAACATATAACCTAATATAACAGCCGTAAAGTTTTGATGGTCATCGTCAACGACACTGATGTACATCACCTTCATATGCACATAGACTTCATACGAGATTTAATGTCCATCAAAGCGTCAACGTTTAATTATTTTATTGTCTACTTTTGGGGACAGTTATTGTTTCTTTTTGTCAACGCAAAACATAATAGAGTCAACCGTCAAACATAGCTCCAAACCACTCTCTCTGCAAAGATCCTAAATTCCTCTCTCTCTCTGTTTCGTAACAGGTTTGTTATGATTTTTTGAAGTAAGGTACATATAGATACATGAAAAGGTAAACATTACACAAAGCTAATGCTCGTTTCTTAAAATTTTTGACACGACACAGAAAAGAAACAATAAGACAGAAAGAAATAAATAATTGATTTTTTTTTGCCTTCTGTACGCTTTGAGATTGTTGGTCATTCACACACGCATAAAATTAAACGCAAACCCCTCACAAAAGTCAAAAGGCGGAATCTAAATCCTTTTTCTCCGAAACATGATACCCCCCTCGCCCCCTCCCTCCTGTTTAATCTGACCTCTCTATTTCTTATTCGCAACTCCACTAAGTAGAGTGTACTGGCTGTGTTGCCGGCTAAGTAGACGATTAAGTTTAGACAAAAGGCAGATTAAACTTCCCAGCTATAGTTTGCTCCATCATACTTTATCTTTTCACTATTAAACAACCTTTCTACGTCGTTAATCTTAATAGAGATCGGGTCGGAGTTAGATGTGCATCGGCAAAGCACACACAAACGAGGTTAAAGTTTAAAAATCGTAAGCTGATCAATCGTGACTTAGCTTTAAATACAAAATTTTTTATTGGCAATTAACATTTGAAGCAGCAGGGTTGAGTAATACTCTTTTGTGACTTTTTGAACCAAATCTTGATATTCGAAAAATATTAACTTCAAATGTTCCAGACCCTTGTTGTTCATATGTAGGGGCATGCATGGTTCTATACAATTTTCCGTTTCTTTATTGAAGAACGTTTATTATTCGCGAGGACTCACATGATTTTAGAGCAAGGTTGCACATGCATAACACGTCCTCAAACACGAATAAGGAACCATCTAAAATTAGGGTCTTCAAGGCGAGTGAATGAATCTCAATTTGTGATTAAATTCAGGCATCAATTATAGTTGTCATGTACAGTCTAACAATATACTTGGCGGGTCATTCGAATTAATTAGTGTCAAGTTTCAAAAAAAAAGTTGCTGGCATTACAATGGGCTCATTTCTGGACACTTTATTACCTTTGTAACTTCTACCGTTTAGGTTGGGTTGACAAACACCAAGCGCTGGTTACAGGATCCAAAAAGTATAGGTTTTGCACAATCACAATTGGGGCTTGTTTCAGAGGTGGAATTTGCATTGCTTTCTTCTTTTTCCTTTAATAGGGAATTGAAATTTGCCCTGCATTATATGTAAGTATAGACTCAGGAAAATTTCTTTTACTACGCGGTGCAAGCGGTTTGATCAATTAATAAGCGACGGTTTCCACTTCCATCAATGTAAAGCAGATTGACTTCGATTTGCTGGCTCAAGGACTCTACCCAGTGATCACTGTCTTTTTTTTGTGTTACACAATGTGGGCGATGAATTTCATTGTGGTGATGTATAATTCGCCTGCATCATACACAAAACGCACAATATTCATGCGAGAATTTTTGCAATTGTGTTTTGTGCACTGGTTTCACCAGAGAATGTCATAACCAAATTACGAATGTATATACAAAAATAGTGAACAACAATTACCTTTTTTTCACACTTCTAAAAGATACACAAACAAAGCTAGCTTTAAAAAACAATAAGGAAATATATTTTCCAGCCTAAATGCACGTTGTCACCTTGTCGTTTATAGATGAAAAAGAGATTGATGATGAGAACGATTGTAAATCGTTTCTACTTCATTCTTGTTGTAAACGCAAGTTATCTTGAGACAATTTGGGAAACAAAAGTTTTGTCCGTATTCTTTGCATTTTTTCTCATATTTTATTAAAATGCTGGGCCGGCAGCAATTAAGAGAGCGCCAAAATTAGATCCGTATCTTGAAGCTACAAATATTTACACAGTACAATATCGAAAAGTGCAAAATGTGCATCAGAAGAGCGGAATGATTGGAGTTAGACGAGCCCTAACAACGTAAAAAAAGAAAAATCTGAAACAGTTCACATTCCATGTTACTAATGGAGATCTAAAACCTACAATTGTGGCCATGCTGACTTGCATCCAACGTAAACGCAAATAATCGCCAATGAAGGTATTAGTCGATGCGAAGTGGCGCAATTTCATGCAAAAACTAAAACTTAGAGACAAGAAAGGGATTAAAAACTTAGGGAAATGGACCCATGATCTGTAAACCCTTATTTTAGTAATAGATATTTAGACCTTGCATATTAAAAATGTGCTAAAGACGTGTCGATGCGATGCAACTTTGTAAGAGCAAACAATCGAACAATCAATATTGATTGAGCAATATCAACAGAGAGTTACTTGCCAGCACTAATGGTCAAAACCCTGTTCGGAAAGAATTTTCACAAACTGCAAAGAAAAAAGTTGAGGTTCTCAACTCTGATTGTATGCTGTGCATAGAAGAAACTTTACCTGACAACCACCGCTTGTTGTCAAGCACTGTTGTGGCCAGAGGTGAATTAGCATTTTTGTGCAACACACTTCATCAAAGATATGCAAAACTTCATGAGCTAATTTGGTGAAAACATTGTCAGATATATAATGTGGGCATGCCAACTTTAACGCTGAGAATTGCTGATGACATTATTGTAGTAGCATAATATGCAACATCAATAACATCCCGTGAATCTTGCTAAACTTTCCGGCAAAACGTCTCACGAAATCTCGATCGATTGAATATAATGTGACATGTATATGGCGTCAGTAACGCCTTTTGCTTTAAATTGATCTTCTACGCTTTTAGGTAAACATATGCTAAGAAAACTTTGTCGCTTGAATTGAATTTAGTCTTGCATCTAGGCTATCCAGTAGAGACTAAGAGTAAGGCCGTTCTGCTGGAATGGTATAGAACAAAAAGAGATGCTACAACTATAAAGGAAAACACTTGAAAAGAATGCTCAATTATGACTGATCCTATACTCCGGACTAAAGTAGAGACCAACACATCATGAAACAAGTATACAGAACTATTTTGTGGTGTGGTATTTCTCTTGCATAACTCCAGAAGTATTAATTAGCACCCGAGTTATAACCTGCTTAAAACAGCTCTTCAGCAGCATTTATAATTCAGCTAAGCCTAGTCGCCTTGCTTCCACTTCTGAAAGTTTCTTGTTATTCTTTTAGGCATGCAATAAACAGGATCAATCTCATCAAGATCAAACTTGGTGTAATCAATCAAGCTCAAACCAGCAATTCCAAAACAGGTGTGATATATGTCAGTTTGATTATCAGGACGATCACTAATACCTCCTTCAATGGGATCCTGACAGCTTAGTATAAACCTTTGTAACTTTTCCAAATTCACCCAATGAGATTTCCCTAGGATGGATAATGTTGATAAAACCCACCAACTGTAGCATACATCAGGCAACTTTTCAGGACGGCCATTGAACCCACCTGAAGGTAAAACTTGTCGTTCACTCAACCATCTTGCAATCTTTTCATCTAATCCTCTGGCCAAAACATCCAATTTATCCATTATTGCAAGTGCACCAACGCATACAAATGCTTGTGCAGCATGGGATTCTGAGCCAGGCACCAAACCAAATCCACCGTCAAAATTCAAACATTTCATTATAAAATCAACTGCAGGGTTAACTACATCTGTTGTTAACTCATCTAGCAATGACAATGCAGATATTGCAGTGTAAGTAAACCGTGTATCAACTTCACCAAACCGATCACCTTGGAAGCTACCGTTGGGTAATTGCAACCCTTTGATGAATTTAACAAGCTTTTTCTTCAGATCGTCACTCAACGGGAATAGACTTGAATCATAAATTTTCAAAATTTGAAGCGCAGACAAGGTAGATAGTATATGAGCATCATGTTTGGGAAAGGAACCAAATGCGCCAAACCTGTCATCCCAACAACTCATTACGTATTTGATCACTTCTTGTTGTGGAAGAGTTGTGTCGTTGAGACTTTTCATTGTTATAAGTGCTGTTACACCCCAGTACAAACCATTCATACGTAGATGTTCACTGAGCCAGTACTCATACGAGCGATTTGACTCTTGGTCTATTATGAATTTTATGTGCTTGTCTTTATATAGAGTTTGATTGGGGATCGATGACATGGTATAGTGAGGGCAGACGTGTATAGCTAACACTTTGTAGTTGTAAACAAAAAATGATTCCGTGTACTCACCTATACGCTACCTAAAAATATAAATCTTTAAAGTCAAACTTCTTTGACGCTGGCCAATACTCCACATAATTCAACTTTCTACTTCCTTCATTTATAGCCAGGGTTAAATTAACCACTTTGCATCCTTGGTATACCACCTCAAAGTTATCAAAACTACTGTCATTTAACACAATGGCATTTGGTAAGGGTTCCACTCTTAAACAATGCTCGAATTGAGTATTGATAACTTTCAAGTCCTTTTTAAAAGGCTGCAACGTTCCTTGATCAAGTAGTGTTTTCACCAACATCCTTGCTTGCTTGGTCTTGTTTGGTATTCTTTCATCTTTATTTTGAATTAACTTTTCAATTCTCTCCACATTGTTTAATTCTTCAACATTTTCCTTCTCTTGTTCAATCTCCAATGGAAACATCAAACCGTTTCTTTTAAACTTACTCATCAACTTGTCTTTGATAATGACCAATTCCTGCGATAGATAACTCAAGCGTGTGGGGTTCCAAGCTAAAATCAAATTTCCTCGTGGCAACAACTTTTCCAACCGATTCACAAACACCTTGGGAATTGAAGGTTGAGGAAAAGCGTTTAAGCAAGATGATCCAAGCGAGTATGTAGATTGCCAAGGGTCATTGTCACCAGGAATGAGCACAACCTTGCACCGCTGTACAATATTGGGGTGTTCGCTCAATATCTTTGCAAACTGATCAAAGTTGCCCTTGTACAATTCAGAGTTTGACAAGTTGGCATCTGAAGTGGAATTTGTTGATGTTAGCGGACGTGAAGTGAAGGACCCAGTAAACACCAACGCCAAGGGGATGTAGCTTTGTGTCTCTTCCGAATCCAATGCTTCAATAATCGAGTTTTCTAACCGATGGAAAAACTTTTGCATGGCTTGTAGAGTCTTGTTCGAATCAAGGTAAAGATCGGAGCCCATCATGATGATTCTGTGACTTTGAAGTGATTTCTCCAATTGCACCATTTTTTTTCTAAATGCTTTGGGAACCTTTATTGCTTTGTCACCAGCGGGGACCATATGTTTATGTATACCCAAAAAATCAACATGTCCGTATACATCTAAGCTCTTGTCTCTTCTTTCGGCGGGAGGCTGCGCGATGTTGCTTACATAAAAGCAACCACCAATGTAATCTTGCTTTTGATTCAAATGACCTCCTGATGCAGAATAGATTCCTTCTACCAACACAAACATTCCAAGACAATAGAATGAACCTTGATTTTTCACAGCTTGGTTCAAGTTCAACTCGATGTAACCAGTAGCGTCCTCCAAAATGTACTCATCAGTCGAGTTCTTTGACAATAGCCCAAACAAGAGAAACTTTTGCCCATCGCGACCAAGCATGTTTTTGATTAATGTAATTTCATTGTTTTTGCCGATTCCATCAATGGTTAATGAATTCAAATTGGATATACTTGTCATCGATGCCTTTTGAAAGTTTTCGTTTCTCGACAACCGGTCCATGATTAGATAATAGTGGTTGTTTTGCGATTCAACAAGTGACTTGGTATTGAGTGTAAGCCTGGACAAAAGAGGTAATCGCTCCTTTGTCAAATATACATCGAAATGCTTTCGACTCTTGTCAAAAACACTGCGTGGTTGATTCATTGGTGATACAAACTGGAAATAGTCCTCCCATTGCAACTGAACATCCTCTTCAACTGCTTCATCTACCAAGGTATTTGTTCGCCCTGCTTTTTGCATTTGAACAATTTCATCCTTCTTTTGAATTTCCTTCAAAACTACCTTTAATCCATTACTATCGATAAAAATTCCCCTATCCTCGAGCTTCCAAAATTTGGCTATCTCTTCCAAGAATTGTTGCGACTGTGGACTTTTCCAATCGAAGCCAAACTTTAGACTGATGGTATCGGTTAAAATTGACAATGCTTCTGTGTTCACATTCAACCCGTGTTTTTTGGTCAAAGTTCGAAATACAAGGGGCCTGAGATTGGATGGCAGTAGCTTGATTGGTAAAGCAGTCTTGGTTTTAGCAGTGGTCAAATCTATCATTTTATGGTGCTTTCGGTTTTGCTTTAAAGGGAAAAGACGCGTCTACAAAGAAGTAAATATTTTTGATTTTCGCTACCATTCAATATTGTTACAATTACTCCTCATACTCACTAATCTAGAAAATCTCCAGTTTAACTCTTAAATAAATGTCATTAACATCGGCATCGCTGTCTTTGAACTCTCGCAACACCTTGCAATCATTTATGAGTTCTTTCACCGAACACAATTTATAACTCAATTCGTTTAGCCTTTTCAATGTCATGTACTCCAGTAGAACGCGAGATGGGTCTAGCAGATCGCTGGTTTCCAATTGTTGTATAATTTCTTCAGATCTGGCTGCAGAATCATTTAAGAATTTATGTGCTACATCGTAGTACTTTTCACAGTCGTCAAGTTCTTCAAATTGGAATGTTCTGGTCATTCTCTCCAACGTCTTTAAATTTTCTTCAATATTAGACTCAGTCTTTTTAAACTGTTTTGCTTTTGATGGGGGATTTTTTCCTTCTTTTTGCAACAGGTCAATTTTTTGCTCAATACGAGACGATCTGATGAAATATTCATTGACTTCCTCCGAGGCGAGCTTAGCGGCACGAAATCTGTCTCTTAATGACATTTCCACCTGCATTTCATGATTTTTGCGAATTTGTATATCAAGCTCACGCTTGACTTGCTTTAGCTCAAATCCAGTATCAAATGCCTTCTCATCCAATTCTCTAATCTTTTTCTGGAGTTTGGAGTTGTCATTTTTGAGCTCAGCCACCTCCTCTTGGTGTATTGTTTTTAATTGTGTTAATTCTTTTTCATGAGTGTTCCGTAGTCTGGAAACTTCAACTTCATGGGCAGATTTTAACTGATTGAATTCGTCATTGTATTTGCGTTCACTGTCGATTCGCAACTTATCAGCTTCGACAGTTTTATTAAACAAGTCATTCTCAATCTCATCCAACTTTGCGGCGTAAGTGTCATGCACTCTGTTCAACTCAGATTTGAGTTTGTCTTTTTCCAATTCTATGTCCTCGAGTAACAACAAGACTCTCTTATGTTCTTGTTCTAAGGATCGATAGTTTTCCAATGCCAATAATCGTTCTCTCTCTCTTGCGCGCGAGACCACCTCATCGACTTCGTCAATGTCTCCGCGCCCAACGTCATCATGGAAACTTACTTTTTTAACTCGCAGTCTGTCTAAATCGGAGTTTGATGAGTCTTTAGCATCGTCGTACTCGTTGTGGTCATTTGAAGTAAAATAATTGACAATTCTTGACAAAAACCCACTACCTTGTGGGGATACCGTGCTCGGTTTTGTAACTCTATATTTGTCTTTCGATGGTGGTAAGTCGGCATATTTTCTACCAAATTCACTTCTTGGTCTTCCTTGGGAGTGATTAAATGATTTGATTGGCGACCCGATTATTCTTGATGACCCAGTTAATCTTGAAGACCTTTCGGTTTCCTCTTTTGTAGAATGCAAACCATATTTAGCTTCCAAATTCTTCCTCAACCTTTCCAATTCGTGATTTTTTCCATGACGTCTAGACTCACTTACTGCATCTTTACGATCATCGGTCCCTACTCTCGCTATTGGAAATGAATCCGACCTAAGCCTATCAGAAAGGGAGCTTGCATTATTGTTTATTGAATCAGAATAAAATTCATATTTAGATGAAGGCTTGTGTTGCATTTTTTCATCGACTAATTTATCTCTTAAACCTGTTGTCGAGGAGGAAATATTTGCATACCAATCTGTAGTGTATTTATCTCGATTTAGTGGTGATAACCGGGGGTACAAAGAGCTCCTGAGTGGCGGACTCGTTCGACCCTCATTGACTCTTCTTGAAGACCTATATTTGTCCAACAATTCTGACATGTTGAGTGACCCACCTATGAGAAGCTCTTAGGCGCTTTGTTTTGTTTTCATTTTTAAACTTTTCTTTTGTTGTCGTTTTTGTTCCAGGCGCGTGTCTAAATCCAAGACACTGGTGAGTTTGCGACACTCTACCGTGGTAAAAACAGCAAGTAAAAGTGTTACCAAAAATACAGTTTATTTTACATATCTTTCTATCAGTGTATATTTCTCCTATAAAATCAATCTTAAATACGCGGCAGTGACCAGTCTAGTTCCTCAATGTCATTGAACTAGCAGACGATTCCAAATCTTCCTTCTTTTTAAGTGGCGGTCTCTCATCAAGACTACACAACCCATTGTCCTTGACAAAACAGGTGGTGATGACACAAATAGCCATAAGTGGAATCAACAAGTAAAAATAATTTCTCAAAGCATTGGTGTATATATCCCTAATTTCTTTGGTCTCAGCTGCTGTTAAGCTGTCAACATTCACCTTGTTATATATATGCCCCTTGACATAATCAATTGTCAGTTGAGTTAAGGATGTTGATGAGCCAAGATTGTTTAATGAACTGAGTACGGAGTTGCTAACGATAGTTGAACCAACAGCAATACCAACACATCCACCCAAGGACCTCAAAACATTCCTAGTGGAGATGGCAACTGCTCTTTCTGCTTTTTTACAATTAGCTTGTGCTGCCACCATTGAAGGTTGGAATGAAAAACCAACACCGGTGCCCATAATCAATAATATTAAGATGTTGATTCCATCTGGTAAGCTAGCATTCCAAAGAACCAAAAGACAACAGGCTAAGCACCAAAGAATATAGCCGGCCACAACAACATAAAAGTAATGACCAGTGAATGTGATTAGTTGACCAGCAACCACCGAGAATGCAGCTTGACACAACACTAAGGGTAACACAAACACTGAGGTTTGAATTTCATCTTTGCCTTTAACAATTTGAAAATAGTAGGGCAAGTAGTAAGTGAAGCTGTAGTATGTTGCACCAAAGCAGAAAGTTGCCAAGTATATCAAACACAACGACAAGTTTTTGAACAATCTCAATGGAATCATGGGAAGCTTAGCTACTTTACCTTCAATGCCCAAGAACAAAATCATAAACACACCTCCAATAGTGAACATGACAATGACAAGAGTACTATCCCAAGCATAAGTGACACCACCACCATTCAAGGGAACCAAGATCAACGTCAAACCAATAGTGGCACTGATGATCCCCAAATAGTCTATGCTCTTGAACTTCTCCTTTCTCGAAATAACATCATTAAGCTTCTTGTTGTTCTTCAATGAAAAGAACAATACGATGTTAACGCAAAAGGCAAGTGGAGCAAGAAAATAGTAATAACTTCTCCAACTCGATTGTTTAATAAACCCGGCCATGATAAAGGGACCTACAGCATTACCAATCCCAACACTTGAACCCAAAATACCTTGATATTTACCTCTGTCTTTCAATGAAACAATGTCACTTAAGATGACCATACACAAACTTGACACCCCACCATTACCAATTCCTGCTAATGCTCTAAAGACAAAGAATTCAACACCATTACGAGCAACTGAACAAGCAATGTCTCCAATACACAAGATCATGAGACAAGTCATAATGACATTCTTTCTACCAAAAATATCAGACAATCGGCCAAACAAAACTTGGCAAACAGTATTTGCCAACAAGGAAGCAGATCCAGCCCAATTGATCAGTTGTTGAGCATTCAAATCTTTACCAATTTCGGAAAGGCCAACAGTGATACCGGTTTGATCAGCAAAACTAACAAAGTTGGCCAAAGACAATGTTAGTAGAATAGTGATGATTTGCGAAGTTGGCAACTGGTTAAAATGAGCGTCCCCTAATTTGTCAGCTAAGGCGTTAGCTTCAACTGCTTGGTTACCAACAACAGTATGTATACTTTCTGAGGGAGTTGTGGGAACCGTTTTTTCAGAATATTTTATTCCTTGGGTTTCATCAAATTTGATGTGTTTGTCATGTGAGTATGATGTTTCTGTTGACGATGTGCTATTGGTTCTGTCTTGACTCATATTGGCTTGCTTTCTGAGACACTATTTTCAGTTCAGGACCTTGAGCACACCTCGCTACCCCATGGGCAATTAGTGGCCTACTTATATTGCAAAAAAATCCAGTCCAAAGTGTCAAGGGATGAAAACTGCTAGAGGGAAAATACCGGAACCAATCTTTGAAAAAAGAACAAAGAAAACCTATCCTCAAAGGGGGGGAATGCATTGACTACAATAGAACACTCCCCATCACCATAAACTCTGTAATCAAATATAATCAAGGATAATTAGCTCATAACTTCTATTGTTTTTAGTAGTAGAGGTGTAGAATTCATAATTCAGGTCTCTTTGTTTTTTCTTTTCTTTTTCTGTTCTTTTTTTTTGCAATCTTAGCCACAGTGTGAGCACAAAACTGAATTTCATAATGCACTGCGGATAAAGCCCAATGTAGAAAAGCACTTTTCCCTAGGAAATGAGCACGGGGGTGGGGGCTCGAAAATGACCGGATCCATCAAGAAAGGTGTTTCCCGGGGTGAGGAATCATACTCAACAGAGATCGAAACATGAAAGCTGATATGTAGGTACCAATATCGCCTCTTCAAGATAAGAAAAATTAAAAAAAAACCTAAATCCATGGATTATGCATAACGTTTCATGCAGTCTGACCGTTTGAACAAAAAGGCGCCTTTTCCGCAACTGACTCAATAGCTAAGAGTATTTAGCTCTTGCTGTCATCGACATTTTTGTGTATCTCCTATTTTGATTCCGAAGAATTGTAATTGAAAAGTCTTTTTTCTTAGCATGCTGTGTGCTAGCTTTTGTGTAGTGAACAATATACCGCCACACCATTGGATTAAAAACCACAGCCATAATTCAGAAAAGTTTTACACAAAAATAATGGTGCGATTTTCATACAACCATAGGATATTATAACGGTGTTGGATGTTTTTGAAGGCTTAACTTTTGAAAATCTTCCAGGGGGCTAACTGACAAAGTTTTAAGCCAAGTTCCAAAGATCCACAGTTTTGATCGCCGAGTAAGTAGAATCAGAATCACTCGAACCTGTATTTCACAGGACCATTTCAGGACATCAGGATGTTTTTTATGCATAAAAGGTGGAAATTGTATCAGATTGACAAGATAAGAAAAATCTGACACTCTCCCCCATGTGGCCAAATTAAATTAAGGGATGAAAAATTTAGTCTGCTTGTTTAGTTGAAGCAATACAATGGGAAAAGCAGGGAAAATCACAAACGTTTCAAGTCAGGGATTTCATTCACTCAAAAGATGCTCTTTGTTCGAACTTGACAGGTACGTGTTTAGAATAGCCTGTTGTATTTCCCGATCTTCAAGTCCATTTGATTTCTACATCCACTAGAAAACAAGACCGCCTGAGCCTCTTATTGGAGAGATTTGATTTCAAAAGCCGAAATATGGTGAAGTTGATTTTGATTGCTATTATCGATTTATTGTTGTTTTAGACTACTAAAGGAGTGTTGCACCATGTGGTTTTCTTACACTTTGAGCTCTTATTGTCCTCTCTTTTAACTCTATACATCCTATTGTTTATCCAAGCCAATCGATGGAATTGATTCCAAAAAATCGGGTTCGGAAAAATTAGGATAATTTTAGAATACTGCAAGTTTCAAATTTGCATTACACAAATGGAATTATCAAAGGAGTTTAAGTTTTCTTGACACCTTCTACAAACAAACAATGATATAGTGAGATGGCGTTTAGCAAAGAATGCTGCGAGAGCCCTAATTACGTTTGGAGAGTGTCAAACACTCTCGCACATTGTTTTCAAGAATGTAAGCCCGTCATCTTAAGGTATGATTGAGATTGAAACTAGGATAAAGTAAAGTTTAATAATAGTTGCGTAAAAGCCGTTACGCACCAAAGGCTAAAACGTTGATATGCAATTGAAAACATTTCTAGAATTGTTTCCTTTTCTAGAAAGTATAGAATACAATGTACTAATACAATGTAGCTCACTGGAAAACTTGACTATTGCATTGGATGTTCATGAGGTGTGTATATTGTTTGCAACAATATGGGATACACACATACACACTTTTCTTCTAGTTAAGGAATTTGCTCAATTTTCGACACATGAGCGCAATTACACAAACAAGGAAATAAGTTTTTCCCTGTTTTTCTTGCCTAGTAACCGTTTGTTCCTCTTGCATTTTTATTTTATTTTCTTGACCAATCAAGAGAGTGAAACTGATAACAAAGAAAAGTGATGTTAAGATAATGGTTATGTGCTTATAGTAGTTATCAACATGCATTAAAGTACAACGGTCCGCCTGCAGTTTTCTCAATTACAAAACTGCATGACTGCATGTACAAGTTTGTCATCATAGATACTTGGATTGATATCACCATCACTTTCCCATTTCTGTTATCTCCAAGAAACTGAAATGGCCGTATCAAACAGCCTCGTCGTCCTTTACTGGGAAATGTTTGATGATTTCATCCTTAGCACGTGGTGGAGGTGTGAGGATTCCTCCATTTTAAAATCAATTTTGTGATAGTTATGGTTTGACAATAGTCTATCCTTCTATATACACACAGACAATAAAAATAGAAAAAAACGTGGCTTTGAAGTTTTGGAATGAGACTACAGTAAGCCACAATCCGATTCGATCCAGAATCTTATGGGGAACTCATCTCCACCAACTACCTTTAAAATTGAGGCTTTCCCGGGATTTGTTTCTTCGTAGAGCAATGGCCTACATATAATCCGGGAAACACTCGAGAACAGTGCTGTCAACTCTCAAGCACAAACAGCGACTACTGTTCCCCAGTATGCTTGTATTCTATACCAACTTTAAACATTGGCAACAATATTCTTCCACGAAAGTAATTAGAATTCAATTCATTGGTTAAATTCCAAAAAAATACAATAAGGATTTGCATCATTCCAAAAGGGCCCAATACATCCCTTTGGATTCCTTATTGTTCTTTTGTTCACATGCAAAATAATGTCACCACTGGTGAAGTAGTTCCACATTCCTGTCCCTTTTTTTTTTTTTGCAAATGTAATTCATAGCCACATTCATCACAATGAACGATAGAGAAAGATACCGAATAAAAGTAGAACAAAAGTTTAAAATAGGGGAAGATGTAGCACCTTTTCGTTTGTTCAAGACTGTCAAAACAACAGGGTAGTATGTGCAACCCCTATTTCTTGTTTGAAACTTCTTGCAATTTAAACTGTACACGAATGGAATCAAATCAAGATTTTATCTATTGCCAAGACTGCATAGTAGCGTAATTTAGATAAGCATAGTCGTGCCTTATCTTTAGTTATGCTATCAGTGTATCAATTATTCTTTGTTATCGGCCATACAGTTAGCACGCAATTTATTCTAAGTTGCCATTAAATTATATACTTGAGCAATACAACTAATCCACACCGTATATAGCTCTCTCTGTATTACCGTGTTAGCTAGACATTTTGCCACCTGCGTCATCAGCATCCAATATCAATCTCTCCACACAATTCCACTTTTCGGCTACTAGATGATAAATATATCTTGTAAGTACCTGTTTGGATAATCCATTGTTGTGACTCCGAATCCCATATACTCAAATCTCGATGCATAATGTTAAAAAAAATTTTGCAACTTTTACCAGGCTCCAAGAATACTTTTTCAAATCCTCGTAACACTTTTGGTGGTGATGACACAATGGTACTTGGAAACTCTATGTATAACTGTGACACGTATCCTCCCTTCATTGTACCTGTGTTCTTCACCTCTGCACTTACTTCATAAAGGATCTCCCAAAGCGCAGGGTTGCCACCCAAGCCACCAGCATTGAGTGGTGGCGACGAATGTTGGTCAGGATCAAAGCCTTTTGGATATTCAAATGTATCATCGTCATCAACAGACCTTATGTTTTCATTATACAAGTAAGGATAAATAAATCCTGGAGATGGTTCAAACTCGTCATGCGGGAAAAGAGCATCTTCTGCATCGCAAACATCATCTTCTACCATCTTTTGAATTGGTAAATACTCCTGAGGATACGGCAAAAACTCGGAAGGCGGACTTATTTCAGTAATCTTCAAATTGGTGACTTTGAAATTGGTGTATGATAGACCAAACCCAAATTCATAACGTGGTTTAATATTGTGTTTATCAAAGAAGCGATAATCTGGATATATGTCTCGATCAAAATTGTCTTGTGGTTCCCAGTTCTCCCCCAATTCATCAACGACTGAAACATAGTGCTGCTTTTTCTTTGCAATTGTAAAAGGAAGTTTCGCACTAGGGTTGCTATCACCAAACAACACATCAGCTATGGCTTGTCCAACAACTTGACCTAATGGTGCAACAAACAATACAGCCACGACATTTTCATTCTCAATCCACTTTTCCATATTGATAGGCCCAGTTGAGGTGACAACAACTACTGTTTTGTGACATCTATCGGCTATCTTGCTTATGAGTTCATCACCATTGTGCCATAATGAAAGATTCTTTCTATCACCATAATTGTCGTCAAAGTGAATATAACCTTCCCCCGAAAAAGCATTCACAAATACAATTGACATGTCGGCATAGTCTGCCAAATCATTAGCATTTTCCAAATCCCAATTATTGGAAGTGTAGTCCACAACTATACCTCTTTCTCTCGCCTTCTTGGCAATTGCCTCGTAAGGAGTAATAACATAAGGATTGTTAACAGCGGCAGACCCCCACCCACTGGTGAGCACCCCACCGACACACCTCTGGTCCTTACAGTTAAATCCTTCAGGATCGGGTCCAGCACCTTGTCCCGCAATCAATAATCTTCTAACTCCATCACTTTTATCAATTGGCAAATGTCGATATGTATTTTTCAACAATACAATCGACTCCTTAGCAACAGTCAATGCAGTATTTTCACTGAAATCAGACCTGGAATCAATATGCCAATTCTTTTGACATATGGGACCCGAATGCTGATAAGGGTAGAGTTGTCCATAGGTATGGCGAGTCCATGAACTAAAGTTGGGGATGTCCTCATCAGTTGGTAACTTGACCTGATCAATTGCAAAAAATGGCATCAATATGCGGATTACCATATCATTCAATCTTTCTTGACTAACTGTTCCATTGTACACAGCCCGTGTCAATAATGGACCCCAAAATGATTTCCCAGTTAGCCAATCATCATACACTTCACCGGGCATGGTCATATCCAAACCAGCTAGAGCCGACCCAACTCCACTATGTTGCGCTCCCCAATCACTCACCACAAATCCTTGGAAAGCCAATTCTGACTTCAACAAAAAATTTAACAAATAGCTATTCTCACAAGCATATGTGTTATTTACTTTGTTATACGCACACATAACACTCCCAACACCGGCCTTGATCACATTTGCAAACGGCCATAAGTAAATTTCATGCATGGCACGATCTCCAATATTTGAACTGATCGAGCATTCTAGTTTCTCCCATCCATTTTCGTCCCATTCGCCAACTTGACGGAAATGTTCTTGCTCGTTACCAATCAAATGGCGAGCAGTCGCTACTACACCTTCATCTTGCATACCTTCAACAGTCGCCGCACCCAAGACTCCTTGTAAGTATGGGTCGGCACCAAAACTCTCCCAATTTCGTCCTCCTTGTGCTTTTAATCCCATGGGGCCAATAACTGGGCCCAAAGCAATATGCACACCCTTTTTCCTATGCTCACGACCAATCGCTTTTCCTCGTAAGTAGGACAATCCTTTGTTGAATGTACAAGCAGTTGCCAATCCTGAAGGAAAATGTGTCACAAAATCAGTGAATCTAACACCATTGGGACCATCTTGTAAGCACAAATTAGGAATCCCTAATCTTGGTACCGATCCAGTGTTGCCAACACATGGTCCCGAGCCCCAGCCTGTGCCCGTTGTAAGATTCACTTTTTCTGGAATTGACATCTTCTCCACCACTTTTTTCGCTTTTTCAAATGCATTTTGCCAACAATTGTCTACTCTTCCGCAAAGTGCTATAGTAGTTAGTAGAGTGAGCATAACGTGTACTGAAGCTTTACATACGACTTGGGTAAAACACTTGTGAACAGTAGTCCTGTGAATCTTCAATTACAAAGATTGGCTGCTCCGCATGTCTCGATCTCTTATGTAAATTTGATATATGTGAGTTTGAAGCATTGGAAAACTCCGATTTAAGGGTAAATGAAACCTCTTCTGATGAAAAGATTAGGCTATGAAGTAAAATGAACGGCACTAGATTAATTATCTTCATGAAAATGTATTGATTGATGTATACCTTGTATCTATTAATTTGGTTGCCAAAAATTTTGTTTTCGGTATAAACGAGAGTAAACCAAAATAGAAAGTGGCCACATTAGAAAACAATAATGAGCAAGGAATATGCACTTTGATTACACGAGCAACATCGAATGCATGTTCTAACGAATCCCACTCAAGTGCTCATTCTCGCAGTGACCTGAACTGGTGTGACAATACTTGGTGCAGGATTATGATTTTCAATGTCCACCAATGTATTTGATCTCTTCATTGATGGAGCTGACGGTATGGACGAGGTTGATGAGTTTAGATGTGTCATTTTCATCAGATTTGGGGAGTCTATCTTGTTTGTGATGTTTGAGTTTGTGTGTAAGGGTGAGCTGGGTTGAGAAAGTAGAGATATTGAAGTGGATAAAATTGTGTGTGATAAGTCGTATCTCTTTACCTTTGCTGGTCCAACAACTGGTTGTTGTGGACTACGCTGCTTATTTGATGTGTCCAAGTGAAGGTTCCGAATTGTGTGGACTATCTCATCCTGCTTTGACACTGTACTAGATGGAGAAAAGCCAGAGGTTTTTTCGATGCTGGTTGCTGTTGTATCCGTCTCGGTGGTCTCTGTCGTGGCAAGAGTTTTGGTCGACATCAAGGATTCAGGTAATTGCGCCGAGTTTTGACATTGGTGTTGATGAGTAGTGTTTGTTTGGCCCAAAAATTGAGCCAAATTCCTAACGGAACTCTCTTGGTCCAACATCATTGCTTTTTCAAAATACCCTGGTCTTGAGTCGTCGATCTTAACTGCATTTTTGTATCTTATTCCATTGAATAGGTTGAACAAATCAACTCGATAATTTTTGGGCAAAGGATTGTGTGATATATACACATTGTCTAATTTTGTTGTTCCCGCCAACTGAACTAAAGGTTTCAAGCTCTTCATAGTGCCAAGCTTGTTTTTTCGCAAGTCGATCTTTTCCAACGAGGCCAATCTCTCTAACCCATCCAAGTTGGTCAATTTATTATTGTTGAAATTCAAAGTAACTAAGTTTCCAAGATTCGATGGTATGCTCTTCAAGCTGGTTATAAAGTTATCAGCAAAATTCAAGTACTTTATATTAACTAATTGGTCTAACCCGTCCGGCAATTCCTCCAAGAGATTATTGGACAAGTTCAATTTGACTAAATTCACCAATGGTTTCAACGTTTGTCTCGGTATATGTGCAATAGACGTTTCCGAAATCGTCAATTGTTTCAAAGCCAACCACTTGTGTTTGTGTGAGGTATCTGAACGACCATACTCAGCATCGCCAAAAGAGCCAGCTCCGTTGGATGCATTTGTATAACCACGATCCCGCTTGTATTTGAACATTGTATTCAGCTCGTCAATGGATGCCCTCAAATCAAACGGTGGATCTAATTGAATCGATTTTTGCTTTGTGGTGTTGAAACTAGATCTTCCATTTGCATCATCAATCACCAAGTGAAACAATAACTCTGCCATATCAGTAATCTTGCTTTTTCGTATGATTAATATTCTCAACTGGTCGCTCAAAAAGTTCCATCCAAAGATTTCATTAGGTTCATATTCTATCATTTCCAAAACCTGCAAATTCTTAAACATTTTGATTGGAACGGATGTATCGCATGGATATTCCTCATACGAGCTGATGCTGTTTATTTTGGTCTTTGGTGTGAGTATCAAACATGGTATTTTGGTGAAAGAAGAATACAAATATTTAATATCTTTTTTAATCACCTTGGGATCATTACTCAATGAAAGTGATCTCCAATATATGGATGCACTTGAGACTATAGATTTCATTGAATTCATAGATGTGATTGAACGCGCATCACTATCGAAATGCCGCGATGATCTTGCATTGTTTGCCATGAACGAAACAAATGTGGGTTCGTGGTTGGGGTTATCCAATTTGATATTTAATGGACCAACATCGACCCCCATGGTAGACTGGTCAATGCGTTCTGTCAAGTAGTACAAGTGGTGAATAGTGAAAGTTAACCTTATGGGTTTGACCTTGTTGATTGTTGTTTTATTTTTACTGAAGCATAGTAATCCATTGGCCAAGGCTTCCTCATTCTTTTTGATATAACTTGCTAGCCGCTGAATATAAACGTCCCCTTCGATGGAGTTTGCGTAACCAAAACTGCCCATAATTCTAGCAAGTATCGTGATGTTTTGGACTCCAGCTTTCTTCAACTGGACTATCAACAACTCAAAAGACTGTGGCTCTCAATGGTGATGAGGAAGTATTTTGCTCTTCCATATTTTTTTTTGTTTATTTTATCTCGATTGCAATTTATTAAATTTAATTAAAATTAGATTCGCATTAGTATTTTTTTGTTTACATTTTTTTACATGCAGAAGTTTATCGAATTTCCCTTTTAGGCAATTGGTTTTAGGATCAGCCACACTACGAGGAAAACTTAGAGCACTCAGGTACCACAAGAGAAGCAAACGGGGAACAGGCTTACAGAAGAGTGCAATGAAACAAATATATACTGAAATAAATAACAAAATAGTGCAATGCCACAAATAAACAAACATTGACAACCACAAACCTTCAATTAAAAACTCCTCACTGAGCTACCTTGATCATCATAATGTGATAACTGACTGCTTCTATCAAAGTTCCCAGTTCGAATACTATTGGCGTACATGCTATTCGCTGCAGTGGGCTGCACACTCAATCTTTCCATGATTGATGCTGGTGGAATTGCGTTGGTACTGCAATTGGTATCGATACTTCTTCTCCTTCTTCTTCTTGATGAGCTAGCCAAGGTAACAATTGACTCGTTATCAGCTTCTTGTACCGCATTCGAGGGAGTCTGGCTGGCTCCAGCTGAAGTTGCTGTGTTTATAGTCACCGATGTAGCACTCGTACTTGGCCCGGTGTCTGTACCGTCTTCATCAACAGTTGGAGTATTAAGGTTGTTTTGTTGATGATGTGGAGCTACGGTATAGTTGTTGTTGTTTGATGCATGGACACTAGGTGCAAGTGAAGTCTCTGCGGTTGAGGCAATAAGTGACAGGTGGTCATTATTGACATCAGTACTCAAAATTGATGGGTTTTTCGTTGACTGCCTTGAAATTATAGACTTCAAAGGAATGGTGCTAATGTTGTCTTCGCTATTATTGGTATTTTGATCGCTATCATTATAACCTCCATCATGGTCTTGATCACCATAGCTATCTTGGAAGGAGCTACGGTGAATGTGGTCGTTTTCTTCAAAACGAAGTGTAGTACTGAAATCCTCTGCCTCATCTCCACTGCGCGTTAAACTGGTTTCCGGATCATCCCTTATCAAAGGTTCTGAATTACGTCTTGCCCTACTTGTATCACTACTCCTAGTGGTCCCGCGTTGAGTTTCTGAATGGCCACCTGACTGCCGACTGTGGTTTGGTTGGTGATGGTGAGAAAACTGCGCATGGGAATCAATGTGATCCGAAGTGTTTGTTCTATTTTGACCTTGCATTAACCGCCTAACCCAACCAAATCTGTTTCTTGAGGTACTCGAATGACGTCTGTCATTTTGAAATGTGCTTTCTGAAAACGGGGTTAGTAAGGTGCCGAGGAAGGGTTCATAGATCTAGACATACCTTCTGGTGTAGTCATTTGCAAAAGAATCTTTCTTTAAGTTGTGTCGTCTGAAAACCAGTAGAAGAGCTTGTGAAAGTGAATAAGCTTATTGCAAGGGTCGCAAAGTGATTCTCGTTTCAATACTTCCAATGATACGATAACAACTGGGAAATGAATGATGTTTCCCTAGCTAAAACAAATTTAATAACTATAGACTAAAAATTACCAAACTGCTAAAACAAAAGCTTTTTGTTCCCCAGGGCGTGTACGTTGCTCAAAAACTGGAATTGGAATATTCGGTTCATCTTAAGGGGTAACAAATACTTCCATGAACCGCGCCTGGAATTCTGCGAGGCTAGCATAAGATTTCGTCGAAGAAAGCTTTTCTACGTCTCACTGATTTTTGATCGTGCAAGGGGAGGGGGTAGGGAATAATGCGCCGTTGAACCCAGTAAATATGTACTTCCGAACCTTTAGAGTTCACAAGAAGTGTGATCAGTCGCCTAGAAGCACGGATACCATAGCTTTTACATATATTGCTTGTAAAATATACATTTCTTCATAGCGCTAGTAAAACTCCACCTACTAAACCGGCCAATAAACCTCCTCCTAATTTGACACCCAAATTGCTGCTGCTTGATCCATTCTCACTCAGTTCATCTGTGGTCACGCTAGGCACTTCGTTTCCAGCAATTCTCGAGTTGTACCATGGCAACCTAGTTACTACATTCTCCAAATCAGACATCAACTCCGAATTCTCAACAATAGTGGTGTAAGAGTCGTCTGTGTAAGTGGAAAACCTTCTAAGCGAAAGTAAATCAAGTGGGAGGGCAACTTCCAGCTGCGTTTTAAAAAAATCAACGTATTCGCTAGGATAAGAACGAATGTCTGAAGCCACTTTTGTTAACAAAGCCTCTTGTTGCTCAGTATTGAATGACACCGATTGTGCTATTGTAGTTGCAAACAAACAAGGTAAAACGTAGACAAGCGAAATGAATTGCATATTGAGTGATGGTGAAAACAAACTAAGGAAGCTTGGTCTTGATAGAAACCTGACCTATTATATAGACTTTCGAAGGAGGCGAGATCGGGATATTCCGTTGAATTATAAGAGTCACTGTTGTAAGAAAAACCACAGCCGGATTCCATTTTTTCTTTTTTGCTTTTTTTTTCTTGATAATGAGGCGCATACGCAATGTGCAACCAAGATTCTATTTTTAGGTGCAAAATGAGATAATCAAAGGAATAAAGACTGAGAGATCTTTCTCCTACCACAAATGATATTTAAGCCCCAGTTGTATTAGTAAATGATGGAGCAATCTTAAGCCATTTTTGCTTCCTGATGTGGACAAAGCCAACATTCTTTTAAAAAGAGTGTGGAGTGGACTAGAGTTTCATTACTCTACACACAACGCCCACAAGATTCAATTAACAAACAAATCAATCGTTGTCATTTCTAGATAATAAAACTACTCTAAATATAAAAATGGAATTATACATCATGCATCATAAACTGGGGTGACAAAAAGCTTGTCGTACTGCTTCTGAAACAAAAGACAAACTCTTCTACTCCCATCCCATAACTCGTTTTCTTCACCAGCAAAGTGCACCACCAATCACAAATTCAGTTGTGCAACGGAGGCCACCTGTGCATTTGCCACGAGTTACATTTGCAACTACACTTCTTTACTTATTTTGGGAAGTTGCTGGAGAACCAACCCTCATTTTAGTTTGAGGATTGATAATTTCCAAAGCTTTCTTGATTCTTGGAGTCGATGCTCTTGGGGAATTGGTACCAGCACCACCACTGCCAGAAACTGCACTACCCTGCAGGGACACGTTGTGATGTGAAAGTTCCTGACTTGGTGAAAATGATGTGCATGTGTAGGGATTAAATTTTTTCATTCCGGGACTAGTAGCGCTATGGTCCACAATCTCCGGACAAAACTCCAAGTCATCTTCAATGTCAAACGATTTGGATAAGTAATATCTCAACCTTGGATTGTGGAATGAGTATGTTGACGATGTATTGGAAACATGTGAGCCAAACAACGATGAAGAGCCCGTACTTGATAATGAGCTTGACAAACTGTTGCTTGCTGAACCTGGTGGGGTGAGATACGATAAGTTGTTCAATGGTGAGGTGCTAGTGGCTGAAGTGTTTGTTGTTGCAGTTGTATTATTACCGCCCATTCCAATAGAGCTTAATTGGGAATTTCCCATGCTTGGGGAATGTTGATAGTACTTGTTATACGTATATTGGCTTGCCATTTTAATGTATTGTAGATGTGAATAATAACTCAGAAGTTCAAAAGCTTTATATGTGCATTAATAAAAAATGTATTGTCGACGACTTGACCAGTAATTTGTAAAATTGAAGTCGAAAAGTTGTAAGCGTAATGTGTTTTGGTATTTAGAACCGGGTCTTCTTTCACAGTGAACTATATATAATTTGGATGGTTGAGTGCGATTAAGAAGAAAGATAATATGGATATGAGATAGAAATGGTTTATGAACGAATGATGTTCAACAAAATCGCAAGTTTTGTGAATTTCTTTTTTTTCTCTCTTTGCCTGCTTGTCCTCTCTGGTTGTCTTTTTGTGGTGTTTTTTGTTGAGGGATTTGTTTATCGTTGCACGACTTCTCCTAATATTGCAAACACAAAGAGATATTCATTCAGAAACTTACCCCAGTTGAAGGACAACGTCTGAGTATTGATTGCTGGATGAAAAAACTGAGATGATGACTCAAATGATCCGGTAATCTAATGGGAGCCAATTGAGCTGTGTCAGTAGCCCTTCCCATAAAAAGCACAGTTGCGTGATAATCTTCACGTCAAAATGTAGAGCCAGCATTGCATATGGTCATTAATTTGCCTTATGGGCACGACTTCAAAATAAAAGTTCTTCCGACTTGCATAACCTATCTCAGATTTTGCAACACATTACAAAGGGAAACAAAATTAAAACACTTTGACGTGAATTCCAAGGTTTTAGAGTTGTGACACCTCGGGTTTATATAGCATTTGTATGGAAGATGCGATGTTTTTGCATCATTTGATGTCGGAACGCAAAGCACGGATAAGGGTTGTTAGTGATCTCAATTTCTGCGCTACCTCCCCACGATTATGAAACGCCTTAAAATGTATGACGTTTCTGATTCTAGCATCACTTCTCCTATGAGACTCCACTCCCTTTCTCTATATCTCAATGCTGTTATTAGCCCAACAGATTTTTTGAAAATTTGTGCAAATGTCAATCCTTCTTTCCACGCATCCTTCTTTTTGTTGTAGTTTTTGCACCAAAAATGAAAGTAAATGTTTACAATGTTTAAAGGCACAAGCTCTTGAATATTGAGTTTTGCCTTCGTCTTTTTAGTAACTGAGCCATGATTGCCCTCGTTTCAACATTGTTTCGAATTTGCTCAATATGTTGAAATACTATGATCACCCCATTACATTTCTTTTCGCATCTCTCACGACACCAATTATCCTAGCTCTACTTGCTCGTAAATTTCACTTATTAGAGCTCTTTTGGCTCTCTTTGTATACATTGAAACTTCCACATACACAGACAAAGTTCATGCAAGACCTAGTGCCATACTTATACCTTTATTATAACAGGTGCTACCAAATCAATGTTTAATTGTCAGAGCCCAATGGGGAAGTTTATATTGATGCATAATAATAAACATCAATTGAGTTTGTTATAGTGATTAATACATGACATTTGAATCAACGATGAGGCTAAAACTAGATATGATGAGAGACACTGAGATACTGTTGCAAATTGACACATTCCTTGCATGTCACAACACCACATGGGCTTCTTTTCAACAACCGAACTTTCATCATCATTCAAGAAGCCATTGTCTGCTCTTCACAGTTCATACAAGTATATCAAACTAGAAAATGGGCTCAGAACATTGCTAGTATCCGATCCCAAATGTACAGTTACCTCGGCTGCCATGTGTGTAGGTGCTGGTTCACACAGCGACCCTGATGATCTTCCTGGACTAGCACACTTTTGCGAGCACATGCTTTTCATGGGAACTGTTGAATTCCCTAACCCCAATGATTTTCGGTCCAAATTGAGTTCAATGGGAGGCAACGCAAATGCGTATACGATGGGTGACTATACATGTGTATACTTCGAGGTTCCAATGACAGATACACTAGCTGGTGATGAATTGGGATTGAATTATTTAATGAAAAATTTCAGCTCCTTTTTCAAGAGACCATTATTTACAGAAAGCTATATGAACATGGAAGTGAATAGTGTTGATAATGAGCATGAAGGAAATGTTGTCAACGATGAAAAGATTTTGTATCATGGATGGAGATTACTCAGTAGCGAGGACCACCCATTCCATAGATTTGGAACAGGCACTAAGAGCACGCTAAATTCAAAATGTACCCAAAAAGAGATGATCAAGTATTACAAGGCCAACTTTGTGTCGACTAACATGGTTTTGGCTCTAAAGAGTCCTCTATCGCTTAACCAATTGCAAAAGCTAGCTGTAACAAATTTTGCAAGCATCCCGGAGATGAGAGAATCAATAGGAAAGCCTCCAAATTACAAAAGACGAAGCAAGACAAAACCTAGGGACTCGCCTATCATCGATCTGGAATCACTGGATGTGAGAAGCGAAATATTCCCATCTACATGTACGGGAAGATTATTATACATCAAGAGTGACAATGCTTCTCAGGTGCGATTGTTCTTTCCTATTCACAAGTTTGTAAATACCTTTTATGAAAGCGTCTGGTGTTCACTACTTGGCGATGAGTCCTTAGGATCTTTGTGCGATTATCTAAAAAGGGTGAAGAAATGGGTCACCTCCATGTACGTTTACATTCAAAGTCTATCAAAAGGAAATAAGATCTTTGTGATGGACTTTGAAATTTTAAAGTCTTTTAATTTGGAGGAAGTAATTCATATTGTGCAGAGCTTTGTTGACCAGATATTGAATTCCAAGTTGACAGACTTGGGCGTTGTGTTGCGAGAATATTCTCGAGTTTTCAAGTATCAAGCATATTTTTCCGAAAGTGAGGCTACTACGGTGATGGAGGAAGCTTCAAATTATGCGCTATGTTTGATGGAGAATCGATTTCATGATCTAGAAAACTTGGTCATGGGAGATTCCTACATATTTGATGGGAATGTTAATGATTTTGCCATCAAAACGATGGAGCTTTTTGATATCCTGTCGTTGAATGCAATATGCCTATGTAACGATGCCGATTGGAAAGGCTTAACGCCAGCTAATCTAATAAAAGATCCTTATTATCGATTTATATATGGAATCACCAGTTTGCACTATTCGCCCCTTAGAAAAGCGATTCCGAGCTTTTTCATACTTCAACGAAACCCTTTTATTACAATGACACATCAAGAATTAGATCATCAGATGAAAAACTCACGCTACACGAAGCCATATTTATTGGAAACTACAAACAAGATACCCAAATTGATCGACTATTCGATGTTTCATGAAATTTGGCATCTAACGTCTAATTCATTCAATGTGGCTATTTCGCTCCATATGTGTTTTTCCAATATTGAAAACACACCTTTGAGTTTGGTGGCAATTGAATTGATTGCCGAATACATAGGACAAGAATTGAAGATCTTCTTTTACCAAGCTGAAATGGCTCAATTCTCTTGGGGTATCTTTGCAAATTTGGTAACTACTCCTTCTTTGGCTTTTGAGATTCGGGGTCCCCTATCTGGCCTTCTCTACTTTTTGAAGGAGTTTATCGTGAGGGTCGAAAACTTGATTTCATCATTCAATTTGGATTATAGAAAGTTTGTCGCAATGAAGCTTCAAATGCGCCGCAATTATGATGCTTTAGAACACGGCGAAACAAATGCTAAGATTGTAGCAGCATCCGTGATGGCTTTGGAACAGGGCGTTTTTGGTATTGACGACAGACTCGAAGCTGTTGAGCTCTTAGAAACTAGTTACCTTGCTCATGTATGCGATTTGATACTCCATGATTTCAAGCATATTGATATTCTTGTCACTGGTGGTGACAGACAATTTGCTATGGATGCTTGTAAGGTAATCAATATAATAACGTCACACGAAAAGATTCATTTGGCCAAGCGTCTGTTTACCTTTGCATCTAGTATAAACTTGAAAACAGGAAGGAATTATGATTTAATGCTTGAGAATTTGAATGTGAATGACCCTAATGATGTTGTTTACTACTACATCCAATTATGCTCCAGAAAGGATGAGAAGCGAATCGTGGGACAGTTTTTGGCGTATCATATGAACCAATTTGTTCGATACCAACTTCGTACTAGAAAGCAAATTGGGTACTTGATCTTGAGTGGAATCAGATTTAACAAGCTGACAATTGGACTTTACATTCTTGTCAATAGTGCATCCTATGATTTTTACCAAATTTTACTGGAGATTGAGCTGGTGGTATTCGAGTGGGAAGTTCAGGTGCTAACAATGACAGAGGATCAGTTAAAACAGCAGCTAAAATCGTTTTTGAAGAAACAAGATCAAGAAGAATCTGACACTATTCCATCAAACATATCAGCAGCCACCAAACCTATTCAACACAGCGATAATTTTACTTCAACAAAGCAACACTTGATGCTTTTTGAAAGCATCACGACAAAGAATTACGACTTTGAAAACTGTCGAAATGGGTTATCCAGCGCTCAACTCAATACCAACATCAAGCTCGCTGAAGTTATAGAGTTTTTCAAGAAACACGTATCCATCAAGTCCACACACCGAACCACGCTATCAATTCTTGTGTCATCTAAGAAAGGAAAGATGAAGAAGGAGTTTGAGGAAAACAAGGAGATTTTAAAGTCGTTGATAGGCGGGAGTAATTATCTGTTAACTTCGTTACAATTGAGTACCCTACTAAGAGAATCAAGTAATGATATTTCGATAGTGATTCAGAGGTTGAAAAATATCGGTTATAATATATCAACAAAGCAGAGCCGTGGACTTCATAAGATTCTATATGCGACAAAGGGTTACAAGGCAGGAAACTCCAAGGAGCAAGCGAGATTGAAACAAATGTGTGTCGCCAAATACGGAGAAAAGTACCTTGATAATCAAAGAGTGTTGCCTCGATTAAGAGTGAGAAATGTGGCAGAAATTCACGACGAAGCAGCTTCAATGAGACGAAGTGACCATCTAACTCAATTGCGAGAGATTTTTGATTGTGAAGATGAGGACACATGATCTGAGTTACTTGGTTTGAAATACAATCACAGTCGACTTCAACAGCAGACCCTGGTGGGAATGTTCCTCTATGCGTAGTATGAATGGTAGTAATCAAGTAGCAACAACTCTCCACGTAGACTAATGTAGTGTCTCTTATCATGTAATAAAGTGGAGAACTGTTTTGTGTAACAAGTGTCAGTGCCGTGTATATGGAAATTGAAAATAAAGATTTTTCAAGAGCTTCATGGTTGAACTAGTACACTACGATGACGGTAAGCGAGGATCCAGTTACCGTATCCCTTGATGCTCTCCAAACCGGTATAGACAATGAAACATTAACGAAAGCTTTTGGACCCAACTCGCTAGGAATTATCATTGTCCGAGATTTACCACCAGAGTTTAAAAGGCTCAGACAGAAGGTGCTCACAAGCGCGTCAATCTTGGCCAACCTTGAGAACGAAGAGCTCGAGAAACTTGAATGCGAAGAGGCAATGTGGTTGGTAGGGTGGTCTCGTGGAAGGGAAAAATTGGCAAATTCGTCTGTGCCTGATTTCAAAAAGGGTTCGTTTTACATGAACTGCGCCTTCCATAAAGATCCCAAGTTGGAGGGTCCCGAGCCTGAATTGGTTGAAAAATACCCCAATTATAAGCCGTATACTGCATCCAACATTTGGCCAACCAATGCCCTTCTTCAAGATTTTGAACATGATTGCAAGGCATTATGCTCGTTGATTATCGAAGTTGCTGGGAGTGTTGCAAAAGCTTGCGACAAATATATTTCAAGTATTGAGGATAACTATCATAAGGAATACTTACAAGTGATTGTGAAGAATTCCACATGCACCAAGGCACGATTGTTGCATTATTTTCCCACGACAGAGAAAGAAGCGATCGAATCAGTTGATGACTGGTGTGGCGAGCATCTCGACCACTCGTGCATCACGGGGCTAACTTCGGCTTTGTTCATAGATGAATCGAAAGGATCAACACACACGTTGGATGCATCGCCGGATTCCAAAGCTGGATTGTACATCAAAAACAGAAATGATGAAGTTGTCAAAGTGAGCATCCCTGCTGATTGCTTAGCATTTCAATCTGGCTCTGCCTTGCAGGAAATTTCCAAAGGCAAGTTCAAAGCGGTTCCACACTACGTGAAAGGGACCGACAAGCCAAATATCGCTCGTAATACTTTGGCAGTTTTTTGTCAACCGGATTTGGACGAAATGGTCAACGACGTGGAGGACTTTGCAAAGTACTCTGATAGGATATTAAGAGGTAATCATTAAGTAGATAGAAGTTGGTGTATAATATAATGTAAATCAGTACAAAGAAAAGTCACTTGCGGTAGCGCTTTCAATTATTGACCTCTAATAACAAACCATTACCTTAACATCATCAATGAATTTCAATGACATTCCCATCATCAATGACAAGCCAATAGCAGAAGAAGATGAGGTTGTACGTCAACAGTTAAAGGAACTCGGTCAACCTGTATTTATTAATGGTGAAGATGACCAGGCGCGACGTGAAAGATTATTTATTTTAGTTAATGATGCTGGCTTTGAAACAAGCGACATACACAGTGGCGAAGATGATGATGAAGAGGATGACGACGAAGAAGAGGATTTTTATACACCCGGACCAACAAATCTTTACGATGCGAGAATTCGAATTCTTAATCACTCTTTGGGTAAAGCATCATATAGACTCCAACATCAAAGAGAGATGCTACAAAAGATTCCTCAATTCACTACGATTTTAAAGAAAAGGCGATCAATTAACTCAAAGTTGTCACAGATTGAACTCTGTGGATCACAGGTAATACAGGGAAACACGAGAGCCGTTTCGAGTGTGAGATACTCTTCAAGTGGGGACTTGATTGCGTGTGGCACTTGGGACGGGTCGGTACATGTTTTGAACAATAATGATTTGAGTCCTAGTGGGAAGTTGCTAGGCGGACAGCACGCCGAGAAAGTAGGCGGTTTAGATTGGCAAGCAAAAGATAGTCAACAGCGTCTAATATCAGGAGGAAGTGAAGGTACCATGAATATTTGGAATATCACGGCATCGGATGAGGTCATTAAGCCCAAGCTTTCAATAAAGGAAGCCCATACAAACAGAATAACCAAAACTTTGTTTCATCCAATTGGAGATTTTGCATTGTCAACCTCATTTGACCAAACGTGGAAATTGTGGGACTTGAACAAGGTGGTTGAGTTGTACCAACAAGAAGGGCACTCTAAAGAGATTTACAGTGGCGCTATACATCCCGATGGTTCATTATTTTTATCTGGAGGATTGGATGGTGTAGTGTATGTTTGGGATTTGAGATCGGGGAGAGCTCTTATGCCACTTCAAAAGCACATGCAAGGAGTGTACGGTCTTGATTGGTCTTTGAATGGGTACCATTTCGCTAGCGGATCTGGCGATTGTTCGGTAAAAATTTGGGATATGCGGAAGTTGGACCATTCAGGTGAGGAACTTTTTTCTATACCTGCACATACGAAGCTTGTGAGTGATGTGAGATTTCACAGTGGAAACGGGGTGGCAGATGAAGACGGTTTTAACACCAATGGCTCATGCTTAGCTACTAGCTCGTACGATGGGACAGTAAAGATTTGGTCGGCAGATAATTGGATTCTAATTAATACTTTGAAAGGTCATAATGAAAAGGTGATGAGTTGTGATATCAGCGATGCCAATAATGCAATCAATTTCGTAAGTGGTGGCTGGGACCGAACGGTTAAATTATGGCAATCGCCGCAGTAGAGAAGGTAATATGTTTCTCGTAAAATATAGAGTAAGACCGTTGTATAATAGTGTAGATTGTGAACCATATCGCGATAGAAAAAAAAATGAGAGATTAAAAATTTCAGTACTTGACCAACTAATAAAATCCACCACTTCAAACAATTATGAATTTGTTACGCATATTGGATAGCACGCCGGAACCTCCTATAATTGAATTGGAGCTCAGCGAAACAAATAACAGCGGGGACTATCATTTGGGCACCCCGATGTACGAATACCAGAAAGAGCTCACCGATCAAATTATTTCCCTTCATTATCCCGATATACTAAAGTTTTGTGAAACTGATGACCACAAGGACATTATACTCAAGTCGGTTGAAACGTGTATCGAAAACTGTATGCTAGTGTGTACGCATCCGTATCTATTAATCAGCCACTACATGCCTAAAAATTTAGCTGTGAAGGATATGCCAGCGAAATTGGCAGAAACAAGTGGTAAGTTTAATGTTTTGAAAGATTTATTGAATGTCATAATTCTGAACAAAACATCGCATGTAAAGTCAGTGGGTCTTGTTATGAGTAATAATGTGAAGCTCTTTGATTTGATAGAAGCTTTAATTATGGTGTGCCCTGGTAACAAAATCGTTAAGCGATATGTTGGAAATAATATCCAGCGGGAATCAAAAAAGGCTGTCAAAAACGGCAATGGCGGTAACGGGAATAGCCTCAATGGACACGGTAATAAGTCTAAAAACCCAACTCAAATTCACCTTATACCTGCCGATGGTGACATTCAACGGGACCAAGATCTATTTGAGGCATCTCGATTTGATGTATTGATTGCTATTGATGGAAATGTTAACACCCAAACAGCGTTTTATCAAAATTTGGAGTCAAAGAATCATTCAAGTGAAGAGCAACCAGCAGTCACCATTCGTTTGGCACCATTCAAGACAATAGAGCATATAAAATTGTTTTACCAGCAAAATAATGGTGACAATGATTACTTGTACAAGCTTATTTCATCAGTCGTATGTTTGAGGGATTATATTGGAAACATCCCTCCCGACATTTTCCCAATATATCATCAGAGGCTAACATATTTGGGACCCAACTTTTTCGATCACATATTTCAGAACAGAGTAGGCACATATCCGGCATGGCCATTACCGGCTCTTCCCACAATACAGAAATTTACTCCAATTGATGTAGAAAGGTCATTGCTAACAGAAGCTCATTTTCATTACACCCCTTACGGGTTGCAACCGTCCATGTGTGAGAAAGCTACTCCAACATACTACGAATCAAAACGTCTACAACTGGACTATATTTCTAACCCATTGAAGAACTCCTATAATGAGTTGATTGGAATAACTGGTGCTACCGAGAGACAAGACACTAGTATGTTGACTCACAAATTATTACTCCAGTTGAATACAGCGTGCAAGGATTTGAGAAGAGCAAAAGACGAGTATGCTTCTTACAAAAAATATGATTCTGAGGAGGTTCAAAATAAAATCGGGAGAAGAGAAAAGGAAAAGAGACTAGCTGTTTCAAAAATTTTTGACGATCTAGACCATTCGCAACAGAGGATCGACAGTGGTAACAAGTGGCACACCAAGAAACAAGAACAACTCGAAGAAATTAAGTCAGCTATTAAGGAAAAAGAAGATGCGTTAAACAGCTTTCTGAATAAAGCTGACACTCCCGAAAAGAAATTGTATGTTGAGAATCAATTGCAAATATGGAAGCTTAAAGGTCAAGTAAAACAGTTTATTGCACGAATACAATCGAAAAGCGACGAGAAGAACTTTACCAATAAGGAGTACGAAAACTCTTTGAGTGCCATTAACGAAGCCAAGGAAGACCAAACGTTGCTTACTGAACAAATACGAAATGCAAAAAGGAAATATGACGAGTACGAGCGAGACCAAGAAACCAAAGGAGAACAGTTTGAATCTAAGCATCAATCGATTCTTGACGAAATTGGTGATTTGGAAACCGCGAATGAGCAGCTCGAGAGAAAACTAGGTATTGCGTTCAAGTTTTTAAAGGACACGGCACATTTCAAGAAACGGAAAGCTCGAACCAGTACGCCAAGCAAATAGATCCAAAAAAATTGCATTTGTACAATTAAATCTACATACTATAGATTGGCATTGTTGCGTTTGTTGCATCCAATAGCACAACATTGTTCATTGGAGAGTAATTTTTGCTCAAAAAACGTATAACCTCTTGAGCCAATGTCCCCCCAAGAACAGCGGCAGATGGAGAAAATTCAGCATACGCCTGTCGACTCAATTTCTGAATGTAGTCCTCTGAAAATGACACGGCAGGAAGGTTTAATGTCTTGTAAGTTTCCTCGACTTTGGACCTCAAAAGTAGGACATCTATTACATCACTTGGATTCTGAGGACGTGGAATATCAAACAATGCAATGATGATAGGCAATAAAGTCGCTTTCCGTATTTCTCTTGGACTGGAATATCTTGCCACTTCTTTTGAAGTGAATATAGTTTTGAGTGGGGAATACACATCCCTGATGGTAACTATGTCTACTTTCTTCAATGGATCAGGCTTTACCGCAATCATTGTTTTATTCCTGGATAGTTCAACATTAACTTTTCTGGGGACTGAGCTTTGGTTGTATTCATTGTAAGATGTATGTTCAATGAGATCAACCAAAATATAGCCAAAAAGTCCGTGCATACCTCCTACATAGAGTGGTATGTTTAAACGCCTTGAGATTTCATTGAGATTGATAATTTGAGTCTTTGATAATTCAGTGGCGATAATCAAATCAAACTTCTTAAAGTAACTTGGCTCCGCAAAAGCTTCATCCAATGGAGAAGTCTTGATACTCAAATCAACCTTAGTATTCAATTCTTTAATATTGTCAACTATTAGTGGTAATTTCAATTGGCCAACAATCGAGGCATCATTTGGTAAAAAGAATTGTGCGGTAAAGTCTTCCTCTTTGACCACGGAGCTATCCAATATCTCTATTGAGTTTAGACCACCCAATACCAAGTTCTTGACACATTCTGTGCCAACTGCTCCAAGGTTGATGACCAAGATTTTTGTTGATCGAAGTCTCAATTGGGTTGCCATACCCCATAATCTAATTTGCCTATCATACAAAGCAATCTCATCTACCAAGAAGTTAGTAATTGCTAGAAATGATTAATGCCGTGAGTAGTACGAACCTGCCGTAAGTTCCTCCTCCGTTGTCATGTTGTACTCAAACAGGAAATACCAAGTGCTTTCACGTAAAGTGAAAAAAAAAAATGTGAACGAGAAAATGTTATCAAAGAATCCACAGTTTACAATTGATGTGCTACAAAGATTCATGCATTTAAGGCTCGTAAGTTCAACAACTTTCTATGGTGATCAATCGACAACACTAAGCATTCAGTATCTGGTGGTCCCTTTTCACAAAACTCGTCATAATACAAAAGGTATATTGGCATATATCTATCGACAAACAATTTAACCTCTTCATCACTCATTCCCTGGCTTTTGAGAGCAATCAAGGCATGTTCTTGCTCAATTCTCCATTTGTAAACATTGTCAATTGTACCGGTTTGTATTATAACAAAATGTGAAAACACCTTCCATATGGGAACGTATTCCGTAAGCCTATTGTTGACATCCTGAATCTGGTAAAGCTTATGTCGTTGTAAAATCGAATCAACAGGGCTTGTCAAATACTTTATATTGATCAAGTCTTCATCCAAAGGCATGAACCCATTGAACCAACCTTCACAAATAATAACGTCGACTGGCTGCTCAAGGATGACTGCATCCGTGCTCAGACGGTCCCCCAACCCACCAAATGCAGACTTGTCGTATGAGGGTATCTTTACCGGCACCCACTCAGTTTTATAGTTGTCGCAAATTTTGTGAAGCACGTTTTGTAGTAACCTCAAATCGTGGGTTCCTGGTAACCCTCTTCCATTGAGTAGCTTGTTCCCATCGGCTACAGCTTCCTGTGTCACTTTCTCCTGGTCCGATTTTGTTAAGTAGAAATCGTCAATCAGGAATTGCGTAATTCTTAAATTGGGGTAACTATTTTGTAAAGTCCGAGTCAAGAACGATGCCAAATACGTTTTGCCCGATCCTTGAGGTCCACTAATACCCACGGTCAATGGCTTCAAAGCACGTTTGAAATCATAAGAATCAATAGCCTTGGACAAATAATTGAGAGAGGCTTCAAGGGTAGTAGTTGTCATTATCAGCATTTGTCAAATAGGTCCTGCTTTTTTTTTCTTTAGCGCGCCTGATTTCGATGATATGTACCTACACATTTGGTATTACCTGTGAACATGATCAAGATTCTACAAAGTTTATGCTGCCGCATTGACGTTGAGGTGTCTATACTCACTTATAAAACCTTCAACTCTCTCAACTTTTCTACTAACTGGTCAACATTTTCAACCTTTACACCAGCTTGCCTTGCGGGTGGCTCTTCAACTTTAACCACCTCTAACCTATTGTCAATTGAGTCAACACCAAAGTCCTTCAACTTCAATTTTTCCAATGGTTTCTTTTTAGCCTTCATTATATTTGGCAAACTTGCATACCTTGGTTCGTTCAATCTCAAGTCAACAGTGATCACCATTGGCAATTTGGCTTTCAATACATCAGCCCCACCATCAATTTCTCTCGTTACAAAAACCTCGTTGTCTTTAACTTCAACTTTCGATGCATTTGTAGCTTGTGGCCAGTTCAACAATCCAGCAAGCATTTGTCCCGTTTGGTTTGAATCATCATCGATGGCTTGTTTTCCCAAAACCACCAAGTTTGACTGTTTATCCTCCACCACTTTCTTCAACAACTTAGCTACTTGTAATGGTTCAACCGTCTCTTCACCTACGTCAATCAAGGTTGAAGTGTCAGCCCCCTTGGCCAATGCAGTTCTCAATATGTCCTGAGCTTTCGTTGGTCCGATTGACACGGCATGTATATTTTCGACTAACTCTGGCGTTTTTTCCTTAAGACGAATGGATTCTTCTAACGCAATGTCACAAAACGGATTTATACTAAACTTGACACCTTTAGTCTCAATTCCGGTGTTTGTCTTGTTGATCCTAGGTTTGATTGCATAATCAATCACTCTTTTCACAGGAACAAGGATCTTTAACTTGCTCGACATTGCTTGCTGATAAAACACTATTGGTGAGGTTAGACTGAGAATTTCTCAATTTTTCAAAAAGCGCACTCCTCCGATGTAGGGATTTGCTGAGAAGGGTAGCGCTAAGCACTTACATTTTCTTTCTCATCATACTAAATAATAGCTACTGATTTTACTCAACATTCAAAGGAGTTCTAGCTCTAGCCTTCATTCTTTCAATTCTCTTCTTCAACTGTTGTGTTACTTCGGCAGCGCGTTTCCAATCATCGCCAGCGTCCACATTTAATTTCTCCTTATTGCTTGAGATCGAATGAAATGAGCTTCGATTGTAGCCTATTGTTCCGCTACCATCAGCTTGTGTGGGCTGAACAAACTGATCTTGTTCGGTGATTGATAATCGATGAACGCCTCTTCTTATATCGGGTTCCCTGTAATTTGTGTCATTGATGGTAGGTTGGTCATGGGCAAAGTAGGACTTATTAGACTGCTGCAACTTATTTATCTCCCTTTCAGCTTCAAGATCTTTAATCTTATGGTTCACTTTATCCAATTCTATCTTCAAATTATTGACTTGAGTATCTTTGTGACTGATAGTTATTGAACTTGATCTCTTCTCTTGCTCAAGTCGCGAGTTAAGTGAATTGATCTCTTCTTTCAATGTCAAGTTCTCCGTATTGAGTTGTTCAATTAAATTTCGGTCTTGTTGTTGTTGCAGCTGATACCTTTTCAATTCCTGTCGCAATTGTTGCAACTCTTGTTCTAATTTGGGGTCGGTGACATATTCAATGTGGGATGATGGTGGTGTACTCTGAACAATGGTTGCCAGTGGGTGTGACAAGTTGATATGATTGCTTGCAAGAGATGCCGAGGTTGCTACTTTTGAAGAACGTAGTGACGTAGATGTCGGCTTCGACAACGACCTGGATGTTAATCCTTTTCCTAAGTTGGTTGCCTTTACATCGTCAACCCTTTTTGCAGGTGAGCTAGCTTCTCGCTTGGATGGAATTGTGGAAGAGCTAGATGCAAATCCTCCACCTTGTAGCGATGTTGTGCGAGACGAAAAAGCCTTCTTTGCTGGTGGATCCCGAGATGGTGGAGCTGAAGCTGCTTGTGAAAAATAGCATTTCACCTCGACTGATTCATAGAATTTCAAGATTTTTGCTCTTCGATTATCGTCTGTGTTTTCAAGAAATTTATTCAATTCCCTCTCACCAGTTATTTTCATTAACGTCCCTATCAATTCTGTAGCTGCTTGTCTAATCGGTTCTTGAGAATCACTAAGCAACTTGACACCAGTATTCATTATCAAATCTATTTCAGTCGACTTTGGCGCTTTTGTAGTATTTGCAAGACACCGTTGAAGGAAGCTAGCGCAAGCAATCTTGTTTTGCGGCACTTTGAGTTTCATTCCAGCCACTGCCTCTTCAAGAATTGGACCACTAAGCCCCGATATAGCAAACATTGTGTCCAAGAATGAGTCTAGCGCGTTAGCTACAGCGGGCTTTTTCTCCTTGGTTCTTTCAATTACCAGCCCCAAAATAATTGATTGATATTTTAGCCAATTCTTTTGCAAACCTTTTGCAACGTGGTTTGCACACGTTGCAGCTAATTGGACTACTTGAATATTGGCATCGCGCATATTCTTGGCAAATACTCTCACGAGGGGGGCATAGTCATCGCTCTCAATCAACTTGGGAGCTTTCTCTAACACAGACTGAACTTCCTCTATTACTTCGACTCTGTCTTTCCACTTGGCTGATGCCACTCTGCTTTCAAAATCATTTGGTAGTTTGCTCAATACTTCTACTGGCTCAACAAATTCAAGTGGGTCAAAATTATTATCAGATAACGCAGCATCACTCATTTCAATATCCTCTTTTCCGTGCGCTTGTGACATCGATGCAGCACTTGCCTCCTCTTCTTTGGCAATTTCATACTTCTGTGCTTTCGTGAGTCTTTTTTGTTGCGGTTTCTCATCCTTGACGTCATCAAAGGCCAATGTTAAATCCTTTTGCTGTACTGGTTTTAAATCTGGAAACAAGATTGAGGTCAAGGAGCTTCCCATCCATTTGTACAATTCAACTGCCAATTTAGTGGTTTCTGATCTAACATTTCTGTCAGCATGTGCAAATAATTTACCCAATGAGGGAAGAACAGGCTTTGGTGAAACCACCTTGCACCCAAAATTGTCGTAGATTGCAACCAATGCCATCACGCAACCTGCAACTAATTTGGGTAGTCGATTACCAAGATGTAAAATGATCTCTTCAATGATTATATCAGGCGTATCAATGTACTCAACCATTATCAAAATGCTCTCAATCGCACTATCTTTTGTACCTTTCCTGGATGATGATAACCCTTTCTCACAAATTGGTTGAATGATACCAATACTTTTGACAAGGCGGCCCACTACAGACGCGTTACCTCCATATTTCAAATAATCCATAAAGGCCCTGTACCCTGCCTCTTGTGCCACGACATTTGAATCAGTCAAAATTCTTTTGAATAGCTCAGGTGACTGACTAGTAAACACAGGATCCTGATCGTTACGCGACGATTCAAATTGATTAGAAAGGTCTTCATATGCACTCAAACGAGCTTTCCAAACTTTGTGATCCAACTTCTCCTCAAGTGGTAATTTCGTGTAATCCACCTCTTCGGCCATATTCAATAATTATTTATTGTGATGAAAGTGAATAAGTTGGTGGTGTAGGGAAATCAAATCTTTTTTTTTTTTTGAAATGTTTATGTTTTGGTTTTTGACGACACACGTTTAATTTAAATTTGTTTTGTGTAAGCCTAAAGTAGTACAATCTTATGATGCATTCATGTTTGAACAAGTTGGAGAGATATTCGGAATAGAAAAAGCACCTCTACAGCATAATCTTAGAGACTGGTGTTAACCAATGTCAAAAGCTGACAATTATAAAATAGTGTACATTGTTGTATGTGCTATGGCTCAAAAACATCAGCCTCATTTCGCGCCACTTTTTTGATCCTTTCTCTGGATGAGTAGGTTTCCACACTTTCCCTAACCTTTGTCAAATAAAACCATTCGCTAGTATTGTCGGCCCACTCTAAACTGACTTTTTCGCATTACTGGAATAAATCTCATCAAGTGGTTTTAGGTTGAAACCCCAATCTTCTTCACCCGGTCTATTAACATAGTACTTTTTCAAATTCACTTGGTGATATGGATGATATGCCAAGTTGAACCAAGGCAATATAAATAAAAGTGAGTTGCTGTATTGAGAATTTCTGTTAGCAACATCCTTGGACCTGTCATCCAATACACTTTCATTTTCGTGATAAGGTAATTTACCTTGACTCAATAATTCCTTGACTTCGTATCTGTCTTTAGCGACTTCTCGAGAATTCTCCCTCCACCCAAGGAAACGTTGGCTTGTTTTGACATAGGCTAAAAAGAATCCTCCTACAAACCCAATAGCAGTTGCTGCACGATATGTGGTACCGGCGATAGGAGAGGGCTTCATGCCTTTACCTAAAGATGGTTCTAATCTTTCCCATACATTGATTCCAAGAGGAACAATGGCTGTTGATATACCCCAGTTTAAATAATCTGACGGACGGAAATAACGGATAACTTTGGTGAAATACGGGTCTCCATCAATTAATTCATAGTCACCGGAAATGGGTGCAGCCCTGACTGGCGTATTTGATGGAGTGTATGACATGCTTAACTTGTGTTTTGAGACTCTGCTTCTAAAAGGTTTGTTCTTCCAATTGAAGTGTCTGCTTACGCCTAATTTTTTTCTTTTTTCGTCACTTTTTGATTGGTAACATTGAAATAATGGTAGCGAATGGTAGCAGATGCACACTTCGGTAGCGATACTGTCAATTGATGCACAATCGCAAATAATTAGATCCGATCAAAGGATTCAATGGCAATGTATCTTTTCTCAACCAAACCATGCCTATCCAACTAACGGACGATGAGCCTTTCACGAAAAGACACCCCCTCACAAGACTAGCGAATAGTGTTCGTTGCTACAATATCCCCTTTTTAAATTTTCTAATAATTTTGATCCTAGGCACATTCCTCTACAAGTTGACTACAAAATATACCAATTTGTATATGAAATCGTCCTTGATTACCATAATTGTCACGAATTTGGTACTTTATGGTATATCGGAGAGTTTAGCCCAACTGATTTTAAGTTATCGACCGAACCAACCAATGATTTCATTTAAGCTCAATGATCCAGTGCAGCCAGTAGCTTTGGATACCGAGGCTAATACAGGCATCGAGCACGACGATGTGGGCACTGACGATGACGTTAGTATCGATGATCAAGGTTTGGATAGATTTATAGAGTACCTACGGAGAGATCATGATGCGGAAGAGGATGAGCAAGGTCGATTCAACAATGATTTAGTCACATATGTTCCATTGACGTATTTTCAATTTAACCGATTGGCGGGGTTTATGTGCTGGGGGCTTATCATGGGCTTTATTCAATGTTGGTGGTATAAATTCCTTCAAATCTACTCCAAAGATCCCAAGTTTATTGAAGTTTTGAGAAAAGTAATGACTGATCAATTTTGCTTTTCACCTATTTCGTTGTTTTGCTTCTTCACTTATGGTACGATGGTTTTAGAAAACGGTACTTGGGAAGATACAAAAAGAAAGTTGGGAGCCATTTATTTGAAAACTTTAATGATTAACTATTCAGTTTGGTTTCCTATTCAGTTCATCAATTTCTTGATTGTACCGCGGGATTTTCAAGTTCCATTTAGTTCGTCCATTAGTGTGTTGTGGAACTGCTTTTTATCTATGAGAAACTCAACCAATTAGGTATTGTTAAATGTATATGCCCAAATTTGAGTACCCATTGAATTTTCTCACTCTTGCACTTAAGTTCTTCACATATTGTTCTTTATCGATGGGGATAATATCACCCAATACGTACGCGGTATGGACTATAGAGTCGTTGTCTGATTTTTCATAGCCCAAATGTCCTTCTGAATTCAACACCAAGGTGATGACATTAGTTGCACCTATCAAGTTTAATTGGGAAACAACGGCAGCAGTGATACCAGTTATAGAATGTGGTGGTCTCAATACTGGAACTTGCGACAACACAGAGAAGGCGGTCCCTGTATCCAAAAGTAATTTGTTTATTGATTGATTGTTGTTCAAGTTGGACGGAGCTAATAGTATCCAGCTTTTCAGTGGCTTCAACTGCTGAACCAATTGTCTTGCAAGGACATTGTAGGTGATCGTGTTTGCGAAATGCGGCACCACTATTGACAAGACACCATTAGACAAGTATACTGAAATTTCTTCTTTCTTGAATCTGTTTTTCAAGGCTTCGTTCTCAAGAGCAACATATAACTGTTCATCTTCATCGTAATCATTTTGTTCCTCTTTTGACAACTCTTTAATCAAGTTTGGATAATCCACAGTTATTGTTCCCACATTCAATTTGTTCGGCAATTGATCCTGTATCAAACTTATGGTCTGTGGGGCTATCAATACGTAGTCATACGTTGCACCTGTATCATTCAAGGATATTCTGACCTCAGGGATGGGGTTTGGCTTTGCATTACTATCTTCGTCATCCAACGTATGACGAGGGGTCCTGGTTTCAGTAATTGGCTTGATCTTGAGACAGGTTAGTACCGCAACCCAGTGGTTCAACAATATGTTTGTACATACCAACATATCCGTTTACATATTTGCCTTCCTGTGAGCCAGTTGTGTGAACAAAAATATTTTGATGGGATTCTAAGGTAGTGTAAACTGGTCAAAATAGAACTGGATTCTGGAAGTACAGACGATCAATGGGACAAGGTATAGATATGAAAGGAAAAGGAGATTAGTGGGGAAAATATTGTTGAAAGATCAAGGGAAGATTATTGAATACTAGCACTAATTTCGTGCAATTAACAAACAAACACTATAGCGAACAACCAACTACATTACTATAGCTTAATGAACACATTATAACCCGACTTGCACATTTCAAGTTACTGATTTATTCATTGTATACAAGAACTACCATCTCTCACCTTACTTACGGTTATTAACTCGTGGCTTCATTTCTCACCATATTTCAACTTGAACTTTTTACAGTACTGCATTTATCGAGACGATACTACCACTACGTAATATGGAGCTAACCGATATTTTGGCACTTGTTGTTTCCCTTATCCAGAGAGTGCTTGCTACAGCTATTGGCTTTGCCGTTGCTGCCCATGAAAAGTACCCTGAATACACAAACATTGTGTTTACCATCATTGCCGGGTACATAGTTTACTCGTTACTTGTCAAATCAGCAAAAGCATGGATTAGATTTACAATTAGTCTCATGAAACTGGTCCTAGTTGTGGCATTCATTGTTCTAGCATATGCCATATCTGTCAGAGGTTGGGAGACTTTTTACAACTTTGACATTCCCCGCATCCAAGGGTTTGCATCAATGTTTTACAAGATTGGCAAAACTACAATGGGAACATTTGCGAAAGGACAGGAACAAAGCTATCAAGAGTATTGGAAAGCTGCAGAGGAAGCAACTAGTGGAGGGAAGACAGGCAACCCAATCATTGACGAGGGACTAGATTACTTGCGGGAAAATCTTGGCAGTGATACGATCGACCAGGGGATTGAGTACTTGAAGGACAAGATTGACCTCAATGATGTCCAGAATCTACTACGTATGGTGAATCGTTAACGGTGATGCAACCCAATGGGAAGGCATTCTCTGTGGCTACTCTATCCCATGAATTTGATGTGGGAAGCATTGAATGAAGCTCTTTGTACCTTATCTGGAGTTCTTATCTCCACCATAGCGAAAACTCCAGTTCCGTAGAAGATTAATGACATTTCTGTAGATAGGTACAATATTTTACATCTATTCGGTTTCTATTCCTTGAACGATAGTAGGAAACGTTCATTTCGTGCCCTAACAAACGGTCAACACCCTTCTTTTCTTTTGCTTTTGGATTTGTTTACTGCTACATCACCAAAGTAGGATGTGAAACATATTGGCGCAACTGCTTTCAAGATACCCACACTTCAGGTTGAAGGAAGCAAGGTTGAGGGGCTTGATTTGCAAAATCACAAACTTCCAGGAGCGTCCAACTGGGTGCAAAAAAGGGGGATTCATAAATATGTATATTTTCGAAGGGAAATATGAACGAGTTGTTGTTAAAACAGGATCTGTTAAATGAATAGTCTGTATCATGTGTAGTTTGATAACGTTAAATTGATGACTTTTCCGATGAAAGGGGCCAATTAAGGGTGTCTCCTTCATATCCTGGAAGCATTGTTCGAGTCTTCTTGGATGTAATTATTATTGAAAAGTTCTGCTGCAGATACATGTCTTGGCCGAGTCAATTGCGCGGCTTTTGCAATCTCCGAAAGGCAAACGAACAAAAGCATAGTAACCCCAATACAATTCATCTGGGAGTGGCTTCTCACAAATCTCCAAACACGTCTGCTCTTCGATGTTGCGATAAAGGCATATTGGTTCTCATTTTGTTCAATTGGTCAAAGTCCAAATCAGCATAAATCACCTCAAAATAATCACTATCGTCATCAACAGATAAATCTTTGTCATCAAATTTCTTTGCTTTTGCCAACACAGTACCCCAGGGGTCAACAATGATGGAGTCACCATAGCTTATCCTTTCTATTGTATCCCCCTTTTCATTAGTCCCAACATCATGATGTCCACATTGTGCTGCATTGACCACAAAACATTGCGAGTCCAAAGCTCGAGCTTTACTCAACACTTCCCAATGTGCATCGCCTGTTTTCGTTGTGAATGCACTGGGGAAAGTGAGGATGTTGGCTCCCAATTGACGCAACTTCAAACTGAGTTCAGGGAACCGTATATCGTAACAGATTGAAAGACCGATATTGGCAACATCGTCGATTAAAGTCGGCGGTGTGATTGTGTTCCCCGCTTCCACTGAATTTGATTCCTTGAGTATTGGTCCATTGGGCACATCAACATCGAACAAGTGCAATTTTTGATATCGCGATACGATTGTCCCCTTTGGATCTATCAACAAGTGAACATTCTCGACCTTGGTGGTAGTGTCATTGGGCAAGTGAATACCGATGGACACATACGTAGATTGATTTAGAGCTTTAATATGTTCAACCAAGGGCGTGAGGAATGTTGTCTTGACTTGTTGTGATAATTGAAGTGAATGTTTTGCATTTTGAGCCAAGTAGTCGGTGGCTTCTGGAAGGAATAGAATGCGAGCTTGGTTTTGTATAGCAAGATTGAGGATTTTGTATACTGTACGAAGGTTATTTTTGGTGTTTGAAGATGAACATAGTTGACCAACAGCAACCTTCATTGTAAGGTGATGTATTACTGGTACATGAAAATATGTGGCGCTGACAATGACGTTTTTTTGAATGGTCCATTGGTAACGCTACCGTCTTTTCTAATGAAATATGGCGAGGTTGCCATCTACTTGCTCCCTCCCCCGATTAACAAGTTTGAACTTCTTCGAAATCTACAGCACGAGCTTCTTCTAATCTTTCCCCCGGTGATTTTTCTCCTCTTTTTCCCGGAGAGTTCTCTGATTGCATCACTTTGTCATTGATAAGAAATGTTGCAGAGCCAAACAAACGTTTTACAATCAGATGAGGGGAGTGAAGGTTTTCGCAAATCAAAGTTTTGCAATTGATACAGATGTTCTCCGCTTCAGATAATGAGAGATTTCTTTGATACACTCTAACCTTTATCGAATCAAAGTTTACTGCAACAACTCCAAATGCGGAGAAGGTACGAACAACACGCGCTTTCAGTTAGTAATGTTGTTAAAATCTACAATGCTCGTCATTTAGTTTACCTTCAATGTTTATTCACAGGAAAGTTATAAACTCATTCGTTACATTCGTTAAATCATCAAAAAAGTATAATACAACAGCGCCACTCTTATCTTCTAAGCTCTGTTAACTGGTCCAGCAGTATGTACGTCTTCTGATGAGTATATAGTTGGCTCAAATGGTTCAGCATCTTCAGCTTTTGTAGTAGTGGTAGCAGCGGCAGCAGCAGAAGCATTGATAACATCGTCATTGGAAACCAATGAAATGTCGTTGATGTTGTTGTAGTTTACACATCTTATCCTTGATGAGTAAAATTGTTTCTTTATGAGTTGGCTTGGTTGCGATTTTGGGTATCTTATGATTTGTTGTTTAGCAATTGGAACCCAATGCCTGGCAGCAGTTTGTATATTGCTTACACTGAGAATTCTTTGTGCGACCATCGTAGTAGTGTGGAATAGTTGTGCTTGTAGGGGTATAATATGAAAGTTGGTATGAAGCAGAAACATACCAGTTTGAACTCTATTGGATATTTCATGGGATATTTATAATTTGAGAATTGTGCTTTGGTGATGATAATAGTTTTCCGTTTCTCCAGATTTTACTCTCTTTTGTGTCCATTACGCAATCACCCATTATATGCAGTATTTATATAAGGTTGACTCATTTGTAAATGACTATTACTACCAACACAATTGACAATACGTAATTAAGCCGAGCTTAAAAAAAAAAAAAAATGTATTGTAGCTTTCTTCCCCGGATAATCGCAAACAATTGGGTTTTTTTTTTATCGCACTTTAACCTCCGAGGTTTCCACAATACAATAATGGGCCATTGTGGTTTCGTTTCCAAAGGTAACGGTCCCACGTGTAAGACTCCGCACAATAGACAATCCCCTGTAGTTACCTCAGTAGTCATGCCACCTTTTTTTTTTTTTTTTTTGTTATTTTTTTGGCTCCGGTTGTCCATGCGCAATCGAATCCATAGAAACTTCCGTTCTTCCAGAAATATTACGTTGTGCTCTCACATGCATTTAAAAGTTGATGTAGCAATAATATGGTATTCACTTCCATTCATCCAGGGGGCACTTAGTTACCTGCCAAAAGGGCACGCCGAGTGCTGCCTAAAGCTCCCTTGTCAATACGATTCTATTATAGAGCGTTGCTTCGTAGTTGATCCTTTTGTGGTCTGATTTCTTGTCTCTGTCCAATAAAAACGATTCAACTACTCTTTGTGTTTGTGATACGAATAAGGCACCACTGAGTAAAAGATGTTCATCAACACTATCATGCCTTCTGTCATTTAAGTAAATCACTTGGAATGCCATGGTGACATACTCAAGAAAACAAGCCATTATATGGGGTTTTGACAGCTATTGTTTTGCAGAGTCTTTGATCTTGATAGTTTCTTGATAGTATCCTCATTACACCTCGGGAGAGAGCTACGTTTAGAGGTTGCAAGGGATCTACAATCAGAATACCCCTTTGGTCAGCCCCAGATACTTTTTTCGCGTACATAGCAGATCCTAGCTCCGCATCTCAGCTTCCGTAGCTCACAGGAGCCAGATCCAACTCTTAATTTCATACGAACCTTTTCGCAACCATGTGCTCAGTAAGCATGGTCGTGTAAGAAAGCCCCATTTCGAAAGTTCTTCCCCAGACAAAATTTCATAAATCCCTTTGATCACTGTGCACTACCCTTTTTCTCTTTAATATTGTGTCACTTTTTTCGTTCTCACTCCACCACTGTCGAAAATCGTTCACTTGAATCTCGGTGTATTATTTTACAAACTAAAGTCATTCTCTACCAGTGAAGGAGATTTTAACTATACAATATACTACAACGAGCTGCAAAATTTGGTCTACAGGTCGGTGCTTTCTATAACCATACAACAAGCTTTAAAAAACATTCATTAGTCTCATTACACTTTGTACAACATGGGTACTGGTTGGGAGTTGACAAAAGCTTTAAAGGAGAAAATATTTCAGTATGCCATCTACAACCAAACACCTATATCGTTACGACAAATGGTGCAATTTGGACCCACTCCTTCTCCAGGATCCATCTTTCTTGCTTCAAAATTCATTGTTGAAGAGTTGCCTATAAGATTGGCTAAAAAGGTGAAGGATTTAGAGTATGCGCCCTTGGGATTGAATGAAAGCCCTTCCACTATAAAAGTCAAAGATTGGTATGCTCAATCATTTCAAGAACTAACTGAATTACCAAAACCCAAAATCGATGAGAACTTGAAAAAATTGTTGTATAGTAACAATGGCAACAATAATGGATTCAAAGTTGATGATCTTGATGACCAACCAAATATTCAAGAAGAAATCCACAAAATTTCTGAGATACAAGAGGATAACCCAGCTATAAACAATGTGTTTAGTGATGATGGTATAGTAGTTCGACATCACCATCACCACCACCAAAACCCAGAGCAGACCAAGCTGACCACAATGGCTCCAACGAGGATACCGTCAAAGGGTCAAGAAAGTACCACCATACGGAGTGAGTCACCCACTTTTGGTATGACCTATTTCCTGCCATGTCCAACAAACATTGTATGGCCCAAGGAGGTTTATGCTTATAACAAATTAGTGTTTGACGCGTTGGAAAAGATAAAGAAAAGACACGATGCAACAGTTGCTACTATGGCGCAGGGTGTGCAAGAATGGAAATCGAAAAATAAAACCGTGTTTGTGAATTCACAGATTCAAACATTTCTTGATCGTTTTTACATGTCACGTATCGGAATCCGTATGTTGATTGGCCAGCATTTAGCATTAAACATGGCACAAAATTCACCAACAAAGCAGCGTTTACTGAAGCTCATCAATGGCTCTGAAGGTTCAACTAAGAAGCCTGGTAGGTCGAATTACGTCGGTGTCATTTGCACTGATTGTAATGTTGGTGAAATTGCTGAAGACGCAATTGAAACTGCTAAATATATTTGTGAGGAATATTATGGATTGTTCGAAGCCCCTGAGATACAATTGGTTGCACCACAACAGGATATCAATTTCATGTATGTTCCCGGTCATTTGATTCACATGTTGTTTGAAACTTTGAAAAACTCATTGCGTGCAACTATTGAATTTCACACGCCAAAGTTGAAGCAAAAATACGTTGAGGAACATCCAGGAACAAAATTGGACGAGGTTGACCTTAATGACCTAGAGTATCCGCCAATCAAGGTGATCATTTCCGAAGGTACCGAAGATATTGCCATCAAAATCTCTGATGAAGGGGGCGGAATCCCTCGCTCGTCGTTGCCATTGATTTGGACGTACTTGTACACAACTATGAATGAAACTCCAACATTGGAACCAGAGTACAATCAGACAAGTTTCAAAGCACCAATGGCTGGTTTCGGTTATGGATTACCCATCAGTCGTTTGTATGCGCAATACTTTGGAGGTGACTTGAAATTGATTTCAATGGAGGGATACGGAACAGATGTTTACTTGCACTTGAATCGATTGAGTAGTTCGAATGAGCCTTTGCCATGACTAGACGGGTATATGAGAAGTGTCAGAATAAGCACATTCATGTGGTGTGTTGGCGGATACTCTCTTGCTTTTGGATACTTGATATGGGCAAGTTTTGTAGATGTGTAGGGCGTATAAATTAGACTTGTCTATTTATTACAATGCATGTTGTTTCGTGGTTGCAAAAGCCGATTGGGGTATAGACTTTTGATTTTGTGTGATTTTGTATACAACCGAGGAGTAAAGACATTGGAAAGGATGTAATCCAACGCTCACAACAAAAGATGTTAAAAAAAAAAGAGGATAGTCGAGAGTATGTGGGGCAAAAAGTCTGAATCAGTGACTATACATAGGAAGACCCATTGTACTTAGTCGATGAAGATTTTTTTGGTTGTGTTTGAACCCCACGAAAGTTGGTGTAGAGGATCATCATGACCACTCCAGTATACTAGCTTTGTTTACCCAAAAATAACCATAACCATTTCAGCGCCGTATTACGTATATCAGCACCTCTCACCACCAACCATATTAGACCCCTTCTCATCTCAAATCAAGGATAAAGCAATGGAGTTATGCGTGCCTTTAAGGAGGCAAAAAAAGGCAGAAGCCAGTTCAAAGTCAAGGCAAATGAAGAGGAAAAAAAAAAAAAAATTCATTAAAAAAATTCGTTAGAAAAAAAAAGTCATACTCCACTTTTGCTCAAAGTAAATCATTTTCCGTTCATCTCATAGCTGAAGGTTTATATCATCACAACATGTCAGCATCAGCGCCAAGAACAAAGCCCTGGGAAGTATCACAGGGTACAAGCGCGGCATCAACTCAGCAATCCACAGCTATACCCACTGGCGCTACTGACTCAACGGCGACGGCGACAGCGACAGGATCATCAACAAATCCATCTTTACCTGATCGTCCAACGTCACTCACTAACGAGTTCAACAATATGGCTCAAACATCGCCTTATGGAACCAACACCACCAATAATGCCTATGGCACTTCGTCAACGTATGGCAACGGGTATGGCTCATCTGGTTATGGGTCGTCAATGTATGGCTCTGGTTATGGCTCTGGTTATGGATCTGGCATGTATGGGTCAGGTTACGGTTCAGGTTTTGGCTCAAGCATGTACGGAGGTTACGGCTCAGGGATGTATGGATCGGGTTACGGTTCAGGAATGTACGGTCTGGGGATGTATGGTTCAGGAATGTATGGAGGTGGATATGGAGGAGGAATGTACAACCAACCCGGAGCGATGCAAGGAGGCTTTGGTGAGGGAACGCAAGCAACTTTCCATTTGATTGAGAGTATCATTGGCGCCGTTGGTGGATTTGCTCAAATGTTGGAAGCTACATACATGGCAACGCATTCGTCATTTTTCACCATGGTCAACCTTGCTGAGCAATTTGGTAATTTGAAAAACGCTCTCGGCTCTTTGCTAGGAATATTCGCCATGATTAAACTTGTCAAAAAGTTGTTTGCCAAACTAACGGGGCAAGTTTACAACAATGGCATAAATTTAAATGAATTCAACAAATTCGAAGCTAAGCAAAAGAAATTAGAAGACCAGATCAAGAGAAATGGGGCAAACAGTAACAAGCCACCAAGGTTATCATTTAAGCCATTGCTTATTTTCCTTGCTGCATCTATAGGTCTCCCATACTTGCTAAGTAAAGCTATACAAATGCTCAACGAACAAAACAGACGCAAAATGGAAATGCAACAGCAGCAACAACAACAGCAACAACTTGGAGGACCAAATGCACCATTTGACCCATCAAATTTACAGTTTGCCAAAGCGCTATACGAATTTAATCCGGAGAACCCACAAATGGAAGCCGAATTGAAACCAAATGAATTAGTGGCAATCTTATCTAAACAAGATCCACTAGGAAATGAATCCAAATGGTGGAAGGTTAGAACGAGGACAGGGAAAGTTGGGTACGTGCCGAGCAACTTTTTGCTGGTGATTGAACGTAAACTGCAACCACCATTGAAACAAGTAGAGTCTGCACCAGCAGTTCCTCAAAACGCAAAAACGGAGCAAATGTTGGAGGAGTTTAAGAATATGTAGTTATTCAATTTTAGGTTCATTTTTAGACGGCGATGGCAGTAGGGAAATGTAATTCCGTTTTGATTGAAAACTACATACTAGCTAGTAAATATTACTGGTGCTACTCTTCCTCACAATCCATCGTCAGGACGACATTGCTCGCTCTCAACCTTCTCTCCCTTATCCTTTAAGCTCTTGTATCCACGCTGGGCAGCACGTACTTTGTGAATAGCATCACTATGATGTTTGAGATGTTGTGCCACGTCGATTCCTTCAGCAAGAAATTCACCTGTTCTCTTATTCAATGTGGAAGCTGCCTGGGCTGTTTGGTTCTTCAACTGAGTGACAAATTTTGGTGAATGTTCTGTTGCCCATTGTTTTATTGAAGACTGGGCTGGTTGTTTGATTGCATAGTTGCGAATTTGAGTTGATGCAAAAACGGCTTGTCTACTTAACAGTTTCGATAACATCTTAATGTGGGTGATGTGATTGGAAATGAAGGGAGTCGAAGGGATTGTAGATTTAGGATTCCTTTTTATATTGATTAGCCCCTTACCCATTTTTTTCCTCATTTCTTTCTTCTTTTGCAGCTTATTTTCCCTTAAAAAAGAAAGGTTGAGTTTGTTGCATAGTCACGCAGAAAACGGCAGAACTTAATTACAAAAGAATATTCCGCAAAGGAGCATGGCGAAAGTATTAAAGTGTGACTTTCTTTGAATAAAGATTAACGCATGGTGTTATGCTGCAGTATTGAATTGTGTTATTTCTCTCGATAGGTGTTGTTATGTATCTTTCGTATGGCTTCTTGCTGTCCCCGCATTGAGTAACACTCCTCCTGAAAATGAATCCACCTGTTAAAAGTTAGAAAGTTTGTCAATCGAGTAGTCTATCTTGGACAAGTCTGGCTCTTTGTCAGTCTCTTCCAATTTACCCACTTACTATCACTGCACGTGTATATACGAAGTGTATCGATCATCTTGTTCTTAATATTGTGTAATCTCGATTCTGCGTGATGACGACATCGTGAAAAAGCGGTATAGTCCCACGACAATGAAAAAGTTACAAACAATCATTCTCGATGGAGCGGTGTACAACTGTTCCCAAAGCTTTCAATAAAACGTAATTGGTCTTAGATAGGTAAACTATAATATACCAAACTTGCAAAACAATGTGCAATAATAGATCCTTGCTACACACATTGTCGGCAACAGCTTCATTTTGTGTAATTTGATGATGTATATAAGTAGCAATCGAAATTCAGCAAATTTACCTCTCCTTCCGAGGTCACTTCCTTTCTTTCGCCATTAACTTAGAATGTTTCGTCAATCAGTATTAAGATCTATTAGACCAGCAATTGCTTATAGACCAGTGGTCATCTCCAGAAACTACGGTGTTATCGATGCTGCTACTCAAGCAGTATTCGGCAAGAAAGGATTGGAAGAAAAGAAGCGCAAGGAAGGGGAATTGGAAAATAAGGCCCAAGAGGTAAATTTAGATGGTGGCAGAAAAGCTGCTAGTAAGTTGGATGATGCCCAGGATGCTGCTCAGGATGCTGCTCAAGACGCAAAATCAACCCTTGAAGATGCCAAGGATGGGGCTCAATCAACAATTCAAAATGCTGCTGACAAGGTCAAATCGGCCGCTGACACTATCAACAAAAAAACAGGTCAGGTTCTTGCAGATGGGATCGAAACTGCTCAAGAAACTGTTCAAACCGGAGCCAACAAGAGTGACGATTTGGCCTCCAAGACAAAGGAAACAGTTGAAAATGCAGCCGAATTGAGTTACGAAAAACGCATTGAAACAGAAGAAAAGGAAGGTAGAGAAGAAGTAAGAGAAAACATCAAAGGGTATGCAAGTTTGCAAGACAAGGGTAGAAAAGCCCCAATTGAGCAAAACAGACCCGACGATGCTATGTAGAGATTATTTATTCGTGTTTATATATCAGCTATAGAAAACAAAAAGAAATACAAATAAATCAGCAAATTTGAATAATTCCTCAATCCATATCGTTATCACTCGAATCGTGTAGATCGTCGATGTTTGTAGTATGAGGTGAAAAATTCACCCTTCGTGCGCTTCTTCCTGACTCGTTTGACCCACTTCTTCTTCTACGCGCTTCCTGTTCTTCGTCATTATCATTCATTGATCTCGCCCTTCTAACTCGCCTTGATTCTCGAGAACCCCTTCGCAAGCGCGATAAACTGGAACCTCCAAATGGTTCAGGGAATGGGAACCGTTTCGGCAACACAATGCTGGGATCTCTAGATTGAATTGGACGTGATTGGTAAGGTGGTGTGGCCCAGTTTTGATCCATGTAGGAGTCAGTAACGGGAGTTATTCGTGGATTGAATGGCCGTCTGAATGGACGGAATACATCAGTTGAATGATTAATCAAATGCTCAACAATCTCAGATTCGTTATTATAGTTAGCAACCACATTTTCCTCAATATCTTCTCTTCGTGAAACACTTGGATCATTCTTCCTAGCCTCAACCTCTTTTCGACACAAGGGACAAGAAACATGTGCTTTCAACCACTCAACAATGCATGATAATCCGAAAATGTGTCCACACTCTGGCATTTTCACAGCAATATGTCCTTCCCGTTTGTATTGCTCAATCCTCTTTTCTTTTCTTTCCGTGCTATCGTTGCTATATCCGGGGAATTGGTCATCCATTGTTACAGACTCAAAAGTTGACAAGTTTCGCTGCGGGAACCTACTGTACATGCTACACCCAACATCTGTAGGTAAAAACAAGGGAGGATCTTTAAAAGTTGATGATTTGAAAATGCACTCTAGCTGTATCCCATACTCGTCTCGAAGTTTCTCTTTGAACTCCTTGTCTTGCTGTAACAACTCCTTGCGTTTCTCATTATCATGTTGTTCCAGAGACTCTTTAACCTCTACTTTTTCCATTTGAAATTTGTCGTAACATATCGCACATTCCTTGTCTATCAATTGTGTCGGATCAACTTTGACTAAGTTAGCAATCGCATCGTCGGATGCCAGACGATTGCCGAGTCCTGCAGCATCTAATGCACGGTCAAAGACATCACGTAACCAAAATGGGATACCATTTGTATCACCGTTTGATACCTCAAAGTCAACAATCAAGGGTGAATCCATTGTGTAGTATGCAGTTAAAGAAAGAAAGAAAAAGAAAAGTATTGAACTCAAGTTCACTATTCGCACTAAAGAATGATTTATAAACATACTCATACTGGATACGTAATAACACCTAATTGTTGCCTGATCTGATTAATCCTAGTCTTTTCATGATACGACAACCTCTTGAAATACTCTTCAGTCATATTGACAAATTCTAATGCTTTTTCAACCAGCTGAGCATCCATATTTCGCAAAGCATTCTGGGTCTCTATAGGCAATTTGGACCACCCAGTCCCTGGTCCCATTTGCTGATGGGACGAGTACGTAGAAGGACTACCTTGTTGATATTGTGGTTGCGGGTATAATTGTTGCGAACTTGGCTGCGGTGTTGATGACACTGATTTCGAAGTAAGAACATCATTATCGACAAACCCCATCAATAATAACACTTGTGCGGCACACACTGCAAACTCGGGATTCATTTGATAAAGGTCTTGTGCTCTCGATGGATCAGTTTGCAATGCATTCTTTAAATTAGCAAGAAATTGAATCAATTGCACTGGTTGGATCTTGCTGAGTGTGGCATTTATATTATCAGGCGTGGCGAATGGTAAGGTAGGCGGGCAAGGATAAGTCTTTGTTGCTTGTGTGAACTTCATTGGCACGGTTTCAGTTGGCCCACCTTGAGGCAAACTTGGGTTGAAGCTTTGTGCAGTAGGAACTGTCATGCTATTGGTTGGGATTGGTGTCAGTGGTAAAGGTGAGTTGGTTCTCCCGAGGAATGGGACAGAGGTAGACCCGAGTGCGGGACTAGAACTACCTACCATTGCAGGAGGTAATTGGACATAGTTTGGTAACTTGTTTCTATTTAGTGGAAGAACTCTTCGTGCTTCTGGAGGTGCGCTGTTGCCCTTATATGCCTCTTTAGATCCTTCGATTTTGAGTCTTTTCGGGAAGCCTTGAGCTTGATGAATCAATATTGAGCTCAACAAAGGGGCTGCTTTCTGTGCCTCTTGGGTGTTTTGATACTCAACAAAGCAAAAGCCTTTGTTTTTACCTTCAAAGTCGTATCCTAATCGCACATCTACGATGTTTCCCGATCCACAAACAACTGACTTGACGGTCTCTTCGTCCCAATCAAATGGAATCAGACCAACATAGAGGACACTAGAGGTGATTGGTTTAAGTTGTGGTGGCATTATTGTGATGAGGGTAGTAGGAGGATCTAGGTAATGTTACAATTTTTTTTTCTTCTTTTTTTATGTTCGCTCTACTCATTTTTGCAAAGTTGTGTACTCTATACAACTCTTTCAGCTCCACTCAACTTTACGGCGGCCCCATATTTTTGCAACTTCGTCAACAATGTATCACCTTGTTTAATCAAAAGATGGTATTGGTTGTTCTTATTGTCTGGCCTGTTTGTTTCGATGATGCCGTTAACTTTATCTATAACGCAATTGAGTTTTTTGTTTGGAATAAATCTGCACAAATCTTGATCCAAAAAGTCTTCACTGATGTTAAAGTTGGCTGCCATTGATTTCAACGATAAGGATTTGTAGCTTTCTAACAATTGTCCATAAGACTTACACCTCATCTCCCGAAGGAAGTAGTTTGCATGAGCGTGCAAATACTTGTTTGGCAAAAGCAATTGGTCATAAGATTGCAAAAGGTAGTCAAATAAACAATTGTATTGACAAGTGTATAACGAATTGGTCAAGTTCAACAAAGGTTCCAACTCTGGTGCAGACGAGTAAATCGATAAAATCTCTGGTGAATCAATAATCTTCTCCTTCAAGTCAACTCTGTCCAAAGATATCACCCCAGCAACAATTGCATAATGTGCAATCTGTTCATATGTGCACAATTCAGTGGACGTGAAAGTAGCTAATGAGTCTGTGAGCAATTGTGAAGCTTCGGAAAAATTCCTTGTGGCAAGCAAATAGATCCCATTGTAAGCCTTAAATCTATTACGACGCTCCCAATCTCCCCCCTTTTCTATCAAAATAGAAATCTGATCAAGGTCTTTACGGACTTGGGGCAAATCATTGAAAAAAAAGTCAAGTCTAGTCAATGTCAACAAATTGTCAATCTTTTTACCTGTGTCAGAAGTCAACTCCAAAACTTTATTCAAAGTTTCAGTGGCGTTAGTTCTATCAATGATTTTTGTATAATACTCAGCCAACTTTGTCGTCGTGGCAACAACATCCAACTCTGTTTCTTCTTCTCCCTCGGCTTCCTTTATCTTCAGCTTCAATTCGCCGATTTCAGTTTCATTCTTCGATGCTAGCTTCTTGTAAAGGGATTCATCAAAGGGAAAGTCTTTGACCTGTTCGTGTAAATACTTGTAATATGGTGCAAGATTCTCACTTTTAATGGCATTTGTCAATTCTTCAAAAATCTTTCCTCTTTCCTCGGCTGAGATTGGCGTTGTGAGTAAAAATTCCTTCTCTGATAGTTTATGATCAGGAATATGAGGTACGTCTGATTCTATTTCCATGGTGGCGTGATTATTGCTGAGAAAAATCGATTTAATCTCCTGGAAGGCGAAATTTTTGATTTTTTTGCTTTGGCTCGTCCTTTGAGAAGTAAATCTTCGTTAAGTCCGAAACAACTGCGACAATAAAAAAAAAAGTTTACGACAATGGAATGGCTCCAAGCAATCACCTGTCTTTGAACTCCGGAAGACATCTATCTATACTCCCGATGTTGGGTTTGTTACTCCATCTGGGAACCTCCGTAAATGCACTTATAAGCAGAAACAATTTAAAATCTGATTTGTACCCCACCTATTTGTGTGCTTATATAAACCCTAATAGCCGCTGAATACAATTGCGGATAAAAATATTTGTTACAAAACAACACCGAGATTCACCCGTCGGGGATGTGGGGTCAGTGTAAAAGGAGAGAAAAAAAAATAGGTGTATTATTATGCCTATAAATATATATATACATATATATGCAAGAATATTGGCAAAATTACAGAATTCTTTTGCTGAAGTAACCACTACTCACCATGTCAGTTAAGGACGATATTCCAGCAATCTTTTTAGATAAGGTTTCCCCAAGAGGTCTTGAAGCTATTCAAAAGACAAAAGACTTTGTTGAGCAATACTGTATTCCTGCCGATAAAGTTTTCAAGAAACAGATTTCGACAGACCCAGCGGTAAGATGGAAACAATACCCTGCTATTATTGAACCATTGAAGAAAAAGGCTAGGGAATTGGGATTGTGGAACATGTTTTTGTCCAAGCATTACAAAGAGGGTCCTCAATTTACCAACTTGGAATATGGATTGATGGCTAGGTATCTAGGAAGATGCCACACTGGTCCTGAAGCCACTAACACTAGTGCACCAGACACGGGTAATATGGAGTTGTTTGCAAAATATGGTACAAAGGCGCAAAAAGACAAATATTTGGTGCCCTTGATGGATGGTAAGATTAGATCAGCATTTTTGATGACTGAAAAGGGGATCTCATCGTCCAATGCGTTGAACATTTCCACCACTGCAATTAAAAACTCACGTGGAAACTATGTCTTGAATGGTACCAAGTGGTTTGCATCAGGCGCTGGTGATCCTAGAACTGCCGTTTGGTTGGTTATGTGTAAGACTGCCAACGATGAAAAGAATGCATTTAAAAACCACTCAGTATTAGTGATTAATGTTAAGCATGCATTAGCATCAGGCAAGGCTGAAGTTATTAGACCTTTGGGAATTTTCGGATACGACGATGCTCCTCATGGACATTGTGAAATTGTTTTCAAAGATTATGAAGTTTCATCAGAGTTGATGCCAGATACCATTTTGGCTGGTGTTGGTAAAGGATTCGAATTGATTCAATCTAGATTGGGCCCGGGTAGAATCCATCATTGTATGAGAGCTATTGGTGCTGGTGAATTTGCATTGTTGCGTATCGCCCACAGAGCTAATCACAGAATTATTTTTGGTAAACCAATGAATAGAAGAGAAGGCTTTTTGATGCAGTATGCCAAGTACAGAATCGAGATTCAAAAATGTTTATTGTTGGTTTTAAATGCTGCCCACAAGATAGATATCACTAATGCCAAAGAAGCTCAAAGAGAAATTGCAATGGCCAAGATTGAAACTCCAAAAACCATTTGTGATATTCTTGATTGGGGTATTCAAGTGTTTGGAGCTGAGGGTTTCTCTCAGGATACAGAATTGGCGCAAATGTACGCTTGGAACAGAACTTTGAGAATTGCAGATGGACCAGATGAAGCACATTTGGCTCAATTAGCAAGAAGAGAAGCCGCAAAGTTCCCTGACGTTGACGTGTTTTTTAAAGATGTTGATTCAAGAGTTGAGGCTGTTAGTAAATTATAAACTTTAGTATAAAACGCTTTGTTGAAAATCATAAATCAATCCTTTCTCAAAAAACGTCTTTTTCTTTGTGTTTTCCTCTTTTATTAGCTGCGCGTGCTGCTGTTTCTGCTCTTGTTCAGCTTGCTCAAAGGGTATCTGTTGTAGATTTTCCAAATGATCATCCTCTCTATCTATGTCAAGCTCTCCCATCATCACCACATTTTCACCGCGCACTATGAACACCCCACGGTATATTTCACCAAATTTCTTGGGCTCTCCTTCAACGTATATCCTTTCAAAAGTATCTTGAAGCACCAAATTGGCAAATTGGTCAAATGTTCTCAATATGCCGAAAAAGTTTCTTCCATCCTTCAAAAGGACAAATATTTTGCGGTCAACTGACCCGACAATAGCGGCTGCAGTGGTGAATGCATAACTCTCCAAGTATAGATCCTCTACACTTGTTCCAAGAGGGTCACTTGGTTGTTGTCCCTGTTGTGACGGTTTCTCTTCGGTCATAGGGTAGATGGCTGGGTACAAGTGAGGGTCTTTTGGCGGATTTTTCTTTTTCGTTTGTTTTTTTTTCCTCTGTCGGTCTAGGAAGAAAATGGAAATACACGCAGGACGGAGGAAAAATGGGTAACGCAGAGAATAGAAATGGCAGTAGGTGTTACCGAAGTCGACAGAGGTAAGGCGATGTATAGGATTTTGCTCATTTGGAGGCTGAAAGTGATGAAATCGTAAACATTGTGTAGGACACAAATTTCAAGATTATGTACTCAAAAAATCGTATAGCAGTAAAATCTCCGATGTATTTGCAATTCTTCTACAGGCAGCTCATCAATGGCATAATCAGTACTTTCTCTTGCTGATTCATTATCGATCGTAGTTGATGGTTAGATTTTCCTAGCTCGATGAAATTGGCGATGAGTGAAAAGACAAAAAAAAGAAAAATTGGTTACCTCCTCCACTGTGTACACAACCAAGATGTCATTCTTCAGCTACAAGGACTACATAGAGGAAGGCGATTTGGTTCTCGCCTTCATCAACAGAACTACCATCAAACCCATATATGTTAAGAGTGGAGAAATTCTCAATACCCGTTATGGCCATTTCCTTCACTCTACCATGATCGGGATGAAATACGGTGCACAGATGCGTGGTGCTAAAGGATACGGGTTTATCCACTTGTTGTATCCTTCTCCGGAAATGTGGACCTTATCTTTACCTCATAGAACTCAAATTGTGTACACGCCAGACTCGTCATACATTATACAGCGTTTGAATGTACGACCTGGATCCAGAGTCATTGAAGCTGGAACAGGATCGGCGTCGTTTACTCATTCCTTTGCGAGAACAGTGGGAACAAGGGGAAAGGTGTTTACATTTGAGTTTCACGAACCAAGGTTTTTGGAGGCAAAGACGGAGTTGCTGGATCATGGGTTGACAAACACAATCATTACCCATCGTGACGTATGTAATGGTGGTTTCGACATCAACGACACAATCGATGGAGACGTGGTGTTTTTGGATTTGCCATCTCCGTGGGATGCTATACCGCATTTGGATACAGTCATTGCAAAACAAAGGCAAGTGGGAATATGTTGTTTTTCACCGTGTATTGAACAAGTGGCGAAAACTGTGACTGCGTTAGAGGAAAATGGATGGACGAATGTGGAAATGGTTGAGATTGCCGCCAAGAGATGGGAAGCACGCAAAGAGATGAAAAGAGATGTGAGTAATGCTATCAACAGAATCAAAGACATACAGGTGAGGAAACAATATGGGATTGAAAGTAGAAGAGCAGGACAGCCACCACAAAAATTGGCCAAATCGGATGACTCATTCAAGTCAGTAAGAAAAAGTGCCAAGGTCAAAGAAGGTGAAGATGGGTATGAGTGGCTTGAGGTGACAAAGACAGAATCGGAAATTAAAAGTCACACATCGTATTTGACATTTGCGTATAGAATATGTGTGAGGTAGCGTAATTTATTTAATCGTTGACATTTTTTTCTTCTGTCGAATACCGAACCGCCGAATTAAACTTTCTTTTATAGCAAAGGCATGAGTTCGCCAATTGGTATGTACCGTCCTTATGTAAGCATATTTTAACTGAATACTAACCAAAGTGTAGTACTTGATCAAGGAACTGGATTTGTGAAAATTGGTAGAGCGGGTACCAATTTTCCTGATTACACTTTCCCATCTATGGTGGGAAGGCCAATATTGCGAGCAGAAGAACGCAATCTCTTAGTTCCGGATGATATTGAAATCAAAGACGTAATGTGTGGATCAGAAGCCAGTCAGGTGAGATCTTTACTTCAAATAAATTACCCAATGGAAAATGGTATTATAAAGAATTGGGAAGATATGGAGCACTTGTGGGATTATGCCTTTTATGAGAAAATGAAATTGAATCCACAAGGACAAAAGATATTATTAACTGAACCACCAATGAATCCGTTAAAGAATAGAGAAACCATGTGTCAGGTGATGTTTGAGAAATACGGATTTGGCGGAGTTTACGTTGCAATTCAAGCGGTGTTGGCGTTATACGCGCAAGGATTGAGTTCGGGAGTTGTTGTTGACTCAGGTGACGGTGTGACCCATATAGTCCCCGTATACGAATCTGTTGTGTTGAACCATCTTACAAAAAGATTAGATGTTGCCGGAAGAGATGTTACTAGACATTTGATTAATTTGCTTTTCCGCCGTGGTTATGCATTTAACAGAACTGCCGATTTCGAAACAGTGCGTCAAATCAAGGAAAAGCTATGTTATGTCAGTTATGATTTAGAGTTTGATTCAAAATTGGCAACGGAAACTACAACCTTGGTTGAGTCGTATGAGTTACCAGATGGTCGTGTTATCAAGGTGGGCAGTGAGAGATTTGAAGCACCAGAATGTCTCTTTCAACCACACTTGGTTGATGTTGAGCAACCCGGTGTTGGTGAAACATTGTTCAACACTATCCAGTCGGCTGATGTTGATGTAAGATCTTCCTTATTTAAAGCGATTGTTTTGTCTGGTGGCTCTTCAATGTATCCTGGCTTGCCATCAAGGTTGGAAAAGGAGCTCAAGCAATTGTGGTTGACCAAGGTTTTACGTGGTGATGCAACCAGATTAGATAAGTTTAAAGTTAGGATAGAAGATCCACCAAGAAGAAAAAACATGGTTTTTATTGGGGGTGCAGTTTTGGCCAATATCATGGCCGACAAAGATCACATGTGGATCTCAAAACAAGAGTGGGAAGAGCAAGGACCTAGAGTTTTGCAAAAGTTGGGGCCTAGATAAAAAGTAGCAGATAACAACTTAACAATTATAAGTTCTAATCTGATCTATAATGTCATTAACCATTGCGTCGTAAGCCTCGGTTGTGATCCCTTCGCCTGAAATTCTCTTGTTGTAGCCTAAATTGACACTTTGGTGAACAATTTTCGTAATAAAGTTTTCATCAACAACTTTGGGATGGAAAAATTCACTGTTTAAACATTGCTCTACCGTCCACCGATCGTCTGGATCACGAGCAAGACAATGGCGCATTAAATTGACGGCACTTTGCGGTACCGCGACACCACCAATGCCCAATTCTGGATACAGAATTTTGTATTGCGGGTTCATGATGGCCAAAATCCTCTTTGTGCCCATTAAAGAAGCATATGGCGGTCTTCCGTAGATGAACTGATACATGATACACCCACAAGACCAGATATCTGATGGTCTACCGACTTTCCAAGTTGTGTGTTTGGTTTCCGCCATACTAGCCTCCTCCAATGCCTCCGGTGCCATATAATTGGGAGTTCCTATTTGAGACTCTCGATATATGTTCGCGGTGTGGTCAGGCACAGCATTTGCAATTCCAAAATCAATAATTTTCAAAACACCACGCACCATAAGAAAGTTTGCTGGTTTCAAGTCACTGTGCACAACGCCTGCATCGTGTACATCTTTTACGCATTTGAACATTTCGGATATGTGGTATCTCACAAATTGTAAATCCAACGGTAGATTCATATTGAGTCTGGTTTGAAACAAAGTTGCCAAATCAACATCACCTCTTTCCATTATTAGGTAAATTGAAGATTTCGTCACCTCACTATCATAAAGCTTCACCACTCTTTTGTAGTTTCTCAAACGTCGAAGTAGTTCAATCTCCCCTTTGAAAGAGGAAATGTCTTCAACCTGGTTAAGGGTAACTTTTTTCAATGCAAATTGGTGTCCATTGGCGGCTTTTATACGATATACTTTGGATGATCCGCCTCTACCTAGTAGCTCCATCTTTTCGTATTGTTTGTTGTTGACTGTGAATGTTCGAGGCTCTGAAGGAGCTGCTACTGGGCGAGGTGGGACTATTGTAGGTTGTGCTGGTGCTGGAGGCGGAACAGGATGTGCTACTGGGGGCGCCATCGAGGGCCTTATTGGGGACGCCTGTGGAGGACGTGCTTGTACAGAAGCAGCCATTGTTGGCATTGCTGCTACTTCATCCCCTTTCTTTGGCGTTAATGGTTTCCTAAACGTATTTGATATATCACCCAATGGTTGGCGTTTGCCAGGATTTCGTTCCTCAACATTTTTTTTGATCAACTCTTCGTCAATGTAATCATCTTCAAGAGTATTATTTTGACTAGCCCTTTTAGGCGCACCGAGCACCTTGCCATACCTCCTTCTCTTGACACGATTTTCAGTGCCGGTGATTGTTGATTTCGACGTGGACCCCGACTTGTCCTCCATAAGTCCATCCGAGAGAGAATTTTCCGTTGTTGTTGTTGTATGCCCAAACACAGCAATGAGCTTCTTTCGCAAGTCAGTTGATCTCTCGGGAAAGTCTTGATGGTAGATCCCGGTCACCGGTGTATTTCGTTTTGAATTTAGCATTTCAATGCTATATGAGCTTAATGACGGCGGGGGCGCACACGTATTGTCATCATCGATCATGGTGCGATTCGATGGATTGGAGATATCGTACATTCGGTCTTGTTTGTGTTGATATATTCTTTGTTTTTTTGTTTTTGTTTTTCGTTTTTCTCTTTTCTTTTTGTAAAACAAAAAAAATGTAAATTCTGAGATTTCCCGTGTAGAGATGGTGATCCATCTGTTGAAGCTGACTGATGGATTGGTGATGAACGAGTGAAGTCAGACAATATCGGATAAAGAGGCGGTTTGAAAAGGAAATAGAAAGAAGGACTCAAGAATTTGGTAGAAAAAAATGTGTGTGAGATAACACAAGCCGTGCAAAAAAAGATGCTCCCAGTGAGGTTCGAACTCACGATCTTCTGATGTCACACTACTTATGAAGCTATGAGACAAATGTTCTAACCAACTAAACTATGGGAGCTTTCGACCACTGCGTTATATCAGTGATTTTCTGCAATGCTGTATTGACAATTGAGTAGGTGTAAGGTGGCAAATAATTATCTATGGTAAGTGGTGATGCTAACTGTTAATGCAGAGGAAGCTTTTAAGTCGTGTGTGAGTAGCTAAACTTAACTAAAACTAAAGACTATATAATTCTCAGTTGCATTACAGAAGGAACTCCATGTCCTTTTTATATTCAAATATCCCTTAAGGAAATCAAAGAGCACAATCCCGATATTTCTTATCACTCCAGTGAAAAGCCAACCAAACTCAATTTCCAATCCCTTCCTTAGGACAAACTGCTAGTTGGCCAGTATAGACGTTCTTTCGTTATTTCCTATTCTAATCAGTAATCCATAACCAGTAACCAGTAACTCCATAGAACTTTATTAGGCTGGATGATAAACACTAACGGTCCTTTCTACTTTACCTTTTAGCTCCTTTTAATAATAACGGAGTTCCCTTGTTGAACATCAGGTGTTTATTTGACTGTTATGAATTATATCGTCTAAACTTGTCTACCTTTCTTCTCGATCCGAAATCGTGATGAATTCGTCCAACCAATTTGCGGGGAGATTATGGAAATTGCAGAACTGACGTGATAGGGGGTTAGCCACCTTGACCAAGCGTCAACGCTTTAAATATCATCCCAAGAAACACGTGATCAAGATCATTGACAAGAAACTCCATACTCCTTACAAGCAAAAAACTTTCAAAGGATTTTTTGACTGGCTATTCTGGGTCACGTTTTGGAATTGCTTACCTTGTTGGCCATGTTGAATGCAACTATCGGGCAGTTTTGAAGCCGTGTAGGCCATTATAGAGCCATTTGGAAAGTGTTTGCAATCATGTATACCACTTTCAAGGTCTTTAAAAGCACCACAAAGCTGTTGCGTGTAAAATTATTACAGCATTATGTGGCCGATTTCGGCACGTTAGGGCCAGAATTTGGGTTACAAACAGGTGAAAGAAAAGTCAGAATCGACTAAAGAGATATTGCAGCACCAGGGACACAACTCGCCTTGGTACCATTTATGCCGCGACATTACCTTAATCGTGTTGGTGTCTTGTGTAATGCTATACATTAAAAGTTCCTAAATATGTTATATATTAGTAGCAGCAGATTGTAAATAGAGCTAGTTCCATAAAAGTCAATTCACCATTTTCTGTAATTTGGTTGATTTGAAAATGTGTATGTTTTTGGCCAAAAGGCGTTTTCGAGTTCAGTTTCCATAATGTGTAGCTCCAAAACCTTTAAGCTCTTCATTAGAATAAGTTTTCACAAATGTAATTGGAATGTTGCCGGTCTCGTTATATGTGTCGTACTTTTGCCGTATTGACTCTGGATTGTGTTCGCGATATAATTTATCCAGTTAACCCCAATTACGCCAACGGGAAGTTTAGGACTAAACACGTGAAACATTTCTATTCTTCTTGGAATTCTCAAATTAGTCCATTCTTTGCGCCATACATTGATGCTTGCTTGAGGGAATCGCTTCACTAGTTGAGTAAACACGTTGTTAAGATCTAATAGTTTGGGTCGCGGTGTTTCTAGTAACGCATGAAACGGAGTAGGCTCTCTTGGCATATTCAGCCCCTTCGGTTGAAAACTAGGTAAGAAAATAATCAACAGACGTAACCCAAAGTGGGATAAAGTGAGCCACTCATTTGCAATTCCTTCTTGTGGCAGTTCATGATTGATTTGTATTAAAGCAATGCGTAGAAGAATTAAACAAGGATTGTTCGAGACAAAAGTCCCCCTACCTTTTCGAATATCGACATTCCCACCAATTGATAGATCTTCAATTTGTAATGTGTTGAATAAAGCACCCATGTTTACAGTAGTGGAGTTTGGGTTTGCAATATCAAAGGTAAGTATTCTCAAATTACACTTTGGTACAGTCGCCATCGACTTATGCCTGAACCAATTATGTTCAATTCAAAAGATACCCACAACTCAGGAAATAGACTCAATTGATTCACAAGGTTGAAAGCATCCTAATTGTAAATTTCAATTAACTCTAATTGCCTTATAGTGGCATTTTCAAACGAAGTTTTGCATTGATACGCTGGTATTTTACCATCACTGGTTTTCCTATATTGAGTGCAAAATGAGCCAAATTTCTTCCCAATCCGCCTGGTACTTGCGCCAATTAATCTAAAATTTCTTACCCGTTTGAACTTATCGAAAATATGTTTAAGGGAACATTCATAAAATCTATGCATCTCAAGATAAGTGGCTGATCAATTACCATCCATTTTATCAAAACAGCGCTTGAAATTGTCAACGCTGATTAAAGTAAATTTCTTGGTTTTGTGGTTAATGAGGTATTTAGAGAAATGAAAAAACTTGCATCCCTTGTTCCCTGGTAGGATAAACATGTGCGCATGTATATGAGAATATAGCCTCCTCTTTACTGCAAGATCAAGTTGCGAATGAAACGGAGTTACTGCTAAAACTTGGTGTTGGTTGAACTCGCTCAAGACTTTTTTCAAAACAGCGAGAGAAGGTCCGCAACTGAGGTCATGTGGACAAATTGAAGAGAAGAGAAAATTAACGAAAGACATTTCGGTGGGATTACAAGGTCTTTTTATTCGTTGTCGCTATTGCTTCCTAAAATGTTACAAGATGGAGAAAAAAAAAAAATGGATTACTTAGAAGTTGTAAGACTACAGGTGTTCATTAGAGATCCAGTCTATGGATGGGGGAGTGCATTACTTATTTGAATGTAATGGCGATGACAGTCGGTCGCTAACTTTATAGTGGCCACATGGAAACAGGTTGCCGCTGTTTCTGCTTTTGAAGAGGGAATCTAATGATAAAATACAAATACACTAGTTTGGTGTTGAGGTGATATCTTCACAGAAACATTGAAATGTGGTTCGAATTTGATTTATCACTCTATGTTATTCAAAGCTATATCTCCATCTATCGCACACGCAAATTGCTGCGAAATCTATTTTTGCAACAAAAAATAAGCAAAATAAGAGAAAGTAAAGCTGCACCAAGAATATATACCGACAATGAAAAGCTTGGGGATACGAGGAAAATTGCTTATTTACAACAAGTTATTTTAGAAAATGAGGTTGACGATAAAAAAAAAAGAAAGAAAAAATTGAGTTCTTGTTTGAAATTTGCAAAAAAAACGACCAGGGAGAGGATTGAACTCTCGATCTTGCGATTAACAGTCGCACGCCTTAACCAGCTTGGCCACCCAGTCATTTGACAACTGCGCTATTGCACTGAATTGTTGGTTTTGCGGGTCCTAGGACAAGTTGAATCAGCAAAAGCTTAAGAAGCAACGACTTTTGTGAAAGTGGATTAAGTTGTTTTGTGTAGATATGTTGGCAAGATAGGAACGTGTAGAGTTGAATTAAAAGTCAATCACTGATTAAAAAATGGTTTTGCTTCATTTCTGCTCTGAAGAAGTGGACTTTTCTGGGAATCCTTCTCTCGCAATGACTTAATAATGTGATATCGCTGTAGTTTGATCTTCCGAACCTATTAATATAACTGCGATCTGCTTAATCTCAGTGAATACACAAACTAGATAGTCAATCACATCAAAGGGCAGCCAAAATTAAAAAAGTGAACGGTATTAACGTTTTCCTGACACTCTCTGGATGCGATGTCTCTGCAACTTCGAGTAAATAAATAACATGACTAATAACGCGAGATTGTATGGAAGATCGTTGGAGTAGACCTTCTGTTGAGCGAATAGGCATGTTTCTTTTCTTCCATATTTGCAATCAAAACCAGTCTTAGCACTTGGTGTTGAAAAGTCGATTTGAAACGGAAAGATCATGCCATGGAACGACCAGGTAATCTTAGTTGACGTGAAATAACATCAATTCATTGTCTCATGGTAAAAAAGTTTACAAAGTTTGAACCCATTCAGAATTCAAGCAACAAAGAAACAAAACTAGGTATCTACGTAGTTTAGTAAGATCTTAGCAAAACCACTTACATCTTGGATCAGATAAGGTAGTCTATCTGGTACACTTTTTGAACTAGTGGTTTCGCGCATATACAATGGATATACCATATTTGGTTTGCGCATTATTTCTACATACGATTGTCTGGTAAACTCCAAGGTGGTCTTAGTGGAGACAAATTTTGGGCAAACGAAGGGAAGTGACGGTGAACCCCATCAATTGAGTAGATGAAATTTGCCCAGAAGAATTCAAAAGAATTAATTCTTTTAATGGGAGGGGAAGGGAGAAGGAGAAAGTGCATTCAAAAACGTTTCTTGGTGTGCAGTGAAAAAGTGGGGAAACTAAAAAAAAAAGTGAGAAAGGCAAACATCTAGACTTCAGCAAATATACGTGTTGAATTTAAAACCTCCTATGCTTCATTGCTGTGGTCAAAGTACAACAGCTCGCTATAGTGAGGTCCAATAGCTACTGCAAGGTGAATGGAGAGTAAATACTTGAGTAGTCTTTTTCCGATTAGTTACACTAAACAAGAAAGCAAAGTAGCAAATGAATTGAAAGTGATTTAATTTTGTGAGATGAAGAACAAAGTACAAAAAACAAGGGGGTACCACCACACGTCTACCAGTTAATAGACCACACAACAAACTGTCATCGCCTCAGATGCGATGACATGCCACAGGAGCTGCACTGTCCTGATCTTTTTGCAAAGACCGGTGTCGGTGTCGTAAAAATTATATTTGACGCATTTTTCATTGTACAAATTACTTACAAAGAAAGGAAAAAGAGGGGAGTAGGATGATTTTTGCTATATCACAACATCTGTGTGTGTGGGGTGATTTTTGTTAGTCACAACACAACACAAATATACAGCTCGCTACCATCTCAAAACTCTCTTTGTGTAATTCCTACTTTTTACTCCGCAACAGCACACAACTCTCATACGACTATTTACTACTCTACAACAGGAACCACCGATTTTAGTCGACGACGAAAAAAAAAATAGGAGGAAGTATAAATAGATTCATCAATCCATCATCAATTCCCCCAAACTTCCACCACTTCTTCTCTTTTTCTCTTCTCTCTAGCTTCCTTTTTTTGCTTCTCTTAGCAAAAACCCTGTACCAAATCAACAGATTCCGATTATTTTTAGGTAAGTACTACCACTCACGCTTTGAACAATTTCAACAACATACAATTCAACCCCCTGTTCACCCCCCCCTCATAATAGAATTATTTTTCGCCCAAGATGAACCACAACAACAGCGTTGACAAACGTAAGATGAGTCAAACCATGGAGAAGGAGGAGATTCGCGATGCTATTATGCAATTGAAGACTGAAGAAGATATTGAAGAAATGGCTGAGGAATACGATATTGATAACATCCAGGCTCATGCCGAAGAGATCGAGCCGCTTACTACTGAGGAATTGATTTCCAAGAATAAAGCCATGGAAATGATTCACATGTTTTTGCAACAAGAGAACATGGAGCTCAAAAAGTCCTACCAAGAACTTTCCAAAGAGAATCAAGCTTTGAAGAAAGTGTTGAAGGATGATTTCCAATCCAACTATAGATACATAAAGAAGGATTATTGAAGATGCATGTTACGGTTTTTATGAGATGATGAATAATGATGACAGGTTATGGTTATATTTTCGATGATGCTGATGAGTATAGGTGTTTTTGTTTATATTTTGCCTATGATTTTGATTTGTTTATAATTTTGATGAGTTTTATTTTACGTTGATGTAGTGGTGTGAACCGTCCATTAGATTTTCATACGTGCAATTTTCTAGCTCTATAGAAGCGGTTGCAAAACCTAGTGATGTTATTTTGACCCCACAAAACTTGCATTTCAAGAAAAGCGAACCCCTCAATACTATGTATCCAATCTCCTTCTATACCGCAACTCGATATCGGTACTACTCTTCCACACCCTAGTCTTGATTGTTTGTAATGTCATGGAATTGCTCAACTCTTGTCCTTTGCACTCCAACACTAGCCAATCTGTCGGTTTCAATTTCTTATCCTTCATCTCCTTAGTACTACTTTCAAACTTGTCAGTTAAAAACTGGAGGATTTTCGATACCCGCAACATGTTGTGTGATGTCAATTTAATGCTACTTTCCAACGCAGGGAGTGATTTAATCTTGCGTTGTGACTTGCCGCCAATTTTAATCGATGGTGGTAATTTGAAATAGTCGACTTCGAGTAAACGAAATGTAATCTTGGGGGATTCTTTGACATTGAATCGATTATAAAGGATTGGTTGGCCAATCCAGCGAGGTAATAAACAGCGCAATTCATTGATGAGATCTTGTTGTGGGAAATCAGGTAGATTATCGATGTCACTGATTTTAAAATAGCTCAAGTCCCGGTAATTGCCCAATTCTGGTGAGTACTCAAATAAAGTCACCTTCATATCTGATGGGAAATGGTTGGCATTGATGACGGGAAAGTATCTCAATTCATCATCTCCGCCTTCAATGCCTAAACATGGGTTGACATGATTGACACGAAGCACTGATTCCTTGGGTTTCTCTAGATAAAGTTTCTTGTTTGTTTGTAACAAGCTCATAATTGAGTCGTTGTATTGTGGAAGTGATTTTGCCAAGCTCTCCTCTGATATACTAATGAATTCGTTTAATGGACCTACTGGGGTGCTCCTTGCCTCCTGTTTTCCCAACTCCTCTCGCAATAATTCATCAAACACCCACTCAACCATGGCATACCCATGGAAAATTGAATTCAACAAGATTAATCCAAGATGGAAGCGATCATCGTCACCAACAATTGTTTTGTGGTTCCCCATTCGCCGAATTGTTTCAGGGTGATCTATAGCAAGATATGGGTAATCTTTAACCATGTCATCGTAGTAAATCTCCACATTCATCACTGATGTTTCCTTTACAGTAACTAGTAATTTTCCCGCCTTGATCTCGACTTCACACCAATTGTTAAGAGTGTCCAGACTCTGATATTTCTGCACCAAATCGTCCATCTCTTTGATTCTGAACTCCAATTCCTTCCCGGTGAGGAGTTTTTCCTGACGACTAGGGAACTTTTTCAACTCTTTGCAGATAAGTATATCCCACATACGAATATCACCATTTAAGTAAAGGGCCATAATTTGTCGCTTGTTATTGAGTATCCTTTTCGAAACAACACTAAGCGGAACAATTTCATACCTCGAAATAGGTTTTAAATTGAATGGGATGGGAGTAATTTGATCTGTTGGATTGAGCAAGATTTCAATGGGGGTTGTATCAACACATTCATCCGCCACTGTAAGATCCAGTTGATAAGCATTGACAAACTCAATTGATGGTCCACCATTGACATTCAAAAACATTGAAATGTACGATTCAGCTGGCTCCGCTTGTTCCACTGAGTAATTACTCTGTAACTCATTATCAGAATCAACCGACAAATGACTCACCAAGTCATGAAACATTGAATTCAAATCATCATTGGGCTGTGCTTCATCCATTTCATCACTGGGCGAATAATCAAGACACGTTTTGAGAAATTGGTACTGCGCAAGAGTTGATGTATCTGGGTTAACATATCGCGTCAATGAATCATAATCTGAAATGAATATTGAATCTTCATTGTGACAAATGGACAATATTGGTGAATCATTTTTGGCAACTATTGTTGAAACACCCAACTTTTCATCGATTGAAGCGCATTCATTTGTAGTGAAATTGAAATTGAAATTGGAATTGAAATCGGACTCATTTTTATTAGCAAACATGTTGGACAAGTCTGTCTTTACAATGTTGCCACCACGATCCCCCAGATAAAAGCAATTGGAATCACCTTCCAATGCCCAAACGGGATAATCATGTATATCGAAATTTTTATAAACTTTAAATGTTCTTAAATCCCACATTTTGATGGTTGTGTCCGAACTTGCAGTGATGAGGTAGTTTGCATCTTGAATCAACCCGCGAATGGTGCTTTGGTGGCCAATTAGACTACGAATTTTCATCTGCGATCTTGAATCATACAAGTTGACCACATTTTGTCCACCAGCCGCGATCAAGTACTCACAAGCAGATAATGCATAGATACCTTGAGTTTCCATTATTTTGGCTCTTGCGGTCAATTTTTCCAAATCGTGGATTATAATATTTTTATCCAACGATCCACTAATCAACTCATTGTTGTCATAGCAGATCCTTTTGATGTAATCTCGATGATCATTCTGCAAATTGGCCACAGCACCATTGGGGGATATTATCTTGATCCCCAAATCACTCGAACAGGACACCAATAAATCCCCCACCATTTGTATATCATTTACCCAATCATTGTGGATATTGTAGCTTTCCTTGATTTTCAATCCTCCTCCATTTCGTTGAAACGGTACTGGGCTTCCAGAAATACTGGTTTCGAGTTTTAATGCCTCCTCTTGTGGATTGTTGGTGGTGAACACACTTTGATTTCTTATTGGTCTGGTCTTTAAACATCGTTCTTCTTCCCACACTTTGACCGACCCATCTCTTCCCGCAGTAAACAATTCACGTTGAGTGGAAGAGTATACCACCTTATTGATCGGCAAGATGTGGGACGATGAAGCCGGTGTGGGAATGTTATAAGCTAGTCCTTTCATTGTGATGATTGGTTGGGGATGTTGGTGGTGTACTGTCTGACCTTGAAGAGCACCAATGGTGTAATTTGAATCGAAACCAACAAAATTTATGAGTGTGTTCTTTTGACGGTGTGTTTTAATTGATTCCACAATTCCAAGTCTCGAAAATCAAGTCCGATTCTCAAGAAGATTTTCCTTATTGAAATTTTTGCGACACATTACCGAACTTATTACGAAAAAAGAGTCAGTTTACGAAAGGAGAGTAATACACAATGAGATAGAAGAATCAAGGGATCTGTCCTACTACTCGGTAGTCTTATAGATAGTCTGGGGGGGGTGCAACTGTCAAGGTATGTGCATTTGGTTTTGCAAGCTGGGCTCATTATCGGTTGATAAATGACGACATTTGTTTGAACGATTTTTTGAGCCGCCATAGATGTGCTCGAGGAAGTGAAGTATTAATAGCACAGAGTAAATACTCATATTTCCACTCTTTATTATAAGTTCCTCTTGACCCGTGTAAGGTCTCACCAGACCACATGTTGCCAAATGGTCAAAACCATAACCTTTGTCAGTATTTGCTATAGTGATGCCATTCTTGTCATCCACACGACCTTCTTGAACATTTTTATCTTTTTTTTTTTTTCATCACATCACCAGCAAAGACAAACCATCAACCACAAGTCCAACCTTAACCACCCACTAGCCACACCCACTACAATGGACGACAATGATAGAGCCATCTCGCGCTTGTTTAGGACATACAAGACCGTGAAAGAAATGGTCAAGGATAGAGTATGTACCAATGGAGATGTTTTTTGAAGCTCTAATACTAACGCATATCAAGGGATACTACATCTCCCAAGAGGAGCTTGACATGACGTTGGAACAATTTCGAGCTAAGGTTTGCAACACTATGGGAGAGCCACAGCGTAAGCTCATGTGCTTTCAAGCAACACCTACTGCTGAACAATTGGATAAATTCCCCGACATGGGTTCACTTTGGGTTGAATTTTGCGATGAAGCCAGTGTTGGTATCAAAACAATGAGAAATTTCTGTATACATATAAGTGAAAAGAATTTCAGTGTTGGTATATTCATTTATCAAAATGGAATAACTCCTAGTGCAAACAAGTTGATCCCCACGGTACAGCCAGCAACAATCGAGACTTTCCAAGAGAATGATTTGATTGTAAATATAACTCATCATGAATTGGTGCCAAAGCATATCAAGTTGAGTAGAGACGAAAAGAAGGAATTGTTAGAGAGATATAGGTTAAAAGAGTCGCAGTTGCCGCGAATCCAAAGAGAAGACCCAGTTGCTCGTTACCTTGGGTTGAAAAGAGGTGAAGTGGTGAAAATCATTAGAAGGTCAGAAACCTCTGGACGTTATGCATCATATAGAATCTGTTTGTAATCTGGCACAAAGCACGCTATCTTGAACACCGGTCCACCAAGACACATCTGTAAGACCAACCCCAGTAGATGGAGCGACTTGGACACCTTGTTGTCCTAAAAAGACCGGCGCGATAGTGACAATAACACTGTCAACAGTCTTTCCAAGTAAGTCATTAATCACACGAGCTCCGCCTTCGACCATGACCGATTTGATTCCCAACTCATACAATTTTGCAAAAATAATCTCCCAATTGTCTCCCAGAAGGGGCAACTTTGTCACGCCTTCTTTTTCCACCAGTTCATCAACAAGAATATATGGAGGCAACCCTTTGTCGGCGTCGCAAATTTTTTTTAACGTTGAGTTATTGTAGTCCCACTTGCCATGAGGATCCACCACAACCGGCCTAATCTTTGCACCACCATATCGACAATTCAATTTTGGATCATCGGCTAAAACAGTACCCACACCAACTAGAATCGCATCATGTTTTGATCGAAGGTAATGCGTCATCGTTTTGGTTTCCAAATGAGACAATTTTGTTTGCACGCCGGGCTGAGCAGCAATTCTCGAGTCGAGCGACTGTGCATACGTAAGCGTAACAAATGGCCTCCCATCAATTGGACGGGGAAGATATGGCTCTAGAAACGGTACAAGTGATTCAGGCAACGGTATTAATGACATTTGGTGGGAAAGGGTTTTTCTGATTTTTTTTCCTTCGATTTCTTCTCCATTTCGGCTTCTCTTAGGATTTGCTGATCACGGAGGAACCTTTGCTTTTCACGTTGTTTCCAATTGTCATACTCCAATTGGGGATCTAAGTCGTCGGTATCATCTACGTCATACTCGTCCTCAGTTGTCTCTTTTATTTCCTTCAGCTCCAACTGGGAAAGCAATACTTGCCGGGAAGTATTTTCACTCTCACTCCCACTCTCACCCTTTTGCTTCTTGATATACACTGGTTTCGCAATCTCGTCCTCTGAGGATGATGATGATGATGATGACTCAGACGATGACTCTGACATGGGGGCGAAGAGAGATGTCAAGTAAATTTCATATGCAGAACCACTTTCCCCTCTCTCACGCGTAATAAATTCCTATTTCTTTCGAAAAAAACAGAAAAAAAAAAAATTTAGCGTCTTGACCTTCTTCTTTTTGTTTACACTTCAGAGATTATGGCTTTTACCTGGGATACACCATTTGGTGTCAAATTATGGCCCATTTTTAATGAGTTGGTATCTACTGCAACCGGGGGCAAGTTTATCCCTTCTGAGTTTCGTTTCGTACAAGGAGAATTGCCACTTTCAACGTTGCACCCAGTGTTGTTGTCCATCGCAAGCTACTATATTGTCATTTTCGGTGGAAACTATTTATTCAAAAAGCTTCACATTAAGCCATTTGTGCTAAATGGACTATTCCAAATCCACAACTTGTTCTTGACTACATTGTCTTTGACATTGTTGACTTTAATGGTTGAACAGTTGGTGCCAATGATTTACCACCATGGATTATTTTATGCCATTTGTTCACCAAAGGCATGGACACAGGAGTTAGTCTGCTTGTATTACTTAAATTACTTGACCAAGTTTGCTGAATTTATTGACACGGTGTTTTTGGTGGTGAAGCAAAAGAAATTGACATTTTTGCACACATACCATCATGGTGCTACTGCTTTACTTTGTTACACTCAATTGATTGGTGACACCTCTATCTCATGGGTTCCAATTTCGCTAAACTTGGGTGTGCATGTTGTCATGTACTGGTATTATTTTCTTGCTGCTAGAGGTATCAGGGTTTGGTGGAAGGAGTGGGTAACCCGTTTTCAAATCATTCAATTTATTCTTGATTTAGGGTTTGTCTATTTTGCCACCTATCAAAAACTTGTGCTTCACTTTTTGCCAAATTATACAAACATTCTTCCAGTTTGTGGGGATTGTGCTGGTAATTTATACTCTGCTTACTCCGGATGTGCTATATTGTCATCGTACTTGGTTTTATTCATTGCTTTTTACATTGATGTTTACAGAAGAAAATCGTCAAAAAAGAGCAGAATTGTCAAGGCTGTGCACGGTGGTGTTGCTGCTCAAGTGAATGAATACGTTTATGTTACTGGTAGAGAAGCTACTCCCGTTCCAGAAGAAAAGGTACGTTCAAGAAAGTAGAACAAAGCTAAAATTAGATAGACTTAGACATCTTTATAAAATGGTATACTCTCAGCGGCTCCCTTTTTCTGAATTGCTAAACTGCTGGCTGTAGTTGCAAAATTAACCGCCTGTTCAAGGTTGTTTCCTAATGCTAGATTGGATACAACCGCCCCGAAAAAAGTGTCACCAGCACCGGTTGTGTCAACTACAGATTGAATCTTTTTGGATGGGACAAATGTGGGGTCTGCTTCACCATTGTAGAAGATGCTTCCCTTGCTTCCCATGGTGATGACAACGGTTTTGATATTCCCTTGGTGCAAAAGCTTTTGAAGCTCCACCGCCAAAGTGTCAAACTGGGCTGTGGACCCACCCAAGAGATGCTTTGCAACGTCTTTTGCTTCACCCTCATTAACAATTAAGAGATCAATCTTTGATAGTATCTCATGGGTAATCAACTTTGGTTTGTATGGTGATGGATTGTATGCAATATTGATCTCTGGTTTGTGTGTCTTTAACCAAGTTATGCTCTTGGCAGTATCGGGATACTCATTCTGCAACACGACAAATGCATCGTATTTGAAGATGGATGCGTATTCCTCATCAGATAATGACAATTTTCCATTTGCCCCTGGGGTAATAAGTATCCTATTCTCTCCATTCTCCTCAACAATAATTACCGCCACTCCTGACGACCCATCAATTGCTTTCACATTGGACACATCGACTCCAGCATCGACAAGGCACTGCTTCAAACTGTCTCCAAATTGATCTGTGCCCACCCTGCCAACCATTCTGGTGTTGACTTTACCTTCTGGCGATAATCTTGCCACGGCAATTGCTTCATTCAATCCTTTGCCACCCATGTGAGTCTCAAATGAATTGGCTTGGTAGGTCTCACCACCTTCTGGCACCTTATTGGTGAATGTGACCAAGTCATAATTGAGAGATCCAATAACTGTAATTGTCGGCTTTTGCATTATGAAGAGATCGAAGTAAATGCTAATTCTAAATTTTACACACTAAAAAAACATACATTTTTAATTTTGGTGCATTTTTTTTTTCTCTGTTTCTTAGTCTATGCCAACTTTCCCTCTCTTTTCAACTTCATCCTTTGTGCAAATGTCAAAGGTGCAGCTGGCTTAGCCTCCTCAGCAGCAGCTTTGGCTGCCATTTCGTCCCTTCTTCTCTGCAACTCTTCATCCTTTTCTCTTTGCTTTCTCAATTCTTCCTTTAATTTGGCATGTTCAGCAGCTTGAGCTTTTCTTGCAGCCTCTTCAGCTTGGGCTTTACGCTCCCTCTCCTTTCTAATCTTTAACTCCTCAATACGTTGTCTCTTGACTTTTTCAATTCTCTCTTGCTTGGCCTTTTCAAACTTTTCGTGAGCTTCTTGCTTCAACTTCTCCAATTTGGCAGCATTCTTTGCATCAAGCTCAGCCTTAAAGGAAGTGTAATCTGGTAACATACGTTGGAAACGTTCCCTCAACGCAACAGAATTATCAAACTCCTTCTTTGCTTTGGCAATTTTGGCATTCTTGGCAACTTCGTAATTTTCAATCTCCAATGATCTTTGCTTTTCAGCTTCAGTGTCCAACAACTTCAATTCATATTTTCTATATGCTCTCTCCAAGTAATCGGCTTTCTTGAATGTGACTTTCAACTTCTCTTCCAACTCCTTTCTATCCTTGTTCAATTGTTCAACTTGCATCATCTTCAACTTAGATGCGTCCAAGTCCTTCAAGTTGTTCATATCAACTTTAATGATACCCTTTGCATTGATTTCCTCAGCAAGCTTCCTCTTTTCATTTTCTTGAATCATGTCACGTTCTTTCTGCAATTTCTCCAACTTCTTACGCTCTTGTTCTTGAACCAATCTCTCCTGTTCGGCTTTCTGCTCAGCAGCAATTCTTTCTTGTTTCAATCTAGCTTGTATCTCCTCCTCTTCACGTCTACGTTTTTCGGCAGCTATCTTGCGCTCCTCAATGATCTTGGAGCGGTCGGCAAGAGCTTGTTGCTCGCGAACCAAATCAGTCATCGCATGGTGCAATGCAGCTTCTTGAGCTTGCTTACGACGATTTTCAAACTCAGGATCAATAATTTGAACTGATTCAGCAACAGTGGCAGCCAATTTGCTAATTTGTGTCCGGATAATTTCCGCTGGCGAAATTTGCAACTTGCGAGTGGATGCATTGGTTACATCTTCAAATGGACTAGCTCTAAAGGAAACAACACCAGCTTCATCGTCGATAATCAAGGTAAGCAAATCATCCTTAACGGCATTGACAATCAACTCCTCGACTTCCAATTCCGATAAAGAATATTGCAATCCTTCAAAAACACCCAAAAAAACCAAAAAGTCCAACTTCACAGTGTCGTAGACTTGAGAAACTTGCTGAAAGATCCTGATCAAAATCACCTCGGTCAATGTTGGGATATATCTCTTAAAATCGTCATCAGATTCGATGGATTTGAAAATCTCAACAACCTCCTTCTTTACCGACAATGGTTGGAAATCGTCTTTCTCCAACAAGTCAAACAATTGCTTAACTGGGCCATCAACGTATTTAATGATACCTCTTTGAACGATAGATCTAATCAAACCGTCTCTAGTTGGTACTTGAGTCAAATTTAACAATGAAGACAATTTTGAATTCTTTGCTTTATGATCGTCAGCGTCTTGGATCGCATTTTGAGAAATGGCCAATGTAGACAACACCAAGATCGAGGCATATCTCTTCAACTCTTCATCGGTGGCTTTTGGTGATTGAGAATACAAGTTGAAAAACTTGTTCCAGGCAGCGGCATGGAACAATGTATTGTCCGAAACAGCAAAAATCCTGGCAAGGTTTTCATAGTAGTTAGTCATCATGGTTGGCTTTGGTGACTTTTTCGAAGCTGTAATCAAACTGTGCACATCATCAACTGATCTAAATGATTCCTGCCATAATTCCAATTTGACTGCAATATTCAATTGAGAAAATCTTTGCTCCAAGTAACGTTGAACAGTGTCTGAATCGGACAAATCAATGGCATTGTTCGAGGACGTTTTGACCTGAGTAGTAACAGTTTGCATATGAACTCTCAATAATTCACATAATCTTCTAAACTCTGCCTTTCTTTTAAAGTTCAAGCAAAACTTGAATGCTTGGTTGACAATGGCAGAATAAGTAACCTCCAACTTTGAATTGTTTCTCAAGATATCCAAACAGGCTCTAAAAGCTTCCCACAAGAATCTCAACCATGGAGTAACCAACTCTCTTTCAGTACGATCAGCAGTATCAGTGTTTGAGACAGCGCTCAACAAAATAGATTCAGGGGTCTGAGCTGTTTCCAAATCATCTTCGGCGGTCTCTTCTTGATCAATTTTAACATCAGCCTTAGCCTGAGCTTCGTCTAATTTTGCTTCGGCTAAAGAAATGAACTTACGCACAATAGTCTGAACCGACTCCAAACCATGTTCACTCATTTGAATGTTCTTCTTATACTGATGCAAAGCATCTTTGGCTAATTTTCCTTTTCTCAACTCAACAGCCAACTCAATAAGCAAGCTAGCAATTGGCTCCAAGTCCTCGACCTGCAAGTAACGAATTCTTCTCGAGGTAATGAGCTCATACAAAGTGTCCAAAGCGGCCTCCTTTTGCCCAACGGCAATCAAATCTTCGGCACGTTTCAAGACATTTTCCGGACGGAAATTGTGACTCTTGTGAGCTGGTGGCATGTTTTGGTGGAAAGCGTGAATTTGGCTGTTATCAGCACACTACAATTCTCTTTGAAAAATTTTCAGATCAAGAAGAATAAACGAGAATGAAGTCGTGTGGGATTATCAAAAACATCGTCAAAGATTGGAAGTGGTGCCAAAAACCTGTCTTTTCGTGTCAGACCAAAGGTTTGGACGAAAAGAACTCAACAATGAATGTGAGTCTTCTCCCGAGATGCCCGTTAGAAGTAAAGATCTCGAAGTAAACAGGTCGAGGAGAACCTTTTCATACTAAACTGCTTTTACTAAGCAGTTGCGTTCTTACGATATTCTAACACAACGAACTACATTAATGAGTTAGCCTTCCTCATTGCTCACGGTTACCACTGTGTCCTACAATCCTCGGGCTTTTGGTGCCAGCTCTTCTCCAAGTCCAAGTCGTTGCTAAAGACCTTCGCCACAAAAGTGTTTTATTGCTATCCGCGTGAGCAGCAACCAATTTTTGTGTAACTTTGAACAATATATAAAGGAGAGTAACCTTCCCCCCAACCACTCTTCGAACTTCCTTTCTATATATCTTCTCAATTAAAAATGCTTCGTCAATCTGTGTTAAGATCTATTAGACCAGCAATTGCTTACAGACCAGTGGTCATCTCGAGAAACTATGGTATTGTTGATGCCGCTACTCAAGCTGTGTTCGGAAAGAAAGGTTTAGAGGAGAAGAAGCGCAAGGAAGGGGAATTGGAAAACAAGGCTCAAGACGTAAATTTAGATGGTGGCAGAAAAGCTGCTAGTAAGTTGGATGATGCTCAGGATGCTGCACAGGAAGCAAAGGAGACTGCCAAATCAAACTTCGAAGATGCAAAGGATGCTGCAAAATCAAATTTCGAAGACGCAAAGCAATCTGCCAAATCTAATTATGCGGATGCAAAAGATGCAGCAAAAACAAATGCCGAAAGTGCAAAAGATGGCGCTCAATCTACTCTTGAAAGTGCCACAGAGACTGTCAAGTCAGCAGCCGAGACTATCAACAAAAAGACTGGTGAGGTATTGGCTGAAGGTATCGATACCGCTCAAAAAACACTCAATCCAAATGATCTTGCAGACAAAGCCAAATCTGCTGCCGATGCCGTCAATAAAAAGACTGGTCAAGTCCTTGCTGATGGTATTGATACTGCTCAAAAGAATATCAATCCAAATGATCTTGCTGACAAGGCCAAATCTGCTGCTGATACTGTTAATAAAAAGACCGGCCAAGTCCTTGCTGATGGTGTAGAGGCTGGAGAAAAACTTGCCGACTCAACCAAAGAAGCAGCTGATACTGTCAACAAGAAGACCGGAAATGCGCTTGCTGACGGGGTTGAAAAGGGAGAAGAATTGGCCAACAAGACCAAGGAAACCGTTGATAGTGCTGCTGATAATGTCAAACACCATCAAGCCAAGCAAGAGGTTAAAAAGAATGCCAAGGGTTACGACAGTTTGAAAGACAAGGGTAGCAATGTTGAACGTGAACAACAACGTCCAGACGATGGTGTTTAAACGAAATCTAGATGTATAGCAATTGAATTATTTTTAAATACAAAAATGCTTTGTATATTTTGCAGATCACTCAGCTTTTTTTTTAAGGTGCCGGGAATTGTCCTTCCATTTCCTTCACCGATTTGGCCAAATTATCTCTATTTATCAATATGATGCTCAATTTCGGATCAATGCCGTAATCAGTAAACACCCTCCTTGAGTCTGTCTCTTGTTGGTTCTTGTTTTTGTAATCAAAGATTCCTTTGTAAGTTGCATTTGCTTCTAGGATCTGATCTTCTAGATGAAAATAGTCAAACTCAACTGGTGGTTTCTCATCACCTGTTTTCCTCTTTTTACCCTTGCCTTCATCGTCCTTCTCCACAGCATCAACCAATTGATATACTTTTGATATTATCAAGTAATAATCGAAATTGAAGCGTTCATCGGCATCATCAGCTTTTTGCATTTCTTCCAGTAGCATCTTGTACATTGGTGGAACCACTTCTATGGGCATATTGATCAATCTTTCACTCACAATTAAACCAACTCTTGGTGAGCTTTCAGTTGTTGGCTGCAACAACTTCTTTAAAGTGACGTTAAATTCTAGTTTATTCTTTGTTTGACTCAACACATAATCAATTAATTGCTTTACACTGGGCACGGTAAAGTTATTGGAAATACTGAAAACACTCAAGAGCGCATAGGGGTCACTTTCTTGACCTTCAGTTTTGATTGTAGTTCCAACTGTATTTTTAGTCAATATCAAGTCGGAAATCCCACTGGTATCAAATTCGGCATGATCGTCACCAAACAATTGACGTAAAAAGTTTTTGATGGCATGGAAATCAACATCGGGATTCAAATCAAAGAAATCAAAGTCGACATTGACAGTCTCTTGCATGTCAACATCACCGTCATTTTGTTGCTGATCTGTTTCGTTATCTGAATCATCAGTGGAACTGACATCTATATCAGAATCCGATTCTATTTGTCTCTTGCTCATTGGTGATGGAAATAAAGAAATGAATTGATGAGCCATTTCCTCTTTTTTTTTTTTTTTAACGGTTTTGAAATCTGCGATGATCATTAAAGCGATGTCGCTAGTTCAAGGGTACTCAAGTTCAGAAGAGGAGATAGAATCTCAAGAGGAAAATGCCATTAATCACAAGAGACAAAAGACTCTGACAAACACTTTTCAAAAGATCCTGTACGATCCAGCAGCTTTTGACGCCAATTCTCAACAGAGCAAGCTCAAAGAAGCTAAAGCAAAAGCAAAAGAGTTGAAGCTACGACGCAAACGAAATGGGGGCGACCCATGGGCGCCGATTCATTCAGAAGAAGAGCAAGTGCATAAACCCGAACCAGCTCAAATACTCAAGGAAGAAGAAGAAGAAGAAGAAGAGAACACAGAGCTGGAAAAGTTCCCACCAAGTTCGGAATTTGTTGGATCAAATAAACGTGATTACCAAGGCAGATCGTTTATGCATATCCCCAGTGAGCTTACAAAGAAAATACCCGGCGATCAAGAATGCTTTGTGCCAAAACTGGTGATCCACACATTCACCAAAGCCCATCCCAAGGGTGTCAACAAATTACAATTCTTCCCCCATTCTGGACATTTACTCCTATCCTGTGGGAACGATGCGACTATCAAATTATGGGCTATTCGCGACGCTTTAGAGTTGTTGCGCATTTATAAGGGTCACAAGCTAGCGGTAAAGGACATTTCATTCAACTCCACTGGTGACAAGTTTCTCAGTTGTGGGTTTGACAAAATCATTAGATTGTGGAATACGGAAACTGGCGAAGTAATAAAGACATTTGAAATGTCTTCAATCCCCAATGTAGTCCGGTTCAACCCCAACATTGAGTCCGAGTTTGTGGTTGGTTTACTGAACCACAAGATTGAACACTATGATTTAGCAGCTATTCATAACCCAATACAAACGTACGACCACCACATTGGTGCCATAAATGATATACTAGTGGACAAAGAAACGTTTATATCCACATCCGATGACAAATCAGTACGTGTGTGGCATTGGCAAATCAATATTCCCATAAAAGTCATTTCGGATCCATCACAATTTTCAACCCCATCAATCAAAAAACATCCAAAGGCAAACTACATTGCTTTGCAAAGCATGGACAATTGCGTCAAAGTGATACACTCAACACGCAAATACAAATGGAACAAGAATAAACTCTTCAAGGGTCACCAGAGTGCTGGTTATGGAATAGAAATTGGATTTTCGCCTGATGGAAAAATTCTAATGAGTGGTGATGCACGAGGATATGCAGTGTTTTGGGATTGGCAAAGTAAAAAAATTGTAAACAAGTTGAAATTGAGCACCTTACCAATCAAGTGCATCACTTTTCATCCATTAGAGACGAGTAAAGTTGCCATAGCGGGCAATAGTGGCGATATATACTACTGCGATTGAGAATTCAATGCAAAAAAATAAAATCTATCAAAAAGAAAATCTATGTAATTATACACTTTTCTTTCTTGTATGCATCTCTTCGATGTTTAGATCTATGTAGTAACCCATGACTGTGGTTTTGTGATATTACGGTTGTGCTGTTGTCTTTGTTGCGTAAAGTTTGCGGGAAAGTTTGCTTTGGCTCGTCCAATTTTGGGATTTGTTGTTCTTCTTCAACTGGCTCAACGGATTCTGCTTTAACTCTGGGACTTTTTTTCCTTCTCCAAATGGACCCTGTGCTACTTTTTTCCAATTTGGGTGCTTGCTTCTCATCACGAGGGATTTCCAATGAGTTGGATTTGGCTTCGGAAGTAGGATTGGCTGGTAGCAATGGATCACTTTTTTCTGGTAGATGACCCAGTGAGGATTTAGCTAGAAGGATGTTACTGATATTTGAATTGACACTCCATTGACTATTGCGTCTAAATTGAGGGCTAAAGTTAACCGACGAAGTTCCATCCAACACCATTACTTCTTCCTTGTAATAATTTTTATTCTCATCTGGGATAAACCAAAAGTACCGATTACGAATATCGGTGTAATCGGGAGCATCAGGCGGGATCGATGATACCACTGAAGTTGACGATGCTCTAAGTTTAGGGTTGTTTAATGTTTGCTTCTCTGGTGGATCACTCACTTCGCTGCCATTTGAAGATAGAATGGGCGATAGAACTGGCCCCTGATTCGCTGCTGGTTTCAGTTGTTCATGCCAATATTTCGCTTTGCTTCCGTTCTGGGGTACAATATCACTCTTCATTGACGAGACAGCACTAGTCTCATTTGCGGAAACCAATCGGTAAAATAACATGTATGGCCATTCGGTAGCAAAAATCTCCTTAAATGTTTTCTCCACCACTCTCAGACTTTTTTTCATATCATCATATAAAAACCATCTAGACTCATACGCTTCGTCTTCAGTTTGGTTGATCACATCAATGTTTTTCCTCACTGCCGCGACAAAATGTCCCAGCTCTATTGCTTTACCTCGATGACATATAGCACTTTCAAGTATCAACCTAAATGACGAAACTGGTCCATCAATATCATCAGCAACAAAGTCAGGAAGATCAATAAAGGGCGGGATAATTATACGCTTGTGTGATTTCGTACCTGCCGAATCACCAGTATTTAAATGGTACCGTTTCAAGCATATTGGTAATATTGGTCTTCTATTGGCAAAATCCCTAGACGACTTGGCTGTGCTTTCCAAATTATCTGTCAATATATTGTCATCAGTGTAAAAGGGTAATAATCGTAAAAACATCCATGCTGGGAGATTGACTTCGTTTGGTTTTTTAGAGTCACGCCTCTCATTATCATTTGTAGACCAAATGGACAAAGTAGAAGATCTTGTCCTGGCAGTAATTCTAACTCCATCAGTTTTGGTGCTATCCGACCTGTCTCTTAACTTGATTTTTTCATCAATGTCTTCTACTTCTTCAACATAATGTTTGCTTGAATCATGTCGTGTGACTTCAATAGGTGAATCTTCAGGTATATTGTTGAAAGCGGCGGAGGGGACGTTGGATAACGATGCACGTCTTTCCAACTCACGCTTGACACTGATTGAATTATTAAAGTAGTGTTCCAAACACTCCTCCAATAATATCGATTCATCCATCTCCGACCCGCTCAGATTTAAACTCGAAATGGATTGAGTGAGAATATCTGAGTCAGATTCGTTTGATGGCTCCTTCTTTACTTCCTCGTCCTCATCAGGTATACTTACAAACAATATTCTTTCTTTTGAAAGCTTTTGATCGTCCTTTTTGTTGAATTTGCCTCCATGCTTGATATCAACCTTGAATGTCAACAAAGGCATATTCAATACTTCAGTTAAAAACTCAAACAAGGCAGCCGAGTCTTGTTGCTTGTGGCTGAGAGCTTCATCGAAACCTAGTTTCATTAACCCTTCACATATGCGTGCTGTGAGGTCAGTAGTAATTAGGTACCCCAGACGTAATAACGACACATAAACTCTCAACAATGCCGATAATTGTGCAACCAAAGGTTCATCTTGATTAGGTATAAATAAAATTGGCTCAAAGCTATCCAAATTGGCAAACATGGCAAACAATAATGCATCCATATAGCACAAGACATTGTCCCAATTTTCTGCACCAACAAAAGACAATTTGTTGCCCAATTTGTCAATTCTTGAATTGGTAAGAAACCATCCTTCAGTGCTCAATTGAAACATGCGAAGTATATAAAATGTTTTGTTTACATCACCTCCTGTTAGTGGTGATTTAAGTATAGCGATAATCTCTAAAACACCAGGTCCTGGCAATTGCTTTTCTTCGAAAAACTGTCGTATCTTGACAACTTCGGATGATTTTTCTGTAAATTTGGTGATGACATAGGGTGTATGCTTGATAGTAGTTTCTCTATCATTCCTGAGATAGCTTTCGATGTACCATTGCCAATAAGAGTCTTTGAAAATGGGTTGTATTGCATGCAGATCATGGCCGTGGTGTCCATTCCTGGTGAACTGCTTGAAGTTGAACATAGCAATATATTGATGCTAAATGCAAGGAAATGCAAAAGGAAACAAAGATAAGGTCTGTTGATGAGTGTAGACCAAAAAAGCAACAGTGATGATGATGATGACGATGATGGAATGAATGATTCTGTTAATGATCAAAATCTTGCATATCAGTGCAGATTTTGATATCTCAGTCTCTCAGTCTCTCTCACAACAAAAAAAGAAGTAAAAAAATAGTTTGTTATTGTGTGTGCCTAAAAGCGTGTGCGACCCAAAAAAGAAATATTTTTTTTTTTTTTTGAGTTTTTGTCTTACCAGATGATATGTCTTGTGAAAGAATAGACGACTTGAGGGAGAATGTGGATGAGGTTCTAATTCAAATGACCCAAAGAAAGTGTCTAAGTCTACAAAGTATGAGTCATCGATGCGCATGACCAACCGTCACTTTTTGCGGTCTTTACAGGCTGCTTGGTTTCACCCCACCCGTGGTGGCCCGGTTCAAGCTCCCGATTCAACTCTCGGCCGAATTAAACGAGATGCCACAAAATCCCCTTTTTGTCACAATCACGTCCTTTTCCCCCCTGAGATCACAGGACTCGGTTAATATCATTTGGAAACAATAGCGGACCAAGGACTATGAAAAAAAAAAAAAAAAAAAGTCTGGCAAACAGTTTTCGGTAGGTCAAGTTTACTCTCAAAGGGATTCACCTATCCCCGCACCAAGTTATTTTTTATTGCAGCAATCTCTTTTTCGTTTGCTTAGTAAACTAATTTTTTTTGCTAGGCCTGGTGACAGTAGAGAAATGAATCTACATCTGTAATCCCCAAAAGCCTTCATATATTTCTCAATAGCAAGTATTTCGGAAAACATAGTTATGTTTAGCCTATATGATTATCCTTCCCAGTTATATCCAAAGCTCTCATCTTTGACAAAACATCATCAATCTTGTCATCTAATTTCCCCTCGGCATAATCCTGTTTAGTCTTTGCATCCAATTTCTGCTGCAATTTGTGCAACTGCTGATAATTTTCATTGAAAAATCGCAATTGGATCTTGACAAAACTTTCAAAACTAGGATCGAAGAACGCGATCCTCATATTTACCAATTTCGGTAGTTCATCTTTAAGTTTTTGATTAATTTCACCATATTTGGTCTCAACTTCCACCAATTCATCACTCACTTCTCGAAATTTGGTCTCATAATTACTATACTCTGTCTGTGGTGTATCCATCAACTTCTTCAACTTGTTCCTCATGGCATCGTAATCGAGTAGCTTGTGGTGTCTTTTCTTGATAGCTTCATTGACTTCAACATAATACGAATTAAACCTTGCTATCGGATTGAGTACAGTTTGATTATATGGATGTTCCAAATCACTAATCACTTGAGTGTTTAATTGTTTCAAAGTGTGGAAATATTCTCCCGACAAGTTTTTGAACAACTCCATCTCTTGTCCATTTATACGATTTTCAAATTCATGGGGTATATGTGATTCCTGGCCATAAAAGGAGTCTAACAATTCAGCAATGTTTAGTTGTGATTTGGTCAACATTTTCAAGCTCTCCAAATATGATCGTAGCTTCTTTTGTAATGCAATCAGGCTTGATTCCATGACTCTAAATCGTTTCTCTTCATATTCAAACTCTTTATCCACAGTTTGTTCAATTTGCCCTGCTTTAAGCATAACCTGGGTACCAGCACGATTGATCGCCTTTTTCAAACCTAACCACGACATGATTTGCAAAGCTGATTGATTGAAGTTCTGACAGGGTAATAGTAAGAAGGATGGAAATCTTTTGATGAAACTGCAGTGACCAGTTGGTTTATGGAGAAAGCGGAGTGTGCTACAGCTTGTCTTGCTCGGGCTGTTTCAATTGTGTATCAATGATGTATCAAATCAAGCATACCGAAAACAAAATTTGTTTCTCACTTTTTTTTATTTTTTCCCGAAAAGTTCCAGAAGTCACTCGGAGATAAAATATTAAAACGGTAGCGCTTGATTCAGATAAGATATTTTTAACCGAAACGTTGTGGATTGAGAACAGATTAGTCGTGACTCAACGCTCTCGAAGGCAACCTGAATGCGGGGCAATAAAGCTTGCTCTTGCTTAAATCTAGTCTCTGGCATGGAGCATCCCTATGGGTGATTGTCTCGCTTAATAAGCTTTTTCCATTTCAATCGTTTGATCTGACGTCATAGAATAGGTGGAGGTCGATAGTAGGTCACTGACGACAGAAATGCCAATCAATGGATGCTCCGGACTAGACCGCGTTGAACGTATAGCCCAGCAGCAAGGAACTCACCGTTCTCACAGTTAAAATGCGCTTGCGTAGATCATATGATGAATAAAAATGATCAGTTCGTAAACTAGCAACACTAGTGTATCCAACGTACCAAAGGTTATTCCCACTTCGACTCCAACACGTTTCTGGTCCATTGTGTTGTTGATTCTGTTTTATTAAATGCTTGGCTTGCGTCATACTCAATTTAAAAGCTATTCTATATATAGATGGGATGATTAATAACACAAACATTGAAAAATGAAGACGAAGGGAAAGGTTACGAACAATGCCTATTACGACTAATCGCACAAACCACTATTACGCTTACTTTTGTATGCGATCGAAACAAACGTTTGTCGAGAATATTATACTTTCTTCATCACATCGTAGTGGAGAGCTCAACTTTTACGAAATGGTGGAGCAGAGTGGGTAGAGTTTGGAAGCTCTTTGCTGCGTAGACTTCTCTTTACCTAGTGCAATGCGCAATAGCAACTGAAACTAACTAATAGCAATTTTTGCTTGCGCTACTCACTTTTGTGTTTATACTTTGTATATTAAGCTCTATTGTTTCTTATACATAGTTGTATAATTTAACCCAAAAGAGTATTCAACATCAAATGGTAGCGAATGAGTTACAAAGCCCTTTGTTATGACTAGATAACCCATTCTTCTTTCTTCGGGGCATTCATCAAATGCAAGTCTCATCCCTCTTAGAGCTTTCCACAAAGTATACGACTCATCAACATGGCAGATCTCTGCACTTTTTCAACAATAAGACTTCGAGGAAAGTTGCTTGCAAAAAGTAATCCTATGACAGCTTGTGGTGTGAATAGATTGCACAAGCTCTTTTGTGCTATAATTGCTGCTCATCCTTTTTTGTCCTTTATTGTTTTTATTATTGTTGTTATTGTTGTCGAAAGAGGGAGAGAGAGAGAGCACAACAAAGGGTGGGGAGGGGATTGAGACAATACAAACAAAAATAAAAAATTAATACAAAGAGACAAACGGAGTTGGGCCGGAACAAACCCACATTCGAGAGTGGCGACAAGAAGGGGCCCAAAAGAGGACCCTATTAGTTGTACCGTCACAGGGTTATACAACTATCATCCATCAACATTTCGAATTGCAGAGAAGTAAAAGTTGACCTACGGGTAAGAAGGTTATGAGTTATGCTCTAGCCACACACATTCTTTTGTAGAAATGATTTTGACGACTCACAATTCATCTACTTCTAGACACATCCACTATAACAAGTTGCCCATAATACTTTGCTAAAGAGCAAACACGAGAAGCTTTAACACCACGAAAGTCGTAGTAAAACAATCTTGATCTTATTACATCATATAGAGGTTGTACTATCCATTCGTAATATAAGATCTAGCAATCCACCTATTGCTTCCTTCACATTGACTTTATTCTCATCATAATCAACTTCTTTTTTACTTGATCGAGGAAAGTAGTGACAATAACAATGGAGATCTCTCATTTCTTTTCAAACCACCTTCTCTTCCCCGTCCCCCCCCCCCCCAGAAAGGACAATTAAAAAAATGAGCAAAACCCCAAAAATCCCAAAGAAAAAAATAAAAAAAAAAAAAACAATTTGAAAACTACGAAAACTCCATTGACAAATCGACACTTTTTTACACTGACTCGTCCATTTTATCCTATAAACATTCATATTTATAAAAAGCATTCAAACTCAAAACACACTCCCTGAAGCTGAATTACATACACAATCTCGAACGTGTTATATTACTCGATTTCATTTCTTCTAAACAGGCTACTGATAACAACCCCCCTACTATCCAATCCTTCACTATGGGAAACAACGCATCTACAAATGGCCAGATTGGAAACCGACCATCTTTGAATCGTCCAAGACCAACAACAAGGAAGTCGGCGGCGTCGCAACAAGATCAGGTGAGAAAATCATCGGCAAGCAACACCAACAATAACTCATTGGATGAAGAATTTAGTGATTTGATATTACATCAAGTAGTTAAGCAACCAGAGTCTGGGTTAACCACCACCACCAGTGCCACTCAACTGCTGTCAAATGTCCCAACCAGCGAGCAACTGCTCAATTACAACCAATTCTCGAATGATTTAATCGAGGATGAATTTAATGAATTGAACGATGGATTAGTTGAAGAGTCGACATCATTAGCAAGAAATATCTTGCCTGACAACCCCTTTTTTGGTACTAACCGGCCCAAAGGCGGAAGCTCGCAATCAAGTGATAATATGGAATTGGATGAACCATTTACTCAAGATTCAGATGATATTCAGGAGTATGAACATCAACTATCTCAAACTCCAACTCCAGACTTGTCCAAAGTGGATTTTACAAAAATTACCAATCACTCACAACAACAGCAGTCCCTGGACCAAGAAGAATCCGACTCTTCCCAACAACTGCAACAACAACAAGTACAACAACAACCACAACCCCCAAGAGCAACAAGAATGTTATCAGCAGCTTCAGTGGCAAGAAATGCTCATTCGCCATCACCAAACCTCGAACAACAAACCCATACACAAACCAATCAGCATCACCACAATAAGCTGTACATAAACAACAATCAGCACATGCAGTCACAAAGTCGTGCCAAGCAGTCAAAAAGCAATAATCATCGTGAAAACATTTTGATTCCAATTGAGATCAAGTGGGTCAACACAAACAAGGAGCAGATCAACAAGATTTCTATCATTGGGTCCTTTTCCAATTGGAGGGATGTCATCAAGTTATCACCACTGGTGAATCACCCTGGAGAATATGTCACCACAATAAACCTTCCCTTGGGTGTACATAAATTGTTGTACATTATCAACAACGAGTATAGGGTAAGTGACCAACTCCCCACAGCAACTGATCAAGAGGGTATCTTTTTCAACTGGTTTGAAGTTATTGATGACACGCACTTGTTCAACCACTCGTTGCATCAAGCCAATCATGTTGGTGCTAGTACGGATTATGATGCTAATATTATATCTAATGAAGATGAAGATGCAGGTGCGACGTACAGCAAAACCCAGCAGCAGCAACAGCACCACCAACACCAACGACAAGACCATCATCTGCCTTTGAACTCAACCCCTCGTTTGGCTGGAAAGTATGAAGTTGAGAAAATCCAAGAAAAGGCTAATGACTTGCTACACAAGATGTCGAAAGAATCGAGTTCACAATTTGAACATTTGGAATTTGTTGAAGATGTGAATGATAACATGGTGGATGAAGGAGACGCTGAACTACAAGCTAAGCAAGAACAACAACAACACCTGGAAAACTATCCATACGCACAATATCAAGATCATCATCATAATCATTCACGTCCCAGCTCTCGCAACCATTCCAATTCAGAACAATTTATTCCATACGAGCTTTCCAAATCAAATTCATTTATCAAACCAGATAAGAAACTTCAATACTCAAACGAGATTCCTGAAATGTTTGTCAATTACGATTACTTTAAGTCAAAACCTGCTGATTATGAATTACCGGAACCACCACAATTACCTCCTCATTTAAACAATGTCCTCTTGAACAAGATTTCACAACATTCAGGAAACTCATCATCGAATTTGATTCCATCGCCTTCATCGTCATCTACACAACAACCCCCTCTTCCTCATGGTGGCGGTGGGTTGGGATCTAGTTCACCTAGCTATAGTCACAAGAGACCACCTTTGCGTCGAGCAGATAGCTCATACTATGCTTCGAATAAAGAGGCATATCATTTGTCAATACCAAACCATGTCATTTTGAACCATTTAATGACGACATCGATCAAGAATGAAGTTTTGACTGTTGCTTGTATTACTAGGTATCTGGGTAAATTTGTCACACAAATTATGCATTCACCAGCTGATACATGAGCTGTGGACAAGAGACAGATTTTCACTATTCATTATGTACATGTTGAGTTTTGGTATAGCAAATTTGTATAGGCTACAAAAAGAAATGTAAATTGAGAGATATCAAAGAGCTACAAAAGAGATGAGATGCTCTTTTTTGCAACGACAAAACTAAAACATTAAAATACAGCATATACTCATAGACCCACAAGCTCGCCAGCTCATCAGCTCATAAAATTATACTCATCAACTCATCAACTCATCAATTCATCAATTCATCAACTCACCAACTCATCAACTCATAAACTCGTAAACTCATAATCTAATTAGGAAAACATATGATAGCACAACATGTAACAACACAGCAATGACACACCTACCCTCACTTTTTTCCCCTTTGCAACCTCCGTTCCCTCCTTAATCTCGTTTGCATCATACTATAGCTCCCCCTCCTAATAATAACCTCCAATTTAAACTGATCAAGCTCAGGATAAAAAATCGAAGTATAGGAATACAACTGTTGAATCAAGGACTTGCGTTTCTCCTTATCAGTATCTCTAATCCAAGTTTGTAATCCCAATTTAAAATCACAGTAATTGCCAAAAATTTCCAAAATGACACCTTCGATAAATTTGGTCAAGTCAATACTAAACTGATCCAATTCGAGTATCTTTGACAACTCATAGATATTGAGTCGGGAATAATACCGGTCGTTTTTCGCTTCGCCAAGGGTATTGAGTGGTGGTGGCTGTAATCTAAATGCACCGAGGTCAGCACTTGCAGGCCGATTGGGACAATGATTGCCCTTTTTCTTAGTTTTATCCACCACGTAGTTGCACGATTCATTTGGTGGTAGTTGGTAATGGGCCATCTGTTTCAATTCCGATAACGGCTTGAATCGAGTGTTTTTCAAGTCAATATAGTCCTTTGAAAATGGGACAGGAAGGATTTTGGGGCCAATGTCATAAATCTCGGAACTTTTGGGGGAGTGACATCTAGGTGCTCGTTTGACGTAGCTAGTGGGTCTAGTTGAAGGGGGAGGTTGGACCGTCACGGACTCTTTTTCGATAAATTGCTGGACATAACTCATAAAATCTTGTTTACGCTCAAAAAATGTGAAAATTATTGGGAATACCATATTGTGTACATTGTGTTTAGGGACGTGCGCAAAAGGTGGTGTATCCGTAGAAGCATCGCTAGTAGAACTCCTCATTTGACTCATGGTTGACGCTTGTTGGGAGCGCCCGATTTTGATAATTGGCGAAGAAGGGATCGTGTTTGCTTGATTGTGGTATCTCAGTGGAGTCGGCGTCTCATCAGTGTCATTTCTTCTCAATGGTGCAATTGCAGCATAGCTAATTGAACTGTTTGAAATTACTGAGTCGTAATGATGGTTACCGTCCTCTTCATTTTCGTCATTATATTCATGAACCAACTGAGAACTAGGCAATACGTAACTTGGTGGTATATTCAACGACTCTCTTAACTCATCCAACTTGGAAGAATTACTTCTCAGATAATATGGAAACCCATTATTACTGGGCAACAATTGTAAATGTACAGTGTCATCATCGTAAATCTCTCCCTTTAGAGCATTTTGTCTTTTGTCAGTCAAAGTTTCCGAGTTGGAGTTTAACACAAAGTTTTTCGCAAAAAGGGGTGAGCTAGCAATGGTTGCGAAATTTGTTGGATAGCAAAATTTAGAGCAAAAATTTTCTAAACCAGTACATGTAGCTTGGTTGTCAGCAGTTTTGGAGCTCACATCATTGTGAGTATCTTTGAAATATGGTGTAACAGCTTTGTTTACAAGAAGTGGATTCAAGAAATTTGCCTTTTCTGAACCTAGTTGATACAACTCGATCTCGTGCAATTGAGATTGTGTGAACTGGCAATCACTCATCAATGGTGGAAGCATTTGAGCTAGTTTTTTTTCCTGCGAGTTAGTGCTATTTGGAATCAAACTGGCTGCCAAGGAAATACTAGTTGCAACTGTGCTCAATGAAGTTGAACGAGGTGGTGCTGATACTGTTGCTGTTGTTGCTGATGGTGCTAATGGTGGTAAAGTAGATGAAGATGAAACTGAATAGTGTCGTTCATGATAGTCATATTCTTTGCCGTAACTTGCTTGACCTAAGGAATAAGTCAATTGATTGTACAATGCCTCAATTCTTGTAAAAGGATCCTGTTCATAATTCAAGTGCGTCTGTACTACATCCTCAGCACCAATACAATTGAAAGCATCGTCGTTGTTGGAAACATTATGAATTGATATGATGTTGGGATCATCTAGTAAACTGGCCAATGATTCACCAAAACTAGTCTCTTGATTGGTTGTTGTATTTGTTCGATCAATCTGGTTGTCTGTTGATACTGGACGCTGGTCTGAGGTTTGTGACAGACTCATTGTGTTAAATCAAAGAACTCTCTACTCAATTAGGGGGTGACTTCATCCACCGTCTCAGGTTGAAAAAGATGCTGACAAAGTGAGAAAGTAAGATGAGTAAATGGTGTTTGATTTGATTCTAGATGTGTGATAGTAGATGTCGTGGTGTTAGGTAAGTCGGATTTGAGTGAATTACTTCTGTCCTTCAGCGGCTAGATTTAAACTAAAAAAAAAAAACCACTCAATATAATGAAGCTTACCCACCCTTTCTTCAAAAGCAGTAACTATTGACTATGGTCTTGTATTTAATTGATTAACTAGACTGCTTCTTTCTGGCACTTAGGGAGTGATGGATTAAAGAAAAGATCGATATATTTATATATGTGTGTGTTTTAACTCTTTGTGTGGTGATTTCTTTTTGCGAATATAAAGATCTTACCACCCCTCACCAACTCTTAATTAACAAAAGAATAAAATTGAATACATCAAAGCAAAACTAGTTGCTCACTAACTACCTCTACTCCATCCCAGACAATAACGACAACACCTACGTCCATTTCTTTAGTACTCCATCTTTGGTTCCCTTCTCTTGCATTTTGACGTATTATTTTTGCAATTTGAGTGTATCTTACATATTGCTTGATAATAATAGCACAATCCATCTGTATGTCATCTTTTACAAGAATGCGTGTGTGTACATATAGTACAGAGAGTCGAATGAAACGACAGAGACGAAAGTGGTCATTGTGCATTCGTACATTGGTTGATGGAGATGAAATTACTTTCTATTCATAGATCGGTAACACTTTCCCCTTTTAGACCACCACTACCAGTTGGAGAGTTTCATCATCAAAAGCAAGTCTCAAATGAAATGACAGTTGCAAGAGCAATACCAGATGGGAATCACGCAGACTCAGATCAACTACATTGGTGTTTGGTCATCGAGCATTCATTGGTTGCACTTGTTGCCAAACATAAATATTCTTTTACAATGTCAACCGTTTTAATGCATGTCAGATTATTATTTTCGCGTCGTAAAAGGGGGCCCAGTCAAAACACGATTTATTTTTTAATTTGGGACTAAAATGTAATGCAGATCCTCGCATATTTAGACCTGGTCTACGGCTGAAACCTATGAACCACAAAGCTATGATCTAGATGTTGTTTGCTGAGCAATATATGGACTATCAATATTGGATCTCCATGAAGCACTGATACATAGTGTAACATAGAAAACATTGGGAGCAGAAATAGGTAAAACATTTCGAATTGACAAAGAGGCTCGATTACCGAGAGGCATGGAAAGAAACAAACTATCACGGATCAGGACTGTTGCGAGCTCTTCCAATACTGAAAGCCCGTCATCACTATAGTGCCCTTAATAACTAGTACTAGTACTTATTAGTAAGAATCATCTAATCATTTTACACAATGACACATATCCCATCTAATGCGGAAAAGTCATTTGCCGAAAATTAAGCTCTTGCTTATTGTTTTGTATTCAGTTCCGATATCGTACCGAAATTCCATCAAAAAAAAAAAATGAAAGAGAAAATTTGACAAAAACGGCTTCAAAGGAATACAATGGAAGCCTCGTCATTCAGCTCTTTTTCTAAGGTTTCACATATATATTAAACACAATGTACTCTCATCCATCTTTATATCCTTTGAGTGAATAGGAAAATCCAAACGCGTTTTTCCCGATCTGAACCAATATAGCATTAAAAGTTGTACCTTCATGTCCGACGACGCCACAATTAATTCAAGCACTGAAGTGGATGCAAAGGTTACCGAGAATGAAAATCAGGGGGATGTGTACCGAAGTGTACCCAATTTCCAGCAAATATCACTACTACATGAGTCCATATTCATTTTCTTCATATGTATGTCGCAATTATTGACGCAAGCAGCAAATGCCCAAACAATGGTAAACTCAGTTGTGCTTGGCAAAGCGTTCAACGTAGCTGACAATGCTGGTCAAATTTCGTGGTTTTCCGCAGCTATCTCATTAACTGTTGGTACATTCATTTTGGTCAGTGGAAGACTAGGCGACTTGTACGGTTACAAAAAACTATACATTATTGGATACTTGTGGTTTGGGGTGTTTTCTCTACTATGTGGCTTTACGGGGTTCACTACTTCCCACGTATTTCTTTCAACCATGAGGGGCCTACAAGGTATTGGTCCTGCAATAATGATGCCAAATTCCCAAGCATTGGTTGGCAACTTTTACCCAAATGGTCGAAGAAAGAATATGTGTTTTGCGTTGTTCGGTGCCGTTGCTCCATCTGGGTTCATTATTGGTGCTTTGTTTAGCGGGTTGTTTACTGATGTTGTTTGGTGGCCCTGGACGTTTTGGCTTTGTGGGATTGTCAGTATTGCCTTGGCCATATTGGCATTTTTTGTCATTCCAGCAAAAGTAGGTAGCCGCTCACCGGGGAAATTTGACTATTGGGGTTCTATAACTGGTGTATCTGGCTTGATATTGATCAACTTTGCATTCAACCAAGGTCCCACTGTAGGTTGGGAAAAGGTTTACGTGTACGTGTTGCTAATTGTGGGGTTCTTACTTATGGGTGCGTTTTTCTTCATTGAAAAGAAAGTGGCAGACCCTTTGGTACCTCCGGAAGTATTGCGTGGTGATACCGGTTTTATATTAGCTTGTATCAGTGCTGGGTGGTCATGTTTTGGTGTTTGGTTGTACTATCAATTCAGATGGGCTTTGTTGGTTGACAAACACAGTGAGGTGGTGGCAGCGGTGCAAAATGTCCCTTGTGCACCAGTCGGTGTCATTGCCGCAGTAGGAGTGGCAATATTACTAACAAAGATACCTTCCGCTGTGGTGATGTTTCTTTCAATGCTTGCATTTCTTGTTGGTTCAATTCTTATGGGCACTAGACCAGTGGGTCAAACATTTTGGGCACAAAAATTTGTCAGTTTGTTGATACAACCATTGGGAATGGATATGTCGTTCCCAGCTGCTGTCATATTATTGAGTGCAGCTCTTCCGAGACACCAACAAGGTATAGCAGGCTCATTAGTGTCAACATTTGTAAATTATTCCATTTCAATCGGATTGGGGTTTGCTGGTACCGTCGAATATTACACAACCAAGGATAAGCCTCAGAATTTTGACACTACAGTTTTAGGATTTAGAAATGCGTATAGAATGGGAATGGGACTTGCTGGGTTTGGAGTTGTGGTTGCCGCAGTTTACATGTTTAAACAGTTTCAACTGAGGAAAAGGGAATTAGAGAGGAGAGAGTTTCTGGAGGAAAGGCTAGCACGGGGGCAGGAGCAGGAAAAGACAACCGAGAGCACGGTACCAGTATAGATCATTACCATAAATTAGAGGATGCATAATTGATTGGTATCTGTAAAATCATCTCTGTAAACTGCTTCATTGCAACTGTGGCTTATTACGTAATCATCTCAATTGCGCTCTATTTTTTTTTTTTTTTGATTACGAATTCAAATTATTGTCAATTCACCCACAAAATCTCCTCCCTTCGTTTCCCATATGACATCTCCAGTATTGAAATCACCACTATCCAAGTCCCTCAGAGTTGCATTATTGCAATTGAAGGCAGGTGCAGACAAATCAGCCAACTTGGCTAAAGTCACCAAATACATTGAAGAAGCAGCTGCCAAAACTCCCTCAGTTGATCTCGTCATGCTACCAGAATGTTTCAATTCACCTTATGCTGTTGATCAGTTTAGAAACTATGCTGAAAATATCCCTGAGGGAGAAACTACTAAATTGTTGTCTTCAATGGCCAAAAAGCATGGGATTTATATCATCGGCGGCTCGATTCCTGAATTGGATTCAGACAAGATTTACAACACGTCATTGACATTTTCACCTCAAGGTGAAATAATTGCCAAGCACCGTAAAGCTCATTTGTTTGATATCGATATCCCGGATGGGATCACTTTTCAGGAATCATTGACCTTAACTGGTGGTGATAAAGCCACCGTTTTCAAATTGGGTGATTATGGAAATGTGGGGCTTGGTATTTGCTACGATATCAGATTCCCCGAATTGGCTTCAATTGCATCACGTAGTCCATACAATGCATTTGCTATGTTTTATCCGGGAGCTTTCAACACTACAACTGGTCCCTTACATTGGCATTTGTTGGCTCGCGCAAGAGCAGTTGATAATGAACTTTATACCATCTTGTGTTCGCCAGCTAGGGATGTAGAAGGTGGCGGGTATCAAGCATATGGCCATTCTTTGGTTGTCGATCCATCAGGTAAGATTATAGCTGAAGCTGGTGAAGGTGAGGAGATTTTATATGCCGAATTGGATAAAGATGTGTTGACCAAAGCAAGAGAAGGTATCCCTGTCCATTACCAAAGACGTTTTGACATTTATGGAGATTTCGTGAATGATAAGTCGACAAAAGTTGGCGACAAGTAAAATATAGAGACAAGATATGCAAAATGTATGGTTTTACTCTATGATTTCCAAGCCTTTACTCATCCTCTATACGCTCTATATACTCACACAAAACATCCATAAACTCATTCGGCTTTTCACTAATCACCCAGTGACCACTTTTGATATCTCTAATTTCAAAATTAGGAAAGAATTGAGCTATTTCAGGAAACACATCATCGGGGATATAGTGAGATTCAGTACCTCTAATGAAAAGTGCTGGTCCTGTCCACCTTACTTCAGTAGGACTATATGGCCAGCTAGCAATAAACCCTTTACTAATAGCATCACCAATGATATCCAATGGTATTTTAGACGTTACTGGTTCATCCTTTTTACCTCGTTTCATATTCATCAATACAAATTGTCGAACAACTTTATTCGGCTCAACTTCAGCCAATTTAGCATCAACGTCTTTAATGTTTGTGTAATGATACTTTTCCAAACTTAAACGCAATTGATTTATATACTTGTTGAACTTGGAGTCAGTATTGCCAAAAGTTATGGGGGCATTGTCAACACTAACAATCATTTTAGGAACATCTGGCTTGCGTAATGCTACTGCCATTGCGGTTTTGGCTCCCATTGAATGACCAATGAAGATTGGCTTTTGCTTGAAATCACGCTGAGCAACCCAATTTTCAACGTCGGCGGCAAGGCTCGGGTAATCCAACCTTTTGATGTGTGGACTTGATCCAAAGTTTCTCAAGTCGAGACAATAGACGTTGCGGTCAAGCCTTTCACTGAGTTGTTTGGCCACGGTTCTGTTGTTACTCTTTGAACCAAACAAGCCATGGAGAAACACAAGTGGTGATTTGTTCAGATTGTGTGCTTCAAACTCATCGTATACTAGGTCCACGGTTTCAATGGGTGCACCACTTAGCCTCAAACGTGTTTGAGAAAAGTATCGCCAAAATATACCACATAGTTTAGAATTCACCGCTACTGGTGACGCTGAAACTCTCAATGGGCGACTCAACTTAAACATTGGTTGGAAATCAACAGATCCGATCTTTTGAAGTTTTTCATTTTTTGTAGATCCGACGTGAGAAAACATGCGATTAGAAAGACCGAAAGACTCAAACAAGCCATCTCACTACTTGGCCACCACCTTTCCCAACCCCTACACATGATCAGAAGTATTTTTAGGCAAATGTCATCATCATCACCTTCATCAACCGTGGGTCCCATTGAGGCTTCCATTCTGAAAAAGCTACAATCTACATTCCATCCCACATTCCTTGAAATCAGAAACGACTCACACAAGCATGCCAAACATGCGGGAATGCAAGGTGCTTCCAACAGAACTGAATCTCATTTCTTTATCAAGATGCAAAGTGAAGTGTTTAATGGGAAAAATTTACCCGCTAGACACCGATTGGTGTACAGTTTACTTGATGATGAAATTAGTAAGCAAGGTGTGCATGCATTACAAATGAAGTTGAAGGGTACGAATGAGTCAATACAGTAAAATACAGTTCCTACCGAACAAGGATAACTCCTTCGAGCTTCTACGATGTAAAATAAAAATTAAAACACTATTTATTAAAATTGATAATCTCTATACACCATTCTCCTCTTTATTTTGAAACGTTGCCTGAACTGAAGCGTTTTTAGCCACCAATTCAACAATACGACGGATCACTGGCAAATTCAACCAAGCAGGAACATAAGCTTCAACACGAGCAAATGGCCTCAACTCAATCTCTCTAAACGGATCCTCAAAATGTCCATCAGCAGAAACTGTTAAGAAAATCTCATCCCTTGAACTTTCCTTGGTCTTTGCCGCCACCAATGACATCACTGCTGGCGCAATTGGTGTTTCATACTCAGCTGAACTATAAGCACCAACAATTTTATGAATTTGTGCTGGGTTCAAAGCAAAACAAATTTCATAAATAATGTCTATATCCTCACTGGTGTTTTTTCTCAATTGCAACAATTTAGCCGCTTGTAAAACGTGGATTAAACAAGTGGAACCTTCTTCAATGCCATGCGAGTTACACCATTCTTCAAGTCGCGTAACATTGTAGTTCAATTGTAAACCTCGTTTCCATGATAAAAAGTTGCGTCTCATAATCAAATCATTAAAACATAAAGCATCAATAAATCTCAACATTTCGGTAATGACCCTGACAATAACTTCATCCTCGATATAATAATTCTTCATTGACCAGTACAATGAGTTGAATGTTAACAAAATGTCATCCATTTTGTAGCTGCTGGAACCGCTAGAAAATACTTTACTCAAAAATGGTGAGCTTTCTGGAGCCATGAACCCAGGTAAAGATTGAGAAATAACAACAGCTGAAACCGCCTTCTTTTCCAAATCCTTTTGCATCTTCTTCATCCACATGTTGTAAATATTATATGACAATGATTCAAAATCCTCTTTGACAACACCAACTAATTTCAAGTACTCGTTGAATTCGTCTTCACTCATTTCATTAGATAAGTTGTCATTGGAGATGATTGTTTGTTCAGCATACGAGACAAAGGAATACAATTCATGGGTGTTGGATAACCAAAACGCACCGTGTGAAATAACATCTTCATCTTTCAAAGTGGATACAAGATTTTGAATGGTTGATAAAACTTCACCAAGAAACTCTTCACTTTCCTTAGTCAATCCCAATCTCCACATATCGGACAAGATGATAATGATTATCCTCGAAGGGAACAATACTTCCTTTCTTGTTAAATCAGCAGCAACATTGGAGGTAGGAATTTTGGATCCCTTGAGCAACCCTTCAACAATTTCACGATGTAATTGACGCGAGTTTCTCAAAAGTTTAAATAATTCATCATTAATATCATCAATATTAGCATCACCATCATTGGAAACGGCAATGACTGATACCGGTCTAGGGTTATCAATAGAATTAGGAGAGCTCCACGCCACAGCACTGCTATGACGTTTGTTATTACCGTTGCTTTGAGCGCCTCTGATTTTGGGATTATTGAGTTGTGCCAATTCCGCTTTCAATTGTTCAATATGGGCTTTCAAGTCAACTTCAATGGTATCGCGTTTGACTAAATCATTTCTGGCATTGTTCAATTCTTCAAGTGTACGTTGTACTTCTTGTTTCAATGCCGATTGTTCCTTGGACAATTCAGCAATCTTGGCTTCAGCTGATGCATATTCAGATCTAAGAGTCGCCAATTCACTGTTTAAGCTTTCAACTTCTTGTTTATGTTCAGCGCTGGTGGCATCTAATTTGTTATTAAACTCAACTTCCCTCGACTTCAATGTCTCATGCGCTTGACCTTGTTGTTTCAACAAATCTTTCAAGTTTGAAATTTCCTCCATAAGTGCCTTGTTGTCTTGAATCTTTGCAGTCAAGGATTGGGTCAAATCAACAACCTTGTTTTCCAATTGATAGGAAACCTCTTGCAATTTGTTGACTGATTTGGCTTCTGCCTTCAACACTTTCAATTCACGGTAAGCATATTGTCTTCTGAAGGCTGATTGTATAATGATTGCAGATTTTTGAGTAGTGGTGAAGTTCTTTCTCTCTTTGTACCCCTTCCAAGACTTTTGAATAGTTGTTGCAGATTTTTCCAAACGTAATGTCTTGTAATTTTGTCTTGCTTGTAATCCACGAATTGACTTCTGCAAAGTGATGACGGAGTTGAGAGTGGTGAGATATTGCTTTCTTGCCAAATGCCCTCTGATTGATGTTTGGATCATGGTGGCAGCAGCTCTTTCTTTTTCCTCTCTAATCTTTCTCCTCTTTTCGTATCCACGAATCAAACTTTGCAATTTGATATGAGATTGTCTAATGTCGAGATATTTTTGTCTGTAGAAACGCTTTCGCATATTCTTTTGTATCATCACAGCTGATCTGTACATCTTATCGGATCTCAATTTTTCAAAATGAGCCAACATACCAGCTTTGAAAAAGATTTTTGTGTTACCCAATTGGTATTTACCCTTGTCTTCAACATTGGATGTCAATATTTGGTTACAGAGTTCGGATACTGATTCTTGAGTAGTTTCAACCCTCATCACCTTGATCCAATCATCAGATGGAACCAAGGTGTGATATCTATCGGCAAATTCAACGTAGGTCCATCTTGATGGGAAACCGGCACACGAGATCCGGATTGTCTCCAAAACACCACAAGCTCTCAACTGTGAAAGCACCATTAATGAATCAAACTCCCATGCTTTCTTTTCCTCGTTCGGTTTAATACACCTAATGTAATGTACATTCGTGGAGTTGATTGTCTTCATCAATTCAACCAATGAATTTTTAAACATGGATCCCAATGTGGGCTTCTTGTTGGCAATTTTACCCTTTGCTGGTGCTTTACTAGCCTCCACTTCAGCTGCATTCTTATCAACAATACTGAGAACATCTTGAAGTAGCTCATTGGTAGTATTTTTCATAACATCCAAATGACCCTCACCGACAGTGTCTCTATTCTTTTCAATAAACCCATCAATATCATAAGTAACATCCAAAGCGTAATGGCTCACGATAAACTTGGTTTGACCAAATCTTGGCTTTTTGAAAACTTTATTGGTTGGCTCTTTATCCAAGTTTTGGTACATTTTCTCAATCCATGATTGATCATTACCAGCAGGCAACCTTGACTCTTCATCCAATAAGGAAAGGATACCCATTCTGTTTTCAATCACATCAATACACGGCTGATTATCAACGAAATCAATAAACGACCATTCAATTTGCTCCTTGACGTACTCCTCTTGCTCCAACTTAAAAACATGCTGATTGAATTCTTGTTGTAATTTTTCATTGGCATAGTTGATACAAAATTGCTCAAACGAGTTCTTTTCGAAATGTTCAAATCCGTAGATATCCAATACCCCGATAAAAGAGTTTACTCTTGCAGCGACTTCTTCAGGACACAAGTCAGCGTTGATGTAGTTAACCAACCAGTCAAACAATGCTGAGTAGATGTATTTGGCAAAAGAGTCTCTAGCAACCAAGGCTTGCTTGTGATTTAAATTGGTGACAATCTTCTCAGACCTGGTGGTGATTTGTTTCTTGACACACCACTTGGCAAAATTTACTGCATCGATTCCAAGTAATTCACATGCTTTGGCCAAATTAGGCTCGTCGCTTGACAAATGAGCATCATTTCTAGTTGCAGCAATATCAATATTCCCAAGATGTAAAAGGGCAGCCAAAATCTTGTAAATTTCCATTTGCTTGGTTCCATCAACTCCAATCAATGCAAGCGCATCTTTGGTGATTTGAAATTCTTCTGCATCGTCAATGCCTTCAATCTTGGGAAATCCTCCTTGGTTGGTATACTTGTAATCGTCGGCTGTTGATAAACCCAATTCCTTCTTGTCTTCCGGGTTCAATCCTGCCAAAAGTTGGTAAAAAATATGGTAGTTTCTTTCAGTAGATGGCTGAAATACTAGTCTTGATCTTTCCAATAAGTATGTTCTTATCCTAGCACCGATGATTGATGTTGATTTGTCAAACAAGATTTCCAAGTATTTACCAAAACGAGATGAATTGTCGTTTCTGGTAGTTTTGGCATTACCAAACGCCTCCATGATTGGATTTGTTGCCAAAATTTGTTTTTCAACGTCTGACATGTCAGCTTTATGATCACTACCTAAAGCTTGATCTGTGTCTTCCTCCACTGATGCAAAGTATCTCATAATATATTTGGCTGACACCGTCTTACCAGCACCGGACTCACCACTTACAACAATGGTTTGATTCTGGCCATCTGTTTTCATACATCTATATGCATCTTCAGCAATAGCGAAAAGATGAGGATCCAATTCTCCTCTTCTCTTTCCGGCATACGCCTGAATTATATCCTGGGAATACAACTGCTCAACTTTTTGAAATGGATTTGTAGCAATCAAGACAATACCCGAGTAAGTGTATATATCCAACAGCGAGTACCGTAATTTGATTGCTTGCAAAACAGCTGGTTCATTCAAATAAGACAAACTGGTTAAATCTTCCGCTGCTTCCAAAATAGGAGGATTTCGTAATGGCGGGAGTTTTTCATTATCTTCAGATAGATTGTCTGTTTCAACTGTGAACTCTTGTGATTCATCCTGTTCAGAAACCATCTTGATGACATGTTTGTTTCCTTCTAATTTATTGGATACAACTCTTGCACCTATCCACCCCAACTTTTCATCTGGGTACCAACAAGTGGTCCCTACATCGTATAATGATACCATATTTTCGTTATAGATATGTACACGATATTGATGTAATGGATCTGTTGATAAGGATATTAACAAACTTTGTTTCGTTTAAGTTTTTGTTGGAAATGTGCTTTGTAGATCAAGAAAACGCCAAAAAAAAAAAAAATTTAAAAGAAAAAAAAAAAAAAAAAACAAACAATAAGAAAGAGAAACAGGAGTGAAAGTAGAAATATTAATTTTGTTGTAGACACGTACTACTTATATTTAGTGACGCGACATTGAAATCACAACAAAAAACCGCGACACTATTCCACCCCACGAACTGATTCGAGATTTATTGTCTTAGAAATCGACGTAATTAGTATTGGTGCTCGCTATTGGATTTCGGTATCAGATCCTAGCAGTTTAGAAATCATTTCCATGTATTACCTGATCCTCTGTACCTGCCATGCTCCCATTATTTCCAGATCTAGCGTGTGTGCCTTAGAGTTGTTTCACATTCCTTTAATAATTACACCTTCTCTAGCCTCAAAGTCCACATCTTATGGGTTGTAAAGTCCAGCTGAAGAACGTGTCTTCCATAAACCTTCCCCCCCCCCCCCCCCACACGCCTTAATGCCGAGGAGACAATCTGGAATGCATTTCGGGCAATTCAATTTAGTAGTGTACCAATGTCAAAAATAATATATAGACCCGTAAATATCGACATTTGCATGTGATTCCGAAACAACTTGGAACAATATTTTCTAAGAGGGCTACAAGGGGGGAGGGGATAAGACCCTAATATGTAACAACTTTTTAAGAACTCCAGACGCAACGGATAGATTTGAGTGTTGTATCTTTTTATATTAGTGGTTGTCAAAAATTTTGGACGCGTTCTACGACTGTCGCGAAACTTTCCAATATGTAATGCAAAAATTTTGTGACACTCGGCCTATATAATACTACAACTATACGTGGCCCCCTTCTCCAGATTAAAACTTCCCCCTAAGCAAATTCTTCAACATATCCTTTGCAGTGAAGTAACACGTCAAGTAAAGGGTATGAAAATCTAATGTCGATGTAAATGTATCCAAGAATCCAAAGAATAACATTGATGGAATCCAACCCTGAGCATACTCCAAAGCCCACGATTCTCCAGGCATAGAATACTGTTTAACTTGACCTCTTACTAAATGATGACAATCACCTGGTCTGTACACTTCTGGCTCCAAACTTCCTGGTAATGCAGCTCTCTCTTCTCCTTGTAAAATCATAAAGTAATCCTCTGAAAAGTGAACACCAGTGTGACCTTCTGTTCCAATTGCGGTGCCAAAAAATATCAAGTATTCTGTTATCGAAGCGTGGAGGATAAACATGGTTCCCATAGCTCCACCAGCATTATTATACACCCAATCATTAAAATTTACTTTATTAGTAAGTCCAGGGTATTCTTGGTTAATTTTGGCACTCAAATCAATCATTAATTCGGTGATATTGTTTGGGTGTTGCTTGATAGACTCTTGGGCTAATTGTTGAAGAACATCCTTATCAAATCGAAAGTTTGTTGGTAGCCAGGTATAGTACAACGAACATGAAATTGAATAGATCGCAATGGGAATTGCCAATAGAAATAAATACTTCATGGGTGGGGTGTAGTCAACTGTATATTTGGTTATCAATGGATCAGATCGTCATCGAACCTATATTTAAATATAAAACTTTTCCATCAATTTTTTAAACGACAAGAATTGCAATCGTATAGTTAGACAACTGTCGCGAATGTCTTTTTCTTACCTTTGTGTTTGGAAATTTTTGCGAGGTTTCAGGAACGATCGTATTAATCGAATGAAGAAACTAACCTAGGCAGCATGCCAAACTTTTAGAGGTCCCCATGCTGCGGCATTGGGGGTGAGGGAGCGTAAGATACTAAAAAGCTGATTTCGTCAAATCATGAAAGAATCTCCTTTAAAAGATCCTCAATTTTGCACGAATTTTGAGACAAAAATGTAATTGCATTAGCGAGAACTATAAATAAATTAAATTTGATGTTTTCTGGGTCAAGTGGTTCACCAAAGTCCACTGAACTTTCTGTACTTCACGTCTAATGTGAATCAATCCTCAACCACAACTGAATAAACAAACACGGCATTTTTGTTAAAGACCAACTGCCAAGCTATATTCTTTGGTGGATTGGGTGAGTGGGCTTTTTGTAGTTTTATCGCTTACCATTTCTAAACGAGTCAAATCTCTAAACCTTGATTCCTAGAGACTCAATAATACAAATGCCTATGGTATGGCGACCTATCCAGGTCTATTTACAATGAATAGAAGACTACGTCAAACTGATATAAAACGTATTCAAAACATCTTCAAACTAAGAGTTTCATACCTGAAACTCTTAGCTGTTCATGGAGTGTTTAATACATGTTTCACATCCGGTCCATTGATAGCTTCATGTAAAGAACTCTGGAACTACCTGTTTGGATTAGATGCACAGGACTTACCAATAATGTTAATCTCAACAATTTTCATCTCCCTTCTCTTTACCCATTGCAACACAATTAGACGTCAAAACTTAAATTTCCTACTTGAAAGTCAGAGTTAAAACTACAACGGCGTTGTTGAGCAGCCGTTTCCTCCTTTTTCCCCCCCTATTCCCAATAGTTTTCTCTTTTGCAACTTTAATCTCTCTCCTCCCATCTCCGCACTTAAACATGATTCAATATTTTTTTGTCTGTCTGCCGCGGATTGGATCCATCAGACACAAAATGTCTTGTACGATGTGACAATGGCGGAATATTCTTCCCGATTAGGCAAGAGATAACAAATCCGACAGCGTTTATTGGACTATAGTCTGCACTTTGGCGCTCTTTGTTTTTTGTTCTTCCCTCCCCCACACATAACTAGATATAACCTACTAAGATTTCCATATTAGCATCTACCAGTTTTTGACTACACATCTGTTGAATTTACATACTACACTATATTCCTACCTCATACACACTGTTTAAAGTATGGTTCTTGCATTATCAGAAGTAGCTAAACACAACACCAAGCAAGATTGTTGGGTCATAATCCATGACAAAGCATATGATTTGTCGGACTTTGTTGATGAACATCCAGGTGGATCGGCCATCATAATGAAATATGCCGGTAAGGATGCAACCAAAGCATTTGACCCAATACATCCACTGGATACATTGAGCAAGTATTTGGCACCAAAGTATCATAAAGGTGAAGTTGAGAAGAGAGTTAATCAACCAGTAAAGAAAGTGGTAAAGAAGAAGAAGGAGACCCCAGAGCAAAAGAAGAAACCACAACAGAGCACGGCTGAATCCAATGGTAATGTTGTTGACGAATTTGATGTTGAGTATGATGAACAAAATGATAAGGATCCTATTCCAATGCCGCAACAAAACTCTACGACAGATGATTCTACTACTGCTAACGAGGAAGAGGAGGAAGAGGAGATTATGCTTGATGAAGATGGAGAACCAATACCTAAAGAAGAAGTGCAACGTCTTAAGCGTGTTGAAAACAAGCCAGATATCGGCCAAATTTACAATTTGAACGATTTCGAATTCGTCGCTAGACACACCATGGAAAAGATCGCTTGGGCATATTATTCATCTGGTTGTGATGATGAAATCACAATGAGAGAAAATCATTTGAGTTATCAGCGTATATTCTTCAAGCCTCGTGTTATGGTTGATGTTACCAACATTGACTTGTCAACATCAATGTTAGGTACTAGCACATCAGCACCATTTTATGTAACTGCGACAGCATTGGGTAGGTTGGGGCATCCAGATGGTGAAAAAGTCTTGACTAGAGGATGTGCTAAACATGACATTATACAAATGATACCGACATTGGCATCATGTTCATTTGATGAGATTGTTGATCAAGCTACCGATAAACAAACCCAATGGTTTCAATTGTATGTTAATTCAAATAAGGAGATATCGAAAAATCTTATCCAACATGCAGAGAAAAGGGGTATTAAGGGTTTGTTCATTACTGTTGATGCTCCACAATTGGGTAGACGTGAAAAAGATATGAGATCAAAGGATGTTACTGATTTAAGTCATGTTCAAGGAGAAGGTGATGATGCCGATCGTACACAAGGTGCCGCTAGAGCCATTTCATCATTTATAGATACTTCGTTGAATTGGAAAGACTTAAAGTGGTTTAAATCCATTACTAAAATGCCCATCATTTTGAAAGGCGTTCAATGTGTTGAGGATGCAATCTTGGCCGCTGAGCATGGCTGTCAAGGTGTCATATTGAGTAATCATGGTGGCCGTCAATTGGAATTTTCTCGTGCTCCAATTGAAGTGCTTATTGAATTAATGCCAATTTTAAGAGAACGTGGGTTAGATAAAAATTTCGAAGTTTTTGTCGATGGTGGTGTTAGAAGAGCAACTGATATTTTGAAAGCGATCTGCTTAGGAGCCAAGGGAGTAGGTATTGGACGTCCATTCCTTTACGCTATGTCCACTTATGGTGATGATGGTGTTGTTAAAGCCATGCAAATTTTAAAAGACGAAATGATTATGAATATGAGGTTATTGGGAGTTACTTCAATTGATCAATTAAATGAAAAATACGTTGATGTGAGAAACTTCAGTAATAGGTTTGTTCCAGAAGATAAATTGTTTAGAAATGTTTATCAACCATTGATCAGTCCTCCATTTAAGGAGTCCAAGTTTTAAGGACAAAGCTTAAAGGCATTGTGAGTGGTAGATGCTTCTATTTAGACATGGGATAGATTTTAAGTATACTTTTTACATATTAGCAATCATTTATTTATGAGAAAGGGGAGAGTGGGCTATGTAAAAAAGGGACAATAGAGAAGGACAATGGAGATTCTTTTGCTCTTGGATGAGCATCAGAAACTTGTGTCTACAATTGTTCCGGAACAAAAAGAATCTCTTGTGTGAGGCGATATTGTGCATGGAAGAAAATATTTGATGCAAAATCTTTGAAGCAAGCAATTCAACTGGCTTAGTTGTGCTTTATTCGAAACACGTGAAGCTGTTTATTCGTTTTGTGCTCCAGTTGGAGGGATCTCAAGCAGCAGCGGCTGCTGATACGAAAGATACGTTATGCACGGAAAGTTTTAGAATAATACATGGCTAAAAACTACAACCTTTTAATGTAACCGCACCCCCAACGTAGCAATGTTGCCTTTTTTCCGCTGTCCCTCTGTTCCGCTCGACCCTAAATTACATAGTAGAATTGACCTTTTGAACAAGAGAAAAGGCTTGTCACGAATGGTTATGAGCTTAATTTTCCTGGTCAGCCGTTGACGGTACGCATTTTCCAGTTTGGAAAACAGTTTTCAGACTAAATCTGAATCGTATGTGGAAATGGTCAAAGATGTGTTGTTTTGTACGTATACGCCTGTTGGTTGTTAAATCATTATTTAGTTTGGTAAGGATATTCTCTCTGTTAGATAAAGGGTAAAACTGTGGTGTAATTAATTGCACAAATGTGTCTATGTACATATCTGTGTGTGTTGAGATTTTCGCATGATTAGTTGTTCATTCTTACACGACCAAAAGAAATTTTTCCTCTTCGTCTTTAATACTCTCCCTCTTTCCTTCACTTTTCGTATCTGCCACTACTTTTCCGTAAAGATTTTGGTTACTAATATATATACATCTACACCTTTGAAGCAAAAGACATCTCTCAACAGGCATACACATATACACAAACACATCTTTCAGCGTCCCACTGTTCTTATTTATAATAGTATCACCGCACAAAGCAAAATGGTTTTGATTAATGGGGTCAAATATGCATGTGATCGTTGCATACGTGGCCACAGAGTGACTACATGTACTCACACTGACCAACATTTGACGATGATCAAACCTAAAGGTCGTCCAGCTTCACAATGTCATCATTGTCGAGAAAATAGAAAGCAGAAAAGTGTCCATGTGACTTGTACTTGTGGGAAAAAGAACAAATTACCACGATCATCGTCATCTACTTCCATAAACTCATCGACTATCCATGAAACTGGGTGTGCGTGTCACAAGACTACTCATTGTACTTGTGGGCCCTCACTGGGAGTAAGCCTGACAACAAAGAAGAATAAGGAGACCGATACAGTTAAGATGAGAGCTTTATTGGAGGGTGATATAGTAAAGAGATCTAATTCGTTACCAACGCGACCACGACCAAAGAAAAGAGGCTCGCCCGGTGAAATCGGTACATCCTCCAATGAAGATAACAACCATGTGCAAGACCAAATGGATTATGGGTTCATACGTCCCAATGAAACACAACTTGAAAATCCAGAACTTAGTGACAATTTTGTTATTGAAGATATCTTGATGCCATTTGAAACTAAGAAGGGATTGTTTGATTTGTTTAACAAGCAAGACGATCAAGATGGATCTAATTCAGTGGTTAGTGATGGTAGAAATAATGTCAGCCAGCAGTTTAGCATCGTCACTTCGCAAGGGGAGGAAGAAGGAGAAGGAGAAGGAGGAGAAGAAGAAAACGAATCTCCCAGAAGTAGAGTCAAACAAGAAGATTCAAGTGAGAGGACTTCGGTATTTAGTCCTGATCGGTCTAATCCAAGCCCTGGTGGGTTCGAAGTCGTGGATCACATGTTTCCACTTTTCCCTCTTATTGGTGGTCCAAGTTTTGATAATGAGAATAAACCATTGCTGGGAATACCAGCCAATGCAAGAGTACCAGTTCCTCATCAACCAACACCAATAAGACCCCTGTTGGCATCTCAAGATACCAACCTGAACAGCTCACTTCCATCAGCCACAGAGTCCAATCATAACATCAACTTTGGTAGTAGTTTTGACACAAATGTACAAAATACTCATTTTAACCAACACCTGCGAGGTCCAAAACGTCCAGAAAGTGTTTTATCGATAGCATCTAATTCATCTGCCAGATCTTTTGATTTTATGGGCAGCAATAATTATAATAACTACAACAACAATTCCCTACTTAATGGAGGTATTCCTTCGTCGGCAAACTCTACAGCTTTCCCCCCTTCTGGAGCTGATGAAAACAATTTCACAGGAACTGAGCCCAATGATGACCATAATACTATGAACCATCATTTTGGTAAGACGGGGCTCGGTGCTGGCAAGTTTGGATCGCAGTTGAGCAAAATAGAGAGTGAAATGTATACTGATACATTTTTCGATGAGAATTGCAACGAACCGTTTAGCGATGAAGCCATGAATTTTGGAGGTGTAGGAGTGGATGATGTAAATATGCAACAAGATCGACCACAGTTGTCAGAAGTGCTATCTACACCAACAAATTTTTACCCAGTTAACAATGATGGAAATAACAATGACCAAGATGGCTTTCAACATGGTAACAATGGCATCATGGTATCCGATATGACAAACTTGTCAGGTAATGAGCCATTGGCATCTTCGCAAAACACGTCGATTGGTGATTTGCCATTCTCGAAAAGCAACGAAGCTCAACGTCCAGACGATTCAAATGCATCTGGATTAATTGGTGCCGATATGCCTATATTTCAAGGGTTTGCTATACCGTTGGTCAATACACCAAAGTGAATCGAAGTGCAGATGATCTTGTGATGATTTTATGATGATTTAATGAATATGTACTAGCTTTTAGGTTTGTGTTTTTTATTTCAATTACGTACTTTTCGTGTTATTAGAGATATCAAATGCTTATAAGAAAGGTGTATGTTTCTAAGAGTAGAGACACTTTTCGGCTTTACAATTACCTTGCATTGATTTCTCTTTCCTACTTACTTCTTTTTCTTTGATTTCTTAATTTCAAGATTCTTCAATCTCGTGATGTTTGAATCCATGGTTAGTTTATCCTCCGTTTGTTTCAATTCATTATAGTCTTTGTTTCTTTGGGCAATGGATTTTGGTAAATCAGCACTTGTCAGTTGATCATGCAAATACATTTTCAAAACTTCATCGGGGATGCTCAAGATACTTTTGTTTTCAATCTGTTGCAACCTAGCTAATCTGATGATGTATTCTAGTAAAGATAAGGAGCTAGACTTGATTTGTTGTCGGGTGATTTTACCTTGAAGCTCCTTATCCTCCTTTTTTTCATCATCGTCATCTTCATCGTCATCGTCATCTTCATCAAACTCATTCTGATGAAGCTCACCCAATGCAATCCATTCTTCTTTATCCCCATCAACTATTTTCAAAATCAAAACTGGCAAATTCCTCCCTTCAAGTTTTAGTAACTTCCCAGATGCAGTGAAAAACATACTTTGGACCCATTTCAAGTCGTATTTTTTCACTCCCGGCTTTTCATCGTCATCATGAAACCTTCCATCATTGAAGTCCTCTTGAATGTTTAGCGAATATTTAAATCCCCCGTTTTTACCACTACTCTTGATCTGTACAGAGCTTCTGGCAAATGTTTCCTTCCAAGTTATACAACTCAATTCATCCATCCCTTCATCAACATACTTCATTCGACTTGGATTATAGAATATCGTGTACACGACGAGGTCAAACACCGGACCTATCGTGCCATCGCCCTCGTTCAAGTAATTGGAAGCTTGCAATAATCGACCAGGCGATATTGCATTAAAATTAGTCATACCATTGAGATTAATACCTGATGTTATTAAAGACAAGTTCAATATTGGTATAGCATCATTTATTTCCAGCATTAAATCATGCATATAACCTTCAACTCTCTTCACACTCTCTTTGGTATTTGCACTTGACAATTGTGCAGTGATATCATTCACTCCTTCATCAAAAGAAGTAAATTGTTCATGTAAGTCATCGATCAACTCTAATGTCGATTCCAACACTGTATTTCCTCGACTAGCGGCAAGTTTAATCAAGTCGATCGTTACATTGATTATATCAATTTTTGTCTTGAGTTTGCGTCGCTGTTTTGATAACCGTTGTTGTTGCAGTTCTGGGATCTTGTCAACAAAAGTGGAGATGGTTTTGATGGCATATCCAGAAGCTATTGATATACCTGAACGTATGGCAAATGACACCACTTGATTTGAAGCTTTAGATAAGATTTGATCCATTGAAGATGTGGTTAGCTTTACAATCGATCGAAAGGTGCTTTGTGATTATATGGAGATCAGTTGGTAGCTTCAACTCTGGTGATGATTTTTCTATTTGTTTTGATTTCTTTTTTTTTTCTAGAGAATTTCGCAACTGTACATAACTTATCTCTTTATCAAGGCAAATATATCAGAGATGGCAGTACGCAAACCATTAACACATTTTACCACCCCCCTTGGCTCAGGGGCAGGTGTGCCTAAAAACAAGAGGCCACCTAAAGTTCATGACTCTGCCACGAGACTTTTGAAACCTTTCCAAGTGCCATTCAAGACGCGACTGGAGACCGTGTCTGGTATAGTATCGCGTCGCCCTGTACGTTCATCCAGAAAATTCACAAACTATGCAGTCGAGGACTTTGGAAATGGCTCTGCAGATGATGAGAATGTCAATGAAAGTGGTGATGTGGTCAAGTGCAAGAGATTTGGCGCGTTGCTTCCACGATCAATCAATAGTGATGGTCGACGTGATGTCATTGATAACAAAATCAAACGTTCGTTTACTGTCCCATTTTCCAAAGATAACGCTAAAAAGGATGAAATGATACGTGGTCCCCCACCTCCGTTGGGCACAAAAGTGCGGCCTATTATCCCACCGCGTGCCCTTCATGATCCAATGAGTGAATTTGCTATTGTCTTGTATGATCCTACCGTTGATGTGATACCCAAGACCCCAGAAGAGGAGAAAAAGATTGAAGAGTTGGATCTGTCAGACACGTCAATGAATCTGGAAATGGATGAACGGCCAGCAAAGAGAAGAAAAACTCATAAGTCTTTGGCGGAGATATTAGGTATAGTGACCAACCCCGAAGCGAAACTAGCACAATACCCCAATGTCCCTGTTGTTATTGATCCCAAGCTAGCCAAGATTTTACGTCCGCATCAAATTGCCGGTGTCAAGTTCCTTTATCGATGTACTGCTGGATTAATGGACCCCAAAGCTAAAGGGTGTATCATGGCTGATGAAATGGGGTTGGGGAAAACATTGCAATGCCTTACATTGATGTGGACATTACTCAAACAATCACCCAGGGGAAAGAGAACAATTGAAAAATGTATAATTGTTTGTCCATCATCATTGGTGCGTAATTGGGCCAATGAGATTGTGAAGTGGTTGGGTGAAGGTGTGTTGACACCATTGGCAGTTGATGGGAAAAGCACAAAATCGAACGAGTTGGGTGCAGCTTTGCAACAATGGTCCACTGCACAGGGAAGAAATATCGTGCGTCCGGTGTTGATTATATCTTATGAAACTTTGAGAAGAAATGTTGATAAGCTCGCTGGTACTGAAGTTGGATTAATGTTGGCTGATGAAGGTCACAGATTGAAAAATGGTGAGTCACTAACATTTACGGCATTGAATTCGTTACGATGTGAACGAAGAGTTATTTTATCTGGTACACCAATCCAAAATGACTTATCGGAATATTTTTCATTGTTAAACTTTGCCAATCCTGGTTATCTTGGAACCAGAAATGATTTTAGAAAAAACTTTGAAAATGCAATTTTGCGTGGTAGAGATGCCGATGCAACTGATAAAGAGCGAGAAAAGGGAGATGCAAAATTAATTGAGTTGTCGCAATTGGTGTCCAAGTTTATCATTAGACGTACTAATGATATTTTGTCAAAGTACTTACCAGTCAAGTACGAATATGTGTTGTTTACTGGATTATCACCAATGCAAAAGGACTTGTATAATCATTTCATCACATCACCCGAGATCAAGAAGTTGATAAAGGGTATAGGATCACAACCATTGAAAGCTATTGGTATGTTGAAGAAGCTTTGCAACCATCCTGATTTGTTGGATTTGCCCGATGATTTAGAAGGATGCGAGTCTTTGAAACCAGAAGATTACGAATCATCAATAACAGCCACTGGACGTAGGAGAGACGTACAGACTTGGTTCAGTGGCAAGTTTATGATCTTGGAGCGGTTCTTGCACAAGATTCATCGTGAGACTGATGATAAGATTGTTTTGATTTCAAACTATACTCAAACATTGGACTTGATTGAGAAAATGTGTCGTAACAAAAAGTATGGTGCATTGAGATTAGATGGTACAATGAATATCAACAAGAGACAAAAGTTGGTTGACAAGTTCAATGACCCCAATGGGTCAGAGTTTATCTTTTTGTTATCATCAAAAGCCGGTGGTTGTGGTATCAATTTAATTGGAGCTAACCGATTGATTCTTATTGACCCAGATTGGAACCCAGCACTGGATCAACAAGCATTAGCTAGAGTTTGGCGGGATGGTCAAAAGAAGGATTGTTTTATTTATCGATTCATTTCAACAGGGACAATAGAGGAGAAGATTTTCCAACGTCAATCAATGAAGATGTCATTGAGTAGTTGTGTCGTTGACGAGAAAGAAGATGTGGAGAGATTGTTCAGTGCCGATAACTTGAGACAGTTGTTTATGTATCAACCAGATACTGAATGTGACACCCACGATACATACAACTGTAAACGATGCAAAAAGGACACAGGACAATTTATTAAAGCACCAGCAATGTTGTATGGTGATGCTACTACTTGGAACCATTTGAATCACAAAAAATTGGCTAATAATGAGGATGTATTGGTTGCAAATGAAGCACAATTCAATGATGTCTCATTTGCATTACAGTATATATCACATGTATAAGAAGTAGATGTATAGAGAATGATTGCAAATTTTTATATGTTGGCAGATACTATTGCTGCTTCTCCCTTTTTTTATTTGCAACCTTGTCTAATGCTGTTCAGTATAGGCAAGTGTTTCCCGCAAGCGCGGAAATTCCGTGCAACTGACACTTTTTTACTTTTCCCATCTGACACTTTTTTACTGCTCCCATCTGACACTTTTTTCCCAACTTGGCATTTTTTAGCGCATCCGGACATTTTGAAAGATATTTTGTCCCACAGAATAAAGAGATCACGTGTAATGGACAAAAAAATCTTATCTGTGGATAATAGGAGTCGCCATGTAACAATGATATCTCTCCCCGCTTTTGATGATAAAGTTGACTCTGTTTCCACAAGTGTTGACTCGAACGGAGGCAACGGTGGGCTCATTTTTTTGTAGGTATTGCCATCGAGATGAAGGCGGTTTGATACTTGTGTGTGGGGGATATATGGAGTGTGATGAGAGACAAACAAAAAAAAAAAAATGAATGGATCTGGGGGTGGGATCGATGTGTAAAAACCACCTGATTTCAATGCAAAGCTAACCAGCACTAGTAAGCAGCATGGTTTACATTTGCCTAACTCCGTTGCAATTCTATATTAAGCTTTAACAACCTGACTCCTGTCACTACGGTAGTAGATTGTATTTCCGTACACAGAAGTAAACGACGTCTCAATATTTTATTTTGACATTTCCCCATAAAATTCTGGATATAAAAGCGCGCGCATTATCAGCACCAATCATTGTTCACTTTAAAATAAGCAAAAGCACCATATATTCTTTGAAAGTACGAAATCAAAGTACCTACCATTTGCTTTATTCGAAAAAAAATGTCAGATTTACCAGTCAACCCCATTGTCATTGTAGGAGGTGGTTTAGCTGGGTTATCAGCTGCCCATCAAGCTTATTTACGTGGAGCTAATGTTGTCTTGTTGGACAAACAAGGGTTCTTATCAGGAAATAGTGGTAAAGCAACCTCAGGTATCAATGGTGCATTAACCAGAACTCAAACACAATTGAAGATTGATGATTCAGTTGAGAAATTTTACGAGGATACGTTAAAAACAGCCAAAGATCGAGCTAATCCAGCATTGATTAAAGTATTGACTTATAATTCCGCCGATGCTGTGCATTGGTTACAAGAGGTGTTCGGGTTAGATTTGACCGTGGTGCTGAGATTGGGTGGTCACTCACAGCCTCGTACTCACCGTGGTCATGACTCCAAGTTTCCCGGAATGGCCATCACTTATCGGTTGTTGGAAACATTAGAAAAGTTGAGCGAAGATGAACCAGATAGAGTGGCTATATTGAAACATTGTCAAGTGATTGATTTGATTAAAGAAGGAGAAGACAAAGTGGTTGGTGTCAAGTACAAAAATTTGCAAGATAAATCGAAATCAGAGGTTTATGGACCCGTGATTATGTCAACTGGTGGGTATGCTGCGGATTTCACCAAAAACAGTTTATTACGTAAATACCGTCCAGACATCATTGATTTACCATCAACTAATGGAGTACATGCCACTGGGGATGGACAAAAGATCATCATGAAGAACCATGGTGTTGGTATTGATATGGATAAAGTTCAAGTTCATCCAACTGGGTTGATTGATTTTAATGATAAGGATGTGATTGCCGGTAAAACTCAACCTCGTTTCCTATTTCTTGGTGCTGAAGCATTGCGTGGAGAAGGAGGTATTATGTTGAATGGTAAAGGAGATAGATTTGTTGATGAGTTGGGTACGAGAGATTGGGTATCTGGTGAAATGGAAAAACAAAATAAAGCCGGAAATGGTCCCATAAGATTAGTTTTGAGTGAAGAATCGGAAAAGAAGTTGGAGTTTCATATCAAACATTACACACAAAGGAATTTAATGAGAACGGTTACTGGGAAACAATTGTGTCAAGAGATTGGATGTAGTGAAGAACATTTAAAACAACAATTAGACACTTATAATAAAGCCGCTAAAGGTGATATCAAGGACCCTTATGGTAAACAATTTTTCCCAGCTACTCCATTTGAGTATAAACCAGATGCCAAGTATCATGTTTCATTTATCACTAGAGTGTTGCATTTCACAATGGGTGGTGTCAAAATCAATGACAAGTCACAGGTGCTTACTGAGAATGATACCCCATTTGAGGGTTTGTACGCTGCTGGTGAAGTCGCTGGTGGTGTTCATGGACACAATAGATTAGGTGGATCTTCCTTATTGGCGTGTGTTGTTTATGGAAGATTGGCAGCAGATGAAGCATGCAGCTATGAGTTGCAAAAGTTGAGTAAAACTGGAGGAGGTGGTGCAAATGATGATGATGATGGTGGATCGGGAAACAATGCTACACAGAGATTGAACATGATCAATTTACACATTGATCCGAACACGAATAGAATAATCATTGATTTGAACAATCAAAGTGGTTCTAGTGAAAGCAACTCCAGCGGTGGTTCTGTTTCAAGCAAGCAACAACAACAAAAACATCAACATCAACAACAAAAACAATCAGCATCAGCTAAGTCTAAAGAACAACAACAACAACAAGGAAAAGATGCAAAAGCTTTTTCGATCCCCGATAAGGAATTCACGCTTGAAGAAGTTGCCAAACACAACACTAAGAATGACTGTTGGTGTATAATCAAGAATGTTGTTGTTGATTTGACCAAGTTTTTAGATCATCACCCAGGTGGAGCTGCTTCAATTACCAATTTTGGCGGTAGAGATGCCACTGAGAGTTTTGAAATGTTGCATGAAGATAACTTTATTCCCAAGTATGTTCCCAATTGCGTCTTGGGTAGGATTAAAGGAACCAAACCTGATTTAGACTTGTGAGAAGGAGGAGAAGACGCAGAAACAACACTCTATACTACATCTGAAATAAATCAAGATATTTATAAATATATATATTTATTGAAAGCAATGTAGATCAGTTTCGTAGTCTTTTCCTTCTAATCCTCTTCTAAAGACTTGGCATAATCTTCACTACTCAATAATGTCTCACTATCAGTAATTTGTCTTGTATCCTCCAATTTAATATGAGCAATCCATCCCTCCACAGTTGGATCATGATTCAATAATCCTGGTTCACTCTCCAAAATCTCATTAACACCAACAATTTCACCACTAACAGGACTATAAATCTCACTAGCTGATTTAACACTTTCAACTGAACCCAAAGTCTCACCAATTTCAACTCTGGTACCCAATTCAGGTAATTCAACAAATGTTACATCACCCAATGCTTGAGCTGCATATTGCGTGATTCCAATTAATGCTGAATCATCATCGTATAATTTAACGTATTCGTGTTCTTCAGTGAATTTAGTCACAATTGGTTGTTTTTCATGCAAGTACTTGTAAGCATGGGAGTTTTTGTCAGCCTTGTATGTGTGTGGGGTTGTTGTTGTAAAGGCACAACGTAAAACATGTGATGAAGTTGTTGAGACAAAAGATGGTCCAGCAAATGTGCGGAGAGGGATGGAGGATGATCTTAATAACGACTTGAACATTGTTGAAGGTCTCTAGTGACTGAATAATAGCAAATTTGGATAGAATCAGATGTTTCAAATGAGAGGGAAAAAGAAAGATTTTGGGTGTTGTCTATATATATTTTGTTGTTGTGTGTTTGTGAGGGTTTTTTCAATTGGTGGAACAGAATTTTGACTCCTTTTGACTTCTTCTCCTTCCGCTAGCTAGTGCCATATATAAAGTTTCGAAGTACGAGAGTAAAATTGGGACGTAAGTTTCCTTCTTCACCAATACGGAAGACCGTTAAAGCCTGCTAACTTTGAACTTCAAAGCTTCAAAGGTAATATACTATATCCTATAAAATTCTTTACACACATGAAAACAAAAAAAAACAAACGAAACAACCAAAAGAAAAGCCAAACAATCAATTATAAGCAAAAGGAGGTTTTGGGGGGAATGAATCTCTAACTGAAATGAACAGCAATAGGAACAACAATGACAATGATGACGATAATGACTGCAAAGATGAGACACATTCTCATTTTGAAATCTTTCCACCACATATCTTTTCTTACTCGATTGGCACCTCTCCTGAAACCTTGTGCGCTAATGGCTAAATTGTCGGTCTTGTTTTCTATTGAATCTAATCTTTCTCCTCTTTCTGCTACTTTGTTGATGTTGTCTCTCATGATACCAACAGTGTCATCTATTTGCTAAAGGAGGGGTTAGTAACAAAGAACATTTAATAACTGTGAGATTCAAATGAAATACATACAGCTTGTATTGCGGCAGTCCTGGATTGGTCACCAGTCTGTTGGTTTGGAATGTATGGATCATATGGAACTGATGAGGACATGGTTTGTGTTAAGAAGGGGTTGTAGTTTCTTTTTATGTTATGCAAACTGAGAAGTAAATGATGTTGATGGTAATGTGTAATTCGTGTGTACTATGGGGTGATGTGGAAACTAATTTAATATCCTATGAGATGGGATGGGATGGGATGGGGGAGTATTGTGGTGATGATATTGCAAAACCAACAAGAGGGGGTGAATTTTTTGGTGTTGATCTCTCACTCTCTCACTCTTTCACTCTCTCACCAGTTTTTAATTTTTCTGTTGATGTCACATATTTTTTGTTTTCTTTCTTTTTTATTTTTTATTTTTATTTTTATTTTTTTTATTTTGCCTGTTTTGGGATTAAAGAGATTTTAGTTTTACGACACTGCAATTTATTGACAAAGATTCTAGAGAAATAGAAATTAGACATGGAGGTGATTGAGTGTTATGATATGGTACCGGTGCAAATGGAATTGAAAGAGTAATGTACGTAATGACTGCTTGGTGTTAGAGGTGCAATTCCAACGAGTTTGTTGTGTTGGGTTTTTTTTTGTTCTAAAAATAGAGTAATTGAAGACGAGGAGAGCATAGAGATGCCTGTTTATACCTCCAGTTCAGTTCTAGGAGTGTCCCAATCAGTGTTTCCTCTCGATGATCTATAGCTATGCTTTCCTCAGGACTCTTATTCCCTATCGAATGCTCTTTCATCCTTTTTGTGTCCAAGTTACAGAGAAATTGTTTCTAAAAATTTGTCACTGATTTTGATCTCCGCCGCTATTGCCGATTTTGCAACTCTCCAACAATAGTGGAACTCAGGGAGACAAACACATTTGAATCGACATTAAACTCTTCGTGTAAATTATTTAAAGAGAAGCTTTTTTCGCTCTAGACCCAATAATCACCACACTCTACGTACTCAACATTTACCGCCACCCTCTACTTTCGTATTTGTAGACGAGAGACATACCCCCATAAGCCGAGGTTGTTCTTGAAAAAAAAAACTGGCTATGCAACACGTAGATGATGCAATCAACATTTCTCATAACTGAAATTACCTACCTACACTATCAGATGTAAGGTTCAGTCAAAGAGCATATGTGGCCGTTTTCCTAGCACAGCCTGTGTAATAAATCTTTTTTTGTTCATGACTTTTAATGCAAGTCCGATTCCAGATCTCATAGGTAGTGTACTTGGCTCAAAATTAGTTGAGCAAAGAGTCATTCTACAAGAAGGGTGGCGCAAAGATTGCGCAGACGGGTCACTCATGTCTCCAAGCGAGTGTTTCAACGCATTGAGATTAGTAGTGTGACTCCAGTTGTACACTTATCTGTAGTGTGGAACGAAGACCGTCCAACTCTTGACGTAAGCAAACGCTTTTGATAACGCGAATTTTTGTTCTATTGCTAGGTACACAAATGCAAAGAATTTTCATACACAGCTCGCAATGGTGGTACAGCAAGTCAATATACTACCTCTATAGAAAAGAGGATTGTATCTGTGCTCCCTCACGGATTACATTAGTTGCAATCATTGGTTGGAAAAAGGTATGACATCCTATCTTCTCCTATTGATTAGCTCTGATGTTCGTGTACCAATGGACAATTATTATTATTTTGATTTTTTGTTACTCAAAAACAAAACATAAGTCTCTCTCTCTCTCTCTCCTATCGTCGTCGTCGTCGTCTTTTGCCAACGAACCAATTTTTTAATTTTTTTTTTTTTTTCAGTTTCAATTCTCACTCAATTCTCACTTTAAAAATTCATTCTCATTCTACCATCTTTCTTTTTGGTAATCACAACTTGTATTATATCAAGCATTAATAGATCAATCATATATACAAAATGGACGGTGGTATGTATATTTAACTTAATAAAGCACTACAATCAAATCAGTCGATCTGAGATTGATTGATCAGTGGAAATCTAGAAGATTGGGTTTTTGTCGGATCAAGATAGTCTTGTTCATTGTTTTGAGGTTTCAACTAGCAACAGAGAGGGCGAACAAGGTTTGAACGAGTAGTACAGACTATACCAAATCAGTGATTTTAGGGACAGTCACAATGATTGATTCGTTAACTTTGTCTTATAGCAATCAATGTCGAACCTTTGATTATTTGTCACTACAACTATGCAATGGCAATCAATCACCAGATTGCTCAAGCAAGTCAATTGCCAAGTGATTGTCTTTCACACACCCAGCACACATACTATGATATTGATAACAATCTTGTGGCTACCTCGATTTGGGGTCAATTTGTTTTCACTTTGTTATCTCGATCTCATTTGTTCTGATTTGGACGTATTTTCAAAGCTTTTTTTTTTTTTCTTTGTTCGACATTCGACCTCAACAATGTTGCAAGTTGCTGAACCAAAAAAAACAACAGGGCATCTTTTTCCACTAAACAATCATGCAATCAAACAAGAGCTTAATACTAACACCATTTTTATAGAAGAAGTTGCTGCTTTAGTTATCGATAACGGTTCTGGTATGTGTAAAGCCGGTTTTGCTGGTGATGACGCACCAAGAGCTGTCTTCCCATCAATTGTTGGTAGACCAAGACATCAAGGTATCATGGTTGGTATGGGTCAAAAGGATTCATATGTTGGTGACGAAGCCCAATCAAAGAGAGGTATCTTGACCTTGAGATACCCAATTGAACACGGTATCGTTTCCAACTGGGATGATATGGAAAAAATCTGGCATCACACTTTTTACAATGAATTGAGAGTTGCTCCAGAAGAACACCCAGTTTTGTTGACTGAAGCTCCAATGAATCCAAAGTCAAACAGAGAAAAGATGACTCAAATCATGTTTGAAACTTTTAACGTTCCAGCTTTCTACGTTTCTATCCAAGCTGTCTTGTCATTGTACTCTTCTGGTAGAACAACTGGTATTGTTTTGGATTCAGGTGATGGTGTCACTCACGTTGTTCCAATTTATGCCGGTTTCTCATTGCCACACGGTATTTTGAGAATCGATTTGGCTGGTAGAGATTTGACTGACTACTTGATGAAGATTTTGTCCGAACGTGGTTACGGTTTCTCCACTACTGCTGAAAGAGAAATTGTTAGAGACATCAAGGAGAAATTGTGTTATGTTGCTTTGGACTTTGAACAAGAAATGCAAACCTCATCACAATCATCTGCTATTGAAAAATCATACGAATTGCCAGATGGTCAAGTCATCACCATTGGTAACGAAAGATTCAGAGCTCCAGAAGCTTTGTTCCGTCCAGCTGATTTAGGTTTGGAAGCTGCTGGTATTGACCAAACTACTTTCAACTCTATCATGAAGTGTGACTTGGATGTCAGAAAGGAATTGTACGGTAACATTGTCATGTCTGGTGGTACTACCATGTTCCCAGGTATTGCTGAACGTATGCAAAAGGAAATCACTGCTTTGGCTCCATCATCAATGAAGGTTAAGATTATTGCTCCACCAGAAAGAAAATACTCTGTCTGGATTGGTGGTTCCATCTTGGCTTCATTGTCTACTTTCCAACAAATGTGGATCTCAAAACAAGAGTACGACGAATCTGGACCATCAATTGTTCACCACAAATGTTTCTAAGCTACTACTACTGGTTGAATGTAATTATTTCTTCGGTGTTTTTTATCATCGTATAAATCAAATTGTTGTGTTGTTACCTTTTTTTTTGTTATCCTCATTGCCAAAAATAAACTTTATAGCCGCCTAAAAAAGTAGTATTTTGCTTTTGTAATGAAAAGATTGTGAAAGAACTCTGGTACTCTTGCGAAGGTGAATGAAGAGGGAGTAGAATGACAATGAGACTACGGAACGTGTGTTTACCATCTCTTAAAACGTTGATTTCCAGATTATATTTAAAGTATATAAACTTTACTCAGATCGTGGCTCAGCCCGTCTCACATCTCTTTGTTCTTCATCCTGACTTGCGTTACCCGCAATACTAGTTTCCTCTTTCAATTTGTTCATTCCATCATAGAAAGTACGCCACAATCTACCAACATCATCAAATTCTTTGCCAATTTGTATACTTTCGCTCAATGATCGATTCAAAGTTTCCAAGTTGGTGTAAACTTCGGTCAAGTTGTTTGTTATCTCTTGAATTAGTAGATCTCTTTGTTTATTAAAGTAGTCGTTGTTTGTGGACGACATTGGGTGGATGGGGATTTGGTATAGTAGATGTGAGAGTGTTTTTGTTGATGGTTTGTGGATTGATTTCTGTGTCGCGTTCATCTTCAACCCTTTTTTTCATTTCGAAACGGACTTTTTTTTGCTTCCATCGTTCTTTGCAACCAGAAACATAGGGCAAACAATATACCAGCCATGGCTAAGAAAGATAAGAAATCAAAAGAGGCCAAAAAGGCTCGTGCCGCTGAAAAGCAGAAGAAAAACTTGTCCAAAGCCGAAATCAAAAACAAGAAATTGGCAAAGAAGCAAGGCGATGAAGAAGAAGAAGATGAGGATATCGATACGATATTGGCCAATTATGCCAAGGAACAAGAAGAATTTACTGAAGTGAAAATCGAAGTATGTAAGCACCATCCACATAGGAGATTAAATCCTACTATGGTTGCTTCTCCATTACACAATAAACGAGAAATCATTCTATTTGGTGGTGAATCAAGTGATGGGAAAACATCTCATTTCCACAACGATTTGTTTACGTACTCAATCGATAATGATACCTGGAGGAAATACACTTCCAAGAATGCTCCATTACCTCGATCGTCACATGCTATGTGTGCCCATCCATCAGGGATTATTCTAATGTTTGGTGGTGAATTTTCGTCGCCCAAACAATCAACGTTTTATCATTATGGAGATACTTGGATCTTGGATGCCGATACGAAAGAATGGCAAAAAGTCGATACAAAAAGAGCACCATCTGCTCGATCAGGACATCGATTAGCCGTTTGGAAGAATTTTATCATTCTTCATGGTGGATTCCGTGATTTGGGTACCATGACAACATACCTAAATGATGTTTGGGTGTTTGATGTTACTGAATTCAAATGGCAACAAGTTGAGTTTCCACCGAATCATCCAATTCCCGATGCCAGATCGGGCCACTCGTTCATCCCATGTGCTGATGGTGCTGTATTATATGGTGGGTACACTAAAGTCAAAGCTGGTAAAGGTTTGCAAAAGGGTAAAGTTTTAAGTGATTGTTGGATTTTGAAAATGAAGAGTGATCCAAAGGGAATAAGATTTGAACGGAGGAAAAGGCAAGGGGTTTTACCTCTGCCTCGTGTTGGTTGTTCATTAGTTTATCACAAGAATAGAGGTATCTTATTTGGTGGTGTCTATGATTTTGATGAGAGTGAAGAGCAATTGGAGTCAGAATTTTACAATCAATTGTACAGTTATCAAATTGATAGTAACAGGTGGTACAATTTAAGTTTGAGACCACAGAGGAAAAAGAAGGAGACAGTGAAGGAAAAGTCAAGAGATGAGGATCTAGAAGATATTTTGAATTCCATCTTGGCTAAATCCAACTTGAATGATGATGATGAGGACGAAGACAATGTAGCCGCGTTGGACAAGATGAAGGATGCAGAAGAGAAAAAACAAGAAGCAGAGGAGGAGGAGAAGGAGAAAAAGGATGTAGTTGAGTACCCAATCATGAACCAATTACCACATCCACGTTTCAATGCCACCACATGTGTCGTTGATGATGTTTTCTACATATTTGGTGGTGTTTTTGAACGTGGAGAACAAGAGTTTAGTCTTGATTCTTTTTATGCCATTGATTTGGGCAAATTGGATGGAGTTAAGGTGTTTTGGGAAGATTTATCAGAGCTAGAGAAGGCAGCCGAGGAATCGGAAGATGGGGATGAAGAAGAAGATGATTTTGACGATGAAGATGAGGTGATGGATGAAGGTGAGCGCGACAATGAAGAAGAAGAGGAGGCGATGGATGCCGAAGAGAATGAGGATGAAGACGAGTCATCTTCAGAAGAAGAGGAGGAAGAATTCCCAGATCCAAGACCATGGTTACCTCACCCCAAACCATTCGAATCGCTACGCGCATTCTATGTTAGATCTGGAGCTGCATTTTTGGAATGGTCCATCTCCAGTCATCGAGAAGCACGTGGAAAGTATTTGAAAAAGATTGCATTTGAGTTATGTGAAGATAGGTATTGGGAAAGAAGACAATCGGTATCTGTTGCCGAGGATAATTTAGAAGAGATGGGTGGTGTTGGTGAAGTGGTTGAAAAGGATACTTCAAAGACAACAAAGAGAAGGTAACACACACACGCACAAATCTCTGTATATTTCAATAATAGACAATGAATGGTTTCCTAAGCAAAGTGTAGACCAACTTGATGGAAAGCGTACAATAGTTTCAAGAAATCCGTTTGATCCATTTTACCGGCTCTTTGATCTGAGAACCCCGTTTCTGTTAACACTTTAGTGATTTTCTCCTTTATCAAGTTTTTCAAATCAGCTCTATTATCAACAACCATTGCATCTCCATCATTTTCCTGACCAGTTGTCGCCAACCATGTCTTGTAATTCTTTTCCAAAATATCAATTATATTCAGCGATTTGAACCCAGCGGCAATAGTCTTATTTTTTCTCACAAACACGATCCTTAATAATCCATCCCATTCATTGAAATCGATATTGGGTCGAGGATTCTTCACTTCTATCCTAACAACACTCGATTCAACTTGTGGTGGTGGTCGGAAATTGTTTTTACCTACTTTCATAATATGGGTCACATTGGCCCACATTTGAACATTTGCCGATAATCGACAATATAGTTCATCACCAGGTCTTGCAACTAGTCTCATGGCGAATTCTCGCTGAAACATGAGGATCGATACCCGAGGTGGGCGAGGTTGATTGAGTAATTTAAACACTAATGGTGATGAAATTTGATATGGCGTGTTTGATATACACACATCAAAATAAGGCAAATCGGTTTTGATAAAATCACCCAATAATATCTCCAATTTCTTTTCCTGTGGTGTCCCATGCACTCTTTTGGTTAATTCAGCACCCATTCTTGGATCCATTTCCACGGCAATTACTTTACGTGCTTGTTCAAGAATTCGTACTGTCAAGTTACCGGTACCGGGACCGACTTCCAATACAATGTCACTAGGTTTGATTTGGGCCTTGTCAACAATTCCTTGAGCTATTTGGGGATTTTTGAGAATATGTTGACCTAAATTGGTGTTGAATTTAAAGACACTATTGAGATGCTTGTCAGCGGCAACTGTATTTCCAGTTGGGTTTGGTTTTGTTGTAAACTTCTTATTTGGTGCTTTGCCCATTGTTGTGATTACTAGGTCGTTGAGCTTTCAAAAGTTTGATCTCATCTCATGGAAATGAAGAATCTTTGGTGAGAAGAAGAAGAGATGGATAACTTCTTTTTGTGTAGTGTCGTGCTTATGTGTCACAAAACATGATGTTGCGACATCACCTGTTTTGTTTTTGTTTTACATTTCGGAATTTATTTTGATATTCCCCTTGTTACCATTACAAATTTGACAATCATCGGGTTACAAACATTGACCCTGTTCTAGGAGACTATAAAGCATTATAGAGGGCATAGACATTTTTATCACGGAAACATTTGCATTTGTCCAATTTCTTGAGATCACATTTATAACAAATACATTCCCACATCAAACTTTCTTTTCACTCCTATACTCCGTTTTAACAATGCTAATATGGTTCCACACGTAGCTAGGAGTCCTCAACTCAGTCTATCACATTTACTATCATCAACACCAACTTTTTCGTTTCTTGAAGAGCTAGTCAACATTTCACAACCCAAAAGCTCAAACTCCAGTTCACTACTGCACCGCGACTTGTTCAAGATTAGTAAAGTATTGGATGATATTGATCTATACCTCAATGATTTGATCATCGCGTTTAACAATATTAAAGAAGTATCAAGACATGCGAGTAACATTTTAGATTGGTTTTATGAAGGTAAACATGCATTACAAAGTTTATTTCGAGATATGGATAGCATTGATTCGATTATTTCGCGGCTTTTATTGAGGATTGAGTCGGCTGATTCGTCAACGAACATTAGTCAGGGACTTATTAGAAAGTTCGAAGAAGTTAGTGATGTTTTATTGGATGTTAAGAAATCCCTGATTGTCTTAAAAAAGAATTTGGATGTCTCGACAAATTATCATGAGTTAATGGAGTCAGTCATTAAATCATTAACCGCTGAGATAGATGAATGTACCAAACTGGTGATCAAGATGAAAGAGCACAAGTTGTCAAGCCCGAAAAGGGTATTACCACAATTCAACTTGAATGAAATTGTTTCCAAAATGAAGATTAATGAATTCACCAGCACGGCAATTTCAGTAAAGTCGGTTCGACTTCCAACTTTCAATGATTTAGATCAGGATCTTTATGATGAATTTTTGGATGTGGAAAAGAAGATTCTTCCACTACGTATATCACTTGATATTGTTCCATCGAAGATTGAGGAGTTCAATACAATCTGTCTGCTGAGCTCTTTCAAAGTCCCTCGTGAGCATGTGCTTTCGAGTTACGAGTTGATGTTGGATAAGTGGAGATATTTGGAAAAACAATTCAAGCTTTTGAAGCGGGAAAATATTGATTGCAAGTGGAATGAAATTTTCTTGTACTTGATTAAGCAAATTGAAAAAGAATGTAATGAATTGATTGACGTTTTGGCATTTTCTGATACTACTAGTACAGATGGAAACTCGACGATTAGTGAGGATATTGGCTCCAGATATAAAGTGTGTTCAAACTCGATGAATATAATCGAGAGTGCAATTACTGAAGGAATCACCACGGATAGGGAAATCCCGCAAACTTTTAATAAAAAGTTGCACCCAAAATGGATGGAAGTAAATGACTTGATTTTACGAGCTAAAGCTGATCTGGATGCCCGTGAGATAAAGTTTGAACGAAAGAAGGAATCTGCACCTAAAAGTACAGGGTTGCGCCAATTTCGTACAGTATCGAAGGAGTCATACAATGATGCGTTTGATCGTCCGATGAGTAACGGTATGGGAATTGATTTCAATGTTGATGTTGAATCCGTTACGATGCCCTTGAGCGTCACAAAAAAGGATCGCGTCAAGGACTTCTTGACTGAGGAGAAACCGAAGGGAAAGGATTTAAAGGGTAGTCTCATCCAAGTTTTTGAAGGGTTGAACTTACACGATCGAGAGGATGAAGAGGAAACGTTGGTAAAGACTCCGGTGCTCAATGGCCCTGTAAAATTGAAAACGCAACAGAGACAAAAGGTTGTTTCATTTGATTTTGATAGTTATACAAACAACATTTTAAACTCAAGTGCACGTCCGGCATCAAAATTACCACGCATTGTTTCAAACTATATTGAATTGGGGTATCCTAAAATAACTAAAAGGGGAGGTTTTACCAAGATTCCCGAAATTGACGTTACTCATCCTGTTTTTCAATCACCTTACAAAGGAATTAGCCAACATAGTAACCGCACGATTACCAATGGTTTTGATATTTCACCTCCTTCGATTAAAGACCACAGTGACCCATTTTATATAAGCCGATCGCGAGCAAGTTCAACCGCTACTGTGATTGGCAGACCAAATTCTTTACTAAATGAAGCGACGATTCCAAATTTGACTTATTCTCGAAGGCTAAGTTACAATTGCACATCGCCTGAGCGACCATCATCTTCCTTGGGATCACGATTTGACGATGAAAACTTGCTCAAGTCTCTCCACGAAAGCCGACCGATATGGAAATAAATTTTAGCTAACGCAAAATCACCTCTTTTTGTCATCATTATCAACTTTCATAGTTTTGCTTGTAAATCCATCTAAAAAGAAATCTTTGCCAAATAGTTTGTACATTACTGATTCCTTCTCCACCTTGTACTTTTCAACCTCATCAAAATCTCTGTTGACTCCATTTGGTAGTTTTTCACCTTGCTGAATCTTTTTAGTTGACTGCCCTTCAAGTCTTTGGTACATTTCAAAACTAGTGATGAATATAATTGGGACTGACAAAAGAACAAGAAATATACCTTTGTACCGTTGTTTCAATTGTGGTGGGGCTTTTTCCCAGTTAGGTCTTCCTGTGAGCACAAGCTCTTGAACAAATGGGGATTCCTTTGGCTTTGAGTTTTTAAGATGCAGCTGTGGTGACTGAATCCTAACAGTTGACCCACCTTGTTTGTGAAAAGATGGGGGTTTAGTAGATTTAAATCTTTTGAACATATAGTGTAGTTTGGTGCTCGGCTAGTATCATCAATCGTTGGATTTTCTAAATTTAGAATCTTTCAAATTTTCTTTGAATTGATTCAGATCTTTGAATCACGACGTTGAATCTTTCTCCCCAACACAATTGCAATGTCACTTGAGAAGCTAGTTGGTGAACACATCATCGAGCACCATAAACCTGAAGGGATCACATTTACATATGGGACCGCTGGATTTCGTATGAACGCCAAGTATTTAGACTATGTCAATTACACCGTGGGTATTCTTGCTTCATTAAGATCGAAAAGTCTTGGAGGTAAAACTGTTGGCGTTATGATTACAGCTTCTCATAACCCACCACAAGATAATGGTGTTAAAGTGGTGGACCCAATGGGTAGCATGTTGGAAAGCAAATGGGAAACATATGCGTGCCGATTGGCCAATTCAGCAGCACAAGACTTGACAAACGCTATTAGAGATTTGGCCAAAGAGTTAGGAATTGACTTGGACAGCGAAAGTAGTGTTGTTATTGCCAGAGACTCAAGAGAAAGCAGTCCAGCGCTAAATAGAGCCACTATTGATGGATTCAAAAGTGTCCCAAACACGAAGTATGAAGACTTTGGATTATTGACGACACCTGAACTACACTACATTACTAGAACATTCAATGAGCCTAGTTTTGGTGAAAGGAATGAAGAAGGGTATTATAAAAAGTTGGCAAGTTCATTCAGACAAATATATAGGTTATCAAAGGATAGTGACGAGATTGATATCACGATTGACGCGGCAAATGGTGTGGGTGCACCCAAAATAGACACCTTATTGAAAAAGTATCTTTCCGATGAAGTTAGTTTTACAATTGTCAATGGAGATTACGAAAAGCCGGATTTGTTAAACTACGAATGTGGTGCTGATTTTGTCAAAACTAATCAGAAATTACCTAAAAATGTGCAACCAGTGTCAAACAAGTTATACGCCTCTTTTGATGGTGATGCTGATAGATTAATCTGTTACTACAAAGACTCAAACGATGCATTTGTTCTTCTTGATGGTGATAAGATTTCCACTTTGATTGCCTTATTTTTACAACAAATTTTTAAGGATTTTGATGCAAGTAGATTAAAGCTTGATATCGGTGTTGTACAAACTGCTTATGCCAATGGATCTTCAACAAAATACGTTGAGGATGTTTTGAGATTGCCAGTTCGTTGCACACCAACTGGGGTCAAACATTTGCACCACGAAGCTGAAAAATTCGATATCGGCGTTTACTTTGAAGCAAATGGTCATGGTACTGTTGTTTTCAAAAGAGAAGCTGAACAAAAGATTCTTGATTACAAGTCCAGCTCACCAAAGGAAGAAGTGGCACTCAAAGTTCTTCAAAATTTTAGTCAATTGATTAATCAAACTGTTGGAGACGCCATTTCCGATCTATTGGTAGTGTTGATAATCTTGCATTATCTCAATTTAACTCCCGAGAGATGGAATAAAGCGTACACTGATTTGCCCAACAAGTTAATTAAGGTGGTTGTTCCAGATAGAACAATTTTCAAAACCACAAATGCTGAAAGGACATTGGTTGAGCCAGAAGGGTTACAAAACAAAATTGATGACTTGGTTGCAAAGTACCCACAAGGAAGATCATTTGTCAGAGCTTCTGGTACTGAAGATGCTGTTCGTGTGTATGCAGAAGCAAAAACAAAAGAGGACGTGGAGTCATTGTCCAAGGCAGTTGCTGATTTATTAAAATGAAGCAAGAGACTTTAGAGTAGATGGGAAAGTAGATGCAAAAACATGTATTACCAAGTTATTCACCTCGGTAGTAGGCCTTTTTATAATCTCCAGGGGTCAACATTTTTGAGCCTAATGCCCAAACACCGCGTCTAAGACGCCTGGCTCGTTTCTCTAGTCGCTTATACCAGTCTTCGTTATCCCCAAACTCTGCACCAACTTTCCCTTCGTAAACTATTGCCATACCATGCTTCAACATCTCAGCAGAGACGTCTTTTTTACCCGTCCATTTCCATACCTGACACCTACCAACGATTCTCTTGTATTGATCCACCAGATACGGCGTAACGGTCACATACCTTCCCAAAATATAAGATCGCAACCAGTGTAACGCATCTTCACTATATGGCTGTGCTGGTTTGCCAAAATGCGCTCGTTCTGGGGCATCAACACCACACAATCGAATCATCAATGTTTCATTCTTTAAGATCTTGTTGTTCTTGGGCACCGATTTGAGCCATCCCCAACCGCCAAAAATTCCTGCTGGGGTATGGAAAAAACGAAAATTGTCACCGTCACCTACTCGTGTAACATAACCGTATAACTTGTAGTTGTACTCGAGTCTTTCTGGAGTGAGGTCCAAAATTGAACGTACAGGTTTGAGAAATCGCCTGTAAAATCTGTAAGAAAAATATGCAGTGGCCGTTATGCCTAATGAAAGTGCGATAACTTTCGGATGGAATATACCAATATCTTGGTTTGGAGGTGACGGTATAGGAACCATGGACTATATAGGGTTTGCTATAGATTGTCACGGCTTCTAATTTTTCAGTTTTGTTTACACTATTGCGTGGAACAAAATACGCATTTTGGGTCTCTTTCCGGCAACCTAGTGAGAATGGACTACGCAATCTCCAATCTATCTCAAAGAGTGGCCCACCTTGAATACCTTCTTAGCAATGCAAAGGTGGAGGCATTAGTATCACAATTGGCCAACTTGAAATCCCAGTTTCAGCATTTACTAAAGAATCATCCTGAACTCAAAACATTGATTTCACTTGCAAATAAATACCACATTGATCGACAGACAGATGGAGAAAATACGTTATCTGATCTGATAAAAGAGGAGGATCTTCTCATACATTATGACGACATCATGGATAATCACCGTGATATGGTGGAAATCGTCAACATGGAGCCCAATTCAATCATCAATGATATCAACTCACGTATAAATGAGACGCGTGTTGCTAAGCTATCACAGATGAACGCTCAGCATAATCAACAGATCAGGGAAATTTATAAATATTACATAATGTTGGTCCTCAAGAGCATGATTGTGTGTGAAAAGTACGTACAATATGTTGTGGAGATGAATGACTTTTGGCTACGAATTGACCAACGGTTCACCAAAATATCGCAACAAATGGATAAAATGGAGAGGGAAAAACAAGCACTACATAGATATTGATCCATTTCGATTTGTTCTGAAACACTGTATACTGAGAATGTACTCTAAACAGATATGGTTTTCCAAATGTTTAGTCCTTCACCTCCGGTTGAAACCAAGCAACCAGGAATTTGTTGGTGCCACCTAACATCTTTTACATCCTTTTGCCAATGTACAAACAACAACTGAGGTGGTATATCGTGCAACTCTTTGAGCTCTCTTCTCTGTTGTGAGATTTCTTCATCATCTGCTTCCACTGCCAAGTCCCACAAAGTAACAGTGTTGTCCTCGGAACTAACAGCAATGATTGACTCATCCAAGGGGTTGAAAGAAATCGAAGTGATGGGGGATTTATGGAAATCGTAGTTTGCCACTGGTGAAGGGTTTGGTTGCGTGAAATTCCTCAAATCCCAAACGCTCCAAGTACCATCATCGTGCCCGGACGCTAGCAAGTGGTTAATCTTGGAACACCATGAAATGACATTGATGTCGGAATCTGAAGCTTTTACAGATAATGCAGGCTTGTGCTTTTTAGATCTAGTATCCCAAATTCTCACATACCCATCGCATCCCGCAGTTGAGAAAACAGTGTTCTCACCAGTTGACCATTGTATATCTTCTATCGATGATTGGGAAGAAAAGAATGGAGTTTTGTCTGTGACCCAACTTGATGACGTTCTTGTTGTCAAATGTACTCTTCCACTGACATCCCCCGTTAATAAAGCTCCAGTACTAATCAATGGAGACCAGTCCAATCCATATCCTTCTACATTTCCATGAGCACGGATAGTGTGGATTGGTCTCTTGGACGATTTAGGAATGACAAATCCAGGGGTGTCAAATGCCTTGAATTGAGATGCCAAATCAAAAATGTACACGTCACCATTTTCCGACATTGTTGCCGTGAGATATTCCCCTGTTTGTTGTGAGTGTGGGTTGACTCTGATTCTATTGGTTGTGTGTTTCAAAGGGGTTGTATCGGTGTCTAAAATAGGGTCAGAGTCCATATCGTCATCTTCATCGTCATCTTCGTCATCTTCGTTGTCGTCTTTCACCAACGTTTTTACCAAGCTTGACGCTTTCATGGCTATTAGTTCATTATCCTTAGCTTTAGCTGCTTGAGTGGCTGTTGCCAAGTATACAGTGGCTGGGTATGTACGTCTTTCGTTCCCCAAATTGTCTGGCAATATGTCCACGGTTAAACATGGCCATGGCAAGTTGACATTATGCAACATCTCATAAACAGTAGGGTCTGCTTCCAAGACTTCATCAGGACCCAAAGGTTTTGACTTGTGAGGTAAATAAATCTCTGATTCTGGCTCTTGTTGCTGTTCTTGCTCTTTTTTTTCAAGCTCTTCAATTTTCTTATTTGCAGTTTCTTCATCCATTTCTTCATCTTCTTGTTCATCTAGTTCGATGATTTCCTCGTCGCTCTCAAAATCGTCTCCGTATGGGTCTTCAAATTCTCCAACGTCCATATCATCGACTGATGCATCATTTTGCACGGAGACAGGAAGCGCATTTTCGGATGCTTTGAGTGAACTTGCGTTGTTTGAACCATTGAGGTTCTCATCAGCCGCTCTTTTTGACATAATGTGCTTAATTGGTGATCGTGAGAAGAGGTGGGATGTAACTTTGAAAAAAAAAAAAAATCATCAACCGTTCTCTGTGATGAGGAAAACAGAGAAGTTAGTTACACAAAAAATAGAAAATGAAAATAGACAAGAACTATAACAAATAGCCTTGTACCCATTGACTCCATGAGCAATAACAAGTACGCATTTTTAGACCAAGAACCCCCACCTGGGTATATTGCAGGTGTGGGTAGAGGAGCTGTTGGATTCAGTACTATCAAAGTCGCTTCTAACAAGAATACGCAAGATGACATCGACGACAATGATTATGATAATACAAACCAAGAGTATAACGAGACTGGATTGTTGGTGTCCACCCAATCGAAAAAAGACGAGGAGGATGAAGAAGCTGATCAAATTTTTAAAGAGATAGAAAACAGATTAAAGTCTCGTAGAAAGCAGCACAAGGTTGTTAAAGTTCCAACCGATGTTGAGCTAGACAAAAAATCACAATTTTCAGACCTTAAACGGGATTTGACCTCATTAACAGAGGAAGAATGGCTACTGCTACCCGAAGCTGGAGATATGACAAGAAAAAATAAGAGACTGCGTATACTAGAGCAACAGCTGCAGAGATTTTATACTGCTCCGGATCTGATCCTAGCGAAAGGAGCCAGGATGTGGCTGAATGACTCTATGACTAAAACCGAAAAGGAAAATTATCTAACTGCTCAATTGGACAGACTCTCCACAGGAAAGAGTGTGAATGGTACCACAGTAATAGACGAATCTATTTTGAGTTCAACTGGTGCTGAGATGGACGCAAAATTTGCTGATCTAAAGAAAGGTCGTTTAGTTCTTTCATCGCTACGGAAAACAGAACCGTACAAGCCAAGCTCTTGGATACAATCTGCAAGATTAGAGGAGCAAGGGAAGAACTTCAATAAGGCAAGAGAATTGATTTCGCAGGGGTGTAAGGTTATCCCTGGCGCTGAAGAGGTTTGGTTAGAAAGTGCCAGACTCAATATGAATGATACCGAATACGCCAAAGCTATTGTGAAAGAAGGATTAAAGTACTGCAAAGACTCGGTCGACTTGTGGATGAAAGCAATTGAAATGGAAGTGGAGAATAAATTTAAAAAGAGAATGATTATGAAAGCATTGGAGAATTTTCCTCGGGATGATAGATTTTGGAAGCTACTAATTGCCCTAGAAGATGATGAAGATGTTGTTCGAAAGTTGTTAGCAAAAGCCGTTGATCTTTGTCCCAAAACGTGGGAATTTTGGATAGCTTTGGTGAATATATCGTCATATGAAGACGCCAAAAAGTACTTGAATAAAGCACGAAAGAATCTACATGGTGATGTAAAAGTATGGATTGCCGCTTGCAAATTGGAGGAGCGAGAAAACCCTGATATTCCTAAAGAAAAAATTCGTAAGTTGACTGATCGAGCAGTGATTGAAAACCCGAAAGTATCAAAGTCAGAGTGGTTTGACATTGCCACGAAAGCAACAGAGGAAGGTTTTCCCAAAACAAGTAAGGAGATTGTATCGAGCTTTTTGAAATCTCTGGACCCAAGTCTAGAGGAATTGCTTATCGAAGCAGAAGATCAAGGCAAGGGTGGTCATGAAGTCAATATGCGTTGCATAATAGCCTATTTAGTTGGGTTGGACATCGGTGATGACACCATTTGGCACAGCCTTATGCTCATGGTTAGAAAGTATATGGATTCTGAATCATTGCTACGATATTACTCAATGGCCGTTGCAAAAAGTCCCGACTCGATACCATTATACTTGATGTATGCCAAAGATGCATGGAAAGTTGCTGACAATGTCGAAAAGGCTCGCGAAATTTTACATCATGCCAATAGTAAATTTGACGATGATTCAATCAAACTTGCAATGATTAAACTCGAATTCAACTCTGGAAGTATTGACAAAGCCGGATCTATTGCGGAAAGTATCATCGAGAATGAACCAACCAGGAATGTTAAATTTTGGTACAAATATATTCACATTTTACGATGCAAGAGGGAATCTTCGGAGAGGGCTTTATCAATGTCAAACCAAGCGTTGAATTTTTTCCCTGTTAATTGGAAGCTTCATTTGCAACACATTCAGATACTCATGGAAGATGTGAAGGATCTCAAGTCAGCGAGGGATGCTGCCGCAATATCGGTCAAAAAATGCCCTCAATGTACAAACTTGTGGATCATTTATTCTTTGATTGAGGAACAATCGGGTGTTCTCATTAAAGCAAGGTCTGTTTTAGATACAGCTTCGTTAGCGATCTCTAATTCAGTTGATATCGCAGTGGCACGTGTTGAGCTTGAAAAACGTCAAAAGAATATGAAGGCAACAATCAATTTGGTTAGCAAGAACTTGAAGCAATTCCCTTCCAATGCGAATGTTTGGTATCAACACCTTTCCCTTATACCCAAAATGTCGCTTCGTAAACCTGAATTTGTTAATGCGTTAGAAAAGACAAACAATTCCCCGCAAATTTTGCTATACTTGGGGGTCTTATTTTGGAAAGATGGGAAATTTGTTAAAGCAAAGTCCTGGTTTGAAAGAAGTTTGAGTGCGGATTCTACAAACGGAGACGCGTGGTCTTGGCTATACACATATTGGAAACAAAATGGCAATGATGAGAGCATGTCCGTATTTTTAAGAGACTTCAGCGCCAAATACGATAATATTACTACAGGATCTACATTCAAAAAGGTGCAAAAGGATCCAAAAAATTATCGATTGTCACAAGAAGAGATTTTGGAATTGGTATCCACAAAATTATTAAAGCTCTGAGCACAGTCTATGATGAATTTGCAATCTCATATAGCTTAAGATTCAATGCACTCAACATACAAGGAAACTGGTTTTTTGAAACCCATTCATTAGCCAATTCTTCACAAAGGGATTTGAATTCATAATCACCAAAAGCTTTCAATGATTTGTTTTCAATGTCAAGTATGAGATACGAATTTTTATCTTTGGGAATGAGCTTTGACGACAATTTCAATCGAGATGAAAGCTCATCTGGCCGAATGGTACTAGGCAAAAATTCGATTGAGTATCCAAAATATCTAGATATTGTGATTAGGATGTCTCTTGATTTCTGTGTATAAACATCTCGCAACCGGCTGATTCTTTTAGTCAATGTATCCACTTGCGACTGTAATGCCGCTTTATCATCTTCTTGTCTTGCAAATAAAGCCTTTGGTATTAAATCAGTGTCAGGCCGATGATTTACGTATTTATCAATTAAAGCTTCATTTTCTTTTCGTAATGCATCAAGTGTTGCACGCTTCACAAATTGATCCTTCGAAAGTAAATTACTCCTCAACTCTAGAATTTTGACGGTCTCTTGCTTCTGTGAAATAGTCTCCAATGATTCTAATTTCAGTCTCAACTCCGAATTTAGAAGCTCCAAATTCTTGATGGTTGACAACAACTGCATATTCTCCTTCTCCAACTGTGTGGCTGTGTGACGAAATGTTTTATCTTCGGACCGCTGTCTCTTTTCACCAATTTGTGGGTTTGCAACTGTCACTTTTTTGTTCTGTTCATCCAATTTTCGTTTATATTGATCAACCAAGTTTTCCAAATTTGTAATGTATTGTTGCATCGTCTTGTTTTCATGCTCTGAATCATCTCTGGAATTCAAAATCTCTTCCAAATCCTTTAACAGTTTTCTCAAGTGTTCAATTTCAGCAGCGAACAATAATTTCTCCCGTTCCAACTCGGCTATTCTTTTTGACAAAATTTCATTTCTTGCTTGACCCTTTTCAATCAATGGTAAATACTCTTCCTCGATCGACCTCGAAACATCCTCTAGCTCCTGTTTCAACTCAGTCGTTTCAATGGTCTTGGCATCGTACTTTTCTTTTAACGCTAGATTTTGTGCTTGTAGCTCCCTAAATTTATCTATGAAATTTTGGACTTTTAGCGATTTGGTTACATCTAAATCCTCAGGGTCGTAATTTCCATCATTGTCATCATCAACAATAGTCCTCTCTAAGGCAGAGAAGTATTCATTGTATTTGGCTTCGATTTCAAGCTTCTCTACTTCCAACTTTTGATACTTACACTTGAGTTCCTCTAGCTGATCTTGACTTCTTGTCAAGCTCATTATTTTTTGTTTCAATAATTCAATAGACGTCTGCTTTTGTAGAAGTTGATCAATCTTTAATTGCAATTGGTTATTGGTTTTTTGTAAACTGGTATTCTTACTCATTAGTATTTGATTGTTCTTGTATAACGATTCATCATTCTTGAATAGCTTGGTGTATTGTTCTAATTTATCAACTACTTCCTGATTTGAAGCTTCCAAAGTTTGTATTGATTGATCTCGTATCTGCAACTCGTTACTTAACTCGTCATTAACCTTGATTTGTGTGTTCCAATCGGCAGTCACTTGTTTGTGTTTTCTAATTAACCTGTCGTTTTTATCAATTAAACTACGATAGTCTGACTCCAACTTGTTATTCCGCGATTTCAATTCCTTGTACTTCTGATTCAACTCATTCAACTGTGCTTTGGAGACATCGTTTGAATTATCAAACTTGGACCCCAACTGCTCATTCTCCTTATACATGAAATCCATGTTAAGCTTCAACTCTTCAATTTCCTCATTCTTCAACTTGATACTATCCTCATATCTCGACACAATCGTCTGCTTCTCTTTTGCCCATAGCTCTTTTTCAGTTTTGAAAGATTCAATTTGAAATTCAAGTTTGGAGATGTATATCTTGGAATCTAGATTGGATGTGTCAGCAGCGTGGCCCTTTAATATACTGTTCAGAATCGATGGTGACTCAATGAATGGCGAGGAGGTTGGATTGGTCATTGGGTAAGTAATTTATCAAAAGGGTGGGTGTATTCCTGGGTTATAAACATCTTTTTTCAAAGTGTTCCAAAGATGTCGTAAAAACAGTTACGACAAGCTCTTATAAATCACGACATTAACATAAGATTTGTCACACACTATTTTTTCGAAATCAGTTTTAACCACAATTGAAATCAGACACATCCCTATTACACTGTTAAATTACACCAAACATAGAATATAGTTAGAGCATGTCCAAAATGTAAGTATAATCAATCAACAAACGCAAAGGAAGTCAATACTAACTGAATTTTTCCAGTCCAAGAAACTTTAAATTATTGGAGGAATTAGAGAAAGGTGAGAAAGGTTTAGGTGCAGAGTCCATTTCGTATGGATTGACGAACCAAGATGATATAACAATGACGTATTGGAACGGCACTATCATTGGCCCGCCACACTCTAATCACGAAAACAGGATATACTCCTTAAACATTATATGTGATGAGAATTACCCTGATAAGCCACCAAAAGTTCAATTCATTAGCAAAATCAACTTACCATGCGTAGATTCAAACGGGAATGTCCTTGTGTCTGAGTTTGACACTTTGAAGAATTGGAAGAGATCGTACACCATGGAGACTGTGTTGTTAGAGTTGAGAAAAAGCATGGCATCACCAAATAACAAGAAATTACCACAACCAAGCGAAGGCTCCACTTATTGAGTATGTGATGGGATCCAAAACAGACGACTACTCATAGATTCTAACCTTTTTTTGAATCAGCGTCAACTAGAACAGCACATATAATGTGAAATTATATATTGTATATTTGAATATATCGCTTGATGAGACAAGAATGCGCTTTCACATGCACCGGGGCCTATGTAGGTACATCACTTTTTCGTCCAAACCACTCTGTTATCAATCACTCTGTTCTGCTTCCTTCTCCATCAAATCTCTGAACTCCCGTTCCGCAGCTAAAAAGTCTTGAACATAATTGTAATATTTTGACTTCTCATCCAACAAATCCTGATTCGTCGACTCTTTGGTAACTTCAATATTGATCCACTTTTCAGATCTATGTTTTTTCCCATCTTTTTGTTCAACAGTTGGTATCAAACATCGTTGGAATAGTCTTTTGAAAGGTAGACATATGATTTGAGGCAGAGTTGCATCTGTACCAGCTTTGAAGGTACACTCATGTTGCGTTAGCGATTTGAGATGGCACTTGTACTTTGCTAGATTTTCAAGCTGCTCCTTATATTGTTGCCGTATGTCTCCAGCAGAATAGACCGGAACAGGGGGTGCCATGTATTTGCTACTATTGATGGAGTGAAGGTGAATCTTAGAGACAGTTGACTATTTCGCAAAGTGTGCTACCACCCACATCAAAATTCACAAAAGAGAAAGAAGAAGTCTACTAATACCATGTACGAGCCCACTCAGCCATTACCATTGTACTTTCTAATAAATAAACCTTATGCAACCCTTTAGCATCTCACATCAATGCCTGATCTTTTCTCGCCCTCTCTCAATTCAAACATCACTTGAGATCCAACAAACAATGTAAACGAAGAAACGATGAAAAACGTTACACCCAGTACAGACTTAAACATCTCACAAATCAACTGTATGGTTCCATCCTTGCCAAGACAGAATCCAACGAGGTTTGCAATCATCATCATCCATATATTGACCACTGCGCCCAACCCACATAAATATCGATACCACCACTGCTGATCGTATTTTTTAAACACCATACTGGCAACAAGCTCCGGAATCAAAAACAAAACAATCAACCAGCCCCACATAAGCAACCTCAATTCAATATCATGCCAAATTGCAACAAAGCTAAACACCAATAAGCTATTTAAAAGACGATAGCTTCCACCCCCACCCATGGGGACGTATATGTATCTAATAACCCATCTGTTGAACGACCTATGCCATGCTCTCCAAAATGCAAGCGCTGAAAAGTTGTTATCCATACACCGAATCATGTTCTCCGGAGGATCAATGCCATCCAACAAACTCCAAAGTCGAAATAATCTCCATGGTATTAGAAGTTTCAACCAGATTATGTTTAGATTGAAAAGACCCAACATTGAGATTTGGAAAGGAGTATCACCATCCCAAGCTTTTGTTTTTGATACAGCAACCACGTACATAAAATGCAAAACGAATTCCATCACTAGCAAACAAAAGACGAATCGAAGAAAGTATATAAATATACGTTTCTTGTCTCTCACTGATGCAGCTTGTTGGTAATTTGATTGATACATATAGTCGTTAAATGTCAAAATAGGCCCAGCTATAAATAATGGTGTGTACAACACATATGCAAGATAATTGAAAACTTTATAGTCTTCTATTGGCAATGGAGCTGTGAGTCTTTCACGGTCATTGAGATCAATCAATGAACCACCCTTCGCATCAGGCTTCCTCAAAGCATGTTCTCTTTCAATGTAATCAAGATTGTAAGATATCATTCGAAGCAAGCTGAAATTGTAGAAGACATCCCAACGCTCTATAATCCCTTTGAAGCTCAGATCCAACAACGGGATTCCATACTTGTGCATTCCATACCAATCATTTAGGAACAATGTAGACACTCCATATATCCATGTTGCCCAAATAGCTACTTTTTTGTCTGTAATGTATCTTCCAATGATATAATTAAGCCCCAAGTGAAAGCAAATTTTGATTACATTTACCCCATGAGCTCCCATCAAAAACACAATTCCAAACACCAAGTCAAAATAAGTTCTCTTCCGTATTGACAATAGTGGAGTCAAAACTTTTCTTAGTGTAACATGTATCACCCCCAACAAGCCTAGAAGTAGTAAATTGTCTCGAAAAAAACGATATTGTTGGTCTGAATTGTCCACTTTTCTACCTAGTATCCATCCTTTACTCAACAACCGTTCGAATCGGGGATAATTTGGATTGGTTTCATTTGAGGCATCCATTGCTGCCTTGAACATCAATGGCACAGCTATGATGAATATAATGTAGTAAAACTTGAATTCAAGGCTACCCCATCTTGAAGGCTTTGCTCCTTTCTTAATAGTCTGTTGATGTTTGTCTTTACTCCTTGTAGGGTCAAGTCTGGAATCTAGAGCACTCAAAGAGAAAAACTCTTTCAAGGTGTTTGCAATGGACATGTATAATTGGTTCTTGTGGATGATTAGGTTATTGTATCCAACGAGAACAAATCTTTTGGTAATCTTTTTTTCAGGGAGAGAAAGGTACATTGAAACCTCATCTATAGAGGTAGCCGTCTCAAAAGTATGTCAAATCACCACGAAGATCATGAAGAGCCATCAAGAAGGCCGAATCCAAAAGGTTGGGTACCTCCAAAAGCGCCTTACAACCCCTATGATCCCATGGATATTCGTCCGCCCGAAGGGTATCCTTCAGAATTTCAAATACCTGGTCAACAACCACAGGGATTCTCATCGATTCCTAAACAGCCAACTCAATATCAAAAAGTGAATGAAACAATGGAGAGACTAAACTATACTGCAAGACCAATGTCTGATTTATACCCAAATCAGTACAAAGTTTTACGTCGTGTTGACACTAACAAGAAGCTACATTTGGGCTCAAGATGGTTTGGGACATTGATTGGAGGATCGGTTATTTTCTATTTCACTTTTTTCTACAGATGGAATGAAGGGAGAGATAATGTATTTAGCGATTTTTACCGCAGTCAGTTGTGGTTGAAAGAGAGGATTTTGGGTGGATTAAGTGAACAAGAATACGATGACTTGCATTATCCAAAACTAGGATATACTGTATTGCATAGTGTTAAGGATGCTCAGTACATACCTGACGATTTGAGAAAGACACAGGAAGGTGAGTTTGTTCTCAACAGACCTAGTGAGAGACATCTTCTTGAAGCTGAAAGGATACAACAGGAGAAGGAAGAGCAAATGTTGCGAGAGTTGGATATGCATCGCCAATATGCAAAAGAGTTGACTAAAGAGTCAAAGAAGTCGAAAAAATGGTTTGGTATCTTCTAATGTATAGAGCATCTGTGTAAATGTAATGAAAATACACTGAAAAGCAAAGATTGTTTCCGATATCAATCGCCAATCATGCTTCAATCTGTCGTGTATGATGATTACTTGTCTTAGTAGATTTCCATAATTTTTGGTAGCTCCACTGTCAAAATATTGTTTGGACGTGTCTAGTGATTGTTTTGCAGTTTTTGGTTTCTGTTTTTAGTTTGCAGTTTTGTCGTTTAGCAATTTCATCGTACCGCAGCAAATGGGCATTTTAGAGCCAACAACATAACATTAGAAATAAGCCAGAAACTGAGTTGCATCCCATTGGTATTGGCTGATAAACGGTACCATCAAGCATCACCACCGTTTTCGCAAAATTCCGTTTACGATTTATATACTATCACCACACTCGTTTACTTTTTTTTCTGGCAGCACCATTCCTTTGGCAAGAGTTTGACACGATGCCAGTACACAAAGAAATATCCACCTTCTCAACCGTATATCATGTTGTTTTATTGATTTTGAAAGTAGCGGTACTATATATTCAAATGCTACTAGGAATCAACAAGAATGAAGCTGTAAAAGGTAACTCAACAAGTAGAGAAAAAGCTAGCTTCAAAGACAAGATAATAGACGCAAAAGATTTTAATGAAATTGTGGCGATATCCGGTTATCGAGCTCGAGAACATGTGGTGACCACACGGGATGGTTACTTGCTTGTGGTGCACAAATTGGAAAAGATACACTCAGACTTTGCTACTTACACCTCGAAACCCGTTGTTTACATGCATCATGGGTTGTTGACCAACTCTGAACTATGGGTACTTGGTTCCACTAAGGAAAAGACATTACCTTACTTGCTTGTTGATGCCGGATATGATGTTTACCTCGGCAACAACAGAGGCAACAAATATTCAAGAAAACATTTGAAACTATCAGCATCAGATCCGAAATTTTGGGATTTTTCTTTGGACGAATTTTCGTACTTTGATATTCCCGATACCATTGAGTATATTCAGAACTTGTACAAAACCAAGGGGCGTGACAACGTCGTCTCAAGAATGAACTGGGCAAGTTCGGAAAGGTTGTCGATTCCCAATGATACTGGCTCTCTCACACCCATCTCATTGCTGAACTCGACGTCAACGTTGGCAACATATCCAACTCAGGACACCGTTGACGTGGTGTACATCGGATTTTCACAGGGTTGCTCGCAATTAGTTGCCAGCTTGAGTCTTTATCCAGAACTCAACTCCAAAATCAAAATGTTCATCGGCTTGTCGCCGGCAATTATACCCCTGAACTTGAATCATCCTATCTTCAAATTGATTGTCAATCAAACGGCTAGCGATAATGCCTTTCTTTATAGCATATTCGGTAGGCGTGCAATATTGCCAAGTGTTTCATTTTGGTCTACTGCATTTGGCGCCAAAATCTATGAGATTATTGTCGACAAATCGCTCTCGTTGCTATTTGGATGGACAGGGGTAAATATAAGCAAAGACCAAAAGTTAGTGGGATATCCTCATATGTTTTCCAATTCATCAGTCAAGTCTTTGTTACATTGGTTCCAAATTATTAAAGCTGGTAGGTTCCAAATGTTTGATGAAACATGCTCATGTGGATTAACCAGATTAAGCTCGTTGTCAAGCAAATCAAAAGCTAAAGGGAATCGAGTTACTCCATTTCCCATAACCGACCACTTGAACGTTCCTATGTATTTGTTTTACGGAGACTCGGATATATTAGTAGACATTGAAAAAACAAAGTCTTTGATAGTTGACAACAACGTACAGATGCAGGACAAGTTGAAAGTGGAATTGTGTGAAAACTACGAGCACATGGATACCTTATGGGGTGATCACGTTTATGAAGATGTTTTTCGAAAAATTTTAATGGAGTTGGACAAGATGGATAAATGACCTATGTAGAGATTATGTAATATAAATATAAACTGAATAGATCTATAGTTAATCAGTAATGGAGATGTTTGTTGGCTTATTAATCACGCCTCTTTACAATCTTTCTTATCGTTTCTATATGTTTTTGCACCCAAATTGTCACAAAATTTGAATCGCAGTTAAACTTTTCCTCCATATCAAAAACCATTCACTAATACCCAAACTCACTACTTCACACTCCATTATTTTCACATACAAGAATGGGTAAACTCACTTATCAAATACAGGACTTGATCAAAATGCGTCATCACTACTACTATGATATCAAGTTGTATGATTTGCACCCACGTCAAAAGAATAGAAACAATCGAAAGCAAAATGCTCGCTTGGTCGCTTTTGACTACACTTTAGGCAGAATGATTCCAGTGTCTGCATTAATACTTTTACAATCAGATCCCCGGAACGCAAGAACGCAAATGAGTCCTGGAATGTATCCGCCAATCTGGTCGCCACCTTTATCGTCAATATCCAATAACTTACACCAAGCGGCTCAATATGATTATCCCTTTCAAGGAGTCGTTGTACCAGTAGTTAACCTCAACCAAAATATTACACGGCAAACTCGTTCTTTGCAACCAGAGAGACATTATTCATCCTCTGCTTCTCCCGCTTGGTACAATAGTCCCATAAGTCCACCAGCTCCTGCAACATTGAAGAAACCAAGCGCAGAAAAAACGGTAGAGTTGGCAAAAACAGGCGACGTAAACTCGAGTGACGAAACTTCAAGCGATGATATTTATATTCAAATTCACTCAAGCAGTCCAGAGAAGAGTTGACTTTTTTTTTTTTCGGTAGCTTACGTTCAAATTGGGAAATCATTGTTATTTTAGTTTTTTTGATTCAGTGATGATGATAGATGGAAACAAATAGCATGATATAATGAGTATATGGGACCAAGCAAAGAAAGAGGAATTCCCCGAAGAAGAAGCCGACAAAGTGTGGCTTTATATCAATTTAGAAATGTACGTACAGTCCATTTTTTAACTCGCGAATTAGTACTAACCTTTACTCTAGTACACCAGACCCAATAATTCTACAAGATGAAACCAAATCCAAAGAATACGAGCAAATTGACATCGATTTGATAACATGGAGAACGTTGATAACCACAAGCTTGGGTAAGATGTATGGGTTAATAGGGGAGTCCTTGCCATTTGATATACCGGCGAAGTTGTCATCAAAGTCAATCATTCTCAAGATTCAAACACAAGATAAGGAAAAGTTTAGTAATAGTTCATTGAGTTACACTTTCAATTTGAACAAGTATACTGATTTGGATGCCAATTGTTACATAAAGATAAAAAAAAGTGCCCACAATGTGGCATTGGTGATATAAAAAGAATGGGTACTCTTGGTGATCCAACACAGGATATACTTTGGGACGGATAGCAGCAATAGAGCGGCTTCAATGTTACGTGGATGTTGCTGGCTCTTTGTAAGATATTGTCGTAGATTATATATACTCTACTTTCATCTTCGTTACGTATGGACATTCACATTTTTGTGCTATCCGTTCAATGCATAATCCACTTCAACGAGAAAATCTAAAAAAAAAGAAAAAAGAGACCAAGAAATTGACAAGGCTTAACTCCAAGAGTACATTCAATACAAGAATATACAATTGGCACTGACTACAGATGAACCAGTGTTCATTCACACATTACAAAAATAGTACAATTTGAAGACAAAGACATAAACTAGTAAAATAGTCATGAAATACACATCAATTCTTCTACTATTATATTCGTGGGTTTCAGTTGTGCTCGCATTTACGCCGGACATATCAGTCATCGAATCTGATTTCATCTCAAAATTGATAAGGTATTTTGATGATTCAGCGAATGTATTAATCTTGAGGGACAAGAAAGCATTTATTTCGTTTGATGATGGGAAGCTGTTTAATCAAGTGAAAGGAATTGAGGAAGACGTAGTGAATATCCAATTTGACCCATTTGTGAAAAGCCGAGCATTCATTTTGACAATGACAAAACACCATTACGTGACAACTGATAAGGGGAAATCTTGGTCAAAATTTACGTCCAATGTTTACGAGTTTGATGGTAAGGGGTTGGCATCAGTACCGAAATTAGAGTTTAATGCAGCTGATCCAAACTTGCTACTTATGTCAAATTACGAGTGCCCCGATGAAAATTATAGTCATAGATGCCAGCATGTTTTTCACTACACCAAAGATGGTTTCAAGTCAGCGTCTAAGAGATTACCAATCAATGCACATGTTTGTAGGTTCTCAAGGGCCACGCAAGAATCTGAAATTGCAAACAAGAGAACCCTTTACTGTTCAGAAAATGAACTCAACTCTCACAAGCACATTGTCAAGTCTCGTCTTTACAAATCTGATGACTTTTTCCAGTCCAAGAAAGAATTTGATTTAATCGAGACTGGTAATGGAGCAATAATTGACATCAAGGTCGAGGAGAATTTTTTAACAGTGGTTATGAGAAATGACAAGTTCAATGAAAAGTCAAAAGTTGATATGTATGTTTCAAAAGACGGGGAAAATTTCCTTAAGGCAGATCTACAAGTTGACGTGAAGTACGGTGTCATGAAATTTTATGCATCATCACCATCGGCATTATTCCTCCTGACTATGGCATACGGAAGAGGTACTGCTCGTGCTTCAAAATTGTTTAAATCGGATTCATTGGGTTTGCATTTCACTGAGGTGCTTGACAACATTGCCAGTGATGTTGTATTAAAAGTGGAAAACATTGATGGAGCTTGGCTCGCTGATATTCAAGTTGAAAGTGAAGAGGATGAACCAAAGTCGCTTTTGGATATCATTTTTGGCGGTGGGAAGGCAAAGGATTTGATCACTAAATATTCATACAATGACGGTGAGGATTGGATCCCTCTTAAGCTGAACAGCGATGGCTGTAAACTTGAAGACGATTGTTCTGTGCACTTGTGGTCATTCACAGAACTCGGTGGCGAGGGAAAATTTGTTACAGGACCGACACCAGGGATCTTGGTTGGAGTAGGGACAGAAGGAAAACGTCTTAGTCATGATTTCAGGGAAATGAAAACGTTTGTATCCCGTGATGGCGGATATTCTTGGGACTTGGCATTGGAAGAAGCTTGCGTCTTTTCATTTGGTGATCAGGGGAATGTTATTATAGCCATGCCTTATGCTGGAGTGAAACGTAATGACCCAGCGAAGTACTTCTATTACTCCTTAAACCAAGGTAAGGATTGGGAGAAAGTTGAGGTCAAGAATGCGGTTTACATTTTGGATTTTATAACCACTGCTGATGGCTCGTCACGTAAGTTTTTGATTCATGGTATCAAGCCCGACTTTAATAACGGTGAAGATAAAGAATTGTTGTACCACATTGACTTTTCTGAAGCATACAATGGCAGGACATGCAAAGATTCAGATTTTGAAGAAATTTATGCTAGACAAATTCCTGATAATGAACGTCTTTGCATTTATGGACACAAGGAGAAGTTCCAAAGGAGAAAGCAGGATGCCGAATGTTTTGTCAATAAATTGTTTGAAGATGTTAAAGTCTATGAAGAGCCATGTCAATGTACTGAACTGGATTTTGAGTGCTCTTTGGGATTCAAGCTAAGCGAAAAGGGGGGCGACAAGTGTGTTCCTGATCCCAAAATGATTGCAAAATTGTGCGAGTCCCAATCAAAGGATGTTCTTGAAATATATGACAAGTCAAAAATCAATGGCAATTTGTGTGAATTGAAAAGCAAAAAATTGGATGATTTTGCAAGCAAAGAGAAACTCAAATGCTCTGATTACACGAACCCTAAAGATGATCCTAGTGGCGATACTCAAGAGATTAGGATTACCTCGAGTGATTTTGAAGGGAAATTATTTCAATATGCATATCTCAAAAACACCGAGAATGGTATTTCTGACAATGTGATTTTGAAAACTAATGAGGATAAAGTTTGGGCATCTAATAATGGAGGCGTCAGTTTCGTTAAAGCACCAATTCATGAAAAAATTCTTGGTTTTTACACGGGAATCATCCCTGGTCAAGTCGTTCTTGTGTCTGACTCAGACATAATTTTTTATTCAGAGGATGGGGCAGAAACATTTCAAAAATTCAAAACGCCTAACAAATTTGTACCAGTGGTGAGGAAAGCTGTTGCTTTTCACAAGACAGACGCATCCAAATACTTGTGGCTTGGTGGTGATTGTGATGGTGGTGACACCAATTGCAAAGCATCTGCTTATATCACCACCACTTATGGAGAATCATTTAAGAAGGTTATGGACGATGTCCTAGCTTGTGATTACGTGGGTCCATTTTTCAAAAAACCAGTTGAAAACTTGATTTACTGTATCAAGTTGGAAAGTGACGGGAAAAAGAGTTTGTATTCAATTGACGGTCTGAAGAGTGCTGAAAAAATCTATGACGATGTTGTTGGATATGCTCTTTCCGATAGATATGTCGTTGCTGCTATTGTCAAGGATGGATCGCTTGAAGCTAAAGTCACTGTTGATGGTAAAATCTTTGCTGATGCTGATTTTCCTAAAGATCTCAAAGTTGAACCACATCAAGCTTATACTGTTTTGGATTCAAGTTCGGGATCAATTTTCATGCACGTGACAACCAGTTCGCAAACCGGGTTTGAATACGGATCTTTATTGAAATCAAACTCCAATGGTACTTATTTTGTCTTGTCGTTGGATCATGTGAATCGAAATGAAGACGGGTTTGTTGATTTTGATCGAATTGATGGATTGGAGGGAACTATAATGGCAAACATTGTTTCCAATTATAAAGATGGCAAGGGACCCAAAAAATTACAGACTCTTATTTCGAGAAATGATGGAAGTGAATGGGATTACTTGGTTCCGCCGGCAGTTGATTCCAATGGCAAAAAGTATGGATGCAGTGGATCTTCACTTGAGAAATGCGCATTGCATTTACATGGATTTACTGAACGTGCTGATTATAGAGACACTTACTCCTCAGGTTCGGCAGTTGGATTCTTGATTGGTGTTGGTAATGTAGGCGAGTATTTAAGTGACATGGACTCAGCATCAACTTTTTTAAGTACTGATGGTGGTGTTACTTGGAAAGAAGTTAAACAAGGAGTTTATCAATGGGAGTATGGTGATCAAGGTACCATTTTGGTTCTTGTTGATGCTGTTGGTGAAACGGACAAGTTTTTCTATTCATTAGATGAAGGTGGAAACTGGAATGAATATAAGTTTGCCGACAAGCCAGTTCGAGTGCTTGATTTAGCAACGGTGCCTACTGACACTTCAAGGAAATTTATCATTTTTTCCCATCACCCCAAGGATACCAGAGACACTTTATCATATTCTATTGACTTCACAAACATTTACAAACGTCAATGCCAATTGGATCTTGACCACCCAAATTCTGATGATTACGAATACTGGTCGCCATCACACCCATCAAACAATGCCGACAAGTGTGTTTTCGGTCATGAATCAAAATACTTGCGTCGTGCCGTGGGTCATTATGATTGTTTTATCGGTGGTGCTCCATTGACTGAAGGCTATACAGTGACACGCAATTGTTCATGTACTCGACGCGATTACGAGTGTGACTACAATTACTATCGTGATGCAAAGGACAATACGTGTAAATTGGTGGCTGGATTATCATCAAATGATCGCAAAAAGGATATGTGTAGCAAACCAGGAGCATTTCAGTACTTTGACAGCACGGGATACAGGAAAATCCCCCTTTCTACATGCGAGGGAGGCAAGCAATATGACACATTTAGTCCCCACGCATGTCCAGGTAAACAAAAGGAGTTTAATGAGTACTATGGTCGTGAAGTCAAAGGAACCAAATTATTTTTTGTTGTATTCATCCCCTTGGTTATTTTCCTTGGTGTTACTTGGTTTGTTTATGATCGTGGAGTTAGACGAAATGGCGGGTTTGAGAGATTGGGACAAATTCGATTAAATGATCAAGATTTTGATGAAGGGTTCAACCCAATTGAAGATAATCAAGTTGATGCCGTTGTTAACAAAATCGTTAAAGGTGGAGTTTACACCGCTGCCGTGGTGTTTGCAACTTTTAAAGCAGTGCAGAAAATTGATCGAATGGTTTTGGAAAAAATCGGCAATGTTGTGTTTGGACGTCGTGGAGGTGGACCAGGAGCTAGAAATTATGTGTCTATTCCTGATGAAGATGATGATTTATTTGGTGATTTTGATGATGATGTGGATGAGGAGTTGGCGCAGGGGGCAAGATTGAGTCAAGAGCAGCATGGTCGCGATGTGTTTGGTGGAGACGATGATGATGTGTTTGAGTATGATGATGATTTAGAGGACCTTGGATCGAGCGTTGATGTTGATCGAAGAAGCGAGGGTCAAGGTGATAAGAAATCTAAAGCGTCGTCATCGTCAAGTAATGAACGACTTTTCGATATTACTGATGAGGAAGAAGATGGTGACGATAGAGTATCAGCAAAAGGGGGAGTTGATGATGTTGATGATGCTGATGATGGTGATGATGGTGAGTCTAATTCCAAATAAAGTAGATAGATGTCAATTTGTACAATAAGACAAATTATGGTTAATCGACAATGTAGTTCATAAAAATGCCGCATATGTATTAAAGTCACTATTATACATAAAAACTGAAACCATATACATACCAATGTGAGTTTTTCTTCTCTGTTTTCCTCATTACTTTTCACGTTGTAAATCAATCTCATGCAACAAATCCTCGGGGTTAACGCTATCAATCATATCCTGTTCCTGGATTCTTTGGACATACCCCTTTCGATTCTTAAACAAGGCAAGGTAGGGGATCAAGTACAATAATCCAAATAATGAAGTTGAACCCAAAGCACAAGCTAGGGAAATACCAACAACTTTACCACGCGATAAGTAATTGTGCAAGTTTTTCAAATCATCCGATGATTGAAGACGGTAGTAGTCGTCAATGAGAATGGTCCGGACATCACCAATGGTTGAAAATGAATTTGGTGATGTGGTGTAAACGTACGGGATCCATGATGTGCCATTGTACAATGCCATATTAACGAGTCCATAATCCTTGAGGGCATATGTACCAGCAACAAGCAAGATGTTATTCTTGTCGAATAAATCACCATTGTAGGATGATGACGATTTCGATAATGTCAATAGTTTCAAATCATGGAATATGGCAGGTTGCGAATCAGAATAGTCGATTCCGGAATCTATATTGGACCATTTTGATCCATCGAATCCGGAAATGAAATCATCACCCATGGCAATCATTCTGCCACTCAGATCGCTATTGGAACGATCATTCAAAATGAATCGATTAACTGACTTGTTTAATGAGTTTAGTGATGATTCAGTGTCGAATGATCCACCTTTGAAATTGTAGGTGAGAAACACAACTTGTTTATCATCAACCGTCAAGTTTCTTCCCGATATGAGAACTCGGCTTGATGTGTAAAACTTCATATCGGTAACCACACCAGCTATTTTAGCAGTCAGATCAGTATTGTCATTTTGAGGATCAAGCCATCGCGTATTGGCAATATCATAAACACACAATGATTGACAACTCAACGATCCAGCAGCATCGAAATCTCCACCAACTAGCAATTTCTTACCATCATCATACAACACTATTGAATTAACACTGATGGGGTCACCGCTATTTTTCGAAAGTGCTGCAGGTTGGAACGATGCAAATGTATCATTTTTCAAGTCATAAATAACAAGACCAGTAACATCTTGATCATTGATTGACACCGATGAATTCAAGCCAATAAACAAGTAGTCGCTATTGCTATCAGCATACAATGCTTGAATTAAAGCATCATCATCCCATGAAATGTCGCCTTGTAATGATCGAATCGTATTGGAAGGGCTCTTATTATTGATGATTCCAACATTTTCAACATTATTTGAATTGAATTTACCGCCAATGATACTTAAGGAATCATTTACATAAAATGAACTTGAAATGTAGCTATGGTCATTTGAGGCAATGTCAATACCAAATTTGGAAAAATTGGCATTACGAACATATGCTTGATCATTGGTGTAGAAATCCATTACACTAAAACCAGAACCACCAAGAACTTGCAACAGAGAAGTGAGCGATGCTGCTTGAGTCAAGTTGAATTGTCGACTTGACCATTCAAAATTGGTGTTATCCCATGTTTTAAATATGGTGCCTTGTGCTGAAAAGACATAGTACTCAACTTCATCCACGATAAAATTGGCAAATTGATCAAATTCAGCATCTTCATAATCGTTACCAAACCCAAACCACTCATTGTCATTGGACAATATGGCAAAATTATTAGCCAGTGAAACTGTTTCATTCTTGTTGGAAAGATCCTTTATAGTGGCATCGGATATACCAAATTGACCAAGGACTAGCAATCCATTATCAACCGTGAATGTCCTAGAAATTGAATTGTTGAATGATGCATCTTTAAACGTATGTGTATCTCTTTTCCTCAATGTTGTCGGTAAGTCTATGTTTGACTCATTCGATGTGGTATTGTAAGATGAAACATTCAATGTAATCATGTTGTTATTGGATAAAGTCAAGTTATTACTGTCTGATTCGAACTGACCAAGAATAAACAATGAGTCATCGTGTATGTTAATCTCATCAACAACTGAATCTTCAGAAAGTCGACTACTCAACAAGTTGATGGATGAATTTCCAATATAGGTGTTGTTGGGACTCAAATATGTCCTATTGTTGATCTTGTAGTGTACCAAATTCTCATCAAAGTTTGAAAAATTAGCCAACGAATATTCAAATAATCCATTCAATTCGATACGAGTCAAATTTGACCTCAATGAGCTTCTGGTATGATTGGTATTGTTACGATCATAATACAGGTCCAATGAAACAATATTTGCCACTACTTTATCGATAACCATAAATGGATTCTCGGCATCAGATGATATTGGCTCATGAAATGAAATCTCAATCCTGTTTGAACTTCCATCAGAGCTGTTCAAATGACCATGGTACAAATAATCAAATTTGATATTCTCGTTATTTTGATAGATTAAATTCGACGACAAGATATCATCGTCATCACCAATTACAGTGACATTAACAATGACTCTTTGTGAACATGAGTTATCAATTGCACAACCTGGAGTGGTCATTATAATCGAATATTCCCCGGAATAGGATATGTTTGGATATAATGCAATCTTGGCTGATGTGTCGTAACTCACCATATAATCAGTATTTGTAACTGCAGTGGACACACTCCTAACAGATTGGAAATCGCCAGAGACAATCTCGGCGTAGTTGTTGTTGTTGTCGTCTCCAAGATCACTGCCACAATTGGGTTCATTCAACGTATTGTTACCAAAAACTTGTATTGAGTTTTGGTACAATTCAAACCCAGAAAATGCCCCTTGTTCGCCATACCAATCAATGATTGTCAATCCAATAGAATCAAATCCGACAGAATCAATAAAGGCAAATTCTTGAAAATTTGATCCGTATCCCAAATTTTTGGTTTTAGTGTTGGGGTCATAGTATCGGAAATAGGTTCCATCCTCTTCATCAACAAATACATCATCTCGATTTAACTCAGTAGCATTGTCAATATTGTTTTCAACATAATCATTCAATTGATCAAACGCAGTCAATGGACACCAAGCATCACAGGTGCTCAATTCATTTGTTTCCGGGTCAATATAAGTAAGATTCATGATACCATTGTTTGGGAAAGAATATATTCTAAACAACTTGATTCCATTATTACTTTCAGGTATGTATATTCTTGCCTTTGTGGGAGTAATACCCTTCATTTCATCAGGGAGTTCAACTTTCCATTCTGCACCTGAACTTGGCACTGCTTGCCATATATTATCTTCCGAGGGGCAAATTACAAGTGAATTGTCATTATTGTCTAGAGCATTAACCGCTGTAAACAGCCCATGCCTTAGTGATATTTGTTGTTCAGCATTAACAATTGTCGAATTTGTTTCATTATGATGTCGTGTAGAGTTGGTGGTGTGGTTATGTATTAGTAAGTCTGATAATCCCAAAGTATTGAATGAACCACCAAACAAAATCGATCCCAATGACTTGTCCTTAGTATCGGCCAATTTTGCAATTGAGTTTATGACTGCATTTTTACCAAATCCTTGAAATAAAGTAGAAGAAAGGGTTTTTGAGGTGATATTGTAAATGGCTGCTCCAACTGTGCTATTGTAAGTGAAGTTACCACCCAAATACACAAGATCATCATCAATGAAAATGGTATTGACGTGTCCATCAATATTGTCATTGTCGGTTATTATATCAGTTGTTGAGTTTGAAGTGATGTTGTAAATTATGGGGCTTTTCACTTCTTTACCATTAAATGTAGTAAAATCACCATTGAGTATAACTGTGTCATCTGATAGTCTATATAGTTGATTAATTGGACCGTCTAGGTCAGCATATTTTGAGTTGAAATTAGTGTTTGAGTCTTGAACGTATATACTGTTTGATGATGATATTGTTGTTGTTGTTGAAGAAGAAGAATTGTTGTCTCTTTTGCGATGTAAATTATTACCTCGTAAATCTTTTCCAGCGAATGGCAAACTAACCAGATCTGATATACCCTTGTAGTTGTAAAAGCTAACAGCCGAGAACGATCCAAACAATCCTATTCGATCTCCAATTGAACTATAATCTAGCTGCGGCTGACTGACATTTTGGAAAAGTGAACTAGATGCACCCAATACTGCCAGACATTTTAGTAGTAGAATTAATAAGAATTGTTGTTGTAGTAGTAGTAGTAGCAACCCCCTGTTGTATGCAACCATATCATACGTAGTTTACTGTGTATTTGGTTGTTTTTGGTTGTTTTTGGTTGTTTTTGGTTGTTGATTTTACAAAAATCTGACGAGAAAATTAAAAAAAAAAAAAAAAAAAAAAAAAAAAAAATTTGTGTTGATTTTGGTCCTTTCAAAATTTGACGTGTGTGTGTGTATGTTAGTGTGTGTGTGTCAGTGATGCGAAGCGATGTGAAGTAAAGTGCAATGACAAAGTGCGAAATAAATGTTAAACGATTGGACAGTAAGCTTCTTTCGACAAGGAGATGTTGATGGTGATAGAAGCCACTAAGGGTAACTAGTAGGTTTGGAGTAAAAGAAGAAGAAAGATGTGTGCTTCTTTCTTTATGTGAAGTAGTAAGTGGTGTGTTTAATAAAGTAAAAGAAGAAAAAAAAAAAAAAAAAAATAAAAAATTTTGTTGTCGTTGTTGTTGTTGTTGTTGTTGTTGTTGTTGTAAGAAGAAGAAAAAAAGGAGTTCAATTGTGTGTGTGTTTGTGTGTGTTTGTGTGTGTTTTGAGTGTTTTGTGTTGTCTATGCGTATGTGTTGTCTATGTATTAAATTTGTTTCAGATTTCAATGTCACAAAATACACTCTCACGACACGACAATGTGGTTTTGCTGACAAAAACCCTTCTTAATATAAGCCAAGCCAAATTAACTTATAGTATATCCATCCAATACGCATGCCTCCTATACTATATAGTCTTAGAAACAAAAGACCATGAACTAATATTAAACAAATAAGTAAGTAAGTAACTAATGAATAACAAATCAATACTACTGCAGGTGAAAAGGGAAACACCAGTGTATGTTTTGCTTGTTTGATTGGATTAAATCACATCAAATCAAATCAAATTAAATCAAATTAAATCAAATTAAATCAAATTAAGTTATAGTGTTCAATGTATAACATAATTGCGATTTTAGTATATTCACTTGAGCTAGATGGGCCATGAGGCATTGGGGCTTTAATCTTTTAACTATACCTACTACTACTACTACTACTAGTGGACTATTCTAGTTTTATAAACTGAATGTATGGATTGAGTTTGCAATTGGTGTAGGGGTGCTCAACATCGATTTATTAACTCTATCTGTGTTTTCGTCTAAACTCTTTTCAATAACAATAATAATAATCGTAATAATAACCACAATACAATAATAACCACAATACAATAATAATCATAATCATAATCTCTCTTTTGAAAAAAAAAAATAAAATAAAATAAAATAAACACGCTTTTCTTTTATTGTTTATATGGTTTATATATGTGGTTCATATATGTGGTTTGTGTGTTTTGCGTGTCATCATTTTATTTCAAAGTAATTCTTAATGTTGATTTGATCATACACAATGTCATCAAAGAGTAATGCTTTTGTTTGGTTGTTTTTTTTTGATTTTTTTGTTTTTTTTTTTTTGACGATAGATTCAACAGCGTATGTGCTTGTGTGTATACACACAAGCACATCCACCTCCTAAAAGTGTATAATAACTGAGTCCTACTACTCAGTGTTAAGATTAAAGACGTTGTTACACTCATCTTTTCTCATTATTGTCAATGTTTCGCCTTAAAGGTGAGTCACGTCAAACCCTTTCAAATCAACAATTACGATAAACCATCAACACCAATTGAAACTATTATACTTGAACGGTACAGTCACAACGTAATACTGAAGAATGAATAAGAAATGAATACTAAATAAATAATTACTGAAGCCCTTTTGTATATTTATCTATAGCCACCACTCCTATGTCGTAAATATCATTGTCGTATTTCTCTTATTGTACGGTCAATGCGACATTGACGCAAAGAATATAGTTTGTACTGTACACGCTTTTCTCTCTCTATTCCACCACCGCAAAATATCTTAAAGGCTTATTTTCACCACCCAAAGGCCATTTCCTACTTGTAACAGACATATTCTTCTCACCATCATACACCTCAAATGGATTTTCCAAAAGGTTTGGATCCATATGTTTCTAAACAACATCTACTATACCATTCATTCTCGCCACTAGTTTCACTACAATCAACTCATAATGTTGATTTATATTTCCAATCAGTATTGAATCGCAATGATTCAATATCAACTTTGCAAATTTTCAAACCATTTGGTAATAATATGAAGAATGCTATACCTAATCAACAGTTTAAAATTACAAGCACCCAACTAATTACAAAGAATTGGGATTATTTCCCAATAAGGTTCGAATCAACCATGCCGGAAATACTATCAGTAACCAGTGCTCAACAACAACAACAACAACAACAACAACAACAACAACAACATCAACAACATCACGTACAGCAGCAGCTGGAGAGGAGAAGTCATGATGGTGTTAGTGTATCAAGTAGGGATCTGGCCACCTCCTCATCATCATCAACAACAACAACAACAACACCAAGTGGACCATTGGGCAATACCCCAAGTTTTATACTGCATGAAGCTCCGCAATTGGATCAACTATTTAGAATATCCTCATTAGAGCAGTATTTACGACATGCATCTAAAGATACTTTGAACAATAAGGACTTGTACTTGACTTTTCTCGATAAAGTCATCACTTCCAACAAACCTACTGCATTTGAAACTTTTAATCATCCAGTGGCACAAGTTTTTATTATTGATTACGATAATGATACAATAGACTATCTCCGCAAAATGATTGTTGAATTTAGAAACTACAATTTCCCCAAATATTTCCAAATTGATGATTTATTAATGCATGTGTTTATCGTGTATGATTCGACAAAGTATAAACCTAGTGAATTATCAGGGTTGCAACAAAGTATTCGGCTGAAGTTGAATATTGAATCAACTTTGTTGGCTATACCTTCTGGTTCTGCACAAGACGGTCAACAAGTGACATTATCCTTGGTTGAAAATTGCACACTTGAAGAACATTTACAACGACTTTCATTAAAAGACAATGATTCAACATTTACAGTGCCTCTGTCTATTGACACATCTATTAAATTTGGAGTCAATACATTTATCAACAAGTATCTTATACCACACATGCAAAATAAAGTGCGTACTTGGGATGATCAAGTACTACAACCAAAGAAGTCAATAACTGGGAGATTCTTTTCTGCATCAAGAAAACTATTCAACAATAGCGATTCAAATCTTCTTTCATCTACATCAACATCCGCATCTTCCAGCTCTTCACCCGCACATCACTCCTCCACTTTTAATTATCGTGAAAATCAGTACTATAAATCATCACCAGAACAAATGACGAGGAAATTGGCCGATTGGTCACTAATGCTCAAAGACTTCAAGTATGCATATTCAACTTATGACGTTGTTCGCAAAGATTATAGTAATGAACGAGCATGGCTATATGTTGCATCAACACAGGAAATGTGCATTGTGTCACTCTTGTTGCAACATACTTCACACACCACCACAACCTCCCCTGCCCTTGATAAAAACACATTACGTCGAATTAAACATGATATCATCGAACCATATATGGATAATTTATCATACACGTTTAAATCTCGATTGAATTTGAAAACGTATAGCTTGGCTAGTTTTTTAATTGTGGTTGAGTTGTTGCTATTAATGTGCCAAATATATAAACAGTCCAATTGGTGGTTTGATTCGATTGAAAAATATTTGCATAAACTAATCGTTGATTTTGATACATCAATGACCAACACCACTTATTCGGTGATGAAAGCACTTTTGTTGGAGAGATTGGCATATAATAGTGGTTGTTTTTATACAACGTCAGGGAAATACGTCACCGAACATACACAGGAAACCGAAGGTGAACCACTGGAGGAAGAAGGAATGTATCACAATAAATTTAAACTTGCATCAACCAGATCATCAATGGGCTTGACTAAATATAGAACTTCAGCATTGTGGTATTTGTTAGCAATGAATGAATGGGTTGATGCCAAGTCAAAACTGCAAATTGATCGCCTTTTGCCTAATGTGTTGGAAGTTTATGAAGGAAGAATTAACAACGGGCATAAGCAAGATTTTGAGAATAATGATGCAAGCTTGCATGATTTATGGTTTAATAGAAAAGATTCTTTGTTGGGTAAAATAGAGACGTATAGAGATTAATCACCATAGACTTAATTTACCATTTGCCAAAAATTGGATTACTGAAGGAGAGCTCCTCTGAGCTATAACCTGTCTCTATCCTGGATTTTCTAGCCTATAGGTTTTCTTTTATGACTCAAAAGCGAAGTTAAAAAAAAAAAAAAAAGGAGGAGTCAAAATTTTTTTTTATCAAAATTGTGTCAAAAAGTGTACAAGATGCGGCACTACACATTTTCACCACACCAACAACCACCACAGAGACAGATTCTTCTCTAACCATGTCAAAAAGTGAAGAAGTCAAGGTTGTGGATCACGACAAAAGGGACAATACCGTCCTTCCCACAAACGATATAACAATACCCACATCTCCCACATCATCATCATCATCATCATCATTATCCTCCTCCTCCTCCTCCTCCTGCACCCCAGTTAACCACTACTCCATCTTCCATTACCTCAACCTAGCCTCCAAGAAATTAGACTCCCTAGGGGTTGAAACTAGAGGATTGGACCGCGTTTTACCCCACGAACGATCCACAAACAAGACCAAGCTCCTAATCAGCGTTGTTGGATTTTGGTTTTCAGCATGTGGTGGACTTTCATCAATGTCATCGTTTTACCTTGGTCCTTTATTATTTGAACTTGGGTTACGCAATACTTTAATTGCTGGGTTAACTGGACACACTTTGGGGTGTTTTATTGCTGCTTATTGTTCAATGATGGGGCCACGATCAGGGTGTCGTCAAATGGTTAGTGCGAGATTCCTTTTTGGATGGTGGTTTGTGAAACTAGTGGCATTAGTTAACATTATCGGTGTCACTGGTTGGTCGGTGGTGAATTGTGTTGTTGGGGGTCAAATCTTGGCTAGTATAAGTGATGATAAAGTTCCATTATGGGCCGGGATCGTTATTATTGCTGGTGTCACTATCTCCGTGGCAATTGGTGGAATAAAGCAATTGATGAGGGTAGAGGCGCTATTAAGTGTTCCTGTGAATTTGGCATTTTTGTTGTTGTATATTGTTGCTTCACAGAAGTTCCAGTACTTGACTTTAGAAGACGCCATAGTGGATTCAGCAACCATCAAAGGTAACTGGTTGAGTTTTTTTTCCCTATGTTATTCAATAACGTCAACTTGGGGTGGAATCGCATCCGATTACTACATCTTATTTCCAGAATCTACTCCCGATTACCAAGTGTTTTGTATTACATTATTGGGTATTTTCATCCCCACTACATTTGTCGGTATTGCCGGTTTACTCATTGGTAATGTTGCTCTTGGGTACAAGCCATGGGGTGACGCATATGCGAAATGGGGCATGGGCGGATTATTAAATGAAGCTTTCAAACCATGGGGTGGTGGTGGCAAGTTTTTACTTGTAATCATTTTCTTGTCATTGATTTCAAACAATATTCTCAATACGTATTCGGCAGCGTTTGGATTACAATTGGCAGGTACGGTGTTTGCTAGGATCCCCCGTTGGTTATGGGCCATTGGCATCACTGCTGTGTATTTAGTGGCGGCATTGGTTGGAAGAAATGAGTTTTCAACAATCTTGGGTAATTTCTTACCCATGATTGGGTACTGGATTTCAATGTATTTCATATTATTGTTGGAAGAGAATACCATTTTTAGGACAAACAGATTCCACCACTTATATGAATTGGAATTTGCCGAGGATGGATCGTATGATGCACCATCTTCAGTTGACGACTACAATAAAGAATATCAATTTGACAATACAAATGCAACACTAGCACAACCTCATCATTACAATTTCAAAATATGGAATGATTACTACAAATTAACTCACGGATGGGCAGCTGCTGCATCGTTTTTAATTGGCGCTACTGGTGCTGCTGTTGGCATGTCGCAAACTTATTGGGTTGGTCCGGTTGCGCGTAGAATTGGTGGTGAGTATGGTGGTGATATTGCCATGTGGTTGTGTATGGGATTCAGTGGCATTGTTTACCCAGGGTTACGGTATGCTGAGTTGAAATATTGCAAAAGGTAGTATGTATAAAATCATATGATAGAGTTAATAGAGAGAAACTTTCTAGTCAGCCGCATTTATCGCAGATTAGACGGCATTTAGTCATTTATCTCCTACTCCTTACTCCTTACTTCTACTCCTTTTTCACCGCATTACACAAGATGCTGTGTTCTTAATTCACAAGCAAAAATATAAACGGCTAAAGGGATGTGATTCTAATTGTTATTTGAAAACAAATACCATGATTACTAATGTGAAACTGTGAGCGAAAACCAGTAAGAGATCAACACCGACGCGTGGAATATTTTTTTCGCCAACAAATGAGTCACTCGTTATTGTTCAAATATTTCATTCGAGAATATTCTATATTACGACATTGAGTGAGTGGGTTTCTACTCTAATCAATGACCAATGAGAGTAAAGAGGACAGTACGGCAATTTCCTTTTTGCCCGTGGGGAATGTAGTTAAATGCGCATTGTGCGAGCGCAAATTTTAAAAAAAAATAAAAAACAACCAGTATGTTTGTTCGGTAATGGAGTTCCATTATAAATTTACTTTCAATTTTTCTTGCGTGGATTCCTCTCCCCTTGGACCTTATTATTATCGTAGTGAAGACTACAGTTTTTTTTTCGTAGTGAAGACTACGATTTCCTATGATACATCCCTCTAAAGAATATAATAGTGTTATCTTCATTCGTATACAGAATAAAGAGAATGATCTCGGTAGAAAAAAAAAGGAAAAAATTTTATATTTTTCTTTCGTCCTCGTCAGTAAATCAGAAATCACGACTGCGATCCCGATCCACAGGGACATGGAAAAGGACGAGAGCGCAAAACCCACCGGCGTGATTCTCGCGATGTTTCTACATACACGAATCGTTACAGAAGCTTAGATGTGTAGAAAAAGACACTCGTATAGTAGTGGGAAAAGAGACCCTCAAGCATTCGGTCCGATTCGCTCTCTTCTTTCTTTGTGATTTTTATTTCGTAAATCCTCAAAGTGTTACTCAAAAGTGGGTTTTTTCTTAGTCTAAAGGTCCTGCAAATTAGTCATTTGGTGGGTAGAATTTGTCTTGAGTACACACATATTCGCCCTGTATGATTTAAAAAGAGGACCATAAGGCATGTCCGCCACATCCATTTCCAATTTTCATCTTGTTTTACTACGTTTACAAACCACACCATTAACAACATGTCATCCAAACCCAAATATTCCAAAACACAATCGTTTGATGAAACAATTAGCACTATACTACCTTCGTATTCCATGTACACGTCCACGGTGGGGATGAATGTCAATGTACCAGAAGATAACAACGATGACTTACCACCACCAGGCTATAGTTGTAGCAATTCCGAATTATCAGCAAGTACCGAAAGCACAACTGTCCACGATCACGATCATGATGTAAGCTCGTCAGCTGCGTCAACGACCCCTACTTCAGTTACTGAAGCACAAAGTCGACGCGTTGCTCAAGTCAATTCATCGTCAACCATCGATGACATTCCATTAATCGTTGCTGATGAAAATGCCAACTTGATGGAAACAATCTTGGATAATGTTCATCGATTGCCCAATATGACGTTTGAAAAACAAGATATATCGAAAGCTGTACAGATTGAAGTTTTCTATACAAAGGATATTGGTGAAATTGGTAAGGCTCCGGAATTAATTGATCCTTCAATTTATGAATATACCCAGGGAGATTTATTAAACGGATATATTATTATTAAAAACACATCTGACAGACCCATTCCATTTGAAATGTTTTACTTGTTATTTGAGGGAAACTTTATGGTTGCCAATGAACAAAGACCACAGGAATTGGAACCAGTCAAGATTCGTCGGTTTTTGGAAATGTTTGATTTTTATGGAAGTTGGAATGAAGCTCATATCAATCGATTGGTTACTGAAACTGCTAGTCCATACCTTTGTGAATACGGCAACACTGTTGATCCACTTGATGGAACTTACTTGTATTTTGGCCCCAAGAAGGAAGTCTTGCCCCATAGAGTATACAAGCGGTTTTTCTCATTCAAGATTCCCAACAATTTACTTGATTCGGAATGTAGTGAACACAACTTGTCCAAACACGTTGAAATACCACCAACCATTGGATTATCTCGATGGGAAGTTGCTCACTATCCAGAAAGAAACTTGAACAAGATTAAGGACTTTTCGATATTGAATACGTCAATGGGATATGGAGTTATGGCGAGATTTATTGGTAGAAAATCGACATGGGAAGTTGATTTCGGGAAAATTATTACCCCCAAGCACAAGGACCATGCCAAGTTGGTGAATTCAAAGGGAGATGAATACATTATTTTGAAAGAATTGACCAATTACATCCGAGTTGTGCCCACGACAAATGTTCCCACTGAAAATGAACGGTTGATGAAGTTGGTTGAAAATCGATTATTGTTTGACAACTTAGTCAAGCGGGTTAAGGATAAAATTGATATTGGTAAACAATTGGAAAAATCATTGGAGTCAAGGCCAATTCCCGAATTATCACCTGACCTTACCCAAGAGGAGATTGAGGCGGCAAAGATGACGCAATCGTATCAACACGCCGACTCAATTAGAGACATCAAGTCAAATATGAAGAAATTGGAGTATTATCAAGTCGTCGTTCAATTGGTGAAAAGATCAATCACTGGGCAGAAATATCCAGGTGTGTTGCAAGTCAAGACCCCCAAACAAGAGTACCACGTAAAATATATCCCTCCATCAAGATTTAGAGAGGATTCAATAACAGATTTAGAAAAATCGTGGAAGCTTAATGTGCCAATTGAATTAACGACAATTTTCCCCACCAACAATGACAACAAACTGCAAACACCACCAACTATTAAAAACGTCGATGTTGAATTGGTTGTTCACACCATGAGGTCAATGGGTGCTCCAATTGCCCTTGAGTTCAATCATGATTTAATCTACAACAAATATCCCAATAATAGTAAACGTGAAGTTGATCTAGACACTTTTCACAATAATATTGTTCGACCATTTCAAAAGCAATCAACAGAATTATATCATTTAACCCAAAGACTCGGTTTACGAAACTTTCGAATTGAAAAACAATTGGTGGATGATTTGAAATCAATTTGCAAAATTGAAGAGAAACTGAACAACTTGGTTGTGGAGGATGTTTTAGTAAATGATGTAAAATACAACTACAAAAAGAATGGTGTACAATGGTGTAACAATGGTGATGGATCAGCTACAAGTTCATTCAATTTGCGTATCAACCTTGCTTCATTGTCGTTGAAGGGTGTACCTGCTAGTGGTTGTTTGGGACTCTCTTATGACCGATTCAACTTGGTTCCTGATTTCCAGTCGTGTTTTATGACCAGATCATATCATTTGAAAATGACGTTTGAGTTGGGTAATGGTGATTGTGCTCGTATTAAGGTGCCGGTTATTATAGAAAAGTCGTAAAGCTACAGACAGGTACTGCATTAATTAGTTTAACAATACAGTAATGTATATATCATTAATTGAGATTAAAAGATCTTCATGAGTGAAGACGTCACCTCTCGAGTTGGGGGCAGCTCCAGAACACTCTTGTTGTCGAAGGCAGAGGCAACCTTTCGTGAAGTGTGGTGCTGAGCAACGACACTATTGTGGCTTAGTCGTACCAATTGGTCATGTTGCAATGGCGTACATTCTCAATGTTGAACCTACTCGGTGTATATGACGTAATGAAAAATGATGTTTAATTACGTAACCAAAATTTCAGTACAGAATTTCTCGGGCTTTAAACCAAAGTGGTTTGGTTTTTGTGTCACTTTAAATTCGGTATGACAATAAAATTGTGTGAAGTGGAGGAGGAGGAGGAGGAGGAAGAGGAGGAGAAAGTGTGTGAAGAACTTGAAATTCCGCTCGAATAGCAAACTCGAATTTTAACACCACACTTTTCACATCATAACCAAAACGTTGAGATTACATTTCCAATTGATCTCCCATGGAGGTTTAAAAATAGACTCGCTTCTCGAGAGATTGAGACACATTACCGAGACCAATTGAACCAAACAAACATGATTATCTGACTGTCTCACTCAATTGAGCTGCTTCTTAAGAACTTGTTCTGTAGTGATTGCTATTGATTGAGTGAGTGTGTAGTTGTGTGTGTATGTGTTTGATTTATTCATTTCCATGTTCGGTCTTTCAAAGATATTGAGAAAGAGATTTGCATCCAATTCCAATAGCAAACAACAACTGAATAGAGAAGGAATATATTAACACAATGTGCAGCAGCTACATTGGAGGGGTGTATGTGTGTGTATACTGTGTGTGTGTGTGTGTACTGTGTACTAAAATCACAAATTGTCATTCTCTAAAGCAAATAACAGAAATAGAACAATAAAGGGGGTGGTGGTATAAACAATGTATACAGCAAGCAAAAGTACAAAAAAAAATTATAGCAACCAAAAAACATTTTTATTCAAACGAAAAACGTGGCAGTGAAATTCCACCACAGTTTATGTAAATACTTTTGCTCAATGGTATAAATAATGCATCAATTCCCTCATCCAAGTCGGGAAACTCAATTGCCTTCTTCTTTTCCTTCACCAATTATTAACTAATAATTAATTCATATTACATCTAGAAATACAAAATGGGTTTAACTGACAAATTGAAAGGAATTAAAAAAGACGACGTTGACAACTACAACGAACAAGCTGGTAAATACGGTGGTGGTAAAGATGGCCAAACTGGTACCGACTTAGCTCAAGAAAAGTACAAGGAATACAACTCAAAGAAGTCTGGTTCTGGTACTGGTTCAGGTGCTGGTACTGCTGCTGGTGCTGGCGCTGCGGGTGCTGGTGCTGGAGCTGCAGGAGGTTACGGTGCTGGTTCATCAACTTCTGGTAACCACTCTGGTACCACTTCGTCTGGATACGGTAACAACCAATCTGGTACCACTTCATCGGGATACGGTAACAACCAATCTGGTACCACTTCATCGGGATACGGTAACAATCAATCTGGTACCACTTCATCTGGTTATGGAAATCAATCCGGATCAACCACCTCAAACGCTTACGGATCACAATCTGGTTATGACAACACCTCATCTGGCCACCATGGCTCATCTGGTCATCATGGTGCTGGTACTGCTGGTACCGCCGCAACTGGTGCTGCTGGTGCTGCTGCCTACGGATCCTCAAACCAAGGTTCCCACGGTACTCACAGCTCCAAATTAGATCCAAACAGTGAGTATGGATCAGCCACCTATGGTAGTGAACCAGCCTCAAGTGGTGCTTATGGTAACCAAAATGCTCCTTCTCATGGATATGGTAACGAATACGGCAACACTTCGTCATCGTCCAAGCATCATTCTGGTCACCAAGATGCAAGCAAACACGCCCCATCAACCACTGAAGGAGGTGCTGCTGGTGCTTACGACAGTCGTGGAAACACTTCATCACAATCTGGTCATGGATCATCCCACACTGGCTCTGGTGCTTACGGTTCTTCCAACACCGGATCCGGCGCTTACGGTTCTTCCAACACCGGATCCGGCGCTTACGGTTCTTCCAACACCGGATCCGGATCTGGTGCTTACGGTTCTTCCAACACTGGCTCTGGCTCCGGTGCTTATGGATCATCAACTACTGGTTCAGGTGCCGGTACCTCTGGTGGATACGGTTCAGGCTCGTCAACTGGTCACTCTGGTGCTGGTTCCCACGCTTTCAAGACTGGTAACGATTCTTTGGATTCAAAGATTGCTCAATTGCCAGAACACTTGCAAAAGGAGGCTCACAATGAGTTCAACAAGGGTTACGAAGCTGCCAAGTCTCAATACAAATCATAAGTTAGTTTTCTATTTAGCTGTTTTTGTATAAATAAAATCGATTTCGAAAAGAAGATTGTATTGTAGGCTGTTGAAGAACTCTTCATAAATTAAGGGACTTCTTCTACATGAAGTATTATGCAATGCGAACCGATCATCTAATCATTCTTCGTTCCTTATTTTCTATGTACAAGATCATCAGTAACCTGCTCTAACCCCTTGATGATGTTATCACTGATAAATTCTTCTGCTTTAGCTTTGCCGTGATAGATGTTGACAGCCCCAATCAAACTATATAGTAATTGTGAACTAACTTTCAACTCACCACTAGATTCAAAACTCAATGTTGGATTCCTAGATTTCCAAAACATTACATCATTCAATCCGTTAAGTTTGGCAAAGTAGCCAGTTGATATTCTTCCGGGAAGCTCTTTTGCATTTGGTGATCCCAATATTGACAAGTTTTTGCCGTTAATTGCAAGCTTTGCGTCTGTCGCAGTTGATTTGTTGACAACATGTTTAGCAGCAAACAAGGATAATAGCTTTGATCCCATTGCTGCGAGTTTTTCATTGTATGGTTTGATACCATTGCCAAATGATTTATGAGTGATTATTTGTAACGCTATTTCGTCGGGTATTGGAAATTTATCTCCAAGATATGATTTAATGTGCTGAATATTATTCTGGTTGAGTTCGTATTCTATACCATTGTGATTCAAAAACACTTCTTTAGGGTCTCTTTTCAATCCTTCAACTCTTGGTCCTTTATGCAAGTAAATTGATCTATTGAAGGATATGCTTGTGGAACGATGACAAAAGCCTATACTTCGGGGCGTATATTGAGTAGCTTGTCGTATACTCATATTGATGGAATGTTATGAACGGTGTGCTCTTATCTTGTAGGAACTCCTTCGTAGTCGATGAAATATCAACCGTTTTGGAATAGAAAATTTTTTTTCTTTTGCTCTCTTTCGTAACAAATCTGGTGAGAAACAAATCCATTCTAAAAGAGTTTCAGGTAGCGCAAAGGGTACAGGGACAAAAATTAAAAAGATGAAAGTTTGGTGCGATGATCATCTTAACTACATCACTGACAAGTTTTCGACAAATATGGACATCTTTAGAATTCTAAGCAGAGGAGCATCTTTAAAGAAATCAACAGATGTAACTACTGATTATGCGCTTCCATCAGCTAAGCAAAACCAAACGCGAAAACATAAAGAAGAGTCGATCTTGAACCAAGTTGAAAAGGAGACCGATTTCTTTCACACAAGAAAACATACAAAACAAGTACCAGAAAAGGAGGCAACAGAGCCTGTATTCACTAAGCAAGAAAAAGATGATGATGAAGCCCCTCCACTAGTGTTGAAAGATGCAGAAGATGCCAAAAAGTTTAGAAACCTACATAGATCCAAAGTCACGGGTGATGACATTCCTACTCCTATTGGTTCGTTCGAAGACATGATTGGAAGATTCAAAATTGACAAGAAGCTTTTATCGAATCTTATTGATAATGACTTTATTGAACCCACGGCCATTCAATGTGAATCAATACCAATTACTTTGTCCAATAGAGATTTGATTGCGTGTGCCCCCACAGGTTCAGGTAAAACATTGGCATTTTTAATTCCATTGATACAACAGCTTATTATAAATCATGTTGATAAAAACTATGGAATCAGAGGGTTGATTATATCTCCAACAAATGAGTTGGCCGTGCAGATTTTCCAGGAGTTGGAGACTTTAGTTAGGGGAAAGAAACTTACGATTGGTATACTATCAAAACAATTAGCAAGTAAACTTAATAACGATATCGTCAAGGCATCTAAATATGACATCATTGTGTCCACTCCATTACGTTTGATAGACATTGTGAAAAACGAAAAGATTGATTTGTCTAAAGTAGAGCAATTGGTTATTGATGAAGCAGACAAACTATTTGATCATGGATTTGCCGAACAAACCGATGAGATCTTAAACCATTTGACAAACCCAAAGATACGAAAATCAATGTTTTCTGCAACCATTCCATCTGGGGTAGAGGAAATGGCCCATTCGATCATGAAGGACCCAATTAGGGTAATCATTGGACACAAGGAAGCTGCCAGTACTACAATTGACCAAAAATTGGTATTTACTGGTAACGAGGAAGGTAAGTTGTTGGCAATCAGGCAAATGGTTCAAAATGGTGAGTTTAAGCCACCGATTATAATATTTTTGCAGTCCATTACCAGAGCCAAAGCGTTGTTTCATGAGTTGGTTTATGACAAGTTGAATGTGGATGTGATCCATGCAGAAAGGACACCGAAACAAAGAGACGAGGTGATCAAGAGATTCAAGAATGGAGACATTTGGGTTCTTATAACAACTGATGTGCTCGCCAGAGGTGTTGATTTCAAGGGTGTTAATTTGGTCATCAACTACGATGTTCCACAAAGTGCACAAGCATATGTCCACAGGATAGGTAGAACAGGAAGAGGTGGAAGAGCAGGTAGAGCAGTGACATTTTTCACAAAGGAGGATGACAAAGCAGTGAAACCAATAATCAACGTCATGAAACAATCAGGATGCGAGTCCGGGTTTAGTGAATGGATGGAAAATATGGGGAAACTTAGCAAAAAGGAAAAGAAAAACATCAAAACCAATGAGGTTAAACGAAAGAAGATTAGCACGGTTCCAAAGATTATCAAACAAAAGAGAAAGCAAAAACAAGAAATGATTGCCGCTTCAAAGAAAAGAAAACAGGCAGAAGGTAACTAAATTAGACTATGTGTGTCTCTCTCTCTCTCTCTTTCTCTCCCTATACTCAATTGTTTATAATACACAGTTTATCCAATCTATTAATGATGAGCATCACCTTTGTTGGTTGGGTAACCAAAAAATTGTCTTCTTCCAATAATTTCTCCTACGGCAAAGAACCCAGCCAATTGAATACCGTAAACACCGAATTTAACAGCATCTTGAGCATTTGGCTTGTATGATTTAGCTTGCTCGATAAGCTTTTGTTGTTCAGATGGAGTTTTCAACCATTTAAATGCATTTTGGTAAACAGTTTCAAATTGTTTGATTGATGGTGGGGCCAAACCTTCCTTTTTGTAAACGGTTTTTGATAATTCAGCACCGACTTTTGACCAGTATACTGCACAGTTGACGAATTCTGATGATTTGGTGACTACAGAGCTAACCAATCCAGTGGCTTTAGATATTATTGATGACATTGTTTGAATAGGTGGGACTGCTTTTTGTTCTTCAGTGATTTGATTTTTTCATGGAAGTTTTTTCTTTTCTCCTCCTCTCTTCTTCCCAAGAGAATTTTTTTTTGTTAACCAATTAGATTTGAAACGGGTTGACTTCCGCATTGGGTAATGTATTACACTATAAATCTCTTTGCATAAAGTCTATCCTTTCTACAACTGTACACCAAATCTATCTGGCCAAATGACAGGGGCAACCAAACTCCAACCGTACAAAATAAAACACACCCACGAGCTAACAATTTTGACCCAACTTGCAAAATAGGTTCTTCCTACGGGGACAAAATCACCATAGTCATCTTGCTTGACGTTGATTGTCAATAATGTAGCCACATATTGAGTAGCCAAAAAGAAAATGATGTGGAACAACGAGTAATTGTACTTTACAGTTGATCTTTCCTCGTCGTTCACTTCTTCATCTTCATACAAGTCCACTTGGTTCAATGCACTCTCAGGGAGCGATCCTTCGTCTACTGCTTGTTTAAGAGCTTGGTATCTCATTTCACTTCTAGCTCCCGGTTGAGTCGTTGTGGTGCCTGGGGTCACAAAATCTTCAGCTGATTCTGAGCTGAATGCAGAATTTGCTGCTGCTCTTGTTGTGGTGTATGCAACGGCTATAAATGTAAAGAATGCACCCAACACAACACTTGCCGTCCTTGTTCCCTTTGATCTAACCAATGGGTTGCAATATTTGTCATCGGGTTCAGAGGCAACTGCACTCATGACCAAGTATGTACAATAAAACACAACCATTGACGACTGTGCCAAACCAGCGTGTGGGTTGTATTCCTGTACTGTATTGTGTATAGACAATGCCGATATAATCGTAGCGAAAACCAAATTCAAACTGATTGCCGTTTTATTCATTGAACATCCTTTGCCTGCAAAAAACCAATACATAACGACAGTCAAAATGATACTACCAATGTACATTGTCAAAGTACCACCAACCAACAACTTCTTCCAAAATCCAGCATCGCCCTCACCTGTCAACTCTTCCATTTCAATCTTTTCTAAACATTTTTCAGCCCATGCGTGGGCAAAGTCAACCAAAAGAATCAATCCGATACCCAAGAAGATTGTTGAAAAGACGATTGCAATATGGTTTCCATAAAAGACAAAAAAACTATCAGGAATCATTACGAAATTGATGAAAATGAATGCCATCCAGGCAAAAATCTTCATTTTCCAACATCCGTTTTGAATTACTGCCCTCGGGTTCGCGGTTGATTTCACATTCACTAACAACGCCGCTAAAATCAAATGCAACAATCCCAAGGCAAAATTGATTCTGTGCACCGATGTGAAGCTGATACATTGACTTCCATCAGGGCCACAACTAATGTTAATAAACCCAAAAGTAGCCTTTTCTAGTTTCCGAATGATGAAGGGTGACAACGCAATCCACGATATTAACGAATTCACCAACAATAGTATTGCATATGTTATTCTTGTCATGATTGACGACTTGAAAGTGCCACCTATCGATGTGCAGAATGCAGAGCACGCCGCTGCACCAAAACAAGATGCAAGCGAGGATATAGGCATTAGCGGTAAGGATATGGCAGCTCCCATGGTTGATAATGGATTGTAAAGTGTGATCGATTTGGTATCATTTTTTTTGTATTTTTTCGCCTTACACTTTTTTATCAAAGGTCATCATCATCAATTACGCCTAGAGTTTATCATCAATGTCATTTAGGAAAAGAGGAGAGGTATTGGGAGGTGGTGCCACCCCACAGAGAGGACCTCAAGGTGCTACATCTTTAAGACAGGGCAGTGTTCCAATTAGAGGTGTCCCTGCTTCAACATCATCATCGATTCCAAGAAGAGGTCCAATTTCAAAGCAAGCTGCTGCGACAACAACAACTCCGGATACGTCCATATTAGACAATCCTGCATTCAGACCTTCATTGATTACCTCCCAACCAACTATATCAACTGGAAGTTCCGATTTGGATAAAATTTTACTACATCAGGGTTTACCATTGGGGCATTCATTGCTTGTTGAAGAATCAGGAACTACTGATTTCGCTTCGGTGTTACTACGAGCATTTGCCTCGCAGGGTGTCATACACAACAGAATTGCACCTAATCAATTGAACTCACATGTTATTGTCCTTGGAATGAGTCCACTTTGGTCAAACGATTTACCAGGTCTTTATAAAGGCTCTTCCAAGGAACAAAAGAAGGCCAAGATTGCTGAAAATGAGGCAAAAGTCAGTGTGACAAACATTGCTCATGGGACCAACGCTGTGCGGAATGAACTGAAGATGAAGATTGCGTGGAGGTATGGTTTGAATAAGAAAGATGATGATAAGGAGAATGAAGTACGTGGAGCTTATGAATATTATAATAACCAATTCGATATCACGCAAAAGTTGCAACCAGGTCCCAATCCTCAAGATATCAGTTATATTCCTTTGTCAAACACTGTTGCTAGTATAATGAGCCAGCTTACGAGTATTGTAAAGTTGCAGCTCAAGACCAACCCATCAAAAGTGATTAGACTTGTCATCCCTGGGTTCTTAAATCCATCCATATATGCACCTTCACACATTACATCCACTTTTGTTTTTCCATTCGTGCACTCACTCCGGTCTTTGCTTCGCCAATTTGAAAATAATTTGGTACTCATTTGCTCACTACCTCTTGACTTGTACCCAAGGGATTCAAGTTTGACAGCAATTTTGGAAATCTTGTTTGACTCAGCCATTCATCTTCAACCATTTAATCAAGAGATGAGTCAATTGATTGAAAAAGCATACAAAAATGAGCCATCAAAAATACAACAAGGTTTGGTAAACATCATTAAGCTTCCTATACTATCAGAGAGAGGTTTGATGATGATCCACGATGGTGAGTTTGCTTTCAAAAATGGAAGGAAAAAGTTTGAGATTGAAGAATGGGGTATCCCTGTGGAAGACGATTCAAAAGAAAATGAAACACCAGAGGGAGGAAAGACTGTCAAGAACATAGACTTTTGAAATGATTAGGGTGAAATCTTTGTATATGATTGTTTGTGTGTAGCTGGTTTATAGATCCCCGTTGCAATTTTTTGTGCCTCATTTCAAGATCTTTAGTTCATCTTTTTTCTTTTTTGGTTGCAAAACATACATCAGACACACACACACACACACACACACACACACACACGCACACACTCCCTTTAGCCACATCGCCATGAGTTTTACTGAACAAGTACAATCGATTGACCTCCTCCAGGATCAAGGAATCAATGCAGGTGATATCTCCAAGTTGAGATTAGCAGGGATTTGCTCTATTGCCGTAAGTTGTTGTGATTGGAGTTTTTGTTGCGAAGTTTGGCTAACCTATACGTAGTCTGTTTTATCAACCACAAGAAGAAACCTTGCCAAGATCAAGGGGTTGAGCGAGGTCAAAGTTGAAAAGATAAAAGAAGCTGCTGGGAAGATTCAGGTAAGTGTCGCAATCTCACCACATTTGATCTCTATACTAACATGTGTCGCAGACCACAGGTTTTGTTTCTGCAAGTGTTGTTGCTGAGCTTCGTGAAAACGTATTCAAGATAACTACTGGCTCTAGTCAATTTGACGAGATGTTGGGAGGTGGTGTAACCTCTATGAGCATCACTGAAGTTTTTGGAGAGTACAGATGCGGTAAAACTCAATTATGCCATACGTTGTGTGTTGCGGCGCAGTTAACTAAAAGCCTCGGTGGTGCTGAGGGGAAAGTTGCATTCATTGATACTGAGGGTACTTTCCGTCCAGAGAGAATCAAGGCTATTGCTGAGAGATTCGATGTTGATCCAATGGTTTGTCTTGAAAATATATCATACGCCAGAGCTTTAAACAGTGAGCATCAAATTGAATTGGTGGAACAATTAGGCTCTGAATTGGCAACTGGATCTTACAGGTTGTTAGTTATTGACTCCATTTTGGCTTGTTTTCGAGTTGACTATTCTGGTCGAGGAGAGTTGAATGAGAAACAACAAAAATTGAATCAACATTTGGCTTACTTGACAAGGGTTGCTGAAGACTATAATGTTGCCGTCTTTTTAACAAATCAGGTTCAGAGTGACCCTGGTGCTAGTTCTTTGTTTGCTGCTGCTGATGGAAGAAAACCGGTCGGAGGTCATGTTCTTGCTCATGCATCAGCTACCAGAATCTTATTGAGAAAAGGTCGTGGTGATGAAAGGGTTGGAAAGTTGTTGGATAGTCCAAACATGCCTGAGAGCGAGTGTGTATATGTTATTGGTGAAGGTGGTATTAAAGATAGCGAGTAATAATAATTATTCCCAATTAGGAAATGATATATAATGCGACGCGTATGAATTTTTTTTTGTGTAAAGAGAGCTCTTTTTTAATCACCAAAAATCAATACCTAAGTATCTTTCTTTCTTCTTCAACAGAGCTTTCCTCTAAACAAGCAATGTCTTCGTCACCACCACATAGCAACAGCAACAATGCTAACACCTTCATGGGTGATTCGCTTGATCGTAATTCGGAATCCATATCTCAAAGTCAACAACAATCGGTTGTTCCTTCGTCACCATTATTTTTCAATTCATCAAATCCTGGTTCAGATATAGCCAATTCACAGAATAGAGGAAATGATATGTCATCACCTTTACACTACACTTCATCGGTGCATCACACGTCTGAGATTGGAAACTTTAGCTCTCAAAGAGCTAGCAGGGTTCATGATGTTGATAGAATCATGAGAATACACCAAAGAAGTGACATTAACGATGGTGCTTCATCGCCACTGAGAAGAACTTTTACTCAATCGCGCGGTAACAGGCAGGGCTCTACATTGAGATCTACTTCGTCTGCGTTCAACTCTGATCTTGTTGAACCTGACGAACCAACAAGAGTCATTTGGGGAACCAATGTATCTATTCAAGAATGTTCTCAAATCTTTAGGGAATTTTTGTTGAGCTTCAAGTACAGGTACAGAAAAGAAGCCGATCAGCAGGAAGTTGAACCGGAAGATCATGAGTTGTACTATGTTAGCAAGTTGAATACGATTAGAGAGTTGGGTTTGAACAATCTTAACTTGGATGCAAAGAACTTGTTGTGCTATCCTCATACTAGGAAATTGTACCATCAATTGATCAATTATCCGCAAGAAATTATCCCAATCATGGATCACACAATCAAGGATTGCTTGATTCAGATAATTCAAGACAGTGAAGAAGATGACATTCCTGCAAAACTTGATGAAGTTGAGACTAAAGTGTACACCATTCGTCCATACAACATCAACTTGGTAGAAAAGGGTATGAGAGAGTTGAATCCCAATGATATTGATAAATTGGTTAGTGTCAAGGGTCTTACTTTACGTTCGACTCCTATCATTCCTGATATGAAGGTTGCGTTTTTCAAATGTAATATGTGTGGTCACACTGTTGGAGTCGAAATTGATCGTGGTGTCATCTCTGAACCTACAAAGTGTCCGAGAGAAGTTTGTGGCCAATCAAATTCAATGGTTTTGATCCATAATCGTTCTTCATTTGCTGATAAACAGGTTGTTAGATTGCAAGAAACCCCTGACTTGGTTCCTGACGGACAAACTCCTCACTCCATCAATTTGTGTGTTTACGATGAATTAGTTGACACTTGTCGTGCTGGTGATCGTATTGAAGTTTGTGGAATTTTCCGGTCATTGCCCGTTAGGGCCAATTCAAGGCAACGTGCATTAAAGAGTTTGTACAAGACATATTTGGATATTGTTCATATTAAAAAGATTGACAAGAAGCGTCTTGGTGCAGATATCACTACCTTGGAAAATGAATTGGCAGAGAAGGATCAAGATGTTGAGGATACAAGGAAAATTACTCCTGAAGAGGAAGCTCAATTGAAGGAGATTTCACAAAGAGATGATTTGTATGAAGTATTGGCAAGGTCATTGGCTCCATCAATTTATGAAATGGATGATGTGAAAAAGGGTATTCTTTTGCAATTATTTGGAGGCACCAACAAGACCTTTAAAAAGGGTGGTAGATATAGAGGTGATGTCAACATTTTACTTTGTGGTGATCCTTCAACTTCTAAATCACAGATTTTGCAATACGTTCACAAGATTGCTCCAAGAGGTGTTTACACTTCCGGTAAAGGGTCATCGGCAGTTGGTTTGACGGCGTACATCACAAGAGATGTTGACACTAAACAATTGGTTTTGGAGAGTGGTGCTTTGGTATTGTCTGATGGTGGTGTTTGTTGTATTGATGAGTTTGACAAAATGAGTGACTCCACGAGATCAGTTTTGCATGAAGTTATGGAACAACAAACGATTTCCATTGCTAAAGCTGGGATTATCACCACATTGAATGCAAGAACCTCGATATTGGCATCGGCAAACCCAATAAATTCTCGTTATGATCCAAACTTACCTGTCACCGCAAATATAGACTTGCCACCACCATTGTTGTCACGTTTTGATTTGGTTTATTTGATCTTGGACAAAGTTGATGAAAGACTTGATAGACAATTGGCTAGACATTTAACGCAAATGTATTTGGAAGATGCCCCAGATACTGTTACCAACAATTACGTGTTGCCAGTGGAGCAATTGGCATTGTATATCCAATATGCCAAGGAGAATTTCAACCCGACAATTACTGAAGAGGCCAAAAATGAGTTGGTTCGAGCATATGTTGAGATGAGGAAACTAGGTGAAGATGCTCGATTATCAGAAAAGAGAATCACGGCAACTACCAGACAATTGGAATCAATGATTAGATTAAGTGAAGCACATGCCAAGATGAGATTCTCCGATAGAGTCCAGTTGATTGATGTCAAAGAGGCTGTTAGGTTGATCAAATCGGCAATTAAAGATTACGCAACCGATCCAGTTACTGGTAGGATTGATATGGATATGGTTCAAACTGGTACTACTTCTCAACAAAGACGTATTAGGGAGGATTTGGTCAATGAAATTTTGAAAATTCTTGATGAGAATAACAATTTGATTAGGTTTAATGATTTAACCATGAAGCTTAATGAAAGAAGCTCATTTAGGATTGAGAATCTGGACATCAATGATGGACTAAGGAGGTTGCAACAAGAGGGAAAGATTATTGAAACTGGTGATAATCATAGAAGAACCATCAAAAAGATTGCCGTCATCTAAGAGGAGGTCAGTCTGTAAATTATTTTCAGTGTGTATTAATTAAAGTGTTTTCGATCTATAAATATGTACCTACGCTGTCACCACCTTGCTCTGCTTGCTTTCCACCATCATCCAGTTCAACTAATTTCAAAAACTCTTCCAACTCCTGATCCAATTCAACATCGTGGACCGATCCATATTTCGTCTCGCTGGTGAAGGCATTGGCCAATTTCAATTCTTTGTCCAAATCAATCAAATCACCACGTGTTAGCTTAGTAATGATTTCACCCAACAAAGCAAACTTCATCGTATATGAATGCTGCAACGAGTCTAAATCACGACGGATCTTGAGTAAATCAATCATGACTGATGTACATATAAGTGAAAGTATTAATGATTTTGTTGTTGGTGTTTTCAAAAGTGAATATAGCTTTGGTTTGGGGCGAATGTATGATTGAGCCGTGGTGGAGTTGTGTCGTATGGATATATTGCGGAATAGTCCTGTATAGGTTCTGGGGAATATCATCGTTTGGGTGTGGAAGAGGTAGGGGATTTGTCTAGCTTTAATGATGAAGAGCTTGGCTAAGATCTTCAATGGAAAAGAAGAAGAAAATGAGAATTGCGGTCGTGTCTGTTGATAAAATAACTCTCTACAAATCAAGACCAACCTAGGTTCCCTGCATACCAATTGAGGCGCTTAATCCATTTCGGCGTTTACTGTTTGATAATCAGCTGTATAGAAGACTCTCATTACTTCTGTTCCCACTGATTTGAGTGAGCGTTGCCAGAATGGGAAAAATGGTTGCAAATTTCGGGCAAAAGTACAATAAAGTTGAAGAAAAATGGTCTATTTGTAGTTCATTCATGAAACCGTCAATATACTTTAAGTAATCTATTACCCCCAATACAAGAAATGACGCATTGTTACCTCTTGCAATATTTCAACTCAGCATACCGTAACCCTGGGTAAACAATGCCGCTAAATCCCATACACAACCACATGGCAATATCACCACCATACTCACCACCAATTCTACGCGCAACCGGACCAACCCAATAAGTTTGCGACATGCCAACAGCAGCACCAGTAGCGCCAATTACAAACGATGCAGCAGCTGCCCATCCGTGAGTTAGCTTATCATAGTCGTTCCATATTTTGAAATTGTAATGATGAGAAGTAGACTGTTTCATGTTGAGGGGTTCATTAGAGCTGTCCTCCACCGATGATGGTGCATCATACGATCCATCCTCGGCAAATTCCAATTCATATAAGTGGTGGAATCTGTTTGTCCTAAAAATGGTATTCTCTTCCAACAATAATATGAAATACATAGAAATCCAGTACCCAATCATGGGTAAGAAATTACCCAAGATTGTTGAAAACTCATTTCTTCCAACCAATGCAGCCACTAAGTAAATTGCAGTTACCACGATTGCCCAAAACCACCGCGGAATTTTTGCTAACCAACCACCAGCCATCTGTATATCAAATGCTGCCGAGTATGTATTAAGAATATTGTTTGAAATCAAAGAAAGAAACATAATTACAAGTAAAAACTTGCCACCACCACCCCATGGTTTGAAAGCTTCATTTAATAATCCGCCCATGCCCCATTTCGCATATGCGTCACCCCATGGCTTGTATCCAAGAGCAACATTACCAATAAGTAAACCAATAATACCAACAAAAGTTGTCGGCAAAAATGTTCCCAAGAATGTGACTGTAAACACTTGGTAATCGGGAGTAGACTCTGGAAATAAGATGTAGTAATCGGATGCGATTCCACCCCAAGTTGACGTTATTGAATAACATAGGGAGAAAAAACTCAACCAGTTACCTTTGATGGTTGCTGAATCCACTATAGCATCTCCTAAAGTCAAGTGCTGGAACTTCTGTGAAGCAACAATATACAACAACAAAAATGAAAGATTGACAGGAACGCTGAGAAATGTTTCCACTCTCAACAACTGTTTAATCCCGCCAACGGCAACAAGAAGCGTAACCCCAGCAATAATAACGATCCCCGCCCATAATGGAACTTTATCATCACTTATACTAGCCAAGATTTGTCCACCAACAACACAGTTAACAACTGACCATCCCAACACACCAATAATACAAACTAATGCCACTAGTTTCACAAACCACCACCCAAAAAGAAACCGAGCACTAACAATTTGTCGACATCCTGATCTTGGTCCCATCATTGAACAATACGCCGCCAATACACAACCAAGACCTTGTCCAATAATTCCTGCAATTAATGTGTTGCGCAATCCAAGTTCGAATGTCAATGGCCCTAGAAAAAAGGACGACATTGATGTGAGGCCTCCACATGCTGAAAACCATAGTCCTAGTACACTTATAAATTGAGCTGTTTTGTTGCAAGATCTTTCATAAGGCAAAACGCGTTCTAGTCCTCGTGTTTCGACCCCTAACGAATCTAATTTCTTTGATAGTATGTTGAGATAGTGGAAGATTGAGTCATGTTGCGTGTTAGGGGTAGATAACGTTGATGTGGCAGTTGATGAAGTAATTTTTGTCAAGCCATTGACAGCATTGGTTTGTGTCTTTGCTATTTTGTCGTCGTCAATGTCTTCTACTATGCTATTTTTGGACATGGTGGGAACGATATTGGAATCAGTGTGTTAAGAGAGTGAGCGCTTGCTTCATAGTTGCTTTTATATCTGATTCTCCTTGATGAACATTTTTATAAAAAAACTCTTCTCCGGCTTCCAATGGTCGTTTATGCGCATAATTTATCGAATGTTCTTTTGTGTCACGAAGAGCAGGTGCTGAATTGCTGCTTGCACGTCAACACTTTAACCAGCACTGAAGTGATATAGACCAGTATCAGGGACGACTTTATTTCATACGTATGCTTGTGTGCGTGATTACCCAAACTTTAACGATTGGTAAACAAATTTGTGTAGATTTAAAATATTTGGGCTGCAAGAAAATATGCGCTTTTGCGACCTACCTAAATTTAAATTCTTTTTTTTGCCATGAGCCGCACCACTTTGTTTTAAAGGCGTGAAACACCAACTTTTGACAGAACTGACTAGATTTGATAGTTGTTGCAAAAGCCCGAACAATTCCAGAGCTAACAGCAATTCACCAATGAAAGAACTTTGGCGTTATATTCTCATCTCAACACAAATCAAAATTAGCATCATTGAAAGTAATAGTGCGATCTTCAATTATCTGTTGTGGTCGTGTAGTAATCGGAATGAGAACACAACACTAATGAAAGCTACAATCTGCTATCTCAACTTGCCGTGTATGAATGCATTCCACTTAAGTATATACTATCCTTAAGTTAGTAGCAGTACTATATGATCTTTAACGACGGTATACTGCAGCATGTTGTAATGCTCTCGGAAATCTAGACCTACAGAATAGTGAAAAAAAAAAAAAATAATAATTGCCTACTAGCCAAGTCAAATTTACAAACGTTTGTGTTTCCTAATTCGGAACAAACATGAACGCAAACAAAAACAAAAACAAAGAAATGGATTGTTGTTTAGGCTAAGGCGGGATACTCGAAGTGGGGCTTGCTTCGTGGGGCATGAGGCAACTTTCATACGTTTTCATCCAAGCGAAAACAAGGTTAAAAGGGGCATAATTCAAACTCCGAAAGTCTAGACTTCTAAAAGAGAAGTAAAGGAGATGGCTCTTTTTCATTTTGAACTCTTGAGCAACTTCTCAAATTTCCCTTTTGTAGTGAAATCATGGTATTGGAGACTACTTAATACAGTTTTGGTTCAAGGATGGTCTTAGAGATACGATTGTCTTCTTCTTTTGAAAACTATCCCTTTTCTCTGAAACAAAAATCAAAGGAAAAGTACAAAAAACAAACCCTTGTAGCTTTTTTGTGTAATACGAGCAATGAAGGTTTCAAACGGGGGGTGTAAAATCAGAGAAAAAAAAAAAAAAGCTTTAATCAGGTCTTGAATAAGCCGAATTGATGCTGAATGCGTGCTAATTCGGCAATACTGTCGTATATTAATTGGCAGGAGACACTTGAAGTTTGCAATTTTCAATCTAGGCGTCACGAAGATGCAAGGCTTATTTTAATGTAGTATCTCGCACCACCGATGACGACGATAATTGTGGCGGCAGCTATGATTGAAAATTCAAGTAATTCCTCGGATAGAATAAAGAATATTGATATGTGTATTCTTTTTGTTTCGGGCTATAGGAGCACGTGTTTCTCCTTGCGCTTTTCTATCATTTTTGCTCAAAAACATCCGATATTCCAGCTATTTTTACAAGAAATATTGTTTTCATTCCTCGGCATGGTGTTTTGTGGTTTTTGTACCGCTTTTTTACAAAAAAATAAGTTCGTAAAAGGATCTCCATAGTTAATTGTCTTTTTGTACCAAGAAAGATGCCCAAGTACTCCTTATACAAAACGAGTGTCTCAAAACAATCTTTACGAAAAACACTCATAACCACATTGTTCACATACCTGGAGGAAATCCCAATACAGATGCAATTCCAGATTGTAACTGGCATTTTAAGACATACGTACACTCTATGTACTATGAGAGTAATATGAGACAACAAGGTTCCACCGAACATGAAATCAATGTCTGACGTATATGCACTGCATGTTAAACAAAAAGAAAGGCCAAAATTCTTCTTTTTGGTTAGTATGGATGAAAGGAAAGGGAGTGAAATAAAGACAAATTTTAAGCATTCGTTAAAACCTTTGAACTTGCTTCTTCTCGACCTCGGACGTAGGGCCAATGGAAGTCTGCTGAGGAAGACGTCATTCGGGGATGCAACTTTGGTCCTTTTGCTTAACAAGGCAGTGAGTTAAAGGAGGCTTACAACTACATCCTTATAGGAGTAACTTCAAACGATTGCTTTTCTTCTTATCATACAAGAACAAAAACAATCAACGAGCCACAATTGCTAATTTGTTATTGACACAGTTTGAGAGTTTACAAACTGTATGTTAACACGGAAATCTCCAAAGGATACCCGAGGAGCCAGATACACCGAGTTAGACTTGGTAAGAGAAAACGTTTGCATATACAACGAGAGGCGCATCGACATAGCCCCCGTTTACACTTCTGTACTTTTATCCTTCTATTTCAAACAGTTAGTACCAAGGTTCATAACGCCAAGTGTAAGGGTGTCCCAGAATCCTATCCTTTTTATTTTATGGTGTAAATAATCAGTTAAGAATCAATTGTTTACATTCTGTTTTGTTCAAATAATGTAGATAAGTATAAGTTGATTTAAATCATCATGCAAAAGGATGGATTCTTATGAGACAGATCATTGATGATTTATGTTAGTTTGTTATAACATACTATTTCGTATCAGTAGCATCTGGTAAAGGTAGAGCATACTGTAGTTTATTGATGTAGTAATGTAGTGGAAAAGGAATAAAATTTTTCTTTCTCTCTCTCTCTCTCTTTTCCTTTTTTTTTTTTGGTTTTTAAAACAAAACTCATCTCTCTTAATGATAATGCGGCTTATATTTCCTAAAGAAGTAATTATTTTGTCACTGCCACAATCAAACAACACAGTAACAAAACTTTATTAAGAAAAGTATAATTACTTGGGATCCAAGCATCAATACAAACACAACAAAGAGTACAAATTTATTTTTGTTTTACACCCCCAGTTTAGATTGTGAATGTTGTGCCCCTCCTCCTTTGTCTTATTTGCCCCACCTTAAATACTTTCTTTGTATTGTATTGTATTGTATTGTTGTTTATTTCTTTATGATTTTCATTTTTATGCTTCATTACGCAAATTCAATACAAAGTGGATTATTTTGATTGACATCATTTTGTGTGCATAAATATATATATTATACACCACGTATCTATCCATCTATGTATCTATCTATCTATCTATGTATCATTGTCATGTTTTACAATCCTAGATCTTCCGAAATACGTCTCTTATACCTTTTATTGTTGCGTTGCTGTGGATGAGTGAATAAAGTGCGTGAACAAAAAAAGGGGGAGATGCGCGTGTGATTCTTTCTCTCTCTCATTTAGGTTCTGCATAATACTAAAGAGCTACCTGACATCAAGAAAGAAAACAAAGGAGACTAACTTGGGTTTACTTTCTGATATGTCAGGTGAGATTGACTTTTGAAATAAAGTGACAAAACAGTGTAACCGTAAGTTGTGTTATTATTACTATTACTATTACTATTACTATTACTATTACTACTATTATTATAATGTCGGCTGGTTAAAAATTTATAATTTTATAACCAAACGTTTGCTGTGTATATGAAACTTTTGGTATTGAAATTATTTTTTCTTGTGTAATCACCACCACAAAGACAGAGACAGAGACACAGACACAGAGAGAGACAAAAGTAGAAAAAAAAAAAAAATAAAAGAAAAGAAAAAGCAATAAGAATAAGGAGAGAAAGGGATATATATATATATATATACATATACATACAGACATTGATAGATAACCATTACAAACCATTCCTTTTTTTGAAAAAGAGCAAAAGATTATAAATATCCATTGAAATCATCACTTTTATACATCTCTACCACTACTACCAACACCACCAGCATCAAAAACAACACAACACAACACAACACAACACACTACACTACACTACACTACACTACACTACACCATACCACACCATACCACACCATACCACATCGCAATACACACCACGCACCACATCAACAATTAAAACAGCTGGTCTGATTTAAAAATACACATTCAATTCTAGAAACATAGCACACTATACATCTATACACACTATAAACCATAAAGGGACTACACTTCCACACAATTCACAATGTCAGTATTAACCACATTAGTCAAGATTGAAAAACACGTAACCACGGTATCTACGGGAGTAGTAATACTGCTCATCACACTAGGCATGTTGTTGCTACTCATTGATCTCACATTGTATATACACATGTGTTATATCAAACGGGATTTGAACAAATTAGACAAGGTTTACATAAGCTAAATATAATAATCGATACTCATTACATTCACATAACTTGTATCCTCTCTTTTCTCCTCCCCTTTGATGTACTTACAGCTTGCACTGACGAGAAGGGTATTGTATCGTAAAAGGCCCACCTTCAGTACCTTCAATGCCGTTTATATTGCCCATTGTCAATGGCCACTTGAGTTGTCTACTTTTATACATCAACAACTCAGGTTAGAGATGAACCACTCTCTTGCAGTGTTTACTGCAAAATTAGCAAAACTACAGTTTCAATTCAAAGATGCGACTTTGTATATTCAATTTGACTATAGATTTGTTTTATAAACAAAAACTTTTTTTTTTTTTTGAAAGTTTGACCCAAAAGTAAAGATCAACTTACCGAAATGAAATGAAATTGAACCCAAGAACCAATACCCAGCTCAGCTGGATCCTAAAGCCCAGCAAAGTGAGAACCCAAAAGAGAAATAGCAGCTGATCAAATAACCAACGTAAAAAACTGAAATGAAACAATAAAAACCCAAAACTCAAATGCACATCTTGTATCCTTCTATAGTCAACACTGCTTCTTTTTCATCTAATCACAGGATTCATCTTTGAAAATGATGACAATTTCAATCTCTTTACATTTAGAATCAATCGAAGCATCGTACAATTTCCAAAGACCACAATCATCAACTGGACATTCCCAGAATGTAGTGCAATCATTCAATGCCAACAAGTAATAATCATCCTTGTATTCAATCGACCATCCCTTATTGTACAAGGCATCTGGTTGCACTGGTGAATCGAATTGGAATTGATGGTTGGCAACAATTTCACCGGTTCTGTACTTGCCATCCTTCAAAACGGAGTCACATAAAGTAAAGTAATCGGTGGTGCAATCGGCAACAAGTTCCTCAATCGAGCAGTATGGGTGGCATAATGCTGATAATCCATTTGGAGTTGGAATTGGAGTTGGGACCGGTTTTGGCTTTGGCTTGTACCAACGCTTCTTCTTATCGTCGTTGCAATCGTCAACAATTGGCTCAGGTTCCGCACATGGTGTAGTGGTTGGCTCACATGGTGTAGTGGTAGTAGTAGTGGGGTGGCATCCGCAATCAACAGTAACTCCATTATGTTCCAATTGACCATCAGGCAACTCAAACACCAAGTAAATCACATCATCTTCATCACACAACTCCTTAACACCTAAAGCAAATTCACCACTGAATGAAGTGATGTCACTATCTTGACAACATGGGGTAGGGGTTGGCTCACATGGAGTAGTAGTGGTGGTGGGTTCGCAATCTGGTTCAGTGATTGGTCTTGGTTTGACGTAACCGGCTTGAGCGGTTGAAACTAAAGCTAAAGCAATTGATAAGATAGTGGAGTATTGCATAATGTTGAGATTGATGGACGAGGATTGGTATGATAATTGAGTTTGAGGAAAGCTCTTGGGGAATATGGTCCTCTATTTATAGTGTTTTTGAAATCTAGCAGTGCTCACTTATGAACACAGCGGCTCCACCTTCAAGATTATTGCATTCCCGCTCTTCTTGCCAAAACATACCACACCGGTCATTATACTCCGGTGAAAAAAAAAAAAAAGCGGCGGTCTAGTGGTATAACACATCTGAAAAACGTTTGAATGTGGGAGTGGGCCCGACATTGAAATGAAAATATCGACACACATCGCCAAGCCAAGCCCGCCTCCGACTGACCGCACTCAACATGTATGTGTGTATACTTTGCACCTCCTCAACATTGAATGTGTTTGCCTTTGGTTGTAGTGGTAACACACGTTGACAAGTGTATCCAGATACCACACAAGGAGTTTATCACACACATTGTGAGGAGTGACACACGAATATTAGGCTGTACTTGTAGGCTATCGTGTGTTATTGATTTGACAGTTTGGGGAGGGGGGAATACTCGTTTGTTCATTTGTAAACTAGTGTAGAGGTGTGTGACATCCTCCCCCTTCCTCATTTGTGTCTGTGTGGTGTGTATCTCCAGACACGTGGTGTTATTTCATTGTCGTATCCAGTATGGGCACCCCCCTTCAGGGCTTTATTGCTCAGCACAATCTCCTCGATCAAATGTGTACATCGGTTGTTCACTCCCCATACTCATGCAAATCCGCCAGTGATCATGCAAACTCCCCAATCCAAAGCTATCACACTCAAGAGAGAAAGTTATCTACCACCGCATGTCTCCTCTTCATGCCATGCTTTGTTTAACGCCATTCATTTGAAAGCCTTGTTGTGTTGTCATAAATCTTCAAGGTAAGAAGGCGTTGGTTTGTATTCTTGCTCAAGAGAAACTCCAGGCGCAATATAATTTTTGTCAACAAAACCTTCTAAATGTAAAGAGTGTGATGCACGTGACCTCTTTGTAACTAGAGATAAGTAAAAGTAATGTAATTAACCACACTATTTGAAAATAGGGTAATAACTTCTTTTGTATACGACGTCTCATATGTACTAACTTTAATTACACCATTCCTATTCTTTTTGACTTCTGTTTTTTTGTCATAACTTCAAACTAGCATGAATTAAGAACTAAGGGAAGATCAATCAACAGCAATATACAATATTTGAATCAACTGTACTTCCGATTCAAAATTTACTCAGTTGGAATTACAATTAACACGTTCATATAACTTTGTTGGAGAAAGTTTGCAAGTTTTGAGTACTCACATAAGTCGTGACAAGTATTTATAGAGAAACGTACAATTTTTAAAATTAAAAAATACAATAGCATACCATTATATTAAACACAATTCAAATTGGTATAAACAGACTGTTTCAAAAACACTCCCCTTGCTACTGTTATAGTCATGATGGATTTATATTATGAAATCGAAAGGTTCGTGGAAAACAAAAAGAGACCAGCACTGTAACAAAAGTGTTAGTATATCATCTCTTTGCAAAACATAGTGTATCGTGCAAATGCATTCTGAGAAACCGTTGAAGCGCGCTAATCACATTTCCAAGCTCTCCATCTCTAAAATCCGACTATCATATATCAATCAAAATCTTTTGGAACTACCGAGATGTGATGGTCTTTTTTAGCTTTTGATCAATACACGATTTCCGAAATGCTTAGGGGTTAAAAGCTCTGCCAAATGTATATTGAATCAACATTCATGAAACTGTAAAAATCATGAATGGTACCTTTGGCCAATCACTTCATTGAGTATGTCGAGTGTTTGGAGTAAAGGAATTGGGTAACATGAAATTTTGGAATGTTACCGTTATGAGGAAAATACGAAATCGAAGCTTTTTTGCAGCACTACTTGTACTTTTTTCTGAATAGCAAGTGTAAAAGAACAACGTCTCAATAACCTTCTTTACCTCCACTTGTTTACATAATGGTTGTTCACTTGTTACATTGGACCGAGAAAGCAAATGTAGTGGGATATCAAGTGCTATTTATATGTCGATAGCAGTTACTGCCTTAATTTCTAGTGGCATTTGGGAACTAAAAGCGTAAGGTAGAGTAGTAACAAACTTTTGGGAACTATAAGGACAGCATATCTAAGATGAAATACTTTGGTATGCGTTGAAAGTAATGGAAATCTTGTACTATTTGATGTTGTGGTTTTGTGTACAAACGACTCTTTTTTTTTTTTTTTTATCTCTTTTCTTGTTATTTAGGGGGAAGGGCGATGAAGTGGGGGTAATATTTTTTCTTTTTGTTTGTTGTCAAGACAGCCATTACATAGTTTTGAGAAAAAGGTAAGACCATTGAAATTATGGTATGCTACTAGTTAGACACTGGTTTCCTTGTAATGAGAGAGATGTCGACTTCATGCATATGGAAATTTGTAGCAGTGTGGTGTTGTGACGAAAAAAGAGGTTGATTGTGAAGTGCCAACGGCTCTTCATTGAGTTTCGTTTTTCTTTGGGCTTTATTGGTGTAAGTCAAAGCAGTTCAAAAGTAAATAGCCTTTTCATCGGAAAGCATAAGTCGATAAATGTGCCAGAAAGAGAGACCTGGTCTACAAACAATGATTGCAAACATATAGCAAAGTATTAAAATTAAAGAGCAAAAGGAGTAGAAAGCTTAAGCAAATATTAGAAAACTGTGCAAAGTGTATAGTGCAAAGAACACTCGCAACAATATCTTGAAACATGTTAAGCTACTTTTGTAGACGTCCAAGACGCAAAGTGGGATCTTCATTGCTCTAAGCTCACTAAAAGCTGGTACTTCATGCCATGCATGTTTCAACGAATTCTAGCCAACTCTCTTCGATTTTATATGATTTTGCTCTAGTAATATTGACGAAAAACACAATTCCACTAATCTAATGGCATTGGTCAGTTTCTTGTCAGAAACACTTCAAGCTGACAACAAGAGATTCCTCTTAATATCTAAATCATTCCCTAGTAGATGATTGATGCTTCGAAAAAAGTTGTCTGAATCCATGATGGTGTCATGAAATGTGAGAAGAAGAAGAGGGAAAAAAGGTAAAATTAGTGAAATTCAAAAGTGAGTATTTTGCAGCACTTTTTATACTGTGAAGGAAAACCTTTAAATAGGCGGTGGCGATTTCAAGAAAAGAAAGAGGGGATATCATTCTAATGTGCGTAACTCCATACACTTAGTCTCCAAACTCACATACGTTTAGCAAGGACGTGAATCATCTGAACGAGACTATATCTGACTACGCTTGCAATTCAGTAGTCTTTTGACCAAGCCTAGTCATAGACGTGTAGTTTCTGCAAAGGCCATGTGTAAAGGAGAACCAGCAGATTTTTACAATATGAACAAGGAGTCAAAAGCCATTGGAAGAGAAGTTGCTCTACTTAAATTATTGATGTATGAGTGCAACAATGGTGCTCGTGGTGGCTCTCAAAGTTAAGGTTATTCAGAATCAAACAAATAACAAAAATGGTTATGAAACTCATGCTCTTAATTTATAAGATTTCTTCGTTGCGGATGATAGTTCTACAAATAAACAAAAGAGAGTACACTATACAAGCTTGGAGGATGAAAGTTGTACCACACATTTCTGTATTTAGAAAATACCATTGCACTTAATGAATTACACAGTGTGATACATTAGTCTTTGTTATGTTTCTGATGTCGCGTCTGATTCAATGTTTTTACAATGTCGCGTTTAGTGTCGAAAATATAAACACAAAAAATCTCATTTAATGATAAGCACGAGAATGCCAAGAGTTTTAGTAAACTCAGAGACAATCTATTGTGAAATTGAAATGCTTTAAAGTTACATTGACCACAATCCTTTTGAAGACTCTAACTGCTTCATACACCGTCGATCTAGTAAATATTATGTGAAACCTTTAGTGATTTTTTTTTTCTTGATTGTGGCGTATATTGCTGTTACGAGATTTACGAAATGAAACTGGGTTACAAAAAAAAGAGTAGAAAAGGAAGTACAGAAGTAGTTGGTGCTGGTCTACCTTTATTGGAAACAGGGGCGGCATGCAATTCTATTTGCTTTGCTCGTTAGGTCGAACGTGCTCATCTAATGCATCATAAGCCACATTCAGTTGTGAGAAGAGTTAACAATAGAATAAGTGCTGTGCGCGTGTGCGTGTGTACCTTAACTAACGTTGAAACAGTAGAGAAAAAAAGAAAAAAACAATAGTTTTCGGAGGACAGACAAATAAAGTTGTTTGCAAACATTTTAATTTTGAGATTTGTTTACCATTTCATAATAAACTTTATTATATAGAATACAAACAAGAAACGACAGCGTGTTATTACTCAATCAAACTACCACCCTTTCTAACACTTGAATCACCATTCAATAATCAAAGATTACTTCTGACTACTCCTGTAAAGTTTCACAAACTAGTCGTGTACACCGGCTCAAGCGAAACAAAACTAAAGGAGAAAAAAGAGATCTAAACAATAAAAGTTTTTTGTTTTTGTGCGTAATGATTATGATGAGATTGTCTTTTTTGGATGTAGTTATTGTGTAGCCAGCTTTGACTATGTGTGTAATCACAAATGCCGTAAAATCGTAAACCAGAGTTTGAGGTGTCTTTTACCGAATTAGTAGTGGAACAACTCCAATTTGGAATTACAAGGAGATGCGAAAAGGAACGTATCCTCTGAAAGAGAGAGTGTGGCTTTGAAGAAATGGAAGATTGATGCAATCTTCTCGAACACGAAATCTTAATTAGAGTGGCTTGTAATGACTCTATGCTGTTTAGAAGTAGTGTGTTTCTCATACCCCCTCTTTCTCTTCTCAGAATGGGATAACTTACTCGAAGACAATGCTTGAAATCTCGCAATAAATTTTCTCCCTTTTCAAACGTTAGCAATCTTAAGGACAAAGGAGGGGGGAAGGTGACGTCAAACACATAAGTAGATATACAGTCATTTCTTTGACTTGAATCCCTTGAGTTGTCTGATGTTACTGCCAAGAGTTCCTTTCAAAATAAGAGGTCGGAGATTGTGGAGAGGGAATGACTTCAACGACGATGTATCTACAATGTGCATCAAGGGTGAGATCTTGCTTAGAGTGCTTTGGTGCGTGTATTGTTGATCAATTTTCTTCTAAAAGCAGCCGCACTGCAGGAACAAAACGGACACAAAATTGAGTAACATTCTAAAAAAAAAGTGTGGATCTTGTCCGACAAAATTATCGAAGGTAGGTGTTTGTGATGAGGTCCATATCTTTGTACACTAATGTAGTTGGGGGTAATCCACGGTTATTCAGATTGCAATTATAGCCAGTATTTTTGTTATATTTATGGTACCGTGATGATTTATGTAACCAAAAGAGATATAAGAGAGAGAGAGATAACAAAATGTAAACAAATAAAAAAATTGTTATACTGCATATAAAGAGCTATTAATAATAGAACAATAGTAAACAAATACACAGCACAGTTTATTAGTTTTGTGTAACTCAACAGAGAAAATAAGATTTACCATTGGCACACTAACACTATATATAAGCTAACATATCGACCCACTTTAAAAGCTTCATACGGCGACCGCACATTCAACTGGAGCTTGGTAATACATCACCATTCTTACTACAACTACAACTGCATCCTTTTCTACTACGCGTAGCAATAACAACTAATACCATTATATGGTAATACACGTGGTTAATCTATAAAATCCATCACAAAAAAACATCAAACTGCAACCACAAAAATTCAATCAACGAACAAAAAAAATTTTTCCGCCCTAAAAATTTAGATTTACCTACTAGGCTAAACTGCTACATCACCAGCATATTTTTATATAAAAAAACCATACAACCCAAAACCAATTCTCAACAACTGTTCCTTTTCTTTGGTAACTATCACACTTACAAGATACAACCACCCACATACACTCACACCGATACACTCGCTCAACATTGCTAACATCTATCGCTACTATCCATCGCAACGCAACATAATTTATAATTTATTTTTTTTGGATCTTCTTTTTTTTTTTTTGACTCAACGCATAATAGTACAGCCACATATAGAACTAAACATATACTACTAACGGGATTTTCACAATGATTGAGAAACTTACCAAGAATAGATCTAATCAACGCACATTTGTATACACAGGAGTGGTAATATGGCTACTTGTCATTAATATTTGGCTATTTTACACCTACCATTCACGTAATAGTGATCTGCGATACTTGTCAAAATCTTCCATATACGATCAATACGATCCTGCAAATGTTCAACCACCACAACTGCCTCAATTGCTAGATAAACATCCATCAGCAAAGACATTCAAGGATGATATCACCGTCAAGTTATTACAAAAACAGCAACTGAAGGAAAAAGATATACGTAAAATAGATGCTCATGCAACCATATACAACAAGATCTTTGCCAACCATGAAATTGACTCCATTTTCGGCAATCTAAATTTTCAACAACGATGCGATTTATTTTTCCAAAACTTGTTTATTGATGACAAGAATTGGATTTTCAGAGTTAATGAAAAAATCGAATTGGAGAATAAACATGAGTTCAAGTTTAATGATTGGAGAAAGAATCATTTGGAAGATTATAAAAAGGATTTTGCTGAAAAGAACAACAAGAATAAAGATGAAGTTGAGAAAACACCCGAGTTTGAAACATTTATCAGAAAGGGGTATGAAGATTTTTGGAATCGCACAATGACTTATGAACAAAAAATTGTTGATCACGTGTCGATTTTAAGAATTTTCAATAAATGTTATCTTACTAGCGACAACTCGACTCAGATTAAACGTACGGAAGAGTTTATTCAGAAACAACATAAGCTTATCCATGGGATCAATTTAGCTTCCAAGAGTGGGAAAGGAGTACCATCATTTTCCTACACTAAGCAAGAAAATCTCATCAACTTCAAATCAATCAAGCATAGTGCTTTTGAACATCGTGTTTACCCATGGTTATCATTTGAATATCCTATATATGAACGATTCACTGGGGAAGTTTTTTACAAACCACCACAAATGTCGAAATTCGTCAAGGATGAGCTGCAAAAGACTTCAAAATCATACAAGGATTCAGAACAGATGGATTTCTTTTTGAATCGATTCAAGAACAAATGTAACGGAAAGGGTATTGTTTTATCCATTGGTGATGATCATGTTGACGATACAGTACGATTAATTCATTTACTTCGAGCATTAAACAATAAATTGCCAATACAAATTGTCTATTATGATGATATACTGGAAGAAACCAAAAAGAAAATTGTCACTGCTGGACGTGAGGTTATAGCGACATTACCTAAATCATTTGATAAAGTAGCTCATCACTTTCCACCAGATTACCTCAAGAACGAGAAGGGATTACCTGAACAAGAAATTTGGTTTGTCAACACTTATAATGTCATTCATAGTGATTACAAGGATAAATTTAAAAGATTCGCCAACAAGTTTCTTGCTACATTTTTTAATTCATTTGAAGAAATCATGTTGATTGATGCTGATACAGTAATGATGCAAACACCAGAATATTTCTTCAATTTGCTAGGGTATAAGCGATCAGGAACATACTTCTACAAGGATAGAACCACATTCGAAACAAGACCAATGTCAGATGCGGTTTTTTTCAAAAAAATCGGACCTTCCGTTATTGATTCAATCATGTTTGATATCCCCATTATGACGAAATATACCTTGGATACCGATTTTTTCAAAGGCTTATTCCATTATCAAGAATCGGGGTTGGTTATGCTTAATCGGAAAATCCATTTCAATGCATTACTAATGATGTTTCAATTGAATTTTTATGAACCAGTGACAAAGAGAAGTCATGGTGATAAAGAATTATTCTGGTTAGCGATGGCCATTTCCGGTGAGGAGAATTATGTATTTGATGAAAACTATGCCGCTGCTATTGGTGTTACGACACCAGCTTCAGATAGACCCAAAGTTGATGGCCACACGCCTCGTGAATCAGTAGAACTATGTTCACCTCATCCAGGTCATGTATCTAGTGAAGATAATGCCCTTGTATGGATCAATTCCGGGTTCTTGTACTGCTCCAAATCACCACAATTGGATTTTGAAAAGGAAGCTGAACATAAAGATCGATTAAAATGGTTACATACTGCCGAAGAGTTTAAAGCATTTTATACTAGTCCATTGAGAATCCAATCGGCGATAATCCCTCCCATGGATTTACACAATTGGGCCATTAACAATGATGACGAACCTAGTCGAGGTTGGTTTATGGATAGTCGATATTGCTCGGGGTACATGTGGTGTGCCTATCTGTCAATTGGTGGGACAACCAAGACGGGTGAGAATAATAAACGTGTTGGTAGGGTTATTGATTTTAGTGTTCGTGAACAGGAAATGTTTCAATATTATGGAGATATCTGGGTCGGACTAGAATAAAAGGGAGGGAGGTACGTGTTTTGGGATGCTGTGAGCGGTGATTGGTTATACTTTATAGAGGTAGATAATACAAGATGAAACAGAACAGGATTTAGACAAGCAAGTCCTTTCTCTCTCCTTTTTCGTCGATGCTTACACATATAAACTCAACTTCAATCAATTGCATACAAATCATGAGGTTAATATTTCTATCTCTTTCTCATACGTGTATATAAAAATCTAGCATTAGCTTTTCTTTTTTTGGGACAAAAACCATGTCCTCATATTTATCCCATAATCTCAACAATCTCAGAACTAAAAACAAAAGAACCAATCATCAAAAAATACTAGACAAAAGAAAAGAAAAGAAAAGAATATATCACCCCTCTTCTCTTGCCTTTAATTCGCTTACTTCCTCCATTTGGGGGACCTCAAAGTAGGGACAACTCCAGTGGACTGAATTGTTCTAATCGGTGGTTGTTGTGGTTGTTGTGGTTGTTGATTCTGTTGTCCCCTTCTATTTCCATTATTGCTACTAATGGATCCACCACGTGGATGAGAATGAGTAGACCACGACTCGTCACAAATCAACTCGGCATACGAGCAACAATTTAATTGCGATTGAGTGTGTTTTAACTTTGGTGGACTATTTGGTGACAATGGCAATGTCGTTGTGTTTTCAGATGAGTTGAATGACGTGATTAGTGAATTTAAAGGAGTGAATGAATCTTCAAGACGATTATTGAATGAGTTTGTAGTTGATGACCTTGGTCTTTTAATGAATGATTTTCTTCTGCTTCCTGGTAGTGCTGGTGGAACTGGTGCACCATTAGCACTGTGTAAACTATTGGTCAAGTTGGAAATACTGGTGCTGCTGCTGCTGTTTGGGTTGATGGAGGTGTTGTTGTTGTTGTTACTGGTGGATGATGATGATGAGGTGTAATTGTTTAAGCAGTTTGTAAGTGATATAATGGAGTTGGTTCTATGGGGTGAACAACAATCTTGGACTGATCGTTCAAAGATTGCTGGTGGCTCAATATCATTTTGGTAATTGTCATTTTCTTCCAAGTCTCCACCATCTCCATTATTATTCACGTTTCCTTCCCCTTCTTGCAATAATAATTCATCACTCTCAAAAGTAAACATTGGTGGTTTAAGATCTTGGTTTAATGAAGAAGGGCTTGTTGGCAATGTGGTTTTGTGTTGTTGTTGTTGTTGTTGTTTGATTTCACGCTTGCTCGATTGTTGTTTGTCAGTTGAATCTTCAAAAGATGATGATGGAGCGGCCTGGTTTTGTTGTGGTGACATAGTTTTTTTAAATGTTTTGACTTTAAAACTGCAAAAGTAAGTTGTCTTTAGAATATAGCTACTTAGTAGTGGATGATAGGGGTGTAGATCTAGCGAAGGGTGTGTGGTGTTCCGAATAAGAGTTCTTTGGTTGTTGAAAGTAGATATATGTTTGTATATATATCCCTTGTTTCTGTCTTCAGGATTGTCGTTGAAAAAAAAAAAAAAAGAAAACAAAAAGAATTAAACAAACTTTAACTTTGAGTGAGATTTAGGGAGATTGTAGGAATAATGTTACACAAAAATTAAATTCCAAATTAATTAAAAAGAGAGAGAGGTCACTCAAATCGAAACACCACTATTCCGAGATCCCACAGATCTATAAAACATTCAAAAACCCCACAAAACACAATTCTCAACAACCAAACAAGAGCTATAACTCACTCTCTCACACCATGGCGAGGGAGTGTATTATCTTTCTGTTTGAAATTTGACATATATATATATATATATATATATATATATATATATATAAGCCTTGTACATAAGAAAAGAATGGTTTGTAGACCTATGTCAAAAGGGTGTTTCTTTAACCAATCAAATTGTGTTTATTGATAACGGAAAAAAGGAAATGAAAAAAGCCTAAAATTTAGCCAATGCGCACGTACCTCAATATAATCGAAAAAAAAAAAAACGCCGAGATTAAATTGTAAACACACAACAACAAAATCCACAACCAGCCAGTAAAACGACGATTTGTAAAGACACAGGTTTCGGGTTTTAAAAGATAATAATTCACGACCGAAAAAGATCTTCATCTATCTAGACCTGTCAAGTGGTGCAGAGTAAAACCTTTCACGTCTAACTTGTGTGGGTGTTGATGCTACATTTAAGTTTTAGGTTTAGGAAATATATCCCCTCTCTAGTGCCCCGCCTCCTGAATTTTTATTTACACCCCCCGCCTCTCGAATAACACCCAAACCACAGTTCCAAATTTTATTTGAACGGCACAAATTAAAGAAAAAAAAAAATTAAAAAGATAATTGTCTCAGATTATATGCAGTATTGGCAGTCTTTTTACCTTGATGGAAAATGTCACGTCAAACATTCCTTATTAGGTTAAATTACATTACCATTTATTGTATAGAGTTCTTTGATGGCAAAAAGAGAGAGGCTATGTGAACAGAAAGGAAATGATGTACGTCAAAAGCTTCTCTAATATACAAATTACGTCATAGGTGCAGTTTTGTGTGTACATGAATGACTTTTTCTCTTTTCCTCTCCATCTGTTTATATGCAGCGGATTAATTTTTCAGTTTCGGATTAATCAAACCAGCCAGTAGTAACACAAACCAAATCGAAATGAAATGTCACACATTTGCAGCAAGAGTTCAAACTACCCTCTTACCTCCGACGGCGTAGGTGTTTTGTTATCAAAAAAGTCGCTTAGCATGAGGATATTTGAAATAAGTTTTGGTGGCAAAAAGCAACAGCTAACTTTATGAAAGAATGCAGAGTTTTCTCAAGTTCAAAGATATATTTGAATTCGTTCTTGATAACGAAGAAAATTAATATTCTCTTCATTTTATGCGCACCTCTGCAAATCTTTGAATAGTAAGTTTATGAACAAAAATAGTGCCAAAATTGATGCCAAAATCGTTGCCAAAATCGTTGCCAAAATTGGTGCAAATATAATAAAACACAACCCATTTCAATTTCAAATCAAGTAATAGAGGCCCACGTCAAGTACCTCATATTTAGCTAACCGTATTTCATTAATACATAGTACGCGTTGAGCAAGCACCGGTACCGTCACCTAACTCCAAATTGTTGCAACAGAAGTGGTGATACACCCAATGCATCTAAAACAAAGGATTGTATATGGTTCCGAACACAATCATGCACCAACCATGTTGTTAGACATCATGATCATCTCTGGCACCTCTGATCTCCCTACATCTTTTGCAACCGAAACTCTCACCTGTCAAAATGAAATTTCATTGTCGTGTCAAATTTCAAAATTTGGGGAAAAAAGAAATGAAAACAAAAAAGACAAAAAAACTAGTAGACGTTTTATCAAGTGATAGCCTTTTACCTATAGCTTCCACTCAATGGCACAACACATATAATGAATAGCTCATCCACTTCAACGTTAGACAGCCATGCACCGAGAAAGACCACTTCGATAAAATCACTCCCGTCGTTACAGTCACGACAACAAACTCAAACTCAAACTCAGAACCAAAGTCATCATCATTTGCAACAAAATAGTCCGCAAAGACAGCGACAACATTCACTATCAGGACATCAGACACAATCCTCTCTGCAAAAATTCAGTCGTGGTCAAATGGAACGAGAGAGGGGAACCACTTTATCATCAATGAATATACCCATTCAGTCCGTGGATAGAAGTCAAAAGCAACAAAGGGGACAACCGGATCTTGAAATTGATACGAAATTGCAATCAGAACAATTGAGGATCCGCAGTGCAACATTACCCAACAAATCACCACTACGGCCTTCACCTTCATTTGCATCAACCGAGTCAAATGCTGAAAGCCCCACTTGGCTTTTAAGTGATTTACTTTCAAATTTGAGCTCACTCAAGGATAAAGATGAATATTCAATCGTGCAGAAATCAAACGATTTGGTGTCGTTGTTTCAATCGTATCCAAAATTGAAAGAAGAAGTACAGATAAAGACAGTACTTCCCAGGATTCAATTTATGTTGTACCATCCTGTTCCTGAAGTGAGATCATCATGTTATCGAATATTGCGGCATTTGATTGTCAATTATGATAGTCTAATCTTATTAGGACAACTGAAACTACTTATATTTATTATCACCAGTCTTGCCAATGATCAATATAAAGCATCGTTGATTGAAATGACACAAGCATTGAAGTTGATACGGCAGTATTTGACAATCGATAAAGGTGCCGACTTGTTATCTGTAGGAGTTATAAAAGCATTGATTGCTGTTATAGAAGGTGACCTGCATGATCATAATCATACCTTATCTGCATATGGATTACATGTAGCACCCATTCCAGAAGGTTTCAAAAATGCTTGTTTGGAAACGATTTGCGAAATTTCCCTTTTGAAGCCAGAATTAGTGTTTCATTCTGGTGGATTCAAATTGATGATTAATTCTATCATTGAAGGCTCGTTTGAAGTGTCATCAACATGCCTTTTAATCATTCTACGGTTATTGAGTTTCCAAAATTCAAGAAAGTTTGTACGGAATGGGTTTGATTTGGATTCATTGATTGCAGTTTTTTCAACTGATGAAGATACAGGTGATTCCAAATTCAAACATGTGTCCAATTTCAAATTGCAGAAAATATCTGTTCTCATATCGGTGTTGTTGCGTGATTTCAATGGATTGATTGCATTTTCCATCAACAATTTTACCAGCATAAAGAATTTATTGATCAATTTAAGCAAAAGAAATCATCGTGTTCAGGATCTTATTCTTGATATAATTCTTGATGCATTGAGGATCAAAGTATTCCCATGGTTGGAAAACTCGTCAATTGGTGACTTTATCACAAAATTCAATCACCAGTACCAACAAAGTCATTTGGCAATTAAAAGAAAATTCACATTTGAGTATAAAGATATCAAAGAGCCATTTGCAAGAGACATTGTCCATCACTATCAAGGTCTACTCACATACATATTGGTGAGAAACGATTTATTTGAAAAATTGTTGCCAATTGTTGAAGATGGCACCAACAAGAGTTTACAAAAAAAGGCAACGTTTCTTCTTCTGAAGCTTTACTTTATTGCCAATAATTACTTGCCGAGTGAGTTGGTTCTGAACAAATTGCAAATACCGGGAATTTCTGCTCACGTATCCCTAAGTAGTAACAAAAAGACAACTGACGTTGAAACGAGCCAATTTATCAAGTTCAAAATCAAAACCATCACCGCTAGGGCCAATTTTGATGTTGATGACGATGAGTTTAAAGCCATGATCACCAACAGTAAAGTTCTTACGATTAAGGAATTTGAACAATGGAATTGGCCACTTCTTACAACTTTGGTGCTGGGCCCATTAACATCTCCTAAACGCTTTGAAGAAATATTGGAAAGGTCACCGAAATTTTTCAAACGATTGGTTTCATTTTATCGTCCATTCAAGTACCGGTTTTCATCAGTACATAATAATCGAAATGCATCAAAGTATATTGATTTTGGCTGTTTATTATTGGAAACGTTCCTCAGTACTGATGTTGGACTCAAGTATCTATCCTCGAGCAAGATCTTGCCGCAAGTGGCTGAAATTGTGGCCCAAATTGATCCTTTTAGTGGAATATCATCAAAAGATGCAATATTGAGTAAGAAACGACTCGAAAATACCGCATCGGTGGGGTATTTGCGCTTTATTGGGGTATTAAGCAGCAGTAATGAAGGATTGAGTCTTTTAACCAGCTGGCAATTGTTTACCATGTTTACCAACATTGTATCTGCTTCGAGTCAAAGTGAAGTGACAAATTTATTTATATTAACAATGTTCAAATATGCTGATTTTTCTGTTGAAAACTCGCCGTTTAGGATCTTGCTCAAGATGAGTTTAACCGTTTCAAATTTGAAAATTAGGACTCATTTATTGAAACATATTGTTCCTCGTTTGCTCAACACTTTTGAATGTCAGGATTTTTGCATTGGAGCCCTTGTCAATAATTTGTACGATACCAATCATGATATCGTTATTCGATCAATTGATTTGCTATTCAATCATTACCAAAAAAATAATTTTCAAAATCTACAGTCAATAATTAAGTATCAGCCAGTTGTTCATATACTTCAAAAATATGATACTGGACGTCGATTTCTTGTTCATTTTTTGAATGATTCACATGGGTTTCAGTATTTGGAATCACAGGGGTACCTCGAACATGAATTCAACAAGTGGTTTCAAATTGTTGATTTTGAATACGTAAGGAAATTGGAACAATTGATTAGATTTCAGTTTTTCCCCTTTGTTAGTCTTGAAGCATTCCATGCCCAAGGTAAACAAAACTTAGATGTTAGTGAAGTTGAATTGTCATCGTTATATTTCTTCAAGTGTCTTTTATCGACTGAAGAAGGTTTAACCTACTTTCAACAAGGAATGGCCCGTGATTTTTTTGATCAAATCTTGTCATCTGTGGAGAACATATTCAATCAGATTAACAACGATAATGAATTTCTTGATATTGATAACCAAGATGAACTTCATTGTGATATGCTCAATTTACTAAAGCAAAATTTATGGATTATTGGACAAATCGGTTCCGGGAAATATGGAATTCAATTATTGGATCCATTGTATAATATCAATTTGAAATCATCCATTGTTGAATTGATATTAGATCAGTTTCATCATTGCCCCATTTGGGAAATTAGAGGCGTATGTTTTTATGTAATTGGAATGATTTCAACCACAATTGAAGGTATTGAAATCCTTGATGAGTACGGCTGGAGTTCAGTATTGGACCAGTATGGAAACAGCATGAAGTTGGCCTATCCAAAGCCAGTTGCAACTGGTTCAATGTTGAAACATGGATCCTACGATGATGCAAACTTGTTCAATGTAGCTATTGTCAATCCTTACCAAGATGCCCAATATTTCAACATTTTCAATAGCATGATTGAAGAAACATCTATTGAAATTCAATCACCACTAACAATAAGGACAATTTTCGCAAATCTCCATAGTTTGAATTCCATCTTATCCAAGATTGAAATCAAGGCAATAAGAGAATTGAACAAATTGAAACTACATTCAAGTTCAATTTTTGAAGATGGTGATTTATTTCTTGATGTTATTCGATTAATTGATAAGGGTAATTTTTCATTTCACAAACGAATTTTCATTTTCAAATTGTTTATTGAAGATACTCGAGTGTTGGAGTCGATTTTGAAAAGAGAACGACGTGGATCGTTTAAGTTACAATTAGCAACATCTACATAGAGAAGCAATAAATGATAGACGTTTTTCTCTGTTCTCAATCTTTTTTCACTTTCTACGCCTTTTCTTACTTGATGAACTAGCAGCTTGTGGAGTCACGACCAATTTCCCATCAACTCCCAAATCAAATTCAACGCCACTATACTCATTCAATCGTTTCAACATTTTAATAGTCACTGGTTTACTTGCACCAGTAACTAAACTGGTGCCAATTGTGTGTTGATTACGTCGACACCAACTTTCAATTGATTGCGGGTTTATTTCTATCGAGGTCAAATCGTCGTCAATTAAATCAGGGACGTTTTCAATCAAGTACGCATTGAGTAATAGATTGGAAGATATGGGGATATTCGAGGGAGAAGCTTCTTGTTGTTGGTGTTGTTGCATCAATGGAGATAGCGTTTTGGCCAACCGAGGTACTTTGGCCACGATACGCCTTATCCTGTCTGCATCAAATGTGTCCAGAGGTGTGGATGTAGTGTTGTTGTTGGTAGTTGTTAATGTACTGGTGTTTTCAAAACACTCCAATACATTCAATATGGCTTGGTTTCGACGTTGGTAGTAACTCAATGTCTTTCGTTGATTTTGTTCTTCTTCATAAGTCTTTGATAGCTCGGAGGAGACAGTTTTGAATCGATCTTGTAGAGTATGATACAATTGTTGTAATTCGTCAAATGGCATGGTGTCAATATCATCTTCTTCATGAGTTGACGATTTCGTTGAGTCGGTGTTTGGCGCGATCTCTTGTTTTATGTATGGTGCTGATGGCGCTGTCGGTTGTTGTTCTGGCTGTGGTTTTGTATTTAGCAGCATTGATTCTTCAGTCATGGTGTTACGTTAGTGAAGTAAGGCTTTGAGTATGTGATCCGTCGGAGTGATTTTTTTTTTTTTGTTCATGAAAAACCACTACTACAATTCGAATCATTATACAACCAGTTTCATTACTCGAGTTTAATGACCAAAAAAATCAAATGCTTTTTTAGCTGAACGTATTATGTATGTGGCTGTGCTGCACTGAGTGGCATGGCTTATCAGGATTTAACTGGGACGATTTTTATGAAACCAGTTTCTCCACAATTTTTGAATACACCAACCCACTCAAATGAACTTTATTGAGATAAATTGAAGCATCAAGTAATACACGGTGAAGTAATTCATTACGCGTAGGGTGGTCATGACGGGGGGTGTTTGCTTTGACGTGTTAATAGGAGGGTGATGTTCAATAAATTGAAGTAATGCCACACTCGGGCATATACACCGGAAGTTATAAAACACTACAAGTGTGAATGAGGAAAGAGGAGAACCTATACACATGAAAGCATGTTCACACACGAGTCCCCGCCATCCCTGTTCACACGTGCTCGGTATATTGGCGTGATAGTTTTGGTGTGGTGTATGCGTGTATATGTGATAAACTCCTTGTGTGGTATCTGGATACACTTGTCAACGTGTGTTACCACTACAACCAAAGGCAAACACATTCAATGTTGAGGAGGTGCAAAGTATACACACATACATGTTGAGTGCGGTCAGTCGGAGGCGGGCTTGGCTTGGCGATGTGTGTCGATATTTTCATTTCAATGTCGGGCCCACTCCCACATTCAAACGTTTTTCAGATGTGTTATACCACTAGACCGCCGCTTTTTTTTTTTTCTCACCGGAGTATAATGACCGGTGTGGTATGTTTTGGCAAGAAGAGCGGGAATGCAATAATCTTGAAGGTGGAGCCGCTGTGTTCATAAGTGAGCACTGCTAGATTTCAAAAACACTATAAATAGAGGACCATATTCCCCAAGAGCTTTCCTCAAACTCAATTATCATACCAATCCTCGTCCATCAATCTCAACATTATGCAATACTCCACTATCTTATCAATTGCTTTAGCTTTAGTTTCAACCGCTCAAGCCGGTTACGTCAAACCAAGACCAATCACTGAACCAGATTGCGAACCCACCACCACTACTACTCCATGTGAGCCAACCCCTACCCCATGTTGTCAAGATAGTGACATCACTTCATTCAGTGGTGAATTTGCTTTAGGTGTCAAGGAGTTGTGTGATGAAGATGATGTGATTTACTTGGTGTTTGAGTTGCCTGATGGTCAATTGGAACATAATGGAGTTACTGTTGATTGCGGATGCCACCCCACTACTACTACCACTACACCATGTGAGCCAACCACTACACCATGTGCGGAACCTGAGCCAATTGTTGACGATTGCAACGACGATAAGAAGAAGCGTTGGTACAAGCCAAAGCCAAAACCAGTCCCAACTCCAATTCCAACTCCAAATGGATTATCAGCATTATGCCACCCATACTGCTCGATTGAGGAACTTGTTTCCGATTGCACCACCGATTACTTTACTTTATGTGACTCCGTTTTGAAGGATGGCAAGTACAGAACCGGTGAAATTGTTGCCAACCATCAATTCCAATTCGATTCACCAGTGCAACCAGATGCCTTGTACAATAAGGGATGGTCGATTGAATACAAGGATGATTATTACTTGTTGGCATTGAATGATTGCACTACATTCTGGGAATGTCCAGTTGATGATTGTGGTCTTTGGAAATTGTACGATGCTTCGATTGATTCTAAATGTAAAGAGATTGAAATTGTCATTATTTTCAAAGATGAATCCTGTGATTAGATGAAAAGGAAGCAGTGTTGACTATAGAAGGATACAAGATGTGCATTTGAGTTTTGGGTTTTTATTGTTTCATTTCATTTTTTTACGTTGGTTATTTGATCAGCTGCTATTTCTCTTTTGGGTTCTCACTTTGCTGGGCTTTAGGATCCAGCTGAGCTGGGTATTGGTTCTTGGGTTCAATTTCATTTCATTTCATTTCGGTAAGTTGATCTTTACTTTTGGGTCAAACTTTCAAAAAAAAAAAAAGTTTTTGTTTATAAAACAAATCTATAGTCAAATTGAATATACAAAGTCGCATCTTATAATATCGTCATAAAAGTAGATTACGAAAGCATGGGCTTTTCATGAAATATGGTCGTTGTTTAATCTTCCATCATCTTCTCTCAATTTCTGTTGTCTACTTAATTTTTTTGCAACTTTCCCTCGCATTCCGAACAGATTTCACGCGCCTAATGCAATTCTTTCCCACACTATTCATTGCGTTCTCTTTTTTTTTTTCCGTTGCTCAACTCAACGCGTCTTTTCAGCAAAACAAAGGTGAAAGACAAAAAACCGATAATAAACTCATCTCTTAACCCACATATCACACCACACATCACTATAACCTACCGACCGAGACCACACATCACCAATGTCAATTGTATCACTAACAGGTATTGAAGTGCTCAACAACCCTGCCAAGTTCACCGACCCTTATGAATTCCAAATCACATTTGAATGTCTTGAGCCATTAAAAGAAGATCTTGAATGGAAATTAACCTATGTTGGATCATCAGATTCACTAGATCATGATCAAGAACTTGACTCGATACTAGTTGGCCCTGTACCTGTGGGGGTGAATTCCTTTTTGTTCACTGCTGATGCCCCTAGTCCTGAATTAATCCCCGCTAGTGAATTGGTTAGCGTTACCGTTATAATTCTTAGTTGTTCATACAATGATCGAGAGTTTGTTAGAGTGGGGTATTATGTCAATAATGAATATGATACTGAAGAGTTGAGAGAAAATCCACCGGCTAAAGTACAGGTTGATCATGTCGTGAGAAATATCTTGGCGGAGAAGCCTAGAGTGACGAGGTTTAATATTGTTTGGGATAATGAAGGTGCTGCTGATGAGTATCCTCCTGAACAACCAGAAGATGAAGAAGAAGAGGAGGAGGAGGAGGATGAAGAGGATGATGAAGAGGAGCAAGATGAAGAGGATGATGGAGAGGATGAAGGGGATGAAGATGAGGAAGATGAGGAAGATGAAGATCGTGAAGTTGATTTAGTTGATGAAGATGATAATATGGAAGAAGAAGAAGAAGTGTCGACTTTGAATGATAAGGATCAAAACGCCACCCCACCAGCAACAGCAGGTACAGAGGTAATTGAAGAAGTAGATACGCCGAAAGATAGTTAGTAAAACGAATTGTATTAGTAGTAATCGTTTTTGAAAAGTTCATTTGAATTCTTTTTGTCCTATGAATGTCCTCTCTATTCGTAATTGTCAATCAATGCATTAATCGTTTGACTCAATTGGTCAATGACTGGTATAGTTATGTTTCCACACGGTGACTGTTTTAATTTACCAACCCATTTATCCGGATGCCATTTGATACGTTCTTGTCTCAATAAATCCAACATTGAATCTTCAACAATCAAACTGTAAAATTTTTTCAAAGAATCTTGAGTTATAAGGTGCAAAATCTCATCAGTTGAAAGATTCTCTTGGTCAAAATGAGGTGGTAGCAATGGTAGCCTTAGTTTGTTATGGTATTCAATCCTTAATTTGTCATTTATCGACGTTGTTTCAGCATGTTGCGGGGTAAGATATGGGTCATTAATTCGTTTATCTCCCACATGCACCCCATTTTCATCCATCATACCAGCAGATGTCACTGGTAATTCTCCAACTACGCTGTAATCTTGTCGATTGTATGACTCTCGCATTTGAGAATATCGGTTTCCGTTGATGGGCGTTTCATACTTGAATTGGGTAAAGCTCGATCTGGGACGTACGAATTTGTAGCCATTGACACTGGGACCATATTCTTGTGAAGGTGGTGCTGTTGGAGGAGGAGGAGGAGGTATTGGGGGTGGCGGCGTTGATGCTCTCAGTGATGTTGGTGTAGATTGAGATATTGGTGTTGATTCTATGTCATTGTTTCTTTCAAAGGAGGGTGACTGGTTCTTATTGTTGTCATCATTATCATTATGGTCATTTGTTTCGAATAATCGTAGCGGTCGTTCAGGTCTTTGCGGTAGTTCCTGCAACGAAGTCTTGCGAGCATAGTTTAAATCTAGTATACTTGCAGTGGATGCATGTTTAAACCGAAGTTTCTTTCGCTTTGGTTGTGGTGGACACGGAGTAGAATCAGTTGTGGAAAAGCTCAACTTGAAGGATGAGGAGCTATTAGATGTGTTTGTCGTGGTACATATAGACATGTGGGAGTCCTGTTGCATTATAGGAGTCACCATTCTTGATCCAATGGCATCCAGATGCATCCTCTTTTTTCTATTAATAAATTTTGGTGGTGAAATGGGAAATTCATCATCTGATTCATCTGAATTGTTGATTATAGTCTTGTTACCAATGGAATTTTCATCGTGTACTTCATCATCTTCATCTTCGTGTATGGTTTCGACAATATCATTGGTAGTATCGATGAATACATCACCTTTTCCAACATTATCATCAATTACTCGTGATCTCAAATGTAAATCATTCAACATCCTCATTGGAGAGAGGAAAGACACAGTTGAGTTGGCATTAATTGGAGTAGATACAAAATCAAAAAAGTTTTCATTTCGTAATTGCATTGGTTTCCTTGGAGACGGTGTCTTTTCAATTGAATCAGATCCACTGTCTTTGTCCTCTGGTGATTGCGAATACTCCGTATCATCCGTTTCATCAATGTCCGATGATAAAACCTTTCTCTTGTACCAAGCTTTGTTCTTTTCAGGCGTTGCTCTGTGATCCCTATGTAGTATCAGACTGTCATTAGGTTTTATATGTGACGAAGACAATGGTGATGATGATGATGGTGATGATGCTCTGCGATTGCCATTTTGTGATTGATGCGTTAAATTTGGTGTTGTGTGAGGTAGTAATGTCATTAAAAATCCAGGTGCTGTATGGTCATATGATTGGCTCAGGTAGCTCTAGTGGGTAGAGTAAATGTGTGTATAATGTAGAGCTTTTTGTCACTGTACTGGCACTTTAATGTTATGGAATGATTTGTTTTGGTTTTCAGTGTTTACTTTTGTTTTGCATTTTTATTTGTTTGGCGTTCAGGGGGGGTTGGAAAGGGGGGGGGGGAGAAGAGAAGTCTTGCTTTACCTCACCCAATCAATCAATTTTCAACAAGCTAGAGCATTAAACGAACTCTGAGAATATATAAAGCACCTCAGTTGACGAAGACTTTTGTGGATCAAGGGTAATATTGGCTACCCCAAGGTTATGGATTTTTGATGCAAGTGATGATTGTCGCAAAGTCGCAAAGTGAGATTCAGTGTCGTGTATTTTTACGACACTGTACACACATCAAAAAATAGAGGAGCAGCAATGAAATGACAAGAAGTGACCAAAAACGAAATAAAAATAATTAGTTAATGCACGTGCTGCATCCCACTTGATTATTTTCTTTCTTTTTTTTTTTTTTTCTCTTTTAATCTCGTGTGCTTTTGTCATCTCCTTTTTTGTGTGACCATATGAAATGAAAATTTAAAGTGTATCTGGAGGGGGGGGTTTGAGGCAATGCAATGCAACCCACAATCCTTTGCAAGACCCTCGTGATTTTGAAATTGTTAATTGACTCAACTTCGATATTTTTTCCTCCCCCAGTAATAGCAAACAAGCAATGATGTGTAAAAGTGTTCTTTTTTTTCGGAGTAAACATGGCCTATAATGTGTACATCACGCCAAGTAAGACAAAGAGTAGTAAATATTGATAAGATTGAAACAGAATCTTATGTATGAGGTTGTTATTCATTTGTTGTTGTTTTTTTTGGTAATAGTTACACGCATCTCCCTCGTGGGCTTAAATGAATTTACTTTCTTTTTGTTTTTGATGCCTATGGGCAAAGGGCAAATTGAAACTTTCATCTTGTGTAAAGAATAGATTGCTATCCCCTCATTGCGAAATAGTAGTAGTAGTAGTAGTAACATTAGTAGTGTTTCATCTGTGTCTGTGATCTATACAACTTTTTTATATGCCAAACTACTTATCTTTGTTGGTTATATTTTCTCTTTTTGTTTGTTTTTTTTAGTTTGTTCCATTTAATTCTATAAAGACAGAGAGATTAACGTCATTGTTTAGAATAATATTTCCTTTGCTGTATTATTGTGCCACACCCCTACCACACTAACAATATAAAATCATACTAAAATTTCCATAACCAAAAAAATACAACATACACCCACCTATACCACACATCACACAACAGTCACTTCCACAACAATCACTATTTTCATACTCAGGGAGAGTGTCTATTCTCACAAATATCACATTTTTTTTTTTTATTTATTAATCAGTAAAGAAACTTATACACACACCCACACACTTTTACTTCCTTTAGTTTCAAGACAGGCTTCGAATTCCTTTTGATGAGTGATCAGCTAACTAGTCCTGCTGCATCACTTTCTTATTTTGATATCTCATATTTAACTTTTGAAGCTGTTTTAGAAGTTGTTATTATTTGTTTTGCCGGGTTTTTAGCGGCAAAGACTGGGTTATTAAACACACAAGGGCAAAAACTACTAAGTTCGTTAAATGTTGATTTATTCACACCATGTCTTATATTTTCCAAATTGGCTAGTTCATTGAGTCTATCCAAGCTTATCGATTTAGCCATCATTCCAATTTTCTTTGCATTGTCTACATTAATCTCGTATGGCTGTTCAAGAGGTACATCATGGTTTTTGTCATTAAATGAGCCAGAAACTGATTTTGTTACTGCTATGGCGGTATTTGGTAACTCAAACTCATTGCCAGTGTCATTGACGTTAAGTTTAGCATACACTTTACCAGGCCTTTTATGGGATGATTTGGTCGATGATGATAGTGACAAGGTTGCTGGTAGAGGCATTTTGTATTTATTGATTTTCCAACAATTGGGGCAAATCCTAAGATGGTCATGGGGATTCAACTTTTTGTTGAGAAAGAGGTCGCATGTTGAGTTGAATACCTACTATAACAAGCATGGTGCTATTATTGAATCAGAAACAACAAGGCTATTGTCAGCTGAAGATGCATTGTACATTGATGAAGAAGAGCAAACCACAACTGAAATTAATCCAAGCTCAGAAGATAATACAGATGATTCACAACAATCATCGCATGATGAACTAGACGAAACAGAAGAAGTTGTCACTTACGAGAAGCCATCTTCTTTGTATGCTAAATTTGCTGAATTGCCTGGTATAAAGCAGTTTTTATCATTTATGAATCCTCCTTTATGGGCTATGTTGCTTAGTGTCATTGTTGCTTCAACGCCTTTACAAAGGGTATTTTTCCATCGGGTGCTGAAAATGGTGATGGCTCATTTATCCACAATACGGTTACCGAAGCCATATTAGGCTTGGGTTCAGTATCAATCCCCTTGATTCTTATTGTATTGGGATCCAACTTGTACCCAGCAGCAGATATTCCACCAGCATCAAAACATTGTACTCGTATGTTGTTTGGTTCATTAATGTCGAGAATGATTTTACCACCAATTATATTGTTGCCCATAATTGCTGCATGTGTTAAATATATCAATATATCTATATTGGATGATCCCATTTTCCTTATTGTTGCATTTATTTTAACAATTAGTCCACCTGCTATTCAATTGAGTCAAATTTCTCAGTTGAATGGAATTTATCAGAAGGAAATGTCGGGTGTTTTGTTTTGGGGGTATGTTATTTTAACGTTGCCAACTACCATTTTCATTGTTGTTGCTTCATTGAAAGTTTTAGAATGGGCCCAATCTTAGTAGTATATAGGTTTTAACTTCACCGTTTGACTTTTGGTGGTTTACTTTTGCTACTTTACTCTAGAGGAAATAAACAAGCTTGTTGAGGCGCAACTATTTTCCCCGCGCAGCACAAGTAATCCTTTAAATGATCAAAGCTAAGCCTCTCTGTCTTTTAACCAAACGATATATGTATGATATTTTCGTAACCATCAGATCAAGCATGCTTGATTACACAAAAAAGTATACGTTTAAATTTTATTCCAACCTGCTGAGTGAAAATTAATCCATTCACCCAATTCCCGCAGCGCATCATTCCCTTTGAGCTCTTACACAAATGGCATACACCTTGAGAATGAACAAAAAAAGTATGGTGTTGTCAAGATCTCGCGTGGAGTAGTTTTAGCGTTCATCGTGACCCGTTGGGGCTTAACTTTGAAGAATCTTGGGATCTGTGCTTTGAAGTATCAACTTCAAGAAGATTCTACATTTGTGAATGAGTGAAGTAACCGTTCGCGACAAGGAAGATTGCATGTGGCTCACTCGATATGAAGATACATAAGAAAAAAAAAAAAGATGCTTAGGTTAGCGTGTGTGTCAGGGGGTGAAAGAAAAAACAAACCTTATGCATAGAAAACCAGCACAAAGCAGGTTCATGCTGCTTTTCGTGATTGAAGCGTATTTCTCGAAACTGATATTTTATTTGAAGGCTGTATTACCTCGGGTAAAGATCGTGACCATTGGTTTTTGGTTTGATTGTCTGCTTGTTATTGTGTTTAAATTCATCCTCTATTTTGTTGTTAAGTCCAATAGTTACACAAATGTATGTGTATATTAGTCAGTATATAACCATATTTAACAAGTATAAACTGCTGCTACTACTAATATATAGTTTAGTTTACAAAATGAACAAAGTCATTTTTCTTTTTTTATTATTTATTATTTATTATTTATTAGTTTTTTTTTTTATTTTTTGTTACTTTGCACTAAAAGAGGGTTCTTTTTGGAAGAAACCATAACTTCACCTACTGCTGTCCACGTTATTGGTATCCAACAGATACATTACTATTTATTAACAACCTCAACAAAGAAAGGCTACATTTTCGATTTTTTGTACATTTTACTCCCCGTAATATCAGCCAACATCATAACTAAATTCAAAGGAATAAGCTTTTCTTGTGCACATCAAGGCAATTGGCTCAAGCATTAACATCTCATGGCATCTGAGTCAAATTTGTCTAAAGTTGAAGGAAGCACGACCAACCTGGGAGATGATACATTGTTACCACGAAATATCCCTCGAGATCCTACAGCTTCGACCAAGCTAAGGAAGAAACCATCCAAACCAAAGTCGACCCTGGCATCATCTTATGACTCTTCTCAATCAACAGCAGCATCCAATTCCACTAACACCAGATCTCAGCAAGAGAAACAAAAGAGGCGAAAGCACAAGAATTCGAAATTAGGTTGTCCCAATTGTAAACAACGACGCGTTAAATGCTCAGAAGACCTACCGTCGTGTGCAAATTGTATAAAACACAAGGTTGAATGTGGCTATTTAAGCTACACCAAGGAGGAGATTGAAGAACTAAAACAAGCCAAACTTGAACGTCTACAAGCAGCAAGTGAACAAAAGGGCGACTCAAAGTCAGAGTCAGAAGAAGTGGAGGAACAATTGGAGTTCAATTCAAACAAGAGAGCCTCTTTAGATGACGGAAATGGAGAGTCGAGAAAGAGGCTAGCTCCAAACAACTCAAAAAAATCACTACAGCCCCACAATAAGCAGAAACTGGTAAAGCTACTGCATCGATTATCCCAGAATTATCATCACCAACGACCCGATAGCCACTCAATGTCAAACAGTGCGTCCCAAGCAACAGGTTTAGACACTAATATTATGACGCATGTGCAAATACAAGACACTACTCCAAACTTCAACACAAACGGACAAACTGTTATTCAAAATTTTGACAACTTGTTAGGACATGAATTGGGTGGTCCGGAAAATTCAATAATCTTCCCCGTTTATCGCATGAGTGAAAACCAAACCCCTGAAGTCGGTAATATTCAAAATTGTTATCCTGATACGGGCCCATTACCAAGTACGCCAGCATCAATGCAACTATCGAATGCCTTGCCGGGAGCAATTCACAAACCTACACTGTTTACAATCAGTCGAGATAGAAACCGCATCAATTATGTGAAAGAAAATGATGACTTGTTTGCAAAGACAAATCTGGGAATTATTCAAGGTCAGATGACACTTGAGCCAATTAGACATGTCTATTGGACATGGTTAAAATCATTTGTTGATCTAGGCACAACTCATCCATTGAGATTTTACTGCTTACTCAACATCTGTGCCAATTACTTGATATCGGTTTGTTTCGATGGGTCATATGGATTGTACAGTTTCGGAGGTAGGACATCTACACCGGTTGAACGACAAAAGGAGTTGGCCCATATGCGTCAAACGTGTCTTGTCAAGACAATACAATACTATGATGAGGTAATCAAACGATTAAGAACAATGTTGGCTGAAAATAGTCCTGATCCTGATGCTGCGTGCACAGTTTCTTACATGTTGAGTTTGACCTCGATTTATGATCCAGAACGATCATTGCATTCGACAATTTGTTACCGAGAAGGTCTATTTGACATGCTCGAGTACTACAATAGTAAAAGCCGTCCAGCAGATACACCAGTTATTGTGCAAATTGAATTAAAGTTAATGACAAATATTATGATGACAGGGAATTTGCCAGCTTACAATCCCATGTTCTTAATTGAAGCTCGTCAAATGTTGCATTCATTTGGTGATATTCTATTCCCATTGTGTGAAGTTGCAACAGCGTCGGTTGATTCTGATCATCCTCGTATCCGCACTAGTCAATTTCTTCAATTGAAATACCACCAACTTTTACATTTTATCAATGAAGCCATCGATGTCTATATACCACAAATCAATGACAAGATAACTAACTTGGAAGTGCAACAGGACTTGTTGTACCAAATGTTGACTAAATGGGTTGTTATTTTCTCTAGTCAATTAACATTCCCCACATCTAGTCAAGGTCCACTTGAGAAAATCATGTATTTGTTTTACAAGTTTGTCAAAAAGGCCCTATTCACCATCTTACCCCATGTCAAGTTTTTTTTCTTGCGCAATTTTGATGGACCCATCTTGTTGGATGTATATGCAAGTGATGATTACGCCATTTATCAACAATTGTCACATCCACCAAATTTGAAGGTCGATTCATCCATTTACGAACCACATGTCGAGCAACTAAAATACATTGCTGCGTTTTTAATTCGTGGATCAACCTATATTCGCAAACGACTTGCCATTTTGTACCCCATCTTGATGCGATTCATTGCGATGCATGATTTTCAAGGTAGTGATATTAACAAATGGCGGAAAACAATTCAGGATATTACTGCTTTGAGAGCGCATTTTCTGGAAAAGATGCAAGTGTTTGAAGTAAATTTGAACTCATTTACCAATGGGTATATAAAAAAATCCAATTATCCGTTACCGGGAGAAAATGGTGAATTTGAGGATGCCAATCTTGGTGATGATTACTTATCGGTTGACTTTACAACGTTGCAGCCTCTGGGTCTTTTGGCTGGTGATTATGATCCTACTTCGGGGTAAAAAAGAGAATTACACATTGTGCAGATGAAACACAGTGTCGTGATTGTTGGCCGCACTGGATTGTATCGTTAGCCGCACTGCCATCTATAGAACCTATAATCATAATGCTACAAACTACCACCAGTAACCATTCATACGTTTCATTCCTTTTGTAGAAGTGACAAAGTGTCTCCGTATTCAATGTAACATTACGCGATCGTCTCTCTCTCTCCATATTTATTAAAAATTTTTATTGTTCTATTTGTCTCTCTCTCTCTCTCTTTTCTTACTCCTAAAAAAAAAACGCCAACATTTTCATTTCCATTCTCAATTGAACAAAACATAATCCATAGCCACTTGCAGATATTCCACCCCATTCAGCAAGCAAATAGTCGGTACATACGTACTTACATACATCCATACACACAAACACGCACATACATACACACACGCACACGAAATGGCCGATAATACGGACGACTACTCCTACGATTACGAATACTTGTACAAAATCGTACTTATTGGTGATTCAGGCGTTGGTAAATCCAATTTGTTATCAAGATTCACTCGAGACGAATTCAATTTAGAAAGTAGGTCAACTATTGGAGTTGAATTTGCCACTAGAACTTTAGAAATCGATGGGAAGAGGGTCAAAGCGCAAATTTGGGATACTGCTGGACAAGAAAGATATAGAGCAATTACATCAGCTTATTATCGTGGTGCAGTTGGCGCTTTAATCGTTTATGATATTGCCAAGACTGAAAGTTACGAAAGTGTTAGTCGTTGGTTGAAAGAGTTGAAGGAACATGCTGATGCAAATATTGTTATTGAATTGGTGGGTAATAAATCGGATTTGGATCATTTACGAGCTGTCCCTACTGAAGAAGCAAGAAATTTTGCCTTGGAAAATAACTTGTTGTTCACTGAAGCATCCGCCTTGAGCTCCGACAATGTTGATTTGAGTTTCCATCAGTTGTTGAAGAATATTTATGAAATGATATCGAAACATCAATTGGATACTAATGAGCAAGGTGGATTGAAGGCGGCAAGCAATGGACCAACGATAAGTTTGACACCCGCACCTAAGGAGAAAAAGAGTAGTAAGAATAATTCAAATTGTTGTTGAGGGTGGGGGTCAACGAAGAGGGGAGACGCTTTTTGAAGTAGAACTCTAATAGAGTTAATTCACTCACATGAAACAACAACTGCTCCACGGCATATATATATGTATATCACAATTATCTTTTTTTTTTTTCCCTTTCGATTCTGTAACAACTAGTCTATCCTGTTTACGCAATCTTTTTCAATTTACTCACTGGTTGTTTCATAGGTCGGCTAGATGACGCCGCTGATGATGATGCTACTGCTGCTATTCCAGCCGTGCCATCACTAGAAACACCACTTTCAATCGTGAAATTTACAATTTGTTCTCCTCTTAATATTATTAATCCAACATGTCTCTTTGCCAAGTCAGGCTTGTTGCTTTTGGGAATTTCAGAAGGGAATAATGGTGTAGTTGTTGATGCTGAACCAATGGGTAATTTTTTGTTAGCCTTCTTCTGACTCTGTGATCGTAAATTCATCAAACTCTTTTTCGTTATTCTTGCCTCTTCTGTGTCAGCTAATACTAAATTGAGATGTTTGTCAAATGAGAGTAAAGTTCCCGTGTAGGTTCTATTATCAATCGTGTGGATCTTCAATCGATTGTTTATCAAGTCTGACATTTTAGTCTTTTTTGTAATGGGCACTTTTGATGACTAGAATAGTTAGTACTTTGGCTTCCATGTGTAATTAAGATGCGTTTGTACATACCATTATTGCGAGTTGTAGAGTGATTAGTACCTTGTGTGTAACTCCTTCTTTTAATGCTTTTTGTAAAGACTTTTCTTCTTTTTAAAGTGTCGCATATTCATGTGAGTGTCTTGTGACAACATTTCACGACATTAAATATTTTCCCAAAAAGCAAGTTCATTTTCTGAAATCCTTCAGCAATATATTCTAATTTACATCATTTCAAACCAGTTTCACCAAGACAAGTGGGGCTATTCTTATATTTTTTGATTAGGCAAGAGTTCCAATTATCCATTTTACAACTCAATTGATACTTCATATTTGCTCATTGGTTCCATAAATACGCGTCTTAATTATGTCTGAACAAGAAGTTAAAGAATTGCCAAAGGAGCAAAAAGAGGAGGAAGTTGTTGCTGAAACCAAAGTTGAAGAGACTGAAACTGGATCAAAGGGCGACAATGCAGCAGATGATGCAACTGATGCAAATACATCTACAACTGAAAGTGTTAAAAGAAAAGACTCTGTTGAGGCTGCTGGGGAACCAAAGAAGAAGAAAAAGAGAAGAACTTATGATGATGACGAGCCAGAGGCAAAGAAGGAAGAAATTGAAGCGGGAGGAAAGGAAGTGGCTGATGGGGAAGATGAAGATGAAGATGAAGATGCCGAAGCTGATGCTGAAGAGCAAGAAGAAGACGATGATGATGATGATGATGATGATGATGACGAAGAAGATTACGACGGAGAGGACGACGGAGGAGATGAGGAGGAAGAAGAGGACGAGCTCAATGAAATAGACACCACAAACATTATCACGAGTGGTAGAAGAACAAGAGGTAAGCAAATTGATTTCAAGGATGCTGCTGCGAAATTGGATGCTGAAGGGGTCAAGGAATAAGTCACCTTGGTTTAGGGACATTTTCCTTGTTAGTTTACGATACTCTCTCAGTGGACTTACTAAAAAAGTTTGGCAGTGGATCAACTATTGTGGTTCCAAACATTGAAAAGTTTCTATAAGTTTATGTACTTGATTGCTAGTTCTACTCTTGAAAACATGCGGCATATTCGCCAAACATTAATCTCTCAAGATTGACAAACCCAGTCACCAAAGTTGTAACTCCCTTCTCCGAACTTCACCGCTTTGATCATTTTGTCCAACTCTCCCACGCCCAAAGCTGCTAGCAGACATCTCTTCAGATTCAAACAGCTAGCTCTAGCTGACGTTCACCCTTATTTAAGGTGTAGACCCTCTAACAGTGTTGTTACAGCTGACAAGAAGGCGATCATCTTTATACAATTTGTTTTTCCCTTTTCGCAACCAAGGAACTACAGAGTGGAACTTGAAACCAGAGTCACAATTCACCGATCAAAGTTGTACAATATAAACCCTTACACGCATTTCTCACGATAGTTTTCAGTAACCGTCCGCCCAAGCAAGTCCAATTCCATGCACCCAGTGAGTCAGGGCCAGCACTTCCAGTAAAGGTCTCTCACTCCACATATGGTTTTCTGATGGAAAATGGTAATACTAGCCACCTACAAGCAAACCAAATCATACAATCACTCTCCCTATTGTTGTGAATTTATTGCTTTACTTTCATTTTGATCACCATACATTATAGTTAAGAACATTCCCCTTCACCGTAGACAGATTACTGATTATAATGGCTTCAGAATCATCACCCTTCTAGTAGATTGGCATGTATTGAAGAAAACTATCCAAACTCAATAACTACTCTCCACCATCTCTTCAACATCCCCCGTCTCGCTAATCTCATTCGTCGTCACCTCTAACGCTGCTGCTGCCTCTTGTGCTGCTTGCTGTTGCGCTGCCTGCAACTTGGCCTGCTTTTTGGTGAGTCTTGTTTCGCCTCTCTCTTGCCTGAGAACCTGTTGCTCTCGGTATTTAGCAAGATATATTTTTAACACTTCTGCATAATTTTCAAACCCCAAGTCGTACATCAGGTATAGTATATCCTCCCCATTGATTGTCTTTCTCTTTTCCCTCAAACATTTATCGGAAGCCTCACTAGTAATGAAGGATATGAATTCAGAAACACACTCTTGCATACATTCCTTAGCATCTTTTGACACTTTAGCTGTGGGTGGTAGAGTGTTTTTCATAAGTCTGGCGACATTCGCAATAGGTAACCACCGGTCCTGCTCTCGTAGTTCTAAATCTCTCGTATTTTGCTCCATAATGTGGTGTATTATATACGCCTTCAAAATTATATGCCCGCCTCTTTGCTTTTAGGAATCTAGTGTTATATAGTGATTACCTTTAACTTGGCTGTAAATGGCTAGATTGTGTTGAAAAATTGGAGTAATTTGCGACACATTCTTTAATTTTTTTTTTTTTTACTTTTCCTTTTTCGACCAATTTGGAAAATGCTGGACAAGACAGGAAAGTGCCGCATCAACATGAGTGTTTTGAATTCAGTTATACCTCTTGTTTGTGGTGATATAAAATGGCGATGAGTCGTGTTGAGAGTCGCTTACTTTCTACTTACTCTTTAGAGCTCGACTTACACAACTTTAAACATTCGATATTAAATGTCGTCGTGTCATAGACTATTTTTTGCGAAACTGCAAGCAAGTTTTTTAATGTCCGTCGAAAATTTCATAATCCCACCACCCATGTACCGCCGTTCTCAGTGAACACTCACATTAGATAATGGAAAAATCACGAGCACCACCAATTGCCAACGACAAGCTTGACGACTCGGAGGCGGACATTGTTGATGAGTCTGCCAAAGGAATATCATCGTTGATCTTTGTGCAAGTTATCACAAAGTTATTTACTTTTATATTGAATCAAGCATTGATAAGATTTGTTTCTCCCGATGTATTTGGTTTAATTGTTTATTTGGAGTTTCTTCAATCATCGGTTTTATTCATCAGTAGAGAGTCTGTTCGACTAGCAGTACAACGTATCGCCCATGATCAAACCAAAACACGAACATTGCAAAAAGTGATGAACTTTGGGTTTATACCATTCTTGATTGCCATTCCTGTTACTTTACTCGTTGGATACTATCAAGGCATTAAATCGGTCAACTTCCAAGACTTTTTTTTGATCCTCCCATTCAACAAAATTGCCATTGGGGTTCTTTTCCTGCTGACGATTCTCGAGTTGAGTATTGAACCCATTTATTGCGTGTATCAATATGAATTGGAATTTGGAAAACGGTCTAAATTTGAGGGAATTGCCTTGATTGCCAAATGTACCACCACGTTTGTAGCGATTTATTTTGCTCGTCAACGTTTCACTGGTTTGGAATATAGTGGAATATCCATTTTATCCTTTATGTTTGGTCAACTTGCATACTCGGCAACGCTATTCCTTTCATACTTTGGATCCTTCTTGAAATTTAATGAGACAAAGGATACTCATATTAGGTACGGTGTTTTCAGCATCGAAGGTGAGCCTCGATTTGACCCAGCAGTTTTATCAATTTCAAAAAGTCTATTCATACAACTGATTTTTAAACAGGTACTAACCGAAGGTGACAAGTTATTGATTAGCTACTTGTGCACAATCGAGGAGCAAGGGGTGTATGCCGTTATCGTCAACTACGGGTCTATTATTGCAAGAATATTATTTCAACCATTGGAAGAGTCTAGTCGGTTATTATTGGCAAAGATCGTAAACAGTACTGAACCGCCAAAAGGGGAGACAATGGCTCAATCTTTCACCTATATCAAAATGATAAGCTTGTTTTACTTTAACTTGTGTTTGTTTATCATATTCGCGGGAATCACCAACGGATCATTCCTACTTCGTGTAATGCTTGGCAGCTCCAACAAGTGGTCACAATCCAACATATTTGATTTGTTTACCCTTTATGTTTTTTACATCCCCTTCTTAGCATTCAATGGTATTTTTGAGGCATTTTTCACCGTGATTGTGCAACCACATGAGATACAAAAATACTCTAAGTTTATGACTTTCATAACTGCAGTCGTGTTGGCGGCGCTGTACATTTCGGTCTCTGTGATGGAATTGAGATTAGCTGGATTGATACTAGCTAATATACTTAATATGGCCATGAGAATTGGGTACTGCTATCGCTCCATAAACAAGTACTATGGCACAAGGATCAGCTTGCTAACGTGTTTACGTTATACTTCTGGATCAATTGCGTGCACAATCGCTTCCTGGATAGTGCAGTACATATTTGTTTTCCGGCTGGATTCTTTTGTTACAAAGACGTGGTCAGAGTTGTTCAAGAGCGCAATCTTTTCGGTGATACTATTAGCAAATCTCGTGATTCTAGAAAGACAAAACATTCAAAACTCAATAAAACGAATTTTCAAGATAAAAGATGAATAGAGTGTATAAGATAATAAGTTCAAAAATTAGAAAAAAAAAGTTAGAGTCGTAACACTAAGTCACTCTAGTATTGTCAACTAACCAACGTTGTGCCATCCAGTACCGCCTCCGTCACGGATAGCATTACTGTGCTGAATTGCTTCCCTCCAGTGGTGGTGCTATTAATTACCAGGGTATGACATACTGATTCCTCAAGCAGTACTGTACCCAAACCGCGAGGATCGAACTGGACACTACGAAAGCAAAATGTTCACAACACCAAGTGCGCAATAAATGCACTTCCGCCAAGGGCCATCACAGCCAAAAAAAGTTTAAATTTGTGGCAGGGTCTATCTGACGGAAGCAAATCCCTAATCTAACATTCTGAACTTGTACGCTCCTCAAAATACATTTAGAAGTCTTTTATGTCTTTGGCTGCGTTATACACACTTTTACTCACGCATTCTCAACTTCTACGAAAAACAAAAGAAAAAAGTTTGTGCCGCTTAGTGTTCATGTTGGGGAAATTTTGTAACATAATCACGTCAATTTTTCAATTTTTCACAAGTTTATCTCGCCTCATCAACAAATGTCGATAGTAGAACTTCTGCAAGAGGTGGATAAGTTGGCCAAAGTAATCATTCAAAAGAACTTGGAGCTAGAAGAGCTCAAGAAAGGTTATAATCACAGATTACATGTTATAAATGAGTTTATCGCAAAGGTACAACCTGATCAAATTGACGATGACAAAATTACCTCAGAGTCATTTACTCAACACTGGAACAACAAAGTAACCTGCCCGAATTGTAATCACATAGTATATAACAACAGCGAACAAGAATTTGTTCTAATACCAAAGAAACAACTAGAGTATTTGTCATCGCAACCAGAATTTCCTAAACATCAAGAACCTACACCACATCGATTATCAGTGAACAATCAAAAGACAAAGAAGAAATCACATATAACGTGTTCTTTCTGCAAAGAACAAGGACATACAAGAGCAAATTGCAAGAAGCGACTTGGGTTAGTTGAGTGATAAAAAGAAAGAAAAATATACATTAAACGGACTTTACACACACATTTCATTTCGAAGCTTGCACCATGGCCTCTGTTTTTTCGGTTAGTACTGGATCCAAATGAAATACATTATATAAAACATACCTCTTCTCGATGCATCTTGTAGTAATGTGCAATCAACTGAGTTGGGATTCATATGCACATATCGCACAGTTGACCCTCTAATGAATAGATTTTTGACAGCATCTAAGTAAGGATATTTGTCACAATTTGTGCACGTTACATCATCTAACTTCAAGTTCAAGTATTGGTCCACTGACTTTAATATCCCTCTTATTTCCATATCATTCTTTAATTCAACGGTGACCTCCTGGTCTACCAATGTTTTGAAGAAGCTGAAAAACAACATTTCACCTGGTGTAGTTTGCTGAACACTCAAAAACTTTTTAAAGATAATTTTTCTTTTTTTTTTTCTTCTATTCTTAGTGCCACTACATAGAGAACAGCTTAGCCTCTGAAAACTAAATCGGGTACGATGCAAATATCATGGTCGTTGTCATCCTGAAAGGTGGTAATATCGTAGATTCCTTCACTGTGGGTGAAATAACCATCGGAAAAGCTTGAAGAGCTAAACTGCTTGTCCAATTCTTCTCCCGTCAAGCTATAAATAGGGTCAAATTGGACTAGCTTGTCAATTGTATTGGAAAAAGTCACGTTGTTGCATCCCATACTGCTCTCCTTTGAGTTTTCTGAACTAGAGGAAGCTTTTTCGGAACACTTCGGGTCGATCTCTTTTCCTGAGTTGAGGTAACCATCAGAATAAGGAGCTGAATTTTCCTGATCAAATCGATGCAAGCCTTGACTCAAAGGAGAAGAAACATATTGCGGAGTGGTGTTAAAATAGCTGCTTACATTGTTGACTTTCTTCAATGAAGTTTTTGGTTCAACATTGGTGTATGAAGAGGGCGACCTTCCCCTCATAGTTAGCGGTGGGGTATTTGCAACAGCAACAACGGCAAATGAATCCTCTTCTTCTAATTCTGCTAATAGTTGAACCTGGACTATTATCTTGCTCTTTTCAAGTGATCGATTCCTTCCAGTTGACGTAGTGAATTGTATTCTTTCGTACTTGGCAACTGTTGTAAACAGTTCTCCTTTTCTATAGTTGTGCAAAATGGAATCACTGTTTTTAATCTCAATATGATTGTATTTGGTGACAAACATCAGTTTCAATCTTTCCAATTTCTCACAATTTCTGACATTGAAACTTTGTTTGACAGTTGTGTGGGATGGTAGTAATCCAGGAATGGCGTATATGATGGACGGAGTGACCCCAATGGTTCTTTTTGCAGTATGTTGCACCAACACAACCTCCTCATTGTCTTCAACATTTCTGCTTACCAATCTTATTGCGAATCTCTTGATGTCGTGATGCTCTCCCTTTATTGTTAAGTAAAATCCTTGCTTTTGAAGAAGTGATACACTTGACTTGAAACTCTCGAAATGGAAAGTGGCCACCAATGAAAAATAGTTGCGTTTATACCCAACCCAACCATTTCCTTCATAGTCGAAACCTCTATCGATTCGTGCCAGGATTATGGGATTCAATTTCAAGTTGGAAGATTTGATGAATAGAGGCGACACTTCAATTGTGGTGCCAAATGGCGGCCCGATTCTGAATTGAGAAAGGGATCTTGGTGCTACCCGGGGTGATAAATGTGATAAAAGATTAGGATCCAAATGAATGGATTCGGCTGACATTTTATTGTTGAAACTACTCATTTTATGAAACGAGTGCTGCAAAAGTGGTGTATTTCTGCAACACAAAAGTGTACTCAATCATAAGCAAACAAGCAAAGTTTCTATCCGCACAACATCTCTCGAAATTGAATTGCTTCAGTTTCAGATATTTGCTAAGATGATCATGATTAACTCAGATGGGTAGTCGACTTCGTGTACCACTTATAAGTCACTGTAATGGTCCATATACATTTGGTAGCTCACACAACCATATCTTCAGATGCTCTTTTTTTGCCATTTTTTTTTTCAAAAGATCCTCTCATCTCATCCCAAGTGCATATCACACCAAGTTCAACTTAAATCAATATGGGCAAAAAGGCAATTGACGCCCGTATACCAGCTTTGATACGTAATGGAGTTCAAGAAAAGCAGAGATCATTTTTTGTCATAGTTGGCGACAAGGCAAAAAACCAACTACCTAATTTGCATTATTTGATGATGAGTGCTAATCTCAAAATGAACAAGTCTGTTCTTTGGGCTTATAAGAAAAAATTATTGGGCTTCACATCTCATAGACAAAAAAGAGAAGCCAAGATAAAGAAGGACATCAAGAGAGGGATACGAGAAGTGAACGACCAAGATCCATTCGAAGCATTCATTTCGAATCAGCACATCAGATATGTCTACTATAAAGAGACTGACAAGATATTGGGTAATACGTATGGGATGTGTATATTGCAAGATTTTGAAGCCATGACTCCCAACTTATTAGCCAGGACAATTGAAACCGTTGAAGGTGGTGGATTGGTGGTGATTTTGTTGAAAAATATGACCTCATTGAAACAACTTTACACCATGAGCATGGACATACACTCGAGGTACAGAACAGAAGCACACGATGATGTTGTTGCAAGGTTTAATGAAAGATTCTTGTTATCCTTGGGTTCGTGCGAAAATTGTTTGGTAGTGGATGATGAATTGAATGTGTTGCCAATATCGGGAGGCAAGCATGTGAAACCATTACCACCAAGAGACGACGATGACTTGTCACCACGGCAAGTCGAACTCAAAGAATTAAAAGACAGTTTGGCTGATGTACAACCCGCCGGAAGCTTGGTTAACTTGGCAAAAACCATAAACCAAGCACAAGCAATCCTTACTTTTATCGATGTCATTGTCGAGAAAACATTGAGGAGTACAGTGACATTGACTGCCGGTAGAGGTCGTGGTAAATCGGCTGCTTTGGGTATTGCGATTGCAGCGGCTGTATCACAAGGATACTCCAACATTTTTGTCACCTCGCCATCTCCCGAAAACTTGAAAACTTTGTTTGAATTTGTGTTTAAAGGATTTGATGCATTGGGTTATACGGAGCATTTAGATTATGATATCATTCAGTCAACAAACCCCTCCTTCAACAAAGCCATTGTCAGAGTGGACATCAAAAGAGAACACAGGCAAACGATACAATACATCTCTCCAACAGATAATCACGTTTTGGGACAAGCTGAATTGTTGATCATAGATGAAGCTGCGGCTATACCATTGCCAGTGGTGAAGAAATTGATGGGTCCTTACTTGGTATTTATGGCTTCCACCATTAATGGATATGAAGGTACCGGTAGGTCATTATCATTGAAATTAATTCAACAATTGCGAAATGAACAGCAAATGAGCAATGCTCCAGCGGGTACTGAAATTGTTTCCAGAGACAAGAAACTGACAGATGTCGGCGGGTCGTTGACAAGGAACTTGAAGGAAGTTGTGTTGGACGAACCCATCAGATACGCACCTGGTGATCCAGTGGAGAAATGGTTAAACAAGTTGTTGTGCTTGGATGTTTCATTATCCAAAAATGCTAAATTTGCCACCAAAGGAACACCACATCCATCTCAATGTAATTTGTTTTACGTTAACAGAGACACCTTGTTTTCATATCACCCTGTCTCAGAAGCGTTTTTGCAGAAAATGATGGCATTGTACGTGGCCTCTCATTACAAAAATTCACCCAATGATTTGCAGTTGATGTCTGATGCGCCTGCCCATCAATTGTTTGTCTTGTTGCCTCCTATTGAAGAAGGAGATAACAAAATCCCCGATCCATTGTGTGTTGTACAACTAGCTTTGGAAGGTGAGATTTCAAAGGAGAGTGTAAGGAAATCGTTGAGCAGGGGTCAAAGAGCAGGTGGGGATTTGATTCCATGGTTGATTTCACAACAGTTTCAGGATGAAGAATTTGCATCTTTATCGGGAGCCAGGGTTGTTAGAATTGCCACTAATCCAGAATATTCCGGTATGGGGTATGGTTCAAGAGCTATGGAATTGTTACAAGATTATTACGCAGGAAAGTTTACTGACATCAGTGAATCATCAACCCTAAATGACAATACGTTAACTCGTGTAACCGATAAGGAGTTAGCTAATGCTTCATTGAAGGATGAGATCAAATTAAGAGAAGCTTCATCATTACCACCTTTGTTGTTGAAACTTTCCGAGAAGGCCCCATACTATTTGGATTACCTCGGTGTCTCCTATGGATTTACTCCACAATTGCACAAGTTTTGGAAAAAATCAGGTTTTACTCCTGTTTACTTGAGACAAACAGCGAATGAATTGACTGGGGAACACACCGCAGTTGTATTAAACGTTTTACCGGACAGACAGAATAAATGGTTGCACGAATTTTCAAAAGATTTCCACAAAAGGTTTTTGCAATTGTTGTCATATGAGTTTAAAAAGTTTCAAGCATCGCAAGCATTGGGTATTATTGAAGCGGCCGAGCAAGGTGAAGGGGAACATACAACAAAGACTTTGACCAAAACCCAGCTTGATGAGTTGTTGTCTCCATTTGATTTGAAGAGATTAGATTCATATGCAAACAATTTGTTGGATTATCATGTTATTGTTGATATGTTACCACTTATTGCACAATTGTACTTTTCTAAAAGAACCAGCACTCAAGTCAGTTTGTCGTCAGTGCAATCAGCCATTTTGTTGGCCATTGGTTTACAGCATAAAAATATTGATCAAATAGCCAACGAGTTAAATTTGGCAACCAATCAAGCAATGGCAATGTTTGCTAAGATTATTAGAAAGTTTTCAACCTATTTCAGAAATGTCTTGACGAGGGCCATTGAAGAGGAACTACCAGAGTTAGAGGATGAGCAAATCAAGGAAATCGAAGGAGATGTTATGGAGGAAGTAGACTACAATGAGATTGAACAAAATTTGCATAATGACTTGGAAGAAGAAGGCGATGAAGCGATTGCGGAAATGAGAGAAAAACAAAGAGAGTTGATCAATGCTTTGAATTTGGACAAGTATGCAATTGCAGACGATGGTGAATGGGATGAAAAATCAATGTCCAAAGCAGCAAAAGGTAAATCAAATGGAACTGGCGTTGTTGCCGTCAAAAAGGGAAAAAGAAAGTCGGGAGAAAGCGCTAGTGATATATATGAACAAGAAATGAAGGCGGTCAAAAAGAACAAAAAGGGAAAAAAATAAGTGGTTATTGAATGTCTATAAGTTATCTATAATAATATCTATTGACCTTTGAACCAAATCTAGTAGCGGGGTGTCATTGCCGTTGTTGATATCATATATGTTAAATTGTCGTGATACTTCTGGTTTCAATTTGTTATCCACATCATCTCCAACAAAAAGGTACTTGTGTGAATCGACAAAAGCTGGCCAAACAATCTTTCCAAAATAATCCGGTGGATCAACCCAAAACCCTTCAATCGTGTTGTAGCCACCTCTTGACTCACGCCTTATTTTTAACGTGTCAAACGAGGCGTGGAAAAGTAGTTTAATGTCAAATAGTTTGATTATTTCTGGATTGTGAAATAACATGAATCCATCGACAAACACCAATCGTTTTCTTTTGAATTTGTCACTTTGTTGGTTTATCTTGTCTAAAATTGTATTCTTTTCATTTGGAGTCAACTTTACATCCAAATCGTTTGATTGTATAGACTCTATGGGAGGTTGCTCTTTACCAAATTTGATATTCAGGATGTACGTAGTAAATTTTTCAAAATCAATTGCTTGCGGGCAATCCCAGTTTTGATATCCAGTTTCCTCATCTATAGGTATTTGTGAATCAGCGAGATAGAAATCATCCAAATGAATTAGCGTTACATCAGGAAGCAAAGCTTTAAGGGTCAGCGCAACCGTTGTTTTCCCACTTGACGATGGTCCCCCAAATGCAATAAGTACGGCTTTGTCAGCTTGAATGGTCATGAATAAAGGAACAATACTGGATGAAATCAGCGACATCACTTTTTTTCTTTCTTTTTTTGAAATGCTCCATCTTGATCCAAAACGCGGAGTTGAAGGAAAAAACAGTAACCGCTTACCCATACAGAATAATCACAATTTTTGTCTTACTTCCGTGCACTGAAACGTTTCAACTTCTCATCAATGGTGGGCGCTTGCTACAGCTGAATGAAGGACTCTTTTTCTCTGTTTCATCTTGACTATAAAAGAAACGTTTCATTGAAAGTAGACAGGGGGTGGCGTGGGGGAGCACATCTTGTCGTTACGTAGTGTTTCAGTCAATAGTTGTTGAGCAAATCAGAGTTCAATACATATTTTGAAAATTCACGGGTCTAGACTTGGATCCTTCGCTGCAGTACAGTACAGTAGAAATTGGTGTATGTCCCAAAAACAGTCACAGGACACAATCCCTTCATAACAAACATTTGAAAGCTCGTAAATTTTAACTCATTTTGCTCGTTATCTTTCCATGACATGCTAATTTGTGCTTAAGTTTTTACCACATAATATTTCACTTATCATGTAGTAGATCAAAAATTGTCTCTTCAAAGTCCTAACCGAATTAGGAAATTAATTTTTTTGTTTTCTTCTAATTCTGCAATAACATGCATATTTACTTTTGTGTCTCTTTGATCCAAAGAGAGTTTTTTTTGTGTTTTGAGAGCTCGTGCATATATAGAGACGAATTATAGAACTCAGAAGGGCTAGATTTCAATAAGAAGCATTCAATTACACTGACCCTATTTTGATCCAATCTAACGACTCATGGAATAAAAGGAAGAGTGGCTATGCAGTTTTCTGAAGAGCCCAGGTAGTATAGGTTCAAGACAGGAGTTGACCTTCCAAATTTAACGCATTTTTTCAAACATATCAAAACGATCGGCTATTTGCCTCCTGTTTTCAGGGGCCAAGGGTTTGAAGGGAGAAATGAACTGATTGTCGATGCCTTAAACTTTGAGCCAGAATACATAGTTCTACATTCCGGGTCTCGACTACAATCTTTGCCCAATTCGAGTATGCAAATCTTCAAGTGCTAAAATTTGCAATACATAATTCGAGCATCCTGAAGCTAAACAGCTTGTTCTCGTTCTCGTTCGAGGCTGTTGTAAAAGCTCCACATCATTTACTCATCTGGAGCATAATCTGTAAAACACAATGTTTTTTTTATCATCACCCATTGTATTGTGCTTTGCAAAATGTGTTCCTGAGCATGAAAAAATTCAAATGTGAGTTTTACATATGCCTAGGCGCTTAAAAACACTTTCTATTGCTGTAAGCCAAAACTGAAAAACTAAAACGGAACACTAAAAAAAAACACAATGCAACAATGCAACTGAAAACTAAAACTAAACAGCGACAAAAAAAAAATTTCCTTTTTTCGCAGCCTTTTCTCAACAATAAAAAAAAATACTTTCCCAATTAGGTAAACATATCAAAAGATTGTGGACACAGAGATAAAATTTTTAGAATGCTTCAATACACAGCTAACTATATACCATGGCTATTTTGGTAACTTTGTGCTTGGAAGACTTTATCTCCGGACAACAAACAGTGCGTGGCTACTCCTTATTGAAAATAGTAACATTGCAGCTTTGGTCAAAATCAAAGTAATATTATTTTCTTTTTGTATCCCATATTTGCACCTGAACTTCTCAAATAAATACAAAACTGTTGCCAGATTCTCTCAAACTAGGAATATCTTGAAACTCGTCTAACCATTTCCTTAGTAGTCGTTTTGGTTTCAACTACATCACACCTTACATTTGACGCTGAATCACAACCTCGTTACAACAGTGCCTATGGTAACTAGCACACACACTCACTCGTTTTAAAGACAGACTATTTGATTCCACTCAGCGTCATTAACTTTCACCACCTCCCTCCCCCCCTTTTTTTTTGAGTTCAACATTTTATTCAATTGCCGTAGTTGCATTCCCCTGACATAACTTAACGCTTAAGAATTTCCAAGGTGTTATCGATCGTGAATCTAATGAGTGCTACTCCAGAGTTGGGACGGCGTTCGGCATCAGCAACGGCTCCAACGACAACAACAACAACAGTAGCTAACCAACCAAAGTCCTTTTCCCATTATACAACTCCATCACCAACCGATGAGGATAGCAACAACAAACCGGTGCGAGAGAATCTGCCTTCAACGAATGCTGAACTTCTTTCGAGTTTGAAAGAGTTCAATGTTGACAAGACAAAGTTCAAGCATTATGGGCATTTATCACTGACGAACTCCCAGTTTTTGGAAAAGGTTATGCATATGACAACACCAGAACAAGAGACTGGACTTTTAGACAAAGAAAGAAGATCTTTACTGTGTTCATCCACTAAACCAAAAGTGGTGGAGGAGGAAATGGCTCATGTATTGGCTGCTTTACCAAACACTATAGAAAAATTATCACTGCCACCTAATACGGATATTTTGAGTGAATTGATTCAGTTGCAAATAGAACAAGAAAGAACCAAGCAGAGCGTGCTCAAGAAGGAGATTGGAGATACGGCATTGCAGTTGTTTAATGTTGCCAAGGAGTTAAATGTGAATGTCGATCTTATCCCATACTTATTTGCATCAGATTCAATAACACCCAAAGGTTTGAATGATCAAATTGATAAGCTTCATCATGATCCTAAGCAGGCAATAAATGAGCTCGAAGAGAAGTCTAGACAGGCTGAATGTGATGCAACTAGATTCAAAAGGAAGCATTCTGATACACAACTACCATCGTTTTCAGAAACTGCCCAAAGTATAATTGGATCCAACATTGTTTCGCCGTTGAGATCACCTAATCGTACTCCAGCATTAGTACACAGAAGAGTGGTTTCGGATAGTAGTGACTCAACCACAAAAGGATCGTCACCAGCAAATTCAGGATTTTTGCCGCTTCTGTTTATTGTCAATTCGAAGGAATCGGAACTGAACCCCGATCATCTTCATCACCCTTCGCCTCAGGGTCAACATCAACAACAGCAACAGCAACAACAACAGCCATACACCACCGATGTTCAAAGTCAACTGCAACAGCATCTGCCACAAATCCAGCCACAAACATCCCCACCGCCAGTTTCATACACGGGTCACTATTATACTCCCCAACACATACCTCAACCACCATCGGCTTCACAAGCACAACATTTGCCGTTACCCCCTGCAGCAGCAGCACACACCGCTAATCCACCACCAGCTTCATCCAAAAACGTGTCTAATCTGGGCTCTCCGCATTTGCCGAAATACCCAATCGTACCTCCTCCTCATGCATACCCACAAGCAGGAATCAACTTCGCTCCTCATCAGTACCCTTACTATGCATCCACATCACCACCAAGCTACAACCATCAAGCATATGCCCACATTGGTACGGTAAAATCACCACCCCCACCTCCTCCACAACAACAACAACAACAACAACAACAACAACTTCAACCTTCACTACAAGTTTCACCTCGCCACCAACACCAGAATACTAGACACTCCTCGTCCAGTCAAACATCACCTCGTCCTCAGTTTCAGCACAAACCACAACCGAATCACACAACCAAACCTCCTGTCCCAACACATCAGTTTGAGTCTAACGACTCTAAAAAAATTGTGTTTAAATCTGTTGAAGATGAGGCTCCTGCATCAAAGAGGCAAAAGAACTCAAAACAAACTGGAAGTATCAATTTCATGATTACGACACCAAAGAATCCACCGGCAAGGAGGTACAACAACCCTCACAAGGAGAAGTGAAGAAACAATATAAGATCCACGTAAGAGATTTTGTCCATATGGGAGAGGAGTAGGCTTGCAGTTTGTTGACGTCACATACAATACCCTGTTCCTTTCTTTATTTCACTTTTTTCTTTTTCACATTTTAACGTACCGCTTCAGTTCATTTTCAAGTTGAGGCTTTCCCAACTTTCCAATTTCTTTGATACCAAACCGTATAGAATAGGGTGCCTTCAATATATATTTACATTTAATAGCAATACGATTCAGTTTCATGATTGTATTTATTTTGTATTTTAGCTCAGTCTTCTGTGTTCAACTACGTATCTTATGCAACAATGAGTAACATCAGGTTAGAGAGGGTCACGAAATTTCGTGCGGCACTAGCTCATGAGATCTTCATCAAAGTATGCAATTGTCGGAATAAAATTGACAAACATACTTGTTTTGGAATTTTATCGCGGAGAATTGTCGGACTTTCGGAGCATCGTTGAATCTCTCCGATAACGCGCTAAAGAGAGCTGCGACTGGAAAACCAAGCTCCGAGAAGCGCCAAATACAGATTCGAAGAAATGTTGTACTTCGTGGAGGACGCAGAGACTAAGCATTTCTGATAAAGCCTATGGACCCTGGTTAGCCAATTTCCTGACCCATTGATTTATGAGGGTCGATGTAACATCAAACTCACACGGCTTTAAAATTGTTGGAACCAATTGAGTAATAAATCCGGAGCGCATTGTGTCAAAAAAAAAAGCCTCACCTTCAAAGCTTTGTTAATAAAAATATTTTTCACACTACATCGGAACTATAAATAAACTTCAGTATCCACTTTGTTTTGGTGAATTTAGTCAGAGAAGGAGAAACGTATGCAGTTGCTCGAATTCACATCTATTTGACTTTGTTAACACCCCAATACTGACTTTTCACTTGTTCGCTACACTCATCCCCCCTTTTCCCCATTACATGACGCGGCACCTGCAGTCGGAAGAATTACCAAGTTATGGAGGATCAAAAGAAACCAAATAAGGATGATCCGGAATTGGATCCATCCCATGCGGTTGAGCTGAAACTGGCATACCCTTATACTATTTTCCACAAATTTGAGAAATTTCAACTCATTATCATTTTAAGTCTTGTTGGATTTTGGAGTACTGTTAGTTCACCAATTTATTTCCCAGCATTACCTACATTAACCGAGTATTTCAACACTACGGAAGACATTATCAACATTTCAGTTGTGTGCTACCTTTTGCTTCAAGGAATAACACCAACTATTTCGTCAAATCTAGCTGACACATTTGGTAGACGACCAGTGATATTGGCGAGTATCTTGGTTTTCATTGCTGCTTGTATTGCTCTTTCGCAGACAAATGTGTATTGGCTATTAGCAGTATTAAGATGTATACAAGCTGCCGGGATTGCTCCTGTGATTGCTATTAGTTCAGGTGTTTCTGGAGATGTTTGCACACCCGAAAATCGTGGCGGAATGGTGGGCACTGTATCTGGATTGCAATTATTGGGTAATGGTCTTGGTGGGTTGCTTGGAGCCGCCTTAATTAGTGGCTTCCATACTTGGAGATCAATATTTGTGTTTTTAGCCATTGGTGGAGGAGTAACATTTGTGTTGGCATTTTTCATTCTTGCAGAAACATCGAGACGTATTGTAGGTAATGGGACCGTGATGCCAAAGAATCCGATTCATAAATCAATGACCATTTATTTGCCTTCATTTCAAAAGAAGATGACTAATGATTACGTTACGATTGCCCATAAGAAGCCATTTGATATTTTTGGCCCCTTCCGTATTTTCATCCAAAAGGAGATATTCTTGACATTGTTGCCTTCGGGCTTGCATTTTGCAGCTTGGACAATGGTGTTGACTTCATTATCAACTGAACTAGAGTCATCAAAATACAATTACAGTGTTATGCATGTGGGTCTTATTTACTTACCACAAGGAATTGCTTGTCTCGTTGGATCCATGTCTGTTGGCAGATTCATGAACTGGTATTACAGAAGGCGTAAAGCTGCTTATGATAAACAAGTCGAGGAACTACCTTTGGATCAAAGACCGCCCTTTAACCAAGTTGCAACAAGACTAACATTGTGCGTTGCCCCCGCCTTGCTAATGATCATTGGGTTGGTGATTTTTGGATGGTGCATTGAATACAATAGACACATCATTTCAATCATTGTATCCACCATTTTAATTGCATTTTCTTCGTCAGTATTTATTTCGATATGTACTACATTACTTGTTGATTTACACCCGGGTCAAGGCAGTGCCTCAACCAGTTGTTTAAACTTGATGAGGTGTTGGTTAGCCGCTTTGGGTGTGGGAGTATTGGACCGCATGATTGATGCTATGAATTTGGGTGGAACTTATACACTAGTGGCTGGGTTTTGCCTTTTGTTTGACTTGTGCTTGATTTACGTTCTCCATTCAGCCAGTAAAAGAATCAAAGAGCACCATAAAGTAGGATAGACCCCTTTATAGATATAGAGAATAATATATTACGTCATTCTCAAAGTTGAAAATACATATTGGGTGCTCTCTTTTCTACAACAATGTTTTTCAGCAAACGCGATGTTATTATATTCACCTATGAGCAACTATATATTAACATACGACTTTGGACAAAGAAAGTAATAAAAAGATCTATAAATTACGTTTATTGAGAAGCACATTGAACACCTGGATGTCCTTGACCATCTTCCTCATCGGAATCGTACGCATCTCTTCTCCTTTGTTGGTGTTTAGCAGGATCGTACTTGACCATATCACATTCATCAACTTCTGCACCTTCTGGAATTTGAACTTGTTTTCTTGGAGGTAAAATGGATGCCAATTCCTTGAGTTTATCCTCATCAGCAAAATGATTTGGTGGGAATGCAACTGAAAATTTGATAATCAAGTTACCTTTACCACCATGTCTATAAATTGGCATACCTTGACCCTCTATAATCTTCATTTCACCTGGAGCAATAACTTCTCCAGGAGTGATATTTATCTTGATCCAGTCACCTGAAATGTGTTTGAATGCAATTTCTCCACCTGCCAAAGCTGTCAATAAATCGACTTCATATTCTCTGTACAAATCATTGCCCTTTCTCTGGAAATTGGCATCTGGTCTTTCGTCAACAACGAAAATGACATCGCCTGGGGTAATACCTGGCTCTTGGTCACCCTCACCACTAAATACAATTCTTTGGCCATCCTTCATACCTGGATCAATGTGAACTTGCAAAATCTTTCTTTCAGTTTGAGTTTTCTTACCTTTACAAGTTGTACATCTGTCCTTTGGATCACATAAATCACCAGAACCTTGACATTTATCACACACGGTTTGGAATCTTTGAATCATGGGACCCATTTGTCTGGTGACAAACTTCATACCAGAACCATGACAGTCTGGACATTCCTTAACCTTACCTTCAGCACCACCTCTGCCTTCACAATCGCTACACAATACAGTCTTGTTCAAAGCCAACTTTGTAGTTTTGCCCTTGTACAAATCTTCCAAAGTACACCCAATACTGTGCTTGATATCCTTACCTCTAGTTGGTCTTTGAGGACCACCACCAAAACCGCCACCGAAACCTCCACCAAAGAATTGGGAGAATATATCTTCGGCGTTCATACCTGGACCACCTTGACCTGACAACCCTTCTTCACCATATTGATCATATATGTCTCTTTTTTGTTCATCAGATAATATTTCATAAGCGTGAGAAATTTCTTTAAATTTTTCAACAGCTTCTGGGGTTGAGTTTTTATCTGGGTGGTATTTCAAAGCTGCCTTCCTGTAAGCCTTTTTCAACTCAGTGTCGCTTGCAGTAGGGGATACTCCTAAAGCATCATAGAACTTGGTATCTTTGACCATGACGTATTAATGTGTGATTTATAAAACGTAAATGGGTGGGTGGATAAATAATATGTGTAGCTTTCAAAAATAGGTTACTCTATACTGATATTAATCTAGGAGCGGCAAGTAGCTTCTGTGTTAGCTTTGTAACGAGATGTAGTTTCAGAAAGCGTATCAGGTTATTCCCGTGCTTGTATTGAGTTCAGTTGAAGAAGGATGGGGAAAGATCAAAAGTTTTCTTTTTCCCTCTTTAAAAGCAAATGCTCTTCCTTCGTTAAAATTTTCACACATACACAGACACAGACAATATATAAGAGCATTGTCGTGATATAACTGCGACACGACAGAGAATTTTAATATTCCACACACATATGATAATATATAAACACATTCGACCTAAAACCATATCCATACATCTCTCAGCTTAATGTGACTACCTTACGGACTTCACTACCTCACTATACCATATCTCATAGACATTCAATATCGAGAGCTATTTGGTGATGGCGACTTAGTAAGTATTACATAATCAAACTACAGTTAACAATCACAAACTTATAGAATGTTCTAGAAGAGAGAGAGGGAGAGAGAGAGAGAGACAAAAAGAAACAAAAACTAACTACCCAATGCTACCAAACTTGTCCCTCTGTATCAGACTATAAAAACTATATTTCTTTTTAGTATCCTTCCTCCATCTATCCAGCATGTTCCACTATGGAACTGGATAAGACACCATTCTTCACTGTAGATACAATTTGTTCTGGTACAGCCAACTCTTTGAAATCGTTGTTGACTTCTGGCACATTCACATTCAAAGCTGTGGTTTTACTAGTGTAAATTTGACAATCATTGTCAATACTCTCTGTTGACAAGTAAATGGATCCTTCATCAGATTGATCAATGCTAATCATTGGTACCAACCCAACCACTTGTAATCCATACTTGTACGACTTGATGACCTCAACACCTGAAATTAAAGAATCAATGACAACACCAACCTTCTTTGTTTCGGAAATTGTAACCGCATTGGCTTTACCTTTCAATTGAATGGTGACGTCACTGCAATTTCCAATAAATACTGATTGAGAGTTTTCAGTTTCAATGACAATGGGTGATTGTGCATCAGCTTGTGTGAAATTCTGGATAATCCACTTACTACCATCAACCAACTCCTTCTTTGGTGTCTTTTTAGGAGTCGTTGTTGGCACAACATGAGATGACGTAGAGTGTCCTGCTAAATTCTTTGGTTTTTTTGGGGCAACTGGTGGCTGCTTTCTTAATTCTGGATTTTTATGGGTCATTTCAGACTTGTCCACTTTCTTCAACCCAGAAGTAACGTCAGCACCTTGATTTAATTGAGCAAATACAGCATTCATACCGCCTGTTGAGGAGCCAGCAGTATTGGAAGAAGAAGACGAAGCAGATGCATCTTCAAAGAATGAAGCTGGTGGCGGTGGAGGTGGTGCTGGTGGACCAGACGCATTGGCACTTTTCTCTTGTTGTGCTGTTGTGGAGCCACTTTCTGCTGACGAGTTAAACTCTTCCACTGCTTGTGCAAATGATTTTCCATTGGGGTTCCATGCTGGACCTTTTGTGTGGTACTCCTTCACATACGACTTCAATTCATCAAAGATGTTTGTAAGCTGGTTAACCCACTCAACATTGACCTTGTCTTTATCTTTGTACTCCTTTAATACTCTGTCGGACCAGAATTTTGCACTATCCTTGATGTCAGAAATATACGACACAGGGGTATCAACCCCAATCCAGAAAAATACAGCTCCACTTTCACTCAAACTATTCAAATGGTTGAAGTAAGAAGACTTTCTGTTTGCATCTTTCAAGCTATTAATTTTTGAAATCTTCTCATTCGTTGGACCCAACACTTGACCCAAAAGTGGATCTGTCATATCAGGCTTTTTTGATTCCGACACAATTTCCAAAAATTTGGTTTGATCAACAAAAGTATCTGCAAACAACTTAGCGGATTCACCAACAACAGAGTCAATCTGGTTTGATGCATTGACAAATGGAACAACAAATTCGTGAATTAATCGCTCAAACGCGAGAATTGACTTCTTCTTCTCGGGTGTGACGACTTTCTTTGATTGAGACGTGCTGCCTCCTGGAGAAACACTTGATGCTGATGAAACAGTAACCAATGTTTCATTGGCACTGTCGTTATGTTGAGCACGTGCGGCAGTGTTTGCCAGTGCTTCAACGCCAGTCTTTTGTTTGTTGGCTTCTTCTTGGAACACAGTAATATCCTCGAGACGAGAAGTGGCTGCTTCCAACCTCTTGAGAATGGTCACAATATTATAGCCCTGGACGTTGAATTGACTCTCTTCTCCGGACATTTTCCTCTTGTGTGTGGTGGGAAACGGTAATTGAGTTGACAATGTTGTTCAAAAAAAGAAAATGGAAGTAATCCACAACACGGACTTTCACATATTTTTTTTTTTTTTTTTTTTTTTTCGTCTGAGAGATTGCTGAGGTCCCCGTCTGTATCGATTAAATGATTGGGAAAAGAAAAAAATTCGCTGCACAAATGCACATTTTGCCCAATACAAGCCCACTAGATGCCTTCAAAGTCAAAGACAGAGGAGGAGGTGTATCCACCTCAAGAAGTTCATTACTTGAAAGATGTAGTAATAGGGTCGAATGAGCCTGAGCCGTTTTACACTAAATATCAAACAGGTGTGCCCATTGCAATAGATTTAGGAACGTCTACATGGAGAATTGGATTGACAAACAATGCAGAGCCAAATAATGTTTTTCCAGCAGTCATATCAAGACATAGGGATCGAAAGCTTGCAAAAACGCTAACAATTATTGGGAATGATGTCTTTAGCGACTCGGCGTTGAAGTCCACAACGAAAACTCCTTATGATGGACCTCTAATTACCAACTGGGACTACATTGAATTTATGCTTGACTATTCGTTTGAACATTTATCTGTACAAAGCACTAACGGGAAAGTGAATAATCCCATAATAATGACAGAACCGTTGACTTGCCCATACAATCAACGAAAAACAATGTATGAACTTCTATTTGAAGCTTATCAAGTGCCAAAAGTGTCATTTGGACTCGATTCGCTATTTTCTTACTATGCAAACTCAGATGGAAAATCCACTGGCTTGGTCATTGGAACTGGAAACGAACTGACGTCAATTATTCCCGTGCTTGATGGGAAAGGGTTGATATCTCAGGCAAAGAGAATCGATTGGGGTGGCGATCAATCGCAGCTGTACTTGTCTAAACTTTTGAGTTTAAAGTACCCTTACTTCCCGAATAAATTGAATGTCAATCACACCACAAATTTGTTTAAGGATTTTTGTTACGTTTCAGAGGATTACCTGAATGAGTTGAAACATATACTAGATATGGATGTTTTGGAAAAGAAAGATATCGTCGTTCAAGCACCAGTTGAAATAGCGGTCAATAATGAGAACAAGAAAACGGAGGAAGAGTTGGCGAGACAAGCAGAAAAACGAAGGGAACAAGGGAAACGATTACAAAAACAAGCTCAACAAAAGAGGATTGAGAAACTCGCTCAGAAACAGGAAGAATGGGATTACTATTCAAAGTTGAAGGAGGACAATGCAGGCTTGTCTGCATCTGAATTTGAAGATTTAATAGTGCGCGATGGCTTTGATGATCTTGAAGATTTTGAAAAGTACATGGGCTCTTTGGAACGATCATTAAAGAGAGCAGCTCAAACAGAAGATGGTGGGGAAGATGATGACCACGACGATTCATCAGACCCTGCCAAGGCATGGCCATTAGTAGACATTCCTGATGACCAATTGACGCCAGATCAAATAAAGGAAAAGAGAAAACAAAAGTTGCTCAAGGCTAATGCAGAAGCGCGAGAGCGTAATAGAGAGTTGAAAAGACAGGAACAGGAAGAACGACTACTTCGAGAAGAGGAGGAGAGGAAATGGAGAGAACGTGATTTGGATGATTGGTGTACTACGAAAAAACTTGAATTGGCTGGTCTTATTAGTAAAGTCAAGGATAGGCAGAAACTTCTTGAATCCATGAAGGACAGGAAATCAGCTGTTGCACAGCAACGTATGAAAAACATTGCTGAACTAGCCAACGATGAAACAGGGTCCACCTCCGCAGCTTCAAGGAAAAGGCGTCGTAATGCAAACGCAACCATTGATAATGACCCCAATGACACATTTGGAACCAATGATGATGATTGGAATGCTTACAGGGAAATATCCAATCAAACTGTTGAAAAAGAATTGGACCAGCTCAATAAGGGGATAATCGCAATCGAAGAAGAACTTTTAAAGTATGATCCAAATTTTCACCATGAAGATACTTTTGCCGCCGCCAACACTTTTGATTGGAAAAACCTGGTGCTTCACAAATTCGTCCATGGCCCAAGACCAAACATTACCATCGAAATGCAAGCCGAAGGTTTATCACCAGAGGAGATTGTTAACCATCCAGAAATTATCAAAAAGAATCATCAAATCCATTTGAATGTGGAGCGTATACGGGTTCCAGAAATATTATTTCAACCAACACTTGGTGGGCTTGATCAAGCCGGAATTACTGAGATATCCAGTGACTTGTTGCGCAGACGATTGGATGGTATTTTTCAACCAGGCGGTCAATCTTATGCTATGGCTAGCGACGTATTTATAACTGGTGGGTTGGCATTGCTTCCTGGTTTTAAGAACAGAGTACAGAGAGATTTCACACAATTTTTACCGACGGAAACGCCGCTTCATGTGCGTACTGCCAAGGATCCATTGTTGGACGCATGGCACGGGATGTACAAGTGGGCCAATTCCGACGATTCCAAGCATGCGTATGTTACCAAAGCTGAATTTGAAGAGTATGGACCAGAGTATATAAAGGAGCATGGATTGGGTAATGCTTGTATTTTATAGTGTAAAAGTTAACGATCTTTCATGATTCAACTACATAGCATCTCATTCACACCTTTTTAGCATGTGGATTGATACCCTTTTTTCTCAAACTATGCTTCTTTGATTTCTCAATAAAAGCTTCGTCTTCTTCACTGTTAAAATCAGCAAAATCTTCATGAATAATACCCTCTTCTTCTGCTTCAGCTCTTGCTGCATGCTCCTTCTCTTTCGCTCCTGCTTTCGACACATCATGAGGCGAAGATGCAATCTTTTTGAATTTGGCTACATAGAACCCATCAACGTTGTAGATATGCGGATAGTACCTCCTGGTCAAGTTCAATTTTGGGTTAAAATGTCTACCACGATAAGACGTGAAACCTTCCTTACCAATGGCCAATCCCGTCTCAACCAATTTAACATTTGGCCTCTTTCTCAATGCATAATCTACAACTGCTTCATTTTCCTCGACTGCAACGGAACAAGTTGAGTAGACAATGATCCCACCGGTTGATGAGTTCGCATCCACGGAGTCAATAGCAGATAATAGCAATTGCTTTTGTAAATGCGGAATCTGCATGAAATCCTTTTCAGTTCTGCTAACCTTGACACTCTCATCTTTCGCTATAACACCAGTACCGGAACAAGGTGCATCCAATAGTATCCTGTCAAAGCCTCCAATCACTTTTGGAAACTCTCTTGCATCGTAATTACAAACAATCGTATTTTTACACCCCAAACGATGTATGTTTGCAATTAATGATTTCGTTCTTGCCTTGTTTGCATCATTGGCAAACACACACCCAGTATTCTTCATCAAAGCTGAGATATAAGTTGTTTTACCTCCTGGAGCTGCCGCCATATCCAATATACGTTCATTTTCTTTAGGGTCCAATGCAATCACTGGTAAAAAGGAAGAAGCTGCTTGAAGAATGTATTGACCTGCTAGGTACTCTGGCGTGGCTCCAATTGGTACTTGAGAATCGAAAATTTGCAACCCCACTTTGGTCCACGAACCAATAGGTTGCAAATTGACACCACGATTGACTAAACTTTGGGCCAAATCTCTTCTTTTGGTTTTGAGGGTATTCGTTCTTATTGTGATTGGTCTTGCAGTTTCATTAGCTTCAAAAAATTCAATTGCCTCTGAAGGTGAGAACAAGTTGAACAACTTGTCGGCCAACAACTCAGAATAGCCAAAATATTCACAAATATCCTTGATTAATCTTGACACATAATCTGCTCTTGATTTGCCTTCTTCAGCCAACGTCTTGAAATTATCCAAAACTTTAACAATTTCAAGCATTCTTGTTCTTACCATGGTGACATCCTGTGGACCTTGCGCCATTTCCTCTTCTTCAGCATCTGTTGGCAAAACTTTGGCTCGTGGCTGTACTGTACCTTCTTCAAGCAATTCCTTTTCTGCTTCCTCAGCTTCAAGTTCGTCCTCATCGTCAAGTTGCTTTGAGTATGCTTCCATATTTTCAGCATTCAAGTCCTCCAAATCATGTTCGTCTTCATCGTCATCCGAGAACATATGCTTCACCTGATCTTCCTCATCTGATTCTACCTGCTCCAAATCACCGTCTTCGAATTCGTCATCAAGCTCCTCGTCGTCAAACTCTTCTTCTTGTACTTCATTTTCTTCGTCAGAATCATCGAATAAAGATTTCCTTGCCGATGCTAACTCCTCTAAATCCACTTCGGGCAAACGTTCTTCCTCCGAAGCTGGTTCTTCTTTTGCTCTTCCAAGCTTTGGTTTCTTTTGGAACTTTTTTGGTTTTTGAGAAGCTTCTGTTGTCCTTTCGTTTACACTCAATTTATGTTTCTTACTAGGAATTGCTGTAGCATCACTATCATTTTGAACTTTTCTCTTTTTCTGTTCCTTCTTGTCCTTCAGTGCTTGAAACTCATCGTACGTGGGTGGTAACCCTTGCTTGTTCTTTGCTCTTCTTCCCATGATTTGGTTGTGTAGAGAATATAACTTTACTGATAGTTTTTTTTGAAAAATCACTGAGATGAGATGAGGGACAAAAACATGGAAAATGGTGAAAAAAAAAGTTGAGATCTGTCACTTCTCTAATCTATTCTTCATATATGGTTAGTGCAAACGATTGTACAATTAGAATTGGCCAACATGTGCTAATACGGTTGCCATCAAAAGGACTCAAGGTTGTGCATCTACAAGAATCTGGTCGGGTTAGTCTCGGTAAATTTGGATCATTTGAAGTTTCAAGCATTTTGGGTCATCCCTTGGGCTCTTCGTTTGAAATTGTGGATGACAATACAGTCAGAGTTATCAAAAGTATCACTGATGCTGGGGATATTTGGGATGCTGATGAAGACATCCAGAAGAAAGAGCTAACGAGAATGTTTAGTGATAGTGCCGAGAACAATCAGAATATTATAGATATTGGTGCCAAAATACAAAATTTAACCAACGATGATATTGATGAACTAAAGAAAAGTGGAGCGTCTTCGCAAGTTGGACAGTTAATTATCGAGAAAATGATTGCAAATCATGACGGATTCGATAAAAAGACAATATTTTCACAAGAGAAGTATTTGAAACGAAAGCAACAAAAATTTCTTAGGAGATTCACTGTTGATTATCTTGGGGCTGCTGAGCTTTTGGAATATAATCTTGAGAAGGACGCCTCAAAGGTTTTGGACTTGAGTGTTGATTCGTTAGGATTAATGATGACATATGGAAATATTCGGCCTGGTGGAAAGTTTCTAGTGATTGACGAGACGGGGGGCCTACTTTTGTATGCGATGATGGAGCGAATGGGTTGTGAGGGTACTATTGTACTTCTTCATGAAAACGAGCATGCAAATATTATCATGTTGAGGTATTCGGATTATGATGAGTCAGTCATTACTAAAGTGGTAAAACCAATTAATTGGCTACAATTTGCCGAACCCGAAAATGAACGAATACAGCTAGATGAGGAAGATTTTGAGCCGAAAAAGCCAAAACTTAAGGAGCAATTTTTACGGAAACGTGAAAGAGCGCGGAATGTTAACGAGGTAATTGACTTGGTGGTGGAAGGCAATTTTGACGGGTTTGTATCAATGTCCACTTTGTACATGCCTGATGTTGTTGAATCTGTGATACCAAAAATTGGTGGCTCCCGACCAGTGGTTATATACAACCAATACAAGGAGTTATTAGCGGAGGTTCAACAACACTTCACAAATGATCGAAGAGTTATAGCCTCTTCTATTTTTGAAACCAGAGCTAGGCCATATCAGACTATTCCCGGACGAATGCACCCATTAATGACTATGAGAAGTGGAGGAGGGTATGTCTTGTGGGGGACAAGAGTTTTTCCTGATGAAAGTGTTATTGCTGTCGGAAAAGGTATGAAGAGAAGAAGAGAGGAGTCAGTTGAGTCAGGCGTTTCATTGACCTCGGCCAACGTGGCGGAAGACACGCCGGAGAACTTTCCTGCATCTGAAACAGAAGTAGCAGAGACAAGGGAAGATGATGTAGAGATAACAAATGACGCCCAGTAAAGCATCAAAACATTTGTTTCCGATTATACTTTTCTATCACATAAACGTTCCAATACTTCAAAATCAGAATACATCTTCCACCCTACAACGCATCTTATTCTGTTTGCGGAATCTCTCATAAACCCCACACCCCAGTTCTCATCTACCAACTTCAGCACAATCTCTACCTGCTTGTAGTATCCAACCTCAAATATGAACCCTCGCGCTTCCGAAGGTAACACCACATTGTGTAACAAGTACTCATAGGGTGCAGAATCCCCTATCAATGCTAATTCAGGTTCATACTGTCTAACTGATTTTTCAATTCCGTTTCGTAAAACAGACTTTTGATAGTCATGTAATGGTATATACGGCGGATTTGCTGTGACCAAATCGAATTTAGACACAGGAAGCGAGGATAGTACATTTGCATCTGTAATGTCTGCGATTTGAAATACAATCTCACTTGCAGTATTCGAGTTGAGTGACGCATTGGATTTTAAATTATCTTTCGCTAAGCAAACCGCTTCATTGGACACGTCAAAGCCGCAAATGCTAGACCTCAAATTCGCTGATGAGAGCTTCTGCTTTAGAAGAAGCGGAATACATCCTGAACCCGTACACGCATCTAAAATTCTAAGTCCGTCGAGCCTTTGTTCCAGCAAAAGATAACCCAATTTGATGCACCATTCTTCCGTTTCCCATCGGGGAATTAAAACACCTTTCCGACATATCACGTTGAGCTCTCCAAACGGCTGACTTCCTAGAATATATTGGAGTGGCTCAAATTTCAAACGTTTGTTTACAGCAGAGACCCAATGCTCTTGAGGCAACTCCTCCTTGATCCATTTGAGTTCTAAAAGGGCTCTGTCTATGTCACGGTTGGCAGGTAGTAGTGGTGGCAAAAGCAGTGTTACTCTCCTTGCTTGTAGAATTAGTCTCCCGGTTAGTCGGGGCATTTATGACATCCCATATAAAGTTTGTGGTTCTACAATTTTTTTCTAGCCTGTAAAGTCTCTCTCTCACAATGCTTTGTAAATACAATTGTGTATTTCTTTCTATGTACAAACTAGGACATACCCTTCTTGATATAATACATGTAAGCTCTCTCATGAACGTGTTCAGGGAATGGCGAAATGACTTCGGAATGGCCTGGTCTTGCAACTGGGTCCCTCAAATAAACAGCATGACAAGTGTCAAACGAGATTTCAATGTGCGAAGGTAAGATTGCAAATGCACCAAGGAATGGTCTTGGTGTCCATGGGGTAAAGTAAGGTTTTGATGCATCCTTACGACCAAAAAGATGTTTTTGCCATGGTAATGTAACTTTCGCTTTTGTCTCGTCTTCCAAAAGCTCTTCTTTGTTCAAAGAAGTTATGGGGATAAGTTTCTCTGCATAAGAGGGGTCATAGAAGGCAGCTCCTGCACCCAAATTTTCAAACTCCAAACGTATTCTCTCCCATTCACTCTTTTCTAATTCTCTTAACAAATTGTTTACATGTCTCAATAAAGACTTTTCCTCGGGCGTTCTCTCTGTTTCTTTTGAGAAATAAACGTCCAATGCTTTTGGAGAATAATCACCTAAAAGACCTGATTTTTGTAGAAGTAAGGACTCATACACCTGCAAACATTTGCTTTTCGCGAGCTTATCTCCATATTTTTCAAAACTATCTGCCGTAAGATGTGCTCCTGCCGCATTACCCAATTTAACGATGTCACCCAAAATAGACTTTTTGTTGACTTTTTGCTGTTGTCTTTTCATCAAGCTTTCCCCGCTATCCTGTTTTTCCTTCAATCTTATTTTTGCCTCGATGTTTGCAACGGAATTCAAAGAAGCAGGCTTGTTTTGTTGCATTTCCCACACTTTTTGTGGGTTTTTGCGAGCGAGTTTGACATAATGATTCCAGTACCTTATTTGTTTATTATCAATATCTATTGCTTTGCCCAAACTTGGTTTTGCCCTACCCAAGGCATATAGAACCCTCTCTGGATCAACCGAAAAAACGTCACCACTTCTCAATGGGAAAGAGGGGTGCTTGATCACCACTCCATTAACCTTGACATATCCCCCCATGATAAATTGTCTTGCTTGCCTTACTGAGGATGCAAACATACTTCTGAATAAAGCAAACTCTAATCTCTTCTCCAACGTGGCATACGTTTGCAAGGTAATGGGCGTTGGAGCAACTTCTTGTGACTTTAGCGATGCATCAAGCTGTGAATACGTCTTCAACTCGGGCTCAAAAATTACTTTTTTAAATCTCTTTTCTTTCAAGTGTTCTCCGTGATATGCTCTGGTTTCTGATTTAGCTGCCCATTTTTGTTGATAGAGAGTTTTCCCAGCATAGTTCAAGGGTACTTTTCTCTGAAGGTTAAACAAATTAAACCTGTTCATCGACATACCAATGTGACCTCGCACCATGCGAGAAACATTGTCCAACTTTCTCGGCATTGCAACGGTGTATGCTTGTTGGGTTAGAAGTCTCTTGCTGAATAAATTTTTTTTTTTATTTTTTTTTCAGTTCTTTCAAATTTTGAGGTTCTCGCTTTTGGGTTTGAAAGTAATAACCATCCAGTGTTACCATATGAAGGACTACACCTTTTACTTATACATATAGATTGCAATGTCTAGTAAAGAATCTGGACAAAATGAAGAGCTCCTACCGAATAGATCCTGGAGTGTAGATGAGGAAATAAAGTTATTCAGCTTGGTGTGTGATTACAAACCAGCAGGCTCAAAAAAACACAAGAATATGGCTGTTATTTTAAACAAAATCAATGAATCTATAGAACCACTAGTACCACCACTTAATGAGTCGGATGTGTGGCAAAAACTACAACAATTGTTCAATCTTTCAAAGATTGACCTTCTTGAGGGGCTCAGCGGTGATGAAATTACCAACAGTGATAGTTTGGATAATGCTAGTGGCAATACAACTGCTGGTGAAGAATCAGTAAAACCCACTTTAACACGAAAAAAGGATTTTATTGATAATGCCGATGAACAAGACGATAAAGAAGAGAAAGCACAGAAGAGCCTAGAATTGGAGAAAAGAGGTAGGGGCAGAACAGGTAAAGGTGGCAAGGAGAATTCAACTCGAAGACGATTAAGAAATTCAGTTGGCGATGAATCAGTAAAGGACGAAGATAAGGAAGGGACTAGTGAGGTGCACAATAGCTCCCAAGACGAAAGCCAAGAGGCTAAATTAGATTTTGTATCAAATAAAAAAACGCGTCCACATATTAAAGCCGAGAAGGACAAACAAATAGCGGCACAAGAAGACCAAGAGGAAAACGAGGAGGACGAAGCGGACGAAGCGGACGAAGATGAAGAAGATGAAGAAGACGAAGAAGACGAAGAAGACGAAGAAGACGAAGAAGACGAAGACGAAGAAGATGAGGATGAAGAGGATGAGGAAGAAAAGGACGAAGAAGAAGACGAAGAAGAAGACGAAGACGAAGATCAGAAGGATGAGGATGAGGAGGAAGAGGAAGAAGAGGGAGATGGTAAAAATGGGAGAGATGAAAAGGCTAAAGAGGAAGGAGAAGGAGAGGAAAGTCCTGATGTTGCACCTTCAAGACGAACTAGAGGCCGAAGGCATGTTGAAGATCACGATGCTCCCTCAAGAGAGCCCCCTCGTAAAAAGCAGAGATCAGATGTCAAATCTGAAGGACCCCTTGATGAAGCCACAGTTGAGAAATTTTCGAAGAAAGGCAAAAATACGGCTTCTGTTGCCCCCCTACCGTCTACAGGACGAAGAAGAACTCGATCTGAGGCACACGTTGAAAACGTAGAAGAAGAAGACACACGTCCCAAACGTGAAAAAAAGGGAAATGATATTAAGAAACAAGAACTGGAGAATGAATCCACAGAGGACGGGTCTGACAAGAAAAAGCTGGCAAAACTGGAAAGGAGGAGCGATAAGTCCCAAAAAGGCTCAGTTGAACCTATTAAAACAGCAGTTAGACGGTCTGGTCGTGGAGTTAATGCTCTGCAGGATTCAAAAAGACTGACACCTCCTATAAGACGTAGTACAAGGAAAAGGTGATTATGAAAAGGAAGGCAATTTGGTTAATCTAACTGCTATTGAAAGATTGGATTATGTATATGCATGTCACTAGACTATAACCACTTTTAGACCATCTACGGCCAACTTGACTCAATTGTGTGACTTCTTTCGTCTCTCAAATTGTCCTCTTTTCCACGACACGAGCATGTTTCAAAATCTAACAACTTTCTTTTCAAACTTTTTTATTCGAGAATTGCGCGTTTCATTTTTCCTCATAATTATTCCCAACCATTGGATGAGATTATTACTACTAAATGGAACAAGAATTGCGGAAGAGGTTGCTAGACTAAACATTAGGTACTTAACCAATGGCTGCAGATGCTTTGAGAGATTGGAAAAATGGAACAGGGGTGGTAAAACTGAAAGAGTTCCAGGTAAAATGCGAACGACTGATGCGATGCCTGCGCTGTTGGAAACTGCGAGGCGTTTGATCGACCGTCACCACGGGAAGGTGTGCTTGATACAAGTGGGTAAATTTTATGAAATGTATTTCGAACAGGCCGAAAAATTTGGTCCGATGTTGGGGCTCAAGGTAGGTAAGAAACAAACTAGTAATCATAAAGTACCCATGGCTGGATTTCCCTTGCCTCAACGTGGCAAATATATTGAAATGTTAGTAAACGAACTCAAGGAAACCGTTGTCCAAATTGATCAGTATAACGACTTAGGTAAAACTAATGAGAATTTGGTACATAGGAAGGTGGCAAGAATTATTAGTGCAGGGACGTTGGTGGACGAAGCCTTTTTAAACCATAATAACAATAATTATTTGCTTGCTATATCATTTCCTTTGAATGTGACCAAAATTTCTGCAGATTTTGATTTACCCGTGGGCTTGGCATGGGTAGACGTTTCGGTTGGTGAAACTTTTGTACAACAAACAACCCTCGGTAACCTCAAATCAGATTTGTCGAGAATAAACCCAAGTGAGGTTTTGATTTCAAAGGAGTTTTTTGAATGTGATATACCATTGACGAGATGGTATCCACCTCTACTGGAAATCAAAAAGTACAACATACGATACCATAGTACTGACTATTCTGATTTGAAATTTCAGTTCAAAGAAGGCGTTCAAGCTGTGAGGAAAGCTTTTGAAGACTTGACCGTTCGAGAGCTGGCCGCGTTGAATTTGGTTTTATCTTACATCAGTGTCAACTTGCCCGAAGCCAATTCACTTTTGGATTTGCCCACAAGATATTACAACGAATCAACTCTTCAAATGGATTCAAGGACGAGGGAAGCTTTGGAGCTCACAGATAGAGTTACATCAGGTAGAACATCAGTGGTTGGGACTTTCCTCTCGTCGATAAGAAGAACCCGTACATCGTCAGGTACTCGATTGTTGACACAATGGGTGAAGTCACCGTTGTTGGACATGGGTGAGATAAAAAAGAGACAAAATTATGTCAAAGTGTTTTTGAAGGATCAGCACTTGCGTATTGGGGTACAAGAACGTTTACTGAATCTATCAGATTTTGTAAGACTTGCTCAGAGATTGTCAGCAGGAAGGGGCGACGTTGTTACGAACTTGAAGCTTGTTGCTGATGCTATGAATGACTTGCACCAATTAAAGGAGTTTTTGAACGAAAAGTGCCGGCGAGATAAACCATTGTACAATGTGATTGTAGAGTTTCTTAACGATTTCCATGTACCACTTGATGTGGCCAAGTCCGTTACGGATGCAATCGTTGGGGATGAAGCTACTAATGAGGAAGAAGAGGACGTCATCGCTTTAGAGGATGAGGTAACTACATCAAGTGGCGTATCAGATACGGAGCAGGTTCTTAAGGACTCCAGTGAAGAGATAGGCTCATTATCCGAGCAACCAGAAGTTTGCAGTATTCGCAAAGACTATAATCTGAGTTTGAGTGCGTTGCATGAAGAGCTTGAGCATTTGATACAAAAGGAAGACAAATACTTGAGCTCTTTAAGAAATACCCTTGTCCAATACGACTCGAAAATTGTTGTGCAGAAGAAAGACCAGATCAGCAAATATGTCAATGTCATACACATTAGATCCAAAAGTTCTATAAAGAAAATAGCCGATACCTTAAAATCTGATATTGCTTCTGAAAACAAAAGCACACTTTTGTATAACCCTCCCGATTGGGCTTCCCTTCAATACGAAATATGTAACAAAAGGACGGCTATCAGGGCAATCGAGGAGGAAGTGATAAACGATTTGAAAACAAAAGTTCTAGATGAATTGCCGGTGATACGTTCCCTTTCAAAAGCAGTAGACTTTTTAGATGTCACTGCGTCTTTTGCTGTTATCGCCGATGAGAATAATTGGGTATGTCCCAAAATTGTTAAAACCCCCGAGCTCGAGATCTTGAGAGGTCGACATGTTGTTGTTGAATCCAGCTTAAAGGAGTCTGGTTTCATGTTCACTCCCAACGATTCGAATTTAGGATTGGATGCGAGATTGTGGGTGATATCAGGTCCCAACATGGGTGGAAAGAGCACTTATTTGAGGCAAAACGCATTGATGATTATTTTGGCTCAAATAGGATCATACGTTCCCGCCGAAAGAGCCACCATTGGAATTGTGGACAGAATTTTTACGCGGATAGGTGCATACGACGATTTGTTCAACGATTTGAGCACATTCATGGTTGAAATGATCGAGACAAGTAATATTTTGCGTAATGCAACCTCACAGTCTTTTGCCATAGTGGATGAGGTAGGACGAGGGACGAGTGGTAAGGAAGGGTTGGCCATTGCTTATGCCGTTTTGAAGAACCTATTAATGGACAATAAATGCCGCACCTTATTCGCAACACATTTTGCAAATGAATTACAAAAAATTCTTGAAATGAGAGGGGTTGATCAAAGTCAACTCAAGTTTTACAGAACAAAAGTTGTCAAATCTAATGATGATCTGGCGCCTGTGATTGACCACGCATTGGAGCCTGGAATCACTGAAAGGTCATATGCGTTGGAAGTTGCCCGAAATGCAGGTTTTCCTGTGTCAACATTGAAGGAGGCTGAAGAAGTATTAGATTTGCTATAGGATTATTCACTTGTAAATGGATCTAAAAAAAGTTTTGATAGATTACTGATTTTGCGGAGGATGTTGTAGATTCTGCATTTGTTGCATCAACAACTCTTGTAGACGAGCCAATTGAGCTGGATCAACATTTTGCTGAGAATTATGCGGCACATTCACCTGAGGTGCAAAGTGTTGAGTTTGATGTTGAGGAGTCGGTTGATAGGATGTATTTCCATATTGAGGAACACCTGGTTGAAGTTGAACCGGCGCTAGCCCGTATTGCGAAGGTGGAGGTGGCACACCAAAGCCTTGCAGGTACCGCTGGTATTGTGTTGGTTGTGGGTGGCCATATATTGTGTTCTGGTTATACGGCGAAGGTGAGCCATAGTGGTTTTGTTGTGCATAGTACAGTTGAGCTTGTTGGTAAGTTTGAAGTGTTGGTGGAACGCTAACCTGATGAGATTGGTTGGTCCAAGCCGGGGTTTGACTGTGAAGATGAGCCCGTCTCGTCGCGTCAGTTGACCTCGATGATGTAATTGACGAGTATGCTGGAATATGTGCCTTGTGCACACTCACACTAGGCTGATCTCTTTCCTTTTGGACAACTTTATTTTTGTTCTTCTTCCTCTTTTTGGCTTGCTTTGCTGCCAACTCTTGTTCATCGTCTGAAAATTCTTGTTCCTCCGCAGGGAGCTCTTCATCATGACAGTTGCTAGCGTCACTTCCTTTGATATGCTTGATTGTGTCGGTATATAAGAATTGTGAATCAGGAACAACATAATACACAGCTTTCCCCTTCGTGCCTTTGAACTTTTCGATTTCTTCATCCAGATTAAATTTCACGGTATAGATAGGCAGCTGGATTCTACCAAAAATTTCATACAACAAACCAATGAGAGTTTTGTCTTCTAGGCACAAGACCGAACCTTCTTTTAAAATGCGAAATTCGCCGGATGTTTTTGCCTTGATGATGATGGATCTATCAACAAGACCAGTAATTTCGCCAATCTCTTCAATTGGAGCGTTTTCGGGAACCGTGTAGTTCTCAGGTAGTGTAGGAACTTTTTCATTTGTAACCTCGTTTATAGACTTGATGGGTCCATCAGTTGTGTCCTCTTCCTCGTCAACACAACCTTCATTACCGTCATTATCATTTCCATTTTCGTCGTCACTGTCATCCAGATCGCTATCACTTTCTCCAGAGCTATTGTCACTGCTATCACTACTGGAATCATCAGAAGGAACGTCCTTTACGTCAATCTCATCATCTGAAAGAACGTCAATTTTGATATCGTTATTTTGATCTTGATTGATAAAAAAAGCTATTTCGTCTGTAGGTACGCTCTCTACTTCTTCTGGAATTTGGGCACTCTCAGTTTGTTGAACATTGTTTTCCACTTCACGTGGAACCTCCTCCTGGTTTTCATGCACAAGATCACTCATTTCGTTGTTTGACGCCTGTTCTAACAGCACGCTTGAGGTTTGCAGTGGAATTTGCAAGTTTATCTCACCATCTTTACGTTTAGGTGTCGTTTGTGATGTTTTATCAGTAGATTCCTTTTGATCACTCGAAAGGACATCATCAGAAAGTGGGTATGTGATGTCCTTGTTCTCGTTATTGTCAGTGGGCGCGGCTTTAGCCAACGACAGGGATGCCGATTTGGCACTTTCCAGAACCTCACTAATGTCTTTTTGATCACTTTTCATAATGATTTCTTCGCTCATGACTCAAGTTATTACAAAGAGCCAGGTGCCGCAAATGTGATGAGCATCGGATATTTTTGTTTTCCAATGTGGTCGCGTATCTTCCATGACACAAAAGTTGTTACTCTTACAATTAAATGCGTGAAGGCATTGACAGTATAATGGGTCAACTACTTGCAAACACGAGATGAAAGGTATTGAATGTTGGATCTATGTAAATTGCTCATTTAAAAGTCGGAAAGGGATTACTCATACATTTTGATGATGTTTTATAACACGCCAATATTTGCAACTTCGAATACAACAGTACCGGAAGTAAGTGCTCTGATCTTCTCACTACTTCAGACGATTACGCTCCACCGGTTGGGTTGTTTTCATTTTACGATGTTTGATCAAGAGAGGGTTTTTGTTTTTTTGTTTCTCATTGTGCAAAATTATTTGGCCTGTTTGGCTGCAAAAACATGTGAAAAAATATCGTCAACGCTTAAAAAGATCACAACGCAGGAATAAAGCTATTTCATGCTACAGTGGATATGACTCGAGGGTATCAATGAAAAGAAATGCATTTCTGGGATGACGAGGAAAATATGTGTTTCTGGGATAAGACATTCAGCTTTTTACTCAGAAACGAATCTTAAGCCTAAGTATCTTTCGAGAACAAAACCACTTAATCACCGGTTGAGCACACTGAGTAGCATTATATAGTCTCTGGCTGTCGGATATAGAGAAGGAAGAAAGTATTATGGGGGTTTTCACTAATAAACATTCTGACAATACAGTTCCATGGCATTTGTCAATTGGTAGCATAAAATACAGGGCTAGAGCCCTATATGTATGTGAATTCGCACGCTTAACTACATAAATACTTTGAACAAGAAGAGTACAATTTCGATATTACTGGGCTAAGCTATGACCATTTTACTATGATCCACCCTGTTTTCCAACAATTGTGGTGCTCCTGAGAATCAAGTGCCCAACTTATGCGTTTATGTGGTTTGTTTTGTGTATTCAATTTTTCGTCTTCTTTTTCAAAGTTGTGCGTCGTGCAAGTAAAAAAAGTGAAAAACTTCAAAAAAAAAAAGTGCCCTCTCTCATCTTTTCAAGACTTGTTAACAACAACAACACCACCGCCTACTTCTAGTCGAAATCATTAATTAACAATGGGTGCCTACAAATACTTGGAAGAATTGCAAAGAAAGAAGCAATCCGATGTCATGAGATTCCTCTACAGAGTCAGATGTTGGGAATACAGACAAAAGAACGTCATCCACAGAGCTTCTAGACCATCCAGACCAGACAAGGCTAGAAGATTGGGTTACAAGGCTAAGCAAGGATTCGTCATCTACAGAATCAGAGTTAGAAGAGGTGGTAGAAAGAGACCAGTTCCAAAGGGTGCTACTTATGGTAAGCCAACCAACCAAGGTGTTAACCACTTGAAGTACCAAAGATCATTGAGATCTACTGCTGAAGAAAGAGTTGGTAGAAGAGCTGCTAACTTGAGAGTCTTGAACTCCTACTGGGTTAACCAAGATTCAACCTACAAATACTACGAAGTTATCTTGGTTGATCCTCAACACAAGGCTATTAGAAGAGACCCAAGATACAACTGGATTGCCAATGCTGTTCACAAACACAGAGAATCCAGAGGTCTTACCTCAGCTGGTAAGAAATCCAGAGGTATTAACAAAGGTCACTTGTACAACAAGACCAGAGCTGGTAGAAGACACACTTGGAAAAAGCACAACACCTTGTCTTTGTGGAGATACAGACATTAAGTTTGACTTCAATTGTGAGGTGCTTTTTGCTTTATATTGTTCGATTATATGTATATTGTCGATAGTCAGTGCGTAGAGAATAGTGAATACGTTGCCATACATATTTTGAATGAACTTCTATTTTGATAGTGTAAGGAAAACTGAACGAAGAAAAATTCGTTAACATCGATACAGGAGTATTATTACTGCTTGACTGATGAGAATACAACTGGGTCTTAGATGAAGGGATGTTGAAGGAGTTTTCCATCAAAACGTACCAGAGTCAATCACCAATAATTAGACTAATTTAGTTACAATAATGTGGTGTAACACAAAAAGTCGTCTTAAAACGACATTCATCAAGACCAGTGGGACATTTTCTTCTCTATTGCGACATTCTTACATATTGTACATATTGAATAGAGACATTTAGATTTTCTTTATCCACACATCTTTTGTGTTCCCCATTAAAAGCAGAAGAAAAAAAAAAATTCAAAAATCCGAAAAGTCGATTTTTTATTGCCCTGGCATCAGATTTCGATCCAATTTTTGATATTCAATTTTGTTGGGATTTCCACTCTCCAATTAGTTTAGGTTTAGGTTTATTGCACATTTTTATCCATTTGGATTTTCAAAATTATTGCGATTACACAGGAAGCTGCTATTTTGACACACTATCACATTCAATTGAGAGAATTCATCATCAATGACTGACCACAAGCAAACCGCAATATTGTCCGTTTACGACAAAACCGGACTTTTGGACCTCGCTAAAGGGTTAACAGATGCCAATGTCCGTATCTTGGCTTCCGGTGGAACAGCAAGATTGGTACGTGAAGCAGGTTTCCCAGTGGAGGATGTTTCATCAATCACTCACGCACCAGAAATGCTTGGTGGAAGAGTCAAGACATTGCACCCAGCTGTCCATGGGGGTATTTTAGCAAGAAATCTAGACAGCGATGAGAAAGATTTGGAACAGCAAGGAATTGAAAAGGTTGATTTTGTCGTTTGTAATTTGTATCCATTCAAAGAAACAGTTTCAAAAATTGCTGTAACTGTTGATGAAGCCATTGAGGAAATCGACATTGGCGGTGTTACATTGTTGAGAGCAGCAGCTAAGAATCACCAAAGAGTTACAATTTTATCAGACCCAAAGGATTACTCAGGCTTTCTTAAAGAATTGAAAAATGGCCAAATTACTACAGAGACTAGAAACAGATTGGCATTAAAAGCATTTGAACACACGGCTGATTATGATGTTGCCATTTCAGATTTTTTCAGAAAGCAATATGCTGAAGGAGTTTCACAATTACCTTTAAGATATGGAGCCAACCCTCATCAAAAACCAGCGCAAGCTTTTGTTTCCGAGGGAGAGTTACCATTCAAAGTTTTGAATGGATCTCCAGGCTATATTAATTTGTTGGATGCTTTGAATTCATGGCCATTGGTTAAAGAATTATCAGCTTCATTGAACTTACCGGCTGCCGCTTCTTTCAAGCACGTTTCACCAGCTGGTGCCGCTGTTGGTTTACCATTGTCTGATGTTGAAAAGAAGATCTATTTCGTTGAAGACATTGAAAATTTGTCTCCCTTAGCCAACGCTTATGCTAGAGCTAGAGGAGCCGACAGAATGTCATCATTCGGAGACTTTATCGCTCTTTCAAACATTGTTGATAAGCCAACTGCACAAATCATTTCTAAAGAGGTATCTGATGGTGTTATTGCACCAGGTTTCTCTGACGAAGCTTTAGAACTCTTGAAGAAAAAGAAAGGCGGTAAATATTGCATATTGCAAGTTGATCCAAACTTTACTCCTGCAAACTTGGAAAACAGACAAGTTTTTGGAGTCACTTTGCAACAAAAGAGAAATGATGCTATCATCAAAGGATCCTCTTTTAAGGAAATCGTATCGAAAAACAAAGATTTGACTGAACAAGGTGCGGTTGATTTGACCATTGCAACTATTGCATTGAAGTATACTCAATCCAACTCAGTTTGTTACGCCAAAAATGGTATGGTTATTGGTTTGGGTGCCGGTCAACAATCCAGGATTCATTGTACCAGACTTGCCGGTGACAAAGCCGACAATTGGTGGTTAAGACAACATCCAAGAGTTTTGGGCTTCAAGTGGGCCAAGGGTGTAAAGAGACCAGAGAAGTCCAACGCCATTGACTTATACGTTTCCAATCAAATTCCAACCGAAGAGCCTGAAAAATCGGAATACGAGTCTAAATTCGCAGAAATTCCTGAACCATTAACCGCAGAGGAAAGAAAGGATTGGTTGAAAAAGTTGGACAATGTAGCATTATCCTCAGATGCCTTCTTCCCATTCCCAGACAATGTTTACAGAGCCGCAAGATCTGGCGTCAAGTTTATTGCCGCTCCAAGTGGGTCAGTTATGGATAAAGCAGTTTTCAACGCTGCAGATGCCAACGACATAGTTTACGTCGAAAACCCAATCCGTTTGTTCCACCATTGATCGTATTGTACTGCGTATTGTGTATATTTGTATATGGTCAAAAAGCATGATGCTTATTTATAATTATTCGTAAAGTGGAGGTGTGTGGTTGATCCTGAGACAAAAGTGAAAAGGCGCATAGACACGTCAACCGAAAAATGAAGGGAAAAAAAATTACAACAGTCGAAAAATCTTTTGGTTGCAGTGAGAAAGGACTTTTTAGCTCACACATTTCAATAAAAGATGGCTTCGTCAGAGTACAATTACGATGAGGAAGGTGAAACCTGGCCATTCTTTGTATTGGCTTTGCTGACATTTGTCTTGATACCATTGACGATCAAGTATGCAACTAGATTGGCTTCTTCAGATCCACATAAAGTGAATGCCTCAGTCGTGGGGGCAATTACAGAAAATGCAGATACAATCAAGGTCCCTAACTTAAAAAGTCTTGATGATTACAAAAGGAAGCAGAGGTCGCTGAAGATCTTCAACAAGACCCTTTTGGTTTTGATTATTGGTTGGAGTGCAGTGCTTTTCATTGGTAAGTACTTGACTAAAGAGACGGACATGTCTGGCTTGTTTGATCCTTACACGATATTAGATGTTTCATTTACCGCAAGTGAAAGGGAGATCAAAAGTCACTACAGAAAGTTGTCTTTGAAATACCATCCAGACAAGTTGCCAAGAGATCTCACAGAGGAAGCAAGATTGAAAATGGAACAGGAGTACATTCGTTTGACTAGCGCTTATAAGGCGTTAACCGATGAAGCTACTAGGGAAAATTTCATTAAATACGGTCATCCAGATGGTGAACAACCAACAACTCATGGTATTGCCCTTCCCAAGTTTCTTGTCGAGGGTAAATATTCATCCTTGGTTGTGATTTCATATTTTGCCCTTATTGGTGTTTTATTACCGTGGATTGTTGGTAAATGGTGGAACAATGTTAAGAGCTATACTAAACAGGGGTTACATGTCAAGACTGCTGCTAGCATTGTTCGTAAGCTTGCAGACAAAGATCCAGCAAAAGTGATCACTCCGGATGTGATTCTTGATCACATTTTGGATAGTGAGGATGTCAATGTTTTGTTGCCCCACTTATCAATCAAGGAGCGAAAGGAATTAGTATATAACCATTTCAATCGTGAATTCACCGATGATGAGAAAAGAGAAAAGAACAAAACAGAATTGGTTGCTATTTTGCCACATTTGATTGATGGACTTATTGATATTGCATTGTTTTTTAGATTACAAGAGGCTATAATTGCTGCCGAAGATTTGAAGAAGGCAGTTTTGCAAGCCGTCAGCCCAAATGGCAAATATCAAGAGCTTTTACAATTACCCTTTGTTGATGATGAGATCATCAAGAAACAACAAGTAAAGAAGTTGGGAAAACTTTTTGCGCTAGAGCCTGCTGAGGCTCAGAAGGCTTTGGGTATTAAGGATTATGATGAGTTCAAGAGGGCTATGTCTGTAGCCGCACTGATCCCCTCGCTTCGAATCATTGAAGCAGAGGTGAAAGTCCCAGGGGAGGAAACAGTAACCCCAAACTCTAGTGGACACATTTCGGTCAAATTTTTAGTAAAGTCCCCGAAATTAAAGTCATGTCCTGAGATTGACGAAGACAGGTTGAAGGATGAAGAAACTTTGGAATATATGAAAAATCCATTTAGTGTGAATGATTTAGCACCAAAGTTACCATTTGCATTCACACCCTATTTCCCACAACCAGTGCGTTGTAGTTGGACTTGTTATATCATTGCTCAAAGAGAGAACAAGTTGGTCGAAAATAGCAAAGCGTATGCTTTGGAAAACATTGATCTTTCAAATTTGAACTTGACTCAAGAGGAATGGATAAATGGTGAGAAGGTGACTGTTGGCACCTTCAAAATCCCACTACCTGCAGCACTGGGTAATGTGGGGAAGTATTATTACAGATTGATCATGAAGAATAATGCATACTATGGATCAGACGTTGATGTTCCAGTCGATTTGGAAGTAGTCCCACCATCTCAGGAAAAGAGTTTAGCGGGCGTCAAGAAGTTGATGGAAAAGAAGAAAAAGAGTGAAAATTTAGATTCCGATGAGGAAGAAGAGGAAGAGGATTCAGATAGTGATATTTCGGACCCAGAGGAGGATAGTTTAGCAGGTGCCCTTGCAGCATTGAGAGGAGAGGCAACGTCAAAGAAGTCTGACAAGATTGAAGAAGTTGACGATGAAGAGGATGAGGATGTATTCACTGATATCAATACCGATACCGAAGACGAAGCGGATTGAATATCGTTTTTATAGAGAGCTAAATCTGTACCTTACAAATACATAAAAGAGCCTAGTTTTTTTTTTGACTAAACCAGTAGCTTTAGTATGTATGCATCTGGTGATTCCAAGCCCTGTTCTTTGTAATAATCCTTGACAAGATCTTGTTTTACAAACCCCTTTTTCAAATACCAGCTTATAGCTTTTTCATTATTCGCTTGTACATGAACAACAATTTCATGAATGAATCTCTTTTTTGTCTCTTCAATAACCCATGAAAGCAACTCTGAACCTATTCCCAAGTTTCTGTATTTTTCCAACACGGCAAAACTTTCAATGTATATACAATTGGGTGTTTTTTGCAATGTTGTTGAGTTGAGTGCCTCAGCAAAGGATGACTTGATTTGATTGTTGTTGAAGGAGCGTGCTCTGATGGCACCCACGGGCAACTCTGAATAGAATGCGAGTTGGACAATGATGTCTGAAGAATTAAGCGATGCCGTGTACCATGATTCTGGATATGCTGTGGGGAGTGAAACCTCATTGATTTTTTTGAAAACCCCAAGATTGTTGACCGTTAGGTCGTCTAATGCTATAATGTTTCTACCCATTGGAAACTTTGGTAAGACCAAAAAAGGTGTTGCAGGTTCCAAACTCTTATTTGCACTCGAGTGCTTCTTTTTTTTTTTTTCGGCTTTTTTGCATCAACAAAAGTCGCTTTGCAATGGACTGGTTTCTCGATACACTAGATAAGAATAATAAACTGTACAAATATCAGGATGGATGAGTGCAACGGAGTCGTTGTAGTGTTCAATTTCAATGACAAGCCATCTTCTCTCCATTTGAAACTACGATCATGCGATGAATCGTAGTATTACATTCTTGGCATTTATCGAACTGCAGACACATCACCTTATAAGTGCAGACGAAGCAGGAGTTGTTGTCAAGCACAATGGAATTCGCAAATTGCGTAACGTATACTTTTTCAGCGAAAGGCTTTTCACTACAGATAGTAAGATTCAGAGCCTCTTGAACCGGGCTGATGTACACGGTGGGTAACTTTTATGCAAGGATGTAAAGGGTTCAAGGGCCACTTTCCTTTACTATTACCTTTATACCGTTCACGGACAGAATGTGTACACTTTGCCCAAAGCAACTGAGGGATGGGCCAGGGAAAATGACATTGATGATTTTAAATAAGGTAGCGTTAGAAAAGATTCATATGCAAAACTGAATTGATTTTTAAGGGAATTGCGGAGTTAAGTGACGCGACCACCACAATCCCAACGATCATTTTATAAAAGCTTCATATTCTGCTTCCAAATCCAATTCCATCCTTAAACCGCAATTGACAATATTAGGTTTCACTAAACAACATGATTACCACTATTATTGTCGTTTTGGTCATTTTCTTCTTTGCTAGAAGCATTTACAAAGATTTTATTGCCAATGACAGCAACCCATTAGCCAATCAAGCTCATGGAGCCACCATTGTCGAAGGGAAATTCACACCAAAATCATTGGCCAAATACAATGGAAAGGATCATCCAAAGATATTCATTGCCGTAAAGAAAAGAGTCTTTGATGTTAGTCAAGGTGCTGCTTTCTATGGTCCTGGAGGTCCATATGAGAATTTTGCCGGCAGAGATGCGTCAAGAGGATTGGCTTTGAACTCATTTGATCCCGCCGTATTGACTCCTTTAGATCAACCTATTGATGATTTGAAGAATTTGTCCAAATTAGAACAAGAATCTTTAGAACAATGGGATGAACATTTTGAAAATAGGTATAAAGTTGTTGGTTCGTTGCATGAAAATGGAACTGTCAAAGAAGAAATCCGTGGTCTTTGAGGACTTCTGCGGAGGAATAAAGGGTACTTATCTATAAATTGTCAAATATATATATTTATTGTACTTATGTCGCATTAGTAGTATTTGCGACATCACTTTTGTAGTGTAAAAAAGTTTTCTCTCTTGTCTCTGATGATGAAAAAAGAGAAGTTCAAGAATAAAAGTCCCGGTCTTTATAGTGAAGACTTCAAATCATCTTTACGGATTGAACCGTATTTATTTCCAAACTACCTCTTCAAAATTTATCATGAGTTATCGAGGACGAGGTAGAGGAGGCGGATACAACAATAACAATAATAATTACCAACACAAGAGTAATTTTGGGAACCTGCAACAAAATGTCGATGCCTTTGTTGCAGCAAATGCATATCCAATTGAAATTGTCGGATGGAATGGTGCTAGTCTGAGCGACTGCATCAATTTTATTTCCAGAAAATGCAGGATCGTTGTTAGTAATTATAGTGTTGATCACAACACAGGGGTTTTAAAAGGTTACGTTAAAAATGAATCACAAGCAAATGAGCTCCTCAATTGGTCTGGCGTGAAATTTGCCGGCCAATCCTTGAGGTTTTCCAAAGGTCTTTCGACTTTATCGAATCAGATGGGTGGTGGTCCAGCATCTGGAGCTGGAAGTACAATTGAAACTATAACCAACTTTTTGAAAGGGCGATATCAACCTGAAATTAAAATGTTAAATTTAAATGGGGTCAAGCAAGATGCCACGCTCAATGCTCAAGGCTTTTTCGCATCAGTATCTGTCACGTCCAAATTTTTTCCAGCATTGATGAAAATTGCCAGCGATTTGAAAATTGATGTTGAAAGTGTTGATTTATCTAATAATGAGCTCAGTGACTTGCAAGCTGTCACATCAATGACACAGTCGTTTCCAAAATTGAAAAATCTATCTCTTCAAAACAACAATTTGGCCAAAACAAAAGTATTTGAAACGTGGAAGCATAAACTCAATTTCTTGAGAGAGTTGATTTTATTCAATAATCCTATTGTCCAAACCACCAATCCTGCTGAAATACAAGAAATTAAGTTGGAATTGATGAGATGCTTCCCAAGGTTAGTTGTATTGAATGGTGAAGTGTTGAGGAATGAACAAGCATTGGAGGCCAATTCTACATCGCCATTTGGTTGTCAAGCAATGTTTTTCCAAGATGAAGACATCAAAAATGTAGCAACGAATTTTGTCGCTAATTATTTGAACTTGTGGGATACAAATAGAGGCAACTTGATGGTACTTTATCAAAATGAGTCTCAATTTTCAATGCAATTAGATACGTCGCATCCTCATTTGATTGAAGATGCGAACACTAGTTCAAACATTGACTTTGGTAATTATATGCCCTACTCAAGGAATCTTACACGGATTTCTTCTGGTAAGGCTAGAATGAGTAAGGTTGCTATTGGTACGGAGCAAATCTTTAAGAGCTTTCAGCAACTACCCAAGACCAAGCATAACTTAGTTGAGAACCCTAACTCGTTTAGTATGGAATGTTACAAGTATGTTCCCCTCAATGGAATAGTCATCACTGTACATGGATCATTTGAAGAAGTTGCACAGCCTGAAATAGCGGATACCAGTGCTTCGCAAGGCTCTCGTGGTGGGAGATTTCACTCGCAAAGTCGGCACAAGAAACCAAACTTGAGCAAAAAAAGTTTTGATAGAACATTCATAGTGTTGCCAGGCCCAAACGGGAGTATGGTAGTGGCCAGTGATCTCTTGCTTATTCGACCATTTACTAGCGAGATTCCATGGTTGAATCAAGCCGCATCAGTTCAAACTTCATCGCAACCACCATCAACTGCGACGAGCGTTCCGGGCCAACAACCACTCAACGGATTACCAGGACCTAATGCCCAAGCAACACCTGCACCATCTGCGTCCATCCCACCAGTTGTAGAGCTACCGCCAGAAATCAAATCCAATCTTCAATTGCCACAACAAGAATTGTTGGTGAAGATTATAGTGGAAACAAAACTCAACTTACAATATGCAATAATGCTTTGCGAACAAAGTCAATGGGATTACAACCAAAGTATGGTTAATTTCAAAAACTCCGCTTCATCATTGCCTCGAGATGCATTTATATAGACAGTATATAATGAATGAATCGAAAAAAGTTCAGAATTATAATCATTGTATTAAACTGGGATCGACATCATTAGGTAGCACCAATTTCAAATAACCGCTTTTGAGAGATGCTAATATTTCCATACCTCTTGCAACAAGATTATACTTCTGGACAAAACTCATTACTATTCAAAATGGGATACAACATAGCAATGGTTACAGATTTCTTCTATCCACAACCTGGTGGTGTGGAATTTCATGTGTACCATTTATCTCAAAAACTTATTGACTTGGGTCATTCAGTAATCATTATAACGCACAATTATGGCGACAGAAATGGAATAAGATATCTAACCAATGGATTGAAAGTGTACTACGTACCATATTGGGTACTATACAGGTCTTCAGCTTTTCCTACAATTTTTTCAGCCTTTCCAATACTACGAAATATTTTCATTCGAGAAAGCATTGATATAATACACGGGCATGGATCCTTAAGTACTTTGGGCCTTGAAGCAATATTTCATGGAAGAACAATGGGGCGAAAAACAGTATTTACTGACCATTCCTTGTTTGGTTTTGCTGATATGGGTTCAATATGGGGCAATAAAATTTTGAAATTTGCAATCAGCGATGTGGGCCATGTTATTTGTGTAAGTCACACGTGCAAAGAAAATACAGTGTTGCGAGCAAGTATCGAGCCATGGAAGGTCTCAGTGATTCCCAATGCTGTGATTTCAAAGGATTTCAGGCCTGAATTACCGATTGGGAGTAGGGTAGACTCTGATGTGATTACAATTGTTGTAATTACTAGACTTTTCCCCAACAAAGGTGCTGACTTATTGACAGCTATAATACCACGAATATGTTTCTCAAACACTAAGGTCAACTTTATAATTGCTGGTGATGGTCCGAAATACATGGATTTGGAACAAATGAGAGAAAAGTATTTCCTTCAAGAGAGAGTGCAACTTATTGGGGCCATTAAACATGAAGAGGTTAGAAATGTAATGACACAAGGTGAGATATATCTACATCCTTCATTGACCGAGGCATTTGGAACTGTGCTAGTTGAAGCGGCTTCTTGCGGGTTGTACGTAGTTACGACAAGAGTTGGTGGTATTCCCGAAGTGTTGCCGTCCAATATGACAAGCTTTGCCGAGCCAGAGGAGGATTCACTTGTAGAAGCAACATTAGATGCCATCCACAAAATTCAATCAGGTGACATCGACACGTCAGACTTTCACGAAAGGGTGGGCAAGATGTATAGTTGGGCAGATATAGCTCAACGAACAGAGGCGGTTTATGACAGCTTGGACTTGGCTGAATTAAATGAACCATTGATCCCTCGACTACTGAAGTTCTACTGCTGTGGCTTAATTGCCGGAAAGTTGTTTGTTTTGTGTGTGATTGTTGATATTTTTCTATACACCATCCTCGAATGGTTGTACCCAGGCGAACATGTCGATCTAGCTACTAAATGGCCTAAGCAAAAAAGACACAAAAGAATAAGGGAAAAGCACTCTTAATGTGCTTCTTCTTTCTTTGACTGATAGCGCCTAAATTGTTCATTCATACATGCATTGATGAACTTTGCTGTCGTTTTTCGTGGAGCCCAGTGTTGTTTATTTGTGCCATTGAGGTGTACATATTGCGCATTCGTAGCCAAATTTCTGATCTCTCGGGATAACGTTTGTAATTGAGTAGGTTTTTTCCAAACTTTCGATCTCTTGGGAAATGCTAACCATGTCAAATCATCAATGTCGTGTGAAGCAGTTGCTCGTTGCTTGAGTTCGATCAATTTTTCCATTCGCTTGATCTTTTCATTGTAGGCCCTTTGTGATTCAATGTCATTAAAATCAGCTTCTTGAAGTAATGATTGATTTCGAAAGAGTTTGTTTTCTTCCTCGAGAGTTGCAATTTTTGTAGTTTTTGCCTCCACTTCAGTTTTCAAGCTACGGACCTGATTCTCGAGTTGCTGAATTCGATCCGATGTTTGCTTAGTGAAGAGTTTCATATTTTTCTCCAATAATGCTATATTCAATTTCAAATTCGTGATTTCCTCATTCTTCTGCATAAGCATCTCTGGGGTTTTGTTGCCAACTTCTATGGCCACATTGTCGGTCTCAACATCCTTAACAACTGTTTTTGCTCGAACAAGCTCGTAGATTGGCTTAATATCCATCTCAGATGAGTCTAGCTCTATATGCACCTGAGACGAGGCGAAACGCTCAAACGCACCCTCAAGATCACCTATTTCATCAACTGTCACCTTCTCAGCGTTGAGAAGTTGAAAAGATTTGTTTGTTATCAATCTCAACATATCTGCAGGCGACAACAGCGGTTTGGCAATAAAATTAGTTGAAGAAGACTGCGATACAAGCGATCCGAATACCTTTTCATACTTGAATTTTAATAACTTGACAGACTCAATCAATTTCGACATTTCCTCATGGGCATTGCGCAGGGAGGCAATATCAGTCTCAAAAATCAAAAGCTTATTTATCGAGAACCAAACATGCTTGATGAACAGATCGTGTTGACATAGAAACAGAGCCTCGTTTTCCCATAATTCCGCAGCGTGGCTGTCGCATAAATCAAGACCATCTTTCAAGTATGAGTAGCACACTTCGGGTTGAACGATTCCAGACGCATCATTTAATAAACTCATAACCTCATCAGTGATGGTTTGAATCTTACATACATACACTCTGCTTTGCTTGAATAATTTTTCTGAAAGTTTGTGGTTGTAATTGTACTCAAGAATCGTCAATATCGTTTGATGAAAGTGGAGAATTCTGGATAGTGCAAATTTATAAAACAAGTAGCTTTCATCGTGGCTTGAAAGTTTCTTGAGTAGATTCAAAACTTCACATTGAGATTTTATATCGTAAACAAGATCGATATACTCTGGGCTCACTGGACTAGATGCACGAAGTTTTTGGCATTCGACATCGAATTTTCTTTTTGACTCGGAGATCTGTAGTTCAAGTGCACATTGCCGATATTTGTGCTCCAATTGAAATAGTTTTTGCTGTGCTACTTCCAAGGCATAAAGGTGTTCACGGGGATTGTATTTCATCGAATCTTTTGCATTCGAGGATGACCCAAAAGAGCCAACACGACTTTCGAGATCTTTTACTCTATTTCTTTCCTTGAATAAAGATTCCTTCAACGATTCAATTTCCAGCCTTAAATTATGCTCATTTTTTTGAAGATTTGCTTCAATTTTGGTGTCCAATTCATGTAACTGGCCAAGCTCCACGATTGAGCGTTCCAACTCTTTGATTTTCTCAATAAGCTCACCATTTTCGACTGACAACTTTTCTGTCAATTCTTCAAGATCTGAAAACGTCTCTAATTTCTCCTTCAAATGGGCAATTGTTGCAGTTTTGCTAACTAAGTCGGCACCCAAGTCATTGACTTTGCTGTTAGAATCCATCAACGCTTTCAGTAATTTAGATAGATTTTCATCTCGCACTTGTATCTTTTCGTTCAATTTGGCAATCGTTTTCTCATCAAGACGGCCTCTCTCAATGAGTAACTTGATCTCGTTCGGAGATACCGCATCAACATCAACAAAACGTAGTTCATTTTCCAATTCCCTACTTACTTCCAATTCCTCCAACACTAGCTCGTAATCCTTCTGTAACGATTGATATTTCTTTGTCATCTCGGCAACTTTGGTCTCAAGCAAATGCTTTGCTTCTTGCAAATATTGATTGTCGATCAGCTGCATTTCCAATTTTGATTCCAATATTTCATATGAGTGCAATTTCGCATTCAACTCACTTTGTAGCTTGTTCAAGTCATCCTTATATTCGGTGTTGGCAGCGAGGACGGCATTCAATTGCTCTTGAAGATGCTGCAAGCTGTCACTAGCAGAACTTGAGCCAATTACACTTTCGGAAACGTCATCAGCAACGGTTTCTAGTAGACCTTCCTTAACGAATACTCCGTGTAGTCCGTCACTACTTTGACATTGGAAATATAGCACACCTTGTACTGATCCATTGTTCTTACCAACTGGTCTTTCCAATTCAACTCCAAACCACGTACCTGCAGCAAACTTGGTGGTCCCTATGTATCTTATACGACCTGACTCTCCTTTAACCTTGACATAATCACCGATACGAAATCGCATTTAACATTATTAGCTTGTGGTAGTTGCAGTTGGTTTCCATCACAACGCGTCGAGAAAAAAAGAAAAATAAACAGTGCAGGACCATTTTTGATTCCTAACCCACGCTTGAAACCATCAAACATGTTTAATCGTGGAGAAAGAATATCATCGCTCGGTAATAACGTCAATAGCGGCAATCTCAATCATAATTCAGGTAGTGTTTTAACGCCCCCAAAAAGAGGAGTGCATTCATCAATCAACAATAATAATAATAACAACAACAACAACTCGAATGTAAATCTTAAACAAGAGCTACTTGAGGAACAGAAACTCGAAATAAGAGAAGCATTTCAATTGTTCGACATGAATGGAGATGGATGTTTGGACTACCACGAAACGAAAGTTGCGTTCAAAGCGTTAGGATTTGAACTAACTAAGCGACAAGTGTTGGATATAATTCGAGAATACGATACAGACGAAACCAATTTGTTAACCTATGACAACTTTTACAAAACAGTCGGGGAGATGATTTTGAAAAGAGACCCGTTGGACGAAATTCGTCGAGCTTTCAAGTTGTTTGACATAGACGGAACTGGAAAAATAAGTGTGAGGAATTTGAGAAAAATCTCTAAAGATCTTGGTGAAAATCTTAGTGACGAGGAATTACAAGCTATGATAGATGAGTTTGATCTCGACGAAGACGGAGAAAGTATGTATCAATTGATGTTATCTATTCACACATTAAATTTTGTTTACTAACACAGAGTTTCCCCTTTAGTTAATGAAGAAGAATTTATAAGAATCTGCACTGAGTGATCTGAGTGCCAAGAATACCACCATATAGCAGAAAAGCTTGACTGTATGGAATACCATTTGCCAAATATCAAAATAAGCTGTCCCCCTTTTTGTATGAGTATATGTATACCTTAACGTTCCATTTCGTGTACGCAAAACCATTTCTCTCTCAGACAACAAAAAATTTTCAGGTTTATCTAAATACGTAGTAGAAATCAAATCCACACACAGTTCAACATCATACAATGTCTTGGGTTGTCAGTCGTTCTCGTTTCAAGAGAGATATCAATAAACTTCCAAGTCATCTCAAGCAACAGTGGTTGAAACAACAAGAAGCGACTTCTTTACCAACATTCAAGGGGTTCTTCCCAGAAAGATTACCTAGATCACAACAAAAGACCAGATTTGAGGCTGGCATCACCGAAGGGGACTTGGCATATGTGACAGAAGGAAAGCACAAAGGTAAAGTTGCCGAAGTTTTAGCGTACAGTCCTGAATTTGACTCGGTGTCTTTGGCCAACATCTCTACTAAAAAGCTTTTGCCCAAACCATTTTGGCCTGAAGGTCAAACATCCCATGTATACGACTTTCCCGATTATATACCAAGGAGTAAAGTTAGAGTGGTTGGAAAAAGTAAAGAGGAGGGGAGAATCTCGTACATCGTTGCCGAAGAAGTTGTAATGGGGAAACCTTACTACGACGATAGGTACAAAAGATGGATTCCCGAAAGATATATAAAGCATCATGATTATTTGTTACCTTGGCCAACTCCTGCCAAAATCAATGAAGGAGACTTGTCCACGCCTGAGAATATAGCGACGGAAAGGACTTTCGAGTTTAACACAATTGGGAAGTCATCGATACCAAAACAATTGGTCAATCAGTTAAGAAACCCTTACAGCAAATACAAAAAGAGGGTGCTTGATGGTTTGCAAGTGGCAAAACTCCATGGTCCTGAAATGCCATTGACAATTGAGCAAAAGATATGGTTAGCAAAAGAAGCTGAAAAACCAAAGAAGAAGTTGTACCCATTATCGGAAGAAGTTAGGGAATTCATTGGATCAAAGATGGCAGAACACATGAATAAGATCGAAAGTCCAGAGTTGCGTCATCACTTGGAAACATTGTCGAACGTGAAAATACCTGATTTTGAAAAGACTTCAAAGATGATTGAGGAGACAAAGAATGAAGAGGATTTGGCAAATAAAGAAAGTCAAAATTGATATACTGTAAATAGATTATGCAGGTGTTTCATCTCAACTATAATTTCTCGTAATCTAGCTTACCTTCCAACTTCTTGTTGTCTGCCACTTTTCTGACCGCCTTCATGATGTCATTTTGTATGATATATTCCCTGTCGTCTCTAATTGCGAAAAAACCAGCTTCTGTAACCACATTTCTAATATCAGCACCGTTGAATCCATCACTCATCTTAACTGCTGCTTCGAAGTCAAACTCTCCGTGTTTGGCAATCTGGGCCGTATGAATTTTGAATATTTCCAATCTACCTGCTTCATTGGGCAAAGGAATTTCAATCTTTCTATCCAATCTACCAGCTCTGAGCAATGCAGGGTCAAGTGTATCTGGTCTGTTTGTAGCCATGATAATTTTTGTCTGTCCCAAAGTGTCGAAACCATCCATTTGATTCAACAATTCCATCAATGTACGTTGAATTTCACGATCTGCTGACGTTCCTTCGCTGAACCTACGCCCACCAATAGCATCAATTTCATCCATGAAAATGATACAAGGCTCATGTTCCTTGGCATAAGCAAACATCTCCCTGATCAACCTGGCACTTTCACCAATATACTTGTCGACGATACCCGAGGCCGGAGAAAAAATAAAGTTTGCTCCAATTGTTGCTGCCACTGCCTTGGCTAACAAAGTCTTACCAGTACCAGGTGGACCATATAACAAAACTCCCTTTGGTGGTTTGATACCAACCCTCGTAAAAAGCTCTGGATTTTTCAATGGTAATTCTATAACTTCACGCAACTCTCTCACTTGGTCCGTCAAACCACCGATACCATTGAAGGAAATTTCACCTGGTTCAAAAGTTGTCATATTGTAAACCAACGGATCGACTTCTCTAGGCAATATTCTCATAATCGTGAGTGTCGTCATATCCAATGACACTCTAACACCGTTTTTTAAGTTTGATTTCTTGATAGTATTTCGACATCCAACAATGTAACGGGGTCCACTAGAAGCCTTAACAATAAATCTTTCATCGTCCAATTGCTTCAAGACCTCCCCAATAATTTGGCCTACAGATTGCAACGCCTTTATATCGTTTTCGGTTTTCTCGTAATCCTTCTCCAAATCTCGTATCCCCAATCGCAAGTCTTTCAACCTGGCGTCCCATTTCCTATGCTCAAGCAACTTGTCTTTGAATTTCAAAAGTGCCCTTTCTCTCTCGGGATCAGTTGGTTCTGTAGATTGTTGATTGGAAGAAGTTTCTTGATTTCCAGAGGAATCGTTAGCGTTATTATCTCCTGCATTGGCACCACTTTGTTCCGCGTTCAAAGCCTGCAAAAGAGGATCATTTTCATCAGACGCCATCGCTCGTAGTGATTATATCTATGAAGGATTGAGTATTTGAAAGAGACAATATGATATTTGTTCACTCAAAGTGGCAAAAAACTGTTTCTCTCTGATTGAGCGAGTCGAAAAAATTCAATGTGCACGACTTTTCACACATCGAAACGCATTTGGTAGCAGTAGCATTTCGAAATTACATCAAAAATTTCTTTCAAATGATTCTATGAATCATAAAGTGAAGTAACACAGCCAATACCCGTATCAATTGATTTAAATGGAGTTCACCGCTGTGATATTTTGTGGCCGAGGTAAATCACTTGAGCCGTTTTCGGAGTCGCGAAGCACGGGGTTACCGAAGCCTCTATTGCCCATTGCCAATCGGCCAATGATTAGTTATGTTCTCGACTGGTGTTTCGATGCTGTTTTGTCAAAGATAGTAGTCATCACGCAAGTGGAAACGAGTGAAGCAGTAATGGCTGCAATCGAGAAGTATAAGAAAGAGAGACGCGAGCTACTTGCGACGTCAAGCGATATACCAGAGGCTAGTTTTGCAACCCCCATCGAAATAATGCCATTCACTGCGGAAAACAGTGCTGAAATCATCTACCATCTATACAAGAACTCAAAATTCAGATTACAGGATCTTATATTTTTGCCGTGTGACTTCCTCTCGGATTTGCCCCCATCGGTGATTATTGAAGCGTTTAGAAATAGAAATGAGACCGATTTAGGAGTTTACATTGCATACAAAAATCAATTGGACATTGAGGATAAGAAACTGAAAATTTTCAGCAAAAAATACACAGTATATGCTGGCGATGCAGATGATGATTCAAAGTTACTTGACGTGTACGGCAAAGCGGATATCGAGATGTCTAAAATGTTGCATATAAGAACCCAAATGTGCTGGAGGTACCCGAAGTCTATTGTCAGCACAAAATTACTAAACAGTGGAATATTTGTAGCCTCCAAAGAGATATTCAATGTGATCGAGGAGGCGTCAACAAAATTCAATGAACTGTACTTTGAAAAAAGAAACTATGACAAATTCATTCGCGATTTGGCAAGAAGATCGTGGAAACACTCAGCTACAAAGGCAACAGTTGGTCTTTTTGTAGTTCCAAGCGAGGCTACATTCTTTAGGGTCAATAACCTACCGGTATTGATGGAGGCAAATAGACATTTTATGAAACATCAAGCGATGAAAAAGGGTCAGTCGCAACAAGGTGCACAACAGAAAGACAAACTTGCTGCTCATGTCGGGAATGATTCAATAGTTGGTGAGAATACTGAATTGGGCGAAAAGACCAATGTGAAGCGCAGTGTGGTGGGTCATAACTGTAAAATTGGGAAAAAGGTTAGAATCACTGGGTGTTTGATTTTTGATAACGTAGTTGTTGGTGATGACGTTCAATTAGAAAATTGTATCATTGGACATCACGCAAAAATTCCCTCAAAATCAAAGTTGATCAATTGTAATGTTGAATCTACAAATGAAGTTACAACAGGAACTCAAGCTAAAGGTGACACGTTACTCTGCATGAGTTTAGAAGCTGTAGAGGATGGTGAAAGCGAGGATGAATTTGTATTGAAAACTGGCCCACTCAGTGATTCTAGTTCTGAAGATGATGACGATGAAGATGATGAGAGCGAAGATGAAAGCGAATTTGAAGATGAATACACTGGTAATGAGGATGGATTGTTTGCATATTGAATTGATCTACAGACAATTAAAGCACATGAAAATGTCGTTTACTCTATAAAGTTCCATTGTTGGTCCAAATTAAAAATAAAAAAGCCTCTAAATCGTGACTTAAAGCTTTTTCTTTTTCTTTTTCTTCAACGGACTATCCACCGGGTCTTTGAAGAGTTTAGCACGTTTTAAATCATCCGTCTCACTCTCACTTGACTCTTCTGACGAATAAAACTTTTTGTGTAAATGTTGAAGCTTCTTCTTCTTTATCATGTTATTCCTTTGGGCAGCATTGTGTTGAACTGACATTGGTGGTATACTTGGTTTAAAAGAACTTGAGGGCCTCAAATCCAGCTCAAACTGAAATACGAAATCTTGTGGTATCTTTGCATCATCTAATGAAGTTGCATAATTAGCAGGTTGTGTTGTCGCTAAGTCTGACTTATTCTTTGCATTTGTAATCTCCGCTCGCTTTGTCAATGCCCAGTTTTCCACGTCCTCATCATTTGTGATCACATGTAGCAAGTCGTCAAGGCACTGTAGGTAACCCAACTCATGGGATGCTGAATGTGATCCCTGGCCAGTTTTGTATAAAGCAGCAACAGCTCTTGCCGCATTGGCAAAGTCAGTCTTGATGGCTTGCTTTTGCGCAGCGGTCACCACGCTTCCAGATTGTGGATTAATGGATGAGTTATATAGGGATGCTACAGATTTCGCAGCGTCTTTAAAATGTGTCGTAAGTTCGGTATCCGAAATGCTTGATTGTGAACTTGTTCTTAATTGCGATGATGGGTCATCGTAGCTTGAATGATCAGAAGTCTCAGCTTTGCGCGGCAAAGGTTTCAGCGTTGGTAACGTATTGGACAAATTTGATAAATCCATCTTGTGTAGGGTTGTAAGCACTTGTAGAATGTAATATAATGATTTAATAAAAATTCGGTGATGATCGTAGTCTCATTGTGCTTTAAAGTAGAATTGGTTTTTTCTCCTCACTAACCTACAAAGCTACCATAACTATTATTATGACTACTACTACATACACCAGCAACGCTTACACGTATCAATAGCAACCTATCTGACATAGAGTCTGAGTAAAGGACAGGTCTTGTAGTACCTCCATGTTTTGACTGCTTTACAGGTGTATTACTCGGTCGAACAATATTTGCAACAATCCAAACTCCTGAGTAAAGAGCAATTTTGGCGTCAATGTGGCCAAAACACTTCTTTTTACACCCGTGCCTCTAGCAATAAAGCCATACCATTAAGTGAAGCTATACTTTGACTAATGTCCTCTTTGTAGTGCTATTTCTCTATTTAGCTTTTGTTCATAAAAACTTCGTGAAAGGCTCAAACAAACGCACAACGAAAAATAAATTCACTTGTGAACAACGAATACATATACACACACCTTGGATTCGTTTGAAATACAAGAACATCCAACATGGTTGAATCTACTTTGATATATAGATACGATGGTATGCATATCCAAATCTCATGTGAGATCAGCTGACAAAAACATACTAACTTGTATGTAGCACTTCCTTTGTGTGGATCGGTTGATGATGACGATAGCACCAACTCGCAAGCATTACTAGAACAAAAGAAGAAATGTAAAATCCTAATCAGCAGGATCACTCCGAACTCAGAGCCTCAAGCTACTATCGAATCGGGGGAGTTCAACATTCATTATTTGATCTCCCAGGGGATTATATATCTATGCATATGTAAGAAGTCATACCCACGGAAGCTTGCATTTTCATATTTAAACGAAATAGCACATGAGTTTTACAATAGTCACGGTCAAGAGGCACTAAGTCCAACTGCTAGACCATTTGGGTTTACTTCATTTGATAATTTCTTGCACAAGACTAAAAAAATATACCAAGATCAAAGAGCCCAATCCAATTTGGATAAGTTGAATGATGATCTAGCTGACGTAAAAAAAGTTATGACTAAAAATATCGAGGATTTATTGTACAGAGGAGATTCTTTGGATAAAATGAGCGATTTGTCAAGCTCTTTAAAGCAGGATTCTCTCAAGTATAGAAGACGGGCTCAGAGAATTAACTTGGAAGCATTGATTAAGCAGTATATTCCAATTGTTGGGGTTGGATTAATTTTCGTTTTCATTTGTTATTACCTATTAAGAAGATAGATAGAAATCGTGTGACAGCTTTGAGCAATTGCTTTAATCCTTGTCCACTCCCCTCTTTCTGTATTTGTCGCGACAAATAAAAATGTCTAACCGAAACCTACTCTTAACCATCTCAACTGTTTAATGGAACAGCCACATTTTCTCAAAGTTGCATCTAAATCAGCTTCTAGCTTATTGTCAACGGCGTCAGTACCGCAGCTCAGCTCCACTACAGTGGCAACAACTGCAATCAATTACGAGAATGTAAACCTGGAAATACAATCAATCCGAAATGGTTCTCCATCAACACAATTCGATAATAGTAGTGTAGCATCCGAGCTTCACTTATCAGAGTATATCGAAGATCTACCGTTCTTGCCTTCAAAAGTGCGCAATTCACAACGACCTCAAAATGATCATAATTATTTGGCATTATATAAGAACCCATTTAATTTGGAGGAGGATCAATACTTTCGTCTGTGCATCACCATATCCAAAACCGATGATGAACAACAGTTTCATCGAAAATTGAAGCAGTTTTTCATCTTTTCTACTGCCGGAAAACCGATATACTCAATGAATGGGTCGGACGATGTGATTATTGGTTATGTGGGTGTATTGACAACAATACTTTCTACATTTCAAGAGGATCTTCACAAAGACTTGAAAAGCATCAGAATAGAAGATGAGTTGAAAATTGTTGCCTTGAATAGAGCACCCATAGTGTTGATTACAATTACCAAGTTAAATCATGAAACAGATAGCTTCCTTGAATCCCAACTAAACGTACTATACATGTACTTGTTGAGTATATTGTCAAAATCAGCAATCGATAAGCATTTCAATAATGGACTAAATTATGACTTGCGTCGAGTTTTGAGCCCATTGGACTTTTCGAATTTGGATGACTTGTGTATGAAATTGACCTTTGGATTGCCCAATGGACTTGATTTCTATTTGAGTCAGTTGTTTTCATGTCAACAAAGCATCAAAATACGATACACATTAAGATCAAAAATGAACAAAATACTAAAGACATACAAGGATGAAGATCTAATTTTCACCATTTTGGCCAAGTCTCACATTATTTTAAATTATATTCGCAATAAAACCCACAATTTATCTAGCAATGATATGAAGTTGTTGTTATTTATTGTGAAATCTATGAAGACCAAAGAAGAAGATTTATGGATGCCATTATGTATGCCAGAATTCAATAGCAATGGTTTCCTATACGTATTTGTTCGAACATGGGGTCAGAAAAGTTTGATACTCATTAGTGGGAACAAAAATTCGTTTTACAAATTAAAAGAAATAGCAAGTGGTATAATACTAACAGCCGAAAGATCACAGAACCGTGAATTTCTTGCCAGTTTTCAACGTGAATTAAGTACACCAATCTCGAGCCAGATCCCATTTGTCGTCAAGCATTTCATGTATATAAATAAAAAAACTAATCAATTTGTATGCAGCGAAGCACCACACGAAAATAGAGATGTTGTACTCCAATTGATCAATTACTACACACAATTGAAAAATAACAAGTCCAGTGTACAGATCAAGGATGTATCTATTAAGTACAAAAAATTATCGTATATGAAGTGGGGCAATGTGACTGGGTTTATGATTACCGAGGACGCCTATGCATCTTATTGTATCATCAATGATGATCTCGATTCAAGGAAATTGGTTGATGTTAGTGTTTCTATAATCAAATGGTGTAAGAATAATCAATCACGATTATTTACAAAGTGAAACCATCATCATTGCATTACACGTTTTTCAAACTTTTTGAACGACTCTTGTAGTTTGTCAACATATAACTTGTGCAATTTCTCCAACTGATTCAACTGCTTATTCTCCAGATCTGATAACTTGTGAGTTTTCAAATGCGATTGAAATTTATGTCTGACATCACCTCTGACAGCGGTCAATGACCCCGTTTTGTTATTTCTCAATTTGTCATACAACTCTTTTAAAAGTTTGACGTCATTTTGCTTAGTCTCCAATGTGATTGGGGGTAACGGAACTTTGATATTGAACTTATTTGATGGATCAATGACACCGCTCATGTTTAAACCTGAGCCTATAATTGTATTGATTATTGCTTGAGCATTCAGAGGATCAAACATGGTGATGACAAAATTTCTCCCCTTGACTGACGTTTGTGCAATGGTATTGAATGGAACTTCTTCAACATCCTTTTGGTTACCCACATTGACTAACAAATTATCAAAGATTTTGGGGTTCAATTTACCTAACTTGATTTCGTTTGCCAACTTTTCAAATTTGGCTAAAATGGATTCAAATCTGGAAGTGGCATCTTTGAAATCTATTGTTGGAGTGACAACCTCTTCCTCGGCCTCAGCTTGAATCTTGTCGTCCTCAATTTGGATCTTTTGTTGTTTTTGAGACTTTTTTGATTTGCTATTCTTTTTTGAGGCTAGAAGGATTGTACTCGTATGTAATTTGGCGGTGTGTGGACCCACAGTTATACGAATCAATGAGAACGTCGAGACTCTAATTGGCCTAGGAGGCACTGTTCTCAAGATGTGTTTGAACATGGTTGAGAAGTTATCACGAGAAGTGTTTAGATGAAAAATTTGTTGGACTTCACTTGGTTGCGCCTTTTCCAAATTTGCAGCAAGGCGCTTGTCTCACACGACACACCGTTAGACTACACTCGATTACTCCTGAGTATCGGCAATACAAAACGCCCTTCATTCCTATATCTTTTCTAATATTTGTATACATTTTGTGGCTTCACGACCAACTGCGCTGCCTTCTTTTACTAAATTCGATAGACTAACAATCATTTTTTCTTTAAAGAAGGTGTTCATCACATTTACCCTTGTAGATAAATCTTCCGTAGTTAAAGTATCCAAGTTTTGCAAGTCTCCAAAATCTTCGTCTTTGATATTCATCTCATTAACAAACAATTTCAATGGTGCATATGCTTGTGGTGTGTTCGGTATTAAGTACTTGTAAGATTGTGGATGAGTCAATATTCCATCAGAAACATATTCGTCATCTATTTCACCCTCTTTTTCAAACAAGGTTGCTTGCAAGAACTTGGCCAATGCTATCAAGTGATCTACCCGTGCTTTCTTAGTATTCGTACCGAGAAGTATTGATGAACCTGATGTGATTGAAACACTCTTTGACTTTGAATCTGTTTGTAATGACCACCCCATAAGTATAAATACATTTTTCAATATCTTGACAAAGTACAGTTTCACATCGGCGTACTCAATCATTACATCAAGAAATTTTGTACTTGTGTTTCTTATATCAAATTGTATGTTTGTCATTGCCGATACGATAAATAAGATGATGGTTCGCTTATGCAAATCTAAAAGACCCGGTTGCTTTTTACCGCATTCTTTCAAAAGGTTCAACACCTCCAACCGTACCTGTTTGGATTCGTCTAACATCAATGGAGTTACGCTAGATATAATTTTCTTATAGCTCGATGGGTTTGACGGTAAGTTTTGAGTCAAGCTAATCACGACTTCCTTTCTAGCAGTTGGAGAGTGGTGTTTAGTTAGCGATAGCTGATGTTGTAAATCCTTTGAATGAGCATGTGTTATTGACTGGCCAGGCAAAGAGATCTTTTTTGATTTGAAAGATGTATCAGTGTAATTGTCTGCCTTTTGTGAGGTTTTCCCAACTTTCAACTTCGTCTTTTTAAAATCCTTTTGTTTTTCCTTTTGTTTCCTCTTAGAGCCCATTGTGGTGGAGTGAGTGTTATAGGATGTGTGAGTGTGATAATGGTTGATAAAGTTTCACGATGAGATCAGAATAAATTCTTTGCGCGTCAAAAAAATAAAAGAAAGCCAAAGCTTAATCAAGATCTAACCAGCACGAAACCAGTAGAATACGGACCTTTTTTTTTTTTGACACCGGTGGTTGAGTGCAATGTCTTTGAACGATTTTATTGAACACGAGACTTTACTTCAATCGCTATCGCTAGAAGACAAAACAGAACAACAACGATGGAATTCACAAAGATTTCAGAGGTCCTTCAACGAGTTTGCTGATGAGGATGATATGGACCTCGATGATGACCCGATGGATATTGACGAAGAACCATTCAATGAACACATAGGCGAAGCTGCATCCCCGGAACACCAGGGAGTCACAATCGAGGAATTCGATACCACTCTCGAAAGGGATGAACATCAAAATCTACTCGCATTATTGTCACCAACTATGATGGGCGCTAGATTAGCAATATCCGATAGACCAAAGCTTTTGATGCCACCTTCGCCGAAAGTAAACAAGAATGGAGTGATGGGTGCATCAGCTGAATTGGAGCCTCGGCCCATTACCAAGGCCAAACATTCAATAGATTATGAGTTTGACGTCAGCTCGTACCCAACGGTAAAGAATTCAAACAATCTGGTCCCCAAACGCGACATCTCTGCATTTTACAACATATCCAACCCCAATGTGTTTGCATCAGCGTCTGGGCATTCCACGCACCCATTTTCCAATGAATCCCTGAACCCACATCCAATCCAACCACATCCGCAAATGATCCATCATCATCATTACTATCTCAATGGTAATGATGATAATCAGACACAGCTTGAGAGAATGAGAAGACAGTATTTCAATCAATCGGAGGTGATTGAACTGCGCGAGAAGGATCAAGACAGTAATGTGGAATCGAGGGGGCACAATGCGTCTGATCTTACTCACGGATCCGGCTTTATCAACTTACCAGCCCCTTGGAGACAAGATATACATCCAATCGAAAAAGTGCCATACATTATATCATCGTATTTGCAACTATTCATCAATTTCATTATTTCCATATACTTTATCTACTTTGTTTACTACATTGTCACGTCGATAAAATCAGATGTTAACCACAAACTACAGGTTCAAAAACGGGCTATTCAAGCTCAAATCGACTCTTGTCGTACATTATACTACGAAAGTAAATGTGATGATCCCTCATTTAACGGTCTACCTATATTACGCAAAAAATGTGAAACGCTAGCACGAGGGATGAATCAAGACCCGAATTCTGTTGGAAATTTGTCGATGATCAATGCTCAAATCATAGGACTTGTTTTGAATTCATTAGTTGAGCCATTAAGTTTCAAATTCTTTATGTTTTTATTATGGTGTGGCATTGTAGTATTTGGGTGCAATTTTGTATTTGGATTTGTCAGAGCAAGGACTTATTATGGAGGTCAAACAGGCGACAAAGAGTTGATTAGAAAGCACGAATAAATGACCAATTATTTGTGGAATTTGACAGTAAACTATTTATCATGGCTGAATATCTTTACGTCTCTCACTGTTTGTGCCAATGTGCGTAGAGATGTTAACACACAGTTCGCTTGTGTTTATTCTTAATTTTCCGAGGATCAATGCATAATATACTTTTGTGTAATGCGGAGAAATATTAAATTTTCCATCGTGGATAATAAGAATATCAAGAATAAGTTAGTGATATTATATAAAGAATACTCAAAAAATAAGTTTTGATATAACGGGCTTATTAACTAAAATCAAATTATACTAGGAAGTGACGTGCTTAGCTCCGGATAGCAAGTGAGATTTCACTTTTACTACATTGCTTATTGTAACTAGTTTTGAGGTTTATCTTTAATCCATGATGGATTATCAAGCAATCGAAAATCCACCATCACAAGCAAACTACGAACTTTATTTAACTTTAGATAACTGACTTGATCAGAAGAAGTAGTTAGTAAGCTACGTGCCATAAACTAAACTCCAATAGTTTTCCCTAACATCAATTCTTGAGCTCTATGGTAAACTACACGGATATAGGAACCAGATCTCTTCCATTTTGTGTAATTATGTTTAATTTTACTTTGGTACAAGCGACAGACATACACGAACAACGCATTGCCCATTGAGTACACGTAGACTGGGTGGATCAAGCCTTAAGTTGAAGGTAATCAAATTGAAGGTTCAATTAAATTGCTTTCGATGTTAACGCCTTGCGTGCAGCTTCCCACAATGATGTCATCGCTATTCTTAGCTTCTTCTTGCGCTCTGTTTCTTTCAATTTGTGTTCGACCATAAACATGGCTACTTTGGTGTCCAGTATTTCTAAGAGTAGGAGCATTATTGCTCATGTGGGATTGAAGGTATACAGGGTTATTTCTGAATACACCACGTTTTTGCTATCAGTAAACCGGCACTTTCCATTGATGAATGCAAAGTGTTTTTGCCTTTTTAGTCCTTTCAGTATGCCTATATCTTGCACCCACAATGGTCAGCTTTTTTCGAACCAGATTACCTCCACCAAGACCATTCTTGCTACTGGACTACAATCAAACGTGCTTCGGAGTTAAATCAATTTTGCTAACTCAACTTTGTGCTACAGCCGGAAACAAAGAGAAGAAAAACAAAAAAGAAGGGACAAAAACAAAAGAAAGACCCACGGCTATACTTAGTACCAAGATTGAATCTTTGTGATGGAATGATAAAAATTTGAGAGATGCTACATATATAAAGGCTAGTCGATCTGCAATGGATTTCGACAAACTTGATCAAGCTCCTATTCTTTTTACTTCTTGCTTATTTTGTTCTCTAGAATAACACCAGTTTAATTTTTTGAAATGGGAATATTTGGCACCTCAGAAAAAGAAGAAGCTGAGCTCAGAGAGGCAGCTTTGTCTTCTCAGCAACACCAACAAGAAGGCTTCTTAGAGCAATCAGGAAGGAGGCCCAGCAGCACATCGAACAATTTGTCACAATACGAAACTGCATCCGAGTACTCAGCTTTTGCTGACGACAACCATAACTTTTCAGAGCCCAATGAAGATTACCAAGAGATGCCAATAGATCCAGTACCAAAAGATCATGTGACAGGACCTGAAGGAACGTCTCAACCTGTTTACCAATTCGAAATGCCATACGGGCAGAATGATAGCGATTCAAAAACTCTTGAAGCTAACAACAACTTACAGGAAGCTAACACATCACAAAAAGAACCCTACACATCAAGCGAGACAGCATCCGAAGATGGAGTTCATCCTATTCCTTTTCAAGCGAAGGATCCACTAGAGGATGATGAAAATGCTTTAAACAGACAGTATACTTTGGAGAGGATAAGGTCTCATAAATCAATTGAGGAAGTGGCTTCGGAGCAATTTTTACAAACTGGTGATCGTGTTTATGCCGTTAATGAACTTGATTGGGATGGTCCTGATGACAAAGAAAATCCACACAATTGGTCAAAACTTAAGAAATGGTGGATTACCTGTACAGCAGCAACAATGTGTCTTGTTTGCTCGTTGGGATCGTCCATGTACACCGCTGGTATACCTGAAATTATGCAAGAATTTGGAGTGTCACAAGAATTGTGTCTCTCTGGTTTGACATTCTATTTGATTGGTTTGGCTGTTGGGCCAGCACTTGCTGCTCCGTTATCTGAAACCTATGGAAGAAAACCTCTTTATGTAATTAGTTGGCCTATCGGGATGCTCTTTACCATGGGGGTTGGTTTATCGCCCAATATCAGAACCTTGTTGGTTCTTCGATTCTTTTGTGGATTCTTTTCCAGTCCAGCATTATCAGTCGCAGGTGGTACTATCAGTGATCTTTGGTCCAATGAACCATCAGAACAATCATTTGCTGTTGCTATATTTTGCTTGGGTCCATTTTTGGGACCTGTTTTGGGTCCAATCATTGGTGGATTTTCCGGTGAGTACAAAGATTGGAAATGGCCTGCTGCTTGGGTTTTGTTAATGTTTTTTGGTGCCATTTGGCCCTCTGCCATCTTGTGCCCAGAAACTTTCAAAAGGGCGATTTTAGTTCGCAGAGCCAAGAAGAGAGGAATCAAGGTTGAAGCCCCACCTGTTAACTGGGCTTACATCAAAAAAATGATGAAAGTCAGTTTGGGTACCCCATTGGTGTTGTTGGTTATGGAACCAATCGTTTTTTTCTTGTCTTTGTACATCGCCTTTGTCTTTGCTGTTTTGTTCGCATTTTTTGAAGCTTTCCCCGTTATCTTCAGAGGGAAGTATCACATGGATTTGGGTATATCTGGTTTAACATTTATTTCCGTCGGAATTGGTCTTGTTGCGGGCGTTGTGTTTTACGTCGTGTTGGACAAGACTATTTACTTTCCCAAAAATCCTGATGGCACAAGGGGTAAGAGAGACGAGAACGGTAACATAATCTGGGATGCACCTGAATCAAGGTTGTTGGTGGCAAAGATTGGAGCTTTTTGTCTTCCGGGTTCTCTCTTCTGGTTAGGTTGGACAGGTAGAACTGGAAATATACACTGGCTCGCTCCAGTAGCAAGTGGTGTTCCTTTTGGATTTGGGTTGATTTTGGTTTTCTTTGCTGTTGTTTTGTATTTTTCCATGTCATTCCCACCAATGATTGTTGCATCGTGTATTGCAGCCAATAACTTGTTGCGTTACGTCTTGGCTTCGGTTTTCCCACTTTTCACTGTCCAGTGTTTTGAGAATTTGGGAATCGGTTGGGCGGGATCATTGTTTGGATTTATTGCTGCGATCATGGTGCCTGTACCATTCATATTCTCCTATTTTGGTCCAAAGTTCAGAGCCAGAAGTAAGTTTGGATATGCTGCATTTTTCAAGAAAATGGCTGAAGAGAAAGCTGCTAGAGAAAAAGCTCAAGGTGGTAACAAAGAACAACCACCTAATCCTGAAAAGGATGTGGCCACTAAAGTATAGTTCTTGTAAGTAAATGGGTGTCATTAATGAAGTCTAATCCCTAGTCTTTATTGTAGTCGATTGTATATAACATTGTAGCTCTCACAGGGTTCACGTCAGTTGTGCATAGTTTCAAAAGAAAAAGCAAAACCTCAAGATTATTTTTCTTCTTCTCTACGCAACTTTGAAAAGTTAATAGACACACTATCAGCCTTTGCAGCCCAAGAAGTTCTTCAATCAATCCTCGTCTATCATTTTGAGGAGTTACTTACTGAACTTTTAGAGTAACTAAACCAACGCTTTACTTTATTACGTGGATGCATTCAGTTCGGATCAAAACTTGACTGTTTTATAACGTGAATTTGGAACCATGGTAAACAACAATAATAACGGGGTGCACAATCAAGGACCCAATAACCAGATAAACCAAAACATGAACAATGGGGCACAGAACCAATCTTTTCCTGGTGCTCAACAACAACGGATGCAACAACAACAGCAGCAACAACAACAACAACAACAACAACAACAACAACAAAACTTGCAAAATATTCCACCTCAACAATTAGCACAGCTTGTTCAAGCTATGAAAAATGACTTTGAAATAGCCAAGAATGCTACTGACGAACAAGTGAAGCAGCACCATTTGAGTCGGGCCGAAAATATAAGAAAGGTGTTGGCGAGATATCAAGCGCAAAGAAATAGATTGCAACAACAACAACAACAGCAGCAGCAGCAGCAGCAGCAGCAACGTAATATGACTTCCCAACTGCCTCAGATTGCAAGTATACAACCAGGAATGCAGGCACGGCCTACATCTGGTCAATCCAATATCATGTCACAACCTAATGTAGCCAATAACAATTCATTCAATCAATATGGTAACACGGGTCAAGGCCTGCCAGTGATGAACAATTCTCCGGCAGTAAACTATCAATCTCCTGGTCTAGATTCAAGCAATATACCACCTGCAACTTCGGCTATATCTAACGGTCGTCAATCACAAGTCGGCAAAAATAAACATGAAGTGGAGGAACAGAGTAAACAAAAACTACATCAACAACATCAACAGCAACAGAATCAGCAATACCAGCCTCCGAGAAAGGCTAATCCCATTCAAGGACAAAGTCTGAACCATCCTAATCTGCTGCAACAATATAGAAACATGTTAACAAGCATGAGCTCTAGTACATCTAGTGGGGCTGGTAGTGGCACCGCTGGATCTATTAATCTTCCATCAAATACCATTTCTATGGAAAAATTCAATCAAATCAGGCAAAAGTTGACAGAAATACAAAGGAAAATCCAATTATTAGAGCAAAGCAAAAAAGCTGGCAATGCAACACAAGAACAAGTTTCGATCATTGATAGAGAATTGGTTGAATATAGATCCAAGTTTCAACAGTTTCAAAAAATTGGTATATATATGCGAAATCAATTGGTGCAACAGGCTAAACAGCAACAACAACAAAGGCAACAGGGACAGAATCAGCAAGTGCAGCATCAGCAAATTCGAAACCAGCCTGTGCAAAACCAACAAAGTCACAATCTGCAGAGCCAATTACCGCAACCATCATATCAGCAAGGGCCTTTACCTCAATCATCGCCACAGTTATCGAAACCGCAACAACAAAACCAATTACCTCAACAAATTCAAGGAAACAATCAGCAATTTTCCCCACAATTGTCACCTCAACAATCGAATAATTTTCAAGGATCACCACAGCTTCACTCGCAAAGTCAACAACAACAACAACAACAACAACAACAGCAACACCAGCAGCAGCAACAGCAACAACAGCTATTAGCACAGCACCAGAGGAATATAGCTAATGGTCAACAGGCAGTGCCACCACAATTGGCAGCAACAAATATGAATGGGGCAGCATTGAACCAACCTCTTCAACACCAATCGAGACAACCATCTCAAGCAGGAACACCTTCATATCCAGCCTCGCATGCTACTCCGTCTCAACACATTCAAAAACAAGCACCGCTTCAAAACCAGAGGGTACCTAGTCGGCAAGCCTCTGCCACACCGCAAGCTCAAACGCAGCTAATGCAACATTCAAGCAGACAAGGCTCAGCTTCGTCTGAGAAAAAACCAATTGGGACCGGAGCACTTTCTACCGCCGATGGAACTCCGAATGGATCCGCTGCAAGGTCTGGATCTCCTGGTGTGGAAGGTCGCTCAACGCCACAGCGGCCTAAATCGGCAATGTCAATGAACCTTGCTGGAATAACAAAACCCAGTGGCCCATCAATTCCTATTTCGAGTTCGATCGATATAAAGCCTCCAACTGTTGTTACGTTTAATTCAACAACTGACACAAGACCTACTTTGACTGGAGGAGGCGCAAATTCATTGAGCATGTTGTGGGATACACCAGCAATAACCAAATTACCCATGTTTGATTTGGAAGGTGGAGAATCTACAACTGAATCAGGTAGAGTTTTGAACAAGAGAAAATTGCAAGATATTATCAGTACTGTTGGAGTAGATGAGGGTGATGGGAAGACTACAATTGATGGAAATGTAGAGGAATTGTTGTTGGACTTGGCTGATGAATTCATCTATTCTGTTACAAGTTTTGCTTGTCGATTGGCCAAGCATAGAAAAGTTGACTCAATCGATGCTAAAGATGTACAAGTACATTTGGATCAAAATTGGAATATCAAAATACCCGGTTATGCCATGGATGAGATTAGAAGCACGAGGAAGTTTCAACCTAGTACTACCTATAATCAAAAAGTACAGGGAATTGAAATTTCGAAGGCGGTTAATGACGAGATTTGAAAGGAGGGAGGGCTAGCGGCGCACAGTATTCTTCTGGTGTAGCTCTATATTTATCGAGATTCTTTTTTCATGTATACGCAAATATTTACCCAGAACTCAATTGCAGTATTTTACTTTGGCATTTTAAGTCACTTTTCAGCTTCGTTAGCTTCCTTGTTAAGCTTTCGAATTTGTTTAGCCCAGGCTTTATGTTTCTGATCATAAACACCCTCTGCAACACCATGTAAGAAACCCTGTTTATCCTCCAACAACTGCCAAGGTGTTTTCCTCTCTGAATCGTTCTTGATTAAACAAGAATCGATAAATTCACAAAGTAGTGGATCGTATCGTGATTTTGTCACTGGATTGATTTTGTTTTTCAAAGTTGGTGGTTTTTCATTCACTATCCGTTGTAAAAGATCCAATATACCTTCTGGACCTTTGAACGAGTTGTTGCTAGTATCACTTTTCAAGCTGTTGTAAGCACTATTTCCGTTTTCGTCATCGTCATCGTCATCGGTCCAAACCGGAAGGCCACTAGCCAATTCAATCAACATTAGTCCCATTGACCAAACGTCAGACTTGACACCATAGTTTAAACCCTGTATTCTTTCCGGGGACATGTACATTGAGGTTCCCACAAATGTGTCCGCCATTGCTAGTGAGTTGGTAAGTTCTCGAGACACGCCGAAATCACACAATTTGAATTCACCTCGATGTGTCATCAAAACATTATTGGGTTTGATATCACGATGAATGATCTTGTGCTTATTGTAAAGATATGATAACCCTGACAAAATGGCAAATGATAGCTTCTTCAACACATAAAGAGGAAACTGTCGATTTCCGCAAAATGGTAAAATCTTATCCAATGACCCACAGTTGCAATATTCCATGCATATTACAATAGTGTTGTTACTGTTCAAAAAGGCACCATAGAATTCAATAATGTACGGAGATTGACATTCATGTAGTATGCGTAACTCTCGAATAATCTGCGTTTGAATAACACTCTTCAGATCAACATGGATTATCTTTTTTGCCATGGTTTTTTGTGATGGGATATGCAAGACTTTGGATACAGAGCCCGAGTTCCCCAGACCCAATTGCTTCAAAGTCAACAAGTCCTTGTTGCGTAGCTTGATTTTACTCGTGGTTGCAATTGGTGATTGCGTTTCACTCAATGTGTCAACAAGTTGAACTTTCGACTCGACTTGCTGGCCAGACATCTTTGTAGGGGAGATGGAAGATATAACAGTCTGCCGTTTTCGTCCAAACGTATCATTGGGTGTTGACTTACTGCGTTGGGAATCCGGTCTTGTTTTCAATTCTAATTGAGACATTTGATTTATGAGCATTGCTGTTGAAGCTTCGGTTTCAGGATCCATATTTCTATTGCTACCGTTGAAATCATAATTTGCAAGTCCAGCACTATTAGGCCTACTAAGGGTTTGTGTTATAACGGCATTCAGCAGCGGAGATTTTCGCGACCGCGAATCGGCCAAAATTGCAGGTGCAGTTGCTTGTTGAGCCATGATTGGGCGCTTCAGGGTATCCTCTGGCTGTTGCAAAGACAGTGATGTGTTCGCTAGACCGAGAATTGGTGCCGGTCGTTGCCTCCTCTTCATTGATGTTGGCTCTCGTATCAAATACAGTTCATCATGCTTGACCTCGTTTTGAGTCATTGGTGATGATAGGGACAAGTGTTTGAAGTTTTTTCGATTTAGTGTCTTCTTTTCTAATATTTCCGAATCATCAGTATGTGCGTGGTTGGGATCAGAGTTAGTTGGGATAGTTTTGTTGGATGGATTGGTTGTTGCACGAATGGTAGTTTGACTCTTATATTCGTCGTTCAAACTTTGTGATGGTGGTGGTGGTGGTGTTGGTATTGTCGCACCTCTTGACCGCGAGAGATCACTTGGGCCACGTTCTAAACTCATGTGTGGCCTACTTTGCGATGTCGTAAACGATATTGTTGTGGTAGTGTCGTGGTTGAATGTCTCAATCGAATGTTGATTTTATGGCATAAATCAACTTGAAACTGATATGTTTCGTGTTGCTAAATATAGGATCAACTTTTAGTTTGTATTTTTTTTTCTTCCCTTCTCATTCGGCGTTTTCAGTGTAATGGTAGCGCGGGAAGTTGTTTAACCGCATAAGAATTAATCTGAGTAGCAAAGTGATGGTTTCCAATGGTGATAAATGTTTGTTGGCAATGGGGTTGTTTGGAGTCAATAGGAAGCTCCAAGTGTATTTCCAACTTGATGCACAAAACATGGTGGCTCCTGTGTAGGTGAACTTGCACCGACTTCATAGATGCACCAACATTACGACATGCATGACTTTTTTTAGACCGATGCTCAAACTTTGCAGATTGGCGGCAAGGGGCAGCCTTCAGTTCTTTAAATATAGCTATATCTGGGGAAGCGATTAGAAAATCATATTATCTATTTGTGACCTTATCTGAGCAAGCGACTGTAAGAATTGATTGCCAATTCCTTTTGATACATCAAGTTGATGCGTTCGCGTTTGCATCTGTTTGATACAAAATTGCAGCAAAATGAATACTTTCAACATCAACTTTGTAACCAAGTTTCTTTTTTGGGTCGAAAGAAGCATTCATAAGTAAACTGTCTTTGATTGATTCGGCAACAAACGATTGAAAATGCCGTTAAAGAAGCGTCTCCATTTTTTCCCTTTCTAGGCATGCAAAGGAGTCCAAACTTATATGTACAACAAAACCTTGCTCCGTCTTTGTAAACATTTTACTTGCTGGGTTTATATGTAAACTTGAATCAACTTTCCGAAACTCCCCTTCCCATCACAGAACCAGCAAAACCTCAAAATTGAAAACGTTTTGATCACCATTTAATGGTGAATCCACAAAAAAGTAGGGAGCACAAAATAAGAAACACTGCATATTTAAATGCGCCACAAACAACCCTTTAATTCCGAACAGAAAAGTACAACATTGTTTATTTTGTTTGTTTCGAAATGTAATTGTTTCTAGATGCGATTGACGGTGCACATAGAAAGTGTCCAGTTTGAGAGATTTTGTGATTTCGGCCATAAAATGAAAACTGAGTTCCCAATATATCACATGTGATTGGTTTCCCTGTCAATTGGTGAAAATGATTAGATAGCGTATATCAATGCAGGTTTTCAAAGTTTCGCTTATATTTACTTTAGTCAACAAAACCTTAGTGTCGTAGATCTAATTGAGGGCAGATCGAAGCAATTGACCCCGCTGGGGAAGTGCTCAGCTCAGAGTTGGGGAAAGGCTACGTTTCAATTAAACTCGAGGATAGTTATTGATCAGATTGAATATTATTTCACAAGAAGGAGAATTGATTTAGAATATAAAACTATCAACAATGGTTTACTTAGCCTCGCGCAATTTAAAAGAAGCAATCAATTTGTAAATAACATGATCAAACGTTTTCTTTTTTTACTTCTCAAGGATCAACGGAAGGGATACCCTTGTAATCGCAATTGTTGTTTGTTAATCTTCCCTCTTCGATTCTAGATTAACACAATCGTCTATTGCATTGTTCATAGCTGTTGTCCCACTATGATAGTTATTGTGCATTAATTCCGACACATAAAGACAAAAATATAAACACGAAGTCCTATAAAATAAAACGTTTGCTATTGTTTGTTTTGTTTACCGTCTTCACAAATTCCGGTATTCCATGTCCCTCACATTCTTTATTCGTTATTGTGTTATGTCCTTGACATCATTATACTCGGTTGTTTTCCACTCTTGTTGTCCCATCAGCACGTAAAATATTTCAGGGGGCTTTTTTTAATAATATAACTTTTCTTTCTTTTTTTCACATGCGTATTTTGTTTACTCAACGCCAGCGAAAGAAAATTTAGAGGGAGAAGACAAAATAATGCAAAAAAAAACAGCAACTAAAAGACCCTCTTTTTCTTGAATTTCTCGTAAAACAAGAGCATGTGGTTATTTTAAGCTTTTTAAAGGTCAAAAGATCTCAACCGCGATGAGGCTATGGCTCCCAACCATAACACATATCAAAACTTTCGCATACTCTAACTAAGAACATCTAACAAAATACGCCAGAAACAGCATATTCTATTGATCAATTGATGAAGCAATAAGCAATAGATGAAATAACTTATTATGAAACAGTACAACTGTATGACAGAAACCTTCTTTAAGACCCTAGCATGATGCAATGTGGTTTTCCTGGATATTTTTTTATTTTTAGTAGCTATAAATTGTGTATTTTCATTGGGCGCTTAAAATCAGTTCATTTTTTATTCTCATTTGTGTATCTTTGCAATTTTTCCTCTTCATGCATTAAATCCTTTCCATAAGCGTTATTTATTTTTTTTATTTTTCTTTCTTTAGTAATATCTAAAGCTATGCAGCTTCTGTACTTTCTCTCTGACTAAATTACAGTATCGTTCACTTGCTTTAACGATCATGTAAAATGAGAACGAAATAAAATAGAAAAAAAAAGGAAAGAAAAATAAAAAAATAAAAAAAAAAAAAGTACAACAAATAAAAAAAAAAATACAATAAAATATCTGTTAACAGCTATTTCCGACAACACAAAAGCTATAACAAAAATTTTACAACTCTATTGTTTATCTTCACTTCATATGATTGATGTTATAGCTACAGTGTGCAGTACACTCATGAATACAAACTGCAAAACAAGTTAGACGAGAGAAACCTAAGGCTAGCATATAGCCAAAAAAAGGGCAGGGCTACAGGATGAAAGTACGCAATCGTGAACGGTCTAAACTGACTAACAAAAAACGTCTCATTTATTAAGTAGTTCCACCAAGAAGTAAAGTATTTCATATATAAGCAAATTGACTCAAAATTAACTCAGTGATGGCGGTGTTTAAACTTTTCCTTTCCCTCGTGTAGGTTTTATGTACTCCCATTCTCTTTTTGTAAAGCAACGAACATGCTAAAAAGACACTAGGACCGTCTGTCAGGATAATTTGTGGTCCCAAAATAATCTTGTCCTTGCCCTGGGAGGTTATGATTTTGATCTTGTGTCTGGCTTTGACTTTGTACATCTTGAGGTTGCAGTGAATGTGTAGAAGATCCTTGGAAAGGATGGCTGTGAATAGGATGTTGCAGTTGAACACCATATGGAATTTGTTGATGCAGCATTATTTGAGCATTATTGTTGTACAACAGATTTGGTGTAAAAGACAGCAGCATGTACGGGCCAGGAAGTTGTGACGGAGGGGGAAATTGGGCATTCACATTAACATTCCCGCTGGTACTATAAGTATGGTTACTGTATTGTGGATATGGTGTATAGTGCTGTGTGGCATATGACTGCAATGATGAACCTGGTTGCGATGCAAGACTGCTGCCAGATTGATGGCTCGTACTCATGTTTTGCAATTGCGGGAGTGAAGGTGGGGAAGCTGGTTGATCTTGACTTTTATTGCCATATTGTCTCTTTTTCATCCGGCACTCACCACAAACTTTAAATCTTCCCTGGTCCTGGGGGTCCAATGCCCTCGTGCAACGATTACAATACCCCATCTGTTCTAAATTGTGTCTTCTCAATTTATCTTTCCCTCTACACTTTTGACAAACACGGAAAGTGCTTGATTTAGGGGAGTGCTTACCATACTCATCAACGCTTGACGATTCATTCATCATCAACAGATCATCAGATACCTGGTCGTCCTCCAAAAAACCTGAACAATGAATACACTTACCTTGTGATGCACGACCAGCTTTTCTTGTTCGTAAGTTCAGGCGGCAATTAGCACACAACACGTACTTTTGTTCATTGAATGGGATCTCGATCCCACAACGACGACAAACACCTTTTCTATCCTTTGTTTTCATCTGCCATCTTCTTGATCTTTGTCGTTGAAGTTCCCGACAATGATGACACAATTTGAATAGTTTTGTTTGACCTGTGACTTGTTTTGAACTGTTGTTGTTACTACTATCACCATCTTTAGGTGGAACTGTGATCACTTGAACAAACTCCTTTTTGCATCTAGTGCATTGGGATACCACTGATTTTTGATTTTCATTGAGTGGACCGTTATCAAATGGTGTAGTAGAGGATGTTGTTGTTGTGGTAGTTGAGCCTCTGCTGGGAACCAATTGCGATTGCATTGAGCTTTGAATATGTGTGTAGGATGCTCCCGTGTTGAATGATGGGGCGCCAGACTTTGATCCAAGCTCATTTGCTTCGGTTGTCCCAATATTATGTTGTTGAGTCTCGTGCATAGCAGAGGCAGAAGACCCCGAACCTCTGTCATAATTGTAGCTCAATAAGTTGCCATGTGCATCTTCAAACTTTGAATCCAGCAAGTGACGACTTCTCAGTTGTGGAGCGCCAGCTTGGTTAAGTTGGATGAAGTGCGGTGTTTGTGTAGCTGCGTATGGACTTTGAATGGGCAACTGCTGATAAGAATTTACAACATAATTGGGAGTTTGCAAAGGCGCCAACAGCGGTTGTGTTTGAGAAATGGGGATAGAAAACAGTCCTGGTTGTGAAAATGGTTGTTGACGTGGTTGCAAATACTGAGAAGTGGGGTACGGTTGTGGTTGCGAAAACTGTTGATGAAGTAAAGGGTTCATTTGCATTTGCGGTTGATATCTACCAAACTCTCCATTATGAATAGACATAGTTTGATGGGGCTGTTGTTGTTGATGGTGGTGGTGTTCTGTTGTGTATTCCTGTTTCTCGTTTTGTTGATTTTGTGGTTGTTGCAGTTGTGGTGGTGATTGATCGTTGTTGGTGGTTTCTGTTAATCCCTGCTTATTGCGCTCTACTTCCTTATTTTCATCAGAATGCAAGTTAGACTCCGTATACGGGGGGTGGTCCATAGCAAAATATTTCAATTGCGGAGCAAAATTTTGAGTTGCAGTCGTCAATGTGAATGGTGGCTTTTCTGAGGGGAGGGAAATTCGACTGGGAAATAAAAATAAATAGGTTAAAATAAAGGCTTTAGAACTAGCAGACTGAACAGACTACTTTTTCCACTTCGTGTTATGGTTAATCTTTGGTAAGACTTGTAAGACAATTGAATTTGTTGATTTATTTTGTAGAATTGAAGCGCTAGTATCAATTATAAATGGTGAATAAGACTAACAACTAATGAATTGATATATTTATGGATACTCAATTTGAGTCAAATGAATTTCGTAGCTAGAAATGAATTTAGTGAGTTTTGGAGGACTAATTGTAGGTATTTTATATAAAACCTTCCTGTGTGTTTATTAATTTTTTAGACCCATAGTAGGAAGAACTAAATTTAAAATAAAAAAATAAACCTTAAAAAAAAAAAAGATTACTTCAATGGTTTTGTGATACAAAAAAAATAAAAATAAAAACGACAAACAGCACAATAGGGTTTTTTGAAAAAATATGCAGAGCCACTTATTCTTGGAAACTTGAGCATTCCATTTTTGAGTTCTTTTTCTCTCAGAGATCAAACAATAAGCAAATGATTGTCTAGCTTTGTGACTCTTCGAGACTTCAACGCAACAGCTTGTATTGCAAACAATGGACGAGCAACAAGAGTTGGTCTGTTGCACGAAAGCGTATCATGAAAAGGTCCTTGAGGGGGTCAGTGTGTGGGCGCTAGCACGACCGTCTAAAGACTAACCCTATCAGTTACGATTCTAAGCGTTTTGTGTCTACAAACAATACCAAAGAGTGGCCTTGTGTCGGCAATGTTTGCGGTAATAAAACTCGACATGCACTCATCAACGGGGTTTAAAATACATGACTAAAATAATTCTTGTCTCATATCTTGCTTAGTAAAAAGCATAAACAAAGAGATACAAAACTAAAGGGTTGGGTTACTTAACGAGAAATAACCACGTTAAATACTATGCTGCTTCCGTTAAGGTGGCTTCCAGAAACCAAGGTTGATTGCACTGACCCATTCAACAACAAACAAACAATGCATTATGATGCAACGTGGTTAGGTCCTTTCATGTATGGACAAGAGCCAAACTGTTTTGCTGAAAAAAAGCCCTCCTGTAGAAAAAGTATTAAATTGTTCAGTTGTGGTGAAAAGTTGCGTGTGTCAAGCAATGTAGGTGGGGTTCGCTTAATCGAATGGTTGAAATGATGCAGTAGCACTTAAAAGAAAAGAAAAGGGGGGCAGTGTATTTCAAGACAAAATCTAACAGTAAATCTCCTCGTATTTTTTTCAAAATGAAACCAACTCAATCTTCTGTTTTCCTTATGTGCATGTACTGTTTAGTATCGCACAAACTTCTTGGAAAAAAAAAAGAAAGACTTGTGGCGGTTAAGGGCATACTTGAAATGTACTTCGTCTAAAATTAGACCTATTCTAAATGAACAGCTACCATATTTTGTTCATTGCTTCCCCTCACAATAAACTAGCAATTGAGGACAGTAGACGACACACATGATCTTTTTGTGTAATGGTGCGTGACATGCACAGGGGACAATATAATTGGAAAAATTTACTGCATGTCGTTTTCACCATTTTTGTTACTGAAGAATAAATGAGAGTAGGCTTTATGTGTCAATTTCCTTTTCCAGGCGGTTTGTTCTTAAGAACAATTGTGAAGCTTTCTTTCAGACAACTATTGTTTTTTTATCAGGACCGATCAAAAGTCAATATTTGGATACACAAATAGGAATTTTGTGTACAAAAACCCAAATACTCCTTGGTATTATTCTGCATATAGATCCACCACAAACGGTGTGTAAGCTAAGAGCAAAGGCAAAGACAAAAAATGCCTAAAAGGCCGCAGCGACCGGTCGAAAAAGCATTGCGTATTTCTCTTCACTAGAGGAATGAACTCTTTGGGATGGGCGTGGCAAGACGCGCTAGAAAAGCTTATTTTCGATTTTTGTTTTTCTCTTCACATCTGTCACATGCCATCAGTGTTTTGATCTTTTTTTCCAGAGTCATTATGGTTTTGAAGAAAAAGGCTTCTTTTACTACTTGCCCTTCCAAACAGAGTCAATTGCTATGCCGTTTCAGGAGTGGGGAGAGGTAGAGAGCTTGACATCGTGTACAAAATTTGACCCTGGTGCAGTTTAAAACTACGAACAATAGCAATGATAACAATAACTTTCACCACTGGTCGTGTATAAAGTCAAAAGTTTTTTTGGTTATGAAATTTTACAAAGGTTTCTTAAACCGATTAACCATTGCATAGTTTGAGGCCTAGTTGAGGATAGATTCTTCGTTGTTGAATTGTCTGTCGTTGTGTGGTGCTGGGTTTTAGTGGTGGTATGACTTTACATGTTGTGCATTATTTGCTTGGCCGGGGAAAGATGGAAATTTGGCCTTGGTTTGAAGAGTTAGTTTAAGAGAAGCAAGGTTTTTTTTAACCACTGAAGTAACCCCCTCTGAGCCCACTCAGAAGTTTGGGGTCCAGTATTTCGCAGCAAATTGTGTTAGCAATGTTGGTGCATGGGTTCACGTAAAATCTCTGTTTACGCCGGATCAATTAAATTTCACAAGCATTACATCAAAGCGAGAATTATAATTTTTGCAGTTAAACTTCATTGCCGATAACGCACCGAATACTTTTTTTTGATTTAATTTCCTCTCATCGTTAAACTTTCAACGTTCCAGTTTGTCCGAAGACAGTCATGCATTGAATTCCTTTCAATTTGGGACAAAATTCGATCATGAGATCGCTTTACAGGGAAAGTAGAAACAAAGTCGCCGTCTCTGAATTGGGTGTGCATTACACACTGAGCAACCCTTCTTACATAGAGATAATCCGTTTTCGTGGCTGCCGGAAGAACCAAGAGATTTTTTTTAGTGTGTGGGTTCAAGAAAAACACGGCGTTTCAGCATCTAAGGCGTCACGATAAGGACGATCTTCCCAACACAAACCCCCAAGAAATTACCACGTACTGCTGCACTAATTTGAACGTTGGGAATCTCAGATACTTAAGTCTTAATGCAGGTCTAGTGAACAAAAAGACGCCACAGAGTTGAGCTACTGAATTAAAAGTGTTGAGCCATGAACTAACCCTTCCTTCTTTGCGCTCTTGGTGTTCCCCTTTTTCAATGCAACCATGTACCAATGCACTCAAAACGTTGCAATTTACACTCAGTTGTAATAAGGTTGAGCCTCCATTTGTTCCTCTTGTTCCTATTGTTCTCGTGTACCTATGTCATGGGCACACAAAGATTGTACTTTGCACAAATGCAAAAATACTCTTGTAACCGACATTGTGCGACCTCAAGACTCTTCGCAATCTACAACCGGTGAGAGAAAAGAAAAGAAAAAAAGGCTCATAACCATTTAGTGGAGTGTTTGCTCATTCCACACACAATGTACCAAGGGCTATATTGTTGGATATAATTTCATTGTTCTCTTCACGAATGATGGGTTAGAAGTTTCTTGCCAGTGGCCTGATATTTTATTTCTTTTTTCTCTTTCGAAGTTGCCTTTACAGTGACAAACAAAACTTTGCAAAATATAAGATCAGCGAAGCTCATAACCAAAACGAACAATAACTATACAACTTTTTGTTGAGTTTGTTTTTGTTTCACTCTTGCTTTGTCGTGTGTATGTGTGTGTGAACCCCCTCCTCCCCCTCTCATTCAGGCCCCTCACTTTCCCCTCCATTGTGCAAAAAGTGGAGCGAAAGATGGTTTACTAAAGAGTTGTTGGGTAATCAAGTGGGGGGGTTGTTGTTGAGCTTGGCTCGTATTTGTGCGCAATCACAACACTTTTGGTCATTATTTTGCTCGTCCCCACTTTTACGTCAACTAAGCCATAGGTGTGCTATCAAGTACGTCATTGCAGATAAGCCACTTATTAAAAAGCATTGCCCACGACGCAATAAAGTTTTAGCTTGAAGAGTAAATTTAGATATGTAGTTACAAAAGTAGCTGTGTCTAAATAGGAGACTGCGATTCATCATGATTTGACAACCTTACACAAGTAGTTTGTATGGCAGCGTAACACCCTTATTGTTTCTTTTCCGGAAAGTAGCCTTCCATCTATTGCATGCATAGTGCATCAGCACCTCTGGATGCTGTAGAAAATGAGTTAATCATGATATCTCTTGCACAAGAAATAAAGTTTAAACCACAAAGAAAAGGTCGAAATTGAGTTTGCTCAACCTATGGTATCGGAAAAAGGTAAAATGGAATTAGAAAAGGTGGATTTAGACAAGTTTCTACATCAGAGCTCACCTGTTCAAGTTTAGGTACTTTTTTCAACAATAAACAAAAAGTTGTCTTTGTTGAATTCACGAGGTTTTTTTATGTTCTTGTTTCGGACGTTTGTCTATTGTTCAGCTTACATCAACATTAAAATTGCACCGGATTGGTACTTTTTGATGATTCCTCTTCCAAGTCGGCATCGTGTCCTTTTGTACTAGTAGAGAGAGAGAACTCAGTAGATCAACATCGATGTCAGTCATCAATAAGTTTAGAGCACGATGTTTTAGGTTTTTTTGAATGAAATCCAAACTAATTTTGACCATCTCAATAAAAAGTTCGTGCGGCTTTCCACCGTCACTTTCCGAGTTTGTGTGATAAAGGATAAATGCTTTGTGTCATTGTATGTCAAGAATGAGAGTAAAAAAAAAAATCTAACCTGTTGTTGATTGCACACAAATGAAATGCTCTCCCTTTCGAAGCTTTAACTTTTGAATAGCTAATCTAATCCTTTGTCATACATCTATAATAATGGTTTGGTTTCCAGATCTACCACCATTGCTTATCAGCATATCGTCCATATCAGTTTCCTGCATCTGGAACTGTCAACTCAAGTATTTGTTTTTTTTCCTTCCCCAACTTTGTACTCGCTAGCCAATAAAATGTTTCGCAATAACGAGCTACCTATTGTTTATTTCTCTTTGAACAAGTTTGTGTCTCCTTTGCTTTCTGACAATCTTGGTATTACCTAAGATTAGTAATAGCATTAATAAGCAGCTTACATACGTTCCTATTGATATGACTATGTTAGCCAGTAAATTCTTTAAATCCTATAAAGATGAATCAAATTACAATTTTACCCACCATACGTCGAACAATAGGCTAAATACACCACCAGCTGAATTGCGTGTTACCTAACCTCTAACTGCATTGGTAAAGTTCAATTGTCCTTTTGGTTACCCTCTTTCCTCTATAAACATAACCGTATCACTTCTTAAGACACACGCAGATACACTTCACGTAATTTTAGAGCCCCTGCTAGCGTAAGCTTATGGAAGAGGCTGACAGTTTTTGAAAACTACGAAATTGTTGCTTCGAAATTTTGGTTGGTACTCCACGCAATTTGTGTTTGGTTATGTTGGGCGGGTACAATCGGAAATATTATTCTTCTTTTTTTTTTTTTGAAAATTTCCTTACTATTAATACTATTCTAAGTATGGTTTAGGGTGCTTGGACAAGTAATAGAGTTGTCCCCCTTGCATTCGATGCATTAGTTTTGAAACGTCTTGCGTGTATCTCATTTAGTGGATAATATTTTAGTGTAAGTGAGAACAATAATATAGCACAGCTACGGTAATTGAAAAAACCAAGGTTCCTTCTTTTCTGAAGAGAGTGCTCACGTTGAATTGATCGATCTTTTTCAATACTCGGCATGGTGGTTGTAAAGCTTAGTCGAATGCGGAGAATGTGCACGTGCGCAGAACCGTTGCATTTTGCATCACCAGTTTTTCAAGTGATGTTCATGCCAGTCAATAGGTAATGGCTAGTGTTTTGGCATTCACCATTTCTGAATTCAGAAATGGTAAGGTAACATCGGTTGAGCTTGGTGAGTTGGAATAGTAAAACTATGGAAGTTGTAGGCAGTTTACCCGAATGGATACTACAATATGGGTGCATTTGCTTAAACCTTGAAAGCCAAAATTTGAACTCCGCATTCATTGTCCAGATCTCTATTTTAGGGAACAAACAGAGATGAGATTCCACGTGCCACTAAAAGCGACCATTCAAAATTCCTGTCGGGGAAAAAGTCGTCTGTAGTATCTCGTACTTTGTTCAAGAGCATATATTTGTCTAGGGTTGTTGACGAGTGTGTACGGTTGCCGTCTCTGATTCTAGTTTAAATTACGCGTTGCCAATAGAAAGGCAGCTCAAAAAATGGCCTATTCTCAGCTCAACTGATTATGCCAGAGCACACGACAGAACAATACAATACCCTCCGAACCGAAATAGACTAAATTTCTTTCCTCTAGGAGTTACATATATACAAGCCCAATCTTCTTATTGTTAATTGCTTACCCTTTGTTCCAAAGTTACAGCCTTTACTAGCACTCACTCCACACAAAGTATTGATATACCACTAAGGTCACTCGTTCCCAATGGCTGAATCCGCCCCTCCATTCCCTCCCCATTCCGTTCGCTGGATTGTGCAAAATACTCGCCCCGTTGTCTAAATTTCCCCATCGTGAGAAGCATCAAGCAGCAGCTGGTTCCCACTTCCTCAATCCTCAAAAGTAACTCCATTCATCTACTCAGCAAACACTATTTCAAAACTTCTTTTGAAATACGGCTTTTACAACTTCACCAGCACGATAAGCCCCCAATGCCAAAAGTATAAATCCTGCACTTCTGACCGACCGCTGCCACCAAAGGGGGTTCTTCACAAGATCTATTTTCCCTGTAACTGGATCCTTGAATTGATTTGGTGAACGAAGCACAAATCCGAGACCTAATCCAACTGCTGCTTGGATGGCGGTACATGGTAAACAATATATATATTCTTTCTCGGGTATATCTCGTGGTGGGGGTGGGTTAAACACTGATAGGATATTGGACATGGTTTGACGATGATGATTGATGATAAAAAGGGTTCTCAGAGTCCGGAGATGATTCCTGGGGCAAAGAAAGATTGTGTCCTCAAGAAAGTCAGGCGCGAAGTTTGAAGTTTCATAATTTCTTCGCATGACTTCTGGAAAATCAAGGAATCATACAATCATCATTGCTTTACGCCATAGATTGCCGTTCTTCAAAGATGATCAGTCGAATAAGCATGTCACGATATGCTGCCAATCGAGTTAGGTGCATTCATCGTTGCTCCAGAACGGCATCCTCGAACTCGAAACGGTGCTACTCGCAGTACAACTATAACCAAACTTATGCCAGTTACAATCCGTCTCCAAAAACATCATTGTTTAGAAAATTCCTTTATGCAACCCTTGGCATTACTATGATCACAGGGTACGCCTACTATATGTGGTGGCCAAAACATACCTTCCCCAGTTCAGTGGCCAAGATTTTGCGAAAGGGACTTTGGGCTGAAAGTGATCGTGGTGAACATGATTATCAACTTGCATTGAAATATTATCTTGAAGCATTGGAACATTGCAAAGAAATTGGTATGGATCCATTGTGTGATGAATATACCGGTGTGCAATTAAAAATCGGGGAAATGTTCGAACGATTGGGGATGATGAGTGATGCAGCATTTGTCTATAATGAGATTGCTACATTGTATTTGAGTGTATTGACGGCAAAACCAATTGATTCAAAAGATTCTATAAGACTCATAAGCAGAGATTTGAGACGGCATTTGATTCAAAAGGATTTGAGGATTGCTATTAAGTTGGTTGAATTGAACAAGAATAATCCTGCTTTATGTAAGGCAATCTTGGTTACTCATTTGATTATTGCTCAAGATGAAGTCAACAAATTGGGAGGCTCAGCAGGAAAGTTGAACTTGGTCACCAAGCTCAATCCTGATGAGAAGGATAAACAAGAACCAAATAAATTTACAGCAACCTTGGACAATGACTCAATTTTAATCAATGATGAATCAGGAAAGGAAATTGCCAGTATCAAAAAAACACCAGAGGTTTGGGAACCATTTACTGATGAATTTTTCAACGCTATGGATTTACTTAGTGCCATTTGCATATCAACTGGAGATTTGGCAATGGCTTCAAAAGTAAAGATTGCCATGACTGAGTCCATGCTCTTGGCTGATGTTGAACATGGAAAGATGCTCTTGTCACAATGTAATTTGGGCTCGTTATTGTATATGCAAGCAGAGGAGTTGGAAGCGCAAGAGATTGCGATGAAGAAGAAATTTGCAGAGCTTGCTAATATCGATTACTCCAAATTATCAAACGATGTCGAGTTGAAGCAAGATAAATCAACACAAGAGATATTAAAGGCAAAAGTGCCTTCTCATGACCAAGAACTTTTTGCCAAAGTATCACAATCACGACAAATTTGTATTCAATTAGCAATCAAGTCTTATGAGTCGGTTTTGCAATTTGCCAAATCAATCCCTCAGGAAATTACGAAGCAACACAATGAAATTAATGAAACTGTAGCATTGGCCACTTATGGATTGGGGGTGGTAAACTTGCACTTGTCAAACTATGACAAAGCTGAGCGGTTGTTACGTGAATCTCGAGTTAGATCAAGATCGTGTGATTACGAGTATTTGATACCTGAAATTGAACGTGAATTAAAGAAATTATTTGAAGAGAGGAAATTGACTCAACTGGGGAAACCAGTGGAGAAGACGCTGCTGAAGGCCATTGAAATGGATATTCATTTACAATAAGGTAGATGGGGCAGGAAATATAGATATTTTAATGGACGATGAAAGATACAAATATCCAGTAAATCTGGGTGTTTAAATAAGTTTAAATATTGGCCTTTTATACAAGTTATACCTACTTTGTATAATGTTCGAATAAATAGCTTTACTCTGTTTGTACTAATCTATACTGTATCTGTTTGTAATAATCTACTTTCTTCATCAGTGGTCCTCTTCTTTTGCTTCTTCTTTTGTGACCGAGTAAACCACTCAACGAAAAAGAATGGTCGCGATTGTTCCTTAACTTTAAACATTAAAATATCCTCAAATGCAGGTGGTTCGATTTCTTGAATAATAGCATCTGCAGCATAGGCTGATCCATCGATAGATGCCGTTGAAGTACCATCTGATTTAACTGGTTTGATTGAAGATGAAGGTCCACCTGAAGAAAGGTGAGCCGGACTGCTAGCTCCGGCAATTATATTATCATCCAATTCCGGACGCATGGTTGCTGGATTTCTAGCCATTGAAGCTGCTGTTTGTACTGAATCTGTGACAAACTCGGCATTGGATAATCTTCGCTCTTGAGTTGAGCCATAGTTGGAGCTTGAATGGATACTAATGCCACTGCTACTACCGCCGCCATTGCCATTAGTGCCTGCTGCATGATAGGAAAATATGGATGATTTATCATCAAAGACCGATCCCATGTCTTCCAAAGTCAAACCTTTAGTTTCAGGAAACAAATACCACACAGCAAAGAATGACAACATACAAAATGAGGCAGGAATCAAGTATGTTTTCCATTTGATTTGGTCCAACAAGATTGGTGATACTAATCCAACCACAAAATTTGAAAGCCAATTGGTGGCGGTTGCAATAGCGGCACCCTTGGATCTGACTGGAAGTGGCAAAATCTCTGAGGGTAAGAGCCACCCAATACCACCCCACGAGTAGCCAAATGCCGCATTAGCGATGATGATACATGTAACAACAACGGCTGCAGTGTAATCATTATTCAAGTACAAAGAGTAGCCCGCCAAGTAGAGGGGAACACCCATCAACAATGCTCCCAGCATCAACAATGGTTTTCTGCCCCATGAATCAACCAAGTACCACGGTGGAATTGTGCTTAAAATGTAAATGATGGAATTGATTCCTGTCATGAAAATGGCTTTTCTACCAACCCAACCAGCACTTTCAAAAATCATTGGCGCGTAGTAGGAAATCAAATTGATACCATTTAATTGACTAAATAATAATCCAAAACAAGCAACTGATAATCTCTTGGCGTACCGTTTGAACAAGTATTGATATGATCTTTCCCCGCCTTCAATTCTATCAATCAATACACTTTCTTTGATGTTTCTGTACTCGTTTCTGGCGTGTTCATCTTCAACATCACCATCAGCATACATATCAGCAATAACAATCATGCCTTCCAAATCATGGTCGTGATTCAATAACCAACGTGGTGTTTCCACTATAACAAAAGTTCCTAACCAAAGCAATACACCCATGGAAAATTGCACAAAGAGGGGACTTCTCCAACTGGCATCACTTTCCAAAAATGAAAAACCATAATCAACCCATATACTAGCACCGTATCCAATAATGTTTCCAGTAAACTCGGCACAAGCATAGAACCCCCTATCGGTTGGAGGACTAATCTCTGATTGGTAACAGGGAACAATCGTAGTGAGAAATCCAATGGCAACACCACCTATCAATCTGCCACCGCTCAAGATCCAAATATCGGGAGATAAGAATTGAATTAAAGCACCAACAACAAATATAAAAGATCCATACCGGATGGTTTTCTTTCTCCCCACCAAGTCACCTACTCTTCCTGCCACAAACGAAGAAAATAAAGCACCAATCTCAAGAATTGCAATCATAATACCAATTTCCGCTGGAGTTGGATTGTCATAGTAAAGTTTAAAGTAATTATTGGTAATCAACGATGACATTAACCCTTGTTCAAATCCAAACAAAAACACCCCAAGGGAAACAAATACAGATGTGAAGATCAACAATGCTTTTCCAACAAGAAAAGATTCTTTGATTTGGATATGTTCATGAGGTTGCATCTTATCTGAGGGATCTATTAATTGGTTTTAACAGAAATGAATGTTAGTAATGGTGAGTCTCTTTATATTGTCGTCATTAAGTACTGATCAGTACAGTTATGTGGTCTATTAGTGTGAATTGAGTTGTCAGCTCAAATTTTGTCAAATCAGTATCGATTGATAATATTTGGGAGAAAGAAAATAGAAAGATTCTATTTTGGAAATAATTCGGCATACTTTCAGCAAGTTTTTGGTATCATTTACACGACTTTATCTAAATCTTATATAAACAAACATTCAAGCATGCAAACAACAATAGACAATAAAGAATTGTCGTTTTCTTGGTTTAGTGGCATAATCACTCATCATCTATGAGGGGTAACTGGCCCAATTCTAGAAACTAACTACTGCAATGCCGATTGTTTTGTAAACAAAGTAGAAGCCAAAAATTGGATGACAAACCTATATGTCTGATGGTCAAGCCACTCTGGGTATGGATTATACGAGACTCGGCAATTTCGGAGTAGCTTTGGTCACGGTACCATTCAGTCCCAGGTGTTTCTTCGTATTGCGGTCCCCAGTGTGTTCAGATTTGAACAGAATACAGGGCCAAACAACCCCTATTGGGATAGGACGGTTCCACGTACGGGTTTTGAGTTGGAAAGGGTCCACTTCAACTTCTTTTCTAACCTTATTTTGTTGCATCACCAAAAGTAACATGCGGCTTGTGTAGAATATTCTTTTCCAAAAAAAAGTTCAGCACGTGCCAAAGAAAAGATTTCTTTTTTAGTAGCGGTGTACCTACTTTATTGTGCATATTAATAATGATCTTGCATTCACTATATTTGGACTGATGATGTGGTGACCTTTTGTTCCCCGCTCCTATTCTTTACAATCACGTCGATGAGATTTGAATCACACCTGAACGCTGAAACATTCTGTACTGTGCAAGAAAGAACCAAATGTGGATATATTGTAAACAAGAGTTCTTTCTTCTTTTGGGTAGAAAAGGAGGGGAATGGTTTTGTTTGGCCGCCCCCACCCACGTTGTGCTTGCGACTCCGAGAACGAAGCAGTTCAAAGGAAAAAAAAAAAAAAAAAAAAAGGAAACAAAAGATAAAAAAAAACTCATCTACTCTCTAATTCTAACCCCCAAGCTCTACAAGAAATGTATAAATACGCCCAAAATTCTCCGGTTGTGGTGCTGGAACCCGTTTTAAAACACATACACAAACTAGAGGTTTCGGTTGATCCTGAGCCAAAAAGACTCAAATTGCAACAACAACAGCACCAACAACAACAACCTCTTCATCATCAGCTGCAACTGCAACAACCAATTACAATGTCAGCTCTGTCAGCTCAGCAACAACAACAGGGTAAACAAAGTTGCTCTTCAACCACATTGCATCACGACTCATTGAAGGGTACATTCACCCCCCTAACAACTACAAACTCTTATGATGGCTTGATTCAAAAACCAAGCACTGTATCTATGATTAATGAACAGCATTTTACCACTGGCCAACAACTGCTGGGTCATATGTATTCACAACTGCAACTGATTACAGTTAGTAGCAGCTTTGATTGTCCTTGTGGTCACTTGCATGGACCTGGACAAGGTCATCATGAAGACATTGGTGCTATTGGTTTTGCTCACTTTCCTTTGCTCAGAGGACCAGATTAGACAGAATAATGCTTAGGGAGGAAAAGTTTAATAATTGGAAATGTTTTTCAAGTTGTTCTAATTTTGGATAAAGGGAAATTTTGTCATAATGGATGGTTATTGTATAGGAAATTTTATAAACGGTAAATGTAATGGCTAGATTTTGAATATGTATTTTTTGGGAGGCTTCTAAAAATTATTATGTACTGGTAAGCTAAAGTAGCTTGAAGTTATACCATACTTGGTACCCTAAATCAGTCTTCTCGTATCCAGTGATTGAAACGGCACAATTCATCAACCCCTCGGAGTTTCTATGCATTGGTTACACAAAACAATATACTTGCAGTTCGTTTTGTTGGGTAAACACCCTCCCACTCCAACTTTAAGAACAATAAGGCTGCAACAGTCTTACAATAAATACTTGCTGTGGGTTACTTTTATCAAAGAACAAAATTGTTAAAGGAGAAAGGCAGAGGCGAACAAATTAAAGTATCACGCTTTTGTGAATAATATACGACAGGTGAATAGTACTAGATTCTGGCAATGGTTTAAAAGAGCTCAACTGGTTGCTCTTGCTGCTTTCACTACAATTAATGTCAAGCTCATTAGCACGTCCAAACTTATCTTTCTGACATCGGTTTTGAACTTCAACTTTTTGCGGGCCCCTGAAATGAATGGCATGGAACTTGCAGTTTGGCCTTGTCATTTATCCAAACTTTTTTGCTAGCCAGGTGTAGTATAGCACTATACTAAAGTACACTCATTTGGCCAATGTTGAGGTTTGTAGTCCTATCACGTGTCATATTTCCATACCCAAGTACACGCTCACATTGTAGTCATTACGTAATCAAACTCTTTTAAATTAATCCCAATTAGGAAATCAAATTGCATTTGAATTGTATACGCGTCTCACCAAATTATCAAGTAGTGAATTTTTTTTTTCTTTATCATCCACAGGTTATTCATATTTCCTTTCTTTATTCACGCTTGTTTTTCTTCTCCGTCACTAATCTACAGTCATGTCCAGTCCACCGTACAATAGCAGAACTTCACGTAGTTCAAGAAAGAGACAAAATGAACATCACGATGATGATGACGATGAAATTGTTCAAAGAGGAGGAGGAGTACCACATTCATACAATCATAGATCATCTCCGGTACATCAACCTTCATCCCCATTAGCTTCTTCACCACAGCATCATCAACAACAACAATTACCCTCATCCCCAGCTATCCCTTTTGATGCAGGTTTAGATGATGACGAAGATGAAGAAATTCGAAATGATATTGCTGACTTGAATCCCTCAGATGAAGAAGATGGTGATGATTTGATGGACAATTTGGAAAATGATTACCGAGCCAATCCAGAACAAGACCAATACGATTTAGGTGATGGAAATATTGATGATACACAAGAATATGATGAGATGGATGCGGCAACAAGAAGAAGAATTGATGAACAATTAAATCGAAGAGATGCTATTCTCAATAATGCCAATCGTTCAAGGGGTGGTGCATTTTTAGATGATGAAGAGGATGAAGATTTAGATGGAGTTGACCAGTATGGTTTGCCTATTCAAAGAAGAAGAAGAAGACAACACCAACAACAACATGATGAAGATCACGATGATATGATGGATGATATTGAGATTGATCCATTTAGTGAGGAATTGTCATTGGAGAGTTTAACCGACGTAAAAGCTCCTAGTATTACCGAATGGATCTTGCAACCAGCAGTTAGCAGGTCAATTGCACGTGAATTGAAATCGTTCTTCTTAGAATATACCGATGCTAATGGAGAATCCGTGTATGGTAATAAAATGAGAACATTGGGTGAAGTCAATGCAGAATCATTGGAGGTAAGTTACAAGGATTTAGCCGACTCTAAAGCTATATTGGCTATTTTCTTAGCCACGAGTCCTGAGGAAATGTTAAAGATATTTGATATTGTTGCTATGGAAGCAGTTGAGTTGCATTATCCAAACTACTCCCAAATTCATCAAGAAGTTCATGTTAGAATCATTGAGTATCCCACATTGTTGAATTTGCGTGATTTGAGAGAAAACAATTTGAATCAATTGGTTAAAGTGTCTGGTGTGGTTACAAGAAGAACTGGAATCTTCCCACAATTGAAATATGTTAAGTTTGATTGCCTCAAATGTGGAGTCGTTTTAGGTCCCTTCATTCAAGATTCAAATAGTGAAATGAAGATTTCATTCTGTACCAATTGTCAAAGCAAAGGCCCATTCAAGATGAACTCGGAAAAGACCTTGTACAGAAACTATCAAAGAGTAACATTACAAGAAGCACCAGGTACAGTACCAGCAGGTAGGTTGCCGAGACACAGAGAAGTGATCTTGTTATCTGATTTAGTTGATGTTGCCAAACCAGGAGAAGAGATTGAAGTTACAGGCATTTACAAAAATAATTACGATGGTAATTTGAATGCCAAAAATGGGTTCCCAGTGTTTGCCACAATCATTGAAGCTAATTCTATTAGAAGAAAAGAAAGTAGTGCATTTATGGGTGGTAACAATTTGGTTAATATTTGGACTGAAGAAGAAGAACGTGAATTCCGGAAATTATCTCGTGAACGTGGGTTGATTGACAAGATTATCTCATCCATGGCACCATCAATTTATGGCCATAAGGACATAAAGACTGCTATAGCTTGCTCATTATTTGGTGGTGTTGCCAAAAATGTCAATGGTAAGTTATCCATCAGAGGTGATATCAACGTCTTGTTACTAGGGGATCCTGGTACCGCCAAGTCACAAATATTGAAATATGTTGAAAAGACGGCTAGTCGTGCGGTGTTTGCCACTGGTCAAGGTGCATCAGCAGTTGGGTTGACTGCTTCGGTTAGAAAAGATCCCATTACACGCGAATGGACGTTGGAAGGTGGTGCATTGGTGCTTGCTGATAAAGGTACGTGTATGATTGATGAATTTGATAAGATGAATGATCAAGATCGTACATCGATTCATGAAGCTATGGAGCAACAAAGTATTTCGGTTTCAAAAGCTGGTATTGTCACTACTTTGCAAGCACGATGTGCCATTATTGCTGCTGCTAACCCTAATGGTGGTAGATACAACTCTACTTTACCCTTGTCACAAAATGTTAATTTAACCGAGCCAATTTTGTCCCGTTTTGATATCTTGTGTGTTGTTCGTGATTTGGTCAATCCTGAATCAGATGAAAGGTTGGCTAGTTTTGTAATCGACTCCCACATGAGATCCCATCCAGCCAATGCTGATGGTGTTATCAATAATGACGATGAAGAAGATATCATTGAATCCAATGCATCAGCTAAAACCAAAGATGAGAGATTGGCTGAATTGAAACAACAAAAAGAACAAGAAATTTCACCTATCCCGCAAGATTTATTGATCAAGTATATCCAATATGCTCGAGTTAAAGTACAGCCGAAATTACATCAAATGGATATGGATAAAGTTGCCAAGGTGTATGCTGATTTGAGAAAAGAAAGTATATCAACTGGATCCTTCCCTATAACTGTCCGTCATTTGGAGAGTATTTTGAGAATTGCTGAATCATTTGCCAAAATGAGATTGAGTGATTTTGTTAGTCAAAATGATTTGAATAGAGCTATTAAAGTGAGTATTGATAGTTTTGTTGGTGCTCAAAAAGTTACAGTTAAGAAACAATTACAAGCCAAATTTCAAAAATATACTTTGCCTACTAGAGCTAGGTGATGGGGTGGTTTGTGGTAATTGCCTATGGGTGGTGTTTGTTTCTTTATCTTTCTGTTCAGTTCATAGAATTAGTGTATTTAAATTTAAATTGTGTCCCAGTAAATGAGAGTCGTAGATGGAGAGGAGGAACACTTATCACCAAAATGTGCGTCATCACAATACACTGGATGCGAACCAAAGAAGGAAAAAAAAAAAAATCAATCACGTCTCTGTGAAACGCAAGGCGACATTAACTCAACGCGTTCAAAAGGCGATGTTGGATTTAGACCAGTATGTTGACTTCAGTAAATCGCACACTGTCCATTAATCTGAATACTACTAACTTTCCCTTTTTCCCCTTTTTAGGACTATAGAGCACATAAAGCAATGCAAACTAATACCAGAGTCAGACGTTGAAGAAATTTGCACACAATTAATTGATATTCTAATAGAAGAATCAAATATTCAACACCTAAACACGCCTGTCACTATATGTGGTGATATCCATGGACAACTACATGACTTGATTACGATATTTACCATTGGTGGCGATTTACCACAAACTCAATATGTATTTCTTGGTGATTTTGTTGATCGCGGATTCAACTCTTTGGAGACATTGTTGTTACTCATGACCTACAAGTTGAAGTTTCCTTCCAAGATTACGCTAATACGAGGCAACCATGAATCGCGACAGATAACTACGGTGTATGGATTCTATGACGAGTGCTTGAGAAAATACGGCTCAGTCAATGTGTGGAGGTATTGTTGTGAAGTTTTTGATTATCTAAGTCTAGGCGCAATAATCAACGGACAGAGTGGGGATAGCAAGGGTAGTGGTGATGATGGCGGGGGTGTGTTTTGTGTACATGGTGGCCTTAGCCCCGAGATTGACTCTATTGATCAAATACGAATCCTAGATCGAAAGCAAGAAGTGCCCCACGAAGGAGGCATGTGTGACCTACTATGGAGTGATCCAGAAGAAGATGTTAAAGGATGGAGTATATCGCCACGTGGAGCTGGGTTCCTTTTCGGTGAATCTGAAGTAGACAAGTTTCTACATTTAAACAACGTCGGCTTGATTGCCCGTGCTCATCAATTGGTAATGGAGGGTTATAGAGAAATGTTTGATCTGAAGTTGGTTACGGTGTGGTCAGCTCCCAATTATTGTTATCGGTGTGGCAATGTTGCCAGTGTCTTGAAGATTGATGATGGTTTAAATAGGGAGTATAAGGTGTTTGAAGCTGTTGATTATGATGAAGATGACGGCGATGGACAAGAAGGTGGGAGGAGCAAGTTCGGCGCCGGTGCATTGAACAAGAAGCCAGTGGTTGAGTATTTCTTGTAGAGAGTGTGTAGAATATAGATTGTATTACATTGTATTACATTGTACTATTAGTAAATCTTTTGTAATGAGATTGTCGTGATAGAGATTGATGATGGGAGTTGGCTAGATAATCAGCTCGAAATATGGGGCTTGTTGACACCAAATTTGAAACCAGGAGGTTGAAGTTTACATTCCGAAACTGAACATAAAGCAATGTTTTCTAATTCTGAATAAGGTAAACTTGTTTCCTCATTGGGAAGTAACCGAGAAAATGATATCCCTCTTGTTCGTGGCTAGGGCATTACGGAACAATAGGGGAAAAAGCCATTGTTTGTGTGTTGGACTAATACGATGGTTATCTGTCAAAAGTATAGACTAAACACAATCTACTGTAAACTTTGACATGAATATTTCATTGTGTCCTATTTTTGACTCAAAACGCGTGTTCAATAAAAGAAAGACACGAAATGTTTTATTTTTTCGCGACTTTGTTGAATGAGACACAAAACCCGTCAAAAAGGGTTTTGCTCGGTACTTGTTATATCCGGCAAGGTTCAGCAGCACCAAGTAGTAAAAAAATCACCAACACTACTCCTTGGGCTGACAATTTCATAATTGAATGTGGGTACATGTGGTCAATCTATTGACAGTTTTGGAATATAGGTCTTGCGTGTTCTTAGACCAAACATGTGTAGAGATCTGCCGAATGATGATGCCAAAAAGCATTCCGGGGATCAACATGAATGCGCTAGATGCGTACCACACAACATGGTCCATGTATTAGTCCAAATACCTTTCTAAAACTTCATGCATGAGGGAATAAAGTACTTCGCCTATTGCTGCATTTCAACTTCTGATGTGTACGCGCTTCATTCATGTTAACCCCACAAAAGTGAGACTTGTCCGACTTTCGTGAACGGCAAGTTCCTGTTGTGTTTCTAAATTACAACTTTGAGGAGCTTTAAAACATACTGTGCAATTGCTTCATTCCTGGATTTGTTACACTTCAGACAAGGCTTACTAGTTTGATGACGATTACGCTTAGAGGGAAGTTGACACTATACTTGCCTTCCATTTCAAACAAGCAGCCTGTGAAGGTAGTGGAGGGGCAAGAGATGTACAATTGTATTTAGCATAAGCTTTTCACTCAAGGTTTTCTAAACATTGTTCCCGAATCCGTGTCAAAAGCTTCACTGTGAGTGCCGTTGAAACAAACCTCTTATAGATCGCTTAATGTTTCCAAAGACCTTCCACTTCACCTCTATATCTATTGTTTCTCCTAATGTGTCTTGAAAAAATCCTTTGTTTGGGTCAAGCTCGGTGGATTCGGATCGAGCGGCGGGTTTATGCATCTACGATATTTCCGGCAAAATTCTCATTCGTTTTGTTGCGCAACAGTGCAGGACAATAGAAAGACAAACAAAAATTTCGTTGACGAAGTGTGCACTTATTCACAAAAGGCATCACCGTAAATGTTCACCTTCCGGAATCTCTCTACATCTTCCAATGATTTGTGAATGTAGCACTTGCTCAAGAGAAACCAGGGGGGCAAGGGGTATGCTAATAAGGAGACATCTGCATAAAGATCTACAAAAGTAAGAAATTGTGTTTACAGTTTTGTGTCTTCTTGTTTACAGCTTTTATGAATTTCTTTTTTTACAGCACTTTTTTTTTTTAGTTGTCAACAAATGCTAACATTACACAAACCTGTTGAAAGGGTAGCTCATTTGGTCGAACGAGAACGGTAGTGTACCTGTATCTTTTGGACATGAGATTATTGTTGAGAGAGGATTAGTATCCAAGTGCAACGTGCAACTTATGTGTTAGCTACACTAAGCTATTCAATCTGAGCTAGTATTTGCCAGCTATGGAAGGATTGGGTGATTGGAGAGCTGTGTTGAGCAAGACAAGAAATTTGATTATTCATTTCATACACAAAACAGAAGTACCACAATTATTGTACAATTTCGTTCAGTCGTCAATAGAAACAAGGAAACTTTTTGTACTCCCTGAAGAGCTCAGCTTGTTTGTAACCAAATATTCTCAACTAAGGGAGAGAGATAGAGAACACAAGGAAAAAAGCCTTGGGACTGAAAAATAGTCAACAAGGACAGAAAAATTAAGACGGTCATTGCACTGTTTGCAGCACCAGTGGCTTAGACGTCGGTGTTTTTTTTATTGCAAGAAACGACATATGAAAAAGCCTTCAACAAAGGTTTTATCGGAGTGATTGCTCAATCTCTTTACCAGGGCTTAACAACAAGAAATTTAAAAGTATTGGTAAACGTTTCCATCATCAATAGCATCGAATGTAAAATAGTTTTAACAGAGCAACTCTCTTCGAGCCATTGTATATCTCTATTGTTTACATCCTCTTCGTTTGGTTTGCTTGGAAAAGATTCTCGGACAATAAATTCGCTTGCACATGTAAACATCTAATATACAGTAGAAAGATGAGGAAAAAAAAACCTCACTATAAAGTCGTAAACAGAAGTTTACTATTGTTTAGAAAACAATAATACTATTTATATCGCACTCTAGCAAAAAAATTTGTCTGTCATACTACAAAGGTCTACACAAAACAAAATTCGTCGTGTTTGGTTGATTCACGACTATTGTAATCAAGAAATTACATTGTTTAACGGATAATATGATAATGTCCGCACCTTCATCCTTTTGCTGGCGCAATCGCAGTTGGAGAAAAAGATACTTGAGTTGCGCGACCCATCATATGCGTGTAGTACTCTTTCAAGTTGAAGCCATGTAAGTCATACTCTCCTTTCACCAACAAAAATAGCTCCTTATATTGGCTTAGCAAAAACAAATATTGTGACGTATTTTGAAAATCAGTTGTTGTACAAAACTGGATTTTCTCTCATTCTATTTTTTTCTTCTTCTTCTTTATATAGACTTTTGCTATACGCTAAGCGTGGGATTAGTGTTTTTGTTTACGTTGCAATTTTTAGTTTTGGTTTTTGTTACTCTTCTTCTTAATCAGATGGGATTAGAAGGAAATGATTAACAAAAGAGTACAAAGATGTGCAATAAGCTTTTCTTTAGTAAGCTAAGTAAAATTTTTAGAATAGCACAAGAAAAGTATATATTGAATTGAAAAGAACCCTTGTTTTCCTGGAAATGATTTCTGTTGGAGAGCATTCGTATAGCATAAATCCATTCACTTATTCATTCATTTATTTTTCACTTCAACCGCCGCGTCCCAACAACACATAGACACGTCGTTACGTTCATCTTTATCTTCAATTATTTTACAATCCCATAGCATTAACTGTCATAATTTCGTTGCATTCCAAAAAGCCCACATTCAACAACACATCCTATAAATGAACTTCCTCAAACTCGTATACAGCTTATTCTTTCTCCTTGCATTTAGCACAGCAAAGACTACATCGTCGTCTTCGTCGTCATCAACAATAGCTACTACAACAACCAAATCGTCACAAAGTAATACATCGGTATGGGTAACGGGGACTGATGCCAGTGGAATAACCCGTACAACGCAAAGTATATATTACCAAAGCTTCAAAAGTGCGTATACAGAAGCTGAAGAAACATATTCATCGGCATCAATTGGACTTGGTAGTATTTCCGGCGTTGTGGGCCACATCCGTACCTACGATAGAACTACTATCTCACTGGCAGGTGCAGCGGGTGCAGCAGGTGACGATGGTTTTGCTGTTGGTCGTAGTTTCATTGCATTGAATGGACTTTTCTCGTTGATTTACATACTTCTTTAATAGAGGGAGACGATTTACTAATACATACACTTGGAAGCATATTCTTTTGTAAAAAAAAGGTGCGATGAAACTCACGCCCATTTTCTTGTCCCGTAATGGAATTGCATCTCTTTTTGTGTGTCGTTCAACAAAAAACGACACTCGGGAACATATATTTTGCAAACTGCTTTTGTGTTGAAAAATGCGACGCTTTTATTTATTTTGCATTCATTTGAAATTTCTTTTTCCCTTTTGTTCTTTGTTCTTCATTGGTCCATGCAAAGCGAGATCTCATGGAACTCCGAAAATGTTTACTCAACAAAACACCACCAAACTTTGTGAAAGAAAAATCTGGCTTATGCTCTATTTCCTGGTGTTGAAGAGGATATATAATCATTGTACAGATTCAAAAATTCCGCCGAGGATAATAAAGAGTGAGTCCCGTCTTCAGGGTAAAATGAGTTACAAAACTCAAATCACGAAGTAAATAGCCCTGACCTTTACTTCGAGTTGCAGAGCGCAAAATAACTGAAATTTAAAATCAAAATGTTGGCTCCCGCTAGTTGGTAAAGAGTTGCTTTGGCTGAATTCGAAATATTAAAGGCCTTAGGGAGAAGTTCAGAAGAAATTTTAGCACTGCTCCTTGTACAACAAGATATATTTACCTCATTTCAATACAAAATTACAGTTTCCTTTACACCTAATTAAATTCACTCCTCTGTCTTCTTCACTACTTGAACATAAAAAAAACCCACATTTATCAAGTCATCAAATCACGCTAAGATGTATGCAAAAAGAAACAGCCCGCAATCAATTTTCTAATTGTGGCTGCAATTCTTTCATCACGAGGAATAGCGCAAATCGCGCTCCCTTATGATTAGAATAAATTAGGTTTGTCGCGACAAAGCGAGAATTTACATGACACAAATGACTGGTAAACAAATCTCTTATTGGCCACTCATAGCATGGACAAGAATCAAGCCAAGCTCAGCAATATAAGACCTCGGTGAAGGAGCCATTGACAAATAACTATTGAATTTCATTACCACAGCACTTCAAAGCATGCCATCGAACAAAACAGCAAAATCACCATCACCGAACACGGCAATCACCGATGACCAAGATGTTGAAGTCACTGCAACCCCACCAAATCACACCGGACCATCCTCATCATTATCGGCACTGGCTACCCCCCAACGCTCAAACACAACTGAATCTTCTCTTCTGAGGCAAAGACTGCAACAACAGCAACAGCAACAGCAACAACAACAGCAACAGCAACAACAACAACAGCAACAGCAACAACAACAATTGAGTGATCCCAACACCAAAGCTGCAAATTCACCAGTCAACTTCAACACGTCCTTTGATCTACTCGATTATAAGTCCCTCACATTGGAAAATAAAGGATCAGTAGCTCGTGATCATATGGCCAATGAACGTACTTTTTTAGCGTGGTTGCGTACTTCACTTGCGTTCATAACAATCGGCATTGGAGTCACTCAATTGTTTCGGTTAGAGAAACCAGGAACAAAAGTACACACCACTGATCGAATAATCGAATTACTAATGGATCACAAGAGTGATGATTTGAAACGATACGGGAAACCTTTGGGGTCTATATTCATAGTGTTGGGGATTTTGACATTGATTATGGGGTTCAAACGATACTTTCATGTTCAGCGGTTATTAACGAAATCCTATTATCCTGCCGCTCGATTGGGTATTGGAATATTGTTGTTTTTGATCTTGAGTGTTGTTTTGGTGACCTTGGCTTTGGTTATGCAAACATCACTACAATGAGGGAGAAGAATAAGTAGAAAAGGAATAGAGTTTAGACATACGTCATTCAATGTACATTGTAGGGAAATTGTCGTACAAAAGATTTGACCATGTGCTTTAACAACCAATTGCAAGTTCTTCATTGAGTTTTGTGGTTAATTTTCCTATTACCGCTTTTGACCCATACGATAAACACAACACTTGCCGTGAGAAAAGCACTGATAGCCTCTAAGCAAATTGGGGTCAATAAAGCAAACTTCTGTGCCAGTTGCATCTGTCTCAAATCAAAAATCAATTCGAGCATCGGGCCAAGTTTGCTTCTTGGAGGATATACTGGTCTTAATCGATGAATAAAATTGACCTTGATAAGGTAGCATGTCAACATAACCACACATTTTGCAACAAGCGGTAAGATCCATATTGTCAAGGTTGATCTTTTGAACGCCAAAGCAACGTTACTAGCTGAAGTCATATCTGCTTTTGAGGAAGTTGTAGCGATTCTCTTTTTGGTTTTGAAATAAAACAATGCTGCCAAAACGAACCACACTAGGAAGTTGAATTGTTTTAAATACGCCAAGTGTCTTGCATTCTCATAAATTGGTTGTGCCGTAGGCTCGCCGATTAACGATATAGTTTCTTGATTCAGTAACAATTGCCAAATGAATGCAGTGAAAATATCAAAGATTAGATATGTAAATGCAATGTAAACCCAGTTACGAGGAATGTTCCCATAGTTGACTGATTTACCGTTGTAGTAGTATAAAACACCGAACCCCATTGAAAGTAATAGCGCAAGATACGATTTAAGCCCAACGTAAAACTGTTTTGCAAGTACAGCAATAGGTTCTAAAGCCAAAACGGTTTGGGAAATTTGGTAAGTAGCAACGAAATTGTTTTCAATTAACAATTGTATGAAGTCAATTGAGAAAGCAACAATAAATGAAGCCAAAGTCCAGAACACAAACGTCTTTGCTATAGCTTCTACTGGGCTTATTTTTTTAGGAGCTTCCCAATCCTTGCGTATTATTACGTAGTAAGTGATTGTTGCAAGTAATGATAAGGCAATTGTGAGTATTGTCTTGAGGGTGGCAAAGTATAAATAATGTGGATAGCTCAAATTACCGTAATGCTGTTTAAAGTCCACTGGCAATACAAAGTCAAGCTTCTTCTCAGAGTTGGGGACGATGTAGACACAATAAATATTAGAAACAGGTACAGGAAATAGAACTTCTTTGTCAATAACACCACTCCAAAATATCAATTCATCTTCAGTATGTGCCCCACTTTTCTTAACATTGAATAGCCCGTCTTTGTTCATCATCTCCTGGTACAAATCTGGTTTTTTTGTAAAATACAACTCAAAGAATTTTTGAACATTAGGAAAATGGTAATCAAGTATTATTTCAGGTGGGAAAATGAACCCGAAGATTTCGTATTGTGAAATAGACTCATCAGCAAGTAAGCGGATATATGAACCATTGGGTCTGTTTGTGGATGTATGGACGTAGCGACAAACTTCATTCTCTGTATAGTTGAGCACAGTTGGTTGATGCCGTAAGGCAAAGACATGAGAGGTGAGCAATAGCAAAGGCGCAATGAGGCTGAAAGCTGTAATGTGCATATTCAGAAAACGATTAGTTTCCGCTTCTTGAAACTATAGGTAGCTTAAAGAAATAAGACGTGGGAACGTATAGTGTTAGTTCGTGTGCGGTGAGTAGCTTTCAAACTTGTCCAATTGAACCTACTAAATTTTGTTCACGCCATATGCATGAACTATTGGACCAATATCGAATACACGACCTAAAATAGGTGATAAGGGTTAACAAAAGATATTTAGAATAAAAGATTGACGATTGGAGATAGAAGAAGTGATACTTACAAAAGGACTGATTTTAATGAGTATAATAGTATAGAGTGAGGATGAGGTAGGCAACAATATATACATTCTACGTATTACATATCTTGATTCGCGTACTTTGTCGAAATCTTGGCATGTTGTTCTCTTCGGACCGGAATCTAAATTTTGCTCGCAGAGATATAAAAACACCACAAAAGTACAAAACTTTAATCTACTGGCCTCATGTGCCATGTGTCGGATGAAACCCATAGATTGAGTGATGAACACTATGAGATGATTTTTCGTTGACAAATGATCTTCGTTACACCAAGTTGAGTCCAAACATTGATAGTTGTACCGTTCCCAATTTTCAAATCTTCATATGACTGAAGTCGTCTGGGACTGATTTGGAGCTCTCGTGTGCAATCACTAATAGTGAATTAGTAGTACATTGAAAAGAGAATCAACAAACAACTTCACTTGTCTAGAGATAGAAACTTAGGATTTGGTGCTAATTATAGTTTGCACAAACAAAGACATCTGGTCCAACTCAGTAAAGTTTCGAGACCAGCCTCTAGATCAATGCGTTTAAGTTGATCGTGAAGAGATGGTTTAGAAAGGAACTGATGTTCAACCTTTCTTGTGACGTTATTTCAAGCAAGCGTACTTTATTTACCACTCATCGGTTTTGAATTCGAGCTGCTTTGTTGAGGAGCAAAAGAGAAAAGAATCAAATAAATGGGTATACACAGAACCTTAGTCGCTCTATTCGCTCAACTCTTTAAAAGTCATATAGCTTCCACTAAAGTAGTGTATTCGAATTTCACTATTATGTAGGTAAATATGCCGGCATCGTGGTCTGCCTACGTTTTGCACCCATAACATTTTCTTTTATTCATAAAGTTCAGTGTCACAAAGTTGAAAAGACAGCTTTGTCACCTGATCTTAGGGCTCTTGACCTACACTACTATATTTTGTACAGTATTGCACGCCCCCATATATTCAGTCACCTCTCGCCCTGTCACCAAAGGAAGAAAAAAAAATTTGAGATTCGTCAGCATCACCAAAGTCATATCCATATACAACAAATCACGTCAAAATGGTATGTCAAGAATGACCGAAACAGGATACGATTATGCGATAGAGATGGAGTGAACGAACAAGCAAACTCTTGGAATTCAGTCAACTAGAGAGAAGTGATAAGGAGCAAACCGGTGATCTCAAACAACAGCAACTAACACCATTTTTGTGAGTGGAATCACTAACCAAGTGATAAAGCTACAAAATATATATATCAACAACGTCCCAAATAATTAATACAAGGAAATAACGATCACATCAAGCAAACGGTGGCCATCATTTTTAAATTATTTTCTACGAGATACACTTGAATCAATTGAAAAGCATTGTTGTCCATCTCTATCAGAAGTATCCTTTGCAAGCTTCATCATTCAATACTAACAATCTATTTTTCAGGGAAAAGTTCACGGTTCATTAGCTCGTGCTGGTAAAGTTAAGTCACAAACCCCAAAAGTTGAAAAACAAGATAAGCCAAAGAGACCTCAAGGTAGAGCTTACATGAGATTGAAGTACACTAGAAGATTTGTCAACGTCACTTTGACCAACGGTAAGAGAAAGATGAATGCTCAATCTGCTTAGATAAACGAAAAAGAAAAATTGCGTTGAAATCTGTTGTATTTTATCTATATAAATTTGGTTTAATGGGTTCGATGAGTTTAATATATACATAAAATTCGAACAATGGTAATTAATTGTAGATGAGAGGCTATGGGACAAGTTTACAGGGTCTGTTGGCTTGGAGATTTTATTGTCCTCTATACAGTATTCTCTACCATCGCGGGATCAAAAAGTATGAATATACTCTTGACCTAACTTCAGCAGTCTCTTCATCTTCAACAAACATCGGAGTCATGTTGATCATGTCAATCCTTTCAGCTTTGAAATCATATTCTTCACAAGTTTGAAAAAATTTCAAATCTTCATCAAGTAGATGAGCCCGATGTGGACTGAATACAACAAGACATTTCCCAGTCGACTTTAGTGATTGACGGCATGCAGATAGTAACTTGTGATGTTCAGTATGATTGAAAATAAGATCTGATAGTATAATCAAGTCGAATTTCTCATCTTCCTTTAGATCGCGTGTTTCTTCATCGCCATAAAGCGCTTCTTTGACATTGTTGCCCCATATATACCCCTTCACTTTATAATCTGATATCTGAGGTACTTTCTGTGACAACTCTCCAAAACTGTATTCGATATGGTTGATCAAATCGGGATCAGGATAATCAGTCGCAATTACTTCCTTTGCTCCATTAACAACACAAACTAATGAAGGTAAAGCAGCTGCCGCCCCCAATTCCAAAATACGTTTTCCCTCAACTAGCTCAGTTGCGTGTTTATCCAAATAATCAGCAGTAAATATACCAGCATTCCAAAGCATGTGACCCCATAAGGGTGATTTTCCAACTAACTTCATTCGAATCTGTTTTGGTTCAGCATGGGACACTTTGCGGTCGTAAGTGGCATAATGTGATTCCGGTGGTGGTGGCAAGAAGCCTTCTGGTTCTTCAAATATGTTTGCATCAATGGATAACTCGTCATCGGACATGATGCTGGACGAGCTATGTAAGTGTAGTGGAAGAAAGATGATTTCGATTCAAATGATTGAAAAAAAATTGTTACATCATTGAGATGCTGCAAGTGTACCAGCTGTGCTGGAACCGAGATTTAACGACGTGATCGCTTGCATACTCGACAACACAACTCCATCAGTTGGTATCAATACCAGAATCGACCATTTGAGAAAGCAACTTCTTTTCAATCGAATCGCATCATAATCTCTATACAATCAAATCTCCGAATCTACATCCATCCTCATCATCAAAACGAGAAGACAAAAAAAAGAATCCACAATCACCAACGATAACATATCACCAGTAATTGACTCATTCTCAATGTCTCGACCTAGGAAATGGGCAGATGTGTCAATAGATTTGATCAAAGACCCAGACAACTTTGAATTATGGCAACAGCTAATCGCATCAGCAGAATACAATGATAGGAGAGGGATAGCGAAATCAACCCCACCACCTCAACTACAAACACTACGAATATCATATGCTAGGTTTTTAGCCAAGTATCCATTCATGTACAAGTACTGGATACGATATGCTGAATGGGAATTCAAATTGGTTGATGTTGACGCCGCTGTGAAAGTTTATGAAAATGCATTCCAACATTTACAATACTGCATTGAATTATGGGTCAATTATTTACAATTTCGAATAAATACAATCACGAATAATGTCGATCAAATTTTAGGTCTTTTTGAAAAAGCAAGGAGGTTAATTGGACTTCATTTTTACAGTTATGAGTTCTATACTCTATACTTGTCATTTCTTGAAAGTTATGCCACTGAAGAGAATCAATTCAAAAGGAAATACTATACGTTATTGAGACTTATCCTTGAGGTGCCCTTGTATCATTATGAATATTTTTACAAAAAGTTCTTTGAATTGATCAATCAATTTGCAAGTGACTCGAAACACCATCTGGAATTGAAATATCTTGTTCCTGTTATCGACCTACAACGAAATGTGAAAAACTTGCCACAACAATTGAAAAAGATTTTTACTGATGCATACATCACAACACAATACAAAGTGTACGAGCTATACCACTTTGAAAAACGGTTCAAACGACACTACAACGATGTTAAACTCATTTCTCGACAGCAACTAGATTCATGGTTACAGTTTTTCGACTTCTTGGAATTGAAAAAGTACCCACAACTGTACATTGAGATGAATTATTGGCGGTATATATATATTGCTTCCAATTATCAAGAATCATGGATTAATTTTGCTAATTATTCAATCTACTATAAAAATTTTAATCTGGCTCGACATGTCTTGATTCGAGGTTGGAGATATCTTGGTGATTATACAATCTTGATCAAATTGATTGATTTGGAAGTGTTTTTGAAGCAATTCCACCGAGCTAAAGATTTGATTGTTGATTATTTAAAATACAATGTATCCGTCCCTATTCCAATTTACGAAAAATTGATTAGCATTGAAAGGCTTTTCAATGATGATGATGATCATATACTCAGTTTGTTCAAGTTGATTATTAAAGACACGCAAATTGATTGGTTTTTCAATGTCTTGACTTATTATTCCATTGACAATCAGAAAAAGTTGGCATTTCTTGAACAAATGAAGGAGTTCAAGGGGAAAAAGTATTATGACAACACAATGAAGTTGCTTTCGGGAGAGCTTGACAAGGAGGAACAATCTGCTCCAAATTTCACTCAAATGTACGAGGAGTTACTACATTCAGTATAGCTTTGGCGTCATTACACTCATATTCATTCCAAGTACAAATTAATCAGAGCAACTAATAAGTACCAACTAACCAAAATCATACCCAAAGTCCGATCAAATTTCCATTTCTTTGCTGGTAAATAAATTAAAATAAACACAACAGTTGCAATCAATGCTGTAGTACTTAGTATCACACTGGATTTCAAATCAAATTTGATTGCACCTCCATGAGGGGTTTTTTGTATGACCAAAAACCCATTGAATCCAATCCCCAACAATATGATGAGCAAAGGGGTGCCTAAACATGAATTGATACCCAATATGGGATTAATCTTTGTTGCCAATGTTATATTTGTAATGACATCGTTTATAGAATTGCTGATTGAAAATACAAGTAGTCCGAGAATATAATCGGATATTTTCCAAATGAGACCTAAATTTTTCAAAATTTGTAAGATGTAGATTGAAATGTTTGAAATTATAATTAAACTGTTTAATGTGCCGACAAGGGAGACAATTATGATTTTGGTGTTGATGTTGATGAACCGTTTCAAGTATAATACGATGGGGATTGATATTGTTACAATGGGTAATAATATTTGTAAGTTGATGTGGGTGAATTGGTAGTTAAAAAGCAATGGAGTTACATATAGGTACCATGTAGGTAAGTACTTGTTCTGACGTAATTGTGCTTTCCATTGAGAATCCTCCAACTCCACATATCGATAAAATGGTATTAGGAAAATGAAAATAAAGTCGATAAAGTTGCAAATGTAGTGAAATGTCAATGTCATTATTCGCTTTGGTAGGGCCACTGGTGTATGTGAATGCAGCGATTGTCTTGAACACGAACGAGATTGAGGACGCGATAATGGTTGCGGTGAACCAGGATAGTGGTCTTTGGGGATATAATGCACCGACAAATAATCAACCGCTTCAGGATCATTATCATCACCCCGGATTTCTTCCCCTTCTTCCATTGTATCAATAATGGGAAATACTTGACTTGGTACCGCGGGAGATATTGGAGTTGGTGAAGTCATTGTACTAACTGGTAAAGGAGAAGCAGCTCTTGAACCAAATGGGGATGGGCACGGAGAGCCCCTTGGTGAGTTTTTTGGCGATGCACTTCTTGAAATCGATCTAACTGATCCATAACCATGTTCATCATTCGATATGATATCCAATGCATCTTCAACATTGTAAGGCTGTTCAATAATATGTTGGCATCCTTCATCATTATCACCATCACCATAACCACCGTCATAATACTCAATCAACAACTCTTCATCAAAATCACGTAGTTTTTCTTTATCAAATATGCTCAAAAATACAACATAAGCCACATAAACCAAACACATGATTATACATTCTAATTGATTGATTTTCCCATCTGACAAGACATATGCAAATAGCACCAATACGGTCAAAATCCACCCCAAGTCAATAATCAATATCTTGGGATGTTCCACTTTGAAACCTTTTGTTAAAACAGCGATAGATCCAATAATGATAGTAAACATAATCAATATACTACCCATTAATTGTCCAATAACTAAATTCGAATTCCCTTGGCTCAAAGCAATATGGTAATTAATCAAATCAGCTACGGAATTAGTCAATGGAATCAAAATGAAACTCAAAATTTGATTATTCAACCCCAACCTCATTGTCAATTCATTTAAGTTACGGAATAAGTAATTGGAAACTAAGATGCTAAGTGACAATAAAATGAGACACAATGTGAATAGTATAGATGATGAAATGAATATTAATGAAGCAATGTTGTGAAACTGACAATAATATAATTGGGCAAGTTTGAAATAAGTGGAATCACAATTGTGCTCAATATAGGAACAATAATTCAAATGCGGTTTTGCCGGAAATGAACATTGGTTAGAATCGTCGTCTGTGTTTGTCGATCTAGTTGTGAATACGTCAAACGCTGTTGTTTGGCCAACAAGGCAAGCAGTAATGAGTAGTATTAATGTAGCTTTCAGTTGCTGCTGGAATAGGTAATGAGGTAGTTTCATACCGGCGGCTAATTTCAAATAAAAAAAGGTTACTTTCTATGGTTCTAGTATAGTTTCATATCCCTTATTCAGTAGTAAAATGAAAAGAAAGCAGTTGGTATGAATATGTATAAATATGGACTGGGTGTTTCTATTTATGTCATTCCTCTTTCTCTATCTTTTTCTGCAATAGGTGTAGTTATTTTTAAATAATTGATGATTGATAGATAGATTGAATTTTTTCGTATTGTGCAAGTTGTGTTAAATTTAGAAAAGTCTCTCTCTTTGTTTGCTATCGGATCGAATCGAGAATCATACAACAGTTACTCAATAATATTAAAGTATAAGCCACCAACGGCTTTACTTAGACACAAACTAATACCGGTGACACTCACACCCTCCTCAAACAGAGGGCCTTTCGTGGTATGTCAAAATGGGCCCAGTGTAAGTCTTTCAATAAATTCCAAGAAATATATCTTATGCACCACTAAATGAGTCTTAGATTGCATGCATTTACGATTTTGTGATTATTGCACGTGATCTCTAAAAGCACTTGGACTGTTTATTTCAGCTATGCATCTATATACTAACCACCTCTCTCTTCTCGCTCTCCTCCCACTACTTTAGCTCGTGTTCATACTTGGCGTATTCTTCCCTTTTTAAGATATCCTTAGCAATACTAATATCCAACTCAATATCTTTAATCAAAGCTTCCTTTGTTGTATAATTCAATTCTGGTCTAATATAACCCAACACCACGTATTCCAAATCAGCACCATAGAAATCAGAAGTAAACTTGTGTATAATATGTATTTCAGCAGCTTTGGTCTTGTTGTGATAAAACGGATTCCATCCAATGGACATCACCATTGGCCATACCGTCGATAAATCAGTCTTGCATAGTTTGTTGCCATGATTGAATACGACATCTTGTCCGTCAGGTCTTTGTTCTGTGGAGTCGCTTTGTTGTGGATGTGGGTGGATCTTGCACCAACCGTAGTAGATACCAGTAGGTAAATTATTGAGTTGGTCATTGACGGGGATGTTGGCGGTGGGGATGCCCAACTCACTTGAACCTCGACCAAAGCCTGAAACGATGGAGGATTTGTGACATATTGGGTATGGTGGTTGTGGAGTGTCGGGTACTATCGTCTCTGGTCTAGTCATATGTAATAGGAATTTTAGTTTTGCAGTTTGTAATAGAGAAACTGTGGGTTTTTGATTTGAAAAAGTTGGACAAGTCTTTTTTTTTTTTTTTCTTTTTCTCGTTGTCGTAAATCCCCATAATCGCAACATCAAAACTTTACTAATTCATTACTACAATAACCATAAACCTCACAGTAGATTTCTCTCTTTCAACTATACACTATACTATACTAGATACTGTCTCTCTCTCTCTAAGAAAACTTCTTTTCCAATTGTTCCAACAAAGTAGCAGCATCTTTTCCAAAAGATCTGATACCTTGAGACAATTTTTCAGTAGCCATGGCATCTTCATTCAAGGCCAATCTGAAAGCTGATTCATCATTGATGTATGAAACTTTTTCAATTGATTCATTCTTGGCATCAGCTGCATCCAAGACTTTTGGAACCTTGTCATTAGAATTGTACAATTCTTCCAACAATTTTGGAGCAATAGTCAAGAAATCGCAACCAGCTAAAGCTTTAATTTCACCAGTGTTTCTGAATGAAGCACCCATAACAATAGTCTTGTAACCGTACTTCTTGTAGTAGTTGTAGATTTCCTTCACTGATTTGACACCTGGGTCAGTTTCTGCAGTATAAGTTTCACCGGTTGCAGCCTTGTACCAGTCCAAGATTCTACCAACAAATGGAGAAATCAAAGTGACTTGAGCTTCGGCACAAGCAACTGCTTGTGGGAATGAAAACAACAAGGTCAAGTTACAGTGAACACCATGTTCCTTTTCCAATTCTCTAGCAGCTTGAATACCTTCCCAAGTGGAAGCGATCTTGATCAAAATTCTATCCTTGTCAATGCCTTGTGATTTGTACAAGTCAATCAATGATAAAGCCTTTTTGATGGTGGCTTCCTTGTCAAATGACAATCTAGCATCAACTTCAGTAGAAACTCTACCAGGAACAATATCCAAGATTCTCTTACCAAATTCAATCAATAATCTGTCCAAAGCAATTTCAGCTTTCTCCTTTGGGTTCGATCCTTTATCTTCGGCGTATTTAACAGCAACATCTATGACATCAGCATAGTCTGGGTTCTTAGTAGCAGCCAAGATCAATGATGGGTTGGTTGTGGCATCTTGTGGTTTGTACTTTGCGATTTGTTCAAATTCACCGGTATCGGTAACAATAACAGTACCAGTAGCTTTCAATTGTTCTAATGAGTTTGAAGACATTGTATAGGGTGAATATATGAGTTCTTTGTAGGTTGAGTTTGTATAATCAATCAATTGACGTCGAGAAAAGAAAAAGATGTCGAAATTGTGTTGTGTTGCAGGAAGAATCGGGAATTTTTCAATGGTATTTATATGTTGCTTTTGTCATCCATTGGATTGTTGGGAAAAATTAAGTCTGGGCCACTGCGTGCCCTTTTGATTTTCTGTTTGTCGCCCTTTTTGCGTTCAAAACAATTAAATTATACCGGAGATGATGAAAGTATATATTGGGTAACAATTACAAGTTTTTTTTTGTTGAGAGTGGAGGGAACTTGCTTTGTAAACGGATGACGGCTAGCATGGGGTTACAGTGGTATGGATGTCGCTATGGATGTCGCTATGGATGGTGTAAATCTATGTTGTAGAACTAGATCAGTATATTGATGACCTCTCATAAAGCGCTTTAATTTAGAATACTGCTCGGAGATTGTAAATTACACATATTTTTGTCATATTACATACACATCACAACTAATACTACTACCACAACCACCACTGTGTAATAAACCACCATTAAAACTTTAAAATTGCTATCAATTAGTAATGAATGTAAAGTGCAACAAAAGAAACAAAATCTGAGACATCAAAATTTGCAATACATAGATCAGATTGATTGCAGAGCCTAACGGTAAGAAAGATCATTCTCTGCGTAGCTTCCCCCTCGTCATACTTTTGTTCTGTTTCCCCCACCCGTAGTTTCGTTGCCCAACTCTCCGGAAAATTAATAAACCAAAAGCTTTAAATAAACCGGAAAAAGAAACTAAAAGTAGTGTAAATTGATACAAGAAAAAAATAAGAATAACTCTAGTAAGCACGTGTCACCGGTGTTTCATCTCCGACGAAAAAAAAAAAAAAAGAAATGGCTGAAATTTGCGGTTGTTGCTACCAATTACTCTACGACATTAGACTTTTGCATGTGATAATTTGTCTTTTAACATTTGGTACATGATGTTTAAATGTGTGTGTATAGCCAACAAAAAATCTGGTAAGCATCTTCCCTACATTTATAAATGAAACATTGATTGCTCTTCTTTCAAGACTTTATCACAAACATCACTCTTCTCGACTTCTACGCCACTTGAATCAACTTACAACAACTGTTCATTTCCTTGAGATCTGACTAGACTTTGTTAGACTTCGTCATTTGTTATTTTTCTTTTTTTTTTTTTTATTTTTTGCAACACAATCATCAATTTACCCCAATTGGACCAAAACATCAACAAAACCCACCAACAACCAACAACCAACAACCAACGGAAAGAGCTTGTTGAAATCAAACCACACATTCACACGCAACTACTCAATAACAAACGCAACAGATCTCAATCAGACACACAATGGTGGTTAGATCGTTAATATATGGAGTTATCGACAAAGTTCCTGTTGTCAACAACATAAACCATTTTATTCAAGAACGACTGCAAATGACAGATGCATCAAGTACCAGTTCATCAGACTCGAATAGTGACGATGCCGACTCAGATGAAATGACTGATGATGAGAACTTGCAAGAAGTTGTACTTCCACAATCACCGAAACAAAAGATTCATGCCAAGATCATTAGAAATAGAACAAATTCACCAGTGTTGGACCCACAGTTAGTGGAACAGGGTGAACTAAATGCATTATTCGACTCTCCAACCAAAAAAAGGGTAAGCGCAGTGGACAAAAGCCACATCAAGCCTGTTTCAGCCAGATTATCGAAACGCAAAGCTGAAAAAGTGGAAAAGATTGAAACCCCTGATTTAGATACTTTAACGAGTCCAACATTGGTAGATGAAAGTGATCTGGTATCAACGCCACAACAAACTGCGTTATCCTCATTTAGTGAACAACAAAGAGGATCAGCTAAAGAAGGCAAGAAATATCATGTTGAACAATACATGAATGATCAAAATAGCAAGTTTAACGAGTTGATAACTAACAATATTGGAGCTGTATTAAAGGAAGATGATGACGAAGAACAAGAAGAAGAGCTGGACAATATTGTGTTCAACTACAATAAAGATTTAAACCCCGGCGTGGCTTTATTGTCCATGGTTTATGACAATCGAAAAGTCATTGCTTCTTCAGTTTACAAATATGGAAAACAACAAGTTAGTTCAAGATTGCCATATATTCCGTTCATAAATCCCAAGAAGGTGGTAACTCAAGAAGAAACTAATGAGTATCTTGTAGGAAATAAGCAAGAAAGGTTATCGAGTCCATTTGCATCACCACTTCTTGGGAAAGCATTGATGACATTGGACAGTTCGCGAGCAGTTACAAAACTACAACAAGATGAAGAGATTAGTGTTGATTTAAGTCAACAAAACATCCTAGATCAACAGAAATTTGATCAATTAATGACCAACCTTGATGATGAAGTTAAAATCGACATTTTCTTGGATTCATTGGATGAAAAAACCAAAATCAACTTGTTACATCTGTTGCGCAAGGATTTAAACATGTATAATGATCAAGATGCCACACTATCACCCCAATCAGCAGTTAAAACCCTTTACTATAATGAAAACATCTCCACTATAGACAAGGTGCAAATATTCATCATTATATCAGTCAAGCTATTCATCACTGGTATTAAGTTGTTCATACCGATAACCAGATACTTGGTGTACAAATTCCAACAAAATCAAATGTACATATTCAATGCTAAAAACATGAATAAATTTTTCAATTTTTTGATCAAGTTTATGAATTATCTTGATTTGAAATTGAATGATAATCAACAATTGATTAATCAGTTATCGAAACAGGATTATGTCAAAACGGAAGAAAACATTGAAGAAATGTTTAATGATTTCAACAAGAGAACAAAGCTGTATTTCAAACCAAAATATTTCAAGGACAAGTTTATTGCCAAGGATGATTATGTTAAACGAGGAATGTTTGATTTGGTAATGAAGAATGTGGTTAGTGATGGAGAAGAAGAAGAGGATGAGGAAGTTGAAGTAGCAGCAAGAAAGATGGTTAAGAATTATGAACAAGATCCCAACTATGCTATGTATTTCACTGGTAAATCAATTGATTCATCAGCAAGAGAAAGTGAAACTGGAAGTTTTATTGACGAGGAAGATGAAGTGGATGATTATGAGAAGGATGAAGAAGGGGAAGAAGAGAGTGATGCGTATGCTACTGCAACTAGTAAACGATCTGGCTCCTTTTCAGATGCTAGTCGCCAATCTAGTTTTTCACGTCAAAGGAAATACATGAGATACTAAAAGGATGTGTTCACCATCTCTGGAAGTTTTGTGTGCTTAATCCTTTTGAAACTTCTGTTCTTACAGGGAGAAGGTCTTTTTTTTTAATGTTTGCTACGATTAGTTGATGTGTTTATGATATTTTTTGGGTTTGTCATGGTGCAAAGAGGTTTTGCCTTACTATTGAAGGTTGATGACGGGGGAGGGGTGTTGCTGTTTTTTGTTTGCTAGATTAGACATTTGTTTTACTATTTAGAATGTAAATTAGATACATCATTGATTTCAATGTAATTGAGCTTCTAGAAAGGATTAAGGAGAGTTGTCCTTCTTCAGTAATGTCTTTTGTTTTCTTATTTTCTGTGAAACTGCTGCAAAATTTCCAAAAAAATAAAAAAGAAAAAGAGAAGCCAATTGAATTGACATATTCTCGAAAAAAAACAAAAAACGTTTCTTTAATAACACAGCAAACATAAGAGAGATATCGATATACGTTTCCGTATGTTTATTGATTGCTCTTCATGATTAACATCATGTCAAATCAAGAAAGCAAGCAATGAAGAGTAGAGTATTGACAGAATTAATCTGTTATCTATTTGATATTTTGATCTAAAGTCTTTTGGTAAGACCGCATATAAAGATTGATGTGGATGTGACATTTTTTGTCCTATTTTTTGTCAGACACTGAAATTAGATAGTGGAGAAAACTGTCTTGATCACACCAGATCTCGCTCGATTTCGATGCAGATTTAGGATATTGGTCTGCCATTGATTGTGGTGGAGCTCAATAGATATGGCGCAAGGACCAATCTGTCAATTGACCTCTTATTTGGCAGAAAGAAGACGAAAGAGCGAAAGTACGTTTGGCTGTCACAATTTCAGGCTTTCCTTTGACAAAGTGTTGAATTTATTTCAAATGAACAGACAGACAGTTTCTTCAAAACATTTTAGTGCAAATGGAACTGGATACTCTACGACAAAGATGAGGGGTAAAAAGTGGGTTCTAAGCTGTTGCGTAGATCTAGAGCAGGCACTACAGCCTTCAAGACGAACCGTCACAGTACTCAGTTTGTCCAATTAGCAATGGTCTGAGCAGCTCAATTTGATGTGGGTATCGAATTGTCTTTGGTTTCGTGACGTGTCCTTAATTCAGAATAAATTGTCTTGAACTGTATGACATTGAGAATTTAACTACATTGGGAAAATTGTGTTGCACTCTTGCACTACCATTAACCAGACACAGACCCACACACACATAGTAAAACTTTCCCCTATTTGTAGGTTAATTTTGCTCTTTTGCTAATTTCTGCCCCAGTTACACTACCTTTTTACATAGTTAAGAAATATTGTCTGCATATTTGACTATTGATGTTTCTGTTCCACTCTTCATTTAAAAGGAAACACAAATTTCCTTCTGGTCATTCAAAAAACTTCTTTTGTCAATTTCTTTTTTTTTTTTTTTCTCACTTCTTTTCCAACCAATCAAAATTTCAATTCGCTCAATTTCCCAATCTTTTTCCTTTCCTCCTTTTGAAAACTAAAACAACCAAACACATCATCAGTTCTTTTTTTTTTTTTTGGTTTTTTTTTTTCTGTTTTGAAGTTATTATACATACCCATAACAACAAACAACACACACCACACTCGACACACCTCCAGTCGACTGTTGACATATACATACTCATCTATTTATCAGTTGTATTGTTAACTTTCATAAATTCTACCATCAAAGAAAACTACAAGACAAACTACAAGTTCTACTTATTTTTGTTGGTTTGAGCAAAAATTTTTTTGGTATTCTTGCTTCTGATTGGTTGAATAATTTGGAAGGCAAAGGAAAATTTAAATTAGCTTTGCTTTTTTTTTCTTTTTTGCACTGAGAGGAAATATTTTTTCTGACGCCTTGATTGGTTGATTAGAGAACAACAAGACACAAAATACATTCTGTCTTGTTTGGTTATATTTACACGACCAAACAATTGAATTTTTTTTACTGTCTGTGGGATAATTTGACTATTATTACACGACTTTTGATAATTTTTTGTCTGAAGACTGACGCTACCTATTTGTTAAACGCACACAAACAAACACTACAATATGGCATTGTGTCCTAAACCATACACTTTTGAAAAACATTTTGCAGCTTCTTCAAGGCCATCGTCACATATCAATACCAACGGAAGAGGTGCCTCTAAACGTGGATGTGATTTTTTATATCCATCTACTACGGCAAATAAAAGGATTTGTTTGCAACAATCACGCAGAAATGATTTTGAATTGGCGGACCAGGACTTGGACAACAACAAGTACTATTCGTCATCATCAGATGATGCTGATTCTGAGGATGAACAATCATGCTACAATGCTGATCAAATAAGGGCCAAGAGAAGAGCTTCTACACGTGCCTCATTTTCAATTGATCCAAAGTTATCAAAGGCAATTTCACAATATAGTGATGATGAAGATGAAGACGAAGATCAGGTGCGAGAAAGGTATTACAACACCAAAGTCAAGAGTCCATGCTGTTCACGTCGTACTTCAGACTCTTCGATCAAGATTTTAAGATCTGAAGATGAAATTGAGAATTTGGATTGCAAATTGGCTTCGAGTCCTGTCAATAGCAGTTTGTCTTTGAAGAAGATGCTTGTTGGTGGTGGCAATGAATGTGACGATGACGACGACGACGAAGAGGAAGAAGAGAGCGACTCCAACAATCAATCAGTTGCTATTGCTGATAGAAATGCCAGAGCTAGATGTTTTGAATATTTAGTTGGAGCTATTGACGAAGCATGGGCAAGATATTGCGATGCTACTGCTTATGTCGAAGATGAAGTACATGGTTATATCACCCCAGCTTCACTTGCATCTGGCGACGATGATGAGGAAGAAGAAGATGACAATAAAGAATTGATGAATGTTAAATGTCGCCTTTTAAAGTCAAAAGATTTTCTTCAAGACCATATTGAATCATTTGATATGAATGATGTCAAGAAATTCTGGCATCGTTGGGATATAACCAAGTACCAAATGTTGGATGTTATGGAAGACGAAGATGATGTTTTGGAAGAACTTGAATCTGGCCGCAGAATCTTTTGATTGCACAACTATTTCACTAACTATTATATTTTTTGTTTTTTTTTTTTTTTCAATTTGGGAGGGTTTTATTTCAATTCAGTTGGGAACTATCTTTTATTCACTAATTTTATGCTGTAACATTAAAAAAATAAGGAGAAGGTGAAGAAAAGGGGGAGGAGAGAGAGAGAGAGAGAGAGAGAATGAAGGTGAATAGTTTTTGTTTATCAAATACTATGTCTTGTATAGTAAAGAGAATATTTGTATATATACATCAAATGATTTTATGTAGAAAAGAGTATATCGGAGTCTTGTTTGATGTAAGTCGGAGATGGTAGTTGCCTTGACGTTTTGGTTCGCGTGTCAATTTTGTTGACAAATTTCAATTATTAGATTATATAACGTTTTCTTTTCAACTCAATTAACCATGAAACTCTCCACTGTGTACATTGCCCTTTCAACATTTGTCGCCTCGTCATTGGCATCTTCACCACCATCATCAGATGAGTTAAAGATTGGTATGTTGATGCTACAATCTCTCAATGATTTCCCCATTTGAAATACTAACAATCCACTTTATGTTTAAGACATTCTCAACCAAGTTGATTGTAAACGCAAATCACAAAAGGGAGACACCATATCCGTCCATTACAAGGGTACTTTGGAAGATGGAACCAAATTTGATAGTTCTTGGGATAGAGGTATCCCATTGCCATTTGCCATTGGTCAAAATCAAGTGATTACATGTTGGGAGGAAGGGTTATTGGATATGTGTATTGGGGAAAAAAGGAGACTTTGGTGTCACCCTAATATTGCTTATGGTGAGAATGGTATTGGGCCAATCCCACCTAATGCGGCGTTGATTTTTGAGACTGAGTTGGTTGATATTGCTGGGGTTAAGTCAGAGAAAGACGAACAGGAACAGGGCGAGGAGGAGGAGGAGGAGGAGGAGGAGGTTGTGGTTGAGAGAGATGAATTGTAATCAAATTTGAAATAGACAATGCTTAGACCTATCGAAAGAATGCCTTTGTTTTTAAGTTTATAATTTTGGTAATCTTATCGTCATTTATATAACTCGGCTTTCAGCTAAATATAGATCAATTTTTCACCATATGGTTATATAGTGGGCTGATGAATGGAGGAGGATATTTTCAGCTAACAATAAGCACCAGTGGTATTTATGCAAATCGTGTGAATTCTTCTCTGAGCTGCTTTAAAACCGAGGGGAAGCCTTTTAAATGAGATCGAGGTATTCAAACGTGGCTGAGTCTAGTCTCTTTTGATCTACCTTCGGGATATTTGCTCCGTAACAGACTGGTCAGAAAACCATCCCCTTCTTCTTCTTCAGACTTGTGAGGTAGCGCCCCGTTTTTGCAACGCGGTTAGGTGTTGTCCTAACCACGCCCCCAACGCACATTGCACCACCGCCGATTTTCCTCGAAAGTTACCAGCCGCAGGAAGCAACAATGCCACAAAAAGGGAGAAGAAAAAACAAAAATTACAAAGTCGGGGGGTGGTAGGGGAGAACAAAAATATCATGCAATCTTTATGCAATCTTTATCAGGAAATATACTCCCTTTTCTTTCTTTCTTCCTTTCCTTTAATCCACGCCATTTCAAAAAAAAATGTCTAGATTCTTAAAGCCATTGCAAGAATTCCTTGCCTCCAAAGCAGATTTCAGGATTGTTTACTCAACTGCATCATCATCACAAGGAACTCCGGAGTTTATAACCAATTCAACACAACGGGTTTGTGTACTTGACTCTTCGTTCAATCCTCCTCATTTGGCTCATTTTGCTATAATTGAGGAGCTGTTGAAGTCCAATTACGATGGTGTTCCCCTCAACAACAAGGTTTTACTATTATTATTATCGGTACAAAATGCTGACAAGTTGCATCCTCAACCTGAATCATTTGATCAACGATTAGCAATGATTCATTTAATGGCTGATCATATTGCTGCCAATTTCCCAATTACAGTTGCTATTGGACTAACCAAACAAGCAATGTTTGTAAATAAGTCATTGTCAATCTTAAACTACCTTGACGCAGAGCCGCAACAAACAATTAAACCAGGTTTTAAATTGACTTTTCTAATTGGGTTTGATACCTTGATTAGGATACTTAACCCCAAATACTATTTACCGGACAAGTTGTCAGTATCATTGGAACATTTTATGAAGATGACAGATTTAGTTTGTTTAACAAGGCATAGTGAAACAGTCACTATAAACCAACAACTGGTTTATGTAAAGGAGATTTCACTTGGTCAACACGAAGAAATTCCTAGCCATTGGTCAAAAAACATCTTCATATTGAGAAACATGAATGAAAAAGTAGCTACATTTAGTAGCTCAGGCATAAGAAAGGAAATATTACTGGGTGACCCTGAATGGAAGAAGCAAGTTTTGCCAGAGGTTGCAAATTACATTGAGGAAAACAATCTTTACAAAGAGAAACAGGGCTGAAACAAAGAAGCATAATGATATACAATTGGTATATTTAGGGTAAACAAGAAACTATTTCAAACAAGGTCAATAAATATCGACAAATTGACAATAGCCGCGAAAATGACAACATATAATGTATAAAATGTATTCCAGCTGTATGATGATGGCGATGATGACGATGATTTCGTAAACTTGTCATTTTTGGAACTCAGAGTCTTATTCTTGGATCCATTACTTGACTTTTCCTCAACTTGATTGGGCTTTTCCCGTCCCACATGTTGTCCTTCTCCTTCTCCCTCTCCTCCTTCTTCTCCTTCATTCTTCACTTCACTTGCTTCAGAACCATCTTCTTTGGTTCTGGAGGTAACTTTTTCATTATTGGCATTAGTGCACTCAATTTTACCGCCTCTAACAACCAATCCAATCTCCAGTTTGGTCCATTTACGACAATCAAACAGTGGTGAGGTTGAACGCACAATTGCGCTACCTTTAACCAATTTTAAATTCTTAAATGTCAATTCAGTAATCTTTCCCACAATCTCCAAAGCACCGCCTATAATCTTTAAATTGGGTAAAAAATTAACTTTTTCAACCAAATTGTTATTGATAATCATCAATCCACCATCCACTTCATCCAATTCGGGGAATTCAACAACTTCCAACTTGGAATTTTTCGACAAATTCAATGTACCACCAACATACTTCAACTTGGAGAGTTTTAATGCCTGAAACAATGAACTACTCAAACTCATTGATTTACCAACTCTTTCCAAATTACCTAAATTCAAAATAGCCACATTGTGAATGCTCAACTCTTCAACTTGTTTCAAATTGGGTAAATGAACTTTAATTTCGTTGGAATTGGCAGAAACGTGCAACAATTGCGTCACTTTTTCAACATTGCAATCAATCGTATCCAAAAAGCGATTATTATTTATATCCAAAATTTTCAATTCATTAGCAACAAATCCGGAAAATCCAGTCAATGAAGTATCGGAAATGGTTATACTTTCAATTCCTTTAATTTCAGCATTAAATTGAACATTACTCAAAATGGGCAAAATCTGCCACTTCAATGATTGAACTTGCTTCAAGCTGGGGACACTAATCAATGCCAATGACGTCAATTCAAACAATTGAAATTGTCCACTGATACTTTGCAATTGAGGGCTTTCAATACGAACCAATTCTGGCGACTTGTAAATGGATAAATTACCTTTGATTTTAACCAAATTGGTGAATGTGATAATAGGGTAGTCAAATTCAGATATAACAACATTACCAACAATTGTTTCACATTCAATGATTGAATTCAAATCACCCAATGAATGAATAATAAACTCATCACGTTGACAATGCAAGGGGACACTACTATCAATTTTGGGTCTCGACGAATCATCGCCTTCTTCGTTATCTCCTCCTTCGTCTTGATTTTTGTCATCATTATTGTTATCATCTTTCAATTGGGACCATTGTTGGACGTAATCATTGCTAAATTCAAATGGGAGGAGACCATCAAAAGAAGGAGACAGCAATTCGGGGCTTTTGGGTGCAGTTACTGCCATGCTGACCAAATCATCTTCATTGATAACATCTATTTTTAACGCTTTATGTTAGTATCGGTAAGGTGAATTCGCCCTCCATTTCAAAATTTATACATACTTATTTTACCATTTGCAGCACTTATACAACGAACAAAGCCGTTGACGAACAAAATAACAAAACCGAGCTTCATTCTAAGATATTGGAAGCTTGTATCAATGATGGAGGATGTTGTGCTTCGAAAATTTTATTTTGTAATTCTAACAAGCATCGTAGATGTAGTATCTATATATTTATAACGCTACTTCAAAGAAGGTACTTTGCTTTTAAATTTCATCAGCATAACAAGAATATCAATTGGAGTAATTCTACCAGTGATTGTAAAAGTGTGAATTAAGGCGAAGTTACGCAAAAACTGGTGCAGTTGATATTTTGAACATAACAGAAAAGTACAAAGATGGCAAAGGACAACTCATTGTTTTACGCCAAAACTTGCGAAAACAAGAAGAGTATCAACCATAAGTTGTTGTTCTGTATATGACAGGGTGAAAATGAACATGCTGTTGAAGCTTTCAATTGTCCTCTATCCAATACAAAAAATATAGGTAGTACTATCAGACCCGTAAAATGGTTGAAAGGTTACTTCCATGTTCAAACTTCACACACCATCACAGCCACTAGCCACCTCGTCATCCACTCATAACTTCGTCGTCCACCCCATTCCCTCACTTTCCTTCCACTATCGGACTGATCCTATTTTGCAACCAAAAACAAAAGGATAAAAGTCGTGCACTTTCCATCAATTATCTTTGAAATGAAAGAGAGAAAAAAGTATCAGCAAACAAAGCTGGACCCAAAACCATATAATTATCAAACTGAGCATCAAAACACATACAGACTCATCACGCATCACCCATCTTTCATTCCATTCCGTTCCATTCATTGAATTGCATATCTCATTACACAACACAATGTCGTACATAACGTCATCCATAGTGACACTCTCACTTTTAACAGTTGGTGGCTACATGCTATTCACAGGAGCTGGTGAATCATTCAATATTGGTGAATTTTTAGAAAGCACATCGCCATACATGTGGTCATCATTAGGTATTGGATCATGTATATCCTTTTCAGTCGTAGGTGCCGCCTGGGGTATATTCATCACTGGCTCCTCCATTATTGGAGCTGGTGTTAAAGTGCCACGAATTACAACAAAGAATTTGATTTCCATCATTTTTTGTGAAGTTGTCGCCATTTATGGATTGATTATGGCAATTGTATTTAGTGCTAAGTTGCAAAGTGTTGATAAAGAAGCATTGTTCTCCAAGGAGAATTTATATACTGGTTATTCATTATTTTGGGCTGGTTTGACTGTTGGTATTTCCAATTTGATTTGTGGTATTGCTGTTGGTATCACTGGGTCGACAGCTGCTGTGTCTGATGCTGCTGATAGCTCGTTGTTTGTCAAGATTCTTGTGGTTGAAATTTTTGGATCAGTGTTGGGATTGTTTGGGTTGATTGTAGGACTTTTAATGACTGGTAAAGCACAAGAATTTAGCTGAGAAGTAGGATTCTTTCTACACTTTATATACAAAAATTACACCTTCGCATTTATTTCCTCTATACTTAGATCAACTGTCTATATCCATAAACTCGGGATTCTTTTTCAATATGACAACGCCCTCTAACGAATTGCTCAAACTTATATATTCGTCATTTTCAAGTTCAGCACGTTCACCATAATTTAATAGTACTGGTGTCGATTGTGTGACCCATCCAGTGATGGTCTTGGGCTTACCTGCTTGACCAACAACATCAACTGCTTGTCCTACTCTAACATTGACCTTTAACGGTTGCAAGTTTTCATCAATAGTCACCAACATCTTGGGCTTGACCGCAGGAGTTAAATAGTACAACAATTCATGACTTGTTTCAGTCGTTGAATCATTCAAAATGAAAGCTCTTGGGTCTAATAATGCCACGGAAATGGTCAACAATGAAGCCAATGCTGTGTTGGACAATACAGTTCTTTCAACATTGAATGGGGATAATGTCAAAGTACCTTTACCCAAATGCAACAAACCTTGAGCAATTCTCACCATAAACAATGTGTCTGGTGATTTGATATAATATGATGCCAATTGTCTCAATAATTGGGCCAATCTCGCATTGTTTGTACCGGCGCCAACCAATCCCATAGCATAGATGGAATTTTGCGCCACTTCCAAATCAGGATCATGTGAATATCTTGATAAAGTTTCAAAAACTTTGATTTGAGGGTTGGATACGGAAACCAAACCCATAGCCAATGGCACTGCTCTACGTATTAATGAGTTTCCATAATGCATAAAATGACCAAAATGACGCAATGACATATCTTGACCAATATCTTCACCCATGGCAATACATGCCAATCCCAAAACAGCAATTCCTTGGTACAACTCTTCATCTTCTTCAACTTCATCGTCGTCAGGTTCTTCTTTATTTTCATTCTCGGTTGCCTCAGTTGCATTGGCTTTAGGTTCCGTCTGCTCACCTTCTTGAGTTTCGTTACCATCTTTAGCATCTTCCATTTCAACATCACCTTCACCCTCATTCTTGTGTTTCTCTTTTTCCTCAGTTTTCTGCTGGTCTTCTTCGGATTGTTCCAATTTCTTTTCCTCATCGAGTTGATCTTTTGGTTTAGCAGCACACATTTGCAACAATGCTTGTATTTGCAACACGTTACCGGTACCAGCATAAGCACAAATGTTTACCAATACTTTCAAGGTTTTACTGATTGGATGTTCAATAGCATCAATAGTTTCCAATACATCTTCAACTTGTTCAGTTTTGCCCATGTACAAAAGACCCAAACCCAATGCCATAAATTTGATAAATTTATTTGCCAACTGAGCGAAATCTCTCTCCAATAAAGTTTGCAAGATGGTTGAAGTTATATCGCCATGGCAAGTTCCAACAAAAGTATGTCCCAAAGCTAATGCAGCCAAACAAGAAACTTCCAATGGAGCATCCAAATCAGAAACCAATGGCAATAACAAATTCAATACTTCTTCGTTTGCCGATCCCGCAAATGCAATGCCCAACCCATTGATTGCTGCTGTTTGATACAATTTGTTGGAGTCATTGACAAACTCTTGTAACAATGCGAGTGCTGCATCAACGTCGTCATGAACATTTGCTGATACGATACCAGTACCCAACAATGCACCAGCTTTAACTTCGGGATCATCAGAATATGTGAATTTGTCCAACACTTGTAAACCTTCATTGACATCCCATTGGTGAAGCGAACCTAAAGATGCTGTAGTTGAAACCATACCTTTCCCCTTTGTTCTATAGATCCAAGATTTGTTGTCCTCTTCAGATTTTACCAACTTATCCTTACCAAATCCAAGATTCAAGAATGCATTGACAAAAGCAGCAGCAAGATTCTGTTTAGCAGAATCAATTGATCCTGAAGTTCCCAATCCAAATTTTGAATTCTCCAAATGTGATTTGTAAACATCTTCAGGAACTCTTGGATCCAATAGATTTAATTCCTTGATTAAATATTGGAAATATTCACTCAACTTGACATTACTTATAGTCTCTTGAACTTCTTGGTTTTCTTCTGGTAATTTGAAATTGCTGAGCTGTTGCGATAAGATAAAACCCAACTGTTTGTGAACCAACTCATCTTTGGTTGAGTTAAACACTTGTTCTATTAATTCCTTGTCATCCAATTTAATTGCTATAGTTAAAGCTTGCGTCAATTGCCCATGAGACAAGTATATAGCGAAAGCAGTGTTTAAAAAGGAAAGATCATCGGGTGGTGCCAAATATGGAACCATACTAGTGACATAAAGACAAGCTCTTGCATAAGTATTGTCATCAACAAATTGAGGCAATTTGTCAATGGACTCAATTTCTGACAATAAATCGACAGCATCTGCTTCAGCATTGTGGTGTAAGAAATATGGAACAATTTTCAATGCCAATTGAGTTAATTTGGACACCAATTCTTCATCTACACCAAGGTTTTCTTGGTAAGACTCACCAATTTCCAAGGCCAAATGACGTAAATACTCATGACCCCAATCTTGAATAGTATCGGTATTGGACAACAATCTGTATTTTACTGAATCCTTTTTGTCTTCGTTTGAGTAGGTCATTGCCAAAACCGACAAGATATCAGCCAAGTTGAATACAATGGTAGCCTTTTCACCATACTTTTTACTCCATTGATCATACACTTCAGTTAAATCGGGATAGCTAGGTCTTAAAAATTTCAATGGCTTGGGTACGGCAGTCATTGAGGTGGTGGAGTCTTGAATTGACCTCTTTAATGATTCCAAGTATTTTGCATACTGATCTTCTGATTGGTTTGGTTCTTTTAATTTCTCTACTGTCAGTTCCAACTCTTCTTTCAATTGTTGATCTTCTTCAGAAAGCTCTTCCTCTTGTTTGTTAACATGTTTTTTTTGTGGTTGGTTTGCGTCTTTGGCAACCACAGACTGCTGTTCTTTAGATTCTTCCTGCTGTACTGGTGCCATTTTTTACTTCTTCTTAGTTTCAGTTATATGGACTGTGTAATGGGATCAATGTGTCTAAATGATATGAAGATTATATAGTCACAGGTGATAGTAAGAGTGAGTGGTAAAGTATAGTTTAGGATTTGATTTGATTTGCCTCTCAATGTGGTTCTCTATGTTTTATGATTTTTCGCTCACACTGAGTGCTAGTGGCAAAAAAAAATTTATGAAGGATAGTTGAATTCCTGCATAGAGAGGTGAGAGTGGTAACTACCAAGTGCGCCAGGCAGAGGAAACGCATCAGAAGGGTGGATAAGAGAGGGTAGTGAGTATGGCACTGTGCTCTCATTGCTGATGGAAACTGGTAAACTGAGCTATTCACAGAGATACGACGTGTCTTAAAACCCTCTAGTTACGTAACTAGATTCATTGGTGCAGGAACATTAGTTCAATCATGCTTGCGAAGGTCACAAGCATAAGCGGGCAGCAACCCAAACGATAAAGAGAAACTATTTGCACTAAGATCCACCCAACCCACTGTAGGATTCAGCATTTTTCATTGGGACAAAGGTTAAAGGTACGCAAGCTGTGATCTTTACAAGCTTTTGGATATTAGCAAATGCTACCAAATCATCATACATTACAAATAAAAACGCGTGAGAGAAGTTTGATGGTAAAGCTCTCTTATATGCAAGATCTATATTTACATTTTTAGAAAGAGACACCCAACCAAATAATCAAAAAAAAATATATATATTCAATCCTTCCGGCATTTGCATCTTGAGGTAGTGGCTACTACAAAGTAAAGCATCTACCACCAGCACTGCCACCACTACCAAGACCGTCATGGACAGAATATTCTACAAGTCTACTTTACGTGATCCCATAACAAATTATCCCATATACATTTTTGATACCTCATACTTACCATCAACCGATTTGATAAACTATGACAAACTAATACCGGTACTAATGCAACACTTGCCTTTAAAACCATACGTATTGGTAATGTTTTCTAGTGGGTTAAACAAAATTAGTTGGATATGGGGGTTAAAATTTATCAAGACTTTTATGAGTAATGCCATCAATCTAAACAATTTGGTCAAGATTTTCACAGTTCATGATTCATGGTTCATCAAATCTGTTACTTCAGTCATACACAATTATCACACAACTAAACACAATATAGAAATAATCAATTACATGTTGGATGCTTTTGCTGTAGAACCAAAAGGTCAAAGACATACTGATGTTGTCCATTGTCGGACATTGAGTGAATTGAGTCACTATTTAAATATAACTTTATTGAAAATATCATTAAACATCTACAAGTATGATTTACAATTGGAAAATGAGATTAAATTATCATTGAAAATACCACCTGTTATCAATCCACATGTCATGTTATCACCACAAACAAACCCTGCATTTTATCATCATGTATATCAATTGTTCAATATAATCAATACTCATGGCTGCAAAAAGGAATTAATCTGTTACACTCCGGGAAAGAGAGATAATATAGAGATTTTATATCAATGCATTTTGAGAAATCAACTCATTTGGATAAATGATTGGGATTTATATTGCATTTCAACTGTTTTCAAAAAATTATTACTGGATTTGCCATTTGCATTAGTTCCGTACGAGTTGATACTACTACCTATACAAGACGATCTTGAATATACTCAAGCCACACTTAATGCTATTGTTACATCGCATCAACAATATGCAAAAACTATCAATTATGACCAGTTACTATTACAATTATTTCAGTTGTTTACAAATTTAGTTTCAAATGAGCATGTCACCAAGCACACTACTACTACTATTGCCAAATGTATGGCGCATTGCTTATCTCATGAAATAGTCTCCACCGACAAGAGCCGTGTACTCGTGATTCAACGATTCATCAAGAATGTATTACTCTATTGGGAAAAGTTGAAAGCATCTTATGAGTTCCCATCAGTTGAGGATATTGTTAGTGGCAAGCATCAACCGAATCACTCTGAAATTGCGTATGAAATGAGCTACGAAGTCACGTATGAAGAAGATAGTGACGATGATGATGGTAGAGTTTTATTCAATGCGAGTAACATCTTGTTTTCAAATTCCGAATTGGAGTTAGAAGAGAAGCCAAAGGCAAAGGCAAAGGCAAAGGCAAAGGCAAAAGCAAACGGCATCAGTGTTCATAAGGATAACTCTCCAGATTCATTTAATGAAGTGGGAAGTGGCAGACCTTCAATTCATGATCTCAAGTCACCATTAAAGGCTAATATGAGGGGTGACACAGTGGAGTTCTCACCCCCCAGACCTCCTAGGCCAGCAACTAGAGCTGGATCAGTAACAAACAGAGATTCATCACCAAGTAAAACTCGTCAACCAAAAGACACACCACCAGTTCCAGCGCCAAGGGTAACCAAACAGCAGCAAGCACTACCTACTTCTGCATTTACAATTGATAAAACACAACAACAGTCCGATAGCACTAAAATACAAGACGGTAGCAACTGTGGTTCTCAACAACAGCCTCAATCTGATAAATCATGGTTAAACGATGAAAACATTGCACCTAAATCAGCTATCACAAGTGCTGTCTCAAAGTCACAATTGCGATCACCACGATCACCAAAACTGTCAACTACTTTAACCAACGTATCTAATCTCCAATTGCAATATCCACCCCAGAAATACCACTTTACGAAGCCCAAATCCACAATTCATGATGCACCTACTGGTGAATCGACTACATTGGCGACAATTGCGCATGCTCAAGGTCATGTTGATGTCGAGCATCAAAATGCAGATTCGTCGGAACCACAACAGCAACAGAACAACAAGACCAAGAAGAAACCAGTGATTCGTGGTCGTAAAGTATCACAATTGGCTAAATTATTTGAAGAACGTACTGAAGGTTTGGAAATCTTAAATAGCATGTAACTACTAGCATAAAGCTTCAATAGAGTTGAATAAAAAGAAATTGAAGTTTGATAATAGCACCCTCCAAAAAATTCATTCGGTGAATTATAAAAGACAAATGGGGAAAGAAAAATTAACAACTATATAGATTAAAAGAAAAAAAAACGACACCAATAACTTCTCAATAGAAGAGGGTGTTTTGCATAGCCTCTTATTATTCTCCAACCAAACGAGTATCAATATTGTCCATTGACAAATCAGCACCATCTTGGTAGGTATTGGCATGAGGCTGCTGCAGCAGCAGTTGTTGCTGTTGCTGTTGCTGTTGCAGTTGCTCTTGTTGTTGCAGTTGTTGTTGGGGTGATTGGTGATGATGAAGTTGACGACCAACATTGACGCCGCTGGCGGCAGCAACAGCAGCAATAGCAGCAGCGGCACTTCCATCGGAATCAGTCAACCCATGGTGATGATTATGATGATGGTGGGCGTGAGAGTGTGGATGTTGTGAAAGTTGTTGTTGATGAACTCGATTAGCTTGGTCCTGTAAATGTTGTTGGTATTGTTGGTACTGATGATCGTCAAGTTGATGATGTTGTTGAGCTTGAGTGGCAGCGACAAATTGGCGTTGAAACTCTTCTTGTTCCTGTTGAGCTTGATCTTGTTGTTGTTGGTTTTGAGTTTGTTGATGCTGAGTTTGTTGTTGCTGCACCTGTTGCTGAGCCTGTTGTTGCAAGTGCTGTGCTTGTTGATTTCGTTGTTCTTGTTGACTTTGCTGTTGGTTATGGAATGCTTCGTAATTGGTGATATCTTGACCATCACTCAAGAACGCATTAGCATTAGCGGCAGCAGTAACAGCAGCAACGGCATCAGCTGTATCATTACCACTTCCGGACCCATTACCAATGACACCTCCACTCCCAGGAACAGCAGCAGCAGCAGCGGCGGCAGCAGCAGCAGCTTGTTGTGCTGCTTTCTTTCTGTACTGAGCATTAGCAATTCTTGATGGGTTATTGAATCCAAATCTGGAATTCTGCTTCTTTAACTTACGTTTATACCCTCTGATTTCATTATAGATATCCTCACGCTTGATGGCTAAATCGGGATACAGTTCTCTTATCTTGGATTCAATATGCGATGGTTTAGTTCCTAACTTGTACAAATCCAAAATCAATACATTCAATTCATCACTTCTCTTGCGAAGCATGGGATGGTTACTCAATGGGTCCAATTGGGGATGATTATGTTCATTGCATGTTGTTCTCAAGGTCCAAATTCCAGTTGATTTTTTATACGATGCAGTCATGGCATAAGGACATTTTAATTTCTTGGTTTTAGTATCGGGGTCCAACATGTATCCTTCACCAACATCAACTTGCTTCAGTTCATCGATTTTCTTGGTCTTTTTGTGACGGTACCGGCCTCCTAGTTCACAAGTGTAATAAATGGCCTTTTTGTTGGAATGAGCAATAACAACACCAAACCCATTATCTCTAGCAAAATCAGCAATAAACTCATTCAAATCATCACGGCTTTGAAAAATTTGTTCAGGGTATGGACGAGTGATTAAATTACCTTCAGCAGTGATTGTGTTTTCCTCAACCGGGAAAATCTTCAGTCTATTATCAACAATGGGGTCAGGAATTTGGATATTGTATTCAGCCAATTCGTCAGTCGATGGTGCTGATAAATCAGGCAATTGTGGACCTCCATGATGATGATGAGGATGAGGGTGATGACGTGTTGATGGATGGGGGTTGCCATAATTGTTCAATTCGGCCGCAGCAGCAGCGGCAGCAGCCAATGCTTGCTGTTGCTGTCTAACAAATTGCTCAGACGTTTGTTGGGCTTGTTGTTGCAACTGAAACTTTCTGAATTCATCTTCATCTAAAGCTGTTGGCTGGGCTGGTTGATGTTGACTTGGCAAAGTATTTGCTGAAGCTCTATTGTTTCTTCTCGTTTGACGTTTCTGCTCTTTCTTCACAATTGATTGTTGCGGGTGTTGTTGATGTTGGGGCAGTTGCTGTTCGAGCTGTTGGTCGTGTTGCATTTGCAGTTGTGCCTGTTGTTGTGCTTTTGAAGCTTCAGCAGCATGAGCAATATCTTCTAACTTGATTCTGGAATCTTGATGAGAATCAACACTATTAAGCAATTGTTCATCAATGTTACTAGCAAAATCATCTTCAGCAGCAGACATGGTTTCAGTCAAGTTTCAATGTATATATATATATGTATGGGGTCGTGATAATGTAAACAAAAACCTATTTTTGCAACTTGATGATTGATACACTACTTATTGGATATTGGTACACACCTTTTTATTGGGTACACATACACACACACACGAAATAACAACAAATAACAAAAAAAAAAAAAGAGGAGAGAGTGAGAGAGAGGGTGTGTTGAAATGTTCAAAAACTTAAAGAGAAAATTTTTCTCTTTCTCGCCATCCTGCATTTTTGTGTGTATATATGAACAAAAGTCGTGTACTTCTGACATATTGCAATGGTAGCGTTCAGCTAACTGCTTGTAGCCCGTTTTGCAATCAGATGATATACGGCTATTGACACTCTACCTATCATATTAATAGTATGCATTACAATATTTAAACATGTATACAATACTTATGCATCTTTCTCATCAAGTTCCAAATAATCTAGTGCCCAAGTAGGCAAAATAAACGAACTTTGATGCACAAATTGATTATAATACTTGAACAACTGACTTTCCTTCCTTCTATCAAACGTCCTTAATGGCTTTGTTAAATCCAATGTTTCATCAGTTGTTGCGATTAATAACCCTAATTGACCTGAAGTATAACTTGGCATATAACATTGACAGAATTTAACATTGGGGAATACAAACTTGCATTTTTTAATTAAATTCTTGAGATATTTTAAATTAAGCCATATGTTTTCCAGTGATTGCATAATGACGATCCCCCGTGGATTCAAGGCATTACGTAACAATTTGAAATAATTGACTTGGAAAAACTCTTCTGCTGGACCCTCTGGGTCTGAAGAGTCGGTAATTATAACATCGAATTTGAGTTTAGTTTCACGAAGAAATTTGAACCCATCATTAATTATCAAGTTCAATTTGGGATGGTTATGATACTTGGCCATTTGTGGTAGATATTTAGTCAGTAATTTGATTACCATATCATCAATCTCAACCATGGTTATAGATTCCACGCTTTTGTCTTCAACATGTTTAACTAATTCCCTAATAACCCCACAATCGCCTCCTCCAATTACCAATACTTTTTTTGGAGATGGATGTGACATAATTGGAACATGAGTGATTAATTCTTGGTATGCAAATTCATCCTTTTCAGTACATTGTATAATACCATTGAGAACCAATACATTCCCAAATGTGGTAGATTTGAATATTAGGATATCTTGATATGGGGACTTGGTGTGGTATAAAATTTGATCCACTTGCAAACCAAATGCTTGTCCTGGAAATGCATCAGCAGATTTTTCATAAAACCAATATGACTGACTCCTCGGATCACATGATATAGTATCGTGTTTGAATTTGGATATGTCTATTGGTGCATCTGGTTCAATTGTGGAGCTCACGCAACTTCCATTTCGATACACGTGCATATTGTGATAAAACGGGTGTATTTGACAATGAGTAGCTCTATTAAAGCGAGTGGGATTTTTTAAAGAAAGTCGAACTAAGTTCTGCGTCCCATGGAATAAAAATCAATCTATCACCTGTATAGCTTCAAACCTTCAACACGATAAGCTTTGATAACACCCATGAATAAATTTTTTTTTTCTTTCATTCCGCATCGTAACTGATTGAATTTTTTTTTTTCCCTCTTTTATTGATTTTGTGTAGTACGCACAGATTACACTCGATTTGTTAATTGGTCTTGTGCTAGTTGCAAATGTATTGAGATATGCCAGTTACAAGAAAGAGTGTCATAAATCTAGCTAATAATGGTGCCTCTCATCGAATTTGTTAATTGAGCTGAGAGTAAGCCTTTCACCACAAGGAAGTATTCACAACGGCATTGAGAACATTCACACAGGAGGTTCAACGTTCCAATAGTGTGTAAGCTTGATTTTATTGATAAAACATCTCCATTTTGCATTATCAACCCGAAGCAAGAGTAGCTTACCCTAGTAATTGATTCAGTTCGAACGATGTGGCAGACAAAGCTGGGTCACATACACATTGTGGTACCAAAGTAAATTATCGGTTACAGTCGGAGATTGGCTATAATTTATTTTTTTACAAGAAAGAATGTACTTGTAAATTCATGATTGGCTTATTCTACCTACAACTTTGAACAAACTAGAAGATGCTCAACAAACCTAATAAAGAATGGGGGCATCCCCTCACCCTCACCCTCACCCTCACCCTCATCCCCACTTACTCCTTAATCTTTCGTGGTTATTTCTGGTGAATTTACACTTTACTATACTCTTCTTAAATTGGAAAACTATCGAAACCTTTTTACTCAAAGAGGGGAATAAGTTTGTGTAAAAGTGGTACTGAGTGCACTACTTCCGAGTGTTTTTGTATTTTTAACGCGGGGATTAGAGGGATTAGTAATTTTGGAAAAGTACGTATGTATGTGTGGATGCATATGCAAAATTTCTTTTTGCTGTCTCATATGCAAAGTCTAAAATGTAAGTCGTGTACTTGTTGCCACGATTCTTTCTTGTCCATAGCCACCAGACCAGTCACACAATAGAGATGAAACAATATACTCATTTAGCTATCGTGTAACTTCGGAGTTCTGTCGCTAAATATAATGACCTCGCAACTGGCTCTCTACCGAGTCAGGTGATGCTCGGGGATCCATGGAAAATTACATTGTCCATTTTGTTCTTTTAGGGCTGTAGTGTAGTGTACATGTACATTTAGTGTTTTCTTTTCTTGTGGTTTTATTTATTATTGACGTAATAAAATTGTAAAATGACATCCGTACACCAATAATAAGTAATCTGGATTTGATCCCTAATGGAAGTCATATGCGAGTATTTTAGCTCCATACACACATACATTGTATGCAAGTACGGTTAACTGTTTTTTTTCTTATGCCCCAAAAAGAGGAAGACTTACTTGAATTTAGACTATAGCAATTGTCACTATTTACACGACTCCCCTCTTTAACGTTTTAAAAATAAAAACTCAGGAGACAAAAAACCAAAACAATAAACCATTGGTACACGACCCTATCTCCTAAAGACACAAATATCCCTTGTCTTTTCTTTTTCTTAGAAGAAAAATCAGCTATGAACCAAACTTGAAAAAAAAAAAAACTATAATCAATAGGGAAAGTTTGTTGGAAAACTATTTATTTTTTTTTCAACAAAGAAGCACACACTCAGATTCAGTCTTCAAATAGACCACAATTCAACTTGACACAAGTTTCGACTGCAATACTGTGGGCTTAGACATCTTCAAAAAGTCGTGAGGGCAAAATACATAAAAAGAAAAATTCAACTTTTACAGGGACAAACCGAGAGAAAGAGAGAAAAAAAAAAATTTATCCGTGATTATAATAATAATAATAATAAAGAAATACACTGAAAACAAAATCTAGGCTTAAGCAGGGGACTCCCAAAGATGACAACACAAATGATGCCTTCAAAACAAAATACACATCAGACAAATATACTGAATAAACAGTATAAACCACATAAGAACAATATGGATAGGGGAAAGCAGTTGCGAAACACCACTATTGGCACATCAACTGCAAGTTTTTTTAATGTTGCTATATTGGCATTTATAGTGACCACTTTCAAATACATTGTTGAGACCATTTACGAGTTTGTATTGCAGAAGTCTACGCTAGTTGTTATTCAATATGGCCACCCCAGTGATCAATCTACAAGAGATGTGAAGGGTTTATCACACATTGATGAGGAGGAAAAAGTCGAGGACTCCAATGTTAGTTTGTTTCCTTTAATGACTTCTAACAATGATGTCAACCATACTAAAGAGGAGCAATCGGACGAGTGTTTAGTACCAACAAGTTGCTCCATGGGGCTTACCACTAGATTGTTACCTGTCAAGAATGCAAATGGAGAATTGGAGTGGGTATTCACTGACGACGACTCCATGTTGAATAAAGGCACAGAATTGGACGTATTCAAGATTCCACAACCACAGAATCACAAATTAGGGGATAATAGCAATAATGAGCTTTCCCCAACAATGTCAAACTCATCTAATGAGACAACATTGTCTGCAAAATTAGAATTGAATAATTCACAAAGCAAAGAACATTCAGTTTCACCGAATGGATCATCTCATTCATCATCCTCACCATATATGGAAGATGATGGTGAAGAACATGAACATGATTATGAGCGTGAAGTTGATGGCGAGAAGACGTTTCAATGCCCACACTGCGACGCTAATTTCAAAATCAGAGGTTACCTCACCAGACATTTGAAAAAACACTCATCTAGTAAGGCTTATTCTTGTCCTTTCCACACCCAAAGCATATATAAAGATAAAAACAACATCACTCATAAATGTCACCCAACTGGAGGGTTTTCAAGAAGAGATACTTACAAAACACATTTAAAGTCGAGACATTTTGATTATCCAAAGGGTATCAAGTCCAAAAATAGAGGGAATAGCGAAGGGCATTGTTCAATGTGTGGAGAATATTTCAAAAGTGCTGAAATGTGGTGTGAAATACACGTTGAAGGTGGAGAATGTAAATTTTTACCACACGATTACAAAGGCAAATCAAGAATTAAAAACAGATTGAAGAAAAAATTGCAAAAGAATGAAGAAATAACCGATCCTGAATTATTACCCTTTGCCTCAAAAGTTCTTGAAGAGGTCAAGGAGCAAAGAATGCAAAAGAGATTAGCCAAGAAGGAAAAGAAAAAGAAGAGTTTAAAAAGACAAGTTCAACAACAACACCAACTTCGTTACGATGTTGCTGTAAACTCCAATTATCACCACTCTTTGAATGGCCCTATAACGATGTCGCCACCACCACCACAACAACATATGGATACACCTTCTTCAATGGCATCGTCATCACAATATGAATCTTCTTCGGTACATTCACCATATACACCACAGACGTCAAAATCACCATTGAGTTTAATGACGAATAGTTTTGTCAAACAAGACCAATCTCAAATTCACCACGACCAACATCAGTATCAACCTCAACCGCAATATACTCCAGCGCCATATCAATTTGACCAAATTGCCACTGCTCATACTGCTTTGAAGCCAAGTATACAGGAGGATTACGATGATGAATATTGTCTTGATGTTGATCAATTGAGTCCACAGTCGACGCGACAATTTAATGAGTTGGCACAAATGATCAAGTTGCAGCAACAGGAACAGCAAATGCAGGAGCAAGCATTTTTTCAACAGCACCAGCAACAACAACTTCAAGTAGTACAAGGTGTTACAAGTCAGTACATGGGTTGAGCTAGGGGGCTGTTATTTCTTACGTGATGAAATGTGTGTATTATCATTATTTTTATTCAGGAAAAGGTTTTTTTCTTTATTTTTTCTTTTCATTTGATGAAGTTTTTGGTTCTTTGATGTGGTTTTATTAGAAAGGGTTTGTTTGTTTCTTTATTTGTTGTATGGATTTTTTATGTCACTTTTCTTGAGTTTAAAGATATGTATTTTTTTAATTAACGTTGTCAGTTTTGTATTAGCGTGGTCTATGGATTTCTATTTAACAACTCGACTGAGCATTATTGAAGCTCTTATGTGAAATCGGTTATGAAAAAATGTCGTCAATTGCTGATTTTGATTTTGATTTTAATTTTGAATTTGAATTTGAATTTGAAGGGGATTTCGATTTGTGCTTCTTTGAAGGTTTGGCGGTTTTTGAACCGTCTTGTTTTCTTTTCTTCTTTTTGGAGGATGTATCGAAAATATCGTCGATTGTATCCAATGGCGTAGACTGTTTCTTACTGGTGGATTTACTTGGTTGGTGGGTGGCAATTTTAGTGGTACCGGAAATGGTTTCTGGCAATGGTTTTATATTGTCAATTGTACTCAGTTTCGTTCCATCCTCTCTACCTAGCGAGCTAGCGATTTCTTCAATTACAGGCGTACTTACACCCACTTCATCATCATCATCATCGTAAACAATTTCCTCTCCCAAATCATCCAAATCATCTTCATTTATAACTTCACCTTGAAACAAATTGCTTAAATTGTCTAGATTAACATCAGCAGAGTCGCCAACCGGCACAGACAAACTAGCCCTTTTCATATCAACACCATCAACTTTTCCAATCAAGGTGACAATTTTGGCCAAGTTACCAATCAAGGCGAATCCCAAAGTGATGTATTGACCCAAAACCAAGATTGAATTATATGCCCAGTACGCACTTCGCGACACTTGAAGTATCTTGTTACCTAATTTGACGATTTGGCTCTTTTTGTATTCAATGCGGGATTGCTGCTTCGTGGATGATGATGATGATGATGATGATGATGTGGTGGTGGTGGTGGCGGTGTTGGGTAGTCGATCGATATCAATTTGTAGTTTGAGAAGGTTGCGTAGATTACGATAAATAATATTGACGTATTTGAACCAATGCTGTTGACGGTGCTGATTCTTGGATCGATGATGGAGTAGGTTTAGTATATCATATTCGTTTAGTAGGCTTGTGTATGTTTGATGGTCCATTTAGTGGAGAAGGTGTTGATATGTACAAAGTGTGGATGATTGTGGTTGAGACACAAAAAGTTTTTGCATTTCATAAACAAGCGATGATCTTTTGATGAGCTTTTCAAATCAACAAAAAAAACATTGAGAAACTAACCACTACGATCAAAGTGCAGACTTCCCCTTTAGTTACAATCATGAATGATATCATACCACAAGCACGAGGCTTTCTAAGTACATCACAACCGGAAAAGGCATTGGAAATTCTTACACCTCATATTGCTTCCAATTCCTCATCACCTGAATTTCTAGCCATTTTGGGTGAGACATTGCTTGAGAATAACGAGCTCAAACAAGCTTATAATGTGCTAATACAGGCATGCGAACTAGATCCTGACGCATCTTTGGGAGTTGAAAAGTTTTTATACTTGGGACAAATCATTGGTGGTGCTGATGGATTAAACTATATCAATACTGGATTAAACAAATTGAATGAAATTTTGGCCAATATAAATGAAGGAAGTGTTGATGAACAAGAATTGGCAAAAAGTGTATACAGAGATGTCGACGAGTACAAAGCCTGGGTTATTAAAAAGTTAAATTCAGGTATATTTGCCAGCATCGAGATATGGATGACTGATTTATGTATGGAGCCAGAAGCAGAATCAAAATGTAACGAATTGATCGATTACAGCTTATCAATAGATGCTGAAAATCCTGAATCATTGTCGATATTATCATCAATTAGAATTTCTCAACAACGTCAACAAGAAGCAGTGGAAGCATTGAACAAATCATGGGAATTGTTCAAGTTGCAAAAGACAAAATTGGAAGATTTTGCCAATACCAAGGAGACAAAAGAAGGGGGTAGCGGTAATGGGGAGGATGCATTTGAAGTGGGTTTGGAATATGTGGAATTGATTCAACCTTTAGTTACATTATCTCGATACGCAATCGAATTGGAACAATATGATACTGCCATTGATATCGCTTCTAATATCCAAGATATAAACGATTCGATCTTAGATGCATTTTACATTGAAGCGTTGGCCAACTTATTTAAAGCTAAACAAATGTCAACTGCCAAAATAGCAACAAACAGTGATGAATTTGATGATTATCGTGAATTGGAAATTTCACAGTTGAAGAACACTCCAGAAATCAAGCAATTGTTAGCTGATTCGAGATTAATCTTGACTTCAGCTTACAAGATAGTCAATAGTGAATTGGGCGATGAGAATGATCCTGTCTTGGTTCAACAAGTGAATGAGTTGTTGAATCAATTGGGTGGGCCAATAATGAGTGAGTTGATGCCAAAAAGAGAAAATCTAGATGATGAAGACGTTGATTGGGAGGCAGAAATTGTCTCTGGAGATGAAGAGTAAAGTATAGTTGTGTTTAATAGACGATGACTCCGAAGAGCGGATCAAATTAATTTCATTTAGTATTATCGATGCAACTCCACTGATCTCTGACATGAGCCGCGCAAACTCATCATTATCCATCTACAAAAAAATTCGTATCGAGTCCCACTTTATCACTACTATCTTTACCTACAAAAATGACGACAAACCACAGGCCTACATTAGAAAGCAAAAAGGGAAAGAATATAACCATACGGGACTCTATAGTGCATGCTCGATCTTTCCCACAACTGCAGAACCTAAAAGTAAGATCAGATATACCTCCGCAAACTTTGGACAAGGCTGTCAAGGAGTTGAGGGATGGAAACAAAACTAGTGGTGATGGCTGTACAACAAGAGATTCTTCGGCTAACGTGGATGATATAAGTGACGGCGATGAATGTGACGCATATCTGAGAGCATATACTGTTGGACTTGAAAACCCAATTAACAGTAAGAAGAGGATACGAGAGAAGAATGACGATATAGAGGAAAGCAGCAAAGTTGAATCTTCCGCGAAGGAATCATTTACGATTGATGAACCAGAGTTGAAGAAATCTCGAGTGGATACTAAATCCGTCATCGTCAGTGAAGCTCATGATGAATCAAGTGATGATGATGATGATGATGATGACGACGACGACGACGATGAAGAGGATACTGATGCTTTGATCGCTGAAATAAACAAGATAAGACAAGACAAAACCATGCAAAGTCTAACTCCTGTGTCAAGCACTCAAGCAACAGATTTGGACCGGTTGCTATATCACCAAGAACCAACTTCAAAAAAGAGTGGATGGAGAAGACTGGCTAAGAAATTCAATGAAAGGAAACATGACCTGAAATCGAACTTTACTACTGACTCGCAAAATTCGCAATTTCATCAAGATTTCTTATCAAAGTACATCAAGTGAGCACACGCTTTCTTGTCGCAGTCTATAAATCATGAGGTATATTTATTCCTAGATATATAACGAATAAGAAGACATGTATATTTAACATTACACATTAAAGCAGATCATAAGAAAATCTTTTTCTCCTCCTCCTTTTCCCCCTCTCAAGTCAAATCTTCCTCATTACGACCAAGTCTAGCATCAAGGTAAGCAATATCTTCTTTAAGACTGGCCTCTTCGACAGTCTTCACCAACTCTTTAGTGCATTTAGCAATATCAAACGAGATTCCGGCTAATCTTTGTTTGAAATTCTTATCAGCGAATTGGCCATCATTGGAATCTTGAGGTGGTTTACACAAGATATCCATACGATGATAACAATCTTCCAAAGATTTGACTACCCAGCTGCCATGTTCCTTCAATTGGGCATTTCGAGTTTGATTCATTGATGTGTTTGTAGCTTCGCACATTTGAGCAATGACAATGGTAATTGCCTTTGATTTATTACGTAAATCTCCTCTTGTTGCATTGGGTTTCTTGATGGCTCCAAGCAATGATTGAATAGTATTGATCACTTCCACCGTTTGATGTTCGAGATAAAGCAAAACTTGAGTTAACGTATTGTCAGGATCATCAATATCAAACAAGTCAACATTGAATGTTGCAGCAGCCATAGATTTGCGATACTCCTGTCTCTGTCTAGCTTCATGTTCCGTATCGCGTTCGTCTTCATAATCATCATCATCAGAATCTTCCAGTGAACTTGGTTCTTGAGCTAGTTTAGGAGAGCTGATCTTAACACGAACCCCCGGCTCATTGTCAACAGGTTTGTCATTGTCGTCAAACGAATGATTGATAGGAGTAAACTCACCCACCCTTCTTGCTTGTTCGGGAGCAGACAAATTCTTGTTCTGCAGGGTATTGGTACCACCACGCTCCATTTCGGAAGTGCGCTCACCTTCATCCCTTCTATATGAATGGTCTGGCTTGGAACGGAGACCATTTGTGTTTGCATCTGAATCCGCATCAGACCTTTCCTTGAATGATTGTAAGATACCTCTGCCTCTTCCGGTTAGTGAAGTGTCGTCATCATTGAAATTTCCTTTGGCAGCTGGTGACGATCCCACCAACTCTCCTTGTAATTTTGACGTGAATGGATCAGCAAGTCGTCTTGGTTCATCACCACTTTCATCGGTTGATTCAAATGATCTCGGGGATCTTTGGAATCGTCCCGGGCTAGACTTCATTTGAGCTTCTGGCGAACTCTCAAATTGCTTCACTCTATCCATTATATTTCCCTTCTTTGTTGGAGTGGTTTTCATAGCTGGCGGAGATGATTGATCATGGTCAGAAACTGATCCTGCAAACTTGCGACCAAGGGCAGAAACATTGGATGTCTTTTCAATCTTTGAAGAAGATGGGGTAGAAGTTGTCGCATTGTCGAAATGCTTCTCCTGCTGTTTCTCCAAATGCTTTTCTAAATGCTTTTCAGCCATCGGCTCTCTGTTGAGATCTCTACTTGCCAATGGCACAGCTTCACGTTCAACAATTTGTGGAACAATATTTTCACTTCTTTCTGAAACTGATGCGATGAACGGGCTCTGGGCATTGTTGTGATCAGCAGACACTTTCCTCTCTGACGTGACTGGTTCCATGCTTCCTTGTTTCAGTATGTCATCACTACGACTCGGTCCTTTATCCAGGGCTCTCTGGTGTGCAGCAGATGCATCAGCAGCCCGAGTCATGTGTTCAAATGATTGCAGTGTGTTATGAATCGGCTGTTGTCTAGATACTTCTGGTGGTAGTTGTTGCACTCTCTGAAATGGTTCATTTTCCAGTCTATCAAAAGGTGGTGCATCACGCAGTCCTACTCTAGTCTGTTTAAATCCATCTTCTCTGGATGTACTCTCATGTGTCACCCTTTGCCCATTTGGTTCCTCCGAAGGCTTACCTCGCGAAACTGTTCTCTCCGGAGGAGATTGTTGAATTTTACTAGAAGGGATTTGCTGAGTTCTTTGTGGTGGTGAGCGCTGTATATTTTGTGGCGGTGTTTGTTGTTGTTGCAGCTTATTTGGTGGCGTTTGATAATATGTTCCGTTGATCATGTTGGGGTGGCTCAGCTTTAATTTGTTAGCCATTTTCAACGGCCGGACTCCATAATCAGACTGAGAGGGTGTAGCAGCAGCAGCCTTTTTTTCTGGTTCAAGTTTTCTCAAGTTTGTCGAATTCTCATTAAGTTTCGAAGTTGAGATTAAATCACATAAAACGCAATTCATTTCTCCCAACGCCTTTTCAACAATAAACCTTGGGAAAAGTTGTCTATACGTAGCATGATATCTAGTAGCAGTTAAAGCATAGGCAGAAGCTTCTCGCAATAGGATAGAGTGTTCATTACTGTTTGGAACTTGGTTTTCTCCCTGAGAAGCAATCTCATTCATGACAACAGCAATTTTCGAAACTTTTTCAAACATCACATTAACATCCCAATTTTCACCAATATAGACAAGGAATGACTCCAACAACGATTGAGCATCGCTAACCAACTTTATTGAAACTAAACCTTGAGGGGATATCAATGACTTCAATTCTACCTTGGACAACGTGGTTTTCTTGATCTCACTAGCAATAGATTTCGATCTAGAGTCCTCGTACCTACGTTGCCACTGTTTAACCTGATTCTTTAATTCCAATGTTGAAGGGTTCTCTGGTGAAGGTACGTCAATTTTTTCCAACTTCTCCAAAAAGGCAGTGATGCTGGTATTATTAGTCCTGGCAGGCAAATCTGATTGATTGGGGGACTGATTGGATATTGAGCGGTTAACGGGCGAGGTGTTCTTCAATGATTGGTTTTCAAGTCTCAAAGCAGCGTTGATGGACTTTAGTTTTTCAAGTTCCTCTGACTTGTCACTCGATTGCAAGGACTTGGTTAAATTTTCATGTTTCGAGATCCAATTCTCCTTCTCCTGGCCCAACAGTTCAAGTTCTTCACTGAGAGTCTTATTTTGTTTGACGGAAAAGTCGTAATCATCTTGCAATGAGTTGAGCTTTTCCGAAAGAATTTCCTTCTGCTTTTCAACATTGCTTAATTGCTTCTTGTAGGCATCTAATTCCTTCTCCAATTCCAAAATTTTACTCTTATCAAACTCCAAGTCTTTTTGCACAGTACGACCACCATTGAGCAGCCTTTGCAGGTGAGAGGCTTCTCCCTTTTCGTCACTTCTTTCGTTTCCATTATCTTCTTCATCACTCGACCAAGTGAGGTTGGCTTTGGTGGGAACCACTGTAGACTGTTGGATGCCAATGGATTGCTTGGAGGCTTCTGCTTCTGGTATGCCGAGGCTCTTGTTTGAAGCGACTTGATCCACCGAGCGATCGTTATGCTCGTCGTGTTTCATGTGATCTTCATGAGTGGGGAGGTTATGATGTGACGTCAGACGACTGTGATGACCATTTGTTCCATGGGAAATGTGAGAAGATGCTTGGGAAGCCTTGCGTTCATGTGAGCCATGAGCATTCAAAGCATGACTAGATGTCAAAGAAGAGCGACGTGGTTCAGCTGACTCCTTTTGTTCTATGTGGAGATCTCTTCTCTCAATTTCGTACGAAATGTCAGCCACCAAATCCTTAAATCTAGTTTGCGGCAAAGATGCCAACTTTTGTCTGGCTTGGTTTCTCTTAGGATGGAATGATGATTTAGGCAACAAGTAATCTGGTTCTCCTCTGCTTTCATCAATCCTACGTTTCAACTCATCATAAACATCTGTACTCAACTCTTTGAACTGGGCAGCTGAAAGTTTTAGCAACTTTTCCCTAGCTCTCTGGGCCCTGGATGAGGTTGATTTAGATCTGGTTTGTTGGTCATCAGAAATATCAAGAAACTGTTTCAAGACCTTGTAGTGGTGCGATAGATCCTTTTCACTCATTGTAGTTTGATATAAACAAAGCAGTAGATTAATAAAGCACACCAGGAACTTGATATATTGACTATCTATATCCCTTCAATCGATGGTTGTTGTACTGTAAATCCAAAAACACAACTTCTTCCCTGGTGATGGGTTTGCCAATTGTGTTGCCAAAATCTTTACACCTTTTTTTTTTTCGTTCTTCAGGTTTGTTTTTTTTCTAACAAATTTTACTTTTGGAATTCTTTTAATCTTCTCTCTGTGTAACTAAATTAGGTTGTTTAATGATCTCCTTTCAGAGAGAGACAGAAAGACAGAGAGAAAAGAGAGGTAGCACAAGCCAAGGTGTCTCTATTTCTACATAGCGAATGGGGTTTTCGCCGCTTCTTAACAGCCAGGGATTACTGCGTGCTTACGGAATCTAATTAAAATCACATAGTTCTAACTCTACTTCAAACATTCTCCAATTACCTCACCACGTTATGTTTAATTTTGTTTCTTGATTTTGTGTAGCATCATCAACGCATGCCGTATTGTAGATTTTTTATTTTTTATTTTTTCTTTATTTCCATAGTTTGAAAAGCACGACGCGTCTTGTGGTTTTACTTTTGTGGTTGCAACGACAATAACCTACAAAATTTCATCACGCAAAGATAGCATATATAAAATGAGTAACAAAGGGTCATGACAAAGCTACCTTGCAAAACTATATCGCATCCTACATATCGATCCAGAAGAACTTGTAAAATTCTGGATTGAACTCTATAAAAGATCCAGCTCAGGACTATACCTACAATGATGTCCTTTCTAACTCGAGCAGCTGCACTGCAACATAGAATATTCGTCTCCCTTCTCTCCTTGTAATATCCATGACTCCTCAACATTCTTCAATTCATCACCCCAAAGCTGATCATTGAATGGGTTGGAGCTCATATCTTGTAATTTTTGCAAATAACTGATATCTTGGCCCCTTGATTCCGATACCTTGTCAATTACTTGATCGAGAATCCAGTTTCTAGGTAAAAATCTGGGGTTATAATGTGCAGCATTTGAAACATCATGGAATTCAGCTGAATTTTTCTTTAACCCATGGTATATCTTGAGCCAGTCAATCACTTGTTTAGCAATATCCTCTTTGTGGTTTCTGTTGGTATTTGGATCATATCGTTCCAAAAGCAGCTCAGCTATTTCTTCATAAGATGAATTGAAATCGACATTCTGTAGCTTCAAAAAGAACAAATTGAAATCGGTTTGTAATTTCTCCAACGCTTCCAACATTGGCACTAGTAATTGAACATTCTGTGCATCCGGATTCTTGTCGTCGATTAGCTCTTGAGCCAATCCCAATCTTTTGAAAAATGTTTCAACGTATTTCTTGGTGTAGGCATATTGGTATATTTCACCACCCATTTCTATAATCCTTGTTGCCCTAGATATAATGTCTTCTTCCCATTCCTCCTTCACACCCTCTTTAAACTCAGGATTGTCCAACAACTTTTGCCCTGCTCCTATCAATTCGGCCAAATCCTCCCCTAAACGCGTCAAATTCCACCATATTGCTGTTGGCACATTTCTATACCCATATCTAGACTCATGGTCTTCTGAGTTGGGCGTATAATTTGGATCATATTTATCCATGATGGAAAATGGTCCAAAATCTATGGTAAGTCCTAGTATAGACGTATTGTCAGTATTCAAAACCCCATTTAAAAACCCATAACATTGACAAATTGCGGTAGTCTCAGCATTTCTGATAATTGTCTCATAATACATTTTGTCATAATCGGTAAGCGACTCATCCTTTAGCTTGGTCAAATCCGGCCTCAACTTACTAATACGTTCAAAGTTTTGAAACTTGTTACCATCTATGGTGAACAACTCCGAAATTACATAATCCGACAACTTGCGCACACCCTCGCGGTCACCTCTATACCGATATAAGTCAAATGATCCTAATCTTACCCAGCTTTCTGCAAATCGTGCCACAATTGCACATCTTTCAGCAGCATGTCGTTGTGCTAGGGTTGTAGGTAAATAAGTCAATGAAAGAGCTCTAGTCGTAGGTATTCCAATAGCATTCAAATGCTCTGATATAATATATTCACGAATCGAGGATCTTAAGACTGCTTTTCCATCAGCAAACCTTGAATATGGGGTAAGACCAGCACCTTTGAGTTGAAGCTCGTATTTGTGTCTATTTAGATTTTCTTTCTTTGTCTTGTCTATCTCAAACAAATTGACAACCCTCCCATCTCCCAACTGTCCTGCAAACTGTCCAAATTGCCATCCAGCGTATGCTTGTGCATATGGCATGGGAAAACCTTTATCCAAAAAACTCTTTCTATCCTCATAAAATTCGCCACTGATAATTTTCCGGAAAATGGGGTCTTCCACTTCCGCGGGATCTAGTCCCAAATCTTTCAATGCTTTGGGATTAGCAATTAAGAATTCGTACTTATCTCTAGGAGTAGGCAACACCCAAGAAAACCCTCCACTTAACAAGTTTCTTGGTTTGTTGGTAATTTTATTTTCATTCTCCAAGGCAACTTCAATGGTGGGTATCCTATTATCAGGAGCAATGTGATCAGTAAAGGATGATGTTTTAACAGCATTAAGGAGCTTTGAGTTATTTGTCATTTTTTTTGCTTGTCTGATCATAAAGGGAATAGGAAAAAGGGAGTGTAGATAGCGGTGAAAAGAAACAGATCGAAAGGATGATATTGTATATTGTGATTGCTTTTGCTTTACTCATTGTTGAAGATCTAGCTTTGCTTTTCTTTTCTTTTAATTCAACTTTGTGTAACGAGGAAACCAAACCGCCATGGATGCAATACAATCGAAGGATAGTGGCAACTCCTTGTTTTGAGCGTTATCTAGACATTGCGGTACACGCAAGTTGTTATCAGGGATCTTTCAAGTATTGAGATGGTACAGACAAGACTTCGTGTGGACGTTACAGTAACATTATGCGACACACAACATCCTCTGCCTAAGCTCAACTTACGTAGAAGCCAGAGAAAGCGGATTAATAGGATACTGAATAATCCAGTCTATTTCGTAAAGACACCAGATCACGTTCAAAACTAGTGTAACGATGGCACGGCTGATGTACCGTCGTATATTTCCATACGTTCAATTTCAAGGGGGTTCAAAATCTAAACCTGAAGAATTTGAAAAAGAAAAAAATTCTTGACCAAAACAATATAATCTATAATTAGATCCTATCTACCTAAGCCACTTGTTTCCCCCCTTCCTAATGATATCGAAGCACAGGTTAAGGCTCTTCCTCTTGATAGTTGTTGCACTAGTTGGGTTACACTTTCTCACTACCAACAACTTCAGCAATCAGGACTTGCAACGAATACTTGATGAATCATTGAATAAAAAGCCCGCAAGTAACAACCATAAACAGCCTTCTCCTGGGAAGGATATTCCTCAGACTCCAAACCAGCAAGACAGTTCCAAACAACAGTCTGATTCAACGAAAGCGAACTCGAAACTGAAACCCAAAAACCCAAAGATTGATGATTATACCATATTTTTTGAGGATCTCGAAAGATACCAGATAAATCAACCATCAATTAAGGATAGGTACAAGGAAAAAGATCAAAAAGCCAAGGAGCTTTTTTCCACTAGTGATTCGTTTTTGTTCAATAAAGAGTATCTTGAGAACGTGTTGGATATATCCGAAAAGACTTTTGACGAGATGAAGGCCAGTCACACGATGTACGTGAATGAACGCATACCACAGCTTCTCAATGAGGGAGTTGTCACATTTGGTAAAATGGTTCCCAGTGATCCAGATTGGAATATTTATGAAGGGTCGTCAGGCTATGTGTTAGTTGGTGGAGGCAGATATAGCTGGTTGTCGTACCTTGTTATAAAACAATTACGTGCCACGGGTGCCCAATTACCAATTGAATTATTTCTTGCAACGGAGGACGATTATGAAAAGAACTTTTGTGAACACATATTAAGAACGTACAATGCCAGGTGTAACGTGTTTGATAAAAACTTGGCTCAAGATTTGCTAACGAGATTCAACATCGGAGGATATCAATACAAAATGTTGGCATTATTAAGTTCAAGGTTCGAAAATGTGTTGTATTTGGACTCCGACAACTTTCCCACGAAAAATGTGGACTACCTTTTTACTTCTGATTTGTACAAGAAAAACAATTTGATTTTATGGCCTGATGCTTGGGCTAGAACCACCAATCCTATGTATTACGATATCGCTGGTGTTGAAGTAAGGGAGAACAAACTTCGGTACAGTGCATACGATATCAAACAAGCTGGAGGAAAGGAAAACCTTCGTCCAATGTCAGAATACACTTTTGAAAACTCCTGGTTCCACGATTTTGATGGAACGTTACCCGATCCAACTTCGGAGACTGGAATGTTTATGGTCAACAAAACTAGTCATTTGAAAACATTACTTCTTTGTTTGTACTACAATGTGTTTGGTCCTAATTATTACTACCCAATCTTGACTCAAGGTTCAGCAGGGGAAGGTGACAAGGAGACTTTTATTGCTGCAGCGCATGCGTTGAATGAACCATGGCACCAGACATTGAAACAATTTCAGTGGACTGGTTACCATTCAAAAGCAACAAATTCCTTTAAGTCGAAAGCATTGGCCCATTACGATCCAGTTCAAGCATCAACAGATTCGAAGAATGTTGACGTTATTTTTATGCACTTGTCGTACCCTAAGTTCTATCCGAATTGGTTGGTGGATAATCATGATCTTATTTACGAAAATTCAGATGAGCATATACGTATGTATGCTGGTGTTAAGGAAAATGTTGGCTATGATTTTGATTTACGCGTGTTGCAATTTTTCACTGAAAGTATTTGTCCAAACTATTATGGGTCTAATGGAAAAGCCATTGATGAGGATGTTTCTTTGACTAAAGACACCACATATATGGGAGAGTATCTTCAGTACATCAAGGACGAAGAGCAAAACAATATCAAACGATGTGAAGAAGTGTTTATTCCACATTTGAAATGGTTAAAGGAAACCAAGGATGCTAAAGAGTCAAAAGATGATACCAAAGCCTAAACCTGATTTAATAAATTTTCTAGATACTTACTACACATAGTATATCTATAGTACAGACTTTCTAAGCGGTCATCTTTTCCACAATATTGTTAACAACGTCATCAACGCTATCTCTTGCGTATTTACTAACCATCAATACATCAATCAAACTCTTGACTCCAATGTTGATATCATATTGTCCTAGTTGCTGTAAAACGTCTTGTCTCTGGTCTGGTGTCATAAATCCTAACTTGTCCATTACTTTACCCACTTCTTCAATGGTCCTGATAGGAGGAACAGCAATAGCATCATTAAAACTATCAACAAGATTCATATGTTTCAAGACTGAGTATTGGGAAGTTGTACCTATGATTAACAATCTCCTACCTCTAGGTGGTTTCTTGGTCAAGTACACATTTAACACTTGTAAAACATCATTTGAGAATCTTGGTCCAATAGGGTTATAATTAATAATGTTTTCAATTTTGTCAATAACCAAAACATTCAATGGCGACTTGTGAACATCTCTGAAAACATTATCAATTTCCTGAATTTTTCTAGCCTCTCCCATACCAACCAACGTCTCGGCCGATAACATCTTGATAAAAGGGAAATCACTGTTTAATGCCAAAGTAGTGGCAATGGCGGTTTTACCAACTCCAGGTGGACCATACAACAAAAGACTTCTCAATGTTTCGGACTCACTAGATCTAACCACATCAATAATGGATTGACCCTTTTCAAAGATATTTGTGATTGTTTGGTTAAATTGGATGATTCCATGTTGTGCTTGTTGGGCAAGATCTTCCTCATCAGTACCAAAAGCCGGACGAATATCATTCAAAGCCAAAAGGAAATCATTTCTGGTAATGTGCATATTGTTAATGGATTCAGGATCAATTTGAGCCAACGACCCTTTCTTGGTGTGGCGCGATACTGCATACGACTTAGCTGAATTACAAAGACCTTCAATTTCAGCTCCAGTGAAATTCTTCGTCAACATACTCAATTCATCAAGATTGACATCCTTAGTTAACAAGCCATTTTCTCTCAACTTTTTTGTATGTATCATAAAGATATCCTTTCTACCTTTTTCATCTGGTAAAGCAATCTCAATCTGAATTTCAAATCTACCAGGTCTCAACAATGCAGTATCAATCAAGTCGAGTCTATTGGTCATACCAATGACAAGAATATTGTTCAACTGATCAACACCATCCATCTTTGACAACAATTGATTCACAACATTGTCACCAACCCCTGTTCCGTCACTCTTTCCAGAACCTCTCTGTTTAAAAACGGAATCTAATTCATCAAAAATAATAACGTGCAAGTCCGAGTCCTCACCTTTAAGTTTATATTCAGCTTCAGCGTCCTTGAACAAATTACGAATATTTTCTTCAGACGCACCAACGTATTTACTCAACATTTCGGGTCCATTAACAATCTTTGGTTCTTTACCATTCAACATTTTGGACAACTTTCGAGCAATCAACGTCTTACCAGTACCTGGAGGTCCATACAATAACAACCCTTTACAATGTTTGTAATCCAACTTTTCTGCAATCTCGGGTGGTAAGATTCTCGAGTTGAAAGCACGACGGAAAATATCCTGAAACTCAGAGTCCAACCCACCAATACCCAAGTCCTCTAATTTGAAATCTGGGTTGATAATTTGCTTTCTTGTATGACGACGTGTCTCATGAGCACCATTACCGCCAAATATTCTCGATTTCAAACTCTTGCTTTTGGATATATTGATTTTTGATCCTTCATAAGGGTAAAATACGACATCGGTTGACTTGATAAAAATTCCTTTCGTTTTTATATCTCCGGAATCCTTGAAACTTGGCAAATTGTCTTTAGTGTTGACGTCAATAATTTGAACTTGCTCCACTTTGACTGTGTAGTAAACATTGTGGAAATCCATATAGATCACTTGTGTAGGTTGCAATATTTGATTTTCATACTTTTGGTGAAATATGTTGACCAATTCATCATGATTCAAAGCAGAAGAGTTGGACTTGGCTTTGACAAAATCAATCAGAAGATCGATAGCACCGAGGTATTGTTGTTGCTGTCCCGATTGAAAAATGTCATATGTTTCAACATTGACAATTTGATCGAATGAATATTTTCCCCATGATCTCATATTTCCGGCCAATCCGATGTGTCCAGGTTTCACACGCTCGTCCTTGGCTATCGAATACACGAAAACGCCATCCAAGATGACTGGCGTTCTGTCTGGAAGATGAGGAAAATCTCCTGGACTCACCGCAACACAATTGGCAACTACAACGTCATTACCTGGGGCATTAGCAACCCGTAACTGTTTTCTAAATGCTTCCACTGGTTCATGGCGAGGAGGAAGATGAGGGCGATCTGATATGTTGTGAGTAATCTTTGCTTGGTTTGGTGAAGTAGGACTATTGGTCACCTTGTGAAATCCAAACTTTTCCATCATTGGAGACAGTGAATTTGGATGCATTCGTGGATATGAAAGTCAATATTCTGATCTGGAGATTAAAAAATGTTGCAATTCTGCGGTTTTTCGCCCGTGTTCGTGTCCTATTCTTATTTTTTCACAACGCATTCTATTTATGGTCACACTTGCACTACCTATATCATCAAAGTTAGGAACTAGCGGGCTTTCTTACGATTCACGCCATTGATGGGTTGTATGTTATCGGAAGCTTGGTGAGATGTTCCAATCTTTCCGCAGAGAGATGTACTTTACCGCAAGAGAAAGTGTTTACCAAAAGATTTTCAGACTCCTTTTTGTTTCAGATCGATCGAAACAATAAATATTAATAACAATTGACGTTACGATTTCATTCCGTGTTCAGACATCACCCCTTTCATTGCATCACCCACATTTTATTCCATCAATTCGATTTAGATCCAACTACACATATGTCATTGAGTAAAGTCCCCCCACAGGAAGGAATTGTCCATACATATGGATTCAACTTGACTGCGTTTGAATTCACTGGTTATAGTAAACAAACTACGCCAAACATTATCTTATTCATTGGTGGATTAGGCAATGGGTTATTGAACGTGCCATACTTACCTGCTCTTGCCGAGTCAACGCCGACATTTCGATCCAGCGATGGAGAAAGTTGGAATTTAGTGCAAGTTTTGCTTTCATCGGCGTATTTAGGGTTTGGAACAAGTAGTTTAGAAAGAGACTCAACACAGATACGCAAAGCAATAGAATATTTTCGATCTGAAACAGGTGGCAGGAGAAACAAGATTGTGTTGATGGGTCATTCAACTGGATGTCAAAATTCATTGCATTATTTGGTCAATGTTAATAACGCGAAACACACTCCTGAGTCAAGTAAAGTTCAAGGTGCGATTTTACAAGCTTCGGTATCCGACTCAGAGGCATTTTCGAACGACTTGAAAGAAGAGGAATTGGACGCTTTGTTGAAAGAAGTAGACGAAGTTTACATTTCCCAGGGGAAACAGTCTCATATTCTACCAGAGAAATTTAGAAGATTGGTATTCAATACCCCAATCACTGCTTACAGATTTCATTCCTTGACAAGCAAACGTGGTGATGATGATTTCTTTTCGTCTTATTTAACAGATGACGATTTCAAAGAGACGTTTGGAAAAATAACTGTTCCCTTATTGGTTCTATACTCGGGCAATGATCAATTCGTTCCCACTTCGGTCAATAAAACTGCATTGATTTCTCGATTTAAAAATTCAACCCCATCTGAATACTGGAATCCAAACAGTAAGATTATCGATGGTGCCACACATGATTTAGGTGAAGGATCGCAAGATGGTGTTGTTGATGTTTTGATTGATTCAATGACTCAGTACATCAATGATGTGTAATGTGCCACGTGATATCTCGTCCAATTTTGTACGAATTTAGATAAGCTATTACGTCATTGATATTGAGAAGCTCTTTTTTATTTTTTTTTCTCGGTGCTACCAACTGTGATAAACCTCTCTTATCAGGACTTTATCTTTCCGGAATTACTGCGAAAAAAAAAGAAAAAAAATTACCCTTTCCATAGGGCGAGAATGTTATTTTTGGGTTTTAATTACTGCAAAAATTACGTTGCAACATCAACAAAAAAAAAAAAAAAAAGAAAAAAATGTAAACAAAAACAAAAGAAAAGACTAATCCAAGAACAAGAAACAAAAAAAATTGTCTTACAAGAGGACTCAATATATGTACGTAAAAGCCTTGCAGGATTTGATAGAGGCAAACTACCCAACTTCGTCTACACAATGCTGAACCGACCTCGAAGAAAAACAATCTTCCAAGCTCTATGTCTCTTTATAATTATGTTGCAATTTCGCGACACAAAAATACGTGTTAGGAGTTAACTCCGATAACTTTTTCGCAAACGACCGGAATTGCGAAAACTTGAATCTTCAACACAACAACAACAACAACAACAACAACAACAACAACAACAACAACAACAACAACAAACAAATTCTTCGTTGAACTATAATCGTATGTATTTATATATAAAAGTAACTGTAGAGCCAATAAAATGAAAACAAAAATTTGAAAAGATACAAACAAAAAAATACTAAATGGAAAAGCAAATTTTGAAACAACCATTAAAATGGCGATACATAGTGATCAGGTAACTGGACTAGATTCGAAATTGACAAAGAAGTGTATGTATGTGTAGATTTGCATTAAACCGATTTGATAGGCACAAGCAGAACCACCGGGATATGCTTCACCTCCAGACACACATTACCACCATCCCCTCTAGCCCCTTTCTCCACTACCAGCTTGGCGTACCAAATGCACTTCCTCCTTGATTCGATGATGATGACGACCAAGAAACATTATGCGAGTGATGTGATGGTAAATCTTGTAAACCGTTTAGTGCATATTGCTTTACTTGCGAGGCAGCCAAGCCTTGTTGGTAATGCGGAACTTGCTTAGTAGGTGGTGTTGTGTTTCTTGTACTTGTAGTGGTGTAATGACCAGCGTTTTGTGGTTGCTGGTAACATTGTTGTGGTTGATTGATAGACCCAACAGACAAACTATGTTGATGACTTGAACCATTCATGGGTGTATAAAAGGGGGGCGCCATCTGAGCATGCACTTGTACTGACAGTGCTGGTGGTCCCAGTGGCGGTGGCGGTGGCGGTGGGTAATAAATCCCGTTATTCATGGGTGGGGGAGGGTATGGTAGATATTGGTGAATTGAACGATTAGCAACATCCTCTGGTGGATAATTTCTCAAGGTGACTTGACTGTCTCCACTAGACAAGTAATTTGGAGGAGGTGGATTCGCACCACTGCTGGAGTTGTTTGAGTGAATTGTAGATACAGATGCGTTGGGGTTCATTACATTGCTGTTGGCTGCAGCAGTGTACATGTTGCCAATCTCTTTTGTACCAAATGCATTGTTGTTGTTGTTGTTGACGTTGGTGTTGCCATTGGCAAAAGGTTTCGATGAGTAAAAGTTTATTGGCATGGAATAGTTTCTTCTTTGTAACCCATTCTCCATTGGTTGGATGTAATCAACCGACAGAGTACTTCCATTCTGGTTTCTCATGGGCATCAAACTATTGCGGAAATATTGGTGCTGAATATGTTGTTGGTCATGCTGCGGTGGATACTCTTGGGATTGTTGATGTGAGGCAAAGTTTTGATAATTTTGTGGTTTGAATTGATATTGTAGTTCATTAATTACAAACTCGCCATTTGCATTCATTTGGCTAGTCTTTTTGCCAACTTTGCTGAATGATGTGGAGGGAGTAGGAGTAGCGCCATTGTTGTTCAAAATGGTATTAATCTTTGATTGAATACGTTTGCCAAACGAGGATGCAATCTTGCAATTTTGAAACCAATACTTGATGATGGCAATCTGCATATTCGGCTCACTATCCTGATCAATGTGGTCTCTGTCTCTATTAGGCAAAAGCAACGAAATTTTGGACACATTGTGGTAGTTGATTTGCGGATTAATCAAGATATCAAGCATAGTTTGGATGACATAATTTCCAAATGGGTCATTCACCAATACATTCAAATCATTAGCCAATATATTGTAAATTAATTCAAATTTCAAATCCGCAAAAGCGACATCGACGACTTCGTTATTGTAGCAATTCTTCATAAACTTTTCCACCACATTCGAACTAAACTTTGAATTACACAAGTTGGTGAGACCGAATTGGAAGAAATTTTGAAACATTTCACAACTAACTTCAATAGAGTTGATGGAAATCAAATACTGTAAAACATAGTTTCCAAATTGGTCATTAATCAACATTTTGAAATTATCAAATTTCAAAATCGCTTTGGAAAACTGATTCAATTGTTGTTGGGTAACGTGATTAAGACATTTCTGTAGTACACAGCAACCATGCTTGTGAGTCGCAACGGTATATAAATCCTCAATTATGGAGTCATAAATGAATTGGCAATTTGGTGGTTCGTACTTGTTTAGTATCTTTTGGATGACGTGGTTCCCATTCAAATCTCTAATCAACTCGATAATGTATGGCTTCAAGCCCTTGATCAACAAATTCAATTGTGATGTGCTGTTCAAATTGTCAATAATCTTTTGTAATGCCCTTGTTCCATGCTGGTTGATGGATATTTGGCAAAGGTTGTACTGTAAAATTTCCAACATCAAGTCCAAGTTGGCATCACTACAGTACGGTATCATTTTTTGCACCAAGTAATTACCGAAAGGGTCAACAATCAATTCACACATGTAAGGATACACTTGATCAAATATAATCTCAAAGTTGGCGGCCCTTACTTGATAACTGGGGATCAAATTCTCATCAATTTTTTTTTGCAAAAACCGGCATCCATATTGATCTTTGGCAAGCTTTAGAATCTCCAGCTTCAATTGAATGAGCGGCAACTTGTTGATAGATACGAGATACTCTTTATCAATTTTAGGTGGTACAACAACAGAATTAACTGCATAATTTATTGATGATGGTGGTGTTGATGCCGATGAGTTGGATGTAACATCACCAATAACATTCATAAGACTTTCCGAACCAATTCCAACAACAATGTCATTACCATGGTACGATTTTCTCAACAAATTTTCTTTATTGTCAGTGCTGGTATCGAGTTTGTAATTGCCCTTGTTATCTTTGACGATATTGAGGGTAGCATTTTCGTCAATACTGTTACCGTCATTGTTATGAGGGGCGCCGCTAATATTTATATGCTTGTTATTACTGGTTGTGGTGGTGGAGTTATAGTTGGTAGTGTCTAGTGATAATTTTTGAAAGGAGGAGACTTGAGACGATGGAGTTGATGTTTGAGAACTAACAGACTCTTGATTTGACGAAGGAACAATTAAAGGAGTCGATATTACCTCATTGTCAATGTTGAAATTAGGTAAATTTAAGTTATGGTTCAATTTGTTTGACGAATCCCACAATACTGATTTGCCTATATTAGGATGAGTACCAAATTTCGCAAACGACCCATTTGACGATAAACTGCGATTGTGCATATACGAAGTATTTGCCGTTGAAGATGATGAGTTGGAGGAAGCAGTTGTGGATGTAGCTGGTGTTTTGGGGTGGTGAAGTGGTTGTTGTTGTTGGTGCAGGGGGAAATGTAGGGAATTTATATTGGTACTATTATTTGAAGACAATGAGTGATTTGGTGGAGTTGTAGGTTCAATTATTGAAGTCATTGAGTTGATGGAGAGACTATGTGGATTGTGGGTGTGTTGGTGTGGTTGAGACGATGACATGATAAGATGCTTTAGCCTTTTAAACTCACAAGTAAGAAAGAAAGAAGGGAAAGGAAGGAGGGGAGTGAGTAAGTTTGTAATGGGTGTAATTGGAAATTTTTGGAATTGTGCTGATCCAATTTATAGAGAGAGACAGAGACATATTAAATTTTTTTTTATTTTTATTTTTTTGTTAATTGTAGCTTTTTGGTTGGGTTTAATGGGTACTGTATATACCCATCAATTACTACCTTTTGTATAGAACAACACTACTAACATGCCGTCTCATTTAGGGTATTGATCATAATGGTAGTAATAGTAGTGGTAATATTGTTTGCTATCAGTATATAAATGTTGTAGAGCTTGTACAAGTACCAGACACTCGAGTGATAGACGCCTACTGGAACCTGAGAATACAAGCGTTGCTGCCCTAAGTTTTATAAACTGCCAACATCAAAGTTCTACTCTTTATACAAAAGTCTGTGTCTGTAGTTAGCAAATGACCTGCTGCTTGTGTTTGTTATTTAATATCGTCAATCAGACAAACTGCAAGCCATGTGTGCAGTCCTTTGAAAAAAAAAAACAATGTTGTTTTAGTCTCCAGTTTGCCTTGAAGGTTGTTTTCTTTTTACATTTATTATTGTAAGAGGCAAGACTCCTCCTTCAAGAGACACAAAAATACGAACATTTCTTCTAAAGAACGGAGTTCAACATTCTACTTCAATTGCTGGTAACATCTGTGAAGAAAGGTGGTATCAACATGCATCTATTATACTGCTATACGAGACAGCTGTTTGGTTCACTGAATGGTTTCTCTACTAATAGCCTACCCTTTGGTTCCATCGTCACCGAATAGATGCATCTTCTAATCATTTTGTTATTAGGTAACTATTATTATTTTGTATCTTCCGTTTTGTAACCCTATCAACTCTAAATACATTTGTAAAAAACCATCCAGTACCACACACACATTCGTAGAATGCTCTGAATCGTAATTAGCATTTGGTCTTCTACGATATGGAGTTGCATGGTAACAAACAGCGACAAGTGTCAGGTTGGTGTTCTAGATTTTGGCTCTCCCCTACGCCTTGGCTTCTCTTTCTTTTTCCATTGTTGTCTGTACTATACGCACACCAAAAAAAAAGGCAAAATATGGCTTTGATTAAACGGTAACTCCGCTGAATCAAATTCAGAAAGTTGTCAGCCAAACAACAAGAGTTCTGGTTGTTGTTTGGCCTCCTTCTCCTCTTGTCCTTCTTTTTTCTTTACTATTTTTTTTCTTTCAGTTCGTATTGTTTCTCCCTCACTGGTGTTGGTTGTTACGCAAATGAGGAAAATCCCAATTTTGTGAACGTTTTATTCAAACATGATCAGGCGCAAGAATTTTTGGTTGACGAAGGGGTCTCAAAACCGAAAAGAATGTCACACGCACACACACGCACACACTCATACCTAAACAGTGCGATTGAGGAACATAGACTATAAAAGAGATAAATCACAAAGACGAAGGACAGCGGGAGGCAAGCGAAAGAAAAAAGTATGGACTGAGTCGTCGTGATGTGGAGAAGAAGATGAGCGTGTTCCCCACTGTTTCGATCCTTTTCAACTATAAATCTAAGAAAGATTTTTAGCTCCAGACAGATGAACAAAATTAGAAGTTTCGAAAAATATTACTCTGGTATCACATAATTTCAGTTTCAATGGTTTCAAGTTTCACATTCTCTCAAGCTTTTGCTATAGTATATATAAATAATAATTGAAAGGAGAGGAAATAGTCTTTTTTACACAATCAGACAGACAAAATTTGGTAAGTAAAGGACAGCAGAAAAAAAAAAAGGTAAACAAAGATAGTACACCCCTCATTTTCAGGACACTATATAGACAGTCACGTGCAATGGCCGTTTTTGTCTCTTTCTTTCTACTCTATCCTATTCAAGTAATTGTATTAAATTTAAAATACTGCAACGCGGTAAATTCTCCTATTTAAACCTATGTGTGTACCTGACAGACAAAATAATTTTCACCACTACAGTTCTTCACATCGACAAGCAAAACGAGTTCTTTGTATCCACTGTTGAACGTGTTGAGAAACACCCTCGTAAGTGAACGCTCAACCGCACTCAATATTTGAAGACAACACGTGTGTGTAAATTTTGAAATCGTGTCTGGTTTTACCATATTGCAGTACGTGCATATGCACAAACCAACCAATAAAGTGAGTTGAAAGGGGTCTGGTAGCGAGAAACGCTTTGATATCTGGGTGGAAGGGGAGTCGAGGCACTGAACATATTGACAAAGATTTAGAGAAGTGGCTTGCATGTAAACAACTCCGTGAATTATCATTCAGTAGTTTTCTTTGGATAGTGTAGTAATTGGAAAATAAAAGTCTTTCTCCTACTACCAAGTTGCCTACTTGAAGATCTCTATGCGCAATTCAAATGATAAACACAACTTTTGCAATTCCTTATTCCTACCAGAATAACACCTCGTATTTCGTCGTACCACTATATTTCTTTTTCGTGCTTAAATCAACCCCCTCTTTCTTATTCATTCTTATGATTAGTAAGGGGGCTAAAACGTAAAACTTGCACAAGGGACAGGAAGTTCTCCACCATGATGGCAAGTTTCCAATATAGGTACCACCTTATAATACAAACTCTAAGTATAATGTACAAACACGATTCAAAAAGAACTGAAAGATGGGGCATTAACTCCCTTCAACATACCAACGTCCCCGTATAACATACTGATTTAACACTTCATGCCCAAACACAAACTCCCCAATTTGAACCCCATTTTCCACCGTCACACAACTAGCTATCCTTCTCGCTAATCTTTTCAGTTGTCGTTCTTGTATAGTCCGCTTCCTTTCGTCCAATTCTTGCGTACTTGGGAAATCCAGTTGCATAAACCCCGGCGGAGACTCAAACTTGTCAAATATTTGCAGTAGTTTATCTTCAAAATCTTGTTGACTTTGATTGAAATTGTAAAATTGTTTGTATTGATTGAATTTTTTGGCATCCATTATCGAGTTACGTTTGATGAATTGGGTGAAATTGTCTGGTTTGTAGTTTTTGTTGGCAATAAAATCACTGAAATCCCACGATATTTGCTTTATTGGGTTTTGATGCAAGTTTATTTTGAAATTGGGGTCAGATTTGAGTATATTGGCGTAATAACGAGAAAGGTACTGTCGAGTTTGAATCAGGGTTAAGTTCTTTGGTATTTCAATTAGTGGTGGCAATGATGGTTCAGGTGTTGCTGCAATTACTGTTTGGCTAATGACGTGGTTTGCTTCGTCTTCCTCCTGGGAATCTGCAATTTGTTCGACATCCTCACTTGAGTTCATCTTGCCCTGGAATGCAGGTGGGGTATTTTCATCAACACCTTCATCCTCTTTAAGTTCGATACTTTTGTAACGAGCTATCTTGCGAGGTGGTGAGTGTGTGTGTAAGTTGCCGTTACTGTTGCCTTTGCTTTCATATCTAGTTGGGCTCAATTGATGCTTCACTTGGACAGAACCAATTTTGCTGCCAACAAAAATGGTGGACCCTGATGATGCATTCCCACTCATTGACCCTTTCCGTGGTGCGTAGTTGATTTTTACTGGAGACGATGTCTTTTCCACAGTATTCCCCTCCTCATCGGTATCACTATATTGAGTTGGAAGCTGATAGATATTGTCAATTGATGGTGTTTTCGTGTTGGTGTCGGTTGCACTTCCTTTGCGCGACCCTTGTGTTGACTTGGGGGAAATATGTAGTATTGGACCCTTATTTGAAGGAGACGAGAATTGGCTGGATCTTGCATCTTCTTTTACCCTGGATTTCAAAGTTCCAATTTCTTCTTGGTGTAGTCGGATAGTCTCTTTTAATGCATTATTTTCTTCTCTTAATCTCTCTATCGTTTCGTGGTCTTCCTTTCTCACTTTCTCAAATGCATCCTCGATAGTTTTGGTTATAGCTGCAAGTAGATTTGTGGGAAGACTAGTCATGTCATTTGATGCAAGAAGACGTGCTTTCTACATATCTCTGCGATTGAGATCCCTGGTTATATTGCGAAAGAGAAAATGCTCGCAAAAAGAAAGAGGAAGAGAGAAAAAAAAATTGTTCTAAATTCCATCAGTTGTTAATCAAAACGTCTTCGTTAGTCAAAACACCCAACAGAGCACACAATTGACTTATCAATGCTTGGTCAAACATCATCCACAACTCCATCATTTGGTGGATTTGGGTCTGGGAGTACAAATTCAACTGGAGGCGGATTATTTGGAGCAAAGGCAGGATCTGTAGGCTCTGCGCCAAGTGGAGGTTTATTTGGGCAATCTAATGCCCAACAACCTCAGCAACAACCGAACACATCAGGAGGATTGTTTGGTAGTAAGCCTACCGGAAGTACTGGTGGGGGGTTGTTTGGTCAAAGCAATACTACTGGTGGGACTGGCGGGTTATTTGGCCAGTCAAACCAACAACAACAACAGCAACAGCCTTCACTGTCGGGTGGTTTATTTGGCAATGCCCAAAATCAACAACAGCAACGGCCATCACAGCCGCAGCTGTTAGCTACCGGAGGTGGTCTTTTTGGTCAACTGAATCAGCAACAGGCTCCAACTGGTGGCGGGCTCTTCGCTCAACAAAATCAACAGCAACCCACCACTGGAGGGGGATTGTTTGGGGGATCGCTGAATACAAATACGGGTGGAGGATTATTTGGTAAGCTAAGCAATACAACCGGTGGCTTATTTGGTAGTGGATTTACGTCACAGCCAAGTGGAGGTATCATAGGCGGTGGTAACAACACAGGCCAATCAAGTGGTGGTTTATTTGGCAACAACAACACAAGTACGCAAACTAGTGGGGGTCTTTTTAGCTCTAATACAAACCAGTCTAGTGGTGGGCTATTCGGAAATAAACCTGCAGTTGCTAGTGGACTTTTTGGGCCAACGAGCCAACCTCAGCAACAGCAGCAACAACAACAACAACAACAATCAAATGCAGAACCCCAATTATCTGCCATGACAAGAGTTGGCGATCTTCCGCCAAATATCAAGAACGAGTTACAACAACTTGACACCTATATCAATACTCAGCATCTAATTGCAACTACATTAAATTCAGATATGACCAAGCATGACGACTTGATTAATACCATTCCTAAAGATATAACGTATTTACAAAACAAATCACTATCCACAAAACAAGCTCTCAAGTTTGATACCAATCAGCTACAAGACCTCAAAAATATGAATAATGAAATCACTGAAGATATCAATAACATTATGCAACTAATAATTCAGTTGAGTACTCCAGGAACTAGGTTATCAAGCTCATATCAGTTGAACGAATTTTTCATAAAAAAGATTAAAAAGTATTACGAAGTGCTTAATATCTACGAAGAGACAATTAATGAGTTGGAGAGTGTGCTAAATGGTTTGGAAAGAAATTGCAGCGAAGGGTTTGGAAGTTTGGCTAGTATTGTTCAAGTCATTAAATCTCAGTATGCTCTATTCATGGACCTTTGTGAGACTATGGCACAATTACATAATGAAATAAATAGGCAAAGCAAATAGGTGTCTGTAATATAAAGTAGAGAAGTTTTGTGTGCAATTATGAGTTTGATGCTTCAAAAAGCGAAAAGAGAAAAGATGTTTAAACAGAAAGCAAGTCAAATAAAATTACATACAATCAGCTATTCAATACCATGTCTCGAGCAGATTACCTTTCAAAGTACCTAGATGGTGCTAATAAATCCGAAAGAAATGATAAAAGGAAAAAGAAGAAAACCATTCCCATTCCAACATCAAATATAACGATATCCAAATCAAAACAATTTCTACCTACACCTAATCATGACGTCTTTAGCGAACTTGACGACAATGACGAATCAGGCCCCGTCGTGGTGGAGAATGTAAAAGAAAACAAAGGATTCAAACGAATAGACAATACATCGCTAGTCAAATCATCCACAACAAATCAAGAAGTGGCACTGGCCCCCTCCACGACGCACAAACAATCGGAAACAGTATATCGTGACGCTTCAGGAAGAGTAATAGATATTAAAGAAGCTAAGCTTGACTTTGAACGACGGAAACAACAAAAACAAGAGCAAAAGCAACAAATAGAAGTGCGTACATCACCTCAAGATCAACAGCAACAGGAATCGATTGAATTCAAACCAAAACTCAATGCCAATTTCGAAGACCCTTTAAACATTTTCCAGGATAGTGTTGAACTGGAGAAGAATGAATCTGAAGATAAACTGCGGTCACGATTTACGTATAATAAGGGTGTCAATCCTCGGAATCGGTTTGACATACCTGCTGGCTATTTTTGGGATGGAATTGATCGATCTAATGGTTTTGAGGAGTTAATGTTGAGAAAGATTAATGAAAAGAGCTATAGCAAAATGGAGAGGAAATTTAATCAAGACTATGACTTGGATTTTGATGATGATGATTAGGAAGATCTAGTGAAGCTGGGTGCGAGTAAATGTGGGTGGACTAAAGCAAGCGGTTTAATGATTTGACTTGGGTTGAATCACAGTTACCTTAAAACCTATTTTGTAGATAAATAATGATTATACGGACTCTAATACATACGTCTTCAGGTGAAGACCAAAATTCAACCAAACGATTCCAAATAACTACATGCTTCTTCTAAGGTTTTCTGCGGGACAAGGGTGTCCTCTTTCTTCGGACGCCTAGAGGACTGTTTCAAAATGCAACAAACCGGTAGCGTCGCCCCATGGTTACAAAACCGCTCAAATTTCACAAAAAATCCTTTTCTTACTCGTCACCAAGGTGTCACTGAACCATGCCACCAGCAAAAATACCAGGCTATTATTTTGATGAGTCTCGAGGAAGATACTTCAAGATAACAAATGGGGCAGTACGCTCTGTTGCAGAGGGGTCGCAGAAATACCACAATAATGCAGTACAAGCTGAAAAGCGTAATCAACATTTTGACCAAATAGAAAAACAAGAACAGAGTAAGGAGGAGAAACTTGCAAGGAAAAAGCGCCGTGGACAAGGGGTGATTACAAACCCCAATGGAAAACCATATCCTTCGCCGGATAAGCTTGATCAAAGATTTCAATGTGTCAACTGGGATCATATGACGTTTCTCAATATGAAGACTGGAACTATTGATTTGAAGAACGTGTATTACAAAGACGATATGGTCGATCTAATCAGACATAATACGATAAAGGTAGAAAAGAATCACGTGGTACCCCCACAGGGTCATATTGAGGCGTATCACGAGGGTTACTTTGTTGTGGCGAGAATGACAATAAAAGAAGAGAGCGTGCTCAACATGGCTGTGTTTTCGTCATTTGAAAGTTTACAAGTCCCGGAACAATCGTTTTATTGCTATGTAGGTGGCGATTATCAGAATTTAACAAGAGAATTAGCTGATAAGCTTTTCATGATGGACGAGTATGCTACTGTCAACACTCGTATATTTGCCGGCAGCGAAGATTCTGGAGCCCGACTTAACCTTTTTCAACGATATAGATTGAGCGGCAGAAAGTATTGTAATGTGATAAAATTTCATGTTTTTCATCCCAAACTTCGATTTTTTGAAGATTTAACCTTGCCGTTGATGAAATTTCTCAAAGTCCAATTCGGCAAGTTACGCAAAAAGGGCCACAGTCTTGGGCAGTCGTTTGGACTTGATAGCATGGAATTTATCGAATCTTCTGCGACCAGTATTGAAGAAATGAATAAACTAATAAAGAGCGGTGCTCCTGAGTATCTAATAAGAGATCGTTTGGAGACGTTTTTGATAGCTCGCGATTGTGAGCGGCCAGCCTTTGTCTACCGGGCAGTTGACTTCCCGGAGAACAAGGTTGAAGATTGCGATGTTGTGGGCGGTCACATTGTTGCTTTAACCACCAATGGTCAAATTGTCTATTTCGAATGGGATTATAACGCACGGAAATTTCGGAATTTCAAACTATTTACCACTGGTATGTGTTTGCTCTCCTGTCTGGTTAAATTATCGGGCAATTTCATTTATGTGAGAACAAATGATGAGGTTTTAGTTATCAACTACAAGGAGAAACGAATTGAACGACATCCCTTTGTCGGTCTTCGCAAGCTTTTCGTATTATCGCCCACAAAATGGATAGTGATTAACCGCGCTCAAATTCGGTATTATGATCCTGGGACAAAAGAATTTGAATTTATAATGACATATAACAATGGTAACAACACTTCTCAACAATTTGAAATAATCAATAACCACTTGATTTTTGACGTTGGTACTAAATTCAAAGTGGTTAATCTATCTCGAGCAATCAAGGATAAGTATGCCGTGTTGGAGTTGAGCTTTGATACATACAAATATGGACCCTTTAGAGACTACAGTTTGTTTCGCATATTAGACATGGGTGTCAAGCATGGACGAACTCACGTGGGATTTCAATTTATAAATGCCGCCGACACACATACGCGTTTTGAATCATTTTACATATAGAGACGTTGTGTAGAGGGATGCTGTAATGAAAGAAAAAACTTTTTTCCAATTAGAGAGCATATTGCAAAGTTTTGTTCACTTGGAATCGGACTGAATAACATTTTAACGTATATTTCGTTTGAATACAAATAAAACTCTATGAATTAAAACAATTTGAAAGATTGTTGCAAAAGCTTTAGATGAGACCAAAATAACGAAAAATAAAATAAGAGTGGCCGCCACAAATAAAGCATGGAACTTTTTTTTTTCACTACCACCAACTCACAAACCTTATTTTCTTCATCTATCACTTAAGCACTCCCTCCATATCTATGATTTCTTGCTCTATTGTTTTTTGTGTAAATTCTGTGTATCTTACACTTTTTACTTCTTTTGAATATAGTTCAAATAGGAGTTATAATCGAACTTTCCGAATTTGTAATCAATATCCATAAACAAGGTCATAGCATCATATGATTTGTATGTGTAATCAGCAGGCAACTTGATCAATGTGTCTTGTTCTTTACTAACATTTGGGTCAATGACTGACTTGTTGAGATAAATTAATCTATCACCTTTTTCTTGTGAGTTGTAAACTTGGTCGTTGGTCAAGTTGTAAACACCTGGATAACCACTAATTGCCTTAAAGTTGGATTCCCTCGTGATTGGTGGCGTTAATGGGAACCATCTTTGCAATAACTCATAAGAGGCTAAAGTAAAACCAAACTGTGGCGACGATCTAAACACTCTAGCCAACGATCCCTTGAAGAATGCTGATAACCCTTCTTGTTTCAAAATTGAGGCACCACAGTCAAGAATACCTTTGTACTTGATATCATTCTTTTTCCCAACAACTTGTAATCTAGTCTTTATCACATCGGCAGGAGTGGTGAAAAATGCAGCAGGGGCACCGGCCAAAGCACCAGATACCAACAACTGCCAAGTTGATAATTTCTGCTTCTTTGTGTTATCATATGGATCAAAACCAAACATGTATTTTTTCAAATTGGCATAAGTTGGGAAATAGATTGCTGAAAATGGCACATCTCTTAAAAGACATGCAGATGCACCCTTGTATAAACCTCTAAGACCCAATTGCCTAACAATTTGACTAGCGCTCATGTGCTTAATTGGGATTTCACCTGGCTTGGTCAAGTTTTTGGTGTTTCCTTGCATTTGCAATCTAATCTTGACAATTTCCAAAGGATTGGTGAAAATAACCTGACAAGCACCAGCAGACATACCAGCCAAAATCTCCCAATTCATGGTGATTGATCCATCTTCTTGGGTACCAATTTTACGAACCAAATCGTTAACTGTCAATTTAATAGCCTTTTCTGGAGCAACACCAACCAATTGAGCAGCTAAACCGGAATACAATCCTTTGAAACCTTCCTTTCTCAAAATTTTCTTAAAACAGTCTAATGAGTTATCGTACAAGGCCTTGTGCTTTTGAGCCTGCATTCTTGTTTTGACTAAATCAATTGGGTAAACGGCGGTAGCACCGATACACCCAGCAATGGAACCAAGGAAAAATGAGTACAATGAGTCGTAAATTGGCCACAAAGAAAAATTGTCGCTTGATTCATGAGTTGAATAACGACTTTGCGCATGTTCAAATATTGGGGCCAACGAGTTGACATTGTTACTAACGTTTGGATTCAAAAATGACACCATTTGCTTACGAGGGATGTTATCATCACTTTCTTGGTTGATCAAGTAATAAATCAAATCCAATGACAAATTTGAAATTTGCCTAAAGTTGGCTGATTTCAATAACGGATCGTTCAAGTGGTTGTACAAGTCCTTTTTGTTGATAATGATGTCATTCTTGTCCTTGGTGGTTGGTGGTGTATTTACAATAACTTCGTTAATCATGTCGACTTTGCTCAATGTATCATAGATGAATAAGACATTGGATAGTGAGTACTCCTTTTGGTTGTCAAAGAACCCAGTAATGTTTGGTAAATTTTTCTTTAACTTGTCTGACAACTTATGGCTAAAAGTAGTTGTTAAAATTCTAACCAAATCATCACCAGAGATGGTCTTGTTTTTACTGGCAGCAATTTCAAAATTTCCAATCAACTTAGTTACAGGTAAGAAGCTGATCAAAGTGACAAAATCATTGAATCCAATTTCACCCTTTGGTTCAAAAAATTTAGGAAAATAGATCCAGTTCAACTTGATCAATTTTTGTTGATACAGTGGGTCAATTGATGAATTAATCTTGTTCAAGATATCTACACATTGATGGTAGGTGATTTGTGAATTGACGTTATCGCTTGAGGACAAAAATTCATACAATAACTTGTATTCACCATCAGCTGACGTCAAAGTCTTGATAAAGTGCAACCAATTACCCTCGGTGACAAAACCCTTCTTCTCAGTGTCAGCAACTAAATACAAAAGGGAGAAAGCTGACTTGGGGATATCAGTTTGGAATGGCGACAAAACATTAATAAAATCGGGCAAAGTCAATACCTTTTCTTGGTTCTGACCAACAGTTGCAAAATCATTGAAGATTTCTTTGGCTTTCAATTCAGTCGACATTTTTTGGAATATGTAGTAGCTAGTGACTATGGAAAATGTGGAGGAGTAAGGCGATGTACTGTGTTTTTTTATAAAAGGCTTAGTGACCTGTCTATAAGAAAATGGAACTTTAGGACAATATTTTCAAATTATAATGGAATAAAAGTCTGCCCAAGGACGTGTTTTTGGAGATACTGTGGCAAAAATCTCTATAAACCCATATAGGTAAAAGAAAACAAATGTTGATAAAGAAGAAATTTGGGGTTAGTTTTTCGTTGATTGGATTGGATGGGTTTTTTGGAAAAATTGAAAAAAAAAAAAAAAAAAAAAATTAAGAAAAAAAATATTTAATCTCAAAAATGTCGCACGAGTATTTTGCAGCATCATACAAAGACAAATGCAAACAAGAATGTTACAACAAGAGAGAGATGGAGGACTTCGCTTTTCACCACTGGTTGCATTTGAGACAGTTTAGCAGTAGCATTTTAGTGGAGCCAACCCAACTTCAATGAGAATATGAAGATCGTGCCTACTTTTTTTTGAGTTGGATGATGTTTATATTCATTGATCAATTAATCTGCACTTGGGAAAACTGCAATGCGCTTTTACTACTTTAGGGTTCTGATGCCGCGACGTACAAACAACTGCGCTTATAACGATGCACTCTGGGGCAACGATTCATGTAGGAGACAGTTCCAGCACTACGTATGCCTTTCGAGTCTCGGTCTGGTCCCGTTATTCTAGTTGCAATCACTAGTCGACCCACATGTGAACTTATACTCGAATATATGAAGAAAAGTTGAACGTCACTGTTAATTTCTTTACGTAAGACTTGCAAGGCAGCTTATGCACACACAGCAACAACACTGTGAGGTCCAATAAATCTCATGTATCTTTTCACAATGAAACCTTATATTCATCAAATATGTCAAATATAAATGTCGCATTGGTCGAGTAAATATTATTTTTTTGTCGCATCTATAATTTCGCGCTCGAAGCCAATATTTTTATGTGGGGGAGAAAAAAACGGCGACCCAAATGCCGACCCAATCGTTTTTCGAGGTTTAACCGAGAAACAATAGAAAAAAAAGTAAACACACATTTTCCACGTGATTTTGAAAACAACATGGAGACTTGGATATAGTAAGGCTGATGAGAGCGCACTCATCTTTTGCAATCGTAGGTAGGCACCCTAATCCAAACAGCCCTCAACCATTCAACCGCTTTTTACCCAAAGCAAAACGCCTAATAAAGGTTTTTAGACTCGATATTTCACTTCTTTCACCGTCATGCGTTATAAGCACCTCTCCCAGCCGAGCGACATTTTTATCTATGTCAAGTGAATTTAAATCCGACATTTCTTTTGTAATTTTTTTTTTTAGTATTTCGGATGCATGGATGTCACGGAGGAGGGAAAAATAAATTATTTTACTTGGGCCCCGGTTTCGCTTGCCCTTTCTCCACCACATCCCGTGCAAAACTTCCCTTGTAGCGAAATCAAATGTACGTTACGTGTGTACACATCATTCCAGAGGTTCTGTAGAAATTTCAAACAAACTCTCCGCAACTGCTTGCTCTCAAGTAGCCTGATATATTGCAAAAGAGGGGTTACTCTAGTATGCAGAATTGTGATGTTTCCTAGTAAGAGAGAGAGTTTTGTTGTTGTTGCATGCGCTAAATTCTCGGAACATCTAGGATCAGCTGAAAATTATTTCCCCACTTTTTTTCTCATTTCTTTTTTTCTCTTGCCTTGTCGATTTTGAAAATCGCACTATGCTTGGGTTCATTTATTCCGGTGCGGAATTTGCTGCTACCAGCCGACCTTTTGATTTGATATTTGATGACATGGACCAAAGTGTCGTGTTAAATTTGGGCGCGCCACGAGATGCGACACTGAAGAGTGTAAGTGCCCCACTAAAAATACACCAAATACAGCTCATATGTTTGCTCGAAAGTGCTGTCTCATTTGATTTTGAAGCCCTTCAGGAGATTCAATAAACTTTATAGTTGAATTGTAATGTTAATATTTGCTTCAATATTTGAGCAAATGTAACAAAAGATAAGATCAGATCGAACTGATAATCAAGTACAACTTCCTTAAGTCTCAAACGAAATTAAACATAAAGTCTGATCAAGAGAATGGATTTTTTGATGGACCACAAGCAAGTCACAATTGAAAATCTTCGCTTTTTCAAAACCAATGGGAATTTAAATCACCCCGTTTTCTTTTCTTACTTCAATTCCAGCTACAAGCACATGGGTGGCTGGCCACTTACTATTTCACAAAGCTGTTACAAGACTCTTTCGATAGAATTCGTAAATTTCCAACAATTAAGCAATTCTAGTCTCATTTGTTGTTTACGAGAAAGACTTCGTTGCAAAAGCCACATTTTTCATTCTTTTGTTATGGCTTTGCATACACAGCTTCTTACTCAAAGAATACAATATAGAACTTTATTGTTGTATAAACAATACGTTTTTGTTTCTTTCACACTACCTGGTTTGAATCTAACCATTTTGAAATTAGTTCTCAAAGTAGTAATTTCATTATATAATTGCTATCTCTTGTTAATTCATTGTGACACTCATCAAGTGTACAAATGGAACAAACGCGTGGAAGGATTAAAGAAAGAAAAGTGTGGATTCTGGGGATTATTGTGGGCACAACCACTTAGCTAGTTTTGTGTTATGCATTTGCATTTCTTTTTGACATTTTGTGTTGCAAATTAACCCTCCTATAAATTGTGATCTGAGCGCTGACCTCACTTTGCCACTTGAAGTTGGGTACAGGCGCATTAGTAACGTCGTTGATAATGGGTACATGCCAAAAGATAAAAATAAGTCGCCCTTGTCTTGTTTAATGCTGGATTTTATGAAGCAATAGACTTTAGCTTACAAGAACGTGGCTCTAGTTAACGTGATTGAGGAAGGGAGCTATAGACTTAATGTACACAAATAACCACAGAGCTTACTTCTTTTAAAGTTTTCAATTGTAAACAATTAGTGCAAGGGCTCTGAACCTTTTCTGGAAAAAATTTCTCCCCTTCCGTTCTAATTACAAACGTTTTATGTTTGGTTATTTTTGGAAACTTCATGAAAGCTCTTGATTCGATAGTTTTATTCCGCCACAGTAGAAGGGCCCAGCAAAGATTGATATGAGTCCCATCAGTAGTATTGCGGTTTTCGTATATAGCTATACGGTTATAACTCTATTGTCGTGGCCACATTGCTGTTGAAAACCCAACGGACTTCAGTATTGTAATTTACGATAATTACACGGCTTTGTGTGACTCTTCAGTTGCAATAGGTGACATCAATGTGTTTAAGATTTAACCTATGAGGTGATTCCTTACAGCAAAGCTTTGGCAAATATTATTGTTCATATGCGTTTGTTGCATTTATTGTGATGACGCTCGTTGGGTTAAATACAATGTCAAAACAATTAACAATAGGAAGGGAGAAAAAATGTAGAAAACGCTTCATTCATTCAAAGGACAACATCAGTAGCTGACGATGAAATTGGTTTGCAAAGTGAAGCCACTGAACTTCACATTCGTAAACTAGAATGAATCAGCCGTTATATCAACCCATTAATACGATTGAAGTAGACATGCACTAACAAGGGAGCAGAAGCTGGACAAACAGTGGTATAGAAGCAAGATCCCATAAATTTCATTACTAGTTTCAAAAACAACCCCAACCAAATAGTCCCACGAATCCACAAGTGGAAAAGTAAAATCCCGCATGCTCAGCTAAAGCACTGTCCCATTGTTCAGTTTGCTGTCGAAACTCAAATTTCACATTTTAGATGGTTTGTATACCACTGATGGCGCCTCCATCTCTTCAACCCCCTTCATTTCTTCACCAATTCCGATTGTGGAAAAGAGTGTGATACCTTGTGCTTCTCAACTTCAATGAAATTCATTTTTAGTTAGTTGCACAAATACCTTTGGGTGGAGGACAATGCACTTTTGCTGCTTTCAACAATTGTGGTGGCTTCATTCCCGAACCCGTGATGGTGGTGAGGATGACACGAGGTCAATATGATTACGATTATGATTGCGATTGTGATTGTGGAAGGTGTGCCATAAGCATGTGTGCACGACAATGAAACTATGGCGCAAAGAGCACGTTGTGGGCGGGGTGGGTTAATAAGCTATTTCGAAAAACAATGAAACTTCATGGTGAAGTTTAGTGGTTAACTACCTTACCATGTGGATCCTTCTACATTGTGCTCTTCTCTCATTCATGAAGCTGGAAAGAATATTTAAACCCAGTGAATTTTCCTTGATTCTTAAATTGGATGGATTTCCTAATCTATATCAACCAAAAATCAACTACTCAAAACAAACAAACTAGTCCATACTATGAAGTTCAATACCTCTATCTTTGTCGCTGCTTTTGCTGCTTCAACTCAAGCCGCTGCAATTTATCCAACCGATGCTGACACCTTGGTATTGGCAAGAGACACAAGCACTAAAATTTCAGGCATTCCATTAGACACCATCTTTGAAGCTGAAGGAGGATTGGCCAATGGAACTTTGTCTACTAGTGGTTCAGGTTATGCTGAATTTTTGAATGTTTTGGGAATCAATGCCACTTATGCTGCAAAGTTGGGTCTCTATGAGGGTGAATCAACTATTGAAGTTTTCAAAACATTTGCCAGGTTGATTGGTGCCGATTTGGGTTTACCACTTGGAAAGAGAGACTTGTCTTCTATCATCCAATCTGCTGCTATCCCACTTGAAGCTTTGAACCAAGCTCTCTCAGATCTCTTGAGTGGAAAGATTGGAAGCTCAGCTGAAGATTTTGCCAAGTTGTTAAAGATCTTGGGTATTGATGCTGCCACTGCTGCCGAATACGGATTGAAAGCAGGAGAGACTGTTTTGCAATACATTGCTAAGATTGGAGAAATCATTGCTGCTGAAGTTGCTGCCGGTCTTGGAAAGAGAGACTTGTCTTCTATTATCCAATCTGCTGCTATCCCACTTGAAGCTTTGAACCAAGCTCTTTCAGATCTCTTGAGTGGAAAGATTGGAAGCTCAGCTGAAGATTTTGCCAAGTTGTTAAAAATCTTGGGTATTGATGCTGCCACTGCTGCCGAATACGGATTGAAAGCAGGAGAGACTGTTTTGCAATACATTGCTAAGATTGGAGAAATCATTGCTGCTGAAGTTGCTGCCGGTCTTGGAAAGAGAGACTTGTCTTCTATCATCCAATCTGCTGCTATCCCACTTGAAGCATTACACCAAGCGCTCTCAGATCTCTTGAGTGGAAAGATTGGAAGCTCAGCTGAAGATTTTGCCAAGTTGTTAAAAATCTTGGGTATTGATGCTGCCACTGCTGCCGAATACGGATTGAAAGCAGGAGAGACTGTTTCGGAATACATTGCTAAGATTGGAGAAATCATTGCTGCTGAAGTTGCTGCCGGTCTTGGAAAGCTCGCATAGATATGTCAGCTCGTTTTCTACGCTAAGTCGCTGGACATCGTTTCTTTTTTTCCAAATATGAAACCAGTGAATTGTTGTTTAGATTGTCTCTTACAAATAAATTATAAAACCCAATTTCGTTACTCTGAGATCTCTATAGAGCCACCCATTTATTGAGTGGTGTAGTTGTCTATCTCTTTTACGTGCCATCTGATAGCGAGCTCAGGATATATTATAGAAGCATAACAAAATTTATTGAGAATTATAAATTGACATAAATCAATTACTTCAGATATTCTTTTATGCGGCAGCTGCGGCACCAATGATACTATTGAGGTCTCCTGAAACGGTTCCAACAATTTCCGCGATATCCTGAGCCGATTTTCCAAGAGCGGTAACTAATTCAACAACTTCCGCAGGAATGGATGAATCACCAATAATTAATGGAGTGATAGTTTGTACATCTTGGATAATAGCATCAACGTCTCCCTGGATGGTTGAGAGACCAGTGAATACAGGTGAGATGGAGTGGGCTGCGACTGTAACCGTGGCAGTTGGGAATGATCCAACAGTGGTTGGTGTAGGAGCAGCAGTTGCAACGGCAAAAACACTAGCAATGGTAGCGAGGGTAGTAAATTTCATTTCAAATATGGTGAACTAGACAAAGTTGGAATGTTTATCGACGATTCGATATTTTATGAGCCATTTATACTTTTGAAGCTGTTTATGTGTTTCTAATTTTCCACGGGTGTCCTATTATTGACATCATTTACAGTATTATCGTGTTCACGAAGAAGCGGCGTTAACAAACAATGCACGAAAATGAACAGAGGCGTAAGCTTTGGAAAAACAGCTTTCGTTGTATAATCTTCAATGAAAAATTCCGCCCATAGTCTTTTCATTTCTTATTGTTTAAAAACAAACGCCACCGTTGCTATAGTTTGAACAATACCACTATTTAGCTCAAATCGTGGCGCTTTTATTCCGATGTCGGTTTTTAATCCATTCTTTTTGTTCTCCAAAATGGCTTTTGTTTGTTTGCGGTGAAGCATTTAAACCCTTCAACCGTTATCCGCCTTATTCTCCAAACAAAGCCACACATTGCCGGTGGTTTTGTAATGGTTCATAGAGACAGAGTCAGAACTTTGATAACCTCAAACCCCTGGGTCCAATTGGTGAAAGATAGATGAGCAGAAGGAATAATTATCCTGTGAACTTCTGAGATCAGAAACCATGAATTGAAACTGGTCAGATGTGAAAGTACCTAATTCCCCGGTGGCACAAAAATGGTTTTGTACTCCAATGTATATCACAACAACACATTTGTTCCGTCATCATCAACAACCAAAAAGTTGACTCATATTGCCGCCCTCTCGTCTATTGTGACAAACACCAAAACTCTCTAGCCCTTTAATTTCCGCGTTTCGTTGGTTGTTATCTCTCAATTCGGCAATCTCCGGTCGAGCTTTGAGATACGAAAAAGTATCGTAAGTGAAAGTAATCCCAGTTTTACAATAAAGGAGGTGCCTACATTTGTTTTGTTGATGTTGAAAAACAAAAGCCTACGAGGACTTGTTTCTTATATTTAATCTGCAATTGGAAAGCTATAGATGGTATTTATATAAACTAGATCAATTGGGAACACCAAAAGTACTGTTAAGCTCTTTTGAAACATCATGGACCAAGGTTCCAACATCCTTTGAAGTCTTTGTAATATCAGTAATCAATTCTTTGATTTCAGCGGGGATAGAGTTATCTCCAACTATCAATGGGTAAATCGTTTCAGCGTTTTGAACGAGATCTCTAACGTCATTGATTAAGGAGGCAATTTGCCCAAAGACTGGTTGGATTGAAGATGGAGAAACAACAACAGGAGCAGTTGGAGCAGCAGCGTCATTTCCAAATGCAGTTGTAGTGAAAGCCAAAAGAGTAGCAAAGGTAGCAACTGAAATAAATTTCATGGTGGTGGTACAATTGAATGTGAAAGTTTGATGAAATGATCCTAATATGTCTTTGTTGAAGATTTCTACCGACACTTATATATTGAGCCAGTATCCGTAGATGTCAGCGTGAAGCTCTGACCTCAAGGCTGATTGTCAAGTGCGGACTTAACAGCAGCATAAAACAATGCAAAAAGTTTATTACACGTGGGTGTAAGGTAAACAATGGTGTAAGTACTATAAGACGATGAATACGGTTGCTTTTATTGTGTGAAATTTTATTATCCGACGTCGTCGACCTTTAACCCATGCAAGCCACACATTTATTAAGTTTTGCCCCACCACAAAAGCCATCAAAAAAGGACAGTGACAGTGCAAAATGCACGCCTCAGTGTTTGGTACAATAACAATGGGGATACGGAGATAGAAAGCGAGTAACCTGGTCAAATTTGGATGGTAATTTTTCCATCTTGAGATTATTCTTTCGGCATCGTTAGCCGAGTTTGACTCTGCATGGTAAGAACAGTTGAAAGAAACGGTGAATTCAACGCCTCAATCGCTCAGAACCTGTCATCTTCACGCTTTGTTGCAGGGCGCTCTTTTCCAAACAGACTCCGACGTCAGAGAGCACACGATAGCTATGATGTTTCCAAAGTGAATTAGATAGGACGAAAAATATCAAGTTTTTCCGGCGTTACAGGTTTGTGTAATTAGGCGGCTAATTCCCCTATTTCAACGGTTTTGAAAGGATTATTATTTTAGCCGCTTCGCTGATAACAAATTTGCTGCTTCTTTTGGTGGAGACAGCCACAATCAAAGGTCTAGCAATTCACGACGCACTTGTTAATTAAGAGACGATGTTATTTTGATAATAAAAGTGCAACACTGGCTGTCGTTTCGTGGAAGAGCGTTTTCCCGATAGTACATAAGGTTGTCATAGGGTTCTTGAACACTACAAATGGTAGACTTTGTGGGACAATCCTTTTTCGTCCACCTTTCACTAACGTCGATCATTTAAAGGGAATATCGAAAGAGCGACAGGCGATACTTCTCTGACAGTGTTTTAAAGTTACATGGCTCTCCTCTGCTTACCATTTGAGACTAGCACCACGAGTCACAGTAAGTCTTAGGCATACACTACTTCGTTTATAATATAGCGCAGATACTCCCTCGTTCTGTTTTAGAGAATACTAAATTAAATTTACATCAACGCGTATTAAAACATATACACGAAATACTAAGGTCTAAGACGACCACCCCACATTAGCTCCTCTAATTTTTGAGGCCAAAAATACCGCCAAGGTCGGATGTAATGTCATCAACTAATCCTTCAACATCTTTAATAGACTTGGAAATAGCTGAGATCAATTCCTTGAGGTCCTCGGGGTAAGTGGTATTACCACTACCAAAAACTAATGGGACGACAGCTTGAACGTCTTGAACAATTGTTTGGACGTCCTTCTCCAACTCTTGGATCTCTTGGAAAAGCGGAACTGATGACTGGGTGGAAACAGTAACAACACCAGTTGGGGTAGCTGGAGCAGTATTAGCAACAGCAGCAATAGAAGCAATAGCAGCAATGGTAATGAATTTCATCTTAAATTGAGTGTCTTTTTTTTTTTTTCTCGTTGGAGCTGTTGCTGAAAACTTCCAAGTTCAAAAGCGCTACTCAAGGGAGCCGGTCAAATATTTATAATCTCTGGTTAAGAACTGCAGTTCCCCTGAAGTATTTCACCTTTCCACCCGTTCCGTGCAAAATGGTATCATAACCACAATCAAAATTTGCAATTACACTCTAGGCAGAACACGATCGTGTTGCGTCGGCTATGTGCCTTTATACGGATATAGCAATAGAACTGTGGAAACCGTTTAAAAACAAAGAGCTCAATAAAGCCACGTTTTTGAAAAGCACAATGGTATTCTTTTGCGAACGGCACAGGAAAGTAAATGTTCACGGAGTTTATGCAAAACGTTCAACGTATGTTCCCATATAATCGGTTTATAAGTGGCAATGTTAGTTGTCGATATCCTTCACCCTGTATCTGAAAAGTCGGTTCTAACCCTCAATAACTTCAACAGAAACAACTTGTTTACTCTATTGAAAATATGCCAAACTATTTGTGCCACTTTTCTACCACTAGTGTTAGGTTTGTACCTGCATCTCTCCAGTTTTCCAAGCTAATCAAATATACGCAAATGTCCCGTGGGCTTTTGGGTTCAATACGCGGAGGCATGTCATTAGCAGATGACGGGTAAAGCTTTGTCCGGATTTAATTGAATATACCTCAGCATGGCTCTTTAACTCCATTATAAAAAATTATGGCCCTTCGGTCCGTTAAGGGCTCATAACCAGAGCCCGCGGCAAGAAATACCTCATTATCCCTCTCTCCCCCTTGCTGCGCAGCAACAATTAAAAGTCCATTGTTAGAAGTGGATATCACCTTATTTGTATTATCTTGATTCTGTATTGTCAATGGCTCGTGCATCGACATCAACCACATTAAGCCAATAGATTAAATGCGTCTATTCCCGCCTTCGCGTTAACAACTTTGAGGTGAATCTTATTCAACATAGGGTTTTGAATGCAACGACCTTATATTCTTGTCCAAATGGGTTTCTTGCGTTAAAATCACTGACTAGTAATCAAATACCACCAGCCCATATTGACAAACACCCTCCCAACACGGATGTCACACATTCTACGAATTTGAACATTATTTCAGATTTCCAACAATCCCCAAGTATGACCTCCTTGTGTTTCCATTTGATGATGATACAACAATAGGATGTAAGCATCCTCTGTTGAGGGATTTCGATTCAACTTACATTCATTTGCTTCATAAATATATTTATTCTTTTCGTTTAAATTATCATAGTTTCGAATAAAGCCAATGATGGTTGTGGCTTTTATTCACCTGTAATTCCGTTGTACCCGGCGCCCCAATACAAAATTTCAACACAAATTCACTCATACCTGATACCAAACTGATTAATGCCGTGACTGTAATAATGAATCACAATGACATTTAAATTGTCTAGCGCTATGCACATGGATACATGTGTAAGTGAATGCCGTTATTATAAACTTTTGGACACTGAAAATATTCATCAATACAAGCTACCAAGTTATTCAAAATTTCTAATCCGAAAATCTCCTGACATACCATCAACTCATAATCCAACAATGGCAACAGGAGCACCAGGTACGCCTTTCGAATATATCACTATACGTATCACTTTTTACTAACAAACAACCATTCATCAGGAGGTAATTTCAGAACTTGGACACCAACTCCACCCGAGCGTGGGTCGTTCCCATTAGACCACGATGGTGAATGCAAAGAGCAAATGATGAAGTACCTTAAATGTATGAAATACACAGAGAATAAGAATGCTCCAAACTGTCGGATATTAGCCAAAGACTATTTGAAGTGCCGGATGGATAATCAGTTGATGGAAAAGAGTGATTGGGATTCGCTAGGGTTGGTTAATCTACCAGGGGATAAAGATAGTCATGGCAATACTAAAGTTGTCAAGAAAGAAGAACAAAGTAGTCTGAAGTGAATGAGGCGGCTATGTTTCCTGTAAATAGAAAATTGGCATCAAAGCTTGTATATAGAGCAAAGTGGCTCAACACTTTAGTATTACAGTTTACAAATCTATATCTTAGATGAGACTGTGAAAAATGTACTCAATTGTCTTTCTTTTGGTCTTTCTCAGAACCAACATCGGACTTCTTTGTAGCATTCAAAAACCGATCAATGGCATTGGGCTCTTTAGATTCAGGTTTTCCTTCTTGGCTGGACCGGGTAGCAGCAGGAGCACCATTAGACCCACTTCTTTGCTGCTGAAGCTGATTTTGCTGTGGTGGAAAAGTGGGTGGTGCAGCCGGTGAAGCAGACGCAGCTGAAGGGGGTACTGGATATGGATGTTGCTGATAATATGCGCCAGGCGGAAATCCATAAGGAGCAGGGGGTGGAATGGGCTGACCATATTGCGGTCCATTGCGAGCATTTGGAACATAAGGACCGCCATTTACTGGATAGCTTCCTTCACTCATAACGTTTGAATATATTTGATTGTAGATTTGCTTTGCTGCTTGTGGATTGTGTGCTTGGTTTTGTTCATCTTGTGTTTCCTTGTCGGCGGCTTCTACCCCTTTAAATTCTTTTATGTTCGCTGATTTGTCCGACAGTTTCTTTCTCAACAAGGATAACAACTCGTTGGATCCTTTAGATTTTGTTGGGTTGCTACTAGTTTGACCGTTCTCGCTGGATGCGGCTGAGCCAGTCTTCTTTTCCACAGTGTGCGCTGCTCCCTGAGACTGAGGTTTATGCGTCTTCTTTGCTTGAGAAGCTTTTATACGAGCCACTTTTTCCTCCTCGGTCATTGGCTTTCTTTGCTTGGAAGCTCTGGAATGATAAACAAACTGTCTATTAGTTAAATTGAGCACCAACGAAGAATCCAACAAAAGACCACGGTTCGATTGAAGCTTACCGTTCATGTTGTTCCCACTCAATTGAGGAACATCAAAAATAACACCCAATGAGGTTTTTGAGCCAACAGTGATTATCGACACAACTGTTCCCTTGGACATTTTGGGCACTTTTCCAAAATCCTGTACATACTCGACTCGATCTCCCAACTCAAATTTTTGATCACTTAACAATTGGTATGATTCGCTAGCATTGAGAATAGCATTTCTGGGAACACCCCTTATATCTTTGTTGATCATGGGTACTTGAGTCAAAATATAGTTTTCCATGTATTGCTCAATAGCACCAAAACTGAATTTGGTGAATGATTGACTCTCTAATGAAACCGGAATCAAATCAGCCTTGACCTCCTTCAACCATTTTTTAACTTCCTGTATTTCATCTGCATCGGACACATCCTTCAAATTTGGAATATCTGACCCTTTCAATTGAGATAGTTTTGCAAACAATTTGGGGAATTTCTGCCTGTAAGATTGAATCAAGTTGATTGCCAATGGGGAAAACTCCCAAAATTTACCATTAGCCAGTTGTTTGGTATACCCTAAAACTTTTTGTCTTTTGCTTTGAAACTTCAACTCTAATCCAATGTTGATCTTTTTGTTACCATCTTGTATCATGTACAGACTTGTAATTTTTGACAACAAGAGCGGATTGATAGCAAGCTTTTTGCTGACATCAAACGATGGAACATAGTTGATTTGTTTAGCCTCTATACTTTGCCTTCTTTTACCAATGTTTGGTTCAGCCGTAGATGATATTTTTGAGACCCTGATACTTAATTTGTCACCAGAGTAGCCCACAACTTGCGCTGGAGCCCCATAGCCCAAATCTCCGAGGAAAATAACTTGGGAGTGCACCGGAAACTCCTCTTCGATTGGCAATGGAGGTCTAGTAGCGAAACGTTGATCCTTGTGAGTGACATCCTTTACAATTAACTGCAAAGGGTACACTTCAATGTCTTTGGAGTACGTCTTGACGTACGCACCATTGGGGTTTCTTATCAACCCATTGACAGCTTTCACATGGACCAAAACTTCAATAGGTCCAAGTTTTACACCCTTTGTCTTATCCCAATAATAATCCAAGTTATTACAAGTTGATCGATAACTTCTTTTTTCCTCTGGATCCATGTCAGTTGTAACAACATGCTTGAACCCCTTGGTGTTTCTAACTGATTCATAGTTGTATTCGCCATCAACGACTTTCACCACTTTACATTCCCTTAAAAATGGCCAATTGCTATAAATCAATTTACCAGCAAAGCTTTGAGCAAATTGACGCAGAGTCATATCAGACCATACATTTTCCACATTCAAAATCATAGTCTCCGACTTGGATGAGAAATTGAAAACCTTGACTTCATTCAATGCCAACTCAGACGTGAATGGGACATATTTCAAAGTTGGGAACCCTGCCAGTAAATCGGTACCTGTACGTGCTTCCGCGAGTTTGCCAATTTTGGGCTCAACAACCTCTGGTAAAACAAACTCAGTTTCGTAACACTTGTCGTGTTCAATATCGTGGAAAAACCCTGGTAAAGGTGAAGGGTAAACTTTGTCGATTTGCGGATTGTTGATGAATTTAATGTTATGTCCATACGAGTTTCTCTTTGTTTCTTGTGGTGTCAATTTTGATTCTATAGGTTTTAAAGCATCAAGCAACTTCTTTTCGTCAACAAAATCCAACAAGACAACTGCTTCCCAGGAAGCCGTTTTACCATTCATATCAATGTCAACTTCATGAGGGTAAAAATCAATAATGGGGGATTTTTCATCAGTCATTAATGGCCAGTAGGCAGCTGGCATTAATTTCTTGGATCTTGCAGGAAGCACTGCCATCAATTGCTCAAATGGTTTGAATGGTTTTGATTTCTCAAATGTTATATCAACTCCCTTCTTGATCAATTCTTCCAACCCAAGGGATACATCGGAAATTCTTGGGGCATAGTGGTATTTGTAATAGAAATTCCACGAAGGACAACCACGATAGTAGTAATACAAAACCCATTGCAACCCTTCAACGTAATGTTCAGTCATTTCAATCAACTTTTCCTTATCATCAATGGGGAAGTGCAACTTTTCTTCATAGTAGTTGTTTTTCCAAGTTTTAAATTTCTCCTCGTAAACCCCCTTTGTCTCACCAAGAACATCTTGACTTTCAACCAAGTTTGCCGCTTGATACGACTTGACGGTTTTCCTTAATTCGCTAATACGTTCATCGTAATCTTCTTCTGATTCAGCTGGTGACAATCCATCAATATCCAATTTGGCCACATAACTATCATCTGATTTCGAATGAATAATTAAAAATCCAGCTTCCAAAGCAAATTGTTTAAGGAAATCCAAATTTTTCTCCACATCTTCCTTGTTCAATTTCAAAGTGGGCAACTTGTCTTCATTAGCCAATTGAATAAGATCGTTGACAGTTTGGCTCGACACTTCCATAAGCCATGGTTTAATATAACCCACCAACTTTTTTTGTTCTTTCAAAATCAACAACTTACCAATCTTTTTCCTCTTCTTCTCTCCAGATATGGAAACATCGTCAAGTTTCTTGTTGAACCATTCAACGTCAACTTCTCTTTCTTCGAAATTTTCAAATTCAAACTCCGATAAATGATGCACCCAAATGTTCAACCGGCGTAAATTGATTTTACCTTCTTCATTGATATACCCATCAGATTGAAGCAAACTTTGCTTGAAAGTAGATAACAACAACGGGAATGCACCTTTATTTAAATGCAAGTCAGGCAAGTGAGGTAAAAAATCGTTACCTATGACATACATGATGAGAATAAAATCATCCAAAACTTTTTCAAAATCATACTCGAAATCAACCTGCTCTTCAACTTCTTTAAACTCCAATTCCAAATACTCTCTTACCAACGACAAATGCAAAAGGTAAAATTTTTGGTCAGTGACATCTTTTGGACCCGATGAAGTCTTGCGGTTCCCAAATGTAACTTCTTCTCGTAACAAGGCAAAATGGGGGTCATGGCTTACTAATCCCAACATTATCAAATCAGCATCCAATCCATAAATACAGTGTCTCAAATTTGGGTCATAATCATCTTGTGATCTAACTGCTCTAATAAACTCTTGAATCTTGTGTTCACCTTCTCCGGGAACTTCGTGACCGCTCAAAACAATTTCAATATTTGCCCATCGGGAATCTTCAGTGATCTTTTTATGTACAAAGTATTTTAAATTCTCCGTCAATTTGGCCATAAATTCCGTACCTGGTGTAATCGAATTAGAATCAAATGGATCTTCTTTTGGGAGCTCGTCACCATTTTCAATGGCTTTTTTCAAATTGATTTCAGCTTCATACGCAGTTCTAAATCTTCGTGCTCTTTGCTGATTCATTTTGGCTCTAGGTGCAACCCCATCAATGGCCATATAAAATGTCTTTTTGGGTTTGATTATACTAAACAAATGATCAATATAGTTGAATATGGCAGCATACATCTGGTCATCTGATATACGTGTTATCGATCCGTCGTTCGAATGCGTACACGTATGCAAGATCGAGTTCATATCGAGATACAAGTTGTCAAATTCTGGTATCTGCTTCTCATCAACCAACTGCGAAATCAAAGGCCATCTTTCTGATATAAATCTAAAAAACTTGGGAATACCTAGTCTAAGTTAGTAGCCAAGGACAAACTCAAAAGAGGATGAACAATAGACATACCCATATTTGTAAAAATATTAGTTCTTGTGTATACTTTGTTGTTGTATAAAGCAAAAAGTGCCTTTCAAAATGTCGAACCTTTTTTTTTTTTGCGAAAAATTCCGTCAGAAGTAGTAAAAGAAAAGAGAGGTTTTAATTTTTTCTAAGACACACCAACCACCACGAGCATTCAATTGTTGTACGATACACACGACTTCTCCTGAATTAAAAAAACATATACTTGAGTGTACGGGATATATATAAAAAACAAAATAGCAAAAGCAAACCAGTGAATTAAAACTAAACCAACCTAAATCCTGCTTAACCAACAAATTCCGTTCCATAGGTAGCATGACAGATATCACGTTACCTACTTGCATTCTTGTATGCAGCTTTGAATGCCACTTTCCGAATTAAAGCACCTCCAACCCATTCTCGTCACAAACACCACGAAAAGTTTTGGCGAATTCGGTGTACTTCTTGAAGACGAGTCTTGACAGGCTCTTGATTTGTTTACCAAAAAAAGAATCTTTTGACCAAAATAGTGCCCCTCTTTTTGACCAAGCAAGGACTTGTGATTCCACTTTCCTTCTCCAGCCAGGGTACAGCCTTACAAGCTTCTTAAAAGCCCTGCGGCTATATCTACTTGATCTCCGAAGTCCATATTTTCCAACCCTTGCACACTTTCTTCCAAACCTTTTCAAAATTATTGATGTGATCTTTTTGTGCTTAGAGAAACTTTTTGCAGACGTTTTATAAAACACAGCTGCTCCGACACTTGAAGCGTGTAACCAATCATCCATCGTATCAATTGAAGTGCGTGTGTACTTGGATAAATTGCCAGCAAAGATCCTTCCATTTCGGGATGCGTAGTCCATACCCAATCTTCCATACATTGATGCCATGGTGCTACCACGAGTGGCAAAATCCTTTATATTATGATATTCATTTGTTGTGAACCTGCTCGTCTCATGAAACCACATATGTATATTCTTATTCGCCAACATGATGCCATTCTGAGTTTTGATCAACCAGTTGTTTGCAATAGGGCCCACGTCTTCCACAGCTTTATTAGCCCACTCACGTGTAAATTGCAACCTTGGTGCTAAACTAGCTCTAACTTGTTTGCCATAGTTTACAAATCTATTCACTTTCAATTTCTTGTGACCGAATGGGAAAAAGTTGCCACTTGTAACTGGTGTTTCTTGGTAAATAAAGCTATCCCAATATTGATTGAACTTCTCATATGCAGTGACTGGCTTTGTTTCTCTATTGACGGCGAAGTGGTGAATAGCATAAACAGTTGGTATTAGTCCCACAATTATGGCAAAAAGGTAGTAGCAAAGATACTCCGAGTGGGAATCCAAAAATTGTTGTAAAGTATTGATTAATCTGACTTTTATTGGCGAGGTGGGTTTCGCTTTGGTCCCTGACTCCTTCAAAATGGAGGGTTCTGCAGTTGACTCCATATTTGCTGCTGTATCACCCTCTTCTTTGCATTCCGCTTGCAATTCGATAGTACTTTCCAAGTCAGCGCCAACATCATCAGAACTTGCAGCAAGAGCGCTAGCAGAATCAGCTTGTGATTCCTTTACTTCATCACTTCTCTCTTCTGTATCATCATGTAATCCAACTGACCTATTCTGTTCAGTGACGTATTTGTTCAACTGATCAATCTTGTCTTTAGCGTAATTGGTATAAAAATCACTTGACTTCTGTTTAATCGACTCATTGAACAGATTCATGTTTTCAAAAAACCTAATTTTTGACCCGACATTGACAGATTTTGCCAGTTCATCAGATCGAGAGTCTTCCAGGTTTGAAGCCAGTGACAATGACAAAGGAGAGTGGCCATCATTTACGTCGTCTCTGGTGCATCTGCCTTCATTATTCGCAACAGCACCTTCTCTCACTTCTGACCCATGCTTGGACAGCATTGAACCCTGATCAGCAAGTCCAGGAATGACACTAGGCACCTTGAATAACGACCCATCCATATTCAGCGACCCCAACTTATCTTCCGACTCAGTATTGTGTTTCCCATCGGAACTCGTAGTTGACCTCTCATCATCAAAATCGGAAGATGATGAAATTATAGACCAGTCTTCATCAATCGAACTTGCACCGCCACTAGCACCACCGGAGCTTGTCGTTTTTGATATTGATGACACGCCACCCTTTCCTTTAATTTTAGTACTTTCCAGCATTCGCAAAGAATAGTTATAACCTGATTGAAGTACCTATATCCGAAGAAGTTTCACGCGGTATAAGGCCCCTTCTTTTTGAGATCCAGCTGCTGAAGTGAAAACCTAGTCTTAAACAGATTTTTTTTTTAAAAAAAAAAAAAGATAAAAAGGGTGAATGACTTTGTTGCTATCAATTTAAATGTGGGTTTAATTTTTTTTTAGGATTGTTTTAGGGAGGGAAGAAACAAAAAGGGGATAAGGAAATAAACAGATAGGGAACAACAAAATCAAAATGTATAAATAGGTGTACTTATGCCGCCGTATTGCTATAAATTTAACATTAAGCCATGTTTCTCATAAGCTGACTAGTTTGGACTCAGTTTCACTGGGTAGTTGCAAAAGCATTCAGAAGGGTACTCTTACTAAAGGATATGTAGCTTACTCACACACAAAATGATCATGCAGATAAAGATAAGCCATTTGTGTAACGGTACACTACCTTTCCTTGAAATATACCCACAAGATGAATTACATCCCAGGTTACTCGCTTTTGTAAGCAGGCATTTAAAAAGAAATGGATAATGGATGTTTATCCAGAGCTACTAACCTCTCAAACTACAAAGTGTGGTTTATGTAATTATAAAAGAAAAAGACAAAGACCAAGAGCCACAATTATATTATAAGCTACCGTTTGATTTTGTGCGCCCTACCATTTGCTCCTTTGAAATATTGGCCACTTTTTACAACTCTACTTTTCAGACGTCCACTTATATATTACTTACACTCTTCATAAATAATGGATAAAACGAAAACAAATACACGAAAGAATTATACAAAATGCTCTCACAAGTTCTAGGAAATGAAATACCAAAGTTTTCTTTGGGATAAAACATGCACATGGCACCATTCTGGATCCAATTTTATAAGCGGATTGCGTTTGATGGTTTTGAGTAGTGGATACAGTTGTGTTTAAATTCTTTACTTATCAAATCAAATACGGTTTCATCAGGCAGGTCTAAACTGGTTGAGATGAGCTTGCATATCAGCAAAATAGCACGCTGAGTATGTCAATAAATATAGTAAGATCCATAAACGACGTTCCTGTAGACTTTCGCATCGTCAAATAGATACTCCCCATCAGTATTACTACTCAGACCCTAACTCCAAATTGAATTTACTCTAACATCTCATGTCTGGATTCTTTGTACACAATCCATTACAAGTCCCGTGGTCTGGGTGCAAAATGATGATCTTGAGCTGATTGAGAAGATGAGCCATCTGCTTTTAGCTCCAGCTGTTGTGATACATTTCTATTTGTCCCAGAATATGAGGCTGAATTCAACAATTGAGAAGGAGGAGGCAAAGATGAAATGAAAGCACCGCGATTTTGCGAAGGACCCCAGTTAGAATTACCAATTTGCGTTGGGTTTGAAATAGGCGTCCCACCAGTAGCGCCAGTTACACCAGCTGTAATGTTTCCTGATTTGGGTGGCCTCCCTGGAGATAAGTTTGATGTCCAATATTTGCCGGCAACGATTGTTTTCAGTATGGATGTAGGATTGGGTGGGAACTTCATTGGTGTTGCAGCAATATGGGTAAGCCCCGGTAGACCTGGCGAGCTTTTGGCCAGTGCAAGAGTGGAAACACTCGTCAGATCACTGCGCTGTATCGGATGAACTTCGTCACCATAGGGTGTACCGCTGATGGTGGTGATGGAGCTAGCACCAGTGCCTTTTGTGATAATTGGTAGCAGTCCATCGAAATTTTGCTGGGGAAAATGTGGAGTCATTTGGGGGATGAATGAAGCTTGAGGCAGTGGTTGATGTGGTACTGAAAGTGGCGGTAATGAGATTTGATTCATGTGATGGTTATTATTATTGTTGGGGTTGCTATTGTTACTACTGTTGAGGTTGTTGAAGTTAGGAAATGGGTAGAAACTGAGGGGATGTATTGGGTTTGGTGTAAATGCTGATGATGATCCACTGGAAGCTTTCTGCAAGATGTGTTTCTGTATAGTTGGATACGTTTTGTTGTCAAGACTTTGCGTTCTTCGTTGTTGTTCAGTCATATGCTGATGACGATTTGTGCTAAACTCTTGGTTACTGCGACTTCTGGTATTTTGTTTATTGTCCGAATTTTCCTGATCGAGTCCAATTGTTTTCAATGTCGGTATACAGTTTGTATCGTGGGTTGTTGTAGAGTCACCACTGGTGGCAGGTTCATTGCCTGTGGAACTAAAATTGGAGGATGCACCAGTTGAATTTGACGCTGCTGAAGAATCTCGTTCGTCGTGTTGATTGACCGCTAATGCCGGACGTTGAGGGACTTCGTCACCGCTGTCAACACTGTTACCCGAATGTAAATGGGAAAGTGGTCTTGTTTGGTTATTAACAGGATTTTGATTGAAGTTGGGTGAACTGGATTCTCCATTTGTGTAACCATTATGAATGTTACCCATGGAATTGTTATTGCAAAAGTTGTTGTTGTTGTTGCTATTTGCATTCACTGTACATGCATTTGTCGAGTTCTGATGCCTCGTTAATGCGTCAGGTCTGGCAAACCTTCGTGAACACCTATCACAACTATATGGTTTTTCTCCAGTATGAAGTTTTTCATGACGTTTCAAATCATGTATTCTCCTAAATTTCAAATGGCAAACGTTGCAAATATGGGGTTTCAAAGACGAGTGTATAAGTTCATGGCTTACCATATTGTGTTTTCTAGTAAAGCCTTGATTACAAGTTTTGCAAAAGTACTTCCTAGGTAGTCGTTGTTTACCAGTTGTAGATATTAACTGGGACAGGTCTTGTTCCGGGGGTTGATGATGGACTGGTGTATTCGGTATAAGCGTACTATCGCCTGCTTGTGGATGGAAGTAGTCCATCTGTTGATCTGGTGGGTGAGGTACATCTAACTGCACCTCAGATTGAGTCTGTTGTAGTGCATGATCATGGCGATGTGGGTGCTGTTGTTGCTGTTGTTGCTGTTGTTGCTGCTGTTGTTGTTGCTGTGGCTGCTGTAGTGGTAATGATGGTGGCTGCACCGACAGAGGTGACAGTGTACGCAGAACCAGCTGATTCGGATGTAGCGACAGTGTGGGGATTTGTGTCATGGGTGGAAATGGCTAGCAGATATGTCTATGATTGGTAAGCTGTCTGATCATTCAATTGCTTGCTGGTGCTAGTTTGTTCTTTTTAATAATGGGATGTAAAAATGGGTTTAATAGTAATGTTCGCAATGACTATGCTTGATGCAGCAGATGACGCGTGGAACAGTAAAGCTTTATCACTTGTTGGTGTAGTGGAGGACAAAACCTGTATGATTGAAAGTGGTTGACGATACTTCTCTCCGACTTGTAAATTACCAGTGCTGTTTTACAAATCTCCAATACAATCAAAAGTTTTTTTGGGCTATATTATGGTTGAGAAAAAGAAAATTCTGTTTTTGCGTATGATGTAATGGAATATTATTATTATTTGAATAATAATAATATCTTTGTAATTAATTGTTTTTTTTGTTGTTAACAAAATCAAACACCTTTTGTTCTTTTTTTTGTTTAGGAAGAACAGTGGCAATAGAAAGTAAAAAAAAATTACTAAGAAAATAATAAAAAACTATGGAACGATTCCTTGAATGTTGTAGATCAGGGGGGTTGGAAGGTTGAAGGGGGTGCTCGGTTTTGATGGCGAGTGAGATATGCTTTTATATATATACAAACTTTAATATTTTTCTTTGTGGACTGTCACAGATAGCGTGTCACAGACAGCGTGACACAGACGATGTTGATTATAGAATCGCGGCAAAGAGAACTAGAATCTAGTTCATCATAGATATCGTATTGATCCACGGAAAAAAGCTTAATACTAATATCATAAGTCGATGAGAATCAGCATATAAGGATGATACATATTGAACTAACTTTCATTTATTCATACATTTTTTTTTTTATTTTTGCATTTCTTTTTTTTTTTTTTTATTTTTTTATATTTTTATATTCTCTTTGTTCTGAAAAACAATAGAGAGAAAAGAAACGTAACCATACTTCCATAGCTATTGTTTCAAATGCTTTTTCCTTTTCTTTTTATCCGTGGGCTCATATTTTGAAGATATTTATTATATATATATCTTCACAAGCTACAAATGAGAGAGAAGGATAGACCAAAAGTTTATTCAAATCAAAAGAGTCCAAAAAAAAAATACAGTGTAACAAAAGAAAACCTTATAATGTTATACTAATATTTGAGTGTGATCATATGCAGATACGCACTGCTCTTTTGTGGCAAGTCGTCGTGTACACAGATCAAAAAAGGCATCAAGAAGACAATTTTATTACACAAACTTATACTCAACAGAAGAACAAGAAAAAAAATACATCCACCTCTATTACACACACCGACACTCCTGCAAAGCGGCTGAATTGTTTCCTTTACAAGATACAAAAGCAAAAAGACAGCAACCTTATAACTCTATCTTTCATTGAATCTATTATACAAATGGAGTGTGGGGTGTGGCTAGCTTATGACCAGTTGATGAGTGTCTGAAACTCACAAGAAGATGATTATAAATGGTGAGTGACATCTGCGATTAGGAATGTCCCAAAAGCAGTCTTTACGTTGTGGTCTAGCTGGTTCTCTATAGCGACTTCTTTGAATAGTTTTTAATCAATAGTAGAAAAGTTCTTCAGCGAAAAACAAAACAGAACACAGCAGCTCACACAAAGTCAGTAATCATTGGCTAGAGAATGAAAGTTTTGTGATAACCAAGCTCCATATTACAATAGCGTAGTCTGTGGTTTGTAAATTGGTTGCAAATACAACTCGTCTTCGGACTTTTGGTTTCAGATTTTACATATAGAGAGACAAACGAAGTTATAATAATTTATAATCTATTGCATTTGTAACAGCAAAGAAGCTTTTCACTTTTCCATAGATAATAATATTATTGTTATTATTATTATTATTATTATTATTATCATTATTGTTTATTCTATGCTGATTTTTTTTTTCTTTCTGTTTTTGTTTTTCCGTCTTTCCATCACATACATAAAACTCAATAGAAACTGTCTCAGATTTATGCACAATGGTTTAATAATCGGTTCCGTATGGCTGTTAAAAAACTTCGATTTTGCAACAAAAGGGGCATCAATAACCGGGGGTGTTTGAAACCAACCCATCGAACTTTAAAAACCACATCACATTTTTTTTTCTTTTTGTTCGAAGGGTTAACCAATCACATTGCTTTTTGCCTCATTCGGTAATAGCATTTGTTATGTTTTCTTTTTTCTCTTTTTTGGAAGAAGGTACACTACATCTATTGTTCTGGGATGTAAAGAATGGCGGAAAACTGCAGGTGTGTATATGTGCTCGCTTTGTGTGCATTTACACAAACCCATCACTATAGAGAGAGTTGTACATAGCAATCTAATGAATATGACTGGTGGCAAAGAGAGTGAGCTGTCCATGTGCACTTTAACAGGTGTATGTAACTCCGCGTCCAGCTATATGTTTTAACTTTTTTTAAGCGAAATCCGGTCTTCCAAAACACACAAAAAAAACCGTTGATGAAAAAACCTAAAATAATATATGGCCTGGTTTTTTTTCATTTTTCCAGGCACAAAAAAAAAGAAAAGTATCACAAAACGATATTGCGATAGTAGTAGAGAGAAAAAAAAACGGAAAAACAAAAACCCAAAGCTAAGAAAAATGTATAATGTCAAGCACCAAATGTTTCTAATACCTCAGTCACCGCGTTTGTGTAAGCATACATTTCCTATTGAACATTAATTTGACATTGTTCTTGCCGTTTTTCATTGTACATTTTCATGACGATGGAAACGTGGTGCAATTCAAACAGAAGACAAGAATAGGCGAATTGAGGAATACAATTGAGACTTGAAACGCTTGGAGTTCCACTAAAAGCGAAAGGAGGGGAGAGATTGAAACCGGTCTGTGCCAAAGCACACCCCATGAGTTACTAGTAACCCAATGCTTCACTGGAATGAGTACCTCCTCAATGCAAGTTGAATTCAACCACTGGGAAGCAAATAAATCTAATAAATGTGGGGTACATAGAATCCGTGTGATAAGTTTGCTTTCGTTTGTGTAGGCTTACTTTTTGGACCTCGTCATCTCATAAGCAACCCTATATACCGTCTCGTACTTTTTCAAATGGAGTCGTACTCAACAAAAGGGTAAAAGAGGGGTGGGGTGAAAACTAGCAAGGTCTTTTTTCAATGTCTCCCTGCATCGAGACGTAGAGGATGTGAAATGTGCGTTGAATCCAACGTACAAACAATTTTCACTTGTATAGAATTTCAAGCCATGCAATCCACAGACTCTGTAACGTTCAATAACAAGTTGTTAAACTTTTATGCTTGAGAGAAAGAAAGGTTACATTTTGTCGATCTCTCGTTTAAACTACTAAAACCATACTAAAGTAGGACGTTTTAGAATTTCAAGGCTTTTTTTCAAAAGGCAAACTGAAAATAAGATTTTGATTTGCGTTTTAATGTAAATGAACAAAATAGAGGGGCTGAAGTCAAGACTTGGTATAAAATAAGATTGGCGGTGTTCCAACTCAAATTAAACTAGAAACACCTTCAGTTGCAAAACAAAGCTACAAGATCGAGTTAATTTTTCTTTTCTTTTTTTTTTTTTATGAATGATGTTGCAACTACAATTTGCATCCATTTACATGAAATTAGACCGAAATAGTGCTTTGTGGTTCGAAAGTAACTTGAATACGTTGTGGGGCTTAATATTCTATAACTCTCTTATAAACAAAGTAGTTTAGAGCACGTTATGTCACAATGTAAGGTTGACCATGATTTATAGAAGCTGCTAATGATTATCAAACTTTACAATCATCATTGATTCACTAAGATTGTGGGGCTTGTTAAAAGACATCGCGCAATTCCAAGTTCAGCAGTGACATGAAGATGAGGTGTTGTAAACTTGGCGAAGTAATTGGCAGCACACACACATCACCTATTAACTGTGGCGACTTATACTAGTCGTGTAAAATTTACAAAATTATTGGGTTGCTACATAAATACGAAGCTGGAATTAGCAAACATTCGAAGCCATTTAGCAGTGTCGTAAAGAGGAAAGTAGTTGGAAAAGCAAGGTAGGTTCAGCAGCTTGCCACCACCTCAAACCAAACGCCTTCATCAGCTTTACTCTCATCTTGAGCTTGATGAGCACACATCCCCACGTTGCTCCTTCATTCTCGTCGTCTCATGTTTTTTTGTGACTCCATTTTTCTCATTCTACGTTTTTTTTTTGATTTCGTGACAAGGTTACACGACTTTGTTTTATCATAATGAGACTTTGCTATTGTCATTCCTTAGTCACAACACCAATAACTGGTGCAGATTTACTCAAGGCCGCTTTGAGCTCTCTTACGCATAAACCATTAGGTCTGTGTTTGTCCACTTTCACGAACAGCAGAGAGCAATGGCAGTTGAGTAGAATAAGCCTTGTTTCAATGTGTTGTACAAAAGTGAAAAAAATACCTTTACAAAATACAAGGGAGAATTTATAAGCTCTGTTATTGTGTAGTGGTGACACTGATAGTCCGATAAGGAAATAATATACAATGCCCTTGTGGACACTCTCAGTGTACATAGCTTCAAAAGCCTCAGAATTCCCAACACGATGGCTGAACTGATTCGGAAGACTAAACACGACATAATACCAAAGTAAAAGCTAAAACGGCGTTTCTCCGCTTTCTTCATCTACTAAATCAAAATTTGGATTGCCCTTTTTCTATCTTTTTTTTTTGTGCTTCATACACACACGCACACAAATATTAAATGCATCAAATGAAGCACAACAACGTGGGTATCAGTAGAGCTTATCAAAGTAACAACGTTCAGAAGCCAAAGATGAAAAAATAATGGTATAAGGCATAGGTGCGGTGGAGGGTGTGCTGACCACTGGAAAGCTTTACTTTGCATTACCCCATCTGACCTCTACGTTTTTTCAAAGAGTGAAAACGTTCTCTTCTTTTATTATTATTATTATTATTATTATTATTATTTTATTTTAGTATGCGGAAAAGGGAGAATCAGCTTTCTTGCCCACAGGCAACCAAATTTATTTCTAAAAAAAAAATCATCAATTCTTTCTCTATCTTGTTTGACTCAAACGTGCAAAATCAAACCATCATAATACAGTGACAACAAAAACCATATATATACATCTAGAGGGATAGTAGGTCCGTCTCTTACTATCTTTGGCAATACAAAGACACACTTCAACGAGTGGTTCAATTCTTTTCTTTTGATTTCGTTTGTTTAAATCATCCAAGCTTCGGACCCCTTGCACCCCCTTTCTCAATCAGAGAGAATACTCAGTCGATTCGTCTTTCTTCACAATACACTCTATCAGAAATGTCACTCCTTACCAACAGGAAACGTCCAAGAGGTTATAGTGAGAATTTTGCCCCACTGCAATCGGCAACTCTCAATTCCTCGTACCAACTGCTGATCCAGCAACAACAAGAGCAACAGCAACAACAAGAGCAACACCGTCAGCAACAACAACACCACGTACAACTGCAATTTTTACATCATCAGCAACAACAACAACAACAATATGACCCTTCGCAGTTTACTCAATCTAGCCAACATGACCCAAGACATCCATTTGAAGGCACGTCAAGCAGTTCATTTGCTCAAAATTCAAACTTTGGATATGATGGTAACTCTGCAGTTGGATTTAGCCCACACATGCAACCCAAAAAATCAAAATTTAGTAATCCCTTCTTGCTGGTTGAAGAGAATGACGCTATTTTAGATGACGGTGAGACAGATGCTTTTGTTTTGGACGATTTGGATGAAGTTGATGGCTTTGGTGGTGGTGGTGATCACGGTACTTGTGGCGATAATGCCATTACGGGAGAGGAAGAAGATGAGTACGATGACGATATCATCATAATCGATGAGAAGGATATTGTACCTAGAGGCAGAAGAAATAACAGTGATTCAATTTTGATCAACCCTGATGCACAAGAAGCTTATAATCTATTCAATGTGAATCAATTTGAAATTGACAAATCCACAAGAACCAAAAAACAGCGAACTAGCTCACTACCTCAATTGCCTCAGGTTAAATGCTTTTACAACAAGCTACCCAATAACTATATCTTGCAAACACCTAAGTTGGGCAATATCAAAGCCAACGTCATACCACATCAGAATAACCTACCGCCATGCGACGATGAAAATGGCCATTACATCATTAAAATTAACGACAATTTTGCCAATCGATTTGTTATTGTCAAGTTGTTGGGACAGGGAACGTTTGGAAAAGTTGTGCAATGCTTTGACAAGGTTAATAGAGAACAAGTGGCAATAAAGATTATACGAAACATCCAAAAATATAGAGACGCAGCCAAGATTGAATTAAGGATATTATCAACGTTGAAAAAGTTTGATAACGCAAACAAAAACCATTGTATCCATTTGCGTGAATGCTTTGACTATCGTGGCCACATTTGCATTGTCACTGATTTGTTGAAGATTTCATTATATGATTTCTTGGAGAATAATAAATTCATTTCATTCCCTGGAAGTCACATCCAAGCAATTTCAAAGCAGTTGATTAGATCCGTCACTTTTCTCCATGATTTGAATTTGATCCATACTGATCTTAAACCAGAGAATATATTGCTACACGATGACTCGTTTACAAAAAAACAATTGTATAGTTCCACCATCAAGAGTGCATTTATGAACCTTGCCACCACTGCCGCCTCGCCAAAGAGCAACACCAAGAGGGTGCCCAAGACATCGAAAGTACTTAAAAACCCATTGATACAAGTTATTGATTTTGGCAGTGCTATTTTTGATGATGAGTACCATTCACTGATTGTTTCTACTCGTCATTATCGAGCTCCGGAAATTGTATTGGGAACTGGCTGGTCTTTTCCTTGTGACATGTGGTCAATTGGCTGCATCCTTGTTGAGCTAATTATCGGTGAGCCCTTATTCAAAACTCATGACAACTTAGAGCATTTGGCAATGATTGAAAAGATTGCCGGTTACAGGATCGATAAAGAGATGGTAAAGTTGTCAAAGTTGAATGAAAATGAATGTGGACTAGAGTACTTCACCAATGAGTATGTCGGTGTGTCTTCAGATGATGACCACTTGTTGCACAACTCTGCACAAGATTCACCCTCGGGTACGACATCTATATCGTCGTCGTCGGTGGATGATGATGATGATGAGGAAGAAGAAGTTGTACGAAATGTGCGTGCTGTGGGTCTTCATAGTGATGCTGGTTACGACCCATCTTTACGTCGTCATCATCATCAACGCGGACGTCGTAATGTGCACCAATTGGAACAACTTGATGATTCTGATTCTGATGATGATGATGATGTTGTTATTTTCGATGAGGAGAGAACTGTAGCCAACTCTTTGACTTTACAGTTCCCAACTGCATCGACCCCACAAAAGTTCATTGACGCCGTGGAAGAGTTGTCAAGAATCGATTTATTCATCAGTTCTCGAATTGGATTAAAGATTAATTTTGATTACTCATTAAATCAAAATTATGAGGAGAATAAACATTTGATAAATTTTGGCAATTTTACATTTTGGTGGTTTTTCATTGACTTGTTGCGGAAGTTGTTTGTCATTAATCCTAGAGATCGAATTACCGCATTGGATGCGTTGAACCATCCGTGGTTTAATTTGGGTATACAAGATGAAGGTACAGTATAGAAGAATGCTTTTGCCGACTTTTTGATTTGGTTCATTGCGGGGGAGAGGGGTGTGTGTGTTGGAATTTGAAAGACTGGTTTGCTATTCGCTGCCACCTCCGTTACTTTTTTAATTTTATTTCTTTATTCAGTTCGTTTTGGTTTCCCATTTTTTTTTTATTTGATACCATTTTTCATGTGATTAGTTTTTCAGTTTTGTTTTACATTACCTACTTACCCTTTTATTGATTGATTATATGTGGGTGTTTAATTCAGTGTGTTTAATTTTGGATTTTATGTGTAGTTTACCATTGTGCTTCGTTTAAGAGAAGAAAAGGGGGCTAAGACTCACACTAAGAGAGCATGTTGAGCCTCTTTTGCCATCGTAATACTAAGCCATTTGCATGATTATTGAATCAGTGCTTTGCATAGGGGCTGAACGGGTAAGTTTTGACGTGAGAGCTTTCAACTGATTGAACAAGTGGCCACCCTCCTTTCCACAAAGTTTTTGACTGCATTTACACTGATGTAATAATAAATGCAGCAAAGATGATCTCAATCTACACCACCATCAATATCGAAATGATCTAGACTCTTGCCTTGCCCTTTTTTTTGGAGTGGAAGAAGAGGGGAGTAAACAAGAACAATAGTTAAATTTCTTTTTATGGCTACATAAAAATATGTTGGCTTTGGAAATAGTGTGCACGTCGTAAATCCATATGACATAACGGTTAAATTATACCCGATGTACACCGTGTAAAAGAGAAACACTACTCAAGGTCATTCATTTTGAACTAGGTTGGACCTCTTTTCTTGGTTTAATCTAATGAGATGTTTTTTAGTTTCATAACGTTCTCGTTTATGAATTTTTCCGAAGCGGAGTTTCGAGAACAATAACAAAAAGAAACGAATAGACGTTAGAAGGAGACAAATCTAGAACAAGCAGCCGTCGTTCAAGTTGTTTGAGTAGTAACATCAAGGAGTGACTGTAACCGTGGTGTAAGACATCGGCAAAAAATGTGACAGTCACGTTTACGAAGAATTGTGTAAAAAGCACACCTGAAGAAGCTTTTTCAATTGTTGTTGTCCCCCTATTTTCAAGAAATTCTAGATTCGTAACATGGTCATAGCTTGAACAAGAAATGTAACAGTTGGCCATAGAGCACAAAAAGATAAAGTCAAATCAGCTTTAGACTGATTCTTAATTGGCTACATACGATAAAGTACAAAAGTAAAGACCATTGGATTCATGAAAATTTTTATTTGGTGAAAAAAAAAAAATTTTTCAACTTTCAAGTGGCACTAAATCTTTGTCGTGCAGGGAACATATATGTATGTCTCAGATTAAAAGTTGTGGTGCGAGAGGATCAAATACGTAGACACAATATGAGCAGATTTACCACATGATGAAAAGAAATTCTTCTTCGTTGTAATCATGCCTCTCGCTGACTTTCCAGATCCGAGCTAAATATGAATATTCTCTAGTTTGCTCAGTAGGAAGTGGAGAATGAGAGACACTCTTCAAATCGTCCGATTGGCCATTTTGCAAATTGTCTCAAAAGGACAATAGGCTGCATTTACGGTTTGCACTTACACTTGCACCACTTATTGGCTATAACTATTTCCTATATTTGTTTTATTGTTCCCAACAAAGCACTCTGCCCCACTCGTTACCTCACCAACGGTTTTTCTGGTGATAGGTTCGTAGCACAAACTCTCTTGTTACTTGTGGAAAGATAAACCTCATACTTCAATAACATTTCTCCTATAGGTTAAAGTATGCACTGCTGCTCAAAAGTGCATTGTGAGCAACCACAAAATCAAAACACCACAAATTACTAGAGAGAGTGTTTCAAAAAAGAAAGACTAGAACTACCACCTTATTCAGATCAGTGGCAAAAGTAGCAGGGCGGGTGTACATACTATGGAGTTAGTGTGGTGGACTTTGATTGAGAATAAAAGCTTTTTCGATGAACGGCACTAAAATATCACTCGCAAAGAGTATAAAGAAAAGCCAGTCAATACCGTTGAAAAGCCAATTCGAATACAACAGATAATGGAGCCACCCAGTACATGGGCTTCTAAGCCATTTGCTAATTGGCCAAGTTTTTATGAAGTTAATTTGACTGGGAGCCAATGGTTGTAAATTCATTTGCAATAGGGTGTGTACCGGTATTCAAAAATTGGTTAAAGCCACACAAAAACGAGAATTTTATTGTGGTCACAATTTTAATTTTGAAAAAAGATGGCAACACACGACCAATTGCCCTATTTTGTGTTCAGTTTCAGTGTTTTCAATTTAACCCTATCCCACCACCTTTTCTTTTTTAAACCTTTTCTTTGCAATTAATTAATTAATTGATTTAATGTAATTACCCAATTAACGGCCCAAAACGGACAAGTAATGACTAATAGGGGAAGTTCCAAGAAAAAGAGTAAGTCCTCATCCTGTAAAATAAGCTTTCACTATTTGGACATCGGTTATTATCTTGTTGAAAGTGAGAAAAAGAAGATCCTGTGATATATTTGGTTTCACCGTGGACTTGAGTGGATCACTCGGTGAGAAATAGGGGGTCGCATTCCTACGGTTGTCGCCTCCTTTAGTTGCTAAGTCAAGTTATTCGCAATTCAACAATAGTGAATCATTTTGTATTCAAAAGGCAACCGACAAATGATCATTACTGGGGGGGGGGGAAGGGGAGCTGTATTTACGTCATTATTTGTCAGTGACCGTTGCAACGTAGTTCCCTGTCATGAAAAAAAAGAAAAAGCAAGGTGGGGAGGGGGGCCTATTATTGGTTTCCATGGTTACAGGTAACAATAATAATTGAAGTATGAACTGCAAACAATTTGCTACCCAATGTCACAAGCGATTCTAGATTCCAAGATCTCTGATATTGTGTTATGCACAGTTGAACCTTAAAGATTAAAAAAATATTATCAGAGACAACACAAAAACAGGGCTAGCTTGGGACCAATTTATCCAATTATGGCGAATTGGTAAATAAAACGATTTTTTATAATAACAATAGGCTCATCTCTATACAGGAATAGACGCCAAAAAAATCAAAAAAAAAAAAAAAAATCAATCAAAAACAATGTCAACTCATGGTTTTGTGTGATATCAGTGCAGTATCCCTTCGTACAGAAAAACAATGCAAAGGCAATGGCAAACAAACTATAAACAATAGAATTATTGTTGGAATGCGTGAAAATTTTTTCAAATCGGGACAAGTAATAAACAAACAGAAGAAAGGGCACTGCCTACTAATTTCATATAAATATATATTTAAGGGTAATCCCGACGATTCATGTTTTTAGTTTGCCCGTTTTTCCTCTTTTGCTTCTTTTTCTTTTCCCCTTATCCCAACGATCAAGCTTATTTACACACTCATTTTAAAGAACGTTCACCGTTAGTAACACTACTACAACAACGTTTACTTACCCAACTATTGTCTTTCCTTATTAACAAGAGTTTCACTTACAAAACTAACTTATACCAATCGTTTATATTTTTAAAAAAAGCTTGAATTAAAATGAAATCATCCGTCTTGAGTTTATTGACTATTGCAGCATCTGCTTTAGCTGCCCCATTGCAACACCAACACCACCACCATCAACAGGAAAAGAGAGCTGCTGTCACTAAGGTTGTTTATGTTGACGGAAGTGGAAACACCGTTACTGGTCCAACTGCTTCAGCCTCAGCTTCAGCTTCAGCTCAATCAACTGTCACTTCATCATCATCTTCTCCCGATGAGACCACCCAACAAGATGAAACATCTTCATCTGTTTCCACTTCATCATCATCTTCTTCTCCTTCATCATCAGAAGATAACTCTTCATCCGAAACTGGTTCATCATCAACTGGTAGTTCCTCAATTGCTGGTGACTTGAAGGCTTTTGTTAACCCAACAGAAAAATTCGAGGATGGTGTCCATTCATGTGACTCCGTTGTTACTGGTCAAGGTGTTATTGCCGTTGATTGGTTGTCAGGATTAAATGGTGGTTGGACTACCATCATGAACCAAAATGGTGACACTTCATCCACCTGTAAGGACGGATACTACTGTTCATACGCTTGTCAAGCTGGTATGTCAAAGACCCAATGGCCATCAGAACAACCAAGCAATGGTATCTCCGTTGGTGGATTGTACTGTAAAAATGGTAAATTGTACAGATCAAACCAAGATGAAGACTACTTGTGTTCATGGGGTTCCAACAATGTACAATTCGATTCACAAATTTCCAAGGATGTTGCCATCTGTAGAACCGATTACCCAGGTTCTGAAAACATGAATATCCCAACTTTGTTGTCTGGTGGTGGATCTGCTCCTGTTGCTGTTGTTGACTCAGACAACTATTACAATTGGAAAGGTGGAAAGACCTCTACTCAATACTATGTCAACAATGCTGGTGTCTCTGTTGAAGATGGTTGTGTTTGGGGATCATCTGGATCTGGTGTTGGTAACTGGGCCCCTGTTGTTCTCGGTGCTGGTACTACCAATGGTAAGACTTACTTGTCATTGATTCCAAACCCAAACAATACTGAGAAACCAAACTACAACATCAAAATCGAAGGTGACGACGTCAATGGTGACTGTAAGTATGAAAATGGAAAATACAATGGTTCTGGATCTGATGGTTGTACTGTGACTGTCAACTCTGGTGATGCCAAGTTTGTTTTCTATTAAGCAAAAATACAAGTCCACTTGAAGAAAAAAGTCTTGTTTACTTGAATTCCTTACTTTTTTGTCGTTTCGTTTCGTATTGAAAATTGGTTTCAATTAGTATCACAGAGATCGGTTACCTTTGCTTTGCTTTTGCTTTGTTTCGGTCTGAGAGAATACCAACATTTAGCGTTGATGCTAAATGATTGTTCACCTTGAATGCTGTATTATTTTTGTTTATTGTTTTTTTTTTTTGATACCATGAATTTTCATACACCTGTTATTCTGTTGATCTACAAAGGTTGATGGAAGAGTTCTTTTGTTTAGATTTATTTTTTTATATTAAATGTTTGCCTTTCAAAATGTATCCGTAGAGAAGCTATAGCTATTTGCATTACCCAAAGGCAACGGAATTGCAGTAACTTATGATCAACTCATCTTTTGTCCTAAACAAGTTATACAAGTCACCAATTCTCTCCTCAGGAGCCGGCAGAAACGAGCTTTGAATGTATAAACAAAGACGAGTCTGCTTAAGCCTCTTACACAAGAATTTGTTTAAAGTGGCAATTGTTTGTGTTGATGAGATTTTAAACACCTTTGGATTGATTGCAATTGTTGATCCAATCGGCTGGAATCGAATACTAATCTTTGCGGTTTCTTCTGATGCCGTCGTTCGAATCGGATCCGCACTGGTGTCTTGTCTCTGCTCGTATTCTTGAAATGTTTTCCCTAATTGCTCCTGTTGGCCAGCGGGAAGCTTGTCCAAGACAACTGATGTAGATAATGGTATGCGTGTTTCCACTTCTTCACCCTTAATCTCTTGAGCGTTGGTCACTCTATCTGACGATAGGCTCGAAGATGAACTGGAGGACAAGTCTGAGGAGTCCCCATCGTCTTCTGGCTCTGATTCTCTTATGTATGACATTGTTATTTCGTCGTCATTGCTATACCCGTCGATTGTTCAATTTTGAAAGTTCCGCCGCGAATCCAAAAAAAAAAAGGAACAAAAAGTCAGAGGTTAAACTGAGACAATCTACTTCTTTTCATCAAAAGGCACACTTCTTCGACTACAATACCAAAATGACTTCCGAATCAGATGAGAAGGTGGACACAATATCAGCCGCTTCAGATATAGAAAGTGAGTCAACTATTAATGAGCCAATTCTGTTTGACAAAATCTTGGAAAGCTTGAAAAACGGAGCAAAGGATGCTATAGCTGATAAAGATTACTTGTCATATAGCACGTTGCTAGATATTCAATTACATGACCCTTCTCGGTACACTTATGATGAAAGGGAGCAACTTATGGCATCCCTCTTGGAAGTATTGCAACTGAATGACACTTTGGTTTACGAAATTGGTTGGGATATACCTAGTATCATCATCCCTTATATAGAATCGGATTTTGATTTTAGTTCCGGGATCAGAGATGCACCATGTGTCTACAAAATTCTCAAAATATTCGAAATATTAGCAATAAAGGGGAACCCAAAGGAGTTATTTTTGAAAAGTTGTGAGTTGTTGGGAACATTAACCTTGAGCGATGTCGCAAGTACTGATTTAGACCACAAGGAAAACTTTTTTGAAATAAAAATGTACAACGTCAATGAATTGATGGCCACTTGCTTGCGCAAAATACCAACGTTGTACCCATCAAGACTCTTGGCCATGGCTGTGGGTGCGTACGTTAATTTGATGTTTAATTTGCAACAGAACCCAGTGTCTCGACCAGCGTATGTGTTTGTGTTGAAAAGAGCTTATAGTTTTGCTAGAAACTATGATCGTGCTCCCCAACCACCAAATGTCAACTATTCCGAATCTGCATTTTTAAAAATACAAGAGGATGAGGATTTTTTGATTAGAAAGTTATTAACTGGTTTTATTACCAATATAATCTACATGGGAACAAGAGCATACACTTCGTCGTTTTCGATGCGTCATTTCAACCATTTGCAAAAATGCTCAGGCAAATCTCTCGATGGTCAACCACCACTCGACACTGCAATTTTTGATAGGTTTTATGAATTGTGTTATCTGTTTGACTTGTACTTGAAAACAATTTTTGAAAAATTTGTCGCAGAGTCGCGTAAATTCGTATACGGAATCAGCCACAAGGAGGAGGATTTCGCTGACTTGTTATTTGAGAGATGTGTTGTTGATTATCAAGCAAATTTGATAACCAGTATTGTGGATAGTGATGCCAAGTCAGTTAATGATTCAATATTAGGAGAGATCATTTTATTCACACAGTTTAAAGCCGACAATGATACGTTTGATACCCCCTTAGTTAAGCTAAGCGATGCGATTAGCATTGCTTTACGGTTGCTCATTCCTCAAATGGTTGAGAAGAGCTTTTTGCATAGGTCATTACAAGATTTAGCTCTTTATTGGATTTGGTATGCGTTACGACAAAATGAGCTCAAGGTTGACTCCAATTATGATGCAAAGAATGATTTGACTTCAATCCCTCAAGAGTACTTGCCCATTTTTTTCCAATGTTTGATTTTTGTTTTCCATCATAGTGAAGTGCCCAGATTCAGATATATGATGTTGACATTGTTGACAAAGTTGTTGATTGTTACTCCTGAATCAGTTGGATATGACTTCATAAAAGATACCATTGAAAACTGTCCTTATGAAGTAATGCGGCCAGCTTTGATTGGTATCTATAAAGAACTTTTGTTGAATCTGAGAACCGATGTCAATGATGTTGATCTGGCTTTAAAAAGCGTTTCTTTGAAGGACGAAAATGGAACTGGCAAAGCTCCTGAGTTGCCTCCTCGAAGGGTAAAGGCTAGTACTTGCTACGCCTTGAGCGAAGAGAAATTCCAAGACATTCTTGAATGGGTCCTCCTAGCTCAGTCTAACGCGTTTATTGAAAATGATGGCGGTGCCAAAATAGATCCAAGTAGACTTCCTACTTTAGCATCAATCTTGAATCTACTCGTGACACTAAGGAGGCATGAGATTGCTATTGCAAGTAACGACAAACTAGAAAAAGTCTTGAAAAGTGTTGAAAGAAATGTTGACTACGTTGCCAAGAACGGTTCAAACCAGTTCGAAAGGAATGCAGCTGGAATGTTGAAGCTTACAATCGAAAGAATCAAAGAATAAATCAAAAATGTCTATATTGTCGATAAACATTACCCACTTTGCAATGTTACTTTTTTTTGAACCCCTTTTTATTGGAGGACCTATCGTCAACCAAAGGGCCCCAATAAACGAAAAACCCTTCTTTAGTACTCGAAATATCTTCTTCGATTTGTAACTCAACGTCATCAATGAATGGATCCTCGAAATCGTATTTACCCACTTTTCGAATCATTTTAATCTCGTGCTGTCGTACCAATTGCTCTTCAGTTAATTCTTTACCTCTTGGAGCAATCGGTAGGACCGAGTTATTTGACTGCTGTGGGGCTTTTTCCTGATCATCACCTACATCGTCATCATCTTCGTCATCGTCTTCATCATCAATCATGTCGTCTATAACCTCAATCGCCGATTTAGCTTTTGGGTGCATGACAGACCAACCATATTTATCTTCCGCTAGTTTTAATACATTGACAACTACTTCAGCCTTTCCAGGTTGTGGGTCCTTGGGATCTAGTAGTGGAATGTTCAATGCCACAATTGGTGGTTCAGCTCTCTCTTTCTCTTTTTCTTTTTCTCTTGGTGTCTTCTCGATTAGCTTTTCCTTTGCTTTATCAGTTTTGCTTGTGGCAGGTGATGATATCGGGGATGCTGTCAGGGTGATGTCCTCACCATCATCGGGATTTAACAAATCAATAACAGTGGGGCCTGCAAGTTTTACGGGTTTCGTGGGAGCCTTTATCGTGTTCATGCCAGTTTGAGGTGGCTTTTTTGTTTCATTCTTGCTTGTATTGGCTGTGTTATCCTCTCTCAGTATATTCAGTTTAGACACTATTGACGGAGGCTGTTGGAGATCTGGTGTACCAGACTTGCGCTTTTTAGTATCGTTTGGCTTAACTGTGCCACTTGGTTTCTTTCTTTTCAACACATTTTGGTTTCTTACATCAGTTGACTGGGACGGAATTGGTGGAGTGGGTGCCAACTCCTCATCGTCCATGTTGATTATAGAGTTGATGGAGGTTTTACTTTTGGGTTGAGGTGACGCAACGGGTTCCAATTGGAATTTTGTTTGGAATTTCTTAACTTGAGCTGATATTGACGGTGGTGGAGAATAAGACAATGATCGCGATTTCGAACTATCTGCTCCGACTATGACATTGGCTTTGGGTTTAGGTATATTATTTCCTAACGTTATTGTATTGTTTGAAGCAACAGCCCCATTATTCGACTTCACTGTGGGGTCAAAGGAAGTTTGAAATTGAGAAACAAGTTGCTGAATCGGGGTATGGACCTGCTTTATATCGCTCCCCTTGCCTTGCAACTTTTTCAAGCTTGGCACATTTGTATTGGTAGATGACGAGTTGGAATCCAAAAGCGACGAAATGGAAACATTTGTACTCATTCCGTGAGACATTGCACTAAATCCTCAACGTTGTGATCTATAGTGGTTTCGGTTTTTTTAAAAAAAAATGGCTGCAAATCGTGTTTATTTTATTGCGGGATCAAAACTTGGTGATTGTCACTGTAATGGGGGAGGGTAGTGTGTAGTGTGTAGTGTGTAGTGAATTTAGCTTTCAATTTGGTTCCAGAATCTGTGTATAGGTTCTGCTTTCCCTTTGCCTGTTGATTTTTTTCCACTTCTGCTGTTTTGCTAAAAAAAATTTGTCATTCCTTTGTACTTTTACACACTACCTCGACAATATATAAGCCAACATTTTTTTGAATTTTTGTTTGTTTTTATTGTACAATTTCAGTGATTGTTAACTATGAGCATGTTTCGCACTCCCCATTTTACGAATGCCAAATTTGCCCATCTTTTTTCTCTTTTGCTGTTTTCTTTTTTTTCGTCTGATTGAGCATGGTAGCGTCGGCAGTTGGGGGCGCAAAAAATAATATAACATAGGCAGTTACTGGATGCAGGACCCGGCTAAACTATTCGTAAGCTTAGTGGAGTTCAACTCAGAGCTGATCGAAACTAATAAGCTTTATAGTTGATAATACTTTATACAATGTAATTGGGTTAAGTGGTCAAAACAATTATGCAGGGTATCATCGTATGAGACTTGAGAATTCTGCCCTAGAAATTTTGAAGTAATATTGTTGCAAAATTATGATTATGCCTTGAATCACCTCACACATAGACATCAACTAGGTCATATATGTTGGCAAATGAGAGCCTCCAATTTTATTCTTTAAGCAGTATCCCCTATATTTAACCTACACAATACAAAATTAACATATACCGTTGTCTAATATTGTTCTCCCTATACCCTCATACACTAGCAACACGAGCTCGTACCTTGATTTTTATCGTCATTCTCAATCGTAATGTTTATAGTTTCTGGTTTATCTGCATTAGCCGGTTCCCTATTCTCGTCATTTTCATCATTGTTAAAGTCAGGCAAAGATTGGGCAATTTTCTTAAATAATAGCTTGACATTGTGATTAGCTTTTGTTGACGTCTCTATGAAAAATTTAGACCCAATCTTATTATGCAATTGCTCCACTTCTTCGACGCTCACTTGCCGTTTGGTACTAGCTAGATCCAGCTTGTTGCCCACTAGCACAATCACCACATCATCGCCTCTTTCCACTTTAACATCCTTGATCCACTTATCGAGATTTAAAAATGACTTTTTGTTTGTTATATCGTAACATATTACCGCTACATGCGAGTCACGAATGTATGAAGGAATCAACGATCGAAATCTTTCTTGTCCTGCTGTATCCCATAATTGTAATCTCACAGTCTTCCCTTCTTCAAGGTACATGGTTTTACTTAAAAAGTCAATCCCTATTGTAGTTGCATATGTCTCGTCAAATGTATCGTACATAAACCTCGTAATAAGAGAGGTTTTACCAACACTTTGATCTCCTAAAAAGACAATCTTGTATTTCTTGAGGATATTTGTTTTGTCCGAGCTCATTGTAGTCATGTGTATGTAATAGAAGGTTTCGTTAAAATGAAATGAATGATATATGCACTCGGACCAATATTTGAATTTGCTAATGAATGAAGCTGGTCAGCAGGATCCAGTTGTTGGTGACACTGTTGGACTTAAAACAATAATTTTATTTTTTTCTTTTGTCGTTTTTTTCCAGCAATCACTCAAAAGAGGGAAAACAGAAAGAGAAAAAAAAAAAAGTCTAGACACAGTGAAATCGGGATCTTTTCAAACTTACAACATCATCAAAGGCAAGATGGAAGATGCAGAATTGAATGCCATTAGACAGGCGCGTCTAGCTGAGCTACAAAAGACCTCTGGTGGAGGGAGCTCCAGCTCTTCGACGGCACTGGGCCAACAGCAAGAACAACAACAAAGAGCAGCCAATGACATGACCAGTGCTATTTTGGGGAAAGTATTGGAAACTGAAGCACGAGAGAGATTGAGTAGGGTGAGAATTGTGAGGCCAGATAGGGCACAAGCGGTGGAAAACTACATCATGAAGTTGTATTCAATTGGACAAATAAGGCAAAAATTGAGTGAAAAGGACATTGTGGAAATACTTGATGGTCTAAGTAGAGACACCCAGCAAAAACAACAGTCCAAAATTGTATATAATAGAAAGCAAACCCTTGATGACGATGACGAAGATGATTTTTTTGATTAAATGGAGTCAAAGTCGTCGCGAGGAATGGATATGTATCACAAGGATACAGCGGCGGTTGAACTTTTGAGAGATTGAATTATGGAAGCCTCTTTGTAGCATGTTTAGGAGAAGTGATGAAGGAAGAAGAAAGTGTATGTCCATGAGCTTCATCTGATATGTGATTGTAAAGCCCAATGAGATTGAACGCGACACATTGAAATCTTTTTGTGACATCTCTTCAATTCTTTATTTATTTTTGTTTACACTTTATGGGTTACATAGATTAGTCCACTTTTACTTCCACGGTCAACATGTCTAATATCCAAGTGGTAGTTAGGTGCCGTGGTAGAAATCAACAAGAAGTTGCGGCAAGGTCTCCAATTGTGCTAGATCTAACAGATGATACTTATTCCATCACAGAGCCATATGTGTCAATTAATCATCCTTCTAGCTCCAGCAATAATGTCCTTGGGAAGACAATCAATTCACTGGATATAACCACGAATGCTTCCAAGAGGGCTTACAAGTTTGATCAAGTGTATGGGTCACAGGCCGATCAAGGGTTAGTGTATTCCCATGTTGCACTTCCACTATTATCAAATTTTTTGGAGGGAACGAATGTATCCATAATGGCATATGGTCAAACAGGAACAGGAAAGACGTACACCATGTGTGGTTTCAACAACAGTAACAAAATGGATGAATTGCCTTTACCCGAAGTTGCTGGAATCATACCCAGGACATTGTTTGAGCTTTTTGAAAAGTTGGAGTACATGGGTGACGACTACATGGTGAAAGTGTCGTATTTGGAAATATACAACGAGGAACTAACAGATTTACTACTGAATCACAGTAAAAAGTTGCGGATACACGAGAGAGTAAACTCATTATCAAATGTTGGTGCCTCTCGGAAGTCAATAAGTATACAAAATTTATCCGAGCTTTGCATCAACAATTATGCCGAGGGCATCAAGTTGTTAAAGATGGGATTCAATAAGAAAAAAACGGCAACCACAAATATGAATGAGACATCTTCTCGGTCTCATACGATCTTTAGCATACAATTGTATCGAAAAGATACAAATGATGCATCAATATATAGAGTTTCAAAGATGAATTTGGTTGATTTAGCAGGATCAGAGAACATTAGCAGATCTGGATCAATTGTGAAAGAAGCTGGTGGAATAAACCAATCATTGTTGACTTTGGGAAGAGTGATTAATGCTTTAAACGATTCAAAGCTATCTCAGCACATTCCTTATAGAGAATCAAAACTTACACATATACTACAAGACTCGCTTGGGGGTGGTACTAAAACTACGCTAATCGCGACTGTGTCTCCAGCTCAGATCAACGCCATGGAGACTTGCTCTACTCTAGATTATGCAAGCAAGGCAAAGAACATTAAAAACACACCGCAAAATGGCCACGACTCAGAGATTATTTTGAAAAAGATTTTGGTCAAAAATTTAACAAGCGAGATTAGCCAGCTAAATCTGGACTTGATGGCGACCAGACATAAAAATGGTATCTACTTGGATCAAAAGAGCTACAAAAATTTGCTTTTGGAAACCGAGTCCTTGAAAACGCAATTGAAGGAGAGTTCGTTGAGAACAGAACTGTTGAGTAAGAAATGTGATGTCTTGGAGCAGCTGAACATTCAATGCAAGGAGGAGCTATCAAAGGTTTTGTCTCAGAATGAAGTCATCAGTAACAAAGTCTGCATTATTGAGTCAAAATTGCGCGATTCTAATTTACAATTGTCCCATAAAGACGCCAAAATTGATTCCTTGACAGCAAAGTTGAAACTGGTCCTCGAAAAATCCACAAACTCAGCCACGATGTTAACTTCCCTTCTATCGAACCATCTAAATGCGTCTGTAAACTTACTCAGTGATACTATTGACATGCAATCAAACTCAATTGCCGTGAATGCCATGGATGAATTCCAAAAAAAGTTTCAAAGAGATTTGCAAAGCTTCAAAGAGGACCTTCGGTCAAATTTGCAATTACATAATGCGAGTATACAAGACAAGGTGAATGGAGATTTGAAGCCAACGTTTGATTCCTTGCTGGAAAGTATGACCAATTTGTACTCTCTTCATAAAAGACTGCACAGCAATATGCGAGAAGTTTTGACGGGCTTGAAGGTTGCGAATGGAAAACTAGCTCGGTACTTGAATGAAGATTGTTTGATTGGAATTGAAGAAACTATACGGAAAAAGCACGAAAAGGTTTTACAAAACAATTTCACAACATTTTGCGACAACATTAAGCTGATGATAAGCAATGAAATTGAGAAATCGATTTTGAACGCGGTGAAAACCACTGGTGCCGCAACTCACGATGAGCTAACAAAACAAAGAGCACAAGTTGCTACGTTTACCAGAAGTTGGAAGAGCCAGATAGATGAGATTGTCCCAAACATTGAAAAAGAGTTACGGGATAGTAATCAGGTTTTCGAAAACTCAAGTGACAAGTTGCGTGCACTTTATGCCAAGGGTTCTCAGAGTGTTGAGTCTATATCAAGAGAAACATTGAACTTTCCCCTTGACAAATTACCTGACTCTTCTGAGCTTTCCACAATAAGTAATACTATCAAATCTTCTAATGATACAATTTCACAAAAGTTGCAAGATATCAGCTCCAACCTAACTCAAATTCAGCAATTTGATGCTAAAAGTGCCTTTGAAATTTCTCCACTAAAATCAAAACTTGATCAGTCACCACTGGGTAATTCCTATATGAATCAAAAATCATTACACCCGATGCGTAGACGTGCACTTTCATTGTCACCAGTGAAATCCAGTAGAGCACTGACTCCATCCAAAATTCCCACTATAAAACGGCTGAATACTAATGTCACTGATGACGACAGACCCAAAAGACGAAAGATTTTTCTGTCACTATCCAATGTATTATAACAGTAAAGAGTTAGTTGCTGTATTCAACTATGTAATATATAATTTACCATTTGTATCTCTAAAGAAGGCCATGTCCCTATAAATCTATGCTTTCCGTACGTTGGTAGCGTTGTTGTAACTCGGTTCGCGGAGATCCAAATTTGACACCCAGTCCGTTTTTAACAAAATTCCGCTCATAGGCCCAACACAAATCAACATTAGAGCATTACGTGATACCCCCGATTTAACTTTTTCATCATCGACCTTTTCCTCCTCACTCAACCCCACCAATACATGTTGATATCGAGCATGGACAAAACAACTCAATATATTGTCGGGTACACCTCGATATCCGTGGCACTACTAAGTTGGTCTGTATACGACTCACTATCCAAATCATTTAACTACATCATGTTTATCATTGAATTTACCGACGGGTTGAAACTAGGTATATTTATCAACTCGATTGTGTTTGTCTTCCTTGTTTTCAATAAGGTGTTGCAAGTATTGTTGTTTGGCACACTTCGGATGATTGAGGTTGAGCATTTATTAGAGAAACTACCCATATTCGCCATCAACTTATTTCTCAACCTAGCTACTGGGGACAACAATATCTTATTGAATGTATTGCTCATGGGGATTGCCATGACATTTAAAGTGGTTCACGTCATAATGTTTGATCGCTTGGACCTCTTAAATCTTCAAATCTATAACAGATTGAATGACGACGAATTTGGCGATCGTATTGAGTTGAAGGACGTCATCAGGTACTACGTTAGCCTGACCAACTTCTGGCTCAACATTGCGCTTGTGGTGATTGACTTTATTGTGGCAAAGTTTTTAGTCTATGATGTGTTTCAAGGTGTTAATTCATTCACATGTTTGTTATTTGGTTTTCAATTTGCCGTTCAAGGAGTTGAAGCATTGACTAATTTTGCCAAGTTGATGTTGGGATTTTACGAGATAGTGTTCTATAAAGTAAAGAGGAACAACCGGGAAGTCGAGAGGGAAAGGGAACTCGCAAGAGAAACTTCTGAAGAAGCTGAAGAAGCTGAAGAAGCTGAAGAAGCAGAAGAAGCTGAAGACGCGGAAGTGGATGTTGAGGATGCAGAAACGGACGAAATTGAGGTGGAGATTGATAATGATGATGACAATGAACTTGACTATGTGTGGGAGAACAAACCGTACTATAGCAAAGCCATTGACATTTCATCAGCATTGCTAACGGCAATTTCATATGTTTGCTTCATTTATCTTTTGACAATCCACTCAAGATTGTCATTACCCTTGTCGATGCTTCAAGGAACGTATTCGTCGTTGAGGAAAGCCTGGGTTCAAGTGTCTCAACTTTTATCACTCATTGAATCATCTAAGCGATTGGATACTCAATTACTTAATGCTACCAAAGAAGACTTGGAAAAATCAGACAATTCTTGCTTGATTTGTCTTGATGATATGTATTCAGTTGAAGAGTATCACCGATTATTTAAAAAGCCACAAGCGCCAAGAAGAGTGCCTAAGAAGTTGCAATGTAACCATATTTTGCATATGGGATGCTTGAAAGAATGGTTGGAAAGATCCGATAGCTGCCCGCTTTGTAGGCGAAAGGTGTTTGGCCCGAATAATGCAGGCGCCCGAGCTCAACATCGCGCAGAGGAACAACAAGATGCTAACGCTCAACCACAACCTGAGGATCAACCGAGACAAGAAGATCCTATACCGCAACAACAGCCGCAACCGCAGCCTGAGCCAGAACACAGAGCTGAACTTCCACAACCAACTCCGACTACAACAATGCCAACAACACGACATAACTACAATCTTGCAAGTCCCGGATCCGACAACGATACAGCAAGTATAATTGCTACTGTGGATCGCCAAACCGAGATACTAAGAAATTCTGCTGTCTCACATGTTGCTCCGATAGAAGGAAGCTCAAGGGATGTAGAACCAACGAGTGCAGTGCCGGCACAAACATCAACCACTATGGCCTCCTCAACTTCCACCTCAGCAGCAACAACTAATCGTTCTAGTGAATTACTATATCAAACCATTAATCTACCTTCTTCTGCAGTGATTCCACCAGATTGGGTTCTACTTCCCTTGGAACAGACAGAGGAAGAAAATGTCGATTACAAGGTGAGTTTATCGACTGAACTTAAAGCGAATTTGAGGATTCTTGAAAAGGGCGGGAATAGGGATTTGAAGTTTTACGACATTCCAAGTGATGACTAAAAAACGGTGTATGTATACATGTATGTATTAAAGTCTATAATGCGTTACTAGTGCTAGTTACTTGACTGTCCTTCTTTAGCTTTTTATGCTTATGCTTATACTTGTGCTTCTTTTCTTTTTTATGACTCGAGTGTTTCTTGACCTTGTGATCCGATGATGGCGACTTCGTCTTATCATGCCACTTCGACGTCGACTTCCTTCTCACCTTCCACTTGGCATCCTCTTTGAGTCGTTTTTGGTGCAATTCGAGACTGTTTCTTCTGTCATTAAAGCTGCTGGCGAGGGAGTCTTCGATGCTTTCATCGACCTCAGACACTACTGAAGCTGAGTAGTTGCCAGCACCTAGCGTATTACCAGTTGTGTTTGAGTCAATGATATGTTGCAGATCGAAGGGATGTGCTTGTCTAGTATCATGAGCTTCAGTCCTTTCAAAATTGCTTTCAAGCTCAATCACGTAAGGTTCTGCTTTTTTAAAGTGCTCGTTGTCGTCCAGTGGCATAACATCATCATCAATTTGAGACCATTCTTCATCCCAATCGTTTTCTACTGGCACTTCCTTCTTGGAAGTTGCCATTGATTGATTTCCGTTCATTATGTTGTTGGGCTTTTCGATTTGATTTATGACGGGAGCATCTAAACTTGATCTCATAGACACATCACCGTCCTCGATTTGAGACCACTCCAAGTCGTAATCAGTGACATTTGAATCAAATTTGTCACTCAGTGTGTTCACACCGTGCTTGCTCGAACTCGTTTCAACATCCTCCAAAGTTTTATCTACAAGCTTTTGGTTTATGGATTCTCCACTCAGCTCCAAACCCAGTTCAGCATCGTCATTGTGGGTCCATCTCAATTCGAGATGCACATCATTGTCGTCTACTTGTGAATCAGCTAAAGAACGATACATTTGTTTCACCAGACCAATTCCTTTATGCTTCGCATCATCTACCCAAGACGCGGCCAAATCTTTTTCGGCTCCACCATCGCTCATCGGTGCGTCGATATCTTCATGGTCGGACTCTATCTGTTCCCAATTATCTTCATCTTCTTCCAAGTTTGCATCATTCGTATCATTCATCTCGTTTTGATTGCCTTCATCGATGAGAATTGTGTCATCAATATTGAGGAAGGCGCTATCATGCTGTGTAGGTGACTCATGATGAATCCCCTTCTCTTGAAGGTTTTGAAGTTTTTGAAGCGTGTCTTTCTCTTCCTCAGAGTCCGAGGTAATGGCTTCCCACTCATTATTACCATCGACTTGAGTCTCGGCTTCCATTCCAAAAGATTTGTTTAATCTGTTCTCCATCACATCTCCGTCCTCTTCTGAGTCTGATCGTATCTGAGACCAGTCATCGTCCGCATCAGGATCAGCTATGTCTTCCACCGCTTCAGGGACTCCAAAGTTATAGTCCATGTTCTTGTTATTTTTGTTTTGGGTTGAAGTTTCAATTGGAGCCATAGCTTCATCGTCATCCAAAACAATTTCATTCCAAACATTTGTCTCCTCCACATCAGGAATGGTGTCAATAATGGTTGTTCCATTTGCCTTCACCTTTTCATCATTATTGGACTTTTCAATCTCATACAATTTTTCAACAATCATCTCCCATTGTGTTCGAAGCTCGGTAAATGGCAAATCAAATTCAAACTCTTTGCACTTGTTCAGATTCAGCTCAATTTTCTTCCAGTTCGTACTGAGCAAATTAAGGCACTCTTTTGTTGACCGATATGTTGCTCCTGTCTCGCTGAACTTATCCAAATCGTGCTGCAATGCAAAGTGGTTCACTACTGTACAGCATTGACACAAGTAACATAACGCAGCAATAAAATACAACACCCCTTCCTTATGGTATGGAGGCTCCAAGATTAATTCTAAAATCTTGTTCAAGATTTGCTCGTATTCTTGTTGCACAAATAAATGCCAAAGAGAAGTAATCAAATACATGGGTGTTAATGAGCGTGTTCCTGATCTCCAAGCTGGCGCAATAGCTGACCTGTCGCTCCGCTCAATCGAGATTGTGTTCCGGTAGCTCACGGTATAAAAAGAATTCAAGTAGTTGAAAAATTTGGTTACCCTCATCGTTGCTGGCTGCTCCTTGTTCTTTGTTCCTAGTTGTGTTAGGATCTCGATTCCCAATGGCCAAAGTTGTCGTATATCAACCATAGGAAATCTTATTATAATGCAAAATAGTTTGTAAGATAGCTCCCAATTTTGTCGTAGAATGTTGATATGCAATAAAGTATTCATGTTGTTCAAGTGCCGATTGAGAACGGAATGAGTGGAGCTTGTCGATTGATTAGGCAATATTTCCATTCCGCTAGATTCAATGATGAATTGAGCTTTGATAGAAGTGTTTTGAACATCAAAATTTTTTGTTATTTGGTCGAGTTTTGCACTAGATATGATATTGTATTCATCATACTCTTCGTCATCAAGATTGTCGTCCACTTGCAACTTTAGCTCCACATCATCCTCATTTATATCATCTGGTACCAGCTCATCTAGAAAACGGTAAATATTTGTAGACAACCTATCGTTATTAAACTGAGTGTCATCGTAATCAGGCTTACTTTTTATTTTTCTCTTCCCATTTGGTTTTGATCTCTTCCCCTCTTGGGAGACGGCCCTGTGCCATAATTCGAATGTTTCCTCTGGTTTCAATCTTTGTCGAAGTTCATCATGTATCAATTTTAGTACGTATCGTTTCACTTCAGGATGTCGTAATTTCTTCTTTTGCAAGTGTGTTGATGTTTGGTAGATACTTTCTAATCTTTTTAGCTCTACATATTTTGATATTAGTTGGGTTTTGTTGCGTTTAGTCCGTCGTAGTTTGTGATCGGTGTCTGTTATATCTTCAAATATCATAAATGGATGTCACTGGCTGAATCAGTTGCTATATCATGTTCATTAGCTTTAGTAAATAATTGATAAAAACTGAAATGGGTTTTTGTATGTTTTTGTTTTGTAGATTTTTTTTTTCCAGTGATGAGATCAAAACTGGATCTTCGAGCCCATATCATTGATTGACATAAACACTAATACATTATGTGAATGATAGAAAACCATTGAGTATTGTGAAGTTTACAAAATTCAAGCTTTCAGTTGTCCGGTTGGCTACAAAACAGCCAGCACTTTGTTGCAGGTGAAGCCCTGTTAGAAGTGGATTTTTCTCGGTGATAGTTCTCAACAGTTTGCCGACAAGTTTAAACAGCGAGCACTCAAGAATGGCGCTTGTGGCAACGCAAAAACATTAGAAGGTACATGAGAGAAGACGTAGTGCATTCGAGTGAGGGTTTTAGTTCAGTCCATTTAAAATACTTTAATTATGGTTTATTTTTATTTTTGTTTTTTTTTGTTTTTTTTGCAACCAATTCGCGCCATCTTCGTTCCTTTGCGACCTAAATAACTCCCCCCAAGTGTTTATCAATTGCGAGCGACGCTAGTAAAACCGCCGGGCCGATGCTATGTGCAAAACTTTTCTGAATTTTTTTTTCTGTTGGCTCTGCTCAATTCTCTCAACGTGCTTAGAATTTTCTGGAAGTTTTTTTTCCACATTTGCACGCACTTCTCATTCAAATAAAAAGAATCTAGTTTTTTTCAAATTTTCCATACTCTTCGTATCCCCCAACTTCTACACAAACTACAACACCAATAGAAAAAGAGATCAAACATGTTGAAGGCTAACCATAGACAATTACATCAAGCCACAAAGACTTTTATTCGTCATGCTTCTTACAACCAATTGCAGTTCGGTATCGAAGGGAGAGCTGCATTATTGAAAGGTGTTAATACTTTGGCTGATGCTGTTTCCGTTACCTTGGGACCTAAAGGTAGAAATGTTTTGATTGAACAACAATTCGGTGCTCCAAAAATTACCAAGGATGGTGTCACAGTTGCAAAATCCATCACTTTGCAAGACAAGTTTGAAAATTTAGGGGCTAAATTGTTGCAAGAAGTTGCTTCCAAAACAAATGAAAGTGCTGGTGACGGTACAACATCTGCTACGGTTTTGGGAAGATCAATCTTCACTGAGTCAGTTAGAAACGTTGCTGCAGGATGTAATCCAATGGATTTGAGAAGAGGTTCACAAGCCGCAGTTGATGCTGTTGTTGACTTTTTGCAAAAGAACAAAAAGGAAATCACCACAGCTGAAGAAATTGCCCAAGTGGCCACAATTTCTGCCAATGGTGATAAAGCTATTGGTGATTTGATTGCATCTGCCATGGAAAAGGTTGGTAAAGAAGGTGTCATCACCATCAAAGAAGGTAAAACATTGGAAGATGAATTGGAAGTAACCGAAGGTATGAAGTTTGACCGTGGTTACATTTCCCCATACTTTATTACAAACACAAAAACTGGAAAAGTTGAGTTTGAAAATCCATTAGTTTTATTATCGGAGAAGAAAATCTCTAGTATTCAAGATATTCTACCATCTTTGGAAATCTCCAACCAAACTAGAAGACCATTGTTGATTATTGCTGAAGACATCGATGGAGAAGCTTTAGCTGCTTGTATTTTGAACAAATTGAGAGGTCAAGTGCAAGTTTGTGCCGTTAAAGCTCCAGGATTCGGTGATAACAGGAAAAACACCTTGGGTGATATTGCCATTCTCACTGGTGGTACCGTATTTACCGAAGAATTGGATATCAAGCCAGAAAATGCCACCATTGACTTGCTTGGTAAGGCTGGTTCAATCACTGTCACTAAAGAAGATACTGTTGTACTTAATGGTGAAGGAGCCAAGGAAAACATTGAACAAAGAGTAGAGCAAATAAAATCCGTTATTGATGATTCACAAACCACTGAATACGAAAGAGAAAAATTGCAAGAGCGTTTGGCCAAATTGTCTGGAGGTGTAGCTGTTATTAGAGTTGGTGGATCATCTGAAGTTGAAGTTGGTGAGAAAAAGGATAGATATGATGATGCACTTAATGCTACCAGAGCTGCTGTCGAAGAGGGTATTTTACCAGGTGGTGGTACTGCTTTAATCAAAGCAGTTCCAGTATTGGAAGATTTGAAATCAAAGAGTTACATTTTTGATCAAAAATTGGGTATTCAAATTATTCAAAGAGCAATTACTCAACCATGTAAGCAGATTATGGACAATAGTGGTGTACAATCTGAAGTTATTGTTTCAAAAGTTGAAGAGAATCCCGAATTTACGTGGGGTTACAATGCTGCCACAAACGAATATGGTAACTTGATTCAACAAGGAATCATTGATCCATTTAGAGTCGTCAAGAGTGGGTTGACTGATGCCGTTGGTGTTGCATCTCTTTTGGCCACTACTGAGTGCGTTATTGCACAAGCTGGAAAAGATGAACCAGCTGCTCCAGGAGGAGCCCCACCAATGTTCTAAGCACATGATGTGGAAAAAAGTAACAAGTTAGCAAGTCCTGTCTATAGTATTATACGTATAATGATTCAAAATTAGTATAGAAGAGTTCGAAGAATTGAAATGTCGTGAAAAAGAATCTTTATTAGAACTGAAAGAAATGCAATCTTATCTATTATTTATCATCCTCCTGATCATATTTGAGTTATCATACTCTTCTTGAGTGTAGCTTTTATAATCTGAAGTTAATGAGTTTATACCGTTGAATCCACTCATAGCCAGCGTCATTGACCCTGGAGCACCCAGAGGCAACATATCGGCGGCTCCAGCAGTAGCAGCACCACCACCACTACCACCACTATTACTATTACTATTACTGCCACCACTCTCTTCTAATCTCTTGGCTTCATCCATCAACGGTCTAATACACATCCACCCAGTCTCAGTTCTAAAATGCCGTGCCAATGCATCGCTTCGAGCAAATTTCTTACCACATCCCCACTTAGTAACACCATCTCTCAAATACCCTTGACAACTGAAATTTTTAGCTCCCTTGTGCAATTGCTCGTGTCTTTTCCTATCGTGGGAGCGACAGAAACGTTTGCTGCAATGAGCACAAGCATAAGGTTTTTCATTGGAGTGCGAACGCATGTGTGATTTCAAATTATATGGCTTGAGAAAGACTTTATCGCATGAAGGGCATGGGTAGGATTCTTCTTGAGTGGTGGGGTCTTGTACAGTAGTAGTTGATAATTCGCTATTGTCATTTCTTTTTCTTCTTTTGCGTTTAAGTGAAGGTGATATTGTGCATGATACTATGGATGAATAGTCAATGTCGGATTCTGATATGAGCGCAGGTAGAGTGTGTTGTTGTATTTGATGATTATGCTGTTGTTGGTGTGGTAATGGGTAGCTGTAGTGTGACGACGTGGCTGAAGATATCGAGGACGTTGTTGATGGTAATGATGCGTTTTTATCCGGTAATGAAACGGGGCTTAATGGGAAACGTTGCTGTGAATTAGTTGTAAATTTCCCATTACTATTTGCACCAGTAATGTAGTTGGGGATAGGAACATAGGGTTGATTTGTAGTATAATCCTGTTGACCTAAATACAGAAAGTTGAAATTGGGAGCCGAAATTGAAGATTGTGAGTAAATCATATCTTGTGGGGCTTGCGCTGGCGCTTGTGCTTGTAAAAGGTTGATTGATGGAAGTTGTTGCAGTGATTGCTGTGGTTTGATGTAGTGTTGTGTTTGTGGTTGTTGATTGAATGATTGTTGATATTGTACATATGGTTTGCACTCTTGAACGTAGTTGTAATTAGCACCAGCTAGGCAAGAAGAAGCATCAGTTCCTTGAAGGTTATTGGCATAAGCATAAACATTTCTTGACCCACCATCTTGAGGATATTGTAAGTTGATACTTGTTGTTGGGCGTAATTGTACGTTATCCATGATGCTAGTCTGTTCAAGAGTGATTGTGGAAAAATCTATTTGATACTCCGTGGATGGAGAGTAGAAAGTGTTTGTGTGTCAAAATGTCCTTTTGTTAATACACAGTTATGACAGTTATGTGGTGGTTTCTATGTCTTGTGAGCTTATCAGTATAATTAGGGCGCTTCTCATATACCGGTGTTTGACAAGAAAAGTTTTAAAGGAAATTCGACGGGGAATGAAGGTTATATTTATAAAGCACGATAGAGTATATGACGTCTATTCAACTTATTACAAAAGAAACGAAAAAAAAAATAAGTTTACACGGTAAACAAAAAGAGTATAGTTTAGACTGTGTGTTGTGTATCTGCTATATAATGAAACGAAATCGGAGGTGTATTCTGCCGGCGATTAAAGAAAAGAAAGGAACGAGAGGAGTATTTTGTGTAGGGTAGTGTATAGCTGCCCAAAAGTGAATAATAATTGCACTAAACCAATGAACAATAAAAAGTTTCATCATATACTATTCTTTTGTGTTGATAAATATGCATCGTGAGTTAGCTGGTTATTTCACTCAACAAATATGCACTATACGATAGTTAACAAAAAGAAAAACAATCACACTGTTCTGAATTAAAAGTCACCTAAAAAGCCATTACGAGTTCGAAATAGAATCGCCAAGAAAAATTTGTTTTGCTTTTTTAAGAGAACGGCATTCCCCGAATGTGTATAAAGCAATAGTTTCGGTGATTGAATTTGTTTAAAGCCACCGTGTCTGCGTAAACACAAACTGTCGCATAGCAAGGCTTGAAGATGAGGTATGGTCCATGAGGGGAAACTATACCGACAAAGGGGAATGTATTCTCCAATTTCGTTTTGCATAAATTTGTATGTAGGCATAGCCTCCCTTTCACCATTTTTTTTTTTTTTTTTTTAGTATTACGTAAAAATTTTCCCATACTCTCAACAAACTTTAAAATGGCCACAGAGAGCTAAATTTAGAAAGCTATCGAGCCATTTCAGCGCAGCTCACAGTAATGGTTATTTGTGGTTAAATTTTCGATATCGTAGTAGTGAGAAAAGTATGTTTTAGGCAAGAATTGTCGGGGTGGTACAAAACTGTCATTTTATATTTGTTACTTTCAATGACATACTATGAACGTGTTATCAATAGCTTTGATTGATGTGAGCCTTTTATTGAAACATTGGTCATTGTAAAATACAAGACTCATTGTGCGAGCATTGAGCCGGCATTTAGTTTTGCAAACTAGGTGCTTTTTACTTCTTGTGTGCTTATTCCTGCATACAAATCGTACAAAATTACCAGATAGGGTGCGATTTTTGATCACCGGATTTCTTGGCAAATAGGCTTAGTGAATGGAAAGCCCTGCTCTATCTTATTGTTCTACCTGTTCAAACACCGTGATGAAGCCTTGTCATATTAATACGAAGGCTGAGCATAGAGTGGAGTATACTTTCTTTACTCATTCAAAGTAGACGATTGGCTCAGGTCACTTATAACCAAAGGGCAAAGCTTGCTACTACACATAATCTCCATTTTTAAAAAGAATTTGTTATCTATCATTGTGCTTCAATTGTTTTTTAGTATTTACAATTTTAGTCTTCTTTTTGTTTCTTTTGTTTTTTTAATTTTTTTTTTGCTTGGTTAGATATTCCGGAAATAAGAAAGACGGGGATTGCCGCCGATCACAACAAGAAAAATTTAATAAATACATAGGTTTCAACATCAAAACCACTGTGCTAACTGGAGGTTTCCTATAGTAGTACTGATACTCTTTTCACCAGCAACGAGCTCTATCAAGTTGGAACTTTTAAATGCAGAAGTGATAAAATCACAAGCCATGTTATTTTTTGGTTTGTTATTGTAATTTTTGAAACAAAGCCGGATCGAGAACACCTGCTCTTTTTTCTCTATCTACGAAAAAGGCTCGGATCGAGGCTTCAAATTTGTTCTAGACGAAAAAAAAAAAAAAAAAGAACAAGAACAGTTATCATCGTTTCATTGTTAGCCGGTTTCGCTTGAATGGACATTGTAATGATAGATTAGAGATAGCTGATGGTGAACAAAGAATGGTTATTGAGGCTGTGTTGACATATGTCAAAAGTATGTGTGTCTGGATTGGGAAGGTACTGTGAGCATACTCCAAAGCGTTCCAATATCAAGTTTATGTAAGCTAACATCTAATTAGCTAGTTAAATTTTAAGTTTTTCCTTTTTAGACTTTCGTCGGGACTATCTCTTCGTGAAAAGGAGATGACATCATGTTCTGATACTTGCAACGTTATCGATGACAAATGAGAGGTAATCTTGAAAACAATGTCAAACTAAATTTTTAACTTTTTTAGCGAATGACAAGTCAAGAAATGACGGGAAGGGCTTGCTATCGGGATAAAATGTATCTATATGATAGCTTATAGTATGTAAATTGAACCAGCACTGTTTTGAGTGAGTGTGATCCATAATGTTGCTCTTCTACCCAAATATGGTCATACATATTGTACACAAAGCTCCCTTAGTACTCACAATTAACCGCATTGTAACAAATAACACTTAGCCCTGGCCATGTGCTCGTTGCATGCGTCTTATTCCCGTAAAACTTCGCCAATATCACAAACAATATAGTCGGAAATAAAAAAGTGGACATTCCTCGCCGGATCGACTGTTTAGTTATCTCGACCAAACATTTGACGTGTGGCTTATCTGACGGTTTCACTTTGCTAAAAATAGATCATACTGACTGGATTCCCATGCAGGGGTGGAGTATAATGCAGAATGATAAACGAGACACGCACTTTTGATTTTTACAGGGAAACATATTTCAATAAAGCCAAAAGTACACAAGAACCGAGGCCAATTCGTTATGCGAGCGACTTTTGAATTGTATGCTATCTTCTTATTCTTACTCTTTGTTCATGTTGATTGTGTCAGTTTTTTCAATCGCTGTGGATAACCCTTGGTCGGGTGGAGGTATTGAGGCTTTGACATTAAGCTTGAAGTTCGGTGCAAACTAGTAACCTTTTCGTACGGGTGCCGGCTAGGAATAGAAAACCTTTGCGCAACCAAAAAGTTTCAAGAATTTGATATATGAAAACACATGATACAAAGATCAACAATTGATCATGCCAAGACTTTGTATACTGCACTCACTCGTTTCAAATTTCCTCCATGAACTGAGGCTCTTGAAGCAAATGCATTACCCATTTACGCTAATTTCATTGTGATTTGATCATTGTTACCTGAAAGCTTGCACCCCCACTAAAGTTAGCAAACCCAACTACAGAGCTATTCCACCCACCTGTTACGAACACCAACACACCAAATATGAGCCACTTAGTTAAGCGAATGACTCCTCCTTTCGGAGTGTAACTTCATTTCATGATTATTTGAAGTATTTATTTTTTTACATTCATTGTCGGGTCCCAATTGGGAAATTTTTTTTGCAACATTTGTGGAAACAACTTGAATAATAATTTTCTTCACTTGTTAGCGAGTCAAAATGTGCAGCTTAAGAAGTTTATTCGATAAAGTTGAGGTCATTTAAGTTTTGTTCCATAAGAAGAAGTTTCGGGTTTCATCTGGCTTTAGTGATATTAAAGACAGGTTTTCGCAATTGCAATATCAAACTTGAAACATGAAATACCTTTTAACATGACATATAAAGTGGAACATTCGCCGTACTTGCTGTTCTCACATTTGCAATGCAGTTTCTTGTTATTCCTCTACCACCACATCAAATTATGAATAAAATAGTATCTAAACTCAGCTCGAGCGATGTCATCGTCACAGTCACCATTCCCAACGAAGAAGATGGCACTTATGAAGTTCCGTTTTACGCAATTGACAATTACCACTATTCAAGGATGGAAAATGCAGTCGTTCTCGGTGCCACTATTGGTGCATGTTCAATGTTGTTGATAATGTTGATCGGTATTTTGTTCAAAAATTTCCAAAGATTGAGGAAATCGTTGCTTTTCAATATAAACTTTGCAATATTGTTGATGCTCATCTTGAGGTCAGCTTGCTATATCAACTACTTGATGAATAATTTGTCAAGTATTAGTTTCTTTTTCACTGGTATTTTCGATGACGAGTCATTCATGAGCTCTGATGCCGCCAATGCTTTCAAGGTTATCTTGGTCGCTCTTATTGAAGTATCTTTGACATACCAAATCTATGTAATGTTTAAAACGCCAATGTTAAAAAGTTGGGGTATATTTGCGTCAGTTTTAGCTGGGGTATTGGGGTTGGCCACACTTGCTACACAAATTTACACCACAGTCATGTCACATGTGAATTTCGTTAATGGAACAACTGGATCTCCACTGCAAGTAACCTCAGCATGGATGGACATGCCAACTATTTTGTTCTCAGTTAGTATCAATGTGCTTTCAATGTTTTTGGTATGCAAGTTGGGATTAGCCATTAGAACTAGAAGGTACTTGGGATTGAAGCAGTTTGATGCATTCCATATCTTATTCATCATGTCAACTCAAACGATGATTATACCTTCCATCATTCTTTTTGTTCATTACTTCGATCAAAACGACTCACAAACAACCTTGGTTAATATTTCACTTCTTTTAGTTGTTATCTCATTACCATTGAGTTCCTTATGGGCCCAAACAGCTAATAATGTTAGACGTATTGACACGTCTCCAAGCATGTCGTTCATCTCAAGGGAAGCATCAAACAGAAGTGGTAACGAAACTTTACACAGTGGAGCTACTATATCAAAGTACAACACATCAAATACCGTTAACACAACACCGGGTACATCGAAAGACGACTCTTTGTTTATATTAGACAGGTCTATCCCTGAACAAAGAATAGTTGATACTGGTTTGCCCAAAGATTTGGAAAAATTTATAAACAATGACTTCTATGAAGACGATGGTGGTATGATTGCAAGAGAAGTCACAATGCTTAAGACAGCTCATAATAATCAATAGGGTACATGTTCTGTATGTCGAGTTTTTCTGTTATAGTTTTTATAGTGATATCTACGCTGAATTATTTTCGGAAATTTCTTTCATTTTCGCAATTGATGATCAATTGTTGTCTCCAATCTTTTTCCAACATAGACTAAAGGTAAAAAGCCCTAAAAATGGTTGCAGAACCTGTCCTGGCAACAGTTCAAGTGCTAAATAAAGTGATAAATGACACTAGTGCTTTTATAAACAAACAACTGGAAAAAATACAGAACTCGGACCTGTTGCATAAAATTTTTCATCATGAACCAACTTTTAATCCACCACCGCAACCACCATCTCACATTAAATCCCTATTTAGCCATGTGATGGAGAACATCAGCAGGAATAAGGTCATATATGTATCATTGATTGGGTTAGGACTAGGCTATGGTGTCCTTCAACTTCGGGATCGATTTTATGAGCGTGATACAGAACGAATTAATAGGAGAGTCCCCAAACTACCTAACGGTGCTCGAAGCGATGCAGTTTTTCTCATGGGCTCTATAACTGATCACTTAACACGAATAACTGCATATGACCTAGGAAAGAGAGGGTTCACCGTGTTTTGCTCAATTTTAGATTCAACCGATGTCAAATACATTGCTTCAAACAAAATCAGTGAAGAAATAAGATTTGTGGATTTCACTAGGAAGTCTATTGAGAGTGCAGTTGGTGAGCTAAATGAGATTTTGAAATCCCCAGTTGTGCCATTCGCCAATGCCGACCCACATAAACTCAATTTAAAAGCAATTATTTTTGCTCCTAGCTGGCATTTCCCAGTCGGTCCAATTGAAAGCACTAGCATCAGTACATGGAAGAAGCTAAATAGTCGAATACAAATGGTAATGGAAGTGATGACTTGTGGGTTGTTGCAAATTGCAAGGAACCAGAACTCCAAATTCATTTTACTATATTCTAGCATCAGCAACTTGGATCTTCCTTATCATGCACCAGAATCAATTTTTCAAAATGAGGTTAGTCATTTGTTTACCATATTAGGACGCGAATTACTGCAATATGGAATATCGGTAACTCAAATCCCACTAGGCAACCTAAGCATCTCAAATCAAAAGATCAACTCTAGCACCAGAGTTGAAAGTTTAGTCAACACGGAGATCAGAACTTGGACATCGGAAATGAGAGATTTGTATGCCTCGGATTTTGCCAAGATCCAACACAAGAGTAATGGAATAAGAGGAAGTGGAGGTAAAGGTACTCCAATGAAGCAATTGTTTCACTTAATCTTTGATGTGATTTATGCAAACAAAACCCCTGCTGTGGTCTTTTGTGGTAAAGGTGCTCGTTTCTACTATTGGTTAGCAAGAATATTGCCTATATCTTGGCTCGAGTGGTATATAGCTTGGTAGAGGAAATGTATAAAATATTTGGCTGTAAAATATTCAACTACCATACACGACCTTACTTTCTATAAATTGACCGTTGCCATCGTTCGCAAAAAAAATTTTCCACTCCTTCGACCTCTTTTCTTTTCTTTTTTCTTCTTTTTCCCCTCTTCACGTCCATAAACAAAGAATTGTCATCGAAGCTTACAAAAGGACATGTTTTTTCATGTCATACGCTTAATTCACTAGCGTATTTGCTTCGGGGAAAGTCTCCTGTCACAGCAGCGGAAACGCGATAGAATATCATCAATTCTATTAGATGTCTTCCTTAGATTTCCAACATTGGGCCCGAATTCAGGTCTTTATCAGTGCTGGAGAATTGTGACTCACAAGTATCCCCTGATTAGACGAACCTCTCGGAGGGCATGAATGCACACCAATCCCACCATGACAGTATGGCCGTGACAAGGCTGCGCGACAAGGTTGCGCGCGATGTGCGGGGGGTATGACCCCTGCCATCCACAACAATGGTTGATTTCTACTGGAAATTTTTTTTACTGGATACGTGTGGGTGGAGGTATAGAGCAATTCGGTGGGTGCTCCAAGAATGGTTTGCTTTCAGTTCGGTTTAAGTATCGGTCGGTCATTGGTTGATCCTTGTTGTGAGTCGAGGCTCTGTCGATGTTTATGGTTGTGTTACTAGCTCGTACGGGCCGTGTGCATCCTCGGGTGCACGATTGTCTGTCCCCCCGGTTGGATCGGGTGGTCAAGCTCTGGTACATGCCTAAAGCTATCTGTCAGACCATGTTCTTACTGTCAAGGAGTTAGCCACACTGAATCGATTCTGCCGGTTTCAACTGTTTGCGACCTGTGGTGTCGCCTGCGCTAGGTCTTGTCTCAATCTCTGAATCCCCGCAGTTAATTGCTTACGGAGCAAAGAAAAGGATTAGCGTTTAAGTGCAGTGAACATTGTTTGAATAGATACCGGTGTCCGTTGGGTCTTGGATGATGTTTAGAGGTTCCCAGTTTGGGTATTTAATTTCCCAGCTGGATGTTGTGCCCGTTTCGGGTATTACCATTTTGACAATGGGACTTTGTGTCCTGGACCATAGTCATGACGATTGATCAATTTCGATCAACCCAATGGAGCTTACTCTTGTTTTATGGACGTCACACACCCCCTTTTTATTTTTAAACCTGTTATTTTGATAATTTCAGCACTGTCGAAGGTGCCAGGTTTCTATTTATTTACTTTACGGTTTTATTTTCTAGGTTGATGGAGATATCTCAAAGAATGAAAGCTTTTTGGGGGCATCCATTTCTTTTTTTTTTAACATGATGAAACATCCAAGCAAACATAGAGTCAAGCTCTGAGCAACAAACTTTGATCTTCATTGTCTGGAAAGATGGCAAGTTGATTGAAGGTGAAGAGATTTGCAAATTTTTCTGAATTAAAAAAAAAAAAAAAGACAAAAAAATGCGAAAGCTTTTGAATTTGAGATGTTTCAATGTGTATAGTTGCAATGAAATGGGTTCGATGCATAAAAACTTCCTTGTTATATACTATTCTACTTTCCAATGGCTCGTTAAACTATTGCCACCACCAGATGAGCTCTCATTGTTCAGTAATTCAGCAACGTAAAGGATCAATGTAGTAGCCATATTGACCCAATTCCAAAATTTCCATGGATGCACAACTATTTTTGTACCGGCGTTTCCATATATTGGCCACACTTGCAACTCAACACCCAACTCTCCAATATATGACAACATTAAATGGGTGTAAACCGCAATGACCAAGCATGGAGAATAGGCATAAATTAGCCGTATAAATGCTGAAGGTGGTTGGTGATGTGGAGGTTTGAGATGAAACGATTTTCTTGACTTTAAAGGCACTCTCTCACTTGATTCCAAGGATGATAACCGTGTGCTTGAAGGCTGGCGTGATCTTTGTTGTAGTGAAGTTGTTGATGGATATGATACAGATTTGTATAAAGATGGGATAATCTTGGTTGCAGCATAAAATACACCAATTCGGTACGCAAGATTGAGTAGCAACGACAAGGGCAATTTTTGTAAAGCTTCAACCAAATATTCCCAAACACCCTTTAATGACAGTGGAAATGTTTTTGTTAAAAAGGGGACAAGTTCTGATATAGGATTCATGATTGATGGAGGAATCTTTGGAATTTCATTTCGAACATTTTGCGATGCCAGGGTTAACAAATTTGCCAAAGCTTGCGATGCACCTTCGGCTAATGAAGGAAACGTCTCATATATGCATCGCACAATGTATGCAAATAACAATGATGACTCAATCATTGACCCTTTACCACTAACAATCCCATATAAGCATAATCCAAATGTCAATGTCAACAATGAGCCCAAGTGTGATGACTCTAGTATGTCAATGGTGATGGGTAAAACATAGATTCTGTACAAGCAATAAAAGGCACCAGTGTCAACCACGGCACTTCCGATTAACGATATAATTAACCACGAGTCTGACTTGTACATCGTCAACCAATTGACTGTTTGACCTATTGCTTGAATCAACAATAAAGAACAAAACCCTTCCAAGATGGTGATAATGGGTGTGGCGTTGATTAAAAGAAACTTCCAAATAAGGACTGGGTTTAACTTGGATTCGATCTTGGGGTCATTACTATAATAGCTAAGGAAATAAGTCAATAAACTGGGAATAAGGAAATGTTGACCATAGTATACAAGTGAGATCCATTTGAAATATCTGGTTCTTCGTGCTAGTAGTTGTATTGTTGTAAGAATGAAGTAGGTAACAAGTAGAGTCAATGAAAATGCTAGTCCGCAATTGACACCACCAACATCAAAGGCAAGTGGAATGGTAAGTATTACCCACACTAGATACAATGATGCAAAAAGAGCCCTCACAAATTTGTTTAATGTTTTAGATGGAAAAGACATTGAATAATTGTAGTTGTGGCATTAAATAGGGGCAGAAATAGTGTAGGCGTGGAGTGGTCTGGGGGTTATTGATCGTATGAGGTGGAAGGTGATGGTGGCTATCGCTGGTATTATCGCGCACCTGTGATGGAATAATTACAGCTGTCTGGTTGTAGATTGATACCCAATTGTGTTTGTGAATTGTATATATTTCCCCCTTCTCTAGTAACTTGTGTCTGTCTGTTTATATCTCAAAAATTTTTGTTGTTGCTTAGAGAAAAAGTTTTCTGTTAATTTTTGTGTGTGAGTACTTTGTGTGTGAGTACTTTGTGTAATTATTTCATTCATTATTTTTTTGAAACGCTTAGTTTACACCGTTGTGTGCTTTGTCTCTTATTGTCTTACGAGTATATACATACAATAGAATTGGTGACAGATGGAATACAAAACACACACATGTGTACTTGATACTGAATTCGTCACCCAAGTGTTTTTTTCCCACTTGAATCGGCATGTTCGGTACATCTGAGAATCCTCTATACAGAATATATAAATGGTGCAATCCATCATACGGTAATATTTCAAATTTGTAAATACAAATATCAACCTTCGTAGCATGATTCGGCCATGGACCTTTCAATTAACTGAATTAAAGTCCCTTTCTCCTTAAACAAGTTACATAGGGGGTTAACAACACCATTGAACGAAATCCATGCATTCATCACACATTTTCTCCAATATATGCTGCATATTATCAATACTGAGAAGCAAAGCAACACAGGTTTTGATCAATTGACTCCATTTGTGTAAAAGTTGTTTCGGAACTACTTCAAGGTCTTCACTTTGCAAACTGTTCTCAATGTCTTTCATAAAATCAATGACTTGAAACCGCGATTGCTCAGCAAAATATAACAAACTATTGATGGTTTCCATCAATTCTCTCTGTTTAGTAGTAGATGGTGTCATGCATTCTCTGGACAGCATTGCGAAGGCTTCTTTGTTTGAGTTCATACGAATAGAAAGAAATGTGGTAACAAGGGTGTAAGTTTTGGCTGCAAGAAAAAAAAAAAAAAATACCACTCAAAAAGACATTCTTCTGCCCAATTTCTGCCAGGATATCGAGTTTTTCAACTACCAAGCTCTAATGTCTGACTTGGCTCATCTCAGCTACGTCTTAGTGCACAGTTTGCGCCATATAGATCGTATCTATACTCAATACGGAGATCATGAACCACAACTTCATCCATTCATGAAAAGATTATGTTGACTCCTCTTTGGACCGTTTACAATAAATCGTCTCCTTCAACATGGTTCTCAATTCCTCTTCTCCCAGATGATTGTTTGGAAATATGTTGAATGCCTCTAGATACCGTATCACTTCGAACCTTTGTAAATGATCAACATCCGACGATTTATCTATTGGTGGTAACCCATACTCTTCTGGTACAGCACCATCGGGGAACGTTATAGAGGAGGTCCGAGAGTGGTTTTGTTTTCTTCTTGTAGAAATCGGTTTCTTTTTCATCAATGGTGATACAGATTCTGTCTTTCGTCGATTGCGAACAACATCACGCGGTGGTGACGATTCAGCGACAAATTCATCATTGGTTTGAAATGACGTGTCTCGTTTCAACTTGAGGCCAACTTTAGGAAGTATCAGATTCAACATGGAGATGTTTTATGGGTTATGAGCTAACCAGCAGGAGGAAAAGAATTGGTCTGGGGTGTGGTATAATATACAGTGACTTAGTTCATAGTTTGCGTTTTGGATGACGTTGTGTAGTCTCATCTCCAACTAATACCGCAATTCGGAGATAATGTGCAAATAACAAAGAAAAAATCGCTTATAAAAGTAGAAACGACTACAAGAATACTGAAAGAGTCATCATTTTTACGAAACCGATCCAATTGCTGTAAGATTTCTTAATTTTCTTTGATCTTTTATTCTTTTTCTTCTCGTTCTAGATTCGCAAAAGTTGGCAGAAAAGACAAAAAAGTATCAAGTAGTATATTGGCGGGGGGTTGTACATTATTTTCTGTCTCGCACAAAGCACCCGTCTATAAATATAACATCGTGTCAACAGCTGGGGTTAATTGCAAAGTCTCGAAGTCGCAAGGGGTAAAGGTGACAGAGTAATTTTGTTATTAATTTACATGTAGTTGTGAATATCGTATCCAGTGAAAAGTTAACAACTTGATCCGAAAGAAAATGTGAGGATGCGACATATCGTAAATTACCATCAATAAAGTACGTTAGGCTGTAACAAATGCAATATTAAAGCCACTTTTCATATTGTATCATCCGTATCCAGACATGATACATTTTAGTAGCTTCCTGACGCAAAGTGAAAACAAACTGTCGGTTTTCAAAACCGGACTCCTAATCACTTTGTTCTTTCATTGCGACAAGGACTTCATAGCTATACCGCAGACTAGTCGTTTACACTTTCTAGTGAGGATTTCACGTGCAATTGCAACAATACTAATTTTTGCATCAAGTGCGAGAAAAAAATTAACTAATGCATCAAAAAGAGACACAAAGTATGGCAACAATAACGCCTCATCAATTGTCTATCTCTACAAAACAAAAAACCGTTCTTTTGTTTAATCAAGCTACAACAAACCATGTCAAATGCCGCAAGAGCCAGCCACAGTTCCGATCGGTAGAAACGCAGATCTCACTACTAAAGGGGGAATATGGCGAACTGACTGTGTGTTTACCAATGCACTAAAAATTACAGTTATAGACATCACAAAGTTTAATCACTAGACGCATACTCGATAACAATGGAGCCACAATTCCGATGCCGTTAAAGGATGAGGAAAATTTTAACAGATTGTACAGAACAAGTATCATGCTATAAATATCGAACTCCTCGGACTACTTGGCAACAGAAGAGCTTCAGAGATTCTTTTATCAAGAAATGGCTGCCGTAATCACACCTTTCCAAAGGCTCAAATGGGGTATATTTCCTGTCAGGAGAATCGTTGATGAAGACGAGAATGGAAACTTTATAGACATTGATGATGAAGGAGTTGCAACATCCACAGATGAAAGGGAAAGCTTGGAGAAGACTGACTCGAAATTGGAAGCTACACATTCAATCAAAGTGTCTGAGCCTGAAATTGAGTATCGTGATGAGAAAGATCGTCCCTGGTGGAAGTTCTTTGACGAATATGAGTATCGAGTCACTACGCAACAGAAAAAGAGTAGAAAGTGGTACAAGTGGTTCCATGATGATGACACACCTGAAGAGAAGAAAGTTATCACCAAGATTGATATTTTGTTAACTTGTTACTCCCTCATGGCGTACTGGGTGAAGTATTTGGATCAAACGAATTTGACCAATGCCTATATCGGCGGGATTAAAGAAGGCATAGGTATGGAGGGTAATGATTTCATCAACACACAGGTTTTGTTTTCCGTTGGTAATATAATATTCCAAATTCCATTCATGTACATTTTGTATGCCCTTCCATTGAATTACGTGTTACCGGCTTTGGATTTCAGTTGGTCAGTGTTGACTATTTGTACAGCCAAGGTGACAAATGTTCCCGGTCTTAAGGCAATCCGTTTCTTTATTGGTGCATTTGAAGCTCCATCTTATATTGCTTATCATGCATTGTTTGCCTCATGGTTTCGTGGAAGTACAGGTGAAGTGACACGACGGGCTGGGTTTTACTATATTGGACAGTATCTTGGTGTACTTACTTCAGGTTTGCTTTCAGGCGCAATTGTGAGAAATCTAAATGGTGTTAATGGATATGAAGCATGGCAGTGGATTTTCATCATTGATGGGATAATTAGTTTTGCCGTTGGTCTTATTGGTATCTATATGATCCCAGGTACACCAGAAGATTGTTACAGCATCTTTTTAACCGATGACGAGATTCGAATTGCCCGAAGAAGAATGAGAAAAGATCAAAAAGATGCCAAGCCTAGAGAAAATGCGTTTTACCATTTCTTCAGTTGGGAAACATGGAGGAAAGTTCTCACGTCCTGGCACATTTACATCTTGGGATTGTGGAATATTTTTTGCTGGAATAACTCCAGTGGTACTTCTGGTGCTTACCCATTATGGCTTCAATCATTAACCAAAGACGATGGTAAAACCCCTCGTTTTAACAAAGGTCAGTTGCAAGATTACACTGCACTCACGCCAGCGTTGGGTATAATATGGTTGATTCTCACAAGTACAATGGCAGACTTGTTCAATACTCGTTACGGAGCAATTATATTCTCGCAAGTGTTTAATGTACTTGGAAACTTGTTGCTAGCGATTTGGGACATTCCTGAACGTGCCAAATGGTTTGCATTTTGTATGCAATATTGGGGCTGGAGCTCAGCCCCAGCTCTTTACTCCTTTTTGGGTGATATCTGTCGAAGGGATCTTCGTCAGCGTCAAATCATCTTAGTTGCGTGTAACATTTTAGCTCAACAAAGTACTGCCTGGATTGCGACATTGGTTTGGAAGACTGTTGAAGCACCGAGGTTTTTGAAAGGTTTTAGTTTCACTGCTTCGTCGGGTTTTGCAATGGCAGTTTGGTCATTTGTGGTGTTGTATTTCTACAAGAGACAAGAAAGAGCTGGAGCTCTTGATAATAACATCGTGCTTTATGATTCAAGCAAAGATGAGGAGAAAAAGCAAGCCGAATAACCATATATAGAGTTTATAGGAATAATTCAGTGAGGTATTATTTTGAATGCTTGATGTAGGTTAGTTATTCATTGTAAAACCAGCATCAATTTGATCTGCTGAATAAGCCTCTGTGGTGTAGAAATTGTAATGCTACCAGATTTCACGCCGAAATTTGAAACCTTTCTTTCCCTTTACTTATGCTCCGACGTGTTTACGTTATCTCCTTGTTGTTCATTGTTGCTTCACTTTACCTCCTGCCATTTGCTTTATTTGGCAAAGAGCGTGATGATAAGAGCTACCGATACAAAAACGATGCTAAATTCAAGTCGTATTTGCAAACTCATCACCCGCATGTTCAAACTGAAAATTTGAGTGTTTTGAAAGCACCAGTGTACAATCATCGTGAAAATGCTACATTTCTAATGTTGGCACAAAACCATGACATTTATTCGGTGTTGGAAACTTTACAGGTAATACAGGATCGATTTAATGACAAGTTCAATTATGACTACACATTTCTCAATGACGAACCATTTTCGTCAGACTTTATTTACCTTGTCAGTAGTTACATTCCTCGTGGAAGGGTCAATTTCGGAATCATACCAAAAAAGCATTGGTCGTATCCCAGTCATATCAATACTACCAGATGTGCTGAAGTGCGTGCAAATTTCGCTGATATTCCTTATGGAGACTCGGAAAGTTACAGACACATGTGTCGTTACTATTCAGGGTTTTTTTACAAGCATGAAATGGTAAGACAGTACCAGTATTACTGGAGGATAGAGCCAGATATTAAGTTGTACTGCGATGTCGATGAGGACTTATTCAAGACAATGAGGCAGAAGAATAAGAAATATGGTTTCGCTATTGCACTTTTTGAGTATTCCGAGACTATACCAACATTGTGGCCACATGTGATAAAATATATACAAGAAAGGCAATTACAACCCGAGCTTTTGCCAATGTTGACAAACGCCTTCAATTGGTACAACTTGTGTCATTTTTGGTCAAATTTTGAGATTGCAAATTTGGACGTCTTCAATGACCCTCAATATGAAAACTTTTTCCAGTACTTAGACTCGGTTGGTGGGTTTTATTACGAGAGGTGGGGTGATGCGCCCGTACATACTATGGCAATGATGATTTTGTTATCCAAAAAGGATCTCTACTGGTTTGAAAATATAGGATACACCCATCCACCCTATGTACAATGCCCTCAAAATCCCGTAGCGTATGTGAAGAATAGATGCGTTTGCAATCCCGATGAGGATATTACGCTAAACGACAAGACTAGTTGCAATAGTCACTTCCTCCAGTTTTTGCAATCTTAAGTAGACTTATATACAAATTGGTAGTGCTGATCTTACCACGCCTGTTTTAATTTTCCTACTTTTTTGTACCACCACCAAAAACAATCAACAAAAAGTTTCACCAGAATATAACAAAGCTCAAGTTCGTCAACCACATCATGGCAATACAATTTCTTTTCCTCATCTCCAGACAGGGCAAAACTAGATTGTCGAAATGGTACCAAACGATTCCACAAAAACAAAAAGCCAAGATCATCCGCGACTTGTCAACTATAATATTATCAAGAAGAGCTAAGATGTGTAATGTGTTGGAATACAAGGATTTAAAGATCATTTACAGGAGGTATGCATCGTTATTTTTTGTCATTGGTATTGATAACGACGATAATGAGCTTATTGGACTAGAAGTTATCCACAGATTCGTTGAAGAAATGGACAAAATGTACGGCAATGTGTGTGAACTAGATATAATATTTGGCTTTGAAAAGGCATACCATGTTTTGGATGAGTTGTTGCTTGATGGTTATGTGCAAGAGAGCTCGAAGAAAGAGGTGTTGAAGCGAGTTACTCAACAAGATGAGTTGGAGAATATGGATGAGTTTGAAAGAGTGCTAGTCTAGGGGACACGTCGGCAAAAGCGAAATTGATTTTTGAAAGGGTGCGATAGGTGATAGCACATACTTTACTGACATGTTGAAAACTCGACTTTATTTTGAAACCAATCTTTTTGAACTATTGGAAGATTTTATGTGCTACAGTATTAGTGATGTTTTGTAGAGTATAACAACAGGTCCATTATGATAAACAAAGCAGTGTCTTTAACGTTCTAAATTATTCTTCGTGAAACAAACTTCCCATAGAAAGTTTCTTTGAAGATCTCTCAAAGGCTAATTCCTTGAGACAGTTGCAATGTATTTATACGGTAGCGCAACCTATGAAATTTTATTTCCCAATCTCATCTCTTTGCATTAAATTTACCTTTCACCACCACCACAATCATGATTAGGAAACAAGCAAGAGAGAGAAGGGAATACCTCTACAGAAAGGCTTTACAACTTCAAGAAGCATCGCGCACTGAAAAACGTCAACAACTCAAAGCTGCATTAGCACTGGGGAAACCATTATCAAAAGAATTGGCAGAGGATACTCAACTACAACGTGATTTCATTTACGATCAAAGTGAACAAGATCAAGTAGATATCGATGATGAATACAGCGCCCTCTCGGGTATATCTGATCCCAAAGTGGTCATCACCACGTCGCGAGACCCAAGTGTTCGATTACTACAATTTTCCAAGGAAATAAAATTGATGTTCCCCAATAGCTTGAAATTAAATCGTGGTAATTACATTATTAATGATTTGGTCAAGACTTGTACAAGGGTTCAAGTCTCCGACTTGATAATATTGCATGAACATAGAGGTGTGCCTACGTCGCTTACAGTCAGTCATTTTCCTCATGGTCCAACAGCTATATTCACTTTGCACAATGTGAAATTGAGACATGATTTGCCAAACTTAGGTAATATAAGTGAATCTTACCCTCATTTGATTTTTGAAAATTTCAATACTCCATTGGGTAAAAGAGTGGTGAAAATCTTGCAGCATCTATTCCCACCTGGAGTTAAACGCGACTCATCAAGAGTAATCACATTTGTAAATAATGACGATTATATTAGTGTGAGGCATCATATTTATGTTCGTACAAGAGACAGTGTTGAGGTTAGTGAAATCGGACCAAGGTTTGAAATGAAGTTGTATGAGATCAGATTGGGTTTGGCTGATAATACTGACGCTGATGTCGAATGGCAAGTACGGAGATTTATACGTACTGCGAATAGAAAAAACTATTTGTGAAATAAATAAAGTTGCGTTAGTTATCTATGTTTATACATGACTCACAGTTGTGACTAGATAGTTGGGATTACTTGAGTGTAAGGATTGTTCACCGTCGCGAGTATCGCCATTGTTGTTGCTACTTGTTGATCCTCTGTTTCTCTTGCGTTTGTTTCTCAAGTGACTCACATTGGTCAAAACTCTGCTGAGTATATTGTCACCTCCATCAATAGGACCACCTCTTGCAAAAGTTGCCACTCTAGCCAAAGTAGTTCCGCGATCAAGGGTGTTTTGTCTATTCATTGCATGTTGTTCTTGAACCTCATCGTGACGGCTCATTTCAGCGTTGGGTAACAAAATAGCTCTATCAATTGCATATGGCAAACCTCTGTGTCTACCTCTGATCATCATGGCAATGATTACCAACTTTGAAATAACATTGAATTTACCCGTCAATGATGTATTGACATCAGGATACCCAAGCGACATCCCAACCGTACCATACGCACTAATGACTTCAAACAATACTGCAAAAACTGAAAACCTGAACTCTTGCTTCTGTAATTTACTTCCCTCAGCAAGGCAAATGATAAATAATCCAAGAAAAATATACCACAAGTCATAAGACAATTGATTACGCAAATGCGCACCAACGAAATTAGACGGTGTGTTTTCGTCACCCTCGTTGCTTTCCTTCGTGTACACCCCTAAACTTTGCTCTTCATAAACATTTGTCCTTCTCACTGAAATTGCAATGGGTAAGACGGATATATACATCATTACCAAGTAACCCACTTGTGTTGCAGCATGCAATTGAGATAAATCGACAATGGAAAACCCAACAGTCCTTGTGCATAGTGCTTGAAACAACCCATTCAATACTCGATACCCTTTGGGCACTCCGTCAAACATGGAACTGTTGAGGTCCACAATACACCAAATCACTAGATCAAACCCATTTAATGCAACCAAAATAAAGAATAGCCACCACGTAGGGATCAGCGGGAAAAGTAAGGTGAAACAACGACGAGGGTGGTCCAACAAAAACCCTAATGATTCCTTGTATAATGACAACTCCGGGGCGGTCTTGAACATGATCCAAATTATAAATCGCAAGAATATTGGGAAACCAGTGTTTCCAATTACGATCAAGAATCCGCATAGCACTTGCACAAATGCATTTTCATGAAACGAGTTCATAGAATCTGCAGTTAGAGTTAGCCCCAAATCATTAAAGGATGACTGTGCCGTATAAAAAGCCCACCATCCAGGAGTGATGGCGCTGTCGTTTAGCATAGTTTTGTAGCCAGGCATGCAATAAACCCAAATCAAAAGCATGAATGAGGGAACGATTAAAAACCCAAGATAGTAGCACACGATAATCTTTATAAGCAACTTGACAGCTCTATACTCAATACCTCCCAACTCATCTTTTTGCTCATCAGTCATTTTCATAAAAGTAGAGTTCCTGCCCACAGTTGGAGCGAAAGACAAATAATTCCCACTCATAGTACGCGCAAGTCCATCTCGATAATCGTCATCATCTGATTCGTCACTCTCCTCAGTATCTTCATCATCGTTGTTAGCAGCTGTGTCGCCACTTGATAAACGCGAAATGATGGGAGTCCTGATCCTCTTGAGTTTTTTGAAACGTCTCTTTCTCCTTCTTTCCCGTTCCTTGTCAGGAAGTGCATGGTCAAACTTGAGTGTTCTTGTTGTATTTCCTGATTCGGGGTCATTTGATGCAGAGTGCCTTCTTGAGTTTTGTGCCAGCTGTGTCGGTGATATATCACCTTCAGCTAAATCTTCATCATCTGTAACAGCACTTTCATCAACCTCTCCGTCATAGTCATCATCATCGTCGTCGTCATCGTCGTCATCACCAGTCTCAACACCGCTACGACCATCGAATCGAGTCGCATCGTCTCCAGAAATGTTACTTTCCTCCACTTCAGAGTCTATTGACGCATCATCGTCGACTTCATCTTCTAATTCACTAGATGCTTGTGAGCGCCTTTTACGACTTGAGTTAGAAAGCGTTCTCCTTAGTCTATTCTTCCACGGTTTATGTGTTTTTCGCGAAGACAAGGGAATCCACAGTGACCTCCTCTTTTGATGGGGCTTGGATAGCTTTTTTTTGGTGAAAATCGCATTATGACTAGCAGCATCCTCAATCTCATTGGGTGGCTTAATAACAAGAACATCGTCATCATCGTCGTCGTCGTCGCCATCTCCATTACCTTCATTATGAGGGCTTTGACTGGCAGACGCTGAAAGACGCGATCTTCTAGTTCTACTGGGTGAAGCCATATCTGCAAAATGTATACTTGTGCTTTGGGGAGGACGCAGTCCCTCCTGATTGTCGTTCTTGTTATGAGTATTGTTTTGAGATTTTTGTTTTTCTCGAAGCATATTGATAGATCGAAACATATCCTCTGGATCAATAGATTTTCTTCTTCGGGGATGCGGTAGAGCTCCAAACTTGATTGCATGACTGGGGGCAGTTTTATCTTCAACATTGCCTCCTAAATCATCCTCATCGTCAGAGGGCTCAGACATGTGTTCAGTTTTGCCATTTTGATTATTTGACCCATTACCAGGAATCAGGGATGACGATTGAGGACTCTCTACTTCGTCGTCTTTGTGATTGTAACCCAAATCCTTGTTTGCGGCTGTATTTATTCGTGTTGAATTGGCTGACGTTATTGTGTTTTGTCGAGCTAAAGTTGCCGATTTACGCATCTGAAAATTCAACTTTGAATTCTCCTTTATATTGTCGAAATGTCGCTCGAAATAGTATAAACGTACCAAAAGAAGCGAACCATGTATGAAAATCGGGTTGGTGAGGCATGGGATTATGTATAAGATGATTTGCTGGTAAAGAGATGCCTTGTTCACATCAACCGTATTAAGTCCAGCTTGGGTAGATGCGCCACTTGCAAAAAACAAGGCGTCGATGTATGGAATGGATTTCACAGGGTATATCAATATCGAACCGATGAAGCAATGCGAAAGAATGTAAAAGTAATGAACGGCTCTGAAGTTCGGTAGCACCTTCTTGGCATAAGGGTACACGGCAGAGATAATCCTCTGCATAAAATTTCTAACCTTAAACCCAAGATCGTGTTTAAAACGAGCTCGTTTATAGCGCTCGTGCACATTCGATGCTGATGGCATGACTTTTAGTCACGAGTTTGCAAATAGCACCAAAAATAGAATGAGCTAAAAGCAACCGGCTAGCTCCTATCGCTTGATTGGAACACGACAGCCAAAACGATAAATGACTGATTGATGGTCTGTGGAGTTTGTGGATGTGCTTGCTTTGGTGCTTTTCTTGGTGTGCAATATGATGAAATTCCATATTGAGGGAAAAAATAAAGTTTCACGAAAATTTTCAGAATGTGATCACGTGTGTGCCGTTCTTCGGTAAGAGCCGTACCAACTGCAACAAAATAAAATCTGTCGAAACGACAGTCATCAGAAACTAGTTAAGGAAAACGGAACCCCAGCCTGTGTTTTGGCACGGACTACTCTACGCGAAGTGTTCAAAGTTCATTTACTTGCAATAATCGAAAATTATATCAGGAAATACGAAACTTTATTTTCTTGGACAGTCGAAACCAGAGCAAAGAGGCTTACAGTTGGTGCAACACGTTGCAAAATGTACACACCGCGGCTGCTATCCTCGTAACTGAAGGGATAGTTGTGTGGTAATTTTCTATACCGCTTAACTATAATGATCACTGAACGGTGTTGATTTTCCTGATAAGAGATCGGGGAGAAGGAGTACGACTCTATTCCAAGAGTTTATTCACTTTACACTTTCGCATAGAACCTTGTTTCAACCCCATTTGGAACTGTGGAAAGCAAAATTCCACAGAGTGCTTAAAATCAATCGTGTTGCACAAAATGCGTGGGGTTCTTGAATGGTGTTGTTATCATTACTTTGATTTAAGAATATGAAATCAAGACTTTGGGGAGAAGTTAATGTTGATAGATAGCCAAAAGTTGCTTCATGCAAATTAATTAGATCAAACACAAAACAGATTGTAGGGCATCATTAAATTGGTTACTAGTCTGACTAAAAAATTGCGTTTGGGGTTAAATGCAATGCCGATAATGGTGAGAGTATAATACTTCTTTACATATTATTCTGGAGGAACGGCGATTTTACAATTTAACCAATAAGTTACCCCACGAAGTTTAATCCACACGAGTGGAAGTGTGCAACCCACAAAGGCTGTTTTCGTGCAAGTGGACTTTATTTGTTAACTGAAGCAAATACTGAGAGCAAAGCCCAATGTTGAGGGGAAAGATTGTTGCAAGTTTCGTACATCGAATCCCGAAAGTAAATCGTGTTACGAGCCCCGAAAAACTTCAATCTTACAAATTAAATCACCTAAATCGCTTCATTTACTTCCGCAATTAAGCTCTTGGTGGTATAATACTGGCAGATTTCCAGTATCTATCATCTTGCTTACAAAAACTTCATTATATGTATATGTGGAGTCAATCAATTTGATTACGGCAGTGCTTTTTTTTGCCAATGCTTATACATCAAGTGAATTGAGGTTGTGGGGGGGACTCCATTATCAATTCTTGAAAAAGATTATAAAAAGTGTTGCACACTCTGCACCATAAAGCTAGGGGTGGTTCAAAACACAAACATTTCAAAATGAAAGCACTTTCGCCAGTAATCAGTTTACGAAACGTTCATACAAATGCTTCGGCGGTTCGATTTGTTGATCCACAACACAATCTTGGAGATGTTGATTTATTGCGTCAAATTGGGTACAAGCAAGAGTTGAGACGTCATTATTCTACTATTCAATGCTTTGGTATTGCATTTTCAATCATGGGACTTGTGCCAAGCATAGCATCAGTGATGGCTACTGGTTTAGCAACTGGACCTGCTGGTTTAGTTTGGGGATGGTTTATTGCTGGTTTGTTTATAATTTGTGTTGGTCTTTCCATGAGTTTTATGGGTAGTGCAATACCCACCAGTGGGGGTTTGTATTATTACTCAAACTATTATTGTCCCGATAGATATAGAATAGTATTGAGTTATTTAATTGGATGCTCAAACTCCCTCGGATTGACCAGTGCCATATGCAGCATCACTTATGGGTTTGCGATAGAGGTGTTATCAGCTGTTTCAATTTCAATGGACAATAATTTCGAACACACAAATTTGAAAACCTATGGTGTATTCGCTGCAGGAATTGTATCGAATATGGTTATTGCATGTTTGACAACTAAACATGCTGCTAAGTTTCAAACGTTTTCAATATGTGTCAATGTGTTTTTGATTGTACTATTTCTCATTGCAGTGCCAGTGGGATTTTCCAAAAACAATAGTTTCAACTCGGGAAAATACATTTTTGGCCAGTGGGAGAACCAACGGGATTGGCCTATGGGATGGAGTGCCATCATGTCATGGAACCCAGCTATATGGACCATTGGAGCATTTGATTCAGTTATCCATTGTTCTGAAGAAGCATTGAATGCCCAGAGATCCATTCCCATTGGCATATTGGGATCGATTCTTGCTTGTTGGGTCACAGGGTGGGTGATTGTTATTGTTTGTGCCGCCTGCATTAAAGACGGTGACACCGTTCGTGTTCTTGCTTCGGAAACAGGATCCGCTATGGCTCAAATCATTTATGATGCCTTGGGAAAGAAATGGGCTGTTGCTTTCATGTCGCTAATCTGTGTGGGTCAATACCTCATGGCAATTTCTTTGATGATTGCATTATCGAGGCAAGTGTGGTCATTTGCTAGGGATGATGGGTTACCAGTGGTTTACAAATGGGTCAAATATGTCGATCCAAAGATTAAGGTTCCAATCAGAGCTACAATTTTTGCTGGTTGTTGTGCATTGGTTATGGGCTGCTTGTGTATTATTCCTGGAAGTGCTGGTGCCAATGCATTGTTTTCCCTTGCAATAGCATCAAACACCTTATCATGGGGCACACCAGTTGTACTTCTAGTTTTGCCATATGGTAGAAAGAAGTTCATACCAGGACCTTTTTATTTTGGAAAGACTAAATCGTTGATGGTGAATATCGTAACCACATTGTTTCTACCGTTTGTTATTGCTATGAATATGGTCCCTGATTCCACACGTGTCGATAAAGATAGTATGAATTACACTTGTTTGGTGAATGGAGGTGCTTGGTTATTGTGCATCATTTATTATTACCTATGGGCCTACAAGAATTACACTGGACCAAAGTCCAATCTTGATGGCACAGAGTCGGAGGGAGAAGAAACTTCGAGTGTTAAGAATATTGAGGGAGTTTTGGAGGAGAAAACGTGAATTACTGCTACATCAATGATTATGTGTTTTTGACGTTTATTGTATGGATATGTTTGTAGTTCTTGTAGCATGACACATTTAACATGATATGCTTACACTGTTTAGTCTGTAGTATATGCAACCAAAATGACGTATATGTATACGTAATCAACACAAAATGAAACGGAAACACATAATTGCAAGTTCCAATGAGTTTCACGTACTCTCTGCACTACCCTAACTATTACAAACTGATCGTGGACGCCTGGTCAGTGGTTCTATTTGTGAGGTGCTTTTTATGCAAAAGAGTTTCAGAGTGCTAGTAAGCTGCATAAAAGAGCCGCTTTCTATTGGTATAAGCTATAGTTACATACAAAAGTGAATTGCAAAAACAAAGAAATCTACCTTGTGAAAAATTTTTCTGTTCAAGTGACACAAAACCCGTGAATGCACAGGCGTTAGTTTCAATATTGGTAGCGCATCATTCTCATCTCGCTCATCTGCAAAAAAAAAAATTTCTTCAGCAATAACTGTGATTAGTATAAATAGATCAAATAATCTTCTACAAAAAAAGTTTTTTCAATTTATATCATTTACTTCTATTTATTATTTTTATTTTCTTCCTTCTCTTTCCTCCTCTCTCTCTCTTTCTCTCTCTCTCTCTCTCTTCTCTTCTCTTCTCAATAAGTCACCGTCCTCCTTTTGTGAATTGAGTGCAGACTAATCGATTTCTTTATTGGTATGTACCATAACCGAGTTGCATTCATAGTCGAAAGACGCGATTATTGAGAAGATATAGGGATGAAGTTGAACTTGAGACATAGCGAATCAATTGCTTGCTTTATTATGCATCCTCCAAACCTAATATTATAGTCACAGTTTGCCATATTCGACTAAGCGCGGTAACAGCAATTGCGATGATGCGATGAGCGAGGGATTGAGTTTTTTTTTTTTTTTTTTTTTATTCACAAAGTCTAGACCAAAACCCATCTTTTAACTTTCTTCTTTTCGTTTATTCCACTTTTCACAGAGTTCATATACTAACTTTAGTCATAGCTGATCTGATCACCTTTCATTCATACTTTGATAATTGTCTGGTAGTATTATAAGTTTTTTCCCCCAATTATTTATAATATCCACATATACTTCAATTGAAAAATTTTACAAAGATCAGCAACTATGGCTAAATTATCTGTTCCAATTTCCCCACCAATGGAGTCAACGGGTGATAGGTTGATGACCTTAGAAACTCAAGATGGTATTGCCTTGCAAGGTTATTCATTCGGAGCTGAGGTCCCAGCCGCAGGAGAAGTGGTTTTTCAAACTGGTATGGTAGGTTATCCAGAATCTATCACTGATCCCTCTTATGAAGGTCAAATTTTGGTCATCACTTATCCATTGGTGGGTAATTACGGTGTACCAGATAGAAAATTGTTAGATGACGATTACACTCCAGCATTACCAAAATACTTTGAGTCCAACAGAATTCATATTGCCGGTTTGGTTGTTGCTCATTACACTGAGGAATTTTCTCATTTTTTGGCTAAATCGTCATTGGGACAATGGTTGAAAGAGCAAAACATTCCTGCTATATATGGAGTTGATACAAGATCGTTAACGAAAAGATTGAGAGAAAAGGGTTCAACTTTGGGTAGATTGGCTTTACAAAAATCAAGTATCAAGTCTGAAGATGTCATTGGTGACAAGTCCGGTAATTGGAAGCAATATTTTGAAATTCCCGAATTTGATGATCCAAATGTTAAGAATTTGGTTGACAAAGTTTCCATTAAGGAGCCAGTTTTGTATGCTCCGAAAGAAAATATCAAATTGGGTAAGGACGGCAAACCAATTAGAATTGTTGTTATTGATGTTGGTATGAAGTATAACCAAATTAGATGCTTTGTCAGAAGAGGTGTTGAATTGTTGGTTGTTCCTTGGGACTATGATTTCACTAAAGAAGAGTACGACGGTTTGTTCATCTCCAACGGTCCTGGTGATCCAGCTGTTATGGATGAAACTGTTGCAAGATTGCAAAAGGCTTTGCAAGAAGCAAAGACACCAATTTTTGGTATTTGTCTTGGTCATCAATTAATGGCAAGAGCTAGCGGTGCTTCAACTTTGAAATTGAAATTTGGTAATCGTGGTCACAATATTCCATGTACATCAACAATTTCAGGAAGATGTTACATCACATCCCAGAATCATGGTTATGCAGTTGATACCAACACATTGACCGATGGCTGGAAAGAGTTGTTTGTAAATGCAAATGATGGCTCCAATGAAGGTATTTATCATGAAACCAAACCATTCTTTTCGGTGCAATTCCATCCAGAATCCACCCCTGGTCCAAGAGATACTGAATTCTTGTTTGATGTCTTCATCAATGCTGTTGTTGATTATAACAAGACCGGAGTTTACAAGCAAGTTGAATTTCCAGGTGGAAAATTGGCAGACAACTTGGCCGCTCATCCAAGAGTTGACGTCAAGAAAGTTTTGGTTTTGGGTTCAGGTGGTTTATCGATTGGTCAAGCAGGTGAATTTGATTACTCGGGATCTCAAGCTATCAAAGCTATGAAAGAGGAGGGTATATACACCATTTTGATTAATCCAAACATCGCCACCATTCAAACCTCAAAAGGTTTGGCTGATAAGGTTTACTTTCTTCCAGTTAATCCGGAATTTGTTAGAAAAGTTATTGAACATGAACGGCCAGATGGTATTTATTGTACCTTTGGTGGTCAAACTGCATTGAGTGTTGGTATTGCTTTGAAGGATGAATTTGAAGGTTTGGGTGTAAAAGTTTTGGGTACTCCAATTGACACCGTCATTACAACCGAGGATAGAGAATTGTTTGCCACTGCTATGTCGGAAATCGGTGAAAAATGTGCCAGATCAGAAGCCTGTAACAATGTTAAAGAAGCCGTCGATGCTGCTAATGCTATTGGCTACCCGTTGATTGTCAGAGCTGCTTATGCTTTGGGTGGTTTGGGTTCAGGTTTTGCCGATAACGAACAGGAATTGGTTGCCTTGTGTAACAAGGCTTTCGCCACCTCGCCACAAGTATTGGTTGAAAAATCGATGAAAGGTTGGAAAGAAGTGGAATATGAAGTTGTTCGTGATGCTTTTGACAACTGTATCACAGTTTGTAATATGGAAAACTTTGATCCTTTGGGTATCCACACTGGTGATTCTATCGTTGTTGCTCCGTCCCAAACTTTATCTGATGAAGATTACAACATGTTGAGAACTACTGCTGTCAATGTTATCAGACATTTGGGAGTCGTCGGTGAATGTAACATTCAGTATGCTTTGAATCCATTTTCAAAAGAGTATTGTATTATCGAAGTGAATGCCAGATTATCACGTTCATCGGCCTTGGCTTCTAAAGCCACTGGTTACCCATTGGCATACACAGCTGCCAAATTGGGTTTGAACATTCCATTAAATGAAGTTAGAAACAATGTGACTAGATCCACATGTGCATGTTTCGAGCCATCTTTAGATTACGTTGTTGTCAAGATTCCAAGATGGGATTTGAAAAAATTCACCCGTGTTTCATCATTGTTGTCCTCGGCTATGAAATCTGTTGGTGAAGTTATGTCTATTGGTAGAACTTTTGAAGAAGCTATTCAAAAGGCTATTAGATCCACTGACTATCATAATTTGGGTTTCAACAAGACTGCTGCATTGATGTCAATTGATATTGACCAAGAGTTACAAACCCCCTCAGATCAACGTTTATTTGCCATTGCTAATGCTTTGTCTGATGGTTATTCAGTTGATAAAGTTTGGAAGTTGACCAACATTGACAAATGGTTTTTGAACAAATTGGACGGATTGATTAAATTTGGAAACAGAATTGCCAGCTATGGTAAAAAGGAAAACTTGCCAGTGTCAATCATTAGACAAGCCAAGCAATTGGGTTTCGAGGATAGACAAATTGCTAAATTTGTCGATAGTAATGAAGTTGCCATTAGAAGATTGAGAAAAGATGCTGGTGTTATCCCATTCGTCAAGCAAATTGATACCGTTGCTGCTGAATTCCCTGCTTTCACCAACTACTTGTATGTCACCTACAATGCCGATTCCTCTGATGTCACTTTCGATGACAATGGTGTCATTGTTTTGGGTTCAGGTGTCTACAGAATTGGATCATCCGTTGAGTTTGATTGGTGTGCAGTTAGAGCCATTAGAACATTGCGTGAGAACAAAATCAAGACTGTTATGATCAACTATAACCCAGAAACCGTTTCAACTGATTACGATGAAGCTGATAGATTATATTTTGAAACCATTAATTTGGAAAGGGTATTGGATATTTACGAATTGGAGCAATCTGCAGGTGTCATTATTTCCATGGGTGGTCAAACATCAAACAACATTGCTTTGCCATTGTATAGACAAAATGTCAAGATTTTGGGTACATCACCAGAAATGATTGATTCAGCAGAAAATAGGTACAAATTTTCAAGAATGTTGGACAAAATTGGTGTTGATCAACCAGCGTGGAAAGAGTTGACCTCTATTGAGGAGGCAGAAGACTTTGCCAATAAGGTTGGATATCCTGTCTTGGTCCGTCCATCTTATGTCTTGTCAGGTGCAGCTATGAATACTGTTTATTCCAAGGATGATTTAGCATCGTATTTGACACAGGCCGTTGATGTTTCTCCAGATTACCCTGTTGTCATCACCAAATATATTGAAAATGCCAAAGAAATTGAAATGGATGCTGTTGCTAAAGACGGTAAGATGATTATGCATGTTGTTTCCGAGCATGTTGAAAACGCTGGTGTTCACTCTGGAGATGCTACTTTGATTGTCCCACCACAAGATTTGGATCCTGAAACTGTAAGAAGAATTGTTGAAGCTACTGCCAAGATTGGTAAAGCTTTGGATATCACTGGTCCTTACAATATTCAATTTATTGCAAAGGATAACGACATCAAAGTTATTGAATGTAATGTTAGAGCTTCAAGATCTTGTCCATTTGTATCCAAGGTTGTTGGTGTTGACTTGGTTGAAATGGCCACGAAGGCTATTATGGACTTGCCTGTCACACCATACCCAGGTGAAAGGTTACCCGATGATTATTGTGCAGTCAAGGTGCCTCAATTTTCTTTCTCAAGATTGGCTGGTGCCGATCCAGTTCTTGGTGTTGAGATGGCTTCAACCGGTGAAGTTGCCACGTTTGGTAGAAACAAATATGAAGCATATTTGAAATCATTGTTATCTACTGGCTTCAAATTACCAAAGAAGAACATCTTATTCTCGATTGGTTCATACAAAGAAAAACAAGAATTGTTGCCAAGTATTGCCAAGTTGAGTGAATTGGGTTACAAGATCTTTGCCACTGCTGGTACCGCTGACTTTATCAAAGAACATGGTATCAAGGTTCATTACTTGGAAGTCTTGAGTAAGGAAGAGGACCAAAAATCAGAATATTCATTGACTCAACATTTGGCAAACAACTTGATTGATTTGTATGTCAACTTGCCATCAGCAAACAGATTCCGTCGTCCTGCTTCATACATGTCGAAAGGTTACGAATCTCGTCGTATGGCTGTTGATTTTGCCATTCCGTTGGTTACAAATGTCAAGAATGCTAAATTGTTAGTTGAGGCTATTGCCAGAAACATCTCCATGGATGTTTCCAACAGAGATGCTCAAACATCCCATGGAACTGCTACGTTGCCGGGTCTCATTAACATTTCTTCATTTGCCACTTCATTCAACGACTTTGAGAAAACCACCAAACAATCATTGGCTGCCGGTTTCACTTTCAATTGCTTCTTGCCACATACTCAAACTGGTGTTGCTATTACTGACTACAGAAGCTTAATTGAAGCTATTGATCAAGCTGGAGCTGACGCATACACTGATTTCTCATTCGCAATTGCTGCTTCAGAAACTAATTCACAAAGTGTTGCTGATGCTGCTGATAACGCTGGCTCTTTATACATCCCATTCAACGACATTGATGGGTCTAAAGTCTCGGCTGTCAATGCTCAATTCACCGCTTGGCCACAAACCAAACCAATTGTCACCGATGCAAAGGCTACAGACTTGGCATCTGTTCTTTTGTTGGCCTCCTTGTACAACAGATCAATCCATATTACTAGCGTATCTTCCAAAGAGGATTTGGACTTGATTTTGATGGCAAAGAACAAAGGGTTGTCAGTTACTTGCGATGTTGCGGTCTTTACCTTGTTCATTTCAAAAGATGATTTGGACTATCCATTTTTACCAACCAAGAAGGATCAAGATTACTTGTGGCAACACTTGAAAGACATCGATTGTTTCTCAACTGGTGTCTTGCCTTACTTGGTTGCCAAGGCAACTAACCAAAAGATCGTACCAGGTTTGGGAATCAATGAAACTCTCCCATTGTTGCTTTCTGCTGTCAATAAAGGTAAACTCACCATTGGTGATATTGTTGCAAAATTCCACGACAAACCAGCCAAGATTTTCAACATTCCAAAGCAAGACGCTCAGGTTATTCTTGACTTGGACAGATACTCCGAAATTGATCCATCTTATCCTGAGTTTGCTAAATTGAAATTGAGAGGTGCGATTGAAAGAGTCTCTTTCCATAACGAAACTGTTGTGCTAGATGGGTCAGTTTTGGTTGATTCTGCTTTAGGTAAGAATGAAGTTGGATCCAGGTCAAGATTCAACTCAGTTACCACTATGCCACAATCACCTGTATTGGGCCAAAAAAGGGTTTCATTTTCAGGATTGCGTCGTCCGTCGATTGCTCCAAGCACACCCGAACCACAACCAGCTGAATTCGAAAAATTGGGGTCAGAGTTGGTTTCACAACCGGTTGCTGGTTCCATGGGAGAGATTGCCGCATTGAGCGACTACATCAGAAAGAACAATACATTTTTGAGAAACAACATTTTATCGGTAAAGGATATCACCAGATCTGATTTACATTCATTGTTTACTGTTGCTCAAGAAATGAGATTAGCTGTTGAAAGGCAAGGCGTTTTGGATATTTTGAAGGGAAGAGTTTTGGCAACCATGTTTTACGAACCATCCACGAGAACCTCAACCTCATTCGATGCTGCCATGCAAAGATTGGGTGGTAGAGTTGTTGCTATCAACTCGGACGCATCTTCGGTGAAGAAAGGCGAGACTTTACAAGACACTATTAGAACTTTGTCGTGTTACTCTGATGCTATTGTTTTGAGACATCCAAAAGAAGAAAGTGCAGACATTGCTGCTAAATACTCTCCAGTACCAATCATCAATGCAGGAAATGGAACAAAAGAGCATCCTACCCAAGCATTATTGGACTTGTTCACCATCAGAGAAGAATTGGGTACCGTCAATGGTATTACAGTCACATTTATGGGTGATTTGAAATATGGTAGACCAGTTCATTCATTGGTACATTTGTTGCGTCACTACCACGTTAGAGTCCAATTGGTTGCACCAAAGGAATTGGCAATTCCAAAAGATATTAGAGACTTGTTGATTGAACACAACATGTTGGTTGCTGAATCCGAAGAATTGACTAATGATCTTATTGCCAGATCCGACGTCTTGTATTGTACTAGAGTACAGGAGGAAAGATTTGCAGATAAACAGCAATATGAAAGATTGAAGGACACTTACATTGTTGATAACAAGATCTTGAGTAATGCTAAACAGCACATGTGTGTTATGCATCCATTGCCAAGAACTAACGAGATTAGAGAAGAAGTTGATTTCGATCAAAGAGCTGCATACTTCAGACAAATGAGACATGGTTTGTTTATTAGAATGGCATTGTTGGCCATGGTCATTGGTGTCGATTTTTAGAAAGTGGGTTTGTTTTTGCATTTACATTTTCACTACAAAGTATAGGGCATGATGGAGAAAGAGATCTTGGGGGAGATTTCCACACAAATTACATTGTGCTTTGTATATATATCCATACTTGACATTAGTGTAAAATAATTCGTTTTGTTTACAAAACTATCTTCTTTGGTAAGTTCTAACTCTTGGACGGATGATATCAGATTCGGTATCTTCATCAGACAAGTATCTCTCAACCATTGAAAAGATTGGACCAGATGAGGCAGCAACTTCTGCATAAGTTTGTCTTAATCCATCCCGATGTGCTTGCTGGACTTCCGACACGACTGCTTGAATGTGCTCACTTACTTGTGGTCTTTCAAAATCGTGGTTGGCTACGTCATATCTTTCGTTGTGGCCGTCTTTTGGTATTCTATTGCATTTGTCGCATTCCTTAATCACTATCCCCACGGTCTCTTTAATACGCGGCCAATGATATTTTTCCGCCACTTGAGTGGTTGTTTTATTTATCCCAAGATGTCCATTATTTCGATGCAACTCGTGACAAATGCGCATTTGTTGATCCAAATCAGCTACAACTTCCTTCCCTTTCAACATTAGTTTGCCATTGGATAGACTGTAGTGCATTGCTCCAGCTCTCAATCTCGCTTTTTCCTGACGATCAGCAGTGGCTGGATACTTGCCAGTCTCTAGATAATACTTTATTTTATCAAATCTATAGGCACTAGACTCTGTTACTGATTTATCTGTAAGTTCACGACCATATATGATTGCATCAACTGGTTGATCGAGATTTTTCACGTATGCAGCACTTTTAATCTTTCCTGCCCTCTTGAAATTCATTGACTCCCACAACTTTCTGGCAGCTGCATTACTTTCGAAAACGAGATTGAACATGGTGTAGGTATATCCAAGTTTCGGAGCCCATTGCAAAAAGCAGTCGGTTAAAGTCCTGCCAATACCTTTTCCTCTGATACCAGCATTGACAAGAAATTCTGCTGTGCAAATGTGTGAACACCTCTTCCCTGGGTACTGTGCTTGAATACAAAACATCCCCAAACATTCATTCTCCCATGACCTACCATTTGAATTTCTATTCAAATTGAGATCATCACCAAGACACATCACACCTACAAAAGACGAGAACCAATGATCAACAAATTGTTCAAGTGTTAGCGGATCGAAATAGGGTAATGTTTCACCCCTTTCAATCTCCATGTTGTACTCATCACATAAAAAGTGTAGTAGGCCAATTGGAATGTCAAGGGGAGACAAGATTGGATATATTGTGGCAGTTGTTACTCCATCTTTGAGAAGAATTGTATATCTTTCACTTATCTTGGGTATCGTTGATTGATCTCGGTAAGTTGATGGTAATGCTCCATTTTGGTCTTCGACATCACTATGGTGTCTTTTTCTGCCTGGCTTGATCATCAGTTTCAGTTGCCGAACAGCTGTCACAGCGTCATCGGGTGTCATATGATACTATCAAAGCAAAACAGTTGCCCTGGCAAGTATTATAGCTTTGTATGCTACCAAGTTCAGTTTTCACACAAAACTTTACATAAAACTCTTAGTATATTCTATCTACAATGTCTAAGTATATAGCAACTTCTCCTATTGCAAATCTTTTCCAAACATGAAAGCTCCAATCAACTTGTCATGACCTTTCAACACTGCCACATTCTTGACATATCCTATCCTTTCGAATCCCAACGAGTCCCAAATCTTTAAGCTAGCAAGGTTGGTTTCAAAAACTAGGTTGAAAACCGAGTAGACGTATCCCAATTGGGGAGCGATGTCCAAATACTTTGCTCCCAACTCTTTTCCCAAACCTAAACCACGTTTCACATGATTCACGACAAATCCTGCATTGCAGACATGTGAGCAACGACCAATGTAGTTCGGTTTGACATAAAAAGTGCCGAGAAACATGTCATTCCATTGTTCAACTGAAAGATTTTGGAGTTGTGGATCACTAAGTGAGTCGAATTTCCCATCTAATAAAATTGCAACGAAATGATGAAACCAGTAGCTCTTGAAATTTTCAAATGATTTCGTTTCGTGGTAAGGGTAAGTTAGGCCCTCCTCAACAACATAATTGAACTCATTTTGGAGTGCAATGAGTAGGTTTTGAGGAACTATGGAAGCATCATGAATGTTAAACAAGGTAACTGGTCTTTCATCTTTTTTTAAATTGAAATTTATCACGGCATCTTTAACTTGTGGAGTAGATTCGAATGTTTCGTTCGCAAAGGGAAGGTTTTTCACTGATTCATAAGTAGCACTGCCTGAAACCATGGAGGGGAGAGAGGTGCTGCTAATGCAGTTCAATATGTTATGCTTTTTCTAAAAAAAACTGTTGATTTCACCGGAAGTCAAAAGCCGCATTCAAATTATAATTTTCGCGTCAAAGCTGGTAGCAGAAAATCATCGGTCCGAAGCAGGTTCCTTCTGATCTGATGAGGAGCTATCGTGAGGGTGTATAAGTAGCGTGATCAAGTCGCTGAAAACAAAAATGGCTGTCTCTGTCTCTTGTTTTTTCGTTGAAGTTCAGGTAACATCAAGTGATGTATTTGAAATAATTTGCGTCATAATTATTTAATATATCAATCAACTTTCTTAAAATTTTGACATGAGCAATACTAAACACTTTCCTCCATCATAAGCAGTAAAATTTACTTTTATCTATGTGGATAAAGGCAACGGTATAACCCGAGCAAACACATTTCTACTTCTTTTCTTCTTTTTCTTCCTTCATTTGATCATTATGTTTATGTGTGTGTGTGTGTTTTGCAATGTCACATATCCTGCATATAAGACTTGCTGTTTTGTTGATGGAATTTTTGAACTTCTTCTTTTTCCAATTGGGAACTCAATTTTTTAGTAACTAACCTAATACAACTCTAACAAGTTATCCCCTTTCAGCAAATATCATATAACTACAAATAACAAAACAGCCTACACTTTACGGTTTTATGATCTGTACCACTCATATCTATCAACCAGTATCTTTTATATAACATGGAAGACTTTAAAAGAAACGGAACCGCAACAGACAGTATGTTGAACCCATCCCCCACTCATCATCCCGCAAAGAGCAAGTTACTAACAACCAGCCCATTTCTAGCCATCAGCAAGCGAGATAAGAGGAGAAACAATATTGCTACTCGATTACAAAAACTAGAACTGACGTTCAAAAATGATCGAGATATTTTTTATCGCAATAGCTTACATGAATTACAAAACAAATTAGCAAGTCTACAACAAGGCACCAATGAAGAATATGTGACAAAGAAAATCCAACTAGAGGAAGCGAGAGATTACGAGTTGACTAAATTACGTCTTTGGGAAGAGTACCAAGTGAAAAGCATTGAAATGGAATATCATCAAGCTTTGCAAAAGGCGAAGGAGAATCACGATAAGATGATCAAATTGATCAAGGAAAAATTGTACGACAAACTACAGAAACAGATCAAGACTTTAAAAGAGGATAAGTACTTGTTGAATCTTTTAAACAGTAATAGTTACAATCACGATAAAGAAGGTGGAGGAGCAAACAGAGACAATGAAACACTAGCGGCGGCAATGGGGTTGAACTTTCACGATCGAAGATCTTTAAGAAAACGTGGTGAGTATCTTGGCAGATTCGCAACTGGAGAAATGGATGATCTATCAGATGGCGGAGGTGGTGGTTTGAATGGTAATCTATCTTGGGCACGGAATGGCTCTGGTTACATTTCTCTGGGCAAAAGAAGACGGCTACATACAACACGGTATTCATCAAACGATGAAGTATCGAGCAGTACGGCGAGTGCTAAACCATGGCACAACGGACATGCAAGCTCTGCTGCAGCTTCTGCTGCCGGTAATCAACATAGCTCGATACACGCTCAGAATAGATCCAATGGTGGTGTTCAAAGTGGATACGAGTCCAATTTCAGTGATAAAGATTACGATGCATTGAATTCGTTTATAATGGAGAATGAAGACGGAGTTAAGTCATTGATTTATGATGGAAATGGATTGAATGGCGATGATGGAAGCCACACTAGTTATAAAGTGCAAACACGTGGATCGCATAAGCAGTTTGTGGGACCTCAAGGATTGAAACCGGAAGAATTGAATCAAGATTTGGCTCTACTACGCACTGCAATAGTGAAGAAGGAGAAGTAGTATGGCAACGGAATAGGATCCAAAGAGAAGACAATCAAAGACTCTTTCGTTTCTGATATCTTTAAGATTGATGTATTTTATATATAATTTTGTATTTTGTGTAATTATTAGATTCTATTTTTGTTTTTTTGTTTTTTTGGTTGAAAATCGGTATTTTCTTTTCTCTCGCATCGGCATTAAACCTTGAAAAACTGCGATCTAACAGGCTGAGGCTCTCTCCCTTGTGGAAAACCATTTGGATTAGACTACATATGAACTAGTTTTGCCCACTCCCCTCACCAGATGTCTTTCAATAAGTTGAGGGCTTTTTTACTTCGTTCTAGAAAGAGTAATACTGTCCTACTATCAACGCTATTCATTTTTTTAGTAATTCTATTATTCAAGGATCATCTACTACCGAATAATGATCCATACTGGATAAATTTTAAAATCACCAACCCACCCAAAAAGGAGTCACTTACAGAACTTAGTCAACAGAAGCTAGATACAAAAATTGATTCCCCTTTCCAATATGGATGTGCTGCTGTCCCTAATGGAGATCAACCACGTGCCAATGCTGCATTTATCATGTTGTGTCGAAACCTGGAACTTGAAGGAGTGATTGCAAGTATCAAGTCAATGGAACGACATTTTAATCAGTGGTACAACTACCCATGGATTTTTCTCAACAATGAAGAGTTTTCCCCCGAATTTAAATATGCTGTGGGCAATCATACCAATGCTAAAGTTTCATTTGGTAAAATTGCCATGGAAGACTGGGATTTCCCTTCTGATATACCTGAAGCTGAATTAAATGAATGGATTGAATCTCAAGGTGATCGTGAGTTGTTGTATGGCAATTTAAAGAGTTATCACAAAATGTGTCGTTTTTACTCTGGTAAATTTTATTTACATCCATTGGTTAATCAATTGGATTGGTATTGGAGAGTAGAGCCCAATGTTGAATTTTATTGTGATTTGACATACGATCCATTCATTGAGATGGAAAAGAGAGGTAAGAAGTATGGGTTTAATGTGATGATATATGACTTGTACTATTCCATTCCTGGGTTGTTTCGTCATGTACAAAATTTCATCAAAAAACATGAAATCAAAGTCAAGAGTAGTTGGAAATTGTTTGTATTGAACTCGAAATGGTTAGATGGGGAAGATGAGTTGGGAGTCTATGATGGAATCCATAATTCACATGAACTAGTTGTTGAAATTCAAGATCAAATCTATTTACAAAAATTTATTCACGAAGTTAAAGGCAAAACTGAAGATGTGTTTACCAAGAATCCATACTTGACGAGAAGAATCTTGCAGAAAAGTAAACAAATGCCCAAGTTACATGAAGATAGAACCAATAACGAAGATTACAATTTATGTCATTTTTGGTCGAATTTTGAAATTGCACGAGTTGATTTATTCACATCGCCTGAATACCAACAATTTTATCAACATCTTGAGTCAGCTGGTGGGTTCTATAAAGAAAGATGGGGAGATGCTCCAGTACATTCATTAGCAATTGGCATGTTTTTGGATTTAAATGAAGTTCACTATTTCCGAGATATAGGTTACCGGCATGAGATTTTTGCTCATTGTCCCGCCAATGCACCAGAACATCAATTGGAGTATGTTGCCAATGCAAACTATGCGGCATTTGCGGACCCACAAGAAGCTGCTGTGGTTGTATCACCAGATAAGCCGAGGTACAATGGTGTTGGGTGTAGATGCAAATGCCCCAAGGGATACAATGATATTGAAGATTCCGAGTGTATGAAGAAATGGCAAATGTACACTCAAGATGATTATAAGGATCCAGAGCCGGTTAATCTTGAATCTTGGAAGAAACGGTTAACGAGAAAGATTAAGCATCATTTGATAGCTGGTGGTAGCATGGAAGAGGATCTTGTATAGAGGAATACTAGTGGATAATTTTATAGACGAGTTAGCTATCTTGTGGTAAATTATCACATAATTTATTCAATACTTTTCTTTTACAATTATCGTTGCTCTAAGTAAATGGTCATCAAAATTTAATAGTATCAATATATGCTATACAATAATACGAAATGAAAAAAGGAAAAAGCAACAGTGTAACAATGTGTGTTTTTATCTTTGTTTAACCTCCGAAACCATACAAGGTTCTACCTTGTCTCTTCAAAGCATAAACAACATCCAATGAAGTAACAGTCTTTCTCTTGGCGTGTTCAGTATAAGTGACAGCATCTCTAATAACATTTTCCAAAAATTGTTTCAAAACAATTCTAATTTCTTCATAAATCAATGCTGAAATACGTTTAACACCACCTCTTCTTGCCAATCTTCTGATTGCTGGTTTGGTGATACCTTGAATGTTATCTCTCAAGATTTTTCTGTGTCTCTTAGCACCTCCTTTTCCTAATCCTTTTCCTCCTTTTCCTCTACCAGACATTGTTGTATATAATTATATGTGTGTTGGGTATAAGTAATGATAAGAAAGTAAATGAACTCGATTAATTGGGGAAATTGATGTGATATTTAAATAGAAAAAAAAATTAAGACTGAGATTGAGTTTGATAGGAAGTGGGTTAAAGCGTGTAAGTATCGCAAACAACGCGCGAGGCTCAAAAAGAGTAAGAGTAGGAGAGTAATCATGAGAATGGGACACAAATACCAAGCAGAGGGAGAAGAAGAAGAAGAAGAAGAAGAAGAGAACAAATGAAACAGAGTAATCCTCTTGTCGTGTAGTTTAGTGTATGATACGTCAAAGAGAATAATCTCGTGTCATCTATAAACTTAATGTGCTTTCTTTTGTTTGTTACATGTGCTCTTGTATTTTACTTGTTTGTACAAGAAAGGACACCGTACTTTGTACTATTGTCTTTTGTTCGATGTATAAGACGTACTAGTATACAATTTACGCATCAGTCTAAAATTTACCCTCATTGATGCGTATTTTTCCTTGTCTTTTGTTAGTGGGAAAAGATTAGAGCTACCACGTTCAACTTTTTTTTTCTGGCACAAATAAGAAAGACGCTTCTTCTCTTCACATCGCGCGACTACAGACAGCAGCGTAGCCGCTACCCTTTGTCTCTCGCTTTATCAAACGAAAATGTAAACAAACTCAACCATTGCATCATCAGTTGGTTCCGCACCCACAAATCTCTATATATAAACTCTACTCTACCCACCTTATCTCACCACAGTTAAAGTTTTCCCCTTTCTTTCTATCAACACATTTGAATCAACAAAAATGGCTAGAACTAAACAAACAGCAAGAAAATCTACTGGTGGTAAAGCCCCAAGAAAACAATTGGCTTCCAAAGCTGCTAGAAAATCCGCCCCATCTACCGGTGGTGTCAAGAAACCACACAGATATAAGCCAGGTACCGTTGCCTTGAGAGAAATCAGAAGATTTCAAAAATCTACTGAATTGTTGATTAGAAAGTTGCCTTTCCAAAGATTGGTTAGAGAAATTGCTCAAGACTTCAAGACTGATTTGAGATTCCAATCTTCAGCTATTGGTGCTTTGCAAGAAGCTGTTGAAGCTTACTTGGTTGGTTTGTTTGAAGACACTAACTTGTGTGCTATCCATGCCAAGAGAGTTACTATTCAAAAGAAGGATATTCAATTGGCTAGAAGATTGAGAGGTGAAAGAGCTTAAGCTGGGGGTACTTTGTAGTATAACTGGCTTTTTCTTTTTGCGCAGAGAATTGGTAATGACCTTGATGGCTTTTATTGATTTTCAGTTCTTTATTTTTTTGGTGGGGTTTTATAGGTTATAACATGTATATTAAGTAACGAAGATATTAGAATTAAATTGAAAATAGTAATAGAGGGTATGGCTATTGGGCAAGATGGTGCATCTACCACAGTCAGCCAGCACAGTACTATCCAAGAGTAACAGAGTTGAATGTACAAACAATTCAGATCTTTGCAGAAACATATGTCATTTTATTAATCGCTAATGAGATTGCAAAACTTTTAAAATATCATAGAAAGACAAGTTTTGGAGGAACGACATAGTATCCAGATTTAAACGAAATTGATACTCGCCAGTGACACTCATTAATCAAATTACAAAAGTTACCGGATCAACGTGAAGCTCACAAATAGTGTAAAACTTCTTCAATAGAATCGATAAGGATTAAAACTAAAGTAAAGATACTTTGGGGGTTTCAAGAATGTTACCTTTGAAAGAAGCACCTTGGGTTGATCATGAAACTGATTACTTCCAAAATCTCACTTTAAAAAAATAAAAGGAAATTTCACACTAGACATAACAATCTACACCCCCAAATCTTTATAAACAGATGATCAGTAGTAATTATTTATTAGCACCCAAATCATTGGGGATATTGAAAAAGAAAATCGGAAAAAGTTCAAAAATGTGACTTTTGAAAATCGTTTATACTTTTTGATAAGTTTTCGTTGATAGTTGATGCTGAAAAAGCATTACAAAGTTTAATTGTTCCTTTCCTTTGTAGTTTTGTACTCTTATTAAGTCCTTTTTTGAGGGGCTAAAATACCCCTCTACTAACACAAAATTGTTAACAAATATTACTGTATGCACTTTATGGTTGTGTGCGTGTGTGTCTGTTTCTGTTGTATTACGGTTGTTGTCAAGTAAACCCAGAAGAGCCTATAATAAAAATCGTGACCTTATTCTCCTTGCCCCTCTTATTCTTCTATACCTCCTTGATCTGTTGGATGAACATAACAAAATAAACAATTGCTTCCATTCACTAAACACCAATTTTCTAATGTGTCCTTAATAACTTTTTGGACTGAACTAAACATTCTGACCTCGGTACAATAGGGATCCACTTGTGACATGGATCGCCCAAAACAGCACGGTACACCAGTAATCCAACCCCTGCTTTTGTCGTCGTTTTGAATAGAGACAAAGCTAGACCTATGTCGAAACCAAGCGAGAGGTTCAAAAACCCTTAGCTGGACAACTGGATAATTTAAGACTCACTCACCCCCTCTTGTCCTTGTACAAAGAAGAATTCTACCATTTAGGAGGCTAAATGCAATAATAATTGTTTACTTGTATGGACAAAACGTACGTACAAAAAAAGATTGATAACAGTCGTATATCCCTTTGACATGCCTAAAATGAAAGACATTGGCAAGTATCATCACAAGCAGTAGGACACTAAAGTAAAATTTTGGGTACCGTGGACACAATAATCGGAAACATCAATGCAGCGTTATGCTCACAATGATATTAAACATGATAGATGCCAGCACTAGCTAATAATTTCATCCATATGATCCTGAACAAATTAAAGGCTGGCAGCATCTTTGTTTAGGATAATCTCGGATATGAGTGTTTTTACCCGAGGTAATAATATCATACTCGTGTTGTGATATATACATCAAACAAACATTTGTCAAGATTACTAGCACTGTTATTATTCTATTTTGGACAGATTATTAAAAGTGACTCCAGGTTCATGAAATATACACCTCTTGATAAAGGACTGGTGGTAAAAGAAAAAGGTGTTGTGAAGAGATACAGAAACTAGTGACTTTTGCAGCACTATTTATACTTTTTTTCTGCAAACTATGATGGGACTTGGTTGCATGTGTGTTGCCAAAAAAATTCACAGTAATTAACTGGCATCTCCTATATACACACACATACACACGCGCTCTCTCCCCTACCAAACCGTGTATAAATATAGAGATATTCCCTTTTCCTGAATACATTTTCTTAGTGTACTTCCTTTTCTTCGACTGATATCTAAAAAGCTTGGCCAAACTGCTGACCCCACCACTAAAGTCTATAGTCTGCTCAATGCACTTTTCTATCAATAAAAGCAGAACTTATAAGTAGTGTAGCTCTTTACCATTCATTCATATTTTACACTCTCCATGCAATTCATCACCACATACAAACTTTAAGGTTTTGATCGCTTTTTGTGGCTCAAATAATTTTTAGTTGTTTTAATGCCGATCTCTCTCTCGAGCATGAATAGCAATCTGAAATTTTTTACAATCACACATGCATTTTTGCTCAAGACTTGAACAAACCAATCATTAATCATGCCTGACTCAACTATTAAACCACCACCATCGCTTTACGAACAACTTGATGCTCTATCAGTCTCGCCCATCCCATCGGGTGTTTTATCAGGAGCGTTGTTTTTGAAAGCATTAACCAAGACATCATCAGCAGTCGCTATACCCAATTCAGGAACTTCAGGATCGTCTTTTGCATTTCACAAGACGTTAGCTGCATCTCGACCTACGCGATTATCGTGCACTTTGTTTGGATCAGCTATGGCTTTGGGTACTTATATGATGATTGATGGAGATCCATTGAATGCCTCGGGTTTCAATTTTGCTTGGCTGACTTTATACTTGATTGTTAATGGTAAATCCTCCATTCTGTCTGTTTTCAGGGGAAGAATAACTCCAGTTGCATTGTCAGGATTGGCTCTTTTTGATGCTGCTTTGTATGGTAGAGAATTCTTTTGGAGCAAGAGAAGTCCCTTCCAACAATGAACGAGGAGGTATGACTGTACTATAGTGTATAAAGAATCTATCATTTTTCGTAAATATACAGTTGTTACATAATTTTGGGTTGCCGTTCATTGTGAGGTCACCCCCATTTCAACGGTAACAACCCTCGTTCATTACAATACTCCTTTATATGTCGATCATCATACAACTCAATAAATTGTTGATCCATTGGTCGTTCTTTGGGAGCAGCAAATTTCCTGTACTCATCAAAAATTATAGTCTTAGACCAATTTTGTAATCGTCTTAAAACCCCAATTAAACAACCAGTTCGATGTTTACCACGATTACAATGTATAAGTATCGGTTGATTCTCTGGATCTAAAACAATTTTAATCGCTTGTGTGATCAAATCCAGTGAAATTTTAACAAATGGTTCTTTATTTCCCGACATCCCCAATTGAAATAGTTTGACATTGTGGGTTTCGAAAAACCTTTGTTGAAGTTCTGGATACTCCTCTGGTATTAGACATAAAACTGATTTTAATTTGAGTTGTTTCAAGAATGAGAAATTGGCAGGTTGAGGGAAAGAACTTCTATAAATGGATCCAATGACTAAAGCAAAATTCTCTGGCGGGGTCAATTCTTGATCCTCAACGTCAAAATCATGATGGGTTTCGGCATCTGTCATATTTGTGGTTTCATTGGTGTTCTTTAGTCGCTTTTGCTGCTCTTCATACTCCAATTGTAGTTTTTTTTGCAAATTTATATCCAATTTATCGTCGGCATCTTCATCATATATTTTCTCCTCTTCGTCTTCTGTAGTTTTAGCTTCATTTTCATTCTCATGTAGCTTGAGTTGGTCCAACGTCGAACGTAGCAGTGTGTCGGTGTTGTCCGCAAGTGTGCTTGCACTGGCTCCAATTCCATTGTAGATCGACTCACCTCCCGCATTATCATTCGGTAGACCCGATATATCCTCATCCATTTGAAATGGTCCGTCGGCGTTTTCCGTCATAATGCCAATGAAATAGTGTGTCTGGCGGTGGGTCACCTCTTATAGCCAATATTAACTAATTTAGTTGCTCCTAGGTAATCTGTTGTGTGAAATAGCTTTGGCGCTGTTTTTTTACTCAGTTGGTAGTGTGTATTTGAAATGTGAAATGTTATATGAGTCTCTTGTCGTTGTAGGAAACCATTGTCTGATATTTTTCCTCCTTTGCAGTCAACGATTAGATTGGTGATTTTTTTCTTTTTCTCTCTCTTCTGTCTGCTTGTTGATAGGGAGAGAATCAGAAGAATAATCGTTTTGTAGTTTTCCACAGTAGTGTACTAAAGACCAAAAACATTTCAGAGTTGAGTGTCGCATTTCACAATGTCGTGGGTATTAGAGACACATCGCGTGCAATGCTCTTCTCAAGATTTTTCACTTTGGAACTCTACTGATCTACTCATTCACTATTATTTTTGAATCATGCAAGGAAGGAATAAAAGAGGACCTAGCAATGAACATCTGGTTCACCACAGGGATCGAAATGCCAAGCGTGGAAGAACAGAATTGAGAACAATCACTAGAACTGCTAGGAGACCAAATAGGGACCTTAAGAAACAAAGCTATGCGGATAATAATGTCGATAACGGCGATGTCTCCAAAGACCAAATTGACAGTGAGGAAGAAGAAGAGTCTGAAGAGGGTGATGACAGTGGAAAAGCGTACTCTGCGTTGTTGACGCTATTAAAATCAAACAAGAAGGATAAAGCACATTCAGATAAGATAGACACCGAAGCACAAGAAGAGCCGGAACAAGCCCCCGTTGCCGAAGATGATGAGGATGAGCTTGTTGGTGAAAATTTTGATGAGGATAACGAAGAATCGGAAAATGAATCGGAAAATGACGTGGACGATTCACCAGCAGAATTGGCAATTGACCCCTTTGAAGTACATTTTAATCAACCGAGTGATGAGTATTTGGAAAAGGAGGAGAAGTTGGTGTTGAAGGAACACAACAAATGGGTTACACTGTCAAAAGTGATTTATGACGACTTGTCATTGACTTCGATGACCTTGACACCCCCTGGAGAAGGTATAGCTTATGTGACTACCAAGAAAGACCCTACTAACATCAAAGATTTCAAGTCGTTGAAAATGAGGGTCTTGGATGCTTATTTGAATGAGTTTGGCGAGGCCGTTTCGAAATTGGACTCAGTACTACTTCAACCAATACTAAACTATGAAGATGTCAATTATCAATATAAATCGTACATAAATAAATCATACCGAAAGCTATATGCCTTGCACGCATTAAATCACATATACAAGACTAGAGACAGGATTATCAAAAACTCGGCTAAATTGCATCAAGCAGCGGAGAGTAACCAGGATTTGGAATTGAGAGATCAGGGTTTCACTCGTCCAAAAGTATTGATCCTTTTACCATCGAGGGAAGCGTGTCATACGCTAGTTGAATTGTTGATCCAATTATCAGGTACTACGCAACAAGAGAATAAAAAAAGATTCACCACCCAATTTCATGCTAAAGATGCTCCTAGAAGCAATAAACCTCAAGATTTTCAAGACGCATTCAAGGGAAACAACAACGATTATTTCTGCATTGGGTTAAAGTTGACTCGTAAGTCATTGAAATTGTACTCATCCTTCTATTCTTCTGATCTCATCATTGCATCTCCGCTTGGATTGTCAATGATTTTGGAAAACCCTGATAAGAAGAAGCGTCAATACGATTTCATTTCATCCATCGAAGTGCTTATCGTTGACAGGGCGAACCAAATCGAAATGCAAAATTGGGACCATGTAAACACCATCATGAAATACATCAACAAAGTTCCAAAAGATTTTCATGACGCAGATTTCAGCAGAATTAGAATGTGGAGCATCAATGATCAAGCCAAATTGTTGAGACAAACATTGGTGTTTTGTGAGTACTTGACGCCATCGATAAATAACTTAGTTTTATCAAAGTCGTTTAACCTACTGGGTAAGACTAAATTCAAACCAGTCATTACATCAGATACCAGTATTATGAACTCCATTGGTATCAAGATTAAGCAAATTTTTCAACGATTTCCCAGTGAATCTCCGGCAACTGACCCTGACACTAGATTTAATTTCTTTATCAATTCAATACTCCCCAATTTATTGAAAACAACGTCCTATGATGATGGTATAATGATTTACATACCATCCTATTTCGACTACCTTCGTGTTAAGGATTACTTCAAAAGTTCGACAAAGTTTAATTTTGGAGCCATTGATGAATACAGCTCACAGTCCAAATTGACAAGAACCAGACACGAGTTTGCCACTGGCAAAATCAAAGTTTTATTGTACACAGAAAGATTACATTATTTCCGAAGATACGAAATTAGTGGAGCTAAAAACATCATCATGTATGCACCACCAACAAATCCTATTTTCTATAAAGAATTGATTCGATTCATTGCTAAATCAATTTTCAAAGATGAATGCGATTTGAATTTAGTCACTGTGAAAATCCTTTATTCGAAATGGGATGCAACTGCTTTGGATAGAATCGTTGGTAATGAGCGTGCACCAATTCTTTGTCATTCTAGAAATGAAATGTATGAATTTAGGTAGGTAAACTGCTACCGAAACTAAGAACTCAATGTATTAAAAGCCATGATAAAGCAACCAATAGCAACGTAAGGACTCAATCTCTCTCCGATTCTGGCAAATTTGTAAAACACACTCAAGACTCCTGTTTTCCTGTTATCTAGAAGTGCTGGTGTCACGCTATGAACATACGTGCATGTGCAAATGAGGAGAAGTAGCACTTGCAAAAGCGATTGAAAATTGAATAATGCAGACTATGAGAACAGAAGTTAGTATTTGTGACATAGCTCACTGGTGTTGGTTCAACATACCATTTGTGAAGATAATTAAAGAGCAGAGTGTTTGTTACAGAAATATTTGTTGTGAGCAAGAATGATTTTTGTTTTTCGATTTTTCTACACCTGTCAAAACGCTACCGAGGAACTAATCATACAATTTTACATTACATTCTACTCTATTTAGACGACATCATCCTATCAACACGAGCAGGAACGTCAAACTTACCAGCAATGATTTCATAAAACTGCAATCTAGAACTGTCGCCTAATTTTCCACTTCCAAAGTGCTCATCAAACTCCTTCACATTATGAATTTTATATGCATCATGAGATTCACCTTCAATGCCACCAAATACCAGCAACAATTTAGACCATTTCCAAAGGCCATTTATATCGTTGTAGGACCTTGTGGGTCCTTTGATTTTTCTTTCGATAGTGTACCCGTCATTATTAAGCAAAAACACTTTGGGCAAGTTGTGTAAAATGTGTTGGTATCTAATAAAACTGGAAAATTCTTGTGCAGTCATTTGAGCACCACCGTCTCCTTGCACCAAAATGATACGCTGATTCAGACCCAAGTCATTGATTGCCATTGTGGCACCAAATGTTCCAGGCACAGCGTATCCAATTGATCCATAATTCCAACCAGAAAGAAGATGTACATTTGGTGGAAATTTGATATCAGTTACACCAAAACTGAAAGACATGGTATCAACAATGAAATAATCATTTGGTTGCAAGTGTTTTGTGAAAAATGCATTGATTTTGGATTGAGGGCAGTAGAAATTGTCTGTTTTGGAAGGAATAGGGGTTTCTTGAGGTACAAATTGATATGTGGTCAGTCTAGTTGCGGTTATTTGCGATGCCTCCAATTTGTCAGTCAAGTTTTGCAAAAGCTCACTCATTGAATATAATTTGTCCCCATTAAATTGTTTAATGTGATGTGTTGAATTATTGATTTGTATGTAATCAGGATGAATGATTACTGTGTTTGCAGCTTTAGAGAAATCACGACTATAACCTCCATTATTCATTTCGGTATCGTAATAGCCTAAGAGAAGCAAAAAGTCTGAATGCTCAAATAATTCCTTTACCATGATATCGGATGATCCAGCTCCCATGTACACACCAACAAAGTTGGATCTTGTCTCGTCAATGTTTCTTCCAAAATTGGTGGAGAATAACTTGACGCTATCGGGCAACTTTGCAACAAGATTGTCAAGCTCCTTTTGTGCGCCAAATCTGGTAACTAAGCAATCAGCAAGCAATGAAGGATTATGCGATTGATACAACAAGGACAAGATGGAGTCTGTGACTTCATTTAATGCATTTTGTGCAAAAGCTGTTCCTTGGTATTGTGACAATGATGAAAAAGGGCTTTCATACAATACGCTGGAAGGTGTGAGTAGATCAGGTACATCACATGGGATGAAAAGATATCCAGGTCTTCTTTCTTGAATAATGGTTCTCAATACTTTATCAATCTTTGCCACATTATTTATTATGTTTCCATCCAACGACTCTTGAATGCATGAAACACCATCAACCATCTTTTTGTAAACGTCATGGTCTGGAGGACATAGTGAATTGTGATTGGGTACCAAGTGATGGATATTCACAATCTTACTTTTCGACTCCTCGTGCTGTCTCAATGATGGAGTCCCCACGATATGTAACACAGCACCATATTCAGAAAAAGCATGAGCAATACCATTGATAGCAGACAATTCACCCACGCCATATGTTGATATAAAAACACTCAACCCGTCAATGGCTTTTGAATACCCGTCAGCAGCATAAGCACCGTTCAACTCGTTGCATGTATTAATTAATTTGATACCTTGGTGGGTAACCAATGGAGAGTATCCATATTCAAGTAAGTTGAGGTTGAAATCTCCAGGGATTTCAAAAACTGACTTGAGTTTAGGGTTGGCTTGAGCTATTCTAAGGAAAATGTATTCCCCTAAGGCAATATTTTGGGGAACAAGTAAAGGAAGTTGTGCTTCCTCAGTGGCAGGAGGTGTAGTTGAATTTGTTTCTCTAACTGGAGCCATTGCTAGTTTTTGATTTACTGAATGGTTGTCAAAAGATGACGAGAAACAAGAGAGGGTATTGAATTACATATATATAAACACTTGAAAATAGAGTGTGCACTTGTAAAGGTCTTGGAAACACACTTTCAAAAGAAAATCTGCATTTACAAGCCGAAGAGGAATCACTTTTGATGCCACATGAATGATTTGGTGGGTTATACACAATTCGGTTAGCTCGTTCTCGGTTATCGAAGGCGTTTTTTGCAATTACCCCAGAAAGTAAAAACCAAACACCGAAAAAATAAAACATAAAAAAAAAATACCCCCCTTTTTCCCCGTATCATCGATCTGTCAAAAGCTAACTACGAGGTACACTACGGCACTAAACGCATGACACTCTCAACAAATTGTATCATTCATTGTTGTGGCAAAGGGTCACTGGTGAAAAATATCTTTGATCTCAAGGGTAGAGAGGGCTTCTTGTAAAGAGTAATAAAGAGGGGAGTTTTTTTATGTGGTGTGTACTTTGATCTCACTATCAGGCTCCACGGAAATACGCGGTATCGAACACTACTTATACTACTGGCTTGCTTTCGGGAATATGTTCAACTCGGTTGAGCAAGGGATCGTTTGGCAGATAATTCGGAGTTGGTATTTTGTGCCATTTTTTTGGATCTTTTTCTTACTCATTTTAGTTTTTGCAAACTTTCGGCACGAGGTGGCTATAACGGATGCACACAGATTCTAAAAATTGCCTTTTTTTTTCAATTGTGAAAACTTACATTTAGGCACTGGCTGATTAATTTGATCTTCTTTACTCCGTATTGGAACGCTCCCTTCTTCCATCAATAGACATCAATAATTTCCTTCTCATCGAACTGGTGCTACTTCTTCTACAGTAATTAGTTGACAACGAACTCTCAAGTTATTACGTTACTGATTCGTTAAGCTCCATATATCGTTATTCGGCTTGCTTTCCCTCCTCATCTTTGCTTGTATCATAAAGAACTATGTTGTTATCAAGAGCTCCAGCTCTTTCTTGTCTCTTGTAGAAATACAACACCACAAATGACCAAACTGCCATTGCAAAACCTGAAGCAGCAGTGAAACTGAAGCCTTTCAAAAACCTCGGTGCTTCGACTGTCTTCCACACTAATACCGACACCCATGCCGAGGTCAGTTGGGCAAGCATATTAGCTGAGACAAGTACGATTTGACGCTCACGTACATCTCTTCGGCATATGTCTCCCATAAACAGGTAAAGCACGGGTGAAGAGCTCCAGCCCCAGTATTGCATGCAAAACGCAAACCATTTAGCACCTTCAGGAATATCCCAAATCGCTAGCAACAAGTTTCCAAGTACATTAAACACTTGCGAAAATATAATTGCTCCGTAACGGCTCTTGAGTAAATCTGCAATTGACGTGGTTAAAATCAACCATAAAATACCCAATGCCGGTGTCAAAGAAGTATAATCTTGCAACTTGCCTCCTTCAAATCTAGGACTTTTACCATCGTCTTTGGTTAATGATTGAAGCCATAATGGGTAAGCACCAGAAGTACCATTGGAATTATTCCAACAGAATGTTGTCCACAAAGTTAACGCGTAAATATGCCACGATGAAAGAACCTTTTTCCACAAATCCCAATTGAAGAAATGGTAAAACGCATTTTCTCTAGGCTTGGCGTCTTTCTGATCTTTTCTCATTCTTCTTCGGGCAATTCGAATCTCGTCATCGGTTAAAAAGATGCTGTAACAATCTTCTGGTGTACCTGGGATCATATAGATACCAATAAGACCAACGGCAAAACTAATTATCCCATCAATGATGAAAATCCACTGCCATGCTTCATATCCATTAACACTACCCAAGTGTCTTTTGATTGCACCTGAAAGCACACCAGATGTCAATATTCCCAAAAATTGACCCATGTAAAAAAACCCAGCTCTACGAGCTACCTCACCTGTACTTCCTTTGAACCATGAGGCAAACAATGCATGATAAGCAATGTAAGTAGGTGCTTCAAATGCGCCAATAAAGAAACTGATTGCCTTAAGACCGGGAACATTTGTCACCTTGGCTGTACAAATAGTCAACACTGACCAACTGAAATCCAAAACCGGTAACACGTAGTTCAATGGGAGTGCGTAAAATATGTACATGAAGGGAATTTGAAACACGATGTTTCCCACTGTAAACATGACTTGTGTGTTGATAAAATCATTACCCTCCATACCGATGGCTTCTTTAATCCCGCCGATATAGGCATTGGTCAAATTCGTTTGATCCAAATACTTCACCCAGTACGCCATGAGGGAGTAACAAGTTAACAAAATATCAATCTTGGTGATAACTTTCTTCTCTTCAGGTGTGTCATCATCATGGAACCACTTGTACCACTTTCTACTCTTTTTCTGTTGCGTAGTGACTCGATACTCATATTCGTCAAAGAACTTCCACCAGGGACGATCTTTCTCATCACGATACTCAATTTCAGGCTCAGACACTTTGATTGAATGTGTAGCTTCCAATTTCGAGTCAGTCTTCTCCAAGCTTTCCCTTTCATCTGTGGATTCTGCAACTCCTTCATCATCAATGTCTATAAAGTTCCCATTCTCGTCCTCATCAACGATTCTCCTGACAGGAAATATACCCCATTTGAGCCTTTGGAAAGGTGTGATTACGGCAGCCATTTCTTGATAAAAGAACCTTTGAAGCCCATTTTTCACATCTTCTGAAATTGTGTGTGATATATATCACATTGCTGGCCGGGTCGGCTGCTTTCGCTAATCATTGCATAACTGTGGCGTCAAAATTATAAATTACTGATGAACTTTTCAAGATCTGTTTATTGTTACCACTTTTGTGGTTTTAGTGAAAAAAAACCATCACGTGACTATCATGAACCCCTGAATTGATTTAGTGTGTATTACCAATATAAATACGATTAGGAATGTCAACGTGGCATCGAGAATGTCTACAAATTGGTTGTATTGGACATCAACCACTCTGCTACGAGAGAAAACTTCCGAGACAATGTCAAACGAATAGCATGAATAAATTATGAGATAAGCCCACCTATTGATGCGCAATGTCTCTCCTTCCTTTCGTTAAGCTCCCATAAGCTGGTTCTGAATTGTTACGCTGTATATTGGCTTTTTTTTAGTTTCCTCGATATCAAAAACAATACATGGCTTTTCTTTGAACTCAAAACATATGAGAACTCAAATGGTTAGCAACTGAGACACTTGAATTGAAACAGCTTTCGTGTATGCTTTGCGGTAAAAGTAAAATACATAGCGGCTTGTCAGAGACAGACACACGTGGTGAGGCTGTTCATGCGTGGATTTGGCATCACGTACCACATGGGCACGTTTCTGGCAGTTGCAAAAAAAAAAAGAAAAAGAAATGTAAATTTGTGAAGAGCACGAGGTCGTGGGGGCGAGGGGTTGACGCACGAGGGGTGCGCGGAAAACGGAGTTCGTTTGTTTATGTATTCGCTCTTCTCCCCCTCGACTCAACTTAAAGTGCAAAAGTCTCTGCAATGATGGGGTCTTTGAGTAGCCCACGTTGTTGAGCTCGGACTCTTTGTATGTGTATGTGTGTGTGTGTGTGTGTGTGTGTGTGTGTGTGTGTGTGTAGTATTGTATCTGTTGGATTGTATCACTTGGAGTTAGCTTTCGTGATAGAGTGGCATTCTAAATAATCTCTTAGCTTGCTTTCGATGTGTGGGTGGGCAGACATATATAAGTACGCAATTGCATTGACAGTTCTCTGCATCCAAACAAAGAAGACACTATTTAACTGAATTTGTCATTGAGTGATGTGTTTCAAGTGGAGGGGTAAAAGTTATCAAAAAGTCTATTCAACATATAAAATACAATACAAAAAGACAAAAGGAGAAATATTTTCTTTTTTTTTCAAGAGGAAAAATTCTATCAAAGTCACAACTAAAATAGTTATATCACACTCCTTTTCTGATTCAATACATCTTTGAAAGTACTGTTCCAATCAAAATATAATTTACAGCCCCAAAGTCACAACATAACATATTGTCATACATGCACGATTCATCAATATGGAGGTCAATAACTCATCTACTGCAAATGTTGTGAGTAGACCAGATATTACACATCATCATCACCAAACACTAAGTCAAAACAATAAATGGCAACAACAACAAGAACAACAACAACAACAACAACAATTTTCAAACAACATATCTATTGCGAAACCACCCGTAATAAACACTTTGAACACATGCTCACAACCCTCACTAAAAGAGCCACTCTTCGAATCACAATCCTCAACAAATCAGGCTTTTAAACAGACACCACTGCTGACAAAAGAAAATTCGTCCAAGTGTGATTCCGAAAAGCAATCAGAAACCCTTCCACCAGTTCCATCACTAAAGTATCAAGCTGCTTCAAGTGAAGCACCTGCAATAACAAGTCAGCTCACAGGAAGAAAAGCTGCCCGATCTTTGCGACTATTTAGAAGCATAGATCAAAACGGTGTGGTGGTTGAAGAAGAAGCAGCAAACGACAATAATCAGACAAAGTCATCATCTTTGGCGGAAAAACTAGGAGCGAAGGAAACTGAGCTTGAACCTGTTTCATCGGCTACTTATATACCTCATACACCAGCAACATTGGAACACAAGCGAGCCAAATTGGATGAAATTATGCCACATGAACTACAAAGTTCAGTATCGCCTGTATTATCCATACAACCTCAACATTTGACTGCTAATTTGGAATTTGATCATGGTCTTAACGGGGACATCACCAAGATTATTTCCATTTTGGATAAAAATAAAGTGTCTGAGAGTGATGCCGATAGCTGCGTTGCTTCACCCATCATTTCTCGTGTATGCAGTCCCACCAAGGAGCTTTACGAAGCCGATTTAGTCAATGAGTATACAAAGCATGTTGATGATAAATCGCCAAATACAAGCTCACCTGAAGCGGAAACTGAGTTTCCCTTAGCTGTCGAATTGAGACCATTCAAAAATAAGGTTGGTGGTCATACTGCCATTTTCTCGTTCTCAAAAGAAGCAGTGTGCAAAGCACTAGTAAATAGAGAAAACATTTTCTATGAAAGTATAGAAATCCATCACCCTGAGCTTTTGAAATTCATGCCAAGATATATTGGCGTTTTAAATGTGCGGTATTCCAGTTTGATAAATGAACATGACAATGTGGAGGATAAAGTTGACAATGGTGAGAAGGAACAAGATTTGGAGGTTAACGAAACGCACAAATTGCGTCGTAAATCGGAAATCATGTCACCCGAAGTCGTTCTTGATGATAACAAACACATTATTCCCGACACTTTGTGGAAGCATTATTCAGAGTCGATGCCATCACCCAAATCGTCATTCATGGACAGTCCTAAACAGAGTCCCATTCCGAGTTTAACCAACTCGCCTTCGCAACATCCAAACCCAGGCTCTACATCAGTAAACACAGAATTGCAATTTCAAGTTTTGCAAGAAGTTTTTCAGCCATTAAGATTGCATGATGACTTTTTCGAAATGGATGAGGATAGGGAAGCGAATGAAGGAGGTTCGCATCAACGTTCGTTTTCTCAACCGAGTGATGAAGTATTGCTTCGTAAACATACAAGATTTGAACGCTTTATATTACTTGAAGATTTGACATCAAGAATGAAGAGACCTTGTGTTTTGGATTTGAAAATGGGTACTAGGCAGTACGGTGTTGATGCATCTTTCATAAAACAACAGTCTCAAAGACGCAAATGTTTAGCCACAACATCAAGAAAATTGGGAGTTCGTTTATGTGGGTTACAAATATTCAAGTATAATGATCAAAGATTGATTAGAGATAAATATTTTGGCAGAAGAATTAAAATCGGGGTTCAATTTTGCAAAGTGCTTGCCAAATTCTTATACAATGGCAAAGACATTTACTCCATTTTATTCCGCATACCTCATTTAATTCACCAATTACGAGCCTTGTATCAGATTTTTCAGAATTTACCGGGTTATCGCATGTATGGATCACTGATTCTTTTAATGTATGAAGGTGGATCTGTAAAAGAAGATCAACCAGCAAATGTCAAAATCATTGATTTTGCCCAATCGGTTATATCGGAAGAAGAGAAGGATCATGTGAATATCCCACCATCACATCCAGACTTGGTAGATTTTGGTTATTTACGAGGTATTCATTCGTTAATTTTTTACTTTACATCAATTTTCCAAATTTTGAGTCAAACAAAGGTTGACAAGGTAAATGATATGCATAGTTGGGTAAAGGAACATAAAGATGAGTTGGAGGTTAATTGTCCCTGGTTGGATGATTATGCAGAGGTTGAAGGTGAAGAAGATGGTGGTGTAAATAATATTGATGTTAATGACCCATTCAATGTTGATTTTATTATCGATGAAAGTGACGAAAATATATCTGAATAGATTTACTTAATACATAAAAGAGAGCTTTGTCAATGACAGATGTAGTGAGGTGGGCATACCCCGCCATTTACCCCGGCTTTGAGGGGAGAGAATTGTAGTGCAAGTGGTTCCCTCGAGAGGGCTTTCACTTCAGTGACCTCACTGACGTATTGAATTTGACTTGTGTCTCAATATCCATTGCCATGCATTTGTTACTTACTTGTTACTTCGCCTCCTACGTCAGTGTGCGTAAGTAATGGTGGTGCTGAAGTCCGGAGTAAACCTCCTGAAAGTTACACAATATGGTGCTAAACACAAAGACCAGAATGCAGAATTCTTAATTGCTGTTGGAATGATTGGGGCAACGCAGCACCCTGAGTTATTCCAATGTTAGAGATTCCAATGGAAAACACGGTGTGAAATAACTCAATATTATGGGAGGGAAGTCTTCACCAAAAGTTGGTCCGGGTATATCTACGGCTCTCAGTGGAGGTGGTGGTGGTGATAATTCTCTATAGTTTTGCCGAGGAAATAGCAAAAGTCAAAAACAAAAAGAAGTTGAGAAAAAAAAAAAATTTTTGCGACAGAGAGAAACCAACGACAAAACAATACAGAACGCAGTTCAATCTTTTCATTTTGATTTATTATTATATTTCGAACAAAAAGTTATAAAATAGCAAAACTGTTACTTATATCTATTCTACTTTGACATTTTGTATACCCTTCCTTCCACAAATAACTCAAACGATGCCACGTCGTAATAGCAACTTTCCATCGAACCCATTGGTTGCCACTATAGATATCGGTACTACCTCAGCAAGAGCTATTTTGTTTTCTCAAGAAGGGCAAGAAATTGCTAAACATCAAATAGAGTATTCAACAACCGCATCAGAAGCGCCTGAGAATTCTCAAAATACTGATCAATTTAGAAGAAGATCGTCTTTGCTTAGACACGATGAACCAATTTTTTCGGCTGAAGGTATTGCCATCTCCATCACTGATAATGTTGAAATTGAAAACAACAAGTCTTCAGTCGGTCCCACTTTAAGATTCCCACAACCTGGTTGGGTTGAATGTATGCCAGTTCATATTTTGGCCAATGCAGTGCAATGTTTAGTTGCTTGTTTGATTACATTAAGAAAAATCAATCAAAATCCCAATTTAAAAGTCAAGTACAAAGTTAAATGTATTGGTATTGCCAATATGAGAGAAACAACTATTGTATGGTCGAGAAAGACTGGTAAACCGTTAAGTGGGGGTATCACATGGACGGATACCAGAACCGCTGAAATTGTTCAACATTTGGAGAAAATGATTGATGAGGATAGAAAAGCTGAATTGAAGGAAAAGACTGGATTACCGTTATCTACATACTTTTCTGCTGCTAAATTGAGATGGTTGTTGGATAACGATGATGTGATTAGAGACGAATATGAAAAAGGTGACGGTAATTTAATGTTTGGTACTGTTGACACTTGGTTGATTTATAACTTGACCAAGGAGAAATCATTTGTTACTGATATTACCAATGCATCAAGAACTTATTTTATGGATTTGGAAACTCATGATTATGATGACGATTTATTGGATTTCTGGGGTATTGATCCCACAAGAATTCAATTGCCCAAGATTGTTTCATCATCGGAACATTATGGTGCATTTGCCGCACCCAACTTGTCCCACTTGGGATTCCACAATAAAATCACCCAGGAGGCTTATGATATATTGAAAACCATCACTGGTGTTCCAATTTGTGGTTGTTTGGGTGATCAAAGTGCGTCATTAGTGGGTCAATTGGCTTTGAAACCAGGTTCGGCAAAGTGTACTTATGGTACTGGTTGTTTCTTGTTATACAATACAGGTACTCGTAAATTGATCAGTTCTCATGGTGCGTTAACCACGTTTGGATTTTGGTTTCCTTCGCTTGGTGGCGATGATGGTAAGCCACATTATGCATTGGAAGGTTCAATTGCCGTTGCTGGATCCATTATTCAATGGTTAAGAGACAACTTGAGGTTGATTAATGAAGCTCAGGATATTGGACCGTTGGCATCACAAGTGGAAAACTCTGGTGGGGTTGTTTTCATTCCTGCTTTTAGTGGATTGTATGCGCCATATTGGGATAGAGGCGCCAGAGGTACCATCTTTGGTATGACTCAATACACTTCATCTTCCCACATAGCAAGAGCAGCTTTGGAAGGTGTTTGTTATCAAGTACGAGCCATTTTAAGAGCAATGGGAAGTGATGCAGGAGCTTCTAAACATTTTATGGAAGAAGCACGTACTTCACAAGACGATGATCAACCATTGTCACAATTGGCCACTGATGGAGGTATGTCAAAAGCCGACGAGGTGTTGCAAATCCAAGCTGATATTTTGGGGCCTTGTGTTACTGTTAAACGAGCACAAATTTCTGAATGTACTGCTTTGGGGGCTGCCATTGCTGCTGGTGTTTCTTTTAAAGATGAAAATGAACGTATATGGAAAGATTTTGATGATGTTGTGGCTAAAGTTACTGGAAATGCCGATGATGATGCCAATACATTTAAAGCAGAATTACCTGATGCTGATAGGAGAAAGAATTGGAGTCGTTGGGAGAAAGCTATTGAAAGAGCAAAAGGTTGGTTAGATGAAGATGATTAGGGGGAGGCAAGAGAGACAATGAAAGTGGATATTTAAGAGGAAGACACGAGAGACAATGAAACCCGATGACTGAATGTGATATTAAAATGAAATGAGATAGTATAGAATTAAAATAGACATTAACTTTATAAAATGCATCTCTTAGTCAAAAGATGAATCATAGTCATCAATATCTACTTGTTCATAAACCACATCGATGCCAAGGCTGTCAATATCAAAAGAATCATGGTGATTTTGCTCATCATCATCATTGAAACCAACCATTTTTTTATCCTTGATCTGTAACAAGTCATTGAAGAATTGACTTGTTTGCTTAGTCAAGGACTCGAATCTGTCCGATTTGAATTGCGGTTTGGCAAAGATATTCCTCTCGTTATCATCGTTGTTGCTGTTGTTGCTGCTGTTATTGAACATCACCGTTGCCTTTTTCCCCATCGTAGTACAACATTCGTCGATGGCTGAAGTTATGAATGAAGTTTGCTTAAGCAATGTATGTTTCAAGGGAGTAGGGTTCTTCAATGGACTCGGCGTCTTGTTCAAGTCAACAATTGTCAATTGAGCATTGGTCAATTGCCGTTCAGTTTCCAATGATGCTTGTTTATAGATATCAAGATGGGTATTGTTCTTGGGAGTTGATTGAAGGAGTTGAATTTTATTAAGTTCTTGCAATTGAGATTCTATTTCAAGTAATTGCAATTGTTTGTGGCTGAGTATTTGTTGGTGGCGTTTGATTTGAGCTTGCTTAATACTGTATTGGTTCAATAAATTGGCTTTTTGTTGTTGCAAATCTAAGGCTCCGGGTTGATCTTCAGGGGAACACGTGTGAAGTGTGTCTTGTTTCAGTTGAGGCTTGACTGGAGTTGACTTGACTGTAGCGTGGGTTGATTTAAGTGGTGAAGTTGCAAATGGTGTAGCTTGTGTCCCCTTTCTGATTGGACTAGGTGCCAATTGTGTTTGAGGCTGATGCAACGCAATTGACTTTGGTTTCAATGGTGATGGAACAGGTTTGAGTTTGATTGAGTGGAATGGTGAAGTTGTCGTGTTTGATGATACATTGATTTTGTTAGGTGATGTGGCCCCCAAGACTCTTCTGTCTACTCCTGCATTGCGCAGATGCTTCCTTGGAGTATTAGGATTTGACTGAACAAACACCATAACGCAATGTGTCTTAATGTATATGATACGAAGCCGAGGTGGACTTTATTGCAGCGGAGTCTTCTTTTTTCTTTCTTTGAACCCCTTTATTTCAATGTCTAGCCGTAAGAGCAGGACATTGTTAGTTTTTGCACCTGTTTTAAAGTGCATGCATTTTGGGTATATTCAATATTCAACCCAAATTAGGACAAAATGTAAACAGAAGGAACATACATACTTTTTTTTTTGTTTTTGCAGCACACCCAATTTGATCAATAATAACGATACTGCATATAAGTTGGTACATTTTGTAAAACTAATTATGGTACCGGGTCGTGTGCGCTTGCTCAAAAGACGGAGAATCGCTTTTTTTTTCTTTTGCACATGCTTTGCTAAAGACATCCTGGTGTATCGAGTAAAACACCAATTAATCGCCGTATGTGAATTTGATTCATGGGCTCTTTGCTACGGGTTTCTACTCTTTGCCGTGTACACTACTCACTACACCATGGTTGGAAGAATGGGCGGATATGACCGGAATTCTTCCCTGCTTTTGTTCTTATTGTTTGTCAATTTTTTTTTTTTTTTTGCCACCCGCGCATCCTTCCACAGCTTTTTTGACACAATTGAGTACCAGACAGGAGGATAGTAGAATATCGACAATGCCGGCATTGAGCTTGAGATCAGTTACTCGATCAGGAAAAAAGAGTCATACTAACTCCTATCTAGTTCAAAGTGCTTTGTGTGTACCATTTTTCTTTGTTATGGGTAAGAATCAATTTATCCGTCTTCCTCCTCTCTCCCTTTTACTGAGTATGTTTTGAAATTTCAGAATTAATCAAACAAAGCAAAAAAAAAAAATTAGAGAGAAAATGAGATCTTTCTACAGAATAACAATTTTATATTCCACTTCTCTTTCTTTTCTACTTTGAATCTTCTTTAATCACCTTTCAAATTCACCTGAAACAATCCTTCCCCCCCCCTCCTCAATAATGGCACTCTTATTCAATTTCAAGACATTCGTATTTGGTTTGTTTGTATACTACGCTACTTATTTGCACTACTATAAATGTCCATCATTAACCCCAATTGTTGAATTGGAAGAGAAAATCTTGCATCCATTGACAAACCAACACTCGACATTATGTGAATTGGTCAATGGTGGGATTGATAGAGCAACACCATACGTTAACAAAGTCCATGGCTTTTTGGATAAAAATGTTCATTCTCATCCATTGTTTATTGAGTACAAGATTGAAGAATATATTCAATGTGCAAAGAACAGATGGACTACTTATGTTTACCCAGTGGTTTACCAATTGTACCAATTTACTGATGTTGCTGAGGCTCGTGTTTACGATGAAGTTACTGCTATCTACAAACAAGCTGAAGAAATTGTTCATGGTAAGTTGAAGCAAGATTAAATAAAACCTCACAATGATTGAGAGTCTTCTTGCAAAGGTTTTTGGAAACAACTCTTTGCTGATTGCTCCTTTAGTATATAGTTTTGTTTCGAAAGCGTTTTCCCAAATATACGTATAATTATTACCGTCGAATCAATGTTGTCAAACTGTGTGTAAGTTGTTCTGTTTGAAACCCTTTTTGAGAAGGAAACTGAAAATTCACGTGCGCAATAAAATATTCCAACAGAAGTTTCTCTAAATGCATCCTGTGGGGCAAAGCCACTCGCAAACACAAACAAGGCGGCAATAGTAGTAGTGGTAGTCTATGCAGAACTAAATTTAACTGGATTCTATGAATGTGCAAGTATGGCTGATGAGAGTACCCGATTGATAAACACCGCCAGTGTTTTCAATACACTTAACAATGGCCACAACCACCAAAATAATTTCCCCCAGCACACCTCCGTTCATACAAAACGGCTACTAAACAGTCGTCACATATCAATGATTTCCATAGGAGGCATCATTGGCACTGGTTTATTTATTGGTATTCGACAGACATTAACCAATGGTCCAATAATTAGCATAATTTCATACATGTACATTAGCATGCTATGCTACTATATAATCACCGCCGTGGGGGAAATGTCGTGCTTTATGCCGCTCAATGGATCGTTATGTCAATTTCAATTCAAATTCATTTCCAATCCTGTGGGAATAATGAATAATTTCGTGTATTGGATAAGTTGGTCAGTTACACTTGGATTAGAATTGAGTTTGATTTATGAATTGCTTTGTCAATTGATAATATCAATGGATCTGATGCCACTGCTGCTGATGAGTTCAATGGCTGCTTCATGGCTTGGTGATAAATCAAGTGTGATTGCCGTAACGTGGTTGGCTTTAACTAGTGCTAATTTATTTCCGGTAAATTATTATGGAGAAGTTGAGTTTATGGTGACAATTATCAAAGTCGGGTTTATGGTTACTTGGATTGGATTGAGCATATGGTTGGTGTTTACCGGGGTTGGTTTCACAAATTGGTTAAATTTCGAATTGATTTGGGGGATCAATACTATTGAAGTTGTGAATAGCCCCGTATTAAACAAATTGGTCAACATCCTTTCATCATCGATTGTATCTTCATGTTTTACATTCCAATCAATAGAATCAGTGGGGATTTGCTCGGGGGAGATTGAAAATATTGGGCAAAATTTACCTAAAGCCATCAAGTATATTGTTATGAGAATCTTGGTGTTTTATATTGGATCATTGATTTTGCTCACATTGATGATTCCCAGCAATGATCCACAATTGGTTAGCAACAACAACAATGATAGTTCATCAAACATGTTGATGTCGTCACCATTTGTTGTTGGGTTGATCAATTGTGGAATTGGCAATGGATCATACTTGATTCAAATTGTCAATTTTGTCATTTTGACATCAATGATATCGGCAGCCAATTCAAACATTTATTTCGGATCACGATGTTTAATTTCTATGATTGAAGAAGGATATTTTTGGCGTGTGTTTGGTAAAACCATTATGAATAGCGGTGTGCCAGTGTATGCCATCTTGTTAACATCATTTATTGGATTGGTGATTGCTCTACTATCTAATTTCAAGAGTGCTGGGATTTTTTTGACCTTGTTGATCAATTTATCAGCAACTTCAGGTTTGCTCATGTGGTTATTCATTCTGATAAGTTATCTCCGGTTTAGAAAGGCTTTGGAATACAACAATATCAATCATGGTGATCTTGTATATACATCACTGTTTTGTTGTTTTCCCATGAAGCAAAGCTCCTGGATAAGTATAGTGAGCATTGTTGGTATTATCTTGAGTAATGGAATAGTTAATATTTGGCAATTTAGCTGGGATTCATTTGCCAGTTGTTATTTAACCCTGATTGTCGTTGTGGTGGGAGTATTATATTTCAGTTTCAAGTGGGATGAACCGGTGTTGAGATCAGTAGATGAGATTGATATATTTACTAATCAATCATCAAATGCATTCTAATTAGAGCTGTATAGAGGCAATAATAGATATAGAGTTTGCATGAGCTTGTGTTGGTTGCAAAAAAGAAATGGGCTATAAATGCCAAAGCCGCACATTTTACTTCTTTTGGATTGCAAGAAAGGGAAGAAAATTTTGGGTGCGTGGTTTGTTGTTTTGTTTATAATTAAATCATAACATCAAAAAATCATATTACGGAGCATCTCCCGCTTAAAGAAAACTAAAAACGCCACAACATCACCAGGACTAACATTTGCCCCTGTTTGAATAAAGATTCTGTCAACATTTGAATTCACTTAGCCAACAAGAATTACCAGTACAATTTCCCGCTTTTTAAAGATGGCATCGTATAAGTGGATCACAATTGGCATTGTAACCTACTTGGTATACGCATGGACGATTGTGTGTCCTCCAACAGCAATACTAACACCAACCAATGAATTGAAACTATCGCCCATCAATTTCCATGTATGTAAAGTGAGTGATGGATATGTACGACCATATATACAACCAGTGTATGATTCACAAATCAAGCCCAAATTAGATGACTGGGATAATCAATGGCAGATTAGTCATCGTGTTCAAAGTGCGATGCAGACGTATGATTCATTTGATGAAAAGTATGGTGTTAGAGCTGGATTGAGTTTGGTTTTTGATGCATTGAATAAATTTTATACTTGGTTTGAAACATCTGTATTGATTCATATTCAACGTGGATTAAAGTTGTCCTTGATTAAGATTTGGTATTGGGTTAATGTGGCACGAGTCAACATTGGTTCCACTTTGAATCCAATTTGGGTTCAATTGAGTCAATTGATGGACAAATTTGCATCTATTCCAATAGTGAATCGTATCTTGCAACAAATCAAGGATGTTTATTGTCAATTGATTAATTCGTCCCATGCAACAAAGTTGCATCAACGCAGTCTATTTATTCAAAAAGAGGTCAAGAATTTGATCAAATTTGATGAGTTTTCGCCTCGTGAGTTTAAATCAAGTTTGATTCATGTGGTTCAAGACTTGTTGGGGCAAAAATATAATGACGATGAAGCAGATTGGGAAGATGTTAGTGACACCGATGATGATGGTGGAGAAACTGTTGTTATTACTTCAACTATATCAGTGTTGGAGAATGGTGCATTGGTTACTGAAGACTACGAACCAGAATTGATTGAGATTTACCACGAGATTGAATATTGGCAAACTAAAATCAACAAGACTTTGCATTTAGCTAAAGTCAATCTTGAATCTGATTTACAACCCATTTTGAACCATCTGATTGAAGATTTAAAACCATTGATTAGTCAAGAGTTTCAAAATTTACAACAAATCAATTATAAACAATATAAGGATATCCATGATAAGATTTCACAAATTCATAAAGATGCTGAAAAAATTCAAGCTACTAATGAAACCATTGGTGTCGAAACCGTTTCCCGACAAGAAATTCGCGATGATATTGCTGCAAGTTATGAATCAGCTAAAAACTGTTCTTTAAAAGTACAAGAACTTCTCTCATCAACTCATCAGCAGTTGTTAACTGACTATTTCAATCTAGTTCAATCAACAATTGACATTTTGGAATCATTTGCCGATTCATCAATCAACGAATTCAATTCCAAATTATCCTACTTGATCCAACAACAAGATTCATATTTAACTGATGAGCAAATTTGGCAAATTTGGAAAAAATTTCATCAGTTGAAAGATCAATTTTTCCAATTTAGAGATGAATTGTTAACCAATGCCAATCGATACAAACAAGATAATAAAGCTTATGCTAATAGTGCCATTGGCATGAGTGTGTGGAATGAGTATTTGAAAAATGTTGAGTTTCATTTGAATTTCTTACTTAGAGATAATGCTGATTATTTACAATTGGTGCGTGCTAAGGCTAATTTGGCTTTCCAAGCCAGAGAAGAGTTGATTTATGAATTGACTGATGGGAAAGTTGATCTGTGGGATCAGTAAAGTGAATAATGAGATATCTATAGATGGTTAATGTATGGTTAGTTACGTTTTCTTCGATGGTTTCAACAAGGTTGTTACTTTGTTGCAAAAAGGAAAACTGTGGATTCAGCTAGATATTTAACCCTCTTTTGTCTACTTTCGTATCTGCTTTGAAAGGAGACGGAAACCTGAGAAACGAAACGTGTAAATCCCATTGTTTTGTTTGTGCACCCTTGGTTGGAAAAGATCCCAATTAGGTAATAAAAGAACTTTATTCTCTAAGCGCGTTGGGAAAAAAAAGGTTCAAAAATTGGGATAATTATCCCGAAGACACTAAAACATGGAGGCGCGGCGTGCGTCTGTGGAAACTTACAAGGTGAAATTGCATGTAAGTCGGGTTCTCTTTCGATGTACGAAAACAGTGGATCCGCTAACCATAAGTGGCATTCAAAAAGGTCGTAAGCTTCGTTTGAAGACCAATGAGTAAACATGAGTATCAAGACGTGTTTGAACCCCACCATTGTCTCATTAAAAGGAAGGTGATCCTTAGTCTCAGACAGAGAATCGTTTTTCTTTTTCGCTCACACGACATAGTACACAAAAGATGATCGAAAGGGTAGTGTATAGAAGCACACGCATGAAAATAGGATGAGTTGCGATTTTGACGACACCAAGACCAACTTCCATATTTAGCAAGATGAATCCAATTATTCCTTATCGATCTCAATTTTTTTAATCTCAATTTGCTCAACAGAATAAAGGAAAGTAACCTGATTTTCAATTGTTAATTTTATTTTTAACAATTGATGATGATGAATTCGGAATATTCAAAATCCCTCAACTTTACACAAAAGCATTTTTTTTTTTGAATGTCGTGATAATAAAAAGTCCAATGTCGCACTAAATACACAAAGAAAACCCAATTTAGATAAATTGATCTCTTGACTCTTGTCAGCGCTTTAGGGAGGGTAACATAGTGGGCAGTTGTGCAAGCAAGCGAGTGGCTATCATTAAGAGAGTAGCGTAGAGACCAATAGCGAGCATCGTTGAGGAATTGATTATACAATAAAAGTGACGAAAGCTGTAATAAAAAATATCGCCTGTGATGAAAGTAAGGCTTAATCTAGCCTAAATTTCTTATCAAAAAAAAAAAAAAATTAATACAAAAAATTATCAAATGATAAAAAAACGTACTATCATCAAAATGAGTATAAGTGGAGGGGTATGAAAGTGAATGAAGCTTTTTTGATCTAGGCTATCTCATAAATATCAGACAAAATAGCAAGGGGAGGGAGCAATCATTACAGCAAATGTCCAAGAATGGTGATATATATATATATATTCTTGGCCGGTCTATATAGTATATATGAAGTATTGGTTTGGATGGCATTTGAAATTACGGGGTAAATGAGGAGAGCACGGAGCAAAGGAAGAGCCAGATAGAAAGAAGGGCTATAGTGACCTTCTATCTTGCCTATTGTAATGTATTGTAATGTTCTATTCTATTTCTTCCTATGCTTTTGCAGTCAAAAAAAATGTAACAACATCTTCAAAGCATCTGATTGGATGATAAGCGAAACAAGAAATAAACAGACATTATTTTGGTTACGACATTAAGAGCAAAGCAAATTTAGTAATTGTGCATTGTGCCATAAACTATATGCAGTAACTAAGACAAAAATCGATTATATTGAAGAAGAGGAAAAAAGAAATTCCCTAGTACAAAAAGAAAGAAGGAAAAGAGGCGATTTCCATTCATCCCTTTATTTTTTAGTCATGAGAACACTACTACTTACTACTGCTCTTCCTATATGCAGTACATACAACATGCCCAAAACTAAAGTAAAAAAAAGTTAGATTTTATGACACAACGGTTTATATATAAAACCATTTGATTATTCCCTCAACATTTAATCTTATTACTCAAAAACTACAACTTCAACTAAACTGGTTTCACTGAACCAACAACACTTCCCCCCCCTCCTCCTCCTCAAGCACGTTCCAAACGCAACACAACACAACACAACACAACACAACACAACACAACACAACACACTCTTCACTTCAACAACTAAACTACTTTTCAATCACCTATCGTTTTACTTTTTTTTTTCTTTTTTATTGCTTATAAAGAAAAAAAGAACACACAGACAAACAAGACTGAGAAAAATTTTCCTTGAATCACAACCATATTAATAGATCAATCATGAGTGCCTCTTTAACCGAAAACACCGCTATACTATCAAAATATCTCGATTTGCCCCAAAATGGTAAAGTTCTTGCTGAATATGTTTGGATTGATGCCGAAGGTAGAACTAGATCCAAATGTAAAACTTTAAACAAGAAACCATCTAGTGTTGATGATTTACCAGAATGGAACTATGATGGTTCATCAACTGGTCAAGCTCCAGGTCATGATTCGGATATTTACTTGCGTCCAGTTGCTTACTATCCAGATCCATTTAGAAAAGGTGACAATATTATTGTTTTGAATGAATGTTATAACAATGATGGTACTCCAAACAAGTTTAACCACAGACATGAATGTGCTAAATTAATGAAGGCTCATGCCGATGAAGAAGTTTGGTTTGGTTTGGAACAAGAATATACTTTATTTGATCAATTTGATTACCCATATGGATGGCCAAAAGGTGGATTTCCAGCTCCTCAAGGTCCTTACTATTGTGGTGTCGGTACTGGTAAAGTTGTTGCTAGAGATGTTATTGAAGCTCATTACAGAGCTTGTTTATACGCTGGTATCAATATTTCTGGTATCAATGCCGAAGTTATGCCATCACAATGGGAATTCCAAGTTGGTCCATGTGAAGGTATTGAAATGGGTGATCAATTGTGGATTGCCAGGTATTTATTGGAAAGAACTGCTGAAGAATTTGCTGTTAAAGTTTCATTCCATCCAAAACCATTGAAGGGTGATTGGAATGGTGCTGGTTGTCACACCAATGTTTCCACCAAGGATATGAGAAAAGCTGGTGGAATGAAGGTTATTGAAGTTGCTTTAAGCAAATTGGCCAAGAGACACAAGGAACATATGTTGTTGTATGGTGCTGATAATGAACAAAGATTAACTGGTCGTCATGAAACTGCTTCTAGTGATTCATTTTCATCTGGTGTTGCCAATAGAGGTGCTTCAGTTAGAATCCCAAGATCAGTTGCCAAGGAAGGTTTTGGTTATTTCGAAGACAGAAGACCAGCTTCCAACATTGACCCATACTTGGTTACTGGTATCATGGTTGAAACCATTTGTGGTTCAATTCCAGATGCTGATATGGCTAAAGAGTTTCTCAGAGAAGTTGAATAAATAAATGGTGGTGAAAAATGTATCAGTGCTGGGATTTTAAGCTCGTGATGGAGTTGTCTTGTGTGTATAGAATAAAGGCAGATTAACAATGTTTCACTTACAGTTTAGTATCTTTTATCAATGAACTAGCAAGAAAAAGTATAGTTTTATAATATAATTGTGGTAGATTTAATAATCACGTAGAGAAGAGTTTCTTATTGACAGTTGATGCAAATAAAACGAATAAAAATACTCCCATACTCAATTCCAATTTCAGGCTATTGGCGACCTATGATGCACTCTTACGTAGCCTTGTCATCTCCAATCAGCAGCAACCAATTGTATGTCGATGAATCAATACCACCGTTTAGGGGTAATCTTTAACAAATCTTGTCTCAAAATCGTGGTTTTGTTCTGCACCTCACCGAAGTACTTTTTGTCACCCTCCAAAAGAAATCTGTACTCGCAGGTGTGAACATCGATGAAAATTACAATCTATCAGTAGGATACATAATCACTATTCATCCCAATTGAAATGCTCTACAAGCTCAAAGCTGCAAAATAACAATAAAGATGAAAAAAAAAAAAAAAATCTTATTCTATGCCGGTGCCAGGAATCGAACCTGGGTTTAGTCGGTATTGCTTTATAGCCACAACGACTTGTACTAACCTCTATACGACACCGGCTTCAACTAAGCCATGCTTAAGAAATATGCCAGAAATTGTGTCCAAGTTCAACCACACTAGAAAAATAATATCACGTTTCACCAAGTATTCAAGTGCTCATTCGAGGCTTTCTTCATCTCTAAGGAACCACATATTACATCCAGCAATAGCGAAATGGCTACGGCCTTTGTAAAATTGTAATCGAGTAGCTTTTCTCGTTGATTCTAGGAGAAAACTCATGAATTGTTCGCAACCAAATAACACCTACCTTTCCATATTAGCTAAAGTCAATGTTCAAGGGTAATATTAGCAAGTATGCCTCTCATGGAAAAAAAAAAAAACATGCATTGTAGGACGAGAGTGAAATTGTACATGCAAAAGAGACTATTTCGAAAAATACAACTGAAACTTTTTTTGGTGTTGTCCTACAAAAAAAAAATTCTCCAAAACTGACTTCCTTTGATGATCACTAGATCAAAGCTTGAGGTTAGCTCTCGTAACATTTTCATCAAGGTTTAGCATCAACATTGGTGACGTTTATAACTGTTTCTTGCTCGTTTTCTTTTTGTTTTAGCACCAAGTTTCAATGAAAATGTTCTACCCTGTAAAATTTGTACCTGCCTCTTCCCAGATCGAGCCCCCTCTCAGCACTAGTCACTCCCTCTTTTTTTCAGCTCTTCAAAAAGCAAAATAATTCAGAGTCGGCAAATGCATCACGGTGGAACAACGCTGATTCATTTAACGCCCAAAATTCAATTTGCAGCCACAAAGTCGTGTACAAAAACACAAAATTCTCACATTATTGCGCATGGGAATTTGAAATTCATCAACGACAATCCAAAACCAAAAAAAAAGGAAGAACCAGACACATTAATCAAACCCCGTCCAGGCATGTCCCAATTCACTCTCGACAGCACATACTTGAACGACTCTAAGAAGATTATTAGTGAGAGAATCATACCATGGGAAGGGCTTGCGAGATCGAGAGTCGTCACTGAAGACGATGCCAATCATATAAAGATTTTAGAGAAACAATCTAATGAAAATAGAGACAATACGGTTAAATCGCAATTGGATTTGTACTCGAAAGTATTGCTCAATGTTTTGAGTAAAGTTGATAAAGATGACGTTGTTAAAAATGTTTTGACCTTGATTAATGATTTGTTGCTTAATGTTCCTGAGTTTTTGGATGCACTTTTGAGCTTGTCATCAATAGATACAGGTTTACCATTTGACCCATTTGTCAAACACTTGGACAAGGAGCCGTTGATTAAGTCATTGGCATTGTACAACTTGGTTATCCTTGCTAAAGGGTCCCCCGATAAAGAGGTGATTATTCGTACATTTACGGCGATTACCCTGCTCATTGAAAATACTGATTCAAATTTTCAATTTATTGGCATCCAATTGCTTCAGGAATTGGTTTCAAACAGAAAATACAAGACAATATACCAAGAAAACAATCTTTTAACCAACTTCAAACCAATAAATGCATTAATCACTAAGCTGTCTACTCACCCCAATGCAACTGGTTTGCAATTGTCGTACAATGTATTGTTGGCAACCTGGATATTATCATTCAATGCTGAAATCAACAAGTCAATTATCCATAGTTTCCCACAAATTGCTGGTAGTCTTTTGTTGATTGCGAAAGATTCAATTAAATTGAAAATTGTGCGTATTTCAGTTGCCGTGTTGAAGAATTTCGTTAGTTGTTGTGTCACTCCTCAGGAGCAATTTAAAGTTGTTAAATTATTGTTGTTTCACGATGCATTAACCACAATAAAGACATTAAAGGAGAGAAAATTTGCACAAAATGGCAGTGATGAGGAATTATGTAGTGATCTTGCTTATTTATCTGATACGTTGGAAGAAACAGTCAAGACCAAGTTGACTTCATTTGACGAGTATCTTACTGCATTGGAAAATCCCAAATTGTTGAGTTGGGCATCACCAATACACAAGTCTAGTGATTTTTGGTTGGAAAATTCAGGTAAATTTAAAGATTCAAATTATAAATTAACAAGGAGAATTTTCGACATCTTGGGTGCCAATTCCAATGACACAACAATTTGTGTGGTTTTATTGAATGATTTGCAGTATTTGATCAAGAACCTTGGTCAAGATTTGATTCATTTCATCAATACTGAGAATGGTGGACTGTACAAGGTATTGATTATGTCGTTTTTGGAAAATAATCAAGGAAATAATGAGCTTAGGTATGAAGCGTTGAAGACTATCCAACTACTTGTGGGACATAATTTTTGAAAGAGAGAGAAAGAGAGAGAGAGAGAGAGAGAGAGAGAGAGAGAACGTGTTCAATAGAAGTAAAGTAATACACACTATTCCATCTAGGATTCGGTTCTGTAGAGCTTTTTTTCTGGATTTCTCTATTTTCACTCACAAAGAAAATTAAACGCGTGCTAATGGGGAATTATCAAGACATCAAAACAAAGTCACCTTTAATGAATAATGAATCTATGATATTTATAGACAACAGGATCGACACATTCAAGTATCCTGTTGCCAAAGATGGCAGGAAATACACATGGTTAGATATAATTGATTTCCCCGACACCAATGAGTTGGTTGAAGCTGGGTTCTACTATTCACCACTCAAGAAAACCACCAATCGTATCGCATGTGCTTATTGTCAGAAATCAACAACTATTGAGAACAACCTGAGCATTGAAGAGATAATATCCAACCATTCCATGCGAAGTATTAGATGTCCCATGGCTAGCCTTTTGAATGTATACTACTCATGCCGTGGCCATCTTGACGATGAAATAAAGCAGTGTTGGTCCAAATCAAAATTTCGAGAGCCATTTGGTCACGAATCAGTCAAACTTCGAGCCAACTCTTTCAAGGATTTTCCACTAGATGGTTTAGATTACCGACCGAATTCCAAATCATTGGCTGAAGCTGGTTTTCTTTATCAGCCACGCTATCATGGCGACGATCGAGTCGTTTGTGCCTATTGCCATTGTGCTCTAGATTCATGGGATCAACAAGATGACCCAATTGAGGAACATTTGAGCAACGTTTCGAGTTATTGTTACTTTTTGGATAAATATGTTGAGAGGAAACAAGGTCTGAGTAAACGTGTGGAAAAGTCACCATTTGATGAATCCATTCATTTGGATGATTATGATTGCGATATCGGAGGCGACAACAATGGAGAGACTGGAACAGACTCTACATCGAATCAACAGGATAGACTAGGAGGCAATGAAATGAACGGGGTTACAATGAATCGCCATAACCATGCTCATTTCAAAGAAGATCCAAACTTGAAGTACTGGAAAAAGTTACCCGATGAAGATCTCTTGCAAGAGTTTATTCAGGTTTCGAAGCATGGAATTGCTGAAATGGTGACAGGTGGGCCCAATTCGATAGATGCACACACTGAGGTTAGGCAAACACATAGTAATAACGAAGACTCCGTGCGGGACAAAAGTGCATTAGAAGATACTTTAAAAGGTGGTCCTATCAACAAGAATGGAAAGGTGGAGCTTCACAACAATGACTGTGACAATGATAACGACGTTGCGATGAATGATATAGATGACTTAGAGATGGATGATGATCAAAATGATAGCATCGTACAATCATCTATGGGGAGCTCTCATAAGGATGACGAAGATTTCATAGAGTCCAGCTCCAACGATGATTACGACCCAAGTTCAGCATCTTTTGAACCCACAAATGATTTGGACGACTCAGTTGTAGAGATTAGACCAAAGCAGACCAAGAAGAAAACACCTCAAATGGAAAAGATTAAGAAACTGCCCTCGTTGCAACCAGAAGAACATTTGAAACGAGCAGGTGATAGTTTATCACCTACACGTCGCAAAAAAATGATTAAACGAACCACTCCAGCGCCTGTTTTTGAAGATAGCTCTACTGATCAGGACTACAATGAGGCTCATATTGTCAAGTTGGAGAAAAACATTGTCAAATCCAATGTTTTCTTACCTGAAGAGGACAAGAGTTTTGAACAACCAGTTACGTTTACATCACCAGTGCGCATATTACCTACAAAGATACCTGAGCTGGCGAAAAAAACCGACTCCATCAAGCCTAGCATTTTTGACCTGTCGCTTGATATCACTACTGAAAATGTGGGAGATACGGAAAAGAAGTATGAGCTCGAGGGTGGGACACTAAAAGACTCAAAGGAGAATGGTGAAGGTTCTAGGGGCTCCAAGGACCCTAAAGCTAGTACATTTGTTAAATCTGAGAACGAAAAGATGGGTCATTCTCAGGACAAGTTTAACAACGCTAGCCCAGTCGAGGTGGACTCAAGAACTGTCCAAGCATCAAGCACTGCCAGCAACTCGATAGCTGGCGCCGGACCACAAGCAATTAGTGATGGGGACACAAAAATTGAAAGAGGACCAAAATCGGAGACAGCACTTGACGGAGTAGGTAGTGGGACCGATTCGAAAGATGAACCTGTTGAGAATCCACAAAATGACAGCTCTCCACAAGACCAGACTGACGACGCAAAACATACAGAAACCTCTCTTATTAACCAAAAACCGTCTCAAACCTCATTGGCACTTCCTGAATCATTACAAGAAAGTGAATCTGAGCTGGACTATTCAGAGTATTTAAATGAGATAAACGAAGTTGATAAACACTTTGAAGTTGATGATCCTGTTGAAGAGATCGACAAGGTTGAAGTAAAGCAAGCGCAAACGTTTGAATCGAGTTTACCTGATAAATCCGCTAATGGCAAGACAATAGTCAATGACGATTTTGTGAATGTGAAATTACAGAAAGAAACAGCGGATCTATCACCAAATGAGTTGCAAATTGACACAATCAAGGAAGATGTGGTACATATCAACCACGATACAAACAAGTACAATTCTAATGACACTGTTGAACATAGTGAGGCATCAAGTGGAAGCAACGAAGCAGTCCAACCCTCTACCGAGAGTCCAAACAAGCAACATGTAAACACTTTGAGCAATGTTTCTAAACTTGACTCTCACCCCTTCAATGACGCAAAATGGACTTCAATAAAGGTACCTTCAATCGACGCTACAAGAGAGGAGAAGTTGACGAACTCTTTACAAAACTCGGATAAGGCTTGTGAAGGGGATCTTGCAGAAAAGAATTATCTCACCAATGAAAAGGAACCTGACAAATTTTCAGACCTGACTGGCCCTTTGGCTATGGACTCATTTTTGAATGAAAATATCACACCTGCAGCAGAAGAAATACAATCCATAACTGAACCAGAATGGAGAGCCTCTTCTATGCAAAGATTTGTACAGCAAATAGAGAACTTGGATGATAGCTCAAAAGAGTTAAAATTGTTAGCCAACTCCGAGCATGACCTTTATAATGATCTCGATGGTGATTTGACGAGATTTATAGCAGAAATGCCTGAAGAGGAAGAGCAAATGACAATTGAGCAATGGATAGAACATTGTGCCACCAACTGCAAGGACATTGTTGCGCAATCAATGAGAGAGATGAATCAGTATATACTCGATGAGTATAATCGTGCGATAAAAACTTTGGAGACCATGGAAGAAGAGAGCTGACTCAATGAGAATTTATTCTTGTTATCTTTGAATTAGAGTGAATAGTAGTACTTATAACTCTTCCTGTGACACCAACTCAAGACTTTTCTTTGAACTCTTTTTCTCATGCACTCCACAAATGCCTGGCTAAATTTGGTTGCGCTGTGAAAATTCGTAAAATTTCGATCCACCGAGTTCTATCGATTGAACAAAAATCTTTTGTGATACAAAATTTGAATGACAACAACAACCCAAGTTTTAGATTTGTTATCGCCACGCATTTCATCTGATCCATAGAAAGAGAGATAAATTGTAGAAGAAGAGGCCTGTATCGATATTTTTTTTTTTTCCAACAAAGATGTCGTTTTGGCCGTTTAACAATTCTTCACTGAGCAACAATACGTTGCTGAAATTCTTGGATTCAATTCATGATCTCTCATCAGTGAGCGTTGATGATATTGTCAAGGATCAAACATTGGTACAAGAATTGCTTAATGAATTGCACACAGTTAAAGGAAATGTCAACAAAGGTGGCAATTTTTTGTTTGCACAGTCAAACCCCGATCCCACACATGCAGCATTATCTGATTCTGCATCATTGAATTCACAAAATAATGATAACAATAATACAGGGTCGAACAAAGAGGCGAGAGGGATCAAATTGATTGAACTATTGATACAGCCTCATATACTAACAGGCCTCATTGAAATTCTAGAGAAAAGTGTCGGCTTTTTTCATCAACAAGGATTAAAGGCGGAGGAGAATATCAAAAATGCATTAGCAGAACACACCCCAGCAACTGATTTGGAAGAAGTGGACGAAATTGACAACGCCAAAGGAGAAGAAGACAAAGATGAAGCTTTTCGAAGATCAGTCCAGGCGGCGGCTGACATTCTTTCATTTGACATTTCAATCATTTCCAGCAGAGTTATTGAGACCCCCAATCTCATGAACAAATTATGGCTGATTTTGAAATTGGAGAATTTGCAGGAAAATTGCCCAACTGTGTCCTATCTAGTGCACATATTAGATCAACTACTAGAGTTTAACAGTATCGAGCTTTTGAACTTTGTGAGACGACAAGGTGATCTTGTGGATATTTTTTTGGCCAAGATCGAAGTACCGGCAATAATGGACTACTTTTTCCGAATAATACAAACTGATAAACCAGATTCACCGACTGGTATCCTTGACACAATTGCCCAACAGGATGTTGTGTTGAAGTTGATCGATATCTTGAAACCACAACCAGTACAATTTGACGAAACGCCATACATCCCTGATCACCAGCTATACTTTCGACAGAGCTCGGCAACGGACTTTTTGAAAGCCTTGATTACCATATCATCTAATGCCGCGTTGGCAGTTGTATTAGAAACCAATATAGGACCCAACCAGCTAACGCGACAATTGGTGTCACCGGAGGTGGTAAACATCATTGTACACGAAATCATGTTGCAAAAAGTGCAAGGGAAAGATGGTAGAATCCAGACCAATAAACATGGAATCAACAATTGTGTCAGTATAGTCATTGAGCTCATCAGGAAAAACAATTCGGACTATGATTTGAATTGTGGCTCATATAGCTCGTTGCTCCAAAATGCCGATGGCGGGCCAGGTGAAGTAAACTCATATGTCATGTTCCAGTGGCTAAAAGATTTTGAGCAAAATCCACCTGGACCAAGAGATCCTATATATTTGGGCGACATGTTGGAGATTTTCTCTGACAATTTAGAAAAGTTTGAGCAACTACTTGAAATCGAGCCAATACCACCCAATGGAGTAACTTCAGACATTTTGGGATTTACACGGTTCAAAATATCCGAGCTAATAGCCGAGCTTCTTCATTGTTCAAATATGACCTTGTTGAATTCAAAGAAAATCAGGAAAATTATCAATATAAGAGATCATATTCGATTACAACAGTCAAAACGTCTAAAGAAGGCATTAGATGAAAAGATTGCGTTCGTGGAGTCTCCCAATATCCATGATGTCACCTCTGGGCTAGACGACGTGTCGTTGGATGACGTACAATTTGCCCATGATGACAAGCACGATTATTCCAATTTAATCAAGAATATAGAGTCCATCGAAGATTCTGAAGATGAGGAACCTTCAATTTCCCCAGAAAACCCCTTTGTTTGTGAAGAAAGAAATAAGGCGATCAGACTGGACCCTTGTGTGGGTGATTTTTTCAAGATCAAGCTCATTGATCTGAAAATATTGTTGAGTATTGTTAGCAAGTTCACAAAGTATGAGTGGAACAATTTTTTCCATAATGTGGTGTTTGACTTGGTGCAACAGATTTTCAATGGTAAGCTCAACTCGTACAATTCGTTTTTGATCGTTGAATTATTCAAAAAGAATCAGTGTGATTTGACCGATTTGATTGTTAGTTCTTATGAGAACGAAATTGAGCCTCGACCTGGGTATATGGGGCATTTGATTCTTATTGGGGAAGAAATCGTCAAGTTCACTTCTTTGTACAAACCTGACCTTATATCACACACAATCGTTGAGGCCATTCTGAGCGAGAAATGGAATTGGTTTGTTAACGACGTCTTGACAAAGACGAGGGAGGTTTACAACGTCGTCTTGGGTGCTGACGAAGGTGACGCTTTTGACAATTCAGATGACTATGTGGATCCAAATGAACCAAAAAAAATCATTCTTGGTGATACTTCAAATCATGATGAATTTGTACATGACAGTGGCAATGACGACGAGGACGAAGATATGGATGGTCCCAAAGTTGCTGATGTCGAGGTTGGGAAAATGACCCCGAGTGGCGACATAACTCCACATGCTGTGGATGAGGATGAAGAACTAGAGGACCCAATAGAAAACAATGACGTGGATCATTTATCAGGAAGTTCATCTGATGAAGATGAGGAGGATGACGGGAATGAGTTGCGCAGAGTGTCTAAGCATAATGAGTAATAATAGAAAAAGAAACTATTGATTTTATTTCTTTCTACTATATACCACCTTTCCATTTGCCAATTCCATCTTTTTACCTTTACTTTTCTTCTTTTTAACCTGTTCAACTTGACCTTGCACTGGAGTCTCCGAATGTGGCTTCTCGTAGATGACCTCTGTATTAATTGGTGTAAACACCTTTCCTAATGTCAAATTGTACAATCCTGCCGGTACTTTGAAAATCAAAGTGTCTTTGAAAGTGGGATTGACATTGATGTCATACTCGTCAATGAGATGTAAGCCGTCATCGTTCTCAACGTAAACGTCCCCAGAACCTTTGACAACAAAAGTGGTGTTATTTGCTTCATTGACGAGCTTTCTATCTGAACCGTCTGAAGGTGGCACAATTGATCCGCCCCAAGCCTGATTCTTTATCTGATTCTTGTACTCAGCGATTCTTTTGAAGCTCTGTCTTCGATTGATTTTTAAAGCAAAATAGTGCAAGACACTGACGAGGACGTAGATCACCACCACAGTTAAAACTAACCCAGGACGAAATTTTGAATAGTAGTATCCAGTCCCCTTCCATTTGGGGAAACCCTTGTCAAGAAAATAATCATACCTCTCCTTTCTCGAAGCATCTCTTAAAATATTGTTGACCGAGGATAGAATGGCATACTTTTCTTCTGCCTTCTTCCTTGCTGCATTGTTGTTGAACTTGTCTGGATGTAATGCTTTCGACAATTTCCTGTACGCCTTTTTAATCTCTATTGGAGTTGACTTGGAACCTTTGGTCAAATTAAACCATTGATAAAAAGTGACATCTGGACCTAATACTTGTCGAACTTTGTCATTGAGCTTGAATATTTCGTAATCTTCTGGACTCCAGGCGCAGGCGAGACCAATGATAAGGAGAACAAGAAATATGAGCTTCATTGGTGAGGCAAAGCAGCGGCAAAGTTCAGGTTTTCATGTGTAAACTTGTAACCTAGTCGCGTGTCACTTTTTTTTCTTTTTTGATTTCCTGAAAAATTCAATGCAAACATTCTTCCATCCTTGTTCCTCAAGCATACTTGGTCAATTGAGTTCCCCCAATGCCTTTACATCAACTTTCTTTCAAAGAAAGACTACTATTATTTTACAATGTTGCCACGACGACACTATGGTTTTGTTGTTTCGTTCGGTTCTTGATTCTACTACCACTAGTAGGGAGACGATTTCTCCCAGGAGGCATTGCCGATTTCTTCCACGTTGTTGCTGTGACTCCCCTTATTGGAACATTGTTGCTTTTAACCTTGGACAGTACCAAATGGAAAACTCAACTATGGTCCTTACTGAATGGCATCAAAATGACATGGATCTGTTATGGAGTTATATTCCCTCACCCAAAGATTGCCAAGCATACATCATATTCCTTGCTCATTACAGCTTGGTGTTTACAGTATATGATTCATTACAGCTATCATGCATTCAGAGTTAAGACAAGGACATCGCCGTATTTCTTATTTTGGTTGCAATATAATAACTTTTATGTTACTTACCCATTATCTGTGATAGTTGAAATGATTCAAGTGTTTTTAAGCTTATCATTTGTTGCTGACGACTCTTTCCATGAATTAGTATTGAAGGCAATGTTTGTGGTATACATTCCTGTAGCATATTTTACTTGGGGACATCTCAAGACGAGAAGAAATATCAAATACGTACTGGTACTTCAAAAGAGACAAGTGAGATCCGCCAACATTGAAATGTCAACCAATGTATTGACTTCTTCTGCATCACGAAGGGAGCTCAGTTCGTAAATAGGTTTGTAGGGAATAGAACTCCAAGTTAGGAAAAGTGCGGCTTTAGATTTTTACCACATTTTATTATTATTATTTTTTTTTTTTTTTTTTTTTTTTCACTCTTTTTTACCTCTATACATCTACTGGAGCCCATATAACCTACATTCCCCACAACCTACAATGATCACCAAGTATTTCTCAAACGTGCTGGTAAAATTCAACCCGTTCAGCACTGGTGCCAAGAGCGCGAGAATTTTTCTCTCGCGCATGCCACCTACAGCGAGGATTGACTTCAAGCTTCTTAAGAACCCATCCGACCAACAAGAAATTAAGGTTTCATTTAAAGACAAACATGTCATGACTGCTGACCCTAGTGCTATGACTGTCGCTGATTTAGGTGACTATTTTGACTCGCATTCAAGAAAGTTGGCTATAAAAGATTCCATCCAGGAATAAGACTAGACTACTGATTGGGGAACTAAGGTTGTCTATAAAGCTAAGACTCTACACACCATACCGTATAGACATGTAAATAGGTTAATAAAAATTTTGAAACCATTCAGGGACGAGTCTATTGAAAATTCGCAACTCTTCTTCACCAGTGACAGATTTCATGCTCAAATGAGAATCCATTAGCTCAATTTCCCTCTCAAAGGAAAGTTTGAATACACGTGGTTGGTTATCATTAAACAGTTTTTGACATAACCAACCTATGACAAGGTTGTACCACTGGAAAATGTGTTTAGTTTTTATAAAACACAGATTTGATAAGAATATAGGCAATTTGTCTAACAACCCCACTAACTCATACTGAGTATACTTTTTAATAGACAGAAGTCTGAAGTCAGTTGTTCTAAAGCCAATGGCTGAGTAGTTACATGAAATGAACTTGTTCTGACAATACAATGCCATCAATTTTCTTTGAAGTTTGTTTGCTGTCTTGAGTTTGTCATCTGGAAGACTGGAATGTGTTTTCAACTCTACGTAGTTGGATAGTCCTGGCATTTTGGAAATTGCGCAGTCAATTTCAGCTGAATAAGTGATCATATTCTTGCCAGCAAAGTGTTGCGTTACTGAATGAAACAGAGATTTTGGTTCATCTGCTGCATGGTCGGTGACTACTTCCTCAAACTTGAAACCGTTATATTGGTATAATTTTAGATAATCGTCAGGAATCAACTTTAATTCTTCATCCCAATCATAGGCAAATATAATCAATCCCCGCCAATAAATTACATTGAAACTGACTGGTTGTTTATTCAATGGAATGCACATTAGCTTCATTAAATGCCGCCTCATAGTAAGAAACTTGAGGCTATCTCGTGATAGCTCACCGCTTTGTATCAAATATTGCAACGACCTGAATAAGTCCTCTAGCAGGTACACGTCGTTCAAATTTGGTTGTTCAAATTTGTCGAACCCTTCTGTTAGGCAAGTACCTATTATCACGGGTCCTTTATCACTAACTCTCTTCTTCTTTGTTTTGCCCTTTGAACCAAACGGTATCTTGACTTCATGGAGGCCGCTGATGTCTCCAAACTTCAACGTAGACTCGTCTTTGGTGTAATAACATAGCTCCTCAGGATCGCAGTTGTATGGGACATTCAAAAATTCATTCAACACCTCATCCTCAACAATTTCTGACCCATTGACTATATTCTCAAATAATGAGAGCCTAAGTTTATCAAGCATCTCATTGCCCCTAGTTCCCCTCGACCGGTCGCGAAAATAAAAAAAAAGTTCTGTTTATTCATTAGTACTTCACCAAAACCCCAGAAATCCGTTTCAACCGTGGCGTGAACAATGCTTGGGTCAAACAAGTCATTCTTATACAAATACCAGTCCAGAATACTGCTCAAGGGTATTTGTCTTTGCAAGCGTTTCAATTCTAAATACAGACCCCCGATAAGCTCGTTTTCATACATTCATGATGATGCTTTATCTGACATTAGCAAGGAAGAGATTGCGAAACACATGCAAAACCTAGGCCCATTCCCAAACTATTCAAATATACTCAATCCTCAACATTTCTATCAAAATACTGTTTTACTAGATTACCTGAAAAAACATCCACATCCAGTGTCGTTGCGACAATTAGCTGGCTATGGCAATACATTGACAAAACAAAAAATTATCAACAGTGCCAACTTTGTTCGCGTTGAGCTCCCTATAAGGTTAGCAATGAGGATTCGTGATCTACAGGTGTTGCCTTTTGGGGTGGTGAACAATTTTCATTTGGCACAAATTTATGAAAGTTATTATCATCTGTTTAATGCATTTCGCAAGATTGGCAAGATCAATACAGTCGAAGATAATGAGAAATTTTGCGCAACTTTGTCAGCATTGTTGGATGATCATACATTCAACTTGTCCCATTTAATGATGGGGGCTTTGGAGGTGTCAATTGCTGAAAGTCTCCCACAAGAGCAATTAGATTCGTTTATGAGCAGTATGTTAAGATCAAGAATCAGTAGAAGGCTCATTGTTGAGGAGCACTTGTCCTTGAGTGAAAATTATCGCAAGAAGCCGTATGATAAAAAGCCGCCGCATTACCTCGGTGAGATTTTTCAAAACTGTAAAGCTGTTGATCATTTCAATAATGTGGCAGAAATGGTTAAGGAATCGTTGTGCCATCAGTATTCCCAAGCTAAATTACTACCCAGATTGCAGATAGAGGGTGATCTTGATTGCCAACTCCAATTCATGGTGCCCCATTTGCACTATATGTTGCACGAAATTCTTCGCAATTCTTTTGAGGCGACATTGAACTCCTCAAAGGGGGAAAATTTACCCCCAGTTAAAGTGACTATAATCGACCTGAAACAAGATGTCATCTTTAGAATATCGGATCAAGGAGGAGGACTTCATCACGATAAATTAAAACTGATTTGGTCTTTTGGTAAATCCCCTGAATTGGCAAGAAAAAGTTTAGCTAATTTTCACCGCATACCCGGTCTACAATTGTATTCAAACTTACAGGTCACTGAAGCGGGCTCATCCATTGTGACACCAAAAGCAGCTGGAACGAAAGGCGATGCCGCAGAGTGGACTTTAGGAAACAAAAGATCCACTTTGGAAGATCTTATGGCGAGACCTCATGAATACAAGTTGGGTATGGGATTGCCAATGTGTTCTGTATACGCTGATTATTGGAATGGGTCTTTACAAATGAACTCGTTGGAAGGATATGGTTGTGACACTTCGCTAACTTTGAAAAAATTGGGATACCACAGCAATGTCATACAACTTGATAGGGCATAAGACTGGAGGTGATGTAATGTTTGTAGTTTTGTGTGGAAATGTGAAACAGTGGTTGATTTTACGATTCGTCCTTCTTTGCAAAAATTGGTAGTTCGGAGTTTGTAAAACAAGGCTCGTTGACTCCGATATCAAAGCCCCTTGAAGTAGCAGAATCTTCTCTCTAATTTTTTCCTAATTAGGGTGTACTCAAAGAGTGCGCGTCGCCAAATGTGAGCTCGTTATAATTTCTTCTTCCTCCCCACATACACAAAAACTAAAATTTTAGTCTTTTGTTGAGTAAGTGGTGAAACAGAGCAGGATAATAAAGAGAGAGGCATTTTAGTTAAATCACTCGGATAAGATGAAAATTTCCTTAATTGCGTAGATGCAGCTTATAATAATTTCTCTTTTGTGTACAGAATGCCAGGAAAGAGTAATAATTAATTGACTTGGACTTTCTGGAGTTGGTCTGCCTTCCTGATTGGATACCTTTTCCAAAATCCGAGTTATATTTTTTTGGGAAACGGACTTTGCCAATTGAGCATAACCAGCTCAGGCAATGCGGAACAAATTACCAGCTCTAACAATAGTTGAGTCTCTTTACCGAGAAGTACGCACTTTTATTGGACCATTCGCGGAGTATTACACAATTCTCCCTCATTTGCGCTAATTTAACACAACCTACAGAATTACGTGATTATTGCAACTTTAAATCTCACAAAGTAAAAAGGGGTTGAGAGGGGAAACCACCTCAAGAGGGGGAAGGTATAAATATAGAGAGAATGAACCTGTTACGTCAATTGTATTTCATGATAGCGTCAATATCAATCTTAACTACACTTTACAAATCATAAACATCAATCGAAAATGACAAAACCAAAAATTTTATTAGTTCTTTACGCTGGTGGTAAGCATGCTGAAGAGGAGAAAAAGTTGTTGGGTACCATTGAGAATGAATTGGGTATTCGCAAGTTTGTTGAAGAGAATGGATATGATTTAGTCTCCACCACTGATAAGGATAGAGAAGGTTCGGAATTTGATAAGAATTTGGAAGATGCTGAAGTTGTTATTACTACTCCCTTCTACCCAGCTTACTTGACCAAGGAAAGAATTGCCAAGGCACCGAAATTGAAAATTGCCATTACTGCTGGTGTTGGTTCTGACCATGTCGATTTGAACGCCGCCAATGAAAAGAAGATTTCAGTATTGGAAGTTACAGGCTCAAATGTACAATCAGTTGCTGAACATGTTGTCATGTCAATGCTCATTTTGATTAGAAACTACAACATTGGTCACTTGCAAGCTACATCTGGTGGTTGGGATGTCGCTGCGGTTGCCAAGCAAGCATACGACTTGGAAGGTAAAGTTGTTGCCACTGTTGGTGCTGGTAGAATTGGTTATCGTGTGTTGGAAAGATTGGTGCCATTCAATGTCAAGAAGTTGTTGTATTACGACTACCAACCATTGCCAGTCGAGGCTGAAGAGAAATTAAACAAGGCTTCCCAATTATACAATGGTGTGGATGTCATTGTTGAAAGGGTTGAAAGTTTGGAGGACATGGTATCCCAATCTGATATTGTCACTGTTAATTGTCCATTGCACGAACAAACAAGAGGATTATTTGACAAGTCTTTGATTTCAAAGATGAAGAAGGGATCCTATCTTGTCAACACAGCCAGAGGTGCAATTTGTGATGCCGATGCTGTTGTAGAAGCTTTGGAGTCAGGCCATATTGCAGGTTACGCAGGTGATGTTTGGAACGTTCAGCCAGCCCCAAAGGATCATCCTTGGAGAAAGATGCACAACCCATATGGTCCAGAGTATGGTAACGGTATGACTCTCCATGTTTCCGGTACTTCATTGGATGCTCAAGCTAGATACGCTGCTGGAGTGAAACAGATTTTGACTGAGTATTTCAACAAGAGTTACAATTACAGACCACAAGATATTATCTGTATTGATGGTGATTATGCCACTAAAGCCTATGGACAACGCGACAAAAAGTAGATATTAGGCAGTCTATATGTAGTTTTGGAATGGATTACGAATGCAAGTTACCTTGTAAAGGAGAGTTTCGTTGTAACGTCTCTAATAGGTGTCTATGACTCAATGGACACCGACAAGATCCTCATACAATGTTCTACTCTAATTTTGTAACTTGGGATAGCATTATGACATTTGGACAGCGGACTTTGCTTAAGCTTAGACAGATACGTCGATGCTAACAAGAGCCGAGCGAGAGTAAAGCCATATTGCATGAGCTCACATAGAATCTGGCATCGTTTTTCTACTATGATTTGAGAGGGGGAGGACCGTCTGTGTATTACACTTACATAACCATAAGATTGTCTTCATGTGCAAACCACTTTAGATACCTATGCCACTAGAAGGAAACACACGATGACGGCGTCAGAAGCAGTTGTAGCAAAACTCTGTCGCAATTCACATGTTATAGTTATCACACAAAGCTAAATCGCGCAAAACATTTGCGCTTGTTTGTATCACAAGGACTCAATTTAGGGTTAATCTGTATTCAGTCCCTGAAACAAAACACACCCTCCGGATATCCGTCTTTTACATTTATCAACGTATTTCATGGTGAAAGCTTTAGGAAAAGTATATTTTAAACACATAAAGAGGTATAGAACCGAATAAGCAAAGCAGAATGGAGTTATTCAATCAATATACGGATATAAACTGGTTCTGTAAAATCATACACCTACTTACTTTTCAGCGTTGTTAGCATCACGTTGACCGTAAGCTTTGGTAGCATAGTGACCATCAATACAAATGACATCTTGTGGTCTGTATTTGTAAGTCTTGTCAAAGTATTGGGTCAAGATTTGTTTAACACCAGCAGCGTATCTAGCTTGAGCATCCAATGAAGTACCTGAAACATGGATGGTCATGGCATTACCATACTGTGGACCATATGGGTTGTGCATCTTTCTCCATGGGTGGTCTTTTGGAGCTGGTTGGACGTTCCAGACATCACCACCATAACCACCAAGGTGACCTGATTCCAAAGCTTCAACAACGGCGTCAGTTTCACAGATTGCACCTCTAGCTGTATCAACCAAGTAAGCACCTTTTTTCATCTTTGAAATCAATTCCTTGTTGAACAAACCTTTGGTCTTTTCGTGCAATGGGCAGTTGATTGTCACGATGTCAGCCTCGGCAACCAAAGCTTCCAAGCTATCCACTTGCTCAACAATGGTGTCAACATCGTTGTACAATTTGGATGCCTTGTTTAATTTCTCTTCAGCTTCAGCTGGCAATGGTTGGTAGTCGTAATACAACAACTTCTTGACATTGAATGGCACCAATCTCTCCAAGATACGGTAACCAATTCTACCAGCACCAACAGTGGCAACAACTTTACCTTCCAAATCATACTCTTGTTTGGCAACTGCAGCAACATCCCAACCACCAGATGTAGCTTGCAAGTGACCAATGTTGTAGTTTCTAATCAAAACAAGCATGGTCATGACGGCGTGCTCAGCAACTGATTGAACGTTGGATCCAGTGACTTCCAAAACGGCAATGTCTCTCTCATTGGCGGCGTTCAAATCGACATGGTCAGAACCAACACCAGCAGTAATGGCAATTTTCAATTTCGGTGCCTTGGCAATTCTTTCCTTGGTCAAGTAAGCTGGATAGAAGGGAGTAGTAATAACAACTTCAGCATCTTCCAAGTTGGAGTCAAAAGCAGAACCTTCTCTGTCTTTGTCAGTAGTTGCAACTAAGTCGTAACCATGATCTTCAATGAATTGACGAATACCCAATTCGTTTTCAATTGCGCCCAATAATTTCTTTTCTTCTTGAGCGTGTTTACCACCAGCATAAAGAACTAATAAGACCTTTGGTTTACCCATTTTTCGATTGTTTGTAAAGTTTGTGTTTGTTGTGTTGATGAATGATTGAAGTAGTAAAATCGAACACATTCGTCTGCAAATTCAAGGGGATTTGGCTCCATATTTATAATCAAACTAATTGTTAGGAAACCCCTCAAATCTCCTTTTCTTGTAAGGCATAATTGTATTTCATTATACCGAATTTCGAATTCGCTCGAAGTAATTGTAATAATTCTATGCACCCGGTGTAAATTGCAACCATTAATTATGCAGCAATAATCAAATTTGTTCATTTACACACGTCCGATATTGTAAATGCACCCGGGTTTTCAATACCTAGAGCAATAGTGGTCATAGACTGCAATGACTTATGTGCATGGCCCGCCCCATTCTGCGTATGATCGTTGATCAATTTCTCGTACTTTTGTTCTGGGAGTTGAATCGTCCTTGACTATATGTGATGATTGCTCTTCTAGTGCATACGTCGCGCGGTTTTTCTATTTCTCATTTTTCTGTTTCCATCGGCTTCCTTCTTATTTAAAGCGCGGGGAGGAAAGAGATAAAAATCTGCTGTGCGATATGATGAATTATCGCGGGAGAGGAGATACTACACAAAAAAGTAAGTAATGGATCTCTCGCAAATAGTTTGCGAAAGAAGAAGGATAACACGTGGAGATTTAAGATCCTCAGTATATCAGCAGTGAATATTTAGCCCCTTTTTTTGCTTTGTTTTGTCGATTTCCGGTTTCCATTTTAATCAATGATGTCAACCGCCCATGTAATGAAGGTTAAAAGGTGTTGGTTATAAGGTAGCTTGCTTACATCTCAGGCAAGATGGATCTCAGCTCAACTGATCCTGGCATACTTTATTTGTGTCTCTGTCTTTGCCAGAACAGGTCATTAACTGATATGGTCATTTGAGTCGACTGTACCCGCAAAATGAAATATGTATACTAATCAACACGATGACTGTTTTGAGACACTACAATGCATCATCATGGAGTTGCCCTCTTTATAACATCCTCGCAACTTGAAATGAGACTAAGGTTTAATTCATGGTTGCAATTTCACGAAATTGAAATTTGCGACACAAAAAGTATCAAACATTTGATTTTGTATCACATTTCAGATCAACCAGCCATCTTTTTTCATTTCTGGCATTGATCTGGAATCAAGAATTGTGATGTGAAAAAACCAAGTGTAACCACATCTTCTTGATTGTACAGTTGTATAACATCACTACTCAGTTGAGCTTTTTCTATGAAATGATGAACGTCACAAGCAATGGCTATTACACAACCCAATATCTAAACCAACAACAAAGACAACAAAGACAACGTTTTCAATACGCTCACAAGGATAATTACCAAACTCCACGAACACCTCATGAGAACCTACAAGGTTTTGAAACGGATGATAGGGCACCAATTATGCGAAACGTCCGTCCTAAACGTGACCCGCCTACCAGCCTGCACTCAAATGACTCACCTAAAGCAAGTAGTGCTAATCCATCCAAGCCAATAATTGAAGCTGAAGTGGCTCCAGAGGATCAACTTGGATCAGAGCCCACTCCAGCGGAATTGAAAAAGATTCATGATAACAACATATTAGTTACGCCTATTGAGCGTACAAAGTTGTTGCAAGAAAATCAGAAAAGAAAGCTCCCCTCACGAGAGAATAAAAACAATGACTACTACTTGAAGCAAAAACAACGTTATGACGAAGCAGAGGAGGTTAAGCCCAAACTTTATACTCATAAAACTTTCCGTGAAGTATTCATTAATAAGGAAGAGCCACAACACAAGTATAATCCTATAGATACAGTATTTGAACAAAGTGATGATGTTGCTGGAACAAAAGGCACCAATGCCAAACTTGCAACATTTTTAAAGAGTATCAAAGTTGTAAAATCCGACTACAATGATTACAATTATTACGATCATCGAAGGAGGAAAAGCGGAAGAGATGTCTTTGTGAATGAGGTGAGCGACGATGATGATGACGATGACGATGCAGAAGAGGCAGCGAGCCTACAAGAAGCTAGCCAAGTTGGTGATCGTGGGAGCACACCGAAAAGGAGGAGTAAGAAGAAGAAAACATTAAAAACCATATGGAAAAACAAGGTCAATCGAGCTAAGAAAGAATTGGGAAGAGATTTTGATTCGCATATTAGTGGGAACAGAGAGCAAGATGTCTTGGCTGAGATATCATCATCATCAAGTGAGAATATTCCCGAGTCTAATCAGAAAGGAAATGATACAGTAGCTAAAACTGGAAACGAGTTTGCAATTACTTCGATGGTCTCACTGAGTTTTAGTTATTTATGGTCATGGTATGATTTTTATCACAACAAAAGTCCAAGTGATCAGTCAGTACCAGGACAGAGTCGAGATAAGGCAATGGTTCCTGCAACAACTTTGTTTTCTACACATATCAATGACAATGTCGGGACACAGTCGCCTCATAAACTGAAAGGTCAAAAACGGGCCAGGTTTGCCAATGGTTCAAGACAATTATTCACAAATTGGAACCAACCAGCCAAGCACATGTTTCAAAGTGACACTACCGCAAGAAGAAATACTCATCGAGTAATCTACCCGAAAAAGAGCGATACATCCTCCTTGATCTCTTCCTCACCCAGTGAATTCATTGTTGAATACGATTCAAGTGATGAAGATTCAATAACACAAGAGCTATATTATAACCCACAAACAAAACAGCTCGAGGCTCAACCACCAACTTCATTCCAATCCATGATAACAACGAGCAAAAGCAGTAGCAGCAACAGCAGTACCAGTGACTTCACAAATGACTCCATATCTCCATTAAACACAGTCAGCAACTTGCTCGATTTGATCAAACAAATACACATTATGCAATTGATTTATACACCAATTGACTTTATTGGTGGATACTTCCCACAGTTGCAAACATTGATTATCGTTTTGGAGTTGATATTGTTTGTTTGGATCTTGTATGAAGTGAGTCGATTGGTTGATGCTTTGTGTATGATGGTGAGAGCTTTTTGCTCGCCTATGATTGCCGTTGGTAGGTTTATGAATAAAATCATGTAAGGATGATGTAAGTCGAAGAAAAGCCTGTCAAGATTTTGAATTGTTGTATGGTGTGGTTATCCGATGGTGTTCTGTTTTTCAGCGGTTTGCAACATAAATTAGGGAAAAGTAGAAAAATGCAGTTTAGTCTAAAAACATCCTTATACAGTAGTCATTTTTTTACAACTACAAAAATCCATATTTGGTAATTGAATACCAATGATATATCACGATAATAAAATATAAGATTAAAACAAATAAAAAAATAAAACATATAAAGTATGGCAGTGTATTAATTCAAATTGTTAAAAGGAAAACGGTCTGGAAAATAACTCACTAATTATGTCTCTATCATTGTGAAATCAATAAGTCACATATTTCAAAACCACAACGCATCAGCAAACAGAAACAGTAACAACAAACTCACTGAATTGCAAAAGTTTACTCACTTCTTGGCATTGATCTTCACACCTTTGATTGTAATACCAGTCTGCTCAACTGGGAATTTTCTAGGCCTGCCTCGCTTATCTTTCGTCTTCAACAATTGCTGGAGGTCCACATCCCCAAGATTTGCTAACCCGGTTGTTACAAGAGCGTTTCGTTGCTGGATCTCCTGTTCTTGTTGCTTTTGTTGTTGCTTTTGTTGCAGTTTTTGTTGTTGCTTCAGCTTTCGTTGCTGTTTCTGCTGTTCTCGTTGCTGCTGCTGCTGCTGTTGTTGTTGTTGTTGTTGCTGCTGCTGAAGTTCCCGTTGTTGTAGAGCGTGTTGCTGTTGTTGTAGTTGCTGTTGATGTTGATGTTGGTGAATTGACGAGTTGTCACTGTAATTCGACATGTATTGAGGTTGCGTTTGTGTGTGGGAAACTCCATTGCTGTTCCCGGTTGGGGCTGGCGCAGATCCAGCGGCAGCGGCGGCAGCATTATTTTCTCTCAAGATTTTATTCAACTGTTTAAAATTAGGATGTGTAGAATCAATCATTGTGTTGGTTGAAGGGTCAAGAATAAATTTCTTTGGACGCCCTCTTTTCTTTTTGCCATCAGCGCTAGCAGCATCACCTTTTACAACAGGTGAACCACCTTGTTGAATCCGAAGGGCTTCCTTTTCCAAAAGCAATCGTCTCTTCTCTTCCATTTCCTTTTTAGTAGCTCTAGGCTTTCTGGGTTTCTTCACTTTTTGATCGCCAGTGACACCAGTTGCTGAGACAGCTGCTGCTGCTACACCAGTGGTGTTGTTTGAAGAAAGGGAAGTTTGGTGTGCGTGTGAGGAAGCCACATTAGGAGACCCACGCAGTTGTTGTTGTTGGAGCTGAGGCAGACGCTGCAGTTGCTGGAATTGCAGTTGTTGTTGTTGTTGTTGTTGGTAGTTTGGTGGGGATTGTTGCAGATTTTGTTGTCTTTTCAGTTGGTGCTGTTGATTTTGCTGTTGTTGATAATATTGTGCTTGTTGGTGAAATTGTTGTTGCTGTTGTTGTGGACTAAACTTTTGCAACTGTTTAGGATCCAATTGTTGAGGATGATCGTTTTGTAACTGAGTGTTAAATATTTGTGGCGTGACTGCATGAGAGGATGAGTTATAGTAAAGATGATTAGGGTTCTGTTGGTGTTGTTGTTGTTGTTGTTGTTGTTGTTGTTGTTGGGAGATCTGGTATTGGCTTGGATGTGTCCCCAACCCACTCATAGATTGAATACCATAGTTTGACCTTGATGAGATTTGCATACTGTTGTGGCTCAATGAAGGTACGCCTCGTGAATTGGTTGATGAGTTGGTAGATGAAGAAGTACCACTAACGTTTCTATTGAAATAAGATGCAGGATTGGTTGTATTTGCAATAAAAGGTTGTTGTCTTGTACTGGGAGGAGAGTTTAAATGTCCTTGAGGTGGTTGTTGAAGTTGTTGAAGTTGTTGTTGTGTTGATGATGAAGATGAAGATGATGGTGACTGCTGTTTACCTGGTTGTGCTCCCTTGGTTGTTGATGAAGCAGAAGTAGAAGGATTGGTGGTGAAGTTGGTGGAGTATCCCAGATATGGATACATATTGTTAAACATGCCCTTTTTAGGTTAACTAAAGTGGTTGTGGTTCCCTGTGGTGTGAATATTTGAATATACAAATTATAAGCTCCAATTACCAATCTATGCAATTTTGTTTGCAATGATACCCTACTATGTTATTAGGAATGGGGGGTTGTTAATGGATGGATGATATATTCTCTTTTATTCCTCTTTTTGTTTATACTTCTTCCAAAGAACAAGCAACAAAAACAATCAATAGACACACAGACAAACAACAAACAAAACCAAAACAATGTAAAGTTGTAATTTTAATTTTTAATTTCTTTCTTTTTTTTTTTTTCTCCCACTAGAAGTGTTAAATTAGAATCCAATGAAACAAAAGAAATGACTAGTAGATACAATGGGTAATCAAATAGTGAAATTCGGTCCTAACTCGATTGATTGGTTTTTTATTGGGTAGATTGATTGATTGGGTAGATTATGTTAATCTAGCTATGTATGAGGAGAAAGAATAGGAAGAGGGAAAAAAAAAAAAAAAAAAAAGTGACTTAAATTTTTTTTTTTTTAATTTTTTTTTTTTTTTAATTTTTAATTTTTATATTTTTATTTTTTTACTTCAATGTCGCGTTTGTAGACTGTCATAAAGAAGCAAGATACGACACCAACTTACACCCTATCCCAACCCCTCAAAGTGTACTACTCATCAATGTTTTTTATTGTTTATACATTATCGTTTTAAACAAAATTATCTTCACTTTAGCTTGATACTCTTAACAAATTAGCAGGAATATCATACAATTCAGCTTCATCAAGCAATGCCTTTTCGAAATACTTTATAAACTCCTTTGAATCTGACAATTTCTCATCAAATTTAACTTTAAAACTCACATTGGCTCTTGGTTTTCCCACTTCAACAACTGGAGTAGTGGCATTAGGTAACCCAATCAAATCGTCAAAATCAGTCCTTGGTTGTTGAGATAATCTATTGACAGCTGGTTTTTTAGCTGTGGCACCACCATAAAAATTGTACTTGATATCAAAAACTTCAAATCTCTTTTGCGTAACTGGCGCAGTAATCAACTCTTCGAATACATCATATTGATCAAAAACTGAAGTTGGTGAGGGCGAAGTGGCATATTGTGGGAACTTATGAGCATATGTATCATGAATTGCTGAAGTAATTGCAGTTTCAAAAACTTGTTTGAAATCGTGTTTACCAATATGTTCAGCTAATGGAGCAGAAAATTCGATTGAAAGAATATTTGTTGGTTTTGGTTTAGCATCAGCAGCTTCTCCCAGTTTTGATTTTCCTTGTTGTTGTTGTTGTTGCTGTCTAGACGCATCTTCTTCTGGTTTTGCCACCACTATATTAGACAAATCCAAATGTTCTCTTGATTTGATATATTTGGCAAGATCAACTACTGCTTCAATTGGTATAGTTCCAAGGTATGCCAATACATCTCCCTTCAATATCCTTCCATTGGGTCCTGTAGCTTGGATTTTGGCTATGGCATCATCACGAGAAATATTATTTTCATTCAAGAGTAATTCAACAGCTGGTGAAAACTTTTGTGATGGATTGGCTTTTTGAAGTATTTCTAAATCAGATGCTGTTGATGATGATGGTGATTTTTTGGACTCACTGGTTGATTTGGTATCTTTTGATTTTGACAGTTCAGTTGCTGATTTCGCCTTTGATTCTTGCTTATTCTTGCTGTTTTCTTGTGTTTCATCCTTTTTTTGCTCCTTTGGTTGTTCCTCTTCTTCAACTTTGGGTTTCTCCAATGTACTCAAATCATCGTCAACATCAGCGATATAAGCAATTGGTTTCCCTACTGAAATACCACTAGCACCATCGTTTTCCAATATTTCCCATAATTTTCCATCATCGGCTGCTTCAACATCAATGTTTGCTTTATCAGTTTCCACCTCCAACAATACATCCCCCGCATTATAGCTGTCACCGGGTTTAACCTTCCATGACACAATTCCTCCTTCAGTCATGGTAGGTGACATTGCCGGCATCTTAAACACTGATGCGGCATATTTGAAACTGGATTGGTGGAATAATCGAACGTAAGAGGGTACTTTTGCTTTAGCAAATGTGACTCTAAGCATATTTTAAAAGTTGAAATGAATAGATAATTATTTATAGTATGTGTGGTGCAGTTTGATCGTATGACAAATCTGTCCTTCAATTGAGATGTGTATCAATCTAACCCTAAAGTGATGGAGATTAATAACCGAAGTTTTCTTTTTTTTTCTTCTCTTTGACAAATGGTAAAGAGAAGTCCGGTGAATTATTTGAATGTCACAAAATTCAAAGTGTGAAAAAGCAATGTCGCAAAATAAGAACTGCAAGAAACAAAAAATGGCACGTCACATCATGTGATCATCATGTGACTTACCTCGGAAGAAATAGGAAACAAAAGTTTTTAGCGATGGATAAAGAGTTGTCTCTTCTTTTTTACCCCAATTTTTTTAAAGTAGATTGGATGGAAAAGGATTTACCCAAGAACTTTAAGCATTTTGATCTTGCTTGTACATGTATATACATATAGTTCATCACTTTCGCTTTATTCTAAACCACAAGATTGATCCAATCACTATCTATTTGTCAAACGAAACTTCCGCAACTGTCCTCATAACACGTCTTCACAATAAACAAGGCTGAGAAATATTGTTCCGTTCCGATCTTTTTGAGTACACATAAATCCAAATCCATTTTTGATAACCGCAGATTTTCACACACTACTCGCAACTACGTCTCGCATCGAGGCATAGAACAAATTACCTTTCAGCTCTACAACTTCATTCACCAAAAGGGTTCACACGGAACACCACAGTTATTCTACCCACAGAATACAAAACACGCAAACAAAAAAAAAAAAAAAAAAAAGGTTACAACAGAAACAAAGACACAACCAGAAAAAAAAAAAATTTAAACAAACTTTTTACAACTCGTGACATTTACTCCTGCGTAACCACTAGTACTTGTCTTCACTGTCAAAAGCACCTTCAAGGATACACTACCAACTTACTACAAGCTTCGAATTGTCAAGCATCACTAGCATCATCTCAACTTAACTTTGCAACCAGTAACTAGTATACAGACATCCTTTCTTTTTTTTTCTCCAAAAATGTCATTCACAAGCATAACAAGAACAATCAACCTACGAAATATCATCGCAACCATCAAAAAATATTCAAGATTCATAGGCCCTGGTCTTATGGTTAGTGTTGCTTTCCTAGATCCAGGTAACTATTCAACAGCAGTATCAGCAGGAAATGCATACAAGTATAGCCTTTTATTTTCCATATTATTATCAAATTGTCTTGCCATATTCCTACAAACACTAGCGGCCAAACTTGGAGCTGTCACGGGATTGGATCTAGCAGCTAATTGCAAAGCCCATTTTCTGTTTAGGACGAACCTCGTACTATACATTATGACTGAAATCGCCATTATAGCAACTGATTTGGCTGAGGTTGTAGGTACAGCAATTGCATTAAATATCTTGTTCAAAATACCATTGTTTTTGGGGGTCATTGTTACCGTTGTTGATGTTTTGATTGTTTTGGCTGCATATAGACCTAAGGGTCCACTCTTATTCATTCGGATATTTGAATCCTTTGTGTCAATCTTGGTTGCTGCCACTGTTGTTTGCTTTGGAATCCAATTGTATCAGGTAAGTCATGATAAATCGATAAATTTTTCCACTATTGAAGTACTACGAGGTTTTCTCCCCAATGAAAACGTTGTTGATATGTCTGAAAGAGAAGGTGGGAATGGATTATTCTTGAGTTTGGCCATATTGGGTGCCACTGTAATGCCACATTCCTTGTACCTTGGGTCTGGATTAGTACAGTCGAGATTGAAAGATTACGATATCAAGAATGGATTTTATAAGCCATTGCCCAAGGGAAAACCCCGGTCTTCATTGTCAGCTGTAACTACAAGTGATGAAATCACTATCAATTCAGGAGAACATGAACCACCAAATGTCGAAGAATTGACATTTTCTATACCACACCACCCAGGGGAATTGAATACACCCCTTCCTCATTTCGAAAAAGATTCTGATACAACAACTCTTGATGACGAAGATGAAGACGACGATTATAGACCATCAATTCATGCAATAAAGGACACGATGTCATACACAATTATTGAATTGGTGATCTCACTCTTCACTGTGGCTTTGTTTGTGAACTCAGCCATTTTAATAGTTGCAGGCGCCACACTCAGTAGCTCAAAAGTTAGCTCGCGTGATGATCATGACGATGGAGATGATTCTGATTATGATTCCGATCACGATGACAATTACGAAAATGCCGACTTGTTTACCATTTATCATTTACTTTCAAAGCACTTGTCTCCCACGGCTGGATTTGTATTTGCTTTAGCATTGTTATGTTCTGGTCAAAGTGCAGGTGTGGTGTGCACATTGGCAGGACAGATGGTTTCTGAGGGGTTCTTGTCATGGAGCTTACCACCAATCGCTAGAAGATTAATTACACGTGGAATGGCAATTGCACCATGTTTATTTGTTGTCACTTTTGCTGGAAGAGAGGGACTAGCAAAGACATTGAATGCCAGTCAAGTTGTACTATCTTTGCTTTTGCCTATTGTTAGTGCTCCTCTAATCTGGTTTACATGCAATAAACATACCATGAAGGTGCCTGTTTACGTGCGTGATGGTGACGAAGATATTGATATCGCAACCAATTTGTTTGATAACGAAGTGGGCAATGTTGCGCCAGTCAATACTCAGATCAATTCCATCAAGAGGTTTACGAGCTCGGAGCCGGCAATTAGACTTCAAGATTTGCGCAAGTCGCATCCATGTGCTGGTTGGGAAGATGATGACGAAGAGGAAGAGAATGGAAACCATCATAATCCATTGACGAGCAACTATAATGAAGAAAGCAGGCGATTGATTGGTGATGACTCCAACACCAATACTGAAGCAGAACCCCATGCCCAGTCTCATAGTACAATCAAGCCAAGGTCGAATTCATCAGTCCTGCTATCAAATCAAACAGTTCCTGATGCAAGCGTTGGCTCATCGTCATCGTCATTATCTCCGTCTCCTAACATGTTAACCACAGACACTGAAGATGACTTTTTGGACGAAGAGAATTATCGTATTAAAGGTTATAAAGATTTCAGTAATTCTACGTTAACGTCAGTGTTTGCGGTTTTGATTTGGAGTTTTATTACGTTGTTGAATTTGTATTTGGTGGTGAATATGGTGATAGAAGCATGAATAAAATATCTGCATAGAAAATACAAAAACAAGTTGAGCCATGAAGGCGTACAAATTTTTTGTAAAGCATCTATATCCTCTCTATAAGGAGTATCTAAAACCCTCATTTTCAAAATCAGTCATTCCCATGAACCCATTCAATATTGCCTGCTCTTTCTGTTCTTCGGTTTGACCATTTTGCAACTTATTTTTTACTCTATTTCTCCTCATCAACACCAACCTAATGCCTATGGCTAACACCATAATGCCACAATAACAAGCTATCAAACCAATAACTCCACTGTTGTACTTTGGTGCTTGATTGGTGTAAAAAATATTGGCACCGATAATATTACCAGCAGCATACAACAAAAACCAAATGCCATTTGCGATTGTTCGTTTAGAGCTTCCCGAAACGTTGGCATTGAGTAATATCCAACACATAATCACCGGCCCACCGATGATAAATTGAAGAAATGCACATCCAACTAACGACCACCTGTGGTCGAGTGAAATGGTGTGTATTCCAATAAGACCAACTAAAGGAGCAATACAAAAACCAAACAACACGTAGCAACGAGTATTTTTGATGGTAAATGTAATGATACCACCCACAACAACAAACACCACCTCGATAGCACCTAGAGGTAATTGTAATGCGGTTGCCTGAATCCCAGTAAACCCGAACCCCTTGATCAAAGCGGAAATAAAATTTGAAGCACCACCATTGATTACCCCGCAAGCTAGGCCAACGGCAGCAATCATCAACACTGACGCATCCCTTAATGCTTCAACAACTTGGTAATTTTGAAATTTTTTATCCTTAACACCTTGATTGTTACTAGCTATATGTTTAATCAAAACTGCTTTTTCTTCCTCGGTTAAAAACTTGGCCAGTTCAGGAGAATCAGGACATAGCCAAAGGAAAATCACCGCCCATACAAGATTCAACAATCCAATGACCAAAAAAATCAACTTCCACGGTTTGATACTGGCATGAGTTGCATGGCCCAAACCGAATCCTAATAATGCTCCAACCATGGTCGCTACACCATTAAACGATAAGAATAAACTCATACGAATCGGTTGTTGCTTTATGGTGTAGAAAGAACCACATATTATCATACATGATGGACTGATGCTAGCTTCAAACATCCCTAAGATAAACCTGATCACCAATGCCCCACCATAATTTCTTAGCCCAACATGACCAATTAGAATAATAGACCAAGTAAACAACATGAAACCAGTATACTTGGCTACTGGAAGCCGTTGTATAATGTAATTTCCAGGGATTGCCCAAAACAAATACCCAAAGTTGAAGATTGCGGCAACCCAAGAATACCGTTGTCCAAATAAATTCAAATCTTCTTTAAAACTGTAAGCCGAAGCATAGTTTAATGAAAGTTTATCCAAAAACTGCAAAGTATAAGTGATACAAAGTAGTGGTACTATTCTCCAATCAACTTTACGCAACACTCGTTTATAAATTTTCAAATCTTCATCAGTTGAGAAATCATGAGCTTTTTCATAAAGCTTGTACCCAGCGGCATTTTCATGTTCGATTCGCTCTTCGGAGATGGTGGTGACGATTTCGTGTATTTTCTCGTTGTTTATGTTGTTGGACTTCGATGTCGAAGTGGTTTCAGTCATGTTGGTTTTTTAAAATCGGGTCAGTTGCGAGGATCTCCATCAAAACAAAGCATATCCATTGCCATATATTCATATATTTATATATATATTGCATTGTGGTGAAGTGTGCTGGTCTTTCCACTTTGATAACAATAAATATCTTTCCGCTAATTAAGCCACCTTGCAGCAAAAATCTTGCGGCGATTGCATCTGATAAACCAACGCAGCCAAATACGAGTCGCGTTTATTTCCTAATTTGAACATGCGTCGTTCCTGACAAAGAGATAACTGAACAACGTTTTCTTATCAAAAATAAGACATCAATTAATTTACTCAACTTGGATTCCGATTGATAACGCTACAATGTATGCTTTCAGCGCATTTATCCCTATAAGGAGTATCTAAACCCCTTATTTTCAAAATCAGTCATTCCCATGAACCCATTCAATATTGCCTGCTCCTCCTGCTCTTTAGTCTGTTCCCCCAATTCCTTATCTCTAAGCCTATTCCTTCTCATATATACCAAACGAATCAAAATTGCTAAAAGCATGCTTCCACTATAGCTAGTAATCATGCCAATGATACCACTCTCATACCTTGGCGCTTGGTACGCATAGAATACATTTGCTCCAATTATATTACCCGTAGCATACATTATGAACCATAATCCATTTGCTGTTGTCTTTTTAGAACTTCCTGAAATGTTGGCATTTAACAAGATCCAACACATGATGATGGGTCCTCCAACAACATATTGCATGAATGAGCATCCAACTAATGACCATTTGCGTTCCAACGGAATCGTATATAAGCCAATTAACCCACCTAAGGGTCCAATGCAAAGCGCAAAGAGCACATAGCATCTCATGTTTTTAACTTTAAATGCAATGATGCCACCAATAACAAGCAATACTAGTTCGACGGCACCTAATGGTAATTGTAAAGCAGTGGCCTCAATGCCATCAAACCCAAATCCTTTGATTAAAGCCGATATAAAATTGGAAGCACCTCCATTGCTGACACCACATGCTAATCCAATTGCTGCAATCATGATTACAGCAGGGTCCATTAACGCCTCAAATGCTTGGTATTTTTCAAATTTCTGATCTTTGACACCTTGATTGTTACTGGCAATATGTTTGATCAAGATGGCCTTCTCCTCCTCAGTTAAAAATTTAGCACCCTGGGGCGAATCAGGACAAAGCCAAAGGAAAATCACTGACCACACGAGATTTATAAATCCAAAGACAAGAAAAATCAATTGCCATTGGTTAATTTTGGCATTATCAACATGTCCTAATCCAAATGCCAACAATGCACCCAACATAGTAGCTACTCCATTAAATGACATAAACATACTCATACGAATTGGTTGTTGTTTTAGTGTGTAGAATGACCCACAAATCATCATACAGGATGGACTTATACCTGCTTCAAACATACCGAGTAAGAACCTGATGACTAGAGCACCGCCATAGTTCTTCAAACCTACATGGCCAATCAAGATTATCGACCATGTAAATAGCATAAACCCAGTGTACTTGGCAACTGGTAGCTTTTGAATTAAGTAATTGGCTGGGTATGCCCAAAACAAGTACCCGAAATTGAAAATAGCAGCAACCCACGAATACCTTTGACCTTGTAATCCTAAATCCTCTTTGAGTGTGTATGCGGAGGCATAATTTAACGATAATTTGTCCAAGTATTGCAACATATAGGTGATACACAACAAGGGCACAATCCTGCAATCCAACTTTCGTCTAATACGTCTGTATACTTCGATATCCTCTTGTTCTGATATGTCTTGTGCTTTTTCATAAAGCTCAAACCCCGTTTTATTCAGCAAGTCGACATTTCCATGTGATATTACTGTTTGAATCTCCGGAGCTTTTTCATCATCGTTGCCTCCTTTCTCTGATAGAGTCATGTTGTGCTGATGAGATTTTGTTCATACTTACTGGAGCATACAAAAGTCTCACAGTATAAATACAGATTCATTTTGGAGGGTTCCCAGTTGCTGGGCAAGAATGGAATTGGTTATCCGATTGCATTTATGGTTTAGATGATGCTTCATGCGGACGCCATAACCCACTGCCAGCTAGGAAATATCATTTCCTCATTTTCCAGGAACAGATCTAGCTTATTGCTGAAGTAATGAACCCATTGTGCGAATGGGTCGATCAAAATGATGCAGCACAAATTTAAGTTTCAAACAACTTATTTCGAAACTGCAGGTCTCAGCTGACACTTTTGCCCCGCAGATAACACTTCCCGATCAGACTTACCAAGCAAACCGTAAAGTGTGCTTATTTCCGAATCAAGTTCGGTGGCATTAACGGTGGTTACTTGAGCATCTACCCTGCATGTGATGAGATTGTGCATCAAAAACCTATTAACCAGCTCTGTCATGAAACTGAACGCAATGTAGTACTTTGATGTTCGGTAACCGGTGAATATCATTCCACAACGTTAACTTGGCACTGGCTAGCTCAAATCACGGGTATAGACCGCCGTTTTCTTTTAGTGCAACAAAGGAAAGATACATGATAGCTTTAGCTTTACTTAAACCTCCAAAGCTCTATTTTCATACTTACCCCTCATTCTTGTGTGTATGATTGGAGAACTTTCATAATGTATGGGAAGTAAAGGGAGCCGAATTGGTGACTTGTCAAACTTGGTGAAGGCAAATCTTGGTCTATGAACTCCCATTATGAATCTAGACCCCAATGCATCGCTCCAGTTGCTACTTTGAGGTCAAACAAAACATAGATCAAGTATGAGTACGCTAATGGCCACGACTGTCACAGCATAATCGCGATCACCTCAAATGAGGCAAGTCCAAAAACATCGGTTCTTACTCGATTAGATATTAGGGCAATGAACTCCTTCGATCATTCCTTTTGAAAGCCTTAGGACAAAATGGTCATCACCTGAGATTGGTAGACAATCGTGCAATGCCTTACAGCTTTGAGCCACTGATGGATCGGATTAAAGTTTAACCTACATCCCTTTTGTGTAGTAAGGCGTAAAAAGTTTGAGATTCATTGTACAAATTTACTCCACACGACACGCCTCACCCCCACTTCGCCAAATCTACAATCATTCTCAGTTTACAACGCTTTATCATTTTATCCAAAAGTTTACAAACCTATATAAAGTTTTGTATGTTGTTTTCCTTCTTAGACATCATAGTTTGAAGCAGAAACATCACCACCTCTTCCGGTCCAGTTAACATGTACCCACTTGTCTTCTGGGACAAAGCTGGTTCCTTTACCCTTTTGAACTTGGAAAGTGTGAGCACCAAAGTAATCTCTTTGAGCTTGCAACAAGTTAGCTGGTAATTGTTCTGATCTCAAACCATCGTAGAAAGCCAAAGCAGTGGAGAAAGCTGGTGTTGGGATACCTTGAGTAATGGCATGACCAAGAGCTGATCTCCAACCAGATTGGGCTTTAGTGACAGCATCCAAAAAGAATGGATGAAACAACAAATTGTCCAAGTCTGGGTTTTCTCTATAGGCAGCAGTGATTTCTTTCAAGAAAACCGATCTAATGATACATCCACCTCTCCACATCAAAGCAATAACACTGTAGTTCAACTTCCAGCTGTAGTCAACTGAAGCCTGTCTCATCAACATGAAACCTTGTGCATATGAGATGATCTTGGAAGCATATAAAGCTTGTTCCAAATCATCGATAAACTTCTTCTTGTCAGTGATTGGTGATTTTTCACCAACTTCTGGTCCCTTCAAAATCTTTGAAGCCTTAACTCTTTCATTCTTCAAAGCAGAAAGACATCTAGCGAAAACAGCTTCACCGATTAAAGTGACTGGAACACCCAAATCAAGAGCATTGATGGCGGTCCATTTACCAGTACCTTTTTGACCAGCCGTGTCCAAGATCTTTTCAACAACTGGTTTTTCATCAGTTGGATCATTAAATTTCAAAATGTCTCTGGTAATTTCAATCAAGTATGAGTCCAAAACTCCATTGTTCCATTGAGCGAAAACATCGGCAATTTCCTTGTCTTCAAATTTACCAACTCTCTTCATAACATCATAAGCTTCACAAATCAATTGCATATCACCATATTCAATACCATTGTGGACCATCTTGACGTAATGACCAGCACCGGCATCACCAACCCAGTCACAACATGGCTCACCATCTGATTTGGCAGCAATAGCTTGGAAAATTGGCTTAATGTGTGGCCAAGCTTCTTCGTTACCACCTGGCATCAAAGATGGACCATGTCTAGCACCTTCTTCACCACCAGAAACACCACAACCAACAAATAAAATTCCCTTTTGTTTCAATTCTTCGAATCTTCTGTTACTGTCTGGGAAATGTGAGTTACCACCATCAATGATGATATCACCTTTGTCCAAGTATGGCAACAATTGTTCGATGAAGGCATCAACAGCTGGACCAGCCTTAACCAACAACATAATTCTTCTTGGTCTCTTCAAGTTGTCTACCAATTCTTGAATAGAGTGAGCACCAATGATGTGCTTGTTACCCTTGGCTTCGTTTTCCAAAAAGTGGTCAACTTTGGAAACAGTTCTGTTGTAAGCAACAACAGTGTATCCGTGATCAGCAGCGTTAAGGATCAAGTTTTGACCCATAACGGCCAAACCGATTAAACCGAGATCACCTCTGGGTATGACATTGTTAGTATTGTTCATGGACAAATGATTAGAAATGACAGATATCCTTGACAAAGCACGAGTGGAAGACATTGGCGGCAATGTGAAATTGAAATGATTGCAAAAAATAAAAAACCACCACCTAGATCGAACCCGTTTAAGGAAATCTAGTGGGTATATATATTTATAGACCGTGGGGGATAAACGGCTTTTGGGGCGAGCGGATTAATTTTTTTTTTCTTCGCATTCAAAAAAAAAACTATGCTCGGTCATTCAGATTGTTTTGGGCGATTCGAATTATCCGCTGGATGTCGACAATTTCCACTCAATCAAGTTGTAACGGATTTAATCTAAAGTAATATCCTTTTAAATTGAAACGCGGTTGCAAATTCTGTTATTTTTTATCCAATTGACCTTTCATGTAGTGCATAGTTTGCAGTGTTTATTGAAAATGAATGCAATGCCAATTCCTTTGTGCTTATCGAAACGTTAGAGATTCCCCCGGGGGGAAATTGCCATTGATAAATCAAAATACATACTGTGGTTGAGCTGGAGCTTTTGAATCAGAAGACATTTTGAGTAAATACTAGTAGTAGTAGTAGTCTTGAAGTAAACTTGTACCTTATAGATGGAATAGCAATTGAAAGAATTTGGGATTGAAAAATTTTATGAGAGGGCGATTTTGAATCAATTTTATACCATTTACTGTTTTTTATTTTTGTTGTTGCATTTGAAAGAACAAAAAGGAAAAAGGTTTATCAAAACATTAGTAATGTGTAATGTAGTACTATATAGCAAACAAGAGAGGTAGTGTACATTGCAACCAACAAAATTTTTATTTATTTGTTGAACACTTTTAGAGTTTTGCCATTGCTTTGAACGTAACCGATTGTGAAGATTTGTAACAGTAGTATACCACGGGATATGATGCGGGTCATTACCGGCTGGACTGGAGCAACTCTATATACCTCAATTGCTATACCTTTTTTTTCAACAGACCCACGAGAATCTAGAAAAATAGAGGTTATGAGGAAAAAAATAAGGAGGGGTTTGTATACAGGAAACAATATCCCAGCTCGCCCGGTGCGCCGAAGTATTGAGTCATTGGGTATCACTTGAACAGGTAAGATGAGCTTCAAAGCTGCTAAGCAGGTGCTTTGCCACTACTTACATGTTCGATGGCCTGGCGTAGATACTAATGTATGTAGAACTTGACTCCCAAGATAGAAGAACCTTTTGGCACACGATTCAGCGATATCGGAATACGCATTTCCGGCGAACAATACATTAGTGACAAAATTGAATCTCCGCCAATTGAAACTAGCAAAGGATTACCCGGGCAATCATCTTGTCATTCGACTCAACAATTCTCATATTCTAAGTTACAATCGTCATGCTCGTTTCTTTGAAGTCCCGAACAGGTGCAGAAAGGCTCGCCCTTGTTGAATTCAAAGTAATACGCTTTGTTAATCAAGGCTGAAAAAGTCCGAACTGAGATGCATAAAGTTGTCGTTACCCCCCCCTTCACATCAAATTGTGCAACACTTTGTAATTCCCTGATTCGTTCTATATATCGTAGCAGGTACCGTTCACAATTCTTCCCCACCTTTTTTTGTGTATCACACGGAGCACTCAAAGTTTGTTGAGTAAACAAACAAACGGGCAGACTCACGATCTTTGGAAGCACTTCATCTTTGTAACCCGCGGCATTCGTGCAGCGTGGGGGGCTGCTTGATTAGTGGTTATATTGTTGGGTTGTTCTAACTTGGAATATTATGTGTCCCCCCTCAGATATTCCCCCAACTTTTTGATCCCCCACATTGATTTGTGTTTGCAACTAATGAATTCAAGAACCAAGAGATTGTCCTAACCAATTAATCCTCCACCTTAATATACAATCGCACGGCATTTACATTGTGACGGAGGGGAATTGAGATTGTTTTGTTCGCCCCAGTTAAAGCCTAGGGTATGTAGCTCAGTGAACATGCAAATTTTCAACACTTTGGAGAATATAAACACGAAATAGAAAAAGACCTTATGTTACAAGATTATAACTACAAGAAAGCCAAGCACCCACTATGGGTACTATCACAGGTGTGGTAGTGTTTGATTAGCTTCTGACGATCCACAGTTGTGACGCTATAGACCCACTCTTTAGTTTTCTTGTGGGTCTATTTTCTTGGTATTGAAGTCTATGACGCCACCACGATATGGAACTGTATATACTGTGGCATTAGCCTAAATCTTCACATCACTTTCGAGGTAACTCCAGATTTTACTGAGATGATAGGGAATACCATCGATGATATTGATCATGTACCCAAAGGGCGTCACTTTGATGTGACAATGACGCGTAATTTTCACGACAAATAGATCCAACACAGTCAAATAAGCAATGACATAATGAAAACTGTCAAACATAAAGATTTCAATTAGTCACGTGCAATGGTTCCATAATCAATTTTGTGCTCTTCATTTGCAGCAACAAAACAAAATCAATGCACTATACAATTGTAGTCGCATATAACCGACACCGATTCATGCCAAAAAAAAAAAAAAAAAAAAGTGAAAAATTTCAATCTTTGATAACTCCTAGATCTCATTCTCAAAAAGATCAACCTTCCCACATACTCCACCACATAATGCCGATTCCAAAACCGCATGGAGGTCAACTTAACGACTTGATTATTCGTGACGTTGAAAAAAAGCCACAGTTGTTGAAAGAAGTTGAAAAATTACCCCATTTGACTTTAACCCCAAGACAATTGTGTGATTTAGAATTGATCTTGAATGGTGGATTTTCTCCCTTGACTGGATTTCTCAACGAAGATGATTATAATAGCGTTGTTGAAGATTTACGGTTAACTTCAGTCAAAAATGATCAAGGTAAAGGATTGATTTGGCCAATTCCAATTACTTTGGATGTTTCTCAACAAACTGCTCAACAATACAAAATTGGTGATAGAGTTGCATTGTTGGATTTAAGAGATGAAACTCCATTGGCTATTTTGACGATTGAATCAATTTACATTCCTGATAAACAAAAAGAAGCCAAATTGGTATTTAGAGGTGATCCCGAACATCCAGCCAACAAATATCTTTTCGAGACCGCCGGTGATGTTTACATTGGTGGCTCATTAGAAGGTATCAACTACCCAAAACACTACGATTATGTCGATGCAAGAAAGACTCCAACTGAATTGAGAAATGAATTCAATTCCTTGGGATGGACAAATCAAAATATTGTCGCTTTCCAAACGAGAAACCCAATGCACAGGGCCCATCGTGAGTTGACCATTAGAGCAGCTAATGATATTGGATCCAATGCTCATATTTTAATCCACCCAGTTGTTGGTTTGACCAAGCCAGGTGATATCGATCATCATACCAGGGTTAAAGTTTACAAACAAATTTTGCAAAAATTCCCGGAAGGGTTGGCTTCATTATCGCTTTTGCCTTTAGCTATGAGAATGGGTGGTGATAGAGAAGCCTTGTGGCACGCTTTAATCAGAACCAATTATGGTGTTGACCATTTCATTGTTGGTAGAGATCATGCAGGTCCTGGTAAAAACTCGCAAGGGGTTGATTTCTATGGTCCATATGATGCTCAAGAATTGTTGCAAAAGTACCAAGATGAATTGGATATCAAGATTGTTCCATTTAGAATGGTTACTTATTTACCTGATGAAGATAGGTATGCCCCTATTGATACTATTGATACCACAAAGGTTAAAACGGCAAACATTTCGGGAACTGAATTGAGAAACAAGTTGCGTACTGGAGATGCCATCCCTGAATGGTTTTCGTACCCTGAAGTAGTGAAGATCTTGCGTGAAACTAATCCACCAAGATTTAAACAAGGGTTTGTCATTATCATTGAAACTGAATCGAAATTGGGCCAATATTTGAGTTTTGCTTTACAATCAACCTTAAACCAGTTCAGCGGGGAAAGAAGAATCACCAAAATTGATCAACAAGAACACAATGTTGAACCTTTCATCATTAATGAATTGGTTAAATCAGGAACTGGGGTGATCTTGACTACTGAAAACACTCATACTGATAAAATTGCCCAATTAGCGGGTGAGGGAAACTCCATCATTGTTGGATCAAATAGTGATGCATCAAAGGGACAATTCAAGTTGAATGAGGATCTCAATGTTACAATTGATGAAATTGTATCCTTTTTGCAACAACAAGGGTTTTATTAGACTGGCTTTTTCTTAGAAGACACACATAGATAGATACTAATACATTGTTTATTTATTGAATCGAACTGAAAAGTGAGTGTATAATAAATATAAAGTATAAATAAAACATTACAAGTCATCATTATAATCATCATCGTCGTCGTCGTCGTCATCGTCATCGTCGTCGTCATCGTCATCGTCATCATGGCAGACCATTCCTCTCGCCATATACTTTCGTGGTGTAACACCTCTCAAAACATCGCCCTTTGTTGTTGTGCCAAATGGGTGGCTCTAATCTGTAAAGCTTCAGCAAATCCCATAGCTGCTGGCCAAACCGGCGCATCAGCGAAAACTCTAATACCCAAATAAAATGCCCTTTGGGCCAAGTTATTTTCAGTCACGTAATCTCTAATCTCCTGATTCAATTTGGTAACGCGATCTCTATTGAAGTCCAACTGAACCCCGCGTGACAAGTTATCATCACATTTTGATCTTTCTTCACTCAATTTAATAATCTTGTTTCTGACTGACTCAGTGACAATGCTCAAATTTTGCATATCTTTCGTCAAGACATCGGAATACACCGATTTGACGCTTGGAGTCAAAACTTTTTCCATCTTGGTGAATGTTTCTTGACATCTTAACCATTCCATCAATTCTTGGTTGGAAATATCTCTTCTCTTGCATTGCTGTTCCAAGAAATCAAGATAGGTGGCAATAACCAAAATACTAGCCAATAGTCCACTGAATAAAAACACTGGTGTGCGAACAGTTGTTTCACGGACATCAAGACTATTGGTTTCCGTAGTTTGAATCCATAAATCCAATATGCTATATCCTGAACCCAAAGATTTACTCAAGACACTATAATTGGATTCACGATAATCCATCAAATCCAATTCCTTGTTTAACGAAACATAATCCTTTTTGAAAATGTGAGTAAAAGTTGCATCAAGGTTGATATCCATCTTCATTTTCAACATGTACCAAAGCGGGATAATTTGTTTCAAATCAGGTGAACTACTAAACTGATCACAGTTCAATGATGAAGTGTCTAAGTTTCCCCCATTCTTGTAAAAAAGAATTTGCCAATTGTTCATCAAATGGTGATACTTGGGTCTTTTCGATACGTTCCAGTTGATGTAGCTAAAATCATTTGCTCGTAAATCAACACCAACTTGCTCATGAATGTTAAACAATATGGTGAGAAGATTAGCATTGGGGATATTGGTCAATGGATTTGGGTTATGCAAATAACTAATAAGTTCATTCACACTTGTTCCATTGCTCAATTCAACAATAGACCAATTTGGAGGGTTGGTTTTGCACACGGTAGAATACCAACTACTAGCATTTGGGCTCCACCATAGTTCACGATTGTTGCAATAAGATCCACTCTTCATCATTGTTGATGGGAACATAATTGGTGCTCCAGTGATACTGGATCTAAATACTTGCAAAATGTAAAAAGTGTGCAATGTCCTAATTCTTGATTGTGCCAAGATGAAGTAGTCATAATTGTGCTGGATAATGGGTTTGATTTCATCAGTAATCATTAATCCGTGAGGTGCAGGTTGGGGTGGAATAATAGATTGTTCCAATGGCTCATTAAAATTGGTTGATTTAATCAACCCAATCATTGATTTGATTTGTCTTGCCGTAATGTCAATGACATTGGGCTCATTGAAAAACAACGAAAGCATAATATGCAAAACTAGACATTGGTGAGCCATCAAGGGAATCTTTTTGAATTGAATATTATCCACAGTCAATTCTCTTTCAAAAAAACCTTGGATGTGGTACTTGGACATATTAAACAACAACAAAGCATCGTGGTTATTATATGCATATAATGAACCAATGGCAGTGATGGCTAATAAAAGTGGCACGGTTTCAAAATTTTGTCCACGTACATTCTTCAACGATGGCAAATGAATGAACGAACAATACTTGTTGAAACCAAATTCAAACATTTGCGCATAGTATTTCAAACTCTCCAAGGAGGGGAAATCTTTACTATCAACATGGCTCATTGAAATCATCTTGTCTCTGACCTCAGCTGAAATCAATGTGGAATCAAAATTGAAAAAATTGGGTGGGAATTCAACCGAATAATCAATCGTGTGTGACGCATCATGGCCATTTACGGCAAGTAATTGTTGCATGAAATCTTGAGCTTGCTTCTTTGGAAGATTGATGGAGTTTTCACCCAGTTTTTGATTGTTGAAATAGCCTTTCAAATCATCAAAGCTGGTACTTGCACTAAAATTCAAATTCAAATCAAGACCTGGATTAACCAAATCCTTGACCCAATCGGTTTCGTTAGGGAATGTAGGTGCCATATTGCCATTTCCTAGTAAGCTGCCTTGCGGGGTAGCAGAAGCTTCCATTGATGATCTTGATCTTTTGCCTGCACTTGAGGTTGCAATATTACCATTTTTGTTGCTTAATTGCAGTGGATCAATGCTTCCAACCGAGGAAATTGAGCCTTGTTGCGATTGAGGCAGCAACTGGTGCAATTGTGATGGCTGCTGCTGCTGCTGTGCTTGTTGTGGTGGTGGTTGTGCTTGCTGTTGTGGTTGTGTTTGTTGCTGTTGCGATTGCGTTTGAGCTGTTTCATTCTCCATAATGGGTGGTGGTTGAACAGGAAATCCAGCTGCCGGATCCATGGACTCATCCTCTAAAGCGAAAATGGATTTCCTTTGTGGTACACTCTGTGCATGTTGCATAGAAATTGCCTTCATGTTGCCATTATTCCTGGGACCTAGAGTGAAGAAATCTTGCAAGTTCTTCAATGACTTTTGACGGAGTGAAAACTTGTCATCACTTACATCTAGATGATCAATGTTACCCCAGTCTAATAAATCACCCATTTCCATAATTTTATGATACTCTTCACTTTGAGGACCAAGTGGTGGGGTACCAAATTCAACTTGTGACGGTACTGCATCGCCAAACTCGAGAGCATTTTGTTCTTGAATTTGCATAGCATCCTTGGCATTGGCATAAGAAATCCCCGAAGCAGCTGAATACGACGCGTGTCTGTAATTGTGCAAGTAATGAGACGACTTGTCGGTGAAGTCTGGCTTAAAAGGTGTCATTTTCTTCCTCTTGGGGGTATCTGATTCTGGGGATGGTTCTTGTTTAATTTGACTCGATTTTCTTCTACTAGCAATTGAGCTTTGACGCGACATTGGTGTGGCTTTAACCAGTTGATTGAAAGAAACACTGTCTTTTCTTCCATTGCTACTGTGTAGAGTGATACTAGGTCTTGGTGAACTATTTGAAGTTATTGGTGATGGACCCATCAGTGGATGAGGCAGACTTCCATTGGTATGTGTTTGAGATTGGTTGTCGTTGCCAAATAAACCAGTACGAAATTGAGGTTTACTGTGGTTGGTTGTTTCAGCAATAGCGTCATTCAAAGCCTCAGGCAAAGGTGTTGCACCATTTGGTAAAGGGGCATTTGGATCAGTATTGTTTTGCAATACATTTATATGTTCATTGATATCTTGATCCTTCGAAGAACCTTTGCGCATCAATGTTGGTAAATTTGTATGAAGTTTTTGTTGGTGACGCAACACCAAGTCACGACGAGCGAAACATCTACCACAAGCAGCACACTGGTAAGGTTTTTCATTAGTGTGAGCTCTCTCATGACGTTTCAAATGTTCTAATCTGGCAAAAGCACGAGTACAAACACTACACATATGTGGTCTTGGTTTGTCAGTTCTAATTTGTTGTGATTTTTTGGGAATTGGTTGGGTGGCAATAGGTGGTGTAATATTGGAATGGATGGTGTTTCTGCGCATAGGTTTGATACTGATGCCACTGCTATCACTATTTGTATTGGTGTCCAGTATAGAAGTTGATGAAGACAATGTCTGAGGTGAGCATAGAGACAAAGATGGTTGCATATTCATGATTGCAAAAGGATTCGTGGGTGGTTTATGAGTTGTAGTGTGAAATTGATAGATCTGCTGTTGAAATAAAAGTAACTTATCCCCTAAGTTATATGAATACCTGGTTGCCAAATTTTCTTTTTTTCGTGAGATTATGCTTGTTGATATATATATTTATGTACTTTTGTATATTGTATGGGAATTTTAATGTAAAAAAAAAAAAAGAAATAGAAATCTGTGTCTGTGTCTGTGTCTTTTATTAAGCCTTTTTCGAAAAAAAAAAATAATTTTTATTTAATTTTTTACTTCTTATAGAAAGAAGTCAGACAGAAATACAAAATATAGTGAGTTTATATACGGAGTATCCTTTTGAAAAGTAAAATAACCTACGTATATGCTCTGGTATGTTTTTTTTTAGCTACAAGTATAATATAGCACTCATTACAGGGATAGGACAGTATAAAGAAGAACAGTATTTAGTTCAAAGTTGTCGAAAAAAATAGGAGACAAATGTATATGTCTCTTGTATATATGCGTCAGTGTCATGCGCCTCCCCCAATGGTAAGACAAAGACAATATAAAGTAACAAAGACACAATAACAAGAAAAGAGCATTCCTCTTATGCCTAATCAGTAACACTGACAAACTGATAATTCCGTGTTTTGTCTTATTCCAAATTATTTTTAAAGTCCGCAAAAGTACACTAAAGTAAAGACATTAATTGTCCGTTATTGTTTTCTAAAACCTTAAGGTCAGACACTCTTTGGAAGGACAAGAAAAAAAATTTACACATATATGCAGAAACATAGTTTCACAAGTAGTCACAAATGTAAAACAAGGATAAAATTCAGACAGACATAAAAATTTTATTATATTTCTATCAAAGTACACTACCCTTACTAACAAAATCTAATTTGTGTCCGATTTAAAAGATACTTCCTTAGTCATCAAAAAAAAAAAAAAAAGAGAACAACAATAACAACACAACCGACATTCCCAGTCATTTTCTTTCTTACTTGTTCTTGTTACCAGCATATCACTACCTTTTTTTTCTTCATTCCATGTACTCTGGGAAGGTAATACCACAATACTGGCTGATCCTTTTTGTTTGTACGCATTGTGGTATAATATGTATTATGGAAAAGATTTCGTGTCTTGATGTGTAGCTGAATTTTTTTTTTTTTTTATTTTCGCTTCTTACTTGTGTGTCGTGGGAAGAATGACTAAATTTTTTTTTCTTTTTGGTTTTCTTCTCTTTATTGTTGTCCCTTGTTTTTTTTTGCCCGTGGGGCAATGTGGAAGTTTTTGTCACCGTTTCATGCTGGTGGTGGGGGAACACTGGAAATGGTTCCTTTTTCGGTGCAAAAACCACCTTTATCCGTCTCCTTTACTTATTATTCATTACACATTGTACCATTCAGAAAAAAAAAAGAAGTCATTTGTATTGTCTATTCTACATATGTTCCCAACTTTACTATACTATTATTGAGTCTCATTAACTATTGTTGTTAACTATTATTTCTATCTTTCCTTTAGCTCAATATAATTTTGGCCCTGTATGGTGTAACAAACATACGCGCCTATTACCTCATTGGGAACTAATGGCAAATAATTGAAAAATTTATCGTTTATTGTTATAAGGGAGATGTCATTGTGCAAACGCATTTTAGTAAAAGATGTCCGTGCATAATACACCCCCTGTGCTTTAGTCTTCTATTGGTTTCTTTACTTCCTAATGATTTCCAAAATAGGTTCAATTAGAACCGGATGGAAAAGCAAGGGGATAAAGAGCAAGGTCTCTAAAGTGTATGTGTGTAAAATCTTTCGGACTTTTCATGCACAATAAAATAAAGGTTTGGAATTTTGCATCAAGGATACGCAAGGGGGGGTGGTACTATGCATAATGGTTGAGTAGTAAGCCATTTTAAAAGGTCTAAATATGAAACCCCCTTGATGCCACTTTGTAATTGTTTTTATTTTCTTGTTCACCTGTCCTCTGTCCTCTATTTAGCGATGGTTTTGGCTAACGAATAAAAAAACAACTACATTTCCACCTATCATATGGAGTGAGTATAGATAAGAGATAAGCTCTCTCCATGGTCATTGCATGCATTTTATTATCTTGGCTTACAAAACTAGAGGTATAACCGAGTTGACAATCCTCCATCTCTCAATATTATATCATTCTAATTCGGTGTCACTAACTAAAGCTAAAGCTTGTTTTATTGTGTTTATTTTCGGTTACTATGAACTGGTGTGAAACAGCTTGCTCTCCCACCACAGTATTTAATCAATTGTGCTTCCGGGAGCCATTGGTAGAGGTGGTGGTGCTAGATTGTGTTTCCAAACACCCAACACTAACAATTCAATCTTTTCATCACTCTATTGACCGAATCATTTTCAAAACTTCCATGTTTCCGCATGATACAACCTTTTTCGTTTTAAGCTCGGTACGTTTGATCCCTCGTTTTAGTTTCGTGTCTGAAGTATCTCGGAGTTTTTTTCTCTTTACACTATCAATAACGACCAAACGTTTGGAAAACTTTTGTTGAGCCATCGCTTCCTTAAGGAGAAGCGTTAACCATTCTCATAGAATCGAGTTTCTCAGTATCTGTATAAGGAGTTATGTGACAGTTATATTGTTGATAAAGGTTGTTTATAGTTTCCGGAATAAAGGATCTTTCTACTTAATGGTAATTGTCAGTCGTCCCAAGACATCAATGGTGTTGCCAATTTCATTTGTACAAAGTTTTGTATGCAACCTTTTTTATGAGGAATATATAAACATTTTGCCCAACAGTGTGTATGTGACTTTCAATGTCTTATCTCAACAATGTTATCTTCAAGCTCTTTATCTCTATCGATGAATTGCCTCGAGAGTGAAAGTTTTCCTTAGGTTTTTTTGAGCTTTAAAAACAAGGTTTATCACAAAAAAGCTCCAACCCCAGATTTTATAAATTACTACTTTAGATTTCGTAAAATCTCAATATTGCAATGGAAAGAAAGCAAAAAGACCTGTTTGTGTAATAGGTGTGCATACGTGTAATTGTGGCTAAAAAAAATATACATATATGAGAACTTATTATCTTTACCAAAGGCGGGCATAATCGTATTTACTCGTTTGATACAAGTGAGCAAAGTCCACGTGTACACATAGACCAACGATTATAATGCTATTTTAATAAAGACACCTAGAGGATGCCACTATCGTCGTCTTTCAAATAAATTTCAAAAACTGGGATCAATTGGAAATCAGAACACCTTCTGTTTAGAAACAGGCGATTGAAAATGTCTTCGAATTTTGTTGGGTCTCAAGGGTGAAAGCTTAGTATTGGTCGGACTTTTTTTCTTTTCTCTCTAAAAAAAAGCTTAATTTTGTGTACTTTTTAGCTCATACGTCATAATAAGTACTTTTAAAATTTTAATGCCGACACAGTACACAAAAGTAAATCCTTTTGTTCAGCCAATGAAATGAGAGTGTCCGAAACTAAGTGCTATTGTGTTGAGTTCGCTCAGACAGACATAAAATTCATAGTCGGTTTTGTAACTTTTCTTAATCAACTATTTTTTCTTGCGTCTTTCTCTTCTTTTTTCTTTTCATTTCAGGTAAAAAATTCATCACGAAATCCGGGGTAAAGTTGTAAAAATCTCTGAAATAACCTTTCGTTTGATTGGCTTGGAAAACAGATCCACAAAAGTGTGAAATTGACTAGAACCATTTTCCAATACACACACACACAGGTGTTCAGCCTTGTATGAGCTCCACTGACGTGAGCTGTGATGAGCGAATAACAAACAGAATTATTATGACATATAATGATTGAAAAAAGAATGGAGCCACTTTTTATTATCAAGCGTTATCTTCTATATTATTCACTTTTTTTTTTCTTATTTGCGTTTTGTTTGCCCTGTTTTCTATGAAATAGATCGATCACCTATTTCAAGTATTTCTATTCTCTTTTCTTATTGTAATCCAATTGAGAGTATTTTAGTACTACTTAATTCTTTTTATTCTACATTCTGATCACTATAAATTGATCTGCCAATAAAGCCATACATTTTTATTTTAGTTGGAAAACTTCGATAAGGTTTTAAAGATTACCTATTTCGGACCAGAGGTGAATGAAGTATAAACCTTTCTCTTTTATTTAAGCGGAGCCAATGGAAAAATGAACAAAACCTAAAACGTCTTTGAACATTTGATTATGATTTTATACTTTCCTCCTGTCAAGCTTTTGCATTTATCTCAAGCAACATTTAAGTTATTGCCCCATTATTCTAGACCTACAGAGAAAAAGTTCAAAAGGGCAAAAGGCCTTATCAGACGGTTTTAATTGGTGGATACACGAGAGAGAGAGTAAGCGCAGGGAACATATTAAAAGTAATTAAACGTAGATCAATTTCCTTCGCCAAAAATTGGCATTTGGAACTAAAAATAGGATAGTTTCAATCCTCATTCCTCCATCCCTCTGTTCTGGCACTTTCTTTTATAACTGACTAACCTTTGAGCAAAAACAAACGTGACTGAACTCACCGTTTATTCCGTAAAGCCACAAAGGGGGTATCCAACGGTTGCAAAGTCTCGTAACCATGTGTCATTTTTTAATCCATATTGCATGATCACCTCATGACATCGGAATTTGGAAAAAGGGGGGAGTACAAGATGTCTGGGCATCCGTGTTTGGACTTTCGCACGACATATCGAATTCAATCCATGAAAGACTAGAAGTTCATGCCAATTTTGGATTGCTATTTGATTTTCTTAATTTTTGATTACCATTTGGACGCAAAAAATATGTATACAACGACAAAAAAAACGTCGAAAACCTCAAATATTAGTCTTTTAGCAACTGGGCCTTGCTGAAAGCATTTATACTACTAATAGGATAGACAGTGTTTTGAACAAGGAGTTTGGATGTCGATTTTACTCGATTTAGATGACCAAAAAAACGTTACAAGTTGTTTTACAAGACCATCGCACGACAACATGAAGCAATTGTCTAATCGTTGTACCTGACTTTTTTCTCTGACCGCCTTAGATTACTATAGATTACAGAGAACTACACCTTAAAATCAGAACAATGTAGAATGCGCCATTTATATTATTCAAATACCTTGATAATTTATGCTAGTATAATAGAGCGAGCAAAATATTTGCCAAAAAATCCTCCTGGTAGCTTAGTTGGTTTAAAGCACAAGACTGTAACTTTGTCCAGATTTTGTAATCTTGGGATCGGGCGTTCGACTCGCCCCCGGGAGAATCTTTTTTTTTTTGTTTACGTTCACCTTAAAGGACAGTGCCATTACAACTTCACTTTGTTGGAGGTGATACACCCGACATACCAAGGAGAAAGGTCTATTCGGTCCAAGTGGTGGTTTATACCGTCCCTCACCCTGTCGTAATCTGGTGTTTTGCTAAATCTACGATATTTCCGAAAAGATGTACCTTGCTTTATTTTTTCTTGTTATCGTGTGACTTTTACGACTAAATACCCTTACCAATTTCCTGCAAGATAGTGCAGTCATAAGTATGCATCTGGTTTTACGATTCTCCGATGTTTAGGATCGAGCCACTCCGAGAAAATTTTAAATCTTGGCACAACTGCTGGAGAGGAGGCGAAGAAGATGGGAGACATTTTAAAAGCGAGAGCCGAGCCAGCGGAGGGGGAGAAAAAGAAAATTAGACAAGCGATCAACATTCGGACGTATCGCGAAATCAAAATTCTTATGAAACGTTTGACTTAGAGCTGCGCACTTTTAATAAAATTTGTGGCCACCATTCCAGATTCTCTTCGTGTAATTCTACTTTGTAAGGTGTTTTCTTAAGAGGAGAATTTCCGCGTGGCAACAGACAAGCACCAAGGTTGTATGAGTTTACTTACCCCGCTGCCTCTTAAACGTATCCAATCATTGCTTGCTGGCCAAGAATAAGGGCTGTTTATGTATGTGGGCTGCGAAAGTTGCGAAACTAACTACACCTTTGGCTTAATTCTGATCTTGGCAAAGCAACTGAACTCCAATTGGCCCAAATGGCGATGGAATAAATTAAGAAAAAGCGGGGAACTACTAGTTTGAAGTTTTCGACAAAAATCTTTCCTACTTGCTATTACTTTTGCCTATTAAATTCAAAAGCCAAGAACACGGAATCTAGAGGCTAAGAATCTTTTTGCAACTAAACCAAAAGTGGCTTATGGATATGATAATTTAGCTTGGCTTTGAAACAATAATCAGTTTTTCTTATTCACTTTCGCTACAGAAATCAAAAACAAAAACAAAAACAAAATTTAGAGAGAGTAATGATCTTTCCATATCTCATCTACTTACACGAAGAATGGGCTGGTGTCTTCTTCTTTAGATTGGACTCATTTACGCAATATTATCCGCACCAATGAGAATCCAGAGATTTGAAATTAGTAATAACAGAGACATAGTTGTTCTTTTCCTTTTTGTGTGTGTGCTTGAAGTGTAAGTTTCCTTTTATTGCTTGGTAATCATCTTGAAAATTTTTTTTTTGTCCTCTTCTTTTCAGTTCGACCGACTTTGTGGTAGCGAGAATCCAATTTAGTTTAAAGTTACGATTGAGACGTGATGTCTTTAATTTTCTTTTCCTTGAAGTTGCTGTGTGATGTAATCCGACGGAGAAATGAGACGAACAACAAAAACAAAATACACAATAGAAGTAAAGTCGGGTTGTCTCAAGTGGAAAACAATAAGCTTCCCTATAACCACTTACATCCGTTCTCCGTGTTATTGTTATTCTTTACTGATTTGTGCGAATTTTGCTCTCTTATCAATTGTCAATAACAGGAGGGTGGAAGGGAGGAAAATACTTTAAGCCTTGTTCGGTCCGACAACTTCAATATCAAATCGAAAAAAAAAGTCTAACGTCATATACTAATAATAGAAGTTGGATGAAATCAACGAGAAAGAGAACAACATTAAAGTAAATTTATATCTGTAATTGCTTCAGCGAGTTCAGAAGACAGAAGATGGAAAAATACACACTGTTCACCTCTTGAGCAATGTAGATGTAGTCTGTGGATCTGGCTTTCCAACTGAAACGCCGAGCATTACAATATAAAAAATGGCGAAATTCCAGACGCGTTCGGACTAATCTAAAGAAAATATTTTGCTTTCAATTGTTTGTGTTTTCTTTGTTTGCGAGTTCATGTGAGTGACCTAACTACACATATTGTAATTTAACCGGCCTTACATAATACACAATAGGCCCGATGTATGTATTAGTAATTTTGTTGTTCTAGTGTGCAGCTCTAAAATTTAGTGCTTTTTTTTTTCTCACTCTCGTATTTTTTCTATGAAACGATATACCCGAAGAGTGATGATCTATAAAAGACGTATGACGAATACATATATATATATATATATATATATATATCAACTTTGCATTTCGAAGCCAAGTGATTCCTAGTTTTGACAGTTTTCTGCATCTACCCCACTAATATTTCAAAAAAGCATTCAGTATGTATAAAAAGTCCATATGGACGGAAGAATCTAGAACGAGGATGGATCTTGATGCACACCCATGCATTCAAAAGGAAAAGAAACACTTTGGATGTGAGAGAGTTTAGCATCACAATCGGAAGAATATTCAAAGCACATCTTTTGACATACGCCGGGGGAAGAGATTTCACCACTTAAAGAACACACCAACGAGAGCAACACCTTGTGTAGGGTCAAACACGCAAACCGCTCAACCACCTCGAGATAGCCAAACGTATATACCTGATTGGAGGAAAAGAAGCCAAGACACTCATAACCATGAAACACCAAATACAATACGTGCAATCCCCTATTGTTCGCATAGAATTTTTCTTGTTTTTTTTGTTTTTTTTTCTTCTTCCCCACAATTTGATTGCACAGTTAAGAAAATAGTATAAATGAAACTTAAACAACAACAAGAGCAAAAAATTACGAGATTTTCCCCTCCCTCCCCCTCACCACAATCCATATACGATCTTTGATAGAATTATAATCACACAAAAGGTTCAATCATCAGTTTACCGCGTTTCGGAGTAACCAAAACAATAGAAGGCCCTTTAATGTGGAATATATAACCACAACAATATCCTTCCCTTTCTTGTGTCTTAGATCTCATGTTGTAGAACACTTTTACTAACAGCCATAGCTTACCACTACAATGGATTCAACATTACCGGAGTATACCACCTCTTCAGAAACACTTCCCACCTACACATCCTCGATAAACTTTTATGGATTGGCCTTGTTGAAGACCGAGTTTTTGACTCCGTACCAATACAACAACGGCAACAGATCTTGGAAACCAGTACTTTTACACATGAACTCAACTCAGTTAAACATGTACAATATCAATGGTGAAAAAAAACTACAGGACTTGCTCATCAACTTGTATTTCGAATTAAACAACTTGAATCAGTTAACTATAGACGTCAACACTGAGTACAAGAAAAATAATGGAATGGATTTCAATTTAAACCAAGTTGACTTGAATGATATCTTTTCTGGTGATGCTTATGGTGGTCTTGAAGGAAACAAGTCAATGTTTAGTGAATCCAAGTTTGGAAAGTTAAAGAACAAGTTCAAGACGCAGAAGAATCACAAGATACTTTCCACCATTACCAACTACTATGATATATTAAAAGACAATCAATTACTTTTCGAACCAACTAGCGGCGACATCAAAGGCACCACATTTGAAAAACTCAAAGGCTCATTACTCCACTCATATTCACTAGCTCATTTACAAGTTGGTGAAGCACCATCATTGAACCAATTGATTTCCGCCATGTACAAAGAAGATCATTCATCATCGACGTCAAACATATCATCATTGGTCAAGTACAAAAACTCGCTTCGGCTAAGAATTGAATACAAACAAGTATTGCTTCAATTTTGGTCATTTCATGGAATGATTAGCTGGTTCAGAAACTTGTCCATTGGTAGAGATTTGAGCTTGCCATTGGAATTGAGGACTGTTTCCAAGCTCAAGTCCATACCTTCAAGATATAGCAGCAGAAACAATGCTTTGCTTGCTGCCACTGCTGCTGCTGCTAGTTATGGTAGAGGAAGACATCATAGTACAGAAGCCGCTGCCGCTAGTGACGAGCATGCAATGTTTAGAGCTAGCCAATTAACTCACAAGGAGCTTGATTCGGATGTGATTAGTACCGATGGTGAGGACGAGTCAATCTTTGACAATGTACAACAACAAGTAAGAAGAGAATCAGCAACATCCTCAATAACATCCTCCGATGACACTGGTTACGTCACAATCAATGATTTCAAGTTTGTGTCCAGAGAAAATGAATATACAACGGTTGAGAAACAATACATTTCAAACTGTGTCCCCGACTTGAACTCTTTTGATAAATGGAACGGCAGGTTAATCACAATAAGCAATGCTGAATTTTTTGTCAGAGATGAAAGAAATTACAAAAACAAAGATGATGTCTTTATAAGCTATAGTGCATTGGGTGATTTAGTTCAACTGTATGATCGAAAATTTTCCAATTTGCATCAACCGGACAAGATCAGTTCCACAAGAACATTTCTTATTCACCAAAGCGGATTGGTTGGCATTGCGCAGGAATGTTGAAGAGGGTAAAATGCGTATTTATTTATTTATTTATATAACGATTAACGACTTTCACGAGTAAATATACATAACTGTTGTGATGATCAAGATCGAAGGTACGTGTATTGCAGGCTCAAGTTAGTGTCCTCTTTGTATTCATGAGTTTTCCCTGTGTTTTTTTTTGTAATGATGTTTATACATCTTCATTTCAAAGCTACGATCAAAAACTAATCATTAATCGACATTTCTCTCGCAGCCAGGAAGAAAAACTCTTACTTATAAACCCGAAACCTTGGCGATATCTTGTCGCTCAAAATTTTGCAAGTTTTAAAGTACATAAATTCCTACACGAATAGAAACGCTTAGTTCACTACACATGAGTACATTGAATCAAATGCTATTTTTTCTTTTGATTAATCCACTTGTTAACTCGTTTATTTCTACCGCATAGCATCAATTATAGAAATCTTCGCCAGATTATAATTTAATGCTTTCAAGTGGTGTATCTAGTCTTCGTTATGAGACAGACTCAATACAAACGGGTCTTCCCACAAAGTGGCAGCAACCACCAGGGTTGGTTTCTATCGCTACGCAAAACGTTATGACTTTAGGTTTCTATTTATAGTAGCCATGGGCCTACACTTTTCTTTTTGCAGAGAAAGCTCCACGCAGCGCTATTATGATTTGCTTTGAAAACCATTCTATGTTGCATCTAAGGTTATAATATAGGATTCGTCCTTCTGGTCCACAATACGTATAGTTGGATATCTTCTTTGACTAATGGGGCCGATATTGCCTAGCCACTCGATGAATAATTTTCAATGAAGTAGAAGGGTTAAAAAAAAAAGGCACAAAGTTGGCCTTGTGTCACCCTCGAAAAAGCTTGCTAATCTCCGCCTGAATCTGCTTCATTTCCGTTATATCGTTTTTGAAAATCCGTTTAATGACCAACCTGTACCTTGGACAAGTCTCTGTTATTATCTATACTTATTTAGCCCCAGGACGTTGTAGGTTTCATTGAAGCGCAAAGTGTTTGCGTCAATTTGCAACTGCCGCAAAATAGTTTGTTGCAATCATGAAAAAGACCAGAGACAAATACCCCATCCTGCTCTTTTTAGACAGTAGCACGACGGAATTTGAAACGTGCTGTCAAAATTCTTGGACGTCTCGTCTCGGGTGGTTGTGTAGAACGTTTTCAATATCTTAGATTCTTCATCTATTTATAGAAGGCATTTAAAAAACTCAGAGATGGGGCCGAGTCAAGTATACACAAAAGTCAAAACCGCAATCAAGATATTAGTGTGTTTTATTGTATTCATCGTCAGGTATGTCATTTCTCACACACGTGGAGCCCATAAAAGAAGCGCAAGTGTGGAACGTTCCGACGAAAGACAATGCCTAGAGACAAAAATTTGTAACAAGAGGCTAAAAATACCACTAAAGGGCCGAACGACATTTACCGACGGAAACAATGCAAGAAGGTCGTTAAAACTATGGTGGTTTGCAATATAATCGCAAACTTGAAAAACTCAGAGATGCAACTTTCACCACTGCCGTTAGTTATAGTATCAAGTTTCTACAGGTATACATTGCCCCTGAGACTCGGACTTGCTCATCAACAAACTGTACCGACTTAAGCAGGTAATTCAAGGACTGCAATTTTGCAAGCTTCTGTGTTTGGTCGTTTATTTTGTGTTCTTTTGTCATTTTGACTTCTTTGCAAAAAAAAAAAGAAACAAAACAAGTCCGCACCCACTTGTGCCTGCTTTGCCCCTTACCTCGAGTCACAAAACGATTCATACTGACAGCCAAGAACTGCGCAATTACTAATCAAACTGGTGTACAAAAATCTGCCATTTTATGGCCACATTTTACCGAGGACAAATACGTCACGTGCTGTGAGTTGCGAAAAGAGGATGATGCTATTTATAAACCAAAAGCTTCACATAATTAAAGATTTTATAAATACCTTATTGAAGTTTCTTGAAAGGTGATGCTTTTAGAAATCTTGTCGTACTTTTTTGAAGAAACATCTACTGTAACGTGAAGTCCTTAACTTTGAGTATTGTATGTATTTCGCCTTATGTCAAGGTAGGGAAAATATTCATAGAATGGAAAGGGGCACTTATGTTACGCAGCAGCCACAACTGGGTGTTGATGAATCGTGACAAGAAAGTCTTGCTACATGAGTTTTTGAAAAAGTTCTGATACAGTTCTCCTACACACAAGAAGCCATGGCGCTGCTGGGTCAGCAGTCACACCTGCTCGAGAATTACGTTCCATTTTGATTTGCGTTCAAATGTTTTAAAATACACAAACGTTTTGAATTATTTGGCAGCTAGTTCACTAATAGGGAACAATCAATTTTGATGCGGAACACCCATTAAAAATACAACAGAAGGCAATAAAAGCACTCAGGTGCCTCTTCAATTGTGCCGTGAAGTATCAGGAGCCAACAAAGCTACTTAGAGGCGGGGTCTCTCTTTCCTATTGACCTCGATGAATGCTTTTTACTAACAGTTCATCTTTACAGTCATTAGATATGCATTCAACACTACCAGAGTACACCTCAAGGAATGAATTACTTCCCAAATATACTTCCTCGATAAACCTTCATGGGTTTGCGTTACTCAAAATAGAGTTTTTGACTCCGTATCAGTGCAACAATGGAAATAGATCTTGGAAACCAGTACTTTTACAAATAAACTCAACTCAACTAAACATATACAATATCAATGCCGATAAAAAGTTGAAAGAGTTGCTCGTCATTTTGTACTTTGAGTTGAATAGTTTAAAGCAGTTGACAGCTGACATCAACACTGAGTACAAGAAAAACAATGGGGTGGATTTCAATTCAAGTCAAAGTGAACCAGATGATTTCTTTTCTGAGGATGCGTACGCCGGTATCAGAAAGGATAATCCGTTTAGCGAATCCAAGTTTGGAAAGTTAAAGAACAAGTTCAAGACGCAGAAGAATCACAAGATACTTTCCACCATTACCAACTACTATGATATATTAAAAGACAATCAATTACTTTTCGAACCAACTAGCGGCGACATCAAAGGCACCACATTTGAAAAACTCAAAGGCTCATTACTTCACTCATATTCACTAGCTCATTTACAAGTTGGTGAAGCACCATCATTGAACCAATTGATTTCCGCCATGTACAAAGAAGATCATTCATCATCGACGTCAAACATATCATCATTGGTCAAGTACAAAAACTCGCTTCGGCTAAGAATTGAATACAAACAAGTGTTGCTTCAATTTTGGTCATTTCATGGAATGGCTAGATGGTTTAGGACCATGACTATTGGTAAAGATTTGAGCTCACCGTTGGAGTCGAGAACTGTCACTAATTTCAAGTCAATCCCATCAAGTTTCAATCGAAGAAATAATACATTGTTAGCAGCAACAGCTGCTGCCGCCACTTATAATAGGAAAAGACATTATAGCCATGAAGTTGATAACAATACGATACAACTGTTTAAAGATGAACAGCGGACTTACAAGGACCGAAGTGCGTATGTTATAAACACAGAGGACGAAGAGGATTCTCTGTTTGACAACGCACAACAATACGCGAGACCAGAGTCCATACTTTCATCAATTTCATCGGTAGAAAAAACTGGTTACGTCAACATCAATGGGTTCAAGTTTGTATCCAATGAAAATGCATACACAACATTAGAGAAGCAATACATATCCAATTGTGTTCCCGATCTCAATTCTTTTGACAAATGGAATGGAAATCTCATGACTATAAGCAATGCCGAATTTTTTGTCAAAGATGGAAGTGGCAACAATGAGAGTGACAATACGTTTATAGGTTACAACATACTAGGTGATATGGTTCAAAGATTTGATAGAAAATCCTGCAACCTCAATGAACAAAACAAGTCCAGTCACACAAGAACATTCTTGATACAACGGGATGGTTTGGCCGAAGTTAAACAGGACGAGTGAGTGATGAACCATAAACTATTTGTTGTTGCACAACAGTTACAATGGAGAAAAAAAAACGAGTTGCAGAAATTCCTCTACTCTCTTTCTCAAATGTTAGAGGGTCCTTTCTCTTTTTGCTCAACATTTTTTCGGACTATGAAAAAAAGGACAGCAGAATAATTAGAATTAACACAGCGAGAAAAGAGTAATTAGATCAACTGGAAAAAGAAAAAGAAAATGAAAAAAAAAAATTGTCTCAGTTTTTACAGCCAAAAAGTTCTACTCCAACTAGAAACATCAGTTGTCAAAACACTGTTCAAAGAGATTGAATTCCCGGAACAGCTACTTACCCACTCCTTCCCGAAACCCATTCCCCGCTGCTTCCCCCCCGAAAGCATTGTCCATTTGTTCAAAACCTGTCTTATCGTTAAAGAGAAATATGCCCACTCCTGCTGAAATTATCGCTGCTCGTTTAAACAACCAGTCAGAAGAAGTTGAGCAAGAAGAGGTTGAGGGTATTGTTGCACCTGAGCCAAAGTCCAGAAGTAACACACCATCGATTAATGACGATTCTGCATTCCCTGCATTGGGATCAAAAATGGGTTCTGGTGTTCAACAATCAGGCGCCACTTCATGGGGCCCAAAAATGAAAGCACCTCCAACAGCAGTACCGGTTGCATCTAATACTCCCAAGACTTCTAAGAATGGTAATGGTTTTGCTGTCAAGCCAAAAATCTCCACTATCCAAGAAGCTTTCTCTTTGGATGTCGAAGATCAATTGAACGTCGCCCGTCCCGAATTTATCAAAATTTTGACCTATGTTATGCAAGAAACGAAAACTAACGTTGAATGTACCACTTCTCAACATACAAAAAAGAGAACGTTTTTGATAAGTGGTAAGCCAGATGATGTTAAACTTGCCAAGCGTTTGGTTGTCAAGAAGTTGACTAAACCAGTTCAAATCAACTTTAATGTACCAGCCAAATTGAGATCTAGAATCATTGGTCAAGGTGGCAGAACTTTGAAGCCAATCATTCAAGCAAATGAAGTTAGAATTGAGATTGGCGATAAGGAAGAATCATACAATTCAGGTGATGCTAGTGATGATGAGGACGACTTGTTTGCTACAACGGTCGTGATCAGCATCGATGGTGACGTCGAAGGTGCCAAAGCAGCAAAGAGCGAAATTTTGGCCATTGTTAGAGAAGAAACCAAAAACTTGACCGTCAAGGTTCCATTGAATGAAAATGTGAAACCATTTGCGGAAAAAGAATTACAAAGCATTGTTGATCAAAATAATGAATTGGACTTTTCTATACCCACTTTCAAATCAGGCTCAAACTCCATTGTGATCCACGGGGAGCGTGAATTGGCATTAGAGGCTAGAGCTAATGTGAAGGCAGCTTTAGAGAAGTTGTCTCAAAAGATTGTCACTGAAGAAGTCCCCATTCCTAGAACCAAGTATCAATTTTTGCCAATTGATGAAGTCTTGTCCAAGTGCAATGTTTTGATTCAATTACCAAAAGACGGCGAGACGAATGTTAAATTCATTGGCGAGAAGAAAAATATCAAGTTGGCTCAAGAAGAGGCAAGGAAAGTCACTTCACAGTACAAGGTTGAAATATTGGACATGTCAAAGGCCCACAAGGGAAATTTGAGACATGTTAGTGCTGTTGCCGCGTACTTGAATAAAATTGGTGCTTTCAAAACCATTGCTGAAGCCAATGATGTTGTGATCAATGCTCCTAAAATCAAGGAATTGAACGACGAATCTGTCACTTCAATTCCAATTCAAATTGTGTCAAAAGGTGGAGATGAACAAATCAAAGCTGCAAAGAAATCTATTGTTAGTCAAGTCAATAAGATCACTCCCGACCAAACCAAAGTTATTGATGATATCGAATCGTTTTTGTTAAACAGGGTTGATGGAGTCATTGGTGCTCTCGCCCAGAAAGAGAAAGTTGAATATGTCATTTTGCAAAATGTCATTGTCTTGTTCAATTCTCAAAACCAACAAGAAGAAGAGGCAGAGGACTTTGACGATATTGATTCCAGTGGTGATGACGCTTTTGCTAAGATTAATTCTGCTTTAAATACTTTGAGAGAATTGGCTGCTAATTTATCAAGCGCTACTTTGGAGGTGCCCACCAAAGATCAAAAAGAAGTTGTTTCAGGTCCAAAGGGTGTGACATTAAGGTCTATTTTATCTACTGTTGAACCTGATACTGTCTCTGTTAAATTGCACAGCAATGGAACTTCTTTGTCTGAGAATGAAATCTACATTCATGGTATTAAATCGTCTGTTGCAACTATCAAGAAGGAGATTGAATCTGTATTGGCTGATGCAAAGGAGTACCCAGATGGTTTCACAAGCGAAGTTCGTGTACCATCACAAATCTTGTCTAGATTGGTTGGTAAGAACGGATCATTTTTGAATACCCTTCGTGATGAGTTTGGGGTTAGGATTGATGTACCAGAACAAGATGCAAAGAAAGATGATTCTGAGAAAGCAGAGGTCACTATTAAAGGTGTCAAGAAAAATGTTGAGGCAGCCAGGGCCAAAATTTCTGCGTTGGCAAAGAAGTGGGCTGATGAAACATTGGTTAGAGTTAGAATTGAAAACCAATACCACCGTAGAATGATTGGAGCCCAGGGTGTGTTTATCAACCGTTTGCAAGACAAATACAATGTCAAGATTAGATTCCCCGCCGCTGATGCTTCATCTCCATCCCCATTTGCCGATGCACCCAAGTCAAAAGATGAGGTTACAATCAAAGGTCCGTCAAAGGGTGTTGCTAAAGCAGAGGAAGAGTTGCAAGAATTGTACCAGTTTGAAAAAGAAAATGGGTTCAAAAAGTTGTTGCAAATTCCTTCAAAAGCAGTTGCCAGAATTATTGGTAAAAACGGAGAAACCATTAAAGACATTGCTGATGGTACTGGCGTTGAATACAACTTTAAACGTGAAAACGACGAGTCTAGTGGATTTGTTGAATTGGAGTTGACTGGTTCCAAAGCAGCTTTAAAAGATGCAACAACCAAGATTCAAGAAATCATTGATGAGGTTGAAAACTTTGTTGTGCGTACAATCAAAGTTGATACCAAGTACCACCGTGATTTGGTTGGTCCTTCCGGATCAGTTATGAAGCAAATTATCAGCTCAGCAGGTGGGGATGATTTACCAAGAGGAAAGTACCATCGTTTGTTGACCATTCCAAATGAAGGTTCTGGTTCTGATGAGGTTGTGTCACAAGGTGACAAGACAATCGTCGACAAGATTATTAGTGCAATTGAGAAAATTGTTGAAGAGAAAGAAGCGTCTATTGTTGAGGAGATCGATTTACCCAAGGAAAAACACAGATTGATTATTGGACCAAGTGGCTCAATTCGTCATTCATTGCAGTCAGATTTCGGCGTCACCATTGAAATTCCAAGGGCAAATGATGAAAGCACTATTGTCAAAGTAAGTGGTTTACCCGAGAAAGTGGCAGCAGCTAAGGACAAGATTGAAGAATTGACCAAGGATGACTGGAAAGTCTCTATCGATATTTTGGAAAAATACCACCCATTAGTGTCTGAACATGGTGCTATTTTCAAAAAGTTAAAAAGCGATTATAAAGTTGAAGTGACCCACGGTGATTTTACCAGAAGAGCCAGTAAATTATCCTCAGCATTAATCCCTGCTCCTGTAGAATCAGCATACCCAGAGAACGAGGAGGAGTTTAAATTTACAATTGAAGAACTTGTGCCAGAAAACAGTGATGATGACGTTGTTATCCCTTGGAGATTGAAGGGAGATGAGGAAGATGTTGAAAAAGCGGTTCAATTGATCAACAAAAAATTGGAGTTGGCTAAATCTGCTACTGCTCATGCATGGTTCTATGCATCAAAACCGTCAGTGTTTTCAAAAATCATTGGACCTCAAGGATCAAAGGTTAATAAATTGCGTTCAAAGACAAATACATTCATTACAATCCCTAGAGCCAATGACAAGTTCTCTAAATTCATTTACCTCGTTGGTGATGAGATTAACTTGAACGAGGCGCATGAAGAGATTAAAAAGCTATTGTAAATAGAATATATCATTGGTTAGTTTTATCTTTTAGTTGTTGAAGTAACGGCTGTAGTGAAGCCATACTGTAGGTAGACTAAGCCCGCGTCGTACGGGTGAATCGGACAGAAAGAGCTTGCGGAGGTAAGCCGCGCCTCGTCAGTAGTATATTTTTTATGTTTCGGAATGACGTAGATTGTTATGCGCCGCGGTAAAATACTTTCTTTTTCAAGATGATAAGTGAATATAAATAGATGGCTTATCTTCCAAAACAGCAATCTTTTAAATTTTCTGGGACAATCAATATAGACACACTAATAAATACCATCCAACATGTTTGTAGTCGGAACTGCAATCGCAATAGGAGCTATAGCTGCTGATAGACACAAGAGAAAGAAGAAGCTTAGAAATATGAGTATCAAGGAAAGAGAGGAGTTTGAACGCTATGAAAGAGCTCAGCAAAGGATGCTGCAACAACAACAGATGTCCCAGCAAGGATACGCACACCCATCACAACAACAATATGCACCACCAAGACAACTGCGCAAACTGCGTCGCGCACAAGAAGCAGCAACACATTCTCAAACCCCTAGCACAGATAAATCGAGTCGAATGAATTATAACCGTGAAGGAAGAGCTGCTAATAGGCAGGACCACGCAGCACCATCATCATCATCGTCAATGTCATCACTACCACCACCACCACCCACACCACAGAGAAACAAACAAGGGCCAAGAGTTCAGCAACATGTGCAGTCAATGCTTGGAGATAATGATGTTTACGATCCTCCACCAAAGTATACCCCTTGAACAGCGGGCGAAGGATTTTTGATTTTATATAACTTTTTACTTTAAATAAACGAATAGCTTTATAATTTCCGATGTAGTAGTAAGCGAGTTTGGTGATTCATTTGTCACATGATTGTCGCAGAACCTTTTTCACGACACTAGAACGAATACACTAATTGCAAAAGATTACCCGACCCGCAACCAAAGTCTCCAGTTTGTGAATTGAAGTTAGAATGGGTATTTTGCTCCAAACAAGTAGTATGTCGCCATTTCGCCCAGTAAAAACGGGGAATCCATTTTTATTCTGGAGAAATTATGCCAAGCTTCACCTCTTATCTACAAGAGCAAGCCACAATTGAAGAAAAGTGAAATTGCCGATTGCTACAATCAAGATGTTGTTGAAGAGTGCCCAACGCCTCTGGTTTGCCTTACATATCCACCTTTGTTGTTGTTAGTGTCTTTGAAAAGACGAGATGTCCAAAACAATAGGTAGAATACGAATAGATCTGAAATTTCATCGTAAACGACATGTAGCGAGATTCGTAAGGCGTCGGGGCATTTTCTCCACAGTAGTAACCACAGTTTTCTTTTTTGTCATTTGTACGTCTACACACGTTTTTGCAGATGAATTCTCCTGAATTTCATGTTTATGCCTGAAATAAACCGTTGACGGAAAAAATAGAAATCAACTCACACGACACAAAACTAAAAAAAAATCAATTGGGCTGCAAAAATGCCTTTTTATTGCAACTTCACGTGATCAAGTAAACTTTAAAACGACACAGAGGCAAATTGCCTTATAAAATAAATTGACAATTTATCCGGTCGACAGTACTACAGTGGGATGCTTTTGGTTACGTTTCGGCGATTTTGAGGTTAAATGAGTGTAAACACTGTTAATTCATGCTGTAATTAATACGAACGATGTTAATTGACGACCCCTCCTTTACTGTGGGATGATCCACAGTGTAATCTGTGGCTCTCTGCCACGAAAAATACATGTAAATAATAAGGAGAAAAAAACGACCAAGAGAACTCATAAATTGCCCAATTTCTTCAACACTGGAGCACTCTACTGATGGTTCTTGACTCCTCTGTATCAACCTCCTCCCTGCTCCATACATTACTCTATACGGCTCTGTATGTGTTACACCTAATTACTCTCAATTCATAAGCCACAGTTTTTTTTTTCGATTGTTATAAATTAATGCGAAGAGTTTAAAACAGAAAGCATAAAAAGGAAAAAGAAAAAAAAGAAATTTAAACGGTGTGAGTAAAAAATAAAATATTAATTGCAGCTACAAGAAGGTCCCTTTTTTTTCTTTCAAATCATTTATTATAAAGACGTTGCCATTTCCCTTCCCCTTCCCCTTTACTCATCGCGGTTATTAATTATCTCCTATACGAAATCATCTTCAACCACAATGGGGCTCGCTGACGCTTATAGGTTTCTGAGTAACTCAAACTCCGAAAAGAAAACCGAAGAAGGATTCGAAAACAACAGCAATGGCATAGATAGTTTTGATAATCATAGTCAACTAACTTCAGGCTCCGAAAAGGGGGCACACGTTTTGGAAACAGATAGAAATGTCAAGGAAATTGGAATTGTTTCAGCTTCATTTTTGATGCTCAATAGAATGTTGGGAGCAGGTGTGTTTTCGACTGGTTCTACAATTTATGCTTTATCAGGTTCAGTGGGAACTGCATTGATGATGTGGTTTGCTGGTACAGTTATTGCATTCACTGGGCTCTTGGTTTACATGGAATTGGGAACAGCTTTACCAAGAAATGGTGGTGAGAAAAACTACCTTGAGTACATGTTTCCAAGACCGAAATTTTTGGTGACGGCAATGTATGCTTCGTACGTGTTTTTTCTTGGTTGGGCATCTGGTAACTCAATTGTTGTTGGTGAGTATATCTTGAATGCTGCAGGCAAAGAAGTCACCCAATGGAACTCTAGAGGTATTGGTTTAGCTGTTATAACATTTTCATTCTTGATCAACGCTATCAATGTCAAGGCGGGTTTGTTTTTGGCCAATATTTTGGGTACTTTCAAAGTAATCATTGTTCTTTTCATCAGTGTTACTGGATGGGTTGCGTTGGGAGGCGGAATCAAGACGAATAACTTTCAATCAACTGGTAATTTCCACAATGCTTTTGAAGGGGAGAGTCCGACTGGTTTTGGTATAGTCAATGCTTTATACAATGTTATCTGGTCTTACGTCGGTTACTCAAATGCAAACTACGCCTTGGGTGAAATCAAGAACCCAGAAAGAGTCTTGAGAATTGCTGCACCATCTGCATTCATTGGTTTGGGTATCATTTACATGTTTGTCAACATTGCATACTTTGCTGTCGTTCCAAAGGCTGAAATTGCATCATCAGGCAGAATCTTGGCTGCTTCGTTTTTCAAATATGCTTTTGGTGACAAGGCCGAAACAGCTGCTTCGGCTTTCGTTGCCATCTCGGCATGGGCAAATGTTATGTCTGTCATTTTTTCACAAGGTAGAATCATTCAACAATTGGGACGTGAAGGCTCTTTACCATTTTCACGTTTCTTTGCTACTTCAAAGCCATTTGGAACTCCGTTTGTTGGGTTGATGCAACATTGGATTGTTTGTATTGTTACCATTGTTGCCCCACCACCAGGTGATGCATACAATTTCATTTTGAACTTGATTTCATACCCATTGAATGTTGTCAACACTGTTCTTGCCGGTGGATTGATTTACATATACTACAAAAAGTACAAAGGATTGACTGAGTGGAACCCTCCAATTAAGGCCTCTCTTCCAGTTGTCATTTTCTTCTTCCTTGCATCATTATACTTGATTGTTGCTCCATATATCCCACCAGTTCATGGACAAAAAGTGTACAATGACTTACCGTACTGGATCCATGCCGTTGTAACTTGGGGTGTCTTTGGGGTTGGTTTAGCATATTGGATTGTTTGGGTCAAGATTTTGCCACACTTTGGTGGTTATCGTCTTGTTGCAAAAGAGATTTTGGGTGACGATGGATTTTGGAGAAATAAGATTTACAAAGTTTCAAAAGATGCTGATGAGATCGATCAAATCGGTGAAAATGTTGAGGTGGTCAAATGAGGGATCAAAGGGGTATGATCATCGCTTAATTTTCTTTAGTTCTCCTTTGTATATTAAATAGAGGTTCAATTCTATTGGGATTTTGTTTTAGTATGAGAGCAGTATTAGTTTGTAAAAACAAAACATAATTCTTGTTCAACTATTTACAAGACATACATCTCTATATGTTAAACCTGTGTCCCTTTGGTGCATGCAAAGGTGACCATATTCCTCTAACCGAATCATTTTCTGATGCAACCTTGTGGTTACATTTGAACAAGTCATTACCTGATCGTTGTAGATACTCATTGATCTTTTGAACAATTTCGTGATTCTTCATGTTCCTCACATCAACCTCTGTAACTTTATCATCATTATAACGAAAAATGAGTTTAGGATGTCCTTGTCTCTTGAGCACCTCAAACATCACTTGAGGTTTCGATTGTGCTAGCTTATCCAATTGTCCATTTGTTAAAATGTGTCTCATACCTTGGGAGGACCCTCCCCAGTTACAGTACTGTAGCGTTAGTTTGTTGCAGGGAAGTACGTAAGTACCTAATCCATTCCGTGCTATCGAGGTTCTTGCTATAGCTTTGACAGGCATCTCAATAGTGTTTAGCTTGATACTGTTGATATTAATGGGGCACGCAAAAAATTTTCATTTGATAAATCGCGGTCGTGTAGGCAATCCCAATAAATACTAACAGGAGGAATCAATCTGAAGAACATCCAGATTGATATTCAATAGCATAAAACAGTATTGTAGAAAAATGCTAGCCATTGATACCGTTGAAAGTAGCTGATATATACAGCTGCCAAACAACTCACAGCTCGTTTGGTTCGCCACAGTCATGGAAACCCCACCAATAATGACTCAACGAGAGCATAAAGAACTACAACACGATATCTGGCGAACTTCCACTACAAACAACCCTCATTTGTAAATGCCTTGTATTGGCAAACAACCTATTCCAAATCCTAAAACAAACCTAAATAGAAAAATACATCAGCTTAAAAGAACGAAAACAATACCCCCTCCCATTGAACTAGTTTTTAAACCCCACACAAATCCTTTCGAGAATCAAAGCTGGTGATTATGAACTTTGTGCTTGACGCGTGCTTCTTGATGTCGTCTCTGTTCTCCTTCTCTCCAGAATCTTCAAATCGCAGTCCTCGTACATTGCTGTCTTTAGCTTGTAACTTGTAGCTGATATTACGTAATGGTGGTAAAGTCATGAAACTTACATCTTGGCTGGGACTGCCTGGATGATGGGATATGGGGGATTGCATGGGACTTGGATAAGGATTGACCTCCTGTTTTACAGCCATTGGTGTGGATTTCATTGCAACTTCTGGTGACAAAGGTGCTTCATGGGTAATTGGTGACGATAACAATGAACTTATATCACATTTGGTTGACCTCACGGTTGCAGTTTTGACGCTTTCTTCTAGCTCCTTCCGACTATCTTGATTGGCGGCAGGTTCGGGCCAACAACATTCCAAAAAATTTCTAGTACAAGCTTGACATTTGCCATTTACCTTATCTTCATCACACTTCTTCTTTCTCTTTCGGCAAGTAAAGCAACCAGTTTTCGTTCTTCTTTTGATTTGACTTTCGTCCTTCCTTGGCTTGCTAACTTTTGTACGCGAGCAATTTACCTTTTTTGTTGATGATAATAATGATGATGGTGAGGGTTTGACTGAAATGTTCAAAACTCGTTGGTACGACCTATAGCTGGTTTCCATTTTTTGAATATAACACTATTACTACAAGAAGAGCAAAGAGGAGAAGGAGCTTCTAATTTTTAAAAATTTTCACCGTCTATATGAATCATGCTCTGAAAACATTGCCCTAATGCTTCTTCTCCAAAAATAAAAAAGAAAAAAACTTAACCAAATTGGCATTTTCCAAAAATTTAACCGCGAGTGTCCCAAAATGGATTTTATTTTTGAAAATGGAAGGTAACACCTTAGCACTAATCTCAAAATGGCAATTAAAAGCATGCGCGGTTATAAAAAACAAGGAGCCACAGAGAAAGAAAAGGAAACTCACCACGAGACTGTGGCAAGGTAATCACAGAGAAAAAGAAATTTTTTAACTTTTAAGCTGCAAAATCGAATCCGATAGGCATTTACGATTTGAAAGAGAAGCATGCATGCACACGATACAAAGTTCATTTGTGCTACATAAATTGCGATTTGTATTTTTAGCAAGGCATCTTCTCCATTTTTTCAAGTTGTGACCGGTGCAACGCAGACTAAAGTACGATTTCGCTAATCACACCTGCACTTGGACACCTATTTTTTTCACTTCCGTCTACAATTTGCGTCAAGCCAGACCATAAAAATAACATTCCCCTACTGAACTATAAAAAAAAGTTCTTTAAATTGGCTTGACTGCTCTCAAAGCTTGTTCTAAATCGCCAGTGGTGAATTCTTCCTTGTTCAAATCCTCGAGCTTTCCTATAGGACGTTCACCCAACACACTAATCCTATAAGCATGTCTAACTTCACCATCCTCAGTGTCAAATGTAGCAGTATGAGAAACACCACTGTTGTGGAACAAAGCAACCTTGTTTCTCTTTCCACCTTCCCAGTTGACCCTCAATTGTAAGTCGTGACTTCTTTCAATAAGATCATAAAGGAAATTCAACAAGTATTCACTTTCCTCTTTCTTCAATTCAACGATTCTTCTTCCAAAGGCTCTATTGACATAAATTGATTTTTCTTTAGTGACTGGATCAACTCTAATCAATGGATGAATATTCGAAACAGCTTTTCTTCTTTCAACACCACCTTGAAACGTGGAGTTGGCTGCTTGGTCCTCACTTGTGTGCAAAACGTGCAAACCTTCCAATCTCTCCTTCATAGCTGGTGACAATCTTCTGTAAGCTTCAGTTGTATCAGCGAAAACAGTATCACCACCGTCACCACTTTCCAACACTTGAAAAATTGTAAATCTACTAGGAGTTATCTCATAAGTGACATCACTATGGAAAGACGTGTTGGTGGTTCTGTCACGAAAGACTCTCTCCAACTCGCCCTTTTCTGGTCTTCTGTATGTAATGTGCAATTCAGGATGACCTCTTGGAGAACCTGAACTTGGATGAATGTGTAAATTTCCAAAATATTTACCAAACTCAACTGCAAAACCTGGTCCATGTTGGGCAAAATCTTGATCGTTGAACAACAATACTTTTCTTTGTGCTAAAAATAAAGCCAATTCGTCCTTTGCAGCATCATTCAATTGTGACAACTGGATACCATCCACCTCAGTACCAAACTTCGGGGTGATTCTAGTTGCTTTGTAATTACCACCTTTGGGGAACAAGTTTGGGAATGAAGGGTCAGCTCTGGAACCTGGGTCAATGTATTTCTCAAATTTCAAAGGTGGATATTTTTGTCTTGGGTCCCATGTAGGCAAAAAATCGGGAAATTTAGCCTGTGCTCTGTTGTGTCTATTGATGACCAAAACACCATCTTCGTCAATCTCGTCAACCTCCTTGTTGAAGTGGATATCAGAGTTACCAAATTTTGTCGTCATTGTGTGTGTGTGTGTGTATGTGTGTGTGTATGTGTGTAAATGTGTACGTAAGAAGGGAGTATATGAGTATGTGAAATAATTTGGAAAAGTTCAATTGGACAATTTGATCACTTTATATAATTTTTTAAACCACCCGGAGAGTTGGTTTTGGTAATTAATCGTGACATTGATTGATACTGACGAAATTCATAGAATTGTTTGGATTTTGTGCCTGATAGTTAGAGTGATAACACAAGATGTGTGCAATCGTCGACGCCACAGTTTGTAATTCAACTTCGCAACTGGTAGCAGTCTCGGCACGGAAAATTGATTACATTTGGTCTTTTCCAATCGGTTCGGGGAAAAGATTAACACCACTTGTTATCTTACAGAACAGGGTATTGTTCACATGCATCTTATGAGAGAACTTTTTTTCACCTCTTCTAGATTTGAAATGCAAGGTATACACGGTAGAAGTGACAAGATTGCACCATTCGGCCGAGACTCCGCAATTCAAATTTCTTTCCACGCGCCGAAATCCGAAAGAACGCCACACATTTTGTGAACTTATGACGAAATCTTACAAATAGTGAGATAGTATTGTAACTATGAAGTCAGGATTATTTGTTGTCAGAAAGATCTGACAATGATAGAGAATGAAAGCACAAGAGTCACTGAGGCAGTTTTTGAAGATCTTTATTCCGTCTATGTATCCCTAAAAAATTTCAGAATCCGATCCCTTTAGGTACACTGATACCATTTAGTTCATGTAGAAGCCAAATATTCGGACTGGTTTCATTATCAGCAACGCCTACAACTACTCTTGCCATTGTTGCTGCCGAACCGGGTTATCACACCAATTTTGATAGCTAGTTGCAATGCATCTTGTTTCCCGATTCTGTTCAAAGGTTGAACACCTTCTAGCCAATTATTTATACATATTGCAGAAGCAATGGAATAGTCATTGCACAGATCATTCCGACAAACTTCTCAACAATCGTGTGATAAAATACCGAAGTGATACAGAACAGAATAAACCATAGGGTGAGGAATAAAAATGATATCAGCAAAACAGCCTTTTTATAGATAGCGTAACCGCGTCCACTCCTTGATGAATAATCCTCATTATTGATGGGACCTTGCACACAACCTGCTTCGAGATCGTCCTCAACAATTGTCGTTGACCTTGACATGTTCTGTGATATCCCGACGTAAGGGAGAATCAATCGCCAAACAAGGAGACTGTTTGAAATTAGCATGGTATAGTGACTCGACGAATCAAACGCATTCACCCAGGTACCTCCTGCCTTATCACACTTATATTCTCTGTATATATCCGGAATGGTACAATACGCACCAGTGGCAACGCTAACCCTCTCAAAGATAGGAGACCCGAAACACCACTCTAGTAAAAGTGTCAACCAAATCATATTATAAAAATAGATCTTTATTGCGCTAACGGTCCACGGTTCCTTTAAGGGTATTGAAGCGTGTCCATTTTCAATCTTGATCAAATTGGCCACATAGATTACCGAAAACCAATGGAACATATATTTTCTGACAATATATTGCTCTAAAAACTGAACAAACCAAAGTTTGCCAATGTACAAGTTGTATCTTTTGAATGCCAAGGTAAATGGAATGGAGATGACATAAACGATTGGGTATAGCAAGCATACACTACTCCATGGCTTCTGAGTGATTGTTTGAATCGAAAACATGTTCCAAACGGGCTGCACACCACACCCACAACAACAACAACAACAACCCAACACTTTAAAGCAGTTCAAAATAAAGGGCCCTACTACAAACAAAAAAAAAAATTAAAATCTTAAATTGAGTTGTTGCCAATGTGCACGCTTTCTTGTGTTATCTTTACATCTGCGCATCGAAATCAATTTTTCAAATTCCCGAATAGCAATGATACAAACCATTCGATTAATAAGCAACCAATAGAGAATCCTCAAACCCGCTACAAATACACTGCCCACTACAATTAAGGTGACCCAAAAGAGCACAAACAGTCTTTTTAATGCCTAAATCATCCACAACTTTACAATTGCTATCTAAGTCACGGGTTTTGCAACCACCAAAAAATCTAAGGAGGGCGAGATTATTTTCATCACGAGCACAAGACTCAAGCGCATCCAATCCCCAACTATCGTTCCCATGTTTGGATAAGCGGGAAAAAAAGACAGAGGAGTTGTCACGCGGTGTCTTTAATCTGTCAAATATTTCTTCAAGTTTAAAGTCTGGTCCAGAACCAAGTTATGGGTTTGTTCGAACTGGGTTTCAAACTTACAAGTCTAGAAAACCAATATTCTTAGATTATGGAGGACATTTGCCTGAGTATGAAATTGCGTACGAAACTTGGGGAAAACTCAACGAGGACAAATCTAACTTGATATTGATACACACAGGTCTCTCAGCCTCGAGTCATGCAAAATCACAACCCCACAATACCAAGCCAGGATGGTGGGAGAACTTTATTGGGCCAGGGGAGTTTATCGATACTGACAAGTTTTTTGTGGTGTGCACAAACGTTCTTGGGGGTTGTTATGGATCTACGGGCCCTTCCTCAATTGATCCCGCAAATAATCAAAGATATGCAACACGATTTCCGATTCTTTCTGTGAACGACATGGTAAGAGCGCAAAGGGAGGTAGTGCGTGACGAGTTTGGTGTGTCAAAGGTGCATGCATCCGTAGGGGCTTCAATGGGTGGAATGCAAAGTTTGGCATATGCTTGGGAGTTTCCCGACGAAGTTGGGAAAATCATTAGTATTAGCGGCTGTGCTCGCTCCCATCCATACTCTATAGCTTTGAGACACACACAAAGACAAGTTTTAATGAGTGATCCCAATTGGAACCGAGGATTTTATTATGACAAGATACCACCTCATGTGGGTATGAAGTTGGCAAGAGAAATTGCAACAGTAACGTACAGGTCTGGCCCTGAATGGGAATATAGATTTGGCAGAGCAAGAGCTGATGACGCAAGACCTCCAGCCTTGTGTCCTGACTTTTTAGTTGAAACCTATTTGGATCATGCGGGGGAAAAGTTTTGTTTAGAATATGATGCAAACTCTTGGTTGTATGTTTCCAAAGCAATGGATTTGTTTGATTTAGGTGAAAATACCAGATCAAGAGCAATAGAGGAGAGACAAAGAAGTGAAAAAAGGTACAAGTCAGCTTCAGGAGTGCCAAAGGAATATGATGTTGTTCCAAAGGAGCCGTACCAAGAGAAAAAAACCACATCCAAGTTTAGTGTTGAGGAATCTTTAGAGGATCTAAAAAGGGGGATGCAAAAGAGATTGGCAAACAAAGATGTGTTGGTGATCGGTGTTGAGTCAGATATTCTCTTCCCAGTTTGGCAGCAGCGAGAAATCGCAAATGTCTTGAAAGAGAATGAAAACAATACAACTGGTAAGATTGAATATTTCGAACTAGGAAACGATATAAGCAACTACGGTCATGACACGTTTTTGTTGAGCCTTAACGATATCGGGAAACCGGTAAAGAAGTTTTTAGAAAGTTGAATATATATATATATATATCAATAGATTATCGATTGGTGATTGGGATCCAATTCATAGCCAAACCGTCTACTAATGGCGTAAATGTATTCTCTAAGGTTAGCCACAACAACCTTGGCCAATCCATTCTTTTTCTTCTTTCCATCATCTTGCACATTCACTTGATGATGGGGTAACAAGTTATCATGAGCACTCAAACTCACAAACAATGCAAAGGGGACAAACCAGATTAACAATCCGAAAAAAGAACAAATCTCGGCAAATTCTGGTATCCTTGGGGCTTTATAATCAGGTTGCAATCTCACTTCCAATGGAGGGATGTATGGGTTGTGGAAGTGGTTAAACCAAAGAAAGTGATTTGCTATAACTAAAACAATGCTCAATAGGAAAATTGGACTCGTCAATTCAACATAGGGAAATTTCTTCAAGTTTTGCAAGTAGACATAGTATGTGAATACCGAAAACGCAGATAACTTGATTGGGAACGAGTCAAAAAGCACGAGCAATATGAATATCACTATAATAGAATATATGAGCTTTTTTAAAAATCGTTTTGTAGGTTCCGTATGTTCTTCAACAAGCTCTGATATGTAATACAACCCTGAAGCAATCGATAGCACTAGAAATAGGAAACCTATAACCAATCCTGCGTAGGAAAGTAGTTGCAATATCATCGTAGGAGACGAGATGTTGAAAGCGTTGTTGAATTGAGTTCTTCACTGTGCTGAACACAGTATCTGACGATGCAAAAGGAATACAATTTTTTTTCTTTGACTTTGCTTCTTTTTTCCGCTAACCGTGGGATGGAAAAATTGCGACAAGAGGTTGGTTTAGACAAAACAAGGACACACAAGAGGATTCAATTAATCTATAATAGCTAATCATAAATTTCCATTGGAGGAATTCTATCTGTGTTGTAGAACCAATTGTTATTTTCCAACTCAACATCAAGCCATTGGGTGGGGAATAGAACCAAATGCCCTTTGATATTACTCAACAATTTTTCAGCGGCTTCCTTGTCGTAAACCAACTCTCCAGACAACATCCGTCTACGAGTTGCAAAATTAGTAGCTCTATTCTTGCGGTACTTCTCGTGCGTTTTTGAAGTTCCATTTTCTTTTCTGGTCGCTGTGTGAGTTGGTGATTCATCAGTGGTGTCTTGTCCAAGGTCATTGTGAAAGTCGTTTTCATCCAGCTCTGGCACATCATTGTTATCAACAAATGCATCTTGGTCTTCGGGTTGGTTCCTCTTCCCTTCTTTATCCGGAACAGAGCTAAATTTTCTGGTCAACTTGTGACGTCTCTTGCCCTCATGTTCAGCAGACTTGCCAAGCTCTTTCTTTTCTGGAGGTACTCTTCCCAAAACTCCCATATCTTCCTCTAAATCATCCACGGATTGCTTAAAATCGTTCCCGAGGCGAAGGATGTCATCACTTAGTTCACTCGTCTCTGGTTTTGATGTAGAAACCGCCTCTTTGTCAGACAATTGACCCTTCATAAACTTGCTCTGCAATTTAGCAAAATTTGTATAATCAGACCACCGAGCAACTGCATCATCAGGTTGGCAGTGAAACACCATACGGAAAATATCAGTGTTTTTTCTCGCTATTTCATACCATAATAGCTCGTAAAACTCAGGACTCAATGGATCCTCGAACCCATAAGGGTCAATGAATGAGTTGGCACAATCAGCATCTGGAGAAGAGATAGTCTCAAGGATGTCTTTGATTTCTTGGTCGCTGCATGAAACAGGAGAATCGGCCTGGAAACCACTTCTAATTGCCTCCTCGGTATTTGAGTTGTCCTCAGTGGTCGACTCGTTGGCTTCAGTAAGAGTTCCGTTCGCATCAGTTGAAGCCTTTAATGGCAGCATTCCAGCATCAGCACGTTTCTTATTTTCAATGGTAACGTACTTCATTTCATTGGCTGCAACTCTTTGCAAATACGAAACCTTTTTCAACAAGAGCCATCTTTCTTCATTTCTTTCGTTGATGAGATGCTCAGATTCCTCATCATCATTGGCTGCAACATGTTCGTCATCGCAATTCAAGAAATCAAGAACGTCCTCATACAGGGGTACAAAGTTGGTTTTTGGCAAATCAGACTCCATTACCTCAAGCGATTTCTCTTTTAAGAACTTGCTACTCGATAAGCGAGCACTTTTAGCAAATTCCGACTGATACTTGTCTATACCGTAGCCCCGAACGTCTGCCTTATGTTGCTCATTGTGTTGCACACGATTATCATAAGACTTCTTCTTCTTGTCACGGACCCCTATATTAGCCTCCTTTGGACCGGTCCTATAGTTGAACATTGTTGGTAGGTCCAAGGGTTTTGGTGCATCCTCAATCTCTTCCGCATAATCAACCTCAGCTACGGTCTCATCTAACTTTGAAAGATTGATGTGATCTTTCCATCTTCTGGTACCTTCCTTCTCATTCAACACATCCCTCGAGGCTATTTCAACCATGGCTGAGTTAACTGAATAGCTTTTTTTGCTGAACTTGTTAGTGGCGAATTTCAACCCATCTTCAGATTTAGCATATTCCTCGAACCTCTTGAAGCGCCTTTCGACGGCATCTAGGATATCAATACTGACGCCAAGGTGTTCCCTCATCAATCTCATCCTCAATGTGTGAGCAAATCTGGCAGCCTTATAGGGCTCACCATTCATATGAGTTGAAATCATTTCTGTGTCCCTTACGACTGCAGCAACTTCAGAATCTCTCACTCCACGCATAGACCTTTCATTAATGTTGGCACTACCAATTATGACTGATCGATCATCCACAATCATGCATTTGGCATGAATATATAGTTGTTCGGTGACTAAGGTTCGTTGTAGACCTATTCTACCCCACTTTCGTAAGGAAAAGAATTGAATATAATCATCGGGATTGATGCCCTTTTTCCTCAACTTAGCAAAGATTGAAGTCTCACCTCTGGATATGGACATAAATTGACATTGCATGATTACCCGAACTGATGATCCTTCTGCTTCATCAACTTGAGCTTCAAAACCTGGCATCAAAGGAATGACGATTATTGCTTTCCAAGTGAGACCCTCTTGGTGTGCGCGAATTATCCTTTCAACTAAGGCATCACCAATTCTATTCTTTATTTCAACGCCATCAATGAAACATGATGTTACAAAAAATTGATTTTCAATGTAAACGAAATGTTCCGAAGTCTCTATCAATTTCAAGTAGGCATTTTGAATACTTTGCTCGTGCTCTTCAAGACCCAAAGACCATTTTCCTGAAGATCGTAATAGTTGAACCTCACAAGTGCCGCTATATCCCGCATTTCGAGCTTCCTCATCTGTGAAATCTGGTGGTGGTAACAACAACGGTGTAAGCCTACTGGGTCTTTTTTGTCTAATCAAATAATTCCATCGTTGGACAAAATGTCGTGACAAATCTCTTGCAGTTTTCCCATAAGTCATCATATGGATATCATGCCAAGGCATCCTTGGAATAATTTTTCTATTATACATGGATTTGTAAGGCTTGTCCAAATCAAAGAAATCTTTGACTCTAGGATTGGAATAATCTTTACCCATGAAAACCTGAAAATTTTCTAAATCGGCTGCGGTGGCGTGATCATCTATTCCAAATTGTTCAAAGTCTTCGGGTGAATCATCAGTTAGAACATGGTCAGCTGTATCGTATCGACCATAACATAAATCTATGCCTCCCAAAAATGCATAAGTCAGATCTACGATGCATAATTTTTCATGATGGGCCCAGAAAAAGGTGTTTTGTAAGAGCTGATTGGGTGATCTTATAACATGAATGTTTTCTTCGTTGAGCCACAATAATGAGTGCTTTGTGTATAAAGAGTCAGTGGCAACAGTTGTTCCGACATTCCGGTACACAATGACAAAAATTTTAACACCCTCTTTTGCCTTTCTTTGTAACAACCTGTCAATTCGGTACTGCTGGTTACCCAATGCCGGTCTTCTTAAGTAAAGTTCTGGAGATAACCACCAGTCATGAATGTATATAGTCTCCTTAGCCATCTCCATAGCTGCAGATACTGCCCAAAAGTAATCTCTTCCATCGACAAACCATTGAGCAAAACAATTTTGTCTAATTGGAGCAAAAGAATCAAATCGATGTTTCATTCCCCATTCAGTGCTATGTTGCATTCGACGGAAAGATTCTAACCAAGCTTTGTGATCTCTTGAGGACTTGGGATTAACCACCAATTTTCGCTCCCTATTTTCCAAAACAATTTTCAAATGCGGAAAGAGCTTGGTGTGGTGACGCACATTCTTGTCAGCTTCATTTTCATCAAAATTGACATTGTCGTCATCGTCTTTGACTATATTGCTCTTGGAGTGAATCTTGAAATTTGAGTCAACCAAAAACACATCCAAGGGTGTTGTTGAATTTATGTCGGAAACATAAACCACATAGCTGTTTCTGACCAACATCCATTTTTCAGTTCGTCGATCATACATTCCTTTCAAGTCATTGGCTTTGAAATGCCCAACTCTCCATCCTTGCTTTTTAGCTGATGAGCTGATGTGAATTGACCCTTGTTTTCCTTGAAATGAACCTTCATAGTTTAACAACGAAGAAATTGGCGAAATTTCAAAAAACATAAACACTAAATTGGATAAAGGAGTCAAAGCAACGTATTTGATGAGCTCTTTCAAATAATTATCTAATTGCTTCATGTATTCGATATTCCTTTGATGAAGCCTCAAGTTTTCCGAGTCACTTTCCCTCTGTCCATGAACGGGAGATACAATGGATGCCAAGCTTTCCAATCGCAGTCTCATTCTCGAAAGACCCGACTGTGCACTTATTAACGATTGGTTGTCTGCGCCGCCACCATCAGGTTGCATCTGCGAAGAAGTATCTAGCAACTTTGTCTTTTTCCTTCGGTCCTTTATAGAAGGAACAGGAAATTTAGGCAACTTGGTTTTGTTACCAAAAACCGATCGCCAATTGTCAAGTTTACAACGCGTGTGCAAGTAAAATATATCGGTGATTGTTCTCTCAATGCTCCACTTCATACTTTTATCACCAACACCGTATTCCAAATCAATACGATAAAGTCTATTCTTGGTATTTTCATTCGACGAAAGATCAGAAAATTGGAATCCTAATAAAGAAAATAGCAAAGGTGCTCTGGCTATCCCACCTTCGTCCACAAACAAACATGACGCCATAACACCTAGAGATGGCACATTGACAACAAATGAGTTCACAAGCAATTGTGCTCTTTTCTCTGTTTCTGTATAGGAATCATTCTGGTCCTCCATCTGAGATTCTGGCCGATGATTCTTGTCTTTTCTCTTTCTTCTTGGTTCAGACTCACGGTTTGGCCTGACGAATTTGGAAAAGTTTTGAATAGCTGAAGAGCGACGTGATTGAGGTGAGATTGGCTCATCCTGGTTGACTCTATTGCTTCCAGGCTGATTATCTGATGTCATGCCTTCTTCATTGTCAGCTGCCTCTTCTTCGTCTGAGCTGTACCTTGACTCTTGTGGATCTTCACCCCATCGGTGGAAAAAACTCATTGGATTTGAAATGATATGAGACGAATTTTGACGAGAGTATGCTGGGCTCTTGTGGTTAGGTCGTTTAGAATTGTGGTTGTGTGATTCTCCTGATATCGATCTGTACAACTGTCTGATATCAGGCAGTTCTCTCGACAATGGTACATTGTCTTGTACCGAGTTGGTTGTGGAGTCCATGACACCGTCAGACTCAGGCCGCTCTTGTTGTGAGGGGTCTAAATTGGGCATAATGGTGGTGATTGTAAGATGTCGAAATAACAACAAAATGTAATTTTATTTTTTTTGTTCTAAAATTGCTTACAAGGCTTTAACGCGCTATACACTACAACTTTTGAGTATGTTATATCTGATTGTTTTTATACCCGCAAACTCCGTCAATATATTGTTGGTTTGTGCATTGTTGAACATGAACTTGGGAGCGTTTGGACCATCTTGGAGTTCCGAATCATCAATCAACTTGGCATAAAGCTCTACAATCCTCTGGTTTGTATTTTTGATAAGCGCTTCGGCATTGTCCCTTTTAAACAAATCCCTTTTGAAGTGCTTCTTCAATAACTCATCTACTTTGGTGAAAACAATGTAGAGAGGTACATCTCTGTCGAGCAAGTAATGTGTCAACTCCAAATCTTCATCGGCAATGCCCTCTGTAGAGCTTATTAAAAGCAATACCTGTTTCAATTGGCTCCGATTGTTGATGTAACTGAGAACCATTTTTCCTTGTGTTTCAATACCACCTCTACCATAACCAGGACTATCAACCAATCGTAGTTGATTAGAAAGCCTAAAACAATTTAAAGTCTTTGTAAAGCCAGCTTTGGAAGAAACATAAGCCAACTGCTCCTGCCTCGTTAGACTCTTTTTTGGAATCAACAAGTTATTTATCAAGGAGGATTTCCCAGCATTGGTACGTCCCATTAAAAGCACTTCTGGCAAAGGCTTCAACAATTCTGGCTTTATTCCAAATGTGCGTTTGGAAGCATGCTCATTAGTTGCCATTGACTTTAATCTTTTGTACTTGACATCCGGTATCTCATCGTAATCTGCTAGTGTCCAGTCCAACTCCACTTTTAAGTTGTTGAAGAACCGTTGTGATTTAGCAATGTCGTCTTTAGTAGGGATGTCTGAAAATATGTCGTTGAGGATGTTGGGATTGATTATTTTTTTGCGTAAATCATGGGCTCTGTTATTGGATGATGGTGTTTGTAACGTTGTAACTGAATATCGTGGTAACTCAGTCACTTCCAGGATAGATTTCGTAAGATAATCGATCGAACCATGCTTGAATCTTCTTAATGTAAAGCAAAAGTGGTGAGGGGATCTGTTCATTGAGGGCATCAAGATGGAACTAAAGTATCTCTCTCTATGAAGAAGGTTTTTGCAAATTACACAGAAACATTACACAAAAAAAATTACAAACTAATCAAACGCAACGATTCTAACTATTTCCAAATCCTGCAAATAATTGTTCCCACTCATCCTTGTTTGCATCATCGGATTTCTCAAACTCGGTTGTATCTTCATTGTCCACTTGGGCAGGCTCCAAATTGAAATTCTCATCAACATCTTCAGTTGCTGGCTGAAGATCATTGAAAATGTCTTCATCAAATGCAGCTTCCTCTTTTCCACGTTGGGTGGGTTGTTTGAAATTGTCGACAGCATCGTCAAAGTGTGGCTCTTCGTCTGATTCACTCTCTTGGTAATCAAGTTCTTTGATAGAGGGGAACTCCTCAGGTGCTGCTCTACCTTCCACCATTTCGAACGAGGAGGATCCACTACCTTTACCTTCTAAGGCACTAGGGGATGTAGCTGAAGCGTCATTCTCTTCGTCCACCGCATCTTCTTTGTCTTTTTCCAGTTCGGAAGCAACACCAGCACTAACAGCACTAACAGCTCCTGCCGCAACACCAGCACCAACACCAATATTAGCGGTCGCACCCCTAGAAACAGCAACAACAGTCTTTTTCAAATCTTCATGTTCCTTAGTCAACAATCTTTGCTTCTCCTCCTCTTCAACCCTTCTCTTTTCTTCTCTGTCCAATTCGGCCACAATCCTTTTATTCTCTTCCTCCCTCGAAGTAATCTGACTCCTCAATTCCTCGTTCTTGGAAAGAAGAACTTGGGTTTGAGCCCTGCTCACCTCAACGTTGCTGCTCAACTTTTCAAATTCATTCGATGCGATTCCTAATTGCTCCTGGAGTTCAGTCGTCCCCTTGTTCAACTCACTAATTTGTTCTTTGAGTAATTGACTTTCATGGTTTTTTTCCTGCAATTGTTCTTGTTGCAGCTGCAATTTGTTGGAAAGATCGTTTTTTGTAGCTGTCAACAAAGAAACTTCGGATCTCAATGCCTCAGTCTCGTCTTTTACCCTCCCAACCTGCTCTTCAATTTCAGCATATTGCTTTACCTCGATATCATAGGAACCTTTCAACGACTTAAGCTTATCTTCAAACTCTGCCTTTGCCGCCAACAATTTTTGAAGCTCTTGTTCAGCTTTGGACTTTTTTTCGTCCAAGTTTTTCGTGTTGCTTCTGAGAGAGTTGATTTGGTTTCCGATATTTGCCAAATCTGATGTTGCTTGAGATAATTGTGCCGAGTGCTCGGGATCGGCTAATAAATCATTGTTGCTGTTAACGCCACTTCTCGCAGCTGGCGGTGGTGGTGGAGGAGCAACAGTGCGCAAGGCATCGTAGTTAACATGTTTTTGAGGTGATGATTGAGCAGGGACAGATGATGCTTGAGGGGGGATGGGCAAAGCCAGAGTAGGCACAGGGGAGGCGTGAGCAGTGAGAGGTGAAGACTGGCCACGAACAAGCCCCTCCTTCTTTTCCTCCTCTTGCTTAGGTTGTTGCTGATTCATCAAAGATTGACCGAAAGATGAGGTTGGTTTGAAAGTACTAGTCAAGCGAGGCTTTGTCGAGTGGGACAAGTCACTTGATGATACTCTTTGTTGCAAAGTTGCAGCTGGTTGTGCAGATGTAGCTGGTTGAGGAGACGCAGCTGGTTGTGGAGATGGACTTCCAAATACATCAACTAAATCGTCCATTGCGGATTTGACTCGAGCTGGTGGTGGAGCCTCAGAAGGCTTGGACCCAACACTCTTGATTGAAGTGATCAAGCTGTCTGGAATTACATTAGGCAAGTTTTTTCCACTAGTCTTTCTATTCACCAAAAACAAGGCAATTGAAAATTCCAATTTTGTGAAAAGACCAGTGTTTTGAATATCTGCCAAATCCCAAATAGTGGCCAAATCTTGTTGGTCTAATTTGGATGTCATCAAGAATGAAGCAACCTGGTCTGGATTCAAGTGGCCGACGTGCTCTTTGTCAAGGTTGTTGAAAATCGAGTCATATTGGGCTTTCATGACAGAAGTTATTGCCCATTCACCATCCACTTCATCAACAGGTGGATGTCTAATTGCAGTTTGTTGAGAGCTAACAGATGCTTGACGAGATGATTGTCCATATGGTGACTGAGGCGGTGGGGACGAAATTGCACCACCATTTTCAACCGATTTCCAGACAGTATCAGGAAGATATGGTGGTAATTGCTTAATACGACCACTCAAAACTCCTTGCACCAAATGCATTGCAATCACAAATTCGCCCACATGCAAGGCACCTAAATTGTTTCTATCGACCAAGCTCCAAATTTGACCCAATGTAGAAGTAGGTAATCTTGCTTTCAAGAAAATGTCTTTGGCCTGCACTCCACTCAATTCACCTTGAACAGATCCCACTGTTTTAGCAAATAATTGAGAAAACTTTTGATAATCAGGTGCACTAACAGGAGAGATTGATTCCTGTGGAGTGGCAGATCCAGGAATGGCATTGTTTGGTTGACTTGACAAATACGAATTGCTGGTTGATTGTGGTTGTAACTGAGACAATTGTAAATCAACAAACTTTGGCAAAGGACCAGGTGTGTCAGCCAAACCTGGTACTGGGTGGTGTCCTGCTTGTGTATACCCAATCAATCTCATGGCATAGCAAAACCCAAACTGGTTTAAAAAGCCCAAGTTGTTTTGATCAGCAAGTTGCCAAATTTCCCCCAATATTGCTGGAGGCAAGTTCGATTTCTCAAACGTGGTGCGTGCTTTTTCACCGGTGATAATACCGGTATTTTCAGGATCTAATGACTTGAAAATCTGAGTGTATAGCAATTTTTCCTCCTGCGTGAGGCCAACTTTGAAAGTGGGCGTAGCTATATACTGTGTCAGTAGCGATTCTATAAATCAAGCAAGTCCAGGTGGTACATACGATGTGAGGTGCTCATGGTTTATTGGCAAGTCTAGGAATACAATTCGAGTCTCGGGTTTTATTTCGCTTTGACGTCGGTTGAACAATTACGTACGCGCTTACGTAATAAATTGTGGTAGCGAGTTCTTCCCATTATTTTTCTCTTTTTTTTCGGTTTTTTCTTTCTATGATGAGAAGAGCTCCATTATCTTAGTTTTACAATCAAGCAATGAATAGAGGTAGAGGCGGCTTTAGAGGCGGCCGTGGTGGAGCTGGTGTAAGACCAAATTTCCAGCAAGGTCCCCCAGATACAGTATTGGAAATGGGATCTTTTATGCAATCATGTGAGGGAGATATAGTATGTCGCTCAATCAATGTCAAAATACCCTACTTCAATGCCCCAATTTACTTGGAAAACAAGACACAAGTTGGTAAAGTGGACGAAATACTAGGACCATTGAACGAAGTTTTTTTCACGATAAAACCATCTGAGGGAGTCAAAGCTGAATCATTTAAGGAAGGAGATAAGTTTTATATTGGACCAGATAAGCTTTTACCATTGGAGAGATTTTTACCTAAACCACCATCGATAGGACCAAAGCCAAAGAGGAAGGCTGGTGCTGGAGGCGTTGGAGGTGGTCGAGGCGGTCGTGGTGGAAGCAGAGGAGGATTTGGCGGTCGTGGTGGAAGCAGAGGAGGCTTTAGTGGTCGTGGTGGAAGTAGAGGTGGATTCGGTGGTCGTGGAGGTGGTGCCAGAGGAGGTTTTGGTGGTCGCGGCGGCAGCAGAGGAGGTTTTGGCGGTCGTGGTGGAAGTAGGGGTGGTGGCAGAGGAAGATTTTAGAGAAGAGTTTGTAGGATTTAGTATCATCCGAAATAGTAAATGTATATCATTTTGAATTATAAATCAAGTATCATCTCAAATACTAGTACCGTAGTAATGAAATGCTTTAACACGACAGAGGTTGCACTGAATCTAACTTTATAGATACCTTGTTTCCGCGCTTGAAATTTAACCACTGTAAAGTTCATCTTTGTTTCTCCAATGATTACCATTAGATACCCTGTGCTTTCAGGTACGTTGCAATGCACTCCCAAATGAGTCTACAGTATACTAACCAATCAATAGTATTCATTCTTTCCTTGATTGGAGCAGGATTTTTGGGATTCTCCCTGCTGCTCACTTTCAAGCACGATAAGTTACTTCATTTTGCCACTTTTTTCATCCTCACTACAGAATTTTTTTTTATTTTCCGCATGAGGTCAATAAGACAAGTAACGTACCTTACATTCCTGGTGTGCACCTTATGTGGCGGTATCGGACTGGAGTTTCTACAACACGTTGTCAACAAAAAACGAGTGTTTGATCCAAAGGACATATTGTTTAACCTTGTGGGGAGCATTCTTGGCTTGGTTTTATCGGTTGTTTATCAAAGTTATCACAGAGGAATGCAACACATAGCTACAGAGGATATTGAACTACAATGATTGCTATAAAACCAAATCTATGTGTATCCGAAAACATTGTAGAATCCCCACTTCTCTGAGTTCTTCTTATCATCCTTTGACATATTACTTATTCTAAAAGTAAATCAATCAAACTATGTTTTAGCCTTTGAAAAACGTAAACAATACACAAAAATAGAGTAACCAAAGTAAGTAGTTTGAGTAATATGATAAGAAATATTACCTGTTATCAAGAAAAGTGGGAGATACCCAATTTTGAGCAGCGTTTCAAGCCCGTTAAGGTGTCCGCAACACATTTCTTTTTGTAAGAGCAAGGGAATCACCTCATATATTTCATATGTGTAGCAACCGAGCCTATTTTTCGTAGATTCGAGCAGAAAAATTGTTTGGGTTTTTGGTAAGATAGGTTTAGTCATCCGAGTTAACATGCTGACTAAGATGTTGTTTCTAAAATCGCGTCATATAAAAGAAACAAAACTTTCCATAAGGAAGATCTTTGCCTACTTGTGTTACCCATCATCATCAAGCAATGTCATTTTACGGAGACATCCGTTCCTACGATATTCACACTTACTGGAACAACAACAACAAGGTGGAGAGACAATTGGCTTACGATCTCAGAGAAAAGGTGTTGAAAACTTTCTCTCCTGAGATTGAAGCTGGTGACATTCGAGTCTACAAATTTCATGATACGCCAATTGGACCCCACACTTTGAACATGTGGGAATTAGATTTCAAGAAGCCAGAATTGTTTGCTAAGCTTGTTCCATTTTTTCAATTGAACCATGCAAAATTATCTGTTTTGATTCATCCTAGAACAAGCCAGGGCGATCTTAAAGATCATACTGATCATGCAATGTGGCTTGGACATAAAGTTAGATTGGATACAAGCTTTCTTAAGGATTAAAATAGTTTATGTATGTCACATGATCATTTACACAATTACGTAATTTAGTGCAATATATCCACACCTTTTTTTTCCATCCCTGTATTATGTTGACCCCTTAATTCACTACCACCATCTGCGTATTCAATTTCCATTTGCAACACCATGGTTATTAGATCATTAAAAGCGTGCTGCTCCAGGCGAAATGTTTGAATTGCTTCACCACGTTTTGGAGTACCACCCACTAACATGCTTCAATGGTAAACTTCAAATACAAATGCTTTTTAATAATAGAGAAATATCATACTCACTCCTTTTCATCATGATGAGAGAGGCGCTGAAAACACATTTCAAAGCCATGGACTGTGAAGTTGTTCCGTATCAAGGTGAAATTTCGCTGAAAATTGCAGACAAAGACCGATTCAGAGATGATCACACGTCGACAGTTTGTTCCCAATTACTTGCAACTCATTAAACCATCTACTATCCTCTAAGGATTCAAGGGATAACTCCCCAAATAGAGCTAGGTTTTGATGAAATATACAATAAGATCGAACCGTTGTTAATTGCTTTTGCAGTATATATGGATAAGCACGTATTGTCATTAAACAAGAAAACCAAAGAGTGGTGTCTACAAGAAGGAGTTGCAATCACAAGAACGAAAACTACTCAGTCATTACTCACTTACAGAAGAGGTGGTATTTGAAGGGTGTATAATATGAAGGGCACGCGAACAATCCTGGAAAACGATCAAGGAAAGAGTTCAATGATGTTGATGAAGAAGATGAAGACGAAGTGGAGGTCCTCTACTACTTTGGACACACTTGTGACTATAAGAATGACCAACACTATCAAATCTGTTGACGTTTGAGTCTTGTCTACAATATAATGAATAGTAATTTATGTATTATGTGAAATCATAAAATAAAACAACTACTCTTCTTCAGGCAAGACCTCGCCATCTTCGTTTAAATCAAAGTTCTTAGCATCCAATTTTGGTCTGTAAAATCTTAATGCCAAACTGCTCAACACAACACTAATTGAACTCAACGCCATTGCAGCACTTGCCCAAACAGGATCCAATCGAGAATTCTTGTACGGATAAATCACACCAGCAGCAATGGGTAACCCAATCATATTGTAAACCAAACTCCACGCAAAATTAAACTTGACCCGACGAAACACCACTCGGGATAAGTCAAACAAGGTCACCAGACTTATCAAAGGGTGCATCTTGTTCAACAAAATGAAATCACTCGAAGTGACGGCAAGGTCCGCACCAGAACTAAGGGCTATGCCAACATCAGCTGCAGCAAGTGCTGGAGCATCATTTATGCCATCTCCCACCATGGCAATCACGCATTTAGATTGGCTGCTTTTATTTTGCTTCAATTGTCGAATACGCTTGATTTGAGCCTCCTTCTCGTCTGGAAGTACTTCACTAACAACATTGGTTATCCCGATTTCGTTTGCTATTGCATTTGCAGTGAGGGAGTTATCACCAGTAATCATCCAGGTCTCGATTTTTTTGGAGTTGAAGTATTCAATCACTTTTTTGGTTTCCGGTCTAATTTGGTCCCTCGCAGCCATCATGAATATTAAATGAAACAAATCATCGTTGAACAAGGTTGGACATTTCAAACCTACCAACACCACTGACTTACATTCTGTCTTCCATTTGGTCAAAAGCTTCTTCTGTTTGTTATTGATTACAACATTATATTCCTGGAAAAGTCTCTCGTTGCCTAGTATGGCTTCGACAGGATGATATTTGCTCCAATCACTAATATCATCATTATTGTCCAAAACAATTGCACCCTTCAAACCACGACCACTGACTGTTTCAACTTGAGGAATTTTGTTTGCAACTAAAGAAATACCTTTGTCACCACTCAACTTTTCAGTAAATTGCCTAATTGCCTTTGCCAAAGGATGTGACGATGCAACCTCCAAATCTCTTGCAATTTGTAAAGAAAATTGCATCAAGATTGAACTCTTTTCAATAAGTGAATAGTTGGTTACAGTTAATTCCCCTCTTGTCAAAGTTCCCGTTTTGTCAAAGCACACAATATTGGTTGTGGCCCCATCTTGAAAGGCTGCACCACCACCTCTAGCCAATATTCCATACTTGGCTGCTAACCCAGAGCCAACAAAGAGTGCTGTTGGCGCAGCTAAACCAATACCACAAGGACATGCAACAACAAATACAGCGATTGCAAATTCCAATGACCACACTGTCCACCCCCCAATGTCAATGTCAAGGTAGCTCTGAGGCAAGGCACCCGAATGACCTAAACTGAGCCAAATTATCCACGTAGTTACTGCTATAGCAATTATAATAGGTACAAAATAACCAGTGATGAGATCGGCAGTCCTTTCCATTGGAGCTTTCTTTAGCTGTCCATTTCTCACGGTGTTGATGATTTTACTCAATAAGGAATCTCCCTCCAAACTGATCACTTTAGCAATAATAGAGCGACTTCCAATGTTGACTGTTCCAGAGAAAACCTGTTGTCCTTCGAAATGTTTCACCGGTGTCGACTCACCTGTTAATGCACTTTCATCGAAATTTGATTCACCATCGATTATGACACAATCAACCGGTGGCGACTCACCAGAACCAATTTTGATGTAATCTCCAATCTCCAACAACTCTATATCTACAACTTGATCATTCTCAAAACGCCCGTCAACCTCATCCACTATAACTGCTGTATTTTGTTTCAATGTTGCCAATTTTGATATTGCGTCAGCAGTTTTGCTTTTTGAATAACTTTGCAATAACTTTCCAATTAATAAAAAGAAGGTTAAAAAGACAACTGAGTCAAAATACGTTGTGTGAAATCCCATTTGAGTTTTGGCATTTTGTTGTGCACTCAATACTAACAACGCAATACTAGCAAAGTACGCAACTGTTGTTCCTAAGCTCATTAACAAGTTCATGGAGCCAAACTTTAGCAACCTGCTTTTGAATGAGCTTTTGTGAAGCCATAAAGATTTGATCTCTTTAAAAGCTTTACGGTGAAATGTATCTGCTGCAAAAAAATACACCGGTGTTGACAATATAAGCAATATCCAGCTAGCTCGAGAAGCATTACCAACCCAAATTGGCTGCTCTACCCAGATTCTGAGTGGATGATCTTTTGAGAGTAGAGACATTGCAACTATTCCAAGAATAAATGTAGGTATGGCAAAAACTGTAGCTAAAATCAAACGCAAAGCAAGATTCATCACTTCACTTCTTGTCAACTTCCGTATATGCTCTTCAACGGAGACTGGTTTCACCAACTCGCAACTGAATGACCCATTTTCGTCAATGATGTATCCGCCAGTTCCATTGTCTCTCAAATGATTCAAATCCATAATAATTTGGCGAGCAGTCACATCAGTACTCGGGATGTATGTAAAATTAATGACTGGATGCTTTAAACTGATGGGGTCATGAACCACAACAGCGTCACCATAATGCATTAAATAGTTCATAATAACTTCAGGACAATGATTACAAAACATTCCCTCCACTTTAATATTGATTGTTCTTGGCTTTTGTTTTGCTGAGGTGAAGTTGATCTTTTCACTGGTGATAATTTCGAAACCGAATCCACAATCCTCCACCGTGTCTTTCAACTTTTGCAAGTTCCCATGACGTGCGTCATCCTCAAGAACAAATTGGGCATTCTTTGTCACAACATTGATACCACTGTCTAAAATGAATGGCAAATTCTTTACTGCAGCTTCGATTGAGTTTGCACATGCAGAACATGTCATGTCTTTAATAAGAGCAGTGATTCTTGTGTTTATTGAACGATGAACTGGTAACACTTCAATAAGCTTGCATTCAAATCCTGAATCGTTTACACGATCAATTATCTGATTGATCAATTGTTTATTCTTGATTATCACTACCACCGATTGCTGAAGCAAGTTTACAGAAAAATTAGGCTCATTCACGGCAGCTGAGTCTTTGTTTTCTTTGAGTAGTCCGCCGAGTGCATCCTCTACTGTGTGAACACAGGATGAGCATGTCATCCCTGTAATCGCAAAGGATGCTCTGTATTCCGGGTGAGACACTTCAACTTTTGTTTCAACGGATGAAGAGTCGTTGGTTTCTTTCGCTTCACTTGCCTTGATATTTCGGCAAACTGTGCAATACTTTAAATGTTTCTTGGCTGATTTGGATGCCAGGTATTTTTCAAAAGTTCCCCACATATCAAAGAGTCCGTCATGGTAAGAAATATTTCCACGACCTGCTTCGGCATTACGAGGGGCATCTTGAGATGAACACCTCTTGCCGTTTTCCTCAATGATAACCCAATTTACAACCCCAAAACCTGCTTTCTCCAATTGTTTAATCAATTTTTTCAAGTGGTGTTGAAATTTGACGAGCCCGTATAACGATACTTCTGCGTCTTTTAAATGGAAAAACACTTCCTTTTGAGACAATTCATGAATACTCAGCCCAGATACTGCGTTGTTTTCAATTTGGAGTGGTTTGTAAAACCGTGATATAATCTTTTGTATAGTTGCTTGACACTCCTGGCAGTGTACATTGCTCAACTTAATGTGTAAGGTGTGCATTTTGGTGAGATATAGTTGAGAAATTTACCTCTTTGAAAAAGGGGGAGATCAGCGTCATATATAGTAATGCATCATCTGTTGCGCTGTTTCTGCCGTGGGTTGCGAAAGTATTGAGTTTTGTGTTCAGATATGCGCGATTTCTGCCGCGAAAAAAAAAGGAGTGTTTGTGTTGTCTAATTTTAAGCAGTACATAATCATTGGGGGCACTTTGTTCTGTGGCTGGTGGCAATTATACCTCAAACGTACGACCCCATTCGTTGCAAGGGAGATTGTTAGTCGGATACTACCCTTTATGCGTGCAAAATGGCCGAGCGTAAACCATACTTGATTGGATGTAATAGGTATTCACTGCCCTGGCCTACCACATTCACCCTCTATACCACTAGTTAACCACACTTCAGCGTAGAGATACTGCCTCGCACTCTTTTTAGTGCGAGAAATTTATTTGGTAGCGGTGGTTATAAGTGAGAAAAGCCGTGTATTCATATTATTTGTATTTTGCAGCCTTAATATCTTTATTAGGTAGTGTTCAAACAGAAATCGGACTAAAGCCCTTTTCTACAGTTACTAAATAACAATCACACAGTTCTGTTTGTGCAACCTATAATTAGGTCCTGGACCAAACACTATAGCGATTTGCTAAATAGAAAAGAACCATGCGGCTCATATTTCGTATGTAAAAACATAAAATAATATATAACATTTCAACAAGATTCTTAATAGAAAAAAAAAATCAACAAAATAATATGAATTGAAGCAAATACTTATTTACTCTACACAAATTATTTTACTCAAAATGGCGGAATTTAACCACCATGCAAGTGATATTGTCAGTTGTTCCATCATTGATTGCCATTTGGCACAACTTTTTAGCAGCTTCTTGTGCATCCATGCCATTTTTGAAGCAGTCAGCAACAATTTTGCAAGCTTTGGCATCACTAATCACGTCCCATACTCCATCACATGCAATTATCATAAACTCATCATCCTTGATTATTTGGGTTGAGGTAGTGAATGGTTTTCCCAACACCAAATCCTTCATATAAGAATCACCTAATGATCTTGTCACTGCTAGGACTCCATTCACACGATTCTTCAATATTAACCCACCAGCGTTTTCAACTCTTGTGGACTCATTATGATCGGAAGCTTTATGATCATAGGACAACCGATAAGCTCTTCCCTTTCGACTTAAAACTATCCTAGAGTCCCCAACATTGGAAGTATAAAGCATCCTCTTGTGGTTTTTGGTGGGCACAAAATCAAACGACTTTGACTTGCCATTGGATTGTTTCCCGGTATTATTTGTATCCACCATACAGTCATCCTCTGATTCACTCTCCCAACGAAGTACCGCCACTGCAGCTGTACAACCTGAATTCCCCTGACCATTCTTTTCAATGATTTCATCTGCCTTGACAAAAGCCTTGTACAAATGGTCTTTCATGTCTACTCTTCCTTTTAACGGTATACTTGAGGTAGAACAGTTCGTTGCGGTAGTCACGTTACCCTGCGACGCATCCACTTGAGAAGAAGGTTGCAGATTTAGCTGGTCTGGTGTGGAGTCTGCTTTATTCGCATGTTGAAGAGTGTTATTTTGATCTTGCAACTCCAAATCGATTTCTTGTTCAAGTAAGGTGTGTAAATTATTGCCACACCACCGTGCACTTTCTTTACCTGCATGTCCATCAAAAATAGCAAAGTATCCCCAATCAACACGTTCAGCGAAATTTGCTATATATGTGTGCACATCCTCCATTTTAGACCTGTAGGTGGTATTCTTGTTTTCAGCTACCCCAACATGGAACGACAAACCAGCAAATGGATCATACTCTGATGTCGTTTTGGATCGCGATTTGGATGAGGAGTGGTTTGCTGGTGGCGAATCTACCGGATCAGATGTATCATTCAATTCTTTCGACGGTAATGGTATCTTTGGATCCACCAATGGCGGTATAATGTTCCTCTCATGTGACAGATCATTTGATGACAGTTGGCTGGTAGACTCTTGCAGGTTTTGTTGTTGCTGTTGATGATGTTCAGCTCGCCTTTGTGCCAAACCATGGTGAGTTCCACCTTGTTTTGTAAATGGGGTAGCCGATGGTACTGAACTATCAGCTCTCAAATCAGCTTCAGTTGCGCTCATATTTGGTGACTATTAAAAGATGAAGTTTATAACCCAAAAGAGCTCCTAGTATAATAGTTTTTGATTGGTGAGTTGGACGTACGTTAATAGGTCCCTGTAACGTTTGTGGAATTGTTTTGGAGTCGCGCCGCCCACGTCATAGAGTCATTTAAAGTTGTTCTCTGTTCCAAAAAGTAGCAATGTCGTGTAAATTGGAATGACGCAGTTTCAGATTCACGACACAAGAACCTGTCACAGCGATAGGTAGACGATAAGTAAGGAACGTATGTGTAGGAAGCAGGGGTACATTTGAGTAGCGCGATTATGGTATTGAGTGATATCACATGAATCAGGGAATACATACAGAGGGAGAAGTGACCCACATTGGGAATACGAACAACTCGCAGCATATATTCTCATTCATCTATTTCAAGGGGGACAGATTGCTTGGCATTGCTTATCCTGGTCTTGACTTCCATTGACTGAAACATCTCATACCATTCAGTAAATTATTGCAACTCGTATCATCTATTTCTCGAGTCCCACCACGAACAAAAGTCACAAGCTACTCGAAAACTTACTCCACAGTAAATTACGGAGATAGGGAACGGATTTACATATTTCTCCTCAAAAAAAAAAAGATAAAATGAAGGAGGTTTTGATGTGGCCACATCTATTTTATTGTCCATAATAACTACAGCTTCAAAACAACATCGTCCTTCTCATTAATCATGCCTGAAAAGGTCCCTATTCCATACGCTGCTCTTGGCAAACCAATCACCGAGTTTGTTGAATACAACAACGCCAACTTTTTAACCACCACATGGAAAGTCCCCTCCAATGTTGAGTACAAGGGAAAGATCTTTTATGTTCACGGATTTATGGAAAGTGCACCAGTTTATACTGAATTCTTTGATAATTTGTCGCAAAACGGTTATGAGGTGTTTTTCTTTGACCAAAGGGGTTCTGGTGAAACATCACCAAATGACTTGGGTGGCACAAATGAGTTCTACACCTTTGATGATTTGGATTTTTTCCTCAAGCGCAGCTTGGACGCACGTACTGATCCCGAGGAAAAATATATATTGATGGGACATTCAATGGGTGGGGGGATCATCTTGAATTATGGTATTAGAGGTAAACACAAGGATGCAATCAAGGCAATCGTTGCTTGTGGGCCATTGATTAAGTTGCATCCCAAAACACAGCCAAATATTGTCTCCAGATTGGCATTGCCATATGTTTCTAAAATTTTACCAAATTTCAAGTTAGATTCGAAATTGAATTATGATTACATTACATCAAATGAAAGATGGCAAAACTACATCAGACAGCATGACAAAAAGTTGATCGGTTCCTTTGCTCAGTTTAATGATATGTTTAAGAGGGGTAAGGATTTGTTAGATCCAGAGTATTCAAAGAAATTCGATACCAATATTGCATTATTGATTGTACACGGAACTCACGATTATATCAATGATATTAAGGGAAGTGAGGAATTTTTCCCATTGTTACCATCAAACATGAACAAGGTATTTGATAGAATTGATGCAGGAAGACACAGTTTGTTTGTGGAAAACGACGAGTTGTTTAAGTTGGTTTTCAAGAAAGTTGTGGATTTCCTTCATGAGTATGCAAAGAAGGATTAACTAGATTTGTAGTGTTTGTTTCAAGTGTATTGTTGATATTTACTCTGTTTCCCTTGTAAGCGCATATTATTGTTTTTGTAGCCCACAAAAGCATAAAAATTAAAGGAGAAATTTTGAGAGTCAATTTTTCACAAGACCCGCTTCCCTTGCATATCTGGCCGACTCACACCCCGGTCCTTTGCCAGTTATCGAGGCTGCTTTACAAAGCGTCATTGTCAAGAGCTCTCTCTATACCTTTTGTCTTACCATGGGTTTCACCATCAAACAAAAGATTGAAATATGCCTCAAAGCAGAATCAAATCCCCAAATGAAACAGTCTGATCTTGCAACCTGGGCCATGCATGAATACGGAGTGGAAAAGCCACCGTCTCAAACTACAATTTCACGAATATTGAGCTCAAAGAATGATCTTATCGCGTCAAAGGAAGACGAATTCAAGCTAGTGCGTCGAAGAAAGCAAACCAACCCCTTGTTGCGTAAGATCTTGACCGAGTGGATTACCCAAGCAACATGGGAAGGCATTCCGATAACGACCCCTATTATACAACTGACAGCACACGCTATATGGACAAGATTATCCAAACTGGAGAAAACTGGAAATGGAGTGTTTAATCACAAGTGGTGTGCCCATTTTATGAAAAAGTTAAATATAAACATAACAGGGAATGAAGAAGACATACAAAAAAATGCTGGCTATAAATTAAACAAGGTTTGGATGTTGGACGAAAAAGTGGAGTTGAAAAAGTACTTGAGCGACATGATTCAACAAAATGATTACTCACCTCAAGATATATTTGTTATTGATGAGTTTCAATTGTTTTACTCGCTTCCTTTGGATCAGATTTTTGACGTTAGCTCAGTTGATAAAGGGTTACAACAATCGCATACATCGAATGAATATTCACTCACTGCTTTATTAGGATGTAACATCGACGGCCTGGAAAAACTATCACCGTTGATTGTTGGAAAATACGACAAATTTGACGTTTCAAAAAGCTCGTTTGCTAGTTTACAAGCAGTACATAGTGATGTCACCTCTCAACACAATTTGATGAACAAGATTACGCAATTGTATAATATAACTTACAAGGCAAACACCAACAAGTGGGTTACTTCACTGATGTTTCAAAATTACATATTATCAATTGATCACAAGATTCACAGCTTGACTCCACAAAGAAAAATTTTGATTATTCTAGATGATTGTTCAAGTCATCGATTGATCAACATCAAATTTGAGAATATTAAGCTTGTGTATTTGAAGAATGAAACGTGCCATAAAAACTTATACAACACTTCATATGGCTCTGTCAAGTTTGACTATTTGCCGATGAATTTTGGTATTATAGAGGAGTTCAAGGTACTTTATCGCATTCAGCAGTATACTGCGATGATTAAATTGCAACATCACAAGTCAGTGGTAGCCAAGTCGCATCGAAAGTCATGCTCCACTGCTTCTTCCTTGGGTTACAATTATAATATTACCAATACATCCCCTGCACTCGAAGTATTGGCGGAACAAGACTATCACATTCCCATGATTCAAGTCATTGAATGGGTAACTAAAGCGTGGTCTATGGTGTCACCTGAACGTATATTTCGATCATGGAAAAAGACTAGATTGTTGCCCATGAACCCTGACCAAGATTGGGCCAGTTCAAAGACCAGAGATGTGGCAAAAGGAATTTTCAGGAACTTCAATAAACAGCTCCTTTATTTTGATGAGACAAGGAGTATTAAGCAGTTGGAAAAGATTATGAGCCAATTAAACGTGGTTATACCTTGGGAACTTGAGGAGTTAGTAGGGTTGGTCAACGAACGAGGGAAAATCACCTTGAGTTATGCCTCAATTGAGGAGATTATTGGTAGTTGCTTACTGGAGTCAGTTGAAGATGAGGGACAAACCGATGACGAGGAAAATCGTGACATTGATTCGGACAATGGTGAAGCAGAGTTAAATGAAAGTGGTGCATCGCGATGGTCTATAAGTGAAAACGATCTCAAAGACGCTAGTAATATTCTATTCAACAAAGCCATTTCTAGTGATGCTGATACTAGCAATGCCATGATGAAAGTGGACTCCACTACAATGAGAGCAAATTATGACCCAAAAGCTCCTTTGGACTCGAGCAATGCATTTAATCAAGACGCTAATGGCGTCACGACAAATAATCCCCATGCACCTAGCTTTCCATTTGAGACGCTGGGTAATGAGAAACACAAGTTGGATCCACTAGAAAGCTGGAACAGAAAGAGGCAAACACCGCTTGTCGTGCCTACACATTCACAACATCACAGTAATATCGACCCACTTTTTGAAAATGGACTCATAAATAGTCCCAACATAAACCTATATGATAATCAAAATGAACAACAACAACCATCACAGGCACAAGCTTTTACTTCGAGCTCCCAAGTGGATAATGATATAGTGCAATCGATATTGAAACTAACAAACTATTCGTCACTCAATTCGATAAACTTGTCGCAATCCACCATTGATGATCTCAATTATAACTTGAAAATCATACAATCCAGATCAGGTCAAAACTAATTGTACAAACATTGTAATTGATCCTTTGTTTATTAATTTTCACGAGATTATACAACTCCCGTCATTCTATATACAAATCATGATGAATGAAACGCGATTTTCCTGTAGTTCACTTCTGCTAAATACAAGACACTCATCCTCTGCTAATGGGTGTTTTCTTACGCTTTGCTATGTCTCTCTGAGCCAACAATATTCACGACCCAGCTCTTGCATACCTTGGCCACCCTACTTTTCCTCCTCAACATCATCCTCCGTTATACCCAACTCCCTTGCTTTGGCCTCCAATCTAGCCCTTTTCTCCGCCCTTGCTTTCCTTATTCTTGCAACTTCCGCCTGAATTTCATGTGGTTCCTTTGGTATTTGGTTCAAAGTTGCAGGGTCAGGCCAAAACCCCGGCAAATTAAACTTTTTGTCTGTATCTAAACCAACATAGTACATAACTAAGATTGGGGAAAGTAAGTAGAACCCAAACTGGACACATGTTAGTAAAAACATAGGATTTGGAAAAAAGATCCTGTCCCTGGAAGAGCAAGATCCACAGCTAAGCTTCAACATACCTTTGCGGTCTCTAGTTGCGTGCGTGTTACACTGTGTATGAATCTTTGTATGTAACCCATTTCTCTGAAATCGTTGAACCCAAGTAGAAGATTGATGAGGTCAGATATGTAATCAACGTGATTTTTTTTCCTTCTCCCAATCAAGTTTGTTTTAGTGCAACAAATAACTTGGTAGCACTGGAGGTAAAGAAAGAGGAACAACCATTACAACATAACAAAACTCGTTGAGTATAACCGTGTATAATCAATCCCTATAAAGCAAAGACAAGTCTATAAATTCTGAGCAAAACAGTCGCCACCTTTTCAACAAACTCACATTACTTGATGCTTAAAGAAATGAAACCTGCGACTGATGGTCCTTCTAAAGCTAGTTATAGTGGGAGTGGGGTAAATATATTCATTCTCCAGCTCTTTGATGACAACTCTGCGCTTGGTTTTATCATCACAACGGGTACAGCAACAACTGGTGTTGGCCTCCTCGATAGTTCCAACTGACAAGTCATTTTCCACTTTTTCCTTTGCCCAAATGTCATGATCATCTTGAAACAACCCAGCTAAACGATGAGAGACATCCTCATTCTTGACTCTTTGTGTAAATGACTTCACCCGTTTATTCATTTTGCGATGTTTTCTGCTCATCTTCTTAGGTTGAGCCGAAATAGTAGAGTTGTAAGATCTCAAACTGACACAATCATTAAAATCATCATCAGTATCTTGCTCTTGTTGGTGCTTCTGAGTACCCGGTTGAGCGAAATACGACTTGTTATTTAACTGAAAATCAAACATTGATGAACTAGCTGGATGGAAAAATGAATTGCGTTTAATGTTGTTAAAAAACGAGTGCTGGGTTGAACTTTGCCTGAAAGTGGTAGTTTGCTTAGCCGGTGTTTGTATAGCAGCAACTACTTCAGCAGTAGCTTCAACTTTGTTATTCTGAGAGTCATGCTCCTCTCCTAACTCGATTAACTTTTCTTCTCTCAACTCATTGTTGCCCATCTCTTGAGAAACTTCTTCTTCCAACTGAGTTAACTTCTCTTCTAAAGTTGGGGAAGACTCCACGTAACACTCCAACACATCCATGATAACAGTGGCATAATCGTGGAAAGAATCATTCTCAGAAACCGTCTCATGAATAACCCTTGAACTCAGCTTGGGTGACTCTAATGATACCGGTAAAGTTGCAGCTGCTGAAAAAAGTCTGCGATGACGATGATGGGGGTGCTTATGGTGGTGGTTACGTTGGTGATGTTGATGTTGCTTATCTGGGTTGTATGTGCCTCCGAAACTATACGTTTCACTGGCAAAGTTAAGGGTTTGAGGGAGTTGCAAAGTAGTCATTATTGCTTTGTTGTTGCACGGAGCTGAGTATTGTATTATCTGGAGCAAGCACTGTTTGTAATTGTAGTTGAAAGAAGCAAGTTCAAATGTGGTCAATACTTTCTCGATATGCCTTTATAAAGTTTGAAATTTCGCACTTCTATTCTTTATAGAGTTGCCTCTTTTGCAGCCATATAAAAACATAATAACAAAGAAACACACGCACTTTATTCAAAGCTATAGATCTAATCCAAAACTATACACTCTCCACAAGTAATAAATAGAGAAAAAGAAGGAAACTAAACAAAATATCAACACAAGCATCATCAAGATGTTACGTTTCTGCTTAACTCATTTGAATTTCAGCACCATCCATTAGACTCATAGTCAAATGAACCAATTTCCTGCATGGCTCTGGTCCGTTATAACTACTTGACAAGTTGGGGAACATTTGAGCTAAACGTACAATAACATATGAAGCTTCAGTCAAAGCAAATTGTTGTCCCAAGCAAATACGTGGACCACCATTGAATGGCAAATAAGCCCAACCCAACTTTGGTGAATTTTCCCAACGTTCTGGGACAAACTCAAAAGAGTCTTTTCCGTAGAATTTCTCCAATCTGTGAGTCATGTATGGTGAATAAGCAAAAGTGGTACCTTTTCCAATAAAAACAGGTGAAGTTCCATCTGGACCACCACCAACCGGTAAAGTAGTATCTTTGTTGGCAACTCTGAAATTTACAGGAACCGATGGGTACAATCTCAAGATTTCGTTCAATACCCATTTGAGATAAGTACATTGCTTCAAGGTTTCAAAAGAAATGTTTTCAACATCACTATCTTCACCTGATCCAAAGTGGTGATAAATTTCGTCCTTCAATCTGTTCCAAACCTTTGGATGTCTAGCTAATTCAAAAATGGTAAATGACAAAAGACCAGCGGTTGTGTCTCTACCAGCTACCATGATGTTCAACAATTGATCTTGTAAAACTTTTGGATCTCTTGTGTGTTTAACCAATTCGTAAAGAAATGTATAACCATGTTTCTGTGTTCTTTCTTCCACCTGTTCAGGAGTCAAACTCAAAGCCTTGTCGACAAATTTTCTGGCGAAATTATGAACAGTTCTAGTGTTTTTCCAAAACGAAGGTGGGTTGTAAAGAAAATACATCACTTGCAAATAGGTCCTTACTCCCAATGCCACTTGAGCAGCATTGAAAGCATCAGCAAAACCTGCAACTTCGGGGTCACATTTTCTTCCAATTGATTCGTCATACAATGAGTGGACAGATTCACCAAACAAAAATTCAGTACTAGCATCAACAGTCAATCTGAAAAATAATTCTTGGATATCAAAAGTTTGACCTTTGTGTTTTCTAATATGTTCCGCAAGTACTTGAACATGAGGTTCCAACATCTTAACGTGTGAGATTTGTTCCCTTGCAAATTGAGGACGCAACAATTGTCTTGACTCCTTCCAACCCTCATTATCTAGAGTGAAAATACCATCACCCAACAAAGGCGCAAAATGAGCATGTCTTGAACCCAATGAGTAATCATTGAATTGGGTGGCCAAAACTGCTTTCATGTTTTCAGGCTCCCCAGAAACAACAACTCTGACACCAAATAAATATGCAGTAAAAGTGGTTCTCTTACCATAGTCCTCGTACAATGATAAAGCAAAGTCAAGAATGGTACCATCTGATTTGTACTTCTGTAAAATGAACGCCAATACCAAACCCAAGGGGCCACCATCAGGAAAGACATATGCTTCTTTGCAACCATGCTTTCTAATAAAAATTTCTCTCTTGATCTTACCAACTGTTGCGTAAATTAAAGCAAACAGTATAATAGCACCATACCAGGTGAACAAATGTATGGTGATGAACGAGGATATCGATGCTAAGTCAAGAGCCATAATGATGTAGTGAATCTATTGTTGTATCACGTGATGAAGTGTTTGTGAAATGTGGGGAAATAAAAAAGGATATTCTGCAACTGTCAACTGAAGCACTGAACTGTTTTGCAAAAAAAAGTCGAAAATGGTAAACAAAAGAAGTATGTAAGCTACAAAATGGAAAAGGACTTATCTCAGAGGCACAAATGGAGGAAAAGTGGAGGTCTTTATATATTCATTAGAATGGGGAAAGTGAACAGACACCTTTAAAATGTGCACACATTTGATGTTTTGTGTGTCGAATTTTATTCACGCTGGAGCATTCTTTTACTCGGACTTTTTTGTTACCTTAGAAAATTTACTATTGCGTACTGTGTACACAATGCATAAACACTTAAAACTGGTAATAGTTGAAAGAATAGAAAACGCTGTTTATTGTTTAACCCCTCAATTCAATGTATACATAAACAAAATTTGTTCACATTAGGTAAGTAATCGGAGTTCTAAAAGGTGAGAGGTTATGAGTGTCGTGTTCATTGCTACAATTTATTGCAAATCAAAAGCTTTAAAAATTTTATTTTTTTCTTTTTTTTTTATTTTTTAGATTATAACCATACCCCTCCAGAACAAAGCAGATTACCTATTTAGTATCTGCTTGTGATAATTTTTTGATTGATTTTCTATTGCAGTTTGATTATCTTGAGTGATTGAAACATATCGTCAATGTATGGTTACGTAACTGCAATCGAGCTATACAGGACCTAGAATCGCTACAAGTTTGTGTAGAGGACTTCTAAGTCCATATGAAACTCAACATCAGAGTGTGTTTATAACGAAAGTCACACTTCCAACTTTTTGCATTGGTGTGCAAAGGGATACGTCTATCTCTCTCAACTTATATCCGCTCCATCGGACCCCCCCTTTACTTCTACCTACTCCCCTCCCCCACCTTTTCTCGAGAATATAAAAAAAATTGTAACATGGAGTAGATTTGATTGAGGTGTGGTCTACAAATCACAGGCAACTTTGGTTCACAATATTTTTTACTAAAGGTTGCGATTGCAATACATCCCTTTATCCTTCCAATATACTCTAGTCGATAGAAACTTCCATTGTTTTTATAGGTGGTTTCTTGATCAAAACACAACACATAATTTGTCTTTGCATTATCACATGCAAGAGTAATTTTGTGTTACCTCAATTTTATTTTTAGTTAGTCGCATTTTGTGTGATAACTCTGTTACGAAACTCCGCAATTCAGAAGTTTTAAAGTATGCAATTCTATGGGTTCGACTCTGCAAAAGGATATGCTTTTGTCACTCTTAGCTAGACAAGAAAGAGAAGTACATGCCTCCTGATTGATTTGTGATGAAACAATGTTAGTCGAATAGCTGTTAAAGTCTCGGAACTTTTAGGAGCTGTTTGTTGCATTGTGATTATCAAATTTCACAATACAGTTTCATTTATATACACACTTTGAAATCACGGAGTTGACGACGGTTTCTCATTTTGGTGTTCTACTGCATATACTAAAGAAGACAAGACTAAGAGAGCTAACTTTGTGTAAACCCAGTTTTTTTGTATATCGATTTTGAAAGAGGGCGATGCGTAATGGCATTTGCAGCAATTACAATGAAATTTGTAACGAAACGATCTTACACTTGTTTCGATATCTGCATTGGCTCTCTCCCTCACAATTACCCTACATCGAAGCTACGCTGATATCGGTATAGAATGAGGTTAATTAATTTATTGAAGTATCTCATTTGCATGTGAGAAAAAACTGAAAAAGCCCATTGTTCATCATATAGAAACAACTCTTTGTCAAAAATAATACAGCAACCACATGGCCAGTAATTAGTAATTGATTGCATACTCCATTACTGGTCAAACACTTTGCTACCTTTTTCACATGAAGAAGGACGTATAGCTTACTCAATCATCAACGGTCGGAAAGCTCATTCCGAATTTCGTATTTAGCACACAAAACATATTCTATTGATTGTTTTACCCTCCAATGTGGTAGTTGTAACGCAACTGAGGCTATGAGTGGTTTGAGTATTTGTATACTTCCTCATTTTCTATTGTGCCTCAAACCTGTAAATTATCACATGGAAAGCAACTCCTTATGTTGGTTTGGAGCGTGTGATTTTGTGAAATGTATATTTCTCCGTGATTTCACCGCCTTTAGAAACCTCTCCTTCAATATGCGGAAAGTTCCGGACAAAGCATATCTCGCCATGAGGATTTTTGTCTCGTAATAAAATAGGTCAAGCGTCATGGAAATAGGATTCTCGTACCAGGAAATTGAGGTGGTGTACAGAATGTTCTCATAAGATAAACTCTCCGCCATCTTCCCCCCCATGCCTTGAAAACTCTCCTCTTTAATTCAACGTGATTGGCTCCCAGTTTTGCAAGCTATCCACAATCCTTTTCGAAGACACATCATTCTTTTCCAAATCATACTGTCGACCTTGTAGCAAGGACCGTTTCAAAAAAAGTGCTATTTCCTGTGAGCTTTGATCAATCATCTTTAATATCACCTGGTTAATCAACTTATTCAAGTCGTTATTTTTCGAAAATTCAATTATACTTTGACTCAATTGTTGATAAATTTGCACATGCACTGCGTCCATCTCATTATAACCTTCACCTGTTGATTCTGTTTCGAATTTTGTCGTGACTTTAGTCAAGATACTCACAGGGTCATAAAAGGGGTTGGTTGACTCATCTGCTTGTTCAATCAAAATCTTGAGAAACTTTGGTTTATTCAACGACTGATTGATCAAGGAACTCCAAGTATCTTTATCGTTCAACCTCTTGGCAAATTCAATTGCCATTTGTGGATCATCCATTTTGTCAATAACCAAATTTAAAGCTTGTTTATTCTCTCCAATCTTGCCTAGCAAATAGATCAACTCTTGATAGAAGTGGTTCTCCTGACAAACTTCAATGGCCCTGTCAACATTGTAGTTGCTCTGAGAGGCATCGTTTTCATCGTTAGCCATAAGGAACGGAAGTAGGTCTTTTCTTGAATAATTGGAGTATAGTTCAATCAACTCATCTCCAAAATCCCTCACCAATAGCTTATCAATGGACTGCAATCGAGTCAAGTAAAAGTAATTGATGAATGACAAATTGGGATGGCTTTTGAACAATTCAACAATATCGTGTGCTGGTATTTCTAGACGGTGATCAACCAACGTGTCAATAGTTTCTGATAGTCTTTGTCCTAGCTTACCAATTGGCCATTTCGAGATGGATTCGGGAGTATCAAATTGTAGCTCAATAAACTCTGGTAGATGTGATACAAAATTTTTCAAAATATGGTTCCGCGACAAGTACCCAACAATGTTTCTATCTTTCAAGTTTACAAGATGTGGTACTGCTTTAACTGGTTGGAGCGTTTTGTCATAGACTTTGACAAGGGATTTTTCGATAAAGGTGAAATTTTCACCTTCTTTAAGGTTGGGCTCCTGCTCTTTTAATTTATACTCAATTGTAACAGTATCGTATAGCTCATGGGGCCAATTGCTGATCAATTGGTAAGCCCTTTTTGGTTCCTTTTCAATCCAATATGTCATGATCTTCGTGTATAAATCTTCTGGTAACAACAGAGTACTGGGTATTGCATCACTTAATTCTTCAATGTGCCCACTATTAATAAATATATGACCCCATGTTTCCCATTGGCTTATAACTTCTTTCCTCATTCCGTCGTCATCTTGAGATCTAGAGTCGATCACATCAGCATCCTCGTCTGGACTGCTAATTAGCTCGTCGTCTGGTAGTATGTTCTCCTCCATTGGCAACAAAGTTTTCAAAAATTCCGCTGCTTTCATCCATTCATCCCCTTTTACCAACAGGTCAACATATTGTAAGCCATAGTTTAATCGTTTTATGGGAGCCACTATATGCTCGCTCACTTCGTAAGCTCTCAAGTAATTTTCCTTCATCAAGTGCCATTCCAATCTGTCATCCAATTGGTATTCCTGAGCAACGACTCCATCCTTGGCACTGATGATAAAGTATTTTGGGATCTTTTCAATATGACAGCCCAAGGTGAAATCATTCAATCCCAAATTTTGAATGTTTTTCAAAGCCAACTCTTCTTCAAACTCAACTTCGCCAGTGGTGGAATTAATCAACTTCAAATCGGGATTATTGTATATTGGTTTCTCGCCGTTTGCCTCCCCGATCAGTTTCTTCATGGGTGGCTCGTAAGTTAGAATCATCCACAAGTCATCTTTAAAACTAGCTATCCCACATATCAAGTCATCGAGTTTGAAAATATGTTCCACTTCTACTTTCTTTTCTTGCGTTGTTCGAAATGAAATGGAGGCGGTAGATGGTAAGATTCGGCTCATTCCTGACGAAAATACTGGTACTGAATCCTTTTCGCTTACACTTTGTGATGATCCATCTTTCAACAATATTCGTAAGGACCATATATAGTTACTCCAAGCAATAATAATTCTGTCTGGGTCGGGTTGCGCTACCCTAGGCCAATATAAGTCATTCCTGGGACTATCACTTGGTTTCTCTAACACCTTGATCATAATCTTGTTGCTCAAATGAAATACATTAATTCCCTTATCGTTCATCCAAATGACCAAGTCACCCACAATCGTTAATCCAACAATGGCACCATGATTTTGATCAATAACGTAATCCGCCTTTTTACCAAGCCAGTTTTTCCTTGAATAAATCACCTTGCCACTCATCCCGCCACTGATGAAACTTCTCTTCGATGCATAGTTGCTGTCGAGTACAATGGCGTGGACAGGTCTCTGGAAATCGTAAGCAATAATGTCTTTCTCATCATCAATTGACCCAATGACAACAGTTCCATCCATTGAGGCTGATGCAAAAAATTGACCATCTGTATATGTACTCAAAACGGATGCTCGATGAGCTTTAAAGGTTCTTACTGGAGAAAAATTGCTGGTGCATATGTGAATAAATCCCGAATGGGTGGCAAATACAAAGTATTTATCTTGGAAAAAGCACGACGATATAGGATCTTTTATGAAGAAGTTGCTCGGAAGTTCATTAATACGTGAGTACTTGAGTTTGGGTGGTTCATCGTCTTCCTCTTCCTCTTGCTCTTGATCGTCCTGCCTTGGTTCGTCCTGCTTTGATTCGTCCTGCTTTGGTTCGTCCTGCTTTGGTTCGTCCTGCTCTTGCCCTTGCTCTTGCTCTTGCTCTTGCTCTTTTTGTTCCTTATCTGAGCTTCCATCTTGGATGTTTTCAATTGAATCAATTTGATCACCCACAGCTTCTATATCAACTTGGTCAGGCTCTTGATTGCCGTTCTGATTTGTCTCCAGACCGGCTTGGTTTTGCCGGAGGGTATTCAATGATCGACCATTTTGACTATACGAACTATCAGCAACCAGGTTTGCTTGATTCCGGTGTACTGTTTCTTGAATTTTGACATCACTCAACGCGCCATTGTCTTTCAAAAATTCATCACTTTCATCAGTTGTCCCGCTCTTTTCCTTTTTCGGCTTCTTGCCCTTTTTCTTGTTGGCCATTGTATTTTAGTTGATCATGGTTAGTAGTATTCTTTTTGCGAAGTTGAGTGCGGCTTCTTCCTCAATAAAATGTTGAAAATAAAATTCAGCACACGTTTCATTACGTTCGCATCAGCTTTCAACGATCCACTTCATTTGCCATGTTAGTTGCTAGTAAAGGTGTACTTGTCAAATGTGATCCGTCAATAAAGGCACTCATTATTCAAATCGATTCGGTAAATCCAGGGATTGTACTCGAGGAGTTGGATGACACCCATTTGTTGATTCAGCAAGATAAAGTAGAGACAATCAAGAACGAACTAAATAAAATGTTGTCCAAAAATATCTACAACCCGTTTGAGGAGGAGTGAGAGTATGCATTGAAAGGAAGCCTTTATTGATTATATCGCTGACGTTGGTGATGGAGACTTGTCAATAGGTAGATGTTGTTCCTGGAGAAGCTGTTCAGTCGGATCGAAGTTGCTCAAAGTGGTAGTGACCTGCCTTTGCGCAAGGGGATCTGCATCTGCGTCTTCTATAGCAAGATTTTCCAATATTTCCTCGTTGAATCGGGGCATATCCTGACGTTCATCCTCATATAATTGATTGATTGTATCACCAATAAATCCAGAAAGGGCATCTATTTCCATCAAATCCAACGTTTCATCATCGCCGATTAGAGATGCCTCCACGTCCACACTTTTCAAAAATTCTTCATAAGCCACCAATATCAAGTCGGATAAACTGTTCATCAAAAATTGTGTAACAATCGGGTCGTTGATTATCGTTTGAATGTCATTGTACAAATTTGGAATCTTGACAATGATATTGTCTTTAAAATGTGACAAGGACTGCTTGTCAAAAGTCCCTTCCTTAGGTTGGATGATAGGTTTGCAAACGTCATTAGAGCAATGAGTTAGGAATTCACTCACTGCAAGGTTAAGCTCTACTTCAATTTCATGATTTGCATCAATCATATTGTTAATCACTTTTGGTACTGTTTTCTTTGCAATTTCAAAAAATCCTTCATGTCTTTGTTCTGTACTTTTTCTTCTTAATAGATTCCAAATGTCAGTAATCCCACTAGTAAAGTCTATTGTATAATCATTTCTAGCCAAATGTATATCAAAATTTTTTATCTGATTGCGCAAGATTATCAAATTGTGGAGGTACGACAACTTTCCTTCAATGACTCCTAGATGAGCTACAATCAACTTTGAGTATTCACCTTTCAACAAGACAATACATGCATGCACAATATAATGAGCTATATCGTCAAACACGGCAGAACTAATTAGCTCATAAATATTGGAAAGTATTGTCATTGCTTTAGCCAAAGGGAGATATACATCCGGAAACAAGTTTTCCTCGTAATCAACGTCTAAAGGATTGGTAACCTTGGTCTTGGAATGCTTCTTGTGACCAATTTTCAAATCCACTGGACTGGGCTTGTACTTCATTAACTTCGTGTCGATGTAATTTTGAATTCTAAATATTAAACGGTTTTGAGTATCATCTAGTAATGGCTGGAACAAAACACCATATTTGATGGTATCCAGCTGGGCAATGCCAAAGTAGCTTTGTGTGTCAACCAAACTACCATTCGGGTCATCCCCATCTTCGAATTCGTAATATTTTTGCAACAAAGTTGTCATTTGACACAATGAGCTGATGTTGACCTCCTTGAGGACCCATAGACGTATACCGTCGTATAATGGGTCAAGGACATTTTTCAAAAACGCATAAAATTCGTCCCAAATCATTGATTTCAACTCATCCTGATACAGCGATGGGTTGAAAAACTTAATAAACAAGGCAGATTCCTTCTCAATGATCTTTTTGAAATAAGAAATTTGATCCTGACAAGTTTGGACCAAGTCTGTCTTTAAATTCTTTGTGTACAATTCACCAATAGTTGAAGTCTTGTTTATGTATTGTTTTAACAACTTTGCTCGAAGTTGGAAATAAATGCTTAGTACATCATTGATCAATCCATTGTACTCCTCGTGCTTTGTGCTGCGCTTAAACAATTCTCCAGCTAATTCATGGAAAATTTCGTCATTATGTTTCAAGTAGTTGTTGAATTCATTGTAAATCAACAAGTCTATTGTAACTACTTGTTTCGATTCCTTGGTAGTGTGTTTTAATTTCGACTTTACTGACTCGTCAACACTCCTCAATTCGTTGCCCAAAAAGTTTCTAATCAATGTCAAAGCCCTCGTCATGCACTGGCGAAACCTGCTTTTGTACAAGTCACTGTCCTTATACTCGGGGTGCGTTTCCATAAAGTTCAACGACTCATCCAAATTCAACAAAATGTCATTAATGAAAAACGAGCGTCTGTTGGTTAGCAAGTGACTACCTGACTTTGACAAGTTTTTTGTGATTAAGTCCAAATGCTCAAAGTGTTTTAAATGGGAGTGGATTTTGTTGTATTTTTGCTGATACAAGTTTTGCTTATTGAGCAATTCATTGGCCAATGAATCAAAATCCAGAGTCTCGTCGGAAATTTGTCTGTAGTTGGTAAAACACTCATTGACATTTTGTATCAATGCATCCGTTTGAGTGATGAGCCCCTTTAGTTGATCTTGATTTAATTGCAAGTTACTTTGAAAGCCAAGTACGGAATCCAAATGTTTGGCATTGATATGTGCAATGTCCTCAGTTTTTAGTACCACGTCGTAATCAAATGATTCAACAAATTGTGACCATATCTTGTCCTCCTCTTTCTGGCATAATGGGTATAAGAAATCGTACTTTATTGTCGGTGTTGATCCACCATTCGAATTTGACTTCGATCTTGTACGTCGAAACGTGGTTGGTGTGGGTACAATCTTTTCATGTAACGATGTTGAACCATTGTTTAAAGCATGCGTGTCACTTGCAATTTGCAGCACCGTCGACTTGCTTCTAGCTCGTGGCATGATGATGAATATAGAGTCAAAGTTGATTGTGAATTGAAAATTGTAGATTGAAAAAATTGGGACGCTTCAAACCTCATTGACACGACATTAAATTTTGCGTCAATTCCGAAAACGCGTAATTTTTTCTAAAATTTCCTTTATCACTAGAATTTCTCCATTGAGTTTGGGAACCCTCCCACAATGATTGATCCAAGAGATGAGATTGTTAATAAAGATGATTTACTCAGCGACGATTCTTCGGATGAATTGAAGGATTTGTATAAAGAGTTTGAGCTCAAATATCAAGCAATCAAAAAGAAAGAGTTGGAAAAGAAGAATAAACAAAATAAATCGACAAAGCATGCCCACGATACAAGCGTTGCACTGGTACCAAGGTCTCCAAGTAAACGGGAGAAGTCATTTGACCCTCCAGCAGAAACCAAACATGAAGTTGATTTGCCTTTGCCAAAAACGAAAAAAGCATCCGAGTTTTTATCAAAATTGTATGATGCAAACTTGACAAAATCTCAGGAAAAATATGAAGGCATTGATTACAGTTTACGTAAATTCGAATTTGATTTTACAAATTATGAATCAAAACCCAGGGATGTTGTTGATGATTTATGCCCACTATCTGGCCTATCTTTGAGACGAAGATACTCCTCGAGACAGACTGTTGATCAACTTATTACCAATACAGATGGCAATATGAAAATCCTTAAAGTTGGCAAGCTATTGGCGAAAACAAACAAGTCAAACAATTATCGCGAGCCAACGTACACCAACTGGTGCCTTGTCGGATTTGTGTTGCACAAATCAGAGGTTTTATTCACGAAAAACGAAAAGAAATACATGAAACTAAGAATTGGTGACTTTCAAAATAGTGTAGAGTTACTACTTTTTGACGGTGCATTTGAAAAGAACCATAAGCTCCAACAAGGTGACTTGATTTTGGTGCTAAATCCCATTGTGAATAAGTATGAATTCAAGGTTAATGAGCATGTATCGAAAACCGGATTTAATTTAAAACTCGATGGATCAAATGTCAATAGCATTTTGGAGATTGGTGCAATTAGAGATTTTGGAATTTGTCGATTTGTGAAAAGGGGGGATAATCAAAGATGTACAAATGTTGTTGACATTACGAAGCAACACTTGTGTGACATTCACTTGGATAATAAATTCAGGCATAGTACAAGAATGGAATTAAATGGGATTTCGTTGAGGTCGCCCACAAAGAACAAAACCAAAGTATTTCTCAATATGAACAAGAATCTGAATCTGAAAGTTAATGGGTTTATTAGCGAATACAATGAAGACTCAACTTTTACAACTTCTGGTTCTGGAAAGATTGACTCAAGAAAATATCAAGATCCAAAGTTGTTGCAAACACAACTAAAGAGAAGAAAATTGCAAAACGATCGTGCAAATGAGTTGTTGGAGAGAAAATTATCTAAACTATCATCTAGAAACCCCATCGTTGAAAGTTTGAATATGAAACATCCAACAAATAATGAAAAAACTCGACAAGACTCTCTCCCAAATTATTTTCCTTCATCATTGATCTCCAAAATCGGTTTTGACCCCACGAACCAAGACAATGATAAATCTAAACAGACACATCCAGAACGACTTCAAGAATTGTACGAGCTAAGTGCAAAGTGTTCAACTAAGAAGTCACTTATTTCATCTCTGGAAGATAAAAGGAGCAAAGCACAAAAGTGGCAGAAAAACATCAACACTTTGAAAAAGTACGATTCAAAATTGATGCAACTGAATTTGAATTTGAGTAAGCCTGTGGTTCATGATGTCAGGAAAGCAATGGTGCTGCCGAATAGAGTGACAAAGACCAATCGAGTGGTTTTAAGTGATGATGGTAGTGATAATATTAACGATGACAATGACGATGATGACTTGAACATAGATTTTGGTAATGCTGATATGAGAGCTAAGTATGAAAAAGCAGTAGGTAGATAAATGAAAAGTTGACAACCAGAATTTTAATGTTTAGAGTAGACTTTTCCATTCTTTGACACAATTCTCTGTCGATGGAGCAGTACATTCATTGGACTTTCCATTACATCTTTTTCAAGCCAGGGGGTTTGCTCCTTGTGAGCTCGATGTTCGAACATAATCTCGTTGATGGCAATAATCAAATTTTCAACACAAAAGAAAAAGGGTCCTACTGAAACTGACAACACAGACACGTGTTGCCCCGCCCGAGACATACAAGATCTGGGACTTAGTCTTCCAAGAGTAATGTGAGTTTACGCCACTTGCGTAGTTATCGGAAGTGCCATTTTTGATACACTTGGAAAAATAAGGACTTTGTCTTGCATTTTGCAACCACTTCGTCAAAGTTACAATTTTACACAGCGCCGAGAAAAACTCCACCCAAGAACTCCGAGATTGTTCACATCTAGCACAAATCAGTTAACATTCGAATGAAGTAAGTCCCCATTGGAAAGACTAACTGAAGTATTACATGATATTCTAACATTGCAACCTCATTTGAAGACCGTAATAAACGGGCTACACGTTCCCATTCTTCAGCTTTGACAATGAATCTTACGTGTAACATTGTTCCGCCTTAGTCTTTCATTTATTTTTATTTTGTTGTGTTGGACACGCCCTTGTTGTATATTGCTCTTTCTTTTTTGTGCAATTGTTTATACAAAATAGACATACAACTTTCACCGACAAAAAAAAAATTGGTGAGGGAAACATAAGGGGCAGGACAAAACTCAACCAACAAAAAAAGTTTTGAATTCGAAATTAACCCCAATTGGCTTCTTAGAGACTTGAATAACGTATACTCCTTCATTACAGTGCACTCACTAATACATCACCTACAATGGCAACTGCAGTTTCAACTCCAAAAAGACACACCAAATCTCAATCAACTTATGCGTTTGACAATACAGCAACCAATGTCGCTGCTTCGCAAATGAGAAATGCTTTGAACAATTTGGCAGACACTGTCAAGGATCCAGAAGTTAAGAGAAAGTTTGAAAATGAAATGGATAACTTTTTTTCTTTGTTTAGAAGATACTTGACTGAGAAGGCCTCTGGTACCACCTTGGATTGGGAAAAGATTAGGTCACCATCGGCTGACGAAGTTGTTGCTTACACCAAACTTGACGATGATAAATCCAATGCATCGGCTAATTTGTCTAAATTGGCTGTTTTGAAACTTAATGGTGGTTTGGGTACTTCAATGGGTTGTGTTGGTCCAAAATCCGTTATTGAAGTAAGAGATGGCAACACCTTTTTGGACTTGTCAGTTAGACAAATTGAACACTTGAATAGAACTTTTGATGCTGATGTTCCTTTGCTTTTGATGAATTCGTTCAACACCGATGCCGATACTGCCAAGATTATCAAAAAGTATCAAGGTCACAGAATAAGAGTCAAGACTTTTAACCAATCGAGATTCCCAAGAATATACAAAGACTCTTTGTTGCCAGTTCCAGAGTCCTATGATGACTCACTTGACAGTTGGTACCCACCTGGACACGGTGATTTGTTTGAAGCTTTAGTGCAATCAGGTGAACTTGACGCATTGTTGGCTCAAGGAAGGGAAATCTTGTTTGTGTCCAATGGTGATAACTTGGGTGCAACTGTTAACAACAAAATTCTTTCACATATGATCGAAACTGGTGCCGAGTACATCATGGAATTGACTGACAAGACAAGAGCTGATGTCAAAGGTGGTACATTGATCAATTATCAAGGAGAAGTTAGATTATTAGAAATTGCACAAGTTCCAAAAGAACATGTCGAAGAGTTCAAAAGTATTAAAAAATTCAAATACTTCAATACCAACAATTTGTGGATCAATTTGAGAGCTATCAAAAACTTGGTTGAAGCAAATGCAATTGAGGCTGAAATTATTCCAAATCAAAAATCGATCTCCAAGGGTCACTCTGAGATCAATGTTTTGCAATTGGAAACTGCTGTTGGTGCTGCTATTAGACATTTTAAGGGAGCTCACGGTGTGGTTGTGCCAAGATCGAGGTTCTTGCCTGTTAAGACCTGTTCCGATTTGTTGTTGGTTAAATCCGATCTCTTTTACTTGGAACATGGTGCATTGAAATTGGATCCTGTAAGAGACGGTTTTTCCAACCCATTGATTAAATTGGGATCTCATTTCAAGAAAGTGAGTGGTTTCCAAACGAGAATTCCTCACATGCCAGGGATCTTGGAATTAGACCATTTGACCATCACTGGAAATGTCCACATTGGTAAAGGTGTACAATTGAAAGGTACTGTGATCATTGTTTGTAACGATGGTGATAAGATCGATATTCCAAATGGGTCAATCTTGGAGAATGTTGTGGTTACTGGTAACTTGACCCTTTTAGAACATTAAACCTCCCCCTCCCTTCAAAACCAAAGAGCAAAAACAAAAAGAGAGAAGAAAAATTGACGTGTATTAGGTGTGTGTATACAATTTTCTCAATTGAGCAATTCCTTAGCTTCAGTTAAATCTTCATCCCCAGTGTAGCTATCCAAATAATCTTGTAACGATTTCTGCAATTGTTGAATCTTTGCCGAAACTTGTGGAACCATTCGTTGACTTTCCTCAAGCACTTCAACTTGTTTCTTTATGTCGTATTCGTCACCATTATTAGCCTTCAATTGGTTGACATATTGTTCCTGTTCGGAAACTTCTTGTTCATACAAGCCCTTTTCTTTGATGAGTCTTTTCAAAGCATTCACCTTGATTTGTAGTTGTGATGGGGGCATAGCCGGTTGTTTGAAGAGAGTGTTGTTGCAAAAGATTCCGTGTGATTGAAAAGTTGTCTTCAGTGTAATTTTTTGTTTTGTTTTACTTCGCGTAACAAAGACAATTTTTTACTTTAAATACTTACTATACAGCAACAAAACAGAGAAGACAATTAATTTGTTGAAAAAATATAATGAAGGCTGTTTGCATCCCATCCACCGCTTCCATAGCCAGTTTCCAAGTCTTGATTAACCTTGGCAGCTTTAATGACATAATACGTTTCATCGTCATTGATTTTGACGATTGAATTGTGCCAAGGAGTGGGAATGTGCAAAAGATCAGTGCATCTAGGCTCTTTGTGATCTTGGATACTTTCAATTGGAAGGCATTTTTCAGTCCCGTTTTTGCTCAACAAAGAGATTCCAAATTTTGGTCCAGCATTGTTATGAGCATGTATGGAAAACCTCAAATGAAATGGAAACATCAACTCCACCAAATTCGAATAAGCATCGTTACGCTTAATCATTTCATGGGCAACTTGGCTAACAATCTTTTTGAACTTTTTTCTAGTCATTTTACCAACGTTAGGATGAAATTGCAAATCCTCAGTCATGAATTTGGAGAAGCCACGAAATAAATATAGTCTTGGATGTCCTGGTGTTTTGATATCTTCCCTCAATTTACCATTGTCTGTATCGCACGATGTCATTAAAATCTTGCGGCACACTTCGGACACAGGGTCAATTTCGGTACTTAAAAAATGGCCCAACTCAACATGGTCCACCATTGCTGGGAGGTCTTTTGAAAATTCGAAAATTTCAGGCAATGAGCAAAATTTTATGGACGAAGAGTCTGTTGGTTTGATTCTTTTGTACATCTGCTTCAATGCGGCGGAATATCGATTCACCTTAGTATCATCCACCGCAATACAATCGCTGAAAACATGGCCGTCACTAACAATCCAAATGAGTATACCTGGAGGATATATCTTCTTGACCTCTTGAGCAAAGTATATCAATCTTTGCAAAGCAAGCTCTTCTCCCTTATCAGGCAAGTCACCTGATACTTTCTCATAGTTGGATGATTTGCACGGGAAGGCCGGAAGAACAGCTTCCAATGGTTGTCCTCGAGATGTGAAAAATTCAACACTTGATCGGAAATTTTCCCTGCCCACGGCGTCCCACATATCATGTTCCACCGTGTGTTTCAATTTTTCAGCAAAAGTGTCGGTGACTATATCAGAGAATTCCGATGAGCTTTCTGCATTTGGAAAGGCCACATGTGACAGAGTTATCAATAAATTTATGAACCAAAGCACAAAATCGGTAACTGAGATTTGCAAAGTGACAACTCCTTGCCATTTATCTTTAGATTGTTTTTCCCAAACAAAATATTGATCTCCAATCACTGCTTGAGAAAATCCTTCTTTGTAGTGAAAATACTTGGCGTTAACGATCTCGCTTGTTAGGTCGTCTGAAAACTTGTTGAACTTTCTATAACTCAAAATGTTGTTGCTGTCACGACTATATATCATGCAAACATTTTCATATATTGTTGGTGGACAAACACCATCGATTGTAGTGCTACTACTGGCACTGGAGTTCAAGGATAATGTTGAGACAGACTCCATTGTTGATGGTGATCTAATGGTAGAATACACTTACAGATTCCGATACGGAGATTTTGAGCTCTTTTATAAGTCAACAAATGGCAACTGCGCCATCCTCAGATCCATTTAGCAGTGGTTTTCTTTCAGTTTCCTAAAAAATTATGGTTGAGGAAGTTGGCACAAGTGACATCATGTCATAGACTGTAACAATTTTTTTTTTTGTTTGAGAAGAACAGAGCGATGATAAATAGCTTAAAAGGTATCTTGTGGTTTCGTTTTGTTCATAACGGGACAATGGTCATGTTTGAGTTCATCAAGGTGGTGGCTGCTTCACTTCTTGGTTTTGGTTTATATTTGTTGTTGGAGATAGTTTTCCCTCCACTTTGTTTCCCGAGAAGCATTCCAACCATACCATTTTACGTGTCGTTTCTCAGTTCGTGGACTAATCTAGACCAAAGAGATATCTACAATACGTATTTGAGAGAAAAATTGGAGAAATATGGGGCGGTAAAGATTTATTTCGCGTCGAGATGGAACATACTAGTTACTAGACCTGAATATTTGATCCAAGTTTTCAAACACGAAGACATTTACGCAAAAAGTGGGAATCACTTAAAGATTCCTGGCTCTGTTTTGGCTAGTTACACTGGTGATAATGTTATTTCAGCCCATGGCCCATTATGGAAACTCTATCGAGAAGTTGTATCACTGAGCATCCAGTTTCCCGATTTGAGCACAATACACCAAAATACCAACAAATTCTTAGATTTATTAGAACAAGATTTGTCAACTAAATCGTCAATTTTGGTCAATGACCTACTTCAACGATATACCTTGGCAAATGTTGGTGATTCGATTTTAGGAGTGGATTTCAAAGCATTAGACGGTAAGGAATCTATAATGCACCAGAAAATCAAATACATTAAGCAACAAATTTTCAAACCGTTTTTCATGAACTTTCCCTATATTGAAAATTTCCCCATTCCTAGTCGAATTAAAGCTAAGCGAGAGGTGGAGGGTTTTAGAAATTGGTTTGGTCAAAATCTCCTGTCAAATTACAATCCCGAGAGAGGAAACAGTGCTGCCACAAAGTTGGCTCAAGCATTGTGTAACGAGAAATTGACACAAAAACAGTTTCTTGACAACGCGATTATAATAATGGTTGCTGGACATGAGAACCCCCTTTTGTTAATGCTTTCCTTATTGTTCGTTGTTGCAAAATATCAAGATGTGCAAGAATTAGTTCGTTCCGAAACAAATCCAGAACAGCCATTCTTGTGTTCGGTTATTTACGAAACTTTGCGATTGTTCCCTCCATTGGGTCAAATAATAAATCGGTGTACGACGTCACTGGTCTGCTTAGGTGATATACGTATCCCCAGAGGGGTCTATGTTGGGTACAATAATATGGCTACAGGAAGGGACAGGTCTGTATGGGGGGCTGATGCCGATCAGTTTAAACCCAGCAGGTGGGGCACAACCATTTCTGAAATAAACACCAATTACTCTTCATCGAAAAGATTGGCTAAATTACCTGCTTTTCATGGTCGTAAGCGGGCTTGTTTAGGGGAGAAATTTGCGTTACATGAGTCCAAGTTGCTTCTTACTTCTGTTTTAGAAAAGTACAAGGTTAGTCTAGATGAGAATTGGCAGGAAAAGATAACTTCTGCAGGACCAGTTGGTCCATTGGGAATGAAGTTGAAATTTGAGAAAGTCTAGGGTGAATAGTTATAGTTTCCAAAAAATGATGTTTTTGTTTAGTTTTTTCTCTTTTCCTTTTTCTTGTGGACACAATTTTGCAGCAAGTTGCAACATTTATCTTGCCGGAAATATCCTTCTGGGTGTAGTTTTCAAAAACACTACAGCAATAATGGAAGCAAGAAACACACAAGAGATTGAGGAAGCTAGCTCTATACCTAGCAATGAGGAAGAGAAGAAGTCATCTAGTCCAGCAGAGGAGACCGCAAAGTCGATAGACGAACCTTACTGTTCGCTTTCTTTCAAAAGGAAAGCCATCATAATAGGCGTTGTCACGGTGACAGGGTGTTTGGGCCCAATTTCAGGAAATATATACGTGCCAATTTTGCCTCGATTGCAGGATGTGTTTCAAGTTTCAAGAACCGCAATGAATGGAACAATATCGGTTTTCATGGGGGTATTCGCATTTGCACCATTGATTTGGGCATCTTGGGCCGATTACGGCGGAAGGAAATCGTTGTACCTTGGCCCACTCCTTTTTTTTATAGTTGCAAATATCTTGCTAGCTACAGTGCCTGCGAATATCGGAGCTCTTTACGTTCTACGCATAGTCCAAGCCGTGGGAGCAAGTAGCGTTATGTCGGTTGGTGCTGGTACAATTGCCGATGTAATTGAACCAAAAAATAGGGCCAAAGCCATCTCAATTTTCATGTGGGGACCACAATTGGGGCCTGTGTTTGGTCCGCTATTATCAATGATATCAACAGCTTCATGGAGGTGGATATTTGGCTTTTTGGCGATTTTCGGCTTTGTGGTTTATCTCTGTATACTATTCCTCCTTCCAGAAACTTTACGGTACTTGGTTGGTGATTGTTCTTGCTACCTGGATGGCATATTCGTTAAGCCCCGATTATTTCAGAGAAAAGTGGTTGAGGGTTATCCACGCCCACCGAAACCTAGTATTAAAAATTATTACCATTTGATTAAATTTAAACCAGTGCTTTTATGCTCAATCAACTCGGGTATGCTTTTTGCTAGTTTTTATGGAGTAATGGTTACTTTTTCACATATTTTGCAAGACCACTACTCTTTCAATGATGTGCAAACTAGTCTTAGCTATTTATGCCCTGGTTGTGCTTTGATCATTGGCCTGACAATAGGAGGTTGGCTATCGGATAAGCTACGCGGGAGGATTATTGCTCAATCACGGATCTATGTTCCTGAAAATCGATTCTCCATTCAAGTTGCGGGCTTGTTTTTATCCATGACTGGGCTAATTGGCTACGCGTGGACTGTTGATAAACATGCGCCAGTTTGGTCGATTTTCATATTCACTTTTTTGAGTGGGTTCGGAATGACTTGGGTGTTTGTGGCGACAACTACATATTTAACTGAATGCCTGACTACACAACCCAGCGCAAACGTCGCAATTGGTAACTTGATGAGAAATATTGCAGCGGCAATTTGTACAGCAATAATTGATATTTTGATTAAAAAAATGGGGTTTGGCTGGTGTATGACTGGTCTAGGACTCTTGAACTTAATTGGTATTGGTTTCGTTATCATTTTGTTGAAAAAGGGGCCCCGATGGAGAAGAGAGTATTTACAGGAGTGATTTGCGTAAGCTATATAAGTTTTTTAATTTGTGATTAAAAGGGCATTTGGGTTAAGGTGTGACCCTTTTCGTAAGTAGTTGTTTCTTCTAAGAAGCATTGGTTAGCAAAGGTCGAAAGTGCTGCAAGGAAGACCGAACGTGACTTGATTTCATGTCATCAGTTTGTCGTAGAATCAAATTTTGCAATGAAACTGGCTATGGCCTAATGGTAAGGCACTTGACTACGGTGAATTATCTCGCTTGCTATCAAGGGATTGGAGGTTCGAGTCCTTCTAGCCAGGTTTTTTTTTTAGTTTGCACTTCTTTTATTTTTCGTTGGAATACCGAGCTCCTACTTCGTCTTCAAATCATAGAAGTAATTCAGGTTCCTCTATCTTGCTTTCATGTTTCATAGCTCATTTTAGTAATGAAGTTTTGTTATTCAAAAGTCAAATACGCTAGTAATGAAAATTAATAGCAAACACCATTTTAAATTGCGTATCTCTGATTATTTGTTCTATTAAATATGAAGTCTAGCTTCAAGAAACTGCCTATTTTAATGTTTAATTGATTCACAGTGAGGATAGAGTATATGCCGAAGTGAGCCCCAATTCTCCAGTTTAGGGCTCTTTTAGTCATCTTTTTGATATAATCAACAACATTTTTTTTTTTTCAAGGACAAGAAGTCAAAAATAGCTTTCCCTTGACGCTTTTTTTTATCTACATTGACTGTGTAACCTCCAATATACATTGTCTTGGAAAAAGGCCTTAACTCTCAAATGGGACGACTAGCCCACGCAAGTACATATTGCGAGCCCGCTAATGATTCAACCATGGCAACAGTATATGCAACGCTAGTGACAAACAAATTCCTTCTAGACGATTTGAGTCCTGATAAATATTTACGGCAGTCCAATCACAACCGCCTACTGAGTACTCAGTATCTGACCATTTTTTCCTCCACGTAAGAAGCTAAAGTCTAATGTGATGTTTAAGAATTACATGTAGTCCTGTAGTTGCGCAGTTCCATGCTTGTGGGGTTGGCTGCAGAGATAATATTTGATTTTGCTTCAGATTATGGAATAGGGTCCAATCGCTATAAGTAATATCTGCAGCTGCCGTATAGCTCAACCAGGTGTTGAGAGGCTTCAACTCGTTCATTGTTGCCTTTCTCAAGCCACTGTTCTTAGTCCCGATTATAATCGAGTCAATCACTTGTCAAAGTTTCAGAACGAGCTTAGAGGGGGTCCATCCAGGAAAGTTCGACAACTTTAAAAGCTTCATGCGTAAGCCATAAATACGGGATTGCAAGCTATTAATTGAAACTAAGTACTTCTTCACAATATCATTACGAATCAGGCTGTTTGTATGAGCTAGGTCTTGACCAAACTCTCTTTGATACCATAAATTTTCACTTAAGAAACCAAATTTTTTTAGGCTATAATTAATATAAGCATCAACATTGCCAATCTTTACTGGCCATGGCCTAATGGTAAGGCACTTGACTACGGTGTATGCAATACGCTTGCCATCAAGGGATTGGAGGTTCGAGTCCTTCTGGCCAGGAAATACTTTTTTTTGCTTCCATCACCCCTTTTTTAATCACGCTTTTTTTCACAACATTAAGGAAACGTCTCGGAGATAGGTTTTGAACGTCATGAAAGTTTTCCTTCACTGCGAAAGGCCAAATTCGAAATGTTGGTATCAATAAATTAATGTAAATGATTTTCTTTAAATTTCGTGCCAAAAAGTTGAGTCTTGTTTGACTAGTTGCGTTTTCTTTACTCAAAATACAAATAGTGTGTCATTACTATTGTAGACCGGACCCAAGTTGACCTATTTGGCTCCCTCTTGACAGGATGTATTTACACCCCGCTCAATACATAAACATTCTAAGTAGCCCGTTTCTACACCTTATCAGCGGTCGTGTCCTTTCGCAACCCAACTTGTTTTAAAAAAGATTAATCTAGAAAAAAAAAGACATTCGCAATTGAGGCGCAAAAAAAAGACAAGAAAAAAGTGACACTAAAAATCTAAATCCGAATTGCCCTTCTCTATTCTTCTTCTTCTTCTTCTTCTTCTTCTTCACAAGTCTATATTTAATAATGTCATCATATTCGCCTATACCAGACCAACCACCAAATTACCCTCCAGGAGAGGGACAGACTGGTGAAAGACAATTTGGAGATAATATTCCTGATGATTTCAAGTACTCAGTTGATGTTGCTTCATGTGAACTCCCTGTTCGTCAATTATTCATTCGGAAAGTGTATCTGTTGTTAACGATACAATTAATGGCATCGGTACTTGTCGGCTATATTGTGAGATCATCAGAGCCAATATTGACTTGGACTTTAAACAATCCATGGATTTTGATTGTTAACTTATTCGCCTCAATTGGGTTTATGGTTGCTGCTTTTTTCAAAGCTAGGTCCTACCCGGTCAATTTAGTGTTACTTGGTGGATTTACGATTTTTGAGAGTTTTACTTTGGGTATTGCATGTGCATTTGTTGAGAGTACGGTTGTTATTGAAGCGATATTGTTGACAATGATTATATTCATTGGATTGACTCTTTTCGCTTTCCAAACAAAGTATGATTTCATTAGTTGGCAAGGAACCTTGGGAATGATTTTGTGGGGGTTAATCGGATGGGGGTTCATTATGATGTTTTTCCCTGGAAGCAAAGGTGTTGAAAATGTCTACTCATTTGTTGGAGCAATCGTATTCAGTATCTACATTATTATTGATACTCAAAAAATTATGAAGACGTGTCACCTTGATGACGAAGTGATTGCTACAATTCTGTTATATCTTGACATTATCAACTTGTTTTTATTCATTTTGCGTTTGTTGAACAACAATCGTGACAACTAGTACGTATATCTAAATTGTCTATTTTCAATATCAGTTTTATCTAGGAACTCAACATCATTAACTTCTTGAAGTTTATTTGAATCTCTTTGCAAATTTTCTCGTTTGAGCATCCAACCAATAAACAAGGTTAGTGGTACACATAAACATTGGGTAACTAAAATGACAATCTTTGCAGGATGGTAATCTGGAGCACTATATGCTTGAAATAATTGAGGTCCGATAATGTTTGCCACCGAGAATGCAATCATAACCAGAGCACTGCGCATGAATTTCTTGCTTGAACCAGCTGTATTCGCACCAATCCACGCGTAAATTAATGTTATACAAGAAGAACCACTGTATAACAAATACAATGACAACAAGTTACCAACCTTGTTTGGCGAAATAATCAAAACAATAGCACCAATAATTGTGGGGAAAAACATCGATGTTAAAAACAATGTGTGGTGGCCAAACTTGGCCACAAGCTGGGTGGTGGTTATGATGATGATGACAATTAACGCACCCACTGGTAATTGAAGTAGAGCCGACTGATAATTGTCGAAACCAAAGGTTAGTGTAATTGTCACACTAAAAGTTCCAATTGCACCCGTAACTATTTGAGAACAAAGAGTTAGAAGGACATAGAGCCAAGTAAACTTGTCAAGCATGAGCTCGACAATTTGCCGTCCGTTGAACTTTGTACTCTTTGTACCTGTCTGATTGCCTCTAACGACATTTTCCAAAATGTACAATTTTTCTCCGTCCTTTAAAAACCAACATGTATGGACATTATCAGGGAGAAGCCAAAACACAATGATGCCAAACGCAACAGTTATCAATCCCATAACCAAAAATAAAATCTGCCATGATTTGAATGTAGTGCTTTTGATATGCTGGAATCCAAACGACAATAGTCCACCAATAATTGTACCGACACCAGCCATCACTGACCAAATACCCATACGTGCCACTTGTTGTTGTTTGGTGTAATACAACCCACTAATGATGATCAATCCCACTGCACTCGAAGACTCAAATATTCCCAAAATAGTTCTCACCACCATCAATGAAGCATAAGTCGAAGTTGCTGCATGGCATGCAACCACAACACCCCATAGCATAATGAAAACACCCATGGTTTTTCCAAGTGGGAACTTTTGTAAACTATAGCTCACAAATGGTTCACCAAAGATGTATGAAGCGTAAAAGATTGTTGACAAATTCGCAAATTCATTCCCCTTGAGATTGTCTTTGATTCCCATGGCTGCGGCATAATTCAACAACAATTTGTCCAAGTATTGCAAAAGATAGATTCCACATAGTATCGGTAAGATGATCCAGTCGAGTTTGCGAACAAGTTTTGCGTGATCGATTATGCCCACTTCCTTATGTTCTTTGAGGAAACCCAACGCATTGTCGAAAGAGTTGGAGTCAATAGAGCAAATCACTTCCTTATCATTGGATTCATCTTCGAATTTATTCTCAACCATAGCTAACTCTTAGAGTCTCTTTTTACGGAGGAGGGGTCAAAGTTTTCCGCCATTTGTCTTGCTTTTTATAGAGTGATGAAGTCGCCTTGAGTAAAGTTTAGCTCTTCAATTTTTTTTTGTGTTTACCGAGATTTTTCGAACATATGCGCTTAGAGATCTTGTGAGATTGACCCAACTAAAGCTTTATTACGAGACCAATCATGGGTCAGTCACAAGAGTACGTTCAGTACTCTGCACCGCTACAACCTGGCCTAGCTCTACCTCCCCTCTTACATCTGCACATTTTTTCATACTCCCTTTATTCAATTACATTATAAATTATATCAAACACCTGATAAAAACACTCCCTCTCCTTCTAAATTTATACAATTTACCAACCAAAAATCCGTCATAAATCATTCAAACACTAAACCAAATGAACTTCATATACAACTCCTTAAAAAAAACCAAACAAACGCACACACACACACAAACACACATATCAAAAGGCAAACATATCTAAGGATGCCAAAATTGATAATCTAACAAAAACTTTCAACAAAATGACCAAAACTGAAATAAACATTTTTGACAATAAAGAAAAATAAAGTAAAACAATCAATATGAATTCAAGTAGGAATTAAACGAGTCCTCATGAACAATTTCACCAAATCTTGGATGCGGCAAAGCTGGAGATCGGACCTGTGTTCATAGTCGCATTCTTGTTACTGCTCAACAAACTGGGTCCGTCGGGTGCTTTTGCCCAAATTGAACCAATAGCACTACTACCAGCAGTAGGAGTAGAGCCGCCATGATTATCTCCATTCCAGATATTGCTTTGAGTAGGTGTAGTAGTGGACGACAAAGTTGGTGAATTGAAAAAAGGTGCACCGCTACTCATTGGTGGCACATTTGTGGGCAAATACAAGTTGGGTGGTGAGTTCTTGTCAATGGAACCTCTATTTTCAAAACTCTTGATTGAATTAGTGTCAAAGACTTTGGGGTAACCGGTCGGAGTTGAATTCGATGAGGATGTCGATGAGTTGACGGAATTTGAGCTTCCATTCGACATCAAAAAGTTGTTCCTCAATTGAGATTGACCACTTCCTCCAGTAGTATTTTGATCAAGCAGTGTTGAATTGTTGAGATCGGCAAATACTTGAGGTGGAGGTTGAGTAAACATCTGTGATTGCTGCACGTTGAAAGCCGAAAACCCTTGGTCTTGTGATGGGTACGCATAACCTTGACAGTTCTGCTGTTGCAGGAACTGATTTCCATTAGTATAGCGGAACTGTTGGGGTTGTTGAAGATGCTGTTGTTGAAGATGCTGTTGTTGTTGATGGCGTTGTTGTTGTTGTTGCTGTTGTTGTTGTTGTTGTTGATGTTGTTGTTGTTGTTGTTGTTGATGATGATGTTGCTGCTGCAACTGTTGTTTATACTGTTGTTGTTGCTGTTGCTGTTTCCTCGCCAACACGGCCTGTTGTTGTAACAAGAAAGTCTGTTGCTGCTGGTGTTGAACAGCAGCTGCAGCAGCCACGGCAGCCAATGCATACTTATTTTGTTGTTGCACATGATGATGGTTATTGTACCCATAATGCCCATTGTTACCCTTGTTCATATGGTTATTGTTATTGTTGTGAAAACTACCATTGTACTTATTTTGATGATGATGATGATGGTAATTCTGATGGTATTTAGCAGTTTGACCTTGGTTCTTTGAGTTGTTGAGACTTACCTTGTTGATAACTTCCAACTGCTGCCCAAACGGAACTGACTCAATTTTTCTTTTTGGATAAACAGTAGTTGACGACATAATTTTGAAACAATATATGCATACAAATTACAAAGTGGAACAATGAAACAAACAAAATTGAATACAAACTAGTTTTCTCCCAAATAATAGTGAAACCTCCCTAATGAAAATTCACAATTTAAATAACTTGATATGAATTGAAAATGAAACCAAAAATGGTGAATATAAGAACAATATAGTAGTGTACAATAACTCTCTCTATATAGGTGTTGTTATCCTTCACTCAAGCCAAATATAAAATTCTCTTTCAAGGTAATATTGTTGAACTCTCTGCTAATGTAATAGTAGAACTCTTTTTCTGTCTCCAACCTTGTGTTCTTGGCTTTTTCTGCACCTTTCTTGAATAAATGTAAATGAGTGTTGTTTTGGTGGGCGTGTTGTAAGTAAGTTGACTCTCCCTCTCTCTCTGTGTTGTATCTTGACGGTTTTATGAAAATCTGTTGAAAAAGATTCTTTTTCTTTTTCCATTTCTTTTTTTTTTCTGTTCGCCAATTAAAAATTAATTAATCAAAAAGAGAGTGGTTTTCACGTGACTAATCTTATCTCATCTCATTCACATTCCCACTTCTTTATCTCTAGAAAAATGTATTGTAGGCTATTATCATAAACATATATATATATATATATATGTATCACTTACACGTTGGTGGTCGATGCTGCGCTTTGCCACGAAGGTATTCCACTACTACTCTTGTCTTCTGATTTATCATCTAACTTGTTGTTGGCAGCAGAATGTAGTTGCCATGGTGGTATACCTGCACTCTTGATCTTGTTGTCAATTTCAGCTTCTGATTTGGCTTGTTCCTTTTGCCAAGCTGGGATGGCTGATGCGAGGTTCGCATCTTCGTTTGATTCAGCCTTGAGTTCAGTTTCTCTATGTTTCATTTGCCATGCTGGAATACCAGCTGAGCTAACTTTTCCTACTGACCATCCACCACTACGTTCACCCAACTCTTTTGGATTGGCAGTGTCGTCCGCTTTTGATTTCGATGTTTGTGAATAGGAGCTTTTAGTTGTTGGTTGTGCTGCGGATGCAGGAGGTTCAGCAGTTGAGGCCGATGAGGTGGTTGATGAAGTTGCTACTGGAGGTGTTTCATTCTTGGCTTTGGCACGTTTCAATATCTCACTCGCTGATGGAATAGATGAAACAGGGGCAATGTTTCTACCAGTGTTGCCGGAGGTTCCATTAGCTCCAGCAGCACCACTAGAACCCCCACTACCAGATGAGCTGGCTCCTCTAACTTGGATTAAATTTTTTAAACTTTGCAATTCATCCTTGAGCCCAACCAACTCATAATTGACATCTTCTTTGTTCAACTTCATATTTTTTTCAATCGAGTTGCTCAAATTGTCAATCTCCAATCTCATCAATTTCAAATTATCATCAAAATTGAATTTGTCCTTGTTATACCTAGCTAGGAAATCATTGATATTTTCAATAACTGTATCAATATCCTTCAACTTCTCCTCATTAGCAGCTTTAATCTCTTCTTGTTCCTTTGTTAATTGCTCCAAGATTTTGTCTATCTTGATAAATTCTTCATTGATAACTTCCTTATCTTGTTCGATAGACGACTGACTAGGTGGAATAATTGATGGTACAAGGTACTTGGTCACAACTTGGTACAACCCATAAGTTACCCCCACTGTTGCTGAAGCCATGATGAAATAATCCTTCCATGATCTCTCGGGTACGGGTGGTGCAACATTGTAGTAATCAATAGGCAACTGAGGTTGTGGTTGCGATGCATGTTGTGAATTAGTAGTAGTGGAAGTTGTTGTATTGCTAGTTGATGGGGTAATGGTGGCCGATGAATCAGATTCGTTGACTCTTTTCAACGCTTCCTCAATCTCTTCCTGATTCAACCCCTTCGATTCCAAGAACTCAACTTTTTTAGCTAATGCAGCTGAGGCCACATTCGGGTCCCTCAAGAATGAGACGGCGCTATTGATCAACTCGTCATTCATTGCGGTTGAGAAGAAAAGAAAAGCCAGTGGGAAAAGATGATTTTGTCATGAATTATTTTTCTCCGCATATTTTTTTTTTAGTCGCAAAGCAAATTTTTTTTTTTTTTTGCCTTGCAGTTCTTAGTTCCAGCGGATAAATTAAATGGATCCACGAATAACCTAAATATTATATACACCTCTATATACAAAAATGCTTCTATGCAAAATGCTTCTTGACAAAGTTGCTTTTAATCAATTCTTCATAAATGAACCAACTTATTCCAGCACTAACACCTTTTCTACCCAATCTCAAACTCAATCCTCTAAACAAGTTTTTTACTCCACCATCTTCATGCAATAGTTTCACAACAGTTTTCCGTATTGATCCTCCATCAGTCAATTGTAGTCTTGTTTTGATGGCATCAAATGGAGCAGTAATTGTTGTGCATGTCGTGGCTGCCAAAACTGCAGCAGTTGAGTTGATTAATCCAGCATGATATTCACCTCCAAGATGTCTTGGTATCAACGTTGGTAGCAAATCATTTTTAAACAGTTCGTAAGTTAGCACGTACAATCCAGCATATGGACAATCTCTTATCAAAGTGGCAGTGGAGCCTCGAAAGAAATTCTTGATTGAACCTTGCAGTGGTGGAATTTTCGGTTGTCCATCTGGTTGCAAACTTGTTTTATCTAAGTATACCCCCAGGATTCCTTCGTACATTGAATTGTAATTGTACAAATTACTCTCGAATCGTGTCTTTAAAACGGTTATAGGCATTGTTATGTACCCAACAATTGCTCTTGCGACAAAGCCAGTGGTTAAATTCTCCATTGGTGTTAATTTGGGTAATATTGAGGATTCCGATTTTATGTCAATTTTCCCATTACGTTTTTCCTTGTACATGGCCCAAGCTGACCTCATTTTGGATAATGTGGTAAAGTATAGACCAGCACCAATTGAAGTTCGAAGTGCTGATGGTAGTGTGCCCCGCCACAAGTCCTTTATTTTCGTCAATTTTTTCAACTCCTTGACGAGCGATGTTCTTACTTCATGTTTGTTTGTGAACTGTTGTTGCTGCAATCTGGTTTTCAATAAATCGAACGGTTGAAGTGTGATTGCTGAAATTAGTCCAGCAGATGCCCCAGCCAATAGATGTGCCGTTGCATCGGGTGATTTTGCAGTTACGGACTTCTTCGTTGTTGTTGCCAGTGTCGACTTATCATAATGTGTGGGGTCCGAAGTTGCTATCGAAGACATTTAAAGACCATGTGTAAGTTGGGGAGTTGCAAAAAAAAAAGTTATGAAATAGCGGGTTGGGTGTGAATGGACCTGGTGACTTGGTGGTGGAAAATTTTCAGATCAGGATATATCTGCTGCTGCACCTTTGAATGTGTGAAAAAGAATATCTCTTGGATTACTGGGCAAAGAAAATAAAGCGAGGGAATTTTTTTTAAAAAAAGAGCTGTCATAAGAAAGTAAGCGAGTCACGTGCACGGATATAATTACTCTTTCGGATTTAACCTATATTTGTCAAGAACATTTCTTGACACAACAAAAACAGGGTCAATTTCATCTAAATTGTACTTGCGGTGATTCCACAATGATAAACTTGCAAGTGCCAAACAAGAGTGCATAGGATCTGGCGTTGCCTCTGGTCGTGAAGCGAATCCACCCACGATTGTATTTTGTGTACAATCTAAAAGAAACTTTTCCGCTTGTGATATGTTCAATAGTGATAGATTTGATGAATCCATCAAGTATAAGCTACCTGTGGACCACCAAGAATAGCAAGTATCACCGAGTTTGTTTTCTCTTCCGTTGAAGGCACCAATATCCAGTTTTTGGAAGTATCCGTAGTTGATATCTGAATAAAGCAGCTCAGGATAATCAATTTGTCTATGAAGAAGCCAGTTTTGAGTAGTTTTGAGATCCTCGATGGGGAAATTGAGAAGTTTGAGAGATGCGATTGCGCAAAACGTAAACCCAAGATGCGCTTCGTCCATTAACCGAGAACTGAATCCACCATTGCCATTCAACCTACCTAGGATGAACTCCTTTAGCGACTTCAAATCAATGTCCTCTTTCATATCTTCATGACAGATGAGCAATTGTCGTACTAGTAAAGCCATGTAACATTGTCGCAAATCTGGTTCACCAAATCCATATTCATTGTAAAATGGTACAAACCCTCCCTTATCGGGCCCTGCATCAACTTGGCATTTTATCAAATATCTCATCAATTTTGACTTATTCAATTGTTTCAAGTCTGATTTTAGAGTAATTAAACTCGCCAATGCAAAAAAGCATGCAGATATGCTACCGTAATCGTAATCTTCGCCAGCATGACTGAAATACGGTGTGGATCGGAACGTCGAATATGAATCTTTTTCAATATAAAACAGCTTCCATAAGTACTCTTTATGGAATTGGCACTCCTCTTTTGTAAACTGTAGCTTTTTCAAAAGTTGCAATCCCTGTAGACAAAAGAATATGATAGCTAATTTGTTTGAATCTTCTGATGCTGCACTTGAAGGTAGTGCAGTTAAACACCTGTTGAAGAATCTTTCATGTTTAGCATGTAATAATGACATGAAATAAGAGGGGAATATCTAGAAAATTAGTTTATTTTTGTTATTACACGTCTCGATTTAACTGAAGTGATTTTTTTTTTTTTTCTTGACGAGCTGATTGTCGTGCTCTATAATGATGTCATTTTTTATTGTTTCACGACAGACAGAATTGAAAATAGAATAACGGTTTGAGGCCATGGCCCACATGGTCAAAAAGAAAAAAATAGAAGCCACACAAATATACAATAACGCAACATACACACACACAATCAAAATACTCTTTTCGCTGTTTGATTATAAAGTGAACTATCCATTGTTTTCTCCAATTATCTGGGCTTTTTTTATCCCATCTTTCGTGTAATTTGTCGTTTTTGCTCTCGCTTCTATATTGCGCTAAAGTGCGTGTTTACCTTATTTTACATCTCCGACGTCGGGATAGACAAGAGACAAAAAATAAACAGGGTAAATTTGTGAAACTGAGCTATAACGCTCTTTCTACTTCTTTTATGACGTCTCGACCATTGCTCTTCTATATATGGAACGGAGCAAACGTTGAAAATGTGACATTTTGTTTTATTAATAAACCAAAAAATTCTATTAAAAGAAGGTATGCATAGTGGGTTTTCTTATACACAGGAATACACACATGTTTTTTATTTTTTTCTTTTCTTCGAAATCGACCTCGTGGGTAGATCTTTTTTTTTATTATTTGAACTTAATCATGAGAGAAAACGTGGGCCACTCTCCCACGAGTGTGAATGTATATGTGTATGTGGGGGTGTGTAGCTATTGTTTTAGTCGCTAAATTCCAGAAAACAACCTTCTTTTATCTTTCCCTTTTGGGATTAAATGTAGCTACAATTGGGGCAAAGACGGATTGTACATTCTGTGAGTAGTTATGATAACATAGCCTCACTATATATTTTTTGGTACCTTAGTATGGCGAATGCTAGCGGGGCTGTGTGAAAAGAGTAGTTTGTTGGGAAGTAGTTACCTCTGTTCTCCACAGTTTTCAACGTAGTTGTATCCCACTTTGATTGTAACTCTCTCTGTTTTTTTTTTTTTTTGGGTGTGTCCCTGAAAACGTGGGATCTCACAAAAGAATAAAAAAAAAAACATACCCACACCATTGACCATCTAGAATTTGAAGGCTTGCGACTACATGAAGTAGTACGACATCTATAGAATGAGAAAAAGGGGGCCAAAATGAAGATCTAACTTTTATTTCTTTAAGTTACAACTCGTGTGTGTGTAGTATGTGTGTGTCTGGTGGTGTACTGGTTATACATAACTATTTCGTAATAGGGGGTGTGTGTGTAATAAACTATTTTTGTGTCACATTCACTTTTGTTATTTTCACAACCACAATTTTACCTTAGTTTCAATACTACAATAACCATATTGAAAGACTAATTTGCCCATTTTTTATTTCATCATACATTATAACACAATACAATGTACAATGTGGGTCACGACTAATGTCACACACACACATACACATACACATTTTTTGTATTCTTGTTGCTCTTTTTGGAACAATTGACGCGTTATGATAAAGTTTGCTCTTTGCGTTAAAGTATAAATAGCCACCTATAATTCCCACATTGACAAAGGCACAGCTTTAACTCACTTTTCTTTCTTCTCCTCTTCAACGCTTTATCGCTACAACCTTATAATCCCAATCAACTAACAAGTTTATTACTACTACAATATGAAGGTCACAACTTTGACGATTATTTGTTCCGCCATTCTTTCTGTTAACGCCAAGGCATTCGATGGTTCAAAGAAATTAGGTGTTGTCAAGAGAGCTGACGAAGACTCATCTGTAGACACAGCTACTGCAACTGATGCAGATGCTACCGATGACTCAACTGCAACTGATGACTCTGGTGCTGGCGCCGGTACTGATGACGCTGAAGCTACCGATGACTCAACTGCTACCGAAGGTGGTGCTGAAGACACTGATGACTCAACGGCTACCGAAGGTGGTGCTGAAGACACCGATGACTCAACGGCTACCGAAGGTGGTGCTGAAGACACCGATGACTCCACCGCCACTGAAGGAGGAGAAGAAGAAACCGATGACTCTACCGCTACTGAAGGTGGTGCTGAAGATACTGATGACTCAACTGCCACCGAAGGAGGAGAAGAAGAGACTGACGACTCTACCGCTACTGATGGTGGATCTGATGAAACTGATGAATCAACCGCTACTGATGACTCAGAAGAAACTGACGACTCAACCGCTACTGATGACTCAGAAGAAACTGATGATTCAGGAGCCGTAGTTGGAGGTGGATCCGGTGGAAACTCAACCGGTGGTGCTGGTGGATCCGGTGGAAACTCAACCGGTGGTGCTGGTGGCTCCAATGGTAACTCCACTGGCGGTGGAAGTGACAGTGAAAGTTCCTCCTCAAATGCTGGTAACGGTCTTTTGACCAACCCAGGTGCCGGAATGGTTGCCTTCGGTGCTATTGTCGGTGCTTTGTTGATTTAAGAGTTTTAGTTTTTGTTTTTCCGTTCTCTATATCAAAGTTAGATTACAGTTTATAATCTTTTACTAATAATTTTTTGTATTTAATTCTGTGTGATCCAACATAAGAAGTATAAGTTTCTGTCAGCTCTGTAGTTGACGCTGCAAGACTGCTAAAAAATCAACCTCAAAGGTTTTAATCTTTGCAATCTGCTCTTGTGTGACGAGAGAGCAAATAACTGGTAATCGACCATCGCGTGCTCTTTCAATGACAGTGCTGTAGCAATAAAACTCATTAGTGAGACTATTAACAAATTCATTCTTCTTTTGGAACAATTTTTCTGCATTGGTTGCAATTTGGTCATACCATTTCACAATCAACTCACCACTGCCCAGGTGGCATTTAATCACACAATAGTTGTCTTCAATAAACTCTTCATCAGGGCCCATCGTGAAATAAAAGTCAGCCAACTCCACATTCAACCCAGACCCAATCAACTTGGTAAATGCCTCTTTCAAAGTCCAAAAATGATTGAACTTGAAGTACGAGTCGAGCTGGCTCAATTCAAACTTATGAAACATTGGCTCAAACTGAATTCTATAATCCTTTGATGATACATTCTGTACAGCGTGCGATAAATCCATTCCAATTGGTGATGTGTGAACAGCGATGGCAATGATATCATTCGACGTGGAAGTGTTGAACTCAAGCCCTTCGATGGAAGGTTTCCCATAGTTGCTATACTTTAATGCCAAGTCTTCAAACTGTGGTTTGTCTAAGGCCCTGTTCAAAACATACTTGGTGAACAAGTTTGCAATCAACTGTTTATACCTGAGTGGTGCCTTTAATTGTCGAACCTTTGCTTGTAACTTAAGATTATCAAGTAACCTCAACACCAACTCAAAATTGAAATCATCTTGTAGAAACTCAACTAGCTCGGGTGTGATTTTAGTAATCACCACAATAATATTCTTTGCAAAGTCATAGAGTGGAGCCATACACTAAGTTGATGAAGAAATGAAGTTCAACTTTTTTTTTTTTTTTTTTTTTGGTACAACCTCTGCGCAAGAAAGGAAGCTTATATCGAAAAATCTCATAAATTCAACTCTAAAATTACGCGACGTGGGTGAAAAGCTACAAATATTTAAACATTGTTAATGTTAATTGTTTGGGATCTGATTGAAAAAAAAGCAAAGAGTAAATATTAACTCTGCATTTTCATGAGCTTTGCAAAGCTCATCTTATTCCGACCATTTTGGATAGAATTAATTTCATTACCAGAGTGCCCAGAGATTCCATCACGTTTTGGAGAAAGTCCAGGTATAATCATTTGACTCGCAGAAGGGTCCTACCTCTCCTGAAACATTGCTATCACCTGCAATTCAAGTTGAGTGGCTTCTTCCTTGGTAGAAAGATAACTTTGTACCAATTTGTCGAAAAGATGAAAACGCTCTCTTTCCGTGTCCCCAAAGTCTTGAACTAAGACCTTACCATCGGTTCCCCTCCTGTAGAATGGTACGTCTTGTCTTCCTCTACAAGATGAGATGTGTCTAGCTCTATGCTTCCATCATTTGGCCAGCCTTTGATGCATTTCAAGTTGAGCACTTGTTCAGGACAAAATGGTTGCAAAAACAACTTTTCCCAACCCTCCTTGATGACAGCAGACAAAAACGTATTATCTTTGACATCTTTGTAAGTGCAAAGAAAGATCGCTTTATCGCGTTCAGAAAATGGGGTGTTATAATCGACATGACTGAATTTCTTTCGATAGCCTGCTTTTAGTGCTGAGAAAGGTTATTGATCACATGGTTGACAAATGTGCGATATATGAGGATTGATTAGAATCAAGTGTATGCTGTTGGTCTTGCACGTATCATCGAATACGATAGAATCGTGGGAGCTGTGGCCGTCAAGAACGAGCATTACAGGCTCCTTATTAGGGCCAGCATCAGTATTAGGAATGAATATTTTATTCAACCAATCAACAGCAAGACATTGATAACTCCCACCTTCATATGACAAGTGAAATACCCAATTACCCCGTACATCACTTGAAAACCTGTCTTTGTGGAGTTCCTTACCACGAAAGATAATGTCTGGTGCCAATGCTTTTTTGTTCCTTCCAATCGATTCAATAACGGTACAAAAATCGGTACCGTTGCTGTCTGCACGCCCGACCCCATCCGAATCCGCAGGTAGGATAGAATATTCATCACCCTCGGCACCAAAGTTTACCATGGTCTCTCCATACTGAAAATTTTATTGCTATGTACTCCTAATGTAGTTCTCATCTCATCGAACCTATCAAACCAACTTGCAATGCTATAATAGTTCCCGGCCGCAGACCTCTTGTTGCAGTTAATCTGAAATTTACACTTCTTGACATCAGGGTGCCTTTGAAAGAATTTAGTTGCCCAGGTTCGGCCAACATGGTATTTCCCAAGCGATTTTTTTATGTGATTCAAAAATGCGCTTCCAACCCGAATTAAACTTGTCTAAGAAATAGGGTGTCCGATCATTGCTCTTTCAACCACATTTGACACAATGCCTCTCTTGAGGAGGAGTAAAAAATTGGAGCCCAACATAGCCTAGGACTTAATTCGGCCCATTATTGATGTAGTATTGTAAAGTGGTATGGTATATATCGTGCGTTAACGCGTGAGAGCGTGTAGAGAGCTTATTTCCAGCTTTCACCGACTGCGAGTGGGTTGACAAGGCCAAGTGAAGAGCCTCTGTCCGTTTCTATCTTTTTTGAGCCTTTTCACTAAATTTTGGCACGATTGTTGGGTAAAGGGTTGGTGGGATTTTACGTATTTCTTCGTTTACATTTTATTTTTCGTTTACAAAAGCGAACACTGCTTAATATATGAATTTCTATTTATTCTCAGCAGTATAAAACTTGAAATTGTGGGATTCTTCATATGGATGCTCTTTCGCAAACTCAAATGCCTCTACAATCACTTTCTTTGCCTTTTCGAACGACTCTTGAGAAATCTGATAATGGAAAGAAACTCGTCCCGAATAAATCTTGACTCCGTACTTGTCACTTATCTCAATCAATTTATCAGGATTCATCTTGTTTGCAGCAATATCAACGAACACAAAATTCGTATCCACCGGATGTTCCAAAAGGATGCCCTTTTGTTTGCACAAGTCTCCCAATTCCTTTGCCATATCGTGGGTTTTTTGCAACTTGGTAAAATTTTCATCGATGGCAACAATGGCCATACTAGCTAATAATCCACTTTGTCTGATACCACCTCCATTTTGTTTCTTGAAATGATTGGCTTTCAATATGAACTTCTTGTCGCCAACCAACACTGTTCCAATAGGTGCACCCAATGTTTTTGACAAACATAGAGAAACGCTATCGAAATAATGGCTGTACTCCTTCAATGAGATCCCAGTAGCCACACTCGCATTCCACAATCTGGCCCCATCCAAATGTAACTTGACATTGTTTTCCTTACAGAACTGGGAAATCTTTTTAATCTCATCCAAGGGAAAAATCATCCCATGCAATGTATTCTCAAGACAAATCAATTTTGTCGGTGCACCATGTATCTCTCCATCATCAGGAATAAAATTGGGCAAGATATCATCCTCCAAAGTCAAGTGGATGCCATTCTTGGGTTTGATTGGTTGTGCCATGGCTTGCGTTAACGTGGACATGCCTCCAGCTTCGTGCACGTAAACATGCCCACGATAATCACACATCACACTATAAGGAGGCTGCATTAAGTTCACCCTCATGGCCAATTGATTGGACAAGGTACCACTCACGCAATACAACCCCGCTTCTTTACCAGTCATTTCGGCTACTTTCTTTTCCAACTCAATCGTTTTGGAATCTTCATTATAAACGGCATCTCCAAGGGTGGTTGTGGCTAATGAATTAATCATGGATGCAGTAGGAGTGGTGAATGTATCACTGCGGAAGTCATTGTGGGCGGGACTTTGCTGTGTGAACACTGACAAGTCCATCATCTATTATTGTAGAACAGTATTATTGCAATCAAAAAAAAAAAATGGATCTCGAAAACTAAAATTTTAATGCCGTGCGATTAAATGGTAGCAACGAACTCCGAAATGCAACAGTGAGATATCTCTCATTTATATTTTCACCGTTATGGACCCCATGTCCGTTATTGGGAAAGAGAAAACAGTAGCATTCGTTTGCTGATTGGCAAGTCAGAGCAAGTAAGCAAAAACATTATCAGTAGTGTGAGGGCAGTAACGATTTAGGTTACGAAGACAATGTAATACCCAGATTGCTTTTAAATTTGTGTGCACCACGTCTTAACGGTCCATTTGGCTCTACCTATGCTCAAATCACAGTCGAGGGAAGATGTCAAAGAATCTTTTAGTACCAAGCAGGAGTCGAATTGCTGCTAAGCGAGGAACATTAAAAGAGTATGAAATGTTGTGTCGCTTGAACCGGCAACCGATACAGGATGCTTAGATGACTTGATTGGAAGGAGAGCTCGAGTAGACGCAAGTTTATACAAATTATCGGTGGCTATTTGCGTGCCGAGACTAGCCACGTAGGCGACAGAAATTGAGTGCGTCTAGACCCGAGAGCAATGTGAATCTTAATAAAATGGTACCTGCCTAACAAAGTTTGAACTTCAGTATGCAGATTGAAGTTGAATTACGTGGTTTTCGGCCCCGACATGCATTTAGCTCTAAAATGCGGAATATGTGTTCCTCAAGTGGGAATTATTAGCCTATAAACAAGACAAATTTCATTCCTTTCTCTCTCCTTTTTCCTAATTCAGCTATCAAATGCGCTTGAGACTGACACAAAAGCTCGAAATATAATCAATACACATCCATTCAAACGAATTTTCTTTTACCCCAAAGAAAAAATATCAAATGCTATAAATTACAACTCAACTCCTAAACCAACGTTCTCCTAGTTTTATTCATTTCAATTCAATTGCACCTTTTTCGCTAAATATTCAATATAACTTTACATCCTCATGTCAGCTCCATTAGAACAGCAAGTTACTTTACCAGATGGACAAAAATTTGTCTTGCCCACTGGTTTATTCATCAATAACGAATTTGTTAAATCAAAAGGCCAACACACTTTGGAATCAATAAACCCTGCCACCGGTGAAATCAATGGGACTGTTTATGCTGCTGAAGCCGAAGATGTTGATGTTGCAGTCAAGGCCGCCAAAGACGCGTACAAGTCATGGAAAAAGGTGACTGGGGTAGATAGAGGTCTCTTGTTGAATAAATTGGCCGACAAAATGGTTGAACAAAGAGATTTGTTGGGATCAATTGAAGCTTGGGATTCAGGAAAACCTAAAGAGCAAAATGCCGTTTATGATATTGACATTTGTGTTGATACTTTTAGGTATTATGCTGGCTGGGCTGATAAAGTTACTGGGAAAGTTATTCAAAATGATCCCAAGAAATTGGCATACACTGTCCATGAACCATTGGGTGTTGTTGGCCAAATTGTTCCTTGGAACTATCCATTGGCTATGTCTGCTTGGAAATTGGCACCAGCTTTGGCCGCTGGTAATTGTGTTGTTTTGAAAACTTCAGAGATTACTCCATTGTCAATGTTGTATGTTGCACAATTGATTAAAGATGTTGGATTCCCACCAGGTGTTGTCAATATCATTTCAGGTTTTGGAAAGACTGCTGGTACTGCATTGTGTGTACATCCTGATGTTGCCAAGATTGCATTTACTGGATCTACAGCTACTGGTAAATTGATTGCCAAAACTGCTGCTGACACTATGAAGGCGGTCACCTTGGAATGCGGAGGTAAGTCACCATTGATTGTTCGAGCAGATGCCGAATTGGATCAAGCTGTGAAATGGGCAGCTGTTGGGATCATGTCCAATCAAGGTCAAATTTGTACTGCAAATTCACGTATTTATGTCCATGAATCGATTTACGAGAAATTTCTCACTGCTTTATCCGACCATGTTCAAAAAGAGTACAAGCAAGGTACAATGTTTGATTCAAAAGTAATTGTTGGACCTCAAGTTTCCGAGCAACAACGTGACAAGGTGTTGAAGTATCTCGAAATTGGTAAGCAAGAAGGTGCTAGAGTTGTATTGGGTGGTGAGAAAAACACTGAAGGCGAATTATCAAAGGGTTTTTTCATCAAACCAACAATTTTTGCTGATATTAAACCATCAATGAGAATTGTAAATGAGGAAATTTTTGGCCCAGTTGTATCTGTTGGTAAATTTAACACTGATGAAGAAGCAGTTGAATTGGCCAATGGTACCGAATATGGACTAGGTGCAGCCATTTTCACTCGTGATTTAGTTGCTGCTCACACTATGGCTTCTGAGATTGAGTCAGGTATGGTGTGGATCAATTCATCCAACGATTCTGATGTTCATATTCCATTCGGTGGTGTCAAGATGTCTGGTGTTGGTAGAGAATTGGGTGAGTATGGTTTGGACATGTACACTCAAGCGAAAGCTGTGCATGTCAATTTGGGAAACAGGTTGTAAATTTCTATGCTTATATATATATATATATTTTACGATAATCAAAGTATTCACTTGGTTGTTTCCAATGAGCAGTCTTGGGGAATAGAGTAGAACCGAATATTGCTGTGGTAAAACCACTTCAGAGGATCTCTTGTGCCTGGTGACTGAAGATACCACTCTAGCTTGACCAGAATACGGAATTATACAAAAACGCATCGCGGCAAAAGTAGAAAATCAACGCAATTCTGCAGTTGGAGGAAACCATGAAAGAACATTATGCTACTATTTCAGATGAGTGGTTTTAAGCTAGTGAGTTAGATAGGCTCTTATTGCTTTCAAGCATGCGAGGTATTTGAACTGCATCATTCACCACTTCTTCACCACTTCACCACTTCACCAAGTGGACCACTGTAGATCTATTCGCTACGAAACTAATTTCGACTTGCATACAAGACATAGGTGATGATTCCACAAAATCTACCAGCTTACTTCAACCAAAGTAGTGAGGACACTCTATACACACAATTAGCCGTATCTGTCAAAACTCTCATTCGATTCAAATCGTTTGGTAGCTACATTTTCGTAAATCGTTTAAATTTTTCACATGACTTTTTTTTTTTTTCTTTCAACTGAAACCGCCTTTTAATGTCATTCCAACAACGATCTCACTATCGCAATGCAAGAGTATGTTTAGATTACGAAGTTTGGCAACCCCTATTCTGCTGTTGATACAAATTTCCAAATCACTAACACAGACCCACCTTGCCTGTGTAATGATTGCGTTATTCCCATCTCTTCCCTTACTTTTTTTGATTTTTGGTTGCAAACAATATGCAGTATATATACGGTTAAGAGCCATAATTAGTCCATTATACATGATAATAATATCCCAAGTTTAAAAAAAATTATACTTTTGTATTCTTTAAAGAAACAAAAGTTTGTATTCTAAAGTTCACCCACCCCCGTCATTAGACAATCCAGTCGAAGAGAAAAGACACAAGAGCATTGAACACTCCATTCCATTCGTTGCATCTCCTACACTACATATACTGGCTATACTCTTGGAATTGGCAAAAAAGGTTGACCATACTTTTTTTTTTTTTTTTTTCATTTTCAGTTTTATGAAAATTAACCAAATCTCTCACCCCACTTAAACACCGTCATCATCATCATCATCGTCATCAATGACAACATCGAAATCCCCACAACAACTATTAATTAGCCAGTTGTATCTATATTTGAAAAGTAATGGGCTTGATGAATCGGCACAATCTTTACTCAATGAAACTAAGCAGGCTCGTCCTACTCAGCTACAGCAGAACGAATTACTGACAGATGATGAGTTCTTGTATGAATGGTGGAATATGTTGTGGAGTTTACAAAGTTCTATAAACCCAGAGTTAAATCAGGTACTTAACAACTATACCATACCGTCTCCACAACAACAGCTACTTTTGCAACAAAGGATGGTTCAGAGACAACAAGAACATCATTTACAACAACAGCAGCAACAACAACAACAACAACAACAACAACAACAACAACAACAGCCGGTTGCCTTCCAGCGAGCTCAACAACAGATGCAAAATGCTCCACAAATGCTCCCACCCCATCAGAATCAACCACCACTTCTTCTGCAACAAAATCCCTCAGTTCCACCAACGCCACAAGCAGCGAATCCTCCAGGTCCACCTATTGGTGTTGCACGGCCCCAGATTCCGCAACAGACTCTGAAGCCGAATGGACCACAACGTTCGAGGTCGCAACAAAATGGACCACTACAACAACAACAACAACAACAACAACAACAACAACAACAACAACAACAACAACAACAACAACAACAACAGCGTCGAAGATCAAATGCTAAAGCTAAAACCCACACTGACGAAACCAACGAAAATGGGCCATCTCCCACTCAAAAGAACTCACCAGCAAATCTCAATATGTCAAAAACAAATTCGTACAATCAACTGAATAACATTATCCCAGCTAACATTAATCAAATACAGCAACAAGCTAGGCTACAGCAATTGAAGATGCAATTCCAGCAACAGGCGTTAATGCAACAGCAAGTGCAACAGCAGGCGCAACAACAAGCACAACAAGCACAATTACGGGGATTCAATGTTTCTAATAATCAAATAAATCAGCAACATAATACGACTAATACACAGCCATTCCCGCAACAACAGCAACAGACAAGACCTACACCACAGCAAAGTACAAAAACAAATAAGGCTTCTATTTCAGCGCAAGCTAATCCTCGTACGCAACAATCACTGCAACCACCACTACCACCATCTCAGCAGAATAAAGACCAAGCTCTGGGATCAACCACTCAAACACCGACGCAAGGAAACTCGTTTGGTCAGCAGACAACTAGTAGTAATCAAAACCAAGGACCTATTCAATCAAATGTAAATCCACAAAGCCAACCGTCTGTTTCCAAAAGAAATATCCAATCGCTCGATGCTTATCAGATGACACTATTACAAATGGAGAATCAGAATAATTTACAAAGACAGAGATTCTTACAACAACAACAACAGCAGCAACAGCAGCAACAGCAACCACAGCAGCAACAGCAGCAACAGCAACCACAGCAACCACAGCAACCACAGCAACGGGTACCCCCAAATAGTGGCAATGCTCAGTTGGGTGCAATGTTTCCTTCGAATCAGACTCTGAACCCTCCCATGAGTGGTGTAACAAATCCGCAATTATTGCTACAACAACAACAGCAACTCCCACAGACTAATGGACAAGTTGGGCCACAAAGCCAGTCAGGACTGCAACAACAACCTCTACACCAATTGGCAATCAACTCACAAGTGTCTCAAGATCTAGGTCAAGTATCTGCAGGCGATAATGTTATTGACGACTCATTTTTTGCGTCAAACATCTTGCTTGATGATTTCAAACCGATAGATCTTGATGTTGAGAACGTATTCAATGAACATGGGATGGGGAATAGTAATTTCGGAAATAACGGTAATGGTGGTAATAGCAGTGGTGTGATGGATTTGGATTCCAAATTGGAAGATATTGGAGACACGTTACGAAAAGATTGGTTAAGTTCAATGGGCTCTGGTCCAGGATTTGACTAGGATTTCCTTTAAAAGCTACATTTTGTCTTCATTTTCTGTATAGAGTGGATTTGCTAATATAGAGGCCGACTGAACAAAAGCATTGATTATAGTGGTGTAGATTAGCTTTTCCATGGATATATACACATACAATGAATCATGCCATTAGCGGATCCCATAACAATTCAATATATGGACTAGAGTACATTCCTTTCTGTTACTTACATACAGTGCATGATTTTGTTATATATGTCTCTCTCTCTCTCTATATATATATATATATATATAAAACTACAGATTCGGGCTAAATTACATTTGGTTAAAAGATTGTGCATATAGCGAATGAATATTGTGTACATTAGTTATAATAAATTTATCATATGCTGCCCCTCTTTACGCAATTAGTTTGTTTTGTTTTGTTTTGTTTTGTTTTTCTTCTAACATAAAAAAAATAAAAAAATAAAAAAGAGCAAAAAGCGCATTGTTTAGTAAAGAAGCACAAGCACAAGCACAAGCACAAGCACAAGCACAAGCACAAGCACAAGCACAAGCACAAGCGGAAGCGGAAGCAGAAGCAGAAACAGAAGCAGAAGCAGAAGATAAAGTATTAAGTATAAAGTATAAGAAATGTGGGGGGGAGTGCATAGAATAAATTGACTCCAACTGCACTACTCCTTGTCTTTTTTCTTTCTCTGTCTCCTAAAAATCAAAACAAAACACACAAAGTAACCAAAAAACCTCAAATCAAACCCTATTCTATTATACTTCTCTCTTCCTGTCTCTTTTTTTCTTTTTCTTTTTTTCTCTCTTTTTTCTGTTTGTTTGTTTGTTTTTTTTTTGGCAGCACACTATAATACTCGGAAAAGAACAAGTGTTTGTGGGGAGGGCACAAACACTAGATACACCAGCTGGACTGAGTCTATCAATAACAACAACAACGTAAATACCAAAAGGCTATTATTGTTATCATTCCCATCAAAGAAGTTTCTTTTTTTTTTTTTCTTTTTTTTTTTGCGTCGGTGTGCCTTTTCCTTCATATGCGTGCACTGTGTGTGTGGTTCCACTAACGTATCCACCACTACTACCATCACAATATGAATTTCGATAGATTCAACCCATTGTCAAGTAACTTCATCTACAAACAGAATCCAACAAAGGAACAACAACAACAACAACAACAACAACAACAACAGCATCCACATCCACATCCACATCCACACCAAGATGCCAAGCTCAATCTAAATTCAGAGGTTAGTGATTGGGGGATCGAGGAAGACCTCACACCAACTTCAGCATTGGGTACAACGTTTTCCAATTACTTGTCTCCTACTGCATCATCTACAACCACAATACATACAAACCCACCATCACAAATTGCCCCATCATTGACTAATCGTCAGCTGAGTTATAGTAACTACAGTGCCGGTGGTGGTGCTCTTCTGCATGATGACACTTTTTTGCCACCGCATCCCTCCTACATTCCACACCACTCGCAACCGCATTCACTGTCGCAACTGCCGTTCAAAAGAAGAGGTTCCCTCAATCTGAACTCCTCCCTGCAATTCCATCAATATCATCAAACATTAAACCATCACCCACTTCATAGATCTCACTCACAAGCAAGTCAGTTGAATTTACTACAGTATTGTCAGTACTCTGGTAATGTCATTTATCCGAATACAGAAACATTGTCAAGATTTATTGCCAAGTACATGTCAATGGAAAACAAGTTGGGTGAATTTTGGGAAAAGTTCAAGTACAATCTCATTATATCAAACTTGCTCGAGGATTCAATGATTCTTTCCAAAAATGAGTCAAGTTTACAACTTTTAAAGACCAATCCTATATCGACTCCACTGAACTTTTTGAAATTCACCATCAACGATGATGGGACGAGACTACTTGTTTTAAACACGTTTTACAAAGTCAAATTTAGTTGTCGGTACAGCACATTCACACTGATACTACTTGTTATCAACTTGATTATCTATTTATTAAAACAACAACAATTTGCTTATTTAGGACGACATCATATGAAACATGAATCGCAATTTACCTTGTTCAAGTTCATTATTGTTGTGTCATCAAAATTGATCAAAGTACGCAAATTCAAAACTATTGTTGAAACAAACAAAATCCTCAACTTGTTGAATGATTTTCTAAAATTCAATTATATTGTCAATAAGAATTTGATACTTAGTATGGTGAAGCTAAAGGGTAAGAAATTGGATTTAGTGCAAGGAAATGCAAATTCATCTCATTTACTAAACTCGTTATCATTTTTAAATTTGACATTGAGGAGCTTGGTTGTAAAATTACTACCACATATCAATGGAGATTTGTTTCAACAATATTGTACTATTAACAGCATCAACACGGGGATTTTAACCCAGGAGTTTGACAATGAAGATCAAGACGATCTTGATGAAGTGATTTTCAACATTAATAAATTCAATCAATTAAGAAAATTATTTATTTGTCAATTGATTACCATAAATGAAAATGCTAGTAGCAATTTCTTTACATTGAATTTGATGGACCAATTTCAGGTTGACGAAGTCGAGAGCAACTTGTCCGTTTTTGCAAAAATGAAACTTGTACGTAAAGTGCTAACTGATCATAATGATTCAGTAAAGACCATAAACAACATGTTTAATAAAGTTGAAATAGTTTCACAGCCGCAAAAACAAACACAACCAATTGATGAAAATATAGCACCCGATTTGCACCTGACATTGTTTCAATTCACTTCGCGAGTTAATAAATTTGCTCATAATTTAAACTATTTCAACAAGTATAACCAATCATTGAGTTTAGACAATGCCGAGGAACAGTATGAAAAACTAGCCATATTTCAGCAATTTAATGATGAATTGAATCAACTAAAGACGCTTCACAAACAAGCTTTTGTTGAGTTGAATCAAGAAATTAATCCTGATTATACTGTGGCAAATTCCCCCAAATCAACTGTTTCATCATCGCCACGACTAAACCAAGCAGCTTCTTTCAATCTCAAGTCATTTCAAAACACTTCGTTAAAGAAGCGGTTTTCACTACCACCAAATGTTGCAACGTCTAATCCAACACCACCTGGTACTACAAATGGCAACACCACCATAGATTCCCCGGCAAAGTGGACACCTGAGAGAAGCTCAACCACATCATCAAAGCCTAAAAAGTACAAACGGTTATCTACTGGCTTGCAATTGGGTCTTCTTACTGTATTTGAAGAAAATGGTGGTCAAACACTGATTGCATCTTCAAATGGATTTACAAATGGTAATCGAAACTCATCATCATCGTCTACGTCAGCGTCAGCATCAGCGTCAGCATCAGCGCAAGCGCAAGCGCCAGTAGCGGCATCCCCAACAGCAGCAGTATCCTCAGGGTTGCTCCCTCCACCAAAAGTGTCCTACGATGACAATTACATCAACATACTTCCAACAAATCAATTTGAAAGTTACAACAAGTCGACATTGGATCAACTAATATCTAGTAAAGCCAAAAATAATCGGTACTCATTAAACAATAATAATCGCAATTCAACAAATATAAATCGATTTTCGTTGAATTCGGTAAAGAGTAATGTATCGGGGATATCCGATTTGATATCAACTCAAATGACGAGCTATAATGGCGACGATGCAGAAGCAGGTGCAGGGACATCAACACAAGCACAAATTCAGGGAGACATTGATGGCAAAATGGATTTTGATATTGATGAATCACCCAATGAACTGCGGTATGACCAACTCAATGACAACAACAATGTGTCGGTTATTGATGATGATTCCAATCCTGGTCGAATGACTCAGGAGGAATTGAAGTTGAAGTTGGAGGCAAGCTTTACAAAGATTTACAATTTGGAAACTGAGAATGAGCAATTGATGAAGGAAAACACTAGCAAACGAAACAATAGAGCCACGAAAATTATCAATGATGATATTGCTCTTAGTGATATCACCAATGATCATCATCCCAGTGCTTCATTCCTTAAGGAATTGGAATTCAAATTGAACCCAAAATAATTAATATATATTCTGAACATAAACATTCACTGCTCTCACTTTTATAGATATTTCATTTTTTAAAAACTACATGTATCCTTATTCAAAACCAATAAGAAGAAATGCCAATTAAATCAAAACAACATCATTTACCATTTTCCTTAAAATCTATACACTTCAACCTCCCCCTTTTCTCACTACATCAATTGTCCGATGCTTCATTACCATCACCAAGCAACAAAAACGCCGCATCCTTTCTCGAACTCTTGGTTTCTTCTCTGCCTGCGCCGCCATTAGCACCATCATTGGCACCACCATTGCCGGTCTTACCCTCCATAACAACCTGTTGCACTTGTTCCTTTTGCTTAGCACGATCCCTCATTCTCTCTTCAATAGTATTTCTCGTCAACAATCGATAAACGGTAACTTGACGCGTTTGACCCAATCGATGAGCACGATCCATAGCTTGTGAATCAATGGTTGGGTTCCAATCCGAATCGTAAAAAATGACCGTATCAGCCGCGGTTAAATTGATCCCCAATCCACCAGCTCTTGTACTTAGTAAAAACACAAAAATTTCTGGCTTGGTTTGCCAGTCGTGGACCAAATCCCTTCGATCATCCAATTTCGATGATCCATCGAGTCGAATATACTTGTGTTGACGATAAGTGAGGTATTCTTCCATTAAATCCATCATCTTGGTCATTTGGAAATAAATAAGTACACGATGATCGTGTTGTTTCAAATTGACAAGCAATTCATCCAATTTGGCTAATTTACCCGATTCGGTAATAAATCTATCCATGGAGGGCATACGAATGTTTGAGTAGTCAATAAATTTATTGATTGATGGCGGCAACATGTTTGTGGGCGGGTACTGATCAATGGGGATTTGGTTTTGCATGAATCGGTACTCTTCATTCAATGACATTGGTGCTAGTGATGAGCGTAATTTGGGGTTGAATAGTTCGTTTTGGTACTCATTGGCAAAATTGATTGAGGAACATGTGATTGTGACTGGTGGAGCTGATGCTATTGGTGTATATGCTGGATCCAATCGATTCAAGTACATCTCATCATACACTGGTTTAGAAACTGAACAAAGTTCAGCTAGGATGGGTGAATTGGATACTCGAGATGAAGTCAAGTTTAAATTATTATTGTCAACAATTAGTAATTTGGAGTGCTGAGGCGTATACTCTTCTTCCTCATATAAATAGTTGATTTTACCAATTTGTGATCCAGTTGTATACTTGTGCAAGTCAAAAGCACGTTCAATAACGTTTGATTTAGCTATAGTTTGCATCTCACTTAGTGAAGTACCAACACCATCAACCCATCCCGAATCTTTGGCATTCACAGCATTGTATATGTTAAACCTTTCATACAATGAATCCGTAGCATTCTTTTCAAAATTAGGAGTCAACAACTCATCGTAAATCAATCTTGGCAACTCATAGTTGATTTCATTCTCGGTGGAATAGCTATACTCTAAATCATTACCTTCTCTCAAAAACGAGCTCGTTTCAGCAAATTTTCCAAATGAAAAAGGCGATCTCACGTCAGCTCGTTCAAATAAATCAGGATGATTACAAACTTTTCTAAACTGCATCACTAAATTAACCAATGAGGTTGAATCGTCTGAATTTGAATTTGCTGCATCCAATAAATCCATAATTGAAATTTGTGATTTCAACATTTGATAATATTTCTTTTGTCTATTGGTTAAATCACAGAATAAATCAATTTCCACTTTATCACCCAATTCACTTTGAACATTCTTTTTAATACGTCTCAACATAAAAGGTTTCAAAATCATGTGTAATCTTCTCAATTGTTGCTCATCTAATCCAGTATTTGATTGTGCATGACTTTCAATATCCTTGGAGAACCAATCACTAAATTCGTCATGAGAATCAAACAATGTCGGCATTATAAAATGCAACAATGCCCACAATTCTTGCATCGAGTTTTGTATGGGGGTACCTGTCAACAACAACCTATTACGACAACTCAATGACAAAAGTGACTTCCATCTTGAAGATTGAGATGACTTAATAGCTTGTGCCTCATCCAAAATCATATATTGCCACTTCATCTTTTGGAAATAAGCAATATCGGAAACAATCAACTGATATGATGTAACTAATACATGGAATGGAGCATCCTTGTCATACCTCAATGATTTTCGATCCCAAAATTTACGTAAAACCTTACGATCTTTAGCGTGACCCCAGTATGGTAAAACTTTAAATTGTGGGACAAATCGGGAAATCTCTTGCTGCCAATTATGTAACGTTGATGAAGGGGTAACAACCAAATATGGACCCCATATGTTATGGGTTTCTGCCAAATATGCAAGCACCGATATACTCTGTACTGTTTTACCTAAACCCATCTCATCGGCCAAAATACCATTAATACCCTGTTCGTATAAATTGGCCAACCAGTTTAACCCCTTGATTTGGTATTCTTTCAATGTACACGTTAACATCTTTGGTTGTTCGATACTAATATCCCCAAGCAAAGTTGGGTTTTGGAAATTCATCTCTTCTCCATTGGTGTCTGGATTCTTGAATGGCTCTGAATCATCAAACTGTTTAGCCTTGTTTTGAGCATTCATCAATGCACTTTGCGCATTTTGTGCTGCTGCTCTATGCAATGCATCTTCATCGTCATTATCGAAATCCAACGTCAGGATATCATTATTTGCCGCATCAACGTTTGCAAATTTATCCAAATGTTCTTTTGATTGTGGTTTGATTGTTGGATCAGAATCAGCACCTTCAATTTCATCAGTCTTGATTTTCTTACCAATGAAATGTGAGTACAACTCGGTTTGAGTAATCAAAAAATTCAATTTTCTCGATTGACGTTTGGCTTCACGATCCTCTTCTTCTTTCTTGGCCTTGTCAACCAATTCCTTTTCATGCTTCTTCTTCAATTCTCGTTCAATCCTCTCATTACGTTTCCAAAAGTTGAACATTTCTCTCATTGCTCTTCTCGCTTTTGTAGTCAAATCCTTTTGATTCTTGGTGTTTCTCAATTGCCACCTTTTGGCCTCCCTTGCAGCCAAAAGGCACGTTTTTTTCAAATTGATTAGTTTCGCTTGAGTTGATTGTTGCATTAGTCTGCTTACTTTAGGTCCATCCTTACGTGACATATCCTTCCAAATAGCAACATAAGTAGTGTCGTATTGTCTCATAAATGCCCTCTGTTCTTTCGTAGTCATACTAGATGTCTGTCCTGACTTTGGTTTGGTATCTGGTTCCACTTTCAACCGCTTGACATCGCCTCCTGCTGGTTGTGGTGTTGTACCAACTTCACTGTCATCCTCTTCCAAATACAAGTCCTCGTCAAACTCCCCACCTTCGTCGTCATATGTCTTTCTCTTGGCTTTGGGACGACTGCTTCGCCTTACATTTAAATCAATAATCTCCTGTGGTACAGCAGTTTTGGGCATAATGGGGACGGGACCATTAGAGCCATTCAGAGGAGTAGCAATTTTCATGTTGTTGCTGTTACCATTGTTTGCGACACCATTAGCTGTAGTTGTCTCCTCTGTTGGCTTTCTCTTTCTTGATTTATGCTCCACCTTGTGTATTTCTCTTGTGGATCCCCATTTGTATTCTTTTCCTCTAGTGCTATTGTGATGCAATGGTTTGGAATAATCAATAAGTACCAACTCTTTATTTTTGTTAGTGTCACTGATCTTATTAGCTCTTGAAGAGATGTCTTCAGCAACAACTCTATCGATATAATTGGCAGCAAACTGATGTGTGTTTATCAAGTAGTTGTTCAACTTGGCTTCATCAAATTTTAACAACTTCAAGTCATGGCTTAATCTTTGGTATCTGTCCAACTGGTTAATGATGTTAATGTTGGATTGAAATTTCGACTTGTATTGTTGATCAATTTGCGGTGTAATGTCAGGGAAATCTGCCAACGTATTGACTGGTGGTAGTATGCTGGACACTATTGAATTTTCTTTGAATAAAGTTGGTAAAGGCTCAAGAGGTGGTTGATTAAAGCCGTTGTTATCCTTGGTTGGATACACAGGTTGTGATGTTTCGGCATGTTGTGAACCTGGTTGGTGGTGGCCAAGTTGGGTTTGAATTGGTTGATGGTAGCCAACTGGGCTCTGAATCGGTTGATATGCTCCCGTCGTACCATTTGAAGAGACCTCGTGAGCAGATCCATTACTATAAGATGGTTGTTCTTGTTTCACTGGTGTAGTTGTTGTTGTAGTAGTGCTATCACTTGATAGCATAGATGAAATGTTCATCTTTTGTAAAACTCTTCTCTATTAGTAGTCTGGTTTGTTGATCACCTTCAAAAGTTCTGATGCAGCAAAGTTTACTAAACGGCTTATAAAGAGCGGTATGAGTTGAGTTGAGTTGAGTTGAGTTGAGTGGAGTTGAGTTGAGGTGATATGGTTGATAAATTTTTCCTCTACTTACAATGTTGTGTGATTCTTTTCTTTACTTTCCCAATTTCATTTAGACAAAGAGAGAAAGAGAGAGGCGAGTTCGTTCGTTTCAATGCTCATTCTTTCTCTCTTGATCAAACATAGACATAAACCCAATCTGTTTATAATACACAAACTTGCTTTCAGTGCAGCATATAGTAAGAGAGACAGAAAAAAATAAAAAAAAAAAAAAAAATTTCAATAAAGAAAAACTAGGTTATATGCAGTACTACATGATAAAATAGAATCATACACACACACACACACACACACACACACACACACAAACACACAATGTATGTATGTATGTATGTATGTATGTTCTTCTTTCCGTTGTCGTATAAGGTGAGTATGGAAGCAGTTTATATATGATATCTACTAATGATATATAGCATATTAGTAGAAGAAGGCGTCCTACTGTGTTGATTATAGAAGCCAGAGTAAATAGGAAAAGAAAATTTTTTTGTCTGTGTTGCCTTCTGTTCTGTTCAAATTCCCTCACTCTTTTTCATGATTTGCATTAAACGAAAAAGAAGTTTCTATTGGATGATGGGGGAAAACAACTGGAGCTAACTTAACACTTGAAATAGAGGTGAAAGCGGGGGTTTAAACCACTTTTTGTAAGTCGTTTCCTACTCCGTTTGGCTTCCTTAGTGTGTGTGAATACAAGACGCTCTACAATACTCTCATTTTCATTTGCAAGTGGGTTAAAGGCTGGTAAAATCTGGTGATGAATGGCAATTCCCACCATTCATCTCTTTCGACTTCCCTCTATTCCGTCCAGAGTTCACCAAATATAGTCTTCCCACAAACAAAGCAAAAACCTCTCAATTTTTGCTAGTCTACAATTGTGTAACCCTAATCACCCAATTAAAAAAAGAAAAAGCTCAGCAAAAACATTTGTGTGAGTTTAGTAGTGGAAAAGGAGGAGGAGAGAAAAAAAAAAAAAAAAAGAAGCCATAAAAAAAAGAATCAGTCGAGTTTGTCACGTGAATCGTCTACGGAAGAAGAAAATTATTAGCGAATCCGTCGGAATTAAAGAAGGGGGTGGATTTTGTTTTTGACATTTTATCCATCGTAATTGTACATACAACATACTCAACAAATAATATGGGATTGGATCATCCAGCTTTCACTTTATCTGGACTTTGCGCGATTGGTGGCCTCATGGGCTACTTTCGCAAAGGTTCGGTTCCATCATTAGTTGCTGGTTTAGGTGTTTCTACTTTATACGGAATCTCAGGGTACTTGTTGAATCAGAACGCCAATTATGGGCTTGAATTGGCATTGGGCACTAGTTCGGTATTACTTGCTGCTGGTTTATCAAGAGCTACTTCAACTGGTTTCAAGAAACCAATTCCACTTGCATTGGTACTTTTGGGTGGGTTGTCAACTGGTTACTATTTGAAAAAGTATGATGAATTTTATCCAATCTTTGGTTAAAGATTTTCTTGTTGCTGCTTATTTATCGGATAGTTGGTATAGCTTTAGATTACGACAGCTTGCATTCCACACGAATCAGCGTAATATTTTACGGCCCAAAACAGCAATACAAAACGAACGAAAGTTTACTTTCATAAGATTCTACTCTAAACCTTTCCGCTTTACTAAATTACAATTGTTTTTTATTTCTCTATTCGTTACAGCTTTTCCATTTATAAATCATTATAATGACGTATCAAAATGTATGCATTTTCTTGTTTCAAGTTACTCAAAGAACGGTAACCTCCTTCCAATCTCATCAACAACCCACCAAATGAAATGTATACCGACATCTTATCATTATCAGCATTCTCTTCGAATTTGTACACAGTTCCATACATGACATAATCGTAATCATCAGCTAGTGACCTTTCTCCTTGTTTTGGTGGTCTCCATGACCCATTCGACGTAATCATTGAACTTTCATTACCTAGCGTCGATGCTAAAGTTATTGTTAATGAATCATTCTCCTTAACTGGGAATAGCTCACTGTTTATATCCAATGTGATTGTTATATCCTTTGATGTTAAGGAATGCCCCGTTATTCTACAAACTCTGTTGTATCTTCCTGGATCAGTGGAGTCCACTGTGAACATATCTTCAAATAATACTCCCGACATTGTTAGTGGTACTCCCTCTTGTTGTGTTAGCTGAGTGGTATAATGTAATCACAAGTTATGGACCCACCTTTCGTTTTGATGAAAGTGAAAAATCAAATTTCGATGGCTTTTTGTTTTTGTGGTTCGAAAAATGCAAAAAAGTCGTGCATATTACAATTTATACTAATTGGTGCAATTTGTAAACACAGCCATTTACAATTCCATTTATAGCATATTTCAAGGGGCCGGGCAGAGATCGAATCACCATTTCCAATTGCACTGAGTAATAAGAGTAATGAGTGAAAAGGAAGCAATTATCATCAACACATGGGGCAATGAAGGTACTCACAGATCAAACAAATTGAAATACCTAAGGATAGGGTTCGCAACATTACTCTTGTTAGGTATTGCGATGTATACTTGTTGCACAACACTTCAGCCAACGAGCTTATCAAGCAATCAGTCACATACACGATTGAGCCATATTGGAAAAGCTGTTATAATTGATGCCAAGCTGATTAATGCAATGCAAGAAGCCGATCAAGTTCAAGACTCAAATGCAAAGCAGAGGGAGGAGCAAGACACAGCAAACTTTCAAAACCACGTGGTTGAAACCCCAACAACGACTGCTGACTTTTCCAAGAGGGACGACTCTTCATCATCTTCATCAGACTCAGACTCAGACTCATCTGAAACATCTAATCTGAAAAGCACTCCAATCTACGATAAACCATGGATGAGGTTTCTCTTTGCATTGGGAGGAATCATCGTCTTGAACATGATTGCCATCTGTATTCATCATTTGTACCTAATTGTAACAAGGTCACAAAACAGGTACCGAGCATTCGAGGAAGAGAAATCGCCATTTTAGAAATACGAGATTTTGGCTTTACCAGAAGCTCTGAATATATACATCATCAATAAACAAACTAAGAGAGATGCCTCGTATTATAAGAGAGGGCTAGATTTATCAAATAGTTGGTCTGTCGCCAAAAAAAATCCGTGTATAAACAATGTAGTCTCTAATTAAAGCAAATCTCAGATAAGACAATTAACACACAAAAGTGGAAAATTAATAGAATGACAATCGGAGATCGCCATAAGCAACAATAAAAGGAAGACCATTCATTTTAACTAAATCGCAACTGATACATAAGAATATTTTCAAAACACAATCTTTTTATAAAGAAGCGAATTCTACAATATCTTGTATCATCATCTTGCATTTTCGCTAAAGTACTTTGCATTTTTTTTTTCCTAACCACTGGCTTTAATCATGCCAGCAATGTCCAAACTTCCGTCCTTGACAACAAGACTAATTCAAGTAGCGTGTGCCATTCTTTGGTGTTTAGCAGCAGCTGGACCGGTGTTTGGATTTGCAGCACTAAAACCAATCTTGATATCACAACACATCTACGAATCCAAATGTGATATTAAAACAGAGTCAACTGAAACTAAATGTGTTGATCAAGATTTATCACTAAACTTTTTATTCACAATTGCTTGTATGGTAACTAACATTAGCGCATTACCTGTTGGATCTATATTAGATACATTTGGACCGAAAATTACTGGTGTTATTGGGTCTGTCATTTTAGCTCTTGCTTCATTGAGTTTGAAATTTGCAAACAAGATGGTTTATCTCGATGGATACTTGACTGGGTATACCTTGTTGGCCTTGGGTGGTCCATTTGTATTCATTAGTTGCTTTCAGTTAGCCAACAGTTTCCCCAAGAACTCGGGTCTCATATTGGCCTTGTTAACTGGCGCATTTGATTCATCGTCGGCTTTGTTTTTGCTCTACCGGGTGTATTATTTCAGTGTTGGTAAATTGTCAATCAGTCACTTCTTCACTGGGTATTTGATAGTGCCAGCTTTCATATTCCTTTGCCAGTTGTTTATCATGCCCAAAGATTCATACAAGACAGTTGGTACATTGGCAAAGATTGCTGAAACTGGTATTGATGAAACTGGGCGACCAATAGATGATGACTTGTTGCATCCTGAAGATCGCGAAAGTGCAATTTCTACAAGAGATGATCTTTATCAACCAACGATTACTGAAACTACTGCCCTTTTAATGAGAAGACCTTCTGGTGTAAGTCGAAGAGCATCGACGTTATCAAGAAATTCGTACAACTCGATCAAATCTTCATATGAACAAGAAGCAGATACAAAGTTGGTGTCATCATCTGGCGGTGTATTTGGTGTTTTACATGGTTACTCGATATCACAACAATTGAAATCTCCTTGGTTTTCACTCATGACATTTTTCACCACAATTCAAATGTTGCGTATAAATTTCTTTGTTGCAACAATCAAAGCTCAAATACTCTACTTGTATGGAGGTGATGAGGAGATTGCTACAACAGTGAACCATTTTTTCGATTTGGCTTTGCCATTGGGTGGTTTATGTTCAATCCCATTCATCGGTCTCATTTTGGATAACTTATCAACTTTGACGGTGTTGTATATTTTAACAGGAATGTCGTTGTTCATTGGAGTCATGGGGTTGTTATCGTGGATTCCAGGCACTTATGCCGGCATCATAGTTCTTGTTATCTACCGTCCATTTTACTACACTGCAGTTTCGGACTTTTGTGCAAAAGTGTTTGGATATGACAATTTTGGGACTGTTTATGGAGCAATCATTGCAATCAGTGGGGTTTGTAACATCTTGCAGCAAGTTATGGATAGAATAACCAAGGAGCATTTCCATATGAATCCAACGCCAGTGAATTCAATTTTGGTTATCTTGACATTAATGTTTGGTGCTGGATTAATTGGGTTTGTAAAGTCTCAAGAAAAAGAGATCAAAAGGAGAAATTTAGAAATGGAAGCTGAAGATGCTTCGTATAGATCTATTCCAACATAGACATCTATATAACAATGTATGTAAAATTGATAAAAAGTTACTCTCTTTTGCGCTTTCGTGTCTTGATTGTATCTCTATCAAGAGCAGTGAGTGGTGGAAGACACAAGACAGGCTTTTGCGTCTCACAGGACTGTTTGAAGATCACATTCACCTGTACATCAACAACGGTTCTAGCACCACTAGCTTGCACCAAACTTTCATTTTGAGAAAAATTCGACAATATCTCTTCAACACTCTTCATTTCTTTTTCTTATCACCTTTATTTTCCTTCTCAATTTCCCTTCTTGTTCCCTTCAAAAGTTCCAAATGACCTACTCTACTGGCAATCAACTTCTCGGTACTTTTCATCAACTGACCTTGATGGATTTTGGTCAACTTTTGTGCTTCTTTTGCTGTTTGCTTTTTGGGTTTGATGATTTTGGGAGCTGCTCTTTTCGGATTTTGTTGCTTTTTGGTGACTCTTGCCGGACCCTTGGATTTTAGCTTTAGATTCCCTTGAGCCATTATACTGATGAAAGCTTGGGTTATCAAGAAGAGAAGAGGAGATGAGATAAAAGAGTCCTTTACATTTTATTTTTTTTGTGTTGAAAACGAGCGGCTTGACCGACAGAAGCCATGTTCATTCGCCATAGCATTGATTGTCTCAGGCGCCGTTATCTAGATGCAAGTTTACATTCTGTAGCTACATTACAATCACTGTGGCGTGATATCTGTACCCGTCACAAACTTTGATGTGAGCGGCATCTTGACCAATTGCGCTGAGCACGTGGCAGCAGCTGCTCTCACATGTACACAAGATACACGCCTCAAAACAGCTACTTTCCTTCAGTTGCAATTCAAAATGGAAAATCGTGTTGTCCTGTAATCCGCCGTCATTGAGGCTGTTCGTGAATCACCAAGGTGTGAAGCTTCGTAGTTGTAATATGCAGGACGGGCATCATCTCGTTTGAATTTGGGTCTTTTTTTTCACCAAAATTAAAGAATTGACTCTGCTTTGATCTTAGTTTTGGTAGTTTGTCCAACTCGCAACTTGCCTCATCTTGGCAACATTTCACCCACTTTACTTGAGTCCCATACCCTTGATATACTTCTCACACGATGAGCTCTAATTTCCTTGTTTTACCCGGACCGAACGCATTGTCCCCTTTTAGAGTTAATAATTTAATTCAAGAGATTGAGAAGAAATCTCAAAAGCCAAATTCAATTGAAGAAGTTGCTAGTCAATACACCCACTACGTCTCCCTCAAGAAACCATTGAATGAAAAACAATTAGAGTTGTTGAAAATCTTGTTGACTTATGATAACCCTGTTGACACTTCGAATCCATTAAATGATGAATTGATTAAATTATCCACTGGAGAAGGTCAAGCCAAACGTGGAGAAGAGTTTGTTCAGGTTTTACCCAGACCAGGTACCATTTCTCCTTGGTCTTCAAAAGCCACGGATATCGCTCAAATTTGCGGATTGGGCGATTTTGTAGAAAGAATAGAACGTGGGTTGTCATTATTGTTCAAAATCAAAGACGGTGAAACGTTCACTCCGTCAGGTGATATATTGACATCGGTGTTTGACAGAATGACTCAAAAGCTTTACGTCAATGAAGATGTGCCAAGATATGATGATTTATTTGCCCATCATAACCCCAAACCACTTGTCACCGTTGATTTATTGGGCAGCAAAGACAACTTGTTGCAAGCAAATAAAGAAATGGGATTGGCTTTAGACCAAGGTGAGATTGACTACTTAACTAACGCATTCACTAAAGTTATTGGTCGCAACCCTACTGATGTTGAATTGTTTATGTTTGCTCAAGTCAATTCCGAGCACTGTCGTCACAAGATTTTCAATGCTGATTGGACTATAGATGGTGTCAAGAAAGACAAGTCTCTTTTCAAAATGATTAGAAACACTCATGAGAAAAACCCACAGTACACAGTTTCTGCATATTCTGACAACGCAGCTGTTTTCGAAGGACCAGATGGGTATTTATTCACCCCAGATTTCAAATCCAAGCAATGGAAGTCAATTAAGGAAAGTGTTCAAACTTTGGTCAAAGTTGAAACTCATAATCATCCAACTGCTGTTTCTCCGTTTGCAGGGGCAGCCACTGGTTCAGGTGGTGAAATTAGAGATGAAGGTGCTGTTGGAAAGGGTTCCAAATCTAAAGCAGGGTTGTCTGGATTTACTGTTTCCGATTTAAACATTCCAACTTTGAAACAACCTTGGGAAAGAGATGTTGGGAAGCCAAACCATATAGCCAGCTCTTTGGATATAATGATTGAAGCGCCAATTGGTTCAGCTGCGTTCAACAATGAATTTGGAAGACCGGCTATCAATGGTTACTTTAGAACTTTAACCACTGAGATTGAGAACGCCAAGGGCGAAACTGAAATTAGAGGTTTCCATAAACCAATCATGTTGGCTGGTGGTATGGGTGCCATTAGACCAGGGTTGGCGTTGAAAAACAAGAAAATCACTCCCGGAGCCAAGTTGATTGTCTTGGGTGGTCAATCTATGTTGATTGGATTAGGTGGAGGAGCTGCTTCATCTATTAGCTCGGGTGAAGGATCCGCTGATTTGGATTTTGCTTCAGTTCAAAGAGGTAACCCAGAGATTCAAAGAAGAGCACAACAAGTTATCGATGCTTGTGTGTCGTTGGGTGCAGATGGCAATCCGATTCAATCTATTCATGATGTTGGTGCTGGTGGGTTAAGTAACGCCTTGCCAGAATTGGTGCATGATAATGATTTGGGTGCCAAATTCGAGTTGAGGTCAATTTTATCATTAGAACCAGGAATGTCGCCTATGGAAATTTGGTGTAACGAGTCCCAAGAAAGGTACGTTTTGGGTGTTGCACAAGAGGATTTGGAAATGTTCTCCAAAATTTGTGAGCGCGAAAGAGCACCATTTGCTGTTGTAGGTGAAGCCACTGAAGAGCAGAGATTGGTGTTGACGGATTCATTGTTGAAAAGCACTCCCATTGATTTGGAAATGTCGGTGTTGTTTGGAAAACCACCAAAGATGTCACGTGTTGCCACTACTGAAAACTTGAAATTGAAACCATTTAAAACTAATGAGTTGGAGATTAGTGAATCTATTGATCGTGTTTTGCAATTGCCATCGGTGGGATCGAAATCATTCCTTATCACTATTGGTGATAGATTCATCACTGGCTTGGTCGACCGTGATCAAATGGTTGGACCTTGGCAAGTACCAGTGGCTGATGTTGGTGTTACTGCAACATCCTTGGGAGAAACTGTTTTGTCCACTGGTGAAGCCATGGCTATGGGAGAAAAACCAACTTTGGCTTTGATTTCAGCTAGCGCCTCAGCCAAAATGGCTGTAGCTGAATCTTTGTTGAATGTGTTTGCTGCCGATGTACCATCACTAGAGCATGTCAAATTATCAGCCAACTGGATGTCAGCTGCCAGTCATCCAGGTGAAGGTGCTAAATTGTATGAAGCAGTTGAAGCTATTGGTCTTGACTTGTGTCCAGAATTGGGAGTTTCAATCCCAGTGGGGAAAGATTCCATGAGTATGAAGATGAAGTGGGATGATAAAGAAGTTACTGCGCCATTAGCATTGACCATTACTGCATTTGCTCCTGTTGATAACACCTCCAACACTTGGACTCCTCAACTTCAACGTGTCGATGATTCCGTATTGGTGCTTGTTGATTTGGCAGCAAAGGATAAAAAATCACTTGGTGGGTCTGCATTGGCTCAAGTGTATAAACAAGTTGGTGATAGTGCTCCAACTGTGCACTCAAATGCTGTATTGAAAGCATTTTTGCAATCATTGGTTGTTTTGCATAAGCAGTTTCCTGTATTGGCATATCATGATAGGTCTGAAGGTGGGCTACTTGCCACTGTATTAGAAATGGCATTTGCTGCAAGATGCGGACTAGACATCTCGTTAGATGCTGAAGAGGATCAATTCACTGAGTTATTCAATGAGGAGTTGGGTGCTGTTTTTCAAATTAGATTGCATGATTTAATTAAATTTAGAGAGATTTTTGCCAACCATGGTATGGACAAGGAATTTATCAAAGTTATCGGAAAACCAAATTTCCATGATCAAGCTGTTAACATTTCATACAATGGTGCGCCAATTTATACTTCAACGCGTGCCCATTTGCAACAATTGTGGAACAACACTTCGTACCACATACAAAAGATGAGAGATAATCCAGTCACATCAAAGCAAGAATATGATGCAATTGCTGATGACAAGGATCCAGGTATTAGCTATCAATTAACATTTGACCCCGCCGAACGTAAGTCATACAAAACAAGACCAAAAGTTGCTATCTTGAGAGAGCAAGGTGTCAATTCTCAACAAGAAATGGCATGGAGTTTCCAGCAAGCAGGTTTCGATGTTTACGATGTAACTATGTCGGACATTTTAGAAGGAAGAGTCACTTTGGATAATTTTGTTGGATTAGCTGCTTGTGGTGGGTTTTCATATGGTGATGTTTTGGGAGCTGGGGCTGGATGGGCAAAATCTGTATTGTTCCATGAAAATGCTAGAAATGAATTCAAAAAATTCTTCCAAGATAGGACAGATACTTTTGCATTTGGTGCATGCAATGGTTGCCAATTTTTCAGTAGGATTGCTGAATTGATTCCTGGAACTGACCACTGGCCCACATTTGAGCGTAACTTGTCAGAACAATATGAAGCTAGGTTTGTCATGGTTGAGGTAGATCCATCAGAAAACAACAACTCCATTTTTTTGCAAACAATGAAAGGATCGAAATTGCCAATTGCTGTGGCCCATGGTGAAGGACGTGCTCAATTCAAATCAGTTGAAGACGCCAACGATTTTAACTTGGATGTTATTCACTACATTGATAACTACGGAAACCCAACACAAACTTATCCATTCAATCCCAACGGATCGCCTAATGCCATTGCTGGTATTAGCTCAGCAAATGGAAGAGTGTTGGCGATGATGCCTCATCCGGAGAGAGTTACACGTAAAGAGAGTAACTCATGGTACCCACACGCTCAAGCTAGAGAATGGCAAGGATATGGCCCATGGGTTGAATTGTTTAAATCCGCAAGAGCTTGGGTCGGTGATAATTGATATAAATGAAGTATTGTATAGTATTGAAAAGAATGTAAAGGCTGTACGCTTGTAGGTGTTGTGCTTTGTGCATAGTAGTATGCTTGTTTTTGGTTAGGGCTTAGCCCTATGTGGTTTTTTTTTTTTTTTTTTTTTTGCAAGACTTCAACAAAAGTGAAAAATTGCGAAGACGAAAAATAATACATCTGTCAAACCTTCCTTACATCATCCATATTCCCCTCTCCCCACGTAAACAATGGTCAACCCAACTATCTTATCCAAAAAGAAGAAATTAGTAGCTGACGGTGTCTTCTACGCTGAATTAAACGAATTCTTCACTAGAGAATTAGCTGAACAAGGTTATGCTGGTGTTGAAGTTAGAAAAACCCCATCTAAATTGGAAGTTATCGTTAAGGCTTCAAATACTCAAGGTGTTTTGGGTGAACAAGGTAGAAGAATCCACGAATTGACTTCATTGATTGTCAAAAGATTCAAATTATCACCAGAAGGTATTGCAATCTATGCTGAAAGAGTTGAAGAAAGAGGATTGTCAGCTGCTGTTCAAGCTGAAGCTTTAAAGACCAAATTGTTGAACGGTTTGCCAATCAGAAGAGCTGCTTACGGTGTTTTGAGATTTGCTATGGGTGCCGGTGCCAAGGGTGTTGAAGTTGTTATTTCCGGTAAATTGAGAGCTGCTAGAGCCAAGTCACAAAAATACGCTGATGGTTTCATGATTCACTCTGGTCAACCAACCAACGATTTCATTGATATTGCCATTAGACACGTTTTGATGAGACAAGGTGTCTTGGGTGTCAAGGTTAAAATTATGAAGGACCCAGAAGCCAACAGATTCGGTCCAAGAGCCTTGCCAGATGCTGTTAAGATTGCTGAAGCTAAGGATGAAGATGAAGTTATCCCAGCTCCATACGTTAAGAACTACAAGCAACAACCAGAAGAAGTTGCTGAAACTGAAACTGTTGAAGTTGAAGCTTCTGCTTAAATAGGATCTATTGTGTTAATGTAATTACAAAAGAGTTTCCAAATAGTATCTGTAGATTAAGGGAAACGTGTAATGTAAGTTGCAAGAAAAAGGGTCATTGTTTGAAGATCATGGCACCGAATTGCAGTCGTGAGAGCGTTGAAAATGAAGTTTATTTTGAAGGTCTCCGGTGAGGGTGTAGTAAATACTAATTTGAAAAACCGGCAATGCCTGTTTTTGTATTTTTTCTCTTTGCTCCTGGTTTCAAGTATAAACAAGGGGCTTTTATCTATAATAGCGACGAGTATACAATCGGTTGTAAGTAGAATAGTGCGTTACGTCACCATCCTTTCAACGAATCATTTTCAAATGATAAAGAATCAAAGTGTGATAATTGTCGGAGTTTTTCCGATTTTGTGTATGGTGTGATCACAAATGACTCAAACTTCATTCAAGCTCGGTTATTTTGAAGAATAATCCGTGTGGAACTGTCAAAACACTATTCGTCTTCTTGCATCGAGGTTAAACGATGTGGTTCCAAATGATCATGCCACACACTACTATGACACTGGTTGAAACTTATATCCTTGCATCCGAAGTATGCAATTCATTTTCCGTGTGAATCCCTCGGTAATAAGGCAAAACTCTAATTTTTCCCCATATTTTTATTATACCAAATTACACAAAAACGCAACCACAGAAGTTAACCGTTGTTCATCTCGGACTTACATCTCCATAATTCATTATTAAGCCCCCAGTCATCTTTTTTTTTGAAAGAATATATAAATAGAAGACCAAAGAAGCACATCTTTTAACATCCGTTTCTCCAAATATCATACAATTCAACAATGAAATTTTTAATCCTCACATCAGATGTCAACCAACCATACGTGATTCCAAATGTATCACCAGTGTCGTCACCAAATTTAGAACCAATCAATGGTAACAACGAGCACAAAGACTTCGCTGTTGATAGACGGATGTCTGTTATTCACATACACTAGAGAAGAGATGAAATTGATATTTTTATGATTGCTTTGATGAGTTTCAGTTCTGTATATTCAAATTGTATATTTCATTATAAATGTTATAGCTATTATTGGAAAATTTCGCATTATAGTGTAGAAATTTCGAACCTTAGATTCCAAAGAACAAATGCATTCATAGAAAATGCAAATAATTGATCAACTTTAACCTTATAATCAAGTCGCTTTGGTGTAACCAAATACACAACCTATCTGAAAGCTCTTTGAATCTGATTAAATTGTTTGAAGTAAAATCCACCAGCTATTGCACCCAAAGCCAACAACAAAAGCGGAATTGGTTTTGAAAACCCAGTGGCGTATGACCTCACTAATCCTGCGAGAAACAAAATTATACTAGCACCCAATGCTAGCTCCTCTCCATGTTTGCCATTCAGATTCATAATGTAGCCGGCACTTCCATATAATGCAGATACCACCAATCCACCAACCAAGGAAGGCACCGAATTTTTCCTAAAGTAGCCCATCAACCCGCCAATTGCACAAAGGGCCGATAAAACGAATGATGTTGACATTGTTTTGTGATTGACTTTTTGTACTGGAGCTGTTGTTTTCTTTAATGATTGCTGAGTTAAGCGAGGAAAGATTGAGGTCAATTTATATCTTTTGTCGAAAAAATAGCAACGCAAGGCAAACCGATAACCCCGTGGCTTGTGAGTTTACAACGGAAGTGGAAATATTTTGGTACAATCTAATCGGCCCTGGCATTATTTAGACGTCTGAGAATGTAAATATCAAGTGCTGGCATTGAAGAGCCTCAAAGGTATACAGCATGCTTTGTGCATTGGCGTTGTCGAGATTAATGTTTAAAATTTATCGCGAAGGAAAAACAAAAAAGAATGAACATGACTTATTACTCCATCCTTTTCAGTATGGACGATACTGATAAACGTATGTTGGCAAACAACACTCGATAAAAAGGATATCCACTAACGCGTTGTCTAGCTGATCCTATACTTAAACAAGTGCCATTGATCAAAAATCCATCCTACCAACCACCGAAAGCGGTATCATTAAGGACCAACTATAGCAAGCTTTTACCGGCTTTGCCACGCACAGTGGCTCCACCAAATCTCAACATCACCAAAGAGGATATTGATAAATGGCTGAGAGAACTTAATCAATTCAAAGATAGGATCGGGAATGACCGGCAACTGGATACTTTTGTTACTAGCTATGAGAAATGGATCAAAGAACAAAGTACCAAAGTAGCACCCGGATTTGATTACACCATTCTCACACCAAGAAGGTGAAATCAACAGTCGATTTGGCAAGTATGTATAGTCCTGGTATCTCATGCTATGTGAGGCAATTATATTTAGCATAACGATTAATGTAACAATTATGAATCTACTGGAAAATTTTCTCTCAATCCCTCTTCTCCAACTCTCAATTACAATCGACTATAACCAGGTTTCTTTTTGTATCTTTTATTCAAGAAAGATTACTTCAGGAATGTTGATTCTTGGATTAGCCGCGCTCGAGAATTTTGTGACATTCCTCTCTTTGATGGGTCTAGATTTCTCTCCTGAAGAGCGCGTCTGCATGTCGAGGCGAAGTTTAAATTTTTCAGCTTAAATTTATTTTATTTTTTTTTCCGCCTCAGGTACAAGTCTTTTGCATCAAGTCACAGATACATCAATAAAAGATACACACCAAATAACATTTACACCATGAGGTTTCGAAATCGGTTGAAACAATTAGTCTCCGTATGCTTAATCTTTGCAGTGGTTCTAGTTCTTCATTACCGCAGCAGATCAAGCCAACAACCAAAAGTTAAACCAAATCACAAATTCGATTTGGTCAAGAATCGAAATAATTTTGAAAACCCTGTTCTTTCTCAATGGACAGCTCCTACTAAAGCTCAGCGAGTCATGACTCTACCGTTAAAAGACAGATGTGATTTGTATTTCAATAGTGCCAAAGATGTTGAATTTGATTTGAACTTTTGGAAGAGTTTCAAACCTGATCCGCGTGTATATAAGCGCAAGAAATGGATTAGAGATAGAACGAGACTGGAAAAGAGGAAATATAAAAAGACTTCGGAATGGAAAGAGGAATATGATAAGGAAATTGCTCGAGAATTTACTAGTATTGCCAAAGAGTATTCTGATTTGGAGAAGAAGATGTTTAATGAATTGGGACATATGAAAATTTTTGGAAAATGTTATGGTACTGAGGTTAATTCCAGTGCTAAATGCGAAGATTTACAACTGAAGTTGTACCCCTGGTTGACCAATAAGCCACCATTGGTCACAAATGCCGACGGTGAAGTCAAACAGAATGACTTTCAAGGGTGCATCACTCAGTCATTGATTGGAAATAAGGGAAAAGGTATTGTGATACCTACACAACCAAAACAAGTTGATAATATTTGCCGCTTACTCAATTCATTGATTGTTCTTGAAAATAAATTGCCGGTTGAAATTGCATACTTGTCACTTTCTGAAGATGAAAAATCAAAGATTGTAAATGCAGCACGGAATTCGACAACTTTTGTACAACAAATTTCATTTGTTGATATGACTCCATCTTTGCAGTTGGGCAAATTTCCATTCTTAAAATCAGATGCAAATGAGTTACTCCTTTCGACATTTAGCTTAATTTTCAACTCGTTCGCTGAAGTGGTGTTGTTGACAGGAGACGCTATTCCTTTGAACGATCTCGAGAGACTATTCCAAAATCCAAGGTACAAGTCGAGTGGAAGATTCTTTTTCAGATCACGGCCATACCTAGATCGAGAAAAGTTTACCCCTGGATTTCACGAAGTTGCTTCTTTGGTCAAGCATCATTTGCAACCAACTATTCAAGAACGAGATTTCTTTAACCTCCAAATGCCAGTTCTGACAATAGCTACAGCAAGATTCTTTCAACACCATTCCAAAAACATCATTGACCCAAGTTTAGTTCTTGCAAACAAAAGTTCTTGTTTATCCGGTCATCTCATCACCATAAATATGCATTTTTACAATATTTTGAAACTTAGACTTACTCATAGCTCCATGTACGATTTGATTTGGATTGGACAAGGATTATCGGGACAAGAGGTTACCTTCAACAACAATTACCCAGTAATGGCTGGTATATACACTCCAGAAGAGAATATTCCACGAGATGCCAAACAAACATATGAAATTTGCTCATCATCAATGGCACAATTATCGGAAGCTAATGATGTTTCACTCTTGTACATTACATCAGATCAATTACAGAACTGGCTCCGGTACACCAATTCAATGACTTCCGTTTTTGAACAGAAATACGTGACGAAATATACTGAAATGGTGGCAAATTTGTTCGATGCCAATGATCCCAACAAGACAGAAATGGTACGGGTCAATTATGATCAAGTGACCAAACTTACACGCAATCCATTGCTTATAGAACATATAATTAAACCACCAGCATTGACTAGCATTGTTTATGTGCACAGTTTTGAAGAGCCTAATGAAGCATGGGTTGAGGAACCGAAACTTGTTTCTGAACGTATGAGACATGATGGTAAGAAAATTTATTGTGCTTATGATACAGTGGGGAATCCATTGGAAGAAGGAGTTAGAGGATTGACAATCAATGTTGATGATGAACTGATTGCAAAGTATGATAAGATTACTAGAGCGTGGATGGGAGTGTAGAACAAATAGATAGATAAATATCGCACATCATATTATAGAGGCTTTTGTGCAAACTAGTAGAAAAGTGTTGCAAAAAAAAAAGAAACCTAGAACCAGTCAAGGAAATTACAATCACTGAGCAAGTTTTATGAAGTTCTGGTTATTGCATTAACTTGCATATAGGTACTCCAACAACTACGATGAAATGCAAAAGGATTCAATATCCACTTAGTGGGAACCTCAAAGGTGAAAAGACGCCTTTGTTTGCCATTTCAAATAAGGAAACTTCAGAAACCAAACGATTGCCGACACTCAAACGGCCAATACCATCTAGAGGCATATCACGCTCAAGGGTAAAGCAGGCACAAGCCATCAGGAATCACATTACTCTATCTGAGACGAAGCCAGACTCGCCACTTAAACATGAACCTGACACGTATAACAATTCTTGGAACTCAGAATTGAATGTACCTCAAATCACCACCTTATCCGCTCCCATTCAGGTATTAATCAATAGACGAGCTGACATGTTTAAGGGCTTCTACTTTTTAGATCAAGACTTTTCAATTGGTCCATATAGCCTTGTCAAAATGGTCAAACCACAATGGTACAATATTGAAGTAGGTCTAAGCACATCATACAATACGGTTTTCCCCGAATCGGTCTTGAAGAAATACGCAAGCACGGGATATTCTCAAAATCCACCTCAGAATGCATACATGTTGAAATCATTTGCCAAACAAAATTTAATTTCGTCAATTGTTGGATGGAGTCCTCAAGAAAAGTTGATTGCAATCACTTTCAAATGTTGTCATCCATTACATTGCGTTGTGTTTGATTTGGTTGAAGCTGCATTGGCAGTGGAGTCAGTTTCGAGTGCGTTGTTTCGTCATTTGGCTACAGAATTCAATGATGCGTGGGAAAGGTTGGAAAAGCTCAAACAATGAGAAGAAAGCATCCCATTGAGCGTGCTCATGAGGATCTACTTGCGATTGGTTTCTTTACTGTGTGAGATGGTCCATTTCAATTTCTATTTTGATAGTTGTATGTAGAGTTCACGTGATAAAAGCATGAAGATCACTTCTTTGTCATGTGATTTCAATATGCTTCATTCTTTAAAAAATAAAAATCTTCAACAATTCAGCCATATGGCTCAGTTGTCCATTGGCAACTTGTCCGAGTGGTTAAGGAGATGCCCTGCTAAGCTACTAAGCAAGCGGTTAAGGCATTGCGCTTTGCGTGCGCAGGTTCGAACCCTGCAGTTGTCGTTATTTTTTATCAACTTTTTTTTGGAAACCTATTTTTTTCTGTTATGGCATCAATGAGTTATGCTTATGAGAGTTGAATAGTAAGACGGCTACAATCATAAAAGGATTTACGAAAATCGACTCTTACATGGATTTCTGCTAGCTGTTGCTATTCAACTTGCCATTGAAAAACTGTCATGACATTCGCTCACATTTTGCATTAAATTACTTTGAAATAATATTGATTTATTTACAAGCAGAGAAGCTGCCGAAAGGTTCAGTAGTTGCACGTACCTCTGGTTTCAACCTTTTGAAGGCTTATTTTTAGCTTAATCCCAACCCACTGTTCGTTTGGTGGTACGTTCCGTGGATGTGTTTCAGCATTGCTTTTTTTCATATTGTTGCAAAAAGTAATGTAAACAAAGCCTCGATGATGCATATCGCTTAAAATGTAAAACCACGAAAAGAAACTAGAGAAAATAAGAACGTAACGAAAGATATAGAGGGGCAAAGAGTGGGATAACAATACGAATGCCTCTAACAGAATGATAATCTGCTCCTACTAGGGAGGTTACATTCCCTTTTTTTGAAGAGAAAAAGTCACACGCAATCGGCTCGCTAAACACGAGATACAGTGTTGTGCTTACTACATAGAATTTTTCTTCCCCAACGTGGCAAAACGCATGCAGTAGGAAAGCGGAGCTGACTGATTTCTGCATGCAACAGGTCAAGAGATCTTTTCTACTACTGCAGGGGGGTTGATTAACAAAGCCCTAACCCTAATGCATGCAAAAAATTTGGGAAAGTTGGCCAAACTTTGTCTCAAAAGAGAGTCAAAAGTCGTGTACCTCCTATCAAAAATGTAAACTTGTAACATTTATTACACGATTGTGACAACAATGATCTTTTTTAATCCCGCATAGTTAAGAATGCACTAGTCGTGTGATTATGCACAAAAAACCTTTACTCAATTAGGGGAAAACAAAAAAAAATAAAATGCAGGCACTACATGACTACACGAAAAGTAGCGCTCATGATCTATTATATTTCGTACGACAAGCGTGCGCCCCACTCTACCCTCTTCTTCCTTCCAGTACACTCCCCCCCCGACCCGAGCTTTCGTTTTTTTTTTTCTTTCACAATTTTCACAACACTAATATCACTTGTGAATTATAATTTTATTGATCAAAAATGTGGGTTAAAATAGTTTATGTAATATGAGGTCATATCATCTTACACACCATACTGTTCATTAAATTTTACTTTCGCTTGACACTTAGCAAGTGATGACTGTAAACTACGTTATAGCTCAACGTCATTCATTGAAGACTCATTTTCTTTTTCGATAGGTCGATTGTTTGGGTTTTTCTCTATTGTTCTTATTGTTCATTTACTCATTGAATCTCAGCGGTTAAAGTTCAGCCCAACCAAAAAAAAAAAAAAATTTTTATTCTCCCTCTTCTCTTTTGTGTGATTGTATGTGGTTTTTTTTTTTTTTTTGTTTATATTATTATTGTTTTTTTTTTTTTTTTTCGGTATATAAGCTTGCATTTCCTTTTAAATAACCAGTTTTTTTTTGCAGTTCTTCAAGTTCATAAAGAATTCTTTAACAACTACAACGTCTACATCCTCATAAGATCTATTCTTATTTTTCATTTCACCCTAGTCTACCATTCATTGTCAGTCTATCATAACCGTTATGTGTTATTAACAGAGAGTTAAAGCAACACATACGTTCCCTCCCACCCAAAAGCACCACTCAATTGAAAATAAAAGCATTTCAGTTTTGCCATTTTTCGATCCAAAAAACCTGGTCAACTTCAACAATGTCAATCTTCGGAAGAAAGAAACATAGCGACTCGAGAAGGCCCTCGGATTCATCGAACTTGTCAGTCAATTCGTTTGCCAAGTTTGACGAAAAGAAGGATTATTGCAAGAGATGTAAAAACAAGAAGGAAAAACCAGTGGTTGTTACTTTTAGTTTGAAATGAATTTTATAGGAATCGAAATATAATGGATTTGATGTTATCTATACGATATATCGCATTCAGTATTATTACTCTTGATGTTTTACGTGACAAACTCAACCAAGATATCGCTATGTTTAGCTCCTCTCATTTGACTAAAACGTTATCAGATAGTGTACATTGTAATTTACGAAAAATTATGACACTGTACAGCGGAGTGCGTTCTCCTGTTTGAGGATAGCTTTGGCTTGTACTCTGGTCAAAATCGTGTACACCAAAGCGCAACCTCTTAGTGACACACACTCCATATTCAACACGGTGATCCTACATGATTTGAATTCCACTCATACCTGCGCTTTTGTAAATGTATGAAAGCTCGTAGAGTCAAAATTTCATTCTTAATTTGAAATCACAACTGAACATTAGCACTTCATGAAAAAGAGGAAACAGATTAAACTACTTCCCTTCTTTGATTTATCGGGCTAGAGAGTACGTCCACACTAGGGTCAGTCCAATAAAAAAAGACTGTACCGGCATGACCGCTCAATGCAAGTGTCCCGAATAGTTAATTAGCAAAGAAGCAAAAGAAGAAGAAAGAGAAGAAAAAGTTTTTATGTGATGGGATTTTTGATGATGATTTTCTTCCTTTCATAGAGAGAGAGTTGTTCACGTGACTCCTTATTGCAATATAGTTGCTTCAAGCGGTTGCCTCACAACGGGGACCATTTGTGAGGCATAAAGTCGTAGTTAAAAACTCCACTGAGGACTGAAGACCTTTTATTAAAACCAATACCCAGGAATGAAATATAACAACTCACTATAATCAAATAAACCCACAGCAAATCAATCATCTTAATCGAACTGAAAAATAACAACTCTACATCCCCATGGTATCATGGATTTCTCTTTTTAATGTTCTCATGTAGAGGCTCTACCCTGATTCTTTTGGATAACCCAACTCTTGTTTTTGGAGTGTTGACAATGGCAGAAAGAGGTTTAGATGCGATTCTTTTTCGCTTGAGAACTCGTTTCATCGGTTGTTTGTTTTCTTGACCAAAGAAGTCTGAGGTCGATAAGGCAGCGGATACACGAGGAGTCAGCTGATCTGTTTTCGCTTTTGCATCTTTAGTATCATGCTTTGCATTATTTAGATGCATACTTTCTATCATTGGCTTCGTTTCAGACACTCTAGCTTTCTTCAGAGATTGCTCAATCTTCAAATTCATTGCACCACCACCTCCGGTTTCAGACTGTAAATACTCTTGCTTTACGTCAAATGGTTTGGCCGTCCTTGTTTTTTTGTACAACTTGGTTTCCTCAGTTGGTTCAATTTTCACATCAGTAAACAAAACTTCTTCCTTCTTCATGTTATCACTATAAAGACTCGAGACCAGCTCGACTTTACCACCACAAATATAGAATTCGGATTCCTTCTTGATCTTCGTTTCATCAGCTACAGGTGTCGAACATCTTTCAATCTCATTGGGATCAAAATTTTGTTCATGAATGGGGCTCAAAATCCTATAGTCTACCACATCTTTTAACAATTCCCTTTTGTCCAACTCCTCTGTAGTATCCTCATCACCAAAATCAATGTTTCTCTCCATTTCCGAATTGAAGATACTACTGTCAGGCTCCTTTGTAACGACTTGACTACTTCCAATTAGTATAACATCATCATCATCGCCGTCATTTGAAACACTGGTGTGATCTGCACTAGTTTTTCCCGCACTTCCGCACTTCAGCAATCCATCATTGACCGATAACGATGAACCACGATTTGTGCATCGAGTTTCATTTTCTGGTATGTCTCCCGCACAATACCTCTCATCACTGCCCAGGGCAAAATCAACACAATGGAAATTTTCATTACTCAATTGCGATTGTACCGTCCCACTGTCGTTGTTGGTCAAGTAGTCATCCTCCATTGTGAACGTTGGCAATACTGAGTTCAACCTAGTTAGATATGTTGATTGTGAAGTGGCACTCATTGGTCGTAGTAGTTCTAAATCTTCTTCACTATCGGAAACATGGGTGATCTCATTATCAGTAGTCAAGGGACGTCGACTATTGTGTGTGACTTTTAGGCCCAATGGCTCTGAATGTGATCGCCAATGAGGATTGAGGTGTAGATTGTGTGGTTTTGAGGTTTGCCGTAGATGGGTAGCTACACCTCCTGTCCCATTGGGAGTCAGATCTATATCGAAATTAGTCCCAGCCTTATCTCTGTATGCCATGTATTATTTGGTTGGTGCTGCAAAGATGGCTGTAAAAAAATAAAATAGAGATGTTTGTTAGAGAGAGAGAGTGAGGGTGTTGAACAGAACTGGAAATTGGTTGACATTGTGCTACCAAATGCGACTCAAAAGTAAAAGTACATCACCATATGGACCAGTACCAAAAGGGTAACTAGATACAATGTGCTCCAGGGGTGTTATATCACCTTTTGCGTTAAGTTTAGCTCTTGGTCTATCACTACAATTTGGTGGTGTTAATAACCAACATTTTGTGCATGCCGCGTCTACTCGCATTTTGATTTTTCCTTTTTTTTTTTTTTTTCGTGTAGAACAAAATAAATGAAACCACTTGACACTTTCTTTCTTTCCTTCCTTCTTCTTGCTCTTCGACAACGACATTCATTCATTCAATCGTTATCCCAATCTCATTAATGGGATATGCTCACATTCTACTTTCAAACATGAGATTCGGTAATACGTACAACGTTACTACGTTTGTCTTTTCTACTGGTTCTCTTTTTCCATTCCTTGCCCTCCCCAACACACGCGTGTGTCAGTACGGTGAAAAACTGTATATAATGAGGCACGAAGTGAGGAGGATTTTACCACACCTTGCTACTCATAATACACACAAAGATTTCAAGGATAAGACATATGTCCAAAATATAATAAGCTGGTACGGAACATCGACCAAATTTGCGTGCTCCATGACGATGAATAAAAGTTTCCCCATTACAAAATGACATTGAAAAGCAAGCTAGACCTAATCGTATTCTACTACTTACAAAGACGGATGAGAATTAGTAATGAACACTTTTATTTTGGATTTTTGTTGAGAGGCAGTATTTACGGACCTCAGTATAATCAACATCCGGACCCTAGCGAGGGTGCTTTGGTTGTTTTGCTATTAAGAAAGGAGTGGAGGAGATAAACTCATGAGATCTTGATGTTTTGGTTTTTATCTTCTATACATCCTTCATTGTTGGGTGAACGAGTGGAAGGTCGACTCAACTTTTTTGAATACTGATTTGGTTGGAGATTGGGTGGGTTGTCACGATCGCCCTTTCCTCAGAAGTGTGTCCGGTTTTTTTGCCAATGAGAATGTTGATCGATGTTGCTTTACAAAAGAGGCGGAGTGTTAGAAGTACCCTTAAAGTATTTTGCTCCCCCACTCAATAGTGCACATCTCAATGTTCAAGTTTAATGGCCTGGACAAAGGTTTTCCTTTAACTTCATCAATAATCAATTCAGTCGTTCAACGTTTGAAGATTCCTTTTTGTCACGCGTTCTGCCTCGTTTTTGTTCAATGAGGAAGAAAAGACCTTTGATGTGTCTTTTTCCCATCTCGATCGAGTGATCCCTCTTGAGGGCACTTCTTCTCCCCCCCACTTCTTGCAAATCACATCGGGCCCCTCCATTGTTTTTAACAACAATACTCATTTTTGTTTTTTTATTTGTTTATTGGATCTTAATTTTTTTGTTTTGGAGAGGCTATATTCCTTCGCCCAGAGATGGTCGAAAAAAGGGAATCCCAAAATCAAATAAAAAGAGTGTGGAATATTGTGTTTCATCATTTTTCCCTATTCTCAAGACCAAATATGCCTGATACGAAGATCCAATTGGAGTGTTTTTCATTCGTTGTTCACCTATGAGCTTCTAAAGGTTTATATGGACTCGCAACCCATTGTTTTGGTTTTAGTATATGATGATCATTCTACACCGAGGGACTACATTGTCATTGTTGCCGGCTTAGAAAACTGTTGTCAGAATTGAAACTTTGCTTTCGCCTTTTCCATGTGGAGGCGAGGGGATTCAAATTATTGGTTTGTACTCCATATGACTGGGTGTTACACACCTAATCTTTGTCATCTGTTGAGAAAGCATGTATTCTTGAATCAATGGGCTTCCTTTAGGGACAGTTTTTCCAATACCTTTATTTGGGTATGTTTGATGATTGGGTGTGTGCTTTTCGAATGGCACAAGATGAAAGTTTTGAGTAACCATATTTGCAATCTTGAAGTTTTGTTCTAATGGCGACGCTTTGGAATGTTTGACCTTGTTTAATTTGTGGAGTGGCAAGGGAAAGACTTTTACACTTTGGATCCGTTTCACTTGACGAGTGAGAGGAGGGGGCATAAGTGGTCGTTTGACTGTGGAATTACGTGAGAAAGATTGGATTTGAAGTTGTCTTTTTTCACTTTTTTTGTATGTATTTTGAAATCAAAAATTTTGGGAGGAACCACTTACTAACACACAGGGAACCCTATAAAACAACTGGTGGGAGAATTTGATAAGTAGGATGAAAAAATTATAGATTACGAGGTACATTATGTAATATACACCACGAGATTTTCCATTATCTATGTAGATCTTTTACATTATTATACATTTGGAACAGAAACTTTTATCCTCTGACTCAGGAGCTTTTGTTGATTGTTGAGCTCTTGGTGCAGAAGCGGTAGATTTATCTTTGGCTTGAGTAGCCGGCTTCTCAGCGGCTTTATCTGCTGTAGCTGAATTATTCTTTGCATCAGCAGCAGAAGCTCCAGTAGCACCGGATGCACCAGCGGTGGCAGCATCTTTATTATTACCCTTTTCTTGAGGGTAGAATCTAGCAGCCAGCTGAGCAAATACTTCACCCTGTGTAGCAGCAGTCCTCAATTCCAATTCTGTGGGTTGTCTTGAACCATCAGTTCCAGCAAAAGTTCCAGCACCATAAGCTGATCCACCATGAACCTCTTCCAAATTTGATTGATCAGCAAAAGTCTTTGCGTACCCCAAAGGAATATAAATCAAACCATGATGAGCCAAAAAGTTCAATGAGTTTCTTACAGTGGTTTCTTGTCCACCACCCTGAGTACCAGTTGATACAAATATACCTGCTGGTTTTCCTGCTAATGCACCTTGAGCCCATAATCCACCAGTGGCACCAAAGAATTCAAAAAACTGTCCTGGCAATGTACCGAATCTGGTAGGGATACCAAAAAGGAAAGCATCGTATCCAGTCAATGTATCTAAAGTGGCAATAGGGATATTCTTGTCCTTTGGTGCCGCGTGTAATTGATCAAGAATGTCTTGTGGCAAAGTTTCTGGTACTTGAAACAAGTCAGCTTTGTAACCGGCTTTAGAAACACCTTCTTGTACTGCTTTGGCCAAGGTGATGATGTGACCGTAAGTTGAATATACAATAATTGCAATCTTCATGTTCGTGGATTCAAAACTAACTGTAAATTATGAGATTGAAAAAAAAATGAAAATAATTTAGGTGGAATGCACGGGGGTTGTTATAGCTCACGACAAATTGAGCTTGAGATGAGATGGTTCGATGAGATGTGGATAAACGAAAGCAAAAAAGAGAAAACCAAGTCGTCTCCGGAAGAAGAGTTTATAAATTGATATATAAAAAAGATGTGTCGTAATCGCTTTGTCAGCTGGTAATTTTGATTAAGGTGGACGCTGATTATTAAATAAACTTCCATTGGCATTGTATTTTTAGTATTTGTGTAACCATTTCACAAATAAATTGTCAATTGTCAATTTTTACTAAAAAAAAAAATGAGGGAAGAAAAAGTTACAATCTACACCAAACAAGGGCATTCCTTGTCAGTGTCGTAAGCTTACAAACGCAAATACTAAGGTGTCAATTGCAGTATGGCCATCTATGCAATGACTGCAATTGTTCTGAAAGTATCGAGAACATCAAATTACAACAGGTACAGCCGTTACGACAACGAAAAATGATGTAACAATACGGAGGTAGGTTAGATTACTTCCGAGAATCTTTTGACATTGTGTATTCGAAACAAAGCACAGCCGGTTTATTTATCCTAAAAGTACAGAAGACACTTTAAAATGGCACCTATAATAGCTAATTGGAACCTTCTCACCTAAATAAATCCCATTTGAGCTTACTTGAGCCTTTCTCGGATAATCGAAGTGGCATGAAAGTATTCTTGCCAATCGTGTACATGTTCTAGAAATTTCTTTGCCCACACACATGTGAACTAATACAAAGTAAAAATATGGTGTGAGCGTCTTGGTTATGTCGTATTTTGCATTATATCCCCCCCGCTGCTGGCTTCTAACTTTTAGCTTTTTTATTGTATTCTATTGTACTTTATGCATCTTCTCTTATTATGTAATCTCCATGTTACAAATATTTTAGTAATGTGACAAAAACAGGCGTGTTTTCTGTTTTTTTCCTGGAACCAAAATATTTTATTGATTTTCGGCGCTTAATTTTAGTGATTGAAGGAATGTAAAGCGTACCTTTCTGATTGACTAAATATTTGTAATAGAATTGAGAGTAGGCAGTGCTGAGTCGTCTAGTGAAGAGCTTCCCCGATTGGTGCAACTTTCAACCAATTGTGGCGCAAGCTGTGTAAAACGTTTGCAAAAGAACCCGGAACCCCGAGAAAAAAAATTAGACACATATGGTCCGGCGTTGAAGCTTTCTATTACAGCGCTGACTCTTTGTAATGCGACATTGCAGGAATTCTCTCGTGAATGCATACAAAATCAAAACCCTTCCCCCCCCATCCCCTCACTGTTACATGCTTGAACAAACAAACTGTAATTGGCTATTGAACTTTACTGTGGCTCACCAATGAGGTATTTTATAATCGGTTAGTAAAAACATAGTAAAAAGTTTGGAGTAATATTAGATGATGTTATGCAGAAACCTAAAATATCTGTAACTATAACGTGTTTTCTGGTATTTTCTCATAAAGCTTAAGTAATCAACAGGTTGTATTTAGTGGTACTTCTCATTAATAAAGTGATGAAATAATTTAGTAATTTGGAAACAATGAAAAAAAAAAGAAGTTGGGAATTGGAGTAATTGTATAGGTAACAAAAATGGATAATCCGACACAAGGTATTAATAATAATAATAATAATAATGAGTATAATAAATTTCAATCCATTGACATTATCGAGGAAGATATAAATCATTCAAAATCACCACAACTTAAAACCAAACCATCTTCTATTCTTATATCTAGTCAATACTATCATATACAATCAACAACTACAACTACATCTAAAACAATTACAATAAAAATGGCTCCAAAAGTTGCAATTATCATTTACTCAATGTACCACCACATTGCTCAATTGGCAGAAGAGGAGAAGAAGGGAATTGAAGCTGCTGGTGGTCAAGCTGATATTTACCAAGTCCCAGAAACTCTTAGTGATGATGTATTGAAAGCTATGCACGCTCCAGCCAAACCAGATTACCCAATTGCTACCTTGGACACTTTGACTTCTTACGATGCTTTCCTTTTCGGTATCCCAACTAGATTTGGTAACTACCCAGCTCAATTCAAAGCTTTCTGGGATGCCACTGGTGGATTATGGGCCAAAGGTGCTTTACACGGAAAGATTGCTGGTATCTTTGTTTCTACTGGTACTCAAGGTGGTGGTCAAGAAACTACTGCTGTTAATGCCTTGTCAGTGTTAGTCCACCATGGTATCATTTACGTCCCATTGGGTTATGCTAAGGCTTTCCCATTGCAATCCAACTTGGAAGAAATTCACGGTGGTTCTCCTTACGGTGCTGGTACTTTTGCCGCTGCTGATGGTTCAAGACAACCAACCAACTTGGAAAAGGAAATTGCTCAAATTCAAGGTAAAGCATTCTTTGAAACTGTTGAGAAATACCACAAGTAAATTGGCTTCATAGAGGTTGTATAGTTTAAGAATAAAGTTTTGTTCTATTTGATGAAATAATATAATGCAACATTTGTAAAAACTCGGTTGTTCATTTACGAATATGCACAGTAGAAATTACACTATTACTCAATATCACTTTCGTCAAACCCAAAAGTGAATGAGCCGCCACCACCACTAGAACCAATCTCTCTCAGTCCATCAAATTTATGTCCTACTTCAGTTAATTGCTCCCACTTCCTACTCCTTCCAGTTTCCTCTTGATACACTTTTTCCTCCCATTTCCCCACTTTTGCTAAAGCATCCTCCACCAAATCCTGGTGGCCTTTTCTATTCAAAAGGTGGACAAATATCTCATATATTGGAAGTTTGGGTAGATTGGCCAACTCTCCACAATCTTCATCCAAATCGTCAATTTGAGAGCCCAATTTATCAAATTTGGCTGAACAATCAATTAATACTGGGTCTATTGACGCATTTGCATCTCTCGCATCTTTTAAGATTGTTTCAAGACATGTCTTAACACCCTTCAATCTAAATCCCGAGATTTGTTGTGGTTTGTTTTTGAAAAAATTCAATACATGGGCTAACTTCGATTGAGGAACAAAATTTTGCGTAATTGCAATTGAATCATCAATGTTTATCACTAGATGCCACCACCCAGCTGGCACATACATACACTCACCAGGGAATGTTATACCAACTTGTACTGAATCACCATTGTTGATTTTAAATATATCGTTGTAGAAACCAGATATCACCCATTCCGCAATACCCACTGGTGATGTAACTTCACTTTCTTCATCATCAGTTGATACACCCGGTGGTTGGATACCTGGTGGTAACATAACCCACAATTTACGTCCTTGAATTGCCACATTCCAAGCTGAAGTTGAATTGGGATCCTTGTGGAAAGTGGAACCTGATCTCGCTGATCCCATGATAAGCCATGCATGATCGGGCCGACAGTTGAATCCTGATGTCTCTTCATCAAATACAGTGAAGTAGTCTTGTTGAAATATTCTAGGTGGAACATACTCTTTTTTCAAAATCTTCATGGCTTCGCTATTACAATCGAACAAGTATAGTGGGTTTTCGTCATGGTTACATTTCAAGTATTGTGAATACTTTTCCAAATTCCAATTGACAGCTTCTTGTCTGAATTTAACTTGAGGGAACCGTTGCAAAAGTGATTCAAATGTCCAATGGGGCCATCTGGAAGAATCCAGGTTTGTCAAAATAAATGGTGTATCATGATACAGTAGGTTAAACTCATCAATATTTAAATCAACTTCATTCAATCGTTGAATTCTTCCCCTTGGCAATTTACCCAACTCTCCATTCAAAGAATCTTGATGATACATTTCTTCTTCTTGAATAATTTTTCGAAAAATATGCTTGTAATCAACTTGTGAACATTGATAAGGTCGGTAAATCTCATCACAACAAAGTAAATTGTTAGGCAATTGTAGATTTGCATTGTACTCGAAAGGTATTCGCAACACTGAGTTTTTCCATGATCCAAGCCACGATAACTCATCATATTTTATTATATTGGCAATATATATCTGTTTCCAGTGCTCTTCATCTGATGTTAATGCATAGAGTATACGTGAAGTGTGAGATAAAGCCAATAAGCTTGGTACATCATCAATGTATGAGATGATGTGAAGTATTATATTGTCGGGAAACCTGTTTAAATCACCTAGTAGTTGTTGGCTTTTGGATAAGATTTCCGGATCAATGGCAATAAATGTGTTTCCACTAGGTTTCACATTCAATGGATGTTGCTTATTAGCGATAGAAAGTATGGAAATGGTTCTTGATGGTGACGGATAGGTGCGCTGTCGCTTCTGTTGCACCAAATAGTCAGTTTTTGCCCTTTTCAGGGCTGGTTGGTCTGTAGGTGCATAACCTACGTGGTCCAAGGAGTTTGCTATCATTGAGTGAAAGACAAATTGTTCATAAATGGTTGTGAAAACTCAAAAAGAAAAAAAAATTTCACAAATTTCAATTTCTTTTGTTCTGTGTATGTCGTAAATGATTATGAAATATTTACTACATGACATTGAAAAGTAAGTCACTTCGGATTATATACGATCATTATACCGGTTGCACGTACTGATGGAGCTACTGGACCTTTGGTTAACTACGGAAGTACCCGTCTCGTGGCCCATCTACTACTAAAGTAGGAAGGCTCTGAAAGTACTCAATAAACTACCTCATTAGTAAGAATTTCTGTGCAATGTCCGATCAGTCCACTCCAAGCGCCAAATTATCTTTTCGGTGGAAATGCGTGACATTTTGCGCCTTGAAAAGTGAAAAAGAAACTGCTGCACAATCTGAGTTGGAAGATTTCTGCTACGAAAAGTTTGTACAAATTCTACATGTTTAAACTGATCTCATTTCGTACTTCTTCTTCTTCATTTTCTTCCATATTCATACCTGCAACCAAATATACCATAAGAGCTTTATCAATGACTAAACCAACCCCATCAATAACTACTGATAGCAAGCAACAAGTGGAGACAAAAGCATCAACCCCAGATGAAGACCCAGTGACTCATACACAACAACCAATCATATTTGCACCAAAGACCTATCAATACACTAAAGGTCACTTGGATGTGAAAGATGTATCACCCAACCCTTTTGAACAATTCCATAAATGGTTTAAGGAAGCTCAAGAACAATTGCCGCCCAATTCCGATATCATTGTTGAATCAACCAATTTTTCAACTGCCAGATTACCCAGTGGTAGAGTATCTAGTCGAATTGTATTGTTGAAAGAATTGGACAAGTACGGATTTCTTGTCTATTCCAATTGGAACACTTCCAAAAAGGCCGAAGATTTCAATAGTAACAAGTATGCTGCATTAACATTCTTTTGGCCCCATGTGCAACGTCAAGTTAGAGTTGAAGGTATCATGGAACATGTGACTAGAGAAACCAGTGAAAGATACTACAACACTAGACCGAGAGGATCCAAGATTGGTGCTTGGGCTAGTCCGCAAAGTACAGTCATATCATCAAGAGATGATTTAAGTGACTTGAACGATGAGTACACGGAGAAATTCAAGGATTTACCTGACGATGCAATCCCATGTCCTGAATATTGGGGTGGTATAAGAATTGAACCATTAGAGGTGGAATTTTGGCAAGGTGGTGTTAGTAGATTACATGATAGAGTTACTTTTAGAAGAGATGATATTGCCAACCACAAATGGGAGATTGTTAGACTTGCACCATAGGAAGCTAATGCAAAATGATATACATTTTCGATTTTATATACACGACAGACGGATTTTAACCCCCATCACTTCTTTTTATGAATTATATGATTCTTGTCAAATAATAGAGCTTCTTCTCTTTGTGGTATCCATTCCTTCTTTTTCAATTCTCTTTCATTATCGCTTTCACGTTTACCTGGATATATAATTCTTTCATCGATAGGATCCAAATCCAGTTGTGGATTTTTGTTTACATCTTTAATTACACCATCTTGGCGTTTCAATTTTTTCAAAAACGATCTGATTTCAACAAAACAATTCATACACATAAAATGAGATCGTTTAACAGCGCCGCATGCAGGGCACCTGACTATATTGTTCAACGGTTGGATTTGCTTGTTTCCTGGTGTATACAACTTGACTCTTTTCCTACGATATGACATTTTCTTTTTAGGTGCTGCACGTAAAATCGTTCCGTTATCAATCATGAAAGGTGGTTCATCAGTCGTGTCTGTTTCGAGTTGTTCTTGCAATTCTGATAAGCGGCGATCTTGATGTTGTTGTTCATGGTCATGGTCATGGTCATGAGGACAGGATGATCGTCCAAGAAGACCTAGACGTATGGATATTTGGGGAATTCTGGGGAGTACATTCCACATCAGTGGTTGATGTGATGCAACTGCACCAAATCTAAGCGCGAGCGACATTTTTCAGGGGAGGAAGGGAGTGTAGGACTGTGAAGGTTGGCTACCCTTTAGCACTGATTGGAAAATTTTTAATTTTTTCAAAATAATTTTGGCTTACATTCAATTGGTAGCATTTTGACGTCTTTTTGTATGACACTAGTCGCTGACATGCATTCAATTGTGTTAAGCAAGCACCGAACTGCTTGCTTCTTGAGGGTGAGCTCTGAATCCACCAGATGGGGTCAGAAGGGGTGCCCAAAGTGTTGCTGTGGGCACTATTATTACAACACTTTTTAAAACCTCTTCTTTGATCAAAAGTTGTGCAAAGGGGAGTTTGTTGTCTTACTCCCAATTAGTTTAGGAGCAGTTACACTTGCTATTATGAAAGGAAGTAAGTCTACCAATTTACGTATGCCTTGATGTTGAGATCTGTATGTTTTATATTGAAGTGGTCCCCTGTGTGTAATGTTTCATACCAAAATCTGTTTTTCCACTGAAAGTCGTGTCTTTGACCAGATCAGTTACAGCGCGTCAATCCAAAATTTTCTTTCAAACGTCAACAAAAAAACAACAGACCCTTTAGAATATCAAACTATACACAACCATAAATACACTTGAACCAAACTCAGCCTTAACATTCTTACCAACAATGTCAGTTTCTGAAGATCCCAGGTACACTCATCCTCAAAAATATGTTGGTTTTGATACCATTACTGCACAAATTGAAAACCGATTATTGAAACGAGGATTTCAATTCAACATTATGGTTGTTGGTCGTTCAGGTTTGGGTAAAAGTACACTAGTCAATACATTATTTGCCTCCAAATTAACCAGCTCCAATGGTCGTAAATTACCAGTTGATCCCATTGAGAAAACCACTGAGATTAAAGTATCACATCATACATTGATTGAAAATAATGTTCGTTTAAATATAAATGTTATTGATACACCAGGGTTTGGTGACCAAATTAATAATGAGAAATGCTGGGACCCATTAGTCAAGTATGTCAAAGAACAACATTCACAATATTTAAGAAAAGAATTGACAGCACAAAGAGACAAGTTTTTACCTGATACTAGAGTTCATTGTATCTTGTATTTTATTCAACCAAATGGTCAAAAATTGAAAAACTTGGATATTCAAGCATTGAAGAAATTATGCGACATTGCCAACGTTGTACCAGTGATTGCTAAATCCGACTCATTGACCTTGGAAGAACGAGCTGAATTCAAAAAATTACTTCAACTGGAATTCCTCAAGTACCAATTCAATATTTACCCCTATGATTCTGAAGAATTGTATGATGAAGAACGTCAATTGAATGAAGATATCAAATCTTTGATTCCATTTGCCATTGCTGGATCTGAACGTGAAATTCAAATTAATGGAGAATTGGTTCGTGGAAGACAAACCAAGTGGGGAGCTATAAATATTGAAGATGTAAGTCAATGTGATTTTGTATTTTTGAGAGATTTTTTGACAAGAACTCATTTACAAGATTTGATTGAAACGACAAATTTGACTCATTATGAAACTTTTAGATCTAAACAATTGATCGCGTTGAAAGAAAATGCTAATAATCCAAACAGGCAATCTCAAGTGCAAACTAGTCAACAAAGTGTACACTAGGGAAGGAAGAGATTAGTAATTATATATATCTTTTTTTTTGGGGCTACTTCAGCTAGGAAGGGAATGAGTCGATTTTGTTTCATATTAAGCTACATAGGTTATAAAGTGATATTGTGTTGAACCACACGCTGTAGGAAGAGGATGACTTGTAAATTTGTATGCCAATAAGCAACCAATCCTGAGTTATACAATTCGAGACAATCACATTTAACTAGAAAGAGTGTATAAAACTGTACGTTCCAGTTCCTTGATATTTCTTTAAAGTTCCATCTTGACATAAACACCATCAAACATGGACATGGTCAAATGAGTCATCTTCTTTGGTGGGTACTCATACCCTTCTTTCAACTCCAACTTGGATATAGTTTGAGCTAACCTAGCAACAACATAAGAAGCTTCAGTTAAAGCAAATTGTTGACCTAAACAAATACGTGGACCACCATTGAATGGCAAATAAGCCCAACCCAACTTCTTTGTCAGCTCTTCAAACCATCTTTCAGGTCTAAATTCTTCAACATCTTTGCCATAGTACCTTGGATCCATGTGTGTAGCAGCAATATTGTAAATGACAGCTTTTCCCTTTGGGATAAACACAGGTGATGTACCATCAGAACCACCACCACGAGGTAATGTCGTGTTTCTAGTAGCCACCCGTGCATTTCTTGGTACCGATGGATACATTCTTAAAGTCTCATTCAAAATAGCTTTCAAATATTCACACTTTTTGAGGTTTTCAAATGTAATATCCTCCAAGTTTGAAGTACCAAATTTATCCAAGATCTCGTGGCGCAACTTGGCATACATTTCGGGGTTTCTTGCCAATTCGAATAAAACAAATGACAATAAACCAGCAGTGGTATCTCTACCAGTAAGCAAAATGTTCAATGCTTGATCTCTCAACACAATTGGATCCCTAGTTTGTTTCACCAATTCATAAAGAAAAACATACCCACTTTGCTTTTCAATTTCTTCGGGTGTACAGTTCAATACTTTGTTAATATAGTAGTCACTGAATTGATGTACGATTTTGTTACACTTTTTAAACTCTTGATTATTACAAAGCCAATAAATCCTTTGCAACAAAGCTCTAGTCGACAAGTAAACTTGTGATACATTGAAAGCCTCAGCAAATTCTAGTCTTCCAGAAAAGTCCAATGCAGACGTGTCACATCCAATAGATTCATCTTGTAACGAGGAAACACTAGACCCGAACAAAAACTCAGTAGCTGAATCAACAGTGAACCTGAAAAACAACTCTTGTATATCAAAGAACTGACCATTGTTCTTTTCAATATGTCTCAATAAAAATTGAAAATGAGGCTCCAATGCCTTGACATGAGCAATTTGATCTCTTGCGAACTGAGGACGTAATATTGCTCGTGAATCTTTCCATCCTTCATGATCCAATGTGAAGATTCCCTTCCCCAATAATGGCTTTAAAAAATGGTATCGATTACCTAAACAAAAATCTTGAAACTGAGTAGCCAATATAGCCTTAATATTCTCGGGGTCCTTGGTGAAAACAATTGGAGTACCAAATATGTACGTCTTGATGGTGGGTACTTCCGTGTGTGGTGAAACATGGTATAGGTTTTGATAAAACTCAACTGCTCTTCCTTTGCCCTTTGCTACTATTGATTTCACACCTAATGCAGACCCAAAAAACCCACCATTAACATTGTTCGCAAATGGTTTAGCACCAAGTTTGCGAATTAGTACTTGCTCATGGATGTAACCAATGACAAAATGACCTAAAAGAACTGCTGGAATGGTGATATACCAATATGCAACAATATTTGCAATACTAACAGTTTCAATCATGTTTGCTAAGTGATAAAGAAGACTTGTAGCTATATCAGTTGGAAGGTGTTACTCTAGTTTTTCGATATGGTTTTAATACCTTTCAAAGTAAATCAATGATAAAAACTTTTCTGGTTGTCCATTTGCTTCATCATGTTTGATAGAGTTTTAACCATCCATTTTATATAACTTCTGATTATACAATCAATTATAATACTCTCTTCACCCCACCCCCTTTGTTTATTGTATTGTTTTCTGTTTTTGTTTTTGTGATCATTCTCCACATTACTTTTTCCCCTCGCAATAAATATTATACCAGTAACACTCAATATATGTATATCCCCACAACCAAATCAACCATAAAGACTGACCATCTTGATGATCCACAAACCGACTCCATTTGTACTTGTAGCTCTTGATTGTAATGTTTAGACTGAAACCGGTTTGGGCTGAAGCTCCAATATGTACCTTAAAGCCAGATGCAATGAGCTGCAAAGCATGTCTTAATAAATCCGAGTGCCTAATATTGGCTCAACTAATGTTAGACTAATGCTTCTACCGGAGGAATATCTTTACCTGGTAATCCTGCACAAATTTCTTTCATTCGGCCAGAACATTTGAAGATTTGCGCCATACCATCTACAAAAATTTCAATAAAGTAGGTTATATAAAACACGTATTTTGGTTGAATCAAAACCTATACAATAAATAGCGATCAGTACCGACACTCTAGTCATCCACTCTTTGCTGCTGCTGCTGTTGCATCTTTCTCCATCTTGACATAAACACCATCAAACATACACATGGTCAAATGAGTCATCTTCTTTGGTGGATAAGTGTAACCATCTTTCAACTCCAACTTGGATATAGTTTGAGCTAACCTAGCAACAACATAAGAAGCTTCAGTTAAAGCAAATTGTTGACCTAAACAAATACGTGGACCACCATTGAATGGCAAATAAGCCCAACCCAACTTCTTTGTCAGCTCTTCAAACCATCTTTCAGGTCTAAACTCTTCAACATCTTTGCCATAGTACCTTGGATCCATGTGTGTAGCAGCAATATTGTAAATAACTGATCTTCCTTTTGGGATAAATATAGGAGATGTACCATCAGAACCACCACCACGAGGTAATGTCGTGTTTCTAGTGGAGACCCTATAATTTCTTGGAACTGATGGATACATACGTAATGCTTCATTAAGCACAGCTTTCAAATATTCACACTTCTTTAAGCTTTCAAAAGTAATTTCTTCCAAGTTTGAAGTACCAAATTTATCCAAGATCTCGTCGCGCAACTTTTTGTAGATATCGGGGTTCCTTGCCAATTCGAATAAAACAAATGATAATAAACCAGCAGTGGTATCTCTACCAGCAACCAAGATGTTCAATGCTTGATCTCTCAACACTTTGGGGTTTCTTGTTTGTTTCACCAATTCATAAAGAAAAACATACCCACTTTGCTTTTCAATTTCTTCGGGTGTACAGCTCAATACTTTGTTAATATAGTAGTCGCTGAATTGATGAACAATAGCGTTACATTTCTTGAATTCTTTGGGGTTATAGATCCAATACATCTTCTGTAATAATGCTCTTGTTGACAAAATCAATTGTGATTTGTTGAAGGCTTCAGGAAACTCCTTTCTGCCGACAAAATCCAATTCAGTTGTATCGCATCCAATAGATTCATCTTGTAACGAGGAAACACTAGACCCAAACAAAAACTCAGTAGCTGAATCAACAGTGAACCTGAAAAACAACTCTTGTATATCAAAGAACTGACCATTGTTCTTTTCAATATGTCTCAACAAGAATTGAAAATGAGGCTCCAATGCCTTGACATGAGCAATTTGATCTCTTGCGAACTGAGGACGTAACATTGCTCGTGAATCTTTCCATCCTTGATGATCCAAAGTGAAAATACCATCACCCAAAAGTGGGTCAAAATGTGCATGTCTAATACCCAATGAGAAATCATTAAATTGAGTGGCCAATATTGCTTTGATATTTTCTGGATCTTTGGTGAATACCAATGGTGTACCAAATACAAAACTTTTGTAAGTTGGTACATCTGGATTGGGTAATTCCTCATACAAGTCACGATAGCGCTCAATAGCTGTACCTGCTTTCTTATGTTTCAAAGCTGCAATACCTTCTTGGAATCCAAAAAAGCCACCACTAATATAGTTTGTGAATGGTTTGGCTTTGAACTTGCGCATCAAGTATTGCTCATTGATGTAGCTTATGATGATGTAAAGTAGGAATACTGATGGTATTGTGATATACCAATATGTAGCAATGGCTGAATCAATCATCTTTGCTCTATTGTGTTGTAGTAGTGGTAATTTATTTGTAATTCTTTATAAAGTGCTAAGGCTTGATGAGTGTCGTTCTTTGTAAACACCTTTTTTGAAACAAATGTACTATAATTTAGCTTTGATGATAAATCTCTACAATTGCAGCGAGATTTGATGGTATATATATATATACTCTCCTATTCTCAATTCTATTTGACTCTTTGGTTACTTTAGTATGGTGTGCCCCTCTGCAAAAAAAATAATAAAGACACTGATTTAGTGTGTTTAACTCGTTGTACATTAACTCCATAACTAAACAAAAAATAAATACAGAACAAAAGAGCCTGTATAACATATATTAAATCAATTGTTTTTACATTAATTCCGCAAGATTAAACCCCACCAACATTTTCTTATGCAGTAAGTTTGTGTAACTAAAGAACAACAAGATTAGTTTTTGGAAGGTTTACCATTTATTATATTATCCTACTTTTTATACAGTTTTGTGAAGATGCCCACCAGGTAGTAGAGGAATTTGGCACTAGGTCTTGGACGTGAATTGAACTAGACAAGAAAAGTATATGTCGCGGGAGGTGTGTAGCAAGAGCAATGGTTGTCATATATGAATGATCAATTTCTTGAATTATTTTGTTTCTCCTCTTTAGGAGAAAGAAGCAAAAACACTCGGAGATGATGCAATGAAGTGGGTTTTGTGACATTTATTTGGCTTTCTATCAGAGAGAAAAGATGGCATGCTATGCTAATCACCTTGGAAATAAGATAAACACAGCCCTAGATGGCGAACCTCATTGCAATGACAGCTATCCTTTTGGACATGAGTTGTCAAGGTATCCTCTACACAGGTGTATACTGAATCAACTTTGCCTATGGTACCTATGACGTCAAAAAGACTCTCCACTTAAAGGGTTGCAGCTTTTTCTTGTGCAAGAAGGAGTAAAGTACCCTAGGTAGAGCATTGTTTCATAACAAAAGGTCTAAAGTCGTTAATCATATCTTTCCTAAGCCTCAGTGTGTTTGGTTTGTATACTTTCTCTCTCTTTTTCTCTTTTATCTGAAACCCCACAATCACATACTTAGGATATAAGATACTCATGTATTACACAAAATCACTCGGAGTTAAAAATCATTTTGACATGCCAACAGTTCACTCCAATCACAAACAATTAAATACCAATCGACTCTGGTTAGTTTGAATGTCATATGGAAATGATATACGATGGAGTGAACCCAACACTTTTCTTTAAATGTAATATTATTAGACTTGGAATAAGAAAATTGTTTTGTATCGAGGTGGTTACGGAAATATGCTCAGTACCCAACAATCTTTTGAAGAACCTGTCTACATCATATTACGCCAACAGCAGAAGGACAAGGGTCTAAAGTAAACTGCACACCGTAGTAGATGACGCATAACCAAATATTTGCAAATTTTTCTTTACCGAACGATACACCCGCCTCTGAATTCATTGGTGCATGTGACGATCAGAGAAATGCACAAACAATAGAACAAGTTGACCCCCAACCACAGGGTGACCGCTCAACACACTCTAACTGAAAACTACAACAACACCACTGTTCCAGCAACAAAGGCTTGGGTCCTTTCAACTGAAAAGAATTTGACTTGGTTCCCAACTTTCGAAGCATTTTGCTTTGTTGGTTCTATATATTTACATCTATTTCACTATAGGGAAAACTTCACCACCTAAGCTAGGTTCCTTTTCCTTTTATTGCTGCAAAAACTTCAACAGTTTCGACTCCTTGAAAATCAATTGGTAGCTCTTCTCAAACGCGTCTTTGTCTTTATCGCATTTCCTGCATTGTACAATTTTTGTATACAGTTTCAACAGTGAGCAAAAGTGATATTACTAGTCATCATTAGTACGCATCATCAAGGGTAACCGATATGGGAGTTAAAGGCCTCAATCAGCTAATCAAGGAACATTCACCACATGCATACAAGGAATTTCAATTGAAAAACTTGTTTGGTCGTAAAGTAGCCATTGATGCATCAATGTGTCTTTATCAGTTCCTTATTGCGGTTCGACAATCTGATGGTCAACAATTAACCAACGAAGATGGTGAAACAACATCTCACTTGTCAGGGTTTTTTTATCGTACTATACGAATGGTGGAAAACAATATCAAACCAGTTTATGTCTTTGACGGGAAACCGCCAGTTTTGAAAGGTGGTGAGTTGGAAAAACGATTATTACGTAGAGAAGAGGCTCAAAAGCAAATGGATCAAATCAAGGACGAAGGATCAGTGGCTGAAGTAATGAAGTACGAGAAACGATTAGTTAGAGTAGGCAGAGATCAAAACGACGAAGCCAAGAAGTTGTTAGAGTTGATGGGTATACCATATGTTAATGCTCCCTGTGAAGCTGAAGCTCAATGTGCAGAATTGGCTCGCGGTGGTAAAGTATATGCTGCAGCTTCAGAAGATATGGATACTCTATGTTACGAGCCACCGTACTTGTTGCGTCACTTAACGTTTGCTGAAGCTAGAAAAATGCCCATTGATCAAATCACCTATAGTGAAGCCATGGAAGGATTGGGGATGCCAAAGGATCAATTTATTGACTTGTGTATATTGTTGGGATGTGATTATTGTGAAACTATAAAAGGAGTGGGACCAGTAACAGCTTACAAATTAATCAAAGAACATGGTTCGTTGGATAATCTTGTTGAATACTTGCAGAACAACCCTGACAAGACCAAATTCAAAGTCCCTGAAAACTGGCCTTACAAAGAAGCGAGAGAATTGTTTTTGCATCCCGAAGTAATGGAAGCTAGCAAAGTTGAATTGAAATGGAAAGAACCGGATGTTGATGGGTTAATTGAATACATGGTTAAACAAAAGGGTTTTAGTGAAGATCGAATTAGAAGTGGAGCTGAGAAATTGAAAAAGGGATTAAAAGGTGGTGTACAAGGAAGATTGGATGGGTTCTTTTCAGTTGTTTCAAAACCAAAGGAAACCAACGGCAAAGATGATAAGAAGAGGAAAACTGGTAGTGATAAGAAGGGACCAACTAGTAAAAAGACCAAAAGAAAGTAAAAATAAAAAAAAAAAAGGACGCAACATGGTTATGTATATGTATATATTCACAAAGTAACTTTACTCCTCTATTGTTAATCTTTTGACTTTGGTTTCTTCTTTTCAGCTTCAGCTTCCTTTTCAGCTTCAATCTCATCAACATACTTCTTAATTTCATCTATAGTTAATTTCTCAATCACACCATTTGGTTTCATCACTGAAAGTTCAATATTCTTCGCACCAGTTTGTACCACCTCCAACAACGATTTAACTGTCAATTTGATAGTATCTTCATCGTTAGCATCATCTTTATAATGCTTTTCCAAAAATTCCTTGACGGTTTTAGCTGATCTGCCGATGGCATGAGCTTTCCAAGCATTAAAAACACCACTAGGTTCGGTTTGATACAATTTGGGTACAGTGTCATTAGTATCAAATCCAGCGATCAAAGTGGCAATTCCAAATGGTCTAGTTCCACCAGACTGAGTATATTGTTGTTGTACACCAGCGACATATTTAGTCAAGTACTCAACACTAACAGCATCTTCTAAATTCAATCGATGAGATTGGGCTTCTACTCTAGCTTTATCTATCAAGATCCTTGAATCGGCATTCAATCCAGCAAATGCCAACAATATGTGGTGATCAATCTTGCATATCTTGGAAGGTGTCGTTCTTGGATCTTGTAATTTCAAGGTTGTTCTTCTTTCGCAACCCAATACAACAATGTTTTTGCCCTTGACTCCCACGGCACATGTACCTCTCTTCACCGCCTCGGATGCGTATTCCACTTGGAAAACGTGTCCATCAGGTCTGCCAAAAACTTTGTTAGTAACAGGCTCAATGGAAATAAGTAGTCTTTCACAGTTTAACTACCGTGTGCTGCAATTGATGAATACATACGAGAATATAGATAAAGCGCTATCGTATCCACTCATTGATCAATATGGGGCTTATGTAGGCGAGTTGTTATAGTGGTGACTCTGATGTTGAATTCAGCCAGTCTGGTATAGAGGTTCCACTTGAAGTGTTTTTTTTTTTGCCATTGAAAAAAGTGAAATAGGATTATGATGCTGCAGTCGTTAAAGGAACAAATGGGTAAGAAAGACAAAAAGAGCAACTCCGTTACATCCAAACAAATCGCCAATAGAGACAACTTTGCTAGACTTAGTTACTTGTACCAGTTAAGTAATCAGTTTATAACATCGCCCAAGACTTCTTCAGCAACAACCGCACCCAATGATGACTCAACTTTACAAACATTGCTAGCACGAGGATACGATCGTAATTTGGACCTACTATCAAAACGGACATTAAGTAAAATATCACCATCAGTTAAAAGATCCATGTGCAAGAAATGCCACATGTTGCTTATTCCAGGAATGACAGTATCAGTACGAATAGAAAATAACTCTAAAACTCAAGATGCCAAAAATGACATTCTTGTGAATAAATGTCTTACATGTGGTGAATGCAAGCGATTCCCCATAGGTAAGGATAGAGAATACATTCCGTTTTTTGAACGAGGGTATGTTGATGAAAAACAGAGCCAAAGCTAGAAAGATAATGTCGTTATATGTTATTTCACGTTTTAATCAAATGTACATCCATTTTCACTATCAAGCCATTGCAGCACATAAAGCAGCTCCAACACCGGATCCATCTTTAGCAATTCTCAAATACACCCTCTTGTGAGTTCCTTCCAATGGATTAATCACTTCAATAGCCTTCAATATAGCCTCCTTAAACCCAGGGTAAAACTCAACAACGGATCCATCACAACCAACTTCAAAATCCTTGTCATCATCCTTGTATTGGTCTTTAACTCTACGAACAATAGTAGCCAAGGGGATAGCCGATAATTTAGCAGCTCTTTCGGAAATGGCTCTTGTAAGTCGTTGAATGACAATTCTCTCATGTTTAGTGGTTGGTAATCTCAATGTATTTTGTAAAATTAACCCCAGCATTTTCAAATCAGTTGAATCATCAATTTGGATATATGATAATACTTCAGCATCTAATAACCAAGGTTCAGTAATTCGATGAGGTAAACTTCCGCCTCTTTCCTTGTACAACTCTTGGAAAATCAATCCACGTTCAAACAATTCCAATAACGCAACCCTCAAAATTTCACCAAGAAACATTCCACTAATTCTCTTTTCAAACAAGTGGTACCCCTTGTTGGCAGTTTCCTTATCAACAATTTCATCAAATAATGTATTTGGTAAAATTTTCAATGTATTGTCAAACGACCCCCATTCAGTATTGATAACCATACCTTGTGCTGCTTTTGGGGGATTGGTTAATTTGGGAATGTTTGTGATTGTTTCATAATATGCACCATTGGTACCAGTTCCGAAAATACACCCAATAACCGTATTTGAATTGGTCAATTTGGGATCATTTTGATAAGCTCTTGATAACAATGTTCCTACCGTATCATTAGCCAAGGCAACAACTTTGACATTAACTTCTAATACCGTCAAATTAGCCTGCAATAAATCAACCACATCCCTATCAACAGCATCAGGGATGTCAAATCCTTTAGTCCATCTAATCAAAGTACCTTTACCCAAAGCAGTTTGATCCACAGGGAATGAAAAAGTGAATCCCAACTTTAATGGTTCCGAAGTTTTGACTTTAGCAGTATCATGATGTTCTTCTAAAAACACTTCAATCTTGGAAGCCAAATAACTAAACAAATCGTCAGCTTTCTTACACTTCATCAACTCTGGAGGTATTCTGTATTTGCTTTGTTTTAATTCAAATGTATGATCACCTTTCAAATCAATTGAACAAACTCTGAAATTTGTACCTCCTAAATCAGCAGCTAAAAACAATCCCTTCTCCTTACCCGTAGGGATCTTGGAAACATGAGCTGGGATCATTGGCATGTTTTCTCTTGACTGTTTAGGTGCTTTTAAACCAGCATCCATTGCTTGAAGAAAGTATTCTGATGCTTTAATGAGGTAATCATCATCAATGTAGAAATCACGTTCAATTTGACGAATGGCAAGTTCAACTTTATCTGGAAGTGACATGATGAGATATTCAATGTACCTGGAAGCTCTAATGACAAAAAGTTGAGTTAATTGAAGTAAATTTTGAAGAAAAGAAAAGAAAAGAAGAAGGCCTTGAAAACTTTTTGGTTACATCCGGATAGCAATGATTGACCGCTTGATACTTGGCCGGAAGGGAAAGAAAAAATAAATCTCAACAAACTTGCAACTTACACAAAACCCATCAAATCGAGGAAAGAAAAGATTCAGTTATTTAACGCCGAGAATGGTGAAGCCTAAACTCACCAGCACAACTGAGGATAAGATGCAACAACTACGCTGCATTACTTGAGCCTTGGTACTAGATGTACCTTCATGGGAACCATACTATACAATACTTTCACAAGACCGGTTAAAGACAGTCCTGGATTTGAGGTAATTCATGTTTTTTTTGCCTTGCAATTGAAATGCACCATCGTGGATTTGATGAAGTAAGCACACGACTATAATGTATGAAGAGTGCCACTTCTAGGTTACGTATTGATAAATTTCTTGAAACAGTAGTTTGTGCTCTGTAGCACTTTGCTTGAACATTTTCCAAAGCGCTTCTCAGCCATAGTGATGAACCATCCCAATGCCTTCAAAGGGTGAAGTGGGGAAGGGGATAATCAAGTTCGTGAAATAACTCCCCGTAAATTGTCGTCTGGAGTTTGCAAATCTTTATCTATTTGTGTAATTTTCGGAGTATACGTTTGCGAGACTCGCACTAGGACAGAGGCCGTAAAAAAAAGAGAGTCATGCAAAATACCCCCCTTTATTCATAGATTGAGGGAAGTGACCGACTCATTTCTCCAGCAAGTATTGTTATGCAGTCTGATTGCTCAACAGTTTCGTATTGGCTGAGAGCTTAAACTTATAACGTTTGCACGCTCATTCATGCCAGTTCTAATCATGAACAAAAGAAACGGCTGTGTGCATTGAAATACGTTGTAACACGTTGCAATGCGGAAAAGGGAGGCGGGGTACAGACCAATAAGGCATATGCATATATGAGTGTATGAGTGAAAGAAGCAAGAAAGAGGAGTCAGCGGTATTTATACCACCCTTCTTCTTGCAAGAATTGAAAAAATTTGTCCAGTCTTTACACCACATTACTTTATAAGACACATGAGAGGTTACGGCGGCGGCTATAGCAGCTATGGTGGAGGTAGCTATGGTAGAAGCAGTTATGGAAGTAGCTATGGTAGTAGCAGGTATGGTGGCAGCAGTAGCAGCTATGGAGGACGGTCATCATCGAACAGATATTCAGGATACTATACTTCACCAAAGACGCAATCAAATAACACGAGGTATAATCAAACTTCTCAACAGCCACACTCCGGTAGCAACAACTACTCATCAAAGCAACAGCAACAAGCAAGCAACAATTATTATGGCTCAAACACTGGTCGGCAGCACCAGCAGACTCAGCCAAGTCAGAATTACTCTCGGTCTCAGTATAATCAAGGATCCTCCAATAACAATTCAAGATATAACAATGGCTCTAGACAGAATTACTCCGACTCCAACTCGAGATATAGGTACAAGAATCAAACCGTAAAGAATCAAACGATTAATCAAAATATTAATGTCAATCAACAACCACGTGGGAGGTTTGGTCGGTTTGGTGGTGGGTTTGGTAGAATGATGAAGTGGCCATTGATGTTTATGATGTTTGACAGGTTTAGAAGGCCAAGACATGAACCAATGCCGCCTATGCAGCAACCACAACCACAACATCCACCCATTATTAATGTATACAATCCACCCCCTAATCAACAACAGCAGCACCAACGGAGTGCAAATGACCAACCTAATGACAAGGTAGATAATGAAGTCAAAAGTGATGAAGAAGCTATCGTCAGTCAAGGAGCTGTTAAGCCATTCGATGATAAGCCGATGACTCGTGATACAAATTTAAGTCCAAGACAACCAACAACATTAGGCCCCAACAAGAGCGATTCACAATTGGTTGATGATACAGCTACCAGGGTCAAAATCACCAGATCCAAAACTGATCCTAATCGATTACGAGAATTATCACATACACCAACTACAGAACCAGTCAGTAGCAATGCATCAAGTGCTAGAGTTATTGATGATGCAGATGGGGATGATATTCAAGAACTTCGTAGTTATCACACTAATGAAGTTCACAATTTGCAAACAAGATCAAGATCTAGTAACAAGGACTTACTGAGAGGGTATTCCAATCAAACTATTGGGTTGCAGAGTATACTTCGACAATCTCCTCCGCATGAAGTATGATGAGGTTAAACTGATGAGGTTGAACTGGTGAGGTTGAACTGGTGAGGTTGAACAGGTGATGTTTGTCTTTTAAGTTAACATATGGCTTTGTAATGCTTTTGTAACGAATCGGTAAACGAAAACTACCACTCTGTCATCTCTTAATTACCCTGCTGATGGTTTTATGTTGAATGGTATTGCTTTTAATGCAAAATGGACTAAAAAAACCACATCATGACACAAAACCCCACCTAGCAAAAATCGAAAACAAAATGTAAACAATACCACAGTTAAGAATCAAATCGAAGGAACTACAATTCAAAAATACACAGTAACTGCTTTCTTGATCAGATTAGTCACCACATTATGGCTCCACCTCCACCATTCAGGCCATACGGGGGAGATGATTACCGAATAGTGAGTGATTTATCTCGATTCGACTATAACAACAAGGACTACAAATTACCACGTTTACGACGATCGAGAAACACAACCCCAACCAATTCAGAATTCATTGACGTTCAATCATCAACTGCACTATCGAGATCATTCTCTGACAAGTTGACTATTGATGGAATCATACCGTTTTATTCGTCACAGGAAGGTAACAATGAGCTGGGCTCTTATTATGGATCATTGCAACTGAATCAGTTCCCCAAGGAGGAGCTGTATATACAACGACAACAAGTCTCCATTGGAATACAGGTGCCACAGGATAACGGTCAACTACTTCATCAATTACCCCCACAAGTGCCCCCAAAAGATGTACCTATGAGAACCAGATCTCAATGTGAATTTCTCCCGTATCCACCATCAATACCGGATACCAGCGAAATTCCTCCATACAACAACAACTCACCATCGTCATTACCACAACCATTGGAAAAAGTTTATGCTAAAGTCACTCAATTTGAAACGGGAGATAATGATAGTTTAATATCACGACAAAAACTTTTAGAACACGATTTGATTAAACAAGTAATGAATCAACCATTAATTTCATTCGAAACTGACAAGTTGGGTGATCGATATTATGGAAGACGGATCACCATCACAATGAATTTGATCTTGTACTTGTTTGAAATTTGTCTCAGTGTGATTGAAATCGTTCTTTCATCGGTTTTGCTTAAACGTGACGACACCATAAACCGTGCCATTTATCGATATTTCATTGCCGATGGGACCATTACAATTATAGTAGCACTATTATTTACATTGCTGATTGTCACTTGTGAGAAAAGAAATGGCAGTTTTTATTGTACTGCAGCAGTTGTGTTCAAACTTGTTTCATTTATAATAATAGTGGCGTGTATTTTCCCCAATGATCAAGCTTATACACAACATGTATGGCTGATGAGAAGAGCCTTGGGTGCATTCATCATCATTTCTACGTTTGTTTGGCTTTGCAATTTGATTATGTTTTTAACAACGCTTTACATATCAAGATTGAATCTACTTGAGGATTTGAATTTTGATTTTGATCAACGAGGATTGAACAACGAGTTTAACTCCGAGGCAAATGGTAAAGGAGTCCGTGGTGTCGAGGAGTTGAGGGAATTTTATTTGAATGAAAATGGCGAAATGTATGCATTACATGATGATCAAGAAAGGGAAAAGTATAAACACAATAACAAGATACTAGTATACACTTTTTGAGATACAAGGAAAAATGAACAACAATCTGGCCCATTTTTGCTGCCGTCAAATTTTGCCATAACATTTTCAAGTTTTTGAGGGGCAAAAGCAAAGTGCACAAAACACTACCCCCCCAAAGAAACTTTAGCCCTACCAAAAAAAAAAACATATCCCGATTGCCCTTCCTAACAGTTACTCATCAAACTACACTTAAGAGTTGCATCATTTCCTAGCCATGTTGATCAAGTTTATTGCTTTTTTGCTTTATTGCCAGTTGAGTTTTGCCTTGCTTATTCCTCACGTTTTAAAACCACGAATTTTTTCATTAAGATCAACTAAACAACGATTACAAACCACCATTAACCCCTTAGTTCCCACCAGGAAATTTCAAAAGGATTTCTCTATTCATTCGGTGGGTAATGAGAATGGAGAAGGGAGTCATTATACCAACAAAAGTAGGTCTGGTTTGGTTAATGAGAATTTTGTTATTATCCCAAAAGAGTTGATTAACCCCACCATGTTTTCAACATTGGGACTAAACAAGTTGTTTAACTTGGGCGACCATGAGGTTCATAGTCATAAATGGATGAATTTTAGCATACACGATCAAATTTATATCCCACAAGAGTTCAAGACTTATTTTATTTTCAATACCAGCTCAATCAAGCATGGTATGGGATTAGATTTGATTCATAACATGCAACAATCACAACCTAAGCAAGATGATCAACCACAAGATCAACATTATAGCTCTCATACATTAAACAAATTTTTACTGCATCTTGTCCCATTCGATATACCTGAACTAGTTGAGTTGGTGGACTACTACATGGTGGTACCTAATTTACCCAATTTACAAAATTTAACATCATCGATTTATCATGAAGGATTATTGAGCTATCCAATGCTGCAATTACCAGTATTTCGCTCACAATTGAGCGGCAATAAGCCATTGATTGTGTTTATGTTTAATGAGACTGATGAATCAATTGGCTCAAATGATATAGCATCATCATCATCCCTATTGCAACCAAAAACGGACCCACATTCGAAAACAATTACGCAAATTATGTCGATTAAGAATTACTTAAAATCACCCACTACATTTTCAACATTTTTTGACAAATTTGCTCGTGATTGGATTGATCAAGTTGACTATGATTCTTTGGTACATTCAGTGTTTTGCAATGTTAATTCACACGATGAGGATCATAGTTTTTGTTTGAAGTTGCGTCAACAAGTGGTGGATATTGTCCCTGCATTTAAGAAATTTGTCGCTAGAACTGATCCCAACGTTGGCGGTGCTGCCAATGCCATGTCATCATTGTTGAAACTGAATAAAGTATCTAGTTGGAAGAATGGTAATGATGATGATGCCCAAGTTCAAATTCAAGCAGTTAGACAAGTTCACGATAAATTACAAGCCAAGAAACATGCCTTGACAATGGTGGGCACAACTGGAGTCAATTTAATCCGCAACCCCAAGGATGCATTATACAAATTGGATGATTTCATAGATGACAAGTTGGACGATCAATTGAGCAAACTCGATGATAAAAAGGATTCACTATGGAGTTCACTCGATGATAAGAAAGATTCCATGTTGGGTTCAATTGAGGATAAAAAGGTATCAGTTGTAGGTTCGGTCAAGGAGTCGCTTGGAAACAAGAAGTCAGCTCTTTTGGATGAATTTGATGCAAGTGTTGACGGTGGTGGTATCATTACTTCAATTGATGATAAACGATTGCAATTTACAGACTTGATTCAGCGGAAAAAGGATGATCTACAAACATGGAAGTTTAAACCCCAATTGTTTGAAAAACCAATGCAGAAGAAGCAAAAGCAAAAACTGGAGAAGGGAGGTATCGTTGATAAGTTAAAAATGAAATTAATTCGTGGTGATGATGCTGAAAATGATGATTATGATTCAGATGGCAACCGTGATTCCGATTATGATCATCCTGCTTTACATTCCGACTACTCTGATGATGCAGAACAATACGGGAGACACAAGAGAAGTATACGCAAAAGAAATACCGCTGTCGCTGATGCTGAACACGTGTTGCAAAAACGGTACCTCGATGATGCATCAGTACAACCCGGCGTTGGCGAATATATCGAACAAGGAGGATTCTCATTGCCATTATCATTACTAAACTATCATGAACCACAACCACCATCTGCTGCTGGCAACATCAATGAAGAAGAAAATGAAGAGTTTGGTGATGATTTGGCTCAACAACTCCCCCCAAGAAAGACAACTTATAGTCAAGTCATGAATATGGATACATTGTCACCTACATTGCACCACAAACGATCATCCAGTAATGATGGAAGTGATAAAGAACCGTGTCAACCAATTACATGGTATAACATCTTTCATCATAGTGTATTCGGTGAACCAAATCTTTGCAATGAGGATTGAAGTGAGACTTTGATTGGGACCTCATTTAAAAATCCAACATAGTCTATCTCTCTCTTGCTTTTATTTTATAAATTCCATGCTATATATGTACACATACAAAAAAACACATTTCTTTGGGAGTTTCAAAAGAAGAGTATTCCTCTATAAACACCAACAAAAACTACATTGAACTAAATTGTACTGAACTAAACTTTGCAAAAAAGAATGCACAAAAGGTCAATTTGCTCATCTCTCTTTTCCTCTCTATCTTTTCAATGGACTCTTTTCAAACACCAACAGTTGTGGCATATATTCAAAACCAACTAGATCCACTCCCCCAATTATTTTGTCTTACCTGAAAGCAGTTCGACTTCCACTTGGATTCCTTTGCTGATAATATTGATTGTTGCTATAAGCAGTGTTTTGGAAATATGGATTCTGTGGACTTGACGAGCTGCCTTGATAAGCTCCAGTTTGTCCATAACTGAAACCACTGCCATTACTACTGCTTCCATTTCGATTGGCGTAATTTGTAGGCAAAGCGTTGTAAGGGTTCCCCACAATAGTTGACCCTGGTTGTGTTGGTTCCATAAAACTGATTGAATCTCGTTTTGATCCACTATATTCATTTGAACCCGAGCCAGTACTAGTTGTTACCTCTCCTCCTTGACCATCCAAATTCCTCGTGTTTTGATACACTGAATCTTCATCATACGATTCATCGTCATAAGCTAATGGATCACGTTTACCATGTTCATGTCCCTTCATTGCTGTTGCTCCCAATGCCATCAACTCCATATCATCATCACCACCAGCACCAACACCCTTTTTACCACCAGATTTGGGCAAAAAGGAAACACGATCGTCGCGCATTGGTTGATATCTGGCATCTGGGTTCTTTCTGAAAATGGCCAACAAACAAGTGACAATGGTGAAAATCAACAAAAACAAGGCAAATACCGCATTAAGCACAAAGTAAACCACCGCCATCACTGATGAAACAACATTTGGCTGTCCAAACACACTGGAAAAGAACATGAAAAACAATGCATTAATGAAATTGATGACACTAATGGTGATATTGAATGCATTGGTTCTCTTATCCATAAATGGACGAATCCAGCAAAGAACAACCATGTGAATCAATTCGATCACCCAAATGATTACTGATTGTGGTTTACCATGATGTTGTAGTACTGCCACCAACAATGATTTGATAAAAATGTAAAATAATGAAACCCAAATAAACCAAAAACAATCAGCTCTATACTGGACATACAAAAATCCAAACTTGTTTAAAAACTTGACATCTCCAAATAACAAGTACGCAGGGTTTTTAAAGTTTCGCGCCGAGTTTCTACCCATAAGAAATACTCTTGTTGCTGCTTGTATCAACAACACCAATGTGATGATTAACAAAAACACAGCAACAACAACACTTCCGGCAGAATCTCTTGTTGTCAATTCCCAAATACACAATACTGACACTTGAGGGAAAGCAATAATCAATAAACGATAAAGCGAACCTTTAATGATGTGTCCCCAATGATGACGATATTCATTGAATTTCTCAGCATGCATGACTTTACTCCTGGTTAAAATTTCGATAATAGCTTTGAATAACATGAGACAAACCACCATGACAAAAGCGAAAAAGAACAAGAAACAAATACCAGTTAAAAACACATCAGTGATTTCAATACTGGCCAAATACGCCACACGTTGAATACCTCGTAACACCAAGATTTTCCCTGATAAGTCACTAGCTTTTTCATCAGTTGAGTACAAATCTGGATCCAAATTATCAGCAGTACCAAAAGTATCCGAGTCTAGCAAAATACTGGCTCTTTTTGCTAATGAGGAACCGGACGATGATGATGACAACCCACTCAAGTCGTAGCTATTCATACCTTCATACCATTCCATAGCTCTCTTGGCAAATCTTTGTACCGAAATGGAAAGATAAGAAGCTCCCAAGATATCTGTTGGTGTGCCCCCTGTAGCTTGAATATACCAATTGGAAATATCTTGAACAAAGCCGATTTTGATAATACCGACAGACCACATAAAGTTTTGGGCCCAAGCGGCAGCGATAGGTGGAACCCTAGCCACAGCCATCATGGCCATAATTGCCAATGATTGGAAATAAACGAAAAGTGACATTGAGTTGGATGCAATGTGGGCAGCAGTACTTGAATGACCAATGACTGAAATAACACCGGAAGTTATAACCCCCAATCCTGAAATTGCGGCAATAGGCCATCCAGCATATTTAGTTTGCACTGTTTTACCATTAGATAAGATTGCCTCAACACAAGCCAATTCTTTATAAGATTTCAAATCGTAAATTAATACTCTTACTCTTGCATCAACATCAGGAACAGTGTATGCTACTCCTGGAATTTCATTAGTGACAGATGAACCTATTTCATAATGTGAATCAAGATTCAAATGCCCCGAAGTTAAGGGACAAAGCGGGTTGGTATCTGAACCAGTAGATGTGTAGTCAATATCACAAAGAGAAATATTCCTTTGTACGACATTTAAACCATAGGCAATGACGTTGATATAAGCACCAACTTTAGTATCGATTGATGAAATGGCATTGATATCAAAATAAACTGTTCTGTTTCCTGGATAGAACACAATGTCAAAGTATGAAGCTGTAAACTGGGAATTATCCATACATGTTAAAAGTGAACTTGATTTGATGTAACGGACAGCCGATACTACTTGAAGTAGACATGTTATACCAAGTAAAAGTAGTTTGTGAAACAACATTGTGTGTAGTGAGACTGTGATATGTGATTGCTAGATACAAAATTTGTGTTGCTTAATAAAGAGTGTATTCCTATAAGTTGTTTGGACCTAAAAGTGTGTAGTTGTAGTTGTAGTTGTAGTTGTTGTAGTTGTTGTAGTTGTTGTTGTTGTTGTAGATGTTGTAGATATTGTCGTAGTTGTTGTAGTTACTGTTGATGTTAACGAAGGGATGAAATTTTGGTGACAAAAGTGTATATGTGCTGCAAAGATTCAAAGGCGGAGTGATTTACAAATTGTAACTTTTTGTGTGGTTTTGATAGCAGCTTAAGCAAACATGTAATAATAATAAAGCAACAGGTGTAAATATAGTATGATGAGTTATACCTTGATGCTGCTAAAGTGTAAGTTTTTAGTTGTATATATGTTTTGTTGCTGAATAAAAAGGTAGATTGAATTGTGGTTGTAAAGTTGTTTTAATTGAATTTGATTTGGATGATGGTTCTGATTTTTTTTTTTTTTTTTTTTTTTTTTGTTTTGTTCGTGTTCTCCTGTTTTACAATTTTTTGTTTTACGACAATAAAATTTTTTTTAAATACAATAAATAGTACTAACACTAACACTAATACCAATACTAACACTAACACTGATACTAATACTAACATTAATAACTATTAACTATAACAAGTAAACAGTCAGCAGTATTATATGGGTATTTCTTGTGTAATATTGATTTTGTGGTATTACGTAATTACTTACATAATACTTACTATGTAATTGTTTATATTATTGCTAAACTTAGAAACAACCAAAAAGAAAATTAAACCACTAACTAAAACCAAAAGAGCTACCATACTACTTTAAAAACTTAGCCTTCTTTACTTTGTCTCATACAACTTTATACCAAGATAATAATATATTGTAACTTAGAAACACGTTAAGCTTTCTAGGTTTTTAATAACAAAACCAACAAAACAGACAAAACAGACAAAACAGACAACAGACAACAGCGTGTTTATTACAACTATATTGTACGCGTACTCTTCCTTCAAACGTTGTAGTAATCAAACTAAGGAGATTTGAACGCTGGCTTAGTTTCCACACGTGATCTCGGTAAAATATATCCATAACGCATGCAATTAAAACTGTGTTTCATTATTTTATTCTTTACACGCACACACGCACGCACGCCTATTGCTTTTTAGTGAGTAAAAGCCACTTGCAAAAAACCAAAATATCAACAACTCAACAAAAGTGAACAACAACAACCCCCCCTCTTCTGGACAAGAATTAGTGTATTTAGTCGCATTAGGAAACCTTCGCATACTAGTTAGTCTACTTTTTTTTTTGATTTTTCTCAAAGTATTGGCATCATCCAAGAAACACCAGGTTTTCTCAGCTGGGCTGTGTGTAACATAAAAAAAAAAAATTGATCTGAAGTACAAATAGTGGATGGGGCTTACTCTTAAACTGGGTCTGGGTAAGGTTCAATTGATCATGTGTTGATAGATTGTGCCTTAGTATTCCTCCAATTGAGTTGGTAAGATACTCCATATCTATGCATTTGACGGCAACATCGTTCTTCAATGACGTATGAAGAACAAATGTCATCTTAGCTCACACCCTATTTTTGCTTGTCATTTCTATTGCAACGGACACAAAATATATACACATTCATTTATAAAACACCGTGCATCACATTACACAATATAAAATCTCGAAGGGGGGGCTGTGATAACGTACACCACAAAACCCCTAGTAGAGGATAGCACTTATCATGGAATACAAAACTTTTCATGAGTAGAGCCAAGTTTGAAAAAGCATTCTATGTAACTTATCCCACCAAGCATTGTGATAAAAAAGCCATGGTTACAAAGACAAAGTAGAGCTTTCTATGACGTCTTGAACTCTTTCTCAAAACCTAGAGTCATTGCAATTTTCTAATTTCCAAGCATCCCTTCAATAGCCCAGTCTCATCTTCATTATCCAGAATTGAAAAATACTGAGTATAGTACCCGTCACGGACTATGCAGAGTGTTTCATAGGGGTTGTTGCACACTTGAAATTTTGTATACACACGTGACACCATTTTTTTGGGGGTTAGACTTTTGATGTTGATATCATCGATTGTTTTGTAATCGTGAGTCTTTAATAGCTCTATTTAGATCTTTTTAAGAAAACAATCTCTAACGAATGGAGCAGCTGTTATAATTTGATGTTGCTTAAATTCGCTTTAGATTAAGCTCTGCGAAGATCATCTTGACTCATTTTCACAACCATCAGGTGTTAAAAGAACACAATTTATAGAAACGAAGAAGAGCTAATTGCACTCCAGGAGAGACAATAAGTGCAACCATCTACATAGTAGCTTGTCTGATCTGAGATAAGCGGCATTAAACTACCTTTGTTAGTGGTGACATTGTTTTGTGCATTATCACACTACCTTTCTCTTTTTCATTTTTTCTTCATTCCCCTGATAAATTTGCGATTTTTCACTTCAGCTCATCTCTCATCTACAAAGTTAGTCATCATCAAATTATATAAACAAACACACGTTTGACTACTGTTTTAAAGTATAAATATTAAACATTCATCTACTACAATATAAAACTCAAATCATTCACGTCATAAGATCACAACCAATTTTTTTTTAAATCATGGCTACTAGAACACAATTTGAAAATTCCAATGAAGTTGGTGTCTTTTCCAAATTAACAAACTCCTATGCCCTTGTTGCCGTTGGTGGATCAGAAAATTTCTATTCATCATTTGAAGCTGAACTAGGTGACGTTATCCCCATTGTTCATACTACCATTGCCGGTACTCGTATAGTTGGACGTATGACTAGTGGGAACAGACGCGGTTTATTAGTTCCAACACAAACCACTGATCAAGAATTGATGCATTTGAGAAACTCATTACCTGACTCAGTTAAGATTCAAAGAGTTGAAGAACGATTATCCGCATTGGGAAATGTCATATGCTGTAATGATTATGTTGCATTAGTACATCCCGATATCGAACGAGAAACCGAAGAATTGATTGCTGATGTATTGGGAGTTGAAGTTTTCCGTCAGACTATTGCTGGTAATGTTCTTGTTGGATCCTATTGCGCTTTAAGTAATCAAGGTGGATTGGTTCATCCACAAACTTCAATACAAGATCAAGAAGAGTTGAGTAGTTTGTTGCAAGTGCCATTGGTTGCAGGTACGGTAAATCGAGGCTCGAATGTTGTTGGTGCTGGACTAGTTGTTAATGATTGGTTTAGTGTTGCCGGATCCGATACCACGGCGCCTGAATTATCGGTTATTGAATCTATATTTAGGTTGCAAGATGCTCAACCGGATGCTATTGGTGGAAACTTGAGAGATACATTGATTGAAACTTACTCGTGAGGGGAGCTAAGGTGTTTGAAATGTAATCGATACGGCTATAGAAGCTTAATGGGTACGTCAAGTACGCTCAAATTTACTCCTCAAACCTCTCGAAAGAGAGTACATTGTAAGTTCTACTTCTGCTCTCTTTGATCTCTATTTCATTCATTACCACTTTAGGTAATATACTGTATTTGTCACATGTGAAAATCCCAAAATTGGTAGCCACTCTCCACTACTATTTTTTTTCTCTCTTCCTTCCCCCCACCACCACCGCTCTCTGAAATCCACAAAAGCTCAACAAAAGCCAAAAGATATAAACTAAACTGGCCCATATACCCTATCCACCAGAATTTTTTATTTTTCACTTTCCTACCGCTTTACCACAATAGCCACATTAAAGAATGGACTTTTATGGTATCACTCGTGGCACCATTCGTGGTGAGGCACTCAAGAAATTGGCTGAACTTACAGTGGAACACGTTCCGTCCAATTTAAAAGAGATAAACACTGGTATTCAAAAAGATGATTTCGCTAAATTATTGACATCAACACCGAGGGATTTACCATTAAGGAAATCCATTGGTAGTAGCATTAATGATCAAAAAATGTCCAATGTTGCCATTGCCCCCAAGGAATATGAAACTCTTGTTGCGTTGTGTGATGCTACTGATAAACCCATCAAGTTGACAAGTCAAATTAAAACCTTGATTGACAAATTTAGAGTCTACTTGTTTGAATTACCCGATCAACAATTTGCCTATAGTATCGTTGCCAAATCTGTAGCTGTTGCTCCATGGACTTTACTTGGTGAGAAATTAACCATTGCCTTAATCAATTTGGCTTACCAATCGAACAAGCAATACTTTGATGAAGTTGTGGAAGTTTTCCATCAGTTTATTGACAAGTTTTTTGATAATGTCGATTTGCAATTGTCTAATTTTTTAACCTTGACTGGTGTCATTGATGGATTGAATCAAAATGCTCAATTTTTGACTTACTCGTCAAGAACCTTTCGTATTTTCACCAATTTGGATTCGGCTATTGATAACTCGGAGATTCTTGGGGCGATTGAAGATTATTCCGATTACCTTTATGATGACCCAAACCCCTATCAAGAGTTGTTGGAACGAGACTTTTGTCTCAATTTTTCACCAGTACTCTACCTTGAGAAGTTATCGAGATTGATGTGTTCTATACTTGTGGAAATTGTCGCTTCTAAATCACAGCATTTGTTGCCTTACTTGTTGACCCAAGCTGCTAAAAAGTATGATGAAGATGAATCTAATGGTAGGGCCATCATTGGTCCCGGTAGAGACCATTTGTCGTTTCCAAGAGCTCATATGGAGATTATCAAAATTCTAACTGACTTGGCATTGAGAAAATTGGAGTTTTTGGACCGAGGGGAAACTTATATCGTTTATTCAACTAATAATCGATTGAAATTGGGATATTTGGCCAAAAGCTTTAATTTACAAGTTTTGAGTTGTGGAATGTTTACTGACAACTTGGACCTAGCCACTTCTAAAGAGTTGTTTAAAGCTAATATTGAGATCAAGGATGCCATGTTGGACCCTGATTTGGGATTGACTACTTTCCAATTTGGATCATTGTTGGTGTTCAAAGACGAACTGATTGGCCCATTGTTGACAAGAGTGTTTACTTCAGTCATTGCCAATCCAAGATTGGAATCTCTGTATTGTTTGGAAGCTTCGAAATGTGTTGGTTTGGGAAGTAAGAGATTGCCTCAGGATGCAGTTGTCACTACAATCTATTCGTTGACTAACTTGTTATTTGTCACTAATGAAGGATTGCAAGGTCCATCCAAGAGCGCTAGAAGAGCTGCTAGAAACCACACTGGTGGTGCTGATAACGCCTCAACAAGGGATTTCGTGTCGTCACCATTGTCTTCTAGTAGAACGTCAATGACTTCGTTTTCCCAATTGTTTAGCAAAGGCAGTTTATCGGGTGACTTTGATGAGAATGATTATCAAAAAGTTTGTGAAAATGCTGTTACCGCCATTATCGAAGTTTCAGAAGCTTGTGATGACGAATCGATTCCAGCATTGGCCTGCACCATCTTGTCGCAAAAAGTGACCAAGGTTGAATCACCAATAGGACCTTTGATTTTGAGAGGATTGTGTTCGTGTGCTCCATATGTCCCAGAGCGTGAATTCATCATTTTAATCAGGTTGTTGAATAAGCTTACTGTTGATTCATTTGAGAGAAAGAATGCCACATTGTTGGGTCATTTGAACGAATCAAGATTGATTTTGTCTTCAAAGTTGAAACCGGATAATCATTTGTATTTTGTTTACTTGCATGAGTTGTTGCAGTCAATCATTAGCAAAGGTGACGTTCAACAATTGGAGCATCATAGATCTCATAATGAAATTAGTGAAGTGGGCGATCAAATTGCAATTTACTTGAAGCCATTGGCTGAATTGTTACCCGATGTTCATTTAGGTCAAGAGCCATTGAAAATTGAAAAGACTGAAACCATCAATTTGTTTAGAAATATCTGGTTCAATATGGTTGTTCATGGTTACAATTTGAATTCGAAAAACACCAAAGTGTTTAAAGATGAATTGGAAAGAATTGCTTACAATTCACCCCCATTGGCATCGGAGAGATCGTGGGATAGAACTGAAACTTCCATCGAGTTGAATACTGTGTTGCGCCGTGGCTCGTCCAACCACAACATCAAGGACCACAAGACATTCTTGGGTGACATTTTTGAAGTGCATCGCACAATGTCGTATCCTAAATTGATGTTTTTATCAGCAACAGTATTTTGCGAAACTTTGCGTGTTCGTACTGGCGATTGTTCGAAGATTTTGTACTATTTCACCGATCCAACAAGTAAGATCTCGGGAATTGACAAATACTTGGGCCCAATTGCGTTTAAGATTGTCAGGGACTATATTGGTTTGATCAATACTGGTGCCAACAAGCAATTCACTGCTGATCATATTGCTAATCAATTGACGACAATGTTGACATTGACAACCCACCCAGTGACAGAAATGCAAGATGCATCTATTCAATGTTGTGACTTGTTGATTAACAAAGTATCAGCTTCATTATGTCACAAGAAATCATTATTTGCTCTTTTTGATATTTTGACATTGTTGTTTCAAAGTATTGCTGATGCTGATGTCCACGAATATGATCCAACAACATCGTTTAGAGCAAGATGTACAGGAATCAAAATCACCTTGTCCGACGATTATGATTGGAGGTGCTCCACATTTAACCGATTCCATGAAAAGGCCAAAGGTTGGGTTGAGTTGCTTTTGTACAAGAGTAATATCGATGTCAAGAGCTTGATTCAATCGTATGTTGCTGCGAACGAAGAATTGCAGTATGAAGCTCCAATTCAATTTGGGCTTTCCTTTGCGTTGAAAATGTCGGGAACTATTTCATCGCATGATCGTGACATCCAAGCCATTACATATGCCAATATTTCTGCTTTGGATACTACACCTTCAATTGTGTCGCAATTAAATTGGAGATCAAATTTTGTTTCCCAATTTATGAATAAATTACCATTGAGAACTGACGAGGAATCCGATTTTGCATTCAAGGCCATTAGAGAAAAGGTATACAATATCAAACTGAGATTGTTTAATGAGTTTACAGAAAATCCATCTCATGACGAGATTATGAATTTGTTGACAGAAATTGCCGGATTGACTTTGTTGTCTGATATCAACAATGCTGAATTGGTGAGGTACATGGTTGAAATACCATTCATCTTGTTTGAGCCGCTGGTGATGATCCCTGCTAGTGGCGTTTGGTTTGCTGTTATGAAGGATAAACCAAAGTTGAGCATGTTGTTACTTAGTGAGTTGGCCCAAAAGTGGGAAGAATCAATTGAGTTAAGAAAAGGGTTATTTTCACAAGAACTCGATATTGTTCATCCTGAATTTGATAAAATGGAGTATGCACCAAGTAATCGATCTACTGATTTGAGATTGGCTGAAAATGCACAAAGAAGTTTTGAGCCTCATTTGGAATTAGTTCGTTTATTCTCCAGCAATTTCGAAGCTACATTAAACCAAAGTGATCATTTATTAAAGTTGTTTACTCGATTTGTTGAAGTTGGATTGAAGAATTTGAAATTTGCTAGCTATCATCCACTTTCAAGATTGGTTCGATTTGAATTGGTTAGATTTGCATTTGAAGTATTACAAGTGCATTTGAAGTTGGGATCAAGAATTTGCAAGTACTTAACCGAATTGATTTTCGATGGAGCATTGACTTGGTTCAGACAAAGATTTGTTTACCCATTTTCTGCCAACAAGTTGAAATTCAAGAGTGAAGCAATTGTAATGAATGAAGTTGCAAGAATGGCTGGTGCAGTGTCAGTGTTTCGTCTGAAGGATATTGAAATGAAGCGAACTATTTTCTTGCAATTTCTTGATGATGAAGTATACAAGTTTAACGTTTGGTTAACGTCGTTGAACCCAACTGATACATCGGGTTCTATTATTGGATCATCACATCAAGTGTCTAGTACTCAAATTACACGTGCATATGAGATTGATCCAATTTTGGCGATTAATTTAGCTATGAGGTATAAGAGCAAAGCTCATGACGATTTGATACAACAATTGATTATCAAGAATCCACTTGCAGCTATCCCTTACCCCGATGCCGTTCAATTTTTCATTGGTATCAACTTGGGTGTTCATATGCCATCGCATCAATTGTTGTTTTGGTCGCCAGTGGCCCCAATCGATGCCATCACTTTGTTTTTACCTCCATTTGGTGCTAATCCATACATTTTGCAATATACCATGAGATCATTGGAAACACATGATGTTAATTTGACATTTTTCTATGTGCCACAAATTGTCCAGTCATTGCGTCATGATGCCAAGGGGTATGTTGAGCGTTTTATCATTGAGACTGCCAAAGTATCACAATTATTTGCTCATCAAATCATTTGGAATATGTTGGCAAATAGTTACAAAGATGATGATTCTACCGAGCCCGATGATTTGAAACCTGTTTTGGATAGAATTCAAGAACATATGTTGAAGGAATTGAGTGATAAAGATTTACAATTTTATCACAAGGAATTTGGGTTTTTCAATGAAGTTACTGATATTTCGGGTAAATTAAAACCATATATCAAGAAATCCAAAGCGGAGAAGAAGGCCAAGATTGATGAGGAGATGGCATTGATTAAAGTTGAGCCAGGCGTATACTTGCCGTCAAACCCAGACGGTGTTCTTGTTGATATCAATCGTAAGTCAGGTAAGCCATTGCAATCACATGCAAAGGCTCCATTTATGGCAACTTTCAAAATCAAGAAGGAGTTGACCGATTATGATGAACATGGTAAGCCACAACAAGTTGAAATTGAAAAATGGCAAAGTGCCATTTTCAAAGTTGGTGATGATTGTAGACAAGATGTGTTGGCATTGCAGTTGATTTCCATGTTTAGAACCATTTGGAGTGATGCTGGATTGGACCTTTACGTTTATCCGTACCGAGTCACTGCCACTGCACCAGGATGTGGTGTGATTGATGTGTTACCTAACGCTAATTCGAGAGATATGTTGGGTAGAGAGGCAGTTAATGGATTATTTGAGTACTACATTACTAAATTTGGACCACAAAAGTCAATTGAGTTTCAAAAAGCAAGAAACAATTTAGTCAAATCCTTAGCTGCATATTCAATCATTTCCTATTTATTACAGTTTAAAGATAGACACAATGGTAACATTATGTATGATGATCAAGGACACATTTTGCACATTGATTTCGGGTTCTGTTTTGATATTGTTCCTGGTGGAGTCAAGTTTGAAGCAGCTCCATTTAAATTGACTCATGAAATGGTTATGGTGTTGGGTGGAAGCGACGATACACAAGCTTTCAAATGGTTTGAAGAGTTGTGTATCAAGGGATACTTGGCCTGTCGTCCATATATGGAATTGATTGTGCGAACAGTTGTACCAATGTTGGAATCGGGATTACCTTGTTTTAAAGACACCACGATCAAGAATTTACGTCTGAGGTTTGTTCCTGGTAAAAGTGATAAAGAAGCTGCGGTTTACTTCCGCAAATTGATCAAAAAATCAATGGAGAGTTTCTACACCAAAGGGTATGACGAGTTTCAAAGAATCACCAATGGTATTCCTTATTAGAAATGAGTTAGATTATACAATCAAAACTAAATTTTGCAAATTATTGTCTCTTTTTTTTATTCCTTTTTTATCTAATGTACACTATATATAATCAACTCCACACCATCTTAATCTAGCTCTTCTTTTTCATCATCATCTTCATCCTCACTGTCTTGCCAATCATTAACATCATTCATATCTTCATCTTCAGCCTCATGGTTAGGCACAACTTCCAACCCCTTTTCACCAACAACAATATTAACCGTTTCCTTATCTTTAACTTGTCCCTTCAAGATGTATATAGCCAACTTGTTTAAAATTTCATTTTGAATCAATCGATTCAAAGGTCTGGCTCCCAAATCAGCTGACCACCCATTCTTGATTAGATAATTCATGGCATCATCATCCAAATGCAAAGTGATTCTCTTGCCATTATCTTCAAATCTCTTTGTCAATTCATTGAGTCTAATGTGAACAATCTTGGCAATGGCTTTACGCGAAAGACGGTTAAATATGACAATGTTGGAGATACGATTCAAAAATTCTGGTCTGAAGTGGGCACGAACAGCACCCATAACGTGTTCTTTTGTAGAAGCATCAATTTTGCTTCCCTTTGATTCACTAATGTATTGAGCACCCAAGTTTGATGTCATGATGAAAATGGCATTGGAGCAATTGACCAATTTACCTTCACCATCAGTGATTCTTCCATCATCCAAAATTTGCAACAAAATCGTCAATACTTCGGGTGCTGCTTTTTCAACTTCATCAAACAAGACAACTGAATAAGGTCTTCTAATCAATGGTTCAGCAAGAATGTTTCCCTCACCATAACCAACGAATCCAGCATTTGATCCAAGAAGCTTGGAAGTAGACCATTTATCCAATTCAGAACAATCAATTCTAATCAAGGCTTTTTCATCAGCAAACAAAAAGCCAGCTAATTTCTTGGCCAATTCAGTTTTACCAGATCCTGAAAGACCAAGGAACAAAAATGATGGTGGTTGGTTAGGATTGGATAATCCTGATCTTCTCAATCTGATGGCATTGGAAACCGCTTTAACTGCTTCTGATTGTCCAACAACAACACTCGACAATTCAGATTCTAAATTGATCAATTTAGCATTTTCAGCTTGACTTAATTTTTGGACTGGGATACCAGTTAATCTAGCAGCAGTTTCACAAATTTGATCAGGACCAACAGCGTTTTTCAATAAACTATCCAAATTAGAAGCTTCTTCTTCAGCAACTCTAACCTCTAATTCTTCAATTTGTTTTTCAACGTCAGGAATGGCAAAATATCTCAAATCAGCAGCAGTGGCGGTATCATGTCTTCTTTCAGCATCTTGGGCTTTAACTTCCAATTCATCCAATTTCCTCTTTGCAGCAATAAGCAAATCGTGTCCAGCACGTTCTTGGTTGAATCGTTCTCTCAATGGACCCATTTTCTCTTCAATACTAGCTTGTTTCTTTCTAGCCGCTTCTAATCTTTCCTTGGAATTAGAATCAGCATCTTTATCTCTTTCCAATGCATTGATTTCAACTTCAACCAAATGTAATTCACGTTCAAGAGTATCCAACTCTTCCGGCTTGGAATCTCTAGCAACGGCAACAGCAGCAGCACTTTCATCAACTAAATCAACTGCTGAATCAGGCAATGCTCGGTAAGTCAAGTACCTTGAAGCCAATTGGGCAGCAGTAACCAATGCACTATCCAAGATTCTAACCCCATGGTGGATTTCATATCTTGGTTGTAAACCTCTCAATATAGCAATGGTTTCATTAACGGTTGCCGCGGGGACATCAATCTTTTGAAATCTTCGATCAAAAGCACCATCTTTAGCAATAAATTTACGGTACTCAGCAAAAGTAGTAGCTCCAATACAATGCAATTCACCTCTTGCCAACATTGGTTTCAAAAGATTTGCAGCATCGGATTTACCGTCACCCATTACAGTGTGAATTTCATCAATAAACAAAATGATAAACTCTTTGGATTTGGAAATATCATTCAATACACCTTTCAATCTTTCTTCAAATTCACCCTTGTATTTAGCACCAGCGGTCAATGCACCCATATCCAATGAAAACAATCTTGCATTGGACAAAACATTGGGCACATCACCATCAACAATTCTTTGAGCAACACCTTCGACAATAGAAGTTTTACCGACACCGGCATCTCCCACAAGTACTGAATTTGATTTCGATCTTCTTGCGAGAACTCTAATCACACGTCTAATCTCTTCTTCTCTTCCAATAACAGGATCAATTCTACCTTCTCTAGCCTTTTCCGTGAAATCTTCACAATACTTGTTTAAAAATTCATAGCTGCTAGAAGAGTCAGCTTGTCTTGAATCAATTCTTTGGTCACCACGCAACTCCAATGCTTGAGTCTTTATGGCATCGGGTTTGATACCAGCTTCTTTAAAGATATCCTTGATTGATTGATCTTCCAAAAGCGCCAATAACAAATGGTCTTGGGCAATGTAATAATCCTTTTGTTGTTTTTCAATCTTGGCGGCATTTTGTAAAACTTGACCCAATTGATAACTAGGCCTAACATCATCAGGTGGTGGATTTTGACTTGGTAATCTAACCAAATGCTTGTTTACGGTTCGTTCAAAAACAGGCCATTCATACCTTGCTTTCTGAATCAATGTTTGTAAATATGGTGATGTTCCTTCAGTGTCATCAGTAGGGATGAATGCAGCAAGTAAATGCAAGGGAACCAATTGAGTATTGGCATTTTCTTTACACAAGTTGGTTGCGTTTTGAATAATGCGTAAAGCATTATCAGTATATTGAGTTTCGTCCATCTTTCAATTGAGTAGTTTTGAGTAGTATGTATAGTGGAAAAGAAAAGTGAAATATAATTCTGTTGAAGGATTAGGCGGAATGAGTCTGTATTTATATATATAGTTTATATGGTTATTGTCAGATTCCAATGGAAATTCCATAACAAGAGTTAGAGCAATGTCCAGAGTCATGTGGTTATACTAATGACTTTATTATTTTTGTGTAGTGTAGCATAGTTTTGGTATATGTGCATTGCATGCGCAATAATAAATTATGTTAGAACATAATGTTCTAGATAATTCCAGACACTCCGAGAACGTACTAGAACAATCTATACTATTATGAATTTAGTGCACTACATTGTATAAACATTATTTTACTACGGAACTTGTACACACTGCATCGATTTTCAGCCACTTGCGACTGCGTCGTACTTTTGTATACATCCTTACAGACCAACACTAACCCGAAACACTCACAACCATATGTGGTCCACATATTGATAATTTATTTTTGGACCATCGCTCACAAAAACAGGTGGGAATACCTCTGTCTGCTACCAGTTGCATAACATATACCAAGAAATTGTCAATAAAGTACACTTGTGTCATCTCGTACTCCATGTCTTCTTCTTCTCTAAATGTTACAATATATCCTAATCCTTTATCTTCTCGGTCTCTCTTTTTGCAATATACATGGCCAATTTCAAGACATTGCATGGTCAGACTTGGATGCAACAACAATGACACCATCACCAGCTGCCAATCTAACTACATCATTCTTCAGAACACACCCGGCATCGCCAGCATCGCCAGCATCGCCAGCATCACCACCACTACGCCCACATATATATGCCATCTCTACCCTCGAAGCACTACAATCCTCGACCCACATTACAAAACTATCAAACACCAGTAATATAATCTATATCAAATCAAGTCAAAGCTCACTCCAATACGATCATAAACTCAACTACTGGACGTTAATCACGGTCAAAAACCGCAACACCAATTCCGATCCACCCCCTTCCCTTTTGCCTTCTCCTCCTTTTTCTCCTCCTCCTCCACCACCACCACAGCTCCACCACTCATGGATCCCCATCACATCGTGCCTCGAACTGATTCATGGTAGCGGCGGATACTTGAGCCGGTACATCACCATAACAATTGAACAAACACTAGACCAAATCGGCGAAGCAAGTATTGGAATCCCACCAATTTACTTTTCAATAGGCACCAGTTTAGCCATAGGTAAGCGCGTTGGCATGTCAAAGTTAAACACATTATTGTTTAGTTGTGCTATAAACCCTGGTGAAGTGGCTCAATTTTATATCCGACCGAGTTTCGTTGTCGTTCCTGAATTGAAGCGCATTTGGTACAAGTTTAAAGGCAAGAAATTGCATTATGTTGGGTTAAATGTAATAAAGTCGTTCAAGATGTTGGTTGTGGTTGATACCCCTGAACATCAGTGTTGGGTAACTAGAGATATCAACGATTTACAATGTGGAAAGACATTTAACAAAGAGGATAGGGTTACGGTACAATTGTAAAGAGAGGAAAAACATAATCTACTTGTGTAGGGCCTGTTGTTGTGATGATGTATTTCTCTATAACATGATAACCTATAATTAAACCTTTTGAAGAAGATTAAAAATGTACCAAGGAAAAAAAAAAAAAAAACAATGGGAAAGAACTGAAAACCCAAAGCCAGTGTTTTTGCTGTTACTGCTACTCTTCATCGTCTCCATTGTCGCCATCAGCATCACGATCATTATCACCATCATCATCATCATGACTATTTCTCCTAAACTTGAACTTCTTCATCTTGCTGAAATAACTCTTTGAATTATCAACAATCTTGTGTATACTATTACCACCGGCACTAGTGGGGGTAATAGGACTAGTAGTAACCATTGTTGTGGGCGTAGTGGCATTGTGGTTTTTTAAATAATGAGATGATCCAGATTTAGAACTACTTGAGTTGTTTCTTGATGAAGGTGGTGTATCATTCATCTCTTTCTGGGCTGTATCTGTCACCACAACAGTAGACAGTTTTGTTGATGCTACTGAAGACGACGAGGATAATGCGTCAGATACTAAATTGGAACATACTGAAGGTGTACGTGATCTGGAAGTGTGTGGTGGGAGTGGGGGTGGTGGTGGAGATGATGAAGAAGATGAAGTTGAAATTGAATTGGCACAAGATGATTCTGATGTTGATGAAATGATACTATTGTGGTCTATATCGTAATCAACAACTGGGATGGAGTAGTAGTCATATCCATCAATCAACGCCGAAGATGATTTGTGTTTGATACTCTTGTTGTGGTTGTGCTTGTGAGTAGTAGTGTTGTGACGGTGGTGGTCGTCTTCATGTTTATGATGATCATGATGTTTATGGGTATTGTTGGCGGCTTTAATATTATTATCACTGTGACGTCTCTTGCTTTTTTTGCCAAAGAATGAAATATGGCGGCCCAACAGTGAGCTTCGCTGTGGTCGAGTGTTTGAAGACAGGGTAGCAGAAGTTGGTACTTGTAAGCATTGCAGTACAACTGGTGACAGTACTGTATATGGAGGGTGTTGTTTTTGTTGATGATGATGATGATGTTGTTGTTGTTGTTGTGGTGGTGGTGGTTGTGGTTGTGGTGGTGATGGTTGCTGTTGCTGTTGCTGTTGCTTCTGTTGTAAATGTAGTTGTGGTGGTGGTGAATAAGGTGGAGTTAAAGGACATTGTTGTTCAATAACTGTTGTTGTATCTATAGTTGGTCTTGTATGTTTTCCGGGCAGTAAAATGTTTGAAGTAAACTCTGTAGTTGTAGTATTGTTGCTTTCCATGCAATCACTGTTATTCCTCCTCATTGGTAATGAACCCATTGCCACTGATCTCCTTCTATATAATCCACATTTATTCTTGGTTACAGTTTTCAAATATTCGTGATACAAATTTTGTAAAAGTTCATTAATAATGTACAGTTTACAATTGTGTAGGGTGGATTCATTGGGGTATTGAGCAAAATGTAAATTTGAACTTAGGCGACTAGGTAAATTAACTTCCCATTCGGATTCAGCAATTAAAAACTTGGAGTAAATCTGTTGCCATTGGCTTAATGATGAAGTGCTCTTGGATGAGGATGAGGAGGATGAGGAGGATGTCATGAATTTATTGAGTTCAATGATAAATTGTAAGTTTTCTTGACAATGTATCGATGCCAAGTAGTTGTTGAAGGAATGGAGTGTTATCTTGGAGTTAGTGGAAGTGGTATTGGTGTTGTCGGTATTGCTACTGTCATTGTCTTGGGTACCAGTTGTTTGTTTATCCAAGGTTGTTGTTGAGTTGTGTATCAAGTCATGAAGTGAAGGAATATTGTGTTGTTCTACTTCATCTTGTTGTTGTTGATGTTGTTGTTGTTGTGATACACAATGAGTATGGTTGTTGTTATAAGGTAGATAAAAACGATTTGATGTAATGCATGGTGTAGTTGGTGCAGTTGCAGCTATTCTGTCGTTGTTGTTGTTGTTGTTGTTGTTACTGTTACTATTGGGTATCTGATAATAGTCGTTCATTGTGGTAGTAGTAGTAGTAGTAGTACTAGTAGTAGTAGTAATAGTAGTAGTAATATGTCTATAAATACAATAGTCTTGGTAGAAAAGTATAGTTGGTAGATAGTAAGCACATATCTTTTAGTTGATAGAGAGATATACAGTAGTATATATAGTTGCACATACTTGAGATAGAGATAAGAATTGTGGATTTTCCTGGTTGATATTACGTAATGAACAAAGAGTAATAGTAGTGATGTATAATGAAGTAAGTAATTACGTAATAGTAATGCTACTATTGTTTAATGTATTACACAAAACATCAGTCTACCTTTAAATTTTTTTTTTTTTTTTTTTTAATTTGTAATCCACAAAAAAAAACAAAAACCAAAAGTATACCGATTAGATAGCTTGTTGCATTTTGTGTGATTTTGACTAAAAAAAGTAAAAGCACATTGTAATACGTACTCCGTGTTATATTTTATTTTTTTTACTATAAAGTATTAAAAATTACTACGTAATAGTAGTAACAATAGATGACAAATGACAAATAACAAATGACAAATAGTGGTGACGATAGTATAGCTACGTGCAATCGAGAGGGGCAAAATCCTTGTTTAATGAGGGTTGATTATGCATGTTTGTGTGTTTTGGGTGTGTGTCGTATTAAAGTAGTTTATAATTTACAAGTTTTTTAGACCAATGCATAGTTTAACAATTGTTTTCTCAGAAACAATAGCTTGAAAAAGATTTACTTAACTTAATTTACACCCCCCCCCCTCTTCTTTGTTTACACACTTTTGTCTTTATTGTGTGGTTTCCAATATTAGTTTTGAACACAATTACACTACTACTACTACTACTCCTAAAACTACGACAACTCAACTGCACAAAAGCTTAAATACGGCACTGGGAATAATAATACTAAGAACAATAATAGTACTAATATTATTTTTATTACTATTATGATTATACTATAGCGAACTGTGAAGATGAAGACTCTATGTGTTAAAGTTTAAAGAGGAAAGGTATGTGTTTTAACAAACATTACCCAATAAGAAGATGTATATCCAAAGATCCATCGCTATTCCATACACGGTCTTACACATTCAGTTCTACTAGTCTGTTTCTTTTTTCTAAAAAAAAAAAAAATATATATATATATAGATAGATAGATAGATAGAGAGATAACCGTGACGAATATTTTGGTTACTTTGTATGGTTATTATGAAAAAAGAAAGAACGCAATTTTTCAGATTTGCTGCCCAACGTAAGATGGTTATCACATTGCATATCAGAATAAGGTTTTTTTTTTTTTGTTTTTGAAAAGAAAGGTAGAAAACGGTTTGACTGTAATAACAATATTGTACACAGCATGCGGAGTAGTTTTTTTTAGGCGTGTCTAATAAAACGTATGAGCTGTTATGCTTATAGAAATCAAAACTTTTAAGGTCATTCATTTCACTTTATTTAGTTTTTAATAGAAATTTTATTCACACACACACACACACACACCCCCCTCTCCCTCCCCACCAAATTGAATTATAACACTACAACTACGATACAAAACTTCTGTAACTACTCTTTAAGTGGATATACATCTTACTAGTTTTCAAAGTTGGTTTCTAGAAGATAGGGGGGGGGGCGGAAAAGAAGGTGGTAATTAAAATATGGTGGAGATGCGTTTAGTTTAAAAGGTACAACCTCTCAAATCTAGATTAAGTTCATCTGACTTTTAAAGTATCAGTTTAGAAATGGACTCTAGTACTTCATTTACTAACTACCATACCATATATATATATATATATATATACATGGATTTATATGCATGTAATCAATTGTGTACTCCAATGACGTAGTATCGTAAATACTACTTGACAACTTCAACCACATCAAATGACGTAGCAGCTTCTTCATCTTCTTTCACTTCTACATAACAGTGTTTGCTCTTCTATGCTACTGACAAACAAAAAGAAAACAAAAGAAACAACCTACTAATTTAATTTGATTTGATTTGATTTGATTTGATTTGATTTGATTTGATGACAATGATCTCATCTCGTAGGATTTCTATTGATTGCTTTTTGTGCTATTTACTCCGCATTTCAGTAGCTGTTTTATATGTAACTATATGTACGTAGGTTTTTTACTCCGTAATTTTATTTTAGTTCAGTGCAACTCGGCATGTTTGCGTTTGTGTAATTGTTCTGTACTTTTGAAACACAAAAAATCCAAACAAACTACAAAAGTTTGCAAGTTTTCGATAATAAAAAACGTTTGCTTGCAGCTCAATTTCTTTTTTACCCCTCATTTCTCCACAAAATTCCTTTGTTACTTTTCTTGTTTTACTTGTTTTACTTGTTTTACTTTGAAATAGTTTGATATACGTTTTACACCCCCTATCTTTCACTCTACAATCACATTCCTCGGTTCTCAGTCGGTACACACACAACAATAGCAAATGTATTGACTTGCTAGTAGTGTTGCTCGAGTCTTGTTGCCCAAATATCTCCACTCCTTCCTTTAACATCATATACTTACTATACAACTCTAACCAAAACATACATGAAACCTCTACAACCGTTTGAATGAGGAAAAGAAAGCAAAAGAAAAGCTTGTGCTTATACATACAACTCGTCTCGTGCATGGTTCGTCCCTTCTCTAAACTAGAGATATTGACATCCTCAGTCGCATTGAAAATAATCTTCAGTTTCATTTCTCGCTCTATTTCTCCGATCTTACCTCTAATTCCTCCTTCAAATTAGACCTTGCTCTGTCGTATCTCCGTTTTTGTGTGTTGCTTAACCAGCCTTACGGTTATATACCAAATGTCAAAAATGGTTATGTGGTTATAGTACCGACATTACACAACATACATGCCATATATATATATATATATATATATTCACTTGCACATATAGGTTTTAGCATATGTCTAATTACTTATTTTTTTTTTTGGCTCTCTGACTTCTGAAGAAACCTTTTTTACCGATTTCAGTAATTATTTGCACCCCCGCCCTCTCTCCAACCAACCAACCAACCAAAAATATGAAAATCTACAACACCTGCTAGTACGTCTTGAAAATCATTTTTGTTATTTAAAAAAGCATTGCAGAATATCAAACAACAGCAGCATTTAATTCACTTTTAGATGTGTATTGCTCTTTTTTAAAATTTCCGTGTCCAATAATAACACCAACATTCTTTTAGTAATTAGCCACACACCCTCACTCACTCTTAGTTTCGAATTCACATTTGTTGGAAATTCATCAGTGTGTACTTTAATAGTCCTAGAAATGTCAAAGTACTTAAAGGTATATATATATGGAAGTGAAGCTGGTTAAAAGAACATACTGTTTCAGTCGTGGCTTCAGCTACTCAGTAGGCTCCAATTAACCTGATTTACAGGAAATTCGAGTTCACTTTGTATCTTGACTGAAACTTAGTACCTGTATAAGGTTTCCAAACAAGAGCAATATCCTCTTCGAACAAGCCACGTCTTCGAACACTGAATGCTTTTTAATTTTTAAATTCATTTTTTTTGTCAAAATTTTGGCATCGTATTTCATCAAAAAAGTATCTATAACGAATGAGATACAGCAAACTACATAAATCCGAACTGGTTGTCCAGTTTCTCATCAAAACCACCAATTACACTCTATACAAAGATAACAACACATTCGGTTTAGTACGCTCCTGTCATTTGCAACCCAAAAACCACTTAAGAATTGCTCGGAGTTATTAATATTCTTTTTGTCTCCTGAGTCACCCGGGATTGTAAATTGTGCCAAAGTAACCGAGACTCTCGGAGACAAAAATAAAAAATAAAAAATAAAATTGAGTGTGTCCTTGAAACACCGGGTAAGGCTCATATTTAAACATCTTATTCCACTCTAGAGAAGCAAGACACTTGCATCTTGATAACCTGCTAGAGTTTAGTAATGATGACTCACATCGCATTACTAATCTCGTAGTCATCTCTGAGTAGACGCATATCCTTTTTCTACTGTCTGTCAATCCTATGTCGGTTACAAAATGCACTCCGATGACCTCCCGGAGTTTTCGTTTTTTCGTTTTTGTTTATTAACCGAAACGACGATGCATCTTTCTTTTGTCACCAATAAAATAATTCTTATACAAATTTCGTTTTTAGCAACAAAATTTTTTTTTTTTTTTTTCTTCTTCTCCCCACGACTTAATTTCCCTCAACGAAATAATTTTAAACCTCAATTACATATTCCAGTTACAACTTATAGACTTTTATAAGCATTTTTGTCTTCATCATGTTATCAAGAGGAGTTAATTCAAGTTTAAAAAGAACCGTTCAGAGAGCACTCAAGTCAAATGTTGCCACCACAACAACAACAACCAGTTTGAAAATTTCAGCTGTTCAAGCAACTAGATCGCTTCACAATCAATCAATTACCCAAACCAACAACAACAAAAACTCCATCAACAAGTTTGCTTCCTTATCTTTAGGTTCAGTCAGATATGCATCCTCTAAAGTTAAAGTCCCAGACATGGCCGAATCCATTACTGAAGGTACATTGGCTGCTTTCAATAAAGAAGTTGGTGATTTTGTAAATGTTGACGAAACTATTGCTACTATTGAAACTGACAAGATTGATGTTGAGGTTAATGCACCAGTTAGTGGTACCATCACCAAGTTTTTAGTTGATGTTGAAGCTACTGTTGAAGTTGGACAAGAAATTGCTGAAATTGAAGAAGGTGATGCTCCTGAAGGTGGCGCTGCCAAAAAGGAAGAAGAGCCAAAGAAGGAAGAGGAACCAAAGAAAGATGAAGAGTCCAAAGAGGAACCAAAGAAGGAAGAATCAAAGCCTGAACCAAAAAAGGAGGAATCAAAACCAGCCCCACCAAAAAAGGAGTCCTCACCAAAGAAACAAGAAAGCTCTTCTAGCTCTTCTTCCTCATCTTCCGATGCCCCAACTTTTACCAACTTTTCCAGAAATGAAGAAAGAGTCAAGATGAATAGAATGAGATTAAGAATTGCTGAACGTCTTAAGGAATCACAAAACACTGCTGCTTCATTAACCACATTCAATGAAGTTGACATGTCCAATTTAATGGAAATGAGAAAATTGTACAAGGATGAATTTTTAGAAAAAACTGGTGTTAAATTAGGTTTTATGGGTGCCTTTTCAAAAGCTGCTTGTTTAGCTGCCAAAGATATTCCAGCTGTTAATGCAGCCATTGAAAATAATGACACTTTGGTGTTTAGAGACTATACTGATATTTCAATTGCCGTCGCAACACCAAAGGGTTTAGTTACTCCAATTGTTCGTAATGCCGAATCAAGATCAATTTTGGGCATTGAAAAGGAAATTGCTGCCTTGGGTAAAAAAGCCAGAGATGGTAAATTGGCCTTGGAAGATATGGTTGGTGGTACATTTACCATTTCCAATGGAGGTGTATTTGGATCACTTTATGGTACCCCAATCATCAATATGCCTCAAACCGCAGTGTTGGGATTGCATGGTGTAAAGCAAAGACCAGTTACTGTCAATGGTCAAATCGTGTCTAGACCAATGATGTATTTGGCTTTGACCTATGATCATAGAGTTTTGGATGGTAGAGAAGCAGTTACGTTTTTAAAGACAATTAAAGAATTGATTGAAGATCCAAGAAAGATGTTGCTTTTAGAATAAAGAGGAACTAAGATGGATATATATATATATTTAAAATCTTACAAAGAATTAAAATAAGCAAACAAACAAAGAGTAGAAGGTATGATGTGTTTGAGAGATTGAGTAATGTAGTTTAGGTGAGTGTGACGCAACTTTTTTACACTGTCCATTTCTCTCGCAATCATTTTAATTCAAAAAATTTTTCATTTAAAACAGCCGTTGGGGTTACCGAGCATTATTATCAAGTTGCTTAAAACTACAGGTTTTTATAATATGACATGTTGCCTCCGCCTCCCCTCCCCCCTCTCACTTTACCCCTAAATTGAAGTTGTACCTTTACCGAAATTGTTCTTTACTGCCATTTTCCTTTATATATTTTCAAATTCGTTTCCACTGCCTTTTTTTCTTTGTAAGAATTATAGCTGCCGTCTCATATTCAATCAATCGTACGAGAGCCAGTGCATATTGCACCATGGGTACAGCTTAGCTAGTTAGTTGGTGATATGATGATGATGTTAGTTATAAATCAAAGTATATATGCTTGTGTAGGCATCACAAATCACCACAAAATCAGTAGTTTATAGTTTTCTTTTTGTTTACATTCTGTCCTAATTAGGCAAGTTGATTGCAAAAGAAAAATGTTTGTGACTTTTTGGGTTTTGCATCAATTTTTTTTTTTTTTTTATTGTTTTTGTTTCTCAATTAAGTATACAAATTACCAATGTTTTTTTATTATTGCCTTTCTTCTATAACTTCTACTACTTCTTCTTCATTAACTCCATTTGATTTTTGTGAATCGGATGCAACCACGAGGAATAGCAAAAGAAAGAAACATTTTCAAACATCACTTATTGATTAACTTCTTTTATTTTATACCTGCAACAACTACCTTCTTCTTCCACTTCATACCACATTTACTATTCCCATTCAACTTCATAACCACCTATCCCATAACTAATCAGCCCTAAAGACTGTTAATATTTCAATACCCGCTTGATCCATCACAACAAATACTTTGTCGCTCACTACCTCCATTCCTAAAACATCCAACAACCATGGAGAAATACATCATGTTTGGAGATGAAGGGGAAACCTTGAGACTGGATCTACAATTCAATGTCGACAATTTTGATCAATTTTGGTTACCTCTGGATTTCAATAATAATAACAACAATAACAACAACAACAACAACAACAACCCCACGGCAGCCACCACCACCACCAATCCTTCCAACAACAACAACGACAACGATATTGACTACTTGATTAATGAAACACTTAATGGATTGCAGGATTTAGATGTTCCTAGTGGATTTGCCATGAACAACAACAACAAAGGAACAATAGGAGGTAATGTCAATCCTGCCCCTTCCGCATCTGCATCTGCATCAGCTTCATATAGCCATCATTCAAGACACAAGTCTAAAACTCATAGTAGACAAATGAGTGGTACTGCAATATTTGGGTTTATTGATCATACCAGAGACTGGTCACTTGGTGGTGGAACTATTCAACCTAGTGAATTTTACAAACCTAATCAGCAATTATTTGGTAAATCTATTGATTGGAGAAACATCAGTCCCAGTGACTTGTTGAACCCCAGTGGTAATGTTCAACAACAACAACAGCAGCAGCAGCAACAAAATGATACCGCTAAGCCAGCGGATCAAGCACCATCGCCTCAGAGCCAAATGAACAAGCTGGTCAAGAAAAACACCCCCAGTCAAGATATCCTAAATTTCAATTTCGATAAAAACCCAAGTGACGACGATGATGATTTTGTAACCCACCGATTGGCACAACTGTCACCAATTAAACAAATCTCCACCCCAACCAAATCACAACAATATTATCAAACTCAAAATCCAAACTTTAATCATCCACATCAAATTAGCGCCACTCAACCACGAACTACAAAACAAAATGACTATGTGGTCACTAATCAAAGTCCTAAATCGTACAAGTTCCCACCACCACCTGCACCAAGATCAAAACAAAATAAACTCGAGCAACAAATGTCTCCTTCACCATTACAAAATAAAACCAACAAGTTTCAGTTTCGTCAAAATGAAACAAACAAGATTGTCAATTCTTATTCAGCTAAATATTTGCAATCATTACAGTACGTGCAGCATCAGCAACAACAACAACAAAAAAATAGTTTCATGAGTGATGCGTTTTTGCAACCGAAATTGCCATTCGAATATGTTGATGATTTTGAGCCGTTATTGGAAGAAACGGATTTACTACAGCAGGTGAATGATGAACAAATGGATTCAGATATGCAATATGTTCCATTACCTGTACGAGAGCCCACTTATCAGGTCACGTCAACCAATAGTCAAAACACCTACCAATCAAATCAACAACAACAGCAACAGCAGCAACAGCAGCAGCAGCAGCAGCAGCGACAACAACAAGAACAGTTGATGTCACCAGCAATGACACAAGTGGCATTGCCAGAAAAGCAACACCCTCCAAGCTCAGTTGAACAACAATTGCAATCACAACAAACAAATGAACTTGTCAATAATCTCCTATTCAATACTTTTTTACCACCACCCTCTCCGCCAACACTTTCCAACTCCAATGATTCACCCAATTGGCAATCATCGCCAGAACCTCAATCTCCATCACCAGGGAGATCCACCACCAGTTTGTTTCAGCATAGTCAACAACAGCAGGATGTGTCACCCTTACATCCAAGTTTAAAAAATTCCAATGTCAATTTCTACACGCCAATGTACTACAATCGAGAGCAACAGCAGCAGCAGCAGCAACAACAACAACAACAACAACAACAGCGCCACCTGGACTTGCCTTTATCGACCCCATTGCATCATATTCAAGAGGAAGAGCAACTCAATGAAGGTGATGAAGAATCACCAAATAAATTGACTCTTGACCAAATACAAATGCAACAACAACAATTGCAACAATTGAGTCAAAAATTTAATCCATCATCTCAGCCTTCAGCCACAACGGGGTCCACCACCACTACTAGACAATCAACAATAAGCCCTTCGCGCAACATCAACTACCTAAACTCGTCTCCGTTTTCAACTATTAACTCATCACCAATACGGTACTATACATCTCCAGACAAGCCAGCTTCTAGCAGAGCCTCTCAACAACAACAGCCACCACCACCTACACCAACCCCTGCCCAACAAACTGACGCCAGTCCTGATCCTAATGCCACCATTGCTCAAATCACCCCACTTCGCAACAACACCTATTTGTCCACCCCCGTCAAATCCAAAACTTTTCAACAACAGCCATCTTTAGAATGGAGCCCCCTAATCAGCCCCAACCTGAAAAACTCCCTCAAAAAACAACTCAAGGATTCTTCACCACGTAACCGAATTAAGAAAACCTCATTACTCCCACCGGGTGCCATTGACAATTACTGGACAGGCCCAACCAAGGATAAGATGTTTGTGTGCACTTTCAAAAACTGCGGCAAAATATTCACTCGCAGATACAATGTTCGATCACATGTTCAAACTCACCTAAGTGATCGGCCATTTGCATGTCAGTTTTGTGGTAAACGATTTGTGAGACAACATGACTTGAATCGACATTTAAAGGGCCACAGTGAATCGAAATTGAGTAAATGTGCTTGTGGGAAGGAGTTTGTTAGAGTTGATGCCATGAAAAAGCATCAAGAGAGAAATATCTGTGTTGGTGGGGTAAAGGGCATGGTTAATAAACCATCAACATCGAAACTAAATAAAAAAAGTTTTAATGGGGATGATATTGTTGGCGTTGATGATAAACGTGTACAGAGGAAATTGTTTACTGATTTACTTGAAGTGCAAAGTGGAGTGAAGAGCTAATTCTGAAAAAGGGGTATGATTAGCATTATGCCGGATGTTTCTTATACCTGTGGGTCGTCCTAGTTTATTTGTTTTTACTTTTGTTTTACCTTTTGGTTCCTTTGTGTGTATTCCGTTTAATTCATTTTGTACTTTTTCTCAAGTGTAAGGTAAATCACCCATTTGCATCATTGCACTTGTCACAATCTCCAACTTCATCCTTCAAGTACAGCTACATTCCTTTTCAATATATTTTGCATAGTCAACGTACATAAAACCCCCTCGTGCCATCACTTTTTCTGCCACCTAGATATCATCAACTATTTGAGCCTCTTCCTCCTCTTCCTCCTTAACAACACCATTATCGCTAGCATTATGAATTTTCAAATGTTGCTGAAGATTATCCGACCGACTAAACTTCTTATTACATTTGGGACAATCAAATGGTTTTTCAAAAGTATGCAAAGATCGAAAATGACGCTTTAAATGCTCATGTCGTTTAAACCGCCTTGAACAATAATTGCACAAATAAATCTTGGATTCATCATTCAAATCAGCCTCCTTGTTTTCTTTTCTACCGCGTGTTCGATTCTTGGAATTGATAATTGCTGTGGGAAAAATCTTGGTGTCGGGTGGTAAATCCAATGATGCTAAATCAACGTCAACTTCAACTCCTTTGGAAATCATTGTTGCCACCGGTGTGTCCAACGATGCAATGATTGGCTCTTCGTCGAGTGGGATTATATCACGATCATTATCGTTGTCCTTTTCCTTATCCTTCTTGGTAATTTTCGATGACGATTTTTTGCTATTTTTCAGCATAATCTTGGATCCCAAAATACGCTTGGATGCAGTTGCCAATGTTGACGTAGATTGCGGCGGTGCTGGATTTGGTGGTGGTGGCATTGTAGACGTAGAAGACTCTGCCTGGTCATCGTTCTCATTCAAAACCAAGCTCTGGCCAGCTAAAGATGATGATGCGTTGGAGGAATTGACACTGATATTGGTTACACTAGTACTATCAGCAATCGAATTGTTGCTGCTAGCACCTCTGCCCCTTTGACTGTTTTTGCCAAAAAACAAGGACGACGTCGCTGGTGCATTGTTGGATTGTTGTGGCATTTGCGATTGGTCCTCTTTTGACTTTTCGCGTTTCGGTTTTCTATAGTTTGATCCAATTGCCTTTCTTTTACCTACATTTTCAAACAATGCCGCATAATCAGGCTCAGCAATATTTTGTGAGGATTCAGAAGTGGTGTTTTCCAAATTGATAGGACCACCAGTCATAAATGACGGTGTTCCACTTGACGCTTGTCCAGAACCAACATTTGTTGTATCCAAACTCTCACTTTCTTGTAGTAAAGGCTCTTTTTCACCAATTTTAGGACTGCTTTCAACTTCATCTTGCTTAGATGACTTGAATCTCGTAAACAAACTTCGTTTAGATGTCTTTTGTTTCTTAGGTAATTCAAACTCAGGTTCAAGCTCTGAACCTATTGTCAAATTTGAGTTGTCTACGGCTGAGCTCAAAAATTGGTTCGATATTTCATCCATATTCACATCATCATTGTTATCCATCTTGTCATCAACATCATCTGCTACTTGATTCTGACTCGAGTTCAAAGCTGAGTTGGACTTGAATATTGACCGAATTAAGTGTCGTGGCTGATTAGGTGTAGCATTATTGCTCATAACTGGTTGTGTTGAGTTACCAGGAGGTGACCTTTGCGACTGACTCCGATCACCCATAAACGGAATCATATTGGAGATAGAATTGGTGAAACTAGTGTATCTCGCATTACGTTGTTGCTGTTGTTGCGACCGCTGGCTATCCAACGAAGGTCTTCCAAATATATCCAGGGATGGTCCATTCAATGACAGCAGTTGTTGATCCAAAGAATTTCTGGTAAAGAATTGTTGTGCTGAGAAAAAAGATGGCTGTGTCGAGTGTAATGAAGATACAGAGTGTGTATTGGAAGTGGTTGTTGTAATTGGTGACATCTCCTGGAACGAAGACGAATTGTTCTGTGCATGAGCTTGTTGTTGATACTGAAACTGTTGGAGTGATTGCTGCTGCTGTTGTTGTTGCTGTTGCTGTTGCTGATGTAATTGTGGATGCAAATGTTGGTTGATCACATTGGCAGCGTAATAGGAATCTATAGACCCATTTCTTAATCTCCCCTTGAATAGTTGACTCTCGTTGTCAACAAAGCTGCGTCTATTGATTGCCTTATTTCCATCAAAATTGTTATTCCCCATGTATTGTATATTTTGAACAGATGAAACTCTTGATGCATCATCAAACGGGCTAATGTTGAACTCGCTTGGTTGCACGGGGCTCTTCAAGTGGTTATTGTGATGGCCAGTGATATTGCTATGACTAATGATAGAAGATCTATTATCGTGATGAGGTAGCATGTTGTTACTGGTGATGATTGAGTTATTATCTGGACCTTGGTCAAAATAGAGATCCAGTTCGATGGTGAATGGAGGCGAATCATCAAGCTCCATATTGTCCCCTTGTTGAAGAAATGCTCCAGGCATGCCCTTTGGGCCAACCTTGGTGTTCCCGCTACCATCAAATTCATCTTGTTGGTGTTGTAGCTGATTGTAAGGTTGTCCATGTTGTCGTGACGAATCAGACCCTAGTCCGGAGTTCAAAAGCTGAGTATCACTATCATTATTCGATAGTAGGTTTTCCTGTATCTGCGGTACTTGCTGCTGTTGCTGTTGCTGTGAAGATAGTTGCTGTGGAAGCTGTTGTTGTGTTTTCAAAAGGAAATCAAAATTGATATCATTCAATTGAAACTCCGCCAAAGTTGCGTCACCTAAACTGTCCTGTTGGAAACCATTGGTATTGAAATTAGTAGTTGGCTTTGAATACAGTGAATATAACTGGGCATAGTCATCATCCGTTTGACGATAATTTTGCGGAGCAAAACTTTGGTTTTGATTACCAGAATCAGGTGTAATGACAAAGTCATCTACAAAAGCAGCCTTCTGATTAGTGTCAACATTAGCTTTGGTAGAAAGGTCGGCGTAAAACTCAGACGCCAACTGATCCATATCCTGATTTAGATCCATAGCAGAAAAGGGAGTGTTGAGTGAAATTGGTGGGTGGTAAGGGAAAGCCGTAGCTGATGAGGTGGATCTTTCTGGCTATGTGGTATAAGGGGCAACCCTGCTAATCAGAAGCGTATTACAAAGGACAATGATGCTAAAGGACTGCGGAAGGAAGAATATACGGTTGTTTTGATTAGATTGGACGGGGAAGTGTGTTTTCAGTGCTGTTTGTGTTTGACAATCTTGGTTGTTCCTATGACTTTCCCTTTCCCTTTGCTTTAAGAAAATATTTAATTGTATTGTGTGTGCGTAGTAGTAGTAATTATAAAATCATACAATCATCCATAGAGAGGTACTAAAATATACTTTTTGACTAAATACTTTACTACTAACTTACTAAGAAACTTACTTGCTTATTCACTTACTCATACCAACCAATACAAGACTACATTGCCCATGGCATCTAACCTCCTTACTCAGGTATACGCAACTTTATATAGCTAAACAAACTTTGTTCGTTAAGTAGTGTCCTTTCTTGTCACGCGAATCTGCATTACAGCAGTTTCCTTTCCAAATACTGCTCAATACTCTAAAAAAAGAATGTAGTCTAAAACACCTCTTTCTACATGCTTAGTTATTATCACCGAGTATCGCCGAAACATCTTTTCACGCTTACAGTTCACACGTCTATTGCAATGCCACTTCGGTCATAAGTCCCGTATATTGTCTAATTTTTTACCAGTTCCAGAATAGCCGATTCATAAAGAGTATACATAGCGCAGTAGTGCCCTTTATATGCAGTATCGACAGATCATTCCAAATAAATGGGAAAGAGGCTTATGCCAACACACACACATAATAATAATGTCTGACGATGGTTTGCAAACCACAATCTTTGCATCTGTATAGGTGGATATACCCCTTTATGGCCATGTTGCTAATCTAGAATGCTTTTCAAAGTCGAAGAGGTAGGTAAGCAATCCATTTATATTACATGAAAATTACATAATCAATACATGACAAAGCACACAACAGTAGCCCTCTTTATTACTAAGCTCACCTTTTACCTCATTCCTTTGATCCCGATGGAATCCTTTGTCTGAGAATGGTATCTCTTTCTTGTGGACGATCTATATCAATCTCATTAGTAGTTTCTCCGTCAATATTATCATTTTGCAACAACAGCTCAGTCTGATAACTACTTGAGTCAGTATCACCGCTGGCAGTATCCGGGTTCATGATTTTCAAAATCGATCTTCTTTTACTGCTAACCAATACTTGTACATCCATATCATCGTCAATCGATTTGGCATCGAAGTTAGCGCCATTGTGTAGTCTCGAGGCAGTTTTGGCAACTTCCGTAACTACCTCATCGTCAATCAAATCGCTTCCCATTAATTGCTCTGACTTGGTCAACCGCTTACTCTTAAACTTCGTTTGTTCTTTATTCTTCATTACCGGACTCGTTGGTGGAGTTTGGGAAAAGCTGAACGATTTGCGTAAGTTACGCACGGATTTGTGTACAAAGGGATTATTTGGATCCAAGCTAGGTCGCAAGCTTTTTACTTCCAGCATCGTCGTTGACCTTGTTATTGCCTCATCTTGCTCCTGATTTTCATCACCAGCATGACTCTCTTCATCATCAACAGTGTTTAGAGTTTCATTTGAAGCAAGATAACTGTTTCTTAGTCTACCTCTATCAAAATCTTGCCTCTTTTTCATCCATGAATCAATTGATGCAGCACCGCTCAATGTTGAGTTCGAGTCATCATCGTGCAAATATAGTGGTAATAGATGATGGTTACCAGCAGAAAACGAAGCTGGTGGATCAACATAATCAAATTTATAGTCAATTTCATTATAAGCGGGGTTCTCTTCTTGTGATTTTGATTTCCTCCTTTTATACATGTAGAAAAATACAAGAACTCCCGTGATTAAAGATACAAAAAAGATCGGTAGTACCGTTCCCAAAATAATCTTTTCTTTATTGTTGGATTTGGAGCTTGAGTGGGTATCACTTGTTATATTCAATGGTTTTGTGTTTTCTTTGACATTGTCCACAGGTTCAAATGTATCGACGTCGTATAAATTGACTTGGTATTCTTGACTAACCATACGTTTATCGTTTAAATTTGTGGTCGAGTTAATCACGACCAATGTCGAAAATATAGTAGCGGCACCCAAAACTTCGTCTAATTGAAACCCATCTGCTTCTGTGGCATTCCATTTCCAATCATTCGTATTCATTTGCAATTTGGCATACTTTGGTGTACTTTCTTCACCATTGAGATCACCCCCAATCATCAACACCTGATCAATGTGAAAATCATTGGAAATGCTATCGGTTTGTGCAAATGGCTCAAATAATGGAAGGGTCAATGGAAAAGTGCGCGTGTTGATTGTAATGTCATCCATTTTATCAACTGGTTTAAAAGACCAACCGGAATTAAAGTCCCATGTCGCTAGCTGATACATGTTCAACCATCCACTATTCAGCTCACCACCTATAATCAATTGTGACTGGACATTTGGCGCAATAATATTTGCAGCTCCATAAAATGGTTGCGGTTTCGTTGAAGTGGTGATATTGCTAACTTGACCAGAGGTTACATTGACCGATACCAATCTGTTTGTCGCTTCATTGGTTTTTCCACATAATCCACCATATATGTATAGTAAATCTGAAGTATCACTGTTGGTCAAGACTGTAGAATATTGATAAAATGAAGAGTCAGCCACTTTGTCAAAATCCAATTCAACTTCATTGTCCCAGGATTCGTTGCTATATTTCACAATGGCAAAGCTTCCGTCACCACATATGTCACTGTCCTGACTTGAATCGCTCTTTTTAAGTCCATAAAGTTCATCATTCAATATAAACAATGTCGAATTGTTTGGTGGTGGGGTCAAAGTAGTAACTTGTTGATTATTTTGCAAATTATTCTCCTCAGTAAACAGCCCATTCAAATTGAATCGTAGTTTTAGTAAATCATTGTTTTTCAAATGTAGGTAGACAAACCCTTGGTTGTAAGAATATAGACTATTCCAATTCTTATTGGCTCTTGACATTGGAAAAGATTAGATTTAACTGTGTGGAAATGATGACGGGTGGGGTGATGTAATTTCGACAGTCAAAATTCTATAGCCAATCCCACAATGTTTCAAGTCCTCGGTGGTTCTTGTGTTTCTTCTGTTAACAAGTTCAAACTTGCTTCGTGATTTATCTTTGATTGTGCAAGATTGAATTTTATGAGCTCCAATTTTCTTTTGTTTACATTTTCGCCCATTGCGGAAATATTATTGCACATTGCATTGAATTGCAGCAACTTCCCTGCAAGACATTTGACGAGAAGAAGTAGTTCAACTCTAGCGAGTGATGCAACGAGGTAGGGTAATATGGTGACAACTATGCGTGACTGGACGCTTCAATTGAGTGGGATTGCTCACATTCGTTGTACACCACTTTGACTTGCCACTTCGAGCAAAACTTAGCCATAAAAGCTAGAAGATTTTCGTTGAAAATGGCAGATCTCCTTTTTATTTATGTCATTGAACTGTAATAGTTTTCAATGTCCTTAATGTTGATGATCTGATCGTGGCAATCAATTGCTTCTCTTGCGTTCTATTAGGAAAAAAAAAATTGGGCAGAAAAGAATAAATTCGAAGCAAACAATTTTGCAATTGTCATCATTGAATCAACACAGGATGCCCCTCAAGTCTCGAAATGAAATAGAGCTAGCACAGTACATTTCCTCAAAAACACTAATACTCCGATGTCCCTTTGCAAATTGTCACGCACGTATTATCGTCTATTCACTGAGTATACCGTCAGTAACTCTTAAAGAAGCCCCCCATTGTATCACTACAGATTCAAACAATTCAAGTCCAACACTCAACACATCAACAACCGCATTTTATCGCATCAATGACGTTTGGGATTTCGACAATATAGGTGTGAGTAAACCTTCGAAAGTGTTACCGGAACCAGTAGTAGTTGGCACTATTGGCAATATTGGCGATGAAGATAAGCAACAGCAACAGCAGCAAAAGGAAAAAATAGATGTAGAACGATTATTGATTTGCAGTGAATGTGACCGTGGTCCATTGGGATTTGCTGGGATTGCTGCGGGAGAAGACAAGGACCACAAGAATCTCAGGTATTTTTTGAGCGAGGATAGTGTCTTGTATGATGTGGGAGAGTAGACCAAGTATTCGTAAAGACTTGCTGATGAGGCATCTAGGGCAACAAACGAATTTACTATAGATGAATATTGATGCGTCATAGTGTCTCTACTTTCAATGTATGCAACTGCACTTGGCAATTGATTTTAGAAAATGTTTAGAAGAAAGCTATTCCAGCGTTGCTCCAATTCACACGTGAGAAGAAACGCTCACGTAGTATCTCTTGAAGAAACAGAAGTTCATTTTGTATCCTTTGGAACAATGGAAAATGCTTGCTGCATTTCTCTTTATTATTTCTATACAACTTCTCTGTTTTCATTCGTGTTGCCAAAAGCATAATTTTTTTGCAGCACCCTCCTCTTCTTTCTGCCCACACCAAAGCTATGGCCCCAAAGAAGACAGTATCACACGAAGAGAAACTTGAGCTATTACGTAGCTGGTTTCAATCAACCCATGACTTTTACACTTTGAAGGAAATTGAACAAAAAGCTAGCAAAGAGTGCAAGATTCCTGGAATGCAAGTCAAAGAGTTGGTGTCCAATTTGGTAGATGAAGGGATGATACAACAAGAAAAGAGTGGAACAACTAACTTGTACTGGTCTTTTCCGTACACAAACACGAAGAACAGAATCAACAAGGTGAAGCACTTGGAGCACAACTTGGAAACGAAAAGAAAGCTTCGTGAACAATTGCAACGAGAATTGGAAATAATACGTATTGAAAGAAGTGCTGATGTGTGCCCTGAAAGGGAAAATCAATTAAGAGATCTAGAAATTTTGCGTGTTGAGATTTATCAATTAACGGAGCAAAATAAGCAACTTCAACAGTATCAACGATTGGAAAAATTGAAAGAGGGCATCGAGTTCTTGTCCGATCTGATTGAAACAATGCTTACATGGTTATCTGAACAGTCTGGTCTTCAAAAGTCAGAATTGAAAAAAGAGATGGGCATACCTTTAGATTTGGATGAGTATGCATTAAAGCCGGTTTGATATGCACGGAGCGGATTTAAAGAGAAGCTGTGTCGAGGTTTGACACAAAACATTCGAATTTCCGCCTCTGCAGTAAGAAAAGTGAATTTACTGATAAAAGTGAATCTGGCTCCCTTTTTGCTTGCAAATTTTGACTTTAAACAAGATGGTAAAGTTGTATCTCACAAGCAAATTAAAGGAGCCCAGCCAAGTTACACAAAATTTAAATACAATTCTTTATTCATCACTATGTTAGAATTTCCTCCTTTCATATAATGAAGCAAATCCAAGTATCGTCCTTAGGCTAGTCATAGTCCTGAACGCTATCCCAATCCATTATTTCTCAATATGCGTACCGAGGATATCGTGGTGTTCGCAACAAAGTCATACGATACATTTTTATCTCCACCAAAACGCAAATTGAATTATATGTACCAATTTTGTGTCAACTAAATAATGCACATGTCAAATTCAAAGAGAGAATTTTCTTACCTAGTTTGGAAGGGCTAAAGTCCCCTTACTATAATGTCCCATTTAAAGCTTTCTACAACACGATGTTGATCAAACTGCAATACTGTTAACCAATAAATGAAATCAACTGATTTTGTACTAGTCTATTGTCATACCATTTTTTTTTTAAACTCCGCTCACACAAGCACAGGAAAAAAAAAAGGAAATTGATTTGCATATTGCGTATCCGTGGTTGCAAATACATCTGCATGTGAAAGATTAAACGGCGTCTTGCTTTGGTTCATATAACTGCTACTACAGCAGGAAAAGCCAGTCACATAGAATCTCAATGATATTGTGCTGCCATTTTCGCATTTGGCTATTGATGAGTATAAACAATATATCACATGATATCCGTCAATAAAATTATCCGATATTGTTTTCCTTCTTTCTTACAGGGGTTCCATTGTTGAAAATTAACAAGTAATTGAAGCGGGGGTAGAAAAAGAAAAAGAGAATGTGAAAAAAGAAAAAAGAATAAAAAAAAAAAGTGCGGAAAATTAAAGCGACGCATACTATAGGAACGTATAAAATCACACCAGTTGACCAAATTTATTGTTATTCGATGTTACTACAATTCAAATATTTACCCCACGTTTTCCTTGTTGAAAGATATACCAATTATTTGATTTCCCCCTCAATACTTATCAAAGATACAAACATCTAACTCTTAACCAACACTACTACCAGCACACCAACTAGAACCCAACTACGTTATCATGGCTTCGTTTTTACCAGATGTTGCGGAACCAAAGCATGTAAAAATATTTGCTGCCCTCGCTGATGGAATCCTTCACGACACTTCTCCTGCCTTGATCAAAGAAGTGGTTGGTGACCATTTGACAGAAGAGGAATGCGAAGAGTATGCTGAAACCTTTAGCAGACCATCCGAGATCCCCGAGTTTGAGGAAAGAATCTTGTTTGCCGTTAATAACAACACCACAGAAGCATCACGTTTGTTCATTATCTTGATGTCAGCATTGGATTCAAGAATAATTGCACCAACTTTAACCAATTCCATGAAATTGGTCAAACATATGACTTTAAAAGAACGTGAGGAATTGATGGCATCTTGGCGTGACTCACCTATTCCAGCCAAGAGAAGATTATTCAGATTGGTACATGCTTTAACATTGAATACTATGGCGATATTGGGTGATGAATTACATTACCAAGCCATCCGCTACCCAGGTAAAGAATTGAAAGACAAGCCATACGAAGGTTTCCAAGCTGACCCATTTAGATATGATATGTTGCCCAAACCAGAATTTGAAGATGCAGAGTTGCACTTGACTGACATTGATGTCATAATCATTGGATCTGGTGCGGGCGCCGGTGTTGTTGCTCACACTTTGGCCAACGACGGTTACAAGAGTTTGGTTTTGGAGAAAGGAAAGTACTTTTCACCATCAGAATTCAACTTTACTGATAAAGAAGGTCTTGAGACCCTCTTTCAAGGTCACGGATTGCTCACTTCAACCAATAATGAGATTTTTGTCTTGGCTGGCTCCACTTTTGGTGGAGGAACTACAGTGAATTGGTCTGCATGTTTGAGGACTCCATTTAAAGTGAGAAAAGAATGGTATGATGATTACGGATTAGACTTTGCTGCCACGGACTCTTACGACAAGTGTCAAGATTACGTGTGGAAACAAATGGGTGCCTCAACCGAAGGAATTAAACACTCTTTGGCTAACGAAATAGTTATTGAAGGTGGTAAAAAATTGGGCTACGCTAGCAAAGCCATTGAACAAAACTCAGGTGGCCACCCGGGTCACTCATGTGGATTCTGTCATATTGGCTGTAAGCATGGTATCAAACAAGGCTCTTCAGTCAATTGGTTCAGAGATGCAGCCGCAAATGGCTCCAAATTCATGGATCAGGTAAGAGTGCTTCAGATTTTGCACAAAAAAGGAGTTGCTGTAGGTCTCTTGTGTCAAGATGAAGTCACTGGAAGAAAATTCAAAATCACCGGTCCTAAGAAGTTTGTGGTTGCTGGTGGTTCATTAAACACTCCGGTTGTTTTACAAAATTCTGGATTCAAAAACAAACACATTGGTAAAAACTTGACATTACACCCTGTCACCACTGTGTTTGGTGATTTTGGTCAAGACGTTGAGGCTGACCACTTTGATAACTCAATTATGACTTCGGTTTGTACTCAAGTTGACGATTTGGATGGAAAAGCTCACGGTGCCAAGATTGAAACCATATTAAACACTCCATTTATTCAAGCTGCACTTTTACCTTGGAGAGGAAGTGACGAAGCTAGGAAAGATTTGTTGCGATACAACCACATGTGCGCAATGTTGTTAATTACTCGTGATACTTCCACTGGTTCGGTTTCGGCTGATCCAAAGAGACCTGAAGCATTATACATTGACTACAACGTCAGCAAGTACGATAGAAACGCCCTTTTGCAAGCGTTCCTTGTTACCTCGGACATGTTGTATATTGAAGGTGCTCAAAGAATTTTAAGTCCTCAACCTTGGGTTCCAATCTTTGAATCAAAGATTCCAAAGGACAAGAGATCCATCACTGACAAAGATTATGTTGAATGGAGAGAAAAGGTTGCCAAGATCCCATTTGATAGTTATGGAACTCCGTATGGTTCTGCTCATCAAATGTCGAGCTGCAGAATGTCTGGTAAAGGTCCTAAATATGGTGCTTGTGACACCAAAGGTAAGCTCTTTGAGGCATCCAACATTTACATCGCAGATGCTAGTTGTATGCCAACTGCTTCCGGTGCTAATCCAATGATTTCTACAATGGCTATTGCTAGGCACGTTGCACTTGGCTTGTGTGATGATTTGAAGACAAAGGCCAGGTTCTAAACTCACCAATTACTATTTTAAATGTATTATGAATGATACATTATTTAGCAAATATTACTTTACATCGACTAGTAGAAGTTTACTCTGACCATTGAGACTGAAAGAACAAACACAAAATACACCTTATCTCCGTAAAGTGAATTTCCGAGAAAAGAAAAAGAGATGAAATTTGTGGAGTAGGATCTCGTATCACATGCGGAGTTAATAACAATGTTGAAACCATAAATATTTCCTTCCCCACTACTTTGTTGAAACTTTTATATATAAGGCAATAGCAGCTACGACTTTCATCTACATGTGGAACATTTGACAAGTTCATCCACTCGAGCAATCATGACCTCAACGGCACCGCCTCTTGCGGAACAGAGACATATCGATTTATTTGCTGCCCTTTCAGATGGAGTGATTCACGATGCTCCCGTTGCCCTAATCAAGGAAATCGTTGGTGACTCTTTAACAGTAGCAGAAATTGAAGAATATGCTACGACTTTCAACAAACCCTCGCAAATCCCTGGATTCAAGGAGAAGCTTTTATATATAATAAACAACAATACTACTGAAGCAACAGGTAAATTTATCACCTTGATGAACATTTTGGATTCGAAAATATTCGCCCCACTTTTGACAAATTCATGGACTTTAGCAAAGGACATGTCTGTGGAGCAGCGTGAGCAATTGATGGCTTCGTTGAGGGACTCTCCTGTGTTTGCCAAACGAGCATTATTCAAAACAGTACTTGCTTTGACACTCAATACATTAGTAATCTTAGGTAATGAGTTGCATTACAAAGCTATCCATTACCCTGGAAAAGAGTTGCGTGAAGAAGCATATAAAGGCTTCAAGCCTGATCCATTCAAGTATGTCATGTTGCAAAAACCCGAATTCGAAGGGGCGGAATTGTACTTGACAGATATTGATGTTGTTATAATTGGCTCTGGTGCTGGTGCTGGAGTAGTGGCGCATACTTTGGCAAATGACGGTTACAAGAGCTTAGTCTTGGAGAAGGGAAAGTACTACTCACCGTCAGAATTCAATTTCACCGACAATGAAGGATTAAAGGCACTTTATCAATCCCTGGGTACATTGGCATCCACCAATCTGCAAATTTCAATATTAGCAGGGTCCAATTTTGGAGGAGGAACGACTGTCAATTGGTCTGCCAGTTTCAAAACCCCGTTTAAAGTTAGAAAAGAGTGGTATGATGAATACGGATTAAATTTCGCAGCAACTGATTCCTACGACAAGTGTCAAGAATACGTTTTTAAACAAATGGGTGCATCTACAAAAGGAATTAAACACTCGTTTGGCAACCAAGTGATCATGAGTGGTTGTGACACATTGGGCTATTCTGCTAAAGAAATCAACCAAAACTCGGGCGGGCATCCCGCTCATCAGTGCGGATTTTGTTACTTAGGTTGTAAACATGGTATCAAACAAGGCTCGGCTGTTAACTGGTTTCGTGCGGCTGCTGCAACTGGTTCGAAGTTTATGGATCAGGTAAGAGTACTTCAAACCTTGCACAGAGACGGGGTCGCAACTAGTCTCTTATGTCAGGATCAAGCAACTGGTAGAAAGTTCAAGATCTCTGGTCCTAAAAAGTTCGTAGTCGCGGGCGGCTCATTAAATACCCCGGTTGTTTTGCAAAATTCTGGATTCAAAAACAAACACATTGGTAAAAATTTAAAGTTGCATCCTGCGATCACTGTGTTTGGCGATTTTGGCTCCGAGGTTCAAGCAGATCACCATAAAAATTCGATTATGACAGCTGTTTGCACTCAAATTGATGATTTGGATGGAAAAGCACATGGTGCTAAAATTGAAACTATATTGAACGCTCCATTTATTCAAGCTGCACTTTTGCCATGGAGAGGAAGTGATGAGATCAGAAAGGACTTATTGAAATACAATCAATTGTTTGGAATGATAGTAATAGCTCGTGATACCTCGAATGGCTCAGTGGCAGGTGATCCACAAAGACCTGAATCGTTGTACATTGATTACAGTGTCAACAAATTTGACAGAAATGTTCTTTTACAAGGACTACTTGTGACGGCAGATATTCTTTACATTGAAGGCGCTGAGAGGATTTTGAGTCCTCAGTCGTCGATTCCAGTCTTCGAGTCAAAGGTTTCAAAAGATAAACGTTCCATAACCGATAGAGACTATGTTGAATGGAGAGAAAAAGTTGCCAAAACACCGCTTGACAGTTATGGAGTCCCATATGGTTCTGCTCATCAAATGTCGAGCTGCAGAATGTCTGGTAAAGGTCCTAAATATGGTGCTTGTGACACCAAAGGTAAGCTCTTTGAGGCGTCCAACATTTACATCGCAGATGCTAGTTGTATGCCAACTGCCTCAGGAGTCAACCCCATGGTGACGACAATGAGTGTAGCAAGACATGTTGGACTTTGCTTGTGTGATGATTTGAAAGAGAAGGCTAGGTTGTAGATTATGCCACGGTACAGGCAGCTAGACGATACATTTTTAATTCTAAGTAACTTTGACAGTCAAATATTTTACAAGTAGATAAATCCTATCCTCAAAATACATAGCCTTTGCTTTTTCAGCGATAGCCCTGTTGGTTGTAAAATCCAGTCTGTTGTTGTTGCCCAAACCCGGTGAACTGAGGTTGACCAGGTTGGCCAAAACCAGTGAATTGCTGTTGAGGAGGCTGTTGAGGCTGTTGCGCAAAGCCGAATCCAGGTTGACTCAATCCCGTCTGTGATGGCTGCATCAAACCATTTTGTTGAGGAAAGTACAGCTGTGTCTGCTGCTGTACCCCTTGAGACTGTGGTGACATCGTTGTTGGTTGGTTGTACAAAGACATGATACCTTGTTTGTTGGTTTGTTGGGCAATTAATTGCGGGTTGGTCATGCCCATTAATTGTTGTTGGTGTTGTGGGTTATTTGGATCCAAGTATTCTTGACCATTTGAATCGACGTAAGACACTTGACCAGTTACTGGATCGGTATATTGGTAAATTTGGGGAGTTGCTGCTTGTATCCCTGTTGGCATTGATGACACTGTTGTTGATCCAGCTGTAGACCCAGGATTACTCCACCAATCTGAAGTAGACGACACAGCACCCGTTGATGTCGTTGACTGTGCTTGAGTGGTAGATGGACGTGGTCTACTTGGTAATCCCGGGGCTATTTCTTCTTTTCCCGGATTGATTTTAGCATCTTGTTTGTAAATATCTATAGCCAACTCAACGTCCCCATTAGCTAACAATAAACTTTCCAATGCTGCGTCTCTATCTTGGTACCCAAAGGTGCGCATTTGATTTTGTTGAGCTTGATATTGACTATATTCATATGTTGTCAATTTTCGATGTGTCAACTTGGGTAACTGTTGTATACTTCTAGTACTGTTTGACCTCAGTCTTGCCGAGCGTCGAGAGTGACTGTCATCGTTGCTATATTTGCTCATTCTGTCATCGTCAAACTCAGACGGGTCCACATCGTCATCACGAAATTTGCCCAAGATATATTTGTCTCTTATATATTGTTCAACTGCGGCAATGTCATCATCACCATCAAAGGGGAAAGGAATTCTCTTGGGGTTCCATCTTTTCTTGGCTCGAGCATTTCCCACTCTACGCAAATTGTCCACTTGTTGTTGTGACCACTTATCCAAGGTTAAAGATTTAACTTTTGATATTTTATAATGAGGAGGGCCGAGAACACGTCTGTGAACCGAAGCACATCTTCCACAAAGAAATATTCCTAAATTGTATGATGCCCATGTTGGGTACTCTGCGCCACATTCACCGCATCTGTTGTCGTTACCCCTACTGTTGACGACATCCAATAACTGCTTCTCTATATCCTTTTGATATTTCTTTGACATGTTCAATCAAGCTATGGAATGTGGGATTGGTATGCGGTGCCTCTAGTGTTCTTCTTTTTTTTTTGCAGTTCGATTTAAAGGAAAAGTGGCTTTTTGTTCGGTCAGGCTAGTTCGGTTATTTGGTGAGTTCTTTTCTTTTTTTTGCTTCTACAAATGGGAGAAAAGTTCTGGATCACATGTCACAACACAAATTCTCTATACAATTTACGTTAAATCTTCGTACAACAGCTATTAAGGCTTTCCTATATTAGCGGTAGTGATGTTGAAGTCATTTGATACATATTTCGTATCGTTAACTCATTAACAACTATAGGTATATCTTTTGTGAATTGGCTAATGTCTAAGGCGGTGACGTGCTGATTGATTTTGTCAACCTCTCCAACTGACATGCTTTTTCTAATGACATATCCCGTTGCAACTGACACGTGCATAGGGTCATTCAATAACTCAGGAAATTGCACCTGGGCATTTGATTTTTCGGCTGATGTTTTGCAACCCTCTATTAAATTATTAAAATAGCTTAACGAGTCGGGAGTTTGATTGATTTCAATTGTGCAAAACAATGAGTCTTTCAATGGACTCTTACAAATAGACATCGTACTTTGAAATGATAGACGAATTGATGGTTTTGAGTTATCGAGAAGCTTCAAAAGAGGCGACTGATTCTTGGCCAAGTCGGCCTTGTAGATCAAATTGGCTGGAGGCTTTATGCTATTCAATCTCTCGCGCATGAGGCTAGTATACTGTGACTCGTACTCTTCCTTCATGTGCAAGGTGGGGAAAATCGTTATATGATGCTTCTCCACTCGAAAAGGGTCCTTATTTGGTGCAACAAATTTGTAGTTCTGTGACAATGCAGGAATTTGTGAGACGACATAGTTCACGGCTTTTTCGAGCTGAGATAGGGCCGTAACTGAAGGAGTCCACGGCATCGATGTAAATATTGCCGACACTTTCGACGCCGAGTGCATGTTTTGGTATTGTTGCAGGAATATTTGAATAGGAGGTGGTGTCGGTAATGGTTGAGATTGCAACAGATGTAGCTCCCCTATTCTCTTCAATGTGTGTGCGCTTACAAGCCCTTCTTCTTCTTCTTCTTGGCTGTCCGAATCTGAAGTATAATTTTGGATTAGGTCCATCTCATGAACTCACAATTATTAGTTTTAAGTGGTAGCAGTAAATGATAAATTTTCCTTGAGACCCACTTCGGATCGGCAAACCGATTCTCGTGATTTCCAAGAATTTCCAAACTCAATGTGTCATTCGACGTTAGCCCTCTAAGAGTATAACCATTGTTTAAATGTTGCCTTCACCAATAAACATTCATAAGTGGGTAGAGGAGAATGAGGATAAGTTGAAGCCACCAGTTAACAACTTTTGCTTGCATAGGGGTGGTTTCACAGTGATGATTGTTGGCGGACCCAATGAAAGAAGTGATTACCATATTAATCAAACACCAGAGTATTTTTATCAATACAAAGGAACCATGTGCTTGAAAGTCGTTGATGACGGGAAGTTCAGAGACATTTTAATTCACGAAGGTGACTCATTTTTATTGCCACCCAACACCCCTCATAACCCTTGTCGTTACAAGGATACCATTGGGATAGTTGTCGAGCAAGATCGTCCAGAGAGTGTTAATGATGCAATCAGATGGTATTGTAGCAATTGTGAAGATGTTGTATATCACAAGGACTTTTATTTGACTGATTTGGGAACCCAAATCAAAGAAGCCATTGTTGCCTTTGATTCAAATATTGATGCCAAAACTTGCAAAAAATGTGGGCACATAAATTCATCAAAGAGATAGCGGGGTACCTATGGTGAGGGCTGCATGCTGCATACTTTTTTTTTATCATTTTCATCAACAAAGGTCCTGCCGCATAATCGAGGGAGAACACTTTCTCGGAAGTTCATCTAATACATTGGTTTGTTAATTTCTATGTCTATACTCTAAGTCTAAGTAGTTCTAATCGAAAGTTAGGTTAGTTTCTCCCTAACGTACAATTTTTCACCCTTGTCAAACACCCAGTCAACAACATGTTCAACTGGTTCGTCAAAAACATAAGGCAACAAGGGTACAATTCCCAATCCGATGGCTACGGGACCATAGGTTTTCAATGTCTTATTTCCTGAGTTTTTGAAAATGTATGATGAGTAACGAACAGCACTGTGAATGGTGAACGCTGGCAATCCCATCGAAGCAACACTTTGAAATATTCCTCGCTTCAAAGCACTCAATCTCCAATCGGAATCAACTAAGCTATGAGTTTGCTTGAATGTTTCAGCTGCAACCAAATCTGGTTGGGGTTGCTTATTCCAAGGCTTTAAACCTGGAATGTATCTTCCCTCACTCTTCATCTTCGTGATCCAAGACGCATACGAAACATCTCCAATAATATAGAGCCAAGACACAGCGTACCCAGTCTTGACCAAATATGGATGTGCCACTGGTCTAAATGATTCACCTATATCTGAAGTGTAGGCCACGTATCTGTGAGATGCCAACAATATGGTTCTAAATCTGTTGGCATATGCAGCGTATCTCAACCCTGATTCTTGATCAGTTACTGATTGATCATCAACTGATCCCTTGACTTTCGATACTGTGCTGTTGATATCAGATGAAGCCGCTGACATTGTTGCTAGATGGGGTGGCAAAGTTGTTTAGATGTTGGTTGTTGCGAAGAGTGTGATTTTTTTGGCCGCAACAAAACCCGAATATTTTCTTTTTTAAATCCGACTAAATCGCACTTTATCTCCAGCATCAATAAGAAGGCCTTACGTTGTTGGGATGTGTATGTAGAGGTAAAGAATGGAACAGTAGAAAGAAAATTTATGGGCTAGTATCATTGAGCTTCTGAAATCACTTGCAGATGATATTTTGCCTTCCTTTTTCCAAAGATGTGAATCTAATGCCTTTGGTTGATCGTTTTCCCTGTAGGCATGCACGTTGTAGGAGAGGAGTCGGGTCCTCCATTATTAGGCATCTCATGCGTAATTGTATCTCCATCTTTACAAGGTATGGAATCCAAAACTTGGTTTTACATTTTGCCGGAGAACGTAAGAAAAGCAACTGCGAGACAACAAAGACAAACAAAAATTAAGATTACACTGCACATCCACAGCACACCCATACTCCTCAAGGAAGATCTTCACAATGAGACTCGTGCTAGTTATAAGATTCACCAATGCCCTATCATCAACGGAACAGATTCCTGACTTGTCAATACCGATTAGCATAAACTTTGATAAGGACGACGTCAACAAGTTGATCAGCACAACATGGTTGAAATCGACAATCAGGAGTAAATTGCCACAATGCTCAACTAAGCGTTTGAAATTGATTTACAATGGAAGAGTTTTGAACGAAAAGACTGATTTAGCAAAGGAAGTTTTTAAGCCACGGTTGGCAGCTTTATCAGAAAATGACTTGATATACATTCATTGTGTTGTGAGTGAGGAGTTAACAAGGAAGCAACTTGAAGACGAAAATAAATTAGACAACAAGCCGCAAGAAGTTACAACCACTCCCAATGTAATAGGTTTTGATCGTTTATTACAGCAAGGCTTTTCCAGAGAAGATGTCAATGATTTAAGGCAGCAATTTTATCAGATTTACGGACATGATTCTGCGGGTGGTGCGAGCAGTGAAATAGCTGACTTGGAAGAAGACGAAACGAGGCAAAGGAATTTGCGGCAATTGGAGGAACGATGGATTGAGTCGACGTCGAATAACGATGCGACTGATCAAGAAGCTATAACAAGCAACACCGCCCTGGCAGGACCCGAAACAGCTGATCAAGTACCGCCTCAGACCCCATTGGATACAGACGAGACAAGAGTCAATGAGGATTTACTACTTGGATTCTGTCTCGGTGTTTTTCTTGGAGTTATATCGGTCGTATTCCTTTTGATTGACGACACAGTTTTCAACAAACGACAAAAGATGGCAATCATAGCAGGTCTAGCCATTAATTTTTCGTTGGCATTAGTAAGAGGTTTGTGGTTGTAGTGAAAAATAGAGAAAAACCATCCCTAGCTCTCGTAATACAAAATGTTTGATCTACCAGCCCTCACTAAATTCGTTTAAATACGAACTTAACGAAAGGGCGTTAAGATGATCGCTTGTGTAAAATTTTAATCTCGCCAAAAGCTTGACGCTCGCCAACTCGTAAGGATATAAAAAGAACAGACAAGCAACACGGTTAAAGCTTTGGCTGCCGCACAAAGAAGAAGAAGAAGAAGAAGAAGAAAAAGAAGAGGTTTCCTGAAGTTTTTTTTTTTTTTTTGCGATGGTGAAGAAAAATTTTATCGCCGCAAGAGCGTGTGAAACCAGAAACAGATTTGATTGCGAGAGAATAGACACAAAGTTGTCATGATGCCAAAATACCGCCTCTGTAGACACACTCTGGGATCGTTAAAAGCGTGTAATGCCCGAATATTTTTACATAAACCTCTTAGTTATTACAGCAACAGCTCAATTGAAAAGGTGCCGATGATCACGTGATATGGTGAAGTGGGGTACGAAAAGTTGTCAATTTTTAGTGTAGTTAGGAACAGAGACGGGTAGATCTTAAATCGTATCAAAGTGTTGAGGCATTTTTGAATCTACATGTCAACATTATTCCAAACTAAAATCGATTTTGCCCAAAGAGGGAGGATTATGTTAGGGAAGAGGTAGGAACTACACCCCGCTTTCTCTGTGGCAAGTATACATTAACTCATTTCAATTCAAATTTGTGTGTCCCTAGTTGGTTAGTTAACCTCTCTTTTAATTTCTCAAAAATTTATCGGCTGACTGATTCCTACACTTCACAAAAATATGAGTGTATGTAGGTGTATGTTTTTTCCATTGTCTCTCTTGTTCACCACGAAAATTCAACTTTTTTATCAACTGAAAATTGTAGATACAATTCACCCACAATTTTTTCCTTTTTTTATTCTCATTCTTCAATTGAAAAACTATTCTATACTGCTACTTTCACAACTAGTGATAAACTACTGACTTTTCCAATACTAGTTAAAGTCATTGATTCATTCAGCTGTTTTGTGAATTTGTTATAAATCTTTTCACAAACCCCAAGGAAATAGATTGTTTTACTTTGTACTACCACCACCACCAACCCACTTTTTGTTAGAGTAATCATGGCTGAACCATCACCATTACCATTCATATACCAGTTTGCAGCTGGAGCTATTGCAGGAGTTTCTGAGATTCTTGTTATGTACCCTTTAGATGTTGTCAAAACCAGACAACAATTGGACTCCACAAACGCGACTAAAGGTACCATCAACTGTTTTAAAACAATTGTTAGAGAGGAAGGCTTTTCGCGCTTGTATAAAGGTATTACTGCTCCTATTTTGATGGAAGCACCAAAGAGGGCAACAAAATTTGCTGCAAATGACGAATGGGGTAAATTTTACAAGAACTTTTTCGGTGTTTCGTCCATGACTCAACCATTAGCTATTCTTACAGGTGCTACTGCTGGTGCCACTGAGTCATTTGTTGTTGTTCCATTTGAATTGGTCAAGATTAGATTACAAGACAAAACTACCAAGTTCAATGGTATGGGCGAGGTGATTAAAGATATTATCCAAAAGAATGGTGTCTTGGGTTTGTACAAAGGTCTTGAGCTGACAATGTGGAGACACATTTGGTGGAATGCAGGTTATTTCGGATGTATCCATCAAGTCAAGTCATTGATGCCAAAACCAAAGGATAACACACAAAAGATCTTGTTTGATTTGACATCTGGTACAATTGGAGGTACTTTTGGTACAATTTTGAACACGCCATTCGATGTCGTCAAGTCTAGAATTCAAGCTGGCTCTTCGAGATACAGATGGACCTATCCTTCATTGGCCATGGTTTACAAGGAAGAAGGATTCGGTGCATTGTATAAAGGTTTTATTCCAAAAGTTTTGAGATTGGGTCCAGGTGGGGGTATATTGTTAGTTGTATTCACTGCATGTATGGACTTTTTCAGGAAATTCCACGAAAAGGCCTAGAGCTCTACATTATAGCCATGTATCTATTGTATAGGAAGCATAGGAAATCATGATACTTCCAGTTTGTAAACTGACCCTTGAGATTTTGTGACCCTATTGTAAATGTTACGTCGCAAGATGCGACATTGAACTTTCCTTTTTGGGTGACCAAAGGAGATGGTTTGATACACAAGAAACCGACTATTCGAGCTGTTGAAAGAAGTGAAGGAGTGTTCGTCTGGTTGGTTAGCATCACTACTCGTTATCACAGTACGTAATAGGCGATTTTAGGTTCTTTTGTATGCAAATGTCACTAAGACTAAACAGGAGAAATAAGAAAAACAAAAAGTAGGAAATATCTATGCAACACTAACGTCCAAACGTGATACTCCTTTACTGTGATTACGCCTTCGATAATTATTTCATTTCGTTTGAAGCGATTTAGGACTACTCAATTTTCAACCGACTCAAAAAGAGTTACTACATGCTACTCAGTCGACGCCTATAAACCGAAATATGTACGCCAAACTCAATTCAAGTGACCGTATAGAACAATACGAAATGGTGGATCAAAGTCATCGACAATCTACATTGGACGGCGCTGTTGGAGATGCATCCCAAGAGGGATCACCCTCCAAGTCGTCGACTGATTCTCGATCATCAGAATTTTTGGAAGATATTGAAAGTTGTGCATTAAGGACAGGTGAAACAAAAGACGATTTCAATAATGATCCATTTTATCAATCCATTTTACGAAGGTATCGAAAACAAGGTTTTCCTTTAAAGTATTGCCTGATTTTTGGAGTAGTTTGTTTGCTTTTATGGATAGTTGGAATTGTGGCGTATTCTCAACAAAGTCCTTCGCAGCTAATATCAAATACCAAATGGCAGACGAACGTCCATTTGGGAGACAGAAACATTACTTTGGCAAAGTATGATCCACATCTCAAAAATATAACATTTGACGGATGGAGAAATGGAGATTATTTAACTTATGAGGAAGAAGTTCACTGGTTGAATGCAAAACAGTTGCCAAAGAATAAACATAGAGGACTTTATTTGACATCGACTCTGCATTCGTTTTTAATTAGGCAGGCTAATGGCGACTACGAAGCAGTATTTCTACCGACAAAGAAATTTGCCTATCAGAACAATTTCTTCAATATAGAGGAGATTACTTTGAACCCCACTACTCCTATTGATCAACTCAATAATTTTCATCTTATCAAAACTGATACTTTAAAACAATGGAGACATCTGTCGTTTGCTTTGTATTGGATTTACAATCCTCAACTTTCAACATACATACCAATCCAACCTCCTCGTGAAAGCGATACCCAAGATAGCAACTCGAAATTGCTGGCTACTGCTTTAGAGAAGTTGCATTTTGTTGAATTTGCTCCGGATGGTAAATCCGTTGTATTCGCATTTGAGCACAACTTGTACATCCAAAACTTATCAAATAACAAAGTACAGCAAATCACCACGGATGGATCACGCTATATATTCAATGGTAAACCCGATTGGATTTATGAGGAGGAAGTGGTTGCAACGGATCGCATGATTTGGTGGTCGCCCAACTCAAAGCATCTCGTTTTCACAAAAATCAATGACACTGAAGTGAAGAATGTCAATATCGATTACTACGTCAAGCAAAACACTGAGGTGGGAATGCAATACGACCAATCGAATGAGAAAAGATATCAATTAGTGGACCAGTATCCAGTCGAAAGTTCACTTTTATATCCCAAGCCTGGAACTCGAAATCCTACAGTATCGCTTCATGTGTACCATGTTGACGAGCAAAAACTTGAAACTATTCTGGACAAAGACGAGGGTTTAGGTAGAGATTTTGTGGTGTACCAAGCTAGCTGGATTGACAATGAAAACTTTTTAGTGAAGGAAACTGACAGAACAAGCAAAATTTTATCCAAAAAATTGTACACTCCAGCCTCGTCAAATTTGCTGTTATTAGGTTCGGTGAATGTGACTGATTTGTACGGAGGCTGGGTTGGAAAAATGAAGCCTATTACAAGCTTAAATGGTCCCTACGTGGATAATTACGTTGTGGATGGGAAAAACTATCTAGCAATATTTGACAAGGCGAGTGATATTCAACCACTGAGGGTATTGAAGGAATATCAGGCAATTAATGAAGGGATCTACGATGAAGTCGAGAATTATCTCTACTTTCTCACTAATAAAAGAAGTGCTATGGACTCTCACTTAATTGGTTACGATCTAGCAAAAGATACGTATATTGAAATCACAAGCTTGGATGTCGATGGATATTACGTTGCCTCATTCTCGCAAAATGGAAGATTTTTAAATCTTCAGTATGAAGGACCAGATCAACCGTGGCAAAGACTAATCGATATGGCCGGATTACATGATTCATTATACGATGTAACAACTTTGAAAAAGGCAATTCTCCAATATCCAATGGTCAACCATTTCGAAGTTTCCCAAAAACAGTTTCAAAAATTCAACTTCCCTACGGTGATTCACCGGCAAATCAAAATTCTCAAGTACAATATAGCGCTTAGCGTGAAGGAGATTTTACCTCCAAACTTCGATCCAAAGAAAAAGCATCCCCTTTTGGTCCATGCATACGGTGGTCCAGGCTCACAGAATGTGTTGAAAAAATTCGACATTGATTTTTTAAAGATAGCTAGTGCAGCTTTGAATGCAGTAGTGCTAGTGATTGATCCACGTGGAACAGGAGGAAATGACTGGCAGTTTCAAGCCTTTGCTAGTAATAAAATTGGTTATTGGGAGCCTAGAGATGTCAAGTTAATTACCTCTGAGTATATGCTGGCAAATGATTTTATCAACAAGAATCGGGTTGGTTTGTGGGGATGGTCTTATGGTGGATTTACTACTTTGAAAACTTTGGAATACGACAATGGACGAGTATTTAAATATGGAGTGGTCATTGCTCCTGTGACAAATTGGTTATTCTATAACTCCATATACACAGAGAGATATATGAATCAACCAAGTGAGAATCCGAATTATAAAAAGTATGCAAGAGTTCAAGATGTGGAGAATTTCAAAAATATTCACCGATTTCTCATTATGCATGGATCTGCTGATGACAATGTGCATTTACAAAATACCATGTGGTTGATGGATAAGCTCAATTCTGCAAGTGTCAAGAATTATGATTTGCAGATTTTCCCTGATAGTGATCACAATATTGATTACAATAATGCAAACACCCTCGTTTATGGTAAGCTACTACTGTGGTTACAAAATGCATTTAACGGGAGATTTGACGATATGGTGTAGGTATAAACACGATATCTTATCATTCTGTTTATCATGCACTTTTGTAATAATGTATCAAATTCCCCCTCTCATTTTTTTTTACTTTTTGCAACACATAATAATGCACACCAAAAGGTTGACACGTATGTGTAGACAGTTTCACTTGTATTCAGAGTATATACTTACAATTGTAGAGGAAAAGAGGACTGTTACGAGTCCTATTCAAGCATATGAAACTAATTTAGATAAGCAGTTGCGTGTTTACAAGTTGAAGAAGGATACTTTAATGAAGGCAACCAAGTATGTTAAAGATGGTGACAAAATTCAAAAATTGATTGAGTACTGGCGTACAGTAGCACAGCTTGCATCCAATTACGTTTTCAATGAGAGATCAATTGCAATTCAAAAAATGGGTGGATTTCAAGAATGGCAAAGACAGCAATGGGAAAAGAAAAAGCAAAAAGAGTTGGAAGAAAAAGAAGCTCTATGGGAAAGGATTTCAGAGGAATTGCAGGCAATCTCCAATGAGAGCAAGTCAGCAGTGATGGAGCAACTTGCTGAACTCGGTTTTGTCGTATCTGATGATGGTGAAATTGTAGATAATTTACACAAAGAAAGTGAAACGGAACCAGAGTTTTCCATGGAGTTTACCATGAAAGATTTGTACAGGATCTTAAAGCTAGATTATGATCTAGTGTATGAGTAAAGAATAGGTGTCAACTTTTGATGTCTTTAGTTGCCTAATTGGATAGGGAAATGAAATGCAGTTTGATATTGTGACTCTCTCTCTCTCTATTTGTGTTATGTGATACATTTCTTTTTTCTGTCTTAAATTTTTACTATCTTCTTTTGAGATGAAAGTTTGCTTTCGTGAGTTAAGAGCCACTCTCGCAGTATGTACGCGGCTCGAGATTCACTGGTGTACCACATGACAGTCGATACAGCAACAATTATCGAAGATATAGATGAGGAGTACCTCATGAAATTGGTTTTAAGGTTTTGCCACGGGCTTGACACGTCCTACATCAAACTCGATGATATTGTGACTTCGATACTAGCTGGCCTACCTGATAAAATTACGATTCATGAAATTTACAACTTTGCTTCTGAGGTAATAGCGAGTAGGGTGATACATCACCCTGATTATGCTATACTTGCTGGACGAATGGTTTCACACCTTTTACAGTTGCAAGTACCATACAGATTCAGTGAAAACATACAACGATTGAAGGATACCACAAACTCGCGAGGAGAGCCATATTCCCAAATGTCGGACAATTTTTATGAGATTGTTATGAAACACAGAGAAGAGTTTGACGGAATTATAAAGAAAACGGAAAAGATTGAGTTGGCTTATTTTGGAATCAAGACTTTGGAAAACTCATATCTTTGGAGAACTGGCAACAAAATAGCTGAAACTCCAGAATACATGTTTCTCAGAGTGGCTATAGAAATTCACCAAGATGACATACAAGCGGTTGAGGAAACATACGTACTAATGTCCCAAAAATACTTCATCCATGCACTGCCAACACTATATAATGCCGGATGCGCGTACAACTACCTTTCATCCTGCTTTTTGTTAGCAATGAAGGATGATTCAATTGATGGGATCTATCAAACGCTTCATGAAGCGGCGTTAATTTCTAAAGCTTCTGGCGGTATTGGAATTCATATTCACAATATTAGGGCCCAAGGCTCGCATATAGCCAGCACCAATGGAAGAGCAGGTGGAGTAGTTCCCATGTTACGAGTATTCAACAACACTGCCCGATATGTTGACCAAGGTGGAGGCAAAAGACCAGGAGCTTTCGCTATCTACTTGGAGCCTTGGCATGCCGATGTGTTTGAGATTTTAAACATGAGAAAGAATCATGGGAACGAAGAGTTTCGTACGAGGGATTTGTTTTATGGGTTGTGGATTCCTGATTTGTTTATGCAAAGAGTAAAGTCCGGCGGTGATTGGTCTTTGTTTTCTCCCGATGTAGCGCCGGGGTTGAGTGATGTATATGGAAGTGAATTTATTGAGTTGTATGAGAAATACGAAGCACAAGGATTGGCGTCTGCCACAATAAAGGCTCAGAAACTTTGGCTTGCGATTTTGGAGTCACAAACTGAAACGGGTGGACCCTACATGTTGTACAAAGATGCATGCAATCAGAAAACCAATCAGTCGAATCTAGGCACAATTAAATCGTCAAACTTGTGCTGTGAAATTGTTGAATATTCTTCTCCAAGTGAAACCGCTGTTTGCAATTTGGCATCATTGGGTCTCCCTTCTTTTCTTCAATCCACAGAAGATAGCATTGAGTTTGATTTCGACAAATTGCACTCTGTGACTAAAGTCGTCACAAGGAATTTGAACAAGGTGATTGATGTTACACGCTACCCGGTAAACTCAGCGGAAAGATCAAACAAAAAGAATCGACCAATAGCTATAGGCGTACAAGGTCTAGCTGATTTATTTCTCGAATTGAGGTTACCATTTGACTCTCTAGAGGCTAAAAAACTCAATTCGCAAATCTTTGAAACCATCTATCATGCTGCTGTAGAGGCCTCACTTGAATTATCTATACTTGAGGGTCCTTACTCAACCTTTGCTGGATCTCCAGCTTCGCAAGACATTTTGCAATTTGATATGTGGAATCAAAAACCAGAATTCTATGATGACTGGGATCAGTTAAAAGATAATGTGAGGAGTCATGGGTTGAGAAACTCACTTTTAGTAGCTCCCATGCCTACTGCTTCAACATCTCAAATCTTAGGGTTCAATGAGTGTTTCGAACCATACACCTCCAACTTGTATACTCGTCGAGTGATATCAGGCGAATTTCAAGTGGTGAACAAGTATCTCATAAGGGATTTGGTGGATTTGGGAATTTGGAATTCAGCATTAAGGAGCAAAATCATTCAAGATGGTGGATCAATCCAAAATATACCAGTGATACCTGGGGATATTAGAAAACTTTACCGAACAGTTTGGGAGTTGAAACAAAAGGATATCATAGATATGGCTGCAGATAGAGGAAAGTTCATCGACCAACTGCAAAGCATGAATATTTATATGCTGAATCCAACCATAGGTAAACTCACCAGCTGTCATTTTCATGCCTGGGAAAAAGGTTTGAAAACGGGCATGTATTACTTACGAACACAAGCTGCTGCGAGAGCCATCCAATTCACTGTTGATAAGGAAGAAGTGGCCTCAGCCGAGCATCAACAAGTTCAAAAGAGTTTGAAGAGAAAGAAGTATATTGAAGGTAGTCAAAGGAGGAGCAGCAGGAAAGTGTCTGCTTATGCAACTCCGAATTCGGAGGTTTATGATATTCATGACACCACGCCAGTGGCTTGCGATATAAGATATGCTAACAACTGTGAATCCTGTTCTGGTTAAATTCTTTTTCTAGAATGTAGATAGCTGTATATAGAATAAAAGGTGCACCAATGCCTTACCCCCTTAATTTTCGATTGGCAAAGTCTGCAACTTGCGCCATACCATCCTTTGTAACAAAGAATTTTCGCTTAGCCTTATCTCCCCATACCAACACTCCTAATTCTGTAGCATAATTCGATAGCATATCGTATTCCTGTTGATTAGCAAAATCCTTAAACAAGTATCCTTCAACTGTTTGTATCCTATCAAGTTCCAATTGCCAAAGTTTAATTTGATCAACAACGTTTGGTGGGATCACCTCCAATTTATGTTGTGATATTGTTCCATCAGTTTTGCTTTGTGGGGCACCACCAGCTGTATTAATATTATGACTGGCATCAAACTCCACCTTTTTGTCCAACTTCTCCTTCGCCAACGCTTTCATTTGCGGATGAGCATGTGTTTCCAAGAATTTGATGATTTGATCTGAGGTTATTCCATTATAAAGAGCATTTCTAATAGATTCTCGGGTAATTTGACCACATACCATATTAGAAAATCTTGTTTTCATTTGAACAAACAAGTTGAGAATTGCAATTTCCAAGGGGGAATTGGTGTATGCGTAAATTTTGAAATTTGTTTCAATAATGATAGATTCGCGGCTCGTGGATGTCATCATTTGACCCTCACTTTCTTCCAATGCTTGCTCAACAGCCATAGACGGAGTTTTCAACGCCGATGAGTCTGACGTAAGCGTTGTTGCCAATCTGGTGGGGTAAAATCTACTTGAAGTCTTTGATTTTTGATATATTAGTCCAAGATCCTTTAAATCAGCAAGCATACTCACCTGCGTCTCACTCAAACTTAATACTGAGTAACTTTTTCCCAATTCCAAACAACCAAGAATGAAAATAAAGTTCAACACATCCACGGGATTCATATTCAGTTCCGAAGTTAAATTTAGGTATTGTAGAAGCAAAGTCCATATTTGTGCATTTACATCCTGTAAGAGAAACTGAAATCCAGTATTTGTTATAGTCAATTCTGATTCTCCCTCCATGAGACCACCCAATTTTAACAAGCTCAAGACCGATCGTGATGGTGTTGGTGTCCCCTCTGTCCCTACCATAAAATGTAAAATATTTTCCCACTCATGCGACGCAAACTTGTCTAAAAAAGATGTTTCAATTTTATCGGCATCGTCATCGGTACTAATACTTCCAAAAGCGTTTGGATCCTGGGAGCCCGTGAGGCAGTCTCGAAAGTTGGAACGAAAAATTGTATTCAATCGAACATTGGTTCCTTTACTATCGTACTCAATCAAGTGTAACAGCTCCAAACGCTTTAATGCATCAAACTCCATCCTCTTAGCCAGTGGCTTACACCACTTGGTCAAATCCCTCATGGGCATGGGCTTCTCATTGAAAATCATTGTCATTATATAAAACTGTGCTATGGGAGATAGGAGTCGATAAATTGATAGACACGTTGCAGGTGCCTCGTACAACTTCAGCTGTACTGGCTTGGGAAGGTCCTCTAGATACTCATTGACTGTGCTTTTGAACAAGTTCGACGACATTTGATGGTGATGCTGATGCTGATGCTGATGCTGATGGGTGCATTAAAACTAATTGAAAGTTTGGAATGAGTGGTAGCGTGTATTCTCTTTATACGATGTTGGGATGAGATCAGAAAAGAAAAATTATTCTTCCTTCTTTCCAGCTAACTATAACCCATAAAACATGGCAAGAAAGTCAAAGAGTGTTACAGATGATGCATTCAACGAACTCTTCAAACCCGAATACAAAGGTAAACGCTTAACTGACGAAATTAATACCGCTGAGGATAAGTGGAATTTGTTGCCTGCATTTTTAAAAATCAAGGGTTTGGTCAAACAACATCTAGATTCTTTCAACTACTTTGTTGATGTTGACTTGAAAAAGATCTTGAAAGCAAATTCACTAGTGTTGTCTGATGTGGATCCTGATTTCTATGTAAAGTACATTGACATAAGAGTCGGCCACAAGTCTACGTCACCACCAGGTACCAAGGAAGTGATATTACCACCTCACGAATGTAGGCTACGAGATTTGACCTATAGTGCTCCAATCTATGTCGACGTTGAATATACAAGAGGGAGAAAAATCATAAGGCATTACGACTTGGAAATTGGGAGAATGCCGATAATGTTGAGATCAAATAAATGTATGTTGGATGGAATGGATGACAAAATGATGGCCCAAGTTGATGAATGTCCTCTCGACCCAGGGGGATATTTTATAGTCAATGGTACCGAAAAGGTTATCTTGGTGCAGGAACAATTATCAAAGAATAGAATCATTGTTGAAGCCGATGAGAAGAAGGGTATAGTTCAAGCTTCCGTAACGTCTTCCACTCATGAGCGTAAATCAAAAACATATGTGATAACCAAGAACGACAAAATCTACCTCAAACACAACTCCATCAGTGAAGATATTCCTATTGTGATTGTTTTAAAGGCAGCGGGGGTCACCTCGGATTTGGAAATTTTACAACTTGTTTGCGGGTCCAACTCCAACTACCAAGATTTATTTGTGGTCAATTTTGAGGAAGCTGCGAAACTAGAGGTGTTTACTCAGCAACAAGCCCTACTTTATTTGGGAAAGAGGGTAAAGACCATTAGGAGAGCTGGTGCACCCAAATTATCCCAACTACAAGAAGGTATAGAGGCCATTGCAACTACCATAATTGCGCATTTGACAGTTGTTGACTTGCAATTTAGGGAAAAGGCTTTGTATATGGCAGTTATGGCGAGACGTGTTATTATGGCCATGCACAATCCCAAAATGGTAGATGATCGTGATTATGTTGGTAACAAAAGGTTGGAACTTGCTGGACAGCTAATGTCCTTACTTTTCGAGGATTTGTTCAAAAAATTCAACTCGGACTTTAAAGCAAATATTGACAAAATTTTAAAGAAACCTAGCCGTACGTCTGAGTTTGATGCCCTCTTGTCAATAAACATTCACTCCAACAACATTACCATGGGTCTCAATAGAGCAATTTCCACGGGTAATTGGTCTTTGAAACGTTTCAAGATGGAAAGAGCAGGTGTCACTCATGTTTTATCCAGATTGTCATACATATCAGCTTTGGGGATGATGACTCGTATTTCATCACAGTTTGAAAAGTCGAGAAAAGTATCGGGTCCTCGTGCATTGCAGCCATCTCAGTTTGGAATGCTTTGTACAGCTGATACGCCTGAAGGTGAGGCTTGTGGTTTGGTCAAAAATTTAGCATTGATGACTCATATCACCACCGACGATGAAGAAAATCCCATCAAGAAGTTGTGTACAGCTCTTGGTTGTGAATCAATTTTGGGATTAGACTCAGCTACATTGCACGTTGAGGGAAACTTTGGGATTTATCTCAATGGTACTTTGCTAGGCACTACTAGGTTTCCAGTGAAGTTTGTAACTGATTTCCGCCGATTAAGAAGGGCTGGAAAAGTTTCTGCCTTTGTGAGTATTTATACTAATTCACACCAACAAGCTGTTCATATTGCTACGGATGGTGGAAGAATTTGTCGGCCTTTGATTATTGTGGAGAACAACAAATCTAAAGTAGAAGCAAAGCATTTGACTAAATTGTTGAATGGTGAGTGGGAATTCGATGACTTTTTGAAAGAGGGATTGGTTGAGTATCTTGATGTGAATGAGGAAAACGACTCATTGATTGCGTTGTATGAAAAGGACATTGGTGAAAATCCTAATGCCACAGTGACCCACTTGGAGATTGAGCCATTCACTGTGCTTGGGGCTGTCGCCGGTTTGATTCCTTATCCACACCACAACCAATCGCCAAGAAATACTTATCAATGTGCGATGGGTAAACAAGCTATAGGTGCTATTGCTTACAACCAGTTTAGGAGGATTGATACTTTGCTTTACTTTATGGTTTATCCACAACAACCAATGGTTAAAACCAAAACCATTGAACTTATCAACTACGATAAACTACCAGCCGGTCAAAATGCTACTGTTGCGGTTATGTCCTACTCAGGCTACGATATTGAAGATGCTTTGGTGCTTAACAAGTCCTCTTTGGACAGAGGATTTGGAAGATGTCAAGTTGTTAGAAAAAACACCGTGCAATTGAAAAAATACCCAAACCATACTAAAGATATCTTGTCCGGTATGAGGGTGGATGAAAATGATGAGCCCATTTTCCCACATCGGGCCTTGGGCCCAGACGGTCTAGGTGAGGTTGGTAGTAGAATCGAAAATGGGCAAGTGTATGCCAACAAATGTGTTCCCACAAACTCTGGTGACTCGAGCTTGGGGCAACCTCAGCAAGTGGAAAATCATCGAGAAGCTCCATTATTCTACAAAGGGCCAGAGCCTTCCTATGTTGATCAGGTCATGATGTCGGTTAGCGACAATGACCAAGCATTGATCAAGGTATTACTTCGACAAACTAGAAGACCAGAGTTGGGAGATAAATTCTCATCAAGACATGGGCAGAAAGGTGTTTGCGGAATTATTGTGCAACAAGAGGATTTACCATTCAATGATGACGGAATATCCCCGGATATCATTATGAACCCACATGGTTTCCCATCTCGTATGACTGTTGGTAAGATGATTGAATTGATATCAGGAAAGGCTGGTGTATTGAATGGATCATTAGAGTACGGTACATGTTTTGGTGGATCAAAATTGGAGGAGATGTCGAAAATCCTTGTTGAAAAGGGGTTTTCATATTCTGGTAAGGATATGTTGTACTCGGGGATCACAGGAGAGTGTTTACAAGCATACATATTCTTTGGTCCCATTTATTACCAAAAATTGAAGCACATGGTGTTGGACAAGATGCATGCCAGAGCAAGGGGCCCAAGGGCCGTGTTGACAAGACAGCCAACTGAAGGTAGATCCAGAGATGGTGGTTTAAGATTGGGAGAAATGGAGAGAGATTGTGTTATCGCTTATGGTGCTTCCCAGCTTCTTCTAGAAAGATTGATGATATCTTCAGATGCTTTTGAGGTTGATGTTTGTAACAAATGTGGGTTGATGGGTTACAACTCGTGGTGTACGACATGCAAAAGCGCCGAAAACATTATAAAAATGACAATTCCTTATGCAGCTAAATTATTGTTCCAAGAATTACTTTCGATGAATATTGCACCGCGGTTGAGATTAGGGGATGTTTTTTAGATATATGTGTATAAAGGTCATAAAAAGTTTTGCATGTTTTATTATCGTTTGTCATTGTAGAGCATGGGGGATCCGGGGAAAGCTCTTTATTTTTTGACGTGAGATAACATGATTGCCACAAAATCAGTAAGGAATAAAAAATACAAAATAAAATGGGAACTAAATCACTGTGTAACTCTATATCTGCCCGCTACCGTTAAACAACCATTCTGTCACCCCATAGTTGGCTGTACATATGGTGCGTTTCCATATTCCACCACGTACTGTGGCCATTTCATTGTTGTTAATCTTATTCGTGTTTTGGATTGACTGTGGGTATGGGAACCAACTCGATTTCAAATCCACCTTGTTTTTAACACGAAATTCCATACTAGAATTTAAACAAAGATTGAGCTCAACTAGGATGTTCACCACTATTATGGGTCCCTCTACGAATCCCACTCAATTTGAAGGAGGTGAACCGGGATATCCTTTCGATAGCGTTTTCAATTCTTTGTTTCCTATTGATGCGATGTTTGAGTTCAATACCACAAAGGACGGTAACCTCACCACTCACAAATTTATTGGCAGATATGCATCGTTTAGTGCAATATTGAGTGGGAAACTAAGCAATCAGTACAAGATATTATCAGAGAATGCATGTTCCAATGTGACGGTAAATAAGAATGATCAAAATAAGATTCTTGTTGTTTCTAGGGGAGAATGTAACTTTGTTAGTAAAGTCTTGAACATAGTTGACTCAAATGCAAAGCCAAAAGCCATTCTTATTGCAAATAATGAGCCCTACAGGGGGTTGGTAACGATGTACTCAAACACTTTTAATCAAGACGGTTCTTTGAGGATTCCAATTGTGTTTATCACGTTCGAAGATGGCAAGCTCCTCCAATCATTGGAGGCGGGTGACATAGTTTTGCAAATGAGCACGGCACCAATTGGCGATTGGATGAACGTATTGTTGTCTATTGTTTTGTCGCCTCCATTGTTGATCATCCTCATCTATTGCATGATCTTGTGTGGGCAAAGAGTGAGAAGAAAGCAGATGAACAAGCGCAACACACAATTAGTGAACAACTTGCCGGTCTACGTATACAGCGATGAGCAATTGATACTAGAATCTGATTTTGAGAAGTGTGTCCGTCTGATGGATGAGGGTGTGCTCGTCAATTCTACTTCGTTTGCCAAATGTGCTATGCATCAAAAATTCAGAGTTTTGAACTCCCCGGATGATTACTTTAGAGCATTCAAATGCTCCATATGTTTGGAAAAATACGAACCTTTGATGTCCAGAGTTTTGGTTTTGGAGTGTAAACACATGTATCATCAAAAATGCCTTTCCAGATGGTTGATTAATTTCAAAAGAACTTGTCCGTTGTGTAATAGCACAATTTTCACAGACAATCTTCTTACCGGTCATGAGGTATCCTATGGTAGTACGGACATTGAAAGTGGTGTTACCGAAGGAAGTAGCAGAGAGGTAGAAGATGTGCAACGTCCGTTCAATTACAGGAGTATGAGTAGTCAAGGACTGTTCCAAAGACCTTTTTTAATATCAAGACCGCTGGCGATCTTGAACTGTTACAACTCTAACCACAATGGGCCACAACTCAGTACCAGTATTGATTCAGTATGAAACAAATGACAAAGTATATGTTTATGGTAAAAAGGTGAAAACGATGTAGTTCAGGTATGGTCGTGCTTCATTCTTGTAGTTTTGAGGTCCATACTTTTCACTTCTACCGATTGAGTGCTTCTGTACCATACTTATGAGCGGTTCTTTCTATTTATCACGATCCTTAATATTGATGTCTAAAATGAACCTAGATTTAATGACTCCATTTTTCGTAAAGCATTTATTTTTTGTATTTTTTTTTTGGTTTTGTTTCTTGACCTTTCAAAACACTTCTCCTTGTAAGCAACACAAGCATCGCCATATGGAGGTTACAAACGATAATATAGAGGTGAAAACGGAACCTGAAAAGCAGGAACGAAGAAAGAGGAAGAAAAAGTTGGAAATAGCATGTGTTTATTGCCGGCGTTCACATATGATATGTGATGAATCGAGACCTTGCCAACGATGTATCAAGAGAGGAATCGGACACTTGTGTTATGACGAACCATCCAACTCCAGACAGCGGAGGAAAGCTGCCGCTTTGAGGAATACGGAAACACCAAAAGAGCAATCCCCAGCTCCAGCTCCAACAGCCCAAGACTCAACTCCATTGCCTCCTCCAATACAAGTCAATCCCGGTCAGCAGAAGACATTGAAAAATTCAGTCTTGTCACAAACATTGGCATACAATCAGGAACCATTATTCTACTCGGAGCATGCAGGTAGTGAGTTTAGCTCTTTGAATGATTTTCTTTCCATCATTGATGATCCGGAGTTGGTTAACGGTGCACTCAATGATGACCCTAATCATGCCTTCTGGGGCAACACCATGGCGTTCTCCCCAAATAATTTATTCAACCAAACATTTCCTGAAGAAATTGTCCAACAACCTGTTGCTGAAGAGAATGCCCCCAAATCTCCAAGGGAAACGCAGGCGCCGCTGCTGCTGGAAACACAAGCCAAAGATGCTCAGCCAGTGATATCTGACTCTGCAAGAGATAAATTTTTTCTTACGGCAGCCGATCCAACAACTGAAATATCTCCTGAGGAAAGATTGAAACAGGTGATTAAAGCAAAGTTAGAAGCTGGCTTGTTGCAGCCTTATAATTATGCCAAGGGGTATGCACGGTTACAAAGATACATGGACAACTACATGAATATCTCTAGTCGGCAAAGAATTTTGAAACCGTTATCAATTTTTCGACCGGCATTTCGTGCCATAGCGAGAACATTAAAGGATGTTGACTTGGTTTTGGTTGAGGAAAGCTTTGAAAGGATGTTGCTTGATTACGATCGTGTGTTTACCTCTATGGCGATACCCGCTTGTTTGTGGAGGAGAACTGGTGAGATTTATCGTGGTAATAAAGAATTTGCCTCCTTGGTGGGGGTCACCACGGATGACTTGAAAGATGGTAAGTTGGCCATATATGAATTGATGAGCGAAGAGAGTGCTGTAAATTTTTGGGAAAAATACGGAGCTATTGCTTTCGATAAGGGACAAAAGGCAGTTTTAACTAGTTGCAATTTGAGAACAAAAGATGGTATAAAAAGAAAAAGTTGTTGTTTTAGTTTCACAATAAGGAGAGATAGGTATAACATCCCAAGTTGTATCGTGGGGAATTTCATACCAATAGATCCCTAAATGAGACAGCTTTGTTATTATTTATGTAACTGTTATCTGATCCATATCTTTGGTGACTGTAGTCTTCCCTCTTTGACTAGCCATCTGACCTTTGATTGATCTCGGCTAATCCAGCATATCCTCATCGTTCAACTCCTCCTCTTCGTCTTCTATATACTCTCCCTCGTCTTCTTCTTCCTCTTGTTTTTTCTTCTGCTCCTTTGCCCTTTCTTCCTCCTCTTGGGCCTCTTTAAACAACCTAAGTCTTTCTTCCTTTTGTTGTCTTTGAACAACAATGTACTGTCCAAGAGGAGTTTTCTCCCAACTCAAGTCATTGAGGAAATCCTTTACTTCACGCTTGTCACTTGGACCAAATTCAACATTGGACCTCTTGCGTGAAATTAACTGAGCATTTGCATTAAGCTTCTCGATCAACTGATTCAATTGTTTGTTGAACTTGACATTTTTTGATTTTTTAGTAAATCTCTTCAATCCAAGAACAGCCGGAGTGATTAATTCAGGGAAAGCAATACTTTTAGCATACAATCCAAAAAATTCTGAATTCAATTCGATAAATTGCTCACACAAGCCATCCTGGTACACTTTGGTTCCCAAGTAAGCTTGATTTACTTTGATATTGTGTTCGAAATCGACAATTTGCAATGCGGAAGGTTTTGGTGATTTAGTGATGGCTGTGGATGACAAGATTTCATACAATAATGGAAACAACGGTATGTACACGCCAGTTTTGGATAATCTTAAAAGCGACCTTATCAAGTAGAATCGTAAGGGGAAGAATTGAGCAGTTGGGTTCAACCTGATCGCACCTAATGTTACCTGTACCAATGGGTAAATCAATTGTCTCAACGTTGAGTCTTCCTTGCAAAGCGACAAAACTCTTGACCAGAAATCAAGTGAGTGACAATACTGCCAGTTGTATATGGTCACAAACCCACCTTTCCCATTTACACTATTCCTCAAATGTATTGCTAGTTGTCTGACATACTCAAACCCAATCTGGTACCCAATGGTCTCATCGACACTGAACAACTCAGCCAAAGAATTTTTGCAAAAATTTATTCTTGAAATAGTGTGTGAGTTGGTTTTTCTACAATGTTGCAAAAAAGATGAGTAGGAAATCTTCAACACTGTTTCCAAAATTGATTTTGGGTACTCTCTTACAATATTGTTGATGAAGGCAAACGAAGCGATTTGGGTATCAGTTTCATTAGAGCTGGCCCATACATTTGCAACAGCAGTTATGATTTGCTTCAACAAACGACGATGCGACAAATAATAAGGCATAACTTCATAGAGTGAAGCTAAAATAATAGCTGCAGTCTCGGTATTGGTGATATCCTTGAGCAAAGTGATATACGAACTGGCGTGTGTTTTCAAAATTGAACCAATTTGACTAGCTTGAGCGTTTTGTGGAATAGTTCTAACTCCTTGCTTAGTCTTGTATTTTACAATCTTTTGCACGGCCATTGGAACTTTCTTTAAAACCATCAACATCAATTCAGTGAATGCTTTGGGGTCAACTACAGAGTATTTGTAGTCTTCTCCGTTGTTTATATTCACAGCAGCTTTAAAAGCAATAATGATGTTTCTAATGATTTTTGGTGTGGGTTTTTCCAACTGCTTGCTCCATTTGTCCACAAGTTGAGTAGTAATCTCCACCTTATTCGTTGGATCCTTTGTGGACGTAAGTGACTTGTTGCTTTTACTCTTGGTTTCATCCTCTTCATCTTCGTCTTGCTCCTCGTCTTCATCATCACCATCATCATCATCATCGCTCATGGCCTCCAATGGGTTAACTCCTTCAAAATCTAATAATTGATTATCATTTTCTTTCAAGTATTTGTAAAATTCAGGATCTTGTTCCTCCAAATTTTCAAGATTCTTTTTCATATTCTCCTCATCTTCTGAAGACTCATCTGACAGTGAGGCTTCATCATCCGATTCTTCCAACTTCTTCTTACTCTTTTCCATTCCTTCTGGCATTTCGAAACCTCCAGCAAAGAATTCATCAACCGACATGTCCCCTAAACTGGAGCCATTCTTTGATGGTTCTTCATATGGTTCCTCATTCCCTTTCGCTTTCCCCTTCCCCTTCCTCATAGATGCTTTCTTTTTGAAATCTTGAGCCTTCTTACGATGCTGTATCGTATGCTTCAAGTGCTTGTTTTGAAACTTTTTGGTCTGCTTAGATGTCTTCCCCATTATGACTTAATGTGGATTCCCTTTAGGCGATGTGGTTTTGGAGTTTTTCAATTTTTTTTTTTTAGTTGCAAGATGAGATGATGGAGCGCTACCCAGTTTCATCCAAGATCTGGTTAAAAAAATTGACTAAGGTATGTGAGTGGTGTAATTCGGACTCACTGTTAACGCGTTGTGAATATCCTCCCCCCTGCCCATATAATGATTTGAGACTAGACTTGTACTTTATATCTTGGTAAGGGCGAATTATAAAATAGATAAAAAAAAAGAAAGTTCCTACCCGGATTCGAACCAGGGACAAACAGATTTGCAATCTGGCATTCTAAACCACTGAATTATAGGAACTCAATTGAGCTACTGGCTCGATTTGTTGAAAAGTTTTGCTTCTCTAGAAATCAGTTGGTTTACATTCACGTGTCTTACACGTGAAATACGTATGACTAGTTATCAGGAGTGAAGTTTTGCATCAATAATTAAAGTTAACAATCTTGCATTCACTGCTGCTCTCTCTCAATCAGATAGCTCAGCTGGTGCTTGTCCAACTTTCGAGGATGATTTAAATGTATTGAGATGTTTCGTATCAGATAATTTTCGATGAGTGGTACTTTTTTTGCACCAACTTTGTGCAAACAGCCTATTGGTTGTTGATTGCTGGTGCGATTCTTCAGAAGGTTAACTGATATAAACTTCACAAAGTCAAAACGGAAGGGACTCTTTGGGTTTAAATATATACATAGTCTATTATTGACATATTAGGACTGCTTTTTTGGTAGTAGGCTGCAAAAAGCTACTAATTTTTGGCTCCTTTCAATTGCACCCTATACAAAGCGAACGAGAGATCGGCCTCAAATCCACGGGTTAGACTCTTACAGATGGGCTCTACAAGACATCGTCTGGCGGCCTAGTAAAAAAGCAAATCTATCGCACAGCACGGGTTGTTTACAAATGGTTCAGAGCATTAAATAGCTCAACGGACCACAGTTTTTACCCAAGAAGAGGATGTGCTGGCTTTTCATTCATAAATACTTGCTTTGGTACATTCCCGGTCATTTGTATAACTCAATTCTAATGCTCACTTGAGAGAGATTTTCACTTCTTGCAAAATGTGATCATCTAGTTTGAATACCCTGCTTCCGTGCAGCGATTCTCAAACATTGTCCACATAAACACTCAAAGCGTGAGCAGATGTGCCATTGTATCTTGTTTAATTTGTGTGTACAGTTGAGTCATTCATAACGCTTTAATTTTACTACCCCAGATTTTCTCCTGTCAGCTTTTACTGTGGGGATTGTCCTTGACCGATGACAAAGGAATACACCACCCCGCAAAGAGCCATGACAAGACAGAATGTTGTCAATCAAAGATAATTCATTCGCAGTATTCTCCCTATAATCTGTGGCCCACATAGTATGTACTTGATTCATACATTTATACCACATCATTTGTATGCGCGTGTATTCAACAGCCAATAGAAAAACAGGAATTTGTAACACTCTTACACTCACTTTTATTTTTTATTTTTTTTTGTATGACCCGGAACTTTACGCACACTAAAGTGCACACACTAATAAAGACAAACTAAAGAAGAAAAAAAATAGGAAAAAACGAAAACTTCAACCTACCTTTTGAAAACTTCAAGGACCTACTTGTTCCCATAGTCATACTATTATTTATTCACCCGTCATATCATGTTCAGATCCTGTCTTCGTAGATCAGTTAGAGGTTTAGCCACCGTTGCTGAGGAAAAAACCCCAAGACTCAAGAAATTTCAAATTTATAGATGGAACCCCGATACTCCAGAAGTACAACCCAAGATGAAGGAGTACGAAGTTGATTTGAACAAGTGTGGTCCCATGGTTTTGGATGCTCTTTTGAAAATCAAAAACGAAGAGGATGCCACCCTTACTTTTAGAAGATCTTGCCGTGAAGGTATTTGTGGGTCATGTGCCATGAACATTGGTGGTAGAAATACTTTAGCTTGCTTGTGTCGTATAGATACAGATACTTCAAAAGATACCAAGATTTATCCCTTGCCTCACATGTTTGTTGTCAGAGACTTGGTACCAGATTTAACACATTTCTACAAACAATACAAGTCTATTGAGCCATACTTGCAAAGAGAGGACCAACCAGCTGATGGTAGGGAGAACTTGCAAAGCATTGCTGATAGAGCCAAGTTGGATGGTTTATACGAATGTATTTTGTGTGCTTGTTGTTCAACTTCGTGTCCTTCATACTGGTGGAACCAACAACAATACCTTGGCCCAGCCGTGTTGATGCAAGCTTACAGATGGTTAATTGATTCCAGAGATCAAGCTGGTGCCAAGAGAAAGGCAATGTTGCAAAATTCCATGTCGTTGTATAGATGTCACACTATTATGAACTGTGCTAGAACCTGTCCTAAAGGGTTGAACCCAGGTAGGGCAATTGCTGAAATCAAAAAGCAAATGGCATTCGATTAAATAGAGTCAAATATCAAATATTATTTCGTATATTCAAAGGTTGTATCCGTTTATAATCCTCTACTACTTTTGGACTTCCCTCTATTGTGTGCAGGAAATGAAAGTTCGGTCGCGAGGCTCGCAATTTTCCATATTTCTCATTGTTTCGCTGTTAAGCGGAAATCATTTATTAGTGTGGCCACAATCCATAGTACAGCATAGAGCTCTTCATTCTGCTATGCATAATCTCCTAGACTTACTCCAGGAGGCGATTGGTAAAAAGTTACCTCAAAAATCTTTTATACTACTACTGACATTATGTACGCCAAACACAGATGACGACATCCAACAGATATTTCACTCATCGTTGACTGATGAACAAATACATCTTTTCGTGGATTGGGCTGTAAGCTCACAATCCAATTGCCACATGTTTTGGTCCAATTTGAGCAAAGCTGAAGAGGGTATCCAGGTGAGATTTTTGCAGGAGGTCAGACGGGAATTTAACCATCGGGATTATGTGTATCACGAGTTTACGAAATACGTGTTTGAATACTTGAACAATCACACGTCTTCAACAGATATTGTCAATGAAATGATTCATTTGCTCGGTCTTATGAAGGAAACAGACTCTGCTGATTTTGTTGAATTATTTAAATTGATTAAAAAAACTGGATACAACTTGCAACAAACAACGAGAGGTGTACTAACACCAGAACAATTGAATCATTTGGCAGAATTAAACTTGATAGAATCCGAGAGCTTTGAAAGCACACCAGAGGTTGGCGTGTCACTTGATGTGACTAACAAACTCGATACTTATCTCGAAATCAAGCGAAAACTTTGGATTTACCAGATAACTCGTGACTTTAACAAATTACAACTTTACAACGATACCAGCAAGTTCATACGCCACTTCAAAACTTGTGTTGTAAACCAAGCGAACGAGCATATTGCCCAGGTGTTAATGCAACTGTTTCCTTTTGATGTCGAGGGGTTTCATTTGTTTAATGTGAAAAATTTTATTCTGACAAAAGTACCACAAATATTGGCGGAGTTACACGTGGGAAGTGACCAATTGGCCGTACCTGATCAAATAAAACAGTTGTTAGTACCCAAGCCAGAACCTGATCTAAAGAGATTACGTGATTTGTTAAATACAGACCCTGAGTTGACTTCATTTGATGAAAGTGGACTAGTCGATTACATTGCCGAGTTGTCAAAAAGGGGCTCACAAGAGAAGGTGACCGAAACTGTATTGGATAGTATGAGGGAATTTATACGGACAAAGCAATTGGAGAAATTGAATCGAATATTGCTTGCTCTCATGAGTAACATCGAGATGATCAACATCATATTGTTTCATACAAATATGTCCCTATTACATATTTTGATAGACTATGTTGATTTTGAGACATTCACCACTGGACTGGATGATGACTTCCAGGACGTTTACTCATATTGCAGTGTTTGTGTGCTTAGTATACTTTTGATTATTGAAGTTTTCCAAATCGACTTGTCCAAAATAGAAATCAATTCTTATTCCGTGGGGTTTGTGAATAATTTTTTCTACCGTTTGGGTGACAATCTCACCAATAATACACCTTTGGAGAAGGATGAAGATGATTTGACAATTATTGGAAACTACAACAATTTGGTCACTGAATGGATTAATGCACTTTTTGACGATTCAAATGATGGACTTTCAGACGAATTAATGAAAAGCTTGAGTATCAAGCAGATTTATAAATTGATGCCAGTTATTTACAAACAAGCAATTGTGGCAAGAAAGTTGGGCAAGATCAACAATGCGATTTTGAGTAATGGACTTGATTATTTGTCTCAACCATTCCTCTTTCCCGTTATTTCTTGTCTTGTGAAATGGATGGCAAGGGATAGCACGGACACAGAATTGTACAAGGAAGTGATGTTGGAGTTAGTAAAGCCCAACATTGGCCAATCCACGAACCCCATGTCCTACGCTATATTGAATATCTGTGGCAATGATGTATTAAAATTGGTCGATGATTACAGAATCAGAAAGGTGATTCATTATCGTGGAAAGGGGGTTGAGGATGTTTCTAATGTCTGGGAAAAGGTCAAATATTCTTCCAATTTCGACCAATTTGACTTACTTTTGCACAACAAGCGAGACACAATACACTATTTGATCCGGGAACTGTACACTTTCCAAGAAACAAAAGATGAGAATAGTAAGCTTTTCATCAATTTGCTAGTATCAATGCTGATCTTAGATTCAATAGAAACGAAAGATGATGTAGAGTATTGGAAGCAAGAATTGAACAAAACATCACAAACACAGACTGAAGGTGGTAATGGTAATGGTAATGGTAATGGCGAAGAATATTTTTCGTGTACATTAGATTACCATTTCTCGTCGATATTCAACGACGATGTTGACAAGGATAACGATTCGGATGAGCTTTTGAATAGTAACAATGACAACGACAACGACCAAGTCGACATCGAGATGAAAGCACCATCGAGCGAGGAAATGAGGACGGCACAGCGTCAATTGGTTCTACGCGATAGTTTGCTTTCACATTTTCGAGCCATAAAGGACAAGACTAATCATACAAACTTGTTTTACAAAACAGTGAAAATTTTAACAGATAAAATATTGGAAGAATTGGACAATTGGAATTAAATATTCAAAGTACATACAGTGCTAAATAAACAACTCACCACTAATCACTCTAGGCTTTACTTTGATTTCCTTTGGTTTCAGCTTGATAGGAGGTGGTTTCTTAACTACTGGCGTAGAACGATCCTCTTCGGGTTCGGATTGTCTCTTCTCTTGTTCTGCTGAGTCTTTTTCCTTGCTTGTGAGCTCATTCCCACCTTTAACACCACTAGGAATCTGCAAGTTTTTAGGTAACTTACGTCTTGGACCTTTGGGTCTACTCTTTGTAGCATGTGTCAAAGTCTCACCACTAGACTCCTGGACTTTACTCTTTGGCGTTAACGATTTAGGTTGAGGAAATGTCAGCGCTTTAGTCAATGTAGGTCCTTGGGATAATAGTGCACCCAATTTATGTTCAAAAGATAAATCTTCTGGACTACGCATAGTTGTAGAAACTGTTTCATCTTTGGATAATTCAGTAACACTGGGTTTGAGCTCTTCAGTTGCCGCTCTCTTTAATGGTTTCTTTGGAGGCTTCTTCTTGGTCATCTTCTCCAATTGCATTCGCAACTCTTCGCTATCCTTTTGCTCATATGTAGAGGATTTGAATTTTGGCTTTTCTGGTTTAACAGGCGTCATTTTCTTCAACTTTGATCTGAGTTCGAGTGAATCTTTTTCTTCGTAGTTTATTGTCTTTGCTGTTGGTTTAATTGGTGACGGCTTAGTGATGGAATTAAATTTTGCTTGAAATTCAGCTGGTGGCTCATTCATGGACCTCATCATAGGTTTGGGTTTAACCACAGGGGGAGTTTTCCGAATCTCATCATTAGATGGTTGCTTCTTCTCCTTCTTTAACTTCTGAAATTGGGTCATAAATTCCGGTTCGGGTTCATTAGGTTTCAGCTCTTGGTGTAGCTCCAAATGCTTTGGTTTAGTTGGCTTCACAAGGGGGATATTTGTCTTTGGTTTTGATTCAGGTGATTTGCTGACGGCGCTATCTATCCAGCTAGTTGGCTTTGGCTTAGCGGGTGTGACGTCTGACGAGGAAGGTGCTTGTTTTGTGTTGGATACTGGTTTCACTGACGAGGAGAGCCATGCAGGCTTGGTGGGTTTTGGTTTGGGATCTGGCAACTCAGCTGATGCACTCTCTAAAGTTTTTGTACTAGCCTTTCCCGACCTGATCAAACTTTCTATATCTCGAAATGATCTATGTCCACTTGGCTCAACATCATTTGACGAGGGGAGCTGCCGCTTATCATATTTAGTAGTGACTGGCTTTGGCTTCATCGGCTTCGCTGGTGCTTCCTTTCTCGCCACTGGCTGTAATAATCCAATGGAGTCTTGGTGCTTTCGAGTTGGTAATCTTGGTGCTGTTTCTTCTTCTTCTACTCTTGCCCTTCGAGGTAAAGCAGGTGGTTCATCCTCCTCTTGTACATCTCGCCTTCTCGGCAAGGGAGGTGCAAAATCGTCTTCCTGTGAAAGTCTTGACCTATTGAATTTAAGATCGGGTACCGAAATTTGATACAGAGATCTGTTGCTAGACGACATGTAGTTGCTCTCGCCCTTTATTGGCGAGGAGCTATGCAGGCGGGATCTTAATTCGTCAATATCATGCTGCAAATTTCTCTGTCTTTGACGATCCTCCTTAATTCTTTCCTGAGATAAAAGCGATAGACTAGATAGAAAATCGTCTACTTTCTTGGACGATGGTGAAACATCAGTCATTAGCGTCTGCTGTTGTTGCTGCTTTGGAAGTTGAAAATCAAGTTCTAGGCGCGGCTTTCAAAAACAAAAAAGAAAAAAAAAAGTTTCATTTTCACTTGTCTACTGGCTTCTTATATACAATTTCAAAGTGGGAGATGTTGAATAATGACGAATTATCGTCAACCCACTCTTGCCATTTTGCAATTGCCTCGTTGCACATTTCCTCATTTTTCTTAGCATCTTTCGTGAACAAGATTTCCCCACCAGTCTTGATTCTATTTATAGCTAGTTCTGCCCACTGTTTTTTACTCAGATGATCGTCAGCTAACAACCAATAAGATTGGGTAGTGGTGATATTCTCTGGTTCATATCCTGCTTTGATAGCCTTTTCTCTCAATGTCCTACCAGCTTTTGTATCTGTAGAGATTGCATTCTTGGCTTTTTGAACATAGTAATCCTTCAAGATTGAGTACTTCTCTGGAGATACGATAATTGCATCCAAATCGGCATCTTTCACGGCAACATAGCCTCCCGGTTTTGTTACCCTAGCTAGTTCCTTTAATCCTTTCACTGGATCCTGTAAATGGATAACCACTTGATGCGAATGTACTAAATCAAAAGTATTGTCCTCAAATGGTAACTCGTAAATAGATCCAATTTGGAATTCGACATTGTTTAGTTGAGGCTCTGTTGAATCTTTCAAATTGTTTGCTGTATCAATCAACTCCTGTGTTGGCTCCACTCCAATAACTGAGCCACCAGCGGTGAGATAATTCTTGGCCAAATCAATGGTGATAGATCCGGGACCACTGCCTACATCTAACACTTTGAAATTGGGTTCAAGTACTGATGTGATGAATTTGGAGGAATTATCAACTGTTCTCCATGAGTGGGTATCAGCTATTGACTTCTTGAAGCCTCTACCGTAGTACGCTTGTTCGTTACTCATTGAATTAGAAGTGTTGTAGAAGAAAAAGAGATAGATTACGTTGGTTTTGATTCTATTTTTAGGCCGAAATTTTCCCACCATCCCTGCAATAAAAGTAACGTGATCAGTGTGACGTTGCTTATAACATTCAAACTGATACAAAACAATTTTAACATTACGACGCTATTCACTTAAGTACATCTTTGACTCCATCAACTGCCAAAACATTCTCATACCATTTCACAACTTTTGGATACTTTTTATCAAAATCACTGATTTCATAATCAGTACCTGCGAACACTTCAATACGTCTATGATTACCAGTTGCAAAAGCAATATCGACGATGGTAAACTTGTCGCCAATCAACCAACCGGACTCATTTTTGGCCAATTGATCTTCCATGACGTCATACAACTTAGAGAAGTTGTGCAACACATTCTCCTTAGTAAATTCGTCATTGGGGTTCATTTGATTATAGTAAATACCTCTGGACAAAGTATGAGCTGCAAATTGAGATGCTTGGAAGTATAGCCATTCTTTTTGGTGCCAGTACAATTTAAGGTCTTCATGCTCTTTGTAACTGAATTTACCTTCTTTATCATATTTTGCAGCAATGTATTCCAAAATGGCATTACTTTCAAAAATGCTTCCCACTTCTCCATCGACAAAAGTTGGCACCAATCCATTGGGATTCAACTTCAAATACTGTTCACTTTTGATTTCCTTTGATGGCCACTCGAAAAGATGGATTTTGATGGGTGCATTAAGTAGCTTAACCAAAATCAATGGTTTTCTTCCATTACCTGTTTCTGCTGTGTATAATGTTGCCATTATGGTTGTGTTTCTTTCGTTTGAGGAAGAGTAGTTTGCAAAGGAATTAACGAATTTTTGCAAGGGGATTTTTAATTGACGAAATTGCCAATTGCGGAGATCCACGTTTCTCGGTTTTTGTGTCACTTCGAGTTCATTGCAAAAGGAGGCATGTGAGTTGAAGTAAAGACAGTGTTCGTGATGAACGATGAATAATCAAGGGTCAAGAGAAATCCATTGATGAGTGGTACTAACTAATCCATTTTGAAAGAGGTACATAAGCTGAGGGAGAGGGTTATCTTTTCACAATTAGATATAAACGGTGAAAGAGTTCTCTCTTCCAACTCAGCTGCACTTATACATCAACGACGCTGGTTTGACTACAGATGGTCTACTTCCTCCTTGGGTGTAGTACACATCACATCCCTGGATACGAAACAAATACAGTAGCATACGAAAATTTTCAGTGTCTTGTGGAGTATTCGTTTCGAAATTATTGTACTGAGTTTATTATGCGCATGATGCATACGCCATGCTTGATCAATACACCCCAATTTGCAATGTTCACCATTGTTGAATTTTCAACAGTTGAGCATATAAGTTGTGAACAATATGATCCTGCTTTGTTTAAGGTCCCTGTATCTTCATAAATATATCGGGTTCGGCGGCTTTCCTTTCCGCGGCTTCGGTAAACATTTGACCCCGACGCAATGTTTTCGACATCACCTAGTGATCTAAGGCGGGCATATCCTGTCTTTTTTTCGAGTTTGTTGCACAAAAAGAAGTAACATGTGTAACTTAAACAATGAAAATTTTTCCTTTTCAAAAAAGCACGACCTCTCCTCTTCATGTAACAAACACGACCTCTTCATACAAGAGACACACTTCTTATTTGGCCGTTTTCGAGCCAGATTGTCAGGTTTTCAATACACCCACGTGTTAAAGTTACAGATCATCCACAATTGTGGAGCTCTTCTGACTTTGCTTGGCATGGGGGTTTTCCTTAAGGATTTGTGAACAACTTACACGACGATTTCGTAAATCAGAAGAGGTAAACGTCGATCCCGCCTCAATAGAGCAAATCTCAAAAAGTGAAGAGCACACAAAGAAAAAAGTGGATACAAACAGACTAGCTCTTCTATGCGTTGCGCTTAAATGGCATCGACTTGGAATTCTAACTTTGTGACAAGTATTAATAAAAAGGACGGAGTTAAACTTTCATATACCGATGGCAGCTGCCAGGGTGAAGAAGAAAATAACTAATTATTTACTATTATGGCAGTCCCTTTTATATTATCTAGCGTATGAAAAGCTTATAATAAATGCGTGAAACTTCTATAAAATTAAAACCCTCCTATATTATATCCCTCCCCCTTCGTAAAATAAAGTCATCAAATAAATAATAATACTCTGGAAATCATCAAAATGTCATGAAATGAAACGTAAAAATAAACAATATGCAACAATTGAAGTAATGAAAAAAGCTGAATGTAAAATGGAAAGAATCGAAAGTTGGATCATCTTGATCAGATGCAATCAAAGATGTCTTGAATAGCAAAGCAACAATCATCAATCAAACTAATCGACTAATAGTCCATGAGTGACCTCTTTCTTAGATTCGAAAAGGGTATAAGAGTCAGTAGATGAAATGGAACTAACTGAATGTACAGCAGTTAAATCCATAAAATCAACCGTTGTTGTTGCTGTGGTTGCAGTTGTAGCAGTAGATACAGTTGCTGCAGTTGAGCACGTAGCTTTAGATGAAGTAGATAGATTCCTACTTTGTGGATTGGTGTGATTTTTCCTCAGCATCATGATTCCATCAATTGTCTCTGCCATAAAGTCCAATTTATAGTTTAAAGGCTTGCCAAAAGTATAATCAATACCAACTTGTTTAAACAATTGTAAATCTTGAGGAGTATTTCTTGTTGTCACTGCAATTAAACTAGTGGTATCAAATTGTGGGTCCTTGCGTACAAATTGTGCAATATCTATTCCTGACACATGTGGCATTTCAATGTCAATAAAGATGGAATCAAATGATTGTTCAGAAACAATCTGTTCAACTTTCGTTGAATCCAGTATCTGAATTATGGCAGCTTTAGGATATAGTTTGAGTAAAATACGGTTAAGTATTTTGAGATTGATTATGTTGTCGTCAACTATAAGAAACTTGTATGGATTTAAATTTGGCATCGACAAGTGGAACTTTGACGATGCTGATTCAGATTTTATGGTTAATTGTGTTTGTTCTTTTGCTTCAATGGATTCAATTATTGACTCCACTTGTTGTATATCCCGAGCACTGGGGCGTAAGATCGAGCTCTTTCTTATTAGGGAGTTTGACTTGGACGGTATGGCTGAGCTATCAAATGGCGTTATAGGACTATAGTACACGTCGTCTTCACCTTGTATTGAAATATTATCAAAAGTTTCCATCACGTCACTCACGTCAACGCTTTCCGCATCGTCATCATCATCATCATTATCTGCTTCTTGTTCTGAGTCAGCTTCGTGGCCATTATGGCTGCCACGATTGCTTTTGTTTGACAGTAGATCTTGTAAAGTATTGATCTCTAGTGATAATTGGGGCTTGATTGAAAAGTAGTCTGATGTGCTGTGCCAACTGTTTGCCAAGGATTTGGATGGAGTATTTGGTAATGATATCAGCAGTGGTGAAGAAGAAGAAGAACCGACAGGATTCATATTGTGGATGCAAGATGTTAAATGAAGCTGTTATTAGACACGATTGTTAAAGGAAAGCACAAGGCGGAGCAATATTTGTTTGGGCAATTCTTACTCCTGTTTGATGGATATGCTAATGGTAAGATATTTGTCTGTTTTAGTGAATGTTAAAACCTCATATGATTGAAGTCGGTGAATCAAACAAACATTCATATAAAAGATAAAGGAAATGAAATTTTTAATTTAACGAATAATGCTTTCGTTTTATACAAAAAACACAATTCCACTTACTTCATCTTCTTCTTCCAACATTAAACTTTCGTTTATTGTTGGAAGTGGTTTTGTGAATTGTTAAAGCATGTGTGCCTTATTAAAATAGACTATGGAAAAGACTATAAACTTTTTAGAATTAGTGTGTACTGCATATATATTCATTTCTTTCCATTAGGAGCACAAAAAAGGGTCTTTATTGTAACTTTTTGATGACGCCCCGCCTTGGAGTGAAGTTACCCTCTGCATATTAATAATCTTTTACTGACGGTAACTTATGTAAAGCATTGCAGTAGGAATTACTTGAAACCTATTGTGCTTAGATAGTTCCAAAGCAGATCACACTAGTGTGGATTGAGGAGGTAAAAACTACAGAGAAAACTTGTTCTCGCTGCATTCCAAATGTAAAGCACAACTTTCACGGATTTCCGGGTCCCAAAATGCTGTCCTCTCCACTCGAATTTGACTTGGGTTTTTGCTAGCTTATCCGCCTTCTAGTAGCTTGCACCTATTCCAGCCACGAACACTTTCATAAAGGCGGCAGGTGCTGGTTTGTGTAACCGTGGCAAAGTAACCATCGAAAACCAAATAACATGTACTAGAAACCATCTAAACAATGCAAAAAGTACAATTGCTTCTTTCCTTCCATTTCTAGAAAAAACAAAAAAACAAAAAAGAAAAACAAAATGCCATCTGCAAAATATTTTTGTAATTTTCCACAACGAATACAAAAACGAAAAAGAAAAAATTTGACAAGAACAATAGAAAAAGACTCTCCAACAAAACATATTTTGTTGAGAAAAATTCTATAATAACTCGGCTCATTTTTGCATTGTTTGTGTAATAATATTTCCCTTCAATTCATGGGAAGCAGAGGGAAAAGAACACAAGTTGCTTTTTCCAAACCCCAAAATCCCCACTCCACGGTTTCACCAATGTGTATAAAAAGTGGCTCGGATGTGGCTTATGAGACAATTCACATTCTAAAATCTACTGGAGGTAGAGAATATACTGCCCACTTATGCCAAGGAATGCACTGAGTTCCGATGCGTGGATCTAGACGCTGCAGTTGTTGCTTCCAATGCATGGATAATAAAAACCCCATTTGAACATTTAAAACCTTTTTTTTTTTTTTTTTAATACGCCACAAAGTATCGTAAAATGAAATAAAATTACGATTGGAAAACGGAAATTAGAGTCTGGAACTCCGTGATAATATCAATAGTAGAAATTGCGGCTCTATATTGCTAAATTGCTATTGTTTGTAAGTTCCTGTTATGTGACCCATTCTACTTTACCAATACACAGTGGACGCTTGCTACGTAAAAGCACAACTTTTGGGTTGGTGTCGACTTTTTGCAATATCATCACCTTACAACAACTTTAAAACAACGTCAGTTGTGTATGCTTTGCCAAAGGCTATACAATATCACACATCGACTATAACTCGGCTCTAGGTTTTGTTTTCGTTTGTTAAGTTTTGACATATTATGCAATATGGGTTAAAATGTTCTTTCGCTTAAATTGGGGCGGGTGCACTATATTAAATTGTGGCTTATGATTGATTAAACTTGACTACAAAAATGAATTCTTGGTAATATTGCGGTGGACAAACTTACACATCGATTCATTAGCCTTAAACCTATCGTCATGGTCGTCTATTTACATTGTTATATTTTGGTCACTTTTTGCGAGCAACTTCGCTCATCAACTCCAAACATCGATCAATGTTTTCTCCTCTAGGAGCACAAACTGGAGCAATTTTCCATGACTTGTGCTCCGCTTCAATAAATTGTTTCAATGCTTGATAGTTTTCTCCTTTGTTACTCAAATCTGCTTTTGTTGCTACCACCAATACTTTTTTGTCCTTCATCCGTTTGACACCCACTTCATTAGTCAATGTTTGCAAATCTTTAACTGGATCAGTAGATTCCAACGAAACAACGAAAGCCAATCCGCCTGAGCGTTCAATATGACGAAGGAAATCTAGTCCCATACCTTTATTTTCTGATGCACCTTTGATTATTCCTGGAATATCAGCAACCGTGAATGGGTCCGAATCAATGCGATGCTGAATAGTACCTATTGTTGGTTGTAATGTTGTGAATTCCCAATGTCCAACTCTAGGCTTGGCTCGAGATATAGCGCGTAGTAAACTTGATTTCCCAGCATTGGGCAATCCAACTAACCCTAAATCAGCAATGAGCTTCAATTCAAGTAAGAAATGAGCCGTGATTCCCGGTCGTCCAATTTTACAAAACCGCGGATTACGTACACTTGATGTTAGGAAATGCATGTTTCCCAATCCTCCTTTACCTCCGTGTAAAAGAAGTAAAGGCTTTGTGGTAACCTTATCACAATCCATTCCGAGAATGGGGAACTGATCTTGTTGGTGCTCTTCAAATTCAACTTCTTCATCATACTTTGTGACTTTATCATTCAATTCTTGAAAAAAGTCTCGCAGTTGGTAATACTCTTCGTCGTGTTCTTTGAAAATCCACCCTTGACCTGGATTATATCCATAACGTTTCAATTGAACATTGTTTTTATTATAACCAATATCCAAATCAAGTTCCATATACACATTTCTTAAAGAATCTCCCTCCTTTCTGGATATGTGTTTTTTGAATATCGTTGGATCAGGTATCCATCGAATTACGGTTCCCAATGGAATATCAATAATCACATCGTCACCGTTTTTACCGTCCAATTGGCCGCCTTTACCCGGAGAACCCAGTTTAGCAACATATCTTTTTTGCAAATAGTGCAATGAGTTTAAGTTTCGGTCAACAACGTTTATATATATATTTCCACCACTTCCACCATCACCACCATCAGGAGGACCAGCAGTTGTTAGGTTATCACGGAAAAATGAAACTGCCCCATTACCTCCAGACCCACTAGTTAGTTTTATAATTTTCAAATCAATGAATTTCTTATTTTCCACTTTTGCTGCTTTTTTGGTCTTTGCATGTATTAGGTTTGAGTAAAATACGTGGTGTAAATGATGAGAATTGCCCGAAAAGTAGTCTGCTATACTGACGATATTTCTTGGTTTGGGTGCGTTGCGTTTCGTTGTTGAAGTTGTCTGGTGGTCAAGTATTTGGGATATTTTGATCACCTGTGTTTCATCAGCTGGATTGACTATAGTCTGTGAAACCACATCTTTACCTGAAGTGTCAGGAAACGTGTCGTGAAATGCATAGTTGGGTGCAAATGATGAAACTGGTGATTGAAAAGTATTTCGTATATTTGAGGATGTGAAGATCGATCGACGCGACAGCCTGACCAACATTGTGTGTAACGACAGGTTCATATTTGTATCTCCGCTAGCAAGTCAACAACTCAATCACTGACAATACTATGCTCTATTAATAGTTGGGTGCTGATGAAAGCCCTATGGATCCATTTTTCGCAAAAGCCTGATTTTCTAAAACAAACTTTTCGTTTGTTCTTTTTTTTTGCGTATCTTTTTCATATGCGATGATCATCTCTAACCACAGCATCATACCCCATGTCATCACAACCGTTTCAAGATCTCGGAGTCGCAAGATGGCTCAGTGAATCACTAGTAGCAATGAAAATCCACAAACCTACATCGATTCAAGCCGCATGTATACCGGCTATACTCAAAGGTCAAGATTGTATTGGAGGAGCCAAGACTGGTTCCGGTAAAACTATTGCGTTTGCAGCACCTATGTTAACACAATGGTCAGAAGATCCCTACGGCATATTTGGACTAGTGCTCACCCCAACTAGGGAATTGGCGTTGCAAATCGCAGAGCAGTATACCGCTTTAGGAGCACAAATGAATATAAAAGTTTGTGTTGTGGTTGGAGGTGAGGATTTTGTCAAGCAGGCTTTGGAATTGCAAAAGAAACCACATTTCGTTATCGCCACGCCAGGGAGATTGGCTGATCATATTTTGAACAGCGGTGAAGAGACTATTAGTGGATTAAGAAGAGTGCGATACTTGGTTTTGGATGAAGCAGATCGCTTATTGAGCAATAGTTTTAGTAGTGATTTGGAAAGGTGTTTTTCAGTATTACCCAGTAGTGACAGAAGACAGACGTTGCTATTCACAGCCACTATAACCGATTCAGTTAAAGCATTGAAGGAAAAGCCTCGTTCAGCGGGGAAACTCCCAGTATTTATGCATGAAGTGGACACAGTTGACAAGGTTGCCATTCCGTCGACTTTACTGATTGAGTACGTGTTTGTGCCCTCATACGTGAAAGAGGCCTATCTACATAGCATTTTACTTTTACCCAAATACAAAGAATCCACCGCGGTTGTATTTGTCAACAGGACAATCACTGCTGAAGTTTTGAGACGAGCATTGAGAAAATTGGATTTTAGAGTGGCATCATTACATTCGGAAATGCCTCAATCCGAGAGAACAAACTCGCTACATAGATTCAAAGCTGGTGCCGCAAGGATTCTAATTGCCACTGATGTCGCTTCAAGAGGTTTAGACATCCCCACTGTGGAACTTGTGGTGAACTTCGATATACCAGCCGATCCTGATGATTTCATTCACAGGGTTGGTAGAACAGCAAGAGCTGGTAGAAAAGGTGACGCGATAAGCATCATTAGCGAGAAAGATATAGAGCGGATTCAGAGCATCGAGGAGAGAATTAACAAGAAAATGGAATTGTTGGAAGAGATCAATGATGACAAGGTTATCAAAGATTCATTGGGTGCAATGACAACCGCCAAGAGAGAATCAATGCTGGAAATGGACAAAGAAGGGTTTGGAGAAAGGAGAAAGATCAACAAACGGAAACATTCAAAAGAAGAGCCTAGTCAGTCCAAGAAACTGAAAAAGTCCAAATTTAATAAATAAACAGGCATCTATTTCGTTTCTAAAAATCCTTCAACAATTAGCGTCACATTAATCACAATCAATGTGATAATTACACCAGTGATGCACGCAGCTGTAGGTAGATTATTGAAGTTATAAGTAGCAATCTTGTGTTGTGCATATCGATTGATTGTAATGTAATAACTCGATCCACTGACTACTAACACAAATAGCGACAACACCAACAAAATATACGAAACAGCCACTGAAAACTTTGTATGATTAAAATTGTGTTTTTGATCCTCTTCATCTGGCGATTTAGCAGCGTCATCGCCAGAAGTATCAAACTTGAAATTCAAGATTATCCCTAAAGCCGTGAAGAACAATGCTGTTGCAAACCGAGTGAACGTAAGAAAAGTCCTCTCTGATTGTAGAACATCTCTAGGTTCTGAACTGACTACTTTCATAACAAGTGGGTATGGGAAATGTGGCAGAACACGAGCATTTTCCTCGTCGTCAATTGTGGTGGCACGCGTGAGCAGCCTACGTGAGGTAGGTTGAGATGAGTCCAAGCCAACCCTTTGAGAGCCGCTCGACGTACCAGTATCTACCTGGCTATAGGGCCTTACTTCAATCTCACTCGTATCATCGGATGTGCTATCTGCTATGTTTTCACCTGCCATTGCTGATGTCGTTTATAACACAAACACCCCCAAGGAAGCTTTTGCACTAATTTTTTTCTTTCTTCTTCTTGGTGAAGGAGATTCCTTTCTTAAACCATAAACAAATCGTTATACCCCAATAAATACTAAGTTTTTGACCAGGCATAGCTATTGTCTTTCGAAATGAGTGTGAGGGTGCAAAAACAACAAAAATGTGTCAACTGTGGACACACACAGTTTGACGTTAATAGATACACAGCAGCAGGCGATGTGTCATGTCTTCGATGTGGTACTGTTCTCGAAGAGAACCCTATTGTTTCTGAGGTCCAGTTTGGTGAATCTTCTAGTGGTGCAGCCATGGTCCAGGGTGCTATGGTTGGAGCGGATCAGGCAAGGGCAACTTTTGCAGGTGGAAGACAGAATGCAATGGAAAGTAGAGAACAAACAATAACCAATGGGAAACGAAAGATTAGGAGAATAGCAGCGGCTTTAAGGATTCCAGACTTCATTGCCGAAGCTGCCGGGGAATGGTTTAAACTTGCGTTGACTATGAACTTTGTCCAAGGAAGACGTTCAAATAACGTCTTAGCCACATGCCTTTATGTAGCGTGTCGTAAGGAAAAGACACCGCATATGTTGATCGATTTCAGTTCGAGATTGCAGATCTCGGTGTACTCTTTGGGTGCCACATTTTTGAAAATGGTGAAAGCTTTACACATAACCTCGTTGCCATTGGCAGACCCTTCTTTATTTATACAACATTTTGTCGAAAAGTTGGATTTCAAGGAGAAAGCGACAAAAGTTGCTAGAGATGCAACAAAACTTGCTCAAAGAATGTCAGCAGACTGGATCCATGAAGGAAGGCGGCCAGCAGGTGTTGCAGGTGCATGTGTTTTGCTTGCTGCGAGAATGAATAATTTTAGAAGAAGTCATTCAGAAATTGTGGCAATATCACATGTCGGACAAGAAACATTACAAAGAAGGTTGAACGAATTCAAAAAAACCAAGGCCGCGCAGTTGTCGGTGAAAAGTTTCCGTGATGATGAAGAGGTTGAAAGTGCCAATCCACCTTCATTTGAAAAAAATCGGAAAAACGAATTGAGAATAGCACGCACTTTACAAAGGCGGCAACAGGAAACTTTCAATGACTTGGAAAGTATGACAGAGGATGAAAAAATTCAATATCTAGGTGATCTTTCCAAAGATGAACAGCAAAAGCAAATACTCATGAATACGATAATGAGTGACATTACAATCAACAAAGAGTTGATCAATGAACAAATAGAGAGAATTTTAAAGTCCAAGCGAAACAAATTAGAACAATCGCTATACAAAACCCCACACGAGTTAGCCAAGGAGAAAATCGAGGAGGATGATTTAGATCGAATTTGGAACATGAACTGGCCAAGAAACTTGGTTAAGAACTTACCAACCACTGAGGATGTGCTTAAGCTTGTTTCGTCTGAAACCGAATTGAACTCAGACGATGATGATGCAGTCGTAGAGGAGAGTCAAATGACACCTGAAGAAGTGGCCATGAAGGAAAGAATTTGGACAGGTCTCAACCATGACTACATGGTAGAACAAGAACGCAAGCGGTTGAAACAAGAAGCTGACGAGCTTACGGGAAACACCTCTGCAACCTCTGGTGCCAATCGTCGAAAAAGACAACGGTCGTCGGTGCCACCTGAGATTCAAAAAGAGATTGGAGATATAATTTTGGATGAAGATGGAGCACCCAAAAGTGCCGGTGATAGTGCAAAAATGTATTTCTCAAAAACATCGGTGTCGAGGAAAATCAATTACGAGTCTTTGCAAGGGCTATTTGGTGAAAAGTTTTGAGGTAGATATATTGTTATAGAATTATGAATTGGAAAGTGTATGCCGTGCTTTTGTGTCAACCCATTTTATTTTTTAATCTCTTTTCAAAATTTCCCTCATCGCACAAATTTGAGAAAAACCTTTGCAATCGTTCTTCTTTACACAGCAGCATCATTATCATCATGGGGAAACAAAGAAGAGCGGCTATACTTCCAACCAACATTATATTATTGCAGAATGTTGTCAGAAGAGATCCTGAATCATACCATGAGGAGTTTCTACAACAGTTATCGCATTATGAATCCTTGAGAGACTTGTACTTGGAGAATCCCACAGGAGCTGATTCAAACTCAACCACCGAGTTTATTGAACTTGTCGGATTCTTATCGGCAGTTTGTAACTGCTACCCTAAAGAAACAAAGAATTTCCCCAAAGAATTGAAAACTATCTTGCTTGATAACCATCGCGATTTGGCACCGGAGTTGAGAGAAAAGATTATACAATGTTTAACAATGTTGAGAAATAAGGATATTATCACTGCGGAAAGTTTGATACAGACTATTTTTCCATTGTTGACAGCATACGCATCTGGCCAGGTCCAAGCTGGCCAACATGTAAAGCAAATGAGACGTCAGATTTATTCTACATTGATTTCACTATTGAAGTCTGTCAATACAGGAGCCAAAAACCAACGACTAAACAGATCTACACAAGCTTTGCTCTTCAATTTGCTTGAACAAAAGGATGCTCAAGGTTTATGGGCCACTAAATTGACGAGAGAATTGTGGAGAAGAGGTATTTGGGATGATTCAAGAGCAGTTGAGATCATGACACAAGCAGCGTTGCATCCCGATGTTAAAGTCGCCATTGCTGGGGCAAGGTTCTTTCTTGGTGCCGATAAAGAAAGAGAGGAGAACTTTGAGGACTCAAGCGATGAAGAAGGGTTTGATATGGGTGCATTAAAGCACAAGATGGAGGTGAACAAGAAATCATCGAAAAGAGGGAAAAAATTGGAACAGGCGGTGAAACAAATAAAAAAGAAAAATAGCACCAAGCATTCGGCCACCTATTTAAACTTTTCAGCAATACATCTTTTACGTGATCCTCAAGGTTTTGCTGAGCAATTGTTTGATAATCATTTGAGTTCAAAAAACTCAAACAAGTTTGACTTGGATCAAAAGATTTTGTTTATGAACTTGGTATCAAGATTGATTGGTACTCACAAGTTGATTGTGTTGGGTATCTACTCATTCTTTTTAAAGTATCTCACCCCAAAGCAAAGAAACGTGACCCAAATTATGGCAGCATCGGCTCAAGCTTCACATGATTTGGTTCCTCCAGAAAATATCGAACTAGTGGTGCGTAAAATTGCCGACGAATTTGTCAGTGATGGTGTTGCTGCTGAAGTTGCATCGGCGGGAATCAATACAATCAGAGAAATACTATCCCGTGCTCCTTTGGCAATTGAAGCTCCATTGTTGCAAGATTTGGTCGAGTATAAGGGATCGAAATCAAAAGCGGTGATGATGGCTGCAAGATCATTGATTTCATTGTATAGAGAAGTGGCACCGGAAATGTTGGCCAGGAAGGATAGGGGTAAAGTTGCAAGCATGGAATTGCAAAAAGGAGACAAGGGCAAATCGAAACCACAATATGGTGTGGAGAATAACGTCACGTCTATTCCAGGATTGGAGTTATTGGCCAAATGGAAACAAGAGCAAGGACAAACAAATGCTGATAACGAAGAGGAGGATGCTAATTGGGAAGTTGACGAGGAGGAAGATGGAAGTGATGTTGAAGGGGAATGGATCCTGGTTGAATCTGATAAGGAGATCGATATTTCTGATAGTGAAGATGAGGCTAGTAAAGGAAAAGAAGATGATGTTTCAGATTTAGAATTGTCGTCCGACGAGGAGAAAGAAGAAGTAGACGAAGATTCTACTGAAGGCGGTGATGATGATGAGAGGCCGACCAAGAGGGCCAAACTCGAGGACAGCTCTGCTGGCGCATCCACAAACAATGCTTCTGCCATGAATGAAATCCTTTCGAGTCGAATTCTTACCCCTGCTGATTTTGCCAAGTTGGAGGAGTTGAGAACCGAAGCTGGTGTGGCCAAATTGATGGGCATTACCAATGAAGACGCGGTAGACTCCACTTCATTAGTGGGCAAAGTCAAATACAAGCAATTGAGAGAAGAGAGGATTGCCCAAGCCAAGGAAGGGAAAGAGGATCGTGGCAAGTTTGGATCTAGAAAGGGTAAGCGTGATGCACCTCATTCCACTACAAATAAAGAAAAAGCTAGAAAGAAGAATTTTGTCATGATGATTCATAAAAAGGCAGTTCAAGGGAAACAAAAGTTATCTCTTCGTGATAGACAAAAGGTATTGAGAGCTCATATTGATAAGCAAAAGATGAAGAAAAAGTGAAAAAAAGGTTTGTAACAACTTGCTTTGCTTATTATTATTATTATTACATTGAAATATAGACGACTAATACATAAAGGAAGAAAAAAAGGGGGGAAAATACTGAAAAATACTGAAACATACTTGATTGTTCTTTGGGTTCTCTCATGGGGAGCTAGCTGCCAACTTCTTCTTCTTCTCTTTCTTTTCTTGTTTTCTTTTCTTCTTTTTCAACTCTTCTTGAGATAAGGTTGGTGCTGGAACATCCGCCTCTTCCTCTTCAACAACTTCTTCAATCACGGGCGTTTCAGTCTCTTCATATCCACTAGCGTATGGATGTTCTGGACGCTTGTAGTTTGTCCCATCCTTCAAGCTTTGTTCATATTTGGCCTTTTCGACATTGTAAAGTTTCATTTCCTCTTCGTATTTGTGCTTCCATTTGGCTTTCTCCTCATCGGAGATATTGTCCCAACGGTCCTTGACCAATTGGTTCAAATCAATTGCACCGAGGTTGGGCAATCCTTTCTTCTTTCTCTCCTCGGCAATCATCTTGCGCAAATGGAAACTGAAAGCGAAAAACATCGTCAATGGCTTCTTTGGTGCATTTGGATCCCTTTCCACTTTTCTCTTTTTCTTATCGCCATTGGCCGCACCATCCAAGTTGTGCTTGACACCATGAGTAGTATCAACGGCAAGCTTCATTGCCTCTTGGATGCCTTGTAATTGTTCTGATGTGATATCCTCGTTGCCTCCAGTAGCAACTTTATAAAAGTCAACAGCGCTATTAGCAGCCTCTTGAGCAGCTTTTGACAATTCGAAAAGGGATGCAATCAACGCGTCCTTACTAGCTTTCAACTCAGACATTGCTTGTTTGTAGTAATTGCTTTCAATGTAAATATTTCTTGACAATTGGTTGTTTGACAATCGGTTGCTTTGGTCCTTTGATCCTTTGGTTGTGTACTAATTGTATGTATGTCTCTTCGACCTATTGGTAGTACCGTGTTAGTGGGAGAAACGAGGGGGGGTAGTAGAAAAGAGAGGGCGAGAGACTTTTTTTTTCCTCCCCGTTTCGTCGAAAGGAGGAAATTGACGAGGTTTTAAAGATATTTTTCTCGCTCCAAAGACGAAAGCAAAAAAAAATCTAAACGACTCCCTGCGTGTAATGCGAGAAAACAATAATTTTCGTTTACTTGCTCGTGGCGTGACTACGTGTCCAGCGCGACAAACTATTTGAAATTTAGGGCAGAGCAAAAGCAAAGGAGACGCACACACGCACTTATTCACACACACACACACACACACACACACGCACACCAATGATTATATTTGATGTGGAGAGAGAAACAAAGGAAACGAAAATAAACGTAAACAACAACAACGAAAACGCGAAAAAAATAATTAAGCTTTTATAGTGATCGCGTCTCTCTTTCTCTCTCTCTCTCCCCCTCTCACAGTTAAAAAGTATTTGGAAAAGTTTCGGGTAGCAAGTGATGCTCCCGTTCTTTTCCTTCATTCCGAGTATACCCAAATCCACGTCACGTCCCAATGTATTGTATAGGGCCGTGAAATTACATTGTGTTTTTGGGGCACGACAAGCAAACTGAGCAAACTGAGTAAACTGAGTAAACTGAGTAAACTGAGTAAACTGAGTAAACTGAGTAAACTGAGTACAGTGTATACTATTATTGAGCATTGGGGGCGGTACTACAACCCCTCCACTGATTCTGCTTCTCTTTTTTTGGAGCTCCAAACGCTTTCGTTTACCTAATGTCGAATGAGTTTGTAAAATGTGTATTGAGATGTGCTTTTCGCGCAAAAGGCTCACTGGCCAGAAAATTGTAGCCACCCGAAAGATTCAAATCCCTGCTGCTTAATCATGAACCAACAGTTGTTGAACAATATCAAAAAGTATGCTATCACATGTCCCGGCCAAGGTATAATACGAAATGGGTTGCTTGAGGAAAATAAAAGGTATCGTCACTTATTCCAGCCGTACTTGGAGGAAGTTGACTTTGCATTGGGTTACAACTTCTCCCAACATCTATTTCAAAGAAATGTGAGTGAAGAAGAAACACGTAATTGGCTACAGCGGACATCGAATGCTCAACCGGCGATCCTTGCTTCCACTTACGTTACCCTCAAAGCTTTTGAAAAGGTTTACGATGTCGATTTGTTGAAGAATACACAGTTTCTCCTTGGACACTCGCTTGGAGAGTACACAGCATTGACATTAAGCGGTGTTTTTGATCTACTGACGGCAGTGAAGATAGTCAGGGAAAGAGGTAGATTGATGGAAGAGATGGTTCGTAAGTCACACAAGCAGTTTGGAATGATTGCGTTGATAATAAGACCCGAACATGTGAATGAGGTAATTGATCTTGCAACTGAGCACAACGTTTTAGGAAATGTAAACTCAAAATACCAAGTGGTGATCTCAGGTGAACTCGATAAGCTTGATATATTTGTTGGAGTTTTGAGAAAGCAAGACAAAAGGATGTTGTTGAAAGCAGAAAAGTTACCAGTATCCATCCCTTTCCATAATACGATGTTAAAGGAAATCGTTCCAGAGTTGAAATCAACAGTGAAGGGCAAAATCAGACCTCAAAAGATACCAATCATTTCCAACCTCGATGGAGAAGTTTCGACTGACGCAATGTCAACAGTTGAGAAAACATTGAATGCCAATTACGAGCCAGTTCAATGGATTAAATCAATGAACAAGTTGTCAGCATCTGGCGTGAACACTGTACTCAATTTGGGACCTGGAACGATTCTCAATGCCATAAACAAGCGATACCCAGTGAAGTGCATACCTATAGAATGTATTGAACAATTTAGTGTGGATTGATTGAGTGTGTCTTGCCCCCCTCCCCCCTCCCCACGGTTTACTTCTGTATAAACAACCTTAGACTAGATGTGTCCTGTTTCGGTCACCTCCTTTCCATCACTCTAATTAACCGGGCCCAACTTTAAGCTCTATGCATTATGCGAGCCAAATCGGAGTCAAAAACCACCGATCAAATTTCCACAATAAGAAAAAACTACAATAAAAGTAATTTTTTCTTTCCATTTTTGTGCGAATTATTTCGTCTTTAATGGTTAACGATAGGCGCGCAAACGGCTCCATGGGTTTTTTCAGAATGAAAATTTTAATAAGACAATAATTTCAAACAGAGTTCATCTTTGATCATTTGTTTATTCTTTTCCAACATTTCTCTCATTTTCCAACAAACGTTGCCATGGTTGCTCAGATTTTAGACGGCAAGTCCATTGCTTTAGATCTTCGTACAAAGATACACGATGAAGTTGCTCAATTCCAGTTGAAACATCCCGACTTCAAACCCAACTTGTCTATAATTCAAGTTGGAGACAGACCTGATTCATCAACCTACGTCAAAATGAAATTAAAGGCTGCCGAAGAAGCAAACATTGGCTGCGAAATCATAAAATTGCCAGAGAGCATCACTGAGTTTGAATTGTTGAATGAAGTTGCGAAATTGAATAATTCCTTGGAAGTGGATGGAATTTTGGTTCAATTACCATTACCCGATCACATCGATGAGTCAAAAGTTACTGACGCGGTTTTATCAGACAAGGATGTTGATGGTTTTGGTCCTTTCAATGTTGGAGAATTATCCAAAAAAGGTGGAGAGCCCAAATTTTTGCCTTGCACACCAAAGGGAATAATGCATTTGTTGGAAGTGTCTGGTGTTGATGTTGAAGGCAAAACTGCTGTTGTATTGGGAAGGTCCGACATTGTTGGTAAACCAGTTGCCAATTTACTCACTAAAGCCAATGCTAGTGTCACTGTCGTTCACTCAAGAACTCCTATCGAACAAGTGAAGAATTTTTTGGGCGAAGCAGACATTGTTGTAGCTGCAATTGGCCAACCACAATATGTCAAGGGCGAATGGTTGAAACCAAATTCAGTTGTCATTGACGTAGGCACAAATTTCATCCCCGACAGTACTAAAAAAAGTGGTCAAAGAATGGTTGGTGACGTTGAATATGAAACTGCCAAAGAGAAAGTTCAATTGATTACACCAGTACCTGGAGGAGTTGGTCCAATGACTGTTGCCTGTTTGTTAGATAACGTGGTTATTGCAGCCAAGAGACATTACAAGGCCAATAACGAGACTCCAAAATTCACCAACCCTTTAAAGTTGGATTTGAAAAAACCAGTCCCTTCAGACTTTGAAATCTCTCGTGCTCAACAGCCAAAGCGTATAACACAAGTTGCAGAAGAAGCCGGTATTTTGGATGCTGAATTGGAACCGTTTGGATTTACCAAAGCAAAAGTTTCTTTGGATATATTGAAAAGATTGCAAAATAAAAAGAATGGTAAATACGTTCTTGTTACTGGGATTACACCAACCCCATTGGGTGAAGGTAAATCAACCACAACAGTAGGTTTAGCACAAGCTTTGGGTGCGCATTTGAACAAAAACGTATTTGCTAATGTCAGACAACCATCAATGGGTCCCACATTTGGTATTAAAGGAGGTGCTGCTGGTGGAGGTTATTCACAGGTTATTCCCATGGATGAATTCAATATGCATGTCACTGGTGATATTCACGCCATTACCATGGCAAACAACTTGTTGGCAGCTGCTATAGATACGAGAATGTTTCACGAAGCTACTCAAAAAGATGGTCCATTGTATAGAAGGTTGGTTCCAGAAAAGAAAGGCAAGAGAACATTTACTAAATCCATGTTGAGAAGGTTGGAGAAATTGGGGATCAACAAGACCGATCCAAATGACTTGAATCCAGAAGAAATAACTGCATTTGCCAGATTGGACATTGATCCAGAGTCGATCACCTGGAAGAGGGTTGTTGATTGTAATGATAGGTTCTTGAGAGGTATTACAGTAGGTCAAGCACCAACAGAGAAAGGATTCACCAGAGCTACTGGTTTTGACATTACCGTTGCTTCTGAATGTATGGCTATATTGGCATTGGCTAACTCTTTAGAAGATATGAGGGAAAGATTAGGAAAAATGGTTATTGGTACTTCAAAACAAGGAATTCCGGTAACATGCGAGGACATTGGATGTGCCGGTGCCTTGACTGCATTATTGAAAGATGCTATCAAGCCAAATATCATGCAAACATTGGAAGGTACTCCTGTTTTCGTTCATGCTGGTCCATTCGCCAATATATCCATTGGTGCTTCATCCATTTTAGCAGATAAAATGGCATTGAAATTGGCTGGTACCTCAAGCGATTTGACTCCAGAAGAGAAAAAGGAACAGGAAGGATATGTTGTTACTGAAGCTGGTTTTGATTTCACAATGGGTGGAGAAAGATTTATCAACATCAAATGTAGATCAAGTGGCTTAGCTCCCGATGTCATTGTTATTGTTGCCACTGTCCGTGCATTGAAAGTCCATGGTGGTGGTCCGGAAGTTAAAGCAGGTGCACCATTGGCTCCAGAATACACCCAAGAAAATGTTGAGTTATTAAGAGCTGGTTGCTCAAACTTGGCTAAGCATATTGAGAATGCCAAGTCATATGGTTTACCAGTTGTTGTTGCTATCAACAAGATGTCATCCGATTCCGACAAGGAACATGAAGTGATCAAAGAGGAGGCTTTGAAAGCTGGTGCTGTTGATGCAATTGTCTCCAACCACTGGGAAGAAGGTGGAAAGGGTGCTGTTGATTTGGCCAAGGGAGTTATCGAAGCTGCCAATAGACAAGAGAAGAATTTCCATTTCCTTTACGGTACTGAACCATCGATTGAAGATAAAATATCAACCATTGCTAAAGAGATGTACGGAGCTGGTGAAGTGGAATTCTTGCCCGAGGCGCAAAAGAAGATTGATTTGTACACAAAGCAAGGATTTGGTAAATTGCCAATTTGTATTGCGAAAACTCAATACTCATTATCACATGATGCAAACTTGAAAGGTGTACCAACTGGATTCAAGTTTCCCATTAGAGATGTTAAAGCATCAATTGGAGCTGGTTACTTGTACGCTTTAGCGGCTGAAATTCAAACCATTCCTGGTTTACCAACCCACTGTGGTTTCATGAATGTTGAAGTCAATGAAGAAGGCGAGATTGATGGATTGTTTTAGTGCATTTAGTTGATCCCCATGTTTTTGGAGAATTTTTTTCAAAATTAAAACTTTTTCAACCTAGTTTTAACGAATGTTATGAATTGATGTTTTCTTTTTTTTTATTGATAGATGTTAGCCAAGTATAGTTCAACACGTATATCTATGTTTTCTTTGATTTGTAGAGTAAGAAAGTAGATCATATACAGAGTTGAAGTATTGGGCTGAGTAGAGAGTAGTAAAGCGTGAGTCAAGTAGAATGATATTGTGATCCTGAAAGACTCTCTCAGCTTCAAAGTGCGAGAAAAAAAACTTCAACCAACTGTGAAAGAAAATTGAATCATCAATTTTTATCATTCATCCAATAAACAAAGATAAACATTGCGATAAGTCATCAATCAAAAGTCAGGAAGAACACACTCCCTTGAAAACACCCATTAAAGTATTTGATCCCATTGCTGAATTGCCACCTAGTGACCCAACTTTAATTTTTCATCAGACTTGAATCCCTAAGGAATACCAAACATTATCATGTCCCTCACAAGATTATCCAAACAATTTCACCCAATCGTCAGAAATGCTTTTGCAAAACAGTCAGCATCATTTGCATTGACCCAACCATTTCGTCACTTTACCGTGCCAACCATATTCAACACTACTAAGCCTGCCATATACAACTCCATCAAGACAAATGTCAGATCTTATAGCGTCTTGACAGAATCTCCAGAGGCCAAATTATACAAATACGATGACGTTAAAGACATTGCTGCTAATCCAAAAAAACACCCTGATTCAGTTTTGGTTGACGTTAGAGAACCAGTTGAATATGACGATGGCCATATCCCGGGAGCAATCAATCTTCCATTCAAGAGTAGTCCAGGTGCTTTGGACTTGTCTGAAGATGATTTCCTTGATAACTTTGGGTTTGATAAACCAGACAAGAACAAAGAGTTGGTATTTTATTGTCTTGGAGGTGTTAGATCTACTGCAGCTGAAGAATTGGCCAATACATTTGGATACAAAAAGAGAGGAAACTACGTTGGTAGTTATGAGGATTGGCTTGCCCACGAGAACAAGAAGAAATCAGTAGATTAATGCAAAAATTTGTATTGAATTTTTCAAAGTGCTGTCAATAATTGCACTCGATTAATCACTTGTCAATAGTTTTCTTCAAATGTTTTAATTTTGGTTTTCAACAAACTTTCAAAGTCAATCTTTGCCTTATAGATTTTATATGTTTTCTTTACCACACCCGACAATAAAAACAGTTCTTAAGCTATACAATCCCTATACATTACGAGATCTGAACTCCAATTGCCTGAACTCCTTTCCTAATCTCTTCTTTCTCTTTCTTTCCATGGCCTTCTCTCTTTGTTTAGGTTTCATGCTATCGTATTTGGCTTTCTGTAGAATCTTTCTCTTGTCACCACGCTTTAAAAAGTATGGCTGGCTCGATTTGCCCTCTTTGACATCTAGATATTGCTTCTTCTTGTATTCTTTTAAAATTTGTGTTTCCAAGTCATGATTCTTTAACGTGTCCATTCTTGATTTCAACGATTGAAGCTTTAGTTTGATTTCCTCCTTTTGGTCCTCATCCAACTTTGATTTCTTGTCTTTTAAAATTTGTTCCATATTTTGAATCTCTTGCTTTCGATACTCATCTAAAAAGGCATAGTTCTTTCTAGTTTGGGTTATGTCTGCTTTTCCATAAGCGGCATCAAATCGTATATCAGTATGTAAAGTTTGCAGTTTTCTTGAAGGTAGACCCTGAATGTCTCTGATTCTGGACACTGGTTTCTTACTTGATGCTTCGGCTGGGGCATGTTTGCTTCTCTTTTTATGAGAGTTTGTGTTGGTTTCTTCTGGGCCAGAATCTGAATCCGATTCCTCAAAAAACCCGTCGGAATCGATTTCATTCTTTCGACTAACCTTTTCATTCTGTAATTTTGATTGGGCATCACGTAATGTACCAAAAGAGATGGTGGCCAACTCATCATCCTCTTGATGAAGATCCTTGTGTTTTCTTGAGCGGTTTGGAACACTCAGCTGTTGATAGTATGCTTCATCCTCAGACGAGTCCAGGTCATATACTGGCTTTATTCTTGAATGTTTCGGCATATGCATTCGTGGGGTCTGGTCGCAATGGTTCTAAGGGGAAGGGTCAATGTTTTTCAAAAACCAGGCACAATTTTTCGTCTGATGAGTTTGGTGTATATGCAGGATTCATGCACTTTTGGCATGCTTGCAGACATGAAAACATTTGGTGGCTTCTCACTTGCAGTTAATACTGAGTTGCTGCAGATGAGTCTTGATGTACCTGTTGCAGATGTGCCTGTTGCAGATCCGATGATTCAAAGTGTGACTCTCTTTCTTGGAGGAATCATGTCAATTCATTCGCACGTATTGCTTTTACCACTCGCTGAGCACAAGAAATTGAGCGGGTTTTAGTTTAGTCAGATTACAACTATAGAGCTCTCAAGGTGTCAATCTATTATCCATCCTTCGTGATTTGATTAGTTGGGTTAGGTGTCTCTTGCTCAAGATTGAAATCAACAAAAGAGGGGCAACACAAAAATAGAGACAGACAGAAAATAGAAAACGCTCCCAACAACCAATTTCAGCCAGAATTTTGTTCTTTCTCGGAAATTGAAGAAAGAAAAAAAAACAAAAAAAATTGTTGAACGTCTTTTAAACAAGTTTTGTCTTTTCATCAAAAACTGATCATATATATATATATATCTATTCTATAAGTCAGGATTACCAATCATTCACAATGTTGTCAAGATCTATTGCTCGTTTTTCAAGGGTATGTTATCACCAATTGAGTCTACTTGTTCAGCTACGGTTGAAGATAAATCAGTCCAATTGCATTTGCTATCAAAGTTGAATCGGGAAGAGGGGTATACAAAGTGGAAGGGGGGTCTTTTTTTACATCATGATTGCAACTACAATTTCCCATTAGATGTTAATTCCATGCCCCTTACAAGAACGGAGCTTCTTTGAGAGTATCAATAGCTTCTTGCTTGTCCACGTTGACCCTTTTAATGCCGAGCTTTCAAATATTGGCGAATTTTTTTTTTTTTTTTTCGTCCTTCTTCCAACCGATATGCGATATGTTCCGGGATTTCATAAAATACTAACAAAATGCTTTTTCTTTTTAGTCAATTGCCCAACAAAAAAGATTCTTGTCGTTACATGAATACCGTTCTGCTGCTTTATTGAGCGAATACGGTGTTCCAATTCCAAGAGGTTATCCTGCAACAACTGCCGAGGGTGCATTTGATGCTGCCAAAAAATTGGGAACTGATGAATTGGTCATCAAGGCACAAGCATTGACCGGAGGTCGTGGTAAAGGCCACTTTGACTCTGGTTTACAAGGTGGTGTCAAGTTGATCTCATCACCAGAAGAAGCTAAAGATTTGGCTAGTCAAATGTTGGGTCACAAATTGATCACTAAGCAAACCGGTGCCAAAGGTAAAGAAGTCACTGCTGTCTATATTGTTGAGAGAAGAGACGCTCAATCTGAAGCATACGTTGCTATTTTGATGGACAGAGCTAAGCAAACCCCAGTTATTGTTGCTTCTTCTCAAGGTGGTATGGACATTGAAGGTGTTGCCGCTAAGGATCCATCCGCAATCAAGACCTTCCCAGTTCCATTGGAAGAAGGTGTTTCCGATAAATTGGCTACCGAAATTGCATCCCTGTTGGGATTCACAAAGGATGCCATTCCAGAAGCTGCCAAGACTATCCAAGGATTGTACAAGTGTTTTATTGACCGTGACTGTACCCAAGTTGAAATCAACCCATTGTCAGAAACCCCAGACCACAAAGTTTTGGCTATGGATGCCAAATTGGGTTTCGACGATAATGCCGCTTTCCGTCAACAAGAAGTCTTTTCATGGAGAGACCCAACTCAAGAAGACCCACAAGAAGCCGAAGCAAGTAAATATGGTTTGAACTTTATCAAATTGGACGGTAACATTGCCAACATTGTCAACGGTGCTGGTTTGGCTATGGCTACTATGGATATCATCAAGTTGTACGGTGGTGAACCAGCCAATTTCTTGGACTGTGGTGGTACTGCTACTCCAGAAACCATCGAGAAAGCTTTTGAATTGATTTTGTCTGACAAAAACGTCAATGGTATTCTTGTAAATATCTTTGGTGGTATTGTTAGATGTGACTACGTTGCCAAGGGTTTGATTGCCGCAACGAAGAACTTCAACTTGGATATCCCAGTTGTTGTTAGATTACAAGGTACCAACATGGCTGAAGCTAAGGAATTGATTGAAAATTCTGGTTTGAAATTGTATGCCTTTGAAGACTTGGATCCAGCTGCTGAAAAGATTGTAGAATTGGTCCCAAAGAAGGCTTAGAGTGAAGGAGAGATGTGTCCATATATAGAGAATGAATAAAACAAGAAACAGAAGGAATAATTTTTGATTATGTCGTAGCTTTGGAATCGGTTCTGTTGGTAGTGTGTAGCGTGAAAAAAAGAGACATAAAAAATTCAAAGCGAATTATCGCCACCAACACAATTGAGTAGTTACCATCCATTTCCATAAACCAATTGCCAACAAAAAACAATTACATCCCTTACCCAAAGACATGTTCTTAACTCGAAGTGAATACGATAGAGGTGTATCCACCTTTTCACCAGAAGGAAGACTTTTCCAAGTTGAATATTCTCTCGAGGCCATTAAATTAGGATCAACTGCAATTGGTATCCAGACCAGTGAAGGTGTCATATTAGGAGTTGAAAAACGTGTCACCTCATCTCTACTTGAATCTTCGTCTATTGAAAAGATTGTCGAAATAGATCATCATATAGGATGTGCCATGAGTGGATTGACTGCAGATGCTAGATCGTTGATTGATCACGCTCGTGTATCCAGTTTGACACACAATTTGTATTATGATGAAAACATTGGTGTTGAAAGCTTAACCCAAAGTGTTTGCGATTTGTCATTGAGGTTTGGGGAAGGTGCCGATGGTGAAAAGAGATTGATGTCGAGACCGTTTGGTGTTGCTTTATTGATTGCAGGATTTGATAAGGAAAAAGGTCCTCAATTATACCATGCCGAGCCATCGGGAACCTTTTACAGATACGATGCCAAGGCAATCGGCTCTGGAAGTGAAGGTGCTCAAGCTGAGTTGAACAATGAATACCACAAGAGTTTGAGTTTGAAAGATGCAGAGTTGTTGGCGTTGAAGATTTTGAAACAAGTTATGGAAGAAAAATTGGATTGCAAAAATGCACAATTGGCCAGTGTTACAGAATCAGAAGGGTTTAAAATATACAGTGACGAGAAAACGGACGCAATTATAAAGGTTTTGAATGAACAAGCTACGGATGAAGATACCTTGATGAGCTAAGATATATATCATTTAGAATTTTCAATGCACTCAATCATTCAGGGAAACACAGCTCCAATCTATCACTCAACTCGAGCAATTTTCTATTCTCCTTCTCGCCAACTCGTTTAATCGTAGAAAGAAAGTATGCAAGTAGCTCCCCGAATTTTTGATAACGAAGGAGAAAACTTTCATCCATGTAGTCAAGCCGTTTTTGCACCAGCTCACCATCCATCGGTTTATTGAACTTTCCCGGAAACTCTTTCGAAAATGTTTCAAACAACTCAGGATGAACAAGTACCAACATTTTCTTCATTTGGATAGTGTAAGATTGAAACAGGATAATAAAATAAAACATTTCCTTGACACACAGTAACGTCTCGGGACGAGTTAGCAAGGAGTCGCTAAGTGCAACAGTTGTATATGTCTCTAACTTTACTTTCAAATCATTGACTGATAAACTTGCATCAGTTGTTGTTGTCTTGCGTGAATTGATCCTTTTATCAAATATGGAATTCATTCCATAGTTGCTCAGTAGTTTATTGTTGAGTGCTTGCTCCTCTTTACTAGTAACATCCGAGCCCATGTTTGCACTAGATAACTGGTCCATGTACTCATTCAACATATGATGAATCTGGTCGTAGTTACTCTCAATCACATCGTACATTACATAGGATTGTACATGAGTCACAAATGTTAAGATCCGTGATTGCAACATCCTGCATCTCAAGATCCATTTCTGTATTCTTTGAGGAAACGACATTTCTGTCCATATTCTGGACGTATTGATATCTTGCCAATTGTTTTCGATCTGTTTGGTTACAAATTTTAGCATAAATAAAAACTTGAACAAGGTTTCATATTGGTATGATATTTGTCTATTCAAGACAAAATTTAGTGGGAATTGTAGTGGAACAGTCAAATCCACACTCAAAAACGTGATATCCTCAACGCTATCACTCAGCCTCTTTTCGAGACCCTCCTCATCCTCGTTCCTTAGTTCCCCAGTACTATTGTGCTCTTTAAGCAATTCTCGAAGATCATAATGTGTTAGATCTGACTCCTTTCTTGCCATCAATTCCTCTGTGGCTTTAAAGAAATTTTCAATCGTGATTGTAAATCGCTGGCTAAGTTCTACCACACTGACAGCAAATGGGTTGCTCTTTCTTTCTGAATCCAACGATGATGTTACATGCTCGTCATATTGTCTCAGAATTTTCAGTGTTGATATTCTATACTTGTTTCGTTTCAAATCTTGAAATGCGTCATCAATAAATGAATCTATAGTGAAAGATTTATCAAACAAGAAAAGTGTTTGAAACGCTTCCACCAACCTGGGGAACCGGTAACCTTCAAACAATAGTTTCAATAGCATCTTGTTTGCTCGAGCAAAGAATAAATCAATCTTGAGCTCCAAATCTGGAGCATTGAGACTTTTTACACACTCCAAAGTTTCACCCAAGTATTGAAAATCATGCAAGTTAGTACACGTTTTAAACATGCTCAAAAATTTTCCCGTGTTTATAATCTTGTTTTGAATTTTTGTGTCAAGGAATTGATCAAGTAACCCATCCTCTTTAAACAAAAATAGCTCATTCCAATAAAAATCACTTCTCGTTTGGAAAAAGGACTGTAGTCCCTTGGGTATTTTGGCAACCTGGATCATAAACTCGTCGAATGGATCCTCAATGGATCCTTCAGCAAGCCAGTGGTTCAACATCTGTACATAGTCAACACTCACTTCATCATAAAGTGCAGACAAGAAGCTGTATGATATAGCATCGCCTTTGAAAGCGGAGATTCTTTCTTGAATAATCTTTAAAACAAGCCCACCTTTACAAACTCTCATTTTCTCTGTATACATGTCTGTTTCTAGACGATGTAGTTTTGTGGTGGTCGACTCCTCTTTCGGTAGGCTGCATCTCTCTTCATTCAATTGATGTATCTCTATGGCAATGGAGTACATGTGGGACATCTTGTTGGCTATTTCTTGGTAGAGAACTTGCTCGAGTGCATTTATGTTGAATGTGGAATTGTATTGAAATTCACGCTCTAAAGAAACGAGCACGTCGATGTACAGCTTAAAGAATTCAGCTATGCTGTGACAAAAGGCTTGCACCAATTTCCCATAAGCCGCATCATTATAGTATTCAATGAATGAATTTAATCCACTAAAATGCTTACCAATTCGTATTATCCTTTTGGTGACTGTTTTCAAACTGACATCCAAATTTTTTGCAATTTTGAAGTCAATTCCTCGAATTTTGGCACTTTTCGAAGACTTATTATATGTTTTGCCATATTGAATGTAGTGACCTTCGTATCCTAAGAGAGCGAATAATATATCTTTAATTATCAATGCCTGTTGTATATTTATATCATCGATTTCCAGAAGCAAAGGAGCCGGTAACTTTTGCACCAATGGAAGTTCAGACACAATACATGACATTTGAGTACCACACGGATCAGCGTTATCCAAATCAAACTCCATTAATTGTACAGCATCATAAGTTGGTTGAGGACTGGATGATTTTTCTTGTTGTTTATACATTGTGAAGTCCTGACTTGAATGAGGGTCAAGTGATGAAAAAGAAACTCCTTCTTGATTTTTTTGATTCCTTTGATTAAATTCAAAAATTCTTGGACCCTCTTGTAGTCGGTTAATTTGTGAAGGAGTATACTGATTCATACGGTTGTTGGTATGAAGGAATCTCTCTTTACTTTGTTTACAGTTGTTTGAATGTTTTGATTTTTCTAATTTTGTTCTTCTCGCGTACAATACACAGTTTACTCATTACACAAAATCAAACGCTATTCAATCCATTCCAGATCTTCATCATCTTCAACATCCAGAATATTCATAGCTGCAATCGCCAACTCTGCTTCTTCTTGCACCTTTTTCAACCCACAAAGCTCCTCCAAGTATCCTTGCTCATTGAGGCACCTCTTTACAAATTCCCATTTGTGGTCATTGTACTCGGTTACAACTTTTTCGGAACAAGCAGAACAATGTACATATCCAGGTGCATACAAACTAGCTTGTGAAAAGTTGTGTAAAAACCCCCGTATCTGATGCGGTATAGCCCCAAAAGTTGTGACATCGCCATGTCTTGCTCTATGTTTTTCAGGTTGTTGCAAAATTGACACTAACAACTCTACTGCCAAGGAGGACGCCATCAATGCTCCGCCAGGTCGTGTTACGGTACACATTTGATCTAAGGTACGATCACTTAGACTGTCATCTGGTGCGACAACATCATTGCAAAAGTAGCAGCCTAGACGATCTGCTTTCAGTTGCGAGGGACTACCGTGTCTCATGACCAAGTAACTATCAAACCCTAATGCTGCATTAATCACAATCTTGTCTTTGGCAGCTCCAATAACAGTGGGAAGCCACCTTGACTCTCTGGAATCCATCAATAAAAAGATCACATCATTCTGTGAGATCAAAGTGTCCAAAAGCTCATAGGAGGCCCTCTGCTTTTCTTCATCAGTAACAGGATGCCCAATCATGGGCACTTCCAAACGTACACCCTTTGCGGAAACGCCTGGGTATACGGTTTTTAGGTTATCGGCAGCTTTTTGAGCTTTTAATTCTCCTTGACCATTGTCGCTGAAGCAATCTTTGAAATTGAAAAGCAGCTGTCGTACAGGATTTGAGTAGGAAACACGTCCATTGTCAACAAATGTTATGTCTTTGAACCCCCAACCTAGCAACGTCCTCCCCACGTAACTCCCCAATGTTCCAGCTCCTAAGAGTAGGATTTTTTGCTTTTTTATGATATCAAGATCTAGCTGCGGTGCAATCCTCCATTTCATCAACTTTAGATTCAATTCAACTGCTTGGTTTGCAAGTTCCAATGGATCAATCAACAAGCCCAAATCGGCTATTTTGGGACTCAATTTCCCCTGACTGGTACGTTCCCACCCAGTGACTTTGAGCGGGTCCGGAACTGTCGAAAGAGAAAGAGTCCACTTGAATGAACCTTCTTTTCTATACACCACCAAGTCAATCTTTCGAAAACCTTGTTGAGCTAGGTAGTATAGATAGTTCTTAACCTGAATCGAAGGTTTGTGCTCCAAGGTGACACAAGAATCGTAATATACAAACGTATGAGATTTCTCGACATCAGCTGTGTCAAAGAGTTTACCATTATCAAGTTGAAGGAATTGACCACTCGTGGATACGGCATTTTGTTTGAGCAATTCGTTTGTCTCTGGATTCACTTGTTCTTCTCCTTCGAGGGTCCATTCACTACCCAATATTGGGAATGCCATCCAATAATAAAACTTGTATTTTTTCAAATCCGAGTAGCTCCATACATAGAAATAGTTGAAGGTTTCAACATCAAATGTCTTTGCCTTTAATATTTTCTCCTTTAGTTGTTGCCCCCAATCCTTCAATAGCTCTTGTTTATTCTTTTCCTTGTACTCCTCAATGGTGTTGACATTAATCAATTCTCCTTTGATTGTTAAGCTGTCCTCTCTAGCTGGCACTTCACTGGCAAAACTGTCATCCTCTAAATGCACGATCGGAGTGTCATTAAATTTGTTTAAATGTTGAGCTTTCAATTGGAAGCCACATATTAGCTGACTTGATGAATCTAACTTGAACTTATCTAGCTTTAGCTCAGCTAATTTCGTAAAGAAGGAAGAGTCTACAAACGACTGAGTTGGTGAATATTTTGGATGTGGCATATGGACGTCACGGAAGGAAACGAAACCTTTAAGGGTAAATCTCTAATCAACATTAAATTGCGCGCTACAAAAAACCACACTATTTATTTACTCCACCTATTCATTCATCGGCGTATCTTGTAATGTCATTTCATCAAGTTCATCAAGCAACTCGTCAATGGCAATTCTTGGAGCATCGTCTTCATCTTCTTCATCAATGTCGTCATCGTTCTTTTGCGGTTGCCCTTCATCAGCTTTATACATATTGATTGTTTGTCTCAATTCTTCATCTTCTTCCAATTCTTGCAAGAACAATTCATAGTCTCTTTCGGCCTTTTCTTGTTCTTGTCTGGCTTGTCTTGAATCATCATTTGCGATAATATCGTTGTGTTCCTTAGCCATTCTCTTCAACTTCCACTTTCTATTCTTTGATTTCTTTGATTTTCTTGCATAGTGCTTCTTGACTATAACCACCTCTGGTGTATTATCAGTATCCAATGTATCCCAAAGCTCGGAATTCAAATTTGAGTTTGTTAAATAATATCCAAGACACGAATCTCCGGGATGCAAAATAGCGCCCAAATGCGACCTCACATAAAACGTTTGGTCATTAGACCCGAAGTCACTGGCTCGGCTAACTTCAATATCCGCCAAAACGTATTTTCCTTTGATGTCACCAGTGGGCTCAACATCCAAAACAATAAACTCGACTAGTTGGGTTGCATCTAATAAGGAAGGGAATGGTGATCTCCAATACACTTGAGACGATAGGTCGGCTGTTTGCAACGTACTGAAATCAACAAATTGCATGGCATTATTAACTTTGTTACATAATACCAACCGTGAAATATTTCCCATCGAGTGTGCCAATTTCTTTGGTAATACCACCAAATCGTCACGACAAATCGGGGCGATTTCAATGGAGAAGGAAAATTTGTAACTGGAAGAGCCCGAGTGTATATCAGTACTAACAAGCTCCTCGGATTTTTTCACTTTCACAGGTGCAACCGAAGTCAAAAAGTCAACCATTTTTGCTGCATGATTCTTTTGTGCGTAAAAGAAATCCAATCCATCCTTGGTCTCTTGAATTGAAACTGTGTCCATATGAGCATTGTGTTTTAAAATCAATTGCTCCAAGTACAAAAATGTCCTTTTATGAGGAACTTTTTGCCTTATTTGAACGGTCGCCCTCCATGTGTTTGTAGTGTATGACTTTGCACAGTCGGGACACTGCATTGCAATGACAACATATTCAACTTCAAATGTCTGCTGGACTATAGTATTGGCCATGGCTTCACCTTGAACAGTGAGTTTAACTCTAATTCTTCGTGAATGTGGTTCTGTCCAAATAAATGATGCATCCACCAATCTTACCTTGTTCAAACCTTTCAAACGTCTGAGACAGAGTGCAAGAAGCTCTCTTGATTCAAGTTGAGCTCTAATCCACTGCCCTGGAGGTTGTAAAAATCTCTCACAATTTCTGCAGAACGAAACATTTGCCTCCCTGGGGATACCTTCAGTTATATCAACGTTCAACTTTATACAATCATAACACATAACAAGCCCCTGTGAACCGTCCATAGGAACACCACAGTTGCAACAAAGGACAGTTGCAACAGGGCCAGAAGCTGTATCACTTGGAGTTAATTGGGTGTAATTTGACATGATTGATGAGAAGAATATATAGCTTATTGCTGAATAATGATTCCTTTTCTCTTCTTTTTTTTTTATGTCATCTCAAATGGGGAGCGCATTTTGCGTTAAGAGTGCATATAAACAAGTGTTTCTGTTTTTGATTTTTCGACAATTGTATATATCAACAATCAACTTTATTCAGACATGGTTGATAGAAAAAGAACTATAAAGGTGGAAGATGATGAGAGTGAAGATGACACACCATTGAATAAAAAGATAAAGCTAGAGTCAAAGGAGACGACACCTGTTGTGGATAAGAAAGTAGCCGAGACAGCGAAGAACGATGAAGTTAAAGTAGAGGATGCTAACGACAATGAACAGTCGAATGATGATGACGATGGCGCTGGTGAGGACAACGATGATGATGGCGACGGCGATGACGATGACGATGACGATGATGATGATGATGATGATGATGACGAGGCAGAAGAAGAGCGAAAACGAATAACGAACTTTAATTTTGATGGAGAAATCTACACATTCAAAGAGCGACCCTCAGTTATTGAGGAAAAAGAAGGCAAGATTGAGTTTAGAGTGGTGAACAACGACAATACAAAGGACAGTCTAATAGTTTTGACAGGTCTCAAAAACATTTTCCAAAAGCAGTTGCCAAAAATGCCACGTGAATATATTTCGCGATTAGTTTACGATCGTTCACACTTGTCCATGGCTGTTGTACGAAAGCCGCTCACAGTAGTCGGTGGTATAACATACAGACCTTTCAATAATAGAGAATTTGCTGAGATTGTGTTTTGTGCAATCTCCTCCACTGAGCAAGTTCGCGGTTATGGTGCCCATTTGATGAATCATTTAAAAGACTATGTTAGAGCAACATCACCGATCAAGTATTTTTTAACTTATGCTGACAATTATGCCATTGGTTACTTTAAAAAGCAAGGTTTCACGAAAGAGATCACGCTTGATAAGTCGGTGTGGATGGGCTACATTAAGGATTATGAAGGTGGAACTTTAATGCAATGTTCGATGCTCCCGTCGATCCTTAGATATCTTGACCTGGGAAAGATACTTCTTTTACAAAAAGCGGCAATTGAAAGGAAAATCAGGCTGCGGTCAAAGTCTAATATTGTGCGACCGGGGCTCCAAATATTCAAAACAAACAAAAATGTGACACTTGATTATAAGGATATACCCGGGTTGGCCGAAGCGGGATGGCTGGAGGAGATGGATAAGTTAGCGCAAAAGCCAAAAAGGGGCCCGCATTACAATTTCATGGTTACACTTTTTTCAGAAATGCAAAACCATCCTTCTGCTTGGCCATTTGCTGTTCCTGTCAACAAGGATGAAGTTCCAGACTATTATGATGTCATTAAAGAGCCCATGGATTTATCTACAATGGAACTGAAATTGGAAAACGATAAATATGAATCATTTGACCAATTTTTGTACGATGCAAGGTTGATTTTCAAAAACTGTCGATCTTATAACAGTGAGTCTACAACGTATTTCAAGAATGCCAACAAATTGGAAAAATTTATGAACAACAAGATAAAGGATAGTGCCGAGTATTCCCATTATTTAGACTAGAGGATTCAGTTTTTGTGTTAAAAAGCTGTCGGAGAAAAAAAAAGTTGTTGGTGATAAATAATCCGTCAAATGTAAAATTGCTTCTCTGTAAAATCGCATCTCTTTTAGAAACATACATTATCAAAATGACCGCCGAAGTTTATTCCTATGCCGAGCAGGCTGATCTTGCAAACGCCGTTGGAAAGTACATTGTTAAACATCAGAATGAAGCTATTAAAGCAAACGGATCATTTAAAATTGCAATTTCAGGAGGCTCCCTAGGTAAAGTTTTGAAAGAGGCATTGATTGATAATAAGGACATAGGTGCAGAAGTGCAATGGGACAAATGGGAGGTGTATTTCAGCGATGAAAGACTTGTTCCATTGAATCACGAGGACTCCAATTATGGCCTTTTCAATGAAATGGTTCTTTCGAATCTTGCTTCTTCAACAAAACCAAAAATATACACTATAGATGAATCGCTATTAACAGGTAACAACGGACAAATAGAAGGTGCCGATATTGAAAAGGATAAAGAAATTGCCAAGAGATATGCTGCTCATTTACCTCACAAGTTGGATGTCATATTGTTGGGATGTGGTCCGGATGGACACACTTGTTCGTTATTCCCAGGGCATAAACTTCTCCACGAAAGGGCCCAGTTAGTTTCCTATATAAATGACTCACCAAAACCACCTCCAAGAAGAATCACAATTACATTCCCAGTCTTGGAGAGTGCAACTGCAATCGCATTTGTAGCTCAAGGGTCAGGAAAAGCACCTATTTTGAAAGAAATCTTTAACGATTCTGAAAGTAAGTTACCTTCCAAGTTGGTTACCGACATCACATCTGGAACCGAAATTAGTTGGTTTGTTGATTCTGCTGCAATTGAGGGTGCCGACGTATTAAGTAGCAAATATTAGATTTTGATTTAGAATAACAATAATTCCTTTTTTTTATAGAGACTAAATTTAGGTTGCATTAAAATTTTGTGTCGAATAAAGTCCAGACCTCTCTGAAGGATCAAGTCGCCATGGGTATGTGTACCACTAACACTCGATGTAACCTGAGACCTCTGCTAACTAACACTTCAAGGATTAGGTGTTGCATTATGGTTTTGTCCGAGACAAAACTCTCAAATCCATGATAAATTGACAACATTGAGTAGTTCCATAAACACATTGTTTCCTGGACTGCCACCCAAGTTTGAACCACATATAACCATTACCACCAATGTCAGCATCAATCTCGATGATCCGTCGAAAACAAAGGATGACGTTGATAAAGTTTTGTCAGCTTGTGCTGTGGCTTTGCAATCGTTACCCAAAAATCATGCCAAGCTTGTGACTATAGGAAATGTTAACAGTCAAAGGAAGTACTTTCAAAAGCTATATTTTGAAGTGGTTAAGGATCCCAATTTGATTCTGTTTGCGCAAATTATGAGAGAATTATTTGTCATAGCGCCAGCTGACATTGAAGCAGAGAATCAAAAGCAGAACCCACAATTGTACACCACTGATAATCATGGAAATACAGTACGGCGAAGACCTCTGAGAAAGCATAGCAGGGAATTGTCACAAACTACAATTAAGGAATTTGATACCACTGAAATTCAAAGACGGGCCAGGTACAAGGCGGTCGAATGGGCAGAGAAAGAGTACGAGCCACATATATCCCTAGTATATAGCAATATTTGGCCCATTGACAATGCATTGTGGCTAACAATCAAAACGAGAATCAGCGACTATCTTGGCATTGAAGATGTTGATGCCGGAAACCTACACAACCATGGCCTTGGATGGGATAGTGGGGTTTTCAAGTTGGTTTTATGTGAAGGCGAAGTTCAAGACTGGATTGTTTTGGGAAGTGTTGACGTCTAGTGTGCGTTGTGGAAAATAATTTTGGTAAATGTCGAAAGTTCCAGAGGCACTTGTTGCAAGGGCATACTTCAGGCTTGAAATATTGCAGTGATGACCCTGTCTCAGCCAAACACTACAGATATAGTAACTATTTATCCAGCATATAGAGCGTATAATGGTTTGTATCTACGAAGCTAGCTTTTGTAAAGGGCGCTCGATTGAAGCCGTAGTGGGTAAAATCGCCGCCTTTGTGTAATTTGTGCCTTCTTGAAATGCTTTTTTGTTTGCAATATCTCAGTGAAAAATTTAGAGTAAACCACCAACATCTTCAGAGTAACCCTCATCTTAAATGCAAATAAATCCAATTAGTGAATACTTTTGCGAGACATGTTCGGGGGCGTTTGAAAATCCAAACGATGCACAGAAACATTTGTCAACCACAAGACACAAGTCAGTAAAGCTTTTGCCTCTAGATGAGATTTTGGAATGTGAAGAGTGTGCAGATTCTAATATTCACCAACTAGCCATCTTGCGTTACGGGCTCAATGATATGGCCTTGATGTGTCAGCAGTGCTTGGACAGCACGACCAAGGATAGTGGTGAAGAGCCGACAGCAAAGTATACGTTATCAAATGGTGCCTTATTCGGAAAATTAGCCCAGTACATCAAGTTTAGAGATATCCTGTGTGCGTCATGCGGAGCAGATGATGATCTATACGTTGCAAATACCCCCAATGGGCAGATAGTAAGCTGTAAACAGTGTTTGCCAAAGTATGAATCTCCAAACATTACCTTTGTCAGTGAAAATGATGACAAATTCTTGACTGAGCTTTTAGGATTAAAGGAGGTGCTTGTTAAAAGTAAGTCTTTTGGAAAAAAGGACGGGAGAAGAGGTGGGAGTAGAGGCGGGAGAAAAGGTGGTCGTGGAAGGTCCGTTGGGAGATCCAGAAGAGTTAAAAAGGAGGATCCAGAAGCCGAATCAAGACGACAACATTATCAAGAGTCAAAAAAGTTTGCCAGTGATGTAAAGTCGGGATCGACAGTCAAAGCTATTGGAGCTGGTAGTATTGGTGATAGCTCAGGGAAGCCACCAAATGGAAAAGAAGCCAAGAAGGCGAAAGGTTTCAGAAAAATGGTTGGTAATGTGGGAGACCTGAAAGCAGTTAACTCAAAGGATACGAAGGGTGATGGAAAGGGCAGTGGCAAAGGAAAGGGACAAGATAATGTAAAGGGTAATGGAAAGGGCAATGCTAACGGAAAGGGACAAAGTAATTCCAAGCCGGCGTCAAAAGCAAATTCGAATGCCGACAATCTATCTACTATTAATTCAAAGATGTCATCAAAAACAAATAAGGTTGAGAAAACTGTATCTAAAAATGGTAGTCCAAAAGTGGGGACATCTTCGAAGTCTCAAGGCTCGAAGCAAACAAACCTCAAAAAAGAGACTACCCACAATCCAAGGAATTCCAAGGTCGCACCCAAGAAAGAGTCAAACACCCACATGAATGACCTCAAAAGTCCCGTTCGTAAGGAAAAGACCCCCAGTCGTCAGAACTCTCCCGCACCGCTGTCTGAGTTGGTGTTACCTCCATATATTACTAAATACCATCCTTCACCAAAGCCCAAGCTTTCCTATGACACCATTGACGAGTATTTCCGTGAAATGAGTTTCAATGTCTTTTTGGAAGATCAACTCACCAATGTGCTGAACATAATTGAGCCTCAGGACTTGATTATTGAGTGGTTTCAGGATCAGGACAAGAAAAACAACCAATTCAAGGTGAGTATTCCAATGAAACCAGAAATTATGAACAGGTTCTTATCCGATACTTTCAAAAGTTTAAAGAAAGATCCATTCCAAAAAGATCAAGCAATGTTTTTGATCTTGAATGATGAGATCCCTTGGTACGGTAAAGTGGCCACTGTTGACAGTGTCAAAACTGGGAAAAATCGGAAAACGTCCAAGGTTAGTCATGTGGAGATGGTGATTGTCCTTTACAAATGGAATAACCAGCCGTTACCGAAAACAGTTCATGCGCAACATTTGAAGCTTTTGCCAGCATCAATTCCAGTCAGTAGAATCCTCAACGCAATGGACAACCTTGCAAATCCAAGCTTTATCAAGATGTTATTGGGAAAAGAACCAATCAAGCAAATCACATTCAACAATAGAGTTAATTTTTCTTCCAATTTGAACGATTCACAAAAGGCAGCTATCCAATCAGTTTTGAATAACAAGATCAGCGTGGTTCAGGGCCCTCCCGGAACTGGTAAAACTTCAGCAATATACGAAACGATTATTCAATTGCTTGAAGCATTGAACACGTTTCCGGTTCTTGTGGTTGCGGCATCAAATATAGCAATTGACAACATCGCTGAAAAGTTGTTGCCAAAGCATGGGAAGCTGATTTTGAGGATAGCCGCAACGAGCAAGGAGAGGGAATATAATAGAGACCACCCATTGGCCAGCATTTGTCTTCACCACAAAATATTCGATGCAATGTCAATGAAGCATCAACAAGTGCAGAATGATATGAGACGTGGCACAAGTGTCAGCAGTAACGCTTATAAACAGTTTGCTCTTGAAAAATTTCAAATCACGAAAGAGCAAGTGGCTCAAGCGAAAGTTATTCTCACAACCACTGTTGTGGCTGGTGGGCCACAATTGAAATCACTTGCAAAATGTCCCGTTGTGATTATGGACGAGGCGACTCAGTCATCAGAGCCAAGTACGTTGATTCCATTAGCAGTCCCTGGTGTTGAAAAGTTTGTGTTTGTGGGTGATCAACGACAATTGAGTTGTTTTTCATTGATCCCGAATTTGTCAACGTCATTATTTGAAAGGGTTTTGCTCAATGGATCATACGTATCACCTCACATGTTGGACATTCAGTATAGAATGCATCCAGCAATCAGTGAGTTCCCCAGAACCAGGTTCTATAATGGTAAAGTGAAAAACGGGATCACTGCTGATTCAAGGAAAATGGAAGGAATTCCCGAAAACCCAGTGTTCTTTTGGAACACCAATGGAAATGCGAGAGAACAATCGGTACGCAATTTCCTACGTGAGGATCGAGGTTACACATATACCAATCGAGATGAGGTTTCATATATTCAACAAGTCTTGAGATCATTGTTGATTGAAAAAGGAATTCATAGAGAAAATATTGGAGTTGTGACGCCTTACTCTGGTCAACGTGATTTGATATCATCTGTATTGGTGAAAGATGACATTATTAACCCGACAAATGAAGAATTGCAAGTCGAAGTTGATATTGATGATATTACCAATGATTCCAAACCAGTTAGTATTCACATAGTATCTGGCATAATGATTGCTTCAATTGATGCATTTCAAGGAAGGGAAAAAGATTTCATGATAATGTCATGTGTTCGATCAAACAACCAAGGTACAATTGGGTTCCTCAAAGATGAAAGGAGATTAAACGTGGCACTCACCAGAGCCAAGTATGGTTTAATAATGATTGGTGATGTCAATTGTTTAAAGAAAGGTGACAAATTGTGGAAAGAGTACATGCAATACTTGGAAGAAAAAGGCTTGATACATACTCAGCTAATATATTAAGTAGGTTATTCAATACTCAATGGTGTGGTGTAAACTAGTTTCAAGTCTTTTTGCCTTCTCCTTTTTACTTTTGGAGGTTGCAAAAAAGATTGAAAAAAATAACGACAACTGCAGGACTCGAACCTGCGCGGGCAAAGCCCAAAAGATTTCTAATCTTTCTCCTTAACCACTCGGACAAGTTGCCAATCAATACTAAATAAACTTTGACGATTGCGCCAGAAAGCCAATTTTACAAAATAATCAGCTCCTGGATTATTCCACAGTGAAAAATTTTCAAGTTACATTAGTATTACTCAGCCCGAACATGGAGAACTATAGAGCACCTGACAAACCTCCGCTCCAAGTGATCCTCATTTGCAAATGCCTTCCGCTGGCAAACAACTTGATTCAAATTCATGAAACAAACCTAAAAAATACATCAGTTTAAAAGAGCAAAAATAAACCCCTCGCCATTGATCCAATCGAAACAGCATTAGGGTCAATAACGATTCAACTACTTTTATAACTTATTCAAAGAATCAAATTCATTCAACGACTATCACCGAAAAAAAACAAAGTTATAAAATTTAAACCATATAATAATAATTTCTAATCCAACTTTCCCAATATTGTTCTAATGCCCAAATGTCACTTTCATTAACAAGCAAACTCCACTTAATGTCTTCGAGCCAGACTTTCTCTTCTCTGTTTAAAACCTCCACTGGTATTCCGGAAGCATCACTCCAAGACTTGTTTGTGAATGTGTTGTCGTCGTTAAACTTGTTGGCCAACATAAGAGCCACAACAACCTTTACAAAACTAACATTGAAACCATACCTCAGGATGTACACGAGTCCAACGAGTACCGTTGATTTAGATAAGTTTGTTGCTGTTAATATATGTTCAATGTTGTGTTTGGTGCTCGTGTAGACAAATCGTGATAGTAAGTTTGGTGATTGTTGTAGTTGATGTGGTTGTTGCAGTTGTTGTGGTTGTTGTAGTTGTTGTAATTGAGGAAGTGGTACTTGTTCGTGATAAGGAATCTGTCGTGGTTGGAAGTATGATTGTGGATAGTAAGGCTGGGAAACAGGGAATGGTTCGTGGGCAAAGTGTTGGTGCCACGGATCTGTTGTATATTGATGTTGAGCCTGGACAGGCCAGTAATAGGTGTTGCTCATACTTTTTCAGGAAGAGTCTTAATGAAAAGCTCTTCTCTAGGGTCTAAAGCGTTCGATAGCACGCTTGTAGTTTGTTGTTTAGTTGGCTCGAAGTACAGAGAACCCCAAAGCTAAACGTTTTGTGCAAAACGAAAAAAAAAATTTTTTGTTCAACTTCTTTTTCTTTTATTTCTTTTCGACCAAATCTTTTGATATTTTGAGCAAAAGGACACGACATATCGCAAAACGATGACACATAATCAAAGAACACATCTAGGCACGATGTCACACCTTTTTCACTGGCACAAACACTCTTTCTTATTCTTCCTACAAGTCGTTGTGGTAGCAAGCAGCTCAACCAATACCGTGCACTTCTATTGGGAATCTTTCTCTACGCTACTGTTGCAGAGACTGTGTACTTTCTTTTCAAAGAGAAGATCTTTTTTACGACGAGTAAACGTACCGTCATGGAAAAGAAAAGAAACTTTTTTCTTTTTCACAAGTCGATGACCTTTTTCCGCACACGTGCCCATTTGCAGCAACAAACTCCTTAAGAGTTCTGAGGGGATAGATAATATTTGACAGTTGCACCACATAACACTGCGAGCTTAGTTGGAACTCAACCACTAGGACCGCTGTATCAAGTAGTCACAGCAACTCTCTCTCAACAAAATTTTGTGTGTATTTACATGCAAATAGTTGCAAATTTCACTATACAAATTCTATCTGCCATGCCTCTGCTCCCAAAATTGTAAACAACTTGTAAGAATCCATCCCAAGACCCCAACCAACATTGCCATTATACCATATGCTTCGGCAAAACCTAAATTATCAAACATTTTGGGGTAATAAAATGGCCCAATAAAGGCAAACAATTGTCTGAGAAATGTTACAAACAAACTGATTTGTACTGCTTTAGTGTGATCCAGATCAATACAATAAGCGATAATTGGTGATGTACCAATTTGCAAACCAAAAGCAGCAATTGCACATCCAATCAATGGAGTCACATTGTAGTGGTCAATGTTTTGTATTTGAACACCAAAGACAATCAAACCAACAATGCAAGTGATGTAGCCTGGATGGGTAACCCATAATCTAAAACTTGGACCTTTGTTATTTTTATGACCCCATTGCACCAATCTGTCCGACAAGTAACCACCAACTTCACCAATAACAGTACCAATAACAAATGAAAGAAATTGCAAACCCAATGCTTGTGGCCCCAATTCAAATTTGTGCACCATAACCTGGGGGATTTCAACATTCATGGCAATATTACCATGCATAAACATCATGGTGTAACCAAATGCAGGAATAAATACTCTTGGTTTCAAGAGAAACATTAGTGGTTCAAGAAATTTAAAAATGGTGATTTTGTTCTCTGGGAAGATGGCTTTGAAGCGTAATTGTTTGAATCTGTTAGTTTCATTTCTTGACAAATCAGCTGGGTTATACGAAGTTTCTTTACCAAGGAACAAGTAACAGACAGCTAATACAAACATGGTACAAGCAAACACAACATGAACGTATTTTGGATTTTGGTATTCAGCAACAAAACCCATAAGGAAAGCACCAAACATGGTTCCCAAGTTGACAGATATAGCCCAAACTCCACTTCTTGAACCTCTTTGGTGACTAAATGTAGTTTCTTTTACAATTGCCCCACCAACTGCCAAACCGGGAGAGACAAACACCGCCAGCAAACATCTCATTGCCATCAAGGTGCCGTAATCAGTACTGAACACAGCACCAATGGAGAATGCCATGGTTCCCAATACTGATATAATCAAAAGCAACCTTTTACCGTATCTTTGCATAACTGGCACCCAAAACATTGGAAATGTACCAATGAGCACAATTTGGGCTGAAGTCAAGTATGAGACCCTAGGCACAGGCTTGTCCAATATTTCTGAGTATTTACCGAATGATGGAACTATACCTGACGCCATAAAAGTCCCCATAAACCCATGGAAAGCCACCATCCCCAACTGTAAGAATTTGAAACTATCTGGCCAGTTCAATGGATCGTCATCACTCATGGATGGGAGTGGATCCAATTCATAGGTTCCATGTTTTGCAATAAGATATTGCTTGTGTTCTTCAGATATAGAAGCTGGATGTGACCCATGAGTGGAAATCTTTTCCACCTGGTCATCCATCGGACCTTTTTCATGATCTATAGAGGGTGTATTTGAAGAAGTCATTGAATGTTGAGTTGATAAAAGAAGAATCTTTGGTAAGAATGGACACCAGCCTCTATATTTATATATGTAGTGGAGTATCATCTACCGAGAGGGGTGCAGAAGCATTTTGAAACCGTAATTTGCAACAGACGTTTGAGAAGGTAAATTTCGTCTAACGAGATCTAACCTATTGTTATCTGTAGTTGCGTTTGTGGAGTAGTGCTGCAAGATCTAAGGGGTAAATATATATCCAAACAAACTATTGCAATCTGTGACTAGCCAAGTTTTATATACCAATATATATCCGACAAAACATGTCGAAAACAATTAGTTAAGTAACTTTTGGCGTAATGCGTGTCAGCTAGTAAAGTCCCCCCACTAAATATATTACCCCCAAACCTTGTTTTGCCTGAAAATGGGACGATTTGCATGATAACAGATTTTGTTCTTTTTGGTCGCTCTCCCCCGCAATCTGCTTTCGGAAATACAAAAAATTAAACTTTTTAGTGGATTCACATAGCTTATTCTTTTGCAAAGTTCTCAATTGGATACATGTTGTTTCCAGCTTGAGCCCCACACCAGTACTTATCGATAATGGAGCTACATAATATCAGTAGGCATATTATGTTTGATTTTGACTTCATTCTATTATATCAGAAAGATGTCAACCCTGAACTTCATTTTATTTTATTATGCCAACCTTTTCTGTCTTGGCAGGAGTTTCATCATCTGTGATTAATTCTGGGTTTTCAAATTACCCTAGATCTTACCCCCCAGAGAACCTTTATTATATAGCTCCACTCTCTCTCAACTCGGAATTAGCATTAATTCGCAAAACATGTTGCAAAAGGAAGAAAAAAAAAAATGTCTCAACTTCACTTTTCTTGGTACTGCCCAAAATACCCCATTGAGAGGTATCAGAATAAACTAATTGAATGAGAAGAAAAAGAAACTTGCATAGTCACATTTCTCCACGTTCTGCGCATAGGGATGAACATCACAAACGGCTGTACTTCTAAAGGAACAACTGTGAAGTGGTATCGTTGTGCCTGTGCAAAAATGTAACAATAATATGTACATTGTAGCATACGCTACCAACTTTACACGAGGCGCTACCTACGCACAAACAGAAGATCATTTGTTTACATTTCGCCTTTTTTTTTTGTTTACATTTTGATTTCCTCATATCATTTACCTACCTTCATATTTAAACCACCAAATGTCGGTCCCATTATACCTCAAGATAAAGGGCCCTCAATCCGGTGACCAACACTACGATCCACGCTTTGCTGTTATCTCAGAGAAGTCAATTGAGTTCAATGATTCCAAATACGATTTCGAGCAAATCTATCAGCCATCGGAAACTCAATACCCGGACTTGGTCAACTCACACAACTCTTGTATTGTGTTGATGGGACCAACTGGAGGAGGCAAGACAACCATGATGAGACAGTTGGTGAATGCAAAATTGAAGTCATTTGATAGTGAACCAGTTTTCGTTTCTTCATTTGAAATTGCCAATAATAAATTCTTGATTGACTTGTTGGATAATAACCCGGCAAAGGTTCCATTTAGCTTATTGAACAACTTTGAAAATAAATTGAAAAGGAGAAAGGCAAGCAGTGAGATGATTAAGGAAATCTTCAAACAAAGGTCGAGCAAAGCCACCGAGTTCAATCCCAATTCATCTAGATCGTGTCTTGTAATCACATTCTTTTACCACAACTTTAGAACCACGTTTGTTGACTTGATGGGTAATGAAAAGAATTCCAAGCTTAGCTCAAACATTTTTGCAAACACGAACATGTCATCGATTACTCAACAAATGGTAAACAAACAAAAAGACATTAGATCTCATAATGTGGTTACAAATTACATCTTTAAAAACAGGGATTTAAAAGTGGTGCTTAACTTGGACCCAAATGGTGATGTGTCCTTAATCAAGTCAACATTGACCAATATTGCTGAGATTGTGAAGACATTTAAATTGTCCACCACCGCAGTGGAGAAAAGTTCCCGAGTACCCAGTTATACTTTGCCTACCGTGTCTTCGATCAAAGGTAGTCCCCCAAAAGTGGCAAAGAAGGTTGGCTCAGTAAGGCTTACGCAACCGGTTAGACCTACTCGGGTTGTGGATAGGAAGTATGCAATCCGGAAACCGCCGGTCCCCACTAGAGGTCCAAGTAAGGAGGCAAAGATTATCGAGTCTTTGAAGAAGGACCAAATAATTTCTAGACAAAAGTACGCGGAATCCATCGCTGACATTAAAACTGAAATTGGCTGCTTCAAGCAAGAAACTAATCAAATGGTCAACTCATACCAAAACTTGAGATCAAGATTGGACTTGCTTGCACAGGTGAATGCCGACAAACAAGAGATGATTGCTGCCATACAAGAGGAAAATTCCAAACTTGTCCAAGAGTTGAACCAGGTTAAGCAAGAGGAAGCCGATTATGTGCAAGTAATAAGCACACACAAAGAGGAAGCTGATAGACACCAAGTCGATCTCACCAATTTGCAAAAAGAGTTAGAGGTTAGTAAAAATGCGTTATCAGAACTCAAGCTGCTCAAAACAAATCTCGAAAATGAGGTGGAGTTGCTGAAGGAAGAAGGACGTAAGTTGATAGAACGAGTCAGAATGTTGAATTTTGAACTTGATGAAAATAAGAAATTACTTGCCAGCAATAGTTTTGACATGACACAACTTCGTGAAGAGATTGACTCGCAAAAAAGTTTGCTGGTTCAGAAGGAAAGTCAGGTCATCGAGTTGCAAAATACAAAGGATGAACTTGTCAAAAGGAATGAGGTTCTTGAGAGGGAATTGAGAGACCTGAAGTTGTCCTTGGAGGAAGCAACTCTAGGCAACAATGAAGTTTCAAATGAGGTGTCAAAGTTGTCAGCCTTGATTGTGGAAAAGGATGCGGAGATTGAAAGGTTGCACCAAGTAGAACAAGAGGTGTCACAATTGAAGGAAACCCATCAATTTGAAAGTGAGTCTGCCGCTTCGCAGTTGTCAAAGATGAAGGCAGACATTTCTGCGAAACAGATCAAGATCGATTACTTACACACAACGGAAACTAATCTCACCCAACAGGTGCATCAATTGCAAGATGAGAAGAAAGTGTTGGAGGGTAAAGTGAATGAACTCAAATTAGCAAATGAGGAATTGCAAAAGCAAATTGCGTCAGCAGTAGACACTAACAATGGAAGGGCTGGTGAGTTGGAATCTGAACTATCAGAAACAAAGAACCAACTCAAAGCTTTATCGCAAAAGTTGGAGAAAGAATCCTCTTTGAATAGTCAATTGAGATTTGATCTCGAAGCTGCAATTGCCAAACAACAAACCCTTGAATTTGATCTAGCCAACGCTGAGTCAAGCTTGTCGAAAGAACTGAATGAAAAGGAGGATTTGACCAACAAGTTAGCCTCCAAGACCCAACAATTGAAAACTAAAATTGAAGCTGCAACACAATTGGAAATGGAGCTCAATGACTCCAAAGAACAGTATAAACAATTGCATGAGCGATTCGCTAGAAAGCAAGAACACTACAAAAACAAGATTTCAGATTTGAAAAAGTCACACGAATTGGTAATTGCTGAGAAAGACGCTGAGATAAAGAAATTAAGATCATCTCCAACCAAACTCGGATTAAGCGATGACTACAATGGTCACTTGTTCAGTGAACGGTCCTCACCTTTTGGGTTCAATCCTAATGAGATTTACAACGACTCAGTTGTTGAATCCACAATAAACCTCAACCAAGCTGATCAAACAAACGTGAACAACAGCAACAACCACAACAACGAAAACAATGAAAACAAGTCGTCTGAGAAAAAGTCCCCTAAAAAGTCTTACAAATTAGAGAAGCAAAAGTCGAGAAGCTCTACGCCAAACAAACATACCCCTACAAAGAATGTCCTACAACCATCAAACCAATTCAATTCGGTGCCGCTTTCATCGAGCAAAATCAAGAAAAAGAGTGGCTCTAATAAATCATCGCCTTTAAAGTCAATTAAAGCTTGAAACATTTATAATCCTTTTGTATTTTTATAACTTTTTCGGTAATATAACTAATTCCTATCACAAGAAGTTCTTCTATACAGTCCTCCGATCAGTCATGTATCTAGCGATTGCACCTACGCCAGTAATTTCAACAGTCTTTTCAAACCAATTCAACAACAACCCTCCTTGCTTTTGCCCATATGGTTCAGACATGCTCTTGTACAAATACTTGATGAGAGTATCCTGTTGCTCTTGATTCAAACTCTTGACAAATTGTCCCAATTCTGATACATTGTTGTTGTTTTTTATTGAACACAAGATCTCAAATACTGTCTTGGCGTGCATTTCCTTAGTTTGAGGCAGATCAGCGATATAAGGTGCATTGTCCAAAGCTAATTCAAGTGCTTGTTGGAATTGACCGGATGATAATTGCGACCTCACTTGTTGCGCCACCGATGATATTTGCGATTGGGACACTTGTGGTAGGTCAGGAACGAGCTCGGCTGCCGACAAATGGTATTCCGGCTCTAATGCATCAATGTCTATCTTTCTCCAATCTTCTGTGGCCATTGTATCCAGATTGATTTGCTGAAGAACACACTTGGTGGTTTCTTTGATTGTTGATTTTCTGTCAACAGAAATTCTCAGTCGCACTTTTGAGTCTACAAAGTTGTTGCAGTACACTTGTCATCCACTAGTACTCTGCTAGTCTTATACTTCCCATATTATAGAGAGTTAATGTTCTGTAAACATGATGCATTGCTCGGTTAAGTGTAGTCTCTATCATTAAATTGCCAGTACTTATCTAATTACATTATTGTTCCCACCCATATATGAGTTGTTGCTTGACTCTCATTATATAGTCGATTGCATCAGAATCTATCTAAGCATTTGACTTGCTCTTCTTCTTTTTGGACTGAAGTTCTTCTTCTTCCCTTCTTTCCTCCTTCTCTTCCTTTTCCTTCAACTTCAGATCATATTCTTCAACAAACTTTACCACACTGTCTTTCAACTTCGTGTCGTCAACTATAATAACAACTAAGCCATCACTACCGACTTCATATTTTATATGCCCCTCATTCGGTATTGCTACTGCCTCATCGAATGCATCAAAAAATGCATGCATCAATTTAAAACTTGATATCGTGTCCACAAGTATTTCTTCCATTTCCGACTCTTTTGACTTAGGTTCATCTGTGACTAAAACAATCCTGAGCGGATAGTCCAACTCTTCGTCCAGTTGAGGTCCGTCAGCTTCAAATTCAGACAGCATGGCGTTTTGTCGTTAGCTTATATTTAAAGGTCTGCAATGATTTTTCTCAAAAAAATGTCTTTTACGTCATCGCCGCTACCAAAGCTATACCCTTATCAAAACACAAACTGTTATTTAGACTACTTGACTACTTAACTACTCCCATTGTTTGAAAGTATTGATCAAACCGTTGGTAGATGGATCATGAGAACCAACTGATTTCTTATCCTCCAACTCGGTTCCAATGACCTTGGCCAAAACTTTACCCAACTCAACACCCCATTGGTCAAACGAGTTGATGTTCCAAATGGCACCTTCAGTGAATGTGACATGTTCATAATAAGCAATCAATGCTCCCAATGCAGCTGGTGTAATCTTTTGAGCCAAGATGGAAGTGGTGGGTCTGTTACCACTAAATTCCTTGTGTGGAATCAAACCTCCAGTAGTACCTTCAGCCTTAACTTGCTCTTCACTCTTTCCTTTCAACAAAGCTTCTGATTGGGCGAAAAAGTTTGATGCCAACATCTTTTGGTGCTTGTTGTTTTCAATAGGGTTGTGGGATTGAGCAGCCAAAATAAAATCAGCTGGAATCAATTTGGTACCTTGATGGACCAATTGGAAAAACGAGTGCTGAGCATTGGTAGCAGGTTCACCAAACAAGATGGTACCAGTTTGATAGTTTGTGAAAACATTGGCTCTGGTGACAGACTTACCATTTGATTCCATAGACAACTGCTGCAAATAGGCTGGGAATCTGTGTAAGTATTGATCATAAGGCACAACCAAGTGAGTTTGGGCATTGAAGAAGTTGTTGTACCAAACAGAAATCAAACCACCAAGTACTGGGATGTTATTTTCCAATGGAGTTTTCAAGAAATGCTCATCAACAGCTTCAGCACCAGCTAAAAACTTTTCAAAGTTGTCAAACCCTATGTAGATGGCGACTGATAAACCAATGGCAGACCAAACCGAGTAACGTCCACCGACCCAGCTTTCAAAGCCGAACATATTCTTGGGATCAATTCCGAATTTGATGACCTCCTTTTCATTTGTGGACAAAGCTGCAAAATGTTGAGCAATGTATTTGGTATCTTTGGCGTGTTCCAAAAACCATTTCTTTGCAGAAGTGGCATTGGTGATTGTTTCAGCAGTAGTAAATGTCTTTGAAGCAATCAAAAACAATGTTGTTTCTGGGTTAACTTTTTTCAACACTTCAGCGATATCAGTTCCATCAATGTTTGACACAAAGTGAGCATTCAAACCTGGCTTGCTGTAATATTTCAAAGCTTCAGTAACCATAACTGGACCAAGGTCTGAACCTCCAATACCAATGTTGACCACGTCAGTAATGGCTTTTCCGGTGTAACCTTTCCATTCTCCATCTCTAACTTGGTCGGAAAATTCTTTCATGTGGTTCAAAACGTCCCAAACTTCTTGAGTTGTGTCCTTACCGTCAACTGGCATTTTGTGTTTCTTGACATTTCTCAAGGCAACGTGGTAAACTGCTCTATCTTCAGTGGTGTTGATGTGATCACCGGCAAACATCTCATCTCTCAATTTTTCCACACCAGCCTCCTTGGCCAATTGAATCAATTTGTCAAGAATTTCCTGATTGATCAAGTTTTTAGAAAAGTCAAAAAGAATCTTTGAGTCATCGTAGTTGGTGAAAATGCGGGAAAATTCATCAAATCTTTTTGGATCTTTGGCAAATGCTGCTCTAACATCGAATTTTTCACCTTCTTTCTTGTAGAGTTGTTCCAATTCTTTCCAAGCTGGCAAGTCTGAAGCTAATTTAAATGATGACATTGTTAACGTATTCAATTGAGTCTAATTGAGTTGTGAGTTCAAAAAGAAAATGAAGAGAGTAATGAAAGTGGAAAAAGGGAATAGCAAATGAATATTTAAATTGTTGGAAATTATTGTCTAGATTTCCATATGCAATTTTTTGTGTAGCACTTGAAAAGTGAGGGCGATTGCGGATAAAGCGCATTACGGTTTTTTTAGTAAGCGTCACTTTTTTCGGATGACAGAATTGCATTTTTTGGGCACTAGGTAGGATGCTGCGTTGTTACGTGTATGCACCTATTCGTATTGGGAAGTAGAAGCGTCTACGCGATGGAAGTCACCACTGTTTTACCCAACCGTGCAAAGTTGGTTGAATGCAAGTGTCCTCCATGGAGATAACCTTTATCGATCGCGCTATATCCGGTGATTTGTAAACAGCAAAACTTCACACACTTCAATTGCTATACTCTTGTGGGAATCCAATCACAACTTCACTACGCAAGCCGTTACAGCCGTCTCACAATGAAGTTACAAAACCAAAAGTGAGTGTATCGCAAATGCTTATAGTTGACTGAAGGATTAGGAAAGTTGTCGTAATTGAGAAGAGAGGATCTTTCATGCTGTTTGCAGCTCTTCTCAGTACGGCAACTATGGCCCAGCTATCGCTCTGGTTTCAATCGCTTGAAATCCACATACTGAGTAGTGGTCTATTTTTTATTTTCTGTTGTGCCCAGCATCGATCGCAAAATCTAGACAAAAAAATAAAGTCATCAGTGACTAAGATTTCGGAGATACAATCAAACAAATTAATCTGATCACCCAGAAAAATGGGATTGGTTTCGATATGGGCAGCCGAAGAAACCAGCGGGGAAAAACCAAATGATTCCAAGGAAAAGTTAGAGAAGAAGTTGGATAGTAAATGGAACAAACCTATAACACTGACATCGAAATTAGAGAGTCAATGGGCAAGCAGTGGTGACGGCCAAAAAGACAATAGTAGGGCACATGTGGGAGGAGGTAGACAGGAGAAGAGCTCTTTCAATCATGGTGGTGGTGGTAGATCTCATGTCAAAAGGACTGGTGGTAGACCCCACGAAACAAACTTTCATCAAGATAAGGACCATCGCAAACGACATCCAAACAAACGAGGTAACAAGCACACTATACATGAGAAGCCTGCCACGGACCAGGAAGTGCACCAAGCTCCAGGGGTTAGGCATGTAGAGGAGTCTGATGTAGAAACAGTTGTTTCTGATAAATTGTACGCCAAGGGTCCTACGACTAAAGCTGCGCAATCTTTGGCTTCTAGGATTACAATTGACCCTAGAAGAGAAGAAGCAGATGCAGATGATGCTACTGTTTGGGAAGAGGAAGAGGTGGAAGAGCAAACGCAACAGCGCTTTAAACAAAAACCCACGCGGGGTAAGTCATTGGCAGAAAGATTGGACAGTATGAGTTTCAAAGATGCTAAACACAAAATACCAGAAGCAAGTTCACCTAGAGCAAAGAATCGAAAGAGCACGAATAAAGATATACGGAAGCAACCGGCCAATCTACTGACGAGAGGAAGTGGGCACTTTTCCAAAAAGCTGGATTCCATAGATGAGCAAGCAGCCAAGGAGAAAGAAGAGAAGGAGAAACAAGAGTTGCTCAAGATGCTCGAAGAGTTTGAAAGCAAGAAAATAGACTGGGCGAGTTTAGAAGACTAGATAGGTTGTAGACAATAGATAGAGACGCTTGAATGATGATCTGTGCGGCTTTTCTTTTCGCACACTCTAAGGAATCACGTTCTTCTGTACGAGTTACCACATTACGTTCTTCTGTACATTTTAACACGTTACGGTTGCCAAAAAAACCCAAATACCAATGAGCGTCAAGAAGATTAGTAATGTTCTCCTTTCAAGGCCAATCAAAAGGGCCATGCTACCTGCAAGGCTTACATTTTTTCCTGCTAGGCAGTTTAAACACACTACACTCTTTCGCCGTCATTTCAACAACGCAAATTACGATACAATAGTTAAAAATGCAGTACATATGAATCGCAATGGAGTTAAAGGTTCATCTCTTGGCGGGAAAAGACTACCCTTTCGAACGATTTTGATACTTATAGCCACGTCATCGAGTTTATCGATGATGCTATACGCCACTATACAATACTTTAAAATCAGGGATGAGTTGAATCATTCCAAAGAGACAAACATCGAAAAGTTAATCTTTTTGCCGCTATGGTTTAACTCAAACATTCTATGGAAAAAGACATTGAATTACCCTGAAGGGTTGCGTTATATCGATTTGGGGTATTACAGTTACTTGACTACAGAAATGATACAAAACAACAGCAACAACAGCAACGGGAGCAAATCTGATGTTGAAGAGTACTGTCATGAATTGCAACTGCACAATATAAAGTATGCCGTTCTTGAAAAACTTTCTTCAAATAACAAAATACGGGCAATATTTGGACTACCTTTGAACCTCACTTTGGATAACTCAAAATTCAACATTTGGATTGAATTGCTGCATCCCAGTGTTTCAGGAATGCAAATGAATATCACCCAGAGCTCGAGTTTGAATGAAAAGAGCAACAGTCTTGGTTTCAGGTGGGCAATTAAAACTATAAATTGGAATTCCATCAAGGATGACACGTTATCACCAATTGGGTTGGGCATGGCCAGGATCGGCTCCAATGCAGAGACAAAGATACACGAAAAATCCAGTGGCAAGGTGCACGAAGTACATCAAAGCAAAGAAAAAGTGCCATTGAATCCAAATAGAGACTACGCGGTGAAATTTCAAAGCGAATATGTTGTCACTGACAAGTCAGCAAACAAGCAGGGAAAGATAAAGTATATTGGTACTATTGATTTTGATCATTTGTTGATCAATCGTGGCGTCATCATCACTGACATTGAATTGGTCTATGATGATACCCTGTATAAGATCATATAGTTTAAATAAACTGTATCGTTTCAAGTATCAGAAATACTCAGTAGTTCGTTTGCACCCTTGCCGTACTCCTCTGCATCATTATCGTCGCCCACTTCTTCTTCACTTTCCACCTGGGTGTCACCATCCTCTTCCATGCCTTCACCCACATCAGCATATAGTGTATAAACAGCACCTCTAAAGAAGGTGTATATGAGCAGTAGCTTTGTTTCCATTTGTCTCAATGTTTCAACCAGTCTGATACTTTCACCCCCGTCCACCTCATCTTTATTTGTGAGACTTTTTAGCCTTTGATTTAGTTGAATCAATGTGTCATTGATATTTTGATACTCTATGAGCACCGATGCTTCTAGTTCAGTGAGATTCGGCTTTGTCGTGTAGTCAATGTCCATATTTTGGAGTCTGTTGTATATGAGCTTTGAAAAGTTGCGTATTTGTTTACAGTTTCCACATATTTTGACTCGCGTTTTGTGTGCGTCAATAGGAGGTACTCTCTATCTCGGTCGGAGTAGATTACATTTCGACCTAGAGACGAGAGAACTTAGGTCGACATAACTAAAAGAGAAAGACTTGGTAACAATCCTGCATACAAACTAATTTCATTCTAATTTCATTTTTACGTTTTGGTAATTTCATTTGCATTGCTGTTTTTGCAAGTAGTGACATACCCAATCACTTTATAGACCTGGCACCTCTCCCCACAATGTCTGCTACTACCACCGAATCCCAACTAAACGGGTCAATTGGTACTCACGACCAACATCAAACACAAGATTCAACACCACAACAAGCGAAGCCCGACACACCAACAAACAAGACCCCAAATGATAAACATCACAAGTTCAAAAAGAAATTGGTTAGAGCTCAGCCTGATACGAATGCTATGAAATATAAAGTATGGCTTGCTGGCCACATCACATCTGTGGTATTTGGCACCATTTCATTCTTTTTTCAAGTATTTTGGTTGCCCAATGTCTACTATATTAATTCTATTTGTTATAGATTAGCGTTGCTTGGCTCAGCGGTGGCATTGACCTCCACATTTAGTCACAAGTTTGGATTACATTTTTTACCACCAGTGGCTACATTATTAAGTCATGAAAATTTCCAATACTTGATCTTGACTATAGTTTGGTGCTTTACATTCAGATCAGTGTTTAAAATCTTGCCATACTTTTTGTTGAGCATTCTACACTTGAGCAAAGTGAAGGATGTGAGTGCCTTTCTCAAACATGCGTCAACAATCTCATCATGGATCGCATACGATGAATTGTTTCTTATTTTCTACTTGGTTATAAGAACATTGTTTTTTAGAAACGCTAGTGGTTTTCAATTGACTTTGTTTTTAATCTTTTATTGGTTGAGAATATTGTACAATAAAGAAACTGGAAATTTGTTTTCCACAGTTGTCGATAGATTGGATGGTGAAATGGTTAAAATCAAAAACCCAACTTTCCAAAGAAGATGGGAAAAGGTTAGAGAGTTTGTCAAGGTTAAGCAAGAACAAGAGCATCAAGATGATTAGGGCTTGAAAGGTGTTACATGTATAAGTATATAGCTTTCTTGCTAGTTGTAACAGTTTCGAGATCTCTTGATGACGTAGCTCTCCAATGTCGGCTCCAATTTCAGCATTTTTTTTTTTTCTTTTCGGCAACTGTCAAAATTTGCCCCATTTTGTCCAACATTTCTTCTTCAAGTTTGGTTGAGAGTTACTCCTGAACTACTACACTGATCTACAATTGTGATGTCGAAAGTTCCAGCTATTTATCAATTGGGCCATTTACCCATCAAGGACCATGTTTTTTCACCAGACCGTACCATTTTAGCAATCACCAAAGAAAACTTGGTGGAAATTTACAAAGTCAACCCAAGCAACTTATCAGCCAAGCCCAAATTGGTTGCCGAATTACGTGACCATGATAAAACTGTCACCTCAGTTGATATCTCACCTGATGGATCTAGAATTTTGACTTGTTCTCAAGATAGAAATGCTTCGGTTTGGGAATACGAAAATGGGGAATTTAAACCAACTTTGGTATTGTTACGTATAAACAGAGCCGCAACTGTTTGTAGGTGGTCTCCAGATGGACAAAAATTTGCTGTTGGATCTGGTGATAGGGTGATTGCTGTTTGTTATTACGAACAAGAGAATGATTGGTGGGTTTCAAAACATTTGAAAAAGCCAATCAAGTCAACCATCACCACCATCGACTGGCACCCAAATGGTGTTTTGTTAGCCAGTGGATCAACCGATGGTCATATTAGAGTGTTTAGTGGTTACATCAAGGGAATTGATTCTAAGCCAGAGCCTAGTGTATGGGGCTCAAAATTGCCCTTTCAAACATTGTGTGGTGATTTCACAAATGAAACAAACGCATGGGTGCATAGCGTTAAGTTTAGTCCCAATGGAAATGCATTAGCTTGGGTGTCTCATGATTCTTCAATTGGAGTCGTTTACCCACAAGGTGAGGGACTTGAGCCGAAATCAATATTGAATGTCAAGACAAATTATTTACCATTTAGGTCCGTAGTTTGGTCTTCAGACAATTCAATTGTTGTTGGTGGTTTCAATTGTAATTTGGTTGTATTTAAAGGTGACGAGCAAAATTGGCAAGAAGCTTACCAAATTGAAGAGCAAAAAGATTTAACTAAAGAGCCACCAAAAGTTAATGGTGATGACGATGACGAGGAAATTTCTTCTCACCAAGCTTTGAATATGTTTAAGCAAATGGACTTGAAAGGAAGAGCTGGTAAGCCAAGTGGTGGGCATGGAAAGGCAGCTAAAGCTTTAACCACAATTCATCAAAACACAATTGTCAGCATTAAAAACTTTGCTAATGGACAAGTTTCAACTTCGGGTATTGATGGTAAAGTAGTTGTATTCAATGTATAGAGTTGAAGTTGAAACGCTACGAGAGTTGAAGTTGAAACACTACGACAGTTGAATTGAAGAATATATCATTTGCATTTGTTCTATAAACTCTAATAGATTAGTTAGTAAAAATCACTCGGCAAATATGGTGAATGTCATTCATAATCAGAGTAATTCTAGAGCTTTGGTAAAGTTGGTATCTTCAGATTATTTGGTTCAGAAGCAGAACTGATAACATATACTTTTCATCATAATGAATGACATTTCCACAAGACAAAAGTCGAAACATACCCTTTTTTGATAATTAGTTAGTAAAATGTTGACTTCCCTCTAGGTCAACACAACTTAAAGAATTCCAAAGGAAAAGATACTTTGTAAAAGTCAGATGGTGATGCATGTAAATTTATCCATTGGATCACGAGTCACCGGACAGAAAAAATGTAGGAAACATATTCATCATATTCAAAATATCATTTTGGGGGATTCTTTTAGGTGGTGATATGAAAACATACTAAAATGTAAAGTTAGCACAACTGAACCAAATAACCACCATCCACATTTCCAGTTCCATACAGTCAATCACAATCATAAACGAAGAATTCCTTAACAATATGTCCTGCATGTACATCCTCAGTTATAAAAAGTTATATCATTGAGTTTAATCATGTTGAAAAGTGCATTGAAAGAAGGAGGAGAAAAATCACAATAAAGTGATTCCCCTTGGAAAGACATTGATATTGACATACCAATTAAGACACGGTGTTAGTGACGACACAAAGGTCGTCCTACCATTCGTGGCATTATTGACTTAAATGAACTTCTGCTGAAGAAAAAGGTTGGTAAGTATATCATCTGAGAAAATTTTTTTCCAATGAAAAATAAAAATTTCAAATTGTTTCTCTCCTCCTCTGTTACTGATATTGTGCCGGGTAAATAGCTAACATCAAGTTATGAGAGATTAAAAACACCAATTAGTGTGATAAGCAAATTGAACTATTCAATCACAAAATACTCTTCGCGTGTGGATAATTCAGTAAATTGCAGTAAACGATCTTCTCATTGGGTGATTGTAAGGTGCTCGCAACTCCGTCATAAACTGGAATTATAATAATGGTTTCACTACGAAAAGAAACTCGAAAAAGGAAAAAGGGGTCCTTTTGATGCTTCACACCACTTGATCATATCAAAATCACTCCATTTTGTTACTCAAATACTAATTATCCTAAATTTCAATTGTGTTTATTTGGTTGCAATTTTTTTCTTTCAGGTTTAGGGTCCATTTATGCATATCAATTGTATATCTAATCTGCGCATCTAAACAAACATACACTGGAAGCTTATCATCACGCATCTATACTACCACACACAACCGACTATGGGTACCAAAGACTATTCCGACGACGAAATACAACCTCTCATTGTCAACAATCGAGATGGCATACTGACTAACAAGCGTTCACCAATTAGCCATAACAATTTACCTAACCACTTGCGTCATGCTCAATACTCAACACCAGCACTTGCATCGGCAGCATCACCAAACAGGTTTAGAGAAAGACTGAGGTCACCCAATTTTTCCTCCCGCTCAAGGTCAGGCAACGCTCTTAACAGTTTAATGCAATCTGACTACACCGAGTTTGAGGAGTTTGGTTGCCCCAGGAGGCGTCTGTCATTCTCAGCTAGCGATTATATGAAAATGAGACCAGATAGACCCCTTTTCCATAGGTTGTTATCCAGTCATCACTCAGTAACCAATCCAAATTCTGCTACTGATGGCTATAACCCAAGTAATTTGAATAATGTGCAAGCATCACAACCTTTATTTTACCAAGCACATGATGAGAGTACCACATCTTTGCATGAAAGCCTTTTCAATGAGTCTAGAGGAAGAAATCTCGTGGAGCTTGTCAGTAGCCTAAGACCACTAAGATTAATTGGGAATGCAAAGCCATTGTGCAATTGGTATGCACATTATAGAGATGATGTACAGAAAATCAAGAACAAAGAAGTTAGAGCCTACTATGAAGAGCAAAATTACTTGATTACCAAGTTCCAAGAAATTGATAACTTTCTTGATGCTGGCAAAATCCATTACAATATGTTGAGTAATTATGGCAGTGGAGAATCATTTCGTGGAGTTTTGTTGGATAATATTGAAGAAACAGAAGAGCCAGCAAGCCCTGTGAGTGTAAAAAATGGCGACAAGGAAACTTTAGTAAATGGGAAAAAGAGTTACGATTCATTGCAAGGTCCGGATATGGAGCGAGGAAATGACGCGTCGTTATCTAAGTTTTCCCGGTTTTACGATGTTCCAGGTAATGTTGCCAATGATGGATCTAAATTTCTAGGTTACAATGAAGAGGAAAATAACACTCAAGTATTGACAGCTATTTTGGTTAATTTCCTCGTCAATATCTTGCTTCTTGTGGGCAAAATAGCTGTAACATTGCTTACAAATTCTCTTTCTGTGGTGGCATCATTGGTTGATTCGGTCTTGGATTTTTTATCGACTTTCATCATCTATGTTGTCAATCGATTGGCAGCACAGAATAACTGGAAAGTGCAACATTCTTACCCAGTTGGAAGATCAAGATTGGAGCCCTTGGGAGTGCTCATTTTCTCAATCATTATCATAATTTCATTTTTTCAAGTTGGGCAAGAATCGTTCAGAAGGCTTTTTTTCAGTACACCTGAACAAAAAGTTCCAGCAACCATTGGATTTGATGCAATTTTGATTATGGTTATAACAATTGTCGCTAAATTGGGATGTTGGATTTGGTGTTCGAAAAGTCAATCGTCGTCAGTTCAGGCTCTTGCGCAGGATGCCATGACTGATATAGTGTTCAATACAGTCTCATTGTTAATGCCCTGGCTTGGTCACGTCTTTAGTATTTGGTGGTTTGATCCATTGGGAGCTTTGCTATTGTCAATGTACATCATTTTCAATTGGGGCAAAACAGCTTTTCAACATATAAGCAATCTCACTGGTGCAGTAGCTGATCCTTTGGAGTACAAGGTTGTGTTGTATCTTTGTTGTCGATTTGCTGAGCCAATTAAACGAATCACTGCATTAAAAATATACCATGTTGGCGATAATTTGAATGTTGAAGTTGATCTCGTGTTTGCTAACGACAAGTTTGATTTGAGTTTTAAAGATTGTCACGATATCGCTGAAGCGTTACAGTATAGTATTGAAAGTTTGCCCATGGTCGAAAGAGCATTTGTACATATAGACTACATGGAGGGAAATTACAAAGGGCATCTAAAGTAGTATAGCTAGGTATTTAATACTTCATCAATGCAATGTCTCAAACCTGCATTATACTTTGCTAGTATAATTGGATCAGAAGTTGATAAAAAACCATCAATTTTTTTCGTCAAATTGACAATGGGCTGCAACTGGCGAGTTAGTCCCCTTTTGGTATTAATGTCCTTGAACTCTTCAATATGAGATAGGTTACTAGTCATAGCAACGTGTATAATTCTAGATAAAAGTACCCCACTAAAATAGAAGCAAAAGTGAATTTGATCTGACAAGTAAGCAAAGTATGACTCACTGGTGATTTGCTTCACATGATCGAGGACTGCCCTTGTATGCTGATACATTGCTAGCAAATTTTGCTGCTGACACTGCTTCAAAATTGGATCCAAAATATTTTGTTGAAGAAATACATTCAAGTCACCCTCACCACCACCATTGCCTGCCAGTTGCAATTTTTCAAAACTATAGGCAAGATGGATCAAAATTGAACAAAAATGGTAGTTGAACTCGGCAAATTGCAATGCTGGTTGTTGAATTAAATAATCCCAATTCTGAAACCAATTTTGAACTTCTTTAATGACATCATTGAAATGGAAATCATATAAACTTTGCGGTGTATTAACATCGTCATTCCTTTGAAGATATTTATAAGTTATATGAAGAATATTGATCTCCGCGACCATGCGGCCATCGAAATTGGTGGCATTGAACAATGTCAATGCCGATGTACAATAACGAATTCTCGCATCATCCAAGATACAAATTCTCCCCGAGAAAATGCAATTGATGAGGTGCACCAAACACAAGTGATTGTATATACGTAGTATTGTCAATGTTTCATACCCATCATCAGTAGTGTTTCTCTTTGTCTTGAATAATTGGAATGTTGATTTAGTGAGAAAAGTGGTGATACCAATACTTGACAACTGCCAAGGGTCCAAGTTGAACCCAACCAACTCAGGATCACCATGATCTATACCGGTCACGACTGATGATATTGACACTGCATATAAACTCAACACGGCAAGACTTTGGAAAAATTCAACCAAGCCATAATCATTATTGGTGAATGATGTGAATCTGGTAAAATTATGATTAAGTTCTTTGATGAGCACCTTCACTAATTGGATGATTCGTTGTTGATTGTCTCTGTCCGTATTAGCAGAATAGCGGTAACTGATACAACAACAAGTGGTTAAAAGTAGTGGTGATTTCAGTTGAAGGTCCTTGACCAATTGCTCCGTAGACAAAGTGTTGGGGAATGACACCCAACGACCATAATTTCTTCTAAAGTTGCCAACCACATTAACCACTTCTTCTTCTGTCATTATTCCCAATTCAATGATGTTACTCGGTCTTGTTATAGTTGAATTGTTTCCTGTTTGATATAAATTTTGAATAGGAGTTGGACAATGCTCATTCCTCATTTGATTCTTTATAATCGAAAATGGTGATATTACCAAACTCTGAGTAGCACTTTGAAATTCGGGTATGGACTGTTCCAAGATCTCAACATTCAATAAAGTGTTGGAATTGACATGATGATGAGGATTTTGCATCGAGCTGGCTGTTTCTAGTAATAAACGAGCATCATTGTTTATCAATTGCTCCTCACCACCTGGTGCGTTATTACCCACATGACTATTTTTCACAATGTGCAACAACTCATTAACTTTTCCCAAAATCAAATCAAGTTTCAGGTCATTGTCATTATTGGTGACTGGATGTGGTGTCTCTGATGACTCCTGTTCTTCCAACTTGAACGAACAAGTCTTGCTTAGAAATCGGCATCGTAAACATGACGTGGGGTATTCAGGAGATCTAAAACAACGGGTCTTTTGTTTCCGGCATAATTCGCAAGCCCGAAGAGTCCTTGACGCTTGAGCTAATTTTCTTGTTTCGTGTGCTGAAGATGATGCAGTATCGGGTGATTTCGTAACTCGGCGTTTCTTTGACTGGGTCAACTCGGTGTCTACTACTATCTCCGATTGAACGGGTGAGACAGAGGCAAATTCTTCTGAAGGTTGGCTCATAGAGAAGGAGTTATGTGGGGAATGGGGTGAAATTTTTCAGTTTTTGATACAATCTGGGGAGTTTATAAAATGTTCCGTTGGAAGAGAATTTCATTTTTTTCTGCATGTTCCGATGGAAGAAAATTTAAAAATGAATGCCAAACAACTAAGTGGACCAAAAAATGATAATAAGTAGTGGATCGATAAGATACAATGTGATACAAAAAGGTGGACTGATTCCTTTTGAGTGTATGTGATTGGAGTTGTTTGTGTAAACGGTTGCGGTTGAGGTCATAAGGGGAAAGGCGTATCTGCTCACCAATGCAAGGGATTCTCTGACTATGTGTCAACACAAACGCAATTTTGGGCGCTTGCTCGATTTGAGAGGACTGTACCCAAACTTGAGGTGTTCACGCTAAAGGCGGTCGCTAGATATTATGGCGTCACTTTTTTTTTTTGTTTTTTGGTTTAACAACTTTGCTGCATCATTTAGGTCGAGCATTTACCACTTTGCCAATGCTAATAGGACATACAATTGATGCGAACTAAATGCCACTGCTCCGGGGCGTTTTCTAAACTTCAATAGAACAGGTTGCATTGGTTTCAATTTGAGGTGAAGGTAAAAAGGGTAAGTTCAGCTTTCAAATACAGGAGCTTATTGCAATTCGGTCTGCCAGTCTTCTACTTCCCCATGGGCTTACAAACAGCAGCATTTATACCGGGCTATGTTATCTCGAAGTTTGAATCAGAGTCAGATTTTTAATTTGCAGTTTAATTTGAGAAAAAAATGCAACAGAAAAAAAGCGATGCAGAAAACATGCAACAAAACTAAACTTTGAAAAAATTCCTAAAGGAAATCATCTTAAGGTGAATTGATTTCCACTTCTTCTTTTCAGCTACCCACCACGACAAACAGATACACAAGAATCACAATGACTTCCGAATACGACAAATATGCTACTCCCTTGTCATCAAGATACGCATCTGAAGAGATGTCTGCTATTTTTTCCCTCAGGAATAGATTCTCCACGTGGCGTAAATTATGGTTGAACTTGGCCAAAGCTGAAAAAGAAGTTGGCTTGGATATGATCACCGATGAAGCAATTGAGCAAATGTCGAAGCATTTGACCATCACTGACAAGGAAATTCAAGATGCTGCTGTTGAAGAAAGTAAAGTGCGTCATGATGTTATGGCTCATGTTCACATATTCGGTGAAACTTGCCCTGCTGCCGCTGGTATTATTCATTTGGGCGCAACTTCGTGTTTTGTTACTGATAATGCTGATTTGATCTTTTTAAGAGATGCTTATGATATTTTAATTCCTAAATTGGTTAATGTTATTGACAGATTGAGCAAGTTTGCTTTGGAATACAAGGATTTGCCAGTTTTGGGATGGACTCATTTCCAACCAGCTCAATTGACTACTGTTGGTAAAAGAGCTACTTTGTGGTTACAGGAATTGTTGTGGGATTTAAGAAACTTTGTCAGAGCTAGAAATGATATTGGATTGAGAGGTGTTAAAGGTACCACTGGTACACAAGCTTCGTTCTTGTCATTGTTTCATGGTGACCATGAAAAAGTTGAAAAATTGGACAAACGTGTTGTTGAATTGTTGGGTTTCAATACTGTTTACCCAGTCACTGGACAAACTTACTCACGTAAGATTGATATTGATGTATTGGCACCATTAGCTAGTTTTGGTGCCACTGCTCATAAATTTGCAACTGATGTTCGATTATTGGCCAACTTGAAAGAAATTGAGGAACCATTTGAAAAATCACAAATTGGATCCAGTGCCATGGCTTACAAGCGTAATCCAATGAGATGTGAACGTGTTTGTTCATTGGCCAGACACTTGGGTGGATTGTTCAGTGATGCAGTTCAGACTGCTTCAGTTCAATGGTTTGAAAGAACTTTGGACGATTCAGCAATTAGAAGAATCAGTTTACCTTCAGCATTTTTGACTGTTGATATCTTGTTATCAACCATGTTGAATATCACATCCGGATTGGTTGTGTATCCAAAAGTCATTGAGCGTAGAATCAATTCAGAATTACCATTTATGGCTACTGAAAATATCATTATGGCTATGGTTGAAAAAGGTGGATCAAGGCAAGATTGCCATGAAGAAATTAGAGTGTTGTCTCATCAAGCTTCCGCAGTAGTTAAACAAGAAGGTGGCGATAATGACTTGATTGAACGTGTGAGAAACACAGAATATTTCAAACCAATCTGGGGAGATTTGGATGATTTGTTGAATCCAAGCACATTTGTTGGTAGAGCTCCTCAACAAACTGAGAAGTTTGTCAAGCAAGATGTAGCTGAGGCTTTGAAACCATTTGAAAAGTACATTACTGAAGAACAAGTCGCATTGAAGGTTTAGGGGAAGAGGGGTACGACAGTGTAGAGAATCGTGTACAGAATGGTTTTCAGGACAGTGTTTCTATTTGTTTCTAAAATGAACAATTTTTTGATGACTTAATCAAGTAGAATCCTTCAGATCCTTTTTGGAGGCTTTGTGATTTAACAAAGATCTCGATCCCGTAAATTTGCCAAACGTTTATGTATGATTTCAAGGCGGACGATTGGCGGATTGGTAATATCGAAGCTAGAACTTTTGAATGGAAACATGACGCCTTAAAGAACCTGGACACGTTTGTCCAGTATAAAATCTGCGGTGTAATGTACTTCCCCACTTCGAGACACATTACGAGAATTCTTATCAATGGATTCTCTTTGTGGGCAGCTACACACAGGATCACCGTATGCCCTTGGATTTCCCCAACAAATGCAAAAACTACACAAAGCCAGCTTACTCCGTGAATCCTTTTTCTTTTCTAATGAGCTCATAACCTAAGTCAAAATTTGAGAATGACAACTTTGTGTAGTGGCTATAGTACTACTATTGTTCCATTTTTTTGGTCCTTTTGGTTGATCGCAAAAGATTGTCGTAGCTACTCTTGGCAATACATAACTTATAATAGATTTCGGAGAGAGTTACATGGCGTAAGGGGGGGGAATTGTCTGTTAGCACTTGTAGAGGGGGATACGTTCAATTTGAAAATAGGGACAAGAATGCATTTGCGAATACAGAGATACTATTAAAATCAGAATGTTTTAGCCTCGCTTGTTCCAGCTAAGAACATTCTTATCAGGTGTGAGACATTTCCATGCTTTATCGTAACAATATTAGACGGAGATCGTCGACAAGGGTGTAAAAATAAGCACTCCCTTACAACTTTTCGTTGTGTGAAACCCAACAAGTAAAAGGACTCGCAAAACTGAGCTTTGGTTATTGTTGAGGTTTTCTTTTATCTGTAAGGTGCATAATGCGCAAACTCTTTAAAATAACCAATCTTTGTGATATTGGTCTAAACAAATGCCTATTGTATTTTATAAACTTTGTGTACACTCATGTGAATAAAGGTCGCGCACAGTCACACATGCAGAATATTTCTTTGAAATATTCATTTTCTCAAGGGATCACCATAGTTAAGCCAGAAAAATGCATCCGTACCGCAGTACACTTCCCAATTAGGAAAGTGATATTTTTCTGCATAAAGGTCTAGACTTGGCTCGTAAATTGAAGTTATTACACACTTTATACACACACATGGACATGGGAGTATAACAAATTACAAACAATTGTCCGAATAGTGATAGAATGCAACGGCTATGCAAAATGAATACGCTCTTCAACATCTATCCTATGAAGTACAACAAACCATCCGAAGAACTGAAGTAGTAAATCACATAATGGGGCTGGAAAATGCAATGAATAAACTCAGAAATGAAGTGGTATGGGAATCAAAAAATCACAGTCTTGGCTGGAAATGGAAATATTGACCTCTTGGCATTGGCATTGTAGACATAGTGTTTAATGGAGGCAATATACGTGAGCTATAATACGATTGTGTTGGTGGACTTTGCTGCAAGGCCACTGGCGAGAATGTAAGATGATCTTCCTTGATTATTGAAGTTCTTGGTGTTTGTGGTAATGTAACCAATGGGGGCAATTGTACATACTCATTGTGGACGGGTGCAGCGAGCAGTCTCAATGGTTGTTGTGGTAACAGTAAGCGACGTGGAACGTCAATAGATGAAAACTTTGTTGTTGGTGCAATTGCGGGTGGTGGAGGGTAGCTTAGTCCCTGTTGACGAGGAGACACACTATTATTGACAAATGCTACAGGTGATTGTTTTTTGGAATCTGCTTGGGGCCATGAATGATGTGGTTGAAGAGTTTTGCCACCAAAATGACCATCAAATGAAAACGATCGGGATGCAAATGGTGGTTGTGGAATTGAAGATGGAACTGGATACTGCGGTGATTGCAAACTGTTGAATGCGTGTTGTTGTTGCCGCTGCTGTTGCCGCTGCTGTTGCAGTTGTTGCAGTTGTTGTGGGGTGGTTTGATTCTGAATAGGATTTATGCCTAATGGTGACTCAACTTGAGGTGGTGGCAATGTTTGAGTTTGTGGTGTTGTGATACCGTGAAAAGTAGGAATATCTCTGACCAAGTCGTTGGCTTCTTCAACTACATCATCTTCGCCCATTTCTTCCTCCATTCCACTTTTCAAACTCTCAATTAAACTGAGCTTAAACCTCTTCAAAGCATCCTCCACAGGAAACGTACAATACACATTTCTCGCAAACCCAAAAACTCGCTTAACTCCACTCACATCATCAGCATCAACCTTGTCCAACCCCTTTATGCCATGACAAAGACATTGCTCCAAATCTTCAAATGCAACTTGCAAAATACCATTAAACAAATCACGTTCAAATGAACGACAATCCGTGTACAATGAATAATTAACTCGATCACAAGGGATGAAATAAATCTTCATATTACTCTTGTACCGTGGTCTAGCAATAATCTTTTTGAAAAACAAATTGTTGGGAACTTCACCTTGATTTCCAAGTGAATGTAACATTTCATCCGAGTTTTCTTCATCATCAATCAATGTGTAATCACCAGGCGTTGCAGTTTCCAATTTCAAAATCGATGATCCATGAATATCATCGGTTGTTGATCTTGTTATACGAACCAAGGTAAACTCTTTGGAGTTGAAAAGTGTATTTACTGCAGTATCTAGTGAATTAAACGTTGGTGTAGATTGGTTCAGTTCACTAGTAAATGATTTAATAATTTTGTTGGAATACTCAGTTAAGTCAACCACATTATTATCAATTAGTTGTAGGCCTTTTGAGACAAGACACTTGTTCATGTTGTTGTTACTTTGCAGTTTGATATCACTTGTATTGGCGTACTCAGCAACTGTCTCGTTATACTCTCTAATAGCTGTGTCATCCTTAAACAAACTGTAAATCTTTCGTTCATCAGTGAATGGTATTAAACAGTGATATAAACTAAACAAGTCATCACATTTTGTCAACTTGATCTTGATACCTGCTTTTAATGACTTGATATGCAACTTCAGTTGACGAGTGTCACTAATCTTTTTCTTGGTGGAGTACTTACGTCGTATGGCAAACTTGACAAATCGTTTATTGGCAAGAATACGCTTATTGATTTTGGATTTGGGGATCTTGTCACGTAATTGAAAAAGTGGTTTGTGTGAATCGGAGGGTAATGCCGACTTGTTGGCAGCGACACTCTTGGGGGTAAAAGAGCTCAACAATCCTGTTTCGGTAACTGACAACTTTGAAGGTGAACATGGTTGTTGTGGTGATACTGAAGAAAAAGCCGTATTGACATCCCTTGTCAGCTCTTGTTTAATAACCATAGACATATTCCTTTCAAGTTCGATAGGTGATGAATTTATAGAAGACATTGAAGAGGCAAGTTGATTTTCCGACTTGATACTCGATAATGGATCTGTAAAATTAGCAGTTGAATTGCCTTTCCACGAGTATGTGGGTGGCGGTGTAATAAAAGCTCTAGGAGATTTCTGATCGTGATATTGAGCCGATCCGAAACAGTGATTGTGGCTGACAGTATGAAGATCTTGTTGATGATGTGCTTGCGAGTCTTCTTGCCCACGAGTTTGTTTTTCTCGTTGTTGCTGTTGCCTATTGAGTATTTCATCAGCATTCAATAGATCTAACAAGCCTGCCATTTTCGGAATAAATTTGGGGCGGGAAATGACTCAAGTGATAATATAGTTGATACTGTGAACAAAGCGTCTGATTCAGATTGAGACGTCCCTCTTTATGAGTAAGTTAATCGGAATAAAATCGATGAATTCGTACAGTTTCAGATCTGTGAATTCCCTTAGTATATGTGTTAGGAGTTTTAGTGACCACGAGGGTTCTTGACTTGAGTCTAGGGAATCAACAAGAAAAAAAATGAAAATATAAATCAAATTGCAAAAAAAAAGTATTTAAACTGGAAACTGGAGATCCCGCTTTTTCTTCTATGAGTGTTTATGTAGTTATAGTTTGTATAAATGTGATATGAGAAAAGATAAAGGGGGACAATATATGTAAAAACATGTAAACAAAAAGGTACCAAGATGTTGTGGGTATTTATATAAACAAAATAATAAAATAAAATAAAAAAAAATATAATATTTAGGTAGGGTTATAGTTCTTGTAACACAAAAAGTAGGGGCGAGAAAGAGAAAGAGAAAGAAAAAGAAAAGCGAGGTTTTCCTTGGGGAGAGAGCATTCTATTCTTGTTGATGTTTGACTTGCATTGTGTGATGTTTGGTCAAAGAGAGTACTATACAGTATCTCAAGTAAATGCATATATTGTGCGTTTGTATGTAATTGAAAAAGGCTCATACTTGTTGCTTTATTTTTATTTGTCTTGGTTTTATTGTTTTTTTAGACTTTATGTACAATGGGATATTTCATTGCAACAAAAACAAAAAGCATAAAATTGAACACAAAAGTATCAATTATTATATTTGCTTTTTCACCAAAAGAGCTATTCTGTAGAGACTCTTATTATTGTTCATAGACAAAGAATGTCTTACAAGTACCAATAAGTACATATTCAAATAGGGGAGATACAAAAGGATGCAAGACTTCCAAACGTATATGTTGAAACACGGATCGACTGGAAACATTCCTTCTCTCTCATCCTCCCTTACTTCGATCAGCAACTGCCACAAGATTGGAGGAGCATGTGTGACAAAAAACAAAAGCAAGAAAGAGCATATGAGCATATATTCTAAAGTTTGCATCCAACGGGAAAACTGCCCCGCTGAAATCAAAAAGCAACTTTCAAGAAAGGCGGCTACAACAACAATAAAAAGTTCAAACGTATCAATTTCCAAGACATCCGGCGGTTCTTAGTCACACATAATCCTTGGTCTGAGGTTTTATTTGGTAGAATCGAAGCAAGGGTCTAGACCTGTAATGCAACCACCCCAAACAGGAAAACGCTGAGTACAGTTACAGGTGGGGGTTCACAGTGGTGGTGAGTGATTTGAAGAGGCGACTTGGTCCGCCTAGAGGTTAGTTAATGAGGGCGTGCGTTGTGATAACAATGTGACTCTTGATGGGCGCATCTTACGGTGGTACCAAACACACACACTTACACACAGTAAGCAGTGTCCAATTATACTGTAAGATAACATGCAGAAAGATCCAAAAAGACTACAAACCAGAGACAGAGTTGAGACAAATTAAAACAATAGAAGCCATAAAAAAACAGTGGTTAACTTTTGACGGGTCTTCCAGTGCATTCCATCACCATGTTACCATCTGAGTCTTCTTCAAAATCAGATGATAAAATAAGCTGAGTGTGTTATATTTTTCCCTAAAAAAAAACAAAAAAACGAAGCAACAAAAGAGAAAGAGATACACAATATCACAAGTTATGTGTGCTTTGCTTGTTACATTTGCATACGTTTGCCAGGATTATGTGAGGAAAACAAGTGTTGCACAAAATGTAATTTTAGATTAAAAAGGTTTAGTTTTGGCTCTATTTACACTACCACCGAGAGACTACGTACGTATCCATCGTACTTCTCTCTATTCACACAAGAGAATGGTGTTACACAGTGCGATACTATGTAATTACGGTTATTTAACCAAATTTTAAGAATATTATTTTTGAATGGATTTAGTGTTTACTTTAAAAGTGTGCATTTTCGAGCTCACCAGTTATGAGTTTATGCTAGTGTATCCAAAGCAACGACCTAAACATTTACGATGCTGAATCGTAACTTTCACTTTTCGAGCTCTATATCGCTTTTTTACGATATGGTAGTTCACGTTTATCAACTGGACTTTTTGCATGATGTTCTACATATTCCCATTAGTTCTAATTTCTTCTGAGAATTTTATTTATGCACAAGTGGCTAAAGTAAAGTAAAATAGCCAAAAAAAAGAGACTAGGTTTTGGCTAACTCATGATAAATAAAGCTAACTAGAAAACCTTAAATCCGCACACATATAATCCCTCATTCTTTGATTTGCCGTTTTCTAGTTGTGAATGACTGAAGTTGCAATAGAAAGAAAAGTCCCAATTATTGGTATCCAACTATACCTACATAAAGTGTACCAAATAAAAACCTTACCTTGTCCAATCGAACAAGACTAAACCCAACAAAATATCTTTATCGCAGAACTTCACACAAAGAACTCAATTATAATAGAAATAAAAAAACAAGAATTACAAGAAGCACAGATAATCAATTTTTGGTAGAGTAGCTATGTTTGTGTAACAAGTGGCCAAACTCCATAGTTGTGTAAAGTTGCGCAGAAATTTTAGACACACAAAAAGGTAACTCCTACCGAGGGCTGAAGCTTCGAAAAAATCACTTTCTTCTTCTGGATACAAATGTTTTGCCCCCCCCCCCCCCCCAAAGGTAAGCAGCTGTATTATTTCCTGCAACTTTTAGAAGTCTCCCTGTTCACTAGCGGCTGAAGCCGAAAAAAAAGAACCTTTTCAATATGCTCTTGCGCTCATTCGAGTTGCTTTTTTGTGTAGTTAAAACCAAAAAACAAAAAAAGGATAAAGCTAAATTTGGTACGGGATACACTACCATACCTCTCAATTTTTGAGGCTGGTGCATGAGAGATAAAAACACAATAACAATAATGCGTTTGGATGTTGCATTTTAACCGCGATTGAGTGGATGATTCGGATGCGGGACCACTGGGACTACTGGAAAAATCGGCAACCTACGCAAAATCTATAACGCTCTATACACACAATGGGTGCCATTGCGCAGCAGTAGAGCGAAGCGAATGGAATGTGCCAATCTCAACATTGTATTAATTTCAGATTATTCTTGAACTGGTTGTTTATTTTTCTAAATGTGCAACTGTTTTCGCCATTTCCGGGAGCAATGAACAAGAATGTAACCAGAATGGAAGCGGAATTTCTGAAATTGCACAAGCGAAGACAATAGGGACGGAACAAAAGCTTTTGAAACCAAAAAAAAAAAAATAAAAAACAAAAATAGAAAGTATTAATGAGAAGAGGTTTGATTGTTTGTAGTTTTTAACTTCCGGACGAAAGTTTTAGCCTTTGACAATTCCGTTGTTTCTCGTGGTTCGCAACTCCCTAAACTCTGCGTATTAGAGGAAGTTTTTATCAAAACATGCTGTTCGTAGTTGAGCTTGCCAAGAAGTTGACAAAGGCGTGGGCCCTGTCGCTTCATGCTTAGACGTATAGAAGAATACGAAGCGAACGGAGTGCGAAAAATACGCTCCGCTCTTGATCCTCTGGTACTCTGAGTGGATGCGATTTAAGCAAGATATCGTTAATGCTTTTTTTGCTTATGATCATAATTGGATGTGTGTGTTTTTCTCTTTTTTTTTCTTTCTTGAGCCAAATGGTTGTTTTCCAATGTAACCTCTATGCACAAACGAAGTCCTTTGCTTTTTCAACTTTATACTTTTTTAAACTCGTTAACTCCTTACATAAGACTTCAATTTAGAGTTGTTGACGTAACAAACCAAGCACATGAGCGGGGGAACAAGAGACTACCTTCTGGGCAATTTTTAGAGAGTTTAGGAGTGCCTTTGAATGACAACAAATTTCACTTGAATTTTGAAGCAAAGAAAATTTCAAAATGTTGAAACAACTACTTTTACCAATGTTTACTCTTCCACACGGTATTGAAACCATAAAATTCACACAAAAGTAAGTTCCGGAATATTTTTTTATCTTTTATTGACAGATTCCAAACTTGTTCTTTGTGTTTTCGCCGTAACATCCTACTCGACTTTCTTCTTCGTCTTCTTCGAGAGAAAATAACCACAACTAGTTATTGTTTGGCTTGGTTTTCGCCACAAATTAAATCTTCGCACAGTTTTGTGCTCACCTTGATGTACCAACCACAACGATGTTGGCACATGCGTTTGCCCGCCTCGGTTGCTTTTTTGCATTTCGAATTTTAGTACTTTTTTTGTTCGATTTCGCAAAAAACCTTTCCGAAATGACATGAATTTACCCCTCATTGTTTCTACTTCTTTTTTCCCTATCCCAAGTGCAATTAGTATATACGTGAATATCAAAGTTCATACTTTTGACCTCATATAGCCGGGGATACTCAAAAGCGTCAGAGAGATAGAAATTTGGCACACCGATTTCTTTTCCGGAGTTGAGAATCACATGCCAGCGGAGATCACATGAAAGCTTGGATGAATAAGTTAATCGCAACTCCAGTGATTGTTTTGTATCTTCCGGTCGAAAGTAGCCTAATAAGCTTTTCAACGATTGCAAATTATCATCATCTACTATCCATGACTCTAGCTTTTTCGAAGAAGTGACTTAACCGCGGATATGAGTTGAATCACCTAACATTACCATGAACAGAGTGGATCATGGTTATGCGCTTTTCCTTTATAGCATCGTAGGAAAGAATTGGCGAAAACAAAATCAAACTCTTTTTCCATTCATTGCAACCAACAAAAATAACGGATTTACCCAACCGTGATAAGCCCTTTGTTCTCGAAAGTTGACGTCACTATCTTAACAATAAGAAGCTTGAAGTGCTATTTTGATTTCAATGTAGCAATGGCTAAAAGATAATACTAAATGCGTCCTTCTATACAGGTTAATTTATATTCGAAAGGATTGCCGATCAGAGACTGGATATGAATAAGTAAGATATGGTTTGCATAGAACTGCCCTTGTGTTTAACAAGTTCTACATTGCATTTTATTCCTCTGTATGTCCCCTATACAGCAAAAAGATCGACGATTGCATTGTAGAATTTTCTTTTTGGAGATCTTATTGCAATACAGGTCACCAGGGTTGATCTTTTAGTCGATCTGTAGTGTAGATAGAGATAAGGCAAGGAGGCGTCCCGACGAGAAGGCAAGTAGAAATGTATGGAATGTATCCCGCGTTTCCGTCCCACAAATGTACTCCTTGAAGCTTTTACACGCAAAGTTTGTTTCCACTTTAACAACACACTGATTTCAAGATTAGCGCAACACTACAGTGCATTACCACCTCCCCTATGCAAATTACATCTATGCGCTAAATTGTGTACATACAGCTTCATATACTTAAAGTCTCTAAGGAAAAACTCCCATATATTTCTTTCAAAGCAACACTAATTTTGCTGATCAATAATAGAATCAAAATCTTCAACTTCCTTCAACTTGTAATCTTGAGCCAATGACACTTCCACTTTATGATCGTTTGCATATTGCAATCTCGCCAATTTAGCTTGTGGTCCCCATCCATTAACCGGCGCATTCAATTTAAACGGCAACAACCATGAAGTGATGGCAATAAAATTGTCGCTCAAATTTATCAATTCATAAATCAAATCTTCAATGCAAATAAGCCCCAATTCTTCAAATTTGTCTTCAACTACTTGATTATTGTCCAATTTAACCACCTTTGATTGAATCTCGCCAGTTTCGGCATCGGTTTCGTCAACCATTATACGAGCTCTTTTTTGAAATAGTTTACGTATTGATGAAATTGATGGTTGTCCAATGATGACGTATGGGGCAATTAATCCTAATAATTTGATGGTCGATTCATTAGCTTTAACAAATACACCGGTATTAGATTCAATCAACTTCAACACTTGCAAGATTTGGTATGCCTTTTTGGGGATTTTTAGTCCCTTTGTATGGTTAGGTATTCTGATGACAAATAATAACTTGTATTCTCCTTGATCTTGAACTTCGTTATTGGTGGTAGTTCCACTGTTGCTTATTGAAGTTGGCAAATTACTATTATTGATCTTTTTCGACACCTTCTTGATCCTCTTGCGTTCAATTTCATTGGACTTGTGATTACTTAGTAAAGTTTCTGCTCTAATGAATTTATTCTTTTGTTGTAATTTGGCCTTCTTGGAAGCAGCGATTTTTTCCTTGATTTGCTCCTGTTTCTCTAATCTTTTACGATCAGCATTTTTACGTTTACGTAATAGAATCTCTGGGTTGGAGTTGAGGATGGCCATTTCTAAAAGGAGGTGCTGGGTACTGTAAATGGAGTAAAGGTTGGTTGTAAGATGAACTTAGTTTTTTTTTTTTTTTTTTTTTCTTGAGATGAGATGTGTGAGGCTCAAAATAAGGAGAGGTCTAATGTATCTGTCGCTCCAACAAGGCAGCGAAGGTTCGCACGAGATCGAAGCGAAAATGGAGGAAGTTAGGAACAAAAAATTGGCTGTGCTTGGGTTGACGTATGAGCTTTGGTCGATGCAATCTGAAAAGGGTGCATTTCCTCACTCAACTTGACATAGAGAAGAAACGTTATCAATGATTTCCATGATACGATAGTAAGTTCTGATTTCTATTACTACGTACTAGGGCAGTTCCGATAGTTATGCGGACAATTTTATAACCTACCTCCAATACATTGTGAGACCTTTTTGTCTCTCCTCACTGATGAGACGGGGATATGGCCAATCGCAAGGCTGTGGTGTTCCGCTTCGAGAAGATGAATACGATTTTCGTCATGCGAATTTACTCAATTGACACTGCAAAATGAGCCCACTTTTCTATCAAATGTTAGAGTTTGCCTGTGTTTAGTCATACGCCATGACTAATCTTACGTAAATATTTATCTTTATACGATTATGCTTCTGAACTAATGCCTATGAGGTTCATTGAGCATAAGTCTAATTTCGTTTAGAAGCGCATTTCGTTGAATAGTGATGTGTATCATGACAAAACTAATTGTGTATGGAGTTGTTTTTCCATTTTTATTTTTTATTTTTATTTTTTATTTTTATTTTTTTATTTTTTTTTTTCAATTTTTCAATTTCAAGCTTGATTTGATCTGCTAATTTTATTTTTAACCAGATCAGGTATAAAACCAACTCAACCCCTTCAAGATCTTTCCCTATCGGAACAACACAACAAAAATAATAATATTGTAACGTGCTCATTTATATTATAATATTCACTCCTAGATCTTACCACAATTGTTATTTTTTACTCAACATCAAAACTGCTCCTATCAACAAAAGACTAAACTCATTAACATACAACAGATCCTACGCCTATTAAGATAGTGGTAACATTTCACCACTTGACAATCTCCCCTACCATTACCAAGACCAAGAACACCACCCAACAACAATCTTTGCACACCTTTTGCATTCGTTTTTATTGCTCATTCTTCGTTGTGAGTTACATTTAATTCTGTTTCCCGGTTACCTGTTACATAGAACCCTTCAATTTCACTGTTTCATTTGTTGCATACGTTAGTAGATCATAGATACCCATTGCATTCAAGACCCAAAAAGCTGATGATTATATGAACCTTGACCACTATTCATCCCAACAAAGGTCATCTCAGCTACCCCAATCACAGCAACAGCAACAGCAACAGCAACAGCAACAGCAACAGCAACAGCAACAGCAACAGCAACAGCAACAGCAAGCGCAACAGCAACAGCAACAGCAACCTCTTCAACAATATCAACATGTACTACCTCAGCAGGGATCCTTGCAAGACTTCTCTTCCGCAGATCTGGAATTATCAACAACTCATCAGCAATACCAACAACAACCAACTACATTTCCACCCTTGCAAGCCCAACCTGAGTACTTTCAAGAACAAATTCCCGAACAACATTATATGCAACCATTGAACCCTCCCACCTATGTTCAATCGCAACGCATACCTCCTTCGTCACAACCACCAGGGCAATATTACGGTGCTTCTTCACACCCTGCATATATGACACAAGAAAGCATCAACTTAAGCATGCCTCAATCACAACGATTTCCTAATTATAGAGTTACTGACCAGCACAGTAACATTGCATTTACAAAACAACCTACTACTTATGGCGCTTCTTTAGGTCCGCCGCCTCAACCACCACAACATCAGTACCTGCGACCGTTGCAACAAGGAGAATCACACCATCCAACTTCACAAATGGCACTGAGTCTGGAATCACAATACGAGCCGGTTCCAAGCCTGTCATCAACAGGTAACCCACTTGATGAGTCGAGTCAGCAAAGTAGATTCAGCCAGACAACTACCTCATCTCTGTACACACTGCAACCACATATAGCATCACAACTACAGTATGATACACTACAAGAGAATGCGCAAAAGGGGCCACCTCAACCACCATTAAATGTCAAAAGGCACAAAAGAAATAACTCCTCCATCTCATCTGTTTTACACTCCACTGCATACGAGGATGAATTAAAAAGTATGGCACATGCAAAAGTAAACATACCATTGGCTGAGTTGGCAAGAAGAATAAAAGAACTGGAGTATGACACTTCCAGCTTATCGTCAAGTTCGAGATTGACATCACAGGAAGGATCATCTGCTACGTTTCCAACTTCCTCGCCATTAGCAACGACAGAAAAGCCCCAAAATACAAAAGAAACACAACGACTGGTTTTTGGAATGGTGTGGCTATTGACATCGTGTGAGGTTTCACCAACCGCAGTTATACCTCGTAACAGAATATATGCCAGGTATGTCCAAATTTGCGCTGACAATAGTCTATCGCCTTTGTCTCCTGCCAGTTTTGGTAAATTGGTGAGAATTTTATATCCAACAATAACAACGCGAAGGTTGGGAATGAGAGGACAACTGAAATATCATTATTGTGGAATTCGATTGAAAGGTGAGCAAAGTATGCAACTGCAGTTGATTCAGAAACAGCAGCAGCAGCAACAACAGCGATCTCATCACAGAGGACAATCATTGGGATCAGATTTTGCCACGCTGTTACAATTGCAATCTCCAGTTCGCCCTGGAATCGGCGCAGTCTCTGCTGCTCAGTCCCCATTGTCAACAACTTCATCAGTCTCGTATGAAGAATCACCAAGATCAACATTTGGAGGGGAAACACCGACTTACAGCGCTATCAATTCACCATCAGTGCTCTCCTCGTTCCCCACTTCGGATCAGCTACCACTGGTGTCGCATATGAAGTACGTACCCGATTTATTCAAGCTCTTGGGGCTGGAATCAGTAGCCACCAAGTCGTATCCATATACACCAATAGAACTACCACCCATATATTCATACCTACCAAAAGACACTGACCGCGATATCGCTGATACATTATCCTCCTTGTACAAAGTTCATGTCAATACAATATTTGAGTCACTTCGATTCATGCAACTAAAACGACTATTTTCAACATTCAACAATTTTAACAGCATATTATCGTCTCCCGTTTCCAAGTTGTACACCGCTGACTCAGTGATTGAGTGGGTGCAGCAATGTGATTTGCTCATGTACAAAAAAATGGTACGAATGTTGAGCAAATTGCATATGCAATATTTGATGCCTCAGGAAAATATCAATCAGTTGAAGACAATTGCATCAAACTATACACGTACGTTAGCTAATTCCATTATCAACTCACGAAATTCGAAAACTTTCATTACAATGAAATTAAAAATGGCCAAACACTTTGTCAATTTACTCAATCGTTTAATCAAGGTCATTGAAACTGGATCCACTGCATCTAGGATATTGAATGACGATACTGAAAAACAAGTTATGTTGCAAGATTGGCAAAAGCTAAACTTTACTGAGATGGTTTCAAGAGATGTTCCTTGCGCCGATGAATCCAACTTGAATACTTTAATTTTCATATTAAGTGAAGAGGTTGTCAAAATAGTTGAAACTCCTTCAGATGAAAACAGTTCACTCATGCAAACATATGCCAATTTTGTTGGTGGATTACCATCACAATTCCCCACTGTCAGTCCTCGAATGTTTTTGCTACTATCCTCAAACTTGTTGACGTCCATTCTTCGAGAAATAAGTCTTAAAAGTGGCGACGGATTTGGAGCATGGTGGATAGTGAGGTGTTGGGTTGATGAATATTTGGCGTGGATAATGGAGGTGGGTGGATTTTTCCAGGATGAGCTAATGACATATACAACTGAAGGCCAAGAACCAAAACTGGGGGACAGAACTGATGAGCCACAAAAAGATGAAGAGAGTCACCAAGGGCAGACTAGTGGAGCCACTGGGGGTCAAGCTGAAGAGGAGTACGATTTAAGTTGTGAAACATCCATTGACTTGTTAGGGTAGGTGGAGCGTATTATAAAGAATCTTTTTCACACGGACTGTATAGAGTAATAAATGAGCATGCTTTGGGGTGGACTTTTAAACCCCTTTCAATAACTTTTTTCATGGTTGGTTTAGGATTATGTGATGCTGTGAGGGTGATTCTATCAAGATTCAGAGGCCGTGAAGGGGCTGCCAGTAGCTTGCTTGGAAATTGAGAGTCCCACACGGCTTTTGTGTTGACTTAATCGATGCTGGCTGTTTGACTATGGCTGCCCTTTTGCGACTGGTGCAAAAATGTTACATCAAGGAAAATTCAAATGGTTTGCAAAATTTGATGCACAAAAAAGAAGAGTGTTCTTAAAACATACTCCAGCATTACAAACACCCCTATATATCAGCATAACTAAGTAACTAAAGTTTCCACACTTCTATACAGCAACTAACATTGCAACTAATGTCAAACACTTCAAAGTTTCATTTAGATACCATTTTTGTTTCCATCAATAAAAGTACCACCCCCAAGTTAAGTTTTTGGTTGCAAAAAACTCCACTTCTCCCATAATCATGTCACAGCTCAGTACCCTAGACAAATTTAATATTGCCAAAATTCAAATGGAAACTTCAAAGAACAAAGATAGCCCGGAATATTGGAAATTTAGGTTGGCTATCAAATTAATCCAGGATGTTTATATGTTTCCTAGTGATGAAAGTTGTAAGCGGGAATTCTACGATACTGTATCCAATGAGAGAATGAGGGTTGTTGGTAAAGATCTTATTCCAGGGGAGAGACGTGTCGTTGCTAACGTTGATTTTACAATTGGTTCACACATTATGGATGTTACGACTATTGCTGTTCTTTTTGATGACTACAATGACACTCCACCAGTGTACATTACAAAATATCAAGAGATTTTCCAGTCCATGATCATCAACACTAAGACCAATAAGGAGACCAACAGAATCATTTTATTGACATTCTTAGTCATGTTCAACTATTTAGAGGATAGTGAATTTGCCAGCAAAGTCAATAACTTGTGTACTCACCAACGACAGATTCGTCTTGCTAGTGAGTTGAGAAATGCGAGGGACTCAATAAAAGCTCAAATGATTGACTTGTTTCATTCCTATTTCAAAGAGTACTCCTTAGCTATGGAATTTTTCAAAAAGGGTCAAATTAAAATGGCAAAGAGTAATTGGAAATTTTTGGAAAATTTAGTCAATGTCGTAATGGTTAACCAATCAGTATTGATGAATCACCATCATGAACGTGTTGGTATATTCTTGGATCCTCAATTTGCTATTTTGAATCACAGTTGTTTGCCAAACTGTTTGCAAATTGAATCGGGTTATGAACAGTACTCAGTGGTTAACAGTTTACCAATCCAAGCCAATGAGGAAATCACTGTCAACTACATCAACGTCGGTGCTCCAGTTGAAATCCGTGCATACAAGTTACTCACAAAGTACCACTTTCATTGTCAATGTCAGTTGTGTTTAATGAAACAAGATGTGTTTTTCACCATGCAGTGCAACGAATGTTTGAAACAAATCAAGTCATCTAGTTTAAATGCTACTCTAACCACACCAAATACCATCTTGAAGGAACAATCCTGTTCAAAATGCTTTCATCCGTTTGACTTGGATGTGTACACACGGCAAATTCAAATTCGAAATTTCCTCATTGCAATTATCCTCATTCCAAAATCAAACTACAATATCAATGATGACGGTTATTTTAGCTTATTGTTAAAAGAATTTGCTGGGTTGATTGAGAGAAATGGAGCACCTGCGTTGGTTAGATTATTAGTTGATACACTTGAAACTTTTCAAATTGTCCCCACCCGAGTTTCATTTATCAAACGATTGATTGATGAGGTGATGACAACTAAAGTATTTGCATTGTATACTTTTCCATTCAATGTGATTGTCCAAAAGATCAGTAATGATGCATGTGAGTGTACTGACTTTGACACTGGGTTGGAGGGGTTGAAGTATTATGCACGAGTTCTTTTTGCAGTCAAGTTCCCTGCTGATTTAAGCAGCCAATTGTTTTTTGACGAGTGTTTGTTTATGGAGTTGGCACAACGAATTGAGAATTTGATGGCTGTGTTAGTGGAGGAGCAGGTTGATACTTTTTTTGGTACATTTGAAGAGTCAATGGAACTACTTGCCCGATGTGCATATTTCTTTTACAAACATGTCAAGTGCAAATTTGAAACTCAATACGTGGAGGAAAAGTTGTTGCAACTTCGTCAAGGTTACCATCCCACCAAGTCGAAGAGAAGTATTCATTCTTGCTTGGAGAGATTGTTTAGTTATGCCAATGCCAACATATTTATCACAAAGACCCGTTTCCTCATATTCAATGCAAGGCAAGAGCAAGTCACCTTGTTTCATACTTTTGATTCTGATGACTACATGTGAGACAAATGGGGCCACGTCGTTTCTTTTCTTTTTTCACTTTGTTTACATAAGTTTTGCTTTTTCTATACATCATTTAATGCTACACATACAGCTCCCTTGTGATGTCCATTGTACTGCCTTACGGTCTCACTGTTGGAAAGATCCCACAACCTCACGTAATGGTCGGAGCATGCAGTAACTAGATATGCGCTATCGGCACTAAATGCACAATCCCAAACCCATCTCTGATGCCCTTGTAATGTGGTTTCCAAAGCGAAATTCTGTTCTGTTGACCATATTCTTGCTGTGTGGTCTGCTGAACAGGTCGCCAAATGTTTCATATCTGTGCTCAACAACACTCGAGTGATGTACTTCAGATGTGATCGAAATTTTGTCACCGGTGTCAACGAAGTGAGATCCTTTTGATTCAGCATACTCCAAACATAGCAGTTACCCTTGTTGTTTCCAGCAACAAGCATTGATCCATCGCTGGCAACACTTAGTGAGTTTATTGGTACATCATCTTCAGGGATCAAATGATGCGTACATTGATTTTCACCAAGGTCCCATACTCTTATATTACCGTCTTGATCACAACTGATCAACTCACCTTGATTTGGGTGTATAACAACTTCATTTACGGGGCAATTATGTTTATAGTTTCGTTGCACGGACGGCGATCTCACGTCCCATACTTTCACAGTTCCATCTTCACTTGATGTCACCATCCATTTGTTGTCGGCTTGAAATGCTAATGACGTGACATTTGTGCTGTGCCCTTCGAAGGTCATGACTGGGTTGTTGTTTGGGTTGTTGCTATTTGATGACCCGGCATTATTATTCTGAACTGATGTGTTCCCAATAGCTCCACCTTGCCGTATGTCGTATAATCTCACATACAAGTTTCCTGCTGCTGCGAGGTATCGCTTATCGGAGGTAATCTCTAATCGATTGACTTGAGAGTCGGTATGTTGAATTGTTCTTGAGCACACACCAGTAAGGGCGTCCCAGAATCTAATGGTATGATCATACCCAGCCGAAGCTAGTATCACGGACATGTTATGGTCACTAGTAGTGTAATGAACTTTTGGTTTTCGCGCACCAGTAAATTCTATACAAAACAAAAAGCAAGAGTCTTTAGAATTATATGCATTACTCTCTATACGTTACATAACAAGCAGCAACGGCTCTCAGAAGTTGTCCAAAATAGCTTGCTTTTGTGCTGGGGTTAATGATGATGGATAGTCGACCTTGTATGTGATTTCCAAATCACCTTTTTGACCAGGACTTTTACTTATTGGCATTCCCAAACCTGGGTAGTTTGTGGTTGAGTTTGGTTGAACGGGACTGGATCTACTTAATGAAATCCTTCTTCCGTCCAAAGTGGTAACATCCTTTTCAAACCCACAAAGTGATTCCTTGAATGATAAATGAACATTCATCTTTATATCGTTTCCATCCCTCTTGAAGATGGGGTTGGGTTTCTCTTGTATAACAAATTGTATAGTTTGTCTGGCACCACATTCTGGTTGGTAGTCACCTTCGTTGGCGAAATTGATCTTTGTACCTGACTTCCAGCCTGGTTTTATATTAACTTCCAATACTTTTTGTTCTCTGGTTCCATTGGCATCTTTTCTAGTAATCTTCATCTTTTTAGTAGCACCTTTATACAAGTCTTCCAAGGATACTGGTAGTTGTATTGATACAGTATCTGGTTCTGGTCTTTGCTGCTGGCGACCACCAAATCCACCTGGCATACCACCACCAGCTGATCTGAAACCGCCAGCGCCACCACCAAATGGAGACCCACCAGCACCACCACCGAAACCACTCAGACTAAAAGTGAAACCATCATCTCCCATACCAAAACCACCCATTTGTGAAAAGATGTTGAATGCATCGGCTTGAGAGAAACCTCCACCTGAGGACCTGAAACCACCACCACTTCCACCACCAAAGTTGAAGCCACCAGCACCACCACCCGCTCCTCCGAATGGATTGCCAGGGTCAGCAGCTGGCGCATTACCTCTTGCTGCTTCTAGACCGTATTGATCATACACTTCTCTCTTGTCGGGATTGGACAAAATATCAAATGCTTCGGAAATCTCCTTGAACTTTTCAGTATCTCCAGTTGGTTTATCAGGATGGTATTTCAATGCTTGTTTTCTGTATCCTTTTTTAATCTCTGCTTCATTAGCAGTTGGCTCAACGCCGAGTAAATTGTATAGCTTTGTATCCTTAACCATGATTGTTGACGACTGTATAACCCAATGGGAAAATCAATTGAGATTAGGATAAGTACTTATAGACCGAAAGAAAAAGTATCGATTACTATACAAAAATAGCAATTAATTTTCAATTTTTTGAAAATCTGGTGAATGTCATGGAATCAGTTTTGTTCAACATTTGCTACCAACTTTTTTACACTACACATTTTTTTTCTCTTCATTGTGCGATAATCGAGAAGATTCATCTCATTTCTAGAATGTTCCTTATCTCTACACGTGATCTCGGATATATACATCCATTCAAGACTAATCATTCTTTTCAGCACTAATAGTAGCACCAGCAGCAGCAGCAGTCTTTGCCTTCTTCCTTAAAGCCCTCTGTCTAATTGATTTGTGCATGTTGAGGTTAATCTTGTTGGCGATCTTGGAATAAACACCAACGGTATTATCAATTCCAAAATGCATTAAAGCGTGTGCCCAGTATGGTGTAGTAGTAGCAAACCTCTCTTGGGCACCACCTCTGCGACCAACTCCTTTCAATGCAGAAGCAACAAAGTCTTTTGCATTCGGAATTGTCAATGATGAACGTCTAATCTTGGACATCGCTGAGGTTACCAAATATGAAATGACCAACTCAACATCAATACCTTCAGGGTTTAATTCTCCAGCCAATGCATTTGACCATTGTTGTAAAAAGGCTTTGGAGCCAGAGTAAACAGCCAAATAAGGGGTGGGCAACAATCCACCAAAAGAACCCATTGTCAAAATAAGACCTCTAGTTGCGCCACGTGATTTTTCAACAGTAGCAGCAATAATTGGCGCAATAACTTGAGTGATTCTCAACGTAGCTGTGTTGTTAATGGTTATGATGTTTCTCAACTCAGTAGCATCAGTTTCCAAGAATGGAACTGGGATGGAGTGAGATTGTCCAACATTGTTGATCAAAACAGTAATTGGTAAGTCATAAACCGTCTTTTCCAACTCCAAGTAGTTAGAGTCATCATCCAGTGCCGCATCAAATGGAACAATTCTAGTGTCAACCTTGTATTTGGCAGTAATTTCTTCAGCCACAGCCTCCAATTTTGATTTCGTTCTTGACACCAACACAATAGCCAATCCACGTTTAGCCAACTGCAAAGCAAACTCCTTCCCAATTCCGTCAGAAGCACCGGTGACAACTGCCCATTTGCCACTGTGTGCACCATACTTAACGAAATCGACGGGAGGTACGACAAAAATGTCAAAAAGTAAGGAACCAAATTTGAGAACAAAAGTGGTTAACTTGAAAACACCAACTAGTAAGGCAAACACCAATGTGTAGTATACAATTGGGTTATTAGGAAGCGATTGGAATAGTTCTTCTATTATTGACATGGTGAATAAGAAGAAGCTTTGGGTTATGGGTTGTCCTTGTAAATTCTTGGTTTTCGATTTTTTTTTTTTGTTGAGCAGATTCGAGAATCGAGTTCAAACGCGGATAGGGAGAGTATACACAGAGCAAGTTTTTACAAGGATACAATAAGGAAATACAAAATTCCCATTACCATTACATATACACAAATTCGTCCAATTTCTCTGTTGTTAGCTGCACGTGCAATTCTTCTCTAGCCGCATGTTTCTCCAAACTCGAGATTGCCATTTCCAATTTCATCTTTTTCCTTTGTAGTTCCCGAATAGTTTCATCAGTAGCGGTTTGCTCATTGTAGTTAGCCTCTAAACTTGCTTGTTGTGCTTCATCTGTTATTCCCATGATGTTTATCCACGGGTTTTGAAACTCTTTTAATTTTGTATCATGTAGGAAGTCCTTGTAATGACGAGAGCTTTTATCCACTACACCGCCAGACCTGTAAAACTCACCCAGATGATGTATGCTTCCGTTTCGACTTTTGTAGCCACTACCTCGGAAAGATCCCCCTCTGTAAACATCACCACCACGACCACCCCCACGACCCCCTCGACGACCACCACGTCCATAAGATGCATCTGGCCCTAGGAGTCCACCACCATCATCTTCATCATACTCGACACTTCCTTGTCTATTTTCCATAGATTGAGGAGATTGCCCCTCTTCTCGTTCTTCATTCTCAGAATATGAACTGCCTCTGCTTCTATCGTCATGTCCGCTGAAACTGTTAAATTTATTGTAATGTCCTCCGCCACGACCTCTATGGGGACTGCCATAGTACTGCGAGTTGTAGCCTCCATTATAGCTTCCACGACCACCACGATACGGTAGTCCTCTTCCTCCTCTGCCACCACCTCGACCTCTATAGCCGCCTCGATAAGAATTACTCGAGCTGTGGTAGTCATCGCGATAGCCACTACCTCTATTGGAATCGCCTCCCCTTCCTCCAGCAGAGCCTCTATAAGAGTCGTATGACATGATGTGTTATATGCAATGTGGATGAAGTTGGTTGACAGTAATCACAAAGTCTTTTTTTTTTTTTTTTTTTGTTTTTAGTTTTTTCTTTTCTTTGAAAAACATTGTCGCAATAATGTTTTTGCGACATCTTCATTATGACAAAGGTCATGCCGAGGCTCGTCCAAAAACGTTTCTATCAAGTGCATAAACAAATTTTTAAGGCGGATCCATTTATGATTTTTTTGAAAAAATGCGAAGAGTCCAAGAAACAATGCCTGCACTGAATGATACGTACTTTGAGTTAAAGAGATTCTAGAACACCATTGCTTGCTGTAGCATTCTTATCTGAAGCATGGGGTTACTATAGAAGGACCAAAAACATCAACATGCAACGTATATTGACAAAGTGTAACCACAACGCATTCAATGTGGCTTCTTCCTCTCATCCATATGTGTACGTGTGCTTTACTCTCAAGTTGTTATTTTGGTATTTTTGCAATCACATTTCCTAATGCGGTAAAACTGTGCGTGCCCTTGTCACCAAAATATATACAAAGAGAGAGGGATTTTAAGGTTAAATCTTTTCGGTTACAAAAACAAACGTTTTGATTTTAAAATGAAGATCCTTTTTTATTGAAAGGAGACAAAAAAAAAATAACAGATTTACACAACAAGTCAAACGCTCCATATAAGGTATTCAGAGCCCACTACTACGTCGGATACGTTGTTACAGCTAACAAGGGGGCAAAACAACGTCTCCGCAACTCTTTCAAATTTTATAAATCTGCACGCAAATCCATCAGCAGTAGAATATTTTGATCTATTGTTTTTGAGAATTAGCCACAATTCAGAATCCTTTGTATTTGCACATGATGGACTATTTACCTTCAAGTCCAGAAATGGCACCGCTCAAACAAAAGATTGATCATTTGTCCCCAGTATTTGAACAAATATGGAATTCAACCATGCAAGAGACTTCATATAACCCCACTCAAGACTTGATGAAATTGGCACAAAAATTGATCAAGGTACAAAGGGGTGGTGACCATGATTTGCAACAACTGGATGAGACAAGTTTCCCTCAATTGAGCGCAAAGCTCATTGAAGAATGCAAAGATAAGCAAACTTTATCCAAATCAGAAACATGGGACATTTTACGTCAATTATTGCAAAACAAGACCGATTCGGAAATGGATAATTTGAAAGCAATTCTGTCACATGAGGAGATAGCAATGCACCTGCCGGAATCATTGCCTGATGTAAGCGATGGAGAAATTTCTCATGATGATTTAGATGAAGGTGCCGATTCTGATGAAACTTCGTCGTTGATGGAACTACAATATACGCTGCAGCAACTGCTAATGATGCCAATCCCAACACCATTGGTGGAACAGCCACACGACTTAACCGCATCATCTGGTGGCGGTGATGATGTGGTTGATGATGTGGTTGATGATGTGGTTGATGATGTGGTTGATGATGTGGTTGGTCTAGGCTATATTGATCACTACTTGGATGGTACACTTCGCAAAGACATAGTCATTGATTACAAGACTAGGCAAACCTTGCGACAAGTTATTGATGAAGTGGCGCATCTCCATCAGCAGGTGGACAATTCGTTTTTCCGTATAAAAGACCAATTGGATAAGCTCAAGTTGAGAAACTTTCACGCTTCACAAAGAATGAATATGCTAAATCACGGCTCTGATTTCATGCTCAGTCGAATTAAGCACATACAAACGGAAGTGAAAACGATTACCGAGAATCGCAAATTAAACACCAAAGTGAAACGTGTAGTTTCATTTAGTGATTGTTGTGAAGTAATACCAATTTCAGATAAGCTACCACCAATCAAGACTTTGAGTGGACTGCTGTTGCGCGCCGCACTTCACCAGCAACGAGGTGCATCATATCACGACCTGCCTAACTGCTCACCGTTGCAGCATAAACGACGTGGTGGTGGTGTACCTTTACAAAACGCCCCTGCTCTCAAGGCCAACACTCTGGTAGTGCAGCGACCTACAGCCTTCGAATTTGATTCAGATGATGATGCTCTGGAAGTACTCATTAATGAAGATATGGAGCCTTATAGAATTTCGAGAGAGGGATCGTGGCAACATTTGCCATCACAATATGCGCATCCACATAGTCCCGCTAGTCCTTATTATAAAGAATCGCAAGATTTTACATCCCGAGAGAGGGAAACTTCATCAGTAACTCCACCACAAACTCCCACTGAAGATGACACTTCAGATGACGAGCCAGTCAAGATTCGATATATTTTGCTTATTCTTTTACTTTATTTCTACAACAAGTTGCACAATTTTTGTCGATCCAAGTTGAGCTAGAACACTACATATATAGCAATTCTACTTTTATTTAACCCATGTTTACCGATCGTGAAAAGCTCACATCTTCTCCAGTAACAACACCATCGTCTAATCTCCTCTCCATACCAAAATTAGCCCCGCCAGCACCACCATGAGCAGCTACCCCATTTTGTCCAAATATATCATGATTCAGCAGCGGATCATTACCATCGTCACGGAAATAAGGATGCACCAATGCACGTTTAGCACTAATCCTCTTGCTTGGATCATAAACCAACATTTGTTCCAACAAGTCAATACCATTGGCATCTAAACTGGGGACAAATTCTTTCAAATCGCGTTTCTTCCATTGAGGGAACCCCGGTTTGAAATCGGGCAAGTAATTGACATCAGGCCAAATAGTTTCATTGGGAGTACCCAATATTCTAAAAATACGGAAAATTTCATCAATTTCTGAATCTCCTGGGAACAATGGTTTCCTATTACACATTTCCGCAAAAATGCACCCCACTGACCACATATCTACTCCAGTAGAGTATTGTTTCCCACCAAGCAAAATCTCTGGTGCTCTGTACCATAGTGTAACCACTTCGTGAGTATACGCCCTTAATGGAACCCCAAACGCTCTAGCTAATCCAAAATCAGCCAATTTCAAATTTCCTTCTTTATCAATCAACAAATTCTGCGGTTTTAAATCTCGATGCAAGACACGATGAGCATGGCAATGCTTGATTCCTCGAATCAATTGATTCATGAATCGTTTAACCATTTGTGGCTCTAAACCCGTATTTGATTGAGGTGGGATTGATTCCATATATTTCTTCAAATCTAAATCCAAAAATTCAAACACCAAGTACAATTTGTGAGAATCGGAATGGATAATGTCATAAAGACGAACAATGTTGTCGTTTTTCATTTCTTTCAAAAGGGAAATCTCTCGAATGGCAGTAGATGGAACACCTTCATCTTCCGATTCAAGTCTGATTTTCTTGAGTGCTACTACCCTATTGTTGTGCTTGGTGTCGAGGGCCTTATAAACGACACCATAAGTACCTTCTCCTACTTTTTCTTGTCGTTGGTAATCTGATAACTCAACCATGATGTAATATATGTGAATATATGTCAGATCTGTATCGAATGCTGGGTGATGCAAGATTTCGAAGAAGAAAGATAAAAAGAAAGACTTTGTCCAGTGTTTGGTGGGTTGATTCAGTCAGTTGAGTGACTTAGGCTTAGAATAGTTAGCTCTTTCCAACTAGCACAGAATTGTTATCGACTTTATGAAAGGAACACAACTGTAAAAAACTTTGACGAACAAAACATAAACACAAAAAAAACAGGGTTTCTCTTTTTGTTTTTTGTATTTTGTTTTTTTGGCTCTTTTTCCGCCTCACTACAAAAAAAACACACGCGTACTACTAATATTCGAATGGATCTGGTGATGTCAGAAATAGAAATTCCCGACACAATTTTAGTGTGTATTACATTCTACATAAATTCCTTCTTCAAAATGAATACTTCCTGCATCGGATCACGAATCATGAGTGACTCCCTCTCCCGCATCGCAAACTTTAATCTCTCTGCCCCATTCACTATTCAAAATTTGTTTACCAGTTATTCTTCTCTCTGGTTTGGGATCCAAGATAGAATAAATGACATTCCTACAACGAGCACGCTTCAAACTCTCAATAGGCTCGTAACCGGTAGCTTCTTTCCTTTTAACAAGATACTCTTCAAAAAACTCATCCTTTGTGGGATCAGCCAATTTCCACAACTGACGGCCAGTTCTCATGGCCATGTAGATCACACCACATGCCCAAATGTCAACACAACGAGGATCAAACAGTTCTTGGGTAAATTCCTCAGGTGCAATATACGGCGACGATCCGCAAATACCATCGGAAAACTGAACTTCTTCCTCCCAGGCCATCTTGAAACATTCAGAGTTTCCAAAATCAGTAATCTTTAAAACACCATTTTGCGTCAATAGTAGATTCTCTGGTTTCAAGTCCCGATGGGCAACACCCATGTCGTGCATGTAATTGACTCCTCTAATCAATTGCTTGAAAAAACAGTCAGCTTCTGCATACTCTAGTTTACCCAGGGCAATAATCAATGTGTATAAATCACCACCAGTGCAAAATTCCATCACCTCACAGTAATCACCCTTGGCATCCTTAAGTAGGTCCAATGTGTCAATAATATTCAAGTGTTTAAGTGATGAAGAAATGCAAAACTCTGATGTCAATCGCCTATTATACTTTTTTTCATTTTCATTAGGCTTCTTTTTAAACTCCTTGACTGCGTAAAGCTTCTCTTGTCCATTAGTTCCTGGAGTGGCAGTACTTGCAGTAGCAGGTTCTAGCTTCTTGTGAGAAATACGCACAACACCAAAAGAACCACGTCCAATCACCTCTTGACATCTTCCATACTTTTCAACAAATGAACGACAATCAGGACCAGCCTCGACATTTGGTCCTTTGTCAGTATTATTTACATCAGCAGTACCCGGTTGATGGTATGGACTGGTGTGGTTCTTTACTTGCGTAACCAATCCAGCAAACAAAGTAGGTGGCTTAGCAGCATTGGCACCAGATTGTTGTTGTTGCAATTGAGAAGTTGATGATTGCATAGCTCCCACCAATTCAGGTACAGCACTTTTAGCCTCATCTCGCAACTTTTTCGCTCCCAACAAATCCTTCAACATATTTGACAACTTTTCATGACGTTTGGCTGATCGCAAATGATGCTCATGGTTACCATTCTCTAGCATGACAAATCTTGGTAATTGTGGAGGTTGTTGTTGAGCTTGGTGTGCCAATGAGTTTAGCGAAGTTGTTGAGTCGTTTTTGGTCTTTGAAAGTTGTGCACTTGATGATGCAGATGATGCTGCTTGTTTAATCAGCAGAGCAACCTTTCTTGATGACGAGCGAGACACATTTGGTGATGGTCTACTTGATGGGATGGATGAAACAGATGTGTGTCTTTCTCCAGATTGTGCACTCGAAGCAGCAGCAGGTGGGAGTGCTGATGATGAAATCGTGTGTTTTTTCAATTTGTTGTCCAAAGACGATATCAGCATGGGCGAAGTGGTATTAGAAGCTGACCCATTTACAGGAGACTGCGATCTAGTTCTTGCCAATTTGGGTGAAGAGTTGTTTGATTGGTTGAGTGATGGTGGTGGTGGTGGTTGAGCATGTTGAGCCAAAGGTGATGACTTGTGAGGTTGTTGTGGTTGAGGTTGTTTAATCTGTCGCAATGGTGAGACGTCATCGTTTTCAACTTGAGATAGTATGAAATCCTCATCATTTGAAGTAGGTTTTGGTGATGCAACAGCAACAGAAGCTGGTGGTAGTGGTGGCGATATTATTGATGACTTAGTGGATTGTGGCATCGAATCCTTTGACTTTTCAACAGGGGCGTTGGACAAACCAGACTTAGTTGACACTTCTCTTGTAGGCGATGGCAGTTTTGGTTTACTAACAACTGATTGCTGCAGCATTGTGGGTAAGCTGGTTTGTGATTTGCCAAACAATTTACCCAACTTTGAAAGTTTACCTGGTTTTGGTGAGTCTACCATATTAGTGGGGGGAGTGGTTGTTGTTGCTGAGGTGGTGGTTGTTGTTGTTGTTGTTATTGTGTGGTGTTCCCAGTCGGATGGTTTATAACTGTGTATATATGTATGAGTAGTAGTAGTAGTAGTAGTAGTCTTGTCTAAGGAATCTATTAGAATATCTCTCTGTCTGGCTGTCTGTCTGTCTGTCTGTCTATGAGTTGTCTGTTAATATTTTTTTTTTCTGTTTGGTTGTAAAAAAAAAAAAAAAAAAAAAAAACAGAACAAGAAGACGAAAAAATATATTTCCTTGACAGTCGCAGTAGTACGTTTTGTAGTAACTGTACAGTAATAGAAACAGTAATAAAATTGAATAGAAAAAAAAAGAAAAACATAAAGAAAATCCCTCATAGTTAATAAGAATGAATTGTACTATATATATATATGTGCACCTAAACACACACACAAACACACACACACACACACATTATGTTTTGTTAGTAATACCATTAGTAAAACAAAAAAATACAAACAAAGGATGAGAGTAACCATCAAACAAATGAGAGATCATCTCTCTACTCTTAATGGATGATACAAAAGTACAAAAGACAGGCTGTATAAACACTGTTTGGAGTAAGTTTCTTGGCTTTCACTCACACACAAACAGTGTATAGCATTTTTCTTTTGTCATTTGATCTTCATTGTAACACAAATCAACGACAAACACACACTCTCTCATTACTTTGTATTCTTTTTTTATTTCCCTTCTTCTCAATTGTATTTCCTAAAATAGCGAAAGCGAAAGTATTGAAGAAGGAAGGAAAAGCGCATGTACTAAGCCTTCATCAATGGCATGACAAAGACAAAAAAAAATAGGAGGAAGGCATGTGTTAGTGAAAGGCATCATGTACAAGTAACCTAGGGCTCATACATAAGGAGCTGTACAGTGAGGAAACTCGGCACACGGAGCTTCTAATTATGGAAAGGTTTGTAATGGTTTTTGCGCCAATGAAGTAGGGCTTATAGCATTCGTGACTATCTATAGTTACCTAAATTGGAGCACTAAACATGATAAAAAAAAAAACCACTTAAAGAGAGTCATTACACTACTGACTCTAGCATAGCCACGGTCTAGAACCCAACAGCTACGAAACAGTCCCCTATTTGACTCTGTTCTGTGATCAAAATCAATTCCAGCTCTCTTTTCTATTTAAAGAAACAGTTACACAATCACTACTGCATTTCTTGGAAGGGCGCAACGTGACCTGGAAAAGTGCATAATATATAAGTCTTGGAGATATTATACCATTGGTTCCCAATGAAACTCGTACGAATACTAGTTTCCTTCAAAACTGATTACGTCACTGAGATGTGCGACAAATAAAGAGTAGTTTGATTTAGAGACAACAATCTTCTGGGTAGCGCAAATGCGCAATATAGTGTTGTGTTGGTACTTTTTATTATTACACGTTTCTTCAACAACACGTGACTCAATCTTTGTATCAAGTGACTTTTTAAAACTAGTACTCTTCTACTGTGATATTATCTAGTATCCAGGAGTTAATAAGAGCTCACTAGAGTGTCACAATATCAGGAGTAAACAACACAATAAAACCTTATTATAGTTTTGTATTAACCACCAATTGAAATGTTTAAGTTCTTATTAAACTATTTCATATTACCAACTGTTTTTCTACACCAAACCACTAGTATCTTAAATCAAGAGGAAATTTCGCAGCCACGGAGTCAATCTCTTTATCCACTGATCCTTTGACTTTGTTGCTAGCAAAATTTGATGAATTGAGCACCACATTGGATTCCAGAATTGAAGCTATTTTGGACAAGAAGCTTGAGAATGAGATTAAGGATTTTGTTGCTGATGCTTTAGCTAATGAAGGACACCAAATTGAGGCTAACAAACGTGATGATAATCAAAATTTTGCGCAGATCCAACAAGAACTCGATAATATTGAACAAGCTTAAGTCGAGGATAAAAAAGGTAGATTATCTCCTATAAATAAATATAAAGACTATTCTTTGGAGTCTTAGGAACATATATATAGAAACAGTATAAAAAGTCATTTGATACAAGGATCAGGTCACGTGCAGTAACAAAACGTACCAGCACAATAATAGTACTAAAATAGCCGAGGAGACAGTTTATTTATTGACTACAAGATGAAAGCAATATCCTAGGTGTGGATGCATTTTATAAAAAAAGGTCCCTCTCCTAGAGGAGGGCGAGTGATACATACAGGTAAAAGTAGATATATTTTATTATATATAAGATGAAGCTATAACTTCTGATCCTTCTCTTTGTTTCTCTACACGTTCGTATCTCACTTCGGTTATCATAAGGTATGCTATATCTCGATTTTCAACCACCTTGAAGACTGAGCTATCACTTTTGTGCATTAAATTTGCAATCGTATTCATGCTCCCAAATAAGCTGGAGAGTCAAAAAAAAAGAGAGAATACCCATACACATCCGTCCACATATCTAAAGCTGTCTACTCTATATTGTCGCATCAAGTATGTCGCATTGATGTTTCACTGCTCTTTGTGTCGCATTTTCACAAAATAATGTCCATTGAATTTTAATGTAATTTTTTGCATCCTTCTTCAACTATAACGCGCATGAATCAATTCACTGTGGCACTACCACTTGTTTATGTATTCAAACCGGAAATTGACCTTTCTAACATACCACTCAACATGTACGTTACTAAATCAGAACTGATAAAGCACCTAATGGATAGATTGGTGCTACGACGAAGTGAAGATGTTTCGGCAACAGATTTTTACTCAATCAAATCCAAAATTAAGAAATTGCTAAACTTTGTTACTGTTCGATGTTGGATCAATGGATGTGAGTTAGACGTGTGAAAACTACAATAAAATAATCAAACTCTAGGATTTTTATCGTCTATATAAAACTCTAATTGGAGGCAGTGTAATGTCCAGCACTTGGTGGAGCTGGGCCTGACTCCCAAACTTTGGCATCACTTCCCAATTCAAACTCAATTGAACCACCTTTTCCACCAAACAAAGTATCATGGTCGACCCAGTTTTGTTTCCAATCTTGACCATTTACTTTCAAGCTTTGCACATAGATGTTTTCGTTTGACAAGTTGTTGGCTCTAACTTCAAAAGTGGCACCATTGTCCAACTTCAACTTAATATTGTTCAATGATGGTGAAGTGATCAAATAAGTTGTGGTTCCAGCAACTGGATACAATCCAATCATACTGAATATAACCCACGCTTGCATTGCTCCTCCATCAGAGTTGCCCGGCAACCCTTGACTTCCCAGTTTGAAATCATTGGTTAAAATGTAGTTGACCAATTCCACTGACCTGTATTGCTGATTAACATAGTTGAACAAGAATGGAGTGAGAAAACTAGGCTCATTACCAACATCGGCCACTTTCTTTCCGTGCAAAGGGTACAAATCATTGATCCGTTGCACAAATGTATCATTATCGCCAATTAATGAAATCAAAGTTTCAATATCATGAGGCACAGCAAACACATATTCAACCGGTTTTCCTTCATACTCGTCATCGCCCCAGTAGCAGCCACCACAAGAAAACGGATCATAGTTGGTTGAGTTGAATGTCCCATCAGCATTACGCGGTTGAAGAAACCCAGTGTAGCTGTACCCATCAGCAGAAGCGTCTTTGTTCCAAATTCGTTGCCAATTGGCAGCCCTGGACAAATACTTTTCATAATCATCTTGATTCCCCAACTTCTTTGCAACTTGTGACAAGGCAAAGTCGTCGTAAGCGTACTCAACTGTACGACTCACCGACCGGGTATACTTTCTGGTGATGTATCCATACTTTAACCAGTCAGGAAGTGCACCTCTGCCTTGTTTCGTAGATGCGTCAGGAGCAAACAGATCATACCAATAAGGCGGAGTGGTCTCCGCATTGTGCTGCATTGCAGAGTACGCAGCTGCCCAATCAATATTTTTTATTCCCTTGACGGCTGCGTCACCCATAACTATGTCAGAATTTGTGCCACCTTGAACTCTTCCATTTTGGTTAGCTGATCTACCATCCGGCGTCCACCCTTCATTCTTGTAGATGTTAACCAATGATTGCACAATTTCGGACCCTCTTACTGGATTGATGACATTCAACATGGGGTTCAAGCAGCGGAAAGAATCCCAAATGGTGAAAAAATCATCGTAGTATGTGCCAGCTGTTTGCCAATTTGGATTCTCTCCAGTCTTGTTTGTGGGGATCAAGTGGGTGCCATACAAATTGGTGTAAAATTTGTCTATGGTTTCACTATCACCCTCCAATTCAATTGTATCAAACAACTCATTGGCCCAAACGCCTCTTGTTTCGTCTAACAAGGCTCCAAAGTCTTGCTGGTAATTGATATTTGAACAAGCTTGCTTTTCCGAGATGTGAGAAATTCCAATGCGAGATACAACCTCTTGGTCTTGGCCAAAGTTGAAAATCAAGCCAAAAGAATCGTCTTCGACAGTGGATGATGTCGACGTTTGATCCTTGGTAACACCATTTTTATCAAATGATGACACAGAATCAGCTGCTTGGGAGAAATTGCAACAAAAATAAATGTTCCAAGCAGATTGATCACCCCAACCACCTCTAAAAGTCGACACTCCTGTGTAACCTTTTGTAGTAGCGTCAATGGATCCATTGACAAAGTATTGCGTCCACCATGGTCTATCCGGTGCAGTGAGATGATGCGAAACATTGACGAGAATTTGAGCATTTGATGTCTCACTAATGTTTTTGTAATTGTATTTCAAAATACCAAACCGTTCCCCGGCAGTGACTTCAATATCAACATTACTGGTGTTTACTGCATAGTATCCAACGTGCGCAGTGTCCTTCTGCGATCTCGTCAACGAAACTTGCTCTTGCGAGTTGAAATTTTTCGTAATGGGTAATTGGGCAACGACACCATACTCTGGAGCACCACCAGTTCCACTCTCATGCATCATCGAAATACCAGTAATCACCCCGCCGGGAGCATAACCAGAATAAGCATTACCAAAGTTCGAATCCAACACATCAACACCAATCTTGGCCATTCCGAATGGACGAGTAGCCCCAGGAAACATGTTTCCACCATTCTCAGTACCGTAGAACAAATCAACATGGTCGAGTGCGCTGAGGTCGGTGCTTTTTTTCTTCAAGGGAGCTGCCAAAACAGTTGTGGTTAAAAAAGCCACAATGTAGGTCAACAACATCATTTTGCAATCAAATTATTGTAAAGCTCACTGGCAAGTATTCAATCAAACACATAACAGTGCAGATGTGAGACAATATATATAGCCCACAAATATATAGATCACCTACGCACATGATATTACAGATGCCCAAAGTTTTGCCTTGCATCGAGAACAATGGGGTCAATTTTTGGCTTTCTTGTGGATATGTTATATTGGGTGAGAAAATTGGACCCCATTGTGATCTATGATTTTGTGTTGAAAGGGGGGACAGTGTGCAACTTTGGCATTTCATCATGCATTGGGTAATCTAATTGAATTCGAAATCTCTAACAACAAAGGTTGGCGTCGAAGGTTGGCAAACAGGTGGACTCAAATTCGATGGGTTTACAGCAATGTTGTCATTGATGACATCCCCTATATGACGAGGTCAGCTATATGTGCCACCAACAAGCTTACTGGGCCCAAATTTGATTGTCATTTGTTATACGTAATCACATTATTGTTTGTTCCGATATGTTTTGGTTTTTTTTCATTATTTTTCTTTGTACCGAGAAAAATTGTCTTTGAAAAGTTTCATACGTATTGAGCTGTGTGGCTCTAGTTTCCTTGCTACGTGACAGATTTTACATGGCTACAATTCAACAAACGTATAGGCTTGATGAGGAAGGGAGGATGATGATTCAACCCAGCATCACGATCATCCCATTGAAAAATAATTTGTACAGTGGATTTTCTTTGGCGTCGTTTGACAGTAAAAAAAGAAAAATATGGCAGTTGCAAGACAACGTGCGCCGTTGACACAAAATGCAAAATTGCAAAATAAACAATAGGAATTCTAAAATTGACCACATGGAGGAGGTGACCTTTGCTCTAAGAAGTATAATGGTCTTCTACGCAATTGAAAATGCAAAGCTCTTTAATTATTCAAAAGCCTCTTTGTTTTAGAGTAATAAGTCCTGTGACATCAATTGACAACCGTTTAATTTTGCTAATCTATTGTTTCTTAAAGACAACTCTTTGTCTTTGGATTGCATGAGTTTCCCACGTGGTTTAACCCGAAGAAAGGACTTATTCAAATTTTACAGCAAACACTAAACCTCGGTTGATGGTGCAAGGAGTTAATCAATGTAAACTCTGACAGAGGAAAGTAATATGCATCCACAGCTATGCAACACCGTGCATTGAATTCGTTCTGATAGTGGAAATGCTAATTGAAACAAAAGATGTCGTTCGGCTTCAATTGAGAAAGCTTAGCTGAACTTACATCCGAGCCTCGGCCAAATCGGGAGTGGAAGGTGAACGGTCAGTGCAACTGTTCATCACGAGTACAGATACTGTTAGCTGCTATAGACTTCTTGAAGCCTATGCGCAACAATCTAGTTGTTCTTTACTCTCATTTTTTTCTGGCTGTACCGGGACCATTGCAAGTCCCATACACGAGAGGAATAGATCAGACTCAAAAGTAGTTGTTAGCTGAGAGCTAACACCTTGTGCTGAACGAAACTAGATGCAACTGTGTAGAGAAACAGAGAAAAAGAACGAAAGACATTGCTTGTTGATATTAAGACTCCCATATACAATATTATATTTCTGGTTGTAGTTATATCTAGCACTTATCAACATGGAAGCTAGGGATCAACACATTGTTGACGTTGGCAAAAACAAAACTCCTTTAGGGAGGTGTGAGACCAGCAATTGGGTGAGGGAACCCTTGGAGATATACACACACATATAACGTGTCGCTATATACAATAATTGGGTTACTTCTCTCGACATGTTTACTTTTATGACTCCAATGTTGGTTTCACTTCATGTCAAAATCTGTGTTGCAATATATGTGTTTTGTGTCACCAAGTTTAACTTTGATTAGTTCTGCTTAAGTTGACGGCCCTTTGAGGAGTGATACCATCAACAAGTGAACATTGATGAACGATTTATAAGACTTGAATGGATATTTACACTGTTAATCTGCTTGGGATAAGTTCGGAGTCGCGACTACGTAGAAGGAAACAGTTCTGAGAGTATCCTGATCATACTGACTTCCAGCAAAATTCCAAAAGAAAGGGGTCCCAGTTTTTCCAGAAGCTGCTTAGAAGCTCCCGCTACCATAAAAGTAAAATCGTCTCCGCCGATGGAGACAAGACATTAGAGAGAAAAAGCGTTGTCGAAGAGCAAACTCCGGTGGTTGTGTGGTTTCTTTTCTTGTTTTGGTCGTTATTTATCAACTTCAAAGTAAATTATTATAATGGTTAAAAAGCACAGTTGATCTTAACCACGTCTACTAAAACAAAATTTTTACTGAATCTATACATTATGACTGTGGGTGGGCTAGCTTTCACCAACCATGAAAGTCCAATTAGAAGCTAATGCTTTCCTAAAAAATATTACTGCTGAAACTACATTGTCAAAGTAATATTTTCGCACCCATCAAAACGCAAAACAGATTCACCACCATTAGCTTTTCCCACCATTCAATGCAACTTTTTGATCTACCGGTTGAGGTGCTCTTGAAAGCAATCCCGGTAAAGGAAAACCTTTTAGCTTGGCCTATAGATGTAATATGCAAATGCATGAATCTGCTACCTCAGATAGATATGTTTGAGCTCTTGGTGGAAGTGGCATACGGCACAGACATATACAAGAAAGCCAGTCTTTCGAAGAGTGCAATTGGCGTAAACTCAAACCCCAGAGAAGTCAATATTCTCTGGTCAGACGTTCGGCGGACGATGTTGGTCTTTGCCAGAAAGCTTGAGAAGTCGATATACGTCACAACGGAAGACACCATTGATGCAGAATTTTACAAAAAGTATATTTTTTTTGACTTTGGAGTTGTTAAGCATTTAGCTGTCTATTACTACTTCATCCAAACGGTGTTGCAAATCTGGACTGGTGATGAGCATCTGCGTCGGTATTTGGTGCTGCCGTATTATTCATTAAGAGGCCTGGAACCGTTCAGGGAGTTGCAAATTTCATTTCCCCCCAAGTCGGATTTCATTCTCAAACCGGGCTTGTTCAACCTTATCTACGGAAAGATTTTCCAGATAATATTCGAGGAGGCAGACTGGTTCTGGAGACGTGCATTCATAAACGTTCACACTATTGAGTTGAATTTATCGGTCAAAGAGTACTTACGAATGACCGCAGAGGACATGTGGTCCATAGTTTATTTGACACCTGCCCCAAGGGTTTTACGAATGTATTTAAGGGATGAAAATCAAATGAATAATGCAATCGAAGATAAATGGCTGGAAGACAACGATACCACAATGCTTTCGGCTCATCGGGTAGAACGTGTGATAGAACTTGCTCGTGTAAGATTGTTTTCGCTACAGTACTCTGGATCTAACACAAAGCTCATAAACGTTTACCGGTTGATATGCATTATGCCATTCGTTGCGCATTTCAGCATACGTTTTGACGGGTTGGATATTGGCTTGATACCAAATTTACTTTGTCGTCGACAGCGTCAATGTTATATACAAATGAAAATTGACAAAGCATCGTACAGGGCCCAAAAAAGTAAACATGAGGCACACAATTGGGATACTCATGTATTCGAGGATTTTGTTGTTTTAAACTGTGTTCATAATGGGTATGATATAGTACCATTTTCGGTAATGTACCCAAACAAGGGACAACGAATCTGCCTCAAGAGATTTCGAAAATGGTTGGGTTTCCGAACTAAAGCGTGAACACGGTCAAATAACTCCTGATCTATAAAATTCTCATCAATTAACAAGGATCTAGCGAATGAAAGCTTTAGTCTATATCATTGGCTGGAATGATCACTATGACCGCTGAAAAAAGCATAACCCCCAAACTATGAGATCAAGAAATTTAAAAGTGCCGTGTGTAGCCCACCCTCTCTCATATTTGCAGGTGTGTTAACATGAGTCCCATAGTAAGATTGGCAAACAAAGAAAACAAAGCGAGGAGGAGTCACGTGGAAAAAATAATTACCTCACCGCCCAAACAACTTTTTTTTACCGTCCCCGAGTATGTACTCGTCCTCCTCGTCCGATAAGAGTAGTCTGCGCCCGAGACAATCATGTGTTGGCCAGATGCAAATCAGCACTACTTAGATACTTCGAAACCTCACGAATCAAGAAGATGAAAGTAAATTAGGAGAAGTTGAGTGCTATGCTGCCAAAAATCCTAAAGTTGAAGAGAAAATTCATGCATCAAATGAGCAAGCCAGAGTTGTCAAATATGAGCATAAAGAGGAACGAGACGACTAATAGAGTTGATGTCATTTATTTCACTCGAGAATGTGTCCAAAGGAGATAATAAATTCAGCATTGGTAGATGGCTGCAATGCACCTGGCATGAGCAGCCTGAACGATAGCCGTTGAATCCAGACTATGATGGTTAGTAAATACTCCTTAAATGGATACCAAGCACTACGCAAGCTATGCCAAAAAGAGTATATTCACTGATCAGGAAGGAAATAATACTGCAAAACAGTATACAATTCAGAGCTGATTAGGCTTCTTAAATCTTTCAGGTTTTAGAGATGGCAAGATCAAGATGTCGCCATATCAAAAAGACGCAACTATACAAGTTTCCCTAAACGGCAAGCCATTGCAACTGTCCCCAGAAGAGGGCTTTGCACAAAAACAAAAGCATCCAGTGTCAACGATATCCCTGATTTTAGAGCATACCACTAAATTTCATCCACTTCACCCTTTTTCTTTTTTGAAACAGTACCCACCGAGATTGACACTACAGTTTTTACAGATAATATAGTGTAACTATGGGCATTGCATTGGAGATTAATCCTTCATTGAATGCAACCGCGGTGTTTGAGAAATTCATCAACTCCTCAATCGGTGGGCGCCAAAAGAACATATTTGGCACCTGTGGTGCATTCATGATACTTGGCGGTTCAATAGGTTTAGTAATAATTTATGCAGGAGACAACCAAAGCATCGAATGATGTAGAACGTCAACAAATTGAGGCCGATCAAGAGGTATGGATGCAGAAAGAGTTACTTGTCATTAGAACCAAATTTCAACTTGTGTACCATCTTTTCAAAAGGGATCTAAATGCAAATATTGGTATTCAGGGAGTTGGACACTACAGGCAAATACTTGAAGACATGGGCAATTTACTCATGATGACAGCTTTACCGCGTGCAAAAATAGCGACTCGCCAATCAAGTGAGGACAAGGATGAAATTACAAGAGAAATTATTACCCCTACTGCGACCAACGATTTTCCTCCACCAATGGTAGACGAAAATAAGAAATTGCGATATTGGAAAAGGTGCAAAAAGGTGATACCATGGACCTTATTGTTCGGTGCCGTTTATGTGGTTGTATTCGAGATTTTCTCAGGACTTATATAGGATTCAATATTATAGTATTTGAAGTGGATTGTAGAAGGTTTTCAGTACTATCACGCTTCATTTCACCGCCTATGGTTTCAAAAATATTGGGTGCATCGGATTCTCCTAGTTTTTTGTAACCATTAAACTTCTGGGAAGCTTTCTAAGCCTTACATGTTCACGGAAATATCATTCCTTCACAAAATTTATTCTTCAAGACATCCCTTTAGCTTTGTCCAGAACACTTCTCTCTTCTACTTCCTTTATTGCAACCAATTCACCAATCACAAACGCACCTTTCACACCAGCGATTTCTAAACTCTCAAAAACTATGAACATTTGCCTTCTCAACAATCAAAACTATACCAATATCCAAATTCAATGGCTTCAACCGATACTTAACCCCGTTTACAGAATCATTCAAGAATATCTAAAACTTGGCATTTGCTCATATCGAGTTTTGCTTGTTTAAATGTAGATTATTTCGTATCTTTTGTTTGAGTCAAATGTCATCAACTAATTCGAAAGGGCAATATACATCCATACCATTACTACTTTTCAATCAAATTCCTAAATTGAACGTCATCTCATTTCATACAACCCTAAACCTACGCCCCCTACGACTCCTGGGACTCCAGTTCGTTCAACAGATCAATAACAGGCTCGTCAATTTGATAACTCTTGATGAAATCATCACCACTTACACGAGTCATATTGGTGACACTAGCTTCCTCATTTGCATTATTTTCTTCTTCACTTGTGTCTTGGCTTGCATCAGTTGTGGACACTTCTTCAACCGCACTGCTGATGTCCCCACCGCTTGCTGCTTCTTCGATATCAGCATCGCCACTATCTTCATTGGATCCGTCTTCAACCTGGGATGCAGTATTGCTCTGTTCGCTATCACTTGGTGTAGTAGCTGTAGTTGTAGCTGCAGTCCGTGATCGTTCTTGTTTGATGCGATGTCGTAACCCACTTCGATCGGTTGACAATTCATGATCAGTACTTGGAGTAGGATAAATGTACACTTCTTCAGTAGACCCAGCAGACCCACTATCGGCATTGGAACCACCTTGGTATTCAACAATCTCTGTACTGTCACTGCCATTGGACTCCTCCTCAACAATCAGTTCCATTTCATACCTCGGTTCCTGCTTCAATCTGGTATCCATCTTGCTGTTATTCTTATGTAGCTCTTGACTCAAGTACGCTTGTTGTTCATCATAGTCATCATAATCATCAAAGCGAGACAGATATGGTTGATAAAATGGGCCTTCCAGTTTCACTTTCGGATACACTTGAGGAGCATTAGAGCTCCAGCTTGACCCCGCGGTCAGTGGTGGTGAAGACGATGCAACAACCATTGCCGTATTATCCACCAGCACCGTTTTGCCCTTGCCACCCCATAATCTAAACTTCAACCGAGATAATGTACTCTTGCTAGGCACAAATGATAAAATACTATCAACTTTACGTTGTAATCCCATTGTGATACTAGCTTCAGTTTCAGCAGATAGGGTAAACATCCATGAAATGAATGTGAAAACTGTGCCCAACACCACACCGCTAAACACACCAATGTATATTGCCGTCAAGATGAAATGAAAAGTGGTGGATATAAACAATACAAGTTGAGCAATAAACCGTTCAATTTGGTCCTGATTCAACCCTCGTTTGCCAAATACGATTGAGTACACCACCAGGATCACCCTGATATAGTATGCTGGTTGGTGCTGAGCACCCGTTAATGATGTAATCAAGTGAGTGTTTGCATCGTTGTCTAGTTCTAAAAAATACCGTGCGGGGATTATAAATGGAATCTTGATGAATGGGGTGTACACACATATGAAGAAAGCATAACTTAATGGTTGGATGAGTAAGTTTGATATTAGGAAATGGATAGCTTGGAACGTGTAGACAATTGGTGATGACACAAGTGCGACTATCAGACTCATCAGACTCATTTTTAGAGGGATTGCTTCTATTACAATGTGTTTACTGATTGACCTATTTTCTCATTTTATAAAAATACCCTAAAAACTAAACTTTATTCTATGAAATAAAAAAACGAACAAAAAAAAAAATTATTTGAGAATTATCACATGATATCTTTACGATAACATACTCAATGGAGCAGACGTGTTGCTGTTCTTGTTGTCCAAATTGTTGTTATCGCCGCCATTGCTACTGGCAGTGGCCGACCCAGTACTTGTGCTTCCATTGCGATGTTCAGGTGCTCTTGCTTGACTATGTTGTTGTGCAGGAGTAGTGGTTGTAGTGGCAGCAGCATCACCACTACCATCACCCTCATCATCAACGACAATCGACATGACAGTGTCATTGTCATCTTGTTGTTGAGTCCTTGCAGCTGCAGCTGCGGCTGCTTCTTGTAATCTTCTTTTCTCCTCTTGTTGTCTCATTTGTAACTTGGGGTACTGCAATTGGATATGGTCCAAGTAGTACGAGCCAAACACACTCCAATGGAAATTGACCAAGGTTGCAATTCGTTGGGCAATGTTTTTCATTTCCGTGTTGGAAGATGATGATGACGATAAAGCTTCGTTGGGCTTGTTGTCATCTGCTACAAGCACCATAATCTCAGTCATCAACTCCTTGAAAATCTTCACCTCCATTAACCCATACACTTCTGAATTCGGTTGAATATGTTTGACCAACCAGTTGTGACTAAACTCTATCAAATTCTGAGGCAAGTCCTTTGTATTGCTTGATACCACATTCTTAACCAATTGTAAAGCAATTGATTGAATATTCTTGGTCCACTTGATGTTGCCATTATCATCGGTTACAATTGCCAACACTTCTTGTTGAACTTTAGCAATGTTTGCTGGTGACAACAATTGCGTACTGGCCCTGGCATTAACCACTAATTGCTTATACAAAACAACACACAATTGAACACAAACCAATTGACGTACATCTGCACGTAAAAGTACTAATCTAGTATGATCAAATGTCAATGTCGATGGAAATTCAGTAGCCATTTGGCGACATGATAACAAATCAATAATTGAGCCAATGAAAATGGGTTTCAAAGTGACTTCATTAACTTGCAAGTCACTATAATCGACATCAGCAGTCTTCTTCACAAACTTTTTGTAAAACCAATTTAATGAGTCATTAATGTTTATTTTTTGATGACTGATCAAGGTTTGGAAATAATCACGTTCAAAATCGACAGCGGTTTCAATCAAAACTGGTCTTAGAATCCTAATTTGATGGTTTGCCACATCCAACTTCATTGCTTCTAAAATTTGAAAAATCATTCTTAATCCACCTACAAGAAACCCAACACTGTTGTACTTGGCGGCATCAATAAATTTAGCACTCATTTCCAGTACCCATTGATCTCTCATTGGTGCACAGTGCAGTTTGAAAACATCACCCAACCATTTACTCATTTCAACAAAATCAAAACTACCATGACGCAATTGTTGTACTAGTAAGTCGATATCCATAATCTCGGAAACTTGTTGACGATCCTTTGTTGGTAAGAGAGACAACAATATGTCTCTCAATGTAGAAAACAATATAGGTAAACGATTAATCTTTATCGTCTTAAGGTCAATGTTTGGTACAAAAAACTGTTGGCATTCCTTTTGTACTTCCATCCAATACTTGTCTATTATTGATTTCTTACGTTTGCCTCTTTCGCCATCCAAATTGGGTCTAAATTGCAATTGTGGATCAAATAGAATATCATGACGTAGTTGAGGATTTTTAAGAATTTCATGCAAGTCAATTTCCTTAAGCGATTGGAGATTGATGGGTGGCAAAGGTGGCACAGTGGAAGAAGAAGAAGAAGATGATGATGATGATGGTTGTACATTTTCTTCTGTAGTTGTTGTCGTTGGGGTGATTGAAGGGTTGGTTTGCAAAAACACATTGTTGTGTTTTTTACGATAATGAGGAAAAAATGCCGAGTTTGGATTACTATAGTTGATGATGGGTAATGATCTTGACCTAAATTTGCGTATAAATTTAGGTGTTTTAGTTATAGTTGCTGGTTTAGGTGTGTGTACTGTTGTTGTTGTTGTTGTTGTTGTGTTGTTACTGGTATCGGTAGTTGTGGAGGTGTTGGTAGCGTGATGTCCATTTTCAAGTCTGAGACGTTTACTAGAGTCTGATGATGATGACGATAGTCTCTTTTGACTATTGGTGGATGATGGTTCTTGCTGTTTCTTTTGTTCGGGTGCAAACGGTGTAGATGGTGGTGAGTTGGGCATCATTGGAGCTGTTGTGTGGAAATTACTACCTGTTGAAGATGATGTTGTTGCCGTTGCTGCTTGTGCAGCTGTTGATGACGGGTTAAAGCAAACTTGTCTAAATTGAGCTTGGTCTTCTGATATCAATGATGGCGTGTTGTGATGTAAAGTAGAAGTAGATGAGGTGGTAAAAGGTGGCAATGCCGTAGGAGTAGCTAGTGTTGGTGCTGAGTTGATACTGGTACCACCATGATGTTGCAGCAGCTGTGAGGTGTGTGTGTGGCTGTGGTGGTGGTGGTGGTGGTGGTGGTGGTGTTGGTGATGTTGGTGCAGGTGCAGTTGCTGCTGCTGCTGTTGTTGTTGATGTTGCTCCTGCTGGTGGTGTGATTGTCCTTGTTGCCCTTGGTGTGATTGATGTTGTTGTGGTTGTGGTTGCTTTTGGTGGTGTGAGTTGTCTTCAGAGTACATTGTATGCTGTATGTTGTTGTTTCCTTGTAGTACTGTTAATATGAAGGATGAGGTTGTAGTATAGTGCGTTTGGTTTAGTTTATAAAAAAGTGTTGAATATGTTTGAAAGTTGAGTGATATATAAAAAAAAAAAAATTTTGTTGATTGAAGTTGAAATTGGAATAAAAAATAAATATAAAAAAAAAAAAAAGAGACGATGTTTTTATATAAGTATTATTAAAAATAATAGTGTGATTGATGATTTATCGAACAAAAAATGTCTCTCTCTCTCCCTCTCCCTCTCCTTGAAAAAGTCGCTCGTTAATATTTCTTTTTTTTCCATTTTTTCTTTTGGCTTGATATACGCACCTTGCCTTTGTGTTATATCCTTAGTAATATACATTTCCCCGACCTAAAAGAAAAAATTAAATACCATAATAGTATCGATGATGCCTTTATTACCCGTAAAGTGAACAAAATGCAACAACAATTATTTAAGAGACCATGCATATAAGAAAAGAAAAATAAAAAAATAAAAAAAGAAACTATATGCATTCACCTCACAGTCATCTATTTTGCCTTAGACAGCCAAACCACGCAATAATATTTTAGTGCTATGTCATCACACTGTAGTAGTACAAAACACACAACTTGTTTAGTAGTATTTACAACCATCATCATTGCCATCTGCATCATCATCAATCATCATTGCTCACAGATCTCTGGAGGTATTACTAATGCATATACAAATAAACGAATTGGCTAGAACTCAGTCGAACCAAACTCACAACTATCTACTACATCAAAGCATCATCAGCATAATGTACACCTTGAACGCCACTTGAGTCTGTATGTCCAATCCGTGTGAGCATACGAGCAGAGGCAATATGAACTTATATACAGTCAACGTGTGACTGTGACTTCGCCACCAGTTTTCGATTTACATCAAACTCTGCATTTATTACATATTCCTACTAAACTTTGCAACGATACAACAATTTGTGCCTAACCAATGTTGTAGCCAAAGAGAAGAAGGGAAAAAAATCAAAACTGTTCATATTTAGGTAGTGCGTAATGTACAAAACATGCAAGTCATGTGACATCTTGTTGAAGGATGCAAAAGCAACTTAGGTCATTCTCTTTACATTTCTACTACATACCCATTATTGTCAATGTCTAGCTCCACCCTCTGCCCCTTTCCATAGCAGCCTGCTAAGATTTTTTGAAGTTCTATGTGCTTAATGTATTAAGGTCAAGGAAGTTTCAAAGTGAACGAAGAAAAGCTTGTTTCTTTTCATTCCTATTATCTTTGCAGATGTGATATTATTTTTAGTTTGTGAATTACGATTTTAAGGTTTTAAATTAAAACCTACTAAGTTTTGAAAAGGCAACCAACACATGCAAGTAAAACTACTGCCTTTTTGAATCAGTCGACTCTCTGTAAATGACTGTGGGTGTTGAATTTTTCGATTAATACCACAATAGTATTATTCAATTACCAGTAGAAATTGAATGTTGTTGAAATTCTTGGGTTGCAGGTGTGTGGCTCAATTGTATTAAAACCGCATTTACTTTTTGCAACTAAATTAAAATATCGTTTCACTCGCTGGTGGGATTAATGGGTAATGACTTTGATAAAGTATAAAACGCCATTCACAAGAAGGAAAACATTCCCTTTTCGATGATTCTTTGTGTAACATCGATTGTTTAAATCAAATCAAGAAAAGAAAAAAAAAAACCAAAAAAATACCAATAAATGCATTCGGAAATGTCATGCATTGTCACTTATGAAACTATACATACATATTACATTTACGACGAACGGCCATTCTTAGAAAATCAATAGCCATATACATCATTATAGCAAACTTCTACCTCAGTAATGTATACTAACTAATCACTACCCAAAGGCAGATTATAAACTCGTACGATATTTCCATTTTAGATGTTACAAAATTGCCACTATTATATACGTAGTAAACAGTTTGTAATACGTTTGATGAATGAAAACTGAAATTTTCGCAGTCAATTTATATTTTTTTTCCGGTACGACATTCTTTCTTTATTTATTTTTCTATTTTTAATCTGAGACATTTTTCAAAAGAGAACAAATTAATCGTTCAACTCATTCCTTCTACTCCTCCTCCTCCTCCTCCTCCTCCTCCTCCTCCTGCCCCACCAAGTACATCCATCAAAAATTTTGCAACCTCATCCGCTTTTTACGGAAGTCATCGCGTACTAAACCGGATAAGCTCTCTTCATTTTTCGGATGCACAAACTCCTTTTTTATAACCCCTCCATTCTTTTTAGCATCATCAATAACCACCTCTCAACACAGGGATACTTTGTATCATGTGTTAACCAACACATAAAGCACAGAAGAATTCTTTTGTAGGAAAAGAAATATTACACTCACTGAAACAGTGTCGTGTCGTTATAGAAAAAAAAAAATAAAATTAGTCATGACGTAAAAAAAAAAAACAGTGTCACGACTTTTAATTATGTAACACTTATTTCATGACAACCTAACAGTACTCAGACACTGGTAATAAAATCAATGCGACACACAACAGACGCGCTTGAGTGAAAATCAGAAATAAAAAATAAAAATCAAAGAGAGCGTGATCATGGCCAAATCGTAATCCAAATGTTTCATTTGCCACCCACTCAAACCACACAAGTTTCTCTGACAGAAAAATAAAAAAAGTCTTGCATCTAAACCAACTCAATTGCTTTTTCTCTGGAGGATACTTTTTTTCTTGGATGAAATTCCGCTCTATTTTTTTCTTCAAATGCCGGTAAATGGCACAAAACAAATCGGGAATTTGTCCAAATACAGTAATCATCGGACTTAGTTAATTTTTTCCACCAAAATGGGACTTAACTGCATTGCATTGCCACAAGTGTTTATGATAACGATGCGTTGATGTACATTCGAAACTACTATCGCCACCACCATGCATCAAGTTGTTATCGCAGATCAGTTTTGTTTCAATTGCTCTCGTTGTTCCAAGAAACTTCGGAAAACTATTTTGTTTTAGTAGCCGACGACATTCGCGATATTTTTGCTTCAAGTTTTTCCTTTTTTCTCTTTTTACAGCCGATGGAAGTCATCCATCTATCACGCAACAAATGCACAAACCTCCCTCCCTCTTTGAAAATGTTGTTTCCTGTGCTTTGTAATGTGAGTAATGGCGCAGTGTTGCGGATACCTTAGCGGGTTGGTATGACGCTCACAATGAGGGGCTTGGTTTTTTTTTTTTTTCGATCTCTCAACATTTGAAATTTTCATTCTGGTTATGAGCTCTAAATTTGTAGAACAATAGCTAAAACATAGCAAACTTCTTTTTTGGCATGTGAGCTTCATATAAAAAAAGAGGTTTGGTTCTGGCATGTACGAGTTAGATTACATTCGTTCGAGGGCATGATACGTCGTGTCTGGTCCCGCAAGATAGTCCCTGTTGCTCTTAAAGATTCAGTACGTTAAACGGTACTTCTTGTTGCAAACTTGCACATTGCGTCCATCTCTTTTCAAGTTTTTCATCCTCTTAGCCAACACGATTTATGCTACCCCTTTCTCTCTACTTACGTATATGCACTTGGTCCTAAACAAATCCAATTGAAGCTCACAGAAACGGATCAATTTTGTATGCACAGGGGATTAAAACGTAATTATCTGATACATCCCACCCACCATCATAAATGATCCGAAATCTCAAAAAAATGTTAGAGAGGGGTACCGTTTCAATTGATTGTTTGTCCAGAGATGTTGTAAGGGATGACTCTAAAACATCTATTCATTCCAATGCAAATGAAACGTATATGTGTCAACACTAGTTGTTTCTTTGATGATCAATCAAGGGTGACCCTTGTCGGAATCGGAACTGCTCTTACCTTGTTTACTCATTCTCTATCTGATCGTGGTCGTAAACTATTTCTTGGGAAACTTTTTGTTTCTATTTTGGAACCAAATTTGCTTCATTTTGAATTGCAACACTTACAAATCATATGCACATTCAAGCAGCCCTGGTGATCAAGCTTCCTGTCAAATGTTTTTGAATGAGAAAACACAGCGATGCTCATTTGTTGTGTTTAAAGAAGGCGACCACCTCGTAAAATAACAGACAAATAAGCTTGAAAGACTTTGTTCAAAGCAAACATACTCAATTTCCTTAATCTCAACATTCACTGAATTCCGTAAGTTTCGAATTCGGGTCTACTGTCAAATAAGATTGTGAATCAAACACAATCTCTGCCGCTCTCCCCCACACACGAATGACACCTGAGACTGGTCTAATACGGCTTTTGGCCAAGTTGCACAAAAGGGAGTCGAGGTGTCACCAAAAATTGCACAAACAAAAGTAATGATCTCATCACAGATGCATTAAAACCGGACACAATAGCTGGGTATGTTGTTGGGTAAACAAGGTAGAGACTCAGTTACAGGTACGCTTCGGATCCAAGTGCTCCTAACCAATTTTGTTTACGTTGAATGTGAAACGAAGTCTCCCTTTGAAAAGACTTTAAGCACGGCTTAAGGTTGTCTGATTGTGGTTGCAACTTGAAACAAAAGAAGCGAGAGCAAAACCACGACTATCAAATTTCTCCTCAATTTTGTTATTGCACGTGGTATTCGTTGCTTTTGAGTCACCTTTAGTTCCGTGTCTACTAAAAAACGGACAGATTTAGCCCATCGAGTAAGGTGGCAGCTTCTTCTCTTGTACGATTGTGCAAGCTTCTTTTACATAGCCCTGACAATCTGCAAGCAAAAATGATCTAATTCTACTCGGCTAAAGTTTACCACTTGCGCTCTCTGTACGGGATTATTATAATTCGTTTTGTGGTTGTCGTATCTGTGCAAACACTAAAACGATGGCTACAACACACACCAACTACTTCCACGTTTGCTTTGTGTGTAATTCGCAATGATATGAAGGGCAAACAATTTGTTAGCCCATTATACTCCCGTCCTAGGAAGTTACTTGTGTTAAAATCCTTTAGTTAAACAGGGTCTCTCCTCCCCCCCGTTTTTAGCCTCCATTAGCCGGAATTTGGTCAACAGTTTTGCGCTGATTTTCTTTTTATTACCCCGTTGTGCGGTTTGGAAGATTATTGGTTGCCCCTTCAAAAGAAAATTTGATTTCTTCGTTGTGTAAGGTTTAGTTTGTAGAGCCTGTTTATTTACATTCTGAAACCTTATCGTGAGCCAATTATATCTTTTCACTAAATATTCAAAAAAGCAGTAACTTTATGAGTCTTTTGCTCAATGCAATGACAATACTGTGGCTTTTCTATGCTAGATGACAACGCTTTATCGGCTCACAAAGATGTAGCTGAGCCAATTTTAGACGATGCAGACAGTTACAAGAAGCACAAAAAAGAAAACTCATATCTGTTTTCTTTTGTGTTGTTTGCCGTTACCAAATCAAACGTTTTCCTATGAGGTAGCAATTTACCAAAAAATGGTACGATATTTGCTCATTATACAATACAAGATAATAGGGGTATCAATTGGGAGAGGCTGTACTATTAGGAGTGTGTATATAGCTACTTCGAAAAAAGAGCTAACCAAATGTTAAGGCATCTGGTTACCTGTAAGCTTACTTAAGTTTCCATAGACTCACCGGCTATTTCAAAGCATCTGGCATATACGGCGCCAATATCTTATTAAAAAAAATAATATTTAATTTGATTGTCATGAGTATATCGTAGCAAGCAATTACTGGTCAAGGGGGACAATGGGGGGGAGAACGGCGAAAAAGCCACAGTGTTTGCCGAAATCGTGCAGCTACCCAATTCTTAGTAGATTTATTATTCGATTTGTTGGGAACAGGACATTCACCAGAAGAACATTGTGGCCTTTTTTTTTTTGTGTGCAAAGATGCCTCTGTTGGGGAGATAGGATCTATCGTCTAGCGACTTGACTAACAAGTTTGTGACGAAGTGGCTTAAATAAACAAAATGTTTACATGTCATATCCCCACGCTTCCCCTCTGGCTTCTTGGTTTCCAACACTTGTAAGGGGTGATATGTTTTGTAAAAGGTTTCGTTTTACGAAATCTAAAAATCTAAAGATCTCAAACTAAAAAGTTTAATTAAAAAACAAAAAGAAAGTCTAAAATGCTACATTACAGTATCCACCAAAAGTAAAACCTTTTGCCGCACAAAAGGATATGTTGTGTTCTCCTTCCTTTGCTTTTGACTAGAAGTACTTAGAAGCAATTGTTATTATCACCTTCGATTGCTCTATTCTATTCATCAGTTTCAATTTTAAACCTTAATTCTTTCGTCATTTCACTCACAAGTGAAAGAAAAAGAAGAGGCCATTGTAGGGAGAGGGATGAGGGGTGAGAGGTGCGGATTGTAACTTAATCAACTCTGCGCCGGAGATAAAAATGGGTATTGTAAATATGAGATCCATTGATCGTTGCCAAGGTAAAAAAAAAGGTCAAAAATAAGAGAAGTTGCACAAAAACTGATGGGAAAAGTCTGAGCAGATCCCTGAATCGGAAAGCCATCTGCTTGAGCAATGCCCTATTAAAAAATTGTAATCCTTTTGAGGTAGGAAAGAGGGTATGCCCTGCACTGGATGATTTTCAGTAGTGATGGTCATTTATCTTGTTATGTTCGTCTCCCTGAGACATAAAGGACACTACAATCATTCACCACCATTAGGTATCATTACGAGACCCGCCCTGTACTACGTCTTAACATTTGTAGAGTAAGGATCTCATAATACTCTGACACCAAACGTATAGATCCGTGTGAGAGTGTTACAAGGCTGTGTTTTGTGGCTTTGAACACACACAAAAGTTGGTTATTGTGACAGCAAAGGCGTAACCCGACCCGAAATCGTTTTATTTGGAAGATGATCCACCTTGTATTACTCTTCTGTTCCATTGCTTTGTGTGTCAGTCTTTTTCCGAAATAGAAACCCTACCCATGGGCTCAACATTTCTAGCAAATCTGACAATGATTATTCCCGCCATTCCTTGGCGTCTGTTCCCTCAGAATAGAAATTTCTATTACATGGCAGAAACAAAACTCCTCATTCAATAAAATAGCTACGTGACATTTCGCGAATTGCAAATTCAAATTAAGCAGTCTTGCGCAGCCTTCCTTTCCCCCCCTCTCCCTGAAATTTTCATAGTACGATGCTAACCCAAAAAATAGGAAATGTGGAGGATCTCATCTGTTGAAGTAATGACGCATTTACGAAAATCACAACAGGAAATGTGCTCATAAACAAATTCACCTTGTTGTTTACATTGCTTTTGTTAGACACGGGTTTTTCCAAATGACGTTCTTCTCTAGAAAGGTGATATATGTGACGGGGGCGATTCTACTAGCATTGTCATTGTTCTTTGAGTGAAGCAAAAGAAAGTAGACAAAAAAAGAAAAGAAAGCAAGGACTTCCAATTGCATCATCGTTACAGCTACAACCTTACTGAATGGAGGAATACGTACCACTGAGGGTCAATAGAAATGTTAAAAACTTGTGTGACTTTCTGCATTTGTAAAATTGCCATTTTGTGTTGAATGAAAACTTTAATTACACGCAGTACTAACAAGGTTTTTTATCGAAAATAAGGTTTTGTGATACTTCATTCCAGTTGTGTAGTAACACGCTTTGATACACAAAAGCTCCTACTTTAACTACCAACAACTCAAATGAAACAGAAATACAAAGACGATAGTTTAACACAAATGTTTGCCCTCTTCACCTTTTTTTGGTTTCTTTCTGTGTTGTGTTGTGTTTTGTTTGATGATATTGGAGTCAGAGGGAGGGGGCTGTTCGTATTGGATATGCATCACCCAGAATCGTTTTTACTATCGCCTCCCTTTTTGTTTCTTTTTCTTCTCTTCGTAATAGAGACGATTGCTTTACACAAAAGAAAAGAAAATCCCACAATCCTCCCCTCGGGCACAAATCCCGTATATTCTTATCCAATTTCAAATTCAGATCGTAATGACAACTGACTATGTGGAACTTAGGCAAAAGAAACCACAAGCGTCCCTATTTCTGTACTTTTGAGCTTCTTTTTATTCTAGTGTCACTCTAAACTTTTGACATTCCAGAAATATAAATACCCAGACATAATCTACCCAAGGAGACAAGAGAATAGGTGAACTTTATATATAGCTATTACATATTTCACCACCATTATTTCATCTTGCTGACCAGTACAACAACCTGCGTTACATCAATTTCACTTGTTTTTCAGCACATCACACATAAAGCATCATCACATTAATCCATCTCACTTCATACCGTCACGTGTTGATAACAATACACCTTCTCCTATTTCATAGAAACCAACTATAGCTGTTATTTTATTTCTTTGTCTCACAATCGACGGAAATATACACCCTTCGCAAAGACGCATTACTGCTTAAAACCTATTGTTTTTCAGTTCCACTCGAGACGCCCGCCTGTGCAAGACTCATAAGATTGCTGACAAAAATATTTGCCATCTTATCGCATTAGACATTCTTTGCAGATTCACTCTAGCTATTTAGACGTACAGTTTAAATTTCTTTGAGTTGGTGCATCTAATTTTAACAACCGAGTCTGGAGCCTGTTTATATTTTTTTCCGGTGCGGTATTTTTTTGATACGGGGTGCAAATCAGGTGCCATTTTTGTTGCCATATACAAGACAAAAGAAGTTATTGAGATAAGATTGCTTCCTGGAGATTCAATTGTTGACAAACCCCATATTGGCTAGCACATTTAAAGAAAAAGAAATTTTCTTCAAATCAGCGTCGATCCCGTTTCATCTACCAAAACTTCGATTATAACTGAAACTTTCAAAAAGAGAGGAAAGTTTAACCTGAGATATTAGGCGACCGGCTTCAAAGTTTATCCAATATCACCACTGGTAGTCGCTTTTTTAACCGAGACGCAGAAGAACCCAGTCCAGTTGACATTCTCAGAAGCAAAAAGAAAACTAAAACAAAGTCTTCCATACAAAAAGTGTTTCACATTTGCCGCTTTTACGCCACAAACAGCAAAATTACGTATAGAAGCGTGCATACATTGTTGCGTACGCGAACACACTACTATTTGATATAGGCATCGAAATTAGAGAAACAGGCAAAACCTGGTCATTGACAAAGGTACTCCAAGCACATTAAACTGGAAGCTCATATAACCACTATCGCAAGTGTCAAAAACTTAGTACTACACCCACCTCAAGCTCGTGAACCTTCCATTACATTTTGTGTCGACATTCCATTCTATTCTGTCAAGAGAAAAAAAGAAAAAGAACCATAGAAGTATTTAAGAGATTTTGCAGCAATCGAGTTCAAGTCACATTTCCGCATCGAAATTTATCGCCTGTGACTATACGCAAATCACACACACACACACACACACATTTGAAATTTTATTTAAACCTGAGATAAGTTTCTAATTCAGTTAAAGAAATTCATATCCCCAGGTAATTATCCCATAAAACACAGATGTCTAAAGTGCTTCATACCCCTAGCGAATCCACTATACTTTCGACTTGGTCGTCAACTTCATCAATCAGCACGTTATCATCGGTTGCTGATTCATCTACTGCTTTCAATTTCCCCAAACCACCTCAATTACAATCAAGTATGTTGAGAACAGGTTCAATTAATGAGTTGCTTACCGACAGCCCCTTTGCAAGGGAGCAAAAGATTGCTGAATTGGTTCGTAACTCTGATATCGGCTCAACAACAACATCTGGGAAGCCGCAAGTTGTCTTTATTCACAAATTGTATGACATGTTGAGCAATGACTCTATTTCTCATTTGATAAAATGGGCACCAGACGCAAGCTCGTTTTATGTTTTCCCTGGTGAAAAGTTTTGCAAAGTTCTTGCTCAATATTTTAAGCACACAAATGTATCCTCATTTATCAGGCAATTGAACATGTATGGGTTTCACAAGGTTAGTGATGGCACCTCAACTGGTTCTTCTGATAACAAAGATTCTTCAAGGTGGGAATTTCGTCATTCACAAAATCATTTCAGAAAGGGAGATATCGAATCGTTAAAACACATAAAAAGAAGAAGTTCCAAAACTGTCAATGTACATAAAGAAGTTGTTGATTTGAAATCAATTCCCCATCCTGGTGAATATCCGGCAAGAAATCCCGAGAATGTGACACCTCAATTCAATTCACAATACACAACACCTAGTCCATCACAACCTTCAAGAAATGGATATCCCTTGTACCCATACCAACCAACTCAAACTCTACTGTACCCTACTGAGGGGCCAGTATTGCCACCAACATTACACTTACAAACTCAACAAGTTGACAGACTGGCTCCAAAGTTGAAATCACCATTGACCCCGAGACAACCGCCTATGAACTCACAAATTTTTAACCCAAGGGGGCCAGAATCTACCTTGCCATTACCACATGCACTTCAAGGTACTCCAGCAGATTATATCCATCAACGGCCACCAATCACCACTCAGTTTTCATTTGAACGTAAGGCTACGGAAACCACAGAGACGGTAACTGATGAAACCGAATTTTGGAAGAGGAAATATTTTGAAGTGTCTGCTGATTTCGACACGTTGGTTGACATTGTTGAAAAAGGTACAGAATTCGATGCCGAATATCAAAAGTTTAAAGAGTCAAGGACCGCGAGACAATTATTGCATAAGGTACCCAGCGATCCTATTGCCGCTCCACAAGCTGACAAAGCATCGTCGTTGTCCACGTATTACCCACAGTACAAACCCAAATTCAACCCATCTATGATTAGACAACGAGCAGATTCAAAGTCGTATAGTCCATTGGGTACAACAATAGCTCACAGGGAATACTATCTACATAAACATCAACAACAAGTATCATTGGACTCGAGAATACCGTCTCTTGTATTGACAGAGACACAACGAACAAATTCACTACCAGGTGAAATACAAGAACCATGCACTCTATCGCCAAACGTCAAATCACCATGCAGGAAAAGAAACTCTGATCCATTAATTAGTGGTGCTCCAAGACTACCCAGTGTGAATGAATTGACAATGAATTTGTTTAATCCCAGCTCAAACTTCAAACGCAAACGTTCGGAATAATGTACACAAACTTATTTACCTTTCGTTTAATTTTATAGTTTTCAATCTAAATTTTAATTAGCACTCGTTACAGCTAATTACTCTATTTAATGGGTTAATGTAATCCTTTTCCAAATCATTCTTGACGTAAACAATATAGTAAGGAGTGGCTGTGTTTTCCTTTAGAAAATTGAACACCTCCGAGTCGGGAACTTCAGTAACCAATTCATCATTGTATTTTCTGAAAACATTATGATTGTGAGGGTCTTTGATGTATATCCAATAATGACCGTAACTTGCTTCCCCACGATGAATGAAAATTGCAAAAATCGAGTAACCAACTTGCATGTAATCGTCAAATTGCGTATTGATTTGTTGTTGAATTTCAACAATTTTCGAATCAATCTCCTCAACTTGTGTTTTGAGCTTTGTTATTTGATCGGATATCACTTGAACTGTTGCTTGTTCCACCGAAAGTTTATCATCATCACGTACTTTCTTTTCCAAAAATGACTTTGTCGTAACCAAAATGTCAATTATATTCATTGATGAGTCTTCATCGATGGACAATATTTCATCTTTTTTACTACTCATCTCAGCTAGCTCTTTCTTCCATTGAAACACTTCGGCTCGCTTGGCCAAAATCACTTCGTCTTCAGTATCCAAGTATCGATCAAGATATATCCTATCACTGAATGGAATCGGCTCAATACTCTTGTACGCCATCAACTTTTCCCTATCAAACATGACTCGCTGTACATGGAATTGCATAATTTGTGGTAGCTCGGTAATAGTGATGGATTTCTTCGCCAACCCTTCCTCAAGCTTCACTGTATCCTCATTAAAATAATTGTCCAATGCATCATAAATGCTTTTTGGATGATCACTAACATTGATAATCAAACTGTTGAAACGCTCAGTCAATATTCTTGCCTGTGACGTCTTCTCATCGGTTGAGTCCAATGGCTGTATAGTTTGCTTCGTTTTCCCATAAAACAACTTCTTTATCAAATCATATTGTTCGCCGTCATTGTCCAAATAAGTGGGAGGTAAAGCCAGTTCAATTTGGAAAATCACATTCTCAATACATTCAGTGACATCTTGTTGCCGACCTATTTCGATTGTGCTTTCAATTTCATCTGTCGAAATCGCCAAAAGCTTTGAGTTCAGGTCGGTTTCCGAAACAATCGATGTAGTATATTCTGGGGTCTCAATATCTTCGATAAATTTATCAGCACTAACCAGGTCTTCAACCATGCGCGATTCAACCTTGACTTCTTCGGTTTCAATGCTTGATTTTGCATCATCATCGATTATCCCGTCGCCCTCCTTTTTGGTGGGGTCGTCCCCCTTTTCAATCATGCTGACGTCGGCGCTTTCATCAACTTTCGCAACTTCTCTATTGTCTGCACCTTCATCTACTTTAACAATCTCGTTGTTGATAGCACGTTCATCAATCTGGATATCTCCGTCTTCATCCGCAACCTCTCCATACTCTTCTAAAACTTCTCTTGGTTCTTCTGCCATCCCTCCAGGCTCATCTGCGTCCTGCTTCGTTTTATTCTCTTTAAAGGTAACTGGTTGAGACATTGGCAAAAATGACAAGTATGCCAACTCCTTGCTTGGTTGAACACACCTTTTATCGGTTGAAATCATTTGCTCGAATAGTCTTTTCAATTGGTAGATAAACTGATTAGAACGTTGTATTTCCAGAGGCTCAACTTTCCGTCCTCCAATCTTTCTCGATGTCGAAAACGCTTCCAAATCAAAATCATCCTCGTCAAAATTCAAAACCAAATCTCGCAATGGTTTGATACAAAAGTAATACTGCAACAATGAATTTAAGTAACAGGTGTTTCCAATATTGTCCAACCCAGCCGGCCAATTCTCCGCCGGTAATAATGATGAGTCAATCTTTCCCGTTTTAATGAAATTCAACAAAATCTCTGATTTCCGGAATTCAGCAATTGTCTTGAATGCGTATCTCAATTCACGAATGTCCACATTATTCAACAACGCCTTATTTTGAAAAGTGTTGATAATTTCAAACTCAGAAGTCTTTCCATTAGCTTCAAGAAACTCATAGGCTTTAGGAACTGTTATTTTATCCATAGCGGTAAACTTGACATACTCTGGAAGTTTCGTTTCCAAATAATTTAACAAAATATAACTCCTCCTATTGATGGCCACGGATGCTAATGCTCTGTTCAAGAATATTATCTCGTCAGCTTCCGCATTAAACCCATTTTGCTGTAATAGATCGTCAGCTTTAAACTCATAAGCAGTCACAACAACATCATCCTCTGTGATTTCTTCGACTTGAAGTTCTAGCAAGGCCAAATGCATAGGTATCACTTCGTTTGCAACAAACTCCTTTAATCTTGGAGAGTCTTTGGCACACGCGACTACTTTCAAATGATTGTTGAAGTATTGGTAGTTTTTTGGATCACTCGAGCACTGGTCTTTGTACATGGCAATGATGACCTCATCGTCAATCAAATCCACCGATATATTGGGATCAATATCAACACCCAATATTTGCAATGAGGCGATATAGTCCTTGAAGCCGACAAATTGTCCATTCTGCGAAAGTTTCTTTAAATAGGTGTTTAATTTATTAACTCGCGACGAAACCGCAACAAAATTACTCACCTCTTTCAAAGCATCAACGTAGTGCAATTTATTGATAGGATCAGATTGTACAGAAAGTTCGAAACATTTGACAAGTAGCTCTTCCTGAAAATAAGTGGATGCACTTAATGTGATGAAGGCGGGGTACCGATTCGTTGGATTGTTGTTGTAATTGGAAATGCTAGCTGCTTTATCAAACTCTGCCACAATACCAAACACTCTAGACATGTTATCTGAAAATGAGTAGTTCAATCGAAAATCGTTCTTTTCGGCGAATAAACTTCTTCCAATATAAATCAACTCGAGAATTTTTCTTACAAATGATTCTTCCAAAGCTGGAGACTCGGAAAGTGCAGGAGGCACAACTGCATCTTGCTCCTGATTCAAACTGAAGGAAAGCTTTTTAAGTAAAAAGTCGGTGTCAAGAACCGTTTCCATGTTTGTATTCTTCAAACTGATTGTTCGTTGCGGAGTCTGCTTATACTCAATGGGTCCTCTCAAAACCTTGACCAACATGTTTATACAATTCACGGCTGAAGGCACTAAGTCGGCAGTAAATCCTGGGTGACGGTCAAAAGTGGATAAATACCTGCTCTTGATGATGGCTTCGTTCGTGAGCAGATCCAAGTCCTCATTAGTAAATTCGGGTCTGAAAACGGTTAACCTGAGTAACTTGTTTTGGGGTGAGTTGGAGCTCTTGAAATATGCATCATCTATGATGCTATCCAGTTCTGGATAGTTAGCCAACAATAGTTTTAGATCAAACGTTGATACTGATTCTGAGGGGATGGCGTGCCACTGATGCTTGTCAACAAAGTTTGCCGTGGTAAACGTTGGCGTGTCTTCAAGGAACACCAACCGGAAGTGGAAACATTGGCGATCTCTGCTTGTCAAAATACCACGAATGATACAAACAGTTTGGTTGGTTTCTTCGTTAACCCTCTCCTCTACCGATTTGCAGTAGTCCACAAACTCATTCAAAATCAATGTCTGAAAGTTGAAGTGACTCGAGTTGACAAGTTGGCTCAATGGAAATGCATACGCGATTGGTTTACTATTCAACAAGCTAGTCTCTAGTTTCTCTTTGGCAGGGATAGTCCATTTTAAATCATCAAGTATTCTGTTTATTGTTTTGAATGGATATTTGGTAAGCTCTGTATCAGCAATATCCGTTTTTGTCTCGGTCCCGTTCTGTTTAAGATCATTGTACTGGGGGAGATCAGATTGAGGATGCCCCAACTGGTCGGCCGCTTTTCCAAATGGATTGGTCAGTGGCGACTTTCTGAAAGGATTTCGATCTCGGGACTGATCCACAATTGAACAACTTGATTGATTTGTTGGCGGAGAGTCTCCAGTATCTGACGTTTCCATTATAATACCTGATGGTGTATTTGTACTTGTAGTTGACGATGACTTCTCTCTCATTCGTCTATCTCGTTAGCGGATTGTATATTTTGTGTAGTCAAGGATACGATTAGATCAGTTGTAAGATCTTGTGTAGCAATTCGTTCCCACTCAGAAGCAACGACGATTCGGTGTCACCATGAATCTGAATTTCGCGGGATAAATTTTTCAGAGCCAAACACACCCAACACATACATCGCCTTTTAAAGACATTGTTCCATGTCGCAACAACCGCAAGCCATAGATTTCGAAAAGATACGAAATGCCTCAGATGGGAGTATTCTGGGGATGATGTCTGTTGGTTTCAAAGAGGTGGTGATGAATAATCCATACTTTGCAGCAGGTGGGGGGTTAATGCTCTTGGGAACAGGTTTGGCTTTGGCCAGACTGGGTATAGTGAAAAGTTCGGGGTTCTTATATCGCCAAATGCTTGTCGACTTGGAAATTCCTTCAAAAGACAAATCATACTTGTGGTTTTTAGAATGGATGTCCAAACACAAGTATAGAACCTCACGACATCTCTCCGTGGAGACTAATGTTATTACCCATGATAATGGGGCAATCACCACAAAGTTTTCATTAGTACCTGGACCTGGAAAACACCTTCTCAGATACAAAGGGGCTTTCATTCTTGTGAATCGTGAGCGGTCGGGAAAGTTGTTAGATATGACCAGTGGAACTCCTTTTGAAACTGTTACACTCACAACGCTATACCGAGATCGGAATTTGTTCAATGACTTACTTTATGAGGCAAAAAACATGGCCTTGAAAGCTCGCGAAGGAAAGACAGTCATTTTCACCTCTTGGGGGCCAGAATGGAGACCTTTTGGTCAACCAAGGTCAAAGAGATTATTAGGTTCAGTTATATTGGACAAAGGAATTGCAGAAAGTGTTGTGGAAGATGTCAAGGACTTTTTGACAAGTGGCGAATGGTACCACAAAAGAGGTATACCCTATAGAAGAGGCTATCTATTGTACGGACCTCCGGGGAGTGGAAAGACTTCTTTCATTCAAGCTCTTGCTGGGGAGTTAGATTACAACATTTGCATTTTGAATATCTCTGAAAATACATTGACGGATGATCGGTTGAACCACCTCATGAACCATATACCAAATCGATCCATTCTATTGCTTGAAGATGTCGATGCAGCATTCAACAAAAGAGAACAATCTACTGAACAAGGTTACACCAGTGGGGTAACGTTTTCTGGACTATTGAATGCGTTGGATGGTGTTGCCAGCGCTGAAGAGTGTATAACATTCATGACAACCAATCACCCTGAACGTTTAGATCCAGCATTAATGAGACCCGGTCGTGTTGATTTCAAGGTATTGATTGGGAATGCTACAGAATATCAAGTTAAACGAATGTTTCTTAGATTCTATGAAAATGAGGAGGAGCTATGTGAAGAGTTTCTCAAAAAATACAGGAAGCTCAACTTGCACAATGTTAGCACTGCTCAATTACAAGGCTTGTTTGTATATAACAAGAGGGATCCTAAAGCCGCCATTGATATGGTTGAGACATTAAGAGATCCTAACACAGTCTTTTAGATAGATAGATTAAAATGCTTCACACCTTGTACTTTTCCAACACCTCCTGTGTCACACCTTCTATCCTTTGCTCCGTGATTTCTCCCTCGTCTCCAGGACCTGTGCTGTTCTTTCTGGATTTGGTCATGAGATCATTAATGAATGAAATGTAAAGTAGATGAACCATTAAATCACTGTTGTCTCGATTTAGCAGAAACTCGCCTCCCAAATCGGGGCTTTTCGATGAGTTCAATTTGGTGTGTAGTAGTTTTCTGAACTTAGAGGCATAGTAAGTTTTGCGGTTTTTTGCAACCTTTGACATCTTTTGAATGGGTAGTGGTCAATGCCAGCTGTAATGTATTTTGTCTTGAACGAACTTCAAAAGATTAAACCCAAGGTTTTTGTGTAATACAATCTCACTGGCAAAAAAAAAAAAGAGTAAGAATGTGAGAGTTTGGGCGGTGTAATTTGGAAACAAAGCAATCGTGCAGTTTCAGCGGCTCCAGCAAAGACTATCCCACTTACCATCTTCAGAACTTACACTTAGAGAATTTTGAATCAACTGCACTCAAGATGAGACTTTCACCTTTTTGTGCTACACTTGTGTTGTTCAATCTAGTGACACCGTTGAAACTTGACAACTCGGAAGACTTGAAAAGGTCATTGTCCAAAATCAAAAACCGAGGACTAATTGAAAGGTTTGAGTTAAGCCCGGATGTATTCTCAAATGTGCTCGCTCAGGATACTTCGGATAAAGGAAAACCAAACAAGGACTGTCCTCCGTGTTTCAATTGTAACTTACCAAACTTTGAATGTACCCAATTTTCCCAATGCAATACATTCACAGGTATGTGTGAATGTCAACCAGGATATGGTGGACTAGACTGTTCTGAGCCACTATGTGGGTCCTTAGCTGACGGAAACAACAAGAGGCCGACTAGGAAAAAGGATGTATGTGAGTGTAAGTCAGGTTGGTCAGGTATCAATTGTAACTTATGTGAACGTGACGACGTTTGCGACTCATTTATGCCTGAAGGTGTCAAGGGAACTTGTTACAAGGAAGGGATTATTGTAAACAACTTTCATCAAATGTGCAATGTAACTAATGCTAAGATCTTGGCTATACTCAAGGGCAAAATTCCACAAGCTACATTTTCTTGCAACAAAACATCAGAGAATTGTAATTTCCAATTTTGGATTGATCAAAAGGAGTCATTTTACTGTGACTTGAACAAGTGTATTTTGGATTACGACTTAGCTCAAAACACTACCCACTACAATTGTGAAAAAGTGGCTTGCAAGTGTTTACCTGATAGAATGTTGTGTGGGGAGGCTGGTTCCATCGATATATCGGAATTTCTTACTGAAACTATAAAAGGACCGGGTGATTTCACATGCGATGTGGCTAAAAAAACATGCAGATTTTCAGAACCAAGCATGAATGATCTTATACAAAGCGTATTTGGAGATCCGTACATTACTCTACAATGCAAATCGGGTGAATGTGTGCACAAAAGTGAAATTCCTGGGTACAACCAACCGGATAATCCAAGACTCACTTTGGGTAATATATTTCTGATTATTGGGGTGTTGTTGGTGTGTGTTTTGTTTGTTGTTACTGTTGTCAGGAATGTCAACGAATCAGCCTTGTTCAAAAAGAGTGATGGCTATGACCCACTTCCAACTGATTCAACTGTCATGATGAATCAAAATTTTGAACCAACAACACTTTCCTTTGAGAATATTAGTTATACCGTGGGAGAAAACAATACTCAGGTATTGAATAATATTTTTGGGTTGGTAAAGCCAAGGGAGTGTTTGGCCATAATGGGAGGTTCCGGAGCTGGTAAAACTACCTTATTGGACATTCTTGCTGGGAAAAACAAGGATGGTAAAATCTCAGGTAATATATATGTCAATGGAAATACTATTGACCACAAACACTACAAGGAAATTGTCGGATTTGTTGACCAAGAGGACCACTTGATTCCTACATTAACTGTTTACGAAACCGTTTTGAATAGTGCATTGTTGAGATTACCAAGAGACATGACTTTTGAACAAAAGCAGGCGAGAGTTTTGGAAGTGCTTAATGAGTTGCGTATTATTGGCATCAAGGATCGAGTTATTGGCTCTAGTTTCAAGAGGGGCATTTCTGGAGGCGAGAAGAGAAGAGTCTCTATTGCGTGTGAGTTGGTTACTTCACCATCTATTTTGTTCTTGGATGAACCTACATCTGGCTTAGATTCCTACAATGCTAGAAACGTTGTTGACTGCTTGGTCAAACTCTCGAGAGATTATGAACGAACTATTGTGTTTACAATCCATCAACCCAGAAGTAACATTGTATCCTTGTTTGACAAGTTGATATTACTTAGTGAAGGTGATTTGATTTTCTCGGGTGACATGATAAAAGCAAATGATTTTTTTACAAAGAATGGGTACAAATGCCCCTTGGGGTACAACATCGCAGATTATTTGATTGATATTACTGTTGATCACAACAAAATTGTCAAAGTATCCAATGCAGATTCTAGTGTTGTTGCTTCGTCATCCTCTGGAATCGATGATGATGTTCATTCTGAGTTTTTAAAAAACAGAAGTTCAAGTCAAATCGATACAACCAGAGAATGGGAACATTTTGCTGTTCATCGTGACGAGTATAGCACCGACGTCATTGGGCGTCGGGTTACACCAAGTGGGGAAGAGGAGACTCTTTTACGATTGCGAAATAAACTTCACACGTTGTTTGTTGACTCTTCTTTAGCAGCAGAATTGCAAACAGAGATCAACGAAGGTAAGGAAAATCCAAAGGAGCTTGATTTAAATCGTCATGACATCAAAAAAGCAACTATTGTTGGACAGATTCTCATCCTCTCCTCGAGAACATTCAAGAACCTTTACAGGAACCCAAGACTATTATTGGCGCATTATGTGTTGTCCCTATTGGTAGGCTTGTTTTGTGGATACTTGTACTATGATGTTAAAAACGATATCAGTGGATTCCAAAACAGATTGGGATTTTTCTTTTTCCTTTTGGCGTTTTTTGGATTCAGCGCACTTACCGGATTACATTCATTTTCAACTGAGAGGATCATATTCGTTCGTGAGAGAGCAAATAACTACTACAATCCATTGAGTTACTACATTAGCAAGATTTTCTGCGACATCATCCCATTGAGGGTGTTGCCACCAATTTTGCTAATCAGTATTGCCTATCCGCTTGTTGGCTTGACAATGGAGCACAATGCGTTCTTGAAGTCAATTTTGGTATTGGTTTTGTTCAACGTTGTAGTTGCAGTGGAAATGTTGATTGTCGGAATATTAGTGAAGGAACCTGGAACTTCCACCATGGTAGGTGTTTTGTTATTATTATTGTCGTTGTTGTTTGCTGGATTGTTTATCAATAGCGAAGACTTGAATGTGCAGATAAAATGGTTAGAATGGATTTCGGTGTTTCATTATGCTTACGAAGCGTTGACTATAAACGAGGTTAAGGATTTGATATTGAGAGAGAAAAAGTATGGTTTATCCATTGAAGTCCCAGGAGCGGTGATTTTAAGCACTTTTGGATTCAATGTTGGTGCATTCTGGAGTGATATTTCGTTCTTGGGAGGTTTAACTACTATCTTTTTGGCATTGGGATATGTATTTTTGTATTTCTTCACTGTTGAAAAAAGGTAATCCAGACTATATAAATTGCAAACGTTGAACTGAAAATTTTTACGAAAACTTAATTCGTTACTTTCTTAGCTGACATAATTTGATTGTAAATCAATCTCTTGAGATCTTCAATATTCAAATCTTTCTTTTCAATGTCAAAAGCAAATTCTTCCACTGGAATTGGCGATGTAACCGGTTCATCCAATGGATCATGATAGCTACTCAAATATGGATGTTTCAAAGCCTCTTTTGTCGTCAATCTTTTGCTTGGATCAAACACCATCAATTTTTCCAATAAATCTATAGCTAGTGGGTTCACTTCCAAGTTTCGATTTTGGTGCCTGATTCGCCGACATGGATGATTTGTACAGAAATTGTAGAAATTGATTTTGGACCTGACCGGTAATGACTTGATAAACTCTCTTGCCCTCTTGGATTTAATGGCCCCTAAGTCCTCTTCCGATGGTGTGCCTAACAATTCAAATATCAAAGTTAGTTGATTGATGTAGTCCGATCCTGGGAACACTGCCTTATACGTCAACAACTCAAACAATATGCACCCAACTGACCACATATCGATTGCCGTTGAGTAATGAGATGCATTTAGCATAATTTCAGGTGCACGATACCATCTAGTAGCCACATATTCAGTCAATAACGAAATCTTGTTTGTACGCATTCCAACGGAATCAAGTCTAGCCAATCCAAAATCACAAATCTTCAAGTCACAATTTTCATTAACCAAGATGTTTGATGGTTTCAAATCTCGATGAATAACATTGGCACTGTGAATTAATTTTAAACCCTTAACTATTTGGTAAATGAAAAACTGAACATGCTGATCACTCAATGCATGGGTCTGAATAATTTGATGCAAATCCCCTGGCATATATTCCTGTATCAAATACACCTCATTGAATGAACTATAGTTTGTTGGTCTTTGAACATCGTATAATTTGATGATATTTTCATGTGAGTTGAACTTTTGCAACAACTTTATCTCGCGTAAGGTTCTCAAACAAAATAACGGACGCTCAAATGGCTCAATCTTTTTAATTGCTACTTTGGTATTCGTTGGTAAATGAACCACCAAAGCGACTATCCCGTATGCACCTTCGCCTATAATTTTGAGAACCTTGAAATTTTGCGAAATGTTAAACACAACTTTGCGCAGTGGCTCTTGTGGCTGCCCTCTAACCATTTTGTAAAATGTCTCTTTGGTTTTGACTGAAGTTGTACTCATGTTTGTCAAAATACGGAGCGAAGAAAGTACAGATTGCCTGATGAAAATGAAGCATCGTTACAATGGGCCGTGCTTATAAAGCTCACTCAACGGACAGACACGGCATTCAGATGAAACAAGGAACAGGATGCGTCATAGCTATAATATCCAAACCGTGTGTCATTCATACTTCAATGCTTCATAAATATTTTTTTTTGCAACTTGTTTCATAATTTGAAACAATAAACTTTAAAATATGGCGATTATAATTGTCAACAATTATCCACGCCTTTGTTGTATTCCTTGGATATACTCTATGCTTTTCATTCCATTGCGATGAAAGTATTTTACAGCCACGAATACCCCCAACGTACACAACCAGCTAATGAATTAAAAATTGCACTGATCTCTTGCATGTGCGTAAAATTTAGTTTTGTGACACAAGAACTCTTTATCTCTTGAAACAAATACAAAGACGTGTACGATAATTATAGAACACCACTTGTTTTGGTTGAACGGTCTTGATAAATATGCTTTGGCGATATAGTACTTGGTTATATCCCACGATAGATGTATCGTAGCACGCCGAGAATAACTTATTATGCAACATCGTTTCAAGCACTAACTCTGATTTGCTCAGTTAAAGGAGCTGAAAGAATTCTCTTCCCAAACCTATATAGCGCAAACGAAGAGCATCATACTCATCTTCCAATTGGCTACCATGCCAGTATTGTCTAACCACCAAGTGTCGGAATTGTAACTTCCTTCTCATATGGCATAATGCTTTCTCATCACGAAAAAAAAAAAATTGAAATAAATTTTTCACTATAAACGATATATTTTGAGATCAATTGCATGTTAAATAGACTTGCATCCTTCTCAAGAAACAACCTTATAATGCCAAAGAGAAACTCCAGAAGAAACAACAAAGGGAAAAACTTCACCAGACAAAACACTGGCAATGACAATCCAACATGGAAGGAAGTAGTCAGAGAAAATGAAGTATGGGAAGAGTACTACAAAGCGATGAATATCATTCCCGACAATGAGTGGAGTGACTTCAAAAAGGCTTGTCAATCAAACCTTCCAATGACTTTCAGAATTACAGGAAGCAGAAAGCATGCAGAGGAAATTAGAAATATTTTCATCGATAGGCACTATAACAACTTACGAGGAAAGGAATATGAAGGAGTGGACTTGACCCCTAAAAACATTGAATTTTATCCTGACAAATTAGGTTGGCAAATAGATGTTAGTAAACAAGTTATCAAGAAGCAGAAAGATTTCGCCAAAACACAGAGATTCTTGGTTGTGGAAACAGAAGTGGGTAACATCAGTCGACAAGAGGCAGTTTCTATGATACCGCCTTTGCTTATGGATGTTAAACCTGAGCATTATGTGTTAGATATGTGTGCTGCACCTGGGTCAAAGACTGCCCAATTAGTTGAGGCTTTGCATGCTAACGATGAGAAACAATTGCCTACGGGATTCGTATTGGCAAATGATTCGGATTACAAAAGAAGTCATATGTTAGTTCATCAAGTTAAGCGATTAAACTCACCAAATTTTCTAGTCGTCAACCATGACGCTCAATTGTTTCCTCGCCTCAGGTTGAATGGTCATAAAGAGTACTTGAAATTTGACAGAATACTTTGTGATGTACCTTGTTCTGGTGATGGTACAATGAGGAAAAATATTAACATTTGGAAAGATTTTAGAACAGGTAACGCAATTGGATTGCATCCGTTACAGTACAAGATTTTGAACAGAGGATTGCAATTGTTGAAAAAAGGTGGAAGGCTTGTCTATTCAACTTGTTCATTATCGCCAATTGAAAATGAGGCTGTCGTTGCTGAAGCATTGAGAGAGTGGGGAGACAAGATAAAACTTGTTGATGTATCAAATGAACTTCCTGGTTTGAAAAGACGTCCTGGTATTTCTACTTGGCCAGTTTTCGGAAAAGACATGAAGCTCAAGGAAAAGGGGGAAGATGGACTAGTTGATTCGTTATTCCCGCCAACGAAGGAAGAGGAGGAAGCCTTTGGTTTGGACAAATGTGTAAGGGTTTATCCTCATTTGCAAAACACAGGTGGGTTTTTTATTACCGTGTTTGAGAAGAACGATCCAGAAACAAACAAGAGGCAAGCTGAGGAGTCCGATGAGGAAGAGCAAGAGGCGAAAAGACAAAAGACCGAATTATCGAGTGAGAAAAAAGAGGAGAACTCTGATCCCAGTGTGGGAGAGAATTCCGAGGAGCATGTCCCTGTTGCAGCTGCATCAAAACCAGTGGAAAAGAAACTGCGATTACCTCGAGATGCAAATGAGGAGCCATTTGTTTTTCTTGATCCCAACAACGAAGAGTTGGCAAAGTGCTATCCATTTTATGATTTCTCAAATGCTTTTTCCGATGACTGTGCTCTAGTGAGAAATGCAACTGGTGAACCTTTGAGAACGATATATTATGTCTCCCCCATAATCAAAGAAATTCTTACCGCGGACGATCAAAAGTTGAAGTTGGTACATGGTGGTATCAAGTTATTTGTTGCCCAAAGGAATGATGTCGGAATTTGTCCATGGAGAGTTCAAACTGAAGCTTTGCACACAATTGAGCATTTTATTGGAACAAAAAGACACTTGACATGTAATTTGGAACTCTTGAAATATTTGTTTGTCAATGCTTTCCCCAAAGTGGAAGACTTGAAGCAGTCCAGTTTAGACGAGGAGTTTTCCAAAAAGTTGGATGGTTTGGAGGAAGGTTGTTTATTTTTGACTGTCAAGCGTGGTGATGGTTTAGAAGACTTGTTTTTGCCTCTTTGGAAGGGAAGATCGAATGTCAATTTGATGGTGAGTAAAAAGGATACCCACGAGTTGCTTTATCGTGTTTTTGATATTGAGACTAATGCAAAGGATGAGGGTAAAGAAAGGATCTATCAAGAGAAAGTAGAGGCTGCTAAGAAGGCAAGAGCAGAAAATATGACCCCATCGATTGAGCCAGAAGTGTGTGAGCAAAATATAATTGAGCCAGTGTCACTGAAAGGAGAAAGTGCGGAAGGAGCAGAGACTGAGAAGTAGGACATAGGATTTAACTAGTAGAATGTAACAATTTAAAATAATTCTTCTCTGGTTAATAGCCCACCCTGTGTGGTTCTTGTGTATCATTCTTTTTGTTCTGATTCAGGCTCTGATTCACTGAAAGATTCCTCTGAGATTACAACTTCAACCTCAGGTTTTGAGCTCTCACTATCTGGAGAGTCTTCAAGTTTCTGTAGAAACATTCTGCTGGTGTCCTCTGTGACAAGTTCGTCAACCCAGCTTTCAAGCATCATGCCCATGCCAAGTAACGCTGTTTCATCCATAAACTCTACATACTTGAGTATTTCTGACCTTGTGTTCAAATCTCTTGTATACTTCTTAGATACAAAGTAGTGAATGGATTTCAACAACTCCGACGACGGTAGTAACTTCGCTCCACTGGAGTCTTTAGGGTCAGTAAATGGTATCTTCAACTTGCCGGGTTTCATCATATCTAAAATCTCATCCGGAGGGATGGTTCTTCCTTTCGCCCAGAACACTTTATCCAAGTCATTCGCATCTTTGTCAATTACTAGCTCTAGGCCCTTTCTTTTGTGAATAAGTTTATGTGAATTATCATTCTGTAGAATGTATCTTCGATTTATACGTCGCAGCTCATGATAATCGCCATTACATGCTTCAAATACATTCAGTTTGTTTAGCTCTTTCTTGTTGGATTCTGTTATGTTCATTCGTCAAGTCCTGTGCCGTTTGATAATTTTGTAATCGGATGTGTGGATAGTAGTTGAGATGAGTGTATTCAAATTATGGTACTTCTGGTAGCGCGTTATCCTGTCGCAAAGCGTAAACAACAATGTTTTCTGGACACTCCTACCTAATATCAACAAAAGAGCCCCAAGTCAAAACAATGGTGGATTCAAGATTACTCGCCAAACACTACGAGCTACGAGAGAAGATTTCCAACTTGATACAAGAGGACCAGGAGAGAAAGAATGCTATAAAGTTGTGCATATTTCAACTAGCGATTCTACAACAAGGAGATGTAACGCGATCCAAGAAACTGACAAAAGGAAGCCCTCGGAAAGCGGATGTCGAAGAATCACTGACGAAGGAGTATGAGATAGAGCTCAACAAGTTGAAACAAGAGTTTTCTACTAAACTGAAACTACATGACGCCAAACTCCAATCGTTAAAGCAAGAGAATGAACGATTAAAAGCGCAAATAAAGAAGTTAAATTCTGACACTTCTTCCTCAAGTTCGTGTCTTTTCCCAACAAGAAAGAGGGTACTCCCAAATCATCGTTCTATTTTTAGTCCAGAAAAGTTTAGTTCAAGTGCAAGTAAGTCCGGTACATTTCGTCATGCGTTCCCCACTATATTTGACGATGAGCTACTTACACCAATTAAAAAAGTACCTGAGACCAAACTTGTTAGCAACTTGATGAAATCTGCCGCATCAATATCCCCGACTAAAGATATACGATCACACGACTCGCTCTTGTTAGCTGATGACGACTTAGCGATACCAAAAGCAACTTCTTCACCGACGGGAAGCTCGAAATGGCGGTCGCCAACAAAGTTTATGGAAAATTTCGATATTGAGGGCGACAACGATGATTACCTAGCTCGCAGGCGAAGTCCATCTCCTGAATTCACCCCTAATAGGAGACGAAGAGTACTTCGCAGCACTGACTCTACTGCAACCAGCGACGAAAAAAGTGAATCGGTTGAACAATCAGGGAGGAATGGCAACAACGCTTTGCACCATTCCGGCTCTCCAGTCAAAGTTGAAAGAAAGATTAAGAAAGTGAGAAAAAGAAAGAATCTAGGTCTTGACGATTTGGAGCCGGTGAAAAATGGGTCGCTAAAGATGGCGTTCGCTGACGCGGACGATGACAATTTAAACACACTTGCAAAGTACGAGGACGCACATTTTGAGGATAACGATGGAGCTCCTGATACTTCGAGTAGTCCATTGAAGAGGAAGTTGGATACTGATGAGCAAATATCGGATCTTGGACCCCCAAAGAAACGACGGAACGTTTTCACAATCGATTGAATGAACGATATTGTATATTTATATAGATCAACATGCACAAAATATCATCATGAGTTCGAATTAAGGATGTCATAGTGTCGTGCCTAGGTTTCGCTTTTTAGATTGTATACTTGCGCGAGCTTACTAAGAAAAAAAAATTTTGTTATGCTTGAAACACTTTACTCCAACCTACTTTGATGGCAAATATTCTCCATTAATCAAACGAGACGAGATTTTGCAGAAAGAAAAGTTTACATCAGTTACTCAAGAAAGGCTATAGTATAGGGGAGAAACTCATTCGCAAAGATGTTGAAGTTGAACAAGTGTGGTAGAACTTTTCACATAAGAAACAAGTCATGCATACTGCGATCTCGCATTGTCACAAATACGACTCGATTCGCCTCCACGGCGACATCATCACCACCTCATCCAGTATCATCGAGGTCTCTTCCGAGTACTCCATTCCCGTCGGTAGCGTATCCTAATCCGTTCTCTCATCCTGAGTTATTTGATTCTACGTTGTTACTCGACAAGTTCGATAAATCCGATCTGACACCGAAGGAAAAGAAATCGCCTAATAAATCTGAAAAAGTACCAACAGATTCAGACAAAAAGGATCGAGAAAAGAAGGATATAGATAAAAAGGATGAGAAGAAAGATGAAAAGAAGGATATCACGGATAAGTCAGCGGAGATCAAGGAGAGCATAGATCCAAACTCACCGGTCTCTTCAAGTGGTAGTGGCATCTCAAGCATTAACGATGGGGGCAACAACAGCATTGACAATAATAATGGTGATGGTGGTGATAACGGCTCAAAAGGAGACAAGCCATTAGTGAATACTAAAACAGGGTTGTACACACCATTTCTAGCCATACCGATGAAGGATCGTCCATGCTTGCCTGGTAGATATTGTACAATCACAGTCACTGATCCTGAAGTGATTAGATGTTTACAAGAAGTCGTGGAAACGAAGGAACCTTACTTTGTCCTTTTCCATGTACGCGATCCAAACGACCCTGACGCCCATATTGATGTTATCAAGAATAAAGAATTTGTTCATGAAATAGGTACTTTGTGTCAAATTGCAAAAGTCACACCATTGGACTCAACTCATGTGCATATATTAGCGTATCCTCATAGAAGAGTAAAGTTGGTTGATTTGAGTACGCCAAAAGTAAAGAGTGAAAATATTGAGCAACAACATGACAATTTCCCAACGGCGTACCTCAAAAAGTATGGAATTTCGTATGCTGCGGTTCAACCAGTTGAAGATGTACCATTTGAGAAAAATGACGTTGAGATACAGGCCTTGGTTGAAAGTATTAAAAGTTTGTGTGCTGGATTCTCACCGAACCCATTAGCAGCTGAAAGCGGTAGAAAGGTGCTTAACAACCCGTCGATGCTTGCCGATTATGTTGGTGGGTCTGTATGTGGTGATGCCAAACAAATACAAGAGATAATGGATAGTTTGGATGTGCAGAAAAGATTGGAAAAGACTCTTGAGTTGCTAAAGGTTGAAGTAGATGCTGATGAGATTAAACGCAAAGCGCACATAAATATGAGGGAAAGAACTGAGAAACAGTACGCTCAAATGTTGATCAAGGAATATACTAAAGAATTACTCAAGGCGGCTGGGATAGGTGAGAACTCAAAAGCAGCCAAATTCGATGAACGAATTAAGCACTTGAAAATGCCAGAGGAGGCCCTAGAAGCTTACAAAACAGAAAGAGCAAGGTTAGGAACTCAAAGCGATATGGAACTGAACGTTATTGAAAGATATCTTGACTGGCTTACATCAATACCCTTTGGTATCTACTCGAAGGACTCTTTCAATGTGAAAAAGGCTAGAAAAATTTTGGATAGAGACCATTATGGTTTGAAGGATGTGAAAGATAGAATCCTAGAGTTTATTTCCGTGGGTAAAGTTTCTGGTAACGTCAATGGTAAGATATTGTGTTTAGCGGGACCTCCAGGTACCGGTAAGACCTCAATTGCTAAATCCATTGCTGAGTCCTTGAATAGAAAATACACTAGGATTGCTGTTGGTGGTGTTCAAGATGTTCACGATGTTAAGGGTCACAGAAGGACTTATGTTGCATCTATTCCGGGTAGAATAATTTCTGCTTTAGCTCAGGCGAAGACCTCCAACCCGTTGATGTTGATTGATGAAATTGATAAATTGGATACGACTTCACATGGAGGTGCCGCTAGAGCATTTTTGGAGATTCTAGACCCCGAACAAAACAATTCATTTGTTGATAACTTCATTGAGGTTAAGGTTGATTTGTCGAAAGTGTTATTTGTTTGTACGGCAAACTACTTGGGTAATATTCCCGCACCTTTGCGCGATCGTATGGAAATAATTGAAGTAAATGGTTACACTAAGCATGAAAAGATTGAAATTGCAACTAGACATTTGATTCCTGATGCTTGCAAAAAAGTGGGATTGGAAGAGGGACATGTGATCATTCCTAGAGAAACAATTTCGAGATTGATCGATAAGTATTGTCGTGAAAGTGGTTTGAGACACGTGAAATCTTTGATTAATAGGATTTTCAGTAAGGCCTCGATGAAGATTGTTGAGCAAGTGGAGGAGAACCAACCTGAGGTGGATGAGTCTGAAGAAATTGTCACAAATGCAACTGAGTCGGTTTCAGAAAAGAATGCTGATTCAACTGCTACTAAGGGTCCCCATTCTGAAGAAATAGTTACTTCTGAAGGTAAGCTAGAACAAGTTGTAGCTACCACGGGCACCCCTGAAGCCCATGATGCAAACAACCCAGAAGAGAAGCCGAAGGAGCAGAAAGCCAATGAAGAAGAAGCAAAAGAAGAGATTGTTAAATTGGCTTTGCCAGAAGGAATCAAGATAGAAGTCACCCCTGAAAATTTGAAGGATTTTATTGGACCGGAAATTTACACCAAGGATAGAATTTATGAACAATTGAAACCTGGTGTGGCAACTGGATTAGCCTACAACACTTCAGGTGATGGTGATGCACTTTATATTGAATCTATTTTGACCGATTCAATCGCCTCCGATGTTGGAAGTGGTGGTTTGCATGTCACTGGTTCTTTGAAAGACGTCATGAAGGAATCGGCATCAATTGCTTATTCATTCGCAAAGCAATTCATGGTTAACAAGTATCCAGAAAATAAGTTTTTTGAAGCAGCAAATATTCATGTACATTGTCCTGGTGGTGCCATTCCTAAGGACGGTCCATCAGCTGGTATTGCATTCACTTCATCATTGATTTCCTTAGCCTTGAATAAAGCATTACCTAACGATACTGCAATGACTGGTGAGATTACCTTGACTGGAAGGGTATTAGCTATTGGTGGATTAAGAGAAAAAACCTTGGGTGCAAAGAGAGCTGGATATACAAAGATCATTTTCCCTAAGGATTGTGAGTATCAGTTGGAGGAAATTCCTGATGAAGTTAAAGAGGGTGTTACTTATATCCCTGTTGAATGGTATGGAGAAGTTTTTGAACACTTGTTCAATGTCAGCAAGGAAGAAGGTAACGCTATTTGGAAAGAAGAGTTTGCCAAGAGGGAACAGAAAAAGAAGGAAAAGAAACAGTGAATTGAATCAACCTTGTATATATAGTAAAATTTGAAAAAATAGAATTAAAATTTGACTTGGGTGTAATTGTCGTAGAGGGGCTTAATTCGATTTGTCCTTTGCCGTCATTTCTCCAAAAAAACTCTTGACCTCATCCTCGGTAACAATCTTACCCTGCTCTGCAAAAGGTTTGAAAAAGTCACGAAGTTTAGCTTTTATAGTATTATATGCTTGAATACCTTCAATTGCTTGATCGCGGGGTAAATTTTGGATGACATCTAAAGCAGACATGTCTGGATTCGACAGGGTTGTTGACCATGTGTCTTCTGAAGGATCCTCGGGTGGTTTATAAACAGGGTCTTCTTCATAAAGATACAGATGGTTTTGAAAAAATTGGTACAATCTCGATTCATGATCGAGTTTAGGTATATTTTCAGTCAACTTTCGTCTAAAATGTTTGCATAAGAATATTGAGTACTGGCCAACGTCGGTGATGTTATGTTCACCTTCTATCTTTGTTCGTTTCACTTTGGGTTCATCTTCCTTTTCCTTCAATTTCTTCCACTCTTCATCACTCCCAACCCCGGTGTAGCGGGGTAGTTTCTCCATTATGACACCAGGAATCTTTTGGTCCAATTGTACAAAAATATCATGAAATTTGGAAACACATTGCCAACAAATGAATTCATCAAATAATTTCAAACGGGGAAAGTACTTTAGTTTATCTGTGGTACCCGAGTAGTCCTCTTCGTCTGATTCGTCATCACCCAGTGAAATCTCCTCCGCGTGAGAAGCTTCGTTTTCGGTGCCTTGTACTACTGCATAGAGCTGCTTTTTCAGCTGAGCATCTGGCTGCAATCCCATAATACATCTATCATGGAACCAATCTTCGCCACATACATATCCGAAATAGCATTGCAACATATTGCCTGTCTCGTTTGCTGGATCGTAAGGTTGTTTGCAACCACAGAAATTACCATGAAAGTTTTGATTATAAACATTTGAGTTACTTGGTATGTCTTCCGCTGGAAGTTCAACATGACTCGACAGTCGGCTGCCTAACCCTGACAGTGAACCTACACTGTTCCGATCTGCCCTTCTCAAATTGCACGCCCCATTAGGAGTCTTTGCCATCCTTGTAGTCCCACAATCGCATAAAAAGGACCGTTTAGTGAATAGCTCCACCAATTCATGTTTCGAGTGGCATTGGATTGAGCATGAGTAACAAACTCCAATCGGTTGATTGTCGTTCAATTTGGAACATGTCAAGCAGGCATACACTTGTTGTCTCAATTCACCTAACTCATAGGTGCATTCATTAGGATCAAATGGCATCAAGGTTCTTGCCTCCCTCTCCAATTCCTCTTGTTTATTGATGTAATCAATGGCTGTAAGCGAATCTTGCAGATCATCAAATGCTTGTTCTTTGTTCGACATTAGTAGAGTCGAGATAGGTGTGTATGTTGGTGTGCTTACTTTCAGAAATAATGTTCGATTTGGGGAAGACGCGCTTTTTGAGAAAGTATCGTTCCCGGTCACTGAAATCTTTACAAGACAAGATAAAGTTGAAAAGTTGCAGTCTGTTCATCCCGTGATGAGGAACTTTACATAATATCTACGTAAATTCGAAACGAATTATTTTCTTTTTCTTGGTATTGAAATCTAGTATCCAATTCACTTGACAAACTAATGTACAATAATCCACCATTCACCAGCCCATCATCAACTTTATTCCGAGGTCTTAATCTCCTTTACAATCTCATCATATCCTTCTCTATACTCATCAACCTTGTCTGCGTTCTTTTTGCTCTTTCCACCGCCAGGAACAATCATCACACAAGACGTTGGCCTTTTGGTGGCACCAGCACTTCCCAAATCCTCTTTGGAAGGTACAAACACATAGAGAACAGCGTTGTCCTCACACAAGACTGGGATATGTGATATGACATCGGCGGGACTGATGTCACCAGCAATAATTACAAGACCCTTCTCCCCCTTTCTCAAAGCTTTGACGACTTCTTTCACACCCCTTTTCACATGTTTTGCCTTGGATGCCTTCTTGACGGTTTTCAATATTTTCTTGTTTAACTTCTTAGATGCCAATGGTTTAGCGAATGGTAAGATTGCAGCCATCCTTTTCTCATAGTTGTCCTCAATCGATATCGTCTCTTCTGGTTTGTCTTTAGATTCTTTTACTTTAGGTTCTTTGACCTTAATTTCTTTGACCTTTCCTTCCTTTTTACTTCCCATTTTTGAATGTTCTCCTTTGTACAAAGAATATGAATCAGGTTAAAGCGATTAGAAAAAGCTGATACTGACTGAGCGATGCCTCATCAAACATTGGGAAATTTTTTTATTTTTTCATTTCTTTTTCATCGAATTTCAGTGTCGCTTGCAGTGTCATATTTTCAAATTATTATTCACGTCATCAATTGAGCTTTATCAAACAGGTTCGTTTCCATAGGAACGCTCCAATTGAAGTGACAGTCAGTTACATCATCGTAATGATGGCGCCCGACCAAAACAACAAACAAGAAAAGAAACGAAAAAGAGCATCTCGATTGTCTCGACCATCTTATAGCTCCCACTCAGCACCACCATCGTCAGCGTCCTCAAGCTACATCCCGACGCAAACCCACAAGGTAGTTGAGCTTACTCTTACCAATGAATCGATTAAAAAGGAAGTTCCAAAAAGTTCGGTCGATGAGGCAAAGGTACTACTGTTTCTATCAAGGCTACAACGTCGCGGGTCCATCGCCACAAACGAGGATGTATCACACATCACGCTCATTGTCAGTTGTTCAGAAAATGCCTTACTAGATATACCAACAATGAAGAGCATTCTCACCGAAAAGTTTGAAATAGATGACTTCATTACCACAGAGGGCCCATCAGGATGCATTGACGTTTTGATCACTGTGTATGGAAAAATGGTTAACATCTCCAAGGCCGCTGTTTTTCTAGTATTTCTACTCAGTGCAAAGATCAACAACTTACAAATGGACGTCTTTACATTGAAATCATCTACGTATAAGGCGCACCTACTATTGACAAATTCAGAGTGTTTGCAAGGTATAAAGTACATTGACGCCGCTAAACTGTTCACATACGACTTTAACAATGGCGTTTATGATGTCTTCATTCAAGGAGATTTGTCATCAATGTTTAACTTTTTCCTCGAATGTCTTGAAAGAAGGTGGAATGTAGATACTAGCCTCATAAAACTAGAGCCAATGTTTGGTATACATTTAGATCCAGCTTTGAAGCTGCACCCGAAGGTCAACTTGGACATCAGGGCCAGAGCGAAAAATAATTTGTTACAATACTTGACTCCAACGCTGTGATACGAGATTATATGATAAATGGAGAAGCCTTTCTTTTTTTTTTTCGAGATACTGTATACATAGATTTTTAAACTCGGGTAACAACAGCATTTTTACCTTTCCGTGATATCGATGCAACTCTATCACCTAAACTCAATGCCAATCCTTGGCCCTTTGATCTTATTCTAACATGACCAATGATTGGTCCATCGCTTTGTTTCTCAATACACAAGTTGGCCAACGCGTCCTCGCCAAATGTCGATCTCGAGTACAAATTAGCCGATAGGAACTGACATTCTTCTCCAATAACAGCTCCAGGAGTTAAGCATTCCATATTGGTTCCCTTCATCAACTCATCTAGGTAGTTCTTCAAGGAGTCTATTGGTGACTTGATGGTGATCTTATTCTCCCATTCAAACTCATTCCACATCTTACGGAATTGGCTTTCGGAGCATACAGCTGGTTTGATGTAGTCCATAATGTCAACATGTACATCATTCAAAATAACAATGGTAGACTCATCAGAGTGTTGACCATCGTAAACAATGTTTCCAAAAATCACACCAGTGTCCGCTGAAGTAACCTTGATTGTAGTTTGAATTTTGTAAAAGCCATGGGGCCCAATGTTTGTCGTAGTTGGCTTATCGACAACTTTCAAATCACCCAATGTAGCAAATTCTACTGAAAGGTTTCGCAAAGTTGTTGTTGTCTGATTAACCAAAAGAACATCCAAGACAACATCGTATTGATGGACCTTGACAAAAGCTTCTGCATATATTGGATCGGAGAATCCAGTTAGCTGCAAAATCTGGTTCAATCTGGACGACAAATTTTCCTTTTTCAAGTCGCTTCCTGAAGCTACCGCGAGATCATCAACCGCCTTATTGCCCGACTTGTTGTCCTTGTCAAGTTGTCTAAATGCAATCGCATCGTCCACTTGATCAGCATTGGCGTGCAAGTCTCTGGCCTCTTCCTCCGCCTTCTTAGTTTCAACATCAGTGATTTGTGCTTTAAATGCATCCTTGGTATCATCAAGAAAACTTGTAGTTATTTCCTCAACATCCTCTTCATCATTCAAAATTCGAATGTAGGAAAAAACTCTGTCAGCAGAATCTTCGTCAATCTTTTTCTTAACCAATGAACTTTCACCTAATCTCAATATCGATACCATGATTAAGAGTGCCTCCGCTTTCAAAGCATTCAAAATTTTTTCTTGTGTGTTCAACTTGCGCAAACGGAGTATTAATTTAACAAGGGTGGACGACAAAACAGCTCCGAGATAAAAATCTCCGGCAAGCAATTGTTTTCTTATTGGTGCCTTTTTCTCGTCTTCGAATCCATTGCTGTTGACATCGGCCGTCAACGCAGACTCGGTGGCGTACGTACCATCTGGTAAAACAACTGGTCCCTTCTTCTTATGTGGGTGTTCTTGTCCATCATCACCTCCCTCTGTATTTGCTGGTGTTTTTCCCTTCAACTCACTAGCCACAATTGGTACTTCGCCAATACTTGATCTGATGTACTTCCATGCATCCTGAATCAAATGCTCGTCTAGAGCGTACTCACCAATTACCCAAAATGCGCCTCTAAACACCTTCCCGCTCTTGACGTTTGGCAATGTCTGAATGAGTCTCTTGATTATAGAATCTCTCAAATTTGGGAATTTCTCAACAACTTCCTTCACAAATGTGATGACTTCGTAAGCCGACGTTGAGTTTAAATCAGCAATAGTGTCCAACAACAAGTCAATAACGTTTGCTGCAACTTCCACAAATTTGATAGCCAACTGATGAATAGCATTGATCAATAGTTGTCTGTACTCGACATTCTTATCATCATTTGATGAACTAGTAGCCTGCAATTCTTTCTTCAACAATTTAACAACATCTTCAACGTTTCTCGAGGTGATAAATTCAAGAGTAACGTCCAACGCTTTCTTCCTCACAGCCACATCTTGGGCAGATAACACTCTTAATATCTCTAAAGATAAATCTTGCAAAACTCCAGGGTGCTGTTTATTCAACTCTTTGATTCTCTCCAACGTGATGATCTTCACGTTGTTGTCTGCTTCTTTATTAGCCAACTCAACAAACTTGCTTCCAGCCAATAGAATAGATGTTGAATTCGAGCTCAAACTAGTAAGGGCATTAGCAGCTTCATACATAACAACATTGGACGAGCTTTCAACCATTTCAGTAACCAATTGGGCGTATTGCTGTTTCAAAGCTGGGTTCAACAATGAGTCCTTTTTGAAAAACTCAATAAAACTCAATTGCAACAATGGGTCTAATGAATCAATAACACTAATGTTGTCCTGAATGTATTGCAAAGCGGCATTTCTGTTTAAATCACCTAGACACACAAATGCATTTCTTTTGCAAACAGAATCATTTTCATCATACAAAAAGCGATAAATCAATTCGTCGACATCGGGGCACAAATGATCGCTAACTTTGTGAATTGACCAAAGTGCAAAGACTGCATTCTTACGCACATAGGCGTGTCTATGTTCAAGACATTGACGAACGTTGGGAACTAAAGTCTCCAACAACTCAGGCTCCTTCAATTTGGTCAAATACCTCAATGTAATACCCCTGATATATTCATTTGGGTGTTGCAAATCACGTTGTATAGCATTACAAACAAGAATCATTTCGTGTCTCATTTTACCAGAACTATCAAGTTTGGGACAAACCTCCCAATAATGATACAACAATCTCTTCAATTCTTTGCTCTTTGATGGCATAACAAACCTGATTATGTGCATCAAAAGATCCGGTAATGGATCACCATTGAGTATAGTGACTATAATTTTCTTCATTGTATCAATTTTAACGTCATCTTTTCCCTTTTCCAACAAGTTTTTGTATTCGTTTACCGACACTTTGCTTGCCGTATTTGGCTCATAAATCAATGTAAAGCCACTTTCACTCATTACGCAATAACGTGGTTAGTTTCAATTGATGCGGCAAGTGAGTGTGAATGTAGGATAGTCAGACAAGTTCAATCTGTGTGTCCAATTCAAGTACAAATATTTTTTTGATTTTGTTTGATATGTTTGATGTGTCGTTGTGTGTATTGACGTGTTGGTTTTTCGACGGTGAAAAAAATAAAAAAAAAAAAGAGAAAAGGTTTAAAAAAATTATTTGTGCTTCATTTTTGAACACAAACACACTACCAAGAATTTTGTATGTACCATCTCCCATCATTCTAAACATTATATATATGTATAGTTTCTATTCATTTTCTTTTTACATACACACGTATTCACTCATCACTGTCATAGTCGGGATTGGCAAGAACCAATTTCGGACGTTCTTGCTCTTCATAATCATCATATTTTTCCTGCTTTGTGTAGGAATCATTAGTATTGAACCCATTGAGATTGGACCCATCATTATTCAGTGTACCTGGACTTTCAGCACTACTCTTGTCTTCTGATTCTTCATCAATATCACCATACTTGTAACCACGATGTTGGTAATAACCACTGATCTTGTCCGATAGACTGCCGGACGATTCACTTGACACAATTGAACTTGTCCTGTGAAGGCTGGCATCAATGGGGTTACCTTTTGTACTTTCTGTAGTACTGCTAACAACACTTTGTGTGTCGCCTGTGAGTACTGAACCATCGGTAGTGGTTCGCTTCAACGAATTCTCGCGCGAAGCCTTTGTACTCACAGATTGGTTGCGAGAACTAAAAGTATTAGCAACCGATGGGTTATTCGCTGTGGTAGTTCTCGCGAGGCCAATACCAGCAAAGCTATCATCACCTTCATCAATTTCTGCTGCCAAAAGCCTTGGCTTCAAGTGACCATGTTTCAACTCCACTCCGCTAGTCTTTTTACGAGAATTTTGACCACTGAGTCCTCCAGCAAGTCGTTTGTACTTTCCGTTTGAGTTTTCCTTTGTTGCCAGTTTGTCTATAGGTAGTATTCCAACAGGGAGTTTCCACCGTAAAGGACCCAGTTCATTAAAAGCGGTCCCTGCACTCCTTCTAATTGCTAATACATAATTTGATCTCTCACCTTCGCCTGGTTTCAAGCTCAAGGAGCGTTTCAAACTAGCAAGATTGACATTTTTATACGAATTTGAGCTCTTGATGGAACCCACGGAGCTCGAATTGCGGTGAAAGTTGCGATGTGTATTCAGGGTATTGTAACTTTTCATCGAGTTGGCGTGAGAAAAGGAAAATCCAGAATTGTCAGTTAAAGTATGTTGCAAAGGTGGTTGTGGTGGTTGTGGTGGTTGTGGTGGTTGACGTGGTTGAGGAGATGGATGAACAGTCTGCATTGCTTGAATACGATTAGGAGTTTGATGTTGCTGATGAATTGAGTGTGTCGGTGATTGGAACGGGACACTGGACGAGGGAACTCTCGAAGTATTTGTTGAAGATCTCGAAATCGGGGATCTGACACTCTGAGATGCGGCAGATGCAGCCATTGTTTCGGATGAAGATGGATTAGTGAACGATTCGTAATCAGTCCTGTGTCTTGTTGGGGATGTGGAGGAGTAAACAGATGACTTTGAAGACGCAGGAGCAATAAAAGTAATTGGTTGTTCAGGTAGTTGTTGGTTCAAAGTTGTCTCAAATGGGTTGATTTGCTCTAAAACACGAGTATCCATCATGTAATTCTGAATAATTTGTGGAGAATTCTCCAAAGACTCTGCTGGTGTTTGAGGAGGTGATACAGATGGTGAGCCTAAAAAGGAATCAACCGGGTAAGGAGTTTGTTGAGACAGCAGGATACCACCTTCCACTGACTCTCCAATCTGATCGAAAGCCTTTGATCTGTTCAAATTCAATTCTTGTACATCATCAGAGTGCGATTCATCATAAGCACGATCGAAATAAACACTATCGCTAAAAGACCGACTATCGCTTGGTGCATATCTGATATCACTGCTATCCGAATTATCAAGCCGTAAGAAATGATCTATTTCTGACTCCAAGTCACCAATAATATCCGCTGTTATCCCGGTTCCCAGTTTGTCCAGTCTTGACTTTGGTGTTTGAGATAAAGATCTTACACTTTCATTTGTCCTATCTGATTTCTGGTCATTAACCCCAAAGTCAAAGGAGTCCAAATCACTGGGTGGTTTTCGTCTCAAAGGCAGCGGTTTAGGGCTTGCGGAATTGGTGCTGGTTGCAGGATAGAGTGAGTTGGATGGGAGTAAGCTCGGTTTCAACCCTTCTTGTCGCTGAGGCTGAGACAGGCGTTGTGGCGTGTGCGGAAATGCTTCTCTCGTATGTCGGTCATATGTCGCGGAGCTGTTCCCCTGTGTTACTTCAAATGCTTGTTGCGTGGTATTGATCTCTGGGTGGTGCGTTTGAGATGCCGCAAGCGTGGGGTGTTGAGTACTTGGGGGTGCGTTTGCTCGCAATGTACTGGTGGATGATTTTGAGTGTAATGAGTGTGCCGCCCCTTGATTGTATGAATGTAGTGGGGCGTTTAAGGTAGCTGATGAAGAACGATGATTGTTCAAGTGGGGTTTACTAAGCGGTTTTGGCTTAGGAGAAGGAGTCGGAGATATAGCTCGCGTTGAATGTCCTTGCGATTTTTTATCATTGGGTGATCCATGGCCCTGGTTGAATATGGACGATAACTTCAATCCAAAGCCTCTCTTTTCTGACATGATGAACAACAAGCTGGTGAATTTCAGTTTAAATTTGCATCTGAAGTTTTGGAAGGCACTTTAGTATGATTCGTCCTATTCGAATAGTATGACAGCGCTAGTGGAAGATTCCGCAATTACTATATCGATGAGATGACGTCTTCAACTGTCGCGATGAGTGGTGTATTATGCTCTTCGGTAATGGGGTTGTGATATTACGTGTGGATGTGTGTGATTTTTTTTTTTTTTTATTTTTTTTCAAGTTTTCATTTTGTTTTGACGTGAACGGATTTAAAGAGTATGTGGTCTGGAGTTGATAACGTCTACTCATTGAACTACGAGTCAACAGATTAATTTTGTTAAATGAATGGAGAAAGTCGACGTACTGGGGACAGGAAGGTGCCACCTCGTCATTTTGTACAAAGAAACAGGAGAATATCAGATTTGAGATCAATTAGGTTCTTCAATTTACACAATCAACAAAGTGACGAGCTCGAACATTTGAATCCCCACAAGCGATATGGAAGAAGGCGAAGTACACTCGCTGCGATACCGACTATTTCTGATGCTTTAGAGAATGAATACGATGACTCTCGAAAGTTGGTAAAATTTGCCGAAGAGCGAATAATGGACACGTTGATCACAATTCATAAAATAAAGTCTGACACTGTTTTGTATGTCAGCGACGTATCGTACGCGGATGCAGATCCTCAATTTACAATCCAATTAGCCAATGTTCCTTTGCAGATCCACAAGTGTATTATCAAACTCTGGTCGAAACGTGAAAGTCAATGGACTCTCTTTTGTACATATAAAGTGGATTTAAATAAGCTAAAGAAGGAGAGCATATTGGTGGAAGATGACGCTTTTGACATGTTTAAGGAGAATTCTTTTTGTGTGAAGTTGAAGGATAGCTGGTATACTTTTCCGGATATGCTTGTATCTTGTGGTCTGGCTCTTGATCAGCAATTACACCAGGAACCTTTTGTGAAACCAATGAATTCGTACACTTTTGATCAGCTACGATCCATCAACAACATTACCAAATCAAAAAGGGAGCTCGATGTGTCGAAAAGAAAGTTGCAACAACAAATTAAAAGGTACATCAAAGACATTGACTTTTATAATGTCAACAACATTCCGGTGCTTGTGGGACAATTAAACTACAGATGCGATATATTGGAAGAAGATATCAAGAAATTGAGAGCGGGGAACGAAGCTTTAAAAAGACAAGTCTTTAATGCTCAACAAAAGATTCAGGATGCAGAGGAATTGTTATCACGAGCTGACAATGTGAAAGAGTTAATAACAGATAAGTTTGAAATTTATGCACATGAGATTGAATATTTGAAAAAAAATAGGGACGACGTTAAAAGGGAAATTAAGAGAATTTTGAGAGATTACGTGTCGCGTGTATATGAGGTATTTCCTATTCGTGATGTTTCCTCAACTCAATTCTCGATCCTTGGCTTTGAATTTCCCCATAATTTGAAAATGTTGAAAAAAATCTGCTACTATAATGCAAGTGGTTTAAAGAACTACTACTATGAGCCGGAGTTTGACACTGAATCTCAATGGCATGAGTCTACAATTTCTCAAGTCAATGCTTGCCTATCGCTTATTGTTCAACTACTATCTGTTCTATCCAATCTAACAGAGACGCCGCTTTTATACAAAATGGCTCTTTTCGGTAATCAGAGCTACATCATCGATAGTACTAAGGTCTACCCGATTGCTGGTAAGAATCCTCCAAACTTGACCCCCCCATATAAATTTCCATTACATTTTGATTCAAAGGACATTAATAATGAAAGAGTATTAACAAGTCAGGGATCAATCATCATGAATCAAGAGTTTGAGTATGGGCTAAAGTTATTGAGCCGAAACATTCTACAATTAGTAAGTCACGTCAAGGAAGATATTTATGATGAATCAAATTCCCTGTCTGTTCCTAGTGACTGTCAAGATAATTTCTTGTGGAATTTAAAGTACTTGGAACTCTTAATAACTGCCTAATCGGCAAAGATTTATAACGCTATAGAATACTATTTACTGCTACATCAATCAACGATAACCTCAGGGTATCACATATTAATTTGAGTTTTTTGTTTCAGAGTAGCCCCTGTTTTCCCTTTACTGTCTTCTTTTCCAAATGTTGGCATTCTTTAGAAAAGAGCCACAACTAACCCTCCAATTATTGCACCAACAGGAGCAACAGCTCTTGGGGCTAATCCCGATTGAGTGGCTGCTTCCGCTTTCGAAGCTGATTTAGCTGCGGCAACTGCTGCTTTAGAGGAATCAACTGTGTTTTGTGGATCATACGACGTTGTTGATGCTACTGAAGGCTCTCCCGTATCTTCTGACGCCGAAGTGTTTGAGGTAGTGCTTTCGTTTGATTGAGATGTACTGTCGTTATTATTATCGCCACCGCCTGATGTAGTTGAATCACCAGAATCCCCTGAGCCACCACTGCCACCGGCTGCAGCTTCTATTCTCGTGTACCAAGGTATGTTCGTAGCATAACTCTCCAACTGCCCTATATCCAAATTATTATCATCTAGTAATGTTGTGTATGAGGTATCCGTGTATGTTAAAACTTGAGTGGCCAAAGTTGATAATGCACCAGGAACATCATTAGCCGTTCCAAAAAACCTTATGTACTCGGTTTTATGATCTTGGTAGTCACCAACCAATGCAGTTAAAAACTGAACATCCGATTGATCTGCGGCACGAACAGATGACATAACAGCGGCAAGCGATGTGAGTAATGTGAGTGAAAGCTTCATTGTGATCTATAATTTGGGATTTATAGTTTGTGATTTGTAGATGTTCTGAGTTTTGAATTTTGCGGGGGTGTAATTTATAATCTGGTTTCTGATATATTATAACTGTGATAATGTATACTCACTCAAAAAAAAATCTATGGTGCAATCTTTTGAAAATTGAAATTTGATGAAAACGAAAAGTGGTAGTAATGAGGCCAAATTAATATGTGAGCCCTGTTTTATGTATAATACGTTGATGACCGATTGGATCAGAATTGTGGAGAAGGAAAGATGATCTGTTTTTATAGTAACACAATTGGAACCCGAAATTTTTTTTTTTATTTTGTCTTGATCATTACTTCCTAATTAGGAAATTCACTAAAAAGAACAATAGGATCTGCTAATTTCCTAACAAAGAATTCAAAACAGTATACAGTTATATCCGCTTTTTAAACCCCTATAATTGAGGTGGCTATGTTTGGTAAAGGCAAGGTCATATGAAACTATTGTGATTAGTATGGCGATCTCTGAAGTAGGCAAAGACTGATGCTGGGGTGCATGAGTGTAACATACAACATTGGATTCACGTATAAAGTTCAGTAAAAGTTCAGTAGAAGTTCAAAATCTGACACAGTATGAACCCAAGGAGAGGAGTAGAACCGGGAAATCAGAATTGGCTGTGGCGGAATCCATGGCCGGACTAACTAGGTGGTGAGCTGCTGAGATGAAAAATTAGTGGTTGGCTTGAAGAACACATAGCCCAGAGCGTGACCAATCTACTGTACTGTGGACAAAGAAAATCTGGCAATTAGCATTAAACAGCGACAAGGTAGAAAGTATGGGAACATTTCAAATCAATTTTGCAACAATCGAATGAAAACAGGAACAAGTTTTTAAGGATGGATAATGGGGAGAAATTCAGAGGTTCAACGGGAAATCTAAAACCTGCAAATTATAATATGATGTTGGTAACCAATTCCACTTGAGAACAGAATTTACATGCTGTGTTCAAATTAGTGATCAACTTGAAAACGTCGCCCAAAGTCGAAGTTAATGATATAGGTCCCCGTTTTTGATAAAGAGAGATTAGAGTTTATTTATGCTTCGTTCAAAGTGTAGTATTTCGACGCTATTGTTATTTCCATGCTAAACATTCAAGCCAAAAGGAAGTAAATTAAATAGAATGGACAATCTATTTTTGGTGGTGCCGTTTATGGGTTAAGGTCACGACCCGAAGGGAGATATCAATCGTTCTGTGGTTGTCATGAGAAACACGACGTAAGGTGAATGGCCCCGACACACATGGCAAATGTGTCACTACTACTAAGCCTCTTTTCAGGACACTATACGGGTCTCTTCATAAGAGTTTATCTTTAAAAAGTTTGCAGAACTACCTTTGCCATAAAAGGAGTGGTTATGATATTGGAACTGTAAGTTCTAGAGTTGTTGTTTAGCTGCATAGTTAAAATCGGTCAATTACTAAGAGAATTGCGCCTTTAGTGGCGTCTCGTATTAGTGTGTCAGGACAATTATGACACACAGAAAGCCTCTATTTACGACAAGACAATGGTAGAATTGACTAAGCTCAACACTACTACATGATAGGAGTCCAAAGTTCTAGAGCAGCAATTGGCAAAACGCTCAGAAATTAGATCACTGCGATTTAGTAAAAAGCTATGGAAAATAAACAAATGTAGCAAAGACTTTCTATCTTACAACAACAATAAACCAGCAACAGCAGCTAATGAACCAGCACCAATACCAGCAACTCCAACAGCATTTGCGTCTCCTGAAGACGATTTTGATGATGAAGCAGATGAGAAGCTTGAAGATCCTGATTTAGAAGCAGCACTGGCACTTGATCCTGATGAACCCCCAAGAACAGCTGATGAAGCTTTTGAAGCAGCACTTCCGGTACCACTTGAGACGGCAGATGATGCTTTTGAAGCAGCACTATCGGTTCCACTTGAAATAGCAGATGAGACCTTTGAGGTAGCTTTAGCAGCAATACCTCCGCTTGATGAGTCAGCGGCGTAAGTTGTGGCGGCAACAGATAATAAAGCGAACAAAGTAGTTGAGAATTTCATGGTGATGAATTGGTTATAATTTGTTTGAGAAGAATTGAAATGCCAACGAAGGAAATTGAGTCGATATTTATAGGTAAATATCCACTCGAGATTTATTTCAATTGTGTATTTTTCACAAACATGAATTGCGAAAGATTGCTATAAATAATTTCATTGCAAATTCGTGAAGAGCCGTCCGCTCTTGTGTTTCATTTGCTTCCATCCACAGCCCCCAAAGAAAATCCCTCAAAACGCCTTTCGTAAATTGCAATTCAGCTACTACGGAAAACAAAAAAAGGCTTAGAAACTCTTTGATAATGTACATTAAAGCCACTTCATTTGGTAAATGTTCCATGATAACACCTCTGAGACTCAATTGTGCTAAAAGTCTAAAAATATAACTTTGTATGAGTTATTTTTATATATGGGCTGCCCTATAAGCTAAATATAGTATTACGGTTTTGTGATACCTTCCAAACCAAAATCACAAAATTTTGGTTTTTCAGTTGTTTACAATGTCTTAATTGAGCTATCCTTCAACGATTAGAGCATGGTTATGAGTAGAAAAGAAGTAATAGGGGCTGTGTCTGATAAGTCTTTCTTTGTTTGAGGAGAGAATCGCATCGAATTAATTGAAATAGGAGACACCTCGAATAGAGTTGTCGTGTATTGCTGCTGGAATTTGTGTCAGCCTCACGTCATTTAAAAACGTGCCCCCAAAATGACTTGAGAATGAAATACAGCAGTTACAATATTTGCTGTTTCTATGAACTTTAGTGTAAATGGCAATCACACATTTTCCACTTTTTCGATTTTTTTTAACCTTTTTTGCAGTGAAAATTTCATAGCAACACAAACAAAACGAAACAAATTGAGCACGTGGAATGTGGAATGATTGCTTTGAGTCGTGGCGAGTATTGAAAAGTAAAGCAACCTCTCAACGTTGTAAGATACAATTGTGGTGACGTAACTTCATTGAAGCCAATTGAGACCAGTTGTTGTCAAACAATTTACCCCCTTACATGCTTGCCAAGAAGTTTGTTATGGGAAAGTCAGGACCAAAAAACAAAAGAAAAAGAGAGAAAGAGAAATTTTTACACATAATCGTACATTATCAAACTTCACTATAGTACAATGTAAACCACACCTGATACTTTCTCCACGATTTTAATTTTTTTTTTTTTTACCCCTGGAATGGACCTGCAGCCAAACAAAGATTTCTTCTGGTAAAATGAACTTTGAACACTGGCGTCTTTTTTGTGAAAAAAGCAGTCATGTGGTCGCTGCTTGCAATCACATCTCTCCTGTTTAGCTGTTGCTGCTGCTGTTGTTGCTGTTGTTGCTGTTGTTGGTTCTTCTCTTCTCCGCCTTCCCCATTAGCTGTAGCAACAAACGCTTCGGGTTCAGGTCCTGCATCATTGGTATTTTTCTTAACATCCCACACTCTCGCGCTATTGTCACCAGAGCCACTAACCAAGACTGTACCATCGCGCGAAAAGGACAAGGAATAAATTGAGGATCTACCATGGCCTTTCATTGTCTTTAGTCTTCGACCGGTGCCAATGTCCCACAAGTTGATCACATTGTCTTCTCCAGCACTGGCAAGCCACCTGCCATCAGGCGACACAGCGAGGCAGTTAATGGCATTGGTATGGCCCATGAATATCCTAACACAATGACCAGTGTGAACATCCCACATTCTGCATGTCCGATCACTAGAGCCAGTAAACACATAATTTGAGTTTGGGTGGAACTCCACACAATCAACGTCGTTGATATGTCCAGCAAATATCCTCAATGGGTATATATGGTCAGTCGCCCACAATCTTGCGGTTTGATCATGTGAAGCTGTTGCAAAGTAATGTCCTAATGGAGAAAACTTGACGTCCCAAACGGGTTGATTGTGACCTTTATATGATACCAATGCGGTGTATGTATCCAAAGACCAAAGACGTATTGTCTTATCTTCAGAACACGTGAGGAGGAATTTGTTATCTGGAGAAAATGAGATTCCGTATATGGGTCCACTGTGTCCGATCAATTTTCTCGAATTTTCCGGTAACTGATGGTTTTTGCGATCTTTTTTAAGTGAAGACTCAAGAGGTTTGCCGTCTAAGCTCCATATTCTCACGTAACTGCCTTGAAAACCAGCAGCAACAAGCGTCGAGTCCTCGTTAAAAGCAACACATGTCATTTCATTGTTTGTATTGTGGAAGGTATACATACAAACTGAAGGTGCACTAGCTTGGATTGCTCCCAATTTTATCTTGGACCTTGAGTCTTCAACTTGTAAAATCATCTTTCTGATGTCAGTTGCGTCCTTCATGGGTAATGGCAATGAATCCTTTGCTGGTGAGTCTGCATCGGGTTTGGTCAATTCTTGGAACTCTTCACTGAGAGTTTTGCCATTCACTGGTGCTATTTTTTCATCCTTAATCTTTAACTCCGCCTCAACTTCTTTACTGACTTCAGTGTCCAATGGCATTTTTCCTAGCTTCACCTCCTTTTCACTATTGAATTTTTCCAATTCATTTGTGTTGGCCAAGTATTCAGATATACCCTCCTCTGGATTAGCTTCACCTTCTTGGTCAATCTTGTCAGGTCTACTTTTTGAAATGACTGGATCTAAGTATTGATTAATCATACGAATCAAGATTGCACCACCAACAGCCTCGTTTTCATGAAGAAAATACAACAACAAGTTGAGTGAAGTCTTTGAAACCAATATTCTGTACCTGTGTTTTCTATACGCTACTGCCACTTCATTCTCTTGTATATGTTCAGGTAACGATAACCCTGCAAATTTCCTCACTTCAACACCATGTAAAATCAAGTGATCCGACTTGTACTTGTCAAAGAATTGCTTTGCTTTAACATCATACCCTTTCGTAATTAAATCCAAAAAACAATGCATAAACAATGGATACAACACTCTGGCCAATTCTGGCTTGTACAAATCCAATGAAGACTCGACCCACTTCCTGAGCATTGAGTACGCTATAAAATATGTATCAGGATCGTTCTCAACTCTAGTTTTAGCTTCCAATGCCTTCAATTGTCTTAGATCGGCTTCTTTGGCCAATCTCAGCTCACGATCCCTTGCCTCTTGAAGCTCACGCTCCACTTTTGATTGTTTCTCCTTGAGCTCTTGTAACTCTTTGTCATTTTTGTTTGATATGTCCTCCACATTGACGACTAATTCATCAGGTGAGGCTAATTCGGCAGTAGCTGGAGTAGCCTGAGCTACAGCAGGGGTTGGTGTGTTTGTGCTCTCTAATCGAAGCATCGATTCTGTTCTGTGGTAACCCTTTTTGTTTAGGTAATCAAGAACTATTCGATTCAAGTCGGCTTGTGAGTACTGGGGTTGGTTGCTTCTAACTTGTTGTTGTTGTTGTTGCTGTTGTTGTTGGGCTGGACGTTGAACTTGCGATTGCGAAGGTGCGGACAGAGGTGGGCTCTGGACGTTAGCTCTTGGTACACCAGCTTCGTTTTGCTGTACATCTGACGCCGTTCGTTTGGCCTCGTTGCTCATGATGTTGGATGCACTTACTTATTGATGATGGATATAAGTTTATAAAGCTCGATTCTTGAAATATTTTTCTTTGGTCGCGAGAGATTTATTCTCCGTTTTGGTAGCACTGGTTTGAGGTTCTTCATCTGGGCAAGTTATAAATCACACTTGAAGTTGATAGATGGAGGCTGTGTGATCTAGAAAAATGGCGTTAAAGCTTCTGGTAGGTTTATACAAAAATCGGTGTTTTACCACGGGCTTGGAACGTAAAGGATAATATCCGACATTGTCTTATAAAGTCGAGAAAAGGAATTACTCTTGTCAATTTTTTTCCTCTCGGTAGCTGCTACTGCTTGAATTTGGAGAGGTCATAAATGACTACTCCAAGGTGGAATATATACAATTTCGGGTGTGCAGAGGATTTTTGGGGACTCTTTATATATGTACTTTGAACGTTTTGCAGCCACTTTGAAATTAGTTTTGGGAAATAACCTCTTAATACGATGTACAATTTCTGGGTCAGATACATCTCAATTCAGATTGTTGTTTCTCATGAAGGTAGTCTTGCATTATTGAAGGCTAGTCGAGCTAAGCTTTTCTTTTTCAAAGCTGGATTTTTTGCACCAAAATGGTGCAAAATTACCCAACTTTAAGATTTACCCTGACATTTTTTTGTCCGCTCAAATATGCTAAAATAGCTTACACAGATACTGATTAATCAACAGTGTATCCATAGACCTACACAACTGCTTATTGTCGTCTTCAACTGAGTATTTCAATTTATTTTTTTATTTTAGCATCATGCATTGTTCTGGAAGTCGAATCAAAGTGTTAGGGGTATGACCCTGCTCGTCTTTACATTGGATTTCTTATTTAGGAATTAAATTACATGCAATAAGGCGTGTTGCATTGAGTTACCAGCCAGCAACAATATGCAAAGAATTGGACATTCCGACAAGAAAAAGGAAAAAGGGAAATCAGAACATAATAATGAAGAATAATGAATAATCAAATTATGGATTGTACTTACGACACTATCACTGATCAAACATTCAATACACACAAGTATATAAGATTATGCACATATCATCAAGTCTTGGTCTGACTTCAATCAAGAAGTACATGAACACATATGACAAATGTCCCCAAACAAATACGACATTGTAAGATCTAAATTCTACGGACCCTTCCGTGACAAAGACTTGTCAGTCCAAGCACACTAGTTTGAGTCAGGACTCACTAGAGATCTGTATTCAGAGTTCAGTCCACTAATACAAGGCATAATTCGGGCGAATGGTCTAGTGGTATGATTCTTCGTTTGGGTATTCTCAAGCCTGAGCAATAAATTTCGAAGAGGCCCTGGGTTCGATTCCCAGTTCGCCCCGCTTTTTTTTTTTACATCTCTTCCATGCTCTTTTCTCTTTTGCTTTATAACTTTGATGTCACAGTGATCTGGGTGTTTTCTTTCATCTACCAGCACTGCGATGACCGAGAAATCATAAATTTATTTATCAATCTAACTTTCACGGGCCAGTGAAAGAGATTTAATGTCTTTTGTAGTTTCCAGTAACCGGTAGCGCTATCATCATGAGAAAGAGGTGAAAAATCTTTGACGTGTTATCAAAATATAAGAGAAATACACTCATCAAATTTTGCTACAAGAATCCATAACAATGTTTCATTTAGTTACACTACTATTGCTTATCACTCTCACGTCAGCGAATCTATTTGATTTCATTAATCATCAATTTGGTGGAGGATCACAACATGCTCAAGGTGTCAAAAACCCACAAGATTATGAGAATTTGATGCTCAACACACAATGCAACAAATATTTGTGCCCCGATACCGGAATTTGCGTTGATGCACCTAAATTCTGTCCCTGCCCATACCCGTCGTCCCAATTAAGGTGTTTTTTGCCTGATGGGAGATATGTCTGTATATCGAAACCAGCAGGCGAAGGTATTTCGGAAAAATACGATGATCCAAAGACCAATTTCAAGATTGATGCTAAAGATGATAATATACGCGATTGCGGATGGGTCAGTAGAGCATGGAGAGGTTTGTGATTGGAAATATAACGCAATAGATGCACTTTTGATGGAGGTGATTCAAAAGGTATACCTGAAATATCTCACCCATGGCATGGAATCAATAAGAAGGGACGTACTATAATAGCCCGAGAATTTTCTATAAGCTCAGTAAATCTATAGGACGTCTCAAATAGATCATTTTTCTCTAGCTATTTCTAAATAAATAATCTTTCCATAACACCGCTTGTTGGAATAGCTAGAGGCTTGTAACAGAGTTCTGAAGCTTGTATCTCTTGATGTTCAGTAAAATTCAGTATCTTCCAATTTTCTTTTCTACTCTCTGTAATATACATGAGCCGGTATCATTGAAATAATTTTCTATTGCAACATAACAATCCATATTGAGTAAAACGCGGCAAATTGATTCCTAATCTGAGTCATAAGACAAAGAGAAAATTTTTTTTTTTTTTTTTTTTTTTGCAATTTTTCAAACATATATCAAAGATATCAAAAAAGTAATCAGATTAAATCCATTGGTCCATACACAACTATTTTATTTAATTCACTCTATTTTTTACACAACACCTACATTCCCCCCTCCACCTATGCTAAGAGCTAGAACTACAAGACAGGGTAATACGGTTTTATCCCAATTATACAGAAGATGTTTCGCTACGCAGGGATTCAGCTACCCAGTTCCTCCAGAGTACGAATCGAGAACCCCACCATATTCCAAATTAGTTGATAAACTTGCCACCGTTAAAAAAATAATCAATAACCAGCCGTTGACTCTTGCTGAAAAGATCTTGTATTCTCATTTATGCAATCCCGAGGAAAGTCTCACTTCATCAAATGTTTTCGATATCAGAGGTAAAGAATATTTGAAATTGAATCCTGATCGAGTTGCAATGCAGGATGCATCTGCTCAAATGGCATTGCTACAATTCATGACTTGTGGTATGAACTCAACCGCAGTACCAGCATCTATACATTGTGACCACTTGATTGTGGGTAAAGATGGTGCTTCTACTGATTTGACAAAGTCCATTGCAACTAATAAAGAAGTATTTGATTTCTTGCAAAGTTGTGGTGAAAAATACGGTATTCAGTTTTGGGGACCAGGATCAGGTATTATTCATCAAATTGTGTTGGAGAATTTCTCAGCTCCTGGGTTGATGATGTTGGGTACCGACTCACACACACCAAATGCCGGTGGTCTCGGTGCTATTGCCATCGGTGTCGGTGGTGCCGATGCTGTTGATGCATTAACCGGAACGCCATGGGAGTTGAAAGCTCCAAAAGTCTTGGGTGTCAAATTAACTGGTAAAATGTCGGGATGGACCTCACCCAAAGATGTCATTACCACTTTGGCAGGTATATTGACTGTTAGAGGAGGTACCGGTTACATTGTTGAATACTTTGGCGATGGAGTTGCTAATTTGTCATGTACTGGTATGGCCACGATAACCAATATGGGTGCTGAAATTGGTGCTACCACTTCCATCTTCCCATACCAAGATGCCCATAGGAGGTACTTGATTGAAACAAAAAGAGAACCTGTAGCGAATGCAGCAGATGCCGTCAACAAGGAGGTCAAGTTCTTGCAAGCTGATGAAGGTGCTGAGTATGACAAGGTTATTGAAATCAACCTTTCTGAATTGGAACCACATGTAAATGGTCCATTTACACCGGATTTATCAACACCGATCTCCAAGTTTGGAGAAACTGCACAAAAGGAAGGTTGGCCAGCAACTGTGTCGGCTGGATTGATTGGGTCTTGTACCAACTCATCTTACCAAGACATGTCAAGAGCTGTATCTATTATCAAACAAGCAGAAGCAGCAGGATTGAAGCCAAAGATACCATTCTTTGTTACACCAGGCTCGGAACAGATTAGAGCTACAATTGAAAGGGATGGGCTTATAAGCACATTTGAAAAGAATGGTGCCATTGTTTTGGCGAATGCTTGTGGTCCCTGTATTGGTCAATGGGACAGAGTTGATGTTCCTAAGACATCTACGGATTTTAATGCTATATTTACCAGTTTCAATAGGAATTTCAGAGCTAGAAATGATGGAAATAGAAATACCATGAATTTTTTGACATCGCCAGATATGGTTACAGCAATGATTTATTCAGGTGACATCAACTTCAATCCAATCACTGATGCCATTAGATTGGAAAATGGCACTGAATTTAGGTTTCAGCCACCAGAAGGTGTTGATTTGCCCGATAAAGGATTCATCAAGGGTAGATCAGAATTTTACCCTGAACCAAATCCACAACCCAAACCAGAAGTTCCTGTTTCTGTTAGCCCAACTTCAGATAGATTGCAATTATTAGAACCTTTCGAACCTTGGAATTGTGAAGAGTTGTCAACTAATGTATTATTAAAAGTGGAAGGGAAGTGTACTACTGATCATATATCCGCTGCCGGTGCATGGTTGAAATATAAGGGACACTTGGAAAACATTTCCTACAATACTCTAATTGGTGCTGTAAATAAAGAAACTGGTGAGGTCAATAAAGCATACGATTTGAATGGTGATTCATATGGTATTCCAGAATTGATGATGAAATGGAAAGCAGACAAGAGGCCTTGGGTTGTTGTTGCTGAACACAATTATGGTGAAGGATCAGCAAGAGAACATGCTGCTTTATCACCAAGATTTCTTGGTGGTTCGGTAATTTTGGTGAAATCGTTTGCTAGAATTCATGAAACAAACTTAAAAAAGCAAGGTATGTTGCCATTGACTTTTGCCAATGAAGAAGATTACGATAAGATACTGGCGGGAGATTTGATCACCACCATTGATTTGAAAGATATGATTGCCAAGGATGGAAATAACGGGGGAACATTGCGATTAAAAGTTACCAAAAGAGATGGATCTGAATTTGAAATTGGTGCCAAACATACAATGTCAAAAGATCAAGTTGAATTCTTTAAAGCTGGTTCAGCCATCAATTACATTGGTAATTTGAAAAAGCAAGAGTCAAACGCATGATCTGCATTTAAAGAGCTTTATATTTATTGTTTTGTAGATTTAGTTCAACGAAAAGATAATCTGCATTAGAACACCGATTCACAATCAAGCATCAATCAAAGTATCTCTTTTCTTATTGTCGTCATCGTCATCGTCTTTATCTTCATCTTCATCTTCATCATCATCATCATCATCATCGCCTCTATCTCTACCGTAATACTCGTCCAAAATCTTTGGACTGATTCTGTTCAACAACTCTCTAGGATAGATTCTCAATAACGACCAAGCAAGGTCTAAAGATTCAATAATTGTTCTATTTTCATAAGCACCCTGGTTGATGAAATTCTTTTCAAACTTTTCCAAAAACTCCAACGACAATTTATCTTCAGTTGACAATGCTTCTTCACCGACAACAGCCTTCATAGCAGCGGCATCCTTACCAATGGCATACTTGGCATACAATTGGTTGGAGACATCACCATGATCTTTTCTAGTTCTTCCTTCACCAATGGCGGATTTCATCAAACGTGACAATGATGGCAACACATTGATTGGTGGGTAAATAGCTCTATTGTGTAATTGTCTATCAACGAAAATTTGACCTTCAGTAATATAACCAGTCAAATCTGGAATTGGATGGGTGATATCATCGTTAGGCATTGTCAAAATAGGAACTTGGGTGATGGATCCGTTTCTCCCTTCAACTCTACCAGCTCTTTCGTAAATGGTTGACAAATCGGTATACATATAACCAGGGTAACCTCTTCTACCAGGCACTTCTTCTCTAGCAGCAGACACTTCTCTCAAAGCATCAGCATAAGATGACATATCGGTCAAAATGGTCAACACGTGTCTTTCAGTTTGATAAGCCAAATATTCAGCAGTAGTCAATGCCAATCTTGGAGTAATGATTCTTTCAATTGTAGGATCATTGGCCAAGTTCAAAAACAATGATGTTCTCTCTAATGATCCATTTTCTTCGAAATCTTGTTTGAAAAATCTCGAGGTTTCCAAATTGACACCCATTGCTGCAAACACAATGGAGAAGTTTTCTTCGTGACCATCATGGACATCTTTAGTTGGACGAACCAAACCTGCTTGTCTACAAATTTGGGCAGCAATTTCATTATGTGGTAAACCCGAGGCTGAAAAGATGGGAATCTTTTGTCCTCTGGCAATGGAATTCATCGTGTCGATAGCAGAAATACCAGTACTAATCATTTCTTCAGGGTAAATACGAGCATATGGATTAATTGGTGATCCATTAATATCCAAATACTCTTCGGCAAAAATTTTGGGACCTTTATCTATAGGTCTACCCGATCCATCAAAGATTCTACCCAACATATCTTCACTAACGGGGATTTTCAAGTTTTCACCGGTAAATTCAACTCTAGTCTTTTTCACATCGATTCCTGAAGTACCTTCAAAAACTTGAACAATGGCTTTAGAACCTCTAATTTCCAAAACTTGACCTTGTCTAACTGATCCATCAGGTAATGTCAAATTGACAATTTCGTTAAAACGTGGGAACTTGACATTGTCAACAATGACTAACGGACCATTAACACCGCCAACTGTGTTGTAGTTAATCCTAGGCTTAATTTTGAAACCCTCAGTGACGGCTTTTTTATTCAATTCGTACAACTCTTTATCTGAAAGTGACATCTTTATGGAATCCTTCTAGAAGACGGGCCTTGTGGTATTGCTTTTTTGTTTAATATTGGAAGGCGGGTCGAATTGATAAAGCGCTTGACGATAAGAGAGAGGCTGGCGCTATGTCGAGATTTCTGTTTTGGTGAAACTTTCGATTGCGAATAAAGAAAAGAGAGAGAAATTTGGCTTGCATCCACACACCAATACAAATATAAGGACTACTAAATGTATACGACTTTTAGTACATGACTATTACAATATTTCACTAATCAAATCCCAATCATCACCACGGCTTGTCTTTGACTCGTTCAAAAACAAGTTGTTGAAATTCAATGTTTGAAAAGCAAGAGCCTTGTTGTGATGCTTTTGAGCATACGTGGATTTTACAATTGACTTGTACACTTGTTGTAACAAATCATGGGAATTGGACGTTAGATTGAATTTCGAGCCAGATGGAATAGAGTTCAAAGTGGCGATTTCCGACTCTTCAACATTTGCGAGTTTGTCCAATATTTTCTCAAAATTGCACCAATCTTCAATCGTAAACTCTGATGTGTCAATTACCAAAGTTGCCAATAATACTTGGAAATTGGCAACTATTTTCACAATCACCACCATAAATTCGAGAAAATCTTTTATTGATAGCTTGTTAAAAGGTTTGTTAATTATTCGGTGCGGAATGGTGATCTTTCTAGTGGTTGACGAGCTCGTACTGTTTTGTCTGAATACTGGTATACTATTGAGCTCAACAGGCTCAATAGGCGACGTCAATCTTGCCGCACGGCGTTGAAAATTTAACGTTTTCGAAGATAACGGAAGCTGGTAAGCATCGCCCAACTTGATCACTTTTTCAGAAACATTGTCTATACCCATGGGTGTAGTCTCTTTTTGTTCTCTGTCATCATCATTATCATCGATCATGGATTCTTTTTGTCCCGTAATCATCACTTCTTTTCTTTTCAAAAGGTCATAAAATTTGGTATCAGGTAGATACTTTGTCAATGTGCGCGAGTGTGGTAGGTGGATGTCAAATAGTCGCGAAAGTTGATTTTGCAAAACAACAAGTCGTTCGAGAAACTGATTGATTGCTGAAAGATTATAACCAAGAAACTCATCTAAAATCAAAATTGGCTGATGATGGAGAAATAACTTTTTATTGTCTCTTTTTTGCAAAGCAACTTCCAATAGGATTCGAAAATGCTGAAATTGGATCTTCTGAGCTTGGCGCTCCACTTGTGCAATTTTGGTCAATTGAAAGTCGTCAATCTCCTTGATCAACTGGTCTGATTTGTTTGAGTAAGCCTTTATCAATTCAGTCTCCTTGTTTAACAACCTTAACCGGATTGAATCAATCTCCTTTTGTATTTCCTCACTCTTGATCTTCAAACTATCAACCTTTTTTACCGCTTGGGATTTCGCAAAGTCGATAGAGTCAAGTCGAAGCTTAGTGTCTAATATTTTCAACTTGTTCAATTGGATCGCTAAAGCTGTGATTGTGCTCACCGATGGTTTTGGAATATCATCTCGTAGCTTACTATATAGTTCATCAGCCACCTGTGTTGACTTTTCCTGTCCGCTTTGCAAGACAGATGCCATCTTGAATATTGTGTTGATTTGCCCTTCATAACTCTCCAACACTTTGTCATCTTGTATCGCTAGACTTTGCAATCGTTTCAAAGTTTTACTGTCAGCAGGCCCATGGAAGTCCTTGTGGAATTCTGACTCATGTTTCTTCTGTTGCATAACACATGTAGAGCATGTGGTGAAAGGAAGAACGTGAATCTGGAGTGTCTCAGGGGGAATCTCTTTGGTTGTTTGTGAGACAAAATATTTTGTGAAACTCGAAACAAGTAGTGTACTATTGTATAAAACCTTTGAATAGAAAATCACCACTTTGACCTTACAAGGACACAACAATATGAGAACAGACTCTTTGCTTGTGACGGAGAGTGAGGAAACAAACCCATTAACCGCGCAAAGGGCTGGATTTAAACGAGTTTATTACATGCTTCTCTGCACACAAAATAGACTGTTTAACTACAAAATACAAACTATATCTTCTCTAATCTAAGTCACTTTAGCTATTGCCACTCCCAATTCAGAGTCCCCTTGTCCATAATACAAAAACCAATGTCCCTTGAACTGCACAATTCCCTCACAAAACACCACTTTGTTTACCTGTCCTTCCACTTCATTCAGCAGTTGTGGTTTCAACATAGGATGCTCCAATCTAGCCAATGGGCCCTGCTTGATGTTATCATAATCAATCAACATGGAATTAACAGTATACGTCTCTGGGGCTAAGTCGTATCCACCAGTAGTTGCAGCATTGTAAATGAATATCCATTGATTGTTAGAACCAGCCATCTTGATTGGGGCAGGACCACTTTCAATCAACTTATTTTCACGATGTAAAACTTGCTTGGCAAAGACATTATGATTGATTGAATTACTAGTCAACTTCCAATGTATCAAGTCCTTGGATTCAGCTAAATGTAATTGACAATCTCCCCAAATCATATAATATTTCCCATCTTTACTCTTCTCATTGAAAATAGCCCCTGACTTCAGCCAATCTTTACGGATAATTCTGTTTCCATTACTGGTGACAGCGATATCTTTCCAAGTGGGTGGCACAATAGGACCGAGTTTGGTCCAATGAAACAAATCTTCACTGGTTGCAACACATAATCGAGCTGTATGTAAGTCAAAAGCCGTATAGGTAACAATGAACAACTTCAGTTCCGGATCCCTGACAATTCGAGGATCTTCAACTCCACCACCTTCTTCATAAGGTTCAGTGGCAGTTATTATTGGTTTCTTGTGTTTATGGAAATTAACCCCATCAGAAGACCAAGCAATTCCTACAGATGATAACTTGGCTTTATTTTGAGCTCGGTACAACATTACTACATGATCATCAATGACAATTGCTGTAGCATTGTACAAATATGCACTCTCAAATTCAACATCGGGATCGGGTTTCATTATGGGGTTATGTTTGTATCTTTTGAACGGACCAATGGGGAATGCAGTTGGTGGCTTGTAATTTTTATCTCCACAAATGGAGTTTTTATTGATTATGGGTATCATCATGTTGTTGTTGCCGGAGTGTCCTTTCTGGTTGGAAGTTGGGCAAGTGCTGATAAACAGATTTAACTTTGCTTTCGACTATGTTTTTTTTTTTTTTCCCCACTCTTTTCAACTTTTGACCGAAGCAAAAAAAAAAAATGAAAGTTACAATAAAGAAGCTTCGACGACTGCTTAAGTGGCGGAACAGAAACTTCCTAATTAGGACACACACCTTAGGGGGTTATCTAAATTTGTACACGACGACATTTTCGCTATGACACAACAATTGTGTCGCCGATGAGACATTTTTTTATTTGCTACCTTTTTTTTTTCAACTGAACTTGGTAGCTCCTATGGTTGCGGTTTTTTTAAAGTGTGGGTTTTGGGGGGAATTATTGAACAGTTTGAGTAATAAGGTCGCACACCTTCTACATTGACTTCAGTATAGCTTCCCTAGACTACTAAGTCTATTACTTTTGGTAACTCATGAAGAGCCTATACCTCTGGCATTAGTTGCACTATGCAAAGTCTCCATACTCACAGCCCAACTTTTCAATGGTTAGAACCAACAAAAAAAAAACCAAAAAGAGAACCAATCCAAAAAAAATTAGTACAGAGAATAAGGGGATCTTCATTGATTTTAAACCGTTTCAATTACACCCTGAACTGGACACTTATTCAATTCAATTTAGAACAAATATCACCACTACTATAAAGAAACACGGGTTATGGGACACTTACTTTCACATCCGATTGAGGACAAGAATCTCGATTATAAGGTATATACGAGACTTTCCTATTGTATTGGATCTATGCAAGGGTATCGTATGAGTATGGAAGACGCGCATGATGCTAAAATTAATGAGGATGAAACTGTTGCCGTGTTTGGAGTATTTGATGGGCACGGAGGACAACAATGTGCAGAGTACTTGTCAAATCATTTGACAAAGTATATTTTCAAACGACTCATACATCTACAAGACGCAAGTCGTTATAACAGCAGTAGCAGCGGAAAAGTTTCTAGCAATCAACAAGTTCTCAAGATTTTGAAAGATTCATTTTTTAAGATGGATCACGATTTGTCCAATTCACAAAGCTATATCAATTGTGGATCAACTAGTGTCGTGGTGGCAATTTTCAACAACAAGATATATGTGGCAAACACTGGCGATTCACGATGTATAATATCCACCAATGAAGGCAATTCCAAGACGTTATCATTTGACCAAAAGCCAAGTGTGATTGGAGAAAGAGTACGCATAGAGAATAGTAATGGGTATGTGATTAACAATCGAGTTAATGAAGTGTTGGCATTGAGTCGAGCAGTTGGAGATTTTAAATTCAAGACTCCGTATCTTACATCTACATTGAACAAGTATATCCTTGACAATATTACCGAAATGTATAAAAAGGGCCAGCAAGAGCAACTGAATCTGAAACTGGGCAGTAGTGGTAGTAACAAGAGTAGTAGCAACAACAACAACAACAACAACAACAACAATAATAGCAAGCTGTCCTTGAGTAATAATACTAGTAACCTGTCACCACCATCGCTACAGATATCGGATCATGAATACATACACATTCCACCAGAATTATTTCAAGTAACTGTTGAACCAGAAATTCTTATATTTGACATGAATGAATTACAAACACCCGAATTCATTGTCATTGCCTGTGATGGAATATGGGACTGTTTCAAAAACGATCAATTAATCAAATTAATCCGAGACAAATTGGTACTAGGATGGAAATTGAATAAGATTGTTGAATATATTTTAAATGACAGTTTAACCATGGCTAATAACTATACTGGTATTGGGCTAGATAACATGACATTGATTATAGTGGCTTTACATCCTGGTAAAAGTCTAGACGATTGGTATAGTGATATGATTTTCAAGATTGAAAAGGAAAAAGGATTACATTAGACGATAAGTTGGGTTATAAATGTGATGATAGGGTAATATAATGATACAACGATTATGTATATGTGATTATGGACAAGGGTCGGAATTAGGTAGAGATAAGTGTAGACAGACATTGGTGCCTTTGAACGAAGGATGTGGCAAGTGCATAGAGCTCAAGCTTAGTTGTATATTCAATGGCGATTCTTTTTTCAAGCCGAAAAAAAAAAAATAGCCAATTTATACCCGAGATATTTATACTATAATCTAAGAAACCGTAGTTTAGCCGCACCTCCTGCTACCACAATAGAGTCTCTTCGACTTTTCTATCATGAAGCTATGTTCAGAGGGATCTCATTTTGTAGGGGTGTAATAATAACGAGTAATTCAATTGCTTCGCGACATTCCTTCTATGACATAATGCAATGTATTCTCTTGTATGAGAGCAAGTTGTGAATTCGAGCTAACGGTGGGCTGTGGGGTACCTACCCTACTCCATTTCCACTGACATGAAAAGGGGTTCTACGCGTCTATGTTGTCTAAAGCTATGTGGTTATATATAGTTTTTTGGATAAAGGTGGACTGATTTTTTTTTTTTTTTTTTTTTTGACTGTCTGTGTGTCGTGTAATTTGAATGTCGGAGAAAAAAGCGAGAAAATATCATCATGATGTTCTTGTAACCATCTGATGAAATAGAATAAGAATATCGGGCCAACTTAGCTGTCACTTTGCATATAACCCCATTCAGCATTATATACATGTCTTTATAGAGCTCATTACTCAACTGTACACAGGTACCTTATATTCATCCATTGCATAACAACATATTCAGAACTTATAACTTTTTCCATTCACAAACCTCCATTATACAAAACAAGATACTCAACGCAAATAATTACCACCTGATTTATCCAGCAACTTAGCTTCTCAATTATAGCTTCAACCCCATTCTATCGAACGATAGATATACCACCTACAAACGCTCCACCCACCCCGCAAGCAGGACCATTACTCTTTCCTTTTAGCATTTTCAATATTTATTCACCCAATCAAAAATAAACAATTAACCCAGACGTATAGGCTAAAATGACAGACATTGCCAATTTCAAAGACCCCATACTATCCCTAGTCAGGGATCCCAATTTGAACAAAGACGAGACCAAATCAAGCCAGATTGTAAATCTCATACACGAAATTTCCGAACGTCGATTAAACAAGTTGTGTTCAACAACGTATATAATCTTGCAAACATTGGACAAGATTCAACTCAAGTTCAAAAGTTGGGAATTTTTATCACTAGATTATAATTCCAACACTCATTTTGCCAATGTTGATGATAAAATCAAGATTTTCAATACTGGCGTTGCTGATAAGGTGATGCAAGCGTGCAGTGAGTTGAATTACAAGATTGTCAAGATTGCTGCTGATATTGATTTGGTTAGTAAGTCATCGAGGACGTTATCGGTGCTGGATTTGATCTCTGACGAAGGAACGATGTTGACGTCGTTGTTGTTGCGAGTTATTAAATTAAAAGATGAGATTGTTGAGCAATTGTCGATTTCGTACTCAAAAGCGAAATTGATTTTGATTGGACGAGATTTGGAGTTGATGCATTACGATGATAGAAGTAGTGATAGCGATAGCGATAGCGATAGTGAAGACGATGGTGATGATGACACTGTGAGCTATTACAAGACGTTTATTGTTACCTTGTTGAAACAATTGAATGACGCGATCTTGGCTAATGACTTTGACTCCAAATACGAATGTCTTGCCGTGATTAATGATTTGGAAAAGATGTTTGAAAAGTATAAGATGGAAAAGATGATCGATAGGAGGATTAAAGAACATGACAAAGAGCTAGAACAGCAACTACAGCACCAGCTGCACCAGCATCAACAGCAGCGACACCACCAAAACCATCAACAGCATACCCCACAGCAGTATCACCCCACTGAATCAACTCCCAAATCGGATTTGCAATTTGGCTTTGATGAAGATTCCTCTTCTACATCGGGTAAAGATTCTCATGGACTTGAAGATACATTCTCCGAATATTCCATGACTTCATCCACGGCATTCCAAGGACATTTGCCAATGGTTAGATCAATTACCCAATTAAAATCAGCAAGAGGTGGCGCAGGAGCAACTGGAGCAACTGGAGCAACTGGAGCATCACAAAGAGACAGTAGAAGCTTTTACGATTATGAATTGAGCAGTAGTAATGGCATGTACAAGTCATCCATTACTGAAGAATTACCATACTTGAGAACTGCATTCGATTCAGCCAAGAACTTTGAAAATGATGTTAGTCATTATAAGCAAGAAGTTGGCATGGATGATGAGGACGATGGATCGGAAAAGGAGAACTTGGGAACTCGATCGAGAAGAACACGTCGTAAGAAAAGACGCCAACGGAAACAAAGACAAGGGCAAGTGGAAGAAGAAGAAGAAGAAGATGGAGAAGGGGAAGGTGAGGAACCAGGGTTACATCTGAATAAGCAGCCTTTTTTCCACAAGATTAATAATCTACCGCAATCGACACTTTATACCGAAAGTAAAATACTTCAACCACAATCACAAAAGACTACAACTAGTATGCCTAGTACGTTTTTGAATACTAGTGGGTTATTGAGAACATTGGGTATACGACCTCAAGTGATTAATGTGCCCCATGAGAACACTTTGGTGAAGGGTTATAATAGAAAACAGGTTGAAGAGGCCAAGGAGAAACACGATAGGCTGAGGCAGCATCAGCAGCAGCAGCAGCAGCAGCAGCTACAACAGCTGGAACAGGAGCAGGAGCAGGAGCAGGAACAGAAACAAGAGCAAGGACACGATCAGGAACAGCAAAAGTATTTGCCATTGTCTGAAGAAAATGTGCTTCATTTGAGTCACGAGTATCTTGATTGATTGATTGATTGATTGATTGATTAATGGTCAATTAACCATTCTTTCCATTTTATTTCAATTCTAATTTATTTCAACTTTTTGCACAAAGTAAGTAGGTATTAAACGTATATAGGCTTTTATTCAGTCACCGCGTTTCCTTTCTTCTTTTGCATCTACTGGTTTCACATCAGCATTGCATTTATACAATTCCTTAACAAATGACTCTCCCCAATAACCAGAAGTATATTTGGAAATATAATCAAACATTTTCGTAAAATTGAACGCCTTCTTCTCCAGTGGTAATGTCAAACTTTCCTTTATGGCATCACTTAAATCTTCAGTGTTCCATGGATTAACCACAATTGCCCCCGACAAACATTGAGCCGCACCAGCAAATTCCGACAAAATCAACGCCCCCTTACGTTGTTGTTGACATGCAATGTATTCATACGACACCAAGTTCATTCCATCTCTGGTTGAACTAACTAAACATACATCACTGATATTGTATAATGAAAGTAACTCATTAAAAGGAATGGATTTATGCATATAGTGAATGGGGACAAATTCAACCGTGCCAAATTGACCATTGATTCTCCCCACCAATTCATTAACTGTTGCTCTTAAACTTTGATACTCTTCAACATCGCCTCTCAGTGGCACTGCAACTTGAACAAGAACAACTTTACCTATCCATTCAGGATTTTGTTGCAAGAAAATTTCAAAAGCATGCAATTTTTGTGGGACCCCCTTTATATAATCCAACCGATCAACTCCAACAATGACTTTAACGCCGTCAAATTTTTTCTCCAATTGAGTTATACGTTGTTGAACTTCGGGGTTTTTGAGCCCTTCGGTGAAATTATCAACATCGATACCAATGGGGAAAGCACCAATACTAATTGATCGGTTTTCATAGAGGATTCCATTGGGTAATGTCTTGACATTGGGTACGATTCTTGATACTGAACTCAAGAAATGACGAGCATAGTCATAAGTGTGGAAACCAATCAAGTCACAACTTAAAACCCCAACAAGAATTTCTTTTCTAACTGGTAAAATACGATAAATTTCCGATGATGGGAATGGCGTATGCAAGAAAAACCCAATACGAATGTTTTTCTTCAGAGAGCCAATTTCTTGTCGCAACATTTCTGGTAATAGCATCAAATGATAATCATGTACCCAAACCATATCGTTATCTTCAACTTGTTTTGAAATTTCCACGGCAAATTTCTTGTTGGCTTCGATATATGCTGCCCATGCATTTTCATCGAAATTCATTTCACCAGGATGATAATGAAACAATGGCCACAAGATGGAATTACTGAATCCATTATAGTGTAAATCGGCAATTGTGTCAGAAAGGAAAATGGCAGTACACTTGAACTTATTCATCAAGTCCTTATTGACTTTGGCTTGTTCATCTTCAGGTATTTCTAATCCGGGCCATCCTAACCATTGGAATTCAGTGGTTTTTTTCAATCCTTGTAATGCAGTGACTAGTCCACCTGATGACATGGAGTAGTCGTATGATCCATCTTCTTTTCTTTTGATGGTGACTGGTAATCTATTCGAAACGACAAATACTTTTCCTTCTACCATGATGATCTATCTAAACAAAAAATGGTGTCGTTGGAGTTGGTGTGCAAATAAATTGAGGGAATAGTGTATGAGTGGAAATATATATATATATATATGTATAAATAAATATATATACGTAAGCAACAATTGATTGTGATTTGTTGACGAGTTAAGAATTAGCAATCGCTTTTGCTTATTGTTGGTTGATCTTTGTTTTTTGCTACTTTGGTTATTACATATTTTTTTGATATATATAAAATATAAAATATAAATCTATTTTAATTTAAAATTATTAAAATTATTATTCCAAGGAATTCCTTTGTGTAATATGTAATATTTTTTTATGTTTTTAGTTGTTACAGTTGTAGTAGTAGTAGTAATAGTAGTAGTAGTAGTAGTAGTAGTAGTAGTAGTATTACTTATAGTTATAAAAACTGTTACATTGTTTTGATTAGCAACTTTATAATAAAGTGAAACAATTGGTATCAAAGAAAAACATATTTATCAGCCTCAAATTAGGGGTTAGTGTGATGAGTATATACATATACATATTGCGCTTGGTGATTACGTTTTCTCAATTGTGTATCTATCTCTCCTCCTTTTCCTCCCCCCTCGTGCTCACTAGAAACGTTTTCAAAAGGCAAAACATTGATCTTCAAAACACAATCTCAAAGGGAGGGAGGGATCTTTATGTATAAATATAACAAAGTGGGAAGGAGTAGCCGAGGACGAAGTTGAGGAAGTAAAAGTTAAGGAAGGGGGGGGGGGGGGGTAGTGATGAGTGAGGAGGGAGGAGTGAGGAGAGAGGAGTGAGGAGTGGAAAGCTGATGATGGGTATATGTGTTATCTGTTACTATCTGTAGTTTTATTTCAAAAAGAGGGGAGTGGCTATGCAAATAGTAAGATTTATAACTTTTGTTTCTCTATTGTTGTGTATTGTGATTGATGTTGGTCTAGATTCTTTCTCTCTTTCTCTTTCTCTTTTTTTTTTATTTTTTTTTTTCTTCTTCTTCTTCTTCTCATCTTCATTTTAATCTTTGCCACACAGCAATTATAAATAAAAATAAAATAAAACAATCTCAATAAGGCACATTAGACATTGAAAAAAGATATTGGTAGCGTTTTTTATTATTGTTTTTATTTTTTTTATTTTTTATTTTTTATTTTTTATTTTATTTCGGAAAACAGCGGAATTTTATAGACAGCGCCAGAGATACATGTGGCAGATATGTACTATATTACCAAATTGGGCAATCTACACTACTTGACAGCAAAATGTAAAGAATTAAATAGAGAGAACAGAGAAAATAATTTCAAAGAGATCAAAAGTAGGGACAACTACTGTATATACATACATATATATATATATATATATATATATATATATATATCACAACTCATTGAAGATTATGTCTAATCCCTATGGATATGCAGCTGAGTCATATCAGCCACACCAGAACAACAATTTACACCACCCACAGCCACAATACACCCAACCAATTCCCCAAGCTGGACAACAACATCAACAACAACAACACCAACAACAGCAACAACATTTCCAACAACCACATGTGCACTCGGGACAGCCAGGACAACCAGGACAGCCAGGACAGCCACCACCACCACAATTTGGCAATTTCCTCAATGATCCTGCTGCTGCTCTAGCTTCTCAATTTGCTAGATCTGGTTTTCAGCAATCAAACCAATATATTCAAGAAAACTTTGGGTCAATTTCAGGTGATATCAAGTACTATTTCCAAGTTAGTAATTCATATGTATTGAAAAAGATTCTACTTATATTATTCCCATTTCGTCATAAAGATTGGACTAGAGTATTGGCCAAGGATAATGGTCTGGGCCAATACTTGCCACCAGCTTACGACGTTAATGCGCCTGATTTGTACATTCCAATAATGTCATTTGTTACTTACATCTTGTTGTGGGCAGCTTTCCAAGGACTTAGTGGAGAGTTTCATCCACAATTGTTTGGTTACTTGGCATCGCAAACATTGGCATTTGCAGTATTGGATGTAGCTATATTCAAGATTGGATTATATTTATTAAATTGTTCTCAAATTAAGATTTATGATATCATTAGTTTTTCAGGATACAAGTATGTTTCCATTGTTGTTGTCTTGTGTTTGAAACATACCATTGGTCAATATTTGGGTTGGGCTTACTACTTGATTGTTGTCGGTTTTATTCTTTGTTTATCAGTGTTTTTAATGAGACTGTTGCGGTACATCATTTTACCACCAACAAATACTGGAAATACTGTTGGTAACAATACTGTTGTTACTGGTAAACAAAGAAAGATGAGAATTCAATTCTTGTTTGTTTATGCTGTCATTATTCAGGGGTTGATTTTTCTTTACATGAGCAAGTAAAAATAGAAGCGTTGTATAGAAGGATGGTTGAATGGAAGGAACAAACTGTGCTTGCAAGACTATTTTTAGGCTACACTATACAATGCAACCCTGAATTGAGAGGCTACATCTTAATCAACTCTACTTTCAACACAGCTTATTGAGCAAGCACAGATGTTTTGTATTATGTACTAAAGCAAGAATAGAATTCAACTATAAGATACATTAACTCAAACCCAAGGCGCAGTAGATCCAGGATCAAGTGTATAAGCATACAAGTGCTGTACACTGTTATTATTACCCTTGGTGTATAAGTCTCGCACACTCAAGTTGGTTTTGTTTTCTTTCATTTTTTTTTTTTTTTTTTCATCCTCCTTTAGCAACACGAAACGCGTCCATTTATTTATTTTTCTCACTCTTCTTATTTTTTTAGCATAACAATGTTTCTTTCTCTCTCACTCACATTTTAAAGAGGTGTTGCAAAGTTTTATCAATTGAATCAACCCAGCACACAAGACCACACTTTGATTCTCAGATACTGCCATCAATCAATCAAGGGTGTTATATTTATTTATTAACATATACTTATTGCTCCTACTGCTTCTACTACTACTACTACTACTACCACCACCACCACTGGAGCAACCACACTATGTCCTCCTCATCAAAACCTACTTTCAAAGGATCCACGTCTGCTAGATTTGTTAAAAATGACAAACGATCTAAATACCAAACTAGTCAGTATAGATCACGAAAACATCAGGAACCAGAGGACCCATACAAAGCTAATAATCCCATGCTCACAGACTCAATTCAAAAAAAGGATCTAGTCACGAGAATAGATCAAATGGATTCATTAATGGGGTTTGACCGATTTGAACATGGTGAAAATGATGGTAATAAACCACGCAAAGGATGGTTGATCAATATGCATGCAACTACTATACCGAGTGATGGTTATTTAACCGGTTATTCTGGTGTTGACTATTACTTTTTAGATGAAGAAGGTGGAAGTTTTAAAGCTACACTACAATACGATCCATATTTCTTTATTGAAACAATTGCACCTGGACACGAGTCTGAAGTTGAAGAATGGATGAGGAAACACCTCGAGATTTGCAATGTCAAGAGTTTTGGACGAGTCACAAAGGAAGACTTATCACTACCGAATCATTTGCTTGGATTGAAAAAGAACTTGATTAAATTGACATTCCATAATATTCAGGATTTACTATCAGCAAGAAGACTACTTACCCCAATTATCAAAGATAATCAAATGAAACGGGAATCGAGAGATGTTTTCAATTTTTCCAATGAAGTTGATGCTTCTGATCCTTCACAACTAATCAGTGACATTAAGGAATATGATGTACCTTATCATGTTAGAGTATCCATTGACAAACAAGTGCGTGTTGGAAAATGGTACTACGTTTATGCCAAACATTCTAAAGTGGACATTGTCGAGGATAAAGAGAAGGTTGTGTTTCCTGATCCAGTTGTGTTGGCATTTGATATTGAAACCACAAAGGCTCCCTTGAAATTCCCTGATGCCAAAATTGATCAAGTAATGATGATTTCGTACATGATTGATGGCGAAGGGTTCTTGATTACTAATCGAGAGATTATCTCGGAAGATATTGAAGATTTCGAATACACACCAAAACCTGAATATCCTGGATTATTCACAATCTTTAACGAACAGGATGAAAAGCATGTATTGATGAGATTTTTTGAGCATATACGAGATGCAAGGCCTACAGTCATTGCTACTTTTAATGGTGATTTTTTTGATTGGCCATTTGTTGAAAATAGAGCCAGGTTTCATGACTTGGATATGTTTAATGAAATTGGGTTTGCCAAAGATAATGAAGGCGAATATAAATCAAAGTACTGTGTCCATATGGATTGTTTTAGATGGGTTAAAAGAGACTCTTACTTACCTCAAGGGTCGCAAGGTTTGAAAGCGGTCACTACTGCTAAATTGGGCTACAACCCAACTGAATTGGATCCAGAGTTGATGACGCCTTATGCTTATGAAAAACCCCAGCTATTGTCGGAGTATTCAGTTTCCGATGCGGTTGCAACTTATTACTTGTATTACAAGTACGTTCACCCATTCATTTTCTCATTGTGTACCATTATTCCGTTAAACCCTGATGAAGTGTTGCGTAAAGGTACAGGTACATTGTGTGAAATGTTGTTGTCAGTTCAAGCATATGAGAATAATATTTTGTTGCCCAATAAACATTCAGATCCAATTGAACGGTTTTATGACGGACATTTATTGGAGTCGGAAACCTATGTTGGTGGTCATGTTGAGTCATTGGAAGCAGGTGTATTTCGCAGTGATATTGAGACTGATTTCAAAGTAGATCCCACTGCCATTGATGAATTGTTGGGCAATTTGCACAACTCCATCAAATTTTGCATTGAAGTTGAAAACAACAAAAAGATGGAAGATGTTGAAAATTTCGACGAAGTTTATAACGAGATCAAGGAGACATTGTTGGATATGAAGAATAACCCAGTGAGGAAAGAAGTGCCATTAATTTACCACGTGGATGTTGCTTCCATGTACCCCAACATTATGACCTCCAATCGTTTACAACCAGACTCGATGAAAACGGAGGAGGATTGTGCTACATGTGATTTCAATCGACCTGGTAAGAACTGTGATAGGAGACTTCCTTGGTCATGGAGGGGTGAATACTACCCTGCAGAAATGAATGAATACAATATGATGAAACGAACATTACAGAATGAAAAGTTTCCCGGTCTAAAGCCGTGGTTACCACCTAGAACGTTTGATGAACTTTCGTATGCTGAGCAGGCCTCGGCCATCAAGAAAAGAGTTAGTGACTACTCAAGGAAAGTGTATCACAGAGTCAAACAAAGTCAAGTGGTTACTAGAGAGGCAATTATTTGTCAGCGAGAAAACCCATTCTATGTTGATACTGTGAGAAGCTTTAGAGATAGAAGATACGAGTTTAAAGGTTTGGCCAAAGTTTGGAAGGGCAAAGTAAACAAAATTGATCGCAATGATAAAGCTGCAAGAGATGATGCAAACAAAATGGTGGTATTGTATGACTCCTTGCAATTGGCTCACAAAGTCATTTTGAATTCATTTTATGGGTATGTCATGAGAAAAGGTTCGAGGTGGTACTCCATGGAAATGGCTGGTGTCACTTGTTTAACTGGTGCCACAATCATTCAAATGGCCAGGGCGTTGGTTGAACGTATTGGACGACCATTGGAATTGGATACTGATGGTATTTGGTGTATTTTGCCCAAAAGCTTCCCCGAAAACTTTAATTTGAAATGTAAAGATGGGAAAAAGATCTTTTTGGAGTATCCTTGTTCAATGTTGAACTACTTGGTTCATGAAAGGTTCACTAATGATCAGTATCAGGATTTAGTTGATCCGGAAACGTTCAAATACAAGACCAGATCGGATAACTCCATTTTCTTTGAAGTGGATGGGCCTTACAAAGCCATGATCTTGCCAACTTCGAAAGAAGAAGGTAAAGGGTTAAAGAAAAGATATGCCGTGTTTAATGATGATGGCTCGTTAGCAGAGTTAAAGGGGTTTGAATTGAAGAGAAGAGGTGAGCTTCAATTGATCAAGAATTTCCAATCAGATATATTCAAATTGTTTTTGGAAGGTGACAGCTTGGAATCTTGTTATCAGGCAGTGGCTACTGTGGCCAATAATTGGCTCGATGTATTGGACACAAAAGGTGGCATGTTGGAAGATGAAGATCTCATTGAACTTATTTGTGAAAATCGAAGTATGTCCAAAAGTTTGGCGGAATATGGGGATCAAAAATCAACATCAATCACAACAGCAAGACGATTGGGTGAATTCTTGGGAGAAGATATGGTCAAGGATGCTGGTTTGGCAACAAAGTACATTATCAGTGCCAAGCCGATTGGTGCTCCAGTTACTGAGAGAGCAATCCCAGTTTCAATTTTTTCGTCAGAGAAGAAGGAGATATTCATGAAGAAATGGCTCAAAGATCCATCTTTGAACAAGTTTAGTCCCAGGGATGTAATTGATTGGGGTTACTACTATGAGAGGTTGGCATCAGTGGTGCAAAAAATCATCACCATCCCAGCTGCTTTGCAAAATGTGAAAAACCCAGTTCCTAGAGTACCCCACCCTGATTGGATGAGGAAACGAGTGGAAAACAGAGAAAGCTCCAAACAACAAAAATCAATAGGACAATTTTTCAATGCAGCAACCAAGGATGACAACAAGGTTCAGGATATTGAAGACTTTGGTGAAATTGATACGGGAGCAGTCAAGGCTAAAATGAGCTCAGTCAAATTGAGGAAAAGAAAAGCTGGAAGGGCCAATTTGGTTTATGATTCTGAAGAGGAGGAGAAAAACCAGGCAATCTTGAATGGAACTTGTCCCGACATGACTAAAGATTACGTTGGATTCTTGCTATTTCAAAAAGCCAAATGGGCAATGCAAGCTTCAAGTAGGGAAAGAAGACGCAAACTTTTCGGCTCTCAAGCGCAAAGTGCTCAAAGATCAACTGTTGGTGGCATGATGAGAAAGCAAGCAGAAAATATTGCTGGAAGCAATTGGGAAATACTTGAATACAAGCCAGATCCGATGAAACCAGGAGATTTGAAAGTTTATGTTTCAGCTGGAGAAAAGATTCATACTTTTAATTTCCACGTACCAAAAAGGGTTTATGCTTCCTTCAAAAGTCCACTCACTGCAAAGCAATCCATTGTTGGATGTGAAATTGAAAAATCAAATGCCATTTTACCCAATTCGCATGACGCCACGAATTTGTACAAATTTACCATGCCCCAATCAATTTATCAAGACCAAATTGCTGATGTTGATAGCGTGTTTCAAAGCTCAAATATATTAGGTATCTATGAAGCCAATGTCGAACCAATTGAGCGGGCGGTAATTGAGTTGGGAAACACCGTCAAGTTTGATGACACCAAAGTTGGAGCTCTTGGTAAAGGATTAAAAAACGGCTTCAACACTAAGGAGTTGTTGAAAGTTGAAAATGATGCCTATTTGAATAAATTTGATATGGATGTGGTTTACCTTCTTCATATTGTCACCAATAGTTATGAATACTATACCATTTTCAAATCTTGGGATAATCAATGTGCAATGTTTGTTTTGAAACCCACTGCGAATGCCCAAGAATTACCAAACAATATTTCAAAAATCTATGGTGAGGTATTTGAGAATAAACGGGAGAAATTAAAGAAAATGTCACGTGTTATTGACTATCCAGATGAGATGGCATTTGATGTACTGTATTTTCATGATAAATTGAAGTTGTTGAAGAAAGTGAATCAAGCAATTGGAAAGATTCACGAAAGTCGAAGCAATAAGGCGTTGTTGGCTATCCAATCACCGTACATTTCCAAGATTGTACCCCTTTTAACCTCTGTTGCTGAATTCCCCACTATTAAAATGGCCATTAGTGAACTCACACTTCCAGCAATTGGATGGCAAGTTTTGATTTCCAAACGAGTAATGAATCACTACTTTGCATTGGCTTCGTGGATCAAGAATTTGATTGCATTGTCGAAATATGGGCGAGTACCACTTTGTAATTTACAAATTGAAAATGTTGGTTACTTGATTGATGTGGAATACGCAAGAAGATTGACTGAAAACAATATTGTGCTTTGGTGGTCACCAAATCCTTTACCTGATCATGGTGGGTTTGAAATGGATCGTGTACTCAACTTGGAATCGTTGGAGTTCCCCACAATCAATAATTCTGAGGTTTACGAAACCACTTGTTTGGAAGTTGAGATTGGAACATTAACAATCAATACAATTTTGACCAGTTCTTTGATTAATGAAGCTGAAGGTACCGATTTGGCTGAAGATGGGGTCCAATTTGATAATAATCATGGAGCTTCAACGTTTGCAGAAGACTCATTTTCTTCGCCAGCACTCTCATTATTGAGAAGTATGGTCAAAGATTGGTGGGATGATGCACTTGGAAATAACGTCAATGCTGATTTTGTCATGAGTGCATTAATCACTTGGGTTCAAAAGAAGGATTCATTCTTGTACGATCCTTCATTACATTACCATGTGCACAATTTGAGTTCGAAAGCATTATTGCAGTTGGTTAGCGAGTTCAAGCGAATGGGGGCACAGGTTATTTTTGCCAATAGAACGAAAATGTTGATTCAAACTTCAAAAGTGTCTGTGGAGAATTCATTCGCTTATGGACAATATATTTTGAAAGCAGCTAGATCTAAACCGCTTTTCAATTTTCTTGACTTGAAGATTGTCAAGTACTGGGATATTTTGATTTGGATGGATGAGTTTAATTATGGAGGAAGAGGTTGTATTGAAATCACTCGTGAAGAAAGACAAGAGCTAGTAGTGGAGAACAATTGGCAAATTAAAAAGTTTCTCCCCATTGTTTTCCAGAATGAATTTGAAGATTGGATCTTTATCTTTTTGGATGCATTGTCTCAATATAAGGCCAAGAATTTGACTGGTGCTGGTGCTGGTGCTGGTGCTGGTGCTGGTGCTGGCGGTGCTACACAATTTGGTACCCCTAGAGTGACCCAGATTTTCCATATTTTGAATGGACAAAAGAAGTTGCAAACTCAAGAAATACAAGAAGTTGATAATCTCGATAATGGGGTTATTGAGATTTTCAGAAAACCATTGCAAAAGAGAATTGAGAAATTGTATCGCAAACAAATTGATTCTATAATCAATCCTGAGTTCAAAAAGGAGTATGAGTTCCCCAATTTACCTGGATCATATTTAAAGATGAGAAATCCAGCTTTGGAATTAGTCAAGTTTATTTGTGCTGTTTTCAGTTTATCTAAAAATAGGAATATCGAAGTACGATTATTGAAAAAGGAATTATTGCAAATATTTGATGTTAAGGAATTCAGTTCTCAAGCAAATTTCATCAATCCCAGTACATCATTGAGGCTACCTCATGTCATATGTGATTATTGTAATCATATTAGGGATGTTGATTTATGTCGTGATGAAGAGATTAATGTTTGGAATTGTACTGCTTGTCATCGACCATATAACAAGATTGCGTTGGAGGAAGAAACCATTGCAAGGTTGATGAAGATACTTACTGATTTTTACAGTCAAGATTTACAATGTGATAAATGTGGTTCTATAAGACAAGGGAATTTGGATTTATTTTGTACGTGTTCTGGTAATTGGGTTGAAACTGTGAATCATGCTGAAGTTGATAAGTGGGTGCAAGTGTTTGCCAATGTTGGCAAGTATTACAATATGCAGCTTTTGAATGGTGTGTTGGAGGAGATGATATAAAGGGGGGGAGAGAGGAGGTGTATAGATTATAGACTAAATCTTTTTGTGTAATACAAGTGTGTCGCGTAGAGAATTGAAAATATAACAATAACGGAAGCACGAATAGAGAAAAACCATTCCAACAAACATTAGACCACGACTATCAAAGCAACGGTATTGACCACCCATGAGTTTAACTACAGAAGAGCTTAGCCACCTCAAATTGAAGATAAAAGAACGAGATTTTGAAATTAGTGCTCTCAATGCATTCATCAATAGAGATGCCAATTTATCTTCACCATGTGTATTGATAAATGGGTACAAGCCAATTGGCAAAACCCTCGTGGTGACCGAATTTCTCAAAACAATACAATTGAACCATACACTTATCAAATGTGATGAATGTGTATCGAAACAGATGTTACTACAGAGATGTTTCACAAGGATACGAAGGGATGGGTGTGACGCCAATGGTAATGATGAGGAAGACGGACAATCAACATTACTGAAGGCTGATGAAGTGGCATTAACCCTGTCCATTTCCGATCAATTTTCCACTTTTGTATCATCATTGGAAACTTTGTTTCATGCAACTAGATACAAATCTCATCATGTATTGGTATTGGATCGTTTTGATCAATGTTTGGACAATTGCACTGAATTTATTGCCGCTTTTAGTAAAATGAGAGAGTGTTCGACATTGGTGCAGAATTTATCAGTGATTATTGTGTTTAGCAGTGGTATACCTCGACAAGTGGTGACATTGTCTAACCCGTTGATTGAGTTTGAACCCTATACTGAAGACCAAGTGGTGAAGATTTTGCAAAATGCACGATTGTGTCAGTTTCAAGCAAGCAGTATGGCACGAGATGATGGTGAAGAAAATGATGTTCCAGAGTCAACCAAGAGGGAGTTTTATAACCAGTATGTCAAATTTGTTGTTGATCTGTATTACCTGTACACTGGTTCCAATATGGTTATGTTGCAACATTTAGTGGTTGAGTTATGGGGTAAATTTATTGAACCTATTCAAAATGGGATGTTTTCGATTTACGAAATTGTTAAAGTTTTCAAACATAATATTGATTTGTTTACTAATGATAAGATTATTAGTAATTCGTCAGTGCCAGATTACAAAACGCTACACGATGGTGACGATGATGGGGAAAGAGAAGAAGGACAAGAAAATGGCAATGGTGGTGTCACCACCAACGATTATGGAGAACCAGTTGGACTTGGAAATGTTCAAGATTTACCCTATCATTCCAAATTCATTCTTTTAGCAGCATACTTGGCATCATATGGAAACCAACGGAATGACCTCCACAAATACTCCAAAGTGAAAGTAGTCAAGTACAAAAAACGTGCCAGTCCCAAAAAGATGAAACGACAAAAATTGAATGGTGGCTCCAATGAATCTGCTCACTTGACTAGAGATGATATCGATTCACGCATGTTGACAGCAAATTATGTCGATTTAGAACGAATCTTGGCCATATTATCAGTGATTTACCAACATTCTTCACAAACATTGAATCAATCCGATAAGAATGATTTGTTGTATTTGGGTGATGAAATTATTGATTTGGAAAATAAAAAACAATTGGAAAAGGCCAATTTTACATTGACGAAAAATATCGATTTGAATTTACAAATTGCCACATTGTATTCATTGGGATTTTTAAGCAAGACCAATAATTCTGATATTTTGGCAGCTCGGATTCGATGGAAGTGTAATTTGGATTGGAATATGGCGGAAGCTATTGCCAAGTCGATTGATTTCCCTATTGCTGATTTCTTGGATGATGATTGATGGAAAAAGGCTGTGGGTCCTTTAAAAGCGCATAAGCGCATAAGCCCATGCAGCAACCCATTCTTGTGATAGTGATAGTGATAGTGATGATTAGTTACGATTCCTCGCTGAAGGACATTTCTTGTATATGTTTGAATTCGCCGTCACCAACTTTACGTACTTCAACGTTGTTTTCAAAATAATTTTGTTTCCAGTAATTCATTTCATAACTGGAAAATGGACCATTGATGATGTTGGCTTCATCATTTAACCATTTGAATTCCCATATTTTTTCACCGTAATCTTCATCGTCCTCTTTGAAAACTTCCTCGTTGGAAACTTGCTCGTGTTCAGGTTGATAAATTCCATTGCCACTTGAGATGTCATTGTCGTTTTCTCTCGATCGTTTCAACTTTGTATGCCTATACTCTTGTCCTGTTTTAGATTGGTATTTTCTCATAAATTCTTCTCTTGTCGTATCGTATACTTCCTCGTCATCCATCCCCTTTTCATTGATCAATATTGAACAAAAATTGGTAATTTGAGATATGCAGTCTTTGATAATTGATGAGTCTAGTTGGTTCTTGTTTAATTGTCTCCTGTTTTTTTTCTTTTTGGTTGGGTTCTTCTTTCTATGTTGAGCATTTAGTCGAGCCAACGCTTCCATTGGAGTTTCAACCGGTTCTAATAACTCAATCAAAGAAGCTAGAGTACTTTCAATTGGATCTATACTGACACTTGTGGTTGTCCTTTGTCGTTCACTGGCATCTTGTACTCGTTTAGCTTGAGCTAGTTTGGCTTTACGGATATCTGATTTGGTATAGTTCCTAGCCCACGAATCTTCATCTTGAAATTTATCCAGATCATCAGATACATCTCCTTCTGACTTATTAGCGATATAGTTTCCCACGTTATCGAAATGACCATCACGTTCTTCTTGATCCATATTGAATGCTTCGATCTTTGGTTGTTTCTTGTTCTTCAGGGTTCGTTGTTGTGATGAGGTGGTAAAATTTTCAGCATTGATGTAGTAGTCGTTGGTGGTTTCTTCGTTTTCGGAGTCCAGTTCGGTTGCGTTTGTGAAAGAGAGGTCACTGGTGGTGGGTTGTAGATATACAGTTTGGGTATCATTGGAAAATTTAACCTGTTTGGATCGCTTTGTGCCGTTGATGTGGTCGCTTCCATCGCTAGCAAACATGTCGTCATCATCACTATCATCAGGGACAGGTGCATGATGTGATTTGTCTTCGTCTTCACTGGCGAACATATCATCTTCACCTTCAAATACGTTGGAAGTATCTAACTTGTTTTCTTCGTCTGATGAAAGAACGGAACCTTCACTTGAAGAGTCGTAATCTCCATCTTCAACGTAAGCCCCATTTCCATTAAGACTGGTCACTTCATTTTCATGATCACCTATATCATGTCGTAGACTCATCTTGTACTTTGATGAAAAGTCAAAAAGATTGTAAATTTCCCGCGCATCGCAAAAAAGTTAACTTTGAAAATCTTTGAGACTCCCCCTACACATTCCCCAAATGGCAGATTCACCAAATGATATCGATATCGATATCGAGACTGATGAAATACTAAACTTGGAACAAGAACAATATCAAATAGGGTATCAAGAAGGAGTCGAACAATCTGCAAAAGAACAGTATCTCGAAGGTAAGCAATTTGGCTACCAAACAGGATTTCAAAGATTTTTAATAGTAGGGTATATCCGAGGACTTGTGGAAGATTGGGAGAGCCACATATCTGAATATGGTTCCATTGAATCCACATTAAGGAATCATTTAAAACAATTGAAAAATTGTCTCGATGGCCTACTGATGATAAATGATGAAGATTCAGTAGCACAATTCGAAATACAATTGAAAAAAGTCAGAAACAAACTAAGAGTCATTTGTCAATTGAATAAGGAGAGTTGGAAGATTAATGACCTTGATAAGTTGGTTGAACAAGTTGGTGGGTCAATGCAAGTCAGTGAAAATGTTGTTGAAATGTGGTGAATCCAAGTAGAGAAAGCACAAAATTGCGTTTCGTAGGTTTATTCTCTTTGTGCTAGTGGTTAGGGCAAGCCAACTTTTGGCTTTGAAGATGGAACGAATCAAGGTAATTTCACAACTGAGGAGGAATAAAGAGCATTCGTGTTGTCTCTTACTTTTTGTTGATCATTCATATTTTTTTTCCTATTCCGTCCGATTGGTACTTTATTCAAGGATTCGTGCCAGCATTAGGAGATAAGAAAAACAATAACAAGAGAGGGATAAGGTTTTTGAGCTTCTAATAATAGCTATTCAACCATATTTGTGAGCAAGTTCATCTGGAGTTTAACTTCCGGTAATGACTTTTAAATAGTCAAGTACTCAAAACGCAAATTAAAACGTAAAAAAGTGATGCATCTTGATTAATACGATGACGTATGTGTTTAAGCCCTATCTAGTTTAGTCTCTCTGTAAAGTTGTACTAAAAATAAACACCTTGTCTAATATTATATAGAAGCTGTCAAGTGATAAAAGTTAGGTAAACATAAATTGCTATATGCTACTTTGTTTAGCATATGAGCCAAAGTCGATGAAAATAGAGAGAAGAAAAATCTCGGGGGCCGGAATGATGATGGCTTTAGTTCCGTTCCGAATAAACTTTTTCCTAACACAATGCTCTTTGGTTTTTTATGTAAGAGCAGCTATTGGGACTTTTTGCTACATTGTTTTTCGCCGTTTACCAAAAGGGCATTCATCTCGGCAATTTGGAAGAGATATACACCGAGACTTGTAAATATGTAAGGGTCGGAATATGTCGGTGTACTTGAAATTTTAATTTGTTCTTTGTACTAACTTCCAATTAAGTTAAGAGATACGAGTCGGTAAACCAAAAAAATCCAGTTGCTTTTACTATTAATACTTGCGAGGCTTGGCTTCTTCCTATTGTTATTATGAGTTATTGTGTTCTTTTTTTTAATGCCGTTATTTTCTATTGTTGAACGTCGGATTAGGAAATAATAAACTCCGTACTTTTGAACATATGAACAACTATCGACTAAACACCGACTTCCCCTCATTCACAAATATTCTTTTGCTTTCCGCTTTATTCAATACAGTTATAATATGTATACTGATCATACCATTGGTGCACTACCTTTCATGTATTATCATACCGCCACCACTCTACAACTCTTTTTATACTACCATACACATATAGTATAATGTACGTGTATGCATGCACAAAAGATATTATTTTGGGTGGCAAAAATTCCGTTTCAGTCTTACAACCACAAACCACAAACTAGCAAATGAAACCGCATACATTACATATTACACTAAAGGAACAAGAAGAAGAAGAAGGAGAGGAAGAACAATACCAAAGAGCGATATGTACAATGTGTTAAAGCAATATTGATCCCGTGCTACACCGATTTTTTGAAGCCGTATGCCACAGGCATATACACACACACTAACAACTTTTTGACTCATTTGTTTATTCATAATAATAATAACGATAATCACACAACAACAATAACAACAACCATAGCCACACTAGATTAAAGCCCAATATATAAGGAGCGACAATCGATCTCGTTTAACTCATCCTTATCTACTAGCCTACCACTGCTATTGCTGCTATTACAACCACACTTACACAAATTGATTAATCAAAAATTCACTTTCCACCAATGGATGATTCAAGTTTGGAGATTGGTAACGACTTGTACAAGCCACAGAAGCGTATATTGACGTTTCTTTTTGGCAAAAAGTTTTATCCTATACCTAAAGATGACAGTGAACGCAAAGTTTATCCAGAACAATCGAGTAATATCTTGTACCGAGTGTTTTTTTGGTGGGTTTCACCATTGATGACAATTGGGTATACTAGAACATTACAGCCAAATGATTTATGGATCTTGACTGAAGATATGAAGGTGGAACATTTTTACAATTACTTTGTCACTTATTTACAACTTGAAACTGAACGTGCTCATCTTAACCATATTGCCAATAAATGCAAAGAACGTGATGAAACTCCTGAAACTACCACAGTAACACGCGAGGAGGATTTGCAAGATTTTGTTTTATCGCCAATGAATATTGCATCCATCTTGTTTCTCACATTCAAACGTCAAATTTTGATTAGTTTGATTCTTGCTATTTTTGCCTTGAGTGGAATTGCTTGCTCCCCATTATTGACTAAAGAGTTGATCAATTTTGTTGAAAGAAGAAGTTTGGGGTTGAATACAAACATTGGTCAGGGAATTGGTTACTCTCTTGGAGTTGTGTTTATGATGCTTTTCAGTAATTTAATGTTTAATCATTTCATGTATATCGGTCAACTGATGGGTGCACTAGTCAAAGCTTTATTAACAAAGGCGGTGTTGAACAAGGCTTTCAAATTCAATGCTGAATCGCGTCATAAGTTTCCTCAGAGTAAATTGACCAGTATTATCACTACTGACTTATCACGAGTGGAGATTGCTTGTATGTTTCAACCATTGTTGTTGTGTTTACCTGTCCCCATTGCTATTGCAATTGTCATATTAGTAGTCAACATTCGTGTTTCTGCTGTCATTGGTATTGTCATTTTCATCATCTTTTTGGGATGCATTTCATTTGGTGCCAAAAAACTTTTTGCTTACAGAGATGCTGTTAGCAAAATAACTGATAAACGTGTCAATTTCATGAAGGAGATTTTAAACAATTTGAAAATGATCAAGTTTTATCTGTGGGAACATCCATATCATGAAAATGTTCGCAAAATCCGTGGTGAAGAAGTTGATATGATTTTAAAGATTCAAACTTTGAGAAATGTCATTTTCTCATTGGCAATGACGTTGACTGGTATTTGTTCCATGATTGCATTTGTCATATTGTATGCCATTCAAGGATCAACTAGTTCTCCTGCAAAAATCTTTTCGTCTGTTTCAACGTTTGAGATTTTAGGTTTGATGGTGTTTTTTATACCACAAGCATTGGCTACTACTGCGGATATGATTAATGGGTTTAAACGGGTTGGGGCTATTTTATCTGCTGGTGAGGATAAGCCTTTTGAAGGGTATCATGTGTTTAATGATGAGATAGACAAAAAGGCCATTGCATTGAAGGACGCTAGCTTTAGCTGGGATGTATTTGAAGATGAAGAAGAGGAAGAAGAGGGAGAAGCAGAGAAGAAGAAGAAGGAGGAGAAGGGGGAGAAGGGGAAGAAAGGGAAGAGCATATTTAAGAAGTTCAAGAAAAAGGGAAAGAAGGACTCGAACATTGCAAGCTCCACTTCACTGAACGATATGGAATTAAGTATTTTGCAAAAACCCAACACAGATAAGCAAAAAAGAACCGATGTTGAAGAAGAGGGTACAAACTTTGTTGGTTTGAAAAACTTGAATCTCACTATCAATAAGGGAGAATTCATTGTCATAACCGGATTAGTTGGTTCCGGTAAATCATCATTACTTAGTGCCATTTCTGGATTCATGACATGTGATGCCGGTGAAGTTGATATTAATGGGGCTTTATTGCTTTGTGGTGCCCCCTGGATCCAAAACAACACAATAAGAGAAAACATTGTCTTTGGTAAACCGTTTGATCAGGAATTTTACGATAAAGTCATATACTCGTGCGCATTAAATATTGATTTAGATACATTGGAAGGTGGAGATCACACTGAGGTTGGAGAAAAGGGAATCACCCTATCAGGTGGTCAAAAAGCTAGAATCAATTTAGCACGTGCTGTCTATGCCAATAAGGAGATAATTCTAATGGATGATGTCTTGAGCGCTGTTGATGCCAGAGTTGGAAAACATATCCTCAATAATTGCTTTTTGGGTCTTTTGAGTAACAAGACTAGAGTGTTGGCAACACATCAATTGTCTTTGATTGGACAAGCTGATCGGATTGTATTCTTGAATGGGGACGGATCTATTGATGTGGGTAAAATGGATGAATTGGTCGAAAGAAATAGAGACTTTAATCAATTGATGAAATTTAGTAAACTTGAAGATATTGAAGAAGATTTAGAGCAAGAAGAAATCATCGAGGAGATTGACTTAGGAAACAAGGAAACAAAGACTGAATTGGTTCCAGCATTTCTGACTGGAGTTACTGACACATCTCAAGAATTGACAAGACGGAGAACAAACTATAAATTTGATAGCGACAACAGTGATGGTTATGATGATGACGAATACAAGGATTACAATCACAACAAGGATGCATCAAAGGGTAAAATCATTACTGAAGAAGAACGTGCTGTAAACAGTATCAAGTTTGAAGTTTACAACAAGTATTTGAAGTATGGTGCTGGAAAATTGACCCCTTGGGGATTCTTTGCCATATTTGCTGTTCTTCTAACGATTGCCACATTTTGTGATATCTTCACCAACACGTGGTTATCATTTTGGATTTCGCAAAAGTTTCCAGGTAAATCAAGTGGGTTTTACATTGGATTTTACGTCATGTTTAATATCTTGTGGGTTATTTTCTTAACATACACATTTGTGTTTTTCATTCATGGGACTACAGTGTCTTCAAAACACTTGAATTTGATGGCAATAAAAAGAATTCTTCATGCACCGATGTCATTTATGGACACCACACCAATGGGAAGAATATTGAATCGTTTCACCAAAGATACTGATGCGTTGGATAATGAAATTAGCGACAATTTGCGTCTTTTTTTTACAGCGATTGCCAAAATGATTGGTGTTTTCATTTTGATTATCATTTACTTACCATGGTTTGCTTGTGCTATACCTGGTATATTTATCATGTTTTTCTTGATTGCCAATTTTTATCAAGCATCAAATCGAGAAGTTAAACGATTGGAAGCTATTTTGAGATCGTTTGTGTACAACAATGTCAATGAAGTGTTGAGTGGAATGAATACAATTAAAGCCTATAAGGATGAACCAAGATTTACCGAGTTGGGAGACTTGTTACTAAACAAAGCAAATGAAGCTTCATTTGTGGTTAATGCTAATCAGAAGTGGTTGGGAATACAATTGGATATCCTTGCTGAGATTATTGTATTGATTGTGTCGTTGTTGTGTGTGAATCGGGTATTTTCAATCAATGCAGCAGCAGTTGGGTTATTGATGACTTATACATTGCAAGTTGCCAATGAATTGTTGAATTTAGTGAGAACATTTACCCTTGTTGAAAATGACATGAACTCAGCTGAAAGAATTATCCACTATGCATTGAAAGTTGATCAAGAAGCTCCTTATGTTATTGATTCCAATAAACCACCGGCTGATTGGCCACAGTATGGGGCTGTTGAGTTTTCCCATGTGAATATGAAGTATAGACCCGGATTACCCTTGGTTTTGAAAGATTTTTCACTAAATATTTCACCCATGGAGAAAATTGGCATCTGTGGTCGAACTGGAGCTGGTAAATCATCAATTATGACCGCATTGTATCGAATTTCCGAATTGGATAATGGGTCAATAATCATTGATAATATTGATATTTCCACCATCGGTTTGAAAGATTTACGATCACACTTATCAATTATCCCACAAGATCCCGTTTTGTTTAATGGGACTATTCGATCCAACTTGGATCCATTTGGCGAGCAAGAAGATGAAGTCTTGTGGGAGTCGCTTCGTCGATCAGGTGTTTTAACAGCAGAAGAAGTTGCCAAAGCCAAATCCATATCCAAGGACACCATCACCTCTGGGGACTGTGAAGTTGAATTACCCAAATTCCACTTGTACCAACCAGTTGAAGATGAAGGTGAAAACTTTTCACTTGGTGAACGACAATTGATTTCATTTGCACGAGCATTGGTTCGTAATGCCAAAATCATTATTCTTGATGAAGCTACTTCCTCAGTTGATTATGGAACTGATGACAAGATCCAAACTACCATTGCTGAAGAATTCAAACAATGCACTATTTTGTGTATTGCTCATCGTTTAAAAACAATAATCAATTATGACAAGATTTTGGTTATGGATAAAGGATCGGTGAGAGAGTTTGACACACCTTGGAATTTGTATAATTCAAATGGTAGTGTATTTAGAGAAATGTGTGAAAAGTCCAACATTGTTGCTGATGATTTCAAGAGGAGGTGATTGGGATAGGATTATGGTGGATTGTTTTTACACAAGGATTGACATGTACATATAGGTGTTTATCTACATGTATAAAATATAAAGTTATTAGAGTATGATATATATATATATCGTTTGTACATTTTGTGTGATGGTCAATGAAATAACCGCCAAACAGAAGAAAAAAAAAAAGGACTTTGTTGCTTATTTTCTTGTTGCAAAATGAAAAACAATTGAAATAAAATTGTTTTTAATATTCGAAAGCCAAGATACAACCAACTTGGAAAGCACAAAAAAGCTTAATTATTTTTTGATGAGAGTATATTTGATGTAACAATGTCAAGGAAACGGGGACCTGCGGCCGAAGAAAAGAAATTGGTTTCAACTTTAATTCAAAAATGTTCGTATATTCATTTGACAGGTTTTCCTTCTTCTGTTGACATGCATTTTGGTTTGCTAAGACGAATGAGTACTCTGTTTTGCATTGAGGCTCTTCAATGCTTTTGTATGAACTGTTGGAATGTTTGCTGGATAGATTGAGGCGCTCGATATATTGCTTTTGCGTTCGATTCGTTGATGTGTGTATTCATACACTGAGTAATCACTTCGAATTCCTTTCTAAGGCGGTTTTTCTTGCTTTGACAAAGGCAACTAGAAGCTCTTGTGAGGTAAGACCTTCTTTTTCTTTCATTGAAGACTTTTCACATTCACAAAGTTTATTGCTTCAGTTTTCATAAGTTTGGACTAAAATCACAAAACCAAACTTCAATTTTGGTAAAGACCATGGGCGGATTGACGGTTGAAGTGGGCAGCTCTTCAACTTTATTATAATTTGGTATTTTCACCTTCCTTGTGACACTTCCCCTATGAAAGCCAAGGTAATATTGAATTCCACCGTCCTTTATTATTATTGCTTGGTGGCAAAACAAAATAACTCGACAACAATAATCTTACCCTATATATGGCTCGAATTATCCCACTTTCATCTTTTCCTGATCTCTTGTTTTTGTTTCCTCTTTCTTTGATATTGCATTTCCTTGCATAAAATTATCCTAGATCTTATCCTAGATCTGACACGTTTAAAATATGGATGATCTCGACAAGGAAGATCGTGGCAACACTTCAACTGATCCAACTTCCAACTTTATAACCGATCAAGAATTGGAGAATGTGACACAGTCCAGCTCTTGTGTACAACCATGCAAGAAGCAAACTGAGACTACTTGTCCCCAACACCAAACAAATTTGGAAAGCCTTTCTTTGAATCAAGTATCAGCACCACTTATAGCAGTAACAACAGTAGCTGCAACAGCTGCAGCAGCAAAAACAACAACTGCAACTGCTGCAACTGCAACTGCAACAACTGCAACTGCAACAACTGCAACTGCAACAACTGCAACATCACTGGCCCAACCAGATGCTAAAACTAATCAATTGCTCCCTACCACATCATTCACATTCCGAAACCCCATCATCTCGGAAGCTGAACAGACTCTACTAAATAAATTTGAAACTGAAGTCATGACCAATAAAGACGTCCAAGCATCACTTGAAAAATTGAAAATTGAAACCAAGGATAAATACTTGTACCAAATTAGAAGATACATCAGATTCTGTGCCAATAAGGGACAAAGCAATTTTTACGTCACGACCCAACTAGCTCAAGAAATGATTGCAAATGAAGCTGTGAAAAAAAGGGGTGTTGTTGTTTCTCACAATTTGACTGAAAATACAATTCGTAGTATTCGATCACCATTGAATAAATTATACTTTATGAATAAAATTGTTTATGGTGATCAACAACAAAATGAACTATTAGGGGAACAATTTATACAGCACATGATTGGTTCAGTGACTCAAAAAGAGAAGCCTGGTAACGATGATGAGGATAAGGATCGTAGTGGGGTAGAGAACAAGGATGACAGACATAAAAAAGAGAAGAATCAAGTGGTTGAAGATGAGGCAGTGGATTGTGAATCCAATTTAAAGGCACAAATGGCTGACAAAGCAAATAGAGATTCTTCTTCAATTTCATCCATTGTGTTAACACTAAACACAGACTCAGTAACCAGTGCGAGCTCAAAATCTTTTGGTCTAAGTGGCAATTCCAAACATCGACTTTCAGAAAGTGAAGAATCACTTTTGCGCAAATTTGATCAAGAGATCCTCGCTAACCCAAAAACTCAAGAAATATTATCAAATCTCACTGGCAATACATTCAAATCGTATGCCACTGATATTAAGCGATTTATCAGGTATTGTGCACGAAAGGGTAAAAAGGATTTCTTGATTGATGATGACATACTAACGAGATTCTTGTCTTTTCAAACCAGCAAGGGTACTGCGAATAGCGGAAGCAGCAATCGAAGATACAGTTTGAGAAATACGAGAACAAGCTTACTCAAGTTGCACCAGTTAAATTGTTTGGCTTATGACTTGGAATTTTCTGAAGGGGATATTGTTCTTACACTAAACAAGTTTCTAGATGCCACAGACAACGCCACAGATACACTACAGCAGTTGCAGGTGAGTCAGCTGGAAGCCATACACGATTTGGGGTCTGAAGATGATCCATTACTTGTCAAACTACAACAATACTACAAATCCTCAACTGTCCTTGATGGTTTGTCTGATCAAAGTAGAAAACTCTATGCGAATGAATTTAACCGCTATGCGTTGTTCTGTTCACAAAGAGGTTTGCAACATTTTTATTTAACTGGAGACCTAATCAAGCAATACTTTGTTAAAGAAGTCATTGCTCATACACCGACAATATCAGCCAAAAAATTAAAAGAGATTTTAAGTCGATTAAACCGTTTGCATAATTTGAATATCGAAATCGATCCAGCAAACACTCCCAAACAAGTTGAAAATATTCAAGTGGTTAAAGACTTCTTGAATGATTATACTTCGAAGTCACATTCAGATTCATTAGCGCAGGGTAGTTCTAGCGGTGGTGGGAATAGTGGTAGAGGTGGTCCTCTAGGAACAAATACAAGTGCGATTGGAGGCGACGGAAACGGTGCCAGTAGCTCGAGCACTATTGGAAGTGGAAGTGGAAGTGGTAATGGTAATGGGGCTGACACTTTATCTGGTGCATCAACATCAGGGTTGTCCGTTAGTTCAGGTTTACCTCAATTGCATTTTACAAACAATCCAACTGCTGTACTCTCGGGTCTGCTGCTGCTGTTGTCATCAGAACAACCAAGTGGTGGAGAACTATCCAGTTTGTTGAAAAAACCATCCTCACTGCAAACCCCCAAATCAAGATTGAAATCTTCGTTTCAATCATATAGTTCAAGATCGGAAATCATCGATACCACGCGTGGTGGTGGAAACTCCAGTGGTGAAGTTGGGGGCGATGTAAAAGAAAACACTGGCAGTTACGGAATCGGAAGGGATCTAGTGGTTTCTTCTTCTCAGCAAATGTTGCAAATGGTTGATGAAAAATCACAAATCGACAACGTGTATGAATCTATTGCCAGTGAGGAGGATGACATCGACTATAGCGAGTCCGAACCTAAACCCATGACATCTATACTCAAAAGGGGTCTTAATCGAGACTCACAAGAACCTAAAGATACACATGATCTTCCTCGCTCTTCTCAAGTTTCTTCCTCCGCCTCAAAACGTCAAAAACTTGAAATCTTACCCGAGACCAATGACTCTGTCCCCAAATTCGTTATGAATCAAGGCATTGAATCAATAACTCAACTACTCGAAGAATGGACATTGATTATAAAACGTAATGGAAAGTACGGATTAGCTTGGATCAAAACTGCAAATGATTTGCAACTTTACAATAATCGTAAATTAATCATTTCTTTGATGGAGGAAGTTATACCAACAATGAATGAGAATCATAAGGGGAAAAAGCTAGAGGAGATTTATTTACTTGGTGGTGATGCTGGTGAACTGGATTTGTTTGAACTTGCATTGGTTTTCGATGAATACCTTCATCGCAAGAATTTGACTATTGATGATTTGATCAAAAAGATTGAAAATTATCCTAGTTATGTGAAGCGTGAGTTCTTGAGGATCTTGTCAAGGAGGAAGAGAACTGCTGCTTCCGCTGCAGCCGCTACTGGTGTTGGTGGTGTGACGTCATTTGGTACTTACTCGTCTTCATCCTCCCAGCCTAGTAGCAATATACCTCCACCTTGATTTGAGTGAAATAATTATCAACGGCCGATCCAATCAGATAATTCTCCGATACTCAAATGACGTAAAATTCTTTTAAAGTTGCGAGAATTTCGCGGTTTACAAAAATTTATGTTTATTTTGCGACATTGGCAAACGGAAATATTTTTAATTTTTTTTTTAATCCACAGTTTGTCTTTCTTACTAACATTAATAATCAGAGAACAATTGTCATAGACCAACATACTTATCTCATAGCAGGCAAATATATTCAACAGCTACGTTGTCCAATTCAATAATAAGCTAATATGTCACACAAGTATCATTTCGATGTCACCATGTCCTGTTCAGGATGTTCTGGAGCTATTGAACGAGTATTAAAGAAACAAGATGGAATTGCCAACTATCAAGTCTCCTTGGAGAACCAAACTGTTGATGTTGAAACCGATAAGGATTACGATACAATTTACAATGTAATTCAAAAAACTGGTAAAAAGATTAATGGTGGGAAAGTTGTGAGTTAGAGGAAATATACATTTTGTATAGAAATCTTGGGAAACATTTTTAGATTTTGTTTAATCTTTGGGAACGTATATTCAAGTTCAAAAAGGATTTGTCACTCTAATGTTAGCCTATGGTCTCTCAACTCATATTCCTAAATTCAATGATTTCGTTGATATAATTGTCCCTGATTTCGCTTTGAATGAAAATACTTCTGATCATATTAACCATTTCACCAGTGGCTAAATCAAATAATTCACCTTGATAAAAGCGATCAATTATATCTTTCAAATGGTTATTCAATAGAAACCTGACATTATTTGCTTTATTGAATGAGTCAATTGATGATTTGGATACTCCAATTTCACCCAAAATGGGAATAGTTATATTGTTTAAATTGTCAATTAGGAGACTGTACAATAAACATTGATTTTCACTAATGTCATCAATTGTAAATATCAATTGTATTAACCACATATTGGCAAAATCAACCAACTCTGTAATCAATTGCTGAAATTTACCAAAATTGGTTTGACGAAATTGTCTTGATTCAAAGAATGTTTGAAACCATTTGTAAATCAAACTCAATTGATTAAGATTGTAATCGTCCAAAATTTCATCTTCCATATCAACTTCTGACTCTAAATTTAAGGAAGAGATTAATGTCTTCAATTCTTGAATAAACTGCAAAGTCATTTGATTCCAATTGCTATCAATGAACGAAATTAGTGAGTTATCTCCAGTGATTTGAGCTAGCTTTATAAAATCATTATACATAACAAATGAAGATGCCAACGATGGATATTGAACTAGGGAAAGCGCTTTGATGGTAGATACCAAATAGCTTATATCTTTGGAGTATTTTGAGTATTGTTTGAATAAAAGCTCTAGCTGTTGTGGAATTTGTGATATTTTAACTTGACCGTGTTTTTGCAAATCTTCTCGCTGTTTCAACTGTGGTGAATCATTTGCTTGATTCTCTTCTTCTTCCTCATCCCATCCGTCGTCCCAGCTCTCGTTCCAATCAGTGTCATTATCATTCGTTATGGTATCCTCGCGTTTCTCCCTTACTTCTTCTTGAACTTCCTTCAACTCGGTGAAATGCGACGATGTATTCAAAACTGTTTTTATTTTTCCAACATAGTCATCAATGATCCAATCTATATGTAACTTGTTCAACCGTTCTTCCATTGTCCCACTTCCTTCAATCTTGTTTAGAAAATTCCAACCATTATCTTCACAAAGTATCATTAATGCATTCAATTGATTGATTTGCTCTTGATCACGAATGATCTTTTCAACATTTTGAAACAATTGACCAGCAACTAATTTGGATATTTTCGAATTCAAATAATTCTTAATTTGTGCATGATTGATCTTATTGATAAAAGTAACAAAGTTGATTAATGATGAAATAAAGTCCGTTCCTTCCACTTCCTTCATTTCCAATTGTTCATCATCTTCTTCATTATTACTACCACCACCATTATAGACTAACTTTATTTCGTGACTATGAAACATCCGATCGATTAGCTCATCCCATTTGGTTTTATATTCAGCATAAACACTCAAGTTGTATCCATTCTTTATAACGAATTGGTTGAAATCACCAATTACGGAACCATGAAGTATGGTAAATTCATCAGGAACAATCAAATTCAAGTAATTATTCAAAAGTTCAACAAATGTAATATGCAATGATGCAACTCTTCGGATCACTTGCTTGTAGATCATATAGTTCAATGATGGAATAGCCTGAATTTGTTTAAATAAATGACTTAGATGTTGTAAATCAAGCAATGAATTTATAGACAAATTTAAATTGGATAGCAATTTTTCAATCTCGTCCATATTGGTCTTGATATTGTTTAATTTCTCCAATTCTTGAATCTGTCGATTGATAGTCTCTGATTTGGAATTCAATTGTGTGATAGACAAGTTTTGTAAGTCTTTTGAAGCATCATTATCGTTGTTGATGTTGTGTATGTGGATTAACTGAAACTGTTCTTGTTTCGCTAGTATTGGCAGAAGATACGAACTAGTCACTTGCACTTTTAATTGTCCTATCTCCTCATTAATCTTCTTGAGTTTCCCTTGTTCATCTTGTAGTTTTGACTCAGTAGATATCATTACCTAAGAAGCAGTCTGTTTGTTTTCAAGTTTGGTTATAAAAAATTGACAACCAAGAAATCATCATTCTTAATTTTTGTTACGAAGAAAACAGAAAGTGAGAGATCTCAAGCGTTGCTACCATTTTCAGTGTTTCAAAACCATGCAAATATCTCCATCCCATCTCTACCATAGTGTGTATAATCACATATTAGGCAAATGCTAGTATTAATTGCTCAAGTTGTCTCTACATACTCGCTCTCTTTCCCTATTCATATCAAATCCTCTGTGATATCATCATCAATGTACTCATCATCCTTATTCATTCTATAGATGGTCATTCCCATACTAGCCACATTTAATGTACTCATTACCCAATTGGGTACACTTATTTCACTCAATTCAATGAGATTGAAAACCAAATCAAGAAAATTTCCCACTAATTCAAATATGAGCATCATCTTGTCAAATTTCAAATCCTTCAAAATCTTGTTGTATTTACGATTAATATCTTCATTGACCGGTTTGGAAAGTTCACTTTTCTGGGAATTGTTGACAATGTTCAACTCAGTGTGCACTTTTCTAATCTTGCGTATAACATTTAACAATTGGGATATGGTTTTCCTTATTAAAAACACGAGAATCAATACCCATAGTTTATTCGTTTGTTTCAACAACCTGGTAAGAGCTTGGGGAAACATTGGTAAGTTTGAAAGTAAATGCAAGTTATCTAAAAGGTTGGCTATAGTTTCAAGGAAATTTATAAACATAAACTCCAATTGTTTGAATGAAAACTTCTTTGCTTTGAAAAATTTGCTACCTCTTTGCCTCTTCTTGATGGATGTGGTAGTTGACTTTTTCTCCAAGACTTGTGATGATGATGTTGTTGAAGACTCCTTCTTTTCCACGGATTTGTCAATATCAAATTTGTCAAAAAAAGGGGGATACTTTGGTTTAGCTCTAGGTTTGGCTTTATCAGTAGGAATTTGTTTAAACAGTTGAAACTTGTCAAAATTATATGAGCTCTTATTTGAAAGTGATTGAGATTTGTTGTTGTTGCTGCTGCTGCTCTCTAAGATACCTTGAAGCTTATCTAACTTATCTGAAGTAATAGATGTATTACCTTTAGCTTGCTCTTGTCTGGCTAGGTCAATCAAATTATTAATGATCTCTTGTTTTGAAAGTTGATGGTGTTGATTAGCGAGTGATGAAGTACTTGGAAAAAAGGCCTTATATTCAGTAGATGGAGGTGGTAGTGGTTGATTGACAAAAGCGTTGTTGTTATTGCTGGTGGTGGTATCACTTGTAATAGTGGATGTGGCTGTTGTTGTAGCGACCATTTGGGATAAACAAGAATCTTTTGGTCAAAATGAATACAAAAGTGGAGAACACAATCTTTCGATGGCTTTGACAATTGTGTGAGACCTACAATTAATTTTTTCTCTGTTTCTACTCCACTGCTACCACCTCGGCTATTTACCTTTCTTTCACGTGCAGTCAGTCCTTTTCTCTATAGTGACTCTACAAACTGATATATGTACAGCAAGGGTTCAGTATGGGCTAGAATGGCATCCATTACACGCGATAGACCTATATTCATACAGCTTGTAGTGCTACTCTTTCAAAATTTCCAATAATTCATTCAACTTCATTAAAAAGTAATAAAAATTTCTAACAGGGTCATTTGCATTGTCGTCTGTAGGCAACTTAGCCAAATGCCGTTTCTTACTTTGCAATAGTTGTTGAATTGTTGTAATGTTATTTTTTTCGTTTTCAATTTCACTTCCCTTTTGATCTATTTCATCTGTCACACGCTTCAAATCTTCATCCACGTCTTGTTTAACTTGACTATTGATCTGTGATGGGTCTAAATCAATTGAATCCGCCTGTACTGCCAATTCAAATAGCTCTCTATCTTCATTATCTTCATTAATCAATTGCTCAAACTCACGTTCGAGTTGTTCTCCTTCTTCTATTAGTTTATCAACCTCGGCTTTTCTCCTATCACAACTTCTATACCTTTCACTCACATCATCAGCAAGCAATTTCAATTCTTCTTGTTTGATACTCTTCAAATTGTCCAATTCTTTCCAATTTGATTTCAACTCATCAATCTCCTTAGTTAGCAATTCAGAAGGACCATCATAAAAAGTTAGCAAATCTTTCTTGTTCTCCATTTCTGATATTTTCTGTAGAAGTTTCTCCTCTGTTTGTTGGTCGATATATGCAAGGGACATGGCTTTGAGCACTTGTCTTTGCACTTGTTTTGTATTTCGAAGTTTTCTCAAATCATTGGTTGTTTCACGAGCTAGTTGCTCCAAAGTAGTAATAGATGTAAGTTTGTGACTTGTAAGAGCGTCAAACTCATCTCTAGGGGTGGTACGTGTATGTGTTATTGACATCTTTTCTTATGGCTTCTTAGAGTATGATGTTTGGGGCATTTGTTCTTGATTTTGATCGCGTCTTCAAAATTCAAAACAAACAAAACTTGCATCGAAGAGAGAATCAATGGGTAAGCCAAACCCTCTCAATCTCAACTCATGCCCGTGAGTCCACGAGTAAAAAAAAAAAAGGGAAGCATTGAGCAAGCTGTTTGGAGATAAGAAGCCCTTTATGTTATTAAGATAAATTAACAAAAAGAATCAAAAAAAATTGGGGCGAACTGGGAATCGAACCCAGGGCCTCTTCGAAATTTATTGCTCAGGCTTGAGAATACCCAAACGAAGAATCATACCACTAGACCATTCGCCCAATTTTTTGTCAAAAAATTTTGACAGTCTTTTATATTACACAACATTACGGAAAATTTTGAGGTAAAACCCTGTTGTTTTGACATTACCAAAATCTTCAGAGCAACTGGAACTGCTTGAGCTTACTTCTAATACTAATATTGGATTTGTTTGGCGGCCAATGTGCAGCTTTATTAGCACAAAAACGGAGTTAATCATTTTTTTTGCATAATTTTATCACAAAATTATCTCCGCAAGATTGTTTGCTATCTATTTTGAAGCCAGAAATGGAGGGACGAGCATAAAGGACCTAGGACCATCTCCTCACTAATCAAAAAGAAACTTGGGAGCTGTGGAGAGCAGTCTCTTGGTATTATTCCGAAGGTGAAGCAATCGTTACATAACCCTTCTTAGCATTTTAGTTGTATGCATATCCGTGTATAAACAAAATCCCCTCTCTCTGATCTCAAACACTTTTCCCCTTTTTTATGAAAGTTCGGACTTACTACTTTCAGATAATTAGTTGGTCATTTTCAATTCCGATTTCAATCTCAACCGAAGTTTTGAAAGCTGAAATTTTTCCATCTGGGTTCTTGAGAAATCCGTTCCCTTTACAATTTACAGTCCCTCGGTTAATCGAGGGGAAAAGAAGTGCGCATGCGAAAAAAAAAAAAATAGATTTGACTTGTGCGCTAATAAAATGTGGAGTAAAAACACATTACTGTATAGAGGTGGGGAGAATATTTGAGCCAGTGGAAAAAAAAAATGTCATAAATGCTTGTTATATATCAAGATAAAGAACAATTCTTCTTCTTCTATTTCGTATTACATATCTCTTTCTAGATCTATATTCAATTCCCTATTCACAATGCAAGAAGAACACAACATCACTTACGAAGTTAAAGGTAAATGCGCCATCATAACTTTCAACATTCCTTCCAAGTTGAATGCTTTGGGTGCTGCTCAGTACTTGCAATTAGGTAAATTTGTCGAGGAAGCTGATAAAGAAGAAGGCACAGTGGCCACTATTATACAATCCACTGGAAAATTTTTTAGTGCCGGTGCCGATTTTGCTGACAAACAGACTTTGAGCAAAAACGCTGCTGTATATTTCAGTCACGAGCATTGGTTAGCTAATTTTGTTGCTAGAAACACCTGGTTGACTAATGTTTTCAATGACCATTCAAAGATTTTGGTTGCTGCTGCTAATGGTCCAGTTATTGGATTATCAGCCGCTTTACTTTTGTTGTGTGATTTGATCTATGTCAATGATTTGAAGAAATTCTACATTTTGACTCCATTTGCCAACTTGGGTTTAGTCACTGAAGGTGCTACTTCAATTACTTTGGCTAGAAGATTGGGTTGGTCAAAAGCCTCAGAGGCATTGTTGTTAGCCAAGAGAATTCCGGGTGATGATTGTGAACAAAATGGATTGATCAACAAACATTTTACTGGCGAATCAAAGAGCACAGAAGATTTCAACAAGGCAGTGTATGAGTTGATTCAAGATTCAGTCGATTCTTTACATGAAGACTCGATCTTCGGAATCAAAAAGTTGATGAAAATTGGAAGAGACCCAGTCGTTAATCAAGTCAACTCACAAGAAGTTGTCAAGGGTTTCAACAAATGGATTGAAGGTGTTCCACAAAGAAGATTTGCTGAATTGGCCAGTAAGGAGAGAAAACACAAGATGTAAAGCCAAAGAGGCGTAACTAGATTTATGGTAACTTGTAAAGTTTGTATTTAAATACGAATGAGATTTGAAGTACTTTTGCTTCTTGATTTACACCAGTCCGTGATTGGCAATGACCTAAGATTACTCTTGTAGTGACGAGTTTAGTCAACTCTAATGAGTATGTATCTGCCCGACCCGGAAGGGTGAGAATCAACATGAGCTCCCACTCACACTCCTCTGAACCGTCTGCCGTGGGCTTATATATCTACTCTGCTGACCCGGAGCATCAATGATCAAGGAATCTGCTCATTCAATCGAGTTTGATTACGCTACCAAGCCATTTCTAAAAGCCAAAAGTTAACCTCTCAGCTATTAACCGCCATATGAGCCTTAACCTCCCTAACCCTAGCTTACTAGGAATTCTCCTTGTGATATCAACACATAGTGGTCCTCAATTAGCATACAAGTTTCCAACAGATTTGAGATTAAACCATGGAGAGAAACACGATGGTATTCATCAGGGGAAGGAGCATTCAATTGGTAATACGAAAAGTACCGACAATATAGACGATCAAGATGTCGGGGAGTATTACGATGAAGATGATGAATTATATGAGTATAGAGATGACGAAGATGACGTGGATGATGAAAATATAAGCCACTTGGCTGGCGAGAACGGCGATGATGATAGGGAACTATATGGAATTGATGCCAAAGTTTGGGATGTTGATGATTTGAAGTACTATATGGGCACGAAATTAGACCTCAAAAGGTTCTTGGACCAGCAGGATGATAGAAGAAAACAGCGACTTGAATCTGGGACTATTGAGATAGGACAAGACAAAACTAAACCGTGGACACTGGATTTCACCAATTCAAAACAAACAAGTTCAAAGGTAAGTGTTGCTTGTAGTCAACACAGTTTAAGCTCAAATAGTCCAAACAAACTTGATAATGTCAACGATGATATAATGGGGATGGACCCCTCTTACCTATGTGAAATGTTGGCTCCACCCGCAGCAATGTGCAATGCAAGGTTTGAAATGATGATAGAAGGGAAAACTTTTCTAGGGTTGCCTATACACAAGAGCATTGATGGTGGCTGGAAAACAAGAGCAATTTCCAATAGCAAACATGCCACCCAAGGTGGTACCAGATCGAGGTCAAATAGTAAACCACTTGATCCGAAAACGAAACCATCACATAATGTTCCAGATGGCAAAATCGAAATTGAGGACAGCAAAAGCAATTTGAATATGTTTCACTTGGTGTTTGTAATGAACCCACCAACGATGGAAAACAATTATCGAATTGATGAAATGTTTCACCATGTAATATCAAAGTTATCATTGATTCTTCGACGTGCACAGTTGAAACATGATTACATTGGACTGGAAGTGAAACGAATTATATCACTTCGGGAAGAGCTTCATGACGAGAACAAGTTAGCGGAAAACTCTTCATTATGTAAATTGATTCGCGACTGTTTCATTGGTATAGGTTCATCAAAGGTTGCCAATTTGATGATTAATGGGAAATTAAAGTCCTTTCAAATACCTTTAAAAACTGAATTCCATTCGCTCCCGGATGCAACGGTGCCATACATTCCTGGATCATATCTTTCATCAACTGTCAACACTGTAAACAATTTTGGATTAATAAATGTTGGCGAATCATCCCGATATGGACAAAAGGATGAAACTTTGAGATACCCACAAGAAGACGATGATTCCGATGAAGTGGTGATCTACTATGCACTACTATTGCTTGACGAACCAGAGAATATCATCAAAGATTTAAAAATCTCCAATGAATCCATTCTCGCCAACTTTATTAGTTCAATTGAACCTACTGAATCACTACTCAAATTATCAGCGCAGTATCCTCAATTAGACATTCGTCAAATTAAATCGTTTGCGTTCCATTTGATCTATTGGCGAAAAGCCAGAATCATTCAACCGTTATCAAGTCGATCAGTATACATCATATCCCCCATGGCTCCATTGACAGTTAGACTCTATGAAGATATATCAGAATTCAACAAGAAATTCCCCACATTACCATCATTACCACATTTTTTGAAGTTGTTGTCTCCCAAATCTAGAAAACCACAACAATTTGCCGCATCAATCCCATCTAGAGATCATCGCGATAGTTATATGCGTGCATTAGCGTGGTTGAACCGATTTGGCTACGCCACTCAACAATTGACATTTATTTGGCTCAAAATTGCTCGTAAGATCAAGATCAAAGTTGAGGAAGATATTGAGAATGAAAACTTGACAAAGCGTAAATCCAGCAAGTTTGTGGCTGATAACAAGACTACAAAAGCAACCGATAACTCATCAAAGCAGGTTGCCACTACCGATAATACTAACCTGGCCACTAACAGTACCAAAACAGTATCGAAAACAGTCGTTGATTCCCTGAGTGCGCCAAAATCAAACAAAACCAATTTGGACTCATTGAAGTATCATTTGAACAAGTCTTCGTCATCAGTTACTTTACTAGAGGACGATGACACGATTATTTTGGACCCTGGAAGAGCATCAACTTTGGAAAGACGGTGGATCAATGAAATCATATTCGAGGAATGTAAATTGACGTCTGAATTGACTACCTTGTTTTATAAATTGTTGAAATACATGAATGGTGAAAGTCCGTTGGAATTGTTGTTGTTGAAGGAAAATATATCACGACTGGAATTGAAAAAGCTTTTGTTAGCTATTGAGCCTCATATAATATCAGTAAAACATTGGTAATACATAGATCTAGTAATTTTTACACTTTGTGAACTGATGATAAAACTTGGATGTATTAATCAACTACATTATTATCAATTTATAGTGCGTTGTATATTGAAAAAGGCTAAAGAATTCCCGAAATAAAACTAATGATATCAGCTAAGGAGCAAACACCAAGTGAAACCGAAAAAGATAAACAAATATAACTCCCTCCACTACTGATTTTCAAAAACACCAACCATTTTCCAGAACCAGGCATTGAATTAGCCACACTGCTCGTATGTAAAAAGAAAAAGGCAAACAACAGCTGAAATAAATCAATAAAGAACAAAGCACGCACTAAAATTCTTTAACCTAATGGAAACCCGCCCTAGTCAGGTTAAACAAGAACAATAACCACTAGTTCAATCTTTTTAGATTTTGGATTGATTGGTGCATCGTAAATTTTGTAAATTCCATTATCATTAACTGGAGAATCCCAAAATGTAGTCTTGCCATTCAAAGCTAACAACCAGTAACCATCATCATGAACAATGGAAAATCCCGAGGAAAACAATGCATCTGGTTGAACTGGTAGGTCAAATTGTAATTGATGATTAGCAGCAATTTCTCCAATTCTGTATTTAGAATCTCTCAAGACAGAATTTTTCAAGGTGTACCAATCGTATCCATATGAAGAGTCAAAAGTCAACCATGAATCATCATTATCAAAATCAAATCCATCACGTTTCCATGGCTTGTGAGGGTGAGGGTGGTGGGGGTAGGTAATTGGTTCTGGAGTTGGTTCTTCACATGGCTCATCTGGAGTTGGAGTTGGAGTAGGAGTATCACAAGGCTCAACAATTGGGGTTGGAGTAACACATGGAACAGTATACTTTTTTGGTCCATATTCAAGTTGACCATCATCCAATTCAAAAGCAACGTAGATGTCATCACCAATCTTGGCACCCAATGCAAATTTATTGGGGAATGAAGTAACTCCTGGTTGGTAAGGTGGATGGTAGGTTGGTGTTGGCTGATCGTCGTGATCGTAACCACGTTGGATCAAGTTGGAATTAGCAACGGCGGTAAAACCAAAAGCAGCGATTAATGTAGAAGTAAACTTCATTGCAAATTGTAGTTGATTGAGTGGATGATGATGATGAAAAGAGAAGAATGGAAATATATTGGCTAAGGGGGAAAATTGATGGAATATTTATATCATTTAACAAGAACACAGGAGTTCAGCCACGGAGGAGATACAGTAGCATATATGGTACAACTCAACTGTGGATCTACCACCATTGCTGAAGATGTATGCATTTCTTTTGGTTACTTAAAGACTGTGGTGAAACCCTGGTTGTATAGTTGGTTGCAAAATCTGGTGTACAATCTTCATCATATGTGTTCAAAACCACGCCATAACTTCAGCTTCGAATATTGAGACCGTGGTGTAGAAAGCCACAACTGTGTACATAGTCCTCCTTTTGTTAAGAGAAGCAAACAAAGCACATAATACCACATTACACCACCATCAACGTACTTTGAACACACAATTTCCATTTTCATCAATCAGAACTGTGGATGCATTTCGAAGTGTAATTGACAATTGAATGACCGCTGTCACCGGGTGCAAACGGCCATATTTTTGTGTCGGCGTATTGAAAAATGTCCGTGTGTTAACTTTTCACAACCCGCCTTTGGATGGTGCTGGCACTACCCCACTAACAACAACACACACACGGATAGCCGATTGAGCCCCGTGAAAGGCCATTGTGAATTCAGTATAGTGGGCTTTGGCAACGAGACATTCACGTCATGCATTTGTTGCCTGAGACCAAATCCCACACCCACACAAGAAACACCACTTCATTTCTCAACTCCTGAAACTTTTCCTGTGTCTGGAAACCACAGGTAGTCCCTTCACGAAGAGCCACACCATTTCCAAGTGGTAATGATAGATGATGAATCATTTGGGAGGTTTAACGTCATGTGTAGTGTATATTGACTACCATGTGGTTGATTTCACGCAATTAATCGACCAAATTTGTCTGTGTTTTGTAAAACTATGGATTCCAACTAATACAGTTACGTTGTTTAGCATCTTCTTCAACTGCGGTGTGTAGACGCCGCCACTCATTCATATTCTTTCGCCTCTTTTACAGACTTACAACAGACCAGTTCTAAAATTATGCGTTGTATTATTATTAATGAAATTTTTATTTATCTATGTTTTATTGTATAAACTAATCACCTTTTGATCTCAGTGGTTAGTGTCCACATTATAAATAATAATCAATAGTTGATGAGTTCGTTGGTTAACTCAAAAAGTTCGTCTTCATTGGTAACAGTGGAGACAACTTCATCAATGGCTGTCGGTAATACTTCTGCCAATCTCTGCAACTCCTCCTCTGATACACCAGCATTAATATTGACAAGTAATTGAGGTGGCAATACTGGTAAATCCTCGTGCTCCAAGATAAGCTTACTTCTTGTCAATAAAATCTTGCCGTGCTTCAATACATAGTCAATAATCTTTTGCAACATGAAACTTTCAAGGTTTAAATATTCATCAAATGGATTTAAAAATTTGGCCGGTTTCCCCTTGGTTACAAAAATTGAATTTCCATACAACAACGGCAAGTTCAATTGTGATCTGTACAATTCAGTGAATGCCAAGTGGATCATGGGGGATTGTGGCACAGAAGTAATGGTCATGGGGACATCCTTTAAACTCGATAGAAGTGCATCATGGGCAAAAATTGTTCTTTGGTGAAGTTGCGTCATAAGTTTAGACTTGCCAGTCTTTGGTTCAACAATGTTGATTTCTTTAATTGCTTGCGACGTGACTTTGGCCGAATATGGAGGCAATGAAGCACTGAAAACGTATGCGTTTGATGATATTCTTTGATGATGAATCATTGGTTCAACACCAACACAGAATCCACCAGATGATGCAAATGAATTGGCCATTGATCCAATGGTGATGGCAATTTCATCTCTAGAAATTCCATAATGCTCGGTCAAACCCTTACCAGTATTTCCTAAAACTCCAATAGACAAGGATTCATCTAAAAATAATCTATATTTAAACTTGTTTTTCAACTCAACAATGGTGGGCAAATTAGCGAGGTCTCCGGTATTGGCAAAAAGCCCCTCAGTGATGATAAATCTTCTTCTAAGTGGTTTTTGCTTATCTAATATAGGCTTCAATTGAGTCAAAATTTGTTCCAAATGCTCCATATCATTGTGGTCATACCATTCAAGATCAACACGACTCACAATCAACGCTTTTTGAATTGCAAGGTTGACGTTTCTATCAACAACACATAAATCACCTCTTTTCAAATATGCAGGGAGAACAGAACTAGCAGTGACAAAATCTTGACCATAAATGATAGCTTGATCAGTTCCCAAATATCTAGCCAAGTCTTCTTCCAATCTAACGTGTACATCTTGAGTACCATAAAAATTTGGTGGTCCACAAGCACCAACACCAGCAAATTGAATTTCTGTCTTGGCAACTTGTTTGATATTTGCATTACTATTCAAATCAAGGAAATCTTGCTTTACAAGGTTAACAATCAGGGAATCATGACAAATCTCTTTGAACGAAGGGTTGATAAGTTCAATGTGCGATCCATTGAAACCTTTCACCTCAGGAATTGCCTTGATCTTCCAAGCTTCCAAGTCAGTGACGGGCTCAACTAAAGTTTCCGGTACCCATTCATCGCAAAGCTCGTCAATCTCCCGTGGGGTGAATTTAACAAACTCGGACTTATTCTCCTTCTTTTTGGAAGTAAAGAAATAAGTCAATGCAAAAATGAACAAACAGTATTCAAAAAGCGACCTCACTGGATCATTTTGATATGATGACTTAATGTACCGGACTATAATTTGGCCACCTGGTAAGACCTCCAACAAGTTTAACAAATACAATACATTTTGGGCTATCGTGTTTTGTATGATTTCCCAAGATTGAGAACTTGCTCCAGATGGTGAAGACGAGAGAATGCTCGAGATTATGGTGGTAGTAGTCGTGGTCGTGGTGGTCGTTGTTGTGGTGGCGTAAACGGGTGAAGTCATAATGAATGAAGAAAACTAATGTTGTAGTAAGCTTCTCAAGCTATTGATACATGAAAATAAACGCTGCACCGAGGATATTCTTTGAATGAGTTTGTATACCTATCTCTCTCTCTTTCTCTCTTTCTTCTCTTGACGAACAGTTCTTTCAACGAGTGTATGACTGTAAATGAACGGTAAGAAGAATATGTAGGGGCAGTTGTTGTTGTTGTTGTTGTTGTTGTTGTTGTTGTTGTTGTTGTTGTTGTTGTTGTTGTTGTTGTTGCTAGTTGTTGTTGCTAGTTGTTGTTTGTGTATCTGGTTTCCAGATATCTTTTATGTTTTCCCCTATTCTTCATCAATTTGTTGGTAATTTTTTTCCTTTTATTCTTCTCTCTCTCTTTGTGCACAGAGAAAAAATTTCTAACGTGTCGTGTGTGTCGAATGTTTTTTTTCTTTGCGTCGTGTCGCAAACTTTTTCATGACATTCATCTATATCTTAATACAATAACCTAGATATATATCCCCCCCAACGAGACTATTCATCAAGGAAGATAAATTTTGGAAACACCTTCAACATCTCGTCTGCAACAAACACATCCTTCGAAGCCTTTACTAACTAAACTCAATCGACAAGATTCGCAAATGGCAAAACACTTACATGGCCAAGTGATAATCTCTCTCATGTTTGTTTGACAAATGACACATTCCATTGATCTATGATTTTCATTGGCAGTGTCGCCATTAGCCTGGCTTCTTTTTGAAATAATCAACTCAATAAGCTTTTCACTTTCATCTTTTGAATTGAAGTTCGTATTACTGTTTGCATGCATTTTGCGATACCTTGATCGTGTCAATCGTCCTTCGTAATTTAAATGATCACGTACCATTTGTAAATTGTCTTCACTCGACACTTCAAGAAATTCCTTTAATCCGTCATCATCAAATATTTCTTGCAACGGTGTCGAGTTGGAAACGTTATAATTTATTTGAGTGGAACCTCTCGTTTGCGGGTTGATTGTAAGATCTATCACCTCAGCATCCGATTCATAATCTGATTCTTCAGCAGAAACAATGTAGTCCTCCGAGTTGTCAATATTGGACAAGTCCTCACCAGCAAGGATCGATGCATAATTTTGTTCTAATTGTTCGGCAGTGAGATAATCTAGCTGAAGCAATTGTCTGCCAGATGATGGACCAGAACGTTTGGCAAGGCCTTTATGACTGTTTTCACGAGACCTTCTTGCTTCTCTCTTGAATAGCCTCCTAAATAAGTTGGGGATCCACTGCAATATAAAGTTACCAATAGCAATGCCATATATGAGCTGCACAAAATCAAAAACAATCCTCTTCAAATATAAAAATCTTCTTTTAAATATACTCCTTGTATGATACGGATTTTCACGAGTGGATTGATTGGAATCTGAAGTTAAATCGCCATGTGTTACAAGCTTGGAGGTTGGTGTCTCAATTAAGTTGGAATAACCCACTCTCTTTTGTTTTATCCCACGCAATAAACTGTTTGCATTAGCATCTGATATCTCTCTCAGCCTGACCTGTTGCCAGAGACTTCTCTCAACCCATGTTTCATTGTCCAAAGTAACAAGACTCAATTCCTTTATGTAGCTGGATTTCCCAGCCAGAGTAATTGCCAAAACACCCAAGTTTAGTAGTGCCGTATAAAAATCATCGCTCAATTTGATATTGAAGTTTGAGAGCGAGTTGATGTCTTGCTCTTCAACCGCTTCATTTTCTCCAGATTCATCTTGAATTTGCTCCTCATGAATGAAAAAGCTGGCATAATTCAATCCCTCAAATCTAAAACCATTGACAGCTATTGCAGTGATCAAGATTGCTAAACTGACCAATATAACAAATAAAATCAACACTTGTGGAGTGAATGTCAACACCAAAATAATGGGGAACTGAAATATCTTCTTTTTCCAAATTGCAGTAACAAAATAAAACAAATACCCCAAACCAAGTGTAGTCAGCGGTATTAACCTGTACTTGTTATTGTTTAAAATCGCCCCCACATGTATATTCAAATGATTCAATACCAGGAAAAGCGATGTGATCAACATCTGCTCAGTGGGTCTCTTATAACTGTATGAATTACTAAAGAAGAAAGCACCATTACTGCTAAATTCTTGAAATGCTAAAGAATGTTCGAAAATCGTGATACCACTCTCAGTGAAGGGCTTTCTACCTTGAATACAAGCAATGAAAGTTTCAATAAATGCCAGGAAACAAAATGTTAAGAAAATGGGCCAATACATATCACTCGTGGGTCCAATCATGACTTGTTTTTCCGGTGTTTTCATGTACTTTGTTTTTGCAAATTGTTCAGGTGAATATGTGAAAAGCGCTTCTGGAATAAGGTTGTAAAGCCATTTAATATTTGATGAATTAGCCAACCCCAAATGTTGGTTCAATTTTAGTACGACGAGGATATTATATATTTGATATAATAAAACCAAGACAATTCCCACTCGAAAGCTCAAAATGCTAAGCTTTTTCAAAGTTGCAGCCAGTTTGTATGCGTCTATCAATCCTCTATTCCCACTTATCTGCCGTTGCCGATTAATGGCCATTTGCTGATTGTGAATACTATTGGTTGAGGCCATGACCAATGTCCTATTTAATATCAATGCCATTACCAAACAAGCTAGGCCATATACTGAACAGCAATAAAAAGTTATTGCACCAAATCTGGACCACGTATTGTTGTTCATTTCTGACAGGCCACTTTGCTCCCAAATGGCATCAACAATTGATTGAACGAGTTTCAAGAATGAAAAATCGGTGTCATTGTCTATGACCTCGTCTAAAATTGTTGAGTTTGTTATGTTGGTCGACATCACGTCTCACTTTGAAACAGTAGGTTTCTAAAAAGGGGTGAATGTTCTATAAGATATATTTAGTTGCTAGTTTTATCGTGTCAAATAAAACTCACACGCAAGATGTATTATATATTTTGTTTACTAATTTCCATTGTTCGGTTTTTCCTTTTGCTTCTCTTTGTGTGATCACCAACTAACTTTGTCATAACTCAATATATCCTGCTATTCAAGTGGTCTCTACATTGTGTAAACTGTGGCATAACATCTGCTCACTCAAGTGAGGAAGTTGTTCTTCATTTTACCAAATTGTGTCCCTTCTCTTTGGTATGTTTAGTTCAGCCCCTAGAGTGCTTGAAATTTTTCTTAGATGTCATGTGATAATAACAAGTCATAACCATACACCTATTCTGAGGGAACAGCACTTTACCATTGGTCATAGAGCTTCAACAAACTACAACTGAGAGACGTAATTAATGTATTGGAGGAGTATCAAGGAACGTGAAACTTGGCGTATTTTTAAAAGTTTAGTTGTCTCTTTTTTGTTTTTGAAGACAGGTTGAAACTCAACTCAAGTTCCCATACCAAAGAGAAAGCCTCATTGCTGAGATAAATAGCATACAAGAAACATAAAGTGAGAATAGTATGCCCTCTTGAACCTTCTGGTGCATCAATTCAAGTACTCTCTCTCCCTCCTGCTTGAGTGTTTTGGGTAGCGTCATCACATCTTTTTTTACAACCACACAGCATTTCAAAGAAAAAAGCATCACCGTAAGTAAACATCTTGCAATCAATCAATTATTCCATATGGGACGCAAACTACCGCCACCGCCACCGCCTCCTCCTCCTCTGGGAGGCAAATCCAAGAATGGACGTAGTACGACGAAAAAAAGGCACGTTGATCCACCTCCGCCGCCTCCACCACTATCAAAATCGCCTCAAGAAAAAGTGCAGCCAATTACAACAAAATCTGTGCCAAAGAAACCACCACCACCAGCAATAACAGCAAATAGAGGAACAGTCAAGCACAAGTCGTCATCGGTACCACTTCCGCCACCACCACCCCCACCTCCAAAAACAGAAAATATTGCAAAACCCAATGTTGTTTCGTTAAATTCCGATCTAAATGAGGATAAATCTAAGACAGCTAAAAGAACATGGAATCAAATGCAGAAACCTAGGTTCAAAACTTCACAGAAAGTCTCCACAGGAACTATAGTCTCAGGGCCAAAGCCTGAAATGCCACCTCAACATTTGCGGAAAATAATGATTGATCATGCAGATTTGAGTCTGCGAAATGTAAATGCAGACAAACGCTCTCATTTGGGGGCATTGAAGTACCTACCGCACGCATTGCTAAAATTGTTGGAGAACATGCCACAACCTTGGGAACAAGCAAAAGAGGTGAAAGTATTGTATCATCGGACGGGTGCAATCACCTTTGTGAATGAAATTCCACGAGTTATAGAGCCTGTATACATTGCACAGTGGGCAGCGACCTGGAACATGATGAGGAGGGAGAAAAGAGACAGGAAGCATTTCAAACGTATGAGGTTTCCGCCTTTGGATGACGAGGAGCAATTTTTGGATTGGACGCAAAACTTTGAAGATGTCGAACCACCAGCTGCTATTAAATCTGGCCAAATTGAACAAATGGATGATCTAAAAGATTGGTTTTATGATGAAAAGCCTTTGGTGGATGATAGTGATGTGGTAAATGGTGATTCATACCGAACTTGGAATCTAGATGCCACCACTATGGACAAATTATACAATATTTCGAAACCGTTGTTGGTAGATTCTCACCACTTATTTGATAAACGAGAGCTATTCACAGCCAAAAGCTTGAATATATGCGTTCCTGGCGGTCCTAAATTTGAACCATTGTTCAATGAGAGCGTTGTTAATGCTGAGTATGAAGACTATACTGAATTCGATTCACTAGATAGGATTATTGTCAGGGGTCCTATCCGAACCGAATACAGAGTTGACTTTCCCTATTTGTACAACTCCTTTGTGAGGAAAATATCACTTGCACCCATACGAGCAAACACAGATTGTCAAGAAGGATCAATCGAGCAAGAGAGCTCTGATGGTTTATCAGCATTTACGTTCAACACAAACTATAACCCAGTTATTAATAGAAATCTTGGCAGCAAGAAAAAGAGGGAGGACTTTTCGGTGGGTGTGAAACCATTTTTCACACAAAAAGATTCGAAGTCTTCATCATTACAAGAGCCACAAAATCTCAAAGCATCACTTGACTTGTTGTATGCACCATATCCTTTCAACGTACGCAGTGGAAAAACCAAAAGAGCCGAGGACGTTGCTTTAACAAAATCTTGGTACAAAAACCGCGCTCCAAGATCTAGTCCACTCAAGGTGAGAGTGTCCTATCAAAAGTTGTTGAAAAATTATGTACTGAATGAGCTCAAAACCTCCAAGGCTAAAAAAGCAAGAGCCACCAAAAAGGTGAATCTTCTAAAGAGTTTACGGAATACCAAGTATTTCCAGGAAACACGCATTGATTGGGTAGAAGTTGGTTTGCAAGTATGTCGACAAGGATTCAACATGTTGAACTTATTGATACACAAACGTGGATTAACTTACTTACATTTGGACTACAATTTCAACTTGAAACCCACAAAGACATTGACTACAAAGGAAAGGAAGAAGTCAAGATTTGGTAATGCTTTCCACTTGATCAGGGAGTTGTTAAGAGCAATTAAAATTATTGTTGATTGCCATATACAATTTCGATTAGGCAATGTGGATGCATACCAATTGGCTGATGCCATCTACTACGTGTTGAACCACTTGGGTCATTTGACAGGGATTTACCGATACAAATATAAAGTTATGCACCAGATCCGACAATGCAAGGATTTCAAACATATAGTTTACCACAGATTCAACAAACTTATTGGAAAGGGTCCAGGATGTGGGTTCTGGCAACCGGCATGGAAGGTTTGGATATTTTTTTTGCGTGGTACTATTCCTTTATTGGAGAGATGGCTAGGAAATTTGATTACGAGACAATTTGAAGGTAGAAGACAGAACGATGTTGCTAAAACCATCACCAAGCAGCGAGTTGACTCATATTACGATTTGGAGTTGAGAGCACAAGTGATGCACGATATATTGGATATGATTCCGGAAGGGTTGAAGCAGAGTAAGTCCAAAACCATACTTCAACATTTGAGTGAAGCTTGGCGTTGTTGGAAAGCCAACATACCTTGGAAGGTACCCGGATTGCCTGAACCTATTGAGAAGATAATCGAAAGATATGTCAAAGCTAAAGCGGATGGTTGGATTTCCGTTGCTCATTACAATCGTGAACGTATAAGAAAAGGGACACATGTTGAAAAAACTGTTGCGAAGAAGAACTTGGGTCGATTGACGAGGTTATGGATTAAAAAGGAACTGGAAAGACAAACTGATTTTGGGAAGAATGGACCCTATGTGTCCCCAGATGAGGCCATACATGTTTTCCAAACTACTGTTAGCTGGTTGGAAAGTAGGAAATTTAGTCCCATCCCATTCCCGCCAATATCTTACAAACATGACACCAAGTTGTTGACTTTGGCTTTGGAAAATTTGAAAGCAAATTTCAATGCTAATGCCAAATTGAATTCTGCGCAACGAGAGGAGTTGGCTTTGATTGAAGAGGCCTACGACAACCCACATGAATGCTTGGTCAGGGTGAAGAAGCATTTACTCACGCAGAGGATTTTTAAAGAAGTTGGTTTAGACATGATGGATTTCTACAGCCATTTAGTGCCATCATACAATGTCGACCCACTTGAGAAAATCACCGACGCTTATTTGGATCAATATTTATGGTATGAAGCAGACAAACGGAAATTGTTTCCGAATTGGATCAAACCCGCAGATGACGAAATACCACCATTGATGGTTTACAAGTGGTGCCAAGGTATCAATAATCTACACAACGTTTGGAAAACATCTGAAGGTGAATGCAATGTGATGTTGGAGACGAAATTGTCACATTTTTCTGACAAGATTGACTTTACATTGGTTAATAGACTTCTCAGGTTGGTAATGGATACTAATATTGCCGACTACATCACAGCCAAGAATAATGTGAACCTTACATACAAGGACATGAACTATGTGAACCAATATGGTGTTGTTCGAGGTCTTCAATTTTCGTCCTTTGTGTATCAATATTATGGTTTAATTGTGGATTTGCTCATCCTTGGATTGGAAAGGGCAACCGAGCTAGCCGGACCGCCGCAAAATCCAAACAATTTTCTCCAATACCAAGATATTGCCGCTCAATGTGCTTCTCCAATTAGGTTGTATTCACGATATATGGATAAAATTCACATGTTTTTTCGGTTTGATAATAATGAGGTTGATGAGTTGATTGATGACTTCTTAAAAGAGAATCCCGATCCAAATTATTCCAATGCTGTGGGCTATAACAACCATCGCTGTTGGCCCAAGGACTCTAGAATGAGATTGATACGGCGCGATGTGAACCTTGGAAAAGCTGTGTTTTGGGAAATCAAGTCACGCATACCAAAATCACTCACCACCATTGAGTGGGAAGATACATTTGCATCTGTGTATTCTCGTGATAATCCTAATTTGTTGTTTGAAATGTGTGGGTTTGAAGTTCGAATTATACCGAAAATGCGCGCCAAGGAAAGTAAATCATCACAGGAAAATGTTTGGGATTTGGTGGACCATACTACAAAGGAAAGAACTGCCAAAGCTTACTTGCAAGTGTCTCAAGAAGCTATCGACAACTTCAACAACAGGATTAGACAGATTTTAATGTCGTCCGGTTCAACAACATTTACAAAAGTTGCTGCAAAGTGGAACACGGCATTGATTGCGTTAGTGACCTATTTCAGAGAGGCCGCAATTGCGACTCCATCTTTGTTGGAAGTATTGATAAAGTGTGAGACCAAAATTCAAAATCGAGTAAAAATGGGGTTAAACTCAAAAATGCCCACTCGATTTCCACCAGCTGTATTCTACACTCCAAAGGAATTGGGTGGTTTAGGAATGCTCAGTGCCTCGCATGTTCTTATCCCCGAGTCAGATTTGAGATGGTCGAAGCAAACTGATACTGGAATTACCCATTTCAAAGCTGGAATGTCACATCAAGAGGAAAAAATGATCCCGACAATATTCAGGTATATTACAACATGGGAGAATGAATTTTTAGATTCACAAAGGGTATGGGCAGAATATGCAATCAAACGAGAAGAGGCGCTTCAGCAGAATCGTCGATTAACTTTTGAGGACATGGAAGGAAATTGGGACAGAGGTATTCCTAGAATAAGCACCCTATTTCAAAAAGATCGCCATACTTTGGTGTATGATAAAGGTCATCGAGTCCGTAGGGAGTTTAAACATTTCAGCACTGGTAGGTTTAACCCATTTGCTTGGACAAATAGTCATCACGATGGTAAATTGTGGAACCTCAATGCTTATAGAACCGATGTGATTCAAGCATTGGGAGGTATAGAGACAATTTTGGAACACACATTATTTAAAGGCACCGGGTTTGATTCTTGGGAAGGTTTGTTTTGGGAAAAAGCCTCGGGGTTTGAAGATTCATTAAAGTTTAAGAAATTGACCAACGCCCAGAGGTCTGGTTTGAGTCAAATACCAAATCGTCGTTTTACACTTTGGTGGTCCCCTACGATAAATAGAGCCAACGTTTACGTTGGGTTCTTGGTTCAGTTGGATTTGACTGGTATTTTTCTTCATGGTAAGATACCGACTTTGAAGATTTCATTGATTCAAATTTTTCGTGCCCATCTTTGGCAGAAGATTCACGAGAGTGTTGTTCAGGATTTGTGTCAAGTTCTTGACAAAGAATTGGAAGTTTTACAAATTGACAATGTAGAGAAACAGGCGATCCATCCACGTAAATCATACAGGATGAACTCATCAACCGCTGATATTGTTTTAACAAGCACATACAAATGGAATGTTTCCAAGCCATCCCTTCTCAATGACAAGAATGATGAGATGATTCTACCTGCAAAAAAGTTTTGGATTGATGTACAGCTTCGGTATGGAGATTATGATTCTCATGATATTTCAAGATACGCAAGATCAAAGTATCTTGATTACACCACAGATGGTACAAGTTCGTACCCTTCGCCCACGGGTATAATAATTGCCATCGATTTGGCGTATAACATGTATGATGTTTATGGTAACTGGTTTCCTGGTCTAAAACCCTTGGTCCATAATGCCATGAGAGAGATTATGAAGGCTAATCCAGCTTTGTATGTGTTGAGAGAAAGAATTAGAAAAGGGTTACAGTTATATCATGCTCAACCGCAAGAAGCATTTTTGAATTCTAATAACTATGCTGAATTGTTCAACAATGAGACGCAATTGTTTATTGACGACACTAACGTGTACAGAGTAACCGTTCACAAGACTTTTGAAGGAAATCTTGCAACAAAACCAATCAATGGATGTGTTTTTATTTTGAACCCCAAAACAGGTCAATTATATTTGAGAATTATTCATACTTCTGTTTGGGCAGGACAGAAGCGTTTAAGTCAACTTGCTAAATGGAAAGCAGCCGAAGAGGTTACTGCTTTGATCAAATCGCTTCCAAGGGAAGAGCAACCAAAGCAACTCATTATTTCTAGGAAAGGAATGATGGATCCCCTAGAAGTGCACATGTTGGATTTTCCAAATATTTCTATTCGACCTTCTGAATTGCACTTGCCATTTGCATCAGTGATGAAAATCGACAAGTTGTCCGATATAGTTTTGAGAGCCAACGAGCCCCAAATGGCTCTTTTCAACTTTTATGATGACTGGCTTACGAGGATATCCCCATACACGGCATTTTCTCGAGTTATTCTAATATTGAGAGCATTGGGATTTGACTCTGAGGGTACCAAGCAGATTATATGGTCAAACAGTGGTGTGATAACTGAGAGCCACCACATTTGGCCATCATTGACAGATGAGCAATGGATTGAAGTTGAAAGCAAATTGAGAGATTTGATCCTCGAGGAGTATTCGAAAAAATACAATTTGGATGTGCAGTCATTAACTCAATCTGAAATCAGAGACTTGATATTGGGTCAAGATGTGAGATTCTCTACTATTAGGCGGCAGGAGATTGCAGAAATCGAAAAGAGTGGTGGACAGGTGGAAAATAAAGAAATAACTGCTCAGAAATCTATTTCGACTAATATACACGGAGAACAAATTGTTACTGTGACAACGACCAATTACGAACAAGCTACTTTCTCATCTAAAAATGAGTGGAGGAACCGAGCTTTGGCTGCAAGCAACTTACATCAAAGAGCAAAGAACATCTACGTTGCCTCCGAAGAGTTTGTCGACGATGACTCTTACACTTATGTCATACCAAAGAACATTTTACAAAAGTTCATTCAAGTGTCGGATTTGAGAATTCAAGTGGGTGCATACTTGTACGGTAAGTCACCTTCGGGTCATTCAGAGGTAAAGGAAATAAAGTGTTTGGTATTTGTACCTCAGTTGGGAAGCACTAATTCTATTCAATTCCCGAAATCAAAACCAGAATACGAGGGATATTTGAAAGAGGAGGGATTGGAACTATTAGGTTGGATCCATAGTCAATCGCAGGACTTTGATTACATGACTTCATATGACATCACTACTCAAAGCAGAATGTTTGAACACTATGATCCCAGATTTATTGATATGACTGCTTCCTATACTCCAGGCTCAGTCACGCTTGCAGCGTTTGAATTATCAGAGAGAGGGTTTGAATGGGGTAAGTCAAACAAAGATATGATGTCTGATTCTCCAGAAGGCTTTGAAAAGTCATTTTCGAAAAAGAGCCAGTTGATCATGTCTGACAAGATTCTTGGAACGTATATGGTCCCTGAAGATGAAATTTGGAATTATTTTTTCATGGGTGCTATCTTCAATTCAAACGATTTGTACAATTTAAAAGTTGATATTCCCTTGTCGTTTTATGATGCAGTCCATCGACCAATACATTTCACCAATTTTGCGCAATTGGAAGCTGGAAACGAGGAAGAAGCATATCAGGAAGATGTTTTTAGTTAGAATTTTGTAACCATATGTATATTTATACTTAACTACATCTTGTGTCTCAACTCCCCCGATGCCAACTTCCTGAATCTTTCCATGGGGTATCCAGACATCCAATTAGCAAGACCGACGTAGCTCTCTTGAGAGTTAGCGTATGCAACCATTGGTTTGAAATTGGTCTTGAGTAATTCCTTTATTCCAAATATTGCATCAGGATGCAAGTTCTCTGTTGCTTGACGCAAATCATCCAACACTGCTTTATTGAACTCTTCAGCTGATTTGTATTTTCCTTCATAGTCTTTGTTGATCACTCCCAGTTTCATCATATCCTCACCACTTATACGTTTGGATAAAAGCAATGCTTCAGCTGCCTTTGACCAACCTAATCTCATAGGGAATGTGGCTGACGAACCACCTTCTGCAACAATACCAATGTTGGAAAATGGAGCGAGCAAAAACGTTTTGGAAGCATCATGCACGTATACCAAATCACACATCATGACAATAGTAGCTGTCAATCCAATAGCAAATCCATTCAAGGCAACAGCCAAAATTTTTTTATGATTCATAATCGATTGAACCAAATGAACTTGCATGGCAAGTGATGAACGCAACCATATCTCGAGCTCCTTCCTTTGGTTGCCAACAGACTTGGTGTCCGCGCCCGCTGAAAAAGCTCTTCCAGTGGACTGAAGAATTGTGGCCACAGTGTCCTTTTCATCGTTTGCCTTCGCTATGAGCTGTGCAAGTTCATCATATTGATGCAGGGTAAGTGAATTTAATTTTTCGGGATTGTTCAAGGTTATGACAACGGCATTACCAATGACTTCGTAGGTGATGAGACCTGTGTATGACATTTTTCGCCAACGGGTTTGCGATATTGAAAATCGAAAAAGTGATGGAGTTGCATGTCCTTAAATAATACTGGCCTTTACAACTAATGAGTGCAGGACATCTGGTGCCTAAAGATCTTCGTGGGGAAACATTACACAAATTTGTAAAGTTTGCATTTCGATAAGAGAATATCAGAGTTTAATAACCTAATCGGATATTGCTTCAACAATTACAAGAAAATAAATTGTATTTTAAATTTATGTTTTGATATACAATCAATAGATAAAGCCCCCCCCCCCCCCCCCGCAGAACCTCATACTCGCAGACAGACCCCTCTTGGTTTAAACCCGGACTTTATTACATCTCTATTCTCTCATTCTGTTCTGCGTGTATCGTGCCCTATCGGTTTTGCCGCATCATGGCACGTTGGTCTTATTCAAGTCTTGATCCCGATTGTATACTTTTGATAACTTTCTGCTTTCCGAAGTCTTCGTAGCACACTCGTAAGTCTTATCATGGTTTTTTGGCGACTCATCACTCATAATGATCGCGATCTTTCGTAAAACAAGGGCAACAATACTAAAAATGGCAACGCTAGTTCAACTCAGTTCTCATAAAAAGTAACCAATACCAGCTACCAGTGCGTCAATAAAGATAAAGCGGTGTTTCATTTCACAAAATTTACATTAAGAAGACCGAAAAGTGGAAAAGCCAAATCAAGGGGAAAGTTTAAAGTCAGTTTTGCAACTAAACGTCTATATATTACTAAATAATCACATTTTGTGCTTCAACTCTCCAGATGTTAATTTTCTGAATCTTTCCATGGGAGTTCCGGAGGTCCAATTAGTAAGACCGACGTAGCTCTCTTGTGAGTTAGCATATGAAACAATCGGCTTGAAGTTGGTCTTGAGTAACTCTTTCATTTCGAATATCGAGGCAGGATGCAAGTTCTCTGTTGCTTGACGCAAATCATCCAACACTGCTTTATTGAACTCTTCAGCTGATTTGTATTTTCCTTCATAGTCTTTGTTGATCACTCCCAGTTTCATCATATCCTTACCACTTATACGTTTGGATAAAAGCAATGCTTCAGCTGCCTTTGACCAACCTAATCTCATAGGAAATGTGGCTGACGAACCACCTTCTGAAACAATACCAATGTTGGGAAATGGAGCGAGCAAAAACGTTTTGGAAGCATCATGCACGTATACCAAATCACACATCATGACGAAAGCAGCTGATAAACCAATAGCAAATCCATTCAAGGCAACAGCCAAAATTTTTTTATGATTCATTATAGTTTGAGTTAAATGAACTTGCATGGCAAGTGATGAACGCAACCATGTCTCGAGCTCGTTGTCTTGTTTACCAACAAACTTGGCATCAGCACCTGCCGAAAAAGCTCTTCCAGTGGACTGAAGAATAGTGATCACCGTATCCCTTTCGTCATTTGCCTTCGATATAAATTTTGCAAGCTCGTCATATTGAGGAAGGGTAAGGGAGTTTAGATTCTTGGGATTGTTCAAGGTTATCACAGCAGCATTGTCAATGACCTCGTAAGTTATGGGATCTGTCGAAGTCATCTTTAGTAGATGAGCTTTGGTTACTAAAAAAATTGGAGAATTGATGAAATTGCTTGTTTTATAAATGCACATAAAGTGATTTCATCCTCGGGAACTTCACGTGAGGAGGTGTTACACAAAGCTGTAAAGTCCGCGACATGAACACAGGCTGAGTAGCCCATGCGGACATAACAACATTAAGAATTGAAACTATTGTAAATCGATACTTTGGTATAAATTAAGTAGATATAACCCCGCAAGGACTGCAATCAAACAAAGTAAATTTTTCTCCTTTTGGTCACAATCCCTTTCACACCTCACTATCGCAGAGAGCAGTTTCATTACAAGCATTGTATTTACTTTCTCATTCTGTTTCGTGCATCCCGCGCTATCGCTCTAGCTTCTTCCACATCATGCATATTGCTATTATTCAAATCTTTAGCCAATTCATAAGCTTCTGATAACTTACCACTCTCTAAAGCTTTTCTAGCAAGCCATAGCCTAGCTTTTGATGTTTCATCACTAACACCCCATTCGATTTCCTGTGAAAAGCATAGTCTCATGTACTTGAACGTATCTTCAGCATTTCCCAATTTTTCCAGAATTGTGGCTAATCGGTAGCATATATGGGGTTCTACCAACTCGTCCAGATCTTCGAGTACATGTGAATTTGCGTCAGCCGATGTGAGAATACTGTCATGATGGTATTCGGCATTTCCAGAAGACGTCATCCTGCCAATGGCTAGTGCCTTTTCGAACGATTTTATTGCATCCTCTAGCTGATCTATCTTTTCATAACAATTACCAATTGCTTGCCACATTCGTTTATCCAGTGGCTGTAAGTTTGTGGCTCTTTGGTAATAATAGAGGGCATATAAATGCATATCCAAAACTTCATAAGCTTGACCTAATCCGTACCAAGCACGGAAATCTTTTGGGTTTGTGTCAACAGCTCGTCTATATGATTCAATAGCCGCGTGTGAGTTTTTCAATTCAACAAATTCATGTCCCATTAATGTCCAAGCACTTAGGCAATCCTTGTTCAATATTAATGCTCTCTTGTAGTACATGATCGCCTTTTCATGTTCGCTCTTCATCGAGTAGTAATTTGCCAAAACACAACAAGTTTCTGGTCGAAATCTATCTACTTGCGATGCATATTGCGCCAAATATGACAATTTTGATTTCTTTTCCATAACATACAACATATTTGAATAAGTGTCTAAGTCTTCTAACCTCGAAGGATCCTCTATCAAGATGTGATCAAATATCGATTCTGCTTGATAATAGTCCAAATTGTGGTAAGCAATTAAAAATTGTTGAACTTTTATAAAAGTAAAGTTAGGGAAAATACTCAGCAAGTGATTTACCAATTCAAATAACCTACCCAGACTTTGATGTGATTCTTGTAACACAACCATTTCAAAAATTTGAAACATGATTGTGCTAGCAAACGATTCGTTTTTCTTCTTCACTTTCTGAATGAAACCCTGTGCTTCTTCATACGTTACAAAGGAATTTATCAACTCTCGCCAACATGACCAATTGAATGGGAAAAGTACTAATGATTGATACAAATTTTTCTGAGCTGTTTGGATTTTCTTTCTCTTGCGATAAATAACTCCATTAAGGTAATAAAGGAAAGGATTTTCCTTCCCCGACAAGTATGCTTCCGACTCTGTGAGTATTCTCGTGTATTTAGAATTGGCAATGTTGTGATTTCCTTCCACTTTAGTTGCATCGTTATAATCATTAGGATTAACTCCGCTTCCATCAAGAACATTAACATCATTTGATCCAACATTAATCACTCCGTCGCTATCCTCAGTAGACCGTTTGTCAATAGATATCAACGTTGCATATAAGCGTAAGAATTTTGCGTCTCCACTTTTGCAACCTTCCAAGACTTGTGTCGTCCTATCAAACTCCTTGCAGTTAAAATACGACTGAGCTAGTAGAACTTTATCAAAGTCTTCATAACCCTCTTCGTCTAATTGTTGCGTAGACCCTATTCCTGCCAGAGTTAGTTCTTTGGAAAGTCCATTCAATGCCTCTGCGCACCATTTGGCAGATTGATAGAGGGAAAGTCGATTCAATCGTTGTACTGCATTTCGAAACTGGGTCCTCAAATCAGACAAGTCCAATTGATTGGTCATTGGTAAAACGTGAAAGGGTTCGTCTGTGTGTTTCGAAGCTATAAACGTGTAGGTGATTTCTTGAATAGAATTTGGTTGTAAAAAAAAAAAAACAATATTGATCATACTGTTTCATCACCGTCGAAGGCTAAATATCTACACGAGTAATGTCTTCAGTCGAGCCATCTGAGAAAATAGACCTACTTGTGAGTAGTCTTGAGAGAAACCTTGAAACTTTTAAGTCAGCCCATGACCTTTTGAATCTAAGTAAAGAACAGTTGAAGAATGAAGGTACGTTCACCCCATTAGATATCAGATTAAAGAAAAGAAACTACATCGTTGATTCTTTCAAATTGGACAAATCGCATAAGGAATACAAGGACTGGGAAAGTGAAACTAGGTTGCAATTTATCAAGGAGGATATTACAAATTACAACCAAGTCGTGGGTAAAATAGCCAAAGTTAATCAAAAGTTGAACGAATCAAGCAATTCTTATGAAGCTTTGGCAAAAACAATCAAAATACCAGACTTTACAGTAAGCATCAAGACTTTGGAAAATTACGGTGATGAGAAATTGTTGAAACTAGGGAAACTGTATGGTACGACGAACTTGCAATTGGAACAATTATTTTCACTCAATCCTGGTCACGAAAGTAAACTTCTTTTCCCTGATTTTTCAATAATTCAACGCTTAATCAACATAGAGTTTAGGCTACGGGTTGAGAAAAGAGTGCATTTGGAAATTTTGATGTTGATGAAGAACAAAATTCAGACACAAAATAGGACATGGACAGTAAGAGATAATCAATTGAAAGAGTTTTTTGATATCAAGGTACAGCAAATGATTGAATCGGTTGAAATGGCAAATGCAGAGGATAGTAAAGCGAAAGACGAGGAGGACGATGACGAAGAAGATGAAAGTGAAAGTGAAAGTGAAGGTGACGAGGGAGAAGCTGATCAAGGGCCAATGGATAGTGAGGATGATGTGGATGAAGAAAGAGACACCATAAACATTGAAAAACTGTCTAGAGCCGAAAACGACGGAGCTGTATCGGAATTTGAGGAAAACATAGAAAAGAAGAGGAGTGAGATAGATAGATCAGAGGTGGTATATCGTCATGAGTCTGAGGTGCATACGAACGAGACAGAACCAAGTAATCAAAATGAAGGTACCAATACTCAACCATTAGTGGAGTCTGACAACGACGACGAAGAGATGTTGCATTGATTATTGAAATTCTTGTATAAACCATTTATAAAACCCGCATCTATACAAATCTTCATAAATTACGCGACTCCTCAGTCTTCTCCCGCAATGCTCTATTTTTTATCAATGGATGGTACAGGTACTGCTTGCTCTTTTTGCTTGGTTGGATCACCATCTATAATGTACTTGAATACTTGCATTGGTGAGTCTCCCAAATCACGTCTGTAATTAACAATTCTAACCAATTGGTAACCAGCAACTGCACCCAAGAAGAAATTGACAGAAGCTAATAAGGGATTTCTAGGCTTGATAACAAAACCAGCCCATCTAGTCCATATAGCACCAGTAGCAAACAAAGCAATTTGTTGGGTACCACTTAATTTCTCAACAGGCCTTTGTAAATCATTTATACCAGCAATGACCAATGCCCATTTGAAGACAGGTGCCCAAAAATGCACCGTTTTAGGACCAGTTTCGGAGTTTAAGAAACGAGTAAACTTGGAAGCGTGTTGTGCTGTTGAGGCCATTATGAAGAAAGTGTGAGTACTTGAATATGTATTAGTGGGATAGGTATAAAAGCTAGCTTGTAAAAAGATTTTCAATCCTATTTGGTATTAGTCTGATTGGCAGTTATCCAATCTACACTTTGTCTTTCTCTTTTTTTTTTTTTTTGTCGTTTTTGTTTTCCCACTTTTAGCGGAGCAAAGTGGTTTTCTTTTTTTTTGTTGAGGAGAAGATTTCAATCCGATTTTGGTACCGTCTTTGTGTAATTGATATACCGCAAGGACAAATTCTTCTACTGATGCTGACCAACATAACTATTCTCTCTTGCTTCAAAGACATTGCGTATAGTTGAGAAGCAAATACAAAGTCTTTCTAAATTTATCTATGATTTAGTTTATGTTCCTATATGTAACCTCCTTGTTCACACAAGCTATAAAATACCCCACGTTTGGCCAGTAAAAGATGGCTTGGAGTGTCAAACTCTGCAACTTGTCCATCGTTTAATGCTAGTATCTTGTCACTGTCCATTACTGTCTCTAGCCTATGTGCTATAGTAATGATGGTCTTGTCTTTGAACTCCTGACGAATCGTTTCTTGAATGATTTTGTCTGTCTCCACATCAACAGCTGCAGTGGCTTCATCGAGAACAAGAATCTTTGAATCATTCATCTTCAACAACACTCTTGCGAGTGACATTAGCTGTCTCTGACCTGCTGAAAAGTTGGAACCGCCTTCAAGCACTTTGCAAAATAGCTGGTCATTAGTGAGCTTCAAGGCATCGTTGGTACTACCATCGTTGGTACTACCATCGTTTTTATGAACATCATCGCTATTGAGCTGAAGAACATGAGCTTTCAAATGAGCTAATTCTAAAGCTTTCCAAATCTCATCATCAGTATAATAGTCAAAGGGATCTAGATTTTGCCTTATTGTCCCCTTGAATAATTGCGAATCTTGTGGAATTATACTCAAACGGTGCCTCAACTCATACAAGGAGATTGCACTTGTGTTGATGTTGTTTATTTCAATGTTTCCCTCCGCTGGTTCGATGATTCTGAAAATAGCCAATGCAAGTGTACTTTTGCCAGCTCCAGTTCTACCAACAACGCCTACCTTCTCACCTTCAGCAACTGTCAACAGAATGCTCTTCAAGACTAAGTCAAGATTCTGTCTGTATCTTGTAGAGTAATCAGTGAACTGAATATCACCACGTTTGTACCAGCCAATAGGTGGGGTGAACACTTTTTTACTTTCTTCTTCCTCCACTGGCAATTGCGTGTACTCCAAACACCGCTCAACTGCAACAATGCTCGTCTCAACTTCCGCCGATTGTCTCACTACAATCCTCAAAGAGCCTGTCACTTGTAGTGCATAAGTCATCAAAAACCCTGCCATGGATGAAGTCAAGGGGTGTGCTGTACGAACACTTAAAATCAACATAATTGAAGCCGACAACACAGCTAATCCTCCCACAACTTGTAATCTGAAAAATAACCACCTATTGATCGATGTGAGCATATATTGAGATTTCAAGTTGAAATCAACAACTTTATTCATGATGAAATCAAATCTGTCATTTTGCCCATAAGCCCTAATGGTGTCAAGACCGTTTAAACTTTCACCCAAGTGACCATAAATTGGAGACCTCGAAACACTTACTAACCTCTTCAACTCTCTCGAAATAGCAACGTAATAAACTTCGTAATAAGCGTAAATGGCACCCAATACTAAAATCAGGATAAAATACGCAGGAATTGCGAGACTAACAACTATTAGCGTGAATATAGTTCGACTTACTTGTGAAACAAATGCCAGGAATATAGCTGGAATTCCATCGTCAATCCTATTTATGTCATTGGTGAAACGATTCATAATTCTCCCCACGGGGGTCCTTTCGAAAAACTCCATAGGTGCCCCCACAACTCTCTTTGCCATCTGATTGTGTATTTTTTTAGATGCATTTATACCAAGCCACATCCTCATGATTAATGACCGGCCAACAGTCATAAAAGTGGCACCTACCCCCAACGCGGCATACACTATAAGAAAGTTCCAAATATCCTTATTTTCCCCAGCTTCGGAATTTTGTTCTGTCCAATGTTTGAGCCAATAATTACTTCCAATTGATAGAAGATTCGACATGATTATGAAGCATAACCACACGAGGATTCCTCCAATTGAACAAGCTTTTATGTATGCTATGTAAACTTCCCACTTCACTTTCCCCTTTTGACTCTCTTCTTGCGTCAAACCCGATTTCAAATTTGGCAATAATTTTTGCAAAGGATCCCAGTGGAATGACTCAATACTCGCACGTCGTGATTTATCCAATTTCATTAATGTCTGTGTTTCTAACTCACCTTCCACGACCAGAGTATCAGTTTCGCTTGATGCTGGAGGTGGTGGTGGCGTTGCTGACGAACTCTCACTTGTATCATTCCCAAAGTTTTTGATCAAATTATAAATCTTAGGATGATGGTTTTGATCAACTTCCAGGTATGGAACTGACTCGATTATGCGTCCCTTTTCAATCATCGTAACGCTGTCGGAATATTTCAATACCAGAATCAGATTTGTACACAAGATGATTGTTCTTGAACCTAGCAATCCGTTTTTGGAAAGAACTTGTTCTATAATCTTCTTCCCCACATGTGAATCGACTGCTGATAGGATATCATCCAACAAGTAAATGTCCGCCCTAGCATACACTGCTCTTGCAAGAGCTAACCTAGCCTTTTGTCCACCTGATAAACTGACACCCTTTTCACCAACTTGTGTTTCGTCTCCATCTGGCAAAATTTTCAAATCTTGTTCTAACTGACACGCGGCGATAGTTAACTTGTAGAATTCTTGATCAAATTTGCATCCAAACAAAACGTTTTCCTTGACAGAGGCATTCATAATCCAAGGGCTCTGAGCACAATAAGCGACTGATCCATAAACGTTTACCATTGGCTTGATTGGCAATTGTCCCTTAATGCAAACCATCTGACCGAGAAGTGCATATAATAAAGAGGTTTTCCCACTACCGACTTTTCCAATTATACATGACAAGGATCCTGTAGAAGCTTGGAACTTCACATCTTTCAACGCGTGAGAATCAGCAACTACTTCGACTTCCGTATCGTCAACGTATCTCGGTCTAGTCCAGTAAAACGACGCATTGATTATCTCCACTGCATTCTCATGGGAATCATTGGAATCTTTTATTTTGCTTATGGCGCTCGGATCGAGTTCTTCATTAACCAAAAAGTTGCGCACCCTTTTCAACGCCACTTTCCCCTCAATATAAGAGTTGATTGTCTCGGAAAATTCCAAGATAGGGTTGGAGACCAAACTCAATAAACTCAATGCAGGAAAAACAATGTCAGAGGTTAATGGCTTCTTTTGTGTTAAAACATAGGATCCAAAACAAAGCAAGTTCATCAATATAGGTATCAAAGACCAAACAAAGTTTGATACTTGATTGTAAAATCTGACCTTGACCAAGTTCTTTAATTCGCGGTCATTTCTAGCCTCCGATAATTTGGCCAACATAGGTTTCTCCCACGCAAACAATTTTATACTTTTTATTGATGTTAAGATTTCATTGATTACCCCCGTTCGCTCGTCCTTCAACTTCATTTGCTTTCGGTTCCAGTTCGTGATGTACTTGACTAGTATAGCATTAATTGGCAAAGCCACTACAATAGCTATGAAACCAGCAAAAGTGGACACTCCTAATAATGGCCACAACGAAATCAAACCCAAAATTATGTCAAAGGGGGCTATAATCAAGGTACTGATACTCAACATTGCTGACGATATTCTATTGATATCGACAGACATCAAGTTTATTATGTCACCCGATGGGCTATTCAATCTTGCTTCGCTTGAAAGCTTCAAGGCTTTTTTATAAACCAATGATGTTAGTGAGCTTCGAATATTTAAGCTGTTTTCCAAATTTCTCAACATGTACTTGTTATTTAATGCATTTTGAGCCACGGTATTGGCAAATATCCCCACGCAAATTAGTGATCCTCGTAACATTGGTGGGTTCTTTATGGTGAAAAATAAAATGAGAAATCTCAACAACTGTGGCTTAGTAAAGTTAAGTGCTCTAGCTGCTAGCTCGTATCCAAAGGCCACAAAGAGGCCACCTCCAAAGGAGTTGAGCAAACTGGTGAGCAAGCTCCCATTGTGCCAATGTTTTTCCAAAATGGTGGTAGAATACACTGTTGAAATTTCTTTTGGTGTATTTGGTAACTCGGTGTTTGTTACAGTCTTGTTCTTGTAGGAGTTGACGATTAATTTATTCATCCAAGTGAACGTGAGACGTTGAAGTATATTGGGCTCTTCTAACTTCTCTTCGTATCCAGCTCTTTTATACTCCTGAATTATATCTTCACTTGGCTGCCATTTGAAATATTCTAACACGAATATATTGATACTGTTTATCACCACGATGATCTCAATAATCAGAATCGATTTCACCAGTTGAATAATAACCCAATTCGTGTAATTGTCTTGAAAATATAGTGCACTAGCAAGTACTGTAAAGCATGGCCAAAAAACAAGTAGTATATCTAGCTGAATGGGAGAGCTCACAGTTTCCAACAAATGTAATGGCAAGATGACACACAGCATTGTAACTGATAGCAAACCAAAAGCAACAATCTTTTGATCCGCTAACCTCTCGTGAATGCTAACAAAGCTGCTGATATATAGAAATAAGACAACCTGAATCAGTACAGCCGTAACTCGAACAAACTGTGCTGAACCTACATTCTTGAGCAGGTAGTCTGGTTGATGAAGCTTTCTCCACTGTTGCCAAAAGACAGTTCCACCCCATAAAAGAATACACGTGGCAAAGATTGATACCGTAGTTGTATAGAAACATGGATTAAATGCATTTGCGTTATTGGGGGCCATCGGTACCAAGACTGATTGCAACCCACACGTTAAGGTGGGATAATTCATCGTGTTTGTGTTTAGTCGGGTTTGAGTTATATGTTAGCTCATAAGGTGAAGATGCTTGTACTCCCTTTTTGGATCGTAGGTAAGTGTGCTGATTTTCCTGAATAAAGTAGTGTTTAGCTTTACTCGCCACAAACTGGCTCTCGAGAATAATCTGTAATCTCTGCTACCAGTTACACTTGACTAAGCGAGATACCGATATTCGCTATCGATATCGCTACTATCGGTGAATTGAACATAATGGCACTTATCGTTATCGTATAGTCTATCTACATGGATTGTTCAAGGTTGCGCCCATTGAACTAGGAAGAGCTCAGTCCAATCATAGATAGAGTTTGCCAACGCACCCAATAATAACGTGCACAAAAAGTGCTTCTCGCATATTCTGGATTTCCTAAAAACCTTCGTCCTAGCTTCAAACCTAGAAATGCAATTTGCTGAAACTATATAGATGATGTTGCTATTGGTTTATTTACAGTATTTTGAGTGATATTAATTAGGCATATTATGTTTCAAAATTGTTCAATCTTTGCCTACATCACGATCTTGTGGAATAAACACAAGATCTCATCTATCTGAAGACCACGTAGCTTTCTCGTCATTACCATATATGATCCCATTTTATACCAATGATAACAAGCATATATGTTTCAGTGTAGCTGTTTGATAAGGTGTGTTGTTGGTATCACTCCAGCATAATAAAAAAAATAATACCCACACTAAATCTTTGGCAGCCAAAAATTTGCAAAAGTGTAAAAACCCCTCAAAGTTGCTCCTCTTTCAATTCAAACACGTTCTTGATTTCTTCCTTTTTCTTTCTTTCCTTCTGATCATCATCAACATCATTACTATCACTACAACAGTTTATCACAGGGTTCAGAGTCCTCCATTCTCATTTAAACTCCTACAGACTCTGCCAAGAAACACATCCAACTCAAACACATCAAGCTCAAACACAACGAGGTGAAAGCTTTTGGCCACACATTTCCCCAGAAAGCTTTTTTTCCATCTTTCTGGGCAACACCTGGAGAAGTGATTGGACTCAACGCCCCATTGATTCTGAATGTGAAAACAGCCGCTGAGTGGGTCTTGTGGAAACTAGGGTTTCTTTGCTGATGGTAGTCAGATATACTCAATGGAGGGAAGAGTTTTGGTTCTAAATGGGATGAATCTTACAAACGGAGGAAGTGAACTTGTGATTAAAAACTTGTCCAAATGATTTCAACACTGGTACGTTAATAACTGTCATATTCCATGGCTAACAAAGAACTTCTAGCTGTTGAGTTGAGGAGATACGTCCTGTTATTTCTGTTGTGCAGGACTAACATTCAAACCCAGGCAGCTCAATAGAAGATTCATGATGGTTACCCGATGAGTCAAGTTTTCAAAGGCATTTTAATTCCAAGCGTCATTTTGAGCTTGTGTCTTTTATTTTGATTATCCCTCACTTTCAAATTAGATGGTTCCGTTTTGTTTACTTTCCTGATTTGATACAGTTTAATTTCCCTATTTGTTGGGTTAAGAGGACCCCCAATGGTTGAAGGCATGTCAAGTTGTCTTGTTGATTTTCTGAAAAACTCCAGTTTCCCTTGTTGAGTCCCAAGATTTTGATCTTCAATCTATTCTTCTAATTCACCCATATGTTGAATTAATATCCCAATGAAATTGATAAAGAGCCCAACTCTCTCCCAGTATATAATCTCTGATCAATATAAGTGTTGTGTTGTTTGTGTTTTGAGATGAAGGTCTCTAAAAGCTGATGAGAGTATTTTCGCTATACAGATTTCATTGGAATGGGTGTGTAGCTAAGTCTGATGGTCAATTCCTCAATGGCAACTAAACATCTCTCCGCAACAATCTACAACAATTGTACTAGCGACATTATAATATTATTGTACAGCTATGTATTCAAACAAAACCAATTTCCGATGTTTTGATAACCCAATATTCATTAAAGACAACAAAATTCATTCACATGAGACACTTCTATCAGACGCTGATAATGCGTCTACAACGTCAGTATATGGCTAGTATACGGCGCATCTAGAGGGCCAGATAGCAAATGCACTCTTAAAGATTCTCACAAAATAGTTAAAACTCCACTTTCTCTCGATAAATACAGCGTGATCAAATCATCAGAGGCGAAAAGCACTCTTAAGCAGCAATGGTGACTTCGACATCTACACCTGGTTCAATAGTGATCTGAGTAATCTTCTTGACAGTGGCAGCTGGAGCTTGCAAGTCAATAACTCTCTTGTGGATTCTCATTTCATAAGCATCCCAAGTCTTAGAACCTTCACCATTTGGAGCCTTTCTGGTGGTGATTTTCAAAACCTTGGTTGGCATTCTAACAGGTCCCTTCTTAACAATGTTGCTTTGAGAAGCGTTTCTGATGATGTTAGCAGAAACATTCTCCAATTGCTTGACCTTGGTGGAGGTTAAGGTGATTCTGATCTTGTGAATTTGTTGTTCTGGTTCTTGTTCTAACTTCTCCTTGTTGATTGGGGCAGACATCTTGATGTGGTTCTTTTTAGTTGACGTTGTTGAAGAACTAGAACAAATGTGTGAATCGTCTCTAGGTTGAAAATTGAAAAAAAAAATTCCCACGAGAGAGTGAGAGAGCACGCTGATAATATTCGTTACACAAAAATCATTTCAGTAACTTCTGTGTTACAGGGCTGTAGCCCTAAATATAGGTCAGCTTGTTGCTAGTTTATAAATGAAAAGGATAAAGTCGGTATTTCTATATCAGAGATACGATAAATCTGTCACTCGACTTGAGCTACAACGGTAGCTCATAAGTTTGCTTTGTGTGACTTGAAGTTGAAACCAGAGTAGCTTGGAGTTGATTGTTTCCTTATAATGAGCACTTATTGGAAACACGATTCGACATGCAAGCGGTCCTTTAGTTAAATGTAATGCCCGAGTGGCCAATGTATCGCCACTATGGACATGCCTGAGTACTACTAGATGATCATGGCATTCCCGATTCCTAACATGAAGTTAGTACTAGCTCAACCAAAAACTAAAGTTCAACTCAGAAATCAATTATATTGGTTTTCTCCATTTCTGTTTTAGGATTGTCAGAGAGATTCCCAATTGAAAAAAAAATTCATCATATTGAATAGCTGTAACATACTCTTTGTATTCGTATTGAGTTGTCGTAAAGAGGATCAAAAGTAGGGTGAAAGCAAATTTTCAAAACAAATTCTAAATGCTTTCTCTAATGTGGTGGTAGCTACCATGTGCTTTTTGAGAATTTGCAATCACTAAATCTCCTTACATTTCTTTACAAAAGACTCTCTACCATTGAAGAGGGAGCATGTCATCTCTATACATTACCAGTATTTGCAAAAGCTAACCTTTTCAACTTTCCTCTTTTTTGGGCGGCTCCACCTCTCCAAAACCTATTTACAAATACCTTGAGTTCAATGATTGACCTCATCTTCTTCTCCTCTGAGCTGCCTCCTTTTCCAATCCTCCAACTACTTTCCACATCAATTGCAAATCATCCGGAGTAGAGTAGCCACTAGTTGCCCATCTGATCTTACCATTAGGATCAAGGATGTAGATATAACCTGATGTTTGATTGTCGCAATGTAACTGCTCCCTAATCTCTGGAGGCAATATATGCAATGGCAATATGAAATAATTCTTATAACGCTCAGGTGAAATCATTTTTCTCAAATTGGATAAAGACAAGTTCAAGATAAATCCTTTGAGCCAACTCGATGGCATATTGACATCAACAATTTGGAAATTGGGAAATTTTTCTATGAATTTTCCATAATCTGTAGTATAATAGTCCTCTTCGCCAACTTTAAAGTACGAATTTGTGCACTTCTCACCTATTACTGTTGAATATAATCTCACTATGCTGTACTTCTTGTTAAGAACATCGTATAGACTGTTCAGCTTTCCTGTCAAAGTCTTCGCAATAAAGTCAGGAAAGCATAGCGACTTGTCCTGCTTGAACCACGAAATTGGAGGCTTGAATATTTTACCTTTCGTATTCTGAAATGACTTTATATCGTAAATTGGTGAGTGTTTGATGTCGTAGTCGAGATTCTTTTGCCTCCTCTCTTTAGCTTGAGCTCCGAATAGTTCCTGTCCAATATTCGCAAAGGAGTATGTGTCAGACAATTTATGATTGAGCAAGACCGGTTTAGTCAACCCAATGGGTCGCGTTATTTCATAAGAGTCCTCTTGCGCAGGTTTTGACACTTCTTGAATCGTATTCACAAATCGCGGTTGTGACTTTTGTTGAAAGAAACGCAAAGACGTACTCAATGGTCTCGTCCCAAGTCTGGTTGCGCTCATGGTGTGTGCGTGTGTGTGTGTGTGAAGGACAAAATCTCTCAAAGAGTGTACACATTTGCTCTCTTTATCCTCACTTTTTTCTGGATGGTAGTAAACAATCGGTGTGAGCGATATAATCAACAACTGACAAAATTTTCCCAACCAATGTTTTTTTTTGCTGATCAAAGAGGAGTCCTTCTTGAAATCATCTACGTCACATCGCATTCGAGAGCCTTATATAAGAAGAAGAAAGATCTTGCATTTTTTTAACATATTGTCATGTCTATACAGCTAAGAGATGGTTTGATAAACCAGCTGTTGGATCGTGTCCTTGAAGACCTTTTGGTGAGGTTCGTTGTCAATGTTCCAGAGGAAGACTTGTCTTCAATAGAGAGGGTATTTTTCCAAGTGGAAGAGGCGCACTGGTTTTATTTGGACTATGTACGCCAATTGGATCCTAGTCTACCTTCTATGAAAATGAAGACTTTTGCTTCCAAACTTTTGGAGAAATGTCCTCTAATATGGAAATGGGGAGATCCTTCCGATGCATTAGCAAGGTTTGGAAAATACAAGAGCACCATCCCCGTAAGAGGAGTTGCATTGTTCAATAAGGATTTGACAAAGGTGTTATTAGTCAAAGGAACAGAGTCGAATGCATGGTCATTCCCCAGAGGAAAGATATCTAAAGATGAAAGTGATGTCGATTGTGCTGTGAGAGAGGCCGAGGAAGAAATAGGGTTCAATTGTTCGGAATTGATAGACAAGAATGATTATGTTGAAAGGACAATCAAAGGTAAAAATTACAAGATTTTTCTTGTGAAGAATGTGTCGGAGGACACCCATTTTGAGCCAGTTTCTAAGTATGAGATTTCTCAGATCAAATGGTTTGACATCAAGTCGGTGCAAAAGAAGGTCAAGTCTAATCCGAACAATTTTTTCATAGTAGCAACAATAATCAAGCCGGTTATGAAATGGGTCAGTAAGAACAAGGGAGTGTTGAGTGAGGAGGAGCTCATGCAGCAGGCAGAGATCAAATTAAAGAAATTAATGGGATTAAACAAATGCGAAGAGAATGTGGATGCAGGAAGGGAATTGCTCAACATTTTGCAACGTGCAAAACCAGCATCAAGAACAGAGGACATTCCACAGGAATCGACAAACGCCGAGACTTCTCAAACTGGTATTACCCCAATGGTCAATGTACGTCTTCCACCACACCTTCAAAACCAAATCCCATTTTTCACAGGCGCCAATTACCCCCATGCCCCTTTTTTCATGCACCCGATGGCTAACAGCATGGCGCAAGCTCCCCATTTTCCACAACCTGGATTTTTCCACCCTCACCAACAACATAACCAGCAATTACCACCTAATCCTGAAAACTTGTCGAAGCCCATAACGCATTCAAAAGAGTTGTTATCCATCTTGACAACCAAGAATGAGGCCAAGAAAGAGGATGTGGGTGTAGTACGAAAGAGTAGTGCTGATTCTAGAAATATAAGGTCAAGAGCCCAGCAGCTAATGAGTGTATTTCCCAAGAGAAAAGAGGCAGCGGAAGCAAAAGAAGTCAAAGTGGAGAAGAATAAGGCACATTCAAGAAGTGCAAGCCCTGCAAACAATGGACCAATTTCAATTCTAGATAAAAAAGAGTCCCAACTGGACAGATCAACACTGAATAAGTCCACGCCTAAAGATAAGGCTGCATCCAAGTTATCACGACAACAACCATCCAACGAGATCGAAGAGTCTATTCGCTCATCGTATCATCGTCAGCCAGTCGTTGGGCAAAAGATCAAGCTACTCAAGAGATCGGATAACCAAGACTCAAAGGATCTTTTAAACTTATTGGGAGGACCTAAAAAGGAGACTACAGGAAAATCTGATGAATCCGGTGCAGTAGAGCCAAATGACGTTCACCAAATCCAGAATGTGGCAATTTTCAAAGGGAATGGTGATGCAAATGGATCAAAACTTCCCGAAACACAGCCCGCCACTGATCGTGCCGCTTCGCAACAATTGCTAGGCTTTTTACATAGAGAGACACCGTCCAAGGCTTCTGAAGATGGGGGGAAGAAGGCAAGCGGGATTGCTGATGTGTTGAACAAAGAGACTCGCGATCATGATATCACACCTAGAGTGGTATCTCCGACAAGGGATTTCCTTAGTTTACTCAAGAAACCAAATATTACCGATTCACGTGATACATCAAGTGTCGAACCTTCTCCTTTAGGAAGCAAGCCTTCGAAGCAACAGCAGCAGCAGCAACAACCCCAACAACACAAAATTCAATCTTCAACTTCTGCAAACAAGTTACTTAGTTTACTCGGAAGAAATCCATCCGACGGTGGTAAAGGAAGTATGAATCAGGATATTTGGAGCAGTCAAGATAAGAGGCCAAGCATAACCTCGCCAAATGCGTTAGCCAGTATACAAAAATTTGACAGAGAAGTTGGTAGCAATCAAGCTACATTATCGAATACAATTGCATCCCCGGTTTCAGATAATTGGGGGTTTTCTCAAAACGAACCGTATCAACAGCCGCAACAAATGCAACAAATGCAGCAATCACAACAATCGCAACAACCGGAATTATCCACCACAAATGCATATGCATTGAACGACATTCTAAGAAACGACGATGCGCAAAAGTCACTGAATTTGAGCGATATGTATAAAGCAGGAGGAAACAGTGCACAAGTCACCCAAAATCGTGTGTATGCACCTACACAAGAGCAACAAGAGAATCATTTTGACAATTTTGAAGATTTCGAGGATTTCGAAGATTTTGATAATTTTAATGCATTCAATGACAAATATGTATTTGAAGAAGAGTCATTGCCCAAAACCTTTAATAATTTTGATGTTGATAGTGATGACGAAAATATTGAAGGTCATGCTGCAATGCATAACAAGCAACAAACCCATCACTTTGAACGAAACCAGCGTCCGCAACACTCACAGCAGTCTTACTATCAAAGTGCCGGTCTGTTTCAACAACCACAAGAGCTAAATAAAGCCACAAATGGAGGTAACTCTGGTACTTCCAAGTTAGCGGAACCTAAATTTAATCTTTCTACATCTACACGATCAACCATTGGCCTAAATGATCAATCGGAAAATCCAGGTAAAGGATTATTGGCATTATTGAATCGAGGAAAATCTTGACTAATGTATAGTTTTGTAATATTAAAAGAAACGATTCTTGATTAAATACTGAAAAACTCTCTGGCATTGGTTTTGATTGCCTTTCTCTGTCGTTGAGGCTTCTCTTCATCAGTATACAGCTCCCAAATGTTTGACATATCGATGAATGTTGATCTCTCGTAAACAAAAGTTGTTCTGTTTTTGTTACTCTTTAGGGATCTGTTTCGTAGATTCCAAGCTTCTTCCATGTTGTGTGAGTTGTATAGCTCTTTCGCTATGAATATGTCGAGAATGGGGGTTTTAGAAACGAGTTGATTTGGTGAACATGACCGACTCAGCGTTGTCCCCAGCCTCGTCTCCAGCCTCGTCAACGCATTCAAGCTTAGTCCCATTGGCATAGTTTGAACGATCCTCATTCTACCTGAATCCATAAGTTGCCAATGTTTGTGATCAAGCTTGAAATCGAGTTGTATATAACTCAATTTGCAAGATTGAAACAGAATCGCATCAAGAAACTTCATCGCTCCTGTAGGTGTCACTTTTGTATTTGATAATTTAATCATTCTCAATTGATTCAACTTAGTGCTATTACCAATACAGAAGCCCAAATGTTGCAAAAACACGTCATCAACATCGTGGTTTGATAAATCGACGCAAATCAAATTGGGGATATTGAAAATCAGAAAGTATTCTTCCTTGGGCATTTTTGATTGTTGTTGAGACATGTCCCAAATAACAAATGATTTCAACTCAGCCAAATTGTGAATCATTTCAGAAATCAATATGTTGGAGAATAAACTCTCAACCCGATGTAGTCGATTTTGAGGAATTTGAGTGAATGCAATAGTTTCATCACGAACATCTACAATGTGTGCTTTATGGCTTTTGAAATCGGGCAAATGTCCAAAATTTTTAAGAAACAATGTGTATACTTGGATTGAATCTGTGTTTGTAGCCAAGATCATTGTCCAAACAATTTTCCAAATGGACCAGGGCAAAGTTGCCAACAACTCGGGTGATAATTTGGATGCTTGGGAGGCAATGGTTTCAGCAGATAGGTGTCGTAGTGATCGTAATGCTCTGGAGCTTTTCAGTTGAGTTAGTCCACTAGGTGTGACTCTATCCCATGAATACGATCCTGTTGTCAATTGAGTGTCGATAAAGTTCAAATTCAGCTGTCCATGGATGGCATATTTAGTTTCGAGTGATTGTACGTCCTTGTTGACAAACTCTTTGAACTTATCTTGCCTTTTGTATCGCTTGGTTATACCCCTACTCTTTGTCTGCTTGTAATATCTTGACCGGTGTTTCATTACAACTAAATATCTCTTTTATATATGTAAACGTTTTTTGTTGTTGGTTGTATTTGCAACTTTATTTTGTGTTTCTCTTTCTCTCGCGACGCTGGAAATTCGTGATGAGCTTTTTCCTTCATTGACACTACAACTCCCTCGAGCACCTTACGAATTACATTAATATGAAGTTGGACACTTCTCATATGAGGTATTTAACCTCCGACGATTTCAGGGTATTACAAGCAGTAGAATTAGGCTCAAGAAATCATGAGTTAGTTCCGACCCAAATGATCCATTCGATATCAGGAATGAAAGCCCCATCAGGTACACAAAGGGCGATTGGAGACTTGGCTAAATTGAAACTAGTTGCTAGGTTGCGAAATGCTACATATGATGGGTTTAGGTTGACGTATAATGGATATGATTATCTCGCTTTAAAATCGATGTTGAATCGAAATACATTGTACTCAGTCGGGTCCACCATTGGTGTTGGAAAAGAATCAGATATTTATTCAGTTAGTGATCCACAAGGTGTGCAAAAAGTTTTAAAAATCCACCGTCTTGGTAGGACTTCATTCAAGACTGTTAAAAACAACCGTGATTACTTGAAAAATAGACACACTTCAAATTGGATGTACTTGTCACGATTAGCAGCGGCAAAGGAATATCAATTTATGCAGATACTTTACGACAATGGGTTCAATGTTCCGCAACCATTTGATTACTCTAGACATTGTGTAATGATGGAATGGATTAAAGGAATACCAATGAAGCAGTTAAACACTGGTAACATTGGTAAATTAGACTACAAGAAATTGTATTCCGATCTTATGTGTTTTATCGTCAAGCTAGCTAAATCAGGACTAATCCATTGTGATTTCAATGAATTCAACATTATAATCAGGGACCCATCTGAGTCAAACAAGACAAGTGATTTTGTCGTTATTGATTTCCCGCAATGTGTATCTATTGAACATCCAGATGCAAAGACGTATTTCGATCGTGATGTACAAGGTATTCGAGATTTTTTCAAGAAAAAATTCAAGTATGATCCTCAACATGACTCGACTATGTTTGATACTGATGGATATGGAGATGGTTACAAGTATGCGTATCCTAACTTTAAACGAGATGTCATTAGAGAAAAACTGTTGGATGTAGAGGTTGAGGCTTCAGGATATGCGAAAAAAAGGACTGGTAAGCAGGAGGTTAAGGATTTGGAGAAGGCGGTGATGGGAATGAGAATCACAGCTGATGAAACTGACGAATTATCTGAATTTGAAGATGACGACGAGGAGGCATATGACGAAGAAGATGAGGAAGCAGACGATGACGACGACGACGACGATGAGGAGGGCGATTACTATGAAGAGGAAGATGTGCAATTTAGTGACAACGATGCTGCACACGAGGAAGAAAATGAAAAAATCATAGCTGCTCTATCCGCCGGAGACAAAAACCTCAAAATGGACAAACTAGGTAATTATATACTCGATGAATAGACTAGAGCTACAACACTTCACAGATATACTGTATTCCAACAACGTTGTGTATTTTTACCTATTTCTTTTCTTTTCTCTCTTTTTTGAAACGTGAAAAATTATACAGATTATAAACGTATATGCACTCCCTGTCTCTTACATTCTCTTACCCACTCGCTCTTTATCTCTGTCTCTCTCCTTGGGCTACTTAACGAGTGGCCATACCTTTAGTGACAGCTCTCTTCAAAGTCAATTCAGCTTTTCTATAATCATCAGCAGATGAGTCTTCAATTTCCAAAGTTTGCAAAGCATCAGACAAAGCAGCTTCAATCTTGTCCTTGGCAGATTTCTTCAATTTAGCACTCAAGACTGGGTCGGTGACAGTTGATTCAACTGAAGCAACATAAGCTTCCAATTTTTGTTTTTGTTCGTGTCTCTTGGCAAAAGCATCATCAGAAGATTTGAATTTTTCAGCATCATTGATCATCTTTTCAATTTCTTCAGTTGATAATCTACCAATAGAGTTGGAGATGGTGATGTTGGCGGATCTACCGGTGGATTTTTCAACGGCAGTAACCTTCAAGATACCATTGGCATCAACTTCGAAAATGGCTTCCAAAACTGGTTCACCAGCTTGCATTGGTGGGATGTTCTTCAAGTCAAATTCACCCAACAAGGTGTTTTCGGTACAATTGACACGTTCACCTTGGTAAACTGGGAATTGAACGGTGGTTTGGTGGTCAGCAACGGTGGTAAAAGTTCTTCTCTTGATGGTTGGAACAGTGGTGTTTCTTGGAACAACTGGAGCAAAGACATTACCTTGCATAGCAACACCAAGGGACAATGGGATAACATCCAACAACAACAAGTCCTTGGTTTCATCATTAGTAGATTGACCAGTCAAGATAGCACCTTGAACAGCAGCACCATAAGCAACAGCTTCATCAGGGTTGATTGATTTTTCCAATTGTTTACCATCAAAGAAGTCAGACAACAATTTTTGAACTTTTGGAATTCTGGTTGAACCACCAACAAGGACAACTTCATCAACTTGAGACTTGTTAACCTTGGCATCCTTCAAAACTTGTTCAACTGGTTCCAAAGTAGACTTGAACAAAGCAGCATTGATATCTTCGAATCTAGCTCTGGTGATATTGGCGGAGAAATCTTCACCATCAAACAAAGAGTCAATTTCAACAGTTGTTTGAGTACCAGAAGACAATGATCTCTTTGCTCTTTCACAAGCAGTTCTCAATCTTCTTAAAGCTCTAGCGTCACCGGAAATGTCCTTACCAGATTTTTTCTTAAATTCATTCTTGAAGTGTTCCAACAAGTTGGTGTCGAAATCTTGACCACCCAAGTGAGTATCACCAGCAGTGGCTTTAACGGTGAAAACACCACCAGTAATGTTCAACAAGGAAACATCAAAAGTACCACCACCCAAATCGAAAATCAAAACATGTCTTTCCTTTTCGGATTTACCAGCACCCAAACCATAGGCAATGGCAGCAGCAGTTGGTTCATTGATAATTCTCAAAACGTTCAAACCAGCAATGGCACCAGCATCCTTGGTAGCTTGTCTTTGAGCGTCATTAAAGTAAGCTGGGACAGTGATAACGGCTTTTTCAACCTTTTTACCAATTTTAGCTTCAGCAATTTCCTTCATCTTGGTCAAAACCATTGAAGAGATTTCTTGTGGGGAAAAAGTCTTGGTTTCATCCAAGTATTCAACCTCAATTTGTGGTTGTCCATTGACATCAATAACCTTGAATGGCCATGACTTGATATCCTTTTGAACGGATTCATCATCAAAAGCTCTACCAATTAAACGCTTAGCATCAAAAACAGTGTTTTTTGGGTTCAAAGCAGCTTGATTCTTGGCAGCATCACCAATCAATCTTTCTTCACTAGTAAAAGCGACAAAAGAAGGAGTGACTCTGTTACCTTGTTCATTGGCAATAATTTCAACTGCAGAGTCGTATGTAGCGACACATGAGTAAGTAGTACCTAAATCGATACCAATAGCACCTTGGAAAACACCGTCAGCCATAATTGTAAAAAAAACTAGTTAATTATACTATGAAGGGGGGGGAAGGGAAGGTGGAAATTTAGTTGAAAGAAGGAAGAAAGGGAAAAAGAGGGAGATGTGAAAAACTTTTTCAATGAAAAGAAGCAGAGTGAAAATTTTTAGAGAGACAGACACTACACAAAAAAGAAATTAATGAAAATCTTCATCTTTTCCCTTTTTCAATGTGGTAGCGTCGTATGTCGAAGTATTGGAGTGGTATTGAATTAGATAAGCAATTATGTAATCATATATATACAATAAAACACATACACGGGGTACCTTGTTACCCGGATTACCTACCCAGAGAACAGAATGATACTTTTTGCAACCAATCAACCAACCCAACCAACATTTGACACAACTATTCTTAAGCAGTGAAAGAGGCACATACAACTCATTACTGGAGGGCAATGTGGTACTTACATGCGACTACGTATATATATATATATATATATATATATATATATTTATAGACAATCTGCAATCACAATGATTCATCAGCCAACACACATTGGTGTATCTCATAAACAGCGATATCAACATTCTTCTTCAACCCATTTATGGTCACCTCTTGTCTTTGATTTTTTTTACCAACAAACCTCATATTTTCAATCACACTCTGTTCATAAGGATTCAGATCGATATGAATCCAACATTTCAGTTGTATACGTATCGAATCCAATCTTGAACCACCAGGACCCAAAATTTGTTTAATTTCACGTCGAGTAAATGATAACGTGGTTGAAATCAGTGACATCAAATTAGACACATCTCGACCTTCTAAAGGTACAATTTTGTGTTTGCCAAGATTGGAGATCTCATCTAGGGTTGTGATTTGCGGTGTATATATCATAGTCTCCATCTTGTCACTAGATACAACCAATTGCAAAATCTCATCAGTTAAATTTGGTTGGTGAAGGGTTATGATTCCGTTGCTGAAACATCCACCAAATTTGAAACTTTGAGTTAATGACCCTCTCAATCGGATAATAGCACAGTGACTTGGCAACTGAAATTTGAGTAGTAAATGTAAGAAATCAATGGTATATCTCACAGTAAAGTTTAGATTCCAATATGGACACCCCATATGTTTCTCAATTAACAAATTGGCACTTGAATCTGCCGTACTGAGTATTAGACTCCCACTTTCAATCAAGCTTTGAAGAAGTTGGGACAATGTGGATGTTGTTAACACGATTGAAAGTGGTTGTTTCCCCTCCTGTTTGAGATCTAATAATGACGGAGTGATTTTGAATCGAAGTATATCGGATGACAATAGCATCTGTTGCATGGACGATTCCACCAAAGAGTCCGACTCACCCATTTAAGCTTATCTACTGTCTATTATATGTTCGTGTCGGAAACCCATCAAGAGGGTGTTGACTTCTTTTTTTTTTTTTTATTTTGCAGCAAAGATCACACACACTCACCAGATCGAGCATTTTTTAAAACCCAACATCTTTATTACCTTTCCCATTTTGTAATTAGTGTATTAAAAGCTATATGTATGTTCTACTTGCCAGCATCTTTCATCCGTTACCTCTTTCCCCTCCTCCATGACGTTATCCCCATCCCACAGGTTCAATTATCCCCACTGTAAACTCCCTTTGCCACATCATACAAGAACTGATACTGATAAACAGTTTGCACCATCATCATTCTTTGTGTCCTCAACTGGAAAACTGCCTTGTATATCAAATCCTTTGTATGATTGGTATCAAGAATTTCTTTAAACTTGTCTCTATCGCGAAACAAATGATCGTAAACCATAAAAGTACCTGATCTTCCAACACCTGCAGAACAATGAATTATGGGGATAGGTTGAGTTTTTTGTGATTCAGTACTAGTTTGCTTAATCTCGTTTATGTGGCGAGATAAATTAGCCAAAGGTGCAACTGATGGTGGTACTTTGGCATCTGCCCATTTATAATAATAGAAATGATATACTTTTTTGGTCTTGAGTCCTGACTTGAGTTCAAACTCAGTCAACAAATAATCCTCGTTAGCATCGTACGTTTCATTCACATTCTTGATTGTTAAATCGTCCAATGCAATACCATCTTCAAGGTTTTCTTGCTGAAACCCCCAAGTTTCACCCAACTCTGGCCAATATCTATCACATTTAACCATCCCTTGTTCCTCAAGTGGCGTAACCATGGCAATTATGATAACATCGTTGCCCTGTTTCTCCAGTTCATTAAAACACATTGACCAAAAATGATTTCTTGTTGTATCCAATGGTCCCTGGCACGCAATGTATCGATTAATCAAAGTATCACCTTTGATCTGTAGTTTTATGTATGATGCATTAATATAATCGGAATAAGTCGTTTCATTCTTGACTGGTAGTTTGACCCTAGCCTCATTCCAGGGCATAACATTGCTGTATCGATTTCGATCCTTGTTTCTTTTAGATATTGCTGCTGTAAGGGCCCAAATGGATTCAGTAGGGTTATTCAATCCATCAATGATTCGATTTGATTCAATTTCGTTTAGTTCATCAAACTTGTCACGTTGCTGTTGTGGTGTGATTGTAAGTAAAGTAGGCAACTTACCATCACGCAGTGTTTTGGGCGTAAGCAGCTTATTATTTGACGATGTAGTGCTGTTACTATTGTTGCTGTTGTTGTTGCTGATACGAATTATTGGTTTCTTGAATACATTCATTCTCGTGAATGTGAATGCAAATGATGAAGCACTGCTCAAGTGCATCCCCCCTGGTAACCTTTTCCTTTTTTTTTTTTTTTTTTTTCCTTTGTGAAGGGGTTGTTAGTTTTCTTTTGTGTGTGATTTGATTTCTTTAACAGCCCTGTGCGTGATCGTGTAATCAGGTAGTCTTTGATCTCCCTTGTTGCTACTCGTGAGGATAGGTTATAGTATGCCAATGACCTTGGTGGTAGGTAAGTTGTATAGTGAACAAAGTTGGAAATCAAGAAGAATTGTTGCTGAGAAAAGAGTTTAAATTGTATGGGATCTCCAAAAAGCAAAAACAAATAGAATTTTCCACGGCACACGGCGGATCACACAAACAAAATGCAACGTGCATAGAGAATACATTAGAAAGGAAAGCAAACCAAAATGTAAAATCATACCATTTTCCTTGATAGATATACATCTGCACATTATGCGTCGTGTTGATAGTGATTGATTGATTTCTAGAAAAAGACAACGCAGGGCCAATCGCCTTTACGAAATGTCCATGTAACGTAATCATTATCACCTCTTTAGAGGCGTGGGGCCAGACATGTATGAATACAAAAACACCTACATCTTTAACTGTTAAAAGCAGCTTAAACGGAAGTCCAGTGTTTTGAAATAGATGTCAATTTTTTTTTAGTCGTTATCTATCTTCCCCACCGTCTTATCATCACCTCTCCCTTCAATTTTTAAATCCGATACGGTTAACTAAAAAGAAGAGAGAGTCTTTAATCCGCGATCCTTTAGGTTTGTGCGCTACCGTTGTCAATTCCCGAGAAATTTTTCTCTTTTTTGCAATCAAATATCACAACTTGATGCGCAAAAGACAGTCTTGATATACTTGCTAACAATCTATTAAAGACAAAATTAATTCAGAATGCCTCGTTTGGAAAATAGTGAGGTCAGAATCACGATAGCTACGTGGATTTTCTATTCGAGATATAGAATGAAAAATACTGCTTTTCAAGGTTTACACGGGCGCCAGCTTGATGAAAAGGAATGCCATTTCTTGGGGAAAAAGAGTGTTCGAAATTAAGAGGTGACTGAGTTTTTCCAAGATTGGCCTGTGTGAGTAGGGGCATCTCGGTGGCATATTTGTCTAGAACAACTTCGTGATATATTTTTGCGTAAAATCTGGAGTAAACTTTTGATTACATGGGCAGTACTCACGGTTTTCAGTTTATTAATGCGCACGTTTCTATACCGAAGCATTGAATATTGAAGGATGAACAAGATACATATAAACCGTATTGTAAAATATGAACCATGTGAAACAAAACTTCCAATGCTATGGTGATAATAATTTCTTCAGTTGATGTGCTTAGAGCATCACTCATCAGCATGTTCCTCAATCAACCTGAATTGAGACAGCGTCCTAAGCCGTTGCAACTCATTTCTCATAAGGACCAATTTTACGGACGCAATACGTGGGTTTCTGGACTTTTAATGTACCCTATCGCGATAATTTCAACAAATGCACATGACGTGGGAGTCAGCGGTGCATGCCCATGCAAAAACTTTTGGAAAAAAATTGGCCTGGCTAGCTCAATCGGCTAGAGCGTGAGACTTTTAATCTCAAGGTTGCGGGTTCGAGTCCCGCGTCGGGCTCTACTTCAAACTTTTTTTCTTTTTTCGATAAGCTTTGGCGTATCTATTCCTTTTTTTGAATATCAGGGGGAGTGTGATCCTTCTGGATGTAACAATACATCTTAAAAACCTTTCAATCATTCAGTCTTGTGTGTAAGTTTACGTATCTGCTATATATTCTACAAGAAATGACGTGGGTGCAAAAAAAAAAAAACTCAATTTACCCAAACCCCCGATATACCGACAAATGCGAAGATAAATCTCATTCTCCTAATTTTTGCTACCTTTAAGCACAGAACACGAGGGTTAGCAAATTAGAGGTAGCATCCATTTATCAAACCGTATCGCTTCATGCAGATGTTGCCCCATATTTAATTTAGAACGATAAGAAAGTATCAGCAGCTTTTTATATGTGTATGCTATTTAGTGAAAGGACCTAAAGTAAACTTTATACAAGCATTATCGATTTTGTGGTATACTATTACATCCAATCAAATGAATGGTAATTGAAAGAAAAATTGTCAGATGTAGAGAAAAACTGGTTTTGAGAAAATCTGGGGGGAGGAGAGGAACAGAGAGAAGAAAAAAAAAAAAAAAATATTCTGTCGGAGTTTTTCTTCAAATGTTATTTAGCCGAACGATATAGATGGAATAGTGGTATAGACAAGACACTTTACATGTGATACACACCAATGGATCCTGCGCCTCTATACAAATGTTCAATAGGCCGAAATAACACTCACTGTACTTGAATCGGCTTTATAATGTTGGGGGATTCTATTTAACCGAGACAGGTGTTGTCGTGGTGGTGTGGTAGTGTCTTTATTACCAAACGCGAGTAAGGGTATTATAAATTTACAACATTTGATTGGCTACAACATCGATAAATTTCAATTAGCGGAACCGAAATCATGCATATGCTACATAGTTTATTTTTTTTCTCTTGACACAAAAACCACTCTCCATTTTTTTTTTTTTTTGTCACGCTCTCAGAATTTAACCCACATTCACAAAGGGAGAGAGTGAGTATGTTTATTGTAGAGAAAACTTTCGTCAACAAAAAGAGTTGTAGACCCATCCCATTAGAGTGTACTGTAGTAACGTAGCTTTAGGGAGGACCAATTGGGTACTTAAAATTTGTAAAGTTGTAGAGTATTTTATGGTGTAGGAGAGGGATGGTTTTTAACTGTTTTTTTTTTTTTTTAATTCTTTTTTTTCCCTTCCATTGTTTGTTGGTTTCCAATTCAATTCACATAAATATATATATATATATAAACAGGTTTAAAAGATCTTTAAGAAAAATTTTTCCAATTTGATATTCCCCTTCCTTTTTTATACCATACATATTTATTATTTCAAACTAATCTAATATGTTGTCTGCTTCAAGAACAGCTATTAGAACATCGAACCCACGTTCTGTTTCCATTCGTGGTTTAGCTTCTGCTATCAACAGAGATTCTAAAGTTCACCAAAACTTGTTGGAAGATCATTCCTTCATTAACTACAAAAAACACTTGGAAAATGTTGAAATTGTCAAGGCTAGATTAAACAGACCTTTGACTTATGCTGAGAAGGTCTTGTATGGTCATTTGGATGATCCTCATGGACAAGATATCGAAAGAGGTAAATCATACTTGAAATTGAGACCAGATAGAGTTGCTTGTCAAGATGCTACCGCTCAAATGGCTATTTTACAATTTATGTCTGCCAACTTGCCTCAAGTTGCTACTCCATCAACTGTTCATTGTGACCATTTGATTCAAGCTCAAGTTGGTGGTGCCAAGGATTTGGCTAGAGCCATTGACTTGAACAAGGAAGTTTACGATTTCTTAGCTTCTGCTTGTGCCAAGTACAACTTGGGTTTCTGGAAACCAGGTTCAGGTATTATCCATCAAATTGTTTTGGAAAACTATGCTTTCCCAGGTGCTTTGTTGATTGGTACCGATTCACACACTCCAAACGCTGGTGGTTTGGGTCAATTGGCTATTGGTGTCGGTGGTGCTGATGCCGTCGATGTTATGTCTGGTCTTGCTTGGGAATTGAAGGCACCAAAGATTATTGGTGTTAAATTGACTGGTAAAATGAGTGGTTGGACCTCTCCAAAGGATATCATTTTGAAATTGGCTGGTATTACTACCGTCAAGGGTGGTACTGGTGCTATTGTTGAATATTTCGGTTCAGGTGTTGAGACTTTTTCATGTACCGGTATGGGTACCATTTGTAATATGGGTGCTGAAATTGGTGCCACCACCTCTGTTTTCCCATACAACAAATCTATGGATGACTATTTGGAAGCTACTGGTAGATCTGAAATTGCCCAATTTGCTTCTCAATACAAGAATGATTTCCTTAAAGCTGATGACGGTTGTGAATATGACCAAGTTATCGAAATTGACTTGAACACTTTGGAACCACACGTTAATGGTCCATTTACTCCAGATTTGGCCACTCCAATCTCCAAGATGAGAGAAACTGCTATCGCCAACGACTGGCCATTGGATGTCAGAGTTGGTTTGATTGGTTCATGTACCAACTCTTCATACGAAGATATGTCAAGAGCTGCTTCTATCATTAAAGATGCTGAAGCTCACGGTTTGAAGGCAAAGACCTTGTACACTGTTTCCCCAGGTTCAGAACAAGTTAGAGCCACCATTGCTAGAGATGGTCAATTGAAGACTTTTGAAGATTTCGGTGGTGTTGTTTTGGCTAATGCTTGTGGTCCATGTATTGGTCAATGGGACAGACAAGATGTTAAAAAGGGTGAAAAGAACACCATTGTCTCTTCATTCAACAGAAACTTCACCTCAAGAAACGATGGTAACCCAGCCACTCACGCTTTCGTTGCTTCTCCAGAAATGGCTACTGCTTACGCCATCACTGGTGACTTGGGATTCAACCCAATCACTGATTACTTGGTTGACTCTGAAGGTAAGGAATTTAAATTGAAGGAACCATCTGGTCTTGGTTTGCCACCAAAGGGTTACGACAAGGGTGAAAACACTTACCAAGCCCCACCACAAGACAGAGCTTCGATTGATGTTGTTATTTCCCCAACCTCAGACAGATTGCAAAAATTGAAACCATTCAAGCCATGGGATGGCAAAGACGCTGAAAGATTACCAATTTTGATCAAAGCTGTTGGTAAGACCACCACTGATCATATTTCAATGGCTGGTCCATGGTTGAAATACCGTGGTCACTTGGAAAATATTTCCAACAACTATATGATTGGTGCTACCAATGCTGAAAATGGTAAAGCTAATGAAGTTAAGAACCACTACACTGGTAAATGGGATGGTGTTCCACAAACTGCTGCCGCTTTGAGAGATTCCGGTCACAAATGGGTTGTTATTGGTGATGAAAACTTTGGTGAAGGTTCATCAAGAGAACACGCTGCTTTGGAACCAAGATTCCTTGGTGGTTTTGCCATTATTACCAAGTCATTTGCTCGTATTCACGAAACTAACTTGAAGAAACAAGGTTTGTTGCCATTGAACTTTACCAATGTTGCTGATTACGACAAGATTAACCCAACCGATGAAATTGATTTGCTCGGTTTGACTGAATTGGCTCCAGGTAAGAATGTTATCATGAGAGTTCATCCAAAGGATGGTGAGGCTTGGGAAACTGAATTGTCACACACTTATAACGACGAACAAATTGAATGGTTCAAGTACGGTTCTGCTTTGAACAAGATGGCTGCCGTTGCTGCTGAAAAAGCTGCCGCTGCTGGTAAGAAATAAGCGTTTGCGAGTCGTTGAGGGAAAAGAGATATATTCACAATATCTGTATATCCTTTTGATTCAAATGTACATTATTTATTATTATTATTGATACTTCCCACCATCTTTTGTATTTTACAGTCATTTTGTTGTTTTCAACGTACATATATATATATTCCATAGTATTTAGTTGCTAAATCTACACAAGGTTATTAAGTTTAATAGTGTTTGGGGTGCTTGTATGAGAAATACTTTGTAGATTTGACATTGTCTAATACCGTATGTACATTTGTATACATAATGAATCCATGCAGGTCACTACATCGAGCCTTGAAGCGAAACGTACAGCAAATACTCGAGTGATTCACGCAGCCTCCAACACATGTCTTTTTTTTTTTTTTCATTGATCCCTAGGTTTATTTTCTTGTAAATGTTCCTTTAATTCCTCCAAACTGGCTTTATCTTGATTAGAAAAATTCAGTTGTGGATCAACAACAGCAGCCCATTTCTGTTTCAAATCCGACCATGAAGTGACTTCATCTTTGGGTATTTCTGACTTGTATTTATCTTTTAAGTTGCCATCTTTATCTAGTTGTTCTCTAAAGTGTTGAGTTAGTTTATTAATTCGCATATGTGCTCAAATTTGAGGAATTTGAGGGTGTGTGTGTGTGTGAGAGGATGAGTTCACATACAGTATGAGGGGTTTCCAGAAATTAACCCCGAACCACCAGGAAGCAATGATTGCAACTCCGCCAACCACGAGTTTACCTCCGCTAGAAGACATCGTGAAGAAAAGTGGTAGAGGGTGTGAGGGATGTGGTTTGCAAGTATTGAAACTTTTTCTTTTTCTTTACAATTTCTCATTCTAGTTCAGTTTCATTTGCGCAAGAGATTAGAAACCTCCAACTTGACACAAACAATAACACATGGATCAAAGTTTTCGTCTTTATTATAAATAGTCCAGTATCTAAATACACGAGCCAGCATGTAACTTTTTCTTTTTTAAAAATTTTCATCTACTCAACATCTTGTACCATCTGCGAGCCATCGCTTCCTCCACCACCAATCTTTTCATCCTTCTCTTGCAGCTCACAACCAACAACACCCCACTTTATATTTGTCACTTCTTCCAATCGGTTCAAAATTTCACACATTGGTGTAAACAACCCAAATTGTTTATATTCACCATCATACGAGTGCAACATACCCAAGACACCCAATCCATTGGCTGTTGCATCCAAATCTTGTAATTTTGAAAGCACCCAGCTTCCACTATCACCACCACCAGCAAATGCAGAATTGTGTTCGATCGAATTGACGATAAACTCCAGTGAATGCATGGCTCCATCGAGCCAGTAAACTAATTTGATTCCATTCAAGTTACCACAGGTGTATTTTGTTGTTGATCCATATTTGAACACGGGAATGCCATTATAGCATTGATCTTCATCTTGGGACAATGAAGATGTTGACACACTCAGGTCAACCTCGTTTACATTTTCGTGGATTGTTTTAGGCACGAACCGTTTCAAATTGAGCACTTTACGAACGTACAAGTTATCCATTATAAGTGCTGGATCAAACTCGTTGAATTGTACATCATCTCCCAAGTAGTTATACGAGCACTTCAAGTGCTTATTGACCTTGATGATTGCCAAATCAGATAGCTTACGTTCAACCAAGCCACTAATTTCATTGGGGGATTCGGACAAGTTTATCAATGTACGTTCACCCCATATAATCTGTCCAAATCTGACTTGTGGCAAGTTTCGCATTTCGTAATGTTCTGGTGAATTCTTTTCTTGAACCTTGATTTTTTTCAAAGGAAACATCTCCTCTAACTCATTCAAAATTGTTCCATATGCAATATGGCTCTCATTGAATTGACCACCTTGCCTTTGATATTGTGCAGTAAGAGCCAGCTTATACAATGAGATCAAAGATGCCGATGGTGATGCAATGTTGCAATAATGCGAGGCGTCTTGTGGATCCAAACATACGTGACCACACGAAATAGCAAATTTGCTAGACGCATAACTCTTGAGTTGTGGTTGCTTTTTGAGATCAATCTTGGGATAAATATACCCACCCAACGTACCTGAAACTCGGTTTGAATTTTCAGTGGAAATGGACATGGATATTGGAGGTTCCAATGGATCCGTGGGTATTCTGAATGGTAATTTAAACTTATGTAAAGCATTTGACACTATTGGTTTGTGTTGGGTTGGCAATTGTGGCGGGTTCAGTACCGACGTAGAAGCAAGTTCAATGTGATTTCTCATCACCATAACATGAATATCTTCATACAAATCGTGAATACTTTGAGTCAATTTGTAATGCATATCTTGAGGGTCGGGATATCCGAAATATAAACACAATATGCTCAATCGCGTGGAAACCCCTCTCATTATTGGGGCTATGAATGACCCATTTTGTTCCTGCATTGAAATACTAGTTTGGGCAATTCTGTCCATGATTCGAACAATTACTTTTTCGTTAGGGAAATCCCTTACACTGTCTGCTCCTACTGAGAAATTGCGAGGTTTTACCATCACATTAAGGTCATTCAAATTATCGCTAAAGTGTAATGCGAAATCATTGAAATGTTTAACTAGTAGTAACTTCAACTTGATATAAACATCATCCTTCAACAAGTTGTCATAAAAATGAAGATAATATTTGACAATCATTCTCAAGTTCAAGTTGTTGTAAGTGCTAATGTCTGATTCCTGTTTCTCCTTTATATTGTTGTTGAATTCTTTAAAACAATCGATGCAGTTGACCACTGTTGTTGACAAATTTACAGTGGCATTGTTGTATTGCATCACAATGTATGCTAGATCTTGACTCAATTTCTTAAGCTCATCACAGACACGATCATGATAGTTTCTCTCATCTCCAGTTTCAGTCTTTTCCAAGTCGAGAATTTGCAAAGGTTGACTATAGTTGTACTGAAATGAACGTTTGGTGGAGTTTGCACTTTGATGAGACGACTGCTTTGTCGAAAAGGACTGTTTACTTGAAAATAGTGAGTTACCCTCTCTTTGCACTGTTGAGTGCCTACTACTAGATGCTCCCACAGTTGCAGTGTCGCTAGGACCCAATATCAGTGGATTAAGGTTCAACCCCGTGTCAAAAAACCCAGCTTCGGATGGTCTATGTTGCAGCAGCAGCAGCAGCAGCAGCAGCAGGGACAGTTGTTTTGCTTCACCAAACATGGGTCTGAGTTCTGTCACTGAGTCATACGATTCATGTGAAATATTACTCTTGCTGGGTCTCAACGATGATGACGTTCTCGACTTGGTATCGTCTTGCCCTGCTGCAGCGTCCGTGTCTTGATTCGAATCTGAACTGTCAGACTTGTTTGTTCTTGAAAGGAACCTCTTCATTATGGGAGTAAAAGAAAAGCCCTGTGAGGTTATCTGAATTAGTCTGTATAAGTTTGGTTACCGTTAAAAGCAAAAAGCTTCTAGGTTATAAATTTTTCTTTTGTGCATGATTTTAAACCTACCTTGAGGAGTACTCACGTGATTTAATCACCTGACATCGTTTTTTCTCTTGTTCTGTTTTTTTCTTTTTTCGTTCCTCTCTTTGCTTGTAATAAGGACAATGCCGGAAGAGAGAGAGAGTGAGAAAAAGAGAGAAAGAGAGAAAAAACACTCCCATCAAATCCATCATTCATATATTCTTCAATTCAACAGAACTTCTTCCATCTTTCAACTATAAACCACTTTCATGGACTACAATTCGTCAAGCAGATAGAAGTCGCCATTTATACATTCAAGCTGAAGGATTTTTCTCGCAATAGCAACCTCCCCTCCCCAATTCCACCGAAAGAAAAGGGCTCCTAACACTGAGAGAACCAAACTTACCTTTCACCCCACAAATTTTTTTTTTTTTTGAGTTCTAAATCTTTTTTTTTGAACGTTTCTTCCCTCCCCCCCTCCTACAGTTTATTGAAATATGCCAGTGTATTCTATATCCCACGTTGAAAATGTTCGAGTTTGTGTGGTTATGGTTGGTTTACCAGCTCGTGGTAAGTCTCTTATATCGCAAAAGATAGTTCGATACTTGTCGTGGCTATCGATAAAATCCAAATGCTTCAATGTTGGGAATTACAGGCGAGAGGTGGCTAAAGATGCTGCCATTGATGCCGAGTTTTTCGATCCAAATAATGAAAAGGGTTTGGCTTATAGAAAACAAGCTATCGATTTAGCAATCAAAGACATGATGAATTGGTTTGTTGAAGAGAATGGAGTTGTGGGGATCTTGGATGCTACAAACTCTACAAGGGAAAGGAGAGATCGCATTTTAAAGCTATGCAGAGAAAATTATATTGAACCTATGTTTTTGGAAAGTTGGTGTGATGACAAGGAACTCATTTTGCAGAATATTATGGATGTCAAGACCACATCTCCTGACTACGTCTCAAAGCCTAATGATTTTGCAATGACGGATTTTCTTAAAAGAATTGAATACTATGAATCAGTTTATGAAACAATGGATGCATCAACAGATTCGGATTTAACATTTGTCAAGCTTGTGAATGTTAATGCTCAGATTATATTAAATCGAATTGAGACCTACTTGGAAAGTCGAATTGTGTACTATGTCATGAACTTGCATATAAAGCCAAGGAGCATTTGGTTGTCAAGACATGGAGAGTCAGAATTCAACTTGACTGGTCAGATTGGGGGCGATGCTGATTTGTCAGAACGTGGATGGAGATATGCTAAAAAATTGCCTGAGCTAGTACTCAAGTCGCTAGGCGAGGAACACAAACATACCAATTTAACAGTTTGGACTTCAACTTTAAAACGTACCCAAGAGACTGCTTCGTTTTTGCCATATAAAAAATTACAGTGGAAAGCATTGGATGAATTGGATGCGGGTGAATGTGATGGAATGACATATGAGGAGATTGAAAAAACGTTCCCAGAGGACTTTAAAGCTAGAGATGACAACAAATATGAATATAGATATCGTGGTGGAGAGTCTTATCGGGACATTGTTATAAGATTAGAACCTATAATCATGGAGTTGGAGCGTCAAGAGAATATTCTTATAATTACTCATCAAGCTGTATTGCGTTGTCTATATGCTTACTTTATGAATGTGCCACAGGAGGAAAGTCCATGGATGTCTATTCCCTTGCATACGTTGATCAAGTTGGAACCGAGAGCATATTCTACATTGGTTTCTAGACTCAAAGCCGATATACCAGCCGTCAGCACATATAAAGAAAAGGGAACATCACAACTAGGAGAAGCAAGGTCGGGAGAGACTATATTCAAAAGTAGGGATTTATTAAATAGTGGTGACGTAGTTTAGAGGTATAAGTACACAAGGAATATAATGCTTTTATTAGAGCAAAAGAGTAAAGACTCAATAGCTCTGTCGAATTTCTTTCTTTCAATTCCCATTAAAAAATACACACGTAAAAAAAGAATATACGCTAGCTTATACCGAAGGCGGAAAACGTTTAGCTTGGTCCAATACTTTCTTTTCGTATAACTTCGGGTCCTTGCTGAAAGCTTTCCAAGCAGGCTCTTGAGCAGGCGAGTCTGGATTTGGCGTGTCTAATAATTCTTGTACACCCAACACTATTTGCTTCAAAGTGATTGCTGGTTTCCAATCTTGAGATTCATTCAATATACTTAAACAAACAGTACCACTAGGATACACATTTGGATGGTAAAAATTTGCCGGGAACTTGACTATGGGTGGTTTTGATGGATACTCTGGAGGAAAGGTTAATTTTAGTGGGTAAACACCGCCTTCCCATATCGTGCCTGCTCTTCCTGGAATTCCAGCTCTCCACTGAGTCAAATCTAAAGAGCCATCTGCGCCTTTTATTGGTCTAGCGAAAAAGCCAAACGGATGGTCTTTTCTCCATTGTTTTCTCTCTTCTTGTAATCTGATATTGCGAAGGGACATATCTCACTTACTTTGTGGGTTCAGGGTATGGGATAAAAAAACAATAATAATAAATAGTGGCAGCAAAAAATGAAGGACAAAGTAAAAGATTCAAGTGGTTTCAAAGTAGTTTTGAAGTAGTTATACAAACAACGCAAAGGGTATTAAAAGGTTTTCTGTTTTGTCTGTTTTGTCTGGTCTGTCTGTTTTGTCCTATGCGTCTGTCTGATGATTTCGTGAAAGAAACAAGATTCTTTTTTTTTTTTTTTTCGTCTTTTGCTGCGCGTCGCCACAATAGCAGTTGACAAATTTCGTCTTGTTCTGAGATATTCTATCAATCAGTGAAAAGACCGGTTTAAAGTTTCAATCAGTAATGCTCATAGAGGAACTCACAGAACACAAGGATTCGCCATTGAGTGTTGATCCGTATAAAGAAACTACGTATGAGTTTGCAAAACCAACCAAGGAAGAAAAAAATCAGCAACTCATTGATGACTTTTTGAAGCCATCTCCAGAACTTAGTTGGGAATTGCTCGATCTTGTACAACCGAAACCAGATGTGGATAGGGAAAAAGTGATTCAAAGACTAGTCATTAATCCATCCAGTTTGAACAGAACGAAAATCAGATTCAAGAGATCGGGAATTGAGGGTAAGATATCAGGATATCGTGAGGAAGTCGATTTGAATGCGGTGAACGCATATGCATCAAACTCTTTGAGTATCAATAGAGATTACACATCAAAAAGTGAAAGTCTAAGAGGAAAAACTGGGTTTTTACCCTTTCAACCTGGAGGATTATTACAACAGGCGTCAATGGATCGTGAGGTGAAGGATGCTACTTCCAATTTGCATAGAAATGAGTATGGTTTGTTTGATATACCACCTGGGCTCTCGCGAGGTTTGGATGTCGGAGAAACAAAGGGATTGGCAGAATTGGAGGATTTGAGCAAGGAGGAAGAGGATCAAAATGGAGGAGATTTCACTGAATCCATTAAAGAGCATTTTTTAGTAGATGGAACAAATGGCGAAACAGCATCAGCTGGATCAAAGTCAAGACTCCCGTTTGATGCGAATGAAATAGAAGGATTAGTCCCCTTCGACTATAAATCATTCAAGTACGACGACAGGAGACCGGTTGAAAAGCGAGATTGGGCACATGTTGTTGATTTGGACCATAAGATAGAAGATTTTAACGAATTGGTGCCCAATATGGCCAGGAAATGGCCATTTGAGCTAGACACTTTTCAAAAAGAAGCTGTGTTTCATTTAGAACAAGGTGATTCTGTTTTTGTAGCAGCTCATACTTCGGCAGGTAAAACCGTTGTTGCTGAGTACGCAATTGCAATGGCAAAAAGAAACATGACAAAATGTATTTATACATCCCCTATCAAAGCATTATCAAACCAAAAGTTTAGAGATTTCAAAGAAACTTTCAAAGATATTGACGTTGGATTAATTACTGGTGACGTTCAAATTAACCCAGAGGCCAATTGTCTCATTATGACTACTGAGATTTTGCGTTCAATGTTGTATCGTGGTGCTGATTTGATTAGAGATGTCGAATTTGTCATTTTTGATGAGGTGCATTATGTGAATGATATAGATCGAGGTGTGGTTTGGGAAGAAGTGATTATTATGTTGCCAGATCATGTCAAGTACATTTTATTATCGGCCACTGTTCCTAATACGTTTGAGTTTGCCAACTGGGTTGGGCGTACTAAGCAAAAAGATATCTATGTTATTTCAACTCCGAAAAGACCTGTACCGTTGGAGATTTTCATATCAGCCAAGAATAAACTCTTTAAAGTTGTTGACTCAAGTAGGAGGTTTCTTGAAAATGAATTCAAGGCTCACAAGAATTTGCTTGAAGCAGGAAACTCCAAAAAGGAGCTTCCTTCAACTACAATGGGTTCAGGAAGTAGAGGTGGACCAGGCGGAACAGCCAGAGGCGGTAACAGAGCAGTCACTAGGGGCAGAGGTGGTGCTAGAGGAGGCGGTCGTGGTGGTGGCGGTCGAGGCGGCGCAGCCAACAATTATGGTAATTTTTCAGGTCCTAAAAGGTTTGGAACAGATGGCCCAAACAAAAACACCTGGCCGGAATTGGTTCATTATATGAAACTGAATAATTTACTACCAGCAGTTATTTTCGTTTTCTCAAAGAAAAAGTGTGAAATGTATGCTGATTCTCTACACGGGGTTGATTTTTGCACTGCGAAGGAAAAATCAGAGATTCACATGTTTATTGATAGAGCTGTGGGAAGATTGAAAAAAGAGGATCGTGAATTGCCTCAAATTATAAAGATTCGTGAAATGCTTAGTCGAGGTATAGCAGTACATCATGGTGGTCTTTTACCAATTGTTAAGGAATGTATTGAAATTTTATTTGCCAAGACATTGGTAAAGGTCTTGTTTGCAACTGAGACATTTGCCATGGGATTGAACTTACCAACTAGAACAGTTGTGTTTAGTTCGACGAGAAAACACGATGGTAGAGGATTTAGAAACCTTTTGCCGGGAGAGTTTACTCAAATGTCTGGGCGTGCTGGTAGAAGAGGATTGGATGCCACTGGTACTGTCATAGTCATGGCTTACAATGAGGCATTATCTCCAACTGACTTCAAAGAAGTGGCTTTAGGAACGCCTACCAAATTGCAATCACAATTCAGATTGACATACAATATGATTTTGAACTTGCTCAGGATCGAAGCTTTAAAAGTAGAGGAGATGATAAAGCACTCCTTTAGTGAGAATTCCGCCCAGGTGTTACTCCCAGAGAACAAAAAGAGACATGATGTGCTTACAAACACATTAAGCAGTTTGACTTTGAAATCGTGTGCCGAATGTGACTTGAAGAATGTCGAAGAAACTTGTAAGCTCATGTTTGAGTACGAGGATGTTTATGGCCAATGCGTTGTCGATATTCACAGATCCCCCATATTGAAGACACAATTGTTGAAGATTGGAAGATTAGTTTGCTTTCGAGATAAGGAATCTATATTGAGATTTGGATTTGTTGTAAAGTCAGATAGCGTTAATGACAGTATTTTCCTACTCACATTCAACCATGGCAAGGAATACGAAACTACACAAGAAAAATACAAGTTGCCATACATTCCAATCAAAACTTATTTGCGCAACAACTTTACCAAAATTAAATATGGTGGCGGTCTCAAAGTGGTAACGGTCCCATATGAAAATGTCAATTTCATAAGCAGGCTCGCATTGAAGGGCTCAATGAGTGCGATAATTGAAAACAAACGCGAAGCGGTTGTTCAAGCAGAAGAGGAAATCAACAGTGCTCTTTGGTTCCAAAACAAGTTGGACGAGATGAGTTTCAACAATACCAAACAAATATCCCTTCATGATTTGTGTACTGAAAAGGATAATGTTTTGTCAAAGATTACTGACTTGCAAGCCTTCACATGCTCAAACTTCAAGCAGCATTATGCTGAATATCGTGAGATGCACCTTCTTCGAATGGAATTGGAAGGATTGGAGAGGTTGATCTCAGATGAAAATTTGGATCTTTTGCCTGATTATGAACAAAGATTAGAAGTTCTTGAAACCCTCGGATTCATCGATGAGAAACACAATGTTGTTTTGAAAGGTAGAGTTGCGTGTGAAATTAACTCTGGCTGGGAGTTGATCCTTACTGAGTTGATTCTCGATAACTTTCTCGGTGATTTTGAGCCAGCTGAAATTGTAGCGCTTTTGTCGTGTTTTGTTTATGAAGGTAGAACTCAAGAGGAGGAACCACCATTGATTACTCCAAGATTGGAAAGGGGAAAAGCTAGAATACATGAGATTGCTGACAAGTTGCTTCGAGTATATATCGAGAAACGGGTTTCGCTAACGTCAGAGGAAGAGGAATTTGTTGAAAGTAAACGATTTGCTTTAGTCAATGTTGTTTACGAGTGGGCGAACGGGTTAAGTTTCAATGAAATAATGGGCATCAGTGTTGAATCAGAAGGGACAATTGTCAGAGTTATCACAAGGTTAGATGAAATTTGTCGTGAAGTAAAGAATGCCGCCTTGATCATTGGTGATTCAAAGTTACATTTGAAAATGGCTGAAGCACAGGAAAAGATCAAACGAGACATTGTGTTTTGTGCATCGCTATATCTATAAATACCTTTTATTCTATGTACATAATACCCTTCAAGCATTTTGCTTCAATATATTAAACACACCTCGTTTACCATTGATTATTTTATTCATCAAGTCTTGCAGCCCCGGTCGAGGTCTGACACGAGTCAACCCAATCAAAGTGTAAAAGCTTCCGATCGTTGTGGCATTGAGCACAACTCGTTTTTTGTCTTCGAATTCAGTGTTGTTGAGATATTCATTGATCAATAGTTCACTGTTCATCGAGACACATTTCGATAGTCCATTCAAGTTCATAAACTCCAAAATGATTTTGTTATCTAGTAGCCAGGTGATATCTGAGTCTATATCTGTCTCTGAGTTTGACAAGTATCCCATGTTTTGGAAAATTTTAAACTGGTTTATTAATGCAAGAGCATAGGCTTGTTTGCCTAACCGTCGAAGGAGATCGGTTTCAATAAATACAACCTTGCCTTCTTCATTTGTAACTCGTAGCTCCAAGTTGGTGAGTCCGTTAGATACGCACGCGAGCTCTTCATTCAGCAACTTTACAGGATCAATGTAGTTAATCAACGGTTCTACATGTTGCTCGTATCGAGAGTCACTCGATGATGCTTTTAAAATTTGATCGAGTATATTTGGACCATCTCTTTGCGCTAAAAGCCCCGGGTTTTCAGTCTTGGAAAAGTGTACCGTTTTGGTATTATCTATGAAAGCGTAGTGATTCAAAAATGAAGGTTTAAATTTGCGATAGATTTCACTAAACAGTTTGTACTTCGGTAGAAACCAGGTGCTGATTTGCCGGTTCGGCAGTAGTCGTATTGCAGTGTTTTGTAAGGCGGTAGTGCTGAGTCTCATAGTAGTAGTGTTGTTTCCATTTGAGTGAGTGATAACTTGTGGGGAGCGTATTGTGGGATGCTGTGAATGTATTGCGCAAGAAAAAGGAATGGAATGGGTTAGTTGTGGCTACAATGAATATTTTGCAGCTCATCCAAAAAATTTCTGTTTTTGTCATCAAAATTTCAAAGTATCAGATTGGATCGAATTTTCACCCAAAATTTTACAACAACCTGGGAGAAATACCTGAGAACAATGTCATCTAAATCATCAACCAAGAAGAAGCAGGCACCATCACTAGATCCCGCTCCACAATCCGCATCTAAAAAGATAAAAATACCAAAATCATTCATTGTTCGACCACACTCATCAACCGCCAAACCAAAAACCATAGCCAATGTATATCTAAGTCGCGAAGTTTTTGAAGCGTTGGAGTTGAAACCAAACGATTTTGTTCATGTTGGTCAGTTGAATGGCCAGCCAGGTATCATTGCCATCGCTGTACCGAGTGATGATATACCAATGAGGAATGTAATAACAATGTCCAAAAATTTCAGGCATCTTGGTGGATTACTACTAGGAGATAGAGTCAACATAGTGAGACATAATGGGCAACCACAGTATGTTCTGGAAGTGACGGTAAATGGAGAAGGGGACCCAAAATCGTTGTTGGAAGAAATAGGGCTCATCTACCCCGGTTTGGCAGTCGAGGAGAATGGAGTAGGTGGATTCACAATCATTGACATACAAGGTGGTATAGAGGCAAAGATGAAGCAATTGACTATTGTAGAGGATGAGAACCCTTTACGTACAGTTTCACCTGCATACATATACACACCACAAGCTACTATAGAGAAGAGCAATGAAACACAACCTTCAATCACCAAATATCCACTTTTACCACACCCCCCAACGTTTTCGCAAGTCGGTGGACTTGCAAAACAGACAAATCTACTCAAGTCCACTATAGAACTTCCCTTGCATAACCCAACTTTGTTTTCAGACTTTGGAATATCACCACCACGAGGTATATTGCTTTATGGTCCACCAGGTACAGGAAAGACAATGCTTCTTCGATGTGCAGCTAATGATATAAATGCGCATATACTAACCATTAATGGACCATCGATTGTATCAAAATACTTGGGAGAGACGGAAAATGCTATTCGTGAGATTTTTGAAGAAGCAGCACTATTCCAGCCATCAATTATTTTCATGGATGAAATTGACTCGCTTGTTCCGTCTCGTAATTCAGATGATTCTGGAGAGACAGAGAGTCGGGTTGTTGCCACGTTGCTTACAATGATGGATGGGATGGATAATAGCGGAAGAATAGTTGTTGTTGGAGCCACCAATCGACCAAATTCGATAGATATTGCATTGCGCAGACCGGGTCGATTTGATCAAGAGATTGAAATTGGCATACCGGACGTTGAAGCGAGACAAGATATTCTACAAAAGCAATTTGATAAAATGAACAAGAATAAATATGTATTGACCGAGGAGGACATTGCCACGGTGGCGACAAAGACTCATGGTTACGTTGGTGCTGACTTGACTGCATTGTGTAGAGAGGCAGTGATGAAAGCTATCAATAGAGGTTTGGATAATGGTACACCACAGGACGAGATCACAGTGACCTTAGATGACGTATACGAAGCGCTCGGGGAAATAAGGCCATCAGCTATGCGAGAGATATTTTTAGAAATGCCAAAAGTATACTGGTCTGATATCGGTGGACAAGAGGAATTGAAAAAGAAACTAGTCGAGGTAGTTCAACTACCACTAGAAGCATCAGCGTCGTTTGCCAAGTTGGGCGTCAATGCACCAAAGGGTGTTTTATTGTATGGTCCACCAGGTTGTTCCAAAACTCTAACGGCAAAAGCACTAGCAACAGAATCGGGTCTAAATTTTTTGGCAATCAAAGGACCAGAAATATTTAACAAATATGTTGGTGAAAGTGAACGTACAATTCGGGAGATTTTCAGAAAAGCTCGAGCCGCTGCCCCATCCATCATTTTTTTGGATGAGATTGATGCTATTGCCAGTAATCGAGATGGCGATGGTGACGGCGGTACCACTACTACTGCATCAAAGAATGTTTTGACATCATTGTTGAATGAGATTGATGGAGTCGAAGAGTTGAAGGGTGTTGTCATTATTGGTGCCACCAATAAACCAACTGAAATAGATTCTGCATTACTTAGACCAGGTCGGTTGGATCGTCACATATATGTCGCTCCACCTGATTATGAAGCAAGATTGCAAATATTGACCAAATGTTGTCGCAAGTTTAATTTAGTTGATGTTGATTTGGGTCAATATGCTAAACTTACCGAGGGTTGTTCAGGTGCTGAAGTTACCTTGTTGTGTCAAGAAGCTGGTTTAAATGCAATTATGGAGGATCGTAATGCACAACATGTTGAAAATAGACATTTCGAACATGCTTTGCAAGGCATTTCACGTGGCATCACTCGTGATATGTTACAATACTACAATGATTTTGCAAATAGATCGGGATTACGTGTATAGAAATTACGATATAAACAATTTTATATGAAGGGTAGCGTGTTTTTGAAAGTTTATTGTTGTTGACACCCTTCTTGTAAATTCTTTTCCAAGTCAGGTGGTAAATCCTTTCCATCAAAATCAAGTCCATCAAGCCCATCTTTGCCATTGCCACCAAAACCAGGCAAGAAATCACCAGTGTCACCCACCAACTCTACTGGTGGTTGACCCAATTCTTGTAAACTTTCCAACATGGCATTGATTTGATCTCGTTGTGCCTTATTTGAGTCGCTATAACCATCACTTTCAAATACTTTCAAAATATCTTTTGTCATCTCATACTGCTTGGTATAATTTGAATATTGTTCTTGATCCAACTTGTTCTTGTTGTCTTCTAAGTATTGAGGGAACTTGGTGTTTAAGTCTTTGATTGGCTCATACAATACTTCTTTTGAGCTCAATTGTTCCAACATGTCTATCAATAATTTACTCATATCCATATCGCCGCCACCCAATCCATTTTCATTCATGCCCGCAAGCAACTGAGTCAAAATATCTTCAGGATTAGTACCGGAAGAATCATTTTTAATCTTGGAGTCAATATCTTCACCAGATTTACGTAATCTTTCCATAGTCTCCTTCATGACAAAATCAAAATTGGCAGATTGTTGAGCTCCAGACTCTGCTTCCGATCGATGATCAGTTTCAAATTGTTGCACCAAAGTTTCAAATTGTTTTTGCGTTTCCGGATCTTCAATCTTCATATCCTTGATTAACTCAGCAACAGAGTTTTGGAAATCTTCATTAATTGGATCAGTGGCAGATGCAGTATTTGTCTTGCCATCCTTTCTGGAAGTGGAGCCACCACTTTGCGACTGATTGTCGACCGTCGATCCTGGTGGTTTATTGAGTACATCGTCGGCAAAATCATCCAACAAGTCATCTAAATCGTCAACGTCATCTCCACCAGTAGCAGCCTTGGATTTTTCCTCTGGTTTATCTTGAGGGTTGGTAGCAGAAGAAGTAGCAGTAGCAGCAGCAGGAGCATCATCGGTAGCAGCACTTGTACTAGCACCAGCGGTGTTACTGGTGTTTTGCACAGTGGTTGATGCTAAATCATCTTGTTTCTTGATTTCTTCTGACATCAGGTAGTAGTAAAGGAGGTTGGTCACTGGCTCAGGATGTATAGAACGGAAAGATCAAAAGTTGGGTTATTTTTATGTAGATTTTGAAAAATTATCTTCCCTTTGATTCCCATTGGATTTTATTTTTTATTTTTTTTCTTTTTCTTTATGTGGGGGAAGAAGGAGGGGAGGGAGGGGCGAAACAAGGTAGCGTAGTGATACATGTATAAGTCACAGGATCTGCTAGAACGTGTACCATTGACAAAAATATAATGTATTTTATGCTCGGTTAAATTCAAAGAATAACCCAACTGTAAAAAGTATCAAAGTCTGTAATAAAAATCAATCACATACATTTATATTCTATTAACAAAACAAAGGTAATAAATATTACGATACTCCACGATTGGTAAAGTTGATATAACATGTCATCCAAACCTTGTTTCTTCCCCCTCTCTCTTTCCTTTCCTCTATAATTTAGGCTTTGAAGCATCAGCACCTCCAGCGGTTGCACTTGCATTAATCTCCAATGTACCATTTTCATTTGCCTCATTCATATTGTTACCAAAAAATACAACCGTCACCGTCAAATCGTCACGATATCTTCTAGATACAGGATTTGGAATCGATATAATCATTGAGGTTTGTTCCTTTGATCCACCATTGGATAACGCATTACGAATTAAATGAGTTGACACGTTGTTATCTTGTAACAAGAAGCTTCCACCACCAGTTGATTTCCTAATAGGTTTCTTGCTTGCCTTATCCATAGTAATATCCTCCACTTCTGGTAATTTGTTTTCACCAACTTTACCAAAGAAATTCCAAAATGATTTTTGTGGCTTGACCATCTTTTCTCTTTCCATCCATTTGACTACTAAACCAATAATCTCCTCATTGGTTAACATTTCATACAATCCATCACTGGCCATCACCAAAAAATCATTGTTGTCAGGATTGATTTTGGTTGTGGTTATCACCGGTTCAGCAGTAACATATGGCGGCGATGTTAAGTGATTGGGTAATCGCTTGCCAAAAAACTGCTTGTATATACGTTCTTGTATTGAAGCTGGGAGTTTGTAACGACAATCACCAAATGCTCTGGTTGGTTCTAAACTACCCAAGACTCGACCATTACGAATAACTTTAGGTTCATCTGGATGTTCACTGATGATTCTTGCCACTTCCGTTGGATTTGAGCCTGTTTGATCAATACTCAATTGTCTAGCTGTCCAATGATTATCCTTGAAAGAACCCAAAATAGCTCTCGAATCTCCTGTTACAGCCACTTTAAGCATTTTTGAGTTCGTGTCGTAGAATGACAACAATGCACAGGAGCCAGATAACGCAGGCATCAATAATTCAGCAGCTTTTGCTTTGTTCCCATCAGTGAGTAATTTTTCAATATTTTTATTGACAATTTCATGATCCAATTTTAGAAATCCATTTTTTATAGCTTGATCAATAGTTGCACTATTTGGCACATATCTAAGATTCTCTTCTCCTTGAACAGGCTTGTAGATTGTACCCAACTCATTAATCACATAATTAATCAATTCATCTCTCAACTTTGAACTAGTAGTCCAGCCACCATGCCCATCAAACACACCAAAGAAGAGCCAATCAGTGGTGGTTTTGATGTTGTTGTCTTGCAAGATTGGTACTTGAATAATCTCTTCAGCTCTATCATCTTCAATGGGAGAGTTTGAGGGCAATTGGCAGATATCATACCTCATGACCCCTTTACCTCGATTGATGAAATAGCTTTCTTCAAACTGACGTAATTTCGTATCAACCTGCTCATCGTTTAGCAAGAAAATACCTTCTTTGTGCTGTTGGTGACTGATACTATTCTCTTGATGCATTGATGATGTCGAAGTGGAAAATAGCTTCTTGTCCTCCAACAATTTTGGAGGTTTGGCAAATGAACTAGCAGTCGCATTTGCTGTTATTGCACTTGTTCCTCCTACTGCTTGAGATGATGGAGGCAGCAGTGGCAAGGTATCCAAGCTGTAATAATTTGATTGATTGAAAGCAATATACGAGCCAACTATTATGATGCCAGATACAAGTGCCACATTCTTGCCCTGTTTCAGATATTGCTGTTGTTCAGTCTTGGGAAGTGATCTGAAAAATGTCTTTGATAGATTAAGTAACTTGGAAGAATTGACTGATGTTTTGGAAGTGGAGGATATAAGTCTTTTGCTTATTGTTTGTAGTTGCTTATTGGTGAGATATAAAAACTTTGGTCTGGTTGATAACATGAGTGATGTGGTTCAAGTTGTTTGTATTGTAGTTGTAATGGGGTCGGTATGTAACCAAGCAACTCTAATTGAATATATATATGGGGGAAGAAAAAGTCACTTCTATTGAAAGGCAACGTGTCGATACGTAGCGTTGAGTGTATACTTGATGGTTGTCTATTGAAAACAAGCCTTAGGTGTTAGTGAGTATATTTGGAAGCAAATGGGTAGTGTGTTCTTCAGTTTAATTTGTTGATTGATTGAATTTGAGTGAACAAAGTGATTGAAACATACAATTTATTGGTTTCTTTTTTTTTGTTTTCTTAATCTGAGCATAAGATTTTGGGATTTGGTACACGCATCCAATTACCACATTCAATTACATAATGAATAATCCTCTAATCAAGCTCAACAAGCTCAATTGGGTGCTTCATAGAAGGAGTTGAGTTAAGTATGTATGACCTCGTTACTCTGGTATTGTTCGTCTAAACAAGAGAATGCTACAACATTTTGCTTGATGTTCCAGTCATTGATGTGGATGCAGATCTATACCAACGAAGAGCCGCTACAGAGTTCAACAACTGATAAATGTTACCTGTAATGGGGTATGTGAATCGAGAGTAATGGCTCCGCTCACTTTATTCATAAATATTACATGAGTTTGTCGCTGATTTGCTGACTTTGTACCCATCTAAACTTCAAGCTACAGATGTAACAACCTATGGAGAATGCATTGTCAATGAGACTTGATCGGGTCCAAGCTTGCTCGTGGACCACAGTTGTGCTATTGAGTATGTTTGAAAGCTAGTCAACTTTTTGAAGATGGCTAGTCAAACTTTTTGTCTTGGCAATGTGTTGTGTCTTTTAGGGGAAAACTATACTCATTTAGTCTTGCCACACTCGTTATATAATCACGCATTTGTGAAGGTTGTCTGATGATGATGATGATGATGGATCATTGTCAAAAAATTTATGCTACTTGGTTCCATTTTACAGTAATTCACAATTCGCAATTTGATGATACACATTGCATCATTCATCTACATTAGATTTTTTCCATCCTGAATACGTGAAACAAACTAGAGTATACCCCCCCTCATTGACTTACATTCCAACACAGTGTGACTTCTTTTGAGTTGAAGTGTGGTGGTGGCGTTTCAGGTGTGGTTTCAAGAGATGATGATGAGAAAAATGAAGCTTGCTAATTTTGATAACAGCTTGCAACAAGTATACTGTGCATGAAGTAAATTGAGGGGCTCATTGGTGTCTATTACTAGGAATCATGCCATACCATGAAAAAATGAGTAACTTCACCAAGAAATGGAGCCATCGCAAATGCCACACTCTCGTGGTATAAATAACAGCTCAGTTTCTCCTTATTGTACCACCTTAATGCTCTCAAAGCACAAACAACAACAATTTGCTATCAATAACATGAAGTTTTCCTCTGTACTTGCCACTTTTGGTTTATTAGCTATTACTCAATCAAGTTTGATCAAACGCGGTGGTGATGATGATGATAATGAAGGCCACAACCCACAACAAGTCCCAATTACTCCAGTTGTTCCACACCGTTCAAAGCCTCATTACACAGAAAAGTTCACCTTGGGAGTCAAAATTGATGGCCAAGTTTGGTTAACTTTTCAAGAAGAAGATGGTCAGCTTGAATTTGATCACATCAAGTATTATCAACATGGCTCAAAACCACATTGGGGTGGTCACCACCAAACTTTTACTATTCAACCAGTTACTGAGGATGATTCGGAACCTACTGGCCATGCCGATTGGAAGCGTGGTTACGACCCTGCTGAAGAAGAAGAAGAAGATGATAATTACACCGCTGCGAAGTACTACCCAAAATCATATTCCATCAAGTATCAACCGTGGTTACCCATCTTTACTTTGAAAAATACTGTTTTGAAAGACACGCATGAAAGAACTGGGTCTATTGTTGCTAATCACCAGCTTCAATTTGATAATCCTGTTCAACCTGATGCTTTGTATACCAATGGGTTCTCAATAAAGTATGTGAATGGATATCCTTTGTTAGCATTGAATGACAAAACCACTTTTTGGGACTCACAAGCTTCTTCTCCAATTTGGAAATTGTATGACAAACCAATTACATATAAATCAAGAAGCGTTGAGCTTGTTGTGATTAAGGTGGTCTATTGAGTATCGAGAGCTAGAGAAACTACTTAAAGTGCATTGTTCAAGTGGTGTCTTCTTTTTCTTTTATCTTGTTATGGTTGGTTTCAAAGCAGTGTGGAAGTTTTTCCTGGCTTCTTTTTTGTGGTTTCCACAAGCTGTTTGCAATGGCTATTGTGTTGCAGTTTGTTCTTTCGGTTTTCTTTTTTCTATATAGTTGTTACAAGTTTCTTTAGCTAATGAATATTTAATGCACTTTAACTGTTGTTGCAAACACCAATAATCTTCTTTGGTTTTCATTGGCGCCAGTCCTGATTGAACGGTTGCAAACTTTTTGCCATTTTGCGTCTCATCATCGCAAGTGTTTTGAGAAAAAAAAAAAAAAAAGTATTCCATCGCCCAAACTGATACAAGCTGAGTCTACCAAGTCATGGGCAAATTGAAAAAGGGAAGAAAGAATCAAAAGGCAAGGTTGAATCCGATTGGATCTAAATCACAACAAGACTCTAAGAAAGATGAAGCAACCAGAACCTCGAAAATTTTGCCCCTTATAAACAAACTCAACTCTACTATACCAAATGAAAAATCAATGGCCCTTGGTGCCATTACCATTTTATCCGAAGATGCTCGTATGAGAAAGTTGCTTCTCAAAGAAAAATTGATTTCTGTTGTTATGCAAACTTGTCTAAATGATTTCAACGATGAAATTGTTGTTGAGGCTTTTGGTCTTTTGAGAAATTTGGGCATTGAAGAAGGGTACGATGTCGTAAAGTATTTATGGAGACAGGGTATATGGACAAGCATTGAGAGCGCATTGAACAAAATCGACGAGTCATTCAAGTTTTTACAGGAGAAGGGAAATGTCGAAAAGGATAAATCGAAATTACAGCTACTATATGACTTCACTGAAAACATATTGAGTTTGATCGTGGTTCTTGCTAGCGGAGATGATCCAATGTACGAGTCTATTCTCAGCAAGATTGATCCAATTCTCGATTTTATTTTGAGGATCATTGACGGTCACATAAATGGTGGTTTAAAAGTTACAAATAAGTTGCTTGATGCATTGTTGGAATTTATCTATGAATTTTCCACTGAGTCAATTGAATTTGTTGAGAAATTGGAAAGATTCACACATTGGGACAAGTTGATTTCATATGTTGATAAATCAAGCAGCAACTTGGCAAAGGTCTATATTGAAGGAATTAAGTTTAATAACTACGAAGTATTGGAATCTACCCATACTAATAAGCAACAAGTCTTGGGAGAGATTTTGCAAAACATTTTTAATATTGCAACGAGCATTAATTTGGAGAAACTACTGGAACGCATTGAGTCAATTGCCCATCCAAATAATGCAAACGAGCCAATTAAGAAAGATGCCAACACGTTAGAAAAAGATTTATCCTCAAACAATGATACCAAGATCGAAACGAAGAGAGACTTGTCAACTATTGAAGTTAGTTTGAGTGTCATTACTTCTGTCCTTGAGTATATGTCAGATAACGAAGAGAACCCCGAGGAGCCCGTCCATTTATCACCCGATATGCAAAAAGTGCTACTTGAACAAATCGAACCAATGTTGATTGAGCTTTTCAAGTTTGAGTTGAAAGCAAACGTCTTACAATTGAGCAGTCAAATCATTGGCGCACTCAATAACTTTTGCTGGCTTATGTTATGTTGTGAGCCTATCCCAGTTGCTTGGTATGATAAGTCAATGCAATTAGGTGGTATTATACAAAGCATGGATTCTTATAAAATTCGAATGGAATGTATGGGTATATTTTGGGCACTCGTCAAGAGCTTGGGAAGTGTAATCGTTGACGACCTAACTAAGGATTTTATAGAAGCTCTTCAAAAGGAAGAGGCAACAGAAGATAACTCAGATGAGTTTTTGAATACCGTTGGGGTTCTAGGATCAATTGCACCAATAACTAAAAACATGGAAATCACTTTTATGATATCACAGTTCTTGTTAAGATCAATCAAAACAGCATGTAATGAGCCTCAAAAAACAAGGAACTTAGAAGTGATCATTGAATCATTGAATGCAATCTACGATATTTTTGGAGATAAGGAGTTCGAATACGATTACCCTATATTTGTGCAGCATAATTACTTGACCACGTTGAAGGATCTCGAGCCTAAAATCAAGGAGTTTTACAAAAAGATTGACAAGAGTAAGGAACCGCATATCAAAGTGAAAATGGAGGAGACGTGGATCAATTTGGATAGGTTTATACAATACAAAGCTAGCGAAAGGGAATAAACAATGACGTGCTGCCAGCCAGTAGTATTTATCTACAAACTCTCTCTGTAAGTACTTCTCTAGTGACTTCAAAGATGCTCCTCCAGTCATCAAAAATACATACAACACAACACTTATATTTGTCGGAATGTATATACTGATGTTCTATCTATGATTGGACTGAGCTTTGCCTGATTCAATGAACGCAACCTTGAACGATCCATACAGGAACAATCGCTGATACAATTACTTCTCATTCAACAAAAGTTGCGATATCAACGACGTCAATGAATTGCGTATACAATGTGGTTATTGTAATCCTTCCCTTCGGAACCAATTTACCATGTTAATGATTGATTTATAATGTTCCCATCAAAGGGGTCAGCTTATCTTATCCTATTCAAGCAGAAGTCTTTTATATACTACAAACATGAAGCAGAGTGAACCACAGTGTTCATTTCTCAAAATTGTATACCCTGATATTTAACTCCTATTTCATGAAAACAAGCTCTATTATTATACACAGCAATATCCACCATCAACTCTAATGTCTGAACCGTTGGTAAAGCTTGATGCATCACTAGCCAAGTACAAGTAAGCACCAACCAATTCATCGGTTTCAGCTTCTCTTCCCATTGGCGTGAGACCCCACCACTTAGCTCTTTGTTCAGTCGGTATTGGCGCAGACAACAATGTATTTGTGTAACCAGGACTTACTGAATTGACTCTTGCAAATCCAGCGAATTCAACAGCTAATCCTTTGGCCATATGCATTACTGCAGCCTTTGCGGAGTTGTAAGCAGTTTGATAGTTTGGTACATTATTAATGTGAGCTGACATGGAAGCAGTAATGATGAATGATCCAGAACCTTTCTTTTTGAAAATTTGTCCCGCATATTTAGCACAATAGAAAACCCCATTGACATTGACATCAAACACTTTTCTCCAGTTTTCTGGAGTTGAATCGTCATTGAGAATGGACCCAGTGTACCAAGCAATACCAGCATTGGCAACAAAAACATCAATTGTTCCAAATTCCTCTTCAATATTGCCAACAACTTCCTTCACTTGTTCAGCATTAGTGACATCAATTTGGTAAAACTTGGATTTGATGCCATAAACGGTGGCCAATCTTTTACTTAAACCATTGTCGCTATGAGCATGATCTAAAATGGCAACGTCACCACCAGCTTGAGCATAACCTTCAGCAATTGCAGATCCAATAGCACCTGCACCACCAGTAATGACAGTGACTTTACCCTTTAGAGAAAATCTCTCAGTTATGTTTTTTGACAAATTGAATGGTTTAGTTGGAACCTCTCTGTTGGCATCAGTATCTGGTTTGATGAGTGATTGGTATGGAGAAACAGTCATTCTTGAATATATGTGATTAATTTATTTGATGAATGTCGTAAAGAATGAGAGAGCAGAGTGAGTTGGAAGGGAAATACGGTGTATTTATATCTCAATTTGATGACTTTAAGGAGATGAGTAGTTTATTGTGTATCTCTATGCAATAGTTAGTTCGGTGAAACTCCATATTTCAATAAATGTATCTTTGTGCTACATTTTGCATATCAATTGAGTTGTCGTTTCTTTTTCTGTGGCGTCATTGTGTAACAAAATTTGTTAGTATCGGAAGAACTCAACAACATCGGTGAAACAACACAATTAGCATAACAATACATGCGTTTTCTAAATAATAACACATACACACACACACACACACACACACACACACACACACACACACACACACACACACACACACACAGGCACACACATTCGATGATGTAATACTTAGCAATGTCATTTTTACACGGGTAAACTACTGCTTAAGAGAGATACAGCACAAACCAGAAAAAAAGGGAAGAATGAAAATTGGTCAAGGCGTGTTTCGACTGCAAATTGGATATCTACAGTAAACCCAATCGATCGCTCATATCATTAAGATTATCCAGAACTGTACTACTAAATATCCTTTGGTCCAATCATATTCTCTGGCCTAACCCATTGGTCAAACTCTTCTGAGGTCAACATCTTCAACTCCAAGCACGATTCTTTCAAAGTGATTCCCTTTTTGTGTGCATTCTTGGCTACTTTGGAAGCGTTATCGTAACCAATCTTTGGGTTCAATGCAGTGACCAACATCAAAGATTCATGTAAGAATTTGTCGATCTTCTCCTTAATGGCCACAATGCCTTCAACGCAATGAATTCTGAATGATCTGGATGCGTCTCCCAAAATTCTGATTGAGTTCAATAAATTGTAGGCAATAACAGGTTTGAACACATTCAATTCAAATTGACCTGATGCTCCAGCAAATGTAATTGTGGTGTTGTTACCCATAACTTGGGCACAAACCATAGTCATGGCTTCACATTGTGTGGGGTTGACTTTCCCTGGCATAATGGACGATCCAGGTTCATTTTCAGGGAGTGCCAATTCTCCGTATCCGCATCTTGGTCCTGAACCTAAGTACCTAATGTCGTTGGCTATCTTGTACAAAGATGTAGCTAAAGTGTTTAAAGCTCCTGATGCTTCAACACAAGCATCATGGGCTGCCAATGCTTCAAACTTGTTGGGTGCAGTTTTGAATTGGGAGCCAGTGAGTTTGGAGATTTCTTCAGCAATTTTAACGTCGAACCCACGTACAGTATTCAAACCAGTACCAACAGCGGTACCACCCTGGGCTAATAACGATAATCTTGGTAACGTTTGTTTAACCCTTTCTATACCAAACTCCAATTGTTGCACATAGCCTGAAAATTCTTGTCCCAAAGTCAATGGCACCGCATCTTGCAAGTGTGTTCTACCGATTTTAATAACATCCTTAAACTCATCAACTTTCTTTTGAAATGCATTTCTCAAATCAGTCAAATTGGGGATCAAATGTTCTTCAATGTGGATCACTGCGGCAATATAAGCAACTGTAGGGAATGTATCATTTGATGATTGAGACATATTGCAATCATCATTAGGGTGAACTGGTTTCTTTGTTCCCTTTTCACCACCCAAGATCTCATTGGCCCTATTGGAAATGACCTCATTGGCATTCATGTTCGATTGAGTACCTGAACCAGTTTGGAAAATCACCAAAGGGAAATTATCATTCAATTTACCTGCAATCACTTCATCAGCAGCTTGTTGAATGGCTTTGGATTTTTTGGAATCTAATAACCCCAATTGTTCGTTGACTATAGCTGCTGCTTTCTTTTGGATACCGAATGCTTTGATTATAGGGAATGGCATTTTGATATCACCAATTTCAAAATTAGTTAATGATCTTTGAGTTTGTGCACCCCAATACTTGTCGGCTGGGACTTCAATTTCCCCAAAAGCATCGGTCTCAACACGTTTACCTGACATATTGCGGTGGATCAACGGGTGGGTATACTTGGAATTGATTGAGAAGTTGGATGTAATAATGTATCACATCTCGGAGTTTTTTTTTCTCCTCTCTTTGTTGCAAAACACGCCACGATCAATACCCGGAATTGGAGAGTTCCTGATAATCCCGACGTGTGTAGCAGCACTCGCGGTAGCGGGACAACACCACCTCACACAACGGCATATGAACCATGCAACACCTCAATTTACAATGTGTTTCAAATAGACAAAATATGAGATTCTAAATTCTATACAAGCCCCATTCTCATAGATACTTTGATCCAGCTTCTTGCAATTTTCTTTGAGCTAAACGTCTAGGAGGTTCAACTTTAGCTCCATGCCAATGGTAATGAAATCCAATTTCGTGCGCTAAAATCTCACCAAATCCCAACATCATACCATTGATGAATGGTAATACTAAATTTATAGCACTCTTTCTGACAATGCCAATAAAGTATGGCCAAAATGACAACCTCCTTTGTTCTGGGTATGGTTGTTCCTCATCCTCTTCATCCCCAATAATTTCTTGACCTTCCTGAATGTCTCTATCCACCGTATCAGAAATGTCAGCATTTACAGTCACACCACCGTCAGATCCTTCATTTAATGCGTCTGCAATGATCTCCCCCAAGACTTCTTGTTCTAAGGGGTTGGGATTCCGAGGGCTGAATATGGTGTGTGACTCGCTCTCTGCATGTTCCAAACTTCGCGGTATAGTTGCCGTGCTTGGTGATTGCTGGGTGTTCTGAGAACTACTTTCTCTATAGCTGCGTTGTGCGAATGAGCCCGACATATTTGATGTTTAATTGTGAGTGAATGAAAGTATTGGTGATGAATTCTCACCGCCGTTGATTTTGATAAATTTATTGTCGCGCGATTTGCGTGAGCAAAAAAGAAAAAATGCGACAATAAAACTAAGAGAGAGAGAGAGAGAGAGAGGGTCTTACCTATTTTGCATACTGCTATGCAACCCATCAGTATAATTTTCTATAAAAAGCTTCATTTTGCAAGTAAATCATACTCGTTCAATTTCTCGATGATACTGGCCGGCTCAACGATATTTTTTGGTACAATATGTCGAGATCCTAACTTCATTGTCGAGGGCACTTTTGGCAATGAATCTTTGAGCCTCACCGTTGTGCTTCCGCTGCCGTTCCTATCCGGCTCTAATTCTTCCAAAACTGAGCCAACCTCCAGAGACAAATGATCCAAGTAGTGCAAGATTGACGTGTTTGTAGTACTCTCTGATTTCCGTACTTTGTCCCTTGACTGCGTCGAAAACGAGTCTCCGAATGAATAAGATCTTCTCTCTCTAGGTAAAGTGTTGTTGTTGTAATCACCTGATGAAGATGAATCGAATGTCTTATCGTCGGAGCTCAAAGTCGAGCGCGATTTGTTCTGTTGGGGAACCAAGTGATAAATGTGCTCGCCTCCAGTTCGATTCTGAGTCCCACCGTTCATAAACTTGGCAAGAATGTTTGTCTTTGGATCTAGCGTAAACTGATTTACAAGTTTATTGCTTGACATGATAGGCTTGGGTTCTGACTTGAATATCGCCCTTTCTTTCACATCTTTCGGTGAATGATCAATCGACTTTGAAATGGCTTCCTTGAATATGGCTTCATTTTGCAAGACCAAATTGTCATTATGATGAGTTCCTGAGCCCGGGGAGTTCGAGCGTCGTTTGGAATGCGCGCCACCCTTTGTGTGACGTTTACCTGTCGAGTTTCCACTTGAGCTAGACGATGGCGGAGACGCAGAAGACAAGGACGAGAATGACAGTGTGGAGCTCTGTTCAACTTTGTCAATACCAGCACCGTTTTGCTTTAATCTATGTTCCATTTTCGCAGCCACTGTTCTTCGCAACAATATTTCAACCAACAATTTAGTATTGATCTGATGAACTTCTCTCCTTGATAAAAGTGCAGCATCTTCTGGGTACAATTTTTGAAAAGGCGGGGGTACTTTCATGTAGTCTACCCCGCTTAGGTTCTTGTAGTGTCTTCTCTGTGCCACTTCAAAAGCCCTGGCTTTGTAATTTTGATACAAAATATCCAAAACACTTACTGAGGCTTTACGCGAATGAGTAATGGTAGGTTTGACAGCAGGCTCTTTTTCTCTAAAATCTTCGATATGCCAATGTAGTAATGGATGAGGGTGTAGTGGCTGGGTATAGTTCCACATTTTCATTCTTTGAGGTAATGAAGAACCAACAATTTGGTTGTAGTTACTCATTTGTATAAAATTCATAAACTCATGTCTAGTGGTGAAATTGGGAGTTTGACCATTGTGGACCGACCGATACTTTAAGGAACGTTTCCGTAAAACAGGGAATGAAAATTTAGGCCAGCTAAACCATGACGTCTTTTCAGTTCGATGCTTTTGTTTCCCATCCGTGCTTGGTTTTGATTCTAGCTTCTCCTTGAGTAGATCTTTCCTTTTGATTGTTTTGTTTCTTTGCTTTATCTTGTTTCGATTTCTCAATGTAGCCAGTCGTGAGATAGTTGAGCCGGATCTATTTAATGCAGGTGACCCTACAACAGTTACCACTGGGTGATTATTATTGTTGTTGTTGTTGTTGTTGTTGTTATTGATGGCGCGACTGTTGCTGCTGCTACTACTGTTGTTCAAAATCTCACTAATTGGTTTCTTACTAGTCACAATATTCTCTGTTATAAGATCATAATTGGATCGGCTATGCCAAGGTGAATGTTGGCCCAAGTTTGGAATTGAGGGTGCAGGCGCGGGCGGTTGTCTTGACACTGTTAAGTATGGCTGACCGGTTGACTCAAAAGTTAGATCATGACTTGAGTAGATCACTTCAAAGGGATTGGATTGTGACACGGCTCTGGAATGGGCTCGGCTATGGCCATATGATGTCCCTATGCTTGTTGAGTATCTATTGCGATTATCTTGATTAAATTGGTCTAAAGTTGATGATCCAGTAACGATTGAAGCGTGCGAAGACCGTGGGATCACGGAAGTCATGTTTGTGAATGGTGCAGTCACACTTAATATAGTACTGGGGAGCTTTGCGATAACACTAAGCTGGTAGACTTAACGATGATAAGATGGACTCAAAAGCTAGCAAATGACCTCTTTTTCTTTTTTCCAAAGTAACATCTTCAGATCCATCTTGATTTCCATTTATTAGGAAAAGGGGTCTAACCTGTTTTCGTCTACATAAAGTTTAAGTGAAGTTTTTGTGAAACATGGCTGGCTCAAAGATCTCAATTGAGAGAGAGAAATAAAATAATACATGGAGTTGCAGATCTTTGCAACAACGAAAAAGCTACCAATCACTCATACTTTTGCAATTGTTCATAGTTTTCATATCCATATGGAAAGCTTGCGTGGAGGAGATTTCTTCAACGCAGTCTCTAGATGGATGTGCTGCTTCAAGCGTCGACTGGGGGAGCTTCAATGCAGCACCTATAACAATTTGCGAAAGCTATTACTCCACACTATTGGGGATGATAAAATTATATAAAGCGAGACAATTTTAAAGGCAATCGCGGTTGTAAAATAATGGGCTCCAAGTCTAAGCGATACCTAAAGGATATATTCCGTTTCCAAGACTTGGGGAGTTTTCAGTTGTATGCTCAATACAGTGGCATATGGGGTACCCCTAACCTTCGCACTGCAATAACTAGCCAGTACAATCTGGTGCGATAAACACAAATGAACCTGTACATTGTAGACTTGTTGTTTGAGAGAAATAAAGCAGATACGTTATAGATACAATTGTGTCTTGCTTGCACACCCCATAGCACTGTATAGTTTTAGTGTTGGCATTGTTTCACAGGGCTCGTGAATGAAACAATTTTTTTAGACGAGGAGACGTTTTATTATTAAATGTCGTGTAAACTAAGAGCGACATTCATTGACACGTGAAAAAAAAATTATTTGTTGTTGAAGAATGTCGTTTAAATTCTCACACAACCAATTTTTTATAAACAAAAAAAATGATTAAGGCAATCTGTCCTTTTCCTTTCTAGCATTTTCATTACCAATTGAATTAACATCGGGACACAACACAATGGATAAACTTAAGGAGGTATGTAATGGTGGATTATGCAGATGACTTTAATCTTCAAATCTATGTATCAAGTTGGTTTGCTGCGCTGCACCCGATCTGGAGATAGATTGATTTGTCGACAATATAAACATGTCCAGATCAGGACGCGCATGATCCAATGAAATTTTTTTGGACGGAGGGGAGGGGGTAATCAAATCATCATGTTCTCCGAGCAATACAGGTGAATGATTGTTTTGCACTTTAATCCGTTGGAACCCTCTCGTCAATTACAAAAGATCCCATAAAAGACCAAGTACTAACTCTAATTGCAGAAAATCAATAATTTGAAATTGGATGCTGAAAAATGGCAAGAGAAGTCTGATGAATTGTCTGAAAGGATTAAGGAATTGGAACAAGAAAGTTTGGAAAAGGATAACCAAATCCAAGCCCTCACTAGAAAGAATCAAGTTCTAGAGGAACAAGTTGAAAAGTTGGAAACTAACCTTGAAGAAATCAAGAGTACTGCTGATGAATCACACTCTTTGAAAACTTCCAATGAAAACTATACCAAAAAGAATCAAGTTTTGGAAGAAGAATTGGAAGAAGCTGACAAGAACTTGAAGGAGACTACTGAAAAATTGAGAGAAACAGATATTAAAGCTGAACAATTGGAAAGAAAAGTTGCCAGTTTGGAAAGCGAAAAGGAAGAGCTTGAAAAGAAGCAAGAGGAATTGACTGAGAAATACAATGAAGTTAAGGCTGAATTGGATGAAATCAGTCAACAATTGGAAGCAATCTAAGTTTGAGTTATGTTGGAGATTCCTTTTGTGCGTCTGAAGTTGCATTTTAGTGTATAGCATTTGGGAAGATAGGAGATACATTGCTAAACTGATTACATAATTGTGAGAATCCCAGAAAATGAAGTCTGGAGGTAGTTTTTTTGTCAACCGCATCATCTAAGAAGCTTTAGGAGAGCGAGTTTCTCACACTTTGTAACTATCTCTTATTAGCATGCGTGTATCCTCAGTTCATTGCTCGTCAACAATCTCATCTAATGAAGTAAGCTTTTGTTGTATTTCGCACTCCCCAAAAAACAATCTAACATTGATATTATAGAGACACACAATGTGTCTTCAAAGAAACTTTTTGTACGTATACACAAATCTGCTTCTATTAAATGCTTGTGTACTTCAAGCTGGATGTTATATAGGCCTCTTATTTCACACTAACAATTGAACTTGCAAGCCTTACTGGTTCAGCAAAGGGTTTTGTGTACGATCCACTTGTTTGTATTTAGCGAACAAACGAACAAAAGAAAAAAAAAAAGGGAGAACACACACACGGGCTGAGTGAAGAGGTTACTGGTATCAACAGCAAATAAGACTACACTTGTACGAAACCTAAAACAAAACCACATCTGATTACACTTTTCAGAAACCTGGCTACTTTACGCAATTATTCGTTCTACTTTTTTACCTCCATACAATGATCATTGGCTCTACGCTTCGATCTAGATTTGGTAGTAATTTGGAATCCCATCAGATTGATGATGATTACTCAATGTCTACAGACCAGGAGGAATCAAACACATCTCCATTGCCACAGCCACTGCTACACCATTCACATCAGTCTTCGCCCTCGCTTTCACTGCAGCAATGGACAAGTTCAGGAAGACTGTCCTCCACTACAGCCTTGAGATCTTTGAATAGTGACCTATCACCACGAGGGTATAACGAAGGTGCCACAGCAATACATACACATCACCATCATCACAATCACCAACACCATACTTCAAGCCTACGACATCAGGCTTCATATATAAGCATTTCCCAAAATAGTGCTTTTTTGGATGAATTACAATTTGACCCTGAAGAACCTGTTCCAACTTATGAAACATCGCAGCTAATGCATCAGAATAATCAATGTTTACAACCAGATATTGAACCATCTCAGTTCGTTTCAATGGATCCTCGCATTACTGCACGAGAATTACCTCCAGAACTTGCTTCACATTTGTATACACCCATCCCTTCACTTCCGATACCGAGAACTTCCTCAATGTTTCTTCTGGACTCGGTAGAGACATCACAATGTACGACTCCGAATATGTTGCAACAGCAACAACAACAGCATCAGCATCCGCAGCAACAACAGCAACCCCAGTTAGGAAACTCCCATTCACTGCATCGCTCATTGACATCATCCCCATCTTCTACAAGTGTGCCGTTGCGTAACAAATTTAAACAAACGTCCATCAAGAGACTAGGGTTGAAATTTCTTAATGCAAGACAACACTTTTTACTTGCATGCTGCCGTGATATATCTTTAATCCCTCCTTTGATTGGATTGTACCAATCGTGGAAACGTATTTACCAGGACGGAGATGCAAATGGAGTCCCGTACAAGATTACAACTGCACGAGGCATGGAACATTTCCTCACTGGCGTTTGGTGTATTGTGGCTGCTTATTTGTCCTACTCCATTCTTGACTCTTTGTTAGTAAGATGGATCATTACATATTCAACCTCAGCTGCCATTGTACGGGTGTTGTCCATGTCGACAATCATGATCACATGTGAGTTGTATTTGGTTAGCACATTTAGTGCTGATGGTTACAAGTATGGTTTACATATTTGGATCTTGATAAGCTGCATTTTGACATTTACATACATTGTCCAAAATTTTGTCACCCTGAATTTACAACTTGAGCATCATAATACTATTAAGCAGCATCAGACGCAGGAACCATTAAGAGGTGGTGAAAATGAAGTGAATACAGATGGGAACACTTTGACACATAGAAATGGTGTCTCCTCCAATGGACACATTAGTACTGCTGGTCGCAGTAATGTCAAAAACTACACACAAATGAGGGCCAAGAAACCAAGACGTTTTTTCGATTTTTACAATATCGTCGTTTTCGCTGTGGTTCCCGTTGGATTGGCTAGCTTCGTTACAATGATTGGAATTCTCAGATCGCTATTAATACTTAGAATCGATGTTGACCAAGTCATGAAAACCATTAGTTAAAGAAACGGATGTCCAAAAAAACTCACTTGGTAGCTATGTAATTGATGTAACTTTTTTTTTTTCTATGAGAACAAAACCATCGCATTTCAAGCAATAATTTTTTTAACTTCAATTTGTTTTCCCTTTTTCTTCTTTCTTCTTTAATCAAAAAGTATATAAGGGAGAAATTTGCCACGACGAGATAATGTAAATGCTTCCAAGTTATACTCGTTGCCATTTTTTTTAATACAAAAAGAATACCTCCCGAGAGTGACCACGAAAACCCCCTTTTTAGGAAGTTTGAAATTCGTCTTAGAGAGTTTTGAATGTCGATTTTATTTGAAGGGCACATTTTTTCCTAGCATTGTAATCGCATCTCTGCATGATTTATTGTTGGCGATTGATGTAGTAGAAGTCTATCACGGAGGCATTGATTCTTTTAAAACGTTCGACGTCTTGATGAATACTCCGATCTACTAGTGTCTCAGAGAAATTTACTCTCCTACAAAGCACTTCCAAGTCAATTTTAATACTTCTCTTTATTACCTATACATTACATGAAATAATCAAGAACTCTCCATGAATAACCCTCCTCTCCTTAACATCAGTGATTTTCTAACATTTCAAATAGCTTCAATGAAAGAACCCCTCCCTGAATGGATCATAATATGGTTATATTCTCCAAAGATTGCTTTATCTGTACTTGTGGAAACCAATGTCGTTAGCCTTTTCTCTAAAACATTGACGGCACAAATCTATTCCGTATTTTCTGATTAAACCAGAGTGGGAAGAACAATGACGACATTGTCTTGAACCTTTACCAAAGTTTCTTGGGTGTGAGAACCAAACGTTTTCGTGTGCCATATTTTGTTTAATGTCTAAAAGAAAATGGAGTTAGTAAGATGAACTTAGAATACAATATTATGGATTGAAACAAACGGGCTCAGGGGGTGCTGGGTGCTCTCTAGCTGGACGTGGCACCACGAGCATGTCATGCCCGTGAGATGACACGCATGGGAGTTCTACTGATGATACTGTAGACTCAAATTCTCGTCATGGGCATGTTATTGCAAATCATGCTAGTTTGTAGCCAGCTCGAGGGCAAAACTTGAGGATAATTGATGGGCCATTTCTTGACAGAGAAATATGACCCTATCTTTCCACCTGGCGTGTAGTCTGACTCCCCTGTGCTTTCACTTCCCCTTCAACTGTATGGTTCAATCCGACGTGTCTGGTATCTCCTTATTGTACATACATATCTAACGTTGTTTGATGTATATTCAAAACTGTTAAACCACTGAAAATTCCAAATTTTTCTGCTTATGGGTTTTTTTGGTGTAGTGCGTGAGAATTCAACCATCAATTCTGTGTAACTTCTATAGTAGACTTTTTTGATTACATAATATTATGGTTATAACCCTAATACTTTATCACGTGGACAAATCTAAAATTCGAAGATGTAGTTCCGAAGCTCATCGCATCAGTCCCCAGAAACACATTCACTATTCACAACACCAACACCCATATCCCAAACAAAGCTATAGCATTTACAACGGTATGGCAAAAGGCGGAAATTCACATAGGAACACATTAAAGAACGACCATAAACCATTCAAGTCAAAACATGCAACCAAAGGACAATTAAAGAATCAATTCAAGGGTAAAGTTGAGAAAACCTCATCTTCGGGTTCATCCTCAAAACCTTTGAATAAAGTAGCAAGAAAGAATTTGGCAAAGCAATTGAAGGAACATAAAATCTTGGAAACAAAGCTTACAAAAAAGTTATTTGAAGGAAACTCTGGTGCCCAAAAAGTGATTACCATCATTTGTTTGACTAATGATTTATCGCCAATTGGAATAGCAGATCAATTGTTCAGCCAGGATGAACAAAAGTTTAAGTTTGAGTACCCCAGTGTCACCGACATCAACATTAGCAAATTCAAATCAAACTTGAAGATTATACTTCCAAATCAGGAAAATATATTGCAAATACTAGATGCTGCTAAAGTATCCGATTTCGTAGTTTTCGGAATATCGGCGAAGCAAGAAGTTGAGCAAGGCTATGGAGAGACAATACTACGTGCGTTATTAGCTCAAGGTATTGGGTCAGTAGTTGGGGTGTTGCCAAATGTTGTATCAGCGTATCCCAAAAGAAACCTTCAATTAGACATTAAGCAATCTTTGCAATCATTTTTCAAACACTTTTTCCCCGCTGAAGATAAATTGTATGCATTGGAACTGGATTCTGATAATGCAAACTGTCTAAGGTACATTTGTCAAAAGTTTCCTCAACTGGTGACGTGGAGAGATTCAAGAGGATGGTTAATTGCCGATAAACTCTATAGTGACGAAGGGTATGAAGGTATAGTCATTGAAGGAACTTGCCGTGGAGCTGGGTTTAATGTCAATAGGTTGGTGCACATACCAGGTTACGGTGATTTTCAAGTTGACAAGATTGAAAAATTGAACAAAAACGCAGCAAAGAGTCGTAATGAAATGCAAATTGACGATGTTATTGAACAAACGTACTTGCCCGATGCAAGTCAAGACATTTTGGACGAATTGAATCCTGACTTTCAAGAAGTACAAGATGATGATGCCGATATGTGGTATGATGACCTTGAAGATGATGATTTGGGCGTTCGGTCCGAAGGTAAGTTATATTTTAATGATGATGGAATAAGCAAGAGCAAATTGAACAAAAAAGTGCCTAAGGGAGCTTCTGAATATCAAAGTAGGTGGTTTGTCGATGACGTGTTGGACGAAGATGCATCCGATTTGGAAGAATTGGAAGACAATGATGGGGATGCCGAAGAGGCTATGGATGATAATCAGGAAATTGTGGATGACACAATCACGGAGTATGCTGAATCTGATATGCACATTGATTTATCACCGGAAGAAGAACAACGCCAATTGGAGGAGTATCGCAATGCTGCTGCTCACGAAGACTTGGAATTCCCTGATGAGATTGAGTTACATCCTAACGAGTCGGCAAAAGAAAGGCTTAAGGGTTATAGAGGTGTCAAATCTTTAGCAAATTGTGAGTGGGATGTTGATGAGCAAGATTTGGAGAAACCAAGTATTTGGAATCGTTTATTACGTGTTGCAAATTTCAAAGCTACTAGAAACAAGCTTAACAAAGATTTCATAAAAAATGTTCAAGCACAGCCTGGAAGCAGTATCAAATTATTCATAAGAGCACCTAAGTTTATTCTCGAGCAGGTCAACACCACTTCTAAACCATTTGTGGTTTACGATTTACTCGAGCATGAACATAAGTTAGCTGTGACGAATTTCTCTTTTGAAAACTGGGAAGATTATGAAACACCGATTAAGAATAAAGATACAATCGTTGTTCAGTATGGTCCCCGTCGACAGATTATAAACCCAGTATTCAACCAAGCTTCAAATAATAGCAACAATGTACACAAACAAGAAAATTTCCAACATCCAGGAATGATGACAATAGCCACAGCCATAGCACCGGCGTTATTCACCAATTCGCCAGTTATTTTTTTCAAGTCCGGCGAAAATGGCTCGATACAATTCATTGGGAAAGGCTCTTACTTGGGATGCGATCATACTCGTATTGTTGCTGAACGTATTGTACTAACTGGTCACCCAGTCAAGATCCACAAACGTGTGGTGACTGTTCGTTATATGTTTTTCAATCCTGAAGATATCAACTATTTCAAAGCAATTGGACTTTTTACAAAGTCGGGCCGACTGGGATTTATTAAGGAGAGTTTAGGTACCCATGGTTACTTCAAGGCTAATTTCGATGGTAAATTGACATCACAGGATGTAGTGGCCATGAGTATGTACAAACGAGTGTGGCCAGAAATGTCTAGTTTGTATACTGAATAAGAAATAACACATCTAATGCACGGTACGCTTTTGCTTAATCAAGAACTGTAGAAACTTTGATGTATTTTAGAAATAGACACAATGTATATATAACCGAAAACTTGAGGTTGTAAGTTGAAGACCGAAAATCCGAATATGAAGATACGAAGCTTAAACACTGAAAAGCAAAATGATAGCAGGCACAACAAAGTGCCTTATAGGCCCATTTAAAACAAACCAACAGCGATGGCAACAGCCCCAAACATGAAAGAACTAACCTTGTGAGAAGCAGCAGCACCTTCAGCAAGAGGAGCAATACTTGGTGACACGGCGGTTGGCGAAGATGATGCTGATGACGAATCGGATTCAACAAGAGCTTGTGGTGCTGGCGCATTGCTTGCAGGAGTAGTGGAAGCTGCTGCGACTGTGCTTGGAGTGTCTTCGTCAATTGACAAGAAAACAGGACCTTCGTCAGTGTGGGTTCCAGTTGGCGTGACGTTGGGGAACACAGTAACGTCTGGGATAACAGTCACACCTGGAGTGTTGGTAGTAGCTGGGGTAGTAGCTGGTGTGGTAGCTGGTGTGGTAGCTGGTGTGGTAGCTGGTGTGGTAGCTGGTGTGGTAGCTGGTGTGGTAGCTGGTGTGGTAGCTGGTGTGGTAGCTGGTGTGGTAGCTGGTGTGGTAGCTGGTGTGGTAGCTGGTGTGGTAGCTGGTGTGGTAGCTGGTGTGGTAGCTGGTGTGGTAGCTGGTGTGGTAGCTGGTGTGGTAGCTGGTGTGGTAGCTGGTGTGGTAGCTGGTGTGGTAGCTGGTGTGGTAGCTGGTGTGGTAGCTGGTGTAGTGGTTGAGGAAGTGGTTGGTGTAGTAACAGGAACACTGGTCAACGTGGCTGAGGTAGTAACAGTAACCTCAGTTGGATGGCACTTGTGGTTGCTGCAAGTGGTAATTGTGACAACAGTGGTACTTGGAACATACACGGTTGACTCAGTACCCTTATGGGTGTTTGTATCCTCACCGGTAATAATTGAACCTGTTTCGTGATTAGTTGAACTTTGTGGTGGTTGAATTGGTGAAGTGGTGGAACATAAAACTTCATCAGTAATTGTCACAGTGGTTGGTTCAGTAACGGTAATTCTCGTTGGAAGACAACGATTATCAGAACAGGTGGTAATGGTAAGTGTGGTTGCTTCTGGACAGTACGTGGTGTAATCAGTGACAACAATTTGAGTGTGGATTACAGAAGAGTTACTGTAAATTGGTTCAGCTAAAGCAACGGCAGCGAGTGAAAGGGTGGTGAAGATAGATTTTGAAACCATAGTGATTGTTAGCGAGCGAATGTGACGATTGAAGATGATAAGAAAGGAGTAAGTGTAGTTGGGAAATTCACCTCTTTATATACCGTTAATTTGCTTTGCTTTTCCTCGAAAAAGGGGCCAAACTCAAAGCTGAGGCAATTTCAAATTATGGTCTACAACATCACATGAAGATCCTAGGTTTGTTTACAAAACAGACAGCAAAATTGGGAAGCCTTGTGGCCCAAAAAAGAAACGTATAAGTGTGTTGGTCCTCCCTTTGTCTATGTTTTAGCAACAACCACAGTTATTGTTAACAAGTGCATAATGCAAATTCACTTTGGGTAATAATTGACTGCAAAAAGAGAAAATAAGGTTTGAATTGTTTTAGTTTTGTGTTATCTATCTCTAACATGTAACTGAAATTGTTGAGTAGCTCAGATCTTCTTCAAAGGCTTCAACAAATGGTTCAACAGACCACTTCAAGGGGCAAAAGAGTATGTCGTTTGTCCGAAGCGACAGTATAGAAACAGCATCTTTCAAGGTAGTAAACTATGCGACCAAAAACTGCGGTCTACAATGTACGGGTTGCACTTTATCTAGGGCCAATGGCACCACATTGGAGTTGAATGTAGAGCTTACAGATAACCTCTTCAGTTTTGTTGAACTGTATCTTTGTTGTGAGCAACTGCTTTGGCCATACGTTGATTGCAAAATGACTAACTAGTTCACTAACTATGAACACAAACATTTCTATAAACTCTGTTTCTAAAACCATGAGGAGACGCCTTAGTGAACTAAAGTCATCAGAAAGGATTAAACTTTCCTCGAACGTTTTTAATAAAATTGGCACATTTTGTGCTTTGTTGTGCCCTTTTGTTTACTGCCTTTTCTTTTGACTTGATATGTTACGAGTAACATCTTTGATAAAAAAAGGTTTTAAATTTCAAAGAGCTGTAGAAACTCACAACCGTCAATAAATCTTGCTGCATAAGCTACAGAACTAGTTATTTTCATTTCCTCGATACTCAGTGATGGATCCATTCATACTTTATGCGAGTACATTTACGAAGTTATTTAGACGGCCACCCCCTGTTCATTTTGTGTAATGAAAGTATAAAATCTACTCATCAAAGCTTTGTGAGGATTCATAAGGCATGTTGTGAAAACGACGATGTTTGTGGCTCTGAAAGTAAAAAATGCTGTATTACTAATCAAATTCCTCAGTGTAGTGAAGTCCCCACCCCTTTAAGATCAGTCTTTTCGAGTTGCATCTGCCCCATAGGCTTCACAAAATGACTTGACTAGTACTGCAGTACCCGTCCTTGTATATAAAAATGACCAGAAGATCTTCTAAACATCGACGCAAACTCTAGCAACCCCCGCCTCACTTCAACGTTATTAGTAGACGACTATTGGATTGTCTCACCAAATGATTGTTGCAACTGCGTAGTCGTAAAATTATGACGTCAAAAAAAAAGTCAATTCAACACGCGCCGCACGGTCGAAGCCATTCGACGATATTTTTCACAGTTTTTTTATTTTTTTTTTTGACAGGTTGTGATCTAGTTGATCTAAAATACATATAACTCAAAGAAACTCTAGACATGCGTGTATTCAAGAATGTCATATTGAATGCAATTTCTGTGACCGCGGCGATACCGAATGTGAACATCAACCAACAAGACAATCCAGGTATTGAACAAGTTCTTGAATCATTATCATTACCCAATTTGTTAACCATTGATAGTATATCGCGTATATCCAACTACGAAACTAGCAGTGTTATCTTTGATCAAGGAAGACTATTGATGAATAAGCAAGGTGCGCTTTTCTCAAAGTCTTTTATCCCTTCGAAAGAATTTACAGCAGAAATTGTATTTAGATCATCGGGTAAATCACAAGATATACAATTTTCAGATAATGGATTGAATATATGGCTCTTGGATGACAGAAAGAGTCAAAGCTTGGACCAGTACGATGGATTCAAATTTGCAATCAATAATGTGGATATACAAGGTTTGAAAATTTTCAATAACGATGGAACCAACAATGTTGACAACGGGCTTGATGTCAGTATTGGTGATTGTCAATTTAGATATTTGGAAAGCGATGTTCCTTTTACATTGAGAATATCCTATAGTGATAAGTGGTTCAAAGTACAAGTAGATAACAACCTATGTTTCAAAACTGACAAAATCAAGTTGCCTCAAAATCAAAACTTCAAATTGGGAGTAACTAGCAACACAAACTCACAATCTCAAGAAACTTTCGAAATTTTGGCTATCAAGGTATGGGATAAATTGACTGAAGATGCTCTTGATGATCATGGATTAATGGTTGAGGGCGAGTTGAAGGTAGATGTCAAGAAGATCGTTGACGGATCGCAACAAATTCAAGACGAAGATCATGTAAAACCAAGAGTAATTAGGGAGTCCTTGATGGAAAGAGCAAGAAAGCATAGGGAAGAAATGGAAAGGGCTCAAAATCTGGACATTTCAAACATTGGTAGTCAAAATAACGATTTTCTGTTGATTCTTGATAAGTTGAACCATTTGGAGTACTTGGTGAATGACTTGCCGAACAGTTATAACCCATCTTCTCAAGGTACTAAAAATGATCAGGTTGGTGGTGCATTATCTCAGTCTCAAAATGATATTACCAACGCTATCAAAGAGACACGTGACACAATCAATGGTTTGAAAGAGACATTTGTACAACAGTATGCTCAGCTACTTCAAGCGGTGTCAGATCTCAATCACAAAGTTATTGGTGAAGTCAGAGAGCAGCATTACGGCATGGAGGAGATTGGGAAAAAAGTTGACTTGTTAATGAGCGAACACAAAGAAGTTCAACATCAATACAAAAAACAGAGTGAACAAATGGGTCAAAAATCAGCCCATGTTGTGTCTCCGTCAGACTCAACCTTTGATAAGTTGATCAAATGGATTTTGATTCCCTTGATGATAGTTTTACTTGCGTTGGTTGTGTTTGTTTATCGTCTCAGGCATGATATCAAACACTCAAAACTTTTATAGATTAACCTACATTGAAAGTATTTCTTGAAAAGGATACTACTTGTCAACTCATTTGCTATTTACTGTAGAGCTTCCATTGGAGCCCGACTTTGATGGCGTGTACAGATCAGGTTCATCACCCAGTTGGCTTTTACTCTTGGATGGCGTCTTTGGAGTTGCATCTACGGCATCATCCAATAACATCGACGATAATCTCTTCTTCTTTGGTGAAACTGAACGTTTCAAAGACATTGGCGACTTGGCAGGTGTAGGTGGGGGAGTACTTGAACGAGATCTCGATTCGGATTTGCTACTTTGGTCAGACCGTGCTGCATCGTCAAAAGCATTTTGCTGAGATGTTGCTTGTGTATCATTTTGTTGAGATGGTGCTTGTGTTTCGTGTGCTTTCTCTGGTTTCTCACTAGACAAACTGTTTTCCCTATGTTTCACAGCTTTCTTCAACCTTGATTCCAAACGAGATTTGGATCTTGCTGCTAATGATTCACTTGGAGCAAGAGGTGGATCTTGACGAGATTTGGTGGATCCAGTACGGCTTACATTAGGACTGCTAGCAGCGCTGTGCGATTTAGCTTTTGAGCTGTTTCTCCTAAGTTCATTGAAGATCGTTTCCTTGTTTTTAAGTAGATCCTGCATGGTATTGACAGGATGTTTGTCGTTGAAGCTGCTTTTCGAAAGATCGAAATGTGTACTTGTCTTTGGACGTAATAACAACTTGCCAAACTCTAAGCAGAGGGCATTTTGTAGATTCTTGGAGGCCTCCTTATCTTTAGCTCCAATTATTTGCACTAACCGTTTGAGATGAGTCAACAAAGCGTCGAGGGTAGCTATGTTGCATTTAGGAAGCTCTGATAAAACGTTTTGAAGACCATTGATACGTGCATCTTTTTGCGATTGGTCGTGATAGTTGTGATACAACAACTTGATTACATCGTAGTAATTATGCGGTATCAATGAGTCTGGTAATTCCATCAAGTACAATTTCAACACATTGGTGATTACAACAGGATTACTTTGGCCCAAGATCTCGGAAATTTTATTTGGATCAGACAAGTCATTGAGTTGTGATCTCAATTTGTGAACATTCGACAAATGCACTGGCTGGGTCCAAAGATTGATCCTTTCCTCGTCGTTCTTCAAATCGGGATATGTGTGGTCCAAGTGGCTCAAGATACATTGAACAATAATAGGAACCACTTTTTTGTCAAGTCTAGACTTGACACTCAAGTCAACACCAAAGGTTTGTCTTAGATTTGAGTCATAATAATTATCGTACAATGTCACATGAGGTTTGAAATAGCCTGTAGCATAATTTTCAATCAAAAACTTCAAGTCGCTAACTGGATTGATTGTTTCTTCCAACAATACCAACTCATCCGTAACCATTTGCAACTGCTTTACCCTGTTTGCGAAACTAGCTATAAAATCAAAAGAAACTTTCTTGATAGCTTTCAATCGATCCAATTCACACTTTTGCATGAAAGTTAAGTGGTCCATAACAAGTTCTTCAAACTCGCATCTCAACACATCAAGCTCTTTAACTTTTTCAAAGTACCTAGCATCCAAAGACTTGACCTCTTTGAGCAATTTAGGGTATTGAGTTTTGTCGGTATAGTCAACACCACTTACACCAATTGCTTCTTTAACATCATCAAAATTGAATGTGCCAAACCCTTTGGCGAAACCGTTGTTAGCACCATCGTTGTTACTTGGGATGATTTGGGCAACATCGAAAGCCTTTTGTTTCCACTGATAGAAAAATTGAGAAGAATTGATAAATGATTTGCCCATGGATCCAACAACTCTGATAAATTCATTCTTTATCAAATCTTGACCAAACCTCTCCGCTTTCTCCAAGTTCTTTTCGATTTCAGGAACATTGTCGAGAACCCATTGTGTGATGGAACTTCCAGTAGATACGTCTTGGTAGGTACCTAGAATAGGAACTTTATGATCTGTTCGAGGTATACCAATTAACATTTGTTTCAAAAGAGTTTCCATTTGTTTGGCATTGAACTCAGTGTGAGTAAACTCAAAACTTGTGTCTGCACCATTTTCTTCCTCTTCTTCTTCTTCTTCTCCGTCGTCATCAGTAGACTCAACTGCTTTTGACCCGGAAATTTTCCTATAAAACTCAGAATCACTCATCTCCTCGTTCAACTCCTTTTCAGAATAATGGCTTTTGAACTCTTCCAAAATTCTGCACTTGTTAAAGTACCTGTTTTGCAATTTATCCACTTGACTTTGCATAGACTTTAGCGACTTGTATTTTGCATTGATAGTCGAGGTGGAGTATCCAATCCGTTGTTCGTGTTCGTTGCACCATTTTTCAAACGGAACAAGAACCATTGTTTCTATGTTCTCAGCAATATCCAAATGGTATTGACCTTGTTTGTTGAAATTGTCGTGTAATTCCGAGTATGCATTTTTGATTGTTGACGCGTAATCGTCGTTGGCTTGACGTTTACTACTTGGCTTTGCGTTTGTTGATATGGACTTGAGAGAGGTTCCATACAACATCTCCAGCTCCATTCTTTTTCTGAATAAGTTTATAAAGTCGTCATTTTCGTGTATGCCTTCGAAAAGTTGTCCAAATAGAATTTGAAACCCCAGGTTATAATCCTGGGTCCAAAAATTCTCAGCAAATGACATCCAGGGGAGTGACGGTAGTATACAGAAGGTATGTTTCTGATTATTCCTGTAGTCTAACTAGCAATTTGGTAGTGTATGTGTGAGTAATAAGAAAATGAAATAAGTGTGATTTGAGATTCTATAGATCGTCTGTGATTATGTTTTTTTTTTTTTTGTTTTTGTTTTTTTGTTTTCCTTTTTCTTTCAATTTTTCAAATTCTTTTTTTCTTTTGTTTGTTTGGGGGTGCCTTCAATGTTAGAAAAACTATAACATCAATTAGTGTCTACTCATTCTTAATCCAATCGAATCGGAATGAACGATTCCTTCTATGGAAATTCAAGTAAGACATAACGTTGGGCTGCATTGTACTTTTTGACAATGAACTGCATCGACAAAGTTTTTCGTGTTCGCGCCGCGATTTAGATTTAAAGCGTCGCATTCCACGTTGATGCAAACAAAGATTGTCGCTTTTGTGTGTGTGTGTGTGTGTGTGTGTGTGTGTGTGTGTGTGTGTGGCTACAATTCCAAGCAAGATCCATGGTCGCACATGAGCGATAGAAGGTGCATCTGTATTTTAATTGCATGAGTCACACATGCTTGTGGCAAGGAAACTAAATGCCCTTATGTTTTTTGGTTCTTTTAGTAAGGATGGTGTAGAAACCGTTTGAGTGGTAGCTCTATCCAGGATGGAAGATTAAAGTTCCATCTTCTTCGTTCCTTCTCAATAGCTTTTTTTACCAAAAACCTAACAAACACACATCATGCTCAGGCAATTGTGTAAACTGAGTGTCACCAACTTTACTAGAACTACCCAAAGATCTCTCGCTTCAAGTTACAATGACAATGACACTTTCAAATCAAACTCTGATCCACAGCTGAAAGACGCATCATCAACAAAAGTTCCCCCACATAAAGACGGTCTCTATTTTGGGAAATTCAGCGAGAAAGAGTACAAAGAAGCAGCAAGAGTGATTAAAGAGCAAATTGCAAAGTTGGAAGGAGAGATTAAAGGAGATCACAATGTGAGAGAAAATATTGGGAAACTTCCCCAATTTCCCGAACAAGGACCAGCTGCATCCAAAGACTCAATTAAAAACTTGACTGACTTTTTCAGACAGGCTATCAAGTTGACCGGACCAATAACTTTAAGTTCTTACATGAGACAATGCTTGACACATCCTGATTTTGGGTATTATACTACTCGAGACCCTCTTAATTTAAAAACTGGAGATTTCATTACCAGCCCTGAAATCTCATCAGTGTTTGGTGAAATGATTGGAATTTGGTACTATACAATTTGGCAATCTCAAAATCAACCAAAGAATATAAGATTTATTGAGTTTGGTCCTGGTAAAGGTACACTAATTAGTGATGTGATGAAGACATTCAATACATTTATTCGAAAAGCTAGCAATGTCAAGCCTGATATCGAAGTGGTGTTGATTGAGGCATCAAAAGTATTACGATTCGAGCAGTATAAGCTTCTATGCAATAGTGATGAGTATGCATTGGAAACTACCGAAGAAGGGTTTAATAGATCAACTACCAAATGGGGCAATGTAATCACTTGGGTTGATACTGAGAAAGACATCAAACAAAATGAGTCGCAAAAGCTTGCAAATTATGCCCTTGCGCATGAGTTCTTTGATGCATTGCCAATAAAGTCATTCATCAAAAAGGAGGAGGGCTGGCGTGAGTTGGTTGTTGAAGACACCCCAACAGTCCTTAATACACAGCTCAAATTGGAAAGCAATGAGAAAAGCGACGACTCATCTGAGACGCCAAAAGACCCCACTTTAGACACTCAATTTCACTTGACGATATCACCAAAAGAAACACCTGCATCAATGATTCCAAAGTTGAGCAAGAGGTACAAGGACTTGCCCGTTGAATCTCGCATTGAAATTTGTCCAGATGCAGAGCTATATACTTTGAAAATTGCTCAGTTGATTGATAATGTGAATGGCTTGGGTGCGGCTTTGATCATTGACTATGGTGTGGTGGATCAGATTCCAGAAAACTCTCTACGAGGAATTTACAAACACAAGTTTGTGTCCCCATTCTACAAACCGGGGGAAGTTGATTTATCCATTGACGTTGACTTTACTAATTTGAAGAGTCTTGCGGAAAATGTGGTTTCTATTGAAGGTCCCATCAATCAAGGAGATTGGCTTCATAACATCGGCATAGGCTACCGAATTGATCAATTATTGAAGCAAAACAGCAACAACGATGAGATCCAAGACAAGATATATGGCGCGTACAAAAGATTAACCGATGAAGATCAAATGGGAAAAGTCTACAAGTTCATGGCCCTTTTACCAAAAAAAGCAGAGAAGCCAGTAGGTTTTTAATAGAGAGGTTTATCAGAATCCATTGTATATAAAATTGAACGTTAAAAATTTTTATTGTATACTCTTTAGAAATTGATTGGTTTGTCATAAGCAGCCAATGCAGCTTCTTTGAAAGCTTCAGATAATGTAGGGTGGGCATGACAGGTTCTTGCGATATCTTCAGCCGAAGCACCGTATTCCAATGCCAAACCAGCTTCAGCAATCATTTCACCGGCATTTGGTCCAATAATATGAGCACCCAAAACCCTTTGAGTTTCAGCATCAGCAAGGATCTTAACAAAACCATCTGTGTCCAAGTTGGTTTTAGCTCTGGAGTTGGCAATGAATGGGAACTTACCAACAGTGTACTTGATTCCTTGATCTTTCAATTGTTGTTCGTTCAATCCAACCCATGCAACTTCTGGGTGTGTGTACATAACGGATGGGATATTGGCGTAGTTGACATGGCCGTGGCCGTTTTTGATGATTTCTGCTGCGGCAATACCTTCTTCTTCGGCCTTGTGGGCCAACATAGGACCAAATGTGACATCTCCAATAACTCTAATGTTGTCCTTTTGGGTCTTGAATTGATCATCAATGATTAATCTGCCTTTGTTATCTTTTTCCAAACCAGCAGCTTCCAAGTTTAATCCTTCAGTGTATGGTCTTCTACCAATGGCCACTAACAAAACATCAGCCTCAATGTCCTCCTTTTTACCAGACTTGGCATCTTCAACTTCAATCTTGACAACATCGCCATCCCTTTCACCTTTTGTGACCTTGGTGCCTAGTTTGAAGTCCAAACCTTGTTTGGATAACAATTTTTGAGTTGTCTTGGCAACTTCGGCATCCATACCAGCTCCAATGGCTGGTAAGAATTCAATAACGGTGACCTTGGATCCCAATCTGGAGTACACAGAAGCCATTTCCAAACCAATAATACCACCACCAATGATTGCTAATCTCTTTGGGATCTCTTTCAATGATAAGATACCAGTAGATGTAACAATTCTTTCCTCATCAACTTCGATACCTGGGAATGGAGTTGGTTCTGAACCAGTGGCAACAATGAAATTGTCTGCCTGAACTTCAATTGGCTCTGCGTTTTCATCAATTGGTTGAACCTTGACAGTTTTGTCATCCACAAATGATCCGGTTCCTTTCAAATACTCGACTTTATTCTTTTTGAACAAGGATTCGACACCACCAGTCAATTGCTTAACGGATTTTTCTTTGGCTGCCATCAACTTGGCAAAATCTACACCCACGGTACCATCAATGGCAATACCTCTTTCTTTTGCTTCGTGTTGAACTTGATGCAACAAGTGAGTATTGTTCAATAATGATTTGGATGGGATACAACCAACATTCAAACAAGTACCACCCAAGGCACCTCTTTTTTCAATACAGGCAGTGTCCAAACCTAATTGCGCTGCTTTGATAGCAGCAACGTATCCACCTGGACCACCACCAATAACAACAACGTCATATTTCTTGGTGGATGCAAATCTAACAAATTGAGCAAACTTTTGTTGCACAGAAGTTGGTTTAAACGATCTCAACATTGCGGGTGTGTGGTATGTAAGTGTAAGTGTAGGTGTAAGTGTGAATATGTGTAGTGTATGGGTTAGATGTATATACACTGAATGTAAGTCTTTCTCTGTTGGTTTTTGTAAAGTTTGATTGGCAACAGAGAGAAAAAGAAAAAAAATTTACTAAAGCTGCTACTGCTCTCTTTCTCTCTCTCTCTCTTTAATGACAATTTTGTACCAGTTTGTTGTATTTTTTCTCTCACTCTTCTCGGTGTTTAATGTCCCGGTCACAACTAATTTCAAAATTATATGATAGACTAAGATAGGATAGAATGGGATGAATTTAAATTGGAATCAGTTTCAAAATGAGAATATAAGTCGGCTCAAAAGTACATACTCAATGTGAATGTGAATGACTCTATTTGTAAGCAACAAATCCTCCCTCGGAGTTTTGATTTTGCGTGCATAAAAAAGGATTTTCCTGACTCCGATCTCAAAGTACACATCCCACTGCACCCGGCGAGTACAGGCAACACAAACGAAAAACTCGTCGAATTTGCAGCAAGAGTCACTTCCGGGGCATCTAAGTGAAACCATGTTAGGCTTCAATCTGTACGTGAACAATCTAGTTCTGCGTGTATTTGTTGCGAACACAATATAGGTTGTTTTCAGTTTTTGGTCGACGTGAAGCTATAATGTGTGCTTTGTCTCGCCGGCACATACACGTTATAGGAAGTAAGTAAATGTCTACATGTGTGTCACTTTCCTTGTCGATCTACCCCACGTTCTCATGAGTTGGCAAGCATTTGGAAGTATGTAAGACTTTCAAACGAATAGTGACGATAGTTGCTTCAATAAGTGATGTCAAATCTCCCTCTTCCTTGTGCCAGTCATTCCTTTGGTAAAATCTGCAAGATTCAGCGGGCGTAGCAAACTGACTGGAACAAACTTGGTAGCTTAAATACGATTTAGATTTGCAGCAATTTGTTTTCAGTAATTGCACATCCCCTACCAAGATATCGCATTGGATGATGTATCGCAGATTGTAAAGAGTCTCTCGCTTTCGTCATGAATTCATAGCCTTAAGAGCAGAAGCGTTTCTTCTACTCCTTTGCAATTATCGAGAGTCAAAAGGATAACAAGTTGCCTTCCCTTGATAGGTGAATTGGAGATTCCCTCAATCAAAGGTCGATCATACTTATTCTTAGTAAATTTGAGCTTTCAACTATTTCTAAAATTCAATATACGAAAATACCTCTAAACGTTTCATCTCTTTATTGATTTGAGGTTTGACTTAATATTTCGCAAAAATATCTTGTGAATTTTTGAAATCTAATAAAAAAATTAAAACCCTCTACGGATTTTTGTTACCAAGTAGTCGGGATGTAAAATTAGCGATATTATGCGAAATGAAGGTACTAAACTGACAGTACCTAAGGATCTACGAGAGGAAAAGGAAGATATTTAGCAACTCGGGTTGCCAATGATATACAAGTTTTAAGCACAGTATAAATTCTCAAAAAAAAAAAATCAAAATTCGTTGTATACCCAAGTGAGTGAGTGTAAGGTAGAAGATAATTATCTAAGGTAAGTGATGACGCTAACTGTTAACGCAGTAGAAGTTCTTGAGTTGTGTTTGAGTAATACAACAATTAGGTTTAATTGACCGAAGATGTATTGTAGGTAACTAGCTAGACTTAACTAAAACTAAAGACTACACAATCCTCAGTTGCATTCCAAGAGAAATTCCAAATCCTTTTTGTATTTAGATATCCCTTAAGGGAATCAAAGAACACAATCCCGATCTTTCTTGCCACTCTACTGAAAGGCGAACCAAACCCAATCCTCAATTCCTTCTTTAGGATAAATTGCTAGTTGGCATGTACAAACGTTCGTTCGTTATTTTCTATCCTAGTTAGTAATCCATAAACGGCAACTCTATAAAGCTTCGTTAGACTGGATGATAAACACTGACGATCTTTTCTACTTTACCTTTTAGCTCCTTTTAGTAATAACGGAGTTCCATTGCTGAACACCAGGTGTTTATTTGACCGTTATGAATTCTATCGTCTAATCAACTAGCGGAGAGACTATGGGAGTTGCTGAACTGCCGTGATAGGTGGTTGGCCAGAAACATAGTAGTAAACAAAACTATGTGACAACAAACCTTATTCTCCTAAAAAAAGTTTTGAAAATTGCCTGGCTAGCTCAATCGGCTAGAGCGTGAGACTTTTAATCTCAAGGTTGCGGGTTCGAGTCCCGCGTCGGGCTTTGATTTTTTTGTTTTGTTTTTGGCGAGGTTACATAAAGATATCTTTTTATGAGTTACTAAAGTAAGGTGACAAAGATAGGTCTCCTTCTGGTGTTTTACTTGAGAAGCCTGTTTATTAATGTAACCACGAGTTTCGTGAATGCCACATTAGATCTAGCAAGTTATTTTTCGTCGCAAGAAGCTTATTATGGTCGCATTCATAAAATGCTAAAGAGGTATTCAGAGAACCGAGAACCGCGTTTGCAAATACCCTTCATTTCAGGTAGCTTAAGTGCTCAAGAGAATATTTTCGTATACATTCATCTATGCACACAGACAACTCACCTCCATCGTCGGTATCACTACTTTCGAAGAATGTAAAGTAATAGCACTAGCTACTGTCGAATAGTCTATCTGCGCGTATCGCCCATTGAACTAGGAAAAGCTCAGTCCAATCATAGATAGAATTTGCCAACACACCCAATAATAACGTGCACAAAAAGTGCTTCTCGCATATTCTGGATTTCCTAAAAACCTTCGTCCTAGCTTCAAACCTAGAAATGCAATTTGCTGAAACTATATAGATGATGTTGCTATTGGTTTATTTACAGTATTTTGAGTGATATTAATTAGGCATATTATGTTTCAAAATTGTTCAATCTTTGCCTACATCACGATCTTGTGGAATAAACACAAGATCTCATCTATCTGAAGACCACGTAGCTTTCTCGTCATTACCATATATGATCCCATTTTATACCAATGATAACAAGCATATATGTTTCAGTGTAGCTGTTTGATAAGGTGTGTTGTTGGTATCACTCCAGCATAATAAAAAAAATAATACCCACACTAAATCTTTGGCAGCCAAAAATTTGCAAAAGTGTAAAAACCCCTCAAAGTTGCTCCTCTTTCAATTCAAACACGTTCTTGATTTCTTCCTTTTTCTTTCTTTCCTTCTGATCATCATCAACATCATTACTATCACTACAACAGTTTATCACAGGGTTCAGAGTCCTCCATTCTCATTTGAACTCCTGTATTTTTAATAACTAGAGGAGTATATTTGAAGTCACTAGAGAAGTACTTGCAGAAAGTAGTCTTGAAATTTTGATTCTTTCTCAGTAGCTTCGTAACCAAAGAATGGGCAATTTTGCGACCAAAGAGTGGGCGATTCTGCAATTACAGGATGTATGCTTTATCAACGTCGAAACAACACGACAGACACAGTATGTGGTGTTTCTCACCACACCTCAAACTTTAGGGCCCCCAACGTACACACACAGCCTTTGATCAGGTTATTACTGTGGCAAGTAGAGTTAAATTCGCTCAATCACTTTATAAAACTAGTTCAATGGACCCACTTACAATTCAAAGGCGGAGTACAAATAGCATCACTTAATGAGTCAACATTCAACTTGTTTTGAATAAACGCGTATATAATGGATCTTTCGACGATTACCTAGAGGCTGAGATCGGCTCTAGTACCGACGGCCCTAAATAACGCAATTTCCCGTGTTTTTACACAACCATGATGCCAACGTTTGCCACATGCACTATTTTTATAGGGCGAAATTACCTTAAGGCAACAGCGGAAGAAGCTTCATCTACCAGACTACCTTCCCAAGAACGCAAGTTCAGTATCCCACTTGTAACTGTATTGAATCATACTGCGAGCTCCCAACAACACACCCAAAAGTAGATCGCAAGAAACTATTACACCTGGCTTGTTATCGGTCACGATACTGCACGTCATCTCCCCATTGTATGTATTGCCAATTGCGAGCTCTCCAATTCGGCTTGATATTTTCCATAACCTGCATCAGTTCAAAAACATTCAAATTGTGCTTTCGAGGATTTCAAGTACGCTTTCAACTTATCTTTGAACAAGGCATCGCTGTATTGTTCCCCTCTCCGAGGAGCAGCACCACACTCGCTGATCTGGGCACTAATATTCTCCAATAGGTTCTGCAACAAGCTGAATGTGGAGTCGTTCAACCGAAGTCCTCTAGACGCTTCAAACACACTATGCAAAAAATTGCAATCCAATTTCAAGTTATACAACACCGAGACGTTGCGTATATTGACACTTCTCAACCCATCCTGAATGCTCTTTAAAAAGCTGTATTGTAATTCATTTATAATTGTGATGAATATGTCGCCACTGGTTAATGGCTTAAGTTTATGCACAAGTTTGACGAAATGCATCAAAACTTCAAATACAAATCCATCGATTGACAAGAAGTTTATCACATCATTTTGAATTTCCGAGATGTGAGTAAAGAATTCGCTGGTTGTAGAGGAAATTACCTCCTTTTCGTTAGCCAAGATGTCATCAAGTATAGTCAAGCTAGCCTTGTCAATGTCAGCAAATAGTTTGAGCTTTTGTTTCGACAAATCTTTGCCAAACCGTTGATCAAATTGGAAAATCAAGAGCGGGTATGTTGTTCGTGACAATTTATCCAAATTATTCACGGTGAGAATCTTGAAAACTTCTATTGTGGAACTCTTTTCCTGCGATAACGAAAGACGATCAATGTTGTACTTTTTCATAAAGGAGTCCACAATAATGTTCAACGTTCTCATAAACTGTATTTCAATGCTCATGAGGACTCGTTTGCTAGGATACGAGGCAACAATATTAACTTGTAACTGATCTTGATTCACCTTCTCTTTACGGAAAATAATTCTGCTAATCTTGGAAATCATGTATAGTTGATAATATTCAATTACATTAACCAATTTAGTACAAGATCCATCTTTTGCATTGTATTTATCCTCAATTTTCCAATCTTCCAAATCATAAAACTGCGTGCAATCATTGATCCAAGTGGAGCAAATAGCCTCCAAAATTTTTTGGTTAATATGCAGTGAGGCACTTTTCAAAGTCTTCAACTGCTTGTTTGTATCTTCATACTTGCTCACATTACCAATAGTAGTAACGGCAACGCCCAACTTTGTTAGTACACGATTCACTTTCTTTTGAATTGTGCTCAACTGGTGAATCGTGGACAAGGAGTTGGAATAGCAAGGAACAAATTGCTTGTAGTTTGCGGGCCGCGATTCCAAATTGTTGACCTCTTTGTTATCTTCACTATTTGTCTCTGACTGAAACAACCTGACCAAGAGATCCACCGCCTCATTTATTGCATCAAGAAACTTGTCACGTATAGACCCCAGTGGGTCAACATTCAATTTATGATAACTGTTGTAATTATTTGCAAATTTTTCAACCAACTTGATAAATATGGTTTCCATATAGCTCATAAAGTTGACCAACACCAACCACGTTTCATTGACTAAACTGATATCGAGGGCATCGCCACTTTCAAAAGCTTCATCGATAGCCAACATTTTCTCCTCCTTGTTCTTAGCTAACTTGATCTCATTTCTATAGCTATCGTATTTCTCAGCAATATAACTCAAATGAGATCCTTGCCTTCTTTCCGCCCTCAAAGAAGCTACGTATTCTAACAATTTTTTCTGCATCAAAACAAACTTTGTATCAAACTTCTTTTCCTGATATTCAAAATCAGTTTTCAACACCTCTATCTGCTTATTCAAAAACACACCAATTGGATCAGAATGATTGGTCAGACCACGAGCGCTTTCTATTTTGGACAAATTTTCTACCAATGACATGAACTTTTGGTCGTCTTTATTGCGCGAGCCAGTTCCACTGATTGAGCTTTGGGTACTACTTGCCTCATGATCCAACGAAGATAATTCTTGATAAGTCTTGTCTCTAAATTGACTGGCAATTGTTTCTATCTCTTGAAACACTTTTTCAATGATGGTAAGTTTCAGGAGTCTGATTTTGTTTAGATCTGCAAAGGCAGCTTCGTCCTGTGTACCACCACTTGATTGCCTGAGCTTATCGACATCTAATTGAAACGAACTGTCAATTTTTCTGAGCACGTGTAGTTTCTCACGGTCATACCTAGTGTAATCATCGATAAACTGGTGACTGTCATTGGTCGCAAGCGAATTGATTAGTTTGCGCGGAATGTTGAACAAAAACGCATTCGATTTAATGAACTCCAACATGATGTTGAGTCTGTCTTCTTTAGCTTTGTTTTCAACTATAGGCTTTATCATCAACGTTGTTGTAGTTGCCATATTGTTCAACGACAGCTCAAGCTCTGATGATATATCACCATTCCCATTGTTATCAGACACGTTCAACCTATGTCGCTGAGGATTAAAGTATTTTGAAGTCTCCTTATCCTCTTGCAGCTTTGTTTTCAGTTGACTGAATGCTTGCAAAGTGCCGTCCATTTCGGCTTTAACATTCAAAGCATGAGTAATATTGGCATCAAGAGAGCTTTGCAAATCTCTTGTATATGACTGGATGTTTTTGTCCAAAAAGCGTAGCGAATCATCCAAGACATTCAATGGAGTATCCTTGTGAATGGTCGTTAGGTACTTGTAAGGCTTGAATGTTTGCGAACTAATCAAGTAATCTTTCACCAGAGGATCATCTGGAGAAGAAATAATTCCTCTCTTCATCAAGTCAGCCACAATGTTCGATCCACGTCCCTTTAAAGGATCTTCTAGATCCTGACCTTTAGTAGGATCCAACTCGTTTGAATCCACATCGTCCAAGGCAAGTATCGATTTCATAAGTTGAAAAGATTCTTCAATGGAGAGTCCAGATAAGTTTTCAGGATACGATTGGTCAATGCTGCGTACATCTTTACGTTCCTGGGGATGCGGAGTTCTGAGTCCATAAGTTGCTAGCAATTGTTCATGTGGCGGGTTTAGATCAAGCATTGAACGTGTGTTGGGATAGTGTGTGTTGAATGGAGACGAAATTGTCGGATCTTTTCTTGTTTTCGCAAAGCTCAAAAAGTGATTTACACGTGAGTAACAAGTATGTATCACGTGAAAATAAACAGACCTCTACTTCAAAAAAGATAATTTGTTTTGTTAGGGGTACGATCCCGCTTATCGGGCGTGTTGAATTGAGCTATCAGCCAACAACAATATATAAAGGATAGGTCATTCCCACAAGGAAAATGAAAAAGGAAAACCAGAACATAATAATGAAGAATAATGAATAATCAAGTTATGGATCGTACTTACGACGCTATCATTGATCAATCATTCAATACACAAATATATATGATTATGCGCATATCGTCAAGTCTTGGTCTGACTTCAATCAAGAAGTACATGATCACATATGACAAACACTTCCAAACAAATACAACATTGTAAGATCGTCAATCCAAACATGTTAGATGGGCCTGGTTTGGCTAGAGCTCCGTACTTATAAACCAAACCTCCAACACCTTCAACAAGAGGCGCAAATGGTTTAGTGGTAAAATCCAACGTTGCCATCGTTGGGCCCCCGGTTCGATTCCGGGTTTGCGCATTTCTTTTTTTGTTTGTTTATTCTGAGGCTTCGGTTGTGCATTTACTTCTGCTTTATTAACTAATATGGCGCAGTCTGCAGGGGTGTTTGCTAACAGTTGTCAATGCGCGTCCTTCTAAAGTGTTGTAAAAGTATCTACTTTCTACTCTGTTGATTCATCTGAAAGCCGATCGGGTATACAATTTACCTGTGATTTGCTTATTTCTCTTTGTTTCTTTTTTTCTCAAGGCAATTTATCGATCGAGAGATAACACAAGTTATCTCCTTTTGCCCCCTGTCGCTTGCCCCCTGCCAATTGAATACAATTACTGGCTACCATTACCACCCCACCAGACATGAATTGGTTATTATTACTTTGTTCTTTTGTTTTTACTGCAGTTGCATTGCCCTTTGAGGATGTGATTATTCTCGAAAATGATGGACCTACAAATGAAGAAGGGGCCTCGGTAGCAAGGACGTTGGTTAATAGAGAATCACTCGCAAATGTAGCTACAATTAAAACCTGGAAACTGGAAAATGGCAAAACAAGGCATTTGCCCGTTGTCAACATGGAATATTATGCCGACTGCGACGAAGATGGTGATCCATATTGGTTAGTTATCGATGTTGGTGGTGCTAATCAAAATATCATTAAAGGACTGCCATTCAGTTTTGCAATTAGAGATGGGGACCATCCAGATTGGGACAAAGTTGCGTCCAATTATCCTGGGAAACGTGAAGGATCTAATGCCGGCTCCCCACGAGTTCAATTGACTGGTAAGTTGGAATATGTGAATTTTTTTAATCCATTGGACCCCCGCAGAATAAAGTTGGAGAAATGCTTTCTTCAAAGACACCCAGATTCATCATTATGGCTTCCTGGATCAGTTGTTTCTCCGCACAAGTCACATTGGGTGAAACTTAAAGTTGATGGTGTGTATATCATTGGTGGATTTGGTGACACAGCTTATATTGGAGACATTGAGCCAGAATTGTATCATGCTGCAGAGATCATACCACCTTCAGACGGTGAAGAGTTGAAGAGGAGAGTGAAAAAAGACTGATTATGGTTTGTAGCCCTGTTGTATCCCTTTTTTGATTAGATGATGTAACATGAAAGCTTTTTCTTCTTTTTTACTAAGTTTTTACAAATGAGGCGGGACAGAGGGTGTGTATTGATAATTGCAACTTCAGAATTGGTTGAAACTTTGTTTTTTTGGAAAGACCAAAGTTTCCATTTTTTTTTTTTCTTTAGAGTTTGAATATGTTTCAATCACTGGGTGGTGATACTTTTAGTCATCAATGGAATACCAGGTAACCCCACATTTCGAAAAACCTTAAACAAGAAAACCAGGCCAAGTCAAAAAAAAAAAAGGGAAACCGTCACAACGTTTATTCTTCTTTGATAAAGTTAAACCTATTTGAGTTTGTCGGAAATTATACAAGTCAAAAATAGATGGAAATATGATTTCATTTTGTATATCCTGGTTTTTCGTTATTTGTGTATCGGAAAAACCAAAAACTCCGATGAACAGAAAAAAAATATTTAATCAATTTCCGAGAAGCGTGTCAAAGAAAAAGGGGAAATTCCTACTCTCAACTAAATCAATTTGGAAATAGCGCCTATAATGCACCCCCACATTTTGCGGATTTGAAACAACTTTAACTATATTGGTTGCAATGTACTAACACATACAAACACAGAGAAATACAACAACAACAATGGCCGTATATAAACCAATGGGATTCACTACCTCCCTCTCTGTTCCACTGTCTTCTTTTCATCAAATAAACCAAACTTCACAAACAACATGCCCTCACAACAAACAATTAAAGAATCTAAAACAGATGTGTTAATCATTGGTGCTGGTCCATCAGGATTGATGTGTGCTTTGTGGTTAGCAAGATGTGGAATCCCTTGTAGAATCATTGATAAACGTGCTGGAGACATCTTTGCTGGCCAAGCTGACGGCTTACAAAGTCGTTCATTTGAGATTTTCCAATCTTTTAGTGAAGATCCATTTGACTTTGTTACTTTGGATAAGGCATGGAAAGCTGCTAACCATATGATGGAAATGAGTTTCTGGTCCCCCAATGAAAAGGGTGTATTGGCTAGAAAATCACGTATTCCTGATTTCATTCCTGGTATTTCGAGATTCCATGAATGTGTTATTCATCAGGGTAAGATTGAAAATTGGCTCAATACTTCTATTGATCAGTTTTCTGAAGGTAAAGTCAAAGTTGAGCGTCCATACTTGCCATTGTCCATTAAAATTGATGAAAATATGAAGGGTGACCAAGATTATGCTGTTGAAGTTTTGGTAAAGAGGTTGTCGGATGACTTGGCCAAGCCAGAGCAATATGGAAACATTTCAAATGGGTTGTTTAGAGCATTCGAAGGTGATCAAGATAAATTTTATGCTGACCACGTGAGCGATGGTAACGTTGAAGACTTTGAACTTATCAAGGCCAAGTATGTGCTTGGTTCTGATGGTGCTCACAGTTGGGTCAGAAAGCAATTGGAGATTGAAATGCAAGGAGAAACAACTGATTTTATTTGGGGGGTCATCGATATGGTTCCAATTACCAACTTTCCTGATATTAGAAGTAGATGTGCTGTTCATTCAAGAGAAAGTGGATCAATGATGGTTATTCCTAGAGAGAACGACTTGTGTCGTCTCTACATTCAATTGAAGGAAGTTGCTAGAGAAGATGGTGAAGGTAGTGATGTCAATGCAGCCAAGGCAAAGGGAAGAATCGATCGATCTAAAATTACACCTGAATCCATTATTAAGCAAGCCAAGGAGATCATCCAACCATTTGACTTGGATATTACTGATATCAGTTGGTTTACTGGTTACCAAATTGGTCAGCGTGTTGCCACTGGATTCCACAGAAACAACCGTGTATTTATTTCAGGTGATGCGTGCCACACCCATTCACCAAAAGCTGGTCAAGGTATGAATGTGTCAATGCAGGATACTTACAACTTGGGTTTCAAATTGGCCTTAGTTTGTAAAGGATTGGCTAAGCAGGATATTTTACAAACATACCAACTGGAGAGAAAAAAGGTTGCTCATGATTTGATCAATTTCGATCATAAATTCTCCCGTTTGTTTAGTGGTAAGCCAATGATCCCCAATGCCGAAAAGTTAGAGGGAAGCAAAGATGCTGGTGGTGTTGATTTGGATGAGTTCCATCAAGTTTATGTTCAAGGAGCCAAATTTGCTAGTGGAACGATTAGTGACTATCAAGATTCAATCATGGTTAAGAAAACAGGTGCTAAACCTCGCTCTGGTGAAGAAGCCGACGGGGATTTCAATCCATTGGCAAACAATGTCCCTGTGGGAAGAAGATTGTTTAGTGATTTGGTTTTGGGCCACATTGATTACAAGATGGTGCATTTGGCTGACAAGATGCCTTCGGATGGTAGATTTAGAGTGTTGATTTTCCCCGGTGATGTCCATCAATACAAGGCTAATTGGAATACATTGAACAAGTTCAATGATGTGCTTGAAGCCAAGGACAGTTTTATCAAACGCTATACACCAGTCAATGCATTCCCAAGTTCAGTTATTGAAATTCTCACCATTCATGCTTCACTGAGATTTGATATTGAGTTCCATGACTTCCCTCAATTTACTAGATCTACTGATTTCAAAGGACGTACTGATTATTGGAGAATTTTCTGTGGAGCTGGTAAAGCATATGATGGAACTGATATTGACATCTACAAGACTTTTGGTATTGATAAGCAAGCCGGTGCTATCTTGGTTGTTAGACCTGATAGCCATGTGGCTCAAGTGGTTGAGTATTCTTTGGATGGATTGAAACAGGTTGATGAGTACTTTAGTGGGTTCATGCTTGATCAAAGGAATAACGTTTTGCCAGAAAAAGACAAGACTATTAACGATGCTATTAGATTCCTTCAACCAAGATTAGCAGTATAAGGAGGATAGCTAGTTGTTTTGAATAGTTTTATCGAAAATATATTTATGACTTTTTATTTACAATACTACAGCACAAACTTAATCCCCTCTAATCTACAATGTACTTTTTTGCTCTAATCTAGTTTCTGGTTCATCATTCTCTTTTGCTTTAGTTTCTTTTGTTCCCAACACTTCTCCGCTTCAAACACTGCATTTAAAGCTTTACCCATGGTATCGAAATCAGTCATTAATCCAACATGAGCGGCATCACTAGCAAACTTGCCGACAATTTCTCCCGTACCTGTATGTTTATCATAAAATGTAAACCCCTTTTTCTCCGGCATGAGCCATTTTTGATGAATGACTCCATCACCGTGTCCATAAAAGAATTCGTAATAATTTCCATCTTTTATATCTTGTCTCAGACGCACCAAGGATCCTCGTACTGAGGGGATCTTGTTGCCGTAGACTATGGCCATTGGTGGGTACTCTGCAGCTAATTTGGGATCGTGTTCTAGTGAAAGTATATATTTCTTGGTTGATTCGAGGGTTTCACTCAAGTAGCGATATGCTTCAGCAAATGTGAATGAATAGTGGTCCGGGTGTGGTGTTGATTGATTGCCAGTGGAGTCCACGCCAGGTACCGAGGTAGTTGCTGCCGGTGGTTGAGGTTCGGAAGCAGTCGTGCCTTTGGATGATGGTGGTGGAGGAGTAGATGACGATGAAGACGACGATATAGGTACTGATGCTGCTGAATCAGCACTGGTTTTGCTCTTTTTCAATGATGATGATCGATACATTTTAGAAAATTTCGAACTAATCAGGTTGATACTAGGAAAGGTTGATGATGAAGTGACTGATGAAGGAGGCGAGGGAGATTTGGTTGATCCAAGACTTGACATACTCAAAGTTCTCCCCACCAGATTGTCTTTATCCTTCAACTTTTTGGATTTAGCTTCAGCTTCCAATTTCCTCTTTTCTGAAACCAAGGGGTTTAAATTATACTCAATCCAAGATTCAGGATTGAAAAAATCAATCTTGTATTTTTCCTTTGTTTTGTAATTATAAAAAGTTTCCCCACTTAGTGGTAAAAAGATGAAACTCGATCTCATCATGAAATTAGTTTCAAATGTCAAGATCTTGTCTGATAGCAAAACCGAATCACCAAATCTTATGGGACCAAGAATGTTTAAACATTCACTGGGAGAGCCCACATACACAACCGATCGAAACAATTTGGGGTTTCTTTGTACTGCCCCATGAACCATTAATCCGCCCATGGAATGTGCAATCACCAATGTGGGTTTACCAGTTTCTTGATAAATCTTGGCTAGGAATCGCTCCAATTTTTGAGACACATAATCACCACTTAGACGCCAATCGTAGCCAAACTCTTGCATATTGACTTTTGGGTTGGCATCTAGTTTCTTGATAAGTTTGCGACAAATATCGATGGGTCCAATATGAGATAGTATTCCATCGGGATAGATTTTATCTTCGGCATTCAACTCATCTTCCTTATTTGGTCCCAAGAGAAGATTGATTTTGCGTAAATTAAATCCAGCTTTCAATGGAATCCACACACGTTTATGAGTCTTGGCATCTCGAAGAATGGACCCTCTATAACCTCCCATGATGACAATATTTCCATCAATTCGATCATATATGGTTTCGTAATCAGCCAATTCCTTTTTGTTCTTGTGTGGGATCAACTCAGTCAAGTTGGATGTTATTGCATGTCTAACGGCTTCTGATCTACCACCATCTACCCCCTTGAACCCCTTGAAATAGTTTTCTTCGTCAATAGTGCTAATTGATTGTTGGCGTTGTAATCGTTGTTCAACTTTACGATGTAGTTCTTCATCAATCTTGTGGTCATTCTCGTGTCCAACAAAAGGTACATCAATCTTTTTCAACAGACTTAGATGCCTAGTCAAGTTTTCTCGTAGTGATGAAAACCCACCACCAAATGGTAAAGAAAATGAAAACACTTTTTGCTGGGGGTTGTATTGCTTCATCTTGTTATCGGTGAATGTATGATCACCAATTTTAACTTCCTGATCTTCAGTAGGCTGATCAGGGTCAGCAGTGGGGTGGGCTCTATTCTTGTCGGCTTCGTATTCATCATGAACATCTTTGATCGAATCACCACCAACAAGGGATTCTGCATCTGATTTAGTTAAACGTCGACTTAGTGTATGGGTTGCGGAAACTGGATTATATTCACGAACTTGGTCTTCATTGTCATTGCTGTTCACACTGCTGGCTCCACCATTGTGTTTACCGTTGGCATTTATTGCATCATAACTGTGTATATTGATGTTTTCAGCACCTCCATTTGCCTCGGCGCCGTCGTCTTCTTCTTCTTCAGAGTCCATACTATCTTCGTCGTCCAGTATTTCCTCACGATTAAGCAATTTGGCCTGGTAATCAGTTCCAGCATGGGCATCAAGCGTTGGTTGCGGCAGTAAAAAGCTTAATTGATCCGAAGGTGATTTCGGAGGTGACGACAACGGTGACTCTCTTGTGGAAACCATAGGTGAGGGAGATGGGAGGGATTAGTGAACGTGTTTAATGGCGAAGATATCTAGCTCTTCAAAAGGAAAAGTAGTGATGTTTTTTCAAAGAAAAGGTTAGAATCTCGGGGGAGGATTTAATAAAATCGGAAATCGGCGCGATGGGATAAATCGGGAACAGGCCAGAAATGAAAAATAATATTATTATAACGCGCGGGTAAAATAATGACAGGGATGTTGCGATGTGCTAAAAGGTGTTTGATGAAAGTTTGACACCACTAGAGTGGAACGAGAAGCTTGATGAAGAGAAAAGGAAGTCAAAGTTTATTCTTTAAGTGGTGACAGCGTAGAAAGAGAGAGAGAGAGAGCAATCTTGTCACCATAGTAATGACTATTATCATTTGCGAACATGATTTATTTCATTGTTGTCTAGTTTGTGTGACTTTTATTTGAGTTTATTCAGTCAGTCACATACACACACACACACTTGAGGATCATAAAAATTCATTCAATCATATCGTCGGATCTTACTGAGAATCCAATTTTTCTCTTTCTGATTGACACATTGGGTACAGGGTACAGAGTACGGGGTACGGGGTACGTCCCCCCTTTCTTCGATTACCCCACAGAAAAAATTGACCCCAACACTATAAATGTTGGTGCTAAATAAACACTAACTGGTCCTCTGCATTTAAGTTCCATGTTTTTAAAATTCTCATAACCATTGTCCCCCCCCCTCCCACCAACCACTTTTGAGGCTCATCCCACTGGATCTCTCTCTGACGTATTTCTCTTGGCATATGATATTTTTATTATCGTATCTTTAGTCGTTTACAAATACTATTATTAGTGCATTTCAGAGATGTAACCGTATTCATTTTTCCATTTTTATTTTATTTTTATTTTTATTTTTTTCATTTTATCGCCGTGCACTGAAAAACGGTTGTTAAACAATAATTTTCTCCCGTTGGTTCTGTTTTGTAATTCCGATCAACACTATCACAAGGTTTCTATATGGGGAGGATTGAAGAAAAGCGGAGAGACAAACAAATACAATTTTCAAAGTGGGCGTGAGGATATACCGATAATTACGCACGGAACAATAGAATGTAACCCAATTAGAAAGGGGGGGGCTAACCACTTACTCTCGTGCCAAGTTTTCTTGACTCAACTATTTTTTATCTTCGTCGGATTTATACATTTTATATCCGATTAATCGGTCTCAAAAGAGAAAAAGAAGCGCAAGATGAAAAAGAAAGATATAAAGTTACACGTTTTTGATACATCGATTATACAATTAAAAAACGAAGTAAAGAAAATGTTTGTTGTACCTAATGACAAAACCAGTACATCCCCACTTTCCTCGATCATTGTCTCTTTTCATCGTTATTCAAGACACCTTTCAACCAATTACTCTTGCCTAAAGTTTCGCTAGTTGTTGTGTTCATGGAAGTGCTCGCAGTAACATTAGCGTTGTTGTTACTCGTAGACGCTATAGTGGTACTCTCTTCTTCATTATGGATTAAGCTCCCCACACTACCTATGCTATGTCCATTGACATTTCTAACGTCTCTCCTTTCACCACCACCAACACTTGCATTGTTCACATTCATGGGTCCACCACCATTGGACGAATGGAAGTTGCCTGGTATAGGCAAATTTTTAATTGAGGGTAAACTATTATTATTATTGAGATCATGTGTTTGGGTTGTTGGTGTTGAAGTCAGGGGGAATTGTTGTGACAAAGGAGACTTCATCATACCATTAACCGCGTTGCTATTATTAGTCAATGAAGTTGATCTTGGATAAGATATCGACAATGACCCCTGTTGTTGTTGCTGTTGTTGTTGCTGTTGCTGTTGCTGTTGCTGTTGCATTGACAATGGCGTCCTACTATTTGATCCAAATGACATATGAAACATTGGCGATAACGGACTCACTAAATGAGGTGTTGACGATGCAACAGATGACGCTGATTTCGGGGGTGGTGGGAAACTAGTACCAATATTGTTCAATCCACTGATACTGGTTGCACCGCCTCCTTGACCAGACAGTGGGTCAACTTCACTCATGGCTGATCTTGGAGCTGGTAATTGGGCCAGTTTTATGGTTCCACCACCATTGACAAGATCAATATCTTCATCGCTTTCATAAGTTGAGTGGTGTAATGATAATGGCTGTGGTCTCTTTTTCGGTTTAAATGTATGAGTCGGTATTTTTAATTCATCGGATGAAGAATTGGCGTTACCGGCGGTAGGAGTACACTGTGATTGCTGCTGTTGTTGCTCTTGTTCATATGAGTCTTTATTTATCTGAGGTAATGTAGTTTGTAGCTGTGGTTGCTGCTGTTGATCCACTTGATGAGGCAATGGAGGTAATGGTTTATGCTGTGATTGTGATTGTTGTAGAGGTACCAGATACTGTCCATTATATACACTTGGAATAGGCACGTGACTAGAAAATGGCTGTCCCTGTAGTGGTTGCTGCTGTTGATGTTGTCCTTGTGTAGGATAGTTTCCTGGCATGTATACTTGATTCCCATAGTGAGATGGAGTGAAAGAAGATGTTGGATTTTGTGATGGTGGTACAGGTGATGGTTGTCCATAAGTATATTGTGATTGCAATTGTAGTTGTTGTGGTTGCTGTTGTCGTTGTTGCAGCAGTTGCAAATTTGCACTCTCGTGTTGTTGCTGTTGCTGTTGCTGATGCTGTTGCTGTTTTTTTTGTTCACTTTGCTTCATCTTCTTTTTCAATTTTGATCGTTCAATCAACAATTTACTATCACTCTTGTCCTTGGTTAAATATGTCTCATAAGCATGTACTGTTTGTTTATGTTGACGTAAATTATCCAATCTACTGAAATTCTTGGAACAATACGGACACGTAAATGGTCGTTCACCGGTGTGTTTTCTCTTGTGTCTTGCTAAATGCTCACTACGAGTGAATGACATATTACAACCAGGATATCCAGTGCACTGAAAAACTCTTCCTTTACTTGATCGTTTACTTTTAGGTTTGGAGCCATTGGTATTGTTTGATGATGACAGGGCAGCTGATTCTGTTGACGAAGAAGAAGAAATGGTTGATATGGTGGATATAGTAGAATGAGTGGCATTTGTTATTGTTGGTGTCAATTGTGGGAAAGACGATAATACTCCAGCACTGCCGTTGGCGGTGGAACTGTTGGGACTAGAGTTGTGGTGGAGGTGATGATGGTTGTGGTTGTTGCTATTGTTGCTAACGTTGCTAGTGAGTAGTGGTGGTGGTGCTCTTAGCGAAGGTAAAGGATAATGTTGCTGTGAGGATATTATTGGTGGAGGAGGAAGTGTAGCATTTATTTGTGATCGTTGTGATTGAGGGTAATGCTGTGATTGTGGTGGCAGTTGCAGGGAACTACCAAAAGGACGATGAGACGAGTAGTGGTGGGCAGATATTGGTGGTAATGAATTTATTCCTGGTAAATGTGGCTGTGTTGGTGGTAGTTGCTGCAGGTGCAGATGTTGTTGTTGTTGAGGAGACAGCGGTGACTGTATTGAGTTCATTTTAGCTTCCGTATCAAGGGTATCCTAATGAAGAGTATATTTCTATGCGCGTAGGTTAAGATATGTTGGCTGGTGTAGGAGGATACTTTTTTTTTTTTTGCAAATATAGTCTGATTATATTAACTGTTTCCTGCCATCTACTTTGTTCTTGCTTCACCTGGTTTGTCAACAATATGCAAATGTGGCAATTTCTCTATAGTGGACGGATGGTATTGTGGAGGTCAAATGTGCATAAGATACCAGCGTGGATTAGTGTTGAGTTAATAGTTTTACAATTTGTTGTTGTCCAGTGGTGCGTTTTTGAACTTGTCAATGTAGGATAGATTTGGGCGTGGTTCTATTGCAAGTGAGTGGCAGTAGTAGTAGCAGTAGTAGCAGTAGTAGCAGTAGTAGTAGTGTACGGTAGGTGGGTTGACGGGTGTATCTGCTGTGGTTGGTTTGAAGAAAGAAAGGGGTTTTTTGAATTTTGTTGTCGTTGTTAGGAAAAAAGAAAAACAAAAAAAAAAAAATTCTCACACAGCGTTGTGTGTTGTGTGCTGTGTGTATATGTGTGTGTGTGTGTGTTCCTTTCAATCCAAAAAAAAAAAAAAGAAGCCGTGCTCCGTTGTATAAAAATTCTATTTGTTTGGCTTCTTTATTCTTTATTGTTTTAATGCTTTGTGAAACTTTCTATGTAGTGTATCTTTTCTTTTTAGTTTTAGTAGTATAGTAACAATCTATGTAGCATGTATACATATATCTTAGTACTAAACAATCTAAATACTATGCTGGCTCATCCAGTCCTGGAAAAACATCCCATGGTGAATGTGATGTGTGCAAAAGGTAAAATGCGTGTTTTTTTTGTTCTGTGTCGTATTTGTTTTTTTTTCTGTGTCGTTTTTTTTGTCTTCTTTTTCCATTATGCAATATGACGTAACAAGAGGAGCAGAGGAAGCAAAGAGATAAAAGGGGGTCAATCAATTGAAGGATTTCTCTATATTCACTGGGTATTACTACTATTTACTCTTTTATAAGAGTATTCTTTGGATCTGCTGGCTTTCGTACTGTAGTACTTACTCATGTTGTACTAAACCGTATGTATGTATGTATGTATGTATGTATGTAGTGTAACTCATTTTTTTTTTTTTTTTTGTTCATCAGTGTCAAAGTAGCAGAAAGTATGCTATGCAATGTCTAAAATACTTTGCAAAAGATGGCAAGATGCTGGTTCTTTGCATTCTTCCGTTAATTCTGTATATGTACTTAAAGTTACGATGTTTGATTTTTATACAAATGAGTAGTCTTTAAGCTTGTATGTGTGTTGTGTATGTTGTGTATGTATATATTATATGTGGGTTATAGTGTTAGCTTGTGCAAAAAAAAAAAAAAAAAAAAATAAAAGAAAAAGACTAATCAATCATGCATTTTCTTATTTTTTTGTTTGTTTGTTTGTTTGTCACATTTTGCTTCATTTTTTTTTTTCTTTTTAGGTTGTATTTGTGACACTGTTTGTTTGCCACTTTGTTATTTTATTGTTAAAGGTACACACAGATACACACAGATACACATACAGATACAGATACAAATACAATGGTGATATCGGGTTTAACATTGGACAGAATTAGTAATGCTGTGTTCTACGTTATATACCAGTTGTAACATAAAACGAAAAGGAGACACAGAGTGGAAAGTAAAAGTCATTTACTCTAAAAAAAAAACTCGTCTGCGTGTAGTAGAATGTCCCACAATACTGTTGTTAAAATATGTAAAAGAATATGGTGCAATTATAAACGACTGGGTATTAGACGATAACAAGTATGGACACAAAGATAAAACAACAAGCAGGGATTGCCTCCTCTTTTTCTTTGTATATGGCCCCCCGTCAACTGCCTAAAACATAGGATCGTGGCTTAACAACGTACACGTATGGGAACTATACAAGAAAAATTAGTTTCAAAGGGGAAGCACAACACTAAGAGGGGGCTATACTGGAGAAGAAGAAGAAGGAAAAATTTTCTCTTCTTCTTCTTCTTCTCAAAAGGTACACAAGAACAAAAAAGATATATTTTAAGGAGAAGGAAGTAAGGAAACACATATAATATTTTCTTAAAAACACAAACCAAAAGCACCTTGTTTTCCTAAAGAATATCGTCAGATATTTCTTTCATTCCACTCTGTTAAACTTTGGCAAGAGCCAAAGCTAACATCAAGTGAAAAAAAATGTTACAGGACGATTGCTATGATGTATATATTATTCCTTTTCATATGAAGAGCGATGGCAATTCGAATATTGATAAATGATTATAGTTTTATAAAAGGACGTGTAAGTGTGATAAAAAACAAAAGTAAAAATAAATCAAAAAAAAAAAAAAAAAAAAAAACGGACCACATATGCGCATTGTGTCAACTTTTTTAAGAGAACAATAAGGAACCAACAGGAACAAGCACTAATACGAACGAATAAAACCAGGACTCAACAATGTAGTACGACTCCACTTCCATTGTTTTGAGAGAGCAACGCTTCATAGCTTAGCTTTTTCTATAAAATAGTGCTTACAATCAAAGACGAGGTAGTAACGAATGTCATAGTGTAGAAATTACTTGGTACCTTATGTATAAAAGGTACACACACACGACCAACAAAAAAAAAAAAGGGGGAAGACAGGAGAGAGAGAGAGAAAAGTAAGGAGAAAAAAAAAAATAATAATAGTGGGTGTTTTCTACGCATGAACGAGATCTCTATTTCTCTTTTTCTTTGCATTCCCCTTTTCCTGTACTCTTCATTATCTCTCTTTCCTCTCCACCAGTCACATACCTCACATGGCCCTTCTCTCTCTCTCTCTCTCTATTTCTCTCCTCAACTAACTAATATAGCTAACTACCCGTTCTACAACCGTCTCAATCTTTTTTTTTTTTCAGACTGTGCCTAACACATGCATTACTAGATTACATAATCTTTACATAATAACTACACTCGTATTGTCTCTATTGTTTCTTTGTAACGCGCATTTAACCGAAACGACAGAACGAAAGAAAAAAAAGAAACAAACTCCACCAAATAATAGAAAATGCATAATATTATCTTACGTGTTTCCCATAATTTAGCTATGACTTGGTACATGCGAAGATTGTCATCATCTTCATCATCTTCATCGTCTCGGATGCCCAACACTTTAGCAAAGAGATGAACGGAATTATGCAAACCCATTAGACAAGGTGGCCACTATATTCTGCATTCTCTTTTCTCATTTTGTTTGCCCCACTTTTGCTAATTTTTAGTTTTGCCTGTTTCTACTACTGAAAAAAAAAAAAAAAAAAAAAGTACAAGAAAAAATATCTCATTAGCATCAATAATCCCCATAACAAATCTAAACCCTAAAGGCTATTTACAGAATATATATTCTTCTTTCTATATTTCTTCCTCCATATATTCAAACTTTATATAGCCAGTGAGAAGAAAGTGTTGCATTGTTTCGCACTTAGTAATAATTTAGTAAAAAGAAGTAAAACACAATCACAAAACAAAAGGTGTTGCGTTTTGTGAAGCCAAAACATACTATGATACAGAAGCGGTAAGATACTATTACAACAGCAACGGTGGAGTTGAGCATTATCTGGAAATTAAGATGGAGAGCCTTACCACCGGGAGGATTCACCCACTTGCAATATGGAAGAGTAACACACATTATGCAAACATCTATATACTCTTCTCCTGTTTTGGTTAAGATGTTTTAAATTATGCATACAAAAACAAAAAACTAAAGAGAGCATCATCATTACCATAAATGCGTGAAATAATACTTCTCCACTACGTTTATGTACTTTACTAATCGTCAATCTTTCAAAGAAAATATTACTATTCACATCATCAGATGTTTTGTCGTGTGACTATCTTGCGAAAAGATTCATTGTTTCAATACTAATTTACCCTCTGCTCGCTAATTCGTCGAAAGCTTGGAGGAGAATGGACGCGAATGAACGTCATCTATTTCCTGGCTCATTCGAGTCTCACGTAGTTATTCGTATGTATTGATAGATGTTAGACTTCCTTCCGTAGTGGCCTTGTCGATGCAAAGAATAAATAAAAAGACAAGTAAATTGTCTTTGTAGTTACAAACACGTTAGGGTTGTTTGAATAATGCAGGCTTTGTTTGGTTTTTGACGGTCAATCCTTTGTTCTAAAGTCGGCTTTAAGATCAACAAATTGGACCCTTTTTTGAATCTAGTTGGTGAAAAAGTTTAGATAAGATCTGCAATACTACGCGATAGAAGCTCACCTGATTTTACTTTGCAATACTTGTCTTGTCATGTGAGAATAATTGTTGTTGTAGTTCTATTGAGGTTAACTCCCCTTTCAAGGGTGTAATTGAAGTATGAGCTTACTATACCAGTTTTAAAACAGCGCAGTAGAAGCAATCGCACATGTATATATACATAGATATATATACTATCTAATACCTTTGGGAAACAAAATTGTAAACGATTGCTTAATATTAAGAGACTTGTATTTGCAACTTGATCGGGAGATGACTTGCGATGCAAGCATAGGCGAGGTTTCTCTTAGCAAACAAACTACCTTGACGATACATCCGTCCCATGTTGTCATTCAGAGATAGAAAGAAAATCGTTTTTCAACAGTCGTTCTCCACTTTAAAGAAACAGCAACTCATCCTGGTTTCGAGTACTGATTTTGCGCATTGGCGAAAGAAAAAAAAAAGAGCAAAAAAAAAGCGCAATTTGATTTCTTGTATTTGTGACGAAAAAAGATGCCGCGAGCTAATAACCGTAAGAAAGGTGAGAGATGGTAGTTCTTGTTTACATTGAATAAATCAGTGACTTGCAATGTGTAAGTCGGGTTATGACGTGCGTTCATTAAGCTATAGTTATGTAGTTAGTTGTTTGCTATAGTGTTTGTTTGGTGATTGCTCCAATGTTAGTTTGGCAATTGCACCAATGTTAGTGCTAGTTTCTAGTAATCTTCCTTTGACCTTTCAACAGTATTTTCCCCATTGATCTCTTTTTCTCTCATATTTATACCTTGTCCCATTAATCGTATGCTTCTCCAAAGTCCAATCTTATTTTGACCAGTTCACACTTCCTTAAAATCTCATCAATTTGAAGGGGGAGAAGCATTGGGGATAAAGGAGCCGAATCCTTTTACTTCACTTCTTCTCACTTTTCCTTTCACAAATTGTAGTTCTATGGATATGGCCTAAAAACTGCTTTACAGCCGTCACATTTGGAATAATTGATAATTCGACAAACCATCAAATACAACTTAGTTTATTTATGCCTAATTCGGAAAGAATAGAAGAATCGCGTTTTCGGTTTTCAGTTTTACCTTTTTTGTTTTCGTGTAATCGTGTTCAATAAATTGATTATTTTCTATTGTGCACATGTACACTACCTATTCTGTTTTCTGAATGGAAGTTCTTCGAAGATTAAAGAATGTTTTGAAATGCAGAATCCTTTTTGGTCAACGCACGCACGCACTACTATTAGTTTAAGTTTGCTATCTTTTTCGCAATCCAATGCTGTGCCTGCCAGCCCCTGAGAGTCGCCACCAGATAAACTCTATGAAGGGTGGTTTCATACCCCAGTAGTTGGAGTTGCCTTCAGTACATAACTTGTAGATTGTGGTATTGGCGATTGGATATTAGAAAGCATCCGGTGGTTAGGATATTTTATTGTTGATTACCATTATTATCAAATATTATAACTATATGTATCTTGTGTTATGTTGTGTATACAATCTAAGACACCAAAGATAAATATAAACAAGTGATATAACACAATTTACACATTTCTTATAAAAAAGTAACTGAAGTCATTCACCTATTAGATAAACCTCAACTTTTTCTCAACAAATAAACATTCATCAACGCCACTCGTCGCCCCCAACCACCACCGGCTGTTTAAACTGGACCCTTCCTGATCCCATTCAAGTTGCCATTAGACGAACGCCTAACTAAAATTATTGGTTGTCACTATTTTTTTTCTTTGCAGCTTCTGCGTCTTTCCAAAACATTCTTTTTAATTTTTTTTGATCTAAACTGTGTGTGTGTGTCTGTGTGTGTGCGTTTGTTTGGTCTACACGTTACAAAACCCACCCACCCATCTCACAAATCACACTCCTACAACTTTTCCAATTTTGACATACGTATTAAAATAAATAGGAAAACATCCGACCCCCGCCTTCCCAGCCACAGACCAAAAACGAAGATCACAGAAAAGAACCAAAACGGATTTTTTAGAAATTTATCATATAAGAAACCACTTTTAAACAAGCTGAATTCTTTTACCATCTGACGTCACTAGATCAACTGGTGTTTTGTCGAAACAAAACTACTCCCAAGGTTACACATCATTGATTTTCAACACAGCTTGACACTTCCACTCAAGAAGTACTTCTAAATTACAAAGGAGTAAGAAAGCAAATACTTGATACGCGAATTCCTACACCTGCTCTCACCATGGTAAGGGAAACACATTTGTACGACATACTACTAGTTGCATCCAACGCAACTGTTGAGGAAATATCACGAGCATATAAGAAACTTGCTTTGAAATATCATCCTGACAAAACAAATCATGATCCTCAGTTGACTGAAAAATTCAAAGAAATGACAAGAGCCTATGAAGTGTTGAAAGATTCCAATCAATGATCTATTTATGACAGATTTGGAGAAGAAGGATTGGACTCGGTTGTTTCCACTGACGCCTCGCCTCAGTACGGCAATTCATCATCTTCACTGTCACCACAGCAATATCACCAGTTTTTTACAGCATCATCAAGGAGCAGCAACGGTGGCGGCAGTAGTGGTAACAGCAGACGCAACAATTTTCAACACCCGTTTGCCAACGACATGTTTTCTCAAGTGTTTGAAGATATCAATTCAATGTTCTCCACTACCAATTCATTCTTTGCATCTCACTCGTCTACTACATCTCCATTTGATAATATGCGTCGAAACTCTGGCTTCCAACAACAACAACAACAACAGCAGCAGCAGCAACCAATGAAGAAGGTGGTCAAACCGTACGGAGAACCACTACACGATCAATTTATTAGAGGTGATGATATACACCATAAATGCGAGGTAACACTACATGATCTAATGTATGGCAAGATAATTAAACTATCACTTCCGAAAGTCGTCAAGTGTCTACATTGTGATGGATGTGGAGGTTTAAATGTCAAAACATGTAAAACGTGTCTTGGCCTGGGGAAAGTCATGATTATCCAATATAATCAATTTGCTCAATATAAACAAACTAGTTCTTGTGCATCGTGTCACGGTACGGGTACATACATGAGACCACAAGATAAATGCATATATTGTGATGGAGGATATGTGGAAACCACCAAGATTATTCAAGTTTATGTTCCACCAGGTGCTAAATCTGGTGATGTTATCATTATAAGGGGAGAGTCGGACGAAGGTAAGAACATTATACCGGGGGATTTAATTATAGAGCTTCGGCAAAAACCGCATCCGTATTTGGTACGCAAAAATAACGACTTATTTATGAATTACGAATTGGATTTGAAAACAGCGTTGTTGGGAGGAGAAGTGATGGTACCCAATTTCTTACGCATGGGACAATTTCTCAAAATATACATTAACTGTCATGGCCAGCAGTCAATAAATAATGAAAAAGTACAAGAGGGGGAAATTGTGGGTACAATAAATACCAACGAGCCTAAAGTGATTAATGGCTTGGGTATGCCAATTAATACAAATGCATCTTATAATAATGGCAGAATTGTTCAACCAAATGATAGACAAGATCCATCGTATGTCGAGAATATGATGTTGAGCGATCAAGTATTTCATCGTGGTAACTTGTATATCAACTTCCACGTCAAGATGCCATCATCCAATGACTTTAGTGAACAGAGTCTTGTTGATTTGCAAAAAATATTGCCAACCACTTCCACATATATTCCTTCACCGAGTGATTCAATTGTGGAAGGACACTTGTCGAATGTTGGCCCTGCTACAAAAAAGAGAAAGATTGTTGATTAGGTAGTGTGTATACAAAAGTACGAGGTTTAATTAGGTGATAATAGCGTCGACATTTGTAGTGTCTGTTTATTTTTATTTCGTTTGACAATGTCATGAGGAGGCATAAACACTTGATAAAGCACAAAATCCCTAAATGATTGGAAGTATACCCCGGTTGTATTGAAGTTGTCAATACCTTTTTCAATCTCTGATTTGTTTCGACCCTTTGTTTTGGGATGTTGAGGTGGCTTCATGTCAACCAAATGGACTAAAGAAACTATTAGTATACTGTATTTCTGATTGCATCAAACGAATACAACAGATCACTTACTTGGATTGTCACAAACGTCATCTCTAAAATATCATCTTTTGCATGTTTGGGAGCCGGCCCTTGCTCTTATCCGCCTGATTGGATTCGTCTTGTAGTTGAAGGCGGACACACACATAAACAAACACACTTGATTTTAAACTTGGTTGTACATTTGGTGACCGCTTTCTCTGCTTGGTTGCAAAAAAAAAAAAAAGACGGGAATCAATCTTTGCAGCAGAGAATTTTCACACGATTTTGTTGCGCATAGACGTCATGTATGAAACCAAGGAGTTATTTTATGATCAACTTTCTCACTCTGCATAGAAACTGTCTGGAATGGAGAGTGTTTGACGAGCTCAAAGTCTAACCAACATCAATTTAGTGTGTTATATACTCGCAGAGAAAAATTGTTGACTTGGATCTTTAGATTATTGATGAGTTACAATGTAACGAATCAATACTAGTAAACCAATGATCTAAACCTAAACATGTCTACATAGCTAAATAACAATAGCTTGGTCATTTTGATGGTCGAGTTTTACTAATTTTATGCCCTTTTCTTTTTAGATATTCTCAAACTTTCACCAAACTGTATATACAAAATCACCAAAGTATTTCCTATAAAAACCTCCTTATTTTACTCTTTTTCCTCTCTTCCCTTCTTTCCCTCTAAAAAGGGATGGATATTGGAAGAGAACTGACGCTAAAGATTGTTATCCCTGCAACTCAAAATGGTATCTCCAACACCCATCCAATGAATTGTTCAAATGTAATTCAAGTTTCATCTGGATAGTGCACCCTATGGGAGAGAGACCCCCTTGGACCTTCATACACACAAGCCAAGAGCCATTAAAGATGGGGGATATCAACCAAGACTTGAGCGGGACCATTGAGGATAAGATGTGTTGATATTCAAATGAATTGCCCATATTTTTGAGTCTGGTTTGTCAATATTTTTGACAAACAAGAAGCAATAAACCCATGTTACTGAAACTCGGTGGATGTGATATGGTTGCTTCTTCAGACTTGATCATGGTGGCGTTTTGATCCAATTTTTCCCTCATCTGATCCTCAAGTCTCCTCATTTTGCGGTCAATGATTGATCCCGTAATTGAAAATGAAAGATGGTGATTGCAGGTAAAGTTATAAGTTATGAAAAACAGCGTTCAGAAGAATATAAAAATTAGAGGAAAGATTCAATTAAATGAAAAAATGCACAAAAAGCTGTCTAAATATAAAGCAATCATTCTTGGTTGTGTGTTTCATTGAAGTGCCATTGGGTTGATCCACTTAGTTTGTGCATATGAAAGAAAGATGAATGTCTTTTTGTCGAAGTGCACCGATTGAAATTCCAATTTACTATTTGTTGTTTGCCGTTTGCTAATTTGCTAAATGGTGGTATTGGTGGACTGCTGATATCGGATTTTGCTGCTGTACATTTGTTTTTTATTGACGTCAAAGCTCAATTTCTCTTTCGCTTTAACTCCAATGAACGGTTTTCATTGGGGTTTTGATTGGGCATCTCTTGGGGTTTCTTGACAATGAATGTAACAAACAAGATGACTTTAGTGTGAGGCCCTTTAGCAAACAATTCTTTTCATGCGGCAAGATTTCTATGGCATTACCTAAGATTTAGTAGGAAGCCACATTCTCCTGCTACGTGGTATATTGTCCAACAAACTTCTTGCAATGCCCAAAGCCAATCGGTCTAATGACATCACCCAACGATTCACAAAAAAACAACAACGTATAACCCAAACAAAGTTCAAAACTAATTGCCATTCTCGTTGATGTTAGTGTCTTACCAAAAATCTGTGTACTTGGTATTGGCCGCAACTGAAAAGTTTTTTGTAGATCGCTATCTTTCCATCGGTTGACACATTTCGACTTTCCTTCACACTGCCGGGTTCAGCACAACAACACACAGCTCAACTGAGCATTCGAAATGGGGCGGGTTGTCGTCGCGACCCTGACTCAACAGCTGTTTTATAATTGATGCTAACATGGACGCTTTTTGGATACGATGCCAGAACTTATCAAGAACCCACCAAAAAATGATCCAATGTAGGCACATGTGGTAGTCATTATATCGGTATAGCGTATTAGCAACAAGTGAAGACCTTCTAGTGTTAAAAAAGCAACATGTTTGTGCGAAGGGATGATCTAGGTTTTTGATTGTTGCTTTCTAAACTATGATTGAAGAAGTTGGTTGATATAGTCTCTATGATTATACACGGTGGTTTTCATGAGCTGTTGTGAAATTCGCCCAGAAACATCACCTGTTAACCCTTTTTTATATGCACCTAGTGTTTACAATGCCACTAGTTTGTTAAATTTCAGCTCAGGGCAAGGACAACATCAAATGGGACCATGACATATCCCATAACAAAACGATGTGATCAATGTGATCATCACTGACTCCACCAAACCTGTCAACAAGAAAGCATCTCTAAAAGTAGTAGTTCATTTAAGCATCGAGTCACTCTTGTCTATGGCCACCCCAATTGCTTACAATACCCAACACTCGACCCTGATAGACCACATAAATCATGGCCATCATTGCGTCGTCTCGATAAGGTATGACATATTTCAATCGAAATAGCATTCTTAAAATTGGTATAGGCAGCAAATATAGTAGAATTGGTTCAAGATTCATGCAAAAGTGTCAACATTCGAGTATGACGATGGAAACATGTGCTTGCCTCAAAAAGTTGTTATAGCGTAATCAAATGTTGTTACAAGCAGATAGATTGCTCAGTTGGGGGTTGTCCTCCATTGCAAGTCAGTTGATGTACCTTAGCAACGAGGGAGTCGGCTTGACACCTACGAAAAATAATCAAGGAAAAGATGTGTAAGTTGAACACGACTGTGTCAAACTTTGCGAACAAGTAACACTTCCCAGTCCCCAGTTACCTCTATCTCCACCCAATGCCACCATCTACGTCTCCACAACCGGTCCTAGACCCATCCATAATTAAAGACCTATCCAACCACATCTATGAAAAACGAAAAGCAACGGCTTTCCAAATTGAGTCAATCACTAAATCAGCATTGAGCCGTAATGACAGTCAAACAATATATCGAATCATTCACGAATTGACAACGATGACCATGACCAGTGGATCAAACTCAGCCAAGATGGGAGCTATTACCGCATTAGGAAGTGTTTCTGTAGCTGTCGGTTCATTTGCAATTGCTTATTTTCTTGATGATATAATCCGGCCTATATTTGCTACGTTTCGCGATACTGATGCTCGGGTACGGTACTATGCATGTGAATCTTTGTACAATGTTGCCAAGATTGCTCGAGGTGAGATTTTGCTATACATTAATGAGATATTTGATGTGTTGTGTATATTGGTGAGCGATGCTGAGAGCAGTGTCAAAAATGCTGCTGATATTTTGGATAGATTGGTGAAGGATATAATTAGTGCTAAAGCTACAAGTTATGTCAGCATATTGCAACAGCAACAACTGCAACTGCAACTGCAACTGCAGAAGAAGAATACCCAGAACTTGCAAGGGCAACTAGCCCATAATGGGGAGTTGGCATACGAAGATTTGCTAAAATCCCAAGGAAGTGATGAAATCGTGCAGCTGAATAATCCGCAAGATCCAGCAAAGGCGTTTCTGTTGCCGAAATTTATGCCAACTTTATTGGAAAGAATGTATACTGTTGACCCGTTCACCAAGAAATTCCTACTCAGTTGGCTTGAGTTGTTTGACGATATACCCAATTTAGAATTGATTAGTTTCTTGCCTAGTTTTTTGAAACCTTTGGTGAGGTTCATTTTCAATAATGCACCAAGCGATATCAAGTTGGAAACGCAAAACTTGTTAAATGTGTTCTTAAAGGAAATCCAGGGGATATCGAGAGTGAAAATTGAGTACAAGCATAGATTGAAGGAGCAGGAAGAAATGGAAAGCAAGGAAAAGGAAGAGAGGGAAAAAGAGGAGAAGCAGGTGGTGCTGGAGAGCAAAGACAAGAAGGAAGAAGATGCTGATAATGAAGTGAAGCAAAAATTGAGTGACTTGAGCAAGTCAAAGTTTGACGACAAAAAGGGTAAGGGGGATCTTGTCGATAGTACGAAAGTTGAACTGAGTAAGTTGCAGAACCAGCAAAATGGCAATGGAGTGGGCAGAGATGACGCTGCAAGTATCAAGTCATATGATACAACAATAATCCACAAGAAAGAAGAAGTCTCATCTATCCAAAACTCTACTGAGTTGAACATAGATAGACTTGGTTTGGAAGAGGATGCGGAACTGGATGAAGTAACGTTTGGTCAGGATATCTATATCGATTACCTGAAAATCATTTCGATTTTGGTTTCTTTTTTACATGAATTTGAAAAACAAGAAACAGTGGCCAAAAACGACTTGCTTATCGATTCACGAGAAACTTATTGTGATGTACAATTTATCGCTTTGAAATGGCTACAGGCATTGATTGATGTATCACCACAAGATGTGCTTAACGCTATGCCTGAATGTGTTTCAGTTATATTGAAAAATATTACCGTGACTGATCAAACTCAGGATCTCGAGCTACAAAATCAACTTATCAATGTAAGCTTTAGTTTGCAAGCGTTTTTGAGCAAGGTGTACACTAATGTCTCATCATTTGAGTTATTTGGAATCAATGAGGAGAGTTTGGCCCATTTCAATTCAACTCAATTGCCGCAAACTTTATCAGCCATCATTAATGAGTATTTAAAGCCAGTTTCATCGGCATTGACAACAGCATTTACAAATGTGGCATCGAGCGCAACAAACGACAACGAATTGTCACGAATTACTTCTTTGGAATGGTTAATTTTCATCTATGAGCATAATCCTAATGACTTTTTGAAATTTTTCCAATCAACGGACAAGTTTGAGTTGACAAATTTGTTGAAGTATGACTCCAGCAATGAAGTGATTTTGAAAGTTTTGCAATTATTGGCCAAAATCTCCGAACTGAATCCTGAATTTTTTAAAGATTTCATTATCAAGTTGTTGAAATTGATTCAATTGGAAGGTTACGAGAAATCAATCAAGGTTGAATTCATTATTAGAAAATTGTGTCTTTGTTTGGATTCGGAGATTATCTTTACTACATTATCGGAAGTTTTGCAACAGCATTATCATCAACAGCCATCAACTAAGCAGCTGGGTCTGCAACACCACCAGTCATCACTTTACAATGACAAAGATGCTAATGCACAAACCGAGTCCAATTTTGAATTTGCCAATATGTTGATTGTTACATTAAATAATATCCTCCTTACTTCCAGCGAATTATCGCCATTTAGAAAAAAATTGAAAAACTTGGATTTGTCATCCCTGAAGGATTGGTTATTGTTTGCCACGTTGTTCAAAAGTTGGTGCTTTAATGCACCCAGTGCTATTGCCCTATGCTTACTAACATCAAATTATGAATTGTCATATTTGTTGATTAAAAACTTGTCGGAATTGGAAGTTACATCACAGCTCTTGACTCAATTGGATGTACTTATTCAACTACTAGAGCTGCCAATTTTCGTCAAGTTGAGGCTACAATTGCTTGAGCCCGAAAATCATCCATTTTTATACAAGACGTTGTATGGGATCTTGATGGTGTTGCCACAATCGAGTACGTTTATGACATTGAGAAATAGATTGTCGGTGTGTGGTGTTCATGGCGTTTCTAGTGGTGGTGCAGGAGTCGGTGGTGTTAGTGTTCCAGAAATCAAAGGCGAATTGTCGCTACGAAGAAAGAGGATTAATGAATTGTTGGAAAGGTTTAAAGAGATCAATAGGATTTGATAATGGATACACCAAATCAAGCAGCAAACGTCTAATTCTAAAATAAAACGTCGATTCTAATAAGCAATTATATACAAGTATATAGAGCTATAAAAATGTCTTTGAGATTCAGCTTTGTTTAGTCCTTTCTCACACCAACAGATTTTCCTTCTTTCAATCTCTTTTCAGTTAAAGCAGCAATGATAGCAGCACCAACACCACTACCATCCTCAGCGGGAACAATGACAATTGGATCCTCTTTCAAATCAGCCGGCCACTCGAAAATATCTCTTAAACTCTTTGCTGCTCTAGTTTTGAATTCAGGATATTTTTGATAAACAGATCCATCAGCAGCACAATGAGCAGTCTTGTATTCTCTCTTTTTGCAAATGGCAGCAATACCACAAACTGACAATCTTGCTGATCTTTCACCAATTAATTCAGCGATACGGCGAATTACTTTACGTTCAGCAACAGTGGTTTGAATGCCCAATGTAGCTTGGAATAACTCGGCAACATCTTCCAAGTTTTCAAATGGATCTTCTTCAATCTTGGCTGGAAATGAAGTGTCCAAAATGTAAGCTTCGTTTAGTTTATCCAAATTTTGTCCTTTGAAAATGAGGTGTCTCTCTTCTGCCAAATCCAACAACACCAATCTCAAAAGTTCACCAAGATAGTATCCTGAATTCATTTTTTCAAATGATTGTTGACCTGGTCTTGGAGATTCTTTATCTACTCTAACATCATACTTGGTTCTTGGAAGAACAACCAATTCGTTATCAAATGACCCATATTCACAATTAATGGCCATTGGCGATTCTGGATCAACATCGTCAGCAGTTTTACCTTCCAATTTTGGAATATCCTTCACAACATCGTAATAAGCACCATTGACACCAGTTCCAAATATCAATCCCAATTTGGCTTCCGGATCAGTATATCTCGATGCCACCAAGGTTCCCACAGTATCATTAATGATTGCCACTACTTTAATGGGAACACCAACCTTCTGTATAGCATCTTGTAACATTGGTGCAACATCTTTACCCTCAACTCCTTCAATGGCCCAACCTTTAGTCCATCTTTGCAATACAGCTTCGGTAATACTGTTTTGACTTGCAGGGTAACTAAATGTGAATCCCAAGGGTAACGGTTCTTTACAACCTTCGGGATAGAGATCATCAACAAACTTTTTCAAACAATCGGCAATGAAGGACCAAAGTTCTTCACTTTTTGCTGTTCTCATATGTTCTGGCAACGGAAACTTGGATTGAGTAGTGTCGAAATCTCTATTCCCACCCAACTTGACCAAGACAACTCTCAAATTTGTTCCACCCAAATCAATAGCAATATAGTCACCTGTTTCTTCACCAGTGGGAAAATCCATAACCCAACCAGGAATCATGGGGATATTGCCTCCCTTTTTCGATAATCCTTTGTCCAATTCAGTAATGAAATGATCAACAATCTTTCTCAATGTTTCACCACTAACGTAAAACTCTTGTTCCAATTCTTTGACCACCAGTAAGAGTTCTTGTGGAACATCTGTGAATGTACCTTTTCTATGTTGAGGAGGTTTTGGACCCAAGTGAACCATTACTTTTGACTGATAATTATTGTACTTTGAAGGATTGCTATTTATTTGATAAACAGAAATGTGAAGCGGTGTCGATGAGCTTTGCTATTGTGAATGAGGTATAGAGAGTATTATCAATTGAATCTGAAGATCTATGGTTGAAAAGCTTGATAATAAAGTATCGGGAGAAAGGTTTCTATATATGGAAGATAAATTTTTCAACAACTCAAAAGAAAGAGAGGAAGATCGGAACAACTCAAGTCCGAAATTGTGCAAAAGTACACACACACACACACAGAAAATAACATCTGATCAGTAACATTTGATTAATGGAAGAATCTCTTATGATCATACTTTTTTTGGAGTATAGAGTCCTTGTGTTGGAATGTTTTCATCGGTCCTACTGTTACAGTCTTTGGTTACTAATCTCTTCCCATTGAAAGTAGCGTGTTCACACACCTGCTATATACCATATTTCTTCGGAAAAACTCAACTTGGCTCTAAAAGCTGTCTATTTGTGTAACCCAATGACATAATTCTCGGATCAACTAAATTCACATAATTGTCACAGGCATATAGAAGCTTGCGGTATCCCGCTACAAATAGTACAGTCTTTTGATACATTAGATGTTTTGATGGGCAATATACAACGGATTCAAAAACCAATTTCCTGTGTAACACTAAGTCCAGTTTATATTGACGCAAATGACCCCCATTTACAATAAATATTCTTTGTGAAAAAACAGTGCATCTAAAAAGGAAACTCCACACAAACACGAACATCTAGAGTAGTTCGCAAATCGCATAACCAGTGGGTTGATTCTTTTTTTTTGTATACCACACCGGAGAACATTAACCCTGTCGCGCATAATTTTTACTCTAGCCTCAAACTGGAGTTGATGATAACCTGGTTTCCCCATTCTTTCAATCAAGTTGTGTCCTGATTACTACTACTACACTCCTTCATTGCAGTACCCAACCCACGTAAATCTTCTTTAACTTGTTGGACATACCTGTTGATCTCATCAAACACTTCCTTGCTATAGATTGTTTGGCTTTGGAAATCAGCTTCATCTTCGGAGTCATAATCTTCATCATTGATGGCAAAAAACTTGTCAACTTTGTCTTGCTCTTCTGCGGATAATTTTAAATTTTTGCTTGAAGGCGAATTTCCTTCTCCATTGTCATGCTCTGCACCCTCTTTGACATCTTCGTTGTGAGTATGATTTCCACTATCAGATAATTTTGTGGTGTCCCCATGAACGTCTTCGCCTTTGGTCTCCATCTCCGCCGTCTTTAACTGATACAATTGTTGTTTTTGTACTTCATTGGTATTTGTATCCTCAATTTGAAGGGCAGACATTGTTTGTAGTAGTTGATCCTGCAGTTCCTTCAACTTGGCCAATTGTTGAATATATTTCTCATTGAAAAGAGTGTCATTAACCTTTGCGTCCTCTGCCAACCGTTTGACATCATCCAAAACATCAATTTGTGTCCATAGCTTATCCAGATAGGTTACACTTGGTTTGGCACTAGGGATTTGATCTATACTCTGAAGACTCTGGTTGTCGAGGTTGGCAAGGTATACATCCGATGTGGTATTGGTATTACTTCTGGATAATCTATATCCGCTAGCTGCTCCTGTTCTCGAATTAGTCTTGGATATACTGTTGTTATTGTTGTTGTTGTTGTTGTTACTGTTACTGTTACTGTTGAAAAAGTATTGTGGTGATACATTTGACGATAGCGATGTGGAGTAGGAATGCTGAGATCTAGGTACGGTCAAGTTATTGGACTTTGTTGGTTTGACATTGGAGCTCATTTTTGTACTGCTTCGTATAGATATTAGTAGATGACGTACAGTCGCAGTTGTATTATCAAGCAATCGCTTTACTATTCGTGGAGGCTCTCTCCTTCAATTCCTAATTTTTTTATATTGTCATTTGCGCACAGACCGCACCACACCCATAATTGAAGTCAATGCATGACAGATCCGCAAATTGAAAGTGTTTTCCCTCTAGCGACTGATGTTAATGTCGCTTTGATACTGGATTCTGATGATTACCCAGAGTCACCATGTCCCTCATCGCCCCAAAATAAACCTTCAATAAACCCTCATTCCACGAAACCCCCATGGAAGAAATTACTATACTTGAAACAACCATATCCAGACAACTACACTGATGTGTCGTTTCTATCGCAATTGAAAAGAAATACTACTGTGGCCAAATACTCGTATCTTCAATTGGTTGATGACTTTGTATTGATTGTGTTTTACATCTCGTGTATCTTGTTAGTGGACTTGATGTTCATTGGGATATATTCTAAAGGTTGGGATCCAGTTAAACCAACAGTTGCTAGCACTATTATATGTGTATTGTTTTATGGTCTTTTGCGTTACCACTATCTTTTGTCTTCAATCTTGGGATCCAATTTGAATTTGAAATCATTCATATTGATATCGTTTATGATCTTAATTGTTTCGCCAATACTCAAATCCTTGACACGGTCCACGTCATCTGATTCAATTTGGGCCATATCACTGATTCTTTGTATCGTTAACTCGGTATTTTATGAGTATTCATCGACAAAAGTATATAAACCCACTATATCCACGAATATTTCAGTTAGTAACGCAATAGTATTGGCATCACGACTAAAGTCAACTTCACAAGTGTTTGTGTTTATGCTTTTTGCCATCCAAGCCAACATCTTGTTACCGTTGTATGATGCTAGTTTACGTCAAAACAAGAGGCTCAAATATCTTCATTATGTCACGATTTTATCAACATTTTTCTTGGTAGATTATTGGATTTACAAACTCGTCAATTACAAGTTTCTACTTTACTGGCTCTTGTCGGTTTTTGTTGCTATGATTTTGATGCCAGCATATTTTTTGTCACTACAAAGATACAAGAATGAGCTACAAGGACCATGGGATATTGCAAAGCCAAAAATTAATAGAAATATGTATTAAAGTGAAGTCTGTAGATTATGTTGATAGTGCACTGACAAATTCAAACTAGCTTTTACCGTGGTGATCCCTTGAATAAACAAACGCATCCTCTACTTCCATCTGCACTTCCTGAAGAGCTCTCAGTTCGGATCTAACGCCCAAAGACCAGATCAATCCATTCAATAATCCTGTAGCCAAAATGACAATTGTTGCAAATAAAAACAAAACTGATATCCAGCCAGCGACGTTTGATACAAATACGATAGCAACATGCATTCCAATTACAGCTAAAATTGACAAAATGAAGTGAAGTTTTCTCCACCTTGTTTGGAAAGGTATAGTGTGACTCCTATAGTTATTAATCTCGACAAGTAGCTCTTTATACACAGACTCCCTTTCTATTGACGAATACTCTTCAACATGATTGGCATGCAGTATTCGTGGCTCCACCTTTAGCTCAACACAGTATGCAAAGTAGTCAGAAAATGAACATCTCAACGGAGGTGGCAACGTTTCAGTAAACTTGACCTTTGCATCTACTGGAGTAATACTACTAGCGTCTATCAATGCATAATCTAATCGACAGGCATCGGTCATTGGTCTTTCTCTTCTCCAAGTGTTCAATCGCGAGTTGCATGTCACACCGGCAACCGAGATTTGTTCCTCCGGGGTCAATTGACTCACCTGATGGGGATGTACAACTTTCTCCCCGTGCAATACATTCCATGAGTCACTCAATCCTCCCTCAATGGTGAAGATTTTATACGGCAATGACTCTGGTTTAGAATTCAAATCGCCAACTTGGATCACAGCATATCCAGCTTTTTTCAACATTCGGACTATTTTGGCAAAATCCCATGCCTGGCATGCTCTATGAGTTGAGTAGCTTGCATCACCATGGCCATAAGGTGCATGCATATGACTGTTTAGCAAAGCTATGGGCATACTTCCAGAATAAAGTGGTTGAAACATGGTCACGGCAACGCTTTTACCAACATACCAGTCACCTCTAAAGAATGCTGATGGGCGTCCATTAATTGGGAAACGATACAAGAATGTTTCTGTGATGGGGATTTTTGCTAAAACACACAATCCTGGGCCACTGATTATGCCGGCTTTGAAATAACGTCTGAATGGATACCGATCTCGACACACATGGTCCAAGTATTGCCAGTCTTCCTCACACCAGACTTCTTGCAAGGCAACCACGTCATAATCATCACTTGCATCAAATGGGTTAGCCAATTTATCTGCTATTGCCCGCAACCTTTGCTTTCTATGTTTGGAAACTAATTTTAGACCCCAAGTGTTGAAAGTAAGTAGTCTTACAGACTCTCTTTTATCAGTCTCGTTTACCATTCCACCATGAATTATAATCAAGTGTGAATGTATGAGTAAATGTGAATATAGTGGGGAGGTTGTATCAAGAACTATTTACTGTTTTCAAATTACGTATAGAAGAGAAAAAGTGCGACACGACATTTGTCTTTTTTCAACCACTGCTGCTCATCACATCCATCATCAATGACATCAGCTGTGCCTGAAGATATACAAATTCCTCCAAAAGAGATCGAGGACGTCATTGAAAAGTCTATTCTGTACATCCAAAAGAATGGCAAATCTTTTGAAGAAAGATTATTGAAGAATAACCGAAACAATCAATTTGACTTTTTGAAACCAGATAACAAGTTCCACCAATACTATTTATGGGCCTTAAAGTCATACTCACGCTCTGTTGCGAATGAAAGCGAGGAGAAACATACAGAAGCTATCAGCGTTGATGATATTGTAATACCGAAGCCCAGGGAGTTGAAGTTTTTGATAGACGACTTCCCTCATATATGTGAGCGAGATTTACAAATCATTAGGACAACGGCGATGTATATTGCTGTCAACGGCGAGGATAAGATCAAGAAGCTTTTGAAACATGAACAGGATTTAGGTCATCATGCCCAATTCGACTTCCTTAAGCCGCAACATTCGTTGTATGCTCTATTTCAAACGTATGTTACCCAATATAAAGTGATCAAGGATTCCATTTCAAACCAATCAAGCCCTATGGAAAATGAACTAGCAAATAGTTTGAATGACATAAAGAGGGACCCGTTCTCAATTTTAACTAAAGCATATGATAGGGCACAATATTATAAGCAACATAAAGTTCGCAGAAAGAGACAAGATGAGCAAGTCCTACAAAAGAGAATTCATTTTGCACTGATTGATTGGCAAGACTTTTCTATAGTTGAGCTTGTGAAATTTGATGAAATCGACATGGTCAAAGAGTTGAGCGCACCGTTGAGCCTAGTGGAGTTGCAGAAGCGGTCTCTTACTGCAAAAAGTCGGGATATTCAACTTCCTACATCAAAACCAAGTCTTTTAAAACCGAACCAACTTGCAGAAGATGTTGTGGAGAAGACATCTGAAGATGTTGCAGAGCAACCCAACACTAGCAGTGTGACTCCCGCTCCATTCAAGGGAATGAAGATTAAGGCAGCTGGAACAACAAGATTGAAACGTGGGTCGTCGACCAGAGATGTATCGAAAAAGGCAGTTTCAAATGAAAAAATCAAATGTCCAGTGACAGGAAAGTTGATCCCGGCCACGGAGTTTGACGATCATTTAAGGGCTGTATTGAGGGACCCGTCTTATAAGCAGCAACAAGAAAACTATCTACGAAAGAATTTCAGCTACGAGTCTAACATTACCACCGACCAGGCATTTGAAAATATCAAGCGATTGATGAGAAAAAGACATACAGAGGAGCACGATAGTGTATAGGGGAGTGGCATTTAGCTTTCTTTGTTTTCCGTGATTCAGGTCTTATTTGAGATTTGAAAGTGACGAAATGATGCCAGTTATTGGTACCGATCTGTTCTCGGTACATCCATTTGTTTTGATCTTGTATGTAGGCAAATACAATGAGGGCAGAAAGTGGAAGTCTGCCTCGATAAGATTGGGATATTTGCTTACTAAAAAAATCGGCATTTTTTAATTTTTTTTGCTTATTGGACAAACACAATTGGAATTAACAGGAGAACTTCATTATGTCAAGTTGAAAAGTGTGTGCATCGGTTTGGTTTTATATACAGGCTACTAGTTGTGGCTACTCCATGGAGGATGTGCAATTAGTTCTGAGACTGATCACGAGAATTGCTTTTCTTCAACTCACTCGCCAAAGGTTTTGAGTCTCTCCCCGAACTTCTAAACATGCGGCAAGAGAACCTTGGCTTAGTCAGATGTTGTCGAGCTGCATATCTTGGAACAATGTTATGTCTTCACATAGCATGAACTGTGACAGTTTACTCATATCATTCATGAAAATTAATCTGGAAAGATCAACAAGATTTCATTTTAGCAGATGATGATCATAAGGGAGGAAAGGATTTACAATGTCACATCAGAGTTCTTGAGGATTTCAACGTGGGTTATTTTTCTGGAGAGAGTGGGGATACGATGAAGTGGAAAGCTGGGGGGGAAGATGTGGGAGCGTGGGAAGTTACATGAAGTTAATGTGGGTCATGGGTTGGAGGCCCATATTATAATGTATTGTTTACAAGGTTGTGCTATATTTTATCTCCTGTAGTTTCAACTTCTGTATGCTATTATGGCCTTCGTTTTTCCAAGTGTTACAGGGTAAATTAGGCACTTGCTGAAGTACTTGGCCCATCCATGCGCAAACACACCCACCCAACCGACTTTTGTTTACACGTTCATGCCACTCATAAACGTGAATTTTTATATGCGACAACCCGTTTGAGATTTGGGGAATGTTTAATGACATACGCTGGACTAATCCAGCCATTGTTTCACTCTAAATTCCAAGTAATATTTTGAGGTCAATGCAGCATGGTTGGTCGCCAGCATTTTGAGCTCAAACTCTTTGATGGAAAAAGGTGTGTCAAGTTGTTGTTTTTGTCAAGTAACAAGTGCTATTCGTTTATTTTTATTCATTGAAGTTGAACTCAACCCCTCTCTGAAATTGCATCAAAATAAGCTTTGGAACCTTTAGTCAACAACTTTGCAGTGGAGCTTCTATGCGTCGCTGTGGCCATTCCCCTCTTTCTGTTTAATTCAATAGGGTCAATATCATTTGATTTGGCGTGAATCTGACCATCCATATCAGTTTTTTGTATCTTCCAACTGATTCATCAATTTATCACCCTGGATAGCCAACGTCCTCTCAAGGTGGTTTTCTATTGTGTCAACGCGAAAAATCAAAACAAAACAAACAAACAAACAAACAAACAAACAAACAAACAAACAAACAAACAAACAAACCAGATCCATAAGTATTACAACTGACACCCAGCAATCCCGTTGAGAGGAATCTACACAGTTCAGTATTCAATAGTTACCTGCTTGACTGAATTCCAAGCATAATCATTGTTGTAAGCATACTTCACGAGACGCCACCGTATCACCTTCATTAAACATGAGCGATAACCGAATTCAGATAATATATGAAGGGATCAAAAGGAAGATTAATGAATATGACGCTCTTAAAGCAGACATGGACAAATTCTTGGTAGACATTGATAAAAGACTATCTGAGAAGCAAGCACAATTTTCCCAAGAACAACATAATCACAAAAAACTAAGTCTGGAAATCGAGAGTATCAATGGTGGGTTACGCAAAGATTTGACTTCACTATCACAAGAGAGATTGGCATTACAGCGGAAAATAGATGACTCGATTACAAAATTAGAAAGTTTGCAGTCAATGGTTTCAAGCATGTTGCAAGAAAAGAATAGACTTCTACAATTGAAAGAGGAGGCCAATGCTGAATTTGAACGATTGAGTGTGTCTTTAGAAAGAAGAAAAGAAGCACTAAATTCATCCGAAGATGCTTATGAAGAACGAATGATGGGTTTTCTTGGAGACGCGGTGAAGATGGAATTATTCTCCGGTTTGAGACTTGAACCGGTAGGTGAAAATCGACTACAATTTATATTCTTCAATCTTGATCCTAATGATTTTGATCGCAAATTTTCAATCATTGTTAATGTCGAAGGGGTAAACTATAGTGTTGAGGAGACTTTGCCTCTGCTTTCACTGGATTTTGTAGACAAGGCGCTTTTGGAGTTGAATCAGGATCAACAATTGGCGTCGTTTTTGAGAAAAGTTGAGAATCAGTTCAAGTTACTCATTTCGCTGCAAGATTAGAGGAAGAGAGACGTACGTGGACAGTTGCCAATGTTGGGACATTTGCAATACAACTTCGACGTATGCGTGGGTGTGGGTATGGGTGACATGGAGTACCTTCAATCGCCACTACTTGCATCAGATGATAGTCCGATGACAGACTTGATACCCCATTACCAAACAATGCTTGCACAGGTCAATATTTGCATTGACATCCCCAAGACTTTCATATCCGGCTCTTTTTTTGTATTATAATCTATACGTGCTTTCTACTTTTTCAATACATCGCAACTTAATTTCCATCCACGATCATCATCAACCTTGTGCAAGATATTCACTTTCCAAAGCTCCAACAAAATCAACTCCTGTAACGAGGGCAACTCTTGAACTCTATACTCAGCCAGGCTTCCAGTTTGATTTTCAAGACTATAGGGATTTTGTAAAGATTGTAAATCAGCAATTATCTTCACAATTTTGGAATATTTTTGGAAATTTATCACTTTACTCGATAAGAAATTTTGCGAGGGGATGTATTTAGGTATTCCTTCAGTTGTGGTTGTAATATCCGATATGAACAAATTGATATATGGTACTATAGGTAAGGATTCTCCTGATGACAATAAATTGCGAATCTTGTTCCTATAGGTGGAATAGTTCTTCTCCATACTGATGATTGACGACAAGTACTGATACAAGTCGACGTATTTCTGCAGCAACGTTGTCCATAAACTATCGATCCTCGTTATCAAGTGACTTTGTAAAGCGGTGATTATTGCTGCCAAACTGTTAAAGTTTCGTAAATACAATGCCGAAATGGCAACTTTAAGCCAAACTTTAAGAACATTGACCCTTTCCTTCATTGACAAGTTTGGTTGCAATATCGATTCCAAAGCATAATTTGATAAACAGTTGGTAAATAAAAGGGAGAGCCTCACATTGGGTGATAATCTCAAGTGAGCCCTCTTATTGGTGAAATTTTGATTCAATAACTCATCGGGTTTGATTGAACAAAAGATGCTGGATTCAATCAATGTCAATTGTTTAGCAACTTCCAAAGCATTGAAATCCAACAAGTTAGGTCTATAGTTTGACAATACCCAATTCTGTTCGCAAACAATGGCAAAATGCGACAACAAATTCGACAACTCTAATGGTTTATATGTTGACAAATACTTGGATGAGCACCAGCTATCTTTTAAAATTGATCTGTAAGTCATGATAATCTTTTCGATGGTAGCTGTTTGAGACGTGGTGAGTAATGAATTTGATGGAGTGGCTCCTGAAGGTAATGGTAAAGACTGGGTATTGGATGCATTTGAATTAACCCTTGATAAATCATATTCGCCATCACTCAAAGATTGGAAATCTAATATACCACCCAGAGTTGAATTCAACACAATATTTCTCTCAACCAACTGTTTAGTCGGTTTGATACGTCTGGCTCTATTTTCAATCAAGGGATTCGTCGACAACTTGGCCCCAATCTCAATTAACTCAAGTGCATCTAGTGGCAAAATGGGACTTATACCTTCATTGAAGAAATTGATCATAGTGGTGAGAAGACTATAATCTGCATCTTGGTTCCAATAGCTTTCCATCCATAGTTGAAACATTTTGACAATCAATTTTCGCCGATTCTTCAATTTCAATGCAACATTTATATCATTAACTGGTCCACGATTGGCTTCAAATCTGGCAACCAATTCCTCTATCAAATCCATACCGTTGGCAAAGTTTCTAAAGCAAATGAAGAAAGTGGATACATAGAAATACTCTGGTGGTGAATCTTCATTTGTGAGGGTGTACACCAATCCCTTGAATGATCCTCCAAGGAAAAACCCATTCTTGTCAGTTAATAATTCATTCTTGAGGTTGGCGTCATCATTAGTGTCATTGCCTGATGTCGAAGTGAATGGCTCAAACTCGGCTGCTGAGGCAGTGAAGGGTGAATCTTTAAAGTGTTGCAACAAGCTTTGTCCACCTTCTGTTATTCCCAATTCGCCACTTTTACCTGACCTCACCATAGAATACCGATTAGCTTTATAGGGCTTGCTAACAGCCAGATTGGTTTCCTTGTGATTGTTCACGTTGGTTGCTTTTATTCCCTTCATACATCGTCTAACAAAATCTTGAGGTTCAATTCTCATTTTCAAATAGTCCGGGTATGATCGTTCAGAATTCAATTTAAAGTCACCAGTTATGTCGAGCAATTTTCTTACTGATGCAACAGTGTGACCAACAGCTTTGATCATCTTGGCAGCCACTTGTAATAAATCTCCACCCTCTTGAGTGTAAAAATAGTCTCTATTTCCATCAAAATTATTGTAGCCATTAATTTCACCTTCATTTATGGTTTTAACAACCAAGCTTTTCACACCAGTAACCAAGTCACTAACTAGCGATAATAACCCATCCAATGAATTGTCCAAATCGTCAGGTTTTTGTAAACTGAAATCGGACCCGGTCTTTGATATGAACAATAGCTCTCGAAGTAGCAAGATGATTTGGTGCGCCAAAGTTTCCAAAATTTCACATCCAACTTGATTGTGTTCAATCAAATCCATTCTTCCAATGATTAAACCCAAGTAAGAATACAAGATTCCATTGATCTCGGTGATTCTTTGTTTAGCCAATGGTGGTTCTTCCAAAAGAGGATAATTGTTTAAATCATCGTGCAATTTCCGTTCGTTAGCTCTCTTGACAATTTGTTTACTTTCAGTTGACCAAACTTCCAAAAATTCAGTAGCTTTTCTTGTTACTTGATAAACCATCAAGGTTAAAATTTCAATCTTGCTGAAATTCGAGGTTCCCTTATACTCATTAGCCTTAACCATCAAGTTGTACCAATCTGCAAGCAAAACTTTACGAGCTTTACGTACAACTTGTCTCTTTGTCACGATTTCGTTAGATCTTGATAAGCAATCAGTTTGTTGAAGAAGGACACGCACACCATCACGGATGGAGTTGACAACACGAATAGAGAATGTATATTTCCCCTTTCTATTGCGATGACTTAATGGATTCATTAAAAATTTCCCACATGCATGATACAATGGCTTAATATAGTGACTGTTTGGTAGTGCCGCACTTGCCCCGTCTTGTTCTTCATCCATGTCTTCCTCATCCTCGTCCTCGTCATCATCCTCAGATGAATCATGATCGGCAACTGCAGTGGTGAAATAATTCATTGGTATCCACCCTCTTTCCAACGATTCAATGAGTGTCACTTCTCCCCACCCCGATTCGTCGATAGTATGTACAAAAGCCAAATCATCTTTAGCAAATGATAGACAAATAGACGAATCCGATTCTGATTGTAATGTTGATGAGTCAAAGCCATGTAATGCTTTGATAAACAAGGATGATAAATCTTCTTCTTCTTCCAAAAGGTCAACCGATTTACTCTTTGGATTCAAGTCATTTGTTGAAGGAACTTCCTTGCTTTGATCATAGATGATATTCAAACCACCTTGTTCGGATAAGTTGGCATTGGACTTGTTGTACATTTTGAATTTGTCCTTTGTTGGTGTTTCAATCAAGTCTCTTCGCACAGGCACTTCTTCCTCGCCGCCAATCATCGATCCCCGTAGGTTGTAACTTGATGAATTGTTGTTCCAAGCAACATTTGTCGAAGATGTTGATGACCTTTCATCAGAATCATCTTGGCTACTGAAATTTCCACTCCGTCTACTAGAAGCTCTGCTGCTCACTGAGCTTAGTTCTGAATGCTGGTCATTTTTTAAAACCGAACTGGCCGCGTCATCAGTGTCATAGTGTGGTTTTCGGTGGTTAAATAGTTCGGGTTTATTGTGTGCATCATTGCTTGACTTTCGAGTGATTTTAGTGTAATAGGTGCTTGTTCTATTAGAATTGTTGTTAGTCGACGTTTGTGTTTGATTCATATTGTTTGCCCGTTCAATATTTTGTTGGAAATTACTCATAAACTGTGATGAATTCTCTGAAGCAGTTGCATTTTGCAACTTCATGGAAAGTCGTTTAAACTTTTTCGACAATTTTCTTTGAGGAAGTGATGCAACTGATGGTTCTTCTCCTGTGTTTTGAACGAACCCATCAGGTGACACAACAGGAGTTTTATCTTCGGTGTAATTGGCAGCTGAATTTGTAAGAATGGGAGTTGCATCTGTATCCAATAGTCTGGTTGATTCAGCATTAATTGCAGTACGTGAAGTGGAGGAAGTCAAACTAGAACTGCTACCTGTAGCACTGATAGTTTGCAGTGGCACGTTGTTTCCTTCGTTTAGTCGTGTGTTTGCTGTCATGAATGTTTGAATGGTATGGGTAGATCGATCGGCAAGATGGCCATTGCGATTGTTTTCTTCTTCTTCTTCATCGTCAACTGTATCTCTTGACATAGTTTCGTCATCCCTCTCACCATCTGATTCGTCTGATGTCGCACTTGCCTCTTCTATATCATCTATGTTGCGTGTCTGGACATGTTGTGGGTTTTGTTGTTGTGGTGGTGGTGGTGGGTTGTGGTGGTATTGATGCTTCTGTACTTGGTCTTCTTCCTCTTCTTCTTCATCGTCTTCCATTATGGCATTGGACTCAGGTACAAACTCTGATTGTATTGGTGAATAGACACTTGAGGATACACTAACATGTTTGATGCCTTGAGAATAATTGTAAATAGGCTGTTGATGTTGATGTTGTTGATGTTGTTGTTGAGACTCCATTGTAGTTACAACTATGAACACTAAGTTATCTCTGGAAAGTCCTTTTATTTTTTTTTTTTTGTCAATTGTCTGCAATTGTTGTATATCTCAATGTGTGTTAGTATATGGGTAATGTATACAGCTTTTGTATTGAGTTTGAGTTTGAGTTTGAGTTTGACCTTGGTTGTAAAGTTGTTGTATATATATATTTATTTATTTTTTCCTTTCTGATGGATGTGTGTGTCAGTGTGTGTCAGTGTGTGTTAAGTACGTGTTAGTACGTGTTAGTGTGTGTAGGTAGAGTTGTGTTGAATAAATTGTAACGAAATGTAACGCGATTATTTTTTTTTTTTTTTTTTGTTTTTTTGTCAAGAGAAGAAGAAGAAGAAGAAGAAGAAGAAGAATTGTTATTATTATTATTATTGTTATTGTTGTTGTTATTGTTACTTCTTCTTTCTTGGTTAAGTAACCCAACCCAATTAATTAAACACACAAAAGACAAACGTTAATAAACAATGCTGATATAAATAAGAATAACTTATACTAGCAACAAAACTTTAAAGTCAATATATACTAAGACTACACGTGTGTGTGTGTTAGTGTGTGTGTGTTAGTGTGGAGTGTTGAAGTACTACTAAACGCTTTTGATCATTTACTCATACAGAAATATATGTATACGGAAAATGATCATCATATGTACAGTAATAATGTATAACTCTTTATTGGTGTTGTGTAGATATCTTTCCAAATAAATAAATGATGTGCGGCTTCCGTAATGCACAGAATGAAAAAACTATCAGTTTTCTACTGCAGGCCAAAAGAAAAAAAAAAACATAAAAAGATAAAAAGATAAAAAGAAGAAGCACTACAGTCGTGTACGTTTACATAGTTTATACATCAAATAGCCCTTTGAACTTTTTTACTTTTATCACCCACCATCACTGATACACATATGGGATAAGTATGGTCTATTGTGTTTTCCCACACAACATGTACCCACCCCTCGCGCATGAGAAGCAACTTTAGTAGTATCTTACAATCACAGTGTTACATCAATATAATATGGGTGGTTGATTATAAGAAGAAGAAAAAAAAACGCGTCTATCTACAATACTTAACCCAAATGGGAAAAATTCTTAACTTTATTTTAGGTCACGTGATTATTTATTACTACTTTTTCCAGCACGCTGTTTTCTTCAACTAATATCGATGCATTAGGACTCCAAAACATATCTTTCACGCTAGAGCAGAGAGCACGATGGAAACCACGGCTCCTATAAACTTTTGGCTCTCGAACCAAAACTCAGTGGCAACTTGTTCTACAATTTAAAATCAATTATTACACCCAGGAATGCACTATTCATTGTCGCATAAAGACAACAAGTTCTTGCATTGTCAATGTAAATATATATATGACCCACTTCTCTATGTCCAACAAGTGCAGTTGTGTGTATCGGTATAAAAGCACTTATGGGCTTATCAAACCATGTCGTGTCGCATTCAATCCCAAAGTAAAGCGACATTGCAAGTGAATTTTCTGTTGAGCATTTTACCGACAAAGTTTCATCTTCACCCACTAACTCCCTACGACAACCCTTATGGCTAAAACCAAGAAGAGAATAGGCAAGCAGGTAGAGCCAAATCAGTCTAGCAATGCTACCCCAACACCAAAATTGACAGCATCTTCGCCACATACAACTCATGTGAAAAGTATATTCAAAAACTCCCCAGCATATGATTTATTACATTATTTTGAAAAAGCACCTGATCAATGGGCAGCCAGATATATTCTCGTCTTGAGTTCAATCATATTACGTACGGCAGTGGGTCTTGGAGGTCATTCGGGCTACAAAAACCCACCAATGTATGGTGATTTTGAAGCACAAAGACACTGGATGGAATTGACAATTCATTTACCCACTTCTGATTGGTACTTTTTTGATCTTCAATATTGGGGGTTAGATTATCCACCCTTAACAGCTTACCATAGTTGGATCTTGGGTAAATTGGGCACACTCATCAACCCTAATTGGTTTTTTTTGAATACTTCACGAGGATTAGAAACTAGTGATTTAAGATTTTTTATGAGAGTTTCCAGTATTGTTAGTGAATTGGCGTGTTATATCCCGGGAGTGCTACTCTTGGCAAATGTATTTGGTAAGAAATTCAATCTTAGTCGAATGGATCAAATAATCTTTGCCTTGATCATATTAACCCAACCACATTTGATCTTGATTGATCATGGCCATTTCCAATACAATTCAGTAATGTTGGGGTGTTTTGTATACACAATTGTTGAATTGGTTCAAAACCATTTAGTCATGGCCAGTATATGGTTTGTCTGTTGTATCAATTTCAAGCAAATGGGATTATACTACTCAGTTTTCATATTTTTTTACATATTGAGTCAATTGAGAAAATTTAAAGATTTGGTGGCTGTGGGGTTGGCAGTTCTTGTTACTCAATTGATAATCTTGCTTCCCTTTGCCTCTCATTGGACAACTACTTTACCACAAATTGTTCATCGTGTTTTCCCTTTCAATCGTGGACTATTTGAAGATAAAGTTGCCAATTTTTGGTGTACAACTAATGTCTTGATCAAGTATCGAGACTTGATTTCATCATCGCAACTTTCCAAATTGTCATTAGCTGCTACGTTGTTATCAATCGTGCCAGTAAATATTTACATTTTCTACAAGTTGACCCAACGGCAACAACCACAACCACCATCTTCGTCATCATCATCAACTTTATCTATCAATGATAAAACCCGTATTTCAGCAATAGTATACGGATTCGCATACAACGCATTGTCATTCTACTTGTTTTCCTATCAGGTTCATGAAAAGTCAATCTTGCTTCCATTATGTCCTATTTTGTTGCTTCTATTGATTGACCAACATGACATCACCATGATTCAATGGATAAACAACGTGGGCACGTTCAGTTTATACCCATTGCTCAAAAAGGATGACTTGATACTACAATATTTCGTAACCAGTATACTTACCAATTGGCTAATCGGATTCAAACTCGTATTGCCATCTTTTGAAAAGCGAAACATGAACAATTTGGTTATTGCAGCAACTTATGCTGCCATGATATTTTATCATGTCATTGATTTCATGTTTGATCCTCCAGCAAAGTACCCTGATTTGTGGGTTATATTAAACATTGCCATTTCATTTGCAGCTTTCGGATACACGTGGTTGTGGTTGATTTATAAGATCGTGAAGTTGTGAGTGGGCATTCCAAAGCTGGGGAGCTTTTTTACGAAGAAGCAGCTTTCATATTCGTAGTCCTCGTGAATTGGTTCGGCATAACAAGGCTTGTGGTTTTCATCTGCTGATGAAATTGTATTCTCGTGGAATTTGAGATTAGTTTCCGTCTGGGGCTTAGAGGATTGCAATGGACTACGAAGTTGAGTTTCATACTCATGAGAACCGTTTTGTCGCATCGTTAATGCTACCGGGATACTGAAGCAATCATGTTGTGATTGAAATGGCCATGGCTTTGTTCACCAACAACCAAAACTACGAGTTTTATAGAAAGTAACTTTTATAAAAATGTATTGAAAATCGTGTACCAGAATATCTCTTGACTTAGTTTCATTATTTGTTGAGTCTTTTCTGAGACAGCCTTATTCATCAATTGAAGTGTAGAACCCTATAAGATGATAAAACTCTTGAAGTTTTGAGTATCTGTCGAATTCTATGGACAAGGTTTCTGAAATTTTTCATCAGTATGCTTCTTAATTCTGCAAAATAGAGATGAGAAGAGAGCAAATTGAAAGAAGATAACAAACTGCAAGTGAGACACTTCAGTTATTTTCTTCTACCACTATTTGCACCTAAAAGATTTTTTTTTTTTTTTTTTTTTATATAAGCGTTGTGTCTGATATGACTATCTATATTCAGTGTGTGGTGTTGTTGTTGTTGGTCTTGCTGTTTGCAGTAGCCAGGTTTACACAATCTTTTAATTTAACAAAATAAAAGAGATGTGTATTGATGACTAATTAAGTTAAGCTTGAATTTGTATATCCAAGTCCTAATCTCCAAAGAGAATTTGCAACCCTTTTTATATCATTTGCTTATCTAGGAGCAGAATCCTGATCTTCCTTAATAACAAGCTTGAAGACAACACAAGAACGCATACTTAAGGAGCCGATGTGGGCATCCCGAATAGGCAATTTATCCTAAAGGTGCATAAAGTTAAACATTGGATATGATTGCTGTTTATCTTTTCACCAATTGAGAGAAAACCATTTCCTAAACTGGAACAAGCATAGCCGAGTCCCTTGTTGACTAATAACTTCTTACAATATAACAACCAGCCTTCCATTATTAATCCGTTGTTCAGCTATTTTTACAAGCAACGTGGGCAACAATCATTCCTCATTAGCAATCATAACAATCGTCACATTTCGAAGTTTACATTTTTTTAACTCTAAAACGTATTTAAGTAACACGTAGTATTAAACTTGCCAGTAGGTGATAACTCATTAAACTGGTTTTCAGTAACATATTAATGTATCAGCCCATCAATATTTCTAAGTTAAGGCAATTTGTCCGAGTGGTTAAGGAGAAAGATTAGAAATCTTTTGGGCTCTGCCCGCGCAGGTTCGAGTCCTGCAGTTGTCGTCATTTTTTTTTGGATTTTTTTATGTTGTTTTGCATTGAGACGCAACTTATAACAACCGCTTGAGCTTTCAATTCGGAGAACGGGATAGTCGATTGGTTTTATTGAGCCGTTAGTGTCATCCGTGTCATATACTTACTAAAACAAAATCGTTGTAGTGATGAAAAAATTGACTCCTCAATCGAGACAAACTAATCGATAGACAAATTTTTGCAACCAAATTTGTGCCAAAAGAAAATCATATTAAGACCTTCTACTTCAGTAGAATTATGAGAACTCTGACTGTTTCAAACACCTCAAGCACTCCACCATCGGATCAATTCCGGGATGAAATTTCATCTACTAGATCAGTTGACAAATTTACGTTGGATCCACATTGTATTGCATCCAAGGCAGATATATCCACCAACACGGCAAACCCCCCTGAATCAGCAAGAAAAATGGTCACGCCTGCAGTAGTCACCAATAAGAAAGAGGAAGAAGAAGATGAAGAAGAAGAAGAAGATGATACCAAGTTCTACCTGCTAGATCCAAATCAATTAGAGTTTGACGCACTGGTGTTTTGTGGTCCTATTGAAAGTGGAAGAGACAGAGACCCTCTCTCCTTTGACTTATCATTGAATATATTAGCCCAAGAACAACTCGAGTACGAGTTCGGATCCAGAGTAAGCAAAGAAAGTATGGGGCAAGCTAGGGAAGCATCTGGGCTTCAACTTTTACTTGAGGGATGTGAGTTGGAAGCTGGATCTATACCTGTGATTGATTTTGATAACACAGATTTGAAACTTGATGACCTCAATCTGAAAATCCGATATTTGTTAGCTGAGAAAGAATGCTACAATACTTTAGTTGAATCCCTGGTGCTTCAACTAAACGAGTTAATTGGAGATGCGAGTTCCCATGATTTCGATATACACACTCCAATTTTGGATCAATTGAGTGCAGAAGAAAGTGAAGAAAGTGAAGAAAGTGAGTGAATAATTGTACAACAAATTTCGTTTTCATTCTTACTCTTCTCTATAGACTAGTTAACTCTTTTCTGGAAGGAATTGAGAGTCCTATTTACATCCTTCACTTCAAACTGGATAAAGTCGCAAAATTCTAAAAATCAGCGAAAATTGCGACAAAATTAAGCTCACAACAAAATTTGATGATGTACCAAACACCACCAAACACCACCAAACACTACGGCCACGAACTACGGGATCAAGAACAAAAGTTTAAAGAAGTTGTATAAGCATTCGAAGGACTCACCATTAGCAGCAAGCAGTAGCGACACGGTCAATCAACCTGCCAAACATTACATCCCCAATTCACATGTGGCCCTTCACAAAAACTAATGACGCACCCAACAACAAGTTAGGCAATGGTTTACCTACTGAGTTAAAAGAGTTCCTTCTCAAGGAAAACTCTGAATCTAAGCACTTTGGATTTGATGAGTCCTCCAAGTTTGATGCTTTGCCCCATGACAAACAAGTTCGAAATAAACTCGATAGACTTCCACGAATGTCAGAAAATGAAGCATTTCAACTCGAAGAATACAAAGCTAGTAATCAACTATACAACGTGGTATCCATCAACTGTGCTGAAATTGAATATAACTTACATCAATGCTACCAACAATTTTCAACGATTCGCAACATGTTTCAATATCCATGCTTCAAACAACAAAATGCGGTACGAAGTTGCAAAAATTTACAATCTGACGGATTCAAAGTGTTGCACTATCAAGATTGTTACAATGTTGAACAGTGTACGGCAATGAAATCATTTGTCGATCAAGTGTTTGTAAAGAATTTTGGCAAGTTGGGAGAGTTTAGTGATAATCCAGAAAACAGCAAAGCCTATTATCGTGACTTGAATGATGGGTTTAGGTATTTTTGGTCCTAGATAAATGAGTGTAAATAGCCCACATGTATATATACAAGGCTTAGCGTTACTTGTCAAATGCTATCGCTTAAGTTTTGCCAAAGTTGCAATTTTTCTTGAAAAGACATACTTGCAACTAGTCCAGAGGTACTTGGAAACACGTGAATTGCTGTTTCCCGAGGTATCTGTGAGCTTATTTGATCTATAATTCCATTGTATCGTTCGTCAATTCCAACTTCAATCTTTCCCCATCGAAAATTGACCTTATCTAGTTTAACTTTTATTCCCAATCTCAATGAGAAGTACTTCACAACCATTTCCCATATACCTTTGCCAATAAACACAACATTTTTGGCATTACTGAACTCAATCTCTTGTAAAAGACGTGGTATATTATCCAATTTCTCATCATTTGTCAATTCTGCTGCTGTTGCCGTGCATCGCAATGCTAAATCTGTGAAGCCAATTCCATAAGTTACCAAATCAAAATCATCTTTGGCTGAGCATCCATTTTTGAGAAAGTTGTTTAAAACACGATCATTTTGCAATCCAACATTGGTTATCCTTCCCTTTGCCACCATCCTCTCCAATATCCTTGATTGGTTAAACAATTTCCAAAATAAATTCGAATGGTGGGCATAATGATGCTGCTGAATTGATGATTGGACTCCCGGGTTGAACCCCACGAACAACACTGTTAAGTTGGAACTCAACGATGGACCCAAGTCAGGTAACTTGGTCGTATCAGTTACTACCGATTTTGTCATCTTTCTGGAATTAAGCTTCCTTCCTGTTGGCGAGTTCTTGCGAACTCTGGCATCCTTCAGCTTGACCTTGACATCTGGATCTTTGTCATATTTGAATGACTGTATGATACTCTTTAGTTCTTGTGACATACCATCATCTCTCTCAAAAGTTCAAGCTGTGTTATTGAAGCATTATTTTCTCGAGTGGAATTTTGTGTCGCAATCTTTCTCTTGTTAGTGGGTGCGTTCTGTTCCCCTCAATGTGGCTACAATAACAACTGACAATACACTGTAGTGTTTTGCCCAGGAATTGCAAGAAGAGGAACAAAATGTGGAGGTCCCATAGTACCGGATTTAAAATTGCTTAAAGCTCTACTTGAAGATCAATTGCAATAAACTATGTTGACACCTTCACTGGAATTTTGATAGAGTTGTTCGGGGCAGCCAGCTCAGGCGACTCCACCCCCAAGTTTGCCTAAGATATCCAAGCTGGTTACGTTAACCAAAGTCGAAGCTTACAGAAAGTTTGTGCTGCTTTATAACAGTTTGAAGCACGTGCAACGGATATTAAAGTGCGTGTAAAATTTTCAACCCATCGTTGGACGAGGTGCCCTTTGAAGTTTATTCCATGATGAGCTAACACACAATTTTGGGGTAGTGAACAAGTCTTCTAAATTTACTAGCTAGTTTATACCGCGGCATTGGGGTAGACATTCCAAGAGGTATCATGGGTAGGATCATAGGTTAAGCCTATTGCATGCCAAGGTGGTCCAAAAAAAGATAGTGTTTCATTTTGATTGTTGCAAATTCAGTATTGGTGACAATATCTTACCCAACCCCCATGAAAAAACTAATTGATTCAGCTAAAGAGTTACTTATACACTAGGGTGCCATTCAAAAAGAATGATCTTTTCTGTTTGTTTTGCAATGTAAAATAATAATTTCTACCACCACCCATTCTTCAACTCAAAATAATTTTGAGGAAGGGACTTCTGAAGTAATCAAGTGCCCTATAAATAGAGTGCATAGTAGTTGTTTTTCCTCCTTCTCCACTTGTTTACTCTCCATTGGGGGACTGATGTAACCAAAACTGGCAGGAAACAAAGTCACACAATCATTGTCAAAGACTTTTGTGCAACCACAAATGGCCCAAAAAGGGACAACATAGGGATGGGTTATGCAATCTGGTTTCATTCATGACCACTACTAAGCTCCCACCCACTCTCAAGAACTGTTCATGGCCAATCCTTTTGTCATGCAGATATATTGGAGGAAGAATTTCAAAAAAGGGGGGCAAATTATAGCTTTATATAGCTTTCTGTACAGGTTGGTTGTAAAAGTAAGAAAGTACCTGGTTGCAAAAAATCATATCAAATAAGAGATAAAAGAGAGAAACTAAATCACGTGCCGAAACCATAGTCACCCAGAGGTTGAGAATGGATGAGAATGGATTTATACAGTTCTTTTCATCTATGGAAGAGATCTAACTTTACATACTTATCATTGGACTCTTTAGAATTCAACAGCTATATTGACACCACGTTTTCTTTGAGAGTACTTTTGTTCAACACCTACTTCGAATTATTGTCATGCAAGAACAATAAACTTTTGATACACTGGTAGATCTTCTATTTGTACCTAAACGAAATCGAGGGTTTCACATTTTCATCGACAATTACAATAATACAGTAATCTATATACAAGTCGGTACCGGAACCCTATTTTTTCAACCAATGACACTAATCAATCTTGGTTTCTTGATAATCTTTTTAACTTTATTCGATACAGGAATTCATATTATCAGCTGAAATGTGGGTGTCATATTCTATCGGAAACAGAAGAAATGTTAAATCTCAGGCACTCATAAGATAAGACTATGCGAGCATTCTGCATCGTTCTGAATGCGATGCTATACCGTTGTCAATCATGACGTAGTTGCTCTTTGTACCAGTGGCAGTTACAAGTAGCTTGATGTGAAGCTTATTTTATATCGGAAGGGATCGTTGTTGTTGTTGTTGTTGTAATTATTGAAAGCTGATTGTAACACATGGTGAGTGGAGCTTGAAATGAAGAGGCTTTGTCTCGCCTTGTTGATCAAAGTAGGTGCGTGTTCGACTTGATCATAATGTTACAAAAGCGATCCAAGCCTCAGGAGGGGAATCTTACTATAATTCGAGGCTGCAATGCACTCCTTATATGTTGATTCACTACCTTTCACTGCATAAATTGAATTAGACTTGAACTTATACGCAGAAGAATTCCCCCCTCCCTTCCTTTCCCCTCTCCCCTCTCTCCACTATTCTTGTCCTTCTTATCACGAAGCTTTATGATTGTCAGCATTCAAAACCACCATGTTCGATTCGCATATATTCATTCAATATTGATGCTGTAAATTTGTTAAACCATATGAAAAGCAATCCTTTGATAATAAATTGGCTAAATAGTAGGTATCAGTATCCTTGAGTTGTTCTGTCCTTTTCTCGAAGTTATTTGGTGAGAATCTCAGAGTTTAAAATAATATAGTTCCTAAAAAACCCAGTTATTTATACAAGAATGAATCCATCCCATAATGTTTTTGAATATTTTTTTGCATCAAAATAAATGCAAAGATAAAACTTATTTCATAAATCATTCACTTGCTGGTACATCGAAGTTGTGAAAACATGAAACCATCATCACAAGGTGATGAACAGTAAAATCGTTCCAGCTCTTCAAAGACATCGAGCATGCAAAAGTAATTATTATTCTATAAACAACTACTTACTCCTTAGTTGCTTTGAACAGCAAGTGGGTTTTAATACAACAAAGGTGTATGCAATGGTTATGATGGTTATGATGGTTATGATGGTTATTAAGGATGTTGTGTGGAATCAAATATTATGCCTATCCCCGCCTTTCCATTTTCCCTCCTTCTCTTCCTCAGGCGAAATGAATTACTATAGTTGCTGCTTTCACTTCTGTTACAGTCTTGCCATTAGCAAGAAAAAGAGACAAATTGCAGAGCGTACAGCGTTTTGTTTTTTGGGATGAAGTACAATCTGCTTTAAGTGGAAAACAGCATTATTACCACTACGATAGGAAGTACTTTATCATGGTTCACTTAATGCTAGAGTAATCTGGTGTGTATATTGTATTGTGTTAGTGTATTGTGTGTATGTTGTGTTTGCTGCGAATTGCGCTTACTGCATATAAAAACATTAATATTATCACAAACACAGAATGTTACCCCACTTTTGTTTCTTTAAACACTCATCCACCCATCCTTTATCTCCTATACCTCCATCCCCTCCACTTAAGCTGCCTCTCTATGTTTCATTCATTTTTATGTCTATGTAATATAAGAAACACATAATCTTTCAACTGACAAAATAAGTACAATTGTAAAAGATTTTCACTCCATATAATAACTAGGATGATGTATGTATACCATGTCTATACAATTGTACGATTTTACCCTTTTTCTTTTTTAGTCATTGGTTTGTAATTCTTCTTGTTTAGTAAACGACTACTATGCTTTCATTTGATATTGTTTTGGTTTATCAGATGATGTGTCATTCTTTTGTGTAATTGAATATTTTGTGTGTGTAAACTTATTGTCGTAACACAAAGGTTTACGACATCTAGCCAAATTCATTAACCCATCATACATCAACAACCACACCACACCACACCACATTTAAATTGAGCCATCCTCATAAACCACTACCTTCGTTGGAGTAGTGTTATAATATACACAGTCTCCCATAATAACCACCATACAAACTTCCCGCTTATTTCGCAATATATCTTTGCATTCTGTTGTTGTTGTTGTCGTTGTTATAGTTAACTAACTTTTTTGTTTTCACTAGATTGACCAAAATCCAAAAAAAAAAAAAAACAAAAATTAATAAGGTGATAATTAAAATTTAATAAATATCTATACTAAGAGAACCAAAAATTCATTTTGAACCAATACATATTCATAAAAAGCAAGAGTTCAAAGTTCACCCATATACTTACTCACCTACCTTCTAGACACCATTAAAGACACTCTGTTCATTTACATACGCCTTCTTTCAGTATATTTTATTTTGAACTATGAGTGACAAGGGGAACACAAATGATACTCAAAGGACACCCTTGCTGCCAGTGTCTAGCAAATCACAACCACAGTTGACTTCATATAGTGCATTAAACAACGCAGAAGCAAAAAATCTGAACCTGCAACCGCAACCACAATTGCAACTGCAACAAAGTAACCAAATTCCCGACTTCCTAGCCTCCAAAGCCCTTGGTAAGGAGCTAGATGTTGAAACTGTTAGAGACAAGTTGGAAGAAGAAACCAACATTTACACCAAGGGAGTTAAAGATACTGATGTTGATTGGTTTCTTAGAGATGCATCCATGGACCCCACTATCCCATTGCCCAAACATATCTCGAGCACCACTGACGATGATGCGAACAAAGACCGACAAAATGAGAACTCTCGCAACAAGGAGTCAGCACCAGCATCATCTGCTGCACAACCACCACTGACTCCTACTCGCTCAGTTAATTCACACTTGAATACAGATATCTCCAACTCCAACGATGCGATTGTTTCCAAAACTAAGCCATCAGTCTCACCTGTTCATGAAGAGAACATTCATACAAGATATACACCTCAAACACCGACGCATGGTGATAACAACTCGTCTATAAAGACGAGAAGGAGGAGCAGTACCGGTGGAAGCTCAGGTGGATTCTTTTCCAAACTTAAGGGAAAATTTTCTAAAGAAAGTAATGAACCTGCGCCTGTATCAACTAGTTCATCATCCAAAGACCATATATTCAAAGCTGATTACAATATGACAAAACCAAAAACTACAAAACCAGTTTATGACTCTACAATGAGCTCTAAAAACATGTCTTCGAAAGGTGTTACCCAATCAGTATCAAGCTACGAGCCATCAAAATTGGAACGAACAAAGACTGCACCGCTTCCGTCCGCTTCGTCATCACACCCGGATCCAAGACTCGAAGAATATATCAAATTTTACAAGCAAAGAGATATTCGAAGGGGCTCTACTGCTTCGAGTGCCTCGAATTGCAGCGATACATCTTCTAAACCTAGTGTATTGGTAAATGGATACGATAATTCAAGTTATGGTGAAAAGCATGGTGGGATTTCTAATGCGCAAAATGAGTCGACCTCTTCTCGACTTTCCCACTTTTTGAGGCGAAAGAGTTCTGTCAAAGGTGAACCAGGTTACTCTTACTCAAGTACACCTGTTCCTGCTGGAGTAGCAGCAGCGTCTTCGTCGTCTTTGCTGACAAGTCCTCCACCATCTGAAAGTGATCTTGAGTTGAATCCTGCTTTCAAGGGACTAAAGCCATTGAAAAGAGTAGCATTCCACTCGTCAACTTTTTTGATTGACCCACCACAACAAATTCCCTCACGTACACCTCGTAAGGGAAATGTTGACATACTTCCAAACGGACAGGTGAGGATAAACCCATTGACTGAAGAGGATAAAGAGGCTATCGAAAAGTCACAAATGGGATTGGGTGGTGGCATTGTTGTTGGAGGTACGGGGGCTTTGGGCTATATACCCAAGGATGCTCCAAAAGATGCCGAGAATAGCAATGATGAAGAGAATGCAGATGGTGGAGGTGATGATGATGATGCAGATAAAGAGTCACAGGGGGCATCATCTCAAGATGAAGATGAACCAGCAATTGACCAAAATGCTAAAAAGATTGCCATTGACAAATTTATGGTTCACCATCAACCAATGAATTATACTGTACCAGTGAAGAAAATGGCACTCGACACAATGTATTCTCGTTGCTGCCATCTACGTGAAATATTGCCAATTCCAGCAATATTGAAACAAATTCCAGAGGGGTCATTGGCACCCCTTCCAGTTTTGCAGCTTCGAAACCCTCACCCAACTATGATTGAAGTGCAAACTTTTGCCGATTTTGTAAGAATTGCGCCAATAGTTTGTGTTTCATTAGATGGAGTCAACTTATCAGTTGAGCAATTCAAGATTCTTTTGTCGGCAATGAGTGCAAAGAAGCAATTGGAAAAGTTAAGCTTGAGAAACACACCCATCAATCAAGAAGGATGGTCACTATTTTGTTGGTTTTTGTCAAGAAATACCGTGTTGAATAAGTTGGATATAACACAATGCCCAGCTTTGGCTGTCAATGTCTTGAAAAAGAAGAAGAAAAAGTCAGCAGACTCGAAAAAATATGAGGAGGACTTGGAAAGAATGACGTGCAATAAGGACAACCGATCCGACGTGGACTGGTCATTGTTTGTTGCTACATTGGTAGCCAGGGGTGGTATTGAGGAGTTGATTATGACGGGATGTTGCATAACCAATGTTGAGATTTTTGAGAATTTGATGGAATTGGCAGTGCTGAAGAAAACTTCAAGGTTGGGGTTAGCATTCAACAACTTAACACCACGACACATGAGCGTTATCGTTAACACTTGGTTATTTGGTGATTTTGCGAGAGGTCTAGACTTGGGTTACAATGACTTTTCCAGTACCAAGGTTTTGAAAATCTTTTTGGATTTTACTAAACAACCAGATTACGAGAAAATTATTCTGAATGCAACCCTATCATTTTTAAGTTTGAACTCAACCAATTCGGTGTTTAATGATGCATTCAAGGAAGTATTTGAAGGTATATTGATGAAGCTTCCAAATTTAAAGTATCTTGACTTTTCAAATAACCAAAGATTATTTGGCACCATGTCTAACACACAAGATTCATACACAACTAATCTCAACGCAAATGAGAATGCAACAGTTGCTTATTTCACTTCGAAATTGCCACTTTTTCCAAAGTTGACAAGGTTGCATTTGGAAAATGAAAACTTTAGTCAATCCTCGATTCTCCAAATTGCAAATATTCTACCATTTTGCAAGAATATGGGATACTTTTCAATCCTCGGAAATTACGTGGACTCCACGTCAGCATCAGCATTGGTAAATGCGACAAAGAATTCCAAGACCTTGATAAACTTGGACTGCAATTCAGACGAGTTTCCTGAGTTGTTTAAAGAGCGTATTGGGTTGTACACCATGAGAAATATGGAGAGGTTGTTGTATGATTCAAAACGCGAGACTCTGTCATCGACGGCAGAACTGCCATTGAAGGAAGTCATGACGCAACCTGAGCCGTTAACTGAACAATTGAATCATATTTTGGAATTGAAAGCTCAAAAGAAGTTGGATTTGTCGTCACCGGAAGTTTCCAAACTTTTCAAGCGAGCGGAACAAATTAGAAAGAGTTTGAAAGAGTCTATCGAAGAGTTGCTCCACATGCAGTTGAACAACACGCTAGATATTGATGGTAAGGAAACACTTATTCGTCTCATTTATATCGATTCAAGCATAGAAAAAGGGTTGCAATTAATTGATCCGAGTTTCACGGATGATTCTGGAACTAGAGCCAACATGTACCTCGTCAAGGTGGGAGAAGGACAAAACCTGGTAGCTAACCGTTCAGAACTTCATGATCATGGTGACAAAGATGCGGCAACTGAGATTCACTTGAAACCCAGCCAAGCAGTTCCGGCTAGCAAATCCCCATTAGTGTCTCGGTCTAACTCAAAAACCAATTTGGCTAATTTGGATAAACAGGAGGGGTCGGTATTAAAATTATCGAGATTAAATGATTACCACAAATTAGAGCCAAGCAATTTGGATATGTCAGGCGATGAGGTGAGAAAGAAGTTGATGAATGTGAACCTTTCTGATTTGGATAAGGTTATTGGCTATTTGGATGACTTGAGAAAAAAGGGTATCTCGTTGGAAAATGTGTTTAAGCACAAAGCAAATGAAGGGGACTCCAACGAACAAGAGATGAGTTTTGAGGAGTTACATCTGAAATTGCAGAAACTCTCAAAAGAATCCACTGATGAGCAAGATGTTTCCTCGACTACCAAAGACGTTTGCGATGAGCTGGACGAAACAGAAGGCAAGGATTCAATTCTAAGCAAGACGTATGATAAAGTCTTGAACAATTTGACAAACTGAGAGTTACAAAACCCCCTCTTTATTTAATAATACACAAAGCGTTTTCATAGTAATTACAGCTTTTGCATCCCTCTCTACCTTTTCCGAGCCGTGTCTACTTTTCAATACTCGTCGTCATCAATATCGGAACCTAGTACTGGGTCAACCTCTCTTCCACGACGCTCGTCACGAACACGATCATCATCCCCATCTTCATCAGAATATACATCATCCTCATCGTGACCCCCATTGTCGTGTCCATTTTTCTCAGCCTCTTCAGCTAAATCCTCACAAGCATCAATCCAATCACTATATACATCCACGGGTTGGCTCAAACCATGTATCGCGGTTTGGAAAGTTTGTCCACATATCTTGCAATGCAATTCACCTAATAGGTTTTTTTTGTCCAATGTGCATATCACTGATTTCTCATGATTACAGAATAGACAAGTGAATTGGACATCCAATGTTTGCTTGATCTTTTTGGCTGGTTTACGCGTTGACGATTTTCTTTTACCCATGTTTGTATTTCTATGTTATTAAATGAAGTATATATGTATGTTAAGGCTGGATGTGTGGTGCTTTAATCTGACTGCTCACCTTCTTGGTAAATGATGTTGGATATAGATGGGGTTGCTTAGTCCGTTGTGAATGACTTTTGGTCTGAATTTTGAGACTTTTCAATCGAATGTCAGAAAATAGAAAAAAAAAAAACAAAAAAAAAAAACATCAATGCAGTCTGATAAATTATATCTATACAAACTCTCCTGTACCGCTTTGAATCAAAGGTGGCACTTTCAAATTAGTGAAACGATACCTTCAATATATCACTGCTGAATCATCAGTTTAGCTTTCTTTTTCAATCGCATTTCCAATCTCATCTTTTCAAAACGCATCTTTTCAGCTCTATCATTGCGTGGCAGCGCATCTTCTAAGTTCAGAGTGTGCTCTTTTGTAGATCCCAAAGAGTCCACACTTGATCTTGCGCTGTTGCATTCACTAAAGTCACTGCTGTTTCTGTAACCCAAGGAAATTTTGAGTCCTGGATTGTACTTTTTGTTTAGCTTATTCCCATATTCAAACAACTTCAAGTCATTGTTCCTTTTTTCATAAAGTTTTAATGCATCGTGATACAAGACTTGAATGTACTGGTCCCTACTTGCTGCCGATGTAAAGTTTGGCATAGGGTAATGCAAAAGTAGTGATAAGCATTCACTAAAATCAGAGGTAACGAGCTCGGTCTTTTGTTGAATCAATAATTGAATCACCAAGAATATGAGCACCTCGAGAAAATGTGTCATTCCTGGTGCCTTATCATTGGAGTTTTGAGTTGCTATCAACTTATCCCATAATAAACTCGTTGTCTCAAAGTCATTACCTAGTTCACGAGCCAAAAGTAACCGGAGGTAGCGAATGATCCACAACTGGGAGTCTAGCTCGAGTTTAGTGGTTAATGTGTAGTGAATAAACTGATCAACTTTCATGAGATAAGAATTGAACAAATCAATCAGCTTCGTTAATAAAGCTTCCGATTCGTACAAGTCTGACACAATGCCGCTATTGAAAACAAACTTGTTAAAGATATTGAATAGGTCGTGACACAAATAGCGCATATTATAAAGACTCAATATCACCATCTCCTCATGCGAATAACGTGCCGAGTTCAAGTTATCTTGATCCAACAGTATGGACTCCTTGTGCAAATTCATGTGGATTAAGCCCAATATTTCATGAAACCCTTGTCTGTATCCAATACGAGGGTGGCATTTGCACCAAACGTAGAGAACCTCTACCAACTGTCGTTTAATGGGTATCGTGCCCGAGTCCGCGTGGTAAAAGCTCTCTCCGGGAAATAGCCTCTCCACATCAAGTATTATTACGTTTAACAATTCCAAGTCCGTCGTGTGGTCATTGTTATCTGTTCTTTCTGTTGTTGATCCTTGAGTGTTAATGTCCAGCAGTAACGGGTCTTCGGTAGCTGCTTCACGCAATGAGCTTCGCTTGATTAATATCTGGCCATTCAGACGAGATGACCCATTTCCCAAGCTTGCTTTTCGATTGAGTTGTTTTGGCTTGTAATATAGATTATCCTGGTCGAGGTCCAGCCATGGTATCGCCATATCTTCTCTTGCGACAAGTTGTTGGTAAACCATTCTCGTCTCTTTAAGCCTTTTTGCCCATGCCGCAATTGCAAAGGAATCAACTATCAAACACACCTTCCATAAAAGTAGTCTCAGAAAGATCTTTGGTTGTTGCAACGTTGTATATTCTCCATCAACTACAGCTTTCTTGAAAGTGGGCAAGCTCCCCTTATACTTGTCAATTGTGAGCAAAACTTTGGATATGAGCTCATTCTCAGTTGACATAGCTTTCTGAGCTGTTGGCGAAGGGTTAGTGCGGGTGAGGGTAGGGGAATACGGATGGAGTTTGAGGATACAACATACACCTCTTGCCCTTTTTTTTTTTTCCTTTTCTTTTTTTCAATTCTTTTCTTTTACAGTTATATATCTACAGGCAACTCCTACTTCGACGATATTCCTACATAGGCGCCTCATCCAAAATGCTGCAAAATAATTTCGAAGTCTCCAATTCAAACAATGACTCAAACATTTTACTGGAAAATTTAAATAAGTTATCAGTGTGGGAACAAGAAATGGACAAGGTAGAGAAAGAAGTTGATGTTTATAGACTCAAATTAGCACAACCCATGTATGCAAACCGAAGGTCAATATTGAAGAAGATTCCTAAATTTTGGTACATCATATTAGCTGAAAATGATGAATTTTCTGATTACGCTAGTCCCGAGGATCTCAAGTACTTGGAGTTTATTGATGATATTTATGTTCATTACCCTGTAGTGGATAATGATAGTGGTACAAGCACAAACAACCCAAGGGATTTTGATATCACCATCAGTTTCAAGAAGAGCCTGTTGACTGAAGCACAAAGCGTCACGAAAAGTTTTAAAATAGTTGTACGTGAAAACGGAGAAGAGCTTTTGGAGTCTTTGCCCGTGGAGGTCAAATGGCCACAACAATTGTCCAAAATCAACCCACATTTGATAAAAGAGAAAACAAATGGTGGAAAAAGTATGACCACCGAGGATAAAAAAAGGTATCGGGCAGGTATGAAGTCGTTTTTCTCATGGTTTGCCTGGACTGGTAAAAAGCCTGGAAAGGAATTCAGAAATGGCGAGGATTTGGCAAACTTGATTGCGGATGATATTTTTGTTAATGCATTGAAATATTATATTGTTGCATTGTCAAACGAGTCGGGAGAAGAAGACAGCGAAGAGGAGGAAGACACCTCGGAAGGGGAAGAGTTGGATTTGAGTGATGTTGAGGTTGAGGGCAAGAAACGTACACTAGGGGATGACATTGTGGATGCCCCATGTGAAAAGAAGGTAAAGCAGTCGAGCAGCGTATGACGCCCTTTATCTTTTTTTTTGGTATTGTAATGGGCGTGAAAAGGTCGAATGAAGACATCGAGTGCAAATGATATGTACAGCAAAAATGTAGTGGACAACATGATTGCAAGCATTGGTTCGGTCATGTTACAATCAGCAGCTTCGCAACCAATTTCCATTTAATTTAAATACCTTTGTGGTCCAACGTAAGTTACCTGATAGTTCTTATATAGTTCTAGAGCTTAACTCTGCAATATTATGTCTACAATAACTACCACATTGTTATACAAAATAATCCCTTTAAAAATCTAGCTACTCTATAAGCGCCATGCACAATTGGAGTATCGTACTCAAGCGTGTTTCTTCAATCTAAGCAATACTGGAAATCCCTCAATCAAATTCATGATGTAGTAGACCAATCTTACCCCAAATGGTGCTCTATATTTCTTCAAGAAAGGACCAGAAATAAAAAGTATTTCACCCAAGTGAGCAACAAACAACCCAATACAAAGTTTCAATGCATGTAACTCGGACCAATTGTAAATTGCAAACGCGACACTTGGTAAGTACTCAATTGCCTTCTTGATCCATGCACTATTGATGGCTACTGATCTCAAGATGGTGGGATTGTAGGCATTGAGCAATAAAATGGCCCAAATTGGGTACATTGGAATACCTTGTGCATCGGGGCCGAAAATTTTAGTCAATTTCTTTTCAGCGAACCCTTGCTTTCCGGCACTGTATTTGGCCATTGCAATGAGTTTGGACTTGATATCGGAAAGAGACTTGACTGATATTTGCTCATTTTCTTTGGCATCATTCCATTTGAGTTTTAAGCTCTTTGTTGAAGATGGATTGATCACATCGTACTCGATAACAATTTTTTCAGTATCAACCTCTTTAATTCCAACCGAATCTTCCACTAAATACTTTGGATCCACGGAACCGTATACAACAACGTAATCGCGCAATGCAAGCTGGTGGTCCTTGTTCATATGGGACTTTATACGGGCACTTGGGTCAGACATATTCTTCTTGTATTGATTTCTGATTAGCGGATGGGGTTGCTTTTAAAGTTGGTGGAAATGGGTACCGTTTTGGTGTTGAAAGGAATCAATGCTTAAATTGAAAAAAGAAGAAGCAGTCTAATACATAGGCAGATTCTCGTGGAGATTTATTACTTTTTTTTTAACTGAAGGTAGTTCTATTTTCCGCTAAACGGAGATAAAATTATTGAGAAAACAATGCAAAAGGGAATTTGCGGAGAAGGATGGAAGAAGAGTTTCAAGCCAAGATCCGTTGCCATGAGATAAATTCAGGAACAAATGGGAGCACATGACATTTAAACCGGAATGCAGTAGTGCCTCCGTTTGTGCGTTTAGGAACCAAATGCTTAACAAAACCAACCTTGGGGTCAGAGATTAGCAATAAAATGGACCTCACTGTAACACCTTTTTCGTACGTGAAATTGTAAAAGAAAAAGAGTTGTAAAACATGGCATTGTTAATCACTCAAGTCATATATCAATCACATACAAAATCCGTTCATCCTTGCGTAGTCATACCATTCCAATCTGCTTTACGTATCAATATAACCAACTTTAAACAACTGGTGTTCCAGTTGGAGTAACATGCGCAACTAATACTACACAAACTACACACCAAATACCTACCCCTGAAAATTTTTGACCGTGCTTCATCGTCTTGGGGCACCCAAAAGTTCTATTTGGGATTTAGAGGGTGCAGGGGCTGTAGATCTCTAGGAGCTGTAACTCTACCACACCAGCGTTGAACCTTCGTCAGTTTCCGCTTTCCTGGCAAAATTCCCCTTTTATGAGACTTTTTCTGTAATGCACTATAACTTTGCTTAGAACAGTCTGAGACGGCGCTGGAGACGCCCATTGTAACTATGAATCCTGCTGATAGCAGCCACAAGAAGGAAAAGAGACCCCAGATGTCTGTAGCTTAAGCTGTAGCATAACCTGTGCTTAGAAGTGAAACGTATAGCTGCAAAAAAGATGTTTTGTTTCGATTTGGAGCAATATTTTTTTGTCTTAACTATTGAAATACACATTACTTTATTGAAAGTGTAGATTGTTAAAGGGAGAAACTACAAGGCTTTATCATAGCGAAATGCTGAGAATAAACTAAACTTGTTTGGGATTACGAGTAGTAAGCTTTAGAATTCGCTGCATTTTGTACTATTACCTTTGAACCCGCGCAAATTTGCCCTACAACTGGCGTCATCTCCAGCACAACGGAATGCAGCTCTTACAAATTAATAATTAATGGTTGTTTTAAGCTATCAAGAGTACATCTCGAACTATATTCTAATTTAGGCTTATTTGTTTATGAAATCACGTGTATCGTATTTTGGAATTATGGCACGACTCCATTTTTGAACAAAAAAAATAAACAACCATTGGACAATACAAACAATCACAATATACTTGAAAACAAACGCCCCTAAAACCCCAACAATCTCCGTCAAGACGCCGACTATTTTGTACTCGCCACAAATTCTAGTTATTTGCTTTGTTGTTGTTTTCTTTTTCTTTTTTTGATCATTGCTATTGAGTAAGAAGGGACTTGATTTAGAGATGACCATATCAGTAACTCTACCTAAATCTTCACAAAAGAGACGAGCCAACGGTACTCAAAAAGTTCAACTTCAATTCGAGGGAAGTGAAGATTCCGAGCCAAACTCAGCCGTATCGTTGGATTTCTCAACACGGAAACTAGCAGTACCCGTCTTCCTGTACAAGGGTCATGATTACGTGTTGATAAAGCATTTGGCAACATTGTGGAACTATTTGTCCTCTTACCAATTGATCATTTTGCTTTCAAAAAATGGGATCAAGAAACAAGATATTCATCAAACCAACTCCAGCATCAATGAGGCCTTGCTTAATTGTGGGGCTATTTCCAAGGAGGATTATCAGAAGAGACTATTTTACATCTCCTTGCCTTTAATACATTCACGGATCTCTCAAAAAGATGTGTTTTACAATGACAATTATAGTGCAGAATCCGGAAAGGAAGACAATGGTCCACAAAGTACGATCAGCAATGTCACGCCTTTGGCTTCTGAGGAAAAGGATGACGAACCGCTCATTGACGATGAAGAGGAAGACGAAGTAGATGATTTCGAAGAGGGAAGGGGCAGTGATGATTTTGGTGAAGAAGACATTTTGTCAAAACAAGCAAGACATCACCATTCTCACAAACGCGTACACGATTCAGAGCTAATTGGTGATGACAGGGTGACAATAAGCCAGGTGTTTCCCCAATATGGCGTGGTTGAATCCACCACTCAATTGAATCACGCCCTGTTTGGTACTTTGAATTCCATGACGAAGTTGAGTTTCTATAAATCGCTTCTGTCACCAGGATTTAGGTTTCTCCCTAACTCTAAACTCAATTTCAACGAGCGGGAGTTACTTATGGGATCTAACAATTTCCTGGACATCCAAATTGAAGAAAGTTCGGACTCTTCAAAGAAACAGGGGCTTCGAAGACCACTCGGCAGATCCAGGAAAAACAATATCCACATTGATCCCAACAACCTAGATTTGAGTGAATCGGTTGCTCCAGGACAAGGCTATATTCCTGAATTTAGTGTGAGCCATCTATGCAAAGTACCTAATTATTACATCACATCGAATCAACAAATGCCCCTGCAATCTCTTAATACGAAGAAACTAAACACGACATCAAACTCGTCGTTTCTTTTCAATGATGGAATAAAAATGTCGAAAAACATTCAACAACTAGTTTTCAACAATGAAACTGACAACTACCATCATTCGAAATATTTTTATACTAAGGGCTACCGAGGACCAGGCTCAGGTAATTACAAAGATGGTGCATTGATGAAAAAGATCAGCAAGATACCGATGACAACCGATCGTCGAAGGTTTCACAAGATAAAGCTTTCGCATAAAGAGAGATATAACAAGTCTTTAAAGGGGTTGGCACATGAAAGGTTCAATAAACAAACCGTGGAGGGAACACTCGCAGAACAACGCAAATATACAGAAGATTATTTGAATCTTGAAATGTTGCATAATAGTGTTCAGTTTAATTTTTTACTTAATTCTTATCGTGAAATTGCAGAAGATACGTGGAATTGTTACTTCAAATTCAAGCTATTCGACCTAGAGCAATATAAGGCATTGCAACTGGAAAGAAATGAAATCAAAGAAAAAGAACGGCTTTTGCTTGAACACAAAAAGTGGGTCGAGGATGATAAATTGCGTGAAGAAAGACTTCGAATGATATTCAGCGATGAGCATGCCGCAATGGAGAAACTAAAACACGAATTTGTGGAGAAAAGAAAGGAATTGGACGAGAAAAGACGTCGTTTGGAATTGGAGGCATCTTTCGACAACTCAATTGGCAATATTGATGAACAGGATCAAATTACAGAAAAATTGGAGACTCTTGACTCGGAATACAGACGCAAACAAAGTGACTTGGCACGGGACTTTGATTTAAAGAAAAAGCAATTTCTTACACCTTTGAAACCTCCGCAACCAGTTGAAACACCACAAATGGATATTGTTTCGAAATTCGTGTCTCCCGCCAACCAACGTGAGATTTTGAAACAATTACCACTAGAATTGAGAGACACTGCAGATTTGAGCAAAGATGAAGTTCCATCAATCAAGAATCCTATAAAATATGTCACTACTTTCCCAACAGGAACCAATGATGAATACTTGACAAGAATTGAAGTGGTAAAATTACCCAATGCAAACTCCGTCGGATGGGATAACCTTCGAAAGTACAAAGAGAATTAAATACGTTTTATAAGTTTCTAAAACTAGTGTTCAATTATTGATCTTGTAGTTGCCAGTGCCATTTATCAATTCCTTTAAACGATGAAACATTCTCCGAAGACCGAAATTCAGCATAGCAAAGACAATAGTGCTCGAGTAAAAGCCTGATTTCCTCAATCTCATCAACGAATTCTAATGAACTGATTCGCTGCAAATCTTGCGGGTCTATCCACGCCTTAGATGCTTCCTGACTTTTATTGTAGCCACCAATGTTACTCAAGGAAGACATTCGTAATCGTGTGAGCCCACATTCGGATTTGAAAAATTCCAATCTCGATTCAAGATCGGGATACTTGTCAAAAGTTTGCAAATTCAAGCCTCTGCCTTGCAAATTTTGGTACATTGTTTCACCAAACAGGTCCTTTAATGACATGGGTTCGTAAATTAAAATGGAATTCAAATTGTTTCCCAAATTGGTCCAAAACTTTATTGTTGAAAAGTATTCTTCAGGTGATAAGTAGCACAAAACACACTCACTTAGAACAAGAGTCGGGAGATTTGCATCAAAGCCATCCAATACTGCTTCAGAATTCACCTCCCTCAAATCACATGCGTGAAGATGATAATTCTTGCAATGTAAGTCAGGATTGTACTCCGCAAACGATTTTTTTGAATCAATTTCCGGAATGGTTTCCTCGACTCCAAGAAGTGCACAAAGTTTGGGGTTCTTTATTATCGCCAACTTTTTTATTTTGGTGGTTTCAGCAAAATCTATCTCGTGATAGATCACTTGTGGCAGTTTTTCCAATACGGAAAACGCCCTGGTATCTGAACCGCTTCCTAATGATATAATTTGACATTTTTCAAACTCTTTGACAAACTCTTGTACAACGTCACTAATTGCTTTGGTCCTTAAGTAAGTCCCGCGGTTTATAATGGGTAACTTTCTGTCCTGAAACAATGACTTTAGGCATCTTGATGATGATAGGGATGTATAACCAGTGCAGAATTGCAAGTAAGCATTGTATGATTTCATCAAGTCCTCAATGTACTCATCTGGAGGATTGAGGTACTGCTTAATATTCATGTTGTAGCGACAACTCAATGCATCTAGATCGGTGGCTCTTATCAATTTCTCATGTCTTTCTTGTGGCGAATTCATACTTGTGGGTGGTGCCCATGAAAAAAGAAGAAGAAGAAGAAGAAGAAGAAGAAGAAGAAGAAGAAGCAAATAAATCTGGGGTTGGTGATTAGCGTTGAAATTTCATTTTTTTTTTTGTTTTTTCTTCACTGTTTCTATAAACTAAGAGAGTTTTGAACATCTTATATTCTTTGCAATATTACCCACCAGTTATCCTTCTCATATCCTTCACTTACAATAGTACACAACCCAGTCGCAAGGGAATTTTCAGGCAATTCTCCCCGTTTGTACAAATGATAGTATCTATACTTGGTTTCATTTACTTGTGGACTTTCATCAACGTTGCCACCAGTGAGGTTAATATTGTCAGCGACGTTGTGCCTCTTTGTCTTTCTTGTGGCATTATTGAGAACCCATGGAATTAATACGTCCTGGTCGTCACCTTCTTTATAACCACGACGAGAATTTTCTTGCTCTAGCGCCCAACAGTAGATTAGACATTGCGCCCCCTTCTTTAATTTGGACAAGATATGCAGAATTGCTTGAATTCTTCTTTCCTCAGTAGCAAAATGATGTACCACTGCAATGGAAATGGCAAAATCAAACTTATCATTGGGATGGGGAAGCGAAAGGCCATCTGCGATGGCCAAATTATATTGATTGTTTGATACTTCCTGTGCACAGTTGACGAGCCCCTCCGATCTATCAGAGCCTATTATATATAGATCTTCGTTTACTTTTAAATATTTCCCATTTCCACAACCCACATCCAATCCAATTGAATGCTTTGGCCTATCTTGTAAAAATTTTTCAACTATAGGCCATGGCTTGTACCTAGTTTTGGAAAAGTGAGACGCTATTTCGTTATAGACGTCATGAACATAAGTTTCTTCTTGTTCCGAGGGCTCGATCCTCTGAGTTATAGGTAGGGAGGGGGTGGCAGACATCGTGGAATAATTACCCGACGATGAGAAGAGGAGAGTAAGACATTGTCTTGTTAGCTTTTCTGTTCTCGGCTTTCGAAAATTTAGATCTACTTAGACTAACAAGCGTCCATTCACGATAAATGCTAGTTGAACGCAATTCCTTCATTTACATTTCCATTGTGCTAGCCATATTGGTCCCGTGGATTTTCAACTTCACCAAATCAATAAGTAACGTTGAAAATCTACGACACATTGTGAATCACGAGTTGAAAGCTGTCGTCCCGATACTGCTAAGGTTTAACAATGAGTTTTTTATACTCCCTGACTTGATACAAGCTTCACAAGTGCAGATTGATGAGGAGCTACGGGCCTTGGGTGTACGAAACTTGGAATTTGTGCTTCTGGATAAGATTCAAGGAGGTAATTCCAGTACGAGATACATGATGGACCTTATCCTTCACCACGAAAATTCACTTGGAATCTCTTCTGACTCGTTGCAAGCGGCGATTTTTTACACGTTGGAATCCATCCACTCTAATGATTTACCCTTTTTTATTGCCCAAACGGTATTGTATCATTTCCTAAATGCAGATGTGGAAGTGTTTAGCAAATCAGAGTATGAGAATTTCAGAGAGGATCTTGAGTTTGAAATCGGATTCGGCGAAGCAATACACGAGGAAAGAAGATCGGAGATTATAAGTGTCCTTCGAAGTTTGTCATTGACGGTGCGCCCAATATCGCGTTTACGTTGGACAATAGACAACAACAAATTAACGAATGGTAATGATGATGACGTCGTCATAAATTTTCCAGGAAAGCTTTCCAAGACTGTCAAGAATGACTCGCATACTACTTTCAAAATCCAGACAATCTTAGAAGATCAGTTGGATCTTCCTCAGAGACCAAGGAACAACTTACAAATACGGCTCCTTGCGGCATACAGAAAGAAAACTTTTTCGAATATGAACCTCATATTGGACAAGCTTTCTGTGATTGAGGGTCATGGCGAACTCGAGACTCAATTAAAGGAATTGATTGCTGAGCTCAGTAAATCGCAAAAAACTTCTTGGTTGGATTACTTGGAAACGACTCAAAACATGTTGAAATCATTAGACAAGTGAGCACCCAAACAGAATAAAGGTTGTTCAAATGGTGCCCTAAATATGCATTAGGGCTGCATTTTGCTTTATGAAAAGCACAAATATGTTAAGTGTCAGAGATTATACTGAGGTCCGTAAATACTGAGGTCCGGATGTTGATTATACTAATATGGATGGTCGAAAGTAGGTGAAAAAGCTGTGCTTAAAGTTTCTGTGACCAGCGGCCTCAATGTGTCATTCTTAGGTGCTATCTCTCCAAAAGGATATATTGACTTGAAGGTGCGACTCCCAGCTGAGGCTGCTCCTAACAAGAAGAGAAAAGTTGATTCCAACACTACCGTTTCGGAAAAGAAGGCAAAGGTTGGCACCACAGCTGATCATTTCTTTGCATTTGCCAAGTCTGTGCTTAGAGAAATTGAGGCAAATAACGCACTTAAAGAAATCAAGTATTTGATACTCGACAACGCAGCCATCCATAAACGTCGCGATCTCCAGTTATTAGTAGCACTGAGTGGAGTAGAGCTAGTGTTTTTGCCTCCCTATTCGCCAGGACTAAACACAATTGAAGAGTTCTGGTCCGCGTGTAAGGTCAAGGTTAAACGGTCAAATTTATCTAGAAAAGAACAGTTGACACCAAAGGTTAGAGAAGCAATAGCAAAGATAACCTTAGAAAGCTATCAGGGATTCTGTAAGCATGCTAATGACCATTTGCAATACTGTTTAGAGCTGACATCTTTCTAGAGTGCAAACACTTGTTCTAAAACCAATGAATAGGAAAGGAACAGCATTCAACTTGACAAAATGACAGCAAAACCTTTGAGAAATGAAAGTAGGAAATGACTAAGCTCAAACAAAAAAATATTCTGATTTGATATTATTCCATACTTTTAAAATGATTGCCCTAATTCAACAGGATCGGGTTCTTCAATCGGATTAGAGGTACAGAGATTACTATGGGTGAGTAGGTGGTGCAAAAAAATATGTCGCATTAGTTTGAAAAATTTATGTCGCATTGGTATGAAAATTTATGTCGTTCTGGTATGAAAAAATATGTCGTGTTGGTTTGAATAATAATGTCACATTGGTATGAAAAATTGTTTCGTACTACTACGAAATAAAAATAAAAATAAAAATACTTTATTTTTAGCATATCATACAGCCTTAGGAGGCGTTCTATTTTTTCGTGTTAATACTTCCACGAATCATATTCAAGTGAATAAATATATTAAAATAGCCATGAAATTTAAATACAGGGGCTAGGGATGTACTTTGATCACTTTTAGTCTCAACTAGCTGCCACTTTGTAGGAAGGACTTCAATTGATCAAACATAAGCCTGTGACTGTATTCTTATCTTAGGATTCTAGTAAGCAATAGATGGCTAAAACCAGCTTCCTTTTCTTTTTTTTAGGATTTTTGAATACGAAGTTACCACAAATTTGAATCTGTGTTGCGCCTAATTTTTAATTTTTATTTTCTAATTTTTGATAGGTATTTTGATAACTTTTTGCGCTTTCGTATAGACATCAATGCTCTTATTTCTTAAACAGCATTGTATGTATAATTTAACATTTACCATTGTATTAATACTAAGCTGAACCTTATAGGTTGTGAAAGATTTGGTTAATATACAAACAAAAAGGTGCGGGGGAAATAAAGGAAACGGATCTAGCGGATAATGACCATCCACCAATTACAATGTAATTTCCAAAAGAGCCGTGTTGGGAAAAGGAACTGACAATAAATGGATATATGAGGTTAGCTATCCTACATATTGCTCCTGCAATGAAAAATAAAACTCGTAAAGGGAAACAAATTCCTGTGCACTTTTTTCTTTTTGGGAGGTATATTTTCTTAGTGTGTAACATTTTGGATCAGTGAATTTGTTACTATCTCTAATCAACCACTCAAGTGACTACTAGCATTTCAGGACTGCAGCATGATAGGCTTGGTGACTTTTTTAATATATTTGGCAACGGTTATCCACGCTGCTAGCTATTCAGAAGTTCTAAACCATCTCGTCATTGGTGAGGTGAACTACAATTATAATGGCGAACGTGACATATATTTCAATCCCAATTCAATTCCTATATGCCCAGGCGTGGAAAACAACCAAGAGTTATTGTCAGAAATGATGGAATTAGATTTTACATCGTTTGATAACGGCAAGATGGTGTCGGATCTAGTGACTATGTTAGAAGCGTCAATCCACGATGGATTTTGGAGGTGAAAGTTTTTTAGCAATCCTCTGTAACCATAAATCTTGTTGTAGTGGCAAAGTAAGTCGAAATAATTTTCCCTTTTATGGTTCAATGTCTCATATTAATGGTATACAATATTCACGTTGTAGCAGAAACTTGTCCACACTCAGTCATTTGTTGTCAAAGTATCCAAGAGGCTGGTTTCTCTACTTGCATCCAATTTCGAAAAAAGTTTTGACAACTTTAGGCTATTCGCTTGTGAAATTCTTCGACCATTAAATAATTGCAGAGTGTACGGTGCTACGGCTACGGTAATTATGTCGGCCACAGTGGGGGGGGGGGGGGGGGTGTAACAGAGGCACACCAATTGATTGTGCAGACCGTATTCAATGCATGTGTCTGGGTTGGTTATGCAAGCCCTATCAACGAAGACTACAAGAGGCACATCGGAGTTCATTTGACACATTGAGCGGGATACAATACAAGAAGGAGTTACTTGTAACCATGCACCGTAATCTAAATCAGGGATAACACAACCTAGCAAAGCTAACAAAGCTGATTACATATCTAATCTTCTTCAATAAGTCCTGCTATTGTTATGGTGGTGAGGGAATTGGTTGCTCTAGTGCCACCGATTGAAATGAAATCCAATTACACAACTGCTTGTGAAGTTGATGAAGTTGCAAGAGGTGGACGTTTCAGACATGATGGATACTGATAATGGTATCTTGGCTCAAAACCAAAGTACACATTGCCGAATTTTGAAACAAACCAAGCGTGTGTTGGGACACGAAACATCAAGTTCAGTGGAGGATATTTTTACATCTAACATGTATTCATGGATAAACAGCCGACGATAGAGAAGGCTCTTTCTAATGTCCGTTCATCGATGCAATGACGAAGGACAAGATGAGCAACTACCACTACGCGTTAGGATGAGCGGTGTGTGAAATACACTCTCTCGAATGGTTGACATTATTGACACAATAGAGATGATGGACTATATGCGAGCTCACTTAGGGAGCAGGTAAGTGCAAAGCCTTGATACTAGATGTTTTGTACCAGAACAAGCATAGTTTCTGGGATCCACGATTGGAGGCTGGCACGCCCATCGGGCGGACTAAAGCATGATTCCACGACAATCAACTTGAAGGACTGTTCTAGTCTTCAACCTGCTGCAAGGATCGCTTATTGTGGTCGCAGCCAAACTTCTGTCAATGCAAGATCCTGGCAATAAGATAGCATATTTTAGTCAGTTTGGTAGGTGAGGGAAACCATGTGAAATTCGGTCATGAGCACTGTGGTGATTGTCATCCAAGTGGATCCGTAACCCCGTCTATTCATGGAACAGCCCAAAAGCATTGAAGAGTCATGCATCCACATGCGATGAACGGCGTCATAAAGAAAAGAGAAAGACCATCTCATCGGAACGAAAGAAGACTCGGTGTGGTATGTTTTTCAGTAGAAAAACTGACAAGCCCAATATGTTTAAGGATGCAATGTGATACATACGTATTATTTGCTGATGAAAAGCAATAATTGTTCAAAAACCTGAGTGAAGAGAATTTTTGAGGTTCTGTTTGAGAATATCCACGATTGGTGATGACTTCACAACTACAATATGGGACATGCTATGTCAGGTGAGTTGTGTTTTATTGATTATTGTATACATACTAAGCACTAGATCTCAATGTGAGGGCAGTCACGAAACTCGTGCCAGCCAATAAAATCTATAACGCACTGGAACACGCACTAGGAAACAGGCAACCACAGAAGGAACGAAATCAGTGTATGCAAAGTGGCTGCACGTGGACGCAAGAGGAGAAAATTACCGACGACGATCGGGCTATTTGTGCACGCCGGTTCCAAGAGAACCAGAGTAAATGACGCCCATACAAAGAAAGCATCGACTTGACTTAGACAGAGGAGCTTACACTGAAATACGAAACAGAGAGCTCGCTCCAACATTGAAAGGCAGTAATAGTAGAATATTGATACGTACACAAAAGACAATGATTGCCTCTATGATCAACGATATTCAACTTAACGATGCCAGTAACTATGGACATCTGGATTCAACGCTATTTCGTCTCTGTAACATCTCTATGTCCTGTATATTGAACGAACACTAATAGTTTGTCTCGTCTCTAAGTGCACCCACACACCAGAATAAGCTGCACCCGGACCGCAATCTTTTCATACCCTTATCGGAAGGATTTCGCATTCATATACATAAACTATTTTGCATCCACACTCCAGATTTGAGCCCTATCAGCGCCCGAAACACGTTTATGAACCAAAAATAAGTGCATCCACACATCAATTTAACACGCCTTCATCAACAACAAACACACCCGTACCCCAGCTGTCGGTGCATATGAACGCCTGGAAGAAAACATGACCACGTAGTTAAGACTCCCAGGATAATTACAAGGGACTAAGTACTTAGTAAAGAGAGAAAAAACCAAACCCTTGAGTTACAAAAACTGAGCGAATGCGGCTCCGATTTGGTACAAGTCTGTGTCATTGAAAGCTTGATTCCGAGACAAGAAAGTGGAATTCAAGCAAAAACAAAATCACGCATTTTTTGCATACCTGATGACATTTTAATAACACACTAAACTAATTCTTTGGGACATTAAGTAGAACAAAAGAAACAACGAATTAAACTGAAACCACACTGGAGCAGTGACGCACAGGCAAACACTCGAAGATTGAGGTTCGCACACAAAAAGTCTATAATTGGAGATATATTTGGTTGGTCAACGTGTAACCCCTCTCAACATTACTCTCTTAAAACTGGATTGCATTTTTTTTGAGGCGAACTAGTGGCATGCAAGCGAGCGATGCGAACTCGGTCAGAATTGAACGCAAACTTGGTAATACCGTAAACAAAACGAAAAGCTGCACATGTTGATAGACGTGCTGTACTTAAGGGAGATTCGATTCTGTTCAGTGAAAACTACAATGAAGTTGACCTTAGGATCTATATATCCTAGAACAAACCCAGGGTTTTGTGAAAGCGTTTACAAATCAGAAGCAAATTGTCAACTGCAATAGCTATAACATTATCCACCATGTTAAATCTAATAAACATCATGATTGCAGTAATTTCACCGTCATTCGAAACCAAAAAGTTTAGTTATGTCTTCACTGTTCGTAATTGAATGCTGGAACGTACTCCTCGCCATCTCGGTGTTCGAACTTTTCTTGTAATTTGCGATGGACAGTATAAACCTTGCTGAGGCAAGCAGACTTTCCTTACTTCGAGTATACGTCCAAAAACCTGTGAGGTGTTTATGATCTGCTTCTTCAAATTTTTGTTTTTCTTTAAAAAGAATTTCCAGCTATACCTTCGTTGTATCAGACTCATATCCTAAAAACTGAGCTCTTGCTTGTTTTAATTTTTCGATTACTCCGACAGCTCAAATGGGTGTTTCCTATTTTCCAAGCAATTAAAAACCGCTCCACTCAACATCATGCTTAAATCAACTTAGACCAAGGCCTGTGACATTTATGCAATGTTTATGATACGCAATAGAGTCTCAACAAAGCGACAACCACCAAGTCCCCTACCGAATGCGGCTGTTTAAATTTCTTCAATTCAATCATTTACTTGCTTAGAATAACTGGATATGCTGCGTACTAATAGCCTTGGTTTGCTAAAGTTTTATTCGTTTTGCTCAAAAATCGCGACTATTAAAATGCTTCAGGCGAATTCATCCTTTAAAATCGGAATCTTATGACACTATTGCACTAATTCGGTGCTGGATCTGTTCCGTTTTTGCGGTTACAACTTTGGGGCAAGCTCTATTAGCGCTCAATACGTGGTACTGTGGAACCTACGTGCCTGGACTATGTAGCCATGTTTTTTTCATTAATGTTCAGTTACAACAACTGTTGTGGGTATGAATGCCTTTGTCCTTGATGAGTGAGTGCGTGATGTGTGAATGCAATCACCCTTAGTTTGTGGATGCATTTCAGTTGATGTAAGAGCGCAAATCTAATGCGTGGATGCAAATTCGTCTGTGCTCTCCGGTGTGAATTCATTGGTGTTTATGGGCAAAGTTTTTGCGGTAAGAATTCGATGAGGGTGTGAAGAATTGGGGTGTAGGTGCAACTTGCATTGTTGTCCGGAGGCAATGAACTCTTGTGTGGGGAAGCGCTATGTTGAGGTTAATCACCAGTGTGTGTGAACGTGCAATATACAAGACATAGAGTTCTTACAAAAAAACGAGATAGTGTTTGTATTCAAATGTCATCATATTTTGGGTACATGATGATATCCAGTTACTGTCCTTCAATATTGGAGCGAGCCCCTTGTTTCGAATGTTTATGTTAGCTCCTTCGTCCAAGTCGATGTTTAATCTTTATGGGCGCCATACCTTTGCCTCTGTTTTGACCGGGTGCACAAACAGACCGATGGTTGTTGTCGCTGGTTAATTCTCCCCTCTTGTGTCCATGTGCAGCTACTTTGCCTACACTAGATTCGTTGTTTCCATGGTTGTTGCTTCCAATAGGTCCTAGAGTGCCTCTTAACTTCATCTGGGTTGCGTTGGTCTTTTGATTGCCCCCACATTGAGTTCTACAACTTGGTTTGTGGGCAGAAATCAATGATACATAACTTGCATGACATAGCATATCCTACAATAGTTGTAAAGTCATCACCAGTTGAGGATATTCCCAAATAGCACCTTACGTTCGCTCCACTCAGGTTTCTGTGAATCTGTGACAACCATCAGGAAGTAACAGGTGTGCATCAGATAGTATCTTTGAGCATATTGGACTCACCACTATTTCCGTCGAAAAAGCATTACGCAACGAGTCTGCTTCCGTTCCAATGAGTTGGTCTCCTTCTTTTCTTCATGATGCAATTCATTCAATATGACTGCATGAACTCTTTAACGCTTTTGGGCTGCTCCATGACTAGACGGGGTTGGGGGTCCACTTGGATTACGATCACCACAGTGCTCATAATTGGATCTCGTATGGTTTCCCTCATCCACCAGACCGAATATAGAATATGCTGTCTTCTTGTAAAATTCTTGCATTTCATTGACAGAGGTTTGGCTGCAATCATATCCTGCGACCCTTGCAGCAAGTTGAGGACAAGATCGGTCCTTCAAGTTGATTGTCGTGGAATCATGCTTTAGCCAATCCGATGGACGTGCCAGCCTCCAATCGTGGATTTCAGAAACTGTGTTTGTTCTGGTAAAAAACATCTAGTATCAAGGCTTTGCACTTACCTGCTCCCTAAGTGAGCTCGCATATAGTCCATCATCTCTATTGTGTCAATAACGTCAACCATTCGAGAGAGTGTATTTCACACACCGCTCATCCTAACGCGTAGTGGTAGTTGCTCATCTTGTCCTTCGTCATTGCATCGATGAACGGACATTAGAAAGAGCCTTCTCTATCGTCGGCTGTTTATCCAAGAATACAGGTTAGATGTAAAAATATCCTCCACTGAACTTGATGTTTCGTGTCCCAACACACGCTTGGTTTGTTTCAAAATTCGGCAATGTGTACTTTGGTTTTGAGCCAAGATACCATTATCAGTATCCATCATATCTGAAACGTCCACCTCTTGCAACTTCATCAACTTCATCAAACGGTTGTGACCCAGACACATACACTGAGAACTGACTGCACAGTCAATTGGTATACTTCTTTTACACCCCCCCCTGTGACCGACATATTTACCGTAGCCACTGATCTCTGTCAACTGTAACCTCCATCCTCTTCATTCGTTCGATGATACTCCAGCTTGACTGATTGATTGCTATCTGCACACTCGATTGGATGATAGATCACAACTTGGTGTCTAAAACTGACACAATATCATTACTGAACCCGTGTCTCGAAACTCAGTCGTAATTGGCATCAGGCATAGTATTCACCATCCTCTAATGATCACAGTAATTTCTATAATGATTGTGATGTCCCGTATTGGAAGATAGCAGATTCACAGTTACCCTTTGAAGAGGAAGTTGTGTTCAAGTACTGCAATCTTGTGTGGGAACTTGTTATGCACAAAAACAAAGTGCACACACAATCTTTCTTCCCCTCAAGAAGTCGTACACTATACAAACCACTCTTACTAAAAATTTTGCACCTAATCGAAACATCTTTTTTACAGCTATACGTTTCATTTCAGAGCACAGGTTATGCCACGAACATCCAGGGTCCTTTCCCTTTTTGTGGCTGTCATCAGCAGGGTTCAGAGTTACAATGGGCGTCTACAGCGCCGTCTCAGGCTGTTCTAGGCAAAGTTATAGCGCATTTTAGTGCGCATTACCGAAGTCTCATAAAATCGGCATTTTGCCAGGAAAAGCGGAAACCGGCAAAGATTCAACGCTAGTGCTGTAGAGCTTACAGCTCCTGCGCCCCCCAAATCCCAAATAGAATTTTTGGGTGCCCCAAGACGGCGAAACACGGTCAAAATTTTCTAGGGGTACGGAGTTAATTTGTAGTTTACATAGTATAAACACGTGCGTTAACACCGAAAACCTAGATTCAAGCTCGAGCTGACATGTGAGAGCTTCCCGAATCAGGCGGGTACTGAATCTGGCAGTTTGAGTACCGTATGGTGTGTTACTGGTACCTCAACAAAACTGGTGCAGCAGATTTGCCGCTTCTGGGTTTGTGGTTTTTTATATCTAGAAAATGGGGGTCGTTTCTACATGCTTTATGTTTTTAGCATTCAATGCGCAATGGCTGTGCTTTATAGTTATTTGCCCCTACGTTAGTTACACCTTGACTATCTTAACGAGTGGAATATAGTATTTGCGAGTAATTTTTTGCTTAATGGTCCAAATGTATAATTGGACAAATATTCAATGCCATCTAGTCTATTTTTCAAATGCGAAGAGATAAATCTTGCTGCTGTATATCTAGCAAGTGGATATTTTCTGGTAATGTGAGGCTTTAATTAGTTTTTACACTAGATAACTATTGACAACCTCATCAATTTGCTTACCTTTGCTTATAGTATCCTATGGTTTGTTTTGCATATACATCAATTTTAGGAAGCAAGACTCCTATTCCCAGTTAGTTCGGCGATTTTGGCTTAGCCAAAGAGGTAATTTGAGAGTTTTTAAACGATGGATTGGGTTACACGGCAATCATTATCCTGACCGATGACTTGAAGCAGACGATGTAAATTTTGATACATTAACAATTGAGACATTATAAATGGCCATTCAAAATTTCGGCGTGCCCTATATAAAAACATGCCCTAAATCATTGATCTGAAAGAGTCGTAAATTTCACTAATGGATTCAATTCTTGATTATTTTACTCAACATCGTCGAATTTTTGATCAACCAAGTCTGGAATATCCTCGTTACCCTCTTCATTGGCAGCGGCAGCACCAGTGTTAATGTCGTTTGGAGTCTTACCAGCTTGAATTTGCTCGGCTAATTGCCTCAAGATCTCCAAATTCTCAGCACCCAATTGGGGCAAAATCTGTGGAATTAATTGAGTAATGTTCTTTTCTTGTGGGTATCCGGTAAAAGCAAATGTGTTGGAAGCTGGTGCACCTTGAACGCCAACTCTGTTGAAATGCAAAACCTTACCATCTTCTTTAAAAAAATTGGCTTCTTGCACACCTTCAATTTTGGTGGCTTTCAATTTACCTAAGGTCTCAATTAATTTGGTGTCATCTTGTTCGGTTTTGACTCCCTTCTTTGCTTTGACTCTTGAGCCTCCAACCTTCTTTGCGGTTGACTTTTGCAATTTAGCTAACTTTTCTGGATCAACAGGCATTTCAGACTCTCAGTTTGGGGATCTATTGAGTGCAACAAGTGTGTATACGAACTAGTATGACTAAAATTTGGATTCGTTGGAAAATTTTCGTATTCTTTTTCTCTATTTTTTTTTTTCACTTCTTTTTTTTCACTTTCGAATTCCATTTCCATTTTTTTCTTCAAAATTTCTGACTTTTGAATTCACTCGCACGACATTTATGTTTGATCTTGTATTGTTGTCCACTTCCATTTATGTTGAAAGATGAATACGAGAGCACCCTCCACAAGTTCAAAATACTACACCAACTCCAATGTTCAGAATTACATTTCTGACTGGATCATTTCATTCGTTCTACTTGTATATTTTTTCAGTATAGCCGAACACGCCAACCCATTTCAACGCCAATTCCTGATCACTGATTTGTCTATCTCGCATCCGTTTGCAATTGAAGAACGTGTATCTGGGGTTGCATGCATACTCTTGGCAGCATTCGTGCCCTTGGCAATTATTTCACTAGTTGTTATTTTGAAAGCGTATGGTGAGAAATACAAAACAAAGTCTGACCATTACATGTGTTCCAAGTGAGTATCTTGGGACTTTCTTTGTCTATATTTTTGGACGGTGTAATTACGGATATTCTCAAGAATTGGATTGCGAGACCGAGACCAGATTTCCTAGCTCGATGTGGGGCACAAATTGAGGGACACATCAATGAACTTGTCGATTTGAGTGTATGTTCCGCCCCTTTAGGAGAACTGCTTTTGTTGGACGGATTGAGATCAACCCCATCCGGACATTCATCCATTAGCTTTGTTGCTTTCTTGTATCTTACCTTATGGTTATTGGGGCAATTCAAGTTGTTTAATTCTACGCCACAGTACATGTACAAATATATTTTATCATTCATGCCGTTGTTACTCGCCACATACATAGCATTGAGCAGAGTACAGGACTACAGACATCATTTCATTGATATCATTCTAGGCTCTATTTTGGGTTGCACTATTGCTGTGATGGTTTACTTTCATTATTGGAACAATTTGCAGAGTGACACATGCGACACCCCCAAGTCATTCAAGACACCTACGGACACTATCTTGCCTTTATAATTGTTAGCCGAAGATGAAATTCGACGCATCAGTGATATCGTTTCTATCCAATGTACATGATAAGTTTTGATTGTAAAACAGTTTTGATACTGAAACAAGTCTCACAAAAAAAAAAATTGCCACAGACAAAAAGAGAAGTGAAAGTTTGGCCACATAAAATGATGTAAACAATCTCAAACAATCTTCAGAAACTTCCAAAACATGCTTCAAACATGACATGCTAGACATTGAACATTTGTGATATAAATGTACTCGGTTAGTGCCTTTTTTTTGCTATAAAGTGGTATATTTTGCCCACCAATCAATTAATTTGTTCAAAAGTAATGAACTCCGTAAGTGATGTTACTTTGGTAATGACATTAACGCGAACAGCCACCTTGTCTTCAGAGCCCTCTAATCTGGATAGCATTTATGTTTCTTGGAAAGAGACGACAATCACCACAGAACAGATCATTTCAAAAGCAATCACAATATCTCCAACCACTCTGCGAGAAACCAGCACTTTGAGGATGGTGATACCTACAACGACTGTATTGCCATCCACCGACCCAGAACCACGACAATCACACTTCACGGTATCATCGATTTCCAGTGATGTTACGAGCACAGCAACAGATTTATCATCGAACTTGCCATTTGACGATCTCCCTAGTTCCAATTCAACACAGGTCGGTTTTGCTGTGGGTATTCCAATTGCTATATTTGCGTTGTTTTTTATTGCGTTGGCAGTGTGGTACTTTCTTCAATTACTCAAGTCGAAACGTGAGTTGAAGCAAGATGGACTTGTTAATTTCAGTGATAGACTCAATTTTTCTAACCAAGAGTTATCAAGTCCCAGCTGGGAAACTTTAACGGAGAGACCGTACCCAGTGGTGTTCTCCCCGACTAATTATTTTAAAACAGACAAAGAATTTAACATTTATGAGCAACAGAAACCTAAAAACGCCACCAAATTCAAATCACGATTGAATGATCGTTTGAGTAGATTATGGCCACTGGGAGAAAAAGAACAAGATTCATTAGCTCAGCCGCATCCCAGTTTTCTCAAACGCATGTCGGTGATGACCCCAGTGTTTTTGAAAAAGTTTAATATTGGTAATGCATCACTAGAGACTAAGGAAACAATCGGATCACAAGTTTTTGACACGCCCACAAGTAAAAAAACTAACCACGTTCCAGCCCAACAAAATTCCAACTTTGATTTTAGCAACGTTGACAAGAGACGAGCAATGTTCGATCATGATTTGCATACTGTGATCAAACCGTACACAAAGGGCCTTGATGATGAGTTAACTATTCGTTCGGGAGATAAATGCGTCGTGCTAGAGAAATTTAGCGATGAGTGGTGTAAAATCCAACTTCGAAGGAAAAATGGCCATGAATTGAGCGAAGCTGATTGGAAAATTGGATTGGTTCCAAGAAAGTGTTTAGAGAGGATATAGATATCATTTAGCAAGAGAGAGTACATTTCCTTTTGTTGGGCTTACTTTCCCGTTCCACGGAACGACTACGTGTCTCCTATTGTTGACTTATACTAACTCATATTCTCATTAAATGACTATCTGACACTATGTAGTTCGATCGTAATTGTACGACCGCGAGTACTGTGCATATGGGTGCTTTGAGGATTGAGAACTACTACTCAGTGGGTGATCCCGATTTGCATGAGCACCTGGTGTTTGAACATTCGGGGTGTATTGGTATTGCTGATTGTCATAGCTCCTGAAATTACTGGGCTGTCCGTATGGCGAGGACTGATATGCTTGAGGCTGGTGGGGTTGTTGTTGTTGTTGTTGCTGTTGTTGTCGTTGCTGTGGTTGTTGTTGCTGTTGTTGTCGTTGCTGTGGTTGTTGTCGCTGTGGTTGTGGTTGCTGTGGTTGTTGTCGCTGTGGTTGTGGTTGTGGTTGTGGTTGTGGTTGTGGTTGTGCCCCTGCATGAGCCCGGATTCCAATTGGTTGATGGGTCGAAATGCCCACGTCCCGATTCCTTTGTTGTGGGCCTGCTGCATGCGCCACAGTGTTGGCATACTGATGCAGATGTCCCTTATGTACTGGGGAAGTCCTCGACTGATTGCCACCATATTGCATAGGAGGTTTCATTGAAGATTGTGGTGGTCTTGCCATAGTCTGTACTTGCTGTCTTACCATAGGTTGGGGTTGCACGTGTTGATTAGGCTGACTGACTTGAAACTGTGGCAAAGTTTGCTGGCTAGGCTGATTCATTGGTTTGGGGCCAACCCTAGGATCATTTTCCTGTCTCAACCGATCAAACCCAAACGAATGTGATGAGGGTTCTGCGCTAGAGTACATTGCTGGATTTTGATGTCGATCTTGACCAGGATTTCCACCAAGCGGTGTGAAGACCTGTTTCTGTGACTTTGGTATGTTTGATTTAGGTTTTGATTGGTCACCATTTAACAAAGGCTCGTTTGGAGGTGCTTTTCTTTGCGGTGAGACGGGATATTGCAAGACCTTTTTAGTTGGCGATGCAGTTCCATTTGTCGTTTCATATTGTAATGGTCTGCTGAGTTCATTTTGTGAAGAATTGGGGGAAACTATGTGCCTGGGCTTGTTTGTTGGGTAAGGAACACTGGCAGGATTGGGTTTTTGTCCCAGTGGTGGTGGCTGCGAGAACGATTGGTATTGCTGTGGAGAACTCATATCAAAGTGTCTTTCCTTATTGTCCAACTTGGCACCAAACTGCTCCTTGGCGTTAGCATCTCGATCAGCACTTTTCTTCGGAGATGCGTCTGTTTGAAGTCCATAAAAGGGGACACTTTTTCCAACTTTGTTGTATTGATCATGTAGATCATTGAACTGAGCCATGGGCGACACCACTGAAGAATAACTACCATTTTGTTCATGGTTGGGTACCCTTAAACTGCCCACAGACACACTTGAGTCGCTTGGATTTTGTCCCATAGTTCTCACATCAAGCAATTGTGGCAGTTCACCGCTGCCTGTTTCGTGCAGGCTCTCCTCGTCTTCCTCATCACTAAACAATCCATTATCATCCTTGGGGTAGGTATTACTCTGAAGATTCATTTGCTTTATTCCCAACGGCAAATCGTCTTCAATAAGTTGTTCTGGCGAGCCATTGAGTATCTCTCTGCGATCAATATAGTTATCCGATGGTGTTTTCAAGTCAGAATACTTTTGGTATATCTCTGCCAACTGAACTGAAGCATGGGGGTTCGACACACCTCCTGGAGCAAGTTGTGCACCTTGTTTAGAGTTGAGTCCCTGACTACTCAAAGAGTCAACACTTTTGGAAATTGCTGGTACTGCGACTTCAAGATTCTTTATATTCTTGTCAAAAGGTTTACCTCCCGGTGTTATATCAGAGTGTGGAGGTGGTGGCGGCGGTTTCTGTGTTTGTAAAGCTGAGGTTGCGGACTGTGGGGCAATATTTCCCGATTGTGGTGTCGTTTGTCGAGACAAATGAGATGGGTCTTTTCTCCGGGTTGCCAGTGCACTTCCACCACTTGGAAGACGAGGTGAGCTAGACAAAGCTGGACTATTGAGAGAATTGACAGCACCTGCATATCCTCGTTGACTTCCACATCCATCGTATCCTCTTTCGATTTTTGACTTTAGCAAATTTTGAATCTCCAAATTCCACGTCCTCAAATCCCAACTAATGTAGTTACCTCTCGAAACCAATTGTTGTATATCCGAGAGTTCCAAATAATGAACCCTTGGAAGTGTAGGTAATCCAAACAATAATGAATCAACGTCACTCCGATTTGCTTTCAATCTTTTAGGCCTTCCATATAAACCAAATGTATCAAATAATGGCACCAAAAATCTAATCAAGGTATCAAATCCAGGAACAGCTGAATGTTGCTCTGGCATTAAGAAGATTGATGTTTGTTTGAAATCATCCAAATTCTTTTTCGACACTTTTGTTGATAAGCTTGGAGAAGAGAAATTGATGTATCCTTCCATTTTAATCATTGTTGAGTGGTCAATCAAAAGATGCGATTGGGGGTATATCGCTGTGACAGAGGACGCATCGGTTACAACCGCCATCAATTGTTTCTTCTTTTTCTGTTCATTTTCGTAAAGTAGTATTCTTCCTGGAACAAATGTCTTTCTTTTCAATGTGGATGGTTCAACAACGGCATAGCAACGTTTCCAAGCCATACCACTTCCATATCTAATACTTATCCAATCTTCATGATCAAATCTCTTTTCCGCCAAGATTGTGCGAATATCAGATAACCGTGAGCCTCTTGCTGATAACAAGGCTCCAGTGTAAGCTGCTTGAAGAGAATTGTATTCATAACTTGACAATCGAAGGGCACAGTACCATGTTTCCAAATCCTTGACTGATTTGAACTGCAAAATATATCTATTTTTCAAAGTTGTTGAAACAACAACAACGTTATCCAAGTTTTGTTTTGCTGCTGGTAAAGTCTTCATTGCACTGTATACTGCATCAGTAAAATTGATATAACTTGGTTTAGCAGAAACTTCCAATAAAGCATCGGCATTGTTTTTGAATTGGGCCAAAATGGCAGCATCCCAATAAGCCAACTGATTTCCTGTCAAGATTCCATAAACTTCACGCCATTCTCTATCAGCAGGTTTCCCGTCCCCATTCAAATCGTAATACAACATAAATATACCTTCGTTGTAGCGTCTATGAGACTGAGATGACAATAAAGTTACAATTGGTACCAATTCAGGAGACAATCCATCCAAGTTATCGTCATCCAAGGTACCACTAGCCGCATTTGAAGTCGATGTACGACCTTCGCTGAATCTGCCGCCACTACTACCACCATCATTGTTGTAGTTGCTTCTGGGAGATCCACTTCCCTTTTGATTGGAGGTAATTTTCTTCTTGACTGCATTCATGGTTTTAATGACAGTTTTGTTGTGGAGGTAGGTGTGTTGGCTACTAAAGATCTAATAGATTATCTGTTGCAAAAACTGGATGATTGGACAAAAATAACCAAAAAACAACAACAAAAGAAAAAATCAACTTTGAAATCAAAAATAAGGAGGAAAAGGAGTGAATCAATAGTTGGTGTGCCAATCGAGTGAATGGGTGAGTAACTTTCTTGCAAATTTATTCAATGCCTTGATTGATTTTAAACGAGTGATGAACAACACAAGTTAAAAATGTAGGTAGGATTGAAGTAGTTTGATTCAACTTTTAATTTTTTTTTTTTTTTACTCTGTCTCAAGTGTTAAGGACTAAGATTGTGAGATCAAAGGAGTGAATGGTGTTCGAGAGTATATGTATATGTGTGTGCGAGTCTGTAAGTATGTATGGTAAGTAAGGATAGAGTGATGATGATGATGATGTTGTTGTTGTTGTTGTTGTTGTTGTTGTTGTTGTTGTTGTTGTTGATGTTGTTGTATTAGGGAGTATATTATTGTTATGTTGATCCTTCTTGAATTTTTTTTTTTTTTTTTCGTATTTTCGTTTGTTTCTCTCTCTTTGCATCTTGTGTATGTGTGTGGATGTATATGTTGTGTGTGATGTGATGTGATGTGTTTGTTATTGTTTTTTGGTTTTAAAATAAATCTGATTTGTCACGTGCACATATACACATATTAATATGACATGTAACTGACTTATTGACTTGGTTAGTTCAGTACACTACTACACCATGTATGTATGTAAGTATATATGTATGTATGTATGTATGGTGCTACACACATAACATATCCACGATATAGTATAATCTCTCATTTTGAACTGGGAGTTGGATAGAGAGATGTGGCTGTGTTACACTTTGTCTATTGTCTCTCTCGCTGTTTTGGTCCAAAGCACACAAAATGAGTTGTTTATATACAAAGAGTTTGAGCTATTAGTGAGCTAGTTACCCAATCAACAACCCCACTATGTTTCACTTACTTCTTTAACTAGATAAGTACGGTTGTGTGCATTTTAACAGTGTAGACGTCCTAAACACTACACTTTTTCAGTTTTCTATTCTATTTTAATTGAAAGTTGAAGTGTGACATGTTGTTGGAAGTGGAGAGAGCAGGGGCGATGATAAGAGATGCTTGTACATCTATTTCCAATTTTGAAAGATGCAACAGTCTCAAAGCCAATGCAAATCTATTGAAGTCATGTTTTAACTGTGTTTCTGTTAAAATAAAATCTAAATTGTACAATTCGCACCAGAATCTTTTTACAACAACAACAACAATAACTACTACTACTACTACTACTACTACTACTACTACTACTACTACTACTACTACTACTACTACTACTACTACTACTACTACTACTACTACTACTACTACTACTACTACTACACATGTCAACTGCAAGTAGAGAAGATCAATATTTATGCATGTACTATTCGATCGGAACTAAAAGACTGAGTACATACAGAAGTGTGTGCATATATTTGTAAATCTTGTGCAAATCTCTGAGATATTTCAAACTAACTTCTGTAGGTTTGTGGGTATAGCTTTGTATGTGCAATGCAGGAACATTGTCGATATAGAAACCGTTACAATGCTGTCTTTTAATCCTATCCTTTGCTTCAAAGATGTTCTAATTCTCGATAGTGTGAAGACACTATTATCAAAAGAGGAATCTATCTAGCTTTAACAATCACAGCCTGTTGATTACGCTTATTCATAAAGAGCAGTCTTTAATGCAAAACCTACTAATCCATTAGCCATTTTGCTTATGTGATTAAAAATTTTTGTACCAATGCTGATGCAAAAATGTAAAATCATCGCAATTGCTGCTCTTTTTGATTTTTTTTTTTTGTGAAAAGACATGAATTAAGAGTAATACTGACGAAGTGGGTTAGTAAGTGTATGATTGGTTAGGTCTCGATGTAGATGGATCGATGGGGAGAAGGTAGAGTTTGTTTGAATCTTGAGATCTTTGTTGGAGGCTTTTTGACTTGACTTATTGTATATTGTTCAATTTTGGGGTGTGGTATTTTTGTAACTATTGTTTTTGTTAAAGATCATCATTTTTTGTTTTCTCCCCAAAAAAGTTAATCAAAAGGTGGGGAAGACAAATTTCACAATTGAAATAACAACAAATTACACCCTCTATCACCCAAGTATATCACAGAATTTTACAAACGAGGTTGAATGACAATTTAGTCAATTAGTGTTGAGCCACATGACATACCATATCTTCTGTAATATACGTCTATGATGAAATACAAATAATAGTAGTAGCGAAAAAGTACACTACTTGTTTTCACTGTAACACGCCTTTCTCTTATTTGGTGTGCCTCCCCTTGTCTGTAAATTAATTGGGTTAGTGAATTTTGTGCCATTTTGGGCTGATGTACACGCCACGCACAACACACGCACAACACACGCACTCCTTTACTTCGCTTCACCCCCACCCGTGAAAGAATACAAGAACTACAACAAACAACAATTGCAAAAGATTACCTATAGCACATATCTGTTGATGTTGCTTTTATTCTCATCATTGGTATACCCTTTCTACTTTGGTATATGATAAGTATGATATATCTACTTCTCTTTTTTTTCTTTTTTCTTTTTCTTTTTTATCACTTCTCTCTAGTGGTATGATGTGGTATATATCATGTCTATCTATTACTCAGTTGTAGTCGAGGTATTGTTGAGTGTTTTCTGGTTGGCTGGTTAAACGAGAAAAACTCCATTCTAACATTGTTTTGTGTTATAAATTTGAAGTAACCAAAGTAGTACTTCTGTAGTAATAGTAGTAGTAATCACTCACAAAAGAAAAAAAAATATATTAAACCACTATTCCGGAGATATATATATATATATATATATATATATATACCACGCATATTAGCAAACAGACTGACAGACTGACAGACTGACAGACTTCAGTTAACTCATAAACTTAGCCCAAAGTTATACCATCAAGTGTAACCGTTTCTACAACCCAAATCTTTTTTTTTTTACACGCTCAGGAGACAACTCGACTGGGCCTACAGCAACAACCCATTCTCCCCGTTTCCATTACCATCACCACAATGACGAGAGATATCACCAACCACTTGCTTTTTGAAGTGGCCACTGAAGTGGCTCACAAAGTAGGAGGTATCTACTCAGTATTGAAGTCGAAAGCGCCAATCACTGTTGCTGAATATAGAGAACGCTACACTTTAATTGGACCTTTAAATTACAACTCAGCACAAATTGAAGTTGAAGAATTACCAGTTAAAGACCCATTGGTTAAACAAACTTTGGATTCAATGTCAGCCAAGGGTATTCGTTGGCTTTATGGAAGATGGTTAATTGAAGGCGCACCAAGAGTTTTGCTTTTCGACATTTGGTCAGCTGGTCATTATCTTAATGAATGGAAAGCCGATTTATGGAATACTGCAGGAATCCCTACTCCAGACCACGATCTGGAAACTAATGAAGCTATATTGTTGGGATACTTGGTTGCTTGGTTTTTGGGCGAATTGGTTTACAATGACCGTGATAGAGCTGTTATTGCTCATTTCCACGAGTGGTTGGCAGGAATTGCTTTACCATTGTGTCGTAAAAGAAGAATTGATGTGACAACAATTTTCACCACCCATGCAACATTGTTGGGAAGATATCTTTGTGCTGGATCAACTGATTTCTACAATAATTTGGCTAATTTCGATGTTGATGCCGAAGCCGGTAAACGAGGAATTTACCATCGTTATTGCATCGAAAGGTCAGCTACTCATTCAGCCGACGTTTTCACTACTGTTTCCCACATTACTGCTTTCGAAAGTGAACATTTGTTGAAAAGGAAACCCGATGGTGTGTTGCCCAATGGGTTAAACGTTGTCAAATTCCAAGCAGTTCATGAATTTCAAAATTTGCATGCCATGAAAAAGGACAAGATTAATGAGTTTATCAAGGGACATTTTTACGGTAATTATGATTTTGATTTGGAAAACACCTTGTATTTCTTTATTGCTGGCAGATATGAATTTAGAAACAAAGGATGTGATTTCTTCATTGAAAGTTTAGCAAGGTTAAACCATAGATTGAAAGAAAGTGGATCCAAAATGACGGTAGTTGCTTTCATCATTATGCCAGGAAGGACTCAATCATACACTGTAGAAACATTGAAAGGACAAGCAGTTATCAAACAATTGGAATCAACAATTGAAGAAGTGCAAAAAAAAGTTGGTGAACGTTTATTTGAACATTGCGCCAGATACCCCAATTCCGAACATGCAGCTGGTAAATCAAATGAAGTACCATCGATTGACGAATTAATCAAACCTGCTGATCGTGTCTTGTTGAAACGAAGAATATATGCATTGAAGAGAGAAGGATTGCCCCCCATTGTCACTCACAATATGATTGATGATCACAATGATCCAATCTTGAACCAAATCAGACGGGTTCAATTGTTTAATCGTCCTGAAGATCGGGTCAAGATCATTTTCCACCCAGAATTTCTCAATGCCAACAACCCCATTTTGTCATTGGATTATGATGAATTTGTACGTGGTTGTCATTTGGGGGTTTTCCCTTCTTATTACGAACCTTGGGGTTATACTCCTGCTGAATGTACTGTTATGGGGATCCCCTCCATTACTACAAACCTCTCTGGATTTGGGTGTTATATGGAGGACTTGATTGAAAACACCAGTGACTATGGTATCTATATTGTTGATCGAAGAATGAAGTCAGTTGATGAATCAATTGATCAATTGACTAGTTACATGTTTGATTTCTGTGAAAAAACCAGAAGACAAAGAATTAATCAAAGAAATAGAACAGAAAGATTGAGTGATTTATTGGATTGGAAACGTATGGGATTGGAATATATCAAGGCTCGTCAATTGAGTTTGAAAAGAGCCTACCCCGACAAGTTCAAAAATGGAGCAAATCCATTTAATAATTCATCCAATTTGAAATTAACTAGACCCTTATCAGTGCCCGGGTCACCTAGATCTAAAGTTGGGTTAATGACTCCTGGTGATTTAGGAAGTTTACAAGAAGCTCATGAAGGTTTGAATACTGATGATTATGTGGGATTCAAATTGGGGTTGGGCGCCAATGATGATGAGAATGAAGATGCAGATGATGATCAGCATTATCCTTTAACCTTGAGAGGAAACTCGGTACCCCCCGAGGATAACAAGACCGAATAGGTTTTACGAGGAGACTGTAATGTAATTACTAAAGCTATTTCTTCCTCTTATATCACGTTTAAGTAGAAGGTCAGAATTTTAAAAGTTTGTCACACTAGAAACGATTCTCTCAAATGTGTATTGATGATTCTCTATAACAAAGCTGATTTTTCATCACCAACCAAATACCTTTTCCGCCGTTTCGCAATATTCATCAGCAAGATATGTTGAGCAGAACCCAAGAAGTTTATTGCTCAAATCAATCGCCTCAATCTTGCTTTCGATACCCTCCTTAGTGGTGGCATCCACCTTGCTAGTGTTTTCAACAACATTCTCAGTCTCCATTTCATGCATGACATTATGAATATGCTTTAGCACCCCCCTCAAATGCACAAGCTTATTGGTACGATCAGCCTCACTAAAAGTCAACCCCATGTAATCGGTGCCATCGCGAAGATCAATATCCCAATACGCTATTGAATTAGGAATCAAAACCAGCTTTCCGTCAACACAAGTACCTTTGTTGGAGTGACTTTTGGACCATGGCTCCGGATTGATATTGAAATCAACCATAGAACTAACATAATTTAGCTCAAATGAATCCTGCTTGGTAAATGACCGCGAGATGAGAAATATATGGGGCCGATATAGTTCACGCATACAACCGCATTCATTATTGTGTGAACGAGCAATGCCTAGCCAAAATTTCCGATCTTGTGTCATTTCCATTAGTGGGAGATATTCTTTAGGTATGGGGATAATGTTTGTGCCTCCTCGTAAAACTCCCGCGTTATCATTTGCATCAATAGGATTAAACCTTGGTCCAGAAATTTTTTCACATTCTCCACTTTGCAAATTGCATTTGATGATCCGTAACGGATTAAAGTTGTAAATGAAATTTATCATGTTTTGGTCGTTGTTGACATCATCATTATCCATAAATGGTGCCCAATTTTTTTCAATAAAACTTCTCTTCTTATCCTTGATAGCAAGACGAATTGTTCTATGAGGGTCATTAAATGGTCGGTAAACATGCATTGCACGCGCCCATTTAACCTCTGTACTTCTTGCATTAAATATAATTACCGGTTCTTGAAACCGTACCCCATTCGAATCATTATATGTATTCAACAGTATCCGCGGGTCTTCACTACCAATAACAATCTTGTTTTCCTTCTTACCCAAGTCCAAATCATGTGGCAATATACTGGGGAAAACCAAATCAGAATGAGGGAATTTGAACCCTTTTATTTCATGCCAGTTTTTATCAAACACTTGTCCCGATAAGATGGAAATGGTGGGATTATTTCTTCTACCGTCTTTTGCATACACAATTCGATTCACCATAAAGTAAACTTTGTAAAGATCCATCCAAACTGCACTCCCACAAAATTTGAACCACTTTCGCCTAAGAATATAATCCTCCAGTTGCTCTATGTTGTCTTGGAAACACAATTTGTAAGCCTCGTTTGCTCCCGAAAGACTCTTCAATTGCTCTCTTAAATGCTTCAAGTCAGATTCTTGGTTCAAATCAATTGACTGAGTCGCCGCAATACTTGCTTTGTCCTTCAATTGGATTGAACTACAATTAAACAGACCATCAACGTGAAATAACTCTCTATCTTTTTCTTTTTCACCGTTGGCTCCCTTGTTGTCTTGATTATCAGGCTGCAGATTCAGCTGTAGCCCTTGCTGCATAAACAACGATTGTTGTTGTCGATCCACATCAAATGAGAACCCAGATACTTCAACAGAATCAAATTTCATTCGGAAAAGACCAGTGTGCAACGGTGATTTTTCCAATCTTTGACTATTTTGCTTCAAACTCCATATTAGAAAGCACCACACATTTATATTTAGTATGACGACGCAAATAGTGATCAAATTAGTGGCCCACTCTTGTCTTTTCCGCCTAGGTCCTTTATAATGTTTGCGCAACGCGTAAATTGATAGCGGGCTTAAAAAGAATGCTGTGATGATATATATCTGAGTACCGGTATCAAGAACGCCGATTTCACTTATCCCAAGCATGATTGTGAAAGTAGATTTATATTTTATTAAAGAGTTTGCGACCCACACTCAGCCCTTTTGCACAATTTTTTTGACAGATAGTTGGAAATAATAAATCTGCACCACTGATCACGTGATCAAGTGATATTGGAAAGGAAGCTTCCTTCACAATGCCAGCGCAAAAGTAGACGGCTGAAGGAAATAGCTTTTTGATTTAAGAGGTCAGAAGATCTTGGGGGTAATGGTATTGGTATGGGTATTGAGTTCTAAGGGTTTATTCGATTTTTGAATTTCTCTTGCAAGTAAATCAAGGAGGTCAAGTTGCTTTGCCGTTTTTTGTGCCCCAAGATGAAGATTTTTGAACAAACATTAGCATATGAAGAATGCAACAGCTTTCCGAGCTCTTATTTTGAGGATCAGGAGTCTGTAAAATGCAACAGCCAGATACGTCTCCATCGAGTCACGTGCTTCAAATCACGTCTTGTTGATTTTTCCTTTTTTTTCTGGACAATATATTATGACACAAATCAAAATTTATCTAAAAATAAACAACAATTGCATCAGATACAATCAAGAGTTGTTAGAACCGGAGCTGATAGACAAACGAACAAACCGGAGCAAAACTCATAGCAGATCTACAAGATAATACTCACAGCTTCTGTTGTAACTCGAAAAGATTACTGATTTTTTCCACGAGCGTATTTCATCCTCAGATTGAAACCATATTTTAGCTTGGCGACCCCAGTATGAATGAACAATTCAGTTTACTGAAATCAGATAGAGATAGTGTTTATTCATTTGACTCGGTTAGTACAAACGAGCGCTTGCTTGATCGGTTGGATTTCGACGCTGAGTCAATTATATCAAATGATTCATATCGATCCTCTATAATTAGCTCTCGAGGTGTACATGGTGAAGTCAATGCTAATCACGGAGCTAGAACTCCAGTTTTGGGATCTTGGGGATCACAGCCTTTTCAAACGAAAAGCACATCACAAACAAACGGAATATTTCTTCCTCAGAAGCCAATGAACAACTTGAATGCCATAAGGAGGATGAAAGACTACACGAGTTCCACAGATATCACACAGGGGAAAATACGTAATCGGTTAAGTAATGGACAACCAAATGATATCGCCAGTCGCAATAATGCGGAAGTTGGTAGAGGTAACTCAACTAGTGGAAAGAGCGGGATCATGGACAATCAAGCTGCATCCAGAGGAACAAGTAAAGCAGGATTCCGAACACGGGACGATACAAATACACTTTCAAAAAATGAGCCAATAGTTAATACTGACTATGCTCCGAATCGAGTCGCTAACTTCACTCAGCTTCGCACACAAAGCCCATCTTCATCAATATCTAAGTCGAACAACACGCTTTCAAGGAGTAAGTCAGAACTTGATGCCCTGAGAAATACAACTGCGGTCGACCATCGATCTATGCCAGCAAACTCGAGTGCTACATCTATAAACTCAAGGAGTATCGCATCATCTCAAAAACCGTCTTCATCTCACGCTTCCACAACCTATAATGACTCGATTGACACTGCAACTCCTGATATACTGCACCTAAGTCTCAGTTCCACACAAGGACGCAACTTTTCACCTTCGAGTACTCTTTCAATTGACAGGAAAGAACATTCATCACCCCATGATGACCTATTAAATAAGCATATGGACAACGCGATTCCGTCAAACTATAATTCGCTTGACAATATACATAGCCACGGCTTTGTATCGAGTGAGGGTGTAGCTGGTTCTTCTCATGTTCACGCATTAAAGAGCCAGGAGTTACTGCCAGAATCAAGAACAGTGATTTCACAAGAGCTCAGGGCACAAGGAAAGCACAGAGAAGCTTCATATCAATTACAAATCGCCGCTAATGAACCTTTTAACAACACAAAAGCCATGTATCTCTATGCTTTGGCCTTAAAGCATGGGCAAGGTGTGAAGCAAAACTACAACACATCTTTGAAATGGCTATGCAAATGTATTTTGTTGACTCAGGAGTCGGAGAATAGTCTGCAACACAAGATGGGACATCTTTCTTTCAACTCCGGTCTTATAGCGTCAAAGTTGAATAATATATCGCAAAAAGATTTGCTCCAATTGGTCCTAGTCAGCCTCAAGAAATCTCAAGATTCTAGCGGAATGGATAATGGCGAAAATGCGGAAATGCTATATACTCAGTTCAAATCCTATAACAAATCAGAAATCAATAAAATCATTGCAAGGAATAAAAGCAGGTCCGATATTGTTGCCTTGAGCTATTATGAACTCGGCATGTACCTTCTTAACGGTATTGGAGGTAGTTCAAATCCTAAAACAGATGAAGCGAATGGAATTATCTGCTTATCAAAATCTGCTGCGATGTGCAGTATAGAGGCAATGGAGCAATTAGGTGAATTATGGACCACAAAGACAAAGTTTCGTAAGAAAGATTTGAATAAGGCAGCTGCTTGGTTGAGAAGTGCAGAGGTTTTTGGTGCAAAGTCTATTGGAAACAGTTGGATTTACAAAGAAAAGTATATGAGGGCAAATACCAACTAGGGCAGTTTGCAATCCTTGAATTTTGCACATGGATTGTATTTATTTTGTGTTTATAGGTTTCTTGGGCAGTGACATTATATAAGAGACGAGTTTAATGGATCATAAGCACAATGAAAACATGTAACTTGATCCTCTTAGTTAGCGATTTTTTGTATGTCCTCTCAAAGAAGAAGAAAAGCGACAAAAAAAGAAAAAGAAAAAACGGGTTTCGATATGCACCACCATCAAAAATAAAACTTGATCGTAAAAGATAGAGCTGTTATAGAAATTATTCAGCTCTGTGAAATCTACAAATCCTGCTTACATTCAACAGGCAGCATTGTCAAAATCAAATCCTTTTCAATCATTCACCAGATATAGCATACGCATCCTTGAGTGAAAGAAAAGAAAAAGGCGTGCTTGTAGTACTGTATAAACACTTTCGGAAAAAAACAGGTGGGAAGATATAGAAGAATACTTTTACACAACTCAGAAGTGTGAAAAATGGCCAACTACAACGAGGTACAGCCTACTTCATTTGGATCCAAAAACAAAAATAAGAATTGGAAAGATAATAGAGGAGGAGCAGGAAAGCAAGGAGGGTTCAACCAAGGAGGAAATCGAGACGGTCATCGAGGTGGTCATCGGGGTGGTCATCGAGGTGGTCATAGAGGTGGTAATCGAGGAATGGGGAACCGTGGAGGACATGGCGTGTCGTTTAATCGAGGAGGATCAAACCACGGTAATGAGTACAATGAAGCTTACGGACAGGAATGGGGTAATGGAGGTTACCAAAGTCATAACCCGAACTTTACTAACGATACTAACTCCTTTAGAGATGCAAATAATTCATTCGAGAAAGACTTTCTTGGAGAAGAAGAGCACAATCTTCAAGAGGACAGGACACTGAAAGTAGATGCCCAAATGCAACCCATAAGCTATAGCCAGATATCAAGACGTGATACTAGAGACGGCACCCCACCATCGCAAACAAGGGATCACCCTCAACGTCGCAATTCCACGACTCGATATTCAAATGCATCTCCACGGCACCTGAGTACTTGCAGTGTCGATGCCAATCCAGCACAAGCACCGAATATGTCAATCAATGCATCTCTTGGTAATGGGTCTTATGAGCTTTCATTCAACGAATTCGCAGCATTGAAACTAGGGGTTATAAATAGCTTTCAGGACAAACAATTTAAAGACGCTGCCAAAGCCCAATTGGCTTTCCTTCTCACAAAGGCAAGCGAGAACGGGCTAAGGGAAAAAAATGACTGGTCGAGACAGAAGGTTCCCCTATTGGATGGTGGAGGAGAGTTGATGTTGGTATGGGAACAAGAAAATGGCAACATAAACAATCCAGGTGCAATAAACGTGGACGCCTCTCACCCATCAGTACAAATTGTTGAAAGCATCAATGAAAGTGCTTCTCAATATACAAATTATCCTTCAGGCGGTATATCTTCACAACGAGGCTCAGTTCAAAATGGAAGTTATGAAAGCAGAGGATCTACTAACAATGCAGATGCCATGAGTATGGACGTACGGTCCCCCATTCCAATCACGAAAGAACCAGGACGGTATTCAGCTTCAACACAAGCGGCTGACACATTTCAAACCAGGCCTTATGGGGCCTCCAATGGCAAACGAGATGCTGACGATGACTTCGCGTCAAATGAAAGAAAGCGACAAAGAGCGGAAAGATTTCAAGCTACAAATTTCTCAAGCTCAGCTCAACCAGTTCCTAAAACCGAGCAAAACGATGGCCCAATAGTTGGTCTCAATACGAATTTAGAAAAATCGTACTTGCGATTGACTTCCGAACCTGATCCATGGAAAGTGAGGCCGCAACATGTTCTAGAGAAGAGTGTGGATTACGTGCTAAGGAAATACGAGTCATTGCAAGGAAAGGAGGCATTTAACTATCTTAATGACCAATTCAAGTCCATACGACAAGATCTCACTGTTCAGCACATAAAGAATGATTTTACCATCTCCGTGTATGAGAAGAATGCCCAACTTTCGTTGAAACATAATGATCTTGGTGAATTCAATCAATGTCTAGGTCAATTGAAGTTTCTTTATAGCTACAAAAGACTGTCGTCCCCTGATTGGCAAAAACGATTCATATCCCGGGAAGTTGAAATGATCTGCTACAGGATCATATACATGATGGTAACAAACAACAACAGTGAGATTTGCAAAATAAAGCTAGGATTGCTTCAGGATTACAAAGGGTTCCGAAGACAAGATACAAATGAAATATATTTCAATTTTATCGCCTCATTGTTCAAGCTCAATGCTTACAAAATTACGAACAATTGCGTCCAATTCTATGAAGAGCTTGATAAATACAAGGGATTTAAGGATATTGAGTTGGCATTAAAGGTAATAGCAAGCTTTTTGGACCAAAAAGTAAGGTTGTCAGGGCTTTTCATTATCTGCAGCTCGAATCGACCGGGTATGAAAATGGAGTCTTTGCTGAAAATGTTGAGCTTTCACGATATGAACGATTGCGAGGTATTTTTACGCCAACTACAGCTAGACACATTTGCTACTAAAGGCGAATTTCATGCTTTCAAGGCCAAAGGTACTGTGAAAGCATTGTACAAAAGGTCGGCGAAAGTGGACATCAAGGGTCAAATTTAGTTCCTATTGGGGCAGAGAGAAAACATGATATTTGTAAAATATTGTGTATTTGTTCTAATCTAAAGTTGGTCCCAATGCCATTAAGGCAAAATTGTGCTTGTTCTTTTCATCCGCATTGTCGATGTAAAACTGGATTTTGTCAGTCAATTTCTGCTCATTAATAATGCTCTCTTTGCCCGAATCACTCACCTCCCCCAAATCAATTGGCCCTTTTCGTCTTCCATCCAACTCATACAAATGGTTATCTTTTCCTTTGATGAAGCTGATGAAATGAAGATCAACTGCATCCCCTGGCGAAGGTGCTTCGGTTTGTCCTTTAGAACCAAATTCATCGTCTAGTTTGATACTCTTTTCCAAATCTTCAACAATTAGGCTCATCTCCTCCACAGATAAATTCCTGCCTTGAATCTTGGTAGCCAAATCATTTATTTTCAGGTGACTTAATATCAAATCAGGCAGGATGTTGGCTAACAAGTGTAATAATGCATACAACCCACACCCGTTTCCAATTGTTTGTTTAAACCAATATACGTCCCTGTTCTTCATCGTCTCGTAAGATTCAGCCTCTGCGTCTTTTTCTTTTCTATAAGCTTCGTAATTAGGAGTCAATGGGAATAATAGGATGATCCCAAATATGGGTTGGGGCAAAAATGACAAAAGCTCGGGATCAGTTAGTGAATAGACATCATGAAATTGTAATATTGGTGAAAGACCCAATTTGTGAGAAAGATCTGTGAATATTGACGGGTTTGATTCTAATGGAATCACCTGTTTCAGATCTGTCATAGTGGAGTTGCGGAAATATCGAGTGCTATAAAGTTGGCACAGAGGATTCTTCAACTTTTAACTCCTTTTTTTTCCGTTTCGCACAAAATTTTCGCCACCAATTGAGCTGCAACCAAAACTACTAATTACAAGAGTGTAACGAGAAGCGCATGTTGATAGCCTGTTTGACCAGACCCTCTTGAAAACTGCTTTTTTTTTGACTTGGCAAAGACATTTCATACAGTAGCTACAACTTTTGTATATTGATGGACGAACTGCTTCAAAAAAATTTACTCTTGAGTAACATAAAAACTTGAAATTTTTGCATCAATTTTCAAATGACTTACATATTGACGGAAACATGACACCCCCTTCATCAAATGTATATGAGACGCAATCGATTTAGCTATGAAGTGACTCATAATAGCAGTTTAAGAGGTGAGATCGGGTTTCAAATTGTCCTTTTCAAAAATACTGGTCATTATAGCCGTATCAAACTTTGAATAACCTTCCTTTGCATGTTTGATTGATAATCTTTAGCTTCAGTAGTTATGAATACATTGCCAGCTGATTTCGAAGAGGTGGCTTTCCATGAATTCCTTTGATCTATTTTGCTGATGTGATGTATAGATTTACAACACTAGGTTCATATGCGAACTGTTACTTCCCTATTGTTTATGCTTTTCCCTCTCACTCTAACAAATGTGTTATACTTGTGACGTTGAAAATGTAGCAACCAACCGACATAGTGCCAAGGTGGGGTTGGGTTTACAGTGCTTTCACGACTGGCACATCAACGTAGATTTTGTTAAAACTAAGTTGAAGCTCGTTCTCAGCATGATCCAGAAGATAGAGAATGGGTTTCAGAGAGCAAAGAGGAATACGCAAAGAGACCATCTACGACCTGATTTATTTCAACACCAAGCTTTTCAAGGAATGTAAAACAAAAGATATCAAATCATAAAAACATAAAAAACAAAACTGACAGTAGTTGTCAACAGCTACAACACTGCAACATCAAACTTAACCAACCATCAAGATGAGTTTTCAAATGTGCATCGCACAAGTGCCGCGATATTCCTTACACATGAAGTCGTTTCTCATCAACACTTGCAGATGTACCAGATCCCAAATATTGAAGTGGTTGCACATCTGGAACAGGAATGACTCTAACTCCATCAGGAACAAGCTTTACAGGTTCAAAAAGAATGATTATACTGGGTTCATTTTCGGTTTCAGTGAGTTCCAGAGAGCTTTTACTTGATTGAGGTTAACTTTTGTCATTTTGGTATGCCAAATTTTCATGAGCCCAGGATGTGATTTCTTGATTGTTAGGAACAACTTGGCGTTCATTGAGACTACTATTTGTCTTATTGTCAATTTCTGGGGGGGAGGATGTCAGTGAAGAAGAATAAGTGAGATGTAGTTTATAGATTTTGTAATTTGAAGTTGGATTTCTCTATAGTGTATCAAATTTTAACATATCAGAGTTTTTTCAACAGTGTAGTGAAATGCATGAGGAGAGATAATTAGGAATATAAGAAGGGAAAGTTGTAGGTTGAAGTGTATATGCTTGCGAGCAGAAGTGCATCAGATGTAAATTGTTAGCCTTGGTGCTATTTCGACGCATATGTGTGCTGTTATATCACTCTATTACACCAACTATGTGTATCTCCAGCGTGTTATAGTAAATTATGCGTGTGTGGTTTGTGTTTGTACCGAGGAGAAAAACTAAATTTTTGCACCCAGATAAGAAAATTGTACATTTGTGCACGCCCACATTAACGAAGGAGAAATCTTAACTGTGAATCTCCAATATACGATCCATTACTTTTCTAAATTGATGTTGCATGGTTACGAGTTCTGTCAAGAGCTTTAGAATCTTGTAAAATCTTTGTGGTGTGAGGAAATTAGAGAATCTTTTTATGAAAGTTTTTGTCAACATCTTTTGGAAAATGATCGATAATCTTGATAGATAGCAGATTGAGAGTACATCCCCTGATCTGATTGAGTGACAATGAGATGAAGCAGAGACAGAATCCATAAACTCAGACCTGAAGCGTATGAAGTTACTGGGTACTAATTGGGATAATTACACTGCTAAATTTTGGCTCCCATGACCTATAGCTTCATGTGTCATATTCAACGAAGCAGCTTTCATGTAAAGTCGACTGTAAGTGAACTCCGATAAGGAAGAATACACAGCTAGTACGAAATCAACATGTGGGGGAAAGATAATTCTAGCGATAAAAAAAAAAATAATTGAGGATCATATAATCTTTAGTTTTGGTTAATTCTAGCTAGTCAACTACAACATACCTTCTGTCAGTCAAACCAAATTGTTATAATACTCATACTGATTTCGAGCTCCCATTGCAGTAACACTTAACGTATCATCCCTTATCAAAACTCGTTACTTACAGCACTAGACTGTTTATTTTGGGTATACAACAAATCTGTTAGAGATATGAAGTTCCTTGTCACATGATTCTTGATGATTGTGTTATGAAATGGTTTTGCGTGCATATTGTTACAACATCAAGAATTGCTAACCCTTTCACAACGGTTCATTCAATCTCATCCACCCAGAAAATTTGGTTTAAGGTTGCTAATTACTCAATCGGGAAATAAGTGTTTTCATTAGGAAATTCCCTATTCAAAGGAAAGGTAAGAGATTGAGGAGTAACCTGGAATTCATATATTACCCGAAGAAGTAATCTATCCGAAATAATAACTGGAATAGAAAATTATCATTTATATGAGAAACCACCTTCTTTTCCTAATGAAGGAATTCATATCTGAGTTTGTTCGTCTTTATAGCTTGAGTGACAAGGAAGAACAGGATTTTTCTCCTTAATATTAGAAGTTTAATACTATTTAAGAGAATGGAAATCCCCTTGGGATAGAGATTGAAATTGCATAATTTAGTTTTAGCTTTAGTTCAGTTTCACCTTTTGGATCTTGGACAGAGATTATAATCCAAAATATACACCTCATTCAATTACAATTCACTACATTTGTATTACTCTTAGCTATTACACTAAGCTTCCACTAAAAATTGATTACAAAATCTTACTATAATACACTAATGCAACTAACACCAAAAATTAAGAGAGTACTGCAACAAAATCTTCAGAAAAGGTTCTGTGGTCTAGTTGGTTATGGCATATGCTTAACACGCATAACGTCCCCAGTTCGATCCTGGGCAGAATCATTTTTTTTGTTTTTTTATTGTTAACTCTTTATCTTTTAGATCGCTCTCTGCATTAGAATAATATTTTTTAAAAACTTGATTGTAGTCCAAGTGGTGGTGTATTCAGTTTGAGTTGGCTGTGGGAATGTGGGAATGTGGTAATAGTAGTCATTGAATCTCCACTTTGTGATACAATACCTGAATCTGTCTCAACTGACCAGTCATCCTTGGTTATGCTCTCTCATTCATCCATAATGGAATAGTTACTAGAAGGAGACTCACACCGATACTTTTGCACAGGCTAGGTGATAATTGATTGCTCTGATGTCATCGTAGCAATTTCACACCAAATAAATAATGTTAATTTTACATTGTCTGTATTCTACTCTAAACACTCTGTATTTGATTGAATTCTTTACGCAAGTTTTTGAAAAGCTTTTTACTTTTTCCTATTTTGTGGCGTTGGAGCAATCTCTTGTACACGCTGACGAGTCGAGGGAACCAGAACCTTTCTCCGATAACCATGAGTGCAAAGTTCAAAATGGCTAAAATCAAAATGAAGTAGTAAAAAGAACCGCCAAGGTTTGTCAATTGCATTAGTTCACCAAAGCTTGAATCCACATTCACGAAAAATAGAGCCGTCGATAATGCTATTGCAGCCACCAAGTTCAATAAAAATGGCACATTCTTTTGAATAGGTTCACGGTAAGGAGGTCCTTGATTCAAGATCACTGCGATCAAAATGTACTGGAAATTGGAAAACAAAAATAACACGGTGTTATCAGAAGATTCAACTGCATCGTCGCTTCCAGGAACTGGCTTTACATACCAAGGTTCTTTCTTGACCCACAGCCATATAAAAATCTGGCAGATCAAAAGAAGCACAATGTTGCAAACCAAGGGAATGAGTATCTTTGGCGACACCAAGTTTGCGGTGGGTCTCTTCAATGCCAATTTAGAATATGGCTTGGACCAAGACATGAAAATTGCTAAAGGTAAAATCAAAAACAAGTCAATGTACAAAAATTGAAAATCACCCAAGTTGGTCCCTGTTTTGTAAAGTATGGTGACAGTGATAAATTGAATCGCGGAATATAACGACATGTATTGAAAGCACGAGAAGCTTGTAACCAAGCTTGACCTTCCCTCTTTAATGATATCAAGCACGCATGAAATCTCAAACACTCTGGAAGTAAAGGGCGCAGCAACCGATGCCTCAGCCTCAGAGAGAGAAATTCCGACATCTGCAGCTTTCAAAGCACCACAATCATTTGCACCATCACCACAGAACCCAACAGTGTAATCAATCTTTTGTAGTTGCTCAACTAACTCATGTTTCTCATCTGGTGACATTCTTGCGAATATATCACACTTCATCAAAATGTTTTGATTTAAATTAACGTCCTTGATTTCCGTCAATAGGATCCTAAAGATGTCCCCAGTAATGGCCAATCTATAATGGGAGTCTTGTCTTATATCAGCAGGCTTGAGTGTTTCAGGGTCTAACCTGTTCTCGGGATCATTGACATCCTGCCATGCAATATACTGCTGATCGTCTTTTGCTTCTATGAATGGAACGTATATGACACAATTGCTATCTGGAACGAGCTTTGATTCTCTTGCCACACTGATAGCAGTTAATATATTATCACCCGTACACATAATAGTGCGGATTTTTGCGTCATTTAATTTGTCCAAAGTGGGCGCCGTAGAGGGTTTGAGTTTGTTTTCAAAAATGATAAACCCTGTAAAAATCAAATCTGATTCAGCATCAACTCTCTCAATATTTGAACCGTCAACATACTTGTATCCACAGGCTATGACCCGGAAGCCCAAATGTGTGTAGTGATGGAGTAGCTCCTCATAGTTTGAAGGTATTGACTCTGGTAGGCATATATCTATCATTACTTCCGGTGCACCTTTGGTGAATATACATCTTCCCTGTTTAGACTTACATAACACGGACATACGCCTCAATGGTGCCAAAAACTCAAATTCTTTCTCAATTTTAACGGAGTTAGTTCCTTTCGATACAATGGGTAATCCTGAACTCTGGTCTTCCTCGTATTTCCATTTTGTAAATCCAAACATTTTCACGTCTAATGGGTCCCCCATTAATTCATTATCGATATGACGCAAGGAGTGACACGATGCCATACATTGCAACAAGAAACCACCATTATTAGTCTCATGACTTAGGCCGCGATTCTGCTTAATTTGTAATGAATCGGTCACCAAATCTTCAAATACGATTTCTTTTCTTCCTTTTGCGTTATTGGCTAGGTGAACTCCCAAAACATCTAGCCCTTCTTCTGTTAAAGTTCCAGTTTTGTCAAAGCAAATGACGTCTAGCTTCCCACCAATATTTACACGCGTTGGTGCGATACAATATATACTCAACTTTTTAAGTCTGGCAATGGCAAATGTAGTTCCAATTGTCAAGGTTGCCGGAAGTGCTGGCGGTACCACAATTGTGATTATGTCCAATGCTCTCAATATCATCAACCTTTTACTGAGTCCGAGCTTTATAAAATTGTAAGTGGAGTAGGTAAATCCTAACGCGGCAATTAGGGTCATAAACCCGATGTACTTGAAAGAGTCTCTGTAAAATTTGAATCCTGTGGGTTTAGGAAACATCATTGACCGAACCAAAGATCCCTTTGTTGTGCTAAAGCCTGTTTTCAAGGCCATGGCAATAACCGGTTCATCATTGAGCGACTTCATCTTGAGCAATTTTGTACCATTGAATAAGTAAGATCGCGATAAATTGGGATCAATGAAATTTTGCGGCAAGAGCTTGACAATGTCCTTTGTTGCTTGCACTTTAGTGACTGGCACACTTTCACCTGTTAACATTGATTCATTCAAAACACATTCTCCATTAACAAGTAAAGCATCACATGGAATAATACTCAAAGAAGGATCAATTTCAAAAATATCACCAGGTACCAAATCCACTGAGTCAATCTGTTTCCAAAATCCGTTTCTCCATACTCTTACTTCGCATTCAAATTTTGAAATTTCCTGCAACCTCTTCATAGTCGACTTGGTTTCAATCAATGAGTTGACGATGGACACCATTGAAATGATGAATATACATGAGGCATAATAATAGTAGTTGTCTGCAAGCCACAAAAAGATAGAGAATATTTGAAAAACGTAAAAAGGGTGTAAAACCTCATCAGCAAGCAATTGCAAGATTGACTTTTCTTCAATCTCAATTTTATTGTAATCAAAAACATCGAGTCGCTGCTCTTGAAGAGATTGTGAAATCCCTTCTTTGATGGTTTTCAAGTTTAGCCAACGAGTATCATACCAATTGGAATTTGTCCGGAAAATATCCTCCATTGGATCGTAGAAAAATTTGATATACCTGTAGATGAATGAGTGAACATAAGGTATTACTGGATCACTCTGTCCTTTATCTTCATGGATGGTTAAAAAGTTTGAAAGCCTTTCATCGAATCGTTGTTTCCTGACGTTTATAATTTGAAGTTCACCAAATTCATTTTCAATAACGCACCAATCTGCCGAGCCTAGTGGACATTTAGTGCCCATAAAGTTCACTCTATATCTAGGAAGCCACCTCATAATCAAAAAACCTATCCCGAATGTACCAACACACAACAAGTAATACAAATATCTTTTCCACCAACAATTGCGATATCCAGCAATACCTACAACTATATCTTCTTCTGCTAGATAATATCTCTGAGAATGAAGCTTGGCAGGAAATTGTTGATAGAAGTTTTTATCGATGTGATTTGTTTCATCGTTGTTTTCATTGATCAAGTCGGATTTATCACTGCTTGCATCAGAATCACGACGATTCCGTCGCTCAAAATTCATTGACCCGTAATCGGGTGCTTCTGGGCTTTGCATTCTTCCCGAATAGTCGTCTTCGAAAACTGCTTCTGCTTGCAGTGACTCTTCATCACCAACAAACTTGTCAATGGAATATTCCCAATCAGTATTATAATCAACAGGATCCTCCGGATTCTCTATTGTGGAGCCACCTTGTGCCATTTCAATCTCATCTGGGGAAAAAAACCTAAATTGAGATTGTGTCTCGTCTGATCTTCTCGAAGCAGAGGAGCTCACCGACCGTAAATCAATATTGTTTTCATCTGCACTGAGCAAGGGTGACGTTTCTCGTGATACTACCGAAACTCTTCTATTTCCAAAGCTATGCGGATAGTGCAAAGAAGTTATTGACGACGGAATCACCTCTGATGCTGCACCTGAGAACATTTCAAAATTATTATCATCCAAAATGTGGCTTGCTGAGGAATCCATGGATGTCACTGAGTTGGTACGGGAACGCGGAAGTCTCCTATCGTAGGAAGAAGACCTGCGGCTTCTCGCAACGGGTCGCTGGTTCTTGGTCATATTCAAAGGAAATATTATCACCCAGTATTGTTCAACTCAACCAATTATGGACTCTAAATTGAAAATTATCTTGCTTCTGAGCTTTTTATCGGTCTTTAGGAAAAACTTTTTGCAGAACGCAAAGAAAAGAACAAAAAAAAAAAAAAACCAGGAATAATGAAAAGACAGAATGAGAGAAATTTGTAGTGACTTACGCATTTGAACACGTGAAGCAATCCTAAATATATGGAGCCACGACAAGACATTGCTGTATTTGAAAAGTGGCATTTGATCCTCTCTTCGCAACGCAGACCTATGTATGAGATAATCATGAAGGAGGATGTAACACGAGAAGTACCATCAATTTGCCTCTCCTCAAAGCTGTCCTGCATAAGGAAATAAAATTCATTTTCTCTCTATCAAATGTTTCTACTTCTCATTTAAAATTACCAGGACTTCTTTGTTATTACTACTCCCCCCCCCCCCCCCAACCCATATGGCATTGAAGTTGAAGCTAAAGGTCCAGTCTACAGAGGCACCGGGTAATCAACTGGGCAAGAACGAAGACCACGAACGGAAGCCTCCAACACTAAAGATAAAGACCCCACAGGCGAGCTCAACAAAGCGAGCACTAACAGAACCTATCGATGGGGAGAAACCTAAAAAGCTAAAGTTAAGTCTATCAAAAAATAAATCGGCTCAGTCTGGGAATGTATCCAAACCGAAGTTTGTCCCACGTGTAAGGATAAAACCTACGAGAATTCCTGGTGAAGGTTACGACTCTGAGGCTCCTGATTTGGAAGATGATCCATTAATTGAACAAGGGATAGTTTTGAGGTTCTTGGATGATGCAAATCTCGAGTTTGTACATAATGCTGTTGAATCTGGAGACTTGACCGGACTCAATGTAAAATGGATAACGAGGGACAAAGCTGTGGTAAACGTGAATGGCACACTCTATTCAGCGAGATTAATTGACTTGCCCACATTGGTTGAGGTTTACAAAACAATCGATAAGAAGAACATACTCAAGAACTTGGATGTTTCGCAAATATTGCTTGTTTTACATACAATCAATCCAACGCAGTTGAATACAGAAAAAGACTTTGAGGTACCCGATGGACTTTTATTCAAACACCCATTCTATGACCATGTCAAGAACCAAGAGGTGCCCAGGAAACGATCGGTATATCGCAATGGAGTATTGGAGCCTTTTAAAGATGTATATCGAAGATTACGTCCAACCAGAGCTGATCATAGGGTAATTCAAGATATCGAGGAGAGGGTCGATGCCTTGATCAAGTTGGACAATGAGGCCGAAGAAAGTCACTTTGAGTTGGTGGATCCACAATCGTACCCAAAGTATGGCCACGCAAGCCATACGCCCTCCGCGGTAGCCTCACCCTATCCAGAGCCAACAAATCAAGGTTCGGACAAAATCGCTAGAGTTGAGAGCGGTAATGACTTGAATAACTTTGGGGAAGATGATGCGCATGATACAAATAAGGTCCTTGAGCAGGGAGCACAGGCGGAGTATGTATTAGATGAAGATGATTTTGAGGTAAATCTTGAAGAGGAGTTGAATAAGGTGCTTGATGGCAAGGAAACATCAAGCGATCAGCAGGTGGTGACAGTCTCTCCGGAAATGGCGGAGATGCTACAAAGTAAGGGCGCTTTAGTAGAAGGCGACATGAGTGAGGAACTTTTATTTGGAGAATTGGATGATGACGATGACGATGAAGATGAAGGAGAAGAAGGCGAGGAAGGTGATGGAGTAGCTGAGGGTAACGAAGGGCAAGAGGGAGAAGAGGGAGATGAGGAAGAAGACGAGGAAGATGAGGAGGAAGATGAGGAAGAGGAAGATTACTACGACAAAGGACAAGGAAAGGAGAGTTTGCTGCACTCCAAGTTGTTAGAAGAGGAAATTACAGAATTGGAGAAGGTGGTCGAGAAACATAAAAAGAATCTATCTTCTACAACGGACCAAATGACAAAAATGAAACTTCAAAGTAACATTTCATCTCTTAGAGCTTCATTGGAACAAAAGAAGAGGGATTTGCTGAAATCTATTGAAAGTGAACAGTCCCTTCAAAACACCGAGCCGCTGGATTCAGGATTACGAGGTGTACGACCCAGTAGGAGCTCGGAAAGCCGAGGAAAAGAAGCAGGGGCAGACGCTGGGGACGATGATGATAATGATGACGATGATAATGATGATGATGATGATGAGGAGGAGGAGGAGGAGGAGGATGGTGCCGAAGAGGAAGATGCTTTGGTTAACCATAACGATAGTGGAGACTCCATAGATGATCTTTTTTAATAGTGATTAGGTTGCCATGTTCTGACGAAGGAATATTTAGTACTGCATATAATGTTTTTTTTTTTTTTTAAAATTTTCTTTCCTGAGCACACAATCCATTTGTCTAGTACAATTTATGCGAGGTGCCTCATCGAAAGAGAAAATGATGGACTGTTTAAGTTTCATTGACTGGCTCAACAAACATACACCCTTGTGATACCTCAACGGCGCAAAACACCTAGATGTCAACAAATTCAATCAAGTTGTTAGCAAGCGATGTCCATCGTGGCCTTGCTGAACTAGTGTCCAAGAGATTGGGTCTTCAAATCACTCCCAGCGAATTGAAACGAGAATCCACAGGGGAAGTTCAGTTTTCAATTGGGGAATCGGTTAGAGACGAAGATATATTTATTATATGTCAGATTGGATCTGGCGTGGTGAATGACCGTGTCATTGAATTGATGATCATGATCAATGCTTGCAAGACAGCCAGTGCAAGAAGAATCACCGTTATACTTCCCAATTTCCCCTACGCCAGACAAGACAGAAAGGACAAGTCACGAGCACCCATTACAGCTAAGTTGATGGCAGACATGCTCACGACAGCAGGATGTGACCACGTCATCACCATGGATTTACACGCGTCACAGATACAAGGTTTCTTTGATGTTCCGGTAGACAACTTGTACGCCGAACCTAGTGTGGTGAGGTACATTAAGGAGACAATTGATTACAAGGATGCCATCATAATATCCCCAGATGCCGGTGGAGCAAAAAGAGCCGCAGGTTTAGCTGATCGACTTGATTTGAACTTTGCCTTGATCCATAAAGAGAGAGCAAGAGCTAACGAAGTGTCACGAATGGTGTTGGTAGGAGACGTGACTAATAAAATTTGTGTTATTGTTGATGATATGGCTGATACGTGTGGTACCTTGGCTAAAGCAGCGGAAGTCTTACTCGACAATAATGCCAAAGAAGTCATTGCTATTGTGACGCATGGAATTTTGTCGGGAAATGCCATCAAGAATATAAACAACTCCAAATTGAAAAAGGTTGTGTGTACCAACACAGTACCATTTGAGGAAAAATTAAAGTTATCAAACAAGTTGGACACTATTGATGTTTCGGCTGTTATTGCAGAAGCAATCAGACGATTACATAATGGTGAAAGTATTTCGTATTTATTCAAGAATGCTCCATTGTGATGATCCATTACTGGGATCGATTTTGTTCGTTAGGTATTCCCCTTGGCAGTATTCACATGTGTGGGCTACATTTATATAAAATACACGGTTTAGCTATTGAGAATAATCTCTGAACAAAATTGAAAAGTTTATTTTATTTTTATTTTATTTTTTTCTTTTGTTCTATATCCCCCCACCTCAATAAAACCTTTCCCTCTGGAGCAGCTCCATTCACCATGACGGGGTCAAAACAGTATGTTCAGTCCATATAGTTTAATCGCGAGCCATCTTTCTAACCCAACAAATAATAGTCACACTAAAATCAAAGCATGCTTATTTGGTACGTTCACATTAAAAAGTTTTGCGATATAGATTAAATAAAGACGACTAACTCTCTTGAAAGACATGGATGGAACCATTCTCAATACAGAGGACATTTATACAGAAGCTGCTTCTGAGCTTCTTGCAAAGTATGGGAAGGGTCCCATGACTTGGGATGTTAAGATAAAGCTTCAAGGCAGACCAGGGTTGGAAGCCACAAAGATAATGGTCGAGGAGTTTAAATTGCCCTTGACACCGGAGGAATTTGCTCAAGAAGCTATTGTGATTCAGGCTGACAAATGGCACAAATCCCGATTTTTACCAGGAGCTTTAGAGCTTTTGGAAGAACTTTACAGGAAAAACATTCCCATAGCACTAGGCACGAGCTCCAACACCATCAATTTTGACCGCAAGACGAAGCATCTTCAACAAGGTTTCAATCTTTTTGAAGGCCACATTGTAACTGGGGATGACCCCAGAATACCCCCTGGTCGAGGCAAGCCACACCCTGATATTTGGTTTGCTTGCTTGGCTAGCCTCAACAAGCAGCGAGCTCAACAGAACTTGGAGTCTTTGAAAATTGAAGAGTGCCTCATTTTTGAAGACGGAATTCCAGGAGTTCATTCGGGAATAGCTGCAAATGCTCATGTTGTCTGGATTCCTGATCCAAATGCCTTAACTGTTCTTGATGGAAAGGAGAAGGAAATTATCGGAACACAAGGAGAAATTCTTTCCAGTTTGGTAGAATTCGATATGGAAAAGTATCATCTTTGAATTTCATAGCAGTGCCTCGCTAGAAACCATGTTTGTTATACATTTAAAAACTATTTAGACAATTATACACACACAAATGTGAGTAGATTCCGCTGAATTAACTCCAGCTTGTAGACGAAATTGCAATGTTGGCCGTGAGATGTGTGCTTATATTAACAAAGTACCATAAACCATTCAACTCTGAGGGTATCGTTGTTCATGTATTTTTATTTGATGCTGTTTTCCTAAAAAATCTTGAATCCAAAGGAAAAAATCCTCAAAGTTGGCCACACCACTTGACACAACAATCATTTTTCTCATCTTTATTTCCCGGGTCATGAAGATAGAGGTATAATCTTGTACGGAAATAGCATGATTGGTAACGACTCTTACCATATCTTAATTGACTTGCTTCCAATTACAAACTTGAATTCAGATTATCGATACTCAGAACTAAGTGTTACAGATATTGACATCAAATTGTCAACCAATTTGAAAATGACACCGGAAACAATAGAACCCATCAAAGCCATGCTGATTGGAAAGGGTGTCATTAGACTCTACCGGGAATTTGAACATGATGATTCGTCAGGTGGACCCCACGAAAAGAGAAAGATTACGACGAATTCCGGTGACAACACCATGGTTGCCATTTTGGCGATACCTACTTACTTTACCGCGACAGATCTATTGGGGTACATAGGGGAGTCGTTTGTATCTTTTATTTCGCACATCAGAATCTTACGGAGTGACAAGCAAAATCGATTTATGGTGTTGATCAAGTTTCGAGATATTGTCAAGGCAGCCGAGTTTCAGTACCACTTTGATGGAAAAAGTTTCAATTCAATGGAGCCTGAAACTTCGCATGTTATCTTTGTGAACTCTGTTCAAGTTCACTATCAACATCGTCCTGAGGGAATGCAATCATTGATCCCATTTCTTCTTTCCGACCCTTTCACTTCGCCGGTGGAGAGTGATGAACCGGACTTTGCCACAGATGCGGAGGTTGCAACATCCAACACTTTAATTGAACTTCCATCATGTCCCGTGTGTCTTGAAAAGTTGGATTCAACCATAACTGGCTTACTCACCATTCCTTGCCAACATACGTTCCATTGCCAGTGTCTATCAAAATGGCGAGATGATTCGTGTCCTGTTTGCAGATACTCGCATAACTTGACCAATATTACAAGCTTGAATCATGATAGGAGGTTACAAAATCTAAATTTAAGAGAATCGATGTCCCAACATGACAATGAGCTGCTGGCCCCTGCGTCAGCAAACGATGACAACGAAGTTTGCATGGATTGTCAGGTGAGGTCTAATTTATGGATTTGCTTGATTTGTGGAAATGTAGGATGCAGTAGGTATGCGCCCGAGCAACACTCGTTAAAGCACTTTGTCACCACGGGTCATTGTTTTGCTATGGAAATAAATACAAGTAGGGTGTGGGATTATGCAGGTGACAACTACGTGCACCGATTAGTAACAAATGAATCGGATGGTAAATTAGTCGAGCTACCAGATAAAGGAGATTCAAAGGAGTCAAAATCTTATAGGAATAACGTTGATAAGATCGATGCCGTTGGTTTTGAATACTCCCAGTTGCTAATAAGCCAACTTGCAAGTCAGCGTGAATATTATCAGGATCTTTTGGATCAACAGGCATTACAGCTTACATCATCGCTCAAATCAAGAAAAGGCTCTACTGTCACATCAACTTTGAATCTGGATACCATTAAGGAGTTTCAGCTTGAAATCGAAAATTTATCCAGTAAAATAACGGATCTCACAACATCCGTCGTGCCGGCATTGAAGGAGAAGATTCAAAATAAGGAGGAAAAGATTCACAATTTGAGCAAGCAGCTCAGCTCAACCAATGCCTTAAACGAGGCCTTTTCAAGAAGAATTGAGCATGTAACCAAGGTCAATGATGAGCTAAGAAATAACATTGACGATCTCAAAAAGCAAAATAAGGATCTAAGTGAGCAAGTGGCGGACCTAATGTTTTACCTCGATAGTCAGGAAAAACTTCAAAACGAGTCAGATGATGTCAAGCAAGGTACTGTGATTGTTAAGCAATCTTCAGCGTCAGCGAAAAAGAAGAAGAAAAAGAAATGATCTATATCCATAGGGTGGCGATCTAGACCCAGAGGCTGGTTCAGTATGCCAGACCATGCAAGGAATTTTTTTAATTTCCTAAAAAATTTCTATGTTTACTCATTTTGTGTTCAAAAATGTTTAATTTTCTCAAGTTGACAGCATAACTAAAATCGAATTTTGCTTCAAATTGTTTTCAAGATACACACCTACAGTACAGTCAATTTTACTGAAAAGAAATTCTATGATATGCCGTTTCTTTAAGAAAGGGAAAAAAAGAAAATAACAAAACACTGATCTGAAAGTACATAAATGTGGCGATATGCTGAAATCTAGTGATTGATTGATTGATTGACTGGTTTCCCCATTGGATATCTCTTTCAAAACAAGGACAAGCGATTTGGATTTAAATGAATAGTGGTATTTGCCAGGATCCAGGGTCTATGCCTAGACTTCCGTCATTCCGTCAATTGAATGAGACATTGAAAGATTCTGAATTTGTCTCACCAGCACAAAGAGTTGTGCAATATTCATCATCAGTTAGAAATTCAGCAACGCACGAACTAAGTCAGCCTGTTCCACCACCAAGCTCGTCCACAGAAGCAAACTCGAAAGAACGTTCGTTTATTCATGGTCAAGAGTACATGTATGGGACCCCCATTTATGGTAGACACGAGAGTTTTCCTAATCAATACTATGTAACCAAAACAGAAGCCAACTTACCATCCTATTCAACATCGCCGTCTTCCATTGAAAGTTTGGATATGTCCAAGGTGGAACAAGATCTGGGTCAGCAACACAAGGATGAGGACTACAAGTTCATTTCTGAGTTAGCAAAATTTTTGATCGACCTTGAACTGAAATGCAAGGAAATCAATGTCTTGCTGTACTACACTTACGGCAATAGCAGCAACTCTTTTGAAAGTGTCGCGAAGAGAATGAAATGTGGAGACATTGATCAGGTGTTGAATAATCTTCGAAAAGTTTCTGAGCTATTGGAGGACATTAAGCGAGATAAAAATGAGAATCATCGTTTAACAGGATCAAAGGTTACAAAAGTGTTGAAAGATGGAGGCGGGCATACTTTAAAAAGACATTCGAGCCACCATTTGCTGCCCAGGTATGAACAGTCCAAAATTCGAAAAAAGAGTTTGAAAATGGAGTCTCGATTGAGTACAATCGATCCAATGCAACATGATGGTATTGGCATGCCTTCGAATGATGCTTGTTTGTATTTCGAGGGCAAGAACAATTTTGAATCAGGGAGGATTGACCACGACTCGAGTCTTAAGCCAGAAATTGTTTGTCAGCACTGTCGATCGAAAGAGACGCCAGAGTGGAGGAGAGGTCCTGAAGGCAGCAGGACTTTGTGCAATGCATGTGGGTTATTCTATTCTAAATTGATTAAAAAATATGGATTACATGAGGCAGACAAAATCATGCTTGAACGGAAGCAGACAGGTTCAGTAAATGATAGAAGAATCTTTTAGTGTCAATAGATTGATAGGAACGTATACTCTAACAATGTGATTATCTGAAAATAGCGAAGTGCATAGGGCTCCCTTGAAAGTATTATTGTGTTCTTTTTGTGCTTTACTTTTTTTTTTTCCTTCTTCTTAAGTTTATTCTCATCTCATCTGAACGAAAATTCTCAACTTTTTGCTTTCAGCGACCACACATTACTATCAACTCAACATTTTTCTTATAGTATGCCTGATGCCACTGATTCAAAGATAAGCAGCAATGAGTACGCATTTCCTAGAGGAGGCGCTACTGGATTGACTCCGCTAGAGGTGAAGGAGATTTCAAATGAAGCTACGAAAGATGTATTATTTGAAGTAGCGAATCAAAATAAAAGAGCCAAGAGTGGATCGGAGGCAGACAAACCTAGAAAGAAGCAACGCACAAACAAAAAGAAAGGGCCCAGTTCAGAAGTGTCAAAAACCGGAGATGACGCCGAGGAGGATGAGAAGAAGGTACAAATCGAGTATTTGTCGTTCAAAAATCTAGTACCCGGGTCATTTGTTTTTGGTCAGATCCAAGCAGTTAACAAATTGGACATGGCGTTAGCCTTGGAGAACAATTTGGTTGGATTTGTGCCCATTAATGCGATTAGCGCACACATCACCGGTTTGATCAAGAAATATGAGGAAGAGAGTGAATACGAGGGTGACGATGATGACGATGATGAAGAAGGGGAAGGTGGTACTCTCATGAGTACAAAGCCGGAGAAAGAGTTTCCTGACTTGAAATCTATTTTTCGTGTTGGTTCATGGTTGAAAGCGAAAGTTGTCGAGACAGAAAGCTCCAACAAAAAGAGAATAGAGGTGAGTATTGAACCGGAATTAGCTAATGCCAATCTTGAAAAGGAAGACTTGGTTCCAGGAAACATTGTGCTGTGTTCAGTAAAGTCTATCGAAGATCACGGTTTGATATTGGATTGCGGTATTGAAGGGTTTTCTGCATTTGTTTCAAACAAAGAATTGAAAAATGCTGAAATCGATCTCGAAACTTGTAAAGAAGGACTTGTGCTAACAACCACGATCGTATCTAAACCTTCAGGAAGAGTCATTACCGTTAAACCTGCTATCGCATCTACTACTGCAAAGAAGCTCACTCCAATTACCACAATTTCGTCTGTGGATGCTATTCAAGTTGGTTCAGTCGTGGAAGCTCTTGTCAGCGATGTCACCGATGCTGGTATCATGACAAGGGTATACGGGTTAGTCGATGGAACGCTCAACTTTTCCGATCTTCAAATCTTCAGTACACAGGAGTTGAAGCACAAATTCGCTATTGGAAGTAACATCAAGACGAGAGTGGTGGCGATTTTGCAAAAAGGTGGCGTTCGAAAGCTAGTGCTTTCATTAGTGTCGCATTCTTTACAAATGGGCAATGAATCTTCGAAAACTGAAGCTCTAGAGGCATTCCCAGTGGGACACGTATTTGACGATGCGGAAGTTCTCGGATCTGATCAAGAATACGTTTATGTCAAACTTGGGTCATCCACGTTGGGTCAGATACACAATTCGAACATTGACGAATCGAAAACGTTGATTGATTACAGTGTTACCAGTAAGCACAAAGCGAGAGTTATCGGATTCAACATGATTGATAATTTGTACGTCTTGACTTTCAAACCCACCGTTATTGATGCTCTTTATTTGACAGTAAAAGACATACCGGTTGTAACACTTTTACCAAGCTGTGAAATTATCAAAGTCTTACCGGACTCAGGCGGTATACAAGTGAAGTTTTTGGAAGAATTTCAAGGCTTTGTGCCCCCTAATCACATGTCTGATATAAAGCTTGTCTATCCAGAGAGAAAGTTTAGAGTTGGGTCCAAAGTTAAAGGTAGGCTATTAGCTCACAAGGGGAAGACGCCATTGGTAACCTTGAGAAAATCATTGGTCAATTTGGAAGACGATGAAATACTATCAAGCTTTGATGATGCGAAAGTTGGGTCAAAGACCAATGCTATAGTAGAGAAATTTGTCCATGGAGGTGTTTTAGTGTCCTTTTTCGGATCGCTTCGTGCCTTTTTACCAAAGACTGAGATTTCGGAAACATTTGTTGATGATGCATCAAAGTATTTGAAACTAGGTCAGGTGGTGAATGTTAAAATCTTGGATATCAACGAAGAGCAAAAACGTTTGGTGGTGACTTTGAAACAATCGAGTCAGTTGTCGGCATCACAAAAGACCGAAATCGCTAATTTGATACCTGGTATCTCCGTTGTTCACGCCGTTGTTGTTGAAAAGAAAAATGATTCGGTATTGATTGAATTAGAAGGGTCCAATTTAAGAGGAGTGGTTCACGATGGTCAACTCAGTGATGGCAATTACGAACAAAATAGAGCTTTGTTCAAGAAGCTTGAGATTAGTTCGAAAGTGGAAGTGTTGATTTTGGAGAAGGATTTGAAGGCAAGAACTGTTATCGCCACTGCTAAAAAGTCTCTCATTGAAGCATCAAAGAAGAAGCAATTGCCTACTGATTTCGATGACGTACAACCAAATAGGATCATCAAGGGTTATGTCAAGTCTGTTACAAATTTAGGACTCTTTGTTGCGTTTACTGGGAGATTAACCGGTTTGATTTTGGCCAAATACGTTTCCAAGAGCGCCCACGAGGATTTATCAAAAAGATTTTACAAATATCAATCATTAACATGCAAGGTGTTGAGTGTTGATTCAGAGAATAAAAGATTCTTGTTGACAATCGCCAATGGCAAGGATAGTGATGGAGACAATTTGATCAACCCCGTTGACCCCACCAAAAAGACTATTGAAGATTACGCTTCTGGTATTTACACCAAAGCCATAATTAAGTCTGTTAAAGGAACTCAGTTGAATGTTCGTTTAGCAGACAACTTGAATGGTCGTGTTGATGTGACTCAGTGCTTCAAGTCAACAAAAGATATCAAAAACCTTCTCCAACCATTGCTGTCAGGTTTCCATAAAGGAGAGGAGCTCAATGTAAAGGTTATCGGTATACATGATGCCAAGAATCATACATTTTTGCCAATCACTCACAACAAAACCAATAAGCAAACTATTATGGAGTTGTCCTTACAAGACCCCCAAGTTCGCAAAAAGAATTTGAGCGATTTGAAACTCCCGGATGTGCAGAAAGGAGACAAGTTCGTAGCTTTTGTGAACAATATTGATCGTGGGTTTGTTTGGGTATCTATATCACCATCAATCAAAGGACGTATTTCCTTTATGGATTTATCAGATGATGGTTCCATCTTTTATGATTTTGAGAATAAGTATCCAATTGGTGCAGCTTTGCAAGTTAAAGTCAAAGAAGTGGATAATGAGCACCAAACATTGTCATTAACGTCGAGAGAACAGTATATTTCCAAGTTTGAAGATGTGGTTAAAGATAAAACATATCCAGCTCGTATCATCAAAGTTAAAGACCTGTACGTTTTGGTTGATCTTGGTGACAAAGTCATCGCTTCGTCTTTTATTACTGATGCTTTGAATGATTATTCTGATAAACTAGATCATGCATTCCATGTCAATGAGTATGTCGGGGCCACTGTTTTGGACATAGATGTCGATCAACATAAGATTTCTGTTAGCTTGAGGGATAAAGACAGTATGGATAAAACTATCAACTCGATTAAAGACTTATCTCGCGGCGATGTCGTCAAGGGATTTGTCAAGAATGTGAGCTCCAATGGTGTCTATGTTTCATTGGGAAGATCAGTCTATGCTTTGGTGAGAGTTTCCGACTTGAGTGATTCGTATTTGAAAGATTGGAAAAAGTTTTTCAAACCAAATCAATCGGTTACTGGTAAAATCATCAACTGTAAAGAAGAAGGTAGAATCTTGATGACTTTGAAAGAGAGTGAAGTCAACGGAGAATTGAAAACCATGAAATCGTTTGATGATTTAGCTGTTGGCGATGTATTCGAAGGACATGTAACCAAGACTACTGATTTTGGAGTATTTGTCAAATTAGATGGAACAGTTAATGTTAGTGGATTGTGTCATCATACGGAAATATCAGAAAATGACGTCAAGAATGTTATGGCATTGTTTGGAGAAGGTGATCGTGTCAAGGTGAAAATTTTAAAGATTGATCCTTCAAAGAAGCAGTTGTCCTTGGGAATGAAGGCATCGTACTTTAAAGACTTTGTGGAGGACGAGAGCGAAGTTGATGTTGAAATGAAGGATGCTGAAGAAGAAGAAGAAGAAGAAGAAGAAGAAGAGGAATATGAGAGCGAAGGGAGCGAAAATGATGATGTGGTTGTTGATGCTGAAAAAGAAGACAAGGAAGAAGATGTATCTGATGATGACAACGAGAGCGGTGAAGAAGACGACGAAGAAGAAGCACAAGCAACTTCGGAACCACGTTCCTTATCCACCAATGGTTTCGACTGGACTGCGTCGATTCTTGACCAAACCGAGGACAATAATACCTCTTCTGATGATGAAGATTTCGTGAATAATTCAAAGAGCTTGAAACCGAAGAAATCTCGTAAGCAAACAAAAGTGGAGGACAAGACTATTGATTTGAACACTCGCGCACCACAATCGGTTGCTGATTTTGAAAGGTTATTGATCGGTAATCCTAATAGTTCTATTTTGTGGATGAATTATATGTCATTCAATTTACAATTGAGTGAAGTTGATAAAGCAAGACAAATTGGTGAGCGTGCTTTAGAAACAATCAATTATCGTGAAGAACAAGAAAAATTAAACATTTGGATAGCATTGCTAAATTTGGAAAACACATTTGGTACTGATGAAAGTTTAGATGCTGTTTTCAAAAAAGCTTGTCAGTATATGGATTCATTTACAATCCATCAAAAATTGGCCAGTATATTGATAATGAGTGAGAAGTTTGATCAAGCAAACGATTTGTTCAAAGTTATGAGTAAAAAATTTGGTCAAAATGTCTTGACGTGGGTTTTGTATGGATCATTTTTGTTAGATCAAGATGCGAACAACGAAGCTCGTCAAGTATTGGCCAAAGCTTTACAAGTGTTGCCCAAACGTGACCATATCGAAGTTGTACGCAAATTTGCACAATTAGAATACGCCAAGGGGGATATTGAACAAGCAAGATCATTATTTGAGGGACTTATAGCTGATGCTCCAAAGAGAATCGATTTGTGGAATGTATATATTGATCAAGAGATTAAATGTGGTGGTGGTGGTGGTGATGTTGACGAGGACAAGGAGAAGAACAAGAGCAAGACCGCATCCAATAAGCAACAAGTTGAAAGTTTGTTTGAAAGAGTGATTGAGAATAAAAAAGTATCACGTAAACAGGCCAAGTTCTTTTTCAACAAGTGGTTGGAATACGAAGAAAGTCAAGGCGATGACAAGATGGTTGGTAAAGTTAAGGCTAAAGCTATTGAATATGTACGTGAAAATGAGTAAATGGAAAGAGACAGAGAGAGAGATGAATCGATGGGTAGTAGTGATTTGGAGTTTGAATCAAACTACAGTAAATAGAAGAAGTATTTGATTAGATAAATGAACAAAACAACGATGCGTAAATATAACACAGGGATGTAAAAAGAAAGTGCAGGGAGGTTTATGATGATAGGATAATTTGTGCTCTTGTTTTTGCACTATACGTTTGCAAAGTAAGCATTGATAACTTCTATAAAGAATGTGTCTCCTACAACGTTGATAGTGACATAACACTGTCCTCCATTCGTTTCGATGTACCTTTCAAATAATTGGGTTGTTCTTTTGCGCTGTAGTTGCGTGTTGCGAAAAAGGGGGGGCTGGCAAATGGTAGGAAGTGCGTAAGCAGTTCCAAAATGGAGATAACGAATCTGGAGATAAGAGCATTACGAGTAGAATTGAGGGGAAGGCGAAAAAGGGTGATAAAAGTCCCGGAAAAGGAAAGGCTGATGGCATGGTTGAATGATTGCATCTGAGACAATTACCCAAAAAAAAAAAAACGAATACAAAATGGAGGACTCACAATCTCAACCTTGAAGCCTAGAAAAGAACCCGTGAAGAAAGAGAACTGCAAATGATAATGATTGGATATTGTTGGTTGAGAGTTCATGAGTAAAGGTTATGCCTAGCGCAGGATCTAAACACACACTCTTCTCTCTCTCTCTGTCTCTCTTTCGATCGTAACTTCACTTTTATCACATGCCAAAAAAGAAAGAAAAAAACCGAGATCTGTAACGGGAACTATAAAAGTAAAAAATAACACAAAAGCTGCAAGCAGACTAAACAAAATGTATTTTTCACAAGACAATGGAGAGAACGTGTACTTTATCAATGGTGTAATATTTGTATTCACTCAGCATAGACATACAAGAGGTATCAAACTATACGTAATTTACATCCACTTATTCTTGTGTTACTCGCATGTCTCAAACGTATGTGAGCTTATATATAAAACTGTTGAGTATTTCCTTTTCTTTTTTTTTTCTTTTGGGGGGGAGGGCAGGGGAGGTGGAGAAGAAAGCGGGGTAGAAAGGAAACTTTCTTTCTTATTCTTTTTCGGCTTTAAACTTAAACTTCATCTGCAACCAGTCACGTGCTCTCGGAGTTTTTTTTTTTTATTCGATTTGATTTATGCGTGTCTTGTGAAAAAAAAGAGACACATACGATCTTCAGACTTCATTTGGATCGAAATTTGGGAGTTTTCACAAACCTAGACTTGAAGGTGAGGATAATATGTGGTGATTTCTGGAGTTAAGCACTAGATAGAATGTATATTTGTGTCTGATTGATAACACTGTATAGCATGGCATTACGCGTGATAGAAACCTGTGCACTTTGTGAACTTGTTTCAAGGATGAGACATGGTATTTAAGTGCCTATTGCCATGAAATATGCTGGGTACAGTTGCAGTTAATCCAGAGCATAGACAGTAAGAGATCTACCTTCAAAGGGGGCAGAGAGAGAAAGATACAGAAGCTACATTATAATGCCGTAAGTGTACAAGTCAAATGCCATAAAAAAATTATCACAGGCAAAAATAAACTATTACGTAATACAAACGTTTTTTTTTACTACTCTTACTTATTAAAGTTTTAATCACATGGTACACTACTACTGCTACTACTACAATTACTCTGCTTTTTTCTTCTTCTATATAACCATTTGAAGACCCCCCCAACAACATCATCAACAATATCACCAACAACAGTTTTAATTCTTATCAACATTTATTCAACGTTCACATTGGAATAGAGGGTATATATAAGTCTACTTGTTTCTACACACATACACTAGAAGGGAAAACCAACTCCATCATCAACCGTTACTCACTGTTCAGTGTCTGCCTCCTTTAATCCTTTTTTTTTCTTTAAAAAGTTATACACCACCACTCCCCTTCACACACAACACAGTGTTTATTTTCCACTTGTGATATATATAACACCAGGGTCAATCCTTACTAAACACAGAAACTCACCATTTTTTTCAATTACAACTTCAACACACACGTCGTACTAGAGAACAGCACATCTCATAATATCATGGCACCAATCACCACTAACTTCCATAGCACAGCATCATCAGCAGATACAGATTTAAGTACCCCAGAGGTTCCACCACCACCTTACTCACAGGAACCTGTTGTTGACAAGGGCGCTTCAGTTTCACCCACTCATCGAACAGGATCTACATCATCCGCTTCTTCACTTTCTATTCATCATATGCTCAATAATGAAGGTCAACTGCAACCGCAACAGCAACTGCTCCCACTACCACCCATGATACCCCAAGAGCAAAGAGATTTGTCAGCCGCTCAAACATTAACACAATTGACTCGAAGTGCCACTCCTCCTTCTGATGCTGATACTATGGTCACTACTGATTATGAAGATGATTCAGAAATGATGACTGATTCTCAAAGACAACAGAGGCATCCTCTTGTATCCACTGTTTCTATGGTTGCTAAACATCCAATTGTTATGAATGCAGTTAAATACTACGAAACTTCAAAAAGAAGATATTCTTCATTCAACTACGCTGCTGGTATTGTTGAAGCCGCAACTATACCAATGGTTACCAGAATTGAAGACAATTTAAACACAAGACACCAAACCAAGCGACATGCATCTTCTTCCTCATCTCATGGTGCTGGATCACCTCTTTCTTCTACATTGAATCAACATACAATGTCTTCATTTGATAACAAACAGAAAAAGCGGAGATTATCTACTTCTTCAAACATGTCTACAGCAACAACTTCATCACAGTCTGGTATTGTACCAAGTTCAGATGCTAAAAAAAGATTACAGTTTTGCATTCACATTTTACAAGCAGCCAATGCAACCATCAACTCCAAAATCAATTTCCTTCAATTAAAACTTGATGAAACTGAAATGGCAATTAAAGAAAAGAGACATCAGTTACAAGCACAACGATCCAATGAGTCAGTTTTGTCCGATAAAACAACCGAAAAGACCAAAGGTGAAATTGTTGGTACCGTGAAAAAGATTATTCATCTTATACTGAACTTTCGTCCAAGCACTTTAACAGCCACAGCACCATCAGCACCACCACAATCACAAGTGACAGCTGCACAAGCCCCAGCAGCAATAGGGACCCCAGCAACCCCTACAACCCCAGCAGCTTATCATCCACACACGCTTTCTCGCACGAGCTCCTTTAATGGGTCCCCAGTACCTAGTGGATCTACTGATGCAGCAAACACACCCACATCTACTTTAACTCCAACTTCATCATATGGATCTTGTATGCACGACTATGAGTTGAAAAACACCATACGTGACATAATATTGCGTTTACCTGCATCATTGCAACACGCTGAAGACGACGGAGGAAATGATCGTATTTTTGTTTTTGCTAAAGAAAGTTTGGAAATGATTACAAAATTGACCAATGTTTTCAGCGAGCAATTGGCACATGTTGAAACGTGGGTTAATGGAGAAGTACCAGAAGATCCAAAGGAGGAAGTAATCACGCCGAATGAAAAAGAAAACGACGTGGAAATGAAGGATGAAAAGGGGTTTGATCTGGTCAGTACCAGATGTTCCAGCGAGGAACCTGACGGAATAACGTCGGCCACAAAAAGAATGAGAATCAATGAGTTGATTGACAATTGAGGTTTGATTGATTGAATTTGTTAGGTTGCATAGCACGCTAGTGCTGGAGGTTAGACCCATCTTTTCTTCATTTTTTCTAGGGTTTGATAGATCAAGGTGACTCACCACCCCAATCTAGAAATACTTCAACCAGCTTTAGTTGTGCAAAGTGGAGGGAAAGAAGTTGCCATGAGTTGATCTTATGGTTTGTGTATGTTTATAATATGATTGAAACTTTGTACTTTATGCATATGAGATTTGTGAAGGCATTTAAACTGCATATGCTTTTCAGTAGACTAAGTGATTAATGATTTCTTTCCTCTTTACGAACAAACTAGGCTTTGTTGTGATTCCAAAGTGGTTATTTTGTGCGGCTCTTACCTTTTCTGGTTCGCATGAATAAATATTCTTTTACATAGTCTCAAAGAAAAAGAAGAAAAAAAAAATTCTGCAACCATTTTCGAAGACTCAGGTTAACACAATATCCATTTGGTACTCACCACTCTCAGACCCAAACTATCCGTTTTACATGCAGCATTGACATACACAACTTATTTGTTTATATACACATTTTCACTTAAAAAAAAACAAAACCAAAGAGAAAAGATCTACACTGAACGAACCAGATACACAAAGAAATATGACTTGGACACCCGATCCCAATGCAGTTGAACAATTAAAACACATTTTCCAAGGCACTTTATCATCCAATAATGAAGAGCGAAAGTTGGCTAACGAAGCTTTGATTCAAGCTAAACTAAATCTTGAAATCGAAAATTACTTGTTTACGATTCTAGTTTTTGATAATTCTGCCAAGCCAGATGTTCGAGCAGCTGCTGGTATTAATTTGAAAAACATCATTTTGAAAAATAAAAGCAATTATCTGATTGATAGAAGCTATATCACAAGTAACATAATCCAAGGCTTAACTAGTCCTGATGCTATGGTGAGAAATATCACGGGGAATGTCATCACTTCGTTGTTTTCCATATATGGAATTACCCATTGGGGAACTGCTTTAACAAGCTTATTAACTTTGGCCCGTGATGGACAAAACAATGAAGTCAGTGCGAAACTTGGCCATGATCAACAATACTCCACCCAGGAAGCAGCAATGAGTGCTCTTGCGAAAATTTGTGAAGATTCCTATTTGCAACTTGATCGTGAATATAATGGCGAACGACCATTGAATTTCTTATTACCTGAATTTTTGAAATTGATGGATCTGCCAAGTATGAAAGTCAAGGCATATGCTGTGCATTGTTTCAACCAGTTTATCATTTTGGACACTCAATCTTTTCTTGTATTGATTGATCAATTTTTGACTAAAATCTTTCAATTGGCTCAAGATAGCGATAGCATTGAAACCTCTGATGCTTATATATTGAAAAAGAACATTTGTACTGCGTTTTTGTCAATTTTGGAAACAAGACCAGATAAATTGGCACCACAAATTGAAGGAATAATGAGTTATTGCTTACATGTGATACAGAAGGGAACAAACAACGAATTGAGTTTAGAAGCAGCCGAGTTTTTGTTGACATTGGCAAGCTCTAGTGATTTCAAGGCTGTCTTTACGACGGATAAATTGAAAGTGATTTTGCCCATATTGTTGGACAAAATGGTGTACTCGGAAGAAGAAATGTTCCTCATGGAAGTCGCCGATAACAATGATGATGCTGATGTGGCTGATAAGGATGAAGATATAAAACCAACCAATGCCAAATCAAAAGAAGCTAGGAGAATCAATGGGACAGCAAATGGAGATGTTACAAATAACGGTGCAAATGGAATAGGTGCGACCAATGGTCAAGGTGACGACGACAATAATGACAAAGATCAAGATGATGACGAAGATGACGAGGATGACGAAGATGATGATGACGACATGGGTGAATGGAGCTTGAGAAAATGTTCGGCTGCTACTTTGGATGTCTTGAGCGAAAATCTACCACAAGATGTTCTCATTTTGGCGTTACCCATTTTGCAAGAGAAAATTGTATCGACGCAATGGCCAATCAGAGAAGCGGCAATATTGGCATTTGGTGCCATGAGTAACAGTTTTATCAACTTGGCCAGTGATAAATTGCCCGAGTTGGTTCCATTCCTTGTTGATAGGTTACAAGATGAACAGCCAAGAGTAAGACAAATTGCATGTTGGACGTTATCCAGATATGCTGCGTGGGTTAGCCAAGAGGCACATGAAGGTGGTGAGTATGCCACTTTTTTCCAACCCACTTTCCAATCGATTGTTGCTTGTGCTTTGGATTCCAAAAAAATTGTACAAGAAGCTGCTTGCTCTGCTTTATCGGCATTCATTGAAGAAAGTGATCCACAATTGATTGAGTTTTATCTTGAACCATTGCTTAATCATTTTGCTCAATGTTTCCAAAGATATCAACGTAAAAATTTGATTATTTTGTATGATTGCGTGCAGACATTTGTTGAAAAGATGGGATATGAAAATTTATCACGAGATCCCAATTATGTTTCCATCTTGCTACCTCCCTTATTGCAAAGATGGGACCAATTACCGGATGATGATACCGCTTTGTGGCCCTTGCTTGAGTGTATGGCATCGGTTGCTGCCACTTTGAAGGAATTGTTTGCTCCATATGCCATTCCAGTGTATGACCGAGCTTTGAAGATATTGTCAAATTGTATCATAATGGATCAAAGCTGTCAAACTGATCCATCGATAGATACACCAGAGAAGGATTTCATGGTCACGTCATTGGATTTGGTGGATGGGTTGATACAAGGATTTGAGTTTCATTCAATAGATTTGATTCAACATCATGACAAACCCAGTTTTGACTTGATTGACTGTTTGTTGGTGTGTTTTGAGGATTTCAACTCTGATGTTAGACAATCAGCTTATGCGTTACTTGGAGATATGGCCATCTATACTATCGATCTTTTGAAACCGTATTTGCATCTGATATTCATTAGTATTGGCAATGAGATAAATAATAGAAGTTCAGAGACATTCCCAGTTTATAACAATGCTATCTGGGCATTGGGTGAAATGGTCATTAGATTACCAGCCAAGGACTCGGAACCGTACTTGTCGAATTTGATCAATCTACTAGTACCCGTCATCAATAGTGCCGACACTCAAGTGACGGTGTTGGAGAATTGTGCCATATGTTTAGGAAGGATGGGTCTTGTAGGGGCGGAACTACTCGCACCAAGGTTGATCGAGTTTATAACCCCTTGGTGCACCAGGTTTGTTCATTTGGTGGATAATGAAGAGAAACAAACTGGATTGCAAGGTATGTTGAAAATCATTGAGGTAAACCCCGATTCTGGTTTTGGTGGTTTGCAAACTCAACAAGGTAAAGTCAACCTCGCTAAATTTTTAGAAGTCTTGGCAAGTTATGATGACGCAACCAGCGAATTACAGCAACAATTTTTGAACTTGATCAATCATTACAAGTCAGTGGTGGGACAAGAGGGGTGGAATCAAGTGTTGAAATTTGTTAGTCCTACGTTGAGAAATAGCTTAGATATTTAATTGAGCGATGCAAAATGGGAGGAGTTTTCCAAAAAAGAAGAAAAGGGTCGACATTAGATAACAGTTGTGTGATACCATTGAGCACAAGGTGTAAGTAACCTCAATTAGTAGTTTATAGATATATAGGCGAGAAAAAGTATATAGATGTATAGGTGAGAAAAAGTATTTAGAGTTCAATTATAAAGTGGTAAAGAGGTGTAGAGTACGTAAGGAGACTGCTTCACAGCAGTAATGGACTGAGTCTTTATCAAAGTGCGAACTTGCAATGAGTTCACTGCTCAGGTTACAATTCAAACTTGTTTGTCAATCCGTATTGTTGAAACTCTCTAGTAATAGAAAAATACGCGTACGCAACTGGTGATGATGTATTCTTTAGAAACGGTGGTGTTGGTGAATTGTGTCCAGGTGTATATCGACTAGCATCATTCTCCTGTGCTCCATTGTCATTTGTGTATGCTGACTATAGTACCATATTTATGGGCAAATCTTTATCGCCTTTGTCGAGTGCTATGCACTAAGTGAATACTGGTCAAGCGACAAACTTCCAATAGCGTTCCGCGTTTGATCCAAAAGAATTCTGTCAATATAATTTTCAGTAAGGATGCCTTATTGTTGCCTGACATCAGCACGACAAATTTTTACGTATCTCTCCTCAAGCATGCCTAATTAATATGCAAGAGCCAAAGAGTATTAGATCTTTGTAGGACCTTTGTCCTGAGTGTCACATTGATCGACCAAAAAATAACAACTCTGAAGAATAATGTGTAAAGCCATAGACCCTTCACCGTTCCTTGAGTGTATGTGCATCATCCTGTAACTTTGAACCTGCTTATTTGCTAGCTAGGTCGACAAGAATTTGTGACATTCAAAATCGATGGCTAGGTGGTAAATAACATTATTTGAACCCCCAACTGATATGTCAAATTGTCACTTCGATGTAATATTCACCCTGAATAGGTAATGCAATGCCAATATATAGCTGCTGTTGATTCAATCTAAGTCACTATCCTCATACAAAATTTCATTCACCAAAGTTATTGGAAGATCCCACACACCACTTGGAGCTTGATGTATATACTCTTTGATTACTTCATTATTCTCGTTACCATCAGAGTTAGGATATTGGGTATATTGATCAACAAATGTGTTTACATCATTTAATTTCAAAGTCAATACCTCGGTATTGTATAATGCGAGGAACCAATAAACGAACACCATCAACATTAACGAGTAACTAGGAACTGCAATACTCCAATACTTGCCTGGGTAATAATCAATAGATAGCTTGTGTAACGTTGATGGTGGTATCAATGCCCATGCAATGTACAAAAAAAGTGCCAATGAACTCAAAACATAGATTGTGAACCCTCGGTATTCTGCTTGGGACAGTTTGATGTTTGAAACTGTGATATCTGACTCTCTTGCCAATTGATCTTCTGCAACCACTACCTGGGAAGCATTTTCCTCCTCCTCCTCCCCTTCGTCATCGGGAAACTCCTGATCTAATCTTTGTAGAATAGGTTTTGGTGAAGGGGTCCGCGAAAATTGGGTAGTGCCTGACTTCACATCAAGTAGTGACATGATGGAAGAAAGTAATGATAGCGGCAATGACAACAGTAGGAGGGAAGATAAGTCAATGACTCAATCTCTCTCTCTCTCTCTATATATATATATATATGTGTGTGTGTGTGTGTGTATATATGTGTGCTCAAGGGTACGTATGTTCTGTATTCTAATATGATATGTGTATTTTCCTGTTTGTATTGCTGGTTAAATACGATTATACTAATTTTTCTACTTCACCCTATCTAAACCAATTGTTTTCTTGAACCTTTGAAAAACAATTGAACAATTGTAATTTGTAAAACAGCCATACCAACCATCAATAGAACCTCAAATACAGAAAAGTAAAAGATTCTCGATTCAGTAGATTGAACGGTAGCTTGGTTCCTACTATTTCTGGTCTTGTAAAATTGTAAAGTTTTTGCCAACCCATCCAATTGTGATTCGATATTATCAACAGTTGCTCGCATATTTTCCACATGGGCTAAAGGTTTAGCGTTTGGTTGATTTGGTAAGCTAGCTTTGACATTGTTGGAAGTGGATTCATCCTCAACCTCGATTTCAAAATCAACAACTTTTTCCAGGTACGTAGACATGGTATTTGAAAAACAGAATTCATATTCACCAGGAGTTTGTGCTGGAAAGACAAAATCACCATGCCTCTTCTTATTCTCTTGGTAGATAATGTTTTGGTTTGGATCACTTATGACATAATCAACATCAAAGGAACCACCACTTTGAACAGCAAAATAGTATCTGATTTGAGTGGATGGCTTTTCAGTAAACACATAAAAACAGGATTTTTCTTTGGCACCCAATATGAAGGTGAATGCTGATGCTGAAATCAATTGGGCAAAAGCCAAAACACAAAGTATCGACTGGATGTACATCTTGATGGAAAGTTTGGAGTTGCTTATGATGTACCCGTGTTGTTGGAATAGAAAGAATTCGTTCAGTGGAAAAAAAAATAAAAATTTTTTTGAGTTCAAAAGACGTGTCGTCATTGTCGCGACTACGAAATTTGGCATTGAGCTTATAAGAAAGCTGAAAGCTACACATTACAAACACCTGTATCCTTACACTATCAAATCCCATAGATAATGTGCCCCCAGGTCGTCATTTTAACTTATATACAAGCAGTGCACCCTGTTGTTCGATATTCCTTATTGATCTGGGTGTAAATAAATCATCTTACCTGATGCATCAAATCCTATGGCTCTATCCAACTTCCTATCTCTTCTAGAAGCACCATAACGATGACCAAACTCACCAACATTCTTCATTGTGAATCTGAAAAGTTTGTTTTCATCTTTTCTCTTTTTACCGTACACAATATCAATTTTCTTATCCTCGATTGCTTGTTGTTGTTTTTGAGCTTCTTCGAGATTGAATTCAGTCAATTTTTTTAAAGTTTTGGAAGCAGGCTCAAGATGTAGAATCTTGGCAGCATCCACAGGCCCAAATGGCTCGTTTTCTTCAATGGTCAAGAATCTATCGGTCAATGTCTTGTGTGGGGTCGGAATTTCGGTCAAGTTATCGGCAGTGTAACCACCTTTAAATACTGGGAACATACGTTTCATAATGGTTGAAAATGATTTCAAATCTTCCGCAATCTCCTCCTAAATCATTCAAAAGTTAGTACCAACCAAGTTTCATCTTCATCAATGGCAAGACTTTTGTTTTGATCCCCTACTTTTTCAGGGCATAGGTTTATAACCATGTGAGTTTGGTGTCTTAAAGACTAATCGAATAAATATATAAATGCAATTTCATCATATTAAGGATCAAAAACTTCTTGCCGTGGGGGCTTTTGTACACATACCTTTGGTTGAAAATTCTTCTCAATGGCACTGAGCTTTAAAATGGCTTCAACTCTTTGCAAGTTTATGCCATACTTATGAGCAATTTCTTGTGGATGCAACCCATTAACTTGTTCATCCTCAACAATCTGAATTTTTAAATGTTCCAGTATTATATATGCTGTTTTGGTGTAAATGTTATGAGGAAATGGGTGTAGATGTGGGTCTCTGCCAGGTTCATCAATGTTTCTGACTCTTGATTGACCCAATTTGGAACTTCCTCCAACTACTGATTTCCCATCGTTTACAATATAATTCGGTCTGTTATTCTGCGGTGGGTAGTAATATTTGTTTTTATGATAATCACCAGTAATGCTTCTAGGACCAAGAAACTGACGAAACTCTTTGAGTAGTCTTGCCTTGTCCATTAACTCTTTTCTACTAATTCTCAACATTCGACTAGAAGTTGAAAACAGTCTTAGAACATTGCAATTGCTGGCACTTCTCACATTCATTTTTGGTTAAGTAATTTCTTACTCCCACAACCAATAGTGCAATGATATGGTTGAAAATTTTTCTTTGTCGCAAACCGAGAAAATTTGACCCATTTCGGTGTCGCACAAAACATATGACCAAACATATTCATTTGCGACACACTGACGACTTGTTTACCTTTTGGAAAAAAAAAACAAAACATTCCTTTCTCCTACTTTGACACTTCATTAACAACAGAAAGGATAAGTGATTTCTTTACTGAAAAGTTGCAACTCCACATAACAGTCTACAACAATAAAATCCTCTCCACTTTGCTTCTGTCTATTGTCAGTGCACCTACAATGTCACTGGATATACTAGCTGAATCCATACTTCATCAACGAGATCCATCAAGATTGTCAAACTCACAACATTCCAACGCGTCCTCATCAACCACCCGGCAACCAACAAATCGCACATCAATTGCGACAAATAATTACACACAGGTATATCGTGTATCAACAACAACAGCAGCAGCAGCAGCAGCAGGAGGAGGACTTAAGCGTGCTAGACATAGTGAAGATTCAGATGATCCATTCAAAGACAAGTCACAAGGCAACACCAAAGCTGATCCAAATGACTTCAAATTGCTGCAGCATAGCTTTAACAAATCATTTCTAAAGAATCAGAACCTACTAAACTCACCTGGAGTTCGATCGCAAGAGGTTCATGTATCTCATTCACAGCTCTATCAAGGCTCATTACAAGACCTGTACCAGCAGCAGCCACATCGTCATCATCAGCATCAACAACAGCAACAACAGCAACAACAACAGCAACAACAACAACAGCAGCAACAACAACAACAGCAGCAACAACAACAACAGCAGCAGCAACAACAACAACAACAGCAACAGCCAAAACACATTGTGTCTTCGGCATCTCAAATACAGCGACCACTAGCTCCATTCCAGGAAAAATCGTATGTGGTGGAACAGCAACAAGAAGAAGATGAAGACGAAGTTTCCCTTGAAGTCCTTGAAGATATGCATAAACTTGAGCAACATTTCCCCATATTGGCCACTGATTATAGATTGATAGACAAAATAGGTGAAGGTACGTTTTCCACCGTATACAAAGCAGAGGCAATCAACGGCAGAATCAGACTCAATAGTGACGTTTGGAAATCACCCCCTTTAAAAAAACACAAGACTGCCATGGGTGATGCCGCATTGACAAAGATAAAGAAGAGAAAGAATGCTATTGTTGCTTTAAAGCAAATTTATGTCACGTCATCACCAAACAGAATATTCAATGAGTTGAATTTGCTTTACATGCTTACTGGTAACTCAAGAGTTGCTCCGTTGTTGGATGTTTTGCGTCACCAAGATCAAATAGTGGCTATATTGCCTTATTACCATCATTATGATTTTCGTGATTTCTTCCGTGATTTGCCTGTCAAGGGAATAAAGAAGTATATGTGGGAACTTTTTCAAGCTTTGGAGTATGTTCACAGTAAAGGAATTATTCATCGTGATTTGAAACCAACAAATTTCCTTTACGATCCATTCAAAGGACGTGGCGTTTTGGTCGATTTTGGATTAGCTGAAAAGCAAGCTACGCAATTGACGTCCAATTCTTCTTCCTCTACATCGACCAGCTGCCCTTGTTTGTCGAAAGAGTCCCTTGTTACCAACAAATCTTTATCGAAAAGAATGTACGTGAAAGGTGCATACCCCAAATCCGATAATCGACCACCAAGAAGAGCCAACAGGGCTGGTACTAGGGGGTTTAGAGCACCTGAAGTTTTGTTTAAATGCACAAACCAAACTACCCAAATTGATATTTGGTCAGCAGGAATCGTTGGGTTTTCGTTGTTAACTCGTAAGTTCCCTTTGTTCAATTCGCCTGATGATACTGATGCCATCTTGGAATTGGCATGGATTTTTGGATACGAGAAATTGGTCAAATGTGCTGAGTTACATGGGTGTGGGTTGGAAATCTCCATTAATCAATTGCATAAAACCAATGGCAATTTGATCAAGATTTTGTACGATTTCTTGAAAACCGAGGTTGACAATGACAGTGTCCCTGAGGATAGTGTCATTTTTGATACTTTGAATCTATTCAACTCAACTGGGGAAAAGTTTATTAGGCCTACATATACTGAGGAACCCAATATATCTCAAGATGAACGCAATTTGATGATTGATGAGTTTAAAAAGGAAATGGAAGATTACAAGGATCATAAGTATTTAATGGAGTTGTTGTATTCGTGTTTCAGATTGGATCCAACAAAGAGATTAACTGCAAAGGAAATACTCAGGTTGCCATTTTTCCATGAGTTGTCTCCCTTGGATAAAGATGAAGATATATTATTCTAAAAAAGACGAGGATACTCTTTTTGCCAATTACACTCAACCTAAAGAATATTGTGTATCTATTTATACAGCATCTTGAATTGAATATATATAATGTCAAAGTGAAAACAAAAAATTATACAAAAGCGTTTAAAAAACATTTAGAGTATTCAAATTGTCATCCATCATAATGGTCGTAATTGAAATCGTCAAAACTGTGTTCGTCATCAACATCAAATGAGTCACGTCTGGAGCGTTTTCTTTTATTTGGCATCATTTGCAAACCATTTGCATCATCCAACTTGGATTTTTCCTCTTTATATGAAATTCCATCGGTACTTGCGACGGCGTCTTTACCTTCGTCTTTAATGTTGATGTCACCCTTGTCGGTGTTGCCGCCTTCCATATTGTTGCTGCTATTGTTAATCATGGCCCTGTTCCACTTTTTGTTCAATTTTGTAATCAAATCATTTTGTTCCTTGACTGATTGCATGGCTCTCAATGGAGTCAATGGTGGAATATTTGCACTTGATGTATCGTGCTCGTGTGTAGGCACTTTGAAATCCAGTTTTATATGATTACTAGCAGTTGAAGTCGGGTTGAAATCAGCAGTTGAAGTCGGGTTGAAATCAGCATTTGCAGTCCTTGCTCCGTCAGAGTCTCCATGCGTAACGCCACTAGCGCCCGCGCTGGTGGGTTTTCTTGTGCTCTCTGTGTCATTGAGCGACGACGACAATCTCCTTCTTGGCACCACGGTCGATGTCGAAGGAATATTGGTGAAAAATTTAGCCTCAGATAAAGCCGTACTTAAAGGTGGCGACATTGTAATCAAATGTGAATGCAATGCACTATTGGGCGATCCCATATCCGTGGAGTTACTGTTGGATAAATCGTAGGCATTGTTGAACTCCATTTGTAAATCTTTCGAGAATGCTAGTTTCCGTTTTAAGTAAAGTGATTGTTGGATTAAACTCGTGGATTTCAACTTCTTGGTTGGTGCCACTGGTGGGGTGAACAGAGTTGTAGATGACGAAATAGGAGTAGTGTTCATTTCGGGATTTTCTATTTGTTTCCCAGCGGTATCGTGATTCAACTTGGGGCTGGCAAGCACATTATCCTCCAATGTTGAGTCATTGTGATGATGTTTAACTCCATGATGTAAACTTTCCGAGGTTGGACTTGCGTTTAAGCTACAGATATGTGAGTTTGTATGATGATAAGACACGGGGGATGTTGGTATCGTGGTTGGAGTTGTATAGATGTCATGGAACTTGAACCTGAAATCGTTTTTCAAGTGCTGGAGTGAAACTTCATCTTTAAAACTGCGTCTCTTTGGTCGATGCATAGTTTTTGCCATACTTCTTGATGTTAGTGTGGAAGCCATGCTGCCCGATGTAGCTCCAAGAATGGGTGTTGTTGGAATGGTTCGTAAGGTATCACTAGATTGAGGGACTCCACTACTGGTGGTCATGTTTGTGTCATATTCAGACTCATCATCTGTCATTACGGCTGAACCCTGATTGATACCTTCTGAACTACCCCCATTTGAAGATCTCACTCTTGAGTCACAACCACTGTGATCAAAGTTGTAATCAGGTCTATTGTTTTGCCCATTGAAGGAGTTCCCGACAGGTGTCATGGTCAATGTATTATGACTCACATGACCAAGTGATGCCAAACTTGCGGAACTATCATTACGTGCATGGTATCGAAGATTTTCATCAACTGACACAATTGAGTTACGAGCACTTCTTTCTAGACTCACTATTGACATACTCCTGGTCGAACTTGGTGTTGGTACGACATTTTGTATAGTATTGATGTTTGCTGAAGATAGTGTTGGTGTTGAAATTACACCGCTTTTGTTGCCAGTTGCTGCGCCTGCTGTTGTGGTTGCTGCTACTGCTGCTGCTGCTGTAGTTGCTGCATTACCAGATGTAGAAGTGGGCGAAATCGAATTTGCATGTGGATTGATTGGTAATGACTGCTGTGTGGCATGTGATGGTGATGGTGCTGGTGGAGGTGGCGGTGGTTCAAACGCTTTGTTGTTGTTGTTGTTGTTGTTTGTTGTCGATGATGATGACACTAAACCAGGTGAGGCGTTCTGTCTCGACACTAGTGTGTGGTGGGGTTGTTGTTGTTGTTGCTGGGTGGTCAATGACGGTAATACAATGTGTGGTAACGTGTTTGATTGGGGCAGTAACAGACTGATAGGTTGCGGTGGTTGTGGTTGTGGTTGTGGAGTTGAGTATGATGAATGATTGGAATTGAGTGAGTTCATTGATGAAGACCTCTGTCTGGTGAATGTAGATGACATCGTTAGTGATAAGTTGATCCTGCACTATGCTGATCTGCTAAGCCAGCTCTATGCTTTTTCAAGTGTCGTTGTAAGATTACAAAAAACAATGAGTGCTAAATCAGTAAACGCCAGCAGCAGTTGAAAGTCCGAATAAAAGAACAAATCTGTTCAATGTCTAACTCAAACACGACTTGTACGCAAAAATTGGCTTTCTGTGGTAGTATATTTCTTGATCTATGTCTCTCCAAATGTCCAATGTATCTGATACATATATGTAGATACCACAATGAATATATATAATGTAGTGTGACGATTAATGTTTTTTCTTTCTTTCTTTCTTTGTATCGGGAATCTTTTCTGCAAAAAGGGTCTTTTCTTGTTTGTTTGTATATTATTTTATCATCGCTTATTGTTGTCACTTTTAGTTTAGGTTTTTTTTGGGCTTGTCACATGTTCTCCCTCCTCTGCCGCATCAACAGAACAAAGAAACAAAGAAAAGTTCAAAAAGCTTCCTCTTGTCGTATAAATATATATTACGACACTTCCATGTCACAAAGTATTTCCTCTATTATTTTACTAACTATACATGATGATACTTGTATAAATCAAGCTTCTATTGACCGATTGGACATTTTCTCAAATACTCAGCCTTATTCTTCAACACTCTAACCGACTTGAAAAAAATCTCTTCTGGTGGCATTGCTCCTGTCGATTCAACTTGGAAAATAAAGTAATCTCTTTGTCTGCCCAACTTTACCTTGCCATTGAATTCAGGATGCCTCAATACTTCTCTTGACACAGTATCTTTTCTTGCATCAGCAACGTATGCTTCTCCCTTTGAATCGATTTCAATCACACCGGGTGGGAAACATTTTTGAAACTTTTTGGCCAATTCACCAGTTATTGGCTCTTTAATATCTATCACTGGTAACAACCTATACGATGCTGTTGCTACGGGGGAAAATTTTGCATGGTCAGCACCAACACCTAATATACAATGAGCTCTTAATGAAATCTCTTGTCCTGGTCTTAGTTTAGCCAAGAGGATATTTGGATCAGTGGGCACTACTGGATTGTCTTTATACTTTTCCAATTGACTTCCTTGCGGTTCAAATTTCAAGTCTTTGGCATAAACATTGCTATTTCGATACAATTCATTAGGGTTGGTGGAGTTTTTTGGTGCATGTGGGTTCTTGGTGCATGTAACATCCAAAGACAATACAATGGTGTTATCTTCAGTATAACGATCGTTTTCATCAACAGATTTATCCACCCATGTCAAGGAATCAGGATCAACTTTCAATGGCACTAAACCGATTCTATGGGCCAAAACCTCATCCTGTATAACTGATGTATTCATAAATGAATAAACTGTTTCAACAGCTACTGATGGCACTTCAGCAATCATTATACGACGGAATGCATTGGCTATTGATGTGTCTATATGGATTAAATCAAAGTTTGCAACACGCTCACTAACATTGGTGATCTTGATATCAAATGATTTTTTAAACTTTTCGATATCCCAAGAAAAGTCTCCTGAAGATTGGTGACCGGGAAAATCAGTGGATGATGTGTTTGTGACCCTGTTGTACTCTATACCTACTATGTTATTATCAGACATTGGAGCTATGGGTTTTCTGTGGGTTCTGGGGGTTCTGGGGGTTCTGTTGGTATTGAGATGATCTCAAACTGAGCTGAACTTTTCGTTTTTTTTTTTTTCAACTCTATATAACCGATGAGATAAATGCTACCAAATGTTTCACATCTATTTACTAAACAAGGAGCAAACATCCATTCTATATTTTTTCAATTCATACCAAGCCAGACACTCTTGGAAAGGCGCCAGGCAATGTTGAAGAAGACGTGGATAACCCACTACTCTCTCCAGCACCCTGTATATTCACCTTCAAATTCATCATCTTTTTAACACCATCAAGTAAATCAATAGTCATCAATTGCACGTTTCCGTTATAACCATCCCCTTCAATTCGAGCTTTATTAATCACTTCATCATCAAGATGTCCATTGTTTAGCAATTCACTTAATGGTATATCCTCAGCACCACTCTGTGACAGCAGAACCAGCAGCAAGGACCTTCCTATATCCTCGGTTGCCCTTCCTTCGCCAAGGCTAGTCGTATTCCTCCCATTCAATACCTCACCCTGTCCGGCTCTTTCTTCTTCGTCTTCGTCTTCTCCTTCTTCAAATACTTCCTCATTACCAACAACACCATGCAAATATAAAAGAATCATTTGTAATACAAACACAGCCACATCTAATCCCAACAACTCCCCTCGATTATAGGGCAATCTTTCCCCAATAAATTGTACAGTCAATCCACCATATAAATACCCCAGACTTTCATCCCCAGCATCACTTCGACTACTACTAGGGCTTCTAGAATAGACACCAAAGATTAAATGTGTTAAAAAGCAATACAAATTCATAAACACAACACCACGAAAGCTCATCTTGATCATGGTCTTGATATGATGGGTGGAGAACATATAATATCGACTGACGTAATCAGGGTTTATGCTCAAAATGGCGAAATGGATGGTACTGCGAAGGAAAAGTTGGAAAAATGACAAATCTCGTAAATAAATTAGGACAATAGTGACAATTTCAAGTAGTTGAAATGATTGTTTCAAGTCAGTTGTAAAAAATCGTTTACGCTTGGATAGTACTTGTTGGTTATTGGCTATTGTTTGCTCTAATGTGGGGTACTTTTGTTGCTGAAAGTTTTGTAGCTCTTGCTCAAGATTTAAGGGTTGCATTTTTGAGTGGGTTTGACTTCTGACGACGTAATGTGAAAATGGGTTACAATTGAACTAGCTATTGCATAAAGTCTTGTGGGAAACAGATCTTTGTCAAATGAATGCGTTGAGTTATGTAATATACGTTGAATACTGGGTGTATGTACTAAAGTGTTTAAATGCTCGGAATTAGGTTTCACCTTTTTTCTAGGGACAAAGCGAGAAGGTAGTGGCAACAATCTACACATACAAACACATAAGCGAACCTCTTGTTTGTATTGCTTTAGGTACAATCATCTATACAAACAACTATTCACCGCGATGCCCCATTACTTCGTTTATTTATAATCAATGGCGCTTCCATTGGATAGACATCACTCAATGTTTCAGGCTCTTGAATTTGCAATTGTGATGGTGGTTGCAACTCGTTTAAATCAACATTGTATAATTCAAGAATTTTCCGTATATCATGCTCGTCATTGCTGGTAGTGAAAGTACAGCTTGTGATGCTGGTGTGTCCATGCCCATTCCTCTGTTGATTGTCGCATTGCTCCTCACCGTCTTTCTCTTCGTCGTCACTGTCCATAAGATTACCCAAGTTTTCAAATGCGACTGTCTTGATTGTCTTTTTTGTTTTCGGTTGTCGATCAATCAATTGTAGTTCATTCTCTACAAGCCTTTCCATTTCTTCATTCTTGTGACAATTCAATCGTGCTAATCGTTCTCCATGCGTCTCTAGACACTCGGCAGGCACAAATCCAATTTTGCCATCCTCTCTGTCCAGATCAATGTCTACTGATGCATCATTTGTTTGCTGATACCTGGCTATTTTTTCCTCCTTGGTTAATTTTTTGATCAACCACCAATAATTATCTTCATCGTTGAGTAAATGCACTGGTTCGTCACGTGTTAACGAACAATGTGAAGGGTCAGGTCCCGAAAAGTCGTAAAGTCCGTATAGTTTATTTGGATCTAGATCACGTGGTGGAGATCTAGGTGGCGAAGGCGGTATTATAAGATCATCTTGGTCTTGGTCAAGCTCACCGTCATATTCCTCATATTCGTGATGACCCCTTCGCTTATTTCCCTCGGTTTCGTCATCCAGATATGCCGATCCGTCGCCGTCGTCAAATGTGTCCAAAAAATCATCATTATCGTCATCGTCATCACCATCATGGCTTGCAGTGTAATAAAAGTCCAATCTTGATTCTTCATCTTCGTCTTCGTCGTCGTCATCACCATCATCATCTATTCCTTCCTCTTTGTCTGCTTCCTCGTCTGATGCATATATGTCATTCACCTGCGCATCTCCCAAAAAGTCATCAATTTGCTGTCTATCGTTATCGTAATTTGATGAATATAATTGTGATCCTTTTTCTAGTCTATTCTTGGTTAAATTTAGTGAATTCTGCCTCACGACAGAATTACTACCTTTCCTTTCCCTTCGTTTGGACAAGTGGGTAATTTTAGCTATACTATCATCATTATAATGCAGTGCCAATTTGGTAAATTTGGTGTATTGACTCCGTTCTTGAAATAATTCATTGGGATTGAAAATGCTATTGTGTATTCGTTGACTCTTTTCGTGGTCGCTATACTCACTGTTGTAATTATCTTGGTGAATCATTGTATTTAGCACATGACTCTGTATCCTCTGTTTACCCAAGCCCAGGTATTGGTTGTTGTATACGACTGATGAGGTGTTTGTTTGTTGTGACGAAGTCGATGACAGTATAGACAATTTACGTTCCAATTCTTTTAATATCTTGTTGGTATCATCAAGTATTGTCTGATCAAAAGCAAAATCAGACGAATCATCATTGACGTGGTCATTTGTTGTGGCATTGGAGCAGGAGTTTTGCTCTCGACTCCTTTGTTCACTAGTTATGCTCATGGAAATAAGGAGGTATGGTTAGTCGCTATAACTGAATAGTGGATAATAGCCTTATCAGGTCTATATAAAGCAAGCAGTTGCGTTGTGAGCTGCGTGGGTGTGTGTGTGTGTATACAGGGGTGTATATATCAGATGGATTGATGTTTTGATGTTTATGGTTTGATTAGAAAACAAAAAATAAAAAAGGGTTGTGTGCTATTGTTGTCTCTCTTTTGGGTCGTGTTTTTAGATGTACTGTATATAACTTCATACCAGATCATTACATTATGATACAGTTACAAGTAGTACAAGTAGCACAAGTAGCACAAGTAGCACAAGCAGTACAAGTAGTACACACTTATTATAAAAGAAGCTTTGATTATATTAAAAGAGAGAGAGAGAGAGAGGCTTACAGGGGAGAAAGGAATGTCAAGTAAATATAGTGAACGCACCAACACCAATCTAAAAGACACCATCATCTATAGTTGACCTAGACTTCATTCTCGCCTGATGACACGCCATTCTAGAAAAGAACAACCACTTTTTCTGACAGTTGTGGAAATTCCGGATTTTGATATGACAGGAATGACACTTGGAGAAGAAAAAGAAAAAAAAAAACGTGAAATGTGATTACGGTTCTAGGGGTACGATGGACAGGGCGATGACCTAATTATTCCTCCCATGCCACATTCGCGCTTCAACTCACACCCCCCACCATTCTGAATTCCGGCGCACAGAAAGTAAAAATTAATACAACAACAATAAAATAAAAACACCCATTTATAACATACAATGAAAAATCAGGCCAAGACCAAATTAAGAAAAAAGGGGCGAGGGGGGGAGGGTAAAAGACCTTTTTGAAGGAACCCCCTTTTATCTGTATTATTTTTCTTTCACTTGGAAACATCAACAAGTAACTGTTGAAAACCAATTGCCAAGCTAGACTCTTTGGTGGATTGGGTGAGCGGGGTTTCTGTAGTTTTATCGCTTACCATTTTAAAACGGTTCAAATCTCTAGAACTTGATTTTTAAATACTTAATAATGCAATGCCCATGGCGATCTATCCAGACCTATTTATAATGAACAGAGGATTATGTCTAGCTAATATAAAACATATTCTAAACATCATCAATCTAAGAGATTCAGGTATAAAACTCTTACCTGTTCATGAAGGGTTTTATACATGTTTCACATCCAGTCAACTGGTAGCTACACGTAAAGAACTCGAAAAGTACCTGCTCGGATTAAATACACAAGACTTACCAATAAGTTTAACCTCAACAGGAACTACCACAGGCTCACAATGTATAAAATGACTCAGCTAATGTTATGATAGATGTTCTTCTTTTGGTTACAAAGTCTATATTTTTTTCTTTTCTGTGCCATATTTGGTGTTCCAATTCCAATCGCGTTGTCTGGTATTACTTTCCTAAAGCTTGCAATTAAAACTCTATAGCCTCCACTCCCACTTTGTCTAAGTTTACTTTTCTACCTCTACTAGCTCACCTCTTTTACAAGGTTAAATTCCGGTGTAATCTACAGCTTGCACTAACGAGATATCACATAGAGTTTGTCTAGTTTCGTTCTTACATTATTTATTTCTTTTTCAAACCTATGCAAAACAATACCACAACCACCCAACTAGAAAGTTAAGCGAACCTTGTTCCTGTTATATTCTTTGGCCATTCTTTCCCTTTTAATTTCCCTTGACAACTTCATTAATAGCATTGGCCAAATACTCAACATTGTTATCATTAATTCCTGAAATACTAAATCTACCATCTTCAGTAGCATAAACACTGTAGTCATTTCTCAATTTGATCACTTGTTCTGGTGACAATCCAGTGTAAACAAACATACCTCTTTGTTTCAACAAGTGGTCCCAATTGTAGTTGGATTTATCCAAATTGTCATACAATTTTTGACGCACATTGTTTAATCTTCCAACAACTTTATCCAATTCTTCCAACCATTGGGGCAACAAACCACTTGATTCATCAAATATAACTTCAACAATCTTGGAACCATGGATTGGTGGAGATGAATAAATTGGTCTAATTAATTTCTTCAATTGTGATTCAATAGCTTTTGATTCTTTAGCTGATGGAGTAATAATCGAAATGGATCCGGTTCTTTCACCATACAATCCCATGTTTTTAGCAAATGATTGACACAAGGCAAAAGTTGGAATCTTGTTTTCATTAGCCAATTTAGTCAATTTTCTAATCAACTCGATATCGTTATATGGTTTACCACTAGCAAAACCTTGATAAGCCATATCAACAAGAGGGAAAAATTTCTTATCCTGAATAATTTGCAATACTTCATCCCATTGCTCGTTAGTTAAGTCCATACCAGTTGGATTATGGCAACAAGCATGCAACAAGACAATTGAACCTTCAGGTTGTGATTGCAATGATTTTTTCAAATTTTCATAATCCAAATCGTTTTTACTAGTTTCATAGTAATTGTAAAATTCAGGTTCCAAACCAGCATCTTTGAAAACAGCAACATGATTGGCCCAAGTTGGTTTGGGGACAAGGATTTTCTTGTTGGAGTAAAATCTGTTCAAGAAATCAGCAATAACTCTCAATGAACCAGTACCGGAAATGGTTTGGGAAGTAACAACTCTACCATCATCAATCAATTGTTTACCATTGGCATCTTTGTTGGAGTTGTTAAAGATGAAATTTTTGACAATTGATTGAAAGTTTTTGGAACCAATAATAGCAGTATATTCCTTTTCAGTTTCCTTCTTTAACAAGATTTCTTCAGCTTTTTTAACTGATGGGAATATAATTGGTTTACCTGAATTGTCTCTATAAGCACCAACACCCAAGTTGATTTTTTTAGGATTAGAATCATTGTTGTAAGCTTCAGTGATACCTAAAATCTTGTCAGGTGGAGCCAATGGGATTTCAGCAAATTTCAAACAAGTGGCAGTAGAAGACAAAGATCTTAATTGCACCTGTAATTGTAACAATTGTTGTTTGTTTTTGATCAATTGAGTCTTGTACATGTTTGTTGAGATGATGTAGTGTTGAACAAAAGAAGAAGAACAAGAACAAGAACAAGAAGAAAAGTGGAAAAAGATTTCTACTGGTGGGATATCGGTTATATAAATTTTTTCAACAAAAATCTCTGTCACTGGTGTGTCACAACAACGACATACTTGTCAAGTATTTTGTACTGTACTGTACTCTCTGATGAATGGAAGTTTTTTGTATTTAATCACGTTTTTGTGCTTGTGTTTTAAAAACGCACTGCAAAAAAAAAAAAAAAAAGAGTTATTCACCCCGCTTTAATAATTCAAAATGATTGGTCTGTGTATATGAATATATAATCCATAACCTTTTATATGAGAGAAACTACACTTTATACGAAAGCGGTACACAATTAGAGTGTATGTCAAAATAGTCTATTGATCAAGATTGGCAGTTAATTTTCAAATAATTCTACTGTGATATATATATAAAAAGTGTGGTGTTTTACTGGATCACATGACTCATTTCTCATGTGAACCACAAAAAACCCCAAAAAAAAAAAAAAAAAAATAGAAAATAATAAAAACCAAAAAAGTTGTTCCTAATTAATCCGTAATTTTACACAAACAGTTTTACTGAAAGTATATCTCCACTTTCGTTGGCGTAGTTGGTGGTTGATGGTTGGTCCTCGTCTTCGTCTTTGTCTCGCGCGAGACGGAAATTTTGAATTTCACTCGACACTTCGACCGAGCAAAGCCAAAAAAAAAAAAAAGCATCTGTTTTTGACGCACCTCCCCTTCACTATATTCCAATGCATTGAGAAAAAAGAAGGACATATTCAAGTTCAAAGTGGACGGAATCAGGCCGACTTAACCGAGATCGGAATCAAAAGAAAACAAAAGTTCCTTTCAACCACAAAGGTAAGAAGGTTTTCTCTCATGATATAATGAAGTATTCTCAACAACAATTTGACACTCTCCCTCTAGTCTATACGCTCTATAGTGTATAAATCTTGAACAAAAGTTTGTCTTGCAGCTGTTTTTCATTCGACATTGTCCATGGGTGATTGAACATATCTTTCACTTTCACATTTTCTCTCTCCTTGTCTCTCTCTCTGTCTGTTTAAGATTTCGATGTTGCTGATATCCTCGGGATAATAGCGCATACCGCGCACCACACTTCTTTATACAAAAGCTTTTCTGCAACTTAAAGCCAATTGATTTATGAATGAGGCATAACTGTTCAATACAGACACATGAAGACTACTTCATATTGAATAGCCATGCTAGAAAGGAAGAAGAAATGACGAAATTGTCTGTCAATGATATTGATTTCGTCAAGGGATGTTTCTTGAGATGTGAGTGCCAAGTGTTGACGAGATTACCCATGAGCTTATTCGAGGCATTGATCCGTCGCCACAAGATGTGTGGTGTTCTACTAGAAAAAGAAGTTATGAGGTAATGCAGTTGAGGAATATTTGTCAACACAAGAAGTGCAATATGCGAGTCTCATATTCGTGGCTGATGAATATACTTTTGCAATCCTACACATGACAAACCGCCCACGAAGTTGGAACGAGGATGCTGAGTCTTTATCCAACTAGCGTATTCATTGAGTGTTTAGAGAAGATAATGATTGTAGCGATATTCGGATTTGCATTTCAGCAAAGCAGGAGCAAGTGGCAGTAAACACACAAATAACCTCTATGACTTTATTGCATAGTAACTATTTGCCTTATTCACTTGATGAAGGTGATAAAGATTTGCTCATAGAGATGGTACTAGAGTTAGCATACACAAATGACGATGGAGCACAGGAGAATGATGTTAGTAGATATACACCTGGACACGATTCACCAACACCACCGTTTCTAAAGAATACATCATCACCAATTGCGTACGCGTATTTTTCTATTACTAGAGAGTTTCAACAATACGGATTGACAAACAAGTTTGAATTGTAACCTGAGCAGTGAACTCATTGCAAGTTCGCACTTTGATAAAGACTCAGTCCATTACTGCTGTGAAGCAGTCTCCTTGCGTACTCTACACCTCTTGTACCAGCCCATTTGTCAGATTTTGTTCTTCACTCGAGCTGGTGAACAAATCACCCACTACTGAACCCACTACAGTCAAGGTTGTTTTGAATTGCCCCTAGTATATCGCTGATACCTTTAAATGTTGAATCACTGCTACTGACACTACTACTATACTACTTTCATAAAATTATTGTATTGCAACTTTATTAAAAAGCATAGATTCAAAAACATATTTCCAATATTATGGATCATTCTCTGTAGCTTTCTCTAACTGCCTCTTTCGCCCCGCTCCTTTTTTAGTTTTTGGCAACCATACGCGTAAATGACTTGTTTGCGGTATCGTAAAATAATCAATCTTTTAACTGCACTTGAACACCTGTGCTAGCAAATCCATCTCTACTTTCGAGCATACGTCCAAGATCAAAGGACCGTAAGAGCTCGGTGAAATGACGCCCCAAACAATGTTTCGATTTGCTCTAGCCTGATCAACTCAAACTTTCTTAGTAGTCCGGCATTGCCATTTGGCAGCAAATGAGCACAATGGCTTAGTTGTTAAGGTCCTATAGTGTAGCTTGGTTATCACTTTCGGTTTTGATTTCACCTATTGAAGTTGAACTTCCGAACAACATCAGTTCGAATCTGGTTAGGACCTTTCAATGCAGCTACTCATTGTGTGCCATTTCTGGTCCTATAGTGTAGCTTGGTTATCACTTTCGGTTTTGATTTCATCTATTGAAGTTAAATCTCCGAACAACATCAGTTCGAATCTGGTTAGGACCTTTATTGTTAATTTTTTCAGCTTTTTTTTTTCAAGAAATAGAAACACGAGCCAGTTTCGATCTACTTCCACTACCTTTTCTTCATTTCAGATAGCTGCTATATTAGACCGGTTGAGAGGCTAGATTTGGGCTAACATGTCGTAGAATTGTATAAAAACTTACAAGTTGGTAAGTTTGAGACGGATGGGAAACAATCTAAAAACCAATTTTTTCTTTTGGATCCGTTAGTGAATTCTTTATGTAGCTCTCTGAGAAGTGAGCTCGTTAACTTGTTTCACAAGCTTCCGATCCGGTAGTTGACCTTCAAACTCGCATAAAAGATTTAATAAAACTTTTGTCGTTACCTTTTTGGTTGCGAAATGGATGCAAAAAATATAGATTATAAAATTTGAAGTTCCAGATAACTTTTTAGCTTAGAAAAAGGTGTTGTTGAAAAGACTGGTATAACACTATGCAATTGCACAATTTGCAGGCTGAGAATCCTCATCTACTTTAACTAAAATTACCCCACCATCTTGACTGTTATGCTCCAGATTTTGATATTGCGGAAGCTTAGTGCAACCCGTAAGGTATCACAAGGGGCCACGCTCTCCTCCACAAACTACTTAAAGTGGCATATGCCTAATCACATGCCTTCTCGGAAACACGAGCCTTGAGAAGATGACGAAGGGCAACAATCGTTGTGACTCCAATCTTAGCCCATATGGTAGCTCTCTAGAATTCTTGACCTCATCTCTGCAAGGCAGAAAAGAAAAAAAAAAAAAGAGCCATCTCTCCCCCAAACATTCCACAACACTAGTTCTTCAATTGATAATGATTAAGACGATCAAGCCAAAGAATGCTCGTTCCAAGAGAGCTCTAGCTAAGAAGGAAGCCAAACTTGTTGAGAATACAAAATCAGCACTTTTTGTTCCTGGTTCGACGGGTAACAAATTACTTCACGATGCTATGTGTGATTTGATGGCTCTAAAGAAGCCATTTGCAAAGAAGTTTTCAAAAAAGAATGAAATAAGGCCATTCGAAGATGCCACTGAGTTGGAGTTTTTCGCTGAAAAGAATGATTCATCGTTGATGGTATTTTCATCACATAATAAAAAGAGGCCAAATACGTTGGTGTTTACCAGATTCTTCAACCATAAAGTGTATGACATGATTGAGTTATCGATACAAAACAACCTTAAGCTATTGCAGGATTTCAAAAAGCTTACATTTACCATTGGATTGAAACCCATGTTTGTCTTTAACGGTCCCGCATTTGACAACCATGCAATCTATCAGCAACTCAAATCAATGTTTTTGGATTTTTACCGTGGTGAGGAGACAGATTTACAAGATGTTGCAGGTCTACAATCTATAATATCACTTTCAGTTGGGGAGATTGAAGATTCAAATAATGAGAAGGACTTGCCTAATGTCCACTTCAGAGTTTACAGATTGAAGACGTTTAAATCGGGACAAAAATTGCCTAGGGTTGAATTGGATGAAATTGGACCAAGATTCGACTTCAAGATTGGTAGAAGAAGAACACCAGCGCCGGAGGTTGAAAAGGAAGCCCTCAAGAAACCAAAACAATTAGAGGCAAAGACCAAGAAGAACATAAGTACTGATTTTATGGGTGATAAGGTTGCACAAATACATGTTGGTAAGCAAGATTTGAGTAAGCTTCAAACTAGGAAGATGAAGGGGTTGAAGGAGAAGTATGATATCAGTGAAAGTGAGGAGGAAGGGGAAGGTGATGATGACGAGGTATATGTATCTGATGAAGAGTACTTTGCTGATGAAGTAGAAGAGCCAGAAACTAAAAGGCAAAAGATATAGATGGCTGTATAGTGATAATGTAATCTGTTGAAAATGAAAAAAATTTCCATCTTGAGATGTTGTAGCATCAAAGTTACCTGAAAGCAAAAAAAAAAAAAAAAAAATAAACACCAAAATTCAAAAATGAGCACCAACACCACCGCACACCATTACACACTTCAATTTCGCTTCACATGTCATCAATATTTAAGCCTAGAAAGTTTGCGGGACCAATTGTGAAGCCCAGTGTTACTAAGGCTGAAGAACTTACTAAAAACAAACACTATTGTGTTTCAAGGTTACCAGGATTGCCCAGTGTTTTCAAAACAACAACATTTGTCAATGCCTACTCGGATTCGGAATCTAAGTATGCTGCTGCTATAAGTAATGATTCTGTTTACGTATGGCGGTACAAATCTGTTGACGCATCCCCCCTTTCCATTCAAATTCCCATTGACAAATCGTTCAAATTGCCAGTGGCCATTTTAACATCCCCTTCAAGTGGGACAGGCCGAGACCCTGGTCTTTTATTGATAGATGCAATTACTGGGCTAGTTAAGTTTTACGAAAACGTGCAGCGTGCACCAACGTTGGGGTTGATTCATGACAAGCCATTAGACTTGCAGGTAAGTCTTCAACCAACCGAATGTATAACATTGGTGGAAAACGTCGAACCAGCAGGAATTGCTGTGGCAACGTCGCTTCGAAGATGTATTCTTATTTCACTCAGAGACTACAGAAGCATTCCCTGTCTATCAACAATGGAATTGGTCAGTCCTGAGAGGAGTTTCCTTGCTAAACTTTTTGTGCATGACGAGGGTGATATTGTTGCAATAAGGTCAGCAAAGGACAACAGTTTTGCCACATCGCAAGCGATATACGTTCTTACTTCAGCTGGTACATTATACTCGGTAACTTGTAATTCAATGACACCTAATTCAACGCCATATATCAACAATGCTTCCTCATTTAAGCAAACGTTATCAGTTGATCCAGACGCCTATCCAGGAAGCGGGCCTCCATCAAAGTTCCTTGACATATGGCCATTAAAAGACAACAGCTATTTTCTCGCTTTGGTGGAATGGAATAGTACCTTGATGTTGGCAACATTTCGTGCTGATAAGTCTGGTGCTCTCTACTATGGCTCGCATGATTTGAAAATCAGTAATGACTCAACGTCACCACGGCTATTTCTACCTTCACCAGGTAAAACAGCATTTGTTATCATGGACAAAACAATCATAATGACGGATTTGGATACATCTTACATTGAACCAAAAAATACCTTCACGTACACGAAGCCACGCTGGGAAGATGTTATTAGGATTAACCCCGCTACTAAGTTGATAGGTTATGGCTACGAAAATCAAAGTCCAGATTCAAATCCCTCCGTCATTCTCATTACAAAAAACTATGGTGTTTTGAGATTGGAAAAGTTTCCAGAAACACCAAAGAAGGAAATTGTTTACGACACAGCGTTGCTTTTGAAATCACACATTGAGCAAGGGATATTCTTTTCCGATTCCAAAGTGATTGATTTTGACTTGATACATAAAGCTGAGAAAATAGCGGTGCACAATGCCGTTAGATCTATCATAAAAGAAGTCATGACTTCGACCTCGCCTTATTTACCTGATACACTTCCAGTCACAGCCGATTTATTACAACTAAAGGTAAAGATTTTGACCGAGTTGATTGCATACTGTCAGCGGAATTTTCCCGACGATTTTCCAATGATTGCAGAAGTTGTCAAGAATTTGGAAAAAACAAATTGCGCACTGAACTTATGGAAATACATTGATGCTAACGAGACTTACATGGAAGTATTCAGGAAGATTAGGCCTGAACCAAGGCAGTTTTTTATTTCAGAGATTGAAAACATAGGCGAGGTATTAAACTCGTTCCTTGACCATTTGAAGGAAACCACTCTTTCTACGTCCTCATTGGTTGTTACTACAATTCACGATGGTGTGTATTTGAATGCTGTGAGGTATAGTGACGAAGTTGGAATGTCATGGTTGTTTGACAGTGAAGTGCTAAACAGTGTCGAATCACAGTTCACACAAGATTTTGTCATTGGAAATAACAGTGACAAGTATGACGCTTCTTGTATCGTTCAGGTATTATATTATTTTTACACTAGTGCCATAAAGTCCACAAAGGAACAAAGGCTTGACACACAATATGAAGAGCTCAGCACGTTTTATGCGCAGAAGAAAAAGAATTGGATCACGGCATTGTTGAAATTGGGCTTGGTCAAAGAGGCAAAAGTCCTTGCTGAGAAATACCACGATTTTGCATCGCTTGCGAGAATTTTAGATACAGAAAGAGATTCGAAGTCAATTGAGCAACTAAACTACGGATTATACTTTGAAGAATTTGGATACCCATTCGCAGCCTGCGTATACGAACACTACATAAACAATGGCGAATACCAGAAGTTGTTGCTTGAGTTTTCCAATTACAAGCATTTCCTTTTGCAATACTTTAAACAGAATCCAGAATCGACATCGAGTGTGTCATGGATTCGATACTTACTTGATGATGACTTTGAATTAGCGTCAAAAGCATTGGGATTAGCAGCGTCATATAATAAAGAACTGATTAACAATCAGTTGACTCAGCTCTCTTTGGGTAAGTTGTCAGCAATTGCCGTGGGCGCATCTACAAAGAAACAATTTGATAATGAGTTGATGAAGGTTCGTTACCAAATCAAGGTAAGAGATGTCGTTGCTGGTGGGGGAAGAATTGCTGCTATCAAGAAGGAAAATTTTGCTAGTCAATTCCTCAATAAAAAAATTGACAAAGCTGATGCAAATTCTATCGCTGCAAACATATTTGGACCATTATCGAGTGATTTGCGTTTGAACGAGCTGTTATTGATTGAGTTGTTGACCGTTATTGAACCCAAGTTTTTACAAGATTATGGGTTTGTCTACGCTTTGAAAGTGGCGCAAACATTTTCGAATGAAGAGCACACTAATGAATCTATCAATATTATTTTACTACGTCTATTAACATTGGGAACTGAAGTCAAGCATACCATCAATGGCACCGATGATGTGGTGAAGCATGAAGTGGAATCAAGCATCTTGTTCAAAACCCTTGTGAGTCAACCAAATATCGTTTCTCAATTGAACCAGTTGCTAGAGAATGTCAATTTGAATGACACTTTGAACCCTTCTTTGAGTGAGTTTGATGAGAAGTTGTTGAATGAGTTGAAAAAGCGACTCGATGATGATTCTTTTAGATCTTGGGTACACATGGTTATAGAACAAGCCAAGATCGTCATAATCTAGGAAGGGTCATACTAGACAAGGTAGAATAAAACAACAGGTGAATTATCTGATATCTTTATCGTCCATTTAGCTCGTCATTACTCTCACTTTCTTGTTCATCTTCGTTTTCATCTTGTAAATTTATTCTGATCAAGGGTTCGGGATATGCATCTTGATCTACTTCCTCGTTTGTGGCCGTGTTAGTCAGTTTTAGCAAGCTTAGCGATGCCAATGAGATTGATTGGATCACTCGTTGCCAATTAGATAAAATCAACGCCACACTACTTGTTCCATCTTTCATTGTTTCCAATTGATCGCCAATTTGTTCCAATTCATTGGCTAATTCATCAGTCAACAGTCTGAACTCTCTTAGAAGTTCCAAGTTTGCTCTCTTTTCAGCAATCTTTTGATAAATTGCGGTGTTTTGTCTTGTCATAAGTGGGTGCAAGATCTAGTGTCTGTGAAGGTTACTTTTGGGATCTGATATCGCGTTGATTTTTCTGTTTTTGTTTTTGTTTCGTGATTTGTTTACATTTTGAAAATTATAAGCAACCAATTCTAAAATCCCCCACCTAACACATCAGCTCAAATGGCAAGAAAAGCAGATCTTGGAGAGTCAAGAGACAATACATCTCGAAGAGCTACTATACACAACCCCGCAACACACATCTCACAGGAGGATAATAGCCATGGTGACGAGCTCGCAACAACAACGACAACAACAACAACATCGCAATTGCAGCAGTATATAAATCAAAACAAGGTGCTCGCAAGACGCAATGGAATCTTATCGGCACGAATCACTGAGCTAGAAGATAAAATCACTTCAATGAATGATGAGCTCATTAGGCTTCGGAAAAATGACGCGCTCAATCTGGCACTTGAGTTGGTGGAGAAGAATTTGGTAAACAGTTTCAATGTTAGTAAGAAGCTATTGCATCGAATACGCATTGATAATGGGATAGATGTGGGTATACCACAACCTGCTGGCGCATATACGAGCAATAAAATTGAAGAGAGGAAAAAGGGACATGAAGCAAAGCCATTGCTGACAAGGCGAGAGTCCATGCAATCCATCTCAAAAGCCAAGTCAATCCTCACTCCTTTAGATACGGCAACGAGAGATGAACCTACAACAAAGAAGTTTGAAATACCACATTTTTTCAAAAAAAATGACCAATTTGAATCCTCATCCAAGTTTCTGAGCATTTTGGATGAACTGGATTCAGAGGAGATGTTTGATATAAGACTGGTTGGGGTGTTTGCAAAAGAGCCAACAATTAACAGTGATGATGAACAAAAAGATGGTGGTGGTGTTGAGGGGCCTTTAAGCCCAGTAATAGTAGAGAATCCATCGAGAGAGAGAAAGGACAAGGATGATGAAGAAAGTAACTTTTTAGCAGAATTCGGTCGCCATGAGTCGTCATTTGTGGAAATGAAAGAGAAACAAGAAAATTGTAAAGAGAGGAACATTGAGTCGAGACAAATGAAAGAGAAGCTGACGTCGATATTGCCTGATATGCTGGAATATGAAGCCGTTTTGGAGAGTTTGAAGTGTGATGGCGAGATAAAAGAGAAACAACAGGACGTTGCTATCACAGATGATGGGGCGGAGGGTAGCGGACATGATGATAAATCTAAGGGTAGTGAAGGACACAACACAAACTCTAAACATAAAATTTGTCACAAAGAGGTGGGTGAAGCTGCGCCACAACAAAAACCCGTGAATGTCATTGAGTTGGACAATGATACGAGTCCAAGGAGACCCACCAGATTGAGAAAGAAGCCAACCTCTCAAGTGCGTACACCTGGTTCAATTACCAAACAAAGGAGACTGAAAAGAATCCAAATCAAAGAGGATTCTCCCGCGGTTGAAACAGAACACGAACCACAACCAAACACCCACGAAAAGAAAACTATCCCAGTGGCAATTGAGCGCGAAGTGATTGAGTTGGATCTTTCCCCTACCAAGTCCACCGAGAGCAATGATCATGCATCAAATGCAACCACCAAGAGCGGGAAAAGGAAACCGCTTTCAAATTTGACAAACAAGATAAACAACAAGCCAGCAAAGAAACGTAAGCATAGCCTTAATACAGATTGGGACCTTGATATATTCGATCTTCGGAATGCCTAACTAGAAGAGGGTCGCCAATTATGAACGTATATAGTACTTGTTTATATTTAATTCTAACTAAACTAGAGATCAGTTTTTAGCAGAAACCCACTTTGATTAAAGACAGCTCCATTCAGACGCTATTAAACACTCATTTTCATCTTGATTGAAGGATAAGGTTCATATCCAACAATTTCAAAATCTTCAAATTTAAAATCATCAATAGTTTTAATTGCATCTTTTCTTTCTTCCTTGATCACCAATTTGGGAAATTGTTTTGGTATTCTTGTCATTTGTTCCTTTAATGCATCAATATGATCTAAATATACATGGGCATCACCCAAGGTATGGATAAATTCTCCACAATCCATATCCACCACATGAGCAACCATCTTTGTGAGTAATGCATATGATGCAATATTGAAAGGTACACCCAAGCCCATATCACACGATCTTTGATATAATAAACAGGATAATTTTGGTCTGCTTGATATTTTGGCTTTCTTGGTGTTGCTGGTGTTGGAGTTAGAAGCCAGTTGAGACTCATTAGGGAAACTGACATAAAACTGGCAAAAGACATGACATGGGGGCAACGCCATCAACAGGAAATCCGGTGGGTTCCAAGCTGACATGATGATTCTTCTATCATATGGATTAGTTTTTAACTTCTTAATTACATCTTGCAACTGATCAAAACCTTGGCCAGTATAGTCAGTATCGCAATCTTTATATTCAGCACCAAAATGCCTCCATTGAAACCCATAAACTGGTCCCAAATCACCTTCACGACGATGGGTCAATCCAAGATTGTCTAAAAATTCTCGCAGACCATTGCCCTCCCATATTTTAACTCCTTTTTCACTCAAGATTTTGGCATCCGTGGATCCAGCAATAAACCACAAGAGTTCATGTATTATCCCCTTGGAGAATACACGTTTAGTAGTTAGCAATGGGAACGAATCATTGGATAAATCGAACCGTAATTGTGGTGGGGCAAAGAGGGATTTGGTTCCCGTTCCGGTTCTATCTGGTCGATGTTCTCCTTCGTCAATGATTTTTTGACAGAGATCCAAATATGCTTGTTCTGCTTTGTTGATAGAGACTGTCATTTTGGAGATATGAGTGTACAGTCTGAAGAGTAAAAACTTGTGCAGTGTGTATCTGAAGCTTTTGTTTTGTTTCTCTCTCGTCGCGTCTGAAAACGATTCTCAATTTTTTTAGTTTTTTATTTTTAGTTGCAAGTTTATGCAAGACGCAATTGCGACTGCCTATTTCATGCCAATTTTACACTACACCCACACATCTTTACCATCCTCTCTTGTTATGCATCTTCGGGAACAAAGTGAAAAACACATTCCCATAAGGGCTCTTCTCTTTTGAAAGTGTCCCAATGCGTACCTCTACTTCAACAAGACCAAGAAACATCCAGTTTGTCCATCATAGGCACCTAGTACCAAAGCTTGACACGCATTTGAGAAAGGGTTTTCCATTACTGAGAGACATTGGGCCCAATTCTTTTGGTCAATGGCTGTACGCAGTACAATTGGTTGAAATTGTGCGTAAATTAATCCGCTACTAAAGTTCGATTGAAAAATCAAAAGCGTATGCTCCGCTTTAGGTAGACAAACTTTGCAAAAAAAAAAGGAAAAGAAGGAAAGATGTTGTCCTATCGGTTTATTGGTGTTGACAGGAAAAAAGGACGTACGGTGGAAGTTACAAAGATGTATCAACAACCGACAGTACTTTTGATACACTGAAGTTGCGGTTACCTTTTCGAAATTGTATACAAGTGCCCATGGAATTGACACGACTACCGAGGTTAAATTGTGTGTAGACCTGGGTAAGGGGTAACTAATCCAATTATCTCGTAAAAAAGTAAAGTTTTAATCTTGTACCAGATCCATCTTATTGTCAAAACTTTAGTGGAGAAACAATAGTTCACAGTGAGTAATAAAACCCAACTGTGATGATCATAATGATGATGGAAATAACGAGTGACTCCCCCTGACTCTGTCTCCGTAGCAACCCAACAACAACCACCACCACCACCACCACCTTGCTGTGCTGTTGCCCTTAGTCTTTTTTTTTTTTTTTTTGGTCTATATGACACAAAATCAATAGCAACCAAATCCAAACTCTATGCCGCATAGTATTCTTTCTTTTTATTACGACGTCACACCTTTATTGATGTCATAGCAAACACACGCAGAGTGACATACCTACATGTTACAAGGGACAAAGTATTTGTTGTACAAAGTGGGGAAGGGGAAGGGGAGGAGGAGGGGCAATTGAAGGAGGTCATTCATTTTTTTTGCCACAATCTAAAAACCGAGACAAGTAAACAACAACAACAACAACAACAACAACAATAGGGCGGTTGTTTTGCTTTTGTTTACATTTTAATCCTCGAGGAAAATACGTGTGTATGTAAGTTGGGGGAAAAAGGTGGTATAAATAGGATCAAATGTTCCCATCTATTCAACTCTCTCTTACTCCACTTCATTACACATCCACATACAACACTACAAAACTACAACTAAAACAAAAAAACAATAATATGTCTGACTTAGGTAGAAGAGATATCGGTGACAAGGTTGAGAGCAAAGTTAAGCCTGATTCCCAAAAAACCCTTTTTGAACAAGCTAAAGATAAGGTTGCCAATGCTGCTGATAGTTTGGCTGGTAAGGGAACTTCTGAGCACGACAAGTCAATTCCACAAAAGGCTTCCGACACTGTTTTTGGTGACAAGTAAAGTGAAAGGGTATAGCTAAAAAGAATATATAGTTTTAATAATTCAATACAAATTGTTTGAAGAACAATTCAGATGGGTAGAGCAGTAAGTAGTGTTTAATCTGTCATTTGAGTGAATGCTTCGGCATCACGAAACATAAACTGATGTGTCTAAATGATACTTTTATAATCCCTCATATTTTATTACTTTTTAGTTTTAATTTATAAGAGAGTTGTAGCTCTTGATAAAAGGGTGGAAGTAATAGATGTAGTTTGATTTGTTCAATAAATGGTACGTGGGGCATAGATCTCCAAAGATGATACACGAATTAAACACCAACACACACCAATCAGCCTACAACAAGAGTGATGTTTTTAACTTCAATTGAGTATTTTATTATAGATAAAGCTATATATGAGCTGGGCCAAAAAGCACAACTCTAAACTCTAGCAAAACTAGCTGCAAGACAAATCAAAAGCTAATCTATTTGTCACCAAAGACAGCGTCAGAAGCAGATTGAGTAGCAGACTTGTCATTTTCTGAAGTTCCCTTACCAGCCAAGCTGTCAACAGCGTCAGTAACCTTGTCCTTAGCTTGTTCAAAAGTAGACTTTTGAGAGTCTGGTTTGACCTTGCTTTCAACTTTGTCACCGAGATCTTTTCTTCCTAAGTCAGACATATTATTGTTTTTTTTGTTTTAGTTGTTTGTTAATGTGAATTGAATTCCAAAAATAAAACTAATGAATAGAAGAAGAAGAAGAAGAAGAAGAAGAGAAAGAGAAGGAGAAAAAGAGTAGATGGAATTGGTCCCCTATTTATAGTGTGATTGCAAACAACAACGACAGTCTCTCAAAACAATTTCGTCTCGAGGCAAGAGACGAAGGTGTGTGTGAAAAGTAGCAACCTTTTCCATCTTTTGTGTAATATTTTGCACATGCAACAAAGACAATACAATTCACTAACCCACCCATACCGTACAGCAATATTATAATCATAAAGAAAACAAATAAAAGACAAAAAAAGAAGAAGCATTACGTGTTAACTTTACAAGCTTTTGTTTCAATTGGGTAATCAATGGAATGGAATGACCCCACATGACTTCGTCTAACTCGGTACAAAGTCAATTGCCTTTCAGCATCATAGCCCGCCATCTACTGAAGTAATTGGTTGGTTGGTTGATTGATGTTTTATTTCATTGCTACCATCTTTGTGTAATAAACAGAGAAAGAAAAATAGTCCTTTATGATTGCTATCAATACAATACAGTTAAAGAAAGAATACCTCACCGCCACCACAATTTGACAGAGACAAAGAGATAGAGGTAGTGTGTTTGTGTGTGTGTGTGTGTGCGTAAGTAACCCTTTCACTCCTTTTCGGTAACCATTGGACTGTCCATAACCTAATTGAGTAATGGAACGGAATTCCACCTCAATTTCGCAATGGACAGTCCAATTCGAATCGAAACGATTGATTACGATGAAGATTCTCCCCCACACTTTTTTATTTGTTTTTATTTTTATTTTACTCTTTTTCATTTCGAATTGTAGTGGTTCTAGATTTACCACAATTTATTATGATGCTACAAAAGCTTTCAGACCACAACAATACGCCTACGGTATGAAACCAGAGCTTAACTGCATCCATCTCTCTCCTGACATAACTTTACTTATATTTGCAACCATGCGAAATACTTAAACCATCGTGGCTCTACAAGTACACAATTGGCTTTAGCAATCAACAATGGTTTATTCCCCTTATTTGCCAAAGTTTCCAAATATCCTTCAATAACAACTTTCCTACCCTTGGCTTCTTTAACTCTTGAATGCAACACAACTGTACTTTGAGGTGGAGCTTGGTTTTCAAAATCAATCAGTAAACTAGCGGTAACGCCTCTTTTGGAAGGTAGTTTACTAAAACCAGCTGAACATAAGCCCTCATCCAATATCGTGGCAATAATTCCGTTGTGGATTTGTCCGTCTTGACTAATCAACTTATCCCCTAAATGATAGAAACTGGTCAATTCCCCAGTTGATTCATTGACAAATACAAGTGGATCAATTTCCATCAAATCAGGTCCAAATAAAATGCCTGTGTTTATATAGTTGGAGCGATGCTGTTCAGGAAATGATTTACTTGATGTGTAATGTTTGACATTGGGGTTGGATGCAAGTTTCTTAAATTCATCAGTGGCTTCAATTTGTTGAATGACTGCGTCATTGATATGATTTAGTTTACGATCAGTGGCAAATTGACCTTTTCTCCAATCTTTGGGAAACGCAACTGCACCTACTGCAAATGCAACTAAAGGAATAGTTTTCCTCACTGTACCTCTAAACATGGTGGCTGTGGAGTTTGATGAGTTGGGTAGGGGGGGTTTATGTGCATGGAATGATTTCTGTCAAATCCCTCCTCTCTCAGCGAACAAGAAGAAAAAAAGATAAACGACAAAGCCGCAGTAATTACCCTTTTTGTAGGAGCTCTCTCTCTTCCAGTGTAGAGCGCATCTACTCAATTCACGCTCTGACATACGCTCATAGGGCAAAAGGACGCTACAACAAAATGAGAAAGCACAGAGGCACTGACACGAATCACACTTTATATCTCATTCAATTCTAACCAGGTTGAGATGAGAGATGTTTACGGTTTTTCTATGGGGAGGGGTAGCGCGGTCGTACTTATTAAATATTTTTTTTTTCATTCTCGCGATGAGTTTCCCATCCCATCTCGATGCACTTCTTTCATTCATCAATATCAACATCAATTTCAATAACTACAAGATGGGGAATAAATTAAAGGGCACCAAGCGTCAAAGTGATAGAGCCGTAGCTAGTCCCAGCACAAAGAAGGTGAAGTTGAATGACTCGAAGTCAAAAGTTGCACAATTAGAATCAGAACCTGATTCAAGTAGTGAAGATTTATCAGTAAGTGAGGATGACCAGGAATCAGCGAGTAATTCAGGCGCATCGGATGATGACGAATTAGACGATTTAGACGAGGTTGAGCCAGATGAGGACGAGTTGGATGACCTCAATGAAGTTGAAGTAGGCGATGTTGAAGAGAAAGAAAATGCAACAAAATCAGTCGACCCAAATAAAAAAACATCAAGAGAACAACACTCTGAGCAAAGGAAATTACTAAGTGATAGAAAATTACAAAGAAAATCCGGCGCCAAGGTGCAAGATATCAAGAAATTGTGGGAGAAACTTAGAGTAAAACATCCGGCACCAACAAAAGCACAACGTGATAAGTTATGTGACGAAATTTGGGAATTGTCGCATGATGTAATAAACGACTTGGTTTTGAAACACGATGCATCAAGGGTAGTACAGACATTGATCAAGTATTCCGGTAAGGAAAGAAGAGACAAAATTGTGGATGCATTGAAAGGCTCTTTTTATCAATTAGCCACTTCAGCATATGGTAAGTATTTGCTCATCAAGATATTGCACTATGGGTCAAAGGAGTCTCGTGAAGCTATTGTTAATGAGCTACATGGTAAGCTTCGTAAGTTGATGAGACACAGGGAAGGCGCATACGTTGTTGAAGATTTGTTTGTGTTGTATTCTACAGCTGCACAAAAACAGCAAATGATTAGGGAATTTTGGGGAAGTGAATATGCCGTGTTTAGAGATTCCGGCAAGGGCAAAACAGTTGTCGATATTATCAAAGAGTCTTCGGAAAAGAAACAACTCATTATGCAAAATTTGTACGGAACGATTAAAGCATCAGTTGAAAAAGGATCAACTGGTTTCCAAATCTTGCATGCAGCAATGAAAGAATATGTGAGTGTTTTGGTTGAAGATATCGACGCCAACGATTCGGCCATTAGGGATTTCATTGATTTATTGAGTGAACAATTTGCCGAATTGGTGCACACTCAAGAAGGGTCAGAAGTTGCATGCTGTATAATTGCCTTGGCGAATGCAAAGGAAAGAAAAGGTATAATTAAGAGCTTGAAAACCCATAGACAAGAATTGATCAAAAATGAATACGGAAATGTTGTCTTGATTACATTATTTTTGGCTGTGGATGATACTGTATTAACCTACAAGTCATTTTGCAGTGAAATGTTTACTTCCGAAGAGCTCCCACCATTAGTGCAAGACAAGTTTTCCAGAAGGCCGATTTTGTATATATTGCGTGGGTTGGATGGTAAATATTTTTCTCCAAATGTCAAACAAGCATTGTTGAAATATCAAGACTTGGCCTATGCCAAGACATCGAAAAAGGATAAAGTGATAAAAAGACAAGAGTTGTTTGACAAATCCATTGAACCAATTTACAAAGCATTGCTTGATAGTCGTGAAAGTGGTGAATTTGATAAATTATTGTCAGTCAATATTGGTGCTCAATTTATCACTGATCTTTTAACAATTGCAACCACCAATGAAAAAGTCAACTCCAAGTATAGACCGCAGTTGTTGGATACAATTTTCAATAAAATCATAAAGGGAGATATATTGGAAGATTACCATTTGTTGAACAAAATTCCATTTATGTCGAGATCAATCAAGGCATTGATGCATGGAAACCTCTTCAAATTTGACAATGAATCTAAAAAATTGATCCAAGTTGAAGGTGCAGGAAACATACCTGGAATTGGTGTTGACTTTGCTGAAAGGGCAGTTGATGAGATTTTGAGTAATGACAAGTTGATGGATTGGACTCGTGGTCAACCGGCTTTTGTGTTGGTTGCAGCATATGAAGTTTTACAATTGGCCAATTCAAAACAGGCCAAAACATTACAACAACAGTTGAAAAAGGAGAAAAAGAATTTATCCAAGGAAGATAAAGGTTCAAATCTTTTATTAGAACTTATATAAAAAAGGACAAACATCATAGTAACGCTTCGTCAGCATCGATTTCCTCTTCTTCACTATAGTCATCATCATCATCCTCGCTCAAACTCTCCAGGTTATCATCATCATCTTGGAATATATTCAGCACGCTACTGAGCTTTCTTTCAATCTTTACGCCCATCGGTTTTTCCGAGTGAGTGTACTCAGCTAGCCCATAACTCGATCCACTCTCAATACTTTCATCATCATCACTTCCATCTGAACCATCATTACTTCCACTTGGTTTCTCTTGCTTTACTTCATCATCAGACTCTTGTTGATCCTCATCATCCATTGTTATTGTTATAGCATCTACATCAATGGCCTTCTCGTCTGCTTCAAACTCTTTAAACCACTCCAATTTACTTCCACACCTCAAACATGGAACATCATCACCACTTGATTTCATCACATTGAATTGAGTAGCAATACAAACGTAGCAATACACATGGCCACAATTTGTGATACATGGATTTGTTACCGGCCCTGCTGTTGTAAACACCCTACCCCCTGACTGTGCTGCTTGATGGTTGTTGTAATGACAAATGGCACATTCCAGCACCGGTAAATTAGTATAAGGAGTCAATTGTTTTGCATCATTATTGCCCAGTTCAAATTCAATTGTATTTGGTCCATTGGCTCTATGATACAATTTCTTAGTAAATTTGCTAATCTTGCGCAATTGCAACAATGGTAAAAGAAACACCAAGAATTCCGTCATTACATTCCAAACCAATTGTCGATTTTGAAATTCATAATTGACGTTGCTTCCATTAAATTTTAATAAATCTGAAATTATGGGCGTTTCAATGATCCCAAGTAATCGATGAAGGATCGATGGATACTTTCCATTGATTAAAAACACAGTGAAATTGAGTAAATTAACCGTTTTCAAAGTATTATCTATCCTTGTCAATATTGCCGTTCGATTATTCAATATGACGTGTTTCAATCTTTGAAACAACGAGGTGCTTTCTTCGTCGTCCTGTCCCGTTATTTCATTGATTTGGTAAAGTGCCGTTTCCAACTTTTTGTACAAGTATGTACCAACCAACGCCGCCAACAAAATCCCCTTTTTATTAAGCCCAATAATTTTCCCAGTTCTAGAATCCGTTAGTTTTAAATTCTGTAACGATGACCCATACGAGGAGCCTGATTTCCATATTGTCAATTTAAAAATGAGTAAATTCAAAAGCAACGAATAAGTTTCTGGGTGACGATTGTATGAAAGCTTGCTAGCGAGTGAGTTTTGGTTTTCGTGAAGCTGGAAAATGGATGATAATTGGTCTTTCAAAAGTGTGAATAGCTCAGAGTCTAAAATGTTTGCATCTAGTTGAGATACTCTTGAAGAAGGATATGGTATGGGGAACATAGCAGTGAGTGGTTGCCGAACTGAATATGGATCTTAATCTTCTCCCTCCCCACACATTCCTTTCGGCATTTGTGAAAAAAATTGAAAAAAGATGGAGAGCGCTACCCATCAAATTTTGCCACTTTGGAATCAGGGACACTAGGTTGAATTTTGATCTACAATGTGTTGAATTTTTAACTTGCCGGTGTCATCTTTTAAAATAGCTATACACAAGTGAATCTCCACGTATTCTGTTCTGCACCGTTAGCTCGCACATGGCGAGGGGGGAAAATTTTTCAATACAAATGATTCTTCCCTCAGTCATTAATTTCCGCGTTGAAGCAAATGCAAAATCTCAGTGGAGATTTCACCCACCAAAAGCGAGGTTTGACGTAAAGGTAAACCTTGCAATAATTCGACAACTTGTCCTATCACCTCTTTTTCCTTCTCGTTTGGACGATTGAATCCTGCAATCACCACATTCATTAGTATATGCTTCAAGATCTTCAATAACAGCACCTGTATCACCGGATGTTGATGATGATATTTCAATTTCACCACAATGTTTTCAACTATATTCACCTCCAGCATAGTTCTAACCAACGTAGCGTCCATGGTCATTAATTTCAAGTAAACATCAAGAACTGATTCTAAACTAGCAACGTTGGGTAAAAGAAATCCAGCAGCTAAACAGCTATTTGCTTGGGGCCCGTCAAGTTTAACGTGTCTTGGGCTCATTTGATACCAAGCATATAGTGATTCCAATGCATTCGATTGCCAATATGGATCAAGTAGCAAGTTAAAATACAATCCAAGGATATCGCACGATCTCAACTTTGCCCTGATAGACTTGCCGCAATAGACCAACTCACACATAATGGGCAATATAAATTGCCGAAAAGGTAGTTTGACCAAAGATAGAGACCTCAAATGCGGAAGTGCTCCCAATTTGACAAACTCAACTTCCTTTGCATGATTTAGGGAAAGGCAATTGTAAATAAGTGGCGCAAGATTGTTGATCACTTCCTTATAGTTGGACTTCGATGGCACATATTTTTCCAACAAACTAGCCAAAAACTCCAAAATGTCAGCTTTGTAGAGGTATTTCAAAACATCTCCAATACACGACATCGACCTAAAGAACCCCAAGACAACAATCTGCTGAGTAAAAGTCAAATTGTCGTATAGCTTGACCAAAAGTTTGAATATATCGACATTAGCAACAGCCACTCTGACTTTTGTCTCTGCTTGACTGAAAAATCGAAGAACATCAACAATTTTACCAGCAGCCAGCTCCAATTCGTCTTGTTGCGCAACGCTGTAACTCGAATGATGACACCTTTTCAAGATCATATTCAACAACACGACAAACCAAAATAGGACACCATGTTTGGTCAAAATTCGACATATATCAGACTTCGATTTGCTAACATCTCTAATCAAAATATTGTGAATTGTATCAATAGCAACCAAAGGGAATATGGGGGTAGTGTCAAAATCCTCTTCAACAAACTTGGCAACCAATCTAAGTCCACCACATGAAACAAACATCGACAAAGCATTGTTTGAAACGTTCAACCTGTTGATAAATCTAGCGACTTCAATCCTTACTCGCTTGTCGTAAGCCGAGCTTCTAAAATGCGCTATTGTAGGTATTCCTCCAAGAAAGCAAAAATTCTCCAATTGCCCCACGTTTGACTCAAACACATAGTTCAACACAGACAAAGTATAGTACCATAGCTGGTTTTGTTTCGGTATATCTTGATGAGACTCCAACAACTCCATGAGCGAAAGCACACCATGATCTCGAATAAAGGTGTCGTGCAGAAATGGATACTTTTTGACTAAGTGTAGCATTCTGCCAGTCACTTTGATTAATTTCTCGACATTATCCACATTACCAGAATGTAATTGCTCCAAATTGTGGGACAACTTTGTCATCAAGTACTCCATTTTTGTTTGAATTTCAATCTCATTGGTGTCAAAATTATCCACTTCAATATCCAAGAACGGATCCTGCTCTTCCTTATTCTCTGTATCTTTATTTAAGATGGGGAGTGAACTACCCTTTGCAAATATTGATGACGAAAACAGTTCCCGATCTTCGTCTTCATGAAATTTATTCAAAAGATCATTTTTGGAAAGCTTAGTCTTTTGAATTAATTGAGTCCTGGAAAACTTGGGTTGCATCGCAGTGTCAACATTATTGGTAGATTCATGATTTGAATAGTTCGATGCAACTGGCTCATCCGGTGCTAGCAAAAGTGAATTTCTCTTCTTCTCGTGATTCAGATTACCCAACAGCTGGTGCAACCATCTGTGTTTAAGCAACAAGCTTGCACTTATTCTTAAATTTGGTTGTTTTTGAAAACACTCCAAAAGGAAATCACGTGCCAAGGATAATATGTTTTTTGGCAACGGTGGATGGTCGTCAGTACCAATAGCATGAAGAGTGGCCATTGCATTCAACTCGTGATAAGGTGGATTGGTTGTGAATAGTTCAATTATTGTCGCACCGAGTGACCATACATCGCTTGCAGTACAAAGACCTTCACCCCCAAGAACAGTTTCTGGTGCCATCCAATTTGGCGTTCCTACCACAGTATAATGTTGCGAGTTCACCTTAGAAGCAACCCCAAAATCAGCCAATTTGACTTCACCGTTATCAGTCAAAAGGACGTTGGCAGCTTTAACATCCCTATGCACCACACCTTGTTCATGCAAGTAATTTAGACCAGCTAAAATTTCTTTCACGTATTTGACAATTTCAACCTCAGGAAGGCCACTTTTGCGTTTTTTGTACAACTGTCGTAACGAGCCTCCTCCACAATATTCAAGTATAACATTCAAGGTGGTTGACGTTTTAACAAACCCATGGTATTTGACAATGTTTGCATGCTTCAATATTTTCAAAAGACCAATCTCTCCCATCAAAACACCAACATTTTGGTCCTGTTCGAGCCGTATTTGTTTAATTGCAACAATACGCCCCGTTGCCAAGTTCTTTGCTTTGTAAACACTTGCAAATGCCCCGTTACCGATTAACGTACCAAATTCAAAATTATCGAGTGCTGTCAGTGTGTGTACATTATCCTTTGGCCGCGTTTTTTGTGCTGGAGTCAACGATATCTTCACTGAAGTGCTTCTTTTGTGTTTCGGCGTTGAGTTAACATCACCAATTGACTTTGCCGGACTGAATTCATTGAAATTGTTAAGTTTAGTTTCTGGTATTTCTTGTAGTAGATGTGACGATTGAAACTTGCTAGTTTGGTGCTTCGTGGAACCATGGCGATCCAGTACTGGAGAAGACCGAAACGCACTAGCATGATCAGTTTTAAAGGTTGACCCAGACTTCTCTTGTAGTCTCTTCATAAATGGCGATTCATCACCATTTCCTTCACGTACTAGGATCGGTAACGATTTGGCAAGTGCATTGGTGCTTGAAAACTTTGAGAACGATAACTCATCATAAAACTCAAATCCTTCTAAATCATTCACATTGTCAAAGTTCTCCTGATACTTTGTCAACGTGGCTTTCTTGCTAATTGTGTCAGATTTAGCTTGATCGGTGGAAGCTGTATGGTTCAGTAGCTGAATTTCCAAATTACCAATATTCTCTAGATTGGAAAGTTGATTAGTTGGTCCCTGCATTTTTCTCATATACTCATGATATGGTAATGTGGTGTTTATGTGGATTCGTGCCAAGGTGGTGATTTTGGTTGTAAAAAAGAAAAACTTGATCCTTTGTTTACATTTTTGATATGGAGTGTTTTTTTTTTTTACAACTGTGTCGATGCTATTTAAAGATGGATTACAAGGTGTTCAGATTGGATACAACCACAAACATCTTTCCGTCAGTCCAATCGTTACTACCTCATGAAAGAGACCAATGACAACTTGCGTATATTCAGACCTGAACAAATCCTATAAAACTCAAAAAAACGAAACCCCTTCCTTAGGCAACCTTGATTAATAATTTACCCTTTGGTTTATCTCCTGTAAACAACTGGTTCCAAATTTGGGGGACTTTGGCAAACTTTTGTTCTTCAGAATCACCAGTCAATGCCTCCACATGAATGGAATCATCAACATCCAATTTCTTTTCCTTTATTGCCTTTGATAAGATGTCAATAGCTTCAGGGAATTGTTCTTTGTAAACATTGACAAGAAATCCTTCCACTGTCAAGCATTGAGCTATAATGTGGAACCAGCTCGTAACTGTGGCAGCTTTGGGGTTATTGTAGCCCGATATAGCACCACAAGCAGCAACTCTTCCAAATGTTGCCATTTGACTTAAAACAAAACTAAGTATTTCACCTCCTACATTGTCAAAGTAAACGTTGATGTAGTCACCATTGAGAAATTTTACAATTTGGCTTTGGTAATCAGGATTCTTGTAATTAACGCACAAATCAGCACCAAGCTTCTCCACCCATTTTGCTCTTTCATCAGATCCACAAATACCAATTACTTTGGAAGCACCAAGTAAGTGCTTGGCTATTTGCACCACAGTGGAGCCAACAGCACCGGAAGCAGCTGAAACGCAAACAATAGGTCCTTTTTCCTCTTTCTTGGACAAGAATTTCTTCAATTGACCCGCTTCAGTTAAGCCAAAGAATGCAGTCAATGAAGTCATTCCCAAAACCGACAAATAATAAGGCAATGGCAAGCCTGTACTGGTGTCAATCTTGTTGAATACAGCATTTGCTGGTAAGATTGAGTAGTCTGCCCACTGGATCCTTGAGCTGATGACATCACCTTCTTTGAAACCATCTGCATTTGACTTTACCACTTCAGCAAGTCCATAAGCTTCCATCACATCACCTTCGTAGACATTTTTTGAGTAATTTCTAGCTTCATTCCCTTTTTTTCTAAGCCAATTGCGCTGGGTTGGGTCATTGGAAAAGTATAATGCCTTGATTAGCAAATCTCCTTTTTTCAAGTCTGTGTCAAGTTTGGTTTCTTTCACCGCAAATGTTGCATCTGGCTTGGATGTATCTGCAATGATACCACCATTTGGGGGGTTTCGTTCAAATATAACTTGAGTAGCCTTTGTAGGTAACGACATTGTTTGAATTTGATAGTAGAATAAAAAATAAAATGGTTAAAACTAGATGAAGAAATGTCACCCAATTTATTGCTGCAGAGTAGAAATAAAGGGAAGTTTTAGTGCGGTTCTTTGCGGTGTTCGCAACCGGAGTTATCAAACACCGGAAATGCACTTACTGCGTTTTTCTTCTTCGAAAAATCAAATATTCATTTCCTACAAAGTGATGGCCCCAAAACACAATTTATTCCTCCTATTTAAGCTACCTTGGTAATTAATTTACCATTTGGCTTCTCTCCAATAAACAATTGGTTCCAAATCTTTGGAATTTGTTCTAATTTCTTTTCAATACTGTCACCAGTCAACGAATCAACATGGTAAGCACCCTCTGTCTTGATCTTGCCCTCCTTAACAGCCTTAGCTAATTGTTGGGTTCCTTGTTCAAACTTGGCAAAGTAGTCACTGACAATGAAACCTTTTACTGTCAATGAGTTGACGGTAATTTCACCCCAGTTCTTGATACCTGGTGCCGAGTTGTCCCCTTTGGAATTATAAGTGGAGATGGATCCACATGAGATGACATGACCATACTTGGCCATCTTGGTCAAAGCATAGTCCAAGATTGAGCCACCCACATTGTCGTAGTAGTAATCAACCAAACCATCACCAAGGAATTCATCAATTTGTTTTTGATAACCGTCCTTTTTGTAGTTGACACATAAGTCAGCACCTAATCCTTCAACCCATTTGCATTTTTCATCGGATCCTGAGATACCAATAACCTTATCAGCACCCAAAACGTGTTTGGCAAGTTGAACAACGACTGATCCAGTAGCACCAGAAGCAGCAGAAACCAACACCGTATATGGTTTTTCTGATTTTTGGGTCAAATATTGTTTCATTTCACCAGCCTCAGTCAAACCAAAGAAGGCAGTCAAAGAAGTCATACCCAAAACAGAAACGTAAAATTCCAATGGGAAGCCCAAAGATTTGTCAATCTTGTTGAAAACAGTTGCATCTTGAACAGTAATGTAATCGGCCCAGAAGAATTTTCCATTTACCAAATCTCCCTTGACATATTTTTGTGATTTGCTTTCAATGACTTCTCCAATAGCCAATGATTCCATAGGAGCACCAATCTCAACAGGTGGGACATAATATCTCTGCTGACTGTCCTTTGCTCTGATCCATCCTCTTTGAGTTGGATCATTGGATATTAACAAAATCTTAACCAATAATTGTCCATCTTTTAATGGTTCAATTGGTCTTTGTTTGATTTCAAAAGTGGAGTCAGACTCGCCAAAGTTTGGATTAATAAATCCGGTTGGTGAGTTCTTGAGCACGACTTGTGTGGATGTTGAAGGTGTAGACATTATTCTGGTATATATAATTTGACTTTAAAAGATATCGAGATAGAGAATAGCAGTAAGAATGTATAAACTGGCAAATACCATCATATTTTGCATCTATATTTATATACAAAATCACCTTCCCCTTTTTTCTTGACAGCAACAATGCTCCATAAAGAAAAAGAACTGCAAAAAAAAGGCATCACCGCGGAATTACTATATTTAGTTAACCGTACAAACTTCATTATCCGTTATGTAACACAAAATTGGGCGAGATGCAATAACTCCGAGCTTTGCCTTCAAAAACACAGATACACGTTGGTTTTTTTTGACATCTGCTTGTACCACGGAATTAGTTCCAAAATGGGAAGGAACATGTGTTCTCACTTACAAACTCGGCCGAGACTGGGCGTACTGAACGACTTAGAGAGAAGATGGGAAAACTCGTGTATTTGTAATCAGATCAAAGTAGAGCTACCCGTCACCCGCGATGAATTTTTGACAGTTTTTGCAGAGCCACTTATGGCGCATTAAATGTCTGGTGATGCACATTACACGATAGAACTTTCTAGATCATTTTCAGATGATGCTACCCAGTACACACAATTGGTCCAACCTAAACAATTTTACACCCGAAACAAAAAAAAGAAGCAAAATCTTTCTAAACATTTACAAACAAAAGAGAGTATACCCAAACAACCCTTTACTTCTCAAATCCACTTGTATTCGCCATTGCAGCATCATGCTCATCCCTCTTTATTGCCTCTCGGTTCCAACTCAATAAATTGACATCACCAGTCTTTCTTGGCTTGATAAAGTTGATAACTAATAAAGCCAACCCCAAAACAAAACATATTCCTCCACCAACCATCCAAGCAATGCCCAAAAAGTCATTCTTACCTCCAATCACTGATCTCTGTGAAAGATAAATGTATTTTCCTCCATTGTATGGGAGTACTGGGAAATGCAACCCAATATTGATTTGATATACACCGGCTTGCAACGTTGCCGAATCGTTTCGTAAAGCTAACTTGTTGAATGTGGCTAATGCACTTGGGCGCATCCAATTGTGGAATTGGGGCCATTGTGAAATGTCAGGAACATTTGTTTCATTATATCCATTGGGGTACATCTTGTGCCAATTTGGGGGTGGTACTATCTCAGTATGACTATATTTGGTCTTTTTGAATCTATTTTTGTCAGTTGACCAATTGATACCCTTTTCGGTAAGCTGCACCGTTTTATCAGCACTTGTACCATTAACTGCTTCAAACGCAGTTGAAAAAGTATCATTGAACAAACTATTGGCAATAAGACCACATGGATAAATCTTTTTTCCATCTCTTTGTGACAACGGTTCGCAATTTTGTCCAACTGTGTTCTTGATTGTATCTAGACTTGCTGCTTTCCCATTTAATTGATCTTCGCTAAACGACTTGACATAACGACGGTGATTGGCATGGAACTTGTGCAATCTGTAATAAAGATAGAGAGGTCCTTTGATATCAGTCAACACTTGAAACTGTATTTGACACACCTTTCTGTCCTCTTCATATGGTTGAGTGTCATCAGTCACAATTCTCCACGAAAAGTTTGGCTTATATCCAGTATAGTCTCTTTTAAAGTTATAGCTGGTGTAATTATCAGGTATTGGAGTAAATGTATTATTCAATGCCATTTCTTCACATTGGGTGTATTCAATAGTGATATCCTGAATTCTATCTGATGCATACCACATGGCTGCTCCTAGTGGTACAAATATTATAGCAATAGCCACTAATAACGGAATCACAGTCTTGGCGGTTAACACGGGATTATAAGCTTTCAATCGTTGTTGCCTGAATGGGTGGTCAGATGGTCTCCTAGTCTTTTCCTTCTTATCCGTATCTAATGGCTCGTCTTCTGAGGATGATCCAGAATCGTAGTCATCCCTGTCGTTGCCACTTTGTCGATTGTCGCCATTAGGATATCCTTCACGTGATAAAGCTGGCACATCAGCATCAGCCAATCCAGCAGCTGGCTCTGGCTGCTCTGAATCGTATGCGTAGTACCTCGATGCCATTGTGTTTAGAAAATCCAAAGGTATCTTTAAAGTCGCAATTTTGTCGATGTTACCTTTTTTGTTTTGTTCTTTTTTATTTTTAAATTTTTTTTTCGTTTTTCCCTCATATTAGAGATTTAAAAGCCGATCCCGAAAAGATGTACACAATAGGCTTTCCAGTTTTGGAGATGTGAGGTGGTGAAGTAGATCAGTAATTGGTGTCATGACTGGCGGTCAGTAGAGAAGGTTAGACCCTTGTGGATGTTACTTGGTTTCAGATGAGTCTGACCTTTTTGCAAAATGCCTTCACGAGTGAAACTTTGTTCTACAATTGTTCCTGCCCTGGCTCGTTTCAATTGACTCCTGTAATCGCAATGAGGGATCCTGAATACTCCGCGTGGGTTTGTTGACAAACTCTTGTAATTTTTGCTGCAATTGATCTCCCCCAATTGAATATCTCCGGGTGAGTCAATCGCGGTTGAGGAAAAAACAAACCACATAAATCCGCCAAAAAAAAAAAGCAGAAAAGATCAAACTACGTTTCCCATCCATCAGAACCCAAACTATGTCAGTAAAAATAACTGAAAAGTCGCAAGTACAGAACTTGATTCTTGATAAATATGATTATTTCCTTTTCGATTGTGATGGAGTATTGTGGTTAGGTGACCATCTACTTCCCTCCATTGGTGAAGCTTTGGATTATCTTAAACAACAAAACAAGACAGTGATATTTGTCACCAACAACTCCACCAAATCACGTACTGACTATTTATCCAAATTCAACAAGATGGGGATTTCCAATATTACTAAACTGGAGATCTTTGGATCATCATTTGCATCTGCGGTGTATGTTGAGAAGATTTTGAAATTACCCAAGGATAAGAAAGTTTGGGTATTGGGTGAAGAAGGTATTGAAAAAGAGTTGCATGAGTTGGGGTATAGTACTGTTGGAGGTACAGATCCCAAATTGGTTAAAGAAGGTGTTAAGTTTGACCCTAATACAACCTTGTTTGATAACTTGGATCCCAATGTTGGTTGTGTTGTTTGTGGATTAACATTCAACATCAATTATTTAAAATTGTCCCTCACCATGCAATACTTACTCAAGGACAATAAGAGTATTCCCTTCATTGCTACAAACATCGACTCTACATTCCCAATGAAGGGTAAATTACTCATTGGTGCAGGATCAATTATTGAAACTGTTGCATATGCTAGTGGACGACAACCAGATGCCATTTGTGGAAAACCAAATCAAAGTATGATGAATTCAATCAAAGCACAATTGCCAGGGTTGGAAAAAAACCCCAAGAAAGGATTGATGATTGGTGATAGATTAAACACCGATATGAAGTTTGGAAGAGATGGTGGATTGGACACTATGTTGGTGTTGACAGGAATAGAAACAGAGTCCAATGTGAAACAATTATCTAAGGAAGATGCGCCAACTTATTACATTGAAAAATTGGGAGACATCTACGAATTTACCCATTGAGTTATCCTGTAATAGACTGAATAGATTATTTTAATAGAATATTAAAAAAAAGGTACATTTTGTGATAATAAGATAGTTATTCCTCGTAAGTGATATAAGTTAGCGACACTCTGTTAAAGCAGCTCAATTAACCATCATGAGGATGTATCAAGACACAAGTAGAATAGACATAAGTAAACCTTTTCTGCCTATTGGGGGTCCAACCCAATTTGATACGTAAACAATAGCCGTTTTTGGTCTTTTGCCACAAAAGATCAACAATGTAGCCACTCACTTTTACGATAAGATTACTTGCTGATTAAAGGAATTACATAGTTATACAACTCATTGGCCCAAAAGCAGTTAGGAGAATTGTCCTCTGCTCATTATACCTTCCATGAAATGGTGATTAACGTCAATGACGGAATGAAGGTTATGATATCCAGTTGTAACCGAAAAGAAGAACGTAGAGTCTATGACGTAATGTTGTAAAATAATCGGGAATTTTGTGTAACTAATGTATCATCAGCTGTATTTCTATGTGATTTATAACAAAGTACACTACCCCCAAGAAAATTATTACACACACACATACAAGAAATCAATCGTTTCTCAAATCTATTTTTTCGTGATTGAGTGAGTCCATTCTTTTTAAAATTTGATCTTTGAGATTGGTCTCCCCTTGATTGATGACTACTTGTAGGAAGTATATATGATTTACGATTGATTGATCTCCAGTGTAGTGTCCTTAAAAGTTATGGTTACTCCCAACTCGTAAATGTGTTTTTTTGGCTGTATAAGCGAAGGAAAAAGAGATCTGAATGGATTCGAAAATTAAAAAGCTTAAAAAATTGAGAAGCTCCATAAATCTACCACTTTATTTGGTATATAATAGTTGTTAAAGACTCACCTGAGCTATGGAATGGGGAAGTGTCCACCTCTAAGAATAATTGATCGAATGTTATGTTAATAGATAGATGGATAGACGGTATGTCCATCTTTTACATTTTTCCCAATTCGGGCCTAGAACACATACGCACACAGACTTAAAATATGTGTATTTACAATTTTGACACAATAAGCAGAAGAGAAAGAAAAATTAAGAATCGTTTAATAAAAGACACTTCAAAAGAAAAAGAAAAAGAATAACCAGTCAAAGAAACAACAATTTGAAAACATCTTTAGCTACATAGGAGGCTAACTTGAATTGAATTGAATTGGGGCACAGAGGTTGAATAGTTCATAAATCAAAGCAGAGTAGATATTTCCATCCATTCTGAATTCAACATAGTATAAAATCACTTTCACAAGCCACAGCCCATTATAATAGGTCTGGAATCAAAAAAGCCAGCAGGCAACAATTGAGTATACTAATCGCACTGCTCCAACAACTGAAGCTTTTTCCAAAGTTTTCCAAAGACGAAAGCATTGATCAAAATTTTTTGATAGGGGTAGAGTAAGCTGGAAAAACTTAAGCCATATTTTCAAGTCGGACCAATACACACTACCTCACAAAACAAGGTAGCAAAATTACATCATTTTCTTCAAAACTAATTTTCTTGAAGAAAGGACCAAAACTACAAAAAAACCCACATTCACTTCAAGAGAAGAGAGGGGTAATACTCACATTAAAATCACATTCGCATATATATCTCGTTCCAATGTCATCGCCACAAGGAGGTGCAGTACAGCACTCTGACGACGAAGAAAGATATGTACCCGATATCTACTCATCCGACAAACAACATAAATTACAAGATTCCAAACTAGTTGATTGGGCTGTATTTTCCGAAATTTTACAAATGGATGAAGATGAGGAAGGGTTCTCTCAACAATTGGTGGAAACGTTTGTATCACAAGTTGAGGAAACTTTTGAGAAAATTGAACAATATTTAAAAGAAAAAGATTTGGAGCAATTGAGTTCATCGGGCCATTTCTTGAAAGGATCGGCTGCTGCTTTGGGATTAACTGCTATATCAGGTGAATGTGAACGTATTCAAAATTATGGACACAAGATTAATTTTGATAATTTTAGTCAAAAGGACAAAGAAGGTGGTAAGGAAAAGTCTACAAAGGCCACACTGGAGAAAGGTGATTCAGAAAAGACCAATGGAGAGACCACTACCACCACAAACAAAGAAGGAGAATCGACGTCGAAGGATGCAACAAAACTGGACACCACGACCAGTGAAAAGGCCACCGGTAAGAGCATAACGAATGATAAAGAAGAAGAAGCTGATGATGAATCCGGTGATGATTTTTGGATAGCGGCAATTGAGGATGCATTGTCTAGGGCTAAAGATGGATTCATCAAGACAAGAAAGGCCTTGGATGAGTTTTATGCGTAAGAGTGTTTAGGTAGAGGGGTTGATAGTTTGAAGCAAAAGAATGTACACGGTTTCTGGAAATAACTGCATTTACTTTGCATAGTTATGAGAGGTGAAGTTGATGCAACACGTCTATTCGTCTGATATGCTACCGAAAAAGGATTAGCCTCTGTGATTTATCCAACTAGCGAATTGTAGTTTTTGATCCAACTTAAACCTCCTCTTCCTGCCTCTTCCTTTGCAATAGACATAGATCCATATAATCAACTTTATACGGTATTATCGTCCTGGCCCATCGAGGGATGTAAAGTAATTTTCCAATTACATTGTGATGTCCATCTGGATTGATAATCTTTTTGCATTGCAAAACACGCCAGTTGACTTCATCAACGACAGATAGATCTGGCGTAATCAATTGTGGAGTCGATCCCCATTGTGAATTGTCAACGAAAAAATCACATTGATCTAAGGGAACAACTTTATCTGCTTCAAATTTATTTTGATTGTTCATGTGAAGTGGAACAAACGTCGTTGATTCGATTATGTTGATCTTCGGTTCATGGAAATCACCAGGTAACAATCCATCAAATCCTGACTCGACAAATTGTAACCGATAATTGAGTGGCAAGTGGAAGGAATTGGGGAAATGATACCATTCTTTACCAGTACATACATTGACTTGCTCTACTGATGAAGGTAATTGTGATACAGCTTCGTATATCTGTAGTGGTGCTGCATAATTTTCAACCAAATTAGTTATTCTCAATATAGAAATGACAAGAACAGTGGAGATGAAACCAAATTGAGTGACAACGTAAACGACTCGTGGTAGTTTGCTCCTCACAAATGACATCAATTTTGAAACCATGATTGCTGCAGATAGTGTAATCAATGGATATACAGGGTACATGAATCTTTCCTCTTTATGTGGTTGGCTAAAGAAAATTCCACACCAAATCACCAATTGTACAGAAACGAGTAAACTGAATTTTCTAGCATTGACAGTGATGAACGGATTAACCAAAACTCCAATTGCAGCTAATGGTAAAACAAACTGGAAATTGAGTAACAAATTGATAATATAATAGCTCACTGGCTCTACACCGAAAATCTCTGGCCCTTCACCGTCACCACCAAACACATTATACAAGACAATGTTTATAGGCACAAACACTAACTTCTGCAAGTAGTACGAGTCTATTAATGTGATGACTGCCACTAATGATGCCAAAATTAGTCCAATTTCAACTAAAATGACACTAGGAATACGACACTGACCTATTTGCCACAACGTGTAGACACCCACTGGTAATCCCAAAGCCAAGGCAAATGGCCAGCCTAATAATCCACCAATAAGATACCACGCAATTGCCTTCAATAAACACCCATGCTTCTTCTCACTAACCCCTTCTGTATGAACAACACTCTTGAAAATAAACGTATTTGCCAATAATGTAGTTTGCAAAGCCAACGAGCTAGGTAATAATGCCACCCCTCCATGACTCATCCCCACATTTACACTAGTGAGAAATAACCACCAATTGGCCAAACTCGACGAATAAGTATTTAAATTGACAAACAAATTCATTTCAACAAATGACGTGAATCCACCTAGGGCAACAATTCGCAAGCCATAAAATACATGTAAAGGAGTCAAATCAAGTAGTTGCAACAATTTCCCCACGAAATAGTAAGGTATCAAGTAAGCATATGATCGAATTGAATATACTGGTGAATACTCCCATGTTTGTTTGCCAAAGTGACGCAATAGTAAATTCAATGGTTCCCAATAATTGAATGTCTCATCACAATCGCCAATGATCATGTATAGTGATGAGTATAGTCGGAACGCAACATTGAGAAGTATCAAGCCATATTGTGTTTTGGTGAAGCGCATTTTCTAGTGTCTATAAAGCGTCTTTGAGGTGAAATCAATTTTTCAGTGGTTTTTCAATACTGCACAGATATGAAAACACTCTACACAACAAATGCTATATATATTTATAGATTCACGTCACATTGACTACAAACCGTTACATAGCTACTTCAGCTCCTCTTTCCCTTAGTCATCCAAATATCGTAGTCGGGCCCTTGTTTACCCAAACCGTATCGCCTCAAACTCTCAAACTCCTTTCGATAAATACAACACTCTCTTTGTCTTCCCCTATACATCCTTAGGATCAAGGCCAGGAACATACCTTGGGAATCTAAATTTACTCTTGTCATGATACAATTCCTCGTCCAAACGTTGTTTAACTTCATCGCTTGTTGCACTCTCTTTAATCAAATTTTGCCTCTCTTCTTCAGCAAAATAACGTCTAGCAAGGTTCCTATCTTCCTCAGCTAATAGCAAAGGCTCTAAATGAAATCTTGCCCATTTTTTTTCTCTAGTTAATTCACGTTGTTCATTGACACCTTGATAGTAACGATAGAATCCAAATGACATGACAGCTAGGATTCCAAAGAAATACGTTGTGCCGGAAAACCCACGCGTTGGTAAGTTTCTCTTCCATTGAATGGGGTCGTAGCCTCCTATTGGTGGTAAATCTTGCATTTTGGTGTGTACGTGTGATTGGGGTCTAGCTAGGCCTAAAGGTCGTTTCGTCAGCTTTTCTTTTTTTTTTCCTGATTATTTTTGTATGGTTCTCATTGGTGAAGAAGAAAACGCTACCTCCAGGTTTTTAAAAATCCACCAATTTACTAACATTTACATGTACTATGTACCCCCTATGTATTACTTAATATCAAAAACTGACTTCAACTTCTTAATCAACAACCAATCATCTCTTGATACCGTGTCTCTGAATGCAGGATCCTTCAAAGTATCAATTGATTTACGAGTAATCAATGAGTACAAATTGTCACTCTCATCAACATGACGTCCCCATGTAGGTTGGGCTGACGATGGATTCTCCAATCTCATTGCCACACCAGCGGCAGTTTGACCCTTCTTCACTGAATCAGCAGGCTTGTGGTTAACTTCCAATGAAGTTACTTTACCCAAAACCATGATATTTGGCTGTTTAGTTACAGGGTCTTGACGCACAGCACAGATTGGAGTACCAATACGTACAGCACCTTCAATGACATCAACACCAATAATCATTGGATTCCTCTTGTTGATAATCTGTATAGTTTTCAAAACACATGGCAAAACAGCATACTCCATGAATTCTTTACGACGTGCCTCTAATAATTTGCTTTGGTAGGCAGTAAATGCATCAAACAAGTGGTAGATAATATCAGCATTGAATATCTTGATGTTGTTTTCCTCAGCATAATGTTCGGCCTCTTTATCAACCTTGACATCAAAACACAACATGACAGCCAACTCTGGGGCTTTGTCCAACATTGTGACCGCCTTCATAACATCTCTCTTATACACAGGACCCAATCCAATGGACATGACGGGAATTTTCATATCCTTCAAGAAATCCAACAAGGCTTCCAATGAACCCAAGGTAGAAGCTTGGACCACGACACCCTTTCCGGAAGTGTCAACAGAATCTAATAATCCAGTCAAGTCATCCATAACTTCGTCCATCAAATCCTCCTCATCATCATCTTCACCAACAACAAGCAACCTTGAACCAGCCACAGCTTTCTCCAAATCATTAGCAGCAATCTTGACACCCAATGCAGCCTTAACTTCCTTGTGATGAACGTATTCAGACTTGATACGCAATTCTCTTGAAGGTGGTGGTGTCAAAAGGGCTCTGATATTCGTCGCTATAGGTCCATTCAAACCACACAATACAATACGATCACCCTCTCTCAAAATACCATTGGACAAGACTACATCAATGGTGTAACCAAAACCTTCAACAACCTTGACTTCCAAAATGGTAGCTTCAATCTTTGACAAGTACATCAATTGCTTCGACATTCTCTTTTGAGTCAACTCCAACAACAACCACAACAAATCTGGAACACCTTCACCAGTGACGGCCGATGTGGGCACTATAGACACATATTTCGACATGTTTTTGTTTTGAAAGTACAACTCAGAGTTCAAACCTTGTTCTGCAAGAGCCAATTTGATTTGATCATACCTATTGTGAAACTCTTGTTGCACTGATTTGGATTGCTTTGCAAACGAATCTCTGAATGAGTTGTTTGGAATTGCTTTCCAGTCATACAACCTATCAATTTTGTTCAATGCAACAACAAAAGGAGCTTTCCTGTCTCTAAGAAGTCTTATAGATTCGATAGTTTGTTGTTCCAAACCGTGCATGATATCAATAACCAAAATGGCAATGTTACATAATGAAGAACCACGAGATCTCAAGTTGGTGAACGACTCGTGACCTGGGGTATCAATGATCAATAACCCAGGCACTTCGAAAATTTGCTTCTCGTATTGAGCCATAACAGCAGTCTTTTGCTTGATTGCCTCAACTGGGAAATATGTTGCACCAATTTGTTGAGTTATACCACCCGCTTCACCACCTTGAACATTTGTTTGACGGATTTTGTCCAACAATTTGGTTTTACCGGTATCAACATGACCAAGAATACAGCAAATTGGTGAACGCAATTCTTTCTCTGAAGGACTGCTTGACTTTTTGTGAGAAACAGCTTGCTGCCTGGCCTTTTCTTCTTGCTCTTGTCTTTCACGTTCCACCTTGGCGGAAGCAGCAGCAGCAGCAGCAGCAGCAGCTTCTTCTTCAGCTTTCTTTTTCCTTTCAGCTTCAGCTTGAGCTTGGTTTTCAGATTCGTTGTCCTCCTCCTGCTCCTCTTCCTCTTCTTCAGCAACTTCATTTGTTTCTTTCTCTACAGCTGCGTCCTCATCACTGTCCAATGCCATTTTCTCCCAATCATCAACCAAAGCTTCTTCCTCTTCCTCCTCCTCCTTTTCTTGCTTCTTCTGTTTAGCAAGATCTTGTGGTTTTTGAACAAAGGTCTTTGGTTTGGTTGATTTCTTTTTGCCATAAACAACCTTTTTCGGTTTTGGCGTTTCTCCATCGGCATCGTCTTTTTGCAATCCAGGAACAATAATATTTCCAGCTTGTAGCAATTGAGCACGACGACGTTCTTGTAATTTCTTCTCCTCTTTTTGTTTCTTTGTTAACAACTTACCTTCTGCTTTAAGCTGTTCTTTCTTCAATCTATCGCGTTCCCTCTTGGCGGCTTTAGCAGCCTCCCTTTGGGCCTCTTCCTCTGCTGCCAATTTCTCTTCTTCTAATCTACGCTGCTCCTCCTCCTCGTCTAGCCTACGCTGCTCTTCCTCCAATTGTTTTTTCAATTCCAATTGTTTTTTCAAAGCTGCGAGACCAGCTGGTGCTTTCTTTCCTTTCTTTGCTGGTTTGGGTTTATGCTCCTCTTCAATCTTTGTTTCTTCTGGTTCAGGAGTAGCCGATGCCGAAGTCGAAGCTGCATTTTGCTTATTTGCTTCCTTGATCTGTTCCTTTTTACTTGCCTGCTGTTCTTTCTTCTTTTGGGCCAATTCTTTCTTTTTTTGCTTTTCAGCTTCTTTCTTCAACTTCTCCTTCTCCTTCTTGGACAAGATTTTGGCCCCTCCATTGGTTTCTTCTTTAGCCTTTTCCTCCTCCTTTTTGGCTTTCTTGGACTTTGTTTTACGGATCGAGCCTAGGAAATCTCCAGCAATGTCATCTGCAGATGCCTCTTCCGGCCCAGTAGCTGCTGGTGGTGCCGCTTCTTCTGAGGCGGCTCCAGTTGTTTCGGTTGTTTCAGTAGTTCCAAATTCTTCCGCTTGTGGTTGCTCGTCTAGCATATCCTCATCATCCCAGATATCCCCTCCTGCTTTCTTGTTATTCTTTTTCCCCATGATAAAGTTTGTTTATAATATGAGGTCCCAACAGGTTAAATCAAGCTACAAAGAATTTTCTCTTAATTTTTTTTTCTCTATTTTTTTTACTCTGTGATGGTTGTAGCAGTAGCAGCACTCAGAGATACAGTATTTTGTTGCATGGATGTGTGAGAAATTTTTCAGTCACTCTCACACGACTTTTGAAAATGCTCATCTACCTACGACTTCAAAGGTTTCTAACTCACTGAAAACAACAACTTCCCCCTATTAAATCAAAGTACAAACATAGACCATGACCACTGTTGAAAAGATAAAAGCTATTGAAGATGAGATGGCCAAAACTCAGAAAAACAAGGCCACTTCCTTCCACTTGGGACAGCTCAAAGCCAAGTTAGCAAAGCTTAGGAGAGAGTTGTTAACTGATGGAGGCTCTGGAGGTGGAGGAGGCGGCGTTGGTTTCGATGTGGCTAGAACGGGTGTTGCAACTATTGGGTTTGTTGGGTTTCCTTCTGTTGGTAAATCAACATTGTTATCAAAGTTGACGGGGACGCATTCTGAAGCAGCTGCATATGAGTTTACAACATTAACAACGGTGCCAGGTATCATTAAGTACAAAGGTGCCAAGATACAAATGTTGGATTTACCAGGTATTATTGAAGGTGCCAAGGATGGTAAAGGTAGAGGTAAGCAAGTTATTGCAGTGGCTAGATCAGTCAACCTCTTATTCTTGGTGTTGGATGTTAACAAGCCATTGCAACATAAAAGAATCATTGAACATGAACTAGAGGGTATGGGTATCAGAATCAATAAGGAGCCACCAAATATTGTGATAACGAAAAAGGATAAGGGAGGTATCAACATCACCAACACAGTTCCGTTGACGCATTTGGACAATGACGAGATTAGAGCTGTTATGTCGGAATACAAAATCAATAGTGCAAATATTGCCTTTAGATGTGATGCCACGGTTGACGACTTGATTGATGCTATAGAGTACAAGGCTAGGAAGTACATTCCAGCAATCTATGTCTTAAACAAGATTGACTCATTTTCGATTGAAGAGTTAAATTTATTGACGAAAATCCCAAACGCGGTGCCAATATCTTCTGGTAATGGATGGAACTTGGATGATTTGTTAGAAGTTATGTGGTCTAAACTAAAGTTGGTAAGGGTTTATACCAAGCCCAAAGGAAAATTGCCAGATTTTAATGAACCAGTTGTTTTGAGGAGCGACAGATGTACTGTCGAAGATTTCTGTAACTCAATTCACAAGTCGTTGGTCGAAGATTTTAGAAATGCATTGGTTTACGGAACATCAGTCAAGCATCAGCCACAAATTGTGGGACTAACTCATGTACTAGAGGATGAAGATGTAATTACTATCTTGAAGAAGTAAACATTTGAGGCCATATGCATATATTATGTCATATGTCATGTGTACTGTGTATAGTTTTATCCAAGAAAGTGTTAATCGGAATGGTTACCTCACAAGCTTTATAGAGATCAGTTGTCTGTGAAAAATCTAAATTCTTTTTCAAAACTTTTCTGGATTTTTTTTTTTTTTTTTTTTTTTTTTTTTTTCATCTGTTGGATCAAAAGTTTACTTTTCATTTGAGCAGTAGACTTTACACGAGTCTGTTAACCTTGTTTAACCGTCGAATCGAACTCAAACTTATAAAATTTATCACGACATGAGTGTGTTACCTGATGACGTCAACGCTGTGTTGTTGCATCTACTCGAAAATCTATTATCAACTGATACCGCTCTGCGTATAAACGCAGAGAAGTCACTCGACCAGGAATGGTCTGACAAGCAGAATGTTGAGCTATTGCTAGTGTTTTTAGCTGAGCAAGCAACATCAGGAGCTACTGACACTGTAAAGGCGTTTTCTGCAGTTATGTTTCGAAGAATGGCCATTAAATCACCAAAAGAATTATCCAGTGTTACTGATAGAACCATTGGAGTAATTGGAGAACCAGCCAAGCAACAAATTAGAACCATTTTGTTGCATGGGTTCTCAGCCCCTCAATCAAATCAAGTGAGACACAAGTTATCTGATGCTATATCCGAAGTTTCTAAGGATGATTGTTCTCCTCCTGGAACCTGGAATGAATTGGTTCCAGCATTGTTTCAAGCGTCAAAGAATCAGGACCCAAGTTTCCGTGAATCAGCGTTCAGGGTGTTTTCAGCATCGCCTGAGTTGATTGATCAATCATTTATAAATGAGATTTTGCCTATTTATACATCTGGCTTTGATGATGAGAATGATGAGGTACGAATTGCCGCTTGCTCTGCTTTTGTTGCCTTTTTTAGAGAACTACCAAAGAATGTGTGGCCCAGTTTGTCCCCTTTGTTGCCAAACTTACTCAATTCCTTACCAAGATTTTTGCAGAATGGGCAGGATGATGCCTTGGCTTCAGTTCTCGAAAAGTTGATTGATTTGGTGGAACTTGCACCCAAGATGTTCAAAGACATGTTCCCTACAATTATAGATTTTTGCGCAATGGTTTCCAAAAATAAGGAGTTGTCATCTGCCACGAGAATGGCGTCATTGGAGCTTCTTACAACTTTTGCTGAAGTTTCCCCAGCAATGTGTAAACGTACGCCAACATACACCGAGCAAATAGTTCTTATCACGTTATCGATGTTGACTGAGGTTTGTATTGACGATGACGATGCCGCTGATTGGAACAACAACGATGATACAGAGGAAGATGACGAAGAACCGGAATATGACGCAGCAAGACAATCTTTGGATAGAGTCAGCTTGAGACTCAATGGACAATCCATGGCAGGCCCTTTGTTTCAATATTTACCTGCCATGACTCAATCTCAAAATTGGAGAGAACGTCAAGCTGCATTGATGGCATTGTCATCGGCTGCTGAAGGGTGCGCTGATGTCTTGATGAATGAGATCCCCAGAATATTGGATATGGTGTTGCCCACTTTGAATGATGATCATCCAAGGGTACAATACGCTGGCTGTAATGCATTGGGCCAGATGTCAACTGATTTTGCTGACATGATTCAAAGAACATCTGGAAATAGGATATTGCCCGCGCTCATTTCTAAATTGACAAACAAGTCTGTTCCTCGTGTGCAAGCACATGCTGCGGCAGCTTTAGTGAATTTTTCCGAAGCTGCCACCAAGGACATTTTGGAGCCTTACTTAGATGACTTGTTAAACAACTTGTTAGTATTGTTGCAGTCGCCCAAGAGGTACGTACAGGAACAAGTCTTGACTACTATCGCAATCATTGCCGACGCCGCTGAACAGACATTTGTTAAGTACTACGACACCTTGATGCCGTTGTTGGTAAATGTGTTGAAAACAGATATGGGCGATGAAAATAGGTTGCTTAAGGCCAAGTGTATCGAATGTTCCACATTAATTGCATTGGCTGTTGGAAAGGAAAAATTTGAACCACAGAGCCATGATTTGATACAGTTGTTTGGCCATATTCAACAGTCAGCAACCGCTGATGACGATCCAGTTAAGCAGTATTTGGAGCAAGCTTGGGGTAGAATCTGCCGCATCTTGGGAAAAGACTTTTTACCATACTTACCATCAGTATTACCACCTTTAATGGTAACGGCAAAGGCGTCTCAAGATATATCTTTGTTGGAGGAGGATGAAGCAGAGGAATACAATAACAACGACGAGTGGGATGTCATCAATTTGTCTGGGAAATGGATTGCTGTCCACACTGCAGCCTTGGATGACAAGGTCACAGCCATGGATTTATTAAGAACATATGCTATTCAACTAAAGGGGGATTTCTACCCCTGGGTTAAGGAAATTGCCGAGGATATTGCATTACCAGGGTTGGATTTCTACTTGCATGATGGGGTACGTGGTTCAGCTGCATTGACGTTGGCCTCGTTGTTGAAATGTACGGTAGCAGCAACAGGAAAGGATTCCCAGGACACGTTACTTCTTTGGTCGAAGATAGCCGATAAATTGGCAGAAGTCTTGAGCTCTGAACCAGTTGCAGAGTTGTTGGTTGCTTACTATACTGCTTTGGTCGAATCTATTAATACCTTGCCACCAAACTCGATATCTCCACCACAATTGCAAGCATTTGCCAAGTCTATTAATGCCAACATGGTTGAGATCTACGATAGAATAAAAGCGCGAGATAATGATGATGACGAATACACAGAAGATGTCGAAGAAGATGAAGAGGAGTACACCGATGAAGAATTGTTGGATGAAATCAACAAAGTTGTGTCGGCAATCTTTAGGAATGTCAAGGCTAATGCTTTGGAAAATTTCCAAGTGTTTATCCCCACTGTTGCCACATTTATCAATGATGAAAACACAAGTTTGAAACTTTGTGGATTGTGTATTGTGTGTGACATTTTGGAGCATGGCGGTCCCCACTCTATTGTGTTTAAGGAGTCATTTCTCAACGTGTTGGCTCATTCACTTTCGTCACCACACGCTGGTATACGCCAAGCCAGTTCATATGCTGTTGGAGTTGCTGCCCAATATGGTGGTGAAGAGTACGCAGAATTTTGTGTGCATTGTTTGCAACCAATGTTTAAGATGGCATCAGTACCGGACGCAAAGGCAGATGAAAATATACACGCTACGGAAAATGCTGTTTCGGCAATCGCCAAAGTGTTGCACACGTTTGCCTCATCTGTGCCCAGCTTAGATGCGCTAGTGGACCAATGGATCAACCTTTTACCGGTTGTGCAGGATGACAATGCAGCAGCTTTTGCTTATGTATTCCTTAGTGGATTGATTGATAACAAGCATCCTGCTATCGAGAAGAATATATCAAAAGTGGTGGATTCGATTATTCAAGCATTAGCGCATGCTTCAATAGGTGGTAACACAGCAAATAGAATCGTTACTTCAACCAGAAATTTGTTGAGCTCGATTCCTCATGATAAGGCGATTGCATTACTTCAAGAGAACCCATCAAACATAGATGTTGTAAAGAAGTATTTTAGTTAAATTTAATCAAATCACTTTATTTCCATTCGAATGTCTGTCGATCAATACCACTGGTTATGAGGACTTCATAACCATTTTCATAAAAGCATGTAAAATCTTTAATCTTTGTCTGGTGTTGCTTCAATTCAACAGCCACTTTATCGTCAAGAAGATCCAAACCACGAACAACTCCGTCATCTCCCATTACCCAAATTCCTGACTCTTTTTCTGAGTTGTGTCTCCATGCTATCAATGGTTGAGAAAACTTGTCTTGTGGTGATAGTGTGTTTAAATTCTTGATTATCTGATGTCGGGCAATGGGTGGTAGTGGCGAGGTTTCAAAATCGATCAAAGAAGTGATTATGACTCTCATGTACGGCTCGTGTGAGGTGGCAACTGCAACTAATGGTATGCCTCCTTTTTGAGAAATTGTGATAAACCTTGGTGAGAAACTCGATGTGGTGAATTCTGCATCGTTGATGGAGATTTTGTACTTAGATGCAAATTGTTCTTCCTGTATAGTAATTACATCTAGCAACGTATTTTCAAGTTTGCCCAATACAATGACAATCTCGCCTCTGTAGGTGGTGATATCAAAGCAAGTTCCTTGTTGATCTAATTTCATTGCAGCCACGACAGAAGATTCATTGAGCTTTACAAGCTTGAGCATGCTATTCCATGTGAGAATTACAATGTAATCTACTCCGTTTGAATGTACGTGGTTGGCGTCAATGATAAACCTAGACAGTGTATCAATGACTTCAATTTCATTAAATTTCTCATCTGTCAAGTAAAGCTTCCCGCTCATGCCTAACAACACGAAATTCAGTCCAACAATTAATACCTTTTTTATAATCTCTTGCATTCTGACAAGTGTTATAGAGCCACCCTTACAAATGATGATCTGTGAATCGTTTGTTGAAAAGTATATGGCACCCTTGTTATAGACACTAAATATAATCAAAGAATGCACTTTCAACTTGGTGGGTTTATGAGGATATGGCAGCGTCCAATTGATAAACCGTTCATGAACAAGCTCCTTGAATCTCAATGGAAGCTCCTCATTCACATCTATGTCATTTTCATTTCGGTTGTTGATGGAAGCATATTGTAATCTGTCGTCGAGTATTTGAGACAAAGATTCTGAATTTAGCAATTTTGGTTGCACCGGTTTGCCATACTCTAATTCAAGTTGCTGCAATGTCTGGGAATAGCCGTGTTCTTTGAGAAAATGGGCCACTAGGCTGAGAATATCTTTATGATCAACCATGGCTGGGCCGGTGTATTGGGTGCAAATGCTGGAAGATAGCTTCTTTTTTTTTTTTTGATCCAATTTATCACTTGTGGCTGATCATGTTTTTACAATGTATGGTACTGCTTGAAATACCATCTGGTGACAAAGAGAAACAATCTTGGTTACATAGATTAAAGGGCAAATGCTGGAGGCACGCATTGAGTGGTTAATAGTTCAACTTCACTTGCTTTGGTTTTTTTTGAGGATGGACCAGGCGATACACAGTTATTATTGTTGCTTGGGCTTTCGAGATATATTTAACATTTCAAATGCCATTCACCAACGCAGGGCCCCCACTTTATGCGACTTTTACCAAGTACTGGGTTGAGATATTTAATACCGCATCTGGTAATCCATGGACGATTACTGAATTTATTGATGGCACAAGCAAAATTTTGGAAATCCATAAATCTAGGATGGTTGGAGGGAATAAGGGTTCCGTTGGTGTTTGTGATGGGTGCAATTTACTATCCCATTTGTTTACAATGATGGCACATTTGACAGTGATAGACCCTTGATTATTGAATTTACCAAATTGAAACCAGTCACGAGTTGAATGAGAATCAACACAAAATGAGAAAAGGAGTGATTGCAAGAGCAAAATGCAACCCGGGAAGGACAAGGATAAATTATCTGATTAAGAGATTCACGCATGGGCAAAAGATCGTCCTTTGTCTACAAACCCAACAAGTAAGGAACAGGCACTATCAAAGCTGTTAGACGAGGTTCCTCCCATTGGATAACAAGCTCCAAGTCGTATCGACTGCGAAGTCAAACAATGAACTTGTACTTTGATAAGCTGACTTCTTTCAGTTAAGTTCACGTGACATCTTCAAGACACCAAGCTTCTAGTTGAGGACATGCACGATACTTGCCATAATCCTTCAACAAGATTTACAAAATTAGAGATACATGTTATATGAGCTGTCACCACTTTGAAGGTATACATTTTGTGAACTGCCCACCTGGACCTTCATACACACAAACCAAGAGCCACCAAAGACGGGGGATATTAACCAGGATTTGAGCGGGACCATTGAGGATAAGATGTGTTGATATTCAAATGAATTGCCCATATTTTTGAGTCTGGTTTGGCAATATTTTGACAAACAAGAAGCAATAAACCCATGTAACTGAAACTCGGTGGATGTGATATGGTTGCTTCTTCAGACTTGATCATGGTGGAGTTTTGATCCAATTTTTCCCTCATCTAATCCTCAAGTCTCCTCATTTTGCGGTCAATGATAAATCCCATAACTGAAAATGGAAGAGGATGATTGCAGACAATGTTATAAGTTATGAAAAACAGCGTTCAAAAGATTATAAAAATTAAAGGAAAGATTCAATTAAAATTAAAAAAGCAAAAATGCAAAAAAGCTGTCTATATATAAAGCAATCATTCTTGGTTGTGTGCTTTCCTTGAAGTACCATAGGGTTGATCTACTTAGTTTGTGAATGAGAAAGAAAGATGAATGTTTTTTTGTCGTTGAAAACCCATTGAAAATCCTATTTACTATTTGCTGTTTGCTGTTTGCTGATTTGCTAAATGGTGGTATTGGTGGACTGCTGATATCGGCTTTTGCTGCTGTACATTTGTTGTTTAATGACGTCAAAGCTCAATCTCTCTCTCTCTTTATTTCTAATGAGCGATTTCCATTGGGGTTTCGATTCGGCATCTCTTGTAGCCTCTTGTCATAGGGTGCTGTTAACAACACAGTAAATGCCTTCGGGGAACAAAGAGTTCTCGTAAGATTCCCATGCATGAGCCCACTTTAGTAAAGCCTCATTCTCATGATATAGTGTGCAATATCCTCTTATTGCAATGCCCACAATTAATAGGATGTATATCATCATTCAATGGTCCATTGAAGTGACACCATGTGCCGAAATACAAGTTGTAGAACACTTGTCTGTCTCCACGACATTGTCGATACTTCAGCATTCAAAGTCATAAGCCAGACTGCTTGTTCAATGTCAAACGGTCACTGCAAGATGTCAAGCTTGATAACTGGTAATCAAATGAAGTAGCTTCATCGATACTTTGTGCATTAGATTCCAATTTTCGTCCAACAGTTCTGCATGTATATTCGATACTGGTTCAACCAAATGTGACCGTGTGGGTATCCATGCTTGCTTTGTTTCATTCCATCGTCAATCACTTGATGTTAATCAATTTCTGTGACCAAACCCTTAGCCTCATGATGCATAGTGATTGTAATGTTCATCGACACTTATTTCCTGTAGTAGTATGGAAGATCTACGACTATAGTTGATTCAATCTTCCATCAATTGGCAAAACATCTTCTAGCAGGAAAGTGGTAACATTTCCTTCTCCAAGTCCGTCGTGAATGAAAATTGGGATTCATATCCGACGACATCAAGGTTGGACACATAGCTTGCCTCCGTCGCAAAATTCCTTTGGGCTCATAGATGAAACCAAGGACAATTATTATGCCAGTACAACACTTTGATGCACTGCTATTGACACTGGTCCGAATGGCGATGGGGGGATCATGCTTTTTCCCTTTCGCGAATTATTAAAATGCTTTGGTGAATGCTTCTTTCAAGACAGTTTCAAAATCTTGTAGATGCAGGGCGCCTGTGCGTGTTGCATGACTTGTGGGCTCAAATCGCTCAGTGTTGCAGCTCTAGCTTGATGTAGTGGTGGAGCCACCTTTGGTGACAAACAACCCTTCGGTTTCTTGAAAGATACTCGGACATAAGTCAACGCGCTAATGAGCTTTGAATGTGGATTGTTGCAGTAGGAATTGCATGCTTAGTGATTTTAGTGCAAGGAAACAACCCTCAAAATTTTTGGTTATCAAAGCTAATTTGTTTACTGGATAACGTATAGGAGAAGTAAACGTTTGTTATATATAAGCCGCACGTCGAGTGGAGGGGTCAAAAGAAATCGAGTTGGCGGGAATGTCGCTACCAAGTTAACGTTACACAGCGTCTTATTTGCATTAGGCTTTAAATTGAAGCTACTATTTGAGTCTTTTGGTGCAGAGTTAATGCTATTGTCTCATATAACAAAGAGCGTCCTGGAAAAATTAACAAACTGATTTGTAGAAATGGGACTAGGAATGGGGAAAGTCACTTATACACATATTATTTTTTTGGTGCCATATTATATATGGCACTGGAATTACACAGGGGGATACCCCGTATTGGATATAATCAATTGGTAACTGGTGTTGCAGGACAGTCTTGGCCAGACGGAGTGACAGTTAAAAGGTTATAGTAATAGATGCATAAAACTAGTAACGGGTGGAGGTTAATGAATATATGTAATTGTGATTGTTTTTTTCAAATTTTCCGACTTCTTTTTGCAGCAATTTGAAATGTAAAATTTACACAACCAATAAGTCAACGTTCGTCTAACTCTTACATTTCGTTGTACAGTCTATCTATGCAAGAGGGTGCTCCAGCATTAATCAGTGGTGAATAGCGTTTCCCTAAACCGAATTTTAAATCGTTAGTAAGCAAATCGTGGCACGTGATTGCTCCTCTCAATCTGTGGGGTACATTTTCTCTTCTCTCTTTCTCTATCTACGCGCTAATGCATTTCCTTTACCCTCGGCAATTATCAATGTACACAAAACCGCCAAGTCTGTCGGAAATAAAAATTTCACAGTTTTGACAATGTGGAGCAAGGGAAGAGAGATAGATGGGTAATAGCAAAGTAGCTAGTATCGATGGGCAAACTGTCATCGCTTATAACCTCTGATGCCCTTATCTCAGTACGCAAACAATGTAGATATTTGACATGATTACGTTGTCGAGGACCCCCTATCGAACCATTACTTTTATCGTCCTCCTGGTGACTTTTATTTTTGTTCTCGTACGTTTAACTCCGCCGGTAAATGCTGTTTTGATCGAGATATCAAAAAGTCAAAATAAACCTCAACAAATCAATTTTTTTTTTCATCTCATCAAACTGATACATTTTTCATAGACGCTTATCACTTAAACCTGGCTATTATAACCATGAGTCTTACTCCACTTGAAAAAGCAGCTTCGGGAGCATTGGCATCAGCCATCGCCAACACCTTGATCTACCCCGTGGATCTTTCCAAAACTGTCATTCAAACCCAAGTCCACACTGAAAACAGTCAAGAGTTGAAATACAAAAACACACTTGACGTGCTTAAACAGATCTATGCTAAGAAGGGAATTTTGGGATGGTATCAAGGTCTTTTCGCCACTATTGTTGGTACATTCAGCCAAAATTTCTCATTCTTTTACTGGTATTCACTTGTCAAGAAGCTTTATGCAAATTTGAAAAAACATCAACCAAATCACAAACCATCTACATTGACAGAGTTGGCCCTTGGTGCTATTGCTGCTGCTATCTCGCAGTGTTTTACGATGCCAATTGGAGTGGTGACAACGATGCACCAGACAGACAAACTCCATCGTTCATCATCCCAGTTGGTCAAGGATATAGTGAAACTGGATGGAGTAAGGGGACTCTGGCGTGGTCTCAAGGTCAGCTTAGTCCTCTGCTCCAATCCATCTATCACTTATGGATCCTTTGAAAAATTGAAGCTGCTCTACAAACCAATTGGCCATTTGAGTCCAGGAGAGAGCTTTGTTATTGGTATGGTTGCTAAATCAATTTCAACGGTCATCACTCAACCACTTATTGTTTCAAAAGCGTTGCTTCAACGTGCAAAGAAGCCAAAGGAGCACAAAAAGAACGAGTTTGGAGAATATGAGGATGAAGAAGAAGACATTAATTTCGATCATTTCACTCACGCTTTGGCTCATTTGTGGAAAACTGAGAAATTCAAAGGATTGTACAAAGGAATGCGTCCGCAATTGTTGAAAGGTGTGTTTGTTCAAGGCTTGTTGTTTATGTTTAAAGATCAAATTGATTTGTTGTTTTTGTTTATCTTGGCTGCAATTAAGAGAAAGAGATTTGCCAAGGCATAAGTCGCCTTTTTGTAGTGTTTTTATATTTTGTTTTATTTGAATGGATTTGAGTTATTAGTAGACTTTGGATACTTCGTTTCGGACTTATACCTACGAGCACGTGATCTTTTAAATAACATCTTGGTAAAACCCCGAAAGAGAATCGGAACTGAGAGCCTCCTCCTTTGTATTGCAAAGTGCTTTTGCAGTACAACGAAAACAGCTGAGATATTGCTTTACGTTATTGGACAAAGAGCGTTCAATAGAATACAAAAACCAAACAATCCAATGCTGTAATTATACAATCTATAAAGTTCTAATATTAATGCACAAAACTAACAAAGTTTCCATAGAATTGTATTTGTGCGGGATGAAACAACGAGTGCATTCGCTTTATTTAGCCCCATAGTATCCAAGGCGATTTGTAGTGTAATTGTAATATATTAATTGTTATGTATATACTCCGTTTTAACCTAAGTTGTTCCTAGCCCTTTTTTCTACACTGAGTTTCTCCATGATCTATATATTCTTCACTTACCACCATTTCCTTATAACTTATTAATTTTGTACCAGCATCTGCCTTCTGTGCAAATTCTCTCGTTTAACTCGGATTAATCTATATTTTGTTCTTAATGGTATTCTGATCAATATCGTCCCTCCGCTAACACAGGTGAACTGATTAACAATTATGACGGCTTCCTCCTCATCGTGCTCAGTATCGATCTCCTAATCTTCAGACCCAGATTCACTCGAGCGGTTTGCAGTGGGGTGCCCCTCCATGCCGGCCGAAGAATACCCATCATCGGTAGAATACCCATCCGTACCGGAGTGGAATACTAGGCGTCGGTGGTATGCCTATCCGTATTGGCCGTGCGGGACTCAAGATCAGTGGTTTGCACACCTTTCTCGTGACTCATACCCTCGTGCAAAACAGGCTAGCTTCTTCCACATATGATGGAACGTTATCTGAAAGAACGCTGAACTTCTCTACTTCCTCTGCTTTACCACGTTTTTGCTTTTTGAATCTGACGATAGGCTTTTCAGGAAGTAAATTTCCTCTTCTATTAGGACCTCTGATGGTTTTAATTGAAACAATCATCGTCATTTTCGTCAACTTCGTTAGCTTCATCAATCGTTTCAAAGGGTCTAGCAACTTTGACCTTTACTAATTCCACTTGACCATCAACAAGAGTGGGCATTTCCACTTCAAAGTATGTATCGTCTTTGTTTTCAGGAACCACCTTTCTCTCCCTCTCAACTTTAGGTCTCTCTCAACCAATCTGTAAACTTTCCCAAATTTTTCGTTTACGAACTTTCCTGTCAAATACGAATGAAAAAGCAGGGTCCCACTGCACCCATCTTTTAATAAGAACAATGTCTAGGATACTGGTAAGGTCGATTTGGCGTATCTCATCCGCTTCTGTGTCAACTGTGCCAAGCACCTTGAATGCTTCTATTATGGGTTACTCTTTGATAAAGGTTTTCTTTCTAAGATTCAAGCTCGTTTCACTTGGGTCCACGTCGTAGTTTAGGTTGCGAAAGAGCTTCACCAACCTCCTTTGAAGTTCCTCCAAAACGCTGGGGATAGTCAATTTTATATTATTGATGAAAACGACAAGCTGAAATTTCTCTGTATTTGCATCAACAGTTCTTCTGCAATTTAAAATTTAATATTTGCAGTTACATCCTGATCTTTAAAAGTATAATGTGCCATCTCCGTAGCAACGGGTTTAATACTATTGTATTCTAATATTCGCCCTAATATCGTCTGTGGTGTCTTCCGCATTAATTGTTACCGGCTCCGGAATCCGACACCGATTGGGTGATAGAATTTTTGGTAAAGGGTTGGATCACCGACATACTCAAGTACATTTGCGTTCAAGCGTACATTGAAGTGCCTCCTCCGTCAATTGCAACCTTTTGGGATTGTACTTGAATTCCATGTTTTTCAATGAATTTTTAGTCTATTGATTTCCAGGTATCTTCGTCTGGCCGGTCCAAAGTAGCTTGAGAGTCCATTGCTGTGTAAACCGATAAGCTGGGAATGTTATCCTCGTTTATCAATTCTGAATATCGCTACCCAGGGGCAAAAAAAGCTATACTGCTACCATGTGACTTTTTACCAACACACGTGCATACTATTGACAGGAGTTGCTCATTTCAACAATTATACATACTGTTGATCAACCGCCATTTTGTTTTATAGTATTTTTAACAAAACTGACTTACATTTCAATTTAAACACGTAGAATTTGTATTTCCAGTTATATCTAAGAACAAGAATCGTATCTAATACCAACCGGTAGCGCCAAATATAAAAATCCATCTCCCACTTCCCATCTTCCACCTCCCATCTCCCCACCCCGAAATGTCCACCACCTCCCAACTCATCAACGAGATTAACAATACCTACCACGCTAGCAAACAGGAAAAGTACAACACATTGACTAAGCTAATCTCGGTGAATCCAGCTGAGAATAGTTACATAGTGTCCCTCTACAACAATCCCTCACCGTGTCTTCTAAACACTTCCTACGATAAAGACTGGCCAGCATTTTCTGCTGTTGTGTCCAGTTTTGTCAAGCTTTGCACTGAGATGGATCCGTGGTCGCTTTTGCAGTCGTTTGATTTATATACTACATATTTGAATGATTTATCCATTGCCTTTAACAACAGCAAATATGGATGGCTTTTGACAGGAGTGCTCAAATCAACTATAGAGATAGTAACACAATGGGCATTACAATTGGATACCCAGATGTTTTTCAAAGAAAGTGGTGCTAAATACCGATTAAACTACATAGCTAGTGTGATTTTGAAAATGTTCAACAATATCCGAATCAATTCAAATGACAGAGAGTCGATTATGCTATACCTTGGGAATAAACTTTGTTTTATTTATTGGAAATTGGACAACCCTTTGCTTTGTCGAAACATATTTAGTAATATGAACAATACTAGCCTAAAGTTGGCGGATTTTCCAATGAATGAGCAATTGAAATATCGGTATTATTTAGCACGGTACTATTTTATCAAGTATGAGTTGATGGAGAGTTTTGAATTGTTGAAATGGTGTTTGCTAAGGACACACGGCAAGAACCAGCGATTAGTTTTAGAGCTATTTATTCCCATAAGCTTAGTCATTGGCAAGACGCCAAACTTTGCCGCATTCAAAAAATACGACTTTATTAACATGTATGAGGAAATGTCGAGATCCATACAACCAGGAGATTTAGCCACATTCAGATCCCTCGTGGCAAAATACCATCATTACCTCAAGAGCAAAAGCCTTCTACTCTTAATGAACAAGATGGAGATTTTAATTTACCGGAATTTGATAAAAAACTGTTGGAAGATCTTAGGAAGACAAACTACACTACCCTACAATCTTGTGCCAATCCCCAAAGATATCTACTTCAAGGAAAATTTATTTGTCACGTTGATTGATTCAAATCTAATCAAAGGCAAATTGACAAACAGGTCAGTTGTGCTTAGCAAAAACGATCCATTCCCAAGAGTGTTTGACATATACATGAAACGATTCAAAACAAAACATAATCAATGGATGTAAGCTATACAATACCAAATGAGTTTTTCAAATTTTCTTGATCACGTTGCTTTCGTAAACTTTCTACCTCTTCAATACCACCGGATTTTTTTAACCTATTGTCGTCAACGAAATCACCCAACTCTTCTTGAAACTTATTTAGTTGCGACAATTGTCTTTCTCGCTGTCTCAATTTCTCAGCCCGTTCTATTGCCTCCAATCTGCTTTCATGATTTGGGTGCAATTGGGCAATATCAATCAACACTTGTCCTTGAATGTCGTGCAAGCTTTCCCCAGGTTCAGGAATGTGCAAATTGGCCATGACTTTATTACGCTTCGATGATGCACCTTTACTTTGTTCAATAGAGCATTGTTCAATCAATTCATAAGTTTCTTGGATCTTTTGTAAATCCTCTTGCAAATCACTAGTTAAATCATCTTGCAATTTAAAAAATTGTTGCTCTTCGCAAACTTTATCCAATTCAGATTCCCAAATCTTTTTCCAAATTGACTTTTCATTAGATATAAAGTTGCTCATTTCGTCAAGTGACTTCTTTGCATCGGCAATTTCCTTTGTTATATGTTTCAATTGTTTTTCGCCAACTCGAACACCTCTTTGCGCCACATCCTTCCTCATCTCCTCCATTAAATCTTGTAAATCATCTACTTTGGTCAATAATGCATCGGAGTCGTCCGACAACTTTGAATGGCATGACTCCATATACATTCTGTTTGAGTCTTGAGAGACTTCCACATTTGACTCTTGGAATCTCTTCAATTGGTTGGAAATGTTTGCAAGCACTTTTTTAAATGCTTCGGTAGACGTCTTGTTAATCAGTTTAATTGTACGAAGTTCATTTTCAATTAATGTCACTTCTCTTCGATCATCCAGGTCTGAGGTAGTCACTGGCACTGGAGTGGGACTCTGGAGATTGAGAATGCCACTATTCATCGCTTCAATTTTCTCAACAAGCGTTTCAATTTTCGCATTCAACTGACCAAATTGATCAGTGCTCTCCTCGTTCAAACTCAACAACGAGCCATTTTTCACCTCACTTAAGGACTGCTCTTCTAACTCATAAAACACCTTTGTTTGTGGATCCTGGATATAGATGTCAGGAAAATTACCTGATCCTGGTGAGTACGCAAATTTTTCAACAAAGAGCAATCTAATGGAAGCTAAGGCTATCGGTGTGGCGATAGTTGCCTTTCTAGTCTTTTGGCCTATCCTTAACAAAACGTAAACTTCCAGTTCCTCCAAAATTGAGTTGTTGGCTGTATTGATCGGTGATTTGGGTACAGGAAGTGCTGGGGATGAATCAATCCCACCTGGTTGATGAGTGAGTTTGGCATACTGGTAAGCACTGAATCGTTTGCTAGCCCGACGTTGCATAGCATCACCATTTTGAAGTTGAAGTAATGCCTCATTTTGAGATCTGTTGGACTCACGAGAGAACCTGGATGAAGGTGCGTCTCGAGTTGACGTATCTCTGGGATACTCCCTGATTGGTGCCTCCCTAGTTGGTGTCTCCCTCGTTGGTGTCTCCCTCGTTGGTGTCTCCCTCGTTGGTGCCTCCCTCGTTGGTGCCTCCCTAATTGGTGCCTCTCTAATTGGCGCCTCCCTAATTGGCGCCTCCCTAATCGGAGCTTCCCTAATTGGAGCTTCTAAAGTGGTCGAAGTGTTCCAAGTTGTTGGATTTGTATCTGATGGAGTCTCTCTAGCTCCACCTTCCCCCTGATCCATGCTCATGCTACTCCTATCCCTACTCTCCTCTCTAGCACGCTCTTGAGACATAATTCTGGCTCGTCCCTGCTTAGCTTTCAAGTTCTGTAGTAGCGTAACAATAATATTTCTTATGTTGGGCAAAAACCGATCAAGATTTTCCTGGGAGGGAGCTTCACTCAATGCTTCTTCCAAAATCGTTCTCAACGCTTGTGGTACATTACCAAGATCAGAGGTGTCAATCCCACTATGTGCAAATGCTTTCGTTGCTGCTCTAAAGTCATTGCCCAATTTTACATAGGCATCCGATACAAACTTGTCATCAGCTTCTTGTCTAGCCCATTGTGTTAAACTCTCGAGTAAATGCTTGGTCGATACAAGTAATCTAGTCACACAAGTTTCAACTGTATGTAATGACTTTCTCTTTGGGTTCACAAGAGTCTCTTGAGATGAACGAAACGACGACATGGAAAGAGTGTGGAGTCAAGTGTTGCTTTGGTGATTGATTGATTTACGCATAACATATCTACTATTTTATTTTATTTTTCTCTTCCTTTTCATTTTCATTTTTTTTTAAGGCTTCTATTTATGCCCATTCAGGCTTGGGCTCACTTCTACCCCTCCAATTGCCTCTACCTCTACCTCTTCCTCTGCCTCTGCCTCTTCCTCTGCCTCTGCCGCCTCTAGCACCTGATTCACCAAAAGTGTCAAAATTCAAACTTCTCTCCTCGGCCCATCTATTTCTATTATTTCCACGTTCTCCAGTTGATGACGAGATTGAATCAAAAAAAGAGGACTGTTTGTTGTACTTGGGGCCCTCATCTTCATGAGCTTCTTTGTGGAACTTGGCATTCGACAGCTCAAAATCAAAGTCTTCATTAAAGTCTAGCTTTGATGCAGGGTTTCTTGGTCTCGAAACTGGTTGCGATTGTGCAACTTCTTTGCTTTCATCATTTTCCTTTTCCTTTTCCTCTTTGTTTGGTAATGACCCAGGTTCAACCTCATGGGTAGTCTTTGTAGATGGTTGTTCCTGCGTTGTTTTTGTTGGTTGCGGCTGCTCGTGGGGTGATGCAACACCACTACCAGCAGCAGCACCTGTTTCAGACGCAGTAGGAGCAACAGGAGCAGCAGCAGGGGCAGCTTGTGTTGTACTAGGACCTGGTTGGTTTACGCTAGTTGTTTGCGGTGGAAATTGCTGAGGATAAGGTGGTTGTTGCGAGGTTGGTGCAGGATAAAAACCTGAAGTTCCCACAGGATATACGGGCTTTACTTGGTCAATAGGGACATCCAAAACGGACAAGTCCTCCACATCGTTACCTCTGAAAACAACATAATCATAGATATCGGTTCCTGGAGGCACTTCCAAATGTGGTTGTCCTAATCTCCCTTCAGTACCAAACATTCTCACTGATTTTAATGCAATTGTAGCATCATCAGCATTGATGTGTTCTAAAATACCGACATATCTCAAGTTCTTTTTAGAAATCAAGGAAATCGTCTTGCCAACGAAATCAGACATAAGTGGTGTTAGTCGTTGAGTCCTGTGTGTGTTATTTCAAGTTTCCAATTGATGAAATCTTAAACTCCTCGGGGGTGAATATCGTGAAGGAGGAGTTTGCAATGATGGGGGTACCTCCTCTAGTAGATGTTGTGTGAAGTGAAGGGGTATCACGAAATGGGTCTTTTGTAGTTTGGTGTGTTAGTGCTTTTTTTTTTCGAAAGGAAAAAATAATTCAAAATCGATTCCAATGAACACCATAACCAGAACCAACAATATGGATCTTAATCAGCAAATGGAACAGATTGCAGCAGAAGCTGTTAATTTAGCGCAAAAGGAGAGAAGTGAGGAAGAGTTAGAGCAGAAGGAGGCACCCCAAGAGGAGGCACCCCAAGAGGAGGCACCCCAAGAGGAGGCACCCCAAGAGGAGGCACCCCAAGAGGAGGCACCCCAAGAGGAGGCACCCCAAGAGGAGGCACAGGAGGAGGCACAGGAGGAAGTACAGGAGGAAGTACAGGAGGAAGCACAGGAGGAAGCACAGGAGGAAACACCTCAAGAAACATTCTTGGCTTCCACTCAAAATACTCCCATGGATGAGGATGAAATAATCAGCTCCATTAAAGCAAAGAAAATCACCAACGCTGATGATCGATTCAATACACACAAGAAATTAATAAGAAGAGCCAGACCACATGTCAGCACCGAGACTACCACTATTGATGATCAACCATCATATAGTAATGACGACCTCGATCCACAACAAAGGAAACGATTGGAGTTGGAAGAGAAGATGTCAGCCGCAATCAAGGTGAAATCGAACAGAAGAAGAAAAGCTGATGAAGATGATATTGAAAGAATGCAAGATGATAAAATTGACCATTTGAAAGAGCGAATGATCAACGCAGCCAACTTGGATGTCGAAAAGAATTCACAAGGACAGATTGCTACTGAAAAGCTAAAATTATTGGACGACGTGTTGAACATCTTATCAAGAGCTGATTTAGCAGAGTCAATTTTGGACAACAATTTATTGGAGGCGGTACGATTATGGTTGGAACCATTGCCTGATGCCAGCATGCCAGCGTACCAAATCCAAAAGGAGCTAATAAACTCATTAGAAACATTGCCCATCAAAACTGACCATTTAGTGGCCTCAGGAATAGGTAAAGTTCTCGTATTTTACCAAAGATCAAAAAGGACAGAGCCACTGTTGAAAAAGATTGTTGACAGATTGATAGGTGATTGGACTAGACCTATTTTGAACAAATCAGACTCATACAAGGACAGATCTATACAGTTTGGTGAATACAACAAGGCAAGATATTCCAACAAATTGTCATCTGGTAATAAGCAAACGGCACCAAAGACTCTATACGAGCAAAATGCTGAAAGAAGGAAAAGAGCCGCTATACCAACAGCACGAACTGCTGCTTACAAGATTGCTCCCAAGGTTGATCCAAACTTATTGATGAGACAATCAGGAAGAGGACACGATGAAAGGTTTAAAAAATTGAATCAAAAATTGACCACCATGGGCACCAAGAGGAAAGTGACAAAGAAAGGTGGTCCATCAATTGAAGGTAGAGATTTGAGCATTTAATGAAACATCCCTCTAATACACTACAGTCTCTTTACATTCACCCTTATCATCCTCTTTCATTTACATTTCTCTCCTCTTCCCTCTACATTGTGCTCCCTCTTTCGTAACAACTTTATATTTATTAAATGAAAAACACCCGATTTTCCCTAATGTACACTCCTACGATCTTGGCTTTTCCTTCTTTTCCTTCCACAAGGCCAACAAAGAAACACCAGAAACTTTAACAACCTTGAATCTGACACCTGGAATATCACCCTTAGCCTTACCTCTTCTACCGAAACCAGCCAACAAGACTTCGTCATTTTCATCAACAAAGTTCAAACAACCATCATTTGGAACGAAAGCAGTAACTCTTTTACCATTCTTGATTAATTGGACTCTAACACACTTTCTAATGGCTGAGTTTGGTTGTTTCGATTCAACACCAATCTTTTCCAATACAATTCCCTTGGCGTGAGATGAACCTCCAAATGGTGATGATTTAAATGCAGTTCCCAATAATCTGGCCTTATAAGCTTGATCGGCCCATCTGTTGTTTCTTCTGTGAACTCTTAATTTTCTAGCAGAGTTAAGTCCTCTTGGTTTACCCTTTCCCATGGTTGTATATGCTTTGTAAGATGAAAAGTCAGGAAGGAGATTTGAGCTTTCGAAAAAAAAAAAAAAAATTGTACTTTGTCATGATACAGAGAGAGAGAGAGAGAGCGTGTGTGTGTATGGCAACAAAGTAGTGCACACTTGCAGAAAAAAAATGCATATTACATTGCGTGTAGGGCTTCAGCCCTGGACCACAAAATCATCACGTTTTTATCGATTATATCACATCTACATTATTTTCAGTCACCTCTTGAGGCTCAACTCCATCACTTTGATCAAGCGGTTTTTGCTCAGATGCATCCACGTTTGAATTCTCCGAGTTCTCAGACAGTATATCAGCATCCTCAGCAGGAGATGAATTCATCTTTTGCCGTTTACTATTGCTGTGACGTAGAGAGCACGCACCTTCATCTTTCAGCAAAACGCGTTGCCTTCTAGCTCTTCCCACATCCTCGTGATCTTCTTCCTCCTCTTCCTCCACTACCTCCTCCTCCCTCTCGCTGCTACTCTTGTGTTCTTCCCTATTGGACATTTGATTTGCATACTCGATTTCGGTTTGCCTGAATTCCAAAGCGGCATAATACTGTTTAACTTGATACTTCAGATCAGCTAATGCCTTCTGCTTTTCAATAGCCTTCGACTTGTACTCTTCTTCTCCCTGTTTGAGAATCTCGTGTAAACTATCACCACCTAATGGCTCATTAACAGGTCTTCTCCTGCGATAAAAAAGCAAATAAGCAGCACTTGACACAAGCTCCTCTGGATTGTTGATCTCCGTGACTCTACTATCATTAAAATAGTACCATTTATCATCCTTGAAATTCTTCACCGATGCTGTATAATGACCACCACCCAATCCTCCATAATGATTATCAACGGCAATCAAATCATAAATGCAATCCTTTTCCTGTGGGTTAGCAACATATGGCCCAATATCCAATCCCTCAATAGGGAAATCAACAACAACATCAATCTTGTCACTAAATGCTCGAGCGCTATGGAACCTTTTCAAATGTATTGTCAAAATATCGCCTGTTGACCAAATTTGTATCGACTTTGTAGCCCGTTTGTGATCCTTACAACTAGGACAATACCACAAATCATGCTCACCAAGAACTTCTGGTGTGCTAAAACTCTTTAAACAATCTGCCAAGCTAATTTTACTCTTCCGCTGACGTTCGAATTTAGCTTTGTTCTCTGCCAATTGTTGATTGACTAGTTGCGGTGGGGAATCCCATGTGGTTAATGAAGCGTCGCCAAACAATTTTGCATAAATCTCCTTATCCCAATCGCACAATAACACCGAGTTCTTGCAAACCAATGTTTTATGTTCTTCCCCTGCCTCTTCCGTTGCAAAGTTTGTTTCCAATGGCGAGTTTACATTTGATGGTTTTGTGGAATCTGGCCCACCTTGAGGGGGAATAAACGAGCTTGAGCCAAACATTCCTTCACTTTCAGTATCAGACAAGGTAAGATGAGAATATTGTTGATTACGTGGTGGTAACATTGGACGTGAATCTTGTTCAAATGGTTCGCCAGCATCCAGAACCAGTTCCAGCTTGACTCCATCAACAACAATAACAGCATCGTTTGAATCACTCCATTCGTCCCTTCCCAACGGAATAACCTGAGGCGTATTGGAACGCAGCACCAAAAACCCATCCGACCTCGTTTCATCGTCACGTACGTCATCCATCCTTTTTCCATCATCATCGTCTTGACCATCGTCTTGTATTGGCTCCTCCGTAGGCTTCTCTCGTATACTCCTCTGCGAATGATAATACATCTTTTTCAATGGTGGCAACTGGTCAGACAAAAACCTGTAATTGCTTATTGCTGGTTTGTGCAATGGAACATGAATCGTGGTGGTTGTTGCAAGACTGTTGTGAGAACTAAAACTAAAACGAGGCCTTTGACTGCTTGGCAATTCATGGGCTGTATCATAAATATATTTGATCTTGAACCCAAAATCACCATCAACGTAAGGGTTGGCTAATGAAACATCACTATCATAAACGTTTTCCTCCTTGTTATCAGCTTCACTCTCAATTGATGGGAAGTCCAGTTTGTTGTAATATTTCTTTGCAGTGTAACCTTGCAGGCTCTGCTTAACTACCTCATATTCACTAACAAGATCAATAGTTGTCAAAACAGATGCCGCCTCCAACAACTTTTGTCGAATACAACCAAAACTATTGAGTTGATCTTTTGCAAGAGTGATAAACAAAGGAATACCAAAATAATTTTCCATTCGATACAGCGAGTCATCATTCTCCACCACATTGAAAACAGGCACAACCACCTCATTCTCCCGATCGTGGGGAATAATGTAAACAACCACATCATCGCCATCTTTGATTACTTCAGTAATTGGTAAAAACTTATTTTTGATTCGATTCTTTTGGAAATCAGCATATATTCCATGCTGAAATACTTCATACAAGAATAGATCATCCTTGTCGATGTTAAGAAAACTAGACAAGTAGTTGATCAAATCATCATAATTGGAACTAGTTTTCAACTCCACTTCAAGTCTCATAATCCTGCTTTCAAGTTTGTTCCCTGCTAAATCCACAATGGTAAAAGTATGGTACCATTTCTTGTTGATAGGCAATGGTAATGTCAAGTCGTTGAATGGGTCAAATGTTATTGATGTCTTGCCACAATCAGGGCACACCAATATCGACTCGTACAACCCGGTAAACAAATCAGTTATAACAGAGTCATTTCTTTGCTTGTGTTGATTCCAACAGGTCTCCGAAAGCTTAGCTATAGCATCTTTGTCATCAACCTCGTCATCTTTCAATTCCGGTTTTTCGCAATACGGCTTTTGGAGAATACGATTCAAATCTTCATGCAATGCATCCAACAACCAGCTCAACAACTCTTGTGAATCCTGTTGAAGGTATCCAGAAAACATGGAACTGTACCTTCCAATGGTGTGTTTGAAATCACGCGGCGATATACTTGATGAAGTCTTTGCTGGGTCAAAAGCTTGCTTCAACAAGGATCCAAAAGCATTGGCAACATCTCCATTATATCCAAGCGGATTGTCTGCGTTCAACTCCTTTTGGTAAATGTTGTGGAAAAAGTACTGATTAATTTCTGGAACATGAAGCAAACATTGCAACGCAGAATTCATATAACAAGTATTTCCTAGATTGGATAAACCCATGTGGCCACCAGCATTTTCCTTGTTGTCGCTTTGATTGATATGTGACTCAACAAATGCATCAATGGGAAAAGAGAGGTTGCTTTTCTCCTTGTACTCGACAACCAAGTGGTACATACTATCATTGACGCCTTTTGTTGTCAAAGTTCTATCGTAGATGTGTGGGGGCACCACATTCTTTCTGGCTATTTTGTAAACAAAATTTGAAGCGGTAATCATATAGGGCATTTCACTCTCCTTGACATCAGATACAAACCAAAGTCTAAAATCGTCAATTGATTTGCGGGGAGCTTTAAGGACATGATCCTTGATAAGTCCAAGTAGGTATGAAAAAGTTTGGGTTCTTGAAATCGATATTGGAAAAGGGGCTTCATTTTCTGCATCATTCTGATGATGATGATGATGATGATGATGATGGTGATTGTGTCTAGAATATCCGTTTCTAAAGTAGGTTGGCTGATGCGTCTTTTTACCAATGTAATGAATATAAAACATTGGTGGCCACCTTTCGATTTCCAATGCTTCAGTTTGAAGGTTGGTAATGTACCATCTTCTAATTGGTTGTCCCAATGCACCGAACCAAAGCAAAAGGTGTTGAAAGATATTGACTGATAAACCAATCGTTGGCACCGGCTCATTATCCACTGGATAAAGATTTCCTGAACTATCTAGTATCCCATGAAAATCAACAGGACCAATTTTGCTTTGCAAATCCTCAAGTGATGTTGCTTCTGTATCAAAAATTGAATCAAGATATGGTTTCGAAATCACAATACATTCATCACCTTCTTGCATATCTTGATCAGCTAATAAACTCTTGATCAACTGTCTTTTATCTTCCAAATCCTTTTTCGAATCTTCATCTTTTTGTGCATTGTTTTCCTGGTTTGTAGTTTGTTCTACTAGTGGATTATCTATTATAGGTGGCGATTCAATGGAGCTGGTTGTCGATGACAGTGGTTCCCTTTCGTTTTCCTGAACGGTACTGTAACTGGTAACTTCTTCATCAAGCATATTGAGAATATAGTGATTGCTTATCAAAAGTATACGTTATGGGTGGATACCAGTATTGAACTAAACCTCAATGACTCTCAGTCCAATTGTATATGAGATCACAATCAGTAGATATGTGTGAGTGTCCCAATTGGAATAGATTGTTGCGGTGTAGTCCAGTTGTGTACAATCAAACAATAGTGTTGCAAATGGAAACGTTGAAAAGAGGTAAGAACCGTTCATCGTTCTTTTTTTTTTTAGTTGCGCGTCTGGAGGAATCGATTTTTTTTGCCACAATTTTTTTTGTTTTTATCGAGTGTCGCGGAGATCGTGCTACGACATTTGCATAACATATTGATAAAAAAAAAAAAAATACAATATTTTGTACAAAAGTATACAATTACGTCTCTATGCTAGCTCTTTGTTTGGATATGTCGATAGCTCGCCTAAGTGTTTCCATGGTGATATCACCATTACTCACCAAACTGATTTTGTTTATCGTTTGTGAATTACTGATGATGGATATTCTAGATAAAATGGTGGATTCTTCTGCTTCGCCTTCCAAGTCAGTCAATAAGATCGGTTCATCACTGTCTACATCCATGGCATCCCCATGTTGCTCTTTTCTCTTGTCCAACTTGATTATACCGAAATTGCTTGAGATTGTCCCTGGTTTCACATTCAATTGTAGCTTGTACTGAGATTCCTGTCTCAAATCTAAATTCAAAACACCTTTATTGGTATCAATTAACCCTCTTGCGTTTGATTTTCTCGATCTGATGGAAATTTTGGTACTTATTGAATCATTAACAAAACATCTGGGCAACTGTAAACCTTGCAATGCTTTCAAAATCGAAGCAAAACATAAATCAAATATAGAATTTGTTGACACTTCTCTCAGGTATACTTTTGTATTTGCCAACAAGACAAATTGGAATGGTTTATTATGCATACTTGATAGATTAACATATTGCCATTGTGATTCATTTAAATCGGGATACAAAATCTCTTCTTCACCAGTTTCTTCATCTTTCAACTTGATACCGATATTTTCAATACGCAAACTCTCCTCAGGGATAATTTTGCAATGTCTAAAAGTTTCAAACAAGTCCTGACTAACAATCATTTCTTCATCAGTGGGAGCACCAGATCTACCTCGAAGTATTTCGACTTGTGGGTAAACAGTGGCAAAATGTTGCCCCTGTTGGCTGCTTTGATTGCCCAAATCTTCAAGAATCCCAAGACTTATTGTTGTAATGACAGTAGTGGATCCACTTTTCACAATCGATGATGCAAAAATGTTGTTTTCGTTTTGTTGCAATTGCAGACTATTGCCAAAAGCAACTGCTTTGAATTCAGTGAAGTTGCGCAAATTGGGTCTGATTCCAATAGATAGGTGGCGTTGTAAAGATACATCCGGTGCTATTCTTGCCAATACATCTGGCGTGAAGCTAACTTGTTTTAATTCAGCCATTGTTGCTTTATAGGTTGATGGAAATGTGTATAAAATTATTTTCTGATGAGGTTTGTAAATGGATGTGATGAGTGTCGTGGCTTCAATGTCAAAAAATGTGCATGTCCGACATTGACTGTCAGTAAGTATTGTACCTCTAAAGCGTAACTGAATCAAGCTAGATAATTTGTAGTAACAGGAGTACGAGAACTGCTCTGACGCTACTCCCAGGACCTACCATAGGAGTGCATGCGGGTATAAAGTTTTGCACCATATTGATGCAAAAGTTGAACTCTCCTATACTTTTCGAAAAAAATGGATATAAAAGTTGCCTCAGTTGGACCTGTCATCATGGTTGTGATATTAATCAGCGGTATAATTCTACGTTCTATTAGCGAAAATGAGATCTTTTGGGATCAGTGTAGACATCCCAGGACGCGTACAGCCGTTCAAACAAAATAATGGGGCGGTAGAGTAAAGTTTTGTTACTCAGAGAAAGCCTAAACATACAAAGACAAGAATCTATAATCACATGCACCAGGTATACCCCCACATAAGTACAAGTGAAGATCATCTTTCCTGTTGACATAGAGTATCATAATAATCAATAGTGAGTTGACTCATTAGTATCACAAAAATGTCAAAACAATTACTTGCCATTGCTCCGGTTTCAAGAATTGCAAAAACTGTAGAACCGGTTTGTACCGAGATACACAAAGTAAAAATGAATCAGCTTCTTCATTGACTTGTAGAAACTTTGTAACTAAATTGGGGGAAGTCTTTTCCTTTCTTGGAATAAGAGTACTACTTTGATTACGAGACCTAATACGCAATGAACAGATATATTCACAATTCAATGCATTTGTGGTATAGATGATGAAACTGTTTTCCATTGCATTCTGATTTGACATTCTGATTTGATATGAATCCTTTGAATTAAGTTAATGAATGTGGGGTAAAGTAAAACGTAGTTTAGTTAAGTGCTTTACACGTGACTAACTAGAAATTGAAATTAAATGTTCTCTTTTAATAATTAGCAGCATGTGATTGGCTGTAGATTAAGAAACAAAAGAAGAAGAGGAGAGATTACAGTTTTTGTATCACAAAAACAAACAAATATTACTGCATTGAAAAGCATAATAAACAAAAGACAAACAAGGGTAAAAGGAAATCAAATGGGTTTAGTAGGCCACCAGAGGAGGAAGGTCACCCAAGCCAAGTTGTTATGGGTCCAATTGACGGGGTCAATAGCAATAACTATTACCCTTGGACCAAGTACAGTTTGGCTAAAGTAGGTTGTTGTAGTATGGATATATTTCTCTTTTACAGATCTGAATGGAAATATCCCGTTATCTATAAACAAAGAAAATGAGTTAATTTAAACTTTAGCCAAGGGTAAAACCGTTATAGTTATATATTATTTTACACGATTTAGAGGTACCATAGATGGGGGGTGATAAGCTGCCATTGATTGGAACCACCCGTTTCCCATAGAGCTTAGCTAGAGTAAATCTCAAACAACACGTGGGGGAGGGGACAAGAGACCAAAGAGATTAACATTCTCATTGTATAAACGCCAATGAATAACTACAAAATTTTTCTTCTTCGTTTTTCACAAAATAGACAAACTAATTTTCCAAATTTCTAACTTTTCCAATATTTGTACAAACACAAAAAAATCAAAATCATAATTGAGCCATCTTCTTCTTCTTCTTCCTTCTCTTCTTCTTCTTCTTCTTCTAGATTTTCATTCATAAGAGGACACTTAAATGAGTACCGTTTCCAGCACCTCCTCATATTTGCCCCAAAAGGAGTTTAGCGACACTCACATCTACCACTATGATGAAGTTCCAGAAAATAAATCATGGGCTTCTGCTTTACCTATTGCAAAAGGTCTTTACAATCCAGAACTTGAGAAAGACGCTTGTGGTGTTGGTTTCACATGTCATTTGAAAGGATCACCATCTCACAAGATTGTATCAGATGCCAAACACTTATTGTGTAATATGACCCACAGAGGTGGAGAATTGAACCCCAAAGATGGTGATGGTGCTGGTTTATTGAGTTCTATTCCTCACAAGTTTTTGAAAAGAGAGTTTCAATATCATTGCAATGTTACATTACCGAGAAAAGGTCAATATGGGGTAGGTAATTTGTTTTTCAAAAAGGATGATGTTGTGTTTGACAAGTCTAAAAGGACATTTGAAGATATTGCTGATTCTTTGGATTTAAAAGTATTGGGATGGAGAAAAGTACCACATGATTCTTCCATTTTGGGTCCAGCTTCATTGTCAAGAGAACCCTACATTTTACAACCAGCTGTTGTTTTGAAAGAAACTTTGGATTTGGATATTGATGAAGAAGAATTTGTTGCAAAATATCAGCAAGAGTTTGAAAAAAAATTATTTATTTTGAGAAAACAAGCATCTCATACCATTGGATTACACAATTGGTTCTACATATGTTCACTTTCATCAAAGACAATTGTGTACAAAGGACAATTAGCTCCAAATCAAGTCTATGCATACTACCATGATTTGGTTAATGCCGAATACGAGTCACATTTTGCATTGGTCCATTCAAGATTCTCAACAAACACGTTCCCATCTTGGGATAGAGCTCAGCCTTTGAGATTAGCCGCACATAATGGTGAGATCAACACTTTAAGAGGCAACAAAAATTGGATGAGAGCTAAAGAAGGTGTGATGAAGTCTAAATTGTTTGGTGAAGAAATGGACAAGTTGTTTCCCATTATCGAAGAAGGCGGTTCTGATTCAGCTGCATTTGATAACGTTTTGGAATTGTTGGTTGTTAACGGGGTTGTTTCTTTACCGGAAGCTGTTATGATGATGATTCCCGAGGCTTGGCAAAACGATGAATTCATTGACCCTAAAAAGAAGGCATTTTATGAGTGGGCAGCTTGTTTGATGGAACCATGGGATGGTCCTGCTTTGTTTACTTTTGCTGATGACAGATATTGTGGTGCCAACTTGGATCGTAATGGGTTGAGACCATGTAGATACTATGTCACTGATGATGACAGAATGATTTGTGCTTCGGAAGTTGGGGTTATTGGTATTGAACCCGAAAAGGTTTTACAAAAGGGTAGATTACAACCAGGAAGAATGTTGTTGGTTGATACCAAGGAGGGAAGAATTGTTGATGACAGAGAGTTGAAAAACAATGTTGCATCACGTTTTGATTTCAAAAGTTGGGTCTTGGCCAACATGATTTCGTTAAACGATTTGAAAGAGAAATATACGTCACGAGATATCAGCTTGCATCCAACCCCAATTGATCCTGAGTTGACAATTCAAACTGATTCAAGATTGGTGGCATCTGGATACTCTCACGAGCAAGTGTTGTTTGTATTGGCACCAATGGCAGAGGGTAACGAAGCATTGGGTTCCATGGGTAATGATAATGCATTAGCTTGTCTTTCTGAACAACCCAAGTTGTTGTACGAATATTTCCGTCAATTGTTTGCCCAAGTGACAAATCCACCAATTGATCCTATTAGGGAAAAGATTGTTATGTCCTTGGAGTGTTATGTTGGGCCACAAGGTAACCTTTTGGAAATGAAACCAAACCAATTAAACCGGTTGTTGTTGAAATCACCAATCTTGACCAATGAAGATCTTTTGGCTATCAAGGAAATTGAAAAAGTTTATCCAACATGGTCAGTTGCCACCATTGATATCACATTTGAGAAATCTGAAGGTATACAGGGTTACATCAACACCATTGACAGAATTTGCCAAGCTGCTTCGAAAGCAATTGCCGATGATAACCAAATTATTGTATTGAGTGATGTTGCCACCGGTGCTGATAGATTACCAATCTCTGCATTGATTGCAGTTGGTGCTGTCCATCACCACTTGGTTAGGCAAAAACAGCGTTCCAAGGTTGCGTTGATTATTGAGACCCAGGAAGCCAAAGAAGTACATCATATGTGTTGTTTGGTTGGATACGGTGCCGATGGTATCAACCCCTACTTGGCCATGGAAACTTTGCAAAGAATGAAGAGACAGGGTCTTTTGAAAAATGAATCTTTAAGTGAGGAGAAAGTAATTGACAATTATAAGAAATCACTTGACTCGGGGATCTTGAAAGTTATGTCAAAAATGGGAATCTCCACTTTGGCATCCTACAAAGGTGCTCAAATTTTTGAAGCTCTTGGTGTTGATAACTCAGTTATTGATATTGCCTTTGCTGGAACTGCTTCTAGAATCAAGGGGGTTACGATCGAGTATATTGCCCAAGATGCATTCACTCTTCATGAGAGAGGGTATCCAACCAGAGAAACTGTAAAACCAATTGGCTTACCAGAAACCGGAGAATACCATTGGAGAGATGGTGGTGAGGCACATATCAATGATCCAGCTGCAATTGCTTCATTACAAGACGCTGTGCGTAACAAGAATGAAAGGGCTTTTGATGCTTACTGTAAAAAAGAAAATGAAGCAGTGAGAAACTGTACTTTGCGTGGTTTATTAGATTTCGACTTTGAATCTTCAACTTCAGTACCCATTGATCAAGTTGAACCATGGACTGAAATCGTTCGTCGTTTTTTCACTGGTGCCATGTCTTATGGATCAATATCGATGGAGTCACACTCAACATTGGCTGTTGCGATGAATAGATTAGGTGGTAAATCCAATACAGGTGAAGGTGGTGAGGATGCAGCTCGTTCCCAAGTTAATGAAAATGGTGATACAATGAGATCCGCCATCAAACAAGTTGCCTCGGGAAGATTTGGTGTTACTTCGTATTATCTAGCCGACGCTGATGAGTTACAAATCAAGATGGCGCAAGGTGCTAAGCCAGGTGAAGGTGGTGAGTTACCGGGTCACAAGGTATCAGCCGAAATTGGAAAGACTAGGCACTCAACACCAGGAGTTGGTTTAATTTCACCTCCACCACATCATGATATTTATTCCATTGAAGATTTGAAGCAGTTGTTGTACGACTTGAAATGTTCCAATCCAAGAGCAAGAACTTCAGTCAAATTGGTTTCGGAAGTTGGTGTTGGTATTGTCGCTGCTGGTGTTGCTAAAGCTGGTTCGGAAAACATTTTGATTTCTGGAGGTGATGGTGGTACTGGTGCTGCCAAATTGACCTCCATCAAATATGCCGGTTTACCTTGGGAATTGGGATTAGCCGAATCTCACCAAACATTGGTGTTGAATGACTTGAGAGGAAGGGTTATCTTGCAAACTGATGGTCAATTGAGAACTGGTAGAGATATTGCCATTGCTTGTTTATTGGGAGCCGAAGAATGGGGGTTTGCAACAACTCCATTGATTGCCATGGGATGTATCTACATGAGAAAATGTCACACTGGCGCTTGTCCTGTTGGTATTGCTACTCAAGACCCCGAATTGAGAAGGAAATTCGAAGGTACTCCAGAGCACGTTATCAATTTTTTCTATTACATGGCAAATGATTTGAGACAATATATGGCTAAATTGGGATTCAGAACCGTTGCTGAAATGGTTGGAAGGGCCGAGAAGTTGAAAGTAAGAGAGGATTTCAGAAACACCAAGAATGCCAACATTGATTTGTCACCAATTCTTACTCCTGCCCATACTATTAGACCAGGAGTTGCAACCCATTGTGTGCGGAAACAAGATCACAAGCTTCACATCAGGGTAGACAACAAATTGGTTGATGAGTCAGAATTGACTCTCGCCAAAGGGTTGCCAGTCACCATTGACTGTGAAGTGGTCAATACTGATAGGTCCTTGGGTACTACATTGTCGTACCGTGTGTCCAAGACTTTTGGTGAAGAAGGATTACCTCATGATACCATTCATGTGAATGTTACAGGCTCTGCTGGTCAATCATTTGGTGCCTTTTTGGCCCCAGGAGTTACCTTGGAGTTGGAAGGTGATGCTAATGACTATGTTGGAAAAGGGCTATCTGGTGGTAGAATCATTATTTATCCTCCAATTGAATCTAAATTCAAAGCCGAGGAGCACGTGATTGCCGGTAACACTGCCTTTTTTGGAGCCACTTCTGGTTCAGCATTTCTCAGAGGTATTGCTGCTGAAAGATTTGCCGTGAGAAACTCTGGTGCTAATCTTGTTGTCGAAGGTACTGGTGATCACGGTTGTGAGTACATGTCTGGAGGTAGAGCTATTGTGCTCGGATCCACTGGAAGAAACTTTGCATCTGGTATGTGTGGTGGTATCGCTTATGTATTGGATATGGCTCAGGATTTTCCAGAAAAGGTTAACAAAGCCAACGTTGAGCTCTCTTCAGTCACTGAAACCGATGAAATTGCGTTTTTGAGGAATTTGATTGAAGATCATCGTCATTATACCGGATCAGAAGTTGCTGATAGAATCTTGAACGATTTCAATAGATACTTGCCAAGATTTGTTAAAGTCTTACCATTTGATTACAAGAAGGTGTTGGAAAAAGAAAAACAACTTGCTGAAGAGGCCAAAAAGAAGGAACTAACCAAGTTTTTGAAATCAATCAAGGAAGATCCCGAATCTGATGTTACCAATGGTGAAGCATACAAGATCAAAAAGGGACATGTTCACCGCTCTCATAAACAACTCAATGAACCAAAAGTTGCTGATGTTGAAGATACCATTTTTGATACTGAATTTGAGAAAAAAGCGCCAGTAAAATTGGATAAAGTTAGAGGGTTTATGAAGTACAAGCGAAACAACGAAAAGTACAGGGATGCTAAACTGAGAACTTCAGATTGGAAGGAAATGACATCGAGGTTGACCAAGGATGAGTTGAAGTATGAAACTGCGAGATGTATGGACTGTGGTGTTCCCTTTTGTACTTCTGACACCGGGTGCCCAATTTCTAATGTGATTCCTAAATGGAATGAGTTGGTGTTTAATGATAGATGGTTTGATGCATTGCAAAGGTTAATGATGACCAACAATTTTCCTGAATTCACCGGAAGAATTTGCCCTGCTCCATGTAATGGGGCATGTGTTTTGGGAATTAATGAAGATCCCGTCAATATTAAATCAGTTGAATGTGCCATTATCGATTATGGCTTTGAGCAAGGCTGGATTAAACCACAACCTCCAACTCATAGAAGTGGCAAAACTGTTGCTGTTATTGGATCGGGCCCTGCTGGTTTATCATGTGCTGATCAATTGAACAAAGCTGGACACTTGGTAACTGTTTATGAAAGAAGCGACAGACCTGGTGGGTTATTGATGTATGGTATCCCCAACATGAAATTAGACAAGGGGATTGTCAGGAGGAGAACCGACTTGTTGGCAGCTGAAGGTATTGAATTTGTCTGCAACACCACAGTTGGTGAGGATGTCACTGTCTCTGACTTGCAATCCAATTTCGATGCGGTTGTTTTCGCTGTTGGTTCAACCATTCCTAGAGATTTAAAGATTCCAGGAAGAGAATTGGAAAACATTAACTTTGCCATGCAATTGTTGCACAAGAACACTAAAGCACTCTTGGATGAAGAATTGGATGAAGTGCGCAAGACATTGCAAGGTAAACACGTTGTTGTTATTGGTGGTGGTGATACTGGTAATGATTGTTTAGGTACGTCTACAAGACATGGTGCTAAATCGGTCACCAATTTTGAATTGTTGCCTCACCCACCTTCATCCAGACCAAAGGACAATCCATGGCCACAATGGCCAAGAATCTTTAGAGTTGATTATGGTCACACTGAAGTTGCAGCTCATTATGGTAAAGATCCAAGAGAATACTCCATCTTGTCCAAGGAGTTTGTTGGTGAAGATGGTAAAGTCAAGGGAATCAAGACTGTTCGAGTAGAATGGAAACGTTCAGACCAAGGAGCATGGCAAATGGCTGAAGTACCCGGCAGTGAAGAATTTTTCCCGGCAGATGTTGTCTTGTTGTCTATGGGATTCATTGGACCTGATGCCGATAATCTTGAAGTTGAAAAGACTAAAAGAGGCACCATCAACACCGTGAATCCAAACGTTTACAAAGTCGATAATGACTCCAATTTGTTTGCTGCTGGTGATTGCAGAAGAGGTCAGTCATTGGTTGTTTGGGGCATTCAAGAAGGAAGACAATGTGCTAGAGAAGTGGATGAGTATTTGATGGGTTCGACTAGATTACCCGGTAATGGATCCATTGAACAAAGAAGTTACAAGTTGTTGGAAGAATTGGAAGTTGCTGCTTGAGTTAGAAAAAAAATATGTTGTATTGTATATATTTATTTAATTGATGAGAATTTATTAACAAGTGTGTGCTTAATTGAAGTAATACTCTATATAGAATGCAAATTATTCAGTACACCCCTTTGCTTTTCTGTTACTTGTTCTTGCCAAACCAGAACCCATCGTTACTTCCAGAATCATTTTCCTTCTCCCTTGTTGATTTGAAGTGGTAATCGTCCTCAGAATCACTATCATCTCCATCAGTTTCAAAGTTGTAGAAAAACGGTCTAGCTTTTGTGGCTTTACCATCGGGCTGGTGTTGCTGCAGTGGCTGCAGTTGCAGATCCTGTCCATTGGATAAAGTTGAGTAAAACTTTATCGAATCCTTTCTTGGTCTCCTCCTTTGTGAGGGTGGTGGCGGTGGTGGTGGTGAACTTACAGAAGGTTTGCCTTGCTTGTTCTTGAACGATAATGAGAGTTGTTTCCCTGAGCCATCAGCATTGCTCATTTCTTCATCATCTGATGCTGATCCAGACACAGATCGAGAATCTGAACCTGAACCTGAGTCATATTCATCATCGCCACTATTTTCATTGCTATTATTGAACGAGTCAGATTGCATGGTCAAACTTTGAGGTAATTGGTTCTGCGACTTTTTCTGTTGGTATGACAAAAAAAGCGGATTGTTGATTCTTTTTTTATTCATCGATCGAGCTCGATTCAAAGTTTCGATTGGTGACGATCGATTTGCAGCAGCAGCAGCAGCGGCAGCAGCTGCTGCATTGAGTGGCTCATTATGTTCCTTGATGATATCCAACTCGTCAACACTTTGATCACTGATTGAGTCAATTGACATATCGGATTCATTAGACCTAACCCGATTAATTACTTGAGGGAAATAGGAATCCTTAGTATGATGAGCAACAAATACTGACGAGTTTGGATTTGAACTGGATCTGCTTCGATTTTGTAATTGTGAAGAAACGTACTTGGGAAGATCAGTACTGGAGTTTTCATTCGATGATGAAGGACGATTATATTGTTGCAAATTGACTTGTGAATTGACTCGTGAGTTGAGTTTGTGGATGGGGATTTCCGAAGTATTGGAGTACCGAAGCTTGATTGGTTGTACTGATTCATTACTTAAAATCTTGGACAAATCAATAACGGAGTTGGATTTGGTGGGTGCTGAATTGGGAGAAACATCCGGACTGACTCTTCTCGAGGGTGGATTGGTGATGGCAAAATCCTTTTTAAACGCTTCACAATTTATCATCTTTTCCTTAAACTCAGCCCTAATCTTGAAATGCTTTTGATCAGGCACCCAATCTTTTGCTGCTGGACAAAGGTAGTTGTGTCTTGCTGGTGGTAATCCATTAACACTTCTTGACGCTGAAGTAGATTCAATCTTGAATGAAGCCCTTGGTTTGTATTCATCTTTGATATCTGACTCCTTGGGTTTGTCAATAAGATCATCCTTCTTGATAAAATTTGTTTTGTAGTATACAATATCCGTCTCCAAGTTTAAATTAGTATCCACCCCTTCTCTTCCTGCAATGCCAAGTGCATCCTTGACTAGTTTCCAATAGTAGTGCTTTGGATCATACTCATCATCCAGTACTTCTTCCCCCTTCAATCTTCTAGCTAAATTGATCTTTGCCTCTGGAATTTCTTCAAAAATGGGGTGATTGATAAAGTACGACAATAAATTATTGATCAAATATCCATGCGACACAACAATTATGATATCTTTGTTTTTGATATACGATGGTTTGTCATAAGTGGCCAACAATTTTTGAAAATACTCTTTACATCTTGTTTGGTAATCCTTGTATGTCAAGTTGGGCCCATTATACTGTCCCAAAGTCACGGTTGGTCTGAAATTGGAACACGCATTCTTATTTTTTAGTGTCTTCAAATTGGGAGTATACATATTGTATGCATCGTTTGAATCAACAAATGGTGGTTTATTCGTCATTTTGTCATGCACCCATTCACTCAATGCAAAGTCGCCAAGTAGTTGGAATCTAACTTTATAGTTGGCAAACTGTTCGGCAAATTTCGCCTTCAACTCAGTGATTAATATATCGGCAGTCTGACAACATCTCAAATAAGGACTAAAATGGATGAATACATTCTTTCGTAGTGACGACTCCTTATCCTGAAATGCTTCTGTGGTGGAACAAATATCTTCAACAACTTGTTGTAGTTGTGGGATCGCAGTTGTTGCTAGTGATGGATCATAATCGTGGTAATCTTCTATAATAGGTTTGGCTTCGGGATCTCTTTTCAAAGCATGGTCTATTCGTTCGCCATGACGTAGAAAGTACAACTCTGTCATCTTTTCGAGAAGTTTAAAAACGGTTATTGTAAAGCACTGTTACAGATGTTGTTGCATAGCTTTTTTCTTTTCTAGCAGGCCGATGGAGTGGAACAAGATATGATTTCAACCGTGAAGTTCCAATAAAGTTCTTAGATGAAGTGGTTAATGCTCTATGTCTTTTTGCGTCCTTATCCAATAAAGTGATTAATGATTCAGTATTTTTTTTTTTTTTCCCTATGAGGACCCCCCTGTCGATGATCTCAGATAGTATGAAAATGGAAGAATCTGTATTGTTTTTAGTCGTAGCGGTAGTAGGTTTGCTGATGTCCAGTCTCGTGTTTAACAACAAATGCTCTTTCTCTCGGTTGATTCGACACCAAATGAACAAAGGAAATGTTTGTGTGTCTCTAGATTTTTATTTTGCTTTTCAGAACAATACAAAAGCGTGTGTGCAATGTAATAGTTTTAGTAATTATAACACAAATATAGAGTAAATAGATGAACGACAGAAACGTAGAGCTACGTCCAGTCGGCAAGGTGCTTGAGCAATACTACGAATGGTGCTTACAACAATAGCAAGAAAGTGGGGTCGGGGAGTGTCGAACTCATTTGTAATGTTCTATCATCGGTGGTGAATTTCATCATGTGATGATGATGATGATCGGTCGGAAAAAAAAAAAAAAAGAAGGCAAAAGGGGGATCAGACTTTCCCGGTGTTTTCAAAAGATGAACTTGTTTTACACTCTTTATAAGAGTTAGAACAACTTCCCTGGTTACTGCCAATTGTAGACAACCTATATCTACTAGCTCATCTCATCTCATCTCATTGCATAGTTATTGCCATCTAGAGTAAGTGGGGACTAAATTTCCCTGACGGTTAAAATAAAAGATTACACCGTTGAATTAGATATGATGTCATAACTTAAAAAAAAAAGAGAGCTACAATTGAGCACATCCACACGACCTTACAAAAGTACAATGTAGCAACAACTTTGTGTTATGCTTACAAAATTCGGTTGTTACTGTCCATACACGTGACGAGTTTTATTGGCATTCCATTCCCTATTTTTCACTACTTATTCAAGTTTAATCCTTCCAATTGATCATCAATCTTTGCCATTCTCTCTTTTTTCCTTCGCTCATGTCTCAGTTTCTCATCGGTAGAATGCTTTTGATCCATGTATTCATGCAAGATTTCATGATCTTCAATATCATCAACATCAATACCATGACTACCACCATAGGAATACTCATTATCCGGTTCTTTCAATACATCTCTGATTGTCTCATTTGCAACCAATTGACTATGTAATCCAAAACTAAAACACCATTTCAAGTGTCTTAGCCTGGTTGCAAGATACCATGAATTAACTTTCAATTGTTTGTATTTGGATAATTTGATGTTGATAGTGTCAACACAATTGTTGAGTAGTTCAATTCCTTCTTCTGTCCGTTTATAAACTTGCTGCCTTTTGCTACTATCAGTGTATGTCTCAATTGTGTTGATGATATTTCTAAAAACTGAACTGATTTCTTTTTTATCCTTCTTTGAAACCTTCTTAGAGGATAAATTGAGAAGTCGGGTCAATATTGAAATCAACGACTCTTGTTCATAGTATGGGGCATTTAAATTATAATCGTCATCCTCACCATCCTCCTCGTCACTGTTTCCATAATCATATAATTCATAAATAACGGCAATTGTCCTTCCTGCAGCCTTGGCAATATCCCTATTTTCGTCATTATCCAAAAGCGGCACCAACTTTACCACCAAGTCCTCGCTAATCTCATTCAAGTACTCACCACGACGCAACAAAGTCAATAAACATCCAACTCCATGAATTGCAGCCACAGCAACTGAAGCTTCAGCAACTACTTTGGCATTGGCTTCATTAACCAATTTTTTATCCAAATTTTTATCAGTTATAAAAGTGGAATGTTCACGATCACCTTGTTCAACCTCCTTTTGTAGTGCCAATGCACTAGCACTATAACCCTCGGCAATCTCCATCAACATATTGACTCGATCATCAACTCCAAAACTAGAAGAACCATTATGCAACACCAATGTCAATGCAGTGTACCCTAATATGATACTGGATTTGTTTTCTGCTGTAACGATACTATTTGTTGGTTCTGTAATCAAATGTTGAATTTTCGATAACAAGTCACTACTAATCAATGCGCCAAATTCGTCAATATCGCTGCAAACCAATGCAATTAGCGAACGATATAAATACTGAAACTCCAACTCACTTCGATAATTGCCACTGGTGAATTGATTAATCAAAGTATTGACGGTATCCTCATCAACATAATTCAATCGGTTACCGACATTTTCTTCATTGTAAATCACCAACGGTTTCGAAACGACAAGTTTGTAAAGCTGCGCCAATAACAACTCCCTTGATCTCGAACTAATATCAGTCCTTGAAAAAGTCAATGATTTGATAATTTCATTAATATTTGAATTTTCCTGAATACGTTTATTATTCAACTGGTGGGCTTCATATTGACGTCTATCTCCAGAACTTATTCGGTCTTCTTTAGCCACTTCTCCCATATCCTGTTGATTCAAGTTGGTAAGCTTTTCTCGCAAGATTTCTTCAATCTTAAGCAATTCGCCTTCTTCGTAATCACTTTCATAATCGGAGTCATCTGATCGTAAGGGGGTTCCAATGGCTGAATGAGCTCGAGATGATGAAGGTGATGATGTGCCTTCTTTATCGAATCGTTTGCCCTTGTATAAGGATCTGTGTGACATTATTAGTGGTTGGAGGAAAAGAGTGAAAGGTTAGATGGTATGTTTTTTTGCTTGCTATAAAGCTTTGGTATTTGTAAAGAATGTGTCATTACACAGAACCACAAAAACTTTCGAGAGTAATTGGTAGCACTATATTGATAATTCCTTTTAATACATTGGCCATGGCCTACCTAGAATACAATTTCATTTGGTAGTACATACACCTTCTCTCCCAACCCTCTCACTGTCTGATTATCTTTATCCAATGGCAACGACTTCCGCATATCAAAAGCATCGATATCATCATTAATGTCATTACGATCATGTGGCATCTCTCCACCACCACCACCACCAAAACCATAATACCCCACAACTCGTCGATAAACACTGTACCCCAACTTTTCATAAAGCTTCTTCCCCAACAAGTTTGTCACTTTGACGAATAAATCGATAAATAGCGTCAGTTGCACTTCACTAATTTTTTCCAATTGTAAACACAATTTCGACGCGAGTGATAGACGTCGATACTGATCGTGGATTGTAACTGCAGTGATGTGTGTATGGTACTCCATTTTCAGTAGCTGTCCTTCAATTTTAGCCATCATATATCCGCTAGTAGTGGTGATGGCATCACTTGTTGTATGTTCTACTGATTTGTAAAATAAGTTGGGCCATTGTGTCAAGTACTGTGAGTAGAAAGAAATATTGAAATTTTCAGTCAATGGATCGAGGTTCACTGGGTTGATTGTGAATAGATCTTCTAGCTGGAATGGCTTTATTGATGTCATGACTGATGGTGTGAATGGCTGCCCTCTACTTTGAATCGAATTGAGGGAATAAAAGAGTTTTCTTTTCTGAATTTAGTCGTGCAAGTAAGTACAAAGAAATGACATCATTTTGCCATGGGGGTGAATGATCAGATCTCCATTGGTTTACTCTAAGATTTGAAGCAAAAGTCAGTGAAAAGTCCCTTTACCTATCCTCGGGCAACTTTACCTTTCGAATAGCCCGACTTCATATATCGCAAAATAAGCTACGTAACTCTTTGATCGGATACAACCTTACACTGTGATTCCTCGAAAGAGAAGAAAAACTTTTTTTTTTTTTTTTTTTTCTTTTTGAAAAATAGCAAATCAAATTCAGATCCAACAACAGACATCTACTACTTCATCAATCAATAGCTCATATCAAGCATGTACGGAGGACCACCACCAAGTGAAGAACAGAAGAAACTACAACAACAATACGCATACGATACCTTAAAGTTTGCTGGCTTAATTGCTGGTGTCTTGTGGGTTAGCCCAATTGTGTATCATTATATTCAAAGACAATTAAAATAAGCTTGAACTATACAACGCAGAGAGAAATCTTAGAAGCAAAAGTAGTCATTCAAGCAACTACATTACTAGTTTGAGACATTCGCAAGTTTGATTTTGTATATAGATTGAAATAAACAAAGGTTACAGCTTCTACTCATCATCTAATTCAACCAATAATTGCTCTCTCAACTGCCCAATCTTATTAGCCAATGTTAAAAATTCCATTCGTTCACTGATTTTACTAGCAGCTAATAATGCTTTATCAGTCTTCATCAATTTGGCAATATTATAAGCTTTGGTCAATTTCAGTTGCTGACAAGCTTCAGCAAACAATTTGATTAACGATTTATCAAACATGGTGCTATACTGTTCCAATTTTGTCATGATCGCATCCTGATCGATATTCTCATTTTGATCTCGTTCTTCTTCAAAATTGGAAAGTGTATCACTAAGTAGCTTACCCATTGTTAATGACCGAAGGAACTGCTCTTCACATTCAACACTTTCTTCTTCTTTATCGCCACCATCACCACCAACGCGACCTAGCTTAATTGGTATTTCAATATCAATTTCAACCGGTAAAGGTAGTGGGAACCCTGGGTAACCTCCATTTTTCAAGATTAAACAATTGAGTGAATCGTTAATTAAACCCAATGGCCAACATGACCATTTCAACTTGTTTTCATTCGACTCGTATTCGGTTATCGCATTATGCAAGTTCAATATAGGAATCCATTTGGCATTACCTGTTTCTCTCCATGATTGTAGTACAAGTAATGTGTCATCATGGCCTCCAACAATACAAGGATCATTGTACTCGTTAAAAAAGATACCCTTGATCAATTGACTTTTAGCTTCTTTTAATGGAATTGGATAGTTTTGCTGTATAATCTTGTAATCTTGATAGATATCAAAAATGCTGTATGTGTAAACATTGGCCGTAACTTGATTAATCATTAAAACAACTCCATAAGACGCAGCTAATGAAACCACTGGTATTGTTTTCATCACATTTAAACAAATTCCTTGTTCATCAAAGAAACGTAGGTATCCCAAATTCGTCCCCACGACAATAGTGTTACTTCCCTTGGAGTTTGTGATGCAAATACTGGTTAAATATTCTTTTCCCTTGATTAAAGGTATAGTCCTTTCCCATAAATCATTGCCCATGTCATTGTGTGATTTATAAAAGATAGTTCCTTTGCTACTTTCACCCAATATAATACTTTTTTGATTCATTGATGCAAGATCAAACTTTTGATAATCAGTGAAATGGTATTCACTATTTAATGAACGATCAAAAAACGACACGGTAATGCTATTTGTTGCTCCTGGCTCTTTATTGATTACAATCCAAGCATACCCAATATTATTCATGGTCAAGTATCGTCTGTCAATAGTTTCTCCCTTCTTGACGAATGGAGTAGATCCTGGTGAGTAAGGAATGATCTTGCTGGAAGCGGTCGCGAAGCTCCTCACCGGCGGTGCTGGTGAAGGTGTTGGTTTATGCTTTTTGAATCCATTATGTGTAGGTCTGGAATAACCGTCATCATCGTCCAATATAGAATTGTCTTCCTCTTCTTCTTCCTCCTCTTCATCATCATCATCGACAAACAAACGCTTCCCATTGGCATTTCCATTAGTGAGTCCGTTGGCACGTTCATTGGTATCCCCATCTCGATGCAATAATTTGTTAATCTCAGTTTGATCATCGCTTTTGGCAAATTCATCATCACTTTCCTCCAAGTCATCCAAAAACAAACTTGCCCCTTCAGTGCCACCACCGGTCACATCTTTTACAACATCTCTGAGTCTTAGTATATCTCCATAAGTACTCCCAATCAAAAAACTAGTTTTGTTCTCCCATTCAATATTTAATGGCAACGCATCTTCGTTTAATTCAAAATCATCTTCGTGTAATGTATTTGCCGAATCGAAATTAACCATTTTATAAGTATTCAAAGTTAAAATTGCCAATTTGTTCCCATTCAAGTTGTAGTCAACAATTTTGGAATCACTGGTGAATTGTTTTACTTTGGACCAATCCAGTCTTTGATGTACTTGAATTATATTGTTTATAGTTGGGATCAATAAAAACTGTCCATCATTTGACCATTGAGTCTTGGTGGTGTATAGTTCATCATTATGTTCATTGTTGAAATCAAGCTTATCAGTTGACAAGTTTATTTTTTTATCAATAACATTTTCCAATGTGTGTAGTAAGTTTAACTCTTCATTAAAGACGGAGTAGATTTGTACTGCGCCATTGGACAAGCTGATACTGCATAATTCTCCCGTTTGGTCATATGCTATGTTTAACAATTGATCTGGTAATGTGATAGTCTTGTATTGATGATCATTCTCCAAATCAATGATGACCAACTTGTCATCATCACCACCACAAAGTATCCTTTTCCCATCATTTATAAATGAAAGATCACGTAAAGGTAATTCTGATCGGAAAATGACTCCTCGGGATTCGTGTTTGGTCAAATCTATAAGTTCCAATTTACCCTCAGTTGTAGTGATTGCCAAAGTATCTTTATGGAATGAAGCAGATGTCAAATTCGATAGGAAATCAATCGATACAGGTTGTGAATCAAAGTCATCAACATTAACCAACTTGACTATACCTTCACTATTGGCAATAACTAATCTTTTCAAGTAATCGTCAAAGTAGGCATATGAGTTACCATCAGGAAAGATGGATATTCTCTTGTACGACATGATCAATGATCTGCTGTGGTGATGGTTGTACTTTGTTTTGGTGAATAATGAAAAACAAAGAAAAATAAAAAATTAACAGAAATGAAGTCGCGTAAAAATTGAGACGCGTGATATTCAAATTAAGTAAAAGCCGCACACACAATACATTGCGTGGTAATGAAGTTTGAGAACTAAGAAGTGGAGATTCTTTGTGGGAGCATGTGCATTTGCTTGATCTGTTTTCTACTCACCTTTCTAGTTTGAAGGGGCATCGATACAGAGACGCATGTGGCCACTAGTAGTTAAAAGTGAAGATGAAGTGACAGGTGTACATTTTTGAGGCATCAATGATCCACTGCTACCGCTATTAATGTAATGAAACTGTGAGGCTCACCTATCTTAATGCGTTGTTCAATAAGGGGCGACTTGTGATTGTTGTTTTCCCCTATAAAATACAACCGTTTATTCAATTTTTATGCGAGGAAACCAGGAACTTACCGAGGAACAATCACTTGCGAGGCATTTAAGTATCCTGCTGCATAGCCTGGCCACGTTGCCATCAACAAAAATTACCTATGGCAATAGGGAAGCAAATGTGGTACCATAATGTGTTGCCAATTAATTTGGGCGAATCTCTAAGTTCATCATCAACTGAGGGTCGAACTTAAACCAACGTGCATTTGATGCCGTATGTATACTTTGTCGTCAGCAGTAGCTTCATTACTACACCCCTATTCTCAAAATAGATAAATGCATTGTTATTATTATTGTTGTTGTTGTTTATAGTTTCCATTTCTTGAGAATTTGAGGGATTTTTCTCATTTTTGATCAAACATGTGCTATTTTTCACCACTTTTTTTTCGAGGGTTTGTCTCTTCTAAGTAAGGCTGAAAGCGTACTTCCATCCGCTTGTAATGGATAATGAAGTTGTTGTACAGCTTGCTCGTACGATTTAACGCAACAGTTTCACATGTTTGTTATGTGGTCAAAAGTTGGTTGCAAAAATCAAAAACGAAAAGAAAATTTTTTGTAAACAAAATGTGAAATTGGGACAAGGTACACTCCGACCACGAAAATGTGTATAGCGCTGGTGTGTTTCTCTTCAAACAGTCTCTATAGCTACAAATGAGTCACAAACTACATATGCATATGTGCATAGTGACAACTAAAACATGAAGCCTCAAATGTAACTTGGGCTACTTTTTTTTTTTTTTGGTCAATTGAAATTCCCCAAATGAAACAAAAAACACATTAATACTCTTACTGTATTTAATTGTTGTGTACAATTTTTGAGGGATTTTTTTTTTTTTTTTTTTGTGCATATCTTGTTTTCTTCGTAAAAACTTGTGTCTATGTACATGGAGGCTATGACACCCCAACAGCAACAAATATAGACATTATAGACATTGACTATCTCTCCAATTAGTCAGAAAGTAATATGATAATAACCGAAAGTGTTGATAATAGGCTAATGGAATATTGTAGAGTGGAAAGGGACTTTTTATGTCAGTTCTAACCATAGGATGTGAGTACTACAAGTATACATGTATACACGTAATATACACAAGAGTCTCTCTTTTTACCTTGTGTATTAGGCTACGCTCTATTTTGATCCCCTTACGAGTTCATCTTTGTTACGTAGATTATAGATATTAGATTATAGATTATAGATTATAGATTATAGATTATACACACCACATTGTCAGACGACAGCACAAAGTGTATATATTGTTAAATCCCTCAAAAAGAAATCACTAAATAAACCATTGTACCAGATACACAACCTATACGTCACCATACCAATACAAGTAACAAAAGTGAAGAAGGAAGAAGTAGGTTACAATACTAGACTCAATAAACATAAACAAAGAAGTGGCTTCATTTTTTTTTTTTAATTTTTTTTTTTGAAAATGGGTGGGTAAAACCACAAAGCACATTCACATATGATATCATCTAATTTATGTTGATGTATGGGTGATGTATGGGGCGTATACAGCCCCTCAAGCATTTTTTTTTTTTTCGCCACAAAAAAGCACTTCAATTGAGGGATTTATCTTTCAAATTCTCATTATACAAAAGTTTTACCACAACCTATTAAGTATCAACAGTCCAAGTTCATACATATATAGGAGTAAGCTGGGGACACCAAAAGTAGCCCTTACCTTAGGGCTTCATCATAAACAATGTAAGCAATACCATACTCCTCAAAAAGTGTATAAAAAGGCAGTACAATGTCGTATTCCTCTATTCTCATCATACTCTTTACACCACGCTTCTATTCTCCTTTTTTGCAACATGTCAACAGCTAATTCCACATTGAAAGTAGACATGGATACAACAGTGAATGCTGCTTCTTTAAACACAGAGGAGATGTATGAGGAAGTTGACAACGAAGCTAGGAGCAGTAACACCAACACCAACAACAACCACAACCACAACAATGATGATGACGACGATGAAGAGTCCTCCATTGACTCTACTCCCACTCAATTACCACCCGCTGTCAAACAATCATGGAGGGAAATATTCATGTTGTCCTTTTCTTCATTAGGTGCAATTTACGGAGACTTGGGTACATCTCCTTTGTACACTATGAACTCAATCAAATATTCTCAATCACCACCAAATAAAGATGACGTATACGGAGCGGTATCCATAATATTCTATGTGTTTACCATTATCGTTATATTCAAGTATGTTTGCATTGTATTGGTGTTTGGTCCAAATAATGGAGAAGGTGGTCAAGTTGCTATATACGCCAAAATCGCTCGGTTTTTAAAGATTGGACCCAAGGGAGTAATCATTCCCGGTAAAAAAGTTGAAACTGGTGAATTGGATGATGTGGATTTGAAAATACTTGCAAGACAAGATACATCAATGTCAACGGATACAATCCATTCGAGAATTGAACAAATCAAACAGCATCCGGTCATGATCAAATTGTTGAAAAATTTCATTCTTGGTGCTTGCTTCTTTGGTTGTTCACTAGTCATGTCTGATGGCTTACTAACTCCAACAACTTCAGTTCTAAGTGCCATTGGTGGTATTCAAATTGCTGTACCTAGTTTCAACAGTGTACTTGCCGTTTCTGAAGTTATATTGATTGTACTTTTCCTCATTCAAAGATTTGGTTCAACAAAGATTAGTTTTACATTTGCTCCCATTGTTTGTATTTGGATGTTTGGATTAATCATTTGTGGTATTTACAACATTGTTGCTCATCACCCAGGGATTTTCGCGGCATTGTCTCCTTACTACGCCATTAAAATATTACGCAACGGTGGAATCGATGTATTTGGTGGAGCAATGTTGGCCATTACTGGTACTGAAGCCATGTTTGCTGATATCGGGCATTTCGGAAAATTACCCATTCAATTGACATTGAGTTTCTTTGTTTATCCAGCATTGGTCTTGTGTTATTTGGGACAGGGTGCATACTTGGTAAAGCATCCAGATGCTGTGGTTAATCCATTCTTTATTTCTTTACCCGGTGGCACTGGTTCCCCTGTTTATTGGATCATGTTTGTTTTATCCACGTTGACCAGTATTATTGCATCACAAGCATTGATACTTTCAGTGTTTAGCATCACATCACAATTGATCAACCTTGACTGTTTCCCCAAATTACGAGTTGTTCATGTATCACATCAATATGCTGGGAAAGTGTATATCCCCACTGTCAATTGGATGTTGATGATTGGTGTTGTTTGTACTGCTGCTGGTTTCCAAAATAGTAACAATGTCACTGCTGCTTACGGGTTGGGTATTTCCCTCGACTTGATTGTCACCTCTTGTTTGATCATCATTTGCTTGTTTTATGTTTACAATACAAATGTAATCTGGCCATTAGCATTTGCATTGATATTCATCCCATTAGAAGCTTGTTTGGTGATTGCCAATTTGAAAAAAGTACCTCATGGAGCATGGTTCCCCTTGATGATGGCTGTATTGTTCGGTACATTCCTTGCTACTTGGCGTTGGGCAAGATCAAAAAGAGTTGAACACGAATTACGTCAACAGGTAAAAATTGGCGACTTGTATCCATTTTTCCAAACAAAATCAGTGACAGTTGACCTTGGATGTGATCTTGATTTGGGTACTCGTGGTAGGCAAAGAGTAACCGTTATCCCACAGCCAGCAAAGAACCAAGTTGAGACCAAGTTTGGCACCCAAGTCTTGCAAAAACACCCTGGAGTTGGATTCATGTATGTTGATTCATTGCTCACAAACAGTCCAAACACATTACCACAACTATATGCTAAAATTGTGCAGAATTTCGCATCAATACCCAACAATTTGGTATTTGTTGGTGTTAGAGTGCTTTCCATACCATATGTCGTTGACCATCAACGATTCGTTCTAGCACCAATGAAATTACCTGGCCATTTCAAATGTATTATTAGATATGGATTCATGGAGGAAATTCAAATGAGTGAAGAGTTGATTAAGTCAATTGTGGGCCTGTTGCCTATACCGGAGGCAATCGTTGATGAATTGCCAGTGGTTCATTTCTTTGAAAATGATATAATTCAGTGTCGTGAGTTCGAACGTGATGATAAATGGATAATCAATGTTGTAATGAGGTTAAAACACACAGTGAGGAAATTAGTAGTGAATTATTTCTTCAATCCATTGTTACAGTTGACTCATGAGTATAATAATGGAGACGTAAAGATGGAAAGAATCTTGATTGGTGGTATAGCTAGGATATAGATAGAATTGTAAATGTTGAAGTATATTGTTTGTGCAAAGAAAATTGTAAGCCGCAGATTTGTTTCTCGAGGATATCGAAATTAAGCCACATCTTAAATCCATCCTTCTTATCTTTACAAACCAACTTTTATCTCCATGGCTACGATTTCTACGTTGCATCAGGAGTCATCCTCAACTCCTAGCAACCGTGTATTGACTACGTTTGGCCTCTCCAAGGATCTATCACAGCCAATCAATATAAAAATCAATTACATGGAATGTACAAACCCCAATCTCCAACTAGCGACGATATCGGACAAGTTTGTTAATCCAACAGTTTTCCAGAAGTTGTCGAGAATATATCGATACCTGGACTTGTATGTAACTATTGAAGTATATGACGGTAAAGACAACAATCCAATCAGCATACCAATCCAAACTTCTTACAAGGCATTCAATAACAAGAAACGAATATGGAATCAAGCGTTAAAATTAGCAATTGATGGGAATCAAGTTTGGTATGATTCGTATGTAAAGTTTTCCGTGATGGAGATTGTCAATACTGAACCGGTGGTGTTTGGAGTGGGGTTTCTCAGTTTATTCAATCACAAGTCGTCAACATTGAGGAGTGGATCACACAAGATTCCAATATACACTGAAGTAAATGTGCAATCAGAGCAGGACAATTTAAATTATGGAACATTGACAGGATTGACCCCGCTAGAGCAAGACTTGATCAATTATGAAAATGGACAATATCCTAGGATCAATTGGCTAGACAAGATTGCATTGCCCAAGATTGACGTGTCCTCAAATGGCAATCGAGACCATGACTACTATCTCTATGTTGAACTCCCACAATATGAGTTTCCTATAGTGTACTCAGATGTCACCTACAATGTGCCATCATTGCAGCCACGACCCTTAGTGAACCCGCCCATAAACAACACCACCAGCAAGGTTATAAACTCTATTGATATCCCAATGTCTACTTCACTGGATTCAAAAGCAACTAAAATTTATGATCCCGATTTCCAATTAACTGCAAATTACGCTACAGCAACAACAGCAACAACAAATGCTACTCACACTGCTAATGCCAATGCGATATTGGATCCAATTGAATTGAAATACCACAAACTAGAGAGAAACATCAATAACAATTCCATCATAGACAAGGATTTGAAACCATCACCACAATTGCGTGATGAGCTTTTGAAAATTTTATTGAAACCATCTAACGCTGAGTTGACAGATAATGAAAAGAATCTCATGTGGAGATTCCGTTACTATTTCAGTAAAAACAACTCCAATGATTCAACTACTAAAGCATCTAGGTCATTCTTGCCCAAGTTTCTCAAATCAATCAATTGGGAAAACGATTATGAGTTGGATCATACGTTTAAGGAGATTTTACCATTGTATTGGAGCGTGGAAAATTTACAAATTGGCGATGCGTTGGAACTTTTGGGGAAATTTTTCAATCCTCATGTATTGGGTAAAACGCGGTATTCTGAGGATAATTTTGCTCTGAAGCAGAATGAAGATGCTAAGTTGACCGATGATGAATTGCGATTTCAAAAAGTCTTTGATAACGTTTGTTATTTGAGAAAATTGGCAGTGGAGAGATTGAAATTGGCTAGTAGTGAAGAATTGTTACTTTACTTGTTACAATTAGTGCAAGCTTTGAAGTACGAGGCATTGATATATCAAGATATTGCTCAGAAACATCCACTGAGGGATACCGGGGAAGAGTCGGGTGCCGAATTAGATTGCATGAATCTTCCACTTGCAAAATTTCTTATTGAACTGGCGGTCGAGAATGAACAATTGGGTAATTTCTTTTACTGGTACGTCAAGGTTGAAAATGAGGATCAATTAGGCAAAACTGGTGGAGTGGTAAGTGGTACCACCAACATTTATGCTATAATCTTGAACAGTTATATTGAATGTTTGAAAGATTTCAGTCGTGAGCATAAACTCCCTTACTACAAACATCTCAAACGACAAATTTGGTTCATCAAGAAACTCACTCATTTGGTGGAGTTATTACGCACAACATTCAAAAAGGGAGAAGCTACAGCAAAGAAGAGTGAGTTTCTCAGAGACTACTTATCATCGTCCACAAATGAATTGCTCAAGTTTCCCGAACCATTCCCATTACCGCTAGATCCATCAGTGATGGTTTGCGGCTGTTACCCACAAGAATCATCTGTTTTCAAATCGTCATTGGCTCCGTTGAAAGTTGCATTAAAGACAATTGAACCAAAGCAGCAACAAAGTCGTCAAACATCGCAAATATTTGGTAAAAAGACCGCGAACAAGTATGGCAAGTATCCGCTAATGTTTAAAATTGGCGATGATTTACGTCAGGATCAATTGGTTATACAAATTATAAATTTAATGGATCAGTTGTTGAAGAATGAGAATTTAGATTTAAAATTGACACCATACAAGATTCTTGCCACCAGTCCTGTGGCCGGATTGATTCAATTTGTGCCTAACGAGACTTTGGATGTTGTGTTGTCGAAATATGCTCAAATTGCACCACAGTTACCCGTGGGGAGTGCAAATACAAATACAACTTCGAATGCAAATGCAAATGCGAATACGAATGCGAATGCGAATGCAAGTACCGCTCCAGCTGGTACTGAAGGACAGCATAGGATTGTTGCACCACCCAGTGTAACATCAAATGGGATACTCAACTATTTACGACTCCACAGTCAAGATACAGAGCCAAATTCAGAACAACAATCTCAAGATTCAATTCTCAAAAGCGTGTGGCATAGCTCATTCTCCACCAATGCCACTGACTCGCCACCTGAGCTACTACAACCACAAACGAAAGCAACGATCACCTCTGACTTGGGTGTATCTGCCAAACTCATGGACAACTATGTCAAATCATGCGCGGGTTACTGTGTCATCACCTATATCTTGGGAGTCGGTGATCGACACTTGGACAATTTACTACTATCGCCCAATGGAAAATTCTGGCACGCCGATTTTGGATACATTTTAGGTCGTGATCCTAAGCCGTTCCCACCGTTGATGAAGTTACCCATCCAAGTAATAGATGGGATGGGTGGTATGGATCATGAGAATTTCCACATTTTTAAAAATTATTGCTTCATTACCTACACTACATTACGCAAGAATAGCAATTTAATCCTAAATTTGTTTCAATTGATGTTAGATGCGAATATTCCTGATATTATTATTGATCCTTCACGGGTGGTTGATAAAGTGCAAGACAAATTTTGTTTACAAATGACTGAGGAAGAGGCGATTTTACATTTCCAAGATTTGATTAATGATAGTGTTAATGCTTTCTTGCCCGTCGTTATTGATAGGCTACATAGTTTAGCCCAGTACTGGAGAGCATAGATGGAAAGAGAACTTCATAGGGGGAAAATGTATTTTGTGAGTCGCATCTTTATGTAACTTGTATAACACTGCGCTATACAGAGTAAATTTCAATCTACACCTAAGTTATCTCTCTTACACAACCAAATAAACTCAATACATTAAAAAAAGGCAATGTCGCGACATAAATTTGTGCAACACGACACTCAATTGGTTGCAAGTGGCACAAAATACTCTGTGTTTACCATTTGTTCTAAACGGGAAGTTCAACACAAAAACCGAAATTTTATTTTTCTTTTTTTTCTTGAAGAACTATGTTGATCTTATAAAGACCAGATGATGATGAGTGACAACATAACAGATACCTAATTATAGCAATTGGCCAAACAAAGAAGCAGGAATTATATTTCAAAATCTTTTTCTTTTTGGACTAAAGCCCTTTCTTTCATTGAGTACTTCAACTTTGCAGTTTTATGATTTAACGACACACCACAACACAGCAAAGACAATCTCTACTTAATTCATTCATTTCATTCACAGATTGTACTACCATTTGCATTTCCATAGTCCATTCAGTTTAATACATTGCATTCTCCATTTGCATTTACACCCTTGCATTTTTCTTAACAAAAGTCCCCACTTCATTTAGTTTCCCTTAGCATATTCCATTCCATATTACAATAATGACACTACCTCCCCTACCATTTAAAGTAAAAACTACTGTCTCGTGGCCAGGTGAAGAGTCTGGAGATTTGGGGTTTCTTGAAAATGAATTGATTCAAGTGTTTTCCATAGTTGATGAGAGTTGGTGGAGTGGGAAGTTACGAAGGAATGGAGCCGAGGGGATATTTCCGAGAGAGTATGTTACTATCATGGAGGATGAAGCGTCGAGAACACCTCCGTCAGGCATGGGTACCCCAACGAAGAAGAAATATACGGGTGACATCACCACCTCAGTTGATCGAATTCCCAAGCAAGCTTCAAACACAATGTTGAATTACAAAGTTGGTGATATGACATCACCAAAAGGTTCGTACGATAGAATGAACCAAAGTTTCGATGGAGTTTCTCCGTCAGTGGGAAAAGCCATGCCCTCTTATGCATTCCAAGGAGGTAACATGAAATTGAGCCAACAAAAACAATTGCAGTTACAACGTGATCGTGATATGGAACTTGAATATTTCAAGCGTATGCAGCAACAACTTAAGCAACAAGAACAACAACTCAAGAATTATAAGCTTCATAAATCGACTCTGGATTTGAGTAGAAATATGATGGTTTCTCTGCAAAGGGGTATGGCTCAATCACAATCATATACACATGGGAACTCCTACAAATCAAATTCATACGCTGATATAAAATCCGCAGATATGGCACAGAAGCAAAAGTATAAAGGGAAATTGATGCAACAGCAAGAACAAATGCATTACGGCAGCCACTCGTCATTGGCGCTCTCGCCTCATGTTGCCTCACCAAAACAAAGAACCAAATCATCACGAGAGCAGGAATTTGTTAAGGAGTATGAAAAAATCGCACGTAAACGTGCTGAGTTGGAGTATGAATTACAAAAGCTAAAGAGGAATGATCGTGGTGTTCAATCCCAAGGCCCGGAAACTGCATCATCACCTTCAAAGTATAAAGGTTCAGCAACTAGAACCAAAGATGAGTATTCAATTGACTCATACGACTCCGTTGATGAGAGGCACAGGTGCTCGCGTGATGACTTGAGTAAAAAAATGTCAAATTACATTACTGATGAAGAAGAAGATTTGGTGCATGGTAAAGTGGGTGATCCACTGATGCTTAATTATGTTAGCCCAAAACACACTGGCAATAGATCAGGTGATGAATCACCACCACCTCCTCCGCCACCGAAACATTCTACCCCTTCAAAGTCACAAATATCAAGTAGCTTCAACAATGGACTGAGCTCTAGTCCACAAACGAGAATTCCCTTTGATAGCGATGACTTTCAAACATCTGGTCAACAAGATTTTGGAGTTATCAACAACGATGACGACTACTATCGATTATACATGCAACATGAAGAATTGAAAAACTCCATCAAGTCAATGCAGAGTGATGTGATGAACTTGTCTGAATTGAGCGCAACTAGTGCTGGATCATTTATGAGACACAAGTATGAAAAGGATTTACAACAAAGTCAATCACGTTTGAAGGGAATGAGTATCAATGAGGATATTTATGATTCCACCATGGTTGATGATGACGATGCTGCTGAGTATGATGATTTAGCATTGGAGTCTAAATCGGATGTTATGAGTGCTGTGTTTGAAGATAAGAAAAAGGCAAATGGAAATATTTTCAAAAAGTTATTGAAAAGATCAACCCAGGAACAGTTGAATCCTATTGAACAAAGATTACAACGTCAAGATGAAATTGATTTGGTTAGTTACAAATTGGATATTAATAGAATGAACTCATTAACATCAAAAGAGAAGCAGGGAAGAACTAAACGTGTGGTGAAAAGTGAAGCAAACTTAGTTGTTAAGCCATTGGATTACATTTCGGAAATAAATACCAATGAAACTGCCGGTTTCAACAATGGAGAATACATTACTGATGATGAGAACAATGGGTATATTGATTTATCTCAGATCCCATATTCCAAAATTGATGCATTCATTGCCAATTATGACATTCGTTACGACTTGAATGAATTTATATCAGACATTTCTGCCAAATTCCACAATTTTGACTTGTCCAAAATTAGATGTGTGTTGCTACATTTGTGCAAGTTTCACATAATTGAGGAAGATGCCCAAGAAGGAGATGCATCTGCAGGAATTTCCCAAGTGAAACCGAAATTAAAAGAAGTTCAACTGAAGGGAGAAGCTTCAATATTCCAAATCAACTACATTTTCAAAAAGATTCTTGATGCATTGAGGATCCCCTGTGAGATCGTATTGGGATTCTGGAAGAAACCCAATGAGTTTTACCATAATGAACAATATGTCATCAATCATTGTTGGTTATCGGTATTGATTGAAGACAAGTTTCGATTAATTGATATTTACAATTTCACAAATCCATCCATTTGCAATTTACAACGTATTACTTTTAATGAGTTTTATTTCCTTGCACAACCCTTGAGCTTAGTTTCAACTCATATTCCATCCATTATTGATTTACAACATGTAACACCACCAATTGACCCGAGTATTGCATTTTATTTACCGCGTACATATTCAGGGTTTTATGCTAATGATTTATCATTCCACAATTTCAACAATGCATTGACTAGATTGAAAGACTTGGAGATTTGTGAATTGGAGTTGTATGTCCCCACTGATGTTGAGTTGTTCACCTTGGTTAAGACTTCTAAAATAACCACTAATGATTTAAGTTTATGTCAAATCAAGTGGGTTAACCACAAACGTATGGCTAAAATCAAAGCCATCTTACCCAAGAATGAGTCCATTGGAGTATTACAAATCTTTGCTGGACCCAAAGGGTTACAGAAACATTTTGATAATATCCATCAGTTATCAATTGTGATTCCATTAACTCATCAAGGTTCCAATAGACAAACTAAATTTGTGCAAAGATTCCCAACGGTACAAAGTCAACTGAATGATTTGTATATCGTCAAGCCACAAGCTAACAAACTTTTGTTGAAAACCACGTATCTGTTTCAAATCGAGCAGTATCCTAGTCAAGGGTTGCGCCATGCAGCAAAAGCAGCAAGTAACGGTAAGTCATCAATATTGCCAGATTTCAAAGTGATCATTGAATCACCACTGGGTAAATACTTTAAATTGACTCGTGATGAAGATGAAATAGAAGGTCGTCATGGTGATGGGAGAGTTACTGGCTCATTTCCTAAACCATTTGGTGTTTATTCATCCAATATAAAGTGTCAAGAACTAGGCGTGTATCGTGGATTAGTCATTGGTGATAATGGTAATAGTTGGTATGTGTTTGCTCAATGGGAATGTGTTCAGAGTCTAGGTGGGTGATTAATAGAGTTAATTTTCTAATACATGTTACTCTTAAAGTTTATGCTGTTGTAGAAGTGTGGATTTGGATATATCGTAAAAAAAGCAAGGTACTTGGGTCTAGGTCATTTCGCTATTGAGGTGGTTGTATATCATACATGATACCACTTTGTGCATATGAATAATTTTGTAGGGTTCGAAAGGAAGGCGGTTGCGAAAAAATAAAAAAAAAAAAGAAATTCTCATCCGATCACCCTTGTGCTCTTTGTTTTTTTTTCTTTTCTTTTTTGTTTTTTTGTTGAGTGTTGGGTGGGGCGAATAATGTACAAGAGAGCTTCAAGTGTGGGCGATCAAATGTCCCGACCAAAACACATTCCAGACAATAACATCAGATTTTTTTCGATCAAGCAAGTAAAAATTAGTGCAGTACGTGGTACCGAGGAACATTGAGGGAAATGTTGTCAAGGAGTTGTTTTGGAATCTATGTCATTGCCAATTGAGGGTCACCAAGTAAAACAAGCAATAAAGAATGACACTATCCCACGATCCCACTATCCCACGATCCTCGTCCATTTTATAGGAGTGTGGGTGTTACAGACCCAATAGGGAGAGCAGTTAACGGCAATCATAATTGCTTTCCATCCAAGTAGTACATGTAATGTAAAATTTGCCTTTTGAGCGGAATTACTAGCATGATTTTGGGACCCGATTGGGAAAACAAGGTAAAGGCAGTTAACAGGACTTAAGAAAGAGCAAAAGCAAAGGCAAGGTAGTGTACCGATTACCGAAACGTTTTCCTAAAAAAAATAAAAGAATTGTGAGACATTAGCTCAGCCTTATGATGCATTGGGTATAGCAGAGCAAAATGGATGAAAAGATAGGGGCAGGAAGACACCAACTCAACATGATTATATTGTAGGGAATAGTAATATCATAGTATGAGAATGACTGGGTTTTGAGCTTTACTGTTTACTGTCTTAGTACTGTATAGTGAGGTAGTGTAATTGCGGTAAAAGAAATAAAGTTCTGGTACTGCATATAACACTTACTAAAATGTTTTTTATTTTTTTTTAGTTTTACTCAACAAAAAAAAAAAAAGTTAAACAGTAGGGACTGCAATTAACCGCTGGATGTCAAACTCCCTTCCTGATTTCAAGCTGATCTTTCATACTACCCAGTATTCACAAGCCCACGGTTGCTATGGGGCTGGCCATATACTATAGAGACCTAACTACTATCCAATGGTTATAAAACCACTCAATTGATCACCCACAGAGATTGGCAAAGTCATGAGATCGTCATTCTTGACCTATGGTTAAAGCTATACTCTATATTCTACTTTTTTTTTTTTTTTTTTTTTTTGGGTAAAACTCTCTTTCTTTGTGTTATATTTCATATGCTGTTTTTAAGGAGTTTTTTTCTATAATGTACTTTTATATTTTTGGCAAAGTACAAAAGATAACACCACCTTTCTGTCTCATCGTCATATCCCTGTCAATAATTTCATCATTATAATTTATCATATGATACAAACATATATATATATATATATATATATATATATATAAGAGCTTGTGTTTTTCTCTTGTCGTCTTGATACGCTTTTTCTTTTTTTTCTTTCTGGCTCCTCTTGTCTAGGTATTTTCAAACCATAGAAAAAAGTATTGGAATTCAACCATAATTTCCGCTACCCAACAAAATTTCTCAGCCTAAAAGACCTTCTTTACAGGAATATATAATAGGCATCACCACAACTTTTTTTCACATCAAAGATCCACACAACACTCATTTAAAGAGAAACTGAGTCATCTTCACACAATATCCCACACTGATCTCACAATGACTTCAACTGAACAATTGGAGACGGTTGAGATTACCAAATTAAATGCCATTGCCGCTGGTACCAACAAAAAAGTACCCAGAATTGTGGCTGCTGGATTGGGCGGTAAACTAATGGGTACTGCTGATTTAGTTAAAGTTACTGCCGAAGAAATCACTCAGGATTCAATGGAATCCTTGGCCGAAAAGGATGCTAGGGAGAAAGCCGAATATGCCAACAAGAAACACATTTCAGAAGAACCATGGACCAGAGATAATTGGGCTAAAAAGATTAATTGGCTTAATCTTATATTGGTTGCTGGTGTTCCAGCAATTGGTATGGGTGCTGCATTCACCATCACACCACAATTTAAGACAATTGTATTGGCATTTATCTTGTATGTATTCAGTGGGGTTTCAATCACTGCTGGTTACCATCGTTTATATGCCCACAAGTCATATGATGCAGCATTACCAGTGAGGATGTTTTTCGCCTTTTTCGGTGCAGGTGCCATTGAAGGATCAATAAAATGGTGGGGACATTCACATAGAGTTCACCATAGGTATACCGATACCCCCAGAGACCCATATGATGCCAGAAGAGGATTTTGGTACTCTCACATGGGATGGATGTTGCAAAAAGCCAACCCTAAAAACAGAGCCAGGGCTGATATTTCTGATTTGGTTGCTGATAAAGTTGTTGTTTTCCAACACAAGCATTATTTGCTCTTGATGATTTTCTCGGCATTTGTGTTTCCAACTTTGGTTGCTGGTTACTTTTGGGGTGATTACTGGGGCGGTTTCATTTACGGTGGTGTTCTTAAATCGTTTATCATTCAACAAGCAACTTTCTGTGTCAATTCATTGGCTCATTGGATTGGAACTCAACCATTCGACGATAGAAGAACTCCAAGAGATCATGTTTTGACGGCATTTGTCACTTTTGGTGAAGGTTATCACAATTTCCACCATGAATTCCCTAGTGATTATAGAAATGCTTTGAAATGGTACCAATACGATCCAACAAAGATGGTTATCTATGCATTATCTCAATTGGGTTTGGCTTGGAACTTGAAAAAGTTTTCTCAAAATGCTATTGAACAAGGACTTTTACAACAACAACAAAAGAAGTTGGATAGACAAAGACAAAAATTGAACTGGGGTTCAAGTGTCGAAGAATTGCCAGTCTGGACCAGAGAAGAATTCAACGCACGTGCAAAGAAGGAAGGATTGATTATAATAAGCGGTATCATCCACAATGTTAAAAACTTTATCAAAGAACATCCTGGTGGACAAGCTTTGATTAGAGCCACATTGGGTAAAGATGCTACTGATGCTTTTAGTGGTGCTGTTTATCGTCATTCCAATGCTGCTCATAATATCTTGGCAACAATGAGAGTAGCTGTTGTCAAAGATGTTAGTGTCAATGCCAACACATTTGACGCTCAAGAAGAATTTATGGCCAAAGAAAAACAAAATTAAGGAGAACTTTGGCTTGTTTGTCTTTTGGTTTATTTTTTTTTTTTACGATTGTTATGGCAGTGGGGAGAAAGGATGGTTTTATTTATAAGTAGCTGGTGATGGGTAGACACGTACCACATACTACTTTTCTTGTTTTGTTTGCATGTGTTGGTTTTGTTTTCGTTTTGTTTTATTTATATAAGTCATACATAGTGAAATTTGAAATTCGGAATTTTAAATGCTTCGATACTTTCTTCCAAAACAATTTCAAGAACAATTCAATAAAAAATACAATAAGAACATTCGTTTTCTTTGATTGTTGTTTGGAGTATATACCTCGCTTACAGGAGTTTTCTCTACACAAAATGTAGTTCAATGGTATTCTGGGGTGAACTTTTTTCCCTGAAGGTTTACGTTTGACATTTGACATTTGACATTTGACATTTGACATTTGACATTTGACGTTTGACGTTTGACGTTTGACTGACAATATTGATATCTATTGTATAGACTTTATGGTACCCACTCATACCTACCTTCGAGGTCCACTTGATGACCAAGACCACATGGTGCTCTTGTGGTTACAGTGTTCAAGCCTTTTTTTTTGGAATTTGAGGCGACAGAAAAATAAAGGCGAAAAAAATCACACCACAAAAACTCAACTGGAGAATAGAAGGATATACAAAGGATCCATTCCTCAACGCCTTACCTTTGTCATTCTGGTACAGCAAGTCTGAAAAGTTATAGTAACACAGCTTAACCAGTTTCCAGCTGGTCAAAAAAAAAAATCTTCCGGCTTCCACTAGTAGAAACAGAAACTGAGAATCATGTTTCATGCCTATTTTGCACCCATAGAGAACAAAAATAAACTTCAGTAAAAACTAAAAAGGCTTGAAAAATAAATTATTATAAAACCACTTAGACATACATCATGCACTTAGATACAACATAAATCTGCTGATTCTTATTATTATGCAGACAGAAAGACTCCTAGGCAGACTCCAATCCTCTCCCTTTGCTAACGTTAATTTCATCAACCAATTACAAGACATTCATTTAAATGGTACATGAAAACTTCTAATAATAAAAACACACTCTCTAACATATAAATACTTTAAAAGCTCCCTCTGCCCCGTCTCCATTCCTTTTTCGTTTTCCCATTTTACCTTCAACTTTCTTCAAATAAGAGCCTAATAACCGAAAAGAATTCACAATGCACCCATCATTCATTAGATTAGCTGCTACGCAAAGACCAATTAAAGTAATTCCTCAATACAAGTACTACCTTAGAAGAATACCAGATGTTGGTTTGTGGTTTAGTGGAATTGCTGCTTTTTTTGGCTGGCCTCATGTTTGGGTTTGGGTTAGTAATAAGATTGAAGATGCTCCTGGAAACAGAGGAATGTTTTATTAAAGCAAGCGGTGGGGTAAAGAAGCCTTTATATGTATGATCAACTGAGAGGAGAGGATGATACTGTTTGAAGAAGCTTTTCTAGTGCCTATAACGGAATGAATAGTTATGATTATGGTTCAATATAAATTAAACCATCGAAAAGAGAGTTGCACGTCAATATTTGAGAACTATACCATTTGTTCCTCTGTTTATTAGTGTTCAACAAATCGATACAAAATTGTGTACTCTTTGCCTTCTCAATCAACAACAGGCATTACCGCCTCTATAATTGCAGCATTTGCAGGTCACTGTAGATATGTGCCTGCTCGTGATTAAGGTTATCGCCATTGAGGTGATTAATTTGGTAGCGATCCAGTATCAAGAATTGTGGGTCTCCCGACTCCGCGCATGATTCTTCACGGCTTCAAAACTATTCCTAAAGCTTAATCGCATAAACCTTTGATTAGCAAGGATTTCCAGTCGCTTTACAATATAATCCAGAGCTGTCGAAATTGCAATCGCGAACGCAAAGCTCATCTTAACTTAACCTGCAAAAGACAGTAGTATAGCTTACATTACACTTGAACGCTTATCCCGACACCTCCACCACAGTTCCCTCCTTCCCATGTCGAAACAATTCCAACCAATAAGTGACATCATCAACACTTCGCCCAAGAACAAGACCCAATCATTCAACGAAATATACGGAGAACCGGAAGACTTTCTTGAAATTGAAGTTCGTAATCCAATAACTCATGGATATGGTAACAATCAATATACCGATTATGAAATCATTTGTCGAACTAATATCCCCGCTTTCAAGAAACGATCCAGTAGGATTAGAAGACGGTACAGTGATTTTTTGGCATTTAGAAAGATTTTGGAACAAGAAACTACTAGAGTTGTAATACCTCCATTACCTGGCAAAATTTTGCTACAAAGTAACAAGTTTAATGAATTAAATATTGAGAAAAGAAGACAAGGATTGGAGAAATTTTTGGTCATCGTTAGTGGTCATCCGTTGTTGCAAACGGGGAGCAAATCATTGATTGAGTTTATACAAAATGAAAAATGGGATCCTAAACAAATGGTTTATTGAGATTTCAAAGTGAAGCTTAGTGCAAAAATAACACTGGTATAGAATCTACTATATTTACGATTACACATCAAGGCAGTCCTTGTATTTTAGTGTCTCATGAATCCTCTACTTCTTCATTCTCTGCCTCCATTGTTTAAAATCCTCAGTTAATAACCCTCCATTTCTCAATCTATCATTTTCTTCTTTGCTGGCTTCGCTCAAAACTAAACTCTTTCTCAACGGATCGTATTTCAAATTATAGCTCACCAGCTCATCAGTTTTATCAATCACATCATTCAACCATTCAACAACAGCACCATACCATTTCATAGCACTAGTACAATTAATTTTTGAAGCCTGATTTTGTTTCAAGTTATTCAAAGGATTATCTTTAATCAATAATGGAATCTCCTCGGTTTGATAAATTTCCACATTTCTCAAAATGAACTGATCATCTCTGAAACCGTAAACTACTTTCCCCACCCCCATTAGGAAACATTGACACCATGCCTTGAACAATTTTTTTTCAAAATTGAGTATTTGTGAGTTGGATTCGATAACTTTACTAGTTTTCAATTCAACATAATGCAGTAATGAAAAAGCAGTCTTTTCTGGTATGTAATCCCAACAACAATCAATTTCACCAGCAAGTACCAATTTAACTGGACCAATACCAGTCTTGATCACCGATAAAAATTGTTCATAATTGTTGACGGGTTTCTTGTGACGACTATCGATATATTTCCTCAGCACATCTTTCCAAGGTTGAGGTATGGTGGCGACTGTTTCGAATTTGTATCCACTGTATTCACATTTCTTGACGTATTCGTACTTCTCTTTGGTGGAGGTTTGCCTTAATCGATCTTCTTGTTCCTTACGTCGTCTCAACTCAATTTCGTTGTTGAAATTCATAAACAATTGCCCATCAAATGGTACAATGACCAAATCCAATGCATCTTGGATATAATACGGTATTGACATTAACCTCGTCATTATACCTCTGAATGTAACTACATCTCCTCCTAGCTTCCCATCGTTCTCATCTCGCTCATACTGCACGATTGCATCAAGTAAAGGTCCAAAATCGGACATATTGGCTTCTTCCGAAATCTTTTTGAAATTTCTAAACCCCAGTTGTAAATCTATTCGAGTATCAACTTTAGTATCAGGTAGATAGTAATACGGGAGATGATCATGGGATTGGTTGGCATTGTAGTGGTATTCACCTTCAATATCTCTTGTGTATGTGAAAAGCTCCTTTGGTTGTTTTAGAGCAGTTGTCTTGGCTCTCGAAGTTATAGGGAAGGTTTTGCTCATATTTAGTATGTACTTGGGTTCGTTATGAACAGAATACTCTTCAATAAAAGAACTTTCTTCATTTTATCATCATGAAAACCCACAAAGAAAAACCGAAAAAAAAAAATTGATACAAATTTTCATCCATAGATACTCCCCTATTCCCGTTACACACACACAATGGCAACAAAAGCAGCAATGGTAAGGCTAGTGGTGGATGCAGGCAAAGCTGCCCCTGCACCGCCAGTTGGTCCAGCACTAGGATCCAAGGGAGTCAAAGCCATTGATTTCTGTAAAGAATTCAATGCCCGTACCGCCCATTACGAACCGGGAACACCAATCCCCTGTTTGGTCAAGGTCAAACCCGATAGAACTTTCTCATTTGAAATCAAATCACCACCTACATCATGGCTTTTGATGAAAGCCGCTCAAGTGGAAAAAGGTAGTGGTAAAGCCGGTAGTGAAACAGTTGGATCAATAAGTTTGAAACATGTGTGGGAGATTGCCAAGATCAAACAAACTGATGATCGACATAAAGATTTAGATTTGAAGGCTATTGTTGGAAGTATAATAAGTACGGCCAACGTGGTTGGTATTGAAGTTGTACCATAGGAGATAATGGGTTTTCTTGTTTCGTGTCTTGTAAATAAAATGTGAAGTCGTATGTCCTATTGTAGGGGTAGAGATTCTACTGGTAAAAAGCTACATAGAAGTGGTTGGAATCCACCCAGCGGAAGCGTATCTACATCACATCGGCCCGTTAAACTATATCTTTGTGTATTGAAATTGCAAATAAATACATAGTCCCTTATTTTTTCTTATTCTTTTCAAAAGCAGCAATGTGTGCTTTTGACTGATCAACTTGAGTATGCTCATGATCATCACATTTGATGACTTCATAAACATTACTTCCTGGTTCGGTCTCTTCCACAGAACACATGTTGACCGATTTCAACCATTCATCTTCAAACACTTCATCCATAGTTATTCTACATGCTGGTGCCAATTCCACCATACGTCCAATTAAACGACGACAGTCCTCAGGTAGGGCTAGAAGTAATCTATCAGCGCCAGTTTCACTTGATGTATGATCCTTTGCATCAGTAGCCGAAGAAGAATTTCCACGCTTGGCATTCTGTTGCTGCTGCTGCTGTTGTTGTTGTTGTTGTTGCCTTTTCTGTTGCAGTACACCTCCATCTTTTGGCAATGACATGTTTGGAATATCCTCTTCCAATGCTTCACTGATATCTCCCAAATTACTCAATGCACCAGAAGACCCACCACTGGTTATATCTTGCATATCTTGCGGAGTACGTTTCAACATTTCCGAAATGGGGACATACTCGCCTCGAGTTGCAAATAATTTGAAACTAGAATCAGACAATTTGGGCACTTTCCATGGAAATTTCTTTAACATCATACAACAAAAAATCATTGCCACTGACCAAACATCAACTGGTCTAGGATCGTATTTGTTAAACACACATACTTCGGGGGCCAAATATGGATCTGATCCAACAATCCCCTGTGCTTCAATCAAAGTCTTGGAAAACGGGTATGAGAAAACCACGGCTGATCCAAAATCAATAATCTTGACAATACCTCTAGCGTCAATGACACAATTGTCCAATTTCAAATCACGATGAGCTAATCCAATAGAATGCAAATAGTGCACGCCCGACAACACCTGTTTGAAACAACAATTGATTTCTTCACGCGACATCTTATTAGACATAACAATGGCGAATAAATCATAATCACAATATTCCATAACTTGTAAAATACGTTCATTTTCATAACAGATTTCAATAGTTTCAATAATGTTTGGGTGTTTCAAAGTAGATCCAACACAGTACTCTCCAGTGATCTTTTTTGCATAATCTCGTTTCGATTCACTTTGGTACTTGGCTCTAAATTCCTTAACAGCAAATGTCTTGTTGTCACTTAACCTCTTGACTAGTTTCACTGCACCACCGGCTCCAGCACCCAAACTTTCTCCGAATTTCCCATACCTTTTCGAAAAAGGCAATTGTTGTACCGGGTTAATAACTTGCAGCACTGATTGGCGTCGTTCCTGGTACCTAATTTTATTCTGCAATGTAGATGACCGGCTGATCGAAATCGATGATCCTCCGGGTGAGTTTGTGAATGATGCTGATGCATTGGAGGGAGTAGCTGTAAATGATGAATTGTTTGGACAAGACGAATTGTTTGCTGTAGATGAAGGTATATTGACAGCATTTGATGATGGGATGTTAACCCCACCATTAGATCTTAATGATGAGGATAGGTTCGAAGTTGCTGGCGGAGGCTGTGAGCTAGGTGTGGACTTTTTGAAAAACCTCTTTAAATTGGACATTGAATTATGTCTTGTAGGCTGACTACCATTGAAATTGGGTGCTGATATTACCGATTCTGAAGATGAATAACTTGAAGGTGATCCTGTAATTTCATTATTATCTTGAAACGAAGTTGATGCATTATTGTAAAAGGAGCCCAAATCGGTAGATGAATCCTTTCTTGGAGCTTTGCTTTTTGATGAAAAGAATGAAGACAACCCTGATTGGGAGCCTGAACGTTGAGATGCACTTCCCACATGCTGTGCTTGTTGAGCTGCTTGTGCTTGAGCAACTCGTTGCTTTGAAATCACAAAACGAGAATCAATACTTGACGAATTAACTTGTGGGGATTGGATATGTATAGAATTGATAAACTGGCCATTGGGTAAGTTTGGTATATGCGAAGTTGATGTAGTTGATGATGTCGAACTAGCATCATCAGCCAAGAACGACTCACGTTGTACCGATGACGACGAAGCGTTAGCCCCATTTACTGATGAATTGGCATTATTTGACCTGCCTCCTGGAGCACCATATGGTATTGACGATGACAAGCTCTCAGCTCCACCCAAACCACCACCACCGGCACTGAAAGATGAATGACTAATTGAGTTGTTTCTCAAGTATCGAGGACTCGACACATTTCTCGGCGAGTTGGAAATCACTTGATTGGAAAACGAGTTGGAAGATTGTCTTGTAAATGGAGATGTTGGTGTAAATGACGACAGTGGGTTGAGGAATTTTGTTTCTGGTGAAGGGTCAAACCCGCTAATTACTTGCGGTTCCACGACCAACCCGGAAGTACTGATAGGTTGAGGTATGGGTTTTTTGTTGAAAGCAAGCTGCTCCGAAGTGGCGCCATTAGCGGTGGCACCCAGCTGCTTTCCATTGTTGTTTAAATCAGTAGGTTGTTGTTGCTGTTGTTGTTGTTGTGACACTGATGTTGATGATTCATTTAAAAGTTTGGTCAATGATGACATTGGTTGTTGTGGTTTCTGGAGTTGAATATCCAGTTGTTCCGACAGTTTCTGTGCCATGGTTAAGTATAATGCAAGTGTTTGGAAATCGGGAAAGAAGCAAGTATGTAGATCTAGTTACCGTCTTGTTGAGTTTTTGATTGTTGGTTTTGCAAATATATTTTGTTCATTTATCGATTAAATGAGAGAAATAAACAAATTTTATATATAAAACAATAAGCGCTGAACCTTAATTTATTGTCCACACCAAAGTTATCCAAATAGTGAAATGTACGTAAAAGTAGAGCTCGTGAGAAAGATGGCTACTTGTAATCGCCTTATACGGCAAAAATTGCTTGCAACAACAAATGAACCACATTTGCCAACTGACCTCTTAGCGCTCCCTATCCCCCCTCCCTCGTCCCTCTAAAAAGAAATGACAATATATTTTTGGCCGCAACTAAAAATAAGAAAGAGGGGATGACAGTGAAGACATTTAACGGCATAAGACGGAATTTTTTAGAGCCTGACATTAAATGGAGTTGGCCAACATTACCATTAACGAGTGCCAGACTACTACTACAGACTGATCTGTAGACATGTAGCGTCCTTATATTTACTGAAATTGTAATTGGTCAATATTTGATAGAAGCTGTTGTTAAACGCCCATCGGTAATAAAATGTTTAAAAACTATAAAATAACATCCGAAAACATTATTTGTCGACCTTTCTTCAGGTAGTCACATAGATGCAACTGTACTATGCTACTTTGAATACCTTGTCCATATCATATTGCTAACAAGGATGGGTGGCCCTTAATCATACAATTAATTTTAACTGAGAGATAATGATTCATCATCTGATTTGCCAATGATTAGGCACACAACCGAAAATGGTACAAAAAGAGAACATTGCTGGAGATAAAGAGGACCTATAGCGGAGGTTCAAAAGAATACATAAAAGACATCGGATGAGCACCAACAACCCATCTATGCTCACACCGTGTCTCAGTTGCGTAGCAGTTCAAAAAGTGATATCGACTTTTTCGTAGTATTGTTTAGAAGATGATATATGTGAGATTAAAATTTCGGCTAGGTGTTTCCGATAAAGTAGAAGGTGAAGCTTTGCATCTTTTTATGAATAAGGTTTTCAAATACCTCCTCCGCATTTTAGTCTACTATAGAGGTGCAGAGCTTTTAAAAATACACTAATCAGCTGCATTTTCCTCCCTGGAAATCCCATTTACTCTATAAATTTTACTCTACTTTTTACCTTTGCCTTTCTTCTTGTGTGATTTCTTACCACTTGCTTGATTCAGCTTGCTGCTGCTACCGCTGTTGTCGTTGTTCTTCAAATTCCTCAAGTCAGTCTCGTCCGGAAACAAGGGCATTTCGCTTCCACTATTGGTCACAGATGACCCACCACCAATTCCAATCTGACTTCGTAAGGTATTCAATTTATGATTCAACTCCTCAGTTGTTTTTGGTTGAACAGAGATGTCCCTCTTCTTCTGCAATTCCGCTTTTTTCTCCTGTTCAATTTCCTCTTGTGTCTTATTCTTTTTACGTTCGATAGCTGATTGGATTTCCAACTTTTTAATCAATTCAGTTGTATTATGAAAAACTTTTTCTTGCAACTCATCATCATCGATTTCATTTCTTACTTTAGTCATGATTTTACACTCCTGCAATAAGTGGCCACCTTCCATTTTCATCAATATTGGAGCGTACAATCCGAAATAAAAAGTTTGTGCTCCTTGATAAACACTTTTGAGGAACAACCACCAAATAGGAAATGTCACAAGATAAAGCATCAATCCCCATAAAGTCCCCATTGAAATAAATCTCCTTGTAGATGGAGTTCTCACCAATCCAGGATTCACTAAATTTATACGAATATTACATGGTGCTTTATCTTTTCGTTCATATTCCATTAATCTCTTTTGGTAATGTTTGGCAAACATCCCCAATAGCAACTTGGATGTTCCGTAAACTTTCCACGGTTGACTTGTAGGGTATTGCTTCTTTTCCCACAACAAATCTTGTAAATCAACCTCACCCAAATTTTGCGACGAACATGTGGCAATCAATACTCGTACATCTCGATCAGGAGGTTGCAGCTTTAAACTTGGCTCTAATAAAGTTAACAAATGGAAATGGCCTAGGTAATTGATCCCCATTTGCTTTTCTACTCCGTCAACAGTGATTTGACGTGATAAATTCCTTGGTATGGCTTCAGCAGCACAACATATGACACCATCTAATCGTCTCGGAGTAGCATTATCCAACCATCTAGTGGCAAGTTTTCTAACCGAATGGAGCGAGTTCAAGTCACACTGTTCAGCATAAATCAATGGATTACTCGTGCGTTCACGCAAGTCTTCGATATACTCTGCCACCCATAGATCATTTGTTCTTCGAGTAAGGAGAATGAGTTGTGCACCTTTGGTAGCCAATTCATATGCAATTGCAGCACCGATTCCTGAGGTGCCTCCAGTGATCATGAAAACTTTCCCATGCATGTCGCGTTCCCAAGTGTTGGTGGCGCCACGAAAGTAGTATTTACCTAAAGCAATACTCGAAAGAATGGGTATCACCGTGGGACCATATTGTTTGATTTGTTCCCAATATGGAATAGCCTCTGGACCATCAAAGGCAATACTAGCCAAGAAGTCAACTGGCATGATTAAAATTTAATAGTGCAAGTATGTGTGTTAGGAAAAGGTGGTTTTTGGAAGACAAAAAAAATGGTTGAAATTCTAAAGCAGACGCATCAAAAAAAGGCATCGCATACAAATAGTAATTTTCATTCCAGCTGCTTAAAGAAGTACACCCCATACATCATGGACGAAGTTTTATTCTATATCTCACAGGGAGATAAGAATGAGTCTAAAAAGACAGCTGTTGAGTCATTTGCCTATATATCATCGATTCATTCTTCAAAGCAATATCAATCATACAGACATGCTTCATCTCCGCTTCATGGCACTTGCATCACTGGCATAGGTCCAGGTGAGCGTATATTCACATGTGACTCGAAGAAGGCATTAATCAATGTTTACTCGTATGGCAAGGAGGGTATAGACCAACGAATACCTGTACCTGAATCATTAAATACGTTGCATATCATTCATCATCCTGAGACAACTACTTCTGATTTCCAACTTCATCAGAAACCAAACTTTAGAATACCGTGGTTGCTTTGTGGTGGATCGAAACTGGGTAAGTTGTACATTTGGGAATTATCATCAGGTGATTTGCTCTGTGTGAAGGAGGCTCATTATCAGGGAATATCAATAATCAAATCCAGTAGTTGCAAAACATTCCTTATTACTGGTGGTGAAGACGCAAGATGCTTAGTATGGAATTTGGCAGATTTGATATCCATATACGGTAACAACAACAACGGGGGAGATGAAAATGGTCAAGATCATTTACGATTAGTGAAACCATACTGGGCGATTTCAGAAAACACTTTACCTATCACCGATCTCAATTTGAACCCAACGGGCATCATTAATGATCTAAAGTTGTACACGAGTTCCAAGGATGGAACTGTAAGAGTATTTGATATAATGACAAAGTCGCAATTAACTACGTTTATCTTGCCTCATTCGGTTGAATCTTTAACTCGCGATCCAGCGAACCGAGCACTTTACGTTGGATTATCGAACGGACAAATTAAAATGATTCCGTTATACAAGTTCAATCCCCATACTTCTGTTCTTGAAGGAGTTGGGGGAATGAATAAAATTATAACTATTGACGCACAAGATCCAAACTTAGCAACAACTTTTGTTCAACATCAAGATGCATCGTCACCAGTATTGCAGCTTTGCATATCAATGGATGGCACAAGTTTGATCTCGGGGGATGCACTGGGGCAAATATACGTATCAGACATTGTCACAAAGCAAACCATTAAAAGTTTTACCAGTTTGAGTTTCCCCATTGCTTATCTTGTTTTACAAACAGTGCTGACTAAAACATTGGATTCAACGAGGGGTAATGTAAGATCAGACAAGAAGCATCGTATGGTACCAACTTTAAAACGTGTCTTGGCCAGTAGTGATCCAGCTGAACATACTTTATTTATGGATATACCAGAACCAGTCACCATCGATGAGGATGATGAAAGTGATGGGGACTTTAACTCCTGGTTGGAAACAAAACGAGTTGAGGAATTGCAATTCAAGAATTTATCCGATATTGACTCGACTGTGAAGACCATTGGCAACAATACCAGCTCTTCATCCAATAATACAAATTTGGAACTGAAGTTGAAAAAAGTTTCTGAGGCTTACACCGGTTTGAGATCCAAGTACGAAGAGCTCCTTAAAGAGCATGCCAAGCTCCTTGATGATAAGTAAAACCCACACATGGAAATGAAAATTTTTTTAATAGACACAACCAAGAACGATTGAATTGAACTCTCTCTTCATCTCACTTTCTTCATCTTTATAGGACTGTGATGCTTTGTGCCAGTCTTGAATCCCATTAAGCTTATATCGTCAAAACTATCGTCCGTTGAATCCACTTGATCTTCTCGCAGTCTACTCCTTCCCCTTTCTTCTGCTTCTTCACTCTGTTCTCGACCACGTGGACTTGACGTTGCAATGATGCCACCACCACTATCGTGATCAATACCACTACCAAAGCTTCCACCTTGTGAAATGCTTGCATTGCTGCCTCCTATGTGATGACTTGGCTCGTTAACAAATCGAGGTTGTGATGTGTTGTGTTGGTCATTAGGGTTTTGTGTTTGTTGAGATGACGATGCCGATGCCGATACTGATGATGTGCTTTGATGCCAAGACGAGTAATTATGTCTTTGTTGTTGCTTTTGCTCCACGGGTGTATTGGTGACTGACATATTGAATGATCTTGTGATATGCAGAAGTAAAAACACGATTCCTAATGATAAAAATTTAGTTTGTAGTTTCTGATTTGAGTTTTGGACTACATTTATTGTCTCTTGTTTATACTTTATTGTTTTTAGTCATCATACGGAGATAACACAAAGATAAGATCCATGTGACAAAATCGGATCTAAATAATTATCTAGGCATTTTTGCAACCTCGACAAAAAAGACGTTATTCTAATGATGCCAACCAACATCTACATTTCAATAGCCAGACACGTCACCCATTGATGCTTATCTAATTATAAAAGACCACTACTAAAAAAAAAAAAAACAATAAATATTAACCTACATGGCCCCTACCCAAAAGTCAACTTACAACCATCCATCAAAACCATTGTTGCCGTAGATTTTTTTCTAACTTCTCCAGAGTCCGCCTTCAATGAATTGAAAGTTTGCAACAACCTAATTGTAACATAACTAGTCTCAAGTAATGCCAATTGTTGTCCCAAACAATTACGAGGTCCCGCTCCAAATGGCATGAAAGCAAACCCTCCATTAGCAGGCAAGCTGCTCCATCTGTCGGGGTTGAAAGTATAAGGATCTTTCCCAAAGTATTTCTCCATTCGATGTGCTGTCCATAATGGGTAGACAATTTTAGTTCCTTTTCTAACAAATATTGGGGATTCGTTATCTTGACCACCACCTTTCGGCAAGATTGTGTCTTGAGTAACTGTTCTTGAATTAAATGGAACCGGTGGGTCATGCCTTAAAGTTTCGTTCAAACACCAACGCAAGTATTCACATTGTTGAATTGATTCAAAAGTGATCGATTCAATATCAGGAAAATGAGCTCTTACTATCCCCTTTAATCTTTCAAATACATCCTGATGACGACCCAACTCAAGGAAAAGAAAAGTCATTAGTGCACTAGTTGTACTTCTCCCAGCAACAATAATACTCAATATTTCATCACGAAGAACCTTTGGATCTTTGGTCTGCTGAGCCAAATCATACAAGAAAAGTGTACCATCATTGGAGGAATCTTTCAAATCTTGTTGGTTCATTCTTAATGCTTTCTGCACATAGTAGTCAACAAAGGCATGCTGATTCTTAACATCGACGTACAATTGCTTTGGTCGATAGAGGAAATGGTATCTGCCCATTACCAATTTTTGCAACATATATTCAGCTCCCTTGTCAAACGTTTCAGCAAAACTTGATTTAACTTCGGTTGATATGGAGTCACTCGTTGGCTCTCCGAGATATGTCTTCAAACAACCACAACTTTCACCAAGTAAGAAATGAGTTGTATAATCCATGGTGAAATCCTGAAAAATTTCTTGCATATCAATTGTCATTCCAGGAGCTTGTTTGATTGCCTTAATGATGCTCTGAGTGAACGGTTCCATTGACTGAATTTGTTTGATATTTTCTCTAGCAAAAAAAGGTCTAAGCATGATTCGTGAATGTTTCCAGCTGGTGCCCTCACTTGAAAATATTCCATCACCCAAAAGTATTGAAAACACATCTAATCGGACACCCAAATTGAATTCAGATGTGTGAGATGATGAGACCATGTGACGAAAATTTTCCGGTTCAACGGTGAATACATTGGGTTCTATTCCAACATAGGTTGCAAATGTCGTTGTCTTTAACCTATCGAAAGCCTCATCTAAAGCCTCATGAGCCCGTCCGCGTTCATGATTACGTTTGAGATTCAAAATGAGTTGTAAACCTAGCCAACTTAATAAAGTTCTCTTAGGGACCTGTGCAACTGGTTTGCATCCGTACTTTTGTGCCTTTCTCGTTACCTGCACATGATCAATTACTCTGTAAATGATGTAGATGGCAGCCAATGCCAGGTATAGAATATAGTTCATGGTTCTCGACTAAAAACTCTCTTGTTGTAGTGGTGGCATAAATCAGACTTTCTCGTCGATACTGACGGAAACCGATACATTTGAATAACCTCAACAATACCATAAATAGTTCTAGGAAGCTCCTTCAGAGTTCTGTGCACCGCACACAAAACTCCGCAAGTTTATATACCCCGCATTTAAACTCCGCCTAACGTGAAATAAGCACATTACACTGATTGCCCCGACTTCTACATTGCTGTCGACAGATACTTTTTAATCTCCATTATAATTGATAACCATCTATACACTTACAAATTAAATGCAGTACGGAAATGTTCACCAGCGTAGATGGCCTTATCTCCAAGCTCCTCTTCAATTCTCAAAAGTTGATTATATTTGGCCAATCGTTCTGATCTGGCAGGGGCTCCTGTCTTGATATGACCTGATCTGATACCAACAACTAAATCAGCAATAAATGTATCCTCAGTCTCACCCGATCTGTGTGACACAAAAACCCCCCAGTTGGCTGCATATGCGTCATTGGCAGCTTGAAGAGCTTCAGTCAATGTACCTATTTGGTTTACTTTAAGTAACAATCCATCAGCAGCTTTATTTTCGATTGCCTTTTTGATTCTAATTGGATTGGTCACTGTTAAATCGTCAGCAACAACTTCAACTTTACCTCCAACTTTAGGGTAAAATTCACTCCATGCTTCCCAATCGTCTTCACCAAATGGATCTTCAAGTAATACAATTGGGTACTTCTTCAACAAATCGAGATAGAACTGTGACAATTGATCAGGTGCCAACCATTTCGTTTCATCGGTATTTGGATTCTTGAAATCCAAATCGTATTTTCCGTGTCTGAAGAATTCAGAAGATGCTGCATCAACAGCAATATGAACTTTATCTTTATGACCAGCCTCCTCAATAGCAGCAACAATCAAGTCTAAAGCTTCGGGAGCAGTACGAACATCTGGAGCAACACCACCTTCATCACCAACATTTCCAGCAGATTTGCCGTACTTCTTTTGGGCCAAAGTTTTCAAATGATGATATACTTCAGAATTGATTCTTAGACCTTCACTGAAACTTTTAGCACCAATTGGGGCAATCATAAACTCTTGTAATGCCAAATCCCCACCCGCGTGTGCACCTCCATTCAATACATTTTGGAATGGAACAGGCAACACAAACTTGTCTTGCTTAGCTTTGGCAAGATCTGCAATGTATTTGTACAATGGAACATTCTTTTCAGCAGCACCGGCTCTAGATGCAGCTAACGAGACACCCAAAATAGCATTAGCACCTAATTTCTGTTTATTTGAAGTACCATCCAACTCGATTAAAAATTGATCAATCTTTGCTTGATCAGTGACATCAATATTAGCCTTGATCAAAGCTGGAGCAATAACGTCATTGACATTGGCAACAGCTTTTAAAACACCTTTACCTAACCATTTTGATTTGTCTCCGTCTCTCAATTCAACAGCTTCGTGAACACCAGTAGAAGCACCAGATGGGACAATTGCTCTAAATGAGCCCTTGTTGGTGAACAAATCAACTTCAACAGTTGGATTACCTCTGGAGTCATAAACGTATCTTGAGTGGATCTTATTAATTGACATTGCAGTGTGGTAGTGATTGGGTTGGGAAAAGAATACTATCTGTGTGGTAAAAATAGTAAAGTTTATATAGTGTGGATCATATTGCTGTGGCTTTGATTGCTTTCTGATCGGAGTTTACTTAGCCATTGACTAAAGTAGTGGTTTCCTATTGTCTGTGTGGCTTTTATAGCAACCGTCGTGTAATCATAGACAATCTTGTGATGCAGTACATAGAATTTATATCGGGTATAAAGTACCTACACGGAGATTATAACAATGTACAATGGGTTAAGCCCACATCACCACGACAAGACCCTTTTCGGGTCTAGATGCTCCACGGGTTTCTAGGATTAACTCATTACATATAAATTGTGTCGATTTGTGTTCAATGGTGGTTCGTTGATATTGCTTATGCTTAATGTCCTGGTTTGCACTTTTTTTTTGAGTAATCAACATGCGATATCCAAGGCAATGACTAGGATGGATGACTCAGGTGAGGCGAACTATAAGGTCCCTCTTGGTATTGTCTGCCTCCCTTCAGTGTGCTCACACTAGGTACTAAGTATGGTTTAAACTGAGCAAGATAAGGAAATCATGTTTTGTATCACTCCATCACACGCGGTTTTTTTTTTCTATTACATCTCATCTCTCAGTAAAGCATCACATTGGAATAGCATATACAGCTCCAACTACTCTACCCCCATCCCCACAATGTCCGACGCAAAGAAGCTATCGAAAAAGGAGAAAAAGTCGCTTCAGTTCCGTAAATCAAAAGATGAAAGAGAAGCTGATAAACAATCAAAACAAGAATCCAAGAAACGTAAACTCGAAGAACTTGAATCATCCAATGATGCTTCATCTACCAAGGACAGCTCCACAGAAGATCAACAACTTAAAAAGAAAAGAAAGACGAGAAGAGGCAAAAAGGGCAAAGGTGTAAATGATGGCAAAGGTCCACGATTTATTCTTTTCGTTGGTAATTTACCTTACGATATACAACAAGCAGAATTGATTGCTCATTTCCACAATAGCAACCCCGATAGAATAAGGGTACGTGCCGATAAAGGTATTGCGTTTTTGGAATTTGATAATGACACACAAGAAATTCAAAGCAAAATGGAGTTGGCCTTACGAATGCACCATCTGGAGTTGAGGAATCGGAAAATCAATGTTGAATTGACAGTTGGCGGTGGCGGTAATTCGGAAACTAGGAAACTCAAATTGAAGGAAAAGAATGAAAAAAAGGATGAAAGACAGAAAAAGAGGATAGAGGAGGACAAGAAAAAGAAAAGTGGTAAAACTTCTGCTAGTGATTTAAGTGGTGTGCATCCTTCTCGAGCAGCATTGATGCAATAGCGCATGAAACTTTACATTTGTCATTATAATGAGGTTTACATTAAATTAAGAATCTTTGTTTTTAACCAAATAAATGTCCTTGTGCATCTATTCGAAAGTTTTAATAAAAAGTTACAATATCGTACACTTCTTTGCCCTCTTGATTTTCCTTCTCTTACCTTGTGCACCACTAGCGCCTCCATTTCCAGCAAGAGCTCCTCCGCCACTGACAAACTTCCGCTGTGACGATTTACCAGGTCCATCTCTATCTGACCCGTTATTATTCAATGTTGATCCACTCAAACTATTTGTGCTGATATAGTCCTTACTGTGTGAGTCAGGTGGATCCAATACTGCTCTTATTGCGAAATCAAAAACCTCCTTAACACCGTTTTGTGTAGCTGCTGAGCATTCCAAATATTTGACAGCACCAATGTCTTTGGCCAACTTTATACCTTGTTCTTCAGTTATTGGTTTCACACCTTTTGCTCTCAAGTCATCCAAAGAATGAGGGTCGTCGCGTAGATCCGTCTTGGTACCAATCAACAATATCAACACATCTTTAGGACAATGATGATGTATTTCAGGAATCCATTTTAATTTGATGTTTTGGAATGAATCAGGACTAACTACTGAGAAACAGCACAAAAAGATTTCCGTCTGTGGATATGACAATGGTCTTAATCTATCGTACTCCGACTGTCCTGCCGTATCCCATAACCCCAACTTGATGGGTTCACCATCAATTAACACGGATGCTGAATAATTATCAAATACTGTTGGGATGTAATCATCGGGGAATGTGTTTGTTGTGTAGGATATTAATAAACAGGTTTTACCCACCCCTCCATCTCCTACAACAACTGATTTAATGCTCCTCATTCGTGGTGGTGAGTGTTTGTGATTAGGCTAAAATATAGTTTTGTGAGCTATAATGGTCTGACGACAATGTCCTTTGTTGGTAATATCGCTTGTTCGATGACTTTTATACAGGCAATGTATAGTTGAAGTAGCTAATGGATCCAAAGCTTTTCCTTTTCTGGTGCGATGAAAGTGTGTGTGTGTTACGTATGTTAAGGTAATCGTTGGTTTTTGGTCTGATAATGGAATGTTTTTTCTTTTTTTCCTTCTGCCACTTCAATATATGGGTTGGTTATTCTTTTTTTCTATTTTTTTTTTTTTTTTTTTTCTTTCGTTCGTAAAATTTCATTTCAGTTTGGTTATGAATATGTGTTGTGTGTCACAATTCAATCACTCTTTTAAGCCATATACTTACGGATGATTTACAATCATATATATATATATGTTGAAGAAAGCGTTACTGTGCATGTTTTCGAAACACCCTTATGACGATCTCAGATCTGCCTTCTCTGTGCAAAACAAATACAACGCATCTTCATGTAAGCTCAAGTCAAATGGTCCCTTTTTCCATTGTTATCGGCTTACATTTTGTGTACTCATCGACCTTTTGCTGTTTTCCATCTTTGTTTCAGCATCGAAATGAAGTCAGCTTCCAGTACAGCTAGTGCGCCAAGAAGAGAATTCCTTGACCTGATGATGCACAGCCACTCTATCTTTTACTGGTCTAGTGTGTTTCAAAGCGGAGAATGATTAGATGATTTACGGGTAGAAGCAACTTTCTCGCTAGCCTAGCTCAGCAACTCAAACCAAAATGGAGACCAAGCGAACAAGCGAGATTAACTCGCGTCATACAGATGAAGCTTCCGCCTCCAACGGTGACAGTCTAACAAGGCGGCTGCGCAATGTTAGCTTTTCATACGGCTGAAGACTGTAAAGCTCGGATGATTACAATTCCGCTATAATCCGATTGTCGTGAAAAATACGACAAATGGCACCAGACCAGTTTGTGAAAGGCGCGACATTTAAAGAAAATCCAAGTTTGAAAGTAGCTCTACTCCACAACCATGTTCAACGTCTCAGCCAGACGACTATTCCATACTACATCTACCCAATTATCAGAATTTTCTCACATTGTCATCGGAGGAGGTGTTGTTGGTGTAGCTACTGCATCTGAACTACAACAACAATCAGGTAACAATGTGCTTCTCGTTGACCAACACGACAGTTTGGGTCAAGAGACTACATCGCGTAATAGCGAAGTGATACATGCTGGATTATATTACCCCAAAGCTAGCTTGAAAGCACAATTATGTATTGCTGGTAAAAACAAAATTTATCAAGCTTGGAATCTGGGGAATTTGCCAGTTGATTTAAAGCAATGTGGTAAGTGGGTTGTTGCTCAAGATAATGTTGAGGAGGAGTATTTGCACAACTTGGAGCTCAATGCTAAGGAATTGGATGTTCCAGTGCATTTTGTGCCCACAAATAAAGCAAAGCAGCAATACCCACTAATTCGTGCCAACAAAGCCATACTTGAAAGCCCCACTTCTGGAATCATATCGGCCCATGAATTTGTCTCATTTCATGAAGCCAATTTTGAAAATAGTGAGGGAACAATTGGATTAAACAGTAGGGTGGTTGGCATTTCACATAACCCAGGCACTTCCAACTATACGATTACGGTCGATGTTGATGGTGAAGTAATGGAAATCACCAGTGATAATGTGGTCAACTCAGCTGGACTATTTGCTGCAGACATAGCCAACATGGTCTTACCTCAACAACGACACTACAACTACTATTACGCCAAGGGCAATTATTTCAGCTACACTCCCGAAACACCAATTGGTCAAAAAATTACCGATAAGCTAATCTATCCTTGCCCAAACCCCAATGCTTCCTCGTTAGGTACTCACCTAACTCTCGATTTAGGCGGTCAATTGAAATTCGGACCTGATTTGGAATGGTTGGATGTGACCAATGCCAGTGAAATTGATTATACGCCGAATCCCCGCAACTTACAACCAGCTTATGAAGCAGTCAAGCAATATTTCCCAGCAATCACGCCAAATTCATTATCGCCTTCGTATTCTGGAGTAAGACCAAAGCTACTCTCAGCAAAAGAGAGTAAGCAAAAATTTGCTGATTTCGTAATCAAGGAAGAAGAAGGGTTTCCCGGGTTTGTTAACCTCTTGGGGATCGAAAGCCCTGGATTGACTGCAGCTTGGGCAATTGCCGATTACGTAAAGGATATTTACCATAAATAGATACTAAGCTTTAATATGTTATGCATTTACTACACCTTCTCTATAATCTTCTCTTTTTCAATGCGTCAGAGTTGTTGCCACTGTTTACATCTTTATCGTCAAATTCCAGTCTTTTCTTTTCCTTAATCTTTGGCAACAATTCCGGTGCAGTAGGACGCGGACTCTCTGTAAAATACTCATGTAGCAAAGCTTGTGTGGAATCGCATCTACGACTAGGATCCAACTGTGTCAATAGAATTAATAGATCCAAAGCTTTGTCCGTGGCAGCACTAAATCTCATTCGCAACTCTTGTCTTGATGGAGGTGGATAAATATGCAAGGCATTATATAATGGCAAGCTCGACACATTGGGCCATATTTGTTCAGTTGGTGTACCGTACGCTCTAAATGTAACATCTAATTGGTCAACATCATCTTTGCCAGCAAGGTAAGGGATACGTAGCATCAACTCAGCAAATATGATTCCAATCGACCAAATATCAATAGCTTCTGTGTAGTGTTTGGCTCCAAATAAAAGTTCAGGTGCACGATACCATCGCGTTACCACATTCGAACTGAGATCTTCATTGGGGTTACCCAAACTTCGTGCGAGACCAAAATCGGCAATTTTCAATAGCCCATTAGGAGAGATTAACAAGTTGTTTGGTTTCAAATCTCGATGCAAAATAAAGTTTCGATGGCAGTGGTGAATACCACGTAGAGTCATCAACATCCACGACTTGATATCAGCTGATTTAAACACTATGCTTTTATCTTTGATCAATACTTCTAAATCACAAGGAAGAAACTCGAGTACTAGATTCAAGTTATTATTTGAAGTGGCGAAAACATCAATAAGCTCAATGACATTGGGATGTTTTAATTCTTGCAAGTATTTGACTTCTCGAATAGCTGACATATCAAGTCCGTCTTTGAATAATCCAGTTTTTATTTCCTTAATGGCTATGGGACGTTTGGTTGCTGTTTGTTTACCAAGATAGACCACAGCATAAGTACCTTCACCTACTTTTCGATCTTTTGTATATGTTGAAACTGTGTGATTGGTTAATGACGGCGTTGATGAGGAAGACGGGGTCGTGGATATAGCACCACGTAATGGTGATTTACTTGCTACCGCTGCAGTGGCCATATTTTTCGGGTGTTGTACTTGGGGGGTCAAGTGTAAGGTATATATAATCAGGTTTTTTGCAAAATTTAGATTGCACACCCAATTGGTGATGCGCGCTACCTAAATTACCGAGTTGCAACTGACCTACATTCAACAACATTTGTAGGGAGAACAGCTAAGTCCTCTAACCCCTTATCTTATCACAGACAAAAGCGTAAATTTAAGCGGGCAAATTGGAAAACAGAGTTACACAACCCGCGCAAGGAATTGGTTTAGTTATCATCATAGTGACTGTGACCAAACATTTCAAGAGATGAAAAGATTACAAGTTTGTACCAGTGTACAAACAACAATTAACGACAATTACATTAAAAGCTCTTACATAAGCACAGGTAAAAAGGATGATAGATTTCTTGACTCCAAATAAAGTCAGTGGTACGAGTCCTTAGAACATCGTAGGCTAGAGCTGGAGCTAGCCTTCCAAAGGTTACAAATCAATAGATGGAAGACTGCACTGATATCCCAAGCCAAATAGCTGTGTGATCTAAATGGGTTTATACGCGTAAGGATAATGGTCAATTCAAAGCACGATTAGTGGCAAAAAGATTTAAACAACAGGACGGGATTGTGGGAAAGGAAGAAAGAAAAAAACAAATGTCCAATTTTCAGTGCCTTTTGATTGTCTATTCTTAAGTGAAGTTTATTCCGAAAGAAACGGGAGTTTCAACTTTACAAAAGAAAGAAATAATGAATGAATGAATGGCAAACATGAAATAGGGTTGTGTAAAACATGTGTTAAACAAAAAAAAAGGGGAGCGTGCCCACTCCCCCTTCTCTTATCCAAAGCAACCACTCAAAATGATTCTCCAGCGAGTTCGAGTGGAGAGATAAAACTTATTATAAGACGAGATGAGAGCGGCAGGCACTGTTAGCTCAAAAGACGTTGATGAAGTATGGGGAGTAAAAATGCTTCTATTGAAAGCTTTTGTTTTATATTATTCTTTTCCAAATATAGTTGCAAAAAAAATTAATGAAAGCCACTCCTTTCTGAAAACTACAGGCAAGCTACCCATTTCTTTCTGGTAAACGAGTCTTGTAAGAGTCAACAGGTTAGAGCCACCAGTATAAGGGACTCGTTTGAAAAGCTCTTGTTGATCCAAAGAGCTATTTGAAATAAATCTCGCATGTTTCACTCTCATCCGAGATTGGTCGCGTTCTGCTTACTCTATACGCATAGCTCTTTCAAAACCTACAGCCCTGAACATTCGCAACCTCCCTCTAGGAAAACCTTTTGAAAGATAGTTCCCAATGGTTTTGAATTTAAACCGAGGATTATTTGCAATCAACAAACTTTCCGTCTCATTTTTGTGTGTCGTTTTTGTTGAGCACTAAATAAAATCATGCGACTTTTAGACACATGTGGTTTGTTTTTTAAAGGATTTTTTTAAAAAAACACGTGGATGGTATGATGTTGAGTAAGTGTCATTGTGATGGGGGAGGTATACTTTTGGAGGTTGAGATGAGAAGATGATACAAAGTGTATCAACAACTCGTATGATCTTTTTCAAAAGAGACAATTGATTATTGATTGTTGAATGATGATGATACACAAAGAAAGCTAGCACAAACTCCGAAAACACCGCCAGAACAATAAGAACAATAAAGAGCCGGCAACATAAGTGGGATAATTGCTGATGATAGTAGTTCAGTGAAAGATTACATTATAAACGCAATGCGTGGTGGTGATGTGAGAGAGTATTGCAGAACAAACATTCACATGCTCTTCTGTTACTATTTAGTTAAACTCTAAAATGGTGGTTGGATCAAACAGGACACAACGTTAGTATTAAATTTGTTATTTATTATTGCGCACTTACTCACTCACTCACTCACTCACTCACTCACCCACTCACTCACTGCGTGGAACTTTGACTAACCAACTTCCCCTATTTCCTTGTCTCTTGTCTCTTATGTGTCTCTCTTTGTTTTTGTTCACGTTTTTGGGTGACCCTACCTTCCCCCCCCCTCTCTCTCTCTCTTTTTGTTTAACAAAACAAAAAAACCAAATTGTTCTTCAAAGTTGGTTCTGGGTCAACTTCTAAACAATGCAAAGTAACAAAACATATCCAGTCTCTCTTTACAATAACCAACCTAAAACACAATCTTGTGTTGTAGATAATTTTTTGTATTGATCTTTCCCCGTCCACTCTCCCCTCATTTCCTCAATAAACCAACCAACCACAATCTTACATCGACACCGACACCGACACAGTCAGACAGGGGAAAAAAAAAAAAAAGAGTTCACCAAAATTACTAAAAATATTTTTCTCCTTTTTTGAACAAGCACATTCTTTTCTTCTTTCCTTCTTTACCAAATCAACTGTCATCCACACCAACTGAATTAGTCATAACAGTAGATTGCACAGGATATAACTTACTCAATTGATCTCAAAGTTTGTGGTTGTTTTCATTGTATCACGATTTACACGATCCTTTTTCTAGTTTTTTTATTTTTTTGTCAATTCACACAAAACACAAACGATCTAGCAAAGAATCACCGAATTTCATCAACGATATCAAGTGATTCAATCATCAGTCATCAAGGCATTGGACTTTTCGCTCTGTTGAAACAATACAAGTATTTAATTGATTGACAAATTTCTGTGTCCCCTCAACATCGTCCTCCATAAAGCTCCACATCAACCATTATCTACTGCGCCACTTCTTCCAATTACTGTTAGTGTGAACCATGGTTAATCCACCACAACCAAGACAACAGCCACCAACGTCGCCACGTGTCCCCACTGCACAGCTGTCCACGGCAAAGCACTCTCCAAGTGTATCACATGCGCAATTGCATTTCCAACAACTGCAACATCCAAATCATTCTCATCAACTGCAACAACTGCAACAACAACAACTGCAACAACTGCAACAGCAACATCAACAGCAACATCAACTGCAACTGCAACTGCAACTTTATCATACAAATACTGCATCCTCACAATCATCACAGTCTTCAAACACTTCTGGTCAAGGTTCATCTAATTTCCCTCATGCGCATCCTTCACATGGACATAGTATCAGCCATGGACATAGTCACAGCATCAGTCATGGATCCAACCATCCATCACGTAAGCCATCAATTGTTGAATTATTGAGTTCTCCACCTCCATTACCCGTTGATCTGGATGAAGCTATTCATCATTTGAGTTTATCAAGAAATCCTTCTATTAGTTCTAGAACTTCAACGGGCTCAGCCAATCCTTTCCTGTATGGTGGAGGTGTTCACAGCTCTGTATCGCCACAAGGAAGTGTAGCTGGTGGTGGCGGCTCAGCAATTGCTGGATTGGATTGGAGTGATGTTCCTTTAACTGAAGTTGTCCAATCAAACAAATTGATTAGTATTCATTGTTCTCACTCAGTCCAAGCAGCATTTGAAACTTTGGTCAAGAATGATTTAACCAGTGTTCCAGTGTCAGTATCCAAAGATGATCCAAGTGATTTGAGAAACTGTTTGACATTTGATTACAGTGATTTGAACACTTATTTGTTGTTGATTATGAATAAAGTTGATTATTCTGAATTGAGTGTTGAAGAAATTGGTGAGCCTACTCACACATTGCAAGAGAAACATGAAATCATAACTCAAGCGGTCAATAAAGCCAAAAAGGGAGAAGAAGTGCCCGTAGAGTTTATTATTAAGTTGCATCCCAAAAATCCATTTATTAAGTTTGCTGAAAATGACACCTTGTTTTCAGTAATGGAAACATTGGGTAATGGTGTTCACAGAGTGGCAATCACTAATGAAGAGTCAACAAAGATTACTGGTATTCTTTCACAAAGAAGGTTGATTAAGTATATGTGGGAAAATGCCAGAAGGTTCCCACTGTTGGAGTTTTATCTTTCATCAACTATACAAGATTTGAAAATTGGTTCTAGTAAACCAATTACTATTTATGATGATCAACCAGTATTGGATGCGTTGTACAAGATGTTTCATGAAAATGTTTCATCATTGGCTGTTATTGATCGTACAAAGACTTTGATTGGAAATATTTCCATTGTTGATGTTCGAAACTTGACCAGTTCAAAGAATTCGCACATGTTGTACAAGTCAGTATTGAGTTTTATTAGTTACAACTTGTCACAAAAGGGTATTGAAGAAGGTAAAGATCAATTTCCAATCTTCCATGTCAATAACCAAAGCTCATTAGGAAGAGTTATTGCCAAGTTGGTTGCTACTGAGTCACATAGGTTATGGGTTGTTGATACTTCAAGAAAAGCTAGTAGTATTTCAGCACAGGGATCAAGTGCACCAAATAGTGGAACAAACAGCGGCGTGACATTTGGATATGCACCACCAGCAGATGCGTCAATTTTGAATAAAGCTGCCAGCGTTGAAGGTCGTGAACAAAGTCAAGCTATTGCTAGTGAATTTTCTGGATCCAATGCCAATGCCAATGCATTAGGAGCTGGCACCGCATTAGCTGCAAGCTCTATTCAACAAGAGCAAGGGTATCTTGGAGGAACAGGTAAATTGATTGGTGTTGTTACGTTGACTGACATTTTGGGTGTGTTTGCCACATCTAAAGGTCGTCGAACTGATCCTCAATCAGCCAGGAATTATAGAAGAAGAAGCTCTACATCTACTACAAGATCATCGATTGAAAGTCTAGACAATACCATTAGTGGTGTATTGAATGCCGCTACCGCCGCCAGTGGAGGCGGAAGTGCCAGTGCTAGTGCCAGTGCCAGTGCCAGTGCAAGCACCAGTGGAAATAGCAACACACACTCCATTGCTAATGCAGGCGGTGGTTCTGGTTTGGGATCAAATAAGAATGCCAGTTCAAGTAGCGTAGCATCCAATCCAACATCAGGTGGAGCTGCTGGTGCATCTACAACTTCGAGTGCTACTAGATGAAAAGATAGTCGTGCAACAAGAACAATCCATTTGCTGATATATAGTGAACACAGCATGGCCGAGTATTTAGAGGTAATATGTATATACCCTAATTCAAGCGTAGTTTACGAAACTAGTAGCGATACAATCCTGTCGACGTGGCAATTTGTGGTTGGTGTCGACGAATCGCAGAGCGGGGACGGGGGAAAGGCGGGGTGACGGTGGGACTGGGGCTTTTGTCGAAGGAGAGGAGAGGGCAACAGCGAGAAGAATTGGAAATCAGACACAAAATTTGATACTTGATGAGTTCTTATTATTCACGTTTTGTGTGAAATGCATTCCTATTGTTTTTATTTCTTAATTATGATTGCTGCTGTTGTTGCTCTCATTACGGAATTCCACCCACGACATCGAGTGAAAAGTGATTAAACACAAAGGAGGATCGAAAATGCTTTTCTGTTGGTGAAGTAGAGCCAATTAGTTACTGTTATCGGATAGTAAGTGATAACAAACACACCTTGAACAAGTGGCAGAAGGTAGAGTGAGTTTTGCCACCTTTAGTGGTTAACCACTAACATAATGGAAAAATAAAAAGAGTGTCTGAAAAATGTCTCTCATTGCTAGTGTGTTGTGTGCACAATTTAACCAAAAAAAAAAAATCTATGGGAAAGAAACACCACTACGTTTTTGTGTACGCAGACAGAAAAGGCTTTTTTTTTAATGTCGGGGGCAAAATAAAATGATGTAAGCATGTTTCTTTTTGTTTTATTTATTTATTTATTTTTTGTTTTTTTTAACATCTATACATCAATGAGTCACTTTTCCACAATATCTTTTGGTTTACTATATTCACTATATCTTGTTATCAGTGTAAATGAGTCATTATAGGTGTTGGATCAAGAACAAAAAGACCGCCACGTGTACTCGTTCCCTCCTTTTTCTCTATTTGTCGTGTCTGATTTTGATTTTTGATTTTTTTTTTTTATTTTTCTTATTCTGTGTCGGAAGAAGCATTTTTGTGTCATTGAGAGGAATTGAGAGACCAAATCAGAAACATCATATCGCTTTGGGACTTGTTGTATGTATAATTGGAGGTCAAAGAGATGTTAATATTGGCCACAGCGTCCTTTAATGCTCTCCCTCCTTTACGCATTAATGCATTATATCCTGCCATAAGTATGCTATTGGAATCTGGTTGGGGAAGAGGTTTTGAAATACCTTGCGATTGATAGATCACTTTGTGTCTGAATCTTCTAATTATGTCCGTTTGACGACATTTTTCATTAGTGAAAAGTTTTTTTTTTTTTTTTTTTTTTTTTTTGTTCCTTCTTCTTCTTCTCTCTCATCTTTTCTTCATCGTTTTTTTTTTTTTTTTATAAAACCTCTTTTGAAAAATTTTTCCATTTCTTCTTTTCACTCCTTCTTTTTCTCTTCTTTCTTTCTTTCTTTCCTTCTTTACAAACTAAAAGTTTAAATCAATCTAATCATGGGTAAAGAAAAGACTCACGTCAACTTAGTCGTTATCGGTCACGTCGATTCAGGTAAATCAACCACCACCGGTCACTTGATCTACAAGTGTGGTGGTATTGACAAGAGAACTATTGAAAAGTTTGAAAAGGAAGCTGCTGAATTGGGTAAAGGTTCATTCAAGTACGCTTGGGTCTTGGACAAATTGAAGGCTGAAAGAGAAAGAGGTATCACCATTGATATCGCTTTGTGGAAATTCGAAACTCCAAAATACCATGTTACTGTTATTGATGCTCCAGGTCACAGAGATTTCATCAAGAATATGATTACTGGTACTTCTCAAGCTGATTGTGCTATTTTGATTATTGCTGGTGGTACTGGTGAATTCGAAGCTGGTATCTCTAAGGATGGTCAAACCAGAGAACACGCTTTGTTGGCTTACACCTTGGGTGTTAAGCAATTGATTGTTGCCATCAACAAGATGGACTCAGTCAAATGGGACAAGAACAGATACGAAGAAATTGTCAAGGAAACTTCCAACTTCGTCAAGAAGGTTGGTTACAACCCTAAAGCTGTCCCATTCGTCCCAATCTCTGGTTGGAACGGTGACAATATGATTGAACCATCAACCAACTGTCCATGGTACAAGGGTTGGGAAAAGGAAACTAAAGCTGGTAAGGTTACCGGTAAGACCTTGTTGGAAGCTATCGATGCTATCGAACCACCAACCAGACCAACTGACAAGCCATTGAGATTGCCATTGCAAGATGTCTACAAGATTGGTGGTATTGGAACTGTGCCAGTTGGTAGAGTTGAAACCGGTATCATCAAGGCTGGTATGGTTGTTACTTTTGCCCCAGCTGGTGTTACCACTGAAGTCAAGTCCGTTGAAATGCACCACGAACAATTGACTGAAGGTGTCCCAGGTGACAATGTTGGTTTCAACGTCAAGAACGTTTCAGTTAAGGAAATCAGAAGAGGTAACGTTTGTGGTGACTCCAAGAACGATCCACCAAAGGGATGTGACTCCTTCAATGCTCAAGTTATTGTCTTGAACCACCCAGGTCAAATCTCTGCTGGTTACTCACCAGTCTTGGATTGTCACACTGCCCACATTGCTTGTAAATTCGACACTTTGATTGAAAAGATTGACAGAAGAACCGGTAAGAAATTGGAAGATGAACCAAAATTCATCAAGTCCGGTGATGCTGCCATCGTCAAGATGGTCCCAACCAAGCCAATGTGTGTTGAAGCTTTCACTGACTACCCACCATTGGGAAGATTCGCTGTTAGAGATATGAGACAAACCGTTGCTGTTGGTGTCATCAAGTCTGTTGAAAAATCCGACAAGGCTGGTAAGGTTACCAAGGCTGCTCAAAAAGCTGCTAAGAAGTAAACGGATTGATAACTTTTTTGCTTTATTTAAATTTACGTTTTGCTTTTTGGTGTAGGTTTCAGAATGGTAAATATATATAAAATTTACTAGAAATTGAGAGTACTGTAGAGATGATTATTTCTTTTTGTTTATTACGTTTGTTGATTTACGCGTAACCTACTTGAAAGTTGTGTGCTTTTCTAAGTCTTTTCTAAATCAGAACAGCTTGAAATCCTTTACCACTGACAACACCCATGTAATCACCAGAGTTTTGTCTCCAGCAAACACCGTTTACTTCCAAATCTTCATCGTATGCTAAAACTGGCGCATCCATGATACCTCCATTACTAATGTTGTTCTTAACACCACCACCACCACCCGAACCACTTGAATCTGTGGTATGCCCATTAGTACCACCATTGCCATTGGATAAACTGGTGCTTGAACTGAAATTTGATCCAGTTGCTCCCAAATTATTCAAGTCCCACACCAAAGCTTGACAATCATCACCACCACTAAGTAAATAATTGGATGTTGGATGCCATTGAATCAGATTGATTGATGAAGCAACAGCTGATGTTGCTGCGGCATCAATGGTTGCCATTGGAAGTCCCGGCATGCGCATATCAATGATTATAATTTGACTGGAGTTGACACCAAATGTAGCGAGATGATGTTGGTCAATGTTTGAAGTAGATAAACGAAGTAATGCTTTTGAATTGTAGTTCGCTGAATGAGCAGGGGTTGGAAGTTGTGCAGAGGATGAGGATGAAGATGCCAATACAGGTCCAGGTCCAGATGCAGGTCCAGAGCCTAACGATGCATGTCTCCTTGTTGGTGGAGATGGCGATGGTGGAGGTTCATAAATAATAGTTGAATGTTCCAAGGATCGTAGATCAAATACACGCATCGAACCGTCATTCCCCACTGATGCAAATACATTGGTTGACTTGTGAATAAACTTCACATCAAACACTTCTGAGTCATGAGCAATCAACTGGGTCTTTATAGTGGCAGATTCAGCAAAATCATCATGAGGATGAGATCGATTTAGATCCCACACTGTGCATGTAGTATCAACGCTGGATGTGATGAGTAGATTGGTATCAGTGGAATTCCAATCAAACGACGTAACTGGTGGTGACGTGTTGATTTTGTCCTTGCCATCAGCAGCCACTGCACTGCTCCCTGTGCTTGTTGCATTGTTGGCCAAAACGTGAGTTTGCACTAAATTATACCCCGAGTCTCCCATGTCGGAAACTTTATATAATCTCAACACATCACTTGAAGCAGCTAATCGTTGGAATGGATGTATACCACCATTAACACCACCACCACCTTGCAATAATGCTGGGTCCCATTTAACATGGGTAACGGGGTAGTTTAAACTAGTATCGGCAACTTTTTCAAACATGAATCCGCCCTCATCACTTCCATCCAAGTTGTCTTGGTACCCAGAGCATGGATTACCGTACATGTCCACCACTGGTGGAGTGTATTCATACTCATAACCTCTCCCGTATACAATCTCCAACTTGTTAACAAACCCTTCTTTGTATGACCCCAATGCTATACAATCCAACGAATTATTATTTATTGTTGTCCAGTCACATGCAAATAACGGATTTTCACTGAAATAGTATGAACTGCGCTCAACTGGTGATACACCAACATTAGGGGTCATTGGTGCAACGTTCCTTGCTGTGTATGCTTTTGGGTTCGGCATATTAGACATGTTCATTGCATTTGCAGACATGGGCAATGTAGATGAAGGGTTAAAAGGTATTGCTGTTGTTGATGGTGACATTGACCCTTGTATTGGACTCCTAGTTGTCGGTGTTAATTGCAAGGATGGATCAAAGGGCTGAAAGTTTGATCGGTGTTGCAAATATGGCAGTTTTTGAAGCGACTGTTGTTGTTGTTGTTGTTGCTGAGGTAGCCGCGAAGAGCCTGTGGCTACGGGGATATTTGATGGTGGCCCTGCAAATGATGACATGCTGGTGCTGAGTGATGATGACGATGCTGTTGATCTGTGACCAGGTGCATTGGGAAGATATGATGCACTTGGTCGTATAGCTGGCGAGTTGCGACCGTTACTGGTGATCCCGCTTGTACTTGAGTCTGTAGCTCCAGTGTTGCCCATCTGGCCCCTCTTTCTGTGGTTCGCTCTGTCCATCGAAATAAGTTCAGGAATACTCCCTTCCGAGGTAATTGCTTATAGTGGGCGTGTTGTGTATGAGTTCGCCAATGATGATCTTTTTCTTTCACTGTATATCTTGCTGATTCTTATCCAGTGTGTCTATTCAACGACATCTGTTTTTTGAATCTGCAGCAAAAACGCAATTTTAAAACCAAAGGATCGTAAGGCTGAGTGAGGAAAAGAATTGCGTTACACCGAACAAGTACTCAATTTTTTGGGTCTATGGTTGGAAGAGGCAACACTTGTGATTGTGATACGTGTAACTTATAAAAGCCGGCGGCGATCCTTTCCTTGAAAAGTGAATTTTCCGTGTTCTTATAGATGTGTGTGTACCTGGAAAGACTCTTTGTTGAACAAAGAAAGAGATTTGGAGAGAGAGAAAAAAAAAAGGATCTCTTGGGTTTTTGATACTTTGGACACTACTCGCTATGGAACTGGCAGCACTAAACCTCCTCATCCAACGTTGTTCAATTTGCAACTGCCCGTAGTTATGGTTGCGACGGGGAAGAGGCTTACCTTATAGGGGCGCAATGGTTGGTGTTGAAGAAATGCTTGAGGTTTGGGTATCCCATTTGTGGTATAGTCATCTACACTTTCCGCAACGACTGGACTTACATGACTCAACAAAGAGTTGTTCTTTTGGTTGTTGGATCTTTTGAGAAAAGTACCTCATTGAAACTTGAAACTCTTGATTTTCTAAACTAATTTGTCAAATGCGGTTTCTAGAAGGCTATCAAATGAAAACATTCTTTAGTTGTAGGCCCTTCAAAGGGAAATTCTGTATTAAAATCGTAAAAAATGAACTCTACAAATATCAAGCAATAATTCATTCTAGCTGAAAAGAACAAGTATCACCTCCCGGGGACGTACTTTGGATTAAAGTAGAAAAGCTCTATAAAGTCAGATCCCATGAGACCCATCATCTATTCTTCAGCAAGTTCCTCAACCGAAGGACAAGTGCAAATCAAATTCAAGTCTCCATAAGTGTCATCCAATCTGGACACAGTGGGCCAGCACTTATTTTCTTTCAAAAACTCCAAAGGATAAGCAGCCTGCTCTCTAGTGTATCCCCTAGTATCCCAATCAGTGGATGATATGATATCCTGTTGCGAGTGTGGAGCATTCTTCAATACATTACCTAATGGGTCTCCTTTGATATAAGCATCAATTTCACGGCGAATGGAAATAAATGATTCAATAAATCTATCCAACTCTTCCAAGTTTTCTGACTCAGTAGGTTCAATCATGAGAGTTCCAGCAACAGGGAAAGACATCGTTGGCGCATGAAATCCGTAATCCTGTAATCTCTTGGCAACATCGATAGCCTCAATACCATGTTTTTGGAATTCACGTAAGTCCAAGATGAATTCATGGGCACAATGTTTCAAACCGGCATTAGTTGATGCACGATGGTCAATAAAGAGAATTTTGTAATGTGGTTCTAACTTGGCTAAAATGTAATTGGCATTCAACATGGCAATAGTTGAGGCGTAAGGAAGTGCATCGGCACCCAACATTTTGATATATGAGTAACTTACTGGAATAACAGAAGCACTTCCGTATGGTGCTGAATTAACAGCTTTTATATTTTCATTTGTTGAATGTGGAGTATTGACAAAATGATGCTTGGGCAAAAAAGGTGCCAAATGCTCCTTGACACATACTGGTGCTTGACCAGGTCCACCACCACCATGACTCAATGCAAAAGTCTTATGGATATTCAAGTGACAAACATCAGCACCTAAATCACCAGGGGATGTTAAACCAACTTGTGCATTCATGTTAGCACCATCCAAGTATACTAACCCACCATTCTGATGAACAATGTCAATTGCTTCTTTTACACCCGGTTCAAACAATCCATAAGTGGATGGATAAGTGATCATGATTGAACACAAGTTAGCAGCATGTTTTTCAGCTTTTTCTTTCAAATCTTTCAAGTCAATAGAACCATTGTCTAAACATTTGACTGGAACAACTTTCAATCCGCACATTGCTGCTGATGCAGGGTTGGTACCATGAGCAGAGACTGGAATAAGACAAATGTTTCTTTGCTCGTATTCACCTCTTGATTTGTGATATTGCCTAATTAATGATAACCCAGTGTATTCACCTTGAGCACCAGAGTTTGGCATGGATGTAGTAGCATCGAACCCAGTAATGTCATTGAGATCTTTTTCAAATTCATCAACCAATTGTTTATAACCTTGAGCTTGATCAATTGGAACAAATGGGTGAATTGAGTTGAACCCGGGAATAGATAATGATTGCATTTCAACTGTTGCATTCAATTTCATGGTACATGAGCCCAAGGGAATCATTGAATTGGCCAAGGATAAATCTTTGGATTGCAAATGATGCAAGTATCTCAACATTGACGTTTCCGAATGGTGTGTGTTGAAAACTTCGTGTGGTAAGATGTCATCAGTTCTCAACAACTCTTGTGGTACAGAAGGCAATTCATTGGATGGTTCAATGACTTCGCCAGTGAATAACTCAATCAAATTGATCAAGTCTTGTTTTTCCACTGTTTCATCCAATTGTAACGACACGGTTGAATCATCAACCTTGAACAAGTTGATTCCGTATCTTTCCAAAGCATTTTTCAAAATCTCATCAGCTGAAACACCGCTCAATTTGATGGTCAAGGTATCAAACCATTTATCATTGACAATTTCGTGCTTGCTCTTAATTTCATTAGCGAGTAGTGTAGTAAAACCGTAAACTCTCTTGGCAATATTTTTCAATCCTTCTGGTCCATGATAAACGGCATAGTTTGCTGAAATGTTAGCCAATAAAGCTTGAGCTGTGCAAATATTTGATGTAGCTTTCTCTCTTTTGATATGTTGTTCTCTAGTTTGCAAAGCTAATCTCAAAGCTGGTTTACCCAATCTATCTTTTGAGACCCCAACAATTCTTCCAGGTATTTTTCTGGCATACTTGTGGGAAGTGGCAAAGAATGCAGCATGGGGACCACCATATCCAAAAGGAACACCGAATCTTTGTGAAGTACCTAAGGCGATATCAGCGCCAAACTCACTTGGTGGTTTAAGCAAGGTCAATGCTAACAAATCTGTTGCAACAGCAAAAATGGCTTTATTTTCGTGTAATAGATCACCAATTTTAGAATAGTTGTGAATTGAACCGTTAGTGGTTGGGTATTGTACAAGTGCCCCACATACATCCTTTACTATCTTACTCAACTCCTGGAACCCGTCCTCAGTTGACAAGTTCAACTCCTTTATTTCGACATTGATGTTGCCTGCTCTTGACTGGATTACTTCAATAGTCTGTGGATGCAATTCCGAATCAACGACATAAACTTTTTTCTTGTTTTTCGAGTGGTGGTAGGATAAGCTCATTGCCTCAGCAGCAGCGGTACCTTCATCCAATAATGATGCGTTTGCCATGTCCAAACCTGTTAAGGATGTAATCATGGTTTGATAGTTTAACAAACTTTGCAATCGACCTTGAGAAATCTCTGGTTGATATGGGGTATACGAAGTGTACCACTCTGGCAGTTCCAACAAGTTTCTTTGAATCACTGGTGGTAAAATCGTACCAGCATAACCTTTTCCAATAAACGATTTGTAGATCTTATTCTTACCAGCAACTTCATGGAGATGTCTCAACATTTCTTGTTCAGTGAAACCTTGATTAGGCTGAATCTGCAACTTACGTTTGATCAAAACATGCTCTGGCACAGCACTCGATAAAAACTCATCCAAATTTGAATACCCAAGAGTTTTCAACATCTTTTCAACATTCTTTGGTGTTGGACCAATGTGTCGTCTAGCAAAAGTGTCTAAATTGGCCAATGATACCTTTTCAGCATTTGGGTTGTATACTTTGGCATAATTCTCTGATGACGTGTTTGCAGTAGCCAACAACCTTGCGAATGTGGGTGTAACACAGTATGTTGTTGGCGATACCGCAAGTCTGGTGGAAAATCTAGGAGTGGAAGATGATCGAAGTAAGGATCTTGTGGTTCTAATCATCTTTTTGGTTGATAATTCAAACAAAGAATCTGTGACTTAAAGAAAAGAGTAGTCAGATGATTTTGAAAAAAATTTCAAAAATGGAAAAGAAAAGATGCCATTTAGTTTATAAGAGTACTTGAACAATAGATATGGGGACCTTGTAATAAGGCGCTTTCATTGATAAAATTTAATAGTCTGTTTTGTTACACAAAAACTGAAAAAAAAAAGAAAAAAAAAGAAAAAGAAAACAAAAATCGAGTGCAAAGGAGTCAAGTGTCGCGCCAGAGTCAAATGAATACTCAGTAGAAACATTGTAGATCCAGCTACGAGCTACAAACATAGGCCCTGTGATTCAAGATGACAACAACAAAGTCTAGAAAACGCCAAAGATAGTAGGTAGTTGTCCAGTAAATAGCCTGGCTCTGGGTATTATGACTGTTACATACCTATACTTCATCACACAACCTTGTGCGTTCTTTCTCTTCTTTATGGCTCTACCTGTAAAGGGAAATCAAAGACTCATACTAGCCATTAAGTGTAAGCGAGATCCTAAATGGGAATATACTTCCATTTTGGCTTTACTAGAGTGGGACCAACTTGCCAAATTAGTTTTGACTCTTCTGTTGTTTTATTCTTTTTTGACCGTGAACGCGAAAAGCCGGGGAGTAGAATTTTGACTCCTGTCATTTTACCCCGGATTTTTCCAGCGCCACATACCACAGACAAACATCGTCATTAAAGTTTATTACACATTTCGAGAGCAGTATTATGCTATCAAACAAAACAATCTCGATAATTCTAAGCACTTATACAAGACTATTCACTAAGCCCAGTAAAGACCACATTAGACCCTCTTCTTGTCATAATGCTCATAAATAATGTCCTTGTAGTTTGGGAAATGAGTAATGTACCAGTAATACAATTGTGACCATGCAAATGTTATGGCATTTTCTTTTGAATCACTATACCATGATACGCACCCACCAAACTTGGTACCGAAAACACTTTTGTTCAGCTCTTCTTGGATTTCTTTATGCCATTTGTCATAAGCTTCAGGTTTTACAACAACTGCCTTCTCTCTACCCTCTATCACTGGCTTGACTAGTTTCAAATAATAGTCAACAGCATTCTCAATAGCCATAACAACAGAAGAATGCCCCGTAATTGTATTGGGGCCACCAATGAAAAACAAATTGGGCATATGTTTCACCAAAATTGTACGATAAGTACTTATACCTTCCTTTTCCCAAATCTGTTGACTGTTGTATCCTTTTGTAGTTGAAAAGGGAAGTTTCAATGCCTGTAATACGTCGTAGCCGGTACAGGCAACAATAATATCGGCTTTGACAAATTCGCCATTCTCCAAGATTACACCGTCTTCAACGACTCTTCCTATTCCACTGCCGGTAAGGGTGATTCTTGGATCATTCAACGCTGGAACGTATCGATAATCAATGATCATACGCTTACATCCGAATTTATATTCCGGGATCAATAAATCCCAGTATTTTTCGGGAGCGTTTTTTTTGATGTATTTGATTGATACAGCTCGACTCACTGAACGCATCTTTTCTGATATGAATCCATCTTTTTTGAACAATGGGAACCTTAATTCCAGGAGCCAAACAGTAATCAAACGAACAAACATCAATCCGTAGAATGAGAAGCTAAATAAGCGATTGATAAACATCAAGAACGCGGGGATTGGCGGCATGATGTAATGCTTTGATCTAGCAATTTGTGTGATTGACCCAACCTTGTATTGAGGGTCATTCAACAAAGCTGGAACAACCTGATTCGCAGAACATCCGTTACCCACGACCAACACGTCTTTACCTCGGAAATCGATAGAATGGTCCCAAACTGCCGAGTGAATATATTTGCCTTTAAAGTTTTCTAGGCCAGGAGCATTCAATTGGTGTGGATTCACCAAAATCCCACCACATGACAAGACAATATTTGCAGTATGCTCGATCCTTTGACCTGTCTTGACATCATGTGCAAACAAGGTCCACACCCCTGTATCCTCATCATATACGCACCTGTCCACTGAAGTTTGGAATCGTGTCTTCTCTTTCAACCTATAGTGATCAGTAACTCTCAAAATGTACTCTTCCATTTCATATTGGGGAGGCTGAGCTCTGCTCCAATTGGTATTCAACATAAATGAATAGGAGTACCAAAGTGCTGGAATATCTGAGGCACAACCTGGGTAAGTGTTGGCGTACCAAGTACCACCGAAATTGTCATGCTTTTCAAATATGGTAACGTCTTGCACATGCAAGTCGTCCATTGTCTTGATCGCAGCTCCGATCCCCCCAAACCCGGCACCAATAACGGCAACTTGGGAAGAAGTAGTTGCGATGGGTAAATTATCGTTGATATTCTTTTGCGCAGTGTGTTCTGGTCCCAACACTGCTAGCCCATCCAGGTACTGGATTCTAAATTTGGATGGCTTTTTGTGTGACTCTTTGGTTAACGTAATGGCTGACATTGTATATATGTGCTAACAGTCAAATGTGGTCAAGAGAAGTGTTTGGCATAAAGCGTCAATTTATATTGACTTCCGTTTGTTACTAAACCGGTGAACATTTGTGGAGACAATATAACAATGTCTAAAAATTGACATATGAAGTGTGGGGATTTTTTCCTTTTTTTTTCTGTCTCTTTTGTAGATCTTTTTATCATGCATGCAGCGCAAACCCAAAGGCAGATTCTACCCTCATTGACCACATTCTATGCCCTAGAAAGCGCATATAGTACGAATGTGATCCGACCGATAGTGGGAACAAAACGGAAATGGAATTAGATCTCTATTGCTTGTTCGATGAAGCAAAACCTGGCCAGCGTACCCCTTTTCTTTTGGAGCATAACCAGGTCTGTTCCACATGTGGAGTACATGATCGAGCGTCAGGGCGAGATCCATTGAGCTAAAAGGGAACCCTCCCGAAAACTTTCTGGTTGTGATTTTCTTCCATTACAATTTCAAGCAAAACTTTCCAATATCACAAAACCGGAGTAATCATATCTGAGGCAACTATATTGTTTATTGACGATGGTGTTCACACACGAGCTGTATATTGATCGGACTTCAAATAGCATCATTACAGATTTAGTGGTATTCGAGATTCCTCTAGTTATCGAAACGATGTTTCGCAAATCGTAGAATATGTGATCTATTATATATCATCTATACTAATTTGAAATACACCTTTGATGGCAACTACTCAAGCCTTTTTCTTGTCGAAATGCTCATAAACAATGTCCTTGTAGTTTGGGAAGTGAGTAATGTACCAGTAATACAATTGTGACCAAGCAAACGCGGTTGGGTTCTCTTTTTCATTACTGTACCATGAAACACACCCACCAAATTTGGTACCAAAAACACTTTTGCTTAATTCCTCTTGAATATCCTCATGCCATTTGTCATAAGCTTCAGGTTTTACGACAACAGATTTTTCTTTGCCTTCAAGGACGGGTTTAGCTAATTTTATATAGTAATCGATACCGTTTTCGAGAGCCATGACAACTGATGAATGGCCAGTTGCTGAATTTGGACCACCAATTGCAAACAAATTTGGCATGTGTTTCATCAAAACGGTACGATAAGTGCTTATGCCTTCCTTTGTCCATATTTCCTGGTTATTGTATCCCTTGGTAGTGACAAAGGGAAGCTTCAATGCTTGTTTCAAATCGTAACCAGTGCATGCAACAATGATATCGGCCTTAACAAACTCGTCATTGTCTAAGATAATTCCATCCTCGACAACTCTCTTGATACCCACATTTGTGAGACTTATTCTTGGATCATTCAATGCAGGAACGTATTGATAATCAAAAATTAAACGCTTGCATCCGATTTTGTAATCAGGAATCACCAAATCCCAATATTTCTTAGGGGCGTGTTTCTTCACGTATTTGACGGATACTTTTGTATTGATCCAACGCACAAGTTTGGATATAATCCCGTTTCCTTTGTACAATGGGAATCTTAATTCAGCAATAAAAATCACGAGCCATCGAACAAATGCCAACCCATAAAAATTAAAACTAAGCAAGCGATAAAGATACAGCAAAGCTTTTGGGACGGGTGGCATAATATAATGTTTTGATCTGACAATCTGGGTGATCGAACCAACATTGTATTGAGGGTCATTCAACAAAGCCGGAACTACCTGATTCGCTGAACATCCGTTACCAACAACAACCACATTTTTGCCTTTAAAGTCTACTGAGTGATCCCAAACTGCCGAGTGCATATAGTTTCCCTTAAAATTTTCGAGTCCTGGCGCTTTCAATTGGTTTGGATTCACTAAACCTCCAGAACAAGACAAAAGAATGCGGGTTGTGTGCTCGATCTTTTGGCCTGTTTTCACATCGTGAGCATACAAGGTCCAAAGGGCAGTCTCATCGTTGTAAACACATTTGTCGATAAAAGTCCCAAAACGAGTCTTTTCTTCTAGGTTGTATTTCTCGGCTATTCTTAAAATATACTCCTCCATTTCATACTGTGGTGGTTGAACCCTACTCCAATTCGAGGTCAAAGCAAACGAATATGAATACCAAATAGCGGGAATATCAGAAGCACAACCAGGGTACGTATTTGCATACCATGTGCCACCAAAATTGTCGTGTCTTTCAAATATCTGTACATTAGACTCTTTTAATTTCTCAATAGTCTTGATGGCAGCTCCGACACCTCCGAATCCTGCACCGATTATAGCAACATTTGAAGATGTGTGAATTGTTGGCAATTTTTCATTGACATTCTTTTGTGCACTATGTTCTGGTCCTAACACAGCATTGCAATCCTGGTATTTGATTCTGAACTTTGAAGGATTCTTGTGTGATTCTTTTGTCAATGTAATTGAAGGCATTACTTGTGTTTGTAGTTAGGTTGTCTCAATGCTTATAGCGTGGTGGTACCCGGGGGTTCTATTTATAAGGAATACACACACAGTCATGGTGAAAATTACAGTGTGGGGTTGTTGCAACGGTTTTATTGTAGTTGGATCTTTAAAATTATCACAGGCAGAGAAAATTACGCTACCTGTTCCCGTTTTAAGTCCGCTTGATAATGCAGCCTCTTTGTATTGTGAAAAGATAAAAATAAAATCAATCGCATTCCCAGAACCTTAACGAAGCCAGTGGTGTTAAATTTTTGGCGTTGAGTTTAACCATATGGCTTGCAGCTGAAATCTCTCTTTATAAACGGGTATGGGCTGCCTTTGAAATATTAATGATTTCTCTGGATTTAATCCGTGGTTGAAGTGTTCAACAAATGGTGGATAGGCTAAACCGTTTCCATTCAAGAAAGCTTTCTACTTTGCCATAAATAATTGCCCCTCATATTTCCTAAAAAAAATGCGAAAGTAAGAAACGTCTGGGCACTTATACCTTGCAGTCCTCTAATTAGCGATGTATGAACCACGGATAAATGTACTTTGTAACACAAAGGGAGATTACAAATGCGGTAACACTTTTGTCGAGATTTTTTATCCGTATTTATCCACGCATCTAGGTCAAATCACACAAAACGCGGGGAGCTCGTATAAATCTGGTTACAATGGGTATTGCTTAATAGTGAAGTGTTCTTTCATTTGCACAAGATTTGGTCTCTAGCACTAAAGACAGAAGTCCTAAAAGCCCACCCTAAAATGCTCTTCAGAATAGAGCGACTCGCTATATCATTCATTCAGAATCAACTTTGAATAAAAAAGAAAGCTTTTTATAACTTGAGGCAACATACCTTGAATCAAGTTGTGATAATACACACTTTACAGACGTACTAAGTATTCTTACTCTATCCCATGGCAATGGTTTATTTTGCAACCATTTACCCCACGTCGTCGGGAAATGATACCACAATACTTTCAAGTGATTTTCCGGGGACTTCATGAGCTCAATGGTATCTCCGAGGCAACACTATGATCCTGGCCATTTTTGATTGCATATCATCTGTAAGTTGTCTCCAATGTTTCTCGAAATCGGGAACCATTTCTTTTCTATCCGCTCGCCGAAAAAGGAAATTATATTTACGGAAAATCAAAGAAATCTATTGTTGACGAAGGCTTTGTGTGATGCAATTCTGAGAGGAACCAATTCTATGCGCCAGTAATGCCAATGCACACTCGGTTGAGTTTATAGGTGTAGGCGTGAAAGTTGCAGTTCTAAAATTGATGAAAGCATTACTTTCTCGTGTTGTTGAAGAGAGATAGTCTGGCGGCATGTGTTAAATGAAATCTTGCCTCCTTGCTTCAACATTACGGAGTGCAATACAAGCTTCGTCGAATACATCATATCCACGCATTGAAGCTCGTAAGACCTTATCCATAAACACAAGAGAGCTTGGTTGAATTGGCCTTCGTCCCGTACGTTACATTTTTGTAAAGCCATACGCAATTCTTATAAAATTTGCAACCGATTACTACCCGCTCTCCGCCAAAAAATAGAAATTTTTCCGACGCAAAGAATACAACTAAAGAAGGAACTATGAAACAAAACCTTTTATCGGTCCTCCTGTGATCACTAGGATTTTCCATCATCAACCGCGGAAAATGGGGGGCAGTTAACTACACAAATACAAATGGTTCACTCTTGAGGCGATGTTTCCCCAGATTCACGATATAAAAACCCACCACGATTTCCACAATCCAACATAGTTATTGAAATTAAGTTGTCACTACCTTCATCATTTACAATGTCGTCAATCACGTTAACAAAAGAATCGCACAAGAATCCATCAAATTTTAGAATCAAGTTGAAGGATAGCACTGCTCAGTTGACCGGTGATGTTGATGTCAACTCCAACGATAAATTGCCAACAATCCATACCCACTCCAAGGTTGCAATCATTGGAGCAGGATTCTCAGGTTTGGGTTCTGCCATCAAAACATTGCAAACGCTCAAGGAGCAAGATGTTGCTATTCTTGAAATGCGTGATAATTTTGGTGGTGTTTGGTATGCAAATACGTACCCCGGTTGTGCTTCTGATATTCCCGCTATTTGGTATTCGTTTTCCTTTGCTTTAACTTCAAATTGGAGTCGAGTCCAACCACCACAATACGAAATGGAAGAATACATTTTGAGAGTCGCTGAACAGTACAAGTTGAAGGAGAAAACTAGGTTCAATACTTTTGTTGATGATTGTATTTTCAACGAAGAAACTGGGTTGTGGACCTTGTACTCTCATGATGTCAAAACTGGTCAAAAGATTGAACACACTGCCAACATTCTTTTGTCATGTAGGGGTCATTTGGTTTACCCAATCCATTTGAAAGAACCAGGCTTGGAGAATTTCAAAGGAAAATATATGCATTCAGCGCTTTGGGACCATTCAGTTGATTTTAAAGGCAAGAACGTTGTTGTTTTCGGTAATGGTTGTTCAGCCAATCAAGTTATTCCGGCCTTGTTGAACGATCAAAAATATAACCCGGCCTCAATCACTCAAATTGTTAGATCAAAACATTATGTCATGCCTCCAGTGCCAAAAATTCTCCTTATCCTTTACCGTATTCTCAGTTTTAACTTCTTTGGTTTGAAATTGGTGCGTTGGTTGATTGTTGTTATTGCCGAGTCAAGATTCCCATTGTTTAGAGGCGAAGGTCCAATTGCCAGACTTGTTCGTTGGGTTAATAGGAAAATGGCTGTTAGTCACATGAAGCACGCACCGAAAAAGTACTGGGATATTCTTATTCCAGATTTCAAAGTTGGTTGCAAAAGATTGATTTTTGATTACGGATACATTCAAGCATTGAACAACCCTAGAATTGAGCTCACTAATGAACGTGTTGACAAAGTTGTTGAAAATGGGCTTTACTTGAAGGACGGTAGATTTATCAAGGCTGATATCATAATTGCTTGTACTGGTTACAATACCAGAAAGACTTTTGACCAACCAATCAAAACTAAGAAGGGTGCTTCTTTGCAAAAGATTTGGAACACTGAAGGTGTTGGTGCTTACCGTACAATGATGGTTAAAAACATTCCCAACTTTTTCTTAATTGGTGGTCCTAACACCGCCACTGGCCACGCTTCCGTTATCATGGCAGCCGAACATGGTATTGACTACTACATGAAAGTTGCCAAGCCAGTTATTCAAGGTAAAGAAAAATCGGTTGAATGTAAACCTGAGGCCTATGACAGCTGGTTTAAATTAATCCAAGACCAATTGGCCAAGAGTGTGTTTGGTACTGCATTTGGTGGATGTGCTTCATGGTACAGAAGTGATCAATCCAACTTTATCACGTATCCATTCAGTCAGATCCATTATTGGTACATTACTCACTTCCCCAACTATAGGGAATTGACTTACAAGCACAATAATAAAAAGACAGCATGATGTTATTGTGGTTTCGTATGTAGTTATTTATTGTTTGAAGTTTGATATGAAAAGAGTTTTATTTTGTGATTGACTAGAATGTGAAGTCGTAGTGTTGGAGAATGATACTTGTAGCATATACAAATGGGTGTAATACCAAGTGTAACATATTCGCATCATTTCACCGCAAAATTTTAAAGTTTTGTGCCGTATGTACATGTGGCCACCCGAAAGAAGAAAAAGATATTGCCCTTGCTTGCCATTTCTGATTATGACGAATTGAAACCTATCTTATCTCCCACAATTGTATGACAGTCAACTTGTTGATATCGATAATGTAAAATTTTGGTTATTTTTAAATTCACTTGATTTGGTATGTGACACAAAACTCGCAAATTGCGAAAAAGATCCAACCTGCGACATTTCTTTTTTTGTTAAACCTATTGTTTCGCCATAAATGTCGCATCACCAAACGGGCCGAGTGTAGAACTTCCAATGAAAAGGCATGTGTATAATTGTACGTATCGACGTGGTATAACCACAGTGAACCTACTTGGTGATATAAATTGGTGCTGAAATAACCTTATGTGAAGCTTTCCATGTGTTTTTTTTATAACGAAATTAGAAATAAATAGAAAAAATGGTTGTATTGGATTTAGAAACAGGCAAACCTTATGCCCTCCCAATCGAGTTTTCCCGTCGGAATAGCAAGATACCAAGAGCCCAAAAAAGCACGGGGATCAAAATCCAGTGGATCACTGAAGTAGAGAAATTATTGACTATGGAAATCGAAACAGTTGAACTTACTGTCAATAATGTGCTTGATCGTGGAGAGTATTACAATCGACCCGCCGATGCCATTGGAGTTATTGTGCACTCTAAGGATGAACCTGTTGCTGTTGCTGCTTGGTATGGAGATGATCACGTTGGAGATTGGAATGTGTATGGGGATCAGCCAGAGCATTCTCAGCAAACTTATTACTTGGGAGGCGCTCGAACCATCTTTGTTGGTTTGTTCTAAAGAGAGTGAAGAATTGTTATCGATGATGGTTATCCTCTTCTTAATTGATATCAATAATCACCTGATGGTTATCCTCCAGAATATACATCTAACTCTCTATCGAAAGTTTCCTGTAGATCTCTATCAATCTCTGGTAACACTATTGATGGAGAGGTTTTTGGACGAGAGTATAGAAACTGAACAAGCAGTTATTTTTGAAAAGAAATTCCTAGGTGAGGGGTCCCTTTGTGGACTGAAGGCAAAAGGGACTGTGCCTTAAATACATCCCTTAGTAGAATTGAAACAATCTAAAGAATCTAAAGCCATCCCCTAATCTTAGAACATAACAATATTAATAATAATAGCATTGTCTTCCCCTCTAATCCGCTTTCTTCTTGTAATTTTCATAAATCAAGTCTTTATAATTGGGGAAGTGAGTGATGTACCAATAATACACTTGACTCCAAGCAAACGCTGTTGGGTTTTCTCTTTCATTGCTATACCAAGAAACACAACCACCAAACTTGGTACCAAACACACTCTTTTTCAACTCATTTTGAATTGTCACTCTCCAGCTATTATATGCTTCTGGTTTCACCACGACTGATTTTTTTTCACCCTTGATTACAGGTTTGGCAACTTTGATGTAGTAATCAATGGCATTTTCAAGCGCCATAACCACTGATGAATGGCCAGTTCCGCTGTTTGGTCCACCAATTAGAAACAAATTGGGGACGTCCTTGACCAAAATGGTACGATATGCAGTTGTACCTTCATTTGCCCATAAATCTGATACGGTGACTCCAGTTGTGGTTTTGGCTGGCAATTTACCTGATTTGTGAAGATCATACCCGGTACAAGCAACGATTATATCCGCTTTCACGAACTTACCGTCATCCAAAACAACACCATCTTTGACTACTTCCTTAATACCCGAGTAAGCGAGGGTGAGACGTGGGTCATGCAATGTTGGAACATATTGATAATCGAGAATCATTCTTTTGCACCCAACCTTGAAATTTGGCATTAGCATATCCCAATATTGCTTGGGTGCTGTCAGATGAATATAATCAACAGACCGTTGGGTTAATCGTTTTCTAAAAAATCTAGCGAAGAAACCATCGCCTTTGAACAAGGGGAATCTAATTTCGGAAACAAAGACCAAAAACCAACGCACCAACATTAAACCATAATAGTGGAAACTCATCAAATGATAAAGCTTGAGTAGAAAAGAGGGGACTGGTGGCATGATATAGTGCTTTGAGCGAAAAACTTGAGTTAAAGAGCCAACGTTATATTGCGGATCATTTAGCAAAGCCGGGACAACTTGAACAGCTGAGCACCCATTGCCAACAACAACAACATCTTTACCTTTAAAATCAACTGAATGATCCCATACTGCCGAGTGCATGTATTTGCCACCAAAGCTGTCAAGCCCAGGTGTATCAAGATTACGTGGAAGAACCAACCCACCACGACATGACACAACCAATTTACAAGTATGTTCAATCTTTTGCCCCGTCTTGAGATCATGTGAGCTCAATGTCCACAAGCCAGTCTTTTCATTGTAGTCAAATAAATCAACTGATGTTTTGAATCTAGCCTTTTCTTTCAAATTGTATTCGTCAACTATTCTCAATAAATATTCCTCCATTTCGTATTGTGGGGGCTGCACTTTACTCCAATTTGTTGCCAATGAATGTGAAAAACTGTACCAAATGGCTGGTATGTCTGATGCGCAACCAGGATAAGTGTTGGCCCACCAAGTGCCACCAAAATTTTCATGCTTGTCAAATATTACGAAATCAGTCTCCTTCAATTCTTCGATTGTCTTTATTGCCGCTCCAATCCCACCAAAACCAGCCCCAACAATGGCAATTTTGGAGGACGTGTGAATTGTGGGTAAAGAAGAGTCGATGGGTTTACCTGTTGCTATACCCAATGCAATAAGTTCATCGTCGTACTTGGCTCTAAACTTGGTTGGGCTCTCATGTGATTCTTTAGTTAAAGTTATGGTCGACATGATGTGGAAAGTTTTGTGGATGAATATATTTCGAGATGTTGTTATATCGAGGAGTATTTCGAGATGTGTATATATATATATATATATATATTAATCATGATGGGATAACTTTATTCATCCCCCCACCCTTTGTCTTTCCTTATCATTGGAAAGAGAATTAAACTTTGTGTGCGTGTGGGGAGGAGAAGTTATGAATGTGAGAAATAACGGAGTTGTTTTGTGTTCGGAGTTAGCAATGAATGAGGGGAGAGATATAGACAAGACTAGATAAAATGCGGACTTAAAGTAAGGGGTATTAATACCAATCTCCACTTGATATTGCACGAAACGAATGGGGGTTTCACACCCACTCTGACACACCCACGTCAATTGGGGTTAACCCACCCAACGAATGAGAATGGAGATCATCAGCTCCAATGGTATGCCAAGATCAAAACTATCTTCCTAATATCAACTACGAAGACAGTACAGTTTTGATTCACCCCCATCTAAGCAATATGTTTCTCAAATGAGATCAATTTCCGACGACAACTAGACAAACTATGCCATTCAAGTTTTTGAACACATTTGAGGTAATAAATGTTATACCCAGATGATGATCGATGTCGACTAATGAGGGAGTTTAGCTCATCGAAAGTGTTTTCTTTTTCTTAATAACAACTTGTAGACACGTAGCAACCTCCATTGTATTTCCTTCCTCGAGGCCAGTCTGTGACTGTTCTTCTTTTGCTCGTACGTGGCCAGATTCCAAAGTACGAGATTGTGTTATCAAACAAAGCTTGTTCTTCTCAATAGAGCGAAGAAAAAGTGAAAAAAAAAAAATAGAAAATAGCTAACAGATTCCAGCTCAAGACACCCCCGGAATCCATTGAGTGCTTTCTCTTCACTTTTGTTTGATATCACACACATCCAATATGGACCCGGAATCTAATAAAAGAAGTAGAGACGAGTTTGAAGAACAATCAGGATACGTCAATGAGTCTCGTTTCCCACCTCAACAACAAAGTTTCTCTTACGAGTCCAAGCGACAACGTATTGATCCAGCACAAGAATTAATCAACAATGTGTGTAAAGACATTAGGAGATTGGGTGAAAACTCAAACGTCGCCACCCAGATTGATGATGTCAACTATATATCCAATCCTATAGTTGCTGAATTTGAAAAGATTGAGAGCCTTCGAAATGCCATCTTGTCAACCATGTATGCCCTTATCATTGAGCAACCACACAAGATTAGTGCCCTTAGTAACTTGGTATTCATTTGTAATGCCAAAAATTTTGTTATTGCCAAGTATGTGGTTGAATATTTGCACACAAAGATGCAGTTGTTGTTAGATTCAATTGGTGGTGAGGTTCAAGAAGATATTTCACGGGAGCATGCCGGTGTTTTCAATAATATCAAAAGTATCTTGAAATTTTTTGGAGCCATATCACCCATTGTTGAAGATTATTCAGTCATTAATGTGTTGAAGCAATTTTTACAATTTGCCATTGACATGCAAAGTGAATCCGACAAGAGAAATGGTATTGCTCAAGAGATTTACTACAATGTATTGATTGCAACGCCATACTTGTTGAGCAACGACAAGAGTGAGGAATTGCATGGGTATTTGAATGATATTATTGAACTTGCTGACAAGTTCCCCATCATTGAACCGGAATCGAACATCTTGATTCAACCATTTGACAACAAGATGGACAACCTTGAAATCCCATACCAACCTAAAAAGATGGTAAACTTGATCTTACCTGCATTGAAGCAATTGCAAGCTGAAGATTGGCAATTGAAGCTCTTTCTTGACTTTGAACCATTTTTGGAGCCAGTTTTGAAGACAATTTTGGACAGTAATGCCATTTCAAAAGACATTGTTAAACATAAATTACCTCAATTATCATTACCTTCAATGGAAAAGATGAACATTTACAAACCACGTAATGAAGATAGTATTGACCGTATATGGCAGCAAAATTCACGTGTTTTGCTTCAAGTTTACAATCAAGGTACTGAATTTGAAACAGTTCCGACTATTGAATCATATATTGGGTTATTTTTCAAGGATTTATCATTTGATATATTAACCAATTTATCATTCAACAAGACCGAAGCATCAATACAGTTGTCTATTTTGGATTTATTCTTCAACAAAGAATTGTTTAGTCCCATGGGCACATCAATTAATGAATTGACTGAAATTCACCACAAAAATCGTACTGGAGAAAACGCCACTCCGTTATCGACTTGGAAAATCGAGGATATTGCTGTTGAGAGTATCTTGACCATGATTTTCCAGTTACCACACACTTTGCATCGGGAGATTTATTATTACACAGTTTTGATCTCGTGTTGTAAAGAAAGTCCTGAATCAATGGCTCCTGTTTTCGGTAGAGCCATTCGTTATTTTTATAATAATTTACAAACGTTGGATTTCGAGTTGAAGATTCGATTCTTGGACTGGATGACTACCCAAATTTCCAATTTTGAATTTAGTTGGAAATGGGATGAATGGGTTCAAGACTCACAAGAATTTTCCAAATTGAAATATCATCCGAAAAAGAATTTTATCAAGAATTTGATTGCCAAGGAGATTAGATTATCCAATAAAAAGCGAATCAAGGAGAGTTTTATTGACGTTGTTGATGATGAAGTGGTTCCATTTGAAGAGTTTTATCAGTATTTGGATATATCAGTGGTGCGCAATGCCAGAGATTATATCATTAATTACGACTCTGCCTTGTATGGCGACTCAGAAGAAATTAGAACCAAGATCACCGAAATGTATGATGCCAAGCAAGCAACATTGGCAACTAAAAGTAACGTTAGTTTCCAAGATGAGATTTTTTACAATTTCACCAATCCTGAATTACCATTGAGTAATGTTGCTTCTCAAGTTTATGAATTTCTTGTATCACATTACAAGAGTAATAAAGAAATGAATGAATTGTACAATTCGGTACTTGAACAAATACAGCAAGTGCAAAGTGGCCAATTAGATGCCATGGTTTCGGTTGACATCCCCAACCCTGTCAAGTTTGTCATCAATTTATTTTTTCAAACGTATGCATATATTGGATCGAGATCAATTTACTCTGAAGTGAGTATTTTGGATCGAGATGTTGATAAATTGAAATTTCTTAGTGGACAACCAATAACTTCTGCCAAAAAAGTGGCCAACCCTGATGATGAGTTTGAAAAATTATACTTGTCTGATGATGAAGTCACCAATAGACAAAATTGGATCATTGATGCTATTTTCAGAATCTGGGTTCATCAATCACAAGTCATCTTTTTGATTTTAGAATACTTGATTGAGTTTGAGATTTTGGACCCAAAATACCTCATTGACAAAGCATTCAAGACAAATTTAATCATTGATAATGTATCATGTATTGAGTCAGTGAATCGAATATTGGAAACGTCAAAACCACCAGTTTTGAAACAATTGATGATTGAAATTTTCACAATTGTTGTTTCTAAGCTCAATGAGTTGGATTTGGGTGTTGATGATGTTGTGCATATCGACGAATTGAATGAGGATAATTCCAGTGAAGTTGACAAACAATGGCTATTTTATGAGTATTTGGGATTACTCAAGTCATATTTTAGAAAATATATCAAGAACCAAGCTGAAGCTAATGGGGAGGAGGTATTGCAGGATATCAAGAATGTGTTTAATGGGTTGGAAAATATACCTGCTAGAATCGAGATTCTTGGTTGGTTTAAGGAGATTTCATAGGGTGTAGAAAAAGGTGTAGTTTTTCAGTAACACAAAGAAAGAGAATAAAAAGTAATTTCGCAGGATTCCTTCAATTATCTCTCCACTTTGGAACCACCGTTTAACCTGACCAAGCACTCAGCATGACATTGGAGAACCACAAGAATGATAAAACATTAGCCATTGAAGTTAATGACCTCACATACGAATTCCCACGCGGGAATAATAACAACAACAATACCCCCAAGATTGGGTTACAAGACATCCTGCTTCAAATACCATGGGGCACGACAAACTTGATAATTGGACCCAATGGAGCTGGTAAATCAACGTTATTACGTATATTGGCGGGCAAGACACTAATCAAAAAAGGGAAATTGAAAATTGGTGGATTTGATCCATTTGAATTCTCCACTACAACATTATCGACCTCATCTACTGGTGAACAGCGTCATCATAATGCCGATATCAACAACTACATTACATATTTAGGAACTGAATGGATCACAAATTCAGTCATTAAACGAGATATTCCGGTAAATTTACTTATTTCATCCGTAGGAGGTGATGTTTATACCGATAGGAGGAATTTACTAATTGATATATTGGACATTGATCCTTCATGGTCAATGATTAATTTATCTGATGGAGAAAGGAGACGAGTACAAATTGCTATGGGATTAATCAAACCGTGGAAATTGCTTTTACTTGATGAAGTGACGATTGATTTGGATGTTGTTGTACGACTGAAGTTGTTGAGTTATTTGAAGCTGGAATGTATTGAGCGTAATTGTACTACTGTTTATGCTACGCATATTTTCGATGGGTTGGGTAATACATGGTGTGATCGGTTGTTGCATATTGATTCTGGGTTATTGTTGAATGATATCAAGATGGATCAGGTTGAATTTAGCAACAATGAAGTTAAAGGTGAAGGTGAAGAGGTTGCTATTGGGCAAGATAAGATTGTTATTAACAAATCTAATACTTTACATCCATTGGCATTGTTTTGGTTATCGCAAGATTTACAGAGACGTGGTCTGAGACAAGATGAACAGGAGAAATTGCGCAAGAGACATAATGATTGGATCAATTCACGAGATGGGTCGTATTTCGATGCTAGTGATGATAAATTAAAGCAGTATTTCAAAACTACTCGAAGTGAGAGGTAATGTTGAGACAAAAGGGAGGCGTGTGTAGCTACACCTCTTTGAATTCTAATAATTTTGTATAATCTAGTATAATTACGTACGTGATTAATACATGCAAGAAAAAATTAATATCAGCCAAACATAGTATGCAATTTTCGATTAGTTGGGTTTTGCAGCTTCCATTAATTGGTTTTGGCGACTTCCATCTCCAATTGACGTTCCAATGTTAAGAACTGGGAAAGCGATTCATAATATTTGGCTCTTTGTTCCATTAAATATACTTGGCGATGCAACTCAACCTCATCAATTGACAGTGGTGGCCATAGGGGGTATGCATTACTAGGTTGATTGGTACTATTTTGCAACTGGCCAGTAGAAGCACGCGGACTTTGCTCAATAAAGGAACTCTTTTCAGCAATGATTAAGTTATCATGGCGTTGTTGTTTGATTGGAGATACATTTTCTTCATCAGCTTTTATCGATGATATCTTGTTTACTTTTCTTTTTAAATTTTGTGAATTTATAGCTGGTGTTGGTGAAGTAGCTGCACGCTTTTTGATATTACGCAAATCATTAGTTGGCTTTATTGGTGATGAAGTAGTCGATAGCTTGTTATTTCGTAACATGGCCGTTACGTTGTTGTTGTTGTTGTTGTTGTTGTAGTTGTTGGTCCTATTGTTGATAATATTTGTTGATGTTTCCTGGAGAGGTAAAGTGCCTTTTCTTGTGGTGTTACCGTTGTTGTTGCTAGTGGATCGTATAAAAAATTGATATGCTGTGGTATCGGAGTGAATGCTTCTGATACCTTCCATGGTATTTGTTTTGTAAGTTGAAGTTGAGGTTTCGACAAGTTCCTTCTCTAGTAGAGTGAGATAGGTTGAATTCAATGGATGGACGAGTGTATGTATGTGTGTTACTAAAGTGTGGGTTGCTAAAACAAAGGTGTTTTTGATCTTTGAAACTTTTTGATGCAAAGTGTAAACACAACACAACCTTTTAAAATTAGAGAATACAAAAGATCAAAAAGAAGTAGAAAAAAAAAAACATGACACAAAATGTTGCGACTTTGATTCTATTACATTTTGGAGTGTATGTTGCAAAAAGACCTACACTACTAGTCAACCAACCAACTCACCAATTATCGATAAGGGGTTACCAAACGATTTACAAGTACCAAGGGGAAAAGCGCCTGTACGTTTGTTTGGTAAACATTACGTTTGCTTCTACACACAAAGCAAGAAGAAATTTTAAGGTAACAAATGGAAAAAGAGGAATAACTTGATTTCACGAGATCTATGCTTACAACATTTGAATGTACAAGTTAAAGTGTGTCGAGCTGAAGTAAGACACCAGACGCTAGGTTTTGGTAGTAGTTCAGAGAAGACTTTTCGGAGTAACCCCTATGAAACAAGGTAGCCAATGGAAAAAGTCACGTGCAGAAAAGCCATTGATCAGGGAACTTGAAATACACCTTCCCTTTGACTTGTTGACTTGTTCTATATGAGTATAGTTGCAGTACTAAGGTAATAGTGTTGTGTTTTTTGAAGTTAGTTGTAGTAGTAGTAGTAGTAGTAGTAGTATTAATACAAAAAGTAGTGTCCAATGTGTCAAAAAGAGAGACAGTAACATAGAAAGGGGAGAAGGCGTAAAAAACAAAAAACAGAAAACAACAACAACAACAACAGTCTGTCAAACTAAACCTAGTCAAAATTATTATAATTGATAATAACGATACGTTATACTTTTTGACAGATACCAACACACTTACTCACAATTTATAATCACTATATTACCATACTTAAACAATAGGATTATACACACACGCACACATTCACATACACGCACAGAGAAAGAGAGAGATCGTAAGTCTATCTCCTATTAAATTGATTAGTACAAATGTTCAAGTTCAAAAATAAACTCAAGTTTGGGTCTTCAAATGATAAGCAGCAGCTGCAGCAGCTGCAGCAATCACTGAGTCACAATCATCATCATGTATCTGGCAATGGATCAGTAGAATCAACACCACCACCTCCTGCATCAACAACCTCTAATGATGTGTTACTGACACCAAAGAGAACTCCTTCTGACTCGAGAAGGACTATATCTGTCAATCAAGTTAGCAATGATGTGTCCAAGCTATCAGTCAAGGATGATTCACCTGACAAACAGTCGACTTTGCATAGTAGTGCCAGTAGTGGAAGGAACGTGTCTTCTTCGGGTGACAACAATACTGATAACCAAATTTCACCACAAGCAGGGGTTTTGCAACCAACAACTACTGATTCGAACATCACTACAGACTCATCAAATTACAACAATGGCTCTCCCTCTTCATCGCATCCAACCTCAGTGGGTCAGGCAACGTCTGCCGCTTCTAACTCTAATGACACCACAAATGCAGCAGCTGCAACGGGAGCTACTGCATCCCCCGGCTTACTCACGGTTAAAATATATGGTTCACAAAATATCCAATTACCTATAAAGATAAACAACAACAAACAGATTTTACATGCATTGGCTATAAATTCAAGTAGTGAAAGCGTTGGACAACAATTGATGAAAAATATGGCAACTGTAGAAAAGGAAAATGATGTGGGTGAATTTATACAAGGTGCAAATGCCACAAAATTATTGCCATCGATAATCACAATCCCCAAATCAGAAAATCTAGTCAAGTCATTGCTTTACTTGACCATTGAGTTTGAGAATAACGTTTTGGTTATTGAGCCACAAAAGGGTACAGTTAATCAATCGACTTGGAATCAAGTTGTTTCCTTTGATGTTACAAATAAGTCACTGAGCATCAATAGTAACTCCCAGTTTTTAAATTTGAACCTATTCATGAGATTACCCAACGTGTTGATCCCAGACTCCGAGAAACATCGCAACAAGCAGTTATTTACAAATTATCAGGTCGATAGTGCTAACAAATCAATGACATCAAACTCATCAAACACATCATCAAGTTCACAAGTCAACATCGGAGATTTGCTTATCGGTACAATCAAATTACCATTGAATACAAGATCACACACTCAGCAAGTGAGATTAATGCACCATGAATATTTGAAATTCACCAACTACAATGCAGTCCTTCTGGATGCAATACGTCAGGATATGGGTGAAATTATGTTGACTATAGAGTATAAACCGTTAACCAAAAAGCATCTTTCAATTGATGATTTCGACTTGTTGAAAGTCATTGGTAAAGGATCGTTTGGGAAAGTTATGCAAGTGGTTAAAAAGGATACCAAACAAATTTATGCTTTAAAGACATTGAGAAAACAACACATTGTATCTAGACTGGAAGTCACCCATACCTTGGCTGAACGAACAGTGTTGGCTAGGATTACCAACCCTTTCATTGTTCCTTTAAAATTCTCATTCCAATCACCCGAAAAATTGTACCTTGTACTTTCATTCATCAATGGAGGAGAATTGTTTTGGCATTTACAAAGAGAAGGCAAATTCAGTATGGATAGATCTCGATTCTACATTGCTGAATTGTTGACTGCATTGGAGAGTTTGCACGAATTGAATGTCATTTATCGAGATTTGAAACCAGAAAATATCTTGCTTGATTATCAAGGACATATTGCTCTTTGTGACTTTGGTTTATGTAAGCTAAACATGAGCAATGATGACAAGACAAATACATTTTGTGGTACGCCAGAATACCTTGCACCTGAACTTTTATTGAACCAGGGTTACACTAGAAGTGTTGATTGGTGGACATTAGGTACTTTGTTGTACGAAATGTTGACTGGGTTACCACCATTTTATGATTCTGATGTGCCTACAATGTACAAGAAAATCTTGCAAAACCCATTGCGATTCCCCCCATTTTTGGAAAATACCGATGCTCAAGATTTATTGATTAAATTGTTGCAAAAAGATCCTCAATATCGATTAAATGATGCACAAGCTATCAAGAATCATCCTTTCTTCAAAGACATTGATTGGAATAAATTGCTAAACAAGAGTTATTTACCTCCTTTTAAACCAAATGTTGAAAATTTGTTAGATACGTCAAATTTCGATCAAGATTTCACAAATGAAAAGCCTCAAGATTCAGTTGTTGATGATTTCTTGACTGAAAGTGTACAAAAACAATTTGGAGGATGGACTTATAATGGTGATAATGTGCTATGAAGTGTATGGGAAGCGAAGCGAAGCGAATGTGTAGGGGTATAGTGTTGTAACGAATGAATGGAAGGAATCAGTGAATGCAGTAGTGTAGGTTAGACTTGATTTCTCTGTGAGACGGGCTACAAATAAGGTGTAAATGATACATGTGTATGATACATGTGTATGATACATGTGTATGATTAAGCAACCTGTCAATACTATAATGTCCTAAACCAAATCAAACTACTTCATCTATACAAATCCCTCACCCCACCAAACTCAATGTTTATTAGCAGCATTGTAATAAGTAGCACCACTACGTCCAGGGAAACTCAGATCAATTTTCTTGTTAGACTTGTGACCCTTTTCCAATGGTGCTTTTGGGTTCCATGCTGCATATTCACCTCTAGCCACTTTAGCATCTTGATTCTGTTTGAAGATCTGGTATTGTGGGTTTAAATTCTGTGGGTCGGTGTTGTTTATATCAACAACTGTGGGCTTGATGGTGTAGAGATTTGGTGGTGGTTGTTGATGCTGTTGTGAAGAGGAGGAGGAGGACCCTTGTTGAGGCGGTGGTGGTGGGTAGTTGGAATAGTTGGAGTAGTCTCCAGGTGGCGGTTGTTGTGCGTAGTTTGGGGCACCCATAGGTGCAGCAAATTGACCATGGGAATCATGGTTGTCTGAGTACGGGTTTTGAAAACCTTGGATATCTTCATATGCTGGTGGTGCATCATTGGGTAAATTGTTGTTGTGGCTGCTGCTGCCCATTTGTGCTGCTTGTTGTTCTTCAAGAGCGTATTTCTGTCTTAACTTTTCCTTTTCGTCGGACATGCTGTACTGGATCTAAGATGATTGATAATAAAGTCTGTAATGTTTTTTGCAATTGTTGTTTGACCCACGAGGTATGTGTGTTTCAATTTCGCAAGATTGCGGCTTCGTCATTTGTGTCATACAAATATCAAAACGTTAATGTCGCAAATGGTTAGTGGCTCTTCTTGCGACATTGGAAAATTTTATTCCAAAAATTATTTTGAAAAATTTATACCGTTTAAGCCAAATCTCAATCAACAGTTGAACCTCATCTATTCCTATACATTTTTAGTGTCGTTACGATGTTCAACACAACTAGATCAGCTATCACAAACCTAGCGCAGGTTTCACTAACACTCATACGTTTCAAAAGACAATCAACCACCGCCAATCAATTAAATGCATCAACGCAAAAAATTGTTAATCAACTATCAGTCTTATCAGCCAGTAGGAAACAACCACAATTGCTCAAATTATGCAATGAAGATTTAATCAAACATAGAACCATTATGAATGCATGGAAATTGATTCAACGTAAAAAACAACAAAAGCAGCAACATCAATTAGATTTACAATACAAGAGTATACGTAATGCCATGGAAGATTTGAAGCTGACGAGTCCAGCATTATTTGAAATGGCTAATGCCAAAAGTAAATTGAAGTTTACTACTTTCCCTATTGAAATGAGAGTTCCTACTGATTATCCACCTACAAAGCCTTGGGTACATGCTTATTCACCAAAGAAGTAGATGCATCAAACCTCAATGAGTAATATGTTTACATTGTACATAGAATTTGAATAAAGACGTTCATTTTGGGGTGCACGCTTTCACCATTTAGTCCTCTATTGTTCTTGCTTTTCTCTTTCTAGATGGTGTGCTTGATCGACTCGTCTCACTCTTTGCATTCTCAGTTGAAGGAGCAGCAGCAGCAGCGGAAGAGGTCGCGGTAGCAGTAGCGACAGGTGCAACTGCACTACTTTGACTACTGTTGTGCTTCACCCCTAAATTAGCAGTTGTTGGATCAATCGAATCTTCATAATCGTCAAAGTCATCTTTTGAATTGATTATAGATGAAGCTGAGCCATTACTCAAAGATCCATTACCAACAACAGTGGTGGCAGCAGCATAATTAGCTCCATGTCTTTTAACCATATTTTTCACAAACGATATCGAGCTTAGACTGAATATGTGATCATCTTCAGTATATACTATCCTTCGTTTGAATCCAGATGTCCCTGATCCTCCTCCGCCACCACCACCACTAACTCCACTAGCTCCTCCACCACCCGATTTGGCGAAATTTTCAAATCCTTTTACAATGTTACCAGAATAGCTGCTTTCAAAATAATCTGATTCCTTTTGGTAAATTGTGTCTTCTAGTTTGGATAATTTGTTGCCAATTTCTTGTTTCTTGAGTATTTGTTGAATGAGTTTCTTTTTTAGATCATTGTATTTGTCTATACTGGCTGCACCTTTGGACAGTTTAGTTGATGAAGGTGTGGATGGTTTTGATTGACTACTTGATGCAGTGTCAGATTTGGCATTATTATTGTTGTTGTTGTTGTTTTTCTGTGGCGACTTTGATGGATCAGTTGTGGGTCCCTTGCTCGGCAGTGATGTTGATTTTTGTACATCACTAGTCTTCTCTTGTGTAGGTTCCTGCTTTTCCGGCAAGCCCTTAGACTCTTCCGTCCCTTCATTAGCCATACTTGATTCAATGAAGTAACTAGCCTTTGTATCAACAAAAAAGAAAGTTGAGAGCTACCATTATTTACCATAGCAGTTCAAATGTAGCAGCTCAGGACAATTCCATAAGGCGGATGGACATCGGTGCGGGCTATGAAAAGAGGTTACAGTCTAACCAACTCGGGAAAGAGTATCTGATTGATATATGAGAGTCTTAGCTTACCCTGTTCGTTTTGACAACTATTAACTTCACAAACCAAAGATTTGATTGACTCAGCGACATGGCCCGTTTGGTAATCCACTACACTAGCAATTGAGTCTCACATGTTGCAGTGGGATCACACTATACATCGTTGTGGAATATAAAGAAGTTTGTTTTTGCAGTAAAGAATTGTCTGTCAGGAACAACCTCGGGAAAGACCGGTACCATCAAAAAAAAAATACATCACCGAATTCCACTGGACCGCATTGTTCCACAAATGTGCAACAAACGAGTGAGAGAGAGATCAAACATGTTTTTCACGTGGAAAACTGTCGTCAGTTGGTTGAAGGTCCACAGTGCCGAAAAAAATGGACACAATCGAGTTGTTACCATCACCATGTGTCATCGGTTATAACTATTATCATTTTGTATCCTTAGGCGGATTAGTGTGTTCCATAAATTCCATAATTCTTTATGTGGTGTGTGCTTTACCCAGTATGCACTACCCACTCTTTTTTTTGTACTGTTACCCATTTCTCTCTGCCTCCTTTCTTTGAAAAAATATATAAAAACCATTCATTTTCCCCTACTCATTTTCTACTATTTTTCAACCTAACTCAATTGACTAATTGAAACAAAATAAATCCACAATGGCTATTACTAAGATCCACTCCAGATACGTTTACGACTCCAGAGGTAACCCAACTGTTGAAGTTGACTTGAACACTGAAAAAGGTTCATTCAGAGCAATTGTTCCATCTGGTGCTTCTACTGGTGTCCACGAAGCTTTGGAATTGAGAGATGGAGACAAATCAAAATGGTTAGGTAAAGGTGTTTTAAAAGCTGTTGCCAATGTCAATGACGTTATTGCTCCAGCTTTGATCAAGGCTAACATTGATGTTGCTGACCAAGCCAAGATTGATGAATTCTTGTTGAAATTGGATGGTACTCCAAACAAGTCAAAATTGGGTGCCAATGCCATTTTGGGTGTTTCATTGGCTGCTGCCAAGGCTGGTGCCGCTGAAAAGAATGTCCCATTGTACAAGCACATTGCTGACATCTCCAAAGCCAAGCAAGGTAAATATGTCTTGCCAGTTCCTTTCCAAAACGTCTTGAACGGTGGCTCCCACGCTGGTGGTGATTTGGCATTCCAAGAATTTATGATTGTTCCATCTGGTGCTCCAACCTTCAGCGAAGGTTTGAGAATTGGTTCCGAAGTTTACCACCACTTGAAGTCTTTGACCAAAAAGAAGTACGGCCAATCTGCTGGTAATGTTGGTGACGAAGGTGGTGTTGCTCCAGATATCAAGACTGCTCAAGAAGCTTTGGACTTGATTGTTTCAGCTATTGAAGCTGCTGGTTATACTGGTAAAGTTGACATTGCCATGGATGTTGCTTCATCTGAATTCTACAAGGATGGTAAATACGACTTGGATTTCAAGAACCCAGACTCTGACAAATCTAAATGGTTGTCTGGTCCTCAATTGGCTGAATTATACGGTGAATTGTTGCAAAAATACCCAATTGTTTCCATTGAAGATCCATTTGCTGAAGATGACTGGGAAGCTTGGAGTCACTTTTTCTCCAAGGTTGGAGGAAAAGTTCAAATCGTTGGTGATGACTTGACCGTTACTAACCCACTCAGAATCAAGAAGGCTATTGAAACTAAAGCCGCTGATGCCTTGTTGTTGAAGGTTAACCAAATTGGTACATTGACTGAATCCATTCAAGCCGCCAACGACTCGTACGCTGCTGGTTGGGGTGTAATGGTTTCACACAGATCTGGTGAAACTGAAGATACTTTTATTGCTGACTTGTCTGTTGGTATCAGATCTGGTCAAATCAAGACTGGTGCTCCAGCTAGATCTGAAAGATTGGCCAAGTTGAACCAAATCTTGAGAATTGAAGAAGAGTTGGGAGACAATGCTATCTATGCTGGTAAGGACTTCCACAATGCTCAAACTTTGTAAGTAAGTAGTCAGAAAGAAACTTTGTTGTAAAATGATGTTACTATTTATTTACATGTAATCGGATGCTATTCTATCTAAAGCTTCGAATAGACGTTGAGCGGCAATGTACGTTTCCTCAAAGGTGTTGTATAAGGGCAAAGGTGCCAATCTAATGACGTCAGGTCTTCTCTCGTCACAAATGATGGCCTGTTGGTGCAAACGCTCAAACACCCTCTCCATAACATTCTCTTGCTTGTCGTCTCTGTGAGGTTGGAAAAGTACACTAAGTTGGGCTCCTCTTTCATGTTGCGACAATGGCGTCAATATCTTGAACCCAAACTTGGACTCGTCCGTACTATCTTGTGGAATATAGTAATTACTACTCGTCAACAAATGTTGCAAAAACTGCGTAAGCTCCAATGACTTTTTACGCAATGTGTCGATTCCACCAACTTTTTTAAATACTTGCAATGATGATTCAAGAGCCACACAATCGATCACACTAGGATTCAGTTGTCTATAACTCAAAGCTGAAGCAATTGGATCGAATTTCTCCAACATCTTGAATCTATCGGCGCTATTATTACCCCACCAGCCTGCTAATCTAGGTTTGTAATGGGTGACAGTATTGTGCTTTGTATGCTTTTCGTGGACAAATATTCCGGCAATGGCACCAGGACCAGCATTGAGATACTTGTAAGAACACCAAGCGGCAAAGTCAACTTGCCAATCATGTAACTGAAGTGGTACATTCCCTACAGCATGGGCCAAATCCCAACCAACAACTACTTCTGGTGCTTTTTCTTTGATGTAACTTGTGATTCTCTCAATTTCGAAAAATTGGCCAGTGTAGTATTGTATACCGGGAAAACAAACAAGAGAAATTTCATCCAAATTGGCATCAATAGTTGACAATATAGATTTAGTTTTCAAATACGTTTCACCTTTCGGTATCTGCACTTGGATTAAATGTGACTCATCAAGCCCATGCAATTTCACAATATTGACAAACGCGTAGTAATCGGAAGGGAATGCTTGTTTTTCAAACAAAATTTTGGTTCTCTTACCGTTTGGTTTATAGAAATGGGTAAGTAATGCATTCAAGTTCGATGTCAATGATCCCATGACTGCAACTTCATTTTCATTAGCGCCAACCAAGGGAGCCAACAACGGCACACAAGGTAAATCGATATCAACCCAGTTGGTCAGTTGAGTAATCGGATGGTTGAAATGAGCTTCTACTCCTCGCATTGACCATGCTTTCAATTCGTTGTTTATTGCTTTGGACGTTTGCTTCGGCATTAAGCCGAGCGAATTTCCACACAAGTATATTGATTCTGTATCTTTGGGGAATTTGTCGTTTTCAATACCAAGAGATTCAAATGTCGGGATATAAAAGTCCTCCTTGTAAGTAGGATACTTTTTGTCCAACTCCTTTGCTTGCTTGAGTAGCATTTTACTTATCGTGTAAAGAGGAAGGAGTCAAAAGTGGTGTGTGGAAAAAGTTACGAAAAATAAGAGTTCCGACTGATTAGCGAAACCTTTGCAAAACAGAACACGGAAGCCGACTTATGATTCACTCTGTACTCATATGTACGTATACCCCATCAAATAACTAACCTGATTACCTACTAACACCCCCTCCCTTTGTAGTCAACAACGATGGTGTTCCCAGGTTAATGAAGTTTTACACCAATGTCGATATACCGACGCAAAAGTTGCTTCTTCAACAAGTACACCAGTTAATATCAGTACGAACAGCCCAAGAATGTTCCTTTATAACACCACCAAAACTTCTTGAAGATCTAGACGACATCAAGGTCATTTATCGTCATTATGCCACTTTATATTTTGTGTTTATCGTTGATGACCAGGAATCTGAATTAGGGATCTTAGACTTGATTCAAGTTTTTGTTGAATGTTTAGACAAGTGTTTTACAAATGTTTGCGAATTGGATTTGGTATTTGGTTGGCAAGTGCTACAGACTGTTTTGGAAGAGATTGTACAAGGAGGAATGGTTATTGATACAAACATCAATCGGATTGTTGCTGCTGTTGACGAAGCCAATAGTCAAGTCAGTAATGGTGGTTCTGGCGCTGCCGGTGGTGGTGGTACCAGCACTGCAGCTTCAATCAGTCAATCGATATTACTGTCGTTGTCCAGAGATAGAGGATTTTGGAGCAGATAACAAAAATGGGTGATTTGATAAACTATATACAGAATGAGCAGATCGGGGGTTGGCATCACCTCGAGAAAACATTCCACCATGATTTCTTGCTCTTTTGCTCTTGCAACAACCGTTCAAGTTCTTCTGACTCTTGAACACTTTTAGTAATTGCCTCTTTTTGAGCTTCTTCAGCTTTCGTCTTATGAAACAACTCCTTATCTACCAACTCCATACTCAAATTTCGTTGTTCCTTTTCCAATGGCGATCCAATAGGACCAGTTTTCCAAATCGGTTCATTTGATGCTGCTGTTTGTTTTACAATTTCCATCAATCTCTGTTGTTCCTTTTGTCTTAACTCTTTATTTCTTTCGTATTCAGCTCTGATCTCAGGTGAGAATTGGGAAATCAATTTCTCATCTGATGGTCTGATTGTTTGGTAGAGCAACACACCGGTTCCTATTATGCATGCACCAGCAAAGTAAACCCGTGCCCATCTATACCAAAGTGGTTTTGCTGACATGATTTTGGAGATAAGTGTGGATTGTTAATCGCTGGTTACATATTGGATGGAATTTTTTCCTTCAGGAAAAGAAATGGTAGCGGAGGATGGAGTAGGGGACCTACATAGCTAAACTGTGATATACCCACAACAACAGAGATCATTACTTAGTCTTGCTTCCTTGGATCGGGAAATTACAAGACAAAGCACTTCAGAGGTGTGATTGCAGTTACTTTCTCTTTGCAAGCAATTAAGTCTTCGTAGCAAAATATTTTAGGTTAATAAATATTTCTTCATCAAATGGTGCAAAAAAGTCATTTGGTTTACAAACTTAGCTATATTCCAAAGCAAGAGATTTTTGAGGAAACACAGTTCTGATTGCATCTGTTGCCCCCGCTTTTGGGAACTAAAAACATCTTCTCACAATTGTTTAACGGCTGCACCATAAAAGAGTGGTCCGATAGTGCAATGATGAAAAAGGTTAAACCACAAAAGGGTAAATCGCCGCGAAATCTATTTGTAGACACAAAACCACTCACCAAACTGTTAAACTTTAACCAACATAGCGAAAAGCTTTGGTAAGGGCCATTGTTACAAAACAATATGATAAGAAATAGAAAAGTTGCTCAATACGGAGTAAATTGAACAGTAGGCTGACTAATGTGTTCACGTACTGTGACTTTTGGACTATTGCGAGATTGGATGGCTCAAAGATTGAATTTAGTTTGCTTCTTCAATGCGCTCTGAGTGAGACCACCCGAACGTCGATCAAACTTGATTTAGACTAGAGGGGAAAACAGAAGTGAATAAAAAAGCACGAAGGACGTGTTGCAGCTCCGCTATCGCAATAACTTTTTAGTCACTGCTACGCAATGACGTTCCACCTCACGCATTGAACCACAACCTTAAAAATGCCTCAATATTATGTACAGATTTTAGCTTCACATTGAAATGAAAAGGGGGGAAGGGGGAAGGCTCGCTTGGTAAAAGATACTACCGTTGATTCATGCCCTTGTTGTGAATCTCAAATCATGCAATAGTGTGCGGAAATTGCCCCATTTGGCTGTCACAAATCTAGCGATTTGACGTGAAATTTAGCTCCATCCAGTTGGCATACTTAAGGTGGTAGTTTCCGTGTCAGATTGATGGAGTAGGTCAATTGACAACATCGCTCAAGATGATAGAGAAAGACGAATCGGGAACCTCACCAACGATCAAGCCGGTGCTTTCTTTCACACAAGAAGACTTGGAGGACAAACACAAGCATGTTTTAACTACCATTGCGTCTCCAGGTGGAAAAGAAATTGAAATCACTAATAATGTCGATGTGGCCATGAGGTTTGCCATGGAGCACAAGGGTGAAGCCGAGCGGTTAGATCCTGCCACTGACCAGAAGATATTGCGCAAAATAGATTTGTACTTGCTTCCTGTAATGTGTTTACTATACTGTTTTCAGTTCATGGATAAGTTGAGCACCAGTTATAGTGCAATCTTGGGATTAAGAACCGAGTTGGGCATGGTGGGCGACATGTACAGCTGGACTTCAACATGTTTCTACCTTGGGTACTTGGCATTTGAGTTCCCTGCCTCGTTACTACTCCAAAGATTCCCAGTTACCAAAACTGTGAGTGTATTCATTATCCTATGGGGGTTGATTCTTGCATTGTGCTCGGTCCCAAAGTATGCGGGGTTTGTGGCACTAAGGACCATATTGGGTATGTTGGAGCTGTCAGTCACCCCTGCATTTACAATCATTACGTCTCAGTGGTACAAGAAGGATGAACAGTTTTTGAGAACCACCTGGTGGTTCGCGTCAAACGGGATTGGTGGTGACCTCGGTAGTTTGGTTGCCTATGGGTTGTACAAACATCAAGACTCATATTCACTACCAGCTTGGAAGTTGGTGTTTGTTGTTACCGGCGTTTTGACAATATTTTTGGGGTTTGTAATTATGCTTCATATCCCCGATACGCCAACTGGAGCATGGTTTCTCAAAGAAGAGGAGAAAGTTTTAGTGGTTGAAAGAATTAGGGGCAATCAACAAGGGTTTGGTAATCCAAGGTTCAAGAAGGAGCAATTCATTGAGGCATTGACTGATCATCGTACGTGGTTGTTTTTTCTTTTCTCCATAGCTCACAATATTCCCAATGGAGGGGTTACGACATTCGGAACAGTCTTGATGAACGAACAGTTCGGTTACGATGCTGCTCAGTCGCTTTTGATGCAATTGCCATCGGGTGCAATAGAAATTGTAGGATGTGTTTTGTTTGCATGGTTGCTGAAATTTATCAAATCGCGTATGTTGATGTCAATTTTCATTGCGATGATTACAGTAATGGCGGAATGTTTATTGGCGTTTGCTCCTACAAACAAGGGGAAACTTGCAGGTCTTTATTTGTGGTACCTCAGCCCCCTTTGCTACATTTGTATTCAGTCCCAAGTGTCTTCCTCGGTGGCAGGTCACACAAAGAAAATCACGGTAAATGCCATATTCTTGATAGGGTATTGTGTTGGAAACTTGGTTGGCCCACAAACATTCATAGACAATCAAGCACCTACATATTCCGGTGCCAAAATTGCAATCGTTGTGTGTGGAAGTGTCACTTTGGGAAGCTTGGTGGCGATTTACATCTCATACTATGTGGATAACAAGAGACGCGATGCCTTGCCCCCAGTTGATATGAGTAAGATTGAGAATTATGAGTTTGCTGATTTGACCGATAAACAGAATCCAAACTTTAGGTACGCACTTTGATTGTGAGGATACAATTCATACACAGTGTCTTACCAAGCTGCTCATTTAGATTTTTTGAAACATGCATGCATAGTCATAATCACGGTCACCAGTAGGTTTACTCTTTTCTACTCAACCTGCAGCTGTTACATGTAATCAAACTAAACTGTTGTATATTTTGCGGCAACATAATTGAATTGTAAAATAATACCTGTTTTGACTTGTTACCAAAGCTCGTGTACGCTTTAAATTGTAATAGATTAGCCACCATAAAGGAGAAAGGCGAGACCAAATGGTGAAACACGGGAAGCTCCGAACCTTGAAGCTTTTATGCCGTTAACAGCATAATCACTTCTTTTGCTTTATTGCTACTCACACAATGCTACAGTTTTTCTTGGTCGTCCGATATTAGTCATTAGAAAGTCTCCCTTTTGGTATATTTTTGGGCGATCATTAAGGAACAATAGCTGGGTGTGAGTGGTACGATTATTTATGGTTTTAGTCGCATTTTTTTTTGATAACTTTAAATTTCGTTTTAACATAAGAGCAGCAAAAGTGATGTAGATGAAATCGCAAAATTGCAACAATTTTCCGCGCATGAATATGCCGAGGGCCCAAAATGCAATGGCTGAGTATAGGGCTTGCCTAAGGAAGGGGATAACGATGTGACTCACAGTCGATGCATATAGCCATAAAATGACACACCACGAGAGGAGAAGTCTGTAAAATGTTTGCTCATTACCTTTGATAAAACAATTGATGCAGATAACTAAAAATCAACCTACCCACCCCAACATTGGGTTGAGGATTTGGACTAAAGATGCAGTAGCGATAACGCCCCGTTTCCGCAAAAATAATTACCCTGACTTTCAAGCGATCACGACATTATCATGGCAAATATAAAGTTTAATTCAAGTCTGTTGATCAAAGTTTATTTCAAAGTACACATTCTAAATCAAAATTATAGAATTGTTAAGTCTGAGTGTGTGTGTTATCGCCATTTGTCCGTGCGCTTCAGAGAACCTTAAAGTGGTGGTTGATGAGTTGTGAAGGCGACCCCATCTTACTGATACTGAACCTCAATAATCTGATATAATTTTTCTTAGCAGTGCTAGGGTATATAAAGCCGTAGAATTCATACACGGGATATTCAGGCGATAGCGGTAAAGATAACCAGCAACAGAAATGACTGAAAAAATTGAATCAGAGTCTATGACAAAACTTGAGCCTGTAATTTCATTTACAGAGGAGGATTTAGAAGATAAAAACAAACATGTGTTAACTGTCATTGCGTCTCCAGGTGGAAAAGAGGTCGAAATTACCAACAATGTTGATATAGCGATGAAGTTTGCAATTGAGCATAAGGGGGAAGCTAAGGCATTGGATCCAGCTACTGACAGAAGGATTTTACGGAAAATTGATATGTACTTGCTTCCTATCATGTGTTTGTTGTATTGTTTCCAATATATGGATAAATTGACCACAAGCTATACTGCCATTTTAGGATTGAGAACGGAGTTGGGTATGGTAGGAGATATGTACAGCTGGACGACCACCTGTTTCTACATTGGGTATTTGGCATTTGAATTTCCCGCCTCCTTAATTCTTCAAAGGTTCCCAGTTGTTAAGGCGGTGAGCACATTCATCATAATTTGGGGAATGATTCTTGCCTTGTGTTCAGTTCCGAATTATGCTGGATTTATAACATTAAGAACAATTTTGGGTATGATGGAGCTGTCAATCACTCCTGCATTTACAATCATTACGTCCCAGTGGTACAAGAAGGAGGAACAGTTTTTGAGAACCACCTGGTGGTTCGCCTCCAATGGGTTTGGTACCATCCTTGGCAGCTTGATTGCGTATGGTACATACAAACACCAAGATTCATATTCGTTGCCGGCATGGAAGTTGGTATTTGTTGTGACTGGAGTTTTGACGATTTTCTTGGGGTTTGTAATTATGCTTCATATCCCCGATACGCCAACTGGAGCATGGTTTCTCAAAGAAGAGGAGAAAGTTTTAGTGGTTGAAAGAATTAGGGGCAATCAACAAGGGTTTGGTAATCCAAGGTTCAAGAAGGAGCAATTCATTGAGGCATTGACTGATCATCGTACGTGGTTATTTTTCATCTTTGCCATCGCTAGTTGTATCCCCAATGGAGGTATAACAACATTTAGAACAATATTGTTGAATGAGCAATTTGGCTTTGATACAGCAGAGGCGCTTTTGATGCAAATGCCATCAGGCGGAGTTGAAATTGTCGGATGCATTTTGTTTGCGTGGTTGCTGAAGTTTCTCAAGTCTCGTATGTTAATTGCTATATTTATTGCAGTCGTTGCTATTGTGGGCGAGTGTCTATTGGCGTTTGCACCTACAAAAAAGGGAAAACTTGCAGGTCTTTACGTATACAATGTGTTTCCTCTTTGTTTCATTTGTCTTACATCGCAAATTTCGTCATCCGTTGCTGGTCATACAAAGAAGGTCACTTTCAGTGCCATTTTTTTGATAGGTTACTGTGTGGGGAACTTGGTTGGTCCACAAACATTCTTAGACAGTCAAGCTCCAGTGTACTCTGGAGGTAAAATTGGGATCGTGATTGCTGGTGTTGTTGCTTTAGTGTGTTTGATTTTAATTTACATCTCATATTATGTGGATAACAAGAGACGCGATGCCTTGCCTCCAGTTGATATGAGTAAGATTGAGAATTATGAGTTTGCTGATTTGACCGACAAACAGAATCCAAACTTTAGATATGCTCTTTAGTATAGTTTAATGACATTTGTTTATATATTTGATCTAAGCGTGTGGCTCTTTGCATTGAGTTTTGAAGTCGAGGTTGGGCTCTGCGCTGAAACTATGGCATCTACTACGCTATATTGGCATAGCTGAATTAGAAATCAGTACTTGTTTGTACTGGAGGTTTACATTGTAAAATGGAAGATAATTGCTGTATATAGCGGAGAAGCCCTTGTAACAGGGAGCTGACTTGCTTTCATTTGCAACAGGAAAGGTCAAATGAGCCGCAATCAAAGTCGCTTTAATCAACACAAAAGTCAGAATATAAAATAAAACACGTTTAAAAAAAAAAACTCTCCAATAACAAGAACCCAATGCAAGGTGTAGAGAGTTGTCTGAATTGGCCATCTTATGCTTAGCATTGCAAACACATGTCTAAGTGTTAGAAAGTTGGCAATTAAGTGGGGAGCTTTATTATAAAGCTAAATTTCAAACAACACTAAAATGACTTCGCCAAAGGGATCAATTTTGTTGTCAAGTAAATCTGTTTCAGCTTTGAAGCATTGGAGAATAAAAACATAAGCTCGTTCCGATGCTGGAACAGAGAATGTATTACTTATCGGCACGAAATTCTAAAACCTTAATTATTTGCAACCACAGATAACTGGACTAGCCTTTCAAAAACTTAAAATGACTCGAAACTTTATTTAGTTAGAAAGGTGTGGAGGCCATATGGGTTAGTTCACGAGATACTAAAACCTAAAAAAGCCAGTGGTTACGTGGATGCGGAGAGAAATCTATACTATGATGTTCATATTGCACGAGTCGATATTATTTGTTGGACTGGATCTACCTATTTAATGGTATTGGAATTTCTATATGTTCACGGCAGTTATGGCAATTATTGGGCACAAGGTACACAATGACCGAAAAGAAAGACGCAGAGTCACTCACAGAGCTTGAGCCGGTAGTTTCATTCACCCAAGAAGATTTGGAAGACAAACAGAAACATGTGTTGACAGTTATTGCTTCACCTGGTGGAAAGGAAATTGAGATTACCAACAATGTTGATGTGGCTATGAAATTTGCTATCGAACACAAGGGAGAAGCTAAACCATTGGACTCGGCGACGGACCGAAAGATATTGCGCAAGATTGATATGTATATACTTCCTGTCATGTGTTTGTTGTATTGCTTTCAGTTTATGGACAAGTTGAGTACCAGTTACAGTGCTATATTGGGATTAAGAACCGAGTTACACATGGCAGGGGATATGTTCAGCTGGACTACGACATGTTTCTACATTGGTTACTTGGCATTTGAGTTTCCTGCTTCATTACTACTTCAAAGATTCCCTGTTGCCAAAACTGTGGGTGTATTCATTGTATTGTGGGGAATGATTCTTGCCTTGTGCTCGGTTCCAAAATATCCTGGTTTCATTGTGTTGAGAACAATTATGGGTATGTTGGAGCTGTCGATAACCCCCGCATTTACCATACTCACTTCTCAATGGTACAAGAAAGAAGAACACTTTTCGAGAACCACCTGGTGGTTTGCCTCCAATGGGTTTGGTACCATCCTTGGCAGCTTGATTGCGTATGGTACATACAAACACCAAGATTCATATTCACTACCAGCTTGGAAGTTGGTATTTGTCATTACTGGAGTTTTGACGATTTTCTTGGGGTTTGTAATTATGCTTCATATCCCTGATACGCCAACTGGAGCATGGTTTCTTACGGACGAGGAGAAAGTTTTAGTGGTTGAAAGAATTAGGGGCAATCAACAAGGGTTTGGTAATCCAAGGTTCAAGAAGGAGCAATTCATTGAGGCATTGACTGATCATCGTACGTGGTTATTTTTCATCTTTGCTATAGCAAACAACATTCCCAACGGAGGTATGACAACATTTAGAACAATATTGTTGAATGAACAATTTGGCTTTGATACAGCAGAGGCGCTTTTGATGCAAATGCCATCAGGTGGAGTTGAAATTGTCGGATGTGTTTTGTTTGCGTGGTTGCTGCAGTTTATCAAGTCTCGTATGTTGATGACTATCTTTGTGGCAATGATTACGGTCATGGGGGAGTGCCTATTGGCTTTTGCACCCACCAAGAGAGGCAAACTTGCCGGGCTTTACATATACAATGTTTTCCCGCTTTGTTTCATTTGCCTTACGTCACAAATTTCGTCATCCGTTGCTGGTCATACAAAGAAGGTTACCTTCAATGCCATTTTTTTGATAGGTTATTGTGTGGGGAACTTGGTTGGCCCTCAGATCTTCTTGGACAGTCAGGCTCCAGTGTACTCTGGAGGTAAAATTGGGATCGTAGTTGCAGGAGTTGCCGCTTTAGTGTGTTTGATTTTAGTCTACATCTCATACTATGTGGATAACAAGAGACGCGATGCCTTGCCTCCAGTTGATATGAGCAAGATTGAGAATTATGAGTTTGCTGATTTGACCGACAAACAGAACCCAAACTTTAGATATGCTCTTTAGCCTGAGTTGAACTTGAACAGAGAGTCAGAATTAAAATTGTTGACGCTATTCGTTTATTGTGTAGTCAAGCTCTCAGCAGCACCCACACCTCTACGTAGATGTGACTTTAAGAGACAGTATCTGACAATCTTGATATTCTCGTGTCTTGATTTTTTGTGTAGCTAGAAGTCAAGCTCCAAACAGGTAATACAACGGCTGTTGAAGCTCTATTACGATGTAGGCTTAGACATCACAACAATTTCGAGCTTTCTTAGTCCTTTAAAAATATAGGGGTGTTCAGATATTCCGGCAATTTTCCTAATCGGGTCATTTGTTTCTCGGAAATGAGTAGGTTCCGAGTTCGTCGTATAAAAAAGAATGGAGGAGAACAATTATATGCGAAAGAAAGAAAGACAAAAACAAAAAAGAGTTCCTTTCTATACGACGAGTGATACTATACTTTTCAAACTCGGATAGTGACATCATCATTAGTTTGAAAAAGAGAAAGAACGGGTATAATAGCAGCTTTAGCACAAGTCAGTGGAATCACGCTTCATTAGCCGTACACAGCCTCGAAACTTCTCGTTGGGTTCAGTTTTAGTTCAATTGCGTGCTTTGGTATATAATACACACGCAAGGAGAACAAGCTTTGATCCAATCACACGGATAAGATATCCAAATTCTTTCATTCGGGAAGAATTGGATTAGGGTCATTTTGATACTACAGCAATATTCAACATTTTGCCGGTAAACCATCCTCAGAGTGAGAGACAGTATCAATTAAGTGACACACTGTTCAACATTTTGTCACATTACCCCAATACAAAAGCTACGCGCGTCTTGGTTCAATATGCTACTGAAGGATCTCGAAGATGCCTTACAAGGATATCAAACGAGGAAAGAAGCGCCAGAGAGCACGAGAAGAGTTTCAAGTACTGTAATTGATGACGAATTATGTTCCTTATCAAACGCACTGGCATCGCCACCTGAAGCAGTGAAAAAGAACTCCAAAGCGTCAACGGGAAAGCGTAAATACCATCAAAAATCAAGATCTGGCTGCTCTACTTGTAAGAAACGTCGAGTTAAGTGCGATGAACAGAAACCACTTTGCGGGAATTGTGTTAAATTAAAATTGGAGTGTGGGTATCTTCATATGGATCCAGAAGAGAGCTCACCACCGCCGCCACCACCAAAGAAAGCAAAAAAAATGAAGACAGAGACAGAACTGAAGAAGGCGAAGGCGGTATCTACAGGGAGGAGTTCCATCAAACTGGGTAGTGATGACGTTATTGGAAACAACAACTATTCAGACGAGACTTCAACAAGGAATAATAGCATCGACCAACGATCTTTGGATGGGTTGAACTCTTCAACGACCACACAACAAGCTACACCCTCGTTGACACCTACACCAAACACATCACAACCAAGTTTGGACAGTTCGGTACCACCTGGTAACCCTATGGCAACAATGGGCCAGCTGATGAACAATCCCTTGAGCGCATTGTCTTCAGGACTACTAAGTGCAGGGAATTTGAATAATTTGAATATCGCTCATTTGGTTAATAATTTGGCAGGTATGGGTGGTGTGGCTGGTGATGCAGGAAACGGTTTAAACAATTTGATGAACCTTGGAAACTTGGCAAATCTTTCAAACTTGGCAACGTTGGCACAATTGCCGATTGACTTGAGCAATTTAGCTGGATTATTTGGTGGTGCAGGAGGTGTTGGAGGTGGACTAATTGAACAATTGGCAAGTGCAGCTATAAATGGTAACAGTGGGCTGCCATTGGATGCATTGTTGAATGCACAATCAGGGCAGCAGCAGCAGCAGCAGCAGTTGCGATCACAGGGTCGAGACCAATTGAATATGGGTCAGTCAAACCGACAACAAGCTCAATATCGATCTACTTCGTCCGACGATGGACAATTTGAGAACCAAAAATCCGCTCCCCTTCAACAACAACAGCAACAACAACCACAGCCACAGTCATCACAACAGCCGCAGAATCTCGATGATAGCAGCATTGATGCAAACATCAACTTGGACTCCCAAGGATCAGCATCTTCACCACCATTTAACATCCCTCCACACACATCATCTGAGCCAGTGCCAGACTCTGCTGGAACACTACCGAATATTGCTCCAAATCAAACACTGTCGATTCCATCATCTGTACCTTTGAACAATAAGACTATGGCACAAGCAATGAATTCGAGTACTTTGAATATGTTGGATTTGAAATTGATGTTTCATTACACGTCACAAGTGGCCAACACAATTACTGGTGCTGGTATTTCAGAAACCAATATATGGATCCATGATATTCCCATGTTGGCATTTGAGCATCCATTCTTGATGCATTCGATATTAGCATTCAGTGCTACCCATTTATCACGAACGGAAAAAGGGTTGGACCAATGTGTTACTTGTCATAGAGGTGATGCATTGAGGTTGTTGAGGGAAGCAGTCTTGGACATCAACGCCGACAATACCGATGCACTCGTTGCTAGTGCATTGATTTTGATTATGGACTCATTGGCCAATGCATCATTCCCTTCATCAACGTCGCCCAAATCGCTACCCGCATCAGCATGGATTTTCCATGTAAAAGGTGCAGCAACAATTTTAACTGCTGTTTGGCCGTTAACTGAAGCATCTCGATTTTACAAATTTATAAGCGTTGATTTGGGTGATTTGGGTGATATTATTAATCAAAAGGCAAATTTGAACACAACCAACCCTAGTGGGTCAACTTCAAATGGCAACGGTGAACGATTCTATGCTGATCTTGAGTGTCATGATGCTGATATCGCTGATTTGTTCCCCGTTGAAATTGATTCTCCATATTTGATTACATTGGCTTATTTGAACAAACTACATAAGGAAAGGTATAAGTCTGATTTTATATTACGAATATTTGCATTTCCGGCATTGTTGGATAAACAATTTATGTCATTGTTGATGTCAGGTGATGTGAAATCGATGAGGATTATGAGATCGTATTACAAATTGTTGCGGTCATTTACAATGGAGATGAAGGATAAAGTATGGTTCTTAGAAGGTGTCGCACAAGTGTTGCCTCTGAATGTTGAGGAATATGCTGGTGGTGCTGGTGGTATGCATATGATGATGGATTTCTTGGGTGGTGGACCTGATATCGTGGATGATTATGGTAATGAATTTGATGATAGCGATGGTGACGAAGAGCTTGATGGTGATGTTGCCGGTGGCAACTGTGGTGTCAGGAATGGCTCTGATGCAAATGTGACCACTACTAAACGAACTAAAATGAACTTGACTGAAATGACCAATACTAATAATTTACCGAGTGATATTACAAGAGAGTTGGATATAATGCAAGGAGATCAAGGGTTTATCAACTTGAAATGAGATATGGATGGGAAATGGATACATGTATGTATATAATTTATACGTTAATAGTAATTATTAATGCCAATAAGATGGTATCCAATACGTAGAGTCCGAAGGAGATTTCAACTGAAGTGAGGATGTTCCTTAGCTGGATAATATGCTCAATGGGTTAAACTACAATAGGGGTGGAGGAAATTAAAATATTCACGCGACAAATGCAAAAGAACAAACAAAACATTCTCAGACACGACACTATCAAATTTTGACAGTGGAATGTAATGCAATGGTTTGTTGATATATACACATACACACACACGTGTGTGTGTATGTGTATATATCCCGATAGTTCCATATACAAAGCATCTATTGATACGTAGTTAAAACGTGCATAGTGGAGCTAGTCAAAGTACATAGTATACATTTGTATTAAAGTGTTGTTTTCTTTGCGATCTCAATCTCAATTTCTCCTAACTTTTCTATCATCAACGAAAAACAACCAAAAAAGCACCAACAGAACTGAAAACAAAAACAAAAAATTTTAACCCAAACCATCCACCACAGTCAGTGACAGCCAAAACATTTATACCAATAGCAGACTAAATCCATCTACACTCACTTTCATTACTATATTAGCGTATAGCACACTCATACTCACACAGAATAATCATCGATAAAACATCGTTTGTTATCTTTAGTTCCCACCAGAAATTTTGAAATTTTCTTATCACAAGACAACTTTAGAGAAACACAATCCAACTCAACCTTAGACCTTGTTTAACCATCCAACGTAAACAATACAACAAGCTCATTTTTATCAGATTCCAACTGAAGTAGAACTTAAAGAACAACCAATTTAACAAAGTTTCGTTTTTCCCCACTAATTTTTACAAATAAAAACATTTCAAAAACTCAATCATGCAAACCATAAAATGTGTTGTTGTTGGTGATGGTGCCGTTGGAAAAACCTGTTTATTAATATCATACACTACGAGTAAATTCCCTGCTGATTACGTGCCCACAGTATTTGACAACTATGCAGTAACAGTGATGATTGGAGACGAACCTTTTACATTAGGATTATTTGATACTGCAGGACAAGAAGATTACGATAGATTAAGGCCATTGTCGTATCCATCAACTGATGTGTTTTTGGTTTGTTTTTCAGTAATTGCTCCAGCATCATTTGAAAATGTTAAAGAAAAATGGTTTCCTGAAGTACATCATCATTGTCCTGGTGTTCCTTGTTTGATTGTTGGTACCCAAACTGATTTACGAAATGATGATGTTATATTACAAAGATTGCAAAGACAAAAATTGTCACCAATTACTCCTGAACAAGGTGAAAAGTTGGCTAAAGAGTTGAGAGCTGTGAAGTATGTTGAATGTTCAGCTTTGACGCAAAGAGGCTTAAAGACTGTATTTGATGAAGCTATTGTAGCTGCTTTGGAACCACCAGTTATAAAGAAGTCGAAAAAGTGTGTTGTTTTGTAAAAAAGAAGAAGAAGAAGAAGAGTGGGATTTGCAAATGAAGACGAAAAGCGATTGGACGGCGGAATATGGCGAAAGCGCGCACGGCGAGAGAAGTTATCACTGTAGTTTTGGTGGAGAGCGGAGAAGTACCAAGCATGAAAGAGAAAAAGGGGGCGCTCAACCCTTGGGTCATATGGGACGATGAAAGCCATACAACCATGTGAAGAAAATAATACATGGTGAAGATTCGATAAAAAGAGAATGTATACACACACCCATTGAGTAAGGAGTTATTTTTATAATCATAGATATGATAACCATTGCATCCTCTATCCATTGTAGACACCACACAAGCAGATCATTGATTCTCTAAACGTACGAATTCTGTACCTACCAGTCTAGTACACTCCTTTGCATCCGTGTTGATCCTTTCTTTCCACATTGCAGCAATGCTCTTTATGATTATTACTTTTATTAAAGTAGAATATTAGATATTTCGAAACTAGCTAAACATTAAATTAACAAAAATATAAAAGAATAATGGTAGGACCATTTGTATTAGTATTTGTATTAGTATTATAGGGGGGTTCTGGTTACCAACCAGTATAAGATACAACTTTCATCATGAGATACAAAAAATAGCAGATAACAAAACAAAGCAAACAAAAAAAAAGCAACATAGTAACAAGGCAACAAAAACACAACGCCTGTAAAGAACAACGGGTTAAATCATCAAATCAAAAATAAATAAAATTAATTGCCAGTGTAGTAGTTCGTGGTAATTCTCTTCTTCCTTCCCCCTCAACTCTTTTACACCACTTCCTTTGGTGCTACTTTATTCTTCAACCAGTCTTTAAATGTGAAAAGCACCATTACCCAACTCATAAACAAGGTAATGAATCCCAATGATACATTCAAAGTAAACATTGCCGTTAATCCGTAATACTCAAATGAAGAAACCACTGGGTCAGTAGACTCCATAAAGATTAAACCACCGCACAATAAGCTAAATGCAACAATCAATTCAGTCACTGGGCGACTCGGTTTGGATAAATCCTTGGGTGTACTAGCATGCAACAAGAAAAGAACATATGTCAAGAATCTGAATGCACATCCAAGAACAAACAAGTTACCCCATTGCACATGAATATCAGTGGATAACTCTGAAGCTTGTTGATGTTTAGACATGAGAATACCTGTCCAGTAAATGGTAACAATTGGGAAGGGGTTGGGACTGTAACCGGGACTGGCTTTAACAATATCTTTGGCATCAATCAATGCAGCAGCAGTTTCCTCTTCATTTTCCGAATGGCCATTTGAAGACAATTTTCTCAAGTTTGCCACTGCTTGTTCATAACGCCAATCTTGCAATTTCAATTCAGTGATTACACCACATAATCCACATCCGATGAAAATGAATGCAATTGACACATGTTGCAAATCCTTGGGTGACCATTCTCCACCGGCATTTGACAAGTGTTCCAAAAAGATGTTGGTTGATCCATAAAACAAGATCAATGAGCTTTCAATCATTTCCATTGTCCAAAGCCCTCTGTTTTGGAATCTAGTCCAGAAGTTCTGAACATTGCCCTTTTTGGCACTCACAAACTTATGATTCCAAGCCCATCCTTTATTGGTGAATGCACCACTATATCTAGCCAATGTAAGTATACCATACGCGAAAAACACTCCACCTTTGATGAAATGGGCCAACAAGTTAAATACTTTTTTACCTTCACCATATACACAAAATGTAGCAACTGCAGTTGGAACCAAAACCATGTAGTAAAAGAAATGACCCCAATTCAATAAATTGAAAATGACATTAAAAAAGTGGTGAAATTTGGTTTCAGCCACCCATGTTTTAAACTTTTGTAATCTAGTTTGTGGTGTAAATACTTTTTCATAGTTTAATGGAGCCGACTCAACCAGCAGTTGTTCATCAACATCCTCATCAGAGTCTGAGCATCCAATAGGTGGCGAGTGAAGGGTAAAATATGAGCCTCCCCCATTGGCATTGGTTGATGTAGCACCGGTTGAAATTGAATTGGTGACCGATTTTGGAGTTATACTAGTAATCAATGCAAATACAAAGTGTAAAATAGTAGTGACAAACAAGATACCAATCATTGAGTTGTAAGCATTACCCGGGTATAAATTTGGTATTGAATTGATGAAAATAGTATAATTTAACATTGACAACACCATAGCGACAGAATGTACCAACAAAGTAGTAAGATATGTCTTTGTTAATCCCAAATTATTGAAAATTAAAGCAATTGGATAAATAATGAAAATGCAAACTAAACCCAATACAATGTGAATATACAAGGCAGGACGGTGTTTTGAAGGTACAGTGAAATAAGTTGTTGTGTTGTAATTTTCCCAATAAAGACGTTCCTCTGGTAACAAGTGAGTTTCCAAGATAGGAACACCATGTTGATGTTTCATGACGTGAGGAGTTGGCTGTAGTGAAGCAGTAGTTGCTGTCAACTCGACACTTGCTGAAGAAGAATCTCCTTTGAGAGATGGGGATGATGATACAACATTACCGTGTTCATCTTCATGGCCAGCCCTTTCTTTATCCCCATGCATGTCCATTTCTGCCATGGATGCAGTGGTAGTCAATAGCAATAGTAGTATAGAAAGTGCTCTCATTTTGGGGTAGTCTTGTTGCAAAAACTTCTGGCTAACTTTTTCTTTGGTTAGCTGGAGTCGAAATGGGGTATAAGTAGGTTTTCAATCAGTAGTAGTTGTGATTGCTTAATCCAAAATTGATTGAAAGTATGCAGTTGTAGATGATTTCAGCTTAGAATACGATGATGCGCAAATTATTCCTTTCTGTGATGAGTCGAAAAGCTATCACTTTGGGATCTATATGTCTTGACTAAAGTGTACTGTTGTAAACTTCAAGAGTCAATTGTTTAGTATGATGTAAAAGATCTCCTTTAGAGCCAAGAAGAAGTTTTGAATAAAAGAATGGGGAATTCCCTATGGGTTTTATATCCTACACATCTCCTTCATAGTCATACAAATTACTAATTAGCTTCATTCACTTTCGGCAATAAACCATAAAACTCTAAACTACCACAATAATACAATAATACAATAACGACATTAATTAAATACCATGCATCATTTACACAAATACAAATACAAATACAAATACAACACACTATACATATGATGCTACAAAGGGTAGTACAGTACACATTTTATAGTTGCCGATTAGGTAAACAACAAACAAAAATGAGGTACTTCTTGTACTCTACTTCTTACTTTACCAAGAATAGTATGTACAAACGCACATGTGAACAATAAGTACATTGTCAGTATGTATGTTAGTATGTAAGTACGTATGTACGTATGTACGTACGTACTCTTTTCTTCAAAAAGAGCGAATCTATTTGCGCAATTTTAATTCAACAATAACGATGATGACCCTTTTAGCAACTTTCATTCTCACCACCACACCAGCAAATGCAATCAACCAAAGAGCCTATAGAGAAAAGAGAAGCTCGAGAGCATGGACTTCGGCAGCACAACTTCTGAGCAAATTTGACAAGATACGAAATATTTCACCCAAGAAGTTAATGGAAATTTAAAAACTACTTAAAGGATGCAACGGGATTCCATGCATCAAGGACTAAAAACAACAACAACAAAAATAAAAAGAATCTCTTTCTTTGACAGTCTCTATTTCGATGAGAAGCTTATGCAGAGCATAGCCCTCGAGAAAAGGGGGCTCTTATACTGTATAGGAAGGAGGGGGGGGTCACTCACTATTGAAATATACTTTATTCCAGTCTATCCATATGCTGTTACTACTACTATCTTTAATTGTATCACACGGAGTAAAACCTCGATTGCTTAATTTGCTGTATATCAGCCTCAACACAAAAGGGGGACCAAATTGAAGATAGCATTACTCATTTCCAACTCCTAACCATTGGGTGTTGCTACTTGACGATTCTCTCAACAATAGAAAATCGACCAGAGATTTCTTTACAATTTCCATATATGGATCCTCTTCGATTTTTAACGCCGAGGAGCTATAGCATACAAATCACAAAAGCAAAATAAGAATTTTCTTGCATACGTTTGTGTAATATTAACTTCATCCGAGTTTTGCGGAAATAAAAATTACCTATATGGATATATTTCATTGATCCCAATATGGTATAATACATATGAACATATGTACACCGTCTAATCACGTTACAGTTCTTACACCAACACCTACGTCATACGATAAAAAAAAAGGGTGTGAGGCAACATCAATTGAAACGTTATTCTTTTCACCCTGATCTAAACCCGTTCTTCTAGCTGCAACCAGCTCTTACTTTTGTTATCGTATGATTCTGTAATCTCCTAGTTGCATTTTGTATATCGAGAATCAAGATGTGCAAATAAATATTTCGTATACTATTTGATTACCAAGAAATGGTTGTTTTCGTTTCTTTCCTCTCCTACCATTAACTTTTTGCAGTTCCGACAACTGTCTATTCCTTGGCTCAGGTTTATCCGCGACTGACACGTCCGCACACACTGACGACACACAATGGGGTTGCCAACAGCAGACCAAAAATAGAACAACCCTATTGTCATCAACAATCATTGTTTTCCGAGTTTCATCAACTCTGTGACAACCACTCGTATTGTCCTGCTTCAACTTCTGTCTGGGCCATTCTAATTATAGTTAGTTAACTAAAAATAGCTCGTAGCAAGGAATAAGAGCCCAACTGTGCATTCCTTTTGCCTCTGAGCTGCCTATATTGAAGAGAGTTTCTAAGAAATATATACTCAATGTGGGTGAATAGATTACGCAGCTTAACGGTAGACATCAACCCCACATTCTTTCGCCCCACACCTTGTAAAATGTAGTCCGAATAAGGGGATGGGGAAGGAAAGGAGGAGAAACCTATAAACGTGGTGAAGCTTCTTGTACGCAATGTATCTCAATCTTTTGGCTAATTGTGAATCGACCCAGTGCACACCGGTGCTAATACTTCGAAAAGGATTGACAAGAGCTTAATTTTTTCATTGTCACTGCTAAAGGTACAAAAGCCTAAAAGAGTAAGTTTTATTCCAAGTAACTCCGCGTAAGGTCTAGAATCACGAAGAAGCTCACACAACACATACACACACACACACATACACACACACACACTCTCTCTCTCTCTCTCTCTCTCTCTCTCTCTCTCTTGCCTGAAAGCCCACTGAATTGAAGCAACTGGGATAAGAGCAAAAGAATTCAATAGTTCTTAGACTTGTATCGAAAGTCCGTTTACTTTTGACTTTCACTAATATATCTACAATATGTAATTGCTTCGATAAAGACCGGCAGAAATGGAACTCCTTTTACATCGAGAGACCTTCTTTTTCCCTCTTCCTCTCCTTCAGACTTCTTCAATTCTCTCGTACTTTCATATACTAACTTTGCTGGATTCCTTGCGGCTATGAAAAAACTAAAGCAGGATTTGACAAATCACCTGTTTTCAATTTCAAATGTAGTTAGTATACACAATGCAAAGACTAAGTTTTGCAATAGATGAAGCTAGAGCCATTCCAAATACCAACCCTTTTCCACTAAATATGGTTATCAAAAGAATGGACAGTCCTTGTTGCAGCTACGGAACTCCGCTCGGATTTGGAGAATCGGCCAAAAAGAAAAATTAAGAATCGTTTTCTTTTTGTGTCAATGCACATGACTCTTTTATTTTAATTTCAGAGTACAAAACCATTACGATTATATAATCGGATCCTTTCCATATACCGCATCCGATTTTGAGATATCTTTTGTAGTCTCATGAGGAAGAGATTATTTGCATATTGGAATATGTCGTGTACCACAAGTAATTAATGCGGCTATACTTGAAGAGTGGTTACTGTTGTAGTCGTAACAAATACTAGAGACCGGCTAATTTACTTATAAGTACAATAACTCAGTTGGAAGTTCTGACTAATCGGTTGTACGATTTGCAAGCGAGTATCTCTTAGGTGCACTCTATTGTTTACGACTCCAACTCTTAGAGTCTTCTTACAATGTTTATTTGATTTTGCAAAAACTACACAACTCGCCACATACAAGCACCACATACAAGCACCACATACACAAACACCCTCTCCCTCTCTCTTCTGCTACGCTTCCTTCCCCCCACTCACAACGCATTTTTCCTAGTCAAATAATCAAATCTCGAATAAGTATATCCAATAAATGGCAAATCCTCCTTGGGATTCTTTCTACCCCCATTCTTGGCATCCAACTCCCTTTGCTCCATAGCTTTAGTCAAGATTGGATTATCAGGAACATTTTCCAACTCATCAGTAGGGAAAAATCTCGTATCAGTAATTGATCTCAATTTGGGGATGAAAGGAGCATCAACTTTACGTATTGTATCCCAATCAACCCCGCGGAAAAATGGATGTTGTTTGATTTCGTCAGCACCACCATATCTACCCAATCTTTGCTCTGCTGATGTACATAATCGCTTAATTAAATCTTCAGCCTCGGGTGAAAGATGAACATCATCGGGTATTTGCAACGTTTCTTGCCAATTAATAATTTTACGATATGTTTCATGAGGGGTCTCAGCACAGAATGGAGGCCACCCAACAAGACATTCAAACATAATGGCACCAAGTGACCACCAATCACATTCTTGTCCATACCCTTGATGTACAAATATTTCCGGAGCAATATAATCTGGGGTACCAACTGTTGAATATGCCATTAATCTTCGTGATTTTCTCCACGTTTGCATCTGTTGTCGATTCGACATGGTTAAATGGATAGCATCAACCATCATTGAGTTACGTCCATTGTTGTTACTAGTTAGCTGATTTGCTGGTAATGGAGGTTGACTAGGGTTCTCTTCTAGTAACTTTTTATAGTAATTAGAATCATGGGTCTTGTGGAATCCTGTTGATAATCCAAAATCACTTAGTTTAATATGTCCACGTCTATCAATCAAAATGTTGTCGGGTTTAATATCACGATGAATGAAACCAAGTTTGTGAATAGCCTCTAATGCCAATACACATTCTGCCATGTAAAACCTAGTAATGTCCTCAGTAAAAATTTGCCATCTAATCAACATTGTCATCAAATCACCACCTGGCAAGTATTCCATAATCAAATAAAGATACTGCGAATCTTGAAAAGAGTAAAATAATGACACCACCCATGGTGAATCACTGTTTGCCAACACATCTCTCTCTGCACGCACATGTGCCAATTGATCCTTCTTGTACATTTCTGATTTCAACAATGTCTTCATAGCATAAATGTGTCCATTATCTTTCTTTTGTACTAGTCTCACCTCACCAAAAGCCCCTTTACCAATCACTTTAATGGTTTCGAAATCTTCCAAGCACAACTTGGTTCTCCTTAAACGAAGAAATTGTTTTTCCTTTTTGCTATAGTTTTGAATATGACGATTCTTACGTTCTTCTGACACCCCAGCACCTTCTTCAATTAATTTTTGTTCCATTTGCATTCTTCTTTGGTTTCTTTCAATAGCATGATTGACTGCCATGGTGTAGAAATTTTCCATCTTTAATTTCACAGCTTTACCACGATCTTGTATCTCACTTGGTAAAAGATGTGGCTGTCTATTGAAATGTACATAGTGTGTGGATGTATTACTTGGTGGGTTGATGTTGCGAGCGCCAGTTGAAGGTGGGACTAAATTGGTGGCCTGTTGCTGTTGTTGTTGCTGCTGCAGCTGTTGTTGCTGTTGTTGAGGTGCCCTTACTGGCGAATGCAGACCCTGTGGGGCAACTTGTGCTGGAGCTTGTGCCGATTGTGCAATAGATTGACCATGTTGCGACCAAGCAGCTGATGTGACTGGAGTTTCTTGTGGCGAATCCAACTCATGTAAATTAGTCAAATTCAGAGTGGATGAGTGATTTCCACTACTAATTTCCGACAAGTTTGTATTTGACATGTTATTCAACTGGGTAAAATTGTTCACCGGTGGTTGGTAATTCATGGAATCTATGGAGCTGAATTGAACTCCTTTGCCATTATAACCAGCATGGGACGAATATCCTTGGTCAAACTTGTCCAGTTGGGTAAACCGCGGCGACGACATTGTGTTCGTTTGTAGAGGCAAAGTATTCAAAAGCCCCTGTTGTTGATAGTTCTGTTGTTGCTGTTGTTCTTGACCTCTGACTGGTGAATGATTACCCAATTGGGCTGGAACCTCCTCAATCAACTCAGTTGTGTCTTCATCCATAAAACTATCATCGCCTTGATTCATGTGTGCAACGACATTCAGCAGCTGATAGCCTTGAGAGGAGTATTGGTTGGCATATTGCTGCTGGTTATGCTGTTGCTGTTGCTGTAGCTGTTGTTGTTGTTGCTGTAGTTGTTGTTGTTGTTGCTGCTGTAAATGTTGTAGATAAAGTTGTTGTTTCTCTTCATCCGTTAATTGATCAAAGTTCATAGCGAGTAGTGTCAATATTGGTAGTTGTATGTAGCTACAATAGACGTTGAATCCTTGCTTTTTGGATGAGCGTGTTTATCCTGAATTTATCGTAATTACACGTCCAGTTCGATTTTAAATTTTGTTGTGGTTACTGGTCCGCACGTTCAGAATGAGATCAAAATTGTTGGAAAATCTCGTCTCACTTGAAATTAGATTTTTTTTTTTCCTCTTTTACGTTCTCTCCCTCTCCACTGCCCTTTCGCTCTCTCTCCGTCTCTCTCTCTCGCCTTGACGTAAAACGTTCTCAAATTTCGACCCACAACCGCAGTTCCAGGTCCAATGAAAAGGAATGAGCACCAACTCTCGTCGCACGTGCAAACTTCTCACCACACAAATTTATAGAGAAACTATAATGGACATCAAACTCTAAACAAATTCCTCCCCCATTCTTCTACAACGCCAAGTTCAAAACTATCGTCTCAATATTTTACATTAGTTTATTGAAATATGTAACAACACGTGAAATAAAACAAAACCAGCACAGTAGCCTTCTCAGAATTGCAAAGCTTGACCCTTTTGTTTCTTGTCACCACCCAATTCGAAATGCTTACATCTCTTCAAAGCCAATTGAGCCTTGGTCTTACAGACAACACATTCCAATCTCAAAACAACCTTCTTGGTGGTCTTGGCCTTTTTGTGGAAAACTGGCTTGGTTTGACCACCATAACCCTTTTGTTTTCTGTCATATCTTCTCTTACCTTGAGCAAACAATGAAGCTTTACCAGCTTTGTATTGGGTGACCTTGTGCTGGGTGTGTTTACGACATTCTCTACCTTTACAGTAGGTTCTTCTGGTTTTTGGAACGTTCACTAGAGTCAAATAGTTAGTATCAACTGACCTGAGTTTGTGGTTCATCATTGAATGGTCCAAAGTTGACGCATCGCCTTCTCTTTTGCGTCCACTCAAGTAAGTGGTGGTAAGATCAAATAGTTCGTGCTAGGTATTTCTCGTAGTGTGTCCTTCTTGTCGCCATTGAAATTTTTCACTCCTGAAAAGTGTTCCCCTTAATTTTACCCATCGGTTGATGACAACTCAAGGGTGCTGCGTTATTTTGGTACAACATATTGACCCTTTGATTGATGAACTCCATATACGCTTGTTGAACATACCCATCTTGTCTTGTTTCGATAAAGGTTTTATGAAAGCTTTCAAAAAGTAACTGAGGATTTTTCTTACAATTAGATTTTCTTTTTGTTTTGTTGAAAAGCGCACTAACATTTCTGAGCTTGTCACGTGAAACTCTCCTAATGGATAGTAGGTTGCAGAGAATCGCACTGAAAAATTCTTTTTAGGGCTACTGCCCTGAACACTTAAATCAAGGTTTTAGTCTGTTCCAACAATACACCTAAAGGCCTATGAAAAAGCTCACGTCTCCACTCTTCGGGACTCGGCTTAACTCATGGAGACAAGTGCTTGCGCTCAAGATTGAACCGTAAGCGATTCGTCATTACTAGAAAGCTGGCCACACATAAAACACCTCTATGTGCACACTTTTCACCTCAGTATCAACTATGTAGTAGTCACAGGCGTTTCCAAAACGAATGAATCTGGCTGGTCATCCTATCAGGTTGCAAAAGAGAAACAAGAAAGTCGTATTATAACAAAAAGAACCGAATCTAACGATACTATAAAAATAATGAAAACGTTTGGGTGCAGATCTAACTAACGGTAACAGTAGTGTAGTACGTTGATGTCAGTGTCACAGTCTCTTCAGCGTCAGTTTCACCATCGTAGTAATAGTCGTAATTGACATAACAAACTCCATCAGAAGTAATTGTAGTCACGTTTTCAATTATCCAGGAATCGGTACTTGTGGGGATATCAGTAGTGGTAATTGTTGGGCCATTGGTCAAAGAGTCTGTTGTGTCTGCCAACAACTGGGAGCTCGATGGCTGAACTAATTGAGTTGATGATGAAGAGCCTGGAGCAGCAGCAGTTTGTTGAGCTGACGATGACGCAGCCTGTCCTGGGGATGATGAAGATGTTGTGCTGTCGGCAGTATTTTGTTGAGCGATTGTAGTAGAAGATGTTGAAGTGAAACTAGACATTGTATCTTGCGTTTGTTTCGTTTGTTGCTGCTGCTGTTGTTGCTCAGGGGTCGATGACTGAATTTCATTTTCACTGATGGGTGAAACATCAGCTGCAGATATGGGGGTGGTGGCAACAGTGGTGTATGTATGTGGCGTACCCCAAATGGTGGATGTAACAGTAGCAGTATAATGGGTGACAGTCGTGGTACTTGCACTGACGATGTAATTGGTATATGTTGAAGTTGGTGCATAAACAACATGGGTATTGGTATGCATGTCTTGTACAGTAGTTTGAAGCGTCACAACAACAACATCATCATCACCATCATCACCATCATCACCATCATCTCTTTTTGCTGGAGCGGCAATTACTTGTGTCAATAAAGAAAAGGATGCAAAACTCGCAAGAAACTTGTTGAATTTCATATTAAACTGGGTATGGGTATTTGTATTAAGGAAGGACTGTAGTTGGGATTAACTAATGATAGACTAAAGTTGGAATTAAGTGGTGTAGACACAGCAAAAAAAGAATGAGCGACTGGGGTATATGAAAGTTTCTTTAACTAACAAGTGAGTTAATTTTGTTTGAGGGGGGGGGGGTATTAAAATTATGAGTGTGGTTTAAATGAAAATCTCCTTCGTGGGTTTTCTCAACATTTTTGAAACTTTATATATCATTTCCTACGAGCAACCTCCAAGAAAAAAAAAAGCTCCCCATCCAACTCTTTGTCTTTCTTGACGATTTCAGGTTACCCAGTTGTGCATGCAGGGTGCTGGCTCATTCACCTTTTGAACTCAGGTATATACTACCAGTAATAATTTAATCGTGGTGATAATGACACAAAAGTGAAACATCGCTGGGTGCGAAATCCAAATTAGGAAATCGAACAAAGAAAAAAAATAGTGTATACTGAGTGCAACGTCTTGTACAGACCAACCCATTATTTGAATACACGTCATACATGTTAGGTGTGTTATTGGTTTGAGCCAGAGTGGCTCTTTCTTATCAGCCGTTTTGAGTGGGTATTTCTTTTTAACTGAAAATCTTTCAGTAGTAAGAAAAACATGTGATTATCTTAGTTACACTTTCCTATTGTATCATTAACCTTGCAATCTTACACCTTTGAAGAGAGTAGTTGGGAGAAATTGTTTGTTGATGAGATTGCATGGATAGGAGAATTGTAGTAACTCTTAAACATTTGTTCATTTTTGCTACAAAATTTGGATAAAAAATTGAAGATAAATGTGAACCGACGTGGGAGCTGCCTTAACACAATAAACAACAAGCTATTTACGTAATTGACTCATTTCAGATATTCATCCAGCCTTTTCTGTAAGCCCGTGGTTCACTTTGTTGAACTCATAAAAATTTTAAATCACAAAAGGAAACCTGTGAGAGAAATTCAACCATTTTTCCGATGTATCCACAGTTTTCGTTGAAACACAGACGAAGCAATGAACATCAACTGGAGAAACTGATTAACTTACCACACTTTTCATGTCCCTCAAATCATTAATTCACCCCGTGGACCACTTAGCACCATAAAGGGGTTATCATTGGTGGTGTGCTCAAGGCGAAAATGAATCCATCAGACACATCAAGAAACCTACACAATTACCCAAACATCGACAACTCCAATGTCAATTCGAGGTGGGAACAACAGCAATCGGATGTGCACGATGAAGACAACTCGATGCAGCTACCGTTGTTTCATATGACGCCACTAGACAATCCAGAAGGTTTGTTGCCAACGTTGGAGTCAACTGAGCCCATATTGGTGCCCACCAATTTATCCACTTCGTCCATGCCTGGACACAATCTTGAAGCTCAAATACAACCTACTCCACAATTGCCGAGCCAACTGTATCAAGAAGTGGTTCCGGTAAGTAACGATTCGAGGTCTTTTCAGGTGCCCACTTCTTCCCAACTTAACCAACACTTAGCAATCTCCGATCTCAACAAGCGTCGACGTTCTTCCACTCATTCTTCTTCAAAGCCTAAACATACAAGGCGGAACAGGCCTGGCAAAAGATTTGGTGCCAAGAAGAGATGCTGGGTATGGTCTTGGTTCAAACAGGATGACAAAAATCCTAATATTGCTGTTTGCAACACTTGCTTGCGAGCCATTGTCAGGGTGCCATCCGATAAAGGTTCGCCAAAAAAGTTGATTGAGCATTTAAAAACTCATGGTATTACTGCAGGAAGGAGAACTGACGAGAGGAACGCAAGTAGAAACCGCTACCAACAACACACTGAGAATATACTGGCTAGACAGAGCAGTTTAGAACGGAATGAGCAATTTGGCCAAAGACAAGCACCTCCAATCAGGCACAACATGCCTCACAACGAGCTGCAAGGATATCAAATGCCCCAGGCTCAAACTTACCCATTTCAAATCAAATTATTTCATCACCATTTGTTGTCGTTTCTAATAGAAAACAGACTACCGATAAACATCATCCGATCTCGCCCTTTTCATCAGGTTGTGCATGATTTGAAGCCAGATGCAATTAGCGACTTACTGGAGTTGTTGTACTTATATGACTCCATTTTACACGTAAGCCGGTACGGACCAAACACTCGACTATTTCCGAGTGCTGAAGAGGATGCAACAATAGCATTATTAGCAAATACTCTACAAAGACAAACGTAAATAATGACCAATATATATACACCGTTTTATTTAGATAGAGAGCTCTTGCATAGTGTCCATCATTCCATCCAAGCTTTGCTGGGTTTGCCCATGTAATCCAAAGCTTCCAACAATTGGAGTCTCTCCTCTGCCATATAGTACATTCGGTGTCGACGTGTGCTGCATTGATGATGACCCTTCAATGGGTGGGGGCAAAACATTCACGGTTTGGTCTTGGTACGTGGGAGGACTCAATGCTCGTACATCCTCATATGTTGGTGGAACCTCGTCATCCCATGCAATTCCAAGGCCCGGCCTCTCGGTTATAGGAAGTTTGAATTGCATTCTCAAAACACGTGCAGCACCGGTTGGCACACCCGACAATTGAGTATTAGTAGATCCCGTATTTGATGTAGCGGGAGCCAAGTTGGGGGACGATGTATTGTTCGGAGTCGAGCTCGATGACGGCCTCCTGTGTGGGTTAACAGAATCCTTGCTGCTTGTTGGATAAAAATTATTAGGAGATTTACGATCAACGTGATGAACCAACTCCTCAGCAACAACAACTTCAACAATCAATGTATGAGTAACAAATACCCCCAAAGTCGGATCATCAATGTCACACGATATATTGGCCCCGTTTTTGAAATCATTATCAGCTTGAACCTTGTCGTCAGTGCTAACTTTAGTGATGTGGTTATTTGAACCCGTTGATAGCCTATTTGCGCTTATGTTTGCAACCATCTCGATACGTCCTTTACCTGAAAAATCCGATTTCCAACCGGATTTGAATTCACCATAGTTTATAGTCCTTGTCTCTTCCATATAAAGATGCTTTTCGGAATCGACGGGGCGATGCGACTGCTGAGGTGTAAGTGCACTACCAGCAGTGCTCTCTATTGGACCGGCTGGCGGTGGCGCTGTTGCTGGTGCTGGCGGTGGCGCTGTTGCTGGTGCTGGCGGTGGCGCTGTTGCTGGTGCTGGCGGTGGTGCTGTTGTTACTGATGCATCTCCAAAGTCTTCAAGAAAACTCTGGTGCACATTTAAAGGCGCTGTTTGCACTGTCAATTCAATATCATGTGTTCCATCATCAATAGGAACACTGTCGGGTATTCCATCTTCCAACAACACTGGCCCATTTGCAAGTTGCGTTGATGGACTATTGATAAAAGCAACATTAGTTTGCACGGTGCTGTGATGCAAACCTGCAGGCTTTTCAATCTTTAGTGGTGATTTTTTGTACAGTTTTTCAAGCGATTCAAGCTTACCTTCATGTTTTTCGCAAACGTGAGCTTTAACCTTGATGTTTTCTTCTATCCTCCATGCCAATTTTCTCATTCTCCACCTCCTATTTTGTGATGCACTAACCAAGTTATCCAACTTGAGCTCCACAGGGAAAGTTGACTTGGGGTATACAACATTTGGGAGCACAGCATTTGCAGTAACTTCTGTAGGTGGAAAGACTCGTAAAGAATTGCGGTCTGGTCCTCTTAAAGTCAGACGTGATATGTTTATTGGTAATATAAGCTTTTTGTTTTGCAGTGCATCAGTAGCGATGACTTCAACAATCAAGTCATACTTGATATATGAGCGTGAGCTTGATGACCCCAACTTTGACGTTGGAGGAAGGGATCCTGGTAATAAATGGGAAAATGGATATGCATGGTTACCTGGTACGAACTTGAAACGCGATGTCAAAACGTCCCAACGAGCCAACTCTTCTGTCTTGTGGGTACAATCAACACAGTTTGCTATTGTGGAAGAGTTTGGTATCACAAAAGGTTTCGTGTATCTCATGCTTTGCTTTAGTGTGAGTGTAACCCGTTCCAATTCTATCTCTTTTGTTGTTATTAGCCTTAATAAACCGGATATTATTGAACCAGTGGACTCTGAAGGACTACCGTATAATATTATAGGTGGAGATTCAAGTGCTATCGATAAAGTATATGCAGGCGTGGAATTTGACAGGGTCTGTAACTTTGTAGAACGACTTGCATTTGCTCTCGTTGAAGTTGTTGAAGATGATGACGACGCAGTTGAATTCATTGGTGATAATGCTGACGAAGATTTGCGCGAGGATGTGGGTGTCAACTTTCGCGAATGCGAATTGGACAGCGGCAGCGGCAGCAGCTGCAGCAGGTGGCGATCTGATCCGTTGTTGAACACCTTTGCCAATAAAGTCATTGTCGGTGTGTTACTTGTGATCTGGGAGGGGTGATTTCAATGCAATAGGAAAGTCCGGTTAGAAGACTGGAGACTAACGTGATCCAGGAGTGTCGACGTTTCACAGATTGTAGCAAATATTGGAGGTTTCACTGGCTATCGATGGCTGAACAAATGATGGGTTGTCGTTAATAACGTGGAGTAATGGGTTCTGGTTCTGTTGGGATAAACAATCAGGTTATTATTCTGATTCCCAACAATAAAGCGCAATTGAAAAAAAAACAAAATCCTAAAATAAAAATGTAAATGTCTTCTGTATCCACCACAGTTTGTATGAATCATCACCCACGCAACCTGAAGACTTAAACAATAAAGATGGGTAGCCAGCTCGACTCTATAGCAATCCGCTTGGAAGCTTTCGGGCGGTTTTAAAGAACCGGTTTCAAAAAGATTGGGATTGGATAAAAGTTGTGGCTTGCATAAATTAATGCGTAAATATCTAGAAAATGGGTCTTCGACAGTTACAGTCAACACATAGCTCTTTTCTCTATAGAACCATTCACTTGGAATGTAATTGACCAAAAGATTTATCCATTTATCTCGGAGACTTCTGTCTCTTGGACAAAGGCACACTAAGAGCTCTGATTGCCACATTTCAGAACGAAATCATCGCTACCATATTATTCGCGCCCAATTTTTTTTGGATAGCAGACAAAAGAAATGCCCTTGCAGCTCAGTTCAATCCTAAAGCACAACTGATTCATGAGTAAACAATACTTGGTGATAGATAATGGCGCTTATAATATTAAGGCTGGATTTAGTTGTGAAAATGTGTCAAAACCTTTAAAAGTTTCAAATGCAATAACGCGAACCAAAGATGGAGTTATTCATATTGGAAACCAATTCAGGACCCATTCAAAAGACTATACGGGTATACAAATAAAGCGACCATTCGAACAAGGTAATCTCACATCTTGGGAAACTGAGAAACCGATTTGGGATTACACTTTGGACCAATTGCTGAAAACGGAACTTGATCCATCAAATGTACATCTAACCTTGACTGAGACACCATTCCAATTGCCACAATTGTCCTCGAACACAGATCAAATCGTATTTGAGGAGTATGAGTTTGGTGAATACTATCGTTGTATCCCAGCATCGCTTGTACCGTTTGGCGTTGACGAATCAATTATCAGTTCAGATTTCACTCTTGTCATTGACTCGGGTTTTAATGCAACGTGGATAGTTCCAGTCATCTATAAAAAGGTACACTGGGAGGGAGTACGAAAGTTTCCAATTGGAGGTAATCTACTCAATGGATTGTTACGTGAAGTGATTTCATTCAGACATTATGACATGTCAGATGATCTGATATTGATAAATACCATAAAGGAATCCACCTGTTTTCTTGCTAAAGACTTCAACAACGTGTTGAGAAATAAGTCTCGGTACGAGTGTGAGTTTGTATTACCTGATTTCAAAACAACAACCACCGGTTTCGTAAAGACTAAAGAGACCAAAGTTCCCGCTGATACACAATTGTTGACGTTGTACGATGAGAGATTTACCATTCCCGAATCCTTTTATCACCCTGAAATTGTGTTTGACACCAACGTAGCCACTGCATCGAACTCTATGATACAATCGACTCCGATTAAAAACTTGACTGATTTAGTAGTGGCTAGCATTATGTCGTGCCCAGAAATTACGAGACCGCTACTTCTGGCAAACGTATGCCTTTCAGGGGGAACAACTAACCTACCCAATTTTAAGACACGGTTAGAAACAGAGTTGAGGAAGGAACTACCTCAAAAGTGGCATGTGCGTGTGCATGATGATTATCAAAGAGTTTCAAGAGACGAAATACCGTGGTTTGGTGGCATCAATTTAACAAAGGATGATGTTCTCGATAAGATTAGCGTATCCAAAAAAGAGTATTTCGAGCATGGAAGTAATTGGTGTCAAAAGCAGTTTGGGTTCAAAAATGTATAGTTTTCAAAATGGCGAAATACTTCATTGTATTTTATCAATTTACAACTTCTATCAAATGATTATAAGTGAGATATCTGCTAAACATCAACCATCCGTACCTAAACCAAACCATTTGACTAAAGTGCCCATATCCCATGGCCGCATAACTACATGCAAGCATGTTCAAATCTGAATAAATTTTGATCGAAGTCGAGCTATTCTTTGGTTCGAAGAAGCTAACGGTTATGTTGACAGGTACAAACCTTTGTATGAGTTTAGATATATAATCAACGAATAATTCAATGTTTGTTAAAAATGTGAAACTGTACTTTTCCATAAATCCTAAACTTTTCAATTTGTAAAATTTTATATTACCCTTGGGTGAGTTTTTGCAAAACGCGTTTGCACCATGGTATAATGATATATGGTTGGGATGGTTGGAAACACCAAACTCATCGAATGTGATTAGCACTTTTCTATTCTTGCTCTTCAAATTGATGTATTGTTTTAATGATTCATGGATATCCTCTATAGGCCACGACTCGTTCATTCCATCTTTATAGCTCAACACCGTAACATCCTCCTGATTTATACCTAATATGCTGGCCGACTTGTACAATTCTTTGACACGAATGGGCCCTATTGATGGATCAACCGCATCTCCTTTGGAGAAGCACAATAGTTTTACAGTGTTGTTGTATTTTGGTTTGGACAATTCTAATATAGTTGGAGAAAAAAACATCACTTCGTCATCAGGATGCCCAATTACGTAGTATACGATAGATTCTGTTATTGATGATATAGATTTGGGAAATATGATTGAATTTTGTGGATATTGATCACTTAGGAATCGATTCGACTTGACTTGGGTATTTGTGTAGTTTATAAACACTTGAGGGATTGATGTGGTTAGTATTACCCACGTTAGAAATGTTGCTAGGAGAAACCGCATAAGTAGGATAGGCAGTTGGAGCAACATTTTGGCTCAATTGAGTGTGGAGGTTGAATATAGGAAAGTCCGTGTTGAGTTTGGTGTTGGGTAATTGTTTTGAGTATAAAAAGCTACCAAAAATCCACCAGCCAAATGCTTTTTCCTCTAAATAGGTGTCTATTCAAGAGTCTAACACTACAGCTATATTCACAAGAACAAGTTATTATCTCTTTCTAGCAAACGTATATCCTGTATTCCACACCAAATCAACTCTTGTCTTTTCCAAATCCCACCCTGTTGCATCCAACAATTCTTTGACAAAGTCTTTTCTTATCAAATCCGCATTTCCAGTTTCTTCCTTGTAGTTGTGAAATCCGCTGTATGTCTCAAAATATGACAAGTACTGATACAAGCTAATGTTCAATTTTTTCAAGTCCAAGTCCTTAGAATCATCAGCGTGAGAATTCTTCACAGATGTTTTGTAAGTATTTATCGTGACATCGGTGAATAAATCCTCCAGGATATGTGAATTCACCTCTTTGCAAAAGTTTTTCAAGATACCACGCCCGGGCTGTTCCCAATGTGGACCAATCAAGTTTGGATCGTTATACGCATACTTTAAGTAGATCTCATACGCCTTGTCTAAAATCTCAGTTTTATCGCCATTAGAAGGGCCAGAAAAATCAACAATCATTGGGTCAATGTAGTAAAAGTAAGCCAAAGTTCCGCCAGATTTCAATAGTTTGGCAGTACTTTGGAAAAAGCTATCGTAGTCTTTAAACCAATGAATACATTGTGCAGCAGTTATTAGATCCACAGACCCGGCTTCAACGTTATTTCGGTCATTGACAAAAGATTCCGCAGACCCCACTTTGAACTCTATTCTGGAGTCATTAGGATCTTTGCCCATTTCTTTCAACCTTTCTGCGATTAATGAATTGGCAGTTTCAATCATTGATGGAGATAAATCCAACCCAATCACATGACGAGCAAAGTTCAATAGAGGATACGTCGCAACACCTGTACCGCATCCCAAGTCAATTACCTTTGCCACAGGTAAGTCATGCTGATGTTGCCCTTTTTGAACGTACAGACTCAAGATATTGTAAAAAGAAGGTGGATAATGTGGACGGAACGAATTGTAGTTCAATGTCTTGAAGTTTGATTTTGAAAAAGTAGCCATTGATGGGTATTTTATGCTTCACTTTGTCTGGTATATGAGGCAAGTAGGTTCGGTTGCGAGCGCTCTTGGTGCTTTTAGAACAAAAGAGCTGATCATTACTTTTGTGGGGTGCCAATGTTTTGTAAGGCACCAACTTTTCGCTCTTTTTTCTTACATTCACGGACTTTAGAATCGGAGTTTAAATCTTTTTGTGCGGAATTCTAGACAGAATGTGCGAGTACAGAACGTTGTGTACTTTCATACCTCTCTATTCCATTATTCCAATACTGTTTAAGATAATTACTTCTTTAGGTCTATACTGTTAAGATATGTCGCAGTTGCAAATGCATTTAGTAGAGATTGGTTGCTAGGACGTAGGAACTGCTTCAATTCACTGAAAAGAGATGTACTTATTTTAGTTTTAGAAACAGTTCAGAAGTTAATGAGAGTGTAAAAGGAATAAACCAGGAAGAGTATTTGCTACTACTCCTCACCACTGGTATGAGAGGTGAATGTGCTGGTGTAAACAGTCGCTTTCTGTTTTATGGATGAAATTTCAAAATTCAAAACAAAAAAGTTGCATCGAAACGCGTAGATCACCTGAAAACCATAGGTTCCAAAGATATGTTGTGTTGATAGAAATTAACATGCACAATGTCGAGGACGAAATTTCGGATTCTGAAGACGACATTACAACCTTTTTAGAACCGGTCTACCGAAGACATGTTGAAAATAGACCGGGATCCGAAATTCAAGAGCCAACTCTGTTCGATGACATGCATTCAACCGCCAATGAAGAGAAGCAGGAGATGGCCGATAGTGAAGAGGTCTACTTCCACATGACACAAATGCAATCGATACATGAAAGTGTAACTGAATTGGAGAAGGAATGTGCCTTGCAAAAGAAATCGATGCTATCTTTGAGGTCATTACGATGTGACTCGGTTGAGGAGATAGAGAAATACCAAGTTTCCGAGCCACCCAAGAAGAGGAGCAAAAGAAGAATGACAACAGAAAGCAAAACAAGAAAGAAAAACCAGTCAATGAGTGACCATGTTCGGGAGGTTTTTGAGTCAGATAGGAGCAAATACTTTATAGCAAAACAGAGTCGTATCGATGAGTTCTGTGCCAGATCGCAAAACACCAGTATGTCAAGAACTTTACAAAATCGACGACTTGAGCAACCACGTGAGAAACAACTACTATCATCTTCCGATTGGCTCCACGTCTTACGCAGTCTCAAGATTAATTTCCCGAATGTACAATGCGTATCAGGGGCTCCTCCCAATGGAAGTTTTACCTACAGGACACTTTGGGATGAGGCATGTGCTAATGTTACATTAAACCACGAAGAACTAAAAATTTTGTATAATAAATAATGGAGGTTGCTCCGCTATTGTGGAGGGTAATTGTGATAGTTATCAAACATCCGATGGCTGTCTTGATCAACATTACCAGTGTTGGATAACTCCAAGAAAGGGCCAAATCCCAATGATCCATCCGTAACAAACTCATTGATATGCATGGCATCATGAACATTGATGCTGAATGGATCAAATTTTAAAAGCGATTCGAGGTCATCAAGATTGCCATATAGGTCAGCGTCTTGACTTGCTAGCGAGTTGGTAGTTCCTTCAGCACCCAACTTGGACTTTAAGTCACCGTATGCAAACTCAACGTTTTGTTGCTGTTGCTGTTGCTGCTTCAAACTAGATACAATCGGAGTGCAAGGCTTTCCTGTAGCAAACTTGGGCTCTCTCTCGACAGCAGTCTTTTGAATGGGAATTGAAAAAGTTTTCTTCTTTAAGTTGTCCGTGAATTTATTCAAACTGATTCCAAGAATACTCATAATTGAAAGCTCCAACAATTTCACAGAATTTTTATTCAAGCAATCTGGGGTATCATATTTTGCATCATTTGCAATTCTAGCAACCGAGTCTAGCAAAAGTTGTCTCAGATTATTATATAACGGACCTCCTTTTATATAATCTAAAGTCCCCTTGGCAACCAACATTGTAAGCAAAGCTTGCTCTCTTGCCATATTTATCGGGATTGGCAACACTGATGAGCTATAAGACGTCGCTGATGACTTCATGACCTGCAAAATCTGACTTGATGATTGTTGTATCAAACTCATAGTGGATACAACGGTGGTGGTATCACCTTCTCCTTTATTCAATTGATCCTTTTGCGACAAACCAACGTTATGATGGTTACCATACTTGGAAATGATTGGCAAGTATATCAAAATCTTAGCATGATAATACAAATATATGAGCGTCAATTGTTGTGTATTGCAATTTTCCCATACGCTTCCTTGGTAATACTTTGTTTCAATGTTCGACAATGACAACCCACTAACATCAACATCAAATTTCAAATCAGCTGGTAATTCTCGACGCCAGCAATCCAACAATCTGTCCTTCTGCAATGCTTTTCTATAGGCATCTTCGCCATTGTCAAATCGCGAATAGATTGAATCCAAAATGCTAGCCAAAACTTTACAGAACAACATAACACTCAATGCCATTTTGGAAACTTTACCGACAATGGTTAATTCAGTGTTATTGACAATCAATATATTGACATTATCTTCCTCCTCCTCACTATTTTCCAGATCGCCTTCATTCCCTTTACCAGAAAATGGCATCGCACATTCGATTTCATAATCTTTCATCAATCGTGGGACACCCAAATTCAAGGAGCAATAAGTATCAAGACAATAAATACACCAGAACAAGATACGTCTCTCACCTTGCATGAAGTTTTGTGAATTTAAACTGTTTTTCCCATTCACGTCCAAGCCTAAAATAGCTGCAGGACATCTGTGCAACCTCAACTGTTGTGCCATGCTAATCACTCTACCCCTCAAGTCATAACACGTAGAAATATCCCCGATCGCCAAACAGTATTGTAGTGCTAAGGACAAAATTTGTAACGATTGTATAGAACAATGCTTTGTAATCAAACAATTGGGCTTGACGAATTCATGTATTAACATGTCATAATGCTTCATCAAGAATATATAGCTTTGAGCAGTGTCTTGCTTGAGATAAACGTTCTTACTTGAAAGAAGTCCCATACCTAACAACAACACCATCAAAGCACCGGCTTTCTCGATCAGTTCAGAAAATTCCCCATCTTCTTCTACTGAAAATGAACCAGCTTCGACAATTTGCATGACTTTCACGTACGTCTTTAGAAACGTAGATTTATTTAAAATTGGCATGACGTTACCCCATCGCTGAAAATATACAGTCATCAACTGGTCGATATCCAACCGGGAAACGGGGAAATGAACTATATCACGCAAAAACGTGATCGCCTCTTCGTGGTTTAATTTCATAACATCATCACGGCTCATCAAAAGGCTAAATAAACGATCATGAATCTCCTGTCCAAATGGCGACTTATGTGCCGTATTATCCTTCAACGTCGCCAAAGTATTCGCAGTCAAGATGGCTGGCTTTGAATCATAGCCATATGCCTGACAGATTCTTGCCAAGAGTGTTGGTACACAGAGTGTTTCTTCAGTGCTTCTCGGTAAAGATGTGGCAACTAGTGAAGTCAACATTCTTTGCTTACTTGTCTCACTCTGTATCTCTTGTTGTTGTTGTTGTTGTTGTTGTTGTTGTTGTTGTTGTTGCTCATACAACTTTTTTTTATGCATCTGAGCTATTGCAGTGGCTGCAGCAAACGCCCCAGGTGCTGGAGTTGCATCACGGTTCGTTGAGTTTGATGCAAAATGCAGTCTCCCTCGTGAAACTGGTGTGGTTGGCACTTCATCTAAACTTAACAAACTATTCGTATCAAAATCTTCATCGTCACTGAGCTTGACAGAACTCGCCACGGAAATCGGCGGTGCTTCGTACAATGACCCCGCAACTGACACTGGCCGTTCATGAACTGCATGAGCATGGTCACAGCCACAAGAGCAGCCATTGGCATCGTGCAGGTGAAGATGCATTCCATTCTCTTGCTCTAGCAAGTTTAAATTTGAAGTGGTGATCTTGTGGTCGTGATTCAATCCGGTTCCGGACTTGGATTCATTCAAACCTGAATTGTTCTTAGCACCTCCTAACAACTCAAGTTGTTCATCTCGCATGTCTAAAATTCCAACCAACTTTTTGATTTCTGCTTCAAGATGTCTGACTCTTTCTTCTAATGTTTCTGTGTATCCCTTGGGAAATGCTTTTCTGCTCAATTTGTCAGAAACTATACATTTCAACCCCACAGCCGAACAAGTTGAGCAGGGATCCCCACCATCACATTTAGTCTTTTTAGCTCGACATCGATCACAAGCTTGTGCTACACGGTCCGATCGCGATCCAGGAGCCCTGATTGTTTTTAGATTGGTTCGTTCACCCTTTTTAGATGGCTTTTGTTTTTTGTCTGCTAGATCTCCACCATTAGGTGATATAGAAGGTAACTCTAACACTTGTTGTGGTTGATGATATTCTTGCTTCACGAATGGTGTCGACATTTTGTTGGCGTGGATATAGGCAACCTAGTCAGTGGAGTCACAACCGAATGCTGCCGTGGGTATGTGTATGTATGTGTGTATGAGGTGACTCCAGGGTTCATAAACCAAATATCTTATGACTAACTTTTGTGGGAAAAAGACAACGCGCCTGTTCCGGGGGAAAAATTAACGGAGGAAAGGAAAAAAAAAAGGGTAAAGTTTTTCCACATTCACATTGGATTGCAAAACAATAACTACAATAGCTCTAGCGAAGTCAAATTTATTTGATTGTGGGGGTTTTGGGTAATAAGCAGTTGGGCTGACAACCAAAAAAAAGAATTAAAGTAACTCCCAGCTCCTTTCACGTGGGCTGAGGGGGATGAAGAGCTGAAAAGTGGAACATTTCTACCAACACTATGCCTAGCAAAAGGGTACTTTCACCAAGTTTCAATGCATTGACTAAAAAAAAAAAGCTTGTGGGCGCCCCTGGTGAGCCGAACGTCACAAAAATAACTGGTTCAACCAGAGTAAAAGGTGATGAAATGACAAGAAAAGAGAGTGCTTACCGTGCCATTGATGATTCGGTCCCAGAAATTGACAATAACGATCATTCTGCACGAGTCAAGGTTGAATTTGAATACGAACTCCCGCCAAACGTCTTTCCCAAAGCTGATCCAGAGGATATTAATGCGGGTCCCCCGGCGTGGACAACAATCTATAATGAGATTGTCGAAATGAGATCCAAATTTCATGCTCCCGTGGATGGTCAAGGCTGCGAAAGCATGCCCAATACAATAACTCCTGGCTTGAAACTAAGTGATCCAAAAAGATACCGATTTCAATTATTGATCTCACTTATGCTAAGCTCGCAGACAAAAGACGAGGTAAATTACGACGCGATGGTCAATTTGAATACTGGACTCGGAAACAAACATGCTCAAGGGTTCTGTCTTGAAGCGATGTCGCAACTATCACCACCAGAAATCGATTCCTATATATGCAAAGTTGGATTCCATAATCGAAAAGCTCAATACATTGCAAAGACGTGTCAAATTTTGAAATCTGAGTTTGATGGAGATATACCCAAAACTATTGAAGAAATTGTTAAACTACCTGGAGTCGGTCCCAAAATGGGATACCTCCTATTACAAGCGGGTTGGGGCATCAATAGTGGAATAGGAGTTGATGTGCACTTACATCGACTAGCATTGCTATGGGGCTGGGTGTCAAAAAAGGCAACAACTCCTGAGAAATGTCGATTGGAGTTGGAGAGCTGGATTCCAAAAAAGTACTGGAGTGATATAAATCCCTTAATCGTTGGGTTTGGACAGGTTGTCTGTGTGCCAAGGGCCAGTAATTGTGACATTTGTGCTCTTGGAAGAAAAGGACTTTGTTCGGCAGCGAACAAGAACTTATTACGTGGACCTGTCACAGAGGAGCGAAAAGCAAAGTTGATGAAACAAAGAGCCGATTTAACAACTCTAATTAACCAATATTTATAAATAAAAACGTATTCTAAAATCTAGTCTATATATCCACCTTCTTTTGAAAGCGAGTAGAATATACTACCTTTATTTTTGAGCAAATTCTCTGGCGTGTCGAATTCAGCAACTTTTCCTTGATCCAATACCAAAATTTTGTCACTGTCCATGATGGTGTCGATTCTGTGAGCAATGGTTATAATCGTTTTGTCTTTGAATTGTTCTCTAATGGTTTCCTGAATAATCTTGTCGGTTTGGAAGTCAACAGCAGCAGTGGCTTCATCCAAAACCAAAATCTTGCTCGTCTCATTCAATAAAGCCCTCGCCAAACACAAGAGTTGCTTCTGTCCTGCAGACAAATTAGAACCACCTTCTTCAATATCAGCATCCAAGCCACGTTTTTTGGGTAACTCATCTGGATTCTTGCTAGCTTCCTTCTCCGCTTCAGTCGGATCTGATTCCATTTTTTCAACATGCTCTTTCAAATGAGCCAACGCCAAGGCATTCCACAATTTCTCATCGGTGTATTCTCCGAATGGATCCAAATTTTCTCTAACTGATGCTCTAAATGTATGAGCTTCTTGTGGAATGATAGTTAAATGATGTCTGAGATCGTATAATCCAATCTCGCCAATGTTGATTCCATCAATCTCAATATAACCGCCAGTAGCCTCGATAATTCTAAACAACGCTAATGTCAACGATGATTTGCCAGCGCCTGTTCTTCCAACAATACCAACTTTCTCCTTCGAAGCGATCGTCAATTCAATTTCACGCAACACTGGATCCAAATGGGCTCTGTATGTAGTGCTATACTTTTTGAAGTTAACGACACCATGTGCTGGCCATGACTTATCTGGTCTCTTTCCCTCCACAATCATAGGCGCTTCAGAAGGCAAGTCACAGTATTCGATTATTCTCTCTATAGCAACACCACCAGATTGCATATCAGCCCAATATCTAACCACTGAATTTAAAATATAAGTAATTGTCAATGAATACGTCATAACAAATCCGAGAATGCTTGGTAATATTGGATGTTTGCCCCCTAAAGTCACAACTGCCAACAATGCTGTACAAAACATAATACTAGATGAGATGGATTGCAATCTCATTGATAGCCATCTATTACAGTTCTGAATAACAACCCCAATTAATGCTTTGTCGTCGATAAACTTTTTGCTTTTGTGAACAAATCTATCACGCTGAAGAAAAGCTTTAATTGTTTCAACACCGTTGATGGACTCTTGAATAGTGGCTAAAACAGGAGACTTTGCAACGGATTCCAATCTCTTCAATTCTCTCGCGGTTGGAATAAACCTGACTCTGAAATAATTGTACACAAACAACAAACCAGCGATGATAAAAAACATTGCTGGAAGGGAATAAAAAATCACTCCAAAAGTGACCAATCCATTAAGCACAGTGGTGATAAAACCGATCAACATCCAAGGGAAGTGCATGTCAATTTTACCAATATCTTCAGTAAATCTGTTCAAAATTCTACCTACCGGAGTTGTGTCGAAAAAGGACATTGGCGAATGCAAAACTGAGTTAGCCATCTTGTTGTGAAAATAGGCTGCTCCTTTAACAATACAGTAACCCCAAATAACTAGCGCAGTCAAGTATGTCAACAATCCAGAGAGGACACCAAATGCTGCATAAAGACCCAAGAAAAACGTAGGATTGACGGTTCTATTCTCCTCTTTGTTTAGTCCTGACCAGTAACTCAATAAGTACTTTTCACCAACAGTGATCAACAAAGTGAGCAATGTACCGACAACATACACCGAAAAGTATTTATAATCACAGGCGACAATGTATTGCTTGAAAATTTCCCAAGGGACGGTACCTTTTCTGGATTCTTCTTCAGTGTGACCAGTCTTCCTAAAAACTCCATCCTGCTCTTCTTCATCTTTATCATACGAATGATTGTAAGACACCAAGGAAGCACGTCGTAACACTGCTTGTTGAACAATCCCTCTATTCTCCTCGCCCACGTAATCAACAATCTCATCCACTAAATCCTCCGTTTGAAGTGAATCCTTGGCATCTACTGCCGGGGACCCATCTCCACGTTCCTCCTGTACGGGTTCCGAATCACTGTCTTCATCTTTACCTTCTTTTTTTCTTCCATACTCTTTGATCAATAGTGCCAACTCACCTTTGCTTTTCATGACGGTATCGTAATTACCATGCTCAACTATGGAGCCATTCGCTAAAAGATAAATATCGTTTGCTTCGTGTAACACCGGCACTGAGTTTGTTGCCAAAATCTTGGTACGATTTCCAATGATACCGGTGTCCGACAAAACCTGTTTGATCAATGCCTTACCGACATGAGCATCAACCGCAGATAAGACATCATCTAAAAGATAGATATCTGCTCTTGCATACACAGCCCTTGCTAATGAAATACGAGCTTTTTGACCACCACTCAATGATATACCTTTTTCCCCAACGACTGTTTGATCCCCATCTGGCAAGTTTTTGAAATCGGATACTAATTCACATGCAAGTATAGTTTTCCTGTAAAATTCAGAATCGTACTTGTGGCCAAACAATATGTTTTCCTTCACTGTCCCGTTCAAGATCCAGGGGTTCTGAGGGCAATAAGCAATCGATCCAAAAGTTTCAACACTTGGAGATAGAGTCGTGCTGGCATCAGAAAATTTAGGGATCTGAATGGGAATGTCTCCTAAAATAGCCTTTATCAAGGAGGACTTCCCACTACCAACTTTTCCTACAACGCATGTAAGTTTTCCCTTTTTAGCAACGAAGTTGATATCCTTCAAGGCGGTGTTTGACGCGGTGGTTTCTTGCATTTCACTTTCTTCATCCCTGTACCCCTGGGTATCATCAGAGTTTGCATTCCATATGAAAGTAGCATTCTTGACGACAACTGAGTCTTCAGTATTGTCTTTTGCATTCAAATCTCTTTTCACGTGTCCCTGTTGATCATCGGCCAATTCATCCAAACAAAGTAATTCACCAATACGTGACAATGATGTCGAGACTTCAATAACATCGACAATGAAATTCGGAATCAACAACATCGGCTCCGACAATAAATCAAACAATGCCAATGCTGGGAAAACAATATCCGGAGTCAATGGAACTTTGTAAAAATACGAATATGCCGCATAAGTGGCACAACTGATAAAGAATGGAATGCATGACCATAGGAATTGTGCCAAAGCGCTAACTACACCAATCTTTTTGATGTTTGTCAATTCTCTGTCGTTTCTAACATGACCCAAACGCTTCAACATTGGTTTCTCCCAAGAATAAAATTTGATACTTTTTGCCGAATTCAAAATTTCTGTTATCAAACTAGTTCTGTCATCCTTGTCTTTCATTAATTGGATATAATTCTTTGACATTGAAGCATTAACGTATGTAGCCAAAGGTGTAACAACCGCTGCTGTGAAAACACCAGCCCAAGTGGCATTACGGAACAACTGGTACAAGGAGAACAAACAAACGATCAATTTCAATGGGGCTGAGATAAAGTCACCAAGACTCCAACAAAACCAAAAAATAATGTCAATGTCCATAGTAATGTGATTGATGATATCCCCCGTAGGTTTGTTTTTGCGTGATTGCGGAGACAACCGCAACGCTTTCTCATAAATGATTGTTGTCAAAGAGGACTGAATACCACATCCAATGTTAAACTGTAAATTAAATGCTTGGTTGAATGTGATGAAATTGGCACAGGAAATTGAAAACATCAAGGATGCCCAAAAATACCCAATGATAATTGGTGGTTTGTCATGATTATAAAAATACGCAGTAAAAAACTGAATAAACTTTCTCAAAACAAAAGGTTGCGCAAATACCAAAGCAGTTTGAATGAACATAAGTGTAAAATTCTTGTAAAATTCGGTTGCAAAAGCACGAAATATAGCAGTGAATAAATTTGGTTTGTTCTCGACTTTCTTTCTTTTGATGATGGCCCAAATCTTTGTTACCCAGCTAGGTTTTCCTTTCGCTTTCTCCTTTTGTATTTCCCAATATTTCATGACCCTTGGTTTTGTTTCATCGCACGAAAGGTCGCCTAGTATATCAGGCAAATCCTCAAACTTAACATCATCTGTTTTATATATTTGATCAATCAAAGGCTGTAAATAGTAAAACGTGATGTAGGAGAACAAATTCACCTTGTCCATAAATGGTAAGTGGGAATCTTCAAAGCCCGGTTTGTAGTATCCAACTTCCAAAATAAATATAGACAAACTGTTGACCACCAACAAGACTTCCAAAATGAATGAGGGACCATTCAAACCAAACACTTTATGTTTTGAAACCGAATCTTGTACAAACGCGGCAAATAAATAAGCAGTGTTGACAATCCAAAACAATAATGACTCGGCAACAGGAATTGGTGACGTTCTGAACTCGACGATAACAACACCAAGAGCTATTAAAGTGGTTGTAATTAACGCATAGAATACCTGCAATCTTGTCAAACTCCAAAGTAGGACTAAAATCACACTCTGAGCGAATATTGATAGTACTTTAAAGGTTTGAAGTGCGGGTCTTGATGCATTTATGAAGGATTGTTTTCTCAATTTGATCAACAATTTCAATAGCCTTAAGGCCAAAAAGACCCCGAAAAACAACGACACGATCAGGCCAATAAAATAGACAAACTCTGGGTTCAAAGCATTATTTCGCTTGGAAAATAATGGCTGGGGTATAGTGAAATTGTGGGTGTTTGACTGTAAGTGGATGGGGCCCTGTTTGCTATATTTCAAGAAATTGAAATTATGTAATAGTGATGACGGGCTGAATAGCGATAATTCAGATGAGGAGTAGTTCAATAACAACTCTGTGTTTGGATCCAATAATAATTCGTTCATTATCAGGTTTATTGTTGAAAAGATATGAAACTTTGAAATGGAATGGTCAGGAAGGAAAACATGCAACCTTTTATTAGTTATTGCAAAGCATTAATTTTAAATTTTTTGATAGACATTGTTTTTGTGTAAAATTTCATTCACCACAAGAGCCAGGCGATGCATTGACTATTGCGTATGAGTAATGTTTTCATGGATGTAAACAAAAACAAAGCTACGCGGTTAAAACACGCAACTGTTAGTTTGTGACACTTGGCTATATCCTCTCGTTTTAGATTTAAAGCCTATCTTACTATGTCAAAACCCATAAACATACTCGGAATTTTGATTGAATGCAATAACCATCGTTCTCTTAGACTATTCATGGCGTAACAGAGTCTGTCGCATTACTTGTCCCCCAACTGAACAGGGCCCACAAACACTTTGTCCCTTCAGAGACACTTTCCGAAACGATTACTTTAGTTTTGATGCCACACCTCAGCGCGGAACAAATGAATGTGTTCTTTTGTGTCATGAGAATTCTGACTCAGATTTCAAAGGGCATGCATTAACCCGGTAATACTTCCAGATTCGGATGAATTTGCGCCCACTTGTATTTAGTCATTGCCCGAACGTTACAAACGATTTTGCTTTAATTATCAATATCAACCTAATATCGTTCTACCACTAATATTTGTGCCAATGTCGTGCTCAAAGTATGTGGAGTTGTGTAGTGGATATGAGCATGTTGTGGAGTTTCCTATGCGTTAGTTAAATGCTGTGGCGTGACATTTGTGTGGAATGCAGTGTTACAGGAAAGAGTAGATACATTTTGGCGACAACCGTCAAAAAAAGTGGATTTGAAAATAAGAAAAGATATCTACACAAGACAGGAAGGTGAACGATGTCTAATCAACAATCGCGATATTAATGAACAGTCAATTCAAATGTACCCACCTTGTTTTGAAAGTGAGTAGAAAATACTGTTTTCATCCTTCAACAAAGTTTGTGGTGCATCAAATTCAGCAACTTTTCCTTGATCCAATACCAAAATTTTGTCACTGTCCATGATGGTGTCGATTCTGTGAGCAATGGTTATAATCGTTTTGTCTTTGAATTGTTCTCTAATGGTTTCCTGAATAATCTTGTCGGTTTGGAAGTCAACAGCAGCAGTGGCTTCATCCAAAACCAAAATCTTGCTCGTCTCATTCAATAAAGCCCTCACCAAACACAAGAGTTGCTTCTGTCCTGCGGACAAATTTGAGCCTCCATTGTCGATTCGTGCATCCAAGCCACGTTTTTTGGGTAACTCATCTGGATTCTTACTCTGGCTCTTTTCTTCTTCGGTAGGATCTGATTCCATTTTTTCAACATGCTCTTTCAAATGAGCCAACGCCAAGGCATTCCACAATTTCTCATCGGTGTATTCTCCAAATGGATCCAAATTTTCTCTAACTGATGCTCTAAATGTATGAGCATCTTGTGGAATGATAGTTAAATGATGTCTGAGATCGTATAATCCAATCTCGCCAATGTTGATCCCATCAATCTCAATATAACCGCCAGTAGCCTCGATAATTCTAAACAACGCTAATGTCAACGATGATTTGCCAGCGCCTGTTCTTCCAACAATACCAACTTTCTGACGAGATTCGACTGTAAAAACAATATTCTTCAATACTGGATCCAAATTCTCTCTATACCTAGTGCTGTAGTTGTTAAACTTTACAACACCGTGTGCAGGCCAATTGTCATCTGGTCTCTTATCCTCAACTATCAACGGTGCTTCCGAAGGCAAATCGCAATACTCGATGATTCTTTCTAATGCCACACCACTAGCTTGAACTGAGCTCCACGAATTTATCAAACTTGTCAAGATCGAAGGGACCGTGATGACGTACGTCAATACAAAACCAACCATTGCCGGGACCAAAGGATTGCTTCCAGTTAAAGAGTACACTGACAACACAGATGCCGCTAATAAGGTTGCGGCAGAGATTGACTGCAATCTCATCGATAACCATCGCATGATATCAACATTTACTATATTGACTAAGGTTCGTTCATCAATAAACTTCTTGCACTTGTGAATGAACCTATCCTTTTGGTGAAAAGCTGTTATAGTTTCAACCCCATTAAGCGATTCCTGAATGACTGACAATACGGGTGAGTTGACGACAGATTGCAAACGCTTTAACTCTCTGGAGGTCGGGATGAACCTTGCCCTATAGTAATTGTAAATAACCCCCAAAACTATAATAACAACAATCATTCGAGGCAAGGACGCAATCACAACAGTGAATGTAATAAGTGCTTGAACAATCAACTGAAGGAAACTAATCAACGTAAACGGTAGCATCATATCTAAGTTGGAAATATCCTGCGTGAATCTGTTCAAAATCCTTCCCACTGGAGTAGTATCATAAAAAGACATTGGCGAACGTAAAATTGATTTCGCCATCGCATCATGGAAATATCCAGCGGCACGGATGATACAGAATGACCAGAAAATAAATAAACCAAAGTAAGTTAGTGCGCCTCCCAAAGCGCCTACCCCAAAGTATAATCCCAAATAAAATCCTGGCCTAACCGTGGAATTTTGTTCCTTGTTGATATTAGACCAATCCTTCAAGATGTAAGTCTCCACAACATTGAGAAGCATAACTCCAATAGTTGACAATAGAAATATCGAAAAGTAACCAACATTACATTCTTTGATGTACCGAGCAAACGTCTTCAATGGAACAGCACCTTTTTCTTTGTCTTCTTCCTGTACTTCGGTTTTCCGATTCTTCGCATTATCATAATGCTCTTCGTCATCATCCTCAGCATACACGTGGTCGAAGGAGACAATACTCGCGCGACGCAAAGCATCATGGGTAAGTTCCTCTTCAATAGTTTCACGAGTAGTTTTAGCAATTTCCGCATCTTCAAGCTCCTTCAAGTGCTTTTCCTGTTGCTCTTTATCAGGAGTGTTCTCCCTCAGGTTATTCGATGTTTGTCTGCCAAATTCGTTGATCAAATTTGCCAAATCACCATTCCTCCCCATAACATCGTCGTAGTTGCCATGTTCTATTACAGCGCCACCAGACAAGAGATATATATCGTTCGCTTCATGTAAAACAGGAACCGAGTTGGTTGCCAAAATCTTGGTGCGGTTTCCAATAATACCATCACTGGCAAGAACCTGCTTGATCAATGCCTTACCGACATGAGCATCAACCGCAGATAAGACATCATCTAAAAGGTAAATATCTGCTCTCGCATACACAGCCCTTGCTAATGAAATACGAGCTTTTTGACCACCACTCAATGATATCCCTTTTTCTCCCACATTAGTTTTGTCACCGTCGGGTAACGTCTTGAAATCGGATACTAATTCACATGCAAGTATAGTTTTCCTGTAAAATTCAGAATCGTACTTGTGGCCAAACAATATGTTTTCCTTCACTGTTCCATTCAAAATCCATGGTGATTGCGGGCAGTAAGCAACAGATCCGTATACTTCAACTTTTGGTTGCGAGTCGGTCTCATGGTCTTCATAGTTACCTCCTCGAATAGGAATGTCCCCAAGAATGGCGTTTAGTAAAGTGGACTTTCCACTCCCAACTTTCCCCACAACACAAGTCAATTTTCCCCTCTTTGCGAGAAAGTTGATATCTTTTAATGCCACATTGTTCGAGCTCTGTCCTTCAACCTCGTCTTCTTCATCTTTATAGGATTGGTCTGGCTCATTAACGTTCCACACAAAATTGGCCTTTTCAATCTTAACCGAGTACTCACCCTTTGGCACAAGCTCTCTTTTGATTTTCCCATTCTGATCTGGACTAATCTCCTCCAACGTCAATAACTCGGTCAATCTGCCTAACGACACTTTTGTTTCCACCACGCTCACCACCAAATTAGGTATGATCATCATTGGTTCCATCAACAATCCAAACAAACTCAATGCCGGAAACACAATTTCAGGAGTCAAGGGGATACTGTACAACCATGTGAATGCCGCAAAACAGGCGCAACTAATAATAAATGGGACACACGTCCATAAAAATTGAGCAAGAGCAATAATGACCCCAATCAGTTTGAGGTTTCGCAACTCTCTATTGTTTCGAACATGGCTTAACCTTTCCAACATTGGTTTTTCCCACGAATACAACTTGATGCTTTTGGCCAGATTGATTATTTCAGTAATCAAAGTCGTCCTATCGTCCTTATCCTTCATCATTTGTTTGTAGCTTGTAATCACAGTTGCATTCACCAATGTAACTAGTGGTACCGACAACAATGCGGCACCCAAACCAAAGAATGACGCAGCTTTAAAGAATTTGTATAATGCAACGAGGCACACAATGAGCTTGATTGGTGCAGCAGCATAATCTCCTAACATCAAAAACAATCCATTGATTTGACCAATAGCAACTGAAATGTTGTTGATTATATCACCAGTAGGTTTTTTTTGTCTTGATGCAGGTGAAAAACTCAATGCCTTTTGGAAAACCAAGGTCGTAAGAGAGCTTCTTATGCTGAATGCCAACTTGTTCTGCAATATGGTCATCTGATTGTAAGTGACAAAATTTCCAACGGCAATCAAAAACATGACTACAGCCCAGTAATAGCCAATGATAATGGGTGGCCTGTCCTCTTCAGCGCTGAAAAGATACAAATCAAAGAATCCTAGAAACTTCATCAACGCAAATGGTTGTGAAAATTGCAAAACCGTCTCAACGAATGCTAGCAAAAGATTGGTTAGCAAGTAGCCATAGTATGCTTTGAATACTGCTCCAAATAACACTGGCGTATTTACATATTTCTCTCTTCTTACCCGAGACCAAAGTTTGCTAAGAAAATGAGACTTGAGTGTTTGCTCATAGTCCCAATAATGCTTCAAGATAGGGGCCACCTCATCACACGTGAGATTATCTGACACTTCTGGAAGATCTGTAAGCTTGATGTCATCTGTCAGGTACACTTTGTCAATTACCGGTTGTATAAAGCTAAACGAAAGCAGTGAGAAAATGGAAGCTTTATTATCATGGTCTTGAACTTCAAATCCTGGTGTATAAAACCCAGCTTCAAGAATCAATATCAAAATGGATGTAATAAGCGTCGCACTTTCCAAAGCAAAGCTCGTGGAATCGGTCAGGAGGATATGGTGCTTTGAAAAAGTATCCTGAACCACCACGACAATTTGAAATAATGTCTTGACGAACCAAAAAAAGAGTAGTGAAGCGACTGCTACTGTTGACTTTTTATATTCGACTAAATGCAACACTGCGGCAAGTGATGTGGCCACTATGTCGTAAATTATTTCATCATTCCCAACAAGGTAAAAGAGGCCAAGCAACAAAACGAGTTGAGTAACGACCAAAACAACTCGCACAAATTGCGACCACGAAATTCCAACTGATGATCTGTTTGAAAATGTTCTGGAACGAAAAAGTTGTATAATTTGGAATGCAATAAAGATTGAAAAGATCATAGACAAACTCTTTCCGATGTAGTTCAAGAATAGGGGATTCAAAGCATTTCCACGTGGCGAATACAATGGTGATAAAAATACCAAGCTGGTAACATCGTATTCATTGATGATTGCCTTTGAAGCAAATGAGTCTCTGAAATGATGAAGTAAAGCGAAGGGGCTAAAAAAAGAAAATTCAAAACTGGAGACTTGACCTTTTGAGCCAGAACCACCCCACAGCAAATTCATTCTTGGCGGTAGTCTTGGTGCAGAGTACGTTGTTATGTGTAATTGTATAAGTGTTTGAGTAGCTATATTGGTGAACGACTTCAAGGGAAGAAATTGAAGACTTATATAAAAAGCCACATCTTTTTAAATTCTTTTTTTTTTTCGCCCTTCGCGTTATCGGCCAGCCGAGAACTTGAAAAAATTGCACAAAATTGAGAGGAATTGAATGGTATTTACCTGAGACGATTAAGGGGCCGCTTGAAGGATTGCGTTTTGTAACGCAGGTGTTGAATTTCTCTTACGAGCGCCGTCTCATATCTATTCTGTCTACTCCATGACAGTAAGACTTTATTGGCATTCCGTGCCCAATTCTACATACAACCTCTCAAAACCCTGTCGAACTTGTATTGTCTTTTGGTACGGCATGAAATTCGTTATCTTTGACATTTTGATTAATCATTGGAGATTGCGCGCCACACTAAATTTGGATGAGCGATTATTTACAAGAAAGTACACTCGCATGAAAAGCTAAAGTCATTGTAAAGTCATTCTCTTCATCTTTGGTTTCCTCAAGTGCTTACAAGAACCACCTTCTTTCGCAATGGAACTGGGTCGATGATATTGAACGTTAAAGGTCTTTGACAACTTCATAGAGAGAAGTTTGAGTCCACACAGCAAATGCAACTCTTCATTTAACACATGTTTCGCTGACCCCATCATTGGTCCTTCGTTCACAAAGCAAAGAAGTGTCAAAGGTAGTCAATTTAAGAGCTTCTGCAGCAACTAATTGTGCTACTTGAAGCTTTTCACTCATTGTTCCAATACACTGCGATTTTTGCCAATCGCATATACGGCATCAATTTCTTATCATAATCTGTATCTGTGGTAACTTCCACATCCATTAATATTAAAGCCACACGTTTGCGAAACTTAGATGATGCAAGTGCCAATCTCTGGTTCTTGCAATTACTCAATTAGTGATGGAGAATATGCGTACGTACTTACAAAGCTTGAACTCGTCTCCCTCCACAAACCAAAGACCCTTCTCAAAGCATCATTCACAGGCCTTTTTTCCGCCAATGGCTGTCGCTCGTTCGGTTCGTAACTGAACACTTTTCCAAGTAGTTGGGAAAGGTAATAGAAGATGTTACGGAAATCGCATCTTCTACTATTTTTATTATTTACATATAGGTTAGAATAATGCAGCCTTTAGTTTCTTGCAGCGACTCTCAAGACATAACTAAATGGGCACAATTTAATTCCAGATATTTTTTTGCATTTATATAATTCCAAAATGAAAGCGTTCCTGACTAGTTAATCACACGCCTGTTCATATCACAATCCCATCTCATAAAAATCCGCACAACTAGATAAAGCTCTTTTTTTGGCATACCGATCAATCGAAACACAATCAGATAACTTCAGCTGATATAGTTTTTTCCACTTTGCAACCGAACTGATTTCTATGTGGGATCTTCCAAAAATAAAAAGTGGTCGATTTTGTGTCGCAAGGAAGTAGCGCGTATGTTTTTTGTTGATCTTACTCTGACTTTTTTCTCCCTCATTTTGACCATTCCAACTTTTGTAATCCGATAAACGGTCATACGACATTGAACTCCCCGCATTTTCCCCAAATTGGGACCTTTCAACCAGGAATATTTGTCTATCATTACACGCCTATCGTCAATTCAACTTTGCAAAGCATCACATAGTTAACTTGTCGAATGGAAAAGCAGAATTTTTTATTGCCGTTTGCGTTCACCAAATCATCGTCGTTCAATGAATCTGATGTGTTGAACAAGACCCCGAGGCAAAAGTCGGTAATTGATGAGAATGCTAGTAGTATTTACCATACAAGAAGGACCGTGGAGTCAAATGGCATTGAGAGACCAAGTTTGCAAGTGAATGTCGCTCCCTCATTGAAGCGAAGAATGGGGAGGAGTTTCAACGACAAGGATGACATAAAGAAAGTAGCTGTTGAGAACAAATACTCTGATTCGGGTTCCGAATACGAGGAAGAGCCAACATTAATTGACGAGGATATGGTAAATGATAGTGCCCAGCTACCACCAAGCAGCCCGGTTGGACGTCACCTGGAAAGTGAATTGATGTCTGAGTTCGATTTTGCCACCAACCCTACAACCAGTTTTCAAGTACCGAAGTCACCACCTAAAAAGTATGACGGTAATAGGGACGTTATCAAAACATCACCTCAAAAACCAGCCAGTTCAGAACCCGATTTTGGAATTGATAGGTTTAACAGATATAGGGTTAGTTTCAATGATAAATCAAAGCATGAGCCGTCATCGTCAACGCAGGATGAAGACGACAACGATGCAAGACTAGAACTACAAAGCATTGCCTACAACAAAGCAAGGGCTATCATTTTGGATGCATTCGAGAACGTGAAAACAGTGATTGATTTGCAAGCGATGAATTTATATGAAGTACCGGATGAAATTAAGGACTTGAATAATTTGGTGATAATTGATAGTTTCAGTGAGGAGGCTTCTATCGAGTTTCCATATCAGTTGTACCTCACTGGGAACCAATTGACTCAGCTTCCACCATCATTGTTCAAGTTTACAAAATTACAAGTTTTGTCTTTGAGAAGGAATAAGCTAAGATCTATTCCACCTCTCATAGGGAAATTGGTAAACTTGATTGACTTGTCTTTGAGTTCTAATAAGCTTGAATTCTTCCCATATCAAATTCTTCAGTTGAAAAAGCTATCGAATTTCACGTCTGGGCCGAACCCGTTTGCCGCTGTTCCCGACGATGCTGTGCCATTGAGTAGTAAAGATGCAACTACTTTCGTACCTAAATACAAATCATCCATAAGGTATCTAGCCTCCAAATTTAGTGAGTTGCCAACATTGAAAACATTATGTCTTGACGTCATCGCAAAGCATGACGTGTCATATTCCGAAACGAGATTATGGAAGAGACACACTCCCAAAATTCACCACAAGTTAATTGTCGAGGCATTAAGGAAAGGAAATTTTCAAGATACTTGCTCAGAGTGCGATATCATCGTCGTGGAGCCCATGGCCGAGGTTTTGGAGTGGTGGGACATCTTACAGAATAAAAATGTTCCTATACGACGACAATTTTGTTCCCAAAGATGTGTAAAGAGATATGAAGAGGGATGGGGTGCATAAACTGCAAATGCATCAGAAATGGAATCAGGATTATTCAAGCTTTACATAGTTGCTGGGAAATAACCCTTGTTTACCTTTTATTTCACCTTGCCACCAGTCTCCTGTTCTTTCCAAAATCTTGATTCTGTTGCCCTTCTTAAAGGATAAATCACCAGGTTCTACTCCATGAAAGTCGTACAAAGCGTAACAGAACCCTAGATTGGCTTCAAAAATTGGTTTAGCATAATCAATAGGGCGATTGAAAGCAATGATAGAAAGCTGTTCAATGTCGTTGAAAAGTGGGTCATTTTTCTGCTTGAAAGAAGATATAATAGTAGCTGATTCTTCAACTGGTTGTACTTTAGTCAACTTTGCAACAATTACCAGGTAAAACTCATAGTTTAACAACGTGTACTTTATGTAAAATGCATTTATAATCTGCTTCACATAGTGTAAAAACTTGGGAAGACATGCTTTCAAGATTCCGTTGATACTATCATACTTTATCTTGCTATCTTCCAACTTTCTTTTGAGGGAGTAAATGCCATTGCTTTGCTTCAAAGAGAGTTCATTCCGTTCTTGCCTTTCGCAAAGTGTCTCATACTCATTGTATAGCTTATCATAGTCCAATAAAAAGACCAATCTAGTGGCAATCTTTTTAGACACTTGCTTTGATATGTTACCAACTTCCTCCAATTTCTTGAACTCCATGCTCATGAACAAATTTAATTTGTTTGCAAAGTTTATAGACAGTATGAGGTGTTTGTACTTACTCCCTCTTGTCCAAGCATCATAAGCCTCATCTATGGTATTTGTCGAATTTTTAAAGTTACTGTATGGATCAGCCAAGTTTTGGAATCCCTGAGCTACGTGCTCGGAACCTCTCAATGTTTCAATAGCTGCAGAAGCAAAGCTTTTGAGCTCGTCTTGCAAACTATGCAAACCAAGCTCCTGTATTTTAAAATGAGCTTCTAACGTGTTGAATTCTTCATCACTTGTATATGAGTTTCCAGCATAATTGATTTTCTGTTTCAAGAACTGAGGTGTACGCTTAATTTGTCTCCACTCCAACTTGTTGTTCTTGATAAACTTTTCATCAACTAGTTTGAGTGTCTTGGAGAGTTGGGTAGAAATTTTGTTCAATTCTTGGTTCATGGTTGTGGGTTTTTGGTATGTGACAAATATTTGGAGTATTTTTAGCAGCCAAAATATGGATGAAACTTTCTTTTTTTTTCTTAACCAAGGCAATCGACCGACAAGTGATTTACAGAAGCAATGAACAGCCAGGGATCAAGCCAAATGGAAACTTTGGAAGATATCAGAAAGTACCTACAGCAAAATGGGGTTTGCTTGAAGGATATATCTACGAACATTGAATATGAAGCATTGCTCAAGCTTAAGTCGTGGGTGAATCAGGAAGATAAAGAATTGGCAATGGATTGGGACCAGTTTCAGGATTGTGTTACTATCATGTTTGAGAATTACTGTACAGCAGCTCTGGAGATCCATCAGAAGTTGGATGAGTGTGCAGATGTACGTGTTACTCCCTTTTATTTTATAGTGATCTTTCACTATACTAACACCAAAATTTTTTTTTGCAGCACCGAAAGGCGTTGTTAGATCATAGTTTAAACTCCGACGTCAAGAGGAGCGAGCCAACGTATGTAAACCTTTGTTATTGAGAGGAAATAAGAGTGGTACTAACCGAGACTTAGGATTAATCGCATAACGGATTGGGTTGTAAAAAAGGAAAGTGAGATTGGTTCCTTCAGGTCCTCCATAAATGCGACTTTGAAATATCTTCAAACTGGGTTTGAAAAAATGAAACTTCCAAAAGAATTGCCAAGTGGAGATGGTGGTAAGCACAACAAAATAGAGGGAACGGAACAATGCTAAGGGGTTTGATTAATGCTTACTGGCCAGTAAAAGCTGTCCCAGATTTACTGTTTACGAGAGGTATTTTCATTTGCTCAATCGGAAACCCTGAACCCGAATACAAAGATACGAGACACAATGTTGGACACAAGGTGATGGACCAACTCATCCACATGTATTGGAAAGAGCACTTGTATAAGCAAGAAAACTACTATTACTCCCGAAAATATCCCAATTTAGTATTGTTCAAATCCGACTCAACATTAATGAATCTCCAGGGTAAAATAGTATGGAAACATTTCCAACAGTTTCGCAAACAGTCAAACTTGATAGTTCTTCACGATGATTTAGAGCGTAACTTGGGAAAGTTTCAAGTGAGGAAACCAGGCACGAGTTCAAGGGGACACAATGGGCTCAAGTCAATCGACGAAGTCTATAAAAACAAGTATGAGAAAATAGCTATAGGTATAGGAAGACCAAGTTCAAAGTCTGTGACAAATTACGTTCTTCTGAAATTTGATGCAAAAGAGCAGGAAATTTTGGATTTCGAAGTTATACCTAAAGTTGTGAAAGAATTGGAATGCAAAATTGAAGCCGATTTGAGACGCCTTAGGAGTTCGAAGGGAAAGGAGGCACCCCTACCAGTTGGTATTAAAAAAGTATAGGGTAATCACGGTATGTGTGTTCTTGGTTATTGTAAATAGTCTAAATTCGACTGCGTGTAAGGAGAAGCAAAAATAAAATATGTATCTTAGCGACAAACAAAAGAAGCACCTTTGTACCGAGTTCACACTCTTTCTTCATCACAAACATCAACGCACTCTAGTGATATACCAAAATAACATCTCTACATCTTGGTGTATTTTGAATGTAGTCAGATGCAATTTGTCATCGACTTAGTTGCTGAAAGGTCAGTTTTGAAAGAATCAATCAAAGGTATGTCTGAAACCCACACGTTTTGTGAGTTTACGCCTCGTCACAAATACTAACAAATACGCAGGCGTAATATGGACCATATTCTTTAATAGGCTATTTGGACCAATCACTCCAACAACAAGAGAGTTTCTTGACGTCACGTACCCTCTGGCTACGAATTTGCCTGAACTCGAATCTTTGATAGAGGAAAAGGTCTCCTCATTTATACGTACATGCATTGAGAGCAAGCTACTACCGGCCAATGGAACGATTACTATTCAATTTTTGAATAAATCAAATGCGAAAAGGAAAAGCTCAGGATGGTTTGGTCGGGAGTATGAAAGCGACGACATAAAACCGTGGGAAAAGTGGACAATTAACGTCGAGTCTCTTCCCATAGAAGAAGGTCCCACTATCCCTCGTCCAAAACACAGCGGGTTAGAGTATTCGAGAGCAGTGACAATGTCCATGAAAAGCTTTGAAGCTGCTTTGATACTGATATACGACTTTGTGGATCGAAACAAGGAGCATATACCCCCAATAACTTCACTTGAAAGTTCACCATTTCCCTACGCAATCAATATTGAGGAGGATAAAGAATCCAAATTAGAAAAGCCCAACTCAGACGGCGATGAAGGTTGGGGGTCTTACATCAAAAAGATTCTAGATTAACTTCTACGGAGAAATATCTAAATGTCACTATTTTATAGCTTTATATACAAAGTGAGAATGCATATAGTTTTACAAATTTGCCGAGAGCAAACCTTCTTCTCCTCTGACTAGAATGCACTCATCTTCCTCGATAACTTTATCAAACTCCCCCAACTGTTCAGCTAAGTCCAATACCTCTTGGTCATAGCTACCTGGTTGGAACCACAACCCTTTAATCACCGACTTGTAACCTTCGATGTTGGAGATTTCTTTCAAAGTTGCCACAGTTATTGGCGGTGGAGTCAAGAACGAAATACTCAACCCATCAACGCTAGAAGTTTTGTACTCACTCAAGTTCCTGTGGTCTTCGATAGCCTTGATAATTTGGGTGACGTTTGACACAACTGGTTGACCCAAAATTTCTTGCTCCTTCGGGTTAATTGGAATAGCGGATAAATTGTGCTTCACATACCAATTCAAAATCTTGTACCCAAACTTAGAAGGGTTGTTGGATGCACCAGCAACAGCATATTGTCTATTAGGGCCAAAAAATGACTTGATCTTGGTTTTCATTGACATTTGAAAAGTGTTTGTGGAGAACGGTAATTACACTCGGTTAATTCAAAAGAAAAAACTGGGGAGGTCTGTTGGTATTAAATATTAAATACACAAATTTAACACAAGCGCTACCATTGTCAAAGACATCAAAGCCAAAAGCTTTTCTTAATGATTTAGACGCTAATGACGTGCTTCATAGACACGGACAATACAGCACGACACCACTATAATGACGTCCTCCAAAGCCACAACGAAGGAAAAAAGAACAAAACCATGCTGTAACTGCAAACGATCCAAAGTAAAATGTGTTTATGAAGGCTTTTTGCCATGTCAGCGATGCCTTAAAACAGGTCAAGCAGCGACTTGTCAGTTTGTTCATAAACTTCCTTCATTGAAACTACCGTCATTGGATTCAAAAGCGCCTACTGTGCACTCGGTTGCGCCTATATCACTCAATCCTGTTAATTCCACAAGTGTCTCGAAACCACAAGTATCAAACATGACAACATTGCTTCCAAGTCGAGCTACGTTCAACTCACCGCCTTTCAAAGAGGGCTTGTCCCCAATCCCGTCAAATAATTATTTGCCATCAGATAGATTATCACGTAATGACATTCAATGGAAGTCAGATATTGAACAACGTTTAAATTCATTCGACACCAAAATAGATTCTTTAGTAGATTTATTAAAGCTGAATCATCAGCAACAGATAGGTGGCCATACAATACATAAAATAGAATCGCATTATGGATCTGATCATTCCCAATCACCAAAAGTTGCAACTAATGGTACTCGTTATCAGGAACTCCTTTCTACCAGTTCGATGAATCGAGCATATGACCAAGGCTCTAAACGACAAAAAATAGGGGACTATACCGATATCAAAGAGGGTGGTATCAATGACGAGCACAATATATCACCACCGCATGATTTTCGAGATGGTTTTCTCTCGAAAGGAGAAGCCAAAGATCTTTTCAAGTTTTTTGATTCTAACATAGCTCAACAATTGTTTGGTTTTGAAATATCAAAATTCCTGGTTGATGATATTTGGGAGACGTGTCCCGTACTTGTATGCGCTATTTCAACGATTGCATCTATCCACCACCCTCAACTTTCTTTTAAATCGTCACAATTACTGGTTTACTTGCGAGATATATGCGGTACCCTATTTCATAAGAACAAGCCAACTGATAAACCAAGCGCTTTCAACACAATAGTTGCTTTAGTGCTATGCAGTTTTTGGCTATCTGATTCCCAAATGTTTACAGGATTGGCACTACAAATTGCCAAAGAGTATGGGTTGAATAATCCCAATTGTGGAAGGAATCGTGACGATTTGAAACTTTGGTACTTGTTGTACGTATTGGATGGCCAACAAAGTATGGCATTCAACCGGCAGCCATTGGTTAGCTCGCAAGAATATTCTTTGAAGCACAGCCGAGAGCTTCTCATTAGTGAAGATGAAAGAAAACTTTCCGAGACAAAGAAACAGTTGAGGCGGAAGATTGAACCAAATTCTAATGTGAAAAAAGCTCCCACAGAAGAGGATCTCCACAATAAGTTGATGAAGCAGAAATTTACAGATCTAAGATTGGTTTCACAAGTGGAATACAATCAAGCATTGAGCGAAGCCTTTCGTGGCGATGCGTGGGATTTGCTAATGCCATCCTCGTTTGGAATCCCCTCTAAGAGTAATCTTGAGCTAGATAAGTGGATGGTTTCTTGGACAGTATTGCTAGCACCTTGCAATAATGGCGCCGTGTGGTCGACGAAAAGCACCTTGATTTATTACAATTTTGCAAAAATGCATATAAATTCATCAGCTGTTAGACAGCTTTCGATGAATCCCAATGATGGTGGCTTATTCCCAGCTTGGGATAAAAGTGTTGAAAAAGGGATGACTCAAACACAAAAGAGCACGCAAATTGAAGAATGCATTGACAGTGAGGACGACTCCGACTCCGATTCAAATCCGGATGAAGATGAGTTTATCTCCAACAAAGGATTGGTTTCACCTGATGAAGCTGCAATTAATGCCAACATTGCTTTGAATGCCGCTCATACAGTCATAAATTTAGTCATCAATGATAAAGATATTCTTGATAATTTAAAGTATGTCCCTGTGCACATACATATAATGTTGTACTATGCTGCACTATTACTCATTAACCCCCCATCTAAATCAAATAATGCCTCGGTTACTTTAACGCCGGAGATTCATTATGACAAGTTGCTTGATAATTTGCGAACCGTGGGTATACTAAAACGAAAAATATACTCTAATTTACCCATTGATTCCAACTTTGGGTCCCGATTTATCAAGAGTTTGGAGAAGGTGGAAGGGGAGAAGCTAGCTGAAATCAAAGATTATGTTTCCACCCTTGATGATCAAGACTTGAGATACACGTTTGAGAGAAAAGTGAATTCCTTAATTGAAACTAGCGTTAATATTACTGAGTTGACTGAGTTTAATGAGAGTGGGGAGAGCAGTAGAGCGAGCACCCCGAGGGCGGAAAAGATTAGCGCCTGGCCTGGGTCCCATCATGGGCATCCGTAAATGTGCAACATGTTTTTGAGATACGTATAACATAAACTACATATACAATTTACGCGAGAAATTCATCTCGAAGCAACTCATCCACACTAGCTCTATCCAGTGGTTCCCAAACTAATGCACGTTGCAAGAGATTGATAAATGCTTTAGCACAAGTTGACGACAAACTTCCAACACCAAGACAAACTTCCAAACTTTTAGAATTCAATTTAAATTGCTTTTTCGTTGAGTTGGTTGCTGTTTTATAATGATTTAAGATAGACATGCTGATCTTTCCATTGAGATCAAATATTTTATACAATAAAGTCTTTTTAATCTGTTTTTCAGTTGGGGAACTCAATGTCAAAGCTACTTTATCTGATGAATGATGTAGGTTTCTCGTCAATTGTGATCGCATTTTCAATATGGTTGCCGATTTTGGGGCACCAAACATCTCCAACATCAAGCCGATTTGATCAATTTCATTCTTCCCAGCTATTAAAGGTGAGCCAGTGAATAGCTCTGACAAAAGACAACCTAGGGACCAAATATCTATCTTATTATCATAATTGGCACCCAAAATGATCTCGGGAGCCCTGTAAAATCTTGATTGAATATATGTAAATGTTTTTTTATCTTCGAAGCATGATGAGCCAAAATCGATGATCTTGACAACGAGGCTTTCGTCTTGTGGGTGCTCGGGTAATTTGATCATGATGTTTTCAGGTTTCATGTCACAGTGTACAATTTTCAAAGAATGCAAATATCCTAGTCCACAAAGTATTTGTTTGGTGAATTTTTTGATCAAGTCGAAGGAAAAACCTCTAAATTGAGTAATCTCAAGTACAGAATATAGATTGAGTGATAGGACCTCCGTAACAATGCAAATATGACTTCTGAAATTGAAATGTTCGTAAAACTCAATGAGATTTTCATGCTGTCTCGTCTTCATATGTTTGAGCATTTTGATCTCATTAACCGATTGAATTGAGGAGTTGAAGTTATTGTTGATGATTTTGATAGCCACTAAATTATCTCCTTTAAACTTGTGATCCTTTGCCAATACCACATTGCCAAATGATCCTTTGCCAATATTCTGTAGTATCTGAAATCTGTAATTAATGTGATCATCTAACAATACTATGTAATTTCCCCCATTATCATCGAAGCCAAAATTGTTTCCGTAACTTTTCAAGTTGATGTTGCGTTCATGTGATGTCGGTACGTAATATACACCATCTTTTCGTATAATTTCTCCTCTTTCATAGATATTGAGCAGATTAAGTGAGATGGTGTTGACATCCACGGGCCTTTGCATTGATGATGCGGAAGGATCATGCCTTGAGCATCGAAATAACCTGGCATCCTTTCTGAACAATATATTGTAAAGTTCCCCAATTGTCTGCACTTTTGCCCCGTTCCCCGACTTTGGTATACTAGCTTTTAGACTTTGGGGTTTCGTATAACCCGGATTTGATTTCGGAGTATAAAGTCTTTGGAAAACATCGGACGGGCAAGATATAGGTTGTGTAACGTGTCGCCTGGGTTTAGGAGGAGATTTGTCATTTGGCACTGTATTTTCTTTACTCCTGGAACTTTTCGAAGGAGAATCATTCAAATACTCCAATTCAAAAGGTTGGTTACTGATTGTGTTGTCGCTTTTTAGAATGTTTTGGCCCAGCGCAATTCTTCTGCCTCGATGGTTATGAGATAGGTGCCTTGTATACTCATGTCTTTTTTTTGCGTACGATGAATTGGCTGTGTTTGAAGATGTCAAGAGTGAGTTGTATGAATTTGAGCCTTGCCTTTTTTGAAGTGATGAAGATGTTGCTCTCATGAATGAGAATTGAAAATCCTTCTTGGATATTGCGGTTTCTGAATGGGGGCATGTTGCTAGGTCGTTGTCACTTTGAACGCGATGTTGTTGTCTAACGGTACTCTGTGACTTAATCTCACTGTTGGATTGCCTTTTTGGAGTTTCAAAGTGCGCCGGTTGTGTATTATAATGAGCCTGAGCTTGCTCATTAGGATATAGATGTTGTGGATACACTTTTCTCCTCCTTGGCGATTTATTGATATCAATACACGAAAACTGATCTTCAAAGAAGGTCATAGCTTAGTTCAACTTGCAGTTTTCTAGCTCAAATATATTGTATAACAAGTGGGTGGAGAATACTGGTTGTTATCGTTACAAATGTTTGAGATTAATATTCCTGATTTGGAAAAGGTAAATACTCGCGCTACCGGTCGTGTTGCAGATGAGATCAAAGAGAATAGATCTATGAAATCTACAAAACTTACGACGAATACTAAAAAGTGGAACTACCACAACGTCAGAGTTAAGCTACGCTATAGATTCTAATTAACTTTGCTTCTTATGCAAACGAATCATCTCCTCTACATGTTTTCTTTTACCACTTGCACTTGTATTTTTCTTGTGCCTTCGACTGTTCAAATGACGTGACCAACTGTCTTCTCCTACTGCCACAAACAGGTCTCCGTTCTTATCTTTACAAACATCACATTTGAAATGCTTCCACCTTTGTTCTGAGCCAATAACTTTGTTGCTTTTCAAATTTGTTTTCTCTGTGAGAAGTCCAGCTAAGTGCCCAGGGGTCTCAGGTAATGTCACTTTTTGTTGGAAGAACTGCTCTGCAATAGCTAGTCCGCGATTGCATACGTTATCTTCCCATTCAGATAAATCAGTTGCGTCAAGAATATACAATCTTCCTCCATTAACATAGTCAAATTTTGCCTCTTTTTGTAGTTCAAGATGCAAAGTTTTCTGAATCCATTTGACTTGATACTTAGCATATTGTCGGGTCCTTATCTTCATCCGTTCAAGCCCATGAGCAAAATCTGTTTCGTTTTGTTTGTTGTTTTCCAACCACTGTAAGAATTCTTTGAATCCTATAACTTGGAATATCCCACTCGTGCAATCACAATTGTTGTTTGAGTAATGTTGAAACAACTCATCAATCTCCTTTTCAGCACCGGTCTCCATCATCTTATCAACTCTTTTATCCAATCGATTTTGTAGCACTTTTGGGTCCGAGTATAGCCAAAACACCAAAGTATTGTACTTTAATGAACTTTGCTCTTGCTCATCCAATTTTTGTTCGATATACAAATCTGACGGCTTTTGGCCAGTTGTGTACCAAATCTCCACTGCTCGTCGTAGTTTTCTGTGATCTTGAGGATGAAATTTTTCGGCAATAATTGGATCTATTTTTTGTAATTCTTCAAATAGAAGGTTAGTAGGACCATCCAATAACTCAATTTCAGTTTTGGTCAACTCCCTCTCCTTCTTATTTTCCATAGTTTTGTTATTGAAAAGTAGTGTTTGAAGGTAATAGTGTGTTCCACCAACAATTATTGGGATCTTTCCACGCGAGTGAATGTCATTAATTGCATGATTAGCTTCTTTGTTGAATCTATGAATAAAGTATTCCTCACTCCAATCAACATGATCCATAACATGATGAGGCACATTTTCACGCTCCTCAATGGGGTGTTTGTTGGTTATGATATCAGCACCCTTGTACACTTGCATGGAATCAGCATTGATGACTTCACCATTGATCTTTTTCGCCAATTCAATACTAAATTGGGATTTGCCGACACCTGTAGTACCAACAATACTTATTATAGGTTTCTTGATTGGTTTATTCATCTGTCCTTTCCAAAGCTTAAGAAGTCTTGATATCATACATTAAACATTTCTAGAGATGTCCTGACGATAAAGGATGATGAGATCCTTCTGCATTATTTTTTTTTTTTTTATGGACTAAAAACAAATGAGATTCACGTGTTTAGAGTGGACCACAAGATTGAATCACTATGCGTGAAATCAATAGGAAGATGAAGACGATGTGATTGAATATTGACTTTCTCATACGCTCTGTGTTTGTCAATGGTCACCTTCGGTCATCTCCACTTCGTCCATGAGGGATAAGCCCTATTTTTGCATCAATTTTGAAACAAAAGTTACATGGCCATGTATTTTGACACATTTTGCAGCAAAACTCGTATGAGATCTAGGATGTACAATGATGCAAATAGTTTTAACAGTTGGATACAGTAGCTTAGCTTTATGAATAGCTAGTAAGTCTCTAACGAACGGTATATATGAGGTGCACATTGAGTCGTGTATAAAACTACAATTAATTGTTAGTTTCTTTTCTTATCTGCCTTGCTTACTTACTTTGTTGTTTTGTGTGTTATCTTTTCTTTCTCCCCTTTTTTACCCTTGTCCCTTTTCCTCAAAAAACTACTTTCAACCTACTTCTTTTGAAACGCACACCCACCAACTTCGGCTTACTATATTAGAGCCCACCACAACAGTCATACCATATAGTATCAGCCTCATATCGTATTTATCATTTGAATCTTAGTAATCGCACAAGGTCCCCCTGCTTTTTGCAATTCCGACTCCGCAAAAGCTATTTTACTTATTGCTATTTGATACACTACTGCACAAGATCAACCCTCATTGATCTCCACAAGAGCATATTGTTAGAATTGCAGTACTGCTTTGCCCAGGATGCTTTCAAATAGGGTAATTGCAAAACAGTTGTTGAAAACCACAATTGCAAAAACGCCACAGTTGGCACTCCCCGCGTGTTCGACAATAGTCAAGTACCACAAAACTTTAGATCCGCCTCGCTCTTCAGTGAATCTTGTCAGAGGATTTGCTACACATTCTGAGGAGTACGAAATTGACTATATCTCGCTAAAAAAGAAGACCAAAAAGAAAGGTGAAGACATCAATGAAAAGTTGAATATTGACATCGCATTACCCAACTTTACAATCAAAAGGCCCCGAAACATTGGATATCCGTATTACATAATCCATGATTGCAACGAGTCATTAATGAAAGATGTACTAGACTTTTGCATGTGGGATTTCAAGGTGACGAACGAAAAGGGTTTCCCTCAGGGGCTTGCTTATACAGAGTATTACTATGACGAGTTAAAGGTCTTTGAACAATTCTTACAAGACACTTTTAACCACAGGATTGGAACTTTTGCTGACTTGTCAGGCCTGGAGATTGTTAATACTTTGTTCATATTTAGAGATTACTACACCAGGGGGGAGATCCCTCAAGTTACAAAAGAAACCAAGTCCAAATTTGATGAGATGGTAAAGTTTTTTGTCGAGTTCGTTAATAAGGATGCTCAGTTCCCTCAAACAGTGGTAAAGGAGTACTTTCCAAAGGTGAAACGCTCTAAAGAAATTTCAGATTTTCTCAACTTAGGCTTGTACTTTTATGTTTCAGAGTTAAAAGCTTTAGACCGTGAGTTTAACTTTAAGAGAATTAGATCAAAGAACGATTTGATACTTCAAATTGACAGGATGGTTGGAAAGTTTGATCACTTTTTGGAAAATAGCCAGCGCGCTGACGAATCATTCTTCAAAACGTTGATTCAAGCTGAAAGGTATGAGGCATTACGTGAGAAATTAGCAAAAACAATCACTCCTTTGAAGTTGATCAAGGCTCTCGTGGAAACCAATAATTTTGAACCTGCAATGAAAGAATGTATGTTTGAAAACTTGAGTGCCAAATTTGATAGAGAAGAAGTGAATGAAACCTTAAAAGATTTGTGCGTGGTATGGAGTATGCTTGAGTTTGGAAACTTTATACCCGCAACTAGCAAATATAACGAGTTGGCGCCACGACTTTATGAAATTTCAACAACACGTGATCATCCATTCGCAGATGAAGCAAAGAACTTGTTGGAGGTCTTGACGACTGATGAATTGCGGTCTGGTATGTTACTTTCCCACTTTACTGCTTACAACTTCCACACTGCAAAGTATAAATTCACTGGTGATTTGCAAGAGGACTGGATTTTGAACGCGTTGCTCAAATGGAACTTTCCTTTGGAGGTGGCCTTGACGAAGGATTTTGAAAAGGAATGGTGCAATTTCCTGCCTGGAAGCTATGCCGCTTCTGAGGCGTTTTTTGGCATAGATAGTAGCACCGTTGTAAACCTTGCTCAAAACCCCGACATCCTCATCAAATTTTTGGAATTAAATGGAGACAGTTTGACAAAGTGCTTACCTGAGGGATCACTATTGTTGCATATGAAGAAGGATCTTGCCGCTGCAAAACGAGGACTAGGTGTCGATTTCGCTTTCTATTCTGATGTTGACAATCTTGTAAAAGCGATCGAGAAGAGGTCAATGTTGACACCAGGCTCTGTTGATACGCTTGTTTCTGCACTTGAGGACGCGTCAAAGTATTTAGGTACTCATTTGGAGGTATTGGACGAGATTGCAAAAGGGTCTGATGAGGTGGCAATCCATGACAGGCACACAAGTACAAACTACAAGCAAATACCCGACTGGTTACGTCTTGAAAGGCACGTTGCTGAGATTGAATTTCTCAAGGGTTTGACTGGGGATTTCAGCGACAAAACTGCGGTCATGTCTGTTATCGAGAATGTCACCAATCAAATTTTAGAGGATGACACATTGTGGCCTGAAATTAATCATGGCAGTTTGCTTACATTGAGGGCGAAGTTGAAGGAGTTTTCCGTGAACAATACCACTGATTGCCTAGAAATCTTAAACACGGTCCTTCTTAGCAATGATGTGTTTGCTCAATTTGAAAAGCACATGAAGGAAAAGCCGGCACAAAAATCAGCTCCGTATGTCCAATTACCTGATGAGTTGGAATTATACGATTTTGTGAATGAGCTAACTAAACTTAAACATGCACTTGGTGGTTTATCTTTCAATGAACATACAAGCGACGACGTGTTCAAGGCATTAGATTATCAAATTGAAAGCTTTTTTGACGATGCCAAGAATAAGGACTCGTTGATTTCTAGTAACAGCGAATCTTTTAAATACATTAGATTAAAGAGGAGATTGAGCAGGTTGTTTGACATGAATGGCCAAAACACAGATGTTTTGGATGTGTTGCTCAACAGTCAAGCAGTGTTTGATGGGTTTGAGAAACGAAAGATGAGGTCAGAGAAGAATATCGAGGAAGTTTCTCAAGAATACAGACAAATGCCTAATGATTTTATGTTAGAGGAGTACGTGCTTGAATTGAGCCAGCTAAAAGTTTCATTAAACATTGAAAGATTTGCAGATGTATATGCAAATGAAATCTTGGGCAAAATTGAGGAATTTTCCAAAGCCAATTACTCAACTAGTGATAAGAAATTGATTTGGCATAAGTTGTATCGAAACTTGGCATTGCTTTTTAAACATAACCACGGATCAACTTTTGTGTTGGACAACGTTTTGACAAGCGCTACAGAGTGGGAAAAGTTGGGAAAATTGGTGAAGCCTCCAAGGAACCCACTTTCGGAGCAATTAGACCTATTGAAAAAGGAAGAGCACGATGTGTTAGGTGCATTCTTAACCGCATCAAGATTATTATACAAGTCCGATGTAATACATGTGTCAAAAGAGGAGTTCAATTCATTGGTTGATGTGTACATTGCAACTTTGGATGCAACATCGCTCGGCTACTTATTCAAGAAGGAGGTTTTAGCTTCGTTAAAGGAGTACAATGCTGCGATTCACCACTATCCAGCGTTCCTTGTTTGTCTTTACGGAATGAGTAAGAACTTGAATGGTGAGCCAATTACAGAGGACAGATTACAAGAATTCTATTCTGATTTGATGAGAAGCGTAAATGAAGAGACATCAGCACCCAAAAAGCAGAGGTTGGATCCAAAGAATGTCACAACGCCAGCGAGAAAAAATGTCCTCACAAGAGAACAGGTTAGCGAGACACCTGAAGTTGAGTATGAATACGACATTCGTGAATACGAACCATTGAAGCCTGATGTAAGGAGTGCAAACGGTTCTTTAGCCAAGCAGAAGTATCACAACTCAGAACAATACATTGCTGATTTGGACAATCGAAGAAATACTGTTTTTAAAGATGAAACTTTCGAAGATGCAGTGAGAGCTGCATTTGTCTCTGCGTTGCAAAATGACGATATACCAGAAACGGAATCACATTCAAGAAGTGCACATAAGCCGCGCAAGAGACTGAATGATAGAACGTCAGCAACACTGGCAAGTGCAAATGCAATTGATCCTGCTAAAGTTGAGGAATATCTCACAAGACTAAACAAGGATGAATTGTCAAAGCAAAGACAGGCAGATGCTTATAAATGGAGCAAAACAAGGTATGATCAATCAGTTGCGGCAACTAGCAAAAAATACTTACTTTTGAGTTTAATTGGTGATGAAATCCCCGTATCGGAAAATTTGATCCGTGATGAGCTTGCCCATAAATCAGATATATTTGAAATTTTGGACAAGTTCAGTGACTCGGAGCTTGCTATTGTCAATGACAGATTACAGTGCTTACAAAATGAGAATTACAAGGTTGTCGGATACAAGCTGGATGGCAAGCGCAAGTACTTGATTTTAGAAAATGAAGGAGAACGGGGTCCTAAAGGAGCTTCAGGTAAGTCTTCATGGGGTAAACGTGCAACTACAGGAGCAGTTACGGCTATGCTTGCATATCTTGGCTTGAGCTTTATTTCAGATGAACCAAGGAAAAATCTGGACGATGCTGTGCCTACTGAACATCCTGGTGGTGAATCAATGGAACCTGCAGCTGGTGAAGCAAAAGAACTGATGGAAATTGTGGGTACACCACTTGTTGATACAGACAGAGTAACAAACGAGCCAGAGTTGATTACACAACACGAGAAGAAAGCCAGTAAAGGTGGCTTCAATTTGAAGAACATCTTGTGGAACACCAAATGATTGACTTTATTAAACATCGAATGCAAAGGACTTTTTATATCATACACATCCTAAATCATTCCTTCATCTCTACTTCCACCGTTGGAAACTCCTTCATCTCTTTGGAAATATTTACAAACTTGAATCCTGTAGTTGCACCTGTTGTTCCATTCCAATTTCTCAACCTCGTTACCGTTTCCTCATGACTTAGATCAGGAACTTTATACCCAGTAGCAAATAAATGCTCCTCATGTTTCACTTTCTCAGTAAGTAACTTCTGTTTATTCGAAATCGGCCTACCCTTTCGATGTTCTTGTTTTACTTGCACCAATTGTTGACGATCTTGATCGATAAACTGTTCAATCAAGGATTGTATTTCTGACAAGGTGTAAGTTGGCTTTTCAACGTTGTCAGCTATTTGCTCCTGCAAAAAGGACACAATAAGCAACTCATTCAGCTTTCTCTCTACACTTTCAATCTTTTGTAGTTTGAGTTTCTTGTCTCGAACTGTTGCTCGATTCAATTGTTTGAATTTTCGTCCCTTTATATGCATCGATCCAGTGGACTTGGATAAGTTTTTACTCACTTTGTTTAGATTATGAGCTAGCGGCATAACGAAACGATGTTGCGAGGATTATTGATAGGGTGCTGGTCTTTATTTGCTTTACAAAAACTGTGGTGATGAACTGATGTAGCTCTTTTAGAGATAAATTTTGTGGATTTCCTGAGATGCGCTGCCTCTGCGCAGAACAATACTTTGTGCATCAAAAATAAACCCAGTATTTGTTCATTTCACACTCTTCGTAACTAACTTCATTGGTTTAGCGTCGGAGAAGAGAATAGAGAATGTATTAGCAAATGTCCAACTATGAAGAGCACTAATAAATCTCCCTCGTTCTAGATTTGGGTCAAGATCTTCCCTAGAGCGTGCTCTAATCCTCGTTTTTATGTAACTACATCGTTTTCACAATCACAAATCACATGATTCTAATTAAGTACACATGTATAAAAGCAAATTATACCGACCTTTATTGTCTTTCGCGACCCATCTCACACAGTCGTCTCTCTAATGGTTGGCATACTTGGACCTTGCTCTCAACTTGGGTCCATTCTAATAGAAAAACACTGGGATGAGAATCATTAAACAACACAAAAAGGCCAATAATGTTGTACCCCAGCCAACTGGATAATTGTGAATACTCAAATTCAAAAATAAAGCTCTTCCGAAGAGTGGGAAACAACCAGCAACAACACTTCTGAAAAATGCATTGGATGAAAATACAGAGGCCAAGTATTCAACTTTGAAACTAGCAGCCATATAGTTGAACAATGTTTGGAAAATGATGAATGCACCCATTGAAAAGATTCCTGTTCCAATTAATGGTGGGAACCAATGGATCTTGGGGGAAGAAGTCCATCCAAAGATGAATAATCCAATAGGCATCAAAACAGCTCCGAAAATTGATGGTGGTAAAAAGATCTCTGGAGTCACTTTACCGTAATCTCCAGCAAGCAATGGTTTGGTAAACACCTTGTAAACATATGGAATATAAATGGTACCACCAATACAGATACCAATGACAACTGAAAGATAAGTTACACCCATTTCAACCAAAGTGAAATGTTTGGTTTCTTGAAACACAATGGGGACAGCTTCGAAAAACAAGTAAAGAATACTGTAAACCAAAGCAATATAAATACCAATCAATAGCACCACTGGTTCTGTGATTGTGATTTCAAAAGGGCGCCAAAACAATTTTCTAACAACTTCACCTGTTGAAGTTGCACCGTGATCCAACTCAGCTTGAGATACAATCTTGTTGTTTCCAGTTAATTTCCTCAATCTTTCTGCCTTTTGGCGTAACAATTTAGGGGCATAAGTTTCCGGTAATGTCCAACCTAGGATCAAAAAGCATGACGAAATTAGAGCCATAAACCAAAATGTCCATCTCCAACTTTCGTATCCATTATGACCACCTCTTTGCACCAAAACTGCACCAATCAATGGTCCGATACTGGGACCACAAACAGCACCCAAAGACCAAGTAGCCAATCCAACAACAAAGTAAGGCAATGTAATAAAATCACCAAATGAAGCGCCACCTGTGCTCAAAGCAGGACTAGCAAAAAACCCGGCAATCAACCGCAACACAGCCATTCCAGCAAGACTTGTTGACAAAGCGGTTGGGATTTGCATCATACAAAAAATGAACAACGTAACAATGTATAGTGGAGTTCTACCAATTCGAGAATCCTCGCTCAATGGACTGAAAAAGATGGGTCCAATACCGTATCCAATAACAAACATCGTCAATGGCAACACTGCTTTAGTTTCATTAATGTTGAGTTTCTCCATAATATCTTGGACACCAGGGGTATAGATTGCTGATCCCATGTACACTGACACAGTTAAGAAAGCAATTTGAAAAGCCATGATTGCCTTGAGATAAAATGGCCAGTTGTATGGGTTATCTGGATCATCATCTCCATCCCATGTGACTATGATGTGATTCGACTCGTTATTGTCTTTGGGAATCAGCTTAGAGGTGGTTTTACTTGAATTTGAAGCGCTATCAGTGTTGATGTCCTGTTGCTTCTCCTTTTCTATAACATCTTCGTTTTGTGGTTCAGTAGCAGCTACTATGTCGCCGTTGCTCCTAAGGCTATGGTTTTCATTGTTGTTTTGCTCTTCGGATTCACCTTCTCTTTCGGCGAACACATTCTCTGATTGCTTGTCATTGTCGGCTAAATACTTTTCAGGAACGACATAGCCAGGCAACTCATCACGGTGTAAAAATAACCTGCGACCTGAAATCCGATACAAGATCAGACCAACAAATGAATCGGTTATAAATTGCTTCATGTTGGGATCTTTAGTGGTGTGTATGTTTATCTTCTCTATATGATGTAATTCTTTATAAATAGCTGTTGTATCAGTCTTAAGGTAGTATTTATATCCTTCCTGTTGGAACAGTAGATCCTAACTCCATCTTAAACGCGATTCTGATGTTGAAGTTAGCCCCGATGATATAGATATAGGCGTCATTTGTAATTGTTGTTGACTCAAATGTAATTACGGCAAACCCATAGCGAAACTGTTCTTTAATGCGGAACCACCAATGTAACTCAAAAAGGGGAGGGCACGGCGCTTGGGGTGATAAAGTACATACAATCTTGCGTTAGATTACATAATATTTAACAGTTTTGAGTAATGTCCGATTAAAAAGTTCTTCGTTCTATATATTTTGACTTTAGTACGTTTGAATAACTTAGGGTTGTTACGAAAAGTACCTCCTGTGAGATTTCAATTGTTCCTGGTGAAAGACTAACAATTATGTGTTCCTTTTTGTCAAGTTCGGCCGTAATCAAGGAGTTAAATCCGAGGAACAAATCATAGTATTCTATAATTAGAAGCACTCAAACGGCTAAAACATAATGCAAGGAAGCAATGAACAAGGCTTAATGCCACAACCTCTCCACTGATTCTGCTTCTCCTTTCTAGAGCTCTAAACGCTTTCGTTTACCTAATGTCTAATGAGTATGCAAAATGTGTATTGAGCTGTGCTTTTCGCGCAAAAAGCTCACTAGCTAGAAAAGAAGACCCGTCTGTAGGGTTGGTACTGTTTTGTAGGATCTGTCTTAAACTTAGAAAGTGGGGGTATCACGTAAACTAAAGGAGCGTATTTGCCGATTTTAAGTGTGGAATGATACCATGTAGTGGGCTCTTTTGGGCATTGACGAGAATCTGTATTTTATAATCATCAACACTTATTTACGCATCAGTACAGATTGAGCAAAAACCAATCACGAGATGCTAACGTGTTGCTCCTCAAATCAGTTGAATCATTTTCATTTTCAGTTTTCATGTAATTGCCTACGTCGCTGAAATGGCATTTGTATGGATTTGTAACAGCCGCTATACATCGACATGGCACATTGAGTTTCAGTAGGATGTTCTCATGGACAACTTGATTGTCGAGCAATCTATGTGCAGCTCTCGTCTACAGGACTGTCCTGCAACATTAGATTTACAATCAGCGTTCTGGCACTTCGAAAAACCAGATGTACTCTGAGTTCGGTATTTCCAGTCACCCTTTACCAAAGCTATCACGACATATAACTGCAAAGATCTATGCAATACCTTTCTCATGAATCTATCATCATGTCTATGCTGTCTACAATCACATTCTCTTGAAGTCGTGCAATAAATGCCAAAATAAATAAACGAAAAATTTTACGTTCGTTTTTATTTTTGCAAGACCTGTCAGAAGACAACTTAAACCTCCACTGTTTTGAACAACTTGATCGGCAAAAGTCATCCACTATCGAACCTTTTTTTCACCACGACACTTTTTCACTCAAACAATGGCAAAATACACAGAAGAACAATTACTTCAAATTAAAGAAGAAACAACTTATGTTCCACAACCAACCATATTGGCTGCCTTTAATGAATTAATTGACCAAGTTAAAGAACATGCTCATCAACAACAACAAGCTGAACACGCTAGAAAATGGCACAACGGAGACACTTATATCGACGATCGTGGAAATGAAAGAAGTTATCACCACATGAATAGACGTAGAGGCTCTAGATCTGGTGGTAATCAACAACAAAAGCCATATTTGAAAAAGAAGAATGAAGTTATTAAAGATGAAGATGGATGGGAAACAACTGTCCCTGTTTCCGGTGGACATAATAATCACAGAGGTGGAAGCTTTGGTGGAGGGGACAACGACGCGAATGATGATAGGAATAAGTTTAGAGAGTCAATCGGTGTTAGAGCTAAGCCAAATAATAAGAATTTGGGTTCATCAAAAGCCGTGGATCCAAGAGAGATTGCTAGTGACAAACAAACAAAAACATTCAACGCTTTTGAAGCTTTGGAGGGAGATGATGACGACGATAATGAATGATGAATGAGGTATGAGGTGACGAGATGTATAAAGAAGAGACGATAGTGACTACTGGTGTATATCAAAAGAAATAGACAATCTAGTTAAGTACCTTCTCTTCTAAAGTCACACAACAAATGCAGCCTCATCATCACTATCTAGCCCAGCCAAAATCGAATCCACATCGGTGGACAATAAATTCTTACTCAAGATTGAATTATTGGATACTGTTTGATCCATATTGCGAGCAGCCATACCAGCATGACCATTACCAGCTGGTACACCTTTCAAATTGTTTATGCTCAATGTTTCCTTCAAATCAGCAACTCTAGGGCAGTTTATATGCGAATTAAATGTGTAAATTGATCCATTAGTCTGATCAAATGAGTCTAAATCACCATTCAACCGACTAATAGTAGACGTGGTGTTGCCATTATTAGTCAAGGTATAATTTGCAGCATATGGGATTCCTCTCTCTTGGAAATGTTGACTAAATTGTAGAATTTCGGCACGAATTTGTCGAATGTCTTGTGCTGTACCTAAACCTAACCCAGTATACAATCCCTTTTCAGAGTCCGTTGTAGCTGCATCTGATGAAAATCCAGTGTGGTTGTTCAATTGTGGTGCAAAATGATCGGCATGTGCTGCGGCTGTAGCTGCTGCTGCCGCTGCAGCGGCCGAATGTTCATCATAATCCATATACGCAGTATTGTTAGTGTTTCTTGAGTCGTTGTTAAATTGACTCATATGCGTCGACACTTGAGGTTTCTCAATTTCGGTCAATAATGGTTTTTGAGGATGCAACCAAACAATCAAAAAATTGTTACCACAAGCAAATTCTTCAATGTTTTCACTCTTTATCCGAAGTCTAATGTCATTACCATTGGCATCTTTTGGTAGCATTCTCTTTCCCTTTGTAAGCTCCAAATCGGAAGGTGACGAATCAATTCCATGGATCCACAAACCATGTTGTCTTCTATATTCAACGCTATCCAAAACCATTTTGTACAATCTAGAAGACTTGCAATAACCTTCTAACTCATCTTCATATTGATCATCAAGGGTTTTCAAGATATAATACAACAAAATATGAGCAATCGTGTCCTTGTACATTTGTCTCTGAGTGAAATCTGTTGTCTTGTCCAACCTCAATACACCATGGTGGAAAAATGGGATAAAGTTACTAACAAAATTCAAACCGAGAATTTCAATCATGTCTTTCAAGACTTTCACCAACAAAAGGACCAATTCAGTGCTAGGTGCTTCTTGTCCATCGAAAAACCTATCGGCGTACATCAAAAAATGCGATATGAAATTCTGTTGCTGGGTGATATATTGATTGACATCTGGTTCCATCAAGTTCTTGCCATTTAGTTTATTGTCGTTAGTGCTGTCTGACCCGTCTGATAAATGAGTAGCTCCACTTCCAGGGTCAAGCTTATACTGTTGTTTCTTAATCACTTCGTATGCTGAACGTGAAGCTGCTGCTAATTCGATATTCAAAAACTCGTCAAAAACTTTTAAATATTTAGCTTGTATGCTTCGAATTTGTTGTAAAGACAATATTGTATTTCTGTCATCATCAAATTCTGAATCAGGCGCCAATAACCCAAGACTGATATCCCAATGTTCAAGATTAACATGGTTTCTACTAATAGTACTGGTTTTGTTTTTCAAAATAAGGAATATCTTGGAAATATTGTCCAAAAACTGAACAATGAGATCATGTATTCTCTCACTGGAGGATGTTTGTTCACTGCTGTCAACAAATGAGCTGTCCAAAACAAAATCAACCTTGACCAAAATCTCTTGAATTGAATCCGGCACTTGATCATAGTAGTAGATGTGAGTAGTCACATTGCAAATACACTCTGAATAAATATTGGTCAAAACGTCAATTTCAGGCTTACTTAAGTCGCTTGGCTTCAATATCAAGTCCGTTTGCAAATTCAATAACTGCTGAATGATATCGGAAATGGACAAACCAATCATGTTGATCCCCGTTGACAATAAACCCAACAAATGCTTAGCATACAGCAAGTGAAGTGGATAGTTTGACTTTGAGGCACCTTCAATATTGATGCGGTTTAAAGTAGCCAACAATGTGGAGCAACTAACAAACCTTAGCTGAATCGGAATCCATGTCACACACAACTCCAATAGAACAATTCCCCAATCCAAATTGATATTTGTTGTGAATACGTGTTGAACTACGGCCCTCGTGACTTCTGATATTTGAGAAGCTGCGTTGTTGTTGAAAAATGCTCTCAATGCATTCATTGCTTCCTCATTGACATCGGTCAAAGTTAACGAATCGTTATCGAAATCAACTTCAATTTGGTTATTGACTTGAGTTTGAGATTTCTGCAGTTGCACACGCGACAATCTCTTTCCATCAGATTCAACGTTGAGGCTTGATTTCAACCGTTGCATAAGACTGCTGATATTGTTATTATGCATTATAACTTGAATCAAAAATGGGATCGAAACAGCAATGAATTTCTTTGAGCTGCTGCTTGTGAAGCCTAAACAATTGGAGATTGCATAAATAGCCTTTAATGAAACCATTTGCCAATCGTATTGGTTTTGAGAAATATTCTTTTCCTTCCCAAAGGAGATCAATTGTTGAGTAAGGTCAGTAAAATCTTGTACAAACTCCTTGTCACCACCAAAAAGCGCTCCATCCATTTTCTCACACAATTCGGCATATGTTTTAACCACACTCTTGCACACAGCTATATCCTTTGTATCGAGACAGATTTTGAGAATTATACAAGCTTGAGGAGCAAACACATTCAAATTCTCACTACACTTGACAATCAATTCCTTAATGATTGCCAATGTGACTTGTAAATTTCCTGTACGATTTCGTGCAGCATCATGTTGAGTTTTCTCTCTGAGGAAATGAATCACCTTTTCCAACTTGACTCTACGTGTTGATGCGTAGTACAACAAATAGCTCAACTCAGATGAGTTGGGTTTCTTGTCGGTCGCCTTACCAGCGGGGTAACACTGAAGAATGAGTTTTTGATGTTTATGTTGAAAGATTTTGTTCATGGATGGCGATGGAAATGTATTGGCGATTAGATGATAGCTTTTATCGGATTTCAAGTAGCTTGTAGGGGTTAAAGCGTTTAGTTGTGCGATCTATAATGTTGGATCCGAGGATTTTAATTCTGTTGAACAAAACTCGTGGTGTCGAGCTTTAAGACAGTGGTTGTCGTCGTGGTTGTGGTCTGTGCGGCCAATCAATGGTTAGAATACTTTCGTGGATCTTCGAAAAGTAATTGTGATAGGATCCGGTTAAAGCCTTTCCCTTGACTGTTTATATACTTTGTCGTGAAGTGTATTATCCTTTATTGTTTTTTTGTACTCGAAACAAAGTGGGGAGGAGGTTGAGGAGAGGAACAAATGAGATTTTGCATCTGATTTTTATATTTCCTTTCTCTCTTTTTGTTCAACATTCAAAAAATTTATTACCAAATAGAGTAACTGAAATGAAAACTTTAATTGAAATACGTATCATTTTAGGATTACACACTTGATGTTTTTTTTTTTTAATACAGTATCTGGTTGAAGGTGTGTGTGTTGCAGGGAATAATGTAACCAATGGTGTAGTTCGTAAAATTGTGTCACCCCGAACAAACGACGAAATGCGAGATATACTTGCATTGCTAACAAGGAGTAGAAGGGGTTGGGGTGGAGTACAGGCTCCAGCTACTTAGGTACATATAGTCAATACTCTCCACGTTGCTTGGCGTGGTCTCACTATTGTCTTGAATCATTCATGTAACTATATTCGTGGTTTAAACAGTAACGCCGCACCGGAAAATTATCTTATCAAACCGTCTTGATTTCTCATCTTACAAACCATACTACATCAGCAATACATTCCAGAGATGTCTTCATACGTTAAAGGGGGCGCATGGACAAGTATAGAAGATGAAATTTTAAAAGCAGCTGTACAAAAATACGGCACCAATCAATGGGCAAGAGTTTCTTCATTGTTGCCCAAAAAGACAGCGGCTCAAGCGAAGTCGCGATGGGTGGAATGGTTGAATCCGTTGATCAGTAAGTCTGGATGGACATCTGAACAGGATAAACGATTGATTGAACTCACTCGACTATTACCCAATCAATGGAGATCCATAGCTTCCATTATAGGGAGGACAGCAACTCAATGTATCGAGCGATATCAACTATTGATAGATGAAGCGTCAGGGAGTGAGAGCAATAATGACTTGAAATTAACTGGCCCGGGGATCGAAACTTTACCAGCAGTGGGCCAACCAACTGCTCAAATTATTGATAATGAAGCAGTACATGACCCAAATTTTGCTCATGAAACTCAACCTGCCAAGTTGGAATCCGATGAGGATGAGGACATGGAAGATGATGATCGGGAAATGCTTGCTGAGGCTAAAGCTAGATTATCCAATACTCAGGGTAAAAAGGCGAAACGTAAAGCTCGTGAAAGAATGTTGGATGAAAGTAAAAGATTAGCATTGCTTCAAAAGAGAAGAGATATGAAGGCAGCGGGACTCAACATTAGCTTGCAAGCGAAGAACAAACGAGCAAAGAAAGAGTTTGACTACAATGCAGATATACCTCACGAAATTGTACCCCCTGCTGGACCTTATGATGTAAGTGAAGAGAATAGAGAAAATGAAGTGGAATTGGAGCAATTTTTGAACAAGGTGGCTCACCTGGGAATGAGCTTGAAGGAAATTGATGACAAAATTGATGCTATGCAAGAAAAGTCTAAAGTAGAAAAGAAGAGGCGACGTAAAAGTGATTCGGATAAAGACCATGAAGAGTCCAACTTGAGGGAGGAGATAGAGTTCAAGAGACAAAAGGGGGCATCCACTGAGTCAGTGACTGAAAAGAAAAAGCCGGAAATTACACTACCAACTCCTACAAAGAAGCCTAATAAGGCCCTTGCATCAGTTGCGAAAGCTTTTTTTGAGAAGTTACCCGAGCCCAAGCATCATAATGGTGTGCCTGCTCCAATACATAATGAATGCCGTAATGGCAAAAACTCAGTAGCACCGAGCTCTGCGATGGCTGATGCAATACCACAGAGAGTTGCTTTATGTCGAAAGGGCACAATACAGAGAGTTTCTCAAGTTATACAGAGAGACTTGGTAATTCCCGATCCACATGGGTTGAAAAAGTGGGCTGCAAACTCAAAAGATGATGGTACCCAAAAAGAACTTGCTGAAGAGTTTAAATATTTGATAGCCGCAGATTATCGAATGTCCAAAGATCCTAGTTTTTGTACTTCATTAGTTGTGGAGGTTAACAAAGAAACATTTGACAAGGTGAGTAGAGAAGTTGAAGCGGAATGTATAAAGTTGCAAGAGGCAAAGAAAGGACGCCTGTCTGCCGCAAAATCTTTACTTTCGGACGTGGTTGTCGACAGATTACTAGATTCCCTAGATGGTCCAAAGAGCTCCACTGGGACCGATGATGCCAAGAATGAAACACACGGAGCGGAAGTGGAGAGTCGGATTCAAAATTCATCAGACGCAGTAGATAGACCACGTCAATCTCACTCGCATGATGATGTAATGTCTATTGAGGCTGAAATCGAAGGGTTTAAACAAGAAGCAAGACAGATTTTTGACCGCCTTGAACTTGTTCGAGGAAGATTACAGTCAAATGAAATTCAAAATGTATAGGAAGTGTTTAGGATCAATGTTACAAATAGGGCACGATGATTAGCGGCTTTTCATTTGTAGACGTATCGATCAAAAAAAAAAAAAAATGCTGTACAATGTTGCTGCTTGGCGCGCATTTTTTGCGATAAAGTTCCATGCGAAAAAGAGGTCAGACCAGTGTTTATCTTTTGCCTCCACCAACCAAACCATGACCACAAATTTGTTGAATGTTCCATTCAAGCTGTCTCGTCCGCTAAATTTAGGTGAAGAATTGAGCAAAACAATAAGTGAACGGTTTTTCCAGCCTGCATCCTCATTCAAATCTGACTTATCATACCTCACAACACTTCGCAATGAGATTACCGATTTTAGCATCAATACCACTGCAACAGGATCAAAAACAGAGCTTTCAGCCCACTTGGATAAATTCTACGATTATCTATCTATACTAACCACAGTTGAGCAGAAATTCCCGCACGATTGTGTTGAATTTGCTTGGTTTATCACCATATATAATTCACCTATTGGCCCTATAAAGTTGCGATCCTTCAAGTATGAGAAATTGTGCATTATTTTCCAAATTGGTGTTTGTTACTCCCACCTTGCCTTGAGAGAGTCTAGGAGTACGGATGAAGGGCTCAAAAACTCGTGTCAGTATTTCCAAAATGCTGCTGGATGTTTTTCAAATATACTTGAAATCGTTTCAAATGAACCGTATATTGAAATTTCTGGAGATCTCAAATACCAGACGATATCTTGTCTTAAGGAGCTCATGCTTGCAGAGGCTCAGGAAACTATTTGGCAAAAGGCAAGAAACAATGGATCTACCAAGGACTCGGTTATAGCGAGACTTTCATTTCAGACATCTAAGTACTATGCAGATGCATTGAAATTCGCCACGCTGTCGGATTTTATCAAGTTGGAATGGGTCAATCATATTGCTGTAAAGAGGTATCACTTTTTGGCTGCTGCACATTATAGAAGCAGCATAGTGGCATTAAATTCGTTTCAATACGGTGAGCAAGTTGCACATTTACGAGTTGCATCAGAGGCTATTGCTCAAGCATTGAAACATAAGAAATATGTGAGTGATTACGTGGTTGAGGATGCGACAGGGTTAGCTGAAACCATACGTTCTGCTTATAAAGTGGCAGAAAAAGACAATGATTTGATCTATTTAAAGATTGTTCCATCGAATAGTGAGCTCAAGCCCATAAATGGAGTATCAATGGTAAATGCAAATGAATCTGTGATTGGTGAACATATACAACCAAAAGCATTGTTCAAAGATTTATTACCATATGTTGTAGTCCACTCAGCGCAAGCATTTAAAGAGAGAACCGAGGAGTACATCAGAGTCAAAGTATACGAGCCAATTCAAAATCTAAACTACTCGATTGGCAAATTCCTCAATGAACGAAATCTCCCTGCCAGTATTGATGCACTTCAGCAACCTGAAAACTTGCCCGAAAGTATCCTCAATCACTCTCGAGAAATTATGAACTTGGGTGGTTTACAAGTGATTGAAACTTCACTTTTGGAGATTCATCGATTAAGCAATGAATGTAACACACTTGTTGCTGAATGTCAAAATCGAATCGATTTGGATAAGCGTGAAGATCAAATGTTGAAGGGAAAACAAGGAGGTCACGAGATCAAGCGGAGCCGCTCCGATCAAACTGCTGCAAAATTGTCTGCCAAGATTCAAAGGATGAAGGAGTATTTAGCAGAAGCGAAAAAGGGGGACGATGTGGTGGTGAAGAGATTTTTAGAAATTAAAAGTATTCTTGAAGTTTATGTTGGTGGATTCCGATCTTTGAACAAATTTGTCCCCAATTCCAACTACATTAAACTCGATCAGCGGATTGCGGATGTAGTCACTGACTTGAGAAGTCATATTGACCAATTACAATCACTTGAGTCAGAACGACAGAAATTTCTTCGTCAGATTGATGTCAAGATCAAGAATAATGATATATTAGCCAAGTTGGTTGACGCATATAAACTGAATGACAAGGACATGTATGATGAACAGGGACATTTCAACTCATCCAAGTTTGAACTTGTGTACGAAGACCATTTGAAATCATTCAATACTGACTTGTCATTTTTTGACAAGACTAAATCAGATCAAGAAGATCTTGAGCGAAAGATTGACAACATAAACAATAGATTTATTCATGAATACAAGTCGATTGTGACATCAACACAACGGAATAGACAAGATGCGTTACAGAGTTTAGATACCGCGCATGTGAAGTATAATGAAATCTTGTTCAATTTATCTGAAGGTTCGAATTTCTATAATGATTTTATAACAAAGGGATCCGCGGTGCTTCATGATTGCGAGGACTATTTAAGCAAGAGAAGATTAGAGAGTCGGGAAATTGAGATGCTGATTATGAAACGAGAGGAAGGATTGGGTCAATTTGATGAAGGAGACAGAGCTCTGTCTCCACCGCCCGTCATTTCCCTGATTGCCGTGAAGTCGAATGTTTGGGATCCAAAATCTGATATCAAGTTTGGTTAAATCCAAAGACAGATACAGAAAAAAGAGAGTTGAGACTTTTCCCAAGAGTTGTGTTGTACAATTACACATATAAATAGAAAGAAGCAAGATTGTAGATGATGCATAGAATACCCTTTTCCAACTGTAACCCATCAGGTTTGTTGCTGGTGGCCGCCTAAACTAATTTTCTCTCCTCTTTTAAACTCTCTGGCTCAACCCTGATCAGTAATCTCATCCGGAGAGAGTTTCTGGTAAAACTACTTTTGCTTCCACAAGTCATAAGATTATTAGCATTAGGAAAGGCTGCAAAATCAACATCTAGTTTTTGTTGTGCAGATGCGAGATCCTTTTACAAGCCTAACAAAGGCGCATCCTTGAGTAAACATTTGGTCAATTTATCCCTCCTTTTTTTATAATTATTTAATTAGTATTTCAGGAGTTTGAGCTGATCTTTAAATGGTATCGTCGTCCATACTTCCATGCGCTTCGGAGGAAATCCAGTCGCCGGCATAGAAGTACATCCAGTCTTTTTCATCAACGTTGTCTCCAAATGCTGTTTCTTTCAATGGGAATCCTTGCTTGAGCAAAGCACTCAAAATCCAATTTTGTGCCAAATAAAGAATAATAAGCTAAAAGAAATAAAATAAATACAAAAGAATATAAATAATTTGAAATCGTACTTGGTAAACTTACCAAGTATCAAAACTGACCTCAATTTATCAGTAGTTAACATTTGTAACAATTTTATGGCCATGTTTTGTAATGGATACTTTGGTATATTGGAAATTGCATATAATTGAAATGCCAAGTCGTTATATCCATCCGTTGTACGAATAAGGTCTCCAAATTAGAACAACGCCCATGGTACACCTAATTCGCTCATTTGGTCCCAAGATTTATTTTCATCCAACTCCATAGAGTCCTATGAAAGGAGAGATTCTTTCATGGCGTCATTAAAATCATGTTCATCGACGATTTCCTCAATGTCATGAAAGGGCGTGACTGTCAACACAAGTCTAATTTCCAATGCCTTTGACCTCTCTCTTTGAATCAAAATGTGAAAGAATGTTCGATTTGGTGACTCGTGCTTGCGTTTCATTAATCTCTCACAAAGGTTGATTTTGTCATTAATGTGGCAAATTACACCCTTTATTTTTTGATTTCAATGTTGTAAAGTCGAACCCATGATCGAAAGCTTGCAACTCGGGGACGTATGGTATAATCCTAAATCAAAGAAGTTGCTTACGTGGTTGTCCCTATCAACTAGTGTGGCGAATTGCTTCATCGACATATCTATGAGCTGGATATCAACTTCAACAAATTGAAGAAAGAACTTCACTTTATTATTGTGTCTGGATCTAATTTCAATGTCATCCACTTGAGGAATACCTCCTGTTGTGTGCCATTCTTGAAATGCTTATAATGCATCTTTGATATATAGCCGTGAAATTTTTTACAACATCTTTAATTTCGTAATTCAATGTAGTCTGAGGAAACCGCATGGGTACTGTCAACTCTTCAGAATAACATTTAGGAAAAGCAAAACGTTGGAATTCATCACTTGCATTCAAGACTTCGGTATCCTATTTAAAGTCGTCTAATAGTATTTGTCTTAAAGCTCCATTGTGCTTATGGGTGTTATGGTAGGATATTTTAATTCATGGGCCGTTCAATAATAAAGTTGTATAAGGGGTCATTCGGAATGAACAGTGAAATTTCATGCTGACTTAAGTAGCTGGTGCAACATCTCGATGGTACGTAGTTGATCCCATAGTGTTTAGATTGTGAAGCTTATCCTCTGACTTTTCTTTTTGAAGTTTCGGTTGATCCAAAGCTTTGACACACTTGGTTGCAACGTAGTGGGCAGGTAATTCCAAACGTGGTAATGTAACAGCATGTTTCCTGAGCAATATCTTAGGACTTGCTCGGCAAGAAAGCATGTAAAAGTTGTGTAGTAGTGGGGAAGGGGGTAGGAGAGGGGGGAGCGTCTTTTTTTTACAACAATTAAAATCTGAATGCAAAGCTCAAGATCCCTATATCAACTAAGTCTATACAAAGCGTAATACTTCTGTCACGTAAAGATAAAAATACTACAAGTGCACTTTATACCCTTTGTTCTTTGTTGTTAAATAATCACCATGATGAAACAGCAGTGAAGTTTGGAAGAGGCGAAGGGGGATAAATAATAAAAAAAGAGTTTCATTGGGAGGGGGGGTTACAAGGTCTTTACTAAATAAGGTTTATGATATAAAACGCGCCATCAATGAATAGTATTAAGTTAATCGGGATAGAATTAAGAAGAGTTGGTGGAAAAAAAGTATCTGTTAAATGTATGAACCGTTTGTGGGGGTAAGAGTGTAGTGCACAGGCGGAGATCAGGAGGCAAGTCATGGGAGCATTCCGTATATGACTGTAGATAGAATGTATTATGAGACACACAACATATTGTAGATACGTGAAATACTGTTTGAAATATTCACAAATTCAATTATACCTAAGACGATTTTTGATGGTTCCAACGTTTTAATACTAAATTGAAAGATCTTTGACTATTTATGTGAAAGTCAAACTGTTTCGAAATTGTTGCAAAAAGCGAACAGGGATGATATTATTTAGCAAACACTGCTAGCAAACACAATGCCACGAAATTGTTACTGGGGTTAGGGAGTGAAAACATCAATCATGAAAGCTACTATACAGGGGGTGTCTTTTTCTTTTTCTTAATGAAGAGTATACACAATCACATGCTAATGGGGTAATCTCGTGATGGTTAGAATTTTGACGTTTTTCGAAAAACTCATAACCTATTTTGGTGGAACATGAACCGGAGTTAAAAACTGAAATAACCATTGGGGGTTATGATTATTATACTAATTGAAATCACATGGAAACAACCGCTTTGGAATCATTACAAGAAATTGATCGAGAAATTTGGTTCAAATCAATTGCTTTGATTAGTTTCAATGCCCTATAATCAGAAGATCATGTCAGCGATGTAGATTTCCCTCTCTCGCGTATTGCATATAATCTTTAATATGCAAAGCTAACGACTGAGTCAATCAAATGAAGTGAGGGGTAATTTTAGATAGCATCATTCACTAAAAATGTATGCACAACGGTATTTAAAACAAATAGGGGGGAGTGGGCTTTCTACATGGTGTGTCTAGAATTACTCTTTACTACCAAAAACTAAAAATCAATCGGTGCTACAACTCCGTGAAATATACATATACCAATGCAGTATGTACAATGATCGTGACATTGATGAATTCTTTACCATTTCTCTTAGTTCACATTGCAGGTGTAAATTGTACATGACCTTTCCCGATATACATACAAAAACGTTTGTGTTATCACGAACTGAAATTTGGAAAAGAAATTTAAATTTGAATCTAGAGAAACCGCTTTGTCGAACGTTTTCAAGGCACATACCAATCACATGTTTTTTTTGAAGGAATTGTTCTAGAACAATGTAGAAAAGGAAGGATCTAGAGGTATACCCACATTCACTGTTTAATACCAGGTTGTAAGTGTTTTGTTTTACTTCAACCAATGGATGCCTACTTTTTTTGTTGGAGTCAGTTTATCTATCGTATGCTACGATAATAGTGGTTAACCTAATAGAATAGTGGGGACAAAGAAACGATGATTAAGCGAATATTGTTTGAGGCGGCCCCAATGCATACAATGTATTATGAAAAAAGAAGGGTGAAAGACAGTAATAGCACAAACAAGTAAAGCTTTAGTCCGTGATACATGGGCTTCTTTCTTTTTTGCTTCACTACAATACCGGTTAGTAAAACAAAGTAGCGTTGTGAACAGGGCTCATTTATGTATGGATAGAACTTCGAACTTTCTGCTGTTCTGATGGTTTATACTTTGAAGTATGGATCCATGGCAAAAAACTGTTTTTTCCTGAACTGGTTGGAATTATTTCTTGTACATATACTGTTTGTGTCACGAATATATGGAATGTGGTCTGATGCATGAATCCATAGACTAAAAAAAAAAAAACATTGGAGTAGATACAATATATGGGAAGAAAAGGCACCCATCACAAAAGACAATTAAAAAAATAGACTCTACATATCATCGGATGTTTCTATTATAAAAATACTTTGCTTCGTATGCTAAATGATAATACTAATACGAAGTTCAGAAGAAGTGCCCTTCCTACTATTGAAAAGACTTGAAGCATTAAGAAATAGCAAAGAAATAAAGTTCGTTTTACCAATTGAGTACCATTAGTGTATGCGACATACCGCATTTGACTCTTCTTAGGTCTTCTTCTCGTATTGAGTTATGGACTCAACCAGTCACATGATCAATTGTGTTTTTGAAACTAAGTAAAAAAAGGAGATATAATTGGGTAGAAATTATAATCAAGACTAAAATCAAAACATACAAGTAACACATGAGGATTATAGCTCTTTTTTGGCATATACCAATTGCATAAATTTAGTAGGTTCATATTTACAGTGGAAAGGTGGGGAATATAGTATCAACATCCTCCTTACCCCTCAATGACGTAAACTTAATTAAGGATACTCTATCCATTACAATACTTAGCATTAGTTGTTACCGTGTTTATTGTTTCCGTGTTTGCCTTGTAAGCGCATAATATATTCTCAGTTCAAGGTAGTTGTGTTTTTTTTTTGGTTTGTACCCTATACTTATATTTCTCTTCTGAACAAAAACGCTTCAATAAAAAGGGATACAGAGAACACCTAGCTTTGCTCGGGGTGGAGCTGGAGGATGCGACTATTGGCCATAATTACAAGTCTATCATACAAAGGTAAACTAAATAATATGCGACTAGAATATAGTGTGTGTGTGTGTGTATATTTTATATGTAGTAATACAACCGTTGACAAGAAAAAAAAAAACAAAGGGAGGAGATTTATAACACAAAAACACGAAGAACCATTTTCAATAATATATAACAAGCGCAGTGCGTGTACTATTCACCAAAAAAGCAAACTGGTAGCAAGAGAGTAACCAAGAGAGTAACCAATTACTTCAAGCTGACACAAAGACTGAATAAAAGAAAATTTCTTTTTCTTGCTTTTTGGTTAAAAAGAAAGAAAAAAAGAAATTTAAAGTTTGCCTGGTTTGATAAACTCTGCTTTGTATATTGTCTACACATATAATAGCATAGAGTTAGTAAACCACACATCTAAACATCATACACCCAGACTATAAAACATATCTACTATCCAACTCCGTTTATTGAATCACACGAGCATAGCATAATTGGTATTGAACCACACAAGACTAGTCTACTCACACCAAAAGGACACATTCTCTCTTGCTTATCTACTTGCTAAGCCAAATACCACCAGCAGCACCAGCAATAGCAGCTCCACCAGATCTACTACCACCATTGGCTAGAAATTGGAGACAAAGGGGCTTTGGTAAGAAGGGTAATAAGAACAAGAGAGCTAGAGATAAGACCCCAATCCTGATCATATTTACTTGGATGGCACATACTTGAGAATGTCACAGCCACGACAACAAGCTCCACAACAGCAGCAGCAACAGCAGCAGTCTCAAAATGCGACAAGTATCAGCCGAGCCACCACTCCAGCAACCATAGAGTCAACTGAGTCATCATCGCCATTACCATCAACTAATCAAACATTGCCTTCGTCGTTAAACCCTGACCAACTACCTACTTCACCAGTATCCATATCATCATCAACATCGTCATCATCGCTGTCTGCTAAAGCAGTTAGTGTCTCTAGCTCAATAACCAACTCACCAACACCATTCAACCCACTACCGACAAGATCAATAAATTTTGCTGCATTGAACTCAAAGATACAACAGAAGCAGCACCATTCACACCCCCACCCACATGTAAATACCCAATTTCCAGCACGTAACCTGCCATCAAGTCTGGTTCCGACTCAAACTTCAACACCTAATACTATGTCTCCTACTCATTCCTCACTACCGTCTAGACTGCAATCACCAATTGTTCCACCTTTGCACGATTTGGTCAATGATTGCTTTCTTTTAACCATTGACAAATTACAAGATGATACACGAGCGTTTATTGCCAACTCATTCCATCAATGTGTTGCCAAACAACATTGTGAGGAAAATTTAGAGTTTTTGATTGATATCTATCGTTATGAATATGAGTACAACTTGAAGGTGCTCACATCGTCATTGAACAATGCCAGTAACTCGACTACCGCTTCCACCACTAACCCACCTTCTTTGTCTACTTCACTCAACTCAAAAGCTGTCATTAACGGATTCAATCATGAAGAAGCCACCTCTATGGCAAAGATGAAATTAAATGCTCCAAGTCCTTGTATAACGCCCACCACTCATGGCGCCAGTACTGCTTCGTTATTTAGACGTCATCAAAAGACTTCATCGGTAGCTTCATTTGAATCACTCAAAAAGAAACATTCAATAAGGTCAGAGGAATTGGATCCACAACAAGCATTTGTCTCCACTATTGATGATTTGGATTTGAATGCACCTTGGGATTCATTTGGTGAACTGCACGTTGGTGAAGACGAAGAATATAGCGATGATGAAGAAGATGAGGAGCAACCGAATACTCAAGATGTTGCTGAACTTCTTGCTAAAAAAGATTTACAACAGTTGAATGAACGTTGGTTATTCATAATGAACAACTACATCAAACATGATTCACCATCGCAAATAAATATTTCTCAGAAATTGTTTAAAGAGATTGTTCAAGAATCATCAGTTTGTAAATTACATGATCCCATCATTTTACTCAAAGCTAGAAACGAAGTGTTGCAGATTTTGAAAGAAAATTGTTATAGTTCATTTGCTAGTAAATTCAAGAAACAAATGGCACAACCTTGTGGTGGGCAAGAAGGCGTATGTTGTTCATGTGGAATGGAGGAGAACAAAGCGGGTAATTATAGAGCTCTTAGCCCAAGCATGAATAACAACAACGATAGCATGTTGACCTTGGAAGGGATCGTGACTGGTGATTCAACTGCTACTACAACTTCGTGTAATGAATGTCGAGAGATCCCATCATCTAGTACCACTTCTACCATGACTACTTCATCAATGTTTACACCAGGAGCAGACAAACTGCAACAACCACATAGACACCACCATTTATACCACCACCACCATTATCATCATCATCATTCAAGGAACCAAGACTCTCCAAACATGTCATCTTCTTCCTCAATTGCTGCATCTTTATTGGGTAAATTATCATTACCTAAAAGATCAAAGACTGTCAAGCACCCAGATCCACAAGTACAACAACAAAATGGCAATATTACGTCTCCGCTATATGGCGAATTGAGTCCACCTTCGTCAAATTCATCATCGATGCTGAATATCTTTGGCAATGCTAAGTTTGCACTTGGCAGTAGTGGTGCTGGAGCCGGTGGAGATGCATCACCATCTCCTAGTTCAGTGGCTAGTTCAACTAGAGGAATACCGATTTCATCACCATCAGTGAGAAAACAACAACCAGCAACCATACAACAGACACCAACGGCAATGGTAACCCCGGCACAAGGTACAACTAATGCATCAACATCTGCCACTCCATTACAGGCTCAGTCATTGCCCATCCCTCGATCATCCAATGGCAGTCCCATCTCATTGAATTCAGTAGTTAGCAATGCGCAAAAAGATCGTGATCGTGATCGTGATCGTGAAGGCGGACCACCAGTTAGTAGTACTGGCTCATTGAGTTCATCATTGAAGTTTTGGAAGAGGAAGTAGAAGTTTCGTTTTTCCGTTGGGTTTTGCATTTGCATTGCTTTTGCTTTATTAGACCTGTTTTTTTTTAGAGAGTTGTGATTTCATCCGAATTTATAGATTTTTGTATTACTTTTATATTATAGAGAGGAGTTTAGGTTTCGGCAAACATGTTGTAGTATGGTGTAAAGAATAGAGGTCTAGGTCTCTACATTATTTACTTTGATTTATAACATAACATTTCACAAAAAAAATTCCCATAGGATTGACGAAACGGATAAATCCATTATGTATAGTTCCAGGATGAAATTCGTTAGGAAATGCAAAAACGAAACAGTGGGTATCCGTACGACAATTCAAAAGCATAATTTCAAACTTAAAGCACAGTCATGGTGGGGACCCTTTCTAGCCAAAAAGAGTGACAATCAATTGAAATGGTTCCAAAGAATTGCTTGCTTAGCGACGGCACGGAAAGGAGTCGATCGTTTTAATGGCTAGCCAATTTAGGAACAGAGTACGAATCCTGCAAAGAAACGCTCCTCTCGAGAAGAAATCATCAAATGATAATGATGAAGAACACCCACTAGTTGATCTACACATCACATCACTTCGATTTTAACTTTCGTTTTCATTCTCATTAAGCTCAAGATTAGAAATGTTGTTGAAAATCTTTGTTTAGTTTTTCAACAATTCCCTGAATCAAGAAGAAAAGGAAACAAATTCTCCAAAAACTGCTCTATCGGTAGATAGTCATAATCGGTCGGTAATTGAAATGTGAAATATTGAGCCGGCTTGCAGAACAAACACAAAAAGTATCTGCTTCTCAACACAATATCAAAGAGATGATGTTCAAAATAATCTTTTGATAAAAAATGCTTTTCTAGATGATTTTTTGAAAGAGGTTTGTTGTGCTCTTAATATATTTTTTTGTGTTTCATGGACGCAGTGCGGAAGGGTGGAGAAATATTAACTGCACAAAGCCACACATTATACGATTCTCTGATTGTAAACTCTTCCGACGTTGTTCACAATACCCTCAAGTAAGGGTTACTCTAGAATGACCTCGTTGCTATTTATGTATCGCACGTTAGCTTTCGGCATATACAATTGAGGGGTATTCCTGTTTCTTTAAAAGAATAACCTTAGTAAGCCCCTGGGGTGGGTTCTAATAGAGATGATTGTAATGGTGTGGCTACAAGTTTTTGCTTCTAATTTACATAAGTAAAGTAGCGTTAGTACACTAAACTCAAACTGGAACTTACCGAAGATTATAACTGAGTTACGAAGTATCATCAATTTCCGCAATCATTCCCGAACATTTATTCTAAAATTTACCCACGATTCGCCTCCACTTGTGAGTTTTGGCAATCATGAGAAACACACACGCTCCACAACTTGGTGGTAGATTTGGTATATATGAACACCAGTCATCTTTCCACTAAATGTAAAGAAAATACAATCCATTCACTCTGACATGCTCGTATAGGGTTCCATGACCTCAATATTATCATAGATTCCAAGAGCCATGACAATACTAATCCATCCTATTCTCCCGCCAACTCAAGATTAGAAACGAATGAAATGAAAAAGCTAAATTATTGGTATTTCGCCCGTTCCTTGAATTAAGTGCTGGCATGATTTGAGCAATCAAGTCCGTGACATCTTATTATATAACATGATAACACATTATAACGCATGGGAGTTAATGAAAGTAGCTAATTATGAGGAGGATGTAATCAAAATATGCTGTCTTTTTTTTACCCTCTTCTTTGCTCAACCCTTTCTTATATCAACAACAACGAGTGTCGTGAAATTTCATTACTTACGACATTCAACTCTACATTTCCTAATGGGGACATTACAACCAGCAAATTCCCTTTCTTCTACAATCATGCCATTGCAACACTTTCGAAAGCAAATTTGTATAATTATACGATTGACTCCGATTTCAGTCAGCCTAGACTACAACACACGTTCCAGAGAAGATCTTTCTTATCATTTCTTTCTTCCCAAAAAAAAAAAACGGTGTCGTATTAGAATTTATGACGACATTTTATCACTTTGACTTTCCTTATCGGCGATATAATTACAAAAAGTACACAAATTTCTAATCTGATGTCAGAATTCCAACAGAGGTAAGAGTGTAGAGAAAAACAGCATACCCCCCCCTAATGAGTGCAGACCATGACAAGAAACTTCATCCTCACCGTAGTAAAGAATAGCTCAAGTTAAAATTTAGGAAATGCAGAGCTGTGTTTATACATTATCGCTGGTAATCTAATCTCTCCCTCGATGTAATGGACAGGAACAGAATAATAAAATTTATTTCCGAATAGCAACCTTTCTCTTATCAAGTCCATAATATAACCACAGTTCTATCTACCCTGAGTGCAACTCACTGAACACCAATTGATGAGCAAGTTGGTATATCCGGATAAGAGGTAAAATTATTCGGTGTGTAAGAAGCACAGTTCAGTTCTTCCATGGGTGTCGAGTCAAGTAATAAAACGGAAAGGAGGTCAACCACTCCTCAACCGCAGCAAGCACAACAACAACAACAGCATAATGTACAAGTATCATCGCAATCACACATATCAATTGGTGATGTTGCTGACCATGTGCACGACAAATTAGTTGAGTCTCCCCTTACGGACCCACAGTCACAGCGCGGGGGATCCCCACTCTCACTTGACCCACTAAGAACACCCTCTCCAAAACCATTCCCTTCGCAATCGGCTCCCAGTCAAGATGGAACTTTTGCAAATTTTCAATTACCCAATGACATTTTGAAAAACTTGACCCCAATAATCAAATCTCCCCCTAAGGACAAGACAAAACAACATATTCGCAAACAAGCCTACATGCGTAATGCTCAGTTAAAGATAAGCGCTAGAAACAATCGAGTTGAAAAGCAGGTGAGGAATTGGAAAAGACAACAACATGAATTTATTCAGTATCAGAGTGCAAGATTGACGGAGCTGTTGCAACAAGCGAAAATACGAAGAGAAGAGTATTTGAAGATGGTGCGAGAAAAAGCAGTCAGATTTGTCAAGAATGAAGCGAGAAGGCATATTGCAGGTGAATCTGATCAAGGCTTGTTATCTCTTCTTCTGCAGACGAGATCATCCGAATCAACATTTTGCTTTGTTGAGCAAGATGCAATTACACAAGCAAGTCTTGTATACCTTTCAAGATGGTCCAAAAAGGTGCTTTTCCAAAAACATGTTGCTTTTCTTCGTAACTCGTCTTTTTTAGACAAACATGAGTCGATGCCGCTTAACGAAACCTTGTCAATCTTCAATACCGATTCCAGCATCAAATTGAGTATTGCATACGTTTTGAAGTACTTGGGGATAATTGCAAACCCATTCGAGTTAAGAATGTTTCTTTATTGTTTTATCATGGTTGCTGATTTCAATGATTGTATGATTAATGGACCCCATCCTGGATTCAACTACAATTTGGAAATAAAAACCAAAGATCAGGAGAAGTCAAACACTACCAAAAATTGTATTTGGGTAATGCTTTATAAACTTACGACATGTTTGTTGCAGGAGTTTAAGCGTGTCATTAACACCACACCACAGATTCTGCAAAAATTTCGCAAGTACTGGACTGATTACAAGTTCATGTTTAAAATTTTCAAGTGGAATCATTTCATTGGTATAAAACATCTACTTTCCAGCTCTATTTCAATTGTCGAGGAGCAACTATCACGCATATCTAATGACGACCATTTGTATCATCAAAAAACAAAATTGAATTCGGAAATGTCTTTGTTGAACAAGTACAATTTGGTTGCGTTGAGGGAGTTTAACCAGTCCGCAGAGGTTGCACAGTTTACGAAGCTAATTTCTAATACAGTTGAGGAATTGTACACAAACTTTGATGCCAAGCCCCCTAGCTTTATCCAAAATCAACCCAATTTCATTTGTTTTGATTTATTGAAGTTCCATATACCTGATTTCATCCCGATTAGCAAATGGAGACTATATTGGATGGATGTGTTTTTCAAAGAGTTTGAATCGAATCGTTTACATCCAGCCAAGCTTAAAACTGGTTACTTAGGTGAAGTGCAATCCAAAACTCGCAATATCGATTACATCAATTGGGTTGATACGTTGATGAACATGGATGCCTTTTCTTTGCAGCAAACATATGAGATATTGTATGACTATTACTTGGAGTTTTCTGGTGTTTTTTCCTTATCTGGTTTGGTTGAAGGTGGTGATGACCTACAAAAGGTACAAAATTTAATCAGGCATTATGATAAAAAGAATAAATTGGTGCAATTCACACGCCTTGATTTAGACAATGATGAAGTTTTGCAACTAAAGTACTCAGTTGTGATTATGTGGTTACAAAAGTCTCAATTCAACAAGTTTGATGATTTTATCAATTTTGAAAACTTATACACAATTATCAATTTGAAAAATTTCAAAAACTTGCGGTATTCAATCTATACTCAGAATCCGAGTTTACTATTTCCTGAATTTTATAAATTGGTGATGAAGTTCTGCACATTGGATGTGGAGACACAATTGCAAAACATTGTTTATGCATCGTTCAAAAATAATTTAAACAACTTATTTCGTGGGAAGACGACGTTTAGCCAAGAGGCATTTCGGCTCTTTAATTGCATCTTCAATCAAATGGTTGTTCAAAAGGAATTTGATAATGAATTGAGTATCACTTTCAAGGACAAACTTAGTTATTATCATGAAACATTGAATTCTCACGTCAAGATGAATAGCATATCCTTGATGTTTCATTCCTTTACGGGGGGTCACCTACCTAGGAAGTGCTTAAAGGAGGCAGTTAAAAATTTGCATGTGCTTGCCAATGGACAGTTTGTTGCTTACTATGAGAACCACGGCGAGAAAATTTGCAACATATTGTTCACCAAATGGCAGACAATCATGGGCAAAGTAGCAGAAGGAAGTATCGCCATGACAGACTTGGACAACCGCTTGCAATCCGTGTTTCCCGAGTACACCCAAGACATTCTTCTTTTATCCTTGGAGATCACAAAATCTAACCAATTTTTTTACAAGTTGTATATGCCTATTTTAAATTGGATTTATGCTGACTTGAAACCAAATGGAGGTCAATCATGACTCGGTTCTGTGGGTTTAAGTCACTTTTAATAATTCTAGTTTCGTATTTCGTATTTAATTTAATGTTTGTTTAATTGTGAATAATGGGACTCTGTTTGACTCATCAATACTATATTTTGTGTAGTATCCTGCATATATATCTGTTAATTACTGATTTAACATGGCGGTTAATGAAAAATGCAATTACTCATTTGAGAAAAAAATTTTAATTTTGGTCTTTATACACTACCCTTTGCTTCCATATGGGAAAGGGAATTTTTTCGTTTATCGCTCTCCAATACCACAATTATATTTGTCAAGTTGAAAATTTTTTTCAAGTTTTGATTATCATTCTTCTTAGTCATTGATTACCCAGTGCCAATCCAAATCATCTTCCAAGCAAGTTAGTGATGTTGAAACTAGCTGCAGTCAAGAAAACTTCGGTATCCAAACCGATAGCCAGATCAATATTCAAAGCTTCAGCTACTTTTGCTAACAACAGGGCTTATCGCCCATTCAGCGCAACTCGAGTCATTACTAGCTCTAGCTCAACTAGAGCTTATTCCACAAAGTCAACTGTTATTCAATTATTAAACAACATTGGTTCCAAAAGAGAAGTTGAACAGTACTTGAAATACTTTACTTCAGTCAGCTCGCAACAATTCGCTGTCATCAAGGTCGGTGGTGCAATTATAACCCAACAATTGGATGAGCTAGCGTCATGTTTAGCTTTTTTATACCATGTTGGTTTATATCCTATTGTTTTACATGGTACGGGACCCCAAATTAACGAATTATTGGAAAATGAAGGTGTTGAACCTGAATATATTGATGGAATCAGAATCACTAATCCAAAGACAATGGAAGTGGTACGTAAATGTTTTCTTGAACAAAATTTGCGTTTGGTTACTGCTTTGGAAAAAATCGGTGTCCATGCACGTCCAATCACAGCTGGTGTTTTTCAAGCTGAATACTTGAACAAGGAAAAATATGACTTGGTTGGTAAAATTACCGGTGTTAACAAAGCGCCAGTTGAAGCTTCAATTAGTGCCGGGTATTTGCCCATTTTGACCAGTTTGGCTGAGACTCCAAGTGGTCAATTGTTGAATGTCAATGCCGATGTTGCTGCCGGGGAATTAGCTAGAGAATTTGAACCATTGAAAATCGTTTACTTGAACGAAAAAGGTGGTATCATCAACGGAAACACTGGGGAAAAGATTTCTATTATCAACTTGGACGAAGAGTATGAGGATTTGATGAAGGAAAGTTGGGTCAAGTATGGAACCAAGTTGAAAATTAAGGAGATCCACGACTTGTTACAACACTTACCTAGGTCATCTTCTGTTGCAATTATTGATGTGGATGACTTGCAGAAAGAATTGTTTACTGACTCGGGTGCTGGTACCTTGATTAGAAGGGGATACAAGTTGATCAATAGAGACTCCTTGAAGGAATTTGGCAATCCCGATTTATTGAGAACTGCTTTGTTGAGAGACCCAGAAATCAAAGCTGGTAAGTTGTCAGTTGCTTCATACTTGAAATACTTGGAATCTGTCAATTTCAAAAGTTATGGTGATGAGCCATTGGAAGTTTTGGCCATTGTAGTCGACAAAGAGGGTACTGTTCCTAAATTGGATAAGTTCTTGTCTTCAAAAACTGGTTGGTTAAACAATGTCACCGACAATATCTTCAACTCGATCAAAAAGGATTTCAAGTCATTGTGTTGGATCGTTGATGAAAATGATGCTAATTTATCATGGTATTTCTCCAAATCTGATGGTTCGTTTGCCAAGAATGGACAAATTATATTTTGGTACGGTTTAAACACTGAACAAGCTAGTGAATTGATAAAGGACTTTGACAACTCAGCAATTGGCTCGTCATTATCTTCAAGTAAAGAATCTGGTGTATTTTCCACTAATCAGCAAAAGAGAGGTCTTCATACAAGAAGTTTCGCAACAGCAACTTCATCGAACCCAAATCCCCCATTGAAAGAGGGAAAAAGTCAGGATAAGAAAAAAGTTGCTTTAATTGGAGCAAGAGGTTACACTGGTCAAAATTTAATTAAGCTCATTGATAATCATCCATACCTTGAGATCTCCCACGTTTCATCTCGTGAATTGGAGGGTCAACAATTGAAAGGCTACAACAAAGATACCATTATATATTCAAACTTGCAACCCGAAGACATCAAGAAATTAGAAGAAAATGGAGAAGTTGACATTTGGATCATGGCTTTACCCAATGGTGTTTGTAAGCCATTTGTTGATGTTATTGACTCTATTGGGAATCCAGATTCAAGAATCGTGGACTTGTCTGCTGACTACAGGTTTGATACTTCAGGAAATTGGGTTTATGGATTGCCGGAATTGAATGATCGTCAAACCATTGCCAGTGCCAAGAGAATTTCCAATCCGGGATGTTATGCGACAGCAGCCCAAGTTGCTATTGCTCCATTGAAGGAATACATAAATGGAAAACCTTCTATTTTTGGTGTTTCTGGCTACTCTGGTGCCGGTACCAAACCATCTCCTAAAAATGATGTCGAGAATTTGACAAACAATCTTATCCCTTATTCATTGACTGATCATGTCCATGAAAGAGAAATCTCGAACCAATTAGGCTTGACTGTGCATTTTACACCTCACGTAGCGCAATGGTTCCAAGGAATATCACACACCATCAATATTCCAATCAAGCAAGGTTCACTAACTTCAAGAGAAGTGAGAAACATCTTTCAAGACAGATACAAAGGAGAAGAATTGATCACCATCACTGGTGAAGCTCCCTTGGTTAAGGAGATCAGTGGTAAACATGGAGTGGTGGTTGGTGGATTTGCGGTAAACTCAAACGAAGATAGAGTTGTTATTGTTGCCACTATAGACAATTTATTGAAGGGTGCTGCAACTCAATGTTTACAAAACATCAACTTGGTGCTGGGTTTTGGTGAGTATGAGGGTATCCCACTTGATCATTAGATAGAGAAAGTGTGTACATTATAGACATATAAAACAGCACATATAACAATTGATGGAGCTGTCTTTTGTGTAGAGGAGTTTGCGAATTGGTTCAGTGCAGCGGTTTTATTTTTTTTATTTTTTTCTTGATCCTGAAGTTGTAGTTACAATCAAGTTACACCCACAAACGGCACTCCTTCATCCATGTTGGTCTCCCCTGAGAACTTTGGTATCGTTGAACCGAATGTTTATCGCTGCTCCAAGCTAGAGGTTGAAAATTTCCAATTTTTGGAAACACTCAATCTCAAGTCGATCATCCTTTTGGATGCCGAAAACCCACCACGTTCATTATCGAAATTCCTTGACGAAAACAAGATTGATCTTTATAGTTTGGGGGACTTGAAAATATCCAATCATCAACACACGGGGATGTCGTCCAAAACTGACCTTGACGATTTCACTATAGAGAATGACGAATTGACTTCGAATACATCAACTAGGTCCTCGACGTCAGCATCCACTCAACAGCAGCAGCAACAAGATCATTCACTGCAATCGCAGCAAACTTATGTCGATCCACTTACACCAATGCCAATAATTTCCCGAAATAGTAGAGATCAGTGGATGTTGATTGAGAAAAATATTATTATCAAATCATTTGAAATTATCCTTAATAACAAACGACATCCGATACTTGTTGTTGATTCCACGGCGACACTTATTGGAATCTTGAGAAAGATACAGAAATGGAATTTCAATTCCATTTTGAATGAATATAGAATATTCAATGGCACGAGCACAAAGAACAATTATTTTGCAGAGACGTTTTTGGAGTTGATTAGTATTGAGTTGATACCGTATGAGAATCGCAAAAAGAGTCCATTTGGAAGTAGACGTAATTCAATGAGGCAGAAGTCGCTGAGTCAAAGTCAGGTACAGCAAATGTTTAAAACACCGGCTGGAGATGAATGTACGATGATAGATCAAAGCCAAAAGGGGCTAGAGGCATGTCCAAGTACTGGAGACAACATCGTTGCAGAAAACACCGGTGTACTCATTGATGGAGACGAAGATGATTTAGAAGTAGACGGTGCTGATGAAGGTGAAGACGACTCGGATGACGGCTACAGTACAGATGACATGGACGATATGGACGATGATCTCCTTTCGGCATCACCACAAATACCAGAAAATTTGTTGAAATTTGTTGAGCAGAGGAAGCAGGATAAGCATCAATTTCCTTCGAGTGGCAGAAACTCTATTGATAACAAATCAGATACAGAATCAGTGTCAAATTCTCCCAAGCTAATGCGAATACCAATTCAACACTCGAGAAGCAATAGTGGTTCCAACAGTCGCAACAATAGTTTTACAAATGCCGACTCTTATTTGAGTACAGTGCGAGGTATGGACCGTCGAAAATCATCGGGCGACATCATGAAGAATATAAAGTTTCGCAACCCACAACAACAATTTCCTCATAGAGCCTCATTGGAAAGTTCTTCTCCTGGATTTAAAAGACGCGATATGAGGCGTGGCTCTGGATCGTTTTACATGAACGACGATGTCACTAATAACCAAAAGCCAGTGGAATTCATGTACTATAAGAATTTAAACAAATATGATGTCAAATTCGAGAATGTGAGAATAATCAAGTTCAAATTACCTGCAGAGCACAGACTCCCTGAATGGTTCATCAAGCAACGTGATATATGGGAGAAAAATTACAAGCTGCTAAATAATGAAACCTTATAGAATGTGTATTAAACTTTTTTTTACCGACTGTACCTACTAAAATTATATCCTGAACCAGGAGTTGATTGTTGCCTGGACTTGTTATACATTTCCTGCAACTTACTAGAACTTCGTTGAAAGGGAGGTGGGGTTTGGCCTTGCCCCGCATCATTTTCATCTTGCATTCTTTGCTGCTGATTGTATGATCTTTGGGAATAGCTTTTGTTGAATAAATTGTCTTGTCGTACAGGTTGGAATTGCGTTGATGAAGAGTGTCCCCGATAAGCGTGTCCTCCACTATTTGACGATCCACTTGAATAACTTTGTGATCGACCATACGATGGATGTTGCTGGTGTTGTTGCTGGTGGGGATGTTGTTGATCAAATGTTTTTACCCCAAGCCATTCTGGGTACGGAAGACCTTTTGATTCATAGTATTTGACAAATGCTCGATGAATCAAGGTATCATCTTCAGTTGAGCCGTCCTTTTCCGCTGGTGACGACAACGATAGATTAGCGAATCTTGCGCCGTAATTTTCTTTAATCTTGGAGAAAAAGCCCCCTCCTGTGTTTGAATGTTGCATTTGAGATGTAGGTCTTGGTTCGTATTGATGTGCTGTTGATTATACCCAAAAAAGTTGTTTTTACAAAGGTTGTCCTTTGTTAGAGAAAGAGATTTCCTAATTGAGGAATTCCAGCGTAGTTGGGTAGCATTTCAAGTGTCGGAATTGCTTTATTCCAGACACCCATTCTTGCGACACAGTTTGTGACATTTTCGGCATTTCAGTTTTGTCTCACTCTCATCTCTTCTGAAAGAAAAATTTAACAATTGCATCTCTCTCAGAACTGGCCTTTTGTTGAAAAACTCCAATACTAATAGATGTTAATTCTAAAACGCTTGAAGAAGCAAGTATTAAGAAATACAGTGGCCACAAGCTATTTAAAGAGCACCGTATTTCTCAGTTGTCGTTCATTCCATCCAACTTTCAATTACAAAAATGAAGTTACGCCCAAATTAGTAGAACCTGTAACCACCACGCAAGTCAAAAATGAGCCATCCGAAAAGTCTACAAATAAAGAGCCGTCGCCTTTTGTTCCAGTCAAATTCTCCGACTTTAGGGGAAAAGGTTATATCAATAATGCTATATTGTCGGCGTTGCATAAAGCTAAATTTGACACATTGACGCCTATTCAACAAAGAGCCTTGATTCCCATCATCAAATCAGAAAAGGGTGTTGTGTGCAGAGCCAAAACAGGTACGGGAAAGACTTTGACATTTATCATTCCAACTGTTGAGAGCGCAATCAAACGAATTACCGAGGAACCTGATGTACATGGTGTCGACTCTGTCATTGTCGCACCAACTCGTGATTTAGCCTTACAAATTCGTGATGAGTATGCGAGAGTTTGTGCTAAATTACCGCGCTCGATCCAACCTAGAGTATCGATGATTATTGGAGGTCAAAGGACAACATTCAATCACAGATCTCCCAGTGAGATTGTGATCACCACCCCTGGAAGATTGGAAGCCGACTTGAAAGACCCAAGGTTTGCCAAGTGGTTCAGGAACGTTAAATACAGAGTTTATGACGAAGCTGATAGATTACTCGATGTTGGGTTTGAGCCACAATTGAATAGCATCAACCGTACTTTACGTCAAATCAGAGAAGAGGATACTCCTCCAATGAAGTCGTTGTTATTCAGTGCAACAGTGGATGATTCAATCACCCGTTTTGCTCAGGAACACATCAATAGACGCTATGATTACATCAATACTGTCCCGAAAGATGAGCCCGAAGTTCATGAAAATGTTCACCAAATCCTTTACAGATGTGAGGATGGCGTTGACAAATTTCAATCCTTTTTTGACTACGTGATCGATGTAATTAAAACTGAAAAGAATGCAAAGATAATTTTGTTCTTGCCAACCCAAACGGCCGTTGATTGGTTTTACGATTATATGCAACATGCCTCACATTCGCCAGAAATTGCCGACGCATGTTCAAATTTCGGTATATATCTTATCCATGGAAACAGAACAGCCTACCAGCGTAAGATTGCGTTGGCAGATTTCAAACATTGTGATAAGGGGTTGTTGATTTCCACTGATGTCGCAGCAAGAGGTATTGATGTCAAAGGAGTTACACATGTGATTCAATTATTCCCATCATCCGAAGTTGCCGATTACGTTCATAAAGTAGGAAGAACCGGAAGAGCTGGTGCTAAAGGTAAGGCTGTATTGTTTACTTCGCAAAGTGAGTTGCCATATGTGCGTAAATTGAAAAGGGAGAGAGGTGTCGATTTTCAAGAAGTTATTGACAGTAGTGCTGACAAAAAATATGGAAACGTTTTTGACTCCATCAAACCATCACCCCACCAAACCAATGAGTTCTTTTTCACGTTTATGAATTATGTGATTCAAGTCAGAGGAATGTATCGTTTGGATGCCAATGATGTGATTGAAGATACCGTGAATTTGTACCGTTCTTTACTCAAGGATGATACTGCTAAATTAAATGTAGCATCGTTAAAGCATGCAGCACGTCAATTGGACAGAAGCATTTTGAGAGAATACTTTGAACGCAAGGGTGGTGGGAGAGATATTGATGAGTTTAGAGATGACCGCAGATCCGGACACTCTAGCAACCGTTCTAGCCGCTCCCCATCTAGTAGCCGTAATTACCGTGATGAAGATAATTACAGACACCGTGGATCAGGCGGAAATAGACAGCAAAAGAGGTCGTCTTTTGGTAATGATAGAAGAGGATCTTTCAAAGATAATAGGAGGTCAAATTCAAGAAATTATGATTAAAGAAGATGATAGAGAAAGAGGGTTGGTATTTTCATTTCAGTTCGGCTATATGTATATACAAACTTTATATTTATCTTTTCATATTGAACCCACAATACATGTATATAGAGAATAAATAGTAAATTTGTTGAAAATGATGTTATGTAGATTTTCGGTGTTTTGGATGGGGGTCATCGTGCATTGATTTAGTAGGAGCTAGTATGGGATCAGATATCAGAAGGCGATTTTTTCTACTTCCATCTAGTGAAGAAGATCTGCCCTGTTGGCGTGTGCCAAAGAGCAGCTTATCTCGTCTCCCGCTGCTTCGAGTTTGCACCTCAACATTAACCTCCCTCGTCAAAATCACATAAACAAGAAGACAAATGATGATAACACTGTTGAAGAAAGACAAACGTTTTTGAAATGTCAAATCACTGCTAATGTTTTTTATTCTCACATTGGATTCGGAGATAAAATGCTTGTATTTGTGGTCCTGCAAATGGAAAAGCTCACTATATTGCAGATACATTTCATGATATGACTCTTTAAAGATGGAAAGCTGATTTAGGAGAGTGGAATTGACGGATCTCAACAAGTTATTAAAATTGGCAGTTTGGCGTTTCTCCAAATTTTGAAAGGCTATGCTCAAAAGCTTCAGCTGTTCTTCAATGTAAAGTAATGACAACGTCGCATTGGATTCTAGCAACGTAAGTCTTTTGATTATGTTCTTATAAATTGATTCCTGTGTTGTTGTAATTGTGGCTGTTGTCGAGGTAATCAGGCTCGAACTATTGGTGTCGTCACTAGGTAAGCAATGGTTGTTGTGAGTGGTATTGAAATCCTTGAGGAACTCGTTTAAAAGTAAATGCGGTAAAACAACACTGCATTCATTGAAGGTGTCGTTGATCAATGACTCTAGTTCATTATCTTTCGAATCCAACTCCTTAATCGTTGCATCCTTCTGGTTTTGAAGAGACGAAACCTCTTCATCCTCTTTGAATTCATCAATCATGGTCTTTCCATGAACTCTAATCACCGATATTGGACAATAAAACTCATTTCCATAGTGACTCAATATCTCCAACTTTAAATATCGTGCCCAAATCAATGGATTGTCAATATTAAATGTTTGAATATCACGTATATTTTGAGCAGTAAATTGTCCCAATTCTCGCCAATTTTGAGTAGGAAACCTGTCACTAACACTAACCCGGATATCTTTATACATTGATGAAAAGAACTCATAGTTTCCAAGAACAACTTGACTCACAAGAATATCCTGACATAGCTCAACCACGATGAATTTGTTTTTAACCGAGCACTCGTTTAAAAGATAGGAGTCTTTGTTTTCTTTCAAGATTGCTGGTGCTCCTTTTGCTTGGGAATTGGTTTTCACAATGGTGGCTGCACAATCAGCCGACGCAAAGTTGAATTTGTTCTTGTAAACAGTTCCCTCTTGTTCAGTAACTGCCACAACCGAGAATGCAGTTGCATTTGTAGTAGAAACATTTGCCAGTGGCTTTAATGGCTCGGTATTGTTTCTAGACGTGTTGGAAAGTGATGTATTAGTTTCAATTTTCTGCTTCTTCCATTCTTCAAATGACATAAAATGACAATCGTCAATGACAGAATCAGCATGAGACTCGTTACTCGAGTGTGGTTGGATCACTGGTGATTGGAGGTACAAGTCTTGCCGCCCATCATAGGCATTTGCAAATGATGGGATTTCCGTAGATAGAAATACTGGGAGGGAATCGTTGATGGGACTGTACTCCTGTGATGATGTATTGGTAAACGGATCTTTCTCGTCATCTTTGCGAGCTTGACACACGCATCCGTACAAACAAATCAATGCGATTGAAAGCCACGTGCTGAGCATTAACGCCTAGAAGTGTAAGATGTGACAGAGGGAATACGACGGAGTAGATGGTTGAATATAAAAAGTGTGGTATACGACCTATTTTTACTAAATGATCCGAGAACCCACAGTTACGATATCGTCATCTAAACTATACGAACAGAATTTTTTAGGATGCAAAACAAGTTTGGTTGAAGCACCAGTTGAAACAAAGGTAGTCAATTACAGTCGATATTACATACAGCTACACCTGCTAATTGCTACCTCCACTCATCGTCGTCTCCGCGTCTCCTTCTACCGACATTTCTTCGCTTATTATCATCATAATCACGTCTCATATTTTCTCTTTTAAGTCTTCTTAAGTTTCTAATCCTCTCATTCTCTCTTCTCTCAATTTCACTAGAGCTAAGAATCTCAACCGATGGTTCCCAATGGTCGTTACCATTATTGACACTATTTTCAGTGAAAATACGCAAGCCTTGTTCAAAAAAGATACCCTTAACCAAATGCAAATTGTGAATCTCATTGTTAAATGAGCCCTCTATGATTTCCTTCTTGACACGAGTAATGATTTCATGCAATGCATGCGATATGGCCAAATTGAACTCCAATGACAATCCAAGGTCAGCAACGACAATTTCAGCAAACTTCTCTGGTGTAATTTCGTTCTGATTCAAATCCCACTCTATTCTGTCTTGGTATAATTGCTTATTGAGATTAACTGACAAATCAATAATCACATTACATGGATTGCTGTTGGGAATAGTCAAGTTTGACGCATATGAATACTCTTCAAGTTGTTGAGTTATTGAGTCTGCAATTTGAGTAACCATTTGATTGGGCAATTCAAGATCATTGCACAAGATTACTGCGAAATCAGTGGGCGTGATCAATGTTTCATTTAAGTTCCACATAAACACATCATTGACCTTATGACTTGTAACCGGACTCTCCAAGTTCAATTTAATAGGGATCAAAGTTTCTGGTTTATTCGTTTGGCTATTCAAGTTGGATTCATCATCAAGAGATTTGATTCTGGGTGTCTTTCTAGCGGGTCCATATTTCTGGGCATCTACTTGAGTTTTGGATTCATTCAAGTTACGACCACTCTCTTGTCCATTGTAAGGTAGATCTCCAGGGCTGTTTTCAATTTCGAAATCGTCTACGAAATCTTCAGAATAGTTGATTTGTTGAGCATGTCTCTTGGCTTGTCTTCCAGTTGGAATTGCATTTAATAGTAAAGAGTTGGTTTCACTGGACAATCTCTTTGATATACTTGACGCTAATCCTTGGACTTGAAATGATGATGCTTCGTAGTTGACCATATTGATGATGGAGGAGGGAACAATAGTGGATCTTTTGTTGATATTTTTTTTTTTTTGCTTCGTTCTTCCGCCGTTTTCCAATTAAACCAATAGCTTCAATGTCCACTAGCACGACGGGGAGATTACTAAGCGAGTACATTCTTGAAAAGCTGGATCTACCGGAACTACTAAGCTTTGATAGCTTTGCTGCCAAGTTTCCACCCAATACATCAAAGATTTTTATCAAATCAATCTACGATCAATTGGTTTTGCAACAAGAACAAAAGCTTCTAGCCATTAAAAGAACTATAGAGAATCTTTTGCAACAAGATGTATACGCGAATGCTGGCCATTGCTCTAATATTGATGCGTCCAAGGTGGAAGCATTGAATCGCAGTTTTACGGAGGTAACTAAACAATTGAAACAAGTATGCGCAAAACAAGCGGAGGAAGTTGAGAAGGAGCTTTCACACCTTGACTTAACACTCGAAATGTTAGACGAGATTGAGATTCCAAAAGTAATCGATCAAGAGATTCAAGACGCTGTCAGCAAATGCGATAAAGTGACGGATCTTCTAGACAAAATCTAATATTCTAAACGTACGGAATCAGTGACACTGTCCAATCTGGATAACTCGTGCTCGCCAAGCCACCTCCATATTTGAAATTTCCAGTTAAGTCCATCCAAATCACCGAGATAGTAACTTGACTCCATACCGCCACCAGGCGAAACTGGCTTCAAATAGGTGCATCGAACTATTCGCGAATGTACCAAAGCCATGCTACACATAACACAAGGCTCGTGTGTTGTGTAAACAATCGTATTGGTACATAAATACCCTCTTTCTTGAGTGTTTCCTTCTTTCCTTTGCCTGGCTTCATTTTGTGCTATTGCGTCAATGGCTCGCATCACACTGTGATCCAGTGGATGGCAACCGCCTTTGTTCACGGTCACTATCTGTATTGTTAATTTACCATGCATTTCCTTGGCCATTATGGTTGCCAGGGCGTTGGGGCAGTTTGCACGTTCAATATGATTCAATAGTTCATTCACTATCGTTCTTTCTTGTTCCATATCGAACTTTACAGAATTTAAAAATTGATGGTTGGGATTACCCTTCCAAGTTAAGGGCCAAATATTGGACCATTTCAAAGTAGTCTCTTTTGTGTTTGCTTGATTTCGTGGGACCTCAATAACTTCGAGGTTGTCATAGTCGAGACTTTTTAATAGAGCCGATATTTCATCTCTGTCACTTTCGTTTTCGTAGGGACAGATAATTGCTTTTATGTGATCGCCAATTTTGGTCAATCTCTTTAGATGCTTTATTCTAGGCTCATCGTCGAAGTTTTGCTTCAAGAGTGCTATTAGCGATTTCGAGTTCTTTGGGTGTATGGTGCAAGCCCAAGTCAGTATTAGACTCGGTACTTCAGGATCGGTATCATTGCCCAATCTGATTTGTTTTAGCGTCCCGTACAAAATTCCATTTCTCAAATCAACATGTGACCTATTTTCACTTGTCATTTGTTGTCATTGAAAGGTAAGGACTGGTTACTTTGGTTAAATTTAATGGAGATGACTTTGGGGTAGCGCCTACACTGGTGCGCGTCTTTTTTAACTTTGAATCACAAAAGTTGACTCTGCAAATCAGTTTCCAACCGTTGATGCAGTTTACGTAATGGATTTCGCTGAATCATTATCACTGATCGTGTCTAACAAGGTATCCATTGCGAATGTAGAATCAAGCTACCACAAGTTTCTAAACTCAGTCAAAATTGTCCCCCTTAATGAGGAATCCAAACATCGTATACCAGCCAAGTTGAAATTCAGAACTGATTACAAAAAGTATATCAAACTGTTGGTGGCTGAGCTTTTGAAAAGTCAATCCGAGAATGTTTTAGTATCAGGTTTGCCAAAGATCCGCAGGGGTGGTTTTGTGGCAACCACTTCGAATTCGGTTTATTCATCTTTTGTTATTAACGAGTTACATTCTTTTGATTGGAATAGAGTGTTTGACATATTAGGGTCAGCAAACATGACTGACTTGTTGCTAAACTGGAAAGGTTTTATTGTCAAAAACGGGGCAATGATACAAATTTTTGGAGACAAGTTGACGTACACGGGGCAGAAAACTACTACGCAGTCGAAATTAATCAAAAAATCGACACTATTCCATCACCTTCAATCAAGACCGAGATACTGGGAATTCACTTTGATACATCAAACTGCTAATGAGCTTTTAACTGAGATATTTGGTGCCAACACTAAAGCTAAGCGATTCAGGAGGATAAAGTACTTATTCAACACAATTGTTCAGAACGATCAAGCGTGCAAATATCATTTAATTTATCAACAATTACTCCATCTGGAAAAGTCTGTAGACCCTCATAACATCTGCAGCAACGCAAGCTCTTTCCAAGAAGTTATCCGATTCGTATTTGTCATATTGGGGAAACTCTTATCATTGGAAGCTTGGGGAGGTCAAGAGAATAAAACCGTTTTGCGGAAACGAATTGAGGAGTATTTGAAGCTCGATTCAAGAGGAGCATTGCATATACACGACATTGTGAAGGGGCTTTGCTTGAATGATTTTCTGTGGCTCGGAACGACACCGAAGGTGACCTCGAAACAAGATTTTGAGATTAGACAAAAGTTGCTTCAAGAATATGTCCAATGGCTATTTACGTCACTTCTTAGAGGAATTGTACGTGCCTTTTGGTATGTAGCCGAATCGACTGATGGTGATATATTGTACTTCCCTCGTCATATTTGGCATAAAATCTCACACTTGTGGTTGGAAATGTATTCCAAGGATAATTTTATCAAAACTGAACTAACTAGCAAGGATAATTACAACTATGGTATGATTAAACTAATACCTAAAAAGAACACTTTCCGTTTAATTTGTGTTCCATCAAAGAGATCACCGAGTCTTTTACAAGACAAACTAACACCACACCATCAAAAAGACCAGGATGTCAAGTTCAACACTTATCGAGCCAATGTCTTACGTCCAGTACGACTCATTTTGCAAAAGAAACTCAGCGAGCGAAGCCAGGTAGATTCATGTTATTCAGCAACGGCATATTCTACGCAACAAATTGCAAATAACATTCTTGCCTTCAAAAGCGAGTTGTTGCAAATAACTCCAAAAATGCCAAAACTATACTTTGTCAAGTTTGATATGAAGGAGTGTTATGATAGGATGAACCAAAAAGAGTTGATTGAGAATGTGATTAGCTTGTTTCGTGATGACAAGCCAGACACAAAGTTCTACTACCGGACAGTGGGGAAAATGAGATCTAACCTAAGACAGCAAACTATGAAACATTTTGCAACTTCCAATTTCACCGACCTAGATATACTTTCCAACGATCAAGCACGTGGTGGTTGTAATGGAGTTTGGGTCGATACGGGAAAGACTATTTACTTAACAAGAAAGGACGTTATTAGCGAATGCATACAACAAATCTTTGGAGCAAAATGCTACATTGACGACAGAAAGACGCAATCATTAAAGTTTTACAGAAGAAAACAAGGTGTGTTTCAAGGTTTTCCCTTGCTGAGCGTCTTTTGTGATATTCTTTACAGCGCAATGGTTGCAAAAAACTTTCGATTTCTATGGGAATCAAATTCGCCTTTCTTTTTTACAAGATTGGTGGATGATTTTTTATTCATATCACCGGATGCTGATCAATTCAAAAAAGTGGTAGAAATAATATCAGATGGAAGGTTACAGAAATATGGAGCTTTCGTAAGCAAAGAAAAGACACACATTATTGATCATGAAGAAAAAAGCAAAACGTTACAATTTGTGGGGTTAGAAATCGAAACTGACACTTTGGACTTGACTACCAATTATATGAAATATAGCAACTTATCCACCAGCAATTACAGAACATTCAGTGAACTTTTGCGTTACTTGAAAACTGCATACACTTCAAGGCTACACGAATACATGTTGAGTTGCGAGAACAATTCGTTTCAAACAATACTGACAAATGTGCAAAATTTGTTGCATTTTATATTGGGTCTGTTTAAACGCTCATTTCAACGAGTTTCAAAAACCGACAATTTTAACCCTGATTTGTTCACCAAATACATATGGAGCATCATTTTGTTAACTTTGAAGAAATTTGTGGCCTGTAATGATGGATCTGTTCTTCTAGATGATTTGTTGGATGATTTGTTGGATGATTTGTTGTCTACAATTGCCGATGCGTTGACTCATGGCGCACAGTATAAAGACATCATTAATGCGTTAAAGCAAGCTAATTTTGAAGATGTCCAACTGAGTTACTCTGTCATAACGAGGCCGGATTCTATACAGTAGCATTGTATAAGAGATAATCGTGATATGTCTCTACTAGTTAAAACACTCTATTTAAATTACTTTTTGTGTCAATACCACCTTCTTTCTCAAAATCCAAATGGATTGTCTGGTGTAGCTGCCGCAAGATTGGCTCTCTTGCCGGTGGCTTGAGTTTGCAACGGCGCGTTACCAAATCCCATACCGGTTGGCTGAGTTTGTAATGGCTGCGAATTAAAACCCTCAAACTGGGAGTTGCCAAAACCACCACCTTGTTGATTGAAAGGTTGGGAAATTGACGTGTTTTGAAACATATTAGTCATTTGATTCATGTTTGGTTGTTGTTGTTGTTGCTGTTGCTGTTGCTGTTGTTGTGGGAACTGATTAAACAGAGTTGATTGTTGTGTGAATTGATTGAATGGCTGTTGTTGTTGTTGGAATGTACTTTGTGGAATTTGGCCAAATGAGTTTGGAAAGTTTCCACCAGTAGATTGGCCGAAAGTTGGTTGTGGCATTGGGTTACCGAAAGACGTTTGTGGCATCATTCCACCAGTTGCTTGCTGACCAAAAGATGTTTGTGGCATCATTCCACCAGTTGCTTGCTGACCAAAAGATGTTTGTGGCATCATTCCACCGGTTCGTTGCTGCTGTTGACCAAAGGACGTTTGCGGTATCATGCCGCCCGTTGGTTGCAGCTGTTGGCCAAATGGCACAGTGTTAGTATTCATAAATCCTCCTGTGATTTGTTTACCAAAATTAGACTGTGGAACAAATCCGCCGGGAATTGGACCGCCAGTTCTTTGTGCTGGAACCATTGGATTCTGGTTAAAGCTAGTGGAGGGTAACCCACCGGTATTTTGAGTACCGAATGTTGTACTTGGTAAGCCTCCAGTGTTTTGGGTACCAAATGATGTTTGTGGTACAGTTGCGGTACCAGTTTGTAAAGGAACAAAACTGGGTTGGAATGACTGTGATTGGCCAAAAGTTGTTGGTGGAGGACCAGCACCGCCAGTTTTCTGCCCCGTTGGTATGGCAATAAGTCCAAGAGTCAATTGTGGTTGAAGAATACCAGTTGCTTGGATAGGAATGAAACCTGTAGGTTGAGCAGTGATGGGGATGAATCCCGTTGGTTGTGCAGGTAACAATCCACCCGTTGGTACCGCGGTTAGTCCCGCGCCAGTACGTTGAACTGGAATGAGACCACCAGTGCGCTGTGTAGGCACCAAAACCCCACCACCGTTGTTTTGTGCCTGCGCTGGTCCTGGTGTTGTTGTTGCCGTGGATGCAGTCTTTGCAGGTTGGAGCGGCGGCACAGACGAAGTCTTTGTTGGTTGAAGTGCTGGTGCCGATGGGGTTTGTTGTAGTTGCTGAGGTTCTGCTATGTTCTCTACTGGTTTGATATTCACCAAATCCGATAAAGTACCAGTGTATTGTGGCGTTTGTGGTTGAGGAGAAGGTTTGAGCAAATTCTCGTTGGATCTGGCTGCCGGCTTCATTGCCCAAGCATCATCATCAATCTTGTTGTTTTGCTCCGCTTGCGTGGATGGCACAGCGAGATTGGACATTTGATGGTTCTTAACAGGTGATGGTAAAGCATCCCTAGTAACCTTTGACAATTCTGTGGATGAGTTGTTTTTGAGGGCACCATTACTGTCGATGAATAAGCTCCCTGTAGACTGCTGCTCTGGCTCAGTAGATCTCTTTCTATTGTACTTGTTATCTAAATGTTTCATCACCCTAATGATATCACCCTCCCTTAAACCCAAAGTCCTCAACAATGAAGGAGAGATGTCTTCTAAAATGTTTTCATCCATTTGCTCGCGTTCAAAGTTGAGTGTATAACGTTGGCAATTTCCAACATCAACACCACATTCCAAAAAGAAGTCAAACCAGTCATACGCTGGAGCTCCATTTGATGCATGGCCACTAGGTCTAGGTCTCGATGGTTGTGGAGGTGCTGTATCATTAATTGCAGCAGTAGCCGATTGCGAACGTTTCGGTTCCGGTTGAGTTGAAACTGCCCCTGATTTACTCTTTGATCTGGCCCTCTTTTCCATTTGTTTAAACACTATTTGTTTATACTTGTCCAAAGATGTTTCTGTGATCTTTTCCACGTACTCCAAATCCTCAATTGATAACTTTTCTGCAGCAACAGCAATCTTGACACCGTTTGTCTTGTGCAAGTGCACTTTCCCGTCAACAAAGCCCAAAAACTCAGCTTCAACTTTGAATGTACCTGAACTATCAATCCAAGTTCTAACACGGTGGAAATTTGGCATAGACTTGTCATGATCATCATGACCAGCACTCTGTTTCTCCCTATGAGCTCGGTCCCTCTCTCTGATCCTCTCGCGCTCGTCTCTATTTCTATGGTGATGATGACGAGTATCTTTACCATTGACAACTTTCCCTTTGGAGCTCGACATGGATTTCCTTCTTGCTGGTCCATCTGTCAATTCATCCAATTTGGAGGTACTAATCACCTCAACATACGATGACGGAACAACACCTTGTCTTCCAGTGGAGGTATTTTGCACCATCCACCAGTCACTCGATTTCGATTGATTGACAATGTATACTTCGTCTCCCTCTCTACAATTCAATTCGTCGTCTCCTTGTGCCTTGAAATCGTAAATCAAACGACCAATTTTCTTGTTCGAAGAGCCAGTACTGGGTTGAGAAGCTCTTTGAACTTCCCTCAATCCAGCGGCTTTTTCAGCACCTTTCAATTCCCCTAAAATTGAGGTGATGGCATCGGCAACATCCTTCGTTCCAGCGTGCAATTCCAATTCGGCAGGTGGGTTTCGAAGCTCCAAAAACACATGCTTCTTTTCACTGTTGACACTGATTAAATCTTTAATTTGCCATTGGTTGTTGATATGAGATGCTGATCTTAATCTCAACTTCTTTGGATTGAAAACATTTGGTTTGATGATGATCAAGCCTTGTCCAACTGATACTTTGATTGGTCTCTTCTTCCGTCCATCGAGCTCGTCAATATACCAAGTGAAGAATTCTCCGTCAAATTTGTGTTCCTTATCTGTTGGGGCGTGTACCTGATGTTCCTCCTCGTGCTGTGAGCTGGATCCTGCCACGGGTTCTGAAGCTGATCCTGTTGGTCTCGATGGCATTGGAGGTGGAGCTTCATCTTCTTCTTCGATATGATGTTCTTGTACTCTATTATATGAACTATTATGAGACGGAAATGGCCGAGGGAGATCCTTTTCTGGAGTTGGTGGTGGATGTTCTGGAGTAATCGACCTTTGCGGGTGTGAAGGTGGTGCGGCAAAATTTGGAATAGGATTTTGTGGCTGACTCACTGCAGTGGTTGGAGCTTGTGGTTGCGGTTGCGGTGGTTGATACTGGACGGCGCTTGGTTGTGATTGTGATTGTGGTTGTGGTTGTGGTTGTGGTTGTGGTAGGGCCAGTGCAGGCGTATCAAGTTGAATGTAATTGGAAGGGACGAAGCCAAACTCTTGCTTGCTCGAATTGCTCACCAAAATCCAATCCGGATCACTAATGTCATACACATTAAACACATCATTTTCATTAAATGATAATTCCTCCTCTGTTTGTTTATCATAGTCATACAATGCAGTAGCCTGTTTGATAATAGGTGCCTAAAGTAGGGGGAGAAGATGAGTTAGTATTAAGCTGTGAATCAATCACAAGGTGAGTAGTACATACTTCTTCGATATATGTTGATGGTACCAATCCTGATGGTTCATCAACTACTTCATCACCAGTTGCAATCACTCTTTTCTTGACTTTCCACCAGTCGTCGATGTCTGATCTTTCTAACAAATACAACAAGTCGTCAGTACGTATGGACAACTCTTCTTCTGCTTGCGCGTCATAGTCGTATACGGCCTTATACACTCCGATGTATATAGACAGCATTACAGGTTAAACTGGATTCGGGGGTAGTTGGCAAATGGGACTTTGATTTGAAACTGATTTAGTAACTTTGCTTTTTCAAAAATTGTAAAATGTTGAATTTCGTTGAAAGAAAGACAAAGTGAAATTAATGTCACAAAAGAAAAAGAAATTAAGAATAGGAGAATATCACGACACTCTTTTCCACGACATTCTCAACTACACCCGCAAACTACACCATTACCGACTATAGTGTTTTATCATATTGTATTAAAATCTATTACAAATCTAGTTAACTGTCTCTTAACTGATCACTAAAGTTAGTTGACTTGAGTGATTGCTCTATCAAAATTAAGTAATACAGTCTCAATATTTTCAAGACAGGTAATTGCAGTGTAATTGTAATTCTCAGTAGATGCTGATCCGATATGAGGCGTCAATACAACATCTTGTCTATCAAGTAACTCAGGATGAACAAGAGGCTCTTCTTCAAAAACATCCAATCCAGCAAATAGAATTTTACCACTCTTCAACCCATGAACCAAGGCAACTTCATCAACAACTGACCCCCTTCCAACATTGATTATCCTAAATTGTTTCTTCATGTTATTGATCAATTCGTCATTCACCATGTGTCTAGTTGCTGGTGTTCCTGGACATGCAATCACTACTAAATCAGCAAGACTAGTGGTTTCTGAAAGATGTTTATGGAAAATGATTGGGAATCCCAATTGCTTTTCTTCTTCATCACTCAACTTATTACGCTTGACATAATGGATAATCATTCCAATCGATGCCAATCTTGCAGCTATTGATTGTCCAATGTGACCAAACCCAACGATGACAACGTGATGGTTCCTTGGAGATAAATTGGCACGTTGACAACAAGCTTTACCGTAGGCGGTACCCATGGTTGGCGTTGATATTGCCATACCTTTGACCTGATCAAATTTTGCCGATACTAAAGACTTTGTCAACATTCCCGATTGCGTATATCGATCTGTGCAAAAGTTTTGTTCATAAATCTTGAAATTTCTAAAACTGGCAATTGTATTGTATAGTACCAAATCAGCAACTGCATCGTATGCCATCGTGGATGGACTATTTGTTAAAATGATGTTTTTTGTCGTCATTGCCTTTACGTCAAAATGGTCGTAGCCAATTGTGCAAGTGGTTACAATTTTCAAACTTTTGGGTGCAAATTCAACTAATTTACCTTTAAAGCCACCAAGAGGGGCAAATCCTGGCCATCCGCAATATATGGCTTCAATGTCGTTGAGCTTTGTTTGGAAATCCATTATACATTGTTCAATTGTTGTCAACTCATAGTAGACACACTCAAACAATTGTTCAAAGCGATGAAGCACTTGTTTATTGGGTTGTTCCAAAAATAAAACTTTTTGTTTAATAGTCATCGAAAATATAGTGAATGGTGGTCTAGATACTAATAGAGTCAACCGAACTCATGGGGGACATATTTCATTGCTTTTATATATATCTTCTGTTCGCTAGTTGTACATAACCTGCTTCGCAAAAATACTTCTCCTTGAATAACCGCGCCAATCATACTACAAGCTGCAATCTCGTGCGGCTCAAATTGTTCCGCTTCTGTAACCATTCCGAAGCTAACCACGTTTCTAGAAACACCAACAACATAAGCGTCGATTGCCAAGGTCCCATCTCCCTGTTCCGGCTGTGGCTGTAAGAACCACGCCAACACTTTGACAAGCATGTCCTGCCCATAGGAACCACATTTACGAATTTTTTTACAGTTCCACATTGTTACGAATAACTTAAACTTTATTTTTCATCAAGTATATATATATATCGAATATATAAGCAAAGTTCAACAATTGCACACCACATTTAACAATATGCAAATTGATCTCAATCGATATCTCTTAAATATACAACCATTCACTTACTCTCAACTGCATAACATGTCTGTTTTTGCTCTCCTTTCTGTCTTTCGTCACTGCTTTAATGAGCCATACCCGGTTCACCCAAATACTTGGTCTTTAAAACAGTTCCACAGTGCCAACATCTAGATGGCTTTCCCTCTTCAACCTTCATCCAGTATGGCTTGTGGTCAAGTTCAGCAGTACCTTTACATCCAACATATCTGTAACCAATATAAGTTGGGACCAAAAATGGATCATCCATGGTACCTTTACCCTCGGTGATTGGCATTTCCATATCGAAAACATCAACACCTTCTCTCTTACCCAAGAGTTCCAATCTCTGTAAACCAGTAGATTGATCCCAATCGGTAGGGATAGTACCTGGCTTGGCACCAGGACCAATCAATGATGCTGGACCAGTAACTTCAGCCAAGTCTTGGGCAGTCTTGACTTCAGTGGTGGTTTGTGGAGCCTTGTTGGCCAAGATTCTGGTGGTGGATAAAAGTCTTCTTTGACTAACAATTCTTAATGAACGAGAAAGCATGGTTTGTGCTAGATAAGGGAGTTAGTATAACAATTGGTGGATGTTGAGGCGCAATCGGCGTAGATTGGGTTTACAATGGATGGTTCAATCGATGTCATTCTAGGGCGTAAAAGACATTCCTTCTTATTGGGTGCTAACGATGTGTTTTTGAATAGCCCATTGTTGGGTCTCTCCTTTCCCTTTATTTGGCCATCTCGATGAATACGGTCAATCTTTTTTGTTCACCAATTGCACACTTCCAAATACGAATTTTATGCCACATACTTTTATTAGTTTCCCTGAGATGAATAGTGGATGGATACCAAAAAGAAAAATAAAGATGGATGAAACTCTTGAAATTGGTATATGTAGGTTTTTAGTTATATAATTGGGTAGTTGTTGATATATACTTTTACTTACCGCGAAATCACCTCATTATTTTTTTCTGTTCTTGTTGGTTTGGTTGTGTGTCGCATTTGCAATTGGTTGGCTTTTAATTGGTTGTATTTTAATACGAATGTGTCACTTTTTTTATGCGACATCGAACGCACTTATATGACACTAACATATATAGAGAGAGAAGGAATAGAACAGAGCTTAGATGTAAACTATACCGAGGGCAGAGTGTAGTTTGTTATTGTTAAGTGCCTTGATGGAAGAGGCATTGTACATTTAGTCGATTGAAGTTTCATAGTAACTACTGTTCTCATTAGGAACACAATCCTTTGTGAGAGAAAGTACTACCAGAGCTTACAATCATGTTTATTGGTACCTCCGTTGGGTCGTCTATCTGTCGCACAACACCATAGTGCAATAGCTCATGAAACTTCAGAGAAAGTGTAGTGTGCAGGGATCCTTATGCGTTGCAAGGATTAAAATAAGACAAAGCCGTAAGTCTGGTGCATTAGGGCTACAACCCGTAATCATATTTTGTCTCCGCTACCAGTTACATCCACGCAACAGTATGGGGGTTTTATTGCTTAATGCAGTATACAATAATGTTACACAAATGAAGTACAAGGTGATTCTTTTCAATAGTAGTGTACTATTGCCCATACCTACCAAATACTCGCACACTATCGCTAATAAAATTTTTCAGTACAATTTTCAATTTGAAATCCTTTCTCTCCTCTTGTGTTGATACAACAAACCAAAGAAGTATGTTTTGACCATAGAATTACTTATAAATGAATGCAATGATAAGAGGCTAGTCTTAGGAGAGAGAGAACGGCAATGGACAGTATCAAATCGACTCACGAAGAAGTGCCAAAATAGAATGGCAAGAATTACATTTGAGTGGTTAATCATCTTGTTTAATATATATAAGTTAGACAAACTAAAGGGATCAATCAACTAGGCCAAAAGAGTTCAATATATTTAATTCTTCCCCTTTCTCATATCTTCGAGTTAAGCACCTATCTATATCCTGGACCCAGGCCTTACAGGAAATTCATGATATGATACATATAACACCATTGATGTGTCCAAGTCAGTCCTTTGCATTCATCTCACATTGATGATCATAATACTAACAGTTTCCATTTTTTAGCTAACATGCCAAAAAAGAGAGCTTCCAACGGTAGAAACAAGAAAGGTAGAGGTCACGTTAAGCCAGTCAGATGTTTGAACTGTGCTAGATGTGTACCAAAAGACAAAGCCATCAAGAGAGTAACAATCAGAAACATGGTTGAAGCTGCTGCTGTTAGAGATTTGTCTGAAGCTTCCGTCTATCAAGAATATGCCATTCCAAAATTGTACAACAAGTTGCACTATTGTGTTTCATGTGCTATTCATGCTAGAATTGTCAGAGTTAGATCAAGAACTGATAGAAGAATCAGAACTCCACCACAAAGAAAGAGATTTTCTTCTGACAGAAAAGTTTCACCACAAGATGCTGCTAAGAAGGCTAACTAAGTTTGTAGTTTTCTTCTTTTATGTACAATTGCAGTGTTTGTAATAAATCATTTGTATAATGTTATACACAAGTTCAACTTATTAGTTAATTGAAGGAGGTCTTGATGTAGATGTATATATAGTGTGGTAGTGTTTATTTTATTTCGAAGAAGGTACTTCATATGAATATTTTGCTGCAAAATTGGTGCAAAATTTGTTCAATTGTACTGCACTCTAAAAGAATTATACCAAACTTGCACAGAATCTTAAACAAGATGTCAATATCACTAATAAATATAACGAGCTTCTGTATCACAAAGAACAATCTTAATACTTTTAAGTGGTTTGAACCTTTAGTGTTGTTGGACTAGATCATGGCGGTAATTACCCTGAGATTGAGTCACTACAATATCATAAAGTGTACTTGTACGCAGTCCACAACAAATGACAACACATAAAGAGCAGTCGAATCGACCGTAGAGAGATCAGCACATAGTAGAAGCTGCTCCAATGTGGGGGTTCTTACAAATGAGAGAGGTATTGAGTTTTGCTAAAAGTAAATCACACACACCACCATAATACAATGTCGTAAATTGTTATTTTATGATACTTTAAAGTGTGTGAACAAGGGAGAGCGACAGAGACAGAAAGACAAAAAAAAAAGATTTTTTTGTTGGACGACACACAGTCTCCAATATTATAGAACATTGCGACGATTTTGAATTGGAACAACCATTACAATCATACCTATATACATCATCATACAACCAGGACACACACACAAATTCGCATCTACATCCACACTCACATCAGCATTGAACTACCATAAGTAAATCACTGCTTACCGTCATCAATTACCTTTGTGTTGTGCGTACCAAATATATAGCGCATTTTTTTTTTTTTGATCATCCATTCCTTCTAATCAGCATCATCAAAAAAGAGCAAAACTAGTACAATTTCATCATGACGCAAGAGGAAACATGGAAATTCTCTCAATGCTTTGGAGATAAGGGTGATATAGAAAACATCACTGAAGCAGACATCATATCCACGGTTGAATTTGATAGTACTGGAGATTTCCTAGCTACTGGTGATAAGGGCGGTAGGGTGGTACTATTTGAAAGAAGCCGTAATAGTAGCAGCAAAAAGAGACAAGGTTGTGAATACAAGTTTTTTACCGAATTTCAAAGTCATGACGCTGAATTTGATTATTTGAAATCGTTGGAGATTGAAGAAACGATAAATAAAATCAAATGGTTGAAAAGCGGTACTGATGCATTATATCTCTTGTCGACAAATGACAAGACTATAAAACTTTGGAAGATTCAAGAAAGACAAATTAAATTGGTTTCGGCTAATAATCTTAATGGACCGAATCATTTTGTTCATGAAGGTGGTGGTAATGGTGGTGCCGCCAACATCAATGGCATTTCATCATTGAAATTGCCTCAATTGGAACTACACGACAAGTTGATATCTGCACAACCGAAAAAGATTTATTCCAATGCTCATGCATATCACATTAATTCAATATCGGTCAATTCCGATCAAGAGACATTTATAAGTGCTGATGATTTAAGAATAAACTTGTGGAATTTGGGTATAGCTGATCAATCTTTTAATATTGTTGATATTAAGCCCACAAACATGGAAGAATTGACTGAAGTCATTACCAGTGCGAAATTCCATCCATCACAATGTAATTTATTCATGTACAGTTCTTCAAAGGGCACGATTAAGTTGTCGGATATGAGATCGAATTCATTATGTGATACACATGCCAAGATTTTTGAAGAATATTCCGATCCGTCATCACATAATTTCTTTACTGAAATTACTAGTTCTATATCTGATGTTGAATTCAGTGCCAATGGGAGATACATTGCCTCAAGGGATTACATGACTGTAAAGATTTGGGATTTGGCAATGGAGAGTAAGCCAGTCAAGACTATCAATGTTCATGAACATTTGAGAGATCGATTATGTGATACTTATGAAAATGATTCAGTTTTTGACAAGTTTGAAGTTCAATTTAGTGGTGATAGTAGATCTGTAATGACTGGCTCATACAATAACAAATTCATGATATATCCCAATGTTACTTCAGGTGAGGATAGCAAGACATTTAAAACGTCATCGTCGTCATCGTCAAAGGGGAGAAAAAGAAGTAAGGGAGAAGGAAACGGAGTGGCAAATAATAATGACGACGACGATAACGACAACGACGATGATGATGACGACGATAACAATGATGATGACGATAATGACGATGAATTTGATCAATTGGATTCCCCACCTAATAACAAAAACTCCCCCATTTCGCAATTGGAAGATGAAGATGACCAGGATGAAATCATATTACAAGCAGACAAATCAGCGTTCAAATCCAAGAAGACTGGTCATCATTCATCAAGAAGGAGAATGATGAGTGGTGGAGTATCCAATCTTGGTCGTGATTATGATGATATTGATTTCAAAAAGAATATCTTGCATCTATCATGGCATCCTAGGGAAAATTCAGTGGCGATTGCAGCAACCAACAATTTATACATCTTTTCAACTCTATAGATAAATATGTGCGTATCTGTGTTTTTTACTTGACAAACTGTAATTTTGTAATGAGAGTCGAAACAAAATACAGGACCATACAGAAGACCAACCAATTGGAGGCTCTACAGAGTTGGTCATATGTTTCAAAACTTCAATTCTTATTTCTTTTCAAAACGAATATATAATACGTTAAATAAAAAGGGAACACCTCTTCAAAATATGAGTATCAAATTAATATCATAATACGGCTAAATCAATACTAGCAGTCTCTTTCATTATCTCTCTCTCTCTCCCCACTCAATTAATCCTTTTGAACATGTCTGTTGATATCGGAATTCCAAAACAAGGTCTTGTCTCCATCACCCCAAAAGAATGGCTTATTTCTAATATTTTGATAATCATATTGTTGAGGCCACTCGTCATCACTCAAATGTCTAGCATGTTCACGATGATGAGCATGTTCCAATTCAACTTTACCAACAGGGATAGCCGTCAACAAGATGGCGGGTAATGCCACCAAATAGGTCAATTTCTTCCATGTTCCAGTGATTTTCTCCGAGTGGTGGACTTTGGTTTCGTATTGTTGGATAAATTGGTCGCCTAATTTCTTGTTGGATTTGTAGGCTGCTTCGTTGAGGAATTTGGATGGAGCGTAGTGGTGGGCTAATCTACGGAGTGTAAGTTGTCTTGACATTGTTGTTGTTTTTGTTGGATAAAAGCAATTGAATCAAACTTGTTTAGTTGTTGAAGTCCTGCTGAGAGATGTAAATTTTTCTCGTGGGTTGTTGTAATTCTTTTTGTATTGTTTTCATTGGGTGTGGAAGGTCGTGTAATTAGGAACAGAAAATAATCACCTTATTTTTTTTTTCTTATTTGGTACAACACAATGATGTACATGGCTGCGAAAAAAAAAGGGAACCAATAGAAGATGGCAAAACACAATCATAAAGCAATATTACTTCTACGCGAGAGGAAAAGACAATCCATAGTAACCTTATTCTATAAAACTTTCCAAGTTTTTATCTTTTCTAGATCTATAATATAACCTTTAAATACTCTAACCATTAATCCATAAGTTTTCTCTGCTTCTTCTTCTTCTTACTCTTCTTATTCTTCTTACTCTCCTTATCATTCACTCTCTTATTCACCTTCTCTTCCTTCTTTGAACTCAAAAACTCATTCTTCAACTTATCAATCACACCAGGTTCCCTTCGATTCTTCAAAGCTGCAGAATATAGCTTGATTCTATCATTCAACTTCATCAACTCAGCATTGTAATCATATCCACCATCGGTGTTTCTCACTTTATCAACAAAGTAATCCAATTGCAAACTAGCACGTCTTTTGTCAATTCCACTAGGACTAGCATCAAGAAGAACAGCAAGACCACCACCACCACCATTATTGGCTTCTGCATCTGAGTCCCTACCAAATCCATATTTCCCGGCATTCTCCTTCAAAAACATCTTGAGTGATGTTTTGCTCTTCACAAGTTTACGCAACTCTATAGTATGAACTAAAGTTATCTCATGCGTAGCGATAAAATTGCGCAATACTGGCTCATTGTCATATAAAAAGTCAATATATTCACCATCTGACAATGTAACAATAATCATATCGGTATCACCTTCACTAATTCTTTGTAAACGACCTTCTCCATTATTTAATCCACCATTGGTTACATATTTCAATACAACAATCTTGGGGACCCAGATGCGCAATTTGGGCAAATATACATGATCAGCGAAAAGTGTACTTGATGTCCCCTTGGCTCGATATTCGACATGCAACATGGTTTCAAAATCATAGGGAATGTATCCAATTTCACCCTGAACCAGGTTCAATCTCAAGGGGCTTATCTCTTGTAATTTGGCGAAATGGGCATTACGACAATTGTAAATTTGCAAATAATTGTTCTTCTCTATTGGATGGATTGATTTAACATCATTCTTGTGGAAAGATGCATATTTGGTTTTTGTTAACAAGAAATTGTACCTTCCTGGAGTTGGCATATCAGAAACTGCCAATCCAGTGATATCAATATACAACCCGGTGTCCAAGTCAATAAATCTAGCATCGATATTATTTCTTCCATTACCTCTTGATCGATGAGATATAAATGTTGATGAATCAAGGAAATATCTGCCAAACCTTGTTTCTCGTTGCAAATTAGTACCAAAATCAACAACAATTGTTTGATTAAACAATCGGGTTAAACGATGTAAATCATCGATGGGCATTTGAACATCCACATCAGCATCCCAGGGGAATTGTAAACCGTTCCAATACCATGACAATAAAGACCCATGAGCTATCCAAGTGTTTAGATTGTATTGGTTTGTCAATCTGAGAAATGCCTTGAGAAGCCCATTGATTGAAATGCCTTGTCTGGGTGTGCCATTGACTATCCCATTCATAAATCTCCAATCATAGTGGCTACCTGATGCGTAGTTGGCTTCTCTTCGAACAATGTATGCCTCATGGAAATATTTTGTTGGATCTTGTTCCTGTAGTGAGGTTTTTAATGCTTGGAGATAATTCTTGTCAGTTTGATTGAGTTGTGGTGTTTGTGATTCCAAGAACGATACTCTTTCCGCACTATGATCAATAAACTGATCATGTGTAAGATGCTTTTCCATAGATAGTTCTTGATCTCCCCTTTTAGGCAACTTGTTTGACAATGACACAATTTCATTTTTAACGTTGATTTCTCCATCCTGAAATACGCTTGAGTCTTTCAATGTGATGCGTTCTTCTTGTGCTTGATTGACATCAATTTGAATTGATTTTTCACCGGGCAACAAAAATGTTAAAGTCAATGGCACTTGCATAAAATCATACAAGTAAGATCGTGATAGTATTGGTCGTGCTGATTTCTTGTTTCTCCCAGTAACACTATATATGTGAAACCCGGTGGTTAAAAATGGCGAGTTGTCACGTTCACGTTGTATTCTTTGAAATGCTGCTATTGTATCAGCATTATACTTCTCTTGTGCTTGTGAATCTTTTAAAATTGCATCAATATCATCATCATTAACGCAATAAGTTTCTGGTTTCAACAACCCTTCTCGTTCATTCTTTTTGGGGTTTCGAGAACTGGAATCAAAGTATTGACATGGTTGTTTTTCTGGATTGAAAAGGAACTCCTCCATTGCTGACATGTCGACATAATCGGACCAGTGGAAGACAGGAATTGTTAAATGTGGTTGCTGTTGCTGATCAAAGTTATTCAAATTGGTATTTATATGCTTTAACAATAACCCAAATGTATACCTAGGGTCATAGTTTTGAAATGCGGGGAGTTGCTCCTTTGGTGGGATGTTTATAACATAAAATTGATCATTGGTTGTGTATGTTGTTCCATCCATAACTTGCTTTGTGACATCGATACGGTGTTGTGTATTTTCATCTACAGCCCCTTCCATAGAAGAAGATAGACTTGTTCCGGTCAACAGCAGTTGTTTTTGCATATACTCAACCACCAAACTATCAAAATCAGTAGCATTTTGTTCCTTTTCAGCTGTCAATAGAAGCTGCTTTAAATGAGGGATAGGTACTGTTTCAGCGAGATATTGTTTGATTGGTGTATCGTGTATATGGGAAGCAACAAGTATATGAGTGACAAAGATGATGAATAGTAGTAGTACTGCTCTTGATCGCCTCATAGCAATTCGGCGGAATATCGGGCCAAGCTTAGACATGGCTGTAGGAAAAATAAAATACTAGATAGCAAAAGATTCTGAGTTTTGAACGTGATAGTAAGATGAAGACAAAGAATAACTTGTGATAGTAGTGCTTGTTTTTATATACAAAATCGAATATCGGTTTTATCGATACCCGAAAAAAAAAAAAAGAATATGGTTTGTGAATATTTTGTTCTCTAGCTTGGCTTTTGCAAAAGCAATGAAATTCTTCTGTATTTGAATGGTCGTGTGATTGTTGTGAAAAGTGTATTTTTTTTTTCCGATTTTGTGTTGTTGTTCTTTTTTACTCTGATATCTATTTTAAGGAACCAAAAGTTTAATTAATATGGATGGCTCTAAGGTTATTACAGAGCAGAAGAGGGAAAAGAAAGTGAGCTGGAGTTGGAAAGTCAGTCATACTTATAGCCAAAGCGGAGGAATAACTGGTGTGTCTGTATTTGTGTCTGTGTGGTATATTCTTCCTAATCTCTACTTGTATTGTAATTTTCGATTTTAAGCCTTGTTTGTAGAATAAAGAACGAAGATTGGTGGAAAATGCACCACTATGTTTATTTCTTCATTAAATCTGAAACCGTTTTTCAGCCAGGATACTCCTCATTAGGACGACAAAGTAGCAAGCTACGTACCACTTGACTATCACTGCCTCGTCATATCAATGACATCATCACCATCACCATCATCGATTTCTTGTGTTTATCCTTTGTGCTCATAGTGCGTTTCTAATTTTGTGTAATATCAATATGCGAGAAGGAGGAAGAGGGGAATTTTAAAACCAATTTTTCTTTCCAAGTCGTGTGATCTTATGATACTGAATACATTTCTACAAGACAGAATTACTTATATGTATAAGCATACACAAGACAGACAAAAAGTGTATGTTGAAGCTTTTATACAGTGTATTACCCCTTTGTCATTAAGTACATTCCATGTAGTCAAAAATAAGACAAAGCCTTGTTTTGCGATTTATATCTTGCTCATGCTCGAGTCCGGTTCAATACATCGCAGTCTTTATTCAGCCACGTTTAAGAAACATCACTCCTGAAGGTTGAATACGCTACAGTGATTTTCACCTTCGCAAAAGGTTAAATACTTGTGTTATCAACCACCACAGTTTTCAAGTGTACTTAGGTACTTAGAATATTGATAATAAGGTTTTGTGGCCAGCCTATGATGTGTAGTCCAGACACCGAGATTAAGTCACGTTCTAACACAAACTTACCAAGTTAACTATTTAGTCGCTTTGTAGTATTTTCCTCACGCTATGTTCTATTCTATCAATATACACTTGACACACACGAATTGCCTAACCTTCTGCAAGCCATTCCCTGATTTTGTTGCCCCACCAATGGATTAAGCTTCTGATTAAGGTTTGCTCAACTTCTCTTCAGCTTTTTTCATCTCTTCATCTGCCAACTTCTTTGTTTCGTCAACTTTATTATTACCCTGTTCAATTTCTTTCATCTCTTCAGCTTCCTTCTTGATGTCCTCCGCACGTGCTTTTTGGGCAGCAGCTGCCTTTTTCCTCTCTTCCTCAGCAGCCGCTTTCTTCCTCTCTTCCTCAGCAGCGGCTGCCTTTTTCCTCTCTTCCTCAGCAGCCGCTTTCTTCTTCTTTTCCTCAGCAGCCGCTTCCTTTTTCCTCTCTTCTTCAGCGGCTGCTGCTTTTTTCTTCTCCTCTTCCATTTCCTTCTCCTCTTCCTCCTTTGCTTGCCAATTCAACTCATGTTCCCTAGTCATATGCTTCAATCTGAGTAATTGATCCTCAAAACTATAATACCCATCATAATACCTTGTTTCATTGACAAAATAGTCCATGTATAATGGAGCTCTACTCGTTTCGGGATTCATGATTGATGCCAACCCTAATAATGCAAAACCATTTTTAACAAACAAACCCTTAGTTGACCTTCCCTTTAACAATCTTTGTAACTCCACATCATGCAACGATGTAACTTCACGAGTATTTAGGAAATCTCGTAATACATTTTCTGCGTAATACAAAAATTCAATGTATTCCTTATCATTTAGATCAATACTAATCATATCGGCACCACCTTCTTGATATATGTCCAATCTACTTTCATCAAGATGATTTGTTCTCAAGAAATCGACAATGACTAGGGCACTCGTCCACATTCGCAATTTGGGCAAATAAACATAGTTGTTGGTGAAGGTGCTTACTTTACCTTTGGTGTTGTACTCGTTCTGCATAATCAGGTCAAATCCATACGGGATGTAGCCGTACTCTCCCTGTACCATACTTAATCTGAGTGGATCCAATTGATTCATGGCAATAAATTGTTCTTTGCGACAATTGTACAATTGCAACATGTTATTCCTATTCAAAGGTGTCATTGATTTCAATGTATCATGTCCAACAGCCGATTGCTCATAATATCTTGATGGTGCAAGAGTATCACTCACTGCCAATGCAGTAATATCAATCTTGACTCCGGTATCTATATCGATAAATCTAGCATCAATGATATTGTTCGTGTTGCCCTTCGTTCGCTGTGAAAGTAATGATGCTGAATCTAGAAAGTAGCGTCCAAATCTAGTCTCTTTATCCAAATCATTACCAAAATCAACAACAATACTCTGATTGAATAATCGTGTCAACCGATGGAAATCTCGAATGGGCAATTGTATACTTACATCAGGTTCCCAAGGTAACCTCAACCCATTCCAGTACCAGCCTAAAAGTGAACCATGAGATACCCAAGACTTAATTCCATACCGATTTGTCAATTTGAGAAATGCTTTTAGCAAACGACCATTGGCCAGTTGCAGCTGTGGTGTTTTGTTGATTATACCGGTGAAGAAGCGCCAATCGTAATTGCTTCCAAATCCAAAATTGGGTTCTTCCTTAATGATGTTGGCCTCACGGAAATGTTTTGGTGGGTTTTCTTCTCTTAGAGAGTACCTGAGCCCAGCAAGGTAATTTTGGTCAGTTTGATTCAAGGGGTTGGCTTCAGCTCCCAATTTACGCACAACACCAGCGCTCTTGTCAATAAAATCATCATGTTGAAGATGAGACTCAAAAGGTAACACTTTTCTCGAAGTGGATACCTTGTTAGCAAATCTTGAAATCTCGTCTTTAATATTGATCGGCCCTTCAAATAACAAGTCTGAGTCCCGTAACTTTTGTCGTTGTCCCTGTTTAACATTGAATTGAATAAACTTGTCCTCAGGTAACAAAAATGTAATTGTTAACGGAACTGGCATGAAATCATAAAGATAAGATCGTGCAATGACTGGTCTTAGTGCTGTTTTGCCTCTTCCAGTCCATCTATGGATATGGAACCCCGTACTTAACGCTGGATTTTGTGCTGACTCCTTTTGCACTTGTTTCATTGACTCAAATATATGACTAGGGTACTTCATTTGTTTTAATGGATTTTGCAACACACTTTCCATGGCATCACCATCATCAATGCAATAATCATCAGGGTCAAGTAAATTCTCACCCATATTCTTACGAGAATCACCAGTCCTTACGTCAAAGTGCTGACAGGTTTTCTTTTCTGTTGTGAATATGTAATCCTCCAATGGCGTCATATCAACATAGTCTGCCCAATGGAAAACTGGAATGTTGAAAGTTTCCGGTTGAATTAGTTCTTTCTCATTACTCTTATCATTGATATATTTCAACAACAATCCAAATGTAAACCGGGGATCATATTTCTGAAAAACTGGTATGTCTTCCTTTGGTGGAACATTAATTACACTAAAAGAATCATCATTTGTAAAACGAGTCTCAACCAATACCTTTTGGGTAAATTCAAGCTTCTTTTCATCACTTGCTTCTATCACCCCTCCTTGGCCAATTTTGCTCTTGTAAAATTCGAAAGTTTGCAATATTTTTTTATCAAACTCAGCAAGTTGTTTAGGGCTCTCATACATCATGAATAATTGTCTGAGGTGGGAAATAGGGGCATTTTTGGCAAGGTATTGTTTGAATGGTGGATGTTGGAGCCCAAGAAAGAAGACAAGTGCAACAATAAAGAAAGCTAGGACAATGCCTCTTGAACGTCGCATCGATGCTCGACGGAAACCCAGACTGAGAAAGTGCATGGGAGTAGACTGTGTCATGTTGTGTTCAGTCGCCGGCAATTCAATTGTTGTTGTAATTAGTGGAAATTGAGTTGTTTTTATAGTACGACAGATGGGTAGATGCTTCCACAAAACTTAAAAATTCGAGATCTACATGGAAAGGGCACAGACCGCCTTTATTCAAAAACGACTAGCTCTTTCACAACCTACTTTAAAAAGATGAGTGTTTCATATCTCTGGGCTGGAATGTTTCGAGAAAAACAAACCAGTCAGTACATTTTACAGACCTAGTACAAAACAGAAGGGGGAGATTTTGCGCGGGTTTCCCAATCCCTTCAAAAAACACCCAATTTGGCGATGATTTGTCTCGTTCAATACGAACAGATGACCGAAACAGTTGATCTACCTCAATATTTCGTTTCCTGTAAGACAAGGAACTCTTTATCGCCACATGCGAAGTTTATGCCTCTTGACGGCTCCGCCATTATGACCTCTACCCAGAGTATAGTACAACTCACTTACGAGGTCCCTCACGTGTCCGGTAAAAGACATGTTGTGACATTTCGAAAAGAACAAGCAGAGTGAAGCCCTTGTTTGCAGTGGGTGCTGCATCAGAGTGTATCTATTTTTGGTTTCACATAAAAAATGAAAAAAAAAGTCGTACCATATGCACATGCAACAAAAAAATTCGCCAAGAGCTGTGGGAACTAGTTGATTGTAATGCATGCGCACATATGGACCCTCTTGATGGTGATATTGGCCCATTCGTGAGAACAACTCACTTGAGTTGCTGAAAGTTTGCCTTTTTGCTTTTGCAACTATTTATGCGGACTATTCAGCAGCTTGGGGTTTTCTAAAATCTAGATGATCCAAGGGTTTGGCCCAATTATGCCTTGCATCTACATGAAGATGGCTACGTTCTACATTAAATCCGACTAAAGTAGTGTCCTCGCCTACGAGATGTGTATGTGAAGAAATGTGTACCCTCCACAAATGCACTGTGGCGCCTTGAAGTAAAATTTTTTTGACAGTGAGCATGTCGTAAAAGGACCCTTTAATTTTGGTTTCTGTTTTTTTTGTGTGTTTTTCGTTAATACACTTGCAAGCAAAAGAAAGCGACACAAGAGAGACCAAAAGGAATGATTATCTTCTAAAATTATAGATTACTAACTATTAAAATCTCGTTTCAGATGATGCTCAAGTTCTTATTTATATGAGACTGGTTTAAAACTTAACCCATGGATAATGTACATTTCGTCCTCCCTCTTCTTTTCTCCTTACCAATTTGAAAAACTATTCCGTCTTATCCCTGTTGTTTCTCCTTCCAAGCATCCTCAAGATCTTTGATCTTTGCGCGTAATCTCTGCATCTCTATATCAAAATCGAACCCTTCAGTGTTTCTCAGTTGATATACAAAGTAATCCAATTGTAAATTGGCTCGAAGTGCATCCTGTTTCAACACCTCGGTTTCATGATCAACAAATAGATCCTTGGTTGATGATTTATCCAATATCGTTTGTATCTCCAAATTGTGTAAAGATGTAACTTCATGAGTAGCAATAAATTCGCGCATCATGGATGCATTTCGGTACAAGTAATCGACATATTCTTCATTGGTTAGATTAAAAGTCTTGATTTTGACATCACCTTCTTTAACTTCTTGCATCTTAGCACTATCACCATTATTGCTATCGCCTTGAGTCACGAAATCAGTAATGAGTTTGTCGTACTCCCAAAGACGTAGCTTGGGCAAGTAAACCCGGTCTTTATACACTGTGCTGGCAATTCCCTTTTCTTTATATTCAGTAAGAAGCATCGATTCAAATCCCGGTGGGATGTATCCATAATCACCCTGGATTGAACTTAATCGAAGTGGACTAAGTTCCGAAAACTGGGAAAAATGCTTGTTTCGACAATTGTAAATTTGCAAAAATGCATTTCGATCCTTTTGGCTAACAGGTGAATTGTGTCTGTTACGATCATATTCCGTGCCGGCCAACAACTTGTTGTACCTATCAGGTGCTGGTTCTGTACTCAATGCCAAAGCCGTTATATCAACGTAAAGTCCAGTATCCAAATCAATGAAACGAGCATCGATATTGTTCAATCCTTGACCTCTTGATCTATGGGATATAAATGTAGATGAGTCGATATAGTATCGACCGAATCTCATCTCACTGTCTAAATCATTACCAAAATCAATAATTACTGATTGGTTAAACAATTGGGTCAATTTATGTAAATCTTGGATGGGCATTTGTACATCGATATCAGGATCCCATGGAAATTGTAAACCATTCCAGTACCAGGACAACAACGATCCATGAGCTATCCAGGTATTGATATCGTATTGATTTGTCAATCTGAGAAACGCCTTGAGTAATCCATTGATTGCAACTTCTTGTTGTGGTGTATCATTAATGATTCCATTAACGAACCTCCAGTCATAATGACCTCCAAGTCCAAAATTGGGTTCGCTTTTCAAGATATTTGCCTCATGGAAATACTTCGGTGCATCTTTGGTGTTCAATGATGTGCGAAGTGACTTGAGATAATGTTGGTCTGTTTGGTTGAGTGGTTCTTTTTGTGATTCCAACGTCAACATATTTTGTGCTGTCTTGTCGACAAAGTGATCGTGTGTGAGATGTTTCTCATATGGTAAACCGTTGATACGTTTTGGTACTCTGTCAGCAAATGATGTAATTTCACCTTTTATGTTTACTTCCCCCTCTTGTAACAAGTCTGAATCTCTCAACTTCTTACGCTCATTTTGATTGACATTGTATTGAATCGACTTATCGCCTGGCAACAAAAATGTCAATGACAATGGTAAGGGCATAAAGTCATAAAGATATGAACGTGCAATGATTGGTCTCAATGCACGTTTATTTCTTCCAGAAATATTGTATATATGAAAATTAGTGGTTAATGTTGGTAATACCTCTCGTTCTTGCTTTATTCTCTTGAATGATTCAATGGTGTATGTAGTGTATCTCTTTTGTGCTTCTTCATCTTGTAAAATCCTATCAATCTCGTCATCTTCAACACAATAATCCTTAGTTTCGAAAATCTTTTGCTGCTCATTTGTTGCTGTGTCTATCGTAGCATCAAAGTATTTGCAAGTTTGTTTCTCGGGCATAAACAAGTACTCTTCCATTACTGACATATCAGTATAGTCTGCCCAGTGGAAAAACGGTATGGTCAAGTCTTGTTTCTTCTCTTGATTACTTAGTTCGCTATTGATGTATTTTAATAACAATCCAAATGTGAATCGTGGATCGTATTTTTGAAATTGAGGTACTTGGTCCCTAGAGGGGATCTTGACAACTTCAAATGACTTGTCATTGGTGAATGTGGTTTCCTTCAACACTTGCTCAGCAACGTCGAGTTTCTGCTGAGTCTCGGAGTCAAAAGTGCCATCGCTTGTTTGTAATTTCAAAAGTTTTTCTTGACTATATATAAGATCAATCACTTGATCATCAAATAACGCAAGATCTTTATAACTATCTTGCCCGACTAATAGTTTTCGAAGCTTGGATACATTGACGGTATTTGATATGTATTGTTTGATCGGTGTTAATTGTACGTAAGATACGACAAGAACATGTATTAGTATCAACCCGAAAACGAGTAGAATTCCTCTCGACTTTCTCAAGGTTAGCTTTTGAAGTAGTTGGGATATGGGAATCATAGTATACTGACCCTGGTGGCTGGGTTGATGAACCTTGAATCAAATTGACTTTTGATACTTGCGATGACAATCTGTGAAAATCTGTATCGCTTAGTCAAAGTTTAAAAAAGGTAGGTTTATGCAAGATTTGAAAAAAAAATATTAATGTAGCTAAAGTTACTAGCAAAATGTGGAATCTGTTAACCCAATCTCTTTTCAAAAATGAAGGGGAAAAAAAAACGAAGTGGCTTTGAACGTTTATATATGAATATTGTCAATGCAATCCCCCTTCCTTTGTTGGGCTGTTCCTTATTGTCTTTCGGTGTTAATGCAATCTTCAAACTAGAATTAGAAAAAAAAAATACTCCCCTTTTTTTAGGAAAAACGTTTCTTTTTTTTCGAAAGAAAATTACGGTTTTTCAAATGAAAGAGATCTAGACAACAATGCGTGATCCCTGTGTTGGGAAGTGCGATACGTTTGTGGAAAACCTACGTGTGTTTTTCTTCCTTGGAGGATGTTTACTGTTTTGAACAGTGGTACTGTTATAATGAAGATAAAAAATTCTTCAACTACTGCATACTGGTAAATATTATTTATTGTTATTCTACTGCATTGACGAACACAAAATGCACAAAGGATTATGTAAGAGGATCATTCAATAGAAAAGGAGTTACTTTGCATGTAGAGAGTAAATAGGAACGAACAAGAAAATATGACGAAAAACATGTAATGATAATTACAACGTTGAGATGGAAGACGCCTCGATACAACAACACAGCACGATACCAATGCTCAAGGTATAGTGAAGCGGACCGGCAACTACTTTAAGCTATAGTTTAAAGCTGTATACAATGACTCTTTTATGGAATCTCTCAAAACATAGAAATAGAACTTTCATTACATTGTTACACAAAGAACGAAAGTAGTAACTTAAAAGTCGTGTGACAATAAAAATTAAGAAAAAAGGACACGACACAAAAATATCAGAAAATTATGGTTAATTTTAGAAAGTATAGTATTAAATATAAACAACCAAACAATAATGATATACACGCTATGTGTATTAATGAAAACATAGGGATCATTCGCGTGTGTTGTGAGCATCGTGACCTCATCAACTAAGGTGCGTACTTACTGGTTGTAATGAATTTGGATTCCCCTCACCGGAAGAATAAACGCCAGCGCTTTTAAGCCACACAATTGGGAAAAACATCCCGTGTAACATAGTGCAAAATAAAAATAAAAGCCTTGTCCTAAACTCACACTCTTCTAGTACTCTTGAAATTGTGTTTAAATACGAGATATTCAGACCTGCTATTTCATTGTTTTGAGAATCGGCTCACAATTTATCACTGTAGATGCACAGATGACGCCTTATAGCCCTACTTGTATCGAAATTTGGATGAACTTACGATTCAAGTACAAAACATGTGTTTTCGCAAGCTACTACAACTGGATGTTTAAACGCCAAATTTTCTTGAAGTTGGAGTGTGCTAAGACAGCAGGAAACAGCCCTGCATCTGTAGTCCCCTCGTCTCGGTATAACTAAATTAAATAAGGATTACTAAAAGAGTTTAAAGATCACACGACAAGAAAAAATAGAGGAATGTTTGTTTATCTCTTCCTTCTTCCGTTCCTTTGTTGTGAAGCTAATCTTTACACAAAATGTATATCCTTGCTGGTTATGAGAGTCTCTGTTCATAATTTTTTTTTTTTTATTTCCTTTTGTTTTTGCGTGAGATGCGCCGCAAAAGTTAGGTACTGGAGTTATCCTTTTTGTTTATACCAAACAAAATCAAATCGTGCCTTCTTCTTGAGTAGATCTAAATGAGACAACAACTTGCAATGTGGTACTTGATGAAACCAAGTGGTACATTCTTTCAAACCTTTGTTTTGTTATCTCCATTTGGAACTGCGCGGCGGTCGTAAACAAATCTGTGCTTTGAAATGCAACCCTCGCTAAACAGCAAATCAGGGCTACCAACGTAGATCATAAATAAAAGATTTGCAATGTTCCGACAACCCCCTACACTTTTTAACTCAACCCAAATATTGGCACTTGCCACATCCACAATGTCCATATACTTCTCACAGTCGAAATAGTAGCCTTGAGCTAATTCCTCTCTTTGCTGTTCTGTAATCAAAGTCAACCACATCGAAGCACAAATTGTCCTTTACGCAACTTAGTTTAACCGCCATACCTATCTTGCCATCAACTTTCTAGAAAATCTCGAAAAGAATGCCCACGTAAATGTCTTGGCACTAAACAATTGTTAGAGAAATTCTAAAAATAGATTTGGTGTTGAATAGATGTTGGTTCATAAAGACCGTGAAGATTTAACCTTTACGGGCTTTAATACGTAGTTGAGCATCATGAAAAAATTCACTGCGTGGACGACTAAAGACTGAAAAGAGCCAAATGCGAACGCCGTTCAGAGAAATTAAAACCCATGAAACGCAGTGAAATGAGCTTATTCTCTACTACAGAAATGAATTAATATTTACGAACATTGACAATTGTATCTAGGACATTCGCAATTGATAAGATTTCGAGTCACCTAATTCTCACTATCCTCGTGAATGCTATATGTTTGATGTAAAGAAAGAAAATTGACTCTCATCGCTAATGTAGAATTTGTAACTAACGCCCGCCAATGCTTTACCTCCATACAAACGTAAAGACAGAGTAAGTTCCTATGGAAATCACAAATTACAATATACACAGTCAAACAAATTATTACACTAACAAAAACCGACATTTAAAAGAATAACGCCATGCTTTGTTGTCTGTTGCACCGCTGTTCACATTTTCAACTTGTTGCCACGCAAAATCCCCAAACCACTACATAGTATGGGACATATCACCCCACAAGGATATTGGCCCAATCAGAACTACTGCAAATTCCGGTCGTTGACAAAAACCTACCATGATAGAAACCCCCATCGACTGGAATGAACTCAATCTACTTGGGGTTCGGTATATCTCTTGATTTGTCAATCAGTCTTTTTCTCAATCATTTCACATCAAATCCTTTATACTTTTTTGGATGAAAACGAGTCTAAAAAGCTCCATCAAGAAGAATCCAAGACTCAAAGTTGGTAAAACAGACATTAAACACAACGTTTAACTTTTTTACTGGTCCCAAAATAGATGGACAAGGTTCCGATTACAATCAATCAATACGTGAATAATCTAAAAGACATAATATCTATAGAAAGCACATTTGATCAAATAGGTGGACATTAGCAATGAGTTTCAACTAACTCGTCAAAGACTTTGATTCATTCTCTTTAGAAAGGAAGGAGGAATCATGCGTACACCCTTGGTCCATTTTCATCAAACATGAACTCGACAGTCATTGATAGAAATATCTTACCAGCAGTTGCAAAGTCAATCGACCAAAGGTTCATCCAAAAAAAATTGTGACCAGCAATCTTGTTGTTATGAAGGGCTTCACTGATCATATAAACTCGAAATTGTTTTAGTAGAAAAAAAAAAACCCACTATTGGATTCATCCACTACTCATAGTTGTTGGAACGAAGGGTTTGCTACTAAAGCTTGTGAAATGTTCCAGAATGGTATGGCCAAGAGGCCTATTTTGTTGCGATCGAAAAATTTTCTCTTTCTTGCTTTCATTAAATTTACGCCGACGAAGGTAAAGTCGTTGTCGTGTCACTAATGAGATGTTGCCACTCCGTCAACCACGTAGGTAGAGACTCTTAACAAACTCGAGATTACTCACAGTACGTATGCTCGTTCACTTCTTAGAAATTCAATTCTATTCTAGTCTTTAGTCGAATGTATTGTAATTTCACCATAAGCACCATGGTTCTCATGGTTGAACAGTTATGTGGCCAGAACGAAATCTTGATAATCTAGACTTCTATTATAGGTGACGGATGTTCCATGCGTTTGAGCTAAAAGGTAAATACCGTTCCGGTTTTAGAGCCACAAAAAAGTTAGCCATCTTCTATTTTGACTTAGTAATACGATCTGTTAAAAGTCTTTTTTGGTCTCTTGACACAAAAATGTTCATTTCTAAAATGTCATAGCACCAGTGTCAGCCGAAGCTAAATCAAATAACATTGGGTTTATTGAAATTGTAATCTATGATAAGAGAAGCATTGCCAGAGTAAAAGTGTGCAAATCAATAGTATTTTCATGTAAATTAGCAAAAAGAACCAAATAATTGGCATTTTTTTGCAAATTAGCAAGAAAAACCAGTCGACAGCAATTCTTTGCAAATAAACAAGAAGAAACATTCAACAATGACAAACCGTAAAGTCTTCTGAATCAATATCTAGCGAGTGAATTCTGAGGGTGATCGGGTATTTGGCTTACTAAAATCTCTCACAATTGTTTCCCATTGATTTATCATTCAATTTGACATCGTTATTTCTCATCACCTCATTCCAATCAAAAGCTTGGAGACGTTGCAGCTTACAACTTTTCCGTTGTATTGTATGGGAGTACTACTGTGTTTTGTACGTGTTCAATATCATACATCAAGTATCCGCTCAATGGTAAGGGGTTACGGAGTTCCATTTTATTTTTTTGCACCTGGTAGAGCCAAAAGAACATCCATCAGCAGTTATCGGGAAATGTAAAATCAAAATTACACAAAATTGGCACTTAGGCTTCAAAAAGTATTACTGGAAACGGAGAAAGGAAAAAAAAAAAGGTAAAGTGGATCCACAGTTAGCATATGAAAAATAAAAAAAATGCTGTTATCCGCGGGACGGGAATAGAGGTAAGATGATAGTGGAGACTCAATGGACTAAGAAGTTGCAGTGCAGGATCTGTGGATTTGAATTACCTTCACAGGTTTTACTACGTGGTATCTTTATACTCCGTTGATGCACTACTTTGACAAAGTGTGTTGACTTATCTACTTCAACAAACTACCGAGGTTAAATTACTTTTGTGTCTGGCTGATATCATTTCGAAAAGAGAAAAATAATATATTTTCGGTAACTTTGTGAATTCTGGGGTAAAAAGGCAAAAAAAAAACACGTTCTCAGCCAATGAGAATCAAGGAAATGGTAATACAGTGCCAAAACAAACAGGGTGCCACAGCCCTTTGAGAAGAGAAAGTGAAATTAGTAGAATGTGTACCACCTCAATGAAATGAATACGGACTCATTTTATTCTACAACATCTGCCATCAATGATGATCACTAATTGCTCCTGCAGGGATGGTCATCAATAGAACTGCTTTTACCATACACGTGTGTCGTAATCTCCTCTTTTTCAAAGGATGTACAATTTGTGGCATGATTATATAATTCGTATGTGTGTATGTGTTGGTTACTAATAAAATTGCAATGGTCTGGATCTTCAATGTTGATTGATAATCAAAAACAGAACAAAAAGTTCTGCAATACAATTGCTGCATGAATGCTTAAAAATAATCACATTTCTAGTACAATGGTACACGACTCTGCTATAGTAATATCCCCACTAATACAAAAAAAAAAAAGAGTATATGTGTGTGTCTTAGTAAACTATGCATTAATTCTAGTTCCCCTCTCCCGTTCAAAATTTCCCTTATTTTATGGTTCATATAAATATCCCTTGAGATCGCACATACATCCAGTTGGATTCATATTAATTCTGCTTACTCCCTTTTTAATTTATACATCAATTATATCTATATTCAATCATGGCCCCAGTATTCACTAACTCACAAGGTAATCCAATCCCAGAACCATTCGCCACTCAAAGAATTGGTAAGCATGGTCCATTGTTGATGCAAGATGTCAACTTGATTGACAACTTGGCTCATTTCGACAGAGAAAGAATTCCAGAAAGAGTTGTCCACGCCAAAGGTTCAGGTGCTTATGGTGTTTTCGAAGTTACTGATGATATCACTGATATTTGTGCTGCTAAATTCTTGGACACTGTTGGTAAAAAGACCAAAATTTTCACTAGATTCTCCACTGTTGGTGGTGAACAAGGTTCAGCTGATTCTGCCAGAGATCCAAGAGGTTTTGCCACTAAGTTTTACACTGAAGAAGGTATTTTGGATTTAGTTTACAACAATACTCCAATCTTCTTTATCAGAGATCCATCTAAATTCCCACACTTTATTCACACTCAAAAGAGGAATCCAGAAACTCACTTGAAGGATGCCAACATGTTTTGGGACTACTTGACCTCAAATCCAGAATCAGTTCACCAAGTTTGTATCTTGTTTAGTGACAGAGGTACCCCAGCTTCATACAGACACATGCATGGTTTCTCTGGCCACACTTACAAGTGGGCCAATGCCAAAGGTGAATGGCACTATGTTCAAGTCCACTTTTTAACTGACCAAGGTATCAAGAACTTGACTGTTGAAGAAGCTGGTGAATTGGCTGGTTCCAACCCAGATTTTGCTCAAGAAGATTTGTTCAAGAGCATTGCTGCCGGTAACTACCCATCATGGACTTGTTACATTCAAACCATGACTGAAGAACAAGCCAAGAAGGTTCCATTTTCTGTCTTCGACTTGACTAAGGTTTGGCCACACAAGGATTTCCCATTGAGAAGATTTGGTAAATTCACTTTGAATGAAAACCCAAAGAACTACTTTGCTGAAGTTGAACAAGCTGCTTTCTCACCAGCCAACTCTGTTCCATCAATGCAACCATCTGCTGATCCAGTCTTGCAATCAAGATTGTTTTCATACACTGATACTCAAAGATACAGATTGGGTGCCAACTATGTTCAAATTCCAGTTAACTCACCATTACATGGTTCTGTTTACGCCCCAAATGTCAGAGATGGTCCAATGAATATCAATGGTAACCTCGGCGCCACTCCAAACTACTTAGCTTCAGATGTTCCAGTTGAATTCAAAGCAAATTCATTGCAAGAGGATCAAGAAGTTTGGGAAGGTGCTGCTACTCCATTCCACTGGAAGGCTACCCCATACGAATGGGAACAACCAGCACAATTGTGGAAGGTTTTGGCTAAATACCCAAACCAACAGGAACATTTGGCTCACAATATTGCTGTCCATGTTGCTAATGCAAGACACGATATTCAAGACAGAGTATTTAAATACTTTGGTGGTGTCAGCCCTGAATTGGAAGCCTTGATCAAGAAGGAAGTTTTCGAATTGAGTCCTAGAAAGTAAAGGTTTAGTTTACAGGTATGTAGATTAAGGTATATATTATTTATGTTTAAGAAAATGTTTTAATGTTTGTAAGAAATGTAGGTAGGGGAGTGTCGGTTCCTACAAATTCATGTCAACTCGTTTCTTTTATTCCCTATAAACTATATACTTAACCACATTAAAGCTTGGTGGTGTTACACGATGGACATCCACAACCTGACCCACACTTGCACAAACTTCCACAACATTGACCCTTGTTTGAAGACGAAGATGAAGCTAAACTAGCACCAGTGGATCCCTTACTGGAAGAGCTTGATCCGCAACATGAATTTGATTGACTACCACACATAATGATCTTTTGAATGAATTGTTCTGGAAAAAAAAAAGAGTCAAATTTCAAAACTCATTATTCAAAGAAACGATTGTCGATATATATATATATATTTGTACCGTTTTATTATCTAATCACACCTGAGGTGATTTTTAAGAGTTTACCTTTTTTTGTAATGTTGCAGCGCATAGTATTACCCAAAAAGGAATATACAAGTTTCGCTTCTACATTTTTTTGTACGCGCCAAAATGTTTAAGAGCAGATAATACTTCGCATGAGTAAAAGGATGGATTTTGTGCCCCAAACTGTGGGGAAAGTGTCGCAAGAAAAGTGGAAATGGGACACTGGGAGACGATAGGGACCTGATCCAAGCGAGCCTAGCCCAAATGATGTAGGGTCAATGTCGCAGTTGCATCCAACAGTAGTTTTGAAACGATGTGTGATTACGGTACATACAGCCCACATCACGCTCAAGTCTCTATTATATATTCTATTCACACGTAATCGTCTTTAGTTACTCCCCCCCTCCGTCTTTCTCCCGTGATGTCAATTTGCCAAAGTATTTCCATTGAGTAAACCATGCAAACACCATACCCAATAAACTTCCAAACGCAATATCAAAAAAATGATGACGATAATCTTGTGTTCGACTAAGGGCAATATAAGAAGCAAATATCACTGGTAAAGTCGCCACCAACAACAACACCATCCTATGGTTTTCTCTTTTCAACACTTGAAATTGCCCAATAAACCACAATGACAAGTACAACAACCCACCAAAAGCCATAGATGAATGTCCCAGCGGTGTTGATTTGAGCCCATCTGACAAGTACATATCACCCAACGGAGACGTACAAACACTGATATCGACTAATGTATCTAGTGGTGTTTGTTCAGCTGGTCCACACCGTTCAATAAAATCAGGACGGGGGTTCCCGATCCAACATTTGAGAATATCAGTAAGCACTGATACTGATGATACACTAAATAACAACCCAAGGAGTGAAAGCTGTACAAGATGCAACTTGTCGACATTTGTAGGGGCAATAAACAATGAAATTATGATAATAATGATTGCAGGAATTAATGTTGAATACACGTATAGCTGATTATCAGTAACACGTTGAGCTGTAGCAAACGGGTGTGATAGTTTAGGATCATTGATGTAAAATTGACGATGGAATGGTTCCCAATGTTCAACAATTTGGAAAAATATGAATATTAGAACGATAACGGTTATCCAATCGGGGATGTATGTTTTGAACCTAGCTGATGAAAAGTATAGCTGCAGCATGATTAATCTGTGAATGGGGCGGTTGATTTGTTGACAAAACTGTATCCAACGATGGCAATAGAAGGGGTGATGACCTAGTAAAGAGCAGTTGCTTGTAGATGGCCTCTTTCAAAAATGCGTTTTTCTTACGCTGGACACCGTTTCTGAAAAAAGAAAGTAAAAAATTGGAAATGCGTTTGTGAGTCAAATTTGTCGCGGATCTAGATCGCAAAACTTCATAAGCATGAACAGGATAAGGCAAACACGTACATGCGAGTGATTGAGCTTGCTTGCCGAAGAGAGTGGTATCACTGCGAGGCTCTTATTGATTCGGAAGCTTTTTTGTAAGAATGGACTGCTTTTATCCTAGATTAAGAGTTTGCGATGTCCATCCTGTCCAGGACAAAGTCAAGCAAGATACAGCTGAGCATCAGTTCTTATACTTGTATAGGAAGACAATGCGAAGGTTGGATGAGCTTCGCGGGACCTATAACATAAATAAAGCACTAATTTGAGTAATAAGAGAGATTATGTGCAAAGTTATTCCCTTTCTTTCTGTCAGGGTGGACAACGAAAATCTTAATGAGTTTTTGGTATCCGATGTAATAGGGGTAACTATCCCCTTTTTTATGTTCCCCCTCTCATCGTGTTCAAATTAGGAATTGCAAGAATCGGATCGACTGGTACAAAATGTGCTCGAACGTGGCTTTGAAAAAACACGAACAAAAAAGGGAGTGAGCCAGCTATAAATAACAATTACGTGATCAATACAAGGCTTTGTTTCCAAACTCACCATACTCGGTAAAGGTTTGTTACACGCACTGCCTGCTTTTTGTGTATGACTCGTATACTCAGAACAATGAATGTCATGAGCGTTTTATTGAACAAGTGAGAGAGAGAGAGAGAGAGTCTGTGTGTGTGTGTGTGTGTGTGTGTGTGTGGCGATCGGGATTAAAATTATTTATTCTTCGTGCGTGATGTTCCATGTTCTATGCGTTCTTTTTTTCTTTAGTTTTATTTCCAAAAATAGCAATCGCCAAAAGCCAAGAGTAGTGTCAAATGCTTCCGCGCATGTGAACTATAAAAGGGAATGCATTTGGTCTATCCAATTCTATAATCAAATTTTGCAATCAACACAATTATCAATCTTTATCATGGCAGACATTTTATCAGCAGTTGGCGGCATTGTGTCGGCCGGTCTAGGAGTAGCAAATACAGTCACATCAAAAGCAGAAGGTCTTTTCGTTACCGTCACGTCAGGTGCCGATGGTGCTTGGCATACGGCTACTAGCGGTGTTGTTGTTGAGTTTAATTCACTTACATCTAAAGGTGGTGAAGGTTATCAGATTGTCACATCAGGCGCCGATGGTGTTTTTAGTACCATTACACGTGGTGCTGTTTCCGAGTTTTCTGTTGTTACTAGTGGTGGAGCAGCACGCGTGGATTCATTGACCAGAGATGGCTCTTCTGTTGAGACTAGCACAGCATCTACCGATAGTGAGGCAGCGTCTGGAAACAGGTCCTCAGAGGATTCGTCAGCTAGCTCCACTGAGGATTCTTCCAGCTCGTCGGAAAGTGGATCATCATCAACCGCTCACTCATCTGCAACCGCCGCTGCCGCAGGATCATCAGGATCCTCTGAATCAAGAACTACAAGGTCATCGGAAGAGTCGAGCGCCTCAAAATCAACTGAATCTTCTTCGTCATCATCTTCGAACGCTGCTTCTTCAATCAACAACATCGATGGAATCAAGCATTGGAAAAAGACTTTAGTGGTTGGGGCTTTAGTCGGGGTTTCATTTGTTGCTACTGTATTATAAGAAAAGTATATAGATGTTTCAATAAACACTATAGATTTTTAGAGGCTTTAGCTGTCGGTCGATACCATGACTTGTGGTAGGACGATGTTGATTCAGGAAAAGAACACAACCTTTGACCTTGAGAAAAGTAGCTTTTCAAACATGACAAATAATTGATAATTTCTCCTATAAACTGGAAAGGTTATGCTGCACCACTAGGCACCTACATACAACCGTCAACTTGTGTGATGCATCATTGGTATTTGCTCATGCTGCCATAGAAAATAACTGTGGGGTACAGGTGGTAGAGGCTGTTCTAGTTTTTATGTGCGGAACTCCGCCCGGATATCCTATAACAAATAAATAACACAAACACAACAATAATAAAATATCTGTCTCTGTTGCATTAGTCAACTTTAACCGACTCATGCATATCATACATTTACTCTTCCATATTATATATGTACAATGCCTTAAAGTTAACATTTCACACCTCTTTGATTAATGAAGCTTGTATTGTGACTTTGAAAGTCTTTCCTTTTTAAGATTGGCTGAGGCCCTGATATTACACTTTCAAAAGTTGGGTTTTTGGTTTAAAGAAAACTCGGTTTGCATTAGACATTTGTGGCATTTACACGGATGAGAAAAAGGGGGTGTTAGAAGAAAAAAAAGAAAAGCATGGACGTGTCGATACCAAACGCCTTTACAGTTGACATCAGTACACGTACATTTCATGCATCAGTTTTGTGTAGCAATTCTTTCTCACTTTTGATCGTCAATTACGAACAAACCATCTATTTTGAATTGGTTTTTGAGACCCCTCCAAGGGAGAGGGGACCTTAGGGGGAAATTGTAAAGGCTGAGCCAACTGCCTACCATTTGAGATGTGCTTGCACGGCTAAAACTTCCATTTTCTGGCAGCTTTTTCGAGGCATTGTTGGTAAAAATTAACTTTAGTGTATTGCACAAAAGCCGCATTTACAACCTGGTTTTCACCAATGAAAGGAGAAGCGCAGAGAAAGTTGTGCCTCCTGTGTGGGAGGTGTCTATACAGGTCACAAGTAGCTCGATTATGCAGCAATACTTACTGCGGTGTTTGTAGGCTGATGTATACACTACCAAATAACGAAGTTGGGGAAGTAGGGTGCAAAAAGGAAGAACAAAAGAATTTTTTTTGGACAACAAAATAAAGTTTTAAACTTTTTTGGTCTAAGGTGCAAAAGAATTGCAAAATTCAAACAGACTTTGAGCATGAAGATTAACTCACACAATGAATATCGACAATGAGCCACGCTGCTCGTTAGCATCTAGCATTCAGAAGTATAGTGACCAAGGTAATTTACGCCTTAGACGAGGAACTAGGGTTGGTTGAAATCTTACATGAGTAACTGATACTCTAAGACACCCATTGAAGACCAAGAAACTAGAATACTTGGGGCCCCTGAAATCTCAAGGGGCTTTCCCTAGATTCATAGATTCAAGTGCTAGCTTCGACGTGCCTTCGATATAGTGAAGGTAACAGTGATCAAGATATTCTTTTTCTCTTCTGGGGTGGGGGGGGGGGGGTGTAAATAGAAAACATATGTTTCTCTAGTTTTGTGTATCATCGAGAAGAACTTACACAAAAATGTTTTTTTATGTAAAATATTTTTGAATATAAACAACATACACCCGTATAGCAATCCAAATTACCAACTTTCCAAAGATCTCTCTTAAATCACTTTCTTTCTATCATTAAAGGCGAGAGCCACCTTTGCCTTTTGAAGACTAGAAGGGCTGTTCGTTACACGGTACTTCCCACCCTTGCCACTAGACAGAAACATCTAATAGGTGTCATTTACACCCCACTTTGTGAAAAACTGAGTCTGTCTCTGGAACTCAACAAAAACGTAAACTAGGGACACTTTGTTTGACTAATTTAAAACGCAGCTATTTCATCACGAGTAGTAAGAGTTTAATTGCTTGTGCTCAAGATCTGATCAAGGATCTTTGTTGCGGAGATCCATTTATTCAAAAGGTGCAGTATAATAAGACGTTGAGCTCATTACTACTGGACGTCAAATTAAAGATACACCTTGTGACTACCTTTAGAGAGCTCTCATTCATCCAACCGAAATTACTAGCTCAAAGAAAGAACTTACTGTGCTGAAGTTCCAACATCCATCACATTCAATACATTCAGAGTTTTTTCGAACTAGGATAAGATAACAATTTACATTACATTAGCAACAACAACGTCGCATCCACCCATAGTCATCGCCTTCGAACACGCTGTTCCCGCTATTTAGTGCACACTCATTCATACAGCAAACCGTTGTCATTCATTAGATCTGCACAATTAGTAAGGCGTGGAAAAGAAAAAGAAAAAAAAATTGGAATATCACAATGTCATCGATCAGTTCCATCACCTCTTCAGACCCCATGTCACTGCCAGCACGCGTACAAGTAGATATAAATGCCATACAAGATGAGGAAAGGCCTCAACAGGTTGGAGGTACGACTTTCAACATGTGGTATCTCAACTGGTCAGGTGGAGGAGGTGGTATGAATTCTTCAGCTACTGATTCATTCACGCGATCGAAATACAGAGTCAAGGTTACTCGCGATCAAGGATATACAAGAGCAAGAGATGCATCCCCAGTATGCTTGTTTTTTAGCAGGGGATGTTGTTATATGGGATCCAACTGTAAATACCTCCATAATCTACCAAGCAAATCAACGTATCAAAATCAGGCCAAGGACTGTTTCGGAAGAGACAAAACTGCCGAATACAACGATGACATGGATGGCGTGGGTTCATTCAATAATTCCAATAGGACCTTATACGTTGGTGGCATACAAATGAGACCGAATATCGAGGAGTTGGTGACCAAAAATTTCGAAGAGTTTGGTGATATCGAGAAGGTCAGGGTCGTATACAACAAGAACTGTGCATTTATCACTATGAAGACAGAGGCTGATGCGCAATTTGCCAAGGAGGCCATGAATAGACAGTGTTTAATCAATCCAGAGACTAATAGTAGTAAAAGCAAAGAAGTACTACATGTACGATGGGCACATCAAGATCGAAATCCTGAAGCACAAAAACACACCAAACGCAAAATGGAGCAATTAGCGATGGATACAGTAAAATCACTATTGAGCAATGAAACTTGTAAACGTGTCAAGATGGGTGAAGATAGAATTTCGGATAAATCTCCGCTTGAGGTCGTTAAAGTGGAGCTTGATAACAGGAATGATGAAGAAGAAGATGATGATGATGACGTCGATCTGGACGATGAAGATGAGGAAGAGGACACCGTACCAGAAATTAAGCCCAATAGTAATGGAAAACTACATCGTGGTAATATGCCCATCAGGAATAAGGCGGTAACTGCAAACGGCTCCAGTCATCATCGTCATCATCTTCTGCAGCCACACAATTATAGCTATGACACCAGTAATGGTAATGGTTACGGACACTCGCAAAATGGTTCTAGTCGAAATCATAGTATTGGAGAACATAGTCATAGTGGTGGTGCCACTAGTGATGAGATCAGACAAGATTTCTTCGAAAGACACGGATTAGTTAATCAATCAACTTTGAAAGATTTGGCTGAGTTACGCAAAAGGATGAAAACCACTCGACACGAACCTAATTTGATTTCTGTTTTGGGTAATTACTCAAGTGATGAAGATGACGATTGAGGATAGATGAAATATAGATGGTACAATAAAACAGGAAAGAGTCATATCTGCGCTAAATCGTATGAGGTCAAAGGGCTTATACTCTTTTGAGCAAAAGTTCTAGAACTAACGGAATCCGTGGCGAAAATACAAAACTCTATATGGTGTGATCTTGGCGCTTAAATAGACGTGCATAAGTTATGGCTATGGCTTATCTGTCGAAGAATCATGGCGACTTTTAGCTCAGGTGTTCTTCGCCACTCTATTCTCTCCACAAATCACTTCAACCATTTAGCACATTTAACACATTGCACATTGTACGTTTTATATAGAGTTTTTAATCTCGCATGATCTTACACACCACTTTTTTTACTTTTATTTTTCTTTGTCTCCTTTTTCTGTTGCAACAAGAAACTTTATAATTATCCCGTTTCTAAAGCGATAACGTTATACCTTTTTTGTCTCTTTTGAGTCCGCCCCCCGCATTCAGAGTTTACTGTCCCCGGGGCAACCCGCCCCCTTGAATGGAAAAGAAATAAGATTTATTATTATTATTATTATTATTATTATTATTATTATGTGGATGATGATTATGAACTTTAGTTTTTTACTTTTGCTGTCACACGTTCATGCACACAATTAAACAGAATGCCATTTAGTGTGAGACTATTTAAACGTATTAATGTCTCCTTGTTTTTAAATTATTCACGAAAGGAATGCCTAATAGAAACAACCCTGCTGCCGCCTTACTAACTATATAGCTACCTACCAAATGACAAGTAATAGTACAGTCACATATACCTCAATTGACGCTAAACTCGAGCCAAGCTCAACTACAAAGCAAATGCCACCAGCGTTATTCTATCCAGTTAATGTAAAGAACCTACAGTTGGGCAATAGACTAGCAGTATCGTCGATGTGTAGCTATGCAGCTGGGCCAGGAAACCAAATTGCCAATTTACATTTATCTCGCTACAAATCGTTTTCTGCTCAACATCCCGGATTGATTATGATTGAAGGAATGTGTGTTGATCCAAAGGGTAAATTGGATGACAAGGAATTGGGTATTTGGAATGATGAACAAGCAAAAAAGTTGAAACAAATTGTTGATGAAATTCATAAAGATGGATGTGTTTGTTGTGTTCAGTTGTCTCATGGTGGACGGAAAGCCATTGGCGATGGTGAGTTTGACCTTAATGGAAGAGCCAGCGAACACAATGACTCATCTAGAGGAGGAGATGATGATAATGAGATACTTGCTCCATCGGCAATTGCATACGATAATCGACTGAAAGTTCCCAAGGAAATGACATTGGCTGATATTCAACATGCCATTGGCAGCTTTGTTGAAGCTGCCAAACGAGTCGTGACTATTAGTAAAGTTGATAGTGTTGAAATTTCGTGTTGTAATGGCAACTTGTTGCATCAGTTTATGAGTAAAGCCACCAATTTACGTCATGATGAATATGGATGTCAATCAATTGAGTCAAGGTGCAAGATTTTGTTGGATATAATTGATCAAGTGCGGAAAGCCATCGGTGATGATGTGCCAATCTTTGTCAAATTATCAGCTTGTGATAATTTGTTTAAAGACGAGTCATTGGATGAATTTTTATCCATTGCTGATTTGATCATTGGCACGGGTCAAGTATCCTTAATCCATGTAACATCAGGTAAAATCACCCCCAATTCAAAGCCTCGTTATTCATTGAATTCAGATCCAAATATACCAGGTCATATTCCATTGGCTTCAATTTTGAAAAAACACGTCAAAAATAAGTGTCTTGTCGGTTGCAGTGGTGCTTTAGATATGGATGTGGTCAAATTGAACCATTACGTCGATGATGGAATGATTGATGTTGCATTCATTGGTCAAGGATTTTTGGAGATGCCAAATTTGGTGAATCAAATTGCTGCAAAATTGAATCACAAGATTGAATAAAGGGGAGGCTTGCGAAAGGGGAAAGGGGGAAGAAATGAACAAACGAGAAAAGGGGTGTGCTTTAATATAACGTTAATTACATAGTACAAACTTGTATCACTCTCTTATTGTCGCTGAATTGTATCGATATAACCAATCAGGCACTTTTTTACCACCTTTAGTTAGGAACTTTTTCAACTCCGAAAACGTCGCCACATCACCATCGTCAATAAATGAAACACTAGTTCCAAACTGACCAGCACGACCAGTCCTACCAATTCGATGAATATACTCATCAAATTTATTAGGCATTTGGAAATTAACAACGAGACTCACTTGAGGTATATCAATACCTCTTGCTGCAACATCAGTAGCAATTAAAATTGACGGGTCGTGTAGTTTAAACTGTTCAAGTGCCAATTCTCGTTGAGCTTGAGTTTTAGAACCATGGATGATTACATTGGGGAATTGCTTTGCATCCAAGTCTTCCAGTAGCGTATCGACAACATGTTTGAAATTGGCGAAAATGATTATAAGTGCCTTGGGGTTGTTTCGTTTATGAGCTTTGATAACACGGAGCAAATTGTCCAGTTTGATTTGTTTAATTACCTCGGGACCAATTTGCATCTTCAGTGTAGGCAAATACTCGAATTTCTGATCAATGTTATCCAAGGCTTCACCGGCACCACTAATGGTTACAAAAACTGGATCAGTCAAATATGATTTAGTCAATTTTTCAATTGGTGGTGATATGGTTGCAGTAAACATTGAAGTTATCCGTTGAGTTAGATGGAAAATCTTGCCATCAATAGTACATCGTAGATCATCCTGAGTGGGCAAATAAGCAATCAATCGATGCAAATCGCGTTCAAACCCCATATCAATCATTCGATCTGCTTCATCCATAACCAAATTGTAGCATTTTTGTAAGTTGATGATTTTGCGATCAATTGAATCCAATAATCGACCAGGTGTTGCAACAACAATGTCGACACCACCTTTGGTACCAGCTCTACCATTATCAATTTCTTCAATTGTACTTTGATACTGATGTCCACCAATTATGGAAACAACATTGTAGCCTAATCGCGTACATAGTTTCTCAGCTTGTGCAGTGATTTGTAATGCCAATTCACGCGTTGGTGCTAAAATAAGTGCCAATGGTTGGTTTTTAATCCTTTCGAATTGCATATAATTTGAATCAATTTGGGACAAATATTGCAAAATGGGCAACAAATAAGCGAGAGTCTTACCACTACCAGTCTCAGCGACTCCCACCACGTCTAATTTTTCCAAACTAATCGGTATACTGGCTCTTTGTATCGGTGTGGGAGTAATGTACCCAAGTTCTTGTATAGATTGTAGAATCGGCTCTTGCAATTGGCATTCTTTCCAATATCGAATTGCGTGAGGCACGATCTTGCCGCCACCTCGGTAATTGATGGAAAACTCTTCATTAAATATTCGCCAATCTCGTTCATTCATTTGAGGTAATTTTTTAGCAGTCCAGTGTCCAGTAGTTTCATCTTTCAATAGTGGATCATTCAACTCATTTCGCTCATCGTCGTCGTCATCAAGAAAGGATAGTAATGGTCTCGATGTCAGAGATGTTGTGATTGTAGTATCTTCTGACTCATCCCAGTCAAATTGAAACTTACGTCGAGCAAGTTTCTTGTTGGGCTCATTATGTTTTACTTGTGGCTCCAACACTTTTTCTGAAGATTTCTGACGTCTCCACGATGATGATGATGATGGTTTCTCAACAATTGGGGGTTTCTCTGTCGGTACTAGACCCGTTGCTTTCGATCGTTTGGATTTGGGAATATATTGAGGCTTTTCAAAGTCTTCCTTTAATAGTTCATCAACGGATACAGGTCGTTTGGACATGTTGAATTATAAGAGAAGAGCCAAGGTGATTGCATTTTTTGGGGCTTACTTTGTTTTGTTTTTTTTTTGCGCAATTGCAAAGATGCGTCCCACCAACTACTTTTACACTTTGTTCAACGTCTATAAATGTACATTTCAACAGTATATAAATCGTATAAGATATAGTGTATATAACTCTTGTTATCTCCCATCTTTTTTCAAAACCAAAAACTACTCAAAATTGAACCTGTCAACTTCACACTTTTCTTCAATATCATTACATCATCATCATCAAAACCAAACCAAAAAAAAAAATTCAAAAATTGTTCTAAACTGTCTCTCTGCCTTTTTCTAACTCTATATTAATCCCGCCTCTTTCTTCCTGTATCCATTATTTTTTTTGTTGCTCTATTTCCCGGCACTGTTGTTAAAACCATAAAATTGACCTTTAATATCATTAGTTAAATGTCTAATCAAATTTAATGTATTAATCAGATGAAAGTAATTGGGCGATGGCAATGTATCAAATTCGGTAATGGCAAAGTTCAAGATCTGCTCATTACTCAATTCGTACTCCTTTGGTAAAAGATCTTGTCTCTTGTTGGTGGTGGACCCACTTGTCTTGGTAGTCTCTTTCTTATTCTTTTCCCCGTCTTTCATAGTGATGAATAGCTCTGGCTGGTTAAATGGTAAAACAGCACATAACCAAATCCTTGTTTTATAGATCTTGAATAATTCCTTTATAAGCCCTCTAAAATCAATTCTCTTGAATCCAGCAAAATAATAAAATATAAGTTTCTTGAAATCACATTGATACTCAACATTTATCAATGTCAAGTCCGAATCTAATCCCAATTCTTTAATCTTGTTGAAACAAGTAATGAACGCCTTTTTCTCCTCGAGAAATTTACCACTAATCTTGTGCACTTCTTTGGGAGTGGCAAACCGCAACACTTGTTTCGTAGGTAACGTAATTATAAACTCATTGTCTTCGTTCAGATGTGAGTTGATAATTGCTGAAGCATTCATTGATGTCGAATGCGTGCCTCCATGGGCTTTTCCTCCGTATCCTTCATGAATAGTCAAGCTCTTTAAATGTTCCAATTTTTTGAGGAAATTGAATAAAACGGCAAAATTCAAATTGACTAATGGCTCAACAATCATTACCAAGTCTTTACCTCTATCTCCATCAACGATAACCAAGTCATCCTTTTGTAAAAAAATGTTGGAATTGTTTGGGTATGACAACAAGTCAAATTTCCCGTTTTTGTTGATCACCATACATAATATCTTGTGATTGAAGGTCAAATTGTTCAAGTTTTTGATAAAGGTGATCAATTTAGTAATCACAGGATCACTCAATAGCCCATTCATTTTTGTCAAGACTTTGTTTGTTATCTTTTCATCCTGATAATACCTCTTTGTCTTTGAATACAATTCTTTCAAGTCCGGTGATGCAACAATATATTGATCCTTCAAAAGTAACCCATTTTCCAATTTGATGGGTTGACCTGGTGGCGCACTAGCAAATTGTGATTGTTGTGACATGAGGTCAGGTTGAGATTGCATTGCTCGAAATTGTGGTTGCTGATGTTGTGAGTAGAATGATTGCATCTGCTGTGGCTGTTGCGGTTGCTGCTTTCCGGGCAAGACATTTCGTGCCTGCAAGTGAGATGGATTAGCTCCACGAGGTGGCATACTCATCTGAGCTGAGGTGGGGGCAGCACCATTAGAGTCAGTAAATGGAGAAAATGAATTCGTACCCGAGGCATCAATAGAGGCACTGCGACCAGCACCAAGTGCACCCGATTGCTGAAATGGTTGTCCTGGTTGTTGTTGTTGTTGTTGTTGTTGTTGTTGTTGTTGTTGTTGTGGCAAAAATTGTTGAGCAGGCATAGCATTGAATGGCGAGCTCCATGGAAAATCGACCAACTGACTGGGTCTTCTCGACTGGAATTCATTGAACTTGGATCCCGAATTCAAATTGATGTCACCAAAAGCATCAACAAGATTGAACCCATTGTTGTTGAATTGATTATTCTTGGAGTGGTAGTTGTTCATCATTGCAAACGATGATAACCCTCTATTGTTGTTACCGTTGTTGCTGTTCGTGTTGTTACTAAAAAAGTTGGATGAACGAGAACCAACTTGTGATGTTTGCGGAGCAGTCGCTGTGGTTGCTGTTGTCGTTGCTGTTGTCGTTGCTGTTGTCGTTGCCGTCGGCTGTTGTTGAAAAAAGTTATTTCTAGTGAACGATTCAGCAGCATAACTTGGTCTTCTTGACGAAATGTTGGTAACACCACCTTGTAATTCAATGGGTAAATTAAAAGTATCTCTAAAATTTGGGTTCGTTGCTGTAGGGTTATTGTAATAATATGATGAATAGTCAAATTCAGGGTAATCACTCAAGTTCGATAGCTTGTTGTACAATATATCATTAAAATTTGATTGATGTAAAGGGTCATCACTGTTGGAGGGTGCTGATGGATGGAGATTGTTGTTGTTGTTGTTGCTGCTGCTATCGCTGTGATGATGCTGCTGGTTACTAGTACCATTATCGAATATCAGATTGTGTCTACTCCCATTGTTTGAGCCTCCATTGTATTTCCTTCTATTGATCGAATCACCATCATTTAGAAAATCAGGCAAGTTCATCATCCCTTGTGTTGTGATGTTGATGTATTGCTTTGTTTGCTGGCTCAAGTATATTGCTTAATCTCTTACTCCTTGACTAGATTTTTTTTATTTTTTATTTTTTTTCGCTGTTTGTCTGTGTGTCTGTTGTAATTCAGCTCCTTGTTTTGCGAAAGTTATTTGCTTGTGAAAATCTCAATAGCAAATGTACATATGTATGAGGAGGTACTGGTATAAAAGGATCGTTGATGAAGGATTGTATCGAGAATAAGTAATTCGGATTGTTATATAAACAACTTGTCGTGTGTTAGTGGTATGTATAAAGGGTTGGCGCTGAATATTTTTTTTTTGCATGACTTTAGAAGTTATTTACGAAAGAGGATTCAAAACTACTAGAAATAAAGGAGTGAACACGCCATATGGATCTTGAAAGGCTACTCAGATCCCATGCTCCTTGTAGACTCCTTAGCATATAAACAGTTATTTTTTAAGGTTTGTGGAGAAGTAGATTCTCGCACCCCAGGGATAATCCTTGGTGGCAAAAATGGGGTCGGTGCCATGGCACGGCGATAGATGTACTAACAACGAGATAATCGTCTGACAAGAAAGTTCAAACAGTTGAATTGAGTCTCTCGAAGTACATCTATTCACCTCAACCCTATCGTCATGAAAAGTATTGGATAGCATTGTCTTCCCCGCCACTTGCACTTTTGTTCTCCGCTCTCACAATAAGCCCCAGCCTCTCTCTCATAACTTCTCGCGCACTATCGTCACACCCCACTTCTGTTCCCCTCCCCTCAGATCCTTTTTTATTTTTTCCTTCTCTTCTGTCTTACATAGTCAATTGCGCGTGAAAATGATAAAGAGAAGTCATTGTAAACACACAAGCCTCATTTGCAGCCACAGTTTATCCTCTCTAAAAATCTATAGTGTCTATTAAAACATCTATATACTTTTCTTATAATACAGTAGCAACAAATGAAACCCCGACTAAAGCCCCAACCACTAAAGTCTTTTTCCAATGCTTGATTCCATCGATGTTGTTGATTGAAGAAGCAGCGTTCGAAGATGATGACGAAGAAGATTCAGTTGATTTTGAGGCGCTCGACTCTTCCGATGACCTTGTAGTTCTTGATTCAGAGGATCCTGATGATCCTGCGGCAGCGGCGGTTGCAGATGAGTGAGCGGTTGATGATGATCCACTTTCCGACGAGCTGGAAGAATCCTCAGTGGAGCTAGCTGACGAATCCTCTGAGGACCTGTTTCCAGACGCTGCCTCACTATCGGTAGATGCTATGCTAGTCTCAACAGAAGAGCCATCTCTGGTCAATGAATCCACGCGTGCTGCTCCACCACTAGTAACAACAGAAAACTCGGAAACAGCACCACGTGTGATGGTACTAAAAACACCATCGGCGCCTGATGTGACAATCTGATAACCTTCACCACCTTTAGATGTAAGTGAATTAAACTCAACAACAACACCGCTAGTAGCCGTATGCCAAGCACCATCGGCACCTGACGTGACGGTAACGAAAAGACCTTCTGCTTTTGATGTGACTGTATTTGCTACTCCTAGACCGGCCGACACAATGCCGCCAACTGCTGATAAAATGTCTGCCATGATAAAGATTGATAATTGTGTTGATTGCAAAATTTGATTATAGAATTGGATAGACCAAATGCATTCCCTTTTATAGTTCACATGCGCGGAAGCATTTGACACTACTCTTGGCTTTTGGCGATTGCTATTTTTGGAAATAAAACTAAAGAAAAAAAGAACGCATAGAACATGGAACATCACGCACGAAGAATAAATAATTTTAATTCCGATCGCCACACACACACACACACACACACACAGACTCTCTCTCTCTCTCTCTCACTTGTTCAATAAAACGCTCATGACATTCATTGTTCTGAGTATACGAGTCATACACAAAAAGCAGGCAGTGCGTGTAACAAACCTTTACCGAGTATGGTGAGTTTGGAAACAAAGCCTTGTATTGATCACGTAATTGTTATTTATAGCTAGCTCACTCCCTTTTTTGTTCGTGTTTTTTCAAAGCCACGTTCAAGCACATTTTGTACCAGTCGATCCGATTCTTGCAATTCCTAATTTGAACACGATGGGAGGGGGAAACATGAGAAAATTTGTTATCCCTCACTGAATTGCATCATGCTTAAAATTCGCGTTGTTCAACATGGAAATCAAGTTGACTGGTTTTGACGAGAAGCACGTGATCAAGTTTATCACTTATACTTCAACAATCCATACATCGTAAACTTTCGTAAAACTTTCGTTAAATTCATTCAGTCTTTATAAAATATCTACCCTATACACCGTGAACAAGAACTAAACTCTGGCTCTCTCTCACTCTCACTCTCACTTGTTTGAAGATGTCCTCGAGCAGTTTGAATCCGTACTGCAACGCCTAAAACCTTGACCAGCTTTTGGTGGATAACTGCCATGACCTTCAACATATACAGCCTCAGTCTCATCTAGAGGTTCACAAGTGCACCATTCATCTTTAGAAGTAATGTCCATGATTTCACTCACATGTTTACCACATCCTGTCCATGATTTGTGTTGGCAGATTCCGCATATTTCTGTTTTACACATGATTATTTGTTTGTTGTAGTTGTATTTGATTGTTTATAAGTTTGCTTGATTGAAAACTTTTCGATATATAAAATTGTCTTGAGGAACTATTTGAATAGTTTATTGATTGGTTTTAACTTCTTTGTCAAGTAATTTCTTAAAGTTGTATCTAAACTATGTTTGAAGATGCAGTTCTATGAAAAAGAAGAAAGTGACATCTCATTACTCAGTTTGACAGGATCTCGTTACCTATTTATATACTTTGAGTCTTTGGGGTACAGCTGTCTTTATCTTTAGACTTTTTTTCTCCATTCTGTGTGTCTATTTCTTTGAATCATCCCATATCGGTTAGAATGTAACAGTAAGATATTTTTGTGTTGCAAAAAAATTGTTTATTTTTGGACATATCCGTTTTTGTTGGAGATACAATCCGCTGAAGAAAACCGCCAATATTAGAAAGCATCCGGGAAGTAGAACAAGATCACGATATTTTCCGCAAATGTATCATCATTGCTGCTGTGTTGCTCACTCTTTGATATGAATTGGACACCTAATTACCCCCTTTCTTGAGAACAGCATGCATTGAGCATATGTGACGGACATTAATGTCCGTTAAACTTTATCGAAACAATTAAATACCTTTCTTTCTTTATTTTATTTTTTTAGATTTCGCATTGAATTCCCCGAGGAGAAAGGGAGTCATCACAAGACAATTTTTGTACATACATCTTACACAAAAGATTAGTACACGTCCAAAAAAGTTCCTTTCATCCATTCTCCACGATTTCTTCCGATAGCTCGTTTGTTTCACTCCAAGGGCTAGTAGAAAATTTATTGTGAGCCAACCGCTTTTATTTTGCCGTCTCTTACATCATCGAGGACTTAAAGTGAATGGTCAGTGTTTCACAATATCCATTGTCCTAAAAGGTGGAACAAATAAACGTTGATTCTTGACAGATAGATGCAATTTGTGTTTTCCTATTCTCTCCTATCTCCACAAATTTTGAGTTTAGAAACACTATGACTCTCTCTGTGTTTGTACTCCATGTTTTTAGTCTATATTTGTTATTTACTAAAGGGGAGTTTAATCTTCTATGGGGGAAGTGTTGTGGTTATGCATTGCACAGATGAAAAGAGCATAAAAGAGGAAGCTGTAACCAAGCTTTTTGTTAGACATGGAAAATAAGTGAAAAAAAAAAAAAATCATACCATTATTATGCTGAATGAAACTGACTTTCTTCAAAGCATGTACGAAACGCTATGTTTAACCCTATCTCATGAAAATTAGACTGCTGGAGTCATGATTGCAATTGCCTTCACATGCTTAGTAATTCTTTACTGCTCATCTTTTTAATTAACCTCGGCAACACTATAATTGTGGGGGTCCCTTTGGCTTGAATTCTTTTGTTTTCTTTTTTTGTTTCAAATTGTTGCGAAATATCTTTGCAAAAATAATGTAATACAAGGAATCCGTTATAATTCATCTCGCTAGAAAGGTACGCCCTTGATCGTATGTTTTTTTTATCTTTTACTTCAATATCAATGACTTGAAAATATTAGACTTAACTCCGGCATTGACACAATGCACCTGATACATAGTCACATAAAATGTATTAAACACAATTGAGAGTATCTCACATAAAAACATGGAAGATACAGACTACAATACATAAAAGGGATAAAAGGGATAAAACTATTTGACAATATACATATAGTGTCGCGTCGAGTTTTAGTCTTGACATTAAAAGAACCTGTTGGTGATCCCTCACTGATGAAGATCTATGGTCCAAACATTCATTCATCCCCCAATGGTGCAAACTTTACAATCCATCGCAATACCAGTGGGTGCCCTCATCCGTGGGTCTACACACCTGCTCCCTGATACAATAACCAACAACGACATCTCCTATCTACTAACTCCTCCCGTCCTTGCTCCAAAAGAAAACATTCACATTAAAACCAACAAACAAAACATAAGGTGAGACCCGTTATAAATCACACCTTCTTTTGTTTCAAACACGGCTTCCACCTAGTTGTGCATGATGGGCTTCAATAACATCGTTATCCTCCATATCCAACTCTTCAGCGGTATGTGCAGCATTTACCCTATTACCATCGAAAAAGAACCGTAATGAATTTTCATCTTTACCTTGCTTTTTGCAAAATGTCTCAATAATCTTCTTCATAGGTGTTGATCGTTTCACTTTGAACCAAATTTCACCACCATGACCATCAGTTACTTTTATATTAATACGTTCTTTGTTGTCCTCTACTTTTTCTTCTTTTGGTTGGTCCAAGGCTCCTTTGTTATCCTCATCGCCTGAATTTGCGCCGCCAGATGTTGTTGTCAGTGCTCCTGCCTTATTTTCCACTGGTGGCGAAATGATTCCAGGGGTAGCTGATTCACCAGCACCTTGGTTATTGAGATCGTTATTGAAATTCTGTTGTTCGTGATCAGACATAGCTGTATTCTGAAGACAGAGTGATGTTATCGTGTTGGGGATGGGTTTTAATCCTTCGTGGTTTTGTTGTTTTGATTTAGGAGGGAGACGGAGAAGCAAAATAGAAAAAAAAACAACAAAAAAATACAAGGAATTTTGCCACACGCACACGCCAATGTCGAATACACGCGATGTGACACGGAAATTGCGACACACTCAGCTCATCACAATGTAACATGAATCCAATGAAACAGAGTTGATAACCCTGGAGTGATTCTATTGCTAGTCACACATAGTTTGGAAATTATTTCCTAAACCAAACGGAAACATTTGATCTGCCTCATAACCATGCTAGATTTGGGAATGAGATATCACATCATTCACACAAATAGCAAGTTACTAAATGTGTACTACCCCTCACTTTTCTTTCGTCGTCGTTCGTTTCTACGGCTACTTGTTCTAAGCCTTACATGCCACCCTTTTTTTCTGCTTCCAAGCCATTTTTCCCTATTTGCACCAAATTTGTTTCAGGATTTTTACATCATTTTTTTTTTCTTTTCAGTGTTTCAGATTTTGCAACCATTAATCAAAAGTCATAAATACCGCAGATTATCCCATCAAAATAAAAACTACCAGACTCACCACCACCAACAGAACTACTAATGCCAAACTATGCAACGAAACTATTTGGACTTTTTTGAAAAGTCTTCACAAATCTACCTCAATCAATGCACAATATTACTCTTTGTCATTATCGTAAAAATACTTCTACTACGCAACTCATTGATCAATACTATATCAAAACAACTTATAGATGAATCCGCTTGTAATGACGAAACAATTCAGCCAGCATTGAATGCACTACACAATATGATGTTTGACAATATTGCAAAACTCCAGTATTCTGGGATCGTCTTTATTGTCCTTATAATCAAAACCATACGAGCATTGACCATATTCTACATTGATTTATTCTTGGGCACATACGTATGTTTATTAAATGCAGTAGCCAAGGGCACTACCGAGTTTGCATTTGATGTTACAAAATCAGTGATTCAGATGGTTAATGTAACCATAGTTGAAGCTACAAATGGGATAGAAGAAGGATTACAAGGACTATCTACATTGCTTAATGATGTATCAACTGGGTTTGATGCAATAAAGAATATTTTTAATGGTGGTGATGGCAGTTCTTCTTCCAATGCAAGATCTTATCAAAGTAAGATTAACATTTCACTTGGGGCTTTGAGGGACAAGATTGCCATACCTGGGTCGGTGATGACAAAAATTAATAATGCAAAGAATGTCAGTATGAGTGAATTAGAAGATATGAATAATACAACACAAACATTGATTGAAACCCCATTCGATTTGATCATTAGCAAGCTACAAGGGATCAAGCTAAGTAATGAATCAACAAGAAATTCGACAATTAATCGCATCAAGGTTAAAGATGCGTGTATGAAAACAGTTGTCCAAGTCAAAGATACACAAGATCATTTAGTTCAATTTGTCGAAACCACCAGCAAGTACTTGTTTATTGTTATGGCATTAGTGCTAGTTGGAAGTATAGCGTACGCATGGTATACGGAGCGTCAACAATGGAAACGGAAAACAGGTTTCATCAATGAACTTGGTATTGATAATGAGGTTGAGTTTCGTAATCAAGAAAACTTGTATCTGAATTTCGTAACTTACACTTTGGTGAAACGGATGGGGTACAACGTGAATCATAAGATCATTTGGTTGCTCAGTTACATGTCAAACAGACTAGCGAGAAACATCCTCGTTTTTGCAATATTGGGTCAACTTGCAGCCATTTTGCAATTCATCTTGGTCAACTATGTCCATCGGGAAATACAGAAACAAATCATTGACATTTCCAGCACAAGTGACCCACTTTCTATTTCTGTATACATAAAATCAATTAATGATTACATCAACACCACGCAATCGGATCTTAACGAAGAGTTATTTGGCGAAATACGATCGACTGCCATCAAGGTCAATTCAACCATTGGTGAATTTGTTGATAACTTGGACTCAACAATTTCCGACATTTTTGGCACCTCAAACATCCTAGCATCAGCAGTAAACACGGTTGTTTATTGTACAATCGGTCGTAAACTACTCAAGATAGAGCAAGGATGTACTTGGCTTTATGAAAACTTAAAAATCAGTATCCCCTTGGTGTCAGGTTCGATACTGCGTGATTTACAACAAGTTAAGGTATTACAACCAAATAATGTATTGACTAAATTGGATAAAATGATTGAATTTTATGTTCAATCAATCTTGTTGGAGTTGTATGTGGCTTTGACGTTCTTGGGTGTGTGGGGATTGCAGTTGATTATTGGATGTATCTTGCTTTTAACAAGACAACGTCGCAAGAGTGATGAAGATAACGAAAGTAACACATTAGTTGGTGAAAAGAACAACTTGTACTATCAAGATACGAGGAATTTGAAAATCAGTAGTCCGCGTCCACTTAGTCCAAATCATTTGGATAATTATCCGTATCCAGTAACTGATCCAAATGTATATTTACTTCACACTACATCGAGTTTTTATCCTACGCCACTACCATAAAATCATACACCACCAGCATAGAATTACATCAATAAAAAGCCCATTCAAATTACTCATTTATAAACTGTTTACTCCCCCCCTGCCCCCTTACTTCTTTATAGGTGCTGGTTTCTTCCAATAGTACTGTTTGTGAGTCCGTCTACAGGATCGTAATCCACCATGGCCCTTAACATTGGAAACCAAACTTTGTCTACCTTGATCATCATCCTGTTCCGGCATGTAGTAATACTCTTCTTCCAATGGCTTTCCAGCAGCATCCGTGCCTTGACGATAAATAATTCCGATACATTTCAAATTATGCAAAATTGATCTAATTTGTAAAAGAGACAATTTCGAAGTGGTGGCGGAAATTGTATTTAAAAATGATGCTGGGGTGGAGCTTAATCGAGAAAATGCCAAGTGATTAACCAAAATATTTTCAATTTCGGATAAGTTGGGCAACGATAAGGCTGAGTTGTCGAGTTCGGGAGTTTGTTGTCGGGTAAGGGTTCTTTTCCTCTTTTTCATCGGTTGGTGAGACTCACCAGCCAGTTTGTGATGAAGCTCACTACTGTGGGTGGGGTAAAGTTGTTGTTCACTTGTTGTTGCTGAAGACATCTTTTCACTTTGTGGCTCTGCTGATGATGCACGTCTCACGGTGTTGGTAACATCAACCAACACCATCTTCAGTGGATTTGATAAACTGCGCTTATGAGGTGACGAGTCAACGTTATTTGAGTAAATGTCAAATTGAACCGTTTTTCCCGGTTGTGGTTGTCTCAATTTGACTGGATGTTGTTTGCTTGGAGTGTGATAATCATCCATAAAACTACTGTCTGCCACTTTTTGTTCATCGTCTTCATGATTTGGTGGCGATTTTATCATTGCCAATGTATCATTCCTTGGTTTTGATGGTGTTTGAGGTACTGAACTGCTGAAAATTTTGTTCAATGGAGTCAAATCATGATCATTTTTACTATTACTTGGTTTCGTCTCACGATTTTCAATCAACACCAACTCTTCATCATCAGTTAGTTCCTCGTCACTATCAGTCAATGGTTCATCAATATCCTTTGGGTTCAACAACACCATCAGTTTTGAAATCTCCAACAATACATTTTCAAACTGACGTGGTAAACTGACCAGTTCTCCCTTGTGAATATAAAATTGAGAATAATCAGCAGCCAACTTGATTGAGGCGGATTTTTGATTCAATGCAGTCGTTGATAATGGCTCACCATTGGCGTTTTCAACAACAATGTAATCATTCTTGTTGTGTTGGTTGGCATAGACATAACATGTTTTGGGGATGACTATCCCCATTCCATTGGATCCAACGCAATTGATAACCATTTGTTGTGTAGTGTAGTTTATGTTAACATGAGTACGAGAAATATACGAATCTTTGGCGTTTAAATTGTATTGACAAGTTTGTGAAGATCTGCCGATAGAAAATTCATCGTGGTCGGATAAAAATGGAATACGCAACACCGAGGTGTCCGATTTCAATACGTTAAAGTGTTTATTGATGGCAACAGTTTGCTTGTTGGTTGTTGCTTTATTGGGGAAATTTTGCCAATTTGAAACAATTTTGACATCTTCTTTAGCTGGTGATGATGATCTGAACAACGAGGATGATGGATTGGGGGTTGGATATTCAACAGTACGTGACTGTCTGTCACCATCACCACTCTTCAATGGTTGTGGCTTCTTGGATAAAGCGAATGGATCTTTGTTATGATGATAAAGTATTTCTTCGGCATCATGTAATGGTGAAGATGGTGGGAATTGATAATTGGTATTTGACATGGTGTCGTATCAGTGTTGAAATGTACTCAGTAGAAGCTTTTGGTTCGTTTTGTTGTTGTTGTTACTTTGATATTACGGAAGCGCACCAGTCTAAAGTGTTGTTGTTTATACTTTCACAAAAGAGACGCAAATTGCGTGTATTTTTTGTTTACGTTTTGCAACCAACAGACCACAAGTCGCGTATCTTTGTAACACTGCGTTGAACAAAGGCAATAGCCCTAAAAAACTCTCACGCACGTGCATGAAATTATTTTTTCTCACGATAGCACTACCAACTTTTGAGTGCTACCATTTATATGTGGGTTACATAATCCACATTGGTTTGTATTACCTAATATATTACCTAGGTGAGAGGTGAGAGAGAGAGCTAAAAGAAAGAACAAAAAAAAAAAGAATCAAACTTAAGAGAATTTTTCACCTAGGTTTACACCATCGTCAATTCAATCAGCATAATCAACCATGGGTAGTATGTAATATACACATTTCCAATGGGGATAATATAGAGGGGGTTCTATTGCATCATGAATGATTACTCAAGCACATAGAAGAAAAGGGCAACAGAGTGGAGCAACTCCAGTGTTTAATGAATTCAACTACGATCAAATTCGCGATATCTCAAGTATTCTACCACAAGAGACAACTGGATGCCTACCACATATCAAATGTCGCATTTGCCTCTGTGTTTCCATTCCTGATCTATCAGATGCAATAAACTATACTCTTTTTAAAGTGGAGTTACAATATACTAACATCCGTTATTATAGAGGGTACACCATCATTAGGTAAAAGACACAACAAGTCACACACTTTATGTAACAGATGTGGCCGTCGTTCATTCCACGTCCAAAAGAAGACCTGTTCATCATGTGGCTACCCAGCTGCCAAGATGAGATCTCACAACTGGGCTTTGAAAGCAAAGAGAAGAAGAACTACTGGTACTGGTAGAATGGCTTACTTGAAGCACGTTTCTAGAAGATTCAAGAATGGATTCCAAACTGGTGTTGCTAAACCACAAACTGCTGAAAACTAAGGATTGAAGAATTTTTGAAAGTTTTATAATGGGGGATTGATGGATATTAAGAGAAGAGATGGGAGCATTACTTTAGACTACCACGATTGCTTACAATTTTTTGGACATTGTCATTAAAAAAGTAATTTCCCCTTTGTTCTCAGCAATGAATGTTTGAATTTTAGAAACGAATCGTTTTACTATAATACAAAGCACTGTATATTAATGTGAAACTAGGTGTACAATTGTAGAATTGTGATTACTCTATATATCCATGTCAAGATCACTGAAATTTTCATTTTCATCATCATCTCCATTGTCTTGTGATTCAAAATTCATGTTGAAATATAAATTATCCGCTTCCTCATGGTTAACAAATCGATTCAAAATCTCTCGACTCAATTCAACCGTCTCTGCCTCATAAGGGAACTCCAACCCATTAGCATAATCACTTTCAACATTGGCAACTAGCTTGCCACCATTCTTACTAATAAAATCTTTTGCTGTTAAATGATTCAATTGTCTAGCTCTCACTTCACACGATTTATTGAATATAGTGATGTCAAAATGTCCTTGAGTTCGTATTTTCACCAACAACTTGTGAGCATCCAATGATAATGAATCAGCACCAAATGCAATCCGCAGTAATGCAACAAACATTTCATACATGGTTTCACTATAGATCAAATCACTTGCTTCGTGTAGATCTTGAGTTAAATAATTCATTATTTTAACAATTTGACCAATTAAATGCACACGCGAATGAAGTGTTGGTGATCGTGGATCATTTGCCATATAAGTTTGTTCAAAATGAATGATTCTCACAAATGATTTGAAATGCTCCTTGTCAATGAGAAAATCTATAGTTTGTTTGGATATAATGAGGGACTGAAACAACTCACACACTTTGATTTTGAGGTTTAAAAGATGAGCTTCATGGTGAAGTTGAATCTCCTTTTGGTTCAAATCAGAGTCCAAGTTTTTGTAAACTGGCTGTGGAATGGACACTAGATAGTTGTGTAAATTGTCATGTTTGATGGGTATTGTTAAATCAATCACCTTCAAATCGTAATTGTTGCCATTGAATCGATTCAATCCGTAAAATCGAAATCCGTCTTTAATGGGGACATCAATCAAGAATATCCTCATCAATGACAGAATCATGTTAAAGTCGGATACAGCTTCATTAAACCCAAATGTATCTTCAGTGATTGAAGCAAGAAGGATTTCGACAACATTAAACACTAAATTTATTTGGGCTGTCGATTTAAACCGTTCAACATTTTGCGGTAAACACGAGGTTACAAGAGCTTTTGGTATGACAGTTTGATCAGTCCAAACTTGGCGAATGAAATCAGCATCGTAAATGGAGCTAATGACTGTTAATTTCTCAATCAATTCTAAGCAACAAATGAGAATGAATCGCTCAATGGCAATAACTTGGTCAGGGACATCGTGATAGTTGCCAAAGTCGGCCTCTTCTTCCAAGTTGGGATTTAATAGAAACGTGTAACTCATTGCCAATTCGCAACAGTCATGTATTAATTTGATGATCACTGGTTTGGTAACAGCAACAGGCCTAAAGCTAATGGTGCAATAAATCAATGACAATAGGAATGGCACTGATAATGTAGCCTTCTGAGCAACTACTTGACGAATAATGTCCAACACCAACAACGAAAGCTTTTCAATCAATTCATCTAATCGCGCTGCTTTCATTGACATCAAAACATTACTAATGAATGACGCTATTGCTGTTTTCTTTTCCAACTTGTATCCGTATAATGTGTCAATATCAAAATTAAAACAAATCTTTGACAAGTATTCAATCGTCGATCGCTTACTACCAGGGATGCAATATCTCCAAATTTGATCAATTAATGCCGAAGTTTCATGTTGAACTCGAATCACTTTTTGTATTGTTTGACTAGGGATAGACGTCCCTTCTGATTCGAGGCTTGCTTCAAATACCAGCTGATCCATCTCTGTACTCACTTGAGGTCTTGTCTGTTGTGAGCTGTTGGTGTTGTCATTACCGTTAATCTTTCTCTTCTTCAAAGCATTTGTTGTCACCAACTCATTCTTTAGGAACTTGCGATCATCTTCAAGTTTCAATACAACATCCCTCAATGCCGCTGCTTCTTCTTCTTTGCTCTTTTTAAACGCATCATATGACTGCCGTAGCGTATTTAATTCATCACGTTTGGCATTTTGCAACAGAATCAACTGTGCTTTCAAAGTAGCAATCTCACCATCGGCTTGAAACAATTTAGCCTGTATTTCATTGTCTATTGGTTGTTGTAGAAACTGGGAAGCAATAGGCTGGTTGTTGTTGATGTGTTGCTGAGGATGTTGTTCTTGATGATGTTGTTCGAGTGTTGTATCTTCGTCGCCTGTTGTCAAAAGATTTATTGGAGCTTGTGATTTACCTAGGTATTGCTGCAAAAGTTCATCATCGTCATCATCGTTGGCAAAGTCACTATCTGATTCAGACATCCCATGTGTCATATCATGTCAATAGATCAAAAAGTGTTGTGTGTAGATCAGTCCTGTTCTTTTGCTTCGAAACGCGGGTCAATTTTTCAGCACCACCCTTTTTGAGACACACCGATTGCAAAAAAAAAAAGAATGGCATCAAAGAAATGATTCAAGTATTTGGGAGCACACAACAAGTAGTGGCTCCCTAGAAATGCTTTCATATTCAGTGGCATGAGAAAATACAGGATACACAAAGTAGTCTTTATGGCAAGAAATTTGACTCATGTCGTTAGTGACAACATCCAATCGAGTGCACGTGACTTGGCCCAGTTATCATATCAGTAGAAAATTAACCAACACAGTCGGTGTCAGTTCTGTCATCACGAAATCCAAATTAATCACAACTCGCTAAGCAAGTGACCATGAGACGGATGAAGGCTACTACAAATGGAACCAGTATGGCAATGGTACTCTTGTAAACAATGCTTTTGCTAAGAAAAAAAAAAAAAACAATGTTGAGATTGGAGAGAGAGAGAGAGAGAGGATGAAAATCTTTTGAGATGGGATTATCCTATCCCCGTAAATACTCTTTCTTTACCCACTCTTCATAATAATGACCACCGACACAACCAAAAAGAGCAGCCCACAAAAAGATGTGGTTAACAGCAAGGAAGTAAAAGAATCGAGTGTTAATGAAACTGCCACCACCACAAATGCTGACCCTACGTCTTCAACCACTAAAAATGTATCATCTACATCATCATCATCAGCAGTCCCACCAGCATCACTCCTACCACAACAACCCACTCCACTTACATCGCGTGACAAAACCACAAAGAGGTTAATTGTCGTGTTATCCCAAGCATGTTTAGAAACTTACAAAATGAATAGCTCAAATGGCCCAGGAGGCGATCGATTTGCATTATTAAACTGTGATGATCATCAAGGTTTACTTCGTAAAATGGGTAGAGACATAGCTGAAGCCAGACCCGATATAACTCATCAATGTTTATTAACATTGTTGGATTCACCAATCAACAAAGCTGGCAAATTACAAGTTTATATTCAAACTGCACGTGGAGTCTTGATTGAAGTGAACCCCAGTGTTCGTATTCCACGTACTTTTAAACGGTTTCTGGGTTTAATGGTTCAATTGTTACACAAGATGAGTATAAGATCAGTCAATTCCAAAGAGGTGTTGTTGAAGGTAATCAAGAATCCGATAACTGACCACCTACCTACTAAATGTCGTAAAGTTACCCTATCATTTGATTCTAAAGTTGTTAAAGTACAGGATTATGTTTCCCAATTGGATGATGACGAAAGTATATGTGTGTTTGTTGGGGCAATGGCTAGAGGTAAAGATAATTTTGCTGATGAGTTTGTTGATGAGAAAATTGGGTTATCCGATTATCCATTGTCGGCATCGGTTGCATGTTCTAAATTTTGTCATGGTTGTGAAGATGTTTGGGAAATATATTAAAGAGAGTGGGGAAATGAGGGGGGGGTGCACATGTACGTAGAAGGAGTAATTAGACAATGTACACATGTATGAAAAGAAAAACACATTGTGTGTTTGCCTTTACTTGTAATCGAGGGTACTATTGTTGTTGTATATATTTATCTATAATTGATACAATTGTTGTTACCTATCCATAACACCTTCCTTCTCCAATACTTTTTCAATTTCATTAAATAGGGTATCAGTAGTCACTTTGGACCCCTTGATTCGAGCACATATAATTTCTGATTTTTGATTTTGATCTCTTGGTGCAACTCTAATTCTAAATTTACAACTCTTTAAATCAAATGAATTGTATTTTGAAATGGCTCCTGTAATGGTATAACTAACTGAATCCTTTTTCAAATCCTTGAGACCAAAATTCGACCATGATTTAAGCAAGGTGAATAATGCCGAAACCATTTCTTCTCGTGGTAAAAGAGTGGCAAATCTTCGTATCTCGGAGTCGGTGACTGGTGTGTGGTGGTTGTGAGAAGAAGAAGAAGAAGATGAAAACCATCGAAGAAAAGATGATTTTGGCTTCTCTTCATGTGATTCAACTGGGCTGGGGAGCTGTCCGTTATTGGTTGATCTGGACCCACCATCAACGCTCTTTTTCGATCCCCAAGAAAATTTCCTCAAAAATGATCCTTTTCTCGATTTAGTGTTGGGGTCCGTGTAATTGTTGGTCTTATCGTCCAATGGTTTCTTATGTGGAGGAGGAGGAGGTGGTGGTGGTGGTGGTGCCAGTTGTCCTGCGGCAGAAGCCTTGGTTCCACTAGGCTTGGATTCACGGATTTTGGTCATTGGTTGCGACGCTTCATGCGGAATGAGTTTCTTTTCGGGTGCATGGGTGGTACTAGACTGCGCTTGTTTAGCTTGCTTATGAGCAGAGCTGGATGTGCCATTTGCAAGTACATCAATTGACGACTTGCTTGACTTACCTTCGGGTAGTTTGATCTTGTCAAAAACATCATCAGCATCACTCGAGCCATCAGAAGCAGACTTGCGGTGCTTTTTACCAGTTGGCTCACCTTTGCTGTTGAATGTGTTTTCAGAGTCTTCAGAAGGCAATGCCGGCACCTTTGACTCAGGTCTAGCTGATTTACTGTATCTCCTGGTGGTTGAGGCTCGTGATACGCGTTTGTTGGATGAATCATAGTATGAATATCTCTTATCAGCCAAGTGCTGATCAAAGTCAATCACGGAATGGCCATCACCAAGTTCACCATCTTCTTCATCTTCCTCAGGTAAACCAGCTTTATCCAACCTATCAGCAAAACTAGTTCTCAATGGCGGAAATGGGGGTTCGTCGTCATCATCGTCATTATTGACAGGGGTGTGGGATTCAATGATTGAATTCAAATCACGATACGATTCTTTGGTTGAATACATTGACAAGACCGATAGCCTTTTGTTGGAATTGGAGAAATGTCTGGATTTTCTTGTAACCGTGGGGATTCTAACGTTGCTAATCAAAGTCTTTGGTTCATTGTCCTCAGCAATCTTGCTGAGACTCTTTTGACTATTGAGCAACCTTGATTTTCTAATTTCAGTCATGTACTCATCACTCAAGTTTGAGTCGACAACATCAGGCTCAGGTAATTCAAAGTCTTCGTGCTCATCGTAATAACTGTCCTTTGATGGTCTTCTCTTGCCTGCATCTGCATTGTTTTCACCAGCATCATCAATAACCGAAACCATTGATTCTCTATTGATCTTCTTCTTGGTCTTTGTTTCATCACTCTTTCTTTTGTTACCCTTCCACTCATTCTCCAATGCATCTTGTGCTCTTTCAATTTGTTCATTATGGTGAGCCTGCCAGAGTGGATCCAATCGAGACACTGGTCGCCTGGTCAAGATCGGCGTATGCGTTCTTCTTTTAACGGGTTGACTAGCTGACCTTCTTTTCAATTGCTCGACATCTTCCATCGTGAGATCGTCGGATTTGGCTTGTCCCTCGGATAAAGCTCGCAAAGCACCCAAATGTTTTGATTGACGTTTAGGTTGAACAATTTCTTGCTCATCAATTGTTTCCATGTGGGAGTCTTGGGGCGCATCATCTTCCTTCACAATAATACTGAGCTTTCTCGAACTGAGCAATGATCTTCTCTTCAGTCTCCTCTTTTTCTTTTCCAACTCTCTTCTAGCTTTCAATTCAGCCTCATGTTTTTTGCGCTCAATTTCCATCAATCTTTCATACTCTTTAGCTTCCAATTCGTCAGGATCCACCAATTCCTCTTCATCTTTATTGTACTCCTCTTGGTTGAAAATTTTGTCACACAATGCCGCAAAAGTTGCCGAGGTTCTCTTTGTTTGTTTATCCATGTATTCCCAATCATCCTCACCAGCTAATTTGGTGTAAACTGACAACATCTTCATTGTAATGGAGTTTCTCTTTAGTCCAGCTGTCATCGAAGCACGAATTGACCTTCTTTTTGACATTCTTTTGTTGTTGGTGTTTTTGCTCACCATCGAAGATCTCTTATTGGTGGTTGCTTTTGCGGTTTGTACCAAATTTGGTGATTCGTCAACCACGGGATTTTCTGCCAATTTTGGCAAAGTTGAAGTAGCTTTGTCAAAATGATGGGAGTCTTTTGAAGGTAAGGATGGTGCAACTGACTGAGTGCTTTGAGACTCGACAATCTCCTCATATATATTACGTGGTGTAGCTTTGATACTGGATGATTGTAGAGGCTGCTGCTGCTGCTGATGCTGCTGCTGCTGTTGCTGCTGCCTTGTTTTGGATTTGGATGGTGAGCCAGACGGAGAGCGTGCAAATGACAGTCTCTTTTTAACAACTTTTCTAGGCGAATTGTTGGCCGAAGATGCTGCAGACAATCTCGCGTGGGCGATTCTGTTATTACTCGTGTTGCTTCCACTCGAACCAAATGCATTCTTGTACTGAAACGAAGTTGGTCTTGAAACACTAATTTGACTGGTACGTTTCTTACCTGCTGGAGACCTTCCAATTGAGGCACTTCTGCTCATTCGGTTTTCGAAACTAGTGGACTTTGACGGTGGTTGTTGGTCATTGCTTGAATGTCTATACCTCAAAAGTAATGCATAAAAAGTCTTTTCTGGGTTTGGCCCATTCAGTAATAAACACTTGATAATATCCAGTTCTGGTCTATTATTCCATAATATAGACAAATTAGACAAAATTTGCTTGTCAATGTTTTTCACAGAGCCAAGTGATTTATAAGCAGTTTCTGGATGCGGCAATGATTTTTCACTAATCAAATCCTCATTTGAGATTGGGTATTTAGTCAATAATGGATGCTTCAAGATATTTTCTGTGGTAATTCTCTTGACAGGATCAACTTCCAACATTTTCATAATCAAATCTTGTGCTTCCCTACTTATTTCATCAATGGGCATCTCATAACTACCAGCTTGAACTTTTAGTAAAAGGTTACGAATATTTTCATCATCAAATGGTAATCTTCCAGTTAGTAAAGCGAAAAGAATAACTCCACAAGACCAAACATCCGAAGCAGCTCCATGGTATTTTAATCCACTAACAATTTCTGGAGCAGCATAATGAGGTGACCCACAAGAAGTTTCAAGTAATTTGCCGTTACTTTCCAAAGCAGCCATACCAAAATCGGCCAATTTGACATTCAATTGAGCATCCAACAACAAGTTTTCTGGTTTCAAATCTCGATGACATATACCCAATGCATGGCAATAAGCAGTACCAAGAACAATTTGACGAAAGTATTTTATAGCTTCTGGCTCTTGCAATGGACCCAATTCCACCAACAAGTCAAAGAGTTCTCCGCCTTCAACGTATTCCAAAACCAAATAAAGTGCTTTAGAAGTTTCCCAAACATCGTATAGTCTAAGAACATTGGGGTGAGTAAGAAGTTTCATAATGATGATTTCACGTTCTATGCCATAAGGTAATCCTTCACCAGTTTTGTTCGTATTGTTGTTGTTGTTGTTGTTGTCACCTGCCTCATCATCTTCTCTTAGTTCTGATTTGGAAACAACTTTAACTGCTGCCTTTTGTCCAGTGGTTTGATGGGTAGCCAATAATACTCTTCCAGTGGCACCTCTTCCCAAAGTTTTACCCAATTTCCATGGTCCAATTGATTGTGGATGGTTGTGGTGAGCAGTAGTTGATGCTATTGAAGAGCTGATAGAAGCCAGCCTCGAGTGTGCCATAGTTGTATAAGTTGACGTTGTCTTGTTGAATTAAACCCAAAAACAAACTGAAAAAAAAAAAAAAAATAACAAAAGCAAAAAAGAAGGTATAGTAGTTAGTTGAGTGATTTGAGTGGTATCCCGTGATTAAGTTGAAAAAGGATGAAAAAGGATGAAAAAGGGTGAAAAAGGATGAAGAAGTAGAAGAAGTAGAAGAAGAAGAAGAAGAAGAAGAAGAAGTTGATTGAATTAAGGGCTGATTGTCAAAGAATAAAGTAAAAAAAAAAAAAAAAAAAATTCCAACTGCCATTCACCACTATGTTTGTTTGTCTCTTTTTATTTTTTTTTTTTTTTTTTTTTGATGGGTGTGGTTCTTTCTGTTACAAATGTTTAATTTCAATTCTTAATTCTTAATTCTTTTTTTTTTATTTTTATTTTTATTTTTACTTTTAGAGTTATGTGTGTGTTATATGGTGTTATATGGTGTTATGTGGTGTTATGTGTGTGTGTGTGTGTTGTTATGTGTGTGTGATGTTATGTGTGTGTGTTGTTTGTGTGTGTGTTGTTTGTGTGTGTGTTGTTTGTGTGTGTGTTGTTTGTGTATGTGTGGGAGAAACAAACATCCAACGCGTGTTGTTTATTTATTCAATTAAATCAAAATTAGGAAACCCTGCATATAAAAGCAACAACAACACCAACACTAAAAACAACACGAACAACAAAAAGCATTTAATTATTACTTACTCTAATTCAACTTTTAACCTTTTTATTTTCTTTTTTTTCCTGTTCTTTTTTCTCTCTTTTTACGCGTACAATGGGTGTTTTCTTCCCCTCCCCTCCCCCTTTCGAGTATTAAAAAATAAAAAGCGATATAATATGCAATAATTTAACTACTTTAGGAAAGTCAATAGTATACACACCACACACACACACATACACACACACACATATACACACACACATATACACACACACATATACACACACATGTATATATATATATATATACATATATATATACTTAATTCATCCATTTCTTATCCAAATCTAGACAATACGCATACGTTTCAAATAACACTAGATTTACACGAGAAAGATACAAAGAGAACACGAAGACACTCCTATCATTACCGTTAAACATCATACATTTGTACCTTCCAATATATGTATATATTTATATATATTTATATATAGACGTATTTTTTTTTTGTGTTATATTCCTTCATTCCATAGCATCCATAGCATTCATAGCATTAAAAGATTAAAAGACTTTTTTTCTCATTTTGGTTCCTAGAATTATCTACAAAGTCACGTGAACTTATCTTTTATCTTCTGCCCCCCCCTGGAGATTGGAATTTGGTTGCAAAGCTTCCACTTCTCAAGATTTAAAAAAGAAGAAAAAAAACAAAAATCTCCAGTTTTTACAGCCAGTTGACAGCCAGAGTGACATCATCAAGCCAAAAGACAATGTACTCGGACATGCGGTACCCAGTTCACTTATTCACAAGCCTCATTATCCCTATTTATATAGAATACTGCGTCACCAAGACTATATATATATACTACACCCATGATATTGTGCATGTCCATTAATTACTTTGTAAAAGTAAAAGTAAAGCTTTTTTTTTCCATCTACCGATTTGATGTGTGTCATGTGTAGTCTGAAATAGATGCAGCTCGTAAGGAATCTGTTGATTGAGATTGCCTTTTTGTCAATGTGTCAGCTTGAAAGATGGAAACAGACGGGGTCTAGCTCCTACGTGAAACAAAACTCAGTGGTTAGTAGGACATAGCTTTGATCCAATGTTTAAAGTTGAACCCATGACTCTCGTAACTTGAAACTTGATACCAATTGATTTCGTTCCATTTTTGATACATCAAAGTGAAAGCAACGTTTCTTGACGCTTTTTATTTTTGTTGCCCACCAAACCAATTAATTTGCCTTGTCTCTTCCATTGTATATCCCTTCTACTTCCCTATAATCCAATATCACTCAATAATTTCATCTGTTTCTTCATTTCCTCATTAGCAGCTTGATTCTTTTGCTTTGTTTCCTCATCTTTGACATAATCTTCTTTAATCAGTTTCAAGGACTTTACACTATCCTTTGTAGTACTCGTACTCGTTCCTTCTTTCTTTGATGTTTGTTCAAGTAATTGAGTTACTTCATTGAATTCAGTAATATCAGCATTTAGTTTATCTAGTTTCATTTTGGTGGATTTTGATTTCGATTTGGACAACAGGGATGACCCATGTTTCGGTTTCGATTTCAATGTCGATTTCGATGTCAATTTTGATTTTGATTTTAGTTTTGATTTAATCTTCTGGACTTTGCTATTCGATTGATTCTTAGGTGGCATGGTTCGATGGAATAACTACTATCTTGACCGTTTTGTTCTTTTGAAACTTCTTTGCAAAAGCGGCAGAAAAGAGAAGAAGAAGAAAAAAAAAAAATAAAAATAAAAAAAATTTGGTGATGATCAAACACCTCATCTCAGCATTTAGCATTGAAAAACCAACCACACATCTAATCTACTTCCACCAAAATGCCATCCACACATGATAAAGATAAGCCATGGGACACCCCCGATATAGATAAATGGACCGTTGAAGAATTCAAACCAGAACACAATGCCAGTGGTCTACATTTTGCTGAAGAATCATCATTTATGACCTTGTTCCCCAAATATCGTGAGCAATATCTTAGAAGTATATGGAGTGATGTTACCAAAGCATTAGATAAACACCACATACGATGCGAATTAGATCTCGTTGAAGGAGCAATGACAGTCAAGACGACAACAAAGACATTTGATCCTGCCATGATTTTAAAAGCTCGTGATTTGATTAAATTATTAGCTAGATCAGTTCCATTCCCACAAGCAGTCAAGATTTTGCAAGATGATGTTGCTTGTGATGTTATCAAGATTGGCAATTTTGTCACCAACAAAGATCGATTCATCAAAAGAAGACAAAGGTTGGTTGGACCCAATGGAAATACATTAAAGGCTTTGGAATTGCTAACCAAATGCTACATCTTGGTTCAAGGAAACACAGTTAGTGCTATGGGCCCATACAAGGGTTTAAAAGAAGTAAGAAGAGTAGCTGAAGATTGCATGAAGAATATTCATCCAATTTACTATATTAAGGAATTGATGATCAAACAAGAATTGCAGAAAAACCCCGAACTAGCTCATGAAGATTGGTCACGGTTCTTGCCCAGTTTCAAAAAGAGGAACGTTGCCAGAAAGAAGGTTAAAACTTCCAAAGTGGAAAAGAAGGTTTATACTCCATTCCCACCAGCTCAACAACCACGTAAAGTTGATTTGCAAATTGAAAGTGGTGAGTATTTCCTTGGTAAGCGTGAACGCGAGTTGAAAAAGATTCAGGAAAAGAGAGCTTTACAGGAGGAGAATAGTGAGTTAAAGAGACAAGAACGAGCTAAGGGCTATGTTGCTCCAGAAGAGGAACAGTATGAGAATAAGTTGTTGAGTAAGGAAAAGAAGGAAAAGAAGGAAAAAAAGGAGAAAAAGGAAAAGAAGGAGAAGAAGAGGAAATCAAGTGATGATAATGACAATGATGATGAGGATGAGTCAAAGCATATGAAATCAAAGAAACCGAAGAAATCAAAACACTAATTCAGATAGTTTTATATATGTTTTTGAATGTATAACTCTGTTCCAGCATCATTACAGAATGAACATCTGTAAATCAGCCGTATCCTAGAGCCTTGGAGCTGTCTTTTCTTACTGGACTTTATTGTTTCAGTTTCGTAAATACAGGTAGTGTGTGTGTTAGTGTGAAAGTTAGTGTATGTGGCTTTGATCTTTAAACTTTTGGTTGTTGTGTAAATGTTTTTGCAAAGAAATAAATTGAATAAACATTTCTTTAACCTTTTTTTTTTTTTCTTTTTTTTTTTTTTTTCTTCTTCAGATCATCGTCTAAAATTGTATTGTTACGACATTGTTACGACAATTGTTTTTGCTTTCCGTTTTTCTTCTCAATTTAGTATAACAGTTTCCCAATTTGGTCTCTCCCAAAAAGAAAATAAAAAAAGAAAAAGAAAAAGAAAAATAAAATAAATAGTCAACATTTGATAAAAGTGTTAAGGTGTAGTAGTGTTATACACCACTGGATTCTAGGGCACTCCATGTAGCTTTGAAAGATGTATGATTGGAAAACAGTACTAGTCACAACACACCCACAACACACCCACACCCACATACACACTGTTTCTCTTTTCCTGTCTCTCTCTCTCTCTCTCTCTCTCTCTCTTGTAGCTCAACCTAGCCTGCACTTTTTGCTAAGACCAGACCCAACTGTCTTTGCAGCTCAATTATGTTTTTTAAGTATAAATACGGATTAAGTAATTTCTTTCATAATAACTTCACTTTTTTTGTTTACAAAAAATAAAAAAAAAAAAAAAAAAAGAGAAAAATTAAAATAAAAATCAAATTTGTGATTCTTTGGTCTATTGATGCATCTGCACCAAAGAGAACGGCTTCTTGATTCAGACTCTTTATCAGCATCCCCTCCCCCCCCCCCCCTCCTCCGCTACACTCCGTTCCTGGATTACACATTCCTTTCCTTGAAACACCTCACACTTTCCTCCACTCCCTCATATTTTGGGCCAACACTGTTTCACATTCGGACACAACTCCACCAAATATTAGTCCTTCATAACCACCATTACGATATTTACACATGGAACACAGCTCATCCTTCCAATGTCCAAACTAGATCATATACTTGCATTTGCCGAAGAGATAGAATCACGATCAATTAGACTAGCTGATGCTGCTTCTACTTCGATAGATTTGATCAATCACATATCCTACATTAATCAACAATTGATCCATCACGATCATGATATCGATGAAATTCGCCATTTAATGGATTTTAATCAATCTTGTCTAATACAGTTGAATGCATTGAGTGATAGGAGCTTTTTTTTGGAGTCCAATTTGCCTATTAATGACCATATTACTAATTTCACCAGTTTTGAGAATTTGAATCATGAATATTGTCATCTACTACTGAAGTTGGAACTGAATAATAATCAGATTGATGTAGATGGTCATGCAATGGTGGAGGATGTCGGTCGAAACCTTCGAGAACTCAATATTGATGATAGTTATGCAGAGGAGGATGATGTTGAAGAAGAAGAAGCAGAAGAAGCAGAAGAAGCAGAAGAAGCAGAAGAAGCAGAAGAAGAAGCAGAGGATGGTGGTGACGGCTACAACAATAATGAACTACAATCAACATCCTCACTCCTTGAACCACCAGATTTGAAAAAGATGATTTCAATATCAAACTTGCAACTAAAACCAATGAGATGTGCGTCATCCTCAAGTACAACTGCAACTCCACTGCAACCAAGATCAATACAAAAGAAAAAGTCGAGATATAGGCTTTCAAGCATATACAATATTAATCCAGTAGCACTTGATGAAGAGTCTGTTGCATTCCACTCCAATACAACTTCATCTGTATCATCATCATCGCCACCTTCTGAAGATAGTGATAAGATGATGAAGAATAGTTTATCCCAGTCTTTTGATACCATTGAATCACATTTTTCCAACCATTCACCATTGGAGAAAGAAAATGACCATTATGGTGTGACCACCAAGGCTGTGCATCATGATGAAACTGTGATTATACGACAGCCATCGCCATCGCCATCACCATCGTCATCAACATTGCATAAACACACTAGATCAAATTCGTTACCCACTTCATCGTCCACTAAATCCATTGACCAAACTGACCTATTCAAAGAACTAGATTGTCATGATGACTATTTACGATTCAATCGATTAAAACATTTCATCAGTATAAGCAACTTACCCAAGCGTAGCAAAATTGCAACCAGTGCAACAACTACTGCTGAAGAGGATGCAGAGTTAGATGATAGTTTGTTCTACCAGGATTTGGAAAACTCATTAACTCCAGAACAATGCTTGGATAACTGTGATGTTTGTTCAGTTATATCTGATATATCATATTATTCACCCGAAAAACAACAAGCTGGTCACGAAGAACCCAATGGTGGTGGAATCAATTTTGATTTTGATACTTACCACTCGTTTTTACGCAAGTCCAAACTAAACTTGAATGAAGCATATCATAATGCGTTTCCACATTTGTATCGACAACATCAGGAACATAATCAACAAGACGTAAAAGATGCCTCGGAGCTGCATCAACAACCTCATACCCAAGAAGAGAGCCACACCAGTCATCACTTCAAGAACCCCATCAACGCAATAGGAAGCACAAGACCTCATACAGTGAGTCCTACTTTAGATACAACTTTCCAACAACAAGAGCCGCATCCAGTATCAACCACCTCAGGGTCATTGCATAGATTGTCATCGCGCAAATTGCTCACTCAAGTGATTTCACAAAGTGCCGCAACTGTACATAACCAAAATGAATTTGCAACTCCATCAACCCTGCCATTGAAATCAACATCGCTACTTGCATCGTCGCCGCCTTTGCCAATCAAGTGTAATAATGCTTCCTCGCCTAGGGTCGGCCCCATTGTGTCCAAATCTGCACCCTCAATTGCAACATCTACATCGTCGTTGGGCTCACCATCATCATCACCGTCATCGTCATCATCACCCTCATTCACCCACAATCTTATCAACTTTATGTCAATTGCCAAACCGCAACGTCGCAAACAACAACAACAACAACAACAACAGCAACAACAACACCACCACTTCAGCCGTCATTACTCGTTGCATGAGGCCAATCCATTTGCACCCGTTGTCGTTACAAAGCCACCGACTCCTGAAAAAATTCGACAATTGAAGAAACAAAAACGATTAAAACGACATGTGCCAATACTGGTACCCAATGAAGCACAATTGAAACGAATACCGCGGAGACAACTGGGAACACAAGAAGTTAAATGCAGTTTCAATGGCTCTGGCCTCAGTAGAAGTTTTCAAAATGAGGATGCGTCTTTTGCCAGATTGACAATTTTACGAAACCAAAAGTATATCAATCATGATGAAGGTATGCGTGCCACTTCATCAATGTTTAACAACCCTATAATTCGTGGTTGTAATGAAGATGCAATACGTGAAGCATTGAGCGCTAGTTTACTCGATTGAAAAATACACAAGCACAACTTTAGGGCGGGCATTGTAAGATAATTTATGTCCAATCAGTTATATATGTGATATCCTATCTAAATCTATAAGAAATCAGAACTTGAAAACAATTCCAGGGACCCAGACCCCGAGCGATGGTTTCTTGAACTGTGTAAACTCTGTTCAATTTGTCGTTCTTTAAAACTCTTCAATTGTGGTCCGTTTCTGCCCTGGTTCAGTTTCGACATGTATGTAATAGATGCTTTTGAACCAGAGACAACTTTATACTGTTTGCTAATTGTGACCCCCAGGAACTGTTGCTTGCCTTGTTTATTGAATGTGATTCCCTTTTGTTCTTGGAATGATTTGAATGATTTGGTGACGGAGGGCTTTTTGAAAATTGGCATCAACTCGTCGTCATCAAATTCATTGTCCACGGCGTCAAGATTGACTTGGCCATTGATGTTGTTGTTGTCAACATCATCATCATCATCATCATCCTTGTCAGTGTCCCCACCATCAACTGCATCAGTGAGTGCATCTTGATCTAATTTCCTCTTGCGTGGATTGGCTTGTATATGTGCAATGTTTGTAACTTGTCGATTCGGTTGAAGAATACTTTTTGATTTCAATGCATTGATATCATCAATTTCTTCTTCTTCTTCATCGGATATACCATGCTGCAACTTGGACAATCTTTGTATTCGGTTGTATCTACTGTCATCATCAGCATCATCATACACACTTTGATACAAGAATGACAATTTGCTTTGAACAAAGGATTCTTCAATCTTGATTGTTTGTTTTATGGGTGCTTCTTTCTCCAAAGAATCCTCATCTTCATCCTCAATCTCAACAACATCACCATCTCGTTCACCAAATGTTGGTTCTTTTTCCTTGGTTTGTTTTTCTTTCCCACCAGCAAAGCAATTACTCGTTGTACGATCAATAACTTGCACATCGCTATCACTATCGCTATCAATGACAATAACTTCATGTTTGTCTTGAATGGTATCAAAAAATGCCTTTGATTTTTCATCTTTACTCAATGCTTGCAACTTCTTATTTTGCATTAGTCGTTGTTGCTGTTCAATCAACTTTTGTTTACGATAAGCAGCCAACAATTGGTCCTCTTCATCACTCAATTCGATATCGAATCCATTGTTATTTTGCCCAACACGTTTTATCAATTTATGATTCTTGATATCATCCAATAATTTTTCCAATTCCTGTTGATCTTTGATTTGATATTCTTCCATAAACTTTTTGCGAATCTCATCATCTTGTAAATCAATGTTGAAATTGTTGTCAATCATTTTCTCATCCTCGGAATTGGCAACATCGGAGAACTCACCATCGATTCCACCTAATCCCTTCCATTCATCTTCAGATTCTTCTGCTTCTCCATCAAACATTGTTTTCATTCCACTTTTTTCCATCTCCTTCCGACGTTTACGAGCTTGTAATTCTTTTCTACGAATTTTTTGCTCATACTCCTTGATTTTTTGTTTTAATGCTTCAGAATCTTCTTCATCTGCTTCAATGTCGTCCTCATTCTCTTCAATATCTTGTTGTTGATTCTCTGGTTCTTCTTTGATTTGCATCATCTTGCTGCGCATCGCTTTACGTCCTTTATTAACACGTGCGGGCGTTATCAAATCATCATCGTCCTCGTCATCAACTGGTGACTGGACTTTTTTATCTGCTTGAGTAGCTATTTCCTGCTTTATCACTTGTGTTTCCAAATCACCCATAATTGAAGTATCCACTTGGGTAGGTTGATCAACTTGTGTGTTGAGTTGCGATTGTGACTGGGTGAGATCTTTAAACAGAGGTAAATTGGGTCCACGTTTCAAATTCACCTCTCCTTGCGTTGACAAGAATGATTCATCTATGTTCCTTGGCTGTAAGTTCAGAAACAATTCATGGCTGTCATCGTCATGCTTGACAAGATTTTCTTCGTCATCATCTTCATCTTCAAAAGATAGATTGATATGTATGTCATTGTCCCCATTTTCATTTTCATTTTCTTTTTCATTTTCTTTTTCATATTCATCTTCATCTTCATCTTCATCTTCAGCTTCATCTTCATCCTCAACGGCTTCAAGCTGCCCTACATCATCAGAATCGTAGTCACTTTCGGGAACCTCTGAGCCAACGTCATTCTCAGGTGCATCCTGTTCGTCATTTTCTTCGCTCTCCACCATTTTCATCCCTAATTTCTTACCCAACAATGCCAACTTGGCTCTTTCTTGTAACTTTTCCTTCTTCCTAATCTTTCTCACCCTTTCCATCTCCCTCTCCAATAAAGATGTCATTGACTCCTCATCCTTCTCAAGCTCCTCCAACAAAGCATGTTCAGGGTCGTTCAATTTGTGAGTTTTCAATTGATCAATGTTTCTCTTTTGCAATTGTTTGAAGAAATTACTTTGTTGCTTGTGTTTATCTGAGTCCTTGGCGGTATGTTTTAGGTTCTGGTATTTTTTCTTTGCAAATCGTTGTCTGATAAGAAATTTCTGTTCTTTGGTGAGCTCAGGAATTTCATCCAACTCTTTGGCATGGTTCGAGAATCGTGACTTGTGTTGAGTACGTAATGGCGAAGAAGAATGTCCAATCTCGATGTCTGAATCTGTATCCAAGTTTATCATAGGCCCATTGCCTTCTTGAAGTTTATTTGAAGGTGAGCTTGGAGAATGCTGCTTTAACCTTTGTGCGTACAACTCCAATGGGTTGGATGGTTGCGTCGATTTTGATGGAATTTGAAACAAGTCAAAAGCATTGTCCTTTACTGGTGACGTGGTTGGGCTCGACTTTAATATGTCGTCCATAGTAGGGGACGATGGCTTTTCACCACGTGCGATTTTTTTCATTGCACCATATTTCTCATCATCTTCATCTTTATCGTCGTCTGAAAACATATCCAAAAACTTTTCCTTTGTAAAAACGTGTTTTCTCTCAAAAGCTGGCCTGATGTCAATTTGACGCTTTTGAATGTTGATGAATTCCCGTGCTTTCTCCAACTCCTTTGTGGATAAACCGTCACTTTTCATATGCGATGACACAACTGTATCATTAGCCTCATTATTGAGCTCATCCTCATCCTCGGTTAATGAACCTTTTGTCATGTCTTGCTCTAACTCTTCACGTTCTTTTTGAAGCCGGGCTTGCTTCTTTTCCTCAGCCAATTGGGCTATTTTGCGTTGTCTTTCTTCTGCTGTCATTGGCTGAGAGTCTTCTTCGTCTTCTGACTCTACAAACAAATTCTGCAAGCTGTTCTCGGCGACAACTTGTATGGCCTCTAAAGTCGTGAATTTTGTAGGAGTGGCGGGTCTTGACCATGCATCCGCTTTTTCAGGTACTTGTATTGGTTCAATAGTTGATTTGTTGATAACTTGTGTTGGATCAAAACCAAGCAATTGTGTATGGTCTGAATCCTCTTTGTGATCACTTTTCGTGTCAATCACTTGTGTTGGTTGGTTATACTCACTTTCATCCACTTCCAACTGCGGCAAGACTTGAAAATGATTACTAACATGCTCCTTTAATTGGGTTTCCCCTTCGTCAATCTTTTGTGTGTCTTCCAACAATTGGTGATCGTTCAGTGTTCCCAACAATCGGCTTCTCACTTTCTCCAATATACCAAAATCCGGCCCCACACTCTTGTTGTTTGCAACATTCCTCATAAAGTCATCACTGAGGGTAAAACCGAGTATGGATGTTAAATTGGCTGGACCAGTATCCTTTCGCTCCTCCACGTCATCCTTGTGGTCCACATTGAGATTCTTGTCAATCACGTCAATCACTTGTGTAGACCTATCTCTAATATCCTCTTGATCCATTGTCAATAAAGAATTGGATGTGGTGACTAGAGATAAAAAGATTTGCAACAGTTCAGCAACGCGGTCAGATCCATACAACCTTTCTCTCCTTTTGTTTTTTTTTTTTGGTTTTTTTCGCGTTTGTTGTTGTGTCGCAAAAGTATCAATGTCGTAAATCTGATCTGTTCGCAACACATGTTGAATTGTACGATGTCTCGTTTAGAAGAAAATTGACCTCTAGTTTTGTGACTCGGGTCCAACCTCATTGCACATGTGAAAGTCACGATTTCTTAGATCATCTTGCAGCACAATACAAAACATGGTGAGTCCTTACATTCCCACGAGGTACGATTATCAATTAGCTATCGGAAGATAGCTACAGACTTTCGTACGCAAACTGGTCGTAGCTCAATCCTGAACGGTGCTTACATTGTTTCTAGACTAACTTGTCAGTGACTTCGCTAACCATCATACGTTGAAGAAAAAAAAAAGGGAATGCCCCACGAGTGTGGCTCATCGTATATAACGCTGAATTTTTTTTTTTTATTTACCAACGAGGTAATTTTTTTGAATTTTTTTTTTTTTTTCACCAATTTTTTTTTTTCCATTGGGCTTTTAAAATCAACAACGTTTTTCCCAAATTCATTTCTTCTTGGAAAAAAAACCCTTCTCTTCTTCTTCTTCTGCTTGTTGAAACCCAATATATTTTCAATTGCATTCATTTACAACTCACTCAAAAAAATGTCTACCTCAGGAGAAAGATTTCTTTTTACTTCGGAATCAGTTGGTGAAGGTCACCCAGATAAGATTTGTGATCAAGTGTCTGATGCTATTTTGGATGCTTGTTTAGCTGCTGACCCATTGTCCAAGGTTGCTTGTGAAACTGCTGCCAAGACTGGTATGATTATGGTTTTTGGTGAAATCACCACCAAAGCTACTTTGGATTACCAGAAAATCATTAGAGACACCATCAAGCACATTGGTTACGACCATTCAGAAAAGGGTTTTGACCACAACACCTGTAATGTCTTGGTTGCTATTGAACAACAATCTCCGGATATTGCTCAAGGTTTGCACTACGAAAAAGCATTGGAAGAATTGGGTGCTGGTGATCAAGGTATTATGTTTGGTTACGCTACCGATGAAACTGATGAGAAATTGCCATTAACCATTTTGTTAGCTCACAAATTGAATGCTGAATTGGCTTCTGCCAGAAGATCAGGTGCTTTGCCATGGTTGAGACCTGACACTAAGACTCAAGTCACCGTTGAATATGAAAAAGATGGTGGAGCTGTTATCCCAAAAAGAGTTGACACTGTCGTCATCTCTACCCAACATTCAGATGACATTTCAACCGAAGACTTGAGAAAGGAAATTCAAGAACACATCATCAAAAAGGTTATTCCAAGCAACTTGTTGGATGACAAGACTATCTACCATATTCAACCATCAGGTAGATTTGTCATTGGTGGTCCACAGGGTGATGCTGGTTTGACTGGAAGAAAGATTATTGTTGACACCTATGGTGGATGGGGAGCCCACGGTGGTGGTGCTTTCTCTGGAAAAGATTTCTCCAAGGTTGACAGATCTGCTGCTTACGCTGCCAGATGGGTTGCCAAATCATTGGTTAACGCCAAGTTGGCTAGAAGAGCATTGGTTCAATTTTCATATGCAATTGGTGTTGCTGAGCCATTGTCCATCTACGTTGACACTTATGGTACCTCCAAATACTCATCTGACGAATTGGTACAAATTATCAAAAAGAACTTTGATTTAAGACCAGGTGTTATCGTCAAGGAGTTGGATTTGGCTAGACCAATCTACTTCAAAACTGCATCATATGGACATTTCACCAACCAAGAAAATCCATGGGAACAACCTAAAAAATTGAAATTTTAATTGTTAAAATAAAGACTCTAATTTCAACACAATTTTTTAATTCACTTCAACAGTATTTTATAGACTTTTTTATATATAATTTGGATATAATATAAACTTTTTTTTTTTGTACATGTACAACAGCAGGTTTGTAGAGTGTACTTGAACAAGCGTAAACAAGTGATTTGATTTTTAGGTGTTTGATAGGTTGCAAAATTGTTCCAATTTATACCAATTTTAACGCAAATTTTTCGAGATACGAAGTTTGTCCTTATGATATTTTTCCCCTAGTTTCTAGAGAGAAACCATACACAACTTAAAGCATAGAATTGTATCTACATATCACGTTTCGTCGTTACAATATCATTTAAGTTCAACCTCTCTAGCAATTCGAGCTGAATAGTTGTTTAGCTGGCGTTTTTGGCAACGAGGTATCGAGGTTTCGTACCAAATACAGCCTCGTACTGACATGACAAACAACAGCTATCATTGGGTATTAATCCGTAATAGTTTTGTGGCGTTGTTGACCGACGATTACGTATTGCACACTTTTCCAATTTAGCTTGAGGTCGATCTTTTACCAATATCTTTAGGTCATCTAGTGGATCGGTAATTACTCGTTTGGGTTTCTTGTCTGCACTAATCTTGCGTTTTGATGATGACTTGGATGAGCTAGATGAAGGTGGCTGCTGACGATTTTGTAGTTTGTTTGTGGGCACTAGAGCCTGAGATTCACTCGATTCACAAATTATCGAGTTTAATTCATCCTTGAGTTGTTTCAATTTACTTGCTTCGTTGGTAATCAGCTTCAATTTTTCTTCAATATTGGTACCCGTTGGAACAAGTCTTCCACTACTATCATACTCAAATGTAAGTTCACACGAAGGACCGCACTTGCCGTCTTCGCAATCTGCGTACCTCAAGTCGCTCGAACCCTTGGATGATAGACGAGAAGATGTACAAGTTTCATCAAATATAGGACAATCGCAATCTTCTTCACCATGGATCTCGCATTCTGGCATTTGGCTGAATTTAATCTCGATGGATGTGCGGTTAAGCTGACAATTATCAGCCCGACCCAGTGATTTACTCAAATCATCATCATCACATTGAAGGTGAATACTATTGTTCTCGGAGTCAAACAAGTTGAAATCTTTTGGCAATTGGCCTACTCCCTTTTCCTCGATAACGCGAGTGATTTTGTCACGTATATAATCAATTTCATCGGGATGCAAAAACGATGGTGGAGGACAAATGATTCTCCTTCTTGGTCGTTTTGATGGATCAATTTGCTGCAAGCTCGACAAGTTGGTGTGATGTACTTTTGCATTCGGCACCTCCTGGATCGTTTCACCCGCCTGGTTCGGTACCAGTTCAAGAGCTTCTGACATGTTATAGTTTAAAATGGGGTTCGGGTCGGTCAGATTGTCGTCGTCTTCACATGGAAATGGTGAGAAATTTTCTTCATCCTCAAGTTGTTTCGCCATAGCTAGCTGCCAACTCTCGTTGTGTTTAGACGTCAAGCTTAATAGCTGATCCTGATCTGGGCTTGGTATATCTTGTTTGTTATTGCTTGTAGAGCCATTCATTTGTGATAATTTGAAGTTATTTTCAGTTGGTTGCCTGTTTCTTTTAATTGATGATTGCGAGTCCAACTTCCCCGTATCTTGAGTCAGAGCGGTCATTGCAATTTAAGAAACGCTTGTTATATCTCGTCCATGAATGCGAGTACAATCTGATAAAAGTTGAAGAGTTAAAGTGGCAGTAGGCAAATATTGCTTATGAGTACGAGCTTGGGTTTTAAAGTCTTTACGCATTCTACACATTTTTTCTTCTTCTTTTTGTTCTACAAATAACTACACAAACTAAAGCTACACTAATCCTTTTTCAAAGTCCTTTGCTTTTCAGCATTCTTGACGACTTTTTCATCGATAAATAAACCTTTCCTTCTCCTAATGTTATTCATGTATCTTCTTGCAACATTTTCTCTCTCTGCATATTCACCCAATTCTTCCAACTCTTCCTCGGTATGAGGCACCCAAAATGGATCAATGTCAAGAACATCATATCCATCAAAAACTAGTTGCGGACTAGCGGCACCTGAGGTTTTCTTCCTAATATCCTCACTAAAACCAAAAGCTTGAATGACGGGTATTCTTGCAACAACTGTGAAAAATGGAGTTCCTTCTTTCATTTCCTCCGAGATGATGGACCCTTCACGTTTTTGTACAACTGCATAAACTTTACCCAAAACCTCAGCGGCAGCTTGGATTTCACATGTATACATTGCAAGAAGCAAACGCGGCGACTTTGATAAAAACTGTTTGTGAATCAATGCTTTTGTCTGGTTAATGATTTTCCCGCGATTGATCAAAACCTTGTCCTCGTCGACATCGTTGATCACAGCTCTCTTCAAAATGACAATCACACCTTGCATGGGCTCAGCCGCTAAAGGACCCTCATTAAGTGCTAATTGAGCACCATTTAATATATTGTTTTCATATGGAAATGCTTCGATAGGGGTTTCTGCAGCAAATAAATGCTTCAACTTGTTTGTTTTATCCAAAAGAATGTTGGGACCAACTCTCTTGGGGCCAAATGCTACTATGTGATCAACAAATGATTTGGCGTTCTCAAATCCAACGAATGCCTGTTCTTGATTGACTACTGAAATCAATTTTTCGCACAATAAACTCTTAACCTCCAGGCTATGGCCTTTATTTTTCGCAATTTCATTGAGTAAACCTTCGCTACTAATCAAGAATTGTGTGATTTCGTTAGGTAATGGAGAAACATCAAATTCAAGGCTCACAAGTTCATTGTCTTCTTCTTGCTCTTCGTCAACTTGGTCCCCAGCTCTTTCTTTGTTCACCACATCGTCAGCCAATGATTCTCTAAATGGTATGACCGGCTCCTTGATAGAAACTTCACAACCTTTTGCAAACCTCTCCTCCAAATCTTTCAAACATCTTTCTAAATGAAGCTCCCCTGACACACAAACAATCAATTCCCCAGACTCGTCATCAATATACCACTCTAAAACAGGATCAGCTTTGGCAAGTAAATCTAAACCGTGTTCCAACTTTGCCAACTTCATTGGGTTTGTTGGTTCAACAGTTATCCTCATGATTGGTTTATTATGGATCAAGGTTGACGTGGAGGAGAAATTGATGTATGGCTTGTCATCGGGGATTTGAGAACACAAGGTGGCATTCTTGAGAACAGCATTATCTAACCCAACCACGCCAACGATATTACCAGCTGGGACGTGGTCCATTCTCACCAACTCTCTTCCCATAATTAAAAACAAATCCTTTATCTCGACATCGTCTACACATTGATCAACATTCTTCTCATGATCTCTTGGTAGTGACGGATCGTACTTTGGTCCTACCACAGTTAATTTCTGGCCCTTTGACAAGGTACCAGAGTAAACACGAGTGAAACCAATCAAAGTCTCATTTGAGTTTGCCATTTCTTCCTCATCACCCTCCTGCTCGAAATCTTCCTCTTCAAACTCCCAATCAAATGGATCCTTTTTCGGCTTTATTGTGTACTCGTCATTAGCTCTGTTTTCTTGAGCAACGGCAGCGGCTTCTGATGCCTTTTTTGCTAATTCTCTTGCAATTTTTGCCCTCTCTCTTAGCTCTTCTGCCGACACGTCCGCACCTCTTTCTGTCTCTTTTGGGAGCTCTTCATTAGGTACCGAAATTAACTTTGAAACATACGCCATAGTGTGCGTGTCCGCATGAGAGCTATCACATTCACGCATGGCTTTTACGAGCTCTGGATCGACAAGTTTGCTCTTGTCCAATTCACCTTCAACTGCGCTGTAAATAGTTTCTTCTAAAATCTTGTCTATCCTCTCCAGCTGTGCTTCGACTGGACTAGGCAAATTATCAATGACTGTTCCTAACACGGCATGACTCAAAGGTATCCACTGAGACATGATCTGGTTTAACAAGTTTTTCAAATCTTTGGATCTCATATCTCGTGGCGAGATCTTGGCCCCCAATTTTTCAATAATCTTTTCAAGCTTCTCTTGATTCCTCTCGATTAAGCAATTTTCGTAAACAGCCCAAATCTGATCCAAAATCAAAGACACAAACAAGGGTTTCGGGTTTCCTCCTTTTAGCTTTTTCCCAGAAGCAATCTTTTTGTTCTTCATATCCAAATAGAAATCACCCCAAAGAGTCTTTGCTAATGCATTTTGCGAAAAGCCTAACTTCTTCAGATAAATCTCAGCAAAAGTCTTGACGGTAAAAGCCCATCCATCTATTGCAGATGCAAATACGACATTGTTTTTTTCAGGGACAAAGTACAAATTTTCATCATCTTTCTCAATGAATTCTCCAACTTCACCCGCCTCACGCCAATTTAAATCGTCTTCGAGTCGATCTCCCGCATAGAATGAGCCTATCACCGAGTTTACTTGCTCAATTACTCTTGATATATGTTGATATGCTTCTAGCGGACTAAGCTTCCACTCAGTGATTAGTCGATCCAATTTGTTGATGACCAATATGGGCTTTAATTTATCAATCCAACATTGACGCAACACATTTATAGTTTGCGAGCAGACACCTTCAACTGCATCAACCAAGACTACAGCTCCATCGCATAATCTTGACGACGTGCTCACCTCTGACGAGAAATCAATATGGCCAGGTGAATCAATCAAGTTGATCAAATGCTCTTTGACATCAATCTTTTCTTCATCTCCCTTTTGTCTTCTCATAATTCGAAAGTACAAGGAAATGGCAGATGCCTCCATTGTGATTCCTCTGAGTTGTTCATCTTCTCTCGAATCCAAGTATCGTATCTTTCCTGCCATACGTTGTGAGATGATTCCATTTGTTGCCAACAATGAGTCACTTAGTGATGTTTTACCATGATCGACGTGGGCAAGGATACAAATGTTCCTAATACAAGAAGCGTCCAGCTGTAGTTTGCTTATTGTATCTTGCGATATCTTCATTGTGGGCGAAAATGTAGTTGGATTCAGAGTTGAAAAACGACTTAATGCTCATCAAGAACAAAAGGGCAAAACCAAAAGGCAAATAAAACTGGTAGCGACACAAGCAGTTGAAGCCCCTACTTAGACAGAGTCCATTTAAATAAATGATGTATATTATACGATAAACCTACGTTGCGAAATGAAGAGACCAGCAAAGCCATTTCAAACAAAACTCTATTAATTTATTCTTTATTGAGGTTACCTTCATATTGTGGGTGTCTCATAGGATGTACCTTTGCAAATTCTGGGTCTGACGTGACGTAAATCTTTCTCATTGATGAATTTTGGAAGTAGTTCTTAGCCATGTAGATTGACCAAAGACCGTAGCAGACACCACCAGCAATTAAAGCTCTCATAGGGGTAATAGCAGAAGAAGCAGCAGGCATTATTGATTTATAGCTCTTTTTTGTTTTTGTATATTAAGTACGGAATAGTTAATATGGGTTATTGATAGGCAAAATAAATTTTGACAAGCAGGCAGACACCACTGGTATTTATAGTTGAAGGAGTTACGTTCTCCTCCCAGCGCTACTTTTCAGTGCTACATGGGTAGTAAACTAAAAATCAGCTTAGGTTGTAAAAAAATTATCACCTCATGACATGACTGCGAAAGAAACAAAAGAACCAAAACTATAATAATTACACAAAGGGGGAATATTAGGGAAAAATAGGAGCACCTAAATGGAAACTCCGAAAGCTTCATGAATGCATATCCCCCTCATTACAAGTACTTCAAGCTGTGACATAGATGATCAAAGTCAGTTAAGTTCTTCCAGATCCGTGTTAAGTCGCTTGTATACTTTTTTTCTTATGGGTCGTAATTGGTGTAAAGTGAACTTCGTGTAATAACGGACTTGAGGTCGAAGAAAGAATTCGAAAAAAAAAAAAAAAAAAATCACCTTACCTTATATTCTCACGCATGATTTCAATGCACGGTTGATTATTTATCGAATATAGCCTGATGTATGCACAATTTTCTCCACAAATACAAGCTAACATTATTGTTTCCAGGGTGTCGCGTATTTGGTCATCGCCTAATCAAGAGATCAACGCAAATAGCCTGTCCGAAGAAACATAATTATTTCGAATCGCGGCAACAGGCTAGCTCTCTTTTTACGAGGCTATAACAATACGTATTTTGTGTCCTTAGACTCTCCGTAAATGCTTTCTAATACTATCAATACATTCTTACACCGTCTCCTGCAGGAAGGATTGGCAAAAATTGTCCAATTATTAGCATTGGAATATCAAACAAATCTCTCTTGACTGTCCAAACTGAGCAAAATTCAATATAGTTGTTGGTACCAACATTATTTTGCAACTGTGAGTCAGCGTCAACATTTGCTGTGCTGTTAAAATGAGTTTCATTTTTAGTTAGCTTGATCTTTGTACTTATACTTGAATGCAAGTTCCCCACTGCCACTGATTTGAATAGTTGAAAGTATTTCACAACAGAATCATCATCATACATCATTTCCATAATGAAAGTTCGCTTTGATAAAATGTCCAGTAATTTGTAACCTAACAAGCTTAGTAGATCATCGGTGATACTCACAATCTCCCCAGTTCGACGCCATATAATTGTTGGCGATGAGTTCAACTGACTCAATTTCTCGTAGTCTATTAAACACCTCTGGAAACTCATCTCTAGAAGAAGAAGATCTTGTGGTTTTAGCAACGACTTGTGTGCACTAATAAATGTTGGTCTGTAGCTTGCAATCAACTTCAATATGACGAGCAAGTTTTGTCTTTTGCATTGCTTCTCTTCAGTATCTAAGCCATGACCCAGGAATCTTGTCTTTAAAAAATTGGTAAGTGCATGATAAGAATTCGGATACTCGAAATTTATGACATCTTTGTTGTATATGTCAGACACCGTTTTGTAAATTTTGTGAGTTGCTAAAGGAGAAACATAATCTGAGCGGTACTTTGATTTGAAATTCACAATCGGATTTGAGTTGAGAGCGGTAGTTTGCTTGCTGGCATTTCCCCTCGAGCTGACATTGTTATCCAAAAGGTTATCAGTTTGATGTGCCATGTTGTTCAAATTATCTAGACTCATACTTGAGTCTGTGGGATAACCCAAAGAAATAAACGGACGTGAATCTCGCAATTTTTGAACCACCCGCTTTTTTGATTCATTCATGTTTTCGAAATCGATATTTTGTATAAATGCAGGTGTTGGCCCATTTGTGTATTCGGATGTGCTTGTATTTGAGGGTGTTGGCGAAGCTGGCTTTGAATTCAAAAGAATATCGCCGAGCATGAGATACTCTTCATTAAGATAGTTGGAGCTAAACTGACTGTTTCTGTGGTTTAGACTTAGACTTGGGGAAGCGTCTGACAACTGGGAAAGTGGATCCAAAGACGGCTGACTCAAGTTATCAATTTCATAATGATCTGTTAGCAATTTGTTGATGACATCGGTAGTGGTATTTAGCATCGTGTTTGTGTGGAATAAAGGGTCGGCTTCCAACAGGCTTGCTCTGTTCACTTCTATGGAGTCATTGTTGAAATCTGAATCTTTATGCAGCATATCGAAAGGAGGCGTGTCCAAAATATCCTTTATTTGAGTGACGCTAGAGTCCTCCATTGGAAGACTTGACGATGTTTCTTGCTTTGAATGCAACTGAATAGGTATGAGTTGAGCATCATTTACTTCGTTGGCGATTGGGGCGGGCCGTGTTTTGGAACCGTCTTCCATTATTGACACTGGTGACGTACTGAATGAGCTGTTTTGAGTAGAAACTTCCGAAGACTGGCGTGATTTGTTGCTTGTCGATGGTTTTGAAGATCCTGTTAAGTACTTAACTCGTTTTCGAACAATATCGTGACACTCTGAAGCAATATTCCTCTTGACGCAATTTTTACAAGGTCGTTCATTTGAGCATTGTAAATGCTTTTGATGACAAAACGTACAAGCCCTCAGGGCGGGTTTGCGATTCTGTTTCTCCTGTGGGGTCAATTTTTTGGTCATTTTTGAAACATGTAGTATATATATCAAAAGTCTGTCAAAGGCTGCAGTATTAACGGATCATAAAAGAGTAATTTAATCAACGGATGGTTCAGCCTTTCCACCTTGTTTCTTGTACAAAGCGTTTCGAAATGTGAGCTCGGAGTTCAATGGGATCGCATGAAAATTGTTTATTCGTGACTTCCGGGTTTTCAGTTGCAAGAAAAAAAGAACCAAAAAAAAAAAAAAGACTTAAAAGCACAACTGTACACAAGTGAAGCTATTAGCTAATGGAACAGCATATTAGCGTGTCATTACGTTGTATCTCGCCAACCCTGCGTCCATAGGGAGATTTTATGAACGCAAGCTTAATGGACTTACCCTGCCATCCCTCATAGTTGGGAGTTTTAATATGACCAACACCAATAAGTGACTTCATGGGGAGCCTCACTAGAAACAGAATGCAATGGTTGACTCAGTTACTTGCCTATGCGTTTACGCTCATACTTATAAGCTTGTTGGACTCCAAACTCAGTCAGACTGGGGTTTTCCCAAATTGACTCTGATTTTGTTACTCAGTTCGGAACACCAAAAGCGCATTGCAACATTTTGAAAAAAAAAAAGGAAAAAAAAATGTTTGTCAACATGTGTGGAGTTCTACCAAGATAAGCAATTTTTCACTCGTTACATTCACATCTCTACTAATATGGCTATCGAGATAGAAGAGCCCTCATTTGACAGCAATGCTCAAGTAGCCAAGGACTTGTTTGCAGGAACAATGGGAGGTATTGCTCAAGTTCTTGTTGGCCAGCCTTTTGATTGTGTCAAGGTAAGATTGCAATCGGCACCGGAAGGAACATATAACGGGGCGTTGGACGTTATTAAACAATTGATCAAGAATGAAGGGTTTGCTGGGTTTTATAAAGGTACATTGACTCCCTTGGTTGGTGTAGGTGCTTGTGTTTCCGTGCAATTTTCAGTAAACGAGTTTATGAAACGTTATTATGACCAAAAGCTTCATGGAAAGCCGTTAAGCTTGGTACAATTCTTCAATTGTGGAGCTGTTGCTGGGTTTGCCAATGGATTTTTAACGTCCCCCATTGAGCATATTCGTATTAGACTTCAAACTCAGACAGCTGGCAAAAAAATCTTTCACGGCCCTATTGATTGTTTTAAGAAGATTTACCAGATTGATGGCTTGCGGGGTATCTATAAAGGTTTAGGGCCGACATTGGTCAGGGAGTCAGTTGGATTAGGTATTTATTTTGCCACCTATGAAGCCTTGATAGCCAATGACTTGAAGAAACATCCCGGTTTAACCAGAGCAGAAATCAAGCCTTGGAAATTGTGCATGTATGGTGGTTTAAGTGGATACACTTTGTGGATTTCGATATATCCTGTTGATGTGATCAAGTCCAAGTTGCAGACTGATGCTTTGAAGGGAGCGAAATATAGTTCCTCGTTGTCTGTGGTGAGGGATGTCTTCCGTAAACAAGGAATAAAAGGTTTTTACAAAGGATTCTTACCAACAATACTAAGGGCTGCTCCAGCAAATGGTGCCACGTTTGCCGTATTTGAGATAACAATGAGACTCCTTGGTGGATCGCCGCAGTGAAGATAAAGGTGCTTACTTGATAGACTTTGTACATTTGCTTGAAAAATTGTTGTGTAATTATTAATGCTTTCTAGAACGACATTCTGCTTCAGCCTGGTAGTATTCATTGCCAGAATTGAGAACACCTACACTTTCGCTATTCAGTAACAAAATCTCTTCATTCGCTGTATCGGAATAATCTTCAGGTCGAATGACTTTGATGAATTCAATAAAATCCATCATAAACTCGCTGCTGAACTCGTAGTTGTCTGAACCCAATAACTCGACTTGCTCCCAGTATTCCTGTTCCAATTCATTGGCTAACTTCTCCCCCACGGGAGCGGAATTTTGCAGCTCCAATTCACCACTATGATCTTTTGCAAGTTTCCTCTCCCTCTCTCTTCGGTTGAAGTTCTTGTCAATTCGTAGATGGCAGCCAGGTATGAAATCAATAATATACAAGAAAACCACACTCATGATAAACACATATGCACCGGTGACGACTAATCCTAGCAATTGAATGCCGAATTGTTTCCAGTGACCAGAAACCCAACCACCTTTGGAATCATACAACTTGTCGGCAAAGATTCCTGTCAACAAGGACCCTACGATTCCTGCTACGCCGTGGATTGCAAAAACGTCCAATGCATCATCAATATTAAAATAATATTTTAGTCGCGTAGAAAGATTGCTTAGAGCGGCACCAACTATTCCAAATGTAATAGGTTTCCACAAATCATTGTTGGAGGAGATATAACCTCCACCGGGTGTCACCACAACTAAACCACTCACAATACCAGAGGTGACCGACACCATTGAGAGTTTTCGCTTTGTGATGGGATTTGAGTGATGAGTTTTTGAACCCGTGGAGTTGACGCTCGCGCGATCCAGTGGCAAATCCACCACCCCGTCATCAGTTATAGCCTCCCTTGAAAATATATAGTCTATTGCTGTCCAGACAATAGCAGCAGAACTTGCCCCAAGTATTGTAGTGACCATAATCGCAACCGAATTATAGGAAAATTTGTACTCACAGCCTGCAACAAATCCGACCCATCCACACAGAAGTAGAAGAGTTCCAACGACTATATATCCCGTGTTTGCGTGGCGGTAATTGTAAAGCGCTTTTGGATTTCTTGGTCCTAGGATATAGGAGTATGCCAAGCAGGTAAACCCACATACTATATGTATGCAATTGCCCCCTGCAAAGTCCAACACATCCATCTTGTAGAGCCACCCATTCGAGTTCCAAAACCAGTACGTAACAGGGTTGTATATTATCACTGACCATATAAAAACAAAGACCAACATGGGCAAAACTCTCCCTCTTTCTGCAATACATCCAGGAAATGTGAATGCCCCGCAAATAATCTTGAATAGTAAATTAAACAAAAAGTGGTTCATGACTAGGACTGACCCCCTAGTATTAGTGTATGTCTCTTTGGCTGAGTGTTTGAGTTGACGCAACACAGCGTACTTCAAACTACCTATATACTTGTTGGAAGCAGTCGCATAACATAGCGAATAGCCCCAAATGTACCAGTCTAGGATGATTATAGGCGATATCAATACCGGCACAGACAACATTGTAAATGCCGAACGCCTCTGAGTCAATCCCGAATAGAACAAGGCTATTCCAATGATAACCAACGGTAGCAATCCCGTGCAGAGTAGTAGGTATAATGAGTTAATGCTGACATCGAGGTTAACAGACTCTGCTCCAACAGATGCCATGGTGGTTATCTCAATAAAGGTTCAGTTGCATGTAAATGGGTGGTGGGGAGAGCACTATCTTGAGTCATCATATGCAAGATAAAAACTTTTTTCGTGCTTTTATCTCAATTGAATGCAAAATTATCCGCAAAAATTTACACAGCAAAAATTATACTCATAACATTCACGTTTAGCTACGCTATCTAAGCTAAGTTTCCTCATTTTTACTCAAAATAAGCTTATCGAATGGATTCATTCCGTTCTTAGCAAACATTTGACCACTAGATTGAGGAGGAGCTGTGAGAGGACCATTCGTGGGCATAATTGAAGTTTGTGCGTCTGGTAAATTTACTGTCGATAAATTGGGTGGGCCTGCAATTGGATTTCTCACTGGAACAGGGCCACTAGCAATTGATGGTAGAGCAGGGCCACGTGAAGACGCTGGAGTAAACATTGAAGGAGCTTGCGCGGAGGCACTTTGAGCCTGCTGGTTTGTTCCCGAATCCGACAATAAGGTTTTATAAGATGAAATTTCCAACATGTAGGTAACCTCTTTGGCAGTTTTAGTCAAGCTCGACATCGGAGCACGAACATCCTCTAATATGGGTATATCAACAACAATACTCTTGACTGCGGCCAAAATTTGTACAATTGACTTCAAGAATTGATTTGTGTCCTCAGCGAATTGTTTCTTTGTTGCATGTGATGGATTATTTCGAATTGTAATGAGCTTAGTGTTGAGTCGTTTGGTGATGTCTAAAGACGACCCACACACATTACCAAGGTCTTTAACTTTTGCTGCCACACTCGACAGCACCGACGCAGCGTTTGCACTCGCGCCTCTGTGGACATCTTTATTTAACTCAGTAAAAATTGTTTGTGCATTGGCTATTGCTGACTCAACAGTGGCATACAACTTTTCGTCAACCTCGTTAAAAGAGGAGCCAACATTTGTATTGATTGTGAGTTTGAGTTTCGATTCACCAACTTTAGGCTTTGTTGTTAATAGGATGTATGCATTTCTGAGCTCATTGAAGGACCCAAAGATAGACAAGTATAACATTCGAATAAAGCAAACATCAATCCTGCTAACAAACTTTGTTAAATTCTCTTGTAGTAGGTCCATTATTGATTTGAACGAGGATATACATGTGTGTAAAATCTGGGCAATTTGATCGGCATTGTTTCCATTTTCTTCCATAATTTCTAGATTTTCAACCAACAAGTCAATGTTGGACTTTGTTGTGTATAAAAATGATACCATTTTCATGGTTATTTTTTTGTCCGTGCAGAATCCGGTAAATCTACGGATGGACGAATGTAGTTCACTGAATGAAAACAAAACTTTTCGGGAAACTTTCACGATGTTGGGGTTAGTTCGCCTCTTAAATTGTGGTGGTGGTGGTGGCGGTGGCGCGCGTATCGGTGAGCCATCATCAGTAGCAGGAGTAGTGGTTGGGGTATTGGCCCGTGGAGTTTCCAGTGACAAAGAAGGAGGCACGCGCAGGTTAGGGTCCAAAGTTTGGCGTGAAGTTCTTTGATTACTGGTAGGAGAGTCCATGATATCAGACTCATCCACTGGTTGTTCTTGTAAGGTGGATAATCTTTTGAAATAAGCATTGGACTTGTGTTCCGTATCGACATTTTCATTCTTTTCTAATATCCTGTCTATCTCCTTCATTGTGTTTGACCTCGATCTTGTAGTTGGTGGTTTCAAGTACAGTCCGACATTGGATTTTGGAGTCACTCCAAAATCATTGGATGGCGATGACGATGTTGAGTTGGGTGCAGTTGAGCTGGCATTTCCTATTTGAGGTGGTGGTGGGCTTGAAACGACAAATTTGGTTTCTGCCGCAGAGGCCGAATGCGGTGCACCTTCATGGATAATAGGTCTGGGAAGGGTTGTTAAAGATACTGGTTGCCGCAGCTCCTCTAAGTTTTCCTCCGATCCGTCCTCTTCAAGCTTTTTGATTATGAAACCCATTCGCTTAGAAGCTTTTGATGATTTGGATCTAGGGATATCACTAACACTTTGCGACCTTTGTACACTTGGCGGGGTCATTTGTGGCTCTAAATTATGTTTTGGGTCCATTGTTTGAAATTCCTGAGATGCAGGTGATGGCTCTCTTGATTCCTCAATCTTGGCATTAATAAGTGTTCTATTTGCAAGTAGGTAATTTTTCAATTGAGCCACCCAATCCAATTCAGCAGCCTGTGCTTGAAACGTTCGTATCAAATCAAAAGATGGGATGGATAAGGGGTTGTTGGACACCTCTATTAGATTCAAATGTTGTAGCTCTCCCAAAGATGGTGTGAGGAACTTAATATTGTTATTTTTCACTGACAATACTTTCAAATTCTGCAAGAAGGAGATTGAATCAGGCAAGTACAAAAGTTGGTTTGACGATAGATCTAAAATCTCTAATGCTTTGAATCCGTGTTGAAAGATGCTGCTAGAAATGTGTGTAATGTTGTTATGATACAAATCCAAGTATTTTAAATGTTTCAGTATTTTGCTCAAGTTCGACGGTATATCCAATATTTGATTGTTTTGGAGGGACAACCTTTCAATAACCAATGGGGGATCAAACGACTGTAAATATTCATCGATGAGGTCGACAAGAACGTGCGGTTTTACAGGTGGCGATAGCGAGTTCAATTTTATGGTCCTGGTGTGAGCAATTGAATCATGCTGATCTTTGAGAAGTGACAACACTTGCGACCGACTCATTTGAGGAGGATTATGAGTTGGAATGCGGAGTACTTATTCCTGGGAGGAAAACTATGAGTATGGTGCTTATGTGGGAGTGGCTAAGGAAATTGTGGCCGTCTCAATTACTTGTATTGAGTTTGATCTAGTGAGTATTCAATTTTTTTTTTTGTATCTGAATAGAGATCTGAAGAATGGATATTTACATAGAATAGGTGACAATATGCGAATAGACGTTAACTAAAGCAATGGCCCAAAGTCCGGTGCAACCTTTTCAGGATAAGTGATTACATCTACACAACTCTATCTAATCTAAACAGCAACACCATGGGCCTTTGCGTCGGTTCTTTCCTGCCATACAGTTTTTCCACTGCAACTACAAACCTGTTTGTCATTTTCCCATGCACCAGCAGATCTGGCAATTACCCCCACAAGAGAATCTTTTGTAACCTCATCTTGCAATCTTGATAAAATTATACTTCTTCCAATAATCTCATTGGGTGTTAATTTAGCATACAAGAACGATTGTCCAGCGTATAATTGCTTAGGAGAATCCTCCGTTGTACTTGCACCAAGGGAATTTATAGTTGTACTTGCATTGGAAGGTTCATTGACATAGATTGGATCCAAAGGGTAAAACAACTTTCCAGTTGACAAAGCACCTTCAGACAAGTTTCCTGTGGCTCTTATTGAAGGGTAGTATGTACCTTTTGGTAATCCATTGACTGTGAGGTCAACAAATACATTTTGAGGAGACACTTGAACGATTCTTGCTAACCCTTTTACCGGTTTGAAACGGTCCTTTGGGTCAAATGATTCTAGGATACAAACAGCAGCTGAATTTGGTTTACCAGTACCACGAATGATTGCATCTCTTCCTGTACTTTGAATCGCTTTCACGATTTCACTTGGTGGGAGTGATCCTTCTGTAGTAACTAAATTCGATTTCAAGTTGATGTCAAACTTGTCAATACCTTGCAATGGTTTTAACACGTTGGTAATTGATTCAACACAAGCATTGCATTCCATTGGAACTGCAAAAACAATCTCAAAAGCGCCAGCTGTCATGGTGGATGAAGGTGTTTGAGAGAAAGTGGAGGAATTAGTAATTAGAAAAATTTTGGGGAGCGCAATATTAAGAAAATCATTCCACACTTTGAATGCCACAATACTGAATAAAGTGTACAAAATGTTTTTGATTACGTTCCTATATCTTTAAGCTACTCATTCTACGACGACCAGCATCTAATTTTGTAATATCAGAAGGAACGGTGACCACATCTTCTTTACCATCAAGATTAGTGCACACCCATGTCGATGCATACATGTTGACTCTATCAATGCTTGAGCCGGATTCTCTAATAGCTGCAGCTTCGCATTTGAAACCAAGTGACTCAAAGGTTTTAATGTACCAAGGATGAGTGGCAGCTGATCTCAACATGACTCTTCCCCCTTTGACAAGACATTGTTTGATGGCAGTGATTTCATTGATGACGTCAACACCGTTTGGATCAAACCAGTCTATGTGATCCATTATAATCGCAATGGTGATTGATTTGTTGCTCAACCTTGCAAATACATCATTTAATAAATCAGTGTGCAACCTGATATTATCAATTGGCACTTCCCCAGTGATTGATTTTTGACCAGTCAAACGTTTGTACCCTTTGGTTGTCAAGTAATCTGGGCAATTGGTTCTGGAGTAACGTCCCATCAAACACAAGTAGTAGAAATAATTGTCCTCGGAAATTAAGGACCTTTCAATAATTGGATCCAAGGTGTCAACGACATACTTTATAACTGATGGTCCCATCATTTTAGCTTGGTTGGCAGGAACGCCCAATGCTTTCCAAAGGAAAATAGGATTACCCACCAAGAATGAACCAACAATTCGGTTGAATAAAACCGGTTTGATGTGTTCGTTCCAAATTTGTTTCTGCTCTTCAATTCTTGATGCTTTGCACAATGCAGTAACATGTTGAGAAATGCCACAAACTTTAAAGATAATCCTACCAAATCTAATAGCCCATCTACTTGAACCAGTGTCGTAAAGACCCTTTCCAGTAAAAGCCTTCGGACCTTTTGCCATCCAATATTGAAATGCATTTGAGGACATGTGTGGGGCCAATTTATCAATTAACAAGTCGGTAAAATTATCAATGTGTCCCTCACCAAACATTTGCCAAATCTGGTCTTGAGTGAGTGCTCTAAATGAAGCCAATTTTAATTCTAATAAATGATTTTGACAAGGATTCAAGTCAACAGCGTGAATTCGTTTTGGTGCTGTGGGCAAGGTGGCATAGCTCAAGATGTTATCACCAGCTGAAGTTATAGCCAATACAGTATCATCACTGGTGAAGTTTAATATTTTATGGTCTTCTCTTGGATCTTCCCAAGTGAATGCGTAGATGTACTGGTTTTTGAATTGCTCGTACAAGTGGTTCATTTCGTCGTAGTAAACTCTCCACACCTCTTTTTGGTAGTATAAAGAAGGGAATGGCAAATTCTTTTGCAAGTTGGCAATAGCAGCTTCGTGACCTTTGGAAACTGGCATTGATTCGGAAACTTGCCTAGGGGAACTTGAAGGAGCAAGATATGGTGACTCAGTAGCCAAACAATTCAACCTGGTCAAGATTTGCGAAGACCTTGCCTTGTCGCATCCAATCCAAATATAGTATGGAATTCTACCTAAGGTTTTATTGTATTGATTAACCGACTTGATTGTTCCAAATTTGTACTCCAAATAGTTTCTTCTTGAAGAATCTAAAAACACCTTGTCAGCTTCAAACCAAATCCTCCAAAAATTTCTCAAAATCCAAGGAATGTTTCTGTTTACCAATCCGCCCAAGGTATTGACTCTACCAATGGATGTATCATTACTTTGAATACCGAAATCAACTGTAGCAATAATACCTTGTTTGTCCAACTTGGAAACAGCATTGTCAATGGCAGCATTAAAAGTGGGAATCATGGATAAGGAATACGAAAAAGTTATCAAGTCAGCACTTTTATAGTCAATTGTGAAGTCACAAGCATCGGCAACCAACACATGCACATTAGTCCATTCATGAGCAGCAAATCTATTTCTAGCAACTTCGCATAATGATGGTGAAAGATCAACCAAATACACCGCCTTAAAATTTTTTGAAATGTTGCTAACTTGATTCATAAATTCAATATTGGAGCCAGTGCCGCCACCAATATCGATCCAAACCAAGTCCTTCTTTTTCTGCAAGTGTGAAATAGCCAATCTAAGACATTCTTTTCTTCCCTTTAGCAAAACGGTTCTAGTGGTATCATAAATATGAGCTTGGTTTTTGTAAAACAACTCCAAGTTTTGTTGTTGGTTTTTCACACCAGTCTTGCCAGTCTTTTTTTGAATTAATGGCTTGACAAAGCATGCCCAACAGAAAACCAAGATCGAGTTGATTGTCTTGTTCAATTTGGCAACGAAATAAACAATTCCGCAAAACAATGAAACTGAAGTGAAAACCTTCATTTTGGAGAGGTCGGAAGTAATGAAATCAAAATCAATCATGGTGTAAGTTCAACCTTTTCTTTTGATGTTGAATATAAGAATGAGTGTTGAAACGTGGGTGCAAAAAAAAAAAGAAAAACAAAAGATGTAAATGAAACCTGCGAAAAGCAAGTGTCTCAGATTTCTGATGAATTGAAGGGTATTTATAATCCTAAGAAATCCATCCTTTATCACAGACGTGTCCATCTAATGAATTTATAGCCGGGTTGACCATTAACGTTTATTCCAAATTGAGTTATTATTCGTAAAGTTTGGCCCACGTTGTTTGAAGTTTTCAATACACAAAAACAAGATTTCCCTCGTGGGGTCCAGCAGAAAAACAAAAAATTGAAAACAAAAAGTGTATTGTGCTTTGTATAAAGCCTGGCATTGTCATAAGATAAAAGTGAGCGGGCCTCGTGCTCCCTCGATGTAGACCTACCTACACGTTGTCCATTTTCTTAAACGTTTCAACACAATAGCACATGCATCAACAAGCTTTTCAATTATAGCCAAGAGATATTTTTATAGATCAACCCCTCTTGCAAACGCTCATAGAGCATTCACAAGGTTTGGATGTGGATAAAATTTATGCATGTATTTCCTACTTCCAAATATAGCTATTTTGAATCTTGTAGTCACCAATATAAGCTTTTGACTTATCTATACTTGTCTACTATCTCTGGATCTTCATCCTCCAATCTCCTCAACAAGTAATCAACCTCCACTTTTTTCGTCAATGGAATGATCCATTTCTTATACAACTGAGCAATGACTTCAGGTTTCACTTTGCTTTGAACATTAGTACCATATTTCAAACTTGGATCAACCCCATAGCTTTCTGCTTTGACCACTAATCGTTCTAAAATTTTGGCCTCCACAGCACTATTCGTTATTGACTCCTCAATTCCCTTGACATCCCTTGCGAGAATTAGCTTAATGTACAATGGCTTATCATGGACATATTTTGCCTCGGCAACAAATTTACCGAAATGAATTCTTCTTGATATTGCTTGCAAACACTCGATGTCACATGTCGACGCCGACCCCAAGTTTTCCAATTGATCACCTTCTTTGCAACTGACTTTGGGCACAATATCGTCAACGTAAAATTTCATAATCTCATCATTGACATTGATTTCATCCGAATATGAGGCGAGAATTTTAGGGTAGTTGATGGGTGGTAGTATTGGTGCTTTGATCAAATTGGGGAAAAATGGCGTCTCATCGGGAGCTTCATATCGCCTTATTTGTGAATGAGCAATTTCCATTTGCAATAGTGCCCAATCGAGGAATGTGCCGTCAAAATTGGGGATGATAAACTTGTTTTTCTCATATACCGATGGTGAGCTAAAGAATTGGGATCTTTCGATCAAATCAAACACAATAGTATCCTCCATTCGGACTAGAGATTGACGAATGTTTGCCAAGTCTAGTACAGTTTCTGGCCTCATGAAATCCATGTTGTTATCAGTGGTATCTACATTGATCTTTACAAATGTTTTTTTCCTTTCTCATTTTTTTTTGTTGTCGAGTAAGATTACACCTATTTAATTGTATTCCAAATCTGAACTACTTTGACGTCTTTGGTTCCATTCTTGTTCCTTTCTGTCCCATTTGTTAACTCTGGCTCTTGCGTACTTGTAAAGCAACTCATTGTCGCTAGGCTCTTCGTTTCCAAAATCGTCCTTTTTCAGCTGCATCGTTGTTCTTCGACCTATTAAAAACTTTCGCACATTGTCAGCCTCGGAATAAGAACCATCCCCTTCATAACTTTGATTCAAATCTCTCATTGATTTCAAATTCATCTGGTGTGTCTCTATCAAATACTGGTTTGTTCTTTCAATTGCATTCATTATCTGCAACCCAAACGCTAAAGCGCCAACCGCCAATACGCCAAACAAAATCTTGTACTTGTTTTTTTCCAATTCTTCTCTTGTTGGGGGTGGACGTTGATACTTCATTTGGTAGTAATCGTTCCAAGTTCCTGCCAGCCAAAATGCTTCATCTTTGGTGAAGTCATATCTTGCACGATGGGCATTTGCTCTTCGATACGCTTCGAAACTTTCTTTGGAAAATGGCTCGCTACCGGGCTTGTATGGGCCTTGTTGTTCCCATGACGTGGTCTTGAATCGGTTGTAAGCTACTCTCCTCCTTGCATCTCGTAGAATATCGTACGATTCTTGTATCAAGTCAAATCTTTTCCGTTTTTGCTCATTGGTGAGTGGTTCGCCATACTTGTCTATCAAGTCCAACGATGTATCAGGATGGTATATCTTGACTAGCTTCACATATCTCATTTTCAAGATCTTGTTTAACTCGATACGGGACATCCCAATATCCTTGGACGATAATCCAAATACTTCATACGGTGTGGGGTTTTTGGATGAAGGCCAATCATGTAAATCAAAACGTTTATGGTGATCGATAAAGTCATTTGAAGACGTAGCGTAAGTGCAACGGCATGTACATGGAATGGAAATGAGTCTGAACTTGTGAATGGATAGCATTGCTGTAGACTTTACAAAAGGAACAAGTGAGCCATTTTTTTTCCTTGTCTCCTTATGCTTTTGCGAATACCGGTTTTGCCCTTTCAAAATTGCGCGTCATAGAAGAAGGGGAGAAAATTGGTAGAGAGGTAAAGTTGGTAGCAATTATGCACTGTTATGACTAGCTGAGATGATGTAAATGGATGTTAGTGGCGCACTTTGATTAATTTTGTGGTTGCGAAAAGGCCACCAATGCGATTGCATTTGAACCAGTTGAAGGACAGAGCTATATCTACTGCGGCTGTTGTATATCCTTTTATAGCCTATACCCGTCTGAAAAACGAAATGTCATTTAAGACACAAAAAGCTTTCCTATTGTTATTTCGCAATATAAAATATCAATGGGACAAATTCCAAACCACGGTTTCTCATAGCATCACCCTTTCTTTCCGCCTACGCCTCCTCTCCACAATGTCCTTCGGATCTTGGTTATCCTTCGTTAGCAGTGAGATTGGACTAGATACCCTCGTCCACTCATCATGGGATGTCTACATCATAATTGCTTTGAGGATGATTAGACTCATTGGCTTTGGCTCAACATCATTAATACTCGCCTTGTATTTGAAATCTTTGGGAATCGATGAGTCGTACATTGGACTTTTTATGACACTTACATTTGTTGGAGATTTAACCACATCTTTTGTACTCAGCTTGGTCACTGATCAGATTGGTAGAAAACGCGTGCTTGTATTGTGCTCGATTCTAATGTTGGCTACTGGTGTCGTGTTTACCACGATTGATAATTACTTTTTCCTTCTCGTTACTGCTGTTGTTGGTATATTGACCCCATCAGGTGGAGAAGTTGGACCGTTTAGGACCATAGAACAAAGTAGTATTGCGTCCTTGTGCAATCAGCGGGACAGATCAGATGTATATGCATGGTATACATTTTTGGGCCTGTTTTGTGCTGCATTTGGATCATTTGTTGCTGGTCTGATTGTTGAGTTTACGCGAAGTGAATGGGGGTTTAGTGATTTAAAAAGCTACAAAAGTGTATTTGCATTGTATTGTATTCTTTCATTGATTGGAGTTGTGTTGTCGTTGCTCGTTAGTGGTGATATCGAATCCAAAAAACAACTGGCTGAATCTATACTGGTAGCAGATGAAGAGAGTCCTGGTGAAGGTGCTTCTGAGACAACTCAATTACTTGCAAATGAGGAAGAGCCCAAGCCCAAATCCAGGTTCTTCAACCTTCTCCCATATTTGTCTCCAGACGTTTATTTGATTGTGTTGAAAATTTCACTTTTATTCGGTCTTGACTCATTCGCATCGTCATTGACGCCCTTATCGTGGACATCGTACTACATCAAGAAAAAATTTGGCATCCCTTCTTCATACCTTGGTTCTGTTTTCTTTGTAACTGGGTTTATCAGTGGCTTTACTTCACTAGGATCTACATCAATGACCAAAAGGCTTGGTCCCGTTGTCACCATGGTGGCTACTCATTTACCAGCATCCATCTTGTTAGCTGTATTGCCATTCCCAAACTCATTTTTAGTCACCTTGATAATATTGGTGTTGAGAGCATCGATGCAAACAATGGATGTAGCACCCAAACATGTGTTTTTAGCTGCCACAGTGCCTGATGATGATAGAACTGCTGTATTTGGATTTGTCAATGTTGTCAAGACATTGGCGCAAATTGTGGGTCCTAGTATTGTTGGAATTTTGACAGAAAATGGCTTACAATGGATCACTTTTGTAATTGGAGGTTCCTTAAAAGTTGCCTACGATCTTGGTGTCTTGGTTACCTTCTTGACTTTCAACAAGAATGCAGCGTATTAGATTTAATAGAGCATAGTATTGGCGATACACATTCTGTCTCTGTGTCAAAGATCATTTGTAGAACGCGCATTTTGTGACTAATCACATTTCCTATTTCTTCGGAGTCAAATTTTCAGAATCAATTTCTACAACTTCTCAACACGTCACTCGCTTTTAAATGCAACAACAACAACAACAACAACTACAACAAAAGAACAAACTCTGTATTACGTCGCTGCAGTTTAGATTGTACTTCCCCGATTGGATAACTGTGGGTATTCTACGCACAATACATAATCAATTTGGTAAACAATGGATCCCTTTCCATCGACTATTCCACGTTAATGATCTTAGCATCTCCCATCCGTATTCATCAACACAACGAGTCGGCCGTTTCCAGTTATACTTGTACTCAACATACATTCCTTGCGTTGTCATTGTTATCTTGGCCTTTTGTAAGAGAAGCTCATTACAGTCTAGATCCCACTTAGCTCAAGTATCACTACTCGGGTTGTTATTCAGTGTGTCGTCAGTATCGGTGCTTACTGATATACTCAAATGTTGGATAGGCAACCCTCGGCCCGATTTTCTTGCCCGTTGTGGTCCAGCTTTGAAAACGCCTTTAAATACATTAGTTGGGTTGGATGTATGTACTTCTCCATTGGGCATTAAGCATTTATACGATGGATTAAGATCAACACCACTGGGCCACTCATCAATGGCATTTGCCGGTTTACTATTCTTGTCATTATGGATATTTAAACAATATAAGATACTATCTAGAGTCGAGTATCGTGCTGGGTTGGTTATCGTTGGTTGTTTGCCAGTTCTACTAGCTACGTACATCGCCCTTAGCAGAACACAAGATTATCGCCATCATTTCTTTGATGTAATCTTTGGAAGTTTATTGGGAATTGTGTTTGCATGGTTTACTCATTGGAAATATTTTGGATGCAGCCAAAACAGAGGGTGGTGACATTTGAAAGCAAATGAAAGGCTCTACTTGACATTAGAAGATACCCGTAAAAGTAATAGACTTATAAAAGAGATACTCTATAACTTGTTGAGTTTTTGTTGAGTATAATTTCAATTTTACAAACTTTTTGCATTTTATTTCGTAAATCTTTTTTTTTTTCATTCGTTTTCTTTCTTCTTGTTATCTTTCTTTTGTGATTCCAATAGAATGAATGAAACTATAAACAAAAGACAAAAACACGTGTTTTTGTTTTGTGAACAAAACGAATTATTAACTCCGATACATCAAAAGGAGTGTTTGTAGGTGTTTAAGGAATTTTGTTCTTCCATTACTTGTGCTGACCTAATCGCTTGAAACTTTAACGTGGGACCAATGTGGGAGAGTGATACATGGAATCAAAAAAGCTTCAAAAAGTAAGCTCAAGACTTTTTCGATTTAAGTGTTTATTTTCGGTTAATAAATTTTACCAAAGAGAAAGATAATCTCGGTGTCGTCAGATACTCTAACACGACACTCTCAGGTTTCTCTGAATCTTAATCTCCGTTGACTATTTTAATCCCACCTTATTATTTTAGCGTCTCTTCCACTAAACCTCTCTCAAAAGTAGCAGTTGTGTGTGTTGGTGTGTGTTGGTGTGTATTGGTGTGTGTGCTGCTACATATTGCGTGCATGATACTATAGCATGCAAATCTAAACTTTAACTTTACCCAATGATATCTTGTAACGTAGGGGTTTTTTTTGGTCAATTACTTGCTTTACGACTGATCTACTTAAAGCATTTGGCTTTGAAATTGAAATAATGTCAAATTCGATAGCGTGCCGTAACCCCCAAGTGGACACAATGTTTTGATGCTAGTCAGTATTACTATTGTGGTTACATGGTGTATGTAGTCACAAAAAAAAAGGGCGGGATGAGTGGAAAATCCAAACTCATCAGAGAAATGTATTTTACAATTAATATTAATATTTGTTGTCTTCTCTGTCTCTATATAAAATCTAACCAAACTTTCCCTTTTCTTCAGAGAGAAAACAAAACAAATTGAAAGGTTGATACCGATTATTGGGGAAGTGATTTTTCTTAGAGATTCATCCACAAAGTACTCACAACCAGCCCAGCTACATCAGAGGGCAATATAACTAGCGAAACGTGCCCATCCTTAGCTTTTTTTTTTTCTTCCACCCCCTGATACCAAACGCCAAGCGTTGTTTGATATATTATTTTTCTTCACTATTGAATTTTGATTCCGTATTTTTTTTTTTTTTTTTTTTTTTTTGCTTTCCCGTGTGAATCCGTTTCGATCATCATCATCGACACCTTAAGTCCTAGCAAGCCCTACCATCCTATACATCAAGAATGGAGATCCTATTACAGCTTTTAAAACCGTTTTTGTTCATTTATCAATTCCTTGAACGGGTTTTTTGGTCTGGTCTTAATGAGAAGACTATAATAGGTCTCATTCTCAATTTTTGGGCCAATTTTGGTCCTGTATTCATCTGGTTACTTATATTTAAAAATGCCGGATTGATACCACACTCGATACGTCCTACAATACATGTGGCATTACCGTATCATGTTGACACATTTATGTTTTCATCTTGGCTTGGTGCACTCATTTGCATTCCAAGTTTTATCGCCATTGGCTGGTTAATGTATGTGGGGATTTACAAACAAAAGGGGAAAGCCAGCATTGCATTGTCGCGGTATCTACCTCTTAAGGGAGAAGTTGATAATGAAGAGATTGCATCAGAAGAAGGTGGTTCGTCATTTGATATTGAAATGGAGTCATTGGATGGTGGCGAAGGAGGAGAAAGAGGAGGTGTTGGTTGTGAGGATTTGGAAACAGGCACAGTCACATCAACTATCAAACCGCCACCAGAGACAAATTTCCAAAATGATATGCATATCAACAACTTGACATTTTTCAGACCACTTGATACCAGTGTTGTAAATAATATGGCAATGACTGTTAATGAAAAGATTGTTGAAAAACAACAACAGTATGGCAACAATTGGAAGATTCCACGGAATTGCTGGTATATATCGGCACCTGCATTGCTTGCTACTTGCTGGTTTATCCTCAATATTGATTACTGGTTTAGAGAACCTATACGTACTTGGAAAGATTTACTTGCTTGGGCATCATATGTATTGGGTCACATTACGGTGCCAATTATAACCGCTGTATGGTTGTACGTGTTTCATGCACCAGGCGTATTAAAATCGTATGGATGGGCACTTGGTTTCCAAAACATATGTGGTGTTTTAACTCATTTGTTATTTCCATGTGCACCACCATGGTTTATCCACATGTATGGTGAAAATGCTCCAGCTAATTACGATTTACCGGGATATGCGGCAGGTTTAACGCGAGTTGATGTTGCATTGGGTACCCATTTAAATAGTAAAGGTTTCCATGCATCACCAATAGTGTTTGGTGCTGTACCCAGTCTACATTCAGCTATGGCAGTAATGACTTTTCTATTTGTATCATACTACGCCAGATGGACGGTGGTTAAGCTAATTTCATTTGCATTTGTTGTTTTACAATGGTGGGCAACAATTTATTTGGACCATCATTGGCGATTAGACTTGTTTGTGGGGATGTGTTATGCATTAGTTTGGTTTTCCATAATGTATAAATGGCGGTTGGGAAAAGTTAACGAGGTGTTTTTACAGCTGAGAATGCTGTACAATTTTGCTAAGGGAAGTACAATGGGAATGAGGGTGTTTCGAAATACTAAACTACAATGGTTTTTTGATCCCCTCAGTTGAATAGAATAATAGAGGTAGTACCAGTGTTATCGCGCGTCTCTGTGTAATGAGTTCTTTGAACAATAGAATAGGGGAGAGAGACCAACGATCTCAAGCGATTACGATGATACTTTTTTTCCCCTGATGACTTTGTGAAAAAGAGGCTATGGATGGCTATGTATGTTTTCATGTTTTTTTTTTTTTTGTTTACACTCTTCCATATTTAGAGATATGTAATAACAGTCACAATAATAATAACAATAATAATAATAATAATAATAAGTAAGATACACGAGAAAGAGAGGCTATTTTATTGATTAGTTTTATACGTGTTGAATGCCAAGAGGTAATTTTGACTAACTATGATTTCCTATATTAAGTGCATAAGAGAGAGAACAAAACGTGAGGTGGGTGAGAGATGTAGCTAGAGGTGTTATGATGATCTTTTGGTGCTGCTGCTCCTGTTGTTGACCAATAGTAAATGATGTAATTATGGTGTGGTCATACTTGCATTCACTAAACGGGGAGTTTAGACAAACGGAATAAATGCTGGCTCATATATGCAGGACTTCTTGTTCTCTATTGTTATTTTTTCGAGATTTAATAGTAAAAGTCGTGTGCTAAAGAATAAAAAAAAAAAGTGTTATAATCGCTTTTCGCTTCGTCATCAGGGCGGCATTTTTGTGCACCAGTGAGGGTGGGGGAGAAAGAAAGAAAGATCGTGGCAAACGTTCGCCACTGTCCGGAGTAGTATGTAGTCATCTTTGGTTGGTTTGCAACGGGAGAGTAGGGGATGTTGCAGCAACCAAAAACATCTTGTTTTCTCTTAGTTGAACCCTCGGCAGTAAAGTTGCATTGCGCTTGCATGACTCCAGATTTCTTCATTTTTGGTAGTGTATATTTAAATTTATATATATATATGGTATCACACGAGCAATAGCAAACTTTCGAAGAAGAAGTAGAACAAAAGAAAAAATTATGTATTGAAAACAATAGATGCTGTCACAAAATCCAAATGGTCAGATGACTAGAATGATAAAAAAAAAAGATATCATTTGGAGAAAGGTAGATTGTAGTGTAGATACGTGACCATGACAGTAGCTTCGACTAAACCAAACAACAACCAAAGGTCTGTATAGTCAAAACACGCGTTTATTAAAGTTGTGCTTTTGTTCATCACTATTATTACAGATGGCTGTGCCTTGCTGTGAGAAAGAACAATGAAAAAACAATAAGAAAAAAAAAATAAACTTTTTTTTTTTTTTATTTTTGTATTTTCCATTTCCTTTCAGAAAGATTTTATTGCCGGCTATATCAAATAATATACCCATTTTATCAACAAAAAACTCATTTAAAGAAGAAGAAGAAAAATTTTTACTGTTTTTTTGCAAACCAACCTGGGTGCCATTAGAGAAGCAAAGAGGATCAAGAAACGGAGGATATTCATCACATAGTGTCCACCAGTAAACTTCAACCACAACACCTACAACAAACAAGGCAACCTCCTCGTGAACTAGCCCCATTTTTTTTTTTCAATCTTGCAACCAACTTGGACGACACCTTACACCATGAGGTATAGTTACCACCTACATCATGTCAACCTGCATCAGCTAAACCACTATCTACATCACCAACAACTGCTACCTCAGACACTGAAACTGGCAACATCAACAATAACAACCCCAACCACCATTCCTAAATTTTACAACAAAAAACTTAGGGCTTTGCTCCCATTTCTACTATTGCTCCTTTGCTTATACAAAACTGCCACTGTTTTTTTTAAAACGGAGATCAATCAAGCAGAGCTCGAGGCACACGCATTAGCTTACCACAAAAGCACCGAATTTAACCCCAAAAATATTGCATTAGACTTGTACAATTATGTCATTGAACAACAGCACTCATTAGAATCTAAAGTCGGTGATTCACGAGGCATTTATTTCCACTGGGATGATTGGGTCGACTTATCAGCATCGAATCATTTATTAAACAGAGCAAAACTAGCTTCACCTTCGGGTACTTACTGCGAGCTTTCTTTGGTCAAATTTGGATCAGTCAGTGGTCACAAGTTGGAAAGTTATGAAACAAAAGTACAACGTGGTGCCGTCAATCTTTACTGCTCCCATCCTTTGCCTCAACGTGTCGTGATTGCCACTGACGAATCGTTGATTGAAGTGCCAGTAATTGGTAAAAAAAGATTCGGTAATCATAAAACTGTACCAGTAAAATCAGATCAATTGGTGAACAAAATGAAGCAGTTGCATCAAGCAAGTGCAAATTTCACCAGAAAGCCCATTATTGATTTACAAAAACAAGTTGCTATTGAGCCAGATGATTTTATATTCAAGCCCGATGTGGAAATATTTGGTCTACAGGAGAAGCTCAATAATCAAACCATCACATCGGAGGAAATGAAGTATCTTGAATTTCTTGAATATTCAAATAACCATCTAGTTGACCATACTGATCGGTATTTCAAGTATCCATGGATTTATACTGACATGTTGCAAGGGAAATCACATCATATTGCTTACCCATTCTTCAAGAGGTACATTAGTGATCGTGAACGTCAAAGTGTCATGCACCATATAATACGTGCTTGGTTTCAATTTGCCGAGGTTAACGGATTTGCTAGCTGGATCAACCATGGGTCATTGTTAGGCTGGGCATTTAATGGATTAAACATGCCATGGGATACCGATATTGATGTGCAAATGCCAATTGCTCAGTTAGATAGATTGGCCCGTAATTACAACCGCACATTGGTTATGGAAAACCCACGTTATGGTAATGGTCGTTATTGGTTGGAAGTGGCTCCAACATACATTCGCCAAGGTAATGGTCGCAGCTTTATTGATGCAAGGTTTGTTGATATACAAAGTGGGTTGTACATTGATATATCAGCATTGTCACATACAGAGGTACCACCACCGACTGATAAGAATGGTAAATTGGTTGACAATTTAAGTACCATGTCGGTTCATTGTAAGAACTGGAACTGGCATTCCTTGGATGAATTATTGCCAATAAGACACACTTATTTCGAAGGAGCTTCGGTATACATTCCTAAAAAAGTTAAGGAGCCATTAAAACACAAATATGGTGCCAAAGCACTCACAAACTACCATTTCCACAACCACAACTACCAATCAGATATAAGTCTTTGGGTTAATGATCAAGTATGTGCTAATCCACCATTTAGCAAAACTAAATCACGTTTCAACAAGTACCAACAATTGACTAAAAAAGGAGCATGTAATTCAAAAGTTTTACAAGATGAATACAACATTGTTAAAGAATGTACCCAACGCCATCATGAGCTTAATCAAGATTTGGACCAGCCAAAGTTTTATGATATCGCAACTATGGGGGATTTGCCGATTTTCAGGAAAGATGCATGGGATTATTATTATGAAATTAATCACCATTTGGCTAACAATGATAATTGGTATATACGTAAGGAAATAATAAAACCTGGGGTGTAATGTATATGTAATATAAAGTTTCATTTATAAATTCCAGTCTGTAGTTCACCTCTGCTATGATCGTAAAGAACACAGTGATTAAGTGACGAATATGCCGAAAGAATACCAACCTCATAGCACATAAATGGCAACAAAGAAACCAAGTTGGTACAAAGTCGGTAAACTCGGTATAATATAGCTTAACCAAACAGTGTCCAAGTTGACACCTGAATCCAAAAAGTGAATGTAGCTCCAACTTGGAGGCTCATTTACATTTGCAATGAATGACTCTAGATCTAAAAACTCGTGCTGTTGGGGAAATGACCACATGTCGGTTCATATTATTTTTCCTCAAGATTTTAATTTCGTACTTCACTTCATGCATGTTGAGCCCAAGTTAGATACTTTTGATGACTCCTGTCGATTGGTGGTCCTTCTTATATGAGTGTTTGTCCACCTTCGACGGCAATATACACATTTGGTTGCAGAAGTTGTGAGAAGTCCGCAAAAATGAGTCCAAGATATGGGCGTGTTTTTATTTTCTCGAATTTTTAAACAATTTCGTCACTCGAAGCGTCCTCATGGTGGTGTTGTAGAGAAATGTGCTAAGATTATATTGGAAACTGGTTAAGCATGTTGAGTTCGATTTGCTACCACCTTGCTGAGTACTCAATGACAAACTGTATTGAAAACACGTGGTTCATAGAGTTACGTTTCTCCCTGTTTCGAGAATGGATGTTTCGTTCAAGTAAGAATAGAGTTTTAGTGTTGGTTGTATTCCGCTAAACTACTTGTGATGAGATTGATTACATTCGTTGAGATTAGGATTGGTAGCGCTTGTAATAATAAATTGAGATTGTATGAAAAGATAAGCGCGAATTACATTTAATTTTTCACCAACAACGGTTCCCCACTCCCACCACCACCATCAATGCCAAAAGTATACATTACAGGTGCTTCAGGGTTCATTGCCCAACATATCGTGAAACTCCTTTTGGAATCCGGATACGATGTTGTTGGCACTGTGCGTTCAATAGAAAAGGGAGATAAATTGGCCAAATTGATCAATAATCAAAACTTTCAGTACGTTGTTGTTCCAAACATTGCCGCTCCCGATGCATTCGACGAATCTTTAAAACAGCATAGTGATGTTTCATACATTCTCCACACAGCTAGTCCCTTTACGTACACAACGACTAATCCTGAACAAGACTTGATCATACCTGCAATCGAAGGCACACGTAACATTTTGAATGCGGCTGACAAGAATGCCAAACAAATGACTAAATTCGTCATTACTTCATCAGATGCAGCAATCTACTCAAATGTAGATGAGAGAAATAACAAATTGACTTTTAATGAACAGTCGTGGAATAATATCAAGTACAAAGATGCTACAGTTGATGCAGTGACTGCTTACTATGGTGCCAAATCATTTGCTGAGAAATTGGCATGGGAGTTTATGGAAATGAATACACCCTCGTTTACATTGGTTGCTATCAATCCATCCTACGTATTTGGTCCTCAAGCTTACCATTGTGACCCCAATCATCTCAATGAGTCAAATGTCATGATTGGTGATTTATTACAAAAGCATGGCAATGAAACGTTTGACAACGAAGTGGGTGGCTACATCGATGTTCGTGACGTTGCCAAAGCTCATGTATTTGCCATGACCAATGAGCAGGCAGCTAATCGCCGATTGTTTATGAATAATGGTCATTTCTCACTGCAAATGATGTTGGATATAATCAATGCCAAATGGCCGGAATTGAATTTGATTAAAGGCACACCAGGAAGTGGATCTGAGGATGTCAAAGTATTGGCTCGCGTCGATAACTCATCGACAAAGAAGTTCTTACCGTGGACTTTTCTTGATTTGGAAACGACAGTCGTTGACACTGTGCAACAAATTTTATCCAGCATGTAGGAAAGTGTATATGTTATGAACGATATGCCTTAGAATTGCTTCAAGTCCATGATTAGACTCGTGGTTCGTAGGATGTTGGCCAATCGCTACCCCTAAAAGAGAATCGTGATAATTGCTTTGCTTAGTTGAGCTAAGTAAATGTTGGAGATTTTGTATAGGACGAAGTTGTCAAAAATACACAAGGCATTGACGAAGGTGAAACCTGAGAGTTTTAACCTCGAAACTGCGCTTTTACAAAGTCTCTGAAGAGCTAGCGAATTTTTCGGTCTTATGTCCCTCCCACGTGACTTCCTCGTGGTTCACCCTTGAGGATCAATGGCCCACTTTTTCATCAAAAAAGCAGCATCAGAAGCAGTGGCCCACTGGATGTATCTACAACGTGATATTTCTTTAGTTATTTCAATGTACAGACGAACAAGAGAGTTTTTTTATTTGGCACCAAAACGATACAAAAGTGTAGCAATGAGCGTATCAACTTAACCAATTAGTCGACGTTATTTCGCAGTGGGGAAAATTTGAGCGTGAAAACCTTTTTAGAAGTATTACGCGATGTAGCTTCACCTAACTCTCCTTCTTTCACAGGCCACAAAGAATCCATACTCGTATCTGATGCCCAAATACATCACGAATTTCTTTTTCTCAAGTGTCAACCCCATTGTGTTCAGAAGTATATCAAATTGTGCACTTGTGTGTCTAAACGAAGGACGTTGCATTCGCCTTGTCATTTGAAAACTCTTTGCAGCCAGAGTATATTTAAAGTGTTGCACAAAGAGGCTCTCTTTGTTTCTCTCTCGTTCTAAGACCAACGAAAAAGAAAAATAATAAAATTCTTCTATTAAACTGGTGGTGTCTATGTGCTCATGGAAAACAACAACAACAACCACGAAGAATACGTAAGTGAAGTTTATAGGTGCTAAGAGAGCACTACTATATCCTACCTTGGAGTCACCCGTGGGCCACATCTTGGGAAAACATCGAAACAGCTGGAGCATTATCATATCCAAGATTGTTTCATTTGACGGGCAACACGTGGGGCCCAATTTATTACCCATTTTTTACATTTTGTGCATATATATTATGCATAATCTAAATGAAAACATACACAAAGTGTGATTATCAGGGACCCACGTGGGCTACCTTCAACATACACACACACACACAAATCTCATGAGACAGAGCAGCCTCTGAGAATAACGCAATTAGTTTAGCAGATCCAAAAACAAAGAGATTCAATTTCATGCCGTGTGGTTAAGTTTTTGACGTTATTATTTCGGCAAAGAAATATTTTTCTTGGGGGGAAAACCCATCATCGTCAAGCTTTTCTTCCAACAAGGGGTTTCTTTCATTCGTCTTTTTTCTTGGAAACCAGGTGATTTAGATCCTTCTTTCTTCATTGTTGGTGTTTGGGTATTTGACAGGTTGACAAGAAAAAGTATTGGGTACAAGTAGAGGATGGGGTCACACGATGTTAAGACTTATAGCGTGGTGGGTGGCTCTAAAGCTCCTACCTCCGTAAAATATACAGCAATGAAACACAAGGCAGTGAGAAAGTTTCATTAAAAAAAGTAAAAAGCACCGACCCACGAGCTCTCCTTCTTCGCCCGCCCTTAGACTGAAACGTGTAGGGCCACGATGTATCCCATACGGTTTTTGTGTCTGAATTCTGAAAAAAAAGAAACGTAAAATTGCGAATAGTTAAGAGAGTGTAAGACTGGCGATTCACCTCCTGTTATTGTTTGGCCTTGCCGAGTTAGCCATGGCATCAGGTGCTGCCTTGGTGCACCCCAATAGGCTGCAATTGGCTCTCACATCCGTTTGCTTCCCTCCATCAAAACTCTTCCGTGTCTGAAGAAGCTTTATTGTGAAATAGAAATCAAAAAAAAAAAATTCAAAAATCTACATTGTGTAATAATTAATATAATGCATGAGTTCTACTCACAAAAACCCACATCTCTAGAGCCCATGCAATGGTATAAATTTCAGAAGATTTTTCCCAATCTTTTTCAAAACCATTCTTCCTTCCTCTCTACTCTTCACCCCAGCAATGTCACTGTCATCAGATATCGAACAAGGTCACATTCACACCGCCAAAGTCAGCCAAAGTGGTGGTAAGACCGCTTTCAAGGATTATTTAGGAAAATTTGCCGATGTTGAGGATCCATTGGAAAGAAGAAGATTGGCTTTGGAAGAGATTGACAAAGCCGGATTTGGATGGACTCAAGTGAAAATGATTATGATTGCTGGTGTTGGTTTCATGACCGATTCTTATGATATTTTCGCCATTAACTTGTCGGTTAATTTCTTGCAATGGGTTTACTGGAACGGTACTATCCCAGATTCTACAAACACATTGATCAAGGTTGCTACATCTGTTGGAACTGTTATTGGTCAAGTTGGATTCGGAACAGTTGCCGATATTGTTGGTCGTAAAAAGATTTACGGTTTGGAATTGGCAATTATGATTTTTGCTACCATTGCTCAAGTTGTGCTTGGTGAGTCTCCAGCTATCAACTTTGTTGCCATTTTCTCCAGTTTGAGAATATTGATGGGTATTGGTATTGGAGGTGATTATCCATTGTCATCCATTATTTCGTCTGAGTTCTCCACTACCAAATGGAGAGGTGCCATTATGGCAGCTGTGTTTTCCAACCAAGGTTTAGGTCAAATCTTTGCCGGTGTCGTAGCCATGATTTGCGTTGCCGGTTACAAGAACGACTTGATTGATTACACAAAAGACACTGGATGCCATGGGCCATGTGTTAAAGCATGCGACCAAATGTGGCGTATCGTTATTGGGTTTGGGTGTGTTCCAGGATGCATTGCATTGTACTATCGTTTGACCATTGCCGAGTCACCTAGGTACACCCTTGATATGGACGAGGAAGGAAACTTGAAGAAGCCCGCTAATGCAGAGGTGGAAGATTTGAATGAAGTCCAAATTGAAGTCCCAAAAGCTTCTTTTAAAGATTTCGTCAGACATTTCGGCCAATGGAAATATGGTAAAATATTGCTTGGTACTGCAGGTAGTTGGTTCATGTTGGATGTCGCTTACTATGGTCTCGGTTTAAACACAACAACAATCCTTCAGGCCATTGGATACGCCGGTGACAATAACATATACTGGAACTTTTACAACTCCGCGGCCGGTAACCTTATTTTAGTTTGTGCCGGTTCGCTTCCAGGATATTGGTTTGCCGCAGCTACCATCGACACAGTTGGTAGAAAACCACTTCAAATAATTGGTTTCATTATCTTGACAATCATTCTTTGTATCATGGGTTTCGGTTACCACAAGATTGGAGAAAAAGGATTATTAGCTTGCTTCGTTTTAGCTCAGTTTTTTGAAAACTTTGGTCCAAACACTACTACTTTCGTTGTTCCTGGTGAGTCGTTCCCAACCAGGTACAGGAGTACAGCCCACGGTCTCTCTGCCGCTAGTGGTAAAGTTGGTGCTATCATTGCCCAAACATGTATCGGAACCCTTCAAAATCACAATTGTGCAAGAGATGGTAAAAAGAAGGGTTGTTGGTTGAATCATGTGCTTGAAATATTTGCCCTTTTCATGTTGTTGGGAGTTTTCACAAGTTTGTTGATTCCTGAAACCAAGAGAAAGACATTGGAAGAGATTTGTGAGAAATACCACGATGAAGTTGACCTCACTACGGTTGCCAGAGATAGGTTTGTAAAAGAAGAACCACAAGAATATGACTCGGATTTGAAACAATAATTTCCATTCTTTATAATTTTTTATAGTTCTTAGTTGATACGATTGAGTTTAATAGATGTTTTCAGTTCTTTTGAATGAGCGAGTGAGTTTTGTGAAGCGGAGTGGACTTTGTTGGTGGAGGAAAGTTGATGCAAAAAAAAAAAATCAGCCTTTGTACACTATGAGGTCATTGGAAACACACGATGTTAATTTCACATCTTTTTATGTGACACGGACAGTTCAGTCATTGTGTCATGATGCCAAAAATTACGTTGAGAGTTTCATTTTTGACACTACCGAAGAATTACGATTGTTTGCTTATCAGATCATTTGGAATATGTTGGCAAGTAGTTACAAAGATGATGATTCTACCGAGCTCGATGATTTAAAACTCAAGATGGAGTTGACAGCCTATGGTGAGACATGGCAAGGCACAACAGAAGTTGAAACTTGGAAATGGCACTTTGCCATTTCCAAAGTCGGTGATGATTGTAGACACATGCGTTGGCAATTCAATCGATTTCCATATTTAAAACCTTTTGACATGGTGCTGGTTTGAGTCTTTACTTTCAACCATACAGAGTTACCGCTGCTGCCCCTGGATGTGATGTAATTGTTGTGTTGCCCAAATCTAATTTCAAAGATATGTTGAGAAGAGAGGCTGTTAATGGATTATTTTGTCTTATAGTAAAGTGATTTTGCACTAATCATATACAGGACAGTGTAAATGAATACATCCAAATTAGTGATTTCTACAATTCAACTGCTTTATCCCAAATGAACGTATTGGTGAGTACTTAATGGAATAGTACAACGATCATTTCAATCCAATGTAGTTTGAACACCTTTCTCAAATGAGTGAATCCAGTGGATTGCACAATATTTTCTAATTGCTTGCATTCAATGCTTGCATTCAATACTTTCATCCACTAATTGGAAGATCAGACTTAATTCCAGGTCATTCTCCTTAATAACTCATGTACTCTCGTTTTTTCCCTTTATACCCTGTTTCTTTCAAAACTTAAACTTTTCTCTTTCGTATATATTTTTTCATTACATCCTCAATTAGATTCCATTCGTGAACTATTACATATAAACCATAAATATAAGATTAACCGAATACCGCCCTAAAGAGAATTGGGTAAGGAACTTAAGTTTTATTACGTAAAGACACAAATTTGACCCTTCAGGTGAATGTGTGTTTACTATACGACATATTTGAGTAATACCTTAGCAAACTTTTACCACTTCTCCTTTCTTTTTTCTTTTTTATTTTTTTTCGCAGCCAAATTTTGTCGTGGTGCTTTAGGAAAGCGCAAACAGAATAAGATTCAAGCTCAGTCTCGTATTCAACTTCTCAGTTGATGTAAAAAAGTGTTTTTACAAAACTACTTTTCAACTCTTTTCACGTCATAGCCTATCGTGGTATTGATTGTAGATTTTCTAGAACTTGCAATCAAACCAATGTACGGCAATACCAATCAACATCAAGTTATTACCCTTGCTCCGCTACAATCTGAAATATATCTCCTTGTCAAGGCCAGATTGTACCACTATATTTATGTCTATGAGAAACAAGGCGATTTTGATCTCCAGTGCAAAATCCATTTCAATAGCGGTGTCACATGTACACTTCCCTGTTTCACGTTTTTGAAATACATGAACAACTACGGCACCAACAGCACAACTATTATTTCCATACAATCTCTCGAGACGTACTTGGAGAAGATGGATTTCAATGAAGCTATAAAATTTTTGATATTTTTTCATGATCCAGACTACGAATTTTTTGGTAAAGTCAATGACCACTTCACAACTATAAAGTAGATTATTGTATTAGAGCGGGACTGGAATTGCTCTCTCTCGACTATGTGAAAAATAGTTTTCCTTTTCAAGTATAAGGTTGTAAGGCCATGGAATTTTGATGCTATGTCCATTAAAACCGTTTTGTTAGACACGACGCTCATATAGGGGACACTGTAATATACACAAGTGACTCGTACGGAGCACAACGCCTTTCATACGTGGCTACTTTATGTCCTCGTCTTTCCCATTTAATGATAAGAAAGGAACCGGACGTTTTGAAGCACGTCTCGAAATTGTTAGGTCGCATTGCACTTATATGCCTGGTTCTCAAACTGAGTTTAAGATTCCACAAAAGCTCAATACTATCTTACTTCGAGAGCTATATATCACTCTACGTGGTGCGATGGGTTACATTTTTGCTGATTACCAACTAAGTAATGACTTTCCAAACCTAATTTTGCTTGGAATGACTTCTTGTTCAAAAAACAACCCCGTGGAGACATGTCGTAATAATACTGACTCAAAACATCGAGAATTAAAGTTTTTAACAATTCGAGCAGCTTCGGTGAGTGATTCAGTGGCAAGAAAGGTTTGCGAGCTTGCGTTGCAGTTTCCAAAAGCGAGTATCAACTGGTGGGGTTCTTGTTCTGGTAAATATAAACAGGTATTCTTCGTTGAACAACAATACAAATTCAGCCCCATAATGCCACTTGCCTCCATAGCATTGCAATGAACCCATAGGTCTATGTACCTAACAGAATTAATTCAAACGAGGTACATAGTGGAAGAAGAAGGGCATGAAATTGATGTTGAACTCGAACGGCAATACACAGATAGTAAGTTAATGCTGTTAGCATCACTGTTCGGTGGTAAAAATTGCCTGTATTGCTACTAGAGTCGAAAAGGGAAGTAAGAGGCTATTGAGACCATACAGAAACGACGTTGGGTATCTTAATGACACGCAGAACTTTTTTTTTGCATCAACTTTCCTCCACCAACAAAGTCCACTCCGCTTCACAAAACTCACTCGCTCATTCAAAAGAACTGAAAACATCTATTAAACTCAATCGTATCAACTAAGAACTATAAAAAATTATAAAGAATGGAAATTATTGTTTCAAATCCGAGTCATATTCTTGTGGTTCTTCTTTTACAAACCTATCTCTGGCAACCGTAGTGAGGTCAACTTCATCGTGGTATTTCTCACAAATCTCTTCCAATGTCTTTCTCTTGGTTTCAGGAATCAACAAACTTGTGAAAACTCCCAACAACATGAAAAGGGCAAATATTTCAAGCACATGATTCAACCAACAACCCTTCTTTTTACCATCTCTTGCACAATTGTGATTTTGAAGGGTTCCGATACATGTTTGGGCAATGATAGCACCAACTTTACCACTAGCGGCAGAGAGACCGTGGGCTGTACTCCTGTACCTGGTTGGGAACGACTCACCAGGAACAACGAAAGTAGTAGTGTTTGGACCAAAGTTTTCAAAAAACTGAGCTAAAACGAAGCAAGCTAATAATCCTTTTTCTCCAATCTTGTGGTAACCGAAACCCATGATACAAAGAATGATTGTCAAGATAATGAAACCAATTATTTGAAGTGGTTTTCTACCAACTGTGTCGATGGTAGCTGCGGCAAACCAATATCCTGGAAGCGAACCGGCACAAACTAAAATAAGGTTACCGGCCGCGGAGTTGTAAAAGTTCCAGTATATGTTATTGTCACCGGCGTATCCAATGGCCTGAAGGATTGTTGTTGTGTTTAAACCGAGACCATAGTAAGCGACATCCAACATGAACCAACTACCTGCAGTACCAAGCAATATTTTACCATATTTCCATTGGCCGAAATGTCTGACGAAATCTTTAAAAGAAGCTTTTGGGACTTCAATTTGGACTTCATTCAAATCTTCCACCTCTGCATTAGCGGGCTTCTTCAAGTTTCCTTCCTCGTCCATATCAAGGGTGTACCTAGGTGACTCGGCAATGGTCAAACGATAGTACAATGCAATGCATCCTGGAACACACCCAAACCCAATAACGATACGCCACATTTGGTCGCATGCTTTAACACATGGCCCATGGCATCCAGTGTCTTTTGTGTAATCAATCAAGTCGTTCTTGTAACCGGCAACGCAAATCATGGCTACGACACCGGCAAAGATTTGACCTAAACCTTGGTTGGAAAACACAGCTGCCATAATGGCACCTCTCCATTTGGTAGTGGAGAACTCAGACGAAATAATGGATGACAATGGATAATCACCTCCAATACCAATACCCATCAATATTCTCAAACTGGAGAAAATGGCAACAAAGTTGATAGCTGGAGACTCACCAAGCACAACTTGAGCAATGGTAGCAAAAATCATAATTGCCAATTCCAAACCGTAAATCTTTTTACGACCAACAATATCGGCAACTGTTCCGAATCCAACTTGACCAATAACAGTTCCAACAGATGTAGCAACCTTGATCAATGTGTTTGTAGAATCTGGGATAGTACCGTTCCAGTAAACCCATTGCAAGAAATTAACCGACAAGTTAATGGCGAAAATATCATAAGAATCGGTCATGAAACCAACACCAGCAATCATAATCATTTTCACTTGAGTCCATCCAAATCCGGCTTTGTCAATCTCTTCCAAAGCCAATCTTCTTCTTTCCAATGGATCCTCAACATCGGCAAATTTTCCTAAATAATCCTTGAAAGCGGTCTTACCACCACTTTGGCTGACTTTGGCGGTGTGAATGTGACCTTGTTCGATATCTGATGACAGTGACATTGCTGGGGTGAAGAGTAGAGAGGAAGGAAGAATGGTTTTGAAAAAGATTGGGAAAAATCTTCTGAAATTTATACCATTGCATGGGCTCTAGAGATGTGGGTTTTTGTGAGTAGAACTCATGCATTATATTAATTATTACACAATGTAAGTCGATTTTAATTCTATTTTTTAACCAACGGGAAACGTGATATTTTGAAGGTGGCATCAAGAGATGTGAGAGCAAGGCTTGGGGTCAGTTTGAATCCGCCTGGTGGCACCTGGTGACACCTGCTACTGATTTTGACGAAGTTGAACCAACAAGACTGGTCGTGGGTTCGATGGTTGCCCTACATCTTCTCACTCTTTTCAATTTTACGTTTCTTTTCCAAATGAGTAGGAACACAAAACTGTACAGAACACACATCGTGGCCCTTCACGTTTCACTCCCAAAAGCGGGCGGGGGAAGAGATGGCTCGTGGGTCGATATTCTTCTTTACTCTATACTATTCCCTTTTTACCTTTTCTTTTTTACTTTAACTTTTTCACTGATCTGTGCTTCATTCCGGTTTCTTCCCCGGCGGTAGAAGTTTTAGAACCACCACCACCGCCATCACCACGCTTACAATTCTTAGCATCGTGTGACCCAATCTCTACTGCATCCATTTTTTTCTTGTCAACCTGTCAAATTACCCAAACTCCGACAAAGGATTTGAATCACCTGGTTTCCAAGAAAAACAGACGAACAAACATCTCTCCCCTTGGAAGAAAAGCTTGTCGATAATAGTTTTATTTGCCTAAGAAAAATACTGTTTGCTGAAATAATAACGTCAAAAACTTTACCATGCGGCATAAAAATTAAATCTCTTTTGGTTTGGTCTCTGCTCTCAATTGCGTTCTAATGCTATGTCGCGTGGGATGGAAGTCATGGGCAGCCCACGTGGGTAACTTTTTAAGTTTGTGTACAATTCAATTTTAGATTACGCATACGATATGCACAAGCTGCTAAAATCCACATAAATTGGGGCCCACGTGTGTCCCTTCAGAAAAAAAAAACTACACAAAAAATGAATACAATCTAACGAAAATTGACCTAGCGATTCAGATGCTTTTGCAAGAGCTGATCCTTTAGGGTCATTAGGACAAAATAATGTGGTGCACTCCTAGCTCCCATGAACTTGGCTCGTGTAACATCCGTAATTGTTGTCCTTCCATTGGCCCAGTACACTAGTGAAAGTCGTAAACCTTATTCTTTTTTTTTTTTTTAATTTGGTCTCGAAAAAGAAACAAGAGTTGTTGCTCTTTGTGCAACACCTTGATTAACCATTGGCTGCAAAGAGTTTTCAACCACAAGCGAATGCAATGTCTCTCGTATACACCAACTCACGATTTTGGTTTATTATTATACACAATGGGTCGAATCATGAAAAAAGAAAGTTATACCGTATTTGGGTATCAGATACGAGTGAGCTTTTTGTGGCTTGTGAAATGGAGTAGAGTGAGCTACGTCACTGAATACTTCTTTAGTCACCCTCTTTCTCAAACGTGTTTCTTTTCTCTTCGGTATCACGTTGTGTAGTTACATTGGCGACATTTTGTTTAATTTGATGCCAAAAAAAAGGATACTCATCAAAGCACTCTCTGTTTTCAATGTTGATCTTGCTAAGAAAGCATCACATCCCCAATGCTTTGTTTCGCTGTTTGTTTCTGCTTCCGCTCTTATACACTAAATTAGTGGACCATTTTTATGTCAGTCTAAAGCATATCTCATTGGATCCAGTCACGTGCACGGAGGTACAAAATTCGCGTCTTCAAACAAAAACAACCAAATTATTTTCAAATGGTCCAACAGTCATCACGTACCCCCGTGCCGCCCGAACAACCACATCATTTCCATTATCTATTATGTCGGATATCATACAAGGGGATTAACCTTATAGTGAAACAGCCACTTCCACGGTCATTCCACCCGCATCACCGACAGAAGGTACCCCCAAAAAACACAGGATTCTGTAAAGAATCAACGGGTTGATATAATAGTAACAGATGGCAATGGTTGTGATTGTGCCTTCAGGATACAAAAATCCTTGACATTGTCGAAGATTTTTCGATGGCATTGTGACTATAAACATGTGCATTAGTAACTCGGTACGATTTTTATTAAACGGTATGAGAGTTGAGGGAACTGATACACCCGACAAGTTCGATTTAGAGGAAGGGGATAGGATTGAGACGCATAGTGCTTAAGGGGGAGGAGGGGTAGCTTTAGTGAGAGAAGGCTCCTGCGGGAGGGTTTATAAAGGTGTGAAGGTTTTAAAGTTTGTCGAGAAAAATTTCAGGATCGTAGAAAATTGCCACTCCGCTCCCACCTCCACCCCCACACACAAACACATACTTGCCAGCGATGTTCTCTCAAAGCGGCACAAACACACCAGTTCCACAATCTAGAAATGTTCCAGTTCCTATACACGATACAATTGGCGACTCCATAACTTGGGTCAACGAGCGGTTCTCATTTGACCAGGATGGTACCAACTCATTGCAATTGAAGGGATGGGTCAAGACTAATCAGAGTCATAAAAATACATTGCCAAAGTCTTACCTCAATTTGAGTGAGACAAAGTGGCAGTATATGAAGGAATCTTCTATCGATTGAGTAATGGCATTACATGAAGGAATCTACTTTAGATTGAGTGATGACATTACATCTTTATCTTTACAAAAGTTAATGCTTCTCTCGCTTTCGCAGTTTCAGCAACCAATTGATCCGATTTGTCAATGTCCCAAAGTTCCTCCTTGGGTAACTGAGATACCAGCCCTCCTTCTCGTTCCAACCTTTGGAAATTGCCACGTATTTTTCGCAACTGTTGCATTGTCGTGGGATCAGACAGCTGTGAAACAAGAATAAATAGCGTATGTTGTGGCAAGGATTGATAAATGGATTCGAGACGTGAATTTGTCCTCTTTTGTGCTTCTTTTAAATCGAAGTCCAATTTCCCATCGTAATTGGTCGGGGTCTCCCATTTGCGACTGTATTGTAAATCTTTTAGCTCTATTATGCTGAAGTTAGCACAATGTGATTGCACAGCTTTCACCACCTCGTCGTCATTAGTGACTGTCACGGGGGCTCTTGGGGAATACGCAACAAGCAATGACTCAACCTCCCCGAGCCTTTCAAAAATGGACATTTCACCCACATTTGTCCCAAAACGCCTCCCCTCTTGTATCTTCAACTTTACCAAATCTAAACAAGCTTTAGCATCTTCAATCGACGAATGACCCTCGCCATTATCCTCCCCCGCTTGTATATCCCTACCAAGAAACGTTTTCGTTAACCATCTCAATGAGGGTTTTGATGGAGGGCCCCGAGCATGCTCGTAGGTGATTGCAGTGTCGACTATGTTTCGATGAACAATTCTCATAACTCGTAAATCAGACTCCAAAGAATGACCAACGAGAATATCTTCTTCGAAAACGGTGTCCAAAAACAACTGTTGGATTTGTTCAATTGAGGTATCGACATCTTGTAGCAATTCTTTTGTTATGCCAGAATATCGAGTAACGTAATCAGTAATTTCCTCCACAGGTTTCACTAATTCATCAAACACTACATTGCCATCAAAATCAATCAACGAGATTCGTGTCAACACTTGCACATCTGCAGCTTTGCAAAACTCACAATCCAAGGCAAAGATTCGCGATTGTCCCATTGGCAGTGGTTTTGTCATCGAGCCCTCGATAGGGTACTCCGATTGTTGCAATTGGATTTCACTAAGTAACAAGTCTCGGATGGTAATCTTTTCTTGTTTCAGTTTCTCCAAAATCGCTTTCTTTTCGTTTTTGCTTAGTGGGAGGGAGCAGATTGTACTCATTGGGTCATATAGGTAATCTTTACTACCAGGCAAAATTGATTTGATGACGGTAAAGCCTTTCACGAATGGCAACTCCTGATCAACACCATGTGCAAAGCAGACGCAAACATCCTTTACCTTATCCGCATGCTCCATTTTAAACCACTTTTGAGTCTGTCCAGTATAAACATGCAAGATCAATGACCGAATGTTTTTCACGGGAAGCTTTTCGTCTTTTAAATCGATGACTAGTGTAGGAGTTGCATTTTTCTTCTTCAATTTCCTTTTATGTACCTTTTTCTCTGTGGAGGACCTTCTTCGTTTATGCTGTGGGGTGATGTCAACAAGGGTCTCTTCTATTACGGTTTCCTCCGGTTGACTTATTTCCAAAGTGGGCGACAATCGCTGCATTGGATTGGATCTAGTGCCGGATGTGCGATGTTAAAGGCTAACATTTTTTTTTCTACAGAGTGATTTTATTCAAACACCTCTTTTACAAACTCATGCAAAGTCTGGGGCACCTTGGCTCCTGGCTCCACACCCGGACTTGTATATAGCTCTAAATATTCATCCAACAGGTTCTCATCAAGCTGCTGTAGTGTTTCCTCGCTACGTATTACCCCAGTCAATTCGTCTTCTGGTAGTGCAACTGATTTACCATGGAGGACAATCTTGCCCCAACTATCCCACGACTTTGGTATGGACAACACAATATCATCAGTCTCCTCGTAGGTAGGCTTAATGGGAATATCGAGATCCACAAGCGTTCTCACATCAGACAGATCAAACTCTTTAGCAATCAAATCGCAATTGTATTTTTGACATAAATATCGTATTAGCTGTAATGTTATTGTTGATTTAGCGGTAATCTCTTTGACAGAGTTGGGGTCTATCAATACGATAACGTGACAGTCCAACACGTTTAGTAGCTGGGACATTTCCCTGAATGTGTTGAATTGAAGAATCACTGTTGTGGGTTCCAAACTCTTTATAAAAGACTTGTACTCAAACGGACATCTCAAAATGTATATTCTTACATCATCATCTTCATCGTAGTTCACGCTAGGATATTTCCCCCTGAGCGACGCTAATACCACTTTCTTTGTCCTTGGCTTATACACGAATCGTTCAATACCCATGTTTGACAATCAAACCCTAAACAAATTAAAAAACAAAAAACAGAACGCAAAAAAAAAAAGCGAGTCAACCAACTACACTAAAGCTTCATCATGAATGGGAACACCAACATACCAGATGATCAACTCATCGAGGAGATCTTTCAAGAGAAGCAAACCATTCACGCAGATGACGCAATCGATTATGAGGATATAGATGAGTTGGCTGATTTGGAGGAAGAGCCAGCCAAATACAATCATGATGATGATGAGTTTAATCAGAAGGAATCCAGAGCCGATTCTGAGGAAGCACATCAGCTTGCTGAGGACCAGTTTGACACAATGTTTGGCGACGATCTTGACAACCTTGAACACCCTGCAGAGCCGGATGACTTTGGAGGTATATTCGACGACCAGGAAGTAAATGAGAAACGCAGAATCGAGATACGACAGAAGGTGTTTGCAAGAATAGTAAAGCTAGAGCAACAAAGAGTGAGGCGAAACATTAGACACTACTTTCCATTCTATTCCAAAGACAAGCCATTGGATTTCTTCAAATTTTTCCTTCCACGGCCTATGTTTTACAAATACAAGAGGCCATATATAACCTGTGAAAAGGTCATGAAGCACCTAACGCCAAAAGTGAGCTTGGACCAAAATAAGCTCCCCAAAAATGTGACAGAAATTACTCAGCGCGATTTGGAATTTATCGAAAACTTGCAAGCTAAGAGTGCCTCGTTAGACTCCTTTGTCAAAGAGCTTGATTATACCAAGCGTGACTGGCTCAATGGTGACAAATTCAAAGACTACTCTAAAGACTTGATATTGTCAACGGCAGATTGGGATGATGATGCGATAATCAATGGCGAATCCACTGTGAAGCCACTCAAGGAGTGGGATCTCAATCTGGACGACGAATTTGATGTCTTTGATGGACAGATTGATCTTGAAAAGTTGAAACTTGATATGAACGACCCCAATTTATTGCTTGTTCCGATTCAAGCCAAACAAAGGTCTATAACTCTAGACAAATTCAATTTGTCGAATGATAACGAGTATGAACTTTTGCGAAGAAACTACAATACTAAACAGAGATCACACTTGAGCAACTTAACCATTGAGCATTCCATTCCAGCAATGAGGTTACAAACACCATACTATAAAGTTAGGCTCTCCAAAGCGGAAGCCAGAGCATTCCATCGTCCAGTTTTTCATGTTCGCCCAGGTACTTTGATGAGCTTTTCCAAGTTAAAATTGCGTAAAAAGAAAAAAGACAAGGGTAAATCATTGCATGAGATGTTTGTGAAGACAACTGACTTGACTGTTGCTGACACGGCAAACATAATCACAATGGAGTATACAGAGCAGTATCCTCCCATCGTGTCCAATTTTGGTATGGGGTCCAAGTTGATTAATTATTATCGCAAACGGAGCCCAGATGATACCTCGCGCCCTAAAGCTCAATTCGGAGAAACTCATGTCTTAGGAGTTGAAGACAGGTCACCGTTCTGGAACTTTGGAGAAGTATATCCTGGCGAATTTGTTCCCACGTTGTACAACAATATGATAAGGGCGCCCATTTTTAAACATGAACCTAGGAATACTGATTTTCTATTGATTCGTTCACAGGGGGCCGGGTCGCACCAAAAATACTATCTACGCTCAATGAATGTAAATTTTGCCGTGGGAAATATCTTTCCAGTGGAGATCCCCGCTCCTCATTCCCGTAAAGTCACCAATATATCCAAGAATAGGTTGAAAATGATTGTTTACCGGGTGATGAATTCCAAAAATGCTCCTCGCATTTCGGTAAAAGATGTTTCAAAACACTTTCCTGAGCAAACTGATATGCAAAATAGGCAACGATTGAAGGAGTTTATGGAGTATCAAAGACAAGGTGATGACCAAGGCTTTTGGAAAGTTAGAGGCATGAATGATGTAATTCCTTCAGAGGAGGAAATACGGAGTATGATCACCCCAGAAGACTCTTCTTTAATGGATGCGATGCAATTCGGTCAGCAAGCATTGGAGGATATGGCGATGTTATTTGGTGATGAATCAAAACTAATGAGTAATCGCAAGAGAAAGGAAACCGAGAAAAAAGACGAGGCTAATGAAGACGCCACGGAGACAGAAGAGTCAAGGAGAGAGAAGGAGAGGAAACGGAATAAAGAGCAGGATGACATTGAAGCAGAGGAAGAAATGGCACCTTGGAACTTGTCTAGGAATTTCGTTGTTGCAAATCAGACTAAAGCTATGTTACAGCTAAACGGTGAAGGAGACCCATCAGGTATTGGTTTAGGGTACTCCATGTTGCGCGCTACGCAAAAGAACCCATTCAAGCCGTTATTCCCACCACCACCAGAGGCTGTACCCAAAAGCAATGCTGCTGCTTATAACCAAAAATTATATGAACAGGAGATAAAAAGAATTTGGTATTCCCAACGAACCTCATTGGTGGAATCGTATGAGCAGATATACAACGAATACAAACCTTCTGACCATGAGCAATATTTTATAGACAAGTTGAAACAAGACAAGAAAGAGCAAGATCAACCCAATGACGATAAAGTTTTACGCATTACCAGAAGAGTTCGAGACCACAACGGTGTCGTACAAAGAAAAGTTGAAACTATTACTGACCCGCGTTTGATTCGTGCCTACATTAAACGTAAAAAATTACTTGAAGATGAGTTGCTTAGGAATGCCGACGTTGACGAAATTTTGCCTACAAACGATGCCGAATTGAACAAACTTCGCCGAAAAGCATTGGAGGAAAAGCTTGCCAATTTGGAAAAACGAGCCAAACAAAGTAGGGCTAAGAAGCCACCCAATGACGCCATTCATGCTGCTGCTGCTGCTGGTGCCACCATCATCGATGCAAACACGGTCATGTTGCCCGATGGCTCTTATGTCATCGGTGGAAAGGGGATTGGTAAAGGAAACTCCACCACTAGGAGGTGCAAGAGTTGTGGCTCTTTTGGTCATATCAGGACAAACAAGACCTGCCCGTTGTATGACCAAATGATTGCTGGAACTTTACCCAAAAAAAATATTTAGAAGTACTTGGTATTTTATTTTTACACAAAATCCCCTTCGTAATTAAAACAATAAACCAATTTATACACAAAAAACGCCGTATATAAAGAGCCACAGTTTCGTAAAAATTTTCTGAAATGAATTCACCTTTTGCCCAAGGTGGTGTTCAAGATCGATGGGGTACTCAGATATCGAAAAGCAAGCTGCTGTAAGCAAGGAGGTCAATGCGGGGACATCGCAATCATCCTCAAGATCACTAGATTTTAGCTCTTCAGCCAGCGATGACCGAAACTCACATTGGCAAAGATTTATCGACTCATTTAAACCTATAGACTTGGAAGAAGATGGAATTGATACCACCAATTTATCCCCTATGGAAAAGTCTATCCTAGCATCGGCAAAGCATCCCTTGGCTAGACGATTAAAATCGAGGCATTTACAAATGATTGCCATTGGTGGTAGTATCGGAACGGGGTTGTTTGTTGGTAGTGGATACGCTTTGGCCAATGGTGGTCCTGGGGCTGTATTAATAGGGTATGTCATAGTGGGTTATGCCCTTTTAACAGTAGTCAATGCCCTTGGTGAGCTATCTGTGCAATTCCCAGTTAGTGGATCTTTCAATGCATTCTTTACTAGGTTTGTTGACCCATCATGGGGATTCTGCTTGGCGTTGATGTATTATGTGAGTTGGGCAATTTCGTACCCGTCAGAAATTATCGCAGCAGCAATGACAATTCAATTTTGGAATACCTCAATTAGTCCCGCCGTGTGGGTCGCAATCATATGGGTTGTCATTTCCTCAATCAATTTATTTGGTGTTAAAGGATATGGTGAAGTTGAGTTTGTCTTGTCAATTATCAAAGTTTTGGCAGTAATTGGCTTTCTTATATTGGGAATCTGTATCACCTGTGGTGTCGGTGATCAAGGATACATTGGTGGGAAATATTGGCACAATCCTGGTGCATTCAACCACGGATTCAAAGGAGTTTGCTCTGTTTTCATCAGTGCTGCGTTTTCATTTGGTGGTATTGAGTTGGTGGCTTTAGCTGCTGCAGAAACCGAAAATCCACGCAAGGCACTCCCCAAAGCAACAAAGCAAGTATTTTGGCGGGTAACCATTTTTTACTTGTTGACTTCAATTGTAATTGGCTGTTTAGTTCCATATACAAACACAGATTTATTAGATGGGGAAGGTATAGCTGCATCGCCATTTGTTATTGCTATAAATCAAGGCGGAATCAAAGTTGTGCCACACATCATGAATGCAGTGATAATTGTTGCTGTGATCTCAGTGGGGAACTCCTCCGTGTATGGAGCTTCACGTACAATGGCATCTTTAGCAGCACAAGGATTAATACCGGAAGTGTTTGGGTACATAGATCGACAAGGAAGACCATTAGTTGCTATTGGTATCACCACCCTCATTGGCCTATTAGGATTCCTCGTGGTGAATGAAAACGAAGGAGCTGTGTTTACCTGGTTCTTTTCAGTTTGTTCTTTGGCATCTTTCTTCATATGGGGGTTTATCAACTTGACCCACTTGAGATGGAGATGGGCGTTATACGCCCAAGGAAGATCCAAAGATGAAATTATCTTTAGATCCCCATTGGGCACATTTGGATCTTGGACAGGAATGGCATTATTGATATTCATTATTGCTGTATTGATTTGGGTAAGTATATTCCCCATCGGTGAAAGTGGTGCTGATGTAGTCACATTTTGGCAAAATTGTTTATCGTTACCACTCATTGTTGTAATCTTTGTTGCTCATAAAACCTATCACAAAACATGGAACCATTTGTGGGTGAAATTGGATCAGATAGATTTGGATACTGGTAGACGTGAGATCAATATTGAAGTGTTGAAGCAGGAAATAGCTGATGAAAAGCAAGACCTTTCAGAGGCTCCTATTTGGTATAGAGTTTATAGATTTTTTTGTTAGAAAAATTGCAACTGGTAGTGCTCCAAAAGTAGTGCATGTACCAATTTTTCCATGTCCGACGAACGACTTGAGAAAAACTTTTTCTTTTTTTTCTCCAAAAAGTGACCACCACCGTTCACCACACTCCAACCACACACAGGTTAATTTCAACTCAATTTATCATTGCATCAAACCATTAACACAAACAAATCCTAATACATCCACAAAACTTTATCATTATGACTGAGGTTAACGATTGGAAACAAAATCTCAGCCTCCCTCAAAAGGACACCAGACCCCAAACTGATGACGTGTTAAACACTAAAGGTAAATCATTTGAAGATTTCAATTTGAAAAGAGAGTTATTAATGGGGATATTTGAAGCCGGATTTGAAAAACCGTCACCTATTCAAGAAGAATCTATTCCCATGGCTTTAGCTGGCAGAGATATCCTTGCTAGAGCTAAAAACGGTACAGGAAAAACCGCCTCTTTCATCATCCCTTGCTTACAATTATGCAAACCAAAATTAAACAAAATACAAGCTTTGATATTAGTACCTACACGAGAATTGGCTTTACAAACGTCACAAGTCGTGAGAACTTTGGGTAAACATCTAGGAGTTCAGTGTATGGTAACCACAGGTGGTACTTCGTTGCGAGATGATATTGTTAGATTAAATGACCCCGTTCATATATTAGTTGGTACACCTGGTAGGGTTTTAGATTTAGCCTCGAGAAAAGTGGCTGATTTATCTGAATGTCCCCTCTTCGTTATGGATGAGGCTGACAAGATGTTATCAAGAGAGTTTAAGAATATAATAGAGCAAATATTAGAATTCTTCCCACCACATAGACAAGCATTGTTGTTTTCGGCCACTTTCCCCATCACTGTCAAACATTTTATGGATCAACATTTGAACAAACCATATGAAGTTAATCTTATGGATGAGTTAACGTTAAAAGGTATAACACAGTTTTATGCGTTTGTGGAGGAGAAACAAAAATTACACTGTTTAAACACGTTGTTTTCCAAATTGCAAATCAACCAATCAATCATTTTCTGTAACTCAACCAATAGAGTTGAATTGTTGGCGAAAAAGATTACTGAATTAGGCTATTCATGTTATTATTCTCATGCAAAGATGCCTCAGCAAGCAAGAAATAAAGTATTTCACGAATTTAGACAAGGTAAAGTGCGTAACTTGGTTTGTTCGGATTTGTTAACTAGAGGTATCGATATACAAGCAGTTAATGTTGTCATTAACTTTGATTTTCCCAAAACTGCTGAGACTTATTTGCACAGAATCGGTCGTTCAGGAAGGTTTGGACATTTGGGTTTGGCCATCAATTTGATGAGTTGGAACGACAGATATGCTTTATACAAGATTGAGCAAGAGTTGGGTACTGAAATCAAGCCAATTCCAGCTACAATTGATAAATCGTTGTATGTTGCCGAAAATGAAGATGCTGTGCCCAAGCCATTCAAAGGAGAGGATTTATCAAGAGTGAAGAACTCACACTAGGGTAGAAACCCCTTGAAGTTTTGGGTTTTTTTTTTTGGTATCGTTGTTGTTGGTACAATGATGGTACATTTTTTACCCAATTTTTTTTTTTCTTTTTTTTTGAAATAAAGGAAATTTTTTTGGCTTTTTTTTTTGGCTTTTTTTTTTTAGATCAATGGGATTTATGGGGAAATGAATGAGATGCTGCTGTTGATATGAGGGGTGTATAGCAGGTGGCATGCTTGATAGAACTTGAGGTAATAAATGTCTCCACGTTTTGTTGTGAAAAGAGGTACAGGTGTGGAGGAGAGGTAAATCGAAGAATGGGACGGCGAATCGAGATCTGGATCTGGATCTGAATCGTGTTTCAACAATCGTTACTCTAAATCGATAGAGTGCTGTAGAAGAAGTTTCTCGGACTCCTCTTTGCACTAATGGTCGATTCATGTTTATTTTCAAAAGTTTACTCTTCGTTTATGAGTCCTTTTTTCTCTCTCACACTCTCTTTGTCAGCGCTTAATTAGCGCATCTCATGGTTACAAAAATTTTCTGACTTCGTTTGCATCTCTCTTTTCCTAAGATTTTTCAATCTTCATGGTTCGAAACCTATTCAAACTAGTCAAATATTCAATTTTACAATGTGTGGTATACTAGGTATTGTTTTAGCAAATCAAAAGATTAATGTTGCTCCTGAATTATTCGAAGGAGCCATGTTCTTACAACATCGTGGTCAAGATGCCGCTGGTATCGCCACTTGTGGTCCCAAGGGGAGATTATACCAATGCAAAGGTAACGGTATGGCCCGCGATGTTTTTACTCAACAGAGGATGTTGAATCTCGTTGGTAATATGGGCATTTGCCACTTGCGTTATCCAACTGCTGGGTCAAGTGCAGGTTCAGAAGCCCAACCGTTTTATGTTAATAGTCCCTACGGTATTTCGTTGAGTCATAATGGTAACTTGGTCAACTCAATAGAGTTGAGGAAGCATTTGGATGAAGTTGTTCATCGTCATATTAATACTGACTCAGATTCGGAGTTATTGTTGAATATTTTCGCCTCAGAAATGGACAAGTTTAATAAAAGTAGAGTTAACAATGCTGATGTTTTCACAGCGTTATCTGAAACCATGGAAAGAATCAGAGGTGCTTATGCGTGTGTTGCCATGTTGGCTGGGTATGGTCTTATTGGATTCAGAGACCCTAATGGAATTAGACCCTTGTTGATTGGTGAAAGAGTAAATGATGATGGTTCAAAGGACTTCATGTTGGCTTCGGAAAGTGTGGTTTTGAAATCACTTGGCTTCAAGAAATTCCGTGATGTACATCCAGGTGAAGCGGTAATTATTCAAAAGAATGGTGATCCTGAATTCAAACAAGTTGCTGAACCAAAAATCTTTGCCCCTGATATTTTCGAGTATGTATATTTTGCTAGACCTGATTCTGTATTGGATGGGGTGTCAGTATACCGGTCTAGGATCGAGATGGGTATCAAATTGGCTAGCAAGATTAAACGTGTTATGGATGAAAATGATATTGATGTTGTTATATCTGTTCCAGATACTGCAAGGACCAGTGCTTTCCAATGTGCAGTCAGTTTAGGTAAACCTTATCGCGAAGGGTTTGTCAAGAACAGGTATATTGGAAGAACTTTTATCATGCCCAATCAACAAGAACGAAGATCATCAGTGAGACGGAAGTTGAATGCCATGGATTCGGAATTTGAAAACAAGAATGTCCTCATTGTTGATGATTCGATCGTAAGAGGTACAACTTCAAAGGAGATTGTTTTGATGGCAAGGGAAGCTGGTGCTAAAAAAGTATACTTTGCATCATGTGCCCCACCAATCAGATACAATCACATTTATGGTATTGATTTAGCTGACACTAAAGCTCTTGTTGGATTTAACCGTACTGAAGAAGAGATTTCTCAAGTGATTGGTGCCGACAAGGTGATTTATCAAGATTTGCATGATTTGATTGATTGTTGTAAAACCGACAATATTAAAGAATTCGAAGTTGGGGTTTTCACGGGTGCATACATTACTGGAGTTGAAGACAATTATTTACAAGAGTTGGAGAAAATAAGAGCCCAGAATCAACGATTGACTGAATTACAAAATGGTACTGCATTGAATGGTTTTAGTGTTGATGCATGTATTGATCAAGGAGATATGGTTGATGTGAAAGCTGAAGTTGATATAAGTATCTACAATCGTGGTGATTATTAACGGAAGGGGAGGGGGAGTGGGAGTGGGAGGGGGACGTTGTGTATGTGAATGTAACAATTTTATAGAAATGAAAAGAATGTTTTTGATGGAAAACGCCATATATTGTACAAGAGAATAGATCGATGGTCGTCCATTTTAATGTTAGCCAAAGAGTGTAAAGATTGCTTTCGTGGCAGGGTAAGCCAGTTTTTCAATATGCACTGGGATAATCAAAAACTTTATGGCCCACATGGCAAAGTCAAAACAATAAAAAGGGGCTTTATTCGCCTCTTTTTCCAATTTAAGGCACAAAATGTCTGATTTCGGAAAAACTCGCATGTTGCACAGAATGTCGTGAAACAATAAGACCAAGGCGTTGGGGACATACGCGTAAAGAGCGGACGAAAAGAGTGCACGATTGCTTGCTTGGAAGAGCAGCTTACAGTCACTAGTCACGCAGTGAATCTCAAGATCTACATGAAGATTACGTTGGAAGGGTATTATTTATAGAAAATAAAACAAACAATGGGATATTAACCCATTACGCGTCTTCAAAAAAAGATTTGATTATGAGATTTGCAAAAGAAATGATGACGCGATCACTTTATTGTTGAGATGGGAGTAAGTAATTTTTGTGGTTCTTGATTCCAGGTACAATTGCTTAAAGCGTTAACCATTGCAGATGAAGATGTTCCTCCCAAAAGAAAGCCTTGTATGATCAAAGGTTGTGCAGTATAAGAGAGCAGTAGTGCGGTATTGATTCCAACACCAAACAATGAACCTTTAAAAGTCCCGCCCAGCGTCCTGTCTCTCCAGTGAAACAACTCTTCAATAAACAATTCGGGTTCATGGGTCGATCATTTAAATTCGATGGCTGGTGTTTAAATCCTACAATCCGTTGCATTGTTTCTGAATTTGTCTTTGACACACATACACGACTTTGTTTACATCCATACATCAATACTTATTTTGGTTAACTAAAGATAGTTTTATTGTCAACAATAAAGCCAAAACAACAAACAAATGACACGACACAAAACAGAATCAATCTTTTGAAATTTTGCGACACTCTAACAAATTTAACAAAAAAAAAAAAAAAAATTTTTAGAAAAGGAACAAGATTTGAAAAACCATCTTTTTCATCGAGTTTTTCTTTTTGGTTGGTCAACTCTTATTGCACCAAAGAAATACAGGTTTACCATATTCCTTTAGTTTTACGCCGTTTTACAGTAAGCTATCACTGCTCCCATCTTTCGCACTCCCCCAAACGCAACACTAACATAACATAACATACACTCCATAACCAAAAGTGTATGGGAATTATTCTGGCTTACTTAGTTGGACAATCAATATATTTAATCAAACGCCGATTTTTCAGCAACAGCAACAACAAGACCACTATTACATTAGACATGGAAAAAGGAAACACACCTAGTGCAGGCCACTCATTGGCCAATACAATCACCAACTCAGGTCCTATTTCAATCTTGGCCTATTGTTTATCATCAATTTTAATGACTGTTACTAATAAATTTGTTGTATCAGGATTCAACTTCAATTTAAACTTTCTTTTATTGGCAGTACAATCTATTGTTTGTATTGTCACTATTGGTACTTTGAAAACATTTGGTATCATTACTTATAGACAATTCAACAAAGATGAAGCTAAGAAATGGTCACCAATTGCATTTTTATTAGTTGGTATGATTTACACTTCATCAAAAGCCTTGCAATATTTATCTATTCCAGTGTACACTATTTTCAAAAACTTGACGATCATTTTGATTGCTTACGGTGAAGTTATTTGGTTTGGTGGTAAGGTTACTACTATGGCATTGAGTTCATTCTTGTTGATGGTTTTCTCCTCAGTCATTGCTTACTATGGTGACAAGGGTGAAGTCAAGACTGTTGATGATCAATTTGCATTATATTTGGGTTATTTTTGGATGTTTACCAATTGCTTTGCTTCAGCTGCATTTGTTTTAATCATGAGAAAAAGAATTAAGTTGACTAATTTCAAAGATTTCGATACCATGTATTATAACAATCTTTTATCAATCCCAATTTTGTTAGTTTTCACTTTTTTGTTTGAAAATTGGACACCGGAGAATTTGGAAAAGAATTTCCCTGCTGATAATAGAGTTGCCACTATTGTTGCCATGGTTTTGAGTGGTGCCTCCTCAGTTGGTATTTCTTATTGCAGTGCTTGGTGTGTTAGAGTCACATCATCAACCACTTATTCTATGGTTGGTGCCTTAAACAAATTGCCAATTGCATTGAGTGGGTTGATCTTTTTCAATGCTGCTGTCAATTTCTGGTCAGTCTCATCCATCTTTGTTGGATTTGTTGCTGGTTTGGTTTATGCTGTTGCTAAGCAAAAGCAACAAAAAGAAGCTCAAGGTTTACCAACCACCAAGTAAAGGTATTGAAGCTTTGCATCAGAATTCTGCTATTTATGTTCTAAAAAGGGAGCTTATTTTTTAGAGGTAGAACGGGGGGTAAGTCAAAGTTGTATTTGATTTGCAAACATAATAGAGATTTTTTTTTCCATTTATTTTCTTATTGGCTTTAGTTGTAGAATGGTGTTCTTTAACCATATGGAGTATCTTGTATATTCAAACTGTCGATCTTTTATTCAATGTCGTGCTCTGCTCTGTGCAATGTCCTGTCGTGTATTTTCAAGACTAAGTTTTTTTTTTCTCTTTTTCGTCTTCCTCTCATCTTTAGTCTTCAACAAAAGTGTTGCCAAAATATTATTCCCATTATTGAGGAAGATTATCAACAAGACCGACAACTGATCGATACAGCCTACTCTAGGAACCACATCACCACTGGCAATTGCATTTATTGTATTATAACCACATCAACTTTCACCGAACATTACAAAGTAGCAACAGAATTTCTTCCCACACAACAATGTCGGCTGAAAACTCATTGGAATCAATTCCCAAGATTTTGGAACAATCATTGATACCTCAATTTTCCAATCAAGCAGAAAAGGCATTGAAATCAATGGAGAATGAGCCAGGTTTTTCCATCAATTTACTACATATCATTGCATCCACCAATCTTTCTAATTCAATTCGATTAGCAGCAGCATTATATTTCAAAAACTTAGTTAAAAGAAAATGGATAACTGAGGATGGAACTAATTATCTTTTACCATTGGAAGATGTCAACAAAATTAAGTTTGAAATTATTGATGTCATGATTAGCTTGCCTAATCAATTACAAATTCAAGTTGGTGAAGCAATTACTTTAATTGCTGAGTGTGATTTTCCTCACAATTGGCCCAATTTGATTGATATTTTGGTTTCGAAGTTGTCATTGACTGATTTTGTCAACAACAAGGCCATTTTATTGGTTTCACATTCTATTTTCAAGAAATGGCGACCACTTTTCCGATCCGATGAATTGTTTTTGGAGATAAAATTGGTTTTGGAAAAGTTTGTGGAACCGTTTTTGAAATTGTTTGTTGAATTGGATCATTTGGTTGATAAACTGAAGGATAATGAGGCCCAATTGGTGATTTATTTCGAAAACTTGTTATTGTTGATGCAGATTTACTACGATTTCAATTGCCAAGATATCCCTGAGTTTTTCGAAGACCATATGAATGAATTAATGAATATTGTACACAAGTACTTGGTTTATGATAATCCTTTGCTTTTAAAGAAAGATGAAGATGAAGAAGTTGATGTTTTGATCAAGGTAAAGACTTCAATTATTGAATTGTTGTCATTATACGTGACTAGATATGCAGATGTTTTTGAGCCATTGATTCAAACATTCATTACATCAGTTTGGGACTTGATCAACAATTTTGTCACCAAACAACCTAAATTTGATTTACTAGTGGTCAAAGCTTTACATTTCTTGTCGTCCATTATCAAGATACCAACATATCAATCACTTTTCCAAAGCGAACAATCAGTGAACGAAATTATAGAGAGAATCATATTGCCTAATATCATGTTGAGAGAGAATGATGAAGAAACATTTGAGGATGAGCCTATATTGTATGTCAGGTCAGACTTGGAAGGATCTGATTTTGACTCGAGAAGGAAAAGCGCCACTGACTTTTTGCGGGAATTGAAGGAGTTGAATAGCGAATTGTTGACGACTACCGTGATGAAGTATGTGGATCAGTTCTTGAGCTTTGCTGATAACGATTGGAAACACAAGGATACTGCTATTTACCTATTCAGCTCACTAGCGACCAAGGGAAGTGTAACTAATGTTGGAGTCACCTCAACCAATGTTCTCGTTGATGTGGTTGACTTTTTTTCTAAAAATATTGCTCATGATTTGGAGTCAAATGAGGTGCATCCAATCTTGCAAGTGGATGCAATAAAGTATATCTTCACATTTAGAAATCAACTCACAAAAGATCAATTATTGATCACTATACCTCGATTAATTAACCACCTCGAAGTTAATTCCAATGTTGTCGTATACACCTATTCTGCAATCACCATTGAGAAATTACTTTCAATGACCAACTTCAGTCAGGGCCATCAACCTGTGTTCGATAAAAATGATATCGAACCATTTGTTACTCCATTATTAACGAAATTGTTCAACTTGATACTCATGAATAGTACAACTTCGCCTGAAAAGCTAGCCGAGAACGAGTTTCTTATGAAGTGTATAATGAGGGTTTTGAACACATGTGAGGATTTGTTCTCTGAAAGAGTGACAATCATTGATCAATTATTGCAAATACTCAAAATAACTGCTAAGAATCCATCCAATCCCAAATTTTCCCACTATACATTTGAGTCATTGGCTCTACTTTTCAAATACGGAGCTCAACAAGATCCCAAAAACATAAACCAATATATCGAACATGCTATTCCAGGTTTGCTCGATATCCTTTCTGAAGATGTTCAAGAATATGTTCCGTATACATTTCAAATTTTGGCTTATTTGTTGGAAAAATATCCCAAGTCAAGTGGATTACCAGAAACTTACAAATCATTAATACAACCATTGATGTCGCCTTCTGTATGGCAATTCAAGGGTAACATTCCAGGAATCACTCGATTACTAATTTCAATCTTGGAGCATGATCCCACTTTTTTCGTTGAGGCCAATCATTTGACTCCATTATTGGGAGTTTTCCAGAATTTGCTTGCAAGTAAAGCCAATGATATCTATGGATTTGATTTGGTTCAAAGTATATTGTTGAATGTGCCCTTGTCCTCGTTACAACCATACCTCAGTAACATTGCTCGATTAATTCTTACTCGATTACAAAAATCACGTACTGATAAATTTGTCAAACGATTTATTGTGTTTTTAAATGTTTTAACCACGGTTAATCTCAGTGATGTCAAGTATACTAATAGTGATGCAGTATCAGGCGGTGATTTCATTATGCAATTGATTAACTCAGTCCAACTGGGATTATTTGGGCAAATTTATTCATCATTTATGTTGCGTACTTCATCAGTATTGGCCAATTTACAAGACAAGAAAATTGTTAATATTGGTATTAGTATGTTGTTGACAAATGCCAATTTCCAATCGCAGTATGTAGGCATGATTGTTGATACAATTGAAACATTGATTAACAATTTGAACTCATATGAAGGTATAGCCAAGGGAAACACTAGTTCAGTGACGAATGAAGCAAACGTTGTTGCAATCTCATCCATTTCCGGTGCTGCTGCTGGTGGATTAAATGAATTGGATTCTGATTTATCTACATTTGGATCGCATTATTCCAAATTGGCAGCAATTGCCCAGACACCATTTGACCCAATCTCAAAAATTAAAAACAATGATTTTGAATTGATTAAAACTACAATTTTGGCCAATATTAAGAAAGTTGATGGTGCTGTGTTGAATCAATTAAATGTGGATACACAAGCAATTTTGCAAAAAATGTTTTAAATGTATACACTGTGATTCGTTCAATTAGTAGAAAGTCCTTGTTTTTGTAAGTATAAAAGTACATAGGTAAATACATAGTGTTGAAAAAGAAAAAATGGCCAACGAAGTGAAGAACGATGCTGTACAATCAATGTGCTGAACCTCCAACATCTCCGTGAAATAAGTACATGGCTCAAGTGGAATGAATCTTTCAATAGTGTTATTATCAGCTTGAATTCTCCGATTTTATTGCGTCTGTTTCTGCAGCAATATTTACTCCGTTTAGCTCAGTTGGAACAAAGTCATCACCAGCAAAATTGTCATTTAGCTCGTTTTCGTCGTTGTTGTTATTGTTGTTATTGATACTCTGCTGATTGTCTCCCCCATTTGATTCAATTTTGATGGTACTGTTATTCCTCATATTTCGCATGTCATTATTGGCGGTAGCTATACCACCACTATCATTACCATTGGCATTTCCTGTATTCTCTTCTACACTTTCTCCACCAACAGTCTGTTCCTGATTCAATTTCACCAGTTGTTGTTCCTGTTGCTGTTCCTGTTGCTGCTCCTGTTGTTGTTGCCCCTGTTGCTGCTCCAACTCTTCTTGTTTCTTTTTCTTCTCCAATTCAGCAATTTCACTAGCAGTTAAAAATCGACCACCTTGACCCCTAGGTCTTCTCATTGCGTGTTTATGTCTCGACTCATGTAAATATGGTTTCCTGATTCTGGCAATTTTTAAATTTTCCTCCAATTTTGCTCGTGCTATACGTCTTTTCAATATACGATGGTATTGTTTGGCATTGACGTAAAATGGTTGTTCTGTTGATGTTGCCTCTACTGACGCAGCAGCAGAAGACCCCACGTCTTCTGCTTCTGCTGTCGTATGTAAGTTGTTATTGTCTTCCATGGGGGTGACGCTGTTATTAAGCATGTCGGAGTTGGAACCATCTTGGGTTGTTGATGTTGCATTGACCGTGTGGTTTGATGGCACATGTTCAAGCTGTGGTTGTTGTTGCTGCTGCTGCTGTTGTTGCTGGTGTAATGGGTGATGTTGTTGGTATTGAGGCTGGTTATGGACCTGATGTGCATTATTTTGGTTATGGTATTCAATGTTATCGAAGTATGATGACGATGTAGTACTTGAAGTCGGAGATACACCACCGTCTAATGTCGCGTAATACGAAGCAGGTATTTGTGACGGTATCTCACCAGTGGAACTTTGTTGAGTTTGTGGTAATCCCTGTTGCTGCTGCAGGTTTTGTGGTTGCTGCAGATGTTGTTGCTGTTGCTGTTGCTGTTGCTGTTGCTGATCATTGTTGTGTGATTGATGGTTGTAAAAAGTGGAGGATTGTAACGATGTCATATTTTTTCAATGCAAGAAGCGGGTGTTTGAAATTTGTTCTAGTCAAGAAAAGTAGCGCGTCGAAAGGTTTATCTGTGGTCGTTGGTAAATACAATTGTGAGTCTCAGATATCTCTACGTCTTCTGTAAACCCTTTTGGATATAGTTATATTTTAGTTTTGTTGTTTGTTGTATGTTTTTTTAAGCGGGTAAATTTGATCAAGAACAAACAAAAAAAAATTCTTTCACAACTTTTTCTTTCTGTTTGTTCTGTTGTTCTGTTTCTGTGTTGGTTTTGGGAAGAAAATGTGCGACATCGGAAACACTTCAAAATTGTTGATTCCTAAAAATACATATTCAAAGAAGAAGAGGAAAAGAGGTTAGTAATAGCTCGATTCCATCTATAATTCTCAGAGATACTAGTGTTGTCACTTGTATTGACCTTTGTCGTAGGTGCATTATGTGTATTTCATCCTCTTTTTCTTTCAATGAGATATCATTAACAATTTTCTTTCATTTTGGCATTTATCTTTTAATGAAAATGATGCAAAAATTTCCTTACAACACAAGATAAGTAGCAGTTTACTCATGACACATTCTTTTAAACAATGCAGTGTAACTCTCTGAGGAGCTACGCGGAATTAAGTTGGTTTCACCAGTCTAAAGTCCAGTTCGGAATCCTGTAAACAAAGTGGTACGTTTTGAATATCCAATACAATCGCGCTTCTCTTCATCAAGATAACAATCATGGCGCATCACCAAGTAAGGGGGAGAACCATCCTTATCATCGCCCCCTCTTAATTAATTGAGTACGACTAAGTACTATTACAGCTAAAGAGTCGGATTACAATGGAGAGTGGCGCTACCATATAAGTAGACCAGACAAAAATTTTTGGTGGTGGTCAAATGAAATCTTGCATCGAGGCTAACTACACTCCCTGCAAAGACAACACAATGGCAGACGTGTCCAATGGAACCGGTACCAATGACCAGTTCCAGTCCACTCTGGACAATGTTGACGAGATGTTTACCAAATTGAGTATCCCAGAAATCCAACGATTATCATCTCAGTATAGTACCATTATTGCAACAACAAAGAATGAATTGCACAATTTAGTTAGCGATAAGTATCGTGATTTGATCAAAATAGCAGAAGACATTGGCGATCTACGAAACAATTCACTCACGATTGAGGAAAAATTACAAGAAATTTCCTACAAACCATCGACATTTGTATCACCTTACAAGGATTCATATGCTAAATTTGAATCCATTGTACGAGATCAGAATGCAACCAAAGCTAAACAAAACTCGAGAACAGTGATTGTTCGCAATGTTATCCAGAAAAGGTTGGCCAAATTGGCCAATAAAATCTCACGTGAAGGGCCCAGTCCTATACTTCACACGTCCAATTTTATACCATTCGTGAAGGAGCTCTACACCATTGAAGTTGTTTTTGGAGATGTGTTGAAGGAAAAGAAGGATCTTCAACAGCAAGTGCACAGCATTAAGTACCACTTGCTTGACTACTTTGAGCATGAAATTTCGGTTTACAATTTCCCCTTGACACTGTTTAATTCGAACGACAAGTTTAGTCTTCGTCAACGATTTTTAGCAAAGGACTTTTTAACGGATCGCAACGCAAAGTTCGTTGATGACATCTCATTCATAGAAGAGGATTTTGATGAATTTCAGGATGACGATGATGCTGAGGAGGATGGCACTGACGATATTCAAGTGAAACAAGAGCGATTTGACAAATTGGACACATTCAAAAACACCAACTACAACAGAAATGTCCTGGCTTTGTGCAACTACTTAGTATGCTATACAATACTATTAAGTGGCACTTCAAATAGCAAAGATATCAAACAAAAATTGATTGACCTCAGAATGAAGTACATAAACAGCTTATTGGCCCTGTCAAGCCAAAACACCCCAATCAATTACAGACTGGTATTTCTGTACTTGGAGAACACATGCACATACCTCAGAAGCTATTTTGGAGACAATAGAGATAGTGATTACTTCCGAACCCTTCGTGATATAGCTAAGCCATGGAGTTTAGTTGAGCTAGTGGGACATAGAGGATGGATTGATGACTCACAAGTTGACTTTGGTGAGTTCTTGGACACTGATGGTGAATACCTAGAAGTCAATCCGAACAGCTCTAACAAAATCGTGGAGTTCATCTCAAGATTAGCTTCTATCTCGTCTCAATCCACAGAAACACCTCCCACGATGGATTTCTTGACTAGTTCGATAGTCAAATATTATACCTTCATAATGAGTTTGAAAAGACTTGATGATGCAACCAAGCTTGTTGGGGTACAATCTCAATTGATTGATCTTGTTTCCAAAACAAAACTACTCGATGAATTGTCGGCAAATTTGGAGAGTTTGATCAAGGAAATCTACGATAACCATGTATCAAAACTAATGAATAACGAGGGAATACTAGGAGCAGTGCAGGATGTGCTAGATAGTGCTGTTTCTGACAGTGTCACTCACAATCCTTTTGACGTCGACGTGGTCAATGTGATGGATTACAACCTTGGGGAGTACATGAAATTGGTCATAAACAAAGGAGATAATACAAACAAAGCGCCATACAACACTACTTACCAGTTGAAGCAATGGCTAAATGAGAGTTTTCAATTGAAAAAGATTACCGATTTCAATCGTGATTTCTCTGAGATGCTCAGAGGAAAGAAGGATATTTATGACTACCTCCCCCAATTGTATCATAGTTTGCGAAGTGATGGTGTCCAGTGGGGCGATTTTACTGGTGACAGTTTGAAGAAACGATTCCAAACACTTTCTACCTCAGTGAACCAGAGCTTTAATCAAGAGATTTCAAAATTTAGTACATCTTTGTTTGAGTTGAGCTCAGAAGAGAGAGAGGTAAGCAAATTAATTTATCTTATTGGTCTTTTGACGAGTTTGCGTAATGAGATCAAGTCAAAAATCGCTGCCACGAATAGTGATACAGGCGCATTGATGACTGCAGTAGATTCAAATATTGACAGCATTTTCAAGAAAGTTGTATCTCATGTATTAGATGGGGAGGTTTACAACCTTAGGCAATTGATTATAGCAAAAGAGTCCCAAGCTAATGAGGTGGATATACCTACGAGGCCTAATATTCAATTGGCTCTGAAAATGTATGAGGTAGCTCAAGCCTTTCTTACGCAAGCTTCGAAGATTGAACCTCATAACGTTGATTTGTTTCTGAACTCATCATTGGTACCTAGCCAATTTATAAAAGTCAAGAATGAATGGTTTGAGAAGCTGATTGAAGTTATTGTCTTTCAAATTAACTCATCAATGAATGAGAGTGATAAAGCTGATGTAAAAGAGGAGGAAGCGGGGGCAACTACCTGTGACACGGGAACCGAATCAAAAGCAAGTAAAGATGCTAACCTGAATGACAATGCTGTAGATGAGGCAAAGCAGAATGAAGCATCAGATTTCAACAGAGACGCAAATGAATCACAAACTTACATTTTACAAACAGCAGCAAACATTGCGTTTTTAAAGTTATTCTACAAACCCAAAATCAATGCAGAGGACATCAAAAGTGTAATTGACGCCCTTTACAATAATAAAAATGCGGAAAAATTCAACGAAAACATGTTGGAAATTATCGCTAGTGGCATTTCTTCATTTTACAAAACTAGAAAGAATGTATATTTACCGCTACTGTGATAACACTTTCACTTTATATATATGTATAAGTATACTCAATAGAGATAAATCTTCAGGCCATTTTTTGTCATATCTTTCAATACTTCAAAAGTTTCCTTTATATCCCAAATGTTCTGCTTTTTTTGGTCAAGGTACGAGTTATCAACAAGAATAATCTTGATTTCATCTCGTTTCAATTGTGAATCGAGACTATTCAATACTTTTTGCAATCTTCCTGGTGTACAACAAAGTACTCTTGATCGTGTTGATTTAACCAAATTCAAATCAATTTCCAACTTGTTTTTGTTGATGAGTTTTAAAGAACCTCCATTTAAATCCTTTGTGGCACGATGGACATCACATGCTCGTATCGCTGACATGGATACAATGGCTATGAATTTGCGATCTTCTTCAACTTGTTGTTGATCATCTTTCTCGTCGTCATTTTTGACATCTTTGCCTTTCTTTGCATTCTTTTTACTCTTTGATTTCGTCAGCTGTTGTTGCTTTCCAGGTAGCATATTCTTAAATCTTTGATTGATGTAATCCAGCAAGTTATCCAATGTTCTTGGCTTGGTAAATTCAGAAGTTGATCGGATATCATTCTTTGTAAAATACAACTCACTCAATTCTAATGCTGATAGATTTGCATGTTTCCTACTGATTTTGGTGTTGATGAATTCCGCTATCACTTCAGGACTTTGCTCTAGTGACATGTTTCTCTTTTGTTGAATATCCAATTCCATTTTCATTTTCTTCTTGTTTTGAAAGTTTGAAAAGTCCTTTTTACGTTTTCGTTGGTTGGACTCTTGATCTGATTTGGTTGTTGTTTCTCCACTGATAATGGCGGGTTCCGACGGAGGTTGTAACGATGTGGCCAACTCTCCTTCATCTTCTGAATTCTGCACATCATATTCTAAACCATCATTAAGGTCATCACCTTCAGCTCTTGCTATATCTACCATTGTATCTTTTGTAATGTAGTGTAAAGGGTCTGGTAAATTGATCTTGTAGAAATTGAGATGAGATAATATACTTTTTCAATCAGAGTTACAAAAACAAAAATTTTCCTTCTTTAAGTGTAGTTTTACTTGGTCTACACCATGATTAGAGTATTAACTAACCGGTGTGCAATCCTACCGAGAGCGTCCCTTTTTCAAAAGAGAAATATCATTATCAATGCTGACCTACGAACAAGGTTAAACGAGTCACAAAATTATCCTGTTGTGGTAATCGGAGGTGGCCATGGGGGATGTGAAGCAGCAACTGGATCAGCAAGATCAGGGACTCCAACCACTTTGATAACTCCTGAAATAGCCAAAATAGGTACAGCGTCGTGTAATCCGTCAATGGGAGGTGTTGGTAAAGGAACACTATTACGTGAGGTTGATGCACTTGATGGCGTTAGTGCTCGAATCACCGATAAGGCAGGTATCCATTTCCGTATATTGAATGCTTCCAAAGGTCCAGCTGTACATGGACCACGCGCACAAATTGATAGAATGATTTACTTGAACGAGATGCAAAGGGAAATATGCAATTACGAGAATTTGTCAGTGATTGAAGCTCAAGTGAAAGATATCATAATCGAGCCAACTAATTCTGAAGATTATGATGGTCGAGCATTCGGAACTGTCAAAGGCGTGATATTAGAGGATGGTAGAATATTAAAGTGTGACAAAGTGGTTGTCACTACAGGTACGTTTTTAGGGGGTGAAATACACATTGGTCTCAAGGCATTCCCATCGGGGAGAATGGGCGAAAAGGCAACTTTTGGACTATCAAAAACATTCAGAGAAGCAGGATTTCGATTAGGAAGGTTGAAAACGGGGACCCCAGCAAGATTGTCTGCAAAGACAATTGATTTTTCTGGCTTGGTAGAACAACCGTCTGACTTCCCACCTCAACCAATGTCATACTTGAACGACCGTGTTGACCTAGAGGATCACTTGGTCAAGTGTTATCAGACACAAACAACACCTGAATTCCACAAGATGATTTCTGATAATTTGGATAAATCAATTCACATCAGGGAAACCGTCAAGGGACCCAGGTACTGCCCCAGTATCGAGTCCAAGGTTATCAAGTTCCCACAAAAGCAATCTCATGTGGTATGGCTAGAACCTGAAGGATTGGACACCGATCTTATCTATCCAAATGGAATCTCATGCACAATGCCAGAGGATATACAAGAGCAAATTGTCAAGTTGATGCCTGGGTGCGAAAATGTGAAAATGGTGCAACCGGGATATGGTGTGGAATACGATTACGTTGACCCAAGGGAACTCAAAGTAACTCTCGAGACAAAATTGGTCAACGGATTGTATTTGGCAGGTCAAATTAATGGAACCACTGGATACGAAGAAGCTGCTTCTCAAGGTTGCATTGCTGGAATCAACGCTGGCCTTTCGTATTTGAACAAACCATTATTGGAAATGAAGAGGTCCGACGGTTACATTGGTGTCTTGATTGATGATTTGATAACTAAGGGAGTAGAAGAGCCGTATAGGATGTTCACCTCAAGATCAGAGTTTCGAGTATCTATTCGTTCAGACAACGCAGACAAAAGATTGACCGAATTGGGGTACAAACTTGGAGTTGTTGGTCACGACAGATATGAATACTTCAAAAATGAAGTTCAACAATTTAACGATATCAAAAATCATTTAAAAAGTCTTCGACTTTCTGGCAAGACTTGGTCGCCTGCACTATCAGGAGCTGCCACCGATTTGAGATCAAGCAACAAAGTTAATGGTTGGAAATTGTTATCATACAAGGGAGTTTCAATCAAGGATGTCATCCCCCATATCGACAAGTTCACCGGAGGCAACACCCCATCATTCTATCAACATTTGACCAATAGATTAATGAATCGTATTGATGTGGAAAGTGATTACGAGCCATTTATGTCCAAAGAGAAAGCTCACTTGAACGCCTACGAAGCAGATGAGAATCTACTTTTGCCAACAAACTACAATTATACGAACACTGGAAATTTAAAGATCTCCTATGAAGCATGCTCCATTCTTAACACGATTCAACCAAAGACAATCGGACAAGCACGTCGTATTCAGGGGATAACACCCACTACCATTTTTGAACTTTTGAAACTTGTGAGAGGTAACCAAAAACAATATGCTGCTGCTTCTGCTTGTCATTGAAGAAAGGAAGAGAGAAAAGTCTAGAATTGTATTATTTGTACATAGTTATACAACTTCGTCATCATCATCAGTGTCTTTATTTTTAAAGTCAACATCCTCTTCAATTTCTTGCTCGGGAAATTGCTTGTCGTCAGTTTCGGTACTCCCGCTCCCATCACCCTCATTAGAGCCATTAACATCCTCGTCATCACGCTCCTTTTCCTTTTCATTGCTAGCTTGTTCAATTTCACCTTCCTCTTCGTCACCAATAAACAACCCACCTTCTTCACCCGTTTCAAGCTCCGAAAGAGCCTTCTCAACACTATTTTCTAGATCTATGATCAACTCAAGAGGAAGGTTTTCTTGAGCTATATCAAATATTCGTTCGATATCACCCATTGTCTCCCCGGTACCTCCAAAATTAATCTGACGAAGGTACAATATCAAATCCGACATGTCCACATTTCGCGAATCTCTCGAAAAGGCATAAAGTTTTAAGCTGTTCATTAAGTTTTGTAAAAAATCCTCTGAACTTGATTGAAAAAGCTGTAGTATACTAGTTGGAAGTTTTTCAAGTTGCGATGGATTGGGATTCAGAGAGTCCGACCCCACTTTTTCACGATTTAGTAGATTCATTGTAATAAAGTCGATTTCCAGGATACCGATAGCTTCATCTTTTGAATTACTCGTCGAGCTTTCCTCAATCGGTTGTTGGTCACCCTTATCAGAAACATCAACTGCACTGAAGGTGTCTATTTCCACTTCTCCGGTATCAGGTGCGTTGTGAAATACATCAAACATGCTCTCGGTTGGGGAAATTGGTGTGTTCTTGGTTTCTGACTCCATTTGGGGGCTAGTGTCTGTGTCCTCCATAATGGCTTCAGTTTGAACAATCTTTTCAGATACGTTGGGTTCTGCATTGGATTTTGCAATCGATGGGTTTATTTCACTGCTTGCCTCTGACTGTTCTGTTTTTCCTGCAGACCGTTTCACAATTTCTACATCGGAAGCGACATACTCGCAGCTCTCAAGAATAACTCCGTTGTCGTCATCATTTTCTTGTGAACTTTTAAAGTTGGAATTATCGACAATCTTCTTTTCTTGCAAGTTTGAGGCAGCACTTGGATGCACAGTTGACATCGACTTCAATGGCTCTAACGTTTCGTGGTTTTTTCCATCTCCTGACTCTTCAGTCTTTTCGTTTTGGCTTTCCACTTCGGAAGCGTCATGTTCACTTTTGTCCATTTCGCTTGCAGCTACATCATCCTCTGAAAGGAGTGGTTGCACCATCGCTGATGTCTCATTATCAACTTTCTTAGATGTTGATACCACTTTGTTTTTCTCATGCTCCGTTTCCACGTTGTCACCCTGGCTTACCTGGAGTGGAGTTTCTTCCTGATCATTCATCTCAGGAGCAGGCTGTTCTGTATGTCGCACTTGAAATGGAGCGTTCTCATTATTACGACTTTCCTCGATTGCTTTTTCTTGAATTAACTCTGGCTGCTCTTGGTGCTGAATATCTATTCGAGGATCTTCTTTATTGACAACAGATGCCTCGTTTGTATTCACAATTGGCTCCAGCGTCGTCACATCCTCGCGCGTAGCTACGAGAAGATCGATATTCGGTTGCATCACGTTCTCCTCAATCAATGCCACATTCTGGTCTGGTAGGTTACCATTAACAGCGCCTGGCGCTATATCTTGATCAACCAGGGGTAGTTTGAGATGTGAAGCACCATGATATTTGAAAAACTCACTATTTGTGTCCTCGACATCTTTGTTCACTGCCAGTTCAATTGGTTTTTCTTTTCCCGGAGATCCGAAGGTACTCACTTCGTGTTGTATTGGCTCAATCGTGAAGTCAGGCTTTGCACCAACAAGCTTCCTCTTTTTCCGTACTGGTTTTCTGTAGTCAGGTTGTGATAGTTGCTCATGTGGCTCCGAATTAATATTGCTTTGATGCACCTCGCTGGTGACAGACTCACCCTGATACACATCGCCGATGACAGACTTGCTCCTTGGGGTCTTCAACTTCTCAGCTTTGGCCATCTGAGCTTGCAAAATCTTTTGCAAATACGAAATTGGCTTCTTTTGGGGTTCACTTCTGACTGGAGGTGGGGTTTCTTCCAGTCGGGACCGCATCTCAATTTGGATCTGCATATCATCTAGTTGATTAGGGCTTTTGTATTTGCCATTGTCCTCGACGGGAAAAGTTTCTGCCGTTCCAGGTTTGTCAATTCCACTGGACACAGGTGGCGTGTCATAAACGTTTGTATCTCCCCCATGCGACACTCCTTCAACGGGTTCCAATGATACAAGCGCATTGTAAACATACCGTAGGTATTCCAATGTAATCGGACCCAAGTAATCAACATTATAGAAGGATTCTTTTTCGTTGGACAATGAGTTGGACCTTGGTGAATTTCCACGATCTGTCGAGTACGTCAAACTAGGAAGATTGGTGAAAGGATTGCCTGAACTTAGAGCACTGACTTGTTGAGTTTTTCTTGGAGAGCTTGAAGGAGACGCTAGCCTTGCTGTAGTTTGAGAGAGCTCATGGGCGGGAAGATGGATATTGAACTTTGTAGGTGATTGCAAACTTGGTATAATATTTTGGGAAAGTCCAGTGAATGGTCCTCCGTTGACCCGACGCGGCGATGTTGAAGCCGAATCGACTCCCTTCTGATCGTCATGTTTGGCATCAAGGCTTGACATATTACACCCCTGGATCAACTGATGGAAACCCCCCTTGTGATTGATTTTTTGTTTACATTTTGTGTTTTTGTACTTTACAAAGTTGCTACCAATTTCAATTTCAAGAACAGGTTCAGAAGGCTCGGTTTGGATTTTTCGGTTCCCATTAGATTGCTGTTAAAGGGACACCTAGTCAAGTTCACCAATTACAATGTCCAAGACGACGACGACGACAAAAGCGCCTAGTCCGGCTATTCCAAGGGCTGACAATGCCCAACAAGGCGACAATTTGCTCACTGCATTGGTCTCTGGTTGCACTGCCGCTGCATTTACTGCTACAGTTACCTACCCATTTGATTTTATAAAAACTCAACAACAAATCAATAATGACGCATACATGAAGAAATGGAATATTCCTGGAAATTACCCAGCTACATTGGGCCAAATGTATAAAGGTGGAAGTGCATTAGTGTTGGGAGCAGTTGTCAAGAATGGGGTTAGGTTAGTTTCGTACAATTGGGCATCCAAATTTATGTCCATTGATTCCCACCATGGTGAAACAAACAAGACAACGGCACCACGTATTGTTATTGCTGGTATAATGAGTGCAACAATTGAAACCGCTTTTTTGATACCGTTCGAAAACATTAAAATTACAATGATACAGAATCAATCATTAAAGAATGAATTGACTAGAACAAAGGATATTGGCTATGACATCACGGGAACTAAAGTAGGCCATCACTCACACCATCATCAACAACATAGTCCTCACGCACCAACAGCTAAGTCCATTTTTGCACGTCAATATGTGTCACCCAATTCGTACTATTCTGCTGAAATATTGGATACCAAGAAGCATAAAGGTCGTTTTCTGACTCCAATTCCTAAAGGTGTACAAAACATGGAAAGTTTGAAAGTCCACTACAATAAGCACCCGTCTTTGACTTTATTCGGTACCGTTAAGGAAATGTACAAATTGAAAGGGATAAGAGCTTTTACTGCTGGTACCTTCATCACCTACACGCGACAAATTGCACTTTCATGGGTTTGGTTTTCCTCGTATAATGCCATGCGACAATTGATCAACCCCCACCAAACTGAAAACGCATGGTTTGGACATAATCATACTCTCGTGCAACTGCTTGGATTACACACCATATCATCGTTTGCCGTTATTGCCGTCACTCAGCCATTGGATGTTGTCAAGACCCATATGCAGCTGAAAAATGGGAAAGCAATTTACAGAGACTCTTTGAGCACAGCTTACAAGTTGTTTATGAAGCAAGGACCATTGGCTTTATTTAAAGGTGCACTTCCTAGATTTGTCAAAGTCTTGGTTAGTGGCGGAATGACTGGTATTATCTATGAATATGTTGAGAATGTGGTTAATGCTGCTGGTGGCCAAGCAATGTTTAAGCTTGAGTAAGGCTATCATTTCTCGAGATAAACTGGTATCAACACTTCACCGCTTTTATGAACTACACCATTAAATGACTTGGCTAAGAGTCCACCACTATAACTTGGCTGACTAAAGGCTATTTGATTTTTGCGCAATACTTGACCATAAATGGAGTTTGCCATTACACAATTCAACAATTCTTTGCCCAACCCGTGTTGCCTCCAATCAGCAGAAATCCAAATTCGAGAAACACCTATACGAATGTTCTTCACAATTTGATGAGGAACGATTGTTTGAGTTTTGTGCATCATCCAATTGGCTTCATTTATAGAATCCGTCGTACATAGACCAACTGCTTTACCTCCAACTAGAACGACAAACGCTTTACTAGATTCGTGTTCGCTCGACTTCCATTCTTTGGAATCGTAACTAGCATTTAGCTCTCTATTGACCATTTCCAATATCTGCTCTACTTTCTCCACTTGTCTTTTGTTGCGTTTATCAATTGTTTGAATGTGGACTTTGAAACGCTTGGAGGTGATGGTGCGTTTCAATTTCCCCAACGCGCTTGACTTTTCTCTACGCACTACGACAAATGAGTTTAGTGGCTTGGAATTGAGTGATGTCGGCCAAGTTATTCCGCTTGTAAATTGTGTATGATACCTCTTGTGCACTTCCACATCGGCGCGTACTTGTAAGCTATATGCCATGCCACAGACGCGACATGTGTTTCTTTTGAAGGGGATTGCTAATATTGACTGGATCTTCTTGTCATTTTTACTCCCGCTCATGTCATAATGTATGCGTAAAGCGAATTGAGGTATCTCGAAAGGTTCTGTGTGTGTGAAACTTTTTATGCCTCGGGAATTAGTCGTGCCATGAATGAGACAGACACTCATTTCTTTCATTTTTCTCTTCACCAAACATCCGATTCTTTTTCCCCCAGATCTACTCCATTCTAACAAGCAGTTCCCAACACTCAAAAATGTCATCTGAATACGCCAATCTTTTACCCAAAAATGGGAAATGGAAACAACAAATCACAGACTTTTTAACCGAGGATGTGCCTTCGTTCGATTTTGGTGGATTTGTCGTTGGCGCCAAACCAGAAACAGCATCATTATACATGAAACAAGAAGGATTGATATGCGGTGTGCCTTTCGCTGCTGAAGTCTTTAAACAATGCGATTTAAAAGTCAAATGGCATCGTGAAGAAAAGACGTATGTTACGGCTGAGGAATTGGAACAGAATGGCGGCAAGATTGTCGTGGCCACTGTTTCTGGTGCTGCTAAAAATATTTTGTTGGCCGAAAGAACTGCATTGAATTTGTTGGCTAGGGCTTCAGGTGTAGCTACTCAGTCTTACATTACCAAGAAGTTGGCCGACGAGAATGGATATACTGGGTTAATTGCTGGGACAAGAAAGACTACACCCGGATTACGATTAGTTGAAAAGTATGCCATGCTAGTTGGTGGTGTAGATACACACAGGTATGACTTGAGTTCAATGGTTATGTTGAAAGATAACCATATTGCATCAACTGGAAGTATCACCGATGCAGTAGCGAAAGCAAGACTGGTTTGTGGGTTTGCTGTCAAAGTCGAAGTTGAAGTAAGTTCAGAAAAAGATGCAAAAGAGGCTATAGATGCTGGTGCTGATGTTATCATGTTGGATAATTTCAAAGGAGATGAATTGAGAAAAGTGGCGCAAAATTTGAAAGAGCATTATAAAGGAGGTAACAAGGCATTCTTGTTGGAATGTTCAGGCGGGTTGACATTGAACAATTTGAGCAGTTACCTTTCAAACGATATTGATATTTACTCTACGTCATCAATTCACCAAGGTACGGGTATCGTTGACTTTTCATTGAAAATTGACGTCTAACAGGTACTAAAGGAGATGTATATAATCACGCTATCTAATTGATGAAACACTTTTAAGTTCGATGCTTTGAAAACCGGTATTGTTACCCAATACTGTGTTAACATTTTGTAGAATTTTAGCAGTTTCAGTATCAGGACTGTCGGGTATGATGTCCTCTTGATTTTCTCCGCCTTCCTCTTGCAAATCGAGACCATCTTTGGACTCCAACTCCACTCTAGAGCTCAGCAGTACACCAGACATGCTACTAGATCCACTAGCTAAACTCAAATCCTTCAATAGATCAGAATGACCAAGATGCTCCACCGGTTTAGAATCCACCTGCATGGGCTGAATCTTTTGCGGTACATTTTTTTTACCGTAGCACCTTATAGCTCTAATATGGCTATCTTTACCTTCTTGATGATTCGCCAATATGAATATCTTCACCATGAAGCACTTCAATACCCCATCATTTCTGATGCCATTGAATATTATATGAGACCACCCAATAGGTTGGTTGAAATTGACTGTGCAAACTTTGATCAAGTCCCACCCTTCACTGCTACCAGCCATGATTCTAATCTTACTAGGTGTATAGCTTTCATCAAGTGAGTAATTGGTGAATATTGATATTCGCTCTAGCGCAACTTTCTTGATAAAATGGATAGTTATGGAATGTGGATTGGCTAAGTGATTATTCATCAATGCTGAACTATTAGGGTTGGTATTATTACCACCATTACTTCCATCACTTTGCCAGTACGTTTCAGGATTATCTTCTCGCAACTGTGCCAAACCGAATCCTTGTTTATAGGATGACAATTTCCAAGTTGCCAATGGTGATAAATCAACCAATTGTAAATCTTCAACTTCTTGTAAACCCTTCATGTAGTACACTCGTTGGATCTGCTCTAAACTTGGTTGAGTTGACGAGTCATCCATTTGCAGCGTGTGTCGATCATCAACAGCTTCATAATTGTGATGACTCGACGTTGTACGATGACCAATCATATCATGGTCAATCAGTTGATCACCAACATCTGCCACTCCTTCAGTCATAATAGGATCATTGCCAGACTGGACACCGCTTTGAGCGATTCTATTGAATGAACCTTCGAGTCGTTCATCTTCATCCTCGTCATCCTCGTCAATCAGTTGCATAAAAGCATGGTGAATTCTGCTTGATTGATCATTGGCTAGGGAGCTAGACCTTATCGAATCACGTATCTCTTCGGGTGTAAATGGTGGTTGTACTTGCACCTCATGCTGATGCATACCTAGATTAGTGGAGTCGTGGTGTGATTCAGACATTTGCGTTTCTAAAACTTCATTACTCTGATGATGTTGTGTATCATGTGAATTATCTAGTCGGCTAAACAGATCAGCAGTACCCTCTGTGTTATTGGTAGAGTTGTTAATTCCAAAACTTATATTATCCCAATACCCTAATGAATTCATAACTAGGAAATTTTTGTGGAGGGACTCGTTAAAAGTTTGTTTTCCTATAGTGAAGTTCAAAAGGTGAAATTTTGTGTCTACACATATGAATGCACCTTACAAAGAGAGTACATGAGGTATACTAAATAGCAATAAACAAACGTGTTTCTATTTCGCAAATGGAGTCACCATTTACAGAACAAGACTATATAATCTAAATCATTCACTTTATTGGTCTATTTCTTACCCTTCTTCTTTTGTCTCTTTTTTTGCGACTTTGTCAATGGCTTAGCTTCACCATCTGTGTCAGGTTTTGCGTCGTCTTCAGCCTCGACATCATCCAGCTCTTCCTTTTCTTTTTCACCAGCATCATCATCGTCATCTTCACCAAACTTATCAACATTTTCATCAACATCCACAAGGTCAGCCTTTGTTGACTCCTTTTCTACTTTGTCAGACGTGTCTTTTTCCTCCGCGACTTGCGACTCTTTGTTGTTATTCAGTACAGGTTCTGGCTCCTCTAATACTGATACAGATGTGGCCGATCTCGATCCGGTGACGTCTTTCGTATTTTCATTTTCTTCGATCCGCAATTCTTGAAAATCATTTTCAAGAGGCTTTTCTTCCTTTAACTCTTCCTTGGACACAGTGGGCTCAACCTTTGACGACTCTGGTTTCAGTTTGCCATCAATAATAGTTTCCTTTGGTATAATGAATGAACTTGAGTTGTTATCAAGGTTGACCAAAGGACTGGAAACGACTGGTTTATTCTTTCCTTGACTGGCACTCAAACTGGTTGATGAGTTGTTCTTCGAATACGGTGTCTTCAAGTTTACATTTGATCCACTTCTTGATTGATTCAAATATGGACTACTTCTACCTGACTCATGGGCTTTTTTAACTGGTTTTGGAGGCTGATAAGCAGTCTGAAAGTTTTCAGTCAATCCATATTTCTTCAAGGCTCTTCTCTTCAACACCTCAATATAGCTTGGCCTACTTCTCGTTGCGTTTTTACCAAATTCTTTGCCATCTCTGTCATAAAAACTCAATTCACCTTGATTCTCATCTTCATCTCCAATCATGAAATCGCCATCTCTGTCAGACGACAAGAACCCCAATTCTTCTTGGTACTCACTCGAATCAATTAAAAAATTACCAGATTCTAGATCAGTAGTAAATTCAAATATAAACTCTTGTAAACTGTGAGCAATGACCAATTTTGTATCGAAATCACGACCAAACAATATAATTTGTCCCCAAGTACCATTTGGTCCCGGATTCAAATCCATAGCAACTTGGTTTCCAATGTTGTCTTTAAGCAATATTACCCATCCTTTGTTATAATAAAAAGGCTGGATTGCATTAGGTGGAATAGATCTTTGGTTTGTGATAAATGTAGCAGCTTGTTTCTGGTAGTGCTGCTGCTGCTGCAGACTTCCCTCTTTTAATTCATTTTGTTTCTGTTGATGTTGAGCCATATATTGTTGTCTTTCTAATCTCTCGGCAACTTTATTCCATAAAATATTCTCCTCGACAATACTTTCTAAATCCAACAACACCAATCCCATGATTAATCCAGTCGGTTTACCACCTCTCAACTGACCATCATGCCTTTTATAAAATTGTCTAAAATCTTCAGGTAGGCTTTTTGAACCACACTTTAGATCTTGCAAAAACTCATTCAAATCAGCTGAAGTAACACCATCATTAAGATTGTCATCCAACTCTGGGTATTCCTCGTCAATCCAATGTTCAATACGATCCCACAATGAGTCTATCGATGGCAAGGGGGGTAATCCATTGGCATCAAAATTTTGAAGTTGAACGTCTTGACCCAACTGACTTTGCGAAGATCGTAATCCTGGTCTATAGAAGCCACCTGCTGTAGAATCATTCAATGACAGCCTTGATGCGTTTAAATCTGCATTAAGGTTCATTGTTGAACCATTAGGGTGTGCACCACCAGCTGAGGATCCAGTGAAATCATCATTGTCATTGTTTTGCGTCCTGTAAGGTGAATCATAGGATGCATAATGATCGTTGGTGGTAATGGAGTGAACAAAAGCTTTAAAGTTATCAAGAAATCCCATCCTGTAAAAATATTTGTAGTAGCGAAGGTCTAGTATGAGGTCAACGGAAGGAAGGGAGGGGGGTATGATTCAACGTGAATACGACAACAAACAACAAACAACAAACAAATCGCAGGAAAATGAGAACAGGAAAAAAAAAAAAAAAAAAAAAAAAAACTTTTAAACAATTCGAGAGAGAAGGAGAAAGAGGCGTGACGTGGATTCACACACACACAAACATGAAATTTCGAACAATGATCCAAAAACACGCTTAATAAGCACCATCTGAGGTTAGATGTTGATGCTAGGCATAGATAGGTGTAGAGGTGTACCATTTGTACTACTTCCGAGTGAATCCAATGGTACTCAAAGTAAGGTCGAGCTAAATAGGCTATGGATTTCACGTGAACTGGTTTATTACGTAATTATCATAAAGTCGTGTTTCAATTATCCACACTATTAAAGCCACCAACACAAATTTCACAAAAAAATAAAAGACGAGAAATAGAGATAATTGAGATTAGCTACAAAAGTCTACTGTGATCCCCATTCATACAAAGTGGTGCCATAATGGCAACCACGTTATAGCCTGCAGTATCTCTAAAGTCAGGCACTGATTTCACGATTGGACACGTAAACGGACAATTACGTCCACAAATTGCACAGACATCCACAATTACCGTCTCTAACCTCAATTTACATCATCGATCATCTCAGTGGAGCCTTGTGATTCAACAAATAATCGCTAATCACATCACCAAAAAATTCAGTCACTAACTCTTTATCACTCAATTGTGTCAATTTATCGATATCCTCCATTAGCTCGTAATTGATCGCCTCTGAGACTTTGGAGTCTTGTTCATAGTTTGGATTATTCAACACTTTATGTCTCATCCAATGTGCGGCAGTCGGTATTTCACCGCTAGCTCGTTTTGAAACCAACAAAAGGTAAAATTTCAATCTGATCAACGTTTGAGCACATTTGGTGTTGGGACAATGCTGACACGATTCCGGGACCAACTCAGTTGCAATTAACTTGATGATTAAGCTTATCAAGCCGGGGAATTTACCATCTCCGTTGATGATCTCGTTGATGGTGTATCGTTGATCCATGCCAAAATCATCGACATCATTTACATCTTCAACTGTCTTGCCCTCGCATCCCTTCTTGTTCTTTGCTATAGATCCATTCATTTGGGTATGGTTAGCAACTCCATTCCCATTAGTCCTTCCATTCATACCAGCAAGACTTGCACTCGAAGCATATCCCTTGAGATATACAGGGCCATCTTCCAAAACGTCGTTTCCTTCCATCAAAAACCTATCAAACCAAGTAAAGTCATATCCCGTAAAATCATGATAGTCCAAATTCCAAGAATCCATTGACTTGAACCAAAATTTATCATTCAATACAGAATCAACCCTGTGAGCTAATGTCATATTCAATTCCACCTTCAGAATGGGGATGTAGAAGTTTGGTCTGAATTTCAAAATAGCTCGTGATAGTAACGTAATGAAGGATGAAAATGCCGCGTTTTCGAAATCAGTGACTTGAACCTCCATTGGTCTGAACTCAACCCTCCATCCTGGCTTGTCACTAAAATCGATTTTGCCATTGGTATCACTTTCGTATAATGCTGGTGGTTTGAAGCGTAGTGTTTGCCAATTAGTACTTTGCAAATTCTCAAAATGATCATTACTCAATTTGTTATCCTGATTGATTCTCTCACTAAATATAACCAATGGATCTCTGATAAACAAATGGGCAAAATGGTTGGCCAAATACTTGTCAAATTGTCCCAGTTTGTCATTTATCAAACGTTTGTAGATTTTGGAGTTTATTGGCGCATTCAAATCGTTGAAAGCATCCTTAAAATAGCTTGTATCATAGTTGTGATCCCCGAGATAGTTGTCAACTGAGCCGTATCGCGATTTAGGAACCCTTTGAATAGGCTTGCCATCTTTTGTGTAAAGATCCTGCAAATCCCCATAAGCATTCACGCTGTGATTGTTCACCTGTAAGTTTTCCTTTTCATCAATGTCCAATCCACCGAATAGGTGATAGTTTGGATACGGCTCTTCTGACTTTTCCACAAATGTACGATCATCAACAGCGCCACAAATGACATTCCACCTCACATCCTGATCAACCAAGTAGCCTTTGAATATAGGTGCTGCACCAGTCAAACTCAACAATATTGGTGCCACTGGTACTAAAGCGTCATACAAGTATCTCGCCTGGTCGATGTTCTCACACTGCATGGTAATTTGTAAGCAACTGGAGCCCATGCCAAATCCCATTGAATCCATATATACATGCCCCGGCTTGGAAGCACCAATGTGGGGCTCTTTATCGCTCTTGAATAGTTGACGATTGGTTGGTATCGAATCATCTAGTAATTTTGTACGTTTATCTGGGTACATGGGTAAATTCATGGCAACCTTGTGACCTTTTCTTTTACGAATATTGGCTGTTAACGTGGGGAATCGAGCATGCCGATTGATAATCTCATCGGGTAAAAACAATGATTGTGATGCAGGTCCAATGGGTTTGGCGGGTGGTGAAGTAAACGTTCCACATCCCATTCTTGGAAATGCAGTGATTGTCAATGGCTTGATATGTTTGGGAAGTTCGTCAGTACTCAACTCCCTTCGTTTGATCATATTATCCTCAACATAGACATAATCCTCAAGTCTAGTTCCATCGTATGGCTTTGCTGGAGTAGCCTCTATCATGTATCTACCATACTCAGGATGAAACAAAACATTATTCTCTTGAGCCTTCGGAAGTGATTTGGTCTCATCATTCAAGTCGTCCAAAACAAAGTCTTTGTCAATGGCCAACTTTGCCGTCTTCAGTTGCTCATCTAAATCAACCAACATGTACTCAACCTCGTCCCCCCAAAAAAATCGATCATTGTCTCTGTTGTAGTGTTGACGAAATATGTTTATCAACTGAGTGATACCATTGTCTCTAACGTGTTCATTATGTTTCTTTGACTCGTGCCAGTCTAGTGGAGTACCCAAGGAAAGCAATCCCATGGATGTATGTGATGTATATGGCTAATCAACGGATATTGATACTGGTTGGAAAATTAAAAAAAAAAAAAAAAGAAAAAAAAACACCGACAAAACTGTGGTTGCTAAAACGGCGTTGCAAATGTAGTCGAAGAGACTGCCTGTGGAGAAAAGATTTTGTTCAGATTTGGGCTTTGTTGAGGAATCAGGGGTAACAAGGGTGGTTAGCTGTACAAGTATACTTGAATGCCCATAAACTCAGTCTCCTGTGATATCTCTCTTTCTTCTTTGACTCTTTCTATTGCTCAAAGATGTGGGATATGCAAATTTAATAAAAGATATTTAATTTAATTTTATTTTATTTAATTATTTTTTTTTTTCGTTTGAATGAAAATGGGGATACAATTGCTCCGAAGATTTGATAATAGCCTTGACAATAATGAATAGCTTGAGCCAATGGGGGTTGAGATAACTCGCAAAGTAGAGATGAGAGCAGTACAATGAATGTTTTATACCTACTGAACGATGGGGATCCTATTTAAAATGACACTTGATATCTTCAGTAAAAATAGATTACTAAGCAGAGACTTTCGCTTTGTGATTGAAAAAATGTTCTTGATTCTCTTCACATCGGCTTGCGTGCGATGCTGACCCGAATCAAGAGAGTCGTCCCACACCTACCCGCACCAAAGGCAAGCAGTAGCACCCTGAATTTTTTTATTTTTTCATTTTCCATTTCTCTCGCGCCGGATGGAACGAAGGAATTTGTTAGCCGCTTAGCTTTTTGGAACATTTAATGCACAGTTTGAAAAAAGAAAATATTAGATAAATGACGAAAAGTCACGTGATGGGTGTATTGGGTTTCCTGATTCGTATAGAGAAAAGTATGCGTTGCTTTATAAGATTCATTACTATGATTTAGTGAGCGGGTTGGAGAACAAGAGGGCGTTACAGTGATGATGAGTCTATGAGCGTCGTGGAGCAACAAGTTGACCTCGTATTGTTTGTCTGCATTAAAATAAGTATCTAGATTTTGGTGACCAAATTGCTGCAAAAAATAGTTGACCAACCTCTAAGACGTGAACCTTGATGAGACACAATTCACCGAGTTAGTGCAACAGGGATATCGCAATTTCTTTCGAGTAAACACGCGAAAAACCAGCACTCGCCTTTTGCAATATGTGTTGTGTTAGAAGCGAAATGCGATATCTACAGTAGTAGTGGTTTTGGAAGTAGTCTCAGGACTTGTTGAATATTATAAATAGGCAATAAATATACGGTTTCTGTAAAACCTTCTTTTTCCCAAAGGGCAAATGCGGTTCCATTTATTATCAATAAGTGACATCAAAAACCAGCACCGAGTGCATTACCTCATCTCAGCTTTGTAGTTGTGGGTTTGTAAGTCGACTCTACAAATTCACGAGATCCTTAGCTTTTCAATGTTTATTCCTCACTATACTTTAATACAATCCTTCAGCATTGTCAACAATACATCCTTCTTCTCCTTCCTTCTTTTCAACCAACTCTCCAATCACAAGTGCACCTTTCTCACCAGCATTCTCCAAGCTTTCCAAAACTTTATCGACATTTGCCCTGTCAACAATCAAAACCATACCAACACCTAAATTGAATGTCTTTAACATATCGTGAACTGGTACTTGTCCTTGTTTGCCAAACCATTTGAAAATTTCTGGAACTTGCCACTTACTTATATCAACTTTTGCTTGTAAATGCTTAGGTAACGCACGTGGAATATTCTCGACTAATCCACCGCCAGTAATATGGGCTAACCCTAATACCAAACTTTCATTTATACTAGGCAACAATTGCTTGACATAAATTTTTGTAGGCACGAGAACCTCCTCACCAATTGTTTTAGATTTACTCCATGGTGCTGGTGATTGATAATCAAAATCGCTAATTTCAATGATTTTACGCACCAATGAAAACCCATTGGAGTGGATACCGTTTGACCTCAATCCAATGAGAACATCACCAGCCTTCATGTCGGCAATTTTAGGCAATATCTTGTGTTTGTCAACAGCACCAACGGCAGTACCGTTAGTATCGTAATGTCCTTCATCATACATTCCTGGCATTTCAGAAGTTTCACCGCCAACCAAAGCACATCCAGCTTGAATACATCCATTTGCTACACCCTCCACAAATTGAGCAGCTACTTCGATATCCAACTTACCAGTGGCAAAATAATCCAAAAACATCAATGGTTCGGCACCTTGCACAACCAAATCATTCACATTCATGGCTACCAAATCGATACCCACGGTGTTGTGTATATTCATGATCTGAGCAATTCTCAATTTGGTTCCAACACCATCAGTGGCAGCAACTAACAAAGTGTTGGCGGTATCGTAACCGGCTGCTTTCAAATCAAACAAACCACCAAAACCACCGATATCGGAATCAGCACCTGGTCTTGCAGTAGATTTGACCTTGTTTTTGATGTTTTGTACTAACAAGTTACCATTGTCGACAGAGACACCGGATTCAGCATAAGTGACACCACTACTTTGCTTGAATTTATCAGCATCACGAAATGCTCTATGAGCAATATCTTTTCTGTTGTATTTCTTGTGGAAACTGACATGGTCAACACCAACGTAAGCTCTATCAACCGACTCCCTTAAGGAACCACCTAATGCAGTAGCGGCAATAACTCTTCCTCCACTTGTTACAACCTTGCCATCGGTCTCACTGGTACCAGCGTGGAAAAGAAATGTGTCCTTTGGTAACGGTTCTTTGATTGTTATTTCATCTCCTTTGCCGTATGATTCTGGGTATCCACCAGCTGCCATGACAACAGTGGTGGAGAACAATGGCTTAGTGGCAATTTTCACTGAATCTAATCTATGCTCAGCTGCTGCAAGCATCACCTGAGCCAAATCAGTATCATCACTCAACAAAGGCAAAACAGTCTGAGTTTCTGGATCACCAAATCTAACATTGTACTCCAAAACTTTTGGTTGCTTCGATGGGGTCAACATGATACCAGTAAATAAGATACCACACATTGGAAAACCATCTTTTCTCATTCCGTTGATTGTAGGCTTGATGATTTCTTCATCTATCTTGGTCAATACTTCTTTTGTGGCAATTGGTGCTGGAGCATAAGCTCCCATACCTCCAGTGTTTAACCCTTTATCCCCATCACCAATCCTTTTGTGATCTTGAGCAGCTGGTAAGTTGTAAAAAGTGTAGCCATCGGTAATTGTTAAAATACTTAACTCATCACCTTCAAGGTATTCTTCAATAACAATTTCGTTACCAGCATCACCAAAATTCTTATCCACCATAATTTCATTTAACCCCTTCAATGCTTCTTCTTTGGTCTCTGGAATCAAAACACCCTTTCCAGCAGCAATCCCGTCAGCTTTCAAGACCAATTTGTAATCAATTGCTTCAATATATTTTTTAGCTTCATCAACGTTTGTGAAATTCTTGAATCTAGCGGTTGGAATTTGATGTCTTTCCATAAATTCTTTAGAAGCGGCTTTCGAACCTTCCATTATGGCTGCTTTGGCACTAGGACCAAAAACAGGAATACCAACAGATGTGAATACTTGAGAAATACCATCTACCAATGGTTGTTCAGGACCAGGAACGACCAAATTGATCTTCTTTTCAACAGCAAAATCTTGCAATTTTTGAAAATCCTTCGGTGATGAACTGATTGGAACATTGGTTACCTTTGATGACTGAGTTGTTGTACCTCCGTTACCTGGCGCTACATAAATGTGATTGACACTGGATGATTGCAAAAGTCTCCACACAATCGCATGCTCTCTTCCACCATTTCCAATAACGAAGATGTTCAAAGACATTTTAGATGGTGTATGCGATCTGGTGTGTGAGTGTGTGTGTGAGTGTGTGAGTGTGTGCGTGGTTTCGTGAAGTCTTCTTCCGAGATGAGACTGATTTCTGAAAATTTAAAGAATTAAATTTCTTGAGTTTTGACTCTTTCTCAAAATTTGGTAGCGCAATATCACTTCTTTTTGCATCCATTGAGTGTTTAGATTTACAGAATAGAGAAAGAGAAGGTGGCAATGAAAGATGAAATTATTATATACTGCGCTTTGAGTAGGCAAATCCTAGATTTTGTAATATCATCCCTACAGAATCAGTTTCCACTTTTTTAGTGTACAACTGTTTACTAAGAGGCATCTTAAGTTGTGGGACCTAGGTCATCTTCTCTCAAAATATTTGGGCCAGATTGGAGTGGTACCTGCTTGGTTTGTTATGCAAGTAAGGACAGTAAAATCCTGAAAAGCGAATGCATTCCAATGCCCTAACTTAAACACGTGTTGTCTTAAATTAAAAAAGCTAGCGGCGACTTTCATTTAGATAAAACAAGATTGTTTCTTCAAATTCAACACGTTTGGGACAAGTATAGCATACCAAAGCTTAAATACAAGTGTGTAAGTTTTATCATTTGGCTCAATATGGAATCAAGCCCAGATACGGCGGTGCCAGCACCAAAATAGTGCAATGAGAACAACGCTACTTGCAGAAAGTTAAATATATCCAGTATCAACTCTGTCGAGAGACAAGCAAAATCTTTATTTTTTAGTTCATCGAGATTTGTGGCCTCGTTCAGATGCGTGTCGCCTCCAAAGTTTATGTAAATACGTGAACTTTAATCGGGGATGAATTAGTTCTTGATATCGTATGTTGCATGTATTTGCTTTTCATTTGCTCAAGTTCCTCAACCGACACACGCAACTCAATACTACTGATCCGAGAAAGCGCCCAGGTTGACTTCAAGTCTTTTCCGCCAATCCGCATCTAAAAAGTTTCCACCACGTATGAGCAGTATTTTTTCTTGTCATTGAGCTTAGAGTTAACATTGGATGGGTGTGTAATGTACAAACTCGAGAATAGAAAGGGACCTTTAAATAAAAAGTTTGGTGTCAACAAACATTGGCACTCGTTCTCCCGGTTGTCTCTCTAAATCCGCAAAAAAGTTCGGATAAAGGTTTGGAGTAGGTTAACCAATTGCTTAACCACTTCGATGCCAAAGTTAATGAACTTTTATAAAATTGGCTTCCCACTGAGTATCCAGGGTTGATATAAAGCTTCTCTTCGAACCGACTATGAAGCTTCACAAGAGATTCTCTTTCCTCGACCTCAGCTTGGTTACGACAGTTTTTCTCGAATAGAAATGCCCCTACAAATTCATTGTTTTCTCTATGATGCACCGCCTTTGCCACTCTTTTAAACAGCTCAGTTTGTGGGAGTAAATTCAACCAATGGAAAATGATATGTTCTGGAAAACACATTAAGTTGTCTTCTATTGGAAGTACCTTTAAAAGTAACTCCACTGGTAGGTCAGAAAGCTTCATCGATAGTGAAAGCAGTTGGGCAGTTGAGGTTTTTGATTGTAAGGAGTGATGGCATGCGAAGAAAATATTCTTGCCTCAATGAGGAAGATCTTCTTTCAAGTGATGAGAATCTAGGAGAGAATTGGCTTTCATTTGGGAGAGCCCTGATATCGTTGTGAAAGACTTATGCTATTCGCCCATCAACACATGTATAATCGTGGTCCCACTCAACTTGGTTGAGACTCTTGACAACACTTTTGGATCATAAATATGGAGACGTTAGTAAATAGTTGTTGCAATTGGATACTTTTGAGCTGTTTTTGCAACCAATCAAGAAAGTGATTGCGGAGCGTCCGTTGTATGTCAATGCTGAAAGCGACTTCTCAAGATGACGGACTATGTGAGGTTGACTTAACGCAATATTGTAGTGATAATCACACGTGGGTTGTGTCGCACTTAATAGTAAAATAATTTATGGGGGGTTTGACTCAAATTTCTGGTTGCATTGCACTGTCTTGCTCTTTTTCATTGTTTAGAGCCCCCCCCTTTCAATCACTATTAGTAACTATTGAACTATGTTGTTAGCTTTACAACAATAAATGTAAGGGGTACTTTGATGGCCCACGTTGTCAGAAAAGCAAAAGTTTTGGAAATCGAAACTTAATTTTGTGATCTCGAATTGGGTTGAAAACAATAAAAGGTACGGGGAAACAGGTCAATGACAATGACAAAATCCGTCCAATACTTGAACTTGTGAAAATTTTCAGCACTAGATGGTGATTCGGAAGCAATGTGAAATGGTATAAATAGTGGATTGATTACAACACTTAAAGCACAGGAGAGCCAATTCTGTCTCAACCTCAACATTATGCAATTTTTGACTCAATCAATTCTTTTGATCCTTGCTACTGCTGTTATCGCTAAAAACATTCTTTTGAGTAACGATGATGGTTGGGCGGCAACCAATATTAGAGCCACCTACTACAAGTTGAAAGAAGCTGGTCACGAAGTTTGGTTAGTTGCTCCTGTTTCACAAAGATCTGGATATGGGGGTAAATTTGATGTCCCATCATCTTCTACCTTGCAGTCTGATGGTGAGTTCAAGTATCCCCCTGCTGGTTCAAAGGCTTGGGGCCATGAAGAAGACGATGATCATATTTGGTATTTCAACGGTACTCCAGCTTCATCAATTGCTTTTGGTTTGCAATACGTTTTGAAGGAAAAGTTTAATGACACATCGATTGATTTAGTTGTTGCTGGTCCAAATGAAGGCACAAATATGTCTCCAGGTATGTTTACATTATCAGGTACAATTGGTGCTACTTACAACTCCGTTTATAGAGGATACCCAGCTGTTGCATTCAGTGGATCAAACTCCAACAACTCATTCTTTAAGGACTCATTGGACTTAGACGACGCTAATGAACCATCAACCATCTACGCAAACAAAGTTACCGAATTCGTTAATCAATTATTCGAGGGACAAGGTGATGAATCAAGAGCATTACCACTTGGTGTTGGTTTGAATGTCAATTTCCCTAAAGTGGGTCATGAAGATGAGTCGTGTACTGACCCGGCCTGGGTTTATACCAGATTGACCGGTGATTCTGCTGGTGGTCCAGATTTGAAATACAATGCAGATAAAGATGTGTTTGAATCAAGCCTGGGTAGTTGGGAAGCTCTTAAAATTTGTCACAATGGTGATTGTTCATTGCCTTCTGAGAATTCTGTCGTTGAGCATAGAAAATGCTCTTCATCTGTGTCTGTTTTCTCTATTGACTATGATGCCAACTTGAACATCACCAACAAAGTTGAAGGTGTTTTGCATCCATTGTTTCGAAAGGATTAGATTAGCTCATTCAGTTTGTAGCGCTACTTGTAAACGTGGTATTCTTTTGTCGATCGTGTCAGTTTACCTGCTAAATCAGTCAACATTTTGACGTATCAAACTTTACGATAGGACAAACACAACCATAGTTTGAGTTACAACCCGTAACGTGGAGTAGCTATCAAACTGCCAAAGTGCGATTTGACGCAGCTTCAAAAGATCACAATACTGAGAAGTTGCAGTAGAGTCGGCGAGCGGGCGGTTTTATTGCAACCAATTGAAGCGGCAAATCGATGCTTTGCTTAAAAAACAAGAAAACATTATGGAAGAGAGTACAAACGTAAAAATTATGTCAATCAAAAAGAATAAAGCGGCACAAAGAAGTGCTAAAACAATAGGTTTAAAATTTCAGCCAATCCGCATCACTTGAAAAAATAAAAAAATAGTAAAAATATCCGATGCGCTTTAAAACTAGACAAAACATTTTTTTGATGTTGCCTAGAAAATATTGGGCGCTCGTATCCCCCTTAAAGGACTACCCTCTAAGAAAAGAATGAAAAGAGCACCAGCTAGGTCTAAGTTCTTTGCATTCATTGACTAGAGGTCTACTTATACTAGCGATGAGAGACGACGTTGTAACTCTCACACTCCTTTCCTTTTGAAGGTCCATTGTTTCCCTCTGCTTACGAAAATGTAACAGTTTAATACAACATGCATAACCCAATTATGATACGCTTTTGGTTAGGTTGTATTGTTCTGCTCTTTAAAACATTAATTTATATACATCCCGACGTAGCTCTTATTGGTTGGAAAATAAAAATCAGGCGGTTACAAACAATAGAAATAGCCAAGTTTTGTGTCAGAATTAAAATTATTAAAAAATAAATTTATCTTTTCCATCAAATAATAAATTACTTTCCCTAAAGCCTTTTCTCTATTGTTGAACATTTCATATTAATATAACCCTGTTGCCCTGTCAAAAGTATTATTTGTCTTTTTGATAATCTTCTTTTCCTTCACATATACCCTTCAAGAGTAATCACGATGGTCTCATTCAAATACTTGGTCAGCTTAGCATTGGCTACAACTGTAGTCCAATCATTCACCCTTTTGCACGATGCTGAAGGATACGCCATCTTACCACCAACTGATGTCGTTTTGAACTACTTGAAAGAAGCCGGTAAGAAAGATGCATCCACTCACTACGATGTTGTAAACACTGTGCACAAGAATGGCGAAATTGTCCAAGTCAATACCCACACTCATGAAATTAAACAAACTGGTAAATACAAGTACAACTACGACAACTCATGTTACCATGATGAATCCAAGAGAGATAATTTGTTCACTAGAGAAATCCAAGACTCAAGTTTGACCCAATGTTTCAATAAGGATAGTGAATTGGAAACTTCACAGTGTGGATTTGATTTTATTGCTTACGATGATGCTTCCAACTGTGATTCTTCAACCACTAAGTACTCTTGTGTTTTGGATGTTCAAAAACAACAAGACGCTACTTTGAAATTGAAAGATATGGATGATATTCCTGCTCAAGTTAGATGCTATCACAAATTGTCAGATGCTAAAAGTGATAAAGTCACTGGTGGTGCTTGTGGTAAGTAAAAAAAAAGTGACTCTAGTCCCTATTGAATTGGGTTAGCTTTTGAAAATTCATGTTCTTTTAATATAGTTTTGGTTCTCGATAATACATATTTTTGCGTTTTTGCGTTTGAAAAGCGAGCAAGAAGTAAAAGGTAGGTAGAGACAACTAGTCAATTACAGAAAGCAATTGCTTTTCAAATTAACTACATCTATCATTCCCAACAGCAATAGCCGAGGCTCATGACTATTTACAACACACATCTATAGACCCTTTTGACAGCTCACTATATAGCAACGTCTCCTCCATCAACAACTCCTTCAAACTTGTACTCTTGATCGCTAGGGACTTTCACTTGGTTTCCGTCAGCACTAATTGGTGAATACAAATAATATGCCAATAAACTATTAATGCTAGCTCTGATCTGTGCTTCTTTCAAACTAGATCCAACACCTTCCCCTAACTTTTCATTACCTACGAAAACACCAGCAAGAAATTGTGGATGAGCTGATCTCCTACCAGTTTCAGCAATGAGTCTGATCTTGACAGGTTCTTTAAACTCCAATTTATCACACAACCTAATCAATTCAGCAATAGGTTTGTCAAATTGAAACATTTGCTCCACTGGCAACTTTCTCGACAATATGTGGTCAGAAATAAATTGCTTGGCAGCTTCTTCACCACAATGAGTATATATTCCACCAATTATGGACCTTACCGCTGATGCATACGCAACATCTTCTTGTTTTAATAAGCTGTTTCTACCTGAATCTCCCAACACTTGTTCAATTCCATCAACTTGCACTTTGTTTTCAATTTCATCATTAGTCAAAAACCTCAATCTTCCATACTTGATAAATTCAGATTCTTGACCCAAGAATCGATCCAACTTCGACACCGAATCAACTTCAATACCAAATGTAGATCTCCCTATTTCAGACAATGTTTCTACTCCCATCAAAGAGTCAACGGCTGCATTGTGTATGCTCATGGGTAATCTTGGATAATGTAACAAAAGATATTCAGTAACATAATAACTCAACAAGGTCTTTCCCATGGTGTTAAGCCCAAAGTTGTTGGCTAATCCCTCACCTTGCTGACTTGAAGTTTTAACCATATTGAGACACTGTGAAAGAGTACTTAACTTGAATTGGGGACTTAAATTGAGTCTGCTATGTAAAGAAACCAATAATGGTGATTGTTCAGCTGTGGATTCGGGTAACCTATGAACAAAAATGTTGGATCTGGGGAAATCATTTCTGGAACTTGGATCTATGGAGGCAGTCGATGATGATGGAGATGCCGTGGCATGCCTTATTCTTGCAGTATGATGAATCCCACGTACGATGTTATTGAATTGATTTAGTAGTTGTTGCGATCTGATATTGGTCGAACGTGACAAAAGCCTCAACATTGTCAGCTTAGGTATATCGTGGGATGTGGTTTATAAGCCAGGCTTTGATTAGTGCACCTGGAGGACGTACTTTGGTCTACTTTTATAGGCTGCCTTGTCTATTGAAAAAAATTTACCATCTGCTTTGATGAAAGGAAAGGAAAAAAAAAAAAAAAAATTCAAAAACAATTGGTAGCTTAACTTAAGTTGGTAGCTCTTACACTCATTCTAACCAACCATAATCCAATCGAAAAAACTTACTTTATGGAGGAAGCTTACCATATTTCATCGAAATATACAACCACAGTCACCACACTAGCAAAAGAAAAAAAATGGCACATGCTCCATCATTGAGTGTACCTGCAATACTCACCATGTCATCCGTAGCGGTACTCTATGGATTAATCAAATCACCATTGAAGTATAAATGGGCTAGTGAATCTAGAATTAGTCCCAAAGCTGATTTGGCATTTAGGAATAGTGCTGAGAAATGGTTAGAAGATCACAAAGGTGAACGTTACTAGAGAGTTAAGGGTTGGCTTTTTCACCAGTGTTTAATGGGTAGCATGTGATGTTTTGGTCAGTGTGTCTTTGAGGTGGTAGTGTTTTTTACCCAACCATTATATATACTTATTTATTGAATTAAATACAGCTTGTCGAGGATCATTGGATATTGAAATGTAGCTTTTCTTCTATACTATGTCTATAAAATCTTAGAGACCACAAGAAGGGCGAGTGTGGGGAATATCCCTTGATGAAACTACTGTTGCGCGACATCTTCCAACTCCACATCACCGCTTCTTTGTCCAAATTGCTCTTGCTCGTGCACTCTCAATTTAACCCAGTCACTTTCCAACTTGATGAAACACCAAATCCATCTTCTGAAGATTTCCAATGTTTCAATAACTACATATCCAAACGAATACGCATCATAACCAAACAAGAATGTCGACATAACATGTATAAACTTGATTTCACTTGACTGAGCTAATTGTTCATTGATTATGAATAATTTTAGCACCCAAATGAACCGTAATAAGAAATCAATGACCATGGCTGAAAAATAGATAATATTTGGGTATGCCTTGTGGATACGCAAAATGCGAAATTGTGATTTTGGATTGAATAATTTGTTAAACAATTGTAAATGCCAATCCATTTTGATATCCCAGATAAAAGAGTATGTTGAATTCAAAGCCAGTAGAACATACCACCATTTGTTCAACGACGTCAAATCAATCATCAATTGACCCGATTGTTTAGCATCATCACTTGCATTCATCAATGTACTTTTGATCAACACATTAACGACAAGTGGGCCAATACCTGTACTATATTTGACAAGATTTAGTAAATGTTGCACTTGTCTTGTAGTACGATACTCAAACCAACACTGCTTGATACGAATGCAAGTTGGAATGCACAATATAGCAAATTCCAATTTATAATTATATGCTGTGGTGTCATCGATGTAATAATTCCATACAAATAACCCAAAATCATTTATAACCTTAGCAAAGGATACCAATGAATCACTAATCAAGATATCGTTACTTCTCATGGATTGACTATTGATGCCACCTCGTAGAATTCGTTTCATTGTTGTCCAAACACGAACTTGTCCAGGACTTTGTGAATTTGCATAAAATAGTCTATTAAAGACGTACGCAAACAGTGCAATAGGTATACTATAGTAGATAATCTTCCAATCATTGAGATAATACTGAACAGTTTTGAATGCAACCCAACTGAGTACGTTAACTATAGTAACTGCCTTTAAACTTGACCATATACCTATAATTAATCGACTGTTTTCGTGTCTGTCAGCAGGTATGGATGTAGCATATTCTCCATTTGACAGTGGTAGCGGGCCATCCAACAGGGTGTATTTGTGTGTATTATATGACAAGTTGAGTAGCTGAAGTAAGTTTAATGATGAAACTGTTGATAGTACAAAATTTAACACAAACCATAGCGTGACACCAAGTTGGATGAGCCCCAAGATTCGGAAAGGAAGTGGGATAAGGTCATTGAATAGAATGGCTTTCGTTTCATTCAGTGGTTCATCCATGATATAGCATTAGGTGGTTGAAGATGAAAAAGAAGCCTGTGAATTTTTGGAAAATTAATGTTTACAAAATTCTTTTTCAGATCGACACAAGGCGCGTGTACCAGAGAGTCGAAAACAATGCGGTACATAGAGAATGAACGCTACAAGTATAGCCTAAGAGGAAGAAAGAGCCAATCTCTATTTCGATACCAGAGTTGTGTTGTAACGTGTGGCTTCAGACGTGCCTTTTTTAGACACGATTTATATAAAAGTTGATAATCATTAAATAGATTCATGATTAGCATGGAAAAACATCATTAGCCAAACAACAACACTGATACCGTACATAGAACTGCTCCTTCGCCACCTAATATCACTATTAACCCTACAAAGATAAGACAAATGTCATGTCTGACTATTCAATATATATATATATTCAATATATATTCAAGTCCTAAAGCCTAAGTATTCGTTAGTAATGAGTTTCTGGAAGATCCACACAATGTGGACCAGCCCACTAATCATCTCTCCTCTTGAGTGTTACTATCATATCAGAATTTTCAGTGTTTGGCTAATGAATCGAATCGGTCAGCGTCCTGAAATATAGGATCCTCCGTTTGGGGCGACATCTTTGTCATCATATGGTAAGGAAACATCAAAATGGAAATTTGAAATGGGATGGGAAAAAAAAACTCATCAATTGAGTCATTTGAATAAAAAAAAAACATACTATTGAACCTAGTTGAAACCAGTTCAAACTAGTGAAGACGAATAAGATTTCATTCGTATTGAAGAAAGAGAAGAAGAAGTTGCAATTGAAGTGAAGAATTTTTTTTTTTTTTTCTCACTTCATCGCGTTGATTATACAGCAGAGATATTTACCCGGCTGGATTACATCTATCGATGATGTTGCAATAAAGGCGACATACCTACTACAAGTATTGGTCTGGAACCATTTGAATAATATAACTCCCACATACACATCGATAAATAATACAAACGAGAACATGCCTTTTTTTTCACAACTTTTACCTCTTTCCTCGAAGTTTGCCTTTGAGCTTCTCCTTCCTGGTATTCTCCCTTCGTTCAGCTTTACTCAAATACCTAAACTTCTTCTTCTTTGCTTTTGGTTTCTCTACTTTTGAAGGTTTCGCAACACCACACAAGACGGCATAATTCTTGGCTCGTTCGACTGCTTCTTCCAACACTTCTTCAGATTTGTTGAGATCAACATTGTTGGTCTTGGCTATTTGTTCCAAGTTGGTTCCATTTGCATGGTGGCCTAGCGGTTTATCTATTGATTCTATTGTCACTGTTGTTTCATCGCCAAACCCATCAAGATTTGAGTCTGGTTCATATACTTCTTTATGATGTAAGATTCCTTTAAGTGAAACCGACTTGTTTTCCGTGGAAGTCTCTTCAGTTGCTTCCTCGTCAAACCCAGTCCATTCATCTTCTTCCGCTTTCTCTTCCCCATCTCCTTCACTATCATCATCTGCTAGTCCACCATTTATCATTGCAAGCTCTTTAGCCTTTTCATTAAACTCTCGCAATTGGTTCTCCAAGTCTCGTTTCCTCTCATCACGCAATTGTTTCCGTTCTTCTATCCTTGCCAACCTTTCCTGTTCCTTGATGTACTCTTGTGCCTTCTTTTTCCTTTGCAATTTACGTTTATGAAATCCAGTCAAATACTCTTCACGACTTTCTTTATCAAATGTAACTTCATTAACAGCGTGTTTCTTGGCTTGCTTTTCAGCATAGTTCTTACCTGCTGTAAGGATCTGTCTGTTTTGTCTTACCATCTTCTGCAGCTTCAAATCCAACGGCTGTCCAAATGGAAAAGGGTTCAAATGGATGGACAGATGTCAGTGATGAGATCACAAAAAACAAAAAAAAAAAAAAAAAACTTCCCAAATAAAGCTCCCAATGAGTTTGACAACTTTCCCACTCCCCAACATAGACATTACACCATCATGGAGAACTTAGACAATATCAAATTATACCTCAAATCCCTTGACAAATCTATCTCACAATATGAACCAACCCTAGAACCGCTCCTATCACGAACACTCGACGAGCACCTAGCTCAACAAACGACACCACAATCCAAAATCACATTTCTCAATAATTTTCAATACGTACTAATATCGACAATTTATTCATATTTAAAAACAATTGGAATAGATACTGATACTCACCCCATTAAGAAGGAGTTAACTAGAGTCAAGAGTTATATGATGAGAGCTAAGAATATGGACAATAACAAAAACAACGAACAGGAAGCCATTGCAGATAAGGCAAAGACCAAGGAGTTTTTGACGCAGACTTTGGGTGTCAAGAATGGGGTTGAAAATACTGTCAAGGATATAGGACCAGCTATAAGTACGCAAAATTTCCAGGGCACTCACACCAAATTTGAAGATGAGGACCATAGTAGTGGTGAAGAAGAGGAGAAGTCGGAGTTACTGAGTAAAGTGAAGCAAAAGACGCCGATTGAGAGTGTCAAAAGGGACAAACTGAAGAAAAAGAATAAACCATCGATTAAGGCGAAGGCCAACTCAAAACCGCTGAAGAATAAAATAGCCAAGGTCAAACATGGATATCTACCACCAAGACCGGACAAGAAAAAACCTAAATCGTAAATAATCAATATACAATAAACACCGTTACAACCTACTTGAATTTATCTGTATATCCTTTTACTCTCTATGCAAAATATTCACTAAACACATACTCGTGCTTTAAATTCTCTTCAACACAATAATAAATCTCCATCAATAAATGAGGAAATTTGTTATTAAAATATTGATAAAACCCATTGGGCAAAGGTGCCATTTTCTCTTGCAAACTCACTGGCATATCGTTATAATGATGGTACTTGTTTCGAATAGCTCGCAACAAATCCATCAATTTCGTAGTTTGATATTTCCGATACTTGCCCAAATTTTCCAAAAATTCATCATCAGCGAGTTGGGTATGCCAATTAAGATTATGCACCATGAGTGCATGTTTTTCCAACTCAAGTAACAATGCACTAGGTGGATCGCGTCGTTCAATTTCAAATCGATCACTCACTTTTAACAAAAACTCAAGTCGTTTGGTATTTGACCAGAATAATGGATGGGCAAGGATTTTGGTGGTGTTTGGTCTCATGGCCGGGTTGGCGTGAATTAAACTTGAAATCAAATCAATTGATTCGTATTGATCATGGGGACATTTAGTAAGCAAAATTGACAAGTCGTATTCACCTTTGATGATGTTTCCCTCTCGCATATATCGGTCACCAAAAGGATGTAACCCGTTAGTCAAAATGTAGAAAAATACACATCCAAGTGAGAATATATCAATGGCTTTTGTTAACCGTTTGCCTCCAGACGTGTATAATGTAGAAGAGGATGCCGCCGATGTAGATGATGTTAGTCCATTAGAATGAACGGATGAGATGGAGTCGGGTGAAATCTCTAATAAGTCATGGTTAAGTAACAATTCAGGCGCTCTCCAACCCGAAGTTCCAGAAGCTGCATGTTGAGTAGTTGCTCTAAACGACGATTGATCATGTTCCAACTTTTTACATAACCCAAAGTCAGATATCAATAATCGAACATTGTTTTCATACTGAATTTGCTCCAGAGCAATTGCTTCCTTCTTCAAATGACTAGGTTTCTTGACATTGGCAACAAGAATATTCTGCGGTTTGATATCACGATGAACAATTTTTAACGAGTGCAAGTAATGTAATCCACTGGCTAGTTGATACAAAATGTCATTTCTCTTCGGTATTGATAAATCAGCAACCTTTTGAGGCTTTTCGATAATATCCTCCAATGTACATAAACAAAGTTCTAACGCAATGTATAGGAATTTTTCCGACTCTGAAGATTGCGAGCAGAAATATCGTATCACATTAGGGTGATCATCCGATTCTTGCAACAATCTCACTTCATGATTGGCAATGTCATAAAAATCAAGTAACATTCTTTTGACGGCAACTGGTCGATTTTCAAAAGTGCCCTCAAACACAACTGTTCCATGAGAACCATAACCAAGAATTTTATCAGAAATGATCAAATTATTTTCAATTTGTAGCTTCTTCTTTTGCTTAGGTGGGAGTGGCAATGTTTGTATAAGACTCTTTGTAGCAATCGTTTCTTCTTCAACATCTTCTTCACTGTTTTTGTCTTCGTTACTCGACTCCTTCTCTTCTGTGGCCTTATTCTTGTTAATGTGTCGTCCACCTCGTTTGGCCCCTCCTCTACTACCTCTCTTCCGCTTCTTCTTAGTGGCGGGCTCAGTTTCAATACTCTCTTTATCGCCTCCACTTGCATCGTTGTCACTGTTAACCAACCCATTCTCGGTCTCACCTTCATGCGTCGATAATGGTTTGACGCCAATGTCAATCTCATCAATAGGCTCTGTTTCTGGTTCAACAATTGTAACCTTCTTTTTATGTAAACCTTCGGTAGGCTTTTCCGACTCTTGTGCGTTTTCCACCTCAAGAACCTCCATTAACTTTTCACCACCATTGACCTTTTCCCTTTGCTGTGAAACCAGGTCCACTGGTTTTTCTTCACCAAGTGCGCCAGGTGATCGTTGCTCAACAACAATCTGGTTTGGCGCTTCGTCCCCTACCACTTCAAGATCATCCTTCACTCTAAACTCTCCAAAAAGCTTCCTGACATATTTGTTTGACCTGCCAAAGGCTAGTATCAAGATAAGTATCACCATCATGACACCGATATCCTCAACAATGCGTTTGACAATGGCTCCTGATCCAGAAGAACCTGCACTTGGTCGATAATTTTCAACGGTATCCTTCACCGGTTCAAGCATGATCACATCAGAGCCAATAGTTGACACTTTTGCCGGGAATTTTATTCCTTCAATAATGTTGGGAATTGGCTGAGCTGGTGTATTATTTTCTTCGTTACCATCCCCAATTCGTTTAATATCTTTTGGTGATGAGAATTTAGAAACAGGTTGATATGATGAATCTCTTGATAATTCAACGACTCGATGAATACCAGTAATCAATTGTTCAACCTGCTCGGGTGTGCTTGTTGCAATTTGATAATTTTCAATATACCCAGCTGCCTCATTAACGCCTGCGTGATATTGATTCAAGATAGCTTGGTATTTGGAGATAGGAGCGCTTTTTATCAAAGTAGGGTAATTGTGGAAGCTCATGGCAACCCATTGGTTTGAGTCTGCTGTCTTGTTGAGAAAGACATAATCGTCATTCTTTGCATCACTGGTCTGTAATTGATTTAAAACTTCCAATGGATGTGGCAATAGTATATAATCTCCTTGTTTATCATTATGGAATACATCAAATATATTTACTGCCAATGCTGGCAACCGACTGATCCACACCGGCGTACCGATATCCTTATTAATAGCTAGTAGCGATCTGTCGTGGAATGGAGTAAAATACAACTTGTCTAGTGAATATTTATTTTGCATAATCAAATCATTGTCAATGTTATTGGGTACCCACTGATTATAGGTGACATTCCACACAATATTGCTGTTTGTTTTGGAATGGATCGACAATTGATAGGTTGTTTTGCCAATCATTATAGTATCATCTTGTCCACCAGGTCTGGGCGGCAAAGTGGTTTGCAGAACAGGACATTCGTCTTGGTTCCCAAAAGACGATTTGACCTCACCCGTATGAATATTTAAACTGTACAAGGAGGTTTTTCTGGTACCAGTGTAGATCTTGTCGTCACCACTTAGTGAGAATGGTGATTCCATAACCAAGTGTTTTATACTTGTCGGTAGTTTATTCAACCCAAACATGGGAGTAAAATAGTACAAAGTACCATCTTCATGAGGTTCAACAAACCATAATATGTTTGATTGTTGACTTTTGGCATTTTCAAAGGTATTGTTTGCTTGCACTTTAACCAAAGGTTCATCTATGGGTAAGGTCCAGACCATAGTCCCCGTACTCCTCTCCACCCCATGGAGGTTCCCATTGATATCACTTACGAGTAGAATGTCTTGTAATTCGCAGTCATCAATTGAGCGAAACTCCAATGGTAGAAGTGACTTACTGTGCTGATGTTGTAGTTGCTCTAGTGACTGTTGCTGCTGCTGTCGTTGTTGTTGTGTAATATGCGGTTGATTCTGTTCATTGTATTGTATTTGACTCGGTTGAACGACTTCATTGTCCTGCCTAAAAGCTGGCACGGTTGATTTCCCTAGTCGTTCCTTGGCCCATGTGAGACTTACTAGTATAAGGCATATTAATGATGATATTATGGGGAGTATCTGCATGTTATGATACTAGCTAGCCTACCCTATAAGCATCTAATGAGTAAAGAAAATGGGCAGTTGTGTTTGCTTACAAGACCAAAAAGTTATTGTTGTGTATTGTGATCACTGGAAAGGGGGGGGTCAATGTGGAATGAGCTTTTTGTCTCATGAAATTTTTTTCCTTCTCCTTCTCTCATTCGTTTTTCTAATTTAGTCTATACATGCAAGAAGGTCCATGCATTATAAAAGAGAATAGGAGAATACATTTTGCGCAATGGATTGCACTAGAGTAGGAGATATTCCAGTTGTGTTTGCTAACCTGGTGTAGACTGAACGGGAGATATCATATCGCAGTGATATGTTCAGTAAACGAAAAAACTGCACAAGAAACAATATGAAGATCGTGTCTACATCAATCGACTCTATCCAACCCTAAATCTAAAAATTTTCATTATTAACTTTATACATTATTTATCATTATCATCATCACCAAGGAAGTAAATAAAAACCAAACGGTGTCATCATCTAGTTCGTAAACTCCTTCTCCTTTTCATTATATTTCATTTCCCTCTTCGCCAACTTCTAGTTTCATTTCATTAAGTATATCGGTTGTTTTCACTTGTCTTTGATCAGCAATCAATGTAACCAACTGTAAGGCAACATCTTTTAACTCATTATACTTCTTCAACTGTTGAATATGTCTTTTGATGATGACTTCTGGTTGATCGTTGCCTTCTAATTCATGAATTAGGCATGAACATTGCCGTTTAATCTCGTCCAAATTCTTTTCCTTTGTGGATATACGTTCTTGATCTTCAGGTGTAAGCGTCGACGTCGAAGACGTAGCTGAATGAGACTTGAATGATTCATGAGGAATTGGTTGTGTGGTAGGCGACATGGGCGACGTGCTAAGTGATTCTGCAAATGGTTCACTAACAAACGTGTTGTCGGTTGTGATTGAGGGTATAGTTGGAACAGTTGGATTTGACGAAAGTATTTTATTTTGAACAAGATCATCATTAATGGATTTGCTTTCGTTGATTGTGTTGTACGATTTCGAGTTGCGTAATTCTGTATTTATCGACGAATCAACAGTGGTATTACCTATATATGTGCTTGCCTCTGAGGAAGCTGGTGGTGGTGGTGGCGACGTGCTCGTGATGTTTGTCATTGCCTGTGGATGGCTATTTTTACTTGATTCAGCTTCATCGTTATCTATCACAAGGTTGGTTGTTGATTCAACCAAGGCATGATGATCTTGGTCTATAACGTCAGACATTGTTCGAAGCGTTATGTTGTGTGTCTGGATGTAATGATCAAGTATATGATTGAAGCAAATAACACTCAACTATTGTGTGTTGCAAATATTTAAAGAAATAGTGTAAGAACAAAGGTGTAGCAGTAGCAAAACCTATTTGCAGTTTAGAGGCTATTGTTTCTTTTTGTCTTTGATTGAGGGATAGTGAGTTGAGTGACTAGCAATTGCTAAGTTGATCCTAGATGCGCAATAGATAATGAGATATGGTTGTGCTTTTGTAAAAATTTCTACTCAAGATGGGGGGAAATTAAAATTTTTTTTCCTACATCTTTTGGGAATAGTTTTGTTACACACTTTAGTTTCTTGTCATAACCTTTTTCGATTATTGTACAGCATACACACACACACACACACACGCAAACAATGTAAGATGTGTAATTATCCGTTTTATGCAGTAGAGGGTAAAGTAATGCATACACACTACAAACTACACAAGACCCATCACTTCATTAGAATCAACAAAAGACCCAACCTCATTGGACATTCTTACACATTCTCAATCTTTCGCAGATCCCAAAGAAACTATTGAAACTGCTTTCAGTGTAATTCAAAATCTAAGTCAATCACGAGAATATTTCATTGGCATCGCTTTCCACGTGATTTTCTTTTAAATTCAGTCTCTCTTCTGTTTTTTGTGTAATGGACTCTTCCAGTCCTCGGGTTAGCTTAATGCCGACGATTGACAAAACAAAAGAAAAAACCAAAAGTAGTACGATTATTATGCAACCGCATAGCCACAATGTATCTTAGAACGCGTATACACGAACCTACCGAAGAAGCAACCTCACGGATATACACTCACCCATATCTTCTGATCAGACTTTAGAAACTTCTCTCTCTCTTCAACACCTGACACTCTTTCTTTTTTTTTTTTTTTATTTTTTTTTGTTATTTGACTCCACCAATCGAGCGGTGTCGCAAATGCATGTCGTCTTATATAAGTGACACACAAAACAAAACACGTTTGACTCCATGACGTCATAACTTATTTCTCTCTTTTTTTTTTTTCCTTCTACAGCCAGCATCAACGATATGCCGAGGAAGAGAAAAGAACGACCACCATTCGATCAGAAACTAAATACATAGGGAGACAAAAAAATGGTATTTACCTTTATCAATAAGTTTATACTGAGGTCGTGAATGCTTTAACAAGGGGTATCCAAATAATCTATATCTTTCTATGAGCAACAAAATTCCTATAGTTCCACATAACCCATAATCTCTTTCTACAAAACGCCCCGGCTGGAAAACCTCCCTCCACTGTTACACTACTCAATCACCATGGAGGGAGTAGGAGCAGCAGGTAATTCATCAAATGCCCCTGGTCCGCAAACTTGTGCGCTTCCGCCAGTAGCACCAACGTGGTGTCCCGTTACGTCTTGAACATTTCTCACTCTACGTGAACTGACTCTAGACCCATCATTGTGATTGACGCCATCACTTCTCGGTGCATAAGTATACTCACCGCCTTGAGTTTTGCCAAAAACCTGCTTATTTCCAACGTAAAATTGCGGTTGTTGTACTCGCTCTTGTGGATGGTGATGTTGTCGCAGATTTTGGGTAAATAATTGTCCTTTACTCCCAATGATAATCTGATTCCTCTCTCTCGTTGAATTAGTGTTGAGACGCAGTTGTTGCTGCTGCTGCTGATATAGATACTGTTGCTCATCATCCCTATGGTTTTGCACTTGTTGCTGACTCAATCGCACAAACGGCACACCCAAATCGTACTCACTTCCAGATTTAGTCCTCCTTTTGCTCTTTATAGCACCATTTCCACCTGATGAATGATGGCCTACAGTGGGAGCAGCTGGTGAACTCACATTTCTATGCATTGATTGAACAATCTCAACACCGGGAGATATAGGTCGTTGTGAGGACGAGGTAAAGAATTTGTTCAAGTAACCCAGTGACGATTGTCTTTCTTGCTTTATATTTTGCAAATTAGAATGTGAATTCAGTCGGGAGGTCAACGATGTAAATGATTTGACATTTCGCAATTTGCGAAGCTTTTTCGGTGGTGTGCCCCCGTTGTAGTTACCCACACCTTCACTAGAAGAATGAGACGCAGCTGCCGCTACAATGACCGATTGACAAATACCCAAAACATTCCAGACTTGCTCCATGATAGCTTCTCCATCAATAGACACATCATCTTGCAAAGGTTCTTCATACTTGAGTCCGAAATTGTGCACTAAATGATTCAAATCACTGAATTGAGGAGCCACTCTACTCAACACATGCAGAATCATCACCTCTCCTTGTTTAACACGTTGTTCATAGCACTTAAACAACACATGATTTACCAATGCAATATTGCTATTGTTTTTTCCACCATAAAATAACCAACACTTGATAATGTGGCCGCATAAATGAACTAACCCCAAATCATTGAAGAGTGTCGACGCAATGAAATTTAATAGGATGTAATATACCCAATAGTTGAGTAAAACCTGGTATGAACTAGGTCGAAATTCAATACGTTGATCAAGAGCTTTAATGGTGTATAAGCCTGGTATTAGAGCATTTAGCGTGGTGAATATGACACCTAGTATGTTGAACATTGCACAGACAATGCCAAATAGCACTAAACGAATGGAGGAATTAGCAGTGTAGTGTGAAATTTGGTGTGTCGAAAAGGGGTTGTGGAAATATGAAAGATGGTAAATTTGTGAATGTGAGATATTGCCTTGCTCTTTATAATAACTTCTTTGAGTTCTCGGAGTTATTCTAAAACTCTCCGTCTCTCTTTTTTTTTCCGCATAACAATAAAACAACACTAGTCAATTCCTATCGGCTAGTATAGCCTATACACAATAAGAAAGAACTTTCCACTATACGATATGACGATGTCTGTGTCAAAATCAAAGATCTAGGCTTTCATTTAACAATGAAACGTAGGAGTAAACTATGATTCTATTTCTACTAGGTTTCTTCTCGTTCATTTTCCTTGCAACAAGTTCCGCATTGGGAAGTGTATTCATTACACAAAACTATATTCTCATCACCGAATGCGTATATTATTACCAGCACCGCCATTAATTACATACTATTTTCGATCGTGGAGAGGTATCGGGAACCAACGGAAAAAGAGAAGCACAACTCACTTCAAGAAGCCTCACTAGACCTCGGATAGCACTACAAACTACACCCATTTACGACACATTTATCGTCTAAAGTTCTTCTTTTTTGAAATAATACAAAAACAATTCAAACTCTAAATATTAACCACCACTAAAATTCATCGATCCCGCTACTTCCAATTTATTATCACTTCGGGAAATTATCCATTGCCAAACTTCCCTCTCTGCATCACAGTACACTTTCGACCTTGAAGCTTTCCCACTTCCACCATGTGAAAACAATGACAAGAACTTGTTGGTGATGATGTAAGCCACCATAAATGCGAAAAACATAACAATGTATCCCATTATGGTACTATCCAAAACTGATACAGGAACCAGTTCGCCAATAGATTTAGCCAATGCTGTAATTTGCTCAGGTATACTCTTTGGTTGTTCAACTGGTTTTTCCTCTGGTTTTTCCTTCTTCTCTGTATTACGTCTACTCCTGGTAGATTTCCTCTTGGTGGCACCACCACCGTCCTTTTTACCATTACCTTCAGCAAGCATCGTGTTCAAAGTCTCAATCATATCCTTCATACTATCCTTTTGACCATCAATGGTACCCTTTTCAATTGCCCCCTTGATCCATGATTTACCACTCCATTCAATAGATGACGCAACCCAAATCTTTGTTTGATTGTTCTGCGCCCAACTAAGGAAAATCTTGGTCTTGACTTTGAAAGCATTACCACTAGGGACATCGGGAGTTTGAGTGGTTTGCACAACTTCATAATATTTCTCAGGGTCGTATTCAATCAAATCATCATCAAGTAAACATTTGGTTTGCTTGGGTCCAATTGGTCCACCCAATGGTTTTATATACGTGTAATGACGATTCTTATTTTCCTTGGTCAATCCATGAAGACCTGATTCATCGATATCGAAATTTTTTTGATCCTTGAGTATACGCACAAATTTTGAAGTGTCTGATCCAAACAAAAGTAAATAAACCACTCCAGGTGGTGCTTTAATAATTTCTTCAGCAATGAAAGTCTCATCTGAGGATTTTGAATAGCCAGTTTCTGTTGGTGCATGTGTTGCTGGTCCAACAATTGGAAATCCATTGAAGCCCCCACTGGAGTCCCCGGAACCCTCTCCACCAGCGGCACCAGCAGCTGCTGCATTGTTGCCATCACCGGTACTTGCACCACCATTGGCATCCTCTGATTTTGTTGTATCGCCATTGCCCTCGGTCAAACCTTCATCATCCTCTTCATCCATTGATGTATCATCTTCGTCATCGGTTGCATCCAGATTTTCATCATCGGATGTATTACCGCCATCAGAGTCAGATTGATTTTCAGAAGTACCATTTTTGGAGCCATTTTGCGCTCTTTTGCCCAATTGTTTTGGATCAATGTTTGATTTTTCCAACAACAAACGATGCCAAACATTGGTTATCAACTTGAAAGCAGAATCACGCCCTATTATACTAGCAAAAGTGTATTTTTGGTGTAAAGTTTTGATAACCATACCATTGGGAAATAACCCTGCAGTTGACTTTTTTTCAATTTGAATAACCTCCTGCAATGGTATAATGATGTGTTTAATCCACCCGAGAATGTTTGAGTTGAAACAAACGTAGTGGTCGCTAAGATACATCTTCCCTTGTACAAGAATATCCTTGGATAACGCACAACTAAAGTCGTCAATCAATCTTTCACTATTTGGTAATTTTTTGAATGCATGATGAAATTCTTTATTACGTTTCTTTGGCGCATGTTTAATCTTTGTATTGTAGTCGATAACATTGTCAAGCTCTTCATTCTCTGACCCTGATTCATAAACAAATCGGTCTTGATCTAGCGTTTTAGCGGGTGCTTGTGATTCATTAACGGTTCCATTTGGACTAGCTACAGTGGATTGAGCAACAGACGCTCTTCCGTTCGACATCAGTCTTTCTGTTGCCGGCACCAGTCCACCAGTGGTGGACATCCTATGCACACGTTTGACATCAATTCCGTTTGAAGTTGCTTGCAATTGGTTGCCTGGAGGTAAATTTCGATTAAGTTGACTAGGACTCATGCTACGCTTAATACCAGCTGGACCTTCATTCGATTGCTGAGAAGGTACGGATTTGACAGCTTGTAATTGACTATTCTCAAAATCAGCAAGTGATAGATCACCATTTCCCAAGGTGTTTAAAGGAGACTCTCTGACCGGTTCAAACTGGACTGATTGGGCTGCATCATGCTCACCATCTGTCGAAACACGTTGTGTACCACTGTTGCTGGCAACCATAGAAGTACTGTCCAGATGGTGATTCGGCGAAAGAAGGTTGTCCTCGTCATGTTTCACTGACTTGATGAAATTGTCCAATCTCGTAGCAAACAGATGTTCCTTCTTTTTCTCTTTTTCCTCTGGTTCTTGTAAATTTGACATCTTGTTGCTAGCAGCTGCGAGTAAAGATGATAGAAACCCTCCCGATTCACCCTTTGTATGTGATTCACTAGTAGTTGATTTCGCAGGACTGATATTATTCAATGACGACTGAGCTGAGTTTTGAGTATCAGTATGTGGTGGGGCGTGAAAACGTGAACCCTTTGATGACGCCATAGTCCCTGTTCGCGACTCCTGTCGAACGACATTTACTGCAATTGATGGGTCCTGTGCTGCATCAGAGCCTTCTCCTCCGAACTCTCTTAACGAGAGGTCGTCCTCGTCTACTGGGGCAATAATTTGTGGTGGGACTTGAGTTCTTGGTTGCTGTGGTTGCTGGGGCGGCTGTGGTTGCTGTGGTTGCTGTGGTTGCTGTGGCGGCTGCGCGAAGACGTCGTTATACGGTCTGGTTGGCGACGAAAGCCTATGTGCGGTTCTAGTTTTCAGTGACATTCGCAATATAGATGGGCCTGAATCAATTGAAGCACTATCTATTGAGCTACGGGGTGAACGATGGGAAAGCAAATCACTTAATCGATGCCTCTTTCTACTCCCAGTTCTATTAAGGTTGTTGCTCTTGTTGGATTTGGGTGAATTGGGTGATTCAGGATTGTTTGAATCTAGATGCTTTTTTCGTTTCAGTAGTAATCCCATTGTTGCGTATCTGAAATTTTATTTTCTCCTCTCTCTCACTCACACACCTGTCACACTCACTTGAAATTTTAATTGTTTTTTTTTCTTGGAGTAAAAGACTCTAATAGGGGTTAGTTTGCTGCTTGTGTTGAAGATGTAGTTGGAAAGCAAAGTCGTATACGATGAAGAAGAAAACAAATAAAACTAGATGATGATGAAGGATGAGTTTTTATTGAATGGATGATGATAAAAATAAAAAGCAACTCGGTTAATGCAAGAATCATTCTATATGCGTATAATTTAACAGTGTGTTACAAAAAGGGAATCATCGGATATAAAAAGTTAGAAATACAACAACAATCCATTAACAATACAACAACAATACAATACGGTAATATGTACACATTTTATTTTACAGCCCATTCTCTATTTAGAGTTGCTCTTTTAAGCGTTATATGTCAACAATAGAAAAGCTTGAATTTGTGGTGAAACGCGGCTCAAAACCAAAATGTAGCTCTGTGGACCGGAAAGATCTGAGTGCAGTTTGTTGAAACCACTATCTACGCAGCTCGATAAATTTACCCTGTCTTGCTTTACCTAGTCATCGTTAGCTTTCTTATCTATCAAGAGTGAAAGCCATTTTTCTTTCTCGTTTGCTTTCAATGATGTCGCTTCAGAAGAGCGAAATTATGACCGAGATTCTAGATGTTTCGCGCGAAATGCAGTTCGAGCTCTGGTTAAGCAAATCTAGACTTCGCTAACAAATTCTACAACATTTCACTATGAAAAAGCATATGACTTTTATTAAGGAATTATGAAAAAAGGGGGCAACGATGAAAAGAAATGAAAAAGAAAAAGGTGCACAACTAATCCTTCTTGAACAATGGGTCTAACAAGCCTTCAACTTGGTTAGTGATTCCCAAGTTGGCGTCGTAATCGATAGCGAAAACAGAAACTGATGTAGCACATTTAGTGTGTTCAACAACCAAGTTTTCAGAAGGCAATGAACAATCACCGTTGTTGCAAACGGTAAGTGCTTGCCAGCTGGTTTGAGCCCATACAAATGAGTTTGATGAAGCATTGAATTTCAAGTCAGCACCACTTGCGTATTGACCAGTCAATCTAGTGAAGACCCAAGCTGGATCAGTACAAGATTCGTTTTCGTAACCGACTTTGGGGAAATTGACATTCAAACCAACACCAAGAGGTAATGCTCTTGAGTTGTCACCTTGGGTTTTGAACAATTGGTTAACAAATTCGGTAACTTTGTTTGCGTAGATGGTTGATGGTTCATTAGCGTCGTCTAAGTCCAATGAGTCCTTAAAGAATGAGTTGTTGGAGTTTGATCCACTGAATGCAACAGCTGGGTATCCTCTATAAACGGAGTTGTAAGTAGCACCAACAGTTCCTGATAATGTAAACATACCTGGAGACAAGTTTGTACCTTCATTTGGGCCAGCAACAACCAAATCAATTGAGACATTGTTGAACTTTTCAGGAATAACATATTGCAAACCAAAAGCAATTGATGAAGCTGGAGTACCGTTGAAATACCAAATATGATCATCGTCTTCTTCATGACCCCATGATGGAGAGCCAGCTGGTGGATATTTGAATTCACCATCAGTTTGCAAAGTTGGTGAAGTTGGGATATCAAATTTACCACCGAAACCAGACCTTTGCGAAACAGGAGCAACTAACCAAACTTCGTGACCAGCTTCTTTCAACTTGTAGTAGGTGGCTCTAATATTGGTTGCTTGCCAACCATCATCGTTACTCAAGATGATATTCTTAGCGATAACAGCAGTGGCAAGGAACAAAAGAATTGATTGAGTCAAGAATTGCATTCTGAGTGGGGACTGAGTGTGTAGTGATGGAGTAAGAAGGAGGAAAGAATAGATGAATTGAAATTATTTGATATGATGTGAAGGTGGGACTTTTGGTCCCGTATTTATAGTGCTGTTTTCACTCACATCCCAGCTTCTTTACCAGCGATAATGAAAAAGTTTCACTAGCACATTGTGTAAAAGGTAATATTGACTCCTGTAGTACCACTTCATAGTGATGCCGTTTCTATGTTAATACAAACGATGATAAATTAACCGGAGACCATTATTGTTTTTAAACTCTTTTTGCATACTATGGAACGAAGAACACAAAGCCGCAAAATTTATCAGCTTTTGTGATTAATTATGTTTCAATTGTAAACAACAACGTGGGCCATGGTTTATAACACCGTTTATTGTTTCCAGCAAGGCAAAAGAAAGTGAGCTAATTATATGACGAACGAGAAGGTTGATTGTATTGAGAAACGGATAAAGCCCCGGCAAGAATGCCAGGGTTCAAACCAAGACATACGGCTAAGAAAAGTTGCAAATGAATGAATCACGTTATGAGGCACCAAGACCTTTCTTCAATTTCGCTTCCATCAATTTCGCTTCTACTATTAGTCTGACTACAGCAACAAGAAAAATAGGAAAAACCTCTTTTTAGCAGAAGCAATATAAATTTGGACGCAAATTAAACGCCATATTTTTTTCACAAAAGCAACGAGGAAAAGTTTCTTCATAAACGTGTGTGTGTGTATCAGTCAATCTTTATTATCCTCGCGCCTGATCTTGATACATACTTGGCAGGCTCTAGGAAACGTTAAATGTGTCAAGCTGATGAGCAAAAGCTGAGGTATCGTTTCCAAGTAAATGACCTAAACTAAACGGTTGGTCTTTGGATAGAGCAGACCACTGAATAACATCTCTTGAAAGGATTTATATGTATGTTATTAGCTTTCCCTATTGTTCACCTCCTATTGTTTCCACCGAAAATGGAAAGTTGTTGATCAGATTCGGAAATATGTTTACATTGAGAAAAAGAAACCATAACCAATCTCTTTGTTTCATAGGCTCTCATAATTGCTCGTAGATCATCTCGCCTCATAACCTTAGCTTGATGTATTAATGAAGCACGTTTGTTGCAGCTATCTTTTTTTTTTGTGACATCTTTTCATTTAATTTTGGTTGAAAATTGGCGAAACTAGGGCCCACGAGGGACCTGAACTGCAAAATGGCGCCATTACGGAGCTCAGTTGTACATGTGAGTGGGAAGTGTTGTTATGGGAATACTCAAAACGGAAAAAGGGGTCCGTTGCACGTGTGGTGCTAGCTCAAATACTTTACCTGCATGATCTTCAACTCTTGAACTGTACAAGTACACACATTGGACCCAGATCAATTCAGCACAGTATCTTTGACTTTCTTTTTTGCGAGTTTGTTGCGATGCCATAGTTTGGTGGCTATTGATCATTTTTCCCCCCTCCCCCACTTTTTTTCCGAGTGTGCGCTATTTTGAGCCACGGCAAAATTAAAAAATCACATTCCAAAAGACCACATTTGGTAGCGAAGTGTCTCAAGACAACAAAACAACAAAAACAACGGAAGAAGAAGATGCAGAAAGAGCGAAGGAAAAAAAAAAAGAAGGTTGGCAATCAAATCTAACTTGAAATTATCAACAGTTTGAATCAATTGTGGGGTTGCCAGATAAACACATCATCATTATCATCACGCACCTTTTCATCAGCAAGTGGATAGCTACCTACTACATTCAACTACTGCTCGTATAAGCTATAGTACCAATCACACAAGTTACATACGCTCATCCATCTTACCATGGCAATTTTCTCTTCCTTAGCGGGGTTTTTTAACCGGAACAAGAGAAGAATATTCATAACTTCAGCAGTGACATTTTCCATCTACTTGCTAGTCAATGAGTTTGTTATAAAAAAGTTTAGAAACTATCAAAATGCCTTGCGTCAGGAGTTTATGTTTAAGCAACAGATTAGACAACGATTTATTCTGACTCAACAAGATTGTTACTACACCATCCTTGCATTGCTTCCTGTGTTGGCACAACCTATAGTTGATGCATTACCAGTTGACTTAATAACTCAAGCATTAAGGTTGAAAAAGGGTCACCAGCAACAACAACAACAGCAACCACTGCTGTCACAAGTTGCTAGCGGAAGTAATAGTGAGTTGACCACGGATAACCTTAATCTTTTGGACAACAATAACAACCCACAATCACAATTGTCGGTATACATGAACAAAAGTAAAGCTGAGTTGTGGAACTTGTTGAAGATTAAAACAATTACGAGAACATTGACATTGATGTACTCCATATCTGGTTTGTTGTTAATTAGTAGGTTACAAATGAATATTCTAGCAAGAAGATCGTATTTGGAATCGGCAATTGTTATGGCTGGCGTTAAGAACCCCAACAATGACATTGATCCTCATGAGAATTACATTATCGAACAAAGTTATCTTTCACTTAGTTGGTGGCTTTTAAATAAAGGTTGGGCAAATTTGAGTACCTTGATTGAAAATTTGGTTATCGATAAATTTGAAAGTGTGAGTCCTAAAACTGAAATTGGTGTTTTTGATTTTGAACTCATCTTGACGGAAATCATTGAAGAGATCAACACCAATAACAAACAATTTGTGTTGGATAATTTATTTCCCATCAAATACCCTGACTTGTTGGAGACGATCTTGAATACCAATTCAGATGTAATACATCAATTGGATATTCCGGATTCAAACTTGACCAAATTGATCAATGAAACAAGTTCAATCATGTCTGATAACAATTTGTATTTTTTTGACTTGTTGAATCAATTAATTGTCACCAATTTACATACACTTACGTCAAACCTTTCATCAAACTTATCGACTACATCAAACAGCTTAATGATGAGTGACACACTACCAGATCAACAAAACCAACAAAACCAGCTTCAATCATCGTCATCAAAGATTATAGAGTTGGACAACAAGCCATACAAACTTGCTAGTTTCTTGGCTCAATTATCAGTACAAAATGGTATAATGATTAATAACAATGATGATGTAGTAGGAGCCAACGATGAAGATGATTTTGAAAGTATGATCAAGAATCTCAATGGAGGACAAGGTATCGCAGGTGATGGGTATGGAGCTCATGAATTGAGTGGAAATGTCTACATAAACACATTAAACAGTTTGGATGAACTTGAAAACTTTAGTGCTGGTATTTACTCGAATTTTGAGTAAATGAATGAGAAATTGATGAATAGTTAAATAGTTTCTCAGCTAGTAAATATTATTTAAACGATCAACGATTAGAAAGACGTTATCGGGTTGTCACCCTTAAAAACCCTTTGTAACTTCCTGATATTCGTCTTTCCCTTTTCTCCGTATGTAAGCAACTACAAAAGTTAAAAAGGGGATTAAGTAGAGGGAGTGTGCGGTGTAAGACAGAACAGACGAAAAAGAAAAAAAAGGAAGGTTGAATAAGGTTTGACCAACTTGGTTTTCTTCTCTACTTCCACTACTATTCTTCACCATTGATTCAACTACATACTCCCCCACCGAAAATCATGTCATCTCCAAAAGTTATCCTCGTTTCGTCAGATGATGAGAAATTTCCAGTTGAACAAAAAGTTGCTGAAAAATCAATCTTGATCAAGAATATGATTAATGATTTAAACCCTGACGGATTAACTGAAGATTTCGAAATTCCTACCCCCAATGTCCGTGCCAATGTGTTGTCCAAAGTATTGGAATGGTGTGAGCACCACAAGAATACTGTTTTCCAAGATGATGAAGATGAAGATGCCAGAAGATCGGTACCTGTTGAAGAATGGGATAGAAATTACTTGAAGGTTGATCAGGAAATGTTGTATGAGATTATTTTGGCGGCTAACTATTTGAATATTAAGCCATTGTTGGATAGTGGATGCAAGATGGTTGCGGAAATGATTAAGAATAAGAGTCCAGAAGAGTTGAGAAAGACTTTTAATATTGTTAATGATTTTAGTCCTGAAGAAGAGGCTGCTATTAGAAAGGAGAATGAATGGGCTGAAGATAGATGAGTGGGAGGTGGTGAAGCTTTGGCTTTGATAGTGGTTGTGTTGAGGGCTTGGGTTCTGATTCTTTTACTTTCTTTACATGTCCAGTGTGTAAGCAAACTAAAGTGACTGGATGTCATTTCTACAACGAATTTTTTCTTTTTAGTAGTGGTTTGCGTAATGAAATGCTGCATGTTCTTTTGGCACTCGACTAATATCAGACTCCTTGCTAGGTGTTCAACTGTCTGCTTCCTTTAAAGGGACTGTCCTGAAGTAGTGTACAATGGGCGCTTTATCGATATGAAAATTTGGTAGCTCTCGCAACTACCATAAATCAATCTCTTTAATTTCTGTTAATTTCTTTTTCTATTGAGTTTAATTGCAGCTAATATCTACACACCCCAAAAGCGCTTAGAAAAACCACCTGCACTCTATCACCATTCAATCAGATTCCCCGCCAAGCTTCAATAACTTTATTCTACAGCAATGTCACTAAGTCAGTCATCAGATAATGAAGATGCCGGGAATGCTAGTTTTGTTGAAGATGTTCAACCTATAACAACAAACACAAAAGATCTAGAACAACTATCACTTGAAGAATTGAATCAATATCAAAACAAGATATCCCAGGAATTCAAAATTTTATCCAAAGATTATCTCAATAAAAGGCTTTCTCGAATAAATGTCATGTTGGATAAATTAACTAGTCTGATTAAGTTAGCCAATGCTAATGAAAAGAGTTGGTTAAAGATTTATACATTTGAAATTGAAGCTATAAACAATATAATGACAAACACTGAAGACTTAATCATGGTGAATAACAAAACCATTCCTCCAAAAACTGACTTATTGAAATCGATGGATGAATATGAAGAAGAATTACAAGAGATTTTCACCAATTTACAAAGTCCATTTGATTTTGACGATACTTTTAAATATGACAATGGAGAAATTTGTCATTCATTAGCAAACACTCATTCTCATTTAAGTAAATTACCATTCCCATTTTTGTTCAATCAAAGTTTCAAACCCCATAGAGATGAACTCAAAAGTATAAGCTTGGAAAAAGATTATCAACTGGAATTGATTCAAAAAAATTGTACCAATAATTCAACCATTGTATGGAAACAATATTATGGTAAATTAAACCAGCACAAGAACAAGTTATTGAATGAAACCCAACTGAAACTAAATCAACTTTACAAGGATTATCATCACTTGAATCAATCAAAAAATGAAGAATTGCTAGATCGATATTATTACCGATCTTTGATATCCCCACAATATTTGCTAGATACAATAAATGATAAAATCAACATCACAAATACTGATAATTTGGGTGAGGTAATGAGAACCAATCATGATTCGAACTATGTCGAATTGGATACTCGATTAAACCCCAAAAACAAGATTGAATTATCAAATATACGTCTCAAAGATGCAAGTAATGAGCAATTTTTGGCCAATACTCATGGTGCTATCAAACGAAGGTACTCACAAGCATTCAAATACGACCCCTCTGTATCACACTCCATCAATCAGTCAAAAGTCGATGATGATTTACGTTTGATTAGACGTAAAATACGTCATCAAAATGAGAAAAAGCGGAAGGGAACAACTGCTGACGAGAATGATGATGTGTATAATCGCACACTACATGATTACTCAGAAGACGATAGAGAGAATGATGATAGCGACAACAGCAACAACAACAACAACAACAACAACAATGGAAATGACATTGGCATTGGCATTGGCAATGATAATAAAGATGAATACGAAGTAGTTTTAGAGGACTATGATCCGGAAGAAGAAATGACACCAACTGAACTTGAAGAACGCAAAATTTACAAAAATGTATTGGGTCGTCACGATCCAAATGCATCTAAGTTTAGAATGTTGGAATTACCACCATTGGAAAACTTTCCAAAACTATAAAAATAAGATAAGAAAGCAACCACTTTTGTCCACAATACGTACTTATATACATTCTGGCAGAAATATGTATATCCTTACTCCTTTTCTAACAATATACTTGCATTCTTCAAATTGGCTTCTTCAATCGTAGTTTCCAAGTTTTCAATAAACTTAAAGGCCTTGTTTGAACTGTTTGAAAGTGTAAATCTATCTTCTCCACTCAAACCATAATCTTCGGGATTTTCTTTAAGCACAAATTTCAACCATTCAAAAAACACCAACACTTTATCATCAAAACGCAATTTTCGAACAAGTCTTTTACCATTAGGGAACCGTACTTGCACTCTCGTAATTGGTTGTTCTGTAGGTTCCTTGTGATCTATTGGGTTTATAGAATCGAATACATCTTCTTCACTTTCAGGTGCTTGCTCAGTGGATGTAGGTGCACCACTTGTGTCCTCCTTCTCCTCCCTATCATCATCTTCACTAGCCAAGTCTATCGCATCTTCATATGTCTTCCCACTCTTTCCATTATCCAAAACACTTTGTTTCATGGCCAATTCAATTTGCTGTTCCTCACTTAAACTGTCAGGATCAATCTTTTGCTCGTGTTGTACCAAAGGGTTATTTGACCCAGGATGTAACGAAAACTTGTCCAAGAAATCATACACCTCTTCTAACCAATTCTCGACATTGGGCACTTCACCATCTTTCCATTTCCGTACACGTTCGCCAGTGAGAGGATCCAATATCGCCAAATGAGGAAACGTATCAACATGATAAAAGTTAACATACGACTCGCCATCATATGAGTCACGTTGATATTGCAAAAAGATGAAATTTTCTTTCACCACTTGTTTAATTCTCGTATTGGACCAGAAATCACGATTGAATACTTGTGATTGAAACTCTGATGAGTCTTGTATATTGATTAAAATCCATTTGTTTTCCTCTTTGGCTCTGGTTCTAGCTTGGTCTAATGTCAAGACACTAATGATATCAAATGGTGGTCTAAACAAATTGGCTAGTCTTCGTTGAGTTGAAGTTAACTCAGAATCACGTTCCTGTCTAAGTCGCCTCCTGCGCCCACCAGCAACTCCACTATGACTTCTAATAACCTCTTCAATATCATCATCCCCATCTTCATCAGAATCTAAGATCTGTACATCGTTGCCTACATCTCTTGCGTCAGTGTAGTCTTCATCCATCCGATCATCGTCATAATCATCATCAATATCATCATCGTATGCGTTGTATGCATTGACACTTCTATTACCAAATCCAAAACCTTGGTGGAATATACCTTGTTGTCTGTGGCCAAATATATTTGGTGGACGTGGCATTTGACCCATCATACCACCTCCAAACCCTGGGAACGAATCGACTAACGTTTCATGTCGATGCACATTTGCATCAGCCTCACGAACATCGTTACCTGCTGCACCATATGCTTCTTCTTGTAGTTGTTTGGCATACGCTTCATCATCATCGTGGCCGTGGCCAATGCTATTGTTGTTGTTACTGCTATTATTATGACTTCCATTATTTGTACTAGCTCCTCCATGTTGGCCAGATTCCATATATAATGTCACTGCCAATTCTAAATCGCCTCCAGCCACATCTAAAAATTGCGTTGCCACAGATTCATCTTCAACGCCTGTCACTGCTAAAAAAGTGGGTACTTGGTCGTCCATCATGAGAAAAAAAAAAAAAACACTGTGAATGAAGGTCAATCAGTTGATCTAGGTCCCTTGTGCAGTCGATGTGTGAATCTAGTTACTTTCTAGTGTTGCAAAATTCTCAAATGGCAAAAAACACTAACATACATACTTCAGCTTTATTCTCTCTTCGCACTCTTTCATTTGATCAAACTGTGCTTTGTACTCCTTTTTTTTCTCTGTATGCAGTATTGAAGGGAAATACACACCACATGGGAGGGCTATTGCTAAACGACTCTGTTGAGTTATAACACCAGATTAGTTCTGCCACACTGCAATGATTAGGTCTGAGGCGAGGGGTGGGGCATCACTAACGAAGCTATTTTGAAGTGATGTTGTTTTTTCTGTAAACCGATAAATACGATTGCGGAAAAGCTCTGAAAAGCGGCATTGGCTCATCAATTAGAAGTTCATGGAAGAGCAACAAGGCTGAACCAAATGGCGTGATTCACTCGCTGTCGATGCAAGAGTAACAAACGTTTTTGTGAAGTGCCGAATTCCATCAACTTGACACAATACGTTTAATGTCAAAAGTAATGAATGCCGTGTCAAATAAAACACCCACTGTTGCTGACAAATTGAAAAGTATCACAAACTGGTTGGAAACAGAAGCAAATCGGGTTGTACTCAGTTTGCAACATCAAGGGGATTGCTATAAATAGAGAAGAAAAGTATTAAACAGAAGATGACTTTAGACTTAATGACTATTCACTCCACCACAATCGACTCACCAAACTTTTCAATAAGTCATGACAGATAATTCCGATATTATTAAAATCGACGCTTTAGGTGAAACCAAATTGTTTAAACCAATTAAAGTTGGAGCAAATACACTTTCTCAACGTATTGCTCATGCACCAACTACTAGACTTAGAGCAACTGCTGATAATGTACCAACGGATTTGCAATTGCAGTATTACAAAGATAGAGCACAAACACCAGGTACTTTACTTATTACTGAGGCTACTTATGTGAGTGAAGGAGGTATTGGGTTACCTCATACTCCCGGTATTTGGAATGATACACAAGCAAAAGCATGGAAACAAATTACCAATGCAATCAGGGAACAAGGGTCATATCTGAGTGTTCAGTTGTGGCATTTAGGTCGTACTGCATTTCCTGAAGAGTTGCAAAAGAGGGGACTACCTTTTGTTGCTCCATCTGCCGTTTATGATAGTGATGAAATGGCCAAACGTGCTAAAGAGTCTGGTCACGAGTTAAGAGCATTAACTAAATCTGAAATTGAACATTTGATTAACGAAGAGTTCCCCAATGCAGCAAGGAAAGCCATGGATGGTGGGTTTGATTATATTGAGTTGCATTCCGCGCATGGATATTTGTTGAGTCAGTTCTTGAACCCAGTTAGTAATCAAAGAACCGATGAGTATGGTGGATCTATTGAAAATCGTGCCCGTGTTTTGTTGGCCATTGTTGATAAATTGATCCCTATTGTTGGTGCCAATAGAATAGGTATTAGATTTTCTCCATGGGCAACATTTCAAGTGAGTGAACCAGAAGGAGAAGAAATTCATTCGTATATCCTTGAGCAATTACAAAAGCGTGCTGATGAAGGAAATGAATTGGCATATGTGTCCCTTGTGGAGCCAAGAGTGTCTGGTGTAGTTGACGTTAGTGCTGAAGACATTCAAGGATCAAATGACTTTGCAGCCAAAATTTGGAAAGGTACACTTATCAAAGCGGGTAATTATACCTACAATGCACCAAACTTCACTGATTTGGTTCGTGATATTGATAATGATCGAACATTGGTTGCCTGGTGTAGATTCTTTACATCAAACCCTGATTTAGTCAATCGTTTGCAAAATGGTTACTCTTTGCAACATTATGATCGTGCAACATTTTACGAACAATATAATTGGGGTTATAATACTTGGAACAATTACGGTGAAACTAAACAGTACGATGAAGAAGCTGAAAAGAAGAGAGTTGGTAAACCATTGGCGTAAGAGGAGCTACAAAGTTGTGCAGGTAACCCTCAAACTTCTCATAGAGAGTCGTGTGACAATTGTATATATAAATAGTATCATGCAATAGAAGGAAAAGAATCATTCTTTTCAAGCGTTTTAACTCAAATGTAATACATTGTACATAAAAACATAAAGAAAAAGCAAAAAGCAAAAAGCAAAAAAAGAAATCTGTTGGTAGTGCTGCCCCCCTATTTTTCTTTTAATTAAAACAAATGGCTTTTTTTGTTGGGTGATGAAGGTGTAATTACGTGGCATGTTTGTTGTACCCCTAATTGGAGAAAGCGTTCTTTGCTCGCTAGATGCTGTAGTTATTTATGATCTTTCTGATTTGTTCTAGAATGTTCTACCAAGAAACGGTTTGTCTCCCCTCTCTTTTCCCCCCAAGGTTTTTCTCTGTTGATAATATGAATTTAAATTACGTGTCGTTTTATATATATAGTGTCGTAACTCTATGTGTTGTGACATTGATTAAATTAAAAATCAGTCATTCACCACAAAAAGGGCAAACAGTAAAAGATAAAAACAGATGAAGTTTGTTGTTGAATCTATTTCTCACTCAACAGTTTTTATATCAACGTTTTTTAATCTATAATTCCCCAGAATCATCAAAACATTACATATATATATCCCCATCACTACTGACTACTAACTGCTAACTCCTACTACCACTGTATATATTGTTAAGTCTGTCCAAAAACACACTACTCATATAGATTTCCCAACAATAGCCCTACACAACAGCAGCATCAGACCAAATAAATCCACACTTTTAATTCCCTAGCTAGACCATTTTACCACTACAGCCTCACTCAACAACATCCTTTCCACTCAGGACTACCTGTTTTTAATCTTTTAATAGGTAAAGACTACACTCAATTGTTACCTAATTTGCATTTACTTTTCACATTTACATAAAAACCCATCTTGTACAAAATTTTATCATACATTTATGTCCAGTTGATTACTACTTCCAAAGAAGAATACAGTTTATAAACACACATTTCCCAACTTTACACTTTTAACGTCCACGACTTTTCACGACCCACTTGTTTTACATTTTTCTATTGATTACATTCACTTGTCCATTTTTTTTTTACCTACCTCTTTTGTTACAACATTTTGATCTGTTTTTTTTTTTATATTTTCATCACAGCCATTAGCATCACCGCATTCTTATAACAGCAGTATTTGTTGTTCAAGCCTTACCAGCACCATATATCAATCAGTTAGATCACTTTACATTTCCTATCCTAATGGAACAATTTGAAGAATATGATAAGGGTAAGCTATTAAGAGACAGATATATCAAAGTCAGTGATATTAGTGAAGGCTCATATGGGTTGGTCTCTGTTGCCAAAGATGTCAAGAGAAATGATTTACTAGTTGCTGTCAAATTTATATATCCTGTTGATTATAAGAAAGGTTACACCACCAAGGATCAAACTCAATCAAGACCATCGTCAAGTCCAGCACGTTTGAAATCACCTCAGCAGGCTGGATCTCCCAATAAGCATGATCGATCCACTATTTTCAACAGTTTACTAAATGAGGCGCAAAAGGAAATCAAGATTCACAAAATATTGGGCGAACATCCTAACATTTCTCAATTGTATGATCATTTCGATTCATGCCTAGTGTTGGAATTTTGTTCAAGAGGTGATCTTTATGAAGCTATTCACAATGGCAATGGACCAGTCACTACGCAAGATATAAAGGATGTGTTTCAACAGATTCTTAATGCAGTTGGTTTTTGTCATTCAAAGGGAGTTTATCACCGTGATTTAAAGCCAGAAAATATTTTGATTGCTGAAGATTGGAGTATTAAATTGTGTGATTGGGGCTTAGCCACAACAACGAGAATCATCACCAACAAAGATGAATTTGATGTTGGGTCAGAACGTTATATGGCCCCTGAGTTATTTGATAATGAAATTGACTCTTATGACGCCTCAATGATTGACATTTGGTCCATTGGTGTCATTTTGTTAACGTTGGTGTTTCACAAAAACCCCTTTCAAGTTGCAAATTACTCAGACAAGAGATTTTTACAATTTGCCAGCAACAGAGAAGCTTTGTTTGATATATTTTCAACAATGAGTGGTGACTTGTTTTCAGTGTTGAGATTTTGTTTAACCATTGATCCCACTAATCGTGACTTGAACAGTGTTTCCAAAGAGTTGGAAGCATTGAGATTTTTCACAATTGATGATGAATTTGAATATGAATATGACTACAATGAAGGGGATGATGAACAAGAAGAAGGCGAGGACGTGGAAGAAACGAGGTCCGATGAAGCGGACTTTGATGATGATGAATATTTGTCCTACCGCAATGAAGATGGAGACAAATCTCAATCGCACCTGGGAGTTGCTGAAACAGAGGCGGCTAAGCTTTTGGATGGACCTGCTTCAGCTGAAAAGGACAAATACGTTAGATCACCCCTTTCCAGATATGAAATCCCTCACAATCATAGAGCTGATGCTCTTTTGTCCACAAACACTAAAGCCAAACCAATTCCCATCAATACGCATGACTTTAAATTCATTCGTAATACGAGAAAGCCTTTAACTGTTGCGTCTTTTAATCAAAATGCTCAGGTGAATAAAGGAACAAACAATAGGTTTGGTAATTTCAATAGAGAAGACTACTTTACTCCCAAGTCTGTGTTTAAACATTATATGGATAAGTATGGAGACAAGAGGAGAAGTAACAATTATCAGCACCCCAATTATCATCAGAACAGGAACGGCAATGTCAATGGAAATGTTGTTGATCACAAGAGCCCCCCACAATTGAGAAGAAAAAGAACGTGGAAGACGAACCAAAGGTACAGGCCATCAGCGCAAACAGCACACTTGAATAATAACAATGGCTTCCCAAATGGTAGATTGAGTGCTAATCAGCGTGATGAATTCCCACGCTCAGGTGAAAGATATGGTGGTGGTAAACGTCTATCAGCTAATTTGAGCTCTGCTTTCCATACGTTGCCCCAACCGACTTCTTCGAGTTTGAATAGTGGCTCAAGTGCACCCAATGGCTTGTCATCGACAAACTTGTCCAATTCTGGAAAGTACATCCCACCATTTCTTCGTTCACCAAATCGTCAACCACAAAAATCACCACATGTTGAGCCATTGGTTGAGGAAATTGACCATTTGGTGTTGAGTAATGATGATGAAGTTTTCCACTTGGAAGATGATTTCGTAAGTGACGAAGGAAAAGAAAATGTTGTTCCAAATGGGAGTCACGTGAAAAGTGGAAGCATGAGCGATGGTGATCGTCCTGTGTTTCCAATTTATAATGTAAAGAACGGACAGGCCAATGGTATGAGTCATGCAAATGGAAATGGTCATCTCAATTCTGCTACTAATACCCAGAAGGGACCAAAGTCGTCCCTTCCCAGGTCGTTCAATGATGCGGCATCTACTAGCGGTAGTTTGGAACATGCCAACAATGGCAAGTACATTCCTCCGTTTAGACGTGGCTCAGTTTCACGAGCAAATCCGAACGGAACAATAGCTGGTACGGGGGAATCGATTTTAGCAAACGTCCCCGTTGCCAATGGTCCCAAAAAGTCAATTCACTACAAAAATCGAAGTTCATTCGACGGATTCACAAGTGATGGCTCCAACAATGGAAGAAGCTTTAACAGTCACACCAGTGGCGGTGCAGGCAGCACTCCAAAGAGTTTGAATGGATTTATGAATCATAATGGTGGGCCCAATGGTAACACAATACACAATTATATGAATGATTCACTCAAGGCGAATAATCGTTTACCTAATGATAACAAGAACCGTACTGTTACCGGAAGCAAGTGTAGTAACAGTATTAGTAGCCGCAGTGACAAGAGTAGCGGGGGTGAAAGCAAGAGTGGAGAAGATGATCTTAAAGGGGCAAGTGGTGATGCTGCCGCTACCAAAGCTGTTGTCGAAGTTGGTAGTTTTAATGATTTGTGGTTTGGGAGCCAAAAGAAAAACTGGAGTGATTACGACGACTGATACGAACATAGTTGTTGGATTACTGGCCCCCGTCCCTTTGCAAGGGGTATGATGTAGGCGGGGCTGTCGTTTTTTCTTTTCTTTTTGATGGTTTCCCATTTTACTTATGGCGTAGTTTAGTTTGATTACTTTACATATGCTTCTAATGTTTTGAATGAGTGTGTATACAACGGTTTGGAGATGAGGCGTAATAGAGTTGGGGATTACATCCGTGGCACACTGTTGTTGGAAATAAGCTTTGCGACGCGAGTAATTAAGTTTTCCTAATTGGAATGAGTGGTTCTTCTCTATCGCACCTTTTTGAATTAACAAATCAGAGATACAGAGATGTTGGGAGCGTTCCCTTTTCTTGATCACCAATCTCATGGTGAAAATTCCAAAGTCTCAGCCAAGTAAAAAAATACAAGCCTTTATTAAGGTGGGAAGACGAAAACGAGATAACCATATACGTTTACGGAAGAAAAAAGGAAAAAGGTTGAATATGCAACGGTTTAGACTACATCCTGAGCATGTGTTTGTTCTTTCTTTGCCAAGTTTATAAATTTGGTGGCCACTTGACCAAGTTACCATAGACTGTGTATCGCTCAAGGTTTGAACTTGCATTCAAAGCATCGCCGTCTCCAAATCTTCTATCATCCTCAAATAAAATGAATGAATGATGTAAAAAATTAACATGCATTACATATTTGCAACTCAGATTAATGTGCAAAAAAAAAAGAGAGAAAACAAAAATTGTAAAATAAGCAATATTTCCGGAGGTGTGATGGGTGGATCGCAAATTAGAAAACGAAAGTGTAGCTTCATTTTATTTATGAATGGGTTTATTTTCTTTCCAAAAGCTCATTGTTATTGTTGTGTCCTCGTGGGTTGGTGGGTGTGTTGTTACATTCAGTTAATATGTTTCACGAAAAAATTGGACTAAAACAAAAGAGTAGCATGGGCCAAGAAACGTGAGGGTAGATTCAGTTAACGGGTTACTATTCCGGGGAGTCTCATGGAGCAATGTGTGGGTGTAGTACCAACTTTCACATTCTAGTATCTTTTCACACATACACCGCCCCCACTTCCACTTCCACTTCCACTTCCAGGATATATAATTTATCAACAGAATCTACATATCTCCCCCCTCCTAAGTTCATGTTCCATTGCATATTTCGTTACTTGTGGCTTATTTCCATGTATTATAATCATGTTAAATTCGACATTTAATTCGAAACCTTTTTGAAAATTTCTTTGAGCGTGTGCCAGTTGACAAAAAAATAAAGTTTAAATATGCTGCTGATGTTAGTTACACAAGATTGTGATTTGCCTGTAAAAGCTTATTTTTATTTGATGTAAAAATTAAAACGACTTTGATTGAGAAGAGAATGCGGGGGGGGGAAGGTTGAGTTGAACGGATTTGTCAAGTTGACCACTCTGGAAAAAGAAGCGAAAGAGCGTTTTTCGTGTACCTAACACCAAGTCTGACAGACTAAATTACATTAGACCCCAAGTACAAAGAAAATGAATGCTTTTTGTACAATTTGAGGCCGCGATATTGAAAAAAGTGTAAGCAATGGGTATTGGGCAATAAGCGAGTCTTTCTATTTTATTTCACTTTTGTGAAAATGAAATGGGGAGTTAAGGTTCTATTCAATGCGTACAATTTAGACACTTCGGTTAGCTAAAACCACGTAACTTTTCAGTTCTCATCAAATCTAGTCGTCTCCTTTGGATTCCATTCGCTATTACTTAGCAGATCTGCTCTTTAAACTTTCCACCTCGCTTCTTAAACATCGGGCTTATTGTTCAACTCTAGCATCTTTGACGAATCTCTTTGTCAACATCCAAAAAATAAAAAAAAAGAACAAGCTCAAACTAAGAAAGTTAAAAGAGGATACTCTTGAAATAATAATAAACATACTATTTGATCACAAACAAGAATACACAGAAGAAAAGAACATATTTCCAGCTTCTATTCTGCATTGGTAATCTGCAATGTTGAAATTTACCTCAAACCGTTGTATTCCGTTTCACGTGATGTGAATTTTATTATATTTCAGCTTTGTTTTCGAGTACTGTTTGAAAGTTTGAAAATTTAATTTTGAATGACACTCTCTATGAAATGAAGTTTCTCCTCATTTTCGATAATCGACGATATATAATCGTTAATTGTCTGTATGGTTTTATATGATAGTTCATATGTGATGATCAGTTCTACTTTTTCTATCAATTCTGGTTAATACAATACCCAATAAATCCATCAAAATCATAGACGTGGTCAAACACGGATTTTGAAGCTTCCATTAATTATCGAGATAATTCATAGAGTTACAACAATATAAAGAAATAATTCCAAACATGAAACACTTGAAATATTTTACAAGTTTCTTCTTTTTGTTCTGTTTGCTTCAAATTATACTTGTTTCAGATTTTACCAACTAACTCTTTCAAACTACTCAAACTACTACTTAATTTTGCACCTAAATTGTTTCAAAATCACAGACATTGAAACAACTAAGTCAAACACACAATTTAACAAACTGTTTCAGAAAACAGGTCCTGTGCTCAATAGTTCCTCTTTCGAAAAGATTATATATCTGTATCACAATTTCTCATACATTTTAGTTGCTGAAACATAAACTGTGTTTTTTTTTTTTTTTTAATTTTTGCTACTTGGTGACATTTTCGATACTTGAAATCAATTTGATCACGTGAAAAATCAAAGACTAATCCCAATCACGTGCAAGATAGGAGGCAATATTTTCCGCTTTTGTTTACAAATTTTGATTTTAAGGTACAGACACAGACAGACCACAACAAACAGAACAAACACAACAACAAACAAACAGGAGAAAAAAAAAAAAAAAACATATCAAGAGACGAGTGGGAAATTAAACGATTTTTCATTTCAACGGGCAAATTTCATATATAACTTACAGAAGTAGATACCTTCACACCTGCCGTCAGTCAGCAGAAACAACTTGTCCTTTTATACTTTACCCACTACAGTTCACTCCTTTTATCAGACACTCATTTATTGTCCCCAACCCACCACTCGTTTCCTTCATTAGACGCGACCCCGACGAACGAATTTGACCAAAAGGGGATTACTTGGACGCACACACATACATACATACTATACTTATATTACCTACGGAAATCAGACACTTATTCTGTATAGGATACAGCTTAACCAATTACGTCGGAACAGCCAGATAGAGTTGTGACATCATTGAATACAAGCAATGTCGACAGCAACGCAGACAATGTCATACAACAAATCCACAACTCAAGAGATTGAAGATTCCTTGAGGTTGATTGACGACTTAAAGTTTTTTCTAGCAACAGCACCCGCTAATTGGCAAGAGAATCAGGTCATTCGGAGATACTACTTGAACCATGATGAAGGTTTTGTGAGCTGTGTTTACTGGAATAACTTGTACTTCATCACTGGTACAGACATTGTTCGATGTATCGTTTACAAGTTTGAACATTTTGGGCGCAAGATTATTGATCGGAAAAAGTTTGAAGAAGGGATATTTTCTGATTTGAGAAATTTGAAATGCAATACTGATGCTATATTGGAACCACCAAGATCAGAGTTTCTTGAATTCCTATTTAAAAACTCTTGCTTAAGAACACAAAAAAAACAAAAAGTGTTTTTTTGGTTCAATGTGCCTCACGATAAGTTGATGGCTGATGCCTTAGAACGAGACTTGAAAAAGGAAAAGCTTGGCCAAAAGCCAACCACAATTGCTCATAAAGAGCCAGCACTCAGTTTCAAATATGATGAAAACTCCAATTTGTTTGCTCAATTGACAAAGCACATTGAAAATCAGTCACAAAATGGAGCTTTCAGTCTATCCAAGACAAGTGCTTTGAATACTGCGAATAGCACAACTACTGCCACATCTACTTCTGATGATTGCAACCTACTAGACCAAAAGTCATCACCAGAGTACTCGTCTTCCACTACCAATTGGAAAAACGGCCCCAAATATCTCAAAGATGGCGCGGATCATTTATTCAGGTCGAAACCTAACCAATCGCCATTCGATAAGGACGAAAAGAAAACCATCAACAAGAAAGCAAGCGATAACGGCGAAGGGGACGGAAATGAAGAAGAAGAAGAGGATGATGATGACTTCCCCTTGGATTATTTTGTGTCCCAAGACAATAATGACAGCTATATTACCCTAGACTCCAATTATGAAGGTAGTAGTTCATATGCAAAATTGTTTGAAGATGTCAATGGTGATGAATTTCTCGATCCTAGCCTATTTATACCTTCAGAACTGACAAATGCAGCTCTGAACCAAGTTGTATTCAATGATGAATACTTGATTGAACAAACACAACCTTTGAAAACTCCACTACCGCCCTCAATGCCAGCGTCAAGTGCAAGGGCAATGTCCTTGACAAATCAAGACAATCTAGGAGACGAGTTTTTCTCATACCCTCAACTAACAGGTTCTTTGGGCAGCAACTACCAAATTCCAATGTCAGCTAAACTACAGACGGCTTTTAAACCTCCAGTACCACCTCAACAACAAACAGGTGCAACTGGAGGTCTCGCGACACCCCAATTTCTCAAAGTTCCTCAACAACAAATGCAAGTACAATCTCAAGCATTTAATTCGTATGATCAACAACCTTATTTGTCAGATGTAAATTACAACTATAATCTCATTCACCCCGATAGTGAATATTGGACAACGGGTCAAATAAATTCAAGTTTGACTGATGCAAATTCGATTCTTGATTACAATTTGGGTTTAGGATACGGTTACCCTGTGCAACAACACCCAATGATGTATATGAATGACGAGCTTATGCCCTACTTTGTCAATCAGCCAATAATGGTACCACAACAACTGTCAATGGCCGCGCTACATCAACAACAATTACAACAACAACAACAGCAGCAGCAGCAACAGCTAAAATACCAAAGCATGACAAGACAACAACAGATTAGCAACAAAATGATGACTAAAAAGAGGCAAATGCAGCAGCAGCAACAACAACAAGCTCAAAGACAGAAACTGAAGTTAAATGGAGTCATTGGCGGTGGTGGCATAACCAAAAAAAGTGTGGTCAAAGTGGAAAAGCCACAAATATTATTGAACGAAGTAGTTAACTCCAAAACCAATAGAATAAGCAAGGAGTAACTGAGACAACTTCTTCCACTCATAGCGCCTTCATCCAAGTCATTGATACCCACCAGTTTATTTCTACTCTTTTCAAATGTATTTTACATAACTTAGTGACTTCTTTTTAATACATGTGTATTAAAGCTATATACCCTTTAAATTCTAGCACATTATTTCTTTCTCACAAATCAAATCTCTTGTATCCCAGTCGCATCATTTGCTGTACTCTTCAATGAGCCTTTGTTTCGCTATGGGATACCTTGACTTCAATCTAGCCATAACTTGCCTTTGGTCGGGATTCAACGATTCATTTTTCAATAAGCTACCATAACACACAACAGCTGAACTACGAACTTCAGCTTCCTTACTAGTGAGGAATTTACCTAAGATGCTGTCCAATTGGCAGAGCTTTTCCTCATTGAGTGAATTATCCTGACTTAATGCAATTGATAAGAAATATAAGCATAATTGAACCATGAATTGGTTCAACTTGGCACTTTCTAATTTGTCAAGATATTTCAACACAATGGTCTCAAATCTTGTCTTCATTGGAGCATGAACAGAGCTCGTGTTACTACCATACTTGATGATCAGGGTTAAGATCTCAGTCCAGAGCAAATACACTTCATCACAAGCTTCTGTAATGTATTTGCAAGTGAAGCTCAACACTGAGAAAATCTTTTCAACATCAATTGATTCATCATACCTCAGTAAAAGTTGAAGAAGATATGATCCATAAATCACTTCCTCTTGAGTCATTGGCCGAGCCCCATACTCAAAACCAAGTTCAAAATATTCCCACAACGAACTCGTCAACTTGTGTTTGCCCGTAGTCAAGAAATATTCTCTAAATTCAAAACTCATGGCGCTCAATGATGCAATTGAATGGCACACTGAGGCCATTGATGGAATCTTTTCGCCCATATCGGCAATCAGAGCAATTATATCACAATGGTGGTTAAACTGATCAATGGCCAAGGCATCCCCGTGGAGCCCATTTCTCAACAGCTGGTGGTAATACATTATTGTATCCATGTTTCTCTCATTGCGAGATTCATTGATGGAACGCTTAGTATCCTCATATATGTTTATCCTTTTATTCTTTTGTGCACGCGATGCCAATGGATCTGCTTTTTCAATCATTGTTTGAACTGCATCCAGGGCCGTAGTGTAGTTGGTTGCAGGATATTCAATGTGGATCAGAGCCATATCTTCAACCAAACCCTCTTGAGGCTCATGGCTCGTTGCAGGTTTGGGAAAAGGGACAGATTCTTTTACAGACAGTTTTCCCAATTTGAAAGGACGTACACCTTCTAACACTGATTCATCTCCGCTACTCATCTCTCTTGGTGTGGTGACATTGGGTGAGGGGGTTTCCTGCTTCTCATTCTCCAGTACATGCTCCCCCTCAACAATCATAGAAACATCCTCACCAGCTTCTTCAATTTGCCCGAGTGAGCCCTTCTCAAACGTTTCATCATTCCTCAACTTAGGAACAACCATGGTAAACCCATCTTCAGCTGATTGAGGAACAAAATCGGCTTTCAAGATTCCTGGATTGATCTCGGTCATTTCAAAAACGGAATGATCTAAAGGATTTTCTAGTGCCACCGTACTATCAATTCCAACAATAAGTTCCACTTCATCCTTGACAGAAAATTCAGCCTCATCCAACAACTGAGTAAATCTGTTTGAGTCAATGGCATAAAGCTGACAAAAAAGTTGTTTCAAATCGGCGTACGCTTCCAGACCTTTCAACACCACAATCAGTCTAACTAACTCTTGGAAAAGCTCTCCAAATTGCACGTCTGTGAAAACTGTTTTTGTAAGCGCAATCAGAAAAGTTTGCAACACCAGTTTGGCGATTTTGAACTGATAAGTGGAGATTAGAAACTTAAAGCAAGTGCTTCCAGGGATATTTGGGGAATCAATCACTGTTCCTAGCAATTGCAACTCTGCATTATAAAAGTCATCAAACGCGACATCAAATGCAGCAAGCTCATAAATTCGCTGATCAATTTCTGGAAATACAATGGAGTATACCCGAACAAAATCATCAAGCGACAACAACTTTGCCGCTGTTTTGAATACATAATCATTAGACGTAAACAATTGTTTCAATACCATGGGGTTCTTTTCAGAAATGTAACGCAATCGACTCTTTAGTGCATGAGCATTGGAAACATCTTCTTTACTGATGATGGCATATTTCAATAACTTCACACCTTCTGTCAAGTCATTTGTGTGTTTGGACGACATTAATTCAATCATTGGGTCCTGATCCCTTGAAAACACCCTTGATGAATCAGCAGGTGGTTCAGATGCAGAGTGTCGAACCACTACTTCATCTTCTTTCTCCACGGGAGATTTGGTTAACACTTCTGTTCTGCTTCTTGCTCTCTCGACATGCGTTACTGGTTCTTTGTGCGGAGCATTCCAGCTACTTGCTCTAGGTGTAGGTCTGTTTGATTCGTTCTTTAAGGCTTGTTTATCAAATCTAATTGGTTTACCTTCATTGAGTACAGTAACAGCTGCCACTGTGTTGGATTCTCGAGAAGCTGAACGAGAGGCAGGTTTACTCTGATTCATTCCCTGTATTCTATCCCATGCAGATTCTTTAATTGGTGGAGCGGTAGCTCTAGTGGACAATTTTCTCGTGGTGGTTGCCATTGGACCCAACTCCTTCTGTGACCTTTGCAAAGCCCGAATAGTATTCGCGTCAAATCTTGTAATCAATGCATCTGATTCCTCAGGACAAACTTTGGAAAAGCACCAGTAACAATCCTTGGACACCTGACGAACGTTTGGATTTGCGTCCTTTAACAATTTAATCAATAGTTTGTTGCACGTGTCAATTGCTTGTCCATAGTGACCATTGAAAAAGGAATGGTCAACGGCATACCTAAGAAGCAAAATTTGCATCCAGATTGCCGCGAATGAACGTGGTTTGAAATTAGGTTCATCCATTGATTGACATATTCTTTGAAATAGTTTGTTGTTACAGTTCAAATTGGCATATAGTGCGGACATCGCCATATGAGCATTGGTCGAGGTGATACTCTTCGTTGATAGACACAATTTCATCAATGTGGGAAATAGCAAATCAGCGCAAGGTTCAAACTCCGTTTGTAATATTATTGCACATTCTTTAATCAATTGACAACTGTGCGTGCACAAAGTTGTTCGAAGAGAGCTTGCACCCTTACAAATGGGAAATGCGAATGCTTTCAAGCATGATACCAAATCTTCCCTAATGCTTGTGGCTGCGTTTCCACGTAAAAGAGTTCGGATTTCAACAATGCTCTGCTCTCGCTTTTTCCAATTTGATTCGCTTTCCTTACCTTCAAAATATGCGAAATACGTATCGAAGATATGCCCGAGATCAGCCCCATCGGAAACATCTTTGGTTTTTATCGATGTAGCTAAATCATAGTTGGCTTTGTTCAAAAGGTTGGTTAGACTGGTTGAAAAATAGTCCACATCATTATCCGAACAACTCTCTATGGGTTTCTGCTTGACCTCTTTTTTCTCCAGCAGACGAGTTGATACAGCTTCAGAACTACTTGGTCTACTTCCCGGAAGTATTGCCTTAAAAACATTATTCCCAATATTGTGTGACTTGCATTGAGACTTTAAATATTGAAGGATATTTGAGTTGGTTGAAACTTGTATGTATGTATCAAACAATTGACCCACGCAATCAATGAACTCCTGATTATCCTGATTGCTGGACAACAGCTTCAAGATTGCAGGCACAAAAAACCGTACATTGAATTTCAGACTGACGTTTTTCACAATCTGATGCATCCACTGGATGGACTCAATTGTTACTTGCAAGTTGCCGCAAGTAAATGAAATCTCATTTACAGCATTTTCCACTTCAACCGGCGTGCTAAGCCAATAATCTTCAAGGGCCTTTTTCGCAATCACCACATTGTTACTCCCCAATTTATTAATGAGAACTGGAAGGATTAAAAAGCTTTGTTCTTTGAGAATTTTACCTGACGGGTCTTGCACGCTCACACGTTTAATCAAATACGACAATGCATTAAAACTCACGTTCGAGACCCCACTCTCCTTAATTTCAAGCCCCTTCATTATAATATGAAGATACATGGGAACTTCATTTAGGTCAATGGAATCCTTTTTGATATGTGTCTTGAGAGCCAGAATTTGTTCCAACTTCGAATCACTAGTAGTTGCGTTTGACTCCAACGTTTGTAGCATCTCCTGAGAGTTTGGTGAAACCGATTGCATTATACAATAGTTCTGTAGTGTTGAGACCAGATTGTACGGAGGAGATGTGGTGTTTAAAGGAATGAATCGATGGTTTATATCATATCAAAAAGTGTAAACAAAGTCAAAACAAATTTGACGAAACGCGACTCACTCACTCATTCACTCACGCGATATTTAGTATGCACATTGAATTGATTTTTTTTAGTTTACTCTTAGACGAAGATGGCACCATACAGTGACTATACTTCTGGAGTGGTATTCACTAACATCTATACTACACGACATATCTAAGAAAACTTCCACAACCCAAACAATGCACTTGTAACACCAAGTCCCAAAATGGTTGAGGAGGCTCTTGACAAATGCATTTTGTTCTCTGATTCATCTTCTTCGAATCCATACTCTATCTGACCTCTTGGTCTCAACGGACTTGATGCATCAAAGCTTGGACGAGCACGCTTTAAATGCTTTGTTGCATTCAATATATCTCTTGGCGCTGTATCCACAACAACGTTTTGAACATTACCAAAAAAGTCCGTCAACAAGACCTCACTCACATTTCTCTTGAATAGGTCTGTTCGAATTCCTGCATGTGAATGAACATTTTCAAAGTTGAGTATCTCAAATAACTTGTCCATTGTTTCCTTGGACTCTCTATTGATCTTTTCAAGGAAGTCTAATGCAAAATAAGTGAATCTATCAATAACAGCAACACCAATATCCATATCAGAGTGATGACTGTAAGAGCTCTCATCAAGTTTGGAAGAGCCAATGCAAAGAATATTGGGTGAATAAATATGCTCATACATGGTGTTAGCTTGACACGTGTCAATCATGAAAAAGATTTCATTATATCTCTTCTTCTCGTGCATTTGGGCAAATGCATCTGCAATGTCATGAGCACCAATCTCTTCAGCGTCTTGAAACTTTAAGAATTCGTTCCCTCCATGGCCCGTCAAGTAGATAAAAATGTTTGAATTCTCATCAGTCAACAATCTCTTTGATCTAGGCTGTTCCGGTCCCCATCGGTCAGTCAATAAACGAACAAAGTTCTCTACCGTCACTTCGTACCCTCTGTAATCAACTTCAATACTGTTTCCGTATAGATCTAATGCTTGATCCATATTGTTGAATACAGTTCCAGGAAATGCATTTCTTGCATTACAAGCAACGTCATCGGAAAGCATAAGAATAATTTGGGAGTCGGGAATACCCAATCGTTTTACCGTACGATAAAAACTAAGCACATTTGCCATATGCCGATAGTTGAACCAAAACCGTGATGTTGATACCAAAACTGCCCAGTTGTTGGTGTGATTGGATTTGTTAATAGAGTCAAAGGTTTGTTCAGTGCTGGTACCAGAGCTTGAGACTTCTGATACTGCCACTTGCAACAAGAAGGCAAACGGTAGTAAGAACAAGTACAGAACTTTCATTGTAGTAGAAGGTGGTTGAGACTATGGCTTCCAGATTGTATATTGTTTTCCTTTATTCTTTTTTACTGTGCTCAAATTTACGCGCATAATGATTACAAACTCATCTATATATTCTCATGCAACCTTTTCACAGCATTGTTGACAACCTGTGCACACTTTAACTTTTCATAATCATTATCGCCAAGTCTTAATGCAAAGATAAACTTGCAAATGATTGCTTGTTTCTCGTTTTTCAAGACTTCAGCAACGTGCTCTTCAAACTCCTCCCTTGGGATATCAATTCGTTTTGTCTGCATATAATAACTTAGTTTATAACCAATCATGGACATTATGTAAGCAACCTGCTTGGGTGTAGCTTTTCGAGCAAATGTGTTTCGCTTCTCAGCATACTGTAAATGGTCGCTGTATTTTGTTTTCAATGCGGCAAATACTTCAAGTAAATTGGCACTTCTATGAATAACCGTTCCGGACTTGTTCTGAAAGGTATGATGCAGTGCCTCAAAAAGTTTGTGTCCCCTATAAGTAGTTCGTTTCAAAATAAAATAATTATCGGACAAGCCAGGCATACCCCAAACCTTACTTGTTTCAATCATTGCCCATGGATACTTATTTCTGAGCATGACTTTGTCTACTATCGCCCGATCTCGAAACCAAATCGCTGGTGTTTGATTAATCAGTGGTTGCTTATCTAGACACACAATTTCTTTCCTGTGATACTCTAGGATCCTTGCAACAGCAATCTCTCTATCCTTGCTTGATAATTGTGCATGAGGAGATGGCACGAGTTGGTCCAAATCTTCTTCCCGTTCAAGCAATTTCTTTCTTGAGTTTACCAATTTCTCCCCTTCTAGTGATGGTTTGATGTCTATTCCTTGTCTAGTCAATTCAACCATATCAACTATATGACAATGCGTCTTGTCCTTGTGTAACCTCAAACCTCTTCCAATCATTTGTATCATCAACGATTTCGACATTGTGGGTCTCGCAAGTATAAGTGAGTCAATGTTGGGCATATCAGTACCTTCTGTAAACACTTGGACATTGCATAGCACCGGAATCAATCCCAGTTTAAAGTCCTCGATTATGGAAGCTCTTTCAACCTTGGAGGTTTCGCCTGTGACATATTGCGCATTGATCCCGTTACGTTGAAACAAGTCACAAACATCAAAACAATGCTCGACCCCAACGCAAAATATCAATGTGCTCTTGCAATCAACTTCCTCCTTGAGACGTAAATATGCCAATACAATCTTTTCATTGAAATCAATCTCTTTCATGGCTCTGTACAAACTTGCTGGATCGTATTCATTCTTGACTGTTTTCACTTGGTCTAGATTTATCTTGACCTTAACTTCACTTATTTTTGCATCAGCTAGTTCCTTATTCTTAATCATACTTTTTAACGACCTCTCGTAAACAACTTCATCAAAGATATGGCCCAAAGATTGCTTGTCGAGTCGCACAAGTGTTGCCGTGAAACCAATCACACTAATTGTCAGATTAGAATCCAACGCTTTGAAATGGTTCAAGACTTTCCTATATGTAATAGCAGGTGCGTGGTGACACTCATCAATAATGATGCTCTTGAATTCCATTGGGTCGAATTTCTCAAATCTCCTTCGGCGAACTAATGATGGCACAGATGCAACCACCACATCAGCATCTGGGGATGCCTTCAATTTACGCATCTCCACCTCGACTTTCAATCCAGGGTTCATTAAACGTATTTTCTTGACTGCTTGATCAATCAATTCTTCCGTATGAGCAAGTACCATGACCTTGTTACCTCTCCCCTCGCCAAGTGGTTTTAAGCGAGGGATCAAATGAGAAAACACAATCGTTTTTCCACCACCAGTAGCTATCACCACAGCAGGTTTTCGCACACCGTTGGCAAGTTTACTCAAGACTGCTTCCGCAGCATCTTCTTGATAATCGCGTAGTATGATGGGTTTATTTGCATTCGCAAGAATTGATTCTAGTCCTGGGTGAATCTTTTTGGGAACGAGACTGGTTACATATTCGTTTGGTGAAATTGAAAGTGTCGCGTCATCGCTAAGCTGGTGTCTATTGAATGATGGGTGAAAGTGCCGTATTATAGTACATCGCTGGATGACCCACGGTAAATACCTAAATCTCAAGTATCCTATTAGCATAGACAAGTTGATGAAATGTTTCTCATTGGTTTGAGGTTCATGGTCCCGTTTCCGATTGGTGATTTTATTGATGCGCGGTTTTTCACCAGTTGCAACAAATGTTTTACAAAACTTGGTTAGCAGTATTTATATTCAACTTGTATAAATATCTACTCTACAACGCTTATACACATTATGGTGAAACAAGTCTGGATTATCATCGACCTGCTGGACATTGTTTCCGTTTAGAGCATTAACGTCTGGTGCATTTATGCTCATCAAAGCATACGTTCCATCTTCAGTATTAATTGACCTGCTGGGACGGATAAACTGACCGGGATTGATCAAGACAACACCTTTAACCACTTTTGCAAACACTTTTAGTTCCGATGGCAATATTAAAACATCCGGTAATGAGTTTCCCAACTCAGTTAATCCCAAGTATGGTGTCTCTAATGAAGACCCACCAACACTCACTCCAGTCAACTTCTCCCCAGCGGCACCATTGGATAGCTCTGATATATCTTGTTCGTGGGTTTTGGCTATAGACCCTGGCATTATCGGATAATATCGCCTTTGTTCAAACAAGTGACCAATCACCCTCTCAAATCTGTTGTTTGAAAGTTTGCCATCGTTTTTAAACACTTCTTTCAAGTCTTTGAATAAATCGAGATTGGAAGACCCAATAAGAATTTCGTTGACAGCAAAACTCGATGGGTTGGGGAAAATCTTGACATTTTTTGGCAAGTTAAATTTCTTTCTATCAAAAGAATCTTGTGGGAACGAACAATGGTTGACACAGCTGTCTTTCAACGATGGGAACAAGACAACTTGTATCTTAGTATCAATCTTTTTCAAAATGGGGGTTATCAATAACCTAAAAACGTCATCGAGGTTTTTTGGTTGTTGGTCTTTGGGGAAGTTAAAGTTACCCTCCTCGACCTCTTTGTTGGACAAGTCGATGAAAGGGCCATTCAAAATGACCAAATTAGGTAACATTTGAGTGTTTATTTTATCAACCAAGTTTTCCAATTTAGTGTATTGAAGTTTGTTCAGATTTGAATATGGTCCAGATGCAACAAGAATTTTGAGACCTTGTCCGTTTTGAAATTGATTATACTCTTCCAATTCTGATCTACTCGACACTGGAGTTCCCATCTCTGGCAACGGCATCACTTCTTCGGCAACAAAATGCTTCCCCGTCGGGTTTCGTCCCTTTAAAACAACAATCTGCCCAGGGAAGAACGAAAATCCCGGCAACTTGCTCAAGTCAAGTGGGACTCTTTGACCAATACCTGATAATCTTGATGTTTCCAAAAATAAAGAATTACTGTTTAAAGTCTCGTTGTCATATGTTGGAGAGTCGGGCACTATCCTTCCACAGCACAAAATATCAAATTGCGAACTTAAACATGGATTTCCAAACTGTTGGCTCGACTTGTTGTGTTCTTGATACAATTGTGCCGCACTATCTATTTGGTCGTCCAACACGTCAGCACTTTCAAGTAGCTTCATTTGCATGGTACGAAACTTGAATTTGGTGGGGTCAAAGTTTGCCGTCAATTTGAATGGATGTGCTGCACCTAATGCATTTATCACTTCAATTTCGGGGTTTAAAGTTTCCAACAAAGTATGTGAATCCTTGGATGGCTTGATAGGGGAAGTTGTGAACGTATTATTTGCACTTTCGTATTTAGCAGGTGATGACAAGTCTGGCTCCGACAGATCAAACTTTGTCCTCTTTGAATGAGGAGTGGCAGGACTGTTATGATTGACTGTTCTTTTAGATAATGGTTTCCTCCCAGAAGCATCCTTCACAACATGAACACCCTTAGGAGTCAACTTGTTATTGGCTAACTTTTTTTGTAAATACTCATGAAATTGAGTCAATGTTGACATATTCAACTCCAAATCCTGTTGCACTTCCGCCACATTGTAAGACTCCCATTCCAAAAAGAGGTCATCAAGATCCACGTTGAAAATTTGCATGAGTGACTTTAATTTCTCATACTCGTCATCGGTAAGCTTCGTAGATGGGCCAAAAGCCTTGGCAACTTGGTTTACAAAGTTTTCATCCACCATTGCTTGTTGTTTACTTGATCAAAAAGGAATTTGTTTGCAAAGGGTTCAAAAATTGTGCACTTTGGGAAGACGCGTTTTTCGCATAATTTGGTAGCATTTGAATAGCTTTTTGTCTTATATTATACATCGAACATACACACATTACCAACTTACTCTTTCGTATCGTCTTTCGAGGCATCTTGATCATTGGAATCTGCAGATTCTTTGACACCGGCGTTATTTTTCTCTACTTGCTTAGTGGCATCATCGGTTGACTTGGAAACCCCAGCTGTTTCACCTGCTGTAGTATCTTCCTTCTTTAGCTCCCCTGCCTCCTTACTTTCATCGGCCTCAGGGATCTTGTCATCATCTATGGCGCTTTCTGATGCATTGCCCTTTTCATTAGACTCGGCTGAATCAAATCCATCGCCACCCTTTTTACGATCAAACTTCTTACCCTTACCTCCCTTTTGCTTCTTACCTTTGTTGTTTTCATTAAAACTGTTACGTCTCTTGGTAACTTCATTTTGACCAAATCTTTTACCACTTTCTCTCATTTCTTGGAATGTCAACAATGTCATTTTCTTTAAAAGATCCTTTTTGTCGATATCTTGTGCAGCTTCTTTGCTAAGGATACCTTGATCGAACGATATTTCGACATCCTTCACTAAATACTGAGCATCCTCCTCATTTGTCAACTCAACGTCAACAACACCGAAAAATTCCTTCTTTGCTTTGCTTTTGATTCTACGCACAGAATTGATTGCTTTCTCCTTTTGCAAGTGTGGAGCGATCTTCTCTTCAAACCATGCTTCGACTTGCTCTTGAGTTAAATCATGTGGAAACCCTTCGATGTGTACAGTGTTTCTCTTTTTGGTGTTTTTGATCTCATTGAAATCCTTCAATGGATCTATTCTTTTGATCATGTCATTGTTGGCGGACAATTCCAATTTCTTGCTTGATCTCAAAGCTTCAATGACTTTTTCCTCTGGTCTGTATTGTTTCATTCTTCCAAATGTCAAAATAGTCTTTAATTCAACCCAGCCATCATTTGCTTCGTAAATCTTCCATAAAAACTTGTCTTGTTGTAAATTGGAATCTGAAAAGTAAAACTCGACTTGCTTTCTGACTTTGTCTTCAAAATCATCTCCTTGGTAGACAAATTCAGTCATGTTTTGAGGGTACGTTCGGTCTATTTCGTGGCAATTACAAATTGTTAGCTCGACTAGGGCTTCTTTTCCAGAAATCGAAGTTTTTTTTTTTTTTGCTTCCATCTCTTCGCCCGAGATGATAGAGAAGGATAAACTAGAGTAGATAGACACTACAAAATGTTACTGTAGAGGCAAAGATTTACAAAAAAAAAGGATGTTCTAAATGGGGCACACAGCATAGCTTTTTGCAAAACTCTAACGTGGTTATGGTTATCTTGTAGTCCAACCTCTCCATATTTGAAACCCCGATTTCTTCAATGTCATTTTTTTTTTTATTTTTCTTTCACCAAATTTCACATCAACTTCTGCAAAGTCATGAAATTACCTACAAGAAGTCACACCATACTAAACAACACAAGAGTTTTCTTTCGTTATATGTCGTCGTCATTTCCTAAACCTACAAAATCTAGAGCTACGGAGTTGGAGAGCAACTACAATACCATACTTGCAAAAGTTCACGCCTTGAATCCAAACACAAAATTAGTTGCAGTTTCAAAATTCAAGCCTTCATCCGATATAATGGCATTGTATTCTATTGGAGTACGACATTTTGGCGAAAATTATGTCCAGGAACTAGTTGCCAAATCAGAAGAGTTACCTAAAGATATATGCTGGCATTTCATTGGTGGGTTGCAGCTGGGTAAATGCAAAGATCTCAGTAATAAAGTTTCAAATTTATGGGCAGTTGAAACAGTGGACAGTTTGAAGAAATGCAGACAATTGAACAATGCCAGAGAAAGAAAAGAAGGTGATGTTATCAATGTGTACCTTCAAGTTAACACATCAGGCGAGGAACAAAAATCGGGTTTCTTACAAATGTCGGATTTAGAAGAGACAATCGAGTACATTCAAAGCGATGAATGTAAAAAGTTGAAACTTGTTGGGTTAATGACAATAGGTTCAATCTCAGAATCGAAATCGGATCATGAAGAGAATTATGATTTCAAAAAATTAGTTGAATGGAAGCACAAGTTGGATGAAAAATACAATTTGGATCTTGAATTGAGTATGGGTATGAGTAGCGATTTCGAGCAAGCTATCAAACAAGGAAGTTCAAGTGTCAGAGTAGGGTCATCTATATTCGGAGCTAGACCACCAAAAGTAGAGAACTAAAAATGTAAATAAAACTACAACAGGTACGAAGCTAAAAATGTTGATTGGAATAAACAAAAGATATATGATTTGTCAAACCAGCTTATATTTTGTTCAATAACTTCTTCAAACCAGATCTCTTACGTTTAGGTTCCTTTTGTGAATCAGTTTCCGAGGTTTTGCTTGAGCTTTCATCATTATCTGCACCACTCAGTTTGTCTCCATTTTGTGACTTTGAAGACTTCGAATTCAGATTGGATCCTTTACCAGAAGAGGATTTATCTTTTTCCACTTGGGTATCGGAATTGCCATTGAACTTGTCGTCTCCTGCTGCCAATGCTTTTCTCTGTTCTGTGGCAGGAGCGTTACTATTCTTAATTCCTGACTTGTTTTCCTTTGCTGGAGCCGGATTGGTATCAAATTGCTGCTCACGCTCCTTCTCCTTCTCTTTCTTCGAAGGAGGTGCTGCTGCGGCGCTTGCAAGACCAGCTCCACCAGGAGCACGCTCTCCAGCCTTTGCGGCGTTTTCAGAATGAGTGGTGTATTTGTTTGTATCAACAGTTGCGGATTTATCATTAGGAGCTGGAGGAAGTTGGGATGAGCCTTGAAGTAACTCATTGGTATGAGTGGTTTTATCAGTGCCAGTCTTCTCCTTATTGTTGCCATCACTAACGTGAGTATTGTTATCAATAGTACTATAGTGTTTCTTGCTGTTTGGATCTGACTTGGCTTCAATTATGGAGTCACTTGCATCCTTGTCTTTATTTAACCTATTATACTCCGCAGACGAGTTAGTAGCACTTGAGTCTTCCGGCTTTCTCTTTTCCAATCTGGCCAATTCCGCTTGTCTTTCCCTCAAAAGTCTTTCCTTTTCAGCAATTACGCGTGCTTGCTCCGAACGTGAATGAACAGTTGTTTCACTTGCTTGCGTAGACGTAGAATATCCTTGCTTTTTTGATGGGAGTTTCTCAGCGGCAACATCGTCAACTGGCTCAACGGCACTAGGGGGTGTAAAGTCCAAGGTGGAGTCAACGGTGAATTCGTTCCATGCTGGTACATTAACCACTTTGATAGTCGGTTTGACGTGTTTGGAATAGTGGTCGTGTCTCAATTTTATATCATTATCAACAAAGTCATTTTCCCATTCAACTCCACTCTTGAACAACTCACTCAAATTGTACAAAATATAACTCAAGAATAAGAATGCATGCTCAGTAAACAACATCAACAAAACCAACTTGGCCGAGGAAGAAATATTAACACTAGCATTATCCAATGCAAATTGACCCATAGTCTTTGGTGGAGCAGTACCATGACGATAGAAGGCGGTAACAACAGGAGAAACGATAGATCCTAACCAAGTCAATAAAAACAATGCCCAGTTCCAAGGGTGAATCGAGTCCACTCTCTTAGGAATGGGAGGTTTAAAGTAGTTTCCATTGAATAATTTAAAGTGGTCCAATTTGAAGAAAACAACTGCGAAGATCAATGAAACCAAAGGTGCCAATGGCCAAACAGGACCAAATAAAATCAAGTAACCATATTGCAAAACGACACTTCTAAAGTCGTCATCAACGACATACTCAGGTAAATCCAATGAGAGTCTGACATTTTGTAACCAACGAGCTTCATATGGATCATCTGCTGAAGTTTGCAATTGTGGCTTCTTTTGAACCTTAGTTTGATACAACTTGACTACTTTTGTAATCAATAATGGCAAAATATACTTTAAAAATGCTTGCAAGACTTGATTAGTGACAACAAAGTAAAAAAATTGAGCATTCAACCTGCCCTGGTTAATCTTAAACTCCTTTTGAGATTTCAATTTTGTCAAATATTTGGCATAAAATCTGTTTTCACCAACATATGTGGAAATGGTGGTTTGAATGTCACCCAAATGAGGACCAACTAAATGGGCAAAGGGCAAGTACAAAAATGACGTGATAAGTAATGGTGCATAACTAGTCAAAAAGTTTAAAACGTATGCCTTGATCAAAACTGATTGATTTTCACTGACTTGTGTGTCGTGTCCTTCCAACTTGATGACAACACTTGTAACAAGGTTGTAAATGATGGTTAAGATTGGCACAAACACGGAAATCAAAACCGTTGGCAACAATGTCAAGTATGACTTTCCTGGTCCATCGTAAAGATCAGTCAAGAAAATTTCAATAAAAAAACAACCCAATTGGTAGCTAATCAAAACAGCAGCAAATGCCAAAGCAATGGGGATAAAAAACAATTGTTTGACAAATCTAAAACCCTCGGTATTATTCTTGTGTAAATATGATGATTGTGGTTCAAAACGTTCATTAATCTCTGCCAACTCCAAACTATGCTCTTCAACGAGATGTGAGTTTTGAACACCCCACAAATTAACCAAGTATTGCTGCTTTCTATGCCAAAATGCCAAAAAGAAAGTACCCCAAAGTAAATTGAGAAACGTGTACCCTAATGAGTAAGTTTTCGACTTTTTGAAATACTGGAAAATTCCCAATACTGATAACCCAAATAACCAATAAATGTAGTACTTATAGAACTCAAAGTAGAGAGCAATTTGTACTCCATATGTTCTCTTGATCTGGTTGGCAGATAATTCAGGTCTGGTGAAGGTATCTTTCAAATCTTCAACAATTCTGCTCTCATCAAACGCACTAGTAACAGGAACGATATTGACAACTTCTTCGTATGGAGCTTGTCCAGGTACTATCCCGCACCCTCCAAGTTTCTTGGTACTTGTCAAGTATTGGTAGATGATTCTAATTCTTGCACTAAACTCATCATCTTTTGCAGTAACACCAAACTCATAATTCTTGATCAAATCCTTTTCAGCTTCTTCAATGAACTTGTAAGGGGATAATTTGATGAAAATCAACAAGTGTGTAGGATCACCTGGTCTAATTGATGCAGCAAATCCTTTATCGTATAAATACTCGACAAATGTATACAATGCTTTCTCTGATTGAGAACTGACTTTCTTTGTTTTCTCATCAATTGGATAATTGTATGAGATGTAAAAATCAGGGTCCAATTCCTGAATTGGTTGTGGCATGGCGCGTGATGATAACTGGCAACCTTTGGCAATTTGATTTGAAAAGTAGTTTCTGAAGCAGTTTTGCCTTGATGTAGTCACTCTTTACCAATAGTTCAAGGATAACTGAGGGAGGGTTTTGAAAAAGTGTTTTGGAAAAAGAAAAGAGCAATTGAGTTGTATATGTATTCCTTGGGTGGATGAAATTTTATTACATAAAACCACACACAAAACAATAAAGTACAATACAATTTTAATTCTTTTTTTTTTAGCAATTGAAAACCAACTTACTACTTTACACACACAGATATGGAATGATGCAATTTTTGTGACTAAATAAAGTTGTTGCATTTTTGTGTGACTAGAGAGTACTTACAGTTGTGGTGTGGTAATTGGACTTTTGCAGAAACTCGAAATTCGGTCTTTTCAATGTAGAGTGTATGGCGTAATTGTGGACCTTATTTGAGAGCTTTCTTCAATTGCTACTATGACGACTCTCACAAGGCGGAGCACCTTGTTCTAAAGGCGTAAAGAAAGAGCCAGCACAACGACTCTAGCAAGAATTGATTATACAATCTTTGTTGCTCTACATAGAGGTTGCCAATGGTCTCCTTTAACAACATCAGTCAAATGCATTATAACAATCACGGGCTGAGTTTCTATATTTTGTCGTGAAATTGAACAATGTCTGATCATCCATTGTTGTGACAACATCAAAGGGAAAGATGGTAGTTTGCTGTTCGCTGTTTGCTGTTTGTTTAATGTTGTTTGCTAATTTCTCGCTGACTTTGTTGCCTCGGCATTTTAGGTTGTGGTTCGGGGTGTGCACAAAGATCAATTTCTCTATTGTGTGACGTGATTTATTAGGAATACAAATTAACCCATGACAAAAAACTCAAAAGGGTCTCCTTAAACACACACATATCACATTCCATACATCACACATTTCTTTCCACCAATCATCAATCAATCAATCAATCAATCAATCAATCAATCATGAGTCCATAATAGTCCAGAGTATCGATATGAGTGAGGCAACAAAGAGAGTCTGATCATGTTTTGCGCCTCTATAATTAGAGAATCAGTCAACGACGTTTTTTAATAAAATTGGTAAGTATTGTCATCCTTTCACTCCTTGTTCCTTTTATCGATAGGTAGGTAATTCACCATAAGGCATAAAAGTCCATGTTATACATACAAGTCACAACACTATTTATTACTAGCAAACTTTCACATAGTCTATCAAGCATCACTAGCCTTCCAACCCAGTATTGCGATTAGAAACTTCCCCAATCATGCTATTAAGTAACAAACACCAATCTTTTATGATCAGTATGTGCCCCCAACCCTGTTGCTTCCTAAACACGTCCCTCAAAAAGTTGTTCTTTGGTATTTTTGATGATTTCCGCCTCCCCCTTTTTTTTTTTGGCAAGTTCAGTTGTCATTTGATAAACCTCAACGTTTGTTTCCACTGCTTTGTTTAACTTACGGTTTATCTTTTCTAGGTTTTTCTTTCCAATTTTTTCTTCTTTCCCAGGTTTCACCCAGGTTTTTCAGTTGTTCTTTCATGTGCTAGCTACTACCTCCTCACGCACCGACCCCGTAACCTCCTTCAATGAAAAAGAAAAAGATAAAATTACAGATACGAGAACTTGATCCATTCAGTAATTGCTTTTCATAACGATGTCTACAATTATCAGCTTCTCAGGTTTCCTGTGTATTTATTACTAACCTAACTGTTAGATGCTTTTCATCCACTTTGCGAAATTTTGTGTTTTAGATAGTGCTGCTTTTCCTCACATATCAGACTCCCTTTGCTCACTCAACTCTGGTCTAGGATGGAATCGTGTTTGGTTTGAGATAGTACTAACTTTACAAGTGTATAGTAATAAAATTTTGCAATTTAGTATAAATTGAAACATATGTAAAATCTCAAAAACTACCAATCTACATACTGTCTAGAAACTGGTCTGAAAACTCTTATTTTACCACTCTTGAACTCACCAATCTTGTACGATTCCTTTTTAATGTGACCAGAAGCATCTTGTTCGATAACTTTGAATTTCTCCTTTTTGGGATCAAAATCATAAATAACTCCTGCGCACGTACCGTTATCGGGTCCATCACCAACAGTGACTGACTTACTACCAATGATACCCTTGTGTGTACTAAACTTGCCATTCTTGATCCACAAAATATCACCTGCTTTAATATCGTCAATTTTAGAAACATTGGAATTATTGAAATTCTTGTAAATGGTAACTCCATATGATTTATTACCAATTGGTGGTAATAACTTTGATTTCAATTGAGGGTTTTGGGAAATGTGCATAATGAAATTGCTATCCAATTTGGATCCAAGATAATGAGCAGCTGTATTGACAATTTCAGAACCAAATTCACGATGATTATTTTCTAAATAATCTTTGCGAATGGCTGGGTAAGGTTTGATGAACTGATTAACTAAACGTATGGTATTTCTAGGATCACTTTCATCAAACTCCAACTCAAACACCAATTGTGACAAATCGTAAAAGAGAACATAATAGTCACGATAGATGGTAGTTCTGCCTCCACGTTTGTGAATCTTGTTGGTATCAACTTCATAAATTAAGTCAACGCCAATTTTAGTGACCAATGACTCGGGCAATTCATTCTTTAACCACCAAGTAGATGTCGACTTGATATTGGCAATCTCAAACTCCAATTGCTCCAAGGTAATTTCCGCTTGGCTTCGATCTCTTCCACTTCCCTTGAGTGACCTTGATCTCGACATTGAATCCGTTGACTTCCTGCCTGGAACTGATCCAACCGATGCGCCTGTTGACGTTTGCATCAAAGGTGGAACTTCTGTCAGTGCTCTTTTTGGAGGTTCACCTACTGGAATTGAAGGGGGCGGTGGGCCTGCCCCTGGCACAGGCGGGGGTGGCACACTTCCCTGGATCGGTGGCGGAGGAACACTGCCAGGAATTGGAGGTGGGGCACTTCTGGGGTGAGCTCGGGTCTCACCAGACGACACAGTATGGGCTCTCTGTGGTGCAGAATGATGAGGTGGTTTATCAACCAACTCAAAGGCATTATCATCTCCCTCTTCTTCTTCAGAGCTGCTATCGACCACGTCCCTGTGTTTCTCACCCGCCAACAGTGAAGGAGAAACAGGAATATGAGCACGTTGCTGAGGTGGTGCAGACGGTGGAGGTGGGGGTGGTGCAGGGTGTGATCTTCGACGCTCTGCCTTTACCTCGCGATCAACAGGAGGTGGCATGGATCCTGGAATTGGTGGCATGGGTGGGGGTGGCCTACTTCTATCAGTACTCTTTTGAGAACCATGTCTCTGAGGAATTGGCGGAGCTTGCTCATCTTGCAATTGTCCACGAGACCCCGCTGGATTAATTTCATTTGCTCCATGGCCCTCAGGTTCACTAAACTCCGCTTCACGACGTTGATGTGAACCAGACAACCGGTGATCTTGCGGTTTGGACAAATCAGACAAGTCCTCATCAGCTTCATAGCCGGTGGCCTCGCCATCGAATGGACGGTGCTTTTGGAGCGTGATTGTATTTGCGTGGTCTTCACTATCAGAAGCTCTTTCGTGATGACGTTGTTCCTGTTTGTCGATATCCGTTTGAGTAATAAACTCCGCCTGGTCTGAGTCAGAAGGCTCGTCATCTTCAGCCATTGAAGAGCTTTCGTGACTAATCTTTGACTCATCGAAAGCCTTAGGACGACTTACAGGGATAGTTGGGTGAGCACCTGCTGTTGGATCCAATGTGGGGGCTGGATCATGCTTCGTTGGCTCGGAACCGGGAACGGTAGGAGCAGATGTAGGTGCTGGTGGAGACACTGGTGGTGCTGGTGGAGATGTCGGTGCACCTCTACGTGGCGATGACGGTTCTAAATCTCTCGATGGCACGTCCTTTTTGCTTTCTGACAAGCCAGTTGCATCAACCTCGTCTTTTGCAGCTTTTGGATTCTTTGTTGCTTGGCCAGTTCCTGGAGCTCCAAATGGTGTAGCCATTCCCATCATACCAAACATATTTCTTCCGCCAGAGATCTTTGCCATCCTCTCGACAAGTCTTCTACGTTTCAACTCTTCGTCGTCTTCCTCATCGTCCCCTTCCTCTTCTTCTATATCCTTGTCTTCTTCTGCGGGCGCATCATCAGCACCAGGACTTGATGGAGGGTTTACAAATTCCTCGCCATTATCATTCTGTGGTACTTCATTGCCCAGAACTTGTGCATGCAATTCCTCAGTAGATTGATGTTCAGCGCCGCCACTTGCATTGTATTCACCTCCAGGACCTGAAGGTTCTGCACCTTCGTGAACTTCCTCTGTTGCGATATGTTGTTCTCCACTTTTCTGTTCCCTCAAATGCTTCAATCGCTCCTTTTCTTCCGCTTGCTTCTTCTTCTTTTCCTCTTTCCTCTTTAATGCGGCAGCTTCACGTTCGGCTTCTTCTTGTTGCTTCTTTTGAAGCAAAGCGATACGCTCCTTCAAAGAAACCTTGGGTCCAGCATCATCCTCTTCTTGTTCATGCTCACCCTGAGGAGTGCTCTTGACAATATCTTCCAGATGCTTGGTTTCATGGACTGGATGGGCAACTAAATTAGACTCATCTCTTGGTTGAATCTTGGGGACATACGTTGATGTAGGGGCAGCTACGAACTGTTTCTTGATACTGTAAGGGTCCTTTGGCTTTGAAGCAAATGTCTGAGGAAGTGGGACTTTTCCTGCAGTAGGGCTTTGTTTTGTTGCCGAAGTGGGCAGTGATTGTGGGTTATTTTGAAAAGGCTCACCACTCTCAGGTTTATTCTCAATATGACGGACAGATACGTTTTCGGCTGATGGCGAACTTACCTGAGTTGGCCCTTTCGTATCAGATACTAGCTCTTGCTTTTTGGTTGGTCTATTCAGGGCGGGAACAACGGGAGCAACCAACACTTCAACAAAATTCTTGGGAAACATTCCTTCTTTGCCATTGTATTCCCCAGAATACCACTCATCATTCTCAATTGATGTAATTGTGATAATTTGACCGGCATCAAAGTTCAAATCGTCCTCGTACTCGGATTTGTAGTCAAAGATTGCTTTCACTTTGAAAGGCACGTCGGGTTCGGACATAGCTCAATGAGTTGTTTGTGAGTACAATTTGACTGATTGTTGGGTAGTTTAGATGGGTAAATCGTATGCGTTTTACGTGGTGTGATAAACTTGGTTAACTCAAAAAAGTATGGTCGAGTAGTGGTCATAAGAAAGTGAGAATTGCGAATGCCGTCATTTTGACTTTGAGTTATTTTGTTACACAAAAAAATGGAATAGGAGAAAAATGAAATTTGAAATCTAGCTTATATTGTCAAGGACTCAAAAAGGTAACTTCGCAATTACATTCTTGTGAGACCCACCTTACCCACATTTAGATATCAATGTCAAATGGATACAGACTACACACGTCGTCAACGAAACACATTAACCCTTCACATGCAAGCTCGTCTACGATTCAAATCACTGGTCAGGTTCTAGCTTCATCTCAGCCTACGAAATTGTTCAATTACCATCACGAAACATCAATCACGTCACTAGATTTTGACGATACTGGTCAATATTTGATTTCATCTGGTGTAGACAAATCCATACAGTTGTATGATTGTCACAAAGGAATCCACTATAAAGACATTCAGTCGCAAAAGTATGGTGCACATTCGGCAAGATTCACGCATGAGGGCCTTAATTGTTTGTACGCGTCAACGCCTGATGCACTTAGTACTACCGAAACAAAGGAGGATGACACAATAAGATATCTTTCCTTGTCAAGCAACCAATACATTCGTTACTTTAAGGGTCACAAAGCTCAGGTATCGAATATCAAGGTAAACCCAGTGCACAATACATTTGCCAGTTCAAGCTACGATGGAACTGTAAAGTTTTGGGATTTGAAAGTTTCATCTGCAATTGGTAGTATCTCCATTGGCCAAAACTCAGTTTGTGGGTTTGACCCACACGGGGTAGTTGTTGCGATTGGTAGGTACCCACTAGGTGAGTCTCGAAACGGAACATTGGGATTATATGACCTAAAAACATTTGATAAAGGACCGTTTGTTGAAGTCAACATACCCTGTCTACAGAATCAACTATGGAACAAGTTGGAATTTTCAAACAATGGTAAGCTCATATTGATATCAACTGATTCACGCGAACACTACATCTTAGATGCTTTTCTGGGTAGAGTTATGGCAATTGTGCGGTTATCTTATAAAAATGATCCTCAATGGATGTCGACTGAGTATCCGTACGATGGGTGCTGCTCTTTCACACCTTGTGGGAAGTTCTTGCTAGTAGGCAGTCCAAAATCGATAATCCACATATTTGATTTAAGCAATTTAAAAGCTGATGCTGAGCGTCCAGTGACTTTATCAAGATCAAATGATATTTTGAAGACGACCCAAGTACCCAAAATTGTTGCTTTCAATCCAAAGTTGTTTATTTTTGCAACCGCAGACACAACGGTAAAATTGTGGCAACCGACAGAAAGTCAAACTTAAAGGGAAGAAAAAAAATACATAATTAAGTAATTTATAGAAGTAATAGAGTACATGAGTAATCTCCAGACGTTTTTGAGTAAATCGACAGGTGTCATATCTAACGCGGTGAAATGTGGTGTGCGAAAGATGGCCGCTCCACTGATGGTGCCCCCAGTTGCCAAATCAAGGTACGATTCTGTCAAAGCAGCACCAGTACGGCTTCCCAAAAAACTCAAAATTCTACAGCCTTTTCAAACACTGATATTCCCCAATGACCGTTCACAAGTCCGAGGAGTTGATAATGTGGTACATCAATTGTTACAGAGGCGATACCGTTTAAAGAATTTTCATCCAATTATGAGAAACACATTTTTATCAGTGCAATTGTTTCCACGAGATCATATACTTTCCAATTTTAGAAAGTCCAACATCTCGCTTGTTTTCAACATGCACCAGCTACCCATGTTAAATGATCGTCATTTAGAATCCGGATTTAAAAGCCGACCGAAATATAAAGATTTACAGTTTTTTGACAGCAAGCCCCTGCCAATGCAATCTGCTTGCGGAAGAACAAAGTCGAAAAAGCAATTCAAAGAGTTGTTTGTTAAATCGTTGCAAAACTTTTCAAATCACCGGAATAACGATCGCTTGTTTGGTATCTTTGTTTTCCATGTTCTCAAGGTACCCGTCAATCAGGAGCAAAACGAGGTGATATTGAGAGATTTGGAAAACATGTGTTTGGATCTACTAGATAAAGACAACAAATGGAATGATTTAAAAAATTTGTACAATAAATCAAAAGACCCCAGTCCTCAACAGCTAAAAAACGTTCAATACAGTTATGGAGCAAAGGGACTTTTAGATAGAAGAGTGAGATTCCCTTTTTCAAATAAGCGAACCAACAAGATCTTGAAAAAGTAGTTAGCAAATATTTGCCCAAGGTGGAAACTCAGTCTCAAAACGGCTATCATCATACTCGAAAGTGTATGCGTGAAGATATATTGACGAGTTTGCCACATAATCTTCATCAAACAACGGTCTTTCACATTCTGGACATATAGTTGACTTTCGTGATTTCAAGTCGACAGAGTGTGAATGCTTGAGCTCCATCAACTGCTCTTGTATGATGGGATTTGCGTTATAGTTGATTATGTTTAACAAATTGATAGTTTTTGGAATATTGAGTAGATCATCTGATGCGGCTGTGAATTTGAATTCAGGGTGAGATTGAAACAACTTTTCGTACAACTCCAATTCCAACTTTGATTTGGCAAAATACGTTTTAGATGTTTCATCAGGGTTATAAAAGTGATCATTTGATATAGGGAAGCCTAGATTACGTAAATGAATCCTAATCTGGTGAAATTTTCCACTTATTGGCTGACACTTCACAACACTTTCGTCAAGGATCTTACTGTACTTTATACTTTGGAATATGGTTGTTGTATCTGCTTGTAAGTTCTTTAAATCTCCAGGCTGTAGATACCCATTCATGTTTACAGCAAAAATGGGACAGTTGTAGATCTGTTTCCCAACAGGAAACTCACCTTTCACTCTAGCCAAGTACACTTTTCTAACTCTATTCCTCTTGTCTTGCAATAAATTCAGGAACTTGACCGCAGAATTCCTGGATTTGCATAATATTAATATTCCACTTGTTACTTTATCGAGACGATGACAGGTCCAAATCGAATCGAATCCGTACATATCTTTGACAACTTCGGAAAGCGTGTTACAGTTGTAGTTACCAGAAGGGTGAGTAGGTATTCCAGACGGCTTGTTTACAACGATGATTTCCTCATCTTCGTAAACTATGGGGATTTCCCCATGCCAAGGTATTGCTGGCTCGTGTTTGTGTTTTAAATGGTGGATAACGTCCTTGCTCTCAACTTTCCTCAGTGACAATACATCAAAACCAGTCAATGACTCACTAGGAAGAGATGTGCCTACATTGCTAACAATATATAGTTTACATTGTTCAATGTCCTTAATTACACTCTCTGCCAGCTCACCGAAATCATTGATGTAGGTGTCAAGTAAGGTACGCCCCACCCATCTCTGTTTTGCGTGTGTTTGATAGTTGACATAGTACGGTAGGACTTTTCTTAGGCCATTCTCGAAAACATACTTCGGCATTAGTGGCTGCAGAGGGAAAGTGAGGGCTGGTGTAAAAAACGCATCTTTGAAAATTTTATATTGTCGTGGCTTACATAATCCGTCCATGTGCTTTTGTTTGAAAGTTGAAGTAAAAACTTACAACACGTTATTAAGCCTCAGATGTCAACAGAATCGAATCCAAAATAGCTAATATCAATAATTTGAATGCACCAAATGCTAGACCCAAGATTCACCGACAAGATTGTATTCTAAGCCAAAACAGACAAACAATGATTTCTTTTAAACTAAACTACTATAACGAGAATTGAATGGTATTATACAACGGCTAAATTCTTTAAGGCAAGACATTTGCTTTATTCCAACCAATAATATTACCTGCTGGATCGTACTCGCATACAATGTATAATCCCCAACCAGTGCTTCTACAGTCTTTGTACGCACAACCTACCTTTGTAGATCCTTTCCAAACAACTTGAGTAAAGTGATTGTACTCGTTGGCAGTGGAATAATCATATGTTTCACCTTCATCATACCATGCTTTAACAGCACTTGGTCCATCTTTGAAACCAGCTGCCAAGTTTTCACCGTACTGACCGTGGGTGTGCGTCAATATACCTGAGCAATCGTAATTGTCAGCATTGTTCTTGGCGTAGTTGTAGGTGTCAACATCCCAGGCTAAGTCACCAGCTTGATGTTGTGCTCTGTATTGGTTATGAGCGTCTAAAATATCAGTGGCAAACGAAGCATCAACGTCATCTGAATCTGCAATGGCTGCGTAAATATCGGAAGGAGATGATGAGGATGAAGATGAGGAATAGGTGGATGGTTGTGCTTGCGATGACGAAGTAGTGAATCCCAATTCGGATGAGCTTGTTGATGGGGTAACAGTATTAGCTGGGGTTGCAACTGCTGTAGTTGATGCTGAGGAATCTGATGATCCCGATCCCGAGAGCAAACCAGATAACCTATCCCAAAAGCTCGAACCGCCTGAACTACTTGATGTTGAGCTTGTTGATGCAGTGGATGAAGTACTTGAGTCTGAATTTCCACCAAATAAACTGCTTAAAAAGCTCGAAAATGAAGAGCCACTTGAAGACCCAGTTGAGGTATCACTGGAAGAAGAAGATGATGATGATGATGCAGCTGAAGATGATTGAAGACTGTTCAATAAATCGTTCCAAAATCCATTGAAGACTGTTCAATAAATCGTTCCAAAATCCTGATGAAGTGGTGGTAGCAGCGACAGTGGCTGCAGCCGCCGTAGTTGCTCCTAAATCAACATTTGATGCTGGTGTTGCTGCTTGTTGGACATCATTCGCACCAGCTGCACTTGTTTGTAAAGAAGCATCTCCAGATGTGACGGTTTGAACAACTGTGACAATGGCAGGTGCTGGTGCTGCTTGTAAAAGGTTGGCAAAATAGCACAACAAGATGAGTTGGAGCTGATTGGCAAGCATTGTTCTGGTCGGGCGGTGCTGATGTCGGCTTCAAATCTAAAGATTCTCAATCTCGACATTCTTGCATAGTTTTATACTTCCCGGATGGGTCAAACACAATACAGTCTTGAAATAGGAAAAAAATGAATAAAATTAAAAAATTGTTGCAAAATCGAATTTACATTCCCGATTAGGAAATCTTTTTTTTTGACTAAAAGAGCAAAAACTATGTTTTCGCATGAGACAAAGTTGCACAAAAATGTATACACTGAAGCCCACGTCAAGAAATGTGATTCAATTGTTTGTTGGAATTGTAAACATTCCATATTCCAAAGGACTGTCTCACTATTGAGTGGGGATGTGTCTATCGGGCGTAACAACAAACTTTTGTCATCCCTGCATGTATATTACGGAATTGGGTAGTTTTTACAAAGACTTTTTTTCTAAAATGACTACCAATATAATCTAGGCTTTGAAACAAAGAAGTGCTGTGTTTGTGTGGGGTCCTCCCGTATGATTCTCGAAGATTATCACTTCTAGACTCGAAGATAGTCGTCCTGGCGATTGTTGTACTAGTTAATTGTTTTTTTGGCACAAATTTTCATGCAATATTCTACTATTTCCACTTTTTTTAGTGGTATTTACCTACAAAAATCTCCTCCATTGTGGATGCAATTATTTCTGCCACCCCACCACCAGTGCACCTCACCGATATCTTTAACTCTTTACCCTCTGTATCCAAGCCTAGCAATTTGACAAGAACTCCATAATTTGACTTTTGGGTGTGAATGATTCCCGCGCCAATAACGTCAATACCGTGATTGGATTCAGTAAGAGCAGTAAACCCTATCCTAGATAAGGAGCGACAGATTTGTGCTGCATCGTGTCTATGTGACAAGTGCACAACAACGCTACTCTCACCTCTTTCGAGTCCTAAATGCTCACCAATTTGACCCCATCTTTTTTCAAACTCATCTGCTCCTCGAATGGGGGCAGAAGTGAGGGTCTTTATAAGCTGAACAGGGAATTTCAAACTCAAATGGTTAAAAGAGCCGCCACACATAAAGGTGATGGAGATAATTGGGTCTTCGTGATTTTCGACCACGCCTCTGACTTTTATACTTATATCCATTTGGCTTTGATTTTCAATGGTGGATTCGGGGACTTGCAATATTCTAAGTAAATAGCTAGGGTCTTCCTTCTTTGCCATCGATTCAAGATTAAGGATATTAAATCCAGTGATGGTCTCGCCAACGGTTTTGTGAGCGTTGTTGACAACGGTGAATTGAATGACAAATTCATTCCCATTTTTCACCAACCTATAAGTAATCTTGATGAGATTGTTTTCGAAGAATATTCCAGCATCAAAATGGAGCAATCTATGGAAGCCAGAGTACCAATTGGTAGTCAAGGCACTACTCTTTTTTGCACTGACATCCCCTTCAGTGATACCATTATTGAAACCATTCGCTGGTTTGGTTTTGATATTCCTTGCCAACACTCTCGATTTAGATCTACTAACACCAGGGCGGTTTGCCAAAACTCCAAGTCTTTTGAGCAATGGACTTTCCTGTTGGTTGAATGCAGGTATAGGTTTGATCACAGTCTTGGCCAACCTAAAGTCTGAATGTACCGTTGACAACTTCAAGTATTCGTATGCTCTACCTTGAATCTCCAAGTCTAATGATTGCGTTTCTACTTCAAACAAGTCAACGATTTCTGGAACAAAGTCAGCTTCGGGGAACTTGACGAGAAACTTGAGATAGGTGCTCAACAACATTGCTCTAGTGGAGATTGAAACACCAAAATAAGCGTCATAAAGTAAGCGAAATTGCACGCCAATATTGCTGTCGTTGGCGTCGTCTACCTCGTGTCCAAATTCACCTAGTACAAACGCAGCCACCTTGATCAAATATTCCGATACAGGAGAATGCGAATCGCCAAATGGTTTCTTCATCAAGTTGATAATCATCTTGGCTGTTTTCTTGTGCAAATCATCATTGTTCACTACTATTTGCACAATTCTTTCCCACACTTCATTACTAATAAATCCGACGCCATTAGCATTAGAACCGCCTCCAATGGAGAGTAGCTTAAGCGTTGTAGTGACATACCACGTAGAATCCGTTGCAAATTGCTCTGCCAAGACAGCAATTTTTATAGCCAACTCCTGTTTCATTTGCTGGTCAGCATGAGGGAAGTAGAGCAACAACTCATTCAAAATAACTGAGTATGTGTCATCATTGCAGATAGTGTAAAGCAAGTCCAATGCTTTTCTTCGCACAGATATGTCTTTATCCTTGAGTAAGTTGATAAAAACGGGCAAAATTTCTCCAAACTTGTCCTTCGAGGATAAGTAAGGTGACTCCAGTCTCGCAGTGAGCTTTATCAACGCATCAAGAGCTAGATATCTGGTGTTGGTATCATGGGACATAATGAGATTTAAAAGTGCATTGGATGCACCAGCGATAGCTTCAGGAGAAGCCTCCAAAAATACAGCCAATGAGACTGCCTGAAACAAGATGGAGCTTCTTGAGTTTCTGTTCGGTAGGCCTTTTATGTGATGGGATGCATTTTGAATAGACTTGGATACAATTTGACGAAGTTGGTTCAAAGTGGCACCATCGATCTTGTCCACTGAAAATTGTATCCCATCACTAGACACTAAAAAGTTGTTCTCCACAAATTGCAAAAGCTTTACAATGAGCCAAGGAGCCGGAGTGTCGTAGTAGTAGTACTCTGGGGGACACTCATTCAATACTATCAAAGAGTATAGTCTCTGTGCAACAGAAGGAAGCACTGACCTAACAATTTGTGGTCTAATGGTCAAGATATAGTCTAGTAAAGGTACAACTGAAGTTACAACTCCGATATCTTTTGACTCCTCCATTATCTTCAACAAGCGAGGAATCCAATTGTTATTTTTTATGATGACCTCGGGATATAACTGAAGAAGTGACTTTAAGGTGATCAATGCTTTTTGTTTAACAACAGGTTTCTGCAATGGAGATGTTGCAGAAGCAAAAATGGCATCAATGAGTTCTATCCATTGCATCGCATTACCGTCGCCGTCATAAATCGTGGTGTCTGACACTGTAAAACATGTTGCAATCATCTGTATCGCTAAGCAATTGACTTCTTCATCTGTAGATCGTAGGTCTTGTACTAGGTAAGGATGAGTAACTTCCAATGTATGATTCAAATGTTCTTTAGAAGTGAACAAAGCTTTGGTATTCGGGCTCTCATTATTCAAAAGTATAGCAACGGCAAGATAACCTAATTTCTTCTCACTGAAAGTGTTGGATTTTATCAACTCGATGGACTCATTCAACCCATAGTTGACCAAGTCGGAATAGCCCAGAATAAATATATAGATCAATTTGCAAATGTACTTTTTCTTTTGATAGTTGTTCAACGTGGTGGATTGAAATTTATTTTGAATACTATTTGCCTCAGTACGAATTTTCTTGTATTCTTCCTCTTGATCCTTGGAATTTCTCAAGTCAACAATGAATTGATGTAGACCCTTCATCTGGTTCTTTTGCAGCGTTCTATCTTGCAGCTTCATGGTGATTCTTCGCGGGTACAGTTCTTAGGTTCCCTGTTTTGGTCTGATCTAAGCACACAGATCTTTTTCTTCTTTGGGCTGTCGCGGGAAACTCAATCTCCTTTTCCATTTTGTGGCACAAACTCTGCAGTGTTTGAACTCAACAAGATATAGCACCTAAAAAAGTTCTTAATCCACCGTCAATGTCTAGATGTGTTGGGGCAAGTGGTTTGGAGCTCGAGTGGGATATTGATCGAAGACAACCAGGCAGATCAGTAAGCAGTTTATCGGAATCTCTATTAGTCTTGGTTGAGGTGGCTTGGACGAGTTTCCGAGATTGATAACAAACCCAAGTCTCCTATCGAATAAGGGAACACGTTATTACCTTTTAAATGAAGATCGCCTTGTGGTTGTGGCTTCCAAGAATTGGTCTCCCACAACTTAACCTTTACGTCAGCTCTAAGAACCCATAACCAAATCCTGCATCCGATTCGCAAAAACAACAAAGAGCAAGGGTCTACTTTGCTATCGAAGCCTTCTTCTCAATCATTTCTTGTGGCGTAACTCTTTACATGGCTGCGAAATTGTAGTTAAAACCAGTCGTGTGATTGAAGCCAATTTTTTGTAATTTTTTCATTGGTTGAGAGAAAATCACAGCAAAATCCGGTATTTCAGACAAAAGCGAGAAAAGAAAAGAGAGGAAAAAAAATAACTGAAGGACGAATTGAAAGACAAACTGAGAAGAATCAACGCCCTAGATTAAACTATTCATATCAACAATGTCATCAGTTGCTCAACAAGCTGCCAAGAAGGTCGATTTTGCTAAGCTTATCAAAAGTTTGGGATTGACTGGATCGACTGCAGCCTCATTGACTGCTTTCAAAAAGAGACACGAAGAAGCCAAGAAACAATACATAGACTTGTCTAGTCAATCTACTGAAGTTGACTTCAACCGTTATAGACAAATCTTGAAGAATTCGAAAGTTGTCGATGAAATCGAAAAAGCTGTCTCTTCATTCAAGCCAGTCACTATTGATGTCTCCAAGAACTTGAAAAATATTGAGATTTTTGAACAAAAGGCTGTTGAAAATGCTCAATTGACTGAAAAATCAGTTACTAAAGAGATTGATGAATTGAAAGCCACTTTGAAGGATATCGAAAGTGCTAGACCATTTGATCAATTGACTGTTGATGACGTTGCCAAGGTCAGACCAGATTTGGATGAAAAGACTGCTTATATGGTCAAGAACGGTAAATGGGTTGTTCCAGGTTATAGAGAAAAATTCGGTGATTTGGCTGCTATGTAAAAGAGACATTACCAACCATCAAATAAAATACATGAAGATTTGTATAATCTGCCCTGTAGAAATTGTGTTTGTAATGTTGAACAACAATCTCTTGAGAATAGAAGAGCGAAAGGTGTTTCTATTTGGAAGAATGTGTAATTATGAGGACCATGTCAAACTTCGAGGCTCTCAACAATTGCTTCTCCTCCTCCTCCTCCTCATCCTCCTCCTCATTTGTGGTTTCTTTCGGCGATTATCCGATAATCGATATCTCTCTCCAATCTACAAGAAAAAAACGAATTTTATTACTTGCAACCGCGAGATGTTTTTTCTCTTTCAACACCATATAAACAAAATATTGAACCCAAGTCTATAGTCCCACACCGCAATGCTGGTGAAGCAACTAATAAAGCGAGGACTAGTTAAAACTCATCCCATAGTCAAACGTGTATCAACTCGACTGCTTCTCCTCCTATTGAAAGTGGTGAAGTATATTCATTTTTTGGTCACCAAGTTGGCTTTGGCAATACTGAATGACAGAACTTGGAAACAATTTGGAATCGACTTTGGTATCGACTTTGTTTTTGTCATGGTGTGCGTGTTGGTAGCTTCGTCGATCAATTATATTCCAAGACCAGACCAGATCTTTTACAAGTTTTTGTACCGTTTTGATACCTATTTCTTTGACATTGGGAAACTGCCTATTGGATCCATTACTGGAGTACTACTCACTTGCCTCGGTGCATATATCCTTAATTACTTTTACTACAACAATGAGGAGGATGGGTCTTTTGAAAGTTCGATGTTGCCACAGCCAAACTATGGCTTCAAGTTGAAACCATTACAAGTATCATCAGTCTTGATGCAAAGTGGAAACAGTGGCATGGCTTCCTCCACAGCTAGCTCAAGACCATCTATTTCAACTGCGGGGTCATCAACCCTATCACCTACGAGCGACCTAAATAATTTTACAGAGGAGGAGGAGTTGTTTGAATTAAATGCGACATCGGCCGACTCTGAATACTACCATTTCAAACCACTACAAACTGAAGCAACAACCGAGGAGTTCATAAACAAATGGTGGAGAAAAATTCCAGTAATTTTGCTTTGCTCGGCATGGATTGTTCTTAATATATTGTTTGCATTTAAGCAACCAGTTTATAAGACCAAAAATATCATTGCTTGGGTATTCCACGTCCCAGTTCATTTCATTGTACCTCCTATGATTGGCACATGGCTCTATATATGGCATGCTCCCGGTGCCGTGAGACTCTTTACATTTTGTATGGGTCTTCAAAACATGGCTTTGCTATTCACTTACTTGGTCTTCCCTAATGCTCCGCCAACATTTATAAAGTTGTACGGCGACAACAAAGTCCCCACATTTGACATGATTTATAGCGATGGCCAAGCATCGCAAGACAAAAAGTTTTCAATCTTTTACCACAGGGCTGTATACTACGCCACTCCCCTCAAATTTGCCTCATTCCCGTCTTTACATTCTGCTTTTGCATGCTTGATTTGTTTCTTTGTATGTCACTACTCTAGGTGGTCAAGTTTCAAGTTGTTGGGTGTCATTAATGTACTTGGCCAGTGGTGGGCAGACTTGTACTTTGACCATCACTGGAGAGTTGATAATTTAGGTGGATTGATCTACGCTATAGTGACGTGGACATTATTGAAGAACTGGCACCATGGCTTAGCTGATGTTGACACAAGGTTTACAAAAGCAAGAGTGCAAGGGGATTATGTCAATGGCAGTACAATGGGCATGCGACTATTTCGTAATACTAAATTACAAAACTTGTTTGATCCTTTATCTTAGATTAATAGTAATTTTTAATAGAAACGAACCATAAAAGAGGTAGTAAGCTTTTGTTAGGTAACTCTTACGGTTTCTGATATTGCAAATGGATGGTAAAATGTCGGTCCAGGAAAATCTTTTGTGGATCGATAACCTAAACCAAATTATACTTTCATATGACTCCTGTCATTTAGTGGAGACATTACTATTATAAATTTGACTTTTTTTGAATTCAGGAAAGCCGTATCCGATGGCAAAGTATCGTGCATTGGTTGATTGGAAGGGCTCAATTAATCTCAGCCTTTCAAAATTACTTCAAAAAAGTACAAACAACAACACTGGCAGTTATCCTGTCACTAAATTCAACACTTAAATTTTGACCAAGCTTGGAGTGAGATAAGAATTGTCTAGCATACGTACTCAGATTTTTCACACTTTGTTGTTGTTTTCGCCTTTGGCTGGATATCTGCTACTTATTGATACCCCTCATTTGAGGTGCTGATGATCTTTCTGGCACAGGAGTGGGGCGAGGTGAAAAACGTTGCATTCATTATCTTTCGCTTCTAACTTTAACACATCTAGCCCCATTTGGAAACTCAGGGCGCAAGTTATTTGCACCAAATAAAAAAGGTTCGATGTGACATATGGTAACGATGCCGAGTGTTTGACTTTTGCTGTTAATTTCCGGTGGGGAAGTTCATGACATATTTTTTTTTTTGTTTTAGTGGAACGGACAGAACTTTAATCTTGAAGATCAAATACCCCACGAAGTTTAAACATACAAAAGTGGCAATCTACATTTTACGGATAGGTTTTGTTGTAACAAGCTTGTTGCCTTTTATGATCATATTGTTGTGAACAAAGACTAAAATAACAAAAGAAGGGAGGGGGAACAACATTAAGCTTCGTGTAACGAGCTCCGAAAGTGCTACGCACAACAATATCCGATAGACACATCACTTTTGGTTAAGTGTCTTGATTCAACTACCCCGTTCACTTCTTTTGGAATAGTTGCTTGTTTAGAGGAGTGAAAATCCTTAATGCATTATCAAAATTATGGTGGCGTATATCTTTTGTGGTTATCGATGGAATTCAAATATTTGATTGATGACTTCACAGCTATTATGCACGAGCTTGAAGGTTAAGGTTTTGGCTTTGAGGGGAAGTTTCGAACGTATTTACAACATGAAGTGAACCCAAGTTTATAAAAGCGAAACAATTCGGGCCATGTCTTGGATTGATGTGTTGATGCAATCATCACACCCTTTTTTAAAAGAATGAGGACGTTTTCACCAGTAATTAGTTTGCGAAACGTTCATACAAACGCTTCTGAGGTTAGGTTTGTTGATCCACAACACAATCGTGGGGATGTTGATTTATTGCATCAAATTGGTTACAAACAAGAGTTGAGACGACATTATTCAACTATACAAGTATTTGGCATTGCTTTCTCGATCATGGGCCTAGTTCCGAGTATAGCGTCAGTTTTAACTTCAGGCTTAAACGCTGGACCTGCTGGTTTAGTCTGGGGATGGCTTATTGCTAGCTCATTGATTTTCTGTACAGGTCTCTCCATGAGTTTTATGGGTAGTGCTATACCCACCAGTGGAGGATTATACTATTACGCAAATTATTACTGCCCTGACAGCATTAGGGTTGGATTGAGTTATTTGATTGGATGCTCAAATTCTCTCGGTTTAACTGGTGCCATATGCAGCATCACTTATGGCTTTGCGGTTGAGGTCTTATCAGCTGTTTCACTTTCCAAAGACAACAATTTTGAACAAACAAATCCAAAAACCTATGGTGTGTTTGCCGCTGCAATCATTTTAAACGTGGTAATTGCATGCTTGACAACTAAACATGCTGCCAAGTTTCAAACAGTTTCAATCTGTGTTAATGTGTTTTTGATTTTACTTTTTATCATTGCTGTGCCAGTGGGATTTTCAAAACACAATACCTTTAACTCAAGAGGGTTTATATTTGGCAAGTGGGAGAATAGAAGAGACTGGCCAATGGGATGGAGCGCCTTGATGTCTTGGAACCCAGCGTTGTGGACAATTGGATCATTTGACTCGTGTATTCATTGTTCAGAGGAGGCATTGAATGCCCAGAGATCTATTCCTGTGGGGATTTTAGGTTCCATTGCCGCCTGTGGGTTTTTAGGGTGGTTCATTGTGATTGTGTGTGCGGCCTGTATCAAAGATGGTGATACTGCCCGGGTTCTTGCTTCTGAAACAGGTTCACCAATGGCGCAGATTATATACGACGCCTTGGGAAAGAAATGGGCAGTTGCATTCATGTCGTTAATCTGTGTGGGACAATACCTTATGGCAATTTCATTAATGATTGCATTGTCAAGACAGATTTGGTCGTTCGCTAGAGATGATGGGTTACCAGTGGTTTACAAATGGGTAAAGTATGTCGACCCAAAAATCAAGGTACCCATCAGAGCAACGATGTTTGCCGGTTGTTGTGCATTGGTTATGGGCTGCTTGTGTATAATTCCAGGCTCAGCCGGTTCTGGCGCTTTGTTTTCGCTTGCAATCGCCTCGAATCTTTTGGCCTGGGGAACTCCAGTCCTACTCATTGTGTTACCATACGGCCGAAAGAAGTTTATTCCTGGCCCATTCTATTTTGGAAAGACTATTTCCACCGCCATCAACGTCATTACCGTTAGTTTCATCATTTTTGTAATCACGATGAGTATGTTTCCAGAGTCTACTCATGTCGATAAAGATAGCATGAACTATACGTGTGCTATCAATGGTGGTGTTTGGATGTTGTCTGTCATTTATTATTACACGTGGGCATGGAGAAGTTACACTGGACCAAAATCCAATCTTGATGGTACAGAGTCAGATGAAGAGGAAGAAGAAGCCAGTGTAAAAAATGTTGATGAGCTTTTGGAGGAGAAAAAGTTATAGTTTGTTTCGGTTGTGTATTGCAAAATGAACGTTTTTGTTCTACCTTTTTTGCAACCTCTACGCTTTTACACCGTTTAATGTTTAAACGTAGAATCTTTTATGAAAGCTATTTGACCTAAAAAAAAAAGTAGAAAAAATGAACAAATAATGGTCAAATTTTGGAAACCGCCTTAGGACAATATAGACGGTTTCAAAAATGCAACGACTCTTATCAGCAATCGATCAATTCAACCACATCCAAAGTGACCGGATGACACTGGAATCCAATAGATTGATCATACAAATTGTAAAAATGACCAGAAGCGCATTGATAAAACTTAGTTGAGTTACCTAAAGCCAATTGACCATCTTTTGTGACCGACCAACCTGCAGCAAATACAGCACCATGTTGAGGAGTTGGACCATCAAATTGGAATTGATGACCAGATACAATACATCCAATTCTGTCATCTGAGTCACGCAAAATGGAATCATGTAATGACATACGTAACGTGGCATTGGTGTAGCAAGCAACGGAATAAACCGGTGAAGCAAAATCATCGTCGTGGAAAAAGTCATGGGCACCACCATTATGATCGTTGTGATCTTTATGATTATGTCCTTTATGATCATTATGAGGATAACGTTCTTTAAAGTCTTTATGCTCAGTATAGCTTCCTTCATGACTTTCATATTGTTTTGATCTCTCATGTTCGTTGTAGTATTCATTGTGGTCTTTTTCTCCTTTCTCCAAATGATGTTTGTTTTCATAATCGTAATCATCTCCTTTTAATCCATGCTTGTCTTTATAATGTTTGGAATGTTCATCGAATGGCTTATCTTTGATATCACCTCCAATGTCATGAGCATCTTCAATCTCCAATTCGTCTCTTTTCGACAAAACGGTTTCTTTGTCAAAATCTTTATCATTAAATTGCTTCTCTTTGTTGTACTTGTCATCATCATCAAAGTGTTTGTGATCACCAAACTTTTCATCCTTGTCATAAAACTCACCATCTCGGTGGTTTTCATTGTAGTGGCCATCTTTGTGTTTGCCGCCATATTTGTCCCCATACTTATCATCGAACTTGGCACCATACTTATCACTCAAGTACCCATCATGATCATGATGTTGATGATAATGCTCCTCGTCTAATCCCAATTTCTTCTTCTCCTCTGGATCACACAACTCTTCATTCACTTTTTGAACTTGACCATCAGTAATCTGAACAATAATATCCTTAGTCTTGGTGGCTTTTGGAGCTGGAGTAACAACAGATGTAACAAAACTGGTGGTGATACTTCTCTCAATAGATTCCACTTCTGGTTCCAACAACTCCCCTTCATTGGTGACAATATATGGATTCACAACAATTCCGAATTTGAATGGCAAAGTGGTAAAACTTCCTGGTAAATAATCACAACTTGGTTTATACTTTGTCCAATCTTCTCCACTTGCTGGAATGTAGTAAGCTTGAATCAAATTGATGGTGGCGAACGATGCTAATAAACGAGGCAGTAACATAATAAAAGTGATGATAGTGGATGGGTAAAGAAGAATGTGGTGTAAAGGAAATGTACAACTTTTGGGGAAATGCAATTTCAATTTATACTGCTGGGGAAATAATTGTTGCAAAAAAAATCGTTATGCGCGTATACATTTTTTGTAACGCTACCCTATGTTTTGTGACAGTTTCCATCTCTCTGGATACTTTGGTGGCGTTAATTCATGATATGGGGATAAGGTAAGCATGCCGGGTCCCGATGTGGAATCAATAGTTGTTATTCTTTCTAAGAAAGTGTAAATACGTGCTAATGGTGCTATTTTGTGGATGTTTTGTTTAAACATAATTGTTAGGGTACCCCCCTAGACTGAATAATGTCTGGACATCGCCTTTCGAAAATATTGCACCCTCACCCTTGTTACTTCATAGCATCTATGCGATGAGAGCTCATTGGGTTGTATCACCTTCACCCTCATCCTTCGTACTCTTTCTTTAGTTGAATGAGACTGCATCAAATCTCGCTTACAAACTGGTTTTCATTTTGGCAAAGTCACACGACCTTCAGCACACCAAAGATATTTTTATTGCATCATAAAAAGAGGGCAACCTACATAGCAACTTCTTTACCCCAAAAAAACATACCCAAGCATGTTTAGAAGAGCTCTTTTCAATACCAGATTCAGTCCAAGAATAGTACGTATCAAGCTCGTAACGTCATATCTTCACAGAGCACAATAATACTAACTCCTTACTATAGTCACTCCAAACTAGATTCATTTCAACTGAAATCAGAGATGCCATCTCCAGTGCCATCAAAGCCACCCCAATTGTGCTATTCATGAAAGGGACGCCTGAATTCCCACAATGTGGATTCTCTAGAGCCACAATCCAGACGTTAGGACAACAAGGCGTTGATCCATCGAAATTTGCTGCATACAATGTATTGGAAGATCCAGAATTGAGAGATGGGATAAAAGAATTTAGTTCGTGGCCCACTATCCCACAATTGTACGTGAATGGAGAGTTTATTGGTGGTTGTGATATCATTATGAGTATGGCTCAAAGTGGAGAGTTGGCAGATTTTTTGGAAAAGGAAGGTGCTTTGATTCCTGAAGAGAAGGACGATGTGGAAAGTGCTGATGTCAAACCAAACAGAAAGTAGTAGAGGGGAATAGCTAGAGTGGTTGTGTATATTTAACTGTGTAAGTATAGCCCTTATTCATTTTAATCCATGTAGTTGAATTGGTCACTAATCATATCAGGAAAATGGGTTTCTGTGGTGGCACTGCTATTGGTACCCTCAGCTTCACCACCAATTCCTCCAGTGCCTCCACCGTTGCCTCCACCATTGTCTCCACTGGCACCACCACGTTGTCTTGAATCCTCAACGTCATCAAAACTAAATGGACTTGGCCCCGGCTTGTCAGTTTCAGCAATAGGCTCTAGCTCAGCACTAAGAGCAGCATTTTCTGGGGGATGGAAATTTAGCCATCCAGCTTCAGAAGTAATCTCATTCCACAATTTTTGCTCTTCATCTAGATAGGCAAACCCCTCTATTCCAGTTAAATCTTGATTGGTATTGAAATCCCCTTGGTTGTGTGGTAAACCAGTGTGGAAATTCAAGAAATCCAAATCTGGGTGTTGCTGTTGCAACTGTTGCGGAGTGTTATTCATTGTTTCATGAGCACTCTCTTCAGCTGCATCCTTCAAATCATCCTCATAAAGTTTAAATTCTTCGTCATGTTTACGAAGAATTTCTGTCATGGCACCATTAAAATCAAGTACACGAATCAACTTCAATAGTTGTGCTCTTCTTAATGCTGCCGGGTAGTTGCCCAATCGCTTCATTTTGGTAAACAATGTCAATGCGTGATCCAAATGTGTCCTTGTTGCATCATGAACTCCAAATGATGCATTGAAAAGAATTAACGTTGATGCGGAAGTAAAGAGATATTCACGATCCATCCATCCAAACAACGCAACCATATTATCCAGCACCAATGACCAAATACTCTTGATGGTATTGATTGAAGCTTGGAATGATGAATTGAGCAAGCTCAACACGTTCTTGGAATATTTGGTTAAATCAATGTATTTGTTCTGAGTTGATTGCACTTGCAACTCTTTTAATTTTTTGGATGAAAAGTGAAACAACAATGGTCTCACTGCTAAATTGATACCTTGGAAATACTCCGTCATCAAATTGACAATCAAACGAGACACTTTGGGCTCTTCTAGAGTGTAATCCACGTGAAGATGACTTGGTAAACAATTCTTCCAGTTAATCAACCTTTGTACTAAGTCAGACACAATAGGTAAGATGTTGTATGTTGGGGTTCTAGTGTATAGCGATGACAATATAACGGCATTGATTTGAGTGATTGTAACACAATTGTTGATGTAGTCTGCCGGTGGGAATATGTAATAACCCCGAACATCTTTATCATCTCGAGGGAAATCGGATAAATCGATCCTGAAATCAACCGGCAATTCAGTTGAAACTGAGTCGTCAGCAAAACTCAAGGGAAGACCAGCTTTCGATGAAAGCATTCTTTCATACATATACACTGTCCACCAGATTCTTCTCCTGTGTTCAAGCTCAAATCTATTTAATGACTCCTTTTCGGCATCCACATGCCAACCCAAAATTAATGCTGCCCTCAATGCCAAGCCAAAGTAAAAATACGAAGCAATGGTGCAATCAGCAACTTGCAAGTAGAAAGCATATAAAAGCATAACTTCAATACCGCCGTCTTTTGTTATATTATCAATTGCACCAGAAGCAAACAATCCTGTGAAAAGTTCTGATGCTTGATAAAAAAACTCTGCACCTGGCAAAGTGTGTTTCTCTTTACTGTCTTTCTTTCTTGTCATGTTTTCAAGTTTTTTCCGTTTAGCATGAGTATCTGATTCGGTTCCCAAATACATTTCCCCAATGGAAAAAATGAGCAAAATCTTGCAAAACCAAATGGTTTCCAAAATGGTTTCATCATCGGCATCTTTCTTGATGGTATTTTCGTCGGAATTTACCGTAGCGTCTTGAGAATAGTTTCGACGCAAGATTTTCTTGTTTTCCTCAGTCTTTCCCGCGTATAAATTCATTAAAAATTGTTTAATCAAACCTTCGTTGAAAAAGTAGAAACATCCGTCGTTGTAGTTGACGAATGTATCCACTAGAAGCATAGCATATGAGTATGAAGGTAGTGAGAAATTCATTGAAAGCCCAGGTCGAGTATTGGTCTTTGAAAGGGTGATCTTGTAAGCATTTCCTTCCTTTTCCATGATTTTACTTTCACGTTTTGATGATGATGATGATGATTGTCGAGAGTCGCTTTTCACAGATGATACTGATGCCCTCGTATCAGGAGAATTCATCGGAGTTGATTTGTTTGAAGTTGGAAGCAAAGATGAGTCAAACGTGGGTGCCATGTTTTGAATTTCCAAACCAAATAAAGTCATGGATGAAGACCCGACATACACTTTTTCACCAGTTCGTGACTGTATAAGCCGTCCATGTTTATCCAATGAAGGACCTATCACTTCCATTCCCTGTGTATGATTCAAACCTGGTTGATGGTTTACTCCAGCTGTAGCATTAATTTGGTTCTGTGTCGGAGGTAGATTTGGCTGTTGTTTTGGTGAGGCAGTAGCAGTAGTAGCCTGTGCTTCCACTTGTTTTGATTCCAGCTCTTTCAAGCTGTTTCTAAGCAGGGCATTGTCTTTTTTCAATCTCGCCACATCGTCATGTAATCTAGATAGGTACTTCATGGACACGACTATTTTCTTATCAGCTTCCACGTATTCACACTTAGTTTTCGCAAGTTGACATTTCTTGCAAGGATCACCTCCTGGACATCTTATATGACGCGTCCTACATCGTATGCACGCCAATGACGTTCTTTTTGGACGTCCTGTGGGGGGAGATGGCTTTCTCGTAGACTCTGCAAAGTTTGATGCTGATGCGGCTATAGGAAATGGCTCTACCCTCACATTTGCAAGATTGCCATCTCCGTCACTCTTGATTGAGTTGTCTGACCCCCTGCCACTCATTGCTCTTTCAAGTGATTGAAGTGTGAATAAAGCGGTGGAGTTTTTTTTTAAAAAAAAAAAAAGAATGGGGTTCTTTATAGGGATTTATTAATATTTTTTTTTTGTTTTTTTCTTCCCAAAATCATCAGACGATTACACAAAGTGGCTTATGTTGGGGGGAGGAGGAGGAGATGCAAAGCAGTTGGGTTGCAAATGGCAAATACTCTCCTAAATCTTTCAAAAAAACAATCTCTTTTTTTTATAACAACGTACAAATGCTAAAGCTACTCAGATATAAGCCTATAACCAGAGTAAATCCAGGGCCAAGCTTCTCACTTGTAATAAGGAAAGGCAAGCGCAAAAACAAAAACAAAAACAAAAACAAAGACAAAAACTGAAACTGAAACTGAAACTTCAAAGAAACTAAATTAACTGATCTATTGCAAAACGTTTGCCTTACCTTGACCAACAATGTTTCCAGCTGGGTCGTAAGAACAGATAATGTACTTACCCCAGTTTTGAGAGCTACAGTCCTTGTAAGCACAACCAACCTTGGTGGTTCCCTTCCAAACAACTTGTGTGAAATGGTCAAAAGTAGAAGCAGTGTTGTAGTTGTAGCTGTCACCTTCCAGGTACCAAGCTTCAACGACAGCTGAGCCGCTCTTGTAACCAACACCCAAGTTTTCACCGTATTTGCCACCAGAGTGCTTCAAGTTTCCTGAACAAGAATATTGGTCAGCATAGTTTTGAGCATATTCATAAGCAGATTGGTCCCATGACAATGCAGAGACGCCGTGTTGAGCACGTTTGGAATTGTGAGCATCAAGAATTTCTTTGGAAAATGCTTCATCTTGAACATTTCCGAAATCACCACTTGAACTGGATGAAGTTGTTGCTGATGATTGTGTTGATGAAGATGTAGTGGCTGGTGACTCCTGGGTAGTTTGTTGAGCATCAGTTGATGGGGCTGAGCTTACAATTGAAGTAGCTTCAACTGATTGTTGAGTTGGTTGAGAAGTTTCAGATGTTGGAGTGAATGAAACAATGGCGGCAGCTTCTTCAGATTCAGCATCAGAAGCTTCATCTGATGACAAAGTTGAAGTAACCAATGTGCTTGGGTTAACAATAACAGCTAATTTTTCAGTAGTTAATGAGTCTCCACTTTGAATAACCAAGTTCTGACGGTACAAAGTAGCATTTGCTTCGTCAACGTTGGAAACAACACTAGTGAATGCAATATCTTGTCCCAAAACATTGGTTGAAAAAACCCAGGTTGATACTGATGGTTGTTCTTCTTCTGTAGTTTGTGTTGGAGTTGATTCTCCATTGGCATCAACAGTGACAACATGTGTGACGTGTACGTATTCGTATTTGACTTGAGCTAAAGATAAACCAAAAAGAGTGGTAGCAGCTGCTGCTATAGTTGTGAATTTCATTATGACGCGATTTTGTTTTTTTTTTTTTCTCTTGTCGAATGAGCGTGTAAGGGTAGTGTATGTGTGTTTACTTTCTCAAAGGAACGGAAAGGGGTGGGGTATACTTTATAAAAAATGAATGTGAAGTATATAGGTGAGCAGTTAAAGAACTGTTTGTAGTGACAGACTGTAGTTGGTTGGGTTATGGATAAAAGAACGTAAGTTGGTTGAAGGAGAAAAGAAAAAGAAAGATGAAACTAGAGAAATTAGGATTTGTTGAAACATATATATATAACACCATGACACTTGTTATTATTATATGGCCCAAAGTAGGTTAATAAAACAACAATGGGTCTATTGTTGCATATACATTGCACATGAATAATGCTTAGCTTAGCTTAGCTCACACATCCCCCCTTTTAAATTCTCGATTCTGAAATTTAAATGCAAAAGTAAAGAACATCTATTGTCTTGAGCTGCTAGTCGAATCATAAACCAATACAGTCTATAATACTTTGTGCATAACATCCGAAGAAAAAAATTCTCAGTCCTTTTCCTATTGTGGATTTATTAAAATTAGTGGTCAATGTGGCAGGAGTGTGTTACACAAGAACGCCAAATTTATTAGGCATTACAATAACATACTTTAAAACTATATGCAGTATCTGACCATTTTTGTTTACTTTTTCAACTAAAAAAAAAAAGTGACAAAAAGAGACAACACAACAACAGAAAAGCATAATACTAATTTCTTGTCGTTTAACAAACCAAGTGTGTGTGTAGAGTTCTCTGTCTATTGTTCTAAAGCACACACAGTACGTTCTCTTGTGTTTGCTGTGTTTACTTAGCAGCCAAATCAAGGAGGTTCACGTGTTTCTTGAGTCTTTTTGTAGCAGTGCGGAATTGTTCAACATCCAACCAGGTAGTACAAAGAACAACAGTGTGTTTTATATTGAGTATTTAGGAGTGTCAAAAGAGTCTTTCCCCAGAGGAGCACCGAAAATCGCCCGTTAATGAGGTGATACATACGTTTCTGAGGCTCAAATGTACAGGAGAGATGCTTATTCTTTTCCGTCGTCTATTGTCGTCTTTTGTAAATCTAGATTTGGATCTGACTAGTGTGAATTCTGGTGAAAAATACACGACCTATGCATTGTTCCTCCGAAGCGCTTTCTTGCATTTCTTTTTCTTTTTTCCCTTTCAAACCAATTTCCGATAAATCAGTGAAAAAAAAATGGCATCTCGCATCGGTTTAATTGTCCCTCTCATCGATTCGATTTGAATCAATTTGATTCTATTTTTTTCTTTCTTTTTTTATTCAATTGCAACCAATGGGAACACAGCCCCGTGTTAACTTCTGAATTGCAATTTAACTTGCATATAAATCTGTCAAAATACGATGGGAGTATCTTTTCCGAAGGATAATGAAACATAGCCACCGATATAGGCGATTGTATCCCCTTTTCTCATGAGTAAAAAGAAACCAATATAGCAGTCCCCACGGTTAAGACCTCGGTTCATCTGATCCTCTGTAAACCAATTTCTCATTAGTCTAGATCTACGTATCCCATCGCATTCGCTTATGTTGCAAAAAAAAATACACATTCCGTTGGTACAAAACGGAAATATCGCGTATGTAGTCAATACTTTATCTCTATTTCGACCGTTAATGTCACACACCGGCATTTCGTATCGGATGTGCATGTCGCTCGTCCTCCCCCCCTTACACATAACGATTCGAGACACTTACAAAAAAAGAGACTGGATGTGACCTTAGCCGCGTAATAATACTCTCCACTATACAAAAATCTAGACCAATGGACGTACATTCTGTCGCCCTTGTCCCTTCATGTTTCCAACTTGCTTGTAATTGCAAATAACAAACATTCCCCATCCTCGAGCACTACAATCCTTATAAGCACAGCCCAATTGTGTAGTTGACTTCCAAATTACTTGGGTGAAATGATTGAACTTTGTTGCTGATTGGTAATTGTAATTTTGACCTTCGTTGTACCATGCATTTACAACTGATTGAGGTGAGCTATAACCAACGCCTAAATTCTCTCCGTATGGTGAGCTTGTGTGTTTCAAATTTCCTGAACAATCATAAGCATCGGCTACTTGTTGTGCATAGTTGTAAAGTTCTTGACTCCATGCTAAGGGTGCAACTCCGTGAGCAACACGTTTGACATTATGAGCGCTCAATATCGCATTTGAAAAAGAAGAGGAGCCTGTTGATTTTGCGGACAGAGTAGGTACACTTGCCACTGTTGTTGGCTCAGGCTGAACTTTTATTGTTGATGTAGTTGGCTTTGAGATAGATGCTTTTGTTGTGGTTGATGGGGCTGCGAGTGTAGTAGTTGGATCGGGTGTCCTGATTGATGAAGCTCCGGTGCTAGCTTTAACAGACGAAGTGGAACTTAAACTCTCTGGTGTGGAAATTTGCGGCAATGATGTTGGTGTTGGCTTTATCTCCTGACCATCACTACTCGAAGCAGTTGCAATTTCATCACTGGTCGTGATCATTGTTGATAAGGGATTCCCCAAAAGATACTCAGTATAGTAAACATCCGACTCATTGTAAATAGCTGATCTCAGCACTGTAACGTATACCACATCAGTCACGAGAATTGTTGCTGCTTGCACTATTGCAATCACAATCAAGAGTCCAACCAATTGGAGCTTGCAAAAAAACATTGAGGATTAAAGTGGTCTACAGAAGAAGAAGATGTAGATGTAGCGAGGTCAAACATATATTCACAATTATATACATGAGGGTACTGGCTCTTGGTGTTTACAGTTTGAATAGTTACCTACACTGGCGTCTGGGTCAAGAAAATGTGGGTGAATTAAAATAATCGAAAAACGTAAAATAATAACTGATAAAAACGCGATTGCCAACCAGCATACAAATTTAGCTCAGTTTCGCTAGGTGGTGTAGAGGGTATACCGTTGCAGTTGAAAAGCCTAAACCCGAGAACATGCAGATACAATCCATCTTTCAAATCTGATCTCAATAACGATCAACTATTTGGCATGCTTTTGTCTTGTTGCAAAATGCATATCTGGTAAAATCTGAATTAAGAGGCAGTACGCGACTCTTTGTGTAATGTTTTCATTATAAACATAAGCAAATTCTTTTGCCATTGTTGTCACTTTCGCCTAATTGAGCTAAGCACAAGACGAAAAGTTTAAAGCAAAGTATCAATTTGCAACCAAATCGTCTAATAATAATGGATACGTACACAGCAAAACTACACAACTCTCTCAAAATTTATCAACATCCCCAATTAGTCCCTCTTTGTTTCGAGCATACCACTGAGTGACACACCAATGCTTTTATATGGCTTCAACCAATCGTGTTTCTTCAGTTCGGTTTCAGCAAACTTGCCCCGCTCTTTCAAAAACGTATGTCCTGAATCCGTCATCATTTGCAAGTCTCCAACAACACAAAAATGACGTTTGGATCTAGTGATAGTGGTATTCAGCAGTCTTTGCTCGCTCAACCTTTTCATTGGATCGCGCCAATGTCAATATGATAGCTTATTTTTCTCTTCCTTGAAATCCATCAACGGTGCTTGATGTCAATCGATTGATGTGGTTTCAACTCTGATTTGAGTAGTTGCATCTGAGATGAATAGGGCGCAATGACTCCGATGTGGTGTTCCAAAATGCCATTATCAAAAAGATTCTTGATATGATGCTTCACCACGAGCACCTCTTTTGCATTCAGTTTTGATTTTATATTCTCGGTGCTTGTACTCATCTCCAAAAACCCTACATCTTGAGTGTTGTACCACATGCATGTAGTTGATGTCACTGGGGTACTTCTAACCCCAGGTAACTCGCACAATATCCAATTCTTATTCAATTCTTATTCAATTTAAAACTCATAGGTTTGTTTTCATGAAGTTTCAAACTAGGGAGTTTCATGATAAAATGCATTCATTCGGTATTGCACATTTAAAAACTTAACATACTTTTCACCATTCAACTCGCCAATGACTCTATCGAGTAAACTTGTTTCCGATGTATATTAGTCACTTTTCTATCAGTCAGTTTAACAGTTGGGGGCAACAGCTTGTTGTCTCCGACAATAACTAATTTCTTGCATCTGTAAGCAACTAGAGAAATCCAACATTGGGGTTCAAGTGCTTGTGACACTTCATCGATAATTATCGTGTTAAAGTTTCTACATCACTTTGTTAGCTCAGTTGAGCCAGTACCATGCAAAGTTGCAAACACGACACGTGCTTTTTTAATAATGGATTTGAATACCCATTTCATATTGTTTTGAAAACAGTTCGTGTAGTGACTTCAACTACGCACACAAACTCCTGCGTAATGCGCGACTCTTGGCATACTTTATTTCATCAAAAGTGGATCTCATCGGTTCCTTAATTTCAGCAATATATTTGTATCTTCATGAGCTTTGAACAAGACATTCAAAGTATGCTTCACACACGAAGGCAACACTTTGGCAGGTTGACTAATTCTGACCAAATCCTCATTGTCGTGTTTGTCGCTGAGTCTTTCCAATAATGGGTCCACTGAGATGTTTGACGTGCCACATACCAACACTCTTTTACTTCGATGGATCAATTGCTGAACTAATTCAACCAAATTCATTGTCTTCCCTGTTCCTGGTAGGCCAAACACTATACTGAATCAAGATTCATTCCTTGCAAACTTAATTACTTCTTTTTTTGATTTATTCAATTTTTCATTGTAATAGTCAATCTTTGCAGCTGTCTTAATGTATGCTACAGCAATGGATCCGCATTTGCAATGTCATCCGTGTCTATTCTCAAGTTCTCAAACATTATCCTCATGATATCGAATGTGCTGCAGTTCGGTGGGTTGAGTGCAGCTGGCTTTAACTTAATGCCGACTATTTCTTCACCTTCTAAAAATGATCCATCTAAACAAATCAAAATGCCATCGTCAATACCGTTGGAATCCGATGTCTCATCCTGTTTATAAAGGTGCAACTTATAGACCTCGTTGATTGTGAAATCAGCGTCAAGAATCCTATCTATAGTCATCAACATTGTTGTAAAAGTTGATGTGGTCGGCTCAATCAGGATCTTAAGCTTATTGTACTTAGAAGAGTTGCCAAAACAATTTCGCCACCAAAGCCGAATTCAACGTCAATGATTGGTAGATTCATCAAAGCCAACCCCATGGAAACTGACTCCTTCAAAAAGAAATGATTGGTTTTCTGTGCGACCTTAGCTGAGTCAATGGCTCGTACACGCTCAATTGCAAACTTGAAATCGTGGAACAAGCCAATGTCTCAGCTAGCAAAGTCGTCGATGTTGGGATAGACAATTTCGTATGGCTTTATTGACTCACCATCTTCAAATCCGTCTTCGACGTACTTGCTCCAATTTTGTAGAAATTTGTGCCCGGATTCATTCATCAATTGCAAATCACCAATTACACAAAGTTGCCTTTTGGGTCGAGTAATTGCTACATTCAATCTTCGCTCCTCACTCAAAAACCCGACATCTCTTTCATCATTGGACCTAACCAAGGTCAATATGATAACCTCTTTCTCACGACCTTGAAACCCATCAACAGTGCTCACTTCAATCAATGATTCTGGACCTAATTGCTTCTTGAGTAGTTGCACCTGTGCGGCATATGGTGCTATAACACCAATATCTTGGGGCAATACTCCACTGTCGACTAATCTCCTTATGTGGCTCTTGACAATTTGCAATTCCATCTCATTGTACTTTGAATCCCCCTTTATTGACTCCAATTTTTGTTCAGGAAAGTCACCACCTTGTGTATCGTACCAGACACATTGGATACTAGTTTCATCATTGCTTTCGACATCTGGAAGATCTGTGAGCTTGATGTTTTTTACAGATGCATCACTGATCAATTTATCTTCATAAAGCTGCATGCTGGGAAACTTCATGATACTATCATTCATTCGATATTGTACGTTAAGCAACTTCTTGTACTTATTGCCCTCTACCTCCTTGACCAATCTGTCAAATAATGTTGTCTCCAATAGACTGGCATTGCCTGAGATTATAGTTGGTGGGAGTTGCATATTGTCTCCGGCAATGACCAACCGTTTAAACTTGTCATTATGTAGTAAAGGAATCCAACACTGTGGTTCAAGAGACTGCGATACCTCATCAATAATAATCGTATCAAAGCTCACACCGCTCCTTTTCAAATCAAACGAGCCTGCACCATGCAATGTAGCCAAAACAACTTGCGCTCCATTTAGCAACTCGTGTACAATCTTTCTCTCTCTTTGAACCAACTCTTTTTTCAACTGCTTCAACTCCTGGTACAAGGCTTTCCTCTCAGTATATCTCTTACATTTTTTTATCTTGTTCAAAACTGACTGAATATCATTCTCAAGATCTTTAATCACTTCTCTACCAAAACTCTTGGAAAGCACTTCAAGGGAATGTTGAAGATTCACTGGTAAAAGTCTAGCAGGGTGACCAATTCGTATCAACTCGCCAGCTTTGTAATGGCTGCCAAGTCTCTCCAAAATTGTATCAACAGAGATATTTGATGGACCACAAACCAAAACTTTTTCGCCTCGTAGCGTTAATTGTCGAATTAGTTCGACCAATGTCATTGTTTTGCCTGTCCCCGGTGGTCCAAAGATTATCGAAATGTTGGACTTGTTTATTGCAAAATCAATTGCAGATTTTTGCGATTGGTTCAAGCCCGAATTAAAAAAGTTGATCGTAGAATTTCCGCTCAATAGATTGTGTTTTGTTTCGCCGAGGAGGAGTTTATGAATGTCATTTTTTTCACTCTCTTTCAACTCGAGTACTTTGTTCATCGTGGTGATCATTCTCTTGTACGTTATTGAGTTGGCCAATTTGACAATCCAAAATCTTGACGAATCATTGGTGTTGTTATAGTAGTTGAGAATCTTATCGTCGGAGGTGGATTCATCCACTGAGAGAGTGATTGTCTGATTGGATACTTTCACAACAACTGCGTCAATGGATTCGTCGCAGTCTTGGGTCTCTTCTTCTTTCTTGGCCTTTTTGCGTTCGGCTTTTGTCATTTTGGCAATTCTAACAATATCCCCCGTTTTCATGGATACGGAAGAGAGATCGCCATTGCTTACGGCATTGTCCAATTGCATCTCCAAGATGGTTTTACCACCAATACCTGTTCTCATGTTTGTAATATTCAAATTGATTACTGCAAGACCCATCAGGGCAAGCTTCTTTGGTGAATAGGCATTGATATACTCGGTTGTTTGAGCAACATCTTCTTCCTGCTCTTTCAAGATGGCATCCTTGAATCTTGTAAATAAGCTCATCAGAGTAATGTAATGTATGAATCAAGTTTCTTGAAGTTTTTCACAAAGACACAGAAAAAAAGAGAAAAGTAAAACTTCATACATCTTTGATTCACAAACTCTTATACGTTTAATCTTTGATTACCCTGATTTGACATCGAGAAAGAGAGCGTTCAGGTGTCAAAATGATAGTAATCAGTTTCTTAGAATCTGCACTCAAGATGCTTGATTGAGAAATAATGTTGCAGAACTTTTTTTTTGATGCAATTCTTTCAAAAATAACGCACTCGGAGCGTATTTGATTACATTTGGATCTAAAGATGAAACTTTATATGTACTTCAAAACCCCAGTAAACGGTCCCTACAAACAGCTTCTCCCTCTAATCAATTTCTCTCTTGTAATCCCTGATATCTCTCCCCGTTTGTTCTTTCAAATACTGAGCACCAGCGTTTCGTAAATTATCCAACACCAAATTGCGTTGTTTGAAATAACCGGAAATTCTCAACACCGAAACAAGTTTGTCGTAGCAAGTTTCACCAAAGCTGAGGTAATTCCCGAACCAGCGACGTACATCGATAGAGCTGAAATGCAGCACGTCAAATTGTAAACCGGTGTTTCGGTGAACCCCTGCGAGGACGATTGAAATAAGGACTAGGTCAACGCCATAATGCACTAGTTTTCCAAGCTGGTTGTTATGCGTTAGTGCCTGATTACAGTCGGTTGGGGTGGTCTCTCGATACGTACACTCATTGTCAGTAGATGTTTTCTAAGTAAAGCAGGAGTGAACTTTCTTTTCGGAGATAAAGGAATGAGAAAAACAAATCCCTGAATAAATCACGTGCATATCACATGCAAAATCTATAAACCACTAAAAAGAGCCATCTATGCTAGCTTATCGACAATTTGTTTCAAGTTTTCATTAATTTGTCCCCCGGTCCAGTCATTGACCCTGTCACTCTTTCCAACACTAACTTCAAACCGACTTAATATCTCCATCATATTCACCTTCAACTGTTCATTAAACACATTTGGTTCTTGCAACTCATTACTCAACATTTCCAAATACGACAAGATTCCAAATCTAGTAATCAACAAATCCGATCCATGATCAAGACCCTGTATCGTATATATGAATCTCAAGATCGATACTTTTAACTTCATATTCAATGTTTTGCAATTGAACAAATTCAATACAAATTCAATCACAGTTTTCGTAATCAATGACAAATCCCCAGTTGATTCAAGTCCATTGGTAATTTGATCTATAATCCAATTCAATTCTCGATAAACCCATTCTGATGAATCTGTTGGATGGATGATTGAATTGAATAATGGGATATCCCATTTGTTCAAACTCGGATGGGCAAGAACGTAACGAAAACTCAATTCGTACAAGAAATGAGCTGGGTTGGACAAGATGGGGACAAATTGGGAATAGACAAACCAAATCAATTTGGGAATCTCTTGTTGTTGTTGTTGCTGTTGTAAAGTAAAGCACACGTTAGATAAATAGACCTTGAATATGTTTTTATCTTTAAAATGAGCATTGGTTTCATCATCGATTGAAGTGAGAATCTTGTTGAGAATGATCTTGGCAATGGGGAGATACTTGGTATTGGACAAGTTTGCAATAATAAACTGCAAAATACCAGTGTCGATTAAATTTTTGATATTGAATGAGTAGGTCACACTTGCATCTTCATGTTTGGTGTATTTCAAAAGTTCATCGTTGTTGAGTATAATCATGTATAGAAATTCACAATCGTAAGCAAAGTGGGTTATGGATTTTAATTGATTTTCCTTCTCTAGTTCTTCCACCTGGAGCCAAAAATCAACCCCCTTGCCAAATTGAGGAAGGGTAGACCCCTTACTATTCAATGAATTTTGAATGATGCCCTTGTTTAAAGACACAGTAAACTGTTCATTCTTTTTGGTAATCGACTTGTCCATGTCAACTAGGGCAATCTCATTTTGATTAAGCTGATCCGAAAATTCCCAATTGGATACACTGGCAATCCAAGATATGGACAATTTAGCCTCCATTTTTTGCAACACATACTTGAGCAACAAATCCTCACTTCGATTCAATCCTTGATACTTTTCCAAAATCGTCTTTAGGTTGATCAAGTTGGACAATTTCAGGTGATCGAAATTGTAAAGAATGTAGATAATCAATGCTGAGTAGAATCTCAACGACGCATTTTGTTCATTTGGCAAAACATCCAAACATGTTGATGAAGTTAAAGCAATTTGAAATAATTTTTGAAAATCAATAGTGCTCTTTGATGAATTGATGAGTAGCTTCACCACATACTTTAATGAATCATTGTTGATGAATTTCGATTGAAGAATGACTTCCAATTGTGTGTTCAAAATACTTGCTGGCACCAGGTTCCATACATTAGCTTCAAAAATGTAATCTCCTACGCTGTTGATGAATGATTCGAATTTTGCAGAAAGCAGTTCCGATTCAGCAAAGCTTTTGGTGATGTAAAGCATTGATTTGTGGATCCAAGTTTTAATCTTGTCATTTTGGGGATACTTTCCGATGAAATTGATAAACACAGGGTTTGTAGTCTGTTTGAAATTGATTTGGTCCAATACAGTTTCAGCTATCGATTGATCGGTGGTTGTTTGAGAAGACAAGATCACCAAAATTTGGTCCCACATTGACCCCTCCACTGTCTTGGATTTCAATTTCAGTTGTATCACAGCCAAAATTTGTTTCATGTATGATTCAGAAACGTCAATGTGATTTTGCACCGATGAGGACACGATTAAACAATTCAATACGTCATCCTTCAAGTTCTTTTCCAATAGCCAGGAAGAAACTACGTGATACCTACCGATAATGACCGGCAATAAATCATAATCACCTTTCGCAACAATCTCATCAACAACCTTTCTCAACTCTGAATCGGTGAGCTCTACCAAGTTTAGTTCAAGTAACTGAGTCAACAAACCAATCCTGTTGATTTTCTCAAACATTAACAACTTCCAAAATTGAGCAAAATCGAGCTTCATTTGTTTATCTATACAAATAGCCACAGCCAGTTCAAAAAGCAACCCATCAGATGAATTGGTTATCTCTTTCAATTGAGTTTTATCCAACAACCAAACGTAATCAATAAATTCAACTTGTCCTGTAGATAATCTATCAAACACAAATTTCGACAATGCCGAGGAGTCAATGTTGGGAAGTGCTTTAATTGCCTCTCCATACAACTGAATCACCAATTTTGCGTCACCGCGAGAAGTACTTGCAAGAAACTTCCTCCAAACCAATTCGGAAGTGAAATAATCAATCGCTTGTTGACTAGAGTTGGTCAAGAACCCCCAAAGCTTAGTAAACAATACCGTTATCAATTGTGTTGCTGAAACTTCTTTTTCAAGAACTAAATTGGTTAGTGCCAATACTGCCAAATAGTCTAAATTTGATGAAATTAATTTCTTTTCAATAATATGGGGATTTTTAGCCAATTGAGTAACTGATGAGTTGTAAACCACCTCCATGATTGAGGAATCTTGGTCAATGGGCATAGATGATTCAAATTCCAACATCTTATCCAAGTTAAATTTCTTTACAAGCTCATCCACATCTAATTGATCAACAAGTGACGCCAAAACATCTTTATCCCCACCAAGCACAATCAAGTATCTCAAAAACCTGAATAGCCATTGCAAATTTGCTTCATCATAACCTTTACCCAACAAAAACTTGAATTGTTCAAACATGGCCACCACAAATATGCTCTCATCGTGATACTTTTCATGAGACAAATCGAGATACTTGTATGGACTACGCACACATCGAGCGACAACTTCGTCAAACATGTTCCAAAACTCTGGTGTCATTTCCGAATCCTCTAATGAATATATTAAACTCATTATCGGAGTGACCAACAAATGGTTGTTGAAAAACATCTTGTCTTGGGATAATCTATTGAGTAAGTGATAGATTTTAGTTGCAAAAGTTGAAGTGATGGTTGATTTTGAAGCTAATTTTATCAATAACGTGTAAAATGAATTGGCGCCGTTGGTTTTATTCCACCATTTGAAATCTTGGTTTTGCAAATTCATGTAAAGATCAAGTATAGACAAGTCGTAATTAGACAATTTTGATTTGGAAACGATTTCCGATACTCCTGAAGAAACCAACTTTTGTATAGAGCTTTTGTTGAGTGATGAAGGAAATGATGACTTGTACTGGTTCATAATAGTCAATGCTGTAAGATGAGTGAGTTTGGATGGTTTTGCAGAGAGTTGTTGGGCAATCAATGTGATGTCAGGTAATTGGTTAAACACAAGAGTAGTCAATTCTTGTCTCTTGTTGACCACATCAATTACCAGTTGCAATCTCTTTAAAATAAAAAGAATCAATTGCAAAGTCAACTGCACAGTTAAACCAGTCTTTGAGGACAAACCTTCCACCAACGCACCCTTTAGTAATGGCGCAAACACTATGCTTTCATTAATTGCTCTGACGTCAAATTTGATAAATTCAACATTTGTTTCAAATTGAGGCATTGGAATCTGCAACACATTCGTGTACAACAAAGTGTACAAAATCCACCAAGATGTTAATGATGGATCATGATAACCTCCTCCATGTTGCACGAGATAATTCATATAAGGTGGGATCAATTCCTGACAACATGACAACACCTTGACAATAAACTGTAGTTGTTTGTTAGAGTCTGTTGGTTTTAAACTTGTCAATAAAGTGTAGAGCAACTTATTTGCAATTTTGAAATGCTTGTTATTGACATCCACAACCACCCCAACATCGGAATTTTGGGTCCATAATTTGTCATTGGCAAATACTAGCCCATTTTTGAAATCTGTAGCTACCTTAGTCATAAAGTCAAGAAAGAATGGTTCTTTGATTTTGTTGAATAAAAAGTGGACCTTGTACATGAAGCTATCATTGAGTATTTTGCATTTTTGTGCCTTTTTGAAATTACGCTCATCAAGAAGCTTGTCATTGAGAAACTGGATCAAATTAAGTAACAGATTAATCGTATCATATTGTAGATACTTCCAAATATTCTTTACAATTTTGGAATGGTTGGTCAACAAATCCAATCGATGGTAATACGCAGCATTGGAACATAAATCAATCCACAATTTCATAAAATTTGATCTAATGGAATACTGATCATTCACCTCACCTGCTTCAATCTCAATCTTACTTGGAGTCATCAATTTGGGCAACACTGGAAGCGTCAAGTCAAAACTATTGAGAAACTCCTGTACTATTATGGAATCGTAATTGATTAAGTTGTCCAAAAGCCTGATTGTTGGATTGGTTGATGAAGGTTTCAAGCTACTCAATGCACGATACGTGATTTTGGTGTAATTGATCAATACATCTTTAGCAAAATCAACGATAAACTGTCGTACTGGTAAAAAAGTATCCTTGTGCTCATTGATTGTACGAAGCACATGATTCAACTTATTAGTGATATCAACAAACTCTTTGTGGTTATTAACTGATGAATAATATGACCAAATAGGTAAAGTTCTCCCTAAATCTCCTTGTTGGATCAATCGCGAGATTAATTCCAAGTTGTCAGTGGACGCCTGTATTTGACTGAGTAGTTGAACGAGAGAATGGTCCACATTTACTGATGGTGCTGTATACACTTTTCTCTTTTTCGCCTCCGACATGGCTGATGGTGTACTCGATGTGGGGGGTCTTTGATCAGATGGTTGTAAAATAAGAGAATTTTCAGATGAGAGAGATGCGGTTTGTCTGGTAGCGTTTGTATGTGCGGCTCAGATTAACTTCGTAAATGAGAGCACGTGACATGTTGTCGATGTTAGTTGGCACTCTATAGCTTTGAAGTTGTATCAAAATCTCTTGGCCAGTTGATGCTATGGAATGCGTGTGTGTGTGTGTGTGTGTTAGTGTGTGTGTGTGTGTGTGTATAGTTATGTGTGTGTATGATAACCGTAGAGTAACTGAGGACCCCACTTCAGAAATTTCTGATCCCAAAGCATGAGCAATCGTTAGTTTTGCTGCATGGGTTATGCCCCACCAAAAAGGGGCAAAGAGTGTCCTTTGAAAAGTGGGTTTATGCCGCGGTGGAGCATTTCTGAATAGTTGTTTATTCTACAACGAAGCAAAAGTGTAAGTATGCCCCTCTTCCCCGCCCTTCAACAGAATTGAAAACCGTTCAAGAAACAACAAGAAACAAATTTTGATAGAACAACGACTCAATCATTTTTTGTTGGGTGGAAACCAAAAAAGCACATGCATTTCGGCATAACTCTCTTTTGGGAAAGATATTATTTCCATTTCTCGTGCTTGCTAGTGGTGTTGATCTAGCAAGCTTTCTATCTATTTATTGTCATGAACATGATTGCTACGACAATCGTACATCTACCCAAGAACAATATGAGTTGAGTGTATATGCAGTATTCGATGCTCATTGTTCTTGTAATGGAACAATAGTAAGCAATTTTACTTATCTTGGTAATAATAGAAGATGTTTAGCTTCTATCTCTTGCTATTTCAGGATGGAGGTTAACACTTTTTTCTAATGCAAAAGATATACATCTCGTATCAGTTTTTACTTCCATTCGTAGTTGGTTGTTTTACGTCATTGCGAAATAGCATATCCGAGGTTCCAACACAAAAGACATAAAAAAATATATGCCTATTTTTGGTAATGAAATTGAAGCCATAAATAAAAAAAAAAAAAAAAAAATTGCAAGAAAATAAAGGAAAAATATTTTACAGTGAGTATTTGCAAAGTTCAGTTTGTTGCTACAGGATCCACTTTGAATACAAAGTCAAAGTTGTAACTTTACATAATCAACGCAAATACATTAGGATTTATGAGTTTTTAACTTTGACTTTGACTACTCTTTTTGAAGTAAATTCGGTGGTAACTACTCTCATACCAGCATAGATGCACTTATGAAATTAATTGGTTTTTTTTTTTTTTCGTTCAAATGAATGATGTCATTGAGAGACATTTTACTAAAAGCCCCTAAAAGCCCATAAAGGAACAAAATCGTGGGACTATGCTACTCTTGAGTCCAGTAATTACCATGATTTACTTGTCTATCATTTGACAGAGTTCTGAAATAATAGCGTCTCTATTATTAGAAACTCCGTTCGGAGCTCGGTCCCATCTCCTATTGTTTATTCACACAACACAAGCTCGATGATATTGTTCTTGAAGTGTATTAAAAGATAATGATAGAGACCTCCCTTCTCCTATTTTGTGGGTGTGACTCTCTATTAGGTATACTTTTTGTTTACGTTTTTTTTGTTTTTCTTATATATGCATGCTATATCACAAGATTTATATGGTTTTTGGGTCCTTTGTTTACTGTTTACCAAAGTTGCATTTGTGAGGTCTGCTCTATATTGTTATTATTCCAAGATTGTGTTGAATAAACAAAATAGTCTTGATGATCTTAGTTTGTATTTAGTAAAAGAATGGTTATGAGTGTATTGTTTTTTGTTTACTTTCGAGACTGACAATAAAAAATATAGATAGGCATTGTTGTGATTACATCATACCCATCTTTTGGTATCACTATTGTACTAGAGCATTGTACTTGACACAATACAGAGGATAATATCTTATTGTCTTTTGATACAATCCTCACACCACTTTTTTCCTATTCTACATCGTTTAACCATTTCAAGATACCCAATAGCTAGTAACTAGTTTTGTTTGTATATATGAGCCCACATGAAATTTTGTCAGAGAGTAGTGTGTGTGTGTAAGTCTGACTAGAAATGAAAAAGAACCTCGTAAATCATTTAAGAAGCACAACAGTACATAGTACCACAGTTAAGTAATAGAAAAGCATACGTTTTGCAAATTGTAAACAAAAGGTTTACACATACAAAATTTGTTACTAACTAATTAATGGTGCTCTAATATGCAGAAATAGTGGTGAGTTAAAATTTGTATTGTGTCTAGAAAACGCATAGAGTATACCAAATATACTGCATATAATTTTCATTCTTTTTTTTTTTTTTTTTTCCATTTCTCGTGTATCGTTTTAGTAATGTGTGTGTGTGTTTTGTTTGTGTGTTGTTTGTGGTGATTTTTATTCATTAGTTTGTGATTTGTGTTTTGTGTTTTGTGGTGTAGAAAGAAATATTCATGTAGTTTTCCCCTCAATCTTTTATCTCCTACAACATCTGTCTCATTCACTTATTTCTCACTATCTCCTTAATGGATAGTTTTTCCCTCTATCTACCACAAATGTTTACTTTAATCTATGGGGGAACCTCTGACAAAAGGGGTAGACCTTGCTGATGCATGTATAGTGCAGTGTGTTTTATAGATCTACTATATAAACTTTTTTTTTTTTATTTTTATTTTTTATAGGTTTAAATGTCTATAAATAACAAAAATAAAACACAACACCAACACTTCAGTAGGCTGTTTTGTTTACTCATTCTCTATACCCCCCCCCCCCCATACACGTAAACAGATCACCGATATGTATATACATATATATATATATATATATATCAGTAGATTCAAACTGACTTTATTTGTATGCTTATAAAACCCAGAATTTCTGTCAACCAACTTGAGACCACTTACCCCGGATTCAATATCACATCAACATCCTTTTTACAACCACGCAAGCTGGTTTGCCAAGGACATTACATCATCAACTAGACGATACCAAATTACAGACACCTCCTAGTTTTCAACAATTCTCATCCATAGCGTTACTCTCACGGTACAAGTTTCTATTGTTTCCCACACTTGATAACAATAAGCAGTCGAAACACCCCAACTACAAAATACAACAATATCAACTCACCAAAACCTAAACCAGTTATTCTACAGCCCAATCTCAATTACTAACTCTACTTCTTTCACCACATGATGATGATGGTATGTATACTGAAAAGATAATCATTTTACAATCATATTTTGTGCCTTTGAAAAAGAAAAGGTACAATCAAAGGGAAAAAGTAGTGCAGATCACCACATGTCGTCATGTAACATTTTTTTTTTTTAAAAAAAAAAAGAAGAGAAAAATAAAAAGTCTTATACCATTCAACATTTACGAATGAAACTTACCATACTATAACTTGTTTCATCTTACTGTTTCATTGGTTTCCTCGAAGGGCAAACAAGACAAAACATATCGCGTCTTTCACTTATAGCCCCTCCTTCACAGACATAACTATTTCAAACAACAACCAAAACCACAACCACAACAACCGAAACAATGCAAACAATAACTATAATTTTCCCCTCAAAATTCCATCACAGTAATCATCATTATCACATCTCCACCTGTTTTGTGCAATGAGGCTTTTATTTGAAGTTAAAATAAAATAAAAAAAAAAAAAAGGTAAACGCCGAAGTTTTTTCTTTAAATTGCACAAACACAATGACAATGACAATAACAATAACAATAACAATAGCAAGAGTAAAAATGGAAAAATAGAAAATTAGGAAATGAGATATTCTGAAACATTTACACGACCATTACTATAACACATACCATACACAGAACAATAGAAAAAAAACCCCCAATTTGGTAATTTTTGCACGTAATGCAGCTTAGAGCTTTTAGTATATATATATATACATATATATGTACACCTACACACAAGCGCACACACAAGCACACAAGCACACACACACAAGCACATACTGCATTAACATTCACACGACCTACTTTGATAGACTAGACAAACAGACTGACATACCGACAGACAGATAGCACTTACTAACTTTTTCCCCTGTTTTTATTTTTTTCACCTACAACCAAAACTAACTCCTCATTTTTTTTTTCTAGAACTTAAGAAGATACTTCAACAGTCACCCTACAACTGCTGTATCAAAGACAACCATTCATTCATCTCATTCGACCGCAAATATTATTTGTGATTCAGATGCTAAAACTGTTGCAACCATTACAGAAGACATAATGCCATCTTTTACATCAACAACACCAAACAACATCAACAACCACAACAACCTGGGCGACAACAACAACAACAACAACAACAACAACAACAACAACAACAACAACAACAACAACACCGAGGATAATAATGATGTACTCAAGGGAGCTCACACCCCTACGAGCACATCCTCGGCTTTTTTTACATTTGACGCCACTTTAAATGAACTATATCCAAATCTACCTTCCAATTATAAATTAATCAGCATTCTTGGTGAAGGTGCATTTTCCACCGTTTACAAAGCACTCGACACAAGACAAAACAAACCAGTTGCCATCAAAATCATTAGTAAAGCTCATCTCACTTCCAAACAGTTTCTCAATATCAAAAATGAAATTAGAATTATGAAACGTACGCACCACCCCAATATATTACAATTGTATGAATCGTTTGACACTCCTGATCATTGTTTCCTCATATTGGAATATTGCAATGGTGGTGAAATATTCAACAAAATTATAGAGTATACTTACTTCTCGGAGCATTTGTCACGCCATGTTTTTAAACAATTGTTATCAGCTATTGACAACCTTCACAAGCTCAATATTGTTCATCGTGATATCAAGCCAGAAAACTTGTTGTTTAAAAAGATTCCATTTTTCCCTAGATCAGTTGAAGAGTGTGAAAAACATGCTCGTGCATCAGATGACGATTGTAAAGTGGATGAAGGGGAGTTCAAATTGAATGTAGGTGGAGGAACAATTGGGGTGATCAAGTTGGCTGATTTTGGGTTGGCTAAACAATTGATTGATGAAGATGATAACTCCAAAGTTCCAATGAAGACACCTTGTGGTACTGCTGGATATACTGCACCTGAAGTTATCACATGCAATACAAAAAATGAAGGACTTTACCTGAAACGGACAAGAAACCACTACTCAAAAGCTGTTGATATTTGGTCATTAGGTTGTTTCTTGTATACTATATTGTGTGGATTCCCTCCATTTTATGACGATGATGCTAATGATGTAACGATGAAGATTCTTCGCGGTGAATATGTATTTTTACAACCATGGTGGGATGAAATTAGTGATGATGCAAAGGATTTGATTACAAAGATGTTGGAAGTGAATCCAGAAAAGAGGATAACTATTGAAGAAATTTGGCATCATCCATGGGTGACACAGGGACAAAAAAGGCCAAGGTTGACGAGTAATGGAGATTTGGTGGAAGTTAGTCATTATTTTGAACAAAATTATGAAGTTGATCATGTTGAAGATATTGGTAATGATGAATTGACTATTCCAATGTCAAATCAACCAATCTTGTCACCCAGAGCTCATGCAATAAAAGTTGTGTTTGACAATCCTGCTATGCTTGGAAGTTTTACAAATGTCTCATCACAATTTATTGAAAATATCAATGAGGAAGGAGAAGAGGACGATGATGATGATGATGATGACGACGACGACGACGACGACGACGACGACCGCGACGGAGAGGATGAACCACTAAGCAAACACAAAGTGCTTCACAAGACTAAAGATCATGTCCCAACACCCATGCCAAAAGAACTCAACTTTAAGAATGTGTTCAATGTCGACAAGTCACAACTCGATGTATCTGGTGACGATGATTCAGATGGGGACGATAACCTTTCTCCCGACGAAGTATCAGAATTGGAAGACGATTTAGCCAGTTTACAACTAACACCAAAACTCATTACTCGATCAAGAAACAATAGCAGTCTAGCTCAAGCTCAAGCTCAAACACAACAACAATACACTGGCAAAATCTTGGATGAAGAAATGGATGATTATTCCAATTCTGATAACGAAATATCTGAATGGACAAGATCGTCATCAATCATATCCGGTATTGAATCTTTTAAATTGACATTGACTGATTCCAATTTGTTAGCTCGGAGGAAAAGTTCACGCAAGACATCAACCACTGCTACAACTGCTACAACTGCTACAACTGTCACAACTGCACCAGCTACTGTTGGATAAACAAAGCCAACATCGAACAAAGTTTAGTTGCGAAAACCATTAAAGAGAGATGATTTTATAATGACTGGAAAGATAAATTAAGCTAGAGCTCATAAAAGAAAAAAAAAAAAAAAGAAGGATTTGTTTTTATATATATACATATAGGAAAGGGTTATTTACTATTTAGTTCAAGAATATATTTTACTACTCGTTTGTGAATGGAGGAGAAGTGTAGGTTAGTGAGACCATGTGCTACCGAATAGCATAATCTTTTCTCTTTTAATAATGAAATTTTTTTTTTTTTTTTGTTCCTCAATTTAATCCTTTTCTTTTTCCTTTTCAAACCATCAAATACCCAGGAAAATGAAAAGTTTTGGCCTGATCCGGACCCATCTCTAATGATGTGTCCACTAACCCCATGATCAAACATCTTTTTTATTAACTGACGACCCGTTCTGGCAAGTCTACCCAAAAAAGCAAGACTTTGTAATTCCTTATCATGAAGAAATTTTTCTTCAGGGTATTTGTATATCAAAAAGCTACAAATAGAGTGCATCATAGTACATCAGGGATTCTATGGGAAGGAGTGAGGTTGCAAATACTATTGGTTTGTTCTCACGCACTTCCTTCCTTTTTATTCTACTTCCTGGTGTCTCCAAGAACACTTACATTTCAATGCAGTGTATAATGTGATGATATCCCGTCTCTTTTCTTTGATTATATGTATCAATCTATATACAAGTGGGGGTGGGGGTGGGGGTGGGGGTAGAGAATATCTCATTACTCCGTAATTAACAATCATCCACATTTGTCTCCATATACCAGCCAAAGCCATTTTTCAAGTTTTATAGAATTATCACTTTGCATTTCCACCTTCTGGTTCACCACGAATAATCTCTCCACTTAAAGGTTGCAAAGCGGCAAACTTCCGCTTCATTTCCTCTTGCTCACGATGCTCCAATTCATTAGCTTGTTGCTTTTGCGTCTTTTGTAACTTGGCTTGTTGTCGTTCAGCATCCTTGATGGGGCCCTGACGTAATGCTGCTCGTTCTGATTGTTGCGAATAGTTGATGAATATAAATGCACCGGTGGCGAATGCTATTGATGCTCCAAGGGTGATTTTTGATGCTGTTGACATTGAGAGTGAATAAGAGGAGATGTGTTGAGTAAAGTTGTGGGATGATGGAGAGTGAGGTGATGTGATTTGATTTTTTCTTATTTGTTTTTTTCGGGATTTGTCATTTTGACCCATATTCGCTTTAGGTTTTCTGGTTGCAAAGTGGAACAGGTGCAAAGTCGAGTAGGCGCAAATTGCAAATACAAAACTGTCATTGTTTTTTGGTGTATCAGCATATGTATTATCCGCATCATGAAAACATGCCTGTTTTTGGGAAACTTATGCTGGTGTCAAGACATACTTTGGTTCGGGTACTACGTCATTCCTTTCGCACCAAACACGTGCGTCACCAAACGTTAAAACTGAAAATAGTGAACGTTCTTCGAAGGAAAGGTCTTACAGTGTCAGACATTTCGCACGTTGTCCTTTTCGAATCTGAAAAGTTGGTTTCTTTGTTTCTTTGTTTCTTCTTTGTTGCTGTTTTGCCTTTTTGAGGAAAGGCTTGTGCAGCAAAGGGGCTGCAAAATTTACCTAGACACACGCAAAACAGTCAGCCACTCCTGTCAACCATGCTTTTATTACTCGCTTGTAAAGTAATCGTCTATAGAAAAAGAGAAAGAGAAACAGCTCACAAATGGAACAATTGAAGCTGAGGAATGAGGTGAAGCCACTCAGTAGAAATTGCACTAGCCGTGTGTTGGCGGGAAACCCCGATCGAGCTCGTCTAACTCAACACTGGCCAATTACGAGTTCGAGTGTACGTTTTTTTTTTGTACGTAGCCATACCTAACCGCTCTCTACATCTATCCTGACAAACAGCCACGCATATTGATCTCTTCAAAAATTATACTACTGCAACACAAAATATTTAACAAGGGGAAGGATTCAATTTATTTTGTTTTTTTCTTTTTTTCTTTTTTTCTCTCTAATTTTGCATCACAAGGTCTCAATCCCGACAAAATTCAAAAATACGCAATTGATTTCCAACGACGAGACAATCTACAACAATAGCAACACACAGATACCCATTGAACCAGTTTTGCAAGTTGGAAAAACTACATATGAGATAATTTTGACTAATAGATTTCAACAATGAGCACAAATCTTCACCATAATGACAATCCGACATCTAATAATCATTTTCAATCAGGAAACAAAAGCCTCGCTTCATCTGCAGATCCTCATCTGCTGGGGTTTCAGGGGGACAATGCCAGTGGAAGTTCAACTCTTCAGCCACAGTCAACCAAATCCCAAGTATCCAATTTGACCAAAACTTTACAGTCGTCGTCATCGTCGTCGTCAGGGACTTCAAATTTACCACAACAACAGGGACATCAGGGTTTAGTGGGCCATCACCTGCAAGGGCAGCAACAACATTCTAGTACTACTAACCCACAAGAATTAATTACAGGGCTACCATACAATATCAGGGAGGACAGAACAAACGATACTCAACAAGCTAGCTACCAAAACTATTATGGTGCATTTCCTCAACAAATTCCCATATCACAAAACTCTTATAAACACATGCCCATGTCTCACAATACACCAACCGCAGTAGGTACATCCTACACATCAGCCCATTCCTATAACCCATCGTTGCCGTCGACTAATAATTTCATAACTCAACCAGAGTCAGCATCCTTCCATGACCATACAGCACCTTCCAGTTTCCGCCCAAACACTGTGCCGCATGCTTTCCCAACAACAACAGTACAAACTGACTCAGCCATTCCCAATAGAAGCTCATTTTCTACCGCCCCAGATGCAGCATCTCTGCTACACCTGACGTCTTACTCTGTGCCCGGCAACCAATTCCTGCGACCTTCCATGATCAATCATCCAACACAGATAAATCACAACCAGTACCTGGCAAATCAAAGAATTCCAAACTCACTACCTGTAGGGCATACATATGGATCATCATTTCCAAGTCAAGGACAACAACAACAGCAGCAGCAGCAGCAGCAGCAGCAGCAGCAACAACAACAACAACAACAACTGGCTCGTCGACTTCACTCCCTATTGAACGCAGATAAGCAACCGGGATTGGCAAGTGCTCCTACATCTATTCTGACAGGCTCAATCAACATCCCCCAACCCAATCGTGTGCAAGACATTCAACAGAGAGAGGGTCATTCGTATCACTCAACACCGCCCTACTACGAGCACGTGCAACAAAGGTCGCAAAGCCAGGAACAACAGTCCGAGTATGTACGTCCTGAACCGGATCATTACCTTTCGTACAATGAATTCCTCCAAGAGTTGAGAAGAAAAGGTGAACAAGGAATACATCCCAATTCAGACGAGGAGCATTTGAATATTGTTGAATTCCCCGTGAATGATTTAATCGTAATGCTTTCTTGCTTGTTGACTAAGATTATCGAAGCCAATGACAAATTGCACCCCAATCATTTCGAAAATACTATTGCCATACGACAAAAGATTAAAGAAGAAAAGAAACGAAAAAGGTTGCAACGTAAAGACAGTCAAAAAGAGTATCACAAGAGCACAATTGTTGGTGAAGTTGATGAGCATGGTGGCAGCAATACTCAATCCAACGAAGCAGGAGGAAATTCGGATGATCGTTTTGAAGTGCGTGTCCATAGTGAAGATAGAATGGACGAAGACGATGACCGATTGGATGCCAACGATGATGATGATTATGACGATGAAGATGACGAGGACAATGAAATGAAGAATAAATATTTGGCCAATGTTTTGGCATTTCATGGAACAAATGTTCCTGGCATCTCCCTTCATGCTTATTTAGCCAGAGTGTTAAAGTATTGCCCGGTGACCAATGAAGTGTTTTTATCATTATTGGTGTATTTTGACCGCATTGCTAAAAAGGCCAACAATTTAAATCAAAAACGCAAATCGGGTTTCAATGATGACAACTCAGACATTGCCGACGCTGAGCAACTTTTTGTCATGGATTCATACAATATTCATCGTTTAATCATTAGTGGCATCACCGTTTCATCGAAATTTTTTCTGGATATATTCTACAAAAACTTGCGGTATGCAAAAGTTGGTGGATTGCCATTGGAAGAACTAAATTATTTGGAATTACAATTTCTTTTACTTTTGGATTTCAAATTGATGATCAGTGTGGAGGATCTACAAAATTACGGTGATCTATTAGCCAGGTTTTGGAAACGAGAACAACTGAATGCGGGTGAAACAAGTGTGGCAAGTAATGTCAGTACTGATGCTTGAGATTGCTGTGTCAATTGGAGCATACTTTTGGTTGTGTGATGTGGCTCATACTGTTATAGTCTATGTGTGTGTTGTACGATAATTGTATAATTCAGTAAAACGTTGCAACCAAAGAGCTGGAAAACATTACGTAGTAGAGGCTATACAACTAAATCGGGAATGTCAATGTGTCAATTCACAGTGTTGTTCTCTAAGAGCTTTGTTTAAATTGTTTTCTTTCACATCTAATAGGTAAGGAAATTTCCTTTTTCGGCATTCAAAAAAGAAAATTTAAATCGTGGCTTAAAACGCTCGGATTTAAGATTTCCAGACCGATCTCCTACAGTTGTTGTCCCTGGTTGGAAATTTTTAAATCCTTCATTGCAAAAGGTTGGGCAGTATATTTCATTGGTAAACAGAAACTCAGGACTGGCATTTTGAACAAGGTAGAGGTGCCTTTTGAGGTCCAATGATGATGATAAGCTTTGTGCCGCCGAAGAATGCTCGTTTTTGTAACTTCTCTAGATGATTGCAATTCGCTTAAATCCTTTTGCTTCTTTAAAAAAGTTCAAGCACTTGTTTCTGGGTTGGTAGCTGCTTTGACTGTAGAGCCGTCACTGGGTAAGGCCAATGCAGTCCCCATTGAAAAACTACCTGCTTGTGGGGGTGGGAATAGATCTCAATTAGCTCCACCACATCGTAATTTTTAATGTTTTTTGTGTTATAATATTTTTCCCCTTGAGGTAATTTCAAAAAACACAGAGCTGCAAATAATCAATCATACATACATGCAACATCAAGGGATACTTTCATAATAGATCTTTCCCTTTGTTATCCGTTCCAAGTCATCGATGACTACTATCGAAAACAAACGTTCAATTAAAGGATCATAAATTTCGTTCTCATATATATTTTTTTTGGTGTCCCTTTGAACATCACCCCCTGCTTTGAATGTTCTGTAAAATCGTTTGAAAGCCATTTCATCATATCCTCCTTTGAAATTATACTACCACTATGGAAGCCATCATTGATCACTTCCTTACATCATGGGTACCTACCAAATTGCCAACATCAACTTCAATAAGCTCAATAGACCCCACAAACATACCAGGTTTACTGTCGACAGCGGAGATATTAAGACAAGAAGTCGCCACGCAAACGAATTCAATTTCGCTTTACTTTCTTTCAAAAGAAGCAAGAGCCGCCGCTGCATCGTATACAATATTGAGTGACCAACAAGTATTGGCATCTGCATCATCCTTGCTAAATGCTGCTAGGGTGACAAACACAGCAACGCCAACCTTTGATATTGATTTGGCACAAATAACTCAAGAGTTGTTTAACTCGACATTGTTATTAAAGAAGCTAGAGTGGGATGCAAATTTGTACGCAATCCATTTATCAGTACCGGGAAATTTGCTATTTGCTATATTGTTCTTTATAATATTGTTGTTGCAGTTATATATTGGTCTCATACGAGGTAGGACAAGGTATTTCACTGGCTGTTTGTTTTGTGGATGTGGGTTGGAAATGGCAGGTTATATTGCAAGAGCTATTGGGCATTATTATTGGTCAAATACAAATATCTACTTGTGTCAAATTATCTCACTCACCATTGGACCTGCATTCATTATGGCAGGAATTTACTATCTATTGACGCAGTTGATTATCATCCACGGAAGAGCGCAATTTAGCATTCTACGACCAAATTACATATCGTGGATTTTCATTTGCTGTGACATATGCAGCTTGGTTATTCAAGCTGCAGGTGGTGCGACTGCTGCTGTCAAGCTCCGCTTGTTTGAGGATACCAAGAGCGGTACTTACGTTATGGTTGGTGGAATCGCATTTCAAGTTGTCTCAATGAGTTTGTTTCTCAGTTTGTTGCTCAATTTCATGTATCGCATATACTTCAAATCGGCAGGATTAAAGTTCAATATCTTCATATTTTGTCATCTACTACTCAACACCAAACGTGGTCAAAATATAAGGCTAGATTGCAACTACGAACGAATATATGACCCGTCGTTTCAAAACATCAGACTGCGACCGCTATTCAATTACCTCCCTTTGGCAATTATCACGGCTTCGATTTTCATTTATATCCGATGTATTTATCGAGTTGCTGAACTATCAGAAGGTTGGAGAGGTTATTTAATCACCCACGAAGCGTTTATTTTAACATTGGATGCTTCAATGGTTTTTCTTAGCTGCCTTGTATTTATCCCATTCCACCCAGTATTAGTCTTTGGAAAAGATGTTCATATTTCTATTCGCCAAACTTTTGGAGCTTACAATGAGTTCGATCAGGCTCCAACTGCTGCTTTAAAGGAGGAATGCTTTAACCAAAGTAGCGATTCATTGAATGAGAAATACTCATATGGTGCTGGTGCAAGTTTCAACAGAAGTTCTGCATCGCCGGGGTTGAATAGTTGTGGTGGTCAAAAGTATTATAATCCGTATTTGTCCCCGGCTCGGTTTGCCAACTACAAGTCTGAAAGTTCGATCCAAAACAAGGGGGCGAGTGCAGGATTTAGATAAATAGTTATATATTCAAAATCTACTTGCTGTTTCAATAAGTGCAATCGTGGCTGTGAACCCGCTTCATCTTTCCGTCTTTGACCTTCTTTCTACTTCGCTCGAGGAATCCACTGAACATTTTTGACACAATATGGACCCGAGCAGCCACAAGATTTGACTCTTGACACGTCGTCTTTATGGTCCTGAACAATTAGTGATGGGTGGTATTTAGGAACCCCTTGTTGTTGAAGTGGCACTGCTCTGAGGCCGGAACAGTGCTTATTGTATGAGCTATTTGACTGTGAGTTTCCCATTTATATTTGATGCGGCACATTACGGAGTGACAATAAACACAAGTGAGTTTGTCGCCAATTTATATTTGATATATCGGCTTATCTATGGAGTTGATTTTCAATGCGTCACTGATAAGGAATTTTGCACTCTGCAAAAATCAGAACGAAAAGAGTGGATTACGTAATGTGCATTTAAAATATATCTTAACATTAGCAAAACACATACGTCACAGGGAGGAACATCACCTTCTTGTGTTCCCTAATACGTTTCAAATTTTATTAACCTCTGAATCTAGCAACATTGCATCTAAATGTTGGTCCTCTGCCAACTGCTGCCAAACTTCCAAAAACTAGAGTTGTTAGTATCCACAATCTATCTTCATTATTAATGAGCTACATACCTGCTTGTGCATTCTTTCATGAACAAACTTCGAAAATGATACTCCTATCGCACACCACCTCAATCCTTGACTCGTTTCCTTGCAATCACTATTATGTTAGTACTCATTATTGTAGATCCTTTATTTCATTCACTTACATTATCTTCTTTACTCCGTGATTCCATGACACACTGGCAAGCCATTCAATTTCAAACGAAGGTACCACAACGTTGACAACATTGGATTGGTACACTTTGTAGAATTGAAGCACTACCTTTTCCTTTTCAGATTCAAATTGATCATCGCTCATTTCCATAAATAGCCTTATCCATACAACTAGCTTGGACAAATATGTGACATCGGAAAATGTCAAGGTGCAGCTAATTATGGATAATAATAAGCTCAGCTTTACTTGTTTGGCAAGCGTGCGCTTCGAGAATATTAGCAAGTTTACGTACACTTCGTACAATTCAACAACAACTTTTGGCTCCATGGAGCAACTGTGGATCATGATTTCAAGTTGCTCAGTGGAGCCAATTGTTAACTCAGCTTGAAACCTGAAAGTGCTCAACTGTTGGATACATTCACGGACATCAACTGAAGAATCAATTTCCTTAATCTCCTCGATTATGTCATCGCTATGCTTTTTAACAAAATTCCAATCATCCACGTTAATTTCGTTCTTTTTGCAAAGAAATAAAAAGGTCAATATCCACGCTCTTGCTTTCCAAATCACAATTTTGTCATATCTTGCTTTTTCGATATCGGAAGAGATCAACGAAATAAATCCAATGCTAATTTGACAAAGCTGAATGCCAATCTCATGCTGATCGATTTGTTTGCATAATATGGCTATGTTGAATGCTTTACTGGCACACCACTCATAATCATTTGCATTGAAGATTTGTCCCACGACATGTGACGTGTTGGAGGCAAAATTGCAACTTTCTTTCAATATTTGGCAAAGATTCTCCAAGTTATTTAAATCTAAGTCATTTTTTTCGATATCATTGGAGAACATCAATATTGCACATCTACAACAAATAGGCAATATAATTCCAAAAGAATTCAAGTTCCGAACAAACTCTTCGTTAAACTGTTTCGACGAAAGTATGTTCAATAGTTGAAAAAATGCATTCTTTATAAACTTGCTGGGCAAGTTGTCGGTTGCTTCGATTATACACGCGGCTATGGCCAAAATTGTGTTGACATTTGTATTGGCCTCGACTAATTTGTTAAATTGTATGGTGGCATTTGTTTCATCTTTTAGCAAAGTATAGGCCCGAAATAGGTTGTATCGAGAAAGCATTGCATCTTCGTCCTCCTGGTCCAATTTCTTGTGTAGATCCAAAACAGCATCGGCATTGTTTGAAAGGAGATGGTTGTTTTCAATTGCTCGAATTATCTTCCCACGATCCTGACTTTCTGAAGGCAGTATGTAAAGCAACCTAGTAAGTGACAATTCTAACCACCATGTGCTTTGATCATAATCAAGCGCCTTGTATGCACTCATTCCTTGTTTCCAGAGCAATGCAAGCACACTCATTTTTGTATTCGAGGCTAGCTGATGCTGCAAAGTTCTTTCCGCAAGCTCGAGAAAAAGTTCCAATTCCTTGATTCTCAATTGTGGCTCCACTTTTTGAGCTAATTCTGCGTTTACAACGAATTTCGTAACTACCAAAAGCCCAACTTGGCTATCACTGAAATGGAGGTTTGTTAAAAGATAATCCAAACAGTTGTTGACTCCTTTGAAACTGTGTTGTAAATTTTGTTTTAGTAAACTCAACGTGTTTTCTAAGTTGTCCTCCATTGGTACAGACATCACCATACGCATCATGACCTCATCTATGTTTTCGGTGTCTTTTGTATCACATACTTCGAAATATAAGCCATACACTTCAAACTTATTCAGAAATTGGTTCTGGATAAGCTCCATTGCTGTCATTGCTCTGTCTCTTGATTCATTTGTGTCAATATATTTGTAACACTTGATCAACAAGATGTAGGTTTGCAAATACCGAGTCTTTACGATGTCTTGGCTCTCTTCCGTTATTGATTTTTCCATAGATTTGATGGACATAGTGGTCAAAGAACAGGCAACTTCATAGCTTCCCTTGTTAAATAGATCCAATGCAGAGTTGTACAAAATACGGCTTGTTTCCAAAACAAAGTCCAACGGTATCGGATAATCAAGATTAACCAACTTTGTTTCGTAAATTTTTGCAGCATCGAAATCTCCACATACTACTTCATAACTCAAGCTTAAAAGTGACACTTTAGAGTTGTACTCATCAACAAGATTTTTATTGCCTTTATCTAGCTCACAGTCTCTATCAATCGTCAACAATCTATTCAAAATTGTTTCTGCAAAGTTTCGACATTTTTTTGCAACACCAAGCACATTCGTGCTAATTGACGACGACAAGAGGTTTATCAAGCAACCCAAAATGGAAAAACACCTGTCAATACTTGGGTTAAATGATTCATAGATAAGTAGTAGGATTATAGCAAAGTATTTGACCCCATGAAGGGTATCCTTGTTTATATCCAAGTGACCTCCTAAGTTCCAAATATCTGATCCAACAGAATCGATCAGTTCCTGCAAATTGTCTGGAAGATGAACAAGGGAAGGATCTTGAGTGACGTTTCGTTGCATATTCTCAGCGATGGGCGTAATCAAATCGATCTTCTTCTGAATCAACAAGTCAGCATTTCCTTCGTACTCTTTTGAATTCAAAGTGTTGTAAATTTCTCTTCCTGTTTCTGCAATCTTGTTAGACCACACAATGTCAAGAACGTGTTATCACGTTGTCGCATACTTATCAAATTAACAGCTGTGCCTTGTAGGTTGGACACAAGCTGTTTCATAGTCGGTGAACAAGAGGAGTCAATCTTGGTTGTAAAAAACTGAAAAAAAATAAAAAAAAAAAGAAATCACATAAATACTACACTCCCCAGTCTCTTTAATACGTTTTAATCAAATTATTGTACATTCAAAAGCATGCTAAACTAACGAACCCTCCTCTATAGCTTATTTCTTAGAAGCCTTCTTCTCCTTCTCTTGTTGGTCTTTCAATACTCTCTTGACAATCTTTTGTTCTTCAATCAAAAATGCTCTGACAATTCTTTCTTTGACACAGTTGGCACATCTTGAACCACCGTAAGCTCTTTGAACAGTTTTGTGAGTTTTGGAGACTTGAGCGTATTCTCTTGGTCTCAAAGTGGAGATACCGGCTAAAGCGGAACCACAGTCACCACATTTAACTCTTGAAGCAGCCTTCTTTACGTGTTGAGCAACTAATTTTCCACCTGGGGTCTTAACAACCTTGATCTTGTTGGATCTGGTGTTGTCTATAAAAGGTTAGTTAGTAATTTCGCCTTGTGAAAAGAAAGCATCCGAAACTTGATGTGAATTGTAAAGGTTAAAACTTGAGTGTGAAAAGATGAAAGTGGTTGGTTGCATATGGCTGAGAGCTTGCTTGAATGTGGCACTTTTGTGATCAGTCCCAACGTCGTTTAAATCTGTTGAACTTCTTGCGATTGAATGTTGCCATCGTGTGGTAATTTATAGCTTCTCAAATGGTTTTTGCAATTACTCCTTGTCATCTTCCACTTCAAGAATATCAAACTGACGGTCTTTCGGATGGCGCTTGTAATATGCGGGAAAACATACATGGATTTCTTCTTCTATAAGTAACACGTTGAGCCATTGTTAGAGTGTATATATGTCGTTAGTGTTGGTCTGTTGGAAATGACTTTTTTCGAATAAAAATTTGAAATTTTCCAAGATAGGTTTGAAAGGATGGAAATGATTTTTGTGCAATGGTGTGGAACAAACTATTGCGGTATGGATGTCATATAGTGAAAAAAATTTCACCTGACCTTCTGTGACTGTTTTTTCTTTCTTAATGCGCTACCTTTTGAAGTAAATAGCAGAGCCTGACTTCATTTCCTCAAGTGTACCTGAAATGACAAGAGTAGACAAGTTGATTTTATTTGAAGTGGTTAGTGGCAATAATTACCCGCCTCTCGTAAATTTTCATGTTTTCCATTTACGTACGAGAGAAATGTAGTATCGCAATGTGTAGAAATACTATTTCGCCTACCTGATTTGATGACTACACATTGATTAAAGTATCTAGGTGATTTCATGTTCTACTCGCTCAACTCCTGGTAACAACATGGAAGCTCATTTCTTCTGAGAAGGGGGGGAATCTCTATATTCATCTCTAATCACAACTTGGTGGCATCTTTCTCAACTGCAATAGCTTCAATCTCCAATGGCACACCCAATGGCAATTCCTTCACAGCAACACATGATCTAGCTGGTTTGTGCTCGTTAAAGTACTTGGCATACACTTTGTTGAATTCACCAAATTGAGCATTCATGTCAGTTAAAAAGATGTTGGCTTTGACAATGTGCTTCAACGAAGAGTTTGAAGCTTCCAAAATCGCAGACACATTTTGAATTGCTTGCTCGGCATAGTCTTGAATTGATGCTGACTCGGGTAATGGTTTATTGTCAGCAGTGTAAGGAATTTGACCAGAAACGTAAATGAATCCTAAAAAGGTTAGTGTTGTTCTGAGGTAGTAACCTAGATTGAGTAGCGCAATTGCTTCACAATTATACATATTACATACCATTGGCAATGACTGCTTGTGAATATGACGCAGCTGGTGGTGGAGCTTGTGAAGTTCTCACCTGTGATTAATATATTCGTTAGTAGCTCAAACAACCAAAAAGATTCCGTTTCGCTATATCAGTACATACTGGAGTAATTGATGAATTGAATCTTTTAGCGGACATGATAGTTGATCTGAAAGATTGTGCACTCAATGTGTTTCTAAACATTATTAGGGGTTCGAAGAATTAAGAATTGTTCAGGAACTGAAGAACGAGAGTTTGCCCATTTACAAATCGAAGCCGCACAGGAGTCAGAAATCAGAGAGCGCGGGGAGAGGGGGGTTTTGACTCAGGACTATGCTTAAACGTCACATTCATTAAATTTCGTACTATGTTTAACTCCACATTCAAGTCTTTTTCGACTTTGTCTTGCGTTTGGACTTTGATTTTGACTTCTTTTTACGTTGATTCTTATTGTCTTCACCGTTAGAAAGCTGGCTCTTCGATGCCTCTTCTGATGCTTCAACTTTTGGTGGCTCCATATTCCTCCCTAAATCAGCCACATCTCCTGATGTGATGACCGCCTCAAACTTTTCAAACAAGTACTCAGCAAATCTTTCGATCTTACACAACGTGTTGAAATTAGCCATGAAAGTGTGGAAATCTTCCTGAATCGTAAACGACTTTCCAGTTTTGCCCTTGCTTAAAACTGCCAATAATCCCAGTTCAATTCTTCTGGCGAATTCGTCAATAATTCTTTCATTTGATGTATTTACATCCAAGTCATCGTCAATTTCCAGAGCGCTCATACCACTATACCTGGTCAATAACTCATTTCTTTGTAATGGATCCACTGGCGAGTTTTTTTCAGCATTCTCCTCACGTTGCTCATTTTGCAAACTTTTCATTTCAAAATAAAGTTGTCTGGCTTCTGGGACCTTTCCTATCCATCCAATCAATAGCACTTGCAATTCATTATTGTAATTATGTATATCATCTTTGGTATTTTTTCCGCCAATCTTGATGATGTTTAATTTGATCAACTGCGATATCATCAAGCAAAGGAGTATCATCAACTTTTTGGCAATGGACTCGGCCAACACCACCTCGTATCCATCATCAATCTCAAGTCCTTCATTCGCCGACAAGTAAAAGGCACTGTTGGTGAAAAACTCGTGCAAAAGCATCAGCTGCTCCACTTCACTCAATATAACTTTACCACCTTGTCTTGAAAAAAGATATGGTGCAGAAGTATCCAAGGTGCCTCTTAGCCCTACAGCAAGTTGAAAAACATAATCTATTAGTAGATTCGACAAGTTTAAATCGTGTGTAATGAACCAAATCAACAACCGGCGATGACCATTGCACATAAGCATTTCATCCATAGCAGCACGTGCCAATTTCGAATTACTCTGCAACAAGAGCTCATATTTGGTGATACTAAAGATAGGGATGAGCAATTTGTTATTGTCTTGAGCCTTTTTAATATCCTTTTCCAGCGCAGGTGAGGACCAGTACTTGTGAATCAAATCGGGGGTAATGGACGTTTCACGACCCTCTATCTCGTCCTTGATTGCCTTGGAAATCGTGTTAACCACTAGCTGTCCAATTTTAGTCTCGGCTTCGGGACTTCCTTCGATTGAGCAAACAGATAGAAATTCAAAGGTAAAGTACAACTCATCCCATGTTGTGAAAAGGTCATCTGACTCGGACTTATCCTGTCGTTGGTCAAAAGCGGCAAACTTTTCAAGAAATATCGGATTGAAACTTACGTTCTCGCCTCGCACTATATCTCTCCAATCGCGTCCTTCATCGTCAAATTGTATATCTATAGCTTCGTGTTCTGCTAACTCATCTTTGGCCACTCCATTCAAATCGGTCGCATTTTGGTCTGCCAAATCTTTTTCGTCAATATCGTCAAAATCCTCCATTTCATATTCCAACATGTATTTGAGATCCTCATCAAATCGATCCGCATATTCCAAATCAATCAAGACATCTCCCAATTCCGCTATACCCTTTGATTTGTTAAGTTTCCTCATTGCTTGTTCTTCGTTGATGGAGGGCTCTTCAGTAGGACGATGTTGCTCACTAGTGAACGAAGTTGAGGAGTATAAAATCAATAAACCAATTATGATTAATCTCATGTCCACCAGAATCGCGCCTCCATTTGCAGTAGATCTCGCTAGCGGCTCAACAAAGTTTAATATCGATTCCTTCTCTAGATCCATTGCAGCGTCAGCGATTGATTTTGTTGATTCTTGAGATATATCAAGCTCCACCGCCAGAGAGGGGTTCTGGTTTAGTACCCACGCGAGTACACACCGTACTGAACTCGATCCTTTCAATGTTTGTATAATCACAGAGGGCGTTTCTTCTTCCTCATTTTTGTCCTGGTTATTGAATTCTATACGACGATCAATCTCAAGTCCAAGCAAGATGATATTTGTGTGACATTTCCAAAGATTGATTAAAAAATGAAGATACGGGTTCATTATTAGGTTGGACGCTCCATCACTAGGAGCAAACATTTTTTGAATTGACATTACAAGAACGCATGCCATGGAGTATAGAATTTTCAAATTAAGCTCATCGCCGGAAACGACCACACTTTTGGGCGTCCATTGCCCAAGAGTTGCTTTCCATTTTTCTTCACTGTTATCAACAAATCTCAATTTCAATTCGTCTGATGCATTCAACAAATCATGTATTAGTCGAAGTAAGATGAAATATTTTGTTGATATGTCAAACTTTATAGAGTTTATCTCCAGATCTGTTGAATCCTCGTTTTCGGTATAATATGAATACAGGATTGAGACAAGCAAGTCCGCTATGCAACGGACACTTAATACATAGTCCTCCGTCTCCTCTGGCTGGGTGAATGGATCACAGAGGGATACAGCTGTGTCAAAGATGAAGTTCAATAAAGCGTCTGTTGGCAGTAATTTCAATAGATTTTTTATATGATCATGTCGTTTGTCAAAGTTTTTCACTGGTCCTTTGGGAGGTATGGCAAATTCATATTCAACAGCGTCAATCTCTTCTTCAGACTCCTTATCTAACATGACATGTCTAGGTGAAATATATGTTCTACTGGCTCTAGTTAGAGACTCTCTAAGTATGCGACAGTTGAACAGAGAAGAAAAAAAAAATTAGAATCGCCAGAATCGTAGAGGAATTAGCGCTACCCTAAGAGAGATGTTGCACCAGAAGGGTCTTCAAAGAGTTTCATTTCCTACATTTAAGTCTGCGTAACAAAAGGTGTAATCAATTGTATTCTTGAACGTTGAATATCTGTTTGAGACCTTTCCCAAAAATTCCTCTCACACTCGACGACCTGTTTCTGGAATATGCAACTAATATAGCCAAACAAATGGAAAAGACAAAACTCTCTATTTTCAAGTTGATTTTCGATGGTTCTGATGGTATCAACGTACCCAACCCTCTAGGAGCAACAAACAATGCCAACTCTTTTCTTCTTTGTGCGTTCTCAACAAATGAAGAAAACCCACACATTACAGCCCCTGTAGCAGCACAAATAGTGTCATCGAACCTAGTTCGAGGAACTTTGGGGAACAAGTGGGGGAATAGCCTTGTCCTTGCCAAACAGACCCCGTACCAATAAAGGCCTATAAACGAGCCTAAGAAACATGATGAGCGCAAGGAAGACTTTAATGCCCTGAGCAATCTGGTTGAAGTCTTCACTTTCAGTGGGAATACCAACATAAATAAATTGAGCGGGCCATACACGGTGATTGCAAACTTGAAGCCTCTCCAAAACCTCCATAAGGCATGTAGTTCACAGCTTTTGCATCTGAACGCGTGTACTGCTTCGCAATCTATTGGCTGATTTACGACTGTGTTTGCTCCCAGTGGATCTCTACCATATTTCTCGAAATATGGTGTCAAATAATTCTCATTAGGACCGTGTTGGCCGTAAATCAAATCCTTGCTTCTGACCAACCGCAAAACCTCAATAAAATCTGGGTCCATGTTGGCAGCAGAAGTTATCCACTTGGAGTAAGCAGGTGGTAACCTTTCTGGATTGTAAAACCAAGCAAACATAACCAATGTGCTGTTAATGATGAACAATAACGCATCTCCGTATCCACTGATACCAGCTGGTGTAATATGAGACAAGGTTGATGAGAACACCGTATCCAATGCCCTGGTAGCGACTAACAAAGTGAGGTCTAATGAATTGTATCTACCAAATCCAACAACATGATTCTGGAACAATGGAAATGTTACCATTGCCGATACCAACGATGATACTAATGTAGAAACAAACAATGCTGATGACGGTCTTTTCAATAATCTAGTTCTCCTAATAGCACCATACAACATGGGTTCCAAAATGTTTATTCCAGTAATCAAGCTCGCAGCAAACATGGGGAATTTGCGAGGATGCATTGCTTTTACCATAGTCTTTTTAATTCTTGGTATCATCCTGTCGTACTTGCCCTTTTTCACCGCACTCACAATAGCTTTGATAACTTTCGGAAGAACTAAGTAAAGATACGCGTAAAGGAACGCTTTGAGTGAGGGTTTCCCAATTCTGCCGATGAGTAGGTGGGTGAGCAAAGCACGTCGGTCTTTCATCCTTATGTTCGTCTCCATCGTAGTGACCTCTATTATTAGTACGCAAAAGTACTGAGCATCTTTTCCAAAACTTGCATTGATATTTGAAATTTGCAAAAAATGATCTGAGAAAACTGGGAGAAACAAGAGAAAAAGAAAAGTTGCAAATTATCCTCGGCAAAAAAAGAGTCTTACAAGGGATAGTAAGAAATCTTCGAAACGGTGTGTAGATACATATGCCATCATTCTGTAGGTGCACCTTTTGATTCCGTAACTGGATTAGGTTTGCCACTGAGAGGTGATCGGGATTACAGAAGATGTGGCGATTATGATAGTGTATGGTCGCGTTTTCGCATCGTATACGCATAAAACCCCAGATATTCAACCGTCTCCAGTGTAGCTTTAACTCCTTTCTTTTGAATTGTTGGTGTTGACAATACTTCCTGACATGTCGATTATGGCTATATTGACACTTGTTGATAGAGGAGCTTGATCACAAGATATGTTACTAGAAGGCGCGTTTTGTGATACGATAAACCATCTTACGACATTGTGTGTCGCATTTTGCTACGAATGTCGTAATACTAAGACATTATGTCGTTGTGTTAATTTTTGATGCGTTGTTCAATGTGGCAATTACCACGATTCAGTACAATCGTTGGTTGACTGAATAAAGAGAAACCGAAAGAGACCACTTTTGTCTACAAATGAGGAGACATTTTATGGATTAGCATCTATATATATAGCTCGTTTATAAACAACCAGAAGTTGTTTATTCAGTTTCAGCTCCTTTTACATAATAAATAAACCGACAACGCACAAAACACAATTTTCCAATTTTCCACTATGTTGTGTTGTGTTGTGTTGTGTTGTGTTTTTTTTTTTGCTCTCTGTTTTTTTCAAAATTTCTTACCCAACGCCTGAAGCTCTCTCTCAATTGACAACAAGAAATCAGGCAATCAGGATCAGCCAATTGAAACCATCAACGTTTTCACTCGACTACAGAAGAAAAGGTGGATAAAAAGATGGTAAAAATAAGTGACATAAATCGTACTTCGACCTTTGCGTGGAGTCTGGATAGTCTTCCATTGTTAGCCACTGGAACAGTTGCTGGGGCGGTTGACATTGATTTCAGTTCCTCAGCAACTTTAGACATATGGGATATCTTTTCACCAACTAGCAAGAGCGAACCGATTTTCACAGCTCCTGTCGAGAACAAGTTCTATGCATTGGCGTGGTCAAAACCATTTGAAGGAAGATCAAAGGGATTATTGGCGGGTGCTTTTGAAAACGGAACTGTTGAATTCTGGGATGTTGCGACCTTGATCAAAACCAAAGATCTCGATAAATCATCTGTTCACAAATCCAATAAACATACCGGTGCTGTCAAATCCATGCAATTTAATCCTATCCAGCCTCACGTTCTTGTTACTGGTGGATCCAATGGACAAATTTTTGTGTGGGACACCAAAAATTTCAATGAACCTTTTGCACCAGGTCAAGCTATGACACCAATGGACGAGATAAGCTGCGTTGCGTGGAACAATTCAGTAAGCCACATTTTTGCAAGTACTGGCAACAGTGGTTATACCTCCATTTGGGATCTCAAAACTAAAAAAGAGGTGTTGCATCTTTCTTATACTGGACCAGGTGGAAGAGCTAATTTTTCTCATGTTGCGTGGCACCCAACGAAATCTACGCAGTTGGTCACTGCTAGTGATAATGATTCATGTCCATTGATTTTGACCTGGGATTTAAGAAACTCAAATGCGCCAGAGAAGGTGCTTGAAGGGCATAAAAAGGGTGTCTTGTCGTTGGATTGGTGTAAGCAAGATGCAAGTTTGTTGATCTCATGTGGTAAAGATAATGCAACTATATTATGGAACCCCATTGAGGGTAAGAAGTTGGTTGAATATCCAACAACTGCAAATTGGGCTTTCGAAACCAGATTTGCTCCATCTGCGCCAGACATTTTTGCTACAGCCTCATTTGATGGAAAGATTACTGTTCAAACTATCCAAGACACATCACCTCCGGTTACATCAAAAGTGACTGCTTCTAACAATGACAATGATTTTTGGAATGAAATATCAGTCACAGAGACTCAGCAGCCTGTTTTTGAGGTTAAGCAAGCACCAGCATGGCTCAAAAATCCAGTCGCTGTGTCGTTTGGATTTGGATCAAAGTTGGTTTCCATTGAAAGTATTAATGGAAAGTCAATCGTGAAAATTGGAAAATACCTGGCTGGGTTCAAGAAGGAGGGTAGGGATTTCGAAAACTTGAAAAACGACAAGTACGAAACGATCATTGAGACGAGATTGAATGATGACACAGTGAAAGGTAAGAACAAAGCCGATTGGGAAATCTTGGAGACATTTTCCAAAAATGGAAAGGATTTGTTGTTTGGAGCAGAAGCTGAAAAAGAAGAAAGTGAAGGAAAAACTAGGTCGGAAAGAAAGGAGGTGCCTCTCGAGAATGCTGCCGTTAATGGAGATGGAGATGACGATTTTTTCGCGCACCTCGGAAATGGCAAGGTGAAGTCTAGTGTTGACGATTACGTACCTTCAGGAAACTTTTCCCTCTTTAGATCGAATTCATCTGACGCCGATAAAAAATTGATCAGTTTGGTATTAAGTAGCAAAATTGAAGATGCAGTGGAGACATCCTTAGATCAAAAGAAATTAGTTGAAGCGTTGGTTTTGGCATTGGATGCATCTGAGCAAGTGAAACAATCTGTGAGGAATGCTTATTTCAAGAAGCACAAAGAAGATAGCTTGGCTAGAGTTATCTACAATGTGACATCCAAAAATGTTACTGACCTCGTTGCTCATGCTAATGTCCGCGATTGGAAGGAAATCGCTAAAGGGATCAAGGCAATTGCTACCGACTCGGATGAGTATAGCGATAAAATGTCTGAATTGGGAGATCGTATTTTAAACTCAAGTGACGGTGACAGAGAAGACGCCATTACTTGTTACTTGGCAGGTGGGGCTTTGGACAAGTTGGCAAACCTCTGGTTACAAGAATTACCTGAATATGAATCTGAGTTATTAGAATCTGACGCTACAAGAGTTTCGTCACCTTCCGAAGCACGTTTGCACGTATTGACCAATTTCGTTGAAAAGATTTCCACTTACAAATTCTACTCAAAAAAGGATGGTGCCATCACTGGTCCACTGGTTGACTCTATTTCCAAAGCGTTGTTGGAGTTTGTGAATCTCGTTGCTGGGTCGGGTGAATTTGATTTGGCCCAAAAGGTGTTGCAATTATTACCCAATGAACTTGCTGGTGTTGAGAAGGAAAGAATTCTGAAAGCCACTGGAAAAGATGTAAAGGTTGCAAACTCCACCAAGCCATCTTCAAAAACTACGGTTGCTGGCCAAAAAGCCACCAAACAACCCTCAGTTGCTAAATCCAGATCACAATATTCAGCTGCACTCAACGCCGGATTACTGCAAACCCAAACTCCTCCAGCTCCTATCCCTCAACCAACAGGATTCCAATATGGTGCCCCCGCGATGCCACAACAAATTCCAACGGCTTTTCCTCAACAAAGTTACCCTGTTGCTGCCGCTACTGCTGCTGCGGTGCCCAAACCAAACCCTTATGCAAAGTCGAACCCATACGCACCTACAAACATTTACAAGGCTGCCTCTCCTGTGGCTACTCCTGCTGCGTTGAATCCGTCTGGCGTAACACCTGCACCACCCCCACCAGGTGCATCATCCATCCCAAAAAACAACAAACTGCAAACCGATGGATGGAATGATTTGCCGGAAACTTTCAAACCAAAAGCATCTGCTCCACGTAGGGCAGCAGCAGCAGCAGCAGTAACCCCCCCTGTACCTGCGGCGGTATCGTCCTCATCCATACCTACATTATCAAATCAACCAAGTCAAAATAGTTTCAATAACTCCTTTGCCCCACCAAAGAGAACTGTATCAACCACTGGTTTTGCACCACCACCCAAGAGTAGCAGCCGTAGTGCATCTAGAACCTCAATTCCAACTCAACAAGTGCCATCACCAAAACCTACTCCAACCACCAAGTATGCTCCACCTCCAGGGGCTGAGCAACCTCCGCAACCTGGAGTTCCCAACTTTGGTGCGCCACCAACAGCTGCTGCTTCACCTACTATAGCCAAGAAGAATCCTTATGCTCCAACAAGTGAACCAGCGCCAGCAAAAGTTCCATTCGCATCACCTCCTCCATTGGCATTTGGAGCAGCACAACCAGCACCGTCTGTTGCACCACCAAAGAACCCATACGCACCACCACCACCATCAGCAATGCAGAATAACTCACCTCAATTGCCACATGTGGGGGCCCCTGAAGTAGGAACAAAATTCGGAACTGCTGCACCACCACAACAGCCATTTGGAATAACCCTGAGCACCCCAGCACAGCCCTCGTTTACGCCAGTTGCGCCACCCCCTACTGGCCCAGCACGTCCTCCAGTTTCAGTGAATGAGCAACCACCAGCGGCAACCGTTCCACAAGCGGCACCTGAACCTCCTAAGTATCCAAAAGGTGATAGGTCGCACATTGCTGATGATTTGGAACCAATTTACAATTCCTTGACCATTGTCATGGAAGCAATCAAACCAAACATTCCGGAAAAGTTTGCTAAGCATGGTGCTGATATGGAACATAGAATAAACATTTTGTTTGATCATTTGAACAATGCTGATTTATCCAAACCACTTACTGAATCATTGAAAGAAATTAGTTCGCAGTTGGAGAATAAAAGGTTTGATGAGGCAAATGCCATCAATGTGGAGATTGCTACAAGCTATAGTGACGAATTGGGGAACTGGCACACAGGTCTCAAGCGTCTTATTAAATTGGCAGAGGCTTTGTATTAAAGTAGAAGTATAGTTGATGCGTGGCACATTTTGAATATTAATTTCATTTTAAAGAAAAAAACGTACTACATGGTTATTGCTTTTGGGCTCTAATCTGTCTTAAATCTAATCTACTCTATATCCTTTTTATTAAAAGAAGTTTACTTCCGCAAGCTTGGCACCACCATAATCATCTTCTATCGGTATTGTGTTGTGTATTCCATCAACTTCAAGTAAAAGGAACCTGCCTTGCAAGTTGATATTCCAAGATGTTGTGTTATGCCGTACAGGAACAATAACTTCTTCCAATTCTTTGCTGGAAAATGGTGCATTTATCGTGACATCATCCGAGTACACGTTCTCAAATACTTCACTCTGATTCAACAACTTTTCCCCAGGGTTGGCAAAACGGTAGTTTTTATACACATAGTTACCAAAATCAACTTTTGCCAAAAAATCAGTGACATCCTTGAATTTAGTACCCATATACTTCAGAAGTTTAACCTTTTTGGGTGGTTTGTCAGCCCAGTTAAACACAACACCAGTTATGTTTTTTATCGAGTGCAAATCAATCAAAACTTTTCCAGTAGTATCATTATATTTCACTTGCCATCTGGTGGTATTATCTCCATCATTGATCAGAAACGAGGAGTCACCTGGGGCACTCTCAGTGATGTTGTAAAATGTCGCCAACCCACATTCGGATACGCTATCTTCGAAAATCTTGCTGGGTTGGTATAACTTAAATGATTTCTCTTCATTGTCTTTTAACTTGTAAGTTCCACGACCAGGATTTCTATCAGCAATCGTTATAGATATGTAATCATTTGCCCTCTTATTTGTCTTTCCCTCATTTCGAATCACAAAAGTTGAGCCAGTGATATTCATTGAAATCGTGTGGTTATCATAATGAATCCCGCTATATTGAACTCCATCACCCAAGCATGGCAATGCAATTGGGTCCAAAAACAATGATCTCCTAATCTTACCATTGTCAATGGTGTAAGAATGTCTTAACCCAGTTAATCCATTCACAACAGCTTGTATAAACCCTCCATGTGCTGTCAAGAATGGGTATGCCGGATGAGTACCGCCATTGGTTTTGAAGTTGTCGTTATTTTGTTCCGAAAATTGGGCAAATGGTCCCCTCAAATATGGTTGCATAGCCTTGTGCAAATACGATTGTGATGCACATCCACTAGTGGCCAAATTAGCTGCCACAATGGAAAAGATTGAAAAAGTCATTGCTGGTCCATAGCTCACTTGCTTTCCTGAATAGAACTCCATGTTTATATAGGCTTGCTCATCATCAACCAAACTATTCTGCAAAGGATACGTCATCAATACGACATCTGCTTGCTTGATACCAACTGAGGAATTCATCCCAGAATACTCCAATGTAATGTTTTGTGAATTGTCCGCAGTGGGGAGGTACATCTTTTGAGAAATGTCAGTGTAAATTTCGGGCATTTTTATACCCAATATATCACCAATATCATTTATCCAGTTCATAAGTAAAGCTATGCCAGCATTTGTATATGCTCCATTGTCAACGTGGTTGGCATACTCATCTGGGTCCGTGAGGTTGCTGGTGATAAACTTGTCAATTGTTTCATTGTAACTTGTCACGTAGTCCGCGTAAAACTTGGCCGCATCACTGATCAAGGGGTAGACCGTGCTTTCCAAATATTGATCATCTACTGCACCGCTAATGTACAATTCCCATGCCGCCATAGCAATGGCTGAGTTGATGTGATATTCATAATTCAAACATGGACCCGTTGCCGTACAATTTCCAAATCTTCCGCTTGTCCAGGGATAAGCAGCACCTTCATAGCCTTGAGGAGTGTTTTTCAAAGCTTGCTGGTGGGTATGCATCCGGTAATTGACAATACTTTTGGCATGAGTAGGATCGAGCGCCAATATAGCCCTAAACATCCAAAAATCGGTATCCCAAAACACCATACCACCATAACTGTCTGAGCTCAATCCAGCAACACCAAGTGCTCCTGTCAACCCCTGGGCGTCGGGACGCGTATTGGCTAGCAAGTGGTAAACTGATGCCTTGGACCCTAAATCTAGTAAGGGATCATTTGGGAATGTTATCGTCGATTGTTTCCCCATCAATTCCTTCCATGCTCGAACATGAGACTTTATCACCAAGTCTAAGTATTCAAACTTTTGCGAAACCTTTTTGGCAAATTCAAGTGTATCTCGTGAGTTTTTGAACTTTGAAGGATCAAGATCTGTGGACACAATGCCAACTGTTTTTCCAAATTGGGTGGAATCCTGTGCATGTAGTCGTATCAGTGACGTTTGGTTCGTTTTCTTGTTTTTTGAATGACGCTTGACGCTATCGAGATGAAGCGTTGAGTAAATCGCACCAGAAATGTAGTCCAAATTATCCGGCAGAAATGACACATAAATACCAGAGTTGTCATGACCAATTAAATTCAACAGACACCTCTGTGCTGTATCGAAATTCAACTCATCAATTACATCAATCTCCACAGTATCATTTCCTTTATTTTTAATATCCACCTTAACCAACCCCAAGTTGATTTCCGATCTATGTGCGAGAACAGTGTACCTAACGTCTAGCGATTCCAACCAAGTAAATTGAGTAGTTACAATGCCTGTTGATAAAGACATATTCTGGACATAATTCGTTATCTGTCCAACTCCATCAGGTGAGGCAGGGTCCAATGTATATCGTTTATCGCCATGTTGAATTGCTAGTTTCAATGTGGTCCATTGTGGAATTGCTGATATCACACTCTCATACCCATTTTTCAAAAGTTCAGGAAAGTTGTTTCCCGTGGTGTTTTCCTGAAGGTCATAAAACCCAGCTATAAATGCTCCAGAAAACCTTTTGTCAAACAATGGCCACCCATTATACAAGTCGTCTTTTTTAGAATCAGGAGACTCAGTTAGTTGGTCGTAGGTAAACCCGTGTCCCAAGTTGGGTATTCTACTTCCAATATATCCATTAGCAACATATGGTTGTTTTTGAAATTGGTTATACTTGGAATACTCAATTGTACCTACCACATTCATCTTTCGATCATAAAATGCATGTTCGGAAAATTGTACTTGACTAAAGATTTCTTTGTTTTCAAAGCTATTAACAAAATCCCCAAGATTTGAATCTGATGTTTGTTCTAATGTATATTTCTCAGCTCGAGGCAAAACGAATGGAAACGCCTCACTGAACCTCGTATTTAGTAGATGGAGGCTATAAAATAGGATGAAATTGGCAATGATAGTCATGGCTATAATATACGTTTTGTTGTCTTTGAACAATCTCCTAATACCTTTGATTCTGGAACTATTCTCCATATATATACCATTATTCTCTATGTCCATAATATATGAAGGATTGTGGAATAGCACAAAATCAGCCAAATGTAAAGCGGAGTCAGTTGAAAGTTTAAAGCAAATTCAAGGAACGAATGTTGGAGAGATCGAAGTAAAAGTTTCACTTAGGAAATTCCGGTGCAAAACATGAAAAAAAATCTGTTCTTGGGGGTGGATTTCAATTACCCAAAACAAAACAATAAATTAAATAGCAAATGTAAAGTAAAGTATGTAGTACACTTGTGTGAGTTTGTGGTTACACAAATTAGGCAACTCAAAGGTATTAATCTGTACGAACTCGTAATTCTGGGGGGGGGGGGCAGTTGGAGTGAGAAGAAGAACAATTTTTGTTTTTATCTCTTTTATTTTTGGTGTGAAAACATAAACAACAACAATAAGAAAAAAGGCAATGTCGTATTTTGGTTAATACGACACACGAGGCTTGAAGAAAAATCTGGAGATTTGCAAACGTATTACATAACACACACAAAATTCCACGACACAGGATGAGTGGGGGAGGGGGGGAGGACAGAAACACGCTGGGAAGAGAAAATAACCATCCACGAGTGCGAATCGGCTCACAAAATCTCTTTTGAGTCAACCTAAAACGTATCTTGGATTGGTACGGAATACATTGGAAATATAAATGAAACGAATCGCAATGTTTGGCAATCGCAATTTCCACTGTGTTTGACTACATGTAGTACATTTTCCAATAAAAGCCAAACGTTTACTTATCAACAAGTCCTTAATCGGGCAAGTGGGTTACTGCAATAGGGTTGGGTCAATTGTATTGTAAATCCCTCTTCTGTTTCGGGGTGGTCCCCGCACCGAGCTGACTCGTTTGTTTCCCCGAATTTCATTAGGCGTAACTGGGACTCTGATGTTTGTATTGGCTCGTGCTATCAACCAGATGAATGGTCCAAGCTTTCAGCTGAGTTGTTATTGTCATTGATTTGTTCACCTATAGAATTGTGCTGAATGAATGATACATAAATTTTGCACAAGATTGCAACCAAAATTCATACATATCTGTCGTTGAAGTTGTCAACTGATGCAAGGTACCAAATTCATTGATTTGAAAGAGCGATGAGACACTAGTCAATCTAGCTCTGATGTCACTTTTACATATCAAGTAGACACTCAAGAGATGACTCCATCTCCATCAGACGTGGTCTACTTATCAGGTTGCTTTAACATCCACCTTTTCTTACTTCACAAATTACAATTAATAAGACTAAATTACCCTTCTCCTCCAATACTAAATGTTATACGCAATGGGATCCTGGTGCTCTATTGATCTTGCATACACCAAAGAAAGCAGAAGATCAGAAAAAGGCGTGCACAAAATTCAAAACAATTTTTTTATTTTTTTTGCTTCCCATTCTTCACCTCGTGCAGTGAAAAATTTCTAATCTGAGTCAGATCCCAATCATCAGACAGCAGCTCAACCCATTTACAACCTTTTTGAACCCCAGTTGAAGAAAAGAAAACTAGTCTGTAATCAAGATGAGCTCAACAAACTGCAGATTCTACGAAAACAAGTACCCAGAAGTGGACGAAGTCGTCATGGTCAACGTTCAAGAAATTGCTGAAATGGGTGCATATGTTAAACTTTTAGAATATGACAATATTGAAGGTATGGTTTTGTTGTCAGAATTATCTAGAAGACGTATTCGTTCCATTCAGAAATTGATTAGAGTTGGTAAAAACGAAGTTGCGGTTGTATTGAGAGTCGATAAGGAGAAAGGTTATATCGATTTGTCAAAGAGAAGAGTATCGGCTGAAGATATTGTCAAATGTGACGAAAGATACAACAAAAGTAAAGCAGTACATTCAATCTTGAGACATTGTGCTGAGAAATTCAATATACCATTGGAAAAATTGTACGAAACTATAGGTTGGCCATTAAGTAGGAAATATGGACATGCATACGATGCTTTTAAATTTTCCATCACTGACCCAACTATTTTTGAAGGCATTGAAGCACCCTCCGAAGGTGTATTGGAAGAATTGAAATTGTACATATCCAGAAGATTGACCCCACAAGCAATCAATATAAGAGCAGATGTTGAAGTATCGTGTTTTGGTTACGAAGGAATAGACGCAATCAAACTGGCTTTAAAAGCGGCAGAATCTGTTTCCACTGAACAAATGCAAGTCAAGGCCAAATTGGTTGCTGCTCCGTTATATTTCCTTTCTGTACAATCGTTGGATAAAAATCAGGGTGTACGTCTTTTGGAAGCCGCTATTGAAAAAATTAATTTAATTATAGAGTCAAATGGTGGTGTTTGTAAAGTTAACATGGCCCCTAAAGCAGTCACTGCTACTGAAGATGCAGAACTTGAACGTTTGTTGGAGAGTAAAGAAGCTGAAAACAAAGACGAATCAGATGAAGAGGATGACGAATAAAATAAAAGTGTATAGCTTAGAAATAATTTATATCACTGTGAAAATATAAACCTGTACAAAACTAAAACACTCGCTGAACTCTATTCGGCTTTTTCATACCTAGCAATTCTTTCCTCTTTCTTTTTCGCTAAAATCCCTGAAATCTCATCACTGGTGATGATTCCACTGGACTCCAAGTCAATAGGAGTATCATAAGCGCTAAGGTCAGTATGAATCTTTTTCAAAACAAGACTACCCTTGTTGGCTCTGTCAACAATATCAGCTGGCAAATTGGGGACCATTTCTTCAGGAATTCGCAATTCCGTGACTGACTCGGGTATCTTGACATTCTCAAGCGATAAAAGCTCAGGATTGCCACTCAAGTCGAGTTTCTTTAAATCGTTACCAAATTTAACACTCCTTATGGATTTCATATCATTGTAAGGTAAACTCAAGTAAGTTAAGCTATCGGGGAATTCGTAATTTTCTAGAATTCGAATTCCCTGGTAGCCAAGTTTCAAAACTTTCAACTTTGGTGGAAGAATAACATCCTTCAATGTTATAATTTGTTTTTCACTAGACATACACCCTGGTTCATTCTCTATGTCAAGGGTCTCCAACGAATCAGGAAATACAACGTTTTTCAAAGTGGTTAAAAGGTTGTCACCCAAGTACAACTCTTTTAAGTTTGATGGAAATTGGACTTTATTCAACGTTTTGATCTTGTTCTCATTCAAGTACAAAGTTTCAATTCCATCTGGCAATTTCAACGAGTTAACACTTGAAACTCCATCTCCTGTCAAAACCAAGGTTTTCACATTTGGAGGCACTTTCAATCCACGAGGAGTCGTCATTGCCGATTGGAGATTCAAAACTTCAAGCAGCTCGGGAAATTTGACCCCCACCATTGCATCGTTTGGAATAGACCCAGCATCCAAGATCTTCAAAGAAGGAGGAAAGACAACACCCTTTAAAGTTTCAATAGGGTTGCAAGCAATGCTAAGTGATTCAAGTTTCGGTGGCCATCTAGCGCCTGCCAAGCTGTCAATTCTATTTTCTGAAACATCTAGATTAATCAATGATTTTGGGAACAGAATGCCATCCAATACATACATTTTGTTTCCCGAAAGAATCAAAGTTTCGAGTGCGTTTGGGAAGTAAACTCTATTTATGTAAGCAAGTGCACCTGAAGAAGCTTGAAAGCTTTTTAGCTTATTGGGAAATTTGAAATTATCCAACAGACTCAAAAAGTAATCACCATTGATATTCAAAGCTTCCAATGTTTTGGGGAATTTGATTTCTGGAAACTCCTCAACACAGCAATGGATGTAGTCCAACTTTTCCAAATTCTCCCAAGGTTCAATATCCAGTTTGATTTCTGCATCTACTTGTGGTTTGTCATCATCCTCAAAGTCAAACTTGTCGATGAAGGACAAATGCGTGACTTTGTTTCCACATATTTCTTGAAGACTTGACATAAACTGTTTGTACTGCTTTACTTGAGCAGCAGAATAATCTTTCCAACATTTATCGCTCTTGAATAAAATATGGCACCCAACGCTTGTTTTGTCAGTGAGCAAGTTTGGGTTCTTCTTGAGGAAATCAATAAATTTAGTCAATTGATCCCATTTCTTTTCTTCGCACTGAACCAAAAGATGGATGTATTCAAAATCATCTGGAAATTCAAGTTTGTCTTTATCAATTTTTTCTATTTCGATGGTAGTAACCTCAGTATTTTTCATTTCTTTCAAATCATCCACAAACCTGTCCTTGTCGTAATGTTTTGACAGATCAGTCATGACCACCAAACGATGGTTTATCTTGTGACCAGTCATATCTGAAAACAATGGAGATCAATGTAAAGAATAACGATGTGACTAAAGAGGAAAAAAGAGAATTAGAAACGGCGTAGGGTCCTTCTGATCTGCCTTTGTAGCTTTTGTTTTTTTTTTTTGTGGGAGAAAAGGAGGGGAAGACGCGTATTTTGTGTTAGCGTATGTTCTATTTACTTTTAATTTAAGTTTTTTGATTCCGGGCTTTTCGAGATGATTTGCCACAACTTCATTCTAATTTAAACTATCATTAATACAATACATTTTCTACCTTTATGCTTTTCCTCCTCCAATGGTAAATAAATGCGTAAACACTGACAAGAATGGTACTGTAACTTGAGTGGTATCAACATGATCCGAATCTGCCAATCCATCCTTATTTATAATCTCGTCTCTAGCTTTTAGATAGCCTCTGATTATTAGCATTGTTGTTGCACATGCTACAAACATGACGCCAGTAAAGATGGAACAGTTTCGGTAACTTGTTGGGTCAACATTAGCACCACTACCACGCACAAGCTTCACACCAATGACGGGCGAAAACACACCAGCCACCCCCATGATACACCAAACTTTGCCAAAAACAATATTCATTTTCCTTATTCCAAACATTTGTGCCATGAGTGGTGCAATGATGGCGTATATACTTCCCATGAGCCCACCTTCAATAAGAGCAAACACCACAACAGTGGCATAATTTCGTGCGGGTATCCACATTGCCAAGCAGAAAATGCCAACAATATAATACGCCACCGTGGCCACTGACGCAGCTCCAAGCTTGTCCGACAAATAACCAATAACTGGTCTACCAAAAAATGATCCCACTTGCACCATGGCAGATACTATAGCGCCCTGGTGTTCACTGTAACCTAGACTCTGAGTAAAATTAGCCAATGTGTACAACACAATAACGTACCCAAATATACAAGTCAATACAAAAAACAAAACCAAATAGAAACCGGCAGATCTAAACACTGTTGAATCAATGAATTTAAATTCGATATTATGCTTCGACGCTTTACTTTTAGCGGCAAATATTGCAATCCACGTTAATCCAAACCCAATAATACTTTGAGCTCGCAACGCCCAATGTACACCGGAATGATCAACAACTTTTTGCATACCCAAATTGAAAACTACACCTCCCATACCCGAACCTGCTGAAGCAATTCCACCCGCTAAAACTCTCCTCTTTTTGAACCATTGAGGTAGTAGTGTAATTGACGGAATTGAAAGAAATGCTAGACCAAAACTTTGCATCAAGCCTTGTGTTAAATACAATTGCCAAAGTTTGGTTGACCAACTTGCCAACATCAAGGCTGTAAATTGAAGACAATTCCCCACGATTAAAACCGGTTTGAACCCAAATATTCCCATGCACACTGTAATCAATGGTGAAAAGGCAAGTCCAACCCCAAAAGCAATACCCCCAATATAACTGTAGTCTAGTTTGTCTGCTCCGTCATACGTTTGATGCTTCAAATAATATGCAAAGTAAATGGCAAAACCTGAATTCATTCCCCACGTACAGAAATTGAAAAGCACACATGCTGCACATACAACCCACGCGTAACCAGCATCAGTATTTGGGTCATGATCATTGAGAACTTCCTTGGGTGGGAATAGCTCTTCCTCTGGATCTACTTGTTTCTCATAACTATTGGAGTTGGATAAGCTAGCTCTTGTGTCCTCTGAAGAGCCGTTTGATGTCATTTGAAAATAATGGTATGCGTTTGATAATTCATGCAATAATAGCAGTTGGGGTATGTAGAAATATTAAGCCGCTATTGACAAACAAAAAGGAGGTAACGTCAAAATATATATATTCATTAGTATATTATATAGATGTACTAAAATTTTCTACGTGAAAAGAAATTTAAGCGCTCCAGTTAGTACAAAACGCAAAATGGATGAGAAATCGGTTAGCGGATCGAGTTTTACTAAAAATGTAAAATTATTATTGTGCAAAAGATTTACACACCTTGACAGCATATCCTTCATGCCACAGTTCCAAACTCCCAGAGTACCTAGATGTTGGGTTTAGAAGAGGGGAGGGGGGAAAGAGTTAAAATTAATTATGACATAGAAGTTGTAAAAAAACAGCTTTTAACTCGGTGTGCGCAATGTGTTACACCGCCATCCCACGAAAATCGGAGTTAGCATTTTAGACACGGCATTATCGCCAATCAAAAACGTGTAAAGTGGAGACACCCTATACCGAACTGAAGTTTAAACATACCGAGGTACAAACTCCGTTTTCCAGTCATCTACGTTTCAAGTGAAAGCTATCATCTTGGTATTTTGTCAAAAGCGCACATAAGAGATCTCTTCCTCATCAACTTTATGGACTCTATATTTTTTTTTTTTTATCCGATTATGGATAAATCCGAGTTAAGTGCGATGTTTACCCGTGGTTATGACTAACAATAATGATTTGAAAAAAATGTGGACATCAGCGAGTTCGATGTGCTTGCTCAACAGTCTTTGACCTGAACGATTATCAAATGGAAAATGATATCTGTAATCTGGACGGCATTTCTCTGGAAATGCTGGCATTTTTTAAATAGCAGACTATTAATTCACAAAAAAGTGGTTAAATGAAGTAGAAGCACTGAGATCGTATACACGATAGTTGCTTTGGCGACAACAAAGAAGGGTATTTAAAATAGTCCAAAGCAGAGAATGGTCAATGAAAAGTTGTAAAAAAATGTGAAAAAAACAAAGCGGGGTGATCCGGGAATCGAACCCGGGACCGCCCGTAAGTCAGTAGCCAATCCGTGAAGACCAGCTATCGACCCTAAACGAGAATCATACCATCTAGACCAACCACCCGCATGAACGTAGCCGCCGAATGCGACCCAGTTTTTAGGACCACTCGAACAAGTGAATTTCAAGAATTCAACTACGCCACAAGCTTAATTTTTCGTAAATTCGTGTTTTGTGGTGTACAACCGTGTTAAAATTTTTGAAGACATGATGCGGTTTTCATCACTAAAACAGAATGTATATGCATGTCTGTAGCTCCAAAAAGAAACCTGATATTTAATAAAGCTATGGCTATATCATTAGAGAGTTATTTGGAAATTAGTTGAGATTTGAAGGAGTTTTTATACGAAGTATTATTTTATAAAGTATTCATCCAAAGTTTGTGCAAAAAAGACAATTGAGTTGACGCTCGTTTTTTCGGGACATTTGTATCAATAAAACCATAAACTTGCAGCAACGATAGGCTCTACTAATTAGTGCTTTCTTACAGTTGAAGTTAAAGTCTCACATTGTACTGTAACAGACATCCATTACCTCAAAAACAAAATTGTTAAAATGCCTTAGGTATGGTCTAACACCAACAATGCTTTCAAAGTCAAGAGTATAACTGTTTCAAGGTCATGCAAATCTGTGCTCTTTCAAATGCTTGTATATCATGAAGGTGAGGCAGTTAAAACACGGTCGTTAGGCCTCTTAAAAAACATCCCAGCATTCCGCTGTAATTACAGTAATCGCTGTTTGATACTCATTTAGCACTTTAACACAATTGATTCTCATCAGTATTATCTTGTTGACTTTAATGCTTCTGAGTTATCTTTGCAGCCAACTGCAACACGGAATACAATCGCAAAAAAGCCCCATCAATGCTCGCTTGAAAAAAAAAAAAAGTGAAACTTTTCTTTACCAAAGACAGTCAGATCTAATTTCCTTTATGCGACATCGACTACTACAAAACATCCTATCAACAAGGCTGTATTCAACCGTTAACAATGTTGCACTACTGAAAATTCGAAACATTGGAATCATTGCTCATATTGATGCAGGGAAAACCACCACCACTGAGCGAATGATCTACTATAGTGGGAAAAGTAGAAGAATAGGAAACGTTGATGAAGGTGATACCGTTACTGATTATCTACGAGCGGAGAGGGAGCGTGGTATAACTATTCAGCTGGCAGCAACAACGATACCGTGGAATCAACACAAGATCAATATAATTGATACACCTGGCCATGCTGATTTTACATTTGAAGTTGTACGGTCATTACGAGTGTTGGATGGCGCTGTTACTATTTTAGATGCAGTTGCAGGAGTTGAAGCACAAACCGAAAAAGTGTGGAAGCAAGCCAGTGTATTGGGTTTGCCTAGAATTGTTTACATAAACAAAATGGATCGACCTGGTGCTGGTTTCAGTAGAACTGTTCGAGAAGTTGTACAAAAATTAGAGACGAGAGTGGTGCTATGCAACCTTCCATACTTTGAAGTTGCTGCTGATCAAGAATACATTTTTAAAGGTGTTATTGATGTATTGCATGGTAAGTTATTAAAATGGAAAGAAGAGGACGAGTTTGGTAAGGAAATTGACGTTATTGACTTGAATGAATCCACGCCCGACCTCTTTGGTATGTACTGCAAGGCAAGGGAATCAATGGTGGAAACACTAGGTGAAGTTGATGAATCAGTCATTGATGCATTTCTCGAAAATGATGAGAATTATTTGAAGATTTCTCCTGAGTTGTTGGATCTGGCAATTCGAAAAGCTACTATTGAAAACTATTTAACCCCTGTATTTTGTGGGTCTTCCTTTAGAAATATCGGAGTGCAACCGTTGATGGATGGTATAACAAAGTATTTACCTTCCCCCTTGCAGACTTCGTTACCAGAAATTAAAAGTAAAAAGAAGGAAATATTAAAAAAGATGGATGAAACTAAAGGATTAGTGTTTAACAATGATAAGAACTTGACAGTTGGTCTTGTGTTTAAAGTCATGACTCATGTGACAAGAGGACCAATGACGTTTTTCAGAATTTACAGTGGCAAATTGAATGCCTCCACCAATTTGGTCAATACAAGAACTGGAAAGAAACTATTAGTGAGAAATTTACTTGTGATGCATGGTGACACACCCGAGGAAGTGAAAAGCGTTAGTGCCGGTGATATTGGTGTTATCCCTGGTTACGAAACTGAGTTCAAAACTGGAGACACATTTGTTTCCAGTGCTGCTGGAAAAAAAACGATGGGGCCAACTGAATCAAGTATGACATTGATGCCTATTGACATTCCTCCACCATTGTTCAATGCAAGTATAGAACCACATACCGCTGGTGATGAAGCATACATGAAGAAATGTTTGGATATTCTAATTCGTGAAGATCCTTCGTTGAAAGTACATGTGGATGAAGAGCTAGGACAAACTGTGCTCAGTGGAATGGGAGAGTTGCATTTGGACATTGTGCGTGAGAGATTGATCAATGACATGAAAGCAAAAGTCAACTTGCGCGAAGTCGCTGTTTCTTTCAAGGAATCATTCGTGGGTAAAGCTGAAGCACAGGGCAGTTTTGAAGGTGAACATATTCAAATCAAATTAACTGTCGGTCATGTTGAAAATTGTTTAGACTTTGAGTCCGTACCTGGCGCACATATATTTGAAGATGAAAACAATATCATAATCTTGCCCGATTCAGCAGCTTCCGAACATGTAAAGACGGCAATGAGTGATCGGAGATGGAAGTGCCCCAACTCGTTAGACGATTTACAAGAGGCATTAATCAATGGATGCTTAACATCTTTGCAAATGGGTGGCCCACAATTGGGTCTTTCGTTGCATTCCACGGTCGTTACCATAAATCATTGGGATGCTCCTGTGGACAAAAATGAAGAGCTAGTCCCTTCAATGATGAATGCAAGCAGACAAGCGATCCAAACAGTTAAAGAGACTGAGTCCGACTTTGCCATTTTTGAACCGGTAATGATTACGAAAGTTTATGTCAATTCAAATGATTTGGGTGAAGTATCTCATGATTTGACACAAAGGTGTCAGGCTGTCATTTTAGCAGTTGAGGATGAATCGGTCCAAGACACCGAGATTGCTGATTGGACAGCAGAAGTTGTTGAAAAGACATATGTACCACCTGACTACACCATATCGCAAACAAAGGGCAGAAATGAGGATTTTGCCAATAAGAAAATCATCATTGCTGAAACTCCCTTGAAAGAAATGATTGGGTACTTGTCAAAATTGAGAGCTCTTACACAAGGAAGAGCCACTTTTGATATGTCTTTTATTGGAATGAGACGAGTAACTGGATCAAGAGCCGATTCAATTACTCGTGGATAAGCGTGTATATACACCTGTATATAGTAGGAACGTAAAGATGTAAAATACTTTTTGTCTTTCAACTAGCCACACCAATGCCGGTATCTCTACTATCTTTAATTTCGGTAAAGAGAAAAACCGAACAGAAAAAAAATAATTTTTCTTCTTCTTCTGTTCTCACACCAAAGGGTAAACAAAAAAGTACTCATTATTACACATTATTATTTTCAACTTCCTCACGCTACTGATCATCCAAGATGGATTATGTTGATAGAGCACCTTTATCTCTAGATAGGGATAGAGTCACATGCTTGCTATTAATCAATACTCACCTCATGAAAAAATGCAGCAATATGTACATCAATATCATTTGTAATCAATCATTAATGCAACAAATGTCAAATGAGAATCGAGTTAGTATCACTCAATCATATGCAAACTATATAAAGAGACTACAGTGTAATTTGACTACTTTGAATTACATATATGAAAAGTATCATGGGTCGTCGCAACCACAGCAGCAACAACAACAACAACAACAAGCTTCGAAATCGACGTTCCCTGTGGTGTTGTCTGCACCTCCCGACATGCCCGAGTTGTTTCCCTTGTATGCCAAGTTGCAAGAATTGTATGCTGAAGCGTTACAATTTTTGAGAATGAAAATGGAAGAGTTGAGGAAACAGCAAATGTATCGACAACAATCCGGACCCGCAGGAGGAGCCACTGTAGCTGCAGCACCAGCACCAGCACCAGCACCCGCACCAGGAGTGGGTGCGTTGGGTCAATTTCAACAGCCAATTCCACCCCAGCAACAACAGCAACAGTCACAGACAAGTGCAGTACTGCAACAACAACCGCAACAACAACCGCAACAACAACCGCAACAACGGATACCATCACAATCGCAATTGGGTATGCAACAACAAGATCAGCATCAGCCTATGCGACAACTGCAAATGCAGCAACAATTGCAACAGGCACAGCAGCAGAAGTCACAGCAGTCACAGCAGCCACAGCCACCACAGCCACCACAACCACCACAACCACAGCAATCTCAACAGCAATCGCACCAACCGCCGCTCTCGGCTACATCCTCCCAATTTCAACAACAGCCATTTGATGATATGTTACTTGCTGATACATTTACAAATCCATCATCACGCACTCCTCTGGGCATAGGCATGAACCCCAACATGAACATGAATATGAATCCCAACATGAATCTGAATATGAATATGAACACGATGGGCATGGGTTTGAATGCAAGTGCGATTAATATGGGAGTTGATTTTACCACCAACGAGAATTTCAATAGTGGTGGTATTGGAAACGGATTGAGTAATGGATTAGCTAGTGGTGCTGGTATCGGCGGTGGTAGCGGTGGTGTTGGGGGCAATAGTTTCTCGCAAATATCGACATTATCACCACAGCAAATATTGCAACAAGCAAATGAAGCAAAGAGTAATAATCAAAGTGACAATAATAGTACCCCGCAGCTTAACCTGAATGAATTTGGTATCTTTTGAAGGGAAAAGGAAAGAGAGGCTAAGGGTGGAACTAAGAGACAATTTTAAAGTATTGTTGATGTGAGGATGATGACCATGTACGTAACGGGAATGAGCGTATTCGAGCTTTGAAGATGAAGTTGTAGTATACAAATGATGTAGAATAGGTTCCAAAAAATTGTATTAATATATGTATAAGTAATAATTAAATCCATTAGTTACTTCCTTCGTAGTCTCAACGTTGATTTTTGAAGTCTTTGTATATACTGTATAAACAAGATTTAAAAGAATTTCTTCAAAGAAGACAATGAAGAAGAAACGTGTATGCATGCATGTATCTTTGTTAATCAGGTACTGGTTGTTACTGATTAGTCACATAATATTGGGTTCTTGCATTGCCATTCAATGTACTTGGCTGAGATGGTTGTGTTGAAGAAGAAGAGCCTGTCGATGCTGCTGTTGCAACCGATGGCACCGACGATGCTTCAGGCTGAGAATAAACAACGGGAGATACAGGTGTTGGCTGCTTGATATCGTTTTGTAACGGGTACTGGGATGCAGGAACGGTGGTGGAAGCATTGGTGTTTGGTTGATGTGGGTGATGTGGCTTGAATTGGTATTCTCTGTGGCCATTTTGAGTATGTTGATTAGTAAACGCGACGGCCTCAGGACTGCCACTTTGATATTGATGATTGGCCTCAAACGAGTGGCGATTCTTGTGTTTTGAATGTTCATTATCGATTTCACCTTCACTTTGATTATCTGAATCTGACTGGATTGCCGAGGATGAAGATGTCGTTGGGAATGTAATCAGCAGTAATTTATTCGCATCATTTGCACTTCCATTTGCTGATGATGTCACAGGAGTACCTCCCCCTATGCCGTTGCCGTTGCTATTGCCATGTTCACTCGTTGGTGAGAATGGTGATGGTAGATTGGCCAATTGGTCAGAAGCACCTCGTTTATGAAGTAATTTCAAAGAAGACGGTGGTGGTCCTCCATGAATAGATGTGCTGCCTCCATAGTAGCCCTTATGACCTCGATTATATCCATTACCCTTTAAATCATGATTCATCCCGACCAAAATACTAGCTGCTTCCAACAACTGCACTTGTTGATGTTTTGAAATTAACAATTTCTTGGTTACATTCCATTCAGGTGTATGTTCCCATAAATGTTTAGCTAGTGATGATATATGTTTGTACCCTTTGCCACAAGCTTCACATCTCAACTCTTCTTTAACACGACCAGTTTCTCCTTCACTGGTTCGACGAACCACAAATTCTCGCGAAAGCTTTGGCGGAGATTGGCCATTTAGAGGAGGTGACGCTATGGCTGACAGATCTTCAGGGTTGTGCTTTTGTTGTTGGTTGTGGGAAAATTCTTCTTGATCTACTTGTTGGACTTGTTGCTGGTTTTGTTGGTTTTGTTGGGTCTGCTGAGGCTGTTGGGTCTGCTGAGGCTGTTGGGTCTGCTGAGGCTGTTGGGTCTGCTGAGGTTGTTGGGTATTATAATGATAAAGATGTGGTTGGCTGTTTCCGCTAAAGTTGGGTACACCGCGTGTAGTGTACTGCTGGTGCTGCTGGTTATGGCTATTTGAGGACAGGTCCAGATGTGAGTCATGTGATGTGTGAAATGAAGGTTGATTACTATAATTATTTGAGTAAGGTTGCAGGACCATTGTAGAAGGTTGTTTTGTTTGAGATGGGATGTATTGGTAATTATTGTTGCAAGTAGTATAATAAGAATAGCTCTGTGGTTGTGGTTGTGGTTGTTGTTGTTGTTGTTGTTGTTGTTGTTTCATAGGTACAGAGTACGGTGCTACTGAGCTGGAGTTTCTTCGATTGTAATCAAACTGATGATGGGTCCTGCTACTACTGCTGTTACTGGTTGTCATTGTTCGTTCTCCTCTGTTTTAGGAAAAAATTCGTCAATTACGGTGGAGTTATATGTCTGTCTCTATGGAATGAAAGGATAGTAGTTCTTTTGCAATGAAGAAATGGTAAGTCGGTGCTGGGTACTATAGTAGAAATGAGTGTGTATTCTGTTATAAAGAAAAGGTTTTTAAACTGTCATCATATTCAGGCGAAGAAAGATTTTTGAAATTAAATTTTTTTTTTTTTTTTTTTTTTTTTTTTTAAAGAATAAAAAACTTTTTATTTTTATTTTTATTTTTTTATTTTTTTATTTTTTTTAATTTTTTAATTTTTAATTTTGGTTTGTTTTTCTTTCAACTTCGCGATGTCCATACGAGAAAAATGGAAAGCATATGGCACAATAGACATTTATCGGGGTAAGTAGAAGCAGAGAATTCCTCTTCTCCAGTCATGTTCCGTGTATGGTACATGTCCAACACACGATGAGCACATTAGCAAAAAGAGACTCACATTGTTCGTGTGTATTATTTATGTGTCTCATCTTGTCGTTTGCCTCCTTCTTCTTTGAGACAGGGTTGATTGGTTGTATTTGTGTCACTAGGTTAATTCCTTTATCCTTTGAAGAAAAGTTTAGCAAATAGATCCCCTCACTCATCATAAGCTTATTCCTACTAAACAAAAAAAGATAATATCTTGATGCAAGTACCACTTCAACGTCAAAAGAATGACGCAATCTTGTCGGGAGCCAGACTGTCTTGGAGATCACCTTTATGAGACACTAAGAAAGTAACGCTCTTGGTAGAGAAAGTGTATGTATGCACACAGAAAAAAATGCAAGTCTCTTTAATCAATAGAGACGTGAAAAGCACAGACAGTATCTCTCTAGCTTACTACTTTGTGAATGGTTTCGAAGACCAACTGTGCCTAGTATAGTTGAGTTCCTTAACTTAATTGGCGTCTGAAGTGTTCTACTGACAGAAAGAAGAAAAACTCATAAAGTGTCTGATTTGAAGTTTTTTTTTTATATTTCGCGACAAAGAAAAAGAAAAGAATGCGTCATTAACTTTGTGTAAACTTTTGATCTTTTTATAATTAATGACATTATATCATTGACCCTTGCCAAATCTTACATATGTGCTACATTCTGTAATTACATATTTCAACACCAAACAACGATGCACACGTGTATTCGTTTCCTAGTTGCAACAAAAACCACTTTAAACACTATCAACTCCGCTCCCTAACACGGATTCAACAACTTATCTTTCCCCCCTCTCCACCCCAACTTATTTTTTCTAAAACTCACTATCCAACATGTGATCATCACCAGCCACATGATGAACTTCAGAACTAAAACCTTCTTGAGTAGCATACAATGTATCTTCAATCTTTTTCAATAAAGTCAAAACATCCAACTCAGACATTAGAGTTTCATTATGTTCAATATTTTGAATCAATATTTCAATATCACGACATTTATTGAAGTAGAAATTTCGTTCAACTTGTAATGTGTCACAATTTAATTTATACTCATTCAATTGATTTTCCAATTGACTGTTTTTGTCAAGTATTATTTCAACTTCTTCATTGGTGATTTGGTAGCCGTTGTTGTAGCCTTCATTGATGCTACTTCCATTTCGATTACTAGCGTGTGCTTGTACTTCATGATGCTGGTGCTCATTGGTTGATGTGTATGGAATAGCAGTTGCCGATGTTGTGGTTTGAAAAGACGAAGAGGTGTTATCACTCACGCTTGAATTCATAGCCACTGCTGCTCCCCCTCCACCTAATGTTACTAAAGACTTGTATCTGCCATTGCTCAAAGATTCATCACTCGCCACATTCCCCATTATACCATTACCATTGCCTTGAGATGAAACTCTCTTCACTTGTCGATCTGAAGTCTTTCTTGGTCGCTGAATAGGAGTGGAGTTTCTTGATGATGTGGTTGGAGTAACTGATTTTCTGGGTCTAACTTTAGCTGACATAGTACTGCTAGTATAGTTCGAAGACAACAATGCATCTTGAGATGGTTGTGGTTGTGGAGATGATTCATTTTGAGTGTTTACCTTATCACCAAATTGCATATTCTGATCACTATTATACCCATTATGACTCTGAGTGGTATTCATTAATCCAGGACTTTGACTTATTTGACGTTTTCTGGTAATAGATCCAGGTGGTGCTAAGCTCTGTTGCTGTTGTTGCTGTCTTAATGTAGAGTTACCATTAACAGTAGGAATCAGACTCACTGTATTATACGGACTGTTATTAACAGTGCCAGTACCAACTCCATTTCGTTTACTCAATGCATCATATTGATTATGAACATCAGCATTTTCATTCCAATATCGTTTAAACCACTGTAACAACTCCAAATTATCTTGTAAACGACACTTGATCAATCTTTCAACATCAATGTTTTTAGTAATTCGGTGTTTTATAAACTCCAGTTGTAATATTTTCCAATTGTGTCGATAAGCATATTCAGTATTGGCATTGAATTTAACCTTGTTCAAAGGTACACCACCAACTATTGAATCCATCAATTGACAAAATGCAGCTCCGGTACCACATTGTTCTATCTTGGTGTAGTTTAGGTCCAATATGGTGTTGATCCATTGTAATAGTTCTGTTCGTGATTCACCAACCACCATTGTTTACATCAAACACCCTTTTATATGTAGACACACAAACAAAAGACGTGAAATATTTCAAGTTTCAATCTACTTGAAGGGGGGATCGGAGAGATGTGCTGTTGTGGGTTGTTTCTTGACTACTTGGGTCTTTGTCCCACTAGATGTTCGGTGGTGTTTTTGGAATATTGTTATGTGTGGTTGGAAAAAACCAATCTCCCGTTGATTTTGGTAAACAAAAGAAGCAATTAGGTAAAGAAAAAAAACAAAACACAACACACACACACACACACGCGCGCACACTTCAAAACATTTTCAAAACGAAAACAGTAGAGTTGTATAGAGAGGACGTGGATCTCTTCTTTGTATACTGAAAACAAGCTTATGCAATATATACAACAAGTGATGAGAAACACAGCATGTGCCACTGATGACACTAACTATAAGAAATAGAAACGGGGAACAAGGTTGCACCTCAGTCAAACATAGAACATAGACAATCAAAAGTTTGTTGTTTGATCAAGTCAAGATAAGAATAAGACCTAGCCCAAGTTTTTACGAGATAAGATCTCTAGCACACAACTTGTCCAACAAGACACTTTATAAATATTGAATGATATTCCCAAACAAATTATGTGAACTTATACATGAATGGACAGCCTTTATATCCACAATTTAACTTATCCATAGTTATACTTTTAAACTTTACAACAATATAGATCAGGGAGGTTAGCGAGTTAAGATATAACACCGATAAGTACTTGGATTAAAAAACTAGCACAGTACTTTCTGTTTATCGCGAAATATCAACAATCGTCTTCAGCTTTTGTCAAGATTCCAGCAGCTATTTTTTCCTGAATGAAGTCTTTGATAACCTTGTTCTCATCTAGCGTATTGAAATAACTTTTGCTGTATACTGGCACGCCACCTTTGAGTACGACAATGTCACATTTGAAGCTCCCAATCAGGCGGTTTTTCTCAATTTAGTGGAGAGTAATTCTGGGTAATGTTTTTGCGATTCTTTTTTCGAAGTAGTTCACAAGCGGAAACGGAAACTAATGATGATTGCTTTTCCACTTGAATTGCAATAAAGTTCCCAGTTGTATTGGTTTTGTGGATTTCGAAAATGACTTGTGTTTCAGATTAATTGTAATATGCTCACTCTGTTCAGTCAATGTGTAATCCCACAGTTGAAATGTGGGTTTTTTTCCATCAATGATTCGGTGAAGATTTTCCACGATTAAAAAAGATTAATTTTGGTGTTGTGAGGTGGTGGTAACCTAATGGTAGTTGACTTGGTGATGTAATGCTTTCGATTTGAAGCGGTCTTTACTCTTACTGGTTGAGCCAGTAGTTGTTCCGGAGAATGGGGTCGTTACCAACGCAATAATGTGTCGCATACGAAGTTTGTTGCGGAACCACCATCAAATATAATGTTCTTGACCTCCTCTTTTGTTTGGTACTCGATACTGAGAGGGCCTCGCCTCATTATCAGCATTGACGCTTTCAGCATAGTCCTCGGCGTTATAACCAGCAAAATTCAACTCTGGGTCAAACTCAAATGATTTATCATCAGCTTCACCTTCGTCGTTTTCAGCTGCGGGCTCTATCTGATTATCTTTCACATCATTATTGAAAACTTGTTTGACCAACTTTCCATTTTGGTAATATTAGTCAACTGGTGCCCTGTTGAAGTAATTCTTGGTGAATGGACGTGGTTTGGAGTAAGTGTTGTGCTCGAAGTATTGTATTGTTTGTTGCCCTTGTTATTTGCACTAAAGGAATTCCATCATTCACGATCTCCAAATTTGCTTTGCCCAAAATAATCTAAATCCACACTATCAGAAGCAGCAGGACCAAAAAACGCGTAGACGGGAAATGTTTCTGAGTTCGGTGAAGAGCTCCGATTCGAACATGTGTCTTTTTGCATTTAGGGTATTCCTCACTTCTGGGATGTGTTTACGCAAAATTCCAAAAGTGCCCATCTTGACAGCAAATAACCGGTTTCTAAAGTCGGCAACCAAGTGTAAATCGTTTTCCAATGTATTCAAAAAGTCAAAAACTAATTGTCTCGGAGTTGGTTGACGTTGGAAAATCTCGGCAGTTGCATCACTATTTTCCCACTGCAATATTACTTGGATTCATCATTAACAAACTGACGTTTCTTCTCAATACTTGCCCCATCTAGATAGTTTCGTTCGTTTGTTGAACAGTTTTCCTACTCAGCAATCTATTGTTTCCATGGCTGCAATAGTTTGATCCTTCGCCAGAAATTTTTGAAGGCATGGCGGCTAAAGTTTTTGAGTTTTTGCAGTTGTGGTTTTGTGCTTTGCAGTTGATTGACTCAGAAAATTAATTCTGTTGTACTTGTTTCTCTATCTAAGTATTTATCGGTGTTATATCTTAACCCACTAACCTTCTGGTCTATTTTGTTGTAGTGTTTATAAGCATAACTATAGATATAAAGTTGTCTAATCATATGTAAGTTCATCCAACTTGTTAGAAATATTATTAGGTATTTATAAGTTCCTTAGATGAGTCGTGTACTCGTTTCGTAAACCCTTCTAACTAGGCATTATTGTCTTGGCTTGATCCAACAATATACAACCAAATATAATTAGAACACCTCAAGAGCAGTAGTCACCAATACCCATCTCTGTTTCTTCGTAACTCTTTCACTTTTGTATACTGTGTAGTCAAACAATTCTCTCGCTAAGGGCAACTTGTTTAAGAACGCAATGATAATGAAGGACAATCTAAAAGGGACTCGAGAAAAAGACAAATCTAAACATTATAAAAACTCCATCGTTTATAGCTTCAACGTGTTTTCTTCTGCAGATGATATCATAAACAAAGAATCTCATGCACATTATAAAACAGAGAGGAATAAAGTCTCATCTTCCACGTGCAAATGGTCTGTGGCAAAGTTAGACCAAGAGATACTCCCGTACTGCACATAGACACGCTCTGTAAAAACACAGCCTTACCCAATTGACGCAAAATAAAAAGTAATGACATTGCCAAACAAAGAAACCATCATTCATTTCATCATCACCTAGATCCCCCCCTACACAAAAAAAAAAAAAGGATTGCGAAGGACACACTCATAGCAAACATATTGTATTTTTTTGACAACACTACTTTTTCAACGAGGTACTTAACCAATTGACTCATTCTCAGTATCGGCAACGTATATAAATCAGGTCAATTGGCTGTAACAAAGAATACACATCACAATCATTGTCATTTTTTGCACTCGCCACCACTACAATGTCGTCTACCGGTTACCAGCAACGTCACAACACAAGCAACAATACCAATCCTGACTCATCATCATCAGCTTTGGTCTCTGATTCAGATTATGATGTCAATGATTCCACATCTTCTGCTTCTTCCCAACCTGGCCCACCGTTGAGGAGATCTTCATCATTGTTTTCCCTCTCTTCAAAAGAAGATATTCCTAAACCAGAACAAACCGAGTACTTGAAGTTCATCAACGACAATAGACATTTCAGTTTGATTAGAAACTTACACATGGCAGATTTCATCACGTTGTTGAATGGTTTCAGTGGTTTTTACGCTATAATATCCTGTTTACGATACTCATTAACTGGCAAATCAAACTATGTGCAAAGAGCCCACTTCTTTATAGTTTTGGGTTTGTTTTTTGATTTCTTTGATGGTAGAGTTGCTAGATTAAGAAACAAGTCATCATTAATGGGACAAGAATTGGATTCATTGGCTGATTTGGTAAGTTTTGGTGTATCGCCTGCAACAATTGCTTTTGCTATTGGATTCCAATCGACTATCGATGTTTTGTTGTTGGCATTTTGGGTCTTGTGTGGATTGACAAGATTGGCTAGGTTCAACATTTCCGTGAATAATATCCCCAAAGACAAGACGGGTAAATCACAATATTTTGAAGGTTTGCCTATCCCAAGTAACTTGTTTTGGGTAGCGTTGATGGCTTTGTTGGTTTATAAGGATTGGATTCACGAGCAATTGCCATTGGGTGTTGTTTTTGCCAATACTCCGTATGAGTTTCATTTGTTGGCCTTGGGATTTGTGTTGCAAGGATGCGCCAACATTTCCAAGTCGTTAAAGATCCCTAAACCATAAGGGTGTGAAGAAAGCACATAGTTTGGAGGGTTTTGTATAGAAGGAGTTTTGTTGATTTTATATTGAGTTTGAAGAATAAAAAAGAGTTAGTATACACAAGAAGAAGAGGTAAAACTTGATCAAGAATGTAGTGATGAAGTACATAGTCAATAGCAGTCCCCCCACGATAATGCTTCGCCATAAATTAACCGAGTTTCTCCCTCACCTTACGAGAAAAGGATACCTTAAGCCTGTCCTCTTTGGTGTCAACATTGATTTCCGATAACCAAAACTTGGCCATTTATCATCAATCGGTGATAATGTTGGGGTCTTGTGGATAGATATTTCTACAAATGACCCTTTTCGCTAATTGTGCAGCAACGGCGGAAATTATAACTCACATTAATTTCTCAACTTTGGTAACAGAATGAAGTGTTTGCGTGGTTTATTCCACCGTGCACATACTTTATACATTAAACCAACAAGTGCAGTTTCAGCTACGAACCGTACCGAGTTTTGACATTTCATCACCAGTAGCCACACCCATTTTACCAACCACTCCCAACTTATTCAGATTTGGTTTCATCAACCTTTGTCGTAAATTTAGGTCTTGAGAATGCAAAAATAATAACATTTCTAAAATCAATGCCATTATATTCACCCGTAGCCAATTGTCGAATAAAATCAGGTGGGAAATTCTTGGGATCCAATAATCCAATATCCTGTAGCTTAAATGGCGTCAATCGATGTTGATGTTGTGCTTTGTCCAACAGGTAACAAGTATCCCAAAAGGCTGAATTTAAAGGGATCAATTTGAAAATCATATTTGGCCAATAAGTCCATTTACGAGTACGATGATTGGCATTGTCATGGGTTATACCCAATTTTCGACACTCGTAAAAAAAGAAATTCAATTGGAATAGGAGCTCTGGTGTATCTTTGACTGCATCAATTACTTGTTGGACTTTGTCCTTGGTGGGAGATTTCCCCAATTCGTCAAACCTTTCATCGATTTTGTTTGCTTGTTGAACCGCTTTGAAGATATTGGGGATTTTGAAAGAAAGGCATCGCGTGGGGGTCAAAGTATGAGACGATGTTGATACAATGCTTATGCGGTAGAGGGAAAGAACGTGCACATTTGGATTGTGTAGGGTTCTTGTGACCTGTTTCTTAACGGTGTTGAACATGGCTGCAATAACTTCTACTAGTGGCTACCTCTCGTCATCCTGGGTGACTGAAATATTCATTTGCCTGATCACGATTCTCGGTAGCGCGGTGAGATTCGGGCAGAAAAAAAAACTAAAAAATTTCAAAGCGTGAAATATTTTTCAGAATGTAAAAAGTATATAAGTGATCACTAGCTAAGACTTCTGATCTAACTTTCCAAGACATACTATCAAGCCATAGCTCAATAATGTTTAGGACAACCGTTAGGCTGTTGATAAATACAGCAACGAAGCCATCAAGATCATCGTTAGTCTCATACACAAAACTCGCGCCATCACTAAAATTACATCATCGCCAATCGATAAAGTTTTATTCAACAAAAGATGATAAAGCAGCCGCCGACAAGCAAAATAAGGAGAAGAAGCCGGGTGAGCCACAATCAATTTTGAATGACGATATGCTAGCTAGAGCCGGTTTTGAAGATCTTGAGTCTCAAAAGGACAGTAAGCAACAACCTAAAAGAGACAATAGAAAAACAACCGAGGATCAAGAGCAAGAGCAAGAGCAAGAATTTGAAGAGGAAGATGGATCCAAAAAGTCAACCAGACGCAAAAGAAGAAGAGCACAGACATCAAAAGACTTGAAACGTGAGAGATATGCCAATATGTTTTACTTGTCAACTTTAATTGGAGGTGCTCTTGGGTTAGGATACATGAGTAGAGACTGGGATTCAGAAAAGGAACAACAAGAAATGGATGGTAAAGATATTTCTAATGGATACACTCCAGCATTAATGTATGAAAGAATGAGCAAAAGATTAGCATCATTATTTACATTTTTCTCGGAACCCGCATTTGAAAACTTGTTGCCACCACCAGCACCAGAACAATATCGTCGTCCATTGACTTTGGTGTTGACATTGGATGATTTATTGATCCATTCTGATTGGGATACCAAACATGGATGGAGAACTGCCAAAAGACCTGGTCTTGATTACTTTTTGGGTTACTTGTCACAATATTATGAAATTGTCTTGTTTTGTTCCAATTCACAAATGTTTTCTGAAAAAGCTGTGAGTAAATTAGATCCATATCATGCGTATATTTCATATGCATTGTTCAGAGAAGGATGTCGTTACAAGGATGGCAAATTGATTAAAGATCTTTCCTTATTGAATAGAGATTTGGGTAAAACAGTAATGATTGAAGTTGATCCAGATTGTGCATCTTTACAACCAGAAAATTCCATTGTGGTCGCAAAATGGGATGGTAAACCTGATGATTACTTGATTCGTTTGATCCCATTCTTGGAGTACTTGGCTACACAACCAGTTAAAGATGTTCGTCCAATCCTCAACTCATTCACCAATAAATTTAACATTGTTGATGAATTTTCTCAACGTGAAGCCAAATTGAGACAACAATGGAAAAAGGATCATCCACAAGATAAACCAAATGCTGCCAATTTTCTCGCCAAGATGCTTGGTATGCCTGTTCTGGAACCCAAGATGCCATTGGATATAATTAGAGAACATGGACAATTGCAATATCAACATTTCCAAAAATACTTGCAGGAGAATGCAGCCAAGTTTTTAGAAGAGGAACAAAAATTGAAGGATGAATTTGGTAAAATGACTTTGAACAAGTTGATTACTGAAGGTGGACCAAACCCTGAAGAAATTGCCAAAGTGCAACAACAAAGGGCCGCTGAAGAAGCTGAAAAGCAAAAACAAGCAGCTGCTGCAGCCAAGTAAGAGTGTTGCGGATGTGATGGTGTAAATGAGAAGAGAAGAGGAAAGATGTAGTGAAGCTTTGACCATATTGTGTGTAGCTTTGTATAATATTGTATATAAAATGGTGAAATGACGAAGGAGTATAAAAGATTACCGAATTAGGGTTTATTGGATTTTGAAATATTGCGCTCGCCCGTGTGTGAGAATATACACGTATTTACATTGTTTCAGACGTGTCGTTGGTTCTGCCATCCACGTACTCAGAGAAGTCATATTCCAAGCTGCTCACAAGTTGTGCTCTTTTGTGAGATCTCAAACAAGCTTTTTCTTTTTTGTAAAATATTTTTGTGTCAAAACCGAGACCGGACTCGGTATTCCCAACAAACACACACACATACACACACACACACACACAGAGAGAGAGAGAGAGAGAGAGAGAGAGTTCGTCTTCTGCACAGCAAGGGGCTGAGTATGAGAAAATTTATTCTGGTTGAAGATGACAATAATAATTTGCTCGTTTCTGCTTATCATAAAATTTGTCTTATACTAAGAATTTTACTATTATTCATTTAGGAACGACCGAAACCATGGATTCTCCCTATAGTCAAGGGTTTAGGTTCAGCCAAGAAAGCTTGACCCACCAATGCAATCCTAGTCGAGAAAGGGGCTGTCCTTTTTGTTCGTAAAGACCTGTTAACCAATCATCTGGAGAGGTGCAGTCAGTATTCAACAATGGCTGAAGGGGGATGAAGAAAGAGAAAGATAGGAGAGGGGTGATGGGTTATGAAAATTGTGTCTAATATTTGCAACAATGGGGATGGAAGAGGAGGGGGCTTTAAAAGAGCAAGTACAAAGGTGTAATGAGTGCTATTGTAAATTCAACTACGTTGAATTCTAGCCAATCATAGGATTGTTGATACTTCTTTTGTTACTTTTTCTGTCCCATTTTGTGTACACACATAGTATACTTCTTAGTTGAAGCTTCTTTCTTTTTATCTATTTCATCAGAGCATTTATTACTTAATAGGTTATGTAATACTTATTTTTTAAAGAAAATTTCTCATTTTTTAATAACAAGACTAAAAAACTCTTATATATAATCAACAGTCTTTTGATATTTTTGCTTTGCCATTTTTATGGATACTTGAAGGAACGTAGTAACAGCTACACACTCGGACACACCCATATCTTTTTTAGAATATCAATATTACTAGCGGATCAACTGTCCCTTCCACGAATCACTTGACAAATATATTCAGTTATTTTTTCCGAGAAGGAGCCAATCAGCGACTAATCACCCAAAACCACTGGGGAAGTAGAATAGAGTCCACCATATCACAAATCAGCACCTTATAGGCAAAAGCTAACTATATATAAATGACCACCAAGGGCCCCAGTATTGCACCAAGACAGCAGTCGGTAGCTCAGTCACCGATAGCTCTTGCTGGCTCTCCTCCGTCCTCGGCATCCGCTGGTTCTACTCCAAGAAGCGTGGCCAGCCCCAACAACCCTCACAACAACAACAACAACAACAACAACGTAGCATCACCACCCAATAATGCTGCCACTAGGAATTTGACCACCAAGAGTGTTACCCTGATTATGACATCAAAAGAATGGGTATTACCGCCAAGACCTAAGCCAGGTAGAAAGCCTAGTGTGGATACCCCAGCATCAAAAAGGAAAGCACAAAATAGAGCAGCTCAAAGGGCTTTTAGAGAACGAAGAGCCACTAGAGTTCAAGAGTTGGAAGAAAAATTGATGGAAGTTGAAAAGGAGAAAGATATAAAGGAAATGGCTTTAATCAATACCATAAACAAATTAAAGGCCGAGAATAATTTTTTGACAAAGAGCATGGAACAAATACGACAAGAGATGGCCATGTTTAGAGCGTCACAGGAAGAAATGAGACTGCAAATGTCACCACGACAACATGGTCACTCGCAGCAGCAACAACAACAGCAGCAGCAGCAGCAAGTACTACCACAACCACCACGCCAAAATATTGCACCTGCCCCTCCTCAACAGTTTTCTAAGCGCCACTCAAGCAATTCATCATCATCGTCGTATTCGCAACTTTCACTTCAACCCACACAACAACAACAACAACAACAACAACAGCAACAGTATTATGCAAATCTCAATGCTGTTCTGAACCCATCACCACTGAACAATATTTCACCAACTGGCTCGTCTTATTCATTGCAACAAATCTCACCAGCACCGTCTGCAGACCTGCCTCCTACTGGCACGACAAGAAATGGTTACCAAATTCGCAACACAATGAGTCGAAACAATAGCAGTAACAGCAACAGCACTCAGCATACATTGACACCAATATCCAACAACAATACCCCTGACAAAATTTATTCAACTTCCAATACTAGTAACAACAACGACAACAATGGTGGTGGTGCAGTTGGCTCATCTGAATTCGATTGTGGTGTATGTATCAAGGACGAGTGTTTGTGTGAATCAGTGGGATTAAAGGAACCTCGCAAGACTGACGCTGAGCGTGAGTTAGAGAATCAAATAAATTCAATAAAGCCGCAACCTGCTGTAACGCTTCGTCGAAAGAGAAAGGCTCAAAGTATAGAGGATGTTGAAGAAATTGATTTCACAAGACAATTTGCCACTAAAGCTAAACCGATGCCTGATTTAAATAAGCTACGAAAACATGATCAGAAGCTGAACACCACAGTTGCTTCAACAACTAATCACAATCATCACCAGCACATTCAATCCCGATCCAAATCAATAGATAAGATTGACAATTCAGATTTCAATGAAGATTCACCAATGGAAAATTGCGGTTTTTGTTCAGATGATACTCCATGTGTATGTCGTGAGGCAGCCAAAGAAGCAGCTAGACTCAATGCTTCATTGAATGGACCAGACAGTGTCATTGTTGAAGAAGAAGAGGACGAAGAACAGGAAGAAGGAATGAATGGACAAGGCAATGACCATAACACCTTACCACCATTGCAATTCAACTTGACTAGTAACAATAGCAACACCAAAATGGCTCTTCCTGTAATGCATCCAGGTCCATCAGTTGAAATTCGTGATATAACTAATTTGACACCAGGTGCCGTGCCCACAGTGATACCAAGACCAAACCAGTCCTCTTCAGATTCACCATCATCATCATCATCGTCACAACAACAACAACAAATGGAAGAGAATGGCAACTCGAATGAGGATTCCGCTGGCGGATGTACAGGAAACCCCGGTACTTGTAGACAATGCCAAATGGACCCAATGTCTACATTGTTTTGTACTACAGTTGCTTCCAAGAGCAATGATTCTTCAATACGATCCAACTTATCGAGAACCAATTCGAGAGCATCACTACTGTTGAATTTTGGGCCCGGTACACCTGGCGCTAGCAGCAACAATAACGGGAACAATAATAGCAACAATGCGCCCAGTCCCATCCCACCACCATTACTTGCATCCAATAGCTCAAATAATATCGCCGCTAGCCCTGGTGCTTCTGGTCTCAACGCATTTACGGCACTTTTACCATCCACTCCTGGATCTGGATCTGGATCTAACAACAATGATGGTGCTAGTGGAAGTGGCGGTGGTATGTTTATACCTTGTGCCGATGCGTACAAGACATTATCACGTCACAAGAAATTCAATAGCGTCGATTTCAGTACATTGGTTGGTAAGTTGACTACTAGGGGTATGCAAGTTGAAGTTCAATCAGTTGCCAATGTGTTGCGGGAGCTAGATCGAAGGTTGTACAATTGAGATGACGAAACGTGGAGGCTACCTTTGTCAAGAGTTTTGTTTAGTATAGTCTTTCTAATAAGTACTATTCATTTATGAGGATAAATGTAGAGAAACGAAAGTCGAACAAAAATATCAATACTTTCAAATTAATAAAAACTATACAATTCAAGTAAACAAAAATTCAAACTTCAAGATAAAAAATTAGGACCACATCCTAAATCGGCTTTCACAACTTTGCTTCCTTATTCTCTCTCTAATTCCACCCACCTGGCATACTAAATGAATTGTTTGCACTACTTGCCTCATGATCAACTTCGGCAGCATTCGAAGTCAATCCATGTGACGATGATCCAGCAGCATTGGATCCAGTAGCACCTCTTTCATGCAAATCTCTTGGAACCTTGTTATATTCACCAGAACCAGTCGTTGTGGAACCATATCCACTACCAGCAGCAGAAGTGGAATGTCCACCTGTAGATCTACCAACACCTGTTTCGCCCGCAGATGTGGTATTAATACCAGATGAAGGGTTGGCACCGTAACTAGATTCAGAAACATAATTTGATGGCTTTGTTGTTGTTGAAGATGTTGATGATTGGTGGTGATCTGCATATCTGCCAGATTGACCTCCTCCACCATACAGAGCAGCATCATTGACTTTTCTGTCAAAACTGGTGTTTTCTGAAGATGAAGAGTAAGCGTCAACAGCTGATTTTGGATATGCATTGGAGCCCAGTAAATGTGATGATGATGGATTGGAATCAGATTGAGATCTGTCATTATAAGTTTCTTCCTTGGTTTCGCTTCCACCACTTGGATTTCCAATACCCAATGATTCCAAGGCGCCAGCAGCACCAGAGGCACCAATAATGCTCGATGCTAAGCCCGATAATCCTCCTTGAGATGAAGATGTCGCGTTTTCGTTGCCCAGCTTGTAGTATCCAGTTGAAGCAGTGTTTGCCTGACGATCATCGTAGTTGGAGTGACTTGGTAACCCACTAGATACACCTCTCGAGTTATCAGAAGATGATTTGACGTTAGAGCCTTCATCTACAGTAGATGATTGGTGGTCAGAAGATGCATGTCCAGTAGCAATATTTGCATCCTTTGTAGCTGGAACACCTTGAGGATATGGTGGTTCAGGCTTTGAAAAGCCAGTAGTATATTGCTGTCCTGCATTGGCACTTGTATGATGAGTTGGCTCAGTCAAGTGGGGGTGCTTTGATGAAGCAGTAGTGGCAGCAGCAGCAGCTAAGCCTCCAGCACCTACTCCAGCTCCAGCTCCAGCTCCAGCTGCAGCGGAACCTGAATTTCCAGCAGTAGAAGTGTTACCATTACCAGAGTGAGTGGTATGTGATGTACTCTTGGATGCACCAGCATGATGTTCAGAATGTTTAGAATCCACAGCTAAATCAGCAAAATGAGCGATCTCATCACCATTCTCATCTCTAACAATACCAGTGTGAGCATCAACCTGCAATTCCTTAACCTTGGAGATAATGGATGCATGGGTCTTTTGCAATCTGGCAACAGCAGTTCTAGCAATCTTAGTGGCAATGGTATTATCCTTAGTGCCCTTGACATTGACAAAGATCTCATCATCTTCCTCCTTTGCAACGCTTGATGTAGACTTTCCTCCTTGGGTGTGGTGTTGTCCTCTATCGGTGGCACCAGTACCGGCACCTGCAGTAGCCCCAGCGCCAGCTCCACCAGCTGACAATCCTGCATTTTGTCTAGCAGCTTCATGCAATCTCTGCTTTGCTAACTCAGATTGATCTGAAAATTGGCCCTGTTGTGTTGGCTTATAAGGACAGGTCTTGGCACCAGCACCATCCCCTTCATATGAAGTGTCAATTTCACGACTGCCATGTGCACCTTGACTATCTTGATAATAATTGGCAGCGCTTGGCGTGGTTTGGTCTTTAGCACCAGTGTACGGACAAGTCTTGGCACCAACACCAGCACCTTCATACGAGGTATCTGCTCCATGTGGTCCACGAGAGCCTTGCCCATATGCACCAACTGCTTGTTGACCACGTTGATGACCCGCAGCATAAGCTTCACGAATGACATCGGCGTACGCACCATGTTCTGGAACTCCTTGTTTGTGGTACTCACTAGCAGCACCAGGAGTAGGTTGACCGATTGAACTGAAGTAAGGACACTCACCGGGTTTGAGTTCTGGTACAGTACTTCCATCACCATATGTAACGCCAGGAGCGGCTTCCCTGTCAAGGGCCAAAATTGCAGCAATGGCATCGCCTCTGTCTCCCTCTGGTGAAACATTAGTTGTCTTGCCTGAACCCTCACCTCTGTAGGAAGTATCAGTAGCGCCTTGGGTGTAGCCTTGGGCCCTAGACTGTCCAGCAACTCGAGGATCAGCAGCCTTACTTTGTCCTGCATAAATGTTAGTTTGCTGACCGGCACCTTCACCCTCATAGGAGGTATCTAAACCACGAGTTCCTTGAGTGTATCCTTCGGTTCTTGATTGACCAACAACTTGTGGAGCAGCAGCTTTGCCTTGTCCGGAGTAAATGTTAGTTTGCTGGCCAGCGCCATCACCCTCATAGGAGGTATCTAAGCCATGAGCGCCTTGGGTGTATCCTTCGGCTCTAGATTGGCCAACAACTGGTGGAGCAGCTCCTGAAGTACTAGAGGTGCCTCGTCCAGAGTAAATGTTAGTTTGCTGACCGGCACCATCACCCTCATAGGAAGTGTCCAATCCACGAGCACCTTGGGTATAACCCTCGGCCCTTGATTGGCCAACAACGTTTGGCGCAGAACCAATGCCATGAACTTCCCTTTCACTGACATAGTCTTCTTTGTAAATCTCCTTATTGTTGGCATCGATAACCAATTTGCCCGAAGTCAAGTCGACGCCCTTTTCGTCCAATTTCTTGGATGCGTTTCTTGCAGTTCTTAAAGCTTCTTCTTTATCTTCAATACCAACAACTTCAACAACCAAGTTGTTTGAGTTATCTTCTCTTTCTCTATGAGCAGTATTTTCATCGACCAATTCAGATTTACTATCAATCGGGGTGTGCAAGGACTTTTGGTTTGATTGTGAGTGGTGTCCAGATCCCAAAGCCGAAGCTCCCGCCAAGACTCCTGCGGCTCCAGCACCACCAACAATAGCGGCCTCTCTATTCGATGTACCATACGATCTGTTGTGGATGTTGTCGTCTTTTTCAGCTTTCTTTTCAGTACTACCCTTGGCATACCCATGTTCATACAAATCTTGTTTGAGTTTCGAGTCCAAATTTGAGTCGGTGCCTTTGATGCCACCAGTGGATCCGTAAGCTGTGTTTGATGATTGGTGATGCTTTTGACCAGTGGAGTACCCATGTTGATACAATTGTTGTCTCAATTCAGGATCAATCACTTGAGACTTGGTGGCCCCTGATCTATATCCATGCTCATACAACTGTTTTTTCAAATCGTTATCCAACAGTTGACCGGCTCCATATGCGCCACTAGCTGCAGCTGCTGTACCAACACTCGAAGCACCAACCGAACGGTTGAGAGGCTGAGTGGTATTGTACGAGGCGCCCGCAACATTTTTGTTGTGTGACGATGAAGGGGTAGCATCAGATTTTCCCTTGGAATACCCTTCCTCATAAAGAGACTTTTTCAACGCATCATCCAACTTTTGTGACTTTGTGGAGTCTGACGTGTGGTGCGAGGTTGCACCGTACGCAGCTGCACCTGCCCCGGCGCCAGCAACACCAGTTACAGCACTTTTTCCATCAAGACCACCTTTATCAAAAGCTTCACGATCTTTTCCATCATCTACATTCAGACTGCTCTTACCGGTATCAATAGACTTTTTGCTGGTTGCATCACTGCTCCTAACCGCTCCGGCACCGGCAGCACTTTTAATTTCATCAGTTGTTACGGCTGGATAATTGCTTGGTAAGTTTTGAACGTCATTTCCTGATGGCTCATTGCCAGCACTTGCTAATTCCTTGTCAACAGATTGACCCCTGTGAGCTGGCATCTTTTCAATTTTAGGATCTGCATTTTCAGCAACTTCAATCAAAGACGATTTGACATTGGTGAATCCATGCTTTTTGTTGTAAGTGGCAACATCATCTTCGAGGTCCTTGAATTGGGTATCTTCGACAACATCCTTTTCAACAGGATCAGCATCCGCAGAGAGGGTTTTCTCTTCCTTGAGCTCCTTCTTGTTGACCTTATGAGGTGGCAATTTCTCAATTGAAGGGTCAGCTTCCTCTGCCTCTTGAATGAGCGACTCTTTTGGATTTGTAAATCCGTGTTGCTTATTCCACTTACTAACATCACCCTCGGCTGCTTTGAGTTGTTTGTCTTCCACTGAGTCCTTGTTCAGTTCAACAATCTCGGTTTCATAATCATCTGCAGTAGGTGCAAGAGTCTCTTCTCTCTCCAACTCTTTCTTGTTTACCTTATGTGGTGGTAACTTTTCGATAGAAGGATCAGCCTTTTCAGCATCCTGAATTAAAGAGTCGTCAGCATCGTTATGTTTACTGTTATTACCACCTAAACCGAGTGCACCTGTAACAGCTGCACCAGCTCCGGCTACTGCCGCGCCAGCCGCGCCCAAGTATCCTTGGTTAGATGACTGAGAAGTTCTCGTTGAAGCTTCGTCTCTTCTTTCCAACTTGTCACCTCTCGATACAGCAGCACCATGGTTGTCAGTTACATCCTTGCTTCTACCATATTGTTCATTCGTAAATTCCTTAGGTTGCTGTGCGCTGTTCAAGCCAAGAGCACCAGCAGCAGCTGTTGATGCTTCACCAATACGTTGCTTGGTACCTTCCAAGTACAGACCGGATGTCGATGTACCAGTAGGAGACAATTCTTGCTCACCTTTCTTTCTTCCTGCCTCATAAGCCTCTTTGCGAATTTGTTGACGCTCTTGTTCAGGATCACGAGGTCCCAAACCCAAGTATCCAGCGGCAGCTGCGGCGGCTCCACCGATAGCACCCTCTGCCCTTTCAACAAATCCTTCTTGGTTCTGACCAGAAGTTTGTCTTGAGGTAGTTCCGGTCCTTTCATTCTCTCCTTTTCTCTTTCCAGCTTCGTAAGCTTCGTTCAACAACTGTTGATGACCTTCACGGGCATTGTGTCCGCCAAAGCCCAAGTATCCAGCGGCAGCTGCGGCGGCTCCACCGATAGCACCCTCTGCCCTTTCAACAAATCCTTCTTGATTTTGACCAGTGGCACCCCTAGTTGTAGCCCCTGCTTTCTCATTTTCGAAGTTTTGTTGGCCAGCTGCATAGGAAGCATCAAGAGTCTCTTGCTTTTGGCCAGCGGTGACGCCTTCAGTGGACCTGCCTTGATCCTTACTAGATCCGAATCCCAAAAATTCGGCTGCTCGTTCAACAATTCCTTCTTGGTTTTGGCCCGATGCGGCATCTTTGGAAGAAATTCCACCCTTTTCATTTTCAAATTGTTGTTGACCAGCGGCGTAAGATGCATCCAAAGTTTCTTGTTTCTCTCCTTGCGAAACGCCTTGGTTGGTGCTTTCTTGCTCCCTACTATTACCATAACCTAAATAGCCGGCTGCTGCTGCTAATGCACCTCCCGCACCAGCAAGAACACCTTGTCCCGATTTGGCATTGTCGTTGGAATTGGAATCAGTTTGAGCATCGGCAAACTCATCATGGCCATCTGAATGATCATACTCGTCATGCACATCATCCAATTTAGGTGTTTTGATTGGCTCATCACGAACGGCAAAGGTCGATGCATTGCTAGGGTCATTTCTCAATTGCTCGATTTTGCTATCAGTTTGGTTGATTTGTCTATCAAGGTCAGAAATTCTCCTTTCAGTGTCAACAGGATCATAATCGTCTTGTCTAGCGGTAGCAACACCAGCGCCACCATAAACAACATCACCCTCTTTGACGGTACCTGGATGAGATTCTTTCTTTTTAGACTTTTGCGGCAACTCACCTTGTTCCTTTTCAAGAATGCCTGCAACGCCGTCCTTGTTATATGCGGACTTGTTTTCTTGGTGGATCGCTTCTTTATCAAGTTTTTGATCATCAGTTGTCGTTCCTTTGCCACCAACTTGTCTTGAACCCAAGATAGAAGGATCTTCTTGCGTGTCATGTCTTCCTTGTTGATTACCCTCACGATAAGAATCTTGTTTGATTTCTTCCAAAGCTTCATTGGCTCTGTCCTCTTGTTCATAAACAGTGGGCTTGGTCTTCAAATTGTCAGTATCAACATATTGAGCCTTTGTTGCTTCCTCATGAGTTTGTCTAAAATTCCCTTCATTGTAGGCGTTAGCAGAGTCTTCGGAGGCAGTAGCAGCACCGAGTACTCCACCTTGCGTATCTCTTGGATCGAAAAATTTACCATGACCTTTTGCTGGCTTAGCATCGTCGCTATAAGCTGGATCTGTATTGGTAAGAACAGCGGGGTTTGAATGTTCTTTAGAATTTTCGTCCGCAACGACCGTTGGATCAGTTGGGCTCTTTTGGTTACTGTAATCTCCAGGAATTTCATACTTGAGTGGCTCTCTCGAACGTCTTGGTGGAGATGTAACTAAGCGACCTTTCGATGAACTGGTAACCACGTCATTAGGATTTGAGCTGTACTCGTAGCCAGAACTTGGGTTTTTGTTATCACCTGAAGCACCGTAACCGCCAATTCCTCCAGCTGCTGCTGCTGCAGGTGCGGTTCCACCCGCAAAAACACCAGTGTTACCAGTTTTGGCCTGATGATGAAACAACTTACGTCCCTCATCCCAGGCCTCCTTGAGGATATTGTCATGCTCCTTGTTTCCTGTCTTGACTATTGGTGATGATGATGTTGTTGTTGCTGCTCCAACACCAGCTCCAGCTCCAGTTCCAGTTCCAGTTCCAGTTCCACCCGAGGCAACGCCACTGCCTGCTGCTGCTGCTGCAGTGGTGGATCCCTCGTGTTTATGATGAAATACCTTCTCTCCTTCTTTTCTAGCTTCTTGGAGCAATTTCTCCTTCTTTGGGTTTGTTTCCTTTTTAGATGCAGACTTTGAGGCCTTCGGTGACGAATTGGGCGATGATTCGTTACTTTTGTCCCCTTTAAAAGTTTTCTTTAACTTGCTGAAAAATTTACCTTCCGAACTCATGATTCAATTGATTTCAATGGCTAACTTTGACCAGACAATTGAGTTTAATTTAAATGCAAGTGATCACTATTGATATGTTCACTTTTGGATGCGAGTTTCTGATAGTTTTCTAGGTTGATAAAACTTGTTGAATAAAGTTGAGCAAATTTAGATGTAATTATTATTCTTGAAATGCAATTGGGCAGCAATCAATTGTGCTTTTATAGTTTCAATAATCGCTCGAATGTGTGGCTTGTTGTTTTTAAACAATAAGAGGGGTGTGGGTGTGGGTATAAAATGTTTAGAATTCTTTTATTTAGATTGCTATAATCTTCACATAACCCACATTGTTTTTTATACACATAATTTACACAAAAAGATGAAATTCCCCTTTGGAAAAGAATTTCTTTAGTCATCAATTTTTATTCATTAGGCTCCATTTCACATTGCACTTTGCAAATGAATTCGCGATGAGTGAAGAGTAAAAAGCAAACCTTGGACTGCCAACAAAATGGGAGCAATACAATGCCACTTTTCTCTTTGGCTTATTAGAAGTGAGTATAATCTTGCCTTACGGCCCAATGCACAGTTCATAAGTCTAGCCGCTGGAAAAAAAAAAAAAAGAGTATTAGTTTCTTTATAAAATGCTAGATCACACACAGCTTTCGAGCTACGATTCAATTGTTACAAAGGAAGTATTTTTGAAGTAGGTAAGGACACAATAAAAAAGCTTTTCCGTAGTAATATCAATGGTGATGTGTGACGTCGTTCGTTCCAATTGAATTGCAGTTTGCACGTTTCGTTTGCTAAACACCACAAAACAAGATTTATACGCACAATGGCTTAAATGAATAGTTTTGTTTGTGGAATGCGGAGGACAATTGCATTTTCATAGAAATAAAACGAATTATTCCGAAAGAAAAAGCTACAATTATTATAGTTTAGCAAATTAGGTCCAACGAAGAGACTTAGTCTTTCTACTTGGCTATGCTTATTTCGTAACACAAAGCTATTGCCAGACATTGCGTGGCGCAAACTGGTTGTTCATGCAATAGAGGTAGCACCAACCCTGGCCGCACTGGGATAAATGTCTCGAAGGTTCGATGTTCGTATATACGAGGAACCTTGAATTTTTATAGGTTAAGTGGCGACTCTGCATCATCTCACTATTGCGAGTGGCACGTATCAGTACATACCAATTCCCAATCTTTCAACTTTTCGGAAGAAAAATACACACGGACACTTGATGAGCTCTACTTATTCCTAACGTGAAATTAAGGTACTTTCACACTTCTTTCTTGAGATTAGAGTTGCAAAGTTTGGTTCTTCTAATTTCAGTTTTGTGTTTGGTGAGAAAAAATACGTCATAGTTTTGAGTTTAAGCCGCCTAGCACGTGCACTAAGTTTTTCTCTGTTCATTCCACTTGCATTGAATTCCCATATGATATCGTTCTACATACGTATATATACAATTCGCTCCTTTCAACGGGAAAGCTACCCGTAACTGCTTATATTAAAAAAACACTATAATGTGGAGAAGCTTTATTGTGATATATGCAAATGGTGCGTGAGAGAAACGCAACAACGATGGTAAGATTCAGTATTTCGTTAGAGTATATGAGTAGCTTCGCCTACGCGTAAACCCAAGTGGTACGCTTCAACATTGGGTATGGTTCCATTCTCAATTTTCAAAACTGACTAAGCTGAAAGTGGCAGCAAAATTCAGACTTGCAAAAATACCAAAGTTTTAAAAATTGACTCTGTGCTCTCACATCTCTAAAAAATGTGCCTTTAAAGCCCATCCATTCGGCGTCATCAACTACCCACATAAAAGGTCGAGGCTATGCTACTGCAGTAACTTACTAGCTATACTGCGGAACCTTGTTTCCTTTATTATAAATCAATCGTGTAACCAACCACTCTAAACTCTCTTTCAATCCTTGATTTTCCAATACGCTCACAGGCAAAAGTTTTGAATCAGTAGCTTCCAACTCACTAACTAATTTAATAAACACACCAGTTTTCAAACTTACTAAATCAACAGCTTGTGGTAAGTCTTGTTTATTTGCAAGCATCAAAATAGGGACATTCACCGTTCCATCTAATCCTATCGTGCGTTCATAATCACCATTGGTCTCTGGATTATCATTCTCTCCTGACAAGAGCCAACTATCGTCATGAGCAATTTGAATTAACGTCTCGTAACATTCTTGAAATCGCTCAGTATCAGTTGAATCGATGATGAATATTATCCCGTGGCATTGTTTGAAATATCTAGACCACATATTTCGTAACGATCGTTGTCCACCTAAATCCCAAAATTTGAGATTTATATTCTTAAACTGTGATGCAAACGGCGACAGTTTATCCGAAGCTTCAAATTTGATCGTGGTGGTATTCTGACCCACTGTGGGCAAGATTCGTTTTGATTTCAAGATTGATGTTGTTGATCGTTGTGCATTGGACTCAGTTGCGTTGTTGTTATTGTTGTTGTCGTTCGATTCGCCAGTGTTTTCGTTCTTAATGTTAGCTGTTAAACTATTTGACTTTTTGTCAGAAGGAGATGCAGTTGCTGATGGATATAGTAGTTTTATATGCTCTAAAAATGACGTTTTACCGGCATTGTCTAATCCCAAGATAAGCACGTTGTATTGTTCTCGTTTCGTGTATTGAGTATACAAGGATGACGCTAGGTGAAACATTGATGTACAAATGAGTGTGTGTGGTGACTGACAAGTGGTTATTGAAGACGTCGAAATATTTCCGTGGTGTGTGTACTTTGTGGTCTTGTGTGAATCTCAACACGAAAAAGCTATAAAGTGGCATCAAAAAACAAAAAGAAGAAAAAAAATTTTCAAACTATTTTCAGTGTTTCTTAAGCCTTGCAGGTGAAGAATAATGACATGATGAAAAGGTATGTGTGATAACAAGTACACTTTTATCCGTCGCAATTTTATGATGAACAATCTGATAGGGACAACTGAGTTTCATACATTGAAGATAGTTGTTTAAAAAGATAGTAGAAATAAACAGATCTGAATCTTTGACCGATGGAATGATGCAAACAACAGCTTTGAATCTCACAATAACATCGTACTAACAATTGCAACAGTTGCTATGGTATTTTTTTACTCGATATGAATCTACTTCCAGTCTATAAACTTCAACCTTTGATTGCACAAAAACTCTAGATGTTTTTCTTCACATGGTTGGTTTTACCAATGTATAAGTATGAAACAACAAAAGAAAACCAAGCAAGGATTACCAATACTGTACTTGCGATATACAACCACGAGTTGGAGATATCCCATGATCTCTTAAATTCATCATTGGCCAAATGCCTCACGGTGACAACTTTCCTATCCAAGATGTAGCTCAATCCTTTACGTTTATAGTCCAACTCGAATGTAAACATCCCATGATGATCAGGTACGGTAAAGTTGACAAAGTATGCGTAGGCATCTAATTCGCTACTGTTTTCCGTGGCACTTACTGGACCCAATGGACTCAAATTCAATCTTTGGTAAGGGTCCAACATCTTGAACGATAATTGCAATTGTTCATCATCATTTTTAACCTCAAAGGGAATCCATTTGCCGTCTTTGTATTCCGAAACACCAATTGTGTAAATTGCTTGGTCTTTGATTCTGTACAAATGTGGGTTCAAATTTTCCGGTTCATTGGCTTTGATATGTTGAACAAATTGTAACTTTATCACTCCAGAGTCCTGGAAGCACCACTTGTACAAAGAATCATCGGCCAACAAGTCGAACGAGCCCATCCAAACTAATCTCGCATTATTCAATGCTTGGAAGCCGACGGCTAAAAAGCCTTGTTCCCCAAAAGTCCACGTGGATTCATCACTCATTACTTGTCCAGCTTTATTAGTATATCCTGTCCTTGTAGATTTAACAATTGGCTGGATCAACTCGTTATTTGAAATCAATGCAGCATTACCATTGGTATATTCAACGGTATTTAAATTCTCCACTATTCTGTTATTGCTAACCAAGTTTTGACTCTTTAATTCCACAACCCCGTTTTTGGAATTGAAATGGTCCACATATTTATATCCCTTTGGAGCAGGGTAGATGCCAATTTCATTCAAAAAGATTCGGATCCCTTCAGGTAATGCTGCTTCGGATCCACCAACAACAAAAATATTACCTCCTTCGTTGATAAATCTCAACAATTGATGCTGGTTCAACCCTGATTTGGCACCAATTGCTTTCTTCAGTGATGGGAGCAACACCAAATGATCGAATCTTGGGAAATCATCATAAAACAACAGTACTTCATCATCGCTATATGGACTAAGTGTGGTTTCGTAATGTGTATTCAAAAATGTCAAAAGTTGGCCAACTTCAGGAGATAGCGACGCAGTTGAATCGTTTAGCGGGACCACCGCTGGATCATACATGACCAAAGCATAATCTTTGTTTGACACTGTTGATCCATTAACAACGGCCAGTAACAAAAATGCCAATGCAACGTATATGAAGGACAACATGGTTGGATTGGCTCTAATAGGTCTGTACACGGTAAACCGGATTTTTCATAGACACACATTTTCAACACTCGACAGAAAAAAAAAAATGCGTGTCGTGAAACTAGTCGCGACATTGAAAATTGTCAAAAGTTTTCTCATCACCACAATACAAGCAACAAGTTACATCATACTAGGCATGGTTATAAAGATCAAAGTAGAGTTTCTTGGAGGGCTTGATGTTATATCTTCGTCAATAAGAGAACATAAAGTTGTACTCCCGTTTGAAGAAGGCGAGGCTACCATGAAGGAAGCTATCAAGTTTATATGTGACAACATCATCACTGATCCCAAAGATATACCTGTTTTCATTGAGGATGACAGTGTACGACCAGGAATATTGGTGCTCATTAATGATACTGATTGGGAATTGGAAGGTATGGAAGACTATGTTGTTGAAAGTGGAGATGTCTTGACCTTTACAAGTACGTTGCATGGTGGTTGAGAGTAGGCACGGAGTGATCGTATCGGTGGCTTGGATAAGTGGTGTCCTGGAAATTTTCAGGGGGAGAGGTAGAGGTAACAAGGAGATTATTGTTGTGGGGATATTTTGTTTTAGAATAGTCGTTGTCGAAGTATCGATTCCGAATTGAATGGAGGAGGATAAATATATACATAACACATGGGATGTATCTAGCTCGAGAGCACTCGATAATGCAATTTGTTTGAACAACTATACAGGAATAATGCGACACCCAATGCCTTTACCATCCCAAGTCACACTAGTGTCAAGAACCAAATTCAATGCCTCTCCTCCACGCTTGATTTTCAAATGCAACTTCTCACCTGGCTTAGACCGCACTCTCTCGACCAATTTAGATAGTTTGTCATGATTCAATGCATGTATGTCATTATCAAAAATCACAATCAAATCACCCTCTTTAAGACCAGCTGTTTGAGCGGGACCACCACTAATTACTTCTCTCACTTGCGCAAACGGAATTGTTGGTTCTGATTGACTCAGCCTTGATTCAGTTTTAGTTTGATCATGATTGTTTCCCACTTCTGTTTGCCTCTTAGCAAACTCCTCCTCCATTTTTGAATCTATTACCTTCAACAACTCTTTATAATCATTCTTTAAGCGAATAATTTGCACTCGGATTAATCGTATTGTAACGACGTCGATGTCATTTCTGGGGAACCCATCAGCAGTGACTAAATTGGTTTCCATATCGGCTCCATATTTCTGCAGTAACAAGTTGAAAAGTATCCTCAATTGAGATTCAATTTCAAGTTTCAAATTCAGAAGTTCTTGAAAGCTGTATGTTGGGAATTTAGTTGCATCATATTCTTTGAATTGGTCAGAGTCCAAGTTCAATGATTTCATCAACCCTTGGAATCCTGCAACGTCATGATCATCAACTGTCATTGTGGCGCGTGTCTTGATGAACTATAGTGATGGCAAAAAACAATCTATTTTTCGACTCATTTTGCACCTCTACAAAAGGAGAGTTTTTTCAAAATGCACTCAAGTTGCATCATCTTTTTAAAAGTCTAAACATGCACAATAACTATCCCTACATTTAACGCGTACCATCAGTACTCATTGCAAATGAGTATGTACTTACAGCTTCAACGTCGTCATCCTCGTTACCCTCACTAATTTCCTTCCACGATGCAACCGTCAACATCACAAACCCAACAATGACAAACGAATCCCCAATTAATTGCTGCAAATCCAATGCATTGCCAAATACAACCCATTCAACCACACCAATGAGAAAAATGGTTGTCAAGGAACTCACAGAAGACAACACAGGACTTGTTAATGCCATGAGCGATAAAAAGGCGGCACTAAATAGAAGATTACTCACAATTGATCCCGAAATGTAGAGCCATATAGTTTTAGTATTGTCACCATAATCAAAAAAATTGACTCTGTGAATGTGTGTGAAATGTAAAATTGCAATTACGAGAGCTAAAAATGTCAACGTGTAAGCTCCCATTATTCCCATGATGAAGTTTGCAAACGTCAGTTGTCTTCTTGGTGTGATGATCTTGGACAAGTGGGCTGGTATACAAAGATACTTTTTGTACAATACTTCATAGTATCCATATAATATAGCACCAATAAATATGAGTAAATTACCCCAAAATCTATATGGGTACGGATTTTCTTCACCATTGTCATTACCAATGTCACTGCTGGATGAGTACGAAACAACAAAAACTCCAAATAAAGCTATAATGACTGAATTGACCTTCAACCATGAAAATTTTTCGTTTAGTAATGGAATTGCAAATGCATACGCTGTAAAAGCGGAACAATTATAAATTGCAGTCACATCAGCAGCATAGGTCATTGACATTGATCCATACCAGGTGAATCCAGCCAAGGTGAGTACCGTTGTCACAATAAGCGTTTTGAATAGGATGTATTTGATTGATGGAGCTTGGAAAAATGTGCGAATACAATCCGTGATTGAGCTAGAGCCTGAAATATGGACATTACTTTCGATGATATCGTTAAGGTGTTTTGTTGATCTATTATCATTGACATTGGCTTCATATATAAGCACTGATGTGTGATAGACATTGTGGAATTGTTTAACAATTGCTTTTCTAAAGTACTTCCAATAGTTTACTTGCTGTACTGGAACTTCTTGTTGTGGGTGTTCTTGATCTTCAAGGAGCCCTGAGGTGGAGTTTAATCTTTGATATTGTATATTGCCCATTGCTGTATTCACCTTGACTAATTTGTCACGATTTCCCATTTTGCCAATCGTCCTCCATACTGAGATAAACAATACCTGAAGTGGCCACAAGAGCCACCATGATCCATGCGTAACCGCCAATAGCAATACCGGTTCACTAAACTTTAGTTTGTATGCTTGTGATGTGAACTCGGTTTGACATACAAAGGCAGTCAATGAAAGTATAAACAAGCCAACAACGAAAATGATTTTTGTCCTAGATGTGGCATGTATGCTGGCTTCTGAATGTCTATCTGCCTCATCTAAAAGATTCGTTATTGCCATTGTCTAAATTGTTGTTAGAAAATTATTCCGTTTGTTGGTAATATTTCACCATTAAAAGAGGTGAATGATGTTCTTTGTCCCCACTAAAAGAAAATAATTAATGTTTTTTCGACATGACAATTTTAATGCATTTTTAGGTTTTCGCTCAAAATTTTACTTTATTGTTTTTGTGCTTCTATTACTAGTACAAAAGGAAGAGTATTGACATGGAGTCAAAGAGAAGGGACATTGGTACACGCGTGAAACCCTCGATTCCCACTTAAGTTTTAGTCACTATCACTTTGATATGACGTGTCACTATCGCCGCTAACAACATTGTCTTGACCACGCAGCATATCCTTTTGAATCTCATCATCAATAAAGTATTGCCGAGGTGCAACCAACCCGCGTTCCACTAAACTCAATCTCGGAATGAGCCGTGGCAAGATAAGATCCACAACTCTTTCCTGCGTGAGTAAATCATCTATAAACTCGTCCATGTACCCAAGTTTGTAATATATTGGCTGTTGGACAGCATTGAATTGCGGCGTTTTCAACTTGAATCTCAATTTTCGATAATCTTGGGCATGCTTGTCAAAGATATTGTAAATGTCTTCACTCGGGTAAACCAATCGTATATATAGCAATGTCAATGCAGTCAAATACTTGAATTCATTGTAGGATAGTTGGTCAAGGTAGACATTGATAATTTCTTTTGCTGGCTCCAACTCCAACAATCGCAAAAGGCATTGCAAAAAGGGGCTGGGCCTTCCTATTGAATCAACGCCTGCAATATACTGAACATTCTGGGTAATAACTGGTAGTATTGTTGATTCATTTGTCAAATACAAATGCTGTTTATAGAATATCGAGTCATGGATTCGATGTCGTACAATTGGTTCAACTAAGTAGGCCTTGTTGAGAATATTTCTCTTATCGTTATATTTGGCTTGCTTTTTATAGTATACAGTTGATTCATTTGCAGTCGCGGGGGGTGAAGTCATACGAAGTCAAGATTTGTGAAACAAGATCAAATCTGTTAGCTTGAAGCTTTGAAGTTCGTGTCTCATTATGATATTGTGACGCACAGAATTCTCAGATGTGGTCGTGTGCTACAGGAAAATTAGAAACAGTTACGTATAGCCAATATTCAAACGATCACCATGTCCACCACTGATTTTTCCAAAGCATTCCGCCTATCATAACAGTATGTGCAATCTCAGGAGACATGAAAACAATGCTCTTTTGATGCCTATCAATTTTTCCTTGCTGTGGTTTAGAATATATGATGTTTTGGTTGCAAAATTGTACAAAAAATTTGAGTTGGCAAAACAATAGTTGTGGCTAGCATCCAAAAAACCCTTCTGCAAACAAATCGGAACAATTTGACTTTGTAGTGACGTCAGGGATTTCTTTTTGATTCTTTAATTGAGCGCGCTGCTCTGATAGGAGTAGCAACGCATTTATGAGCTATTGGTTTGCATCTATAAGTAGAGCTATGGGACCTCACAATACGATTTGTGATTTAGAAAAAAGAGAAAGAACCGTTGGGCGAGCGAATATGCTGTACTCAGTGAAACGGGCGATCAGTAGTATATAGTTGTTTTATGATCTTCATTCAAATGTATATTTAAATGATCTCCCCCTTCGTCGTTTTCTCCCTCTTATATATTAACTGGAAAAGGACTCTTCACCGTTTACAGTGAGTGAGGTGAAAAAGATTTCCCTACGGGGTAGCTGATAAAGAAAGACAGCTGCAGTTAGGGTTGTCACATTTTTGCAACCAGCACTTTATATCTAGCTTCATCCCAATTCCTAAATAGGATATTCAGCCGCAAGATTGAAATTTGAGATTTTGGTCCTTAATGAAAAAAAAAAAGATAAACAAGAAATTCGCCCCTTGTTTGTTTACAAGAAAACCATTAATCAACATGTCATTCAAATTTCCTTTGTTCGACTTGAAATCGATTCAAGAATCATTACCAACGGTTGATCAATTCAAAGAAAGTCTTTCCAAGGTCAATCCGTCGAAAACTGTTGAACAAATTAGAGACTCAATTCAACCATTTGCGTCCAAGACACAGCAGTTGATCAATGAGCAATTGCACCAAGTTCAAGCCCTTGCCTCCAACAATTCGAATGTCGAAGTGAGTGAGTTGCCGCAGGAATATTTACAATTGGAGAATAATTGCGAGATCTTATTAAAGTTGTACACTGATTTGATTCAAACAACTAATGAAACTTATGGACAAATTAGCAACGATTATCCTCCGGGTAATTACACCATAAACAAGATTAAAGATGCTCATGTTGGGGATATTATTGGAAACAAGTTTAACCAATTGAAGAATGTATCAACACCACAAGAGTTGGAGAAAATCTTGTTGGGTGAGACCGATGACGACTCAAAGAATAAAGAGGGACAAAACGATAACAACTTATCGATTAAACCAACTTCACCAGATTTGCCAAAAACATTGTATGGTCATTTGAGTGCCTTGACTGCCAAATATTCCGAAGAGTTGCAAAAAGATTCTGACCTGAGTGCTCTTGGATTGGCATTGTTGAGAACTTCTTCCACCTATCATGAGGTCGGGTTGGCAAGATTGCACCAAGACAAAAGTATTCTTACTTTAAATCATGAATTGGTGGAAATTTTGAATCAACAATTTATAAAAGTGAATGAATTGAGAAAAAAAGTTTACTTTACGAGGTCTCAATTTGATCAATTAAGAAGTAAATACGAATCGAGTGATCCAGAAAATGAGGAGTTGACCCAAAAGGAAGATGAGCTTGTCAGCGCCACTGAGCTTGCCGTTATCGAGATGAAGACGCTTTTAAAACCTTCCAAAAATATTGATTTGTTAAAGGTTCTCGTTAAAGCACAAAAGGAATACTTTGAACTTGGTGCAAAGAAGTTAGATCGCTTAATGACTGAATTAGATGAAGTACAACCAGAGGAGGATAAAGAATAGGAGTAGAAGTATATAATTTTCAAGTACATATCGAGTTCTTCAGAATATCAAGAGTTGTATTTTGTAGACTCTGGGCTCGACTACTTACTGCGTTCCTCACACATCTTCCATCACGGCATTGACATTGTTATTTAAAGTGTAGTACCACGCGCCAACCTTGTCATCGGTATATACAGCATCTTTCCAAGCCATAGGATCATTGGGTCTTGCACGCGACCAAAATCGTGCAGTTTTGTCGGATCCAGCTGAACAAAGTAGATGTCCCATAGGATGAAACTCCAAAGCGTGAATTGCCCTTTCATGGGCATATGGTATGCGGTGCACCGCTTCAACGGATCCTGTTTCATTGGTTATATTAGTGTTGACTTTCTTTGGTATTGATTCATTCGAGTCTGCAATGTAGGAGTTGAGTAAGTAATGGTTGATGGAACCGTTAAACGCTGCTGTCGTCAACATTGATGCGTGGTGTGGATGCCATGCGCAACATGAAAGATCAGTTTCTGAATCACGAATCACCAACATATCCTTCATGGTTGTTAAATCAAATACACGACAAGAACGGTCACGCGATACCGAGGCTAGTAATCTCTTTGTTCCACATGGCTGAAACCTTGTGGTGTTGACTGTATGCTTAAATCCATGCAACGTAGCTATGCATTGGGATGCACGCGGATCCCACAACTTAACCAAGTTATCCTTTGACCCACTTACAATAAGCCCCAAATCTGGATGCCAATCAGCACTTTTGACTTCCCAATTGTGACCAGTCAACGTTCTTTCCTCCTGTCCGTTACTGAAATTCCAAATCTTCAACATTGAATCATCTCCGCAAGTTAAAAATTTTGAATCGTTTGGGGAAAACGCAATGTCTCGTACTCCGTTTGAGTGAGCTGTTATATTATTAACATTGTTGAAATTGGGTTGCCAATATTTAACAGTTCCATTCTGATCTCCACTTAGTAACCATTCGTCATTGTTGGAATACTGCATGGTCAATATTGGGCTTTCATGAGCTTGCATAATGGTTTCGAAATTAAACGTCATACCATTCCATAATGTGAATTCACCAGAGTGAGAGGCCACCAATAGCCTTCGCCCTTCGGGAGTCCATTTTACGGTATTTATTGAATGCTTGACTTTATTTGAACTCAAATGGACTAACTTTGTGTCCAAGTCCAATGCTCCCATATTGTTTTTATTATTCCTTCTATCTAGGTTGAAACTTGATGAATATGCCAATGACGGGAGTAGGTCAATCAAGTAAGAACTTTCAGGACGAACCACACCAATAGGTTGTTGATGTCGAGTGTTTATGCCCAAGGATTTTTCGATGAACCAACGAGCCATATTATTTCCATGATCAACTGTCCTTCTAAATGCTTGTTTCTTATCTTGGCTGGCGAGTTGGTGATCAAGGTTTTGCAGAAAATTCAGTCCAGATTCTCGTTGGTGGTAAGGCTGTTTGTGTATTCTACCACCTTGTTGGTAATTCTGGTAAGAGTTGTATGACATTGGGGTTATCTTTGATGAGTGATTGTTTCATGATGGAGTCAACTCGCTGCAGTTTTTTCACGTAGTGGTATAATATGAGCTACCAAATACAAATAAAAAGCGTTTGCTATTAAACAACAATTCAGTTTCCAGAGCTATGTCTACTGATACCCAACAGCTTCAATGAACTCATCGTGGTTGATTGGGATGCTTGCAGTCTAACACAAGTGGTTTCAGATCACCACAAAGTTGAGAAACCAGCATACTGACTTAAGTTGTGCTGGTCTTAAGCCCTTGCTATGGACTACTCGTTACATCTAGGATCCATGGAAGACTCGCTCTCACATAATCAATTGCTTTTCCTAGCCCCCTCCTCTTTCTCTCTTTCTCTCTCTTAATTTGTCGATACTTGACTCCACAGTTTCCTTTTTGGGCAACTTAATCAATTCTGGGAGCAGGATGAAAAAAGATTGCTTTTATAAATTGGACCTCGTGCGCAAGAAGCCTTTACAAAAAATACTTTTGCAATACGAACGAACAGCTTTCGTTGATTTTGCTCCCCACTACAACTACTACCAAAAGATGGTTCAACTATATTATCACGACAACAACGACACAGAAGATAATTTCACTGACGATCATAACTCAGGAGTGCCTGTGTCATTTGAAGAAATAGAGGAGTTGGGTGTAATCTACAAGCACGTCACAAGTCAAGAGGAGCTAGATGCATTGGCCAAGGAACGAGAATACAAAAACAGGGACAAGATCCATTTAAACTTGGAAACATTCAAGAATGACGTTGATGCTTACAATGCTAAAATGAAGCAATTTTATACTGAACATTATCATGAAGATGAGGAGATTAGATACATTGTTGACGGTGAAGGGTTCTTTGATGTTCGAAACAAAGGCGATAAATGGATTAGAGCAAAGTTATCAAAGAATGATTTATTGATTTTACCTGAAGGTATATACCATCGTTTCACTTTGACGAATTCGAGAGAAGTGACCGCCATTCGTTTGTTCAAAGATGAACCCAAATGGGAGGCCATCAATAGAGTCCACTAGAGGACCGACAACACGGTATATTAATACATCTATTTATCCCTTAACAACTTTAATTTTATTTGTTGAAATCCATTTTTCTAGGTTTGCTCTATTCTTTTTCAATTCTTCATCAATTGTGTCTCTCTGTTTGGACAATTCTTTAACTTCATCTGCCAAAATCTTGATTATATCGTCAATTGTTTTTTCGACTAGCACTCCACCAATCATCTTGAAACATTTACGGCCTTGTCTCTTTTCCGGAGCAATTGCCGTGAGACTACGATCAACAATGATATGTTCTTGGAGTTGCGAAGCAAGAGTTGATGATTGGGTTTCCAATTCTTGTATTAGTTCTTGATACCTATTGTACTCTTGTTGCAAAAGCTGAGACTTTTTCTCATCTGCAGCTGTTGAAGTTGATGGCGATGACATTGTTTGAATGTGGTGGTGGGATAATGTGCAAGGGAATTTGATTTGTACTTTTTTCTTTTTCTTTTTTTTTTTTTTTTTTTGGCTGCATGAGATCTTTACTAGCAAGGTCAACTTGAGCATAAACCGTTTGCCAATGCACCCGCCTTCTTGATACTCAAATTAAGCTATCTTAGCAATCACTTAAGCTAGCATGAGTAGGTCTTTTCTTTTGGCAGTGTCATTTAGCTCGATCTCCTCTCTCTATGTACAATTTTGCAGTCGAAACTATAATGCATGACTATACGTTTCAAAGTGAGTGTGTCCCCTCCCTTTCCCCTTATTTACCCCCTTCATTCCCTCACATAGCATGTATATAAAAGGAGACGCCTTTCTCCCTCAAAAGTCTAAACCTCATTCTTTTAACCCTCTACACACTCTCTTCTTCACTATTTAAACAAATGTCGTTAGGTAATCCTATTGCATTTCACAACTATTCTCCCAAACAAACGTTAATTGCTGGTGGTGTGGGATTTGGCATATATGCCGCTTTGATGCTTAGGTACTACTCAAAGCGGTCAAGGGTGAGAAAGATCTTTGAAGATAGTGACAAGAACTACGAAAAAGTGCATATCATGTCGTTGCCTCAGTACCGTGAGAACAAGGGTGGCAAAGCTTAGTTGTAATCACTTTACTACACATATTGGTACATGAGTATAGCTTTAAGAAATATATAGTCTTTTCGTCTAATTATAGGTTGACAATCTAGTGTAAGCTCCTACTACTAACTATACAAATTCCTTCAAGTTGAACTCTTTTGCCCTTTTTCGATATTCAATACCAATCAGTTGATCATATTGATCAATAAAATCTTGCAACACTTTAAAGTACCAGAACTTAGCTTCTTCAATGCCACTTTTTTCAGCGTCCAATTCCTTTTCCTCCACATCTTTGCTCTTAACCATTTGGAAAGTTTCTCCTGCATCGACACATTTTACATATGCAGTAACTTGAGTCTCATCCAACTCCTCCCAGCTCACTGGCTCATAAACACTCTCGTAATGCTTGAGTCGGTTCTTAAAATCATTGAACGCCAATTTGTTGTCATGATGGATGTAGTCGGCATTGTTGAGCTTTCCAGTCACAATGTTGAAATCAGCAAATCGGCTCTCCACTTCAAGAACAAGTGTAGCCAAATTTCTCGAGTTGATGAGTTGCAACATCTTTTGTCTTCTCTCAACAGTCGTATTCGTTGCATCGAGGAATCCAATATCAACCCCTTTGTTATCTAGATCCGATAATAGATGATTCAATGTGATTGTAGCATAAAGGTCACGATCCCTTTGAGCTGATTGGTTATTGGGGTTGAAAAAACTAGCATCGTTGAACGTGATTGATTTTTTTCTTCGAACGTCTCCAGCGTTGTAAATGCCACATTTGTAGTCGGTGGTTGAGTGTATAAAGTCTTTGATTTGGTGACACAATGTAGATTTGCCACTTGCAGGTAAGCCTACTAGTAGCACGACAACTTTAGTTTGTGGTGGTTGCTGTTTACCCGTGATACGGTGATTGTGGCAAGCCAGTAGCTTGGACTGAAGTTTGGCTGTGAAGTCTTCATGAAATTTCGCTGTATCCGTTGTTGCTTTCTTTTTGAATGATTCATGTCTCGATAAAGCTGGTGTAACGGTTGATGTTTCGGGATATGCTCTGTTTGAATGAAACAGGGACTCAACGTCAAATAGCGAGTTGAGTGAATTCGATGATAATGTTGATATGAGCTCATCATGCGGCGTGTCGTTATACCCACTGGTGTATGTATCGTGTGTTCTTGAACTCATCGTGGTTGTATCTTCTCTATCGTAGTCGTAGTCAGATAAATCAAATATCGAATGGTGTTTCGTGGTAATCATAGTTGGTATATAACAATATATATGTTTCCTCTAAGAAACAACTGGCGGTTTATATGAAAGAAAAAACTGGACATATTTTTGCAGTCAAAAGGAAAATCTTTTAAAAGGCATCCTCGTTTCTTTTTTCACTGATGTCTCTAGTTTTTGTGCAATCTTTCGAGTTACAAATCTCCGTTCAGCCTAAATCACCAAAACTTATGACCAAGAAGAGAACTTTTAACTGTGCAGGAGGTCGTGGACACCACCACTCCAGAAGACCAAGGGGTGCGTGTGAATTATGAGTATTGTCTTCAAACACCGCGAGCGGTTGGATCTCATGGAGAGTAGTGATTCATAGCCTCCTGGGATGTGACAAGATTGATCAAGTGGGTGATATCATAGACAGATAGACAATCATTGTATATTCCATTACACAAAGTTGCTCAAGGGAGAGTCCTGTATGGTGATCTCCTTTATCGCTGAAATTTGTTCAAACTAACAAAAACACCTATACCTTCGAAGCATGTGATTCAGTAGACCTCGGTTACGGGTATACGCTATGTGATATGCTGCTAAAGGGATAGCGCCAGCTGCTCACCCAATCTTAGCTCAAAGCTAGAACACCAATGTGACTCATTTTAGTAATGATTCAGTATGACATAATTTTCTGCAACGGGCTTTCGGATTATCGGAAAAATGTTTCCTTTTTTTACTCTTTTGGGCGACTCCACCTGTGTACCAGTTTCAGTTATCAACAAAAGCTTTTAAATAGCTGCTTTTAGACGCTATGGATCAACCTGATGCGTCAACACTACTTTAACAGAGTTAAAATACTACTTTAACAGAGTTAAAATTCACATGTTCAAGATTCCCTCCAGGGACGATAGACCTCGAACTACAAACCGTTCTTTTCACTTAAGTACTTTTATCAACTTCTCTACTATACATATATCCTACTTATTCACCATATAACTCTTATCTAGCACATCTTTGGCTTCATTGATTTTTTGACTAATATACTTGCTACCTTGCTTGTCAGGGTGATTCAAAACCATCAACTTTCGATATCGATCTCTAACCATTTTCTTATCAACATTCAATATATCGTCACCCTCAATGCCAAGTATTAGTAATGCCTCCTGTTCTGTCATTGGCGCAAGAAAACTTCGATTGGGATACTTTCTTCGTAAATACTGATAGTGAATATAGTTTGGATCTGATTTGTTGATTGACGATGAAGCGTAATCGTTGGTGAGTTTGATGTTGTTTAAAGTGGCAACCATACTGGGAGTCAATTTTATGAACTGGCGATACGCGGAAATGGTGGCCTTAGCCGTGAGCGCTAAGCCCGTGACCCCCAATCCTACAATAATTGGGAGTACCATTCGAAGGGTGGTTGTGTGGTGATGATGGCGTAGAGAATTTCAAAATGACAGCACTGTCGCAACTTTTTGAGACAAAATGATTTAGCGACATCCTTTGCAGAGCTAGTTTTTTACCCCTCTTCTCTTGCAAACCAAGGGACCACCCGATGCAGTCTCAGATTGCTACTCCAAACTAATATGGGAGCTGACGAAGTTGCTTTCTGGGTACGGAATCCCATTGCAATAAACCCTTTTGCTTGCTGAGAAGGTTTATGGTTTGTTGGCAACATTTTCTCGTTGCCAAAAGCTGTGAACTCGGATCGACATCAAACTGATGCAAAATCGGATTTAAAATTGTTACACTATATAAAAACCACTATACTGAACGTCTTTTACAAGACATCAATATGAGCCTTGGAGAAACGCACGGTATCTCTTGTCTTGTGGGTTTCCTCTGATTTTTGTCATCCACCTGATCCCTTCACAGTGGTCCGTTGGTGGAAAAACAAAAAAAAAAAAAAGGACACCATCGGCCGACAGAAATGTCAAGTTTGGGACTGGCTTGTGTAATGATCGTATTCCCCTCTTTCCTATTTCCCTCTTGTAAATGAAACGTGTACTTACTTACTGTATTGTATTGCTATACTAAAATTTTCTTTTGTTTCTTTCTTCGGCTCACTCCTTTACGGAGTTTTTCCAATTTTTCCTGTTTAGTTTGCTTTTGCTGCAATTTTGTGTAACACTTTTGTACAGATGAGATTATATATACAAACAATATATAAAATTTTATAAACGCTGGAAAATGTATAAATAAATTGATACCGATTCTCCCATCTACTTTTTACTTTTTCTTCTTCAAGGTTATAATCGTTTTATATTATATTTTTAATCCACTTTTAACCCGACTTCAATTGCTTTATAACAATGTCCCACTCATCCTTATCTTGGTTAGCCAACTTGAATGTTGAGCAAACTCCTCACAAATACTTGAGAAGATCATCAATTATTGGTACCATTGGTCCAAAGACAAACAGTGTTGAAGCTTTGGTCAAATTGAGGAAAGCTGGTTTAAACATTGCCAGAATGAATTTTTCCCATGGTTCGTATGAATACCATCAATCTGTTATTGACAATTGTATCAAATCAGAAGAAATATACAAGGGAAGACCTTTGGCTATTGCTTTGGACACCAAAGGTCCAGAAATCAGAACTGGTACCACCATTGATGATAAAGATTACCCAATTCCAGCTGGCCATGACATGATTTTCACCACTGATGATGCTTACAAATTGAAATGTAATGATGAAATTATGTACATTGATTATAAAAACATCACCAAGGTTATCTCTCCAGGAAAGATTATTTACGTTGACGATGGTGTTTTGTCATTTGAAGTCTTGCAAGTTGCTGATGACCAAACTTTAAGAGTCAGATCCATCAATGCTGGTAAAATCTGCTCACACAAGGGTGTCAATTTACCAGGTACCGATGTCGATTTACCAGCTTTGTCGGAAAAGGATATTGCTGACATTCAATTTGGTATCAAGAACAAGGTGCACATGATTTTTGCTTCATTTATTAGATCTGGTGATGATATCAGACATATTAGAAAAGTCCTTGGTGAAGAAGGTAAAGACATACAAATCATTGCCAAGATTGAAAATCAACAAGGTGTCAATAACTTTGATGACATTTTGGAAGCAACTGATGGTGTAATGGTTGCTAGAGGTGACTTGGGTATTGAAATTCCAGCACCACAAGTGTTTGTTGTTCAAAAACAATTGATTGCAAAGTGTAATCTTGCTGCCAAGCCAGTTATTTGTGCAACTCAAATGTTGGAATCAATGACCTACAACCCAAGACCAACCAGAGCCGAAGTTTCTGATGTTGGTAATGCGATATTGGATGGTGCTGATTGTGTTATGTTGTCAGGAGAAACCGCCAAGGGTAACTACCCATACGAAGCTGTTTCAATGATGCACAACACATGTCTCATTGCCGAAAAGGCCATTGCTTATCCTCAATTGTTTAATGAATTGAGAGCCTTGGCCAAGAAGCCAACTCCAACCACCGAAACCTGTGCTGTTGCTGCTGTATCTGCCGCTTATGAACAAGACGCAAAAGCTGTTGTTGTTTTGTCCACATCTGGTCTTTCCGCTAGATTAGTATCCAAGTATAAACCAGATGTCCCAATTTTGATGGTTACTAGAAATGAGAGAAGTGCCAAATACTCCCATTTGTACAGAGGTGTATACCCATTTGTATATGAAAAGGAGAAAGCTGCTAATTGGCAAGAGGATGTTGAAAACAGATTGAGGTGGGCAGTTTCTGAAGCTATTGACTTGGGTATCATTTCTAAAGGTGACTCGATTGTCACCGTCCAAGGATGGACTAAAGGTTCCGGCCACTCCAACACCGTCAGAATTGTTCAAGCTTAATTTGTGAATCTTTTATAGTAATCAAAAAATGATAGAGTAAAATGCATTTAATGTAGTTTATCAATACTGCGAGCTATTTTATCGCAGAAAGTGCGAAATTTTTCCGGTTTACAAAATGCTGAGCAAAATGAAAAAGAAAAATAACTTAAATTGTTAGGTTCTATAGCTCCTTACAAAATCCAAGCGTTGCTATTTCTTAATGCTTGTCCAATCGTTTGCAAGCACTGTGCTTAAATCAGTTGCCAGACTGGTGGAACCAATTGCTTCACGAGTAATCCTCGCAAGACCTTACTCGGGGAGTACACCACCACCACCACCACCAACATCAGGTGATTCACAGAGGACGCCACCACCACCAGTTGAGGATACCACACATTTCGGTTACAAAACTGTCAATCGTGCAGAAAAGGAAAACCTTGTTGGTGGAGTCTTCTCCTCAGTTGCTTCAAACTATGATCTCATGAACGATGTCATGTCCATGGGAGTTCATCGGTTGTGGAAACACCACTTTATTAACAGATTGGACGCAGGAATGAGGCCATCATCATCTGAACCATTGCACTTTCTCGATGTTGCTGGTGGTACAGGTGATATTGCATTTGGATTATTAGAGCATGCTGAAAAGAGATTTGGTGATGTTGAAAGTAAAATCACTGTGGCTGATATCAATCCTGATATGTTGAAAGAAGGTGAATTGAGGTATGCAAAACTGAAATGGGCCAACGAAGGTAAAAACCGTGTTGAATTTCTTGTTCAAAATGGTGAAACCATGGACGCAATTCCCGATAATTCTAAAGATGTGTACACGATTGCCTTTGGTATTAGAAATTTCACCGACATACAAAAGGGTTTAAACACGGCGTATAGAGTATTGAAACCAGGTGGAATTTTTGCATGTTTAGAGTTTTCACAAGTTGAAAACCCGGTTATTGATTATGCTTACCAAGCTTACCTGTTTTCATTATTACCTTTAATGGGTCAATTGATTGCCAATGATAGAGACTCTTACCAGTATTTGGTTGAAAGTATTCAAAAGTTTCCTAAACAAGAGGAATTCAAGTCAATGATTGAAAAAGCAGGATTCTATGTACCGGAACCAGGGTATGAGAATTTGACCTTTGGAGTGGCTAGTATCCATATCGGTATCAAGCTTTGAGTAGGTTGTAAATAGTTTACGTATTTAATTTTAAGTAAAGTGTATCCAAGCTTTTTTTTTTTTTTTCTATTTTTCATTAATTTTTTCTTTTTCAACTAGTAATCTTTTAACAAACATTGACTCACTCAAGTTTCCAGTAATGTCTACAGTTACACCAGAAATTCAGGCTATTTTGAGCCCCGTAGTGGCTACGCTTAAGCGACATCAACTCAATGATGATAAAGAAATTGCCCTAGTCATTGCTCATCTATTAATGAAAGTCATATCAGCAGCAAGATGGACCAATACTTATGATTTGATAAGTTTAATTAGAAAAGTTGGAACGATCTTACACACAGCAAACCCTTGCCAAATCATTCCAGGGAACATAGTAAGGCGTGTTTTAGCAATAATTCGTGAAGAAATTGAGACTGGATTGGAGACAAGTTCAACGGACGCCTCTGCCAATATTAACTCCAACGTGCCAATGATGAGCTCCATGTTTAGCTTGCTAACAACAACAACCAAACAAGAAGGTAGAAAAGAGCAAGGCGGGGCTCAAACCAAAAAGCAGTCGAGCGATATGAGGAGTATAATAATCCAAGGTATCAGAGACTTGGTTGATGAAATATCCAATTTCAATGACGACTTGAATAATATGGCAATTGACTTGATTCATGATAATGAAGTCTTACTTACACCAACTCCTACATCAGACACGATATTACACTTTTTAATCAAAGCTCGTTTAAAGAGGAAATTCACCGTTTTGGTCACTGAGAACTTTCCTAATGATCTACAAAAGGCACAAGCATTTGCCAAAACTTTGGCTGAGAATAATATCGAAACGGTGATCATACCCGACACTACCGTTTATGCCGTAATGTCTAGAGTTGGTAAAGTCATTATTGGAACAAACGCCGTATTTGCCAACGGTGGATGCTTATCACTGAGTGGAGTTGCAAGTGTTGTTGAATGTGCCAAGGAACATAGGACACCCGTGTTTGCTGTCTCTGGGTTATATAAACTATCACCATTGTATCCATTCACAAGAAATGACTTGATTGAAGTGGGAAACTCGGGGAAAGTGCTTAGTTATGATGATTATGAATTGGTCGAAAATGTTGAAGTGGTGGTTAATCCGTTGGAAGATTATGTACGTCCAAAACATATTGACATTTTCATTACAAACGTGGGTGGATTTGCACCTTCGTTTATCTATAGAATAGTGTTGGATAACTACAGATCAGAGGATAACAAATTGGATTAAAATAGATATACTGCATTTTACTGCTTGCCTCTAATTACTTTGACTAATCTTGGTGGCTTTGTATCAGTCATCTCTGCTCTTGTCTTGTAAAATGACCACTGTTTCAGATCGGAAGGATACTGGTTGACATTGTAGAGTGTTCCCCAACTGTGATTGAACTTGACATTCTGCACTTCAGTAATTGTTGCCAAGCTTGAGTTTGAAAGGTATCGTTGAGGATGAGGAATATTCTTTGGTTTCAGATTTTGCATTTCAATAATCTCTTTATCAAGTATAGAGCACAACTGGTCCATTGTGCAATTGTTCACATCTTGCTCAAGTGAACTTTCGTTGGTATGTGGTTCAAAGAATGCCTTATTCTGTGGCGATGTATGGAAATCAATACTTATTGGTGAATTACAAAGATTGCTTTCGTCTGATTCAAAATTAGAACTGGGTAACAACCGACATTTGAGTGATTCTGACAAGTGTTCATTAGTAGATGGTTGATACAATTTTTCAAACATTCTTCTCCTCTCCAAAGCTAATGATTCCCTTTCGTGATCTTTTTGAAATAATTTACTGAATCTACCTTTAAGCTCTTTGAATCTTTCTTTCATCTCTGCATGAATAACACTCATTGAGTAATGATTGTGGTGCTTTCCCCCTTTTTTACTTTTTTTTGTAATTCCAAATATTTTTGCAACCATAGAGTTGGACTACAAAATTTTTTTGGAAATTGGCATTTGCTTACTACATAACATATACTTAAATCACCTAATACGAAGTTGATTTTGGCTTCACAGTGATATGATGCATGTGTTCGTTATCAGCATGTGTCTTTGGCAAAACCAACAGAATTCCATTGTCATCAATCTCAGCTTTGATATCATCAACGTTTATAGATTTATCAAACTTCATTGTGCTTTGATAAGTTTTGGCGCTAGCACTTGTATCAGTCTGATCTTCGTGATCGATATGAATCACCAACTCATTCTCTTTCTCATCAAAATCAACCTTGACATCTTCTTGCTTCAAACCAGGGTCATTATAGGTCACTAAATACTTGTCTTCCTTTTCTCTAGTGTGCAAGGATTCATCAAATCCGATAAAGTATCTACCTGAGCTGAATTTGTCCCAGAAATCATCAACAAATTGATGACTTCTGTCCCAGAGTTGAGAATCCAATGGGTATCTGGAACGAGGTGCGAGCTTATCTCTTTGTTCCTCTGAGTCATATTGTTTTGGCATAGTAGCTCTTTCAGCAATCCTTCTAGGATTGTACAGTGGTGGCACTGAATTAACATACTTGCGTGGTTTAGACATCATATTATCAAATTCGCGATCCATGCGGTCGCCCCAAGAAGAAAACATTGTCGATCGATGAGAGAGTTCATTGAGAAATGGAAAAGAACGACAAACAATAACAACTCTTTTATATGTTCGTCCCCATGTGCAAGGTTATGCGAAAAAAGGTAAGCACTGCATTGATAACAGCAATCATTGACTTGTAAATGAAATGCAGTCACTTGCATATATACATATGTACGCAAAGCCCTCATCCATGTATATAAGTTGCATCAATTTTATTCAAGGAAGGACCCAAATACAACTTTAATTTCCTGCGATATGCAGTAGGATTTTCGGTTTGAATGGGATTGCCTTCAAAATAAACGCACTCCAAATCAGGCAATTTCCCCAACTCCTTACCAACATTTTCAAAGCTCAGAACTTGGTTGTATGAACACCAGAAATCAGTCAATTTTGTCAAATGTTTTAATCCTGAAAGCTCTTTAATTTTATTTGATGTGACATCCAAGACCTGAAGGTTGGTGTTAGTTTCCAAATTTTCAATCTTTTCAATACCATTATGTGACAAGTACAATTCCTCCAAACTTTTCAAGTTTTCGAGCCCTTCAATCTTTCTTATTCTGTTTGATTGAATCGAAAGCACTCTAAGGTTGACCAATGCGTCCAAATTTTGCAACTTATGTATCCTATTCTTCCCTAGCCATAATTGCGTTATGTTCACCAAATTTTCGAGATTCTCAATTACCTCAATTTTGTTTCCTCCGAGTTCCAAATTAACCAATTTAGTTAATGTGCCCAAGTTTTTAATTTCCTTAATCTTATTTGCCACAAAGTACAAATTCTCCAAATTCACCAACGTCTCAATGTTTTTGATATTTTTTATGGTGTTGAACGATAAGTCAAGATTCTGCAATTTCGTCAAATGTTTTATCGAACTAGATATATGATTTATTCTGTTATCGTAAAAGTCCAACTCCTCTAAAGTAGGTGAAATATCTTTGACTCCCACAATCGAGGTTATCAAATTTTGTCGCAAGCACAATGATTCTAATTTCCTAAATCTGGACAAGTTCAAGTCTTCGAGTGAATTGATTTTCAAATGGACAAGATCAATAAACTCAGTATCGGGATCTAACCCAGCAGTCAAATCAACATCCGCTTCAATCTCTTGTTGGTTATTATCTGGTAAAACCGAGCCCGGGTACTCAACTGCTCCATTGGATTCATTTTGATTATTGTCGTCTTCATCATCTTCCTCATGTGTATTGTCTTCTTCCTCAGTTTGAGAAAGAATTGGATCGGCATCGTGTTCATGAGCATTTTCGGTATCACGGGACTGGGATTGTACTTCCGATAGGTTGGTCATTATGTAGGGTGAAGGGGGGAAGAGATAAAGATGGATTGCTTACCAATGTGTGTTGAATTTACGGTAGCGTCGATTTTGATGGAACCTCGGACAAAGGGTTGACTTTTGGCAAGACAAAGCTGGGGACAGTGAGACTTGGTCAACCTCACCATGATACTGTCATTTGCGTATGCCCATAACTCGGCTTTCTCTCCTACGCAAATCCATTCCCTTACAAAGCCCAACGCATAATAAATATATAAATCACACAGCTGTACTTTGTACACAATTTATACACTCAATACACTCGCTAACTACCAAAGCAGCAACTCTAAGCTTCTTCTTTTACCTCCTCTTTCAAAATATAGTCAACGGCTTCTCCAACAGTTTTGATATCGTCAGCAATCTTGTCTGGGATTTCCAAGTCAAACTCCTCTTCTAACGCAACCAATGCCTCAACAGTGTCCAATGAATCTAGTCCCAAATCCTTTTGGAAGGAGCTCTCTAAGGTTATGTTTGATCCTTGCAAAGTGGTGACGGTACCCAATGCTTCAAACGCACGATTGATGACTTCATCTCTGGTGATTGGTGGAGCAACATAAAATCTTAATGGAGTGATGAAAGATGCTTTCTGTACAGGCAACCTCAATGAGCGTGTAGCGGATCTAGCAGTCAATCTAAACATTTTGCCAAAAGTAGTTGTTTAACGGGGATGAGCGTCAAGTGAAAATTGGTTAAGCTTTCAGGTTGATTCTAGTTTTTTTTCTTTTTTCTTTCTTTCTTTTGTCTTCTTCCAATTTGTACCAATTATATTTGATTGTATGGTGTATTACGTAATGAGAATTGAAAATCAACAAATTTTAAACCACTTCGTCAGTATACATAGCTATAGAATCTTCTACATCACTCTCAGCATCATTCTCGCATATCATTACCATCTTCCATTGAGGGCAGTAACTTTTTTAGGAGCGTTTCTGTTGGTTTGTGCACTTGATGCAACGCTTTTCCTTCCAGTTAATCCTGAAAATTGAGAAAATGATGCACCACTATTTTGAGTAGAAACCACTCCACTAGTGAACCCAGATGAGTGGTTTGATTTCTGGTCAGACCGATTAGAATGTGAAGAGTTCTGAGTGTTCGATCTCTCCAATCTGGCTCCAGTGATGGAAGCACTAGCTGAGGACGGTTGGTATTGATTTGAACTGTGGAAAGAAGACCTATCATTGAAGGTGGAGGCATCTGATCTTTTGCTATGGAAAAGCGACACTTTAGATGATGCAACTTCGTTTTGATTAGCTCCCAATTTCAAACTATCAATTTCCTCCTTGAAATTCTTTTCAAATAACTCAACCAATGCTTCATGGGACGATATCATCGACGGTGGACATAATCTTCCGTGAAGGGCTAAACAACGACTCAATACAATAGCCATATCTTTGAAAGCCTTGCTGAGCAACTCCGCCTTATTGATATTTTCAGCCTTGTCTTGATATCTTGGATCAGTGAAAAACAACCTGTATTGTCCAATACCTCCATTAACAGGTGAATCAACTGTTCCACTCAATTGTCTCGATAAGTCGCTGAAATGAGACAGGTAATCGGTCTTGTCCTTTATAGCGGTGTTTATCAAATTCTCCAACAAAATCAAGTCGTCATTCTTCTTAGTAATGGTTTGAATAGCATTATCCAACGGTGATAACCTAACAGTTTCCGAAGTCTTGATAAAACTTCGATTCATTAACGTTGGGAAACTTAACCAAGATTCATAAGTAGTTTGGTCTGTCCACAAGTCAAACACCGAAGTAGAACCAGGGATCTTTGTCAAACTTTTGAAAAACTTCAAATCTTTGTTTCTCGCATACTGCCTAACACCAAATGATGTATTGAAAAGTTTATCAGAAAACTCATAAACCGGTTCAACCGCCTTCACCAATAGATACCTTCCGGTCACATTATCCTCTTTCAATTTTTGCGCCTCTGCATCATCATTAATCATGATTGCTCCGGGGAAAACTTTCAACAAACGCTCATGAATAGATGTAATGTGCTCAAACGGCAACCCTTGATAAATCTGTGAAATAACCCTCATGTAATACGGGAACCCGGTTCCAATAGCTTCAACACGGAAATATGATGGCTCTAACTTATCTGATGACTCCAAGTCCAAGTAAAGTTGGGCTAATTTGTTATGCACATAAGCAAAACTTTTCAAATCATACGTGTGCTCATTATAAGCATCCAACAACTCATTATACGTATCTGCCGCCTTTTCAAGACTTTTACCCTTAATAAAGTTAGTTGCCATCATTTTAAACAAAAGCTCCTTTCTCTCAAACGAGGTTTGTTGAGGAAATTTGGGTCTGAAACTAGCAGGAACAATTTCCTTGTGGTCCCAAGTATACGTTGATGCCAACAATTCCAAACTCAAAGCCGCTTGCACAAAGTCATTAACACGAACATAATCATCGTACATGGTACCAATAAAGGAATTAAAATATTCTGGTTTACCTGCTGCTTTGATTTGTGCTCTCAACTTGATGTTGTGGAATCTTCTATCTTCGTCGAATTCTGGTGCAACTGGTACACTTGTGTAATAGTTTAATGTTGAGCAGAAAGCAGTAAGGTTCTGAATGAATTGATAAAAAATTCCAAAAGCTTCGTCTTCCCTATCCAATCTAATGGTTGCCTTCATTCTATTGATAAAATTATCTTGGTCCTCTCTAGAAGGTTTGTAAGAAGCTTTCTGATATACCTCGTAAAGTCCTATGAGGCATTGCTTTTCGACTTCATTCAAACCGCCACTCAATATAAATTCAGATACCATTATAGTCCATACCATCTTGACAGCAACAGATTGACATTCTTCATTTCTTTGAAGTCCAAACATCATCAATTCCGAAATCAAACTGAATTCGTCATTGATAAACTCAACTTGGTAACCTCCAAATTTGTTTAAGTTGAATCTTATAATATCCGACTCTGTCGCTTGCCATGCTAGTGCATCCCACGCTTCATTGACTAGAAATGCTGCCCTATCCCGCACGTCACGAGTAATCTCCCAGCATGCTTTACCTGGGACATTGGACAAATGCTCAACTGCAACTGGTGGCAAGACTGCCAATCTCAACAACGCTTTCAAATAGTTACCCCATAATACCCTGTCAAAATGTTCCGACTCTTCAATTGGCGGTAACTGATAGGAGACAATTAATGGTCTTATTAATTCCAAAGCGCACATGGACCCATCGACAATTATCGCATACAATGAAAGCCATTTATCTTCGGGGAAATACTTCCCCAATCTAATATACCTGATTCCTGATATGATTGTCAAAAGATCCTCACCATGGAAATCAGCCGCCAAATACTTGTTTGAATCGAAAACATCTCCATCAATTTTGGTATTCAAAATTCTGCTATATCCTTCGTTTCCAGCAGAAGCTTTTCCGATTTTTGCCATAAAAGAGAAACAAGCGGCCAATTCAACTAAAACTTCAACCAACAGCTCATCATTAACAGATTGGTCAATGGTGAACGAGTTGAATGGATAAGTAGTGGGAAATAATTGCGTAAGAATACGTTTTGGTTTAAAGAAACTGTTTCCTCTGGTAAACTTGTTGTACCTAATGAATGTACGTGCCATTGCTGGTAAAAATTTGGCTAACGAGAAGCACAAATCTAAATCTTTGCCAAATGGCAACGATTTCTCCCACAAGATTGTGCAAACTCTGTTGAGAATACTGCATCCCAATCTGGTAGCCTCGACATCCATTGGACCAAGGAATGTATCCACTGCCCACTGCATTGATTTTCCAATCAATACATGCCTTACATGCTCATTTTCAACAAGCGGCCCGTTGAGCAATCTCAAAACCAAAAGAAGTTTACTAATTGGAATCTTGTGTTCCTTGGTTGCCTTCTTGATGGTTCCGTCATAATTTAATTCGTCAGCTCCCATTCCACGAAGACCAATAGAGTCGATAAACCTGATCAGCATATTCAAAACATCGCCATCTTCCATGCGTGATTTCAAACTGATGAGATAATCGAGACTGTCCAAAACCAACACTTGGTCGTCAACCAAGATGGGTGAATTAACGGAAAGAAATTTCTCAACTGACATAAATAAGCCATTTAACGCATTGAGTGTGACATCCAATTCACTGCTTTGCTGAAGAGTCTTCAATGCTACTCTCAACAAAATTGCACTAACTCGGCACATTGATCTTGCCACTGAGTTCCAATTGACCGTAGCCCTTCCAAATAACTCGCTCACTTTGTTTATCAAAAAGATACCCACTTGCTCGTTATACACGTGCTTTGACATGAAATCATCGATTAAATGGAAATATTCATCCTGTTTTCCAAATAACGTATCCAATAAGTGAGTGATTGCCTTGAAGGTATTGTCTTCTAAAATTTCGATTGTCAGTCCACTATGTTGAGAGGCATTCTCCACAATTCCAAGCAATGATGAAAAAAGTTCACTGAAATACTTGAGTAACTGAGAAAGCTCTAATTTGCAGAAAACCACCAATGAATTCGACAACTCATCAAGACCCTTTTGTCCCAACTTGAAGTACTTTTCGTATTGAAAAATGTTATCAATTGAAATATCGGAGTTGTAAACTTTTCCGACATACTCCGTATTGAGTTCGACTCGAGCTATTGGTGCGTTTTGAGAAGTGGAGATGATTTCAACAATATGAGGTTTTGCTTTGTTAAACTCAACCAATCTGTTGCCAGATTTATACAAAAGCTTGCCTTCACCAGCCAAGATACCATTGATGTACAACGATAACAAGATGTAATCATCACGTAACGGCTTCTTAGTTGGGCTTTTCAAAGAAACACCATTGACCTTGACAATTTCACCAATCGATTCCCCGGAGAATACAGAAATAAATTGCCAGTGTTTTTTCTCCAATTGATTAGAAGCCTTGGCAAATGTGATGAGTTCGTTATTGGGGGTACTAATCTCAAAAGTTAACAAGTCGTCTTTTGATCCCCCTTTGATCAAATGAACCTTGTTCATTTTCAAGTAAATACGCTCATAATTCTCAGCTAATGGATCGAAAAAGATTGGTTTGATTCTAGCAATAGGTGTGGAGCTTGAAATCATGTCGGAGTTGGAGGCACTGAACTGGTGCTTAAACTCCTTCACAGTCACGACAAGTTTTTCTGCTCTTGGATTGACAGCGATACCGTGACTCGTGCCCGCGATAATCCTATCAACTAGCTCACCCCAGCCATTGTTCTCGACGCCATCAGCAGAATCACCCCGTTTATTCATGTACGATCCATATAATTTGATTGAAAAGTGATGAGCTTCACCCGACTCTAATGATCCCGTGTTGCGAGAAAAAATTCTCGTAATGTCTGCAACTCCTGCCGCAATACCACGTTTAACTCTTTTCACCAGAGGGGCTTGAGGATTTTTCAAGTTCAAATCAACCTCTTCTGTCAAAACTGTGACGAGAAAAACTTTGTTGTTGACAATCTCACTTGAAGGCACATTTCTGAATAAAGCGGCACTAATCTTTTCCACATTGACCAAATCGTCAACAGAGTCGGTGTGCACAGCGAAAGCCTCTGTCAAACGCTTGTGAGAGTTACGAAGGTACATGTACGCAATAGTACCAGCAAACCCCGGAGGTTGGTAAGCAGAGGAGCCCGAAACCGACTTAAAATCAACCAAAATATGAGACGGTGGCTCATGACTGAAGTTCTTGCCCAATGGAGGCTTTAAAGAGTACTTGTCAGCGTAGTTGTGAACCTTGATTGGGAAATTCGGATCGAGAGCTCCCAATTCACTATTCAAAGCAATTCTTGCTGGGGTAGCATTGCCCCAATGAAGGATTCGACCATCGTAAGCGTCTCTGGCTAAAATTGACTTGTATCCCGAAACGTCGGTGCCCTCATTCTCTAAATCATATGATTTTGTATTAATTCTAACAGTCTTTGATGCAAGCAATTTCGGAATCTTGTTGAACAAGAAGACAACGGTTTCTTTGGCAACTTGCGCCTCATCTTCAGTCAATAAGTCATACAACAATTTGATTCTCGTCTCATTTAAAGCGTGATAGATCAGCACCAACTTTGTGAAAAGCCTAAACTCCCCCATGGAATACAATGCAAAGATATGCGAAGTAAGCAATTCCAAAGTGTACATGATTTCATCGCTCAAATTATCAACAGAATTGATATTAGTAGGAAGGGGTGGGACACTTGGAGCCGTATGTTCCTGCACACCATCAGTCGCTTCCCTGTGATTTTTTTCAGAGTCAGCGATAGTGGGCACAGCAGATGCATCCACAATATTGTTGAAATCTTCATTCACTTCCAATTCTGGGAATGGTAATTCACCAGTTATCTTAACAAACTCTAATGGGAAAATCACAACCTCACTGTTTTGAACAGGTAACTCATCCAAATTGCATGAAGTGGCAATGTATTCATTTGGCCATGGCTTCAGGATTGCATATCCTCTTGCCCATTTATCATCTTTAACGTCAAAAATGAATACTTGATCACCAGGGTACAAATTCTTAAAATGGGGACTTCTTAAATGAGGGTGTCTTTCATTCGGTAAAAACGGTTTCAAAATCCTTCCTTTGAGGAAGGTATTAGTTCTCGCCCAAGTCATGTCTATGGAGAAGGAAAGATGTACTGTTAAATGGAAATTTTCGTTTTAATTGACGATCTGGAAATTTATATCGTTTGTTGAAATTTTCTAGTTTTGTACTTTATTACTTTGTATTGTCAAGAATTTATTAATTAATTAAATTGTGTGGAACTTGAAATTTCAGATGAAATTGATTAAGAGGCGAAGAATGATCTGCACAACGCAAGAGAAGTGTGTTGTTAGAGCTAGGAATGGGTTAGGTATATTGAGGTTATGAGCTTCAAATACAAAAGTTTGTGTATGTACGATGCCATCGCGAAGAAGAGAGACTGCAGCCTCGCAAATGTTCAGTGGAGTGATTCTTTTGTAGGTGCTGTCTATTTTAAACCTTACTGTTGGAGGTGAAAACTTTCTCATTCTGTGTAACAAAATTCCTAAGCGAAATGGATTAGTTAAATTATGACAAAAGGTAGCACAGGTGGATGACAAAAATCAGAGGAAACCCACAAGACAAGAGATACCGTGCGTTTCTCCAAGGCTCATATTGATGTCTTGTAAAAGACGTTCAGTATAGTGGTTTTTATATAGTGTAACAATTTTAAATCCGATTTTGCATCAGTTTGATGTCGATCCGAGTTCACAGCTTTTGGCAACGAGAAAATGTTGCCAACAAACCATAAACCTTCTCAGCAAGCAAAAGGGTTTATTGCAATGGGATTCCGTACCCAGAAAGCAACTTCGTCAGCTCCCATATTAGTTTGGAGTAGCAATCTGAGACTGCATCGGGTGGTCCCTTGGTTTGCAAGAGAAGAGGGGTAAAAAACTAGCTCTGCAAAGGATGTCGCTAAATCATTTTGTCTCAAAAAGTTGCGACAGTGCTGTCATTTTGAAATTCTCTACGCCATCATCACCACACAACCACCCTTCGAATGGTACTCCCAATTATTGTAGGATTGGGGGTCACGGGCTTAGCGCTCACGGCTAAGGCCACCATTTCCGCGTATCGCCAGTTCATAAAATTGACTCCCAGTATGGTTGCCACTTTAAACAACATCAAACTCACCAACGATTACGCTTCATCGTCAATCAACAAATCAGATCCAAACTATATTCACTATCAGTATTTACGAAGAAAGTATCCCAATCGAAGTTTTCTTGCGCCAATGACAGAACAGGAGGCATTACTAATACTTGGCATTGAGGGTGACGATATATTGAATGTTGATAAGAAAATGGTTAGAGATCGATATCGAAAGTTGATGGTTTTGAATCACCCTGACAAGCAAGGTAGCAAGTATATTAGTCAAAAAATCAATGAAGCCAAAGATGTGCTAGATAAGAGTTATATGGTGAATAAGTAGGATATATGTATAGTAGAGAAGTTGATAAAAGTACTTAAGTGAAAAGAACGGTTTGTAGTTCGAGGTCTATCGTCCCTGGAGGGAATCTTGAACATGTGAATTTTAACTCTGTTAAAGTAGTATTTTAACTCTGTTAAAGTAGTGTTGACGCATCAGGTTGATCCATAGCGTCTAAAAGCAGCTATTTAAAAGCTTTTGTTGATAACTGAAACTGGTACACAGGTGGAGTCGCCCAAAAGAGTAAAAAAAGGAAACATTTTTCCGATAATCCGAAAGCCCGTTGCAGAAAATTATGTCATACTGAATCATTACTAAAATGAGTCACATTGGTGTTCTAGCTTTGAGCTAAGATTGGGTGAGCAGCTGGCGCTATCCCTTTAGCAGCATATCACATAGCGTATACCCGTAACCGAGGTCTACTGAATCACATGCTTCGAAGGTATAGGTGTTTTTGTTAGTTTGAACAAATTTCAGCGATAAAGGAGATCACCATACAGGACTCTCCCTTGAGCAACTTTGTGTAATGGAATATACAATGATTGTCTATCTGTCTATGATATCACCCACTTGATCAATCTTGTCACATCCCAGGAGGCTATGAATCACTACTCTCCATGAGATCCAACCGCTCGCGGTGTTTGAAGACAATACTCATAATTCACACGCACCCCTTGGTCTTCTGGAGTGGTGGTGTCCACGACCTCCTGCACAGTTAAAAGTTCTCTTCTTGGTCATAAGTTTTGGTGATTTAGGCTGAACGGAGATTTGTAACTCGAAAGATTGCACAAAAACTAGAGACATCAGTGAAAAAAGAAACGAGGATGCCTTTTAAAAGATTTTCCTTTTGACTGCAAAAATATGTCCAGTTTTTTCTTTCATATAAACCGCCAGTTGTTTCTTAGAGGAAACATATATATTGTTATATACCAACTATGATTACCACGAAACACCATTCGATATTTGATTTATCTGACTACGACTACGATAGAGAAGATACAACCACGATGAGTTCAAGAACACACGATACATACACCAGTGGGTATAACGACACGCCGCATGATGAGCTCATATCAACATTATCATCGAATTCACTCAACTCGCTATTTGACGTTGAGTCCCTGTTTCATTCAAACAGAGCATATCCCGAAACATCAACCGTTACACCAGCTTTATCGAGACATGAATCATTCAAAAAGAAAGCAACAACGGATACAGCGAAATTTCATGAAGACTTCACAGCCAAACTTCAGTCCAAGCTACTGGCTTGCCACAATCACCGTATCACGGGTAAACAGCAACCACCACAAACTAAAGTTGTCGTGCTACTAGTAGGCTTACCTGCAAGTGGCAAATCTACATTGTGTCACCAAATCAAAGACTTTATACACTCAACCACCGACTACAAATGTGGCATTTACAACGCTGGAGACGTTCGAAGAAAAAAATCAATCACGTTCAACGATGCTAGTTTTTTCAACCCCAATAACCAATCAGCTCAAAGGGATCGTGACCTTTATGCTACAATCACATTGAATCATCTATTATCGGATCTAGATAACAAAGGGGTTGATATTGGATTCCTCGATGCAACGAATACGACTGTTGAGAGAAGACAAAAGATGTTGCAACTCATCAACTCGAGAAATTTGGCTACACTTGTTCTTGAAGTGGAGAGCCGATTTGCTGATTTCAACATTGTGACTGGAAAGCTCAACAATGCCGACTACATCCATCATGACAACAAATTGGCGTTCAATGATTTTAAGAACCGACTCAAGCATTACGAGAGTGTTTATGAGCCAGTGAGCTGGGAGGAGTTGGATGAGACTCAAGTTACTGCATATGTAAAATGTGTCGATGCAGGAGAAACTTTCCAAATGGTTAAGAGCAAAGATGTGGAGGAAAAGGAATTGGACGCTGAAAAAAGTGGCATTGAAGAAGCTAAGTTCTGGTACTTTAAAGTGTTGCAAGATTTTATTGATCAATATGATCAACTGATTGGTATTGAATATCGAAAAAGGGCAAAAGAGTTCAACTTGAAGGAATTTGTATAGTTAGTAGTAGGAGCTTACACTAGATTGTCAACCTATAATTAGACGAAAAGACTATATATTTCTTAAAGCTATACTCATGTACCAATATGTGTAGTAAAGTGATTACAACTAAGCTTTGCCACCCTTGTTCTCACGGTACTGAGGCAACGACATGATATGCACTTTTTCGTAGTTCTTGTCACTATCTTCAAAGATCTTTCTCACCCTTGACCGCTTTGAGTAGTACCTAAGCATCAAAGCGGCATATATGCCAAATCCCACACCACCAGCAATTAACGTTTGTTTGGGAGAATAGTTGTGAAATGCAATAGGATTACCTAACGACATTTGTTTAAATAGTGAAGAAGAGAGTGTGTAGAGGGTTAAAAGAATGAGGTTTAGACTTTTGAGGGAGAAAGGCGTCTCCTTTTATATACATGCTATGTGAGGGAATGAAGGGGGTAAATAAGGGGAAAGGGAGGGGACACACTCACTTTGAAACGTATAGTCATGCATTATAGTTTCGACTGCAAAATTGTACATAGAGAGAGGAGATCGAGCTAAATGACACTGCCAAAAGAAAAGACCTACTCATGCTAGCTTAAGTGATTGCTAAGATAGCTTAATTTGAGTATCAAGAAGGCGGGTGCATTGGCAAACGGTTTATGCTCAAGTTGACCTTGCTAGTAAAGATCTCATGCAGCCAAAAAAAAAAAAAAAAAAGAAAAAGAAAAAAGTACAAATCAAATTCCCTTGCACATTATCCCACCACCACATTCAAACAATGTCATCGCCATCAACTTCAACAGCTGCAGATGAGAAAAAGTCTCAGCTTTTGCAACAAGAGTACAATAGGTATCAAGAACTAATACAAGAATTGGAAACCCAATCATCAACTCTTGCTTCGCAACTCCAAGAAAAAAGGGTTCTAAAATGAAACTTAGTGCATTTTTGATTTGCAAAAGTCGATTAATAGATTTCTCGGTAAAAATCTCTATCTGAACTTGCACTTTAAGTTGTGTTAAGCTAAAAAAGATAACCATTTGCGCAAAACATCCCTGAAGCTTTTGTGGTTATAATCTGTACCTCCATCCCAAATATACCGATCCATTTCTGTTCTTCCCGAATCAAAATCAAGTCTGTCTAGACTTGAAATAGATGAACCCTTAATCACTCTATAGCCAGCATAGAGTATAGCAAATACCATCAACGACCCATAGCTAGAAAAGAAAAATAATGTATTCCATTCATGTTTCAAGAATACGACAAACCCCATCGCTAAAACCATAAACAATGTAGCACACATTCCGATTATTGCCGTATATGGTTGGAATGGTGACTTGTAAGGGTATGATGGATCGTCTCTGCTCATTATATCGGGTCTTCTTTTCAATCCATAATAAAACCTTATAAAAGTCAAACACATGGCAAACCAAACGAAAATCCCCGAAGAGGCAATGACGCTGTTTAGATTTTGAAATACAACAGTTGCTGACTCCGATACACAGGTAAATGATAATAGCCCAAATGCTCCTGCAAGCATGACAGAATTGTAAGGGATTCCATTTCTATTGCAATACGTAAGAAATTTAGGTGCTTTTCCTTGTAATGCCAACGCGTACACCGTTCTTGAGCTGACATAAAGTTGAGCATTACCACAACTGACGGCAAAAAACACCAAAAACACATTTGTCACTGTGCTAAAATCACATTGACCGGCGCTCTGAAGAGCCACAATCCAAGGGCTTTGAGCTCCACTTCCGTATCCAGCAAACACTGATGAGTCGTACGAGCAATGTGCTCCACCAACTGTTTGGATAGCAACGTTGGTTGCGAACTCGGATGCATCAATGCCTGTTTTACCCAGGAGATACCTGAGCAATCTTGGATCACCAGCATAAATGTTTAACGTGACTAAAAAGGCAGATAAGCAGTAAAAGATAACAATTCTCCAAAATACCCGTCTCATAGCAGAAGGCAAAGCTTTCCTTGGGTTTTTGGCTTCACATGCGGCAATACAAACAATTTCTGTGCCGCTATATGCATAACATACAACAAGAATAGCTGTGACTAATGATAAAAATCTCCCTGTATCTCCCTCAATTCCTTCGCTTGGTGGGTTTGTTCCATTGTCGTACAAATTGAAACTAGGACGAAAAAGTCCAAAAATAATGTCATTTTTAAAGTCCGATTTCAGACGCATCCAGTATTTGAATCCCAAAGCAGGTCCACCAAAACCACCTCTATTTAAAACAATCATAACAATCATCATCACCACTACCCAAAGGAGTTTGATTAAACTTGATATGTATTCAATCTCTCCAAACACCCTAATATCAATTAAATTGCTGGTCACAATAGAGCCCAAAAAAAGGAAAACAAAACCAGTTGTTGCTCCTTTACTTGATGTTGTCTTTAATTGAGGGAAGAAGGACAACATGATGACTCCGGCAACAACTTCACCAGCTACACCAAAGGCAAAACTAAGAAAATACAACCAACCAGTAGCGAAACCAAACGCATCATCAACAAATCTGGAACTTAAACCTGACACGCCATCAATGACGGAGACAAACGTAACCATTTCACAAAAGGACATCATAGTGCATAGTACAACCACCCCAACAATTGCAAATGCTAGTAATGCCCCAAACCCACCTGCAATATTGATTGCTTTTCCTGAGTTTAGAAACAATCCAACTCCAATGGTCCCTCCAAGAGAGATCATTTGTAAATGTCGCACACTCAATTTTCTATGAAGCCTGTTCTTGTTTGTTGGAAAGTACAAATCCTCCACATCCGACGTGTATTCCTTATCTTGTTTGTGTAGCTTTGGTCGTCGATTTTTGATCTCATTTTCATCATTTCCTCCAGCGTAGAATTCATCCGCTAGGTCTTGCTCTCGGACGACATTCAATATCGTTTCCTTTTGTTGACCTTTGGGTTGTTTAGCAATTACTCGTCCTTGTATTTTATCATTTAATACGCTTTCCTTGACAAATTTTTCAAAATCGTTGAGTTCAAAGGTTTGTAAGGGAATCCCATTGCTCATATCTTTCATATCTCTCTCGGCCGCTAGTCGCTCGTATGCTCGGAGGTATTTGAATCTTCCATCTTCAAATATAGGGTTATTGACGATTTCGGTGATTATATTTGAATCAAGTGACACTTCATCTTCAACCAGACTTGTTGATAGGTCAAGATGCTCCTCAGGAATGGATAAATCGACCTCTTCATTTTGTCCAAAAGCACCTCGGAGTCGTCGTAGAGAAGCAGAGCTGTCGCTATCACCGTCGCTGTTGCCTCCAGTGTTATTTAGGCTTGGGAATAGGTTGACCGAGACACTAGATATCAGGTCCATTATTGTTGTTGATGTCATGCCCGCGAAACCACGCAGAGAAAAATGAACGAGGGGCTGTCTTATATATGTACTACTGATAACAGGAAAATACCAAAAAAGTGTCTTTATACTTTGGTACTTCGTAAAGGACCTAAGGTCGACGTCAACACGATAATCAATCTTCTTTTTAAATCCCCATTATGACTTCATGACAACCATGAAGGCACAGGTGAAAAAGACTTAAAAAAAAAATATTGAATGTGAATTCGCGTCAGGAGCCAATGAAGGCAACGACACTGTGCAAGTTGATTATGAGCAAGCCCATTTGAAATCAACTCACCTATCTCCAAAAATTCCATTAACGTAACAATTTCTTGTCATCAATGATGACATTTCAGCTGTTACACTGAAAAGAACAGATACTACACTGGATCTAAGCCAAATGGCAAAGAGATTTGGTTTTCAGAATAAGGGAGACCAGGGGAATGCGCAGTATTTATACTCTTTCTTGGAGAGGAGGTAGTGTAATTTGGCACAAGAGAAAAAGTTTTTTTTTTTTTTTTTTTTCGGTTTATTCTCATTTCCTTTTTCTTTTGAGACACCAAAAGAAGTGAAAAAAATTATTTTCTCACTCCATCAGAGAAACCTCTCTTTTTACACCACGTTAGTGCAATATTTATACAAGCAAAATGGTATGTTAAATTGTTGCTGGAACAACATCCTCCTCGTCACATGTCGCTTTACGCGTTTGTGCATCTTGGAGTGATGGTTAGTTTATTTTATTTTTAACGTGTCGTCACTTCCTTGTTGCACAGGCTGAGTATCCAATTTATTTGATACTGTAGAGTAAAAGTGAAAAGGGTTTGTTTGTTGAGATTAAGTTTGAGAACACCTTTTATTAACTTTTATTCAATGACACAGCCTTCCTCAAAGAAAGTTGCTCCAGCTCCATTTGCTGCCAAATCTAGCAAATCTACCACCGTCAAGAATCCTTTGCTCGAATCCACACCAAAAAACTTTGGTATTGGACAATCGATACAACCAAAGAGGAACTTGTCAAGATTTGTTAAATGGCCTGAATATGTTAGATTACAAAGACAAAAGAAGATTTTGTCTTTAAGATTGAAAGTTCCTCCTTCTATTGCTCAATTTAACTATACCCTTGATAAGAACACAGCTGCCCAAGCATTTAAATTGTTCAACAAATATAGACCCGAAACTGCAGCTGAGAAGAAGGAGAGATTGACTAAGGAAGCTGCTGCCGTTGCAGGAGGTAAATCCGCTAAGGATGCTTCACCAAAGCCAGTTGTTGTCAAATACGGTTTGAATCATGTTGTCTCCCTCATTGAAAACAAGAAAGCCAAGTTGGTTCTTATCGCCAATGATGTTGATCCAATCGAATTGGTTGTTTTCTTGCCAGCTTTATGTAAAAAAATGGGTGTCCCTTACGCAATTGTCAAAGGTAAAGCTAGATTGGGAACCTTGGTTCACAAAAAGACTTCGTCCGTTGCTGCATTGACTGACGTTGCTTCTGCTGATGAGGGTGAATTGTCAAAATTGATTTCAACCATCAATGCTAATTACGTCGAAAAATACGATGAGAACAAGAAGCATTGGGGTGGTGGTATTATGGGCTCAAAGGCTAATGACAAATTGGCCAAGAAGGCTAAAGCTATCGCTTCTGCCAGTTAGTTTTTGCGAATGTATAGGTTTTATGTAAGTAACAAAATTGGAGAGTTCGAAATGCGGAAGTTCTCATTGCAACGGTTTTAATCAGATACTCTGTAGAAGGTCCTCTGGATACAACCGCTTCCCAGACTCTGCGAGTGTTCACCATCTTTAACTCCAAGTGTGATGTGGATAAATAGTGTTATCGTAGGAGTTTTCATTTGGTGCACATGGTAGGGCTATAACCACAGCGTTTCGTCTCCTAATCAGGAAAAATCAGTGCGGCGTGCAGAATTTGTTTCCAGTGGTATTGCCAAAGTAGACGAAAAATTATTTACCGTTTTTGCTTGTTTTCCAGTATACGAATAAACCAATAGACAACAAAGGTATGTTTAACACATTCATCAGAGTCACAGATTATGTCTCGATGCGCCAGGAGAATAGGTGCACCGCTCCCATTGGATGATTGCGGTTGTGCTTCTCGTTGCCTCCTATCAATGAATTATTGATTCTTTAAAGTGCGCCATCTGAGCTTCACCTCTAGGAGTAAAATACTAACAAGTTATAGATGGCTAAAAGTAAGAATCATACCAACCATAACCAAAACAAGAAGGCTCACAAGAACGGTATCAAAAAACCAAAGACCTACAAGTACCCATCATTGAAAGGTGTTGATGCTAAATTCAGAAGAAACCACAGATATGCTTTGCACGGTACTGCTAAAGCCTTGGCTAAAGCTAGAGCTGAGAACTAGGTTGAATAGTTTTTGAATAAAGGTTTTTCATTAAAGTATTATCGTCGTTTCACTATACGATTACTATTGTTGATCAAGATATCGATTTGAGATACAGTTTTATTAGGAATTTGTGATGCAAGTGCTTAGGTACTCTGAGGATTACCTATATCATTTTTCTCTGTCGATTTCTTTACTCTTAAAGTTAATTCTTAAGCAGAATGGATTGTTTTGTGATTGAAAGAGTGATTTAAGCTGTTAGCGTTTAATGGTTCACAATAGACATTCTTTTTGCATTGCTCAAGCTTCTCCCATGAGTCTTCAGTAGTTCTAATAAAAACGTCGTGACAACTAAAGGACGGGTTATATTTTTATTATGTCTATATCTGCGACTCTTTCATAACCTTCTCATATACTATCACGCAATTTGACCTTCAATCATGAAGGATTACCTATTATAATCGCACCATTTAAAAGGGAGGTGATTTATTTGAGGTTTAGTGAGACGGAAACTCTCTTACTCCGTATAGTCAAGTACGAAATTTATTTTTGCAACCAAATTCGTCAAACCTCAACATCATTGCTTTTCCAAACCAAGATGTCAGCACACGAACCTACTAGTCATTGCCAAGTCTACATTAAGAACCTTCACTACCTCACCACTGAAGATGATTTACGTACTTTGTTTGAAAAGTATAATCCGTATGTAACATCTTTTACAGCAAAAATTATTGTCAGCACTTACTAACGCAATTTAGAGTGAGTATTATAGTTCCTAGTTATACAGTCAAGTTGGGCAAAAATGGAAAGCGAAAGCCTTATGGGTTCGCTTACGTCGAGTTGCTGACTTCACAACATGTTGAAGAGGCTGTTAAGGAATTTGATGGTAGTGTCTTCAATGGGAAAAAGCTTATTGTCAAAGCTTACCAGCCTTACAAACCCTATCAAAAGTTGTGGTGGAGAAGAACAAAACCTACCGAGGAGACACAGAATCACGATGCACCTGATGCTGAACTTTTGGCTGACGCTGTGTCAAAAGACCGGATTTTGATAACAAACATAAGAGGTCGCGTAAACTATGTTAGAGTGGAGCACTTCTTAATGAAGTACAACCCCTCCGACATCATTATTTGCAAAGATAAAAAGTCGATTATGAATCCAATAAAGTTGACAGGCACCTATTACAGCGCATTGGTAACTGTGGACACGTCAACAAAAAGTGTGAAAGAAATCATAGAGTCTTTGAAATCAACGAAACTTTGTGGAAAACGAGTTGAGTTGATGCCAGCAACACTCAAACAAGTTGAAGAGTTTGAAAAAGAAGCCATTCTTCAAGGTTTTCCTCACGAAGGGTTAGAACGCATTCCAGATGTTGAAACAGAACAAGTCCCACCAGAACAAGTCCCACCAGAACAAGTCTCACCAGAACAAGTCCCACCAGAACAAGTCTCACCAGCCGTCCCAATGGAATTGAATTCTCCGGCTCCCACTTCAATGATCGTTAGTCCTGGCCTGACAATCAGTTCCAACTTCAACGGCCGTATCAACTCCCCTTGATTTCTCTCTACTTTTATGCTAGTTATTTCTCTTTTTTATATATTATGACAAAAACCCCAAAACTATTTAAATGTACACGTAAATTAATCAGCGGTTTTTTGAGTACCACGTAACAAACCAGTTCTTCTAGCAGCAATCAAACCTGCTTTTTGACCTGAAACAGCACCTCTAGAGATAGTAGAAGCTTTACCAATATGTTGATGGTTACCACCACCATGAGGGTGATCAACTGGGTTCATGGCAACACCTCTGGTCTTTGGCCATGAGTTTCTCTTGACCTTGTATTTATGGAAAGCTCTACCGGCTTTCAACAATGGTTTATCGATTCTACCACCACCAGCAACAACACCAATAACACCTCTGGCATCTGATGAGATGATCTTCTTAGCACCAGATGGCAACTTTACTCTAGTCTTGTTTTCATCTGGGTTGTGTCCGATAATGATGACATAGTTACCAGAAGTTCTACCTAAAGCACCTCTGTCACCAACTTTTTCTTCAACATTTGAAACAATAGTACCTTCTGGGCATGATCCCAATGGCAAAATGTTACCAACGTTCAATGAAGCCTTTTTACCGGCATAGATAAATTGACCAGTGTAGACACCTTCGTTAGCAATAAAAGTTTCTTCTCTCAACTTGTATCTGTATGGGTCACGGAAAGCAACCTTGGCCAATGGAGCACCTCTACCTGGGTCATGAATGATTTGCTTAACAACACCACGAATGTATCCATGACGTTCAGCGTAATCCAAGGTTCTCAATTTTGCGGCACCTTTTCTCAATCTGGTGTGAGAGGTGAAAATAGAACCAGCACCCTTTCTTTGGTTACGAATGACTCTACCTGGAAAAATGATGTTAGTATTGATTATTCGAGACACACATTTAAACACACTTCAAAGTTCTAGAAAGCTGCTCAGCATGGATGTGGTCCAAACTTCGCTCCAACGTCTCGGGTATAGACCATGTACTGCAAGTGTAAACTGTGTGTTATTCCAAGTGATAATATGACATACCCATTGTTTAGTGATTTGGTTTGACTAGGTATTCTGAAAAGGTGATTGATTGGTGTTTTATGAGAGTTTTTTTTTTTCAACTACTTTTGGGACTTTCGCACTGTAATTTTTTTCCTTTGGTTAACTATGTCTCCGTATGGCAGAGGGTTTTGTGTACAGAACTCCTATTAGGGCTTAACCCTACTATCTAATAGCTATAGTAGCTGCTACCACATGTTCAAAAATAAGGACCATTACGTACATACTCTAGAAGGAGTCATATACTACGCGGCAAAAGACTACTTATCAGTGACGGTGGACCTCATCCTAGAGACTTTGAATGACTCCGTTGGGACTACATTATTGTTATAGTGGTGGTAGATTAGTGAACGGGGAAAAACGCGATCCAACTTCCCTTAGGCACGTTATTATTACTTGTAGACGTCCTGATAGATTATCCAGCCCGTTACTGCGATGTAATTGTAATCCAAATCGGTCCTTCTTTGTATAACGCTTATCATTGACTGGGTACAAAACATGGTGGCGAGATTGCGTATTTTTGGGACGCGCAAATTATCCCCTCCCAATATCACGAATATTCGCGAGTTATGTTTCTCTCATCGCGAATCACACATAACACAACATGACGTACATTGCCTGTACACGCTCTAACATTTCACGTCTACGATGGATATCGGGTACTTTCAGAAGAGCTTCAAGTAAAGCTGCTATAACAATTCAAAAAAGTGGCCAAGGAAGACTGGTCCTAAAGGCTGCAACCAAAGATAGATCCAAACATCAAACGAGCAATGATTCCATACAAACTTTAGGGGTAGCGAATGTAAGGGGCGCAAAGAAACCTTCATTACTTAAAGTTGGCACTTCATCAACAAAGACTCTGTCTAAGAAGTCGTCACACTTAAAAGAATCGAAGGCAGCCCAAAGTGATCAGATTGGCGAATTTCGTAAAAAGTCAGACAAGGCTCTTGAAAAATTGGACCAACTACAGCAATCTGATTTAAAGACTCGCTTATCCAAAAGGCGATCGAGGCCAAAAATACAATCTGAAATAGTTGCGAAACTCGAATGCGAACCAGGGACAACTCGTCTAACATCAAGTGACATAATCAATGAGCCTTTGAAGCAATGCATTGCGCCGAAAAAGTCAGACATACCACAACTAGCTCACAATTTAGATAGGGTCTTATTTTCACCTGGGGTTCATTTTTTACAAGACCCCAGAACTCGTGTTTACAACTTTTCGCCGTTTTTGAAGAATGTGATACATTACAAGGACTTTAATTTCGAAGCCGCAGGCAGTTATACCCCAGTGGATAAGCATGAAACTTTGTTAACGAATGCTCAAAAGTTTAAAAAGCAGTTTTATTCCAGTACATCGTCAATGACTTCGATATTGACCAAATTCTACATGTTGTTGAATAATTACTCGCCTTATAAAGTTGAGCGGTCCGGAGAAATCCCATTGAGTGGCGTTGCTACGAAGTTACCAAGCAGTACATTTGTCGAGCCTAAAGGTACATTCATTGACAAAGGACAGAAGAAAACCGTTTATTCACTCCTGGCTGACAAGTCTTGTGATTCTGAAATCTTACTTAGCGCAATGGGCGTTTGTATGGAAACTTTGTTGACAAACCCAGAAGATGAATTTGTCAAGTATAGGAAAGACAACACTGAGGAAGCTCCACCGTCGCCGTCCAATTCCTACAACTACTCCTCTTTTGGTAGCTTTTTGATGCGGTCTCAATTGGATTGTTTTGACGAAAGATTACCGGGCAATGGTACTTTTGATTTAAAGACTAGAGCATCTACCAACATTCGATATAATTCTCATGACCCAAATGTGGGAGAAACTGATTACCAAATTTTCAAGCTAACTGGGCAATATGAAAGTTATGAAAAGGAATTTCGTGATCTCGTCAAGACGGGTGCTCTACTCAAGTATTTGTTTCAAGCCAGAATTGGGCAAATGGATGGCATTTATATTGCCTATCATAATATTAATTCAATATTTGGGTTTCAGTACTTACCGTTGGAAGAGTTAGACAAGATCTTTTATTCTCATGCCGACTACAGCACAAAGGTTTTGGATGCCAATAATGCATCTATTGAGGCTTATTACGAAATGGATAGATTGCCGTCTTTGGTGGGGGAGACGCAATTCAAGTTTTCGTTGGAGATTTGGGAAACTTTGTTGAGAGAGCATATATTGAAAGATTTCGAAGCTAATGGTTTGAAAGATACTGCATTCAGGTTAGTTATCCAAACGTATAAAAAGCCATACGCCCGCACAAAACAATTGAGAGTTTATGCCATTCCAGTATCGAGTGAAGAAATCAAGCAATTCCAGCTGTTTGGTGATCGATATCCAACAGATTTCAAACAGGACCTAACTGAGCATGAAAGATTGAGCAATACAAAGAAGCATGTGACTGAATTGCAAAAGTTTAATACGAATTACATAAAGGGTAAGAGGTTGTTGTCATACTTGATCTCCATGGGCAATGGTTATATCGATTCAAACAAGACGCAGTATTACAACTTGCCGCGTCGTTTGCCCAACTCATGGCGGGTAAATTACACCATCGAGAAGGTTAAAAATCCGTCAGAACAGGATTTTATGCAAGTATTCGATTTGCCCATTCAACAACTAAGTGAACAGTTTCAGCTGACAAATGAATCAAAATCAAAATTTATAAAAAAGTTGCAACTGATACATCGAAAATACGAGAAAATAGGGACAATCAGGAAAAAGCAATGGGAGTTGAAGGAAAAAACTGCAAATGTTTATACACCAAAATATCATTTCTAGAATCTAAACTCCTCAAATCTTTATCGAACCATTGGTTAATTCATTGCCATTTGTAAGTTGTGCTTGAGCTTTTTCCTTCCCTCCTTCGAAATTCTCTCTGACTCTAAGATAATGCTGCAATTCCTCAGCCGATACCGATGGGTTCAACTCATTTTGAGCCTTTATAAAGTCCTCCATTTTAACCAATACTGTAGTATCTTCCTTTGTAGCTACATTGTCAAACCACCATCTCGAATTCACTTCATTTTTACCTTGAGCGATCACGTCAGCATTGTATGCCTTGATTTTTTCATCAACTTCTCCTGCCACTCGTGTCATGGCATTCAACATTGAGTCAGAACATAACGCGTAAAAATCGGCACCCGTGTACGTAAATGAACATTTTTCGGCAATCTTTTTCAAATCAACACCATCATCCAACTGAAATTTTCTTGTCAATGCTTCCAAAATTTTGGTTTGCTTTTCATCGGTGTCAGATATTCCAAGATACAACATCTTGTCAAATCTACCAGGTCTCAACAATGCCTCATCTAGTAAATCAGGTCTATTTGTGGCACCAACTACAAAAACCCCGTCCCCACCTTCACTACTCATACCATCCAACTCGGCGAGCAATTGGGAAACAATTCTATCCATGACCCCTCCAGAATCTCCTTGATTACCTCTTTTAGGGGCTACTGAATCCAACTCATCAAAGAAAATAACACAAGGCTTGGCATCTCTTGCTCTTTGGAAAACTCGACGCACATTGGCTTCCGATTCACCAATGTACATATTCAACAATTCAGGACCCTTGACTGAAAAGAAATTCAACGAAAAGTTTGTCGCTATGGCTTTTGCTAATAATGTTTTACCAGTACCAGGAGGCCCATAAAACAAAATACCACTTCTCTTTTTGAGACCATTGTTGAACAACTCGGGATGTTTCAAGGGCATATCAATAGTGTCCAAAATTTCATCTTTGACCAAGTCCAAACCCCCAATATCCTCCCATTTGACATTTGGAATACGCGGAGCACCAATGGAGTCACTAAATTGGTTTCGAGCTTCGTTAATGGCAGCTTCAAAATCATCTGGTATCCATGTTATTACTCCACCATTTCCTATATTGATTAGATTTTCTACAGATATGTTGAGCTCCTTTGACAATTTTGACAATCGTTTGATAGCCAATTTTTTGGATTTCTTGATAATGGAAATCAAGTCGCGTGGAGTTAAACCAGCAGATTGCAAGGCAAGTGTCTTTGAATTGATGTCTTTTCTTGGAACAAACGGGAAAGACGTGAGATCATTAGATGGCGTTTTTGCCTTTTCATTTGCAATCAAAAACTTGAAAATTTCCAAACGCTCATTTTCAGTGGGAACTGTAAATTCAATCGTGAATTTCAAAATTGATTTCAAGTTATCATTCAATTTGTCGTAATCATTGCAACTCATTACGATAACAAGATTGGCATATTTTTCCAAGTACTCAGTCAAGGTTTCAATAACCTTTATAGAAAGTGATGCAAAAATACTGGAGTTTTGATCGTTTTCATCTGTCTTGGGTACCAAGTTTTCAATATGTTTCAAATAAATGACGTGAAAAGAAGATTGGTTGGGCACATTGGCAATCAATTTATCGATCTTACCGCCGAGCAATCCGATCGTTTTCAACTCTTGACCGGGATTAATAAAATCGAAACAATCTAGCTCAATCAAGTTTAACCCCATGTCGATACAGGTACTACGTACCAAAGTGGTTTTCCCGATACCTCTACTCATTGAAGTCAAAAGTATCGATGTCCTGAGATTGATTTTAGATGACAAACATGTCTTTAAAATCTTTTTGAACTCTTGTGCGTATTTAAAGTCATCAGATGTGGTATAGCTGAAAATTGGCGGCAAGTTGAGATATTGGTACCAATTAGCATCTTCATTACTTGGCAATCTTGAGCTCTCCACACCGGAAGACACAAGTAAAGTCTTTGTCGGATTGATGATGAACTGATTAGTACCTACTTCGTTCGTGCCCTTGATATCGGTAACTTTGAACCATGCGACTGCATCTGGATTTCCAACAGGAATCACTTCCAAATTTTGCTCTTTATTATCCTCGTTACTCTCGTCATTTGCATTATCAAACATAATCTTTGCCAATACTGTATCGATAACTACTGGGAAATAGTCACCTTCTTTTACACACTTCAACTGATCACTAAGTATCGTTTTCAAGCTGGAGAAAAAACTTTGTTGGTAAGTCTTGTCCATGGTGATTTGTGAACTTACTCTTGAAATTGTTGCTGATTCAGCCACGGGAATGAGCGTGGTTAATGAGTCTCCTCGTACCAGTTCAAATGTGATCTCTGAATTTTCATTAAGTTGTAAGTTGATAAACAATATTGGCGACATATAGACAAACCCAGTTTCAAAAGATGTTTGTGGCTCTGTAAAACTAAAGATCCTCACAATAACAGACTCCTTTGCTGTGACAATTTTCACCAAGTCGCCATTAAAAACTGGAAATCCCAACTTGATGAAATCTGAATTATTGATGAATACAAAAAGCTCCTTGTCCTCTTTCTTCCAGGTCTCTGAAGGATGTTCAATGTTCATGTTTTCGAACAAGGGACGAGCATGAAACTTGGAAGGGCTTGCAGGTTTTGAAAAGGAGTCAAATTGTAAGCCAGATGACAAGTAACTTGACAAGTCTAGATCCAAGACGGCTTCTTTAGCAGTTGCTTCAATTGTCCCATTTGCATCGATCGCATTAGCAGCATCGCTTTGATTAATCAACACAAAATTTGTATCGAGATCAACTTTCCCTTGAGCGACTGGCTCACATAGATTAGCCCGTCCATTGATCAAGCGGATTGTATCACCTTCATTCACAACATTCCCATTCCCCCAAAGGAATTGAAATACAAATAATTGCTTTATTGCTTGTTGGGTTTTGTTCTTTAACAAATGATAAATATCGTTTGGCACCGAAACAAAAACTTGAGATAGTTTAGAAATGGTGTCTTCGCTGATTGATTTCACCACAGCCAAGTTGAAAGTCAACTCATCGGTGTTGAATCGTGCTAAATTTGAACTATTGATAAACACAATCGATTTGGTGAGTTTGTTCAGAACTCTTCCAATTTTCAATATTTGAAACTTGTCAAAGTAATCTGGAGCTCCCAACAACTTGACAAGAACAAAGGAGTTTTCAGGTATATGGGTAGAATTCTCAAAATCAGCATCTATCATCACTCTGGGAAATATTTCTGTAAATATATCCTTGGAGATCTCAACAACGTCAAATTCATTTCCATGAGGGTCACTAATGACACTGACATTCGCAACAGTTGAAACTGACTCAAATGAGATGCGGTCTATTTCTGTCGCATCTGCAACCGACGGCATGTTGATATAAAAAATTGGTTTGACTTTACTAAGAAAGTAGTCTATTCTAGTATGATTTCTTCGGGCAAATTTATTATTCCGCTGGATTATGCGAGAAAAATTAGTGTGGGGAAGAGCTACCACTTGTGAAATATTAATTAATGCAAATGAGCTATGACTCGGGATTAAACCTGTGACAAAGATTGAGCGGCGGTTGAGTGAGGGATGGAACTGGTCTTTGCTAGGGGAGGGATACGTGTAAGCGCAGAGTTTCATATTAGGTTCGTCGACAATTGAAAATCAATTGGAAAATTGAACAATGTCGAGGCCATACCGCGTACCCGGAAAAGTCAAGCTAGTTGTTTCCTTCAGCTAAAAGAAAGAAGTAATCCAACCAACCCAGATTAGAGAGTAGTTTTTCTTCGACACTTGGTCCTCAATGTAATCAAGCGTTGTTGCGAAAAGAGAAACCATTATTTGCGCTACCTTGGTCTTCTCAACAAAATTGTTAAAGAACAGAAAAGAGCGTGAAAAAAAATTAACTGAGAAACACACCTCACTTTCATATCAAACCCATTGAATGTTCCAAGGAGACCTCTTTCCATGAAAAGTATGTCTTGATGTACAACCCCAACAAGTTGTACCCCTTCACAAAGTAACAAAAACGCCTTTAATATGATGATAACTTTTTTCATTTAGTTTATACCAATTAAGAGCTGCTTAAACTGGTCCTCATTGATTCTTTTTTTTAGAAGATTTGATGATTCTATCGTTTTGATGGAATTTTGGGACCGATTGGCAATGATATGGTATTAATAGTCATAGTTACACTGAGATAAACAAAGGCGTTCTTTTCCGGCACTTTGGGGGGCGGGATGGGACAATTAGAAATGAATTATTAGTACTAACATTTTTACAATTAGGCTTTACTTAGTTTATACTTTGTATTGAAATATACGGAAAAGGTTTGTTTTGGAAATCAGTGAAGAGTGTAGAATGAACCGAGAAGTTTGCGATTAGTCTCTTGTGAGGATCAAATTCCACTAGATGAGCTAACGAGAATGTCTCTCTATCGAGTGGACGATTAGTACACCTTCCCACTTACTACAATTTATGTCCCTTATTATATGCGTGAAATTTATGTTATTATACAAAGCTAGTAACCCTACTATCTTCACAACCTGTCTTTAATTCCCCTTAAGTCTTGATTCAATTTTCTTTTTTTTTTTTTCAAAAATCAAATTTACTCTTCATCTTCAACAACAACAGTTTGTAAACCTTTAGTAGAAGGAACAATTACTGGTTCAACATAAGCAAATAATTTTTCCTTGGAGTTTTCTTCATCATTTCTCTTTCTTGAAATTCTCAATCTCATTCTGTGTTCAACACCTTGGACACCTCTCTTCCACAAAGCAACGTTCAATTTTGGGTCTAATCTAACATCAGTGGTTCCCATGTGTAAAGTGGCAAACTTTCTGATTTCTTTGACAGCCTTTGGAGCTCTCTTTTTGAAGTGAACACCGTGCAACTAAAAAAAAAGAAAGGTTAGTATAATATACTCAATTTGTGAGAAGGGATTGTTTGGACTCTGTAAGTAACTAGGGCTTTGCGTGTAAAGTGGTGACATAAACATTATAGGGGCCATCATATGTAAGGATTCCGTACTGTTGTGAGATCTTTCCTCGTCAGGTCATGTCGCTAGGTTTTTGCCTAGTTGATCAGTTTACTCGAGACTTGAAATCTCATTACACCTTCTCTCCATGATACGTTCTCATGAGATCAGAAGTTTATTTGACCCGCCTCGTGTTGGCTCTTGATCCTTCTCCAGTGATACAAATGCAATAATTCCCATGTCACTTCCAATTCTCCTTCGCTCCTCCATTCCAAATAGTTCAAGAACATACTCTCTTGTGCAAGTTAATGGTGTATTCCCTAGTGACGACGTCTTGTAAAGCCATTGTGGTTGATTAGATTGGTATGGGTTTAGTACTTACTTGCTTCTTGGATTTCTAAAATTTTTTTTTTTTCAAAGGTCTCTCTCCCTGTCTCTCACTCTCTAGAAAGAATTCGATACATTGGTAGTGAAAATTTACACAAAACTAATATATGTACTGCATATAAAGAACATTGGTAGCTATATTTGTAAGTCATGTGCCCATTAGGTCTAAGCCCTAAATTTCTGTAGATATCAACGACTTTCATAACGAAACAGAAACAAAGTAGTAATTGACAGCGAAAAGTTGTCTTATAGAGCTGTTACATGTCAATCACACAACAGCTTTCTGCTTCTGACTCTGCCGGTGTCTTTCTCTTCTTTATAGAAACGAGATTTTGACACTTGGTAACAGGTTTCGAACAATTTTCCCTATTGCAAAAGATAGTTTCTGTTGAAATGACTAAGCTATAACTGTAACCGTTGAGGAGAATATGTGAGTCTTCATTTTACTTACGTTCGGTTTTATACCCTCTCCGTTAGGTTATGTTTCTCTTTTTTATGGTTGCAAAATTCGACATTAATCACTTTTGACCAACTTTGTTTACATCCCGCGCAAAAGGAGTTACCGAGAGATCAAAAACCACCCCGTTATCAGACGAACTGATACACATTCATTTTCTAAACCCATCATCAACCAAAACATCACTTACTTTTCACTTTTCACTTTTTGATTTTCGATTTTCACAAATGGCATCCTCCACATCAAACCAACCGAAACAACAACCAGACCCTTCCAATAGCTCATCATCTACACCACACACAACCATCCATCAACAAGCCAAACTAACGCAACAGCAAGATCTCAAACAATCAGCAAATTACATTAAACAACTACATACACTAGCCAATCACTTGGTATTATCTAATTCCGATACTGATCCATTAACAACGAAGAGCAACTTGTTGGATAAGATCGCCACGATACATCAATTGAATGACAATATCGACCACCAATTAAATGAAGAAATTAGTCGCAATTATTATAATTTGATGAAACTGAAACGGAAAATTACCAATTTGAGTCAAGGATGCCGACGCAAACTTGATGCCATGAATGATGTGGTTCGAATTGACGAAAGGATAGTTGCTGATAATAACGTGGTGGAGGAAAATGATGATGGAGATGGACGCAAAATTGGACATGGGACGAAGAATGAGAGAAGCAATAGTAATAATACAGTAAGAAGACTAAGTTTGCAAAAAAGATGTGAATTAATTGATCAAGATTTGAGAATCTTAGAATATACATTAAAGTTGATAAATGAGCGTGATTGAAAAGCAAAGTTGGTGCCACCTTTTGATTTCCAAAACTGTGATTGAATTCATTACCAAATTGAAATGATAATTAAAAGAACTAAATAAGCTAATGACATACCCTCCCTTCTCCTTTATGGCTCCCATTTCTTTTCCTCAATCCACCCCACATGAACAATCTTGATCAAATCCAGTAAATTAATATGCTTGTCCTTTTTCAAGACTCTATTCTCATTAATCAAGGATGAATATATTTTGTAGTAAGATTCTTTGGGAATATGCGATAATGAAGTTTGCTTGATACGTAACTCTGCTTTTGCTCGATCTGGACAATAAAGCCATTTACGACGACGATAGTTCCAAAGTATAGTGCCAACATTAACATCCTCTTCTTGTTGATGTTGTTGCTGTGGTAATGGTTGTACCAGTGACAAAGGTCTCGATACCGATGTCAATGACGTTGTTGTTGATGGTAGTGGCACTGATTCGAGTGGATGCCTTTTTGTTGAATCACAAGGTACTTTAGTCATGGTTGTGGTTGTTGATGCCAACATATTTTCAAATTCTCTTCGTAGTATTGTGAAATCGATATCATTGTATTGCGGTATATCACGGGTGTTTGTAGATGATCCAGTTGCTGTCATGCTATCCAAGGCTTCCTCTTCTTCCTCTTGCTCCTCCTCTTCCTCCACTCCGTCTCCATCGCTGTCCAGATCCACCTCATCTATAATCCGAAACTGTGCTTGGTGATGTCGTATAACATCTTGTAAAGTAGTGCGCACATTAAAACTTGTTTGATCGGAAACAACTGTAGTTGAACTACCAACATCATGGTTGTTCAATACTTGACTACTATAGTGAGTGACAACAGAATGACGACCATGGTTGTTACCACTATTATGAGACCCACTACTTTGGTTACTGCTGCCATTATAATGGTCATACATCTTATCCAAACTCTTGTATTTTTTATAATCTTGTAAAAATTTTTCCTCAGTTGTATTGTACCCTTTTGACGCTCTAACCAATTTATCAAAACTCATATGGTCATCTGACTCATCATCAACAAACAACTCATCAATCAACGTATCAACAGTGAATACATCTTCTGATATTGATTTTAATCGATGTATAAACGAATGCCATTCATGAGATATCTTTTTAAAGAACCCCAGTGAAGAAGATGCTGTTGTTGTTTTAGTTGTCGTCAATGTCGTTTTAGGTGCACTAATTTTCTTTCTTGTCAGTGGCGTAGTAGTGGCCCTAGTTGATGCTATTGTAGATGCTGGTCCCGTTGTGGCAACTGTTGAAGATGTAGGTGTTGCTGTGTTTGAAGTTGGACTATTGATCGCCGTATACGATGTTATGGGATGGTTATAAGTCGATCTTGAGTTTTTCCTATCTCGTAGTTTGGGAGTTGATTGTGATTTCCTAAGTTTTGCAAATGTAGATAGCTTTGATTTATGGGTATCAGCTATACTTTGACTCTCACTACTCATGGCTGTAGTAGTAGCAACAGTTACCATCTGTTTTTCTGTTTGTACGCAAAAATGCTCAAATACTCCCAAAAAAAAAATTAGGATATAACGTCAAACCCAAAAAAAAAAAAAAAAAAAAAAAGAGCTTGTACTTTGTTGAGTTTTAGAGAACCAAAGGCAAAACAACTCGCCATTAACACTCTCTGCCCAAGGCAAATGCAACTAGATGCAAGTGTGGTTTGAAAACAGTAGTAAATTTGACTAATAGAGTGGTAAGCTTCTGCAATATGATGTCAAGAGTTGTAAGAATCTGTAACTGTAATTTAGAGTCAAGGATTTAATTATTATCCGAGGGCGGTTATCAGTGTGAGAGACAACCGCCTGATATTAACAACAAAAAAAATGTGGATATGGTAAACGTATAAACACACAGTGACAGGTAGATATTATTATTAGAAAGAAGAGTGATTGGCTCTCAATATATAATGATATAGCTCTCTCTCTCTCTCTCTCTCTCTCTCTCTCTCTCTCTCTTTCTTTGATTTCTACAGTGAGGTGAGCATGATAAAAACAGGTGATTCTGTAAATGGTAATAATAATAATAATTTTAAAGTATTGTAAAATAGAGTTATGAGTGACACATTTTCTTATCAAATGAGTCACGTGATGATATTTCTTTTTGAGTTGCAAAATGAAAAGAAGCAAACTTATAACATTGAAAAATGTACTAAGACCCGGCAAGTAGATTGGTTTTCTCTGACTAAAAACAATCACATTGGCAAAAAAGACTATACAATGTTGGTCATAAACCATTACAACACGAACTGAAATATCTACACGCACAACAAAATACCCCCCTTTTCTTAAACTCCATTCGTTTGCTTTTTGCTCTCATTCTTAGCCTTTTGATTTAACCTTCCAGGCTTTGCGCTTTTATGGATTCTTTTATTTTCTTGTATGCATCATAATCAAACTGCCAACCACCTTTTGCTCTCATTGATTCATGATTCAATTCGTAATCAACTTCATTTTCAAATTCAACTCCATGCATCAAAATCCGTTCATGTAGATAAGAACCTCTTTCTTCCCATTTAACATTATACACAGCAAAACTTAACCCTGTATGTTGACTGTTTGTTGATTGAGTCAAATTCCACGAACGAGAATTTATTCCATTGGCGAAAAATCCATAATACGATGGTAATGAAGGAAGAAGAAGAATCTGAACTGATAAATCACCATAAATGTCTTGATCAATTGGTTGTGGAGTTGTAGCAGTTAATTGTCGGTGAGAATCGGTCTTATTTCCATTCTCGTTATTATTCTCTGGCAGATTCGAATCTTTAACAGATTGGTTTAATAAATTGATAGGTCTCAATATATCTCTCTTTTCCCATTTCTTATTCCAAGTACTTAGGTCGATAGAGTCGTTAAAAAACCCCATGTGTAACAACACTTGCAAAATATCTGAATCATCAGTATAAACTCCACTTGCACCACCCCATAATTCTCTACTAACTATTTCATTGTAGAAATCTTGCTTGAACTCAACAATATATCGAAATGGAATCTTGACATCAATCACACTATTGATATACTCTTGAGGTAGTGGTGGTACAACCGGAATATATCGCGTGGGTAATCTATTAATTTTCATTTGTTGTTTATAAGCTTTTTTGATTTCATCAAAACGGGAAATTAGCGATGGCTTTAATCCGTAAAGCGTACGTGTTTGAAGTGTTTCCCATGTCGTTGTCGGGTTGTAAATGATTGTTCCAAGGAACCGCCTATGAGGAAAAAGCTCCTTGATTATCAACTCAATTGGTTCAATGTTCAATTTAGGTTTACTTCGTTTACTCAGTATGGCCAGAAGTGCTGTGTTGTTACTACCATCCTTGTTATCTGACGTATCACTGAGTGATTTTACCAATTGTTGTTGTTGTTGTTGTTGGGACATCTCGTTACTTACAGGATTTGGATTCCGTGAGTTGTTCTCGAGTTCATTAGCGTGATGATGAAGATGATGGTTAGAGTTATCTATAATATGGTGATGGTGGTGAGGATCGAGATGGTGGTGGTGGTGATGATGTGGATGCGTGTGATGATGGTGATGATGATGGTGATGGTTATTGAGGTTTGGTAAAGACTGCTGTTCAGGCTGGCGTTGTAATTGCGATGAAGAAGGTTGCTGTAACCCCTCACTAGGCGTGACAGGATTTGCTGCAGTCGAAGACGAGGAAAACTGTGTATTTGGTTGGGTCAGCATTATCAAATAAGCTCAATTGTGTGACCTGTATCTGTATTTAAGCTCAATTGAGGTTTATGTAGTATCTCCTTGGTGACTCCAATGTTAGTAATAAAATGAACTGTCAAAAATCGCGATGACATACGATTCCAAATTTTTTGTTCCTCTGTTTAATATTGTATTCTATTTTGTGCATCGTTCGCTACAAATAAGTTTGTGGAATTGCGAGGGAACGGAATTTGAATTTCATTTCAGATAAAGGCGGTAGAGTTGCATTACAACCATCAAGATCATCGTGATTGACCAGATTGCGATTACAAGTTATGCTCATAGTGTTTGACTTCTATGGCACAAACCCGCATCATATTGTATAATTTGATTTCAAATGCGACTGGGGTAAATGCGCACGATTTGTCCATTCTTCGGTTACGGTTGTGCTCTCCGTGGCTCAAACTGGCCTGTTAGTGTTTTACCTGAAAAGGCAAAGACCCAGTTTTTCACTGTTTCTACGGTTGCCGGTAAGAAACACGGCACAACAAATTCTACATCATTGTTCTACAACATTCTCTCATATTTTCAGTACATTACTCCTCTACTGGCCCAATTCCATGCTAGAAGAAACCAAAACAATTTGAGTACGACCTAATGTGATCCCTTTCTGAACATCAATTGCAGTGGAGTTTGAGATGTCGGGTTTGTTTTGCTTAATAGCTTACAAGTAGTTTCAGTCAGCTGGAAAGGGCGTGCACGTGCTACTAGCTAGGGCTTCGTTTTTGTATAATGCTTTTCATTTGTTTGGTGCTACCGGTTTACAGTATTACCCACAAAGAAAGAAAGAACAAACAAGAATCTACTACGCTACCAATGCAGCATATGGTTGTATTACATAATTAAGTATCATAAGTATTACATAATACATACTAATTAACCACCTTCACGCTTTGAGCAAAAAAAAAAAAACTTGTGTCTACAAATTTTCACTTGGTCATTAGAGTTATTCAAAACCTCAACCTTATACACAACAACAATGGCTGAATCACACAGATGTATGTTTCAAATGAAAGAGCAGTGATAGAAGTGCGGTAGCATATGTTGGATGGAAGAGATCCAGAACATCGAGATAATTGGATACTATTTACTCCCTCCGAACAGATGGAAAGATTGAACTGGAAAGTGCACCAGGCACCAATAATGTACACGTTCAGTGTAAACCGGAGCGACAGAATTGTGCAACCAGTGAAGTCGTTTCATTTGTTTTTCAGTTTTCAGTTTTCAGTTTCCAGTTTCTAGTTTCCACACACATGACTCATCACCCTTTTCCACAACTGCTTCACTTTGTTTGAATGAACAATTTACTAACTGTTTTAATTTAGTATACGTTAAAGGTAAACATATCTCCTACCAAAGATCTAAAAACGTCACCAACCCAAAGGTTTCATTGATCCAAATCGAAGGTGTTGGTTCTCCACAAGATGCCAAATTCTACTTAGGTAAAAGAATTGCTTACGTTTACAGAGCTCAAAAGGAAATCAGAGGTTCTAAAATCAGAGTCATTTGGGGTAAAATTGCCAGAACTCACGGTAACAATGGTTTAGTCAGAGCCAACTTTAAGAAGAACTTGCCGCCAAAGACATTTGGTGCTTCAGTTAGAATCATGTTGTACCCATCAAACATCTAAGCTGATTAGCAAAACCCAAAGGAGAGCAAAAAAGCTGTGATTGTTGGATATAAAAATCATTCTACAACCAAAACATACAATATACACTATACAAAATGAAATGGGTCTCAAAATCAAAAATTCAAAACCCACAATTACAATTTTTTTATCACAGATTACGACTGAATGGAGAAGGTGTGAAAATATATACAAGCACATTCTTTTTTGTTCAGCTGTAACCTGGGGAGCAAGTACGAGGGAGAAATATAGGATGAAGTGTGTAACTTTATAGTTTATAACTTGGTGTTAATATTCAAAAAGCATTTTATAAAAGCTATCGATAATTGTAGGCACAGATTTTTCATTATATTTTATTTCATACCACCTGCTTGGAGCCATTCTAGTGACTCAAGATTTCTTGACTAACTTTCTTGCCAAACACTACACATTCCAATAATGAACTGCCACCAAGTCGGTTGGCGCCATGGACACCAGCACTTACTTCACCAACGGCATATAAGTTTGGAATGATTTGACCCTGAGAATTGATTACATGTGCATGTGAGTCAACTTCAATTCCACCCATGGCAAAATGCAAAACAGGCGTTGTTAATCCGAAATAAATTGGTGAAGAAATTGCACTTCCAAACACAGTTCTATTCAATGTATCCTTTTTCTTTGACTTGACGACTTCGTTATACTCATCAAATGTTTGTTGTAACTTGGTTGTAGTCAATTTATCATTCTCTGGGTTGATACTTTGCAACAATTTTAATAAATCCTCGAGTGTTCCCTTTTGCAATAATCCCTGTGAGGCATAGAAGTCAATATGATTTGCAGCTTTGGGATAATCATCGCCACTTACCACAAGCACTGAGACATATGTACCAACCGGTAAACCCAATTTGTTTTCTTGCTTCACTTGACAATGTTGCATCACAGCTTCAGTAACTACATCTCTAGTAGTCAACTCATTTACAAATCTGTAACCATTTGGTGATAACAAGATACCACCAATACCGCGCATGAGTTCCCCACAAAGGAATTTCCATTGAGATGCAACATTTTCTGGCTTGATGAAACCAGTGGGGTGAACTTGAATTTGATCCATTTGAATCAAATGAGCATTGACATCGCGCAATGCAATTTTCTGGCCGTCCCCTGTTGTTTGTTCACCATTGGATGATGCAAATTGAAGCAAGTCAGGACGGTATTGTTTGAGCAATGAAGTTTCGAGATTTTGAGTATCGGCTGAAAATCCACCAGTAGCTAATACCACATTGACACCATACTCACTCTTGACTTCATTGGAGGTTTGATCTTGATATTGAACACCGCTAACCTTATTATTATCACCACCATCGGATAAAATCTTCACCAAGCGGCTGTTTTTGTGTATAGTCAATATGTCGGGGTTACTTACCTGGATTTCTTCAATACGTTTTATCAATGTCAGAACTATGGAAAATCCCGGTGGCAATTTACCCGCTCCTTTATGCGTTCTGGCAAACGAGTGACCACCTAATTGTGTAACCAGTGAAAGATCAATTTTCAAGTCCTTAGTTAACCATTCAATGGCATCACGCGAACGAGAAGTCAATTCATCAACCAAACTAGGGTTACATAAGCCCTTTCCCGACTTGAGAGTATCGTCTTTGAACGCTTCCACAGTATCATCATTGTGTTGATATATAGTAGGCACGCCATTGATTCCTGATGAAGCTTTGATTGAGTTACCACCCAATTTAGTAGTCTTTTCAATCATGGTAACTGGATGATTTTGCGAAATTAGTTGCAACGTTGTTGTTAACCCGGCTAGCCCTGAACCAACTACAATAGTACGGTTAGACAGAGACTGCAGCATGGTGGAGAAAATCTTTGCAGCCACTGATTTCAATACTGGATAGACCTGGATGTTTAATAGTAAAATGATTAGGGCAACGAGTGCGTAGCGTTTAAAATGAAACACTTTGGCTAGTGAAAGAAATTGCGTTTTGTGGGAAACGAAGAAAAGGAGGAAAAGAAAAAGGGTGGTTATTGTCGAATTGCGTCCCTATTTATAGCTTTGATGGTGGAGTAAAACCAGGAGGGATTTGCAAAAGCTAACTAGACAAAAGTCACAAGCCACATTTATTGGCTCATTTCTGGGGAAGATCAGTTGATTTTTTTTTTTTTCGGAAAACAGTTTGCGCAAAAGAGAGATATTACCGAGATTACATTAACGAGACCCCCCTCGTTCTTACATATGCAATAACAATTAAAAACCTTTTCAAAACAACAAGTCTACACTCTTTATACAATCAAACTTCACAAAAGCATCAAACGCTTTAAACCTTGATGTCATCTTGTTCGAATTTCTCAGGAACAAATCTCCAGTGTTTGGCATCCCCATGATCGTATTTTGATTTCTTTAATGAACCCAGAGGTGCATTATGGATCGACAAATTGGCTTGGTTAGTCAAATTGATGAAATCATCTGGTGGGGTCAAATTAGTATCCTCAGATCGGTTGCTGTAATCAACAATATCAAACCATCTTGTTTGCCACTTGGTTCCTTCTTCCTTTTCCTTCTTTCTCAATTCTCTTTGCTCATTCTCAATCTTCGATTTTTCCTCGGCGATCAAATTGTAATCCAGCTTCTTAATTGCTTCAGCTACTTTTTCCCAAGCTCTTCTCGACTCAAATTCCTTTTGTTCTTCAATTGGCTTGACTGTCAAATGGAGGGCTTTCAATGCATTTGCGTCATAGAACAACTCACCAGTTTTGGAAGTAGGAGTTGCTGAGCCTTTGTCGATATATGACTTACCGGACCATTGACCTTGTATTGTGACCAAGGCATTCTCCTTTGAGGAGCTGGAAAAGGAGTCGCGGTATATCCTTGCCTTGAAAGTATTCTTCTTACCTGAAACCCAACCTCTACCACTGTATTCTATGACTGTAAAGTACCCATTTGAGGCTTGTATATAAGACGTTCCCTCCAACTCAACAAAGGGTGATGCAGTAATCAACCCTTCAATGTGCAAAGGTGGCAATGTTATCAAGTAGCTTTCTTTCAAGTTGTTGTAATCTAAAAGCGCGTGCCCATATTGTTTAATATTGATGGAAGTAGCAGAAATCTTGGATGTGATTCCATTGTATCCTTGCAACGTGACATTGTTCTTGTCATTCCTAATGGCATAGGCAGTTACTGGTGGGTGGTGACTAACCTGTTCACTCAATAAGATGGTCTCGCCCAACTCTTCGCTATCCCATTTCCCAACAAAAACTTCCCCCAAAAATGGATTCAATGGCTTCTTTTCACTTCCCATACTTTCATTTCTAGAGCAGTATTGGGATTTCAATGTAGATATAAACCATTTGGTAACAGCAATAGCCCTCTTCAAATTCATGGCATCAATTGTACTAGCTTCTGCGTCTTCGGAGACAGTCAACTTGCTAGGTGCAATGAACAAATCGGGATGTTCGGCCCAATACTGGGAATACTCCACGAGCGAAGTAGGAGATAATATAAATGGTGGCGCAGTTAGTGAAGATAAATCACCATTAAATGATGCAATTGATTTGAGAAAAGACGTCCATGAATGAGAACTTGAAGCCGATGAAGAAGCCGAGGCTGAGGCTGAGGCGTTTGAAGATACTGAGGATGGTGAGTCTGATCTATTGTCGGAAGCCATAATGTAAAAGGTGTGTGGGATCAAGTTACAAACGTATAGGGAGATAGCAACAAAAAACTGGGAGCTCAAGTGAGTGTGATGATGAAGTTGGTAATTAATATCTTCCAGAAATCACTCAACTGTGAATCCCTTTTTCCTTTCTCCTGCTTTTTTTTTGCCGCATTTTTTTTTTTTACCTTTTCCTTTTCCTCTATGCTTTTTGCTTTCTCCATCTGAGCTTGACTCATGAACTACACTATACAAGCGTGTAGAGGAACCAAGTCTTTACTCGTTACGATTCTGAGTTTGTTCTGTGTGTTCACAGTAAAACACTCGTATACAAAATGGATGCTCTACACATTTTATCTACATAGTTTGTGTAACTTTTCACATGCTGACCAACATCTTGGCTTGACACCCCCCCCTTCTATTCTAGCTTAGAGCTTGATATAAATATGCTTGCGGTTCAAGACAATCGTTACAGATAACCACACAATGCTGTAACCAATTAGAATCAAAAATGCAACTGTACCGGAAACCTCCAACGTATTGATCAGCATATTAATCAACCCAGTTGTAAGATTACCCAATAAAAATGCAAGTAACCCATTGTTATTGACACCTTCCAACACATCTGAAGCAACTTCGGTTTGTTCCGGAAGTAACTTATCGATCAAGTTGTACCCCAATAAAAATGCGGCATTGTAGGACACAACCCACAAAATGTAAGATGCATTGGCAAATCTTCTTGAAATGTTGGTGAGGTTGTTGGAGTTGTTCACTATTGTGAACAAAGCTTGATAAAATATGGTTGATATAACCAAACCCTCTGTTGTGGACACTGATACAAAATTGGAATTTCTTTTGGTTACTTTGGTTTTACTTATAAAGATCAAGTTGTTCCTTGTAGGATACTCGGTTAGGACAAACGATCCAAACGATTGACCAAATATGAATATAGTAAAGTATCCCAAAAATGAGTATATCCCTTCCTTGTTCATAGTCAAGAAGTTGTCCATTCTGTTTCCGCTAGATAGTATCATCGGGAGCACACTGGTCCTCTTTAGTATCAACTCATTCAATAAAAGAAGAGCAAACGCAACCAGCACTCGTGGTAAAATGTTCAAAAATGGATCCAAGATACCCAACAAAACCGGCAACAATCCCAAGGTAATGAAAAAATTCCAATGGATACCATACTCGGTTACATGCTCTTGGTACTCCAATTTCTTTACACTGATAAACCTAACAAATCCCAAAACCAACAAAGGCAACGCTTTAATTGTACTTTGTTTAATTATTTTCGAGTATGCGTTCCAACTGAATCTATAACGAGAATGTACCTTGATCAATTGTCTTGAATTTACTAATCCCATTGAAAATACAAACGATCCTACTCCCAAATCCATCATTGATGTACCCCATGTTTCTACTTTGGCAAACCTTCTGGGGAAAATTTTAAAATCAACTGCTAATATGGCTAAGTTGGTTATTATCAACATGTGGGATCTATAAGCAGTGAGAAACTGTTTTCTACTCAAAAGAGCATCATTCGTAGTGCTATGTTGTCGCTGGCTTTTTTTGTTCCTCTTTTTGCTTGTATAGTGATTTAGCAAAAACATGAGTAGTGATGGAAAAAATATCGAATAGTGTAAAAAGGCCGTGTTGTTGCTGTAAATAGTTATGGCTGTTAGGATAGTCAACACATTAATCACATAGTCGTACACCAACGGCAATTGGGTAATTGAGTCCTTGATGAGTTTGTACGATAGATATGAAGTTAGTGCCACCGAAGTCACCAAATATATTTCCTCAATCGATCCACCAGTCAAGTCGGACACGAAGCTCTCTTTCAATTGCTTCAAGGATGTCATTTTGTAATCTGTTTTCTAATACAACCCGTGTGTCAAAGGATACTTGTTTATTGTACACCTTGACTTGAATATTTGTTATTTCTCAGCTATCTTTTGTTGATGGAAAATTAAAAAAAAAAAAAAGTTTTTGGTTCTTTGGCATATGCTAAAACCAAATTCTTGAAACACAACATCACAGGGTCTAGTCGTGTTGTTGACACACAACGTCTCAATAAGAATTATATTACATCATTGTATTTCAACACGCCCTTTTTCTGAAAATCCCTATACAATCACTGACATGGCACAATACGAATTTGAGAACACGACCAAAGATAATTCGACAACCACATCAACCTCATTGGATAAAAATGATGGAGCAGAGCTTACACATAATCAGTCTAGCTCGAGCTCGCTAGATGATCCTGCTGTTATGGAAAGTTACAGTCCAGGCTCATCGAATTCAAGCCCGATGTCCTTGCATGAACCTCTGAAATCCCCGCGTTTGACAATTTCACATTTACACAACAACAGCATACCTTCGTCAACCAACTATATCGATTTTGTAATGTATTCAGACTCTGACGACATTGCTTCTCAAAGCTCGTTGGATTTGCAAAATGATGAATCCAAATCAAGGCGAGATATTCAGAATCAGTTGAAAAAATTAGCAAGAAGTCACAGTTCCGATGAAGATGAGGACATAGATGAAGATGAAATCAATGTGATCAATATAAACAAAGAAGAGTCTCAGAATGACAGCACCTCAAACAAAGGCTCAAATTCTGCAGTGCACTTGAAACCTACGTTTGCAGTTGATGAAACCCCCAAGCGCAAGAGGAGCTCGACGTCGTCGCGAAACTCCTCACCATTACGAAGGGCTATTTCACCGAGCCCTGACGAAACTCCTAGCAAACGTGCAAGCAAGCTGCGCTCGAAAATACGAAGGAGGCTGAAGGAGCCAAGTGAAAAATCTCATAAATCATTAGACAAATCCGGGACCGGCTACACATCAATGCCTCCATCTGGTAAAGTTTTCAGAAACATGTTAATTTTGGAAGAAAGCTTGAGAGAGCAAGTGATCCAACAAAGAGCAATGCGAAGAAAGTACTTGATCTTCTTGGCATTATTGTGTTCAATTATTTCCGGTTTGGCTCATCATTTGTTCATTTTAGATGCTTCTGTTTCATCAACGGGGACCACAAGATTGATTTTGAAGTTCTTTTTGATCTCAACTGTAATTACCTTATTGTTGTACCATTTATCAGGAGAGTATCAAAAGACAATTGTCCTTCCTAGAAAGTTCCTTTCTTCGACTAACAAGGGTTTGAGACAATTGAATGTTCGATTGGTAAAGATCAAGACACCACTTGCCGACAAGATAACCGACTTGATACGAGAGTTGTCCCTTTTTGTGGTTAACTTTGGTTTGGAATTTTTCCACAAGATTTCTCCCAGTTCCATTCAAAATAAGGACTCAAAAATTGAAGTTTTTCTCGTCACTTGTCAATCGCAATGTCAACCTCGTATAGGTGTTACAGACGTAAAATTATTGTTGAATGCAAGGGTGTTTAATGTTGATATAAGAGAGGGCTGGGAGATATATCGAAGTGAGTTTTGGATTAACGAGGGTGTGAGAAGAAGGAATAATTTGTTATCGTTTATAAATGGAGCCAAATTGGAAAAGAAGCAACAGTTAAAGAAGCGAAAGAGGACAAGTTCAACACCGACACATTCGGTACCCTCCAAGTTGAGTGAAGAGAATTTACTAAAACTTGGCTCATCTACGAAATGAATTTGTTGGTTTCTACGTTCAAGCTTCAGTACTCCAATTTTTTATTTTGTGTAATTTAAAGAAATCTCAAAACCTCATCTCTCTTAATTTTTTATTACAAAATTTAATTCGTGCCCGTCCACTAAGTTATCTCACCGTAACAAGTTAACAATTTACAATGAGTGAGCAGGCTAGAACAAGAAAGCAACCTTCTAGAAAAGGTAAGAAAGCATGGAGAAAGAATGTGGACTTAAATGATATTGAAGCAAAACTTCAGGAAGTACGAGATGAAGAGATAGTGAAAGGTCCTTCAGCACAAGATGATTTTGTAATTGATGAAACCCCCAACTTTACTTCGAAAGAGTACAAGACGCCAAAGAAACTCAAAACGCAAGAGATTTTAACAAACAAGTCCAAAGTTCCTGCATTAGTCAATAACCGTGCTAAGAAGAATGCAACAATACAGGGAGTGAAAAAGACAGAGATGTTGAGATTGTTGAAATTACGGGGTGGTAAATACAAAGACGAAAGCATAACCATGGCAAGAATTGAACAAGACGGATTGGTAAGTGGTGATAGTGAGGATCTTTGGGATGATGATAGTAGTACCACAACCAAACATAAAGCAAAAATCCCTGATTATGGCACTTCCACAGCCGAGGTCACTCCAGCTACGGTCGTACCGCCAACTTTGCGTGTCAAGCCCATACAAGTCACCAAAAATGATTTGACTGAGAAAGCCGTCCATGCTGGTAAATCGTATAACCCATCGTTGGAGTCATGGAAGGAGTTGATAGACCAGGAATATGGTGTGGAATACCAGAGAGAATTGACACGGCAGTCGATGGAGGACCACAAATTGAGAATTCAAGAGCTTATGGTCACTTTAAATGATAACATGTTTTCCGATGGCAGTGATGAAGAAGAAGAAGAAAAGGAGGAGGAAGACATAATTGGTGAAAATGAGAAGGACTATTCATTGTCCATAAACAAACCAACAAAAATCAAGATTAAAACAAAGACAAAGAGAAACAGACAAACCAAACACAAGGAAAGAGTTAAATTAGAACAAGAAATCAAAGATTTGAAGAAGCAGTTGAAGGATCTTTCTAATTTGGATAAAATTCTACAGAAACAGCAACAAGAAGAAGATGAGGGTAAGTCAAGAACAAAACCGTCTGAAAAGCCAAGAAGTTTGAAAAGGAACAAATTGCATAAATACACCCCTATTGAAACTCCATTAGAATTGAAGTTATCAGATGAATTGACTAGTAATTTGAAAAACTTAAAACCAGAAGGTAACCTATTTTATGATCAAATGTTAAACTTACAATCAAGTGGTAAGATTGAAAGTAGAGTTCCAGTGCATAAGAAGAGAAAGTACGCCAAAAAGGTTACTGAAAAATGGACCTACAAGGATTTCAAATAAATGATGTATGCAATTCAACTTTGTTTCTTTTCTTCAAAATAAATATACAAAAAACTCAACCGTACCCTCTTTTGAATCTATGAGAAATTCCAATCACCAAATACATATCCTCTAAACAACCTATCTCTCAAACTAAAGAATTGGTTCCTGTATGGTGTGTAGTATCTCTGTTCAATTTGTTCAATTGTCTTGAAGCTTTCTGGAGCTATTGGCTCACTCGTTTGACCTCGATGAGTTCCAGTTAGATAGAAATCCCTTTGCATCATCTTGTGATCCCACTGGTCTAGAAAATAGCGATCATTCTTCCAACCGTTGTCCCAGTATCTGATATATTGAACCCCGTGACCGGCCAAGCCATAGAAAGCCGTCATGATGGCATATGGTATTAAACCCTCGAATGGTACAGGCATGTTGTTTTATGATGGTAAAATTGTCTAGTTGAAAAGTTGTAAAATCAAAATATGACAGCTGATGACTTATATATGAACAATTGCAAAGGGGGCACAGATAAAGTGTAGCGAGTTTTCGTCTGGACTTTTGGGGTAGACTCTAACCTAATCACTTGAAGAAAATTATGTTCTGCGAGATTTTGATTGGAAGAAAAAAAAAATTAATAAACATTTGAGCACATTACACGACAGATGTCTTGTAGGTGCAAAATATGGGCACCACCATGCTAACTAAAGTATATCTCTCTAAACTTTATTAACTGATACATATGTATTCTTTATACAATAATCTATTCACTCATTCAATTTCCAAACAACAGCAACAAATCTATCCATTCTCACCTTCTCTCGCAATTGCGCCAAACACCACTCGTCGTGGGCCAAAAGTTGTCTCGGTATGGGCCTCTTTTGAGGATCCTTAATCAAACACCTAGCTATAAACCGTTTGAATTCAGGAGACCAAAAAATACAGTCAGAAACACTATCCTTCAATGACAACTCACTTCTCAGAACCATTTCAACTACCTCGATTGGTCCTAACGAAACGTCGATAGGAAATTTCCCACTGGCAACCTCAAGCATCGACATGCCTAGTGACCATATGTCACTTGATATCGAGTAATTTTTACCCATGATACGCTCTGGCGCCATATAGTACTGTGTGCCAACAAATGTGGATGCAAAAGAATTAACTGCCTCACCACTAACACCAAAATCACATAGCTTGACGTTTCCTTTTGAGTCTAATAAAACATTCGATGGCTTGATATCTCTGTGGATGATGTTCTTCAGATGCAAATAATCCAATCCCGACAAAATCGAGTTTGCAATCTTACCCAACACCTTTTCGCTTATCCTATTGGTTTTGTCTCGTTTAGCAACTTCCTTATATATTGCATCTAGAGAATGTCCATCCATATACTCCATCGCTATTCCGATCATTGACTGCTTTTCCAAAAGAAAAGTTCCATAGTAGTTGACGATATTGGGGTGCTGACATTTTTTTGCAACATCCAACTCTCGAAATATCTGTTTTTGCACATCGGGGTTGGAGTCTGCAATTATCATTTTCAAAGCAAAAACTTGTGATTTCTGTAACTTTACAACACGGCATTTGGTGACCGATCCTCCATTTCCCTCTCCCAACTTTCCCATTTCTTCAATGAGGTTGTTATTAGCACAAAAATGCCAGTCGTAAGAAGTTAGTTGCTCAAGATAGTGTTTGTTTTGCAAAAAACTATCCAGCTTCAGCTTCCACTGATCACATTCTTGCAGGACCTCCTTCTCCTCATTCAGGGTATTCCGCAGTCGTACTTTGTCATTATCTTCTTGTTGAGATGTTGTATCGGTCGAGATTGGTGGTGGTTTTCGCTTCAACCTAGGGGAGCTCGATGACAAGGATGACGTTGCCGTATTCGGAGTGGATGACGAATTTGATGATGGTGATAGAGAGTTTATAGTTGTCATTACTGGGGGAGGCTTTTTGAGCTGAGTTGGTAGTTGTGTTTGGAAATCACTCTGTGAGTCTCTAATGCTCAATTGACCAAATCGTCCTTCTCCAATATCTTGCGATGAATCTGCATTCAACTTGAGATTGGGTTTGGTATTATTCTGTGTGGGTGGAATAGCTAATGAAGGAAGCAGTCGATTATGCTGCCTTCGCGTATTCGGCACTTTGAACAATGGAACATCGGACATGACTATTGTGATGCAGGAAGTGAAATCACTTCACCAATTCTTGTATTATTGAAGTGTCGTTGTTGAAAAGCACTGCAGATGCTGAATCAAAAATTGGCCAGAAATGGGTGGCACTTGGGGTAAACGCGGATCTGTGATTTCGCAAAAATTATAAAACGAGGGTACTGCTCAATTGGAGGAGACTCAGTAACTCATGTGTTTGATTTCGATTTTATTTAACTTAACCCTTGTGAAATCGAATGAAGAACAAAAAAACAATGTTCACCTTTTGTGTTGGAAGAAGAAAAAATTGAAAACGAACAGAACAAAAAAGAAAAAAAAAAAAAAGAAAAAGAAAGAAAAGTTAATGAAAACACGCGCAATTAAATGATAAAGACACAGACGAGACGTGTAAGTAAAGTGAAGTAAATGCTACAAAAGTTGGGATTAGGAAAACGTGGCATTGTTATTTAGCTTTTCCTACCAGACTCTTTTTATTGTTTCTTTCTAGCTGGACCTTTAGTCGTCCTCTTGGCGGCTCCACTCTTTCCCACAGGCACTTGTTTGATTAACTTGTCCTTTTTTGTATCAATTTTATCACTATTATCTCCGTCGTTATCATCGTCAATATCCTCCATATCATCGTCCACAACTTCCTCATAATCTACTTTTGTCAGAGCTGCTCGTTTACCTCCAACGCCAAATGAATTGCCTGTTTTGTAAATAACTGTAGGATGGATAACATTGTTGTACTTACGAGTGAATGCAGCCTTGTCTTTCTTATCCAAATCGACAGGCTTGTTGAGCATATCACTAATATTATCATAGTCTTCCTTCGTCAAGTAATAGGCATCCATTGTCTCAATTGTCTGGTTAATTCCGGCTTCACCTTGTTGCTTGATTGGAATGTTTAACTTAACCCACAATGGATTCAAGTAATCCAAACGCAATTCTTGCTTCGTGGTTGATGTCTTGACTCTAGTGTGGTATTGTAACTCCTGTAGCATTCTCTGGAACTTCATTTGTTTCGAATTTTGTCCCAACCAAGCACTGAAATTCAATCTACCAGTCACTTGACCAGCAACTTCGTAGGATGGTTTCACCGTTGACATCAACCCGTGGAATGGTAACAAACTCCATTGTTGTTCACTAGATCTAATCAATGAGTTTATAGAGTCCGATATACTAATATCATCGGCGGCTTGTGCGACATGTTGAATATGGGGTCCCGGAAGTCTTGGTCGGGTATTTAAATAGTTTTCCTGGATCATCAATGGAGCGAAATCGATGTCATTGAAATACAAATCAAGCTTTTCAGTCAAGTTTTGTCTGGGACCTGTCCAAATGCCTGAAGACAAAAGTCTACCAGCAATATCAAATGGCTTTAAAATAATTTGTTTTTTCCAACTGGCTTGTATCTCCTTGACATTGTTTGTACCAATTAGCTTTTGAGTCTTTGACACTGTAGATAGCAAGTTTATCATTTGTCTAATATCATTAGATGTAGCTTGGACCAACTGTCCAATTATATTTGGATCTAACTTGATACCTTCACGTAATGCGATTGTCATCAACCTACTTTTCACCTCATTCTCTGTAGGTCTCCGAAACGGCAAGTCATATGTCACTCTATCAAATGTCCTCATCTTGGGTAACGACTTGTCATTACAAATTAAGATCATTGGCATGTTTGTAATTCTACAAAATTGAGATAAGGCACCAGCTCCACCATGATCTCCGCTTGACATTCCATCAACTTCGTCCATGATTAAACAAATCTTTCTGCTATTGCTGCTTTGCTGTTCATCATCACGATGTTTGAAAAACCCAATAACTGAAGTGTTGTTCAAAACTGATTTGATGTTGGCATTCAACAATGATTTAGATCGAACATCAGATGCATTTTTCTCCAAAACATCAAATCCTAACGAGTTGGCAACCAAGTGTGCTGCCGTGGTCTTTCCTATTCCTGGAGGACCACTGATCAAAGCGGCCCTATATGAGCTTGGATTATCAGATCCACCAGGGAAATTTTTAGCCTTGTTTTCAAACCAATGCTCTAGCCAACTGCGCAATTTTTGAACTTGGCCCTTGTTTCCACATAGCTGGTTGAAATCTTTTGGTGCATGCTTGTCTGTCCATAACTTATCCTTGGCTGGTACTTCCTGCGTTACGGGAGGCAGTTGTGATGTTCCACCGGAAACGTTCCGATTTGCAATCTCTTGAGCTTTCTTGGCCCTTTTCTGTTCTTCTTTTCTTTCCTCTCTTTCATCCCTTTCTGCATCTTCGATGATTTTCTTTTCTTCTTGTTCACGTTTCTCCTTTGCTTTCAAGGCAACTTCGCCACTTCCACCATCAGCTGGCATACTTGACAACAATTGAATAAACCCATCCTCATCAATTGCCTTGATTTTAAATTCTCTAATCTTCTTCACCTTGGAGGGACCAGCGTCGGATCCAATCACAACTAAGCTAGTCTTTTTAGATATCGATTTCGTCACTTTTGCACCATACTGTTGCGCAGTCAGTTCCGCGGTGTTTCGATCCAATGAGGGCATTTGACCAGTAAATACGATTGTCAATCCTGTCAAGCAATTGGGTTGTGCTGCAGGTAAATCTACCAGAGTCGACGTAGTTGCATTTTGTTGGGCTTTGAGAGCAAAAAAATTTGGCTTTTCACCCTCATTCACTTCGGGTAACTCTGCATCTGGAATCTTTGCAAGCACTTGATCTATGGATTCGCCTACGACAGGTTCCGTTGGTTTCTGTTTTGTTTCATTCTTCGTAGGTGATGATGCCTTTGCTGGAGTTTTACGAGGTGAAGCCAATGGTTTTTTCTTTCTAGGAGTTGTCTTTTTGGGTGGCTCTATTTCCATTATATCATCGTCATCAAATTCGAAATCATCGTCTAACTCAATCATTTCTGGTTTAGGTTTTGCAGTTGCCAGTTTGCTTCTCTTTGCGCTCGGTGATTCCGTTTCTTCAACCTTACGTTTCTAAATGGTTTAACAGGTTAGTCATCAATTGAACAGGAAACCTCGAGTCTCAACATACCGCAGCAGGTTTTTCTTGCAGGTTCTTGAAAAAGTCTTGGATGTTGACCATGACGAACACGTTGAATCGGTTCGACCAATATCCTCTCTTGTGAGAAAACGCGTTTGTAAAGGAATAAATTTTCATTTCTACAAAATACCCATTTCTTGTGCGAACAAAAGAAAAACTGCTTCCCTTCTTGTATTACACTTTATCTATTTACTTCCCACTAGACTCTTTTTCTAGAAATTCAGTCCACAATGATATAAAGCTTTGCCTCGTGGGTGTCTCATTTCCATCGGGGTCTACCTTGGTCCTACCACCTTTTGCATTCGGCACATGTTGCAAACCGGCAGCGATCTTTTGCAGTTGGTCCCATTCTAATAATGCACTAATCAACTGCAACGCCTCAAATTTTTTGGAATCCCCTCGAGGAAATTGCAAAAAGCTAATTATAACGTTCGATAGTAATTCTGCATCCACGGTCTTGTTTGATCCTTCCCCTTTTTGCTTCATCATCGTTAATGCCTTAGTCAAATGTTCGTTTAATATAACAGCTTCATGACGTAATTTTCCAATAAGAAGTTGCTTATTGTTTAATTCCTTTTTCAAGTCAGCTATTTCAGAAGACTTTAACTCGGATTCCAAAAGTTTTTGCTTCATATTTCTCACTTCTGTGCGTAGAGTTTCAATCGTGTCGTCCTTTTCTGCAATGATTTTGTTCAATCCCTCAATTCTCTCCAACAAAGACAGCTTTTCTTTTTCAAACAACTTGCTATTTTCTGATATGAGGTTGTTCAATTCCTCTATATTTGCATTGGCACTCTTGAGCTCTTTATCTTTCACATCAAGACGTTCTTTAAAAACATTGACAGAGTCTGCCAAATCTCTTTTCTCCTGATCAAACTCACCCTGAGCTACTGTTAGGTCGTTTATTTGCTGCTTCAACTCGTGGACCTTTTTAGACATCTTGGAATTTTCGTTTTCTAAGCTGTATTTCTCATCTTGTAATTCTTCAATGGTTGAAGTGTACTCTCGTCGAGTTTTAGTTAAAGTATCGCTTAATTTCTCACATTCATTATTAAGATTTGTGTTTTGTTCTTGTAATTGAGAATATAAGGTCTGCTCAACCTTGTTGGAAGCTTCGTTTTCAAGGGATTTTTTCAATCGACTATTCTCTTCCTTTAATTTATCATTATCCTCATTCAATTTGTCCACTAGCTCTGATTTCTCTTCTAGTTCCACTTCCGCCTTTTTCATGTTGGCAAACACGGTTTTGAATGAAGATAATCGACTGACTAAATTGTCATAAGAGTGTTTGATTTCGTCTCTTTCCTTCTCCACTTGTTGTAGCTTCTCCAACGTCAAGTTTTCAATGTTCGTCTCTGATTGCGACGCCATTGAAGATACCCCATTTGTCTCAATCACCTCAGGCACTTTTTCTGACTGTTCTAAACTCTTTTCTATCTCATGATTAGGCTCCAGGATATCATTTTGAAGTTGTGTGGTAATCTCCTCTGTATCATCTTGTTTTTTGCTTTTCTTTTTATTTTTACCCATGATGTATATGTATATCTATATCAGCTACTTGGTAACGGGGTCACGGATTCCCTGTGTATGGTGTGCTATACCTTGTCAATCAAAATTCCTTTGCTGATGGTCGGTGTTTATACTCTCTGATCCACGACATTAGGTACACAATTTATTACTTTTTTTTTTCATTCTTTTTTTTCACTTGTGGTGTGTGTGTGTTGTGTTGTTCTCTTCTAAAGTACACGGACGTTTATTTACCTTTTATGGTCAACGACAATAACTAACACGACCTCAGTCATCCAATGAGGACAAAGTATGTAAAATAAGACTACTGATCAAAAGTTGCTGTTTGTATGTTGCATTGAGATAAGCCATTTAAATCTTCATTGTTTTTGGCTTCTTGTCGCAAAAGTATACGCGACACGCCAAAAATTTTGCAACAAGAAAGCCATGTATTGTTCCATTTAAGGAATCCAATGCAGTCAATACGTGACAGAGTTTTGGCAGGGACGATGGAACGTGTTCCCACCATTAATCCGGTCACAGTTGATAAAAATTGCAAGTGGTGACTTTTGTTGGCTATCAATCGTAGTCACGTCTAATCTTTGCTTTATTTTCACAGTATCCGAACTGGCAATAGCCAACGTGCAATCTACAATCTACACCAAAGCAGTGGGATTACTTCTCATCGCAAATGATCAGTAAACTATTACATCCCCCCTCTAGCGTTCTTACCTCCTTCACCAGCAGCAAATGTTTCATTGATTGTGAGCACATACCACAGGCATTGGGTAGTCGCAGATATGTATTCAAAGTCTATGCACTACCAGCAACCATCCCTCTGTTGATTCAGCATGTGCTACAAAACAAAATACAAAGCTAATGAGCTAGTACTTTCTAAGGGGAAGGTATGGGTGTTAATTAACATCGAAGAGGAAGAAAAAGGAAAAGAAAAAAAAAAAAAAAAAAAAGAAGCAGATCTCCTTCCATAGTAAGAAACGTAGAGATCTAGATTTGTGTGTGTGTGTGTGTGTGTGTGCGTGTTTGCTAGTTGTACAAAAGGAAAACACCCCTTATTGTTCTTTCTCACACCCTCGTATAATATAAGCTACATCAATGATAGCAATTATTTCAATAGCACTGTAAAACTCGTAAAGAAAAAAGAGAGACATCTATCCTAACCGATAGATAGAGCTACACAGTCAAAGCGAGCTTTTCCTTTCCTATTACTCTGTGCTTGTCTTCTTCCCCTGAACATTTTTTCCACAAATCGAATGAAGGGGGAGTGAGATTTCGAGCTAACTTGAAATTTCTTCCCCCTGGGTTTTGTGTCTCCATCACAACATGTTCTGTTCTTCTTCTGTCTTTTTATAAAAGACGTACAAAATCTTTTCAGCGTCTAAAATGTTTATTTTATGCAACTAATTAAAGACGGAGGGAAAAAAAAACAAAAAAATCGCATAAACCACACCACCACACACGTATGAGTAGCATATATTTGATTATCAGGGTCGACTAATTAACCAGAATATACCAATTCACAAAAGCCAATGACCACTGACCATTAGGATCTATATGAGTGTGAATACAATCAAAGATAGAGATGACCACCATGCAAGAAGTAATCTGGAAACAACCGAAAAAGAACAAAAGACACCGAAAGGGGTGGCATCATCATCACAAGTGGGAAATGCGCCTACCACACAACCAGAAACACCAAGCTTACTACAGTCACCTTACAAAGGGCATCCGGTAGTACCGCAACATTCCTCACCGCAGCCAAGCCAATTTCACCAATCCATTCCTTCACTATCCGCATTAAATGAGTCCATTCAAAAACCACAATCGGCTTCGACCGCACCTTCCTCTCCACAAAAGACCATAAGTGACCCGGGCTTGTTGACTTTATTGGGCCCAAACGTCAGTTCGTTTCCATTTAGTGAACTGGCTTTTATCGAAGCAATGAAGTTTAAGGCAGAACAAGAACGTACCAAGCAGGAGTTTTATCGAGCGGAGAGTGCAAACAAGAACCTAAATATTATCCAACTTGCCTTGCAGGCTCAAATACCTACAAATCAAATTCCGCAATTGCTCACTGGTGTAATCCCTCAGCAGGGCGTCGAAGAAACCAAGCCCAGAGGGTTGGATCTGGGACTGCCATATCAACCACCAAAACATACACTTCCACCATATCCGCAGTCAGCGCGCTGGGTAAACCCGCAGTTTGCGCAACCACGTCTACTGCTGGAGCAACAAGTCCAAATGATTCAAGCTCAACAAAGACAGATACAATACAATCTTCAACAACAACAGCAGCAACTACAATCTCAGCTGACAATGCATACTGCAATCCCCCAATTTCCACAGAAGCGAGCTTCAAGTACAGAACTGGAACTTAGTGCTAGCCCAGTGCAGCCTAAGGGATTTAGGTTTGGAGGTAATTTAACTTCAAATATGTCTCAAGAACGACCGCAGTCCCCGGCCAAAATTGGAGCTAGCGCGGTGGCACAATTAAACGCCCCAACTACTCCGTTTCGCGTTCCAAAATCTACGTCTTCATCCGTAGGAAAAAGATCTAGAGGACATCAACGACATTCCTCGATGCCTGTGCTGGCAATTACTGGCGACGTCTCCCACAATGCTAGAACAAGGCACCTACGACAAAATTCACAAGCTTTAGCAAAATCATCCCCATTCGTACAATCCCCTTCCGGATCTGCGACATCCACACTTCAAGTAAAACCGATACCTGCTCAACCTTTGAATGAGCAAAAGAGACAGCAGACTCAGCCGCTGCAGGAGTCAATGCAATCATTTCAGCACGTGATCCAATTCCATCATTGGCAACCAGAGCAAGATTTCACACCAAGTTCTACAAAAAATTCACCAAGTCACAAACGTCATAAGTCCATGACTAGGGAGGATTTGCCCTCTGTTTATTCTGCGACTGATTACAACGATAAAAGTTCGAAAGATGGGCTCACAAACACTCAACATTACGCAACAGAAAAGTTACATGAGAAAGATAGGGCACTAGTTGCTAATGTTGCAGTTGACGCAGATGATGCAGATCTGTCAGTAGATACAAGTATGGTAGAAGCTGCAACAAAGAAGGACGAGCTGGCACATCCACCATCTCGAATTCACTCACGACAGGAACTGAACATAGGTCGGTACCCCCATGATATTCTCTCTACCAATCAACTGTAGCTTTTTTGGTTACGAAAAAGTTTGTTGCAATTGCTATTCATTTTCATTCAAGTTTACATAATACTTGTATTCCTTACTTTTTATAGATATAAGCGACACAAGCACAAAAATTGACTGCAGGATTATATAAACTCTGATTTCTAGACTCGTAGCTAAGAAACGAAGTTGGCTGAGGGCTGTTTGTGTTGCTGAATTTATATCTTACACTCACGCATATTAAGCTCAGTTGTAAAGTTGTTGAAACAAATTTGGCGGCATTTTTATAATTTATTTTGCAACTAAACTCGGGAAAAAAAATATCAAAATTATTGAGCGTTCTCAAAATTCACAACACCTTGCAAACGAAAGATTACGCCCCAAACTTCACATTCTTAAGGTCAGTCATAGTAAATCTTCATAAAGGCACATTAGCACACGCTGCTGGCTAGCGAGATAAGAGATTGACAAAAACTTTTCTTTCTTTGAAAATTAAAAAAAATGCTCCCAGACAGGGAATTGAACCCTGGTCTACCATGCGACAAACGGTAATTCTAGCCACTAAACTATCTGGGAAATATTATAAAATTTGATGAACAAGATAATTCCAGTAATGTAAAAAATTGTCACATGATGAAGTAGCTCTACAATTTTTTGAGTGCATTTTTGTTTTAGGTAGGCTTCTCCAGTGGCTCTGCTAATACCTGAACCAACCCAAGGCTGTTATAGTATCATCGAAGTGGCACATCTCACTTTATCGTACATTTCTCCCGGCAAAATTCACAAAAGTTTATGGGAGTTCATGTTTCGTGAAGATCTTTTGCTTATAACTCAACCAGGGTGACCCTTACCATCTACAAACAGCAAAATTCATCACACAGGGATACTCCTTTACCAACCTGTGATCCCAGTGATGACCAAAGTGGCAGGGAAGAGGTCTTCAATTCTAAGCTTTCAAAGAACAAAAGTGAAAAAAAAGTAGAATTTTGCCCGAAGAAAAAGAGAAAACATAAAAAATAAAAAACAATGTTTGTAGGAAACATATAGTGCCCTTGCGATACACATACACGCTAATCATTGCTCATGAGTTTCAAGTACTTCACAGATGATATAATAGAGCAATTTACCGGAACGGGTAGTATAGAAATTTTCGAGGCTTTGGATTCCTACGAAACTTCTAGTCCCGAAGCCGAGGAAGAAGTTGTCTTACTTTTCACTGAAATGATTCAATCTTTTGAGGAAGGAACTTTGAAGATGGAACATATTGTTGATTTCCTTAGCCAATCGATCAAGAATGATGACGTGGCAAGATTATTTTGCCAAGTGTTGAATTCATTTCCAGTTACAGAGAATACACGAGCTTTGTTGTCAAAACTTAGCCAAAACGACAATGTGATAAAATCGCACACCATTTCATTATACATCAATTCAAACTTTATAAAGGAGACTGATATCGTTCCTAGCAAGATGTTGTCGAAAGCATTAAATACCAAGTTGAGAGACAAGTTGTATACACAGAAGAAGTACAATTTGTTGCATGAGGAGATTGAAGGGTATTCGAAGTTTGTCGCGGAATTGCATATTATATTCTCATCAGACGATACTGACTCGCAAATTGATTATGCTTTGCAAGTGGTTGAAAAATTAATTGGTCACTACAGTCTTGATCCGAATAGGTGTTTGGATATTTTATTCGGAATACTTTCAGAGGTTATCGTGGGCAAGGTTGATTCAATCTTAGAATTTTTCAAGAAAAGTCGATGGTGGCCAGCATTGGAAAGTGACAATTCTTCGATCAGATCGTTGTCAACTGGAGGTAGTGACATTGCGGCAAAAATACTAGGATTGAAGATTTTAAACTATCCAAAGATCAAGGACTTGCCAGAACTGTTTAAAGTCTTGGTAACCATTTTAATCAAAGAAGGGTTTGTAAGTTTTGGGTCTGTTTACAAGTATATGCGCCCTAGCGAAGCAGAAATGAAGGACCTTGAAAACAAGTACAATCTGAAGCTAGAAGAAGAGGTGTTGAAAGCTGGGGCGAATGCGTTGGCATTGGCCGCGCCTCTTGCAGATGACGAAGATGTGGACGGGAAAGACAAAAAAGGAGCAAGCACCCCTGTTGGGAATGCGTCCAATTTCAAATTGGAAGTCAACTACAAGTTTCAGTTTTTGAAAATTTTCTTAGCCAACGGACTTTATTGGCCGGCGATATACATCTTGACAGAATATCCGTTCTTGGCGGACATAGATGAAGAGATACCAAAGCTCTTGCTTCGACTTTTTGGGGCAATGATCGACCCGTTATATGGGCAAATTTTTCCATTCGATATGGAGGAGCTTGTTCAATTGCAGGCTACCAAGGGCATCTACTTCACACGTCCTGGTAATAACGTTAATGTTGAACCTTTCAAACAAGTGGACTACTATAGTTTCAAACCGATTAGAAAACTACACGCGCGGAGAAAGTTTCATTACTTTTACCGCAACTGGAAAGCTGGATTGCCTAAAATTGACGACTTTGCTTCCTTATTTGAGGCATCACAAGGGATTTTGAAGTTTATTGGATCCAACTTGTCTAAAGATGATGAGGTTTTTATCAAGTTGTGTGACATTGTTCATTCATTTCATTCGAAGGAGGAATTGAAAGAGGACATTTTCCACTACTTTAGAAATTACATATTCCCGCTGATGTCATTAATACAAGAGAACTCGATTGCAATAGACAGTGCCTATGCTATTTTAGCAGCTTATCCTGTCGAAGATCGTTTTAGCGTTTATGGAGAATTGTACAACAATTTAAGAAAAAACAATATGCGAATCAAGATTGCATATAGTAGTGCTGAAAAAGCGACGAAGGATGTTTTGAAAAGGCTATCAAATGAAAACGTTCGCCCCATGATGAGACGGTTAGCAAAAATCAGCTTTTCCAATCCACTACCATGTTTGTTGACAATATTACAACAGATTGAAAGTTATGACAATTTGAATACCTTAGTTGTTGAAACGGCAAGGTATTTCAACAGTTATGGATGGGAAAATTTGACAATTGCTATTTTGATTAGACTCAGCTCAGATCGAAGGTCAATCCACGATAATGGTATGGGGGAACGTCAGTGGCTCCAATCTCTCGCATCATTTGTTGGTAAAATTTGTCAAAAATACCAAAAAGCAATCGACACTAAAATGATATTGCTCTATTTGATCAAGACGTTCTACACTGGCGATAGAACGGGGTTGTTGGTTTTGAAGGAAATGCTCATTTCAATGGGTGGCATTCAAACCACTTCAGATTTGACGCTTCGTCAAATAGACATGATCAATTGTGGATCCTCATTACAGAAAGTCGTTTACCGGACTATTGACGATATGAGATACGATAGATTTGATTCAGGGACTCACTTATTGAAATGTCTTCTCGACTTGGATGCGGTCAGTGAACTTATCATTCTACTCTGTTCAATGTACCATGATTTAGTACATGATGCCGGTGAGAATCAATTAAAAGTGTTGGCCAACAGGGTTGATGAGTTGGTATCAGTGATGAAGCTTTTCATCACATTGGTGTGCTTTTTTGGTGATGGAAATATCGAGGTGATGCCCGTTACTGAGTTACGTGAACAGTACAATGTACCAATTGAGTGGGGATTTGACTTGTGGAGATTGAAGAAGGACGCATTTGCCACTTTGCAGAGCCAAGGTGTGGAGTTGTGCCCACCAGACTTTTCCCCAAGTTTGTTTACCTTATTTTGGTGTTTGAGTTTGAAAGATGTAAATTTTTCCGATCTGTTGTACACCGAAGAATTGGAAAAGCTTGAGTCAGGTATCAGAGGTTTGAAAGACGCGGTTAGTATTAATTCTAGGGACAAAGATTTTCCAAGGTCCGCAATCGAAAAGTACAAGAAGAATATTGAAGATAACGAAGCTTTCATTGAAAAAATACCATCAGATAAACAGAGTCACAAAGAATTGAATGAAGCCACCGACAAGAAGATTCAGGAGTTGTCATCCGATTGGTTTTCCTCAGAAACTTCCGAAAAAGTGGAAATTTTCATTAAGACGTGCATAATACCTAGAGCAATACACTCGTCTTTTGATGCTGTATTTTGTGCAAGATTTATTTTCAAATTGCATGAGCTCGGAGTAGAAAATTATTCATTATTCAATGTTTTGAATAAAGCAACTCAAGATGGACTACTATCATCCAATCTATTTTCGTCAACTCCCACTGAAGCTGAAAACCTTGGATTTTTTTACGCCTATGTGTTAAAACGATTACACGAGTTTACAGATGAAGAGAAGATCAAAGAATTGAATGTGGACGATTTTGAAAAGTACAGAAGCTGGGTTTACGATTACCACGGCGTCATATTGTCTGAAGTGGAGACCGCATTGGATACCAATGAGTATATGTCACGAAGTAACACCATCACATTTTTGAAAAACTTACTCGGAGTATACCCGGTCGTTGAGGATCATTGTGAAAAGATGTTGGGTTTGATTGAAAAAGTTTATACTGGTGAGGATAAAGAGGACATCAAATTGTCTTCTGGAGCTTTGCTCAACCATCTCAAATCTAGAGCTAAACAATGGGTACCTATATGGGACTTCAAATCTATTAGTGAGGAGGAGAGGCAAGCAATACTTGACAAGAAAGTGAAGCTTGAAAAAGCGAAAGAGGAAGCTGAGAAACTAGCCAAAGAAGAGGCCGAACGAGATGAAAGAGAGAAGCGAGAAGCCCGATTGAACGAGGAGAAAAGGGCGAAGGAAGATGAGCTTAAAAAGAAGCTCGGTGCTATCAACTATGGGTCCCAGCTGAGACCTGGTAGCCGATTATCTGGTCGAATCGTTGAAGTCAAATCCAATGGCAAATATGACGATTATCAAGCAAGACACGAAGATCAGATGGAGATTGATTCCCAAGAGGATAATGTTGTCGCTACAGCTGAAGACTCCGAAAAGAAGATTGAGCATATGGAGCATGTGGAGCATGAAGATGCTGCTGAAAAGAACGATGGTCGTCCTAGTCAAACTGAAGGGACTGAAGAAGTCGCAATGAATGCATCAGAACAAACTGTCGATGTTCAACGAGATGACACAGTCAAACTGGAAGATGCAACGGTAAATAAAGTAAATGAAGATACGAGTGCTGCTCAGAGTCAAGGTTCCAGAGAAGATGATAGAGCGAAACAAGACAACAACAACGATGCCACTCAGGACAACGCACCAGAGCACGGTACCAAGCTTAAGGAAATGACAAAGAGACTGCCTCTTCCTCCTCAAAGTGAACTTTCCAAAGGTTCTGAAATTAGAGATAATTCCATAAACAGGAGAGCTCCCCTACCACCCCAAGAAAGGCTTTTACCAAGTGGAGATCGATCGCCAAGATTTAGTCCTCGTGGACCTGGACTGGGACAGGCACAGGGGTCACGTAGGTTTGGAGAAACTTCCAATCTATCAGTTCCACCCCCACCTCCTCCACCCCCACCTCCATCTCAATCACGTTCAAACTTCGGCCCCACGCGTGCTTCTTCATCTTTTGGTCAACGGGACCAATATAGTTCGTCGTCCACAAGAGGCCCCACTTTTGACAACAGACGTGGTCGAGGATTTGATAATCGACCATCAAACACTCAACGTGGTGGTGGACCAAACAATAACTTTGGTTCTGGTCGATACGAGGGGAGACTGGCTAGGAATGATAAAAGTGGACCAGAAGTTGGCCCACAGTATGAAAGTGGTAACAAAAGAAGATCAGATGGACAAAGTGGTAGAGGATATGACAAAAGACACAAATACTAGAGTGGTTGTAGTATAGAGAAAAAAAGGAAAAGGAAAATAGCATAGTAATTCAATCATTCATTGCCTAGACCAACAAAAGAGCTGAGTTCCTCATCGAGAGCAGCATCAAAGTCGGCATCTTCATTGTCGTAATCATCATGGTTTGTCTCATCGTGTAATGGATCAAGTTTTCTCTTCTTCTGCATAGGTTGCAATTGTTGTTCTTGTTGTAAATTATCGAGAAAGGATTCAATTCTTTTCAAATTATCCTCATGCCATTTCAAATGTCGTTTCAAATCGTATTCCCGAGCGAAAAATCGATCACATTTGGCCCTGGGGCACTTGATTTTGAATGAACAATCCTTCAATATCACTTCAATCAATTGCGATGTATTGGATGCAGTGTCATTTGCAGTTGATAATGTGGTTGATTTCTGTGCTTCAGCAGTCTCTGATTTGGCGTTAGTTTTGAATAAACTTTTGACATCTTCTTCTTCACTACCAGGCGACGGCAATGTTGTGCTATTTAATCGTTTCAAGCTTGATATTTCAAGCTTATCATGGTCACTTTGCGTGTGGCTGCTCGTCTCTTCAGTGCTGGTTTGTAATTCATCAGGAATATTACCATCATGATATTCATTATAATGAGTAATCAAACCCACCTTTTTGTTAAATTTCCCAATGTCGCAATACGTGCATTGCCAAATCTTGATTGCGTCATCGTGACTCAACATGTGAGATTTCAATCCTCGTTTACCAACACACCCTTTACCACATATAGAACATTTCAACTTGGGGTGTTGTTGCTTCACATGAAATTGTAATGCTGACCAAGTTTTGCAATTGACAAAACACCCCGGATGATCACATTGATAAGCCGGGGATTCTCCATGGTGTTTTAGCTTATGCTGAGCAAGTTTCGATGGACGGGCAAAAGTCTTGTTGCAGATTGTACAAGTTAATATCTTTTCATGCACTGAGAGTATATGATGTCGTAGTGATTGGTGCTTGTAAAAAGATTCGTTACAGCCTTCAAAATTACATTTGAATGATTTTGTATGAGTAATTTCATGTCTTTTTAAATGTTGAGCTGTGTTAACGCCCTTTCCACAAACTGAACAATGGAATGGTTTATCTCTTGAATGAGAAATTAAATGTGTATCCAAATGCGATTTTCTTAAAAAGGACTTGTCACAGTCTGGGTAAGTGCATGGGAATGGTCGGTCACCTGTATGTGATCGTATATGTTGGTCTAATAGTGATGGTCTGGTGTAGGCTTTATCACAGTTTTCGAATGTACAATGGTATCTTTTTGGTCTTGAACTTGTAGATGAAGCATTTGATCGAGTATCGTCTTCACTCATGGTATACTTCTTCTGATTTATCAAAAAGTTCAAGGCTCTATTATCATGTTGAGGGTTGCGAGTATATCGTAACAGTTGTTGTCTTAAGAGAATGCTCTGGAATATGAAGCAGAGGGCATCGTAAACAAACCTTTTTTTTCTATTTTTCATTTTTCTTTTTTGATTCTCCAGTTCAAGCGCCACATTAAATGTAACTCTAGCTGAGCACCCGAGCTGCTTCAATTACACAGAGAGCGGCAATGACAGAAATGGAGTGGTAACATTTATTGAGTAGCCCTTGGCCCGTATTCTCAAGTGACTTTCCTAAAATTGTGTGTGTCATATTTATTGCCGATTGCAAAAGTAAAATAAAAATCCGACGTGAATATTTAACTCCGTGGCTACCTACACAAAATACATGCAACTAAAACGAAAGTGCAGTTAACCGGGCACCAATGAACACAACAATAGTAATTCTTGGCAGCCGTGCATGTAACCTAACCATGACCAGATTAAGAATAATCAGGGTCATGTGCTTTTTAAGTTCATGGGTTGGGCTGGGCTTTAAGTTGGATGACATATAGACAAAGCTCAGTTAAACAACGAATCGCCAAAATTCGCAATTGTTATTCAATTTCATAGCTGGTGATCACTTGCTGTGTATACTGTTACTATCAAAAAAGGTGACCGTCGAATAATCTCTTGTAAATTTTATCACGCCTGTGATGTGTAAGTGAGTGTGGCTCAGTTTTGTCAGAGCTTTTATGAATGCATAAGCATACACAACACATCATTTTTCTTAACATAGAAACAACCAAGGCATGGGTTTATAAGACGGTACGGTTTGTTAGAGATCCATGTTAAGAAAAGAGTAGAGTCTTTCTTTATTACAAGTGGTATTCACGAATAAAGATCCCCGTTTCATTAGCCATAGCTTTGCTCTTAAAAGTGGGCAGAAGACAAAATCGCACACACACTCTCTCCTCTTCTCGTATACACACACACACACACACACACACATACACACATATATATATACCCTCTCCTTCTTTCTCTCTCGTAGTGGGTTTGTGTGTGTGACTGTGTATGAGACTGTGTGTGCATGTGTGTGTGAGTGTGACACAAGAAAAAAAAAAATCTCACTCAGCAAACCACCAGAACGAAGAAAAAGATCAAAATTACTTCCGACAACAAAATCCAGCTTAAGGACATTTGGAAGACAACACTCACAACAATAATAACAACAGTTCGATTTGCACAGAAACTAACTTTTAGTATATCAACAGACAATTCGAAATACAGTCTTCTTTTGTATATTAATCTCGATTAACCAAAAACATGGGTATCAGTAATCCAATTCCGAGAAGTTTAAGGAGTGAGTCAAAGTATGTTACCCACCCCTTTCCCCCAAAGTCAACATATTTGACAATGGACCCCATGATTTATTCAAATGCATACTAACTACAATTCTTTTAGAAAAGCAGCAAAGACATTATCGTCATTTATCAAACCTAATCAAATTGCTGGACCCGATCAAATTATACCTCCTCGTATTTTAAAGAATGCTAAAGGATTAGCCATCATTACTGTTTTGAAAGCTGGTTTCCTCTTTTCAGGAAGAGCAGGCTCGGGTGTTATAGTTGCACGTTTACCCGACGGATCTTGGTCGCCTCCATCGGCAATTGTCACTGCCGGTGCTGGTGCTGGTGGAATGATCGGTGCTGAGTTAACTGACTTTGTGTTTGTTTTAAATACAAAAGCCGCAGTTGATACTTTTGCTCAATTGGGATCAGTTACCTTGGGTACCAATGTCTCGGTGGCAGCCGGTCCTCTTGGTAGAAGCGCAGAAGCTGCGGGTACGGCATCCTTGGGTTCAGTTTCTGCAGTCTTCGCGTATTCCAAAACTAAAGGGTTGTATGCTGGGATCTCATTGGAAGGTTCAGTATTGATGGAGAGAAGAGAAGCTAATAGAAAATTTTATGGAAATAATTGTAAGGCAAGAAACATTTTAGCAGGACAGGTTGATGTACCACCTGCTTGTGATTCACTTATGAGAGTGTTGAACTCGAGAGTGTTCAACAATAGAATGGATTATGACGAAGAAGATTTTTACGATGACGACTATTACGATGATATTCCTGATGAGTTTTCCGATACAACTTCTGAATATTCGGATCGTCGTCGCGGAAGTGCAAGTGGTGGAGGAGTACGAGGCGGTAGTGGAAGAAGAAGGAGAAGAAATTCAGATGACTATTCAGATGACGATTATTACTCAGAAGATGATGATTACTATGGTGGCCGTGGAAGTGGTGGAAGAGGACCACGAAGAGATAGAGGGTACGATGACTATGACCACGGAAGAAGAGATAGGAGATATGATGACTATGATGGTGGTAGAAGAGAACGGAGATCACGAGCAAATACCGGATCTAGTTTGAGTGGCGCAGGAGGAGGGTTGTCGTCTGGTGGAAGAACACCATCCTCCAGCAAAACCGGCTCTGCATGGGAAGACGATATATATGATTCTGGCTACAATGGTAAAACAAGATCAAGAGGTAACAGTGATGTCGATAGATTGAATGCTCGATTGGGAAACTCAAAACTTTCACCAAATAGGACAAGCGGAGCTGCCCCCTCCAGACCACTGGCTCTTTCCAAACCCAATTTTGGGGGAACTCCGAAAACGAATGCAACTCAAGCTATTGCTTTGTATTCATTCAAAGGGGAACAAAGTGGGGATTTGCCATTCAAAAAGGGAGATGTTATTGATATCTTAAAAAAGACTGATACCGTCGACGATTGGTGGACGGGTAGAGCCAATGGTTTGACCGGTATTTTCCCGGCAAACTACGTCGAACTTGTTTAGTCATGTTGAATGAGTGTTTGTGTACGTTGTTGAATGAGAGAAGATAGCAGGAGTAGCAAATCAGTTTTATGTGTATATTAAATTTCAGTATTGTATTTTATAGCAAGAAGGAAAAAAGTAAAGCAATAAATAATCTTTAGTCGAGTTTGTTACACCTTGTAGCATTTGTTGGATGGACTGTTTGCTCTCATGCTGGCTGAATAACTCTAAATTTCAAAACAACCTTGCACTTCATACCTTTTATAATCTTTTGTATATCCTTGGCAATCCGGGTCCTATCATCCTTTTGAGAATATTGTAGTTGCACCACATGAAACTTTGTAAATGGTCCAGTGGGTGCAAATTTATAAGACACCAATTTTCCCAACTTACGAAACTCATTGACCAAATGCTTTTTAGGTATATACAGTGGAATCCCATACAACTTAATTATTGGTTTCCGGTCTTTGCTCAGCCGTACTTTAACCATTTGGAGATTGTATGCTCTATGTGCATCAATGATGTTAGAGTTTGCAATTGTGTAAAGCCACGTAGGCGAGGATAAAACGAGTTGGATTCCAATTACTTGATTGATCAGCTGCAACAACCAATATTGATAACTCATGTCTATGAAATGCATGAGAATGCCTTGATTCAGATTGAGTATTTGGTAATAGTTGAGATGCGGTTTCAATTCATCGAGTAGCTCAGTCAAAATTGACAGTCCATATTCTAATCTTGAGTAAATGATAACATATTCAGTCCATTCGGGGTTCAATGTCAACTGCCAGTAGCATGTATCCCATACTGGAGGACATGATCTTCCATTAGGGTCAGCAGGAGCCAGTACGTCGAGCAAGTGCCGCGTTGCTGTGACATATTTGGTATAGTTATTGGGAAAGTCAGTTGTTGCTGATTTCAAACATCTAGCTTGCTCGTTTTCTTCCTCTGAAAAGTAAGTTGACTTGCTTCGACATCTCAGGTTTGTCTTCAGAATACTTCTGATAAAAGATGTGAAACCATTAGCTTCATTACGATCCAGTCCTCTCACTTGAGTATTTGGTTGCAAATTTAAAGATTGGTGATTTGAACTTCCTTGTGCCATTGAATCTGGCGAGGTAGTGGAAACTGTGGTCAATGGTGAGCAGTTTGTGTCTCTACGACGACCAAATATGGCCTTTATGGTGGTACGAAATACCGTCACGGTGTTTCCTGTTGTCACCATGGTGATTCATACAAGCTTAATGGGGGTTTCATTGGTTGTAAAAAAAAGTATACAAAAATGCGCACAAAGTAAAACAGATAAACACACTCTATCGTGTATGATATTGATATCAAGCGAAATACACAGCAAATCAAAAAAAAAAAAAAAACCAAGCAAAGGTAGCAAATACAACCACGTATATAATCTCTATTCCAATTTAAACACATTGTCAACGAAATGGCGAACAATAACTTTTCCTTCGTCAAAGTTTGGATCAGCATGTCTGACAATAGCACCAGCATGAGTTGATGGAGTGTGTCTCAATATTATTGGGAACTTCCTCCATCCCAAAGTATTCAATTTCTCCACTATAAATGTTTGTGAATCATCTAGGATAATTGGTGGGAAATTGGAGGATGAATGAGAAACTTTCCAATTCATGGCTCCATACATATCTTCAACAATAGTATCCTGTCCATCTTCAAACTTGTTGGTCAAATCAGTCAATAATGATGTATTCTCATCATATTCATACAAATGGGACAAATTGTTTGATTTCTCATTATGGAAACGACGAATTCTATTCAAAGTTTGAATTCGTTGATAAATTGAAGATACAATAAACGACAATCCCATTACTGGAGCGTAAAGCACTATCCTTCCAAGCAACTTGCACCAATTCAACGTTTTCCAAAAGAGTCCACGACGAGAAGACTTGTCGTAAGTTTGTTCTTTCGATTTCTTTTCATAGTAAAATGGCTTTGAGGCATCAATTACATTTGGTTCATAACCTTTGATATACTCTGCAATGATGTTTTGAGGTAGTTTGTTGTACAGTGAATTGACTGGATCAGTCAAGGAGATTGAAGATGTAAACCAAGAACAACGTTTGTCATTGACCACATTAGCATACAAGGCTTTGTACTTGAACAGCTTCAAAGCTGAATAAAACACAGAGTTTGGGTCGGCCATCCATACCAACAATGGCTTATTAAATTCACCAATTTTGTCTTTAAGGAAAAACTGTGATCCCGTTATGGCCAAAAAATGTGGTGCAATATTATTGTATAATCGTACTGACAAGTTTTGAGTATGCGGTTTCAGTACACCAACATGGGGGGTACAAAAGGTAACAAAGTTTACCGGTTCAATCCTTTCAAAGAATCCTTGCTTTTGCAAGATACCGATGGCATACCTGGATATCAAACCACCAAGTGAATACCCAACTACCGAGAATTTTGTGACTACACCTCCGTCATCAGTAATCTGTTTCGTCTGTTCCAATATTTCATCAGTTATTCTTTTCCCATTAACATCGATACCATCATAAGTAAGATATCCAGAGTGGGACCCCGTTTTGTACACTAGTAATTTGCTCCCATCGGTGGGTTTGATATGTTCGTTGATCTGCTTTTCGATATAAGCTAAATGTGACGAGTTGCCCCAAACACTGCAATGTAGTTAGTAATTGCACATTAGTTGTGGCTACGTTTCCAAAGAAAAATGATGTCTTTTGGAAACAATTACTGCATGTGACAATATTCCAACATACCCGTGCACTAATACAACCAAGTGATAATCAACCATGCCAATACTATGAGTAAGTACGAGTGGAACGCCTTTAAAAACTGAATGAAATCTTTGAAGACTATCAATGATGGTTCAACTTTTTTTTTTTTCGTTGGAGAAGACCAAAGGGTAACCCTGAAGTTTGCTTACATCGTCTTATGAAGTTTTTATGATAAAAGTTTAGACGCCGGATTTAGTGTGAAAGAATGTTTACCCAAAAAAAAAAAATATATATATGTAGATTGTCTGAACAGCTTAAGTCCTATAAATTCCGCTGTTCCTCACTCAAAGCGGGTTAGAAGCGACTGATGTGTTTCAGATTGACTCAACTTATGAGTAACACCCATACCACTACAAATAGGCAACTTCCGAATAAAATAAAAAACAATAGGTCTATATATCAACTCACATGTTAATGTCAGAGTGTATCCTCCTCCCAGAAGAAGAAAATTTGTTGGTTTATAGAAATTTAAAAATTTATTGCTTTTGTGTTATTTCCGAATTGAGGTAAAACGTTGAGGGTTAAACATGAGGCTTGAGTTTACCCAACAGCCTAAAACTCACAAATATGTATCTTAGAAGGCAGAGTTGTAGCCCCAAGATATTAAAAGCTTGATTCTTGTTCAGGGCCGTTACCAGCCAGTTATTACATCCATCTAAAACATCAAGGTGTAATTAATTTGATGTCCTCTTTCCGTTCCATATATACAAGCATACTAAATCCCTCACCGAGTAAGTATAGATAAAAGCTTAGTGCCACCACCGCCTCCCCCTCATCACAAGCAGCTTTGGACTATGATTCCGGTTGCAACTCCAACATTCAACGAGTCCACAATGTCATCATTTTCTCTGTGTTTCTGAACACCCACGAGATAATCACTTCTTAATTTCATATTAGTTCGCACACCCTTGCCCTCACTACCAATAACCAACATTACGGGGGTTCGTTTCAAAATGGTTTTCAAACTATCCAAATTTATGAATTTGTCCTTCAAGCTCATTTCGATCTTATGATCCTTGTCTTTCAATTCCTCTAAATTTGATTCATCTGGTTTGGCACTGGTGCTTATCACATTCCACCCATTTTCACGAACAGAATCAATAAATTTCAAGCTTCTATCAGTTTGATAAATATCAATTAAATCCAACGCGCCTGATGATGCCTTATTGGCCACAGGTCCCAATTTTGCACTAGAATGATCAGGAATCACTATAAAGTCAATTCCAAAAAAGTATGCAGTTCTCAAAATAGAACCCATGTTTTGTGGATCGGTGATTTCGTCTAGAAATAAGGCCAACGGGAATAGCTCATTTACTTCATCATTATCCTTCTTTCTCAAAACGGTTAATTCTTTTTCCGAATCTACGCCGTCTTCATCCTCAACTGTGACTGTGTAAGTTCCATTTTCTGCGTGACCACAATTTTTGATGTAAGGCATATCCAATGCTTTCGTCTTCAAAACCAAACCATTATGCACACCATTTTTTGACAATACATTCAACGCATTTTTATCCCTCACCCGCTGAGCCTTTATACCGTACTCTTTCTGAGCTTGCTTTATAACTCCATTATCATCATCCGCATTAAATGTATATAAACCCAAGATAGGTCTCTTTCGAGCTTGCAACACAGATTTTATCGGGTGAGTACCGTAAACAAACTCAAAAAAAGTGCTTAACCCACCACTATTACCGCTTTCGATAATTTCCTTAGCACTTTGTCCATCGTAATTAATCTCATCGCGTGATCTTTTGAACCCAATTTCCGCCTCTAGCTTTTGTTTCTCATGCGCTTTTTTCATTTCTCGATACCTCCTTTGTCTCGCAACTTTCTCCTGTAATGAACTTCGCCTTTCCTCGGACATGTGTCCATATTTACGTTTAAAAAATCTATCCTTGCTGATATTCTCTGCTTCCCAAGGTTTCAATTTTTCTTTGGTGGCTGGTAGATGTTTTTGAAATGATCGTGTTTTATTCTTGGGGTTTGCATGGTGGGGGCGATAAACAGGCTTCAAATCCCCGCTTTTGAATAGCGGCGTGAGCTTGGAAAACAGTCTTCGTGCTTGAAGCTGACGATACATGACTATGGTTGTCAGTTTTATGAACAGTCTTTAGTGTCTTGAGATGAGCGCGGCTTTTGATTTTGACAGAACGAAAATTAAAGGAAAAGCTTTGACATGATAAACAAATAAATAACCTCATTTACAACAAACTCTATACACTGTGATATAATCACGATAAAACACCCTTGGTACTGGGCACATCGTCCTTACCAGTTTTGAAAGTTGCCTCTCTAATGGCAATAGCCAAAGCCTTGAATGCACTCTCCGCTCTATGATGGTCATTGAATCCTCTCAAACAATCTACATGAATAGTAATAGACGCCAGTTGGGCAAAACTTTCCAAGATGTGAGGAATCATCTCAGTTGACAAATCACCAATTTTTTCCCTTTTCAAGCCCAAATCAATTACTGCATAGGGTCTATTGGATAAATCGACAACCGCTCTACTCAAAGCTTCATCTAGTGGCGCAAACCCATGACCAAATCTCTTGACACCCTTGATAGGCCCCAAAGCTTTATTGAATGCAAGGCCCAACGCTATTCCGACATCCTCGCTTGTGTGATGATCGTCTATATGCAAATCCCCAATACATTCTATAAGAATTGACCACCCAGAATGTTTTGCCAAAGCATGCAACATGTGGTCAAGAAAGCCAATACCGGTTTGTACGTTGATTTGCTGACCTCCAGTATATTGGGCTGCATGGTCTTCAAATTGGTTAGTTGCGGGAAGAATTGAATTGGTTATATTGACAGGCCCTCCGTCTAAGCTAATAGCGATCTGTATTTTGGTCTCATTGGTATCTCTTTTTATGAAAGCTTCGCGACGTTGTTCTGACATTCTTGTGTATGCTTCCGTGGTCTATTGAAGATTATCTATGGGTACCAAAATGTGGAAATGATAGTGAGAAGTCTCAGCGAAATTGCGTATTTTTCTGGAAATTTTTCACTTTCTACTTTTTGAGTCATATCTTGCATTGTCACAGCTCAACTATTTGCGACACTGATTGGTAATACACCACTTGACAAAGAACATTTATTGCCTGTAATCATTTTAAGCGTCTTGCAGCGGATAGTCACCATCGCGTAGCTCTTGTAAACTGTTTTGACTTAAACAAGTGGATGGGCTCAATAGCAAAACTTGTGGCTTCTTTTTTGCAGACACTGGAAGGTTTACCAAAATGAATTTGTTTTGTTTTTCTTTCATTTGCAGAAAACCACCTTTTGCATTGATCAACAATACTCGACCTCACCCAAGATAGGGTCATAAACATGTACACATATATGGAATACCTTCAAAAGTGCTTTTACAAAACTACCAATTGGAATGAAGATAACATTTTCTCCAACATAACAGCGACATCGCAAGCTATACTTGATTTTTCGATACCCAATGGTTTGAAAATCGATTCCTCATCAAAATCATCAGACTACCTGGCTTCATCGTTTACCTTGTCCAATTTTCATCAGATTAATGGGTCTTTGGCATATTTTTACACACTGACTCCATTGGCCAACACAATGGGATCAAAGGATATATCTTTACAAGACGCGATTGCAGGATTCAGAATAATCGAACCGACAATGACATCGAACAAACAACAGAGACAGTTGGACACGAAACGCCATGCAAAAACCAAGCCACTGCTACTATATGGACGTATGTATTTTCCAGGTTCAGCATTGGAGGCGATGATTATAAAACGAATCAGTGAAAATACACAGCTTTTGATCAAGTGTGTAAGTCATCCCCAGATGGAGAAAAATGGAACTGTTATTGTATATTTACAAAATAACACTGCAAAGTATCTGCGAGAAGTTATATACTCAACCAATGAGTCATTAATTGGTGTTCGATGCTTGTACAATTGGGGCACAACATTTTCAAAAAGTATAAACCCCCATTTGGTTCCTAAATTTGAAAATTCGGTAGTCTCATTAGGGACAGAGTTGTGGTTTGCTGCAAGGTCAATGAGTCCAGGGCTTTCATCCGCATTGAGGTATTCCACAAGATCTACATCCACGGGTAAGCCGCTAACAATGACTTTGGCTGTAAATCCGATTTTGGGTCACATTTCGCTGACTTATACAGTCAAAACTTCGGTTGCGTCAACTTTCTGCTCGAAGTACGATTTCAATTTTTTCTCCTATGCAAGCAATTTGTCTCTCGGGTTTGAGCTATATAGCTACGCAAAGAAGAAGAAAACACTCCAGCCCGTGTTGGGGAATAATGACGACGACGACATAGCTTCATTTCGGAAAATGAACCAGGATGTTACCAAGAGGATAAGGAGGGGGTCTTATAGCCTGCGAAATAGGGCTTCACATTCAGATCCTCACACAAAAGAGTATCACACCAGTGAGCTTCCTCACCACAGGTCAATGTCCAACACCCCTCACCACAATGGAGGTACAGTTACTGCGGCATTTCAAAATTTGGTAAATGAAAGTGATTTTTCAAGTGTGTTAAAAGTTTCCACGAGTCTAAAGGATAGTAGTGTTAAATTGTTGTGGGAAGGTAGATTAAGGGACTTCTTAGTTAGCACTGGTGCAAGGGTATCATGGAATCCGATAACAAATACTCCTGATGTTAATAAGCTAGGCATTACCTTGTCGTACGCTTTTTAGAGTTACATAGAGATTACGAATGAAAATTGGTTATAATGTGACAGTATAAAGGTAGCGATCAACAGTTATCTCGATTTTCAACTTTCATTTTTTTCTTCAAAATTTTTTTTTTTCCACCATCAGAGTCAAAGCTTTAGTCGTCGTCTCACAATGTCAAGTAGTAGGGAGCTTTTTGACTTGGTGAGAAGCTCAAGGCTAGCTCAAGTGGCAAAGCCTCACCTGAAGAATATAAGGGGTCAATCAAATATACCTACCCATCAAACAGTTTTTACACCATCTTCTAGTGCATACAGATCAAACTATGGTTTGAAAACGGCATTGCCTTCAAAAATTGGCAAGTCGCACATTTCATTCAATGATATTGACAATTATAAGGGTATGCCTGATGTTGAAAAAAACTCGGGCCATCATTATACTCAGTTGATGTTTCAAGAATTGGGGATGCCTTTAAAGAATCACTTTACCTCACAAAATCCGTTGTTTCCACACCCTTCAAATAAGAGCAACAAACAACCAAGAGAGGGAAGTTTGACTAATCTTTTGAATTTGGACACCAGAGCAAAAACCGAAGCTGTTATCAAAATCCTCAACAACAATCCGAATTTGTATCAAAGTTTTAGAAATTACATTTCCAAAAATTATCCAAAAGTTTTGCTCACCAGCACGCCACAATCTGAACTCATAGGTTTAATTAAAGAATTTCTTCAAAATTCAAAACAAGTCTCCAAGAATATGAATACCGTTCATGACAGATCGAGAGATGACACTTACACCATACAAGGCACAGGTGGGTTCTCGTACAACCAAAAAGGAAGGCTTCAAAACACACCCAATGGTATCAAGAACAATACCGTCACCACAGGAAGGATTGTGGGCACAAAAGAAGCAGCAATAGGAGGATTTGTTGCAAATGTAATTGATCGTTCCATTGCCTTGCAAACAAACTATGCCAAGAACTACCCCGGAAAGCACCACAGGCAATTCACTATGCCTTTCAAGATCAATGAAGCAGAATTGTCAGAGGACGGCTCTATTAGATTATTTGCTGAAGGTATCAAGACCGGTAATTGGTCCGATGCCGATGAGAGGTATCCTACTTCTGGTTCCTCATTTGGCGGCTCTTCAGAAAGAGTTAGAGCCGATGACGAGAGCTTGGAAAGTTTGCTCAACTTAATCCTTCCCTCTCGGTGAGCAAATACGTGTGTGTGGGTATTGACATGTATATAAATTGTAAACAAGTGAGTGATACTTCTTATTCAAAGCGGATCATACTTGTAGAAAGTGTTCATTGTTGCACCTTTTGCGCTGCATTTGATTCACCACCGTAGCTCCGGAGTTACTCGATTATTGGGCTACTTGAGATTCGTTTTCGGTAGGCTCTGATTTCACTACCACTGAATCGACTGGGTCCGTGTGTTTGCTAGAATCCGACTCCTTGGCCTTTTTCTTCTTGGGATATTTCTTTGGCTCCAGCTTCTCTTGAATGGTTGGAATTCCACTCATTTTCTTTTCTTCCTGATTCAAAGATACTCTTGCACTTTCAGCCAAGTCTGCATCTAGTTTCCCATCAACTTGGTACCAAAGTTGGTAAGGACTGATTCGATTCCCAGTCTCTATTATGTGCTGCATTTTTGCTCTCACTTTGTCAACTGGATCAAAACTATTGACAAATATCGGTACGAGCTTGCTAGGAATTCCATGAATAGTGAAAGAAATGCTCGAATACGAATAAATTGGCTCCTCTGGGGGAATCAAAGCCTTAGAAGCAGCTTTCTTCGGTCCAGGTCCCTTCCGTTTCTTTTTACCCCTCCGTGGTGGGGGTGCGCGTCTTTTTGCAGGCACCGAGTGTTCTTCAATTTTTTCCTCATCAGCGTTATTGGTTTCCTCTTCTCGTATGTCTTTCATAGATGAATCTTCGATAGAAGTAGGGTTATCTTCTTCCGCAAACTTTTCATTTATATCTACAGTGTTTTCTTCGTGCGGTTTCTCCTTTAACTCCTCTCTCTCTTCCAATTCAACCTTGATTTGTTCTTTTTCCAGTTCCTGCACTTTCCTCTCTGCTTCCTCCTGCTCTTTGATTTTTGCCTCATATTGTTTTAAATCCAGCTCGTACTTCTCCACAGCTTTCTGATTATGAATCCACATGAAACTCACAAGAATGTCTTTATTGTCTGAGTTATCACCATTTTCAGAGTTTATCAGAGTTGAAGGTTGTATGACTTCACAAATTGCACATTTTGGGAATCGAAATCGAACATTGGGGGTTTCAAGAAATTCAAATAAAACAGTAGCATTGAATAGATACTTTTCTTGAAATGCGGTCAATTTTTGGTCCTTGGGTATATCTTTTTTCAATATTTTTTTCCTCTTGTCGTGTGGATATACCGGTTCAGTGGAGTTTCTCAGACCATCCATATGGGTCATTAGTTCTTCGCGTCCACTTTTGACAGGTACATCAGTTGCAATTGATTTTTCATGAGAGGTTATTTTTGAACCCAAATCCTCGCCCTGCGCTCCAGAATCAAAGGGGGGTTCTTGTACTTTGATATTTTGGGTAGTTGTCTCACCTTGTTTGTTTTGACCCGTAGAAGAAGAGATCTTTGTTTGTGGCGTATGCAGCCTCGAAACACCACTCAATCCCGATTGTGTATTGACAACACTCAAATTATTCTTCTGTTGTATTTCCTCAAGCGTTTCCTTGTCAATTCTCTGAATTAACTCTGAAATGACGCTTTCACTATGAGGCGGAGGTCCCAAGGTTTTCGCTTCTCTAATATACTTTTGGAAAAGGGTAATCTGATCAGGCGTAGCCCGCCCACCTGCGACCTCATTCATCAAATCGTTGAAATCCTTGTTTTTTGAACCTATGTAATTAAGATTGGTGATCATTCTTTGGTTGTCAGATGACTGTAAATCACCTTGACTAGTTTTACTTGGAGCAGATGGTACTTGTGACTTTGACATGGACTTGAAATCCCCTTCCTCTTTTATAGTTTTCTCAGCTTTCTTATCCTTCGTGGCCGTTTTGGAGACCTTAACCGAACTTTTGGACTTTTCTGATTTTGCTCCCGTAGTACCACTGTTCGTATTGCTGGATTTCACCTGGCTCTGTTCATCGTTTTTCTTCATCGAATTCTCCCTCTTCTCATTCTCCTTCTGAATCCTTCGTTCTTCTCTCTCCTTCATTTCTTTCTCCCTTTGTACCTTCCTCTCTAGCTTCTCCTGTTCCCTTTGTGCCTTCTTCTCGGCCCGTTCTCGCTTCATTCTTTCTTTTTCTTCTTTGGTATCACTTCGCTCGTCTTTGGCAATGAAGACTCTGATTTCGAAAAAGTGGACCCCCATGGTCAAACCACACTCTAGTAATTTGACCATTATGTCTCTCGCATTGATATCATTATTTAAAACACAGGATCTATCGGCATATATGTCGTCCCTTTTCAAATGGCCTGGTATAGGCTTGTCCTGTTCCATCAACTTCCTTACGTAACTCGACTGTTTAACCCAATACAACTGAAACATTGGACACAATTTCAAATAGTTCGACCTCGACCTGATCAATGACAAGTAAAGCACTGCGGTATCTTTGATCGTAAGTGGTTGATTGAGGAAACTTGACTGGGACGAAGCAGTGTATGATACAGGCAAACCATGAACGTTTTCAAATGGTCGGATAATTTGATGGCTTTGCTCCTCCTGCTCTTTTTCAATTTCATCCCTTCGCAGCGACGTTATTCTTCTTCTGATTCGTGTTGACATGGATAGAGGAAATGATGGAGATTATTGCGTATAAAAGGTCTGTATTGGCCATCTTCTGTTCTATTGATTTTCGGTTTTCGCGTGCGCAAGAAACAATCTTGAACTTTGAATTTTACAAATCTATAAGACATTCATATATGCAAACGTATTCTGATTCACATGTGAGATGAGTCACCTGTCGTTCATAAATGCGTTTCCAATGCATCCAAACCTTGGTTGAAAAGTTTTATAATTGAATCTAATTCACTCACAAGTTTGCTCTTGTTGGTAGTAGAATCAATGAAAAGGTCACCTTTGAGAGTCGGAATTGTAGGAAAAGCCACAGCCGGAGTGGTTGGTGCCGAGGCGACACTAGATGCAAGATTTGCGGTAGCTGAATTTTTAAATGAACTAGTGCCCACTCCTTGCTGATGCTGACCAAGACCATTGGCTAGCGCAGTGGAGCTTGAAGGCGAAGGTTGCGTTTTCTTTTGTGCCAGAATGCTGTTTTGGTGAGGCCTGATTGCTGACGCTGACACTTGCGCTGCAACAACGTCATCCTTTACTGACAGGGTTATCTTCTCGACAGAATCATCATTCTTTACCGCGTATACTGGCGACTCCTTTTCAGTAACGGGAGTCATCGATATAGGCATATTCGCTGCGTGGGCGGGATTTATACCAAACTGGTTCACATTATCGTCATCCTGCGCATCATTGGTCAATGCGGAAAGCACATTTAAACTATTCGATGGTGTGGGCATTTGTATAAATCCTGGTTTGTTCCTTCGTGGTTTGGTGTTGGAAGAAGTGCCAGGCGCTGCAGCGGAATGGGGAAGAATTGGCATAGAATGCTGATGGGGAAGTTGAGGAGGGACTTGTCCGGGTGGAGGAGGAGGAGGAGCTGCTGCTGCTGCTGGCGGCACCGGCAACGTACCATTTACTGGATTGTTACCTTGATTATCAACAGAGCCGTATTTGAAATTTATAGGCTGCAAAAGGGGATTATGATTGCCCGAAAGAGCTTTCATCTTCGATGGCGAACTATTTTTGGAGCCAAGACTCGCTGCAATCAGAGCATTGGCACTCAAAGGCGGTTTTGGTGACGGTGTTCTAACACCAGCATTCATTGTATATGGCAGGGTATGTGGTGTTGCTCCGACTCCAGATGGAGACAAGATTGATGATGTGCCACCACCTCCCATTGTATTTGAAATCGTCTTTTTCCTGGGTCGGCTATCTGTTGGGGAGGTATTGATTGGATTGAATCGAGTTTCTAAATTACCAGAAGCTGACTGTGTATGGTGTAGAGTTGGAGGCTTTGTGAGGGTGGACACATTCTGATTATTATTTAGTAGTGACGCGGAGGATGGATAGTTCGATAATGCGTCCATATCGGGAATTTCAATGGTTGGAGAATCAGTTCTGTCATTTGAAGTGAGCAAAGTTGGGGGTTTCAACATAGACTGATCATTTTTCTTTTCGTCTGGATCTTCAAATAGCATTTGTAAAGATTTCGGCACGTCCACAACGGATTTTGCGGCCGCAGTATGCGAATTTCCCATAGTTGATACATTCGCCTTCAATGTGGGTAACGTCGAATAAGTGTTATGGTCCTTTTCGGTATCAAATTGTTTGTCATAATCAAGATTGTTCACGTCTATTTCATTCTCCATGATATATTCTTTGGACTCCAAGGAGTCAAAGTCCCATTTCACCTGGATTTGGTCATTATTGCTTTCGACGTAGTCACTATAGCCTGGGAGCTTGTTTTGAACAATTTCGTCAACCGTGTCCTCTTGTTCGTTCTCCAAGTTTATAAATACAGAATCGCGCGATGAGTTTCTGTCACGCCACAACAAGTACCTCGAGATGACTTCTTTAAGGATGCTCGTTGGATGATGCTTGTAAGTCTTGACAAGTTTGCAACGCAAGAGGTCATCTGCCGATGGTCGCTCCGCTGGATTTTCATCCAAACACAAAGCAACGCATTCCTTCAATGCTTGTGAGTAAGCTCCCCCTTCAAGACGCGGCGGGGTACCTTTAGATATTAACTGCATTGCCCAAGATGCATCTTTATCACAATATGGCGGGTTACCTGTAGCTATCTCGTAAACTGTTATCCCCAAGGACCATATATCGGCTTTGCTATTGTAAGCTTCGCCAGACTTGATCACTTCTGGAGCCATCCAATAAGGCGTTCCTGCCATCGTTGTTCGCTTCGATGAATTCGACACAACTTTTGCTGCAACACCAAAGTCACAGAGCTGAACATTACCTTCTTTCGAAATCAACACGTTGGCCGCTTTCAAGTCTCGATGTATGACACCTAGTTTGTGAACTGCACTCAAGGTCAATAATAACTCCCTAACAATTACTCCAATATATTTCTCCTCCATAACTCCAGACTTAAGAAGTGTTCTAAGGGATCCCCCTGCACAATAGTCCATCACAATCCACAACTTGGTGTCATTTAGTATTGAGCCATAATAATGCGTAATGTTAGGAACGCTTTTCAACTCCGTTAAAAATTGTATCTCTTGTTGGACATCTATGATATCTTCCTCCTCAGTATCCAAATTGAGTACTTTGATGGCAAAAACTTGTTTGGTTTGTTTATGATACGCTTTGTATACAACTCCAAATTTACCTCGCCCTATAACTTCCGTCCTCTTGTATTGCGAGATGGAAGACATTTTGATTGAGTCAAGCTTTAATCTATCTATGACAACTCCATGTATAGGGATGCTCTATTCAATATAGTTGGGAAAAATAAGGCCTCAAAATTGTACTGATTATGACAGTTCTGAAAGGGTAGTACGACTCGTATCACAAACCATATGAGAGTTGTAATTTTTTCTTTCGTTACATCTATCTTACTTCTTCCCTGTAACGCGACTTTAAAGAAATTATGTTTAACCAAGAAAAGCTCCTAAAACGCTACGCATGAGAGGTGACATCTGAATCTCCACAATGTTTCTCCTATAAACTGAATTGTTGTAATAATTGATCTTGCTCGTAAGTGAGCAGTCGCTCTCGTGAAGAAACTACTCTCGTATTAGATGCAATTGAAATATTTACCAAGTCACTTGTCCCTTGCTGGTCATCGCCTTCTAGCTCTATCAAATTTTGCTCTTGTGTCGAATCTGCATCCGATGGGTTACCCGTGATATCCATCAGATCTTCAGTACTGTCATCCTTCAGCTGATCATAGGAAGACTCTGGTGTAACCACGTGACCAAATTCATTTATCAGTATTGCGTTTTCGTTCACATTTTCAATACCATGAAATGCACTGTCCCAACTTATTACCACCACACCACATAAGACACCAATCAACCCCAAAACTATCCATGAAAATTCTGCATATGTCATCTTGTGGTCTGCCAAAAGTTTATTGAACTTCAAATCGTTTATCAAATTGACCAAATTATACACTAAAAAGCATAATGGATACAATATGGTGGTTGAAATTTGTGCCAAGCCTAGATTGAAAGCGGTAAGTTGTAGGCCAATTATAGCAAGCATAGTTGCTAAAAGTAGGTACGGAACAATATTACTAACTTTAAACACACCCGCAAATCCTTTTTTTAAAATTGTCTCCATGATCACATTGATGATTGATTTTGCGAAAAGGAAAGTATGTGCTGTCAAGGTCCCACTAATGATTCCATAGTTTATCCCTTTCCAAAACTGATTTTTGTTATATTCAACCACAAACGTGTTATGTTGTGATTCCTTTATGGTAAAATTGTGTCGATATTCAGCCCCTTTCTTTTTCAAAAAGAAACAGTTGATAAATAGAAGAATCAACATAAATGCAAATGTTCCAACAAACCACATCAAGAAATATGGGTCCAATAACTTTTCCAAAACCAACTTAAATTGATCGTTGATATTAGGCAGGGACCCATTCGACGGTGGTTCAGTACTCGTAGACCCGTTGTAAGCAATTATGCACGCTCCAAATGCTATAATTCCGGTTCCTGACCATAACCTGTTGGTGAATCGCTCTCCCGGTAGAAGTATGCAGCTAAAAATCGAATTGAAGATTAGTCCAATACTTTGTAACGGAGACAAGATAATTAGCGGAAGGGTTGATATCTGAATTGCTGATCCCAAAACGTTTGCAATTATAAATAAACTGAATCCTAGATACCACATATTACGCCTATACTTTTGTTGCCGATGATGCGTGGTGTGATGATATACGCCATTTGGGGTAATTTCTCTCAGTACTGATAAGTGTAGCAAATGTGATTTTCTTTGAAGGGTTACACCTAAGGATTGAATAGCAGAGGAGACCACTGCAACTGAGCAACCAAAGACTATGGCTGCACTACTCGAGCCCGACATTAATGATTTTGCTCTCTATCCGACTTTGCCTAGATTTGGCGAGGCTGTGTGGGGAGTTGGATCTAGGCCAGGTTGAGATAAGGAATAGCAAGTTGCGCAAGCAATACAGGATTGAATGATGCCGCTGAATAAATGTACTCGATGGTTGGTGACAGTGTTGACTAAAACGATTGTATTGTGTATCAAGTGGTTGGCTTAGATCGAACTACAACACCCAAAATTGTAAAAGTGTTGTGTTGTTACCTAAAAGGAAAAAAAAATGCAACAGGTCGTGCGTCGAGAACGATTTTTTCAACAGATCTAAGGGGTGCCAGTTCTGGAACTTCCCCTTTAAGCATGTGCGTGGCCAGGATCATTGTGCAATGTTCATCAGTTTTTATTCAGGGAGCTCGTCAAGCTCTTAATAGTTAGGGATAGTTTGCATGCCGTCAGTTGTCAAAAGTAGATTATTCCCTTTGGTGCATCGATTGAATCGCATTTTATCGTGGCTATGTACCACCAGACGGAAACGGGATCCAGATGCTTGAAATATTGCCTTCTGACGAAGCTGAAAGAATTTGTTATAAACAAACTATAACTATATTTATAAGAATTGTGTTTTTGAGTTTTGTCGTGCTTTCAGGTTTTATCATTTCCAATAAATTTGATGCAAAAAATTCGCAAATGGAGAACCTCGAAGCTACACAAATTGACAATCACACTCCCAAGGGCATCTTCAGATGCCAGAACAAAGTGCAGTCACTTTCACCCTGCTACAGATATTTATGTGTCATAGTTGGACACAAACCGCTCGGTCCATCTGCTAGCTACAAAAGAAAATTAAAGCTCGCTATCACCACCCAAAGGGGAAATAGGCGCGCGCAATCACCAGCTTTTAATGGATATATACTGAAGGACCACAAAACCATTCATTTTCCGCAAATTTAACACCATTTTTGAATGAGAAAAACAAAGAGGCTTTTACGAATAGATTACAACTTTTTCAATCGAGTCTCGACTACCCTCGCAGAACACCGTAGCAAAAATAACTCCTTCAAGTAGGGGGAATGCCAAACGTTTGCACAAAATTTGGTGGCACACCTTCAAGGTTTACACTACAACAGTGCCATTAATGCTCTAGTATCCCACGAAATCACTCTCATTTGATATTATTATTCTGAAGTGTCCATAAGATGAACCACAATTGAGAACTTGGGTACTGTCCTGCCACTTTATTTCATGCTACCTTGATTGTTGTGATAATAACAGAACTCGATGCAAATACGCGGTCTAAGTTTTTTGCTTCACATTTCAATCTGTTTGTGGTGACCAAACAAAAACATTCTGGAGAGTTCGTTAGTCTTGCAGGGCGATAGATACCTCCCTTACCATTAGGAAGGGACAGCAAGAGTCACGAGAGAGTCGTAACCCCCACTCTATTGCATTGACTCCGCTTTCTGAGTTGCTCAAGTTAAATGCCTTCTTAGTTATCAGCTATTGTTCTCTCGATTTTGTGTGCTAATTGATTTGTTATCTTTAGCTGATATGCATTTTTTCAAAAATCAACACACATTTGATAACAATAGAGGTAACTATAAATCCGCTAATGTTTACTAACAAAAGAGCTGATAAATTCACGAGATGATCCCGAAACTCTTTGAATATTTAAGCTGACGGCTCCACCCAGAAAAAGCTTAGACCACGACGTTCATCATCAAAATGTCAGACAAGAAAGATTTGAAAATAGGTTCAAAGATCGAGCCCATAGTATCGTTTACAAAAGATGACTTAGAAGACAAGGAGCGCCATGTATTGACAACTTTTGTCTCCCCACAAGGGAAGGAGGTAATGGTAACGAACAATGTCGATCAAGCAATGAAATTTGCCGTAGAACATAAAGGCGAGCAGGTTCAATTAGACGCAGAGACCGCCAGAAAATTGCTCCGCAAGATAGACTTGTTTTTGTTGCCAGTAATGTGTTTGTTATACTGCTTCCAATTTATGGATAAACTCACAACAAGCTACAGTTCCATCTTGGGATTACGGACAGAATTACACATGGTCGGAGACATGTACAGCTGGACCACGACATGCTTCTATCTAGGATATTTGGTATTTGAGTTCCCAGCGTCATTACTACTTCAAAGATTCCCGGTGGCCAAGACCGTTGGATGCTTCATTGTCGTATGGGGTATGATTTTGGCATTGTGTTCAGTCCCACAATATGCTGGGTTCATTGTTTTGAGAACGCTCCTTGGGATGCTTGAGCTGGCTGTGACCCCAGCGTTTGGAATCATTACATCGCAATGGTACAAGAAAGAGGAACAATTTTTGAGGACCGCATGGTGGTTTGCATCTAACGGTATTGGAACAATTCTTGGACTGGCTATTGCTTACGGATTGTACGAGAACCAGGGATCATACAGCTTACCTGCTTGGAAGCTAGTATTTATAGTCACTGGTGTTTTGACTATCTTCTTGGGCTTTATCATCATGATACATATCCCTGACACCCCAACTAAGGCTTGGTTCCTTTCAGAGTCAGAAAAGGTGTTGGTTGTCGAAAGAATTAGATCAAATCAACAAGGATTTGGTAATCCAAGATTTAAAAAGGAGCAGTTCATCGAGGCTCTAACCGATCACCGTACGTGGTTATTTTTCTTATTTTCAGTTTCTAACAATATACCAAATGGCGGAATCACCAGTTTTGGAACAATTTTGTTGAATGAACAGTTCAAGTTTACTGTTTCAAAGTCGTTATTGATGCAGATGCCATCTGGTGCTGTTGAAATTGTTGGTTGTGTGTTGTTTGCTTGGGTAGCAAAGTTTTTGAAATCAAGAATGTTGATGGCATGTATCATTACTGCCGTAGTGGTTATGTCACAATGTCTTTTGGCATTTGCGCCCACAGACACCGGGAAACTAGCTGGATACTATTTGTACACCCTTGGCCCAGTTGGGTTCATTTGTATCTTGTCCCAAGTTTCATCATCAGTGGCTGGTCACACCAAAAAAATTACAGTCAACGCTCTCTTCTTGATTGGTTACTGTGTTGGTAATTTGGTTGGACCGCAAACTTTCATTGATAATCAAGCTCCAGACTACGCTGGTGCTAAAATTGCGATTGTGGTTTGCGGTAGTGTATCACTTGTATGTTTGATCGCTATCTATATATCTTATTATTTGGAGAACAAAAAACGCGATTCACTACCACCGGTTGATATGAGCCACATTGAGAATTACGAATTTGCCGATCTCACTGATAAGGAAAATCCAAATTTCAGATATGCCCTATAAATCACTTTTATGGCTGAAGATTTGAAACGTGTATTGTAAAGTTTTATATGTCACGTTTCCGCGAGTTTACTCTAGGATATGCATTGGCCAAGCGGCAGGTGAGAGTTAAATTTTTACATGTTAAGTACTTGAGACTAGTAATTTGATAGTTTTATACCAGAAACGGCGCGCATTCACACATGCAGAATATCTCGAAGAAATATTCACTTTCTCAATAGATCACCATAGTTAAGACATCAGAAACGCATCCATACCGCAGTACATCGTTCAAATTAGGGGAATGATTTTCTTCATTTTGCCTTTTTGCATATTTGATTTGGCGCCGAAAGACGTAGTGAATGCTTTTTTTTTTTTTGACTCGCACACCTTTCCAAGATAGAAATGCGGCTAATGTATATGCATCTGATGCTTCTCGCTGCAAAAGGCTACAATATGTAAACAATTGGCCATTGCCAAGGCTTTCTTGAAAGAAAGTGGTAGCCTCTCGTAAATTTGCATTAACCGAGCTTGTGACTTTAAAACGCGTCCTCAACGAGGTATTATTGTGAGAATATTGGGCCACTTCATTCCGATTTCTCCAAATCAATACTACACGAAACCCAAAGATTGGGACAGAGATTATGCAACTTCTGCGAAGATCTCCTTTTGAATCACAGTGCCTAAATTTTCTCCCTCTGCAAAGTTGAGCATCTGAAAAATGTGATACAAAAGCTAAGTAGAAAATAAAAATAAAAACTTGAATATCTTACTTTAAAATATTTGCCAACAAATCCTTTATCAGGCATGCCTGTTGATGATCATGAGAAGTTGCTGTGAAAACACTTAGCCACGCTTGGATAAACTTTGGCACCGCTAATGTTAAACGGCTTTACATTGATGGAGGGATTCGTATTTATTGAGAGAATACCCTTTTAAAGTGTTGTTACCGATGCTTCTTTGAATTCCGAAGAAGGCTTTACTATGCCACGAAATTATATCGAACTATTCATTCTATGAAACGCGCCAATTCCGCCATGGAATTGAAGGAACTTTTGATTGCTTCTTGGCAAGTATGGACAAAATAACTAAGAAATTCGAACTTGAGCCATACTTAATGGCCAAATCACAGAGGAAGCGCACAAGATAATGGAGATATTATTCGATGTGTTTGAAGTTACAGATTGGGTCAGAGGTTTCAGGGCCGCTTTTTGTGGTGGTAAAGACTTTCAATCTTAGATATTTTGTGTATTATCGGGTGTTGAGGCTTGCGGAGTACCCATCGAATGGTCAAAATTTTTATTGATTGAACAAGAAAATCAATATATAAAGCTCCAGAGCTCTTTTCTTGAGCTTAGCTGGGGAAAAATCTCTTTAAGCAAAAGGCATCATGGTCGAAAAGAAAGAGTCAGAGTCTGTATCCCAGCTCGAGCCTGTGGTTTCAATCACCAAGGAAGATTTGGAAGACAAGAAGAAACATGTTTTGACAACAATTGTATCACCTGGTGGGAAGGAGATTGAGATAACCAACAATGTTGATTTGGCAATGAAATTTGCCGTTGAGCACAAAGGTGAGTTTACAGAATTGGATCCAGCCACTGACAAGAGGATTTTACGGAAAATTGACATGTATTTACTTCCTGTGATGTGCTTGTTATATTGTTTCCAGTTCATGGATAAGTTGAGTACAAGCTATAGTGCAATTTTGGGATTGAGAGAAGAGTTGGGTATGGTAGGAAACATGTATGGTTGGACATCAACTTGCTTCTACATTGGATATTTGGCATTTGAGTTTCCTGCTTCACTAATTCTTCAGAGGTTTCCAGTGGTCAAAGCTGTGAGCACGTTCATTATTGTTTGGGGAGTGATACTTGCCTTGTGCTCTGTTCCGCAATATCCTGGGTTTATTGCTTTGCGAACAATCTTGGGAATGCTTGAGCTGTCTGTCACCCCAGCATTCGCCATCATCACGTCCCAGTGGTACAAGAAGGACGAACAGTTTTTGAGAACGGCTTGGTGGTTTGCTTCAAATGGTTTTGGAGTAGACCTCGGTGTTTTGATAGCATATGGCTTATTCAAAAACCAAGACGCTTACACGTTGCCAGCCTGGAAGTTGGTTTTTGTTGTAACTGGTGTTCTAACTGTTTTTTTGGGGTTTCTAATTTTATTTCACATCCCGGACACACCGACTGGAGCGTGGTTCCTCACCGAAGAGGAGAAAGTGTTGGCTGTTGAAAGAATAAGGGGCAACCAACAAGGGTTTGGTAACCCGAGATTCAAGAAAGAACAATTCATGGAAGCCTTAACTGATCACCGTACATGGCTATTTTTCACCTTAGGCATGGCTAATTGTATTCCCAATGGTGGTATCACAACTTTTGGAACTGTTTTGTTGAATGAGCAATTTGGGTTTGACACGGCAACAGCCTTATTGATGCAATTACCTTCTGGTGCAATTGAAATAGTTGGATGTGTCTTATTTGCGTGGCTACTGAAGTTCATGAAATCACGTATGTTGATGGCATCCCTCATTGCTGTGCTTACTCTCATGGCGGAATGTTTGTTGGCTTTTGCACCCACAAATGAGGGTAAGCTTGCCGGATTGTATTTGTGGTATATTGGTCCGCTTTCGTTCATTTGTATCATATCACAGGTCTCTTCATCTGTTGCGGGCCATACGAAGAAAGTCACCGTGAATGCTATATTCTTGATTGGATATTGTATTGGTAATTTGATTGGCCCACAAACGTTTATTGCAAACCAAGCACCAGCTTATGCCGGGGCCAAGGTTTCAATTGTTATTTGTGGAGTTATTGCTTTAAGCTGCCTAATCGCAATTCATGTGTCCTACTACTTAGACAACAAGAGACGTGACTCATTGCCTCCAGTTGACATGAGCCACATTGAGAACTACGAGTTTGCCGATTTGACAGACAAGCAAAATCCAAACTTTAGATATGCTCTTTAAGTTCGTTCGCGAAACTGTTTCTGCTCAAAAGTTAAGGTCGACTATGAATACATTACTTCAATTTCATGTAGGAACTACAGGTTCTGGGTAAAGATGGTTGTGTAGAAGCAATGGACGTAGTGCCCTCTGAATCTCGTCTTAATGAAAATCTTCGAAGATCACGCCTCACAAAATGGTCCAGAGTTTCTAAATCATCTATCGTATAACTATTTGTAAGAGCCTTTATACATCAAGTTGAAATTAGAGTTGTGGGGACAAGAATTTCAATGTTAACATGTTGTTCTCCAAGAAAAGTAAACATGTAAGTGAACTTCGAGCTCGCAGAAAAAAAAGCTTGTTTTTTAATCATTCCTGGCAGGGTATAGTCACGATTTGTAAACGCCAATTTGGCTCCGATTATAGTAATCAGTCATATTGGCTTCTAAAAAAAAAGGCAGAAAGTCATCAGGGAGACTTTCTACCATTATTTCAAAGGTTGAAATTGGGGTCAGAGTCAATTGAGGAAGCTTGATATCTATGATTTAGAAGGGTTTAGTCGCAAAAACTAAAACTTTAAAATAAGCTTCTTTTCCGTTTGATAGCCGATCCACTACAACATGGCCTCTCAATTTGCGGGAAGCGTATAACGATATTAGCTTCTGTGCAAATATAAAGTCAGGTTGACTTGTTTAAGGAAATGATTTTGCACCTACGATATCTTGGGGATATAACCAAAACCAAATATTATACTCAAAAAGTAGAATGAAAGGGAAAGTGGAATCTCATTCATCGGTTGATCCAACAGTTTCATTAACTAAGGAGGACTTGGATGACAAGAGCAAACATGTCTTGACTACGATCGTGTCGCCTGGTGGAAAGGAAATCGAAATCACCAATAATGTTGATGTTGCTATGGAATTTGCAATCCAACACAAGGGTGAATTTAAGCAGTTGGATCCTGTCACCGACAAAAGACTTTTACGGAAAATCGACATGTATTTACTTCCTATTTTGTGTTTGTTGTATTGCTTCCAGTTTATGGATAAATTAACTACAAGCTATAGTGCAATTTTGGGATTGAGAGAAGAGTTGGGTATGGTCGGAGATATGTATAGTTGGACAGGAACTTCATTTTACATTGGATACTTGTTCTTCGAATTTCCTGCGTCATTATTACTTCAAAGGTTTCCCGTCACTAAAACCGTTGGTGCGTTTATAATCACCTGGGGCACGATTCTTGCATTGTGTTCTGTCCCTAGATACCCTGGCTTTATTGCCTTGCGAACAATCTTGGGAATGCTTGAGCTGTCGGTTACTCCAGCATTCGCCATCATTACGTCTCAATGGTACAAAAAAGACGAACAGTTTTTGAGAACCGCATGCTGGTTTGCGTCTAATGGGTTTGGAACAATCATTGGTCTGGCTATAGCCTATGGTTTGTATGGAAACCAAGACAGCTACAGTTTACCTGCTTGGAAATTGGTGTTTGTTGTAACTGGAGTTTTGACAATATTTTTGGGGATGCTTATCATTGTTCATGTCCCCGACACTCCGACAAGAGCGTGGTTCCTTTCTGAAGAGGAAAAGATTTTAGTAGTTGAAAGAATTAGGTCTAATCAGCAAGGATTCGGTAATCCACGTTTCAAGAAAGAGCAATTTGTTGAAGCCTTAACTGATCACCGCACATGGTTATTTTTCTTCTTTTCAGTGCTCCAGATGATTCCCAATGGTGGCATTACTAGTTTTGGAACTATATTGTTGAATGAACAATTTGGATTTGACACTGGAACGTCACTTTTGATGTATTTTCCTTCAGGAGTGGTTGAAGTCTTTGGGTGCATTGGATTTGCATGGGCCTCGAGATTTGTCAAGTCACGTATGGTAGTAGCAATTTTTTGTGGATGTATCACGGTAATGGCAGGCTCGTTGTTGGCATTTGCACCCACAAATGAAGGGAAACTCGCTGGACTTTACTTGTACGATCTTAGTATTGTTTGCTTCATTTGTATATTGTCGCAGGTCGCTTCATCCGTCGCTGGCCATACAAAAAAAGTTACTGTCAATGCTGTATTCTTAATTGGGTATTGTGTTGGAAATTTAATTGGTCCTCAAACATTTATTGAGAGTCAAGCTCCTGTTTACGTTGGTGCAAAGATCGCAATAGTTGTATGTGGTTCAGGAGCACTCGCTTGTTTGGTGGGAATTTACATTTCTTATTACGTGGAAAACAAGAGACGTGACGCATTACCTCCAGTTGATATGAGTCACTTTGAAAACTACGAGTTTGCCGACTTGACTGATAAAGAAAATCCAAACTTTAGATATGCGCTTTAAGTTTATAGCAAACATTCTATGAATACTCATGGTGCGGCTTGGGTTTCGAAAATCGTAAATCTTTTACTACTCTAAAAACCTGGTGAACCTCAGAAAAAACAGCATTTCACACATGATATGGAGAAAGAAGTATCTTTTGTACTTGAGGGCCTCGAGAACTCGACTTTGGTAACGGCCTCACCCGGATTGAAACAGCTAGAAAACCTTTTGCAAAAGCTACTTCCGGAAATCGAGCAGTTTCAAAACAATGGGATAGTGGCTCCGCGACTAAGAGAGCTCATCAACTTACAAGACAATTTTGCTTACAACATCACCGTTTGTCTAGTCAGAATATATGAAAAAGATTTACACAAAGATGATACGTTGTTATTAAATAGGCTTTTACAAGGACTATTGTTGTTGCATCCATCGTCAAAGAACATTTTCAATCGTGACCGAAACATGCGTTTGATTTTAGATTTGTTAGATGACTATAACAAAGACTTGGAGATTACAATATCTGTTATAACCACATTGATACATGTACTACTAAAGAATTACGAGAATTACCGCAGTTTTGAGAGAAACCGCGGGTGTTTGAAGTTGATTCGGCATTTGAAATTGGACTCAACAGACGTTATACCGGTAGATGATGTGCCACAGTCAAGCTCGGTGAAGAGAAACGGTGGTGCATATTCGCTTCAGCAGCATTTAAATTTCAAAGTCATTGAGTTTTTGATGTTTTATATGAGTGAGGAAATTGACAATCCAAACCCACACGATGTCGATATGAAGGCAGATTTATTTAGAGAGGTGTTTCCTGCGATTGACTCATTGATTGAAAGTTTGAACGAATTAAATAAGTTGTAAATATAGAGACTTTAGTTGCAATATCCTACTTGTAAACCCATCGATTCGTGGCAAACTTGTCTTGTAAATTATTTGTTGAATCCCCGTTTAGGAGTGTAAACTCGGTCATTTGTTTATATTTGGGTACTGAGCTGTTCGCCAAACTCTGAGCTGTATCGTATTTTCTTTGCCTAATTATTAGATCAGCTTCGTTCTCTTTATCTTCACCAACATCGTCCACTTGTAGTCCGATCAACCTTCTCTGGTTATTGCTTAATGGGAGATCCCAACACTGGTCTTGACCTTTCAATAACTTGGCTACTGATATAAGTATACTAACTAGTGGCCAAATCGTGATCAACTGTTCAGCAATATTGAAGTAAATGCTGCCCACAAATGTGTCAAAATTGAAGTGACTGTTGTACATCATTTGCTTATAAAGTGGCTGCGCTTTCAAGTTTATTTCATACAATATGGTAAACTTTCGAGCTAACGATTTGAATAACAATAAAACGATCAAATATAGTATGTTGCGCAACAATAACTTGGTGTAATATTCTAGATCCACTTGTCGCGACAATGCTTGTTTGACAATAGGGTTTTCCCAATCTCCAGTTGGGGAAGAACTGTTGTCATCCTCCATTTCATCCTCATCTTCGGTATCGTGCCGGTTCTGAGCCTGGTTGTCACTTGTTTTTAATTTGTTGCGGTAAAAATGAGGCATGTTATTCTTTATTGTTGCGTTGCTTCCACCAAGGTTCACATTTGGTGGGAGGAAATTCTTGATTTCACTATAAAAGTCCTTGACCCCAGAACTGGGCAATTGGTAATACAATGGACGATCGTGACTTTTTATCTCCTCAAGTTTACGCTCTTCAATCTCACGTTCTGCTTTTAATGAAAGTTTTGTCTGTAATATTTTTAAATGTATGTCATTTAGGGAAGTTTTATCGGAAAGCTTGTTCAGTTGTATGCCGATTGCTTCTGTCAGCTCCTTTTGTTGCGTTGTTTTGAAATGCATTCGAGATAATGCATTATTAGGTAGTCTTGATAATGTATGGTCAAGACGCGGTAAGTTACCATCAATCATAGGTTGTGGACGAGTATAAGAGTCGAATTCAATCAATGCATCTTCATAAACTTTGTCAGAGCTAGCAGGTGTTGTCATTGCGGGTGGTTGTATTCTTTCTGATTAACAAATTCCGATCACTTTTTGAAATGCAGTTTGATTTTCTGCTTTCATCACGGTCACGTGTTAATTTCGCTTCAAAACTCAACTCGATGGAAAGGTGAAAAAAAAAAAAAATATCTTCAGCCATTAATTCTTTTCTTTCCTACAACAAAGATTGGTGAAAAACAACTGTATGTATTAACTAGAAAGATTCACATGATGAATAAAATGTTTACACAGACCTGTACCGAGTGAATTGGCTACGGCCTTTTTTAACTCTGAAGGATAACGACATGCCTCTTCTGAAATTGAATCATTGATAATGATAAGTTTCAAATACTAATTGAGAGACAGATTTAGTATTGGCTGGTCCAAAATTGTATAGAATTGAATAAACAGTTTTGTTAAACGAATGAATTCGATGTAGATATGATTACCTCTGAATAGGAACGATTACAAAATTGTTGATCTATACATGGAATTTATGCAAATCGTTAAAATCTGCAATTGTTGACCCAGCACAAACCATCTAAAGCATCGAATTTTCATCCAATTCTACGATTTTCATGTTACACGTTAGTTTTAATATTTATTAACAGTTTGAACCTGAAAAAAAAAGAATGCTACATTTATTGTAAAATAACCCCATGAGTAAAATGACATAACCATTTCCACCGGACCATTTATTTCTTAGCAGTCAATCTTCTCAAGTAGAAAGCTAATTCTTCACCTTCCAAGATGTAACCATCACATCTTCCTGATTGACCAGGTCTTGATGAGATAACAGCGTATAATCTACCGGCACCGAATTGTGAGTCAACAGCAGCTTCAATAGTGGCGTTACCTGATCTGTTGGCCAATTTTCTTTCCACTTTTCTGGACTTTTTAACGTCAGCTACATCAGAAGCAACTGGCTGGTTCTTTTTCTTACCCAAAGTTCCACCATAGTGGTTTTCATACCATTGTCTAAATGGAGTGGCATCAATTTGAACAACAGCAGATTTGGTCAAAGTATTGGTTCTAACCAACTCGTTATTGGATGGATGGTAAACCACACCAGCAATTCTAGTTTTTCTTGAAACACCTTCTGAAGCCCATGAAAAGTTACCAGTTTCAATTCTCAAAGCTCTAAATTTTTGGTTACCACCTCTTGTTCTAACAGTGTGAATTCTCTTTGGTCCAATCTTGGTGTTGGCGGATTGTCTTCCTAATTCGAACTTTCTCTTCTTTCTGAATTGAGCTCTCTTAGCACCGGTGGCGCTTCTTTTGTGACGTGAATCTCTAGAAATACCCATGTTTACTAAAAAAAAGGGTTAGTATTGAGAACCAAGAGGAAGTACCAAGGGTTTTGTTGACAATGAAGCAGACAAAGCGAGCGTCTCGAGTTTATCATCGATAAGTTGATCATTTCCATGCGTTCTTTTCTCTCCGATTCTTTGACCTCTCAAACGTTGTGACGCTATGATCAATGTGATTCAAAAATGCCTCCTTCATTGTGCTTCTGTCTAGTAGCCCCATCTGATGTGCTTGAATAGTATCAACATACACTTCTATATCACTGATGTATTTGGTAAAAAAGAAGAATTCAAATGACAATTCCTAAGATTTGATAAAGCGAAAAATTTTTAATAAGCTGAAAAATTGTTTGTACGGGAGGGAGTGTGTAGTGTGCGAGTCGAGCAGCTACCCTCTCACTTTTAAGAAATCATTTGGTAGCAATTCATAAAAGCTGAGGTAGTGTGCGATTCAACAGAAAATATATTTCGCAAGCACCAAATGCGAGTTAGGGCTAAGCCCTAGTCAGATGACTTGTTCTTGAATTTCTTTTTGTTTTGTTTTAATCTCATCTCAAAAAAAGGTGCGTGTGATGATGATAAAGGGTCTGGGGACTGATATAGCATGTTTTGAGCGAAAATACCTGTTGACACAATAACACCTCAAATATGGAAACGATTTATGATGAGATAGAAATAGAAGATTTTACATTTGATCCTGTCACTCAGTTGTTTCAATACCCCTGTCCTTGTGGTGATCGGTTTGCCATTAGTATTGATGATTTACAAGATGGAGAGGATATTGCCGTTTGTCCAAGCTGCTCGTTGATGGTGAAAGTTATTTTTGAACCAGAGGATTTGCAAGAGTATTTGGATGAGATCAGTTGAGATCAGTTGAGGGTGTCAGTTCAAGCATGAATGTTGTAGCTGCAATGGGAAGGCAGCAAACCTTTTCACATTTTCAAGGATGAGTAAAACTCATGGGGGTTCCGCTATCATGAAGAGACAAAATTCTTCCACGCATTAGCTGGGCGTTGGTTCCTGGGTAGTGGATCCGTCAAAGGTTAGAAGTGGGGGATTGGGGTCGATGATATGTAATGTTGATTGCAATCATGTTGGCTTGTCGCACTCACAAACACCCACGGGGGTTATGCTGGCAATTGATAGTGTTTGTGATTTATCGCTCACATGGCATGCAAGCTATCAGACCAGACTGGAACCGCATGTGAATCTAACATTTTGCATGTGAAAGTTTGGTCGACTTCGTCGTGCAATCAAAGCAAAAAACAATGGCATATGGCATTGGAAATCAAGACCCAACATTTTAATCAATACAGTGTTTTTTACGTGTGATATATCTGGCATTGTTCGGAGTTAGAACTGTTTCATTTTTGTAACCACACGGGCTATATATATATATGTGTGTTAAACTGATTTATTGTGGGGAAGAAGCTATTTGGTTTTTTAATCGCCGTGCAGATGCCAAAGCCGTTGGTATTGGATTGTTTAAAATGCAAACTGAATACATGACTAGGATTCGATTATCAGGCTTGAAACAGTACGTTCGGTTGTGATTCCTTGTTTTTTTTTTTCACACAATAAGGAGATAAAGATGTTATTACCGATATTTTCAACTACCGTCCAATGTATGTATGCAATGGTTTGTCTATAGTAAAGCTCAAAAGTATAAAGTTAAATTTTTTTGAAAGTTTAATTGAAAATTGCAATGGTTTGTAGCGGCTCTAAAGATTTTCCAATGTTGAAGGAGCCGCTACCCCCTAAACTTCTTTTCTGTTACCGCTTTAAATGCACAAACGCTAAATTGTGTAGCTATTTGCGTTGTCATGTGAAATTTTCAAAGAAATTTAAACCATGTCATGGCTCATTGAGGAAATGGAGTTGAGGTAGATCTTCAATATCGAAGGACATAAATTTCGGTGGAGGTGGTCTGTGATTTTTTCAATTCAATTGGGCTTGCATGTGATGCTAGCGCGCCCAGCCTATGTTCAGAGAAAGAGGGGTTGTAAGACTTTGGATGGATTATGACAGAGTGTAACTACAGAGTCTTTGCCTGCTCCAGTTTATCAATAAAGGAGTAGATGTGGCTTAGTCATTAGGCCATAGTATCATTGATCAACAGGGATTGGTTCTAGTATCGGCTATAATGATACTAATAGCAAAACCTTGTCGGACTTGTTGAATGAAATGGGCTAAAACCTATTCTCTAATAAAGGTTAAAGTTGAAGTATGTATAGTGAGGAAACAATACGTAATGCAAGTCAATGCTTTACGTCAAATGCGGGGTAACGTTGAGAAGCAAAAAAAAAAAAGAGTTCCATTTTATTTTTGTGTGCCTTGTTTTTTTTTTATGATCTTCACTTAGGTTATTGTGTATTTTACGACCCAAAAACAAAAAGAGAATAGTGGTAACTGTTTCAGCTGAGAATTTTACTTAATCGCTTTTGTAAACTACTCCAACGTAGAACGAATAGTTTAAAAAAATCTAAAATAATAGGTGTTTGTGTTCCGTGGACGAATACTGATATAGAATAATGCAAAAAAAAAAGTTAATGGAATAGACAAGGGTTCGATTGCACACAGCACAAACGGCACAGAAAACGAAACTTTATCAGCAGCAATAATTCACGTAGTCGTGTACTTAACACTGGCACGTAGGTTGTGATTCATTGGGAACTTACTTTATTGAACGTAGCTTAAAGCTTATCAAAACCTCTTATTTGAAAATTTTAGAACAAAAGAAGCTCAACGTGAGCGGGGTAATAATGAGGAGAAAAAGAGACAAGTAGTTTTTTTTTTTTTTTTTCGAAATGTTTGCTCCCCCTTTGTTTGAAAGAGAAAATAATAAAATATATTAAAAAAAAACGATGACTAAATTGATAGCTTTCTGCCCCTATTGTTTTTTAAAACAATAGGAGGATTTTGTGCATAATGCAATCGATTTAGGTAAAATGTTTTAGAGATAGAGAATAAAAACAATAACTTCACTGCGGAAAGTATAATCTTTTTTTAAAGCAAACTGAATGGAGTGCGAAAGTGCGGAAAATAAGAAATCTATATTTGAAAAGAAGATGATAGCAAACACGTAGTTTCTGCTTGGAAACGATATAGATTTAGTTAGTAGGGCAGGTGAAAACGGGCGCTAAATTTAAACTTTGAATTATCGGTTTCTGTCGAAAAAGATAGATCACTAGGTAGGTTAAGAAATTGTGTTACGCACATTCTAAGAGCTCCAGCCAGAGCAGTAATAGCCGAAGAGTTTTGTCTTTTTGTATGTTTAACCCGCACGTTCAAAGCATACTAAAGTTACAAACGAAATAGTGATATGACTTCTTGCAGGTCATTGGCGAGGAGTGACAGGAGACATACCACAAAAGCATCAACGCGATTATTATTTTATGGTTATGAGAATATTTGCCTCGATTGAGTGAACGTTTTATGTTACAAAACACATTCAATAATATTTTTAATGAGATAAAGCCGATGAAAACATTAGGAAAAGAGAGCAAAAGAAGGCTCCTAACCCAACGCATCCAGTGTAAAACAAAAAGTGTATTGTTGTATCAGTAAGTAGGCTGTTGAAATGAAGACGTCAATGGTATTGCATCAACCCGCATAAACACCAAAGTGAACAAAGCACTTATTATCTTTTGTTCGAGATTTTATGCAAAAAAACTCATGCATGAAAATTGAATCGATATGAGTACTTTCGAGACTTCCTCTTATTGATGTAGAATGGGATATATGTCTATCATGTAATATTAACCAGGAGAAATTCGGAAGCACACTATCAAGTCAAAATTATGATATTGTTTTCCTTATCCCTTCATCCTTTAATGCGCGATAAAGAATGAATTTTTTATCCCGAGGTTGCAAATTGGAAAATGAAAAAATAAGACCCTTTTTGATTAGAGTATAGATATAACTTGAATGTTTAAGGGTTCACCATATTATGGGTATAGATGGAATCACATTAAATTGATGGTTAGATGTTTATAAACCATCGTACCAATGTGGTACCAAAAGCGGCTACTTTTTTAATCAACTCCCTTCAACCACAAGCACCACCATCAAACTAAACATTCAAGTCTATTGTTTGAAACACTCCATTCTCAAAAAAATCATGCCATAAACGTTTGATTGCTTCAAGAAGAAAACAAGAACAGACAAACACTACCTCAAGATGGGTTGTGTTTGAACTTTATTAAGCTATGTTTTAATATTTTACAACCGAACCAATACAATTAGGGAAAACAATAAATAAATAAACCATAATTTCAAAAACAGGGAAGGAATAACAATAAAATAGGGTAAACAACTGAATGCAAGTTTTCTGCCGCCTTTCATTATGATAAATATAGAAAACAAAAACAAAACAAGAACTGCAACAGCAAACAATGAGAATAATTGAAGTGTTCTGTATTCTATGTGTTCAAAAGCTGCGCAAAACGAACATCAGGCCATTTTAACCTTCAACCACGATCTTTGTGTCTTAAGTTCATACACTCGCGACACTTGCACCGAGTAAATTTTCATTCTGACTTTATTGCCTAGACCCTCGAGACAATAGGGCCGAAGGGACAAGTGCCACAAACTATTTAAATATATTCGCAAAACATTTTTTTTTTTGGTTGTGCCGCATTGATGAAAGGGAAGGCAATTAATAACGAGAAAAAGTTACAAAAATGATCCACAACAACAGCAACAACAAACAGTACATCGAAAACGAAACGCAACGTCAAAGTCGACTCAACGCAGATTGTGTTGCAGTGAGCTGCACAACGCAACCATATGCAACTAAAAAGAAAAGTAAGGGCTGATGCGTACTTTTTCTGTCACTGCCTCAGTAAAAACAGGAAACGCACAACCGTTCTTTTGTCAAGAAACAGTTTCTACGTCGAGATCGGTTTTGAATCTTCGGCCAAAGCCGAACAAGGCAAAAAAATACCATTGTATCAACTACGATGGTCGACATGGTTGTACGTTTGACTACCTTGGTTCAGCAGTAGTGAAGCTTTGTGCATATCCGTTTGAAACGAACAACACAACAAAAGCGGTAGACAGATGTCCATGCGTATACGAATCAAATCAAGAAATAGAGCGGTATTACAATAAAAACCTCGACAAAGAAATGACATTATGTGTGTGTCGCGTATAAACGTATGAGTCAATAAAGCTCATTCAATGTATGCTGGGTTTCTTAAGATGCTCCCTAAGATTGAAAATGAACTCTTTTGTTGGAGTGGTTAGTTTGTTTGTTGGCTAGTTGTAGACTTAATTCAAGTTTGTATTGTTCCGATATGAGCGCAAACGTTTGTACAAACTGAACACAAAATAAAGCCTGTTTTCTTGATTGTAAGATTTACTAGTGCGGTATGGATGTTTTTATCTAAAAAAGGCATAGCATATTTTCCAATCCTGTGTTTTGTGTAACAATTGGTTAATATAAATTTATAACAACGGGATGCTCATTACCGAGGCCGAAAAGGATCTCAGTTGCGTTTTATTTTTTTTTTTTCAACCGAAAACGTTCATTCAATGTGTGTACAAGATTTTATGACACATTTACGGGTGTAACATTGAGTTGGAGAGTAAGGCTGATTTGCGTGACGACTATCTTAACCCATTTGGAAGTGTGGGAGATGATGAAAGATTACAGAAGGTACTTTTTTTTTTTTTCGGCAACGGAGTGTGGTGTAGATTTTCTCGTATATCGAAATCTTTGTTTGCTTTGTGCATGGGGATTACGTTAGCTTAAGTAAACGTATAATGCATCAACAACAATAGGGCTTACACATGTGAGTATGTCAAGAGAACCAGCACAAAGGACAAGTTTGTGAAGGAATTCAACGACGATCCTTCTCGCTCCCTCTACCTCTTTCTTTGTTCCCGTCATCCTTCCAAGTTCCAACTTGGGTTGTTCTTTTTAAAACAATAGCAAATTCCGTTTCCATAATAAGTCGGAATGTTCAATTTCGTACTAACAAAAGGAACACTCCTCAATAAAACAACTCACTACTATACTCAAACTTCAATTGTTCTCTAACTTTTAATATCAAAGCCCCTAATTTCCGGTTACGAACTTACTTTTGCATCCTTCCCAAATGCGGTCTAGAAGCCATGGTCATTTCTACGTGGATAAAGTCAAAACGGTTTCTTTTGTTTTTTTTTTTAAATTATTTTTTGCTGCAGTTCGGAAGTGGGGGGATGTGGAGGAGTTCTTTTTTTATCCTTTTAGTCAGCCAACGGTTTACTGTTTTCCCTAAGAAATAATCCGAGCATCTCTCCTTCCTTTTTTTTTTGGCGCTTAATCAAAAGAAGAAAAAAAAATACTGACCTGAACATGCAAGGAAAAGCATAATGTCAGGATAAAAAACCGATGAAAAAGATCTGTTGCTATCCATCCACGTCATTATGCATTATATACATTGCCACACATATTTTTTTTTTCTGAAAGTACTAAATGCAGCTGAAAACAAAAAAACAAGGACGGTCACAAAAATGCAGCAGTTTTGCGAAGCTCTGAGTTACTTGACTCTTTTGCTTTTCCTTTTCCCTGCCTCACCAGATCCTCTCTCATTTAAGGGTCTTACCTAGTTTCAGTTTTATAGTCTAGACGGGATGACTTTTTATTGTATCTAATACGCAATCAAAGACGGGTATATTATCTACATCGAAGCTTCTTCTCCTCTTATTTTTTTTTTTTTTTTTGTTGCCAACCTTGCCTTCATCCGTCTGTTATACCCCTCGTTTCTCCTCTCTTGTCACATAAGGTTTCGCTTCTAACACGCCACTTTTTTTTGTTTCAAATCCTTCTCCTTTCCCCCCCCCCCCCCCCCATCCGCACTTGACCGTTTCGCCAAGGGGAAGACAACAATAAAGGGGTTTTTCTTCAACTATCTTTACATTTCTCGTTCCTGAGTGCATTAGCTAGCTTTGTTTCGATTTATCTTATATAGTTGGCACTGCAAGAAGACTTAGCAGTGGATCTGCCGCAAAGTATGTTTCTCGAGGGGGATCAATCTAGAGTGGTAGTGTCTATACTCAACTAACGCATTCACTTGACTTTGTAGTTGTACAAATGGCAATGCTACAACACCGCTACAATACAATAGATTCACTTATATAATACGAAAAACAATGTGACCACCCTCACACAGTGAAGCGCTACAAACATATTATCTGGTATCTTCGCCATGGCGGTTGTAAGAGACTGAGAGTGTAATGAATATAAGATATATGTGCTGTTTGTAGCTTACCCCTCTTGTCACTCATTTATTTAACTCCAGAAAGTGGTGGTGGTGTACATATGTACAGTTGAATATCAAAAGTACAAAAAGTAAGATGGCTTATTATATTTTTTTAGCTACGTTGGTTAGTGTTTATTGTTTTTGTAACTAATTAGATATTAAATCTAAATTCACACGGATTTAAAAAATAGATTAAACTCACACAAATAAGGCAACAAAACAGCCGACGATCACCAACTAGTAACAACAACTAACAACAATCACAAAAACCATCACCACCACAATATAAATAATTAATTAAAAAAAATAAAAATAAAAATGAAATAAAAAATAAAAAATAAAAATAAAAATAAAAATAAAAATAAAAAGAATAAAAAATTATTTTCTTAAAACTTTGTTTCAAAAAGGTCTATAAATATATATATACAGAGTACATTCAACAAAGTACTACTGCTAATTGAGTTCAGAAATACTAACCAAAAAACACATACATTGTACTAGATATCAAAGGAGCAGGCCTCTCTAACTACATGTACCACACATTTACACAGCACCGCAATACTACTACTACTACTTCTTTTCACTTTTACCTACTTAATACTTTAAAATTTACATATTCCATACTTCGTACAATATAACTTTTGAAACAAAATTACAACCAATGATTTACGACAAACCGACTGAATATCATTACTTACCACCACCTGGTCAATATCAACAACACCATCATCAAGAATCAGTGCAACAACAGCATTCACCTCAACACCTCCCACAACAGCTGCTAAAAGAGTATGGTGGTGGAAACACGACCACAACTACTGCAACAACAACAACAGGTGCTAGTTTCTTACCTTCAATTTCCCACCACACCACTCCTGTGTACCAACACCAAGTGGAAGCGTCACATTTAGAACAACCTATGTCATCTATTACACATTCTAATGCACAACCTTACCCTTATAACTACCAGCAAGCACAGGTGCAGCAGCAACAGCATCATTCATTTTATGCTCCTACTTCGCATGGAGCCACCTATCAATATACCCCCCTCCCGCATGCAAACAACTCATCTAATTTACCACCATCCTCGGTCAATGCAGGCGCCAACAACAACAATACCACAAATAGACGAGGCCCATGGTCACCAATGGAAGACAAAAGATTACTCGAACTTATATCGATGTATGGAGCCACAAATTGGGTTAGAATAGTCAACACTTTGGAAACACGTACACCAAAACAATGTCGTGAAAGGTATCATCAAAATTTAAAGCCAAGTCTTAATAGAGCACCTATCACTGTTGAGGAAGGTGAATTGATTGAAAAGTTGGTGGCTCAATACGGGAAAAAATGGGCTGAAATATCTCGTCATTTGAATGGAAGGTCAGATAATGCTATCAAAAATTGGTGGAATGGTGGTGCTAATAGGAGGAGAAGAGCCAGTTTGGCAACGTCTACCAGCAACAACAACAACAACAACAGCAATAGTAACTATAGTGGCAACGGATTGAATAAAGCAGACGAGTACATCGGACAACAGCAGAAGCCGCAACAGCTGCAACAACAACAACAACAACAGCAGCAGCAGCAGCAGCAATATCTGCATTTACCGGCACATATTGAAGGTGATCCAAAACCAAAAACTGCTTCCAATCTACCACTCCCCCCTCAACCGCAACCGCAAGAACAGACTCACAGCAAAGCCCTTCCAATGGGAATATCCTCAAGTTTATCCAGCTTAAATAATGCATCCATACCATCAGCTAATTCAACTACATTTGCTGGTGCAACACCAAATAGTACAGCTCGTATTACACACTTACCACAAATTTCGTTCAACACATCCATGTTTGGTGGTGATAACAAACAACAAAGAGACGCTCACAAGACATTGCCTAGCATCAATTCGTTTGCTGCTGGTAAGTCACCTTTACTTCCAGCATTATTAAGAAACAATGAAACCAGATCAGCTAGTTTTGATACCGGATCAACTGCTGTTGCTGCTACTGGTAGTGGAGCCAAGTCAGCGTTCCCACCGACTACCTTACCACCAATATCTCACAGCAACAAGAGACGATTAATTGATGATCCTTCCAATTTCACCAATCGTCGTCACTCTAGTGCTCATGCTATGTTGATGCAAGCACATGTCAATGGATCACATTCGAACTTGGCTCATGGTTTCTATAACAACTCACCAAAACATGCACCGGTGCATGCCCAAAGTGGCAACGTGTCGCCATCATCGTATCATGGTTCTCCATTGATGTCGGGGTCACTTGGCTCAAGAAATAATTCAGTAACGCATTTTGAATTGCTCAATAACAATAATTATCCTCATGGCCAAAACCATCATCATCAACACAACAATGGTGACAATATTTCATCAATGCGAGGCATCACATCGTCTCCCAACTCGACTACAAACAGTCTATCATCAAGACGCTCAAGTTCAATTGTGTCTGACATGGCCCCTCACTCATCGATTGGTAGTAAATTCGGTGCTGACTATTACAATAGCAACAACAATGGCAACACACATAGACGAAACTTGTCACAAAATTCTTCATTCAACTCCCCCTTGCTTACTCCATCAACGAGGTTTTCCATTTCATCAACTACCTCACTAATGAATCACCAATTGACAACAACTACATCATCGCCTGTTCATAAATCGCATGATTACTACTCCAAGAATCGAAGTGGTAGTGTTTTAGTTACTGGTAACATCAATGCATTACAAGAAGAAGAGCACAAGCGAGAAAGGCGAAGTGTTGGTGACAGAAGTGGTGACGGAAGTAGCAACGACAACGATGATGATGATGTGCAAATGAGTGATGGAAAAAGAAGGAGTATTGATGATAATGATGCAACCCCAAAGCTTTCCAATGATCAACATGCAAATGCCCATGAGACCACCAAATCACCTGGATCAGAAACTAGAAAAATGTCGGTAGCTGCCTTACTTGATTAAGCGCAAACGTCTTTGTTGATTTTTCGTTGTAGCTTTAGCATTTTAGGTATGATTCAAGGCCGAATTGTATTTCTTAAAGTCTGATGAAAGTATTGATTACTTGCATCACTCGTATACAACTGTAATTTTCTTCTTTCTTTTTTAATCACAGAGAACAATTTAATAATAACAATGCTTCACTTCATAATCTCTACTTTAACGTCCTACTTCTCTCAACATTCTTGTGTACGCTGTAATCTGTGAACAGTTAGATCGGTTCTAAAAATACGCGCTATCAGTCGGTGCTTACTCTTTTTACATCTTTGAACGGCCTCAACTATATGTGGTCAACCTCTATTCATAATATCAAAAAGAAGATCACTCGCCTCTATGGCCCAGTCTTTGACTAAGATGTTTGCTTCTTTTCTCCGGTCAGAATAATTGTGATCATTTGGTGATCATTGTGTACTGTCGCACACTTAATAACCAACACCCAAAAGAAAAAAGTGACAGCCGAAATCAACACGTCAAAGACTAAAACGACACAGAATTCAACCTTCCCTTCTTCTCTCCCCACTAGTTTTACATCAGCCATGGTAATCAGCAAATCAGAACAAGAATCGATCCTTAATAGATGCAGCAACAACATCAAGCATCAACTGAAGCTAATGAAGTCCCACCTTGATGAATATAAACTACTTCCAGCATTGAAGAATTGCTCAAATTTCTTGAATGAGTTACGTGTAAGTCAATTGACTCCGAAACAGTATTATGAGATATACATGATGGTATTTGACTCCTTGGAAGTGCTTAGTGGATACTTGGTTAGTAATAATAAACCACAAGGTAAGAAGAAAAAGAGTGAGGACGGCAACACCCAAAACGTCGACAATGAGGTGAATAACGATGAGGTTACCGATGATACGGTGTCTTCATCTAAAACGAATGCTTTCCTTGCTGATTTATATGAGATTGTTCAGTATGCGGGCAACATTGTACCACGATTGTACATGATGATAGTTGTCGGTACAACCTATATGACATTGCCAGGAGCGCCAACCAAGGATTTGATGAAGGATATGATTGAAATGTGTCATGGAGTTCAACATCCAATCCGAGGATTATTCTTGCGTTATTACTTATCTCAACGTACGAAGAATTCACTACCTTTTAATACAAGGACTGATTTCAAAGAAACGGTTGATTTCTTGATCACCAATTTTATTGAAATGAATAAATTATGGGTACGATTACAACATCAAGGTCATTCATCAGAGAGGGAAATCCGATACAATGAACGTAAAGAATTGAAAATTCTTGTAGGGTCGAATTTGGTCCGATTAAGTCAAATAATTGATGATTATGATTCTCAAGCTGCTGGAGATGACGACTATTCAGCCATTCAGTTTTATCAAGATACAGTTTTTCCTACAATCACTGAACAAATTATTCAGTGTCGTGATCATTTGGCACAAACTTATCTTGTTGATGTATTGATTCAAATTTTTCCTGATGAATTTCATTTCGCAACATTGGAGAAATTGTTGAATCAAGTGTTTGTTAATTTGCATCCATTATTGAACAAGAGTGAGTTGGTGAATACATTGATTGAGAAATTCATCACATATAATAAGTTTGCCAATGACTCAACAACCGATGTGGTTAGAGGTGAGGGTCCTAGAGCGGAAGCAGACGGTGGTGGCGGTGCTGTAGTGGGTGACCTGACAGTTGATGTGAATTCGTTGTTTAACACGTTTTGGCAATTTTACCTCAATTTGAATGAATCGGAATCTGATTTATCTTTACAAGAACATGCCAAATTACTTGAATCGTTTATCAAATTATCATTGACTTTTGATCCATCAAGTTTTGAGAATCTTGACGTCATTTATAAATATGCGGCTCAGAACTTAATTGATGATGGAAATGAACAACAACAACAGTTGTTGGTGCAACTACTTGGCGAATCAATCAATCACTTCACTTCCATTAAGACATTGTTGACATTGAGTAATTATTTTGCGTTTTTCAGCAAATTGAATGCAAATTTACAAAAACAAATTGCCATAATCATTATTGACCAAATCTTGTCAATACTGGAGCAACAACAACAACAACAACAGCAGCAGCATGACGGAGAAGCAACCGGGGAACAGAGATACTACACCAATATTGATGAAATTGATGGTATTTTCAAGTATATGTTAGTTTTGATCAAACTAACACCGACTAATCTCGATACTGCTCAAGATTTGGGAATCACCAAGACTGTTAAAATCAACAGTGGTGAGAAGCTAGTGACGTTGGAGTTTCTTGAAATACAAGAGAAATTGAATAAATTGTTACTGTTGATTGAGAACCCTAATGATCCTAAACTGGTTATTGCCAATTTGTTCTATTTGCGAAAGAAATACTTGAATAAGAATTTTCAAAGTTTGATGTTCACTTACCCTGCATTGATTGATCGGATATTGTTTAAGTTGAAACTAGTTGGGTATATTCACTTACAAAGCCAAAGGCAACGTAAGTTGCAGAAAAAGGAAGCATCCACAACTACTGATGATGATGATGATGATGATGATGATGATGATGGCAGTGATGAAGCGAATCGTTATCTTGTGTCCAATTTCAAAAACCTCTCAGTGATTATTGAAGAGATGTATCAAATTCATGGTGAATATTCATCCGAATTGATATTGAGGAAATACCTCGATGTGGCAATGGTTTCAGATCAATTAAAATTGAATTCGATTACATTGGAGGTGTTTAACCAATGCTTTGTCATATATGAAGAACATTTGATTGTATTATCACAACCGTACAAGTCAAGAAATGACCCATCTGCCATTGGCGGTTTCAGTGGTGGGTTTTCAGTTGCATTGCAATCGATTTTATCAATTGCTAATACATTGATTAGAACTAGGTATCTACCTAGAAGTGATTATGAGGATTTGATTGTTAAATTGACATTGTATGGAAGTAAATTGTTAAAGAAACAAGATGCGTGTCGTGCTATTTACTCCTGTGCTCATTTGTTCTGGTGGAGTGAGAATTTGTTGTCACTGAATGAAGAATCACCAACTGTAATAGATGAGACTGGAGTGAAGGATACAGAAGAGAGTGAAGCTGGCAAGGAAAAGAGCAAAGAGAGAGAAGAGAGTAAACAGGAAAACACTGACAGTGGAGCTACGGCAACACCAAAGTTGTATCGTGAACCAAAACGAGTTTTGGAATGCATTCAAAAATCACTTCGACTTGCTGATTCAATAATAGATCCATACATTAGTCTTCAATTGTTTATTGAAATTCTAAATCAAGCATTAACATTTCACACTTATGGTAATGAATTGATTAATAACAAGTTTATTAGTGGCTTGATTAACCTTGTGAGGACAAATATGGATAACATGCGTGATCAGGATTTGGTAAATACTGAAGAGGTTGCAGGAGGAGCTACAAGCGGAACGAGTGCTGCTGCCAATGGTGAAGATAATGAAGAGGATGTCGAACTGAAGTTGTTTAAACAAAGTCAAGTGTTTTTCAATCAGACTTTACAACAAATAAATCTATATGGGTAAAAAAGTGTACAGAAAAACGGAACTTGAGATTAGCGGCGTTTGTAGTGCGGAACATAGGTATCACAATATTGAAGTAGTGGCATAAAGAATTGATAAATAAAAGGCTCTCCGTTCAAATGCCGAAAAGTGCGGGAAATTTCACCTCCGGTGATTGAAAAGTTAAATTTACTATTTTTTCTGTGGCTTTGAAAGTGGTGTGTTACATATATTTCTGAGCCTTGTTTTCGGGTTAGTGTTGTAGCCAATCAACGGATGCGAATGTCCTCAACTGTACAATGTTAACCGGTAATCCTTGTCGAATGATGGATAAGCGTCCTTTAGCGGGTTTGAGAAGAGTCGCTGAAATATACCATTCTTTACTGTTGTGTAAGGAGAAATTAATGAGGAAATCTCAACTGGTTAACAAACAAGAGTGAAGCAAATGTGTACATCCAATAGTATGTTCACAACACGATTACTTTTGGTCATTGAGGTGTTAAAGTGTTTATGATTTCTGTGCTTTATGCATTTACACATTTTTTTATGTTTCCACAAGGCTTTCTTGAGGCGAGCACAAAAGAATTCCAAAGCTCTGCAGAAGGCTTTGTTTTTGTCAATGGGCAACCAAAAAAAGAAGGGCTTTTTCTTGATCACACTTGCTTGTGGTACTTGTGGTACTCGTGGTACTTGTGGTACTTGTGGTACTCGTGGTACTCGTGGTACTTGTGGTACTTGTGGTACTTGTGTTTAGCCATAGAGTGTAGTGGTTTTTATCCAATAGTACACTACTACTATTATTATTATTATATGCAGGTGATATAAAAAAAGAGCAAGAAATCTAAGAGAAATTGTGGCGTATGGTACTGCATGGAATATAATACTCCTTTTTTCTAAAGGAGTTATGGATATATATATATATATATATATATATGTATATACAAAAGTGTCACGTCATGTCTCACATCAGGAAAAGATTGTCAAAGAGCAAACCAAAAATTTACTACTTCTTAATAACTATTACTTTACAGCTCAATAGAGAAGGTTAGTATGCTGGTTAATACTAATAACAAGGTCAGTGATGACTCTAATCAGGAATCATTACCACCAAGATATTCCATTGAAACAGACAATTATACCACTGACAATGAAGAGAAACAACACTTGATCAACGACAACAAGAACGACGCAGAAGAAGATGATGAGTGGGCTGATGTCGATTCATATGCCGACGAAAAGAAGAAGTTGAAGGAACAAGATGAATTGGACTTGGAAGCAAACGTCAAAAGATCACCCCCTTCAAGTTTCAATAAAATTCCACTTGTTGTGATTGCTACACTTATCATTGTTGGCTTTACTTTGTATCAAGCTTTCGGGTTTTATCAATCAACTAAATCATCGACAAGTACTACACCAGAAGACATTGTTGCACTGATGAATGGACATAAAATTCCTCATCCTCATTCTTATTTCAGAAATCTTTGGGAAAATGTGCAACAACAACAACAGGATGGTGGTGATGAGCAAGTCGATTCTTCATCGAAGAAGCCAAAGGAAATTATTGAAGTAACTAATCCATTTGTTCCTAGTCCAAGATATGGCAAACCGGTATACAAGACAATCTTGCTCAACCATACATTTGCTAATTCTTATAACCATCCCAAATCAGTTAAGTTTTCCATCCCTTCAAAACACAAGTTTAATAAAGTTGTACTTACTTTATTTACTGAAGTTGATGGTGTTCAATATGACAGATTGGGAAACATCTTTATTAACGGTGTACAAGTTTGGAGAACATCAACAATTGAACCAGGCAAACAAAAAGTTTTCAGTATTTTCAACAAAGATGTTTCCAAATATGCCAAGTTGTTTGAAGGCGATGATAATGAAGTATTATTTGAATTAAATAATATTGTCAACAATAGATTAACTGGTGCTTTCAATGTTACTTTGGGTGCTCTGTTTTACGATGTTGATTATGACAAGCATCATAAACATCACGATGATAAGAAACCAGATGGTGATAAGGACCATGGCGATGCTGTAAGTGAAGCAGATCATCAAGGTGTATTTGAATTTGATTATCTTAAACCTCAGCATGGTTGTGCTGGTAGAGGAAGAGTAAGCATGGTACATAATGGAAAACAATCACATGAAGATTCAGGTTCCAATTCTTACTCCGATTCTGATTCTGATTCTGATTCCGATTCCGATTCCGATTCCGATTCCGATTCTGATCCCGACAATGAAAATGAAAAGCACAAACAGGAAAAGCATCACGAATTTGATTTTGCTCATGACACAAAAAAGTGGAAACATGGTTTTAGGGTAGGAACTACTAAACATCAAGGAAAGGAGGAAGAAGAGCATCGTGGGGAAGAAAAGCAAGGACAGGATGACTCTGAGCCTTCTGATAAACAAAAACGCCCTATTTATTCAAAGAAGCCAAAACATCCTAAGCATCCTAAGCATCCTAAGCATCCAAAAGAGCCTAAACCACCACACGGACATCCACCACCACCACCCAATAGGTATAGTCATCTTTTCAAGATTAACAAACCAGCAGATGCAGTTCACCCTTTGACGGTTGCCAAAAAGGGTGAAGCACCAGTCGAATACCTTTCTTCCAAAAGACTTGCTGTGAAATTACCCAAGGTTGCTAGAAATACCACTCGTTTACAACTTTCCGTATTCACATCTGGTAATGCAGCTGAAGAATTTTGGTATACCAATGTTCTTGATAAATTTAAGGATATCTTTGAAGATGAAGGTAATGAATTTATTGGTAAAGGTCCACTTAGAATTGTTAACGTTTACTTCAATGGGGAAAAGATTGCTGCTCAGACTCCAGAGCCAGTGATTTTCACTGGTGGAATTTCACCAGCATTGTGGAGTCCAATTGTTTCAAACTCAGCTTTTGATGTACCATCAATTGATGTTGATGTCACTCCATTGTTACCATTCCTTTGGGAACATCAGGGTTTGGGTGAGCAAACATTGGAACTTGAAGTCAGTAATGGATTGGGTGAAGTAGGCATCACAAATTATACATCCGTTAATAGCGACTGGATTACTTCGGCTAATTTGTTGGCTTATGAACACCCTGATGTTGTTGGCTCTTCTGGTGCTTTGATCAATGTTGATCATCAAAATAGAGCTAGTGCTATTCCAATTGCAATTCCATTCACTCATTCGTTCCAACAGATTGTTAATGGTATCTTTTCAGCACAACTTGTTAGTACATTGAGCTTCAAGTTGAAAGGTGGCAAGATTTTAAACACGACATTTAGCTCTTATTCAAAGGGTGAAATTTCCAACATTCAACATTATGGAAGAGATGGAGATTCACAAGCTCTTGTTCATGTGGGCCATTCATCGAGCTCTTTTATTATTACAAATAATGACAAGCCTGAGGTCCCACCCGAGCCAAAATCGGCACTTGTTGGAGTCAGACATCACAAGAAGCATGAGTTGCCCTTCAACACAATCCACACTATAAACACGTCTTATAGTTATCCATTGATTTTATCCACCAATTTGAAGCACAAGGAAATTGGTAATGAAGGTGATTATGAAATTGAATTTGATGTTGGAATTGTTGACACCAAGAGTTTAGAAATGAACTTTGATGGAAAGTTTGGTCATATCGAAGTCAAGCAAAAGCAAAACGGTACCTCGACATTTTTCTTGTCAAGTAAAGGCAACCACGGATTTGGTAGTTTGACTGCTAAGTTTAAGGAGGAAGTTGAATTTGGATCATTCAAGAAAGGTTTAGCTAGAAGAGTTGATGCTATCAATGGAACCATTGTGCATGAGGGTATTCATATTGGTCCCGATGGTTTGAAGCAAGCTAGAGTTGGTAGATACGGTAAACATGGTAAACATGCGAAGCATGCAAATCATTCCAAGCATGTTGGTGCAAGAAAGCATCAACATCAGAAATCGTCCATTTTGGAATCGATTCGTCGTATTGTTGCCGATTGGAAGGCTTGTCATCGTCATGCAAGTGACCCTATTCGTGAACTAGTTGCCACATATAAACAAAGTGGATTCAACGATAAACTTGCTGGCTTGACTGATCAAGTGATCTCGTCATTGATCAAGTACAAGCACAAGGGGCTAGATTATGTTGCTGCTGTGAAGCATGGCCAAAACTAAGTTACCCCAGGCCGAAATTAGTTTTTAGTTTCAACTTTATTTTTCATTTACATTTACAGATTTTATAGTTTACAACAGAGGTTTGAGTTTTCGATATCATCATTTTTTTCACATTCGTCATTAGAAGAAACTTCGTATGTCGCCTTGATCTAATTTATAAAATTTTTCAAGTCATGCAAAACCATTCCTGAAATTGCTGCTGAAGTAAGGGTAGCAATACCACCACAAAATAACGCTGATATGATATTTTGCGAGATATCTTTTGCTCTTGAATTATTAGTCAACGTATTCAATACCCCCAAGGTGATACCCAAACTACCCAAATTTGCAAACCCACAACAAGCATAAGTAGCAATCAATGTACCTCTAGGTGACAATTGATTATATGGGGCTTCATTGATCAACAAATTGTAAGCAACGTATTCATTTTGAACAAATTTGTAAGCAATCAATTTAGTAACCAACAAAATCTCATTTCTTGGGGTACCTAAAAGGAACCCAATGGGGTAAAATAAATATGACAACATGAGTTCCAAAGATAACTCATGAATGTTCCAGTAGTTTCCAAACCATGTCAAGATACCATTGCACAAGGCAACAAGGGCAATAATACACATACATTGAATCATCATGGTTCCAGCAATCTTCAACCCCAAAGTTGCACCATTGGAAAAAGCTTGCAACACATTTTGGGGCTTGTCTAAATCTTCTTCGCCGTCTATATCTTTATCATTGGTGATCATAACTTTCCCGTTGGATACAGGTACATCAGTTTCGGGGAACCTCATTTTGGATACTGCTAAAGATGCCGGAATCGACATTACACAGGAACTAACCAATGCTTGTGGATTCAACCCTAATCCAATATACCCCACCAATACAGCACCGGAAATTGTTGAGAACCCCGAAGTCATAACTTGATGCAACTCCGCTTTCGTTAAATAAGGCATAAGTTCTTTGATCAAAATTGCCGATTCACCGATCCCAATAAAAGGCGAAGCAGCAGCTGTCATTGCTTCAGCACCTGATACTCGCAATGACCAGAAAAAGAAGAATGCAAATTTACGAATTCCCCATTGAATAACACCAAAGTAGTACCAAATGTGAACAAAAGCGACAAAGAAAGCCACTGATGGTAAAACTGTGAAAAAGAACCATGGTTTATTCGCAATATCTTGATTAGTTAAGAATGCCACACCATCTTTAGCAAAACCCAACAACTCTCTAGCTAATGTTGAAATGAAATTAAATACATCAAACCCACATTTGGTTCTCAACACAAATAACGCCACGATATACTGCATTAAGAACCCACCAATCACCGTATTCCATTGAATCCGTTTTGGGTTTTTCGAAGTTACAAATAATCCAAAAATGGCAACCAAACAACCAAAAAATGATACAGCACGATCAGGTCTTTTGGAGAAATCAGTTTCTGTGGGGATAAAAGTACCCAACAATACAACAGCAATAACAATGGTTGCCCCAGCTAATAATCGTTGATAGCGTTGTGGGAACAATTTAGTGTATATAATATCACAACAAAAATCCCAAACATATTTAACTTGTTTTAAACACCAGGGTAATATCCGACAGTGCCATGTTATTAAACGAACCATAATCATCCCCCATAACACAGTGGGGATCAACCATTGATGACGATGCTTCTTTTGAATAACGATTGATAACCACCATGATGTGAAGAAGCATCCTAAAAAAATTTGAAATGCGATTTTATACCAAGGAAATTTCAACTTGAATCGTTGCCAATATGAAAGATGACTTTTGGGGTTAGTGGTTGTTGTGTTTGTGTTGGCTTCGAGTTGTGCATTGTCGTATTCACTTATCTCTTTTGATAATTCATCAGTGGTTGCATTTTCTTCAGTAATGTACTTTTCGGTCTTGTTGTACTCGAGATCAGATGATGGAGATTGTTGAGTCTTGTGCGTGTGACTTGGATCATTCGAGTTTACTTCGACTATCGAGCTGGTTGGACGTATGGCATTGCTATCGTATGGATTTGACATTTCTTCCAGCTAGTTCTTCTGACTGCAAAAGAAATAATATGGAACCTGTTGCTTACTTATTATTCAATGAAACTTTTACCTTTTGGTTTGATAAAAGTTAATGGACAGATTGTATGTACGATTTATAGTTGTGACTTAACAAGTAATATGACATGGATGTTGACCACTGTAAATACCTCAAGAGCTCTTCTATCTAGAGATAGGGGGGGAGAAAGAAAGAGAAAGAGAATTCAAACAAGATAGATAAAAGAGTATGAAAATAAAATTTAAAATTCTTTCTTCCCAATAAAGATAAGAGGAGTAGGTTTTAGTGATGGGATTCTTTGAAAAATTTCATTGCTAAAACAATGTATTACGGCGTATTGTGAAGTAAGAAAATGTCATTTTTTCAATGCCTTATACCAAAGTTAATCCGAAGGGCATTAAAAGCAGTTACAAAAATGAAATTCCTTAAAACAACAAAAAAAAAAAAAAAAAAAGAAATTTAAGCTATGGAAATGACATCAGGACCAAGCACCGAAAAGGAAAAAAAAAAAAAAGAAAAAAGGTTTAGTAGCGGGTGCTTTCACTTAGACAAGTCTAGGATCATGGTGTGCTCAAAATGCCGTTCCCCATGTATCAAGTAGGTCTGGAACCATGTGGTATAAACTTCGTTCATTTCCTTGCTCAATGTTTTTTATATTTCCCGCTCGCCGCGGTCCCTTCTACAAGGTTTCAATTTTTTTTCCGTGACAAGAATAGGACCGCCGCCGTGTCTCTTTCAATCAAGAAAAAATTTGAAGCTAGTTTCCTCTTTTTTTTTTTTTTTCTTGGAAAGTTTTGTCAAGTGAATTTCAACTGTATCTTGTCTTAAAATATGGCCCCTTTCTCCCCGCCCACAAATATGTTTTGCCCGTGCGTATCGATTTGATGTTAATTCCATCTTTTCTTGTTGTAGTAACAATAGTAAGTAGGAGTGAACTAAATTTGGAATGGCATACGGCACCAAATCTTTAGTCTTTTTTTTGTTTTTTTTCTTTGTGGTCTCCTCATCTCTCTACGTCTTGTGGGGCGGAATAAACAGTCCGAGTTTTCTTCTTTTGCGGCACTTTACTTTACACTGACGTCGCGTGATTTTTGTAATCATGTCGTGCATATTCTTAGCGTCTTTGTTTCTCCTCACGCGATGTCAACACATCAAATTGAATAAAAACAATTCAAAGGTGACCGGAGCGGATGAAGAAAGTTTCAATTCTCGGTGTAATTGATGCATCTCTCTCAACCTGTTATCAGTAAATTCCACTTTATCTTGGTATCCCATTTTTGCTTGGCGATAAACTGTAGCTTCTTAGTAACTTGATGAAAAAGGCACTTTTTGTCTTCTCGCCTTTTGCTATAGTAGAGGGGTTTTCTTATAGTTCTTGCAGATGCATTTTGTGTAACGCATTTGAGAAGGGAAACTGACAGAGAATGCCAAAATAAAGAGATAACAGAGGATACTGTTGGTATCAATTGGGGCGCTTTTTACGTATGCAAAACGAGAAAGCAATTGTCAGCTTACTATTGACCTTCAAAGAAGCAAATCAGAAGAATGGAAAACCATGTAACAATTGACATATTTACTATTTCATGTGCTGAAGCTACAAATCTAGCAAATGCAATCACTTGTCATAATCCTGTCGCCTCGCAAGCTAACCACCTCCTCATTTCCTCTACCCGTCATCGCTGCTTTCACTTCGATACTTGTCCTTGATTTCAACCATATGTTTGGGATCGATAACGTTACCTATGCCCATCAAGGCTCGTGACAAAGCCTCAGTGGTACCAATCATTGGCCTAATGAGAATCACTGGTGAATTTTTCAAAACTGTCACGATAGAATCTTGAACTGTTTCCTGTTTATCCAACTCCGTTTTCAATTTCTTCAATTGTTTACCCGTCAATTTAAAGTTTTTACCAAGTGACCTGTATGCTGATAGAAAACCTTGTTGAAATGTTTCCGGCTGATTCGAATATAAACTAACCATCTTTTGTTTGAACTCATCTTCATCAGCTTCGTCAATAGCGTAAACGTCAAATTTCTCGTCTTCATCGTCTTCAATACCATCACTGCCAACAATTGTATTTCTCTCCTTCTTCTTGTCTTCGTCTTCATCTTCGTCACCTTCTTCAACAGTTGCAAGCTCCCCAGACTCATTTTTAGGTAGTAAAAAAATCGACTTGTTCAAAAAATCTCGATCAATTCCGAAATTGTCATCCTCTTCATCCTCAAATTCAAGATTAGAATAAAGCTTCTTTTGTCCATCGAAATGCAATTCATCTCCAAACTTTTCTGCTGCTTGTCTACTTAAAATTTGTGAGCTTAAAAGAACATTGCCACCACTAGCGTTACCACCATCTCTAGCTTTGATGTCAGTGAAGTCTGTTGACATATCAGATCCATCATCTGACCCGCGACGAGCAGTTGAACGTTTGGTTCGCGATGAAGAACCTTCACCCCCCAACATTTCTTCACCTTGTTCCAACAAAACTTGAGTACCAGATGCTAATTTGACACCCATATTAACCAATTCATACCCCGTGGTTTTAGCAAAAGAAGTAGTGCCCTTCTGAATGCTTCTCCAGAACCGTCCATCTTTTTGATACTCCTTTCTCGAAACAACATACAAGTCTTTGAACCCACCACCAATGTTAACCACTGATCTCAATGATGAAACGCCAGATACAATTCCCAATACTTGAGTCAGTTGAAATACTGGTGCCCATGCTTTGCCCAATCCACGCATCAACTCTGTAGTACCCAGCAACCCAAACAAGTTGGCTCTCGGTAATGTTATTTTCGATCCATCCAAGATGAAAAAGTTGGCGAATTCAGCTGTTCTTCCTGATCTCAACCCCATAAAGTCCACCTTTTTCGGTTTATAATCAATTTTCAACTTAACAGGACTAATTTCAAACTTTTGAATATACAAAATCTCATCCGGTGGCAACTCAAACCTTGAGTCGTTAAAATCAAAGAATCGAGTCATAAAATCCAAAGTGTCTTGATCAACGTGAAATCTCAAGGGTAATATAGACACCTTCATAATTGCTTCTGTAGCAACTAGCTTGGGCTTGGGTCTCACGTTGAGTATACTAACCTTTGCCATACTAGTTCCAGCTTCGCGTTCTCCAAGAATGTTCATATATGATAGAAACTTATTCCAAGTCGATGATGGAACATTATCATAAACATCAATATTTCCCAAACTCATTTCGATCAAGTTCAAAAATTCCACTTTAACATCGGGATCAGTCTTGTCTCGCCGTGGATCCCTGGTTGAGTAGACCACCACACCAATGTCAACGCTTCGTAAATCAGCCACCACTTTGTGGTACGCAGATCTTCTCAACTTGAGGTTTTTGTAGTTTTTGCCTCTTTTAATGTTTGCATTAATCTTGTCTTCATTGTCATTCACCTCTTCTTCGTCATTCTGTAAACCGAAATTGATGCTTTTGGTTAAATCGCTTCCTCGCGCCACTTTTGGAGCACTAACATATATCGATTGGTACAACGTTTCATGAATCACTGTGGTGGGGTCCCGTCCAGAAGAGGTGTCAACTGTTGACACCTCTTCTGTCTCACTACGACCACTAGTGCCCTGAGAGTCTCCATCCCGTTTTCTTTGTTCTAACTCAATTTTTTTAACGGCACCCCTAATCGCCTTCCTGGTATCCTTCCAATCATACCCATCATATAGATAAATTTCAACCCTCGACAAGTTGATGTTGACCTTTAGCGGATCTATTCCTTTGATCTCAGATTTGTAGCTCGACACATAATCAAAATGTTCATCTTGAAATTCCAAGCCGGAACTTGATTCTGAACTGGCCTCTACAGACACCGGCTCCTCATTTATATCCATTTCAGCAAACGATTCTGATATATTTTTAAACATGTTATTGTCTACGTCGTTTAAAACATCGATGTTGTGACCAACACTTATTTCCATCTTATCTTTGTCGTCAAAATCATAAGGCAACTTCAAGTCATTAACCATTTGTGCAAAAGTGTTGGCTGAATCCGCGCACAAGTCCAATTGTATCTCGTCAGTATTGATCTTGAAGTCAATAATTGATAAGCCATCCCTGATTTCTAATTCATGGTTCCTCCTTTTAATTTCTTCGATATTGGTGTTGAACGTCAATCCGATGTGAGCCAAATTGATTGAGCCTAGTTGAATATACCCTCGATCCATCAAGACATCGACTACATTCAATTGGTCACTAGATTGATCAACTTTGGTATCCTTTGTTAGCGTAACATTTTTCACATCATCTATCAAAAGGATAGCAATATCTCGAACCGAACTTTTGATGTGAAACTGGTTAGCTCCAAACACGAAGTCGACATTGCCCCTAGAAACTGTCAAATAACCTTTACAGTTCAATCGGCCCGGAGTGAGTCCAACCAAGCAATTAGACAAGGAAAGCCTGATATCAATACGATGGGAGGAAGGCGGCTTTTTAGGTGGCGATGTATCAATCAACTCTTCCTCTACTTGCTCAATGATCGATTCATCTTTACCAAACAACGAAAGCCAATGAGTGTAGTACTCCAACAAAAAGTCACGAGCACTGATCTCTAATATGGAGCTTCTTTCCATTGGCTTGTATTTGAAGGTTACTAGAGGTACCTCAATTGAAGCCGCCTCTACGCCCTGATGATGGTAAAGTACGCTCTCATTGACGTTGTCTTTCATGCGTACAATTTCCAACTCGAGAATAGAGCCAAGCAAGTCATTCTTCAACTTGAATAATGCAATGTTTGTTATATCCATTTTAAGGCTACCAAATTTAGGTAAAATGTCATCCACCTTGATTGAAATAGCCCCGATGTTGACACAATAGTTAGCTTGATTCACGCGATGGGTGTTGGACAATGTTGCATGACTCATATTTAGCCCAAGCCTGGCTTTCCTGTTTCTACCCAAGTTATTGGTTGAGGAAGATGAGTACATTGACTGATCAAGTTTCACATGTTTGGAGGGTTTAGACAAAGTGATGGTTTCATTGCTAGCTAAGTCATCCAATAAGGAGGCCACGAGGTGCTGTACTTCTTTTACGGAAAGCTTCAAGTAGGCCAAAGTCGAAACGTACTCAATTTTCTGTATTGAAACCGTCAATGGAGTATTCAAATTTGTAGCGCGGGGTAATTTGCTCTCCCCACTGCTATTGGGATTATTTGCCTGAAGGAATGCTTTGAAATTATGTACTTTCAGATGCACAGAAAATCCTATGATGCTGAATAAAGTTTCGATGGGTTGATTATCTACACTTCCGTGACCTGTTATGGTTGCAATATTTAGCTCGCCCTTGATAGAATCGTAAGTAACTGGAAGGGCCCTGAGTTGAACCTTCAAATTGTTTGCCATTGCTAGGGATACATTGATCGTGGCTGTTTGTAGTATTATATGTTCTTGTTTCATCTCCTCTTTGTTCGGATCGCCGACTGCTGAGTCTCGAAGCTTTCTAATACCATGGAAAACACTTTGGAACTTGCTATAGCGTGCAGATACAGCCAACAAATCATTGATTGTTTTGAGTAGAGACCCCAAATTGTTTTTATCCAAGTTGAAAAATGCTGCCTTGGCAAACAAAAATGTAGTCTCGAGATTTGTTTTATCGTCTTCATTTTGAAATACTTCAAAGCGAAAATCAGCGTTGGAAGTTTGACTGTTTCCTGAAGCTCCTGACAGTACACTCAGTGGAGATACAGATCTTTGATAGCCCGTGTCTCTCTGATTTTCGAAGAAGAATGCTCTGGATTCATTGCCATCGAAATATTGTATGACCTCCACCACCTCAACCCCGCCATACAAGCGTAATTCATTCTTTTGTTTGGCAGTAATGTTTTCCAAATTGATAATGAGTCCATTCAGCGTAGCAAAAGATCCATCGGGCTTCAACGACGCATCCAAAGCAATTTGTAAGCTTGATATGTTAGTGCTATTAAACAAAGGTTCTGTGTCTGATGTATCTTCAGCGGATTCGCTGTCTACCTCGTCATCGTCATTTGAATACTGGGGGAACTTTTCACTACTTTTGTGTGCCTTTGATGAAGATTTTCTCTTCATTTGATATAGCTTCACTTTCAACGTTTTGGTTATACCCTCGAATATGGTGATTAGTGTCGCTGTAGCTGGAGTTGATGCGACCTTTACTTTGTCCACTTTGATTTCCAAATTGGATATTGCTTTCAAGCCATCGAATTCGATCTCACACAGATTCATAAAGAATAGTATCGGTGGTTCGTTTGCAAATTCACTACTTTGTTTGTTATCGACGGGTTCGTTTGAAGTGGAGGATTTCCCAAAGGACTGAGATGTTGCGCTCATATATATTGAGCTTGCCTCTTCATGGGTGAAGACCATACTATTCATCAATGCCTCCTCTCCATAATCAGATGAGTTCTCATTTTCATCGTCTTCTGACTTCTCTGTCGCTTCATTGGCATTGTCTCCAGCTTTACCCGTTCCAGAAGGTACCGATGGGCGCAACGTTTTTATAGTTATTGCACTCACTCTAATATTTCTGGTACCATTCACAGTCGTTATCTTGATTTCTTCCACTTCGACAAGCAAGTCAGTCAGTTCAGTTATCAATTTAATCTTCAAATTTGAAATATTAATCTGGAGCCTCAGTAGTGCCATTTCCATTGCCCTTTGCATAACGTTCCCCAAAGCGGAACTGTTTGAAATTGTTGAGCTTCGCCTTCTAGAAGCCGGCACAATTGGAGTGGCATCTTCCGAGTCACTCTCGCTATCAATGACAGACTCGTTCTTTTGCATCTCATATTCATCTGTTTCCAACATGATGGTATTGGCCAAATCTGCCGTCGTTTGAGCCAAGAGAAATTGTGAATGACTACCCGTATTTTCATCATCATAATCGGGTGAAACAACAATTTCCACATCTTTCGCGTCAATCTTGACCCCACTGATTCCAGATAATGTAGTGAGCTCTATCGACCCCACCTTTCCGTGTCGAAGATTGAAACCCGGGAGTTTGCCCACCTTTTCTGGATCGATACTTATATCTTTTAATGTTATGTTGTTCAAAGACACTTCCTCAAGGTTCGGTAAATCGACTTCTGAAAATAGAGACAACTGGTTGAGGACGTAAAGTAGTAGCCTCTTTTGTATATTTTGTGGTATCCATTGTGGACTCATTGATGGATCAAGTGGCTGTCTGTGATTATGGATGCTTCTGGACTATGTGTTTTTACATATATATATATATGCTTTCGAAAAGCGCGAGTGTGATGTGACCAAATGCAAAATGTTGTATATACCAAGCGTGGATAGATGCTATCTTTATGTTTGATGAAAAGGAGGTGAAAAAGAGTTGCTTCTAAGCATCCACACTTTGCTTTGTTATGTCACACGTTGAAAAGATAAAGAGCGAGCGAGAGGAAACAAAAAAATGACACAAAATTATGTTTGATAACACGAATCTTATAGCGAATATAGAGATTGCAGAGTGAATCATACATATAAGATAGTCCTAAACAGGCATCCCAAAAGGCGTCGGGATCCAATTTTCATGTGGTTCCATGAAATACACTTTCTGCTCATTGCCGCTTGAACTTTTGTGCTTTTTATTAGTTGCCATTGAATCCTCCTCAACCAATTTTCGCTTTTCAGTATCCCCAGCTAGTATCTCATCGAGCGATGGAGGTAATTCAAACTGCTTCTTGTTGGCTCTCTTTGCAGACTCGTCATACCTGTCATTTATTTCATCCAATAAGTCGGAGCCAAGGTCTTCATCAGCCGCATCTTTAACCAATTGTAATAACTTTACTAGCAACGAATCATCTTTACTGCACATGGTGACAATACTATGGTACATAAACCTGAAAAGTTGTCTTCGATTGGAGACTTGAATCTTGGTGAAGTTCTCCTCCAAGAATGGCTGCGATAGAATATACTTAATCAAAAATGGTAGCCATTCAATAAGCTGAGCAATTTCACCTTCCAACAACATGGGGGAAAACCCTAATTTTTTGTATACGCGACAATTGATCTCTCCTAGCTCCTTGCCTTCTACCAGCTTTACTATCTTGATATATAACAGCTCGATCAAGTTTATGCCAAGCTCTTGTAGCAACGGTCTATATAGCTTTTCTAATAATGGATTATACTTGATACCTTTCGTTTTCAACTTTTCTTGAGAATATATCAAATAGTATTTCCTGATGAGCAAATCCGCCAACAAATCCGAATCACTCTTGCAAACCTCGGCTAGATCATTGACGCATTTCCTTACTTTGGACATATCTTGCTCTTTGTTGTTATCGCTGAATATCGGCTTCTCCAAATTGTCTTTTCGTAGTCTTTTGAAAGTTTTGAGGTTTTCATACACCAGAAATGCATTTATCAATCTTTCATTGTAAGTCACTCTAAATGTGACAACCTCTGCATAGACATCTGTGGCTGAATCTACATCCCGCTCACTCTTATTCTCTATTTGACACCAATAATTGTCATATAACCACGTCAAGGCATCCTTAGTTGCAATCCTTAGTGTATCCAAACTTGGCAAAGCTTCATGTGTCCCCATGTGTCTCAATTCAACAAAAAAAGTAGGTAAATTTAATTGTTTTGCCAATAATTGCATTGGGATCGCATAGTTTGATTGCTGAAATGGATCTAACAAACCATTAACAAATCTAATCAATGCCATTGTATAAGCAAGCTGAATCACGTTGGAATCTTCATTGCGATCGTCAGCGTCATCTCGCAATAGCACCGATGTCAAGATTGAAGTTGCTTCAATTCCATGCGGTAGTCTGCCTCTTGTTAAAAGTGCCTTCACTTTTCCAATTGCGCATTTGCGGTGGTCACGGGTGTCATCAAAATCATAAAACCATTTTTTCAACTCGGCAAGTTCCTCATTCGACCTAAACGCGGTCACTACTGGGGTTCCCTTCATAAGATCACAGTAGGCTCATCGATGGCTACCCTCGAGACAAAAAAAAAAAATAGAAAAAAAAGAAAAAGTTCACGTGCGCGCACATTGTGTTGCAAATAATCCACTCAAATAAAAGTGGAGACCTTACGGTGACAAAGCCAAGTGGATCTACTTCAGGTCTACAAACAAGCAGCGGTGCCTTATAAAGACTCTAGGGGATTTTATTTGCCAAACAAATGAATCCCAAAGTTGTAGATACATCTTTTTTATTGTAGTCGGTTATTAATCAGAGATGATTCGTGATTCTAGGATATCTTTGAATTAACTTTGGAGCTTCAATGGGTAAGAACCCCCGGTAGCGGACCTTGACAACGGCCATATTCATCTTCGAAAGTCTCTGCTTCCCGGTGTGAAAGATCAAGATTTCCGGGATAAGTAAGCACTAAAGGAGGGGGTTCGTGTTTAGATAGTTTCCCTTAACTCATCAATTAGTCGTCTACTCGGATTTATGTTTCTCGGCGGAGTTAAAATGATCATTAGGTCTTCATACAAAATGATAAGCAGTAAAAAGTATATCAAGAGAGCAGTAAACATCGGAATACAATGTTTTTGTAATTCATTACTAACCGTGAATCATCTAGCGCCCCCTTTTTGGAAGACACCCTTTACAATACTTTTCGTAAACCCCAACAAACTATAGTATGGTAGCAGGTGGGCGCGTTGAAGTTAATGTGGGGTTTTAGCCAAATGTTACACAAACTGCGGCTCAAAATAAAAAAAAATATCACAGTACGATGAATTTACCTAGATTGGCATAATCCATCACCCATATATAAAAAACCGCATCTCGACCTCGACTGCACTTTTAGTTGGCCATTCAGGCATTTTTTTTGTCACTACACACCTTTCAATACCAACTATTCATTTAACAGCTCAATATGTTGGTCGTATCTGCGGGCGAAAATCCACGTCCAGATTTTGAAGAGTCTTTGCGTGTTGTCAAGATTGATGACACTCATTACGTTGGTGCTCACTGCTTGAGGAAACCAGCTACTATGGCCAGAGGTATTTATGGAGGGCATATGATTGCGCAGTCGCTATTGGTTGCTATAGAGTCGACAAGATCGGAAACAACTAACGAAGTGATGATTCCAGATTCATATCATTCATTTTTCATCAATGCAGGAAACAACAAGACCCCCATGGAATATGAAGTTTTGAAGTTGTATGACGATGAGTTTATGAGCAAGAGATCCATTGTGGTGTCGCAACATGGAAAGAATAGACTTACATGTCTCGTTTTATTGAGGAGACAAGGAATGAAACCATTGCACAAGATGGAAGAGAGTATTTCTCCACCAGATATTCAAACCCGACACCCTGACCCTGATAAGTTACATCAAGTCCAGCACACAGATTTTTGCAGAAACGCATTCGATGATGATTTTGTGGATTACAGAAGAACCCCTGAAGAAAACAAATTACACTTTGCCGAACGTTGGATATCGGTGTTTACTGGGTTGAAAAATATCCCCGAGCCAGGAACTAAATACGAGAAAGTAAAGGATTCCTTACCAGATGCTTTAGGGAACGTGCAAAAATTCGAACATGAAATACTTCGACCAAAAAATTCGCAATCGGTAAAGAATCCCATTTACAACTACGTGGGACTTGGCGAGATTTCCGATAGCAGTTTCATCACGACAATGGCGCGAGTATTACACATTCCTTGGGCTCCATCAATAGAGTTGGGTCATGAATATGACCCAGACCGTGACGCAACGTACTTGATGAGATCATCATTGAATGCACTTCACATATTGCATTATAATGCTATGTCATTGGACCATCATATATATTTTCACAATACCGAGTACGAGCCAACAGATGGGACAGCATTCGATATCAGCAAAGACTGGTTGGCATTTTCCTACCAAATGAAGAGATATAGCAACAGTAGAATACTTGCTCGTGGGTACATGTTTAACGAAAACAGGAAATGTATTGCTACTGTGATTCAGGAAGGATTGGCAATTTTGCAAGATGGGGTTACCGCCACGGCAGACAAGGCTCGTTTATAAATAAATTTAGAATACAACTTAGAAGACATTTGTATCCCGTATGAAGGTTGAAAATGCTCGAAAATGCCAAATAATCTTTTTTCGTGTATTTTTTGCTAGTGTTTGCCGCCAACAAAATTCACATGACTCTATGCTACTGCACACGCACTTAAATTGCATTATCTTATCTCCGACGGTTTTTTGAAATTCTAGAAAAAAGAAAAGAGTCCAAGAAGAATTAGTAAATTTTATACGAGAAATTTCGGACTTTTCCTGTTGTTTCTGTTTCTTTTGCATGTTCTTGTGAAATTTTTATTGAGGAAAGAAAGGGGCGCAACATAGCATGGTCCGTTGACTGTTAAAGATACCCTTCATGGGTCTAGAATTCATGCCTATACCGGACTGTGTTCTCCCCCTGTTCGTAACACGCGTTTTCAAGGTGAAAAAGCCTTGAGATTTTCCACATATGTAGCCTAATGCATGTAACTGATAAGGAGTGAATAAATAGTTTATCTTGACCAAGAAGGCGTATATCACCGATATAATTTACCATTTAGAATGAGAAAAAAAAAGCCCCGCGTTAAAAGAAGCTATATACTCTCAGTGGCAGCTAAAGCCCAAGCTTTTCTCTTCCACGGAGAAGAAATTGTGTCTGCTTCAATTGAAGAGCTTCCCCCCCACTAGGGAATCCAAGAAAGCTTAATTTTTTTAGGATGGTGTAACAAGAGAAACCGAAAGTTATAATTTGGTTTTTGCCTCGGTCGAATGTAAAATAGAATGGAGTACAAAAACTACAACATTAAAACAATGGTTATAAATATTAAATGAACTTCCCTATCTTTTTCCCAGGTGGAACTCAGTTCTAGAAACGTTTAACCCTTAATAGCATAGAATCTAAATAGCCATGACATCACCATTAGAGAAATTGAGGAATGACGTATACAAAGACGACCAAGTGGGAAAAATCGAAGCCAAAACATCTTGCAGGCTCATCTCTGAAGATGGCAACAAAATGATTTATGAGGGTAATTACCCAGTGGAGCCATACAAAGAAGGAGCCAGAGGTACCTATGGTGGTGATTTCATTGCCCAAGGTCTCAATGTTGCTTGGGAATCTGTTGGTAGACCCAATTTCCAACCACACTCAATACATTCATATTTTGTGAAAGCTGGTTCAAAAGATAGTCTTCTTAGATGGGAGGTTATCAAAGTTTCCGACTCAAGAAGTTTTTCCAATAGAATTGCCCTTGCTTATCAATCACACACGAACCAATTGTGTTTCACTTTACAATGTTCATTCACAAAAGATAATCATCTTGACAAGAGAGATGCTGATCATCAAAAATTAATTGCATCCGGGGCTGACATCAAGACCGTACCGTTTCAATTCAAGAGAAACCCAAATCCCAAATTTTTCAAATATAAGGATGAAATTGAAGATTTGCTTTATTTTGAACACACAAATGGAAATATTGCCCATGCTATACCACGAGAAATATTTAGTAAGACCAAAAATTTCGACATGAACAGGATAGGTGATGAGGAACTCGGTTTTTATGTCAAATTTTTGGATGATTACAATTTGGGCAAGGATTACGTTAGACAATCATTTTTGGGGTTGGCGTTCTCTTCTGACTCATTGTGGTTGGCTACACTTGTAAAAGCACTTGGGTTACCAGTAACGCTGAAAGATGCCGATTTCTTTAGAGTCAGTTTAGATCACACATTGTATTTTCATGATTTAAATTTTGATTCAAGTACGTGGCTTTATGTTGATTACAGGTTCTTGTCCATGGGTAATAATCGAATTTTGGCGGTGATTAATTTCTATACATTGGATGGTAAGGCCATTTGTACTGCTGTTCAAGAGGCATACGGGTTTTTGCCTGGGGAATTGATTGAAAAATCAAGAAAACAACATGAAAAGTACCATGGGAAGAGTGCTACTAGTATTAGTAGTAGCGATGGTGTTAGGACACAACAAGTTGCAAAGTTGTGAGTTTTCGGGGATAATAAAGGGTTATGTTTTCATCAAGTGTTGTTGTTTTTTTGTTCATTTATGGCTATATTTATAAACTACATTCATTTCTTCTAATTGCGTTAGTGTAGTGACGTTGTACTCTTTGCGTTTCGGACATAACTTATCACCTTTATGATATTTTATGGAGCGACAGTTTTATTGTTTCAAGTGCGGATATAGAAGAAACTTTTCTGTAGTTTGTGTTAACAAAACCCCACGAAAAATACACCTCGGTACAAAATCTGGATTGCGATATAAATATATATACAAAGTGTGAATTAGAGTTTTTTATTTTTTTTTTGTTAGAGCAAGCATATCTTTTCCAAAAGAAGTTGCAAATCATTGTTAATCGATTTCGCATCAACCGCCTCCCCAGTCATGTCACAAGCTTCAGCTGATAGAGTTCTACGCCCATTAGACGCTAAAGCTGAATTTGATGTTGTTGAAATAGACAAACAAACTTTTCGAGGGGTTAAGCCATTGAGAAAACCAAGCAAAGAGGTTAGAGGGGTATTTGGTGGAAACATTGTTGCACAGGCAATTTTAGTTGCAATGAGATATACACCGGGATTTACTCCAAACTCGGTGCATTCACATTTCTTGAAAGCTGTTAATGAAGAAACGCCACTTACTTGGAAAGTTGAAGAAACATCGAGTGGGAAATCATTCACCACGAGGAAAGTGATTGGGTTTCAAGATGATGTGCCGGTTTTCACAGCAATGGTCTCATTGACCACTAAAAACTCAGCATCCAAAACGGGGCACAAGGATAGCACGAAAATGGAGTATAGTGTCCCACCAGGAAAAACATTGACTAGCCAAAGCCTCAAAGGAGAACCGCTGGCATATGCTTCACTCCCATTGTTTATATTTCAAAAAATTTTTGAAGAACAAAGGGATAAAGATTCGTATGCGTTCCAATTGAGATGGGGTATCAAAGAAGATCCAAATTTCCATCAAAAGCTCGAAAATGTAACACCGGAATTCAAGTATGTTGGTCTTGCAATTTTAACAGATTGGGTTGGAGTTGAATTATTGGTTCCACATGTCGGTATTAAAACTCCACCAAAGTTTGAAACTTCCATCGATCACAATATTTACTTCCACGAAGATGATTTTGATATCGATCAATGGTTTTCATACGTATTGAGGTTCAAGTGGATTGGAAATGATAGGGCTTTAGTAAAAGCTGATTTGTACACAGAGGATAACAAGCATGTGGTGACTATTGTCCAGGAGAGGTTGTATGTCACAAGTTCCAAGTTGTAGGAAAGTTTTGGGTTATCTGGTTTATAGACATTTAGACTTCTTTTGAATAGATTTGTTTACATACTATTCCGTAATTTAAAGCTCTTGGCGACCCACGTTGCTGCTATGTTATTTTTTGCACGCACTTTCTGCAGGCAAGCGTAAGCATGTTTTGACTGGGATTTTAGCAGTTTAAGTAGTAGGAGTCAATTGTTCACTGTAGCTTATGATATTTTTCTTTATGCTTTGAGCGGCCATAAGGAAAAACTCAAATTTCTTTTTTTTTTTTTCGGCCTTCTTCGCTTAGTAGTTTCAATAACATCATCATGCACAATACAAAAACCAACAGTTAATAATATGTATATATATAGCCATGGATAATATTTAAGATTATTATTTTTTAGTAAACCAAACTTCCCCAAGTCTTAAAGTCGGATTTACACTTATTCCGACCTATCTCCCATTTGATTATAAAAGCATCAGTACACCGCTCAAAAAACTGCGTATTTTTAAAAAGAATTTTTTACAATGGTAAACGACGAACCAATGTATATTGATCCTTCAAAACACCAAGTTCCAGTTGTTGAACCCAAGACAGAAGTTGATTTTGCATCAGAGATTGATGTGGAAAAGATTTCCGATACCGAATATCGTGGCAAATTACCATTGAGGAAACCCTATGAAACACGTCATGGCGCTTATGGTGGAGCATTGTGTTCACAGGCAATATTGGTGGCGATGAGATCGGTTCCTTCTCATTTCAAACCACATGCTATACATTCGTATTTTACCAAGGGTGTACACGAAGAGTCGGTTATAGAGTGGAAAGTACAAAAGATATCTGATGGTAAAACATTTGCCAACAGAATTGTTCTTGGGTGTCAAGAGGGTCAAGTTGTATTTACGGCAAACATTTCATTAACTACCAAGAATGTATCCAAACCAAGGGATGACGGATTGGTACCTTTCAGTTACCAAAACAAGCCACCACCAGAGTTGATACATTACGATATCAGTCAATTAAAAGGTATAGCCAACCCAAATTTACACATTACCCTTCGAGAACCTCCCAAATCCAAAGTAGACGATGTATATCCATACTTGATCAAGTTTGGAATCCCTGAGTGTGAAACAGTTTTACCAGTACCGGAGGAATACAAGTATGCTTTATTTACATGGATAACTGATTGGATGTTCTTGTCAAGGGCGTTTGCTGCTGGTGTGGGGATGAGAGTTAAAGCTGATTTCGATGTTTCCTTGGACCATACCATATACTTTCATGACGATGATCTTGATGCTACGAAATGGGTCGGGATCAGTATGAGACCGACAAGATCAGAACATGGTAGAACTTTAATGGCGTGTGATTTGTTCAATAACAAGGGTAAGCATGTTGCTTCAGTAGTACAAGAACGATTATTCCTTGTTAAACCAACTGCAAATTTATAGATTTCAAAGCTTTAATATTTATTAAAACATACTGTTTATCCTTAACATCTCAGCAATTCAGCCCTTTTACGCCTTTATTGTGCATCTTTTTGTACATCTTTTGCAACTAAGTGCATTCTTTTCAGCGTGTGAATTTTAAACGTTATTCTTTATTTTTGTTTTCTCTACTTATAAGCTCGGTTATATAAAAATCTGAACCCTGGTTTTGTGTACAAGCCATTGTGGGGTACGCAGACAATCTCCTTCCGCATTTATTAAGTGTGAGCGGAAATAAGAGAATTCTCATCGACAAACTCAAAATAAATACCACAGTTCCAGACATCAAAAGTTCACTTCATTCCAGTATCTTCTTGCAATATTCAACACTCTCACGCACAAAGTATACAACTATGAACAACGAAAACTTCGTCAGAGGAGAACCCGTCGATGTACAAGAGGAATTTGGCGTTATAGATAAAGGCAATGGTCACTATATTGGCAAAAAGCCATTAATCAAACCCATTCATTATGCTCCTGGAGCCTATGGTGGAAGTCTTGCAGGACAAGCAGTATTGGTGGCTATGAAATCAGTGCCGCCTGAATTCAAACCCCATTCATTGCATTCATTTTTTGTTAGAGCTGCAACTACTGATATACCAGTTGAATGGCAAGTTGACAACATCTCAAGTGGTAAATCATTTTGTAATCGAGCAGTGAAAGGGTTGCAAAGGGGTAAAATTGTTTATTTTGCCAATATATCATTGACGAAAAAGAACTCATACAAGGAAAGTTATGCCAAATGGGAAGAGGAATCCGCTAAATTTCATCAACGTGGCAAAGATGGTGATGTTGAAGAAAATGAAGATGATGAAGATGATGATGAGCCAAGAGCCCCTTCAGAGCCATTCCGATTTCAAACACCAATACATGAATGGATCAAGAAATATGGTGAAGAAAGTTTAACCGTTTCCCCTTGTGAATCCAACATGTTGAGTTATTTCAAATTTTGTCCTGATTTCATCGATTTAGACAAATCATCATATGAACTTGATACCCCAATTGCTGAACGTAGATTCGCATTCTTGGTAAGATGGGGCATTGATAATGAACAGGGGTACAATCAACCTTTGAAAAATGTTGATGAGCAGTTTCAATTTGTTGGATTGGCTAATATATCCGATGCATTGATTTTGAATGTCTTGGAAAGAGTATTGAGATTACGCGGTGTTCCCATCAAGGACAACATGAAGAGATTTTTTGGAGTTAGTCTTGATCATGTTTTGTACATTCATGATAATGATTTCGATGTGACTAAATGGATGACTTATGCATTCAAGACTATTCGGTTTTCTCATGATAGAGTATTGTATGAAGGTGAATTGTATAATCACAATGGTGTTCATGTGGCAAGTATTGTTCAAGAAGGGTTAGTCAGACTTGCTGGAGCTGAACAGAATGCAAAATTGTAGGGCCTTCCACTTTTTGGTTAATAGATTATATTTAGAGAAGCAAGCTTATATGTAAATACGTGTTTGTCGTTGTAGATTGTTTTGTGTGGGTTTGGGTTGCGGCCGATGCTTAACGCAGTTTGCGAAAGAAAAAACGTTGATTGTGTACAAGTTTGAGACTGTTGATGCAACAACATTCCGCAAATCCCCCCCCATCCAATGGCCATCAAGACAGCTCCAATAGACTTGAATCATTTCAATGAAGCTACACTAAACAACCTCTTCACTCAGTTGAGCAAGATCTACTCCACTTCGAACTTGCTCGTATTGGATCCAATACTTTCACCATTGGTCAACAGTCTCACAACATTTCTGAACATTAAAGACCATGGCCACTGTCAAAATGTCACCTGGCTTAACGATGAATTGCTGGAATTGCCATTGTCTGTATTGTCCAAATACTCAAGTTTAGTTTATCTACTTCCCGAATCGGATGATAATCTACGGAAATTGGAAAAGAGTATACGACATATACAACAGGAAAGTCCTAGTTTAAAATTCAACATAATAGTCAAAGACTTGTCGAAGGCGTTTCTATACCAAATCAACAAGATTTTCAATGGGATTTTGGATTTTGAAAAGATTTTGGCGTTGCCTGAAGTGCTAAAACCAATTAGTATAACTTCCAAAATCAAAGTATTCAATTGGGATACCCAAGCATTGTATACCGATGGGGTATTAATCACTCAAATCGGTCCATATTCAGGCTTGGATGATTACTTCAATAGGCCAATAAAGCAAATAAATCAATTGACTAAAGCTATTCTTGATGTTTTGTTTATGGGCATAAATGAGAATGAACATCAACATCGATTCAAACTTCGAAACATTTTTGGCAAGGGCAACCATTCTGAGTTGTTAATAAAGACCCTTTTGCAAGCTCAGATACCTAGCTTTTTGAATCAAAACATGGCACCGTCGGAAATTGAATTCTATGAAGACAAGTTGCAAAGTAATACTGATTTGGTGGTGATTGAACGAAATTTGGACATGATGCCGGTATTGTTTAGTCAATTAACATACCATGGTATTATTGATGACTTGTTCAAGCTTGAATTTGGGTCCATTGTCAATTTGAACGAAGGAGTTAGTAAAAACTTGTCCAAGGATGAATTGTATAATCGAGACTTGAAACATTTGAATTTCTCCGCAATTGGATCTAGATTGAACAAAATGGCGAAATTGATTCAACAAAAGTACAAAGATACTGGGGGAAGTGGTGGTGATGGAGGTAGTGGTGATGCAAATATTGATGACATGAAAAATTTGGTATCTAATTTGGGGAATTTAACATTACAGCAAGATCTAATCAAGAAACATACAGTAATAGGAGAAGCGGTGCTTGGTAAGATTAACAATGAATATGAAAAGTTTTTAACTTTACAAAATGATATTTTTGAAATGGATTACAAGTTGCAAATGTCCAATTTGAAATCATTTATCAATAGCAATTATCAAATTGAATTCATTTGGCCGACAATATTATTAATTGGATATATAAATGATGGGTTCCCTAGTAAAGATTTAGAGAAAGTTTCCACCGAGTTGCAAGATAATTATGGACTAAATGCAGCAATTGCATTGGAAAAATTGGTTGATTTGAAATTGATTAGAGTGATTAATGATTCATCAAGTGACTTCCTAACATCATTGGGGTTTTCTAGTCAAAAAAAGCATCAAAATGTTGCTCCTGTTTATGAAGATGATAGTGATGTTGCAATCACAGGTGGTAAAGATGTTCTCAAGAGTAATTATACTCTAGTGAATAAATTTTGGAATTTGCATCCATATGAAGATGATAATTCAGGAGCCGAACTATCGAAGCAACAACAACAAGATCTGACTAATCTTGTTCAAATATATCTGAATCCATCTTTCACGTTACCAGGTAATACAGTGCCATTAACATTCCGCATCATTGAGTCATTATATTTCCGTGATTTCTTGAAATATAAACCTGTTAATAACGTCAAGTCACGACCGAATTGGGATAATCTTGGCTTAAACACTATGATAGCTGGTAAATCTGTTGATATGAATTTGGAAGATGTCAATGATGATAAGCTGAAGTATTTGATCGTTGTATTTATTGGAGGTATCACAAGAAGTGAATTGACATGTTTAAAGTATCTTGAAGAGAGATTGAAAGCTAGAAAACCGCCAAAAGAAATTATTGTGATATCCAATGGCATCATCAATAATCAAGATCTTTGGAATTACATCACTGATTGAGAGAAAGAGTTGCATTCGTTGGGGAGAAGAGGTATCAATGAATAAACTGATCTGTTATTAATAAATATATATTCGTTTTGAGCAAAGTTACTTTCAACATCACCTAGAATATATAACATTTCATGACTGCATCATTATATAAAAAAAGATCCTCCTCTTATTCAGTACATATGCTCCAATTCACCCGTTTCTCAAGCAATATTTTCAGCTTCTTTTTGTTTTTGTAATTGAGCATAGTAAGCTTCTCTTTTGGCGACAAGTGGAGTGTGTTCAGTGTACCAGTACAAGGTGGCCAATGAGAAACCAGCGGCAAAACCAATGGTGATATCAGTTATGATCTTTCTTTTTAAAGTACCCGTAATTGGAGCAATAGCCATATTGTTGTGTGGAGTGTGATAAGGATTGATTGGGATGTTTTGCTAAAGTTTGGTTCTTTTTTTTTTTTTTCTCGATTTATTGTTGGTAATACTTTTGATTGGTGTCTGTGTAGTGCTACCAATTGAATTTATGTTTTAAATGAGGTGATTTTTTTTTTCTGCTGCTTGTTGCTGCTGCACTTTAGTTTAGAGTAACACATTTAGTAGTAACTTCATTGGATAGAACGAACAAAAATTGGTAACATTCACACGACTTCGTAACATCAAATATCCAAAACCTTCTGTTAAATTTTCTCAGACCATACCATCTATCTACATCGACATCAATCGAGTACCCCAAGAATCTCCCACAAGCACAATGTTTACCAGATCTATCTTACAAAGAGTCACCAAGACCCCAGCTCAACAATTGACTGCATCAATAATTCCCAAGAGATCTTTACAAGTTTCTGCTAAATTGATGAGTGATATGAATCAAATTTATGGTCATCCACAAGAAGGTGTTTACTCAAACTTACCATTCAAAGTCAAGAATAGAAAATTCATTCCATTCTCAGTATGGTATTGGGGTGTTATGGGATTCTTTTTCGCTTTTCCATTCTTGACTTCAACTTGGCAAATTTACAAATCCGGTGGTTTCAATGCTAAAGAGGAATAAGCTCATAATAGCGAGTATAGTAATTTGATTTACTGCTGCTAAATAGGAGAAGAGGAAGAGACGTGTATTTATTTTTTGAAAGCTAATTCTTAAATACATTTGAGAGGGAATATATGTGGAAACGTTGAAAATCATGTGGGTAAAGAACCTCATTGAAGAAAGGATCAAATTGTAGTTATCCTTAGAACTGCACGAATTATCTGCTTATCTCTAATACAGTCTACTCTTTTCTTTATAAACTATGCAATCAACTTTTATTCAGCTACTATTCAATGCTATTGAAGAAAACTGCAACAATTTGAATAAGAGCTTTTCTATAACAAAAGCAACTCATTTTTCAGGTAGTACAGGATCCCACCTAACTCTCTTTTTAGCTCTAACTTGTCCTTCTACCGGCTCGTAAAGAATTGATTTTAATTTAGAAGGGTTGCTGTATTTGGCAACAACTTGACTCGACAGAAGCTGTTCACTGTCGGTACCAGTACCAATCAGTGTCGCATCTGTTGTACCACCAGCAACATCTGCTTTTGAAAGTACTGATGAAAGTGCAATTGGAACAGTATTCAGATCAGCCTTTTGTCTTTTCAACTTGAATTCACTGAGACTAAGCTTTTTAGTTGGGGGCGGTGGTGGTGGTGGCACTCCTGATGTCAGGCTTTGATCAGGACTATTCACCACGCCGGCTCCAGTTAAGCTTGTTTCACTTGCGGGTGGTGCAGAAGTGGGTGCCTTTGGTGGTGGTGGTGGTGAAGGTAGTGGAACCTGAAATGATGAAGCTGCTTGTTGCAACAATGCAGGGGGAGAGTGTGTATAAGCTTCAATAGATGCATGTGGTTCTGTATGAGACGCTTTCAATCTCTTATGGGGGCTTTCTTCATCCCCTGGAGGTAACCTGGACCTCTTTAATGGGTTGACACGCTGATGTTGTTGCTGTTGCTGCTGCCCCTGCATTTGTGCGTGTGATGCATTGGGTGGTGTTGGTGGTCTAACATGGGCATGAGATATATTGGGTGGTGTGGGTGGTTTAAAGCCAATCAATGGCATATTAGATTCCGATGTTGAGCTTGCAGGTGCAGGATCTGAATTTGAGTCAAGTTTTTGAGGTGGTACACGTGGTGGAGGCGGTGTTGGTGGTATATATTTAGTAAATGGTGAGTTTGAATCATACGGTGAATCTAGTTGGATTGAAGGCTCTGGCGCTTGAATTGGAGTCTTGTAATGATCGAGCTCGACCATAGATACATCTGAATCTTGTCTTCCATCAGAGAGCTCTGATGCCGCTGTTTGAGATCGCGGTTGCTTTAGGTTTTCTTGTGATGACGGTTGTTCTAAGCTTGTGCGCAATGGTTTTTCTACGTTAGCTTGTGGTGTGTGTTCAGTGTTTGCTCGTATGTTGTTGAATGCACCACTCGATAGTTGAATTGTTGTGAGACTGCGATCTTCATTGAAATCCTCATTCCGTCTTTCGCTTGATTGGCAATAATACGAATTTGACTCCTTTCCAGCCTGCAACATTGACACATCCAATGAGTGACTACCGTGCTGAATATCCTTTTCTTCGATCGTTTCACGTTGTTCATCGTCATCAAGGTCGTCGACTTGCGACCTCGTTTCATGGGTTGTGTTTTTCGTTGTTTTGTGAGTTGAAATTAGTGGTTTAGTTGGCTCATTAAAGACGCTCTCAGGAATATCTGCGTCATCCTCAACATTTGGCAGAGATGATTTTGTAGGCGCATTGAAAACACTTTCAGGATTTTTAAAATCATTCACAACCTCTTGCATCAATGTGTCTTGCCCGTTCAAATTGTAATTTCTATCATGCACAACAGTTCCAATGGTTTCACTGGACCACAACAAATTTGCGGATCTCTCGTTTTCCTTATCGTTAGTTAAAATCAGCTTACCTACACTTTGATCAGATGCAGGTTTTGAGTCATTCATTGTAGCGTCGGGGTCGCAATCTTTGGGTAAGCCACTCGAGTCAGCGGCTCCATTATTTTTACCCACTTCAGCCCTAAACTTCTCGAGTGATTCAGTCGACGCCGAATTTGAAGGTGTGCTTGTCCCATTCTCTGTTCGGTTCACGATGCTGGGTGACCGCGGTTTTACATGGCCAGATGCAAGGAGCGTTGGCTCATAGGACACCCTATCCGTATAAGTATCAACAATGGATCCCGTGTTCTCTTTTGAATCTTTCGTAGCAACAGGTAGCTCCTGTTGTAAATTGTGCTCTTGTAGGTTTGCATTTTCATCGGTACCATCATAAGAAATCACAGATTCAATTTCAACATCACTATCAGCTTCGACATCACCACGCGCCTCGATATTTCTTGATTCCACTAAACGTGGTGAATCTGGCCTCTCGGCACGCGGATCATGATCATAATTGCTGGATGTATCTTTTTCGTTTGTTCCATCATCCTTGTGCCCAAATAACGAGCTTTCATTGGCACTTGGTTTTGTATTTCCCGCTTCACGTTTACCAAACAACATGCTACCAGAACCACCAAACAACCCCAACATGTCATCACCTTGTGTTGCCCTCAAGGGCTCACTCGAGGACTCTTTCCTGATTGTAACGACATTTTCCTTTGAACCAATAGGACCCCAGCGTGGTGCTGGTTGTCTAACTTCCTCAACATCTTTACAACTTGTTATTCTGCGAACTGAATCTTTGTCAATAGCTCGCTTTCCGAAATTTTTTATAACACTAGCAAAATCTGCGTTTATAGAAGAGCCTGGGAAAAACTCAGTTTTCGGAGTAAGATTGAGAATGACACAATTTTCTTTCAAGAAATTTTCAATCTTCATCTTCCTCTGTCTGATAGTATCCTTTCTAATCCGATCTTGCTTTAGTGTATTGACATGAGTTCTGATATCTCCTACGAATTCGTCCTGGCGTTGGTTGAGTCTATCCAAGTCCCTTTTTATCTTGACCAATTCTTCACCATAGCTTGGAGCATGAAGCCTGAACTCGTCTGGTTGTTGCACGAACGCGTGGGTGATATTCTCGCCCATGTATTTGGGTCTCATGTCATCTTGAATTGAGTCCAAAACATCATTGATCCGCATAACTAAACCGTTCCTTTCCCTTTGGAAATACTTGTATAGATTAAGTTCTCTCTCGGTAAGGTCCTCCAAGTCATTCTCTAACAAACTCAACTTGTGATCCAAATAGATGGTGTGTTGCAATTGCTGTCTCGCCTCATTTGATAATGTGTCAGGGGTTAGCTGTGATTTTTTCCTCTCCTCATCGCTTAGTTGAGATGCCTGTTCAAGGAATCGACCAATCTTTCTCAATACGTCCCATGGAAAGTAAGGATCTAATTCATCGCTCTTCCATGTATTATAAACTGCCTCTAACTTCCCACGAAGATCCATGGTACTGCAAGTGGTGTAGGCATGAACAAATAAGTCACAAATGCGGGGAGTAAACAAAGCATTGTAGGTAGATAAACTTTTGATGATGCTGTCGATAAGATAGAATGTGTACACTTTGGACTCCTTTGGCGAGTTTAGTAGTTTTGTTTCAATAAGTTTGCATACGACGGGAGCATCATCAGTTGCACTTTCGGCCAAAGAAGTCATTTCTTCTATGCACGTCTTCTTGGCTGATAGTCGTTTGAGACCATCTCGAAACTGCTCCACATACGACGATACTTGTTTGGCAGCCTCCGGTTCAGCAGAATTTGTGTTTGACATGGTAGCTTGTTTGAATCTACCTGAGTGCAGATGGTAGCTCTCTATTTTTTGTTGCCTGTCAAACAAAAAATCTTTCTGAACTGTCACCAGACGAAATGGGTGTGGGTGTGTGTTTGTGTGTTAACCTTTGTATTCTTTGAGATCAAAGGCGTAAAGAAGAAAATAAGAACGGTCAATTGTAAAAGACAAACAGATTTGGAAGAGATCTAATCCAACCTTCCAAAGCGTGGGCAACAAACTGAAACTATTCTCTTGAAATGTATTGATTTGTGATAACTAGCGGAGTCTAGTTATGCACATGAATCAATCTATTAAAGATATAAGTAAAAGAAGATGTAACTTAAAAAGTGTATGATACTTTTTGGTATAATCTTCTCACCTGTATCTTTATAAGGATGGTTTCAGTAGATCTGATTAGCTTCTTCTCTTGTGTTAAGAGGTCCATTTCAAGGAGAAGAAGAGGAAAAAGGGAAACGAAAACGAAAATGAATTGAGAAAAAGGAGTTTGTTTAAATGAGGCACACACACCTCTCTACACGCTTATTATAATATTTTTCGGTCAAATACACACACAATAAAAGGACCTACACATATGTTCTCCACTCTCATGCATTTTACATAGAACTTACATATATTACAACATCACATCCAAACGTAAAATATATCCTTGCTGAAGGTTGAAAAGTGTGCGGAATGTATCGACTCATGCAAAAACAGTAGTCAGGTCAGCCACTATGCTAGATTTAATGACCGAAATGTCGAGATGACCCCAGTGAATGTTTCTTCAATATTCGATTCAATACTGGTCCTCTGCTGATCATATTAGAATGTGTATTTGCCATTCGAAACGCACCACCAGAATCACTGGGCTGATCGTTGTTTTGGTTTAAAGTACCGACACGCATGTTTGCAGTCAATCTTGAGGCCAATTGGCTGGTCGCAGCTCTCCCTGTTGGATTCCTGTACTTGTTCAAATTCAAGCTCTGAAACTGGGCTCGAGAATTGGATATCGAAGAAGCTGTACCTGACGATAAAAGTGGAGCATGATGATGTACTGAATTGATTTCTCCAATCTTGGTTGATTCGGCATAAAAGGACCTTTTACTGGGATTGTGGGTGTTAGCCATGGTGGTGATCGTGGCAGCCACTCGCGGGACGCTTGTCCCTAGCTTCTTACTTATCGATTGTTTATGGATCTTACTGATGAAGGTGCTCAGAGCAAAGTTGAATGGCTTTTCTGGTGCACGCATGGTGGTGGGTTGGATAAAGCTATTTTCCTGTTCATTATTTCGACCATACTCGATTTCATCATCATTCGTGAGCTCAAATGTTTCTGGTCGATTATATTCCTCTATCTTGTGCTTGAGATTTCCCACTTCTTGCTTAAGATTCTCCACTTGTGATTTGTATTTGTACAAATGGGTGATTTCTTCTTTGGCTGCATAGAGAAAGTCCTTTTGTTTCGACACTTTTTCTTTTAGTTTCCCATTAGCATGCTTCAAATGGTTAATCTTTTCAACAAGAGTGATGAATTGAAATTTACATGAGCTATTAAATTCGTCAATTTGTTGTGTTATTGGTGTAAAAAATCTCTTCAACTCTGGTGCAATGGACTCATCGATGAACACTGTGGTGATATCTCGATTGCCGCATACAGGACATTGGTGAAGTTTGGAACCCCCAGATGACGAATCGTCTTAAACATGTTAGTTTTGGTGTCTAAAACAATGTCCTCATTTTCTAAACACTTACCTTTAGCAAAGTGGCTGTTGCAGCTTATGTGAGCGCATGAAGTCATCAATAGATGATCGTTGCATTGTTGGGCTTCTATGTAGTCGTTGAAACAAATGCCACAGTAAATGTAGTGTGAATTGATGTCCATGTCGTGGTGAGGGTAAAGCTGATGGGTTTGGTTTATTGTCGAGACTTTGCAACCAAAAAATTGTATTTAAAATTTCTCTACAAAATCTTGATAAAGAGTGACACTAATATGCACAGAGTGTATACAAGTTACAAGTTGTCGGGACATGAGTACAGTCGACGGATCTTAGTATGGTCTCACTGTGCAGGTAGTATGTCATAGGACAAATTTGACTACTTGAACCTTTTCATGGTACACATTTGAAAGATCATCATCTCTCCAGTTGTATTTCCCTACCATTGACATCCTTTGATGACACCAGCGTTCTCTCGGAGAATAAAGTCCGCTCATGGTACTGATAATTTATGACTCAATCGCGACACCCCGACCGGTATCGGAGTGATGCGGATCGCGCTTAAGATTTTTTTCATCACCACCACCACTTTGTCGGAGAGAAAAAAAAAAAAGAGTGCCCAAAAGACAACTGCATCAGCACTTTGTCAACACTTATTAGACGTTTCAACTCACACACTGGATTGGTACCTATTTTCTGCATATCATGATTTCCGCATCAGCTGTTAACCGTGCAAAGATGTTGCTGAACCATCTTCGTTCATTCTCCACTTCATCAGCAACCTTGTCCAACAAGATCAAAGTCAAAAATCCAATTGTTGAGATGGATGGTGATGAAATGACGAGAATCATATGGCACAAGATCAAAGAAGACTTGATCCATCCCTATTTGGATGTCGATTTGAAATATTACGATTTAGGGATCGAAAATCGTGATGCTACTAGTGATCAAGTGACTATTGATGCTGCTCATGCAATTCAAAAATATGGGGTAGGTGTCAAATGTGCCACCATAACACCTGACGAAGCCAGAGTTAAAGAGTTTGGGTTAAAGAAAATGTGGGTATCACCAAATGGTACAATTAGAAATATTTTGAATGGTACTGTTTTCAGAGAAAGTATTATCATCCCCAGTGTACCTCGTTTTGTTCCTGGATGGAAAAAGCCAATTGTTATTGGAAGACATGCTTTTGGAGATCAATATAAGGCCACCGACTTGGTTATTAAAGAACCGGGTACTTTAGAATTGAGATTCACACCAGATAATGGTGGTGAAGCTCAAGTTCACAAGGTATATCAATACACCAGTCCTGGTGTTGGATTGGCCATGTACAACACTGATGAATCAATTAATGGATTTGCCCATGCATCTTTCAGAATGGCATTAAGTAAGAACTTGCCTTTATACATGTCAACTAAAAACACCATTTTGAAAAAGTACGACGGTAGGTTTAAAGATATCTTCCAAGAAATTTACGATAAGGAATACAAGGAGCAATTTGAGAAACAAGGGTTGTGGTATGAGCATAGATTAATCGATGATATGGTTGCCCAAATGATTAAATCACAAGGTGGTTTTGTTATGGCTTTGAAGAATTATGACGGAGATGTTCAATCTGACATTGTTGCTCAAGGTTTTGGATCACTCGGTTTAATGACATCAGTTTTGGTTACTCCGGATGGATCGGCTTTTGAATCAGAAGCTGCTCATGGAACGGTCACCAGACATTTCAGATTACACCAACAAGGTAAGGAGACTTCAACCAACTCAATTGCATCTATATATGCTTGGACCAGAGGTCTTGCTCAAAGAGGTAGATTGGACAATACTCCGGAAGTTATCGACTTTGCTGACAAGTTGGAGAAATCTACAATTGATACTGTACAAGTTGATGGAATCATGACTAAAGATTTGGCCTTGACTATGGGCAAAACTGATAGATCTAGTTATGTAACCACTTTTGAATTCTTGGATGCAGTTGCAGACAGGTTGAAGAAATAGATGACCGCGTGTGGACGTTTATATAGATCAAAAATTATTAATTGAGTAGTGTCGTCTCAATGGCAAGCGTGACAGTGGTCTATCTCAAACATCCAAAATGTTAATCATGATCACTTTCATACTTAATCTCTCGTTCATTGTTCTTCTTTTCTAAATATTCCCATGTATATATCAATCCATAATACGTCCCAAGTGAAAGTGCACAAATCTTTATAAATGGTTTGGAAAATTGTCGATAAAACACTGTCTAAGAAGAAAAGGTGAATGTTAGTATCAATTGAAAACTATTGCATTCCAACGCCACGCTGTCAATGGTGATAGGTGTGTCACTGCAGTAATATCAGTATGTGGAACCCTTTCAAGGAACAATAATCTTTATATGTTTTCACCTTTATCTGGTGAAGTCATTGCACTTTGTGCAAAGTGGAACAACCGGATAACTCGTTGAAAGGGGCTAGCGACGTATTGCCCCGTGTAAGAGAGCAACAACATGACACCTTCACCAAAAATTTAGGAACCACAGCCTTGAAGCATATGTCCATCAGTGTGTAAATCTGTTATCGTAGTTTTAATGAAATCATTTGCCAAGTAATGCCTATCGACTAGTTGTACATCGTAGTGGACGGTTGAGAAATGATGTGGTGACATGGGGTTTTACATACATGTGGATTTATCCTTGGTTCTGGCTTGGAATCAACTGAGTAGAATCGTAAGTGCATCGTTGAGTAGGTTCGTTAAAGTGTTTGGTTGTTAACGTTATCGAATCAAGAAAGATTTGAAAGCGAAAAAAAAAAAATTGTTTTTTATCTTGATTCTGCATATAACCTCGGCCGTTGAAAAAGTTGTGGATGTTTTCCAGTGCCAATTGTATGGTTGAAGATAAGACTCAATTGGGATCGAAGAGTCAACTCTATATATTTACGGATTCAAACAGAGAAGAAATAAACCAAGTGTGTGCTTTTTTAACGGTGCAACAACTAAAGAGGATGCTTTATGGGCAGTCTTTTTTAAGTGACGATAGTCAATAATATATGAAGTTGCGACGAAATTGACCCAAGAGGGTGATATTCCCCTAATGGATTCTTCCTCTTTTGTTTCCACCGCGACTTTGTTTTCTATAAGGTGTGTCATATTTGGTGTCTTGGTAGAGTAAATGTCCCCCAAGGCTACTTCCCACTTGAGACGAAACTGTGCTTTGTGGGTGCAAAAACTGTGCACGCAATAATTACACAAAACTGGGCTTTGTTTTTATAAAGTTGCTTTTCCACAACGAATTTGAAATTGAAAATGAAATTGAATTTTTTAGTATGATTTGTTCGAGGATTGTTATTATAATCTTAATTCCGCCAAAATCAAAGTAAACAAATACCTACGAAAACGTTTTAGTCTAGACCTGCATTCTAAAGTCGTTCGAATTTCAGGTTTACCAAAGGAAAATAATAAAATAATTCCGAACAAGGCAAGTTTGTGGGAAGTTTCGATGTTTAGAAAACTAGAATGTCCCGGGGACTGCAGTGTGGAGATCATTTACCCACCCAATTTATTACCCACTGAGTACTTTGCAGAAGAAAGTAAACTTTACCCGAGGAGATACGATATGTAGTCTCGAAGAATTGGCTTACTTGATTTAAAAATGGTTTCGACACGATTACATCAGTTTGCACAGAAAGACCTCGTCATGATTTCAAAATTCAAACTCTCGAGAAGTGAAACAAATGCTGTTGATAGAGTTTCCACTCATAAAATGTGTTTTTTTTTCTATCTTTGCTTTCCAAATGCAACACAAAATGCATTTATTAATACGCCATTGTGCAGCTTGTGAAAAATGCTTTCGAATATTGAGAAAAACAAGGTGAGGGATAAGCAGAAAACGTCCTCGCTCTATTAAACGCCGAATCTACAAGAAAGCCCCCTTTTCTAGGAATAGGTGGCATCTCCTTCTACGCAAAGATTCAACGTCAAAAAAGGGTATAATTTAAAAATAGATTTTCGAGATCGTATGTTTTGAAAGGGTTGATTATGCATAGGTTTTGTTTGTGCAGAGAAGTGTTCTCCGAATAAAGGAATTATGCGCCAAAAAAAAGGAGTATAAGATCCGTTTTGATATACTTACTGCACTGCAAAGTACTTTTTTGTGCAATTGCTCCTCGGTAAGAATTATTTTTTGCACCCGCATCTCTCTAATGCTTCTTTTTAATACAGTTAGCCCCAATACAGTTTGTCAAATGAGCCGACCACTCGTAAAATAGTAGAAAGAATTGTGGCGTCGTGGCTGAGCAAAATCTCCTTTGATTCTCTCGGCCATAGGTGTTAACAAAAAGATTTGCTTTATGACAAATAAGCAGCAAAACAAGAACAACAAACGTAACCTAAGAGAGAGACAAACGGTTGACATCATCGTTTTAATTCTATTTTTTTTACAAATTATACGCATACAGCAAAAGGAGAACTCGAGCAAGCTCAAAAAGAAAAGAAAAAAAAAGAAAAAAGAAACAAGAACCAACGACAAGAACAACAACTAAAAGGGTTTTGTTTTAACTAGGGCAAAACGATCGGGTAAATGTGATGAGGTGCTTTTGTAAATAGCAACCTTTGGAAAAAACGAAAAACACAACAATTATAGAGCTACACCCCTCTTCCTCCGCCCGTATCTCCTGTTTTACTGCTCCCTCTCTTTTCTCCCGAGTATTCCACATGTAACAAACAATGTCACGCATTTTGTTGATAACAACTAACAATTGGAAGTACATGGTATGTTCTATGCAATGTATCGCCGGTATGTTTAGACGAAAGTATATTACATAACAAAAACTTTTGTTTCTGATCCTCATTGGTCTTTTATTGTGAGTTTTTTTTTTTTTTTAGTTTGTACATATATACTTTTTGCACTCTAATTGATTATGCACAATACAATGAGTTTTGCGATTCTCGAACAAAACAGCAAAATTAAATTAGAATAAACAACAATACCCACTACTACGCTTATTAACAATAGGAAATCAAGTGGGAACAGCCAATGCAGTTTTCCTATTGTTTCCCCCGGTGTTTGTGTAATAAATCAGTTTTTTTTTATTCTAATCATTCCCTGTCAATATATGGGCAACTTTCTGTTAAATTTTTGGTCATATAAAACATTGTAATTAAAAGCAAGAGACTTCTCTATTCTCTACATTCTTCTTCCTCTTGCTCTTTGAATAGGAGCACCACGACTCAAGACGTATCAAACCACAGTAACATAGTCATCTCACCAAATCAACAATACTAATCAACGAATCTTCCCCAACTACGTCTACCACTGTTGAATCGCAACAGTTTTGCAATAGGTGGTTTTATACAAAAGCAACTACTTCACAGGTTACAAGTGAATCAAGCAAAAGAGTCGAATAGATACAGCCACCTTAGACTAAACCTTGAAGTATCTAGAAGTACAATCGCTCAAGGGGAAAAGAATCGCATCACACGATCTCGAAGAGCCATTCAAAGACAAATACAAGCATTGGGTTCCTCCAAAATCATACAGATCGAGGATCAAATTGAACCATTTGTCGAGTGTGCTTTATCATTAACCGATTTGTGACTACATTCAATTCAAATTGAACTGACCTACAGAGAAACGATTAAAGGGCTTTAACCAATAAGTGAAGTCTCCAAACGATAACATAGATTGTGAGGATTTGACATTTGTTTTCGTCATCACCCCCTCCTCCCCTTTGCACCCCCAAATTGATATCACTTTTTGATTTTTGTGTTTTATTTTTTGTCTGTCTTAAAAGGAGACAAACTCAATTTTGTGCTCTTCTTTTACTGTGTGTCCGGTCTAGAAGAAATATTACATTACACAAAACAATAAACAGGTATCGAAACCACCCAATTTAACTAAAGACAGCTTTTGGCATTATTACCAAAGATATTACTTAATAGACACACACACACACACACACACACCTTATTTTGGTTTCCAATCTTATAAAACTAACCAAGGGGGGAAGGACTTTCCACATTGATACTTGAAGCAGCTGTTGATTGCATTATTGAAAAAACATAGCGGTACCTTTCAGTTAAACGTCATTTTTGGATCTGTCGAAGCAACGTCTTACTCATTAACGAGAAGGTTCGCATTAGAAGACGATAATCGCCTCATTTTCAAAGCGCTACAGAACCACCTTGCAAGGCAGAAACAACTTCATCAACTTGTCCAAAATCTGCAATTCAAGAAATTTTATAAAAAGCTTATTTTTAAAAAAAAAGTTAAAGTTATACTTCGTTAGACCAAATACAACGTCAGAAAAATGCTTCCAAGTGTATACCACACCACCCCAGATCACACATCTAGTCCAATTGGCTACAACATCAACCACTTGGCGTCATCGTATTCTATATCTCCCCAAACAACTCATCTTCCGTCGATGGTGTACAGTTTGAACCAAGAAGGAAGTCAACTGACCACTAAGCTACCATCTATCCATCAATTGACAAATCGAACCATTATGTCACCCAAGGAAAATCAACTTCAAGTGCCACAGCAGTTACCCATGCCTTCCCACGTGGTATCTACACCATCGGCTCCATCACAATCTACCTTTGCTCACCATGACAGCTTCTCCACCCCTCCACAATCACGCTTTCCAATTGTCCTGTTGCATGCACAACAATTGCAGCAACTACGCCTGCCTGTAACTAGACAATACGTGTTTGCGCAAAACTCACCAATCTCGCCAGTTTCGCCTATCCTTTCACCATACGCTGTCAGACATCCAGTAGAAGAGGGAAGTTACAACAGTCCAAACTACCCTGCTTCACTCATGAGTCCTCCATCTATGCCTACTGGTACTATAGGTAATACTTTGGCATCGCCTTATAATCAACACATGCAGCCAATTGAAGTGCGCCACCGGGTCAACAGAAACGACGCATCACAGGCCACTCTCGCGACATCACAGACTCCCCTCGAAACCAAAACCACTCCGTCAAAAGTGAAAAAACTTGGTAAACTGGACAAAAGAAAAAGAAGAAAGTCTGCTTCTAATGGATCAATTAAAGTTGGCAAACTGCATACCAAAACAGGATCTCTGATCTATAATAGAAAACCAAGGCAAACACTTGTCTTTAACGAAAAGGCAATACACTACCCTGTTCACAAGGATTTTTCTAGTCTAACAACTGCGAACAAAATTCCATCTGCAAATGTGCAACAACTAAATACAACCATATATCCAAATATTGATACCAAAAAGTATGCCACGTCTGCTTTGGATCCACAACGAAATTTTCTTACTGTATTTGAATACATGATCAATGATCACTGGGTGATCTGGGATTACGAGACGGGATATGTCCATTTGACGGGAATTTGGAAAGCATCATTGTGTGCTAATGGCGCGGCTCCACCAAGTGCTTCTCACATGAAGGCTGATATTGTAAAGTTGCTTGAATCTACACCAAAACAGTACCAAGCTTATATCAAACGCATAAGAGGTGGGTTTTTGAAAATTCAAGGAACTTGGTTGCCTTTCCGATTGTGCAAGGTTTTAGCTAAAAGATTTTGTTATCACATTAGGTTTGCTTTAATTCCAATCTTTGGTGTTGATTTCCCAGAGTCGTGTTTGCAACCTAATGACACAGGCTATGGCGAATTGAGGTTGGATGATTTGAAGAATTGCAAGGTAGATTTAGCAGAATCCATTTCTAATTATAGTGAGGAGAACCCCAAGGAGGAGGAGGAACACGTCAAGGTGTCCACCAACGCTCAACAACCGCGCGATTCAAGAAGCTCATCACCAGTAATGGTGGAACTAATGAATCAACAAAATCCAATCAAGTTGGAGCAATCGGCAAGTTTGGTGTCACCCGTGAGCATAAACAATTCAAAGTTTGTCAATGTGGAACAGCTTCCGCCTGTGGGAACTTTTTCGCCGACAAGTGCAGGTCCGTTACTCGACGAGTGCTCTCCACAACAAACAGAGTCATACAATTACAAACACCAAACTCCTTCCACTTCTACAGCTGTTTGGCACAATCTTGGTCAGAATCAATCTACCTCTACCAGCAGTGAATCATTGAGCTCCATTTTCACGGAAAAATCAACTGTCCCACCAACTGCCCGAAGCAAGTGCCAATCATATACTGACTTGCCTGAAATTGTTAACGCGTCAAAGTGTCTTCAATCGTTGAGTCAAAAACGTGCCAATGGGATTAACAAACAATTACCGCCAATAGACCGACTTAAAAGTTCAAACGGTCGTTCTGCATGGGAAGACGAGACAGATGATGAGGGCCCCGTCGAGAAGGTGGAAAGGAATCAGAAAATGGAAGATGGTATTTCTTCAATTTTGTTAGCCGCGGAGTTAAACAAATCATTTGCATACAATAACAAACCAAGATCAGGTTTGAGCATCAAAGACTTGACAACATAAACCAATTAGGTGCGGGGATATCCCCTCCTAGATAGCACTTTGTTCCAGTTTGCTCTAACCTTCGTGCATTGCTCGCATCGAGCACTTTTTATTTCATTTCATTTCAAGGTGATTTTAAGGTGACGCTGTGTGTTTGCTTCTTTCTTTTTTTACAATGGAGTTAGACCTTTCTTTTTACGTGAGTTTCTACGGTACTACCCAATGAGGCTATTCTCATTGATGTGTGATGTTTTCAGTTCTGTGTATAGCTTTGAATATTGTGAATATACGGGTGATCTATATATTGTTAAATATTTTCAAACTTTTGTTAGCGATCAATAAAAGAGAGAGAAAAAAAAGGTCGGCCAAGTTGATCCTTGTAACAAGAGCGACAGGTACATCTATACCACCCCCTCCCGCCAAATGGATTTCGTGGAATTTGACACGTTCAATACTGATGATAAAGATGTCAATCTACCTCAGCCACAACCTGCATTGTCACTACCGATAGCGTCAAATTTGGAAAACTTTAGCAAAAAGTTTTCCGGATTCAGTTTATCAAGAAATTTCACATCGACCACAAATGATTCCACTGCAGCTACCACAACTAACCCCCAGTCACAGGGGAATGATGTCATGGATAAATATGCCAAGCTATCTTTGTCGATTTTGCAAAAAGAAGAATTACTTTCAAAGTCTGACACTACAAATCAAAACGTAACTGATTCGCTAAGCACACGTTTATCGAGAGTCTTGAATGGTTCAATCAGTGACACCAAAATGAGAGAAATATTCTCAAGTCTTGAAGATAAGTTGGATCACGATGTTCAGTATTATCAGGAACTAGTTGAGCCGGGGTTCATGGGCACTGTATCAAGAAAGAAATTAAAGAGTCGTATCGAGCATGAATTGATCAAGAATCAGGCAACTGTATTGAAGGAGTATCAACCAATCGTGAAACAGTTGAAACATGTCGAAGCAAAGTTGAAAAAATTGAATGACTTGAACAAACAAACGAATGATCGTTTACAAAAGAACTTTGAATTCCTGCATGAGTTTAACACAACTGTCAATAAATTATATGAAGAAAAACAGTTGATTGGAATCAAAAAGGAACTTTTGAGTGCATTTAAAAACAAATTCACGTTGAGTGAATATGAAGAGTATATGCTTGTTCAAGGAGATTTGAATGATGACTTTTTTGTTGCATTGAGAAAAGCGGAAAGAATTGTAGAGGACTGCTCAATCTTGTTGGCCGAGGACAACCCTCAATTGGGCTTGAAAATCATGTCAAAGACAAATGGTATCATAGACAAAGCTATTGAACGTGCTGTGCATTATTGTCATCGAACATTGGACAATTTGTATTCGCTAAATTCTAAAAGTCGGTTTGTTACATTGCATAATTGTTTTCAATTTCTTAAAGACAAAGACCGCTTTGGTGAGATTATCAACAAATTTAGTGAGTCAAGATCGAAAGATTTGTTACATGAGTTTTACAACCAAATTCAAGGGCAGGATGAATCACAAGGGCCATCCACAGAAAGACGTCCTAGTGCAAAAAGTGCAGCATCCAGCAGTACTGATATTAGGCCCCTCTTTTTATCGGCACATGATCCTGTTCGCTTTGTTGGTGACTTCCTTGCATACATTCACTCAATTGCCGTGAATGAATCGGAGACAATTACCAATATTTTTACCATGGGCGACGATGATGATCATCAATTTGATAGTATTATTCAAAATGTAACCGATATGATTTTGAAAGCATTGTCGAAACCCATAAAGTCAAAGATTGAACAAATCATCTCAACGGAAACCAAGTTGCTCACAATTTTTCAAATTTTCAACTTGGTTGAACTTTACTCAATGATGTTTGATAAACAATTGCATCAATCGGAAGATCTTGTTTCCACAATGAAGGTGTTGGTACGCGCATGTCAAGATCGCATATTCACCATCGTTTCCAGCAAGATTGCCACTATTTCATCGAGTACTCTGGCGAGATTGGAGTTGAATCTAGATTTACAACCGCCAGAATGGATCATTGATTTTTATGCGGAGATTTTACCAATGGTTGATCAAGTGACTAGCGACACCATACTTCATTTATCGAAAGAAGAAAACGATAGGTTTTTGAACTTGATCATTAACCAACCAATCAAAGTGTTTACTGACCATGTGCACGATAACAACATTTTTACCAAGAGGGATTCATACATTATACGATTTAATTTTCTAGACTTGATTCAGTCAAAAATCATGCCGATATCATTGTTGTCAGATAAAGTGTTGGAAATCAATGATTTGAACAACGGATTAGTCGCCAAGTTGACCGAATTGGAACTTACTACACTACTTCAACATTGCGGATTGTATGACTATTACAATATCATTAATATGATTTGTCCGTTCTCGGATGATTTTTTTGAACCATCAATTTATGAACCCATTAAAGAAAATAAATTATACAGTTTGGAAAAGTTGCAAAAAGTGGATTCGATGTTGCAAGAGTATGTCCCCAATGCAATGATAGAAATACAGCAGCTGTTGCTTCGATTGAATTCACCAGTAACTGTAACCGAGGTGGTCAACAATGTATTTTTAGAGTTTGTCAAATTTGTCGAGAAATTGGACTCAATCAACAAAGAGTACATAGAATACAACTTTACTTGGTCAGATTTTGAATTGGCAACAATGTTGGGTATTGATGAGGTTTATATAACGTATAAGCAAAACATCTCAACTCAATAGAGCGATAAAAATGGTTTTAATATGCATTTGTTTTCTATTCCCTAGCAGGAATTTGTCCTCTACCATAGCCATCCTTGGCATAATAGTCCATTGGGTAGTACTTCTCATTCCACATTGTATCCTGTTCGAGCATCACCATTGCCTCATACGGAGTTAATAAAGGTTTACTAAATGCGTAACCCCAATCAATGGATAGCCTAGGACAAGCCACTTGAACAAACGCATCAACGTCATCAAACATGGATAGCTTTTGTGGGAAAATCTCACTAAGGATTATCTTGACAACCTGTATCCCCCTTTGAGAAAGTTGAACTTCCAATTTTTGTAGTGTAATGGGATTACCCTGTCGTCCTAAAGCGCCAAGAATCAACCCGATTTTTTTTGCCTTTTTGGCTGTAACTACTGCATCTTCCCTAACTCGTGTCATTTGTTTTTGATCATAATACTCGCGAGTAAATTTTCTGTCATATGGGTCGTACCTATATGCTGGAATATCAGGATTGTGAATCATTGAACTCTCGAGATGGAACCTTCCATCGCCAACATATATTGTTGCATGGATGTGGTCTTTGTTCAACCTTGCTGATGTACATCCCAATAGTTCACCCTTGGATAATGGTCTCGTTTGTGGAGGTATCAAATAAATGGGCTTTTCAGCATCATTTTCCAAAATTGCCTTGACACTGTGAATTGTGGGGTTAAATTGTATGGTGCCAAATATAGCGATTTGCGCACCCTGATTGAAATTCCTCTTTATTGTTTTTATCAAATGGCTTTCATCGATGTTGATTGTGACAAATACATACAACACTTTGATTTCAGTAACATCAATAGGAACAAGACACGAATGCGCATAATGGACAATAAAATCACAATCCAACGACCTGGCTGTGAAATCATCTATGCAACAAGCTCCATATGATACGTCCCCCATTACCAAAGTTTCAACTTGGCAAAACTCCTCCAATATGTCTGAAATGATTAATGAATAAATAAGTAAACCTTCTGGCATTTGCAATGCTACTCGTTTAGCATTCTGTCTTCGTATATTCCATACTGTCTTGTGTATCTCGAAATTGTAGTTGGAAGGTAATAGTTTTATAGCTTCATTTAAATCTTTATCGTTCAAGATATCATCAGGGATTTGGTTGACTGCCCTTCCGATGTGACGCTTGATGCTTGATTTTACAAGTGGTTGATCCTCAGCCGAGGCTTTAACGTCCGAACTTGGTTTTTTTCCAACAAATCTTCTCCTTGCAACCTTTGGCTTGTCTGTAGAAGGATGTATTTCAACTGGACTCATTTATGTGGGGGTTTTGACGGATGGTATTGTGTAGGCTAGCTACAACTGAAGTCAATAATTTTTTTCTTCTCTCTTCTCATCTCCGCTATCTATTTGCAACTTTTTGTGGATCTTCATGGAACTTTTCAATCTCATCACAGAATTTTCTGTATACTTTATCCCCCCCTCTTCAGCCTTACATCAATTGCATAGAGCACCACCGGGACAGTCATGCTTACTCCATTTTTCACCATCAACCAGGATGACGAGTTTATATACATTGACGTCAAAATTTCGCATGTCAGATTCAGTGCACCAAATATTGAAATGACTGTTGACTACGACTTATTCAGATTTTCACTCCCTCCATACTATTTACGATTGAGATTGCCATACCCATGCGTAGACGATGAAAGATCGCATGCAGAATATGATTCCAAATCGGAATGTGTAAAGATTAGGATACCAAAGGAGAATAAGGGACAGTTTTTTCCTGACTTGGATTTGACCTCAAAGTTACTTGCAAGAACCAATGAGAATAAGGTAGATGAGCAAAAGCAAAAGAAACCTCTAATTGAGGAATTGGATGTCAATAATGAGGTATGCAACGATCAAGCTGAAAAAGATTTGCAAGAGGGCGAGGATTTTGATTGGGAGGTTAAACAAGAAGTTCCTGTTAATCCGACATTGGATGCAGGTAGTACTAAGGATCTTAAAATTTCTGCAAATGTCAAATATGGGTTTGATAATCAATATGATGGAATCGTTGGCGTAAGTGTATCCAATGGTAATGATATCAACGGGCTAGGTGATCCTGAAACAACTCCAGAAACTGATCGTATTATTGAAAGACTAATAAAGGAAAATATACAGTTTGACCCTGAGATATACGCAGCTGACTACATTATGGAGAAACATCCCACCGCTGATGATGACAAGAATTTTAAAGAGTTGATCGAGTGGACGAATCCCACGGTTCAAAAGTTTCTTAAGTGGTACAAATCACAACAACAATTAAATGAAGATGAACGGACTGTTATAATGCCAATTGATTTTTCCAAGGAAGAGCAAGAGAAAATGATGCAATTACCGAGAAAGTCGTACTTGCTAGATGAACAGTATAAAATTGAAGTTTTAGTTACTATTGTTTGTCTTTTGTTTGCATACTACTTTGACCTTCGGGAAAATGAAGGAGAACACAATGTTGAAAGTGCTTGGACAATTGGCAAAATAACACCTCAATTTTCCTTTTTGGATTCCAAACTAACAATTAATGGTTCAGACAATTTGTTGAGATCAGCAGTCATAACATGCATTAGAAGAGCTTTGACTTACCCACTTCATCGAAGCTTCGCTTTGTGTAAAAAAGTATGGGGCGATGTGTATTACGTCCTACGAGGAGGGAAGAGACTTGTACTTCTGTCATTATTGGATTTGAAAGAATTGTTTCGATTTCATGACATTTATTACGTTTACGACAAGATATGGTTGGAGGATTTGTGTGTATACTTGATCAGCGATAGCGTCACCGAAGGTCAGTTGAGGAAACTTGCTCATGACGTCAAGAAAACTACCGACACAGTTGGTAAGTCGGATATAACTTTTGAAAAAGCTGGTGAGGAGAATGCAGACATGTGTGATGATGGCGTAGAAGGACAAGATGAAATGGTGGCGCTTTCATTGGACGATATTGATAAAATGGCGGAGGCTGTATACGACAACATGCAGTAAAAGCAGTATACAAGTTGCGGACACAATGAAGCTATCACATTACCATGTAGCTCAATCCTTTACCAACGACACCTCTCAATCTTGCTGGACTCAGTCGAGCAAAAGCCACTAATATTGCAAAACTAAAACTAAAAGCAGCAGTCTCCAACTGTCTTCTTTTAGTGCTATCGGCTGCATCAAAAAAAGTACCCAAAGCCTTTGGTGTTACAAATAGCATCAAATCTTGACGTTTTTTGGCACTTTCAAACAACACACTCAATCCAGCAAGAGCTGATCCAATCTTGATACCCAAAATGTCCCAATATTTTTGTCCAAACCATTTGGGATGATGGTTTCGTATAAAACATATGCACCCCCAATGTATTGTAGTCAACGAACTAACAAACAATGACGACTTGATTGTTTTCAAACACACTTTCCTCATATTACCTCTAAAGCCTCTGAAAAAGACAAATGTGAATAAATTGACGTAGGAGTAGAATCTTAAACTGGATATAAACTGGGATACAAAAATGTCAAAGGTGTGTTTGAGGCAGCTGTGTGTTGTAAACTCATGTAAAACCTCGCAGGGAAGTTTTTCGTGTTGTGTTAAATCTCCCAACTTTGAATTCTTTCCTCTCAGAGCCGCAAAACTCTGGAAGCTGTCTTGCTCGGGGGAGGCTTCTTGTGTAGTGTAACTCACTGTGCCCTCGTGTAACTCCTGTACTCCCTTTTGTACACTTGGATCTATACGAGTCATTTTTGTAATCCAATTCACCATTTGAGGACTAAGTTTGTCAGGTTTGAACCACCAAGCAGTCATGACGCAATATGTAGAAACCAAAATGACCAGCAAGTCTATCAAGTCATTTGTATGAGCCGACACATGAGGAGAAACTGTGGTGGATATTACCGTATCAATCGCCTTTGTGACCAATATACACGTCCAATCAAAAGTGTAAAACTTGTCTTCTTCGATCTTGAGTTCTTGAAACCTAGGAAAATTCAAAATTGATGACACCAAACCAGCAAGGAATGTCGTTGTGAAAAGAAAATATTCTCCATCAACATAAGGATACAAAAGCTTCATAAATATTGGATTCATGGCATTCAAAGTTGCCACTAAGCGAATCATAAAGATAGGCAGACGATCGGCTTGTAATGGGGCAATAATTATCTGCCATGCTTCGCTCAGAAATCCTTTCGCCTTTAATTCAAAAAGATGTTTCGTTGCATTCTTTAAGAGATTTGGTACCACTTCGCAAAGATAGGCGAAAATAGCGACCACGATAGTTGACCTTTGAAGGAAGATTGCTCGTATTGCTTTGATGACATTCTTGGTGCTGATACGATAGATGTATACAATAATGCGTAGTTGACGTTTGATAACGTTTAAGATGGGCTTTAACTGCCTGACACGGTAGGCTAAATCACGATATGGCGTGAGCGGCACCTTTGGTTGCTTCATCCTCACAGTAAGTAAGCCGTGTAATTGTCTATCTCCAAGATTCGATTAAAAAACAAATTACGCACAAAATTAGTTTCCCAAACTGGTAATTCTGTTGATGGGGGGGGCAAGTTAGTGATGCAGGTCATAAAATGAAGTCCAAAAAGAAGCAACTGTAAATAGCTCAATCAATCATAAACAGGTGTAAAGTTTATACATGTAGCTCTATGTCTACTGGAAAGTTGACATTCATTGATTAAGAAAACTTCTCTCGAATTCCAAAAATTTTTGCGGCAATTTTGTTCCAATTTGTAGCAAAATCAATATAAAATTAGGCATAACTAAATCATTCACCAATCAAAAAAAAGGTTTGCAATCTTGTAGAGTAAGTATTTCACATCAAACAGGCTTTATAGCCAGTTCTTACGGGCACTTTGGGTAAAGTGAATAATATTCGTGTTATTAATTCTTGCCTTAGCATTATATATATTCAGCACAGATTTTTACATGAAAACTGCTCTTATGGCCAAGTTGGTAAGGCACCTCACTAGTAATGAGGAGATCGTAGGTTCGAATCCTGCTGAGAGCATTTAATTATTTTCTTACATTTTTGGCTCTCTTTTTTTTTTTTTCATCTTCATTTTTTTTTTTATTACAATTGATTGATTCACCAAACATCATCGACTTCATAATGTCCAAGGAAGAGCCTGAACTCGAAGAATTATGGCGCGAATTTCAGAATGCCAATGCTGACATACAACAGAAAAGAAACGAAGTAATCAAAGAAATAAACAAAAACACCATTTTGAATGAGTATCCAGGAAAACTTTCAATCATGACGGCTTTGGATGAGCTTATTGCATGTTTTTCATTAGGAGGTCAATTTAAAAACTACTATAGATATGGGTCATATGATTCATGCCAAAGGCAAAGAGAAAAGTTTTGGTTTGCTATCAAACATGGTTCCTTAGTGGAAGGAAAGGATAAGTCGTTGGAGGAATTAAATGACAAAGAGTTGAGCAGTCGAATCAAAATCCAGGAATTTTTCAAAAAACGTCTACTAGAGGATAAAGCAAAAGGAAGCTCAGAAGATATATGGGATGCTAGAAAAGAGCTACAAAGCTACCCCTTCAAATAGAGAGAAACGTCCTTAGATCATTAATATCCTATTACATTACTACGCAACTTTTTTTATCTTGTATATCGTCATTAGCACCCTTTGGTTTAGCATTTAATGCAACTCTCGCAGCCTCTGAAAATGCTTCGTTAACCCCTCTGTTCTTTTTAGCAGAACATTCCAAGTACCTGGAGGCATTGATCCTTTTCGCTACTGCTAACCCTTGGTCATAACTGATAAGCCTCTTTTGTGGCGAGTAAGGATTGCTTTGACTAAACTGTTGATTCAGATTATCGACGTCCTCATCATTCCTCAAGTCACATTTCAATGCAACCAAAACAAGCTTGACTCCTTCACAGTGATCGGCAATTTCTCCAACCCATTTTGATTGTACGTTCTCGAGTGAGTCTGGAGAATCAACTGAAAAACACAACATTATGCAATGGGTATCTGAATACGAAAGGGACCGTAATCGATCAAACTCTTCTTGTCCTGCCGTATCCCATAGTGACAATTGAACTGATTGCCCATCAATGAATATGTCATGCACATAGTTTTCAAACACAGTCGGTTCATAAACCTGAGGGAAATACCCCCTTGTGAAAACATTCAATAGCGAAGTCTTTCCACAAGCACCATCTCCTAGGATGACAATTTTTCTTTGAACTATGAAAAGTTAGTAACACAATTTTTTTTTTTTTCAATGTGAGGCTTATGATGAAAAGATGATACGTACTCGTCTTGGGGGAACTCGCACAGAGTGGCATTTGTAATAATAGAATTGAATGGAAAGGAGTGAATAAGTATGGGGAAACGTTTTTTGGTTGACTCTTCACTGGATCAAAATAACGATCAATGAGCTGTGCAAGAAAAATTCTGTGTGTGTAATGTGTGTGTGATCGTTGTCTGAATCGTCTTTTTTAGTGATTTACGTGGTGTGTTTACGTTTTTCTGATTCTTTTTTTTTTCCTGTTTGAATTTTTTATCGTTTAATGTCTTTTTGTAGAGAAGAGGCGTTGTAATCCTAAAAAAAAATAATCCAGAAGAAAAGTACTGCATTAGACTTGCATGACGCTAAGAAAGTCAATTTGTTTACAACTGAGGACTAAGAGTGGTTTAGTCTACAGCAAAGAGACTAAGGTGTATTGAATTGGCAATCCTGTGTGTATACTGCATGTGATTGCACAAGAATAAAGTAAGCATATACCATACATAAGCTGCAACTAAAACTCTGACTTTACCCATATTTGAATCATCACCAATCACACTGTCAATGTAGGATCCGATATAAATTTCTATTAATTAGTTGTTATTGGCAACATCAACCGTCACAAAAAGCCTCTTTCTTACAAACATTATTTAGCGAAACCCGCCCTGCAGAACCATTTCCGCATGCACTCAACCCCCCCCCCCACTCAATCTTCTTTTAGCTCTGTAATTTGAAAAATGGATGATTCATGGCTTCTTTTGCTGTTGGTCTCAATTGATGGTCATATTGCAATAACTTGTCAATCAAGTCTAAAACAGCATCACTGATCAAGTACCTGTTTTCATTATTTACAAACGATTTCCACGGCTTCCTTGAATAATTGCCTAAAATGCCATCGTAATCCTGACTCAATTTTATACCATATTTCTTTACGTAGCTCATCAAGCCTTCTGTTCCCAACACTTTAGCAATTTGAACCAACTGGTCATTATTTGAATCACCTCTAAACAACGGTTCTTTCTTGAATATTATTGCTCCCAACATACAACCAACTGACCATAGATCAAGCGAGTAGTCGTACTGCTGCAAATTAACCAACAACTCTGGGCCCTTGTGGTATCTCGAAGCCACTCTGACATTGTAGTCCATACCAGCATGGTAAAACTCAGCCAAGCCCCAATCTATCAATCTCAACTTCTTATTCATAGGATCAATCATTATGTTTTGTGGTTTCACATCTCGATGTATTATACCCATTGAATGCGAATAATCCAACGCTATTAAAAGTTGCGTAAAATAGTATTGAATATCCTTCACAGTGAACTTGGGATACAAAACTCTAAAATCAACATTATTGACTTTTTCAAAGATTAAAGCAGGTATTTTTGATTGCTCATCGCGAACCACATCTAGAAGTGCCACAACATTGGGTCCACCTGTCAAATTTTGCAAAATCTTAACTTCCCGATAAATCTTCTTCAATTTCACAGGTTTCAACACTTTGATCACGCATGGCTCATCATTCAATACATTTATTCCTTGAAATACTTCTGAATATTTCCCCCTTCCTATCTTACTGACAATTTCGTAATTTTTTATTTCTCCCCAACCTATCTTGTGATTCTCATAATCCCAATATTCTGAAGGTTTCTTGCTATTGACGTCCGAATAGACCTTCGATATAGAGTACACCCTTTGTTTTGTTGACATTTTTTTGTTGTATGTTTTTAGTTTCCGATACTGGCAGTCTAAATCAAGCAGTAAATGCGAAAGTGTATATCTTGCTTCAAAAATGAGGAATACAGTTATCGTTCTTTGGCTCCACGTATGTTACAGCTTTCAACACTCCAGGTGATCCTCTTAGTAAAATTACACAGCTTGAACGCGAAAGGATGAGACTCGGAAATCGGTGATGGTGGTTTTTCGTATTAACCAAAAAAGATAATCATCGGGTATTTTATCAGATTTTTTTTTTCTCTCTCTCTTTTAAAAATATCGAAAAGGCGACACCGAAGTTAATGCCGAGGGGACAAATTGGAGATGAGTTTGATAATACTGTGCGATAGGCCTGACATATACTACCATGTGAGTAGTGGTCTTGAGACATAACTAAACTTGACCTATAATTGTGTCCTTTATTGCCGTAAGGGAAGATCAGAACATTGTGGAGGAACGATTCAGCTCAGCTTATACCATCGTGTAAAGAGAACAGTAAGCTGGACCATACCCACAAGGAGACTCGCATCCTCTACGAACTCTGGAAATAATTGGCGCCCTTGGATTCTAAACAGTCTATTCGTAGTCAAAGTCTAATCAGGATCTGAAATCCTTGTTCTTGACGCATCAAGGAATTGACAAAACAAAATCTTGAGTCTCTCTCTCAACTTTTGTATGCACGCTTCATCAATTACATGAACCTCGTATCTACAACCACCATTTGTGATGCAGACCGCATCTATAACGACGTTCAATTTTGGTCGGATCTGGATAATTCTATGATAATAGTTGGTTCTTGTGAGTTCATTTCGTACATTGATTGCAACAAGTTACCCATCTTTCTTATAGATGGTAAATCGTTGCTGATATTTAGCAATGACCCACAAACGGAAATCTTCTTCAAACAAAAACTTCTCCAAATCACCTCAAATGCGGACTTCAGACATGGTCTTTTAACAAAAATTGGCGAAGAAAAGTACGTCGTGTTTTATTATGAAACGCAAGTGAGATGCCTTGTTTTGGACTTTTCCAAATTGAAATACACAAGAGACTTCCTTGAAGAGGATAAGACTTTGGAAAATTCATTTGTGAAGCCAAAGAGGAAGTCAACAACAACATCATCACCAGCTGTGACTGCGTTTGATAGGGTACTAAAAGAGAAGCAAGAAGGTAATCCTTTCCTAAGAACTCAACCGAAGCCAAACAAATCACTGGTTCTATCTACTCAAGAGCAAATAAGTACAGCCGTAAATAAGATTATTCAATCAGGCTTGAGAATTCGTGGCCTTTCAATGAACCAAACAGAATCAATTAATGACAAGTTGAAGATAAAGGAAATATACCAAATGACCCACAAAGCAACAATGTTTTCACTTCGTAAGTTTAACTATAGTTTTAACAAAAGGACAGACTCAGAAAAGGTTCAGGTATCATGGAATGACATTCAAGAAACTGTTGAGAGTTTGTTACATCTATTCATTGATCTTGATTGATACTATATACATTAGACTTTATTTTTTTTTTCAAGCCAAGTCCTTGACACTGACAAGTTTGCTTGTGGACTGGAAACCCACCGATGATGCCTCCTTAAGCTGTTCCAGCAAGGATTTGAACTTGGACAATTTCTTTTTTGGCTTTGCGGTTTTCAATTCGTCACGAGCTTTATCCAAGTGGTCTAAGAGTATCGAACGATCCTTGTGCAAATAGCCCCTCTTATCTGGGTTCGAATAATACTGAATATCCTTCTGACTAGTTGGTCTTGCTTGTAAAGGAACATAACCTTTTCTCAATAAGAAATAATTTGGATTGACAAAGGCTCTCAACCCCAATCTTGAAAAATATCTAGCGGTGAATGACATATTTGCACTCTCAATTTTCTCTATTGCCTGGTCAGTTGCTTTTGAGGCTTCGATATTTAGTGGCACGCTATAATCAGTTGTGCTTTTACCCAAGATTTTGACACCATCTTTCAAGCTTCCCGTTATGATACCACATTCTTTCATTATCTTGATTGTAAGCGTATCACCATCCTTCAATGGTATCCTGCCAGTGTTCCAGAAATCTTGGATCTTGCTCAAGTTGACCTCGTGGTATGCTTTGGCATTGTGTGCATTTCTGAAACCCACCATTGGCATTTGCTTGAAATATGGAGTTTGACCACCTTCCATCCATATTGGAACTTTCCCTCTTGCTTTCTGACCTTTTTGACCTCGTCCTGATGTTTTACCTTTGTTGGAAGAAGGTCCACGTCCTAGACGTTTGTATCCCTGAGTCGAGCCTTCATTTGGAGCCAAACAACCCAAATATCCAACATTTCGCAAAGACATCCTTATCTGGTTGGTGCATGACACAAGTTTACCAACGAGAGGAGTTCTGCTGAACATAGCTGAATGCGTGTAGTGATTGGGTCTATCTGGTGGAAACGGTTTGAACTTTGAAAATTTTTTGTTTCCCGCAAAAAGATTCCAATGGTCGCGAATAAATCTTCAAAAAGAAAAATCCACCTAGAACATTTTTGATCGCCACCAAAGTAAGTCATTCTTTGTTGCATACGTCAAAGGAGAAAGATACAACAAATCTGCATAATAACAGGGCTAATCATTAACAACAATGTCATCCGCCGAACAGAAGAAAACTCAGGAAGTTTCCGAAAACGAAGAGCAAGTAATCAAATCCCTTGAAGAGGATGATGAATTTGAAGATTTCCCAGACGACGAGTCTAAATGGGTTACAGATGCAAAATTGAAAGAAGAATCACTTTGGGAACAGGATTGGGATGATGATGACAATCAAGACCAATTCTCGCAAAAGTTGAGGGAGGAATTGATAAAGTCACAGAAACCAGCAAACTAATTGGCAACGAAGGAAAGGGGGCAGAAAAAGAGGGGAAGGAAGAAAGGCGAATAAGTATTAAATGAGAAAAGAACGGTTTTTGATGCTAGAATGGCTTAAACGTGAATGCAAAGATGATAATATGGGTATATTTCGAAGTGTGTTATTCCAATTCCATGTCATTCCATGCAGCGATCACACAAGCTAGAGAACGGAAAGAGCAAGCTCATTGCCATATATTAAACTAAGTAGGTGCTGTAACACAGATAGAATTACTTTGCAACAAATTTCAGATATTGCAAAAGAATGAGTATTTTCAGTCTCTCTGACCGCCCCTCTCGCTTTTGAGAGCTTCAATTGCAAATGAACCACTCTTACCACTTACGCTCAACTGTTGTTCATCCCTCTGCTATTTGAAAGAGCTGCGGTAAACACCAATTTTTAAATTTAAGGAACACAAAATCGGGCGTGGTAGGAATCAAAAACATGCTCACAATTTCAACAAAAGGCGCAAATGGTTTAGTGGTAAAATCCAACGTTGCCATCGTTGGGCCCCCGGTTCGATTCCGGGTTTGCGCATTTCTTTTTACGTTTTTGGCATTTACGGTTGGCTACTTTGAAGAATATGCCACATTCTTGCAGCTGTTATTGTTTTTGAAGTTGTAGATCCATTTTCATCGGCTGTTAACTGTGCACATTTTTCAATTTTTTTTTTTTTTTTATTCCGTTTCTATTTTTCCGATTTCTTTTGATCTTCTTCTCGTTGCCAAGTAACCAATGCCTGATTCAAACAGCACGACTAACAGAAAATGGAAGAGGTTTGCCAAAAATTGGGAGTTTAAAATTGCAGTGTTTGTTATTCTTTACTTTGTGTTTTCACATTATGTATTGGAGAATACACATAATGTCAAAGAAAGAGGTTTAAACAAGCATTTGAAAGTGATTCCAGAAGAAGTTATATCTTATTACGAAAAGCAACCATTGGATAATCCCGACAGATTGGCATATATGCAATATGCAACAAACTACGACTATCTCAACTTAGCAATAATGAACTTTGCTCATCTTCGAGACGGCAATACTCGGATTCCAAATTTGGTTATATTGTATGATGAAGTACTACAACACCACACATCTCATAAATGGAACAACTTGTATCAGGTGGCAAATCACTACAATATTACATTGAAGCCAGTTCCCTTGGTTAAGGTTTACTACAACGATGATACTCCATGGGCAGCTTCATTTACCAAATTTCATGTTTTCAATCAAGTTGAATTTGAAAGGATTGTTTACTTTGATTCTGACTCGATGTTAATTCGTCCCAAAGTTGACAATGGCGAGATATTTAGCTCACACTCTAACATAGATGAGCTATTCAAGATTCCAAGGGAGCTTGAATTTGTTTTGCCACAGGCGTATTGGTTAAACAATGTCGTTGAAGGAAAATCTTCATTGAAATACAAAAAGAAGGTGGAGATTCCTGACTCCAAAAGGTACGGGTTGCGGATGAGAAAATTGGTCAATGACATATCTGAAACCAAGAATTGGAGATTGCTACCCTCGTTGGTATTCGAAGCACACAAATTCGACAATCCACGCAACTTTTTTGCCAACCACGTAATGGTAGTGACACCTTCTAGAACAACATTTGACCATATAATGAAGTATGTGTATAATCCAATACATTGGTCACTAACAAACAGAAAAAAATTGAGAAAGAAATCAGAGTACGACATGGAGATTTTGAACAAGTACTTGGACAATGAACTAGCAAAGGGAAACATCAACGTTGGCATTCTACCACATCGTGTTTATGGAGTTCTAACCGGCGAGTTTCGTGAGCCATGGCACGAAAGATTTGTTGTTGAACCGCAATATCTACCGTTTATCAAAAAACGATCGAACCGAGGTTGGGATCCAATAAAAATGTTGCAAAAGATCAAATTGATTCACTTCTCAGATAGTCCCATACCCAAGCCATGGGAAATGGAGAATGGGGAAGACGAGTATGAACAACCATACAGTACAAAACTAATCTACTGTAAAACTGGGAACATGACGGAATACCATGCCAAATACACCCATTTCAAACCACGTCTTGTCGATGATTGTGATAGTGTTGAAATATGGAATTGGTTTCGCAAGCAATTCAATAAAGAAAAAGAAGGGATTTGGTATAGTGAGTGAAACAACTTATATACTATATAACGGTTTCATAGTTTTAACATGTTCTAAAAATAACTCATGTTGCATATAGATCAAAATCAAATCAAATCAAAATCAGGCGAAGTTCCAAACAGAGAAAAAAAAAAACAAAAAAAAAAAAAGACAAAAATTTAAGGAAAGAGATTGAAAATCAGCTTTCGATTTAGATTAGCAAACCAGCCATCATCAACATGAATCGAGAAGATCTAGTGACAACACTTTTGATTGCAACCAAGACATTGGTAGAACGAGATGACTCGGAAACAACAAATGCTGAAACGGGTATGCCTTCATTGACTTCTTCCAGTGATTCTTATACTACTCCTTCCATTTCCGTTCCTCCAAACAGCAACAATCCTTTTATTATTAGACAACACAACCCTTCAGGCACAGTGTTTATTGCAGTAGGGGCAATAGTGGGAGCCATACTTCTTGGGTTCATTTTGTATCATTTGATTGTTTCTTGTACTGCATCAAGAGTTGCCAAAAAGACCAGCACTAACGATAGAATTTTGTATGAAAAGTATGAAAGTAACAACAATAATGCATACGGATATTCAAACATGACACCCACATCAACACTCAACAACTTTGAGTACAAGAGTCATCACCACGGCTCTTCAATATCGAAGCTACCGTTATTGAATAGATCATTTGCTAACTTGCCAGGTGGCGGTTCACAAGTTGGGGACAATTCCACCATTTATCAATCTGATGTGGCTGCTCCTGCTTCAAAGCACGATTTGACCAAAATGTTTATTTCACCAACTGCGGAAGTTATGCAACATAAAAAGACCAAGTCATACAATCCATCATTGACAAACTTGTCCTTAGGTGGCTCAGCCACGAATTTGGCAAGTCCATCTCCTGCCACCAACAGGCATTCTCAATTAGTGCCAAGTTTATACATAAACAATGAGATGAATAATAGCGATTATTCGGTGGCTCAACACAATCCTTCAATTCCACCATCATTACATGAGGAGAGTCAAAGCCAGTCGCAAGGCAGCGATGATCAGAATTCAAAAGTTCAAAGTCCAAGAAAACCGATACCATCGATGTATCTCGAGGATTTGATGCATTAAAAGGGGGAGTATGTAATTGTGTACCAGGTGAAAATAAATGCATTTACTTGCTAGGCTTATCGTAGCTGTAGATGTTACGAAGTTTGGATGAAGGGTGTATGATCCAATACACTTTGAGAAATTCGTCCCTGACGAGTTAGAGGATAATTGTAGAGCTTACTGACTGAAGTCTACAATGCGATTGCAAAACACTATTGAGAATGTTGACCCCTACATTATGTTACTTCAAAGGTCCTTCAGAAATTTACAATTGAGCAGACTATGCAATTAGCTCTCATGTCATGAATATAGTTACACTGGGGCCTCTCTTTGATTTAACATTACCTAAACTAAAATTAATGGTAGCAGTCAATTGACTTTTTATGTATCATGGGAAAAATCAAATGATGCTTGTTATCACCTCGTGATGATATCGACTCGATATAACTATGTCTGACACAGAGCCATTGACATCGAATGTCCGACCCGCCACGGACGCTTTAGTCACCATTCGGATAATAAAGTCATTCCCGTATCGAAACGTGAAAAACTTGATCATAAAAGATATAGACTTGAAATCAACTACTTCAAAGACTTTATTTGATCAAGTACTCAAAGAAATAAACACCATTGGAAGCTTGAGACCATACAGAAATGTACAGTATGATTCTTTAAAGATATACACCAAAGCGCATGGTTCAAAATCCATGAATTTAGTAATAAACTTTGAAAATGATGACGATTGGGTTATTATGAAGAGAGGGGCAGCCACTGCCGAGAAGTCGTTATGGGACTGGGGTATTCAGAATGAAACCGAGATTAGTATTTTCAATTGGGATGCTTACATCGAGTATAAGAAGAATCCGGAAGAAAAATGGTAGGTGATAGTCAATTGACAAGTTAGTATCATAAGACAGGAGTGGGTGTGGCAACTAGATTTGAGACTCAGCTCTGGATAGGTCATATTGTTAAATGGAGGTTAAAGTAATGCTTCAAAGTGTTTCTTTTTGGTGTTTGTCCTTTTGGTAGTCCTCCGTAAGTGTATAATGCAAACGAAATGGTACCTTTAAGCACGACTGCAAGTCAGCCAGTTCAATGGAGTGGCTGTCATGAATCACAATAATAGAAGTGATAGAACATATCATCTTATGGGCTTGTTCACAAGTATCCTGCCTTCGATGTCTTAAATGTATATTTTGTGACAATGTAAGATGCGACAAAAAAGAAGAAAGAGTAAAGAGATACAACAAGAGTGAAAATTGTAACCAATAACAATTGTTGTTTTATAAATTTGACTATAAAGAGCACTTTTATATGCAGTACACACTCAACTTTTTTTCAATTTTCTCTTCCATCTTACTATTCATTCTCTTCATTCTCTTTTACCAATAAGAAAAAGGACGAAAGAAAAAAAAAAAATAAGCTCTGGCATAGCGTTGAAATCAAACTGTTTGAAAACATCAGTCTTCTAAAGCCTCCAAAAATTGAACTGAGCTGTTCCTATCTCGAGAAATTGATCCATCTAGATTCTCATCACACCAGAGGAAAAACTAGCAAAATTGGACTTTGAAAAATTATCATCACAATTTAGACAGTTTTGGAATTTGTCCTTTCTTCATTTTATACAACATCCACTTTCTTGCTAGGACGACGAATCAATTACACCATGTTTAAAACAGCATTCAAGTCTGTAAACCAACCATTGGTTCAAAAATTCATTGCCGGTGGTGTTGGGGTCACCGGTTTAACTGCATCATATTTATTATACCAAGATTCGATGACTGCCAATGCCATGACTGCTGCAGAGCATGGTTTACATCCTCCAGCATACGACTGGCCTCACAACGGTATGTTTGAAACATTTGACCATGCATCCATCAGAAGAGGTTTTCAAGTTTACAGAGAAGTTTGTGCAGCATGCCATTCATTGGAAAGAATTGCTTGGAGAAACTTGGTTGGAAGCTCACACACCACTTCTGAAGCTAAGGCTATGGCCGAAGAGAATGAATATGATGATGAGCCCGATGATGAAGGAAAACCAAGAAAGAGACCAGGTAAATTGGCTGATTATATCCCAGGACCCTATGAAAACGAACAAGCTGCTAGAGCCGCAAACCAAGGTGCTTTACCTCCAGATTTGTCATTGATTGTCAAGGCCAGACACGGTGGATGTGACTATATATTTTCATTGTTGACCGGTTACCCAGAAGAACCACCAGCAGGTGTTGTATTACCAGAAGGATCCAACTACAATCCATACTTCCCAGGTGGTGCCATTGCCATGGCTAGAGTTTTGTTTGACGACTTGGTTGAATATGAAGATGGTACACCAGCTTCATCTTCACAAATGGCAAAGGATGTTACTACATTCTTGAACTGGGCCTCTGAACCAGAACACGACGAAAGAAAGAGATGGGGTTTGAAAGCCCTTATAGTTGTATCATCCTTGTATTTATTGTCGATCTGGGTAAGAAGATTCAAATGGACTCCAATCAAGAACAGAAAATTCAGATTCGACCCTCCAAAGAAGTAAATTTGAAAATAACAAAAAAACTTCATAGATTTTACAGGGCTGATGAATACTGTTGGCAATGTTGAAGCAGTTTAACACTTGTTACTTTCGATCAACTTTGTATATCGTACGCACTAATAAAATGTATCAAAGATGAAGTGACTTGTAGAAAATGTAGCTAGAACTACTACAATTGAGCGGGAAATGGCGATTACATCATAAAGCAGTTGTGAGTACTTATTTGGGGGTTACGCCGGGTTGGCAAAAACGGCTAGCGTTGACATAAACCCAATGTAATTCGAGAGCGATTACTTATATGCTCTCTCACAAAGACGCCAAAATTTCTCGAGGAATTATACTTGATATACCATGCTCCGATTGCAATCAATGTACAAACTGTCCAACATCATCACCCAAGTACAACCTTCCACTTTGTAAAAGTTTGCAATTGGCAAGACGTTGCTACTATAGGTTCGGCACCTTTGACCCATGTCACGTGCAAGACAAAGAATTTCATTCGGCAGCCCCGCCAGAATTTCGCTGAAATTTGATCTGCACACTACTCTATAATCCCAAGAAATAATTAGACATTGTCCACCTCCAAAGGACACTTCATAGTGGCGAAGACGTCCAGAATTTTTCGGAGACGCTCGTCTTGATCATTTTCATTCGACACATTTTCATTAATCGGAAAAAATGCATGTAAACATAGTCGTGCCGTGCCTTCGGTGAAATTTTAATTATTTCGGCGTTTTTTCTTCTTTTCAATTGTCATTAATTTTTTTTCTGGTCCATTCTTACTATAAAGTGTAAAATTAGCAAACCATAAACATTAAAAGAAAATATTTTCTATTTTTTTCCTTTCTTTTCACTGCATTTTGGTCATTAAAGAATTGATAGGATTTACACCAATACTACATATATTCCATTTGGTCCTCGCTTTAACAACAGGGTACACGATCACGACGAACCAGTTTTCATTGCAAATACATAAACCCCCCGCATTGTCCCTAATTTTACCCCTCACGTTATGAAGAAAGATACTCAAGTTAGTGCTGATGGTAGTAGGATAACACGAGTTATCAGCTCAGAGCTAAACAGCCTGCACTCGTCGGTGACATCGACAAACTCGTCGAAGGATTTGCTACCTAATATTGGGGCCAGCTCGGAATATGAAGCTGAGTCTGTTCAAGTCTCGGAATCAGAAACTCGACCATCAAAAATAGTTATTCTTTTGACGTTGGTGTCCTCCATATCTGGGTTCATGTTTGGTTATGATACAGGGTACATTTCATCTGCTTTGGTTCAGATTGGAACAGATTTGTCCAACAAAATTCTAACATCTGGGGAGAAGGAGTTCATCACATCAGCCACTTCGCTTGGTGCTTTGCTTGGAGCTATACTTGGTGGTATTTTAGCCAATTTGATTGGAAGAAAAAGAGTTTTGTTGGGTTCAAATGTCATTTTTGTAGTTGGAACAATTGTTCAACTAGCTGCCAAAACTGTATGGACCATGATTGTAGGCAGATTCATTTTGGGTTGGGGAGTGGGCATTGCATCCTTGATTGCACCTCTCATGTTGTCCGAGCTTGCTCCTTCGAAATATCGTGGTCGTTTGATTGTCACAAATGTAATGTTTATCACAGGTGGTCAATTGGTTGCATATTTTATTAACTGGGGGTTAACCAGAGTGTCGCACGGTTGGAGAGTATCTGTTGGGTTATGTATGGTACCCGCGGTTTTACAATCATGCTTGTTTTTCTTTTTACCTGATACTCCAAGATATTATGTGATGAATGGTGACATACCCAAGGCAAAACAAGTTTTGAGAAGAATACACAACGATCCGTCGGATGCATTTGTTAATGCCTCTATCGAGGATATGATTCAATCCGATTCTACAGTGCCAGGTAGAAACCCACTCCAAAAGGCTTGGGAGTCGATCAAAATCATTCACACCACACCAGGAAACTTTAGAGCATTGATTCTTGCATGCGGGCTTCAAGGAATCCAACAGTTTACTGGATTCAACTCGTTGATGTATTTCAGTACCACCATCTTCGAAACAATTGGGTTTGAAAATGCCACGGCTGTCTCTATTATCATTTCAGCTACAAACTTTGTTTTTACTGGGGTTGCTCTTTGCATCATCGACAAGGTTGGAAGAAGGCGAATTTTACTTATTGGAATGCCATGTATGTGCGCAGCCTTGGTTGTTTGTGCGATTGCATTTCATTTTCTCGATGTCGATTTTGCATCAGGTGTAATGATACACACAAGGGGCATCAGCGGTTGGGGTATCGTCGTCATCATTGGTATGATTTTGTATGTTGCATCATATGCAATCGGTATTGGTAACGCAGCTTGGGTAGGAGTGGAGTTATTTTCTGATGTCAATGTTAGATCGATTGGTGGAATGTATGCAGCATGTACGAATTGGGCCGGATCCTTGGTAATTGCATCTACATTTTTAACCATGTTGGAAAATATAACACCAACAGGAACATTCTCATTCTTTGCTGGACTTTGTTTGATTGCTTTCTTTTTCGTTTATTTCTTGCTTCCAGACACTGCTGGCTTGGAGTTGGAAGAGACTACGAATTTCTTAACCAAGGGGTTCAATGTCAAGCAATCTGTTGCTTTGTCAAAAGCCAGAAAGAAGCACTCAAAGTACACAAGTGGAAATGTTTAATGTGCTTTGATGTATTAGAGCATAAACTGTTGCATATATATATGTTGTAATGAAAATACGATGAATCAAATATTTCCAACGTAGCGGCTAACACACACAGTAGACTGCTGAAGCACTTTTACCGAACGACCATATATAACCATCTTATCTTCTCTCTATCGGAACGCAAAGCTTGTTTCGATTTCTTGACCCAAGAAGGAAGACAGAAAAAAAAAAAAAATAAAATAAAAATACAGAATTTATCAATTCGAGTGCAACACTGTATTTCAAAATCAGCTCCTCACACCACCAACATCGGCCTAGTATCATCTGCCAAAGCCCATCACAGATATACATACTGAGCAAAAATGTCGAGAGTGGGCTCTATTTATGGGGACTCATTTGTCGATCCCATACCCGAGATAGGTAAATTAGATCTGTATCAAATGATTGAAAAGTTGGGACAAGGAACTTTTGGGGTGGTACAGAAAGCTCGAGATAAACGCACCGGTGAGCTAGTTGCAGTAAAGCAACTTTTGAATCATCTGGCGAAAGAAGGATTCCCCATCACTGCTTTGAGGGAGATTACAATCTTGAAACAACTCGAGCACCACAACATCCTAAACATTAATGAACTTGTTTACGAACCACCCAAAGTCACAAATCCAGCTGACTTGGTCACAAATAGGGGCACATTCTACACCATTTCTCCATACATGACAAGTGATTTGGTTGGAATCCTTGAAAACCCTGATGTCAAGTTAGAGCTTAATCAAATAAAGTGTATCATGATACAGCTATTGCAAGGCACGCAATTTATTCATGAGCAGAATTTTCTACATAGGGACATCAAAGCTGCTAACATATTGATAGACAGCAGAGGAGTTTTAAAGATTGCGGACTTTGGCCTTGCGCGACTTTATGAAGGAGATATACCAAGATTAGGAATGGGTCCTGGAGGTGGCGAAAAAGCGTACACAGCCCTTGTTGTCACTCGATGGTACCGTCCACCGGAAATACTATTGGGCGAGAGAAAGTATACCACTGCTGTAGATCTTTGGGGAATTGGGTGTGTCTTTGCTGAATTATTTGTTCATAAACCCATTCTTGTTGGTAAAAGTGATGCACACCAGGCGCAACTTATTTTTGAACTCATTGGCCCTCCGACTGATTGGGAAAAGGCATCTAAACTACCAAACAAGACAGATTTCAGTATTGGTCTTGGTTGTAAAAGAAGCCTTGAGAGAAGATTTGAATCATTGATGCCATCATCTGCTGTTGATTTATTGAGCGGGTTGTTGGCGCTTGATCCTTATAAGAGATTGAATGCGTTAGACGCTTTAGATCATGTTTTTTTCAAAAGTGAACCATTGCCTTTGCGACCGGAGGAGATGCCACAGTTTGGAGAATGTCACGAAATAGACAAAGAAAGGTTCAAGAAACTTCGAGAAACAAGCCAACCACCGTTACCATCTGGACCTGGTCATAGAAGCTATCTCGAAGGCAAGAGGTATGACAATGACGAGGATAAACTAAGGGATAAGACAGGCAAGCGTGACGAGCTTGATGGTTATGGAAAATACCACGAGCGTCGTACCATTTCTAGACAAGGGGCTCATAATAGCGATGACGCATTTGATAGCAGAGAACTAAACTACAAGGGAAACCCCGTACGGGGCAACCATGATGACACCTATAATGACAGGGAGCAAAACTACAGAAAAAATCCGGTAAGGAGCTACTACGATGACACCTATAATGACAAAAAACCAGACCCCAGGAGAAATCCTGTAAGGAGCTACTATGATGAATGGGGCGGTAGATCGCACGGGAGTTGGAGACAGAATGGGTACATTGAAGGTGATTACGAAAATGAGAGAGCTCCAAACAAAGATAATGATTATGGTGAGTCTAGAGGGTTTGAAGCAAAGCAGGTATATTCCTATATACCACGCCTGGAAGTGAGTGATTCGTATTCAAGGCGAGACTCCCCTCGTCCTTTGTACAGAAATGAAAACAGGTATAATCAAGCGCCACATGGCAGAGTTAACGACGTGGTGAACTACTTTGAAAAGAGATTTCCCCCAAGAAATCACAACGCTGTTGAAATTCCTTGGACAAAAGAAGGCGGTCACGAGGCAAAGCGCGGCTCTCCAAGAGGAAGAGATATTAAAACTACTTCCAACACATGGCATTCTCGGGAGGAAAATCAAGATATGCATACCAACAACTCTTCCAATGCAGCAAGCCCAATATTGTCATCCGATAATGCATCACTGCTTATTGAAATGGATTACCAAGAGGATGAAGCCAATGAAATTGAAAAAAATAAAGAACAACCCGTGTCAAGTGTTGAACAAGTGTATCCACTCGTCTCCGAGAGTATAGAGTCAAAAGGCACACGCAATTCCACTTCTAGCAGAACAGACACGGCAAATTCCGAGAAGTCAAACGAAAAAGAAACTTTCCAAGACAAGGGTGAACCAAGCAAGAGTAAAGTCCGCCTGAGGGATTTCACAATTGTCGCTAGAACCAATGCCGATAGTGCCGGAAGCGTCGGCAATGGTAAAGACGTTGCTGCAACTGTGACAAGAAGTGCTATCCCATTTGCGGACTCAAGGGAACCAGGGAAAGCTGCAGTCGAGGAAGCACGCAAAGAGATCCCCATGCCTGTAAAAAGTTGCTCAGACGAGGTCAAGAAGTCTACAGTAAGGGATGGATTGATCAAAGACAAAGCTTCGATGGTGGACGCCCATGATCCTAAGGCTATTGACACGAGGGATGTCAGCGAAACAAGTGCTGCCAAACCTAAGGATCTGATCCTTGGAACGCCTGAAAGAATCTTCCCAACGGGACCAAAGAGTTTGACTAATGTTGACACCAACATTGCTTCTAAAAGCGGGGAGGAAACCACGACGGCACCAAGACGAGAAGTTTTTATCAGCACAACTAGAAACAGGACTATGCCATATGTGCACGGCGGCTTGAGTGACAGAGCAGCGAATTCAAGAAGCAGTTCCATTTTCACGGCGTCGCCAATTCCAAAAGATACCAAAAGTGAATCAACTTTAGCTAAACCTTCAGATTCCAGGGATCAAAAAAGGATATCCAAGTTTGTATCTTCTGGTCAAGTCCAGGAAGCACCTTTAAATGCCAAATTGTTCCACTCAGAGGCTTCAAAAGTGAAAAAAATTGATAGCAAAGCTGTGCCACGAAGTATAATTGGACCATCTAAAGAGCCCGTAAAGAAGGATATGTTTAGCAAGCCCAAGAACATATCTGGTCCAATTGTAGTAACACCTTCGCAACTGTCCCCATTGCAGACAAAAAAGCGTTCCAGAAACCCACTAGAGAGCTCTGCCAAAAGGGAATTGGCAGGCTATGCCATGGCGGCTAACAAGAGGGCTAAAAGGAACTACAGCAATATAGACAACGCCATTCTGGAAAGTGATTTAAGTGATGTTGAGGATTTTCCAGTGGATAACCGGAGCCATGAACTTTATGAAAATCTTTTAAATAAAGCGGGGTATATGAGGGAACCAGTTTACCGGAAACATATAAGTGAAAAGAGGAAGTTCAAACAGTGAGTGGGACTTATCGAATGGAAGGGGGGAGGGGGTGGGTTGTCCAATAAAAGCACAGATTCGTGCAAGAAATTTTCTCCGATCACTTTGTGTAAGTAGTAGCATCGGAGCCAAATTATACACATTTGAGTTGAAGGGCTTAAAACATGAATACTAAGATGTAGTTTCTTCTCCGTATGGCTGTGTGGCTCGAATAGATCACATGTAGCACAAAAGTAAAAGTTTTGTCATTGTTTTCTAGAAGAGGACGTGTGTTTTACCTTCTCCGACAATGGAGAGAAAAAGTTTAGATCTTTTAGATAAAAAGTCACGAATCTTTCTAACTTTTCGATGTTGTTGCTTCTCTTATCTTTTTGATCTGTGGTTTCTACAACAAAACAACCAATTAGATAATGGCGACACTAGATGACTACTTTTCAATACAGACTTTTTTGATCGTATTGAGAGAAACTTTGGAATCCGCGATCATTATTTCTGTCCTTTTATCCTTTGTTCACCAAACATTTTGCGCCGACGAAGAAAAGAATCAGAATGAAAGCGGAAGTCAATATCGGGAAATACCACAAGAATCACCATCACCGTCATTGTTATCTGAGGAGAGTGAGGCAGTGGAGGCAAAACTAGTTGATAGGAAATTAGGACGAATTCTAAAATTCCAAATCTGGTTTGGTGGATTATTAGGACTTGCAGTTTGTCTATTGGTAGGTGCAATAATACTTGTCGTTTTCTACAAAGTGGGAAATGATTTATGGTCAATTGCCGAGCATTATTGGGAAGGGACTTTTTCCATCCTTGCAAGCATCATTATTTCAGTGATGGGGATCCAGATTTTGAGAGTGAGCAAGATGCAACAAAAATGGAAAGTCAAATTGGGGAGACTTTTACAACTGTCGAAACATTTCAATCCACTGATATCTAGCCCAACTCAGAAATCGAATGGTGGCTGGTTTTACCAATTGGAGTTATTGACAGAGAAATACAATATGGTTTTATTGCCATTCATCACCACTTTGAGGGAAGGGCTCGAGGCTATAGTTTTTATTGGTGGTATTGGCGTGAATGAAGATACATCGATATGGGCAATCATTAATGCGGCAGTATTAGCGGTCATCATAGGTACATTGATTGGCTGCATTTTATACAGATCAGGGAATACCTTGTCTTTACAATGGTTTCTCATCACGTCCACCTGCTTTTTATACTTGGTTGCAGCAGGTTTATTCTCCAAAGGTGTGTGGAACTTCGAACTTCAACAATTTATCAACCAATGTGGCGGTATGGATGTTAGTGAGACGGGACATGGACCAGGTTCTTATGATATCGAAAAAAGTGTATGGCATGTCAATTGTTGCAATGGTGAATTACAAGACGATGGCGCCTTTTGGATGATTTTGACCGCAATTTTGGGTTGGACCAATTCGGCGACATATGGAAGCGTGATTAGTTACATCTTGTATTGGATAGTGGTGATTATTGTATTCACCTCGTTAACATACGAAGACAAGCATGGATATTTACCCGTTGTACCAATACGTTGGCAGCTCAAACGTATCAAGAAGAGAGCCTCCTTATACAGTCAACCGTTGGTGGGCAGCGACAACAGACTCAGCATAGACTCAGTCAATTCGCAAACTCCTTTACAACAATAGTCGTCCTCGTTTACAGAGTCGAGTAGTTTATGAATGCCAACCACTCCATTCCAATTACAATCTTCAATGATCGTAAATCTCTCACTAGTCGTATTGTTTGACTCAAAACTACTGGCTCTTAGCTTTATAGGGGAGCCACTCTCTATGAAATGGGATGAGGTTGACTGGTGGAAAGAACACCGATAAACTTAAAGTTTCGAAGGGGGAGTTCAAGTGTGAATGTAGATTTTACACATCGTATTTCGAAACTTCCGCTTCACAAGTTACTGGCTCTTCGGATACTCTGTTTAGTTTAGATTATCTGGAGGTGGCTTTAAATGTCAATGTGACACCAAATTCTTGAAGAGTAGCTTTCGCGGGTGCTGGACCAAAGAAACACCAATTGCGTACGCATGTCATTCACCTTCCAATTCCCTATGCTGTTTTCTCTTATTCCTGATACTCATTGACACTTGTGGGAGCAAACAACCACAACGTTCTCCCTGAAAACAAACCATTTAGTTGGTTTTGTAATAAGCATACAAAAAAGGATTCTTTTTGTGTAATAAAACAAACAATCCACACCGGAATTAATTAGCAGTCAATTTCTTGGCTGTAAATCACTTTTTATTATTGAGTACAGGTTGATCGGGATACTTTGGCACTTGTGCTTCTTTTGAGTGAAAAGTTTCAAAGTTCTACCCAATAAGAAAATTCCATGAGACACCTGTCACTGTAAACAAGAATAGAAAAGGGGGAGGTGAGCTGCCAAGAAAGTAGAAAAAGAAGTTTGCGACTGCTAAAATGAGGAATTTTCCAGAGGCACCTATTGTTCTTCATACCAGTTTCAATATCAAGTGCGATGATTGGCTAGAGGTTATTTCTAGAGCCCCACGCTTGTGTGGGTGAGTACCCAGTGGTGTCTACAACTTTTGTTGCTTGGATGATCTTTGTATTTGGGTTTTAGAAAAATTTGAAGAGAGAAGCCACAATCAGACTCAACCTGATAATCAATTCTCCCGTTGATCCCAAACTGGCAAGACTCTGTTAATACATACCGTTTCGTAATCGTTTGGAAATTCTATGGTGTACAGTTCAATCACAAAATTGAGCGGATAATTATGTACAACCAGTACACATATGCGGAAAGCTAAAAGACAAAGCTTAGTATTGAAAACAGATATGTGTCAATGCACCGATGTTTAAGGCACTGTGAAGGAAAGCAGTGACACATGTTTGCAGTTTTGACAAAACTTACTCTGTTCGGGCCTACAATTGAACCTGTGACTTCTCATCTGCATACTGCCAGGTTTAGGGAGGCTCTTCCAGTGGCAAAATTTTCATCTGTTAATTGCCTTGTTTTGAGTGGGTAAGGTTTTGTGATCGTCTAATTCGAAAGAAAATGCTATTTTACGGTTTTTTTTTTATTTTTAGAATTTTTCATTTTTTTTTCTCACTGCACAAGGGGGTAAAACCTCTCTTCTGCCAAGATTTCAAGTTGCCCTAATTTACATTAGGTTGTATAAAAAAAAGTGTTGCAAAACGAATCAGAGATTTTTTAGATAAAATTGAATAGTACTTGACAATTTCGCCTTCATTTTTGCATTGTTTGTTTCTACCAATTAATTGATGATGAAGTTCAGAAGTTATCTGATTGGATCAGTTGGGTTTTGTGTATTCATGCTCTTTTCTATTTGCATCAATTATGGTTCAACAAGTATTGTTCCAATAACAATACTCATTGTGTATCAATCCAGAATTCATTGTAGCATTTCAGACGAATGCATTTATCTTATGCAAATTATTTTGCAATTTATTGTTTTGGCTCTTGTAATCTGGTATTTCCCTAGGTTAGTATAGAGATGGTTTAAGGCAACTTATTGCTCTATAAATATGAGGACATCTCCCTGTTTGATTGACCTAGTATTGATTTCTTAACTCACATATTAAGTCTAGCAACAAATACAACTTACTTGACATGATTCACCGGCTTTCAGTATTTATCTGCTTGCTACTTTGCATTAATCTTTCCGCTGCTCATGGTGAAAGGGACTATGAGGACAATAGAGACAAAAGGTTTTACTATGCTTGCCAATATCAAATGAGAATGGAAGCAAATTTTTGTGGACCAAGAGATAGATCATGTCCTTGCACAAACGAAAATGCATTAGCTACAGTTGCTGGTTGCTTATATTCCATTAATAAAACTGATGAAAAATACTTAGAGCCATGGATCGAAACTTGTGAGCACATGAATGTTACATTGGAAGGCAACTGGTTTGAACAAGCTATTGAATATTACAAAGAGAATGCCAAATCAGCTAAGGAAATCCCAAATTTTAATAGATCAAGACCAATTGATGTTCCTTTCATCTTGAACAGTTCTAGGACTGATGTGTTTCAAGAGTCATACAAAAGATTCTACAACAATCTTTACGATTCAGTCAATTACGGAGCTGGTCTTTTAGGTTACTGGTTATTGGTGTTGCTTTTGGGTGCAATCTTCAACTGGACAAAGTTTTTATTCCCCGGCCTTACAAAGAAGATGACCAACCCAGTGGTCAACTTTTGGAGAGCAAACATTTCATTACCAGCCACTTTCAAGATGAAGAAGCTGCAAGAGCAACAATTTTTGAAATTTTTTGGTTTTTTGATTCCCTCAAGATTCGAGAAGTTGGTTGTCTTCTTATTCTACTGTGTTACCATTTGGATGAATGCAATAAACTTAAAAGCACCTAAAGAGGAAGCCATGTACGGATCCAAATACAGGGCAGAGTTGAGGTATGTTGGTGATAGAACTGGAATCACAGCAACAATGATGATGCCATTGGTGTTCTTGTACGCTGGTAGGAATAACTTTCTTCAATGGTTAGTTGGTTGGGACTATAGTACATTTGTTATGTACCATAGGCACACCGCTCGTATCATGTTTATGTTGGTTGTTGTTCATGCTGTTTGTTATACTGTATTATTCGGAAGCAACTACTCTTGGAGGGTTCAAGCCAAGTACCTCAAATGGGGTATCGTTGCTACAATTTGTGGTGGATTGATCATGGTTCAAGGTATGCTTTACTTGAGAAGAAGATGGTATGAAGTGTTTTTGATTTTGCACATTCTTTTGGCAGTATTTTGGACAGTTGGTGCTTGGATTCATGTTGAAGACTTGGGTTACATCTGGTTGGTTTATCCAGCAGTTGCAGTTTGGTGCTTCGACAGAGCTGTCAGAATTGGACGTTTGTTCTCATTTGGCTTCCCACATGCTGATGTTACCTTGTTGAGTGATGAAACTTTGAAAGTTGTGATCCCAAAGCCAAGTTACTGGAAGTCGGTCCCTGGAGGACATGCATTCATCCATTTCTTGAAGCCAACCTACTTTTGGCAATCCCACCCATTTACATTTACAGACTCAGTTGAAAATAATCATAGTATTGTGTTGTACTGTAAAGTCAAGGGAGGTGTCACTCACAGTTTGTATCAATCATTGGCAAAAGCCCCAGGAAGAACATGCAAAATCAGAGTTAGTGTTGAAGGACCTTATGGTGAGTCTACCGCTGCTAGGTATGCCGACACTGCTGTGTTTATGGCAGGTGGTAATGGTATTCCTGGTATTTACTCTGAAGTCATTGACGTTGCAAAGAGAACAAAGGATGGTCAAAATAAAGTGAAGTTGATGTGGGTTGTTAGAGAATGGAGGTCTCTATATTGGTTCTACGAGGAACTTCTTAATTTAAGAGACACCAAAATTGAAACCACCATCTACATTACTCAACCATCATGCCATGTATTCATTGATGAATTCAATAATAGGTTTCAAGGGTTGGAAAGATTAGAGGAAGATTCGGAGAATTTGGACCATGAAAAGGAATATTCAATCAATGAAGTGGTTCAAGTAGAAGAAAACTCTAGTGACGAGAAGCAAGACTCTATCAAGGAAGTTGCAAAAATTGAGCAAAACTCTTATGATGAAAAGGGGGGTTCAACTCACAGAATTGTTGATATAATCAAAAGGGAGCTTTCTCATGTTATATTCAAAGAAGGTAGACCTTCAATTAAGGATATCATTCCACAAGAAATCCACGAATCGAATGGATCGATTGCATTCGTGACGTGTGGTCATTCGGCTATGGTTGATGAGATTCGTTATTGCTGTGCAAAGAATGTCACCAATCCGGATAAAAAGAGGGTTGACTTTTATGAGCAAGTTCAAGTTTGGGCTTGAGCGTTGCTCCATCCGTCCAGATTTAATTTAAAGTTTATAGGATATAGATAATCAAACAAAACCATTGTAATTTGATTGGAAAAAAACAATTACGAAAAATACTGCACTCTACACTGTAATTTCGGATACACATGGCTGCATTTAAGGTCTACATATCAAGCCACATCTATTCAAGATAGTTTCTTTCGTGATATGGAAGAAGATTTCTCGATCTGAGGCTATTTTGGAAATTTTCTTGTTTTGTGCTGTTTGTCTGGTTTTGTGCTGTTTGTCTGGTTTTTCTTGCAGTTTCATTTTTTAATCTTTGCAACTGCCCTACAGCAAAAGTTACTCCGTTTTTATAAAGATCGGATACAATATCCCCAAAGCTTTTCCCAAATGATACCCGAAACCAGGAAAACTGTCAGTCCTGGCTGCTTAGATGCGTCTTGTTACTTTCATCGCATTGTTTTACTTTGTCGACGCAGCCAATGTTCCAAGATCAAGCAACCTTCCTTGCATTAGGTACAAGGACATGATACCGACATATGCATGCAACTATCAAGTCAATGTTCATGCAAAATACTGCAAAGATACCACAATATACAAAACTAACTCCACCTGTCTATGCAACAATATCAATTGGCTTGCATCGGTCCTTGGATGCTTATCCTGCGCAGGGAACTTGGAAAATAAAAACATTCAAGGCGTAAAGAAGTTTTGTCGAATAAATGGTAGAGTAGAATTGTCTCAGGATCAAGTGTGGTTTGCGTACCAGAGGTTTAATGACACCATTACAAACGCATCACTAACAACACAAGGCACCAACGTCACAATTGACCGCCCTGTTATTTTGCTGTCGCTGGAAGTTGAGCTATATCGAAAAGCTTATGGCAAATACCTTGGCAATTTTGATGACTCGATATACTACGGTGGTGCCATATATGGATACTGGGCAGTTGTGCTTGTGCTAGCGGCAACAATAAATTGGAGTAATTGCATATTTCAGAACCGTGCAAATTCGAGCAAACGCTGCACTAGACTAGTTGAAAGTTATTTACTTTTACCAGCACTTGCATCAAAGGCACATGCTGAAACACTATCATTGGGGCCGATAGAAGCGACAATTCCCTCTAGACTTGAAGCTTTGATTTTGGGTATGTTTGCTGTGTTATTGACGACAATGACCTTTATAAATACAGAGCCCGTGGATGATGATCCTATATATTACACTAAAAACCATGGGCAATTAAGATATCTAATTGACAGATCTGGAATCATTTCGACAATGTTGGCACCCTTGGTGGTTATGTTTGCTTCGCGGAATAACTTGCTTCAATGGCTAACCAAATGGCAATATGCAAGGTTTTTAACCTTTCATCGATGGGTGGCGAGAGTAATGTTTGTGTTGACAGTAGTACACGCCGCAGGGTATACGAAATTACTAGGATCATTTTATCTCGGCGAGATGGAGGCTGCATACTCAAAAGCTGGAGTTGTTGCAATAGTGGCAAGCTCATTGATGCTAGTGCAAGGAGTACTTTACGTGAGAAGACGCTGGTACGAAACATTTCAAGTCATGCACTTTGTGTTGGGCTTGTGCTGGCTCGTGGGATGTGCGATCCATGTGAATGAGTTGGGCTTCGTCTACTTCGTTTACCCCGTTGCCATTATCTGGGGTACTGACAGACTTGTTCGGATCACTCGCATACTACATTTCGGATTTCCTGTAGCTGATTTGCAATTGATTGCAAATGACTTGATCAAAATTGAGATACCAGTTCCTAAATCATGGCAGCTTCGGGGCACCATTGGATATGCTTTCATTCATGTTTTGAAACCAAAATACTTTTGGCAATCCCATTCTTTCACTTTCATGCACTCACCTACCTCTCAAAAGCGCATGGTTTGCTATTGTAAAGTGAAAACTGGTCTTACAAGTGATCTACATTTGAACTTACTATCTGAGGTAAATAATAATGCTCGAATTAAAGTGGGCGTTGAAGGGCCGTATGAAGTTACTTCACGCATTGTTCAAACAAATCTCATGGTTTTTGTTGCAGGTGGTAGTGGGATAGCTGGTATTTATCAAGAGGTGGCTTTTCAAATTAAAGGGCTCGTGCAAAATCCTCCCAACTGCATTAAGTTGATATGGGTAGTGAGGGACTCTTCATCCGTGAATTGGTTTCACGCTGAGTTGCAAGCTTTACAAGAAGCATCAGTGCATGTCATGGTGTATATCACTCATGGAGCAGAGATGACACCTGTATCCCGTTTGGCGACAGATGAAAAAGGAATTGGCTCTGGAAAGAATTCGTTACGACCTACACCTAGCCTAACGCCACTGGATGGTGGCGCCAGTACGTCGTTAAGTGACTTGATGTCAATCACGTTTCTTTATGGCCGGCCGGACCTTATTCAATTGGTGACCACCAGCGTCACAGAGTGTGAAAGCTCGGTCTCATTCACCACGTGTGGGCATCCAGGAATGGTTGACGATTTAAGAGCTGCTGTTTGCCAATGTATGAAAAACACCCCGAATAAGACTATTTATTTCTACGACCAATTACAAGTATGGGTATGAAACAACTTTTTATTTTACTATACACAATCAAAGTAAAATCTATACCGATTGATCTCCTTCATCTTGCTTCTCTTCATCTTGTTTAGCTAAATCCTCAAATATAGAATGGACAGAAGAGCCCAAGTACAATTCCAATGTTTTTTTGGTTGCAGGTATTATCCTACTCTTGACCATTATTTCTTTACAATTATCCTCTTGGCTTAGTCTATCGTATGCTTGGAATCTGTGACACCCACCAAAAGCAAAATAATAAGTTTTACCTTTCTCTCTAACTTTGAAAACGTCAATTGGGGGTAGTTCACCCTCAGTGATGTCTTCAACCTTACAAGTAGCGGATCCCATGGGTACACCCTTCAACGTTGAAACCATCGCGTCTATCTTTTGATGGTCCAAAACCGGTGGGATTGGTCTTTTGATCTCGTGTAATGGAACATATTCTTCCTTCAATCCTCTTGTTTGAATCGACATAGTAGCTTCTTTCTTGATGTTGTGAAAAAATGTAATAAAAATGGGTAAATTGGGAAATGTGATGTTTTGTAGGTTTATATGTGGCTGCAAATATTAATAAGAGCCATCACGCATTGCTTTGTAATGAGTCGGCGAATCTATTTTCAAACGACCGCCGCGCATATTGCTTCCATAAAATAATCGAGCATGATACACGACCCTTTTGTGTGAATAATTTGAGAAGGTAATTGTTTCCTCCACTGCTTCATTGTCCCAAAATGAGTGCATTTCAAAGCTATAGTAAAGTATTAGTACGCCGTGTAGGAACGAGTCTTTCCACCCTCTCACACGTGTAAAATGTGGTGATATATGAGAATAGTGAAAAGTTCACCGATACGGAAATGGTAGCGGCACTTCTCTGTTCCATTTTCGTAATGAGTATCAAGTAAAGCCACAACCACAATGTGCAGAAAGAATCACCTTTATGCGTAAAAGCACTTTGCGAAACCGATACAGCCGATGAAACCTTTATAACGGCACTTGTCTCTACTGCCAGTTTACCTTTTTTGAGTGTAAAAGTGTGGCACATACTGTGATTGTGGTTCCTCCTTATCTATAAAATCATTGGTCCACAGTGATACCCAATATGCAGTCTAAATCTATTCGTATCTCATTAAGCATTGGGAGAATTCATGAGCCAATTTCTTTTTTTTTTTTATGCACTCGTACTTTTGTCTTTTTTTTTTTTTTATCTATTTGATCAATTTGCTTAGAACATCACCTTATATATATAAAGATCCAACGATTGTTCTTTTGGGTCCACTGCTATTCAATCATCAGAGCAGTAGGAGAGCTTTGCATTTGGTGTCAAATGTATGGACTTGCCTTATACCTTTCCATTGTGTTTGGAATATTGTTATTCCCATTCCTCATACCCATCAGATCAAAGAATGCCACTCATCGAATATTGAAAAGAATCCTTACCATCACATTTATCTTATCTTTACTAGCAGCAATAGCACCCGAAACCGCAAGAATAGGAGCTCCTTTCCACAAATATGGGCCATCAAAAATTGCATTTTTTGGATGTAACTATCAAATACAATTGACTACAGCTCGCTTCTGTGAACTTAACTCAACTTTTGAATGGTGTTACTGTAACAACTTCGATGCGTTTGCCACCATTGCTCATTGTTATCAAGAGGGCCATCCAGATCAAGTAAGGTCGTTGTTGGAAATGTGTCAACAATACAATAGAGCAATTACCCGTGACACATTGGTCAATGCTTATGCCTATTATGATAGTCATGCAAAATCGATTCAGGATATTCCCAATTTTCAGCCAAACACAATTGTTGACTTCCCTGTAAAGTTGAACACAACGGAAACGTACCTTTTCAAGGATGCTTACGACAATTTTTTGGGGAATTTTGACTTGTCCATTGATTATGGAGCATATTTGGTTCTTTACTGGGTCGTTGTGTTTACCTTGGCTTCAGTTGGTAATTGGTCAAAAATTCATTTTCATGGGGTAAACAGAAAGTTGACTGATCCTTTTTCTAACTGGTTTAGAAAGTTGATCTCATTACCTGCAACTGGTCGCAAGAGAAAGACCAACGAAAGACGATTTGCTTTCGTGTTGGACCTTTTGGTCCCAACAAGAGCCGAAACATTAATATTGACAACATTTTTGGGCTTGTCTTTATATTTATTGAACAAAAACATTGGTTATATTGAAGGTGATCCCTTATTTCCTAGCAAGAAATTGGCATATCTCAGGCATTACGCAGTCCGGGCAAGCATATTATCCAGCTCCATGATGCCCTTGCTCATACTTTTTGGAGGCCGAAATAATTTTTTGCAATGGGTTACTAGGTGGGATTACTCGACATTTATCACATTGCATAGATGGATATCAAGACTAGTTGTTGTGTTTATCATCATACACTCATTCAATTACGGCGAGTATATGAGGATTAGAGGGGCAGAGGTTCAGCCTTACATTTATTATGGGGTCGCAGGTACCTATGCCGGAATTGTGATCTTAATTCAGGGACTATTGGTTTTGCGAAGAAAGTGGTATGAGGCGTTTTTATTAATTCATATTGTGTTTGCTGCTATTTTCATCTTTGGAGCTTGGATTCATGTCGAGCAATTATATTGTGTATGGTTCTACTATGTATCAGCTATGATCTGGGCTTTTGACCGAATTATCAGAGTTTGCCGGCTTTGGTCTTTTGGCTTTCCTGAAGCTAAAGTATACCTTCTAGCAGATGACACGTTGAAGATAAGAGTACCAAAACCGCTTGATTGGGAGGCGGTCCCTGGTGGACATGCCTTCATACACTTTTTGCGTCCAAGCTGTTTCTGGCAATCGCATCCGTTCACATACACAGCTACGGATGACGAAATAGTGTTATTCATCAAAGTCAAGAAAGGTGTGACCCAGTCAATGTCCAATTACTTACAAACTCACAAGGACAAATACACAAAGATTCGTGTTGCCATCGAAGGGTCGTACGGAGAACTGACACCAGCTGATAAATACAGTACTGCTGTGTTTGTAGCTGGAGGTAACGGGATACCAGGTATTTATGCTGAAGCCATGGACTTGATGAAGCGAGATTCAAAACATAGAGTAAAGTTGGTGTGGGTAGTGAGGGAATTTGCGTCCTTGTTTTGGTTTTATGAGGAGTTGTTGCAGCTACGAGGCAAAGATGTTGACACCACAATTTATGTCACGAGACCAAACATTCCTATAAAAGCGGATGATTTCTACCGACGGGTCAAGTCACTTGAGACTGATGGCTTACTTGACAATAATGAGTTAACACCATTAACTAAAGTCCCCAAAAGGGGGTTGGAAACAGGAGATAATTCATACCTGCTCACACCATCCGATGAGGAGATTGAGTTTGACCTGAAAATTAAGCAAGAGTTGGCGCATATATCGTTTGTTGAGTCTAGACCGGACATTAACGAAATTGTAGTAACAAGCATAGAGGAATCAATGGGATCGGTATGCTTTGTTACATGTGGGCACCCTGCTATGGTTGATGATTTGAGAGCATCTGTGGTATGCCATATAAATAATCCAGATCGTAAGCGGATCGACTATTTCGAGCAGTTACAAGTTTGGGCCTAAGATATAGATGTTTATAGAGATTGGACTTTAATGATTCAAAGATTATTATGAATGTTTTCACATAGGCGTTGAAGCAACATCTCTATACAGCACAATACATGTGCGTTAACAGGCAGGGAATTTTACTGAGGCCTCACCTTCCCAAGGTTTTGCCAAGCGTTTGCTATAGTCGCCATATTCTTGCATTTTGCGGTAACTTTTTTAATTTGAGTTTAATACAACAAGGTAACATTTCGTTTAGCAATGGCTTTTGTGATGAAATTTCGAGATGATGATGCTGAAAGAGATTTCACGCTGATATACTGGAGAGAAGGGTCTTTGATGGAGATGACTATTTGCAACTGCAAAGCTTCCATGCATGAAATGAAAATTCTTCGCCTACGAGATTAGGTTTTTATTTAGGTGTATGCTGCCATACAAGCTGTAGCATCAGGACGAACAATATAGTGAGGACTCAGCAAAGAAATTCTCTGTTCATATATTTTCTTCAACTCTTATTACCCTAAATGCGTTATTTGACACATATTTATTACTTTGAAACCTTTGCTGGAATGATGTAGTAGACTCATTCTTCTCTTGAAGCCTTTAAGTATCTTACGAGATCACACTAAGAGTCTACCATTATGTCGTGTCAGGTGTATATTTCAACTTTATCACTCGATGAGGTAATGCCATCGACATGTACTTAGTTAATCTGATTTTAGGTTTTGTGTAACATCTTTTGATGTTACAGTTGACCTTGTGGCGACGTTGCAAGAGCGACTAAGTATTGGTTAGCATCACAAAATGTATAGAATTGGTGCGGCGATTCCTTCAAAAGCCAAGAACTAAGAGCACGAAAGAGAGTAATGCAAACAATCAAAGAATGAAATCACCGAATTTTTGAAACCATTAAAAATTGTGCTCCCAGTAAATTTTGAAATGCGTAATGAATATATATATTGATTTAATATAAAGGCTTAAAATTTCCTAAACACCCAAAACCATTTTTAGTGTATAAGTATTCTCTAATATAGTTTTTCACGGCCTCCAGCTTTGCCATAAAATTCCAGCTGAAGTGTAAATGACACCAGAAGAGAACTTTAAAGAGAGCGATGAGTCCAGAAGCATCATCGAAGACACTCCAAAAGACGAATCTTTGGATAATAAAGACACTCGCAGTTTGGAAGTAAATGCGGTTGAAGCGTTGGAGAGCAAATCATACAAAGATTATATTTGGATCACAATTCTATGTTTCATGATCGCCTTTGGGGGATTTGTATTTGGCTATGATACAGGAACAATTTCTGGGTTTGTCAATATGACTGATTTCATCGACAGGTTTGGCCAATTGAACGACAATGGGGAAAGATATTTGAGCAACATACGAACTGGATTGATTATTTCAATCTTCAATATTGGATGTTGCATTGGTGGATTGGTTTTCTCCAAAGTTGGAGACATATACGGACGAAGGATTGGATTGATGTTCTCCATGGTTATTTATATCATTGGTATCATTGTTCAAATTTCGTCACAAACCCACTGGTACCAGATTTGCATTGGCCGTGCTATTACGGGACTATCTGTCGGTACAGTTTCTGTCATTTCTCCCATGTTTATTTCCGAATCTTCACCAAAAGTGTTGCGCGGTACTTTGGTTTGTTGTTTCCAATTGTGTATAACTTTGGGCATTTTCATTGGTTATTGCTGCACCTATGGTACTAAGAAGTTGACAAACTCGGCCCAATGGAGAATTCCTCTTGGATTATGTTTTCTTTGGGCAATTTTTTTGGGGGTGGGTATGTTGTTTATGCCAGAATCACCAAGATACTTGGTTGAAAAGAAACGTATTGAGGATGCAAGAGCATCAATTGCAAAGTCAAACAAATTGGCAATTGATAATAAGGTGGTGAGCTTGGAGTTGCAGTTGATCCAAGCTGGTATTGATAGGGAAGAAATGGCAGGAACCGCATCTTGGAAGGAGTTAATCACTGGTAAGCCAGCAATTTTGAAAAGAGTCCTCACTGGTATCGCATTAGCATCGTTGCAACAATTGACGGGTAACAATTACTTTTTCTACTTTGCAACAACAATATTCAAGGCAGTGGGGTTGGAAGATTCATTCAAAACGTCGATGATTTTGGGGTGTGTTAATTTTCTTTCCACTTTTGTCAATATTTGGGCCATTGAAAGGTTTGGAAGAAGACTCTGCTTGTTGATTGGGTCAACCGGTATGTTTATCTGCTTTGTCATCTATTCCGTTCTTGGGTCAACAAACTTATATGAAACTAGTGATTTCCAAAACTCCCCAACCCATTTGCCAACAGGAAGAGCCATGATTTTCATCACTTGCTTGTACATATTCTTTTTTGCATCCACTTGGGCCGGTGGTGTTTATGCAATCTTGTCGGAAACTTATCCATTGAGAGTCAGATCCAAAGCAATGGCTGTTGCCATCGGATCAAATTGGATCTGGGGGTTCTTGATTTCATTTACATCATCGTTTATCATCAACTCCATCCACTTTTACTACGGTTTTGTTTTCACTGGATGCCTTGCAGTGTCTGTGGTGTTTGTGTACTTTTGCATCATGGAAACCAAAGGATTAACATTGGAGGAAGTTGATGAAATGTATTCGCAAGGTATATTGCCTTGGAGGTCGGAGAGTTGGGTACCACCCTCACAGGAGGAAATGGCTACAGCAACAGGGTATGCAAAACCAAAGCATGAACATGTTTCTGACGCTTAGGATGCTTCAATGCACTGGGATAACAATTAATACGTAGTGGTCTAGCAGTGAATACACAAACTAGTGATGAATGCTGTACAACAACCAACCCGGATTCCAAAACTGTTTATAAGGTGATGCAAAAGTTATTTCGTTGCGATCCAGATTGTAGTTCCATTTTGGGGAATTTTACATCTTCAACCACTTTGCCGTTCCAATCAAATAGCCAATATGCCACTTTCTTGGCTTCGTAAAAAAACGTCTGTGTAAACCCTAACGACGACATGATATTGTGTAGCCTATCGCCATTGAAATAGCGTGAATTCTTTACACATGGTAATGGTAGTACAAGAAACAAACTGCTCAAAGTTTCATTTTTGGGTGATTTCAAAAATTCCGTGATTCGAACCAACATATCTCCTCTTTCCTTTGGAGAAGGAACGAAATTTATCACAAGGGAGCAAGAGATCAAATTGAACTTTTCTGATTCAGTTGTGGGCAAAGGTCGCTTCATGAAATCTTGTTGTTCAATGGCGGGATCCTGTGAATTCAAATCAATTTTGCAAACTGAGGTGAAAATCCCACTTGTTGAGATGACATTGTGTGGACTGAGACATCCGATTTCCAAAGCATTTACATTTGACAACCTCGATTTGTAGTTTTCATCTCTTAACCACTCAATAAGCTTCTTCGATGAGTCTCCTCCTCTTTTACCAGTTTGACCTTGAGTTGAAGCACATTGGTAAACCTCTATGCCACCTCTTTGCTCAATTTCTGAATCAATCTTTGCTAGGATTCTGATCAAATCAGATTTAGTTAGCCTGTTGTCTATTCGGTACACCTCATTGTCGCTGTATTTGGCGGGAACTTTGAACGTTTTGAACTCAGCCTGATACAAATTGTCTTTTTTTAGTTTGTCATAACTCTCTCCGAAAAAACCTGGACTGATCCCCAATTTTGTTAAGATCTTGTGCTTGCTTTTTTGTAGAACGTGAAACCGTCGAATTATTTGTCTAGTATGTTCTGGTTTCAATGTCTTTTGTTTCGTTAAAGCGCTCTTTCCAGTAATAGATCTTGATCGCGTGAGGAGACCGCTTCCGGGTTTTTTTGCTTTTGCCATAGCTCACTATGATAAGCCTGAATGTATTGCTATGTAATATTGTTTGGGGATCAAAGTCAAGGTTGGGTAGGGGAAGAATTGATGTTGAACTTTCAACGTTCCTCCATTTTGTGTATACTTTATTTCAGATGAGATGCCGAAATATTTATTATCAACTCTACTTTTTCAAGAGGACAATTTCCATCCCAACAACCACCCCCTTTCCAACATGGCCAATAATAAACCCAGTAAGAAACAGCAGAAAAAGCCAGGCAAAATATTTAAGCCTAGAAAGCCACCCACCTTGAAGCAAAAACTCAAAAAGGAGTCCAAGGTGGTCAAAATCAATGACTTAGCTTGGAAACCAGTGGAGATTCCCGATAACTTAGGAGACTATACAGGCTTTTTTGGATTAGAGGAAATTGACGGAGTTGATGTTGAAGTTGTTGATGGGAAGCCACAGTTTGTCATAAAGGATGACAAGGCAGAGGATAAGAAAGCCGACAAGGTGGATGAGATCAAAACTCCATCACATGATGAACAGAGTGATGATGATGAAGTGATTGACGAGGAAGATTTTACTGGATTTGATAATGATAATCAAGAAGAAGAGCCAGATGTTTCCAAGACTGACATCCTTGCAACAGAAGAACCAAGTAATGCTAATGACAACGACGAGTTATCTGAATTGAAACACAATGTCTTTGCCAACCTTGATTTGCCCATGCCTGATGATAATGATATTGATCTACCACAATGGTCGGCAAATGAAATTGGGGTTTCACTTAGCCCCTATACATTGAATGGTCTTGCAAACTTAAACTTCACCAAACCCACGCCAATCCAAAAAAGGACCATTCCCATTGCGATTGAGGGCAAAGATGTAGTTGGTAAAGCAACAACAGGTTCAGGTAAGACTTTGGCTTATGGGATCCCAATCCTTGAGAAGTATCTACAATCCTTGGATTTGGTGAAGCAGAATGTTAAAGACCAGAAAATCAACCGTCCCAATGGTATCATCTTTACGCCAACGCGTGAATTGGCCCATCAAGTAGTTGATCATTTAAACAAATTAGCGCAATACTCACCTCTTTCAGTAAGAGGAATAGTTAGCGTTACGGGTGGACTAGCAATACAAAAACAACAACGGTTACTCAAAATGGGTCCTGGAATCATCGTGGCGACGCCAGGGAGATTTTTGGAATTGTGTGAAAATGATTCAGAATTAATGAAAAGGATGAGTTTGACTGATATCATTGTCCTAGATGAAGCTGATCGATTATTACAAGATGGCCATTTCGAAGAATTTGAAAAAATTTTGGAGTTGCTTGGTAAAACCAGACCCAAGAATAAAAACGTTGATTGGAAATGGCAGACGTTGGTGTTTAGTGCTACTTTTTCACGAGACTTGTTTGGTAAATTAGACAAGCAACAGAAACCTAAAGCCAAAAACCAAAAACAACAAATTGATGGTAATAGTTTAGTCCAAAATGATGAAATTATCGAATTATTGAATGAAAAATTGCATTTCAAGGACAAGAAACCGGTTTTGATTGATGCCAATCCCAAAGAAATTGTTTCTGGACAAATTACTGAAGCTTTAGTTGAATGTGGTGCTACTGAACGTGATTTGTACTTGTATTACTTTTTGTTGATGTATAAAGGGTCAACTTTGGTATTTGCAAATTCCATCGATTCAGTAAAACGATTGGTGCCATTACTTGAAAACTTGAAAATCCCTGCATTTGCCATCCACTCATCAATGGAACAAAAGCAAAGATTGAGATCATTAGAAAGATTCAAAGCAGCACTTGAAAAAAATGAAACTGCTGTATTGGTGGCATCTGATGTTGCTGCAAGAGGATTGGATATACCCAAAATTGATCATGTTGCTCATTATCATTTGCCCAGATCGGCCGATGTATATATTCACCGATCGGGAAGAACTGCAAGAGCTGGTAGGGAAGGTGTTTCTGTTATGTTTTGCTCACCGCAGGAAGCTTCAGGACCATTGAGGAAATTGCGTAAAATTGTAGCGTCAAATGCAAGTAACAAAAAGTTGAGCACTCACAATGATGTCAAGTTGCTACCTATTGAGATGGATTTGGTTGGACAGTTGAGACCTAGGGTCGAATTAGCTGGCAAATTGGCTGATGCTAGAATTTCTTCAACCGCTACTCGAAAGGAAGATTCATGGGTCAAGCAAGCTGCCGAAGACTTGGGTGTGGAAGATTTGCATGATTTGGATGAATTTGAAGATGATATAATAAAGAAACAGAGGAAAAGACAAGAGGGTAAGAAATTGACCAAAAATGAGCAGAATAGGTACAAGTTTGAGTTAAGGGAGTTGTTGGCTAAACCTATTAGGAAGCAAAATCGAAGATCATATTTAACTAGTGGGTTACACAACTTGGCGCATCAAATGGTTACTGGTAAACATCATGAAGATGTGGTTGGTCATGAGAAAGTTAATGCCTTGAATGATTTGCAAAAAAACGGTAGCAAGATCAAACCCGTTAGTAATGATCAAAAATTGAACAAGATTGTCAAATTAAAAGAGGCCAAACAAACCAAAAAGGATCAGAAAAAGGAGGCTAAACAAAAAAGACAGCAATTAAGAGGTGGTAAATAAAGTTTACCCGCAATTTCTTTTGGTTTCTTTCATCTATAATGTGTGTTTGTTACATTCAATTTGCGTTCTATATAGTCACCTACCAGCAAATTCAAATTCTACACAACTTCACTCACACTCACTCACTCACTCTCTCTCTCTCTCTCGCTCATTCTCCTTCTCGCTGTCCCCAATTAGATAAAATCATCATCGTCATCATCATAGTATTCATCCTCCTCCGAATCTTCATCAGCCAATTGATCAAAATTGACCTTGTACCTCAATATAGCACCGACACCACCAAAGCCTTGTACAAATTGTGCCCCCTCTGAAGATTTATCAGTAACGAAATCCAATTCAGCACCAAAATTCTTGTAATTTTCCGCCAACCATTCCAAAAATGATTCTTCTTTAATAATCTCCATATCAACTCCAGTTTTTTTATCTTCTTGCCATGACTTGTCGGGTAATTCTGGGTTAACATGTTTTATTACTTCTTCACCATCGACATCTTTCAAAGTATATCTTACAATGTTTAAGTTTTCATAAACAATGACTCGTTCACAAGCACCCAAATCCAATGCTTTTAACGTATCTTCTATTCCATAACAGAATTTTCCGGTATCTTGACTGATTTCTTCAAAATATTCATTCAACAACTTCTTTTCTTGGACAAATTTGACATTGGCCAAAGTTTCTGCTGACAATTCAATTGCTTGGTTGAATCCATTTTCGCCTCCATATGATATATCAACAATTTTGATAACTTTTGCTTGTAATCTATTGTCGAATAAATCAGACTTGTTCAATTCAGTTTTGAAATCGGCCGAACCTGCCAAGATTAACCCTTTGACATTGACTTTGTCAGCAGTTATAAAGTTTTGTACCGCTACCTCAGCCACTTTACGAACATAATTGTGTCTTTTTTCCTCTCTCAAACGAGAGAAACGAACTGCTGATTGACCACCTCTACCGTGTTTTTTGGGTAAATCCACCGTGAATTTGTGCAACACTTCTCTTGTATTTCCACTGACAGCTCCAAATAAAGCTCCATTACCATCCATGATTATGAAACCAAATCTATCATCGTTTTCCAACAATTCATTCAATGCTTCCACATGGAATTTGTTATCACACAAGTAAAGTGAAGTATTAATAGGTTTGAATGGTTCAAAATCAATGTTTAATTTCTTTTCTTTTCCTTCTCCGGTTATGACATCACCACAATAAACAACTAATCCGTTCCTAGGCACCGAATTGTACAATTTCAATTTTTGTTGTGTCGATGTGATGGCAGACAAGACTGATAATCTATTGACTCTTGATTTGATATTTGATGCAGTACCATATTCTTCAGTCAACATCTTTTGTATTAATGAAATCTGACCTTTTGGCGGAATAACTAATGAAATCATGGAAGTACCATTGCCTCTAGCCATTTCCAATGACTTGATCAATTTCTTGACCTTCCAGATTTCAATGTTTTTCTCAGCTTCAGACTCTTGACTTGACATTGCAAAGTGCGTGTGTGTGTTTATTATGTAAAATACCTGTTTCTAAAGTGAAAACGAGGTTAAGATGTCAGAAATGTACTAATCTAGTTCGAAAAAGCAGCAACAACTACTTCCAAAGTTTGAATAAATTTTTTTTTTTTTTTCAAAGCTTTTTGTTGTTACAAAGCCGAAAAGGAAGAAAAATTTTTATTTTTTGCTGCTGCTGCTGAAACAAAGAGAGAGATGTTCATTGCCTTCGTATATTAATGTCCGAAAAGCATGACAATCACGTGTAAAGAAAATTCAGTTTATCAGAGAAACACTTCGTATACCTTGATGATTGTAACGCATTGAAAGTTACCCAGTGGAGACTCTAGCAAAGACAGATGCTTTTTTTTCCTGTCATATATTGCTAGCAATAGTTTGTATTACCTTCATCAATGCCAAAATGATCACAAACAACTCCACGATTGTATGCAAGGTGATAATGGAACCTAGCCATTTCTTAATTGTAATATCGCTCGACAAGCGTTTTTTCAATGCTAAGTGTTGTACAACAAAGATGGAGACCATTGTTCCAATGATTATCGAAAGCCCTGGATTGGGGTTCAAAATACCCATTGAGCCACCAAACACTATATTAAACACATTTGAGCTTTGAATACGGTCGATAAATGTTTGCTTCTCTTGGGTGGAAGCTTTGATGGTGGGTGCTTTGACAACAGGATCCAATGCGTGGTTTGGTTGTTTCTCTAAATCTCTGTTTGTAGAGTAGTCGAGTTGTTTCTCGTTATAAGTTTTATGTTGGTCCATGGATTACTGTGGGGGTTTGGTACAGTTATTGAATCAATATAAACCTGTAGTCTAAGAACAGTTAATTATAAGTGTTTTTTTGTTGAAAAATGCGATCTTGCCACAAAGCATAATTGAAATACAAAATTGGACCATCCCATTCATCATTATCGTTTTGCATAGGAATTGTTATATATAATCAGCCTTGGGCAAAGATGGATCGCAACTACACAATTATCCAATCTTTTGATTTTTGTTAACAATCACAATTTCGTCCTATTCAAGACGTTACTACAACGATAGCAGCAGCATTTTTTTACAAACGGATTGCCGTTGTATCTGGCAACCACAGTTATTCTTTGCACAAAAATTTCCATACAATAGCACTATGAAGACAGTTTTGACAAATATAGGAGGTGTATTGCGGCAGGGGGGGGGGAAGAACAGGTCCCTTCGGTACAACAAAGATAAAAGGACATATGCTTCACTTATTGGTTTAAAAAAGCCGGTTGTTTGAAAAAAGTCCACTTTAGTGAGAGTATGCGGTTTTTGCTGTTGTTCTAAAGTGCATTGTAAAAAAGATGCGGTTGTCAAAAGCAAAATATCCTCCTTCCTTTTTTTTTAAAAAAAAAAAGTAATTATTTCCCGCGCATTATCAAACAGCCAAAAGCTTGGTATGCAGAGTCCAAAAAAAATAGGCAATAAAGCAGGAGGTCGTGTAAAACATGTGTCAAAGGAAAGTACACAACATAAATCCATATAGTACTGATGTGCTTATTAGAAATAATGATGAATGGCTCCCTTGTTGTAGTCTTATCTCATACATATCTTTTGAAAGAATAAGTTTTGCTACAGTAAGATTGAACTGTATATTAGTTACCACTGTATTTCATTTTGTAAACAAATTTCAAAGATAAAAGTAGGTTGAAAGTTTTCTCAATCAATAATACAACTTTACTCCATATATATATATGTATATATATATATATATATATTGAGTTTCTATACTAGTCAATTTAATGTTTCCTGTTGTGGTTGGCATCTGTGTCACTTATCTATTGGTATATATATCTATCTATCTATATATATATATATATAAGTATTTAGTTGGAGTATAAAAGTGGTAGCATCGTGTGCAAGTGAAGTGAGTCAGTTGCTAACACATAATAAATTGTTTTAGTCTTTTTCTCTTTTTTATTTTAGTCTTCTATAAATATCAAGAATGCAAAAGCTTGTCTTTTCTTTTTTTTTTTTCTTATTTAGAGTAAATGTGGGGTAAAAAATACAAAGTAATGTAAAAGAGCCAAAGAATGAAAGAGAAAGAACTAATACATATAGCATTAGCTTTAAAGTAATACTATTGAAGAATGTGTAGAGGAGTGGTAGTCAGAATATAGATCTTTCACTCAAAACTAAACTCCGAAATACCGTTGTTAGTAGTTTTTTTTTTTTTTTTTTTTTCGTTTTTTGTAACCCATATAAACTCTTTACTACTACTAATACCCGACATTGTTGATACAATATGACTATAATATGCAGTTTCCCCTCAACTTTTATTTTTTTATTGTCCTCCTCAGATGATAGAAGACACTACAAATTAATAAGATATGATTAGGAGTAGTACCTACGATACAAACCATGTAAGCCACAAGTTATACTTGAGTGTAAGAGATGTTTAGTGTATAGATATATATATATATGTAAATGTATTGTCTTGTTGTCGATCCCTTTTTTTTTCTTTTTTTTAGGTTAATGTCGCAACAGCATTTTATGCGACAAACTGAACTTAAAAATTTTCTCTTTTCTTTATTTTTTATTTTTTTTTATTTTTTTTTTTTCAATACCTTTCCCTCCGAGAGACAACAGAAACTTGAGGCTTTTTTTTTTTTTTTTAATTATAATTTTTTTTTTATCCTTTTCCTTTTCCCTTCTCCGTTGGCTTTTTTTGATGCAAAAAGAAAGGGTAATCAAACTATCCATTACAAGAACCAACTACAGTATCCACTATTATCAATATGAGTAGTAGTAACGACTCTACTGACAACGCACCAGTCACTGTAAAGCAGGAACAGGACAATGGTGAACAACAACATCAACAACACAATAGCAGCAATGGAGCAGCTACCACTACCAATCATATCGACAACAACAACAACAACAACAACAACAACAACAACAACAACAACAACAACAACAACAACAACAACAACAACAACAACAACAACAACAACAACAACAACAACAACAACAACAACAACAACAACAACAACAACAACAACAACAACGGTGACAATACGTCAAACCCCAAGGACAAACCAAAAGCATTCACTATCAAATATAAACGTCCTAGAGGCTCCAGAGCTTGTACTGTCTGTAGATCAAGAAAAGTTCGTTGTGATGCTGAGATTCATATCCCATGTACCAATTGTATAACATTTGGATGTGATTGTGTATTACCAGAAGTTAAAAAAAGAGGCAACAAAGCAGGAGAGTCAAAATCAAAGAAGCGGAAACTTGAACAAGCTGGTTCAAGTTCCACCGAGTTTGAGCAACCACAATCGAAAACAAAACCTAAAAAGACCAAAGCTAAAGATTCCACCTCAGAGCAGACTCCAAGTATCGCAACGTCCATTGCTCAGGGTATTACGTTGGCATCAGGAAAACCACCTCAGAAAACTGTGGTAAAATCAGAAGAACCTATTTCACCAACATCTACTCATGCCACTTTGCAAAACGACCAACTAGACAAACAACAAGCATCAACAATAAACCACATCTCTTCAGTACATCACACCAGCTTTTCCAAAACAAAAATTACCAAGGAACCAGTATTGAACATATCTCAGATTAGTGTGCCACCTTCATTAACATCAACGTACAAGAATAGACCCTCAATGCATAAAAAGGAACTATTAACCTCAAGGGGAAAGCCTTCTTTAACTTATGTTGGCTCATCCTCAATTGCCGTGTACCCTCATAAATTGGGTGAAAATCATATTCAATTAGCAGAAGATGTCTTTGACTTACCCGATAGTAGTTTGGATGCTGTTGAAATGGAAATTTTGAAATTGAGAGGGGCTTTCCTCCTTCCAAGTAAAGAGTTGTCTTTGGATTTGATTGAATCTTATTTTGAACATGTTCATCCATTGATGCCAGTATTAAATCGCACATTGTTTATGCAAAAATTTAATGATCCCAATGACAGTCCTAGTTTGATGGTGTTGCATGCTGTATTACTATGTGGAAGTAGAGTTTCCAAAAACCCATTGATTATGGATGCGAATGGGTCAACCAATCTTGCCAGTATAACGTTTTTCAAGAGAGCAAAAGCATTGTATGAAATGAATTATGAAAGTGACCCATTATCAATCGTTCAAACTTTGATTTTGATTGGGTCATATTGGGATGGTCCCGAAGATGTCACTAAAAACTCATTTTATTGGACTAGGGTTGCTGTTGCTCTTGCTCAAGGTTTTGGTTTCCAACGTGATGTCACAAAATTATCCAACTTGTCAATACTGGAAAAACGATTGTGGAGACGTGTTTGGTGGTGTTTATTTGAAAAAGATCGTAATGTTGCCATTGCCTTTGGTAGACCAGTAACGATTGATTTGAATGATTGTGATGTTCCAATGTTGACAATGGAAGATTTCGATGAAAATGATTCGGAATTGGGCATTGTTTCTCCATACAAGGTGAATGAAACACATGCATTATATTTTATTCATTTGATCAAATTGGCTGAAATCACTGGTATCATTATCAAACATCAATATAGCATCAGATCAGAATCAATGAAGAGAAGAAATGCAGTTTCCATAATTGAACATTGTGATATGTTGATGGGTATTTGGTTTACAAACTTGCCATCACAATTGGTGTTTTCGTTAGGAGATGCATCATCACAAAATTTCTATTCATGTTTGCTAAATGCTCAATACTACAATCGGTTATTCCTAATCCATCGTTCAAACTTGATGCGAATGGCAAAATCCTCCTCAACAAACCCAAACAATTACAAGTATCCAAGTTGGGGTATCAGCTTCCAATCAGCAAGAATGATTTCTATCATTTCGAAAATATTGATGGATAGAGATCAGTTGAAATATGTGCCAACAATGTATGTTTATATTGCATTTAGTGCATTGATTATGTTGATTTATCATATCGATTCAACCAATTCGGTAATCGCGTCAACTGCAAGTGAGTCATTACTAGTATCACGAGCAGTGGTGCAAAAGTTGGGTGATTATTACCCCGTGGTTAAAGTGTTGATTAAATTGTTTGATAAATATGCAGATGATAAGATTAAGCGTGCTAGTGTTATTGAGAGTGGAATGATGATTAATGAGTTGAATGAAAAGAGGGCAAATGAGTCTGCATCTGCGGAATACGAAGATCAACAGCAGCTGCAACCGCAACTGCAACAACCGCAACTGCAACAATCGCAACTGCAACAATCGCAACTGCAGTCACCACAACAGCAAGGACGCCAATCTCAACTGCAACCTTTGCCTCCTCCTCCTAGCCAGCCTCTCCAACACCCAAAGCCTATTCAACAACCACATGTCTCATTTCAGCAACAACAACAACAACAACAACAACAACCACGTCACTCACCCCTCACATCCAATTTTTCTCCCGGTTCAGTTGCTTCAGGCGTATCGCCAGGTGGAACTGGTTATCATGATTACCAAACTCAACAACTGCAGGCTCGCGCACCCATTTCTCAGCAACGTTCGTCGTTAAATCCTCAACAACAACAGCAGCAGCAACCATATCAGGGCCAACAACAGCAGCAGCAGCAGCAGCAGCAGCAGAAACATGGCAATCCGAATGCACCTCCAACTTCACAAACCCCGGTTATTGAACAATTGATTCAGCAGTACAAAGTGCCCATGAAACAAGCTAATGGAGCTGATGGAAGTGATAAAGCTGCCAGCGAGACCTCACCAGACTCATCAACTCGTTCCTTCCCAGATATCAGTCTTGTTACTGAAAATATCCCAAATAAGCAAAATTTCTTTGAAAATTTTGACCCATCGCAATTGTTCCCCACATTTAGTGCTGCTCCATCAGTAGTTCATTCTCCAAGTAATGAAGAAGATGTCGGTAGCAATATTTACGGCTTGGGTGGATCAAAAGAAGCATCAGCTGAGCAACAACATGAACTGCAGCCACACCAACAGCCTCAAGAACAACCACAAGCACAAGGAGTTGGCAATGGCAGTAATGGAAATGGTACTTCTAGTGTTGGCAATAGTATGCCGCCACCCTCTAGTGCAAGTGGTAACTTCACTAATGGGGCTCAGCTGCACTCGCAACAACAACAACAACAGCAGCAACAGCAACAGCAACAGCAGCAACAACAACAGCAACAGCAGCATGCACCACCACCACAACCTCATCCACCTACTCCTGGATTCCAAACAAATTTCATGGACTCATCATTTATCAATATGAATTTACAATCGGGTTTTGATCCTAATGATGAGATTAATGCCTTGTTCAATTTTATTCCTTGATTTAGAGGGTGGTACTATAATGATGAGATGATTCTTCTACAACTTTTTTTTCGATTCGATTTTTTAGACTTTTTTATTAATGTAATTATATTTAAGTGGTTTCAACCCACACTTCAATCATGGAAACAGATTTTCTTCAACTCTACAACCGCAACGCTACTTCTTCCAAAACTTTTTCTTTTGCTTCGAAGCAGAAGCAGATGAAGAAGATGAAGAAAAAGCTGACGATGATGCATTCACTGATGAATGTTTCCTCATCTTTTTTAAATTTTCCAAAATCTCTTCACGACGCAATTTTTGTGAATAACCAATACAACTCTGCACTACTTGTTCATAAATTTCATAGTCTTTACGCAACTCATGCAACTGATGCTGCCAAATTGAACTCAATTTCAACAACTCTTGATGATTATTGCTCAATTGGGTCAATTTGGCATCAAGTACATCATCCAGTTTGACATCGTGTAAAAATTGTCTTGATGTATTTTCCATCAAGTCATATTCAATTTTAGAAATGGTGCCATTAGTACTTGATAGGATTTGGTGTAGTTGATCATTAGTTAATTTTAATGAATCAAATTCTGGAATCGTGAAATCGGACCAGTTTATATCTTGTTCACTAATGGATTTTTTTCTTGATCGTTGAGGTTGTGATGGAACAGACAAGTGATTTTGTGGATTGGTGTCGGTGGAGGAGTGTATAGTATTTAAAGATGTATTGGTGCCTTGATGCATACTGGTGGTTGTGGTGATGCCTGGATTATTTGCATTCAATTCATCGAGGTTTATCGGTATCCCCAACTTAATCAATAAATTGTGTCTTATATCCAGTCGTATCCAATTTGGTGGATGTAGATACGGCATCGTTGAGATTTGCTTGTATATAGTTCTCGATCGATCATTGAGTAATGATTCAGTGGGTTTATCAACAGTGGTATCAGTTGGTGATTCAAAAGAAGATGTCGATGTTGCGCGTGCAGTGGCGGATCCTTCATTAGTGATGAATAACTTTGACAAGAGTTTCGATAATCGTGATTCAAATTCAATCTTGTTAGAGAAACAAGAGTCAGGAAAAGCAGGATCTGTGTTTGGTTGAGAACGCTGGATAGTAGTTTCTTCATTGACAGTCTCAAACTCGTCAAAATCACCAAAATCGTCAAACTCGTGCTCCTCCTCTTTGTGGGTATTGGGCTCTGCTGCTGCAAATTCATCAAAATCGTCAAAGCCATCATCATCATTGTCTTCGTTGTAGAGTTGACTTGCATTGTTGGACGACAACTCTGTTGTTGCCTCTCCTTTTAACTCGTCAATCGTTGAATGTATTACATTGTTTTGAAATTCTATAGCATTGGCTGTGCCCTCCTCGAGTTTAGCTTCCGTTGTGTCTGCTAATGAATCACTAGTCTTTCCATTTTCTTTCTCCGTTTTGTTGTCACTTTCATGTGTCTCGACCTTATTCCAGGTATCAGTTGATTCCGATATGCTTATTGGCTTGTCGTGATCCGTTACATCCTCATTCAACTTAGCTTCGGTATTGGCTTCAACCACTGGGGTTGAGCTTGTATCCATTTTGTCTAATTCATCTTTCGACATGCTTCGGAAGGGACAATCTTGGGACAATGTCTAAGATGTTTAAGTCAATGTAAGATGAATAGTTTGTGCACAGTTTTTCTTGATTAAAACGTTAAAATTCCAGCGCAACAACTCTTTTTGGTTTCCATTTTTCTTTTTATTTATTTTTGCAACTTGGAGTTCAAAAAGGCATCCCCAAGTTCCACCACCTTTACTCCATCATGAGCTTGGTGCTATTCTCGATAGGTAACCCCGGTCCTTCGAATCGACATTCCACCGGCCACTTAATGCTAAAATTATTACTAGACAACTACTCATCCACCGTCAAACAACTTGTCCCCAAATCGACGTATTCAATCTCTAGCAATAATGATAAGAGTCTTGTATTTATCAAGTCAAACACATATATGAACGAAAGTGCAAAAGCATGGAACAAGATCGTTGCCAATGAGAAGCTACCTACTGATTCTACCGTGATTATTTTATATGATGATTTCGAGAATGATATACCGCTGGTTAAATTATCAAAGTTTAGAAAAAATGAAAGTCACAATGGAATCAAGAATTTGATGGCTACAATGCAGAATGAAACAAGGTATCAAGTGTTGAAATTGGGTATCGGTATCGGTCCGAAACCAGTTCAAGCAAGCAAAGAAACAATGAGCTCTTGGGTGTTGGCTCCATTCACATTGGAACAAAAACATATCATCATGAGTCAAAGTTTTGACCTTTGTTTGTTTTATTTACAACAAATTGCCGAAGCAGGTGGCGAAATTGGTGATGTGGGGAAATTTGATGCCAAGGTGAAAAAGATGTGGAAGAAGCAACAAAATGGAAATGAGTAAATACGGTAGGGTGGCTTTCTACAATGGCTGGACTCTCGAACGTTTCTTAACTTTTTATTCGACAATTGAGGAAAGAGGTCTCTATATAATCAAAACACAGTATTGCGTCTGTGTTTATAGTGACTTGGAGTGGGCAGTGACGTAGGACTAAATGTATCACTATCGTCATACATGTCCCTCACTAACATATCCTCATCAAATGCATCGTCATCATCATCATCATCATCATCATTCCCATCACCTTCATCGTCTCCATCATGAGCAACACCACCGTACCCAGCCGCAAATTCCTCAAAATCTTGATTAGTTAATCCAATCCTAGCTTTGAATTTAGCAAGATCATAGTCACTGGGTACAAAATCATCGTCGTCGTCATCGTCTTCAATACCACCACCAACAGCACCACCATTATTGTGATTAGATGAGATTTCAAGATTGATACGAGCTTGTTTCATGGTTTTAGATGATTCACGTCTACCACGTTCAATAGCTCTCTCCACCAAGATCCGATTTTTGATATACAATAATTTCGGGTACATGCTACGTTCACCCTTCATAATGATTTCACCCAATCGTTTCTCTGAAGGGTCAGATAAAATGTACCAAAAATCAATCAACTTATTTCTTGGCCAGATTGTCACTGAACCAGTGAAGTTTTGTAGCCAAACATTTGACCAATCCTGTTGCAACACATGAGGCAACAAATCCAAAGACTTGATTATCTGCAACCATTTTCGAATTTCCAAGCGTAGTAATTGCTCCAACGCAGCAGCGATGAAACCACCTCTGAATGAAGCGAATTTTTCTTTTCTTGTCCTGCTTTTTGATACTGGCACTGGTCTGCCAACTGTCCCTTTGGGTGCAAAAAAGAATAACGAAATGTGGGGGTTGACTTGGGATACGACAGTGAAATTGACATTGTAGTATGTGTTTAATGCATCAATAGGAATATCTGTTCTCAATGACCCATCTCTCCACTTGCTCCCCAATGAAAATGGAACAACTGCATCATTTTCAGGGTTTTTCATCATTAACACCACAGGATTGAGTATACCAGGAACTGCCGAAGATGCAAGCAACGTTGACCAAATAATGCAATGAGGCGATGTGATATCATTGCACAAAATGACAGGTGAATGGGGATCAGCAGGAACAGTACTAATGTTCAATTTCCTACCAGTTCTTTCAAATGCTTCTTCAAACGTTGTCGATCCTCTAGTAAACCAATTTGATTTCCTGGCCCAAGCAACGGAATCAAATCTTGCTCCAGTTTTGATCAATCTTGGAATCCATACATACCACGGATCTTCACAAGCGGTGATTTTTCTCGCCAACTGTGGAATCAACAATTTTTTCAACTCTTCATCAGTTCTTGTACATAATAAAGCAGCAATTAATCCACCTCCAGACGTTCCTGATATGATGTTTGGGAGTAGTCCAGCATCAAGTAAAGCTTTAGCTACTCCAAAATGAGTGTAAGCAAAAGTGGCACCCCCACTAAGACATAATGCTGATTTCCCAAAATTTTTCAGGACAATTTTAAAAAACTTGTACTTGATCTCAGGTGATACATCATTTGAATCGGTGACTATCTCTATACAGCGTAAAACTTCTTCGTAATAAGATTGCACCAAGTTCTTGGTTCCATAATACCTGTGTGAGTACAATTGTCTATTTTCGATACCAGCAAAATTTCGTTTCAAGCATCCTTGAAGAAGTATCTGCAATTCTTGAATATTATTGTTGGCGCGTGCTTTTTTCAATCTTGAAATCGTCATCCCCACAGTCTTGTAATCATAATACGAAAATTTAGGATTTTCCGACCATTTGTCCAAATTCAAATACTTGTCTAGATTTATTGCATTCTCCACCCACTCTTCATACGACTTGGACTGTCTCAATTTTTCACGCAACTTTTTCCTCTCTCCTCTCCATGTGAAGAAGTATTCCTTTAGTGCAACATGCACTCTTATCCAAAAATATAAAGATCCTAAAATTGCTACCCAAATGAAAACAGCTATCAAGATGGGCCATCGTAGTAAAGTGTACGCTATGTTGTTTCTAAACTCATTTTGCAATGATACTATACTAGACGACTTTTTGGTCTTACCCTTGCCCTTGGAGCCTGATTTGGATTGGTTACTGTCACTGGCGGCGCTAACAGGAAACCAATCGCTTTTGGATGTAATCATATCCGGTTTTATTGCTGGTGAGACACCAAGTTCTGCTCCTTCTCCAATCAATGTATTGTTGTTGGTATCCTGGTCAATTTCTTCGGTTCCCAGTGAAGATACGTCATCATCAAAATCTATGGGTTCATTCTTGGGTGTGGCTGGGGTAGTCATTATGTCATCGTGGTCTTGCCATACTAGTGCCTTGGCAAACTCACTAATGTGATCTTCGTTTATGTAATCTTTATCTTCTTCGTAAAGTGGTATTCGAGTAGACATTGCTGTAGTATGTATGTATATGCTATTCAATCAACTTTGCAACAGGATGGAGTTCCGATGGCGTGAATAATGAATGTGCAGTAGGTAGGTCTTTGTTGTATCCTCTTGTTCTATAGATTGGCTTTTCTGCACTGGAAGTAATTTGCAAAAGTGATCAGGGACGATATGTAAAAAAGCGTTGGTTCTTTAGTTGTTTGAATCTTAGTTATTATATATAGTCATCATGATCACCATCATACCTTCTTTACAATTTCATCATTTCTTTTTTTTTGTGTGTCGGGGAATACTTAGAATAAAAAATCACAATACAAATCAACAATTATACCACTTAATAGAGGAGATGCAAAGTCACACTCTCCGCAATCGAGGAACTATACAGTTTAGAACTACATGTTAAATCCGGATTTATCAATCTTATTTGTGAGTTTGTGTTTGTTCCATGTTCCCTTACTATGGATTGAGGGGGACCATATGGTATTTTGACACATTTCTACCCAACAATTTTCATCTTTTTTTTGTGTAACATCACACTGAACCTTTTTTGGGCGCAACTTTTTCAAAAGCGCTGCAATCTAAACAGACACACACACACACACACACACACACACACACACACACACACACACACATACACACACACACTGCAAAAAACACAAATACGCTCTCTGCAGATGCAATGATTTGCATTTTTGTAATTCATATGAATTCTTAATTCCGGTCGAGTTTCGATTGCATAAACGCTGAAACAAATAGTTAGAAGGGTATGTTTACCTAGAGATAACCACTTGCACTTGAAAACAGAACACGGTTCAAGACTATAGTTCTTATCTTTTGAGTGGTTAAACATCATGATATAGGCTGTTTCAAATTTGCGCACTACTATATAATAAGCAGGGCTAGTGAAGTAAACTGGATCATTGTCATGACAGGGGAGCTGGCGATGCTCTACCCATTTTCGCTTGGTGTTTTTGCTGCGCTTGTGATTTTCTTTTTTTTTTTCTCTTTTGCTTATATGCTGCAGCTTAACATTTCAGCAACGTTTTCCAGAAGAAACAGCGGTTCAGCGGTTAAAACGACACCTTGTGAATTTCATTTCAACAAATCAATTGAGACTGTTTCGGCTTCGTAAAGCAACAACACAGTCGATTTTTCCCTCCAGTATGACCATCGACACTATTATTCTCGACATTGAAGGAACTGTGTGTCCAATTTCATTTGTCAAAGATACGTTGTTCCCTTACTTTATTGCCAAACTCCCTGCTGAGCTAGCTAAGTTTGATTATCCATTGAACCAAGTTGGGTCTGACAACCCCATAATCAATATTTTAGACAATCTACCTTCAAATATAACTGAATCAGCACAGTCAGTTTACGACTATTTGAAAAATTTAGTGGATTCCGACATCAAAGATCCCGTGTTGAAGTCGTTGCAAGGTTTGATCTGGACTCAGGGTTATGACTCTGGTGAATTGAAAGCTCCAATTTACCCTGACTCCATCGAATTCATTGAATCGTTTCCTAATAGAAAGCGCAAAATTTTTATTTATTCTTCGGGCAGCATTGGTGCTCAAAAATTGTTATTTGGACACGTGGATAATGGAACAGACAAGTCAATAGATTTGAATAAAAAATTGAGTGGTTATTTTGATATAACCACAGCAGGTCACAAGACGGCATATACATCGTACTCAAAGATTTTAAAAGAGATTGGAAAGGAAGATGATCCACAGTCGGTACTTTTTCTAAGTGACAATGTGGACGAGGTGAAGGCCGCTTTGAAAGCAGGAATAGAAAGCTACATCGTTATCAGACCAGGTAACGCACCAATTTCAGACGACGACAAACTGAAATACAAGACAATTACAGCAATGTCACAACTAGGCATATAGAGTCACAATGAATCCACATTAGATTTCAACTCTAACTCACAATCCGTTGATTATACTAATGCTCACTTCTCAACTTCATTTTCTCTACATATCTCTAAACAATATGTCAGCAGCAACTTCCTCATTCTTATCGCAAGCCAAGTACACTTGTATTACCAAATCACGTTCAAATCCCAACTCACATAATCTGTTGATGGCATTTTGATCTTGTTCGGATAATTGTATACGTACTGTGCCCTCAGGGTCTGCCCCTTCGCCACCCTCACCAACGGCACCTTCTTCTCCTTCAATCTCAAATCCTAAATCTTCTCCTCCAGCACCCAAAAACGTTCTAATGAATGTTTCAGGATCTTGCTGTATCAAGTTGGCAATTTGGGGGTTAGAAGCAGCCAATTGCTCCAATAATGGTTGAATCAATTCCGGATTCGATTGTAATGCAGCTCTTAACAATTGCATTTGCTGGTCTTCTCCACCACCAAGACCAACTTCTGCACCTGCGCCCCCTGCTCCAGTACCTACAGCTCCGGTACCTACAGCTCCACCTTGTTCCTGAGCTGCAGCTGCAGCTGCCTGCTCAAACAAATTCTCTCCACCATGACCTTCATCAGCTTCACCCTCTTCGTCATCTGCACGAGACACTTCAGCGGTCGTGGATTCAGCTAATGGTGCTGCTCCGCTACCAGAACCAGTTGCTGCAGATGCCACTGGCGCAGATGGGCGCTGCAATGACTCAGGAATACCGCTTATCAAATATTCAACAGCACGATGAGGATTGTTAAAAGCAGCTCTCAATGCTGCTTCAACTTGAGGTCGTTCATAACCCATCTCCATGATATTTTGTATAGTTGTTTCCCTCTCACTACCCAAGGCAAAAGTTGATTCACTGGTTTCGGTGGGTGCACTCTCGCCTTCAATATTGGTAGCTGCTCCTGATGTTGGTGCTGCTGGAACAGTGGGTGTTGATCCTGCAGGTTCAACTTTGGTCGAGTCACCAGTTGATGCTGATGCAGCTGCCTCAGCTGCCGGTGTCAGGCTCACGGGTGCGGGAGTTGGGGTTTCTTTCGCTTTGGAGATCATAAATATTATGGATGCACCTTCTTTGAGTTTACATTCTTCTAAAGTCTTATCATCTTGTAATACTTTACCTGAATAGACTAGTTTGATCTGCAGAGGGGTGCAGTCCTTCTCTTTTGCTAATTTCTCTTTAGCTGAAGAAACCTTTTAAAAATGTTAGTATGATCTGATATAGAAGTTATATGTGTCTGAAATGAAGACATACTGAATCATTCAATTCCACATCAATTGGAATAGTCTGTTTCTTAAAATCTTTGAAAATAATTTGCATGTTGACTTTAATGTGTACACCGAGGACTGTGTAGATTCCAGTCAGCCAATTCTTTTAGAAATGAGGTGTATTGAATATCTCCTCAGTCCATCTGAGATTCTTTCTGTGGTTTTAGTGGCGACTTTCTTTTTTTTTTTTTTTCAGACGAAAAGACATCTGAGACTGCATATAAGTAAAAACCATCAAACTACATCCATACATACATACTAAACCCATATTTTGTGTAACTGTAGGTTCTCTTTTTGCTGCAATCAATAGAATTTCAGAGTCTTTGCATCTAAGACATCCTCATCATCATTCCATATCCCAGTAGCACAATTTTTCAAAGCACTCATATTTAGCCACCAAAACGATTTAGCCATGGCTAGAGGATTCAGAAAATCAGGAGGTGTCAAGGGCCCCAGCTCAGCTTTAACTGAGTTTTTGAAAAGCGAAGGTATCACTGACGCGTTTCGACAAAGACGTGCAAGAGAGGCGGAAGCTGGCGCAACGGAAAACACCACAGGAACCACCACCGGTACCACCACTCAAGAAACAACTCCTGGTGCGGAACCAGCAACTGTTGCGGAAGATCAGCGTGATGGCATACCTATAGCCAGCTCTTCTGGTGCAAGTAGCCCTGTTGTTTCACGTCGCGCTTCACGTCGCCAGCTGTCTACTTCCACAAAACGAGAAGAAGACGAGGATGATGAGATTGTTGAAATGAGAAAAGCTGCTAAACGTAAATTAAGAGCTGCAAGACGTGGTGCAAATGGTACTAGTCGCAAACGAGGCTTACCCGGTGATAGTAGTGATAGTGACAATGACAGCAGCGACGATAGCAATGCAGACGACGATTACAGTGATGACGCAGAAGATCTAGACAATGCAAATATGAGAGCTTTTGGTGATCAAGACACTTGTGTAGATTGTGGAGACAAGTTTGAACTTTCAGTGTATTCGAGATTCATCAAGGAGAAATCGGGGTACTTGTGTGATTCTTGTAATAAAGTATTGAAAGAACGTGAACGAAAAGCAAGAACTAATCAGTTGAACGCTAGAAAAAAGAGGAAAAGAGTGGCACAAGCTTTATTGAATAGAACCACGGTCAAGATACCCAAATTGCAAGATGTTTGTATCAAAAAAATTACACAAAACATTGAAGACGTTGATGTGTTGGGCGATATTGGGCAGGTGAATTTGAACAAGATATCGCTGATTTTGTCAAAGAATAGGTCTTTGAATGACAAAACAATCTCGCTATTCTTGTCCCCCGATTTGAAGAATATTTCCTTTTGGGATTGTTCCAATGTTGATTCAGATTCGTTGAACAAAATTGCTTCGTATTGTCCCAATTTGGAATCATTGACCTTGTTTATGTGCGGACAGTTGCATAACGATAATTTGGAGTACTTTGCATCAAATTTAACTCAATTACACTCACTTGCATTGAATGGTCCATTTTTGATTAGTGACAAGATGTGGCAAGCATACTTTGATAAAATTGCAGGAAAATTGCAAGTGTTTGAAGTGAGAAATACTCATAGGTTTGGCAACGATTCGCTTTCAAGCTTGTTGGAAAAATGTGGTATAGATTTGACTTCGTTGAAGTTGTCGCGATTGGATGGGATAACAACCCAAGACGCCTATAGTAAAATATCCAACAGCATATCGCAATCAAGGCTCACCCATCTCGAGATATCTTATCCTACTAATGAAGATTTGATTACTGATGACATGATTATAGATATTTTGAAAAAAAGTGGTGAATCCTTGGTTTCATTGAATGTTGATGGTTGCTCAGCTTTAACCGAGAAGTTTTTACTTGAAGGGGTATCCAAGTACTGCCATAATTTGACCAAGCTTTCAATGAAAAACTTGGATCAAGTCTCCAATGAAGGATTTGCAGCAGCTTTCAATCAATTTTCCGAAGTTAATGCTGGTGGATTGATTGAGGTCAACTTGATGAAATGTACCGACTTGGGAGACGAAGCAATTTATGCTTTGTTAAACCACTCTTGTCATACTTTAGTTGAACTTAGTATAAACTCATTACATCGAATTTCAAGCGACTTTTTGTCTCAAATTTTCACAGATGACAATCATCAGTTTAAGAAGCAATTAAAAGAGAGGTACGATGAAGATCTGAATATTAAATACTACCATCAAGTTGCTTTGCCTTTGTTAACTTATTTGGATGCATCCTTTGTTAGAGCTGTTGATAATGAGATTTTATCGTTGCTTGGCGACAGTTGTCCAAAGATGCAAATTATTGAAGTGTATGGGGACAATAGATGTAATGGGAAGGCGTCTCTCAGAGATGGATTGATGGTTATTGGTCGTCAGACTGATGAAATATAAGAAGCTTGTTTATGTTATATTGACTCATTCGTCTATTCTATCAGCTCCTTGATGTGCGTGGTTTGTGACTTTTCCTTTTAGCTAAAGCTTGAACTTTTTCCACTCCCTTGAATGTAGGCAATGGCGGAACGGGTGTTGTATTTTTGGTAAGGTCGATTTGTTTACCCCCATTCAAAAATGAGTTTGTAATCTCTGGGTTAGCGTCAACAAACACTGCTGGATGTCCAGCCTGTTTCGAACATAAATCTAGATATCTTTGTTCAGGATCTTCTTCGTACCTTGGGCTATCAAGAACTCTGTAGTTACTTCTAGCCATACGTTTTCTCGTTGATGCATTATAAAATACCGAGTTGGACAATTGCAATTCTTTCAAAATCATAGAATCGTCAGAGCGGCCCTTGTTAATCACAAGAAGCTCTGAAATGTTAGCAGATGCAATGTCGTAATACCAGTCAACAAACATATCTATTGCCGATTTTGGCAACTGGGATTCAATTCTAATCAAATACTCAATCAGTTTCAAATTTGACAAATTGTTTTCAATTACACCTTCATATTCAAACATAAACTTCCAAAATGATAGTGATCTAAGTAAACTGGTTTCTTTGTGATGCTTGTTGAAGAAGTTTCGAATTTTGGTAGATTCCCGTTGACGAACATATATATCGAAACAATACTCGATAACTATGGGAATTGAATCGTCGTTAAGGAATCGAGCAAACAGATGTAACAACGTATCCGATAATTGATATAGTTTTCTATCCCTAGATTCTTTGTTCGCTTCAGATTTCACCCTTTTTTCTTGAGGTTTGCCAAAATAATTTTCAATTACAAATTCCAAAGCCTCCTGAAACTTTCCTTGGCTCAATAGCTTTTTCCAAATCTGTAGTATCTCCCGCGTCATCTCCAAATACGGTGATTTGAAGTATTGCTTAGATGTGCCACTTAGCAGCTTCATCCAATCGAATAAATATTCAATGGCCAGGTCAATTTCGCCTTTTTTCAACAAAAAGTATGCGTACAACTTTCTCATCATGCACTGATTTAATGGGATAAACTTGCCATTGGCTCGTAGGTATATTTCCTTCTCTATCTCCCTCTTCTCCTCCTCCGCCAAGCTGGATTCTTCAATAAATTTGATATACTTTAACCAAAGCTCCTCGTCGAAACAATTCGGTATTAATGCTCTTTCAAATAAGTTGCATATGAGATCATATTGGTTTTTGTCCTTGCATGCGTCGTAGCTGGCAATTTCCCTATTGGTATACTCAAGCCAGACATTTCGCTCCTCCTCGATTTCCTTGCGGTCAAAAGAAAATTCCTGATGTAATAGTTGTTGCTCGTACTCCCAATTCGAGCTGACTTTTGCCTGCGTTGAAGCAAATACAGTTGCAAAGAAATCATCTATAATTTGATGCTTTTCGATCAACGACAAATCTTCAACCTTTGACTTTCCAAATTTCTCAACATAACCGATCAATATCTCTTTGCCCATTAATTCGTGTATATCAAAATTTTTATTGATTTCGGTGAATTGACTATAGTATTGTGCATACTGGTATAAGGGGATTTTAATCACTTTCAAATACAAAGACAACAACCGCTTTGAGTTTGGTTCAGATTCCGTTTCAAATTCAATGGCTTTATCCCAAATTGGATGAGACGAAAAATGGAATTCGTTGTATCTCAATGCCTCGCGATAAATTGATCTAAATTGTTCAGGGTTGGTGCCTGGTATAGATTTTAGAGCAGTCAAGTAATCAACCCATAAGCTAACTGAGTATGGGAAAGACTCTACCGCCATCCTTAGTATATCAACTGATGCGTCTAGTCCCTTCAACTTGAACTCCACAACCAGCCACTTTTTCCATATCTCGTCCAAATATGGAAATCGCAATAATAATGTTTTGTAAGTATTATAGATTTTCGTTTGCACTTCATCGGAAAGCGTACTTTTGAAGGAATCTTCCTGGGACACATTGTCCGCAATTGTGTGGTCGATAGCATCAAATAAACGATTCCAGATGTCAATGTCATTAGGGTTCTTTTCCAACTCTCGTTCTAGCAGATCAGCATAGTCATTGAGTGATGTTGTCGTAGAGGCTATTTTAAAGTCTAATTCCGATGAGAGGGGCAGTAGCGTAGTCATAAATGTTGTTTGTGCGATGTAATGTGTAGGCCATGTAGTAATTAGTTGTCTTCTCACATTTTTCAATTTTCGTGAACTGAGATTTTTGTGGCCTCATCGACACTTGCAATCTCCATACCCATAACCATTGATGCATACATCGATTGGCAATGACTACTTCAAAAACTGCTAGCATTGCTTTTGTTACCCCTTTTTCAATTTCATCAACAAATAACTCGAAACTCATATCCTTATTATCTGAAACCAAGGTTAATCTAGACAAACGAGATACCACAAATGAAGCTCCACTTCCATTAAACTTCAGTATACCCACCACGAGTCAATTCGATGCATCGACTTTGGTAGAGTTGAACAATACCAGGATTTTAAGTCAATCCTCGGAGCAGAGAAATAATAAGCAGCAAGTATCCAATACAGCTATGGAGACTGTAGATGAAAATGATGAGCCAAAGCTATTGATTGATATTGATTCCATCATGCCATCAAATTTGCAAGAACAACTTTCAACTATTGTTTTGAACAACTTTCCAAACTTGAAGAATAATGTCATTGAACAGGTACTTTCAAATACAATAAATTTGAGTACAGACAAGACGCCTGAACCTCGTCGTTCTTTTCATTGGTCCCAAATCGACTACGAGTTTAGCGATCTGAAGGTGGTATTCATTAGATTTGGTAAAGTTGAAGACGCAAAATGGTTTATTGAGACGTATTATCGGATTGACACGCTCCTCCCCAAAGTGGAACTAAATTATAGTCATCAAGTTCGAGAAAGATTGGCCGATGTACCTTCTCACCCAGAAACAAATCAAGAATCGCTTAAAAACAGGTTGAAATTGATGCTTTATGCCTCAAAGAACTTTGCTAAGCCAAAAGTCCACGGAGTGGAAGAGCTTGACCAAGTCATGCAGTCATATTCCAATTACAAAGTCGACTATAACGATTTGATTGATGTACCTAATGAAATGAAGGAGGGGATTATTAAAGACATTATCAAGTTCCGAAGCCGGATGTTGCTTATTGAAAAGGAGAATCGGCAAAAGCAAATTGAACAGGAAAGAGTGGTGACCAAAAACAAGTTGAATGAATTGTTCAAAGGTATTGAAAAAACAGAGCAAGAAAAGAAAAAGAAGGAAGAACAGTCGACGAGCGAAGTTGCAATAAAGGAAGAGGTCGTGACCATACCCGAACAATTCGAAAGTTTGAACGATGAGGAATATAGCAAGATGATTGATGAAAGGGAAGCAAATGAATACAGTCAAGAATATCAATCTCGACTAGCTAACTTTTCCAAACATCATGCAAGTGAAAAATCAAAGTTGGAATTCAAACTAGAGAAATTACTCAATTACGAATCCAATTTGATCGAACTGAAGTTGAGCCACATTGAAAATATGAGAAATTACGAGAAATCGGAAGTTAGCACGTTATACACCTACCGCTACAACGATTACTTAAAACAACGTAATGCTAAACGATCATTGGAGCTAAGAATGGATGCTGAAGATGCGGCTGCGGAAGAAAAAGAGCTAACTGAGATAGAGCAAGAGCCAGATGTACCTATCAAGAAAAAGAAATTAGATGTAAATGACAAACTGAAACTGTCAAACTTGCCTGATTTGCAATTCTTAACTGCCGACATGAAAGAGCGGATTCACGACAAGATCAACGCATTAGTCGAGGAGTACCTTGGGATACAAGATGACTTTCTCGTTGATGTTATCAAGCAGCATATTGAGGTCAACAACTTCGGTGGAAAAGCAGTATTGGTACAGGATCTTGTTGAAGTTTTGGATGAGGATGCCGGAAATTTGGTGAACGATTTATACTCGTTCGCAGAGTCAATCGTGGAAAAATAGAGTGGTGCACTACTTCTTATGCTGTGCAGAGGAAATCGTCGAGTAAGCAACATAATGTAACAAGGTGTATATAGCCATTTTGAAAGCAACGATTTACGGAGTCATTTTTATGTGAGAAGCATTTTTCTCATTGACTAAAAACGTTAGCCCTTTCTAGTCAATGTTCCTCATTCGGATATCAGGTGCACGAGAAACTCGGTTGTAAGTTTTTCAATATTTTTCCACATCATGGTTGACAGTTGAATATTGCTAAACTAGTTTACAATAGGTGGTCACAAGTAGAGATTAATATCAAAAAGTCCTGGTTGTTAGCCATCTACATTATTCTTCTGGTCTTTGTAACTGGCTAAAGCTCCATCTCTTTTCGATAATTTTACTGAAATAAGTAGTGCTAGTATCTAGTGGCTATTTTCTCTACAAAGCAAACGCTTAATTAACAGTCTTCTATTGTATACAAATTTACACATAATATAAAGCTTTCACACATTTGAATCAAAAAAATAAAGATTTTAATAACTTATGGCCATACGAAATTGTTCCTGCTATCCATATGTTGAACTTGTGGTGGATATTGAGGTTGGTAACTTGGGTTTTGTATGTATTGCGCCGTGTCTTCATCATCTACACGGAATTGTGGTGCTGGGTATTCTTGTGGCGGTATATTAATTCCACCATAATTGAAATCAAATGGTGATGAAGTAGTGTTTCTAGTAGATGCTGTAGTAGTAACTCCTTCAGTCACTGATGAGCCTTCACTAGACACAGTGTAGTCGGATTCAGTGTCAGTTGGTGGTAATTCAATATTCTTAATATTCTTTCTAAACCTTCTGAACAAAAGAATCATTAGTGACATGTATAATCCGCATCCTGCAGCTGCACCAACTGTGATTCCAGCAATTCTACCCTTGTTGGTGATCTTCTGTCCGCTGTAAGATGCATCCATTGAACCATACTTATTAGTCTGTCCATTTCCACTCGAAGATGAACCCGAGTTCAGTTGAGAGGTATCAACTAACCCTGTCAACGGAATTCTAGGATCAATCAAAGAAGCCAAGGTGTTTTCAATTCCACTTGGGTTCTTGTACAACGCCGAGTTTTGATTGTTGATATATTGACCCAATTTTTTGATGTAATTTGTAGGGAAATATACTTCAGCAACCGTAATGGTATAATCAATGTTGGCAGCTTGGTATGGAATCAATTGTTTGACAACGGTATCATTGAATTTCTTGTCGTCGTCAAAAGGATAAGTCAATACACCAGGCAAATATTCGAAAATTTGAGCGGACGTGATGGTGTTATTGACAACAAATGGATAGTTCAAAGCAGACTTGAAACCAACTGTAATCACATCGTAGTTTTCACCTGGGGTGCTGGTCAGTTCGGGAGCAATAGCTCTAGGTAAACCAGGGCTCAATGATGGAGTTGGTTTCGAATGATCACTATCGGTTTCTGCACTTGAATCATCACTTGAGCTCAGCGCCATTACCAACGAAGATGGCAACCAGTTCTTTGTAGTCTTGGTAGCCGAGCTTGATCCAGGAGCAACAGCTGTAGCGGAAGAACCTGGTTCCGAAGTTGGCGCTGAAGTCACTACAGGAGAAACTGAAGCTGGTGCAGACGAAGCTGGTGAGTGGCCCGACTCCACCGACCTAGACGCTGATTCTGCAAGTGAAGGAGAAGCAACAATGTCCGAGTTGATGCCACTGGAATGACTTGCAGCAGCGCTACTACTAGCTGGTGCAACAATATCGGAAGCAGATTCAATATTTGACGCACGTGACTCGCTAGTTGCTGGTGTTACTGCTGAAGACCCCAACGCTTCAGATGCAGAAATCAAAGCGGTTGCTGATGATTCAGTGGCAGGGGTAGCTTGTTCAACACTTGAGACTCCGTTTGATGATTCTGGCAAATTACTAGCCTGAGTTCCTAAAACCTGCGAAGATGTAACCAGTTCACCAGGAGTCGATTCAATGGGCGATGCCAATGAGATTTCTGACGATGGTTCAACCGCTGTCGTGATTGGAGATTCAAATACCGGCTCCGATGATGCAACTATTGATGGAGCTACTGACGTTTCACTCGATGGTATTGGAGAAGGAGTGGTTGCAGCTGGCGATACAATAGACTCGGTTGAAGGTTGGCTTGTAATTACTGGTGATACCAAGGATTCGACTGAAGAAGGTTCAACGGCAGATACAATTGGTGCCGATGAAGTCACCACTGAAGAAGGCGCTTCCGATGTCAATATAGGTGAAACAAATGATTCTGAAGTTGGTTGAGCAGAAGAAACAATTGGTGAGACGACTGACTCTGTTGATGGCTCTGCTGGTGTCACTACTGGTGAAACAATTGACTCTGTCGAAGGCTCTGCCGATGTGACTACTGGTGAAACAAACGATTCAGTTGATGGCTCTGCAGATGTCACTATTGGCGAGACAAATGATTCTGTAGTAGGTTGAGCAGAAGAAACAATTGGTGAGACGACTGACTCTGTTGATGGCTCTGCTGGTGTCACTACTGGTGAAACAATTGACTCTGTCGAAGGCTCTGCCGATGTGACTACTGGTGAAACAAACGATTCAGTTGATGGCTCTGCAGATGTCACAATTGGCAGCTCAAACGAACTTTCAATTGGACTTGTGATGACAATCGATTCTGCAGAAGTTGTTGGTGCAACTTCGGATTGCAGTGGTTCAAAGGTGGCAGCAGATGATGTGAATTCAAAATCAGATGGTGACACTGTGCTCCATGTCTCTGCTGACAGAGTAGTTGGTGGTACAACTACCGATGGGGAAGATGACTCGGGAACAAACGAAACGACACTTGTTGGTGAAATCTCTGACTCAACGCTTGCAACACTTGTAGGTTGTTCTGCCGAATATGTTGAAGGTTCAGCAAAAGTAGATGACGAAATCAGTTCAATGATGATTGAGGAAGTTGGAGAAGCTGCTAACTGTGATTCAGGTGATGCCTCATTCAACGTGCTTGATGATGCTTGAACAGTGAATGTAGCCAGCGATTCATCAGAGCTTGGAGCTGGCACAAACGATGAAGAAGCGACAGGTGAGGAGTCAACAGGTGATGAATAGTCCAAGGTAGCTTCAGATGCAGATGCCAAAGAAGTTGTTTCAAGTTCACTTGAGGTTGTTGGAGCAATCGAGGTCGTGGATGGACTTGCTAAATCTGTGTATTGTGGACTTGTGGACACTTGAGTGGAGGCTTCGGGCAGTGAATTTTCAGGTGAAGTGGTGGCAGACTGAACAATATATGAAGAGTCACCAGCTGCGGAATCAGTTGAAAATGTGCTTGAGAACGAAGATGATGAGGGTTCAACTAATGGTGCACTGTCAATTGCGGAGCTAGTTGCGTCTGTAGACGTTGTGACTGCTGCTTCGTCATTATTGGATGAAGAATCGCCGGAAGTAGTTCCTGCTGCAGTAACGGATTCAAGTGATGATTCAGTTGGTTCAACTAATGAGGTACTGCCAGATGATGTAGTTGCATCTCTTGTGGTGTCTTCATTGGCAGTCAGTGGAGTCGACTGGGTCGTCGGAGCCTCCGCTTGTGAAGCACTTGAAGTTGTTGGTAATGAATTTGCAGACACGGTTTCGCTGTTCCTATTTGAGGTAGCTTCAGCAGTGAAACCTGGTGATGATGTGCTCGCTTGATCGTTGTTGGTAGTTGGTGTTGTTGGTTGGTTGGTCGAGCTAGTTTGCTCATTGTTTGCTGAACTTGTCTTCACATCGCCTGTCGAAGTCGTCTCCTCATTGTTAGTTGCTAACGTGGCAGCAGTAAGTGACTCGTCATTTCTGGATGACGTTGACACTCTAGTTGTTGCGGCTTCAACAGTTGAAGATGTTGGTTGATCTTGTGTTGTTGCTGAAGAAGCTTCTTTGCCAGGTGATGCAAAACTGCTAGTAGTTGGGTAAAAAGGTCCATTCCTTGATGATGTCTCTTGATATTCACTAGTGGTACCTACACTTGTTGAGGCAATCGAGGTATACTCATCTTCAATGCTACTTTCACTATTGTCTCTGTTGTTACTGATTTTTCCTTGCTCTTGGGACGAGGTCGAACTGTCTGTATCTCCATCTATTGCTGAGTCACTGGTGAAAAATCCCGTAAACAAACTTGACGAGGTTGAGGACTCAGAAGACTCAGATAAAGTCTGATTTCTTCCATTGAATACTCCATTGGCTGCGTCTTGGAGTCTATCGAAAAGACTATCGGCTCTTCTCTTTAAAGCTTCACCTTTTGGGAAATGGATTGGCAGTCCATAAACTGTTGACACGAATGACAATACATAAATGGCTGAAACAAGATTCAAGTTGGCATTTGCAATCATCGTGTAAAATCTGAATTTGAAAGAACGACTGTAGTTGGGATAAATATCAAAGGTGAATAAGTGTTAAATAGAAAAGATTGGCTAATTGGTTAATGAAATGAAGAAACGAAAGGATATACGGCAGCTGAAGGGGGTGGCGGTATAAATATTGAAAAGTTGTGGTGGTGAATTGGAATAAAACGAATGACTGAATTTACCAACAAGGTTGTTCAAAAGTGGGTATCACAAGTGGAAATGAATGTGAGCGTAGGTGTTTAAGCAAAAGCTCCAACTGCAATGGATAGACGTCCAACTAGTGTGGTTTGCAATACTTATTGTTGATGTCTGTTGAATTTCCTTTGTTCACACACTCTCTCTTTCTCTTTTTTGCAGTACACTTTTCTTTCTAATTTCTGACTGAACACGTGAGTTACTTGAATTGGTGATGATGATGATGATGGTGATGGTGGTGATGTACCTGGTATTGGATGGTTAAAAGAGGTGTTGTGAGTAGTCAGTAGAAAAGATGGCTTGTGTTGACAATTTGTTTCCTTCCTTCTTTCACCTTTTTACACTCAATGGGATTTTCGTTGTCATTAAAAAGAAAAGAAAAAAGCCTTTTGTGGTTTTAGAGCTCTTGAAACAAAGTACACGCCCTCTTCTACGCTTATTTTTGAAACAATAACACAAAAGCGCAAAGAAATAAAAACAAACAAAAGGGAAGTCTAAATTATTTTTAGCCCCTTATACATATTATTTGGGTTTAGTACACTACCCTTTTTTACGTATGTACATCCACACATCAGTATTGTCGGCCCAAGTAGTGTAGATCAGAACATAATTTAAATTCGTAAAAGCAAAAAAAAATAAAAATAATAATAAGTAATTGGTTTGCTTTGCTGTGTTTGTGTAACATTTTCACTACTTTTCTACCTCGTCTATTCTTCTTTGATTTGTTTTTGTAAATTACGCGTATCCCGCCTTTCATACTGTCGATATTAACCCTTTTTAGGCTTTTGTGTTACCATTCAAGTTGAATTCATTCCTTCTTGAAACAGTTGATGGGCTTTTTAAAAGAGCCAAATTTTGATATACAGAGTACTGGAGAAGCTATTCTGGAACTGATCTGAGTCGGCGGTACTCATCGGCCTCTCTCCAATGTGACTGACACGAAACAGCACGATTCCAAATCAGGAAATCAAAACATAGTATTATGAGTGTGATAAAGTTATGATACGATTCCAGATTCAATAACCTGTATGGGTTGTTGTGAATTAGATCTTACTTGTACAATCTATTGGACTAAAAGTGTTGCATGAACCCTAAACGAGGGAGTCACACCATATATGTAAGAGCGTGAGAATACACTGTGTTCGACGTAACGTTAAAAGTCACCAAAAGACCACACATCCTTGGTTGCGTCATTGAAAACGACTCTCTCAGAATCACAGATTGAATGTAGAATGTATAGGGAGACGACGAAAGGTGGAAAACATGCTGTGTGTTTACTCCGACCGATTGACCCGCCAGAGCACATCTAATGGACACCGTAATTTTTTGTTTGTAAACTTTGCTTTCAAATCTCCCAATTTCCCGGTCCACTCCCCTATTGCCTCCGTTATCGTTCCCTTGACTAATCGAAAGGTTGTCTACCGGTCTTGATGGGAGTTGTTGGTTAGTGGCGGTGTGTTGCATAGTGTAGTCGCGGTCGTTTTATTTTCGTCGTCAAGTGGATTAAGATCAATCGGGTCTAGAGAAAAAAAACTGTTTGCCGCGTCAACATCCTCATACAGGGTAATTCAATCCCAACTCTTTAAGTCTGATGTGAAAGTAGGTCACCCTCATCAACTCTACATGACTTGTTAATTGTGATAACAACCTGGCTCTGTGGTGAACCGCGTGATTCGTCAAAGACTCCACTCTCGTCACTACCTACGCAAAAAACTTATTCTGGGCTTACTTTTAGTGTTAACTTTTCGCATCCAGGTTTTTTTAGTTGTTGCAGATATTTGAATACTTACAGGCTATACCCTTAGAAAACTAACACCATTTGGTATCGGCTCATTTTCTTCTTTTAGTACGTGTAGCTGTTTCTTCTGCATGATTTGCTCGTCAAAGTGCAGTTCACGGGTGGGGGGCGGCAGGCACATGATGCACTTTAATCGTGAACGATTGTCGGTAATTTTTAGTCATGGCATAATTTATATTGGGTCAATTTAGACTGAGAGTGAATCGGACGATTTTCAAGCACTAGATCTCGCGCAGATCTATCAAAGTCGATTGTTGCAGTCACTAGTCTATATAGTTTCCTATTCTTTTTTTTGGTTAGATCTATGTATTACGCTGTTCATTGTGCTTCGTTTTTGAAGTTTTATTCATCTCATTACTCTGCAAAAGTCTATCGTTAAACTTTAGTAAATTTGGGAAGATCCCTTAAAAAGCGTACCGTGGAATGAGCTGATATTTAGTCTACGAAGACGATTCTGCGTTGCACATGTCTACTTCATTTGAACTGAGATCTCATAGATGTGTTCAAATGGGTAGCGCTTGGTCTCTGTATATCCATCGCAATTGATTTATTTTTGAATTTGAGGAAGACAAACATTCGCTTCCAATGTCAGGATGCCATCAAATGAAGATCTACTAAATGACTTTGCCGAAATTGATGCTACAACTGCTGCAACAGGAACAAGTACAAGCTCTAGCCGATTACGTCGATTAGACAAGCTCGTCATTGATCAATCATCATTGCTTGACAAAGACGATCAAATCGAATACATCAACCAACTAAATACCTACAACATTAAGCAATATTACAAATATCGCAAATACATCACCTGTTTTTACATTGCACAAGTTGTAATCATTGTATCGTTTAATTTCACCAACACCAACGTTCACGACAAATCATTGTTATTGCTTACATTAATTTCAGTCTTGCTTAATATCATTTCGATTCAAGAATTGCAACAAAAGTATCAATATAATGTGACAATTTTTGACAAAAGATTCAATTTTATGCAATTGACTAGTCTATTTAACATACTTGTTTCTTTTGAGGTTATGTATATTGACATATTCAAGATAAAAATATATTACTTTGCTGCTTTGATTGTTTGCAATTATTCATTACCAAAAATGCATCGTTCAATGTTTAATCAAATTGATGAGTCGGTGAAAGAATTGGATAAATTGAAATACAAGTATAAAAACGTGTAGCAGCAACATGCTTTGTTAATACATGATTTAACGAAAAAACCGCCATTAGATGTCATTTGCTAGTATCGGTATGTGGTATATAGAGAAATCAAATATCCGAATAAAATTAATTTTACATTCACACCACAATGTAGAGTCTATGGCCCTTGATCTCGTGGAACCGTATAAGGTGAGTCAAGACATCGTATCTAACTGACCATAATCATTGTACTAAAGTTGAGGAAGACACACATTACTACAACTCCCCCACTTCGACAACACATCGCTGTCTCAGACAAATGTCGCGTGATCTTTAATCAATTTTTACCCCTAAATGTGTCAATGTTGCAGTTACGAGGATTCAGATGTGTGGGGAGGTTGCAATACATTGGCAGGCACATAAGGGTATATATAAAATACTCATTCAGACAGACAAATTTTTTGCCCTCCCCCTATTACTTTTCAGAAAGTGCCCCCCCCCCCCCATCTGCGCAATGAGTGATGTCACTTAATAAAAACAATTAAAAAAAAAGGTGTTCAAAGAGGAAACAAGACACCTTGAAAACGTTTGATTCTCCAACTTTACCCCGCTCGTTGCAAAAAAAAAATTTTTAAACATAATCTGTTTTTGTCGTAAATTGTGTGTCGCAAATTTTATTCTTTTTACGAGATAAAGTCCAATAGTGGGGGAATTAAGAATTGAATGCTGGGAAATCGGGGTAAAAACGGTATTGAATGTGAGAAACTTAAGGGTAAGGGTATCATGTGCCTTCTCTTCACCTGGGTAAAACTTCATTGACAGACTACACTTCGATGCCTCTTTACGTGTTAGCTATGCCCTCGCTGGGTTCCACCAATGTTTTTACTGAGAGAGATTTTCCGCTGAACTGTTCCCCCCCCCCACCACCACACACACACACACACAATGACTCATTCTGTGTGCTTTTACTTATACGTGGTGATTTGGGGGATCAAGCTACACCAAGATACAGTATAAAACAGAGAGCCAATGCGGAAGTGCTCGACACAGTATTGTCTGACTATAAGATTTCCCGACACGGCTGTAGCGGGATCGGAGAAGTCAGATTTTTTTAAATCTGACATCAACTCAGAAACAAAAAGAAAATACGAACCGCAACTACCTTTCCACAGTAATAAAGGAAAGTGCGCTCTCCAGCTCGTAAACACATTCGAGGAGGTTCGCCTTTCTTGCTGTAACCAATAGGCAGAGAAACTCTTTTCTTTGGGGGGATGGCTATGCAAGAATCATGTGATTCAATAAAAAAATTTTCATCATCTCTGTGACTCAAACGTGACTTTTGTGACATTGTGAAGACTAAAAAAAAAAAATATTTCAATCTCATTGTTCTGTTTTTAGATTGCTGTACGTCTAGACTCGATCGATCCCTGCATACAATTTTTTTTTTTCTGTATTTTCTTTTTTTTTTTTTTTTTATTTCGCAGTTTATCAATTCGATCAGTAGAGCAAGAAAACGCTGGAAGTGAAGCATTTTGACCACCTTTTCGCCCTCTTGGTGCACATGACGGTATGTAGGGCATGACGAAGTTGCAGAAAAAAACCCTGTCGAGCAAGCACAGCTTTTACAAGGTCTCTTCTTCCATCATAATCCACCCTCAAACAAAGAATGAAGCTACTAAGTTGCACAATAACATAGAGAAATAACAGGTTTTCTCCTAGTACGACAAGCCACAGTTCATTCATACTTTTGCATATTCTTTCATGTGCTTGGCTAGCATTAGCTTGTCAAAGTGAGTGCCGGATTCGGACGTTAAGCGAAATGCGGAGTATTCCAAACTTTGCTTTCCCTCTACTAGCCCCGATTTGCTGTAGCATTCTCTTGGCCTTTAGTATTTCCGTTTCGGATTTTTTTTTTTCACTCACAAATACATTACATCATGCATATTTGGGTGAAAAAGTTGTGTGAAAAAAAATGTCTCTTCCTTTATCTCCGAATCAAGAACGTGGCTGGTAGCGTTCGTAGGTGAAAAAAAGGTAACAATATGTTATGCATTTGTATGCAATGAGAACAACTACACATTTGGGCAGAAGGGGGAATTTAATTTGCAGGTCTCTAAAGCTTCCGTGAATTCCAAAAAGCCTTGCATCTTGCTTCAACTATGGCGACTATAAAGATCTAGAGAAACAGTTGTGGATGTAAAATTTATCGATTCTAGAAAATTCTTCAACATGGCGACATTTTTTTTTTTTTTCATCTTTTTTTTTCTGATTCGTAGTTTTGTAAACGATGCATGTTTTCTAAAAATAGCAAGACAAAAGATTTACGCAAAGAGGAAACTACAAAGAAAACATAAACAGAGTACATTTGAAGAAAGGGAGACTGAAGTGGGGGATGGTACAAAACGTAGGTAATGAATAATACAGTACCACGATGGTGCGAATGGAAAGTCTAGACACGAGTACACAGAAAAGGTGTGTAACCTTTCAAGAAGAGGTTTATGGCCAATAGTTCTCCATAGTTTCCTCGGTTCTTATATTCGTAAACAGCATATAACGAGCCAAGAAAGACAGGCGTTTTAACCTGTAGTGCATTTTCACGCTTTTCTTTGTCTCTCTCTACTTGGCCTCTTTTCATGCCAGAGTGGCTAGACTCAAGGAAGTTAATGTCCGTCCGATTGGTGGTATCCTCCGCAAGGTACACACATTCCATTTGCCACAACAAAGACACATTGTAGTTGTTAAAGTTCCCCCTTTTGACGAAAGCCTGGTGCCATAGAATCGCTTTCTCTATTTTTAATCCAATATATAACAATGTCATGGAATGTTGATCATATGTTTTGTTTCTTAGATTTCCCAATTGGGTATACATTTTCAGGGTAAACACATACTTATAGAAAGTACTGTATGTACCATTCGATCCCTTTAAAAATGTGCGTCGTATTTACATTCTTCGTTTTGACCGCGGTTATTGCCAGAGGAAACAAGGGAGAGAGAAGGGATTGAAGTACATTCCTTTGGGTTATGGGGACTATGAACTTTCTCTATTGTATATTTCATTATGTCGACTATGCTTTGTTAGAAACATACGCTTCAAAACAAACTCAACAAATCGTTCTTCTGCTCAACTCAACTAATCGGTTGTTGGGTCGGGGTGACGTGCAGTTAAAGTCGTTGGGGCGAGAGCGCGACTTGTTGTCTCTTAAGCGAAGGCGCCCCAGCTCGCCCCAAAGTTCAGCCTACACAATAAAAGAATATTTTGAGTGACACTTTTTTTTGAAGAGACGAAGAAAAAAATAAAATAAAATTAAAAAAAAAAAAAAAGGAGAGACACCACGAGGGGTAAAGATTTCAGCAGATTAGAATAATTGTTGAGCTTAGGAAGGAACGTAACAACACATTCCTTTCATCAAAGCACGAAAATAATCTAAGCCAGATAGATTTAGGTGTGAGGGTGTGTGTGTGTGTGTGTGTGTGTTTATACGTTTTCAATGGAGCCGATTTCTTTATACAGGAAGGTTCTAAAAAGATGCATGGAATGACCTCTTGCATCCTGTATATCGTACTTTACTTCCTCCTTCATTTTACTGTGTGGCTTGGCCCATGCGATCTAGGCCTCCCACTGACTCCACTAAAAAAGCACCTACAATGTCCATTGCAAAGAATACATCCGCGTTTGTTGTAGATAATTGCTCCCTCAAGTAATGGATTGCTTGCTCAACACAAAGGTGCAGTCGCTCTAATTGCGTTGCATCCGGTCGGAGTTGGTACCGCTGAGTTTCGAATCAAGTAAAGGACGAAAGCGCGCTAAGAAAAGTATATTTTTTAGTTTTATTTTTCGATGCGTTTCCGTCCAACTCGCACGGGGAAAGAAAAAGAGGAGAGAAAGAGAGCGAGCGAGAGTGAGGAGTAAAAAAGAGAAAAAAAAGGAGCTATATAATATACATATTTTCTTATGCCGTATGACCGTTTCCCGTATAATAATAATGTCACATATCTCTTCTTTTCTTTTCTTTAATTTTTCTATGACCCACCTTTCTCCGCCCCTTATACGTGAGTGTATGTAGGGAAAAGGGAGAAGGAATAAAGTTGGTCAGGAGTGAGAATGGTGATGGTGGTGTAATCACCATGTGGTATGTTTTTTTTTTCTAGTCTACGTTGTGTGGTATGTGGTATGTGCTTTGTGCATTTGTTGGGCTATAACAATAGAGAACTAAGAAAAAAAAAAAGCCATGGATTCCGACAGCCCACATGGTGTGTGTATGAAACGAGAGACTTTTTGTATGGTTGTGCGACATTTTTTCCTATACTCAGACACAGAAAAAAACAAAAAAGAATTGCAACCACTCGTGGGCTAGAATTTAAGAGCAATAGAGAGAAAAATAAAAATAAAAATAAAAACAAAAAAAAAAAAATATGCAACTGTGGTGGTGGTGCTTCATGTTTTGTGTAAATTGTGTAAATTGTGTAAAAAAAAACCACTTTCATTACTCATAAAAAAGAAAAAGAGCCATAGTTTTTATTTGTAAGTAGCAAAGATATATAAATAAAGATCAGAATTCCAACTTATCCTCTTAAAAAAATTTTTCACCAACTCCATTCACTACTTACTTTCATAAGAAGATACTCTAGCATAAGCTATCTTTCCAAGCATCACAATCACTACCTAACGCCTACTACCAAGCACTACTACAACTGCTACTACTGCTACACCCGATACTATTATTCATTTATTAGTACAACCCACGTGTATCGTTTCTATTGGTACAGTTACTACTTTCTTTTGCATTTGCATCTACAACTACAACTACATCTACATCTATAAAGCACACCACAACTATGTCGGACTTTGCATTTAACAACTACTGCATACATTGTGATAAATTGTGTCCTACAAACTCAGTATATTGCTCAGAAGAGTGTAAATCGATAGAGTATCAACAGTCATCAATACTGTTAAATAACAACTACACTGCTACATCATTTGAACAGTACTCCTCATTGCATCAACACAACAATGAAAGCCAGTATCATCAACACAATAACCCAGTATCATCTGAAGATACAGCTAGTAATACCAACGAATACGCGTCAAATGACATGGTTTCACCATTGTTGACGCCTGCTTTGTATCTCCAACAACAACAGCAACAACAGCAACAACAGCAACAACAGCAACAACAGCAACAGCAACAACTACAATCGGTCTCATCACCATTGATGTTGGCTTCACATGTTGATGTTGAAACAAAGGATGACAGACACGATTTGAATTACTTTGATTTGAACTACTCAGTTAAATCCAATATAAATTACACCAGCAATACGACTAGCAATGAGTTGTTGAACTCAACATCACACAATTATCGTAAATGGTTGACTGCTTTGTAAATAAAAGGGTCAAATTGTTGTTGGTTTTAATTTTTCTTTTTTTTTACACTGGGAGTAAATTGGGAGAGGGTTTTTTAGTTCTACATCTTAACTGTTGTTGTTTATGAAATACAACTGTTACAATCACATTGGCATAACACAGACACATACATACACAACATGTTTTAATCATACACATAGCATTTTCAAACAAAGAGAGAAACATTTGCTAATTAAAGCTGTTTTTTTTTTTTTTTTTTTAATTACTTGATGAAAGGGATTATGTGGATTTTGTTACATATACTACTACATATATATAGTTTGACTTTTATATATAATACACATATAAACTTTACATACCCATTGATTAATTGAATATTGTTCAGTTGTAGCGTATTGGTTGTATTTCATTATAGTGGGCTACAACGGCAATAACTTTTGCAACAAACCACGTTTACGCCCCCCTCCCCCTCTCACTTCTCGTACCACACAAAAATGTGTCAAAAACAAAGGAGCGAAAAAAAAAAAATTACAAATTGGTTGAGAACAATAAGAATTGATGAATAACAATAAAAGAGGAAAACACGTGGTGGAGAGTCTCTTCTTGATTCTCGAAGGTTCAATGGGTAGATATCAATATGGTTATTCAAACGCTATAGAATAAAGAAATACTATGACGCCAGCATTTATCGACACGATTTTGAATAGAAAGTGGTGAAAATTTCAATCAAACTGAAACTTTCATAGCAAAACTCGAAGCTTGAAACTTGAAATCCGAGATTTTTTGTTTTATAAAAAAATACATCATTCACTCTGCATATATAAGCAGTCATGCATTTGTTAAATTGTAAAGAGATCTTGTTTAGTCTATTTTAGTGTACATTTTTTATTTAGTTGAGAAAATTCAGTCATGCCTAAAAAAGAAAAAAAAACTTTTTCACAAATCTTTCGGATTCCCGATATTTCGGAGATTAACTTGCGAGAAATGAAAATCTAGTTTTTACATGAGCGTGTCGCGAATTATACGAATCGGAAGTGAAGAACTTGGAAGATTTCCATCACATCAATATGCGCTAGAGTAGACTTGTAGCTGTAGGATCACACTTCAAAAGTACCGGTTTATATACTGATGTGCTCCACCTTGCAACAGAAGCAATGCTTGTGCAAACAATTTTTACTGTGTTGTTTAAATGGTGACAAAACAAAAAAAATTCAAGGACTTCACGTGCACTTGCTAATACTGCGACATTCTTGCGAAGAGTAAAATAACTCACCGTCTTGAGTCATCTCGCGACAAATTATTACGTTCGTGATTCACGATTTATTGAACTAAGAAGTGCCCGGATTATTGTTCATGAATATCGGCTACTAACATTACGACTTTCCAGATACAGTGATTTATTTGCTTCCATTTTGAATAATCCTCAAAAAAACTTCTTTAATAGCTCCATGGAGCCCTTTCCTCACAAGCTTATGTCGGAGCAAGCTCCATCTGCTAGTCAAAATGGCGTCCACTTCTATTTTGATGTCATGTCGAACCATCACGCATATTTCACATGCTTGGATTGGATTCACCTTCCTCTTCTGGCCACAAATGAGAAAAAAACTGGTAATCATTTTTAAAAATGACACTTTAAAATAAAATCATGTAATCAACATCAATAATGTGACTGCCTTATTAATTGTCTTTTTTTGAGCAACATTTGCAAGAGATAAGTGCATCTAATAGGAATATTTGGTACTCGTAATGCTCTATCAAGGAATCAAATTGGACATCAATACTCAGCTTATGTAATCGATCACTTTCCTAATCGGGACGAAAAATGAATGTTTTTTTTTTTTCAGAATCTTCAATTTTCTCGAGATTCTTTTAAGTCCAAAGCACCACCAGAATGTCATGAAACACTTTTTTGGAGTTTGATAGTCTAAGGTTTTTTATTTGTATGTGTTTCTGTTTTTTAAGTAATATTTGTTAGTGTTCTTTGTCTCTATATTGCGCCAATGTAAAGTTGGCAATGATAAAAGAGTTAAGTCTAGTCTAGATTTTTGCCAGTGAAGGCACCATACTCAGAGTGATGCGTGAAGTTGTGGATTACAAAACAAGTGCTTTTTATGCACGTTACTATTAATTCAATTATCTATACCTAATCTGTGTGCCAGGAAATATTTGACACAATTTTGGGGGTGGTTAATTTTTGCAACAATTTGATACCAAAAAATCGGATATTTTTTATAGTTTACCTAAAGCATCGAAGACAGAATACTGCAGCTGAGCAAAGTCCCCCTTTGCCAACTTTTCTTTTAGGAAAACAATTCTTATTGACTTCACTATTCTCTGTGGTATCAGAGTAAACGAAAACACACATGGTAGCAGCAAGGCTTCTAAAGACATTGTAATTTTTTTTTGTAATTTTTTTTCATTCATAGATTCGACTTCGAAAGCTTATCATCAACTAATCGTATTTAAAATGCTCCCTTCATTAGTCAGGTCGGGTGGTTACATTTGGAAATTCACTCCTCATGTCACATCAACACAACGTGTTAATTTGCGTAAAAGAAGTGAACAAGTTGACGCCAATATTGATCAAATATATCGTGGGTTGATACAACAAACAGGTGACAAGAAAATGGGGGATAAAACAGGATATCCCAAGATTGACCATTTGAAATTTGATATGCCTAGATTCAATCAAATGAGTAGCCGAGACAAATACACTACATTCAGCAAGCATTCGCGTGATTACAGGAAACCTATTCATAGAGTACCTAAATGGACCAAATTGTCATTCAGAGAAAATCCTAAATACTTTTAGTGGAAAGAAAAGAAGGTAAAGTACGTGAATAAGAGGGGGAGGAAACCTCTATAGATACCTTAACGGGGTTCGGCCCACACATTGTAAATACGTTTAATGAATAGATGAAATAAACTAAACACATTCAACCAATATTTTCCCATATAAACTTTGTAATATACTCTTCAGGAGTACTCACACCAACGGGCAAAGTCTTTAGCTCACCTTTGCTATTAGTCACAATGACAACATCTTGAGGATCATCAAAGAAACCATCAGTATCATCTTGGGAACTTGTCCCTGTATTGGCAGCTTCTCCAAGCGTCAGATCTGATTTGTTGTATGGCTCAATACGAATACCCAAGTTTCGATAAAAGTTTAGCTTCAACAATGCCAAGTCATACAGCTTCAACTTTTCGGGATCAATATTGTGCTTTGGTTGTGGGTTTTCCAATTTCTCATTGATTTCATTTAATTCGTCACGTAATTTTCGGCTCCTTTGGGTCAACTTGTCCAATGTTTCATTTATAACACCATTTTCTTGAGTTATATTCAATTTCAAATTGAATAGTTCGGTATCCCTATCCAGGATGGCTCTCAATAAATCCTTGTCTTTATTAATGGAAGAAAATTCATGATTGGCAATTTTGGAGTTGGTTTCAATCAATTCAATTCTAATGTCATCAGTCCTCCTAAGAGCCCTGATTTCTTCTCGCTTATGTTCGATTTCAGTTTGGAGTTCATTGTTGGTCTCTTGTAGTTGGGAAATCTCTTGTTCACGCTGTTCTTTAGCTCGAGAAATGCAATTTTCAATTTCATCAGCCATCACTAGGATGTCTCCTTCATTTAGCTCGTCGATTAACTTTTGAAGGGCAGCTCCTGCATCGAGGGATTGGTCAGCAGTTGCAATTATTGATGGGTCATTGATAACACCCTCAGTTTGCGGTTGTTGTTGTTCTATTAAATTGCTCATCGTTTGCCTTGGCAGATATGTGTTGTTGTGGTACTACAGAGGAGCTAAGACTTTGACGACGGTATGTTTAAAAAGATGTAGTGAGACCAAGGGAGGTGTATGTACACATTTGTTTACATTCTTCGTTTCAATTTACGCGACATTCAAAATTATTGACATTGGAGAGAGAGAGAGTGTGTGTGAGAAGAATCGACAATTCAATAATCGACAAAGAAAAAACCCCATCAGCTGATACAATTCACATACCCACTTAAACGTTTTCCACCTCCATTCTTCAAAGCATGAGCTATCCGAAGAAGAAAAAGGGGTACTCAGACGTAGACCTTCCCACAAATCCCAATTTACCAGCGTGGATAATAACACCAAAAGAAGAGAAAGCAATTTTTGAACGATGGAGAAAGAAAACTTTTGCCAAATGTGATGATTTGATTAGGAGGTATATTGAGTGCTCAAACCTGTATGCCAATCCCCTTGAAGCTATGGAAAAGTGCAAACAAGCAAACCAGGCCAGTTTGGACTGTGTAGCTCAATATCAGAAACAAGAGTACTTGGATCAAGAACGAGATTTGTTTATAAAGGAAAAGATTGAAAAGAAGAAGTTGTATAAGCAAAAATTGAAAGAGTTGCAGGAACAGAAAGAAGGTAAAGAAATATGACAAATAGGGATCGTTTATTACTCATGTACATAGTTAACGGTGAATTGGACGAAACAAACCTTCTTTGGACAAAGTTGTAGATCCCCATGTATATCCTCTCCAACTCAGCTAAAGAGAAATACCCTCAAGCTATTTACCTATTTGGGATCCTCTTGGTTATCAAATGCCTCTTCCTCAAATATCTTTCTACTACCCATAAGTAAACTTGCATGTATCTTGCCCAACATTTCAATATTCTTATACTGCTCGCTAGCAGTTGTTATCAAATCATTGAAATCAGATAAGTTGGCATGTAGTTGTGCAACTTGTGAATTCAAGTGACTCAACTGTCGCTGTGTTACTGCTGACGTAGATATGTGTACATTTGACTGGCGGTGAGTGCTATGACGGGGATGTTGGTGCTTCGATTGATGTTGTTCGTTTGACGGCGTTGACATGGGTACAAGTATTTGTGTGTCTGTGAATGTAAGTGTGAGTGAGTGAATGAGTGAGCGAGTGAGTGAGTGTGATTGAGTGTAAGTGTGTGCACTGGTGCTTTTGTTTATAGTTTCGGGTATTATCGTGATCTATTCTTTTCACACTTTTCTTTTTTCTGTCCCTCCATTTTCGGTTATTGAGCACTCGTTTTTTTTTTCTTTCATCGGCATAAAATTCAAATTGAGTGAGTCTCTTTCATACAGTGTCAAATTTGGTCAACTTATAGGACTTATTGAAAGGTAGTGACAACTTTCGACAACCCAGTAGAATAGAGGATAACAAGTGGTGACACGATACACCTGGATCCATTTTATAACTGCCCTGCGTACAAATATTGAAGAAAGCCATCCCCCATATTTTGCCAAAATACCGGACCACTTTTGGATCTTTGAAAGCGCTGCTTCAGTTACAGCAATTGCTTACACTAGTTTACACTTATAAGACACACTTAAATGTAAAGTGGCTTTGTCGTACTCAAAATTTAATCACTTTTCGACTATGGAAGCAAAATCGTTACTGGTGAGTCCATCATTTCAGGGGTCTGCAAAAGACTCGTCCACTACAAGAGTTGACAAGTCCCAAGGGAATGGCAACTTATTGCATCTGCAAGCAAACCCCACAGGTGGAAACACGGGCCTGGCGCTCACAAATTCAATACCAACACAGAATTCAACACCTGTCAATAAACCCGGGCAATCAAACACAATCACAAATCAAGTACCAAGTAGTTCACTACCGCAAACTCAAAGTAACAACAATGCCATTAAACCCAAGGGAAAACCATCACAAGTACCGTCAAGACATCAAGCAATACGGCAACACCCACTACATATCGCACCAAAATATGCCAAGATCCAACCAGCAATAGCACCAAAACCAACAAGTTCGGTGCCTTTGACAACAAAGTTTAACCCAATACCTAGCAGCAAATTTCAACTACTGATGAAATCATCATTATCATCTCAAGATGCAACGAATCTCAATACATCCAAGAAGTGGATCTTACCACCCCGACCAAGACCTGGTCGGAAACGAACTGGTGGTGAATGTGACAAGATAGTCAAAGCTCAGACCAATGCAACAAAGAGGAAAGCCAAAATAAAGCTGGAAGCTGGATGTAAGACAGGTGATGGGAAGGAAAAATTGGAGAAAACCACACTTGGATCAAGCTCAACGACGGCAAGAACAACAGCGAGTAACCCAACCACAAAAAAGGAAGTCGACACAGGGTGCTCCGCGACAGCTGATTTTGTCAACACAAGTAAGGGTACTACTAGAAAGACGCAGATAACAGCTATGAGTACTGTAACACAGCCTCTTTCGACGGAGATAAAACGAGAACCCATAACTGTGGCTACTGCATTGTCAAAGACAGCAGCAACACCAGAAACCACACAATCTAGATCACGAACAAATGGAATAACCCCATTGGTGTCTGATCTGAAGTCAAATCTGAAACCACTGATGCTAGTTCCAGCACCCCCAGCACCTCCGCCACCGACTACTAAATCAGAAGACCCAAAGGCTCATATGACAGAATTGAAGTTGTCATATTTGGCGAAATTAAAAGAGCAAGAAATCATCAGAAATTATGTCGAAGTCCTCACAAACCAGATTAAGGAACTAAGTTTTGTACAAAATGGAGTCATTACTTTTGATGCTTTAAAAAATAGCTCTAAAGTTACACCAGACTCTCAAAGAATAACTTCAACATTATCCAAATCCAAATGCGACCAATTAGATTCGATCAACAATTTGAATGATTTAAACAAGTTTCTAAATTATCTAAGTAAGTCTTCAGATATCATCAAAAGTGCTAAACGACAGCCCAATGAGCACACGGCAACTCCAGACAATTTGAATCAACAAATTGACAGTTATGTACAATTGCGACAGCGGTTTAAAATGTTGAACCAGCAAAATGGGAAAAAGATTAACAAAAAGAAGGCGTGTAAGCAGCAGCAACAGCAACAAGTTGACAATTCAAAAGATGCAGAACCTACTGCTTCTTCATCAGCGTCAGCCACCACGCCTAAACATGCGAGTCCCAAGTCCCCATTCACCCCGGATTTACTACGTCCTTTGAATGCATCAAATTTGTTTAATGATCCCAATTTGGATATGATGGAAATGGACTTGCAAACAGAGACAATAAAAGCTTCACCGTCAACTGCCGAAATCTTGACCGATAATAATGAAGTGAAAAGTGCTGGTGATGGTTTAACCATGGAGTTTGAAGGGACAAAGTATGGAGATAATGATGTTGGTGGCGACGCTGGTGGCGGTGATGGTGATAATGGCGAGTTTTTTCATATTGATGAACATGATTTTCTAAGTCGATTGGCGCTAGATGATACGACAGAAGAGCCTGACTTGGGTGAAGTTGTGATACACAAACAGAATGGGGGTAGATCTAGTGATGCAACGGATGTGAATGGATTGGAAGATAAAGGAATTGCTACTGAAGTTAATAATCGGACTCCTGCCACGAATGATATGATTATGCGGAAAAAGGTCAAATTCAATTGTGGGTTCTGCACTAATGATACACCATGTCTATGTTTTGATTCCGATTTGGAAATTAGTCGATTGGGGTAATAATGAGCTACGACGCACGCGTATATATATAGGTAATAAACAGGATATAGATTTTGGGAGATAAACTTCCCATTTCGACAATCATTAACTCTACAATATCCAGCTCATTATACCTTCTTATTATTTAAATATTCTATTACAATTTTTACCAGAAAAAGGCCAAATAGGATCCGACAACAGCACTGGCTCCCAAAACAATGTATCCAGTACGGTAAACCCCCTTAAGGGTTAATTCCTTACCAAGATCCCAAATAAGATGTCTTACACCATTGAATGAATGGAAAGCAAATGGGAATGCAGCACCAGCTTTGATACCATATTGTAACCAAACAGGCAAACTTGCAAAAGCATTAACCAAAGTAGCAGCATCAAATGGAATATTCAAGATTGAAGTGGCAGCATATGTACAAGTTAAAGCGTAAAAAGCACCGGCCATAGCAACACCAGTGATTCTATGTAAACCTGATAACAACCACGTCAATTGTGGTTGATAAATATCCAAATGTGGTGATACTGGTCTGTTTTTACGTTGTGCCACAAGTACATCTTGTTCTTCATCGTGGGTGGTGTGTACTGTTGAAACGAGTCTTTTGAGGAGTAATGAGTTGGCAGCAGTGGCACGATTGAGACTGGTAGTGGTTCTTGCTTTGGTGATGTTTCTGGTGACTAAATTTATAGTCTGCTTGTTTAATAAACCGACACGGGAAATCATTGTTTAGGTTCAAAGTAGGGTATGAATATATGTGTTTTGTATAAGAAAGGGTTTACCAACTGTGAAAGCAAAAGACTGGTACACTATTTTCCCACCTAAATGATAGCTTCTTCTGTATGAGTTGTGGATCTAACTAACAGTTTTTTTGTTTTTCCTTTTTAAACTGTCTTTCTTTTTTCCCCGGGTTAACCAGTTGGTCCAATGAAATCAGTGGAATTTTTAATTATCAATTGGTAGCAGTGGTACAGAAGTACGCTACCAATTACAGCTTTTCTTCTAATACCCGGTAGCACCGCACATACATACAGACACTAAACTGGAACATACAACTAAAATGTTAGAGTCCATTGTTTTTACCCATGTCCATCAAATCTCTTTCAATCTCTTTGTTCTTCGTCAAAATAAAAATGGAGTGTGGTTTTTGTGATACCCGTTGGAAATTAAAGCAACACAACTCACACACACTCAAGGCTGGATTGGCCTTGCCAATAACACCGTCTGCACTGACAAGTTAGCGCTTAATCCTTTTTGTAAATGATAAAAGGTTCTTTTTGTTTATGCCAAACACTTTTTATCATTCAGAAGTTAAAGGGTATCCCTTTGGTCCCCCCCCCCCCCCCCCCCCAAAAGAAAGAACGAGATTATTATTATATTCGGGGTGCTTTGCTAATATATAACTTATTACTCAAATTTTAGACTCGCTACTTTACTATGTAATTTTATAATGCTACTCTATGCTTTGTATATTGTTTGTGGTATTATATTATTATTATTATTTTATTTTAATTCCCGCATGAACAACAAATAAAAATACAAAATAAAATAAAAAGTAACACACAGCACACGGTACACAGTACACTACACACATACCATTAACCAATAAACACTAACAACAACACGACTGTAGGTACACAATACACAGAGACGACAAACACATACACAACACCTGCTCGTACCAACAACAAAAGGCAACGAAAAGACAGCTGATAGTTTGCACATTAATATACCATGATAGAGACTGCAACCTCAATATTACAAAGCAGTCAGGCAAACACAACAAAAAGAGAAAATGATAGTGACTCAACTTCCACTAATGATAACGCCAGATACAACTTAAGCTCCATGGAAGAGAATCGGAAACTGGGGGATTATAATCCATCATCAATAGTACCAAAAGAAGGGGCGGATGGTTCTGACAAGAAAAGCCCCAACTCATCAAATGAGTTGAGAAGCCAACAACGGCAACAACTGGAATCACAATTTGTCCAGGACCCTCAAACGCAACAACAACAACAACAACAGCAGCAGCAACAGCAGCAGCAACAACTTCCGTCTCCAACATCTTCTCACCATAGTCATAATAGCAACTCTAACAAAGGGAATCTGCTACAGGACCAGAATGAGGAACAACACTCGTCTTCGGAATCCTACAACAAATCGGATCTAATGTTCACAAAAAAGGACTTGAGCAAGTCTCGTACTCAATCATACCAATCGGTTTTGTCACTTGCATCTTTAAAATCCCTCAAGCAACATCAAATACAACCAATGACTGCTGTCAATGGTACTGGGAACCAGCCACCAGGATTGAATGGACCAACATTGCATAGAAATAATAGCACAAAGGGGAATGGCAGCACTCAGCTTACGAGATCTAATTCAGCAATGAATACCGCAAAGAATTTTCAATCATATATCCAAGCCCCTGTGTTGTCAAGTTTATCGACTCAAAAACTGAATGAAGATTTGCAAATTGGTCAGCAATTACCATTTCACGATAAACCAATAGGCAACAAATCGAGACGTACAACCAACAATAGCTCAAGCAACGATGGTGACAACGAGGATGCAGATGATGCTAATGATGAAGAAATTTTGTCACAACAAAGAAACTTGACCTTGAATGCGTTGAAAAAATTGAGTTTGTCTCCTAGGCCCATTACGAATCCTGATGATATAGTCATTCCTAAAGCTGTGGAGAGCGATAGCAAGTTGAGATCGAAAGGACAGGAACCTTACCAACCGGCAGAAGTTGATTTGTCATCATTTGCTAGTCTAACAAGACAACCCAAAGTGACGCCCAAAGCTGCATCGCCATCGCCTTCATCTTCGACAATTCATTCAGAAAAGTCGTCTCATTCACAAATTTGTGCAAAGCCGTCATTGGACAGTCTCCCAGAGGGACAAGTGGCAAATACAGATACTTCAACAAAGGAGAGCGATATCAGTCAGTATCATCATAATTTGAGACAACAACAAATGGATTCTCTCAAGCTACAAACAGATAAACATTTACGGAATACAACTGCTCATCAAGGAGATCTACAGCACCAACAACAAGAGCCATCTAAACTGATACTGTCGCAACAATATGTGAACGGGACACAACTTCCTCAAGCAACACCAAGAGTCCCCGCCGCGGTGATCCCACCACAAGACATTAATACCCGAAGAAAGCCCCTGAACTCATCGGCACCACAAAATCTTGCTACTAATAACTTGCACGTGCAATGCCATTTACAGCAACCTCAGCCCAATTCCCATCACAAGAATGCAAATGCAAGATCCACAAGACAGTTGCAACAAATCAAAGGGTTGAGAACGCCGATGTACATACCGGCTGTTTTGAGAATGACTCAAAATGGTGGCTATGACTACCATAACCGCTCAACATCAAACTCACCAGAAATGGGCTCAACTCCACCAACTGCTCAAAGTCCAGAAAACAACTATGAAACCCATTTGCAAGCGTTTGGGCAAAAAAGTTTAAATTCGTCAACTGCATCAATTAAATCAACTGACTCCTCAAGATCCATTGAATCGAGTAGCTCCCCAAAATTTGGCTCATTAAATAGATTTTTAAGTGCCGGGAATTTGGGAAGGTCGTTTGATTACATGTCCAATGCACCTCCAACAAGGAGGCATTGGGTGAAGGATGAAGCGGTAACTGCTTGTGGTATACCTTCCTGCAATAAGACATTCAACTTTTTTGAGAGGCGGCACCATTGCCGAAAATGTGGTGGTATATTTTGCAAGGAGCACACATCGCATTCCTTATATATTAATAGAATGGCACAATTCACCACAGGAGGAAGAGGAACATTATCAAAAGTGTGCGATAATTGCATACAAGAGTATAACGAGTTTATACAGCGAGAGTTTGGAGTGAACATAACCAGTACAAAACTGCCTTCCCCAATGGATTTGAACCGTCATGTTGAGAACAACGTCATAAATAACTTGTCTCATCCATCCAAGCATGAGCAGATACGGCAGCTGTATAAGGACCTTGATAGAAATGCCCTAAGACAGAATCAAATTGATATGAGGGGAGACACTGTTGGTGGTGGTAGTGGCGATTCAAATTCGAGGGCAGCTGACCAGTTAGTTGGAAGTGTTCCTGCAAACTGGACGTGGAGCTCCTTTTGATAGCAACTCTGCTATTTATATAGCTCCAATTTATAGCCTGCATTTTATAAGTTCATTATCTATTCTTAGACAAATTCGTTTCCTGTGTCGTGGAAATAAAAATTACGACTTTGATAAAATAGTAACACCGTGTGCGGTGTGGTTACTTAGTGCCTTGTGCCGAACTTATTTTTTTTTTTTCATCAAAACTTCGCTACTAAGGATTGATCAGCCCCCTCAAGTAGATATATATACCATGGTGACCAATAATCAAGCCATGAAAACCCAATCGACCCAACTAAAAGTGTTGGGAATCGATGTTGAACTAATAAGGTCACTTCTCAAAGTCATTATTTTGATATCAATTGCCGGTGCAGCCATTTCGTCACGTTTATTCTCAGTTATCAGATTTGAATCAATTATTCATGAATTCGACCCATGGTTCAATTTTAGAGCTACAAAATACTTGGTTACGCATTCATTTTACGAATTCTTAAACTGGTTTGATGATAGGACATGGTATCCCTTGGGAAGAGTTACTGGTGGTACGCTATATCCTGGATTGATGGTGACCTCGGGCGCTATTTGGCACATATTGAGAGAATGGTTAAGCTTACCAGTTGATATTAGAAACATTTGTGTTATGTTGGCTCCGGTGTTTAGTGGTTTAACGGCAATTGCTACTTATTTTTTGACAAAAGAGATGAAGGATTCAAATGCCGGTTTGCTAGCTGCTATTTTCATGGGTATTGCTCCTGGTTATATCTCTAGATCAGTTGCAGGATCATATGATAACGAAGCTATTGCAATTACATTGTTGATGGCTACGTTTTATTTTTGGATCAAGTCAATGAAATTGGGGTCAATCTTTTTCGCTACATTGACTGCATTATTTTATTTTTACATGGTTAGTGCTTGGGGCGGTTATGTATTTATTACTAACTTGATCCCATTGCATGTGTTTGTTTTGTTGTTGATGGGTAGATATAACCCCAAGTTGTATACTGCATACACCACGTGGTATGCATTAGGAACTTTGGCAAGTATGCAGATTCCCTTTGTCGGGTTCTTACCAATTAGGTCCAATGATCATATGGCGGCCTTGGGGGTGTTTGGATTGTTACAATTGGTTGCATTCGGCGACTATGTCAAATCTAAGGTGCCTTCAAAACAATTTAAATCGTTTTTGATTGTATCTGCCTCATTGGTATTTGTTTTGGGTGTTGGCGCCTTATTTGGATTGACTGCCATGGGATGGATTGCTCCTTGGACGGGTAGATTTTATTCACTTTGGGATACGAACTACGCCAAAATTCACATTCCTATCATTGCATCAGTTTCCGAACATCAACCAACAGCATGGCCAGCATTCTTTTTTGATACATCCATGTTGATTTGGTTGTTCCCAGCTGGTATTTACTTGTGTTTCCAAGAATTGAGAGACGAGCACGTTTTTGTTATCATTTACAGTGTCTTGTGTTCTTATTTTGCTGGTGTTATGGTGCGTTTGATGTTGACCTTGACACCAGTCATTTGTATTGCTGGTGCAATTGCATTATCCAAATTATTTGATATATATTTGAATGTTGTTGATATTTTCACTGAAAAGACTGGTTCAAAGACAAGTAGTAAGAAGTTGCCAATTGCGGCATTGGTTTCGAAATTGATTGTTTTGTTGTCGTTTGCGTTTTACTTATTTTACTTTGTTATGCACTGTACTTGGGTTACTTCCAATGCTTATTCATCACCTTCAGTCGTTCTTGCTTCACGTGCTGCCGATGGATCACAGATCATTATTGACGATTATAGAGAAGCATACTACTGGTTAAGAATGAATACACCGGAAGACGCCAAGATCATGTCGTGGTGGGATTACGGATACCAAATTGGAGGTATGGCGGATAGAACCACTTTGGTTGATAACAATACTTGGAATAATACCCATATTGCCACTGTTGGAAAAGCCATGTCATCTCCTGAAGATGTTTCTTATGAAATTTTGAGACAACATGATGTCGATTATGTGCTTGTAATATTTGGAGGTGTTATTGGTTACTCCGGTGATGATATCAATAAATTTTTGTGGATGGTTAGAATTGCCGAAGGAATTTGGCCGGACGAGATTAAGGAGAGAGACTATTTCACAGAAAGAGGGGAATATAGGGTGGACAAGGATGCATCAAAGACGATGAAGAATTCATTGATGTATAAATTGTCATACTATAGATTTGCTGAATTGTATGGCGGACGTGATGGAGCAGATAGAGTCAGAAACCAGCAAATCCCAGCTGACGAACCACCTGAATTACATGTAGTTGATGAAGCGTTCACTTCCCAAAATTGGATTGTTAGAATTTACAAGGTTAAGGATTTGGACAATGTTGGTAGAGATTTGAACCAAGCTACCAAGTTTGATAAATCAAAGGGAAAGAAGAATAGATTGGTGAAGAGACCAAACTTGGATATTAGGGAGTAGATTACATAGAATGAAAATAGAGAGTTTGAGTAACAAAGTCGGAATTAAGCAACTTTTATTTGTATAAGATTATAAGTTCGAGGGTACGCAAAGACTCCTGAGCTTATGCAGCGCATGTATTATCCGCTTTCCTGTTTTACTTTTTGTTTTTCCGTCAGCCTCCAATAATGCGGAGTTTTTAAAATAGAAACAAGAGTACGATAAAAGTGGGGAGACACATAAGTCAAAAAAAGTTTTGAGTACTACAAGGATCACGTATTTATTTAATCAACCAATTTATCCCTTTACCAGTTGATACTGTTTTGTCAAACTACTCGCTAGCTGTTATTTCCTCAAAAAAATGACCTCATTGATTGAACATTTAATCTTTTACAGATCCTACCATTTTAACCATACCAATGTGGCAATTCACTTGGTTTGTATCCCCATCATTTTGTTATCAGCATATGCATTCTTGACCCCTGTTACTTTGCCATTTATCTCGTCGAATCCACTGGTCAATGTTGGTAATGTTGCTGCTTGGGCGTATGGATTGTATTACATTTCATTAGATTGGAAGGTTGGTATTCCATCGGCATCTTTTATAATTGCCTATGCCCATTATGTTGGCAACTATTACAGATCATTATCGGCAACTACTTCACCAACTTCAAGTGAATTTGTCAATTATGCAATTGCCGCTCATATTTTTGCTTGGTTAGCTCAATTTTACGGTCATGGGGTGCATGAAAAAAGAGCACCTGCTTTGCTCGATAATTTGTTGCAAGCATTGGTATTGGCACCATTTTTTGTTGCGTTTGAAATTGCATTCTTTTTAGGTTTTAAAAAAGATTTGAAAAAGACAATGGATAATGAAGCTGGAAAGAGAGTGAGAGATTTCAAATTGAAGGGCAAAGCGCAAAAGGCCAAATCTCAATAAAAAAAAAAAAGGGGGGGGGGGGGAGGTGTGCTTTCAGTAGGTGGGTATATTTATTTAGAAAGTCAACTGAGGGTTTGACTTTTGTATAACTCATAGTTGTATCTAACTTCAGGCTCGTGTAAAGAGACTCCTTGTAGTTGGTTACCGATTGTTAGCCAACCTGGTCTGGTATTGTGGGTTCGGCCAAAAATTTCCAATTTTCTTGCATGTGCTCCAACCAACCGTTCAATAATATCATAGAATTCATCAGGTTTCCTTGAGGTTTCCCTAGTAGTGCTCACTACAACATCGGTGTCAATTTGCAAGTTTAGCCACCGTGGGTTTCCCTTGAGCCCAACCAATAAATGCTCTTTCGAGTGATTTAACCAATGACCTGTTCTTCCAGTAACAATAGTTCTTTTCAATTGATTCAACTTGATCCAAATCATTTCATCGCTGATTTGATAACCCCATTTGTAAAGTGCTTTGCGTCCAATTTCTATTGACCGACCAGTGACCCAAAGCATGATGATTCCCTCATCTTGAAGTTCACGCATAGGCAATTGCAACAATTCGTCATCCTTGCATGTTCCATAAGGCAAGGACATGTGAATGTCCCATGCGGGATCGGAGATAATCACGGCAAATTTACCCAATATACCGAATGGTAAGTATCGAACATCACAATTGATCCATTGTGGTGGCGTGATTGGACGGAAGGATTCGGTAAAGCACTGGCCAAGAGTGTAATCCAACTTCTTTTGCTCTGCCTTTTCCACCGAGTCTGTTTTAGTAGGGTTCAACGTATAATAGTGGAGATAGCGACAGGACCTCATCTTGTGACATGTATCCAAATAAGAACAATCCCCTAAACTCACATCTGTGTGGCTGTATAATATAGGAAGGAAATGAATCTTGTTCAAAGAACACTGGTATACCTCAATAGGCAACAAATTTCTACCTTGATGTATTCTTTGATGAACGATAAATTCAGGGGCCAACTGTTTTGAGCTCAGGGCATACTCTCTCTTGTTTAGTCCAGAATTGGCCAACACTAAAGCATGTTTACTATCATTGCAAACTTGGTGAAATGGTGCTTTCAAAGTAGTTAACCTAGCTCTTTGTCTTCCCAACGTTGTCCTTGCCGTATCCTTACGGAGGAACGCAACAATGGTCTTTGGTGTTAATCTTGTTACTTTTTGAAGATCTATAGAGGATGCAGTTTCTTCTTGAGATATAAATTCAAGCAACGATGTCGCCTCCTTCCGCTTCACAATCTCTTCAACCGGTGGTGGTACTCCTTTCAATCGATGTTGTATAATTCTCACTGAGACATAGTTGATCCAAGTCAATTTTGGTTGGCTCATCGAGTTAATTAATGCAAAAGATAAGTCCCTTGAAAAGTGCAATGATCTGCCACTAAGTGTCTGAAATAGTTGAAGGTAATTAATGAAATCGGAGTACGTGGTGGGTATGTGATAGGTATCATCTTTGCAAAATTCATGGAAAACACCTTTCATTTTCCAAATATCTCCATTTATAGGATACGAAAGGATAGCATCACCTTGAGAAAGTAGAAACTCGGTAAAAGGATGAAAACTGTCTAATATGTGCATTGATGTGGTAGAGTGTGAAGTGTGTGGTGTGTTGCAAAAAAACAAAATAAAAAATAGCACTAGTGTTGACATTGCGTCTTCTTTTCGGAGACGACTCCCACGATATACCAATGAAAGCCAATGAATCAGGGTTTTGACGTGGTTTCAAAGATGCGCTCTGGTATGTGATTTAGTTGCAACGTGAGCATCGAATACTGTAAGTATAGCATACAGCTGCTTAATGGAATCAAGTGGTATTCCACAATCATAGGAGATCTGACAAAAGCAGTAGATCAGATGATGAATTGGTTTGCGCTTGGGATAGATGAGTGTGCACATAGAACTGTTTCGATTCGAAGATCGTGACTTGCATCATCCCTTCACTGAGTGCTATTAGGACGAGTCATTGTGAAATAAATAAATCTTTTTGCTTCATGAACAAACCCCAAGGCAGTACTACCACTTAGTTTTATGTGTCACGCTGATTTTGATTCTCGTCGTGCTAGTTGGCAATGATTAACAAAGAAGATGTACACTTTGTCGATATTCTTTGAAAATATTAGTTTTTTGGTAGCTCCACTCAGATGGCGGTACCATTGTGCTTGATCCCACTCAGTTGCTTTTCATCTACAAAGTGCAGCTTGGATCGTAGAAAAACTTATTTTTCGACTCAGCCCTCGAATGTACACCATGTTAATGTGTCAGAAAGCATGGAGTAGCTCTAGACTTGCAACCACGTTGAATGACCACTAACTGTGGCATTTGTTGTGCCAGCCAAGAGGTAGCCCTTTTTGTGTAACATGTGGCCAAGCGGAACAATCTCAATTTAGAACCGATTGAAAGGAGAGAAAATAAAATGCACCCAAAAAGGGCTAAAGGAACTACAACAATCAAAATGAGCGTTGAATACCACGTGGATGAAGAGGTGGGAACTTTCAATACTACAGCGACATTGAGGGGGTTACAAGCTCTCATATTGCGTGGATGTTTTGTTATTGTACTCTCCTATATTTGGTTTTGCGTTCCTCCATAGCTCCACAATTTTCTTCTATTTTTTTTTTTTTTTTATTTTGCCGTCTGCCCATGTTACAATGTACAACATTAAACTTTTGAGTTAGCGGGATGGGTGATGCTAAGCGACAATGCTTGCGTGTTATTATAATTATAGAACAAAAAAACAGCGAAGTCGATGGAAGAGGCGGAGGGGGGAGAAAAAGAGGGCAACATGACTTGACGGGCGGATATTTGACGTCTCTCTTTTTCACTTCTCCTCAAATGGGGTCCAGCTCCCTTTCATGCGACTCTCTCTCGTTTATGTTGAAAAAAAAGTTCCCATTTTAAAAGACAAGGAGGTGAGTCCAGAAGACACTAGAACCGGTGGTTGTAAAAAAAAAAAAAACACCACTGTCTTGACTCGCCCGTATTTCCACCCTTCCGGCTTCAAAATGCAATGTAGTTTCAAGGTGACTTGTGCTGTTACTGTTACTGTGTTCCCTTGTGCCGTTCGTACGGTGTGGCATCAACCACGTAAAAGAATCGAAAACACTCACAGTACATAGCAGCATTTATTGTCTTGGCTCATGTGTGTCAAATGCCGTACGGAAGTTAAGCTCCGAAAGTGCAATTTTGCGCGTAACATGGGAATAACAACAAACAACAAAGGTAGAGGCAGAGAAAAAAGAAATTAAAATTAGTGAAAGTGCCACATATACCCCGTATTTTTACACAGTATGTACTGCATATAACACAGCAAGTGACTACTCTTTCTAAACGTTGGGAGAGTACATACATATATATATTTATATATATAGGATCATACTTTTTATATATTGGGTGCAAATATCCCCCTTTAATCATCCTTTTATAAAGAACACAACTTCTTAGAATACACTTTGTAATCCATATTAACAACACATCATCTATAGTACCAATCACGAATAGACAAAAATTACAATGAACTTAAATACCATGTACACAGATTTACTAGAATCAATAGTAAACAAGCAACTTCGAGACATACTGTCAAGTCCATGCGAATACCAATCAGCATTGGCATCTGTGGCCAAAACATCAAGGTTGTTTAATCAACTTGCCAATGCAAGGCTTTATCGTGAAATTGTTGTGTTTGACGACGATAATGAGTCCATTGTGGAGAATGACGACCGCACTTATATACACATTAGCCAATTCAACAAGTTTGTTGACTCATTAACGATTCATAATTTTATCAAAATACGGTCAATACAATTGCATTGTAAATCCAATTTCAGCAAGTATGACTATTCAGCCTTGTATGAAAAATTTGGCGCTTTTTGGTCATTTACTAAACACAACATTGAATTTATTAATTTTGACATTGACAACATACGGAGAAACCAAACAATACTTCAATTTTTGGCAAAGGACAGCTATGAAATAATAGAAGAGAACGATGAGGTTGAATCACGTGGTGGTTCAAAGCAATCAAAGATTTGGAACTTGACAAACTGGTCAATATTGGGTGCTCAGGAGTTGAATTCATTGCCACTTTGGAGTCCCAATTTGAAAACATTGGATTTCTTTATTGAAACGATTATCGGTGATGTTCAATTCCCCACACAAAGAGTAAAGATGCCCAATTTGGAACAGTTGAACTTGAATACAACTTTATCAACTCAATGCTTTTTGTCATTGAACCCTGAAGTACCCAACTTGCAAAAAGTATCTATATCTTACTCCCACTCCTTCAACAAACCAGCTATAAACTTCAATGATTACCAAATGATAGATTTTGACAAGCTTACCCATTTGGAGTTGAAGCTTAATTGTTTGCACTCGGATTGCTCATGTGTTAATGAATTTTATCATCAATTATCTCAAAACAGTCATTATTTCACAAAATTGAGAAATCTTACTATAGTCAACCACAACTCAAAGAACCACCTGAGCAATTTGGACCAATATGCATTCTTATTGTCCAACCAATTGGGCAACTTGTTTAGCAAATTTACCAGTCTCGAGTATATTTACATCAGAGTCAATGAGTTTGTCAAGAGCGATAGAAGTAAAATCGATTGGGTCAAGTTCAACAAGGCTATATCAATGTTGCCACACTTGCGCAGTTTAATTATTGCTGATTTCTTTAATTGGTGGGCACCATCGATTCAATTAACAAGGAATATGATGGTCAACACCTGCAACTGTCAAGAATGTCATGGAGTCAAGTCGTTGTTTCAACAAATGGCTGCATATGATGAAGAAAATCATTACACTCACAATTTCGACAAGTTTGCCTTTGATTCTACACAAGAGACGTCAAACCACATTGATTTGGTAAAGAAGGGCAACTCCAAGTTTATGTCGCATTTGGTCAATCATTACAAATCACAATTTCATCAACTGATTATATATTCAATGTCAGCATCGTATTTTAGAGAGCACGATGATGAAAAACTTGCACCATTCAAAACTTTATTCAAGCATGGTCAATTGAAACATTTGGCAGGTTCGTTGAAAGTTCACAATCCAACATTAAAGGTCAATCTTGGAGGTATTGTCATATAATCTTGAAACTATATAGAAAGTTGATTTTAATGCATAATTAATATTAAAAGTTGCAGCGTAGAAAAGGCGATTTGTTCGTGCGTGGAACCTTGAACAAAGCCATACTCCTCAAAGAGTAATTACGAATATGGCTTGTTTCTCAAAGTTTTCGTTGTACCTTAATCAGTACGAAATTGGGTTTGAGACAATAATTTCGAAAGGAGAAATCGATAACTTAGAAGTGCTCACTTTTCCTTCATATAGAAACTTTACAACTAGGGTTATGAGTTGACAATGTGTTAGTGGGGTTGGTCTATACCATATATATATATATTTACTAGTATTGTTACTATCGCATTGTCTGGTTTGCAAATACTTGACCTTCCCGATTAGGAAATGAAATTTGTCTCCTTTTCATTTTGTGTATGACTAAACAATAATTTCCAAGACACTAAAAAAAAAGATTGCAAAAAAGAGTTGATTCCTAAGGAAGTAATAGTGAGTAAGTATTGTGATTTGCGGCAAACATATGTGGGGTGTGCCCACTTATCCAGAATCATGGAATAATCCACTTCCTCCCTTCTTCGATTCGAAGAATTTTGCAAAGGTACGAGATTCGGAACGCAAACCAAAAGATCGGGTGGATCTATTCGATTTGGAAACGTTGTAGTAAGTCAACAGCTCTCGCTTCCTCACTCTATTTTCTATAACAATTAATGGTCAACCTCGAATGCCGCTATCTGTTTCATAAGGTATTCTCTTTTTTTGTCTCTTATTATAGAAATTACCCGATCAAGTATGTCATTAAAGGTTAACCCATTATGCATGATGTCCCAAAAGGGAAATAAATTTTAGGAGAACAAAAAAAAAAACTTAAACTTAAAATTTACAATATGTATCTTTCACAACCATAACCTAGAATGGTAATAGATGATTGTTTTGCACCATATGTTTACACACACTTTCAACCTTCCTTACTTTGCCATATTAATAACAAATATATAAACCAAGGGATATGTACAAAAAGTTGGGTTGACGAAAGTCAGCGCATAATTTTCTTTCCATTGCTTTAGCAAAACTTTACTGCTTTTGATATTACTAGTTGATACCCCATTCTTAAAGAGACTTACAACGTCAAAAGAGAACTACAATCATACCAAAAGAGCAATCGTTTACACTATCATATCCCCTTCACAATGTCAGATTTGAGATTGGGTCCAGTTGAAGTACACAATATCAAGACCTCTTGGTCAAGAACTGACCAAGATGATTTTTTCAACAGATTGTATCCAAATTTGTTTGATCAAAATAGATCCTTGCGTCAAATTTTCCATAATGACGAATTGGTGATTCACGAGCATTCAAATATATTTGCTGATTTGTTTAGCTTTATTATTGACAATATTGAAGATGGTGCTTTGTTGGATGAATTTTTGTATCAATTTGTCAAGGAGAATCAAAGGTTTGCTGAGACTGCCGTCAAGTACTTGGAACCAATGGGTAACACATTGATAACGACATTCAAGCAAGTGTTGAATACTCATTGGACGAGTGTTTTGGAATTAGTTTGGATCAAGGTTTATGTCTTTGTTGCTAATTCAATCTTGCAATTGGTGGATGATATTTCAAGTGAAACTAGCTCCATTAACGAGGCTGATATTCCACCATTGAATATTCAAAGAAACTTGTCAAGAACCACTTCACGTGATCAAAGTATTGTTGGTGTTGCAGCACCTGGTGTTGAATCACCAGTATTAATGGATTCTGCTCCTACCCCACAAACTCCATCTACTCCAGTAATGGATTTTGACGTGAAGCCAGGTAAGGCTAAGGAGACGTCCATCTTGAATAAACACAATTCGATTGAAATTGATTTGAAGACTAATGAAAAATATAAAGGTTTCAGAAGATCGGTTGATGTTGCTCTGTCACCAATTCAAGTTGCAATCCCAACTGCTGACACTTTTCAAAAAGTTCACCATACAAACTTCTCATCTTCATTGAAGTCCTTTTTGCCAACTCCATTGGAGGAAGATGAAGGAACTTTTGCAGCACCAAGACCTGCATTTGATCCTAGGAGGAGAAGAGGTTCATCAATGTCGCCCTCACCATCATCTCCATCAACACCACGTTTATCTTCAATTGTCAACAGCTCCAGGTTTACCAATGATGAAGATGACCAAGCTGCTGAGTCTGACGTTGATGACTTTGCCACTCCAAGAGCAAGTAGAAGGGGTTCATTTTCAGAAAACTACCAACCATCGCCTTCATTGCTCAACAAGTTGAAGGTTAAGGAGCAAGTGTATCCAGAACCACAATTTGATGCTGATGACGATGTTCTGTCGGAAGATTCCATCGATGATGCTCCATTTGATCCAAGACAAAGAAGAAGGGCCGGAAGTGACAAGAAGGCTGATGAAATTCCGTCACCTGAATCGTCAGAAGTTGATGAACAAGAAGAAGAAGCTTTTATTTACAAGCAACACAAGGATGTTTCAAACTCAATTCCTGAAAGATCGTTGAGCAGAGGTGGTTTGACCGGTGGTACTTTTGATTATCAATCATTTGGATTGAAAGGATTGGCACCGATTGTGGAAGATGATGACCGTTCATCCAAATATGATTCTGATGATGAGAAAATGATGAATACGAGAAAATCAAGTTCTGGATCGAGTTGTGGAGAATCAGATTCTAGAGCAAGTTCGTTGTCGTTGCACCACTCCGATTACAAATCGTCGATTTCTTCGGGTGTCGATTCATACAATAATGTCAAGGGCGCAGGTGTTCACACTAGAACTGCCTCTGTTGAGTCTGATGATTTCCAATTTTTTACTCCAGCTACAAATACAAAAGTGCATCATCAATCGCAGACTTCGCAAGCTGCACAACGTGGACACAAGAGAGAATCATCAATGTACTCGCTCAGCAAAAGTTGCTCAGCATCTGCTGCATCAATCACTTCAACTTCAAGAGCCTCATTAGGGTTTATGAGATCATCATTTGTGTTGAAGAAGGAAGTTGAACAGCAGGGTTACAATTATCCTGAAAATGTTGGTCCTATTTCATTGCCATCTACACCAAGAATCAATAATCCACCAACCATGAGCAATACTTTGAAATCGCAACAACAGTCGTTGTATGTGCACAAGGCTAGATCAGCAAGCTCACTCAAGATGGGAAGTAAGAATGATAGCATGCAAAGCTTTGTTTCTGCCAATGACAACTCCTATGATATGATCAATGCTTTTGTCACCAACTTGGAATCAGGCAACCAATCAACAACAACCGTTAATACAAAGTCAATTGCACCTGCAAAGAAGACTGGGTTTTTCGGTAGAGTTACATCATTGTTTTCAAGCAAGTCCACCAACCCAACACCAAAAGCTACCCCTAAATCCACACCAGCACCTTCAAGAAAACAATCTGTTGCCACACTTCCCAAATCAGTACCATATGGTGATCTTGCCAACAAACCACTTCCCAGTGTGTCAGCTCACTCAACCATGATGGCCAAAACTGATTCTGGTTACTCAACATCGACAACAGGAGCACCTTCAACGACTAGAAAGTCATCATCATTGTTTACACCATATTCCAAGCCATCTGTTAGTGCCAGCTCGACAAACTTGTCATCAGTTGCAAGTACCAGTGCATCATTGTTTGCTCCTCAAACCAACAACTCCAGTCACTACAACAAGCATGGTGCTTCAAACCACGATTTGACTTCGGTTTATTCTAATGGAACTTCAGGTACTAGAATCACAATGTTTAGAAGAAAAGACCATGGTGAACCAAAATACGTTCCTCCACCAACTAAACATACAAGAAAAGGTAACAAGTACAATGTTAAGAAGGTGCCTTACAACGTCTTTGCTTAAGACTAATTAAAAGGGAAGGGGTTTTTCGGTTCTATATTTTATTCAATTCTTGTTTGCTATGGACAACCGAGACGCAGATTGAAGGATTTGCGTTGGCATCAACAATAACAAATAAAAGGGTGTTATTTTTTTTCCTTTCTGTGATTGTTGTGAACTACAATGATTTCATAACATCAACTCAAAGAAGGGAGGGGAAATTTCTTACCCTTCTGTTTGATGATGATGATGAATGATCTGTTTTCTGATTCGTTGTTGTTTTTTCTTATGGATTCCAGTTTTTTGTTTTTAGATATAATCTAGTTATTTATACAATTGTTTAATTTTGATCAATAAAACGTTGAATTATGGAAAAAAAAAAAAAAAAAGATTTGTTATATTGTAAAGAGGTCAAACTGCTATATTCAAATTAAAGTCTGTACACTTCGTGAGAAAAGTTCAGCTAGTCGTAATAATTTCCTTTTTAGGGCAGTGTCATATTTGATAAAACATGTACTAGTATGAACCAGCAAAAAAGCACGCCTTAGTTTGGAGCACAAGAGGGTAAATGTTGTAGAAATTTTGACGCATAAAAGCCGTTCTGCATATTGAATTTTTAATAGAACATTGGAATACAGGAATGAGCTTCCGTGCGTTTAAATCTGAAGAAAGTTGGCGCTAGAGCGCCTAGTAAATGTGTCGGCTCATGGAATATTACATTCTTCGAGGAGAGTTGGTGTTATCTCTGAGGAATCGAATTTAAGAAAGTTTAATTTTCAAAAGTTAGATTTTGCAGCTATTTTTCCGATTAAACTACTTTGGTACACATATATACTCTGAAAATTGACTTTATACAATAGACAATTAGGGAGTAGTATTTTATACTTCTCCACTGATAACGGGATCGTACTCGGTCTCGAGTAAGATGCCCAGCTATCAATTCGCTTCATTAATGAATTCAATTTCTCTCTACTATTGTCCATTAAATCAGCCACCATTAGCCACTACCGGCCTCCACTTCCAGGCTCGAAGTTTTGTGAACTTACTATTTTGATGAAGGACAAAATTGCATAACAGAAGTGAAACTTCCAGGAAAAACAACCACGAAAATTAGTCACAAAGAATGATGACATACTCACTATTGCATAAGAAGACTTTGAGGCGAGACGCTAGAGTAGTGAAGCATTCGAAGTTTGAAAAAAACAATTTAAGTCAAAGATAGCAATTAAAATATCTCATAATGCAGGTCCATGCAATGTAAACTGCCCACTAAAGCAAAGTGCACAGGCTAGATGATTCTTCACTGAAAAGTTCGTGTATACCCAAACTGTGAATACTAAACCTACCTTGAAAACACAGGTGGAATTCCGCTCTCTAAACTTTTTAACCTTTTGTGCATGGAACCAATTTGACTTGAGCAGAGCAATACAAAAAAAAAAAATGAAAATAAAATAAAGACGGAGGCAAATGAAAGCAAAATCTAAAACAGCCCACCTCTGTAAGACATTTGTTTCAAACAAAATCGGCTACTAAAGTAAATATGGACATCAATACACTGTGATCCAGTGTAGCTGTAATATAAACGGTGTAAAGCTCTTCTAGTTCTTTAGAGCAATCTCCAGTAAGAAAATTTTGAATTTCCGTCGTGACACAAAACTAAATTAACAACCAAACGAAAAGAGAGAGAGGGAACAAAAACTTATTCTTTTCGTTACCCAGCAAAAACAATGAAAAAGTGATAATTCCAAAATTTATCAAACAGAGACAAAAACATGTGGAGTATAGTGTTGTTACTGTTTAATGCTTTTCTTTTTAAAACTTTCTCAGCTGTTCACTTGAGCCCTTCAACTCAGCCCATACTGATCGACAAAGAGAACACATCTGAGACAAAAGAGAGAAAGTGTGTGTTGTGTGTTTTAGTTTTGTTATTGTTCAAATAATTACTTAGAAAACCCACCTTTTGAAAAGCTTTTGAGGCGAATTTAACAGTTTATGCATTTTACACAAACCAAGTTAGAAAATTATCCCAGGAAGAAAAACCATCAACATCAAAAGATTAGAGAATTTTCTTGCCTCGTTTCTTAATATCATATCTACTTGAATAAAGAGCATCGGAAAGCTGGGAGTTCACTTTAAAAATCACTTACTGCCAGTTCATTTGCACGAAATAAGAGAAACCTCTGTTTAAAAATCACCGTTCATTAAAGAGTCTTTTAAATTTCAGTTTCATTACGACCGCAGGTAGACGAAATCATATCTCCACACATATATAACTTTTCAGTTGACTACCCATTATCAGGCAGCTTAATTTTGCAAGCTAGTCGTCGATAATCGTCATCGAGTATAACCAAGTTAGGGGCCCGAATCAAAAACATTTCACAATTTCACTATGACGTCCCCGATGGCCGACAGAAGAAAGTCAACGGAAACAGTTTCGCCAACTACTTCAAACAGGGCCGATGATGACAGAGACAGTACCACATACAACAATAGCATTTTCTCTTCTACACCAAATCAAGAAAAGAAGGAGACAGAACAACGACCTGAAATTCTGAGAAGAACTACTTTCGACTACGACTTTGTCGCAAAGAGTGTTTTGTCACCACCACAAGTGCTGGAAAGTTTGGCAAAGCTAAAGCTAAACACTTCGTTACCAGCTGAATCATCATTTCCATCTTCGGAAAATCCTTCGGCCCTAAGCTTGAATTATGAATTGAGTTCCGATTACGGTGTGGAACCATCCAGATTAATCAAACCCCCATCACGTATCAGTATACCAGGAACTAGCTCACAAGGATACTCCACTGACCAAACATCTAGCCCAGACGACGAAAATAGAGCAATCATTAATCCCGACCAAAGCATATCCACTTTGTTTGGTGACGACGAGGACTTGAACTCGGTAGCTTCTTCCCGAGCACTCACAATGGATGAAGATAGCTCTTCTCTATCACTGGAGACTCGCGAAAATGTGGCATTGGGGAAGTCGTCGTATTTGAATAATGTTAATTATATAAGGGACCATTTGGATTTCTTGAACCAAAATTTGAATACCAACAAATCACCTAGAGGCTCTGATTCAAAATACCTGGACTTCGTCAATATATCACCGGACACTATACCTGGTTATAATTTGCTCAAACAATTTGGAAGTAGTAGTTTTCAAACGAACCTATTGTACCACGGAATAAAGGTGGGGAGCACTGACGACGCAAACACAGACAGCTTTTCTTGTAAGTTGGCTGGTGACCAGAGAGATTATATCGAGACCAACTCGAAGGTAGTTTTGAGTATTTCATCAAATATCTTGAAGAATATGTCACTTTCAAGGCTCCTTAATGAGTGGCACGTTTTGTCGGGTACAAAACCACCAAAGACTCATCTTTTGTGGTCGAATGAAACGTTGACCAACCAGTTTATCACCGATACCGAGCGACCAAAACTTCAAAAGGACAAAAAGCATGGTCTAAACACTTTACCATTGGGAGTTCCAGGTATCTTATACCCCGTTGAAATTTTGACATTCAGCTTTGTTAGCGATCAGGGAATAGAGCTCAATCGCAAGAATTTGAAAAAACAAAAGCGTGTTGCATTGGTTTATAATGATAATGATTACAAATCTTTTCGCGAATATAGCTGTGGGACCGCAGAATTACACCCTGAAAGAAATTCGTCAACTTCTTCCTATGGCTCGGGTTCTCGGTCAATCAAGAGTGCGAACTCCACATCACATAATACACCTAGTGACTCCATTGATCAATCAAATGGGTTCTTCGGTGGAGTTGGACCTGTTGGAGCCACTAGCTCGACAAATTCCTTATTCAACAGGTTGACGGAGCAAGTTTCGAGCAGCCCCAAGACCCCTTTGAAGGTGGTTGAGATAATCTCCGATATGATAAAGGTTGTTGAAACCTTGGGCGTTGTGCACGAGCTTGGCTTTGTCCATAATGGTATAACCAGTATGAATTTACTTAAATCAGAAAATGACCAGAATGATGTCAAGATAACCGGCTGGGAGTTTGCATTTTGTCATCTTGAAGATTGCATTTATGGATATAGGAAAAACCACTTGAACGAAATATCTGACTTGATCCCTTATATGGCTCCCGAAGTTTCTGGTGTTGTCAATCAAATGGTTGATCACAGATCAGATTTTTATTCCCTTGGTATAGTGATGTATGAGTTGTTATTGGGAACCTTGCCATTTCAAAGCGACGATCCCAATTCCATTGTACGAATGCACATATTTCAAAAGCCTGTTGCCCCACATTTGTTGGCACCCAATTGGATCTCAGAGAAACTAGGGGCCACCATCATGAGATGCCTTGAAAAAAATCCACTGGACAGATACACTGATTGCTACTCTTTACTAAGTGATTTGATTTTGATTAAAAATCACTACATTGATAGGGTAAGCTCCATGGGCGAGTTGGTATGGAATCACTGGAAAAGGACGGGGGAATTTGATGTCTATCTCAACAAGGAAAAAATGAAACATCCCGAAAAAGTGGGTCACACACCAACACTCACGTTTCCAGCGAAATTTATAGGCCGCGATGAATTGTACAAAAAGATCTTTGATGAATACAATGACACTTTCGACGGGGGTGTTAACTTGTTTTGGATAAGTGGTGAAAGTGGTGTTGGAAAAACCATTATTTTGAATGATATGCGTGTAGGCGCATTCTTCAAGTATGACTTTTATTGCATTTGGAAGTTTTCATGTTCTGATACAGGAAACTCAATTTATCTGATTCTTTTGGAAGGAATCAAAACGATCATTGGTCAAATTTTGGAATGTTCTGAAGAAATACAAGATAGTTGGCGAGATTTGATTGTCACCAATATCCCATTGGATTTGAGTATCTTGTTTTACCTCATTCCGCAATTGAGAAAACTATTGGGTCCGAAATACATCTCAATTTATCAGCATAAACTGGGAACAAACTCGCCAGGAGGTGCAAATAGAGAGGAAGCAACCTCAACTTTGGAAGTCAAGTTCAGAGCAATTATAAAATCATTTTACAAAGTTGTTGGTTTGCAAGGGTTGACAATTTTTATCGATGATGTACATTGGTGCAGTCAAGAATCGTGGCACCTATTATGTGATATGTTGAATTTCGATGATGAAGCAGACATAAGTCAGATGTCTTTGAAGATTGTTTCCACTTTCACAACCGATGCTAAACAATTTCAAGAAAACATCAGTAGTGTGGAAAAAGAGAAGCGGTTCAAGAATTACGTTAATAGATCCAACATGTCGTTACATGTGTTTGATGTGCCGAAAGTACCCGGCGATGCTTACAAAAGTTGGATTCTGCAAGTCATCGGCACGAATTCATCATCAGCCAGACACGGAAGTGGCCCCCCACCTGCTCCACAACAAAGTAGCATGTCTTCAATGATCAATAAGACTACAACTGAAAAGAAGAGTCCTAAATCTTCAGCCATGAACACCACGGCAATTGCTAACGCTTTGAGGTTTTACGAGGCCACTGACGGGAACGTAATGTTAGCGCAATATGCGATAAGCATGGCTCGATTCAGTCAGCATTGCTTTTATGTAAAACATGCAAATTATGGCCGATTTGTTGTGGACAATTTGTCGATTGAAAATTACGGAGCAAGCAAGAGCGAGATCATTGAAAACTTTATCAAAGCTTCTATCAACTCAGATATGAAAAGTTTGCTTGAATTTGCTGCGATCATTTCCCAAGGACCAGGTTTCCACCTCTCTGATTTGATTGTCGCTTCTTCTTTGCCGATGGACAAGGTGTTCAAAACACTTTCACTTTTGGTTGACGCAAAGATACTTTTGCCTACAACTACATACTACAAAGTTCCATTCGATTTGATTTGCTCAAGTGAGTCGCCTTTTGACTTGCCGGATAATGATATATGGGAGTTGACATCGCATTGCAGTTATAGGTTTTATTACGATTCACTCATTGTCCACATCATTGCAGATTTAGTTGCCACCGACAAATACATGGAATTATCAAGACTTTGTGCTCTTAGATATCACAAAACTGTAAGCAAAGAAAAGAATTTAAACATTGGGGTCTATCTACAAATGGCGGGATATTTTCGCAACTCCTATCAAGTGGCAAGACAAGAGGAAAAAGAGTTGTATATCGAGGTCTTGGTTCAAGCTGGCAGATATGCATCATCAACCTATAACATGAAGTTGGCACAAAAGTTATTTGAAGTGGTAGGTGAACTTGTTGATGAGCTTGACTCCAAGCGTCAGCTCAAATCTATATTAACCGTGTCTCAAAATCACTACTATTTCGGTGAGTACGACAAGTGTTTGGAGGTAATGAACAATGCTCAAAAGAAGTACGGATTTGACCGCATTGTTTTCCTATATCAATTGGTTCGATGTAAAATTCAAATGGGTGATATCGAGGAAGCAATTAAAATAAGTTTCGAAAGTTTGCCTAAACTCGGAATCACAATCAGTGATGATGAAGAGCAGAACATCAAAAACTATCAAACGATCAAGTCCAAAATTCCAATTTCAGTACCCGATATTAGAAACATCCTAAGAGTAAAACCGACAGAGTCTCCAAAGCTTTTACTTATCTACCATTTGATAAGTCAGCTTCTACCATCATTGGTTGTTTTTCGCAAGAACGCTAGCAGAAAACTTTTGGTGGTGCAAGCGATGCAAGCCATTTACAAACACGGGCCGTCACCGTTTGCTGCTATGATCATCATTGACTTTGCTTCCGATTTTGCAAGCGAGTTTACATCCGCTGGCCAAGTGAGAGCCAAGGAGCTTTGTAAAGTTGCCATGATTTTGGTCAATCATGCAAGCAACGTATCGATTAATTACTACCGGGAAATCTATCAACTTTACGTTTGTACATTGGCCCTATATCTTGAGCCAATGCCGGCGATCCTCAAGTATTACGAGACAGGCTTGGAAAGTACCCAAAATGAGATGCTTCTGGGGTTTGGAGAGTTGCGCATTGTGATGTCAACAATTGACATATTTCTACTTCTTTTGGGCGGCAAGGCCTATGATATATCTTATCTGATGAAGAGAAGGAAATCACAGAGACAGAAATTGGGACTACTGGATGAACAGATGTTTGTTTTTGATTCAGAAGATTGCGTGCTTGGGTCGTTGTCTGCTGTTGATTATCAAGCCCGATATGAGGCAACTATGATGAAGGAGAAAAGTTTGAGCCAATTTTGCTACTTTGCGGTAGTATTGAACGGTATGATAGTAGAGAAGAGGTACGATGAAGGTGTCGAGTTGATGTTGAACAAGTCCCACGAAGTTGTTGAATCATATCCGCTTTTGTTCTACTCCAGTCATTACTATATGGTATCGGCTATTATAATCACCTTTGCCTCAAAAGGAGATCGAACTGTTGAAGAAAGGAAGACTGGTATTTTCAATGACATATATCATCGAGTGAAGTTGTGGGCATCAACAAATGAGCATAATTTTGGTAACCGCGTCATTTTCCTACTGGCTTTGAAAGCTGTCAGAGACGGTAATACGGACCACTTGGAGATTCTCGACATCTTTGAGGATGCTATTGACAAGGGTGCAAAAGCTCAGAATTGGTATGACGTGTCGTGGATTAGTGTGTTTTGTGCCAGGTGGTTAGTCAACTGCAATAAAAGTAAAAGAAGAATTGGTCAATTAGCCAAGCGCGCCATTGATATAATGAAGAAGTTGGAATTTGACGAGTTTGTCAAACTATTACTGGAAGAGTTTAAGAAATACCTTGAGCAGGATTGTGCATTGTTTAGCTGGGCCGGTATTGGCAAAATGAAGCAGCGTGAAGAAGGAACAAGGCACGCAAAGATATTACCTTCCAATCTTCCAATCAGCACAGATGATAGTGTAAGCGAAGATATGAAGTCACAAATGAAATTGAACAGACAGTCGAGAAAAGCTAAGCATAGAACAAAGAAGAACGAAAATGCCAATGCCGCGTATGATTTGAATTCCACGATACAAGCATGTTTGGGGATATCCGAAGCCAGTGACGAACGAACTATCTTGATTGAGTTGTTAACATGCGCTATCAAATTTGCTGAGGTTGATTATGGTGTGGTTGTGCATATGAGTGGAGAACCTAAAATTATAGGTGTTGGCTCGGCACAACACATATACACCTTAAATGAAGAGCCATTGAGCTCCAGGACTGATGTTTGTCCTTATCAATTGTTGGTGCATGTTTTGGATACAGGAGAAGCCGTCAACAAGGAAGATGACCATATTGCTTTTACAAATCGTTTCGGCAAAGATTCTTACTATACACACAACTCTTGTTCCACGATCTTGTGTATCCCTTTGCAAAATCAATTTGGAGTTTTTGGTGCCTTGTATTTGGAAGTCGATTCGAGAAAAGATAAAAAGAAGGCCATCTTTGATGGTCGGAAGCGTGATTTGATAAACTTGTTTTGTACTCAAGCATCAGTGGCAATGGGTAAAGCGAGGTTGATTTCACAAATGGAAGTTGCCAAATTGGCGGCGGAGGATGCCACAGCCGAAAAAGCAAGCTTTTTGGCCAACATGTCCCATGAAATTAGAACGCCATTCAATTCGTTATTGTCTTGCTCAATATTTTTATTAGACACCACATTGAACTCAACCCAGAGAGAATATGTTGAAGCCATTAAAAGCTCGGCAATGGTGACATTGAATATAATTGATGGTATATTGGCATTTTCAAAAATTGAGCATGGGTCATTCACGTTGGAAAACTCGCCGTTTTCACTCAACGATTGTATTGAAAGTGCTATACAATTGGGAGGAGAACAAGTTGTTGACAATGATTTGGAGTTGGTGTTTTTCAACAATTGTCCTCAGATTAATACAGTTACTGGTGATGTCACTCGAGTAAGACAAATTATCATCAACTTGGTTGGTAATGCAATGAAGTTTACCACTCATGGCCATATAATCGTCAATTGCAATGCTGCGGAATTAACTCCAGAAAGATACGAAGTTACACTTTCTGTGGAGGACACGGGAATTGGTATACCAGAGTTGTCGCAGAATAAAGTATTTGGGGCATTTTCACAAGTGGATGGATCATCTCGACGAGAGTTTGGTGGATCGGGTTTAGGATTGGCGATATCAAAGAAGTTGGCCGATTTAATGGGTGGTGATATTCGATTTGAGAGTGAGGAAGGTGTTGGAAGTACTTTTTACTTTGATGTTGCGTTTAATGTGCTGTTGTTTGATAAACCGGAGATTGAATTGCAAGGGAAAACGGCATTAATATTGAATAAATTGGATTTGACTGGGGCATCGTTGAAGAATATGTTGACATTTTTCAAATTGGCAGTGGACGACGTACGTGATGTTGATGACATTAAGGATGGTGGGGTTTATGACTTTTTGTTTGTAAATTTGGATGAATACGATGAGTTTAGTCGGTTGGAACCTCAATTGAAACAAAGTGCCAAGATTGTTATTTTAGCACAATTTGGTAAGCCATTGACGGGGGAAAGCGCCAAATACGAAGCATTATTGTGTCCCTTCCAACGCGAACGAGTAGTGAGATTGCTTCGAGACGTTAAACCAGAAGTTAAACCCAGTGTGATTACGCCAGTTCTGTTGGCCGATGAATACCCATTGAGAATTCTTCTTGCTGAAGATAATTTGTTAAACTACAAGGTTGCCTTAAAGTATTTGGAGAAATTGGGCTTTGAAGCCGACCACGCTAAAGATGGAGTTGAAGTTTTAGAAAAGTGTAATTCATTATTAGAAAAAGGTGAGAAATACGATGTCATATTGATGGATATACAAATGCCTACAAAAGATGGTATATCTGCCACCAAAGAGTTGATTGAAAAGTACACTAAATTGAATAAACAAAATTACATCCCCAAAATTGTTGCATTGACGGCGAATGTTGCTGGTGATGATCGAAAAAAGTGCATTGAATGTGGTATGGTTGATTTTGTATCAAAGCCAATCTTGCCCAACGAATTGAAGCGAGTATTGACACATTTGGGAAAAATGGTGGGAGAGGAAAACAAGAAAGGCTAAACTGGAAACGCAAACTGATTTTTCCGGGGGTTGCTTTAGATTAATTTGATAGATTAAAGAAATACATTTTGAATTCAAACAATATTCGAGTTCTATGTAGCTGTGCTTCTTTTAGATTGTGAATTTGTACTCTTGTTTAAACTTCACCAATTTCGGATATTCTTCTTCTCTAGTCTTTTCCCATTGCTTTTGAAGAGATTTAATCCTTTCGACTTCATGATCAGGCACATCAAATGACTTTTTCTCTTCATCGGACAATGCTTTCCATTTTGCTGCCAATCTTGTCATTGCTTCACGTCCAGATACATCTGGAGGATAATTTTGACTAACGAAATTTTGATAGGCTGAAGTAGGGCCCAAGACCGGTTTAGGTGTCAATATTGATTTCAATGCATGATTGTACTTGTTAGTAGCCTCTTTATATTTAGCAACTTCGGATTCGGACAACTCTGCAAATTTCTCCTTCAATTCATACACTGGAGTCTTGGTTGCTTTGGCAAAATAGTTGTGAACATTTAATGAACGTGGTTCTCTCAATGTATCTTTCAAGAAAGCCTTATGTTTCTCAGCTTCCTTTTGTTCTTTCAATTTAGTCTTTTCTTGGGTTGCTGCCTTCTTTTTACGTTCTTTACTCAACTCTCTGATTTCTCTGGTTTTGTCCTTGAGGTCTTGTTCAATCGATTTCTTTTTATCCTTGGCTGTTTGAAGCTTCTTCTTCAAATAAGCAGCTTCCTTATCTTTGGAGGATCGAGTGGTTTTGGCGGTTGAGTAGTTTACAACTTGGTGGCGAATAGACGCGCTACTTAAAGGCTTACAGATAACCTGAGTTGCCAATGCCCTACTAGGGTTAACAATGAGTCTCAACATTGCTGCAATAAGCTCTGCTTTGGTGCTAAATCTGTACAAATTTGTTGTGAATTGAGTTGAACTTGAGAAACTTCTTTTTTGCTTTTGTTTATATTTTGTTTATATTTTGTTTATATTTTGTTAGCCTCACATGACTTTCTCCTTCTCTCTCCCTCTCGCATTCCAGCCCATAGACAACCCAAAAGGGAAATAGACAAAACAGTAATGTAATAGTCCCCAATCCACAAAACTTTAAAAGAAGTGGTGCTATGTAGGTGGTTGAGTGTAAGTTTAGGAATAAGCCAAGAGGTGTTGAAAAAGTGCTATTATAGAGTCAATGGTATCTATTCTCAAGTTTGTAGTAGAGATCTTACTTCGGACACAATATACATGGGCTTGAAGTGGATACGAAACTCCTTTCAGCCAAAAGCGAAACCGAATCACTTCCTACCGAAAACCGCTTCACTACCTTTGACGGAAATATATTAGTATAATCATAGATTTCACTTTGAGGGAGAAAATATATCACATTCCCAATGGCACTACCTATTTAATGTCCAACCCATCTGTTCGAGATATCAATACCTTACAATCTAAAGTGCCATTACAACTCTGATGATGTGTACACTCAAAACACGGGTGTTATCTCAATTCCTCTTCCTCTTCCTCCCCCTCTAAATTCCCCAATCTTCTTCTTTGTTCCATTGCGTAAAAAAACAAAACTGAATTCAAGATTTCATTTTTTTTTAAAATTTTTCTGCTGCAAGAAGATCAGTTTCCAGAACAACAAACAACAATCATATAAATAACTCCTCCTTTCACCGAATCACATATGTTTTCCGCAGCTCGTTCAGATACGTTGTTCTTAGGGGCTCAAAAAGTCACTGGTGACGATGTGCGTAACCAAACAGTTTTGGCTGCGCAAACAGTGGCCAATGTTGTCAAGTCATCTTTGGGACCAGTTGGATTGGATAAAATGTTGGTTGACGATATCGGAGATGTCACTGTGACCAATGATGGGGCTACTATTTTGGCATTGTTGGATGTCCAACATCCAGCTGGTCAAATTTTGGTAGAATTGGCTCAACAGCAAGATCGCGAAGTTGGTGATGGAACAACTTCAGTGGTTATCATTGCTGCTGAGTTATTGAAGCGTGCCAATGAGTTGGTCAAACATAAAGTACATCCAACCACAATCATCAGTGGATACAGATTAGCATTGAAGGAATCGATCAGATATATAAATCAAATCTTGTCACAAAATGTTGATCAATTGGGAAAGGAAACCTTGATTAACATCGCCAAGACATCAATGTCATCGAAAATCATTGGAGCTGATTCTGATTTTTTCAGCAAGATTGTCGTTGATGCAATGTTGGCGGTAAAGACAACAAACTCAAAGGGGGAAACTAAATATCCAGTTAAAGCAGTAAACATTTTGAAAGCTCACGGTAAATCAGCATTGGAGTCGGTATTGGTCGAAGGCTATGCTTTGAACTGTACTGTTGCTTCACAAGCCATGGTGAAGGAGGTCAAAAATGCCAAGATTGCTTGTCTTGATATCAATTTACAAAAAGCGAGAATGGCAATGGGTGTACAAATAAATATTGAAGATCCTGATCAATTGGAAGAGATTAGGAAAAGAGAATATGGAATCATTATTGAGCGAATTCAGAAAATTATCGCCAGTGGTGCTAACGTCATCTTAACAACAAAGGGAATTGATGATTTATGTTTAAAAGAATTTGTTGAAAATGGATGTATGGCTGTTAGACGTTGTAAAAAAGAGGATTTACGCAGAATTGCTCGTGCCACTGGTGCCACTTTGGTATCATCATTGAGTAATTTGGAAGGTGAAGAAACGTTTGAAGCTAGTAATTTGGGTTCAGCACAAGAAGTCGTACAAACAAGAATCAGTGATGATGAATGCATATTAATAAAGGGAACCAAGCAACATTCATCAAGTTCGATAATTTTGAGAGGTCCAAATGATTATTCATTGGATGAAATGCAAAGATCTATAAATGATTCACTTTCAGTAGTGAAGAGGACGTTGGAAAGTGGTAATGTCGTACCTGGAGGAGGAGCAGTTGAAACTGCGCTAAACATTTATTTGGAAAATTTTGCTTCAACAGTGGGGTCGAGAGAACAATTGGCAATTGCAGAATTTGGTGCAGCATTGTTGATTATCCCCAAGACGTTGGCAATGAATGCAGCTAAAGATGCATCGGAATTGGTTTCGAAATTGAGAACATATCACGCTGCGGCACAATTGGCCAAGACTGATGATGAAAAAAGGAAAAAATATAAGAATTATGGGTTAGATTTGATACATGGCAAGATTGTAAATGAAGCTACCCAAGGTGTTTTGGAACCAACAATTTCCAAGATTAAGGCATTGAAATCGGCATTGGAAGCTTGTGTTTCGATATTGAGAATTGATACCATCATTGAAGTGCACCCAGAGCCACCAAAGGAAGATCCTCATGCTCATTGAGGCAGGAGATAGAAGAATTGGAGATTTGTATTTTTAGTGAAGTTTTGTGTACAATAAAGACGGCAGAGATAGTATATTACATCTTGGTGACAAGTCAGTAGTTTATAAAATGTGTACAATATTAAAATAACAAATCCCTATAACCTATTAAACCCCAAAAGAAAAAAAATTAAAAAAACAAACCATCCATTTCGAGAACTAAATGTACAATCATCCCATTAAAGTTTGCATCAAGCTACAACTTTACCTGAAGAGGTCAATAAACTCATCATTGATCTTTTCTTTTTGATGATGGGCGCCAAGTATTGATTCTTATCCTTTTCGCCACCACCAAATTTGGCAGATTTGGAAATTGGAATTTGTTGTGAATGAAGTTGCTGTTGTAGTACTTGAGTTGATGGTTTAAGGGTGTTTAGATTGTTTTGTGAAGTTGATGATAATGGTAATTTGTGAGATTGGGGTTTAGTGTATTGATGTGACAAGACATTGTTGGAGTCATATTGTGATAAATTGGATGCAATTGATGATGATGTAGACACAGTTCCACTTCCACCACTGTTGATGTTGTTGTTAGAATGTAGTGAGTAATTCGAAGATGTTGATGATAATGACGATGAAAGTGAAGATGAAGAAGTAACCACTGGGGTAGAGCTTCTTGAAGAAAACCTTGAGCCCATTGACACTATTGAATTGGTTGATTTCTTTTGTTGTGTCAATCTATAGTATTTAATTCTTTGCATAGATTCAATTTCTTGTTGTTGTAATAAGCAAGACTTGATACCAATCAAAAATGGTTGTAATGTATAAATCAATTCTTCTTGAGTAATATTGATATTCCAATTCAAAATCGAAATCAATTCACGTTCAGCCAAGTTAACTTCTTGTAAAGTCAATAAACCATCAGTATATTTTGTCCAATGTTTATTCAAAGGTGAACTATCATTTAATGATTTAGCAGCAACAATTAGTGCTGATAAAAAAATTCGATGTCTAGTAGTTTCCATCCCCACTGCATTTGCGGGTAAGTAGTTGCGTAATTTGTTTAAATAGACGAGGGTTGCCATTAGTGTTGGTGTTTGAACATTGGAATATTTAATCAAGTTTTTGATAAACTGAGTCAAAGTGATTGGTGGATTGATGGATAAAATCTCGGTACTGGAGTTTAACAGCAGCAGGGATGAATATGATGCTGGTGATGGCAACTGCTGTTGCGGTTGTGGTTGTGGTTGTGGTTGTGATTGTTGAGGTTTAACTTGTATTATTGAGTTTGTAGTGGATACAAGGAAATTAATCATATCCGAATTGACTGGTTGTCTTGCAAATATCTTTAATGCTTCTCTATCAGACATTGTAGATGTGAATGTAATAATTGGTGTATGAATGTGATGGTATTGAGATGGCAAGAATTATACAGTTGGTTGGTGTCAAGTAGTACAAGGTGAGTTGTCAATGTTGCAAATAAGGCTATAGGATATTCTTTGATTAGTGTTGTCTGTATCTGAGAATAGCGATTCTTTTCCTTCTATGTATAGAAAAGACGATCAAGACGCTCTATTGTATATATATATATATATTTAAGCTTTGATATATATATATATATTCTGAATACGGTATATTTGAAAGAATAAAATTAAACGCCAGAATTAATGTAGTACAAAAGTAGGTTACAGTATTTAAAATTACTTTAACAAGGTACATGTCCCAATTAGGAAATATGAAAGATAAAAGTTGCACAAACATGACCTCACTACAATATCTCTTTTTTTTTTCTCGTGTCTCGACTATTACGTAATACATAAGTACGCCTATTATAAAGCACTTATGTAATATAGAGTAGTTTGTATTACGTAATAATAACAATGTTTTCTCCTTCTAGGGAAAGGAGTTGCAAAACGATGAAACAATTTCTTAGCAAGAAGAAAGAGTAATATACACAAAGAAATTTTAATAACTCCATATGGGAAGGAGTAAGCATTGTAATCTTACACTTTTCTCTTTCACATATACCACAAGAACTCAAACCAATACAATGGGCATGTAGAGCATAGAAGCATGAAATTGAAAACCAACAAGGAAAGAAAGTGAACAATGAGATTTGTGCAGTAGAAGCAGTGGAAGAAGCAGCGAAGAGTAACAAGTGTTTGGTCATCCTTTCAAGTGGTCTATTGAAAGTACATTGAGTGTGTACACACAAGAAGAGTAACTTGAGCAAACTAAGTTCATATCTCAATTTGTTGTAATTTACTTGATTTGGGATAGACTGTAATGGAGATAGTGAAACAGGTTATTGATTTAAAGTGGGGAAGGCATTACAGATGAGAGATCAGGATCCATCATTCTACTAGACCATAACCAGCAGAAACGTTTTCTTTTCTGGAGAAAAGCCCAAAAAAGAAAAGAGAAAAAAAAAAAAAAAAATTGTCTTTTGCCCCAATAGAGTATTTTGATTGCTACTATAGTTAAAAGCTTCTCTTCTAGGGCAAGACCGTCATCTCCAAAATGGCGGATACTCATGTGGTCATCACAACTTCCTTATTTCTGTTAACACCTTGTTTCTCAATTAGTTTTGTTGGTGGTAAACCTTCGTTGGTTTGACTGTTGCTATAAAATTACATTACCTAATTGAGTTTAAGATTGAATCTGTTTGCATGCAGGATTAATAATTAGATAAAACGTTTTTTTTTTTTTTTCTTTTTTTTATTTTCATTTCCATTTTTTACTTTTTCGTGTTTTTCATTTAAGTACGCGTATGTACGCGTAGAAAAGTTATCATAAACTATTACAAAAGCACACATCTTTGTTTACCTTTTCTTTTGTACCGTGTATTATCAATAAACAAGGGGAAGGGGGAAGTTTACACAACACGCTAAATCCCCAATCTGTCAATAAACAATACAATACAATGGGCTAGAGTGTATCACGCAATAACAAACCACAGAAACTACCTCCTTTTTGTTTATCGGTTGTTCTTTCTCCAATCTAGAACCTATTCCTTAGGTACTGTTTGTACTACAATCACCTCCAGGTCATGGACCACCCACTACTGCCCTTTAACAAAGAGAACGACTTCGCCACACTAAGATTGTGATGAATTCGATACTCGGTTGCATCTTTGTATCCGACGTGTTTTTCAAAATACCTCAATGCAAAGGAGTGATGTTGTGTAAGACTACTAGGTCGTCATAAATCAAGTTATTTCGACCGCCTCCCACCTCCATACTCTGCTGCAACCCGTGCTTTGACTTATGACACACCCACACGCTCTCTTTCTCTTTCTCTTTCTCTTTCTCTTTCTCTTGCGACTTTAGGAATCACAATTTCATTCACAAAACATCCAACGCGAATCATAAAATATAGTAAACCACACCCGTGTGACTGTTTTTAGTTTTGAGCTTTGCAGCATCGTCACTCTCGCGAATTAACCCATCAAAGTTTGATTCAATTTTCCTTCGTGTCGCGTTGAAAATTTTAGACACCTCCTCCATAGAGAAGATCTAGACCAACTCTTAATCCTTTACGAAAAACGAGATTGCACTTGGCTCTTTTTCATCTACTACAATACAAACAATACTAAAAAACTACAAAAAAAAGTAAACCAAAATAACAAATGTTTTCCACACCAACATTTGCTTCTACCCTTCCTACTCCCTCCTTCCCTCTCCTCCTTCCCCCTCTCTCTCCTTCCTCCACTACAAACCAGCAGAATCTGGATAATAAAAAAATGCCAATGCAATTATCAAATAAGTTGACAACAACATCGCACCTTCTAACCAGTTACTCTCACCATCCAAAATCACCAAGTTAGTAATAAAGACACTAACAAACAAAATGGCAGTTTCGAAAGTGGAGAAATACAACGACATTGGAACATCAATCATCCAACCAACTAAAACCATGAATGGGGTAACAAATATAGCAATTTGTAAAGAAGAACCCACAGCAACCCCAATTGCAAGATCCATCTTGTCCTTCATGGCAACGATTATCGCAGTTACATGTTCAGCTGCATTTCCAACTATTGGAATAACAATCAAACCAATAAATGTTTTTGAAAGACCTGATTTCTCAACAATTTCATCAATGGAACCAACTAAATAATCGGCAGATACTGAAACCAATAATGTAGTGAGTAGCAATACCGTTAATCCTCCTAAAACCAGCAAATGATCATCTTCTGATTTACTACCAGTGATTATATCATCTGATGAAGTATTATTGTTGTGTGCTTGTTCATCGACAAAATCTTCAGTGGCTTCAAATAACGACTTATGTGTCTTTAAAGAAAAAAGCAAGTAAAACAAATAAATCACCAACAAGATGATTGACACACCACGAGAAAGACTGAGGATCAAATCATCAGAAGTACCTGGTTCTGGGAATTGACCCTTGTCTCCCTTTGGTGCGGGCAACGAAGCATGGAATGCAGCAGGAATCAATAATGAAGCAGTAGCCAATGCCATTAAACTCGACATTGTCTGAGCAACTGTTTGATTAAAAGTTTGTTGGACACGAGTAATACCACCAGCAACAAAACAACAACCAAGCACCAATAGTAAATTACTTAAAATCGAACCCAACATTGATGCTTGCACAATTCGAACTTGATTTTCCTTCAAGGCAATTATAGAAACAATCAATTCAACAGCATTACCAAATGTGGCATTCAATAATCCACCCACTGTTTGTCCCACATATTCACTAATTTCTTCCGTAGCATATGCCAATATTGAAGCCAAGGGAATAATGGCGAGGAAATTGAGCCAGAATCTAGCATTGGCCCCCCATTCCAATGCACCGGCAACAAGACCCAAAGGAACGAATATAAGCAAGTAGTTAACTGGCGATGATTTCAATGTCAATTTGGTGGCATTTGAGAAACTTTGAATAATGGATTGTGAATGTTGACGCGATGAGCCGCCAAGTAATGGTAAATCACTCATTGTAGAAAACTAGTCAGATCGGATTGTACTGGATTGGATCGGACAACTATAGTCTTATGAAAAATGTAATATAGGCTGTGTGAACTACTCTTTTGTCTAGTAGTATTATTTTTCCTCTTGCTCTTTTATACCCAGTTGTTGGTTTCTTGAAGATGAAATTCTACAATAAAAAAATAAATGCACGATTTATTAAAATCGTTCTGTGCCTGCAGGATTTAAACAACCAGCAATCATTCAACAAATTTATGCCCGAATGGTAAACTCGGTCCCCCGCGCGATTAAACGAATAATGAAAATGTGATTACAAAGTTAATGGAAAACTACTGTTTCTAAATTGAAAGGATGAGCCCCTTTGAATCGCACTTCCACTTTCTTTCCCTCCCCTACAAGCCTCGATCTCATCATTCTCGGCATGTCAATCTTGTGCTATGAGACATTTGCAAAAACAAAAAAAAAAATCTTGTCCTTTCACAACAATTGTTTTTGCGACATTCGTAATTGGTTACCACCCCCCACCTCTCGTTACTTTCTCTATACACACAAGGCTATACACCATTCTTTTCTTACTGAACCAACTCGGTCCATAAATAAGGTGTGAAAATAACAATAGCAGTAAACAATACTTCAATAGCTTCCCATATAGCAAGTGGGAACAAAACACCACGATCAATGAAATTCAAATAAATAGAATAAAATGCCACACTAAAGAAATGATTAAACAACAACATGGGGAATGGTAATACTCCACTTAATAATCCAATTGGTCCATCAACACAATCACCACCACGTTCAAAATACTTGAAACATCCACGTTGTAATATCTTTAATGGCTTCTTATCAGCGGCAAATAACGAGTACAATGCAATTGATAATGTATTGATCACTGCATCAAGGTTTTTCCGCTTGCGATGGAAAATGGTTAGCTTTTCTTGAACTAAATCATAGTCATCCAAATCCTCAACTGATTTTGGATCCAATAATCTTGCCAACAATACAGCGTCGTTTAATCCAACAGTCATTCCACCACCAGTTAATGGATGTCTCATATTCAATGAATCTCCAAGTAAGATTAATCCTCGTTGATTTTGTTTCTTTGCGGAAAGATACTGATTAGGCATGACTCTAAATTTCTTTTTTTCAACTGCAATTTTGAAAGCTGGGTATAGTTCTTTGGGTATCACTGGCAACACTTCTTTTTGCAAATAATTATAAATCTCATTCCTGGCTGCTGAGGGTGGCTTCGTGGATCTAAATGCACAAAGCACCCTGGTTTCCCCTGGCGACACTTGGTATATGAGTACTGGCGCATGATCGCCCAACAATACATGTCCTTTATTTGGTGCGGGTAATTTAGCATCTTCCAAATAAAATCCAACAAAATAAGACCCAATTGATGGTACGTTATCCTCTCCCAATGCACTTCTAAACTTGGAATAGATCCCATCGCATGATATGACTAATTTAGCCCGGTGCTGAAAATTTTCATCCTTTTGTAGCTTACCAGAAACACCAACAACGGTATCATTACATTCACGAACCAATTTGATAACTGTTCCTTCGATTGCTGTAACATTGGGCTCGTTTTTACATATGCTTCGTAAATTCTGCAAGAAATCCCCATGATGGAATGCAATGCCACGTACTCGTTCATCATTATCCCATTTGGTGACATCTATACTTGAGTCCAGTCTTAACTTATACTCCTTGCCCAATGGCCTGACAGGGTTGGTCACTTGAGCAACATCTTTAAATGGGTACTCAATAGTAACATGGTCATTATAATATTGGATATAGTATCCAGTACAGTCAATAGCGTTTATATCATTGATGGCATTTATCATGCCTAACTCTTTCAAAGCCTTGACACCGGCTGGTTGCATTAACTCTCCGACAATCCTATCGGGCCGTGACCAGTCTCGTTCAATGATTAAAACTGATCTTCCTTGTCTAGCCAAAGCTGTTGCTATGCATGGCCCAACTACACCAGCTCCAATCACAATAACATCATACTCGGTAGTCATTAGCCTCTAACTATGGGATGTTTTCCTCTTGTGTGGTGTATACGCTTTGTTTTTGTCTTGGTGACGGTGACTAGATTATATATCCTTCCCTCCCCTTGGCTTGATTTTGATGCATCATATGATTCTTTCTTTTTAAACAAATTTCACATTCTTTTTTTTTTTCACATCTAAACGACGCGCGACACTTTCTCTTTTTGACACCTTATTTTTTTATACGAGAAGCAAAAGCCGCATGATTTTTTTTTTTTTTTAGAAGAGTTGGCCGAGGTTAACGAGCCACAAACACTAATCGTTTGATCGTCGTGCCACTCAAGGAAGTATTCTTCATAGCTCCTGCCACGTATAGGCATAGAACACGCACTGCTGTATTTCCATTTTGAAAAGAGAACTAAGTATATTGAATTGCAAGTTATACTACACACCAAAATAATTCATGTAGATGAGTATTCTCTAAGATGACCTACTAACACCATGTTGATCAGATTTAAGACTGTGATTCAATAGCTTTGACAATGGCCCTTTCATTTCATTCCTCTATAAATTGAAAAGGAGGAGTGATTTCTATACCCTTACACACTTAAAGTATCTACAAATGTACAAACCTCGTGAAAAATTACCTATTCCTCATCTTCAGCTTCGCTATCTTCTTCAGCTTCTTCCAACCAATTGATAAACTTACTGGCCAAGCCTCTAACTTGACTCCCTTCATCTCCTTTATTCCACCATTTGAGAATATTATCTTCTTCAACAATTTCCAAATCATACAATGTTTTCAATACACAGAAAAGCACCACTTGACGGTATTCAGGATCTAAATCAGTAATCTGCTCCTCTAATGTGTCCAATAAATCAACTTCCTCCTCTGCGGTGAATGTTTGTCGACGATACATTTTACCCCAGTGACTGAATAGTTTCGTTGCCGCTTCTTGTGGTTTCAATGTATCGGTCGATACAAAATCAACGACTTTTTTCAAAATTGCTTCTGTAGTGACGCTTCTGACATCGTGGTAGTTGACATTCATTGACATACGCAACGTGTTTAATTCCAAAAGAGCGGTGTCTATATCATGATTGTTTTCAATTGCTCGACAAACAGTTGCCACACCCTCTACGCTGAAATCCTCTTCTGGTTCCGACATCATTGAGTTGGATGAAAACCTTCTGGTTCGAGAATGTGTACGTTTCTTTTTTCTGGTTACTGAAGCAATGGATTCGTCAGAATGGTTGAGAAGCTTCAAACGTGATAACATACCTTCAATTTCAATGCCATCATCTTTGGAAACTTTGCTATTGGTTATATCAGCACCTGAGTCGATCGTGACATTAAATCCGACAACACTATTGGAAACTCTGGCTGATTCTTTGACATGTCCTGATGATGCAACAATACTGGACTCTATGACAGCTCCATCTTCTATTACCGAATCATCCCAAATGTATGAGTTCAAAACGGATACATTTTTCCCAATGACACAATTTCTCCCAATGACTGATTTTTTAATACTAGTGCCATCACCAACTTTTGAATTTCTTCCAATGGCAACTGATGTACCAATCTTGCATGATTGTGCAAGCAACACTTTTTCCTCCTTGTAAATGTTGCTGAATTCAAAAGTGTACGACGTATCTGTCAAATTGACATCGGGAACCACTGGATAGCACCATCTGGCCAATATATCCTTGGAAACTGCATCATAAGTGCCCCAACTTTCTACTCTAGCTGAGTAATCTTGATTGATATACGTATAAACAGTCTTTTTCAATAAATCCGATGTCAACACTCCCCTTAAAAAGTCACTTCTCAAATACTGATAATCAAAGTTTTCTTGAAAAATTTGTGGTACATGTGGTGAGCAAATATCAACATGGCAATCGATTAAATCATTGTGTATGACAAATTCATCAACATCTTCAATCAATTCAGGATCTATATCAATAGATGACTTGGATAAATCTTGGTAGTAAATACACTTGTCATTTCTGTTATCTAGTACGAATGCTGCTGGGTCAATGTGAGATCTAGTTCTATGCAAGGGTGAAGCTTGAGTCAAAATCATGGTCATCATATAATCCTTATCTTGGGCTTTTTTGTTCTTGTGGAAATTGTACACTTTTTTAAAGTCAATGTTGCTAACAATATCACCAGTAACCAAAAGGAAATCACCAGTTATCAATCCTCGGTTATCAATATCTCTCATAGCATCACCAACCGATCGTGACTCCAATGACATAATGACGGTGGCATTCCATTTCGATTTCTCAATATACTCTTGTATCTGATCAGCATGAGATGAGCAAACGAGAAAGATTTCCGATATGTGAGCATTGGCAAGAAACTCCATAGTGTATTCAATCAATGGAACATTAACCAATGGTAGCAAGCATCTTGGCTTTGTTGTGGTTAGTGGAGAGAACCTGGTTTCAAATGAGTCGGTCAACACAACTGCCTGTAGCTTGTCCTCCTGTTGTGTTGTTTTTTTGACTTTAGGCGCCATTGATAGTACTTGTTTGAAATGAAGTAGATGTACAATTGTGCTTCCTTTTTGCAGTTTGGGAAGTGATGGAAAATTTTTGTTTCTAGGTGCGCTTTTGAAAGCCATGACTAACACACAACAGAACACCAACAAAATCTACACACTATGCTCTTAATTATCTCGTTTCAAAATTCATCAATAAGAAATACTATATATATACAGATTAAAATAAAAACACATTGGTAAACACCTGCGTATTGTTGTTCGCAAAACTTTGCACTCTCTTGAACTACTGCCCAATCATTAATTTTGTCGTTCTTGATCAATTCCCCCCCCACAGTAATCTATAAAGTTTCCTTCTTTTCACCAGCGATGCGTTTCTCTTCAGACGCTTTGTGATCAGCGGCCTGTTTTTCAGCATCCCTTTCATCCAAAACTTGTTTCCAATGAGGAAGTGGTGCAGGTTTGTTCTTGTTAATTTCGGCTTCTTTCAAACTCAACAAGATAGTACCCAATAACAAAACAACAGTAATTGCTTGTGCATAGACTCTTGCCTGCACAGCCTTTTGAGCAGTTGTCATGACTTTGTCTCTGTTGATCAAGGTCCAAGAACCATAAAGTGATGCAGCCCAAGCAGCAATAATAATTTGATACTTGTGGTTACCCAATGTTGTATAAATCTTTTCTGAAGTAGATAAGCTATTGAATTTTCTATGTTCTTCCAACATTTGTTGTTGTACGTAATCTGATTGATGCATCATCTTGTCAAATTCCCATGAACCTTGATCAGCCCAGAAAGCAGCGACACCAATGGTTGGAACAGCAATAATGGCTGCTTTGATACTAGCAGTGAATGTAGCAAATCTTGCAGGTCTCTTGTATTTGAAAAATGAATATATACCAGCAGCGGCAATACCACCATAAACTAAACCTTTAGCTCCTTCTGATAACACATGGTTCATGTGAGCATTTTTTTCGTCTTTTGAAAGAATCTTCATTGTGAATTGATGATATTTGATGAGTTAATAGTAGTGTTTTTCGAAGTAAAGTAATAAAATAGAAAAAGCAAGGAGAGAAATCAGCGTTTATATATGTATAAGGTATATTTGTATATTTGTATTTAAGCCCAATTACAATATTTATTGATCAGTCGATCCTGTATACAAGCAATACTCTTCTTCTTCTTCTTCTTCTTCTTCTTGTTGCTCTTCTTCTTTTAGTTTCTCAATTTCTTTTTATTTTTTCTTTTTCTTTGTGAAGCTGTACACCTTAGTTAATGCTAATAATGTAACAAAACACACAGCTAACAATAATACCGTTTATTACACATTATTATTATTATTATACATTACTATTATTTTAGCGCGGAAAAGTTTCAGTCTCAGTCTGTCTTTTACTTCCACAAAAACCATACTCATCGGACAAAATAGGAATAACAATAGGAAAAGTGTATCTTTACGCATGACTCCTCTTGAAGTTCTCTCTGTGTATTGATTCTTCCGATAATCCACTCGGAATTCGTGTGTTTTAACAAGGGGGGGAAAGGGGAGTGAGCATTACACAAGAATAACTAGGTTGTTGTCGTTAGCCACAACCCACAAACCACCAAAAATAGGCGCAAACCACGGGGATCAAACACCCGACCTCAAAATGGACATTGAAAACCGTCGCAAAGATATACTCAAGAGGCGCTATACAATTGACTTAGCGATACATAATGATGGGATAATTCTTGGTCGTATAAAACTCGTTTCTTCGCACCTTTTATTGTTGTTTTTATTAGTTAGAACTAGCGGCTTTTCTGGTGCACAAAAAACAATTCAGAAAAAAAATGTTTCCAAAAAATAAAAAGGATTGGTTCTATTAACTCTTGAAATAGGGTCACAGTTTACACACACACACACACACACCTAACACACACACACAGAATAGCGATGGCCCATTTACAAACAACCATGGACCACGACATGCCCATGCCCCCATCACATTCAATGCCAGATGATATGTGCTCAATGAATGTATGTTCAAATACTAGGTTTGACCCTTATCTGGCACATGTATACTAACATATTTTTCCAACTTAGATGTTGTTCACTTGGGACTGGAACAATTCCTGTATAGTGTTCAAATGGTGGCACGTTAAAACCTTTTATGGTTTCATCATTTCCATGGTGGCAATCACTTTACTTTCGTCTGGATACGAGTTGGTCAAAGGAATGGTCACCAATTGGGAGAGAAATTCCATTGCAACATTGACGGCATCAACAACTACATCAAACTCCAATTCTACTCAACAACGCAAGTTTAGAACTCAAAGGGGCATTTTGTACGGGATTCAAGTGTTTTATTCATTCTTCCTAATGTTGGTGTTTATGACATACAACGGATGGTACATGATTGCCGTGGCTGTCGGCGCCGGCTTAGGTAATTATTTCTGGGGTGGATCAAGTGAAAGAAGTTTATCATGCCACTAAAACTAAAATTTATGTTTTATATAATACGTGTAACTTAATGTCTAAAAAGAAGTAAATGAACCCAAAAAAATGGGTTAATTTTTAGATTCATTCAGTAGTGCTTCTATTTTTTTTTAAAGCACGCCAAGATGAAACCTTCTTTCCTCTTCAATCCGCGTGGCTCCAAACTTCTGACTCCTGCTAGTTCTTCCTTATAAATAGAATTGTTGAAAATCTTGGCTGCATACGCATTCTGTAAGAGAAATACTGATTAATCTGCATATCCGACCTGAAAGCTTTTCGGTCAACAGGGTCTTTTTTTTCTCTAGCGGAAAAGTCGATCAAAATGCTACAGGCTTGCGGATATGTGGTAGACTACCGGGGTAGTCTGTGGTATTTGCCAACAAATACTGTAGTGCACTACTCTTGCAGGGGTTATGTTTCTTGTTCTAAGTGTTTCGGCCATGGGTGAGCAGGCAGCTTCAATTGCAAACGTTTCTCGAACTTTGTGATTTAAATGAGCAATTGTCAATTCGCCCCTTCTTGCTTCTAACCATCTTTTTTCATCTTTTGCTTGTACTATTAGTGCTCTTCAAGCAATAGTCAGATAGCAGGATTGCTTGATGAGTGCAATGGTTGTCGACATGATCGATTAATTGACTAGATAGACACAAGATTCACAATCAATCTCTTTGTTTTTGAGATGCATCCCTTTTCTTAAAAAAAAAAAAACAATGTTAGCGATTTCCAATGACCGTCATCCCTTCCGCCGCCAAGTCTTTGATAACTTCATCTGACGCAAATTACACCATGTTTTGATCATTTCTATGTCACAAAAATATGAGAGTAAACTAACACAAACTTCGTGTATCATACATTCGTCACGAAACGCAAATTGAAGACTACCGTTGCTAGAATGTGCAAAAAAAATACACGCAAAGTCTAGATTACCAACTATGTAATTATGTCCAAAATTCGATTTGGCTCTCCACAAATTTCCACTCTCCCTCTTACCAGTATTAAGATTCCGCAAAACCTAAAAGTTGTTAGGGGCATTCGATACTGATCAATGTGCGGCTACGTAGAAAACACTTATATGGAATTTTTTAAATAACACTCCTAAACCAAAACCAACCAGGGGTCATCAAAGTCAGTTAATAAGTTTCAGGATGTGGGGCTATTGTTGGGCCGGTCAGCCTGGTTGATTACGGGTTGAGTGAAGTAAACTATGTCTCAACTACCTGTTTTCTCGAAAAGGAGATTGATCACACAAATCGAGAAAATAATTTTAAGCTGGTAAAGAAGGAGAACAAAAAGCGAATCCTGTTAGAGATGGTGATCGCGATGGCCCCTCTCTACTTTGGAATCTGATCACTCTTTACAGAGCGAAAAGATTAGTTGCAAAAAAGAAGTAAAAAAAAATGCTTGGTTATAGAAAAAATTAAATGCTCCATGTGGGGATTGAACCCACGATCTTCGCGTCTCAAAAGACTTTGGTACAGTCAAGTCCAAAAGTCGGAACTCGCCTATAAGCACGACGCTATAACCTCTTAGCTAATGGAGCGTACAAATTTGGCAACTGCGCCAGACACCAAATTCTTGGTACAAATTGGGTGCTAGGACAAAGTGATGCCTTCTGTTTGGCCCCCTAACTAGCTATATTTTTTAAGCGGCTTTTACCATATTTTCGACAAAAAGACTGTTTTTCGTGCACAATGGAGGTATCTATGTGAAACAAGGTAAGTCATGTATTTTTATACTTTTTAATAACAACTCTCTATGGTTCAATGTGTCTAAAGATTCATTCACTCAAAGCTTGGTTGTTAATAATTGATATTTACTCCATCTCAGGCACTGAATACTTCGGTCACTTAAATGAAAGTGAAATATTGGTGCATTCTATTCTTGTTATCATCCCGTTAGTGATTTGTTTTAGTTTGGGGAGGTCAAGAGCCAATGAAAAATGTCTACGTTTTAATTTGCAACAAAACGATCCAAAATTTTCAGATTTCAAGAAAAGTTAACCTGAGTGTTTGCAATAATGTGCAATTTCAAATAGACCTCGTTTGTTGAAATTGCTGGACCGTTCCATGAATTGCCTTAATTGATTCTGATAGTCATAACTAGTTTTTTTTTTTTGAAAAAACTCAGATATTTACTCTTTATTGCCATCGAAATCACATTCACTCAATTGAACTTCCAGCAATTGCTTCTTGGCCATTTATAAACGACATACAACCAGGAGCTAGCTCCTTCAACCTGGACATACATCGCTTAGAATATAGTGTTACACTCCATCTATCAATGAATCATGAAGAACCTTACGAAGATCAGCATTACTTTCGATCATAGAGAGCGTGTTCCAATTGAAGCACAACCACCAGTTTGCTGATCGTGTCTTCTGTTAGGCTACAGTGGGAGAAGATTTAACCAATCAAGCCAATCTCAGGTTTTTCTAGAATTGAGTGGTAGCATAAAACCATATCCACAATGCAGATCTCGATGATACCATGCTATTATCTTATCGATTAATGTGAATATCCGCCAAAAACAATGGGTGTAGCAAAATAATCTTCACCCTTTACCGTACTCTTGAATTCTCTTATCATCTCACAATACAGGTGACTACTTTTCGTATACGCTATATTTCCCAGGTTTCGCAGCCACATGAGATTCATTTTTTTTTTCTCGCACAAGATAAAAAACTCACCAGCTTTCAATTTTTTTTTTCTCATTCTCTTCTCATTCTCATCTCATCTCACACCAATGGCAGACAAAGTTAGATATTACTTGGAACAGTCAGTTCCCGAATTAGAGGACCTCAAAGTTAAGGGTCTATTCGACAAAAATGAAATCACCATGATCATGAGAAGACGGACTGATTTCGAACATAGAATCACTGGAAGAGGAAGTCGACCAAGGGATTACCTCAAATATAGTGAGTTTGAAAACAATTTGGAAAAGTTACGCAAAAAGAGGTATACAAGGTTGAGCAAAGTCGGGTTAGTTGATACTAAGCCGAACATAAGTGATTGGGCTGGTGTCCGTCGAATAATGTTTATACTTGATAGAGGAACAAAGAAATTTCCTGGAGATCAACAATTGTGGGCCGAATATTTGACTTATGCAAAGGATAACGGAGCAATCAAAGTTGTGTATAAAATTTATTCGAGATTGTTACAGTTGCAACCACGTAATGTTGATGCCTGGCTATCAGCGGCCAAGTATGAGTTTGAAACAAATGCCAATGCTAAAGGTACCAGATTGTTGTTTCAAAGAGGATTGAGACTTAACCCGGAATCAACAGCATTATGGTTGAGCTATGCACAATTTGAATTGACTTACATTTCAAAACTTCTTGCTAGAAGAAAGCTTTTAGGGTTGTTGACAGAATCAGAGCAAAAAAAGGAAACTGATGATATGATGATTTTACCCCAGGCCGAAACCACACTCAATCTCCCTGATGCAGATATGAGCATGCTTGGTAGCCCAGAAACAAATCCGGCACTAAAAGGTGATGTATTTCTTGCCATATTTGATGAATGTGTAAAAGCCAAGGGGTTTGATGTGGTGGAGAAATTTCTACACTTGATTGATCAGTTTGAGGATCTAGACAGAGATTATTTGTACAGCCATGTTCTCAATTACATTCAAAGAGAATATCCGGATGACATTGGGACAGCTTTCATTGACATTACCTTACCAATACGAACGAGTAATGATGGATTACAATTATCAGTAAACAAGTTTTTGGCATACAAAGCTAAGAACCCAAACAAGGAACTAACAAATATGTTTGTCAACAAATTAATGCAAATTGACGGCAATGAAAAGGTGAAACCATTGATTCAAGCAATTATCAAAAAAATTAATCCCGCTTAGATTCGGCATCCAAGGGGGAATACCTGTGTTTTATCAACTTCAGATTGATCCAGTTGTATGTGATAATGAGTACCAACGTGGATGTGACCACAGACGTCAAGCCTATGTAGAAGTATAGCATTCTATAGCTCATTGGAATGAATTCAGCTGGGAATTTGTAAAATCCGGCATCGTAGGGTAATCCATTCCCCCTTTTTGTTGACGCTTTAGGCTGTAACAGATCTAACCACCTAACAGCAAAGTTTAGCGTAAGTTTATCTCCAATGACTATTCTAGTGGTGTTTGTTCCTGACCCATACGCAATTGCACTTATAAATGTATTTTGTTCTGGATCGTTGCTGGTCGGCTTCGTGATCAATACATTCATTGAATGGTCAACGTCAATATGTGAATCAGTAAGGGTTCCCCTAAAGCTAAAAGTAAATGGGACGTACGCTCCTCCTTTTTCTATCGAAGCAACTTCCGAGCTCAATGGCAACCGACAACTGAATGGAACGTCTTCATGTAGATACAATTGAAACAAATGAAACAACTCATCTGTGAACAGGATGGTACAGTTGAAATCTTCATTAACTCCGTACTTGAAGCTCAATGGTTTCGATGTCTCTTCACATTTTGGAAAGGGTCCATAGACGATTCGACTTTGTTGATCAAACTTGTGTTCACCAGTGTCGATGTTACGTTGTATACAATCAAAAGCAATTTCTTGACCAAAAGCATAAGGCTCGTACTGAGGAAGCTCGCCTTTAGAGTCCAATGGGAACCACTGAATGGCGTATGTAAGGGGTAATATAAATGGTAAGAACTTCATGCCTTGAGAGAAAAGGGTAAAGTGAATCTTAAATTTGTTACTGACTTCGCGTTCGCAAAAATCGACAAAACATGTATAGTATATAACCATTGAATCATCATCTACACTTGCAAAGTTACTCTTAATTACAATATTTTTATATTCGACTATAAGCCTAATTTACAAAACTCCCACTTTTCCCCCCTTAGTTTCTCTTGGCGAAACGTCTTGGACCTCTTTGAGATGAAATGTTGACTGTTTGCAATGGAATCTTGAAACCCAATGATTTAACCAAGTCAGCGGTTTCAGCATCAACTTCCAATTGACCGTTGGTGTGTGACAAGTCCAAAGCGGAAACTTCTGGAACGTATTGATCTTTTCTTTCTCTTTCTTCTTCTTGTAATTTGAAAGAGATACCTCTAACTGGACCTTTTTGAATTCTCTTCATCAAGTGGGTAGTGTAACCAGCAATCTTGTTTCTTAATCTCTTTGATTGGATAACGGCAATTTCTGAGGTCAATCTCTTGTTGGTTTCGAAATCCAAAGTCAACTTTGGGTAGAATCTTTCGATCAAAACTTTAGAAGCTCTCTTGACAGTCTTTGTTCTAACACGTCCCTGGAAGAAAAAAAAGTTAGTATTCGTATTGAGTGTATTGGTGACGCAGATGTGTGTGAGGATACATTGATTGAGTTGGCGTAACTTGCTCGTCTTTAATGTATGTTACTCTCTCCTTTCTTGAACTTGTATGTGCTGGTGCGCCCCTGGGAACTACTCCCTCTTGGTTCCTGCATTATGCTCATATGATCCCTTCATTATCCATCACGACTGCTCTTTTCATCATTATGACATACCATATTTGCTGGTTATCTATGTGGTGATACTCAAGAGTAAATTGATAGGTTTTCCTTATTTCTGTGTTTGATAATTGTCATTGGAAAAAAATTTCATTTTTCGCACCAAATTTAATAGCCCTAAAATTTTTTTGATCACATGATGTGTGTGACCTTTATTTCAAAATTAAATTATTCTCTTACACGACCTCACTTTGCCCCTGAGCCGCACGCATTCCGACACAACCCAAAACAAAGAGGGCCTTCCTCCCCCCTCCCCTCACCCCAATCTCTTTAGCGGCGGACAAATACACATCGCGTTTTGGAAAATCTGACACGTACACACGTACACACACACACACACATTCATGGACTCACGAACTAAATTATTTCATTGTGATGTGTGTTCCACTGATTGTACTAATCGTATAAGAGTACAATGTGCTATATGCACCGATTACGATCTATGTGTCCCTTGCTTTGCTGCTGGACTTACAACAGGGGATCATAAACCATGGCATGATTATCGAATAATTGAACAAAACACGTACCCCATCTTCGATAGAAACTGGGGTGCTGACGAAGAGTTATTGTTGATTCAAGGGTGTGAGACATTCGGTTTGGGTAATTGGGCCGATATTGCGGACCACATTGGAAGTAGGTCCAAGGAAGAAGTGGCGGAGCATTATTACAAGATCTACCTCGAAAGTAGGGATTATCCATTGCCAGAAATGAACAAAGATTTTACTTCAGTATCCCCATTACAATTCCTCGAGGAAAGAAAAGAGAGATTAGAGAAAAGGCGGAACATGCCCTTGCCTCCACCAAAGGGTAAGCCACCAGCCTCGGTACCACTTTGTCACGAGATTCAAGGTTTCATGCCTGGTAGGTTGGAGTTTGATCACGAGGCAGAAAATGAAGCAGAAGTTCCTATAAAGGATATGATATTTGACCCAGACGACCTGATAAATGACATCGAATTGAAGTTGACCATTCTCGACATATACAATTCCCGATTGACAACCAGAGCAGAACGCAAACGAATAATGTTTTTGAACAATCTACTTGAGTATAGGAAGAACATCACCAATGACAAGAAAAAGTCCAAGGAAGAGAAGGATTTACTTAAAAAAGTCAATGCTTTCATACGAGTCTTGAGTCCTGAGGATTTTGACTCATTCACACGCGATCTTTTAACTGAGTTGAAATGTCGCATAAGAATACAACAATTACAATCCTGGAGACAGAATGGTATCACCACACTCGACGATGGAGCGAAATTCGAAAAAGATAAAGTGATTAGAAGTGCACATTATACGAGGATGGGTAACGGGACACTTAGTGCTAGACACTCAGCAACTCCAGGTATTAATGGAAATGGGAAAAAGTTCCCCTCTCCTCAACCCGATTTCAAACCTAAGCCACCGGTCAACAGAGCACCTTTGGATATAAGCCATGCTGCTGATTTCGAACTTCTTTCACCCGAGGAAAAGCAATTGTGTGCAACATTGAGAGTTTTACCAAAACCATATTTAGCAATCAAAAACCAGCTAATGAAGGAAGCAGTGAAAAACAACGGAGTATTAAAGAAAAAAGATGCTCGTCAAGCATTGAAGATTGATGTAAACAAGGCCTCCAAAATTTATGAGTTTTTTGTTCAAATGGGATGGTTGTCTCAGGGGTGATGCTATCTTTCCTAGACGGCAAGATTGAGAATATCGGAAAAGGTTTTTCTGATATGGTCGAATTTTTCACTCAACTTGGTCTTCTCGGTACTCAATTGGTTAGCATACTTGTTCAACGCTTTGTTCAATAGCTCATATCTCATGTACAACTTGTACCTCTCGATGAAGAGTTGGTTGATGAGTCTTTGCTCTTCTTTTTGTATAGAGTTCAATTCCTCACACCATTTAATGAATGTAATATTTGAAGTTAAATCAAGAGGATGTCTCTCATTAGCAGACTTGTCCTGAACAGCCTCAACAAACGGACTATCCAATGGGCATGAGTTTTCAAACGAAGAATCGTGATTTTGCGTCATGGTGATTTCAACCTCCCGTACTCTCTTTGTGTATCCGGTAAACTCCATCCTTTTGTTGAGTGAGTTGACGTGCAATTGCATCGAGTTCCTCAGGTTTGTGCAATTATCATCATGTGACAGATCTTCTTCCTCGAGAAATGGGGTATCCATGCTCCCTTCTATGTCAGAAGCATCCAATTCGAGCATACTACTCTTGGGGATCTTCACCATAAACTGGTTGGCCCTTGTTGTATTGCATTTTCTTCGTTTGACCAACTGGTGATGGTCGGTCATGGTGGTGGTTGCAAAAAAGATGAAGAGGAAAAACCAAAAAAAGACAAAACAGAAAATGGGTGAGATCCTTGGCAGATTTTTTTGTACTAACCATAAAAGGTTGGTTTTTGTGGGGGGGGATAGTCCCCCTTTTCATAGTTATCGTCATTGTACAAATTTACAAGCTACAACTTTGCTCCACAAATATCTTCGTTGACTCAAGATCAATATCCTTATGCATTGAATGTCTTACATGTCGTGTGCATTCCCAATTAAGTGTGTGTGTGTGTGTGTGTGTGTGTGTGTGTGTGTGTGTGTGTGTGTGTGTGTGTGTGTGGTGTGGTGTGGGTGTGGGTGGGTGGCATTATTAGAAAAAAAAAAAAACAGCTGATTTATTGCTAAATCAAAAATGTAATCAAACGTTTAATTGTCTAACAATTTTAATTTTTTATTTTTTAATTTTATTTTTTTATTTTTTTATTTTTTTATTTTTTTATATTTTTTATTTTTTATTTGCTTGCGCGATCAAAAGCGGATGGTGAGAAAGAGAAATCCAAAAAAAAGTTTCCATCTCTAAAATTCAGTGGAGATTGTATATAGTACAGAACCCTATTAACGTGGCAATTCAATCGGGGAAATAGTTATAACTGGAAGACAGAAGCTCATTACAGTAAAACAACAACACATTATCATTTTGTTGTATTTTTTTCCACTATCATCAGACTTTTTATTTCACATTAGTGCTCAACTATGGAGAACAACAACAACAATAATGTCGATTATTTACAATTTCAGTCCGAGCCGTCGGGAAGACACAAGGGAAAGAAACATATAATTATTGTGGGGGCCGGTATAATAGGTGTTTGTACAGCCTATTTTGTCGTCAAGCATCCAAAATTTGATCCTGCAAAATACCACATCACATTAATTGAAAGCAAACGAGTGGCGGGAGGAGCTAGTGGAAAGGCTGGTGGATTGCTTGCTTTGTGGGCGTTTCCCGAGCAAATTGTATCCTTGTCATTCAACTTGCATCAAAGCTTGGCTAATGAATATAACGGTGCAGAGGAGTGGGGGTACAGGCGATTGACCACGGTGTCATTAGAAGGAGATATATCCAGAGTCAAGGACTTTGATGATGAAGAAAAAGAGGATAATGTTGTGGATGGAAGTAACATATTCAAGGACAGCTTTAGACAAGCAACTGCTCATGATAGTGACTCTTCTTCATCGACTAACGAGAAACCGCCTAAAAAGACAGCTAGGAATACGAGGTCATCATCAATTGTGCAGTTGGATTTCTCAAAAAACAGTCTTCCGTCAAGTTTGAATTGGATAAACTCCTCTCTCATTGATAATTGCACCACATTGGGTGGCACTGATACAACAGCACAAGTTCATCCATACAAGTTTACAAACTTTATTTTAAGAAAGGCAGTAGAGTGTTCGCAGGGGGCATTGGAATTGATTCTTGGAAAAGTTGAAGAGATTACATACTCAGAGGAAACAGGAACCGCAACCGGAGTCATTTACCAACCTACTTCGGTGAAAGATAGTGACAAGTATCAAGACAAATTGATTGAGCTAGGTGCCGACCAAACAGTTTTAACAGTTGGCCCATGGATTTCAAAAATATTGCCTGATTGCCCTATATCTGGTTTAAGAGCACATTCCATCACTATAGCGCCATTTAAAGACCAACCCGTTAGTCCATATGCTATTTTCACAGAACTCAAGGTGGCTCGCAACTCTTACATTTCACCCGAAATTTACGCTAGACAGGATGAAGTGTATGTTTGTGGAGAAGGTGACAGTGCCGTTGATGTGCCAGAAACAACTGACGATGTCGAAGTTGTGAGGTCAAAATGCGATGAACTATACAACCAAGTGAGTAAAATTTCACCAAACTTGAAAAAAGGACATATATTGAGAAGACAGGCGTGCTATTTACCAGTTTTGGATGTCCCATCATCAAGTGGACCTTTGATTGGGGAAACTAATGTAACCAACCTATATCTTGCTTCCGGCCATTCATGCTGGGGAATAAATAACGCCCCAGGTACAGGTAAGATTATGAGCGAATTGTTGATGGATGGTAAAGTTAAGTCTGCTGACATTTCAAGTTTAGATCCATCATTCTACTTTGATGCTAGTGTCATTCTAGAGGACTAGATTAGTTGGTTTTTTTGCTTGTTGGTATTTGTTGTGGCGCCTTAAACTTTTGCTTAATGGATTGAATGACAGATAGTGTCTTAAACATGAATAAACTCAAAATCATCACCAAAACCGTGGCTACAAGTTTTTCATTCTTTTCCCATAGTTTGTAGTCGAATAAATGGATCTCGTCTTTTTTCTTATTTGCAAGGTAACGGTCGTTGGTATTCCTTGCCGGATTCCAATTTGGACTCACCTTGTGAAATCGATCATTCTTTTCAACCCCTCCATTATGTTTTGGGTTGTTTACTATATCATTGAAAATTTCAAAATCATTGGGACGTTCACTCATTATGAAATCTGGTATTGGATGAAACAGTCCTGGGTTTGTACTTGTCATGATGATTGTGTAGTGTGGCGAAGGAAGCTTACGCAAGATCTTCCTAATCAAGTCATCGTGCTCACGTAAATGCCCACCACGGTCTCCAGTGATGGGACTTAGAGTAATTTTGATGACTCTGGTCCTGACATCAAAGTAATCTGTAACTTCATTATCGTCATCATGCCAAACATTAATTGTCTCTGCATCACATGTGTTTATTATGTAGTTTTCAATAAAATCCAAGTCTAAACCAGGTTCAATGCGTGGCAACCCTACAATCGTCGAGGACATGTACAAGTAGTTGATCAAAAATGGCCAATTTTCTCTCTTTTTGTCGGTTAAATCTTCATAAGTGAGCCCCGGTTGGTCGACAATTACATATGCATCAGATGAACACTGGGTTATTAGCTTTTTCAACATATTCGTCACTGACGTGACATTGTGCGGCCTGAGATTTGATTCATTAATCTCAGATTGTAGGCCCGGAACAAGTTTATGTGACGCAACTAACAAGGGAGCAAACGAGCTGGTGGTTAGCAGTAGAAGCGTAAGAAACGCGAGCAAGATCATTGGGTAAACCTGTTCAAAAGGAAAATGCGGTGATGATTTTTTTTTCTCCTTTTGCAACATTTTTGATTGTGAGATATTGAAATAAAAAAAAACCCGTTCTTGTCTCTTGTATAGTGCTCAAACAATGCCACCTGGTTTACAATTACCAAACAGTTGGTCATACGCCACCTTGTAAGCGTCAGTTGTTCTCGCGTTACTCTTGTAAAGCTTTAACAAGGGGGAGATAAGTGTGCGCTAAAGTTCGACACGCTGAGAAAGTGTTTCTTCTACTACCCCCCTCTGCCAGCTCTTTCTTTATGTCTCTGGGTATGAAGCAGCTGCTGCGGAAAAGCGGGTTTGTTATTTTTTGACTTTTGGTGTATCTACATTTGTGAATTGGTGCCGTACAGATCTGACAATAAAAAGGAAAAAAGAAAAATGGAGAAACTTACCCCCTCTGCTACACCGATAAACCAAATGACGTCCAAAGAACTTTCCTTACAATACGCTCAACGCTTTGTTGATTTTGTCAATGAGTCCCCTACACCTTATCATGCAGTCAATTCCGTTAAGGAGCTGTTGAAAGGTGCCGGATTTGAGGAGCTCGTCGAACGCAATAACTGGCGTGGAAGAGTCCAAAGGAATGGAAAATACTATGTCAGTAGAAATGGCTCCTCCATAATTGCATTCACGGTAGGGGGCAAGTATAAGAATGGGAATGGAGTTGCCATTGTTGGAGCTCATACTGATAGTCCATGTTTAAGAATCAAACCCATCTCAAAGAGAACTTCTGAAGGGTTCATTACCGTGGGAGTAGAGCAATATGGAGGATTGATTGCTCACACTTGGTTTGATAGAGATTTATCAATTGCAGGACGTGTATACGTGGACGAGGACGGCAAGTATGTGCCCAAATTGTTGAAAATTGATAAACCTTTGTTGAGAATACCAACATTGGCTATTCACTTGAACCGCGAGGTCAATACTAAATTTGAATTCAACAAGGAGACAAAATTGGTGCCAATAGCTGGTCAGGTGGCATTGGAAAGTTGTGCAGATGATCCAGATTTGAAGATGTCACCGGAACAATTTGAATCTGTGCAAAATGTCATTTCGAGACACAACAAATCATTGATTGAACTTATTGCAAAAGAGCTAAATGTCAAACCAGAACAAATTGAGGATTTTGAATTGCTCTTGTACGACCATCAAAAATCTGCGATTGGTGGATTGAATGATGAGTTTATATTTTCAGCAAGGTTGGACAATTTAACATCATGCTTTGCCGCCACGGAATCGTTGATTGAATCTGCAGATGACTTGGCTAACCAGAAAGGAATCCAGTTGATCAGTTTGTTTGACCACGAAGAAATCGGGTCTCGTAGTCTGCATGGTGCTGACTCATCATTTCTTCCAGATGTGTTACTGCGCTTGACTAGGATCGATTTTGAAGGAAACAAAGATTTCGATTTTTTCCACGAAGTAATTTCAAAGTCTTTCTTACTTTCTTCTGACCAAGCGCATGGTGTCCATCCAAACTATGGAGAGGCTTATGAATCTCAAAATCGCCCTCAAATTAACTTGGGTCCCGTGATCAAGGTCAATGCTAACCAAAGGTATGCAACTAACTCACCAGGAGTTGTATTGTTGAAAAAGGTTGCTGATAGAGCTAAAGTACCGCTTCAATTGTTTGTCGTTAGAAATGATTCCCCTTGCGGTTCTACTATCGGTCCGTTGTTGAGTTCAAAGTTGGGTATTAGAACATTGGATCTTGGAAACCCGCAATTGTCTATGCATTCAATCAGAGAGACTGGGGGTGCCTATGACATCATTAAACTTAATGATTTATTCAAGTCGTTTTTTGAAAACTATATTGATTTGGAAGAGAAAATCTTATGTGATCACCTTTAGTGGGAGAACATTTTCAGAAGAGTAACCAATGACATTCCCAGGAGGATCATAACTGCAAATGATGTAAAGTACATCGTTTGGGCATCGTTTATACGCACATCCAACAGAATCGACATTGTTCCAAACCATGGCTGTGAAATGATTGTAGACATCCTCGGTTCCGTAAACATATGTCTTTCCCTCATCGTACCAAGCATCGATAGCTCCCTCAGGCGGGTATCCATAAGCCAAATTTTCCCCATATTTACCATACGAGTGCTCTAGAATTCCCGAGCAGTTGTAGTATTGTGAGTAATTGGCAGCGTATTCGAATGTTTCAGTTGACCAGCGTAGCTTCTTTGTCCCATGCAAGGCTCTTTTCTCGTTATGTTTGTCAAGCATAAGGTAGGAAAACGTAGTGTTGAGCTCGAATGGACCCATATACATGTCAATTTCAATTGTATAATATCTGGAGGAAGTGTGGGGGATATAAAGCACCAACTCCTCAACAATAACACTTGCGGTCGCGAAACTAAGAAACGATAGTAAACAGAAAAACATTGATAAATGATTATAGATACTTTTTTCACCAGTTTTACTTTGGTCTACATTTGTTTGGGTTTATATAAACCACTTGAAACATTTTGGTTGCAAATATCGAACTGTAAAAAAGCAAAAAAGAAAAAAAATACAAAAAAAAAAAAAAGATAAATCTACTTGATTAAAGTTAACACCAACTCTAACTATTCTAAAGAAAATTATCAGCAAAGTTATGCTTAAACTTGGCCCACCCTTTCAAAGACTTGGCGTGTTGTTCATTCTCAATCTCTTCTTGTGTTTCGATATATCGATCAGTGTCAAAATCCATGTCAGCTGCACGAACAAATCTATCTTTACCTCGCTTTATAATGAGCCACCAAAATAGGAAACAAATTGGAAACACACCCAATTCTAAGTAAGATTGGAAAAAATCATTGACGCTAAATGGGCTAAAAGTTGACCACCCCTGTACCAAGATGATGAACCCACCAAAAATAACCACAAACAAAGGCCCATAAGGGTATGACCAATTTTTGAATAATAATTCATGGGTTCTACCTTGCTTTGCTAAGCCTCTTCTGAAACGTAATGATACCACTCCAATTACCCACCATGAAATTAAGTTGGACAAGCCTACAATTGCTTGCAACCAAGACCACAACTCTCCAGTTCCAACAAATGCAGAAGCAAAGCACAATCCACCAATTAACCAAGTCACAATAACAGCAACATATGGAATTTGAAAACGATTGAGTGGCAAGAAAATCTTTGGAATATAGCCCTGGGTACTCAAGTTGTATGCCAATCTCGAACCAGCAAACAACGCATGATTTCCGGCCGACAACACCGACAAAAGAACAACAGCATTCATATATGAACCAGCAGATTTGGTACCAACTTGTTGAAACACAATTGTGAATGGTGATACTGCAACAGTCTTTGTCAGTAAATTAGGGTAATCATAAGGTACATTCATACCAATGAAGAATGCAGTAAACACATAAAAAATAATGATTCTTATGAACGTTGCCTTAACAGTTTTTGGAATTGTTTTGTTTGGGTTCTTGGTTTCACCAGCAGTTAATGAAACAGATTCCAAACCACCAAATGCATACGCCGCCGACACAAACAATGAACTGAATCCTCTAAATCCATTGACAAATGGTGCATCCTTGTAACTCCAGTATCTGAATCCGATATATTCATGCATTTGATTCTTTCCAGCATTGCATATAATACTGACAATGAAAAAGATAATGATGGTGACCACTTTGAGAAGGGCCAACCAATATTCTGCTTCTGCGTATGCTCTTACATGAATGACATTTAAAAAGAGCAAAAACACCCAAAAAATGATTGAGATGACATACCAATGGAAATCAGTCCAATACTGAACCACTAGCTGTAGTGCAGTTAAGTCAGCAGCAACACTGCAACAATCGTTGAACCAATAGTTGATCAATATCGCAAATCCTAGCGAATCGCTTCCAAATCTTTTGGCGTATGTTGTGAAAGACCCACTTACAGGGTATTGAGCAGACATTTCACCAAGACATAGCATCATGAAAAATACCACTACCCCAATAATCATATAGTTCAATAGTAAACTCAATGGACCACCAGTAGCCAACATTTTACCTGTACCAAGATACAACCCAGTTCCTATAACCCCGGCAATGGTAATCATATTGATGACTCTTGGACTTAGGCTTCGATTCAAATTTTCAGTGTGGTGGATCAGATGTACGGATACTGAGTCCGTTTCTGGAACTCCTGCCTCTAGTTCATATTCGAGTGGTTGCTTTTTATCGAAGTTTTGGCTATGTCGAGAGGATGACATTATACTTGCCGACGATGATGGTAACATGATGTTTAACAATTCCAAGGATGGATATCGAGTGACTTAAATATATAATTTTGTAGTATTGGTTATGTTTGACGCCTGACTTTGGAAATTTCAGGTACAGTAATACATACAATTAGTTTAATTAGATTATTTGCTGTCGTAAAATTGCCGTAATGTAGAATACAATAATCCACAGTTGTAGCCACAGTTTTAATCTTTTCGGTTATTTACTCCTAGTTTTTTGCAATTGAATTTCAAGTTGGCGTGTGTGTGTGTGTGTGTGGTGGCAATAAGGGTATAAGGCGTCTAATTTTATGGTTATGAGCAGTATTAACGGATATGTGCCTTCGTGGTGCGTTCAGGAATGAGTCTTGGTAAAAATTTGCAGCAATTGTGTTACGACTTGGTGAAAGAAAGACAAGAATCTGTTGAAGATTGGGAAAAGGAAAAGTAATTGCTATTGTTTCAAAAAGGCATCTCCCTCTTTTAGGAGAAATCGGGAGGGTTTCAATCACATCTTAACAATGAAACGGATTATTTACTGGTAACACAAATCGGTCCCATTTTTTTGATTACAAATGCCATCACTTTTTCAAGTTTGTATGCGGCGAAATCAAACATTTTTTTTTTTTTGTTTAATCTCGCGTGCAGATATGCTTTTCGTTATTTCACGTGCATTCGCACATTAAAGTCCGTAACAGCGCACACTCGCAGTTCAATCACATTAGGAAATCATTTCATAACCATGTGAATAGAAATGGAAACGTCATAATAAACGATTCTTCAATGGTTTTGCTTACCTCCACAATAAGAAAGCCCCGGCATAATGCTGCATCATAAGATGATCGGGATGTCCCAATTGGTTAAAGTCCGGCTGCTCGGTAATAACTTTGTGTAATCCTTAAACTGACGTTTGGAAACAACACCATTTGACAAAAGCATTTGAATCTTATTGTGTTTCTTAGCGTCTCATACTCGATCTATCTTTTTAGTGGGGAAAAATATTGTGAGACCAAAAGAAACAAACAAACAGAAAAACAAAAAAACAGAATAACCAAATTAGATCTGTATCAATATTCTCAAAAGTCCCGCTTTGATGTCTCCGACAATCATGACAGAAAAGACACCACGGCCCAAAGGTCGTCCAAGGATACTACCGGTTATGCAAAGAAAGAAAGTGTCGCGTGCTTGTGATACATGTAAGAAACGGAAAATGAAGGTATGTAATTACTTACTCGATTTTTTTTTTTCCCCACACAAAACATGAAAGGACCGTTGTACTAACATTATTGTGATTAGTGTGATGGACTAACTCCCTGTCAATATTGCCAAACAAAGGCTCTCGAGTGTGTGTACTCCAAAATCGATGGACGCTCACTCAAAGCTAAAGCTTATCTGGAAAAAATGAAGTTAAACTCCAGCATTGACCGTGATAACTCACAATCGAATGGCTTCCCCTCAATAAATACCTCGAGTGACAAGGATGAATTGGAGCCGGAAATACCTTCACTTACCCATTCACCAAATCAATATCTTGCATCTGCTCCAACCAAAGTGACCACGAAAACATCGCTGCCGCCGTTGTCCTTGAGCATTATTTGTGAAAACTTGCAAACGGCACTTACAAGTGGCGCTGTACCCTCTTCCGCAGCTAAGGACCAAGAGTCGAAAGAAGGTCTTCCCAATTTGAATGGTGCATACACGAGGCTCTTGACTACGAAAACAGGCAATTTAAGATTTTTTGGTGAGAGTAGCGCCCTTTCCCTTTTAGGTGAGTGCAGAAGTTTATTTAGGGCTGTATCAGGGTCAAGTCGGTTTACTGATGATCCCGTTCAACAATTCATTACTGACGAGAGTGTTGATTACCGTAATCTTCCTGTTCCAGTTCAACTTCCCACAAAAGCTGATGCATTCATTTTGATTGATTTATTCAAAACCAACATTAACGATACATTTTACATCTTCAACATGAAGTATTTCAACAAGAATATATTTGAGCAAATTTATCGAGATCCTGTCAACTGCAGTACAAAAAAATTGTGTTTGCTATATAATGTCTTTGCTATTGGGAGACTATTTAGCGAGAGCTCGCGTCATCTCTGTCTTAACCTCCCAACACTGGAGGTGTTTTTCAATCTGGCGCAAGTACTACTACGAAGTAATGTATTTGACGGCAAGATATGGATGTGTGAGGTTTATTTTCTCGAATATTTCTATTTCCAATCATGTTGCAATAGATCAAATGCTTGGATACAGTTGGGAAGTGCAATAAGAATAGCACAAGCGTTGGGTTTACATCGTCGTTGCATAAATGCTAGGATAACAAATCAAGAGATATTGAATCACAGAAGAAGGTTGTGGAGAAGTCTCTATGTGTGTGATTGTGTCAGTAGTGTCAACCTAGGGCGTCCCTTGATGGTGAACGACTATGACTATGATGATGCTGATAGCGAAATTGATACTGAAAATCTTGACGAGGTTGAAAAAATTAGAGTTTTGGCGCAAAAAGCTACTTCTGATAGTGCTGCGATCAATGCCAAGATTGTGGAAAACATTTTCAAGGATGGTGTGGTGAACATAAAAAGAGCACACCTTTTGGCATTACAGTTGAAGATTTGGTCGGTACAATTACCAAAGGAATTGCAATTGAGCGCAGCAATGGAGAGTCAAATGGAGTCAGGGACCGATCCAAATAACTACTTGTATGTGTTTGTCCATATCGGACAATTGTACGGGATTATGACGCTCACGAGACCGTTTTTGGTTTACGTGGTAACGCGAAAGCTCAAACCAGAAACAAAACAACAAGTTAAGGATGAACAAAGTTTGATGAATTTTTGCAAAGCGTGTATTAAGGCAAGCTTTTTGGTGATTAAGCTTTTGAAATTCTTTGTCACACACAATCCACACAGGAAGGAAGTGTTTACAATCCAGTCCGCATGTTTCTTTGCTTCAATAATTTTGGGTTTCACTTTATTGGAGCAACGGAAATCGACCAAGCCTGACCTTCATTATATATCAGTGTTGCAGGATACATTACTCGATGGGTACAACATCCTAAATAATTATGCCGATTTCAATATTACATGCAAAAGATGGGCAATGAATTTACAAAACATGATGAATCATTTAAAACAATTTGAACCTGCATCAGCAAGGAATAGCCAGTCACCACAAGTACATTCTGAAGGTGATCCAGAACCCTTTAATGATGAATTGGTCAGTTGGGGAATTGACAACAGGGCGTTAGAAGAAGTGCTCAACTTTCAACAGTATTTTGTCCCTACCACTACATCTAAAGAACTTGATGATATATTGAATGGTAGTCCCGACAATAATTACATAAAAAGCAACATTGCTGAAGCCAGCGATTTTTTGGATGCATTCCGATATGACAATCGAGAACATGTCATTTTTGGCGAACGAGAGTAGAGATGCAAAAAACACAGAATCGCAATGGGGCCCGCTTGGAGCTGATCTGATATCGCTATGAAAGATATTAGTATTTATCGATCGTGCGCGAAACAATTTTTACATCCCATATCCTTATGCTTAATAATAATAAGCCTTTCGATTTGTAGTGTTACTCTTGGTCTCGATTCAAACGATGCTGACATAAAAACTCTATCTTCTGTTTTTTTTTTTTTTTTTTTCTCTTTATTTCGGCGAAGTGTTGCGACCACCGTATTTTGTTTTGACGCGCGTGATTTTATCTTTTGAATCAAGAAAATAGGGGCAAAAACGGGATCGGACACTTTTAGAGCGTTTACCAGAGTCGTCCGCATACAACAGGTGATGTGGGAGAAACGTAGAATAAGATAAGCCAAGAGAAATTACGCGCAATGTAAAAATCGTTCACTTCAAAGGAGTACTCTACTGAGCTATATCATAGCTACCTCTATATTGGAGTACTTTCTTAGTTAACATACTATGATCATCCCGGATTTAAGGTCTGACAACAAAGAAAACGGCAACACAATTCCAGAACGGGAAAGCAATTGTCAGAAAAAGAAAAAAAGAAATGTTTCAATCCTGCATATTAAAATGCACCATCAATAGGTGAAAGAGAGAGAAAAAAAAAACAAACAGAAACAGAAAGCAGAATGACCTAGTTAAGTTGTATATATTTTATATTAATAGGGTGATTTACTCTTTACCATTATCACCACTCGTACTACTACTGACCTTTACTTTATCAGATTACATTCACTCATTACTACTACTACCACTTCCGCCATCACTACCACCACCACCCACTAAATCTTCCAAATGAATGCGTTCAAAGTGCCACTGAACTTCTCTCTGATGCTTTCAGAGCCATCATATTATTCAACCAACAATCTTACCTTGACCAAGAAACCAGACTTGATTTCTGGTATACCTGATGGAATTACAGCTTTAATTGCACCAATAGTTGCATATTGGTCATACTCGATGTTTTTCCATGTAATTGATGTTTACGAATTGGCAGAGAAATATAGAATTCACCCTAGTGAAGATGAATTGAAGAGAAACAAAGTCACTTTACACGAAGTTGTTAGAGATGTCATATTACAACATATCATTCAAACTATTGTTGGTCTTGTTGTTTTCTACTTTGACCCCACTCCAATGACGGGGTATGAATATTATACAATGTGGCAACTTAAACACCACTACTTGCCCAGTTTTGTACCAGACGTGGTGGTATACTATGGATACATGTATGGATGGTCACTTTTAAGGTTGTGTATTGCAATTACAATTATTGATACTTGGCAATTTTGGCTTCATCGTCTCATGCATGTGAACAAGACTTTGTACAGACGGTTCCACTCGCGTCATCATAGATTATATGTGCCATATGCATTTGGGGCCTTGTACAATGATCCACTTGAAGGGTTTTTGTTGGATACTTTGGGAACTGGTGTTGCATCGTTGACAACTGGGTTAAGTCCTAGAGAATGTATTATTTTGTATACGTTTGCTACATTGAAAACCGTTGATGATCATTGTGGGTATAAATTACCATGGGATATTTTTCAAATAATATTTCCAAATAACTCAGTCTACCATGACATTCATCACCAAATTTGGGGTATCAAAAACAATTTTTCTCAACCATTTTTCACCTTCTGGGATTCATTAAATAAGACACAATATCAGTTTGTTGAAGAGTACAAAGAATTGCAGAACCACATTACTTTGGAGAAATACAAGGAGTTTTTGGCCAAGAAACAAAGAAAAGGTCCTGCAAGTAAGCAAGAGAAGGAGAATTATTGTGAGGAAATTGAGCTAACGAAGGAGACAGTTGAGGAGAATAAAAAGACCATTTGAAAAAAAAAGGGCAGGACGAGTTTCATTCTCATTTGACTTTTATAATCTTAATAATATCTTAATTAGTAACGACTTTTAATAGCATAGACTTAAAATTTTGCATTGTATATTTGGTGGGCTGTAATAACGCGCGTGAAACCGAAATCAAAAGCAAAAAATGACTACATCTAGTCTCTTTAGACAACACAATTTTCAACTATGTCCAAAAAATCCACAGGCGATGACATATGGAAAGGGAGTGTGGAAAAGATAGTATGTGGGTTTTAGCGAAGTAGTCTTACATGACCGGTACTAACGTAGTTACAGAATTCAGAGTTGTTTACATTGACATACGGATCACTTGTTGCTCAATTATGTCGAGATTTTGATAACAACTACCATGAGGTCAATAACCAACTTGACAAGATGGGATTCAATATAGGCTGTAGACTAATCGAAGAGTTTCTTGCCAAAACCGGTATCAAACGGTGCTCATCATTCAAAGAGACTGCCGACGTCATATCCAAACTAGGATTCAAATTGTTTCTCAACATTCAACCACAAGTTGAAAATTGGTCCAATGAGAACAAGATTTGCAGTTTGATAATACCTGAACCCAACCCATTGACTGAATTTGTTGAGTTGCCAGTATCTACTGATTCAAAAATCACTAAAGAGTTGTGGTATTCACAAATATTGTGTGGCGTACTTCGAGGTGCGTTACAAATGGTTCAATTGGATTGTGACGCCTATTTTGTAAAAGATGTGTTACGTGGTGACGAAAGGACAGAGATGAAGTTGAAGTTGAATAAGGTTTTGAAAGATGAAGTTCCGGCAGGGGAAGATTAAAGAGAATAGAGGATAGGGGAGCAAGGAGTAGGCATAGGATATTTGGGGGCTTCTAGAAAGCACATAGGTATAAATCACATAAAGTGCATTGTATCCTCTTTTATTAAACCTTGGTTTTTGCAGATTTGAGATCATTAAAAATGCATAATCTACCAATTTCTTCTGATTCCACTAAAGTATCCTCATTACAATTTCTAAGGAGAGCCGACCAAGGTCGGGGTCTGGCAATCATAACTGTCGCTCTATTTGTTGCCTCATTGCATCGGTGATCCGAGCTTGGGCGAGCCCTAGAAACTTTCCATTGTCAAATTTCCTACAACTTTTTGACGATCTTATTTGAGAGGACCAAACCAATTAAGACCAGTAGCACTAAAAGGTATACGAATACAATCAACAGGATTGTTTCTACGAAGCAGCCATAAGGCTTTAAGGCTCCACAAGAGGAGCATCTTGACGTTGCTGACATTTCTGACTCTGAATCGGTATAAGATGTTGCTTCATCAGTTTCTTCATCTCGGCGAGTATTATATCTTTTATAGACGTGGCTTGGGAAGCAGATGTATGTGGTTGAATCGAATGCCTTGTTGAAAGGAGGGTCCAACTCAGCTCTTCGGTCGTCGATGTTCCTTTAAAGTGGTTGTACGTCGGACTCTCCAGCTTCTACTTGATGATTTAAAGAACCGTATTTATTGTCAACAAAGTCAATTGCACCAGCTTGTTTAATGATTTGGGCACTAGACCGTTGAGATAACATCAATGCAAGGATGTAAATACCAGCAAGCATTTTGAACAACTCTACCTAACAAGACGTCCGATTGTAAATCCCTAAATAAAGAATGTGGCTTTTTTAGAAGTGCCGTTCGTTGGTGGATGCAAGCAATGATTGTGAAGAGCCCCCCCCTGAAGTTCATAGCTTATCCCTTGCGTCCCCTTTCAATTCAGTTTGGGATTTATCAGCACAAAGCTGTATCATGCTGAGTTGTGTAACACCCAAAAATTTCTGGTGCACATCAGTGTATATCATTCTGAATTGATCTCTTTTGATAGCCATTCAACATAGTGCTGGCTCCTCTGCCAGCGTTACGGATATCGAGTGTTTTATCCTTCCATATACTGTCTTGGGAATTAGCTGTCACTATGTACTGCATACATTGGCAAGAAGTTGATCTTTCGCAAACTCTGCCCACAAAATTCTCTTCTTGGTGGCGTCAACTGATTCAGAGTTTCCTCGAAGTCGTCTCATGTAGCAGCTTCTTGCATTGATTACCCATCTCGGAGTGAATTTTTTTCGGTTTTGTGTATGAAATAATTTACGAGGATTTTGAGGACAACTTTTTTTATTGTTGCTCCTGTTATCACATGTCCATCAACATTCTGCATAAAGTGAGGGGATAAGTTGAGGACTTACCTAATTACTTTTCATTCTTTAAATATAGTAATTGAGTTGTCTTACAGTGCTTCTTTAAAGGTACATATCGCAATACACCGATTAAGCAAACCCTTGTCAAAGATATATCATGGGCAAAGAGAATCAACCACTCGAATTCAGAACAAAACAAGGCAATTCCTTACCCCACAAAGCCAAGTCAAGGCCAGCTTCATACTATATCATCCTAATCGTCAAACTATTATCGTATGATTTAGTATTATGGTTTTTCAATTTAGTCATCCACACATTCTTTCGTGATGTTCAATCACGAGGAAGTTTCAACATCCCCCAAAGAGGACCAGTGATATTTGTGATTGCTCCTCACCATAACCAATTCGTTGATGGTTTGGTAGTTATGGCCAAAGTCAAGGAGCACCTGGGTCGACGTATTGCCTTCTTAATTGCACAAAAGTCGTATAATAGAAGGATCATTGGCGAAGCTGCCAAACTATGTAGCGCAATTCCAGTCGAAAGAGCCCAAGATTTGTTGAAAAAGGGTACGGGCAAGATATTTGTTGACAAGGAGGATGATCGAGTTATTCGAGGCTCAGGCACTAAGTTTACTAGTGAATGTCAAGTAAAGGGCTTGATCGGGTTACCCAATTCGTTAGGTAATTCTTCAATACAGGAAATATTTGATGACGAGAAACTTTTACTAAAGAAACCATTCACCTCCCCGAGGGAAGAGATTCAACAAAGAATTGATGAGAAATTGCACGATGGTACTGAATTCAAAATTGCACCCCACATTGACAATCACATTGTTTTCCAGAATGTATTCACCCATTTGAATGATGGGAAAGTGTTGGGTATTTTTCCCGAAGGGGGTTCTCATGATCGTCCTGATTTATTGCCATTGAAACCAGGTGTTGCAATTATGGCATTGGGTGCTATAGCACAGCAAATTGAAGCAATAAAAAATGGTAAATCGGAACATGAAGAGGTGGTGCCAGTTAGCATCGTCCCCGTTGGGTTGAGTTACTTTCACCCACACAAGTTTAGATCAAGAGTTGTCATTGAGTTTGGGAAACCAATTGTTGTGGACGAACAAATGGCTGAACAATATGAGATGAATTCAAGAGAGGCAGTGGATAAGTTGTTAAAGACTATTACTCTCGGATTGAAGGAAGTTACCATGACATGCAACGACTATGAAACTTTGATGGTGTTACAGGCTGCTCGAAGATTGTACACCTCTGGAAATCGTGACAATATTCCACTCCCCATGGTGATTGAAATGAATAGAAGACTAATCAAAGGGTACGAGAAATACAAAGATCAACCAGACGTCAAGGAACTAAAAGAAGCGGTATTGGACTATAACAAGAAATTGAGGGCATTGAATTTACATGATCATCAAGTTGAATCTTTGGACCGTTCAAATAGACTTGTCAATTTTTGGCGCTTTGTAACCAGATTTTTCAAGTTTTCATTATTTATGGGTCTCAGTTTACCAGGTATATTTTTATTCAGTCCTGTATTTATAATTTCTCGCAGGATTTCAAGAAAGAAGGCAAAAGAGGCGTTGGCGGCATCGGTGGTGAAAATAAAAGCCAAGGATGTTTTGAGTACGTGGAAGATTCTTGTGGCCATGGTGTTGGCGCCAATGTTGTACATTTTCTGGTCGGTTATCGGTACAATTTTCATCGTCAAGTCTAAAGTGTTGGGTGATTACCAACCTTCAATTTGGATAATCTTTATCTACTTTTATGGCTGGGCAGTATTGACAACTTATGCTTCTTTGAGAATGGGGGAGATTGGTATTGATTACTACAAATCTCTCGCACCATTATTTCTTTCAATGTTGAGTATCAGTGAAGATAGGTTTCAAATTGAGAAATTGAAACAAACCAGGGAGGAGCTACGCGAAAGAGTGAATTTGTTCTGTAACAAATTTGGTCCAGGAATGTTTGATGATTTTGAACAATTTTACAAACAGTACAATGGTCCCACCGATGAAGAAGAGTTTGATCTTATCACTCTTCAAAAACAACAAGCACAGACTCAATTCAGCAAGTTACAAAGACAAACTAGTGCTTCATCTTTGGATTTCAATTTGCTGAATTTGTCTGATATTCCTATTTTCGCAGCAGCAGACTTGGAACAAGCTAATGACGTGAATCTTACAAAGGAGTCAGAAGAGATTGAAAGGGAGGAGGAACTGAGAGAGCGCCATAGTGGAACAAATGACGAAACAGTTGAAGAATTGAACCGTGAAACAGAATCTACCGATGGTCCCAAAATGAGAGTAAGAAAAGCAATGAAGGAAAAGTATTCGAATTTGGAGTAGGGTTAGGTAAAATACCGAAAAGGTTGGCATGAATGATGATTGTAATAATGCAACTGTATGCTCTCTCTAAATCGAAACTACGCCTTCGAAGCTTTCCTGTGTTTTATTCATTGCAAGGCTTTCTCTCCTCTCCTCGTGGGTTGCAAAAGAGCAATGAAATGGTTTCGTTTGTGTTTCACAATCTCACTATTTTTCGCCTGTTTAGGAAAAATATAGATTGCAAGGGGAGATGGAAAAAAAAAAAACATCCAGCACGAAAAAAACAAAAAAAGCAGAAAACAATGCGATTTGCGGTGTGAGAAAACAAAAGGATTCGTGCTCCCCAGGGGGAGGCGTTGCTCTTTTTTTTTTTTTTTGGCGCGACCTTAATGAAACGTGAGTTCCAATCGCACTATTGTTCTAGATTTGCACACAATGAAGGCACCAAAGAGAAAAATTATTTCCTAATTTGGGAGGCAGTGTTGCAACCGGGGCAAAGTAGACAATTATATATATTGATACAAATAACTTCAAAAAGTAATGATGAAGTAGCTGACTATATCACATTAAGCTACTACCCACATCCAATTCTTACATACAATTGACAACTATGCACTCAACCATATTTTTCATCCTACCATTAGTTTTATCAACCATAATTCCAGCAAATCTCGATTTGAAAGCCAAAACAGTTGGTGCTGGTACACAAGCTGCAGAAACCAAACGAGATGTACAAACTGCTCAATCCAATGATGCAAACAACGTATACCACAGCAAGCGTGAGTTTAAATCGGTGGTGTTGGGTGATGTGAAGAACAAAGTTGTTAGGGATTCAATCAATGCAAATGAGTTGATATAACAGCATACAAAAAAGAGGCCGAACAAATCATCCACTTAATTTGGAGGGTATATTTGGCTTTTACGAAGATGATGAAAAAGGAATGGCTCGGTATGAGCTAGAAATAATTATTGAATTTGGGTATATACATGTCATGGGTTGATTTGTTTTATAGAGATAAGTACAGGTTACGTTTTGAAATTACTACCTCTTTTCGACATTACTCTTTTTTAATGATCCCCAATTCCGATGGTTGCGAAATCAATGACTGGTGGGTGGACAAGCATGAGATTGTATTGGAATGTGAGAGTGTGTCACACGACATTGATATTTTTATTTTTTGCGACAATCAAATGAGACAATTTAAGAAAAAGAAATTTAGAGTCAGTCTTTCTGTGTTTCTGTGTATGTGGGTTTCTTTTTCTTTTGTGTAGTGACTCTCTCTCTCTCTCTCTCTCTCTCTCATTTTTGCTCACTTTGCCACCCACGCTACCCATCCGCTACTATCGTAATATAACTACTACATTTCAACAACTAATATCCCGCTTGATATCCTCCCACTCATCTTTTTTTACCCAAATACACCCATTTACAATACATTAATATATATACCCCTTATTTCGATTCAAATACGAGTACTCCACTACCAACACAGCAACCTCCTTTTTATCACAAATGAAAGTCACAATCAGATTATCCACTGAATCATCGTTCCAAGTCACCATCCCCGACAACTCAACAGTCGAAGATTTGAGAAACAGCGTTAAAGTTGCATCACCATCCCCACTCCCCAAAGATTTCAAGTTGATATTTAATGGGCAGAAACTACAACCACACAACGAACCGTTGTCGTCATTGGACATGAAACCAGAGAATGAGTCCATACAAGTTATATTGATGGCACAAAGCACAGACACTCCACCAATATCGCCGCAAGTTTCGTCCAACAACCTCGCATCGATCACTTCTACGTCTTCGTCCTCCACCACTTCCACCGCAATCAAAAAGACCAAGAAAAAGAACAAGTGTTCTTTCAAATCATGCAATTCCGCACCTTTGAGAATGGTTGGCACTTGCTCCCATTGTCAAGGTAAATTTTGTGCCAAACATAGATTATTGGAGGACCATATGTGCATTGGTCTTCAGTATTGCAAGGATGACGCACACGAGTCAAATGCTATGAAGTTGCAAAATGAAAGTACAATTGCAAGTAGGGTTTAGTCGGGGTTGCAATGCGGGTCTATGTGTGTGTAGTTACGATTAACCTAGCTTATCCGGTATAGAGAGTAGTTTTTTAATCATACGAAGTTTATCATGAAAAATTGTAGTGAATAATTTCAAATTGTTATTACCCTAGATACTTTTTACTGATTCGCCAAGAGATTCTCCAACACATCTTGATACTTCCCATTGGTGGCGTTGTTTGCTTTCTTTAAAATTGTCTCTGCCTCATCATACAACTGCTCCTGCTCTTTTGAATCCAATTCATATAAATTTCCCAACGTGATCATTGCCTCAGCTATATTCACCCAAGATTCAGGCTCTTCTTTGTCCTCGGCTTTCTTTAAATGACCCAATGCCTTGTGTATGAGATCTTTGGCAATGTCTTGCGCTTGATATAAAGTTAAACCTTCCAACTCTTCCAAGCCTGCATAGTCCTCGTCGTATTTCAATGTAGTGTATACATTGGTTGGAATTTCTGATTCCTGCAAGTACGATTGTCCCAATCTTTGGTTCACTTCTCTGATCAAAGACTCAGAGGGGGATTCTACTTTATTTAAGTTTTCGAGGTATTTGATTGTATGATCTCTCCACCATTGATTGTACTCATCAGTGTTTTTGATTGGATATAATGGGTGAGTCTCCTCTAATTCAACCCCACCATCATCATCATCATCATCGACTTCATCATCGAAGTGTCTGCCATCTTTATCATCTTTTCTCTCATTTTTTCCATCTACTTCTGTCTCTTCATCGTCGTTGTCACCCGCTTCATCTTTGCCAAAATTATCAACAATATCTAACAAGTCATCCACTGCTTCCAAAATGTCAAAATATTCATCATTATTGAAGGCATCAAATGTTGATAAATCACTTGCCTTCTGTTCTGCCAGCTCATACACTTTCAATGCATTGTCCAACAATTCCTTGACATTAGCCTCATCTTTCTCACTACTCAATTTTAATTGCGATACAAATTGCAAAACAATTTGATTTATTAAAATTTTGGAACGAGTAAGCAACAATTCAACATCACCAGGGTATTTCTCTAACCCAGTTTCAATTCTTTCCAAACTAGCACCGAAATATTCCTTGATTTGCTTAACATCGTCGATGTGGAAGTTGGCGAGTTCGCTCAAAGCGATTGAGTAAATTTTGTAAAAAGTGGGTGGTAATGCAGCACCCTCTTCTTGATTACGCAACAATCTGTCACACTCGTGAATAATACCATTGACTATTAGCTCATTATCACGATCCGAGTTTATATATGCTTTGTAAAGACCTTTCAATTGGGAGATTTCATCATCAGCATCAACTTCTTCAGGTAGCTCCACTGTCAATTGATTTGTTGAATCTTCAGATGAACTTTTATCGTTGGTATTTGGCTCGCTTTCAAGTTTCTGTTTCTTTGCTTTGGCTGCTTTGCCCAATCCCAATGTACGTTTAGCCATTTTTTTGTTTTGGTGACTCTTGTAGGTTGTCAGTATAACGCTTCCTTTGAAAAGGGTCAAAATCATCCCATTCTAGCGATGAGAAAGTCACCTATATGCAGGATATATTGCTTACATAAGAAATAACCTTATATCACATAATACCTATGTAAGCGCAGCTTTTCAAATTGCGTAATATCACACTTTCTTTACTAAGAGAAATAAAAAATCTCGATTACGTAATGAAAATTTTAGATAAAACATCAAGAGGAACAGGGTTTGATGAATTGAAAAGTTTTTGCAACTAATAATACAGTAAGGAGCAACTCGTCAAAGCTGTCCACGATTAACATGACTAATCTATTAGCATCGTTAAATACTCGAGGAGAAAAAATACTATTAGTTGGTTACTCCAATGTGACCAACCTACGAATCAACTCAATAATAGAGTCAAATGCATACCCCATACTTTTGATTCCAGAAGAATTTGATCTACCTTCGAGCGTTAAGCAACAAGCATCTAATGGCAAGCTCCAGGTTATTAATGACTCAGACTATGCATCTAATATTGAATACTATTTAAGAAATATTGGTCGCAATGAGGTGGACAACATTATTGATCGAGTATTTGTTACTCTTCCACAGCATCAGAGGGATTTGAAGGAAGGAATTTTCAGAAAGTGTCAACGATTGAGGATACCTATAAACATAACTGACTCACCAGAATTTTGCACATTCACACTATTATCATCCTACAATCAAGGTGACTTTCAACTTGGAGTAACAACAAATGGAAAGGGGTGCAAATTAGCATCAAGGTTAAAGAGGGAAATTGTGCATAAGTTGCCAGGAGACATAGATGCTATCTGTGACAAAGTTGGTGAACTACGTCGACAAATTCAACTCGAGGATGAAGTGAGTTTCGAGATTGGAGACGACGATGATGACTCTGTAAACACACACAAATTCAACTCACTAGTACACGAATTCAATCAAACACAGGAGGAAGTCAAAGGGAGAAGAAACCGATGGCTTTCACAGATTGTCGAATACTATCCATTATCGAAATTAGCTACATTATCCATTGAAGATTTACGATTTGCTTATGACAAACACAAGCGCAATGATAACAAACAAAGGATTGATGTGGACCTGATCCCAAAGAGTGGTAAAATTGCCCTAGTTGGAAGTGGACCAGGCTCCGTTGCATTATTAACTTTGGGCGCATTGCAAACTATCCACCAAGCTGATTTGATTTTAGCTGATAAATTAGTCCCACAAGAAGTCCTTGATTTAATTCCGAAAAACCATGGCCCAGAATTGTTTATTGCTCGTAAGTTTCCTGGAAATGCGGAGCGTGCACAAGAGGAACTTTTGACAATGGGGTTAGAGGCTCTTGAAAAGGGAAAGTTTGTGTTGCGGTTGAAACAGGGAGATCCGTATATTTTTGGACGTGGTGGGGAGGAGTACAACTATTTTGCTCAACACGGGTACGAACCTATTGTGATCCCGGGAATATCATCAGCATTGGCAGCACCAGTAGTTGCAGGTATACCAATGACTCATCGAGATGTTGCTGATCAAGTGTTAATTTGTACTGGTACTGGTAGAAAGGGAGCCGTGCCAAATCTACCTTCGTTTGACCCTAGTCGAACTACAATTTTCCTTATGGCGTTACACAGGATCGTTGACCTAGTCCCAGTATTGGTCAAGGAAAAGGGATGGTCACCTAATTTACCTGTGGCAATTGTTGAACGTGCAACTTGTCCTGATCAACGAGTGATTCGCACAACGTTGGAGAAGCTTGGAGACGTGGTAGAGCTGTGTGGGTCGAGACCACCTGGCTTATTAGTGACAGGGTATGCATGTGAAGTGATTCACAAGAACCCAACTTTAAAAAATTGGTTGGTATCAGAAGGCTTCCAATATAATTTTGACAATTCAAAAATTTCTGTAGTATAGTTGATAGAGTAATTTATAGAGCTCTGCATATTCATTTCATTTAATTTATATCTAACAATGCAAACATCCATAAAGCCATAAACCTCGAGACCAAGTCGTTGGCAAATTCCCCCGGGTCAACCATTAAATTGAAAACTGAAGCCACGCGTGTACTAATATCCCTTCTGAATTTTCTAAACTTCGGCTTACTGATATATTTGTGCAATTTTTCAACTTGTTCAATAATCTTTGAATCAGCAAAAAGACTCAAGCAAAAAGGTTCGACCAAATCTATTTCGAATGGAGAACCAACAATGAATTGATTGCTTTGTTGTATAATGAATCCAATAACCTCATTACTAAACATCAATGTATTATTCCACGCTTCAGCAACTTCAATCACAAGCCTCACCAACTTCTGAACCAGGAGAACAATGCGCAGCCTGATTTTGGTTGCAAATTCAATGAATTGGACATCATCACATTGCTTCAAGTATTTCGATGGATTAGTTTTACCATAATATACTTGTAAAGCAAGAATATTGACTCTAGTGGTGAGATGAGCATTAAATGGAGGAAGACGGGTGCCAGTAGCATTGTTTGAAAAAATGTCTAGATCTTGACTAACAGTTCGTTTTAACCCAAACTCGTCCTCTTTGTAGTCCTCTGGGGCATCAAAATATACACTTTGTGGAGGGGTGAATAAATTCCTTAATCTTGCAATCATGGTGGGGATTGTGTCTTGTAAATTAAAGCATGCACAACAGGACGGTTGATGGCCATTACAAGGATTCGGAGCTCTATTTATACCGTTTTGACTCAACAATTGGAAGACGGGAGTTTTACCAAACAATAGCTCCAATAAAAGCGCAGTTGCTTTATTGTTGCAAAATCAGATTTCCGCGCACCTTTAATTCTCGGCGGAATATCTATTCTAAAAATAGACAAGGCTTTTGAAAAATTGATATTGGCAAATCCCGAAACAGGATTCTAAAAATAAACCATTGAGTTTTGCTCTTTATTGCGACCGTTGGTTGACCTATGTTCCAAAATATGGAGGTGTTGTTTTTTATGAAGAAAGCTTGGCGTGTGGTCCTCTCAACTCCGAGACCACTATTGTTGAGAGCTTTCCTTGAAGTGTCAGCTGAGTGAGGATATCGTACAAAGACGATTTTGTTCTTATTTCCTCGTAAAATTGTTATTTTCGTGTGGTTTGAGACATCGATGGCTGTGCTAAGATTTGTACTAAGACTATGCCAGCTTGAAAAATAGGAGAATTAGTTGACACAATTCTTGATTTCTGTTACACCCGTGTCTTTTTGAGAACACAATGGCATCACATTACAAACAGGAGTTGATCCCTATAAATATACGAAGCAAAACGACTCTGTACCTCTATCTACGCTCGTAGTTTCTGATACAGCCACACTTTCCTTATCGGGCAATTATTTGCGGCGTTTAGATTTTGCGTTATCAAACGAGATTGAGCACAATTTTTTTTTCACCAATTGGAAAATTTATACTTTATCGACAACATTTGGCCACTTCTCCGCTATATGTTGAAAAGGTATCCCACCTATAGACCTTTCACAAGATTATTTACATCCTCAATGACAACATCAAGACAATCTGATCCTGCTTCTTTGCACAACCCATACTTTAACCTCAAACCAGGACAAAAGGATATTTGGTCCTTGATTAACGAGACTGCGGCTGCAGCACAAGAAGCAAACCCAGACACCAAAATAGTTAACTTGGGGCAAGGGTTTTTTTCATATAGTCCACCAGATTTTGCTATCCAAGCTGTTGATGATGCATTGACAAAGCCACAATATAATCAGTATGCGCCTGCGAAAGGAAACCCCAATTTGTTGAAACAGGTTGCAGCACATTACTCCAAAAGCTATGGCCGTGATGTACCAGTTGATGAAGTGCAAATTACTACGGGAGCAAACGAAGGTATGTTTGCCGTATTTTTTGGGTTCTTGACTCCAGGAGATGAAGCAATTGTCTTTGAGCCATTTTTCGATCAATATATTCCAAACATTGAAATGACTGGTGCTAAGGTGAGATATGTTGAGATAAAGTATCCGAAAAAATTGGACACTAAAACCGTCAATGCCTCAGATTGGGAAATCGATTGGGATCAATTAGAAAACAGTATCAATGACAAGACAAAGTTAATTGTCATCAATACGCCTCATAATCCAATCGGTAAAGTCTTTACCAATGAGGAGTTACACAGGATTGGTGAGTTGGTGATCAAACATAATTTGATTTTGGTTAGTGACGAAGTTTACGAAAACTTGTACTTTACACCAGAGTTCCCAAGACCTGCAAATTTGAAATCCCTATCTGAATTGAAAGAGCGTACATTGACAGTTGGGTCTGCAGGTAAATCTTTTGCAGCTACAGGATGGAGAGTTGGTTATATCCAAGGACCAGCTTCATTGATCAAATATGTTGCCGCTGCTCATACGAGAATTTGCTTTTCAACCCCTCATCCATTGCAGCAAGCAGTGGCACAAGCATTTGAACAAGCAGATAAGCTCGACTATTTTACCAAAGTGAAGGACGAGTACGTGAAAAAGTATGAATTGTTCACTAAGGTGTTTGATGATTTGGGCTTACCATACACCGTATCCGAAGGTGGTTATTTCCTTTTGGTCAATTTATCCAAGTTAAAGATTCCTTCAGACTATGAATTTCCTGAAGCTATATCCAGTAGAGGAACTTTGGATTTCAAATTAGCCTATTGGTTGATTAAGGAAATTGGTGTTGTGGGGATCCCACCGACAGAGTTTTTAATTGAAGAGAGAAGACGCGGTAACGGATTAGAAAATTGTGTTCGATTCGCTGTGTGCAAAGACGATGTTGTTTTGGAAGAGGCAGTTGAGAAGTTGAAGAAGTTGAAGAACTATTTATAGATTTTACAGACCCATTACACATTTTATGTATTCTATTTCCTGATATACCGCTTGTAGCAAAACTTCATATCCCCAAAATCATCACATCCGTCTTCAATATCAGACTCTACTTCGACAAATTTTTCCAGCATTAAATCCCACAACAATTGACGCTCGTTTTCGAATTTGGGTCTCAATGGAACTTCAATCAACGCGTTTGGAGTTGTATCGTCATTTATGCTATGGCTTAGAAACATTTCGATCATATTAACGACCCAATATGGATGTTGGCTTGAATATACTGGATCACTAACTACTACAGTGGCAAAAGTTTTCTCGTACACGGGTGATCTTTCTGGCGCCGACCAGTCTAATTCGACACAAGTGGTTTTGTCTTCCAACTTGTTCAACTCGATATTTTTTCGCAAATTGGGGACAATTTGGGGTAGATCTGTGAGGGTTGTTTCCATTCCCATTAAACAACAACAAATCCCCACAAGACCAGTGCCAGAGCCTAACTCAAGGACAGGCTCTCCTAAATTTGAGCTCACTTTGCCCGCACGTAATAACCTTGACCCAAGGATAAGCGAGCTTCCCCAAGTCTTTAATCCTAAGTTGTCATTTGTCATTGAGGGTTCGTTCAAGTAGATGTATTGTCTGTCATATTGCTCTAGATTAGACAAATAGATCTTCCTCTTGAGCTGAGGCTGCGCCATGCGTCCACAATTTTCACTTATCCTCAAACTAGCCAACGAGTGTATCTCGTCTCTTTCGGCATCGGTCATCCATGAGAGTTCATTGGACACGATTCGAGTGATGTATGCATTATAGTCATTTGCAGAATTTGCACGCAACCCCAGTGACAAGGCCGGTACAAGGCTTAACTTTTTCAGGGTACTTAAACGAGGGCAATTTTGCACTAGCCACGATACAGCATTCTCGAGTTGTACTGGTGAAACCAATTTTTCACTGAAAATCGTCTCTTCATCAGGCTTGACGTCATGTTCGTTTCGGTTTTGTTGAAAATTGAGCACTTCATCAGGTGCCATGAGTTTTAAGATAGCCACAAGAACAGGATATGGTGGTTGTAAACGTAGCATAGGTAAGTCTAAAATGTGAAGCGGTATTAGATCATCCTCATTCTCTTCATTGTATTCCAGTGTCATTTCCTCGCAAGAGGTCCGGCAATGACTTGGGGTCAGTTGTTGACCTTTAAATGATGTGATGTCATGGATGATATGCTCTATAGCAGTGCTTGCAGAAGGGGTGTACAAGGACAACGGATCAAAGTCCATCTCTGGTTCTTTGAAACTCTTGACTACACGTTTTATTTTTTTATGAAGACCCGATACTTTTTGTGCATCTACGTAATAGCCATACACAAAGTAGAGAAGGGTAGAAATCACAGCATTTAAAGCTCCACTCTATGTATTAATCCTATTTAATACACGAAACCGTCATCAAAAGTCAATGGTACGTCCATTGTATGTCCATTCATCACTTTGTTTCAACGGATCTTGCTTTGGTCCCCCAATTTCACCTGTATTTGGGTTCACGTTGCCTTCGAATTCAGGGATCGTTTTCAAATAAGCAAAAGTACCAATATCTGAGTTGTCATTGATTACAGGGGGTTTCACTTCATTATCTGTGTCGTGATTAGTCGAGCCACTTGCTGCAGCTGCTGCTTCACGCTGTGCAGCTAGTAACCGATCATTATAATCCTCAATAGCAATTTGAGATTGGGCTATATTCTGTAACCTTTCAAATTCCTCTTGTTCGTGTTTGGGAAGTTTTGGTGGTCCGCGATATTGTTCAGCAAACTTTGGTGGGACTGAATAGTAGCGTAGAAACTGAGTTGATGGCCGAGCAGAGAATGGACAGAGCTTGCTGATGGTGATTCTTGTCAGGAACATGTCTGTGATGATGTGAGTGGTGACTGAGAAGATTCTCTTCGAATGGCAGTCACTTTTCTTTCGATGTGGATCTAAAACCTAATCGTACAATGGTAGCGCGATCTCCGACCGGAGATTTTATCCAGTCCAATAGAAAATGGCTACTCCTCACTTCAATCAGTTTGACCAAAAGCTTTAATTAAAGATTCTATAAAAGTACCGTGATTGAATTCTATTGTTACATAATCTTATGCCCACTTACCTAGCAAAGCCATCAAACCCGCACCCCAGCACATAACGAAATAAGCAATCAACATTTTACGGAAACCATTTGGTCCCTTGAATTCTCCACTGTACAAAAACTCATGGGCCATCAATTCAACAAGACCAGTGTAAACCAAAATACCAGCAGAGATTGCATCAAAAACACCGTTCGTAATCAAAGCTCTTCTTGATCCTGGTGGATACGAGTGTCTTACACCAAGACCAATGGCGATAGCGATTGGGGTACAAAGAGTGTAACCGAGTGCTAAGATCCAAGGTGATAATCTGTGCTTGTCCCAGTTGGTGGTTGCTATTCTGGTGCCCAAACCCAAACCTTCAAACATTTGATGAAAGACCAAGACAATGTAAAGGGTTTTGAATTCATCACCTGCAACAGCCAACGACAAACCAATAAACACTGAGTGAAAGATTATACCAAACTCCAAGACGAAAACATTTAGCAATTGACCATAATATTGTTCTTTACTTTGATTGTTGACTGGAGTGCCCATAACACTTGGGTCTTGATGTTCGTGTCCATGTTGAAAATGATTTGGATATGGGTTGGCCTGCTTATCTGTCTCGTGGCCAGATTCTTCAAGTTCAGCGTCATCCTCTACTTCATCCTTTTTTGGGTCGACTTTTTTCTTTACGTATAATGATTCGTCACCAAAATGGGAATGAGAGTGACCTGCATCTGCAGCATCAGCTTCTTCAATATCATCATTCATTGCACTGATTTTTCTATCAATCATACGATAAGCCACCAATTCGAAAAAGAACAATACAAATAACGTCATTAGACAGATACCGAACGCCCATGGATACTCCGTAATAACACCAGTCAAACATTCGTCTCCCAAAGCGTCAGAAGCTGGTTCCAATAAATGAATAAATGCAGTTGCTACAATGACACCACTTCCAAAATACTTTGCCCCAAAGAAACACCACCATGGCAATCTGATGAATGAATATTTTGACGAAAGGATGGGAAAGTATGCACCAAAAGCTGAAGTGACCATAATAACGAAAATAGCTGAAATACGAGCACCAAGTTGCTCACCGTCGTAGTCATTACCACTTTCGCATTCGTCTCGTTTGTTTAAATACTCAAATAATGCACCTATACTGCTTTGCTCACTCATGGTAGTATAATTTTTGATATTGAAGTGCTGATATGGTATAAATCAATAATTAAAATAAGCACTAATTTATGGTTTAGAAATTTGAACAGAATGAGATAAGTTGGAATATCAATACCCTTTTATATCAAACGATTCGTTGTCAAAACTTTTGGAAAATGAATAAAGATGCCTGTTTTCGTAAAACTATTGTGGTTATTGTGTTTAAATTGGATGCCGTACAGAATCAAAGCGTAAATCGTGGGTGTCCTTGTGTATTTTGTGATAGCTAAAGTACCCAAAACAAATGATTTTTTTGACCTAGTTTGCTTTAATAGTGAAAGTATAATTGAAGAATACCCTTTATATTCATATTATAGAAACTGAAAAAAAAGAGAGTAAAAAGATAGAATGAAAAATAGTTAAAGTTTTAGCAAATTGCGTTTTGTGATAGATTTATGTACATACCTTGATGGTTATCATTAAAAAATACTCACGCATGCAAACACATTACATCCTAGACGTATTATATCATCTTGCATCTGAAAGCTTGGCTAGTACTAATTTTGACATGTCTTGTCGCCGTCATTATGCCTCTTCCCCCCTGCCAAGCTCATCGGTTCTTTTTCTCGTGGAGAGCATCTGGCGAGATTCTTTTTGAGAAGGGAAAAACTCATCGGAGCCATTTTTCCGTTACTTTGACGCCGTATGTTCATTGAAAATGGTACAAAGCCAACCATTTTAAGAAAAGGAGAATTAGTGAATAACCATCAAGGTATGTCGCTATATAAAAGGCCACCAACCAATTAGGACAAACCTAATTAGACAAACGTACAATACATAGTGCAACATATATCTTCCTGTGGTCATGCGGCAATATCATCAGAGACATACCAAAGCTAAGAATACACCACAAATTTCGCCTAAATCTTGTTTTACGAAAAAAAAAATTGGTTCTAAAACCAATGGAAACGGACAACTGCATATATTTGCACAAAATTTCGTTTAATTAAAGTACTCTGGCAGTTACATTGTTGGTTGTCCAATCATAAGACCTTGTAGGTTAAGCAGTTAGTCTTTGGAAATTGTCTAAAGATCTATAAAGCCGTTGCATATCCGAGCTTCGAGCCGATACAAACAGAAGCGAGGTTGGCATAAAGATGTACAATGTAACACAATGGTGAAAACAAATTAGCAGTTACTCTATTTAACAATGATTTTCAAAACTTGCACCATTTCCATCCAACAGCACTATATTTGGCCCATATCCATACCAATATAGATGCTGTACTTAAAGCTCCTTCAAATAAAACAAAATTACTGTAATTGCTTTTAGATCCTCCTGCAATCACTAAAGTAGCAAAGTACATACCCAATATTGTTAATACTCCCAAAAAGAAATACAATGTGCCGTAAACTTTACCAAACCTCTCTGAAGAGCATATTTGACCCGTGCACGCTGGTATCAAAGAGATCACAGCCGATGAAGATATGCCAAACATCACTCCAAAAGCATACAACAACGATGCACTCTTTGCAGGATACCAAAGACCAAATATGAATATGGTAGTAAATGTTGATGAAATCATCATCATGTTAAATCTTCCATAAATATCGGCAAATATTCCCGAGAGTAATCGCGATGGAATACCACAAACGTTGATGATGGTCAACAACAAATATGACAGTGTGTCACTCACGCCGTACTCCAAAGCATACGATCCCAAATATGTCAAAGTTGTCATGGAAACGACCTCAGCGAGAAACACACCCCAAGTCAATGACACAAACTTCATATCCTTCAACACTGAAAAATCTAATGCACCTTTAAAGAATCCAGTTATCTTCGACCAAGCGTGTTGATCAATGCCTTCTTCATGAACAACTGCAATTTCTTCCTCTTCTTCCAGCTCCATGTCTGTGGAACCACGAGCACTTCCATTGCTTGCGACGTTGCCCATTGAATTTTCACTCGTCCTAACCTTCCTCTCCCGAACCAACAAAATGGCACAGCTCATACAAAAAAAGCAAATACAGCTCAATACCCTTATTGCATTCTTATAGCCAACTTTGTCATACAACTGTTGCAACATGATAGCAAAACAAGAGCCACCGACTAACCCACCAATAGTGGCGATTGAGCAGGCCATTGCTCTTCTTTTTAAATACCAGTGACTCAAGGCACCAATCAAGGGTGACATAGCCACACTAGTGCCAATAGCTGTCAAAACTGAAAAGCTCAAAACAAATTGATACAACTTTGTGCATTCTGCGGTGCAGAATAAACCAGCACACATCAATATTGTACCAGCTATCAACGGCTTCTTTGCACCATACATGTCAAACAACTCACCAAATACCACTCCCCCAAGATACATTACACCCAAATGCAATGAAAATACCCAACCCACATCAGCCTTAGACACATCTTTCAATTGGTTCGCGGAGACGTACGACTCTATTGCTCCTAATGCGTTGGGAATGCCAAAGTCAGCAACCAAACCAATGAAAGATCCAACAAGAACCAAATATGCATCTCTTCCGCCTTCGGGGAATTCATTGGGATTAGCCTCACTACCATACATTAATGCGACTGAATTGTTGGTAATATTTGTAGCGTTACTGAATCGACGTCTCCTCATTGACGTGCCTAGCTGATGGGTCTGTTGATGGTAGGAATCATACTGCAGTCCTGATGCTTTGTTGGCATCTGCGTACGCTTGACCAACATCTTGTAGCTCAATATCGTGGACGTCTATGAATCTGCTTTCATTTGGGCTATGATGAGATGATGAGTGGATAACTTGTTGCGGAACTGTGATTGATAATGAGGATATTGAAGTCATCAAATTCGCGATATCTTTGATCCACCTGCTGTGTTTTTCAGTCTGAATCAATCTAATGCTTCTAAACTTGATGTAAATTGACTCATCTGAGAATACAAAAAAGTGTATTTTTTAAAACCTCTAAGGGATGGATTTGCGATTCCTCAAAGCGGATCGAGAATCCCGCTACAAGATTACTCAATTTTGTGTTCTGTCGATTAAATGCAAAGACCCATTATCGTATATGAAAGTATTTTTGCACCTTGCTAAATGATACCAATAGTGACCTACGCGCGACTGCTTCATTTGGAACGAACTTTCAGAAAGATTCGGTCTACGTTTTCCCCAATCCGTATTCTTTTTGATAATTAATATCCTGGATTAAATGGGGACACCCAAAAGAAGGATGAGAAACAAGTAGCGTCGGAGCACATATGTTGTGTATGTAAAAACCAACACTTTTATGTGACTGCCAACTCAACACAATTGTGAACTTCATGAGTTGGAGGACAAATTACATAGAAACTTGCAAGACGTAGATTCTGTTGATTCCAATTCTCACCAAAAGAAAAAATAAAAGTCGTGTTCCAAAAAGCCCACACCTAGTGTACCAACAATCTTGTAGTATCAACTAGAGATATACACCATCATGTCTGAGGCAGAATCAAAGCCAATTGAAAAAGAAGAAGAGTCAGAATTGACCAAAGAACAGAGATTGGAAGCAGCTAGGAAGAAGTTTGAGGAGTTGAAAAAGAAGAAGAAAAAGGACAAGAAAAAGAAGGCGAAGAAAGAGGATACAAATGCCGATGATGAAGATGAGCAAAAAGACAAGGGTGATGTTAGTGAGAGTAAGGAGGATACACCTCTTGAAGAAGTGAAGAGTGGATCAGGTGCGTTCGATGAGAACTCAGTGGAGCAAAAGGAAGAGAAGAAGTCCGACAATTTTGCGGAAAAGGAAAAGAGCGTCGAAGTGGCAGATGAAGACAGGAAGCCAGAGAATAAGCAAACGATAGAGGAGGAGAAGGACACCGCAGCGGAAGGGACACAAACAGAGAGCCCCTCAGTTCCTCTATCGTCACATGATTTGGATTCTATAAAATCCGACTCCCTGGTTATTGAAGAATTGCAAAAGACAATTGAAGAACAAAAGAGAACAATCGCTGTCTTGCGCAAAGAGGTCAAGGATCTCAAACTATCCAAAATGGATCTTGACGATACCATCGCTGATTTGAGGTCTGAAAATGAACAATTAAAGAGGAATGCGATATCATCACAATCACCAAGCTCAAACAAGTCGACATCCTCGCACAAAGCACCGATGTACAAACCGGCAAAACCATTATTTACGACTAATGACTACGCATCATCATCGCAACAAAATTTGAGCAAGTTTAGCTCCATTGAAGACTTTAGAGAAAAATTGATGATTTGGAAAGGTTGGCAAGTGGATATGCGAAGCTGGAGCAGTCCCAACTCAACCAAAGCCGTACTTTGAGAAAAAAGAAAAGTAGTATATAGCATCACAAGTATAGTGTGTGTATATTTACAAGTTTTTTACTTTTTAGTCTCTACCTTACCCTAAACAAAGCTTGTCCACCCAACCCTTTTTTTGCAGCATCGTTAATTTCATACAATTGATTCTCATGTTCAATAAACAAACATTCAGCTGGTTGTAACTGATCAATCCTCCTCACCTTCATTCCTGATGCCAAAGTCTTTACATCTTCTGCACTAAGCTCAACTTTTTTGCTTGGTTTGGACACCATTTCGATCTTTGAAATCACTGGTAAATTGTTTCTGTATTTCAAGTCCAACCATATCCTTCTGGTATTTATGTTATCTGGAGTTACATCAGTAGGTACCAAATCAGGGCCAGTATTTGATCCTCGTTGTATACCTGAGATAAATCCTTGGTTGTATAATTGGATAGCCACTTGTAAATTGGTTCTGTTGTATGGGACGGCAGTTTTGGCTAGCGTCACATTGTGACAGTTTTTTATATGAGCACAGAATCTCGATAAAGTTACTAACGAGGTTGGCATGGTGTTTGGTTGGGGTTTCTGGAAAGTCCTCTAAAGATGTGTGAAAAAAAAAAAATTTCCAGCTAAAACTTTTGATTAACCAGATGATTTTTTTCTTTGACAAAACCACTTTGCACACCAATTCGAAATAGCGTGATTTATATCCATGTTTAGGCTTGCGCAATTGGGAAGGTCAACTCTCACCCCGAGATTAAACCTACGTTTGGGAGGGGCATCTAAGTTGCCACTTCAAGCCTGTCGCAGAAACTATGTCATTGTTCATAAAGACTTGTCTAAAACGAAAAAGGAACCAAGAATCAGGTACATTTTGTACTTGGTGGCAGTGTCTTGGGTTGCAATTTGGTTTGTTTCCGGTCAAGTAGACAAGAAGAAACCAAAGCAATATATGACAGAACGTGAGTTTGAGGAATACGAAAAGAGCACCGGAATAAAAAGAAGACACAAATTAATTGGTCCCGATTTGAATTCGAAATATAAATTTTATGTCATTCCTTATATTTATTCGGATGAAGAGTTGGAGAATATAAAGTCTAGTTTGCAAAAGGCAGACCCATCAAGGAAAATTGTCGTTCTTGATCCTTCAAAGTTGGTTGCCGATGAAAAAGCTGATGAAACGAAGCGATATTCAGCCTTGCTCAATGATTTGGATTCCTCACACAAACCATACCCTCCAGGTTTGATTACTGCAATTTTGAAGAACCATATCAATTTTTTAATGAATACCAGAGAAGGTACTTTTGACACTAATTACATCATCAAGAATTATCCACAAACTACTAGTGAAGCCATCAAATTCGAAAATGATGTGTCTGATATCAGCAGGTGTTTAGTATTACACTTTGATATGTTGAACGAGTTACCAAAGCACAAAAATGATGAGGAGGTGAGAAGTATCAGAAATGTTGAAGGATATTTTGACTCCGTTGGTAAATCGAAATCATTGGTGTCCAAATTTGATGAAATGGATGCGAAATTTGAGGAGATTATGTTGGAGGATTACTAGGGTGATCTCTTGTAGATAGAGTATTGACCAAGATGTACATAGTAAGGTCGAAAGATTGAATACAACTTTGATAAGCTTTTAACTCATTTATTTTTGGGCAACTCATTCTAAGCCATTGTCCTTAAAGAACTCCTCCGGCGTCTTGAAATCTATCTTTGCATTTTCGGCAAACTTGATGTCACTATCCAGAAAGTCCTGCTTTCTACCAGCTGCATCACCCACATAAAAACTTTCTTTGTAGTCAATTGTTTTCCCCTGCATAGCTAGTGCATTCTCCAAATCCCGCCACATTCCAATTTCTGGTTTCCTTGTGGATTTATGTTGCTCATCACTTGAGGTGGGCCCTTTCAGGGGCCTTTTTGGGGAAGCAAACACGTAAAGCGAATTGATTTGTCGTTTTGCCAATTCTCCATATACCAGATTCAACTTCGACCTCAAATTGGCATACGACTTGCTATTTTGGTTAACAACGACAGCTCCCTGATTTGTAAATATAACAATCAAATATCCCTCGTTGTTAGTTTTTGACAATACTTTTGGGACATTTGTCGACCACCATTTCCAATCTGTTGGTCCTCTTGAAAATTTTGCACCAGATTTGGTCGTAATCAATGTACTATCCAAATCAAATGCTGCAACTTTTACTCTCTTCCCCGGAAATTGTGGCGTAGAAATATTTCGAATCAAATGTGTCCCAACTGTTTCCCAACCTAGTTCAAACTTAGTTGACATTAAGCTCGAGTCTAACCTCTGTGCAATGGCTTTTCCGGACGTATCTGTACTACAAAGCTTTTCAGTCGAAGCACCAGGGTCCCTTTTAGGTTTGCTAATCATTGATGTAACGTCATATTGAGTCATACCTCGAGAACTATAAGCTTCAAGTACGCGTTGGACGCAAAAAAAAAATTGTATATGAAATCATGTTCACACCCATACCATCACATGTCTAACCTGGAAAAAAAATCTATAGACCAGTATGGTCGGCAAACTTGGAATGTTGACGTGTATGCTCAAGAAGCTCGAGAAAAAAGAAGTAGCGTTAATCGTGATACAACCCCATCCCAATATATAATTGACAAAGACATAGATCACTCCAAAACTCATATCAAAGAGAGAAATGCGTTACTTGAAGAATCGATAAACGCTGTTCAAAAATTCAACCTCATAAACCCAGACAAAGCATCCACATCGACCTTCGGGGCAAAGAAGAGATTTGGTTTTGTATGTCCTGTTTGTGATTTGTCATTTCGTGATAACTTAGCATTGATTGACCATTTTAATTCACCACAACATGTTAGCAAAGTATTTCAGCAGACTAAATCAGCCGATGAGGGTACAAAATCGGAGCTTTTAGATGAAGGGGTCAGACGAGCGACCCTCAAAGAAGTTGTGTCAATGATGGAGAGTTTGGTTGCTAAATGCTTGAAGGAGAAAAGTTTGCAACTGGTTGAAGGGCTGGGACTGGGACCATCTTTTACCGAACGCGTTGAGATGAGAAAGAAGTTTGAAGACGAGAAGAGGAATAAGCGATCAGAAAGACGCAAACTTCTACGAAGTCGAAAGAAGCAGAAACTTCAGCTACCGCTGGAAGAGAAGGTAGCCAATTCGGATATAAGTGAGGTCATGGGATTTGGAGGATTTGGCTCCTCCAAATCTAAGTAACTGAACTATGAGGTTAGCTTATGAGGAACAACGTTGGGTGATGTAAGCGATCATCTACGTCTTAGTGAGACAAAATTAGCCACTTTGTACTTGGTATACTATCTCGATTCTTTTTGTCCTTTTCTTTCTTTGGGTGCTAACCTATTATAAGACGTTCCACCTCAGTGAGAGAATCAATCACATAGCGCAGAACGTGGTGTTTAATTACCCTCGACATATCTTGTGTGTTTTCAAATATGAAGCGTATTCTTTTTTTTTTTTTTTTTTTTCTTTTGAGAAATGAACCAATAAAATTTTGCTGAAAACAATCAAAGTCCTATTATTGAGAACCTTCTCATAGTACGTTCCTTGTAACACCAAGCATCTACACAATTGGCAATATCACTGTCTGCAGCTTCACAGGAGCCAACAACGCAAACCCGCCACCATGAAGTTCACATTCAAATTCCCACTTTCAACACTTTTAAAGTACAAGCCAGGAAAGTTTAACTTTCAATTAGAACAGGATATCCGTCAAAAACTAGACTCATTACCATCTGTAACGAGGATTTACACCAATCCAGACGGAACGCCAAGAGTACCTTCAGATGAAGAATTCAAGACTATAGGTGAATTACAAAATTTATACTACAAAAGAAATCACTCCGAATGGAATTATATATTACCTGGAGTTTCAAGAGACCAATTAAAATTGTTTGAAGATAATTCACAAGATTTAAACCATTTCCAGTTTGTAACCAAGGACGCAGGTAAAATTATTGACAAAATTCCATACAAGGATGAACAAACGGGAGGTTTAAAGTGGAAAATAATTAGAGAAACACCAAAAGCTGAAGGATGGGAAATCCCATATTTTTACATTGTGTTGCCAGTTTTTGCTTATATACTTTATGTCAAGTATACTGCGCAGATGAAAGCAAGGGAAGTTGAGGGTCCAGATTGGGCAGAAAAGGAGTTGAGATTGAGAGCTATGGAAGAATACTTTCATGGTGACACTGCCAAGGCAAAGGAGTTTTTGAGCAATGAAAACAAATCTGATAAGGAAATCAGAGAAAGAGACGACTTGGTTATTGCTAGAATCTTGGCTGGCGATTATGATAAATTAGCACAATTAAAAAAGAAGTTGCCCAAGGATTTGATCAAAGTGGATGAAGATCCGATCTTTAAGTACTAAAAATGTATAGCAGCGCATGGTAAAAGCAACTTAAATCTCAAATTGTATTTATATTCCTATTTACTCTTGTTCTACACCAGATTCCTCAATTACAATTTTTGCAGTTGGAGTTCCTGATTGAGTTCCATAACTCTCAATTTTCTTAACAACATCGTACCCATCAATAACTTCACCAAAGACAACATGATGACCATCCAACCATGGAGTTTGTACTGTAGTGATGAAAAATTGAGAACCATTAGTATTTGGCCCAGCATTAGCCATGGATAACAAACCAGGCTTGTTGTGCTTTTTATCAAAGTTTTCATCTTCAAACTTATTACCCCAAATAGGAGAATAACCACCATATCCCTTTCCGGTTTCAAAGTCACCACCTTGCAACATAAATTGAGGGATGATTCTGTGGAAGATGGATCCTTTATAACCAACACCCTTTTCACCAGTAGCTAAAACCTTAAAGTTTTCGGCTGTTTTGGGAACAACATCATCGTATAATTCAAACTTAATTGGTGGTTGTAATTCCCCGTCAATTGAGGTTTGAAAAAACACCTTGGTTCCCAAAACTCTTGGGGTAGTTGAAAACAACCTTGTAGCGGTAGGGTTGACAGTTCTAGTTAAAGCTGATCTGAACATGATTGAAAACAGTGGGGATGTAAATACCTTGCTACGAAGAACAATTGCACACGCTATTTTCTTTTTTCTTTTTGCTTCTTTCCTTTCCCCGTTGAAACTCGGCAGAAGAAAATTTTTGATCTAAAATCGGATCTCCACTGCAGCCGAACACTACAAATGATAAAACACACACGCAGACAACGAAATTGAACATACATATAGCCTTCTCTATTTAAACTTGCTCTAAAAACTCAACAAATCCACGTCACCTCCATTGTTACTGTTACTATTGGAATTTGATGTGGGCTTCGTTTGATTGTTTGAACTGAAATCACCAAACAAATCATCATTTTGTGTTGTTGTTGTTGGTGCAGGAGTGGATGTAGATGAAGGAGTTGTAGCCGTTTTTGATTGGGAGCCACTTGTTTTGTGACCACCAGTTTTGGTTTTTGCAGACAGAAACAACGACGAGAAGGCATCGTTATTGGAACTCTTGGCAGGACCTGTAGATGACGATCCTGTATTGGTTGATGCATTTCCTGAAAACACACTCTGCTGCGATGGAAATTGCTGGAATTGTGGAATAGTTTGCGTTTGCGTTTGCTGCTGCTGCTGTTGTTGCGGATGGTACAAGCTTGTCAAGTTGGAGGACAAATTGTTTTGTTTTTGACCCTGTGAAGGGGCAGCTTGAAAATCATCGAAATCGTCATCGTCATCATCATCTCCAGCATTGCTTGTTGTTGTTTGCTTTGGGGCATCGTCGAGACCCAACAAGTCACCCAAAAGATCTTTTTCGGGCTCCTTTGGTTGAGGTTTTGATTTTGTCGCAGCACCAGCGTTCACTCTTGAAGCTCTCGTCGTTGCCTTTGACACCGCAGTCTTTGTAGTTGGTTGCACATCGTATTCTTCAAACTGGTCTCCGCCTGTGCCTGTGGCTCCATTTTGATAAGCTGAAGCTGGATCATCATATCTCTCTCCATACACCCCACCATCACCATACACCCTATTGGTGAATTCGTCGTCGTCAACATCGGTGAATGTGGATGACGACCCACCATAGCCTGTTCCAATCGATGAAGCACCACCAAACGCTGCCGACGAAACGCCTCCAAATTTTTTCTGGTTTGCCCTAGCCTTTTTCCGTTCACTTCTAATTAGCGCATCGTCATTCAACAAATTGATCAAATTCTTTGCTCTATTTCTTACATTGATACCTTGGTCTCTACCTTTGGAGTCAATGTAATGGAATGATTTCAACATCTGAATCAATGAAAGATTTGACCTAACGTCATCAATAATTCTTTCACTTCCATTTTTGATCAAATAGTCCAATAATTGTAACGACTTGTAAATCTGCCTCCATTCGTTGGCAGCTTTCTCAGTGAATCTGCGGAAAATAAATGCCAAGATCTCTTCCCTTTCTCTGTAATTGTAGGTTGCTGAAGCTATCTGTGCCATCAAGGTTGTTGGTGCACCCCAAGGCTCGTTGTTTGTAGCTTCCCTAACTTTCGATTCAATCTCAGTATAATTCATGGCAACTATAATTGAGTTAGTAGCTACTTCTAAAACATTAAACGGATGATAAAAACATACCATTTTGCGCTTTACGCACATATGCCTTAACCTCATAAAGGTTCAAATTTTTAGCAGCGTCTTTTAAAAGATCCATTGTTATTGGTGCCTAAATACGTTCAACACAAGTGAGAATCAATCTGTATGTGAACTAGTCTATGTTGATTCCTGGTGCGAAAATATGATACTATCACCGTAGATTAACTAGATTCTGACGTTTGCACTCAAGTGAATATACGGCTTCTCGTTGCTCTCAGGTTAATAATAAGATGATTAATTTTTTGTTCTTTCTGTTGCTTGAAACAATGTCAGTTTTTTAAATTTCACAAATGAACAACGGCAACGAAAGAGAACAAAAGTAAAAAATGGAAAAAAGCAGAATTGGAAAGGAGTGCGTGCGGTTTAAAAGTAAATATCGGCTATTAATCCACAAGAAATAATACACACCCAGATTAATCCATCACCCTCTAAAACACATCAACAGTACTTCGAGATTTAAAAGAGCTTCTTGATGATATAAATGCTAATTGTCTATATCTCTATGAAACCTATAACTAACGCCGTCATGTATCCTGCGACTTGCGATATTTATTTCGAATATTCGCAGTCAACTTTCTCAACTTACTAAGTTTGTCATCACCAGCATCAATAGAATCTTTAGTTTCATTCACAACCTTTCTTTTGAAAGATGTATTCGGTGTGCTTTCCTGTACCACACCCTTGCCGAATCCTTCTAGTATAGAATTATTAGTCATTATCGAAGTGTTTAAAAACGTCGAGTTACTACTAACTAGACTCAAATTGTGCCTGCTTCCACGTCGGGCAATTATTTTTGCCAACGATTTATTGGCAACGTCACCAACACTTACGTGGGTGTCAGCCAATTTCGACGTTGAGTGTAGACTTTTAAAGCTATTAAGGTAATTGTATCTTTCAAGCTTCTTTGCATTCAACATCAAACTTTTATCCTTTTCAGTGATGCTGCCATTGGTTGTGGGACTTGTCTGACGCTTCTTCACCAATTCGTCGCCTTGTTTCATCATGCGCAGTTGTTTAACTTTGATGTAATGTTTTACTCCCTTGGAACTGAGTTCGCCATCAAAATCCATTCCGATTTTCGTAACCGACAGGGTAAGCACACGGTTGATACTTTCATGTTCATTAGCCATGTCACAAAAAATCAAATTCTTTAAGCTGTTTGTAAAGGTGTACTGTTGCAAGTTTAAAAGTTTCACAGCTTCTCCACTAGATAATCCTGATTGTGTCACATCCCAAAATAAAATGAGAACACTTGGTTTGTAGAAGCTATACTTCTCGCACACGGAAATAATCTGCTTCAAAACCTTGGCATCTTTGATCAACTTGTCTCTAATTCCTTCCTCTGTTGCAAAGCACAAACCGCACTCGAATAATATGAAACCACAATCACGTAAAAAGCTCTTGGTGATGCCATCTTTCGAGGGAAGGCTAGTAATCTCTAAATCAACTTTGTCACTTCGCACGTTGTTTTCATAAACCATTTTTACCATGTTTGGTTTCAACCCGAATTTAGCAATCAACCATCTAGAATATTCGTTCTCCCAATCTTCCACAACTAACAACCACTTGAGTTTCAAATTTTCTTCACTTAATTTGAGGGAAATTTCGGAGGAACACAACTCAGTAAACTGCTTCAAGTCGAGAGTCTTCCACAATTGCCCCATTTCTTCCTGTTTCTTTACAAAATCCATCGTATTAGCGTTGGTGTGATGCTTCTTTCTTGAAGAGGTTGGTGTCGTTGTACCACTCCCAAACTCTCTCTTTAATGAGCTTCCGAAAGTTACCGATTGAAGTTCGCGTCGTTTCGCTTCTCTATCTTTGTACGAAAGAATGCATTTCTTGGCCCTGTAAGCCAACCGACGAATGGCGTGTTTTTGAGCAAGAAGGTTGCTCATATACTGACTTGCAGTTTCCAACGTGCATTGGTATGCACTCTCGGCAACGAATGCGGAAAACAACTCCTCCTCTAAAGTCATAATTATTTTGAGTCGTTGGACTTTAGTATTGTGTCTATGGAGAACATTTTCCAATATTGCTCTAAACTCAGAGTCCACCATATTACTGATAAGTTCATGTGCAATCTGGTCTGCCGCTCTTTGAAATAATGGATGATTGACCAACTGATTGGAAGTCTCTGGCGTCTCTTTTTGAGGAGCAAAAGATTTGGCACTCATAACTTGCAGTGTTTGTTCTCCGAACGAGGGTACTGGACTTGGCTTAATGGCTGGGTTACTTTTACTTTCCATACGTGTCGGTGAAGTACCCTGTAAGGTAAAGGGTTTGTTGAAGGAGAAATCGATTTTCGGTTTATCATTTTTAACACTCTCTACGGTATCTCCTGTTTCAGGCTTCCTTGTTTTTCTCACATTGCTTACCTCGTTCGCTACCCCAAAAAGGAACGGCGACTGAGCTGTAGCTGAGTTGGAAGGAGCGCTTGTGGTTGGTGTAGTTTGTGGTTGCAGGAATGTGGCATTTTCCGTAAGTGGCTTCGATGGGCGCAGTACTTGAGGCGGAACAAACTTTATGTCATTCGGCTTGAATGCTCCTGCAACAGGGGTAATAGCAGGAAATGTGGTTGTGCTTGCCTTAAAGCTTGTTGCAATAGAACCCGAGGTGGATCTCTTCGATGAGGTAAGTATATCCTTTTTTGACTTCAAGTGAAAACTGACATTCGGCAGCCCACTATTTATGATACTAATCAAATTTTTTCCCTTGAGTTTACGATCTAGTTGAGATGAATAAACTGGTGGATATTTCGGCTTTTCGTAAAATGAGTTGAGCTTATACAGCTTCTCAAGCTTGTCTTTGTTAAACAAGTCAACCAACGTCTCTCCATTTTCAATGATGACATCTATCTCGTAATATTTTAAAAATTTCATTGATTGTTCACTCAGGTCGAAGCCTAGTAAATTACGAAGCGTATCTAACTGATATGGTTTTCCACGTGTGTGGAAACTTCTCGACATTGCTTTCAAAGCGTAAAATCTAATTTCACTGAAATGTGTTTCAAGTAAACATGCCATCAACAACGGTGTTTCCTCACTGTAAACAACTCTGAAAAACTCCACGTACAAGTCCAATGCACCGATGAGATTGGTCACACCGCGTTCGACAATATTATTTTGAGATATAATTTTCCGCAAATTCAATGCCAATTGCACTCGACTATCTTGATAAATGTAATCGGGTGAATTTTGTATTTGTCTCTCCAATTCTGGGTCTCGAATATGACTTAGTAAATGATATGCACGAAACTCCGCTTCGTTAGGGGAGCTGCCACCATTATTGCGTACATCCTGATAAATTTCCATCAACGTCTGCAATGCCTTGTTGAATTGCTCCAATTCCTGTTGTTGAGAGAATTCCACGTCACTGCCTGCCATTATGTGAAGTGACAATAAATGAATTCGAACGATTCTCTCATTACAATCAACAGCCTCAGGACCGAAACTGTTCTGATATGTAAAGTCTTGTCTAATTGATCTTGTTCTATCCCACAAAAATGAGTGGGATTCAGGTAACTTATCCACGACATTCTCAATTAAATAATTCAAGGTTGTTTGCAAAACATGTGGCGGTCTAACTTCCGATGGTAATGGTGGTGGTTGACCAGCAGCCGGCCTTGAAAACGCTTTAACGGCTTTCTCCTTTGTAATCTTATTAGTCAGCGGGTCCCTCTCCAATACGTTGACATTATTTTCCAACTGTCTTCGTACTCTCTCAAATACAGGACACATGTCAAGACATGACCCTTGAAAAGCTATTGCTTCGTTCAAATGTTTTGCAGTATTTTCGGCATCAACAAGCCCTAACTCCTCCATCTCTTTCCTTTCAATTTCTCGAAGTTTTTGCAAGTCCTCGTATAACCCTTGGTAATCTTTCCCTTGGTTCGCTGACTCCATTTGCTCCATCTTAATCTGGTTTTGTCTGTCCCACTCATTCTGCACAAAAGGCGGAGTATCAAGACACTTTGGTTGGGTTAAAAAGTACTTGGGAATCGGTCGGGGGGTTACATTCTTCTTCAATGGTTGAAACCCAAGTGCTTGTGGATCGGGAAAAAGTGGACCAGTTACGGAAATTTCATCTGCTGAAAAAGACTGAGCTTGCCCTGATGTTTGGTTTGGATTTTTTTGTGGTGAAGTTCCATTACCAATTTTTGAAAACGGGTTTGTATTGTTTGGTTCATTCGACCGACTGTTTATGGGCTTTTTTGCTTTCCTTTTGGCTCGAAAACTTTCATCATTTGGCACGCCAAACGGCACTTGTCGGTTAACAATACCTTCTAGAGCAATCAGTCCGTTGATTGCATTACCATTGGGCGATGCTGATCTAGCTTGCGTGCTACTATTTGTATGAGTATTGCCTTTGGTGAAGCTAATTGGAGTCCCACCCTCAAATGTAAACGACATGATTTTTATGTGGGGTTATATACAAGATCAAGATGTAATTATGAATCAAAGACGGTTCATATGTGTCGTCTAATGCAATGTTTGTGAGTAGTGTTTGGAAGTAGGTCGTAGCATTATGAAGCAGTGTTTTTCTCGTTCTCATGATGATTTGAAGAAAATGCTACCAAAAATGAATTGTTATTTGGATACCCTTACAATGCTACTGGAGACAGAAAGTGTAAGAGAGCAGTTTATATTGCTCCGCAGAATTTTACCCAATGATTAATCGGTGTTAGAGACATCTATTTAGTACTAGTCACGAAGTATATTTGGTAACCCAGTTTGAGTCCATCGGTTAGCAAGTTTGGTGGAACCACATAGACGCTTAGTCCATCAGTACCTACTAAATCAGTGACAAATCGTTCAATTGTTACTGCATCCCTTAATTGAATTGCAATTACGGCGTAGACGTTTTTGGATAGAACGGCTTTAAGGGCATTAATGAATGGGGCAACCAAGTATTCATTGTAAATTGTATCACTAGCAATGATTAGATGTATTGAATCTAAATGAAGCTCTGCGAGATTGAAGAGACCATTTTCAATCTCTTCCCAGTCAAACTCGATTACGTCGATGGAGGTAGTCAGTTTCAGGACGGAATTCGATATGGTTGAACTTCTATAGTGAGGTACATTGGCTACTATATTTTCCTTCAATAGCTTGAGTATATGCTTTTGATCAGTTGCAATGTAGCGACCAACAAGTTTCAGCAACGTCGAGGCACAGATGCCACCCACCCCAGACCCCAACTCCAAAACTACTTGAGATTTGGATAGTTTGAACGGACATAATGGTGATAGTAGCCAATCTACCATCTGAATTGAGGTATTCCAACATATGAATCCAGTTGTACTGGTTGTTTGTTTAGACGACAATTGTGATATTGATTGCCTCACAACTAGATCAATATCATTTTCAGGAATCGAGACGGTGATTGTATCTGATTTCTTGTTGATGAATCCCAAATTGCTTAATGGAGCATTTCTAGAGTACAACTCAAATATATGCTCATCCAAGTCGTCATTTGTGAGCCTTAGTAGTTGTGAAATGACATCAGTATCTACCATGATAATCAACTAAAAGAATTGACTTTTTTCATGTTCCGCGATGCCATGCGCTTGAGAGACAAAAAGGAGAGCTTTACTATACAGCTAGATTACTTAATCAAAGAAAATATACACTTTTCGAATCCATATACTATATAAAGACTCTATACCCCCACCATATCCTCTAAATTAATCCCCTTGCATTCAAAATCTCGGCAATCAATATACCAGAACCGGCAGCTCCAATGACAGTATTATGCGACAAGACAACCATCTTAAAATCCAACAATGGATCTTCCCTAACTCTACCAACAGAAACACCGTAACCATTGTCTCTCTCCCTATCCAATCTTGGTTGTGGTCTGTCCTCTTGTTCCAAAACATGTATAGTTTGTTTGGGTGCTGAGTGGCAGCCCAACTTTAGAGCATCACATTGATACTCTCTCAATGCCTTTTTAACTTCTTCGACTGATGGAGCAGGCCTATTGGCAAATCTAAATGATATACATTCAGTGTGTCCGTCAATGACTGGTACTCGATTACATTGAGCGCTGACCTTCATTTTTTCGTCTGGTATATTAACCACTTCGGTTCCCTCTTTATTAAGCAACCCAAGAATCTTTTTGGTTTCCCATTCCAACTTGTCTTCTTCTCCACTGATATAAGGGACAATGTTATCCAAGATATCCATTCCTGATACACCGGGTGAGAATCCAGCACCAGAAATCGCTTGTAATGTAGTGGCTGTCAATGCATCAATTGGACCAAATTTTTCAACCAAGGGCTTCAATGGAGCGACCAAACCAGCAGTAGAGCAGTTAGAAATACAAATGAGATAACCCGTCTTTTTACCTTCCGCCCTTGACTTCTTGACTTTATTCTCTATGATGTCCAAGTGTTCTGGGTTCACTATTGGCACAACTAATGGAACATCCTTCACCCTTCTGAAGTTTTTGGCATTTGATACAACTGCTAAACCAGCTTCAACAAACTTTTTTTCTACTTCACCTGCAACATCTGAATCCAATCCTGAAAACACAATGTCACACTCTTTGAAGTTACCCTCTGGCTCACAAGTTTGTACATCTATGTTCAGGGCGGACTCTGGTAATATATCAGTTTGTTTCCAACTAACAGCATCTTTGTATGCCTTACCAGCTGATCTTGATGAAGCTCCCAATGCATGAATTTCAAATTCGGGGTGTTTTGATAACAATAAGATAAATCTTTGGCCCACGGATCCCGTGGCTCCTAATACTCCTGCCTTCTTGACCATAATTGTAGTGAAATTGATTGTTGAGAGAAGTGATATGTAGCTTGATTTTTTTTTCAATCACCTTTTATATATTTTTTTTTTCATTCATTCATTCATTTCTTTTTGTTTTGATTATGTAATTAAAAGTTATGATTCATTTTATTTTTTCACTTTTTGTGTCAGATTGCAACAGCCCGTCCGTATCAGTTGAGAAGATTGGGCTTTACCTTTATAGATATTATTGTCACCATAAAGGATACAATATCTGCTCAAGTGTGAATTGAAGGGCATTAGGACTTGATTTAGTGATCTTTAGTTCGATAAGTATAAAATTTTGCAGCAAGGTGAAAACAAAATTCGTCTAAATACTAATACTACAGCTTTGAAGATTCGTCAAACTAGCTGTTCACTGTTACAAACTTTTTAATTGACAAATACACCTCTTCTTCAACATTTATCCACTTGCTAGCACTTGGTAACGGCTCGCATTGGTCCATCATCTTTCTTCCAACCTTGCATGGTAGCATTCGCTGAAAAAGGTCGTGCATTTTGTAGACGCGTGTTTTCAAAGAAAAACATGAAAAATTGTAAAAGTCAATTTCAATCATAGGCAGCTTCTCAAAATCAACATACACAATGGTAAATACTGATTTTGAAAGAATTTTCTTTAACCAGTCGAGGGGTTCTGGTCGTATGCGTGTAGCCGATTCTGGATTGGGATGGAAGGCAAGTGCCAGCGCAACAAATGGATCGGCGGGAGCTCCTGAGCAACAAACATTTTTGTTGCCTCGTGAAGAGATATTGGTGACCACCTGGTCCCGAGGCTCAAAGGGATATGAATTGAGGATTCAGACAAAAAACAAGGGAGTTGTTTCATTGGATGGTTTCCATCCAGATGATTTTGCACAATTGAAACAAGAGTTGACTCGAAACTTTCATGTCAACTTGGAACATAAAGAACATTCATTGAGGGGATGGAACTGGGGAACTACCGATTTGGCTAGAAATGAGTTGGTCTTCAATGTCAATAACAAACCTTCGTTTGAGATTCCGTATGATTCCATTTCAAACTCCAATTTGACAGGAAAGAATGAAGTGGCAATTGAGCTCAATCTTGACAAAAACAATACAAAAATGGGAGATGAAGTGGTTGAAATGAGATTTTATGTACCAGGAACTACAATTGAGCAAGAAACTACCACAGTAAAGAATGAGGATGGGGAAGAGGAACAAGTTGTTTCGACAAACATGGACAGTGAACAAAGTGCAGCACAAACTTTTTATGAACAATTGAAAGATAAAGCTGATATTGGACAAATTGCTGGTGAAGCTATCGTTTCTTTTGGCGACGCATTATTCCTTACTCCAAGAGGTCGTTATGATATTGACATGTATGCCAGCTCTTTGCGATTGAGGGGTAAGACCTATGACTACAAGATTCAATACGATCAAATTGAACGTATTTTCTCGTTGCCCAAACCAGATGAAGTACATCACTTAATCATCTTACAAATTGATCCACCATTGAGACAGGGTCAAACTAGATATCCTTTTCTAGTTTTGCAATTTGTCAAGGATGAAGAGACCGAATTGGAATTGAATTTAAGCGATGAAGAATTTGAGGAAAAGTACAAAAATAGATTAAAGAAGACATATGATGCACCAACACATATCGTTATGGCGCATTGTCTTCGCGGGTTGACGGAGAAGAAATTGGTAATTCCAGGTGCGTTCCAATCTCGATTCTTACAACCTGGTATTTCTTGTTCAGTCAAGGCTTCTGAAGGTTATTTGTATCCTTTGGAGAGATGTTTCTTGTTTGTTACGAAACCCACTCTTTACATTCCCTACAGCGAGATAAGTAATGTGGTTTTGTCAAGGACTGGAGGTGGGGTTTCTGCATCAAGAACGTTTGACTTGGAGGTGAATCTCATTGGATCTAGCGTGAAACACGTTTTTGGTAGTATAGATAGAGAGGAGCAAGAAAATATTGAAAAGTTCTGTGTTGAAAAGGGAGTCAGAGTAAAGAATGAAGAGAAGATTGCCAAACAAAGATTAGCAAAAGCATTAGAGCAAGAAGCTGAAATGGACGCTGATGATAACGATGTTGACATGGGCAGCGCTGGTGAAGATGATGAAGATGCCGATGATGATTTCCAATCTGGCTCCGATTCGGATGTTGCAGAGGAGTTCGACAGTGATGCAGCTGAATCCAGTGAAGACGAAGATGATGCGGATGAAGACGATAGACCACCAGCGAAGAAATCAAAGAATTAGAAGAAAATTAGTTCTGTTGTGGGTGGAGAGTGTAAGTACAATATGATTGAGCGTTGACGAATGTGATAGACTCTTTACGTTGATGTAACTTTGGAACACGTGCTTTGCTAATCGATGGCGTAGAACGCCTCTAACTCTCTTATCCCTCGTCTATATCTACACACAAGGGAGAAGTATGACGTAGTTGCACCGAGTTGATTGTGGAGATATTAAAGAATTTATCAATGTTTCTTTTTTAATACAATGTACATATAGATAATCAATCTCAATAACATTGCCTAACTAGGAAAGTTGCCAGAAAAAGAATAAAAAAAATTGTGTACCTTGATTTTAACCCCTTTCCTGAAAATACTATATTGTAATAAATAGTGGTTTCCAGTTACCTTTTTCAACTTGAGTTATAAAGTTGGCTCTACCCACGTACTAACGGCCATTGAGTATGTTGAGTACATTTCATTATAGTGGATGAGCTTAAAGTCGCCTTTCACTCACCCTTTTTCTTCTTTTCTCTCCTTAGAAGAACCAAAATTTGGTTTAAATTTTTTGTTACATTTTATTTTTGTGTAAGAAAAAAAAGTGAGAGTTTCTTCTTTTTGTGAATCACATATCACATATAAGTTTTCCATTTGTGTTAAATACAACCAGCATCAAACTACTACATTTTACACACCCATTGTAATTATATATCATGACATTTTATTTTGCAATAGTTATAATCAACTACATTAATACATATACATACGCAATTTCCCTTTGTAGATAAAATTTTGGTCCACTTCCTAAATTATATATTGATTTGCTTTTTTCTTTCTTTTTTTAGGGTTTTCTACTCAAGGAAATAGGCTATACCGGAAGATCATCAATCTAAAATTATCCCACATTCCACATAAAGAAAGCCCAGCACTCTCAAGCTTTACCATATAGCCAATTTGGGTAAAGTTACTGCAAGAAAGTGCTTCCCCCTTGTTTTCGATCCAATCAAACTAACTACACTTTCGGGCACATTACCGCATACGTCAAATAATTCAACCACAACCAACGTGCCTTTGCATTACGAAGCAGGAGAGAGACCAAAGAAAAGAAAAGAGAGAGCAAACACACAAAGCTTAAAAACATCACGAAACCGCTGATCCACTAAATTTTCCCATTTTTCTGGTACACCTACTTTCAAACGAAAAGAAGAAAGTGGTAAACCAAAAAATTAATGACAGAGATTGAATTTCAAGACTATTTATTGTTCACAGCATTGCTTGGATTTGAAGCCAATATGGCTATGGGCACTGGTAAAGGGAACATGTCCAACAATTATTGCTCACTCAATAAAGCAGCAAGCACAACAATGACCACCACAGCTCACAACCCCCCACGAATAGCACCACCAAGTGTTGATGATGCATCCATTCCCAAAAGATCACCAGCAAGACTACTTGACAGATGGAAGTTACCATCACAGAGGCTAATGAACGCAGTTTCGAATGCCAAGAGCAAAACTAACACCATCAACAACAATAATAAGGGCTCGATGCCCTATGGTAAAGGTGGCGGAGCACCTGATTCGCCGCAATCGTTTTCAGAGTCAACTAGCTCGTTTGAGATTGAGGATGATGTCAAAGACGACGAAGTTGGAGCTTGCTTGTCCTCAAATTCCGACAATGAATCAGTGTTTTCTGAGCCAGGAAATATGCTACAACCTGTAAAAGTTTCCAGGTTCAACGAGCCCAAGGAGGAAGATGGAAAATGGGAGGAGCTTTTAGAAGGACTTGAAAGTATTCAAATCTGCAACATTGACGATGTGCTTACATTCAAACACACAGACAACACTCAATTGGCGCGAGTTACGGTCACTGCAACGCCTTCAAGTAGGACAATAAATGCGGTTGGAGCATTTTGATCAGGGCGTACTCACCAGTTGACTAATTGGTAATAGTCCAGTATCTATTCATGATTTCGGTCTTTTTTTTCTTACGTTTTACGGCTTTTATTTCGGTGGTGTCCCATTCTTTTAAGTAGATGATTTAAGTTGATTTTGTTCATGTTTGAAATCACTGTAAGACTGTGAGGGGTTGGGAAGCCCTAAGTATCAAAGGGCTTTGGAGTAGTTCCTTTAGAGTTTCTACCCATGTGTGTTATTATGATCAATAAGGTTCATGCTTCTTTCATTTCAATGCGCTGGGCACAACTGGAACCCCACCAGCAAAACATCAAACAAAGTCGCAGCTATTGATTGCTTGCATTATAATCAGATACTTTTATATTGCTTTAATTTTCATCGCAATGGATTCGTAGACTTCAACATGGCCAAATTTTCGGAGTATACTCGCTCCTATGCACGGCTTCTTATTTCTTTGCGACTCGCTAAGGGATCCCCCAAAAAAAAAAAGACATAATTATCCCAAGAAAAGTGTAGAGAGGAAGAGGGAATGGGGTCATACTTACAGTCTGACATCTATGCACTGATGTATCAACCTCTGCGGTTGACATACAGCCCCCTTTAAGTGCATAGCCACTCTATGTCTACCTCCGGAGTAGCTATTTCATGGTTATCCCCCACAAATACAAACGGCTATTTGACTCCTTCTTATTCTTTTTATTTTTATTTTTTCCGACTTAAAGCGAAAAGTATTTATTTTTTTTCTGCATTAGTATGATGTGCTTCAACCCATTCGTATAAAAGAAAAATTGCGTTTTCTGACCTTATAATATCTTTTCCTATATTTCGTTTGATAAAGTTTCCACATTAGTAATCAAAGAGAAGAGATAGTTGATAAATCCCAAATACTTACTTGAAACACTCAACTGTTCATTCACAGCATCAACAAAGAACCTTCTTCAGCAAATCAAGTCAATGATCAAGTCAAGCATTGTCAATAACTATATTTGTTAAAGTTACGTATAAATTACATTAAGGTAAGCACAACTGTACAATGTCCGACTCAGATAGCCTACTGTTGGGTTTAGTCATTTACTCGGCGGTTAAACCTATATTCAAAATATACTTCATCATTGCAATAGGATTTATTCTAGCCAAACGAAATATTTTAACAGTGACGACATGTCGAGATATATCCGATACTATTGTGACGGCAATCATGCCGTGTTTGATCTTCAACAATATGGTTAGCTACCTAAAATCATCCGATATCAAAAATATTGGTGTCATTTTATTCACTTCGTGCTTATTGTTTACTTTTGGTGGGTTTCTGGCGTATGGTATACATTTGATTACAAAATCCCCCAAACGATGGTTAGGTGGACTAATATCAGTGGGGATTTTCCCAAACATTAGTGATTTGCCCATAGCCTATCTACAAACATTTGCAAAGGGAGGAACAATATTCACGTCAGCCGAGGGTAATAAAGGTGTGGCATATGTTTGTATCTTCCTTATGGGAATGACGTTGCTTCAGTTTTCCTTTGGGTTATACCGATTGATACAGTGGGATTTTAGGGATGAGTTGTTGGGAGATGAGGAGGATTTGGAAAGGAGTTCAAGCGGTGCCACTAATGATACAAGTAAACTGGGCCACGACGGAGATGACCTTGAGAAGAAATCAACACGAAGAACGAGTGATGATGCAAGGGATGCTCTACGAGCAACTGCACAAACACGTCATAATCCTGTAGATGAAGAAGCCATTGACACCTCATCAGATTCGATTTTGAGCCAGCTGAGTGAAGAAGAGCGTAGAAGGCGAAGCATAATGGATGAGGAGCAACAACATAATGAATTTTTACGAGTACAAACGAGAAGGCAAGAAAGTCTGTCCATGACCGGGTCTGGGTCCGGCTCATTGAGTCGAAGAGCATCAAGACGCAGAAGAGGCTCAGACAGTTCTGCTACCAGTGGTCCTTTAGATTTGGTGCCACCGAGGTCAAATGATTTGAGAAGGCAGCAGTCGCAGAATGTGGAGGACGTGATTAATGAGTATTCCGAGTTTGATGCATTGAAGCACCACGAGTTGCAAAAGTCTCATTCGAGACAAGAACCACTGGATGAAGTAGAGCCAGAAATCGTCGAGGAAAAAGAATCGAAAGCTAAATCCTTTGTCAAAAAGATGTTGCAAAATTTGCGAGCACCTACTTCGATATCGTTGCTTACATCTATTGCCATTTGCATGTCACCTCCTTTGAAAGCTTTATTTGTAACTAGCACATTCAGCAAGCATATTCCAAATGCGCCCGATGAGCAACCACCCTTGTCATTTATCATTGATTTGGTGAGCTATGTTGGAAATGCTTCAGTTCCATTGGGGTTGCTTCTACTAGGTGCTACACTTGCTCGTTTGCAAGTTAAAAAGATGCCACCTGGGTTTTGGAAAACAGCATTATTGATAACATTCACTCGACTCGTTGTACTCCCTATATTTGGAGTGGGTGTCACCACTGGATTCAACAACGGTGGTTGGTATGGTAATGACAAACTCGTTAGATTTGTTAGCGTATTGGAATTTGGATTACCCAATGCCACTTCACTAGTCTACTTTACTGCATTTTACACAGATCCTACAAGTGATGAACATTTACAAATGGATTGTTTAGCCATTTGTTTGATTACGCAATATTTAATATTATGGTTTACATTGCCCTTTTTGATTACATTCACGCTAAAAGTTTCAATGGGCATGTGATGGACGAAATCAGATAAGAATGATTTTATAGAAAGTCTGTACGAATAGACACAAAAGAATCATAGTCACTTTTTACGTAGAGAATAGGAGAAAGACGAAGACAACAAAGCGTGGTTTTTATTGACATCTCGTCGAAGCGGAGTGTAAAAAATAGATGGTACAGCAGATCGGAATATACCACAAAATAAAAAAAATTGTCACATGCTACACGCAAAAGCAATTATAATTGTAAGGAGTATTTCCCAAACGGGCAAAAGCCGCACTTTATTCCAAAATTTCAATGTATAGCAAGAGATCCTATAAATTGCATCAAATTTTTTTTTTTTTTTTCAAAACAGCCCCCCTTTTTCTTCCATACCAGTCAAGATCACATTTCTACCAAGTCAATTGATTCAATTTACACAGACACAGCACTACAACAATGGCTTTATATTACAATTTAGTTTTCGCTTTACTTGTTATTGAAATGGCATTCTTTGCTGTTCTTTCAATGCCATATCCAAGACCAGTTAGAAGAACCATTTTGGTCACTGTCTCAGCGCCGTTTAAAAACGAACAATTCCAAATTGCCTTGAAATGTGTCTTGGGGTTTGTGTTTGTCTTGTTTATTGATTCAGTGAATCGTGTTTATGCTGTCACTTCTGAATTGACTTCAGCAACCCAATCTCATCCAGGTACTTCTGTCATGAATGATAGATCCGAAATTCAAGCTAGGAGATTTTACGCTCAAAGAAATATGTATCTTTGTGGATTCACTTTGTTTTTGACCTTGATTTTGACGAGAACTTACAATTTGGTGGTTGAATTGATTTCAACAAAGGATAAAGTTGACTCATTACAAAAGAACAATACTGGAGCTGGTTCTGTTACGGCCGATGGCGACGGTGAAGAATTGGTCAAGTTGAAGGCTGAATTGGCTGAAAAGGATAGAACTTTGGAAATTTTAAAGAGCCAAGCCAACACTTTAAGTCAAGACTACCAGGGCGAATCCGAGTTGAAGGAGAGAAGATAGATGAATTGTTGATTTTACTGCTTGTTTATTTTAAGTCCATCGTGTATATTTTCATTCTAGACCCCATTAGTCTTTAGTTTCGTACGCGTTGCTCTTGTGTTTAGGAACAAATTGAAAATCATCACTAGCTTTACCCAAAAACATTTCGGTTATTTTGATCCAATCTTTGTAATCCGTGGAAGCTAAGAATGTCTCCATCTCGTTCCTACCAACCCACGTTGGTGGTCTCTCATTTAATTTTGGCGGTAACCTTTCCATGATACCAACAGGAATATACCTATGAGTGAAACTGATAAACTCGCACATGAATCTCCTTGCTATGTTCACACCATATTCGTCGGAGCCCCAATGCTCTATAGCGAATTTGGAAAAATTTCCCAACATGTCCAATCTTTCAGACGATGATTTATCCAAATATTGTTGTGCTTCAACTTCCTCGAAAATCCAGGGTTTGATTAATGCACCTCTAGCCACCATCACGGAATCAATACCTTCTGTATTTACGTGATTATACCAGTCCTCATGAGAATAAACATCACCGTTACCAACAAACCAAGTTGGTGTCGTATCTGAAGCATCTTTGTCTTCTTCTCTCTTGGCGTTCCAATCTTTGACAACTTTACCTACTTCCAGTATATATGCCCAATCAGCTTCTTTGGAATATCTTTGTTGTCTTGACCTTCCGTGAAGAGTTATTGCAGCAACTTGAGTTTCAGACAAAACCCTATCCACTAGTTGTTTGGCTGTGTTTTTATTCTCCTTAACACCTGTCCGGATTTTGATTGTAACTGGAATGTCACCAGATGATGCATTCATTGCTTTCACGAGTCTGAGTAGTCTTGGTGGCTGGTCTAACAAAGCGGATCCTTGACCTTGTCTGTATAGTAAGTCGATAGGGCAACCACAGTTCAAATTTAGCTCGCTAACATGATTGGTGTTTTCATAGATGGCTTCACTCGCCTTTGCCGCAGACCACAATTTGGAACTGGCTATTTGTACACCAAAACCAGGATATTCACTCACATGAGCTTTGGGTAATGCCCACTCAGGATTATGCCCTTGGACCAAGGGAATAGATAAAGCCATTTCTGAGTACGTCACATCGGCACCCAATGTTTTCATAAGACGACGATATGGCAAATTGCCAACCGTAGTCAAAGGCGACACAATTTTTGCTCTGTTGAGGTTTATTCTTTTCTTTTCAGAAATCTTGAAAGGTTGCTCAACGTAGCTAGCCTCATTGTCCTTGCGTTCTTCCCTTGTTTCATTTTGAATTTTGGAATCCAAAAAATTAATCACAGGAGTGGCAATCTTGAATTCATACTTTTTCTTTTGCAAGGCAAACTTGGCCTCTTTATCAATGGCATTCACTTCAAAGTTTGTCTTACTTGCTAGATCAAGCTTTGCTAAATCTCTGATCAATTTGTTAGTTTCTTTATCGTAGTGAGATTTCAACCATCTGCACTTCATTCCTGCAGGACAATAACCCAATGCTTCGAAAACGGGACAAACACCATCAATATCCTCCTGTTTTGATTCAAGGTAGGATTGCAAATCATGAGAATATTTACATTTTTCTTCACCTAAAAAACACGATTTGGAATCATCAGGATCTATAATGGAGGGACATAGTTTAATAGTATCCTTCTTCTGTTTTAGATCACGACCGTGATTTTGTCCTCTTTTTCTCTTGCCCTTCTTGTTTTGTTGTCCATCCGCTGCACCTTCTGCCATTCTGTCTCCTCCCTCAGCTTCATCATCATGGTACTCTACCACGTTTGTGGCTTGTACTGGCTTAGCTACAATAAATTCCGGCTTGATGGCAGCAATACCCTTAGTATACGGATCCGTATTTTGCCTTTTTTGCTCGGAAGTAGCATTTTCTTCAATAGGTCTCTTTTCTTGAACGGTCATTAGAGTTTAGATTTATATATTCTGGTGGAAACTTAGTTCAATTTAATTTTTTTTTCTTTGCAATTTGAACTCATCTCTTGAAAAAACCCCATCTCTACTACTCATCACACATCGTTTCCCAAGGATGGTTGAATTGCTAGAAAAGAAAAGGAAAATAGAAGCCTCTGGAGCTTTGCAAAAGGCGCCAAGACCTTCTAGAATCTTCAGTCCTTTCAGAGTTTTGGGAAATGTAACTGATTCAACTCCATTCGCCATAGGTACTTTGGGATCAACTTTTTATGCCGTTACATCTGCAGGAAGAACATTTCAAATTTACGACTTGGCCACATTACACTTGTTGTTTGTATCTCAAACACAGACCAAGTCTAAGATTACCTGCTTTGCCACTTATCGTCATTACGTATTTGCAGCTTATGCCAACGAAATTGGAGTCTACAGACGAGGCAGGTTGGAGAAGACATTGACTTGTGAAACTTCAGGAATCCTTACCCATCTATGCTATTTTGGAGAGTATCTAGTTAGCGGCAGCTCAGAGGGCGACTTATTTGTATTCAAAAAACTGCAGGATTCAAAATTCCCAACTGAATTACACTCTGCAATCAAAGCAGTTAACACCGGTGTTGATGGAGATATTGTTGGCATTGTTCATCCTCCCACATACTTGAACAAAGTCGTGGTAGCCACTACCACCTCAATAGTAATAGTAAATGTACGCCTGGGGAAAGTGTTGTTCAAATCCCCACAACATCAATTTGGAGAGGCAAGTATTTCCTGCATTGAATGTGCTCCTGCCCTTGACATTGCAGCCATTGGAACTACCACGGGAGATGTTTATATCTACAACTTGAGAAAAGGCATGGTTTTGGGAGACAAGATTACCACATCAGGGTCGGAATCATCAGCAAATGTGACATCAATTTCGTTCAGAACAGATGGACAACTGCATTTGGTTGCAAGTTTGAATAACGGTGACTTGTATTTTCACGACTTGGATAAGAACGCTCGTGTTCATGTATTGAGAAATGCTCATAAGGAAACATTTAACGGCGTTGCAAAGGCACAGTTTTTGAATGGACAACCAATTGTTTTAACAAACGGTGGTGATAACCATTTGAAAGAGTTTGTTTTCGATCCAAGCCTTTCCTCCACAAATTCGTCCATCATTACACCTCCACGTCATTTGAGGTCAAGAGGTGGTCACTCTGCTCCACCAGTAGCAATAACATTTCCTGAAGAAGACAAAACTCATTTCCTATTAAGTGCATCCAGAGACCGATCATTCTGGACTTTTTCATTAAGAAAGGATGCACAAGCACAAGAGTTTTCTCAAAGAATGCACAAGTCAAAGGATGGCAAGAGGCAAGCAGGAGTTGTTACTTCCCTCAAAGAGAAATTTCCTGAAATCATTGCAATCTCCTCATCAGAGGCAAGAACTGGTGATTGGGAAAATATAATTACTGCGCACCAGGATGAGCAATTTGCCAGAACTTGGGACTCGTCTACGAAAAGGGTTGGGCGGAATGTACTAAACACCGTCGATCAGGGCTTTTGCAAGGCCGTTTGTATTTCTCAATGTGGTAATTTTGGTCTTGTCGGGTCCTCATTAGGAGGTATTGGTGTTTATAATTTACAGTCGGGCTTATTGAGAAAAAAGTACATTTTGCACAAGCAGGCAGTGACAGGTCTTGCTATCGATGGAATGAACCGAAAGATGGTAAGCACTGGACTAGATGGTGTAGTTGGATTCTACGATTTTGGCAAATCAAAATACTTGGGCAAGTTGCAATTGGATGCACCAATTACTTCTATGGTGTATCACAAGCTGTCGGATTTGATGGCTTGTACATTGGATGACTTGTCAATTGTTGTCATTGATGTTACCACACAGAAAGTTGTCAGAGTTCTTGTGGGACACTCGAATCGAATTTCAGGTTTGGACTTTTCCCCCGACGGAAGATGGATTGTTTCTGTTGGATTAGATTCCACTTTGAGAACATGGGATTTGCCCACCGGTGGATGTATTGATGGTGTCGTATTACCAGTGGTGGCTACATCGGTCAAGTTTTCTCCATTAGGCGACTTAATTGCCACTACTCATGTGTCAGGCAATGGGATATCCTTGTGGACCAATCGCGCTCAATTCAAACCGGTTTCAACAAGGCATATTGAAGAGGAGGAATTCTCTACGATGTTGTTGCCAAACGCTGCAGGTGATGGTGGATCAACTATTTTGGATGGGGCTTTGGACGACAACGAAGACCAAGATGCATATGCCTTAGGCAAGTACGACAGTAAGCCCCAACTTGATGAAAGTTTGATCACATTGTCCCTGGGTCCTAGAACCAAGTTTTCTACCTTGCTTCATTTAGACACAATCAAGCAGAACAATAAACCCAAGGAGGCGGTGAAAAAGCCGGAAAAAGCGCCATTTTTCTTGACTTTAAGTGGCGAGACAGTGGGTGACAGAGCATCAGTTGCTGAAGGTGCGCAACAAAAAGAAGAACATCATTCTACTGAAGAAAACAGTCGGCTATTGTCATTGAATGGAGTAACTGGTCACTCATTCGAAAGTCAATTTACAAAGTCGTTGAGATTATCCGTTGAAAATGGAGATTATACCACGTTTTTGGAATATCTCATGAAGTTGTCTCCCGCTGCATTGGATCTTGAGATCAGGTCTTTGAATTCGCAGCCACCATACGAAGAGATGACAAGCTTCGTCAAGGCATTGACTTTGGGCTTGGGGAGTAACACCAACTTCGAACTCATTGAAACAATTTTGTCTTTGTTTTTGAAAGTCCACGGAGATGTTATTCACCAAAGTGAAGATTCTTCAAAGCTTCGTGCTGCTTTGAGCGACTACTCTCAAATGAGCGAAAAGATGAACGACAAGTTGGATGAAGCCGTTAAATATTGCTCCAGTGTAATCAATTTTATAGTATAAAAGAGAGCTACCATTTTTAACATTGTTTTCTTTTTGTATGTGACGACAAAATATCGAATTTGGTGCATTTGCAATCACTCTATGCCTCTATACTTTCTCCCTACTATGAAATGAACATAGACATCATTGAACCCTCAATCAGGATACGAATACCACGTGCACGTCAAAACAACCTCAAGGCAACAGCAGTACTTCAATTGGAGAGTCATATTTATGTCGGATGCAACAACGGGGATTTGCTTGTATTCAGTATTTCGGGTCAATCAGAACCCATCAAAGAGCCAGAATATCCCACTATTAATAGTTCGGCTCCAACTTTTCAATCACTGGCAACAAGATCGGTTCGATCGTTAAAATCATATGCTGATTCGCGCAACTTATTCGCAGAGAATCATGGGTACACATTGATGGGCACATACAAAAATCTCATTGGTGACGGCACCGGAATTTCATCTATTCAATTGCTTCCCCTTGTGAGTCAGCAACCCAATACACAAAAAACAATCGTTCTAATTACTGGCGCCTCGTCGCTAAAGATTTATGAACTCGTGGGGAGTCACACCAACCTAGTTTATTCTCTTGAGGAGACAAGGCTTGCTAATCCTTTGTATGTCGATCACAACGAAAACCGCTTGTTAATCATTGGATTCAAAAAGAGGTTGCTTATTTTATCCATCACGAACAAATCCCGTAATGTTTTGCAATTCAACATAGTCAAAGAGATTTCCTTGAAAGATAGAATACGAACGATCAACAAGTACGATGAGAATCGAATATTGTTAGGAATTGAAAGAGATTATGTCTTGTTGGAGTTGAACACATTCGGGATTAGTCTGATGACGGGAGGCGGTAATCTGGAAATTTTCACACACGCAACATCATTCACCTATTTCGGTTTATCAGTGTCGGATTCTCTGGTTTGGACTTTGCTTACAGGAGGTAACTTGATTATCCTCATCAAAGATACGACTGTTGTACAGCTTGATAAAAGCAGCAATACAATTTCTACATCTCCTATCAAGTTATCAACGGTTCCATTAGCGGTGGTGTTCATCAATCCCATGTATTTGGTTGTTATTTACTCAAAGCGATTGGAGGTGATAGACATAAAAGGATCCATCATTCAAAAGTTTCTGCACCATATAATGTCGAATCAAATTTTGGCTGACTTTGATGGCTCAACGTTGGTCTTGGCATCAGGGTCAAACATCTTCCAATTGAACGTAGTTTCTTACCAACAACAGCTAACACAATACTTGAGCATCAGTGGTCGAATTCTGGGCACATCCAGACAACTCGACAATGATTTGAAACTCATTGGGACAGATAAGGCTATTCAGCTTGTGACTCTATTACCATCTGATAGTGGTGATTATTTCGATACTGTTAAATCAAAAGAACTAAAACTACGGGACTTATACAAATTAAAGGCAGTTTACTTGTTTGAAGCATATTCGAAATACCATGAATCATTGGTTGAAATCGGCTCAGAATGGTTGCTTTCGTTTCGTGACGTGCTCGCTCTATTTCCGGATTTTTTGAACGCTGAGATTCGCCTTGGAAAGAATGAAGGCAACGGAAAGGGAGCGCCTTTGCAAAACACACTGAACCCAGTCAAGCATATTACCATAGAGGATTTAGAATCAAATCCAATAACTGAATCTGAATACGAGACGGATGCTACTGCTAGAAAATCAATCAAGCCAGTAAAACGGTCTTTGAAGATGCAAAATACGCGGCGCTTTGTCAAAGCCGTAAACAACTTGATAATCTATCTAACAGAACAAAGACGGATACTATTACAATTCCAAGCCAAACGAACTATTCAATGGAAACATGTTGAGCTCGAACCGATAGACATCTACCCTCCTGTGGAGAATCAATTGAAACAAGTTTCGATAATTATTGACACATCCTTGTTCCTTTGCTATTTCTATTGTAAACCCATGTTGCTCGGTCCATTACTTCGTTTACCGAATAATCAATGTGATTCAAAAATTGTGCACCAGTGTTTGATGAGCAATGTGCATAATCATATACAGCAGAGGAATCTCAAACAACCAAACTTTATAAAGGAGTTGCTTGATTTTTATTACGGTCGTGGGTTACACAAGGAAGCGTTACAAATGATGTATAATTTAGCACATGATGAAGTTCAACCTAGTCATTCAAATGAGGATGATAATGTGTATGATGATTTCATTAGGAGTCCGCAATTGACAGTGCAGTATTTACTGAAGTTGACAAATGAGCACTTATCGCTCATATTGGAATATGCTGAATGGGTCATCGACGACGATGCACTGAATAGTAAAAGGTTGTTTATGAATGATTCATATGAATGCGAGAGTTATGATCCCGAAATGATTTATCTGTTCTTCATCAAAAGAAAATCATATTCCACCGCCGTTACATATTTGGAATGGTTATTAAACGAAAGTGATATAAAAGAAAAGTTGAAAAAAACCAAATCATTCAACGCTTTCGAAACAAAGCTTTGTTGTTTGTATTTGAAGGAAATCAAGAATGAAGTGAATAAGGATGAGTATTATAATAAGCTCTGCACGGTGTTGTCACAAAGTGAGCTTTATGACCCTTGGCCAGTGTTGAAGGATATACCAACCACCGATGATAAAATGTTGAGATTGACTGTTTTTGTTTACAAAAGACTTGAAGAGCATGAAAAAGCCATTGATGTATTGTACAGCCAATTGAACGATTTGGATGCGGCAATGAAGTATTGCTCACAGATGTATGAAAAACCCAATGGCGCCATCTTGGGTACAAATTTGTTTCATAAATTACTTGAAGATTTGCTTTTAGATCTAGAGGAAAATATTGATGATATTTCTACTTTGCTATCTCAAGAAGGGTCGAAAATGTCGGTGCACAAAGTGTTTGAACTTCTTCCCCCATCATTTCCATTAAATAAATTATCACATTTCCTTACGAGTCAGATTCAAAAAGTTGGCAACAAAGTGCATGAGTCTAGAATGTGTTCTCAATTGTACAAGGCAGGCTCGACGAATTTGAAGCACAAGGTACTCAATTTGCAAGATGAAGCTTACAAGATCAACTCTAGTAAGCAAAAGTGTTCGATATGTAATGAGAGGTTGGGTTATGGCTATTTCACTGTGTCGAGTGACGAGTCTATTGTGCACTATGGATGTGCTCAGAAGATGAAAAATGTCAAGGAAATTGATAGAGTAGCGAAAAAGTAGTATTGCATTGTGTATTGATGTAGTTCGTAGAGTCCTCTGGTGCTGCGATTTGAAGTGACTACCCTCGAATCCTGCATATAGTGCAACGAATGTCTCACATATATATTTCAATCAAGCGTTTGAATTATTAATCAAATCTTTAACACTTCTGCCTTCATCATCAAAACTAACTGCACTAACAAAGTCCAACAGACCTTACTGCCAATCATGCTCAGTCTGAACCCAATAATACATCCAAGCTACCGGAACCACCGGTTCAAATTTGAAACATTTTTACGAAACGAATACAATTTTGGTCTTGATCCCGACAGACCAGTATGCCCATTATACAACCCCCACAACCCACAATCATCATGCCCATTGGGGTCCAATTGCCCCAACAAACACGTTTCACAAATGTACTCAAACAAAGTCGTATGCAAGCATTGGCTACGTGGCTTGTGTAAGAAAGGTGATCATTGTGAATTTTTGCATGAGTACAATCTACGCAAAATGCCAGAATGCTTATTTTACTCCAAGAATGGATATTGTACTCAAGGTAGTGAATGTTTGTACCAACATATTGATCCACAACTGAAAATTCCTGAATGTATGAATTATAATGCTGGGTTTTGTGCCGAGGGTCCTAATTGTAAGAGTCGACATGTGAGGAGAACAATTTGTCCGTATTATATGGCCGGATTTTGCCCTCAAGGGCCTGAGTGTGAGCATACGCATCCTAAATTTGATTATCACAATTTGTACTTGAGGATAAAACCAGATCCAATAAGAGCAACACAGGCAGAGCTGAGTGGTGAAGAAGAGAAGGATGGCGTAATGGTATCGCAAATCGAAGGTAATGCCAGTGAATCGAATGCAATATCTGTATAGATGAAATAAATAGATTACTCAAAGAAAGTGGATTGTTTTTGCAAAAAGCCTATACTCTATAACTACGTATTTGCTCTCTTTCTTGAGGAGTCAAAATCCAGTTAATACCAGTAAAATCGTCGTCGTCGTCGTTCTCCTCTTCTTCCTCATAAGCATCCTCGCGATTCACTTGTTCGAGCATTGGTTGCTTACTTTCTTCGTATTCATCATCGTCCATGCCAACAAGCAACACCAATTGAGTCAATTTGACAAATTTTTCTCTCAATTGATAATTATCTTGACAGACTTCATTGATAACAAAACTCATATCTTTTTCCAACTTGACTGATCCCAATTCATTTATTTTGGACTTTTTTAATGCTAAATGTAATTTCCTTTCAATCAAATTGACCAAATTGACAACTATTAATCGTAATAGCTTGTGCCATACAGATTGATGCAACGTTTGCAAGTATGGGCGCGTTAGTGAAGACCAATTGGATTTAAATTTGATGAGTAGTGATGGGTCGTTAACCTGATTAGTGGAGTATAAGATGTAATTGGACTCGGAACTTTCAGGCACGAGATCACTGACCATGGTGATTAACCGTTGTCTAATTGACTGGTTGTACAAATTAATCAAACTTTCATTCAAAATCTTGTTGGTGATGGAGTTGAATGGATTTAAAAAATCTTGATCCAAGATGGCTCTAATCTTTTCGGCATCCTTACCAAAGGGGAAATTAGTTTCGATGAGCCCTGTATTAGATGGTGCTGGTGATTTGACATTATTTATAACCTTTGTAAAGTATTCTTGAGCAATACCTACCGAATTTAAATATAGGAGAAAGTTCATGAGCTTGGGACTGTTTGAAGAAGTGGTTTGTAAACTGCCAACAATTGCCCCTGAGCCACTTACAACACTGCCAAATGCGCTCGACGCCCCTTTGAAGAAGCCACTACTATTGGACGTAGTGGAAGCGGCAGTAGTAGTTACTGGGCCACCGTGTGGCTCGGGAGTGCCACTTCTCGACTTGGCTCGTGGACTAGCTAAACCTCCATCCTCACTCAACAATGATAAAGACTGATTATACTTTGGCTGATTGTCATTGAGATTCCTTATAAAGTACCCATTTATCAAATCCTGTTGTATAACTCGAAAACTCTCCGTAACAAAAGCTTTAACGGATGTTGGGAAACCAGATTGAATTACATTTCTCAAAGTATTATTCAATATCAAAGTTAAATCCTCAATCACAGATGAACAAGGTGGGTGGTCAGGTGATTTCGATTCAAGTGCTGGTCTCAAGTACGACTCCAAACTGGGTAACTCCTCAATCGTAATTGATTTTTCCAATGATCGACGAAAATAAAATTGATACATTGCCTCAAATGCAGGCAAAAGCTTTTCATTGATTTTCCTGGAGAAATTAGATTTGGTAATGATCATAGGCATGGTCAACTCGGATGAGTCTGATTGATGGAAATACTTGATGGTCACAAACTTGCAATATAAAGCCCAGCTGTGCAATATCAAGGATAACTCCAAGATCAAATCGCCAACATACCGAATGGGCACAAGATCATCCAAACCTTCGTAGTCCTCACTCACACGACCTTGCTCTACTGTATGTTCATGCAAGTCAGTGAGCCTTCTGGACAACACAGGGAATTTGTATAGTTTAATATCCTGAAACAACTTGTCCAATCGTCGTGCATCATAAAACGTGTCGGTAATAACTCCAATCTGTAAATCAACTTCACGTTGCAATTTGTTGACTACGTACGTCATTGCATCTGAGTATGTAGACGCATAGTATCGTTTGATCAAAGGGCCATGTTGAGAGAGCATCATTGACACATTTTCAAATAATTGCATCGCCACAGTGTCAAAGATACCTGGTTTCAAATCAGTTGCAGTGATGCTGTTTATCGTCTGTGTCAAGTTTTTCGACGACTCACTAATAATTTCACATATGAATTTCGCATAGCAGTTTAATCCGACTTCCTCTTGACCAATCAAGGGGAATAGTTGAAAATATTTAGTTAAGTGTTCAACATCCCTTTTCGATGCTGCTTCATTGAATTGTTTTTGGAACACAACGGTAAGTTGTTTGACCCAATTGTCAATACAAACCTCGGGTAGGTCGGGGACATTTGTTGACGGAATAACAGCTGATGCGTATTGGCCACGAATTAAATCTTGTGGTATCTTTGTTTTGATTGAGTGAATACATTGAGCAGCCAATTCCCAATTTTGTCCCTCTATGGCATAATTGATTTGGTTGATGTTGCTTTTCAACAGCTGAACGCTTTCGACATAGTGTAGTGTGTCATCAACGTTGCTTATCTCTTGGTCTAACGATTTGATTTTGTAGGTTAAGTTGTGGCCCAATTCATCGGCATTGGCTAGTACTTGAGTTAAATTCGACGCATTCTTGATTGTTGAGGAGAGTTTGCTCACTCTTAATAGATCGATATTGCTAACATCCTGTTGTAGTTTCTTCTTGTTTATTGTGACAAAGCTTTCAAGTTTGGAATCAATGGTGGATATTGCATTATCTATTTTGTCAATTATATCGTGCAAATCATTTGGTGAGGCAGAGTCGTGGAATTGATTCTTGATTTCATGTATAGCTATGGTTAGAGTATCCACGTTTAACAGAAAGTTGTTGCTATGGCTCATGTTAGTGAGCAACCCGGTGTACAGAATCGAGTGGACAAGTTGTGAAGAAAATATTAAAAAAAAAAAGATCCATTTGTTGATGGAAGCTTTTCTTACATTGAGAATAAACACGTACATCATCTAATTAAAACTAATAATACTCTAAGCTAAAGATCCCATTGGATCATAGTATGGCAAAGTGTTGAATTCCTTGCCTTTCCAAATATCATATGTCTTTTTACTAACATACTTCTTGGTAGTGACAATTTGATAAACAAATTCACTAAACCATTCGTCTGTCATCATGTACCAGCCTTTTTTACCAGTTTCGTCTCCCCAAGAATTTTCAATCTTCCACCTGACTGGTTTGTCAGTAGATGGGTCAATATGAACTGCAGTAATGACCATAGCGTGGGTCATCAAAGAACTACCTGTTTTCAATCTATTAGCCTTGGTTAACTCCAAATCAAAATCAAATGCTGTTGTGTAATCATAACCTGTATTATCCAAAACACCAGTTGTTCTATCACCAAACTTTCCAACATCACAACCGAAAAAGATTGGTTCATTATCCTTCAACATCTTGATGGCCACATTTTTGATTTCGTCAATTTCAGTATTGACATACTCAATTGGTTTGCCACCGTAAATATTGTTCAATCTGTCAACAGTGTACAATTTATCATAATCATTCCTTGGATCATGAATCAAGGAGAAATGCTCTGCAGCATCATACTTAACGTGGCTCTTGTAGAAGTCCAATGCATTTGTTTTGAAATGCTTGTATTTGCCATCCTTGTCCAAAAATTCCCATACAAATTCATCAGTGGGTTTAGGTGGGGACCCAATCGTTAAGGACAAGGTCTTGTAAATAGTCTTCATTGCTCTCAACTTGAATTGACGAAGCACATTGTCAGAAGCCTTTGATGCTTTCAATTCTCTAATTTTCAAAGCAAATTCTCTGAGCTTTTCAGTAACAATGTAGTTCAACTTTGAAGAGCTGGTGGATTGACTGTTATCGGGAAACACTTCATTAGGAACCAAACCATATTTGTTAACCAAATTAACAATCATATCCCATTGACCACCATCTCCAACTGGATCGTGCAACAAGAACTGAATCAATCTTGAATCTAATTCTTCATCAACAGTGTCTTCGATATTTTCCAAAAAAAAATTGGCTTTTTCCAACTTGTCATAAAAATATAAGTAACTCTGTGAAAGTTGAAACTCGTCATCTTTCAAGTTATAATTTTTGATAACATGAGTTCTAAACACATTTGAAGATGCAAAAATCCAACATCTACCTGATGATTTTTGATTATTAGCAAAAGAAGGCGAACCAATGGTATCAACAGTGACATTAAACAAGTATCTCTCTTTCAACCTCGTTTTTGAGTCAGAATTGGCAATAACCTTATCAACGGTAGTGTTTGCCAATGCATTTTGAGTTAAGATGTTTTTGGCCAGAGCTTGGAAATCGCTTTCCCATGATTCCAAAGTGGTTTTGGAAATGGGGTTAAGTTCACCTTTATCAGTTTCCAAATCAATTTGTTCAAGACCTTTGAAGACAGCAGCAAATTTATCTACTTCTTCGTCAAATGGTTCAGTGGTGATTTTGGGGTCACTTGAGGTATTACTATTATTATCAGCAGTTGTTGATGTCATATTTTGTGATTTATCTCCAAGCAACAGAATCTTCAAGTAAGACATTTAAATTCAGTAGAAGATTAGAAAAAAAGTGGGGAAGTGTATCTTGTGGGGGTAGTGATGAAGAAGATGTATTGGATAAGATGTGGTTGATTTTACTTCAGGAGTGATATATTGTAGTCTATTTATAGTGGAATGAACACTCTATTATCATTGTAGTGGTTATCAACACTAAAAACACGCAACAAAAGAACACACACAACATCATACACAAAGTCAATATTTTTAATGCCACACAATCAACATACAAAGCACACACCCCATACACACTGTTTCTACTAATCACCAGCTAATCGATACTATGGACTATAAGATGGCAAATGACACACCACCACTAAGTTTTACGCTCGCATCCACCCAAGCTAATGTTCGCCTCTGCCTTTGCTTTCAGGCCAGTTGTTCAATAAGGGGTACCAAGGGGGTTGTTGACAGAAGAAATTGACTCTGTTATTTTGTACGCGGAATTATATCCCAATGCGGTAATGCTTTACTGCATTTTTTCCTTGACTCCTCCCGCACTACCATTGGCCCTGTTGCAATATGCCACACGAATGGATGGCACGAATGGAAAGAGAATAATGTAACCATAAATCTACCATCATGTTTTCGACTCAAATGTTTTGGGTTTACACAGCCTAGTCAAAATGGGTAGACAGTATCTATAGGCATAACTGAAACATCTTTTATACTAGCCCGAGAACAGCGACGTACACTTTCAACCTCAAACTAAAGCTTCCAGTTGATGTACATGTAGCAACGTGTACAACGATCTTGTCATTATGTACTATAAACTTCACATTGAGTATCTTCACAATCTAGTGTGTCTTTTTTTACCAGTGAGCAATTCATTTAGTTTTGTTGCAAAATTCGAGTACAACAAAAAGAATAAAACACTATGCATTCTCACTACTTCTACAAAATTTATCAGTACACAATATCTTCATACTATTATGTTCACCTCTTCACCTCTTCACTTCCTTTTTCATCGCTTCTCTCTCGTTCTTAAACTTGGTTGATCTATCTCTAATTCTTGGCTTCTTCACCTTCCCGCTCTTTAACCCTTTAATACCAGCAATTTTTTGCCCTTTCGTCGCTCTTTCACCTTCAATAATCACTTTCTTTGGTTTTCCAACCCTTGACCTATCAGCTTTACCTAATATGGTTTGCGCTCTACCCAATTTCGTTCTTTGAGTATCGGTTAAACCTTGCTGCTGCTCACGTGATTTATTTGAAGCATAAGCTTTCTTCGCATTTTCAATATGATTGGGTGACATTAATGATGGTTTAACGTTTGCTTTGGCTCTTGATATCCTCAATTTACGTGCCTTTTTGTTACCTGAAGTAACATCCATTGGCTTATCATTCAACATTAATGCCCTGTTGACAGTCAATGTGTCATTGAATTGAACCAATGCAAAACCTTTACCCATGTTGGTTTTCGAATCACGTATGATCCTCACCGATTCAACATCATTGTCTAATTTATTATTGAAATAATTCCACAAACTTTCTTCTTTTTCTTCAAAATCCAAATTACCAACAAATATAGTTCTTTTATTGTCTTTAGGAGCCGGATGGGCCACATGATCAACTCGAAGATGATGGTTCTCAAATACTATGGCATTCAACTTCTTTGCTGCCAATGATGACAGTTTTTCAACAAATACGACATAAGCATTAACAGAATCTCTTGAATTGTGTAAACTTTTTTTAGCAAATGAAACTTTTCTTGGTAAGTTTTCATCAAAGGATATTGATCTAAATCTAATGGAGTCAATTTTGCCAAATTGTTTGAAAAGCTTTTTGAAGTTTTTGGCAACAGTCTTTGACGTTATAACATCACTAGGGACATTTCCCACAAAGGCTGTTCTTTCTGCTTTTTCCAATTCCGCTTCTTTGAAATCTATTGTTTGCGCTGATTTTGTCTTTTTAGTTTCTTTCTCGACAGATGAGCTATCTTTATTTGCTAATTGTTCTATTTTAGAGTCATCATCAACATCTCCTTCTTCTTCATCTTTTTCGTCAGCCCGCATCACTTTTTCAAAATACTTGGCTTCTAAATTGTCATTCTCATCCTTCTTCTTAGCCTTTTTGATAACTTTTTCTTCTTCAATTTCTTCGTCCTCATTGCTCTCTTCCTCCCCACTTCCCTCACTTCCCTCACTTTCCTCACTTACTCGGGATTCAGCATCTTCTTCACTTGCATCCCCTTCTTGTTCTGCTTGTTTACGCTTCTTTGATTTGGGAATTTCAATGACTGTTCTCTTTTTATCTATTAGTTGGTTTTTTGAAATTGGCCCATCTGCAGAGTTTTTGAACAATTCGCTCACAGACTGGTCATATTTTTCAGTTGATTTACCAAATAGCGAAGAAAACCCAGTCATGGCAAATTTATTTTGAAGCTGTTGGTTGCAAATATTCAAAGAGGGACCTTTAATGAGATGAGATGTATTGAATAGGAAGAAAAAAAAAATAAAAACCGATATTATCAAAAAATGAAATAGATGGATACATCTCAAAAGGGTAATTTTTGTTTTCAATCTTGGTACGATGGTGCGGCTTGTCATAGTGCAAATACGGAAAAAAAAATATTGCGATCAACCTTTTCCAAAACGAAAAAGACTTTACTTGTCTTAAGTCGGAGTTAAGTATCGAAGTATTTGGAGTAGTCTTATATGGCGAAGCTTTGGTCACCAGATATACATCAAAGCAGTGGACGATTTATTAGTTGCTTTGAGATATATATCAATCTAATCCTGCATATAAGTAAAGAGAGCCTCATTTTTCCTTTTCCCTCTTACAAAAAAAAAAAACAAGAACCATACAACATTTAGTCCAAACTAAAGTCAAAGATTCTACAAAATTTTTATAAAAAGAGTATACTCGAAACATACAACTTTCCATATCAATCACACGGTGTCTAGTAGTTACGGATTTAAAAATTACCTACTTAGTCAAAGTATAGTAACAACACCAACAACAACTACTACACATCAATCTTTCCTTTTTTAGGACTAGTTCTACACAACTTATTTCAAAGCTCAAGCCCACACACTAAGCCCGCAGGGTTACTTTCAAGATTCAACTGACGAGCAAGTGACAAAGACGTTTGAAAACCACCTTACATTTCGAAAGCAGGAGAATTCACGAACTCTTTCTCGAAAATCTCATTGACAAATTTAGACTACATTAACCGTTCACTTGTTCAATACAAAAATGGAGCAAGTGGAAGTACAGCAATCGGTCTCTGACAACAAAAAGGGTGTACAGGAGACACCAGGGCTGGCGTCAACTGACAAATTAGCGACAGTAACAAACACCATACCAGAGCAAGAGGACCAGCACGACGCCTTGATCGATGAAAATACTCGCTTGACGATAAGCAAAGAATCACCACTTTCCGAAGTGGCAACTTCTCCACTTCCATTCGATTTGAGCCTACCAGAGTCAGATTTGGACTTAAACTCTGCATTCTTGAGTAACAAGAATGGAGTGAAAAAGTCTACAGAAACTCCTAGTGCTGATGAGCACGATTCACATCGAGAAAATGATATCAGCAAGATCAAACAGGGGTTTATGAAAGAATCAAAAGATAAACATACATTGGTTGGTAACGGAGACTCGCAACTGGATGTAATTACACGTCAAAGGAAAGATAGTTATGAAAGCTCTGAATTAAGCGACTTAGGAGATGATGAATCAGAGGCCGAAACTGACAAAATGGACTTTTTAGATGAGAGAGATGGAGAGAACCTACTGAAATCAACTGACTTGCAAACATTATCAGAGTTGACAGAATTGGCCAGATTAGAGGAGATTGATGGCGATTCAGATGATGAATTCCTTGACCACCATCCATCTAAAACTTTGTATAGTGAAAGCTTTCCTAATGCTGAAGTCATAGAAGGTAATAGCGATGTGATTACGCGTAAGCGAACAGCTACGGCTGAACCTGAAGAATCTGAATCGCATGGGGACAAGAAACTCAAGACGGAACCAGTGACTGAACATGGGCTCAGTAAAGATGACGCCACTAGTGAAGAGAAAACTGATGATACAGCTAACAATCGAAACGGTGCAATTGATGGCGGTCATGAAAAGGAGCCTGAAGTGGATAATGATGAAATTGAACATGGTTCCACAAAGATAAGTCCCGATGATGAAGATAATGAAGCTGAGGCAGAAGACGAAGGGGATGAGGAGGATGAGGAAGTCGAGAATGAAGAAGGTGTAAAATGGGACTCCAAATCGCAACAAAAAGGAAAAATTGAGCGGGCTGCTGAAACTGAAGAGGAGATAGTCCAAGAACTTGTTGAGAAAAGCGTCGAAGAAACTGTTGCGGAAGAAAATGACACTGACATCAACGAACAACGAGAGCTAGCTGTGAAGGGACTAATAGCTATTGAGAAGTGTTTTGCAGAAGTGCGTGACAAGCTATATGACGACAAACTAGCCTTATTAGAGAAGGAGCTACAACTTTGTTTAGATGGATCCCATCCTGAGTTGTCCAAGATTTATCAAAAGATTAATGGGTTCTACCAGGATAGTTTAAACTTAGCCAATGCCAGCTTGGCATATAGATTAAAATGTGTCGATAAAGAAACCATGGCAACTCGTACATCAATTCACCAAAATTATCTTAGAAATATAATGGACACCAAGAATGCAATGATTACAGAAACGACGTCAATGTGGTACAAGATCAATAAGGAGAGAAATCAATTAGACCAAATAGTACCAGATTTTAACTATTCAGCAATACCGCTGTCGATTCTGGCGCAAGGTGAAGTGACAGTATCTAATTCTAGCAATGTTGCCGATATGATGGGAACAGCTGCACCAAAGATGAAAAAAGCCATCAAACAAAATGCTATTATCGAATTGGTACAACAGCGAAATAATTTGAATGAACAATTGGGAATTTTGAACGGCTTAGTTACATTTCATGGGTTCCCCTCTGCAGTTACGTCATCAATCAGTCAAGACGAGGTAGCGACTCAGGAATTGCTTTTGAGGAAAGCAAGCGAGGACGAGATCAATGAGGATTTAAGAGCCATGGGGATAAGGACATAGATTTTTTGGTTTATATGTTCTTTTCTTTTTAACTTGTAACATTATTTAGTATACTTGATAACTCTCATGGCTGTGTAAGAGTGCTACCGACCAGTTATGTCTCGTTGACAAAAAAAAAAAATCGTGGAGCTGGAACATCCACTTGTATTGACGTCACTTGATTGTAGCAGGTAAAAAACTTTGCAAGAGCAACTAATATGGTAGAGGTGTCACTTACAGTGGGTAAATTGGATGCTTCTTTGGCACTTTTACTTACAAAAGATCACCATTTGATTGAGTTCCCAACAATCTTGTTACCAAATGGAGTTAGGGCCGGATCAATTGTCAAGTTGAAATGTGAACAAGACCATGATAGTGAAAAAGAAGAAGATGCAAAATTTCATAATATTCAAGATGAAATCTATCAAAGTTTTGCTACCCATCCACCAAAAGCTCCAGTTTTACAAATTAAAAACACAACCCAAACTTCATGTGTTTTGGAATGGGATGCATTGGATTTAGGAACTTCCAACTTGAAAAATTTAATATTGTTCAAGGACGGTAAGAAATTAGGTTCAATTCCACAACCAATGAATAATAAGACGTCGAAGCTTTCGGGTTTACCCGTTGACAAGAGTTTCAAATTTCAATTGAGATTAGACACCACTGCTGGTATCTTTTGGAGTAATGAAGTTGAAGTCAATACTCACAAAATGACTGATTTGTCTGGTATAACCGTATGTCTCGGTGATTTTAGTCCTAATGATCCATTTACTGAAGAGGATATTGAGGATACTTTGGTAAAGATTGGTGCTAAACATCCAGCACAACATCAAGTTAAAGTTGACACAACTCATTTCTTGTGTACCAGAGAGAATAAGCAAAACTCAGAATATGTGAAAGCGAATGAAATGAATATTCCGATAATTAGACCAGAATGGATCAAAGCTTGTGAACGTGAGAGAAGAATTGTTGGTGTTCGTGATTTTTACATCAAAGATTGTGTTTTGCCTGACTTGTTTGCCAAGAACTATTGGGGAGATATCCACCATGGGTCGAAGAACAATGTATCAAGTGAAGCCCACAAGACACAGTCGGGTGCAACAGATGATTCAACATCCACAGCTCCTGCTACTGTTTCCCCAGAGGCGACTTTGCATGACAATCTTCAACCCACCGAGGCTAGCAACTCAGACTTGCCACCACTACCAGATAAAGAGGAAAAGGAGGAAAGTCTGGATACTGTAAGGGTTGCTGGACAGGCGTCCACAACTGAAGAAGACACTGAACCACTTGAAAAACAAGAGACCAATTCAACAAAGCTTGAAGTGGAGGATACGGAGATTTCAACTGCTGTTCCCAACTCTGCGCAAGAAATAAATGAAACTCTTGAACATGCCAACGAAGGGGGCAACTCCAGCAAAGGTGGTTCTGATCCCAATGACATACAAGTGACCGATACAGCTTCATCCGAGGCTTTGAAAGAGGGCATTGATGATGCTTTTGATGCATTATCAGTAAATGACGACAACATGGTTGAAGTCGAGACAAAAGTGTCTGATCATCCTGTTGAAGTTGACAATTCCGGCTCGTCTGAGCAACCAGCAGAACCTCGCACAAACGATGAAACTACTGAAGCTGAAAAGTTGAAGAAGGATGAAGAAAAGAAAGAAAATGAGGAAGAAAAGAAGGAAGGTGAGGCTGAGAATGCTATCAAAGAGGAAAAGTTTGAACAAAAGGAAGAAAAACAGGAATTGAAAAATGAGAGAGAACACGCGAAGAAGGAAGCTGACGAAGAAAGAGAAAATGAAAGAGATGAAAAGAAGGATGAGGAGCAGGTTGATGATGCGAACGAAGAAGCTAACGACGATTCATCTTCGAAGGAGAATTCACCGGCTCCAACCGGTAACGGAGGAAAGAAGAAAAAGAAAAAGAATAAGAAAAAGTAGGGTATAGAGGAAACGATGGGTTGCCTACCCCTAGATCTGTGTAGAGCCCCAAATGTGCTATTATTATAATAAAAACTAAATCTATGTCGCAATCGTCAGCAATCTAATGATAACGCCACTTTTTTTTTCTATTCCCCGAACAACCTTCTAACTCTCTTCAATATAGAGTCCTTTTCTGGATCATATGGATGGTCTTTAGAAGGTATTTCCAAAATTGCTGGGAAAGCATTTGTATAACTATCAACTTTATATCTTATTAAATCGGCCAAATGTTGATTTATCAATAAAATGGCAATATCATCACGTTCCTTTGTGAAATTTTCAAATGCTTCATCGATGTCTTCCACTGAGGTTTTTCCAGGTATAACTGTAAGAAAATTGGTTTCTTTACCAGGCTCGTTGGACACTTGACCAATTCCAGCGAGTAGTAATCCTGTTACTGTATCTTCGTCGGCAATTGTAGCGATCAATTTACGCTTTGACATTGCCTCGCTTCCTGAACTCATTTTCAATTGATTTGTGTATTCGAATACCGAGGAATTCTAGTTATCGTTGGTGAACATAGGTACGGGAAATCTATTTTTTTTTTGGGAGGAATGATAAATAGTTGATAAAAGTTGAACATAATATTTTTTTCTTTTTCGTTAATCAACAAGCCTAATTCAACTACTGATGATACGACCAACCTTGCGTCCCTTCCACCGTCCTATACACATATTTCCAACTTTCCCGAAGCCGAGCTTTGCACCTATTCGGTTTGCTGGCCACTCCAAGTGGGCGAACATCAGACATGATAAAGCCAAGAATGATGCTAAAAAATCCAAAGAAGCAACATTAATTGCAACCAAAATTGAAAGCTGTGTACGAATAGGAGGCAAAGAAGCCAATGCGAGCTTGGATCAATTGTTGGAAAAGGCTAAAAAACTCAATGTGTCAAAACAAGTTGTTTCAAATGCAATCAAAAGGGGAGCAGGTGAGTTAAATGATGGCTCAGCAAATCAGGCTGAAGTAACTTATGAATTTATGGGACCCGGTGGTGTTGCAGTTATTGTGTCTGCAATTACTGATAATAAAGCACGTACAGTTATGAGAGTCAAGTCGGCAATGGCATATTTCCAAGCGTCATTAAGTCCTTGTAATTTCATGTTTGAAAAAAAGGGGGAGATACTCATTGAACCCAAAACCGAAGCCAATGAGACTTTTGATGATGTGTTTGAAGTTGCTTTAGATTTGGGCGCCGAGGATTTCGAAGAGGTTGAGTTTCCTGATGAATTCATTCCAGATAAAAAGTACAAGTTTTATCGTATCGTTTGTGATCCGTTGGAGATTCATCGAATTGGTAATGAGCTTAGTGCAAAGGGTTACAAGCTACATGAAAGTGCAGTGAGGTATCTTGCAAATAAGGATGGAGAAGTGCTGTTCCCGGAAGAGTACTCAAAGGGATTTTATAGAGCCATTGACAACTTAGATCAAACTCCAGAAGTGTTGGACTATTACACCAACATTGAAAACGAACATGAGAGCAGGATAATGTCGTCAATAAATTGACAAAGACTTATCTGTTGAGGCAAAAGATTTGTATATAGTAAATCGAACATTGTTTTATATTTCCAAATACAACCAACGGTTTAATTTTCCTATAAAATGTAACAATTGACTAGATAAATAACAAATAATCAGCGGAGCGCCATCCATTGAAGAAAGGATAGCATCCTACAGCTGTGGATGTTGCAAAATAAATTTCGGTCATGACAAAATGTTTTCTTTTTTTGAACGTTATAAATGTATAGCAAGATGACAGCTAGACACCAAATTTGTCTACTTCTCTTCATCCGCTGCCTTGTCCAAGACCTTGTTCAATTCCGACAACTCAGCATTCTTCCATAATCTCAATTCTTTATCATGAGCGAAATGTCTGTATGTGAAAAAAGTAGCTGAACAAATTGCAATTCCAACAGCAGCAAACAATGGAGTCATCTCTACTGGGTATTGGAATTTTGGCTTGACATTCTTGGCTTGGGCTAATAAAACTCTTGATGGAATCATAATTGCAATGGGGGTTAATGAATGGGGGCTCGAATAAATTTGATATAGAATGGCTTTTGATACTCAAAAAGGATCACTCATTAAGAGGAACAAGTATTTTTTTTTTTTCCCTTTTCCAATGCGTTCTCTCTTTCTCTCTCTTTGTTTTGAAATAAATTTGGTTGGTTGAAAAAAGCATTGTATGCAGGATAAACCATACGATTTATATATAACACCAGCTTTTTATGTATACACCCAAATTAGTGCAACATAAGGTTTACTGTGTCCGGCTATTTTTGAGTATTCCTCTATCTACTTTATTGTTTCTATATTGTAGTCTATACATCTAACCTAATCTCAAAGTTTACCAATGTTTTATCCAATCTCGAATTGTATCATAGCATAACCAACTAACAGCCATGGAGGGAACTATTTTGTACAAATTAGCCGTCAACCCCTTGTAAGCTCCAAAAAAGCCTTCATTTTTAAAGATAGAGTATAGAGCATGGCTCACTGACCTATACTGGAACCCCAATTCTCCTCCAGCCATGCTTGCAACCTGATACCTTTTTCTTAGCACATCCAAAGGATAAATCAAGACACCACCAACAAAACTGCTGAAAGCACCAGCTGAAAGCTTCCATATTGGGTTTGAAAAATCTCTTGGTGAATTGTTCATATACTCTCTGAGTTTCTCATACAATGCGAAATTTATGGCAACGTATGGGGCAACTCCTAACGTAGTAGGGATGATACCACGATATAAAGCTAGGAACCCACCTTCATTTTGGTAAACTTCTTTCAATGTTTGCATGACTGTTGGCGCTTCGGCTAGTTTACCTTTATCAAGCTTATTTAACGATGCAGTTTGCACAGTGATTCTAGCTCGCACCAAGTCCAATGGATAAGTTACTGCAACAGACACAATCCCAGCAATGGAACCGGAAAACAATCTCTCATACCCATTCAATTCATTGTTTCTTTGCACACTCAAGTCATTTGGATACTGATGTCGCCTATACTTCAAAATCAAGTCCTTACAATTCTCAAACACTGCAAATTGCACGGCGCTATAAGGAAAGATTCTTATGCAGTTGAGTGTATTGCCCCGGAAAAGCCCTCGCCAACCTTCTTCACGATACATCCTTGCTATTGTGGGGAACATCCCTTGATAGGCTTGGTCCGCTCCAGGACCCTGTAATTGCAACAAAATTTTAGCACGCTCAAATGGCGATACTACCGTTCTCGAAACAGCTCCTGCTATTCCACCAGCGAGAAACGACGAGTTTGAGTCATTTTTAATAAAGTGTTTAAAGTCAGTGTATAATGGCGAGAATGTCGCCATGGGAAGTTTGAGTCCTTCCATTGGTATAGTATTGTTGTGTTTTGAACCAGTGTTGATGCAATGAAAAAAAGTTGGTCTTTCAAAACTAATTAATGAATGGATACATACAAGTGTGCGATAGGAACAGAATCAAACAGTAACGAGATCCGGTTACGTCTATCTTTCCTCTGAACTTCCTTATGGCGCAAACTCCCGATGTCAGGTCCTGTGATTTTTTTTTTTTTTCTTCCTGTCGGTTAAATGCAAAAATGTTATTCCTGTTTACTTCACTTTTTCTCTTAGGTTTTTTTTTTTTTATTTTCTGTCAAGTCCAAATCTGGAGTTTACCGACACAAATTGGTGCAGAAATGCGCTATCGGGTATTCACCTCCACCACACTTGTTTCGGGGGTGCATGTGCCACAACAACTTCTCACTACACAGCTTGTACACTCATTAATACATTATGTTATTACTCTAGATAGTAACTAAGTTAAATACACAAGCCATGTTTTCCCAAATCTAAAAGTTGGACAAGACCTTATCAATAGCATCCACCAAGATATCTGCGTGTTTCTCTTCAAACACCAAAGTTGGTCTCAATCTAACAGAGTCTTCAGCACATCCTCCAATGTTAACACCAACTTCCTTCATGTCACTCAAAAACTTGTTTCTTGCTGCTGAGTTTTCCAAGGACCAGGCAATGAACGTGGCTCTATCTTTGCCTCTCAAGTCACGCATATGTTTTGGGTATTTCTCTTGCAATTTTTCCAACTTCTTGTACAAGTAATCACCTACTTCGGATGCTCTAGCAGTCAAATCATGCTTGACGATTTCCTTACCAATTGCGCCAGCCAAGGTCATTCTAGCTGGATCTCCACACCAAGTGTTGAATTGTCTGTAAGCCATGTTTGGAGTGATTTCTGGGTCGTGGTAAAAGTAACCAGCAGATTGGAACTTCTTTGAAAATGTAACAAGGTCTGGAGGTGGTTGCAAGTTGAATCTTTCATGAGCCCACATAACACCGGTAGCACCAACACCAGTTTGAACTTCATCCATGATTAACAATGCACCGTGCTTCAAGGTGATGTCTCTTAAACCTTGGAAAAATTCAGCAGATGCATGGTTGTCACCACCTTCAGATTGAATTGGCTCAACTAAAACACCAGCGATTGGAACAGACCAAGTTTTGAACAAGTCTTCAACAATTTTCAAGCACCTTTCATCTTCCTTTTTATTGGCTTCAACATTGTTTTCCAATGGATACTTGTAAGAAGGGAATTGAGCTTTTGGCCACTTGAAAGCTGGTAAATCCAATTTGTGAATTGGTTTGGAACATGTGGTGGATCCTGATGCGAACAATCTACCGTGGAATGCACGCTCAAATGAGAGGATAGCCAACTCTGGCGCACCAGGAGCTTGGTTATGCATGACTGAAGCAACTTCTTCTGGGGAGAAATCACTGTTATAACCTCTCTTTTGAGCTTGATACCAGAAAAATGTAGCCTTGAAAGCCAATTCGTTAGCATCGGCACCAGACAAACCAGACCATAATTTATTTTGACCTTTAGGGGCTACCTTTAAAATGTCGGTGACAATCTCGTCCAAATCATTACCTGGGAAGTTTCCTAAAGCTGGCCTGTCAACTATAGCTCTAATCATTTTGTCCGATTTTGCAACCTCAATCAATGCTGGGTTGTTGTAACCCAATGGAATCGAAGCGATTTGAGCGTAAACATCCAAATACAAGTTTCCGTCAACATCAGCAATATAATTTCCCAACGACTTAGCATAATCGGCAACAAAATAGGCACCCCGAGCATCAAAAACCTTTCCTAAACTTTCAATGGCTTGCTTGGAGTTGCTACCTTTGGTGGATTTAACAACAGGTTCCTTTGGCTCCTCTGGGAAATACTGAGCAGAGATTGATTGGTTAGTCATAATAGTAAAATAGATGTGATTGATTTCGAAAAGAAAAGACCAATTGTCAAGAGAAAAGAGGTACTTCTGGGGACTTTAAATAAAGTTGATTAAACATTCCCGCTTAAACATTAACGGAGATGATTTGAAAAGAAAAGAAACGAAACGTATTCCAAAAGAATAGCGCATTTCCTAATTCGGCAAGCATCCCGCTAAAAATAAAAAGAGGAAATAGATTTCTCAACGGAAATAACAACCGAAATCATAAGCTTTGTGGTTTTAAGTAAATGGAGTTATTCAATGAACTTGAATGCATACGTAGCTCTCTGTTGTGCGGTTTCTGGGCGCGTTTTCGAGTGAGTGTTACTTAAATGCCCTCTTCCTAAGCGGTTATTCTCAACAAGTGATGAACTAAACCAAGACTGCTTGTACTTGTTGGTTCTACACAGATGCCAAGAAGATACCAAAGACAGGTTTGTAACTCAGTTAGGCTATAATCACTAACATGTATTTGAGGGAACTGGTCACCTTCATTCTGGCGTGTACTTAATGTGGTTCATGTTGAAACAAGACTGAAAAAAATGTTATGCAACAATAGTTAACAAAATGTAAACAAAATTCTTCACGTCTATCTTTGATAACACAATATACTGAGAAAAGATACGTTGGACTAAACGAAGCACACGACTGGCCACCATCCTCCCATCAGTTTACAAAGTATGGAACATCACAACATCGATGATATATTGCAACAGAAGCAATCACCAAACCAACGAAGTCAAGCGGAAATATCTGCTGAAGAAGCGATCTCATCGATTGCACATGAATTGACAAAAGATTCGCAAGAGCACGAACAGCTCGTTCGCGACGAACAGCAACATAATCCTCCTCACTCTGATTATGATCAAGAGCGGAAGAGACAAAAAATTGATGAGTCAAATGCGGAAGCAATACTGTCAGGATTGAGTCCCGGCAAGACCGATTCCATTAATTTCGTCGACAACTCATCTCATGAAGGCAGCAGCAAGGATCATGCCGTATCGGGTGGAACTGAAGATGATGCTGCTTCAAGTCTAATTCAAAAGGCGCATGACCAATTACGACAATTGCAGCAACAGCAACAGCAGCAGCAGCAGCAGCAACAACAACAACAACAACGTGAGCCCCTTGGGCTCGGCGACCGCCTCGAAGGGCCGGTAACCGACAAGGACAAAAATGCATCTGATAATGCATCTGCTAAATCAATAAATCAGGAGAACGTGTCTCGTCACAATAAGCAACAAACAGATCGTCCCTCTGTATCTGCAATACCATCAGACTCAGAACTTTTCAATACAAATGCGGCACATGTTGCTTATTCATCGTTGTCATCACAGTATCCACACTTGAATGTAGATTCCAGACATGCTGTATTTACACAGGCAAATTTATCTGTGCTACCTTTGCCCATTGTAGGGGCAGATTTTCTACCCCCAAGGATCCAACTTTTAATCAACACTTTACCAACTTTGGACAACTTATCGACGCAGTTGCTACGCATTGTCGCGAAGTCATCCTACAAAAAGATCATTGACATTGCTTCCAACGCAGAAACTCCAGAAGGTGCAACGTATCGCGATTTGACCTCATTATTTGAATTTACAAAAAGACTTTATTCCGAAGAAGATCCTTTTTTAACTGTTGATCATATTGCACCAGGCATGTGGCATACTGGTGAAGAAACTCCTCGCGTCTTCAAGAACAAAGAACAGAGTATTGAATCAACTCTTCGAAAAGTAAATTTGGCAACTTTTTTAGCAGCGGCTTTGGGTACCATGGAAGTTGGATTCTTTTACTTGAATGAATCGTTTTTGGATATATTTTGTCCTGCTCATGACTTGGATATCAAATATCACTTAAGTGATTCGAGCTACTTGGACACCGCAAACTCCTTGGCGACCACAATACAATCGGGAGCAGGCTCAAATGTGGGAGGAAAGATTGGAAAGTTGTTAAAGCCACAAGCAATGTTGTATCTTGATTTGAAAACGCAAGCGTACATCTCGGCAATCGAAGCAGGAGAGCGATCAAGGGAGGAAATTTTGGAGGATATTTTGCCGGATAATTTGGATCAGATATTATTGGCTAGAAGAAATGTGGACTTGTTGTTACCCTCGGAAGCTGATTTTGTTGAAAGGTGTAGATCAAGAAAAGCATTTTTGCTCAACTATAACGAGGACGAAACGCAAATTCCCTTGAGCGAAGAATTTAAATGGTTCACCTTTTTAAGGGATCTTTTCGATTACGTTTCCAAAAACATGGGATATTTGATTTGGGGCAAGAGCGGAAAGCCCGTTCGCGAAAAGAAGGAGTACAGCCCCATAAGTCCAGAAATGTATGATCAAATCAATGCTAAAATGAACTATCGTCCGTCTAGGAACGGTGATGATGATAGCGACTCTGCCGATACTGCTAAGCTTTTGCCTTCGGAGATCAGAGAACAGCAAATACATGTAAATGGACATAAGCCCAGTCAGAGAAGACCTTGGACTCGAGATGAGGAGAAAGCCTTCAGACATGCGTTAGAGTTAAATGGGCCCCATTGGTCAAAAATTCTTGAGTTATTCGGCAAAGGCGGTAAGATCAATGAAGCCTTGAAGAATCGAAACCAAGTTCAGCTCAAGGACAAAGCTCGTAACTGGAAGGTTTTTTATTTGAAAAATGGGATGGAGTTGCCCCTGTACTTGAAAACTGTTACTGGTAATTTGGAGGACAGGGTCAAAAGGAGTGTTTCGCGTCAGGAAAAAACAGCTGCTGCACCAGTTCCTAATGTGCATAATCAAAAGAGGCGACAACAACAGGAGCAGGCCAAGGAGCAACAGCAGAAGCAGCAAGAGCAGAATGAACAATATCGTGATGATGAGAACATCGATAGCAGCTTTAAGTGAGAACGACATTTGGTTATATTACACTCAATCAATTCCCGAGGAAGATTCTTTTACGTGGATAGCCACTTTGGGGCTGCTCTTTCGCTTAGTGTGGCTCAACCGCACCTCAAGCCACTAGTTTCTTTCGCGTGAGGAAGTGGAACTATTTCTGAATGTTGGAAACGGAGAGAGAGGGGACGGGATGACGTAACGTCGAAGCGCAACTGTAAGATGCTAAAATGCAGATTGGATGAAACGACTTTGTGCGCAACCCAAACAAAATAGTACCGTGGCTCACACAAGCGCAGTGGGGACAAGGCGATTGTGTGTCCCGACACTGCACATCTGCAATGTCGCGTTTTTAAATTTGCAACGAGGTTGACCAAGGCTGCATTTGCTGTCCTATTACTGAAGTATCATGTCAAAGCAAGCTTTTAGTTTATACGGTTTCTCAGTGTCATGCAGAATATTCCCAATTCTTGCTTCATTATAATTCCACTCTTCCCGAAAATTGTTTCAGGTTGACGTTTTCGGTATTAATCACTGCAATGATTCAAAATTTAACATAGTGTCGTTCTTCTTTTGGGTCACTACATTCAAACTTTGCGTCACATTTTACACCATCAGACTTTATATAATATTTGAACTCAGACTTATAATATTCAAATTAATAAACTTTGCAGTCAATTTACCCTCTCCTTTTAAGTGAATTCTGCTGTTTCCACTTCGCTCTTGTCTCTACTCTAGCAAAAAATTTGGACTTGCAAAGTTTGTGCTCCACCTCTAGTTTGGTTACGAACCGTTCACTCCATACCTTACCAAAAGCTACAAGTGGCAAGTTAAACAACTAAAAAGCAATTCCTGGCTACATCAGCAATTGACAATGCATCCTACTAATAATCGAAATTCGACAACAACATTTTCACCCCAGAAACCTGGTAATCTGGTTTTCCATCACAATCTACAATCAACCATCAAGCTGCAAGAGCAGCAAATTGATCAAGAGCCTCTCCTGAAGCAGATTGAAGTGGCAAAGCAGAAAGCCAAGTTATTGTATGACGAAATAATCAATGTCAAAAATCGAACGCAAGACACCAACTTGCAAAGAGCATCTGTAAACGTTGCAACAATACCCCGAGATTCATGCAAATTAAGGCTATACAACACCTTGCGTGGGCACCAAAATAAAGTAGCAAAGTTGTGCTGGAATGCAGATTCATCAAAGATATTGTCAGCATCTCAAGATGGCTATATGATTCTTTGGGATACAATCACTGGATACAAAAAGCAAGCTATTCAACTAGACAATCCTTGGGCTCTCACGTGTAGCATATCCCCAAATGAAAAACTAGTGGCTTCCGCTGGATTGGACAACAACTGTACCGTATACAAGATCAAGCCCGATACTTTAAACAATCCTGTTCAGATACGGCAACAATTTCGAAGCAATGCATTCCCGATGCAAACTGGATTTTTTCAGTCTGTTCAATCAATTTTCAAAAGCCACACAGCATATATTTCGGAGTGTGAGTTCATTGGCAATAACTCTATCGTCACTAGTAGTGGCGACATGACATGTATGTTATGGGATATCACAAAGGGGTCCAAATCTCGTGATTTCATCGACCATGTAGGAGATGTATTGTGTCTTACTGTGTTCCCAACCAATATTTTGCTGAACAACCTCTTCATCAGTGGATCTTCAGATGGGTACGCTAAGGTATGGGATTTGAGACTGCCGACACCAACACAAAGTTTTAGTATTTCCAACAGCGATGTTAATTGCGTAAAAGTGTTCCCGGATGGGAATGCATTTGCTGTGGGGTCCGACGATGGTCAGATTAGATTAATTGACCTCAGGAGTGACTGTGAGCTAGCTCATTATTCATTGAACATGGAGATTAGAAGCATGCAGCCTTTTTACGGGAGCGGCAGCGGCATGGGCATCCAAGCGATATCACCCACTACCCCCATGGACAGAAAGACGTATCCGCTTGGAAATAGCTACTCGATGTTGACTCCGTCAAGTGCACAGATGAACGCGTCATTAGCTTCTAGCGATGGATTTAGCATAAGCTCCCGAGATTCAACTTTGGAGAATTCTGGTGTATTCTCATTGGATTTTGGAAAGAGTGGAAGGTTGTTGTACTCTTGCTACTCAGATCATGGGTGTGTTGTGTGGGACACTTTAAAAAACGAGGTAATCGGCACTTTGGGAAGCGAGCACTTGAACAAAATAAGCAGAGTAACTGTTAGCCCTGATGGTGTTGCATTGGCGACAGGCTCATGGGATTCAACAATAAAAGTATGGAGCGTATAGTAGAAAATTAGTCGGCGGTTAAAGTTAACATTGTTTAAAAAATTACATCATCATCTTACACACACTACTAGTTCCCTCTCTCTTTTAAATCTCTCCCGTATGTTTCTTCACATAATCCCACAAACTCTTCAATAAGGAGTCAGGCAAAGTGTACAAGTCCATAGTAAACTCCCCATTATCAATATCATTCTTGATATTCATCTCATTGGTCCTGTTATCAGTAACCATCTGAACCACCACAATCAAATCGTCTTCGCTCAATTTACTCAATCCATTGGCCAATTTCTCTAAGTCTATATTACCTTTGAATGCACCTTTCAACTTTTTCCTATCGGCGGCGTTAGCTTGAGATTGTGCACCATTTGGCGCATCCAATTTTCTCTTGAGCCCCCCAGCAGCAGAAGCACCAGCAGAATTGCCTGCTTCATCAAATGGCAAACGACCACTCTCTGTTAGGATCTTGTTCAATTGAGGGTTCTTGTGTGGACCTACTGGGATAGAAATCACATGGTCATTGACGTATTTCTCTTTTAAAAAGTTCAAGTCGTGCTGGAATTTACGCTCACCGGGTTTTCCGTTTATACCTAAGATGTGTATGGAAATAGGTATGTCAAATTCACCCCATCCTTGTTCTTCGATCTTGAATGGCTGCTGTTTGATGACTCTTATGGGATTGGCAAAAGTTGGGTGCAAAGTATACGTAACTTTGTCCAAAATTTTTGCTGGGATTTCTTTTCCCTCAGAATCGAGCATAGTTATTTGGATGGACCATTTTCTCATAGGGTAGTTCTCAACTGGGGGGACATCATGAAGGATGTGTTGTTCAGTAGTAATTCTAATTGTTCTTTTAACCTAAAAAAATGGAGTTTGTTAGTATTAGGCTACATTGGAAAGGGAATTCATAAGGCCTCATAAGCATCTGCCACTGATGACCCCAATTCTAACAATGTGACAATCGCTCCAGTTTTTTTTAATACATACTTCAGACATTATTGTAGGTTAGATTGGATGGCTCCTTTTTCTGTTGATGGAAAGGGATTAAAAATTGCTTCTTTGGTGGGCAGCTCAAAAAATTGCAAAACTTGGCTCACAATAAGTACACTTCCCCCTTTGGATGGTAATCGCTATCGTCTCAATTGGATCTTTCGAGAAAAAACCAAAAAAAAAAAGAAAGAAACGAAACGAAACGAAACCTTCTTGTTGTTGATGATTGACTGGTTGTTCAACACCTCATTTTCCTATGAATTTTTTCTTTGTTCTTTGTTGAGACTTTTGATCGAAATTTCGGTGTAAACAAGGAGCAGAAGTTTTTGAATTGACAACACTGGCACTTGTGGCAAGTCTTGAATGACGCTACAATCTACTGATACCTTGCTTATGTATAATACCCAAGAGACTCCGATCGTTTCATGCCTTTCCAAACTGGAAGTTCTTGAGGTAAACATGCGATAGATGTCTTACCAAGATTACAAGTGGGTGACACTGCCCGTCCAAGAATCCTCACTCTCTCAACCTACACCTCAACTCACGCACTTAAATTGTCTTTGGAGCCTCTAGCACCACACTTGGTCAGTGTGGTCCGCCTTTATGCCACGAACGGTAGCGCCTTCGGATAATTATGGATCGTTGTCTTCGTTTTTTTTTTGTAGGTATGATTCACAGATAGCATCTGACTCATTGAAAAGTTTTCAGCTCCTGTTCACTCGTTATCATTCATTGAGAATGCAAGCCCTTAAAAGAAGCTTTCCGCTTTTATCTCGAACATTGGTACCCAGGCCATTTTATCGTTTCAACTCTACGCAAACAGTCGCCCCTTTAAATGCATCAAAGTTGGTAATTGAAAAAACAACCAGCCCCAAACCGAAACTTCCCAAAAATGAGTTGGTTTTTGGTAAAACGTTTACGGACCATATGTTGGAGGTTGAGTGGGATGCCGAGACTGGTTGGGGGGCACCCAAGATTTCGCCATATCACAATTTATCACTTGATCCATCCACAATTGTATTTCATTACGCTTTTGAATTGTTCGAAGGTATGAAGGCTTATAGAGACCGCGATGGTAAGATAAGAACTTTTAGAGGCGACAAAAACATGGCTAGGATGAACAAGTCAGCGGAGAGAATTGCTTTGCCGCAGTTTGATGGAGAAGAATTGCAAAAATTGATCGATCAATTGTTGATTCTTGATCAGGATTTTGTACCTGAGGGAAAGGGTTACTCATTGTACCTTAGACCTACTTTGATTGGAACAACCGCGTCATTAGGAGTCAGTACTCCAGATAAAGCTTTATTGTTTGTCATTGCTTCGCCAGTTGGACCTTACTATTCGAGTGGATTCAAACCTGTCAACTTGGAGGCTACTGACTATGCTGTAAGGGCATGGCCAGGAGGTGTTGGGGACAAAAAATTGGGAGCAAATTACGCGCCATGCGTCTTGCCACAATTACAAGCTTCTAAAAGAGGCTTCCATCAAAACTTGTGGTTATTTGGAGATGAGGGATTCATCACGGAAGTTGGAACTATGAATGCCTTTTTTGTATTCCGAGACCCCGATACAGGCAAAAAGGAGTTAACGACTGCTCCTCTCGATGGAACAATATTGGAAGGAGTAACAAGAGACTCGATTTTAGAGTTAGCCAGAACCAGATTGCCCAAAGATGAATGGATCGTTACTGAAAGGAAATTTACAATTCATGAGGTGAAGAAAGCAGCCGAGAATGGGAATTTGGTGGAAGCATTTGGTGCTGGTACCGCAGCTGTTGTTTCTCCCATCAAAAATATTGGATTCAAGGGAGAAGATATCCCCGTGCCTGTATCCCTTGGAAATTCGGGTGAATTGACGGCTGAAGTAGCAGAATGGATCAGAAAGATTCAATACGGTGAAGAGGAATACAAGAACTGGTCTAGAGTAGCTGAGTAGGTTTATAAAACTTGACTCATGTCGTTGCTCTCTCAGCTCTTACCGTTAAGTACATAAGACTATGAATATGATAGATTAATTTACAGCATTTTTATCCGGTAACTCCTCAATTTGCTTGATGACATAATTTCTCTCCTCGAGTAAACTGGAATCATGGAAGCTCGCAACATCAAAGGTTTTAAAAAATTCGAGAAAGTTGAACTTATTCTTTATCAAAGTTTCATTCACTTTCGGGGTTCTTTTTGGATTTGCAACGAAAAACTTCAAGAGATGGAATCCTTCCAACTGTAAATTTTTCAGCTTTTCACTCAAAAGCAACATCGTGTATTTGAGATTCCTTGTATCAGCAAAGTATTTGTGCAAGAATTGTAAATTGGCCTTTTCAGACACTAAATCATTGAGAAGTTTGACACTTTGCCGCTTGGTAACATAGTTTGTTGATTTGATTAACCCATTAATTTTTGTCATGAATGCCTCGTAGTTGTTTGCCAAAAATTCAGACACCAATTTTTTATGAATAGTCAATACATCATTTAAGGTCATCATAGCATCACAAGCAATTTCAAACGTAGGATTCTCGACATACTTGAACAAATTCCAAAACGAAGGGCTGTATAAGACATGCTTGTTGATCTTTTCAAATTTTATGCAATCCCGAATTATCTGACCGGTGACAAGAGCTATTTCAGAATGCTCGGGACCTCTTAAAAGGTAGTCTAAAATTTTGGGTTGTGCGTGAAGTAGGTAATCCACAACTGGAGGAGGAGACAGAGATGTGGTTGCTGGTTGTTTCATACCATTTAAGGAATTTCGTCGTAACAAAGTTGAGTACATGACAACCACGTCCTTTCGTGAATCAAAATCCAATTTGGGTAAAGTGAATGTAGACAAGTACAAACTGTTTGATTGTAAAATCTCGGTCAATAATAGTTGTATCTGATCCTGTTGGGGTTCATTTTCATCGTCGCCGTATATAATGGCCTTAATTTGCTTTAGATATCGCCCAGCATCATCCTGTGATTTCTTGTAAGTGGAAGGATCGTTGGTGTTATCGAGCTTGATTAGCTGATCGTTTAAAGCTCTCACTAGCTCAGGTGGACTTTTAGGATCACGTTTGAATAAAAATGCCATGCTTGGGGAAAGTAAAAGGCAAATGTGCCAGCTGTGATTTCTTTAAAGAGGAGCTGAATATATATAACAGGGTTTGATTCAGTTGCAGCTATTTGATTCAATCACTTTGTGGAGGTCGGATGTAACAATTCTGTTTGGTCAGTATACAGGAACACGATGCGATTTTCAATAAGCCACTATGAATAGGATCCATTAACAAGGTACAAGCCTGTTTTTCGATGTAATCAATGATTGTGTGGGTGGTGACTCGAAAATCAAGATATTTTTCGTATGATCCAGAAAAAGGTGGTTGTTAATTGCAAGAGAAAACGAAAGCAAATCAAGTGTTGATTAAAGAGTATAGTGGTCAAACTAAAACCACTGATCGTTTACATACATGGCTATATGATACTTGAAAGCAAAAAGAGGAGATCCTAATTAGAGCAAACTTCACTGAAGCAGAGCAAGAGTACAACCATATAAAGAGTGCGATCAATGTCCTGGTTGAAAATATGGCAACCCATTAAAATTAACAGAAGTGACAGACCAATACTTGAAGAGGGAGAGTTTAACGTTTATATCAAGGATGACGTTGGGTTGTACCAGGGAAAGCAGAAGATAATACTTCATCAAAATGGAAGAGTGTATTTGACAAACAAAAGGATTATCTACTATGATAACAACGATACTAAGAGAAGCATTGCTATTCGGATTGACCAGCTTACTTCAGCTGAATTGATAGAACGGTTTCTACGATCTTCGCCAAAGGTTAAGTTATATATCAAAGTTGAGAGTTTGAAAAATGATGGCAAGTCAAAGACACAAACCATCAATGGGTTTGACTGGATTTGCAAGATTTGCTCTTTTCAAAACCACGTCCCTGCTGGAGTGGGTGCCGACATGGAACCACCTAAATGTATAGCGTGTGGCGTCACCAATAAGAATTTCAGGCAAGATATGTTGAACAAGTCTAGTGGATATATTTCCAATAGTATGTCATTGACACCAACACCTTCAAGTCCGGCAAATGGTTTGATTGAAGGTACTCCATCACCTGCAAATCTGACACCAGAACCCGTCTCTTTCACAGTACTCACTGGCCAATGCCCGACATGTACATTTATCAATCACAAATCGATAAAATTTTGCGAAATGTGTGGTACTGAATTGGGGAGATCCACTACTGAAATGAACAGGGATTTAGATGATATCTCAACCGAAGCGAACCCCCTTGACTTGAAGCTTGAAGGGGATGAGCAATATACCAACAACCGACCATATATCAAAATCAGTTTCCATAAAGGCGGCGAAGCTCAATTTTTTCAAGAAGTTGCGACCTTGATAGATGAAGTCAAGTGGGAGAATTTGAGAATGAAAGGAGGTATCAATCAAAATGCTAAAAAATTAGAAGCAAGGAAAGAGCAGTCAATGAGACCAAATGGAGCAGGGATTCATGCTTTGGAAGCTTTTGGTGAACAACAGAGGAAAAACAATGAAAAAATACTTGGTTCGTCATTGGATGATTTGGAGCAATTGATGTTTAAATTTGAAGACTTGATCAAACTTTCATCCTCGTTTAAGAGGTTGTTAGTGAGCAAGGATGATAAAACCATTTACAAGAATATTCCACCGTTGACCATTAGTCGCACATCAAAATTGTACCATAGTGAACTCAGTCGACATATGAGTGAATACTTGACCAGTTTTGTGCTAACCAAAAAGTCTTCGATGATCACTTTGCCGGATTTGTTTGCTGAATACAATCGGTTTCTAGTAAAATGTTCTGGGTTTGGCACTGAATTGGTTGACATTGTTGATTTTAGAAAACTGATTGATTTGTTTGACACATTGAATTTACCAGTGGTCCTGAACAAATACGAAAAAAGTGAACTTGTTGTCATTCGACCTAGAGTCCACGCCAACTCATATAGTGAGTTTATTGTTGAGTTTTTGAGTCAACAAGAGCATAAGTATAAGAGAAGCTTTATAAGGGCGAAGATGGTTGATGACGGTGATAATGACGGTCTTGATCACGAAAATGGTTGCTATGGGGCTACTGTATCTGAGATATCCCATGCATTGAATTGGTCCTATAATGTGACCATGGAGGAATTAGATAAATCTATTGATTCAGGTCTAGTCGTCCTAGACCAAAGTATATCGGGTACTTTTTATTATGTTAACAAATTCACATCCAGTTTCAAATGGGACGACTTAGCAGAGATCCAAAAGATCAAGGAAGAAATCATCGAAGAACAAAAGGAGATAACAACAAGACTAAAGAATGAATACGAAAGTTCGCGAGTTGACAATTTGTTAAGTCTCAATGCTGATTATGAGTTTGGCATTGTACCAGAACAATCGAATCGTGCTGAGAATCCACCGACGACGCCCCTGCCTTTTAGTGATTCGCTAAACGGGTTGGAAGGGTTAAAATTTTAGATAGACTTCATGTAATAGTATACGACTGTACAATGCGGTTTTTTTTTGCACCCACCTGATTTCTTATGGCAACCGGCGGGATTTGCGCGAAAATATTTCCCAAATCCGAACGAGAGGTGACAATTTCATCCAAAGTTTTCGAACTGCTGAAACTAAAATAAATACCCCCCCTCCCCTACAGAAAACCAGCTTTACACGAACTGGATCAATAACATGGATATATAGGTCCATCTTTGTTGGATAATGAAAAGAGTAGTAATGAATTCAACACAGAAACAACAAAGTGATGGCCAAACATTACGTGACAAACCTCAACAACGTACAAATCAATCTCAACATTTGCATCCATCGGCACAATATCGACAGCACGATGTGGGACAATCGTACTCACAAGCCTTGACAAATACGTTACCAGCCAATAATCCATTTGCACCACCGACGTATCAGAATAGCAAAAACAATTATGCATCATCGCACCAGCTGAATCAACAACTCCCCACAGTGCCACAACCAGCATTAATGGCGTCGAGTTCAATACTCACACTAGGACCATTCAAACATCGAAAAGATATGACTCGAGATTCAGTGCTTTCCACCTATCAAATTTTGGGCTATATAGCTGCCGGTACATATGGTAAGGTTTACAAAGCCAAACTTCGAACAAATGCAAATAATACAAAAGATGGCGAAGAAAGGGGGAAGTTCGGTGTGATACATGGAGGCTTAGCCGATGGAGGTAATGGCGTGGGTCCTAATGATGGCGATCGCATTGGTAAAGCTAATGCAAATGACCATATTAATGAGACCGACTCGAAGGAAGGGTCGGTTCCACCCGATGAAAACTCCCTTGAATCATCGGGGCCAGTAATACAGTACTATGCCATTAAAAAGTTCAAGAGTGATAACCATCAAAGCTCAAATAGCAAGAACAATACCGCTGGTAATGGGAGTAAGAATTTCAATCGTGAAATTGCCAATGAGGCAGCACAATACACTGGAATCAGCCAAAGTGCCATTCGGGAAATGTCACTATGTCGAGAATTGAATAACAAAAACATTACTAAGTTAACAGACATTATTTTGGAAAACAAGAGCATCTATATGATTTTTGAATTTTGTGAGCATGATTTGTTGCAAATTATACATTATCATTCACATCCAGAATTGAAGCCAATACCATTACCGACAATAAAGTCATTAATTTGGCAGATACTTAATGGTGTTACTTTTTTGCACAAGAATTGGATCTTTCATCGAGATTTGAAACCAGCCAACATTATGGTGACATCGAATGGATGTGTCAAGATTGGCGATTTGGGATTGGCGCGTAAATTTAACAATCCATTGCAGAGTCTTTATACTGGTGATAAAGTTGTCGTTACAATCTGGTATCGAGCACCCGAGTTATTATTGGGGACTCGACATTATACTCCAGCGATTGACTTGTGGGCAGTCGGGTGCATATTGGCAGAATTGTTATCATTGCGACCCATATTCAAGGGAGAAGAGGCCAAGATTGATATAAATAATAAAAAACTGGTTCCATTTCAAAGAAATCAATTTCAAAAAATCATTGAGGTTATGGGTACGCCCAATTTGAAGAATTGGCCAAGTTTGAACAAGTATCCCGAATTTGTTTCGTTTACTCAACAAATCACACAAACTTACTCGTCAAATTTATCACAATGGTACAAGATGATTGGTGGTGAGAATAAACAATGTTTAGAATTGTTGTATGGTTTGTTAAAGTATGATCCGGAAGTAAGATTGACTGCAGATCAAGCATTGGTGCATAATTTCTTTTTGGAGTTACCCAAAGTGACTGAAAATGCATTTGAAGGGTTGAATTTGAAATATCCTAATCGAAAGATTTATGTTGATGATAGTGATATTGGCCAAAATGGTGGGAATAATGCTGGGTTTAAACGTAATATTGGGTTTGATGAGGGAGCAAACAAAAGGAAAAGGGTGTAGCTGAAGGAAGAGTTATCACAATACAATCGTTTAAATTAACAATTCGTAATAAGTTTGGTTTTGGTTTAAATTGTTCAGTGTTGTAGAAAATTTGTGCAGCGTGATCTTTTGCAATGTTTTACCCCCTTTGTATCATCATCAAATCAAAAAAAAAAAACTCCGATTTGTAGAAACCACATTGTAAACACACAATTTTTAATACCTTGATCCACCCAATGAAACTAGATGATTTATACACAGATAAGCAATTGATCTACAATAGTGTTATATCAAACATATGCAAAGCAAAACCAAAGTCATCAAATGCCATCGCAACTACAAACGCATCCACATCAAACTACGTGTGTTTGAAAATTGTCGATGTTGATTTTAAAATTCCTCCACATTCAATTAAACGAGAAATCAAAGCCATCAAGTCCTTGCAAGAACATGGTGGGATAGTGAAATATATCGAGGATTTCCAAATCTACGAAGATGTGATATTGGTGTTGAAATATTATCCATTTAACTTAAATCAATTGATCATGAATAAAAAGTATTGCCGCAAACGAACACGATATGATCTTGGTGGTGATGGATCTAGCAACGTCAAATATACGCTATCGAACATAATCACCCAGTGGCAACTCAAACAACTTGTGACCAATTTAGTATCGTCCATCAAGTTTATCCATGCCAATGACATAATTCATCGAGATTTAAAACCAGGAAACATCTTGTTTGTCGACGAAGATATAACCAAACCGGTAATCGCTGATTTTGGTGTTTGTTACAACTTGTTGGATCCACCAGAAGATGAACCATTGATGCAAAAGTATACTGATGTAAGTACCAGTATTTATAAGCCACCGGAATTGATTTTGGGTATCAGTAATTATTCATTTGAGGTTGATTATTGGTCATTGGCGATTGTGTTGACTATTTTGTACTCTCCTGATTTCAAGAGTATATTGATACGAGACGACCATGTGGGTGTAAGAGCTGACGATAATGATGCTGACGAAGAAATGAATAACGAATCGGGTATTAGTGATTTGCACTTGTTGAGCTGTATATTTAGAGTGTTTGGGACCCCAACTTACAATGAAAATGATATACATAGTGATGAGGATAGGGAGCAATTGTATTGGCCAGAATTGGATGACGATGATTTGCATTTCAAAAAATTCAATTTGAAACGGTTTAAGAGAAAGAGTTTGGCAGAGATTATACCGAAATGTGAGGACGAAGAAGTGAAACACTTGTTTCAAAAAATGACCCGTTATGATAGAGAGAAACGGCTGATTGAATGAAGATAATAACGATTGCGGCTGATGCATGTAGATATACATGGAGAAGTCCACATTCTACATTTATCGTATTTGTAAACTCTTCACCAATTGGAATATGATAGAACATAAACCAAAGGAGAGCTAGAATGTCAACACATCTTTCATTTGCAATCTCACGGTGACGTTTCGCTTTTGGCGAAAAAAGAGGAAAAGAAGAAAGGAATAAAGAGGGGAGATACATATATATATATATATATATGTTTTCACAATTACTTATTCTCTTTCTCTCCTTCTTAATTGTTCTAGAGAACGAGTTTTGAATACAACTTCCGCTTGTAAGAACTTCTTCTTCTTCTTTTCTTTGGAAATCTTATGAAGATCAGATCACCTAAAACCAATATAACAGTACAGTGGATTTCTCAACACCAAGCCAATGAGTGATGAAAGAGTATATTCCTCCTCATGTTGAGAGAAGAGATAGAGTTGCAAAATTCGCCAACAGGAAGATTAGATCTTGGTGGTCTAATATCACAAACATTAAAACAATTTATATTATAACGGATTGATTAACGATTGTCATAGTGGAAAAATCAAACCACCCTAATATTTTTCAGCTGTTGATGCAAAAAAAATAAATACAATACTGCAAATGCACTTCTCTTGGAAGAGTATGGTTTCACACGATGGCAGATTGACAACCCGAAAAAAAATAATGGGAAATGCTGATGGGGAAATTCGGGGGGGGGGGGGGGGGTCACAAGAAATGGTGAAATCGAAAGACATATTTCAAACCGAATTATTTGATATTGGCTCAAGAGCTAGTTCCAATGACTACGAAAGAACATCATTGACCTCCAAGCATGAGAAACGCTAGCTATATCCAATGCTCTTCGTGGAAAGAAAACGAAGAAAGAGACAAGTAAAGAAATGAATTATTTGAACGTGGGAGTTGTAATTCTAGTTTATAATTTAGACTTTGGTCATAGTTTAAATTGTATTTTTTTTTGGTGGAAAGGAGAGAAAATGTTGCATTACTAATTTTATTACTACACGTGACAAACTTTCTTCTTTATCGTTGTTTGACTTTGACTCAGAAAAAAGTACCGATTTATTGTTAACTAACTTCGTGTCAACCAATCAGTAGATCCGACTCATATAGGCTAAAATCAGATACCATGAAGAGATTGCTCTCTCAAACCCATCTGCCTCAGCAGAGATTTCAAAATTCATTTGTAATCAGTATTCATAAATTTAGAGCAGTAAGTTTGCAAGAAAATGTTGCCAAAAATTCTGAAAATATTGGATTTACACAAATTTCATTTCGCAAAAGCCTCTCCTGCCTCATCATCATCAAAATTTCAATAGCCCCTAAAGATTAGCGAAGATTAACACAACCAGAATCAACGAAATGTATTAAACTTCGTTAAGCTTATCACGTGCAGACGGTTCGTTTATTGGATTACCCCACCTAGTGCGCGACACATGGAGGAAGGAAAGGAAAGAAAAAAGAAACGAACAATAAACCAAACGTTTTCTTTACCTAATTGGTGCCTCGATCCTCGATTGCCTTTTTCTTCTCCTCCACTCGTTGCTTCTCGAGTACTAATTGAAAACATGAAAACTTTACTTAAAGAATACAACGAGGACGAGGCGCAAGAGACCATTTCTTTTTCAACACTGTAGAAGGTGTAAGAGTTTTGATGGCGTTATACCCTTGGCCAAATAGAACACTAATTAATAGAATAAAAAATTGTCTGAGTTTTATTATGGTTATGAGTTCTATAGTCAATCATTGGCCCGACAGAACAAGATAAACAATAGGAACGAACGGGTTTTGTGTTTTGTTAGTTAATGCAACGTTTGATGCAAAAGTGGAGAAGTTGTAACCGGAGTTTGATAGTGGATTTAATGCATAATGCATTAAATTGTGGCTATTCACATAAGGGGGTTTTGTGTACTTGATGTATTTTGAATTTCCAATCTGTCTTCAAAGTGTATTTAAACAAGTTGTATAGTAAGAGAGATCAGATGTATGGAATCAGCCTACAACAGCAAGCTGATAGTACTTGCAGCCTTATTAGATGACAGGGGCTACAAATCAATAAAATGACTTTTCACTTTGATCTCGCTTGATTAGGTCAAGAAAAGATGTATTTGACTTCAAAACATACAATGTACGAAAACTTAACTCTAGGGACGCGGTCAAGTTTCGCTTTCCATTGTTTGTCGTGGTCACTGTTTGTTTTTATATTATGAGCTATCGTTTGACCAAATGGGGTCTATAGATCTTGTCTATTTAGATGGTCGATGAGCCATCAAGGTGATAAAAATCGTACGTTTGCTTACCTCTCTCTCAATAAGTACATCACGTTACAAATCCACGTATAGGCAAAGTGATATCATACAGTGTAGTTGACTAGTTTTTCCTGTGTGTTTGTTTGATTTGATCTCTGTTATTTCAAGAGGAACCAATAGAAAAACAAACAAATATCTTTTATAGGTAAGTTGACAAGATGAAAGTTACACAAACATGTGCAGTGATGTCTGAATTAGTGCTTAAATTACACAAAGTAGCTACAGAACAATAGGGAAGAGAATTTTTTTTTTTTCGAAGAGGGGAAATAATAAAACTTTGTGATTGTGGGGGGAGAGGGGTTATTTTTTTTTTCTTTTTATATATATATATATTTTGTGAGTGAAGTGGAAATCATCCATATAAACTATAAAACATAAATAATATTCATATATAAACCCCTTATCATATAGATACATAGATACCATATATGGATTGTATGATTCAATGACCCTGTATCTTTCTTTAATATATTTTTTATTTTAATGTTTTTCTTTTGTGTCTTTTTGCTGGTCGATCATATAATCGTTGTAGATCTTTGAAGATTTCAAACATAAGAAAAGGATATTACCCAACTAAGTATGTGTGACCTGAACAGTAGGATGTTTGTTTATACCGGATAATCCACTACAGCAGTAGAACACCCTTACAGTATTAAACTTTCCTTCTCTCAAACCATTGTTTAAAGAAAGAAAACAAAGTGAAGAAATACAAGAAAAGAAAAGTTGATCCAAGAGATCTGTCAAATAAATTCGTTTGTATTTTGTACCCACGTTCGCCTTCTCGTAGAAATTCAGGTTACCAATGATAGGTATTTTGATTACAACAGCTACCACTTACCAAAGGCTGTGTATTACATAGGTTTGTAGTAGTGTCCCTATGGGGTGTATTTGTTATGTGTTACTAATAAGTCACACACACACACACACACACACACACACACACACACACACACACACACACACACACACACACACACACACACACACGTTCAAATGGCGAGAGAGATAAAAATAATATTTTAATAAAAAAAAAAAGAAAGCGGAATTAAAAAAAAAAAATAAAAATAAAAATAAAAATAAAAATAAAAATAAATATATTCCACGTACTGCATATAATAACAGAACAATAGATTGTAAAAAGAAAAAAAAAAAATACATCAGAATAAATAACAATAATAAAATATATATATAATCCCCCCACTACCACAATACATAAATATAAATCATATATCTATATCTATATATATATATATATACACTTATCTACATATACTTATTTTCTAACAAGTAATTTATTAAAAAACCCACTTTCTACTGAGTCTTCATCACGTTCTTATACTAAGCTCAACACACATACACATATCATATCTATATTTTACCCAACAACAACAAAGTTGCATAAGTAAAAAAAAGGACCAACAAACAGAAAAAAAAAAAAAAAAATTAAGCACACACTAAACGCAGCCCTAAACACCAAACCAAAAGAGGAGTAGAAGAAACAAACAGTACAAGTGGTACTACACATATACACTTCTCAGTGGGAATCTTTCAAATACCTTGAACTGAAAGATATAAACATCAAAGCATACTCAGATTCAACTCAAACTGCTTGTTAGATCTGCTAGAAACTACACACACATACTACACATACACACACAAATCTACAACTTGCATTAACTCACCGTTAAAAGATATACAACGTATTTTCACATACACATATCTACTGTACAGTTACCACACAAACTATCCAAACGAAAGGAGAGAAGAATCTTTTGCTTATTTGCTATATCACCCTTATTTTTGCTAGCTTACAGTACTTTTTTTCACCACTAGCAGATTCAAAAGTTATTCCCCCACCCTCCTCAAATACAACCATTTCACAGCATACCCTACACATGATGCATTTATCAAAAGGTCTCAATAAACTCAACTTGGACTCAATAGCACCAGACTTGAACTTGCCATTTCCTAATAACAACCACAACCATACATATTCGAAACCAAACAAGCCCAACAAACCTCCAATATTCAACAATACAACTTCTATGGGTGGTATAGGCTCTGATGAATTAGATGAAACTCCACCACCTTCCGTTTTGAAAAATATTGATTATGATTATTTGGAAAAACATTTTCAAATTTACAAATATTACCCATCATATGTTCATAATGATGAAATTAGGACTCCCGAGTTGAAAGACTTGATTATTGATAAACCTATTTACAATGAAGCTAACAAACATGTGAAACGTAAAAAGAGAAAAAGTGTTAAACAAAAGCAAGAGGAAAAGGTGGATAAGAAAGCATTACAACAAGCAAGAGAGTTGAGAAAAGAGCAACGTCAAGAGAGACAGGAATTACGAAAAGAACAAAGAGATGAAAGGAAAGAGTTGAAGCAAAAGCAGAAACTGCAGCTGCAGCTGATGAAAAAGAGCTATTCTGGTCATTACATGAACAAGGTGAATAGTTTAAATTCTGCCAACGGTGGTAGTAATGATGTTGGAGCTACTCATGGAGTCAATCCTTATCAAATGAAGACTCAATTTAGCAACAATACTACCAATAGTAATCAGGGACATGGTGGTACCGATGATTATTACTGGAACAAAAATCAACCAATTTCTAGAGCCAATTCGCAATTTAACTACAACTACAACAACCACAACAACTTTACCACCAATATGAAGAAAGTAGGTTCTTCGTCCACTCCTTCTTCTTCAGATGATGATGGTCCAGATTGTGCAGAATTAGATCCTACTGCAATGGGAAGAATGGGTAGTATTGGAGGCGGTGGTGGTTACGATTCAGAAAGAACTGAAGTTGCCGATGAATTTGATGATGATGCTATTGCATTCAATAATCCATTTGATTTTGGTAAGAAATTGTCAACTACTGGCACTGCCATCAAGGAAGAAGGAGGTATTGCACCTGTTTCTTCAACCCTGATGTCGAATTCATCATCATACAACAATTATACCAATGGTCCAACAAGAACACACCAAAACTCATTGTTTAGCAATCCACAATATTCGTATTTGTACAGTTCGAGAAACAACTCAAGAAACAATTCAGTTGTTGGTCGTGGTGGTGGTGGTGTTGGTCCAATGACTGGGTTACCTGATAATCATCCAGTTCCAGCAGCTGTACCTCAAAGAAGATCATCTTCGGTGACATTGATAAATAATAGTCAAAATTCATCTCAAAACAGAACAAACACCAACAACGGTAATAGTAATGGTGGTGTGTCTTATGGCACCCATCAAATATCGCAACCAAAGAGAAATAATTCAATTGCAACTAAATTTATGAGTATGTTTAGAGGTGACAGTCAGGAATCTAGTAACCTGTCCAATGGTAACCAATATGAAGATATGGACTATAATGATGAAGGGGACGATAGTGACTATGATTTTTCAAATACAGATGAGTTTGATAACAACAATGGTGCAACCACAATGATGCGTAAAGCTTCAACGACCAAACTGCACAAGAACAGTCATACCACTAATATGTCAAGAAGACAAAGTTTGTTTGGCCATAATAATAATCAAACACAAGCACAAGCTCCAGAAGAACCCACCTATAAACCAAAAGCGGGACCATTGGCAACAATGGGATATATCGGAGGACATCCAATGACAAAATCCAACAGTTTTGATCAAACCAAATCACAGCGAACCAAATTAAAGAACAAATTGAAAATGAGATTTACTAATGAACTGCGAAGATTTAGTGAACAGTTTGGTATGTATAAAAATGACTACAATTATCAGGGAAAATACTATTTATTGTTGAAAAATAACGTACTACTAATGATGATGCGAGAAATTCACTGTTTTCTGCTCCAAAGGGCATCAGTGTTGTTTCAAGCATAAGAATGTTTTTTCTAGCGATTCAAAATGGGGGGGAAATAAAAAATGGAAGAAGAATATTTCAGGAAGATTTTTAAATGGGAATTTTCAAGAGTGAATGGGTTAAATGAGATTGATTGTTGGTTGCAAAAACAGTTGATATACAATATACAAGGGTAGTGCAAATTGATCAAAATGAAATATGAAAAAAGTGGGGTTTGACATGACTAAAAAAAAAAGAGAAGTAGTGTAATATTACACAAACTTGCTTAAATAAAGTGGGGAAAAGAGAGGCTTACATTCTTACACAAACGTGAGTAAACAATAGAGTAAAAGAGAGCAATGGTTTGAAAAAAGATAGAGAGAGAGAGTGTGTGTGTGTGTGTGTATGTGTGTGAAGATAAAGATCCCCACACAATCAAAACTAAAAAGCGTGACAAATCGAAACTACAACGACGCATATCATGTTAAAATCATTTATCAATCAGTAGATGTACATCTTGTTGTGATGCAACCTTATTGTGCTTTAGCTTTTGAATTTGGTCACCAGTGATTGGTTAAAGAAAGAAGTGGGTAGAGATGATAATGATGAATGTGTGTTTTGGTTTTTTTTGTTCTTTGCTACACAAAGTTTACATCAACACTTGAGGCGTTGAAGATAATCAAAGAGACATTGAGAGAAATCTTTGCTAAAATCTGACATGCACAATACCGACTCGCTCGTTTACAAGCTGGATATTGCTATCACATATGGTCAAGATGTGACGTTCTTGTGGTTGAGGATTGGTTGGTTTCGATGTTTTGGTTGTGTGTGCTGCCCCCTTACTTTGTGTCTGTCTGTCTGTCCATCCGTTGATTTGTCTGTCTGATATTTATTCAAATGTTACACAAAATGATTATGAAATTGAATGATCGATTTTATTATTTTTTTTTTTTTGGTGGGGGGAGGGGGGAGGATGACACATCCATACACCAATATATATATAAACTAACAACATTGGATGGAGATTTGACGACATTTTGTATTTGAGACAGACACAGCAAAAAAAAAAAAACAAAGAACAAACAATCAACAAAAGAACATACAAAAAACACAAGAGAGAGAATCAACAAAACTTTTTGGCAATCTGATCTTTCTTTTAATAACCAACAACTATCACTACTACTACTTACTTCATCAATTCATTTACCTATCATCAGTTAGGATAGTAGAAGAAAGGCATATAACGCACACGCACCACACGTACAACCACCCTTCTTTTTTTTTTCAACACAATTGCTGTTTCAAGTCTTTTTTTTTTTTTTTGGGTCATTCAAATTTCACCAAAATTTGCAGAAGTATTTGTTCGCTAGTCAACTATACTTTTTTAACATACTTTGATCTATACGAATCAGACAGCAGTAACAAACCCCAGTGACTTTGCTATTGCACTTGACAAGAGAGTTGAGAATTGATTGCTGCCGTTTAACATCATTGGTTTTGCGTTTATCTCCATACAGGTATAATTGTGTTTTGCAACAACTATCAAGATCCACTTGATAAATTAAAAAGCAGAACTTCATTGTTGAACTGAACTAATTGTGTGTCTTTTGTCAACGACGTCGATCATCAGTCACTCCTTTACAAAGAACGGAATCAACCTTTTGTGAGAGCAATTACATCATCAGCACAATTGACGCGATCTCGAAAAGAAAGAGAGAGAAAAAAAAAAAAAAAAAGATACAAAAGCAGCAGAATTAGAGAGTCTCCATTGTTTCTTCAAGTGTTGTCGAAAAAGTTTCAGATTTTTTAATTTTTTTTTCGTTTCCCTTTTCCAACTGTCGCCCGATATTCGAAAGAGGAGACCAAATACACCGCCGTCTCAACTGAAAATTCTCATTCCAACCATAGAGCATTCCAAGCCGAACCAAAGAGTCAATTTTTTCTTCTTCCATTCTTCCTTTCTTCCCCAGAATCACAAACATTTCGCATCATCATTTTCATTTACAAATATTTATACATCCCCTCTTCTCAAAGTGAGCTTTATACTAACAAATTATGTCTAAAATAGAAGTTGTTACTGAAAATGTCACAAATGGTCATAATGGCGAAACCCAAACGATACAGTATACGCAATCGCAAATGGTTGGGCATGGGTCATTTGGAGTTGTGTTTCAAACACAAATCATGCCAAGTAATGAGATATGTGCTATGAAACGAGTACTTCAAGACAAACGATTTAAAAATCGTGAATTACAGATTATGAAGTTGGTTCATCACCGAAACATTGCTGACTTGAAGTATTATTTTTACACCAACAATGACAAGAATGAATTGTATTTGAATTTGATATTGGAGTTTGTTCCCGAAACCCTTTACAAAGCTAGTCATTACTATGTTTCCAAGAGATTGAGCATGCCGCCTTTGGAAATCAAATTGTACACATATCAAATGTTTAGAGCATTAAATTATATTCATTCACAAGGAATATGTCATAGAGATATTAAACCACAGAATTTATTGATTAATCCAACCACGGGAGAATTGAAATTGTGTGATTTCGGTTCAGCCAAAATATTGAATCCACTGGAACCAAATGTTTCTTACATTTGTTCAAGGTACTATCGTGCGCCGGAGCTAATTTTTGGAGCTACAAACTACACCACTAAAATCGATGTATGGAGTGCTGGATGTGTAATGGCTGAATTGATTCTTGGACAACCATTATTTCCTGGTGAATCGGGTATTGATCAATTGGTGGAAATAATCAAGATTTTGGGTACTCCGTCAAAGGAACAAATCAAGAGTATGAATCCCAACTACATGGAACACCGCTTCCCTCAAATCAAACCAATACCATTGCACAAGATTTTCAAAAAGATGGCACCTGATTGTATACAGTTTTTGATTAAAGTATTACAATATAGCCCATTGGAGAGAATCAGCTGTATTGAAGCCATGGTCGATCCATATTTTGATGAATTGCGCAATGAATCGACTAAATTACCCAATTATAGAAAATTATTTTCACAACAGTTTCATCATAGTACGGCTGGCTCATTAGGTGGCCCCACATCGCATTCAAATGCAGCTCAATATCAGTTGTATGATTCTCAACCCGATATGAAGGATTTACCTGAATTGTTTGATTTTGATGATCGAGAATTGAGTGTTGCTCCACAGTTGAATTCAGCATTGATTCCATCATGGGCATGGAATCATTTGAATTTAAAACAAGGACCAATAAACAACTTGAATGAGTTTGTACCAATGACGAAAGAGGAGTTAAAAGTTACATTAGAATAAAAAACACGAAAAAAACAATAAACAAACAAGCAAGCACGAAATAAATGGCAATGGTGTATGAATTGAAATGAACAAAAAGGTAATGATTGATTGGATGAGTCGAGATGAGTTTTGAAAAGGGACATAAAAAACCATCAGAGTGTGTGTATTCCTATATACATAAAGTGATGAAAATTGTAATTTCCAAATCCTCATTTTAATAGCTCTAACACTCTACTTCTTCATAGTATCTAACATGTATCCATAAACTACAACTATTGCATTGAACAATTATATCGAATCTACCATCTTCATCATTGCATTTGGTTCCCTTTTTGATCAAATCATCTTCAGTTAAAACCATTCCTTGCTCACATTGACATCTTGGACACGTCTTGACAAACCGTAGCTCAGGTGAAGCTGTAGTAGCTGTGGTTGTAGTTGTAGTTGAATCTTCAGTAGCACTGTCGGTATCCACTTCCACGCATTCAAAATCGTCCAATGTAAACGAATCCAATCCGTCACCAGTCAAATTAAAGCCATTAATTTTCGATTGTGTTTGTAAATTTGAGTCGTATTGTGATCGTAGTTGTGGTGATGAGAGGGTTGTGTATGCAGTCAATATCAAGTTGATATCAGGGGTAGCTGTGATTGGTGTTGTTGTAGGTGCTGTGGTGATGGATGTTGTTTTATCGGGGTGAGTTGCTAGTAGTTTTGCTTTGTAAGCGGCTTTGATTTGATCTTGGGTTGCTGTTGATGGGATGTTTAGTATTTCGTAGTATGTTTGTTGTTGCGGCTGTATCATGATTGAAGTCTATAAAATCATTACTGGCAAGTTTATGATAATGAGACACTCAATTCATTTCTGCGAATCATCTCTCATCGGAACAGTTTTTTTTTTTTTTTTTTTTCACATCCACCATCATCATATGCAACTTCAATATACATAAAATACTTCAATGTCATCATCATCTTCTTCTTCTTCTTCTTCGCATATCAAAGTCTCATCATACACTGATGAGCCAGTTGCTGCAGTAGGTTCATTTTTCAACGGACTTTCAATCCCATCATCAACTGAATTTGACATTTACAAAAACAAGAAAACCAATGAGTATCTAATCCATGGCGAATCTGATCATTTAGAATATAATGGGGACTCTAAAGAAACACAAGACTTGAATGAATATGTAGTGGCCATGTATGATCCCAACACCAAATCAGTTGAATTGTTCAAAACACCATATTTTCAAACCAAAGTTACTTCAAAACAATACAAGATATACAAAGGACCATCGGTTAGATCAACTGGTGTCAAGAATATAACTCAACGAAATGCCTTGGGTGAAGCGTTTGGTACCAAGAAAGCCAAACAAGCTATTACCAATTTGGAAAAGAATAGAATCGATGCTGATAAATTACAAGATATGGAAATGGATATTATTGATTCTGTTCAAGATACACTCACCAATAATGCACAATCATCAACCACCAAGGGTCAAACCAATAATGATGTCACTGATTTCTCCAATAGTCCCATTCCTAAGCCAAATGTCGATGCCACAAATGTCGAAGACATTTACCCCATCAAAACCATCATCCCCGCCAAAGATTGGTCGTATATCCGAGTTCAATCAATATTCACCGACTCTGATCCCATTAAACAATTTCCATCATCACCGGAATTTATCAAACAACAACTATCATCAATTATCGAACATCAAAATTTGGAAAAATTGCAAATCTTGTACTACGCATCATTACTATTTGCCATTTATTCCAATCGTCGTGGTGTTAGTTCCAAAGATCAACTAATGAACAAATTAGACCCCAAACCATCAGAGGCGTTGATTGATACCATATTGGGAAACTTTACCATTGCTCGTACTTCCAAATTCGGTAAATCCAAAGATCGGTCATTTACTATTGACCCTCATAATGAAGATAAATTGCTTTGTTATTTAATCATTTTGATTTTACATTTATCCAACTTTTCAGTGGCTTTGAACCCATTGGCTCGTGATTTGAAATTGAAACCCACGAAATTAGTGGCATTATTCAGAGCCGTGGGGTGTATTATCAAATCAGCCACTGTGGGTGAAGCTGAAGCATTGGGTATACCAAAGAGTAGTGTTGGTACTTACAAGATTGCTCATTTGAAAGTGCCATTCAAAATGCCGGAATTGACTAGAAAAAGAGGTGGAAAGAGGTAAAAAGAACACATTGTAGAAGTTTTGTTTTAATCAGTACGACGCCTCTTTGTTAATAAAATTTGTAATCTTCGGGATCAACAACACTGTTGAATTTGATACAATCATGAATAAACTTTTCAATCACGGTAAAGGGAATCTTATTTGCAAACTTTCCTTCTTCACTGATTTGCAAGTTTTGATTAATCGTCTCGTATATCCGTTTCAATGTTGCAATAGTCTCTTGTCGAAACTCTTCTTCTTCAAAACTGGGAACCACTATATATCCACAATTGACAAAATCGTCAACCACTTCACCACTAAAACGTTCAATACGATCTTTAACCAATTGACAAGCCAATGATGTTCCAATTACATGGAACGTTATGCCTTCGAAAAGGTACAATTTGGGTCGAGCAAGTTCATCCCATTCAAATTGCTGCCGCAATTGGTCCACTTGATCACGAGATAAGCTGGGGGCATTGATTCGAGCAAGTGGTAAATGAACCGTATACGAATCGCCATATTCATCAACTCGTTGATCATACATGTCCCAATTCTGTGAATCAAATATAAAACAAGGTTCCAATTGCACAATGTGGTTTCTTTTATGGCATTCAAATATCCATGCTGGCTTGATCAAGTCCAACCCTTGTGCCAAATACCGTTGACTCGTAGGTAAATTCTTTTCGGTAATGATAATAACTTGTAAATGTGTTGAAGCATCTATTGAATTGACCAAATGACCACCGTATCGTTTAACCAATGTTTTCAATTCTTCAATAGTTACGTGCTCGCCTCCATTGTCTTTCTTGTCGCTCAAGATTAAAAACTCAAAACTGGCGAATAAATCCAGTTCAATTTCAACTTGTTTCAAATCCAGCGGTTCATTATACGAAGTCAACTTTATTAATTCCTTCTTTTTGGTGGTGGTGGTCTGCGATTTCAAGTTCAAATCTTGCATATAATCCCGTTTCATTTCAATATACTCTTGCATCGAGATACATTCATCAATTGATTTATCTTCACGTATACGACGACAATGCATATTATGTAAAGTAGTCCCCACAGCAAACGTGGCTTCAGGTCGTACATCAATTGATCGAGCTCGAATTTCCAACACAAGTGAGTATTTAGGATCAATCCAAAAATCGGGTTTTTTGCGACCAAATTTTATCAACTGTTCAGGTGGCATTTGTTGTGCAGTATTGATCCAGTGGCCATGAGTTAATCGTTCAATCTTGTCAAATTCCTCAACTTCAAATCCATTGGCACACATGCAAAAGCTATAATAAGCACCATAATCTTCACTACCATCTTTTTTATTCTTCAACCCCATCATATATGAGTTCTTGACTCCGGGGTTTTTCCCAATAACAACCAAATCCAAATTTTCACCAAATTTTTCCAAATATTCCGGCTTCAATTTAATCCAATTGGGGTTTCGAAACCCATCAATGACATATCTCAGCTGTACGTGTTTCAAAACTAAACCTTCACTTCGACTGGTAACAACTTCACGTATGGCTTTCTCAATATCGGCAACACTTGAGCCTAGCCTTGCATCGTGAACTTCAAATCTATATGGTACTGGTTTAATTATTCGATCCAATAGATTTTTTCGAAAGAATAACGGGTAATTGCTCAAATCGCGGCCATTTAGGTACAAGATATCAAAAATCAAGTAGTAAGGGTAGCTGGTTTGTTGTTCATAATGGTCTATCGTAGTAAATTGTCGTACACTTTCTTGAATCGCCAGCGACTTCAAGGTGCCAAAGGGTAAAATTGCTTGTCGCTTATAGTCAAAAGCCACCATTTCCCCATCAAGAATTATTGAATCAATGTTATTGGCAAATGCGTCTCGAAGGTATTTAGTCAACGACCCAAATTGTAATGACTCGCCATAGAGAAATGAATAATCTTTTAATCGTCTTGAGAAAAATTTAAACCGACCACCTTCCTTATGCAACAACATTCGATCTCCATCCATTTTTTCTTCAATATAAAACTTGTTTTCCAATTGCAATTGCTTAAATTTTGCTTCATATTGCGGTTCCATTGGTTGCTTCTTTTGCAACTTACGAACAACAATATCATAATTTGATGACAACTTCTCTGCCAATTGGGGCTTAAACTTGAACCTTGGGTGGATACCCAAATCTTTCGTTTCAAACCTTTTGTTGGGGTCACTCAATAAATTAAAAGTTGTCTCCAAACTATTACAGATACTGAATAACCTATACCCATCCGGATGCCAACTATTGAAAAAATACTTTTCCATATGAACCAAAATAGGTTTTTTTAGTATAATTTGAATCAACCATCGAATCTCCTCAATTCTCAGGCTGTCAAACAATGGCTGCAAAAGATCCAAGTGTTCTTGTGGTTTCTTAGCCAATGTCAAGTCATCTAATAAGGTATTAATTTGTGGCACGGTACATTCTTTACAACGTTCAATATATGATCGTCGCGTAGCAATTATTCTTGCTGCTTGTAATGGCAAATCTCTAATTTTTCGCTCATCACTTGCAAACCTTTTCGATTTTTGATATTGTCGATTCCAATAATGAAGTAAATTGTATTCCTCAGTGTCTTTGGGGATCTTGTACATTTTGATTATAAGTCTCGCCAATGCCACTTCTTTAATAAAGTAAAGTCTACCAGCCTTTTCCGGGAATATTAGCTTAGCCGATTGAAGAATATCATTACCAATGTGAGTTCGAAAAGTTGCAATGAAATCGTTAATGATTTGTGCCCTGCGCTCAGTTATGGTTGAGGCTTCTTGTAAATTGTGACGGTTGACCGCATCAAGTTTATCAAATAGTTCATTGGTGAGTAGCGTAAAAGTTGGATCTATGTTGTTTGGTGGTGGAGGTTGAGCATTGTCAAGCAAACACAGCATATGAAGAGATCCAATTCTTTGTGTGTGTGTGTGTGTGTGTGTGTCGTTTGGAGATGTGAGGAGCTTTTCAGGTTTAGGGAATAAATAAGGATATAGCGCTACCACTGTTTCAATGGATATGTGTTGCAACTACTACCCCATTCATCCCTCTATAAGATATAGCAATTGCATTGAAAACCAGATGGGCCAAAACATTCAATAGTGATTGCAATAGTTTATTCCTTACCTGTTGTTTCAATCAACCCCTCCACCGCCTCTTTCTTTTGCAGCTTCTTCATATTCAACTGAAAAGGAAACTCAAAGAGGAACTGTCAAGGAAGGTATAAAGAAGCCAATGCTTTCCGGGTTTGACAAACTCCCTACTCTTGGTGACGCTCTGTAATACTACATTTCCAAGAAAATATGATACTTGTGTGCGGTATTGCAATTGCAAAAGGAAAAGTTGCAAAAAAATGATTTTAATGTTATGCGCTCACAAACCGATCCTTCTGTACAAAGTGGCAGGTATAAGAACACACCATTCGGGTATAAAAACAACCAACATTTCAAGCAAACATGATATTCGTGAAGTGGATCCTTCTTTTCATAACTCTGCGACCACAATGCAAACTCAAACATTATTGTTATTACTAAGTGCTTGTTGCTTTGTTTCAGCTGCTTCCAAAAAGAACAAAGGAACCAAAAAAGGTGGTCAATTGAGACACAATGCAACTTCTTCCCACAATGCCAATTTGACTTCAAATTTGACTACTACAGCTACTACTTCTGCTGCAAAGACAACTACTCAAGCTGGTGATGCAGTTAGAGGAATGAATATCGCTGGAGCTGTAGGTGCATTGGCTGTCGGAGCAGCTTTGTTGTGAGGAGATAAGGGTTCAGATTTTTGGGGAGGATTTTGGGAGGCGGAGATATAGTTTATAGGTTTCTATATGACTCTTTTTTATTTGCGTTTCATACAGTTGAAATATACACGATGATATAACTTTTGATATCCCAAAAGCGGATGTGAATGCATCTAGTGTAAACAGATTGTGCTGACATCCAGTTATGAGCCAGCTTCTAGGATGGAGGGGGTGATGTGGATCGTTGGCAGTTTGATTATCATGCATTCTAACACAGCTTGATTCTCATATTATAAACCCTCGAAATAGGATTGCAACAGTGCATGTATATTGGGGCTATTAACCAGGCTTGGGGGTTTAAATTGAGTGGATGATACCAAATACTCAATTTTATTGTGAGACTTTGCATTCTATTTTATTTTTTGCAACCTTCTGTTCACCTCAAAGTTGTGAAGAACCATTGCAGATGAATCAATAACTTAATGCAACCTAAGCCCTTTCGGAGATAGATTTATTTAGTCAGCTGCAAAAACTTGTTATGCTCAAATGGTTCTATATCCGCTCTTCAGAAAGGAAGTTCATTGTTCTTTGGTAATGCGTTTGAATCACTCATTCGACACAGCAAATAAGTGAAGAACTAAATATAAGTTCTTCTAACGTCAAAAAGGTTTAAAACTGGCAGTCGTGGTAGTTAGCAGTAGAGCTGTTCTTGGATTATGAAGCACAATTTTTAAATCCGCTACGGAAAAAGCTTTCTGTCAATATTCAAAAACTTAATCTCCACGCAAACAAAGCAAGGCTGCAAATATAAAAGAACAAGGCGGTTCCAATGGATTGTGTTGCACTCTAACTTCATACCTGCTCTTCCTTATTATAACAACGATTAAAAAAAGACACGCCAGAGAGTCGCCAGAAAGTATCATTGGTCATTGGAGCATCTTCGGGTATAGGATTTGCAACTTCAATTGAACTCGCAAAGAGAGGATACCTTGTTTTTGCTGGAGCAAGAAGGTTGGAGCCAATGGCCAAGCTAAGAGACAATTACGGAGTCAAAATCTTCAAGTTGGATGTAACCAACTCGCTGAGTGTCAAGGATGCTAAAACTTACATCCAAGAGGAAACACTTGGTAACCACTTGGATATTTTATTCAATAACGCAGGTCAAACTTGTCAGGTGCCTACAACTGACGTTACTGATGAACAATTTGCACAATGTTTCAAAGTTAATGTTTTTGGAGCAATACGTGTGGTGAGAGAGTTACGCCTCTTTTAATCAATGCTAAAGGAGTTATCGAATTCACGGGTTCAATTGCTGGAGTCAATCCATTTCCCTTTTCATGCGTGTATACAGCAACAAAAGCCACGATAGAGCTGTATGCTTCAGTCTTGAGAATAGAGATGAAACCATTTAAGGTTAAAGTCATCAACTTTATCACAGGCATGGTTAGGACTAACATTGAGGATACAAGAGGGTTGCCAGAAACATCACTTTCCAATGTACCAGGAATGAAGGAAGCTTTCGAAGAGATCAGATTAGGGGTAACCAAGAACAATCCAACGCCTGCTGACCTGTATGCTAAGCAAGTTGTGGATGATTTCGAAAAAGCAAAATTAGGAGGGTCATTGCATTTGTACCATGCAAAAATGGCCTTCATTTTGGGTTTCATATCCCCACTTCTTCCAAGATGCATACTCGAAGGTATATTAATTCGTAAGCTCAAACTTACTGGTCCTTTTGAATACTTGAAAGAGAAATATACCGATTGAAGCTTTGTGGCTATCCCATTCTCAAAGAAGGAGCACTGCGAATCTTTGAATAGCCTTTATATAGTGAGTTCGCCTGCCTATATGGATGATCCGTTACTCAATGTTCCAGACCTTCCATCGCCTTTGCTTCCTATCTTCATGTCGGCTATATTATTCTTTCTCCTTGCTCCTATTTTTGTAGTCATTATGAGTTATTTCTATTTGACAACTGGAAATACACCTCCTATTTTAATGTGTTTATCGCTCTTCATCATTATTGATGTAACTTATAGATGCCCTTGTACTACTACTGAGAGAAACTCAATCATATGAAAAAGCTTTTGTGTTGCTTTTGGAGAGATCCCCAGAAAAATAAAATTCGAAAAGATTAGTCCCCTTCTTTTGTTGACCAAGCATTAACTCATCTACCAAATGTCATTGAGTGCATCACCGAAAGAAGAGCTTATATCAAGCGACGCAGGTACTGAAAACAATGATGGGGGAAATAACATATCCACCACAAAGAGGAAGAAGAAGACAAAGTCAACCAATTTGTCTGACGAACAAAAGAAGGTAAGTAAAGCTAAAAAAAAAAACCCATGTTCTTATCTATGATACTAACTACTCTTTCTACAGGCACATCATATAGCATCAGAACAAAAACGAAGAGAAAATATACGTGCAGAATTTGATAAACTTGTGTCGCTTACGCCCAACTTGACCGAGCAGGAAAATCGATCAGAGTTGAATATTTTGACAAAGAGTGCTGATTATATTGATCAGTTGAAGGAGGAAAACATTAAATTGATTGAGCTCTGTCGTGCAAAAGGGATCGAGGTCCCTGAGGAGTTGATTTATAAAGGTCCACAAAACGATGGAAGTGATATTGCTACATAGTAGATCTATAGTCGCTGGTAATAAACAATGTCTCATGAGAAAAAGTTGGCTCGAGTGTGCTAATCTTGTTCTTCTTGTCTTACAATGAGACAGTATTTGTATTCTTTACCTTTGACATTGTAAACCTTGCGAACAGGGAAGTACTCAAATTGGAAGTTTGGTACTGTTTCACTTGCTAACAAAGTGACATGCGATCGTTGCCCTTTGAGAAACTTTTGAACCACGGTGATATCCGATGAGAATAGCGATACAAAACTGTAAGACGCATTAGCGATTGAACATACGCTGCTGTATTCAAAGGAGTCAAATCGTGATTCATCACGAGTTGGTTTCGACAAGGTCTCGTCACCATCAACATCCTCATCCTCATAACCACTAGAGACTTCTTTGAAGCTGTATCCACCCCATTCAACATCGGCACTCCTTGGTAAGGCTCGCACTTCAGCAATAATTAAGTTGTTCCACAGTGGCGTCAGCATATACCCCTTTGTATCTGCATAGTGGTTCCAACAATCAACCACTATTGGTACAAATGAACTGTTTGTAACAAAGCAGGTGATCACTGCTGAATTAAGCACATCCACTAACTTCTCTACTCGATGCAAATGTTGAAGCGATAATGCCCCATTGAACGCAATGTTATTCTCTGATATCGTCATAGTGGCCGGTATCAATGGGATCTGACCTGATAAGCTGGCAAGTTTGTATCTTTTTTGCGAATCAATGATGCTCTGTGAGTAAGGACCGATATTTTGTGGCGCCCAAAAAGACCTTGACCGTATATGTGTTCCTGTCTTGGGGTCAATCTTTTTGAGCACAACACATGATATTTGGACTGTGGTGGATACATCAGTTTCTAGACAGATTCTCGATGGTGGTAGATACACATCTTCAAAAAATGTGGCGTAAATTTTATTCATTCTGGCAAACAAAGTCATATCGGATAATAGGACGTTGATGTGTTGTATGTCATTGAATGTAAGCTCATGATCATTTAATATCGATTTCAATCGTTTGAATATACTTTCAGTTTGACGCTCCACGGTTCCCGCATTTGAAGTAATGTTACTGACAAAGAGTTTAGTGGGTGTGTCGACAATACTAAGTGGTGGGATGTATGTGCTATACGCTAAAGATGGACTTGGTGGTGCTACATCTTCATGCAAATGATCCGATTTTGTAGCATCAGCCAATTCATGCTCTAGCAATGGAGGTGGTGGTAGAGAAGCATATTCAGACTCCTGTTTACGAACTAGCTCCACTTTTAATTTCAAATAAAATACGTCTCCGGAATGTGTTATAACCTTTTGATCGACAATCTGGAGCTTTTTACTTTTGAAAAATGGTGCATCGAGTACAATTGTTTCAAATTCCCCACCTTCTCCACAAATATGGACATCGTACATTTGATTGAGTTTTAGCAAATGTGGATACACCTCTTGCAATTTCTTTCCCAAGTGCCTAGCGGTCAATCCGATGGCGGCAACTTTGATAAGTCTTGCATCCAATCCACTCTCACACATTTCCAACATTAAATCATTTTGATTTCTTTGCCAAAGATAAGCCAACGAGGTGAGCCCTAACCTGTCACATACATTTTCAACCCTTGTCCTTTGGTAATGAGAAAGTATTGCTCCACAACTAACACCTTCAATTTCGGGATGGTGATGCTTGATGGTGGATAACAATGTATACAAGTCTTCAATCTCATCATCCTGTGTGAACTGATACTCTAGATTTTGATTTGATGACTTGCCCAAGATTTTCTGTCGATAGAGTGGAACCTCAAGACACTGACTGTAGTATTCAATTATATCATGACCAACTGTTTGAAACATGAATGAATCAATTTCATCATTTGATTCATCTTGAGGATATAAATTACCTAGTGCAGCTAGTTCATGCCCCTGCGATAGACAGTGATAGATGTTGAAGAAGGAATCTTTACCACCTGAGATCAATGCAACAAACTTCATCAAAGTAGATCAAGCATGGGGTGTGCTACTTGATATGTATAGAGATAGAGATGTATGCTACCATTTCTCTAAGGTTTTGTCTGTGTTCCTGTATATAAATAAGCTTTTGAAAATTTTCATTGCACTCTCCCTCACTCAGTGAATGTGAATGGGAATGAATTTTTTTTTTCAAAAATTTTTCACATCTATCTTTTCTATTCCTTTTTACACCAACCACCTAGCAAAGTCATCACTAGTACAATATGCCACGTATGTTACTATTATTCACTATTTAGGAACTACTAATCCAAGGTTATTTTGATAGATTACTTCATTGAACGATTTCATTAGCAAATGTCTCCTCACTTTTGGTATGGGACTACTGCTTCCTGGTCGTTGAGGTTCGGGTCCTCCATTCTTTGATACAAATAATGGGTTCATAACTCAATCATTGAATGCTTACAAACCTTATCTTTATTATGTGTCTGAACTCCCGACACTTCAGACACAGAAGAACATCATGAATGATGCTTTTTTCAAAAGACAACGTTACATGGTGAAATGCTGACAGTTCAGTTTAAACTGCTGAACCTGGGGGCATTCTTCACTGGTTGTCGCTTTGAATTGCGTCAGTGGTGAAAAAGAAGGTTTTGTAAATGCATTCTGTACGATTGTGGAACTTGTTCTTTTTTTAATCATTGTTTTGGAGTAACACCCACCTCTTTTCTTTTGAAATCTCTTTGTCTTTCCACGATGAACATTGAATTCTAACAATTTTATAGGTGCTCCAAGAACTTACTCAAAGACTTATTCCACCCCAGCTAGACCATATGAATCAGCTCGTTTAGACGCTGAATTGAAATTGGCTGGTGAATACGGTTTGAAGAACAAGAGAGAAATCTATAGAATTGGTTTCCAATTGTCCAAGATTAGAAGAGCTGCTCGTAACTTGTTGACCAGAGACGAAAAAGATACCAAGAGATTATTCGAAGGTAATGCTTTGATTAGAAGATTGGTTAGAGTTGGTGTCTTGTCTGAAGACAAGATGAAGTTGGATTATGTCTTGGCTTTGAGAATTGAAGATTTCTTGGAAAGAAGATTGCAAACTCAAGTTTTCAAATTGGGTTTGGCTAGATCAATCCACCACGCTAGAGTTTTGATCACTCAAAGACACATTGCTGTTGGTAAACAAATCGTTAATGTTCCATCATTTGTTGTTAGATTGGACTCTCAAAAACACATTGACTTTGCTCAAACTTCTCCATACGGTGGTGGAAGACCAGGTAGAGTTAAGAGAAGATCTCAAAACAAGAAGAGTGAAGGTGGTGAAGATGCTGAAGAAGAAGAAGAATAAATGGATTCGCACTTATAACTCTACTTTTGATTATTAGCTTCCTTTTTTACATGTAAATTAATAATAATACATATCAATATACATTGATTTTGGATTGCGGGAAGTTGTGTGGTAAAAGGGTGTTATCGCGTACATTGTATGGTGGATTGGTGTGGAATGGTTTGGTTGCAAAAATATGTAATCACGTGAATTTGGACTTGATAGGGCTATAGACTCGTCTGCGATTTTTGTTTGTTTTCGCACTTTATAAAAATTTTGTAGCGCGCACTCTTTCATGATCACTTGGTAGTGCCACATAGAATTTGTCCTTGGTGCACACCGTAACAACCAAAAGAAAGAATACTGAAATTTTTTTTTTTTCATACAGTGTTGAGTAGAACCTAGAAGCATCACCAACTAAATACAAAAATGGGTAAATCGTATGTGATTGATAGTGAAAGATAATCCGTGGAAGAGAACAAAGGGATACTCCATGACAGAGAGGGGAGCAAAAAGGGGCGAAGCGTGTGTTATTGCATGCAGTGGAATTGAATCTACAAAATTGAAATGTAAAGAAAGTTGTCACCAACATGAGTCAAAGATTGCTCCATAAGTTACATCCAGCAACTTCAAAGAATCAAATTCGATTGCCATTTGCTATACAGTTATTGATCGGTTATGTTGAAAAGTCTCGTCAAGGATGTAACCCTGAAATTCACGTAAAGCCATAACACCGTCCTCAATGGAGTTATTATATGCCCACGGATTAGTCGTTTTCGTATTAGAATATCTTACTAACAATCCCTTTTCTAGACACGGTTACAGATCAGGTACTCGTTACGCTTTCCAACGTGACTTCAAAAAACATGGAGCCATCCCATTGTCAACCTACTTAAAGGTTTACAAAGTTGGTGACATTGTTGACATCAAAGCCAATGGTGCTGTTCAAAAGGGTATGCCACACAAATACTACCACGGTAAGACCGGTATTGTTTTCAACGTTACCAAATCTTCTGTAGGTGTCATTATCAACAAGGTTGTTGGAAACAGATACATTGAAAAGAGAGTAAACTTGAGAGTTGAACACGTAAAGCACTCCGCTTGTCGTCAAGAATTCTTGGACAGAGTTAAGTCAAATGCTGCTAAAAAGAGAGAAGCCAAGGCTAAAGGTGAATACGTTAACTTGAAGAGAGATGCTGCTAAACCAAGAGGAGCTACTGTTGTTTCAGCTAAAGAAAACATTCCACAAACATTGGCCCCAGTTCCATACGAAACCTTTATCTAATCACCTTATCAAAGAGAAAATTCACACCTATCTTTTCCTTGTTTGTTTATATTTTATACGATATAAATTAATGCACATATAAAAGTGACGCAATGTGGTGGTTATAACGTAGAGGCAATGTAGATGAGTGTGTACATAGAGACAGCATGTCTTGAGAAAGGTGTCACACAGCTGTGCTGGAGTGGGTCCCGATTGGTGAACTCTATGAACTTTTTTTTTTTTCTTTCTGTCACGATCGTGTCAACTTTTAGAACCCTACTGATTACATTTAACACGATCAAAGACTATGACAGAGAATAGTACCACTAGCAATGCCACGCCGAACGTGTTTGAACATGCGTTACAAACATGGATTGAAATAGACTTGCCTAGCTTACAGAAGAAGCTCGATGAACAAGGGTTAGAAATAAAAGAATACCAAAAGTCGTCAGTTTTGAGTCGAAAAGCGTTGGCCACGAAAACTAAAGAGTTCAAGAAACTAGAGGATGATGAAAAGCTAGGGCAAATCAAATCTCTATTGAAATTGTATCAGAATGAAATTGACAGTCTTACAAATAAGAGTAAAAATGCTGAAAATCACTTTTTTGGGGTTTATCGATTAATTGCGGAAGCTCCCGATCCTCGACCCTTGTTGGAAATGTCACTCGACTCGGTGATAGAGGGCAACGATGCAACCAAACTTAGAGCTGAAGTAACCAGGTTAGAAGATGAGTTGGCGAAAAAGGCTGATTACGATCAATTGAAACAAAGGCTACTTTCAAACGAACAAAAATCAGCGGAGCTTTTAAGCAGTCGAGTCAAGGCTAAAGAAAATGAACTCAGGGCTATTTTGGAAGAGAAGGAGAATAATTGGAGTGTAAAAGAGAAACAATTTGAGAATAAGTTGCTCACGGCACAAAAGCAAATTGAAGAATTAAGGGCTTTTAAAGAGGTGTCAGAACTTCAATTGGACAATCAAAATAGGAACGTCAACAACCAGGAGACTTCGGCATCTGTGTTAGCCGAGCTTGATATGGTTAGAAGAGATGCTGAACTGGCAAAGAAAAGGATATTTGATCTTGAAAAGAGGAATGAAGATTTGAGAAGGGAGATTTCTAAATCAAAGAATGATAATGACGCAGATATGGTGCGTAACGAATGTGACAAGAAGGTAAAAGAAGTTGAAAGTGAAAATGTACTACTTGTTGCTAGTTTGGATCAAGTGAGGAAGCGATTGACTGAATCTTCCAAGGGATACGAGACTAAAATTGAGTCAATAAATAGAGAAAATTCACAAATGAATCAAGAAATCAAGAACTTGAAATTGAAATTGAGCAAAGCTTCCGATTATGAAGAGATCAAACAAGAATTGCACTTGCTTCGTCAAATAGAATTTGGACATGATGATGACGAAGATGGGGATGAAAATGGTCAAGGAGAAGGTGCCAAATTAGACACCATAGTCATTGAGAGAAACAAAGCCATGACTCAAGAACTAGCGCAGTACAGATCACAACACAATGACTTGGTTACCAAGATTGATAATCTTCAAAAGCAAGTTGATGCTTCAGCACAAACAATAACTTCATTACAACAGTTGAATGAGAAATTGGAAAATGATTTAGTTGAATTACAGGACTCGAATGGTCAAAACAGATTCAACGACAATGCTAGTTTGATATCTGGTATGAGTCGCTTCACGCGACCATCGCATATGAGAAGTGGAAGTATAATTTCAGGAATGTCTGGAGACAAGGGTGTTAATGGATCTGATGAATCATCCATCTTACCAATCATTACAAAACAAAGGGACAGATTTAGAGAAAAGAACAACGAACTTGAAGAAGAGCTTCGGAAACTGCAAAATAAAGTCAATGATCTCAAGCGACAAGTGAATGCTTTGAAACATGATAACGAAGAATTGTATGAAAGAGGAAGGTACTTGGCTTCGTTCCAAACGCCGGGTACGAAAAACATCACTACTACAGCATCAGGAAGAAAATTTCTCAACCCCAAACCCAATGTTGATTTAGAACGTAATGATGTGGAGTATCAACGCAACTATGAAAAAAAATTACATCCAATTGAGCAATTCAGAATAAAAGAGCAGGAGAGAATCAATTCAAAATTGTCGCCTTTAGAAAGGCTATTCATATCGTTAACCAGAGCAATTTTGGCCACGAGATTAACCAGGATGGTGTTTTTTGCCTATTGTTTGGGACTTCATATCATTGTCATGTTTATTACGATTTATGCCATGAACATCCATACGTCATTGATACCTGAGGTGGGGTTGAATAGTAGTACTGGTGGGATTACTTCAAATCAGGGTGGATCTCCTCAAATGGTTGCCAATAATGGGCTCATATAGGAAGCATATTTGCGTGCGTTTGTACTGATGAATTGCATCTGAGTTGCAAAGAGTTGTAGATCGGAGTTTATTGGCAGACGTTGTTACACCCTAGCTGAATGCTACCAATTGTAGTATAGTCTCTCATATAGAAGGTGAAGAGGATATTACGCGTGAGGAGTTGAAGGCGTGGTAAGGGGACACGTTAGAAGTGAAGGCAACTGTGCGGTTTAGAATACTACATAAGTATCCAATCAGCACATTTTGCATAGTTGTTCAATTAGTTTGAATAGAGGCTTATTTTATCCAATAAATCGGAGTAAAGCCCTTACACGCCAAGAATTTGCTTGATTGCAAATTACAAACTTCTTCAAAGAACCCGAAGCTTTAGCCAAAACTGACTTAGCAACCTCCCTGAGCAATATTCTTTGCACACTTAGGCTTGGAAAAATCGTAACGAGTTGCAATTGGTATGAATGGGTGTGTTTATGACATATGTGGCACAAAAACGACGCCAATGGGACTTCGAAACGGACCTTTATTTTGTTTTCTGTGCGATTCATGTTTTCAAGTAATTTCAACCGATAGTTACTGTTCAGCCGCTTCTTATCTACAACATCCGAAAATGTTCCTACTCCATACAAAAATGTGGCGTGTTAATAACGTTGCGGTAGTTATTGTAGATATATTTCAAGTTTTAGAGCTGTATAAAATTATCGGACAATTGAGGATGAATTGTAAAGGTGCTTATATATGAGCGAGAAGGTTTTGACACTGCTGATTGTAACCATGTTATCAGTGAAGTTGTAGTCAATATTCTCGATAACACTGGTTGCATCCATTTCCAGCATGTTTAAGAAGTAAATAAAATAACGGGAACGGTAATTTTTCTCCGAAAAATTCATCCGATATTACACATCCTATTTTTGCATATTAGAATTAAAACCTTTTGAAACACTACATGCTTGTCCGTCCGCTTCCGTTATTCAACTCCGTATGTACGGCGGGTACTTAATGATCTTGCCTGAGACATGGTACTTTGGCTGCGATGGCTCACAGAGCTTTTCATCGCATTTACAACTAAAAAGCTGAGAAGAGCTAATGTACTTTGTGCTTGCTTTTTCTATTACTTACTAATCATAGATAGGACCGCCGTTGCCCGTTGGAAAGAAGAGGGTTTTATAGAAATCATATATCTACTGTGCCTATCTTTTATACTCTAACAGACTTTAAATGTCTTCGTATTTCTGCCCCTTTTCTGCCATCACCTTTTGCCCATTCGATTCAATTAAAAGAAAAAGATGTCATTCCCTCAACCTAAACTCACTTACAAAGCATGGGCTTACAAGAATGGTAACAGTCCAATTGAGATTGTTGAAGAATCAATTGATTTAGTAAAAAACTCCCAAGGTCAAGGTTACACTGCTCCTCCAGGTAAGATTTTACTTAAGATCTACTATGCTTCATTGAACCCAGGCGAGTACAAATTATACAAGGTCAAACCGTCCTTTATCGGATGGTTTAACCCTAAACAAGGGTTCGGCCGTGATTTTGCTGGTGAAGTCGTTTCGATTGGTGAAGGAACGCAAACTAATTTGAAAATTGGTGATTATGCTGAAGGTATTTACACTCCAATGTTCGCTCGAGGATCAGCAGCAGAGTTTTTATTGTTGGACCCCAAGACATCACCAATTACTAATAAGCCAGCAAACATTGATCTTGCCCAAGCTTCTGCATTCCCATTGGTTTTGGGAACAGCTTTGCAATTGAGTACAAGAGGTGGCATCAAACTCCCCAACAGTAAAGTCTTGGTGATTGGCGCCGGTACCTCTGTTGGTAGGTATGTGGTTCAGTTGGCTAGAAACGGTGGTGCAAAAGAAGTTGTCACCACCAATTCATCTAGAACATCTGAATTGATTCGTAGTTTGGGTGCAACTTCGGAAATTGACTACCATAAAAACCCCAATTTATTAACTCCAGTATTGGAAAGTGTCAAATCCACTGGTCAATTTGATTATATTATTGATTGTTGGGGTGGCGATGACTTGTTTCCTGAAATCAGCACCATCATAAGAAAAGGCGGTGTATACAACACCATTGTTGGTGATGCTCCAGGTGCCGGATTAGCTGCATTGATTGGTGGCGTCAAGTCAATCACCAGAACCATTAGATCGAAATTGGGCTTGTTGGGATACACTTATGAGTTAATGTTGTTGGACAACAACGCTGGATGGATCGATGAAGCTAGAGATTTGATTGCCAATGGTGAATTGAAGGTTTTCATTGATTCAGTTTACCCGTTCCAAGAATTGAATGAAGCTATTGAGAAATTGGAAAGTGGTAGAGCTCAAGGTAAAATTGTTTTGGAAGTTTCAAAGCCTGACACTACCAGTTCAACAAGTGGATCTACAAGTGCAACAAACACCAATCCATTTAAATAAGACAAGCGCAATACTTTTGAAGAGGAAACACTGTAGAGACAAGAGCTCTCTTAATCGTACGCATTCCCTCATATATTCATGTAATCCTAAATATCAAAAACTAAAGACTTTTAATTGCCCAATATATGTTCGTTTTTAAAATGTGCTGAAAGCTCCCTTTCCTTTACTCTGCTCAAATTATCGTAAATCATTTGTGTATCCCATCGTTTGGTTATATTCGTTTCCAAGCATCCAACAATGGTATCGTAAATTTTTGTAAATTCTGGAAATTTGTCGCTCAGTTTGTACAATTTCCAATCATCACGTAGCTTGCTTAATTCTTCTTGTCTTTTTAGGTCAACCATTGATGGCGATTGCATCATCAATGCAGCTGGTATGCTCTCTTCTTCCAGTTCCTCTTTTCCTCCTCCCTTTTCTTCATCGATTCTATCAAGAGACTCTCCTGAACTCTTGCCACTCAGGGATTCACCAGCGGAATTACTCTTACTATTTTCTTCTTTCAATACCCACTCTATCAAACACGCTTTTCTTAGTTCGGCTTTGTTGTACTTGCCGGCAGTTATCATCGCTCGTAACCTTGGCTCATATTGATGCTGAAACGGCAACTTACCCACACACATGGCATACATCAACACACCTAGAGCCCATACATCAGCCAGCGGACCCAATGGTGGTGGACTAGGTTGTAACAACTCAGGAGATGCATATGGCAACGATCCAATGTGTGAATGAGGTAAATCAGAGTCAACACCACCATTAACACCATTATTGGTTGTACCGTTTCCATTGTTAGAAGATAGCCATTTCTTACTAAATTCAAAATAATCATTGGTACTTGTATTTCGCGCTGAATGATTTAGTTTATGATCAGATGTCGTTGGTGATATCCCTTCTGATGAAACGGGGGTCAAATGAACCGATTGTATAGAAGGACCATGAGTCTTGAAAAAATTTGACACGCCAATTTGCGAGTCATCATTAATCAAATGATCCAAAGTTTTGGCATTAGCTCCGTCACCACCTCCAGGGTATGGTTTCCTATTTTCAGTGTTTGATGATTTGCTTCTGATCATTAACGTATCAGTATCATCATAATCATCTTTGGGGGATAATAGTTGTGGAGACGATGTTGGTGGTGGCGGTGATCTTCTTCTGCTGGTCATTTTGAAAGGACGCTTCATCGAATTCTTTCTGCTAATCCGCATACTGTAAATCCTTGCCATACCGAAATCACATAAAATCATTTTACAATGGTCATCTGTATCCCTTCTCACCAATACATTTTCCAACTTTATGTCTCCATGAACGATTCCCTTTTCTTCATGCATATACAACAATGCAGTAACGATCTGTTTCGAGTAATCGATAATTTCATTCAATCTTTTCCTTTGCTTTTCAATTTGGAAATTAACTGGACCTGATTGAGAATGCAACCCACTATTAAACTGACCCCACATTGTAACTACATCAAATAATGTACCACCCTCAATTCTATCCATCAAACAAAAGATTGTATCTTCTGTCTCAAAATGGTCAATCAATGGAAGTATATTTTCATGATTCAATTGTTTCCAAATGGAAATTTCTTTTTTGAAAACTTCCAATACTTTTGGATTAGTTGCTACAGAAGACATTTCAACGCGAGAATTTCTCCTACTACCAGGACAACTGAAATCAAAATCTCGTGTTGATTTGACAATCTTCATTGCTCTGATGTTACCCTTTTTATCAACACATTCGCGTATGGTACCCCACGCTCCATATCCAATACATTTGCCCAACTCATGATCCATGACAATTGCACCTCGCTCATCAACATTATACTTTTGATTCATTTCTTGCATCTTTTTGATATCAGTGGTTGATGTTCTCGCAAGAAGTCTTCCAGCCAACGTATTTACACTACCAACACGTTGCTTTCTGGTAAAGCTATTATCATTCGACCCAAACCCTCCATCACTTTTAGGGGTCTTACCAGAAGACCCTAGAGATCCAAATGGGCCACCTCCGTTCAAGTAATTCTTGGCAAACAATGAAAATTGTGAATAATCAACGCTATCGGAAAAGTTGCGCACAACTTTTTTACGTTGTGAATATGGTAAATCATTGAAATTTGGTGGTAAACTGTTTAAAATCGTTTCAAAATCAACATCGCCACCACTACCAGGTTGCGAATCCAGAGCAGCTGATGCTGGTTTTTGCTTCTTTGATTTTCTCATCTGTAACCCGGTCCCAGAAGTTTCCCTTTTAGGACTATGACTAGGGGTTTCCACTTGTTCTGCAAGTTGTTTAAGCTTCAACACCTCTGTATCTTTTGAGCCTGTGGATTGTCCTTCAGGGCGCTTCATCTTCATATAATCATGCAACTTTGAATATGAAAGTTTGGACGGTATTTGACTATTGTGTCGTATTGGTTGGGGAGCAACTTGTGCATGTAAAAGATTCAAGTCCAAGTACGACGCATTATGACTTCGTGGGGTATTTGATTGTGTTGTGTAGGCACTCATGGTACTGTTGGTGGTACGAGTTCTGGTCAAGTCCAAATCAGAAGTGTTGTTCCATCGGTAAACCATTTCAGAAAAATCCAAGCCTGGGATATATTCATCTTCCAAACCTCGAGTGTAACTCATAGCATCTACAGTACTGTCATGTGAGCGTGCATGCAATTTGTTGCCACCACCACCACCATTACTACTATCATCATTTCCGTCATCTTCTCCTTGAAACTCTGTTGAGCCTTGTTTGATAAGTTGAGGTCGTATTGTTCCATCTCGATAGATACGTTGTCCAGTTTCCAGATCAAAATTATTCTTTTCAGTTTCAGAAAACCCTCGTGACCTCCTATACTCACTTTTACGGAAACCAGTAGTTGGCGTAGCTGCTGCAATTTCTTGCTTACCAAATGGGCCTGCAACACTTGCATGACGAGCCTTCAGAAACTCCAAGCCAGATTTATGCGCATGACGTTGGTGTGGATGAGGTTGTTGTTGTTGTTGCTGTTGTTGCTGTTGTTGGTGGTGGTGGTGGTGATGGTAGTGGTCGTCTTCGTGTTGTTGTGGCTGCAGCCCTTCGAGGGCTACCTGTGAGGGGTCTCGGTGATTTCCAGATTGATCACTGGTGTTGTTATTGTTGTTGTCAATTTGAAACTTAGACTCATCGAGTAAATTTACCGTTGAAACTTTTGGCTGGGACTTTAACGGGATTTCCATTAATACAGATGATGTAGTATGTAAAGGGAAACGTTAAAAAGAAATGGTAAATTAGATCAGTAGTAATGTTGGGAGGTTAGTTTTTTTTTTTTTTAGTTGGTGAAGTTGAAGTGGTTTCAAAGTTGATTGTGGATAGTAATATAATAAATGTAATGACGCAACCTTTTTCGCGGGTTGTAGTACAATCTGATGATTAATTCGATGATGGGTTTGAATACTTATTTTCTTGTTGCAAGTGTGTAGAAAATATATGATGATGATGACGATAGTTTTTGATGACTGGAGGACTCAATTGCACACACAAACACACATAGACACAAGAAAAAAAAAAAATTATATACAAAAGCACATTGTTAATGAGGAGTTTTTAGCTTTATATCAGTGTCGTGTCATAAAGTCGAATTTGCGACATTAATCCCCATTTTTTCTCCGCAATCTATATCATATCATCATTACACTACAGAATAGTATTGTTTTCAACAATGATACGGCTGATACTTCAATTTAGTAATATAAGCATATATATCTAAATACTTACCCTCTATTGTTCCTCTTACTGCTTCGACATAATCAATGCATTCAAAAATGGATCATTCAACAATTCACTAGCATGAGGTCTCCTTGAATAATGTAATTCAAATGTCTTTTCCAAAAATGCTCTTGCTTCATCAGTACACCACTCAGGTATTGTTGGTGGTATATGATTACCAATCTTAAATAATGCTTGCATTTGACTCAATTCAGGATATGGATGTTTACCTGTGAACATTTCAACAATTAAACTACCAACTGACCAGATATCCGCTTTTTTAGTATACGTGGTTTGTTTAACAACTTCTGGTGCCATCCAAAACACTGAACCTTGTAATGATGCTCTTTTACCTGTTTTTTTCAAATTTTCATCTTCTTCATCAATAGTACTAACTTTTTTCGATATTCCAAAGTCACCAATTTTAACAGTACCTTTTATATCAATCAAAATGTTTGCTCCTTTGATATCACGATGAATAATGTCTTCTCCATGGAGATAGTTTAACCCAATCAATACTTGTCTTATGAAATTACGAATCAATGGTTCTTCAAATGGTCCATATGAATTCAACATTGTTTGTACTGAGCCACCAGGCACATATTCAAGAAAGATATTGAGGTAATTCTCATCACTCGAACTACCAAAGTATCGAACTATATTCTCATGATTTAAATCCTTTAGTAACATCATTTCTCTCTCCTGATCGGCAATCCGTTGCAGAATGGGTGTTGGAGTAGATGTATCCTTTTGTGGTAATGGGGGAGGTGCTGGGTATTCTGAATTTTGTTGTTGCTGCTGCAGTGGTTGTTGTTGCTGTTGCTGTTGCTGTTGCTGTTGCTGCTGTTGCTGTTGCTGTTGCTGTTGCTGCTGTTGCTGTTGCTGCTGTTGCTGTTGCTGTTGCTGTTGCTGTTGCTGTTGCTGTTGCTGTTGCTGTTGCTGTTGCTGTTGCTGTTGCTGTTGCTGTTGCTGTTGCTGTTGCTGTTGATGCTGCTGCTGCTGCTGCAGTTGAAAAGTAGCTGAAACAGGAGTAGTTGCTCTCGATGGAGTGTCTTTACCATTGCTTTTCTGGGCACTCTTATTGTCATGATGATGATGATGGTGATCGCTTTTATGATGATGAGATTTTTCTTTACCTTCCACAATGTTGACTTTTTGCGACAGTTTATTTTGCTGGTTTTCCATCAACTTGAGCTTATTGGTATGCAATGGTATTTGTTTAACTGCCATTAATTCACCAGTGAATGGATTCATACCAAGATAAACAGTACCAAAACTACCTGATCCAATCTTGGCTCCTTTTAACCAATTCTCGGGAACACCATGCTCAAATCCATTTGTGTCCAACTCTTCAATAATATCATCATCCATTTCGTCCACTTCATCATCGGAAATATTAGCATCCAAGAGTTGTATAGTGGAATGTCGACGGTTTTCACCACCATTCCCTGCTTGACTACCTTCAAGATCGGATTCGGGAAGACAATACGATATCCGATGCAATGCACTACCACTAGCATTACTAATCACAGATCGAGCATCCTGGTTGTGCGAGGTTACTCGTGAAATTTGTGAATTCATTGGAGGTGAAGTGGAGGAGACATGGGCACCCAATCCAGACATTTGGTGCTGGTTTTGAAAATGATTTGCAGGTTTGTTAAACATACTAGATGTATCATTAGTGACAACTGCTTCATCAATTGCAGATATGTTATTCACCATAATATCACCAACGGTTCGATGAGGAAGATGATCTCTTCTTAGCCCACCAAAACCAGGACCAACATGACCAAATCCAAATTGATCACCTGAAGATATACTCATTGTTCGGTGTGACATAAAGCCAGTAGAGTTACTCATCATTGATGCTCTTGGATTCAATGCCACTGAACTGGAGGAGAATGTACCCATTGGTAAATTGAGCCGTTTACTTAACCTCACACTGTGTCGAACTGAATTTCTCACGGTCTTTTCCAAATCCTTTTGTTTTGTGTCGGGGAAATACTCTGCCAAATTTGATGAAATTAACTCACTAGGCGGTCTTTGTCCAAAAAAGTTTCTCATATTGGGTCTTGTATTAACAAGATCTGTTGATGAAGATGACAACGCCGCATTTCCTTGTCCCAGTGATATTTGTCGTTCACTGGTTCCTTCATATTTTTGCATAATTAAATTCGAAGTTTCAATAGCTGCTTTTGTTGGCGTTTCTCCCTTGGGAACCAATATGATCCTATGCTTTTCCATTCGATCCGGAGAGTAACAAATTGTCACCAACTCAACATCATACAAAAGAACAACTGAGGAGTTGGTGCCGTGCACACCTTTGTTTCTTAAATCGTTAAATGGCGAATGAATATAAGTGTCAAACTGATTAGTGTGTGATTTGAAGCCCAATTTTTTGGCAATCTTTCGTTTGATGGCCTGTGCATTGAAGCATCCAGTTATGTTGACTCGCTTAACACTTCCATCTTGTAATATGAAAGTGATTGTCTTTTTGGAATCCTTGTTGGGTGTACTTGGTTGTTGTTGTTGTTGTAGTTGTAGTTGTTGTTGTTGTTGTTGTTGTAGTTGCACTTGCAGTCGCAGCAGTGAAAGTTGATTATTCAAGTTACTCAAATTATGACTATTTAGCTGTGGTAAGGTTGCCTCACTATTGGATCCTGTTAAGTTAACGGAACTCACATTGTAGATGTCGTTTCCTGTAGTTGGCGTCGTGGCAACCAATTCCAAGTTTAATCGTTTATACAACTCACCAATATCGATGTAGTTTTTCAAATTATCAGCCTTCAATGCATTTATAGCGATCTCTAATCGTAATCGGTCTCCTAATTTGCCCACACCAATTTCTTTCAAACAATATGAATCCAACTCAGGTAATAGATCAACTGTGATACCATTGTCGATAAATTTTTGTAACAAATGTTGGCAATTAGATTTGGCTAGCCAGGCTTTCAATTCCCTAATTTCATTCTTATCAATGGTGTGAACTTGGTCATCCGTGTCCTTGATAGGTGTGCTCATTATAATAGAACAAAGTTTCTTTCAGTTAATGATACTTGTTGCTAAGACCTGATACTTGGCAGTATCTCCAATCCATGGTTTTCCAGACAAGTTTGGGTGAGATTCTTTAGAACTGTGTGACGCGATGTAAAAAATTATACACAAGCTGTATGTTGTGTCGCAAAAAAAAAAAAGGAAGGGAAATCACCACAATCTTTTCGTTTCGGTTGTGTTAATCTTTGTTTCAACAATGAATGTAACTAAGCGTATTTTGTGTAATCCCTATACGCCTCTTTTGCAATCTAGATCTACAAGACAAAGATATCGGATGTCTTAGACGACAATACTAGCTCAGTCGGCTCGATCGCCAAAATGAAGATTGGTTTTCTAAAACTGCACTTAAAATGCATACTATACACTCTCTAACTCTAAAGCCAATTTCCAATAACACCTTCCGAGACCAAAATCTGCTCATCAATTCTAACTTCTGGTTCGTTTTCAGCTCTCTTCCATGATTTGATTTCACCTTTTGCCGTATTAAACACATATGTTCTCGTCCTTCTTTGGTACCCTTTACATCCATATCCACCCAATCCAACACCTCCGGCATAACATAACCAAATCTGATTCTCTTCGGTTGGTGATTGACGTTTATCCAAAAGGCAATAATCGTTACAATGATCATGTCCAATACTTATGGCTTTCACACCAATTTCTTGAAAAGCATCACGTGCACCAGAATTGTATTTTGGTGATCCGCTATCTTCTCTAGGTGTACCAACTAACGTCTCCGTAGTGTTTTTGAACTCAGGTAATGGAATATGGAAGAAGGCCATTGACAAGTGGGTCTTGTTCTTAATTTTTCCATTTTGTTTGACTTTCTCCTTTTCAAACTCAGCTACTCCATCCTTGATTGACTCTGCTTGTTCCTTCATATACTTTAACTGGTTTTCTTTGATCCAATCATATCCAGGGTACTCTTTCTTGTTCTGACTGTAGTCATGTGAATCAACAAAATAGAATGCCAACGCTACTGATGAGTTTGATTTACCCTGTACTGTTGTGACATAATTTCCGTACCCATCAATTGTTTCAGGTCCAACAACACCAACACTATAGGGAAGATCAGCAAACAATTGCATCAACTCTTTGGCTGCCAATGAACCCTCAGCATCATGGTTCCCCAATACTGCAGCAAAAGGTATTTTACGTTCAATAAAAGGGCTATATGCTTTCAAAGCTGCAGTTGCCGAGTCTGGTGCAGTCAAGCCAAAGATTTGATCACCAGATAACACAACCAAATCAGGTTGCTCGATGTCAAGGACTTTACCAATAAACTCTAGAGTTCTTGGATCAGCCCGACATCCAATAGTAGAAGATGGGGGTTCAGCATTGAAACACACTCCAATACCAGTCGAGAAATGTAAATCGGCAACTTGGAGAATCTTGAACTCGTCTTTATCATTCATTACCAAGGGTTTGTTGTAATGTCTCTTGTAGTCAACTTTGGGTCCTTTACGAAATGTTATAAAGGCCGAGTATCCCACGATACCACAAACATCCTTGATTGAAGACTCCACAAAATTCCAATCTGGCCTAGGATCAACAGCATCCTGACCAAATAAAACGTCAACAGCAGTGACGACATTCTTGTCATTGTGAGGACCATACTTCAACCAAACATTATTCGATCTATACTCCCATTCTTTTTTGTTTAATTCCTGTTCAGTTGAGATATCGAACTCAGGCTCAGGATCCTGTACCGAAATATCAATAACCACTTCGTCTGTCAAATGAGTCTCATCAAGGACTTTTCGATAATCAGTACGGCTAATTTTCTTTACCCACAATACTTCCTTTCTAAACCACGATAATCCAAGACACAAGTCTTTATCCACCCTAATCCAATCAGCTCCATACGCCGTCAAATCACCAAATTTACCATCTCCACTCTTGGGTTTCCCACAATCAGGGTTTCTATAATTGTAAGCTGTGCAACCATTTATTGATACGTCTAAGATAAACATATCTTCTGAGTTTGTTGGGATGGGCGCTTGAGCAGAAGAAAACCCAAGCATTTCATATAGTTCGGAAGCATAATGACGATTAGCTAGGAATAGCAGGATTGATATAAAATTGAGCAAGAAACCAAAAAGAATCACCCTGTTGGGGGTTATTTTGAAGGACTTTGGAGTCATTATTGTTGTCCCGATTCTGTTGTTGTGTCTGTCCTTGAAGGTGAGAAGCGGTGTGTCAAATTTGAGGGATCAACGTGGGTTGCTATTTTTATAAACAATTCCGCGATAAGGAAATTTGCGACAATCGGAATTAAAGGATTGGGTGATACTGCATAGTAGCGAACTTCCAGCCACATTTTTGAATCAGGACAAGTCAAAAATCTTTATGAAGGTTAATAGTAGACACAGTTGCGGTTACTTCAACTAAAAAGATACTGACTAGCTTCCCCTGAGGTTTCAGATCAGTCCGATGAACATTTCATTGCGTAAGTGTCATAGTGGCGCACTCAAGAATCAGAGTTTCGCGGGGCAGATCAAGGAGAAATACCGAGTTAGCCTAGCCTCTTTGAAGGAGGACCCATCAACCTAGAAAACTTGCAACTCCTAAAATCACACCTTCTTCTAGAATAATCAAACACGCGTGAATTTTTATTAGCTAAACCTATATAATATTAGATCCCTTTCATTCATTCTTCTTTGCACGAGCCTCCTCTAACTCGGCTTCTCTCTTCTTCGCTTCTGGTTCAACATCAGGGAACGAAGCAGCATCAAATTGCTGTTTCTGCTTACCAGGATCCAACACAGCTTGATCAAATGCCTTTGCATCCTCCTTTTGTTGAGCTTCCTTTTCAACTTTAGGAAATTGACCCGGTTGAGGATGTACCACTGCATGTGGTTTGGTCAATTTGGACAATGGAACCTCTTTGCCACCGATATTAACAAAAACTTCATCTTGTGATTTGCCTTCCAATATATCTTTGCTGTCTTTATTTTCGTTGTTGGACATTATTGATTCTGAATGTGTTGGCTGTGATTGAAATGAATTGGCGAAAGCGTATTTGTAAACTAGATATAGTGATATGAATAATATGAGGTTGCGTAACAATCGATTCATTAATATATCAAAGAGAAACTGAGTTCAGTGGGTGGTGTAATTTGGTGGTGTTTTTTATATCATTCTGTGTCATGTTTTTCAAGAAAAAAGGAGAGTAGAAGGTGACAGCAACCAAAGTGTTTTGGGTTTGTAGCCAATGCGCGCCTAAATCCATATAACCACAGGTATCAACTGGTCCTTGCTCTCTCAAGAGTGGTCCACTTATACTAGTAGTGGCTGATTCTACGCTTTGTAAATTTGAAACTGACGCTTCGCAAGTGTCTCTAAAAATTATGACGTATGTTACACCCTAGTTCGACGCTACCATTTATTATTTAACCTGACGTGTGGGATGGTTAATTAAGTACACTTGCGATACTAGCAGTGACTCTGTATCTCGTGATACTTCTATCGAGTCTATGACAAACCAAAACGTAAAGGCACTTGTCGCAGATAAGAAGAGTTAGTTATATAAAGTATATATCACGTAGAATTGAATTGGTGGATTGCTTGTATCAAGGGATAAAGCACTTGTGTAGTGAGCGTTGTGTAAAACACGATAACAAAAATAAGCACCGAAATAAAATATCACCAAAATTGGTAGCGAGTGAACTGACCATAAACGTCTCGTATGGAAGGTAAAGAGGATACTACGCTTGAGGAGTTGAAGGTGTCGTAAGGGGACGCGTTAGAAGTGAAGGCAACTGTGCGGTTTAGAATACCACATAAGTATCCAAATTAGCACATTTTATATAGTCGTTTAGTTGGTTTGAATTTAAGTTTCATTTATCATACAAAGCACTAAAGCAAAGCGCTATAATACACAAATGATTTACGATAATTTGAGCAGAGTAAAGGAAAGGGAGCTTTCAGCACATTTTAAAAACGAACATATATTGGGCAATTAAAAGTCTTTAGTTTTTGATATTTAGGATTACATGAATATATGAGGGAATGCGTACGATTAAGAGAGCTCTTGTCTCTACAGTGTTTCCTCTTCAAAAGTATTGCGCTTGTCTTATTTAAATGGATTGGTGTTTGTTGCACTTGTAGATCCACTTGTTGAACTGGTAGTGTCAGGCTTTGAAACTTCCAAAACAATTTTACCTTGAGCTCTACCACTTTCCAATTTCTCAATAGCTTCATTCAATTCTTGGAACGGGTAAACTGAATCAATGAAAACCTTCAATTCACCATTGGCAATCAAATCTCTAGCTTCATCGATCCATCCAGCGTTGTTGTCCAACAACATTAACTCATAAGTGTATCCCAACAAGCCCAATTTCGATCTAATGGTTCTGGTGATTGACTTGACGCCACCAATCAATGCAGCTAATCCGGCACCTGGAGCATCACCAACAATGGTGTTGTATACACCGCCTTTTCTTATGATGGTGCTGATTTCAGGAAACAAGTCATCGCCACCCCAACAATCAATAATATAATCAAATTGACCAGTGGATTTGACACTTTCCAATACTGGAGTTAATAAATTGGGGTTTTTATGGTAGTCAATTTCCGAAGTTGCACCCAAACTACGAATCAATTCGGATGTTCTAGATGAATTGGTGGTGACAACTTCTTTTGCACCACCGTTTCTAGCCAACTGAACCACATACCTACCAACAGAGGTACCGGCGCCAATCACCAAGACTTTACTGTTGGGGAGTTTGATGCCACCTCTTGTACTCAATTGCAAAGCTGTTCCCAAAACCAATGGGAATGCAGAAGCTTGGGCAAGATCAATGTTTGCTGGCTTATTAGTAATTGGTGATGTCTTGGGGTCCAACAATAAAAACTCTGCTGCTGATCCTCGAGCAAACATTGGAGTGTAAATACCTTCAGCATAATCACCAATTTTCAAATTGGTTTGCGTTCCTTCACCAATCGAAACGACTTCACCAGCAAAATCACGGCCGAACCCTTGTTTAGGGTTAAACCATCCGATAAAGGACGGTTTGACCTTGTATAATTTGTAATCAACTGGATTTAACGAAGCGTAGTTAACTTTGATCAAAATCTTACCTGGAGGAGCAATGTAACCTTGACCTTGGGAGTTTTTTACTAAATCAATTGATTCTTCAACAATCTCAATTGGACTGTTACCGTTTTTATAAGCATATGCTTTGTAAGTGAGTTTAGGTTGAGGAAATGACATTTTCTTTTCTTTACTTTAACCGAAGATAATGGTGGTGGCAAAAAACAAATGGAAAAAAAGGGATCGGGACATGAACTATTTTAAGGTTTTCTAAGTTTCATGATTAGAAAGATGTGCGGAATTGCGGATCAAAAATTCTAAAGTTGCCGTCTCCCTTTATATTCTATTTGTTTTTTCAAATCGCCACAGTTTTAGTTAAAGTAGAGACACAATTGGCTTGTGTCAATAAGAGACAGCTGACTGGTGGTAATAGTTTGCAACACCTGAGCATGCCAATTGCTCTGAACGAGGAGCACTAGATCCTATTCCATTGGTATCACTTTTGTGTGACATATGTCAATAAGACACCCTTTGATAGCAAGTGTACCCGAACACGATTTTTTCGAGCTAAAGCGAGTATCTAGCACGGTTTATGGGGACTGTGTGACCAGATTTGTTCAAAGCTTTGGTTTCTTTGAAAAAGTTTAGTATTTGGAATAGAGTGGATTCTTGGTGCAAGATCCATCTATTTCAAATTTTACTTCAAATAGATGCAAAATCTTAAAGCTTAAAAAATGGGTTTGAAATTCACTCGCATTGTAAAGTGTTGTTCTTGCATAAGCCTCTTTTCTCTGAAAACTTTCCAGAACTGACAGCTCTCGAGTCAACCAATGCTCGTAAGGTTGATTGTCTCTGTATTATCTTTGGTATTGCATCAAATATATATACATTTTAATAGAGAGGGAGAATGGTAGCTTTTATTCAATGTCTTATTATTCAATGTCATAAATTTTGCAATTTAGACATTTACCTAATTGGGCTAAATTTTTGTTTTTCGTTTTTGTCATTACGAAAATGTAGAATCATAGCCCATACTAGTACCTTTATTCATTTGATACATTCCTTGTCATTGTCAATAGTGGTTTATCCAACGCTGTAGCTCAAAATGACCCAAGAAGAAATCAAGATGTCACTACCAGATGGTTATTCATTTCGAAAATTGAAGTCAACTGATTATTCTAACAATTATATTGAGACATTGAAAGTGCTAACAACAGTGGGGGAAATCAATCAAGAACAATTTGACAACTTGTTTGCCACTTGGTCTAAAAATCCAGAAATTTATCAACCACATGTCATTGTCAATTCAACAGGAACAATTGTCGCTACGGGGATGCTACTTGTAGAATCAAAACTTATACACGAATGTGGTAAAGTGGGTCATATTGAGGACATATCTGTTGCCACTAGTGAACAAGGAAAGAAGCTAGGTAACTATCTTGTTAGATCATTGAGTTTACTAGCTCAAAAGAATGGTTGTTATAAAGTCATCTTGGATTGTTCGCCTCATAATGTGGGCTTTTATGAAAAATGTGGATACAAGAATGATGGAATAGAAATGGTACAGCGGTTTTAACGAGCTTAAAGTGGGAGGTCACTACTATTACAATAGTCGTACACACACAGAAGTTACACTTCACACATATATTATACAATTGCAGACTATATCTTGTCTAATGCCTAAAACATATTGCTGTTAGTATGAAGACTGGGCACAACTTAGTTTAGATTCATATACATACTTCCAATGAAACAATCGAGTTACCTCTAATGACCTTGAACGAATGTTAGTAAGTTGAGATTACCTCTCTGCTGATGGAGATACATACCGTTATACCTATGTTCAATTTCTCTCCGTCTATCCTCTCTTCCAAAGCATCTGAAATTGTCACATTCAAAAATATCTAATTAACGTAGTTAGTATAGTTCTTCATAGACTCATTTTAATAACACATACGTCATAGCCTCGTAATATACCAATGACCTTTCTTGATCCATTTAGCTGAACTGAAACTTTCTTATCCAAGTACTAAAAATAGAGTGAATACGGTTAGTAATTGTTCTTTCATTTAACATTCAACCCAATGGAAGACTACGTACTGCTTTGAGTTCTGGCTCTGTTACTGGCATTGTGCTGAGGGGCGTAAGTAGTTGAGTTTCTCTTTATCGTGTTTGTTTTCTGATGGCCGTGAAAAAAATAAAAAAATGTCAACTTAACACAAGTTGAACAAGCGCTATACCAATGGGCCAGCATATGACATGACAGACATCAACGGGAATGTACATCACTTTAAAGGTAATAATCATACATCTACTATGACGAGCCCTCGGTTAGACCTGAATTTAGGTCTGGTTTTTGACACACCAAAAGCACCACTACAAACTTCATCTACAATAGGAACATCGCCACAACTACGACAACTACAACAAGGGACAGAAATCAAAGCCCGTGAAGTACAATTAAGACTCAAACAAGAACTTGTTGAAGAAAAGCAAAGGCTATTGCAATTGAAAGCTGAAAAATTGAATAACATCGAAACATTGCAAACTAAACTTACACGATTGAGTAAACTGCAACAAGACTTTACCACTAAGACTCAATTGAATCAATTGCTCGACAATAGCAGAGTTGAATTCTTTAGAAATTTACAAACTCGCAATCAAAAACAACAAGATTACATCTTGCACCATCTAAATGTATTACCATCACCAAATTGGAATTTACGATTATCATTAGCTAAACAGTTCATTCCATTTTTGGACATTGATAACTTGAAAAGTTATAATGAATATGTTGATAATAGACTAGTTCGAGTGTTTCAATTTACAATCTTATCACCGCTTGTACTCAATCTAACACTCAAATTGGAGATAAATGCCCTGAATGATTCAGTGTATCAGATTTTAGTAATGACAAATTTAACCACGTTGCACATGTTGTCATCTTCGTTTGCACTGGCTTTGGTCAAAGACTACATACCGAATGGGAAAATCAATTGTGTCATGTATGGATTGAATTCACTAACGAAATTAATTCAAAAGAGAACAAAGAATTGGCATCAGTTGATTGTCAAATATAAATCGATGATTGCAAATGATCTATTGCTCAATATTCCCGACCAAGTATCTGATTACAGAAAGCTATATGCTAGCCTCAAACTGATTGACAGCATTGATTTGCATCTTAGTCACAACAAATATAAGCTCAGCTTATACTGGAGCATAGTTAACAATGATCACCTAACAGGGACATGCCAATCGGACATAAAATTGTTGATTACCCGAAATGGAAATGCGGTTATGAAAGATGCTGGTTCATTATTCACATCATTGGTTTCCAAATACGGAATCATCAATTCATTAGAAATCATCCTATGTAATATATTCAATTACGAAACCTGAAAAACACACATTCTTCACCCTTCATATGGACATTGTTTCATTTTCTAGATCAAATGTAATATTACTTGTCAATGCATTATGCAATTTGCCAGATAATTTCTCCTGCAAATGAGTTATATAATATTCGTTTGCAAAAGTGGTCAAATGTAAAAGAAATGACTTTTTTTCATTCGCCTTATCGTAATCACCAACTGAGATGTAATCGAAATAAACATCATCAGAAACACCAATGCCATCGCCGATACTTTCAACTTCTTCATCATTCAAGTCATTAAGTAGCTTGGTTGTGGTTAGTGATTTACCAAAAGTTTCATATAAATACGTTTCAACTCCAGAGACTAAATCATGTCTAATGTCTTCCCATTCCAAACCGACAAATTTGTTGGCTATTGATTTCTTGTACTTGAAATATCGATAAATCCAATTGCCCAAAATGGTGATTTTTTTATTGAATGAAGCCGTGCTTGCCTTAGAAGATGTTCGTACTTCTTGCACCAAAGGGTTAGTTACTTCTAGTAATTCACATTTGAATTCGACCGATTCTTCAGGATCAGGAATCGTGGGGGTAATTTCCAGTTTATTGTACTTTTGAATCGATTTGTTGATTCCAGTGATGGGGAAATCGATGTTGGCGATTGAGCTTGTACGGATTCCCTCTTCCTCTTCTTCTCCTCTTTCCTCTTCCCTTATTGCATCAGACAGTGACCTCATACTCAAGCAAATGATACTTTTCGACAACGGCAATTCAGTTTCATTATGGACTTTCTTTTGCTTCTTTTTCGGTGGGGACACTTTGCTCACCTTCCTGTCGCCATCCTCATTCTCACCAATGTCTTCAATTTTAGCTTCTCTTTTCTTTGTACCAACTTTGGGACCACTATTCGACGATGTTGCACCAGCACGCGTATCTTGTGTTCGTTGCGACACATGAGCGCCATCATGCGAATGATCCTCGCTCAAATACTGTTTTCTAGCTTGAAGCATCTCAGCAGCATAATCAATTTCATATTGTGGATCCACATCATACTCATCAGCTGCATTTTCTGGAATTGGCACTTCATCAGGTATCCTAGCTCCACCAAATGGATTCTGCGCAATTTGTCCAGGGGTGAAATCAGTCTCCAAAAAGGTATAAAACAACCATAGCAACTTTTTAGCTCTACTTTGAGGTGTCACTTCGGTATTAACAAACAAGTCCAACAAATGAAAACTTTCATCTTCAATGAATGGTATTCCATTGTTGGCCTCACTGAGTAGAAATAATAGTTGAACAATATCAGTATTGGGTTTAGTTGAAGATGGCGATTTTACCAACTCATCGAGGCTCTTCACTTTCTGTTCTTGTCCTTCATTAACTGCCTTGATGATTGATTTCAAACGTGGGGTATCTTGCAACTGTCTAATCGTACCACCTTGTGGTCCCGTTTGCAAACAAGGTATTGAATGGTACGTTCTCAAAGTCGACTTCATATCATGAACAAAATTGATGGTCGTATTCATTCTGCCAGCATTAACCAATACACACACTTTTGACACTGCTTTACCCAAATCGAAATCTCGAAGCAACTTTTCCTTCAACACTTTTGAGCTTTTATTTGATTCCGCCAAGGTTCGAATGTACAATTCAGCAAATGTCACCTTAGGGTTGTTGTTGACTCCAGGTAAGTTCAGTTCGGGGTAGGTGTTCGTAAAACATGCAGTTTCATCATCGAATAGTGCAGTTAACATATCATATTGAATGTCTTTGCGCCAAAATGGTTCTCCATCAGCTTTCTTTAAGGAGAGTTTGGAATTGGCAATATTACTCTTTTTCTTCTTTTTCGATGATGATGACGACGACGACTTTTTCTTTGTTTTATTAGCGGATCCTGTTGGCACAGAGTAGTCTTCATCATCACCTAGAATGGTTGAATTGACATCGGTATCATCATAATCTTCATCACCATCATTATCAACTTCAGCTTCAATCAAGTTGGATATAGCCAGAATCTTGTGAGCATTGTGTGATCGAGATGGAGTAATGGCAACTGGAGTTGTTGCCTCTTTGGAAATTTCCTCTTCCTCTGAGACCAAATTCGATATCGATAATGGATCACTACGCTGCTCTATTTTTTTCTGCAGTGTGTGTGAAGGCAGCACTTGCTGCGGTTGTGGATCTTTTGGTATTGCTGGCGTATATGTATCATGTATAGGATCGTAGCTCATGGTTCGATACAATTGTAGGAACTGCTTTAGTTTGCCTTTGGAAGAGAATTCGTTGGTTTTTTTATGATACCTTCTACTGGAATATTTTCATTTTGACATTGGTGCGCCACGACATTGCCCAACAGAGGACCTTGCAAAATTCCGTAAACATCAAAAAACAGCTTTTTGAGCTGCCAAACAATTTGAGTCGTATCAATTGATGCTAACTTCTCACAACGAATTATACTACTCGCTTCATTCAAAGTCTTTGATATAATAAGTGGTTGTTTAAAAGCTGGTTCTTGCTATCCGACTACCCAATTGTTTTCATTGCAAATTCCTTCACTCATGTCAAAAAGTTTCTACAACGCCGTCAAGTTCGGCTCTGAGTCTGCAGAGCCGAAGAAAGATCCCTTTTTAGATCCGCATAAATGTCGTTTACCCATCTATGTGGATACATAGATAAAAACAAAAATTCACGGTTTGCTTCAACAATATTACAGTGATCCAAGTTTCAGCTTCCCCGTGTCTGCCAACTTGCACCCAAAGATCATTTCCCAGTTTAAAAAGAACATAAAGAACGTCTTATAATCACTTTCTTGTATTGATGATTCATCACTGAAGTTGACCCAGCATTTGGTGAGAGAATATTTGACGAAGAGTTTTTGTCATCTTTATTTCCGGAAGAAGGAATTGATAGTCTGGAGAAGCCGTTGGAGTCCGCGCAAAGTGCTAGCACGCATGGGTGTGAACATAATGTCGAGAATTCACATGACTCAATTCTGTGTAAAAAATGCATTACTCATCTCAAGAAGTCAGCGAGGGAGGCGCATTCCAAACTAACGAAGGAAAAGAGAAAGGAACTAAGTGGGGTAGATTTCAAATCAAACAGATTCGGCAGGAGATTGAGAATTTAAAAGAATGGAACACATTCCATTCCCCGGAAATTGACGCTGAAATCAAAAGGGAAACAAAGGTGAAGTTTAGAACCCTTTTGGAGTTGAAAAGGGTGCGCTCAGAAATATGTCAAAAATGTAGGGGAAAAATCACAGAAGTTGAAGATAGGTTACTTCTTGTCGCTGCAGATACTGAGGACACTAAAGAAACTTTGCCGTTGGGCAAATATTTATTTGATGAGAGTATACCAGCACATTTGCGCTTAACAAAGCTATTGTTACCCTTATACGCTCCCGATAACCTGGCGACATCGACAATAGAACTTTCAATGACAAATGATGAAGTCAGGCTGTACATAAATATCGCCGAGCTTTACAACAACTGGCAACATCATAACAATCGCGGCATTATTTACCATCATTGCGAATATGTCAAAACGTACGATAAGCCAAGCAATCGCCAAAGAAGGGTAATTACCCGGCAATGATTTCCGTTAAAGAAAAGCATGGTCAGTACCTTGTAAAACACAAGTGGAGACACAACCACAACTTTTTTGATGAGTACTTGACAATACACGCTTATATACGGAATGCCCCCAAAATGTGACAAGAAAAAAAAAAATAAAAGCTGGAACACCAAGGCACAAGATCTTTGAGAAGTTAATATCCCTCAATTTCTTTATAAACATTGGATCATTAGATCAAGCTCTTAAGATTAACAACGATTATGTTACCAAGGTGTTCAAGCGTGAGTCAGACACGAGAAGCGGTTAACTATAATAATCATAGGGCACTTATTTTCACCTGGGGTAATCAGCTTAAAAGTAATAGCTGCTATTTCGAATTGGATGGAAAGGTGAGATTTCAAGAAGGTGTGATCCTATGGATTAGATTGAATTGTGGAATACACCTGTATCCCAAACTCTATTACCAATAAATAGTTCTATATAAAGTCTATACAAGCAACGGACGACATCCAATTCTACCCATACCATATAATCAAGTTTTCGACAACTTTGCCTTGAATCACAACCCGTCCTTCCTTGGTAATTCCAATTTCGCCTTTGTCTCTAGGACTCGGTTGAAATGGTAATGTCCAAATGATAGCCCCCTGCTTGACTTCTACTCCATTAACTCTTTTGATCCTCAATACGGTGTCGGAAACCATTTTTATTGGATTGTCAGCTAGTGTGTCACCCTGAATATGCAAAATATGCTCTTTCGTAACCACCACATTCCTCGAATCAATGGAGCCCAAAGTTATCTCCTCCACCATGATTCTCAATCCCAGTAAAGCAGGAACCCATAAATCACCAGGTAAAATAATTGATTCAGTTGTGTTTTGCCCTATAAATGTTAACTCTGACACTTCAGCAAAGCCAGAGTCCTTTACGTCGCCCCAAAACACTTCATATGTGGTTGTTGATGGCATTCTCTGAGACTTCAATGGCGTATCAAAGAATGTAAACTTGTCAAAAAATGAACGACTCAATTCGATATAACTTCCATCTAGATTAGTCTTGCTTGAGTACAGCGGTTTGATGAGTGATTTCGAATACAAAAAATCTGCACCAAATAAATTGTGCCAATTGTAATAACTCGATTGGAGAAGACCATGTCCACTCTTCACGAACGGGTTTAGCTCACATGTATCAAACCGGTCACCAAAAGGGTCTTTCTTGCCAACGTGAGGTATAGTATTGCGGCCTGGGATTTCAAAAACGCGAGGCTCACGTACTGTAGTGTTTTTAATAATTGCTGGAGTAAATTGTTCATCAGTAATATCGCTGGGAATTATGCCAGTAGAGGCAAATTTGGTACCCCTCTTGCCCTTTAACCCTTTATGAAACCACAATGGATGTGCTTCAGTTGAAAAGACCCAGTTCTTGGAACCCATCAACTCAGGTTTGTGTAAAAACACCTCATCTTCCTCGTCAAACAACAAATATAAATACTTTAATGTTTCACCTAAAACAAAAGTTTCCATTCGATTTTGTGGCTCTCCAGTTTTGATATTTTGAACCCCACTGAAACCACACTTTGCTTTAAATTTGTTCTTGAACAAATCTAGAATTCTCTCTCCAATATGCAAATACATTGGATCTTTCGTTGCTCGGTACAAGTAATACGTGCTCTCAATAAATTCCGGTCGCAAGGGATACCACTCCAATGCAATTGAATCATCAGCTTTGAATTTTTTCCTCTTGTTTTTATTATGATGAACATAAATCCACCTCTCAGGTATCAGATCAAAATAATCCCATATTTTCAAATACACCACATGTGTTTTGATTGCATGAGTTAAATGGCCAGTCAATACTTGTAATCCTGACCAAAAAGCTCCCAATGAATCTATCCAATCACTGAAAACGACACCATCTTCGGTACCAACATTGGGGAAAATCATTGCACCGTGATTCACTTGAGCCAGGTGAGTTAATAGTGCCTTGTAAGAAGTGTGGAAAACTGACCACATTGCATCATCATTGAAAATTATTGCTGATTTAGCGGCATATTCATAAAACGAGTCAATGGAGGCTCCGATTCCAGTAATCTTGTCTTTCCACTGGTTTGAGAACGGGTCAATAGACATAGGCATCAAATTTAGGGCCAGCTTGGAAGACCAAAGTTTCCAAAATGATTGTTGAGTATAATATTCAAATTGGTAGTCGCCTGTTAATCGTGAAAGCAATGTAAATTCCAAAACTGGAGTTGTCACACCCGAGGTGCAAGCGTCTTTTTGTAATGCCGGGGGAACTTTTTTCAACCCCGTTTTCAAATTGATACGAGGGAAGGGAATATGTGTCTTAGTTTTGTATGACGGTATTAGTCTAAGGCCAAGGTCGTATGCCATATCTAGTAGGAACCCATCATATTTTGCAGAAATTGCCTTTAATCTATCATATGACGTCGGTAGTGGAACGTTTTTAGTGACATCCGTCAATAACAAATGTGTGCTCAACAATCCACCCAAAAATCGAATTGTCGTTTCAAACACTTGAACAATAGAATCTTGATTGAAGAAACCGGGTTGGTTATCCTTGAGATACCGTAGTGCATATTCCAAATCATCCCATTGTTTCATAATTATTAAAGTGTCGATATTATCCAACAATGTCAGTGAAATATTGGCCATGGCATCATTCCTAACTGTATTGGTATAATCTCTATAATCAGGCCCATATGGCTCACAAGTGATGGGTCGTACTTCATCAAAGGGGAACCCATAAGTCATGTACGATTTCCATGCATGTTGAAATAATTGTGCAGTTTCATATTTAAGATACCGTATATGATCTGGCGTAAATGATGAGTTGTATGGCGATTCTGAAACACAAAATCTGAATATACAAAATAGCGTCCATATGAACCAAATGGGTTTATTCACCAGTTTTATCACCATATCAAGTGGATTCCCCTTAGCGATGTATGTACTAAGTCAAGTAGAAGTGAAATCATTTGCAATTTGATAGATTCTTTTTTTCACTTTGTGCAGTGTAGTCAGACGACTTAATAGAGAATCAGGTAGCTGTTAACAAGACCCAAGATCCCCTTTTACCTTCTAGCTAATAAATAATGTACAAAATTATCGTCAATACTATTTACCAAATATTCTATTGACTTGTCTCAACACTTTGCCGGAACCCCATAAAGTAACAACAATTAGGAAAATGTTTATCAATATAATCAACATTGCACTAAGCATAAATCGAGGTGCAAAAATCTTCCACACCATTAAATGACGTCTAAAATGAGCAGCGAAAATCGAACTGCTTAACCCTGTGAATAAAAAGTATGTACTGAGTGTTGTAATATTGGTGATTATTTGTGACAAGACTGTGATTGGTTTCGGCGATGGAACAATTTTCCAAATAGTAATCAATGGCACTGCCAAAGCAACCAAAAAGAATGGTCCAAATGTGTTCAAGACGATGTTCAAATGAGTAAATGGAAATAAAATTGTCTCTGTAGTCATGAATCCCAACTCCCATTGAATTGAAGGTATGGTTGCTTGATGACCAGTACTGAAAAAATGTTGATATCCAAGCAAACCAAAAATGATGGGCGAAACCAAGTTTCTCCTCAATTGCAATTCTTCAATGATTTCAAGCAAAGACAAAATTTGAATAATCAAAATACTAATGGAAATAGCACCAATGGGTTTTGTAGTTAGCATTACGGCTATAGTGAAATTCAACACAAGTAGGAAATACGAGGACCCATAAACGTTGCCATATCCTAAAATTGACGCTGATCGTTGACTCTTCATATCGTCTGAATCACTCAGATTTTCGTCATCATCGTCATCGTCGTCAATCTCTTTAACTTCAACCAATTCTAATTTAACACAAAGTGGACCTCGCGACCAACTGAAATTCGCCAAAACCAATGAAATAAACAACACGAGTCTTGCAATTGCAAGTTTCAATGACTTTAATAACGGTTCACTAATAGTGAATCGAGCAGTATTGAAAAACTCATTATTTTGAACATACTCAAATGTCCAATACATTGCATTCATGAACAAGAGAAACTTTAGCCCAGTACCTATCCACAATGGAGCTGCTGAATAATATGAGTCCGATAACTTGTAAAAAGACTGGATGAAAGCCGGGAGCAAATAAGTGAGGGAGTGAAGTACAATAATTGACCACCACAGAGCAGCAAAAGTTGTTTCACAATATGGTTTCTGTTCTTCTCTGCATGCTGTAACCATTGATGCAACTCTAGTTAGCACAAGAAATGTAATTGCATGACTAATTCCTAGTATTTTGGCTTCACGAGACAAGTCGGTCTTTATAGCCAATGCATAAACACAACTACCGCCAAACGAAAGCAAAAAGAACAGAACCAATTTATCCTCCCACACAACATATGAATTGGAAGCAAACATGAGACAATGTAAGGTGACAAACACAATGCCCATAAATGACCAACTATTGAAATTGAATTGGAAAAAGTCAACAGTTTGATGCCATATGAAATCAACGCTAAATCTATCCATAATAGGAGCCCAAAATCCAACAACCATACCCAAGACACCACCAATACACAAACATATCTTCAATGTGAAATCACCAGGCTTGAGGACTATGTAAATGGAGAAACTCAACACAACACCAATTATTGACATTGCAACAACAGAACCAATAAATTCGAATGAGAGAGTCAGTACTCTCACCGCGGGGATGGATCTAGCATACGTTATCATAAATGTTAATGATAGGAATAAAATGCCAATGCCTAACCCAATAAATCGCAAGTCGAATCTAGCCCATAATGATTTACATTGTTCCAAGGATTGAAATTGATACTGTTTCATTTGTTCAATAAGACTCAAATCGTTTGTTTTCGATGAATAGACATTGATTAAGTCATTGTATTGTTCAAGTAGTGAGTCAGATAAGCTTGGTGTCAAGTCTCTAAATCGTTTAATTTGTTCAATGGTTAATTTTCCGGCAGCTAGTGCTTCCTTGGCATTGCCAAATGCTTCATCTATGGGGAATCCCAAATTATTGAATGGTACAGGGAGCCCCAAAAGTAAAGAAATTGTAGGCACCAAATCGATTTGATTAACATGTCTATAATTAGCACCTTTATCGTCAATATCATATGCGTCCTTGTCCTTTTTGAAAAAATTGTGCTTTTTTGAATACATAAACAATGTACTCTCCAATTCATCTGGTGCATCACCACCATGGTTTCCAGTATAATCCATGCCATGATCGCCAAACACAATCAACAACGTTTCATCATCCAACTCATTGACAACTTTGGTTATTACATCATTCATTTGGTTCAACTTCTCCTTCATTGAATAATGCCTTGGTCCATAGCGGTGACCAACGTGATCCACCCCCAAGAAATGACCAATTAACATGTCCCAATTCAGATTCTCATTCTGTTCCATCAATGGGAACAAATGGTCAATAACACCATTATCAACAGTGTGTAAATCCCATACATTGAGTGAATCATAGGGGAAATTGAACTTTGGATCAATATATTCATTAAACAATGCTGTCCAAGTATCATCACCCATAAATGCAATTGTCTTGTTTAGTTTACGCAATTGCAACAACCAGTTATCTTCGTCAATGGCGTCACCATTGAAATTGGAGCCAGCATCAATGATAGTCGGGAGTGATCCAGTAGTTAGTCCCTTTAACCTCTGCAATGTCGTTGTTGGTGGATCAGCAATGAATTTTAATAGGACTCCGTTTTCCAGTTGAGCTAAATCATACAAGACGGGGAAATTGTTGTGATAATACTCATCTGAATCAGCCACGGGGATGACGAAATCAAATCGTAATGCATCAATAACCAAAATCATGGCCTTGTTGAACCGAGGCGGTATACACGAAGACGACGAGCCACCGCCACCACCACTGCCAACACCACAATCAGATATGTTTGGAAGCACATCTCTTGATAATAAAAACCCTCGGGTAAAGAAGCCCACACCAATGAATTGAGTTATTGCTAAAAACACAAGGACAATGATATATCCAATAAATGCATATTTGAGCTTTTGTTGCCGTATCTTGGATCTCGTGGGAGGTGGTAAGGGGGTCCGTGATGGTAGCAGGTGCCGTGTCTGTGCCGGTATTGGTGTTGGTGACGGTGATGCTGGTACTCTAAACTTGTTTAGATCATAGTCTATCTCTTCCATTATAATATCGAACCAGCAGCACAAAATTTCTGCAAAAGATCAAGGGGGAAAAGTAGCTAGGTCCAAGACGCAATCTTGTGGAGTATGAGGACAATAAATTCAGTAGTGGAGAAACTCCCTATTGTTTGTTTTTTTTTTTGGTCGCAAAGGTGTTTGTTTATCTTTAGTTGCTGAAAGCGATTATGAATGTTTATGGTTGGAACTGAAATTTTTTGATTGATGCGCGAATAGTTAGTGATGGTTATATATTATTCTCTTTCTTCCGACATGCCGCACCATAAACCCGACAGAAAAGAATTAGACAAAGACGAACAGTTATCTCCGATCTATAACCAACATGCAGCATGCAACCTCTACTCTCATGACTTGAAAGCTCTAAACCCTCTTTTTACTCTATCTTCACAGAGTACTCAAATATATACATTCTGTCTAGATTTTATTTGAACACAGTTACATAATATTACATAAAAAAGATTGACACCAACTCGGGTTCTTTACCCAACTCATTCAATGCTGTGATTAATCTGACTAAGGAAATCTTGCTCAAACTCTGATCCACCCAATAGATCACCGTTATCACCTTGGCCAAAATTATAAAGATCTCCAATATCATCATTAACAATAGCCAGGTGGTCCATGTCATGGTCATGATCGTGACCATGATGACTGTCACTGAACAAGTCGTTAATTTCAGCAACCATGGCATTGTTGAGCTGGTCATCATCGCCAACACCAACATCATTGTTTTCCATTTGTTCGTCATGATTAGACGATTGTTGTTGTGATTGTTGTAGCGATTGTTCATCAGTGTCGAGACCATTAGTGTCCAGTCGTATGTTGTCATTATTTGAACTTGATTCTGCAGTCATTACCATATCTTGAGGCATTTGAGTACTGGAGTTGTCTTTGTCATCCTGCAGTTTCAATGCATTTTGTTGTTGTTGTTGTTGTTGTTGTTGTTGTGGTGGTGGTGGTTGAGAATGTGATGGTTGAGTTTGAGCTTGTGCAGCCACATGGGCTTCATTTCCACTTATAATAGGTGATGCGATATTGCCGAAATCATCACCGTTTTCATCATCATTTACAAATTGAAACATATCGTTGGCATTATCATCAAGGTCCAAATCGATATTATTTGAATTAAAACCATTGCCGTCATCAATTGCAGGTGGTGCTTCGTTTAGGTTGTTGCCAGCATTAGATACAACTTGCTGTCGGGGTGACCGTGATTCTTGTTGTTGCTCCTGTTGTTGCTGTTGCTTTGGTGATTCGGCAATCTGATCAAAATCTTTTGGATTGTAATCATCAGGTGCCCGTTTCACTTCGACATCAGAGGCCAAACTCTTCAACGGAATAGAATACACTTTAGTGCCTGACTGAAACTTATACTCTTGATGATACTTTTCTCGAGACTCTTTCATAATTGACTCATATTCCCGTTCAAGTTGTGCAACTGAATCTTTATCATTCAATTCTTGTTGCAACTCAGATAATTTAGAGAATTTGGCTCTTCGATAAGGGTAGTTATCCGTATTAAACAAATACTTCACATACCCAGGATCATCTTCTTGTTTCATAACTTCCAAACTCTTGACCAATTGTTCATCAAAATGTTTCATATATTGTATATCTCCATAGAAAATTTCTTCCGCATTCACATTGGCATAATCTTCGACATTACGTTTCGGTAAAGTTGGGTATAATGAAGGAGGAATAATTTTCGAACTGTGAATGGGTTTAGCAGTGACGTTTTCAATGTATTCATGATTTGACATGTATCTGATTAAAGCATCATTGCGATACGTTATTAAATCGGCCTCGTCATGAAGTTGAATCCCTGCCTCTTCTTTGATTGCACTTGGTCGATGCGGATGTAGATGTTGATGGCGTGGTCCTTGTCCTGATCCTTGTCCCGCTCGATTTGCTTGCGCTGCTTGCATCTGGGCTGCTTGTTGTCTAGCTAAAGCCTCCTGTTGCATTGCTTGAGCTGCTTGTGTTTTTTTATTCATACGACCTTTCGGTCTTCCTGGGTGTGGCATCTCTAAAGGTTGATGTGGAAGGAAGTGCTGGGAGCTTGTGGTTGACAGGAAACACGTGTTTGGGTAGCTGTGTATATTAACTAAAACTCCACCGTTGTGCCTTCTGTGATGTTTTTTTTTTTTTTTGTTTTGTTCTTCGTGCTCGGTTTTATTTTTGAACCAGATACACGCACAGACCATTTGCAACAACCACCACCACCACCACCACCATTACGACGTACCTTTACTCCCAAAAGATGCTAAAAAACAAAAGTAAGTTCTAAATGTGACCTATAATAAATACGTAATTATACAGTACCAAGGTTAGAAAATGATAGTAATGCAAAATGAAAATTCAACAACAATAACAAAAACAAAACAAAAAATAATAAGGATGAACCAGGTTAGCGTGAAACCCCTCCTTCTAGCAAAGCTATCGTCTTTCTCTTTCTCCCTCCCTCTCTCCCTCTCTCCCTCCCTCTCTCTCTTTCCTCACCAACAACATGATTCGAGTTTAGCCAAACGGCGTAGTAAATAAAAGTTTTGAAAAAAAAAAAAAGTAAAGGTCAAATCTATAAGTCAAATCTGCCATTGACAAACTCGTCATCCATTTGATGGTCATCGTCCTCATCAACTTCCATCTCATCCTCTTCATTAATCTCATCATCATCCACAGCATCTTCTGCAGGTGGTAAATTTGGATCACCAGGAATAAATGATCCAGGGTTCTTGAAAGTATTCATACGATATGATCTACCAAAATGATCATCCATGGCCGAATCATCAACATAAGTAAACCCTTTGAAATTGGCTTGCACGCCAGGTGATAATGGCGTAGATGCCATCTCCATTTGTTTCTTCAATGCCGAAGTCGATTCTGAAGTGAATTCGGGATCGAAATTGGATGTATCAGTTTCCGAAGCAAGGTGTGGTTTAAAAGGTGGTGGTATACTTTTGGTCTTTAACAATGCCCAATCGATATCAGCAAAAAATGCATGAGCTTTCAATTCCCTTGCATCATCCGTAGCACCAAGTCTATGTCTTGGATTTCTGTTCAAAAGACCCTTGACAAAAGATCTTCCTTCCGGACTCAAAATCTCCTTGGGAAAACGAACTTTACCAAATGCAATATTCTTGTACATTTGTTGAGTATTGTCGGCATAAAATGGTGACCATCCACAACACATTTCAAAAATCAATACTCCAAGTGACCAAAAATCAACCATTTTGGTGTATCCTGATTCATCCAACAAAATTTCCGGTGCAAGATATTCAGTGGTTCCACAAAATGTATTTGTTGTCCCATCGTTGTTTAAATTGGCTTTTGAAAGTCCAAAATCACACAATGCAATGTGTCCGTTTGCATCAAGCAAAATGTTTTCTGGTTTCAAGTCACGATAAACAATATCGTTATCATGTAAATGCTCTAAAGCCAACACCAACTCAGCAATGTAAAACTTGGCCCGTTCTTCGGAAAACCGACCATCTTTTTGCAAATGCCAAAATAGTTCTCCACCAGACATGTAATCAGTGACTAGAAACAAATCTGCTGGTGTTTGGAAAGAAAATTTCAAGCCCACAATGAATGGCGATGCAGCAGCAGATGTACGAACCAAGATATTTCTTTCACCTATAGTGTGGGCAATCTCCTTCTTTTTCACAATCACCTTTTTCGACAAAATCTTCATGGCATAAATACGTGAGGTATCCTTCTTTTTCACTTGGAAAACTTGTCCAAACGTACCCTTACCCAATAATCTAAGAAATTCAAAATCATCGGGGCCATAAGCTTTTTTCCCATCGTATGAAGTGTACTCCCATTTGATCAAAATTGAGCCTGACGATACTCTTTCTCCTACTATTCTTGCGCCAAGTTGCAACCACTCACTTGGACTGGTTTTGTTCTTTACCGTTGATGGGAAAATTCTGACATGACCAAGAAATGCATCATCCCTAGAAGCATCGTACACGGAAATATCAAGTTCGGATTTCGATCCCACTACATCAAATGTTGCCTCATGGTTCCAAATAGGATTGGTAGACTCTGCTGCCAAGTTCAAGTGTGGAGTAGATAATTGCCGTTGATACAAGTGTGGTCTTTGACTATTCTTTACGGGTAATGCTCTTGCTCCATGGTTTGCATTGTACATGTTTCTTGGACCAGAAGGGTTGTTGTTGTTGTTGTTGTTGTTGTTGCTGCTGCTGCTGCTGCTGCTGTGATGTCCTCCTGATGTCATTGGTGATTTACCAAATGAGTCTGGTCCATTGGTTACAAACTCTGAACTTTCAAATGTGCACACAGCATAAGGTTGTGTGGCTTGAATATCTCTTGCCTCTATAATAGTAACTTTAAGTTTACCTTTTGGTTGAGTATTGTTGCCACTAGTGTTGATTGTTTGTCCGGTTTCATCAGTAGTAATAATCATAGGTGATGGGTCAGTCGCACGTGCTGCAATTTCTTGTCTGCTACCAGCTTGTGAAGATGCAGCAGCAGCAGCGTGTGGATAGTGTTGAGATTGGTTACGAGATGCATTATGTTGCTGTTGTTGTTGTTGTTGTTGTTGTTGTGATGATGGTGGTGGTTGTAAGTCATTGGCTTTAAAAGTTTGGTTCAAGTATGCACCAGGGTCATTGCTGATGTTTGATGAGGTGGTTCCGTAAACTGATGACGTTGTAGATACAGCAGTTGCGGTTGTTGGTGCAACATTTACCAATCCTTTTGGTATGAACTTGTTAGTTTGAGGTTCATCGTATTGTTGGTTGTATTGTTGTGGGTGGCTAAATTCCTGTTGTTGCTGCTGTTGCTGCTGTTGCTGCTGTTGCTGTGGATGCTGGTGATGATGATGAAGGTGGGTTGTAAAGTCGTTATTGGATACTGGTTCCAGTTTGAACTCTTGTGATTGGTGAATTGATTGGTTCGTGTTTGATGATGAGCTAGGTGGAGGTGTTGGTGATTGACTGCTATCCTTCTTGTGGTAGTTTACAAGCCCAAATATGGACTTTGCAAAGTCTGCCATCGAATGTTTGTACTTGATAAGAATATAAAAATATGCAAGGGTTATAGGAGCCAGTAGAGAGTGAATGGCTGTGTAAGTTTGTTGTGTCTGGCACCACTAAAGTTGTATCACTTTGATGAGTAATGAACCAAAAAGTGTGTATCTTGGATGAGCCGTTGAAAGTCGAAAACAAAAACTCAATAAAATATATAAAAAAAAAAAATAAAGAAAATAAAAAAAAAAAAAAAGAAAAAAAAAAAAAAAAAGACTTGGGAAACGGGTTTATTGTTTTGCAATTTGTTTGTAGTAGATATTGACCTCAGTATGACCCTAGTGCCTGTGTATGTGAGTCGTCTCTGCCTATATATATATATATGTATCTCACTCTCTCTCTGTCTGTCTCTCTTTCTGTATATGTATATATATATATAAATATAAAAATATATATATGTAGAATCCAAGCGCTTTGTTGGCTGGTTGGTTGGTTATTTAGAATGGGGTGTACATATACAAAAGTATTTGTATTTGAGATATCTCTGTCTCTCTCCGTCTCTCTCTGTCTCTCTCTGTCTCTCTCTCTCTCTGTCTTTCTGTCTCTCTCTCTGTCTTTCTGTCTCTTTGTCTCTTCTCTATCCCTTTGTCTTTCTTTTTGTTTGAAGAAGAATGTTAGTTAATCTTAATTTTTAATTTTTATTTAAAAAAAAAAAAATTTCTTTTTCTTTTTGGTTTATTTCTTCTGTTTACATATTTCTACCTACTATACTCACACACTCTCCTGAATTGTTTAATTCTTATAATATCAATATGAGCCAGCTAATTCGGTACAAATCAGTAGTCATCCTAATCACACAAACATCATGTAGTGGTGGTAGTTTTTATTAGAATATCTATATTTATTAAGAGATCCTGTTGTAAAAATAAGCACTCTGTGTATGCTACACTTGACGAGAATGACTATATATTTATAGGGTGTGAATATGGGTATGGATATGGATATGAATACGGATATGGGTATGGATATGTGATTATGTGTGTATGTATGTGTGTATATATGTGTGTGTATGTATGTGTGCGTCACTTCAAATGCATCTTCTTTGTAGTTGTTATTACAAATCTGATGGATACACACATACACACACATACATATATAAACTCATATGCGCTCCATATCAACCACCCTCAAACACATGTATGATATCGTTGGTCTCTGTACTCTCAACGTATGAGGGAAAGTCTTTGTCTTTATTAACAAAGCTGTGATTTGATAGGTTGGACTGTGTTATGGGTTGTTTTTGTGCAACAACACACATTAATTAGTTTTTTGTTCGTTAATTAACCAAATGTACACTACCCTTTGTACGTTTTTTTTTTTCTTAAAAGTGTGTGTGGGTGGGTGTGTGTGTGTGGGTGTGGTGTGTCTCTCTTATCAGCTCATCGTCTCCATTGTTACAACAATGTCTTATTATCGATCCTTAACTCGTCTTTTTACTCAATGCTACCAAATGAGAGCGCAAAAAATTTATACCATCCAAATCATTCCTATAACAAAACAACACAGTAACACAGAGGCTCTAAGAAAGCAAAAAGTTGCATTTCACTTGTAACTTTTGTTGTGTAACAAGTGCTTAGTTGTTTGTAAAGCTCCTGTTTTGTTGAAAGTGTTCCTCTGATAATGTGCAACTAAAATTGTTTGATTGCTGTTGTTCCAAACAATAAGAAACAGTTCACCTCAAAGGCAGAGTGCAGTAGAGACGATCTGTAGATGAAACCCCAATGAGCCACGTAATATACGTCGGCCTAGTCGTAAGCCACGTTATCTTTGCAACTAACTAATGGTAGAGCATTCTTTTTTTCTCCCTTTATGCACGACAACGCTACCGATTTATACAAAGCGAGGGAAAAAAAAAAAATTCAGACATTTACACGTTCATTAGAGGCCAATCCGGCATAGGTGCTAGGCAAGAAACATCTCAATGAATTTCTTCAAGGTAGCAACTAATGTACCAATAGCACGTACATGTACATCACTACTCATACCTAGGGTCACACTAAGATCATTTTCGTCAACACCAGCTGTATTTACCGTAACACAGAAGAACAAGAAGAATAAGAATTTTGACAAGTTTTACAAGATTCTTAAATACACCAAACCAATTGATGAAACCCAATATGAGATTGGACAACAACACCCCAAGGGGTTGAGAATACCTTCCGCAATACCTGAATTCCCTAAATACAAATACGAAGCTCGTTTTTTCAAGAGACAAAATAGAGGACTTTATGGTGGATTACAACGTAAACGATCGAAAACTTGTTCCGAATATTTCAACAAGAATCTTCGAGCACATAGACCAAATATACGTCGAGCTAAATTATGGTCAGAGATCTTGAACGAAAAAATCAATGTCAAAGTGTCTACTAGAGTATTGAGAACCTTGACCAAAGAAGGTGGTGTTGATCAATATTTACTTAAATCAACTCCAGCAAGAATCAAGACTATGGGATTAACTGGATGGAAATTGAGATATAAATTATTGAATGAATTGGAACAGAAGGAAAGAGGTCAAGTTGAAGTACCATCCACTACTGGAGAATTGAAACCTGTGACTTATATTCATAAACCAGATGGAAGGAAATTTATTGCTACAAAGCAAGAATTATTGGCTGCATTGTATGACTTGGTCCAAAGAGATAGTTATTATCCAATAAAACCAGCCGAGTTTGATAGACAGTACTCATGGTTACCAATGAGTGAAATCGTCAATAGATTGGATGCTTATGAGTATGACTTTAGTGGTAAAGTTGTTGTGTAAATAGTTGGATCAAAATTTCATAGGTGAGTTTTGTAGCCCTAATATAAACGTTATCACGTGAGAATCACATAATACTTTTTTTTTCGCTCTCAATAGAGATTTGTGTGTCTGGTGTTGAAGCTACCAACCCAATTATTTTGTACGCTACCTTCTCCTTTGTCTTTTCATCACACATTCTTTCTTACACATTGAAACATCTTTTTGCCTGAAAAAATTTTGATTGAGAGAGAGACATCCACCTTCTTAACATCGGAATATATACATCAACAAAAATGGCTAAGTCAGGTATGTGACTACTACAACTCACGAGGGTCACTTTCGATGAGATAATGTACAGGAGCAATATGAGTGGGAGGCGGGGAGTCTGTGAAAAGGAATACACGATACATTGATAATGAAATATTATGAATATAAATCGATCGAAGATGGAAAGAACATACAGCAACCACGTCTGAAAACACAAGAGAAACACTACATATGGATTGATTGAGAAGACAGGTATTCAGAGAAAAGACTTCTGTACACAATAAACCGTTGTCGAATGGCTTGATCCGACACAACTCCACCCAGCATTATCATCACCATCATGACTCAACTACCCTTCAATCGAGGAAACGTATACTAACTTCATCATCTATAGGAATTGCAGTTGGATTAAACAAAGGTCACAAGGTTGCTTCAAAAGAAGTTGCTCCTAAAATCTCATACAGAAAAGGTGCCTTGTCCCAAAGAACCGTTTTTGTTAGATCAATCGTTAAAGAAGTTGCTGGATTAGCTCCATACGAAAGAAGATTGATTGAATTGATTAGAAATGCCGGTGAAAAGAGGGCCAAGAAGTTGGCTAAAAAGAGATTGGGTACTCACAAAAGAGCTGCTAAAAAGGTTGAAGAAATGAACAAAATAATTGCTGAATCAAGAAGACATTAGAGGAAGCAACAGTACAAGAGGAGGAAGAGGAAGAACATTTCCGCTTGGTGTAAATTTAGTGGAAAATTCGTGTTGTATAGCAATGTTTATAAACTAATTATTGCATGTTATATTCTGTAACGTTTTGTAAATGGGTGTAGAAGTTGATCAATCTGTGAACCCGGTGGATAAATTACTCACTTTTCTTTTAGACCATTTCTTGAATAAAGATTTACCAGGTTTCAGTGCACTTGTTAGCTCACAAAAACTTTTGGTATCATTTTCAAGCCAATTTATCAACCAAAAGAAAAAATCACACAACAAAAGGTGTTTTCGAGAGGTTAAATGGATCAAACAAATACATAGGCACAAAAGTTTACGTTTCTTTTCGTGTTTTTCATTCCGCCGCTGACCGTAGTTTTTGCTCTACATAATATCAGAAATGTTGTTAGTGGTGGTAGGAACTCGCCTACCGTTTGTGAATTGCCGTGTCCAAACCAAACAGTGCAAAATATACAATGTCAACCAAATTTCCCTTTTTTTTTTTTTGTCCTACAACTCTCATCCTCCATAGAGAATGAAGAAAAATAAAAATACCGTTTTGTGTGTTAAAACATTCGTTTTCCAAAGAATAGCGTGTGCTACTTGATGCACGCTCGCGGGAAACGAATCCCAAGTACCAAATCTATTTTCACAATCAAAAAAAAAAAAAAAGGTAAACCCCAAGCAAAAGCAGATGTATAAATAGAGAGGAAAAAACGACAGAAGGAATGATCTAAGCCATCATCTTTCACTAATACTAAAAGGACATTTCATCGCATTCATCCAAGTACTCATCACTTCTCATTTCCACCCTCCTCCCCCTCTCCTTGTTTTACAAAATGTTGAGAAGAGCAAGACCAATTTCCAAGTTTGTTGTTAGATTTAATTCAACAGCAGCTAGATATTTCCCATCGGAACCACAAGCTCCCATAGTTTCAACTGAATCAATTCCTGGTCCTAAATCCATTGCCATCAACAATGAATTGGGTACAGTATTTGACAATGGAGCCACTTATTTTGTGGCTGATTATTTCAAATCATTAGGAAATTATATTAGTGATGCTGATGGAAACAAATTACTTGATGTATATTGTCAAATTTCATCAATTGCTTTGGGTTACAATAACCCCAAGTTGATTGAAGCGGCTAAATCGGACGAAATGACATCGGCAATTGTTAATCGTCCAGCATTGGCGTGTTTCCCCTCGACAAATTATAAGGATATTCTTCAACAAGGTTTATTGGCTGCTGCCCCTTCTGGAATGAATAAGATTTGGACATCATTGAGCGGATCAGATGCCAATGAAACTGCATACAAGGCTGCATTTATGTATCAACATGCCAAGTTGAGACAAACTGATGGGTTTACTGAAGAAGAATTGACCAGTGTCATGAATAATGAAACTCCTGGTGCTTCCGATATGGTGATTTTGTCGTTTGATAAAGGATTCCATGGAAGATTATTTGGTTCATTATCAACTACCAGATCAAAAGCTATCCATAAATTGGACATTCCTGCATTCCCATGGCCAAAAGCTCCATTCCCTCAATTGAAATACCCCTTGGAAGAATTTGAAGCTGAAAATAGAGAAGAAGAAGAAAGGTGCTTGTATCAATTTGAATCAATTATTGAAAATTCACCAAAACAAATTGCTGCCATTATTGTTGAACCAGTTCAGTCTGAAGGTGGAGATAATCATGCTACGCTGTTTTTCTTTCAAGGTTTAAGAGACTTGACCAAGAGACACGGCATATTGATGATTGTTGATGAAGTCCAAACTGGTGTTGGTGCCACTGGTAAGTTTTGGGCTCATGAACATTGGAACTTGACTACACCACCAGATATGGTTACATTTTCCAAAAAGTTTCAAGCTGCTGGATTCTATTTCAGTAACCCCGAATTGCAACCAAAACAACCATATAGACAATTCAACACATGGTGTGGAGATCCATCAAAGGCCATTTTAGCTAAAGCAATCTACAAGGAAATTGCTGCATCCAACTTGGTTCAGAGTACAGCACAAGTTGGTGATTACTTGTTTAAAGGATTACAAACAATTGTCGCTAAATCAAGTGGTAAATTTACCAATTTGAGAGGTGAAAATTTCGGTACTTTTATTGCTTGGGATTGTGTTGATGCTGATTTCAGAAACAAGGTTTTGCTTGCTTGTAGAAGTCGTGGGGTTAATATGGGTGGATGTGGTGATGTTTCAATTAGATTGAGACCTACGTTGTTGTTTGAAAAGAAACACGCTGATATCTTTTTGAATGTTTTGGAAGATGCTGTCAAGAGTTTGTAAAAAAAAAAAAATAGGGTGTAGAGAGTGTGTGTGTGTAAATACAATTTTATTTATGAAATGGTATTTATTTGAATTGTTTTGCGTAGATGCAAGAGCATAGAGTGGTAGAGGTGAAGTACGTTTGCTGTTTAAAGAGTAGTCAGTTCAGACTAGGCTTCCATATAGTACAAGGGTTTTTTATACTTATATCGTGCATTGTGGAAACTGAAGTCCGAGCGGCTAAGCCTTTCTCTCGTTTAAAGAGAATTCCGGCGGATTAAGATTCCGTTAATTTTTTATTTTGAAGTAAAAGGGTGCAACATTCCGAAATATACAATACAATGAGAGATACACAAGCCAGTAGCTGGTGTGGTAGTGGAGAAGTGGCTAAGCTCTTTGACATGTGGGGATACTGTTTGATAGTTGCACCTCATAACTGGTTTGTATACGCCGAAAAAGCGTAGTTTTCCGTTCCGAATATAATTTTCTCGTTGCAACAATAACATCGGCTGGCAGAAGGGATTTAGGTATTGATGTTGCAGCATCATTACTTTGGCGTGATGTGAAATGGTGACTCTCGCGTGCTTTGGTGCTTACCATCAAAAAGGTGGTTATGCGATGTGCGGTTTATCTCTCATGAATGAGACAACGTCTTGATACACACGGTAAAGGAAATCCTTCCCCTTTGGGGAGCAAAAAAAAAAAAAAAAAGAAGAGAAAATAAAAAAGGCTGACGAACTGGAAAAATGTCGTTTTGCCGTTTTACACATTTTTGAATGATCACCAAAACAGGTGAAGAGTGGAGTTAGCGTATGCTTATTCTCACTGGGTGGTGTGATTGTAACTCTATTGTCAATATAGTAGGTAGTTGTAGCATAAAGCGAATAGGGCGATTTTAACTTTTTATATCAAATCAGAACCTGCAATAGTCTTCTAGACTTTAAGGAAGAAGACAGAGTCTATTTTTGTGTTTGGTTTGGTTTGGTTTGGCTTGGCAAAAATACAAAAAAAAAAAATTAGTACACAACAAAATATACACCTTAAAGATAAAAGTGGAATAATAAGAATACCAACACCACCAACACCACCAACACCACCTCCTCCACCATCACCAGATATAATCGTCCATTGACTACTATCATACACATTATACTACTGGGAGACACGTACATTGGCAATAGGAGAATAAATAGTACTACCAGGTAGTATGGTCCAACACGTCACTCAATAATGCTTGGTAGATTATTCAAACATAATCCCCCACCAACTCAAGTTCACACACCACAAATTACATCCCTGGCTTCACCTCCAATAACAACTCCATTTGAAGACTCACATTCTAGAGAAATACTTTATGGCACATGCAATGCTAATCTGTTGAAGCCATTTCAATTCAATAGCAAGTATTTTAGAATTATTGTTTCACAAGATGGCGGCAATCTACGGTCGAAGGAGATACTATTTGACTCTGCTTATGAGCTGATACAACAGCAGCAACAGCAATCGACGTCACCACTACAGTCGCCATCACGAAGTCAAGAACAGCGACGTACATCATTGAAGAAACAGAGTAACCTGCGCATATACCACAACACAACTGATTTGAATGATTTATCATTTGGATGTGGATTGCCTACGAATGAAGTACAAACAATTACCAAACTACATACATTGCCCCCAATTTCCAATTCATCTACAGCTTATCATGCAGTATTAATTACACGACTTTTTTCAATAAGTGACGCGGAAGTATTCACTCCTAATGCAACTTTTCAACAAGGTAGTGGCGATTGGGAACCTAAATCAGCAACAGCAACAAGGGAATCAAGAGTTAAACTTCATGACTTGAAAATGAATAGCCGATTTTCCATTGGCGTGGTTATACCTTTGGAGTGTGCCAATTTTATCCATGAAGATATTATCAACGAATGGAGTGAAATTTCCCATTTCTTGACCTTGTTGCAAAAATTAGTATATCGCAAATTGTTGCTACAATTGAATATGGTGATTGATAATGGCAATGGTTGTGAATACTTGGTAAAGAAGAGATTGCAATTTCCCAATTATATTTTACAAAATGATTTTGAGTTGCATGCTCAATTGGGCAAACTTGTCAAGCTCATCCATTACGACAATAATACACCAAGATTGATTAATACAAATTATTTTATGAAGCTCAACAAGACTAGTTACAACTCAAGTTTAATGAATTGGATTTTGGAAACTTTAAATTGGCTAGAGTTTAAAGATGGAAGGTGCAATCTGCTGCCATTTAATAGTAATAGTCACATGGACAAGAACCCATCATTTCTTGCTACTTTAATGTCATTATTGATACGATATAGAAAATCATTGGGTCTGAGACCATACTACAACAACTCGAGCAATACTCGTGAAGTAACTCGAGTGGTTGTTATGACTGGGAATCCAGCAGTGGCGAAACGGCTAATCTTCATCTTGAATGGGTTAATTGCCAATACCGAATCCGCAAAATGTGGTGATACAAATAAGTACATATTCCACGCACATCAACGTGATAACATCATTGCCACCGGCACTTCAGGCGATGGTACCCAAGAAGATGAAAAGTATTCAACTGATGAAGATTGGAATTCGCCATCTACATTGGCAAATAGCGTCATAACTGAACGGACAATTCTGAATGGGAATATGCATGAAGTTTCACGAGTACAGCCTTCAGCTGTTGGTATTCCAATAAACCGACCAAAGTCATCACAAGGACCTACAGTGGGTATACCCATAAATACGCCAACAACCTCACAAGCATCATCCTCACTTTCTAAATCTGCATCATTAGCTCAACTCTCATCTTCATTGAATTCATCGTATTCATCGTTACAGTCTAACTATTCATTATCAAAGTTCGGTACCGCAGGTGTAGGTGTTGCTGGTGGAGGAAGTAGTGGGTCATTTATGGAAAAATGGAAAAACTCATTCAGTAATCAACTGCATACATCGAGTAATAATATGGGTGGGTATTTTGATGAACCACCGAGTTTGGGAATGCGAAAGTCATCACATCAATCATTACGAACCCCATCACCAGCATTTGAGCACGATGATTTCAATTGGCAATCATCAAGTTATACCAATTCAATTGCATCGCCAATATCAATGACGCCAAATAAAATGTCACGTACTCAATCACTATACGATTTGTACGACTTGGGTATGAATTCAATGAGTGAGGAACAATTGTCAGAATCGTCAAATTCGTCGTCATCTTCAACTGAGAATCATAGTACTCAAACGAGCAACAACCACAATCACAACCATAACCATAATCATACCAATGGTTCAAATGGCAGCTCTAATGTGTTGGAAGTCAAGCGATCAAAAACCAGTGTGTATACTCCATTTGTCAGTGATCGACTCATTAAAAATGTTGCAGAGTATAACCGATCAACAATTCAAACTAAATGTAAACAGATAATGGAAAGTACACCCAAATTTAACAAGCAGGACAAAGTACTTGAAGTGGATGAAACGGGTGCATCCCCTTCATCTTCAATTGGCAATGAGGACGTGACCACATCAACATCAACGATATTTAAACACAATATCTTGCTTCCTTGTGTTGGTTATTGTGACGAATATCGACCAGAATTTATTCTACAATCGTGTCCCATAAACCCAAAACTTGAACAACAAGTGATGAGTTCAATGAAGAATGATTTGATTTACTATCAGAATAATTACAAGTATAACACAATTACCACCAGGACCATATTTGTTAGTTTACGCGCTAGGGAGATCAAGACTATTGAAATGCATATCGATAATGAATTGACCCAGCAGCAGCAGCAACAACAACAACAACAACAACAACAACAACAACATAGACAAGGAAGTCAAGATAAGATTGATGCTCAATCTACAGGTCAATCAGATGGATCAAATGATGAGGAGAGTAATAATAAGAGAGGTGTCAATAGTGGCAACTCCACTTCATACAAGACCAAGATTCACAAGATTTACTCACCGTTAAAATGTGTTGTTGGTAATGGGGATGCCAAACGATTGATTAATCACATTGAATCAATCTTGTCGCAAATTGACGAATTATTCAAAATTCAACAACAATTGTATCATGATAAGAAAACAATGGATAAGAAGCAGTTTCATGATAAATTATTGGGACTAGTTGCTGAATTGATCGATTGAGTATAGAAGGAGAGGGAGTCAATAGGATATTACTAGTATAACGATTTCACGAAGAAAAGTTGATTTGATATATTCATATAGCTTTTAATGCAATGGCACTGGATGCATGAGATGAAAAACATCGGTAGCTTGATTGACTACCACCCTCTATGTCTCCTTGGTGGAAATTTGGTAGTAACAAAATCAAACATACTTTGAAAAAATAACACATCAGTTTATGACTCCACTCAAAACCAGCAAAGTGTTCAAAACAAACTTTTGATACTTTAAAACTTTGTTCAAATGGGCTTTCTTCATTACAGCTGAAGTCGATGGAGTGCATTCGTATATGATTGAACTGTAAATTTTCTGCAAGTAGTTTTTGAATTTCGTTTTTCCTTTATTATCGGTAAACTACTGTATTATGTCGCAATGAATCCAAACTTGAACAAAAGGCTGCAAAATCTAAAGTCATGAGATTTCAAGTTTAGAAGCGTATTGTATTATGCTGGTAGTTTTGGAAGTGCGACTTAATTTATTTTTTTTTTAGGTAAAATGATAAGGATTGACGGAAAAATGTAAGCATTTTGGATTCATTTTCAAAACCTTTGAAGTTATGTTTTTATTGTTTATTCTTACTCGTTGAAATTTCGTGCTTATAGGAGCTGAAATGTTATACTCAATTTCACTCAATTACACTCAATTACAAGCGTGACCCGCCCACTTTAAAGTGAATACAGCTCAAATATTTTATGTACACATTAGATGATAGATCATCTCCGCTGATTACGGATAAATTTAGCATTAACTCCACATTACCCGCTACCTGTGAGCCCAAGCTTTTAGACATGTACATCGTGGATTCAAAATCTAGAAACAAAAAAAAAAAACCGCATCATCTAGAAAATGAAAAAAGTGGCAGTTCCACGTACCGACTTCGAGCTTTTCCCAAATACATATGTTGCATAAATCCACAAGCCAGCTTTCGGTAAATCCTTCCTTTTGAAATAACTTGCTTGTACATTTCTTCCGGAGCAATTTGCTTGTACATTTCCTTTTTGGAAAAGCAAATGACCGCCCCAAACGCCTTTACTCTGCTTATATCCCGCTGCAACGACAAAAAAAACGTGCATGAGAACAGCCAGGCAGATGAATATTGTGAATGAAAGTCTTTGCATTTTTCGATCAATAATGTATCTCTGGCGTGGTTTTTCAAACTCTTCGTAAATCAAAAGAGTAACTATTGATCGTATTGCCTCTAGGGAGCAATCACGCTACTATTCAAGGGCTTGTTCTGTGCATTCTATCAAACAGGTGATCTAGACAACTCAAATTAGAACAGAAAGTAATTGCTTTTAGGAACATCCTCATTTAAGCTTTTTAGGGCTTTTATTCATCAGTGCATCTTTTTGTCTAAAAAACCCAATAAGGGTTTTACGTTGTTGTTGCTCTACCAGTTGCAAAAAAAGAAGGAAAAAAAAAAAAAAAGAGGGAAACAAAGTGTTGGTGTTGCGGATAGACAACCTATCATAAAAAAGCATATTTTTCTCAAACTCAGCAAGCCGTAACTACAACAGCTTCCCTAGCTAGTTACTCTAATACAAGGATATTGAATCAATGACTTCCTCTTTATGCAGTATGTTCTCTCTTCATCGCTGATCGGAAAACCTAAAGTTATATTATACATCTTGCAAAGATTAGAAAAAGAAAGCCTAAATTTTTGTCCACCAAATTGTATGCATTGAAAAATAGATTTTTTGATAAAGTTAGTTTCTCTGCCAAAATGGATCTTACACTGAGCGTTTGTACAATAAGTGTTTATACTAATTTGAACCATGCATAATTTTAAATCTTGCATATTTGCTATTCCAGCAAGGTTTCTCCCCGATCTAACACAACTTCTTCTTTGCATAATGAGCATTGATGACCATATCATCTGATGAGCGATACATCAACCGAGGGAAGAATAGAGCATCACTATGCAATTGTCTTTTGTTTTGATTAGTAAAATGAGGTGACTTTAGCCTATTGCACGATCAAATGCAGGTAATGCTTAAGGCGGAGAGCCATTCAGTTTAACCACAAGATTGAGCTTTGGAAAAAAGCTAATGGTTAGTCCAATCTAGAAATTTGCAAGTTGCTACCCTACGTATGGAGACCCCATGACCGTAATTAGTCTCGGGACTAAAACCTACAGCTGGCTAAAAGTGAAGATAAGTCAACTTGCGAAGACGAGGGTTCTTCCCTTCTTTACGAACAACTAGTGGGGTAATGATTGCAAGGCTACATTGGCTTACCAAAACAACAAAGTTAATACAAAAACAATCCTCCTTTGAAGCATGCAGCATTGTTTCTACTCGTGGCAGAACAGTGTGAATTACTCGAAGCTCAAACTGCCAGTGCCAAGAAAGTGAAATGGAGGGCAGTAGTACATTGGTGTCGAATCCCATTGCATTCTTGAATTCATCATCGTCATCATCATCGTCCTCATCATCACACCACAATTGCTGCATTACACAGTCGCTGCAGAACTAAAAAGAAAAGCAAAAACACACACTCGTAATTTCGTTTCTGTTTAAAATTGTAAAACGTACAGTGTAAATACGAATGGAGAGAAAAACAAACAAACATTACAAGTACCGTCTAATGTTTCCTTATAAAGATTTAGACAGCACTTTTAGAAATTAAGATTGTGTATGTAGCATGCACAAAGTCAATGCACGTCCGTTTTCCAAGAAACTATATCGTGCAGTATATGTGCTTCATATATATCTTTGTTTGTTTAAACCGTGCAGAAAAGTAAGTGAGTTGCAGAAAAGAGAGATTCCTCGGAAAAAGTTGTTTTTCTACGACGCAGAACAACAAAAAAGAAACAAATGAAAACACATCGAAATGGTTACAGACACAGGGAAACAATTGACGAAACGAAAGACGTCCTGAATTCCCCGAATGAAAAACTAAAATCAAAAAAAAAAAAAGAATACCAACCGGTGGATAGGGGCATCAAACCATTTGATATTATCAAAGCTTGTTTGCTAGGCGGCACGGGCTTCCTTCTTTGGGTCTATGTGTTACTCCTTAACTCCAAATTTCATCATAGCATTGACGTCATTATTAAACTCTATTTTATGATAACAATAACGATTACTAAGACATCTTCTTCTTTGAGCTAATATGCACTACTCTATTGTCTAAGGAATTTTAGATTGGCACAAAACATAAAGCAGTATTCTGTACTATCTAGTTGACGCCTTGAGTTTCCTGATATGCAGTGACGGAAAGAGGGTGTGTTGAGTCATGGCTACGGATAATTACTAATGCAGGCAGTTGACTCACCTCTACGTATATCCGAAAACGCAAAGGATCCCCAACTTTTCAACAACGTTTCTTCCTCTCTTCCTATTCATACTTCTATTTAGTTATTGACATTTCCGCATATCGGAAAACTTCCCATCTGTCCATACTTCCTATCACTTTTATTGTTCTCTTTTTCTTTTTCTCCTTTTATGGTTATGAAATTCTCTTTCTCAAAAGGGGATATGCAATTGTTTGTTTAATTGCGTTATTGTTAAATTGTTCGAATGTCTCCCAGTTAGTCTAATACATTGTTGTATGCACGATAGACTCTTTTTGCATGTTTTCTTTTCTTTTTTTTCTTTTTTTTTTTTTTTTTAACATCAACGAAGTAAAATGGACTTCGGAAGTGTTAGGAAATGTGCAAAGAGAACAATAGAATGGAATAAGGTATGGCATGTACGTTGTCTTATATTCTTCTTCCAACACGTTCTTCCCCCTTGCCCCCCTTTTTTTTTTTGCATCTGTTCGCCAGTTCGTAACTCGGAGAAGTATGCCAACCATTCACTATATTGAAAGAATAAAAAAGACAAGAAAATAGTGAAAGCTCGATAGAGGAAGATCATGACTACATGTTGCAAAGCCAAAATACATACGAATAGGGCAGGCTTCAACCTATACTCCAATTTTTTTAGTCCTCTGCCCCCAAGGTAAATCTCGTAAATCTTCTCTGCCTGTACACGACCAACAGTGCTCTTTTTCTTTTTTCCGTCGTACATGGAATGGTGCATTTAGAATCATATAGTACATCACATTACACCACACTAGACTACACTAGACTACATTAGACTACATAAGACTACACAAGACAAAACACACTGCACATGCACCACCCGCCTTTGTTGATTTTTAGTTGAAACCTACATGCATCATCATCATCTCACTTTTTCTGAATAAAAAAGAAAAAAACACAGTCTCTCCGAGAGAAACGAAAAACAATGTGAACTGGGATGTTGGTCTGAGAAACAGCACTCAAAAAGATGTCATAAATCATATGTTTTTTTTTTTTACAGATAGATTGATTTCTGTGTAAGATAGATGTTGCCCCTTCCTCATTCCCCTCCCCCCCCCCCCACGATCTACTCACTTGCTCAGTTACAATGCAAGTTCTCACGCCACAATTAACATCAATTGTAAGATTATCAAATCTTTATTGTTGTCATTTGAAATCTAGATTCTGAGTTTTTGCAATTTGTGTGCAAAAAAAAAAGCAACTGGAGTGGTGGTAAAGTAGCGCGCGGAGTTTTGGTCTTTTGGGGCGGAGTTGCAAAGTGTTTGGCGTGTTGTGGGTGTTTGCGGGTCGACACAATCAGACTCATTTTCGGTCGAGAGAACATAAAAAAACAACCAAAATCAAAGGATTCCGTTTGTAAGTGCCATTACTTCCCTCTCATCACCTCATAAGCAGTCACCCTTTTCCTTCTTTCTCCGCATTTGAAGCTCCCTTTTTTCCAGAACATCACCTCATCTCAATCACTGCAACTACCAATAACTAAATCTGAGACATCATTTTTAGTTTGTATAAAATTGTTCTATTCTATTTAGTCAAAATTCCCCTCCCTTGAGAAAAAGAAAAAAACGTTTGAATTAACAACTGTTTAATTAAAATTATACATAAATTCAATGGTCAAACTGTGAAAGGAAAGAGTGCAAAGTTATCTACCTCCATGAAGTCAAAGAATTATCACAAGAAGAAGGAAAAAGTGTAAAATCAAGCTTTAAGCGTTTCCACATTTTGTTGAGGAGCATGTTTCAGCTCCGACCCCTCTTCTCCATCACACCACTTCCCGCCCCCTTCTCTTTATCCTTTCCACCTGAAGTCTATTCTGCATCCGTGGTATTCTCCACAACTGGGCGATAAAGTCACTCTTTTCTTTTTCTCTGGAAAAAACAAAAGTGGGGAACGCTCAAGAGGTTTGCATGATAAAGACAGGATCATTAGCCAAGTGGAATGCCTCGAGGGCTCAATGCATGGTAACAGAGCCTCACTAATACGGGTTGGAAGGCAAATTGGTAGTGCTCGTTTCATTTTAACAAATGCCTATCCAGTTCTATCACACTGCTTTACTATACCTTATACAAAAATTTTAAACTTTTTTAGAGCTTTTCATATTACATCATTCGTTGGAAACCCTACAACCTTATTTTACATCTTTTGCTTTTGTTCGAATCTATGAAAGGTACAGTAGTGGTTGTTATATAAATGACGTCAATCTATACATCGGTTCAAGTTACGCGCAACCAAAATATCGAACATCAATGACGACATCGATCCAACCCGCTCTCTCCCCTTTCACTCTACTCCTTACAAAAATGAGTATGTCTTAAAAGTCTATTAGATATTCAATTTAATCATGATTAAACTATGAAAAAGTGAAAAGTGAAAAATTAAACGTAAACTAAAAAAAAAAATAAGGAGTGTGTGTAAAGTAAAAAAACACCAGTTTAATCTATTATAGTGGCAACCAATTGAGGATTCATTGTAAAGTCCAAATCATCATTGAAACCACCAACTCCATTTAATGAGCCAGCAGCAACAACCCCTTCAGCAGTAGCAGTTGTATCAAATGGAGAAAATGTAGAATCAACAGCGGATGTAGGTTGAGCAGTAAACACATCTTGAGTGAAAGCATCAGTAAAATCAAACTCTTCATCTTGTGGCAATGCTATAGAATCGATACTTTGACTTGGTGCATGATGATGCAATGATGGTGGTGAAGTAGAATTTGATGCAGAGGGTGATACAGATGATGTTGGCAATGGTGGTTGTAGCTGGTTCACATAATTGTTGTTAATGTTGTTGTTATTGATGGAGTTGTTGATGTAGTCACTGAAATCAACTTGTCCAATTGGATCCATTGGATCAACAGAATCAAGTGGACCACCATTAACATCGGCATCGAAACCTAGACTTAGCGTGCCATTTGGTATGTGGCTGTTACTATTGCTGTTTTCATAATTGGATTGAAACAACGATGGGTTGGCAGAATGCTGTTGCTGCTGATGATGATGATGCTGATTGTTGTTGTTGTTGTTGTTGTTGTTGTTATTATTATTGTGAAACAATGAAATGGTACGAAACTTTGACAAGTCTGGGAATGAAAATGCCTTTGTATGTAATGATTGCTGATCTTGAAGTTGTTGCTCTTGTAATGGTTGTAAATCCTCCCCATCATACAAATCAAAGTCCAAGTTTGGTAATGCTTGCAATTGTTCATCAAGTGATGGTTGATGATGATGGCCTGGGTAGAAAGCATCGGGTATTACTGATTGTACTGTATTCAATTGACTAATTGATGGAGAAGTGTATTGATTTGGTGGAGTTAATGGTTGAACTTGTTGTGAGTGAGAAAATTGACCACCACTCAATGATGCAGCAGAATGCGGTGGCGTTATTGATTGTGAAGCAAACTTGTACTCATCAGCAATTGGTTGTGTAGTAAACAATGCAGGTGAGGAAGAAGGTGGTTGTGGATGTGATGGTTGTTGTGATTGTAAATGTTGTTGTTTTTCCAACTTCATCTTCTTGCTGGCTGGGTGCTTAACAACTTCATTTGTAGACATCAATATTGGTGAATTTGGTGTTGTTGATTTTGGTGATTGTGATTGTGGTGAATTGTAAGCTTCGAATGAAGTATATTCTCCACTTTCTTTAACCTTCTTGACAAATTCCCAGCATTTGTCACCATAAGTCTTTGGCGTCAATCCAGTGACTGATTTGAAAACTCTATGAAAATGCCATGCACTCAACTTGGACTTGGAAGCCAATTCTTTGAATCCAAGTACACCGCCTCTTCTTCTTCTCTTTTTGCCAGAGCCAGATCCTGTTCCACTAGAGCCGTTGGCTGTAGGCGAGTTACTCTCTTCAGGTGTGGGTGCAAGTGGTTTTGGTTGAAACACATTAACAGCAGCAGCTAGTGCCAAGTGACGACAGGCCAAATCCACTAATCTATAATGATCAGAGTCATTCTTTGAAAGTGATGTATGATCACCATCTTTCAATCCTTTACCAATTGATGCAGCAGACATTGAAGCACGACGACCAGTAGCACTAGCACCAGCACCATCAATTGTCTTTAAAATTTGCACTTCATTCGCTCTCTTGGACTCCAAAATGTTTTCTTTAATCTTTTTCGAATTCATATCTTCATTTTCATCCAAAAGTGGTGGCATAAAGCCAATCTTTGTATTTACTGATGAAACACACTTGATGAGTAAACCAACATCAATGGCAGTACTGTGCATTGGGTCACAAGATTCACAGGGTATGAAACCATAATCAACAGCTTCTTTGGCACTGGTGGTGAATTTAATCTCTGATTTCAAATTAGTTCTTGGTCTAACATCACAATCTGGACGACAAAAATAACGATTGAGTTTATTACAAACAAAAAATGATCCTGCGGCAAATGGGTCACTAAATTGATAAGCCTTCCATTTGGCTGCTTCTGTTTGATAAACCATAGTTGATGTAGTTGTATGCTGTGGTATATAATGTGATGTATGTAGATGATTCGAAAACTGTGGGAAACCTCTTACTCTTATATAATGAAGAATAAAGGGATAACCAATGTGTCTGTGTGTGGAATTGTGTGTTTCACTTTCTCCCTAAACAATAAGAAAATCTCTTTTGTACAACAAACCTCTCCGTTTTCAAGATTTCTTGTAAAGGAAAATAAATGATGATGACAGTTTTCCTTCCTCTCTTTGTCTTTCTCCTCCACTGTGTGAAAGAATGCAGTAGTAGTGGGTGGGTGGTGAATTTTATATGCAGCAGGGGGTAAAGCTATTTGTTGTGTGCACTTTATTGTTTATGTCAGTCACCCTTTTTCAAATGAAGTAAGACAATATGCAGCAGGCCTCAGCAGTAGTAACAATAATCCTCGAAGAATAAAAATATGTTTTTGGCTACTTTTCCTTCTTTGTGTAACGGACTAAGAAAGAAAAGAATACCAAAGTTCGTGTAAATTAGCTCAATAAAGTAAAATAATATTCAGCTCTGCGTTTGTGTCAAGTATGACAAAAGTGTAGACTATTTTGTTCCTCTTGAGGCGGATGTGATAGTAGCAGTAGCAGTAGCAGTAGCAGTAGCAGTAGCGAGTAGCGGTAGTAGTAGCAGTACTCGTTATACAAACAGCGATAGTGAGTCGTATCTTATGAAATTCTTTTGGTAGTTTTTCAACTTTGTATATATAGTATCAATTCAAAGTTGTATGCGCTGTTTAGTGTAGTGATGGGTGGGTGTGTATATTGAAAATCTAGAAGTGTAGGAGTGAATAGATCTGAAATCAAGTTAGGAGAGGGGGAAGAAAAGCGAAGGAAATATCAATTGGTATTTATAATCTATTTTTTTTTTCCTACGTGTGATTGTATAATTATATCATGTACAGTATACTACCACCTCCATAGAAAGAAAAAGAGAGGAGAACTTGTGGTTATGACAATCATACATTGGGGAGGAGGGGGAGGAAAGGAAGGAGAGAAAATGAGGCAAGGGTGATGTCACAATAATAGTGGGAAAAAAGCTTATAATTTTTTTAATGCAACTAAAGCTTTAGTATTCTGTCGTTAAAAGTTGTCTTAGAAAAAGAAAATTATAACTATTATTATTACTATACGTTATTATATATGTATGCATGTCGTATTATGTTTTTCTTTTTTTATTTTTTTTTTTTTTTTAAAAGAAAACTAATTTGTATAACTCCAGGTGCATACAGCCACAATGCCGCATTGCAGTAAGGTTACAAAAGCTTACACGACGCTATTCCGCAGGACACAATGCAAAGTAAGTAACTTTAAAAGTAAGTATGGTAAAATATGTACTCTCGTGCATTACGTCAAAAAGATGAAAAATCATATCATACATGGTACTTTTCATGATTGGCCATTTGCGTTTAACTCATGTGTTTGTTAACCAAAAGGGTGGACTGATTTGTGAGGTTCACATATAACCCACTCGAAATTCACATCAGTTTAAAAGATACACAACTGGGTGTTTTCTTTTTTTTTTTGTCTTTATGAGATCTAGAATGATAGAGTAGGAAAACACTGCACGATAAAAAAACGTGGCTAAGTATACAAGAAAAGATACCAACAGCCTTGATAGAAGTTGTTGGAAGATTGTGGAAATAAAATTCTATTCACATCAAACAACAAAAGAAGAATAAACATAGAGCATGCGCCTCAATTGTTGACTACCAATATGCACTACAATATGTATGTGTATATAATAGGGCCTATTTTGTCCTTTATGCATTATGCACTAAATGTAAACTTTTTGGTGCCAATAATACATCATACAGTAGAGTTACGTAATCCAAAGTATATATGCAAAAAGTGTAAGCTTAATTTTAACAATTTAAGCTGGCTTGCAGAATCAATGCACGAGGTGATAAAATGCACTGGCTCTGTATTCATTTTGCAAAAGAGTCTAGAATTTCTTTTTCTCTCTTGCTTCTCCTCTTTTTCCCCCCATTGTTTTTTTTTTTTTTTCTATTGTCTAAAAAATTCCACAATTTCTCCGCGATATTTCAACAACAACATGCTTTTAATCCATTGTGCATATGTTTATAATTGACCTCGAAAGCGTACACAAGTGTCTTCCTCTCTTTCTATATACAGGAATAAAGTATCTTTCTTCATCTCATACATTGTTTGACCACGGATTTCATTTTAATAGTTAAACAAGCACATGTCAATCAACTTCTATATCAGGACTTTGTTGATTTGTGTTGGTTTCTATTAGAAGACAACAATAAAACCATACGTTTTGGATTCTCGGAATTCAGACCTTCATCAAAAATCAAACAATTTTGAATTCCGAAGTTCCAGAAAAACTTTTTGTTATAGTGCGCTTTTATGGGTTTCAGATTCTACAGATAACGAAGAAAAGCATAGCCCCTGTTCTAGAACATCAGCGTTACCACTTCCAGAAACTTTAATTAGCACCGTTTCTCCTTTCTAGCAATTCTCTAGTACTGTAGTTCTTGAACCTATTGAGAAGAGCCTGTTCGTTTGTAGAGTTTTGACGTTTTCGTTCTTTATAGGTGTGGCAAATTATTATCTTGAACAAAACTTAAAAATACAATAAATTCAAAAATTTTTATGTCAACGTCAAACACTACTTTTTTATAATAAAACTATGAGGTAATCAAAACTTCATACGTCATTGTTTAGAACTAAAGAAATTTGAAACGAACAAGCTCACTCTAGTTACGTTTACTTTTCATCAGTCAAGTCTTTCTCTGTCGATGCAAGATTGATTATGCCAATAAGAAAAAGCTCAAATTGCCTCTTCTCATATTTTACTCGTCTTCAAAATTTATTTTTCACAGCACTGTTGGTTTTCAAACTTTTGTGTAAAAGGAAACTCAATTAGCTTCCTTTAACCAATATACCTCATTCATCTCTCTCCTACACAACTTACTTTCGACCAAGAAAAGTTAAACTCAATGGTTACATCGAAAAAAAAAAACAAGAGTACCGACAGTCAAACTAACAGAGCTTATTCATTCATTTAGTCTAGAACTTCAATACTCTACAAAAGTCAGAACCTAAACGTAAAAAAAGGCTTGAAGAGCGAACTGTTGCATCAAAATCATAGCTCCGTCAATTCCGGTATTGTACCAATATTTTAACACGCTTAAGAAGCTATTGTATTTTTGCCACGCACACCTAAGATTTTTGTAATACAAAGGTAGTTCGAAAACAATGGTTGTCTTGTTTGTTTTTCCAATTTTAACATCAAATCCGCTTTTGTTATTGTTGTGGCGGTGACTTATTACAGACACACGCGCACTTGTTACTCTAGCAGTCAAGTAAAGGTTCAGAATTTTCCTGTCTATAAAGATTTCTGTGGCTGGTTTTGGCATTAGAGTACCAGCAATTTGTACAAAGTTTAAATTTAGGAATCACTGAAAACTAATAATAACCACGAAAAAAAAAAGAAAGCACAGAATCACCACGGCAATTAGAGTTTTTAGTACCGAAGTAAGCATAAGATACTAATTCGCCACGAATAACGTTTAATATCAGTAGAGTATTGAAAGGATTACATTACATATTAAGGTTCTGAGTACACTTACTTCTTGGTTGCATTATTCCTAATCCGAAGGAGTCTCCTTTTTTTTTTTTTTGGGTAGAGAAATCTCCACATTACGAGTATCGTAAATATTTCGTCGTCTTGCATAAATCTCCCCCCTTCGGATCCGGAACACTTGGGTTTTACAATTTTTTCATAAAATTTTTCCGGATAAAGAAGATTATTGGAGAAATTTAAAACCAACCATTAAGGAAGAAACGAAAAAGAAGAAGTCAAAAAAATCTATGGTGAAAGATTCGTTCATGCACTAATACGCCACCACATAACATATCATCACTACAACAATAACTACGGATTTCCATTTTCTTGTTTGGAAAAAGGTCTAGAACAATCGTTATTGTTATATCTTAGTGCCATTTTTGTAACTTGTATGAAAGTTTATGTGATGACAAAATAAGCAGCTGTACATAACTCAACATACATGCAAATATAATATTACTTTTGAGAAGTCTATATTTTTACTTCAAGTTTTTGTATGATAAAAATTAAGAATGAAATTGTGATGTAATCTCTTTCACACTGAACCCGCTAAACTTTATATTATCAAAAGGAAAGAATATCCTCGTAACGAATGAAAAAAACTTGTTTCTTTTGTAGTTGTTTATAGGTACAAGTTCAACGAAAAGTTTTTGCTTTTGTACCATAAAACATACTATTGTTTAATATTAGGGGAAGTTTATATACAGTACACACGTTTTTCGCCCGAGTCCGGAAGTATTCCCTTCTCTCCCTCGTGTCATTTTTTTTTTTTTGCCTTATGGCCTAATGGCGTTTTCCCCAGATAGGACAATAAAACGTTTTGATGCTTGCGATTTTGAAAGATGAAGCTTCCAAAATGCTTCCATTTCATTGATTTCTTGAAATGTATGATGTAATCGTGGAGATTAAACTTTAAACTTTAAACTTTAAACTTTCTTTAACAACATGCTAAGATATGACATCACCATAAACCCTTCACTTGCATTAAACCATTACACATACAATTTTTCAAAGTCGTCTGTAACTCTATTCGTTTCTGCACCGCCACAACTCAAAAAGTTTAAATCGTTTCTTTTTTCTCTTACAGTAGCTTGCACAAATCCGCCAACAAACTGTTCCCCTTATTACATCATTATCATTATAGTTACACACAACACAATACTACAACAGTTAGTGGATGTAACAATAGGGACCTTACGGATCAAAACGTTGAGAGTACTAGTTATAAATACACCCTTGTCTATCAACACTAAAAACTTTAATGTAGTGGTTATACCCACACGGGTTGCCCAAAGCACGCAGCAGCAAAACAAACAGATAGATGGCTATGTCAGAAAATTTCGCATTTTGCACGGTCCACCTTCCAGCGTTTTGGTGTTCTTCTTGTGTCATTCCATAGCTCGCAATATGGGAGTCATAAGTAATTACAGCCAACGGAATTCCTCACCTCAAATTGTCAAACGTTCTATTGTATGATGCAACAAGTATGTCGTCATTATTTAAACAGAAAAAACCACAAAACCTTAAAATTAAAACAAACTCCAACAGAAAGTGTCAACATATTATCGATTGATCTTTTATTCACAATGAGCAGAATGGGAATGGAAGAAAGCATAGTCGTTTGGTTCACGCTGCTGTTGCTAATAACAATCCTCATCAAATTTGAGTATTCAGGGTCCTATGAGCAAAGCAATGTTCCAAAAATTCTCCACTTTCACTATCAACTGTGCACCTCTCTTATCGTCCTCCAATTAGGATCAATATACGTCCTACTTAATTACAGTCTTCTTACTCTTTATTCATACAGTGCGACTTAATCATTCAAACCAACACGACATAGTTATTATACCAAAACGACATAATTGTTCACATAATTGCGACATAAAATTTTTGTACCCATGCAACATAACTATTCAAACCAGTGAGACCCAAAATTTGTTTTCTTTAGGTGATTTTGTTTTAGGTGAAAAGGGAAAATCGTAAGATAAGATTAAAAGATGTAATGAATCTAATTACACCCTGGCGGATATGTAGATGGACTTGGTAGTTTTACTTTGGAGCCAAATCTGATGGATTTGGAAAGTCCGACAGCTCCATTAGAGTCTTGTTTTAGTTTCAATCTGGTTAGAGGTACGGAAATTCTCTTAGGTAATAATGTAGTTTGAAAAATTGTGTGGCATTGGTATGAAAAATTGTGTCGCTTTGATTTGAATAATAAATGTCATGGCGGTATGAAACAAAAATAAAAAGACTGTACTGTAAAATTTTGCTCTTGACTGAACTAGGTAAAATTGAAACAAAAGAATCAAAATGTAGCTTGTGATAAACGTGAGAACTTTCGGATGACATCAATACCACTTCGGTAATTCTTTCCTATATTGTGGGTGGGTTAGAGTTAACAGGACAAGCATTGTGTTTTTCAAGATTGAGTCTGGATTTAGCGATTTGAGCAGACAAACCTACAAGGGAATCAAATCCGAGCGTGAGAATCAATGATTGCAGACACTTGTAATAACAAACATCTCATTGCTACAAATTTTTTCACTGACTGAAACCCAACTCGGTTTTACTCTATATTGTTTGAAGAAAGACTAGTACTGTTTCCAAAACGCATGATGAATACAAAGAAAGTTCAATAACGATTTTTCACTCAAAAGCGGTTACATACGTGTGTTTGTTTACAATTTGAAATGAAATTCCAACTTTACCACAATTTCATAATTCTCCGCTTTTCCATTTTTGTATAACTTTCATATATCGGAAAACGTCACAACAATCAATAAAAGGAGAATAAACAGTAAAAAAAAAAAAACAAAAAGTTGTGTGGCTAAAGCAACTAATGTGGCTAGTGAATCTCTCCTTTTTTCTTTTCAACGAAAAACCTTTCCTCTGTGTTTGCCAGATGGGTTGCAATCTTTTGTGTCTCAGCTAGTCGTCAAAATCAAAAGTGTAAGCTTCTTTAATGCAATGGAAGACTTTACACCGTCGCCCTAGATTATTCTTGTGATATAATGCACCAACTGTAAAAACAATCTGAATGTTGTGCTTTCCTAATCACTGGAGGAAAGAGTGGATGATGATTGTGTCTTACTCTGGCTATTTCAGTTGAGTTCTGACAATTTAATAAGCCTAGACACAATTAGTTCGTTAGCACAACTATAGTACAATCCTTCTTTTGTTGGGTATGTTGGTATCCTCCACTTTTTAGTCCATGTTCTATTGTTCACTAAAATACATGTGTGTGGCTTGTAACTCTTTGAATGTAGCTTTACTTAAAGCCAATTTTGTGAATTTGGAATAAAAGTTACTTTAAGAGACAATGCGTCTACAAGTATGTATAGCGTTTAAGCGCCAAAGACAAAATTATAAGAGCTTCCACATATGGATATAGAGCTCTATTGTATTGACTTTGTTACTGTTTTTCATTGGAATGGCCATCGGATTTCGGATTTCGGGATTTTTCTTTTTCAATATTCTTTCTCTAAACTATTTATAAACAAACACTCATAGCATAGAGACACTTTTGTCATATAACTGACAGAGCAAACAGCAATGAGGCTGACTGATTCACAACAGGACTAGTGATGTCAAATGCAACTACACACTATCTCCCTTCTTTTTCGAAAACAAAGAGAAAGTAGTAGATGTGTATTAACCGTGGCCAATTAGATATCCAGTTCTCGGCAAAAAGTTATTCCTCGCACAGAAAAAACAACATAATTAATTCTTTTCGGTAGACTTAAAAGAGCTCTACCTGACTTTCCGATACTCCGTCAATAATTTTCATTCCATAGACGAAATGAAACTCCTACGTCATATAATTCTAGTCAGAACTACTGAGGAATATGATGGAACTAATTTCATTCTCTCTCATCCTATAATTTTCTCGAGTTATATAATATTGCCAATCTATTCTTCTATTCGTATTTAACCCGATACACCGTTGAATATAATATATATATATTATCATGCCACTTTTTTCTTGTCAAGACAACCCATACAATGTAACTTGAATTGAAAGAGCAGCTAGTGCATTTCTAGGTTTCCATGCTGTGGTGGCTAATTGTGCTGTATTTTATAAGATCTCTTAAATATGCGTGCACAATGACGACATACACACGCACACACACACTTATTCTTGGTTTTTGTTCCTCATTTCCTCAAAGGACTATCTTTGTTTCTTACTTTTTGCAGTAAAGAATTTTGGAGATACCATGGGTGAACAAAGATGATTTTGTAGCTTATTTCTTTAAAATTTTAAGCGGTTGCACAGATATGTGTGACTTCTATGTCTTTGGTCCAATCAAAAAACAAAAAAGAACAAACTGAATTCCATTTTTTCTCGAAACAAAGAAGAGGAGACCGAATTCCATTGAATTGAAGATTCCACAAAAGAGAAAGCATGAGAACAAGGCCGATCTTTGAGTCCACGCTCGTCTTTCTCCTATTTTCTCATGAAAAGGTGATGACAAATGTATTTCGTCAATATTTGATGGTCAATGCTCTTGAGGGACGAGAACAGAGTTTAAAGTGGTGTACCATGCACTGGGCAGGTTTGCGCTCCGAAAAGTTACTGAGCAGAGTAGCATCCATACTTAACTCCTCTCCTTAAAACGATGATGGAATTTGGCATATCCGCCTCTTCTTTAAGCGATGACGGGCAAACACGTGCATATCCTACTCTCACAACCACAAATTCAATTTGTACTATTCAATCCAAGGCAAATGAATGAAGTCAACAAAAACAAACAAAATATCACATTCGTGGCTTGAAGGATAAATTTTGTACTATTTTCTCGTTGTTGATGATGACGATGAAATGAAATCCGCCTCAAAAAAATCTAAATTAGATGTGGCTTTTTGCACCACTTTCGTTTCCATTTAATGGCATGTCAATAAGTCGGAACAGATACAATGCAGGGAAGATTTCGAACAAAGATTTTATTCTCATACAATCGAAACCTCGAATCGTAGGTCAGTTCGTTTCCAAGTAACAGAAAACTTTACTCTCACTATTGATCAATGAGAGTGGTGGGTTTAAACAGTATGCACTCGGTGCTAAACGGAAGTCCATTTTGGTCAAGTGCGTGGAGGATATGAAATTCTAATTTGTGCTTCTTTTCAGCTTAAACTCAGAGTCAATTTACGATTTTCCATCCCCCCCCCCCCATTTTGGGATACACTTACGGGTGATATAATTCTTTAGCAAGTGAAGGTCTTGGCATAAGAGCCAATTAATTACTTTGTATTTGTGGATGATTTTGGCCTCGCGAAGAACTTGCTTGGCCATGCCATGCAATGGTAAATCCAAGTGGTGGTTTTCTTGATCTGCATTTTCGTATATGTGCCAGAGGATAAATCGTAATTTGCGTGGGCGATTTGTTCAATCTCTTGTTAAGGAGAAGACAGTGCACCTGAAGAATCTAGATCTTCCAATTGATCCCACATCTTGGGGAGTCCCTAGAGTCTAGAGCCTTTCTCTTTTGTTTTTTTTTTTTTTTTTTCAACTAGTTGTCCGCCAAATTGATAAGAGTTTGTGCAGGATATCCTTATTGTACAAATGGAAGCTTCGGCGAAGAAACAGTAGCTATTCGATTGGACCAGCTCAGTGACAACTATTTATTCCATACATTATATTATACGGATTCAATCTCGTAAAATTGACCCAGCACCTGCACGTCAAATTCAATCGAATGCACTATTGTGGCTTGTGATTTTTTCATAAAGCAGTTTGGGAATGATGAGCACCTGCAATAGCAGCAGCAGCTCTTCCTCCCCTTTCTCTCTCCAATCTACCGTTCAAAATATGCTCCTCTTCGATTTTATTTCAGATGACAAGCATTTTCATAGTTGTGTAATGGCCGCACTGCGCTTGGAAAAAATGATGAAATCAACAAATAAATAACGTGAGAATACTGCTTACACTTCTAATCATGATTGACATTGAACCGAGACATGGTAATCACCATTTCGTAAATATCAAATATGGATACATCATACTTGGAATATCCCTTTTACTATCCCTACACCTACTATTGTTCAAGTTTATCTATATACAACAATGGAAACGAAATGGAATACATAATAGGCTATTGACATATCTACAACGGCCGCCAACATGGTTCATTATGTTGATTTGGATCGTCATCATTATATACCTATCACAGGACAACATCCATGAGATACATGTGGAATACACAACAATAGCCAAACGATTAGGTCGAATAGCGTACAGTTTAATTCCACTAAATATTTTCCTAATCCTACGCTTCTCCAATTCACCATATTTAAACCCTGGATATTACCTACAAAACTTGAATCTTCATAAATGGTTATCGAGATTGGTTTTCGTTCTTGCGTTGATTCATGGGTTGATTTTCACCATCAAATGGATAGTTGATGGAACAGGATCCAAATTTGTCACAATTTGGAATTTTTTGGGTATTGTTGTTCTTGTTCCTTTCCTTTTGCTCATGGTTGTTTCGATAAGATACATGAGACGCAAATCGTATCCTTTGTTTTACGTTGTTCACAACATCACCTCATGGCTTATGGTATTTTTGATAACTTTGCATGCTCGACCAAGAGTGTGGCCAATTGCCATAGTGGCAATAGCTATGTTGGCTATGCAATTGTATTCCAGGTTTGCTACGTATAGAGTAAACTCACTCAAGGTGATTGATATTCCTGCATCAACATTGCAAATTGTGAAGATACCGCTTCCTTTGAATTTCCCCATTTGGTCACCTGCAAGTCACATTAGATTAAACTTCTCATTTCTGAACATTCGATGCTGGGTAATGGCAACTCACCCATTCACAATTGCGTCCATATTTGAAGATTCGCGTACATCGCTTGTGTTGATCAAGAAAAAGACACAGTTGCAGTTTGATTCACAATGTACTTATTTGATGACAGGTCCGTATTGCTCCATACCTCAACCTTTTTTCAATACCGCACAAGTGGTGAGTATTCTTTGTGGTGGCTCGGGAATATCATTTGGATTGCCCATCTATCAATATTTCAAGTCCACAAATCCATCAGTGGTGGTGAGCTTGACTTGGTGTGTTCTGAACAAAGACGACTTGTTTATTCTCAATCAGTTGAATGTATCTGATATACAAGTTTATGTCACAGGCATAGACACTCAACAATCATCTGAGGAACATTTCATGCCCGAATTTTTGGTTGAAGGTGAGGATGATGTGGAAAATCACGGTTTACTAAAGGAAAATATCGAGTTGCAACCAATTGTACCGAATCCAATTGATCCTAGTGAAATTAATGAAGGAAAATCAAACAAAGATGAGTCAATAACCAATGGTAAACGTTATAAATTAGGACGGCCCAAATTGGATGAAATCTTTGCCATTAATAATCCTACATTTACGTATGATCCCAGCACCACTTGGATAATTGCTTGTGGACCAGACGGATTGATTTACGATTCTCAAAGGTGGGCAACAGAGCATAATTATCAGTTTTTTAGTGAGAAATACGAAATGTAAACGCTATTAAATGAAAGTAGCTAGTAAGCTTTATAGATAATATAGAGTTTTGCGCATATGAGTCTTGGTAAAAAATGCATCTTTGTAATTGCGCGATACCAATATGTCATCATTATTAATCGGAAAAGTGCACGTCGCAAATCCATAGCCGGCACCCCAGTACTATGTCTGTCAAAGTGAAAAAGCAGGAGAACTTACCCCCGCTAATAACCTCACCCCTTCCCAAATCCCAATTCACCTACAAAAACTTACGCGACTTGAACAACCCAAAATATGCATATCTACTGCCCCTTTCCACAATTGCCTTAGTTGATTTGAATGCCTTCTTTGCCCAAGTAGAAACTATCCGTATGGGACTCACAGAAGACGTCCCAGTAGTGTGTCAACAATGGAAAGCCATCATTGCCGTCAGTTACGCAGCACGTAAATTTGGAATCAACAGAATGGATACAGTGGAATCTGCACGAGCCAAATGTCCTAATCTAGTTTGCGCCCATGCCGGTGTTTACAAAAAGGGAGATCGACATTGGACGTATGAAGAAGGTCAACCTGATCCTGTTAATCATAAAGTTAGCTTGGATAATTATCGACGTGAGAGTAGAAAAGTTTTACGAATTATTCAGAGCAAATTTGATTTGGTAGAGAAAGCTAGTGTTGATGAGAGCTATATCGATTTAGGTCGACCAATCTATGAAATCCTTTTGGAGAAATTTCCTGAGTTGAATATTAATGCTGGCAATGATGAATCACTACCGAGTATTCCCAAAACACTTCCACAGGATATACAATGGCATGGAACTGTAATTGAGTCAGAAAGGGAAATCGCCGATCCGCAGAATGTCCAACCACCACAAATTTTTGACTGGGATGACGTCGTACTCGCTATTGGTTCCCAATTTTTGTTGGATCTTCGACAAGCAATTTATGATGAATTAGGCTACACTACATCCGCAGGGCTTGCAAGAAATAAGTTGGTGGCAAAGTTGAGTGGTGGATTCAAGAAACCCGATGACCAAACAATTGTTCGAAACTGTGCTTTAAATCGGTTTCTAAGCAATTTCGAATTGACAGATGTAACTGGAATGGGCGGGAAATTGGGTGAACAATTGATCAACAAATTTGAAGTGCCGCCTGATCGAAACTCAATTGCATTTATCAGAGAAAATTACACCTTCGACATGGTTAAGCAAGAACTTCGAGAGGATGCAGAGTTGGCTTTGAAGTTGTACCAAATTGTTCGAGGTTTATATTCATCGGAATTGACAGACAGAATTGAAATCAAATCAATGATGTCAACAAAGAACTTCCTTGGATCCAAGGGGTGGACATTGGCTGATGCATACGATTGGCTAACTGTTTTCTCTGGTGATTTAAGTAATAGATTAACTGACTTGGACAATGAATCAATGGAATTGTCATTGACAAAAATGTCAAATAAGGAAAAAGGGGTTTTGCGACGACCGAAAACCATTACAATTGGAGTGAGATCCTTATCATTTGTAAGACAAACGAGACAAATGTCAATTCTGTTTTACAAAGATATTGATAAAATGAGAGAATCAATTAAAAATTGTGGGTTTCAATTGCTTCGAGACTATTTGGAACACAACTCAAATATAAGCCTACTTAATGGGGGCAAACCACCACGGGAATTGTATAATAGTGATCCTAAACTGGTCAAGATTATGGACATGCACAACTTGTCATTAACAATTTCTAATTTCGTTGCTTTGAATGATTCAGCATTGATTGAGTCGTTTGCGAAAAGGGGCAAATCACAAACTGATAAAGAGTTGATAGAGATCAATGCATTGTCAAAGAGAAGGAAAATTGAAATAGAGTCGAAAGCTCCACCATCGGTAAAGAAATCGAATCCTATATCATCAGAGCAAAAACAAACCATATCAAAACTATTTCAAGATTATGAACAAGCAAACATACTCAATAGTGTCGAATCTGAGTCTAAAGCGTTCTCGAAATCAAAGTCACGGAAAAGCGAAAGCCCAACAATAAACAAGAGAGACATTTTTCAAACTTTACGGAAAAAGCCAGCTAATCTACTTGATTCCCTATTACAAAATATGTATTGTCCTCGATGCAAGACTTCAATCCAGGATCCAGTAGAGCATAATGATTTCCACATTGCTATGGATTTGTCAGAGAAATGGAATAACTGAGATTGTGCATAGTTACTTCCTCAAACACTGAACAAACAACGGAATACACTTAGCTTTGTCAGTCATCCATTCTGGATGCAAGTGTAATGATCCTTTGCTTATCACGCTTTCGATTCTCTTGTTCTCTAACCACCGACTCGGCAAAGATATTATCCGAAGGTAAATTGAGTTGTTTAACTTTTTGGTTTTTGCCATTCTTAGTCAACAATCCAAAAGCCACTGTACCTTGTTGATTAGCCCTAGGTGAGGATCTTTTGGAAAGGTCGAGTTGACTAGGAAGTGGTAACGATTGCTTGAAAGTTGATGACTTGCCCAGTAGGTTCTGCAGTTGCAGCAGTTGCAGCTGCTGCGTTGATCCATATGACTCAAGCATGATCTTTTGGAATTCGCGATCCAAATCCTCCTGGAATTTTCGTTCCACTTCGAGTCTAGCCTTCTCTGCTTCCGATAGGGGGTCTTCGGATGATGATGATACACGTGAGAGCTCTTTATCAAGGAGCACTTCGTCTTCCTCATCAGATTCGTCACTTTCGTCATCATCGTCCTCACTATCATCAACATCGGCCGCACTATCTTCATCCGCTTCTTCTTGATCATCGTCATCGTCATCGTCATCATCATCATCACCATCGTCATCGCTTTCGTCATCATCTTCTTCCTCTTCATCATTATTGGCATCGCTATCGTCGTCTGAGCTTACAGTGACTGAATCCACCCCTTCGGTTTCGTTCTCAATAGCTTCATCTTCCTTCTCCAACAAAAGTTCCGCCTCCTTTCTTCTTTGCATGGCACCATCCAAGCTGGCGATAACCTCATTTATTGTGTCATACCGTTTCACAGTGGGAATGCTCTTGTACTTTTTAAACAAATCGTCCAACTTGAATCTTACATCCACTGGGAATGGTGCCTCTTTGCAGTACAAATAATATTGGAAAAACGTTAAAAATACCCCCAAAAGATTCTTGTTAATATCATTCCTTCTCTTGATACTTGCAGCACGATTCAGTGATTTTTTCCTGCCAACATCGGTATCCATGAAAATTGACTTAATAGATAGCAACAACAAACAACATATTTGTACTCTAAAGTAATTATTCGGCAAGTCAATTTCAACCTCCCAATTCTGAGGCAACGGTTGGTTCTGGGGATGCCCATAGCAAACAATTCGATACAACATATCATTAACAAGCTTGAAATTAATCACCTTATAGTTGTAAAGCTCTGCCAAAAATTTCACCTGTGCCATTCGAGTTCTATTCATCCTAAAATCATTAAGTTCTAAACCACGGATGATATTCTCTAAAACGGTATCCACACAAAGTACCACTAAGAATTTGTTTTTTTCGCCAAAATTCAGTAATGTTTTCGCAAGTGAAGGTATATTGTCATAATTCACCAAGTTTGGACTCGAGAAACAATCAACCATTGTTTGAAACTCAGGCTGGCCAAGATTAGTGAATTTTGATTTGAAAAGCTTGACAACAAGTGGTTGGGTATCCGCATTTAGCTCCTCTCTCAAAATTTTCGCAACAAATTTTTGTTTTGATGATAATTTCGGTACGTGCCTAAGTGATTGCACTTTTGCTACCGGTGGCTCTACTGTAATTAATAGATTGTTGATGGCTAATTTGTCATTCACCTTCAAGTTGGATTGCTTCAGCTTTTCTTTCAACAAGCCAATCATTTCACGCATCAAATCCTTACTATCTGCATCGTGAAGTAAAAACCTCCCCACATGTTCATAAAACACAGTCAAAATTTCCAAATTATTTGTCGATGTAATGTTCAACGTCAAACTACGTATTTTGTGGAATACAACGTGTTTAGGCACCATTTTGAATTTAACCAACTCAACAAAAAACAATATGTTCTTAACATTGAGTTTATTTCGATGAATTCGAGATCGAAATCCTTTGTCTAAATATATAATCAATTCCTCAATCAATTCAGACAAATTGAGTTCATTGATCTTTAAGAATCTAGTATAGTATTTGAGGTTATTCACGGTAGACGTCTCAATGAAAAATCGCATAATCCTGTTCTTCGTGGCTTTGTTATTTAAATTCAAATTGTTAAACTCCACCACAAGTTGTTCTAAATTGTTCCCTCTAACATCTTCCAACCGATCCAAAAACTCCTGAATCTTTTCCCCATCCTTGTTTGACTGCGTGGATTTACTTTCGCATATTTCTGGGTGAGCTTCCATTAATTCGCCTAGCAGCGGAATAACTGTGTAAAAATTCTTTTCCTTCACGTCTTCCCAAACTCCATACAAGTCTTCGTCACTACTAGCTGCTTGCTTGACGACCTCAATAGCATTATCTTCCTCTTCCACCTCTTCCGCTGAATCGTTCAAATCATTTGGCAATGGTATAGTACATACCTGAGATAAAAAACTTGCCACAGATTTGAAATGCTCAAACAATTTTGTTTTTTCATCCAATTCAAGTTGTTCAGTTTCTTGAATACGTCCAGTTCTTATAGCTGCTTTCTTATTGCGAACATCTAATTTATGAACTTGCTTTTTTAGCTTCATCATGATACCAAATACTGCCTCGGTATAGATGAGGAATATCTGTTTGAGCACATTTTTAGTGTCCAGTGGTAATAATTCATCTTCAACAAAAATAATGTGACCGTATCTTCTCAAAAAAGATTGAACCATGTTTAAGCTTCTTCCCAGTTCGATGTCAAAATTTAACAAGTACTTCAACAACAAAGTCAAAATAGGCTCATTTCTTCTTTTATCCAATGAGTAAACCCTGATCACTTTTATATCCAAGTCATCCAAGAAGTCGTTGGCCGTTCCCAATATTCCAACGATGTAAAATTCACCAACCAAACGCAATAAATTTTTTTGGCGAGTCACACAAGAAGGATCATCCTTGTCGTCTGACTTTGATGGGTTCATCATCTGCACCAATATATTGTTTAACAATTCACCTATAAACTGTTTCCCGAATCTTTGATGTAACGCCGAGACAACCTCTACGGCCGCATTAATGTCATCATTTTTGGAAACTTTGCACAAGCCGTCCACAATCGAAACGATAACTTCCGACAAGTACTTTTCTATAGAAACAGACCCAATGTCTTTCAAAACATTAGCATACTGGTCCTGATTTAATCCAGTTTTCACTTTCTTGATAAATGCTGAATTTTTCTTCAAGGATGAATCCAACTTGGTTGCAAGAGGGAAATCGTACTCTCCAGCCCAAGCTTTTGAATTTATCTCCAACAATTCTTTTCGTCGACCATCGAATTCAGTTGTCATTAGTTATAGTGTTGGTTATTGCATAGGTTTTTATAAGTTAATGCCACAATGTGAGTATGGTTCAAACTGTCCTAAGTAGAAATGAAGTCTTGAGATTTTTTACATTCACATTTTTTTACTTTTTTCCGCTTCGATCAAAGTACCGATTTTAACTTCATACAATGGCAGCTCACCTACATGTTCATTACATATATACAAGTTTAATTACATAGCCGTTCCTAAAGGTTGATAGGATCCATACTTCTAAATTTTTCATACACTCTTCCCTCGCCTAAGCCATACAATTGTCTAATTTCAGGTACGCTTCTGTCAAACTTTTGCCTCCAAACGTGAGCCCCAATTGGAGTCAAGCCGTGTTTAGCAACAAACTCTCTAATGTCGAAATTCTCGCTTGTATCTGAAATGTCACCAAGGCTTTCGGATTGTCTAAACACCCATAAACATGCTCTTTGTGCCGGAGCGTTTTTCTCTGGAGTCAACGGAACGTATTCTTGAAAAGTAATTCTTGGTCCCACTTCCATCAACTTAGAAACGTCTATTACATTGTCAGCATTATTGAGGGGGACGTTTTTCAATCCATAATGCATAGTAGTTGTGAACGAGTTTGTCTCCAAGTTTGGTGTATCAGGATTCACCAACAAAATTGTGTACAAGTTGTTGTTACCTTCAACACGATCAAATTCTTGAATGTGTATCGTTGGAGGTTCAGAAACCGCAAATGCGGGTAACAATTCTCCAGGGGTTACCCACTTGCTGAACTGATCATCTGTATTGTGAGTGAATTTGACTTTCACATCAGCCTTTGGCACCAATGTTGGTAAAGTGTCTGGTATAACATGTAACTGTTCGAGTCTTTGCATGGTGACCAACAAATCATAATTTTCCCATTTTTGCTTCAACAAATGTCTATAAATTGGTTGTGTTTTGTCTAGTTGTTCGGGCTCAAAAAATTCAGCATTGTATAAGACCTCGGGATTTTGAGCCTCAGCTTCTATCAAATATTTGTCAATTTGTTCTTTTATAGCAACCACATTCTTTTCTGATGTAGCATTTTCAAGAGATTTCTTCAAACGGTTCACAATTTTGTACTTTGAATCAGCCTCATTCTCCAAAATCTTGTATGCCATTTGAAAAGTTTCGTCAATCGCGAGAGGGGAGTGATAAGATAGGCTTTCTTCCTTGTTGTTCATTGATGCTGGTCCCTTTTCTGGGTTCACTTGCCCAAACAAAGTGTCCTTAATTGAATCATTGTTAATTTTCAAAGACGCGGCACGTTGGCTAAAGTCTGTCCAAATTCCGTTAGCCTTGGTACTTTGGCATCTTCTGAGTTGTAACAAACCACTTCTCAAGCCGTACCTACTACTCATCATGGGGTAAATAGTTGCACTCCTTGAGACTGAGATTTTTTACAATTTTGCAAAAAATTTTTTTTTCTTCTCTTTCCTCTTGATAGCCAGACGGACGCAAATAGATAAAGCATGAACAACAACCATTTCATTTGCTTACCTACTATAAATGCTATTGGTTTATAAAAATCATTGTCATTAATTCATATTATACATAATTAAAGTCTACTTTGTATTAAAAGGGTCTGATAAGGAATGGTCGTGGTGACCCAAGTCTTTCCCCTGGGTCAACTCAATGATCTTCCGTTGCAAGATCATCACATAGTCTTTCAATTGGACATTCTCATTATTCAAGTTCTCATTTTTTGCTTTCAACTCATCGATTTCCTGTACCCTCTTTTCTAAATCTTGAATGTATTTCTCCCTTCTCTGTCTGAATGCCCTTTGTGCATTCCTATTTTGCTCTGCTCTCTTAGTGAATGAAGATATTTGCTTAGGGTTATATTTCAGATTTGAAGACGCCCTTGACAAACCTGGGTCTGTTGCGGAAGAAGCATCAATACTTGACGATGTATCCATAATGGGCGACTTCTCATTCACCGCAATTGACTCCAGTGAGCGGAAAGCCAAGCTATTTTGTACGTGGTTTTGTTGCAGCAGATGATGTTGATGAATATCATCATTTTTAGTCTGCCAATTAGCGTAATTCATGATGATTGGGAGAGGAGTTGGTGCTGTTTTAATTTTTGGTTGCAAAGTATACTTCCAGGTTCCCCTATGCTGACAAATTGATTACTTAATTCTTTTCTATTGTGGGTTCTGGTGTGACTTAAAAAATAAAATCAATCTCTCATTTTTTGTTGACACTTTGTTGACCTTCTTGCGGGTCGTGTGAAATGGATTAAAAAAATTATAGAGAGGAGGATACCGTATATGTGATGTTGCAACTGTAGTTCAATAAGCTTTCATAGCCCAAAGAACAATATTGCATAAATTAAGAGGCTCGACCTTTAAGCGAAAAGAGACGAGTGTGGGTAACGACATCGGTTGGGCACAAGGAAAAATGAAAGGGCGTGTTTACAAATGACTTCTATCTTTTTCTACTTGCAAATATTTCAATCTCATCTAGCATCTTCTCGAATGCTCAACCATAGTGTAGTCCAAAGTCACATCCTATTAAGCGCATTCCATCATCATGGACCAATAAGGAGGCTCTTGAAAGAATAGTGTGCCTGCACTGCTTATGTCTGGGATCATACGATTTGGTGAAAAGAAAATATAAACAAAAGTTGTGCCTTCAGTATTAATATACTACTTTCCTGCACATAGACATAACTAACTTTAATATATTTTGTCCAATTATTGTTATGATAAATGTTTTACTATATTCTATGTGCTAAAATGTTTGGAGCTACCAATTCTTTTTCCAATGTGCTTGAAAAAAAAAAAAAAACATATGAGAAAAGAATAAGAAGGAAGAACTTAATAGAAAATTACCAAATCTAATAGGTTCATCATCACGTTTCCATCTGATTACAAAGGTGAATTGAAAAACCACAGGTTTACCCCAGACCAATTACACAAACTCTACTACTGTTGAGAATCATCGTCATCGTAACTAACACAAGCAATTTGAATCTTTATCCTAAGAACAAACAACAAAGCTCTATCTCGAATTTCTTTTTATTTATTTCAGCATGATATCATCAACCATTCGTTCAGCATTGAGATCAAGATTGGCAGTTCAAACTCCAAGAATTTCCAATGTTATGAGATTGACTCCAATTGTCAGACCAACTTTTCAACAAAGCGTTAGATCATATTCTTCTGACCACCAAGATGAAACTTTCGAAGAATTCACAGCTAGGTATGTACTATTAGGGACACCACGTGCTTTAAGTTTACCCATTTACTAACCATTTCTAGATACGAAAAGGAATTTGAAGATGCTTACGATTTATTCGAAGTGCAAAGAATCTTGAACAATGTATTCTCATACGATTTGGTCCCAGCCCCAGTTGTCATTGAAAAGGCATTACAGGCTTGCAGACGAGTAAACGACTACCCAACTGCCGTTAGAACTTTTGAAGCTTTGAAGCACAAGGTCGAAACTCCTGAACAATACGCTGCTTATTTGGAAGAGTTGCAAGACGTTAGAAAGGAATTGGGTATTGATTTGAAGGAAGACTTGTACGGAAACGAGGCTTAAGACTTCTAAGAAATCATCCCATGAAAATGCCAAAAATTATTTGTAACGTTCAGTTTTATATTATTATAATGCAAGCATATAATTGAGAAAGTATGTAGCGGCTGTAGGAGCAGGTGAAATCTACGTTTGTAAGTAATTTCAATACCGTGCAATGCCTTTTGGGTCCACACAATGCAAATTTATCACTGTCAACCTGTTTCCAGATGATTCCAATTTCTTTTACAAGCGTGATCCCGTCGCTACCAAATCATTTACCAATTTCAATTTTAAAAGGCACACACTCCGTTGTAGCAACTAGAAAGTACAATTCCAATACACATTCTTTGCCAACGACAATGGGAGTATACATACCGCCTCCAAGTGATAACAATAACAATGATCGAGATGATTCAAAAGGTAAACATTCGAAAAAATCTACACCCAACATTCCTACCAATCCACTCACATCTTCCCCCTCCTCCTCCTCAGACTCCACAACTATAGTGATACCCAACCCTAAATCTCTTATTCCTCACAACCCAAGTGTTGGATTAATTTGGGGTCCTCTTACCCCATCATCTGATAACCGTCCAGCTTTGGCAGCAATGGTTGGTTTACAATTCTTACTAGGTGTGAGTTGTTTCAGAGGGGCTCGGAATCAACTTAGGCACCGTCTTGTCGCAGTGCCCAATAACCGTCCGCCACAATCTGTTCGTAGTGGCTCCATATTTAAACTGGCAGTGTTTGTCGCAGTTGGTGCCACATTGGTGTTTGGAAGCGGGTTGGAGATTAGTCGAATGATCTTACCATATGACCCTTGGTATGAAGAAGCACGACACTATAGGAAAATGGCAATCAAGAATGGCGATAAACCAAGCTTATGGTTTGGAGCTTACAGATACTACCAACCAATGACATTACGGAAATGGAGCGAACTATTACATAACTGGTTTGAGAATGTTAGCCAAGAGTTGGAAGAGCCTGATGGATTTCGAAATTTGTCTATTGAACTTGGTGAAAAGAATAATGTGTTGAGTGTTGGTAAAAGTGGTCCCACTGGGGGAATTTTGGAGAAATTAAATAACAGAGGCAAGTACAATGAAATTCATGCAAAATTAAAAGATAACAACGACAAACGATTTGACCACATGTTGAGCAATGAATTAAAAGATGTAAATGAGTTGAATAAAGCTGAGAGATTGGATTTAATTTTGGAGGGAAAGAGTGAATTGGTTAATGAAAGTTTTTCCAAACCCAGCATAACGTTAGGCTCACATACCATCGATAACGACGACGACTTTGAAATGGTGTGGCTCAATTTTGAACCATGGGATGAGTTGAAATTAGAGACTGACTATGATATAAGGCTAATCCCCAGGTACGCATTGCCAGAAGAAGAAAGCAATGAGGATGAATCAAAGAATCAACCCGTCTCTGAAACAGCCGACAAAGTTATATAGTACTTTCATTCTTATTTATATACAATACTTTACGAGCTTTCCTTTATCAAATCATCTGCCCATTTCAATGCATCTTTCTCGGCTTTTTCCAAAGCAGGTTTATTGTACTTTTCCAAGTGTTCCCTCCATTGTATCTCGGCTGGGTCCTGGTCGGGCTCTACCCATTCAAAACCATCACCACCTGTCATCCAATAAGCTTGAAATTTCAATTTCTCTAAATCATCCTTGAGTTGCATCAACCTTATCTTGTGGCCCTCGCGATCGTACCCAGGGTTCAACGTGTCCGTATTACTACGTATCTCTGGCGCAGGTCGGCAAATCTCATCAGTAATTGCCGGATTGGATTCTCCATTGTTCAAGTCACGATCAGCCTCAACGATTTTTGAATTGAATAGCATTTCATCAGCGTGTTTAAACCAGTGCGAATAAAATGTTCCTCGTTGCCACGTTAAGAAATCTCCCCCTGAACTGATGAGCTGGCGTCCAAATTTGACAATAGTTACAAAAAAGCTGGAGTTTATAATATATGTCAATAGAATCGAATTTATGGCACCAAGATGGTCCCACGAGGCAGGTAATACACCTGCATCAATCAAAGACGTCACTCCAAATTTGGTAAAGATTGTTACTGCAGCTGCAGTGGAAATAAGCTTGATGATTCCACTTTTAAGAATGGCCCCTTGATGGGAGATATAGTTTGGGTGCCCTACAGTGACATCCGAGATCTTGATGGCTCTATGAAAGTCGGCATTGTACAACGCATTCCTAAGAGGGATAAGTGCAATCAGTTTGTTTATAATTGTTTTGGATTCCGAGTTGACTTTGTAGTATTCATTGATAATTTTGAGATTCAATTCTGTCGGTAAGTTTAGAAGCAAAAGTTGTTTCAACAACCGGGGCGAAAACTTCACTGTCTTTTTGGAGAAAACTTCATCGATTATGTTCTTTGAATGCTGAGTGAGAACAGAATTTGATTCAAGCTGATCCTGTATAGGGTATCCAGATTGAAGGTTCTTTATTGAGGAAACCGCATTGACAATCTCGTTATCGGATGGATTATTTGAGATGGATGCTCTTATCATTTTGCGGAGCGAATCATAGTCTTTGATATACTCATATGAAATTGGTGTTGAAAGCTGTCGAAAACTACCAAAGCAGCAGAGCCTAGGACTAGAACTTGGCCTTATTAGTCCATACCTGATCATCGTTCAGTCTGGTCTTCCATAAATATCGTGGGTGTAAGAAAAAAAAATACAAAACTTTAGATTAACTCGCGAAGCATCTCTATAAAAACTATAAAACTATTGAGCCAAAATAAAATAAACAAGCTAAAATTGGGCTCACTTTAACAAGTGATCCTGTATTTCCCGATTGACTACTTTCTGCACCGGATTCAGTAGATGACTCTTGATTTTCACTAGAGGAAGTGGACCTCATCACTCTTGTAGTGACAAAAGAAAGACCTTTTGTAGTGTCATCAACACCAGTACTATCATTTGCGGTGTCTGGGTTTGCTGTAGTTGAGGCGGCTGTTTCTGCTGTGTCTGTTTTGGCTGTGGCTGTATAAGCGGCAAGTTGGGCAGCATCCATGGTGGCTGTATTAACTGACGAAGATGCTGTTTTGGCTGTAGCAGTGTAAGCAGCAAGTTGAGCAGCATCCATGGTGGCTGTATTGACCGATGTAGAAGCCGTTTCTGCGCCTGCTGCAGCAGTATCGGCAGTTGCAGCGTCTGCGGGAGTTCTCGTAGTACCAGTTGTGGCAGTATCAGTATCAGCACCAGCAGCTCCAACAGGGGTCGTAGCTGTACCCGTAGTACCCGTTTTAGAAGTAGCTGTGCCAGTTTTGGTAGTTCCTGTGGCGGTGCCCGTCGTTGCTGCACCTGTTGTTGCTGCACCTGTAGTGGCTGTAGCAGCGCCTGTTGTAGCAGCGCCAGTTGTAGCAGCGCCAGTTGTAGCAGCGCCAGTTGTAGCAGCGCCAGTTGTAGCAGCGCCAGTTGTAGCAGCGCCAGTAGTTGCGGTATCAGCAGCAGCAGCAGCAGCAACAGCGCCCGCTGTGGTTGTAGCTGCACCAGTGGTTGGCGTGTCAGCAACAGCAGCAGCAGCAGCATTTGCTACGGTTGTTGCTGTAGTGACAGGGTCTGCGGCAGCAGCGGCTGCAATTGCATCAGCAGCTAAGCAGTAGCCACAAAGAAGAGTCCAAACTGCCGTTTTCTTCATAATATAAGCGAATGTGTGTGTGTATGTATATGTCTGCAACTATTGATAATCTCAAAGAGTGCCAGTTATCAAGTAGCAGAAGTCGTGTCAAATCAAGTTTATGTTTTGGCATTGAAAATCGTGGATGAAGGAAAAAAAATCGAGTATAAAAAAGAAACGACCTGCTAGGAGCCAAAAATTGGAATATAACACAAAATCAGATCTAAGGGGATCCAGACATAACAACAGCTTTGATATAATATATCTACAAGTATTATTTAAAAATGCAGTGGAGAATGTTTTCATTGGAACTTATAAACTGTTTCGATACGGAACACATATATCGAGAATTTTCTTTTTGCTTACACATAGAGCACACGCGTGACTACAATCCACGAGAAACTGCATACAAATTGAATCAACATTTCCCTCATGCCTTCTTTTTCTTCTTTCGCTGCCTGCAATCAGGACAATACCATATTTCATCTGGCTTGGGAGCAGACGTTATACCCACGCAGCTCCAGTGAAACCACTCGTACTTGCAATCTTCATTATCGCATCCAATCATTTCACCAAATGAGACTCTTTGACAGAAACAATAGAGATTATTGTCTGCATCCTCACCCTGAGGACCGTCCATATTGGTAGGAACGTCAGCTGTAGACCCACTTAGCGCTAACGAACCTGCATCATACCCTAAATTATCTTCAACCTCCTCGGACCTCAATCTTTTATTAGCTCTACTTGACGATGCCGCTGGGGTTGCAGAAACGGAAACAATACCCTTTGTGGCAGCTTTCCTCTTGAGTCCCTTCTTGACTGGCTGCTCAACAGCGGGAGTAACAGACAAGGTATTTCTAGGTGTTGGTGTCGCTGATAAAGTGTCTGAAAGTCCATTTAACGCATTTGGATAGTCATCCCTGTTCATTGTTTGTATATCCACAGGTGCCTCTAGTGGTGGTAAAAGCTCATCCCGTTCTAGCTTAGTAATATCGGTTTCGAAATTGAATAAATGCTTCGAAACTAAGAATAATGCCGTATTTGCGAGTAGTATCTTTTCCTTTTGAACTTTCTTAACCTGTTTCATGTCTTCTTCTATTTTGGTATAAATTTGTTGTTCTTTGGGATGTTTCGCAAGAGTACCATTGGTCCTGATAAACTTGTGTATTTGGCTGTCTTTTATCTGGCATTGTTTTCTAATCTCAGCAACTTGTATATCTTTGTTTCTGATCTCTTCTAGTAGGTGTCGTATTTCCAAAGGTAAGTTGGAGAGGTCTTGTGTGTATTTATCAAGCACTGATGATGTATCCATGACAATGTGATGATGATCAAAGCGTGTGTACGGGCTTGTGCATGTGGATATCTTTTTTTTTTTTTTTATGTTCATGATCTTTTGGGGCACTCGATGCTTTTTAAACCACAATGTCTGAGAACGAATTAATTCAAGAACTTGCCAATCTAAAATTGAAAGACGATGGGACAACTCTGATCAATTGTGAGGTGTTCAGCAAAGAGAAGCTAGCCCAATTGCGAAACAAGCTTCAGGATCCGAAGTCCAGTAACAACGATATTCAAGTTTTATCCCACCAATTGATTGACAATCCAACTCAAGTGTTGCTCTTTTTAAAAATACTTGATGATCAATCTGGGACTATTTTGGCTAGGTTGATAAAGTGTACCCAGGATTCATACGATTCACTTGTTTTGGATGTGTTGAGTGCAATTCGTGGCATATTGATCACGTCTTCCAACGTCAGAGAGTACTACTTGAAAGTTTACATTTCCCTAATAACGCAATTCAGAGTCACAAATATTCAACACTTGAACTTATTCTTGACGTTTGTATGTGAAAACAAAGATATAAACAATGCTGTTCTTGTTATATTGGCTCATGACTTAGAGTTGAACAAGAAGGAAAGTACGGAGACAGTGCATGAGTACTTGCAGCTACATATGGATGAACAGAGTTTAGATGGTCTAGAACTAAAGAATTTTCTATTGACCCTAGAAATGTGCTTCCCCCTCCTTCCTAAAATGTGTTCCGCGATGTATTGCAGCTCAGAGACCAAGAATCACATACTTGACTCATTTTCAAATCATGAGAATAATCCTGTCACTACAATCCCCATTTTGAAATGCGTTGCAGCGTCGTCAATTCTGGAAACTTGTCGTGATTTCACCATTAAAGAATATTACTCGTATTTGGCTGATAGCTTGAAATCACAGCATGTACGCATACGAATTTTAGCCGCTTTGAGTGTAGTGAAATTGTGGACATTCATTCAAGCACAACAGAAATCGGCTATACACGTAACTGACCTCGCCAAAGATTTACTCTTATACACTACTAAAGGTGACGATCCCGAATACATTGAGTACTCACTCGAAGGTCTCGTTTATTTGAGCTTATTTTGGAAAGTTCGAGATCAAATCCGAATGAACATCTCTTTCATCGAGAAGTTGTTACAGATTTTGCAAACCTATTCCACTGAAAAAAGGATCAACACGTCTGTGCAATACGGAGTTTTGTCTATTCTATCAAACACTACAAAGCTAAAACAGCCAGAGTTTGACACTACGAAAAAGAAATTGAAAAATGTATCAGCACCACAGATGGAATCCGAAAGCAACGAGGAAAGCCAAGACAACATTAAGCTTTTCAACAAACAGTTGGTTGAGCAGTATCAAATCATTTCCAAATTGAGTGCCATTAAAACGTATCAATCGTCAAGTGGTAACAACTTCAATGAAATAATCAGCATCATTTATCACCTTTCGACAGATCAATCAAAGGGCATGCGAGTAGAGCTTGTTAAACAAGGAGCATTGGTTTTGGTGATGAATTTTTTGGTGAATACCAGTAAAATCGAGAAATCTACAAGTATAGTGGTTGCCAGACCAACACAAAAGAATGAGATGATCCCAGAGCAACGGTTCAAAGCATTGCGGAGCTTGGCAAGGTTGTTGATTTGTGTCGATCCCCAAATCTCTTTCCAAAAATATGACGTCAAATCAGCCATACCATTTCTTGTTGAATTACTTGGACCTGTCACATCAGACTCTGCTAATCCAAAACAATCGTATTTGCACGAAATGACCTCATTAGATCGATATGAATCCTTACTAGCGTTAACAAACATTGCTGCTGCAGAAAATCCTGACACGCGAAAGTTACTAGTGTCTCAGATTATCCCCCACATCGACGACTTAATTGTACTGCAAAGCTACATTCAAATATCTTCGTTTGAGCTTTTGAACAATTTGATCAGCGAACCTATTCTATTGGCTAAATTCTTTAATATCGAACTAGCCGCGAATAAACAAAGGTTGGATATTGTCGTTAAATTGTTGAATTCAGATGAGTTGAAGTTGCAAGTTGTGATTGCCGGGTTTTTGGTGAATGCCACAAACTTTGACATCATTGCGGATGTCCTTGTTGATTCAAAAGCAATATTCAATGAGTTGATGGAGACAATAACTAGCATATTGTTGGAGCAAGTGAAGGACAGCGATTTGGTTGACCCGGTATCGTTTTTGTTGGTTAATTTAGTGTATGCATTAGCTAACAAAGATGAGACGCAACTTAAAAGTCTCAAATCTGACAAGCTAAAATCTGCTTGTATGAACGTTTTGAAGAATGGATCTAGTGAGAGCAAAGAATCAATATCTAGCGTATGGAGTCTACTTGAAACTTGATATTTATTATGCTAAAAGTTGATCAATCTTTGTGCCAAAGTACCCGAGTCATGTTCAACAGTTGATATCGATTGTCGAATAGTTTGTGATGCTTTATCGCTCTCCAATTGAACTTTTATAGCTTTATGCAAGCTAGTGAGATACTCGGCAAACCCTATTCCATTTGCGGCCTTCATTGCTCCTCCGAAACTATCCTCTCGTAATAGCTCTTTGAAATTGTGTTCAGAACCATCGATACCTTTTCTTATAATTTGTATTGATAGGGTATCGGCACCAACAATGTGTTTGTTGAGAAAATGTACCAAGTTGCGAGCTTGCTGGGAAATTTCTGATGGCAAGTCGGGCAACTGGTCAATAAAGGCATCAATTTCATCTATGCTTTCATATTGATCCCCAAAAAGATCCTTAATCAACATTATATTTGCTTCTGGGTCAAGCCAAACATACACTCGTAACCCATCGCACAAAATATAGACACCGCGATCCAAACTCTTCATTTTCAAATCTTTGTATTCAGGGACTAAGGTGAAGCCAGTTGCCTCGTCTATAACTCCCTCCTCCGGGGTTAATGAATGTAATTCAACCAACGCAGGGTACAAGTGGTACATTAATCTCTCTAAAGGCATGTTTAACATGTTAAACAAGTCAACCAATCTTGCATCGGCTGATAATCCTGTGGATGCATTTATTGCGTGAGTCTTTAAAAAACTCAATATGTAAATAGGCAAGTGTTTCAATGAATCGGGGAACAAAAGGTTATTGTTCATTGATCTAGCACTGTTATGCCCATACTCGGTCATGGCTCGGTATTGTGAAAAGACATCCACCAACCTGGTATTGAGAGACTCTCTTAATGATGCCAATGTTTGCTGACCAACAAAGTTGAGCGTGTCTCTCACCAAAGTGGCAACAATGGCATTTTCATCGGCGAAATTGAAAACATCTTCTAGTTTATTGGTCACTGCTAAAACCAAATTGATAACACGAACCTTTCTTTGGCCAAAATTGTCAGTGTAAAGCAAAGCGGCTTGGAAATGGCAATCTAACTTCCGACTAAGTGTGCCATCATATTGGAGCAACACTGTAAATGTATGATCTTTGCTCAACACAGGGACTACCGGATCTTGTACCGAACCCAAGATACTAGCATCCCTTACAGACGACGACGTTCCATAATAATCGATAACCTGCAACCCATTCGAGCAACGTAATTTCAACTGTCCTTGATACCCACTAGTATTTACAACTGAATTTTTGAATTTGGCGATAAACAAACGACCATCCCTTTCATATACGAGGTTTGGCCAACGTGTCAACTCACCTCCGGTGGACGACACTATGAATCCAAGATTTGAAAGATCAACAGATGTATGGCAAGCAACATGAAGGTCCAATCCGATACTTTTCTCAATGAATCCTTTGGTCGTATTTTTATAGTACTCATTGTCAGGTAAAAAGATCTTCCTCTCCACTTCAGGAGCTGGGGTTCGGCCAACTGCTTTATTGTCCTTATACCTCAAACCTCCTGGACCCCATGAAGGCAAGTTCGACAACACTGAAACTATTTTGCCTCCACCATGCATTTCCAAGCACATACCTGCAGTTTTGCAAGCGACTGCAAAGCAAGGCTCTAAATCAAACACATGTGTGTCGGAATGGCACAACTGCTCTACATAATTTAACGCATCCTCTATAACAAGCCTGCTTTCTTCGGGGTCTGCAAACAATCCTTCATCAAATGGAACAAAAGGATCCTCAAGGTCTGAGGATATTGATACCTGAGTTCTTTCGAGTTTCGCCGACAAGTTGAAAAAATGCAACTTTTTATCGAAAGCAATAATGGCTATTTTATATGGAATTGGCTCTGTAGTTGATTCATCATTGTAATTGAACAAAGTTGCTCTGATGGATTCACTCACTAGAATGGGTAAATTCTGTTTAATACTATTTTCTGTGATATCAATCAAGAATACAATATGCAATGGTTCTGGGTCCCTACTAGTGCCCCCAAAATTGTACTCTTTTGGAACACGCATATCATAGACACTCTTGTGCAATTCGGGACGAACAAACTTGTCAATTCTAAATCCCCTGGCATCAAGTGCTGACGCGTACTCCAGTGGCACTTCATTGTTGGCAAATTGGCAAATGTTGCAAATAAATCTTTGATTGTGGGTAAATTGCATCGACGAATTAACATAAGCCCTACATCTGTGACACCTCAATGGACCTTTACTCAATGGATCATCATTTTTCGTAGAAGAGTCGAGGTTGTTGTCATCTTGGAAGTCAACAGTTGGTACTGGTTCCTCTGTATCCAAAAGAGGGGCAAATGGTCTTATAGTCACTGCAACTGGAAGTTTACTCGCTTGTCTTATTTTTTCTGATTCTGGAACGTAATACATTGTCGAGCGCATATACTTGGAGGATGCAGTACCTTGATCAGTGAAATGGAATTGAACACCTGCATCAGGAGGAACAGTTTCAGAAAATGTAAGAAAGGATTTGTAATTTCCTTCCTCATTTGGTGTGTCATATTCTTTCTGCTGCTGGTATCTGTGTGCTTGCAAAGACGGCACTGATTGTTGTGTATTTGGTGACTCGTAACTGACTGAAATAGATTGATTTTGCGGTGGGTATTGTTGTGTTCCTAGAAACTGCGAGTTCAATGCCTCACCAAAACCTGATGTCTGTGGTATGCCAGGTGGAGATACAGGTGCCGGAGTGGGTGACGCAGTTGCCACGGGGGAATTAAAGCTTGTGTGAAATGCTCTTCTTGATCTCTTTTTGTTTGTATGAAATGATGGTTGTTGATTATTTAGATCAAGTGCCTGTAGGTTGTGAGACAACTCATTACCATTACTCAAGGACATCGTAGAGTTAGAAAGGAAATGAATGTGATCGGGCACTATCAAACTGCAACAGGTATCTGGTAAGTGTGGTGTGGGTACTTTTGTTATAAAATTGAGCGTCTGTAAACTTTTTTTGTTCTTTTTGCTTTTTCTTACTCCAAAGATTAATCCGAGGGTGGAAAATTATTTTTGCACGTGCAACGGAGGTACAATACCGACTGTTGAATGTCGTAAAGACAAATAAATAAAAAAAGACAAGGATATTCATGACACTCCCTACCAAGACAATACACACACATATATTTACTCCTAAATACCAAGAAATTTATACAAGCACATTACATTACATTTGAAGAATGACAATCTTTTCTTTTTCAATTTTGTAACACAACATCTCTTGTAGATACGCAAAAGAGTATATAACACACCTAGAGACAAGTGGCGAAAATCAACACAGGTTAATGGTTGTTAGCTTGAAAAATGGTGAGAAGGAGCGATTGTTAAGCTTTCTGAGAGAAGAAGAAACAAAAGCCAAAGAAAAACAAAAAAAAACGACAATGCAAAAAATGAGTGTGTTTTTCTTTATTTTCTTGAAAAACAAAAAAACATTATTCAGTAGAAAGAGTAGTACAGAAGCCAAGCGTAATTTGCACACAACAGCAGCACAGTGTTAATATAAAAGAAACTACATTTTCCCGCTTTTACAAATGTTCCAGCTATGTTGTTTGACAATAATCTACCTCCTTTCGATCAAACGATGGGGAACGACTCACTAATATATCTACTGCATAGCAACATACCCATCAACTGTTCAGTCTACTCATTAACCAATGGTACCATCAAACTACTAGATTACTATAACCAAACATGGAACAACGCCACTAGTCTTCATCACTTACTACCGGCGTATTTCATCACCAACTGTTCCATTCCACACCTTATTGATTTGGTGTCTCAACATGAAAATTCAAATTCGCTGTATAGCGCCGAAGGTCCTTTGAAATTTGAAGGGAGTCCGTATAATGAACGAGATAATGGGGATACATTTATCGCCCTTCTTTTCACATTGTGTGGCTCATGTGTCTCATGTTGGATGTTGAGTTTATTACTTTATCTAACTCAGAAGCATAGAAGAAAGCCGTGGTTGGCCCAACTCACAACAATATTTTATTCCATCGTCACCAGCGTGCTACTAGACAGACTCACCAAGGCAGCAGAGGTTGAGTATTACGATGATAATTTGGATATCATAAAACTAAATTGCAAAGTGTACGACAATAATGTTTATCGAGTATTGATGATTATAACGCAGGCGTTAACCATGCTGTCTTGGTTTCAAATTATTCAACGATTGGTACGACTCAAGTATAAACTGATTACATCAATAATTAATTTTGTACTTATGGCGTCATATATTGCCGTATACATATATTTTCAAGTTGTATTCACTACGAGAGACTATATATCTCATGATATGCAAGATTTGACCATATATCATCGTTGGGATATTGCATGTGTAACATTGAGATTACTCGTTGCCTTTTGGTTCCTAGGAGTACTTGCTTATTACACAACAGTTATGAAAAATCCACGCAAAATATGTTATTCACGGAAATTGTTACCTTTGGCCATATTGGTGTGGTTTTTGTTTGTCTTGGACATTGTTATCAACATACTACACGTTTCTTTATTCAGAACGCGGTGGTTGGTGAGAACGTGGCTAGTTCTTATTCCATATTTAATTGAAATTGGGTTGTTGACTGTCATTTGGGAATGGATATACAATATTTGGATCCTTGAAAAACGATATGAACTTATGAACGTTTTGGGAAGAAGAATTAGTTATGAAGACGTTGTCAGTTTCAAGAATAACGACACAGCAAAGAAGTTCACCAAACTTGATTCCCTTATAGACTGGATAGTTGCCAAGTTTACCGGTCAAACAACCATCAATCATGTTGAAGAAAGATCGGATGATAGCTTAAAGGAGTATTTCACTCTGACGAATTCCGAAGGTTCAGAGGTGAGGCCAAATGCAATTCCTTTACAAGATCGACAAAGTTATTTGCGCGAGATACAATCTACACCAGAGCCAGGTGATGGTGACTATTCAAATCGTGCTGGACACGATATACGACGTAATGATGTAGTCACGTCGCACAATGAACCTATTGACTCTACTTCTGAGTCAGTTCATCAGAACGATCATAACGACCAAATTGTTTCGACCGATCTAGGGGATTATGACGATCAGTACGATGATCAATATGTTAATGATTATGAGATGTGGAGCGAAGATGATAGAGATGCAGAGGACTCTGGTGATGATATTGCTGGACAGAGAAATCACACCCACGGAGACTAATAGAGGATGATCTTGCGGCTTTTTCGTTGTAAGGAAAAAGGTGGTTTACAACAATCTCATTGAGTTTGGCAAAGCCCAATAAAAATGTATAGTTTACTTCGTTGCCAAAAATGTATTAATTAAGAATTATTATAGACATTGATTTAAGCAAAATGTTTTCGCTTGTGAACTTTTGTCAGATTTCAACACAAATATTTGTTGACACAATACTTCCCGCCGAAAAGAGCTATATAGCTGTTTGGTAAATGTTTACTTGGCAACAGGACCGATCGGTTAACAAAGAGAAGTTGCATACGAGTGGTACTTGAGCATTGTCTTGTGTGAATGCGACAAACTTATAAAGGATCACGTGATAAAACAATTAAGCTTAGCGATGAAGGGATCTTAAGGTACAGAAAGGGCACCTTACCATCAGAGTGGTCCACTTCACAACCTACAGAACACACGGATGCAAATATTAAAGTTTTTTACTGTTGTCGTGTGTGACATAACCCTCTCCTAATGTGAATACATTTCGCAAATGCTTCCAGAAATTTCTTTGTGTTCCATGACCTTCTTCTGTGACCTAAAAGAAAAAAAAATATATATAAATATTCCGCCATTTTTGTACCACCCCTTAATTAACCATACACCTCCCATAATCGGGAGAGTAAAGGAATACATTGCTATATATTTCATGAAATCTGCTCCTCAATTGCCAAATCCTTTTTATTTTTTCCAGATTTATATTACTATTGCTACACGATCGCTCTAAATTGAAAATGTTATCATCGAAAATTGTTAGAAATAGAGTACTAAGAACAGTTCCGAGCTTTCGCTTGACTCAAACATATTTGCCAGTGACAACACAATGTTTAACTCAATTGCAATACAAACAGCCAACCAGTCAGCAGGTCCAGATGTTGGCCACATCCCAAGCTCACCGCAGTAATAACGTGGGACGCTTGCACCAAGTTAGAGAATTCCATTCATCCACACCAAGATCATTGCAGATGCAACAAAATCCAGATGACCAAGACAATAGGCCAGCATTGGAGAAATATGGTACTGATTTGACCCAACTAGCAAAAGACGGTAAATTGGACCCAGTTCTTGGTCGTGATGAAGAGATTCGTCGTACGATACAGATATTGTCAAGAAGAACAAAAAATAATCCCATTTTGGTTGGTAAGGCCGGTGTTGGTAAAACAGCTATCATGGAAGGTTTAGCTCAACGTATCATTAAAGGAGAAGTTCCCGAATCAATGAAAGATAAACATATCATCACATTGGATTTAGCAGGAATTATTAGTGGTGCCAAATTTAGAGGAGATTTCGAGAGCAAATTGAAGTCAATTTTGAAGGAAGTTGAAGACAAGCACGGACAAGTGATTTTATTCATTGATGAATTCCATTTGTTGATGGGATTGGGTAAGGCTGAAGGATCTATTGATGCTAGCAATATGATCAAGCCGGCATTGGCCAGGGGCCAATTGTCAATGTGTGGGGCCACTACTCTTGATGAGTATAGGAAATACGTTGAAAAAGATGCTGCTTTGGCCAGAAGATTTTCTCCAGTCCAAGTTAGCGAACCTACTGTTGAGGACACCATATCTATTTTGAGAGGATTGAAGGAGAAATATGAAGTTCATCACGGTGTCAGAATTTTAGATTCAGCATTGGTTACGGCAGCAACCTACTCCAATAGGTATATCACAGACAGATTCTTACCTGACAAAGCTATCGACTTGGTAGACGAAGCCAGTTCTACGTTGAGGTTGCAACACGAATCGAGACCTGATGCCATTGCCAAGTTGGATCGTCAAATCATGACCATTGAGATAGAGTTGGAGTCCTTGAGGAAAGAAGAAGACCAACTTTCCAAGGATAGAAGAATTAAGTTGGAGGAAGATTTGGAAGTTAAGAAAAAAGACCTTGAGGAGTTAACCAAACAATGGGAGTCCGAAAAGAAGGTGATTGATGATGTGAAGGAGGCCAAATCAAAGTTAGAAGAGGCTAGACACGAGTTGGAACAAACTCAGAGGGATGGGGACTATGCCGCGGCCTCGAGAATACAATACGCTGTGATACCCGAATTACAATCGAAATTGCTCAAATTGACTCAGTCAGAACAAGCTTCAAGGTCAAGTACTCTTTTGCATGATTCAGTCACATCTGATGATATTGCTGGTGTTATTTCCAAAATGACTGGTATTCCTGTTAGTAACTTATTGAGAGGTGACAGGGATAAACTTTTGGATATGGAAGTGATCTTGAAACAAGAAGTAGTTGGTCAAGATGAAGCTATTCATGCGGTTTCAGACGCAGTCAGGTTGCAACGCGCCGGTTTGACAAATGAAAACAGGCCCATTGCTTCCTTCATGTTTCTCGGTCCAACTGGTTGTGGTAAGACTGCGTTGACGAAAGCATTAGCAGAATTCCTTTTCAATGATGAAAATGCCATCGTGAGGTTTGATATGTCAGAGTTTCAAGAAAAGCATTCAATTCTGAGATTGCTTTCTGCACCACCTGGTTATGTTGGTTATGAAGAGGGAGGTGAGTTGACCGAAGCAGTTAGAAGAAAACCATACAGTATAGTTTTGTTTGATGAATTTGAAAAGGCGCATCCCGATATTGCCAAAGTCTTGTTGCAAGTATTGGATGAAGGATCCTTGACCGATTCACACGGTACGAAAGTTAGTTTTAAAAACACAATCATTATAATGACTTCCAATATTGGTCAAGACATTTTGTTGAATGACAAGAATACCCACGAAGATGGTCATATTAATAAAGAAGTTAAACAACAAGTTTTGGAAAACTTGAAACATTACTATCCACCAGAATTCTTGAATCGTTTGGACGACACATTGGTGTTTAACAGATTATCGAAGAAGTCATTGAAGGATATCTTGGACATTAGATTGCGTGAGATTGATGATCGTTTATTGGACAAGCGTATTGTTTTGGAATTGACCCAACCAGCAAAGGATGCATTGATTGAACAAGGATACAGTCCCATTTATGGAGCAAGACCTTTGAACAGAGTTATTCAAAAGAAGTTGTTGAATCCTCTTGCCATGCTTATGTTGAAGGGCCAGATACAGGAAGGCGAGGTTGCCAAGGTTGAAGTCAGACATAAAGATATCTATGTTGTACCTAATCACAGTGAAGAGTCTGTTATAAAAGAAGAGGAAGATTATTATAAGAAAAAGGAGAAGGATCAATAGGTTGTATAGATAGAATGTAAGTTAGATAAAGGGATTTTCAATTACGTCGCTTGCAACTATCGAACATAAAAGGCCTCAATTTTTACAAAGTACGTTTATGGATTCATTCATTCCTCCAATTGGTGACCGTATTGTTCCTTTCGACGCGGCGGAGAACGCACTTTTCTTAATGAGGTCGTCATATGTTACACAAAGTTGTTGAAAAATGGAACCCTTATTGTATACGGAATTTCACCTTTTGGAAATGCCAACAAAAAAAAAAAATCACTCCCGTGTATTTAAGGAGACACTAATTTCAGTTGTTCATTTAGTTGAACCAACTTTCAATCATTAGCATAGCAAAACTTTCACAATGGTCAACTACAAAAATTGGATTGGAGAAATCAACGACGATACCAAGATTTCAAAATTGTCAATTCCTGGTACCCACAATTCTGCAGCTTGTCACACAGCCTTGCCCTCAGTGCAATGTCAAGGTGCCAGCGTTACTGAGCAATTGGACCATGGTGTTAGATTTCTTGACATTAGAGTGGGTAAATTGTTTGTTGGGGATAACAAGAAGGACTTGCAGGTGATTCATGGAAAATTCCCCGTCAAGATTCCCTTTCCCTTGAAATTGACTGATGTATTGGAAGAGGTTTATAAATTTCTTGAACACAACAAAAGCGAAACTGTCATTGTTTCACTCAAGCAAGAAGGCTCTGATGATTGGGATAACCAACAGGATGAATTTGGAAAATTAATTTGGGACAAATATGTCAATCCAAACAAGAATAGATGGTATTTGAATACTGATATTCCAAGAGTTAGAGACACTCGTGGTAAAGCATTGTTGTTTAGGAGATTTGGTGTTCAGGATGAAAACTTGAGACGTCAATTTGGTTTTGGTGCATCTTCATGGTCATACAACACCACTAATGATGATCGTGGTTCTTTTGTAGTGCAAGACTTTTGTGAAGTGCAATCTGCTGACGATTTGCCAAAGAAAATCCAATATGTCAAAGACTTGGCCAAAAGAGCACAAGACTACACAAATAGCCACGATGATAAGTTGTTTCTCAACTTCACTTCTGGCTCAAATTTCTTTGATCAGAATTGTTGGCCACAACCTATTTCTGAAGCTATGATCAAAGGTAACATTCAAGAAACTTTCCACAAGGGTGTGGGAATTATTGTTTTGGACTATGCAGAGGCTGATAACTGGAAATTAGTAAAAGAATTGGTGGACACTAACTTTAAATAAAGGTACTCTGTAGTTAAGTCTAAGTAGAAGAGCTGTTTTGTGTAACAATTCAAATTCAAATTCGCGCTTTAAGAAAGAAACTCTGGAAAAACCCAATTATCGGCATTAGGTATGAGTCCGAAACTGTACGCAATGTTTCGGTGCATAAAAGGTGCTAGATTACTTTTACGACGTCCATTACTTGTCACATCCATACGTCTACAGTCAAAGAAACCAGACTATCTATCAAACATCAATGATGAGAAATTGCGCAAGATAATTGAGGGATCAAATCTCGGTCAAGAATCAAAACAAAAAAAGATTGAAGAGGAACGAAAGAAATTGGAAAAGGAGAGGGAAGTATCGAGGAAATTAAAGGAAAAGGAAAAGGAAGAAGAAGAGAAAAAGACGGAGAAGGAACGTGAAGCAAAACTTGCGAAAGCCAGTAAGGAACACGAAGCCGATTTTAGTACCACAGATTCGGGAAAGCTTCGTGGAGTTGACGAAGAAGTGCACAAGAAAACTGTGAAAAATCAAGACGAGGGTAATGAGGAGAACCTCAGGGTGGAGAACAAAATCATTGCCAGTACTGAAGATGCAGTTGACGAATCAGACATTCCAAATATAGCCAAAGAAATCAATGAAACTATTCAAGAAGAAATCGGGGACTTACCTTCACAAAAAGCAAAGAAACAAAATCAAATTACCAAAAGAATATCCAGTTATCTAGATTCAGCTCATGACACTATACTCAATGTGACTAGAGCATTGAATGATGTCACAGGCTACTCTGCAATAGAGCGATTGAAAAAGTCTATTCAAGAACAAGAGGAGGATTTGAATAAAGCCAAAGAGGAAGTGAAGAAATGCAAACAAGAGTATGGTGAGGCAATACAGAGACGGTCACATTCGCAACGAGAGGTTAACGAACTATTAACAAGAAAACATAATTGGTCACCGCATGATTTAGAAAGATTTACAGAATTGTATCGCAACGACCATCAAAATGAAAATTACGAACAAAGTTGCGAAAAGAAGTTGGAAGAGGCTGAACTGAAAGTCGATGGGATTCAACTCAAATTAACGCAACTGATATTGACAAGGTACCACGAGGAACAAATTTGGTCTGACAAAATTAGAAGGTCTTCCACTTGGGGTACATGGGTGTTAATGGGACTAAATGTTTTGTTGTTTGTAATAGCTACTTTCTTTGTGGAGCCATGGAAGAGGGCGAAATTGGTGAGAGGTTTTGAAGATAAAGTGAAAAATGTATTGGTTGGAATCAGTCAACAAAATGAACAAATTTTGGAGCCTATAATAGAGCAACTAGAACAAGAAGATGGCAATGTCAGTAAACAAATTGAAGAGCAATCAGATTTAGGTGCCGATGAGGTGACGGGTGAATATGCTAGCGCCGAACCACTAACTCACATGGAATTCCTTAAAAATGGATGGTCTAGGGTAAAAGATACATGCCTACGCAACTACCAAGCTATCATGTCGCCTCAGGTGAAGTCACTACAACTAGACAAATTTGAGTTCGGAGTATATACGGTAGTCATCAGTGTCTTGGCTTGCAGTGTGGGTTCTCTTATTACGCTTGTTGTAAATAGATGAATATAGAATTAGGCATATAAAAGTCATTTACTGGATTGGTCCAACAACACATTACAAAGCTTAAGAGATGGATAGTCCATTGCGTTCTACTGTAGTCTGATATTTTGTTCTTCGCACGACAGTTTTTTGGTGCAAAAAAGAAAAAAAAAACAGAAAGGAAAGTCGCTGTCAACACTTTAGATTTGCCACTACTTTGATTGAGCTTTGCCCATCATACTCATCACACTCCCTGACACCCCCAATGACAACCATCGACGCAAATACTGATATATTCTTACGTCACAAAGCTCTATTAAAAGAGCTTAATTTGATAAAGATACAAGAGGAGTACATAAAAGATGAGCAGCGCCATTTGAAACGAGAATTAATTCGAGCACAAGAAGAAGTCAAGAGAATCAAATCAGTGCCATTGGTGATCGGCCAATTTTTGGAGCCTATAGATGAAAATACCGGAATTGTATCCTCAACCACAGGGTCTAATTATGTGGTGCGTATCTTGTCGACATTGGATCGTGAATTGTTGAAACCATCATCATCAGTGGCCTTACATCGTCATTCAAATGCATTGGTTGATATTTTACCACCTGAAGCAGACTCGTCCATTTCCATTGTCGGAGATAATGAAAAGCCTGATGTAACATATGCAGATATTGGTGGTCTAGATATGCAAAAGCAAGAAATTGTTGAATCAGTGGAGTTACCATTGGAACAATCACATTTGTATAGCCAAATTGGTATCGATCCTCCACGAGGTGTGTTGTTGTATGGTCCACCAGGAACAGGTAAGACAATGTTGGTTAAAGCAGTTGCCAATGCGACAAAGGCTTCGTTTATAAGAATCAATGGTTCCGAGTTTGTTCAAAAATACCTTGGTGAAGGTCCTAGAATGGTTAGAGACGTATTCAGATTAGCTAGGGAGAACTCGCCGGCAATCATCTTTATTGATGAAATTGATGCCATTGCAACAAAGAGATTTGATGCTCAAACTGGTGCTGATCGTGAAGTGCAAAGAATCTTGTTGGAATTGTTGAACCAGATGGATGGGTTTGATCAAACATCAAACGTCAAGGTGATTATGGCCACCAACAGAGCAGATACATTAGATCCTGCATTGTTGAGACCTGGTAGATTGGATAGAAAGATTGAATTTCCAAACTTGAAGGATAGAAGAGAAAGAAGATTGATATTCACCACTATTGCGTCAAAGATGTCCTTGGCTCCAGAGGTTGACTTGGACTCCCTTATAATAAGAAACGACCCGTTATCAGGGGCAGTGATAGCGGCTATAATGCAAGAAGCAGGTTTAAGAGCAGTGAGAAAGAATAGATATATGATTTTACAAAGTGATTTGGAGGAAGCATACAGTTCACAAGTAAAGACTGGAACTGAACACGACAAATTTGATTTCTATAAATAGAGATTATGTACGATAAAAGCTATTGTCATTGAAATATCAAAGTAGTTCATATACGCCCAAACCCAACTGGAAGTGTTTCCACTGTAAGTGATCCAAATCGATGTGGTGTTTAAATATGTAAATGGGTCTGAAATGAGTAGCATTGAAGTTGTGAAAGGAAGCGACTGGAGTTATCAAATAAATAGGTTTGTCTCTTTTAAATAACAATGATTCAACTTCATCCACGTCCAGTCCCATCGCGTCAACTAGCGTGAAGTCTTTCTTAGTAGCTGAAGTTTCATCAAGTGCAATAGTTTCAACAGATTGGCTTCCCAAGAGCCATGATGGAGGGGAGTAAGTATGCCACCAGATTTGCGTACCTTTTAAGTCGTTTTCACGCATATAGTTCAATACAGGTACGACACCACCTTGATGGTACACGCCCATTAGCAACGACATGGCTATATTGAACAAGTACCATGCATATACCGAGTAAGAAGATATCCATTTTTGAGACAAATCAAAGCAACAACAACATAATGGTAGGATAGGAATCAAGAAACGAAGTTCTTGATGTGGAATCAATGAAAGAAAACTAAGCGCACTTGCGATTGAAAGGAATGCGGTTGTTTTCCAATACCTTTTGGAAACAATGAATAGTAATCCAGGACCGAGAATCTGTGGTAAATTGACTAGTACATGTGTGTACAAAGGATGTAGACCGTGCAATTTCAAATTGTCCGGGTTTGCATTGTACATTAGATTGTTTAATGGTGTAATGACATAGTTCGATGACTGGTACATCCAAGTGTCAAATAGTACAAATGCAATTGATGGTGCTAGAAACCCCAATGCCAATGGTACTAACGATAGCACATGATTGTAAAGATACTTTAATACAAACCAACCAGGGAGAACCAAAAATGCAGGAAAAGTAATTCTGTTGAAAATTCCACATGCAACCAACGCCCCTAAAGCAAAGATGGAGTTTGTCTTTTCCACGCCATACAAATCTGGGTTTTCTTGAATGTATCGCAAATCATCAATGATATAAATGGCACAAATCAACAACACCGTTTCAATACTATTTGAAAATAAATGATCTTGGAAAACCAACGTTACAAATGACGTCAGGGTAAAGAAGATGGCCTTTATTCGTTCATGCTTCACTGGTAACATCCAATACAAGCAGAAATCAGTCATCAACCAACTAATGAGACAAACTTGTAATCGAATAATATACCAAATCTGTATTGGTGTCAAGTCCAAGTTCAATGCTTTGGTCAAGTATAATATTGGACCATATGTGATGTATAATGGACCGTAACTTCTAGCAGGTGCACCATTTGTAAATTCCCATGGTATGTTTGTTTCATAACCGAGGATCTTGTTTGCAAGTACTTCTAGAGATTGGAAATGTTCATCTGGATGTATGTACGAGTTTGACAATGTGAAAATAATTCGTAGAGAAACGGTTAGTAGGTAGATGTTTCTCCAGTTGATGAGATTTATCATTTGACAATTTTGAGGGTAACTAATATCAAAAAGAAGCTCAGATTGATTTTATTTTTTTTTTCAGACGCGTATTGTCTTTGCGAAAACCAATACAAAAGTAAGTTCTTTTCAAAAAGTAAGTTCTTTTCATTTTTTTGGGTATATCAGGTTCATTGATGTAACTGTGATTGATCCGGGTTACTTATATATTCCACTTAGTGCGATTGTGGGATGGAGCGAGATAGTTTTGGGGCATACTATTTAAAAATTGCCTTACTATATACGTAGACGCTCTCATAAAAGTGAGCTAGTGATATGATACTCCTGAAGAATAAGTGCGAGGGTTTTCGATCTATTGATGACACTGCTCTTTCGAATACCAATGGATCGAGTAGGAGTGAAACAAGTTGGTTAAAAGAGTCAAAGTATTAACATCCTTCATTTTTGACATCAGTCGGTCCATAAGTCAACAGTACTGTTCTGTAGATTAAGCTTACGCCTTTATTGACATGAAAGTCAATGATGATCAACTTGTAATTGACCTTTCCAAATGTACTAAGGTAATTTACGTTTTGCAATAATTTATCCGGTAGCTTTCGGAGTTTCTATTTAGAACACTAAAACATTTGAAAAGAAAAAAAAAAAAATCGAGTCCGAAAAAAAGTTGGTAAAAGATTCACAAAGAGAGAGAATCAAACATTTTCATTGGATAAGGGAAGGAGAATGCATGTCTGGAAAATTTATAACTCCGAGGTGAAGGACACCATAAATTGTTACCACCACCAAAGAAAAGTAAACAATAAATACTGTTGTACCTAAACGTGACACACTGCTACTTAGGTTTGAACCCCCCTGTCTTCTAATACAAACTCTGAAATGTGGTGTTCTCAGATCTTTTTCTTTTATGGTCCTGTTCATCCCAGTGAGGTATTTATTAATACTACCTGTGAACGATCCTTATTGTGCAACCATTGTTTTCTGAGGAAAAAAAAAAAAAAAATTATTATTGAACAGACGGACTAAAAAAAAAAAAAAAAAAAAAAAATTAAAAGTTCATCAAACAAGAGAGAGAAAAAGAGGAAAAAAAAATACTCACTGAAATCACCCATTTCATCTTGAAAGACAAACCTATTCAATTTCCCCCCTCCCTTCTAAATCCCACACATACAGAAGCAATGTTGAGACAAATTGCTAAATCTATTCCACTCAGATCAGTCACTGGACCATCATTAACCAGAACTTACATTGCTGGTCAATTTACCGGTCAAAAAAAGGAAAATGGTAACTACACTGTCACTTTGATTGAAGGTGATGGTATTGGTCCAGAAATCTCACAAGCAGTTAAAGACATCTATGCTGCTGCCAATGTACCAATTGAATGGGAACCAGTTGACGTTACTCCATTGTTGATTGACGGAAAAACTACTTTACCACAAGATGCTGTTGATTCAGTAAATAGAAACTTGGTTGCTTTGAAAGGTCCTTTGGCCACACCAGTTGGTAAAGGTCACACATCAATGAACTTGACTTTGAGAAGAACTTTCAATTTGTTTGCCAACGTTAGACCATGTAAATCTATTGTTGGTTACGACACTCCATACAAGAACGTTGATACTGTCTTGATTAGAGAAAACACTGAGGGTGAATATTCTGGTATTGAACACACTATTGTTCCTGGTGTTGTTCAATCTATCAAATTGATCACTAAACCTGCATCTGAAAAAGTTATAAGATATGCTTTTGAATACGCCAAATCAATCAACAAACCACACGTTCTTGTCGTTCACAAGGCTTCCATTATGAAATTATCAGATGGTTTGTTTGTCAACACTGCTAAAGAAGTTGCTCAAGAATACCCAGATGTTAAATTGGGATTTGAATTGTTGGACAACACTTCATTGAGATTGACTCAAGATCCAGGCTTGTACAAGGATGTTGTTATGGTTATGCCAAACTTGTATGGTGATATTATGTCTGATTTGTCGTCTGGTTTGATTGGTGGATTGGGTTTGACCCCATCCGGAAATATGGGTAACACTGTTTCCATTTTTGAAGCTGTCCACGGTTCTGCTCCAGATATTGCTGGTAAAGGATTGGCTAACCCAACTGCTTTATTATTGTCATCATGTATGATGTTGAGACACATGTCTTTGAACAATGAAGCTGACAAGATTGAATCTGCTGTGTTGAAGACCATTGCTTCTGGTCCAGAAAACAGAACCGGTGACTTGAAAGGTACTGCTACTACCCAACGTTTCACTGAAGAAGTTATCAAAAACTTGTAAAAGAAATGCAGAGTGATAATATATTTAGACACATAGTACAAATGATATTTACAGTGCACAAAAAACTATAGATCAAGTTTATCTAGCTTTTTTATCAATATCAACTCTTCCAATATCTTGTTTGTTCCTTCGACAATTGCTACATGTTCCACCTTATGTACCCTTTCTTCATACTCTTCAAGGGTCTCGTCTTTTTTCAATTCCAATTTTTTGACTAAAATTGGCTCACCACGATCAACCTCGGTGATGACTTTGTGAATCATCACTCCACCCTCGGTGATTTCACCATCTTGACCCGCTTTCCAACAACGCTCAATTGCATGTGTGCCGTCAAATGCGCCTGGTAACGCAGGGTGTAAGTTTATGATGGTGATGCCTGCCTCCTCGAGCGGCTTCAATACTGCTGGGGCTAGAATCAACATCCAACCTGCACAAACAATTAAATCTGGTTTGGTATAGTTGGTATCCTCTTTTGATTTATCAACTGATCCGTAAATCAAAAGGTTGGCCAAGTCTATATTGAACTGCTCTCTCTTTGCTTTTCTCTCTTCAGTTTTGTCCTTTGAAATACCTTTGTAATAATCTTTTAATGCATGAATTTTGGTCGAAATTTTGCTGTTTTCAGCTCTTGTTAATCCATAAGCAGTACTCGATGAAGAGATGACTTGAGTTATTTTACCATTTAGCAATTTTCCATCACTTTCAGCATCAATTAATGCTTGTAGGTTTGTTCCTGAACCTGATATCAAAACCGTAATATTCAAGGGCATCTTTGTATTATGAGAAACCTTTTCGTCTTCAGTAGCTCAATTTAAAATTCTAATTGATTGTCATTTGGATATTGACTCCTGCCCTTTGAAAGTCGTGTCGTAAAATCTCTGTTTCTGACAAATTTCCTTCTCCTCAAAAGGTAGTGTACTCTCATCCTAAATATAAACTACTTACTGCAATATTTAAAAAATGAAATTTTTTTCTCTCTATTCTCCCAAGTGCACGACCTTTTCACAGTAAAGCATTCGATGTCACTTAAAATTTTTTTCTTCTCATTTGGTATAACCTTTTTTATCCCCCCCCTTCTCAACAACTCATTGGATTTAACACCATAAAAATAACTACAAGATGGGTATGTTTACTTTTGGTACTAGAAGAGAATGGGTTACGGAAACTTCAATTTGATACCGATTGAGTAGCGGGTGCAAACCAACTCAACCTTGAAGGCGTCCCATGTGGCTAAGATCAAAGATGAAAAATTTTTTTCTTGTTTATTTTGCTGCCAGAAGATTTCCCTTTCTCTAACGGAATTGCAAAGGCAAATGAAATACTAACAGCTTTGTCTAGTTGCTTTCACTATTGAACAAATCCGTGACTTGATGGACAAGGTTACCAATGTGCGTAACATGTCCGTCATTGCTCACGTCGATCACGGTAAATCTACTTTGACCGATTCATTGGTCCAAAAAGCCGGTATTATTTCCGCCGGTAAGGCTGGTGAAGCTAGATTTATGGATACCAGAAAGGATGAACAAGAAAGAGGTATCACTATTAAATCTACTGCCATTTCCTTGTATGCTGGTATGACCGATGAAGATGTTAAGGACATTAAGCAAAAGACTGAAGGTAACTCATTCTTGATTAACTTGATTGATTCCCCAGGTCACGTTGATTTCTCATCAGAAGTCACTGCTGCTTTGAGAGTCACTGATGGTGCTTTGGTTGTCGTTGATACTGTTGAAGGTGTTTGTGTCCAAACCGAAACTGTTTTGAGACAAGCTTTGGGTGAAAGAATTAAGCCAGTTGTTATTATTAACAAGGTTGATAGAGCTTTGTTGGAGTTGCAAGTTACCAAGGAAGATTTGTACCAATCTTTTGCCAGAACTGTTGAATCCGTCAACGTTATCATCTCCACCTACGTTGACCCAGTTTTGGGTGATGCTCAAGTTTTCCCAGACAAGGGAACTGTTGCATTCGGTTCCGGTTTACACGGTTGGGCTTTCACCGTTAGACAATTTGCTACTAAATACTCCAAGAAGTTTGGTGTTGACAGATCCAAGATGATGGAAAGATTGTGGGGAGATTCATATTTTAACCCAAAGACCAAGAAATGGACCAACAAGGACAAGGACGCTGATGGAAAACCATTGGAAAGAGCTTTCAACATGTTTGTTTTGGACCCAATCTTTAGATTGTTTGGTGCCATTATGAACTTCAAGAAGGAGGAAATTCCAGTTTTGTTGGAAAAATTGGAAATCAACTTGAAATCCGATGAAAAAGAATTGGAGGGTAAAGCTTTGTTGAAGGTTGTTATGAGAAAATTCTTGCCAGCTGCTGATGCTTTGTTGGAAATGATTGTTTTGCATTTGCCATCTCCAGTTACTGCTCAAAATTACAGAGCTGAAACTTTGTACGAAGGTCCATCAGATGATGCTATCTGTAACGGTATCAGAAACTGTGACCCTAAGGCTGATTTGATGTTGTACGTCTCCAAGATGGTTCCAACATCCGATAAAGGTAGATTCTACGCTTTCGGTAGAGTTTTCTCCGGTACTGTCAAGTCTGGTCAAAAAGTTAGAATTCAAGGTCCAAACTACCAAGTTGGTAAGAAGGATGATTTGTTTATCAAATCTATTCAAAGAACCGTTTTGATGATGGGAAGAAACGTTGAACAAATTGATGACTGTCCAGCTGGTAACATTGTTGGTTTGGTTGGTATTGATCAATTCTTGTTGAAATCGGGTACCATCACCACCAGTGAATCAGCTCACAACTTGAAGGTTATGAAGTTCTCAGTCTCACCAGTTGTGCAAGTTGCTGTTGAAGTTAAGAATGCCAATGATTTGCCAAAATTGGTTGAAGGTTTGAAGAGATTGTCCAAGTCCGATCCATGTGTTTTGACCTCAATGAACGAATCTGGTGAACATATTGTTGCCGCCACTGGTGAATTGCACTTGGAAATTTGTTTGTCTGATTTGGAAAATGACCACGCTGGTGTTCCAATTAGAGTTTCACCACCAGTTGTTTCATATAGAGAAACTGTTGAATCTGAATCATCAATGGTTGCTTTGTCTAAATCACCAAACAAGCATAACAGAATCTATGTTAAGGCTCAACCAATTGATGAAGAAGTTTCATTGGATATCGAAAATGGTGTTATCAACCCAAGAGATGATTTCAAGGCTAGAGCTAGAATTTTGGCTGATAAGCACGGATGGGATGTCACTGATGCTAGAAAGATTTGGTGTTTCGGTCCAGATGGTAACGGTCCTAACTTGGTTGTTGACCAAACTAAGGCTGTTCAATACTTGAACGAAATCAAGGATTCAGTTGTTGCTGCTTTCCAATGGGCTACCAAAGAAGGTCCAATCTTTGGTGAAAACTGTAGATCAGTTAGAATTAACATTTTGGATGTTACTTTGCATGCTGATGCTATCCACAGAGGTGGTGGTCAAATCATCCCAACCATGAGAAGGGTTACCTACGCTTCTATGTTGTTGGCTGAACCAGCTATCCAAGAACCAATCTTCTTGGTTGAAATTCAATGTCCAGAAAACGCCATTGGTGGTATTTACTCAGTCTTGAACAAGAAGAGAGGTCAAGTTATTTCTGAAGAACAAAGACCAGGTACTCCATTGTTTACAGTCAAGGCTTACTTGCCAGTTAACGAATCTTTCGGTTTCACTGGTGAATTGAGACAAGCTACTGGTGGTCAAGCTTTCCCACAATTGATCTTTGACCATTGGTCTATCTTGAACGGTGATGTTAAAGACCCATCATCTAAACCAGGTTTGATTGTTAAGGAAAAGAGAGAAAGACAAGGTTTGAAACCAGAAGTTCCAGACTACACCGAATACTACGATAAATTGTAAGCTTAAAAGGCGTTATGTGTTTATCGACTTCTTTTTTATTTAGTTGTCTAGTAAAGTAAAGAAAGTATATGTGAAAGAGATGTAGAAGGAGGTGTAGGAAGGGTTAACGTTGGCTTGGTAGAAGAATATTGTGTGGAGTGCAAGCCGCACATATGTGAATCAGGAACAGTTCAGTATTGCACCTTATTGTTCTTGAAACAATGTGAAAACAGAAGAGTTGGTCTTGCTCTTCCTTAGCCGTGTCGGCCATAAGTTAAGCACATCGGTAGATGAGTGTGGTAGGTTGTTTCATAAATATCCAGATTCACTCACTTTACTCTCTGAAGGGGCAGCTGTTACTTCATATGCGTAAAGCGATCCGTTGCAAACCTTAAACGATGACTGACCGTTAGGGTAGACGTGACTCGCACACTTCAGTCACCAAATTGTTTCGCTTTCAAAAACTTTCAACGTCTCTCAAGAGTAGTGAGGGAATTTCGGAATTAATTTCATTCTTATTTCTTTTATAAAAAAAATTTCTAGCCGACTTATTTGACGCCGCATCTACCCAGTTTTGAAAGCAGGTTCAAGATTCTATTGTCAAAAATGTAGGGCAGTTGAGAATATGGTTACGAAACTGATTAAGGGGGAAGGAAGGTGAGTTGGGATATCGTCTCGAGTCGTACGATTTTACAATCTAAACGTAGAGGTTCAAAAGGGATAAAGTATAGGAGATGAAAGGGATGAACAATTCCAAGGTAGAGACAAAGGTTAGAGTTCAAACCTTCCGCACATAACAACGAAGTTCCATCGGCATTGTGACATTTAGTTTCGAATTCACAGCTATTTCCTCAATTGGGTATCCTAATTGAATTCAAACTCAAGAGTTTGTCACTTCATTCATGTCAAAAAAAAAAAAAAAAAAAAGCGTATAAAAATTTAACCTTTTTGTGGCACATGTCTTTTTTTTTATTTTCTCGTGAAGGCTGCATTGTGCGTCTTTTTTTTTTTTTACTCTCTCTGTTCTTTTTCTTTTTCGGCGTTTATTACCGAGACGCGGACTCGGCGGAAAAAAAAAATGTAGAATTCTAGACCCGGTAATATATCGAAAGGCTGCTTGTGCTGCTGGGAGTATCACCTTTACGTTTCAGTGAAGATTGGTATCGTTTTGTTGCAGTAAACCGATACATACGTCAATCAAAGTTGATGATTAGCTTTGATATAGTTTTGAATGGCTCCTTAATAAAGTGAAGAAAAGGTCATGAGAAAGACAAAAATTTTCTCGGATGCAATGGGATGTCAAAGAGATAAAAAAAAGAAAAAAATGAGGATAACTAAAAATAGACTACTTACAAAAAAGTCCTTTTGCTTCAAGAAGGTTTAATTCTAAATTAGTTTCCCACAATTGCCGCAAAAAGGAATGAGGTCCAGCCAATTGCGAATATGGATTTGAATTTATAGACATGGCGCTATAACATTTAGTTAGTCTCGAGAGTATCACTTAGAACACCTATAGAGTTGTAGAATGAATCAGCTGGTGTATAAAACATAAGTCTAAATGGATTTGTTGTATGTTTTCCTGTTTAGGAACACTTTTCACGAAGAGTAGACTTGACGTTGAATAAAAGGTTAGGATTTATTACTCTTTCAGAGTGAGTTTATTTACCATCAATCCTATTTGAGAAAGGTACACACAACGTATATATGGTGTGCATCAATATTTTGCGCTATTTTATTTTTTTTGGTTCGAGAAAAGACGTTGACTGCATGAATGGCATTATACTTTTGTATATTTCACCAAATTTCAAACCGAAAGGGCTAACATATATAGCAGAATCGCAATGGTTACTAGAGTGTATGAATTGTTTTTTTTTTTTTGTGTAAAAAGGTGCATGTAATTTGTCATAGTTTAGTAGGTTGAAAATATGCAATCACAAAGTGAAAGAAACAATACAATAGCTGTGTAGTAGTACGTTTTTAGTAATGGGTGTGAGAGTTACATACGCATCATGCTTTAGTTCTTTCTTGACCCATTATAAAATGGTTTTATAATTCCCTTTCTTTCTTACTCCAAAATATCTTTATATTGCTCCATCTTCAGTGACAATACCCACCTTTATTACTGTATACTTATGTCAAATACCCATTAAAATCCATCACTTCAACACCTTATACCCTTAAAAATATTCCATTTGATTCTGCTTTTTTCCGGTGCACGAGACACCTCAAGTTAATATCCATCAAATATCCACTTTAACAGCTAGTGCTTCAATTACTCATATCCCTCTGTTATTCCGATTGTACTACTACACCATTTACGCTCATCAAAATTTTGATATTGTTGCGTTCACCTAATATTATTTATTCCTAAATATTCCACACAAACTACATTGCACATAATGGTTGCTTTAAACGGTCTCCAAGATATCATAGCCACATTCAACACACAGCCATACTTTTACATTAGTACTATAGTGACCATTTGTTTCCTACTATACCACATAAAATGCAAAAATGTATACTTGATAGTGTTGCTCCTATGGGGTAGTTTCATTACAACAATAACTCAATTGAAGCTAGTATCGTCCCTGCATTTTGATTGCTTTGTGCTCAGTGCAATCTACTGTGTTTCCATTTTCTTAACCAGTGTGGTGACACCTTACAATTCCAATAATGATTTACCCAAGATTCAACTCGATGAAGTTAGTGATTCTGAAGTTTCAATTTCTGAAGTTATCTACGAAGAAAAAAGAGTGTCCTCAAAACCAGCATCATCTAAATTCAAAAGATTGGGTGGACTTGAATTACTTGCTATAATGATTCTATCTTACTTTGACTACATTGGTGAAGTTGGTACATTTATCTGGTTGACAATAATATACGGTGTTACAATTGGCTCTGGAGTCATTGCAAACTTTACCACATCGAGAAATGCCACTGATTTTAGACATATACTATCCAATTTGATTCACAGCTACAATGCCATATTAATAATCGTAGCTCATTGGATATTGGTTGTACATATTGGATTGGACTTGGTGGCATTGACTTCTTACGCAGTATTGATGTTCTTTTCCTTTACATTTTTCCCCTACATAGAGCACATAGTTAATTAAAAGAATACTTTGAAAAAGAGGGACCCTTTATACAATATATCATGAATTGGCATACTTAAACTCTATGATTGCATTGCGTCGCGTGAAAAATTCTTTTGTGTAAGCTGTAGTGGTGCCTTCGGATTTCCGTTGTTAATGTGTGTCGCAAATTATTTCACGACAATGGAACACTGTCCCAATTGAATTGCAACCACCAACTTTTGACGATGAAGAAAATAGAAAAAGGATGGCTTCCCAATAAATACACATAGCTCTTGGATGGAAGTTAAAGAGGGATTTTGGATACAACTTTCAGAACTAATGCGTTGTTAAATGCTTCTCATCTGATAATGAAAGGCCTAACCCACCAGTGTCTTGCCAGCAGAAGAGACCACACATAATTATATTTTCATGAAAATTGAGTTTCAAATCAAACAAATAATTATTTACGCTAAGTACGTGAAGGAAGAGTAAACTTAAAATTTTGTTTCCATTTTGCAGCAAAATTGTGGGAAATTTAAGGGCGCAGGTTTCAATCAGCCGCCTCATTTATCATTTCCCTGTAAACATTCTCCATCGTAAATCACATCATCTAACAAATAATCTCTTCTTCGTGGTTATGAACGAAGATAGATTGACATTTCCAAGTATGGTAATCGGTGGCGGGATAAAGAAAGTGAACATTGCGCGTTCCGCTCGAAAGAAAAACAAAAAGCCACATAGGTTTCTCAATTTAGAAAGTGTAGCCCCCTGTATGGAAATTGTTGCCTAATTGGGTATCGATAAGAGCAGTGTTGAAAAATAAACGTTGAATGAAAGGATTTGATGCACACAAACATCAATCATAATGTCCACTATCAACTAAGAACAATCAAGTAGAGAGATATTAAACGCATCTGTTGCTGTCTGATGTTCCCTATCTGTCTGCTTGGGTTACGAGATTGACTGATCAAATCGCATCTTATGATTGATTTAATCTATTGGCCGGTGAATGAGGCTTGATAACAATTTGTATGCACCGTTTTCTAAATATTTTTATTATGCAACTTTATCAAACGATTAATTGAAACAATAATAATAATAATATCCCCGTTCTCCATAACGAAATGAAATCATTTTGGGTAATTATTTACCGAAACCCAGATCTCCAATAACTTATTGAAAAGAATATAAATAGAGGTTCATTCCATCCACCCCTCTCCTCACTGTTTCAATTATCTTTTCCAATTGCATTTATAGACAACAGGAACCTTTCTATTTTGCTAATATAACTTTTGCTAAAGACACATCATCACTCATTATGGAAAGATTAGCTCAGTTGGCATTGCATACTACTTCTGCAAGTGGTGCACCACAAGCACCCGCTCACCCATTAGATCCTTTAACCCCACAAGAAATCAAATCAGTATCTTCTCTCATCAAGAGTAACTACAAAACCAAGTCTCTCAACTTCAATACCGTCACGTTAAGAGAACCAATCAAGAGAGCTTATTACGAATGGAAGGAAAAGAATGGTCCCAAACCTCCAAGAATTGCTTATTTTGTCATTGTGGTTGATGGTGATAATGGTGTCCACGAAGGTTTGGTTGATATTGGTGCTCAACAAGTCATTGAAATGAATCATACAGAAGGAGTTCAGCCAATATTGACTCCACTGGACTTGCAAAAGACTGAAGAGATTGTTCGTAATGATCCAGATGTTATTAGACAATGTGAATTGAGCGGCTTACCTCCAAATTCCATGGATAAGATTTACTGTGACGCTTGGACCATTGGTTATGACGAAAGATGGGGATCATCGAAAAGGTTGCAACAAGCCTTGATGTACTACAGATCCGACGAAGACGATTCGCACTATTCTCATCCATTTGATTTTTGTCCTGTGGTTGACATGAATGCTGGTAAAGTTATTTACATCGATATTCCACAAAGAAGAAGGCCATTATCGAAATTTAAACACTCGAGTTTCCATCCAAAGCACATTGCTGAGAAATTTGGTACTAAAGAAAACCCATCTGGTTTCAGAAATGACAACACTCCTATCAACATTACTCAACCAGAGGGAGTTTCATTCAAATTGAATGGTCATGTGATGTCATGGTCTAATTTCAACTTCCATATTGGTTTCAACTATCGTGAAGGTATTGTTTTGAGTGATATGACATATAATGATCACGGAAATGTTAGACCATTGTTTCATCGTATTTCTCTTTGTGAGATGGTGGTACCATACGGTTGTCCTGACTTCCCACATCAAAGGAAACACGCTTTGGATATTGGTGAGTATGGTGCTGGTAATTGTACCAATCCATTGGCGTTGGGTTGCGATTGTAAAGGTGTGATTCACTACATGGATGCTCATTTCCCAAACAAAGAAGGTGACGCATCAACAGTCAAGAATGCAATTTGTATCCACGAAGAAGATGATGGTTTACTTTTCAAACATTCTGACTTTAGAGATGATTTCCAAACCACTGTTACAACCAGAGGCAAGAAATTGATCATTTCTCAAATCTTCACTGCAGCAAACTACGAGTATTGTATTTATTGGATTTTTAGACAGGATGGTACTATCAAGTTGGAGATTAGATTGACTGGTATATTGAACACGTTTGTTTGCGCTGATGATGAAGATATTGGACCATGGGGTACTAAAGTTTATCCAAATGTCAATGCCCACAATCATCAACACTTGTTCTCATTGAGATTGCATTCAAGAATTGATGGAGACAATAACTCTGCCGCGACAAGTGATGCCAAATCTTCACCTTTCCCCACCGGGTCAAACGAAAACATGTACGGTAACGCATTCTACTGTGATAAGAAGACGTTCAACACCGTCAAAGATGGTATCACAAATTTCGAAGGTGCCACAGCTAGAACTTGGGATATTTTCAACCCAAACTCGGTCCACAAATACTCTGGTAAACCAGCAACTTATAAATTGGTATCCACTTTTTGCTCACCATTGTTGGCACAGGAGGGTTCATTGGTGAGAAAGAGAGCTCCATGGGCTGCAAACCACACTCAAGTGCTTCCATACAAGGATGATAAACACGGGTACGGTATGTTATACCCATCAGGAGAACACGTTGCTCAATGGAGTGGTGATGGTCCAAGGGGCATGAGAAAATGGATTGGCGATGGATCAGCCAATATCAACAATACCGACATTGTGTTTTTCCATACTTTTGGTATCACCCATTTCCCAGCCCCAGAAGATTTCCCAGTTATGCCTACTGAAATTTTTGATTTACAATTGAGACCAAGAAACATTCATACCGAGAACCCAGTATTGGATGTGAAACCATCATACGCTAGAACTACTTCAGAAGTTAAAGCTGGAGCAGTTGGTGTTGATACGTGTAGTTTGAATGTTGACAAGAGTTCAAGATTGGCTACTGAGTGTTGTAAGAAGTAAAGAAATGACAGTTGACTTGTTGTTTGAGTAAGATTTATATAGTTTGATAGGAATGAATATGTAATGCGATGATATATCATTGTAGAAGTTCGACAAGAGTAGATAAGGCGGGGGAGTTTTGGCTTTTTGCTCCAAGAAGTTGCACTGGCTCGGCATTAGTGAAGAAAAAAAAAACGCTGCCCAACCAAGATGATCATCGCCTCAAACATAACTTCGCTGAACTTCGGTCGTCACCACAATGAAGTACGTGATAGAGCATATGGAGGAAGGATTTTCCGAGTGGGTCATTCTAGAGTATTCACAAATTATCAAGGATGTAGGTAAAGAAAATCTTATACTTACATCGCTTCCACCATCAACCACTGAAAACGATATCCCCAAAAGATTACTCGACCTCGGGATCAACTGGACCACCAAAGAATGTGTTGAGCTAGAAGAAGGTGGCTTGAAAAAAGAGGAAGTGTGCTTACTTGACCCAGCAGCCAAGACAGATTTAACCCCTCAAGATAAATCGAAATTCAAGTATTTTGTATTTGGTGGAATATTGGGTCAACATCCAAGGATTGATCGCACGGGGATATTACGTGAGAAATATGGGTTTATGGGAAGAAGATTGGGGTCATTACAAATGACTACAGATACCGCTGTTCGAACAACACAAAGAATAATCGAAGATGGGATTGAATTTGACAAGATTAAATTTTTGGATTATCCTGAAATCAAATATAATAAATACGAATCTACAGAAATGCCATTTAGGTACATCGTTGATGACAAAGATGAACCAATTTTGCCCGAGGGGATGTTGGAGTTGATCAAGCATGATGCTGATCAAAGTATAGATGATTTGTTAATAAATTGAGTTTTGGATGAACCTTCTTCAAGTTGAGATTGTTCTTTAATATAGAGTAACTGTTTCATTCTTTGGTGGATTTTGTTTCGACAAGACCTCCTTCATTATGAATCCAGCCGTATTTTCGTCTTCGAAATAGGAAATGTGGGCACTAACGGCAGATATAAGACTGAAATCAAGCACTCCCATTGGCAAACTATAATCAATTCTTCCAGTATTATTCAATGACGTAAGGATCGATAACTCTTTTGGTGTCAATTTCCGCTTTGCACTCTCTTCTTCGTCGCCATCATTTGCATCCTTTTCTGAAAATGCAATACTGGATATAATATCACCCAATGCATTCTCTTGTTGCGCTTTTTCATCTATGGATTTAGCATCAGCAGTTTTCCCCTTCTTTGTAATGTTTAACCACTTGACTGCAGAAGCAATCTTGTCGGAAATCTCATCACCAAAACTTGCCAATTCCGTAATTTGACTGTTGAAACCTTTAACGGCAAACTTTACAGGAACCGGCTTGAAATCACCAAATTTGGGGGACACCAATGGCTCGATCCTATACGCAATTGGGTCACACGGGTGAAACACATTGTACAAGTTTTTGCATTTAGGAGCTACAATAGGTGCATCTTTTGATGGTTCATAATCTTTTGTTGGTCTAGCTTCAATGTTTTTTCCTTCAAGAAGCTTAAACATCCCCACTGGAGAGCCAGCAAGAAACAAATTCTCAACTTCGAAACCAAGATCTTTCGACACATCAATGGAACCTTTAATTGTACCACTTTGTCCGGAAAGAATATCAAATGCGATAGCAGAGCCCAATGAGTGACCTAGAATATGTATTTTCCCGTTAAAGTTGGGGTTCCGTTCCTTGTATAATTTGTAAACCCTGTTCAATTCAGATGTGACGCTTGTGAATATCTGCTTCAAATATTTCGGTTCGTAGTATAACAACACATCAAGCACCACATCACCAACTATGTTTCTCAATGCTCGAATCCCTTCAACATTCAATTGTGAAAGTGTTGGTAAACGTGAATCCTTATTCTCTTGTTGGGTTCTCAGAGGTGAAAAATCAACGCGATGCCTCCAAGATATGGGGAGCACCTGAGTACGATTATTGCTTTTATCAACGTTACCCTTTGGATAAGCCAACTTTTGATAATCATCATTCTCTTCAAATACTTTTCTCATTGTATTACGTAGGACGTTGATGTTGTGTGTGAAATTAACAGATTCATACCTGCTCCCCAACACCTGTCCAATTCCATGGATGCAGAAAATAAGATGTTCAATTTCCCTATTGGATTTGCTTTCTGAAGTGTCCAAGTCATAGTCAGCCTCAAGGTATTGTTGCATATGCTTGTCATCAACATCATTGTCTATACTATTATCTGTATCAACACTTTCTTTCTTTGACTCACCAGAATCCGAACTTAATTTACCCAATACGTTTCCAAACTCTTGTTGGAATGTATCGGCGATACTTGGTAATGGATTCTCGGGCAACTTGTCAAACAAACTTTCTTTCAACTCTTCAGTGTAACCACGTTGGATGTGATTGACACCAAGTAGTGAAACTGGGTTGGGTCCAAAGTATCGTATAGCATCAATCTGGAAATCTGAATCGTATGTATCAGGAAACATCACTGCTTTGCTCTCATTGAAATACAACACTAATTGTCCATTGTCAAGGTTACGAACATCTTTTTGCCGAGACAAATCAACCTTGTGCTGCTTCTGTTTCTCCTTCTCAGCTCGCAACTTGTTAAACTTTGAAATCTTGTCTTTATTTCCCTTCAGTTTCTTCTTACTGATATTGTTTTCAAACAAGTATGGTTTAACCACATCATAGTCTTGTTCGAGTTTTTTGCTGACTTGATTGGGTAACGGAGTTCCATCAGTGGTGAACCAAAGTCCTCTGCGCACTTCATAGACTGGACCTTCCCAGTAAACCGGACTTAACTCAAATTTGTCAATGTTGACTTCAAAGAGCTTATCTTCATTAACTTCAATCGGCTTGTTAGATTTATTCTTGAAGGCCCTTTCTAACCGATTCGAATCATATTCTGAAAACGGAAGAAATGATTCGGGGTCTTTTGTTTTAGTATACCTAAACCATTCGGGTTTCGATATAGGAACATCCGAAGCATAGTACCACCTTATGTTGGCTTTGGGTGGTTCCTGAGAACGGGTTTCACTTGCTTGGCAAGGTGTCTTGGTGCTATTGAATCTGGCAAATATAGTAATGTTTTTCGCTCGCACGAGGGTTATCCTGTGCACATATGGCGTAATCCTTGGTCCTGAGAACAACATCATCATAATCAAGAAACAAGATTAGTTAAAAGTGTTGAAGTATTGTTTTCATGTTGTTTGGACCATTTAGCAATTGAAACTTGTGAAAGTTTTGGTTTTGCATAATAGCCCTGATTGCAGGAGAGTGACACAAAAATTCAGAATTTTCCTATACATGGATTAAGAGCCGAAATGTAAACAGGGAAATACCGAAGAGGAAGTGATACTTGGTCAATAGAGAATGTACTTGTTAGTGGAGACAGAAGTAGCACCTTAAACTTAATCTCCCTATACACAACAATGCGCGTATAAACTCTATAAGCAACGGCCACCCAAGACCTTCTTCCCTATTAGATTCTAGCAAAACCTCACTAGTCTTTACTCCAACAAGTACGGTACCTCCCACTTCAAGTTAATCCGGGTAGCGGTAACGTGAGGTTTCCACTGGGCCATTTTAAAACAGCCGCATTTGAGAAATCACTATACACCTTTGTATTTGGTATTTTCCTTCCAATTCGAATATACAAGGGGATATCCCCGTTGCTATCCTTGATTCCATTTTTAAGTGTTTCCTCAACTAAATCATAGATCGGTGCAGTAGCATTGCTCAAAATGCTTCTCAAATCTAGCGAGGAAACATTGTCTAAGACATAATACTCAATGTCATTGATCAACAACGAAATTGAAGAGTACTTATTATAAGCTGCCACGTTTGTCACACCATCAGGTATAAGTTGCCACTGCAAAGTTCCCGAGCTAGAGTCATAAGCAGTGAAAGTCGGTGGTAAAATTTTACCCAATGGATCATCTCTTTTGAGTGAGGTAATAGTCTCGGCAATTGCTGCCAAACCCCACCTCGATGCTCCAGAAAGAAACAATCCCAATAAAATCCCTTGGAATAAAAGAGCCGTTCGGCCCCTTGTTGCACAACCTGGAATTAAAAGCATAGCTAAAATGTAGTGGTGCACTCTCAAACTCAAACCGGGCAACTGTGCCAAAAGAACTAATCCCAATACAAATGTTGAATAAACCATTAAGTATTTGCGGAACCGACCGGATAACCAGATCTTGTAAGCCTGAATGACTGCACAAATAGAAATAGTGAGGATAATTGATGAAACCGCTAAAAGTGCACCCGACTGTTCTTTCAAGTCGCTGATTGTAAGTCGATCAACAGGGAGTCTGTCAAAACTCACGTTGTTTAACACGCCTAACCAAAACAATGGATACCATAGGATAACGCGACTGAGATATGACATCTTTTCATCAGAAGATGTGGGCTCCGAAAGAGTTCTCTTGGCTGAACAATGCCATAAAATATACAAGATGGAACACGTGGGTAGAAACCTTTCCAAACCGATTGAAATCAAGCTAGCAAAGTCTTGCGGATCTGAGGCATCCACAACGATTGGTGGATCAGTGGCCAAGCAAATAGTCCAAAAGCCAACTACATTTATTATCCAATACACTGCAGCACCACTTGCAAGGTAGACAATAGGAAGTCCAAGAAGAACATTTATGATGAGTATCACAATTCGAGGATCATGGCATTGGTGGAATGTCTCCTCGTTAATTCTCAATATCTTGAAATAAAACGACAGCTTAAAGAATGATTTAAATCCAATGGAATCGTCCACACCGTAATGACCTTTGGCTGGTTCAAAAAAAGGTTGATTTTTGCTATTGTGTGATATGCGAGCACACCCACCCCAAAAAGGCGAAACTAGCCCAGCATGCACCGCTGCCCCACAGGGATATGAATCGGCTCGATACGGATTTGTAAGTTGAGTATCGTCAATTTTAGTAGCAACTTTATCACCACCACCAATAAAGTAACCTCTATGTTTGATCCTTTGATCACCTATTGGAATCAAAGAATACGTCCAGCTTCCACGATCACACAAGGCTGGACATCGTATCACCACATCATTGCCACCACTGTGTTTGGCAATCTCAGGACACGATTCTCCATTCAATCCGCATGCGGCATTTTTGCCGTCCCAAAATTCACGCAGTGACAGACACGTTAGACTATGAATGTGTGGGGTGGTGGATTCATCAGACGAATAAGGAGGCACTGTCAAGTAAGGGATCAAGATTGAGTAGCACAACCCAAACCAGAATAAAAGATACACAGTTAGCAAGATTCTTCTATATGACAATGGTATATTTTGGTTAAATTTAACCGGTAGTTCTTCAAGAAACTCCAACTTTGATATTCGGGGTGCGTAATCATCCCTAGGCTCTTCCGGGCCGTTCCACAATTTTTGGAAAAACAGTTTTGTCTTGTAGAGCCATCTTTCTTTTCTATTTCGATGATATAGCCTCACGTATTCATCCACTGATTCTCTCTCATAGTCTTCGGTTAACAACTCCGATTCAGACATTCTAGATGGATTAAGATCAGCCAAGGGTATATCTTGAGGATCTTGTGGAAGTCGATTTGACAAGTCAGAAATCTTATTGACCAGACCTTCTGATTGATTCTGTTGCAAATTCAAATCTTGGTTGCCAAAATCTATTGACTTTTTATTCTTCATAAAGATTTTTGATGTTATCTATTTATAGATAGTTTGCACTACATGTGTGTTGCAAATGAAATTTTTGTTTTCTCCCCACTAACAAATACACCACACCTAAAAGCGTGTACTTTGCTCCAATTTCCACAGGCATTTACAACCTACACCCCATTCTTCTAAATCCAAAACTGAACTTTACATTAAACATTAACAAAACTAAACAGAACTTACTAACCAGATAACAAAAAAGAAGCAAGATAAAAAGAAAGACAAACTTGGTATGGCTCTATACCCCCCTTAACCGGAGCACATGGTACATGACTCAGGGTTGTCAATTGCGCAGGCAATTACTTTTGCACTGTAAATATCATTTTCAATCTCCTCTATGGTTCTATTATCAACAGGTTCTGCTTCTCCCTCTTCATTCTTCGTATCTTCCAGTTTTTCTGATTTGTCTTCTATTTTCAATTCTGCAACCAGGTTCTCCAAAGAGGTTGGTTCAGTCGAAGGGCTTTTTTCAAAAGAGTTATCATTAGATGCAACTCCATTTCTAGACTTGGACAAGTATTTTGGTCTGTTCAATTTGTGCAAAGAAGCAACATTCAAACCAGCTGATTCAGCAATGGCTTTATCAATGGTGAACTGGATAGCAGCAGAAGCAGCTTGCGTCCTCAAGTAGTACATACCTGTCTTTAATCCTTTCTTCCATCCATAAAAGTGCATGCTTGTCAATTTACCCATGGTTGGATCTTTGATGTGAATGTTTAATGATTGTGATTGGTCGATGAATGCAGCTCTATCAGAAGCCATATCAATAATGTGCTTTTGCGAGATTTCCCAAACAGTTTTGTACAATGCCTTGATTTCGTCTGGAATGTTTGGCAAAGCTTGAATGGAACCATTGTTTGAAATAATGCTACTCTTCATAGCGTCATTCCAAATTCCTAAATCAACCAAATCTTTCAACAAGTATGGATTAACAATTTGAAACTCACCAGCCAACACTCTTCTAGAGTAAATATTTGAAGTGTATGGCTCGAAACATTCATTGTTACCCAAAATTTGTGATGTAGAAGCAGTAGGCATTGGAGCCACCAACAAGGAGTTTCTCATACCGTGTTTGGCAAGCTTTTCTTTCAATTCATCCCAATCCCACAATTCAGTTGGCTTTCTGTTCCACAAGTCGTATTGCAACAAACCTTGCGATGCTGGTGAGCCTTGGTAAGTTTCATAGGGACCTTCTTCCGCCGCTAATTCAATTGATGCTTCAACAGCAGCATGATAGATTGTTTCAAAAATTTGAATATTCAATTCCCTAGCTTCTTGGGAATCAAATCCGATTCTCAAAACCATAAATGCATCAGCCAAGCCTTGGACACCCAAGGCAATTGGTCTGTGTCTCATGTTTGATCTCTCAGCTTCAGGAACTGGGTAGTAGTTTCGATCAATGACTCTATTCAAATTACGTGTAACAACTTTGGTGACGTCATGCAACTTGTCAAAGTTGTACCAAGCATGCTTACCATCCTGCTCAATAAAAGAAGGTAAAGCAATCGAAGCCAAGTTACAAACAGCAACTTCATCTGGTGCCGAATATTCAACAATTTCACAACACAAGTTGGAAGATTTAATAACACCCAAATTTTTTTGGTTGGACTTGGTGTTACAAGCATCCTTGTACAACATGAATGGGGTACCAGTCTCAGTTTGTGCCTCCAAGATGGAATACCACAATTTTTGAGCTTTGATTGTCTTTCTACCACGACCTTCTTTCTCGTATTTCTCATACAACTCAACAAATTCGTCACCATAAGTATCAGCCAAGTTTGGAGCTTCATTTGGAGAGAACAATGTCCAATCACCATTTTGCTCAACTCTTTTCATAAACAAATCTGGGATCCACAAAGCTGGGAACAAGTCTCTAGCTCTAATTTCTTCCTTACCATGGTTCTTTCTAATTTCAATGAAGTCAAAGATATCAGCGTGCCATGGTTCAAGATATAAAGCAAAAGCACCTGGTCTCTTGTTACCACCTTGATCCACATAACGAGCAGTGTTGTTGAAAACACGAACCATTGGAATAATACCATTTGAAGTACCGTTGGTACCAGCGATGTAGGCACCAGTGGAACGAATGTTGTGGATATGCAATCCAATACCACCAGCACTTTTTGAAATCAAGGCACATGTCTTTAAAGTGTCATAAATACCTTCAATAGAATCTTCTTTCATTGCAACCAAGAAACAAGATGACATTTGTGGTTTTGGAGTACCGGCATTGAACAAACATGGAGAACCATGAGTAAAGTATCTTTGAGACATCAAATTGTAAGTCTCAATAACTCTTGGGATATCTCTTCCATGGATACCAATAGCAACTCTCATAATCAAGTGTTGTGGTCTTTCAGCAACTTTTCCATTAATACGTAACAAATATGATCTCTCCAAAGTTTTGAATCCAAAGTAATTGTAGTTGAAATCACGGTCATAAACAATTGCTGAGTTTAACTCATCAGCATTTTCTTGAATAATGTCATAAGTTTCCTTTGAAATCATAGGCGCGTGAAGATTCGTTTCTGGGTTGATGTACTCGTACAAGTCTTTTGAAACTTGGGAATACAATTTGATGGTTTGTTTATGCAAGTTAGATACCGCGATTCTTGCAGCTAAAACCGCATAGTCTGGATGAATGGTGGTCATAGTTGCAGCAGTTTCAGCAGCCAAATTGTCTAACTCAATAGTTGTAACCCCCTGGTATACACCAGCAATGACTTTTTGGGTAATAGCAACAGGTTCAACGTGATTTGAGTCTAACCCATAGCATAATCTTTGTACTCTAGCTGTGATTTTGTCAAAGCGTACTGGTTCTTTTCTACCATCTCTTTTAAACACGTACATGCTGGACTAGTAGTATAGGGGGAGTAGTAGAAGCAGTTGTATCTTTAAAAGAAGAGGAACGGGAAAAGGAAAGAGAGAGATTTGTATTAGTTTTATATAAAAGTACGGAGGACGCGTAAGAAGAGGGAAAAACGCGAAATGTTTTTCTTCGTTTCCTTTTGCAAAGTGCACGCCCCTGCCACAAAATCATATACACGTATTAACACAGTTTTAGTGGTGTTTACTTGGTACTTCTTTTAAAGATTAATAATGTGACATCAAACGCCACAAGCATAAACGTAAACATAAACAAAGATGCCATCCCAATTTGGTATCAATCTTATATCAACAACAATAACAAATGATTTATAATCAATGCACACAAAACTCTCCTCTCTACAATTTCATTTCAAAGCAAGCTACGAGTTCGGCTTTTATCTAATCTACTCCAAATACTTGCCAAACACGAAAATCTATAAAAGAATAATGCCGTATCGGAGTTCAATTAAAATGGCTTGAAAGAAGAAGTGAATTCGTTCCAGAGATGAAAAAGACACTCGACTGGTGAGTAGAGGTTTAAAAACCTGCTCAATCTAGACAAACCAACCAACCAAGATTTTACTGTGCTTAGGTACTTTTGACAAGCAATCTGACCACTGTTGCATAAGCAGGAAGGGAGTTGCATCATTATCCGACATTACTCACGGACAAAACAGCTAGGAAAGATTGATGAAAGTTGTCTTTAGTACTACGCCAATGAAGTATACTGACCTTCCAATAATCAAATCTAACATCATTTATTTTTGAACTATCAGTTATTCAACCTTTTGTCTAATCCATCTATTTAATAACTCTACTACTTTGTCTCTTCCTTGGTCAATTCACTATAAGATACATTGTTAGTATTTGAAATAGATGATACATAAGGTAATGAAACATACTTTATGAATTTCTCTAAATCGAAGTCGTCTTCTTTACTTTGAGCCACTGGAGGAGCAGGTTTAGCAGGAACATTCTTCTTCGCATCGTTACTTCCCAAAACTTTAGGAATAGCAACACCTGCAGCAACTGAACCCAATGTAAGAATGGATAACTTGAGAATTGTTAGTATACCAGAATGCTCGAAGCAAATCACTCAATAAAATACATACAACATGTGCTGGGACTTGTTTACCTAAGATAGTGTATGCTGAACCCATTGTGTCTGTTATTTGTCAACACTCTTTCTTCAAACGAGTTGAGCTTGATTGATATTTTGTTGAATTTTTTCGGATCTCGGTTTTGTCTCCCCCACACAGAAAGATGACAGAATCTTATTTGTTAATGGAAGTCACATACTCTACCAAAATAAAAACGCTTCATTTATTACACACATCTTTTAACATATCTAGTCTCTTACTTCACTCTTGGCTAGTCTCCAATAATTTTCCAATCCAAATTTTCTTAGTACATTGATTGCCTCTTGGTCATTTCGAGAATACATAAAACTCCATTTTTGAAAGTTTAGCTTGGGGAGCCTTCCTTCCCAGATCACGATACATCCCTTATCATGGGATAAGCTGTTTACAGTTGTGTTTGAGTTTGTCATCATTTGATCAGTGGTGTTCTCATTCAGTGCCGCTTCCTCATCCCACTTGATTCTATTCATCAACAACTTTTTATAATGGTTTATCGATTTCTCTCCACCTTCAACAATAATCAAGTTGAAATTTGGATTTTTCAAACAAATTCCAAACAAGTTGTTCTGCTTGGCATTCATGTCCACTTTAAATAGATGTTGTGGATTATCTAGCTTATTCACCTTGTAGACAGTGGTGAATATTCCCTTGGCCAAATCTTGCCCCTGCTTTGCATAAATTTTAGCATGCTTTTCTTCTTTAGACAACTTGCGCGCTTCATTATCAGCTAGATGCTTTTGCAATCTATCTTCAACTTGCTGCTTGACGCGATTCTCTATAGCTGTTGGATCTCGTATTACTTCATTTGTTAACACGTTCATTAAATTGGAAAGCTTGACTTTGGGTTCTGGTGGCGGTTCCAATCCTAGTTTGATCCTGTCTTGCATTTCCTTATGTCGAATTTGACGGTCGTTTTTTCTCATTCGTTTCCGTTCCTTTTTGGTCAAATACATTGGCGTAGCATTAGATGAGTTGGTGTTGAGCCAAATGGGTTGAAGGAGCACCGGATGCTGAATGTATGACGTAATGGGCATATCATCATTATCTAGTATTCTGCGGCTCTCGTCATTTATATATGAGTAGTTGTTATCTCGCAAGTATGGTCTATCCCACCATTCAATCAATGGTGGATAACTTGGTTGATACAGCTCCTCATCCAAGCTAACATCAGGAACTAAACCTTTATTTGCCAATTCTTGGTGCCTCATTCTCTCCTCCTCTTCTATTCTCAACTTCTCTCTAAGTTTTTCTGCCTGTTGTATGTATTTGCCTTGTTTGTTGAACTTCAAAGGTTTAGGTTTATGAACCGCTATACTACTCGAATGATTCATGTAAGGATTATACGCTGTTGGATCGAACCATTTCTTTCCCTTGGAGGTCTGCTTGTCAGTAGAGGTGTTAGGAATTGTTGAATCCAACGAACGTAACAACGGGTGGATATCAACATCGAGCCCTCTTCCACTTTTCTTTGTACCACTGTCAGTATCGTCTCCTTTTTGATACAGAGCTCCTCGAAACTTTTTTCCGGACTGTGCATCCGCTTCACCTTTTTCTCGATTTCGTTTATGGTAAGACATGATTGTGTGTTGGACAATGGAATTGTAAGAAATGAGTCTGTTACATCATCATTTTCAACTGCGCTTTTGTGTGCAAAAGTCCGAGGCATTAAGTTGAGTTGGTAGCTCCCAAGGCAACTGCAACGATTGTACTTGTCACTTGGGGACGTGGTGGTGATGTGTCATTTGAAGCCAGGCTGATATAATCCTATGCACTCTATTGCCATTTACCCAGGGAGTTAAGAATTACTAATATCACACTCTATTTTCTGGCTATATAGTCATTCTTCTCCTAGTGAATTTGCTTGTTTTTTTGTGCTTCTCTATCTTTTTTTTTTTTCTCTCTCTCTCTTTGGAGGAGCAACTGCTCGATTAGAGACAGATCTATGCAATACCCTCTTTTGAACTTCTCATTCATTCGACTTTTTTTTTTGTTACTTTCTTTTCCATCAAAAGCTGCAATATACAAGGAATCAAAAAGTCATGATCATAGACAAGAGGGAACATTTACAGCGAATGGAGTTGGCTGCACCAATCAGGTCATTAATTGATGATTTGACCAACTTTGATGAAGAAAGATTCATTACTTTGTTGAAATCAAACTTGAAATGGAAAAGACCTAGAGGCGACCTTTTGCATTGGATCCCAGTTCTCAATCGCATTGATGAGATCTTTGCCAGGTACATCAAAGAGTTTGATTTGGAAAATGAGTGTCCAAAGTTACGTCTCATTCCTGAGAGAGAAGCGGAGGTTATTGTGACTTGCCTCGAATTCACAAACACGTTACTTAGCAATTGCTCAGATAAGCATATCTACTCAAGCATGGAAAGAATTTACGCGTTGATCAATACGCCCACGGTGGATGTAAGGCTAAAAGCGTTAGAAGTGGCTGTTTTGATTAGTGAAAAATTTGTGGTGACAGGCGCATCTCGTTACTCGGCTCCGAAGGATACAAGAGACAAGATACTTGAAATTGCTAAAGCCTTTCCCCCGTTGGTTCCACAAGATTGCCATCTGAGACGAGTGGAAAGCGAACAAAAGAATACGGAGGAAAAGTCAAGTATCATAGGAGATCATTACAACTTCGTCGACACTTTACGGCACTCAAAGGTGCTCCCACAAAAATGGAAAAGTATCAATTTCCAATATTACAAATCCACCTTGTCGCAGGCAAAATTTGGCGAACAGACCCCGAGAAGCACCACTTCTAAAAGAAAACATGAGAAAGTTGTTGTTTCAGAAGGTTTGCAACTCTTTTCTGTTCCGGAGGAATCAGTCTCCAAGATGCCATTGGAACAAATATTTTTGAAAGGAATGGAAACTTTACCCAGATCATCCTGGTTTACATTTGCCCTAGTCTCGGAAGTGGCAAAATCGTTCAATACACAATCGCAGCATGCATTTGAACTTAGGGAGAAACTTATTCAGATGAAATGTTATGCTGCAGCCTTCACCTGCTGTATGTTGTCACACCAAAATGCGTCAACAAAGTTGCTCGAGGCAGAGCCTTATATCTTGAGCTTTCTTGTGGATGCTATTCTGCCTGAAAATAGTGACCACGTCCCGAGGTCCGTATTCTACGCGGCCATGAAAGCGCTTGAGTGTATTTCAATGAAGAAAGTATGGGGAAGTGACATACTAAGATGTATGGGAGGAAATGTGAGCCATGGTGTATTGTTTCAATGTTTAAGACTGATTAAGGCATCCGTTGCTGAAGAGAACGATGACTACTTTGAAAAGGGAAACATACTATTCTTCAATATGCTTGCTAACATGATCAATACAAAGAGCATTTTACCACGTCTTGCATCAGGTGGATTGCTCAACGATTTGATGCCATTTTTAGATATTCATTCCAAGTACAAGTGGACATGCTCTGCTGCGGTGCATCTGCTATCTTTGTTCATATCAGGATTCCCTGAATCCCTTGACGAGTTCATTGCAAATGATGGCTTCAACTCACTAATCAGTGATATTCAATTTGAGGTAAATGCTGTTCTCATGGGATCACCAGATGAAGACACTTATGGTGAATGTCCACCATACACAAAAATTCCATTGAGAAAAGCCAACTTTTTGAGAAATTTGATGAAGTTTGTTGCTGATCTACTCAATTCCGACCATGGGGATAGACTTAGGAACTTATTTGACTCACCAATCCTTGTGAGCTTCAACAAGATTATTAATCAACCAGAGATATTTGGTCCGGCCATTTTGGCATGTACTATAGACTCTGTTTTCTTCATCATCCATAATGAACCCACAGCGTTTTCAATATTGAACGAAGCGAAAGTTATTGATTCGATCCTAGACAACTACAAACGGTTATTTATTCCATCGGGACAGTTGTTGATGTCGCTTCCCGAAGTTCTTGGTGCTATTTGCTTAAACAATGACGGTTTAAATAAAGTCGTTAAGAAGAAAAGCATCCCCATTTTTTTCGAAACGTTTTATCAACTTACAATAGCAAAAGTGTTAGTCAAATCGGACATGGCTACGAATTTGGGATGCTCCTTTGATGAGTTAGGTAGGCATTACCCTAGCCTCAAGCCTATGATTTTAGAGCAAGTACTGAAATTGATTGAGCAAATTATGTTTTATGTTGATGAACATATTGAAGGCATAAAACTATACGAGGCGCCTTCAGGACCTTTCTATTACTCAAAAGAAGAAGTACCCGATATCAATGTGAGCGACGGTAAGGAAATCGAGAGCTGGGACAAGAATGATTGCTCTATTTTACTTGATAATGTATTCTTTTTTCTTGGAGGGTTGCTACAAGAGAGTGGACTGTGGGGTGAAGATGTAGCACGTGAAATTGGTTTTGCAAAATGGCTTAAATTCTTGACAATCAAAAGAGCACCTTATGATTACTTTTTATCCAATGGAATCTCCTCGCTAATGGGAATATTCAAATACTTTGATGATGAGGACAGAGATTACGGGTTTCCAATGATAATTGAAAAGCTTAGAGAAATGCTCGAGCTCAAGGACGTGGAAAGGTACATTTTTTTTACCAAGGAGGAGTCTTTCTTTGATACCATCAGTCAAGCCGAAGGAACAGAGTTGTTACAGAACTTGGGTCAGATAAATGTGTTGCTTTTTGCATTGACAGAGATCTATATTAATTTGGGATTACTATTTACAGAAAGAATCAAGCAGATAGTTGATATGTTTGGCTCTCATCAAAGCTTTGTTTCAAGGTTGTTTTTGCTTTTGCAAAGAAGTGTTGTCGAGGAAACTATTTTGAGAAATCGAACCCCAGATGAAGTGTTGAAAATGACGTCTAATTTTCCCAACGATAGCCCTCCATTGCAAGTCAATGTTTGCGACCCAGCAGACAGCAAAATGAATACGAGCGGTACTAATCCCAAATTTAAAAATACCCTTCAGCTTCGTACATTCAATTACTATTTTCAAGGCTACGTCGCTCTTATATTTGCGTCAGTTGTTAGAACATGCATCCCTCGCAGGGTGGATCATGCACATCATCAAACGAAAAGAGATGCCGTCTCATTGTTGTTGGGGATTGCAAAAGTAATGACGGATGCGTATAAACGAACATTTGAGTCCAAGTATAATCAACAATGTTACATTTTGGCTCTATCGAATGTCAACTTGTACATTCTCAATCAAAAGGAGCGTACTCGTGAAACTGTGTACATTCCACTCGCTATTGCTTTGTTTCAATCGTCGTTTTACCTGGTGTTGAGAGATCTCACTTACGAGTTGTGGCAAGATTTGCTAGATATGGATCCAGAAGAAGTTCAGAAAACAGCAAATCTCAAGTACATTTGCCCGAATAAAAGTAGCATCGTCAAAAATGCTTTGAGCCAAAATTTAATGATTTTCGCCAAAAGTGTCAATGAATCTGATTTGGGTAACTTTCCGTTTTACAAATCGTACTATCTGAGTAAACCTTTTGGACCTTTGGAAAGAAGTATCACGATGTCCTTTTTGGTTCAAGTATCTTTCGAAGCATTGAGATTGGTTTCTGACTTGACAAGGACAGTAGTAGATGCTGATGACAACGCGGTCGTTAAACTGAATATACCAACACCATTAGTCGAGCAGGTACTTTACATCGCATCACACCTGTACCACTCGACTGTGTGTACGGACAACTTCAAACCTTTGGATGTTAGACGTGTGTTTCCTGATATGGATCAAGTTGCATACCTTATTTCCTTGGGCTTTTCTGAGTCACAAGCAGAGCACTATTTTGATCATGAACCGGATTTAGCGGCGATACGTGAGGGAAGAACAATCTCTTGTCAGGAGTTTGACAATTTCAAAGAAGATGATTGGAAAAATTTTGCTGAGGAATTCAACTCGGCCGACATTGATTTTTCTTTGGATGAAGGTGACTATCTTACCTCTAGGCAAATTTTTGACAAATGCAAAGATATTTGGACAGCAATGGATGACGATTGGATCGAGTTAGCTGTCATTTACCCTAAAGCCACTCACTTGGTGGCGGAGCTCCTTTATTCATTGAAGGAGCGTGAGCGCATTGATCAACTCATCAATATAGCAAGTTATGGTGATTTGGAAAGTAACGAATACGCCGTGTACTTGCATCTTATTTCAATTTTACTTCAAAAGAAACGCTACCCTCATAATGATGCTTTAAAGAAGGTGAACAGTTTGTTTACTGCGTCTTCGGTTGGTCCTTCTGCTGTCGATGAACCTTCTTATCATTACCTCATGGCAATTCTCGAGCAAAAGTTAGTCCAAGAAGACATCCCTGCTGCCGAAAGCACGAGACACGAAGGGATAAGATACAAAGCAAATGAGTCGACAAGTGACATCAAATCTTTGAAGGATCTTTTCATACAAGAAGTTTCCAAAGTTGAGAATGTGACGAATGTTAAATCGGCAAATGGTATAGCTCGTGTTTTGACGTTGCTTGCAAAAGAATCTACTACAGCGGAACAGATCTCGAAATTGTCATTGTTGGAATGTTTATATAAATCAGCAAAAAACGCCGGTGAGGACAAGGCGGTCGAAGCGTCCCTTAAAACAAGCATTGTTTTGATCCTGCGCTACTGTTTTGAGACAAACGACGTAATTGAAGCCTATATGAAACCGGAGTTGGCAAAGCTGTTGTTAAATTCCGGTTTCAAGCTGATCAAAAGCTTGAAAGATTTACTCAAGGACAACATGTCGCTAGTGTTTCGAAGTCTGCTGGCATTGACTGATGCTCTATCGAAAAAGATCATACTTGATGGATACGATGGGGAGAATTCGTCCTTATCATCTGGTGATTTGGTTGTTACAACTGCACCTAAGACACTACCTTCCGAAGACAATGATGCTCCGAGCGAGACTAATCCAACGAAACTCGAGCTGGGCACAGTTATGAATATGTTGTTGACTGAATTAATGGCCGCGATTAAGACTGACTGGGTATCCGATCCCGAGAAAGATGCGAAAACAAAGAGTGGAAAGGAGAAAGACAAAGCTGTTGACATTTTTGCAAACCCAAATTTTGCTTATATCTGTTTCATTTTGCAAAGCATTGTTGAACTTTTGGGTTCATACAAACAAGCAAAGTTTGACTTTCTCACTTTTTCCAAAAAAAAACGTGACGACGTGAAACTAAGGTCAACTTCGTTGAACTGTTTTTTGCATCAGTTGATTCCAACGCAACTGTTGAGTGCGTCCGGGTTGGAATTAGAAAGACGAGCTGCTGTTTCATCAACTGCAAAAATGGCATTGATGTGTTTGATCTCCTCGCCCGTGCTGAACATCCGCGATGGCACCGATTCTAAGAAGGAAGACCCGGATCTTGCTTTAATACGAAGGTTTGTGGTAGATTTGGTTGCCAAAGCGATGAAAGAAGCATCTCAATTGAATGTTGTTGCACGTTCGAGATATTCCAAGTTGTTGGATTTGTTTGAATTAAATGGGCTGTTAATTTCGCCAAAGTTTCGTGATACCATTGGTCCTTTACTTAACAAGGATGCTACGCAATATGACATGTTCCATATATCCAAAGTTTACATTGAAAAACAAATTCCTATAACCTTGACCAATTTGATTGCCGAGTTTGACTTGAACTTTCCAGATATTGACAAAGTGGAGAAAGCCGCCTTGAAGCCTATAACACATTTGGGTAAAAACAAGGTTGAGTTCCAGGAACTTTTCGCTGAAGGTGGTCAGGAAGAGAATGACGATGACGACATTGTCCCTGATGATGAAAATGAGGATCGTGATGATACTCCTGATTTGTTCCGTAATTCAACATTAGGAATGTACGATGTGGACGTCGATAGTGAAGAAGATGACTATTATGATGACGATGGGCATTTAATGATATCAGCCGAGGCTTCCGATTCCATGGAATCTGCTTCTTCTTTTGACTCTGGAGAAGATGATGAGCCGCTGGATATTGAAATGGAAGAAGGTCCTTATGATGAAGAGGAAGGTTCAGATGGAAGTCTTGATGATATTGAGATTATTGATGAACTAGACATCGACTCTTCTGGTGAAGAAGGTTTTGTTTACGGGGATGATGATGAGGATGAAGATGAGGACGAAGACGATGAAGACGATGAGGATGTTGATGTGGAAGTTGATATTGATGCCGAACCCATTAGTGGGGAAGATTACAGTGGAGATGAAGAGGAAAGCGAATATGATGAGGATGAGTTGGATGGTTGGATTGAGCAATTGGAAAGTGAAAACGAACTGCAAGAGGATTGGCCAAATGGTCATGGTCCTAGCCGTGGCCACAATCATAATCATACGCATGGAGGAGCACACATTAACATTGGTTTTGAAGAGTACAATCCAGATGAGGATAGAAGTGGCCGTGGATTCAGGTTCAGAAGAGAGGGCGATGTTACGGATATGAGCTCAGAGGAGGAAAGCGACTCTGAATCGCAACAAGATTTAGCAGTCTTGCCCTCTCATAACGCTTTAAGACGAGTTTTTGATCAAGCTGGTAATGGACGAATGGATGGCACATCTCCCATATCTTTGTTGTTGGATGGTTTGTTTAGGGAAGGTAACCTCCCTGGCTCATTTGAAATCAGCCAAGATGGTACTCGAGTTACAGGGCCCACTACGATTGGAAGACTTTTTGAAAATATGATTCAGATTGGGCAAGCCGGTCGTCATACGGATCGCACCCACACACTTCATATAAAGTCAACCAATGAAAGATGGGTGGATTCATTGAAGATGTTCGACCCCAAGGATGAGGAGGACTTGGTGTTGCGAGTAATACCTGGCATTGTCAACAGAATTGAAGGTAAAAGTATTGAAGCTCATAACCAAAAGAAGGCTGATCTTGAAAAGATAAGGAAGGAAAAAGAAGAGAGAAGAAAAAAGCAATTGGAGGAAGAAGAAAAAAGGCGTGAAGAGGAAGCCAAACAGAGAGAAGCGAATGCAGCAAACGAGCCTCCAAGGGATCCAATTTTCGTTAGAATTGGCGATAGAGATGTTGATATTAGTGGAACTGACATTGATCCAGATTATATCGAAGCTCTCCCGGAAGATATGCGAGAGGAGGTTTTTGCCCTGTATGTGAGAGAGAGACGTGCGAATGCAACTTCAAGTGGTTCTGATGCGCGTGAAATTGACCCTGATTTCTTGGACGCTTTGCCTGGCAATATACGAGACGAGATTTTGCAGCTGGAGTCATTAGCAAGACGATTTTCCGAATGGGGCGAGCATCAAGATGATTTTGAGGATGCCAGCGGGGGAAACGAAGTGGATGATCAAGATGACGAACAATCGAGACCTCAAAGTTCACAAGCAGCTTCTTCATCGCAAGTGGATAAAAGGAAAAGTAGTGGAAAGATTTTCTTTACACCGTTGACAGATAGGAATGGTGTTGCGGCCATCATAAGATTACTTTTCTCACCATTAACAATCAATCAAAGGGAGCAGATTTACCACACGCTTCAATATATGTGTAACAATAAGCATAGCAGAGTTGAGATTGTGAACATGATGCTTGCCATTTTGCATGATGCCTTCACTAACCAGCGTCTGATGCAAAAGATTTATACTCAAGTTTGCAATCGAGCATTAGGTGGCAAGGAGGTCAAGAGTAGGATTCCGTTAAATACCACCCAAATATCAACAGGGATACAATTTATCGAGTCAATCGATTTCCTCCTTGAAAGAAATAGCCATTTGAGATACTTTATTTTGACAGACCACGAAAACCAATATTTGTTACCCCTGAAGAAGTCGAAAAAGAATGCCAAAGAGAACAAGTATCCAATTAATTATTTGTTGAAATTGTTGGATAATAAACTGGTGACAGAGGACCAGACGTTTTTGGATGTGTTAGCAAGAGTCTTGCAAATATCCACACGTCCATTGTATGCATTAAAGAAATCAGAGGGAGGCAAAGCTGCGCCATTTTTACCACCATTCATCCCCGAGGAAAACATCAGGTGCATAATTGCAATTTTGACTGGTAATGATTGCTCCAATTCAACCTTCAGGCGAACTATTAGTGCAATGCAAAACCTATCTGTGTTGCAAAACGTACTGGAAATTTTCAAGCACGAGCTATCTAAGAAGGCAACCGAGTATGGACAAAAGATCATCGCTGACTTGAACAAGTTGACCCTGGATTTGGTGGCTAATGGTAATTTAAACAGCAAAGCATTTTCAAAGTTTAGCGCTCATTCGTCCGATCAAGCCAAACTACTTCGTGTTTTAACGGCATTGGATTACATGTTTGAGCATAAAGACAAAGACCAGTCGGAACGAAAGAATGATGTTGAAGAGCTTACTGACCTTTATAAGAAATTAGCGCTTGGAAATCTTTGGGATTCCTTGAGCGAATGTTTGAGAGTATTGGAAAAGAATCCACAATTGCATAATATTGCCAACGCCTTATTGCCATTGATTGAAGCTTTGATGGTTGTTTGTAAACATGGAAAAGTCCGTGACCTTCAAAACAAAGAGAATGCTAAATTCGAGGTGAAGAAGATTGATTTTACCAAGGAACCCATTGAATCATTGTTTTTCTCTTTTACTGATGAACATAAAAAGATATTGAATCAAATGGTGAGAACAAATCCAAATTTGATGAGCGGACCATTTGGAATGTTGGTCAAGAATCCAAAAGTGTTGGAATTTGATAACAAGAAGAATTATTTTGATCGTAAACTTCACAAGGACAAGCCGGAAAATTCGAAATTGGCGATCAGCATTCGTCGTGATCAAGTGTTTTTGGACTCATACCGTGCATTGTTTTTCAAACCCAAAGATGAGTTCAAAAATTCCAAGTTGGAGATTAACTTCAAGGGTGAGCAAGGTATTGATGCTGGTGGAGTTACCCGTGAATGGTACCAAGTTTTGAGTCGACAAATGTTTAATCCTGATTATGCTTTATTTTTGCCAGTTGTCTCGGACAAGACAACGTTCCATCCTAATCGTACATCGTACGTCAATCCAGAACATTTGTCATTTTTCAAATTTATTGGACGTATAATTGGTAAGGCAATTTATGATAACTGCTTTTTGGATTGTCATTTCTCAAGGGCCGTTTACAAACGTATTTTGGGTCAACCGCAATCGTTGAAGGATATGGAGACTTTGGATCTCGAATATTACAAGTCACTTATATGGATGTTGGAAAATGATATTACTGATGTCATTACTGAAACGCTTAGTGTTGAGACTGATGATTATGGTGAACACAAGGTTATTGACTTGATCCGCGATGGATCAAATATCCCTGTAACTGAAGAAAATAAACAATTATATGTTAAGAAAGTGGTTGAGTATAGATTACAAACATCAGTGGAGGAGCAAATGGAGAACTTCTTGATTGGATTCCATGAGATTATCCCCAAAGATTTGGTGGCCATATTTGATGAAAAGGAATTAGAGCTTTTGATTTCGGGATTGCCAGATATCGATGTTCATGATTGGCAATCACATACCCAGTATGTCAATTATTCAGCATCTTCAGTACAAATTCAATGGTTTTGGAGAGCTGTCAAGTCATTTGATAATGAGGAAAGAGCAAGATTGTTGCAATTTGCAACTGGTACTTCGAAGGTGCCATTGAATGGATTCAAAGAATTGACCGGTGCTAGTGGTACATGCAAGTTTAGCATTCATCGTGATTATGGTGCAACTGATCGATTACCGTCATCACATACCTGTTTCAACCAAATCGATTTACCAGCATATGAAAACTATGAGACTTTGAGAGGGTCGTTATTGATGGCAATTACCGAGGGCCATGAAGGGTTCGGCTTGGCTTGATTGGAGAAGGGTGTATACGTATTATTTCAATGTGATTGGAAGTGTATACTTATTGGTTTTAATGTGATTGTGATTTATTTATCTATTCTATGTCACTCTAAATCTATAAAGGTTCTAAGGGCTCTATCTATTTCTCTCCCTGTGTGTGTGTGTGTGTGTGTCTACGTTTGTTTCAAGAATTCTTCAGCAAGCGCGTCCAAATCACCAGTATCAATCATATGCTTCACAAGGTCATAATTTCTAGCATTGATTTCCTCATTCTTTTCATCGAGTAAATTACAATATCCCAAATATTCAGCGGGTGGCACTGTAAGTCTCTTTTTCTTGAAAACATATTTAGTCAATGCAATAGCATTGGTTCTTTTCCCTTTAGTCTTTGGATCAATTGTAGTAAATGTTGACAATACAAATAACCATTTTTTATCCCACGCCAAAATCCGGGAATTTACATCGTATTTTTCAAAAATTGTCAATTCCCGTTTAAACAGACATTGTACTGTACCCAAAGGAGTATATGGAATGTTTCCAAATGAATTTTGAATTTTGCCGAATTCACCTGATTTATTTTCATATGCATTCCACCAGTATTGTTGGAATAAACGCACAAGTAACTTAGTTCTTGCGATATCCAAATCAACGAAATAAGTGGAGTTATTCTTGTGCATGAACAAATCAATTTCCAATGGACTTACACGTGAATGCCATGTCACGTACTTGAATAATTTATCGGGGGAATCCAAATTGAATGAATTGAACTTGGTTACGTCCTTGTTCTTTCTGAATCTTGAGGGCAATAAACCCTTTATTGATTGGTAATAGAATCGGATTGGGTGTGATACGGGTGTTGTCTTGTGACAGAAAACAAGGTACAACACGAAAAGGATCACTTTGATGGAAATCATCGTTACGTAGCTGAGGAAGAAGAAGAAGAAAGTGAGCCTGAAGGAGTGTAGCTAACCACTGGGAAAATTTTACTCCTTTGTATATATGTTTCCAGAAAGTTTATTTCACATCGGCATTTAAGGGAAGAGACAATTTCTCTTTCCTCGGTTAAAAAGCGAAGATAAAAAAGGAACGTTCTCTTTTTTGGTTTGTTAGAAGCGCGGAGTTAATAAACGTTGAGTTTTTTAAGTCTTTGTGTTGACGTATAACACCCATTGTTATACCCAACAAAAAAAATTATAATAACGAGTGTTCACTATGTTCCATGTTGGCGAGATATGCCTCGCCACTCCCTACTGCATCTTCGCTGCGCCGTGTCTGCAACGGAGTATATCTTGCTTTAGCCTTGTTTCGATATATCCTCATACATATTGAGATTGCTATCTCATGTCAGTTGGTAGCGGCAAGCATTCATTATTGTAAGATATCATTGGCGCAGATGGGGAGAAGATTAGTATATCCAACAAACAGCAATGTATGGATACATCAAGCAGGGTACGGGCACAATTGAGCTCACTCGTGTTTTAAGATCACTGAAATCTCAGGCGGGTGTGTTTTGCTTGGTTATCACCGTGCCACACCTTTTTTTTTAACCTCCTCCACGCTTAAACTCATCAGTGAATCAAAGCATACCAGAAACAAAGTTGAAAAGTGAAAAGAATCAAAGCATTTAAGATTGAAGTTTTGTTTTTATTGAAAAGTTGAAGTCCACAATAATTGAACGGAAGGAATTAGTTGTTTCGTAGAATCGGATTTGTTATTACCGGTCGAGATACAGAGCACCACCGTGTGCATTGTACATCCGCAACATCCCACTTTTTTTAATTTTTTGTGATCTTGGATGGAGAGAGAAAGGTATTGAGTTATTGTAAACAGTCGATTACATTAATTCCATTTGGGTAAAAGCCGAACTTCCGTTTGATCTCTTTTTGCTTTTAGAATTTTTTTTTCTTGTGGACCGGAGAACTACTAAAATTTGATAACTCCGATACCGAAAAAAAAAAATAAAAAAATAAAAAATAATAATCCTACATGAAGAATAATTCTGCTTATACAATGCAATTCGCACCGTTTTTTTTATTTTTTTTGGACCTAATTTTCAAAATTTTGCAACTCAAATTAAGGGATACAACAAAGAACATTGAAACCGACAACTCACAACTACACTTGCAAATCTACTCTACGCTTTGCATAAACCTCTTCATAGGTAATCCAGTCTTCTTTTTTCTTTTTATTTCCACTCTATATAAAAAACCCTTTTAATAAATTCTAAAATACAAAAATAAAATCCAACCAAAACCAAGATCAAAACCAAAACGTATCATCATACAACACATACATCATACGAAACGTATCGTCATACAAAACATACATCATCATCATCATCATCATCATCATATCATAAACATCCGTGGTCATAACGTCCTCTTTTTTTCCCCATCTAATCTCTCTTTGTTTTGTTTACTGCATATGGGCACGAATCAGTTTCAATATGATTATGAATCCAATCATCAACATTTTCAAACTCTTTCAAACACATGCGACATTTACCAGCAACTTTGTTTCTTTGATCCTTTTTGGTTCCATGGGGGTATTGGAAATGAATTGCCTTCAAGTGGTTCTTGAATGTATCACAACGAGAAAAGATTCCTGTGCTATGACAACAACTATCATGGCTACTAGCAACTGCTGATGAAAATCTCAAGTCATCACCATCATTACTATCAGTAATGGTGGATGATGATATTGTCTTGAATGGACATTTGAATTGACCTTTATCAGATCCAATTTCCTTCCAGTGACATTTGGTGTGACGAAACAAGTCATTGGGCCTAGCAAATCCACGTTGACAGTATTCACAAATATGTGGACGATTGGTTGGTTTCAAATGTGTTGATTTGTGTGTTGCCAAATTGGAGAAATACAATTTGCATTCTGGACATTGTCTCTTTTTACGAGGTTTCCAATTCTTTTTCGATTGTGTTGGTGAGGACGAGGAACCATCGTGGTCAGTAGTATACTCTTCATGGTCAGAAGCAGATGGCGAACGCAGGTGAAGGAGAACTGTAGGTGGCTGCTCTTGTTGTTGAGACTTTGATGATGCGGTCATTGTAGCAAGTGGAGCAAGGGGAAATGGAGATGCTAACGGCGTATGAGTATAGTTGTATGTGGAAGAAGAACATGAAGAAGATGCTGATGGGACTTGACTTGATAATGGCACTGGTGGCACAGACAGGGTGTCGCTTGAGTAACTGTAACATGTGGATGAAGCACGATTAGACTCAATGGTGATATCACTTTTAGGTATCAACAATGGGGGTGATCTGATGTTAGATGATCTATTGACGTGCACTTCTTCTTCACAATGGGGGAAAGTTGGGATGTTCAACGAGTGAATCGATGGCAAAACAACTGCTGAATGGGTTGGTAAATGATTTGAATTTGGTACAACCGTTGGACTGGGTGAGCGTAAGGGGCTCGTCGGACGCAGGTGTTGCTGTTGTTGTTGCTGTTGTTGGTAGTAAGCCTGTTGTTGTACTTGTTGAGGCTGTGGCAGGAGTGAATATTGCAGCAAGGATGATTTCGTCATGTTGTTATTGTGTATCAATGTTGTTGCGCCAGTATTGTTGTTGTAATTGTTGTAGTTGCAATTGTAGTTGTAATTGTAAGCTGTTGGAGAACTATGAAGTGGCTGAAGTGTGGTCAACATAATAAGGTATATGGTTTAGTTTCTGAGGCTATAGTGTTGAAGATTTGGGCGTTTTCTTTACTAAACTGTGATACTTTTCACCTGCTAAGATACATGTAAATGGTGTACTAGTTATATCCAATGATGAAATCAAATATCAACGTGAATAATCTCTCTCCACATAGAATAGAAAGAAATTGGAATCTATACTCCATTTATATAAGAATGTGTTTATTAGTTCGTATACTATATACTCCTTTTTTGTACAACTTACATAATTTCACACTTATCCCACCATCATTTAGTAAAAAATCGGTCATAAAGCTTTTCTTAAGTCTTGACTGTCTATCTAATCATTTTGTGATACTTTTGAAAATAGGGGCTGTAGCATTTTCTTTATTCTTGTTATTTTTTTTATATTTTTTTCTTCAATGTTTAAAATTTTGCTCTCTCTTTATTTTTAACAGCCGAACTTTTTTCATCTTCTTGCATTCCTTCATATTCCGCATTATCCACAAAACATATTATTTAACTCATACCACATCTTTATGTATCATCATCATACAAGTAAGACAATTGCCGTAATTTTAGTCCATTAATCATCAACTTCTTAGTGTAAAGTAAGCATGTAGGATCGCAAAAGTAGAATCAGAAAGAAAAAAAAAGTTTCGGGAACAAAAGACTCAACTTTTTACCTCCGTGAAATTTTCCATCAATCCTTTATCCGGATCAGCCTTGTGTGTGGTGTTGCACAAAGAAGATAGAAGCCTAGAACTTCTTCTTCTTGCTCAAACCCTACTTGGTTTTGTATTCCCGTATATGGTTGCTGTCATATTACTACTACAGTGTGATGGCACGGAAGAGGTTACTTTACTCTCTGTTTCAAATAGGAGACTGGGTTTTGATGAGTGAATGACTTTACTTCCTTCCGTCGACCTTTTATGCATATTAGAAACCCACAAAACAAAAAGAGGTGATTCCCCATTATGCAGAATGGATATAACACTGTCATGATCCGGTTCTACAACCATTGCATCTTCAAGCGATTTGACATAAGTCGCATTGTCTGGTTCTGGTTCTGGTTCTCATATCCCACACAATCATGTTTCCGAATTAAAGCTTGCCGTTTTTTCGTCCTTTATTTAATTTTTTTTTTTTTTTATTTTCTCTTTTTTGGCCTTTAATTTTGTCCGTCCGGATTTACATATAATAACTCACTTGTTGCATTGGTTTACCCCCAAGAGTATCCCGTCACTTCTCGGAAAGAAAGAGGGCATGTGTCGTCCTCTAGTGAGGTAGGCATGAGCAAGAGTTGTGCTTCATTGTCAAATGTTTTGAATATGTTTGAGTTCAATCTTTTAGGCTATTTTTACCTGTTGTCGGACGTAAACACTTCATTCTCTTGTGTCGTCTTTGTTCCTTTTAAGTCCGTTTCAGCCGTGTTTCCGACACCCTTCCACCATTTCATTCCATTATTGACCAATTCTCAATTTTTTTTCTTGTCCTTTGCTTGCTTTATTCTGTCTAATTTCACAATTCAAGGATATGTATGAAAAAGGTCAACCACAGAGAACGGGGAGTTGCCGTCACATAAGGCAGTGAAATGTAGTCTCTTTACCCATTCGCTTCATTTGTTCTGCTACCGTTGGATTCTTTTCACAATTTATCTCCGAGCCATTAAAACAAGCGAGAGAGAGGTAGAAACAGGAAGCTAAAATCAACACTAAGACATTGTGCATACACTACAATTCGATAAAGCCTCATCTTTCAAAGTTTAAACTCAGCGGCACAAATGCATTCAGTGCACACAGCTTAGTGGGTACTGCATAATACAATAAATACATGACACGCAACTTTCTTTCTAAACACGGACAATTCGGATACGGCTAAAACATAAACCAACAAAAAAGATAGGAGACAGAGACCGATTTTTTTTTTTTTTTCAGTTTTTCGATGTTGTTTATACGAGATGACTTATTTTCTTCCTATTTGATCAAAAGTTCTATAGCATAACAACTAGTAATTGAGGTACTTTACTCATCTGGAGCATGTTGAACGTTATCGCACTTGAAACTATTCCATCTAGTTACTTTTGGTGCCTCTCTTCTTCATGGCAATCAGTTACGTAATGTCGCATCTTTATTTTCTTTTGGCTTGGGAAACGGCTGTTCAAATTATTTTTTATTTTTTATTTTATTTTTATTGCCGATTTAACACTTAAAAGATTTAACCAGATCAAATTTGGAAAATCAGATTAGAAAACAATTCAAATATGCACTCAAAAATAGTCAACACTTTTTAGGGGTTTGTATATTTGGTTTTACTCCCACGCCTTCCGGAACTTAGTATTTGCAATTCGCGGTTTACTGTGTAGTGTCTTTCTCTACATTACTCCTATTTATTTATTTATTTTGGTTTTGTTGAGTTATCATTTTCGCGTCTATTCCGACAAGCGATTTGGCCGACGAATGCAGTGGTGACATATCCCTTTACACTTTTTTTGAAGCTCTTTCGTTAATGGAAGGACAGCGACCATCATTGTGGCATTGTTACATAAGTCGTGAAATAGGGGTCGCCAAGATTGCAAAACAAAGACAAAGAACCAGAAATTATTCTTTCGATGCTAACTTTATTTTTAGCCTCGATAAAGTATCTCTTGTGTTCATATATTGGACAAGAAAATGTCAAATGGTGAAACTTTCTTTGCTGGTTCAACTCAACTCCAACTCAGCTCAACTGCGCCTACTTCTACTCTTCCCCTCTAGGCCTCATGTCATGCAGAGCCAAAAGCGACGATGAGAGAAGCCTACGTACGCAAAAGAATAACTTTTTGTGTGAGTTTGGGAAACTCTGAAGAGAGAGAGGCGTTGAAGAACATGATGATGGTGCAAATGACGAAGTGATTTTTGAATTTATACGTATTGCTGCAAATTACTACTACCTCAGTAAACACTCCCAACTCAAACGTCATAAGCTGGACTTGCCGAAAACATCAGCATAGTTCATTATCGACTGTGATTTTGATTGTACTGCCGAAACAGTCGCGTGAGACTTTGTTTTATTTTTTTTCTGGCACTTTAAAGGGGGAGCGCATGGCTGTGGACATCGGAGAAAAGAAATCGGTCGTGAAACGACCTGCACAAAAAAAACCGCGTAGATGTTTACAAACCAATTCGAATGACCGTGCCATTACCGTCATGAGGTTTGCGTAAGCCTGTAAGGTAAATTTTCGTGGTATCAGGGAATCAAGGAGGTTTAGAGGTCAAAGTGAAAGGAAAACTCGGGTGATCAATTAAGGTGCTAAAAAGTTTATCTCCGAACGTAATAGCCGTGTGTATTCTTATTCGTATAGCATTTCCGGAACCGATTCTTTACAAACTCCGTATCTTTGCCCCATATAATTAATTCGGATTGATTGAAGGAATACGGTTAAGTCCGACAACACGCGGGGTTTAGACTTTGTTGGTGTAGCGACAGATTTGTCGCACTCTTTTGATCTTTTTAAACTATTTCGGCCCATTTTGGAGTCTCCGTGTTCCGTGTTCCGTGTTTTGTCGACGAAGCCTTTCTATTTCGCAATCGAATATATTTCACCTCTTGAGGCGCCAAAAGAGCCTTACTTGAATAGTATAGGGGGTCGAATCACCTGTACGTAATGTGGTTCAAGCGGTGAGAGTATTGCAATGAAGGGATTCCAAAATGAATATTTCGCATCAATTTCATGGCAAAATCTTTTATTTATGAACCATGAACCCAGGGAGCCTTCAAGATTTTCGCACGTCTACTATTCTATCTCCATCGTATTCAAAGTCAACTTATTATTAAAGAAATTATCTATCTACTATTACTGTAAAAAAAATTGTCTAACGTGTACGTAATAATCCGAATGTGACATGGTTTGGTGATGTCTTTTAACAACAAAGTGAATGCCTCCACTCTCCACATCACTCCTCCCCCCCGCTTAAGCTTTTCTTGATTTAACCTTCTTGGAACCTGTGTCAACACCAGAACTAGTACCACTGGCAGCCTTTTCAGCGGCACTGGCAACTTCTTCAGCCTTGACTGGCTTTTTACCACCTTTGCTCTTGTATACCTTAATGTAGAAACTGATAAACAACACCAAATATGACGACAAAATTAAGTATCCATAAGCTGCTGCCAATTCACTTCCATGACAATTTCCCATATGAGGCAAGCTTGGGAAATAAGCAAATGCATAATGGGTATAAGTGGCAAAATAAACAAAACCTAAATCAAGAATAAATTGGATAATTTGGAATCTGGTGACCCATTCTTTCCACCAAACCCTAATGCCTCTGGCACTAAGGAAATAGTACCAATACATGACCACATGTACTGCCAAGTTCAAAGTAATTGGAACCCATTCAACTGAAGTGTACCCGGTTAATTGAGTATAACACAACAATGCAGTAGCCCCATGATGATAAGTGTGCAAAAACAACAACTTTTTCTTTTTCAACACCAAAAACACAGTGTCAATCAATTCCAAAAATTTCGTCAAGTAATTCAAATAATACAATGTAACCAATTTCTGAGTGAATGCACCTTTATCACAAATGGCATAAAATAATCCATGATGATACAACATGGGAACCAATTGCTCAATACACAACAACAACAAACTTAATGATAGCAAAGTCAACACAATATTATGCAACTGAAACAAAAAATTCAATTTCAAAGCTGGTAATTTAAACTTGTTGATAACTTCTCTTCCACCAAATATAACAATATAATAAACGATAATTATACTAATGGCATGAAACCCATTGGCTAAAAACGTCTGGTGGTAAACAAACTCAAAATCATCAGCGGGGTATCCAATGACCAGTTCAAATACTTTGTTGAAAATGGGCCACAAGTAAATACCAAACGGGCGTTCAATCGATGGCACACCAATTTGAATCAAATCTTGCGATGCTGACGCCTTATCTGTAAAAATCGATCCTGACATGACTACTCTCAAGGGTTATTGAAGTAAGCTTCCTTTTCTATGAGTGAATAGGTGATTCTATGCGAAGTGATGAAACTGAACTCCAATCAACTGTTTCTCAGTAACAATCTTTCCAAGCTGGTCACGTTGGTTGTTGAAGAAAAACAAAAAAAAAAAATTTCATTCTTTGAAAAATTGCGAAAAATGTCAAAACAAGAAAAAAACAACCCGAGGTTAGAAACTTTTCAAAGGCGTTGGCAAATCGCTATATGTATGTTTGATGTTGATGCCATAATCGAATTGAAAACCTCTAAACGATTTGATCCAATTTAAAAAACTCACACCGCCAGTCACTTCATTCTAATCAGCTCCCCTCTTTTCCAATTGTTGGGGCTTTCGTATAGGAGGAGAAATGAACGCGACTCCCACTCTCTCATGTTTTGACCGCTACTGCATATAAAAAAGTCGGCTTAGAAGCTCACTCGGGTACAGCAAGAATTAATTCGCGCGTTTTATTTTGCAACCTTTTTCACGTCACAATCAACTCTACAATAAACCTTATTTCTCTACACACGGCGTCAATCTTGTACAATTTATAATAATTATATACTACCTGTAAAAACCTAAACTCTTTTTCTGTCATCCATCATTATTTTTCTCCCCATCATATATATACTAATTTGGTGATTTTGGCTTCAAGTTCAAGAAATCAATCGAGATGATAATATCGTATCCTTTCTCTTCACAAGCAAACATTGCCTCATGCTCATTCGAATGCAAAAATCGAATATTTTCCCCCACCAATGCGCGAACAAGATTTGTTGTATGTAAATCTCTGATTTCAATAAACCCTGGTTCAAATGATAACAAATAAGGAAAGAATAATGCCACATTTTGTGGTGTGCCTTCCCAAAATATACCCCAGTCATGATTTGTTCTCCAACCATTCTTGTTGATCAAAAACACAAATTCAGAATAACAAAGCAAGAAATCTTTACCTAAACGGTGAATGGCCAATGGAGTAACTGACTCTCGTTGAGTTGCAAAATCCAATGATGGATCAGCTTCATCCAAAATGGGTTCCTTGTTACCCGATTGAAGTGATAAAATTTCAAATCCCTTTGTACACCCAATACATAATTTACTCTTCATGTACGATATGGAAATTGGATCAGATGTGAATGGTATCTCTTGAATTTCAATTTTGTTTTTATTACGATTCTTTTGTTTCGGGTCAAATGGATTAATTGGTTCAAATATGCAAATGGAGTGTTGTGAACCAGTTTTGGCACCAATGATTAATAATCTTCCATCGCAAACACCAAACTTGAAGAATGAAATATGCGTCATAATCAATTTGCCCAGCTTGGTATTTTTAACATGATCCAAGGAATCAGTACACGTAAGATCAAACTCATACAATGCTTTGTCACTCAACACCAACAATTTGGAATATTCTACCAATACTTCAATCTGAGTAACATATGGTTTGGAAATAACCAATGTAGGATCGGAACAAATTTTCTCATTTGATGTAGCACTAATCGAGCGCACAGTACTCACCCATACACCTGAATCAGTACCATACAACAATTTCTTACCACCATAACATGGCACAGCACAATTAATCTTATTGTTACCCGTGAATCTTCTTGTTTCATATTTACTCATGGAAAACAAATCATTGGCATCAATGAGCTTTCTTTGCTGTTGAGCAATCTGTTGCAATACTTGACTTTGTATGGTCAGGTCTTCAGCAAATAATGAAGCATGTACTTGATTTCTTCCCAATCCAAGAAAATTTAGTTGAAACTTGTTGGTGTTGTTTGAAGACAATGTGTTTCCAATATAGTTGCTGCTCTCGGTCCTTTGATTTTTCAAATTTGTGTCGGAAACAAGTGACACGTTGTACCTGAAATTCATCAATGTTCTACTCGTTGGTACTTCAAACCCACTATTTACAAACAACAATGGCAATAATATTGGTTTCTCGAAAACCTTGTGTTGTTCGCGTTTGTTCTGAATCTTGTGCTTGACCAACAACAATGCATGCTCAAACAAGTACAAATCAATTTTTTCATTGTCTCGTTTCCGGTTTAATGTGACTTGATACAAGATACGATTATTGTAAGACAATTTGAAATTAAACTTGTTTTCCAACGTTTGCTTACCCAAAAGTCTATGCAACACCATAATCTTGTGCCGATCAGTGCTTTCACCTGTTTGCACATTAATCTTGACCAAAAGTGCCTCGATCTCCTCTTTTGCTTTCACAAGATACTTGTAATCGGGACTCTCTGGTTTGGTATGTTTCAAAATACCAGCCAATAACAACTGGTATCTTGCTGGTCTTTGCACACCTTTGATTAAAAACGATGACAAATCCTGTCTTCTCGACTCTGGTTTCTTTTCAATGGCATCAAGAAATCGTGCATATTTAACATTGACCTGTTGCTGACGTTCATGTTCAAAAGTCGCAAACACTTTGTTACCGGAATATCGAATAAATGGTTCAAAGCCGCCGACATGATCCAAAAATACATCACCAATGGTTTCAACAACTGGTTTCTGTTGCTGTTGTCTCTTCGTCAACGCTTCACTAAAACCCTTTCCCAATCTCAATAAATCACCAACACCACCAAATACAGTCTGAATGAAAATTTCGCGCTGGTGTTCAGGAATTATATTATTGGCCGGATTTCTCAATGGCATAATGTAAAAATCAGTCATAAACTCTAAGTCTTTCACGTAATCGCGTTCCGTATAAATGAACTCATAAATCAATTCTTGTCGAGTTTTCTCATGCTTATCAAGCTTATCCAACACCGATTGAGGTACAGTCTTGTGCCACAAGGTCTCGTTCTCTTCCTGATCGTGCAAGGATAGCCTAGAGACTGCTCGCTTCAACCCTCCTTGAGGTTTCATGTTAAGTCTAGCTTGCTGTTCTAATCTCCTCGGACATGCAATACTATAACAAAGATGGTTCCGGCTACAAGTTGGTGAATAGCAATCAGTCAATATTGTAAAGACACCATTAACGCCGGTTTGTTGAGATGCAGTGAGCTTCTTTCCAGCACCAGAGGCATGGTTGCTCCCGCTTAACCTGTTATTAACCAGTGGACCCGAGTTCATGTACTCAGCCGATGATGGTTGACTAACATGCTGTGGAAGTTGTTGTGTCAAAAAATTATCATGAATAGCTTGTTGCAATTGAAGGCTATCACTAAATGAGCCATGCTTTGATGGTGCATTGCTATTATTGCCATTGCTGATTGATCCATCCTCATTGTAGAAGTCGACATCATTATAAACATGCGAAAATGCATACACCTCATGAACTGAATCCCGCAAACGATGATTATAAGTGACATCATGAAAAAACTTTTGTGCATCCAAAGTCCTCCCCAAGAGAAGAGCCAAATTTCGATCATTTGTTCTAATGATTCGGCATAATATATCAACAGCCATTTTCCCAGTAAAAGTATCATGATACTCCAATCCGTCTTTTGTGTTGATAGTTAAGATTATAGCCTCTTTAAACACTTTTGCAACTTCCGATAAAATTGCAGGATACACCACCGCTTTAGGACCTGTATGAACTGGAACCATAGTCTTTGAGCTCGCATTACTAGCTCGATCGGCTTTACCTAATGATGATGACGAATTAAACTTTTTTGTTGATAATGACGATGAGAATTTACTAATGGAACTGAACGAACGTGATTTGGAAGATAAGGAAAAAATGTGGTGCAACGATGTTGAAGAGCCACCTTTATCACCAGACAAGGGACGCGAATTCGTCAATTGATCGTGTTGGTGGTGGTGGTGGTGGTGATGATTATGTTGCTGATTATGTTGTAGTTGCTGCGCACTTTTGAATCTTGAAGAGCTAGATGATAATGACTTTGTTCGTGCGTCTTGATTCAATTGACGCGGTGGATACTGCAGGTGTGGAGATGATACGATTCTTCTATTGTCGACATTGTTAAGTACCTGATCAGTTTGAATTGGAGGTAAGTTTGTCGATGGTGCCTTTCGAACCTTGTGGACTGGTGTAAACTGTTCTGTCTGCTCATGAATTGTAGGATGAAGTGGTGGATATCCTTGTAGTTGTTGATTGTCAGTCGGGTAGGGAACATTTGTACTTCCTTTCGAATTTCCTTGCGATTGAAAGTTACCTTCGTATGTCAACGACAGAGCCGATCTGTTTGAAAGAGACGCATATTGGCTATTTTGACGTGTCAGTTCACCAGGCACGGGTGGACCATATACATTGAGAGGAGCGCCACCTGTCATCTGGTCGAAATTCTGATTATAACTTTGGTTACCATTACCTTGCCCCAGAATATAAGGTTGAGGATGCATGGCCAGCTGATCATTTTGAGGTGGATTGGAAAGCACTGGACCACCACCACTACCATATGGATCTAACGTTGATCTTTGTCCGTCTCGTACATTCCATGATTCATGTCTTCGCATAGGTTCTAGCGGCGGGTAGTTTTGGTTGGACGGTAAGCTTGAGCCGCCAGATGATGCCCCTGTGCTGTAGTATGGAGCTGTTACTGCTGCTGCTCCTCCTTTGTTTTGATTAATTGCCGAATATGAATAAGACCTTGATTGTTGGTATTGCTGATGCGGATCGCGTTTTTGTGGCGACTGGCGAAGTGAACCACCAGGAACTGATTGAAAATCCGGTGTACTCTGATTTGGGTACTGCTGATGAGTATGCGTATGAGATGGATGTTGACTGGATTTGTGTGGTGAATTGTGCAAATTTAGTTGCTGCTGTTGTTGTTGTTGCTGTTGTTGGTACGGGAAAGGAGGCTGATGTGCACCGTGTCTTTTCTGAGGACTCTGACTCGACAGATGATGGTACTGTGGCTGTAATTGCGGCTCCGTTTCCACTTGGTTACTGTAATCATTGTGGTTATGATCCTCCTGCTGGTTCATAAACGCTTGTGGCACTAAGTGTGCGGGTAAATTGACGGCATTTACCATTGTTCTAATGTTTGCGAAGTGTGAGAATCAATGTATGATTAAAACGATGGCAGAGGGAGGCGTGCGATTGGTGATGTAGCCCAGTGGTGAGTAAAAACTACGATTTAGATGATGTGTTATTCGTAGTATTGAAATGTGTGTTGCCTGTGCTCTGTCTGCGTGTGAGTGTGAGTATCCTCTGTTGGAATGTTTTCTTTTTTTTTTTTTCTTCTTAACTGCTTGTGTATGTCTCTGTCAGTTTTTTTTTTTTTTTGTTTTCTTTCGAATTTTACAATACAATTACACTGTTCCAATCGTAAAAAGGGTATTGCATGGATTACACCAACAGTGTAGACGCTCTTTATTGTTTTCTATCTACAATTCTATTAGAGAGACTGTAGCTACTGCTAGAAGTGGTAGCCGTCCTTTTTGTTTTAATTTGATCATCGCTCCTACAAAACTTATTTACTTTGTGCCAGCTAATTCAAATGAAGCAACTGGATTTACATTGCTGTGTTTGGATTGCTGACTCATTGAAAATACCTGAATGTTCCCTTTACCTGTCTAAACAAGCTGGTTGACAGACTTGTTCACACGACGAATGTGATGAAGCTCTTGCAGCTAACTTAGTGTGTGCAGATTGAAAGACGCAACACAGAATTTTTCTATTTTTGTACTACTCACTTGATTCAGCCAAGTGGATTGGGGAATCAACAAACAAACCCTTGCGACATTCTGACCTAATTTAATAAGCGCCTGTCCCGTGTTAGTTGAGTATTTAGTGCAATGGAATAGAATAATGGTCCCCATGGATCGAGAAGTGCATGCCCATTCAAAAAAGGGAATAGAATGTATCATGCACCTCAAGCACATTCTTGAGCTATGAGTGAGTCACGAGCACAATTTTGGAGCCATTGATCATTTTTTATTGACATTGCAGTTTCTCGACAATGCAGTGCTTATACTTGAAATGTCATTGAACAGTACAGTTAGATAATGTCATTCATTTGTTACTCGAAAAGGTGATTTTGCAATGAAGTCACTTTCTCTTCTAAGAACTCGCCCCTTTCAGAAACAAGCCCAGGTGGAGTAAGGCAATTTCAGTCACTACATTCTCCACCGCCTTTTCCCACAAGCGATCATTATGGTTAATGAGTGGTGCCAAAGCATTATACTTCGGTATTTCACTTGTACGTGATTACAAGTAGCACAAAAAACATTTATGATTCTTGTCTGTTCTAGGCTCTCTCTCTAAGGCGGTCAAATTGGTCATTTTTTTTCTCTTTTCTCTTTTTAACCGATTTTAGTTCTTCTGCTTTTGTAACTTGAAGTTGCAAAAAAAAAAAAAGGAAAGGAAACCAAAACCACCAAATTGAAATTGTACTGAACTTTGAGTGTGGTGGAGGGTACTCGAAGATTAAAATTATATATTTTTATATGTGGGAGGGGAAGTGAGAAAAGTGAGAGCAAGACCAGGTAAAATTATTTTACCTATGTGCGAGAGATTTACTATTGACAACTCACGTGATATCCCCAAAATGTCAAAACCTTACACAAATGAATCAAGCTCTTTAGTCAATTTCATCTATTAACTCCGAGTGACGTAATGCAACATAAAGAACACTGATACTGTCAAATACTACCGGGAACCCGTCATTAGGGATAGCCGAAACGACCCCATGCACATGGTCCAGTGCGAAGAGGATGTTATTAGCCCACCGTCTTAAGTTTTGATTTCTTGTCGAGATTCGGTGATGGCGGAGAGTTTCAATTTTATCTTGATGTACTCGCTACCGTATTGGCCAAAGTGAAAACGTTTAGGTTTGAGAAGGCTTCTAAACCAAACGCCAGACACCCTTGTAGTTGGCCGAGATGACATACAATGGTTTCACTGAGAGGAACAGGTACTCTGCTTACATATCCACCTATCCACAGCGTTGACAGCACGAAAATATCGATAGCGTCCGGTCTAAAGCATCACCTCCCAAAAACCGTTGGCAGGGCCATATCCTTGTTGAGGATACTTTTTACATTCCCTTCTGACTTTGGTGAACTGTCTCTTTTGGATACTCATAAAGTTTCGCTCAGTTTTACTCAAAAGCGGAAAAATGTGCGCAAGGTTCAAAATCAAAAAGACAAAAGAAAATGATGACAAAAAGTCGATTGGATCGAGATTTTCTTATTTTTCAGCCGTTAAGTCCAACTGATCAGAACCACCAACTCACACATACATCCCTCATCAACACACACCACTTCCTTACACATCATGGTTCATAAAGCAGAGTTTCTTGAGACAACAGAGTACTCTGTCAAATCCGTGCTACAAGGTGGATATAACCATCCATTATCACGCGAATGGCAGCAAGAACGACAACTTACCAAAAATATGTTCATTTTTCCACTTTTCGTCACTGATGATCCCGATGAAGAAAGTGAAATTCCATCCTTACCTAATATTAAGCGGTATGGCGTGAACAAATTAATACCTTATGTTGGATCATTGGTAGAAAAGGGATTAAGAGCAGTCATATTGTTTGGTGTTCCTTTGAAACCCGGTGTAAAAGATGAATTTGGTACTGCAGCAGATGATCCAGAAGGACCAGTCATTACTAGTATCAAGTTGTTGAAAGAGAATTTCCCTGACTTGTTCATTATGTGTGATGTTTGCCTATGTGAATATACTAGCCATGGACATTGTGGAATTCTAAATGATGACGGATCATTGAAACCTGAACCTTCAGTTAAACGTATTGCCGCCGTTGCGGTCAATTATGCCAAAGCTGGAGCAAATTGTGTTGCCCCATCAGATATGATGGATGGTAGAATCAAAGATATCAAAATGGGATTGATCAAAGCAGGTTTAGCAAACAAGTGTCTTGTAATGTCATATGCAGCAAAATTCTCGGGCAATTTATATGGTCCATTTAGAGATGCTGCTGGAAGTGCACCAAGCCATGGTGATAGAAAAGCGTATCAATTACCACCAGCAGGGTCAGGATTGGCAAGAAGGGCATTGTTGAGAGATATGGAGGAAGGCGCTGATGCCGTTATTGTTAAGCCATCAACTTTCTATTTGGATATTATAAGTGATGCCAGTAGAGTTTGCCGTGATTATCCAATTTGTGCGTACCATGTTAGTGGCGAATATGCCATGTTGCACGCTGCTGCCGAAAAGGGAATTGTTGATTTGAAAGGGATTGCATTCGAGGCTCATCAAGGGTTTTTGAGAGCTGGTGCAAGATTAATTATAAGTTACTTTACACCTGAATTTTTGGAATGGTTACAAGTGTAGATAGACGAGGAATTATATATTATGAATTACTGTATAAAGACAAGGCTGTAAATATACAACAAAACCTTGAAGTTCACGATGCAATTGGTTCGTTCACTCTTTGCTCCGATACTTTCTTTTTATCTTCTTTTTGATCTTCTAAAGTTGTTGGTACTTCAGGCAATATACGATCAGTTGGTGCATCCGGTAATGCAACATCTTCTTTCTTCGTCTTGTCACTCTCCTTATGTATCTCTCGATCCAACTTGGCAAACTCTTGCTCGATTGCATCTTCATCAACGCGACTCAACCCTGATCCCAACCCCAAAGTTTGACTAATTTCTTCCTCCTTCAATTTCTCTTCTTCTAGATCATCCATTATCTTATCAATTTTCTCAACATTCATCTCATTATTTAACTGCTTCAATACTTGATTTCCTTGTTGTAACCCATACATTACATCTTTTTCAATCAACTTAAATTCAATGGTACCAATTAACTTTTCTAGATTATCCAACTGTTCAAATGTCTTGTTTATTGTGGATTCTTGATTCTTCTTACATCGTAGGTAGAATTTAGCTCGTTGTGGCTGATTGTTAGCTATTGCCTTTTTGGCCAATGCGGTTTGCTTATTACAGATGATGGTTAGTTTTCGTTGGTGTTGTTTTATTTTGTCACGTTGTTGTTTGAGTTGAAATATAGCTCGATCTTGCTCGGTTATCTTGGGTGTACTCGGTTGGTTACCCATGGTAGTCGTGGATGGAATCGTGGTGTAGGATCAACAAAAATACCAATTTTCTTTCTTATTTTTTCTTCAGTACTCAGCTCTTATCAATCCTACGCAATTACAAAATAAGATTCGTAAATAAAATCCATTGAAACTAGACAAACTATACATTATCATAGACTACTCTTTCTTGACTTCGTCATCCTTAACACGTCTACCTCTACCCAATTTATCATAAACGATAGATTGTCCCAACAAGATGGAGTTCATAATCAAAGACGTAGTATAACCTGCAACCAAAATCTTTTCATCCACAGTGTTTTTGTTTCTCTTAGCCTTAGATGAGTAGTCAGTGTATGAAGTATACACTCTAATGATAGAGCCAAGTACATTGGCTCTTAAAACAACATCGCTCAAGTGGCTAACAGTTTGTAATCTGTGATTGGTTTTGATTTGAGGAATCTTGGAGATGATTGAGATTGGAATGTTCAAGATTTCTAACGCAGAAATGAGGCTGGATGGAGCAATTTTGGTGAAAAAGATCACAGAACCAGCCATAATCAAGAGTGGCTGGGCCAAGCCATCGGTTAATTCCTTAATAGCCTCGGATAATGGTAACTTGGACACGTTATCAATCTCATCATTGGCTCTCAATCTGTAATACTTGGTCAACAAGATAATGATGGCATTTTGTATACCCAAAAGCAAGCTCTCACCATAATTGATGAAGGGAATACCGTTGTGCGAATTGAATGAAACATGAACCAAACTGTTCAAAGTGTCAATGGTCAAACTTTGCAAGGACAAACCTTTAGCAACACGAACACGATCAGCTTCTGTCTTGATCAACAACTTACGAATTTGTGGAATTCTGATAAATGATGACACACCAACAGTCGATGCACTTAATAAAGCTGCCAATACTTTTCCGTATCCAATAGCCTTGACTTGAGACCAAGCCATTTGCAAGACAATTTTGTTGTTTGTGTCAGGGTCCTTCAAAAGATCGAGGAGTAACCAAAGCGGATTGGGAGGTGCCATTGTTGTAAGTAAAGCAAAATTGTGTATTTGACGTCGATTAAAAGAACAAGGATTTTGAGTAGTAAAAACTCTAAAGTAGTACAGATGTGAAGTTGTGGCTGATACAGGGGGGGAAACGTTATATGTCAGCACTGGTGTTAGCTATCAGGGCGAAACAAATAGATAAATTCTCAGCAAATATGAAAACCTTTTTTGATGTACGTATACTCAATTGATTAGACCAAAAGAATGGGAAGACAATCTGAATTGGTTTTATAAAAAAATCAGATGGTAATGGTTAAATTAAATATTAAAGAAAATTATCACAGACTAAAATTGATTGTTCAGATTTTTTGGTGGAGTAAAAATAAAAAAATTGAATTTACACAAAGACAATAGTATTCGTAACCTTTTTCCGTTTTGAGCAAACAGAGAATATTACTAAAGAACCAATGTTTGCATAGTTGACACAACTCAGTTTCAATAAACGCAAAATTCCCATTGCTTATATCAGGGAGACCTCAGCATCAACCCAAAGTGAAAACAATTCACCTACATGCTAAAAGATGAGGAAAGAAAAAGAAATTGCGCTTTTCTAGTCGTGTGAATAGGTTTGCTACCCCGCCAAAACAGTGGAAAATGAATGAAAAAGTTGCAATTTTTCGTGCAACACATTCCGCGGTATTACCAATTATTCACATGCAAACACTACCCATTACGTGTATGAGCTCTCCCCCCCCCCCTCAGTCAGAGTAATTAAGACACGGGCAACGCTATTATATGCAAGGGGCGAGATCTTCCGCCCTAGTACACATATAGCATTAAGCGGTCCTAAACTTCTTGAGAACATTTTAACAGATAAAAGAAAAGACAAAGCTTCATAATGAGCTACATTTTATGCAAACCACTATATCTCCCCTACTTAACTTTTGCAAGCTTCTTTTTCAACACCGCTTCAGCATTCTCAATGAATTTCAAGTTTTCTAAATGAAGATTCAACAATTGAATGATTTCTTCAATCGATCTGTCATAACCGTCACTATTCTTATCTTGATCCTTGCTATCACCACCAGCTTTCCCTTCTTTGTTGTTTTTGGCATCAGAAATTGTGAGGTTCTTGGCCAAACTCTTGTTAAAAATGTTTCCTATCGAGTTGACCTCTGTTATTAAAGTGTTCAAGTTTTCACCCAATGTATCTAATCTCTCATCCAAAAGTTCGGCATTGTAGTATGCTTTCTCACGTAATTTATCAGTCAAGCTGACACTGGTTGGAACAAGGGGCTGCAATTGCTGTTGTTGGTGTTGTGTATCATCACGTGTGGTCAACGCTGAACTTGACGCACTAACACCAGCAGTATGTGTACTTGTATTAGCGCCTCCTGTGATTGCAGGAACATTACCACTTGATATCGCACCGGAGTTATTGTTTACCTCTATGTTGCTCAACAAGATATCCGTTTGTTGCTCGTAATTGTCCAAGACTTTCTCCAACTCATCTTGTTGATTTTCAACAAAACGTAATTGTTGATCAATCTTGGACTCCAACGCTTGCACTTCAATTGATTCCTGATTCAATTTGGTAATTGCGTCACCACTTTCAACTAATTTCAAGTCCCATGTCTTAACCTTGTCTGTGTACGTGTGGAACAACTTTGCAGTGGAGCTCAATTGTTTTGACCACTTTAAGATTAAATCGTCCAAATTTTTGTTATCGATTGATACCGGGATTGGTTGAATCTTGGTGGGTTTCAAATTGGGCTGAGATGTATCAGAAGTTGATGTTGTTGTTGAAGATGATGGGGGAGCAATCTTAGCGGCATCTATTTCCTTTTTGGTCTCACCTTCATCTTTTTTTGCACCAAATGAGAATCCACCGGTTTGTTTGTCCTTATCTTCATCTTTCTTAGCTCCGAAAGAGAACCCTCCAGCTGGTTTGTCCTTATCTTCATCCTTCTTAGCGCCAAATGAGAATCCACCGGTTTGTTTGTCCTTATCTTCATCCTTCTTAGCTCCGAAAGAGAACCCTCCAGCTGGTTTGTCCTTATCTTCATCCTTCTTAGCGCCAAATGAGAATCCACCGGTTTGTTTGTCCTTATCTTCATCCTTCTTAGCTCCGAAAGAGAACCCTCCAGCTGGTTTGTCCTTATCTTCATCCTTCTTAGCGCCAAAGGAGAACCCTCCAGCTGATTTGTCCTTATCTTCATCTTTCTTAGTTCCAAAAGAGAACCCTCCAGCTGGTTTGTCCTTATCTTCATCCTTCTTGGCGCCAAAAGAGAACCCTCCAGTTTGTTTGTCCTTACCATCGTCTTTGTTGGCTCCGAAAGAGAACCCTCCAGCTGGTTTGTCCTTATCTTCATCTTTCTTAGCGCCAAAGGAGAACCCTCCAGTTTGTTTGTCCTTACCATCGTCTTTGTTGGCTCCGAAAGAGAACCCTCCAGCTGGTTTGTCCTTATCTTCATCTTTCTTAGCGCCAAAGGAGAACCCTCCAGTTTGTTTGTCCTTACCATCGTCTTTGTTGGCTCCGAAAGAGAACCCTCCAGTTGGTTTCTCATCCTTCTTGGCGGGCTCATCAGTTTTCTTAGCACCGAAAGAGAAACCACCGGCAGCAGGTTTGCCACCACTAGTACCAAATAACGACCCTGATGCTGGCTTGTCCTTCACTTCGTCTTTTTTACCGAACAGAAAGCTTGCACCACTCATTGGTTTCTCAGTAGTGTCACCCTTCTTAGCTCCAAATCCAAACAACGTACTACCAGGCTTGGGTGAAGCAGTTCCCCCAATCGACATTGGCGATTGTGACATTTTTTCTGCTTCATTGTTTGCAGCAGTACCGAAAGGAGAGCTAGCTTTAGGCTGTTGCAGACCTGGGAATTGAAAATCGCTAGTGCTTGTAGAAGTCGGAGCTGCACGTGAGGATTCATCTTTCTTTGCATCAAAGAGATTTGTTGGAGCCGTAGGTGTTTCTTTCTTTTCACCCACTGAAAAAGCTCCGCCAGCACCGGATCCGGTTTGAGTTGGCCCAAAAACATTCAGAGAGGAGTTAGAGGTCCCGAATCCAAAAGCAGGTTTCTTTTCCTGGCTGTCGTCCTTTTTTTGCCCAAATACTCCACCAAAAGTATTCGATGGCGTAGACAGTTGTGGATTAGTAAAGGATCCAAAGCCCGATGTAGTTTGTTGTTGCTGTTGTTGTGGCGCAATTGAATGGCCCGAATTGCTTACACCGAATATCCCTCCAGTATTGCTGGCTCCGCCTGTGTTTGATGTGGCTGCAGGAGACTCATCTTTTTTGCCAAAAGTGAATCCACCTGCACTTGTAGCATTTGCATTAGATCCCGTCTGCCCAAAAGTCGAGGCTTGATTAGAAGTCGTTTGGCTCTTGTTTGCGTCAGTATTTGCTCCAAAAGCAGATCCAAACCCTGTAGTTTTGGGAGCACCAAAAAGACTTGAAGATGGTTGTGATTGTTGATTGTTGGAACCTGCACCGAAGGAAAATCCTCCACTGGGTTTGGCATTCTGTCCGAATGCATTCGTTGTTGGATTTGTATTGCTCGACCCAAAACTAAACGTGGTGTTCTGCGATGCATTGTTGTTATTGTTGGCGTTTCCACCAAAAGCATTACCTTGAGTGTTGGATGAGTTGTTGTTTCCAAACATGTCGATTTTAAGATCAAAATATACAACGATTGATGGCAAGGTGAAGTGATCAAGTATATGGACAATTGTGTATTGTCTTGATCAACCGATTTCTTATACAGCAAGGGATTAAAGTTCTTAAATACTTCGGCTCTTTTTATTTTATTTTTCTTTGATGGCTTTCTCTCTCGCCTTGCAAGATGTTGAGATACTACAATTCAAAAAGGGAGTCAAGGTGACTCACGAGAAGTGTCTTGTATGTAATTCAAAATTTACTCCCACTCTACATACTGTTATATGATGAAATCTGATACATGTGTCACGCACTGATATAGCCAAGGTTAAAGAGTGTGGAAAACGGTAGCTTCGATAAGTATAAAAGCGAAGTGGCGCAAGCGCACATTTCTATTAATTTTGAGGAAGTAAGCTTCTTACAGATCAAGGCCGTTTAGGGAATGATAAGCGGTTACAAGTACATAGTCTACCCACTGGAGTTGTAGACTTGGCTGTAGGATTTCAACACAAGACTACATTACAACCGAATATTATTAAACAATCAAGCGTATATTACCTTTCCAGCTTTATATTGCTATTTACTTTTTGGTACCTTGTGCAGCGACAGCGGCAGCACCTGCAGCAGCAGCTTCTGGGTCCAAATAGTAGGCTGGCTTGGTTGGCTTCAATTTTTCATCCAATTCGTAAACCAATGGGATACCAGTTGGGATGTTCAAGCCAGCAATTTCTTCGTCAGAAATGTTGTCCAAGTGCTTAACCAAAGCTCTCAATGAGTTACCATGAGCAGCGACAATGACAACTTTACCGTCCAACAAATCAGCAGCAATTTCATCTTGCCAGTATGGAATCAATCTGTCAATGACTAACTTCAATGACTCAGTATGTGGAACGACGGATGGGTCAAGATCAGCATATCTTCTTTCTCCAACTTGTGAGTACTTGTTGTCAGCTGAAATTGGTGGTGGTGGGACATCGAATGATCTTCTCCAAGTTTGGAACTTCTCTTTACCGTACTGTTCCAATGTTTCCGCCTTGTCTTTACCTTGCAAGTCACCATAGTGTCTTTCATTCAATCTCCATGATCTCTTGACAGGAAGCCATAATTGGTCGGCTTCTTCTAATGCAATATCAGCTGTTTGAATAGCTCTGGATAAAAGAGAGGTGTGCAAAACGTCACCTTTAATACCAGCTTCCTTGATCAATTCACCAGCTCTTTTGGCTTCCTTTCTACCAGTTTCTGACAATTTAACATCGACCCAACCAGTGAACAAGTTTTTTTCGTTCCAATCGGATTGACCGTGTCTAATTAAAACTAACTTTGGCATTCTTAGATATCAATTGGGTGTTTATTCTTTCAGGAAATATGGTTGTGGAAAGATTGAAAGGAACAAGAGAAAGAAAGAAAGAAAATGAAAGTTGTGTGGAAAATTTATAGAATGACAATTTTGGCACTCTGAATCGAGAGTGCCCCGGATGAAATTGGATTAAAAAGAGAGGAAAAAGAAAAAAAATAGATTGAAAAATGTGTGGCTGTCAAAAGTATGTGTATTAGCATAGGATTATTCCCGACCGAGAATAGCTGCAATTACCAATTTACAGACGTACCTTTAGAAAGGAAGATATCCATAACCAGATCCTTCACTATACACACGATAACTATATTTCGTCTTACCTTCAACCACCAAATTGAATGTTATTTTGATGCTCTGCTGCTGTCAAGTTCTTATGATCTGCTGGATTGGCAGCCAGTTCGTAAATCGTAATCACTGGATCTTTATTCAATTCGGTAAACTCTCCTCTCAACTCGATTGAATGGATACGACATTGATCCTCACTTTCATCGTATATGTCGGCAATAAAAATTGTCAACTGTTGCACACCAGTAAACTTGTGTCGCTGAAGGAAATGCTCCACAAAATCATTGTCAGATTCAACGATATCCTCAGATTCGTCAACGTCATCAGCAACTCCCACTTGAGGGTGGGTGATCGTTTGCACTGGTTTCTTCAGTTCAATATTATCAAAATCAATCATCTTGTCGTTTTTGAATAGTCTGATTGTTTTGGGGCAGTAGGAACTGCCATTGGTGCGAAGTATTAATGAGTACAATTTGACACTGCCATTTAAGAAGGGGATATTAATAATTAGCTGCTCGTCACAATCAGATTTAATGGTTGGGCGAATCTCATATTTTTTATCTGGAGTCTTGAATATTTTTGCAAGGTCATCGGGTTGATTTGCCATGTTTAGTGCTGACACTTTAAACGTGTCGATTTTGGAATTGAGCGATTGGGATGATGAGGTAGGGATAGGTGCGACATGATCATGATCATGATCATGATTGTGGTTGCCGTGGCTACCAGAGCCATGATGATGTTCGTGTTCGCAAGACATCTGGGGGAGGGGTAATAAGAGGATGATGATCTTGTGGTGCTCTCACACTTTTGGATTTTTTCCTTGCTGAGACTTGATTTCATGGTCACGAACATAACAACTTCTTCAATTAGTTGTAGCTCTTTCCAATTCATATATTATCTATCACCGATATCACAATGCTAAACTACTGTACAAACAAACAATCATGACAGCCACTCCCCAGATGGTCAATCCAAGCGATAAGTATTTGAAAATCTTTTCTAAAGTGCTTGGATCATCCAGTTCCGAACCAATGAGTTTGTACCCGAACAAACCTGGTAAAATAAAGGAAATAGAGGTTGAGCCAGTGGCCCCGACTATGGCCAACACAAATGCAAACGATTTCAATGTAATGGCAAGTGTATATGCTGTAATCAAAAGTAAAATAGTAAGTACAACAAAGGTTTTATGCGTGAATGGAACCACATGTAAGTTAGTTTGTTCTTCCGTGTCTCCTTCATCGCCACCTTGAATCAACAGGGTCGTTTCGTTTACCTCTTCGGATTTCTCTTGCAATCCCTTCTTTGCAGAGTAGTAAATATTGTTGAAAGATATTCTTGCGGGGTAAAACATCAAAGGGAATGAAAAAAGAACCATAAAGACAATGCAGAATCTCCCCAACAAAGTGGCAGCACCATTAGGATACGACAAAATAACGTTTCCATTGACACTAGATCCAAAAGTCAAGTAGCCGGCAAGTCCAACTCCAATAAACAACACACTTGATAGAATGATGGCAAAGTTGATCAAACGAGTCAAGTTGGTCAACGATTTGTCTTTTGCTTCGTTGATTATGGAAAACATATTTTGTTGCCCACTGAAGGCGAAAACAATAATTGAAAATGTGCTAAACACCCCGGTGATGCTGGATGGGAAGTACTCGATAATGCCCGAACGGGGAATATCATGAATGAAGAAATGGGCAACAACGAGAAGTGATATGTACAATATGGCAATTAAAGCCAAAATCGAGGTATATCTCAAAGCATCAAGTTTTTTTGCAAATGATAATGGCACTGTGAAAAGTGCCGAAACCAACAACCAAAATGTTCTGTAGTGTTTCTCTTCCACGTATGGTACATCAGATATTATTGTAGGCATCAAGTCACCAATAAGGACCAAGTACGAAATAGCGCAACCAAAACATTGAATCGCAATAGCAATATCAAATATGACCGACAATTGTGGATACGTGATTAAACACAATCCAAAAAAATTTGCATGCCCACTAGCAATGTAGCGTGAGACGTAAGCTTGTATAAACAATCCAAAGCCCGACGTCAAGGCAGCAAGTATGATTATAAAAGTTCCAAAAATTGTTCCATCTGTGGCGTATGCCAATGGCATGGATAACAATCCAGCTCCGATAATTGTCTTTGTTAAATTGATTGCTGAGGAGATGTTGGATGCACCACCACTACTTCTATTGTCTATAGATGGCATATCTTAAGAGAGGTTTGCTTTAGCAGTGGTTGGAGGAAGAACAGATGATGATGATGATGGATAGGAGAGTCAAATTCCATTAGTAAATGACGTAAATAAAAGAAATTTTAGAAACGGCGCGAAATTTCCTAATTTGAAAAGCAATTGAATGAAAGGGAAATCAATGCTCGCGGAAGCAAAAAAAAACACACGTACCAACTAACGGCTTTTTAAGATCATTGCGACTGAAAAACTACACTGCTTTGATTGTTACCGTCAGCGAGTATCGTTTCTTGCACCGTATGTGGTAATGTCCAAGAAATGCTCCTCTCTAAGACTTTGCGCTACCGATGTATAACAAAGACATGGAAGTGACACTTCAGAAGTGCAACGAGCCTTAAAATGCTCGTTAGAGGAGGCTCGTCAGTTTACACACTCTCAGCCCAAACATTTGATTGTTATGACCAACATATTTGCAGTTGTTTATCTTGTGACTTTTGCTCTATTTTGTTGCAAAATATCTCAATTGAGATAACCATTCCAGGGATTATAGACACCTCAGTTCACAAGTACTTCCAAACAGGACACTACATCAACAGCTTTCAAGATTGGCTCTGGACACATTCAATACCTCTTACAACATTCCCACCGTAAAATTTTGCAGCTTTCTCACAAATAGCAACCATAACTTTACACAAAAAAATAACAAATTTCTCTCTCCATTACTTCGGTTGAACCATTTCAACACATTCTTGCAGGTACATACGATGTAAGGTGCTTAAATGACTACGGTTTCAAAAAAAAGTTTGTCGGCTCAATTAAACACTTTCCCCGTATGTGGCTACGTCAATGATGAAAGATGTTGCCTTTGTTGATGGCAAATTAGGACAAGAATAACATAGTGCATAAATCTTCGCTTTACATTGCAAAATATATCTCGAACGGAAAAAAAAAATATTAAAAAAATAACCGTTCAATTTTTTTGTTTACGCCAGTGCTTTTAATAGATTGAAAGTAAACCATCAATCAAATTCATACTAAGCTTGCTATCGTTTTGATATTGCCCCGAACCGACAACGAAGCTAAAATATCTATTTACCCGTTAATCAATAAGGTCGCTCAAACTTGACATATCACATTCCCTCGACTTAACAAAGACAAGCATACTCATCATGTCGTCAGATGGAGAATTTACCAGAACTCAGATTTTTGGTACCGTATTTGAAATAACCAACAGATACACCGACTTAAACCCCGTTGGTATGGGTGCTTTTGGTTTGGTTTGTTCTGCTGTTGACAAATTGACTGGGCAAAATGTTGCCGTTAAAAAGATTATGAAGCCGTTTTCTACATCAGTTTTGGCGAAAAGAACTTATAGAGAATTGAAGTTGTTGAAGCATTTGAGGCACGAAAATTTGATAACCTTGGATGATATATTCATTTCCCCCTTGGAAGATATTTACTTTGTTAACGAGTTGCAAGGTACTGATTTACATCGATTGTTGACTTCGAGACCATTGGAGAAACAATTTATACAATACTTTACGTACCAGATATTGAGAGGTATGAAGTATATACATTCTGCAGGAGTTATTCATCGTGATTTGAAACCATCGAATATTTTAATCAATGAAAATTGTGATTTGAAAATTTGTGATTTTGGTTTGGCTAGAATTCAAGACCCTCAAATGACTGGTTATGTGTCCACCAGGTACTACCGTGCACCTGAAATTATGTTGACTTGGCAAAAATACGATACTGAGGTTGATATTTGGTCTGTTGGTTGTATATTATCTGAGATGATTGAAGGGAAACCTTTGTTTCCAGGGAAAGATCATGTTCATCAATTCTCCATCATAACGGAATTATTGGGAAGTCCCCCGGCTGATGTGATTGACACTATTTGCTCTGAAAACACATTGAGATTTGTACAATCATTACCACACAGAGATCCCATCCCATTTAGTGAAAGGTTTGCCTCTTGCACACACGTTGAGCCCGAAGCTATTGACTTATTATCCAAAATGTTGGTATTTGATCCAAAAAAGAGAATTAGCGCCGCTGAGGCTTTGACTCACCCATACATGGAACCATATCACGACCCCACTGATGAGCCTGTTTGTGAAACAAAGTTCGATTGGAGCTTCAATGATGCAGACTTGCCGGTTGATAACTGGAGGGTGATGATGTACAGGGAAATCTTAGATTTCCATCAAAGTATTGGAGTTGGTGGTAGTGGTCTCGATTATCAACAACAACAAGTTGCTGACGCGGATGGAAACACCGATAAGTTGGAGGAATTGAATAGGCAACAGCAACAGCAACAGCAACAGCAACAGCAACAGCAATATGTTCAAGAGCAACAAACTTAGAGTTTGTTTTGTTTGTACTTTGGGTTTTAGATTACCGTAGAGTTTGAATGAGTTTATGCTTTGTGTAAGTTAATATACAAAACTTTTATACTATGTGCGCACCCTTTTGAGTGATTTTTGTTGACCTTTTTCTCCGAAATCAAATACTAGCTCCCCAACGATGTCAACCATGGGTCAGGGCAATTCGAGTCATGGACAAACTTACAAGAAGCAATTACACGATAGCCTATCAATTTCATTGAGCTATTTGGAAGTGGAAGCCGATGGCTCTCAAGTATGCGAATTGACTTTTAAAAACACTTCGAAGAAAAATCTTACACTCAATCCAGTACAATCAACCGCGATAGAATCAAACACAGAAGTGCAATCAAGTTGGCTACCGAGTTTCTTCAAGCTGTCAGGAAAGACCGAAGAGCAAACAGAACTAGTTACTCTGACCAAAGATGAGCCAATAACTTTGTTTTTGGGCCACTTGCAATTGTTTGGCTACCTTGTCTTGAACTACAAATTTCCAATAGATACTAGCTCGTTGGATATGAATCGACATCAGCAGTGGTGGAACAATGTGGAATACTTAAACCAGTACTGGCATGACGAAGAGGCAGAAGGAGAAGGAGATGGAAACGATCCACATGTAATCGTTGAAAACACCCCATTCGTTGCAGAACAAATCAAGTCAAAGATAACTATTGGTGGTCACTTGGGCGGTGTCAAAGATTTGATAGTTGGTGAACACGACTCAAAGTCACTTGATGTTAATCCGACGTTATTACACGATTTGGTCAATGTGTTTGACTCATACCCCGCAGGCACCTCAACTCTTCCTTTGATAGATTTGACGGACTCAATTTTACCAATATATACAACTCCACAATCGCTTTTGTTTTCTGACTTGAATATACCAAAGAATTCGTCAAAAACATTCAAATTCAGTGCACCGGTGAATAGTAAACTACCACCTAGTTACAACACGAGACTGACGGGACCAGCATGTGATCAAGGCTGGGTTAGTATAAGATATTCCCTTGCTGTAAGCTTGCAGGAAAACAATATCATTGAACCTGCGAAAACACTTTATTTCCCCTTTAAAGTTTCCCCACGTAGAGTCGTCACAAATAAGGTAATGCAAAGGCTATACTTTGAGGAGCCCTTGGGATTGGAGAGCAGTTGGAGAATAAAAAGTAAAGAGGAAGAGTCTTTGAGTTCGCCTTCATTGAATGGCACCTCAGCGAAAGCAGATTTTTTGAAAGATCTTTCGGATTTGATCGATTCAGATGTTTACAACATGCCAAAAATATCAACAACAGAGCGAAGAAAGAGCAGTATAAATACGACGCAAAAGGAAGCTTTGGATGAAGGATTGTACACAGCGCAATTGCCATCTAATATGAAAACACTGTATCAGTTGAAGGTCAACGACGATGAAGTGTGCAAGATTTCGATTTCCAAACCTTACTACCACGTGGGCGACGACATTCATTTCAAAATAGAGATGAATTTGAATGATAAAGAGTCACAGGTGATTGGAGTGATTGCATATTTGGAAGCTTATGAAACTTATCATTTGAAAGAGAATGGAGAAAGACAAGTTGTCAACAAGTACGAGGTTTCAGGAAACATAAAGATCAACACTTTGGCAACCATATTGACAAATCAGAAGGACACGAAAAGTGTAGTGTCCGAGTCTATCAACATACCCAAATACTTGACACCACAGTTTCAGAGTAAGTCATTCATGGATTTGACGTATTGGTTAAACTTTCAACTCAATTTCGCCAAGCTTGCCGATGAGGATGTAAGTGCCACCGATCTTGTTTTTAAATCGAATACATTTTTACGATCTGATGCAATTGGAAATACGCAGCACTTTACCGTTCCCATCCACATAATTAGCTCTGGGACAGAGTAAAGTGTCTATAGTAAGATCGATTCATTGCCGTGCACATTGCAGTCAGAAATCAACAAATGTACAGCGAAAGTAAACGGACGGAGAACCACCGTTTCTGGGAACGTTTTACGGAACAACGTCAAAATGCTTTGCTGCAAACAAATGCTGTCACTGGATTTACCAGGCCGAATTATAAGTAATTCTAGATCTTTTTCAAATTTGTAGTGAACAAATTTTCATTTCCCGATTTGTAGATTTTTTTGACTATTTAGTGCAATTTTATTTTGTAGCCAGTGAGGGTGGCGAGCTTGACACATTTACCAATTGTCTTCGACGGAGATAAGTTGGATCAATCCCTTACACAATATTGTACTTTCCAAGTGGCAATTGCTCTTGGTGCAGATAAAACAAAACCAACAGCGGAGGTGTGCGTGGCTGCTTTGGATGTTTGTTGTAAAATTTGTAGTTGAATGTTGAAAAAAATAAAACATTTCCTAATTAGGAAATGAAAGTTTTTTTTTTACTCTAACCATTTTTTGTGTACAGATTTACAACTACAACTGCAATATAAATTTCATCAATCTGCAACAATACTTAATCAGATCTTTTCTCAACTGGGAAATAAAATTAATCATTCTTTGAAAACCAAGTTAGTCTGGAAGGGGAAAGATTTACTACCTTGAGTAATGAGTACAATCCTGCCATTGTTTAAGCCACAACTTCACATTAAAATTGCTCAAGTAAGGGAGCTTTTGTGCATGTGACTGGTTTCTTATAAATGCCATTTGGTGTGCCCTCTCAGTTTCAGCATTTGGGCATGTTTACCACTTTCTTTCACCACACCGTTGCTTCCAATTTACACTCGTTATTAGCAGGGAATTGAAGATGAAGTTTTCTACCATTTTGGCGTCGACTTTGTCGCTTGCTACATTTGTCACAGCACAACCTATTGCACCGGTATCTGAGCAATTGACTGTTAAACTCGAAACCAGAGAAATGGGTGAAAGTATCATTGAAGCTTACCAATTGGAACAAAGAGACATTTCTGATATTATAAGCAGTCTTTATTCGAGTATCAACTTTACTGCCATCATTGATGATATTGATTTTGACGGAATTGCTGAATGGATTAACGGATTGTTGACTGAAAACAACAACATTCAATACTTGGAAAACCTTTTAAACTTTGTTGGTCGTACCAATTTGGTTCCTGTTCTTATTGGCTTTATCGTATCAAATAACGCAACCAGACTGATTGCTTACCAAGCTGTGGTTAGTGCTGTTAACAGCGGTATTGACCCAGAACCTTTGTTTGTCGCATTGAAAGATTCAGGTTTATTGTATACTATTATTGCCGACTTGGTTGAAAATGAAAACACCTTGCCACTTGTCTTTAGAGTTATCACACAGACTCTCAGTGGAATTGACTTTGGTGAGCTCATTAGCCAATTTTTGGCCGGCGGAAGCGCAACTGTTACTTTACAAACGAACTCAAACGGAGGAAGCAACACTGGAGCTCAAGCAGTTCCAACTTTGGTCATTTCCAATCCACTTGGAGGTAGCGGTGACTCAGGAAGCGCCACACCTGCAAACACTCAAGCTACTGGAGGCAACACCCAAGCCTCAAGCTACAGCTCTGTTGATGTAAACTCTATCAACCAATTGATTTCCGATGCTGCTGCTGAAAACACCAACTCCGGTAATGCTGGTGGAAACACTAATATTGCCACTAGTCTCACAAGAACTACCAGCCAGGGTCAAAATCAAGGTCAAAACCAAGGTCAAGGTCAAGCCACCTCATATGATTTGGCAACTTTGACTGGCCCAGCATTCCAATCAGTTCCAACTTCTCAAATCGGACAAGGCCCAACTTCTGTCAACTATGCCTCCCTCACAGCAGTTGCTTCGGCTCTTGGTGGTTCTGCTAAAAAGAGAGATGCCTTGGACGAAGTTTTGGAAATTGTTGCACAAAAGAGAGCAGAAGAGTATGACGAAGCTGTAATTGAAAGTGAGATGGCAAAGAGAGACGGTGTTCAAGATTTGTTGACTACTATTTTCACCGCCATCGCTGAATCAAATTTGATCAATGAAACCATCAACTACTTGCTTACTGATAGTCAATTCGAAGGATCAGTTGTTTTGATTATTAGAGATGTCTTGGCCAGTCTTACACCAGCTACATTTGAATTTAACACTGATAATCCATTGATCGCTGCTATTCAAAACTCAGGTTTGATCCCGGACCTTATCTCCAGAGCTCTCAATGACGATGACTTGAAAGCTTCTCTTCTTAGAGATGTTCGTCAAGTTATTAGTCAAATCAGTTCTTACTTGGGTATCTCCAAAAGAGAAGTATATGACAAGCTTTATGCTAGAGACGAGGAGGTAACTTCAAGTTTCATCAGTATCGTTTCGCAATCCACCATCAATTCTAATGCTTCATCGGTTGCTACTATTGATGCCGCTAACGCTGGATCTCCTGCATCATTAAACTTGGTCAGTGTTGCTCTTGCTGCAATTGGTTTGTCAGCGTTTGTTTTATAAGGGAGCTTGAGATGCAGGGGGGATCCAGTTGGAGATTTTTTTCTGCTTTCAAAGTTCAATATTCGTTTTCTTTTACTTCCATAGATTATACCTCTTTTGATACATTAAGTATAGCTTTTTTTTTTAATTTATTTTAGATACTGTTTTGAGATTAATGTTGTAAATCCAGATTGAATAAATCTTTCAAGTGATTACAGCAATCGAAAGTTTAAATTTCAGTGTGCGAGCCAGATCGAGAGTAGTCCGACACCATTAATTGCCATCAAACATCAATGAGTACCAAATCGAACTTGAGTCTGCAAATGAGAGACCTTCTGTGTAGCTCTCTTCCTGAAGAGCAACAAGATGATGACTACCAACCTAATTATGATGCTGACAGTGATGATGAGGACTTGCCCAAGTCCATCAAATCAGCTCACTACTCTTCATCTCAAGATAAGTTCATGAAAGATCATGATTTGAAGGTAAAAACATTTGAAGCATTGCATGGGAATCAAGGTTCTAAGCCATCCTCACCAGGAGGTGCAAACCTAAGAAGAAGGTCCTCGGTTATCGACATGCCACACAGTTTTCACCCACCCCCATCACAAGCTCCCCATGTGGCAACAAACAGTGATTACATCTTTGGAACGAATGCTTTACCTGAGGAAGTACCTTCCAGTGAGCTTATTCAATTCTATCTGGATGTGAAGGATTGTTTGGACTTGCGTCATAAATACTTGAAACTTTCGTTGCAAATTCCAGAGCTGTTGAATCCCAAAAATAAACCAGACTGGAAAATCTATCCTGCTCCCCCAAAGCCATTTTATAAATCAAAGAACAAATTCAATCAAGTGTTGACAACACCAGACGAGGGTGAAGAATTTGACTTTGGCAAATGTGAAATACCAGACTTGAGTGGAAGTGATTTGTACTTCATATTAAACGATGAAGGGGTTTACGAGGTATATGATCTGTCAAAGAATGAAAAGCTTGTCCAAGTTCCAAATTTACACGAATATTATAACGATTTAGCATTTATTGGTAACATTTCATCTGATGGGCCCACAAAATCCTTTTCTTTCAAAAGGTTGCAATATCTTGAAGCCAAATGGAATATGTACTATTTGTTGAACGAGTTTGAGGAGACAAAGCAGTCGAAAGCAAATCCACATCGTGATTTCTACAATGTAAGGAAGGTCGACACACATATCCATCATTCTGCATGTATGAACCAGAAACACTTGCTTCGTTTTATCAAATACAAACTAAAAACTGAGCCAGATGAGCCAGTGATTTTTCGTGACGGCAAGATCTTAACCTTGGCAGAGGTTTTCCAATCATTGAAATTGTCTGGTTATGATTTGTCAATTGACACGTTGGACATGCACGCACATACAGATACCTTTCATAGGTTTGACAAGTTCAATTTGAAATACAACCCAATTGGTGAATCAAGATTGAGGGAGATTTTCTTGAAAACTGACAACTTTATTGATGGTAGATATTTGGCCGAACTTACAAAACAGGTGATGGAGGATTTGGAAAGTTCCAAGTATCAAATGAATGAGCTCAGAATTTCAATATATGGTCGGTCTATTCACGAATGGGATAAAGTTGCTTCGTGGGTCATTGATAATAAATTGTTTAGTCACAACGTAAGATGGCTCATTCAAGTTCCTAGGTTATATGATATTTACAAAAAGAGTGGAAACGTTCGTTCATTTTCGGATATTGTGAAAAACGTTTTTGAACCGTTATTCGAAGTGTCAAGAAATCCCAAGTCACATCCTAAACTTCACGTGTTTTTACAAAGAGTAGTTGGGTTTGATTCTGTTGACGATGAATCAAAGGCGGACAAGCCTTTACCGCCACACAAGTACCCTTCGGCCATGGAATGGAATTTCACATCCAATCCTCCTTATTCGTACTACATTTACTACTTGTATGCGAATATTGCTAGCTTGAACCACTTGAGATTAAAGAACAAATTTAACACGTTTGTGTTGAGACCCCATTGTGGTGAAGCGGGTGATCCACATCACTTGATCAGTGCCTTTTTGACATCGTATGGAATTTCACATGGAATTTTGTTGCGAAAGCTTCCATTCATCCAGTATTTGTACTACCTTGATCAAGTTGGCCTCGCTATGTCGCCATTATCCAACAATGCATTGTTCCTCACATACGACAAAAATCCATTCTACAACTTTTTCAAAAAGGGGATGAATGTTTCATTATCAACTGATGATCCATTACAGTTTTCATACACAAAGGAGCCATTGATTGAAGAATATTCAGTTGCAGCACAAATTTATAAATTGTCAGGAGTTGACATGTGTGAATTGGCGAAGAACTCGTGTATACAGAGTGGGTGGGAAGCGAAAATCAAAATGCATTGGTTAGGTAAAAATTATATGAAAGGTGGAGTTGAAGGTAATGATATTGAAAAGACCAATGTTCCTGACATTAGAGTTCTTTTCAGAGAAGAAACTTTGAAAAGCGAGCAACATTTGGTACAATATTATAATGAAATGAAGATGAAGTCGAGTAGCGAACAGTCAAGTTAAAATTTTTGAAATTGTCTAAATAATTCTATACAGTATAAAAATACACTAGATGCAACACATATAACAGAGAATGGAAAAAAAAACTGCCCGCAATTTCCTTCTTTTTTACGGCACTCCTCGAAGTCCGTATCTCTGTGCATAGTTGAAATATTCCGCTTTCTTAGGATCTATCACCATCCCGTCAGCGTCTCTTGGAAGAGTTTTAATTTTCTTTAGTTGATGTTCAAGACCGTATCTGGTACAAAATTCAAACGAAGATTGCAAGGCACAGACAAGATTGTCATTAGCATGATGCGTGCTTGCCATCACATCATAATCCAACACTCCCCAATTGATCAATTCTTTGAGTAGGCCCTTAACATTTACTCTGTGTATGGTGTAATCACTGACAGATAAAGTCAAAGTTAAGTAATCATCGATTAAAGCACCCGAAGAGTCTTTATGCGTGATCCATTGCGATATACCATTTGGAATCAAAACACTCGATCGCAAGCAGGAATTCTCTGGATACAACAAGTCCCATCCTGGAACATACATGTTGAACGATAATGAAGAAGATATATGTGTTACCTTGTAGTGGTTTCTCAAATCCTTTCTCTCCTTCACTATCACCACCAAATTGGGTCTGTACATTGAGCTCCCACATCCACAATCGTCGATATGTGCTCTGGCAAACCCCACCCAGATCTCTTTGTTATCCTTGACTGTAACTAAATCGTTCAAGTTTACCAATTGAGTCCCTCCTCTGAAGGGCCCGACTTGATTTTTGGGCGACAACAGTGTGTTGAACCTGTAGTCGTAGGAGCATGAGCCCTGCAAGTCGCACTTCAAAATATCCAAATTCGCCCATCTAAAAACAAAATAAATATGAGAATCGTACCCATCGACCTGACGATCAAGAGGGCTAGTGAAGGGCGTCCAATTTTTTTGTGTTCTTAATCTATAATTCTCAAGTTTAAGCTCAACTCTTTTGCTATTTTTTTGTTCATCAAATTGCCATGGCCAACAAATCGACATCGCACGATAACATCTCTGTGTGGTGACCAACTTTTCATCCTCATCATCATCATACGTGTCCATCTTGCAATTATAGGAGTTATACAAAATCAAAGGTTCGTCGTATCCTCCCTCGTTTTTAATCAAGATTAATCGAGGATCCTCGGGGCCATAGTATTGGTCTTCATTGATTTCAGGGTCTTGCCAAAATGGGATGGGAACAATTTGCGGAAAGTTTAGAATGTGTCGCTCACCAGTTGGAGAATTGTGTGCCTTTGGAAGCAATAATCGAGTACCCACCAACTCATTCCAGTTCTCGTCATACAATTGAGCATAGGATAACGAGAGTATTGGTGAATTTCTTGTTCCCTTTGGGCTGTACATTATTCGAGACACCATATAGTGAACTCCATAATCCTTCAACCAGACAGAGCTCCCAGCTAAACGAAACCAAAACTTATCCACCACATTTAGATCCAATTGTAATCTTAACTCTGGAAGTATGATTTTTTTCAAACCAGCTAAGTAGGCGCTTTCCCCGGATTCAATGTCGTTAAGGACATTCTGTAAAACTTCTCGCAAGGGGGTCTTCATATTCACCGCTTTGCTAATCATTACCAGTGAATTCAATTGTAACCGGTTACACTGCTCAAGGTTTAAGTTTATGTTTTCTGTCAAGGTGTATGTAGTAAAATCATACTTCGTGTATTTGAGTTTGTGAAGCTCCTTACCAGGGTCAATGTCCACAGCCTGGTTAAATTCGGTCGATCCCAGTAGATGGTATCTCAAGAAATCCTCGTTCTGTTTAACAAATTGAGTTAGGTCTTTTTCATTTTTGAACAAGTCTTTGGGGATGAGTACCTCGTTTTTGTTGAGTCTAGCTTGGTCATTGTTTTTGAAGAGTAAGAATATCTGGAATAACAGGAGTGCAACAAGGGTTGCTGTTAGCAAGTAAACTAATGGTTTTCGTATGATTCTTTTGAGTGCCATTTGTGTATTCATGTTGAAAGCAGAAGGCTTGTTAGTCAAGGATTTCAAACATTGAAGTTGAAGTATAAAGTAAGTGGTGGCTGGACAACAACAGTTTTATATTGTTTTTTGTTCTTTTTTGGTGGCCGAAGGCAGATCTTTCGCTGTAGATCAATCACATATTTACAAATCTAAAATTAAATAATGCGCAAGATTGTGTTTACAGATTCAATTTCTCCATTGCAACAATGCCATACTTCGAATTCTAGAAGTCCATACGAATTCATCAGGAGCCATAGCGGTTCATTCGGGTATTTCTTTGTTAAAAAGTGGATTTTCCATGAGGCTCCATTTCTTTGTGTTTTAAGAAACTGATAATGCGTGTTCAATGAAGGGACAAGAAGCCAGATTGAATCTTCGGGTTCTCTACCTATCTTTATCGAGATCTTCTATTAGGAATATTCAGTTTTGAACGATTCCACAGCAACCACCGTGTTGTGAATTTGAAGGAGGCTTTTAGTCGCCTTGCATATACGAGTACTAAAAAAAAAGAAAATCGAATTGTATCCTTTTTAAAATTGTATTTGACCTTTGTACTGCCAAAGTTCCAAATTATTATTTAACGCAAACCATACAATTTACATCAGTGGAGTATCATCATAAACAGATACACTAGCAAAATGCAATACAAAACACGATCAAATTTTTTGTCAGTTAAGACGAACTTCTATAAAACTTTTCCAACAGTAGCTCCACTTGATTCTCTTGTCTCAACCTTTTTCAACGATTTTCCACCGGTGATTTGACTCAATAAGGCACCAACATCAGGTGTAGACGTAGGAGCACCACCGCCCACAAGTGCATTTGGAGCCGTCATAGATGGTAGAGGAGGCGCGGGTGCTGCAGGTGCACCAAAAGTAGATGCCAATGGAGCAGATGGAGCAGGTGGAGCAGGTGGAGCAGGTGGAGCAGGTGGAGCAGGTGGAGCAGGTGGTGGGGGTGGAATGGATTCAGAAGATGGAACAGGTGGTGCTGGAGCAGGTGGAGCAGGTGGAGCAGGTGGAGCAGGTGGGGCAGGTGGAGCAGGTGGTCGGGGTGGAATGGATTCAGAAGATGGAACAGGTGGTGCTGGAGCAGGTGGTGGAGGTGGAATAGAATCTGATGATGGGAGTGGAGAAATGGACTCATTCTCTCTACCATCAAGTTCAGCTTGAATATCTGGTGATGACTCCGCAGTGTTCCATCCAGGACCACTTGACCCGGTTGACGAATCCTCCAAGGTTTCCTTATTCGATACAGATATTGTGGTGACCGGCTCCGCTTCACTTTGTTGCTGTGGCACATCCTCTCCCTTACTTTCTTGAGTTGGGGCTAATACAGGCTCTGATGAAGGAGGTGGTTGTGTCGCCATACCACCGAACAATGAATTGGCCAATTTGAGAGCGTCTGCTCTATTTGGCGCGTCATCATCAGAATCTTCATCTTCGGAATCACTCCAGCTATTGTCGTTCAGGATTCCTCTTTGGATTTTACGTTGCATATTTGCCTTCTCTGTGTTAATTTGTTGGAATTGCTTCTTGAAGAAAGGGTTATTCTCATGTCTAGCAGGTTTTGATTGTTCTGTTGGGAAAGCTTCTGCCGTGGTACCAGTCGGTTCTCCCTTTTCCTGTTCTTGGAACTTTTCTTTAGATGCAGTTGTTTCGTTGAAACTAGCGTTACTTCCATTGGGCGCAGACTTAACTTCGGACTCTTGTTGCACTGGTTCTGGGGCAGCAGCGTCAAATGTCGACTGTGTGGAGGAGACATTACTTTTTTTGCCCCCATCTTCCACTGTCGACTTAAATGCTGATTCATTCAACCTCTCATTTGTAGGAATTTGAGGTTGACTTGGAATATGCGCATTATGGGTTATCTTTTCCTCCTCATGAGATGTCTGTTGTAAAACAACGGGAGCTTTAAAAGCCTCAGCTTGATCTGGTGGAGAAGCAACTGAAGCCTTGGCAACCTCTGGTTGTGTTGGGCGTGTTAATTGCGATGGTTCCTGTTGCTGAGGTGAACTCTCTCTTCGGGTTTCAGGTGGCACTGGCTCAGAAGGTTGTGGAGTTGGGTCAACTCGTGATCCTTCTGGAACACCAGTCTTTTGCTTTACAAGTGGTGATACATGCCCCTTATCTTCTTCCTTGTTACGTGAAATGTCCTTAGGTTCTGGCGTTGACTTGGACTGAGCAGCGGAAGGTGTTGATTTCTCTGAAGATTTCTTTCCATGGTTCTTACTACGGCTGATTCCAAGTTTTTCAAGTCTAGCAGCCATTCTTTTCTCAGCTTGGGCTTTGATATAAGCTGCTCTTTCTTCGGGAGTTGAGTAGCTAGCGGTTGGTTCAGCAGGCAGAGACTTCACTGATTCCTTTTGTACAGGACTGGAGTGCTGCTTCACAGATTGGCTGTCAATTTTATTTGCCTGAGGAACAGAAGTAGCAGATGCAGCTGAAGTCACAGTAGCCTTTGCATTAGCATTATCCTGATACCTTTGTAACTCCCTTACAAAGGAAGCAACAGTCGGGTTTATTCCAAAACCCTTTTCCCATTTCTCATATCCAACTTCAACTTTGGCCGAGGTTTTAAGTTTTGAAGCACATTCATCTTCCATAGTCTTAATTCCGGCTTCAATGTCCTTCACCATATCTGATTGACCTTTCAACTCAGCTTTCGACTTCTGAACAGAATCCTTGAACTTGTAATCGGTACCCGCACTGCCACCTTTGCCTGTAAGTAAAGCCATCTTTTGTTTCAAATCCATCTTGCTTTTGTCGTTGGCAATATTATTGAGGTCGACTTTGGCATCATCCCACGAAGGGTCCTCTTGCTTTAGCTTGAGTTTTGCCAATTCGATACTCTTTTCTGATATCTCTTGATTGACCCGATTAATGTCTGAGATCAATTTTGGAATTTGGTCTCTAGTTAAATAGTTCAATTTTTGAAGCAAAAGGTTCTTGCCATTATTGGGAGCTTGAACTGTGATCTTGGTTTGCAAGTCAAAAATTTGGCTCTTGAGTTTATCAATCGCGCTAGTATCATTGTGTTGTTTTTCTTCATCCTCCACATCCAAAGCGTCCAACAAGATTTTCTTTTCTTTAATGGATTTTTTCAATTGATCTATAGTAAGATCAGTATCCTTCTTGTCAGAGACAGTTGGTGATGCCAGATCTCTACTCTTGTGGCGAGCACGTGAAATGTAACCAACATTGTCATCATTGTTTTTGAACCTCGAACCATCCACTTTGGTTTGGGGTTTGTAGTTCTTTGCTGATTTGATACCTCCATTATTCTTTAGTGAATTTTTCAAATTGTCCATGGTATCTCTAAACGTTCGATCTGCAGGGGGGATCAACTCAGGTGGCAACCTAAGAGGAATTTCTAATCCATTCAATCTTCTATAAATCAAATGCATCGCCACTGCAAACTGATTCTTGTTCAATTTACCTGCATCATCAGTATCAGCTAAAGTCCAAATTGCTTCTAAATCTTGTCTACTCAAACCAGACTTGGTAAACACATTCAATGCAACATTGGAGTCAACGTATCCCTTTTTACCTGTATCCCATGCTTGAAACAAGTTGTCGTACACTTGCTTTTCTTGTTTGGTAATGGCCCAAGTCACGTTGCTAGCTGCGTTATTATTCATAGCTTTGTTTAGATCCTGAACACTTTGAGTAGTGTTTGGTTGGAAAACTTTATGCATTGTATTTAACCCAGAATAGCCTCCAGTTGGCATATTGACAAATCCCCATTCACCAGGTCTTCCTGTTGGTTGCGCTTGCAAATAGCCAGTGGGTTGTTGTTGCAAAAATCCCGTTGGCTGCTGTTGCAATGCACCAGTGGGTTGTTGCTGCAAGGGACCAGTTGGTTGAGATTGCATAAGGACTGGCCCGGTTCTATTTGCTTGTAATGGACCCGTTCTTTGAGGTTGCAACCCAATAGTGTTGAATCCTCCAGTAGGTTGTTGGTTAAACAGAGTCATGCCACCAGTTTGATTTTGTTGTTGTGGGAGCCCAGTAGTTTGAGGAGCAAAGCCACCTGTACGCTGTGCTTGCATTCCAGTTGTTTGCGGAACGAGACCACCTGTACGTTGTTGTGCAAGTTGATTAAACCCAGTTCCTTGTGCTTGAAGAGGTCCAGTTTTCTGAATCAATCCAGCAGTCTGTTGCGGCTTCAAAGGAACAAATTCACCTGGAACACCACCTCCAAAACTTGTTGCTGGTTGCGATTGCTGGTTATATCCAGTAAGTTGAGGAGCAACCCAATTATTTTGTGGTTGTTGATTAAATGATGAAGCTTGTGGTTGTTGATTGAAGCCAGTGACTTGTGGTGCAAAAGCATTTGGAGGCTGACCAAATCCAGTTGCTTGTGGAGCAAACGTTGTCGGCGGTTGATTAAATCCAGTTGCCTGCGTATTCATTGATGGCTGATTGTACATCCAGTCATCTTTCTTTGCAAATGGCGTGTTGGCAAGTATCTTGTTAGGGTCATCGGGGATGCTAAAGTTGATCGCATCCATAAAACTCTTCACTTCGTTGAGCCATTTTTCAGGAAGAATTCCTGGAAGTGGTTCTCCCCGTTTGGCCATGTTACATAAGTGCAAACTCAATGCAAACTCGGGGAAAAGCAACGATCCTGTTTTATCGATATCAGATAAAGTCCAAATTTCCGCCAACGTGACTGGACTCAAACCCGATCTCATCAAAATATTGCTTGCCGAATCACCACTGATTGCTTGTTCTCCGCGAGGCACCGCGGTTCTGAAAAGATGCTCAAACTTTTTTTGATCATCAACAGTAATAAAAGATAAACGGAAAGGTGGGATTTTCAAATCGTGATTTTCGACAACGGTGGGGGCACCCTGAAATCCCGTTGGTTGGGTTTGAACATAGCCAGTGGGTTGACTTGATGCATATAAGTTGGGTTGTGCAAAACCTGTTGGTTGTGTGTAAAGCAGTTGCTGTTGTTGTTGATTGGGTATACCATAATTGGGGTTGTACCCGGTGTTCTGAAATGAATTGAACATGATGGTGTATAATATCGTTGGTGGAATGGTGAACAAATTGTTCCTTTCTTTTTTTTTTTTTACTTCGCTTGATAGAAATTTATTTGTTCGTTTAGTTGCGCCCCAGAACAAACTATAAATTCAGAAAATCCAATTGCTTCGAACCTGTCTTTATCTATACACAAGTTGACATATCTAATACTTCATTCCAAAAATTAATCTCCAATTGAGAAACTGTATTGAAGATGTCTACTAATTCCTCTGCACGAGGGCGAGTTATTCCGTCAGCTACTAAAGCATTGAGTGCCAAACGTCCTTCTTTGTCAGCTTTTGAGTACCAATCTGAGGCATATTCATCCAACCAACCTTGATATACTTCGGGGATCTTCACTGGATTCTCTGCCCTTAACTTCTTCCCATAAGTTCCAGCCTCAGCATATCCGTGTAAGCAAGGCGCTAAGGCAACTTTTATTCCCAAAAAGTCTTCCTTCTCCCCTATATTGATCAAATAATCGCAATATTCGACACACGCATTTCCTGGCTTCAAATCCTCAATATCTCTCTCGTAATCTACCTTATATACCTTGAGCCTCTTTTTGTGATGTTCAATTTCATTAATAATTTCGCCGATTATCGTTGCGGCGGCATGTGTTTGTTGATAGGTTGGTGCTTTTGAGGCCAACAAACCATGCATTCTGGCATATATGATGAGGTAGTGATAATCCTGCTTCAAATAGTAAAAGAAATTCTCAAATGGTAGAGAGTTTTCAGCCAATTTACTAACAAATGGATGTTCGACGTAGTTTCGCCATGTTTGCTTCACCTTTGGATGAGATGTCAAAAAGTCAACAAACGTGTTCGCGTCGTCAAATTTCAACAACTCATTCCCATCTGTCTCTATCACCCTAGTAACTTGGATATTTGGAGTCAAATTATGGTTCAATGGACCATTACCGTGTCCCAATTTCGTCATTTGCAGCATACCATTATGGATGAAATCTATGGCAACGGCAATTGCATCGGCTAGGGTTTTGCCAATAGCAATATTCGCTGCAATTGCCGAGGCCAAAGTACATCCAGTACCGTGAGTGTTTTCTGAGTTTATGTATCCTGAGCTGAAAAGCGTCACTATTTGAGACTCACTTTCGTATAAGATATCAATGACTTGGCATCCATTCTTGGAAAAGTTGCCTTCTTGATCGAATGGAATATGACCTCCTTTCACCAACAAGTTCTTGCACTTAAGGAGATTCAGCAATTCAACAACAAACCGTTTAAAGTCTTCAATATTGCCAATCTCAGATGGGCTTTTAAATAATCCGTACAATGCTTTAGCTTCTGGTAAATTGGGAGTGATTAAATATGCATTCTTCATTAAATGTTCAACACTGTATTTGATTCCGTCCAAGTCAAATAGTTGACTACCTGAAGTACTCACCATGACCGGATCAATTACAAACTTGACTTTGATATCGTGTTTTGCAATCTCCTCAATAGCTTGTTTGGTCAACATCCCAGTTTTCACCACCTTTAAAGGTGCATTTTCATATCCATAAAAATCCTCTAAATTAGCCTTCAAGATCTCTGCAAGTAACTTCTGTGATGTCTTTTCAAATAATTTGACCCCAGTGGTATTTTGAGCAGTCAATGCAGTGATACAAGTTGCCCCATAGACACCAAATGCACTGAAAGTTTTCAAATCGGCCTCGATCCCCGCCCCTCCTGATGAATCACTACCTGCAATTGTCATCACCACAGGCAAAGCAACATCCTTGGCTCTAGGATTCTTGAGTTTCACGTCCTTTGTTTCCATGAAAAGAATAAAGTTTAGCTGTTTGTCACATTCGGTATTTTTCCTCAAGGGTTTGAAAGTACTCTTTTATAGAGTATAGTCGGTTGTTGTAAGCGCATAAGGAGAAGAATCATGAGCCGAAAATTATGCGCTTACGGGGACATGAAAGAATATAAAAAAAAACAAAATCAACGCTATTGTGCTTGGAATGTATATCTAAACTAGGTTGATCTTTGATGTAGAATACGAAGACTCGAAAAGGCTCTAGCATTGTCGAATTTGGGCTGTGCTAACAACTTCTCAATTGGTAATGTTGCTGAGTAACGAAATTTAGTTGCAAAGCGTATATAACCATTACTTGGCAGTTAAAAAACCTTCTCTTTGTAGCGGCGGAAACTTGAACACATAGCCCAAACAATATGTGGTACAATCTAATCATATAGAAGCTGCCAGTGTCAAGCTGTTTCATACGTGTGTGGTTAGCTCATTCACTTCACTAACAACAAAATGGAATATACAACGATTGTCTGAGTAAAGACCACCTTAAAAGGTCTTATAGAGTAACAAATTCTTTCAAATACTCTACCGAGTAAGTGTTTTCGAAATGACTCAATCGTTGGAAACAGGAGAAATGACAATTATACACTCTTATAAAGTGGGTTTGGGTAGCGCCACATTAATCTTAACTTGGAGAAACAAAACCCTTTTTAGAACAACCAGAAACAACACAATGCAAAGAAGAAAGTGCTTCACCGGAAATTGACAAATCATTCTTTAATTCGGACACTACAAAGAGACGTCATTTAACTAGTTAATCTTGATCTTGCTATTCTAGATTAGCAAAACAATTTTTTGGAGCAAAACCTTAGTTAACACTATTCTAACAACCTAAAACAAAGCGTGTGAATTGATTGCCTTTCAAACGAAGCAATAAACAGACCCTCACCTGATCCCGAATTGTCATGTTTAGAGATAGAACCAAGTTATTCTTATCGTATCGTCGAACAATCTTCCGAGATACCCCATCTAGAAAGCCATTCCGAGACGACATAAATGCCAATGACACCGATACCGATAGTCTATTTGACTCAGAGCAGGATAATCTCATCATTTCATCTCGTAAACGCCAGCATCAACAATCATCAAAATTGCAGAAACATGGAAATGTAGATACGCCACAGAAGGAAGTTGAAGAAGATATTGAAATGAAACCAATAATCCCAACTCAATTTGAAATTGCCAAAGATTTGGATGTTTGCTTAACGGTGATTGATAAACAAACACAAGAATTGAATTCGTTATACAAGCAATTGATAATCATAAATAAGCTGAGCAAGAAACGAATTGAATCTCAAATTGAAGAATATAGTTATCAGATTTTGCAAAATTTTGAAAAATGTTATATTGGTATCAAGAAATTTGAATACTTGGCCAAAAATCATGAACGATTACAAGTTAATTATACAGCTCAAGATTTGAACATTTTGACTAATATGAAGAAGAACTATGCCAACAAGATTCAACAACATTTATTACTTTTCCGAAATTTGCAAAATAATTATATGAATTTCTTGAGAGATGATGATGATGAATTTGATTTACTTCTTAATGAAAAACGTAATCAACGTGGCGTACCAAAGGAACAGCTAGATGGTGAAAACATTGAACAATTGAGTAAAGAAATAATCCAATCTACTAGCCATCAGCAACAACAACAACAACAACTACAAGCACATACGCAAGTTCAATTACGACAAAATTCCAATGACCAATACTTGGAACAACGTGAACGAGAAATTAATAAGTTAGCAATGGGAATATTGGAAATCTCCACCATGTTTAAAGAAATGGAAAGTATGGTGATCGATCAAGGAACAATGTTGGATCGAATTGATTACAACTTGACAAATACAGTACACGATTTGAAATCGTCAGAAAAGGAGTTGATTAAAGCCACAACTTATCAGAAACGGACCACGAAATGTAAAGTTATTTTCTTTATGGTGTTGTGTGTGTTTGCGTTGTTGATGATTTTGATGTTGAGACCCGGTGGAGGCAGTGGTGGAAGTCATCGCAATGAGACAGTTGTTGACAAGCCACAAGAACCAGCAAAGGGTGATAGCAGTAGCAGTAGTGGTGATGGTGATAATGGTTCAGCCGCGAAACCGCCTGTTGAAGTCAGTCATCCTGATGCTCCCTTAGATGGATCGAAACCCATTGATGTTGATGGAAGGTAGAAGCGGTCGTGTGGGAGACCGCCTTTTTTTGGTCATGAGATATATAGTTGAAGCAGGCAAAGATATATATAAATCATTGCTCTTGAATACGCTTTGACCATTTGATACAAGTAAGAGATGCAGTAAATATCAAACCAGCACCAACAATCAAATAGATACATTACACTCGGTTAAAAAGCTTTAACATACTCATTTTATAATACTAATACTAAAATAAAAAAAGGGACGAGAATTGAAATCAAAAAATGGCAAACACATGTTTTGAACAGCAATATGTGGTAAAAATAAGCACAAAGAGCTGTCACATTGTATTCCCATGCACCATATTTTCACCTCATCTTTCTACCTAGTCAAGCCATATGGCCCACTTCTTGCTTGTGTACCTGTAGAACCGGCACCATTCCTCCCCATTAGTGCACTAGCATTATTTGGTGCTCCCCTATTATTGTTTCCATATCTGGCAGCAACAGGTACAAATCCGGGTGCCACTTTCTTCTTTTGTTGTGCCATGCCTCGAGCGAAATTGAAATCAGGATTGTTGCTCAAGACATTATCGGAGATGGTTGGTCTGGAATAACCTGGTTGCTGCGGTTGTGGTTGGGGGTAATTCATCGGTCTGTATGTTTGCTGTTGTTGTGGTGGTGGTGGTTGAGGTGCCGGTGGACCATATTGGTTCGGGATGGGTTGGTACAGTGGATGCAAGTGACCCTGAGTAGATACAGATTGAGAATTCATTTGTTGACTTAGTGGTTGATACTGCTGCAGGTTTGCATATGGAGTGTTCTGATAATGTTGTTGTGGAATAGGGCCATATTGGTTGTTGTATTGTGGGTTTGGTGGTCTTTGAGAAACACTGGTAAAATCAGAATCCTCATCAGAGTCATTGGTGGTCACAATTACATTGGTTCTACCGGCATTCAAATCTTCTTCATCGTCGAAATCGTCATCCATTTCAGTAAATGGTCTATGACCATCGACTTGAGGATGATGTTCAAATACACTTCTTGAAAAAGCAGCATTCCCATTATTATTGGTAATGGCATTATTGTTGGCGGCTCCTGGAGTAGTTGGATATGGCACACCCGACGCGTTAATAGGCTTATATCCAGCAGCATTACCACCGGCTAATGAACCACTAGTGTTGTTACGATTACCCATATGAGTAAAGTCATTTGCAGTTTGGGGCTTCATTTGATAAGCCGAAGATGAGTTACTAGTAAATGAGCCTGTTCCAGTGGCAGTTCTATGTGCTGGCACTCCACCACCGTTCGAGTTTGCCAATGAGGCAGCAGAAGCTGCAGCAATGGCAGCGTGGCCATTATAACGAGTGTCGGACGCACCATGATTTGCAGGAGTTCCAAATGATGTGTTGGTGCCATTATAAGATGGCTTGTAGTCGTAATCGTTATCAATGGAGCTGGTACTATTGGGACTCTTGAAAGTTGATGTTTGAATATGGTTAAACTTGTCATCAATTTTGTTGTAATTGTTAAAAGTTCCAAATCCATGTTTGTCATTGCCTTCAGCATCATCTTCATCATCATCTTCATCATTTCTCAACGTTGTCAATGTAAGAATGAGTAATATGATTGAAATGAGATTAGCAGCCGCAGATCCAATCAATATCCATCCAGTCCAAGCCAAGTTTGGATAGAAAGCCAATATTGTCACAACACAACTGATAATCGTCAATATAGCTGAAATTATGTTAACACCAAGTGCAATCAACACAATGGCCCTATTTCCAAAATGGGAAGCTATAACCAAAACCAACAATATAAAATTGAAACCAAGGGCAATTGGAGTTAGGATGAAAATTTTAGCCAATGTATCTCTTGTTGATCCACCCATTGTCCAGTTTGTTGAACTATCATCAACCGAGCTAAGGGTTAGTGGGTACGTAGCTGAAGAACAATCTTTATTGTTATCAGTACAGTAGCCAAATACTCCATATGTATAGTCAGCTGTTTTACCTAGATTAAATGTAGTAACCACTGGTGAACTTATAGTTGCCAACAATAGAAATACAAATGATACCAAGATCAATATTAGTGATCCAGTATTGAAACTGAATCGAAACCCCATTTCTTAGCTGTGCTTGGGAAGTGTCAAGTGGAGAATAAAGGTAGTTGTTGAAGGTTTGATAGTAAGCTTGAGCCTATGTCAATGCCTATGTGTTACTGTGTGTGTGTGTGTGTGTGTGTGTGTGTGTGTGTGTGTGTGTGTGTGTGTGTGTGTGTGTGTGATGGCTATATTCCTGACCTAAACGAAAGGGAGGTGAGGGGGACGAGGCTGTACCAAAAAAAAAGAAAAGAAAAAAAAAAAGATCTGTTTCAGAATGCGTGTCACACAGGAATGATCTTATCACTAATAGTTAGATTTGAAATCTGTGGTGATTGCTGGTGGTGTTGGTGAGTGTATAAGATCGACAAGTGAGTGGTTGATGTAAAACGTCTGCAAGGTATAAATAAGAAAAGAAGAAGAATAAAAAGAGTAAGATCTAAGTCAAATTAAATTAAATTAAATTATTTCTTCTTGTTGTTGTTGTTGTGGTTGATGATTGTTGATTGTCACCCTAAGCGTGTGTATGTTAAATTTCAAAAAAACAAGTCGCGTAATTATGTGGGATGTGTAATTTTTGTTATGTGTACTATGTGTTAATAAATATGGGTATTAAAAGGCTGAGACAAAACTAACCACAAAACATCCTAGCCATTGTACTATCTCTTTGATATCTAAGCAACCATTAAAAACACTTGATCACATCATTCGAGTAGACTCAGAAGATCGAATCGATCGATAGGATTAGATACATAAGTACTTCATAAGGTGCCGTTTGACACATGAAAGAGTCTATTGTCGATTGAATTAAACTATTCTCACCCCTTTCCAATTTCAGTGGCATTATACACAGGACATGTCTGAAAGCATTTCTAACGTGTAAGTCACTTACTACTTTTGTACAGTTCATTGGGAAGTGATCACCCCATCTTTGATAACTCAGACTAACACACACGGCATCAAGTAGGCGTGATCGTTTAAATTGTAACTGTGGCATCTATCTCTATCACGAACGAACCACATCTATACACGTTCTAAATTCAAGATTTTGCTTCTTCGTCTTATCAATTGATTGCTAAATTTTCATTCAATCACAGTGGTCATAATGTTATCGGTGCTAAACTGGCTAATGTAAGCAGACTATTGCCACGCCTTAGTCGACATTAAACATACTTTGTGCACAGTTGACAATGTTTTTGTGGCCGTTCATTTTACCTCGTAAAGCAAGGCTTGAAAATTTCACAGAAGATTTAAGACCGCGAGAGTTGAACCTGCATATTAAACACAAGACGCAGAAGCGAAAACAATAGACACGGCGCGAATTTGAGAATTAGTCATAGTACACTACTTCACACCTCTTTTCCCCCTATTTTTCACAACCAAAAGTCTAATCCTTGCAATCAGAATCCTACTAAACAAAAAATTATTAACTGCTGCGAATATAACTTAGCCACACACCTCTTACTTTGTCCCTTCATACCAAATGTCAGGCACTTCTAAAATATACCTCTCCATAGCTTCTCTGAACCTGATTCGATACTGTTTTGGTGTAACAACAGTGGGATCTTTACCTTTTTTACCACCACCAATTAAATTGTTTCCCTTGACCCAATTCTCAACTTTCTTATCCCACGTGAAAGCTCGTAACCAATCAATTATACCAATATACAATTTCTTCAGTTCATCATCAATACCAATAACCAAACTATAATCCATTACATCCATGGCTGACAAAAAACTTGTATCATTAAACAAACAACCCCGTAACAATTTCTTCAGTTGTTCTTTAACAAACACTGGAGATTCATAAATGTATTCAATCATATTTTCATCCAACAATACCTCATTCTCTTTACCAGTTTGTTGAACATGACGATTACGCATTGACCCTTTCAAATCAAATATTCTTGTAGTCTTGTGATTGTAAAACAAATTTTCCATAATGAGGAAATCCATCTTGGAAACAACTTTACCAGTGCCATGGTTCTTGATTTCAACCTGATAAAATCCAAATATTTTGGCAATAGCAGTGGTCAAGGTATTAAACATTGATTGACTGATATATTTAAAATAAAATGGAGCTATAGCCACAAATGATTCCAATTCAGTTTTGCTTAATTCTTTAACAATATATCGATTATCCAAAGTCTTTAAGAAACTTGAGCCACTTTTACCTCCACTCGAGTGCCATTTCACACATCTACTCAATGACTGAATAAAACCTTGATTATTAACTCCACATCCTCTTCTTAATGCCTCGAATTGCTCACTGTAAAAGATTTTACATGATAAATTGGTGTTTCCATCACTAAATTGATATTTTAAATGGTTAGATTTGGCCTTGTTTAGTATAGTTTCCAATTGATTAGGCTTACCATCTTCACCACCACGAGTGGACTTTTGTTTAAATTTACGTTCAATCTTGGCAAATTGGGCATTCTTCTTTTTGTTGTCATTGCTCAAACCAAAACTAAAATCAGTCTTGTATCCGGATTCATTTCTGTTGTCATAATCAGTTTCAGTGTCCTCGTTGCCACTTTCTATTGGGTGGTGGTGTTGTTGTTGTTGCAGTGGCTGCTGCAGTTGCTGCTGCTGCTGTTGAGCTTGAGGCTGCTTTGGTAGCAATTGTTTTTGATTCTGGTCCTGTTTCTCATGTTGAGGCACTTGCTCATGTTGCGGCTCTTGCGGTTGTTGCTGCTTTTGTTGCAGTTGCTTCTGCTCCACAAACTTGTTCATTTTGTTGTGCGCATCTTGATGTTGTGCCACAAGGGCTTTTCCACTTTCAACTTGGCTGTCTTCTTGTACATCATCACCAGCTTGATGTTCATCAGTATCACTCTCATCAACAAATAATTGCTTGAGCTTTTGTTTGTAATCACCTGAACTTAAACAAAAAGCAACCAACGAACTAGGTTCATCTTCTCTCACAATAACATCACTATCTGCAAATGTATGTTCGTGACTATCTAATGGATAAGCCAACGGGTCCCATAAAGTGGCTGACCTATCAGCCCAAAAATTGGTCAAAGACTTCAATAAGGATTGCTTTTCAGGGATGTCTATTTGCTTAGGAGTTTGTTCTTGCTGAGGGTTTGTAAACGAAGTATCTTTGATTTCCACAGTTTTCGTTTCAGCCTGATTGGTATTATTGCTGTTGTTGTTTATATCTTTCTTCTCTTCATTTTCAGAACTACCAACAACGTCTTCAATCTTGTTGTAAATCTCAACAATTGGTTTGCTATCCAATATAGGCTGTGCTTTGATTTTGCTTCTCTTTTTCAACTCAAATTCACGTTGTTTGGAAAATTCCAAAGAGATTTGATCATAATACATCTTGTCAAAGAAATTGGCCAAATGAATTACTTTATTTTGCGACGGAATCACCGTATTGACCGATTTCAATGAGCTATCGGAACCTCGATGACTCAATGGAACAGCTTGATGAAGTGCTTTGTCTGCTGCTGTTTCTTCCCATTTACTGATTCTTTCAGAGATGTTTGTTTTGGGTTCATACAACGACGTTTTGGGAAACATCTTGGACTCAATTAAAGTGTCAGGTTCCCTTTGATCGTATGACACTGTTCTACCCTTACGCGGTGTGAAAACTTGTGGCTTGTCTGCTGCATTTGTTGACGTTTTTGAAGGATTCGCATAAGCTACATCCAGTGCCTTTGACGGATTCATAACATCTTCACTTCCACTATCATGCTCATCACGTGATTCGGACAATTTCTCGATCTTTGGTTCACCTTCCACATTTGGTCGTTGTTCAACATTCAATACCTTATTTTGATTTTCACTATGCCCATCTTTGGCATCACCTTCCGTATCAGCAAGCTTTACCCCTTCAGTTTCAAAACAATTTGCAGGTTTTTCTTCACTTGTATTTGCGTCTTTTAAATCATTCTTATCATTTTCATGAACGTTGTACTTGTCCATTAAAAACTTACGCAAATGGAATTGGGTTATTTTATTAACTTCGCTTTCATTAGGCAAATACTTTTTTTCAAATTCTTGAAATTCAATGTCCCATAATATACCCAATACTTGTAAATCCTTGAAAATTGAGTTTAGTTCGAGATAACTGGTTACACTAATCTCGTCATACTTTTTTTGCAACTTGGTATAAATCGCATTTGAGTCTTCAGCCAACTTATTCTTCATTTCAGTAATCTTTTTCGTTCCATCCTCTGCTTTAACAAAAGTATCCAACTTGACTCTACTCAAACGTTTTGAAACAGACTCAAAAAACGCCTCTGCTTTGGACTTTATTGATTTGAAAGTCTCCACTTTCAACGTTATATTTATATCACAAATAAATTCAAGTTGTTTCTTTGGTACGACAATTTCATAATTGTCAATCCGTGAATACTCCATTTTGACAACCAAATCATTGAATCCAAAACACTTTACATAATTTTGGAAATAATCATGCTCGCATCCACCAAAAATTCCACGCCCGTAATAATTCAACTCAAAAAATTTGCCAATTGATAAATAATACGTGTCGTCACTCATTGCCATTATTGGCGTGACGTAATTACATTGCTTACAATAACTCCACATTACCCTTTGGTTTTTCCCCTGAGATTCATGACTAGCGCCATTGAATTTGATATCATACTTTTCTGTAATCAAATCAATTTTGGCATTCCCATGAGCATAGGTCTTGTAGTGCTCAAGCGATAACTCGCCGCATTCATTACATGTTTTAGAACTATCGGAAAAAATCTGATCAAGAAACAATCCCAAGCATTTGTCATTCTCAGTGTAATAGTCAACCACCACAATTGCGGGACCAGCACATGGCGTCGCATGTTTAATCGAAACTGTCGAATGCAAAATATAGATATTGCGATGGAAAATGGGGAACAATTGATAAGAAGGGTATTTTAAACAATTCGACCAAATACGGGCACGGGATTGGTATTCGTCGAGACAAATTTTTAATTGAGTTTTGCTAGCGCAATTTAGAATTCGAACAAAATCTTTGTGCTTCCCTGGTAATTCATCAACATTGAGTTTAATCTTCAACTGGTCTTTCCAGTTTGCGTCAACTTGGTCTGATGACGTGAGCGATTGGATTTCCTTGTCAAGTTTATAGCTATGAAAATACCTGTAGTACGTTTCCACAACCTTGACCAACATGGTGGGCAAATTGTATTGTACAGATGGCGACAAGCTCAATCTTCGCAATTTAAACGAATTAATGTATGAAACAACCTCTTGGTTATCCAACACCGGTTTAATAACTGACAGCAAATCGTCATTTAATAGAGACGTCATGATTTGATCGATATCGTTTACCGATTGATCAAGCGACAATTCCGTACAAGTCAAAAGCGAGTTTCTCAAAAGGCTCTTTTCATATCGCGCATTGAGATATCCATGGATTAAAACCTCAGCGGTGTATTTGACGTTATCTAACAATCTTTCATCGCCACCTCTTAACATAATGGTAAACCCTAATTGTGTATCAATTCCAGTGAAAAAGATAAACGTCTTGACTGCATTACCATACCTGAACCGTTTCACTTCAAACTTATCACATACACCTAAATTTCCCTTCTTGAAAAACAAGTCATTGACAGATTGAAAAATATCCGCATTAGTGTACCTCGAAATTCGTTCAATTACTTGTGGTTTGACATTGGACACGACGGTGATCCCTGCCTCTTCGAGTAGCTTGATGGCCAATCCACATACCGTGTCTCCAACCACAATAATATCAGGCGATAATGAAATAAGTTTCGAAACCAAATTTGTGATATAAACAGACTGTTGAGCGTGGATTACACGTAAGCTAATAAATTGCTCTCTATCCTTCAAGTACTCCACTGGAAACATCAAAAGTGCAATCAGTGGCTTTTCTATCATCGATCTCATCTTCTTGCTATCAATATCCTTGGTCATAAATAAACCATTGACAATTTCGGTTTGCTCGATTTTCCCACCTAGAATTTTCTTGAGTTTTACATACTGCCTGATGTCTAAAGTGTCAGAAACTTTTAGCATATTCACTTTTGTCAACACTCTCTGGAGCACATACACCCACTGATCAAAATTATTCTCAATTTCACAATCCTTGAGTGATTGCTCCAAAACCCCATTCAATGTGTCAGTATAAATTTTGTCAAGTTTGAGACACTCTTCAGCATCACCGCGCAGTTCGGCTTCGGTACCTTGAGCTCCACTGGGGTGATGGTATCCAAAATACCCAGAACTATCTGACTCGTGACGCAATGGAGTGTCATTAGAAATACGTGGACTAATTGGTGACAACTCTGTTTCCATCTCATCAAAGTTGTCGTTCCTCTTACGTGGGTTGATTGTCTCTTCAGGTGTATTAGACATTGCCGTAGTCAAATTAGAACGGGTCAAATTCTCTGGCAAAGGTGATGATGGAGACGAGCTTGGTGATAGCTGCATAGGCGCGGTTGACCTATCCACAGTAGTGGATCCCAAGCTTGGCAACCGAATATTATTTTGCGTCAATATCAGTACATTGCGTCCATTTCTAGTTTGTCTTCTTGAACGCATACGCTGGATCGAAGCATTTGCACGAGCACGTGAACGTAAGCTCTCGGGTCTGGTTGCTTCATTGATAGTGATGTTATTTTTTTTCATGATGTTCGAGTAGGGGAAGTTATTGCGACTCTCAGAGAAAAATGTTTTGATTCCTGGGAACTCCCCTAATGTTGGGACAGCTCCAGTACCGGCTCCAAATATACGACCCGAATTGCGAGCGAGTGGTGTTGAGCCATAAGCATGCTGATCGTTCAACGACGAGTATATGGACATAGCACGCTCATCTTCTTCCCCTTCGCTATCTTCATTTCTGAGATGTCTTGCAGAGGACGCTTCATTCTCACTTTCACTGCTGCTGCTGCTACCTTCGACGTCGGCATCGTCATTATCATCAAGATTTAAGAGCTCGTGGTTTCTCTCAACTCTTGTGAATGAAGGAGTGACTTTTAGTTTCAATGACGGTTTTCTTGAAACTAGGTTTTTGTATGCTGCACTTTGATTACCAGTTGAATCTCCCTCCACGCCAAGAAAACTTTCGGAATTCTTCAACCAGGCCTTATTGCTAGTCAAGATGTCGTAAGAAGTTTGAGCAAAATTGGAAGGTGCGTGATTGTGGAAGACAGAAAATTGATTGTGCGACTGTAAATTTTGATGAAACGAATTCAGAACACTATTTTGATCCACAATGTCGAGTTTACTACTCGACCCAAATTTGCTCATTGGACCACGCACGACTTGAGCATTGGTTAACGAGTTTCGCATCAATGGGATCTCAATGGACTCACCAGCACGAGTTGTTGGAATGGCCATACGAGGTGCTTGCTTTTGATTCGCTTTGATAGATTCATCTGGGTAAATGTGCTGACTATTTTTACGAGATGGTGAAAAAGAACTAATGGAACCACTGTCTTTGATTTTAGAGTCGTGCAGAATAGATCCTTGACTTGTCTCATTGTTACCTATGCTATCACGATACGAGGTTGTTGACAATGAACGAACTCGTGAAAGGGGATGATTGGGTACCAACAAATCCTCGTTTCGAGACCTTGGATGATTATGCTCGTCGGTTGTTTTGTCGGCCTCATCATCCGTTTCGGTTTCTGATGAGTCGTCACTGAGGTAGATAATGACATCACTATAGCATGGTTTGCATACCCTTAGTTTATCGTAATACGGGCGTTTTTGATCGATAACATTATTGCGTTGATCCCGATGCTGAGTGTAGGAGATGAATAAAGTACAATCCGAGCAAAAAATTTGTCCACAAAAGCGACAATGATGTTTTCTCCTAAAGGCTGTGAATGGTTTGAAACAATTCAAACAATCCGCCACAAATGCATCATCCATCCAGTACTTTTTGGGAATACCCCCATTTTTTAAAGGGTTTTGAGAAATCTTGGTGGATTTTTTCTTTTTCCTTTTGCCAACTATGGAAGAGGCTGAAGACGCAACTGCCCCCAAGTTTTGGTTTAAGATGGTTTTGGCATTATCCAAAATCAATGACGGGAAGTTTTGAGACCTTTTTCTAGAAGCATGCACATCTTTGCTTTGTATCGCTTGAAATGATGACACCGTGGGGGATTCTCCGGAAACTGTGGACGTCGTCATTTTACTAGTACGTTCCACTTTAATGGGTGAAGACTTTGCAATCGAGCCACCGTGTAGAGTACCCATGTCGTAAGTCGTAGATAGCGCCCTGACCTCGTTATCCTCAAGATTTGGTGCGTAGATTTTTGCGTCGTACTCATTTCCTACATCAGTCAGTACTCGTGCTGACTGCTCGGAATCACCTACCGATTCTTGGTCTGATGCAGAGTCATCAGACACTTCAATGTCATTTGGTAGATTGTTGAAAAGTGTTGATATTTTCTTCCCCAAAAATGTTCTTTTAGATTTTTTATCCTTCGCCTTGGCATAACCTTGGGAAGTAGAGCTTTGAGACTGATGCTCTGCATCCGACATATCAACAGTAGCCAATGCATTTACGCTAACCACTGAGCTAGTGGCCCTTGGGCTCAACGATTGCGCGTGAGGAAAAGGCATTGTTGATAGTCGTAGGGATTTGTTGTCAGATGTTACACGAGGTGATGTTTCTTCCAATATCAATTGGCGTATTTTGTCCAGCGTTGAAGGCTGTGGTACACTTAGTTTATCCTTGAGTAGTGGCCGCAGAGACTCATTTATACTTCCCGTTATTTCATGCGGAGATTGTGGTGCGTCATTGAAGTGCTTGCGAGGTACCTGACCCTTTTCGTTTTCCTGTCGAGTGGCTTCTTTCCCCTTCTCAACAAACCCCTCCTCTATTCCAGGGCTTAGATTGGACTGTAAAGCACTTGTGGTAGCGGGCGCAGTTGAATTTCGTGACAGCCGTAGCCTGGGTGACCGTACTGGTCCCTGTACGACTTCATCATCATGCCTCTTAGATTTAATGCTAAATGCATCAGGGTCAAGATCATTTTGATTATACTCCGCCTTCTTGTGTTTCGATGTAATCTCTGTAACATTTTTCAAACCCTTATCCAACCCATTCGTTGCAAGTCCTGAGTTGGAGGGACGAGTTTCCCGTTTGGAGAACAGTGGGTTGGAAGGGGTATCACCAGCTTTTAATTCCTCGACAGTTCCATCGACATACTGTTTGTGTGGTTCGAGATTTGCTGAATAGTTTTGAACCAAATTGGTGGCATTATTTGTTACTTTCCTAAGGGTCTTGGTGATTAACCCGGAAAGCGACTTTTCATTTTGCACCTCTGGTTCCGCCAAAGTGGGAAATGAAACAAAATCCTCTTTTTTCAGGGCAGCCGCAACTGTCTCCTCGTCGTCACTATTATTGGTGTTTGAAGCAATTCTGGGAGTTAATTCCTGTGGCGTCGTTTCATTAGACGTGACATGTATATCTTTCTGTTTTTGAACCATTGGTTAATGAAAAGTATCGTGTACACTTGAATTGATTTATGAATTTCCAAGTATAATGATTAACATTCAGTCTATATTGGTAAGTTGCCCTTACACTCCTTTACGGTGGTTTATGTTTTCAAAAGAATTTTGGAAACGCACAAGAACTTAATTGTTCAAACAAAACTGGCAAAAACGTTATGATGAGTGAAATGTGCTGACGGGGCGAGATTACGTTTGCCTATCTTCAAGAGCAGATGATTAAGCTACAAAAACGATGGGATGGCTAAGAGATCTGACAATGGAAACAATCATCACTGACAACGCATATATCATAACAAATGTTTATACACTGCATACATTTGGGCTAAATCGTATGTCTATTACTTTGTTGTGGTTGTACACTACCAAAAACTATCTCTCTGTTTTTAAGTTCCCAATTTTTTTTTTTTTTTTTTTTTTTTTTTTTTTTCAGAATTTTTAGAAGTCGACATTACTTTGAACAGAGTGGTACAATAATCATCAACGACAGGACAAAGGAATTGAACAAGATTTCAAATAATAACATACTTATTATTTTACTGCAACTGCAATTGGTAAAGCAAACATATTTTAGCTCACACCGTTGCCAAAAGCACTATTTACGTCTACATCTACATCTACAGCAAGAGTTAATATTTCGAGTAATAAATGTCAAGTTCGGGCTTACAAAGACGCAGAGGGGGTAATAAACAAACCACCTCAAAATCAAGAAGCTCCAATTCATTTGAAGAGGATAGAGGAACTGCTCAAAATGATTCTGATATCAAGGTGGGCTACGATGATCGTGATATTAAAGATCCAAAAGAGGTAAAAATACCCTTGTTAACTCTTATGGAGGAAGTTCTTTTGATGGGATTAAAAGACAAAGAGGGATACTTGTCATTTTGGAATGATAACATCTCCTACGCTTTGAGAGGCTGCATATTGTTGGAGTTGACATTCAGAAATAAAATTACTTTGGTAAATGATCCTGCCCGGCGCAGATTTGAGCTCAGTGATAGACTCGTAGAGGTTATCGATGATGAACCAACAGGGGAAGTGTTGTTGGACGAAGCGTTAAAGATTATGAAAGGCGACGAATCGAACTTGTCCGTGACCAATTGGATTGATTTGTTGAGCGGAGAAACATGGAATTTGATGAAAATAAACTATCAATTAAAGCAAGTTAGGGAAAGGTTGGCCAAGGGTTTAGTAGACAAAGGTATCTTGAGGACCGAAAGGAAGAACTTTTTCTTATTTGACATGGCGACACACCCAGTGGCTGACAAATTGTCTAAGGAATACATCAAAAACAGAATATTGTCATTGCTCATACTGAGGAATGTCGATCTAGATGCCGTTGCTAACGACCAATTCCCTAAAGATACTTCTCTTAGATACTTGAGATCTATATCTTTGGTCTGTGGATCATATGCTGCTAATGTTTTGGAGAATGTATTGATGTCGTTGAGTTACGACAAAAGAGACCAAGCATTTGCCAGGGCCGATGAACTTTTGGCGGACTTTAGTGAATTTCCATTCAATTTATCCCATCAAAGTCCCTTGGGACTAGGGTTAAATTTGGGACAAGAGGTAAGTAATGAAGTTTCAGAGTCCCCAGTCACTGAATTGCAATTAGAATTAGTGGCCGCCGTCTTGAGTGTTTTTGCAAGGATGGACTCGATTCTTTAAAGAGAAAAAGTCTTGTTTGTATAAAAGTAATCTAGAGATGACGTAGTTGGTTCTGTGCTAATGTAAGTTCAAGGTTTCAAATTTTTCAAGTACTTACTTTGCGGATATAGTAAACAGTTTTCGCTCTGATCTAATTGACGAACACCGCCAAGCTGGTCAACAAAATTTACCACAAGAGACTCTGTAGCAGGGGCCGGGGAAGCAAGCTTGTCCCCCGATGAGTCCCACCACATTCCTCCTCCCAATCCTTTCGACTTTACAAAATTGCCTTTGATTTTTGCACTTTGATCATTGTCATACGTCACCAATCTGTGGGACTTGGAATCATAAGCGTACGCTCCCACTTTCCTGGCATCAAAATGTTGTTCGGAAAAAGAATCGATTTCATTGTAGTTAATTATATCATTCGAGTCGCAGGACAGTTGTTTATCAAACGCCTCGCCTATTTTGCAAGAATTTACCCCGGTAAATACTCTGCCGTACATTGGACATCCTACGACTAGCTTCGATGGTATTACTCCTTTCAGAAGATACGTTTGGACGATATCTGACACATTCATTTCATTATCACCATTAGAACCAAAAAGGTTGGAGTGAAATGCCGTCTTTTGTGACCATCCCTGACCTGCAAAATCATAGCACATCAAGTTCCAGAAACTCAAATATTGATCCATGTCGCTTATATTCAAATTATGGATATTAGCATTCCCTGCAGGAGCGGCGACAGTCAAAGAATACCTTGGTGGTAGTCTCTCGCGCATCAAGCGTAACAAATCCACAAATCGCTGGCCTTGCTTAGCATTCTTTGGATACTCCCAGTCAATGTCAATCCCATCGAATCCGTACTCCTCCACAAACTCCACCGACGAGTAAACAAAATTCTGTAATTTCTGTTTATTGGCAACCACTGCATCAAACAAGTGATCTGTACCCCAACCACCAACAGACATTATCACCTTTAAAGTTCGGTTAAGTTTCTTCATTTGGTACAATTGCTGCAAACTTCCATGAACGGTTTCTCCTGGTAATAATGATTCTTCTGGTAACTCCAAATCACACCATTTGTCGGAGAGCTTAACGTTTCCAGTATCAGGGTCAATGGTTATAAAGGCATAAAATATGTGGGTATAATATTCAATGGGTAAGTGATTGGGAAAATGTTTTTTATCATACACAGCCCAATTAGTGAAATATACGCATGTTTTGAATTTGTGATCATCAGACAACACTGTTTGTTGAGTTTGATGGTGTAGTCTTTCCTGAAATTTTTCAACCAACCGATGGCACATTACTGATGAAGGAACGTGGATCTCGTGTCAGAATTTCGCAGTCTATAGGGACAGTGGATCAAAAAAAAACGAGAGAGAAAAAAATCAAGAATATCCACCCTTTTTATATCATTGACACTGTGATTTGCATAACAAAGAAGCTCGACTAACATGGTATTAGACTTACCCCCAGATATTCCTTCCCATGTTCCGGCCAATTCCAAAATTTATAAAGATGATTGTATGTACACTTTTGACACAGCCGAGAATAATGAATTGGGTTTGGACATTGACTTGAAAACGTATCGTGCATACTCGAGAAATAAAGAATACAACTATACGGCACAAAATTATGAAGCCACGGGAAACTATCTATACTTGAACATCAATAAAACCTTGAAGCCAAAAGAAGAAATTGATAGGTTGTTGTATGATGATGAAGGTGAAAAGAGCCAGAAAATAAGAAAATTAGAGATAAAGAACATTAGTGAAGACGACTACTTTAACACTGAGGTCAGCTTGTACAATGTCAAGGAGGATAAGCTCTACCCCAGATCCGAATTAAGTCCAGCCTTCAATAACCTTTTTGAGGGCATCTTGAACGCAAATTCCTCCAACGAGGATGAGGAAATAAAACAATGGGAACAAGAAATTGTGCCGTGCCCGCATTCGATCAACGTCGAACAATTTGACTTCGAAGAAAAGCCCGACCTCACTAAATGCAGCCAATGTGACTTGAAGGAGAATTTGTGGATCTGTTTGCATTGTGGTGCGTTAGGGTGTGGAAGACAACAGTATGGATCGACCATGAAGGGTAACAGTCATGCGTTGGCGCATTATGATTTGACTCAGCATCCAGTGGCTTTGAAGTTGGGGTCGTTGTCTGGGGACTCTGAAAGCTATGATGCGTACTGTTATCAATGCAATGATGAGGTAAAGGTTCCTAATTTGGCTGTTATACTCAACAAATACGGTATCGATTTAGAAAAGACGAAAAAGACGGAAAAGTCTCTTGTGGAGCTAAACATTGATCAAAATTTAAGTTGGGATTTCAAATTGGATGGAGCAGAAGGGGATAAGTTGCCACCCGTATATGGTAAAGGATTGACGGGACTTAAAAATTTAGGCAACTCATGCTATATGAATTCTGTACTTCAGGCATTGTTTGATTTGGATCTGTACAGGACCTATTTTCAAAACATGAATCCGGATATCGGTGTTAACCCAGCTGAGGACTTGGCAAGCCAGTTGCTTAAAATTTATGATGGGTTATACAGCGGTAGGTACTCTGTACCAAGTCCTCTTAAAGGTGAGGATTATCAGTTGGGTGTTAAGCCCTTTGTGTTCAAAAACCTTATTGGACAGAATCATGCTGAGTTCAAGACTCAGAGACAACAAGATGCTAATGAATTTCTACTTTATCTCCTAGACAAACTTGATAATGAATTTGGTTTAAAATTGAATCAAGATTTGAAATTTGTATATACCGAGAAAGTCATTTGTGATAATTGCAAACACGGGTCATTAAAGAATGAATTGTTGGACAATATTTCAGTACCATTGGAAGAGACCTTGTTGAGTACCGAAGAGGGGAAAAAGATTTACAAAGAAGTTGATTTACGAGATAGTTTCAAGAAAGTAGTCGGTCCAGAATTGATACCTGAATACAATTGTGACAGTTGTCATGCCCAAGTTGGAGTTGCGTTGAAGTCCAGTGGTTTCACTTCTTTTCCAAAGTATCTTATCGTAAGTGCACAGAGGATCAAGTTGGAGAATTGGACCCCCGCCAAAGTTGACGTTCCCGTAAAAATTCCATACGAGTTAGATCTATCTGAATTTACTGCTCCTTATTTCAAAGATGGGGAGATTGAGGAATCGTCATCGAGTTCAGCAGATGATACAACTTTGTTCACTCCAAATGCAGATCAGTTGAACACACTTTTGGGAATGGGATTTCCAGAACCTAGAGCAATCAAAGCTTTGTACAGGACTGGAAACAACGATGCCGAAACTGCTATGAACTGGCTTTTTGAGCACATGGAGGATGCTGATATTGATGATCCTTTAGATCTAGGGAAGGAGGCTTCGAGTGTGCAGAATGAACCGGCTGATGAGGTAGTCGATAATCTCGTCGCAATGGGATTCTCGCATCAATTATCGAAAAAAGCGTTACTATTGAACAATAGTGATGCAAATGCCGCTGTCGAATGGTTGTTTTCCCATCCAGATGACGACGGGGTTATTGCAATTGACAAACCTCCTGTCGACGTTAACAAGGAAAAACAAGAGTTGATTGAATCACTCAAAAGTCATTCTGAATCCTCAGGTTTATTTAAGTTAAAATCAGTGATTTGTCACAAAGGTACCTCTTCACACACTGGTCACTATGTCGTGTTTGTCAGAAAATATGTTGATGGGAAATGGAAGTGGGTTTTGTTCAACGATGAGAAGGTGGTACTTTGTCAAGAGGAAAACTTGAAGGAGGTTGAAAAGAACGCATACATTTATATATTTGAACAAGTTTAGATACGGTCATTTTTTCACATAGTTCAATAATGTAAATCGAATTCTTTGGTGCAATTGTCTATTTTTGTGTCAATTCTTATCATGCAATCATGAATCTTCTTTTTCGCGATGAGTAATACTTTTAGACCTTTACACAAACCCGTAACGCAGTTTAGTTTTGTCAAAAATTTTTTTTTTTTCAGTCATAAGTTTTTCGGAGTAATAGTCATCACCACATCTACACTTGATCAAATACATCTTTAGCTAAATCAAGTTATGTTTATCACAAACGAACACGTTGGCGATAGATCGCGTATGGAAGACTGGAGAAGTATGTGCTCAACAAATGTTGTTATATCGCAATTGCAAAAGATGCAGCAAAAATACTAACACCTGACATAGTTCGTGGTTACGACCCTTTAACTCCACCTGATTTGTTACAACACGAGTACCCTTTGACTCCAGAGTCTCTGAAAACGATATTGGAAGGTAGAAATTCTGCTGTTGATATTTTGAATGGAAAGGATGATAGATTGATTATTGTTATTGGCCCTTGCTCAATCCATGACCCTAAAGCTGCATTGGAGTATGCTGACAGACTTCACAAGGAAGCAGAAAAACACAAAAGTGAACTCTTGATTGTTATGAGAGCATATTTGGAAAAACCAAGAACAACAGTTGGATGGAAAGGTTTGATTAATGACCCTGATATCAACGGAACTTTCCATATCAACAAGGGTTTGAGAATTGCAAGAAAGTTGTTTGTTGACTTGACTTCAAAATTACCAATTGCTGGTGAGATGTTGGATACCATTTCACCTCAGTTTTTGTCTGATTTATTCTCGGTGGGAGCAGTTGGTGCACGAACTACTGAATCGCAATTGCACAGAGAATTGGCATCTGGCTTATCATTCCCTGTCGGATTCAAGAATGGAACCGATGGAACCTTGGGTGTGGCCATTGATGCTGTTCATTCTGCTTCTCATCCCCACCACTTTTTGTCAGTTACAAAACCTGGTGTGGTTGCAATCGTGGGTACCGAGGGGAACAAGGACTGCTTCGTCATACTAAGAGGTGGTAAACAAGGAACCAACTATGATGAGGCATCCGTGAAGGAAACTCAAGAACAATTGAAAAAAGCTAAGCTAGTTACCGAGGAAAGAAGTGGTCCAAGGATTATGGTTGATTGCTCTCATGGTAATAGTAATAAAGACCACAGAAACCAGCCCAAAGTTGCAAGAGTAGTTGCTGACCAAATTGAAGCTGGTGACGGGTCTATTTGTGGTTTGATGATTGAAAGTAATATCAATGAAGGAAGACAAAACGTTCCTCCAGAGGAAGAAGGAGGTAAAGATGCATTGAAGTATGGCGTTTCAATCACTGATGCTTGTATCGGTTGGGATACAACTGTAGAGGTATTGGATTTGTTGGCAAATGCTGTCAAAAAGAGAAGAAGTTTATAAGGTTATATATAAAAGATGAAAAATGGACATGCGCTTTGAAGAGAATTCTTAGGAATCTCACACGACTTTACATTACGATAAACTATTTTTAGATCTGAATATTTTGGCCAGCCTCATGGGCAACAACATTAACACCTATTTACAGTGCATTATTTACCCTTACACTACTAGCTAGAAGGGTACAACTTTGATGAAGGCATTTATAAAACCTCCTAAAAAAAACGATGCTACTGCTAATCTTCCTAATGACACTAGACAAGGGCGTCCCAGCTCCAGCGCCCATGCTCACGAGAGTATGACCCGTCCACCAGTAAATGGTCGCAAGTTTACACCAACGTCGTCTCCAAAATTGCAACAGGTGCCGCAGTATACACCTCCCGCTAACGTGCTAGCAGCTTCGACTACAAATTCACCGAAGAAGTTGCTAACTCCAATCAAGAACTTATTTACATCAACAAAGTCAGCAGGACAGACACCAGGTTCAAGCGATAATCTCCAAAATGTGATTCTTAATACAACTTCTCCAAAGGAGTCGAAAAGCTCCAGATTCAAGAAACATATACGTAGCCGAAGCAATGCATCTGTCCCTACAATTAATGACTTGATGAAACCACCAGAGAGGCCGAAGGGAGACAAGAAACTCAAACTGACTGCATCGTCTCCTTCACTTCAAGCCTTGGAAATGTCAAACTCGAGAACACCTACGCAGACCCCGCAATTTGGTTTGGGTGAGAGTCGTCCGCTTGAATTTGTGGATGTGCCACCTACATCGGCTAATGTCAGCAGCCTAGGTCCTCCCATTCTGCTAAGTAGAGATTCAAGTAAGAATATCAGCATTGCGTCTTTAGCTGAAAGTGAAAGATTCAATACCAAGGAGGTTTTCTTTGACGCAACTTCCTTGTCATATATTAATGATAAAGATGATCTAAAGACAAACCATACAAGCTATTCAAGTGAGTCTATGTCCGATGAGTACGATGATGATGACAACGAAGATAACGAAGATGACGAAGATGACAATTCATCGCAGTTCTCATTTGTACAAGACATGAAAGCTGGAAGGAACACGTCCGTCAAGTATTACAAAACAAGTGTTGCAAAGCCAAAACTAGAGCAATCATTAATGGTGAACTCCTTTGACGAGCACGACTTGGGACACGATGATGAAGATGTAATGGACTATGATTTTGAAAACAATGGGTTAGGGGATGATGATGATAATTATGATGAGTATAACGAATTTGATGGAGAGAATGCTGCATACAATGAAATGTTTCTGAACGACGATTTGAGATCTCAAGCCACTTTCAACTCTTATGTTGAATTTTGTGAGGAGCACGAAAAAAATGACGTCGGTATTGATTTACAAAAGACCGTTTCCGGTGAAGATCCCTCCTTTGGAAATATATCGAGTAGTTTCTCGCCAGAGAAGAGATTCAATGAGCTTGCTTCGCGGTATGACTTCCCCACTTATACAACATTTAACTCATCTCATCACTTATCAATACAAGGTCCATCTAAAACCGAGGACAACGAGTTGGCCACAAGTCCCAAAAGAGAGAGTATTGAAGAGGACATATTAGAGAACTACCTAGATCCCAGTATCCTGAATTCAATTCATTCTGGTAATGGGCTTGAGTCACCGTCACTTCAGCAAGAAAATGACTTTGCGCTCTTTGATGTCAGCAGCCCGGTCATTAATGGGCTTACTATTGGTCACAATTTGGGACATCGGTCAAATAGAAAGGGTCAAAATTTCAACAGATCATTGATTCACCGTAATCCCATTAATGTTCCTATTGATCACATTGGTCATCACAGCCGGTGCGAAAGTGAAATCTATGAAAGAGAGCGGTATATCCATTCTTTTCACGAATCGTTGGATGACAATATAAACATTAATATAATGAACAAAGTTAAAGGTTTTGAAGATTGGTGGATGTCAAGACGTACGGAACAATCTGCCAAATATGATGAAGATGTTAGTGGAATAGGCAAAACATCAAGTCTGGGAAACAAGCAATCTCAAACGACACTTGCAGCAGCAGCCAACCTGTCTATAGATGATGAAGCCGATAAGAAGACAAACACAGCTGTTGCAAAGTCGGCGAATGTTGACAAGATCCATGCAGGTGCAGCAAACAAGCAAAATCGGAACTCAGTTGCTGAATTGATGGGCTTATTGTCGAACTTGGAGCTGCAAAATCAAGACGCTGTACCTGCCGAGAAAATCAATGAGCCGAGCAACTTTCAAAATCGAAATTCCGTAGCAGAGATGATGGGACTTTTGTCTAATTTGGAGCTTAGCTTAAATTCTGGTGGAAACACTGAAGCAGAAATAGAATCCAATAAAAAGGAGGTTAGAAGCTCAATCGCTGGTATGATGAATTTTTTGGCTTCAGTTGAAGGTAATGAAGCATCATCAAATGGAGCACAGAGCTCAGAAAACGGCAAATCGCTAGAAGCGAGTAGACACATTCACAAAAATCAAGCTTTACCCCAACTGGACCATAACCCTCCAGCTTCACACATCACGAGGAAGCCATCATTCAAGCGATATTCATGGTTCAGCAGCCAAGAAAGTTTGACGTTAAAAGGCGTTGATCCGACTGACGACTCTATCAAGCCAATTCCCTTGGACCAAGATATTCTAGACGAAATCAACCAGATACCAGAGGATTATGATTATGATGAACAACGAAACAAAATTAAGCAAGCCGATTCCGAAAAGGCAATTGGTTTTGAAAGATCAAGCTCTTACAACAGAAGACCGAAAAAAGTACTTGTTCTTAATCAAGCCAAGCCCAATAAGATAGAAACCTCAAACAAGACAGTTACATTTTACGACAAGAGTAAGGCCTCCTCTCCAGCGATGCCTTTGGATTTGAACAGGGTGAAGAATTCAAATTTAAGTAGAGGTCTGTCATTTCGATCCGTTAGTTCAATACCATCAGTTAGCGAGATCAATGAAGAGGAAGAGGACGAGGACGATGAAGATAACACCTCAATCATCCCCGTGCACGTTAGAATAGAAAAAAGTAATGATTGATCAGTGCGTACTTACTGAAGATATTTTGTTTATATGTGGACTATCTATTCTACCGATATAGTCTAATTAATTCTTTCGTTCATAAATGTTTGAAAATTGTAATTCTCATTCATTGTGTAATCAAAGTACTTGTCATCCAAATAGGATGTGCTGGCCCTATTCACTGGGTTTCTTGGCAATGCTACGTTGCTAAGCCCGCCCCTTGTGGTTATATTACCAGAAGAAGTGTTGAATGACGTTGTGGTATTTGATCTCTTCAAGTTTAGCTCGTGTACGATCCTGCCGGCTGTGGTAAGTGAGCGTAGACCTTCTAATTTCTTTGAATTCTGGGTGCATTTTGGTTTCACAATCAAGTTTGAATTTTGCGATGTAGTATCAAAAGATGCCTCACTAGCAGTCAGAGATTTGGATCCAAATAGCCAGGAATCGTTTCTGTATTTGGAATAAATGCTGAGCAACTCATCATCAGTTTCATCACCTTCATCTCTCCTCATCTCATTTGTACTTTCTTCAACATCCTCGTCATCATCAAGAAGTATTACTTCCACTTCTTTCCCCTTATGCTTTTCAGTCACTGACCGATAGGATAAGGTGGAGTCACTACGTTGAATAGTAACAACTTGGTACTTATCATCAGTCAAATCAATTACAACACTCTCCACATCAGTATCGTCCAGTTGGCTCGAGCACACCGAGGAGGACTTTCTTTTTGATGAAGACTTGTGTCTGGACTTTGGGGTATGGTATTTTTTTAATTCCTTTGGTGTGGTATATTTGTTTCCGAAATCGCTCTGCTTTGCGTTGTTCACTTTAAAGTCGACAGCATAATTTACTGCCTTTGGTGGTTCAGCAACATGGATATTTAAATTTTCGGAAATTGCGTCCTGTGTGTCGTTGGGTGTTTTCAAGAATTTCGCGTTTGTGGAAGCATTGGAAGTCCCACTCAACCCACTTGAAATGTTGTAATCCGTAGATTTTGCCCTTTGATGCAGTGGACAATCAAGTAATTTGTCCTGTGAGTTGAAGTCAATATTATACATAGATTTGCCTCTTCTGTGCCTAGGAGGTGAAGCTAAGTTTGGTCGTGATTGAGAAAAGTTGCACTGTAAGTCAGGCGCTGTTTTGGATATAGTTGGAACAGCATACAATGCAGACGATTTCCACGGACTTTCGTTATCAGAATCGTCGCCTCCAGAGTGAAGCTGAAACTGCTCTTCAAAGTGACGCAAAGCATCTCGACTTGGGACCCTAATCTTTCTCATTGGATGGTCCTCTTGTTCAACGTCAGAGACTGAAGTTTCGGTTTGTCTTTCTGAGAACACAGTTTCGTTGTAGCTAGATGGTGATTTTGAGGAGTATTGTTCCATTATCTTTCCATTCGACAAGTCCGGGATTTCAATTTGTCCATTTGAATAAAAACTTAATCTGGGTTTTGCACTCTTTGTCTCCTCATCCAGCACTTTCAGTTTGAGACTTTTGCTGTTTGTGATGTTTTCTGAATTGTTTGGAAAATTGAATGTTGGCCTTGCCCCTCCATGTTCATAATCACTATCACCTTTGTTCGAGACTTGCTTTTCCATAGGGCTCTTGATCGATGCTGATGTTGCATCTGTGTTTTGTCTTGTTATATTAAGCGGACTTATCTCGTCTCCAGACTCCCCACTATCTGTAGGACTAACATCCGACCAAATACTCTGATCATCCGTTGCGTCTGCCAGTTCCTTTCTGTCAATAGAGTTATCCTCCACTCCCTCTTGCCCTCGATTCAAAGATATGTCGATTGATTGTTGTAATGAGTTCCAACTGTAAGATGAGCTCGTGGATGACTCACTGGCGGCCGATACCAGTCTTTCGTTTACGTGGGTTGGCTTGTGTAAAGTGTCGACCAAAGTTAGCCGTGGAGTGGTATTTTGGCCGGGACTTGTAAACCCAGCTGGTCTATCAATTAGACCCTTTTTAAGACCTGCGCTAGCTAGTCCAAATGCCCCAGCAGAGCTAAACGAGCTCACGCTTGACACTTGGGAAGTCTCACTAAAACAGCGATTGTGAGTTGGTCTTGGATCTTGTTTCTGAGCCATTGGAACTGAATGAATCGCCTGGTTGTTTTTACCAACATTCGTGCCGCCCCCTTTTGATGCTGTCATACGCGGAGTACTTACACTCTCTGCCTCTGTATATACCTTGTTCGCTTCTGTGTATTTATTGCTTGGGAGTGAACTTCTCTCATGCTTGGTTGTTTCAACCTCTTCGACCTCGGTGGGCAAGTTAGGTAGCTTCTTACTACGCTCATGCTGCAATCCTTTACTTGCAATTCTCGCTATGCTTGAATTTCGTGAGCCAAAATTGGACATCTCCTCTATCATACTCAACTCATCTGGTTCTTTATTTGGAAACGCTAGTTTCAGGTATTTGGTCTTGTTTGTAGCAACAGATGGTGGTTGCGGCTTCTTCGCCAAGCTTGGTTTTTCAGGCACCGGAGGAAGAGTCGTGTCATCTTGTTCATCTTCAGATGACGAAATGTCGATTTTCTCATATCCATGAGATGTATAAACCAACGTTTGCCGTTTGTGTCTGGTGGGGGAAGAAACCAAAGAAGATGATTGTGGACAGTTCAAAGCTGTCGAGTGTCTTTGAGGTGAGCTCAATCTAGGCGGTAGTCTGAGTGTCAATGGAATTGGTATCACATATTTGTCGTTGGCTCTATTGGATGCAACAATGTGCATTCTTCTAGCCAATGGGCTTTTCGAAATTGACTTTAGTTGATCTGGTGTCAATTTAGGTGATGAGATGATGGATCTCAAATCCTCTTCATCCATTGCTGGCAAATTTCCCTTTCCTGTGGGGCTGTATGTAGCTTTGTCCCTAACTGGAGTGGACTGGCTCGACTTTGGTGAGTTGTGCGAACCAGTGGGTTTACGACGTGTGGGTGTGCTCGGCAAAGGTGAGATTAAGTGTGGAGACAGGTAGCCTGGCATTTTGAAAAATTTTGAATAGTGTACTAAGCTCTTGATGTAAAATAATAGCAGTTAATGTTGCTAAAATGATTCGCCTTTTCAATTATCTCTGCTTCAAGATCCTTCCTTATTCGATTAGCTGATCAGTTGTGTGTGGTATTTTTAGCACCAAAAACTGGGCAGAAGTTGTATGTTGAAATGAAGGAAGGTGCCACCTGCGAGAGATGGAAATCAAAGAATTCAATTCGAACATGATGGGATATGTGTGGAATATTATTTTAGCTCGTGCCTCCCATGCAATTAATTTAGTTGGTAAGCGCTACCTCTCGCTTGAAAACTTTGTTTTGAAAATGTCCAAATCGGGCAAGTATGTATATCCAGAAAGTGTGACACAAAATTCGAAAATGCTTTAAAGCCAGCATTTCCAATTCTCAACAATGACTATCACTTCGACTGAGGTGTATGGAAGGGTACTTCATTAGCCGAACTCAAAGTTTAATGAAAATGAGTGGAAAAAAATGTCCAAGACACAGAACGAATTTACGGCAGCGAATAGAACGAAAAGCCTTCAATCAGATGCCCGGTAGGAGAAATAAGCCATTTCCTACTTAGGAACGTGATCGACTATTGTGCGCTTTAACGTTAACTGGAGTGTGCAGTGAAGCCTAACTGCGCGGGATCTTCCGAAATAGATATAAGAGTGCAGGCAAATTCTATAGAGGATACTTGTGAGGTGATGGTTGTGCCAAAAACATAATCAATACATTAAGGTACAATCGCTCTTTACCACCAAATGATATAATAAGTTGAGACATTTAGTTTAACTATATTTATTTTGCTTTTGTTGAAAGTCATAACCGAAGTTTAAGAACACGATAATTTATTTTCACTAATCCTTAATAATTTGCACCAAAATTCATACAAAGATTTTATAAAAGCTTTTATAAAAGCCTTTATCAAAAGTTTTGAATTAAAACTTAGTTAATATCAAAAGTCTTTTATTATGATCGCAATTTGTGACCATGACATAACTGTGGCGACTCCCATATTCAGATAATAACAGGATTTAAAGGCTTCACGGTTGCAAACGTAGTCGTGTACACCACTCCAAAAAAAAGAAGATGATGAAAATTTTTGTAATGGCTCTTGAACAATTTTATTACAAGATCTTTACATGCTCTTTTTACACTGTTCTATTGAAACAACCAGAATACACCTCTATTAACAAAGATCTAAGGTATGTGAATACAATCTACATTCTATCGGATACTCAATTACAGGATGAACTTTGTTTTTATTTTAAAAGTATGTTTTTTCTGGCATCTCTAATATTAGAGCTACGCTCAATGCTTATGCCCTTGACTAAACCTATCTGATCTATGACAATTTGATTATCCAAGACCGTGCCATTTCTGAGTTTAATTTACTAACTATAGAGTTCAAGAACACTTGGTGCATATTACTGCAAACCTTTGTATAGAAAGATTGCGAAACGTCGTAATGTATGAACGATTCATCTCTGTGGTATTGCCCACATTCTTTAAAAACGGACTAGCTCTTAAAAGTACGAGTGTTGGTTGGTAGACTTTTAGAGTAGTTCATGGAGGTGTTCCTTATCCTCTTCACTTGTTGGTGCCTAGCGACCTACTACGTCTCCTTCTTTGTTTTTCATTTTCCTTTGTTTTTTTTTTTCTTTCTTTCGCGTTATAACAACGACCCCTCTTCGTAACACTTGCTACGCCCAAGTGATGTCAGAAGAGTATGATTCTAGTACTGATAACGAGTTGAGGGATGAGCTTATCGATCTGGAACTTGGGAGTAATTTTGCTTCTCAAGAAGACGAGGACAGGCGTTATGTCAGATTGATGTTGGATCATTCAGCATTTGTTCGTGGAATTGGAAATATCAAACGGTGGTTCAACGAGGAATACATAAAGCAAAACTTTGATAACTCATCGGACCAGATTGTTTTGAACTTATATATACCGTCCTATACATTGCACGAATTTGATTTTGCGAAAAAGGGCACCTCAATTTCAGCAACTAATGCTAGAGAGGCAATTAAATTCATTGACAACTATTTGGAAAACAAATCGGATCTCGTGAATGGCAATATCAGATACGTTATGACATTAGAAGCACCCAACGAGATACCACCGTCATGGCCCAAATGTTCAAAGTATAAGCTTTATTCGCCAAAACTTCTGGACTTTCCCAATCACAAATCTAAATTTGATTCAAACCTTATTGGTGAAACACAACACAAGGAGTCTCTTCTTCTGCACCGAGAGAGTGAAATAGTTGACGAACTAAATGATGTCGCGTCATCAGAGTCAGCTGCAGAAATGCCAGCCAGATTGAAATATTTAATACGAACATGCATATATAAACGGTTTCTTGAAAAAACTCAACCAAAACCCAAAAACAATCTAGAAGAGTGGAAGTTAGTAACGGAGGACGCAGTAGCAAAAGTGTGGGCAAAGTCATATGGGATACAGTGTGTGAATGTCAATGAAGCGGAATTATTAATTTTCCAGAATTATGATGTTAATTCTTTCAAAATTTATAATCCATTTTCGGCAAATGAGGGTTTCGATCCAAAAAATGACGTTTTGCAAAATAAAATTGATTCGACATTGTATGAGTATAAAACAGTAAAGCAAGCACCACCTAAAGTCAATGGTAAGCATAGATCGAGAAAATACAAAAGAAAAGATACACCAAGCATTCCTTACGAGGGCGTCGTCCACGAAGAAAAAGACAACATTGGGAAGAGCAGTACAATTAAGAAGGAGAAATTTGATGCCATCAATTTTGCACCAAGAGGGCAAGGCAAATTATGGAGTCCATGAAGTTTAGAGCTTTTGGTGTAGAAAGTGTGCTTGCAAACAGTTATAAAACAAAGTTAGGCCTTTTCTTTTTGTAACCGTTGAGGTTGTTAACGTTTACGATATCTAATTACTGAGCCTGAGATCTTTGACTCAAATACTATTTTTAATGTCAAAAACAAAGGGATTCATTGAAGTTATCTCTCTTCTATTGATGATTATAGCTAGTCGTGTATATGTACCAGGAATGAATTCAGTGTCCGTCGTGTGGATGCGATCAAAAATAATATAAAATATGTGTATGTGTGTATGTGTGGGTTCATTCTTAAAAATTTTAATTTTTTTTTTGTGCAAAAAGAATTAAATAAACAAAAACACTATTTCAAACAAATATATCCGGGGGCACATTTGCATCTGATAGATTTTGCAATCAATCATTTCCATTTTATATATGACTATCTGAAGCTGCAATAGATTCAGTTTTATTGATAGACAAATTCACATTGGATTGACTCACCAGTTATCAACCCTTTCCCATTTTCATTTTTTTCCCAACATATAGCTTTTTACAGAAAATTTTTCTCTGGTACTAGATACTAACAATGAACCGTATGCCCACCAAAGAAGAGGTTCAAAAGATTGTGCAACGGTGGCATCAATTACGTGACCAATACGGAGACCAGGTTGTGAACGTTCCGGAGTTTGCTCAGTTGAATAAGACTATCAATAACATCAAAATGCAACAACAACAATTACAACAACACTTGCAACAACAACAGCACTTGCAACAACAACAGCACTTGCAACAACAACAGCACTTGCAACAACAACAACAACAACAACAACAACAACAACAATCGCAGAGGAACATACAACGGTCACAAATGCCACAGCAAGGTCAACAGCTACAACAACAACAACCGACACGTCCACCGTCGCAACTTCAATCTCAACAACCACCGCAGCAGCAACGGGCACAACATCATGGCTCACCAGCAATGCTGAACCCTGTTCCTCCAACTCCCAATCAACAGCTTCCCAGTGCACAAAATGGAAGCAATATTGCAAGCCAGCTCACCAACCTGGCTGCCTCTCCAGTCGGTAATGTCGCCCAATCAGTTTCGGGGACCCCGTTTTCACAAGAGGAGACTTTGCTAGGCAATTCGGCAAACAATCATCGTTACCTAGCACAATTCGGAAATAGGTCATTACAGAACGGTACTAATACTCAGCCAAATTTCGATAATTCAGCAAACAGCAATTGGCCGCTGAATTCTTCAACACAACTGGCACCAGTTTCGGAGTCCGCCTTCACGCATCAGCAATTTCAATTGTTGAAATCTCAGATGCAAGCTATAAAGTATTTGACCAAATCACCTGGCCAAGGTCCAATGCCTCAAAATTTGATCAGTTTTGTGACAAATCCCGCGTCTTCCTACCCCACCGATCCTTACTTGCCGGCACCAACAAGGAACGATAATGCGATTAATCCAAGTTTCCCACAAAGCACAGCAACTATGCCAAATATACCAGCAAACTCCACCGATACCAAACTTAATGCTGAACTTGTGGAGAAGAAGAAGGGCAAGAGAGGTCCAAAACCAAGAAACAAAGATCAACCCAAAAAGATGACAAAGAAACAGATTAGAGAGGAAGAACAAAGACTTGCAGCGGAGAAACGTAGAGAAGATCTTGAACAACAAATTAGAGTCAAGCAAGAACAATCGCATCTCATGCTGCAAGACCAACCCAGTCTCGTACAACCCAAGCTAGAGCCCCAATCGCAACTGCAGTCGCAATCACAACTACAGCCACTGTCACAACTACATAATAGTTTCCAATCCCCTACCCAACAAAGCGATTTCATCTTTGCCGATCCTTCTCCTCCTGTGTTATTGGACAAGGTTATTGATGAGGAAAACAAAGATTCCAAAATTATTGTTCCAGTAACTAAACCAACGGTTGAGGTGGACACATTCGAGAGAGTCGACATTGTTGGTGAAAAAATACTTGATGTTCCGTTGAGCTTTCTCTATACCCCACAGAGTCGAATTCAGATTCCCTCGTTGTTACCTGAAGGTATAAGTTTGGAGCAAATTGCGGCTAATCGTGACTTATTTATGATTCTCGGCATTGAACGCGGGAAGGATCTAATACGGTCGGAGATTCAATCTTTAGATAAATCTGATCCGAAAAGAAAAGAGCAATTGATGACTCAGTTGAACCAATTAGAAATTATCCCAATTCAGAAACAGATCAGGGGTAAGTTGCTTAGCCAGGTATGGTTCAGTAAGTCGTTGCTTCCGAATTCGCATCCAAATTTTTTGGCTAGATTCAATACGTTATCGATGGAAAGTGTTGCTGTTACGATTGATCTTTATCGCCACCAGTTGGAAACCTTAATGAGAGAGCAGAATCGGAAACATTCTCATGTTTTGGACCAGGTTCTTGATTTCAGCACCAAAAATTCTGCTAGAGCTTACAAAAAGTCGGAGAAGGTAAATAAATTTATACACAAAGTTGGAAACTTTCACAATCTGACTGCAAAGGAGGAACAAAAGAAGCTCGAAAAAATGGCCAAACAGCGTTTACAAGCCTTGAAGCTGAATGACGAGGAGGCTTATTTGAAACTTTTGGACCACACAAAGGATACCAGAATCACCCACTTGTTGAAACAAACTAACCAATTTTTGGACTCTTTGGCGCAAGCCGTTCAAACTCAGCAAAAAGAAGCAGAAGCCAACCTTGCAAGCTCAGGTCGCTTGCCAGAAGGAGCGTCTGAAATGGTTGATGAAGATGAAAAAAGAGAAAAGACCGATTATTACAATGTTGCCCACAGAATCAAAGAGGAAGTTACAAAACAACCTTCCATTTTAGTAGGTGGAACTTTGAAAGAATACCAATTAAAGGGTTTGCAATGGATGGTTTCCTTGTTCAATAATCATTTGAACGGTATTTTGGCAGATGAGATGGGTTTGGGTAAAACCATCCAAACGATTTCGTTGTTGACGTATTTGATTGAAGTAAAGAAAATACCTGGCCCATTTTTGGTAATTGTTCCACTTTCAACTGTAACAAATTGGAATCTCGAATTCGAGAAATGGGCCCCAACTGTGAAGAAGATTACTTACAAAGGTACTCCAAATCAAAGAAAATCTTTGCAACATGATATCAAAACTGGCAATTTCCAAATTCTCCTCACAACTTTTGAGTACGTCATCAAAGACAAAGGGCTTTTAGGAAGGGTAAAATGGGTACATATGATTATTGACGAAGGTCACCGTATGAAGAATTCAAACTCGAAACTATCAGAAACTTTGACCACAAATTATCACAGTGATTACCGTTTAATCTTGACGGGTACACCATTGCAAAATAATTTGCCGGAATTGTGGGCATTGCTAAATTTTGTCTTACCCAAGATTTTCAACTCAGTCAAATCGTTTGACGAATGGTTCAACACTCCTTTCGCTAATACCGGTGGTCAGGATAAAATTGAGTTGAGTGAAGAAGAAACTTTGTTGGTGATCCGAAGATTGCACAAGGTCCTTAGGCCATTCTTGTTGAGAAGGTTAAAGAAGGATGTTGAAAAGGATTTGCCAAATAAAGTCGAAAAGGTTGTCAAATGCAAAATGTCGTCCCTCCAGTCCAAGCTTTATCAACAAATGTTGCGGTTCAACGCTTTATATGCTGGAGATCCAAATGATGAGACAGCAGTTGTTCCTATAAAGAATGCCAACAATCAAATCATGCAATTGAAAAAGATTTGTAATCACCCATTCGTTTATGAGGATGTGGAAAACTTTATTAACCCCACAGCGGAAAACAATGATCTCATTTGGAGAGTAGCCGGTAAGTTTGAATTGCTAGACAAGGTTTTACCAAAGTTCAAAGAAACCGGTCATAAGGTGTTGATTTTCTTCCAAATGACCCAAGTCATGGATATAATGGAGGACTTTCTTAGACTTCGTGGAATGAAGCATATGAGACTTGATGGTGGCACCAAGGCTGATGACCGGACGGAGCTTTTAAAGTTGTTCAATGCTCCTGACTCCGACTACTTTTGCTTTCTCTTGTCGACTAGAGCCGGTGGGCTAGGATTAAATTTACAAACAGCAGATACTGTAATTATATTTGATACAGATTGGAATCCACACCAGGATTTACAAGCTCAAGATAGGGCCCACCGTATTGGACAGAAAAATGAAGTCAGAATCTTGCGATTAATTACGGAAAATTCAGTTGAGGAGATGATTTTGGAACGTGCTCACGCCAAGTTGGAGATTGATGGTAAAGTTATTCAAGCAGGTAAGTTTGATAACAAATCTACTGCAGAAGAGCAAGAGGCAATGTTGAGGGCATTGATTGAAAAGGAAGACGAGCGTCGTACGAAAGGCATAGACGAAGAAGAGGAGGATTTAGATGACGATGAATTGAATGAAATCATCGCCAGAAACGAATCAGAGCTTGTCAAATTTAAAGAGCTTGATGAAGAGAGGTATGCCACCACCAGAGATGCCAGCTATCCTACCAGATTACTATCGGAGCAGGAGCTTCCTCCTATATACAGGAAAGATCCAGAGGAAGTCCTTAAGAAGAATGATGTTTTCACTGAAGAATATGGCCGGGGGGCAAGAGAAAGAAAGACAACAAAATATGATGATAATTTGACCGAAGAGCAATGGTTGAAACAAATCGACGGGGTTGTCTCGGACGATGATGATGGTGATGATGATGACGAAGATGATTTTGATAGTGACAGTGATGTTTTTCAAAGCGGAAGGAGTGCCAGAGGAAAAACTAAAGGAAAAGGACGTAAAAAAGGATTTGGAAAAGGTCGAGGAGGTTTAATTGATACTTTGGACAGAGATGACGACAGTACCAATGAATATGACAGTTCGAGTAAGCGCTCTGCGGACGAATCAGACAATTTTGTTGCTCAAAAGAGACAAAAACTTGGCACGCCTGAATCCGGTTCTGGTTCAGGCACAGGAAATGGAAGAGGTCGTGGTAAAATGAGAGGTAGGGGACGTGGGCGTGGAAGAGGTCGAGGATCGTTGTTGTCTCGTTCAACGCCATCGATCGACCCCTTGACTCTAGACGAGAGAGCCATGCTTCAAAATAATATTGAAACTCTTTTGGGCTTGGTAATCAACTACAAGAATGAAGAAGGAAGAGCATTGAGTGACTTGTTTTTAGTGAAGCCATCAAGAAGATATTACCCCGATTACTATGTTTTGATAAAGCACCCTATTGCACTTGACACGATAAGAAAAAGAGCCACTGGACATACATATACCAAATTGAGGGAGTTTTTGGAAGATATCCACTTGATGTTCAGCAATGCAAAAATTTATAACGAAGAAGGTTCTTTTGTTTACCAAGATGCAGCCCTCTTGGAGAAGCTATGCATCGACAAGCTCAAGGAATTGATGCCAACTGCTCAACCAGAGGAGATGCATAAACTTTTGGATTATACGGAATTTGACGAAATGTTTCTATAATTGAATACACAAAGTAATTAGAAGATGTTTACCCAACTCTAGGCGGCACTATATGCGGGGAGTTCGTCATCTATTTCTCGATTATTGACTACATCATTCAAAACAAAATTGAGTTTCTCAACAAAATCATACAAACCACCATCTTGAAAGTAGATCTCTCCTTTGAAATATTCGTTCTTGGGGAACCCGTCACTCACTATGCTTGGTTCCTTTGCGCTATAGAACATAAATTCCCAATAATTTACTCCAAGCCAAGGAGCTTTCAATTTGTGGCTCAATTGTAAGACCGGTGCCAATGTCAAGTCCAACACAAAAGACTCAACATCACCCAGCTGGGCAGTGATGAATATCAATCTTTTGGTTGTAAGGTATAAATACCCATCCTGCGCTTTTATCTTTAGTCTCGATGATGAATTGTTGTTGGTCAGTGAAATTGATAGATTCTGCCTTGATGTGGGTGATTTGTATTTTAGAACCTCCAACCCATCGCTGCTGACTTCAAATGGTAATTCGTTAGAAGAGAAGTACTGAGCATAATTTTGTTTTAATACGACTCCATTAATTGACATGGCAGTGAGTTGGCAAGATAATAACACTTTGTCGATTTTGTGTGAAATGATGATCTTTTTCTTTTCTTCTTTTATTTTGAGATACGCCTCTACACACCTTGAGCCAAGCAGATAAATTCACATGAGTCAAGTAGCCAGCTTAAGGTCATACAATCCTGTCTTGAAAAGATTTTTTGATAAGCTTCCTCGATTTAGTTATGGGAAATCTCAATTGAAAAACCCCGAGTCATGCCAGTTAGTTCTTGATAAATTAAACATCAAATCTCAATATAATTCATCCAAATTAGACATCATCGATGCTACTCCGGGATTTGGGTTATTCTCTACCATGCTTAACCAAGAGCTTAGACCAAGGAACCATATTTTGATAGACAGGAATGATGAGACGGTGAAAAGCTGGCACAAAAAGATACAGTCTCTTGAACATAGTACTGGAAACATTGAAAATTTTAAAATCATTGATCGTGATCCGTTTGCGTGGGGAACGTATCTGAGGCTATACGAAAAGGACATACTACCCCCCACAAACTATAAGCCGTACGATAAATTGCACGATGAATTGTTAGTGTTGGCTAATTGGACAGGAACTAAAGATGAGTCGACTATTGCTCAATGGATAAAATGCTGCAGTCACCGCAATTGGCTAATGAAATATGGAAAAGTGAGAATGATTCTTTTTATTCCATCTGCGACAGCAATGAAGTTTTTGAGTGAACCAGGGTTCAAAAAGAGAAACAGAACAGCATTGAAAAGAGATTTATATACGGATTCGAGACTAATTGCGATTGGCGAAGAACTGGAGGTTATTGGTCAGGGGTATGATCCACGCGTATTGGTGCGCGACCAGCCAGTCGTTATTGAAAAGTCGTCATTTATTAGAAATTCCGAGGTTGCAATTGTTGAACTACTCCCAGGGAGGTACACTAGTGATGCTATTTCAAGCATTGAGCATCTTTTACTGGCCTTCTTTGTGACTAACTATACGTTGAGAGAGCAGTTGCCCAAACTTGCGGCGGGAGCAGAGTATTTACGGAAACTACTTCCCGATGAGGTGCTAGACAAGAAAGCATTCGAGTTTTCCACTGGAGATATAATAGCTATTGCCGACGCCTATGAGAAGTGGCCATTTAAACCTACAATTGAGGAGACATTTGATGTCGGAGAGGAGGAGCTGCATTGATTATCACTGAGTGTTCAGATTGGTTTCATTAATAAACACCTGTAAATACTATTTGTGGATGGTTCTCCACTATTGCCACTTTGTCGAACTTCTGATTGGGGCAGTGAGGCATCGCGTTGCATTTGTGTCCTGATTGTATCTTTGCTTTACAAAGTCGCTTTCTGTAGGAAAGGTTCTAGTGACTGTTTTTCCAGTTAGCCCTTCGTTGGTTGGAGGAGAATCGTTGGGTTTGCAGTGAACTGGACCTTTTTGCGCTTCATCAGCCGAGTAGTTTGACGACAGGGTGCTATAAACAACTTCCGACTTATTCATTATGACTCGATGACTTTGATAGAAAACGAGATTGAAAACCAAGATGGACACCAATTCGGTGATAAGAAAGATCAATTGGAAATTTTTGTGGGGATTTAGCTGGAGCCAACTGATAAGTATCCCCACACATGATGCCAAATTGATCAAGTTTAAGATATAAAGCGTACTCAATTTTGCAAAGTGTCGAGATAAGGATTTCAGCGTGTGGTACAATCCGGCATACACTACCATTAAGCACAATGACGCGATGAAAATAATCAGTCTGAATATGGCCAAGATCGTGTACGCGATTGTTATCTTTCTCTCCCAACTCAATGCCAACGTGTTTCCATATAACCTTTGCAAATGCGCCCCCAATACTTCAGACATGGCTTGTCGAACTTGCCCCAAATGAAATAAAATTGGTTCGTGTGGTAGATTTGCCTTGATAATGGTTTCAGTGGTGAGCTTACTCGAATCTTTGAAGAATTCTGATTGATAAAACCCTTCTTTCAAAACCAAGAAGATTTCACGTCCATTTATGTGTAGCAAAACTTCAACGATCACTGTAGTGTAATCAATATTTTCGAAGTATAACTCTTCATTTCTCAAGTACATGCCCACCAAAATATCTTCAAAGTTACTTTCCCTTCCTGAGGTCCCTGAACTCATCTTGGTTCCGGAAAGGACTCGAACGAGGTCAACTCTACCAAAATTGTAACGAATACTGATGCAAAAGTTCACAATATTGATCAACACCAACCATAGGAATACGTTTCTCAAAACATATACATTTCTCTTGGAAACATTTGGACTATCATATTGAGTAAAAAAGTAGTGTGAACTTTGTTTAAAGAAAGAAGACGGAAAGTCCTTAGTGGCGAACTTCATCATTGTTCTAACCTATAGTTGAAAAACCTTTGATTGATATGTTGGATTAGTAGATTTTACTTATGCTATTTTCTACACAATAAATTTTCGCAGCTAAAAATATTTAAGCAATATTAGGCAAATTCGAAAACAAGGTAACCAATTTATCACTATTAAACACACTCTCAGATGGTAACCCAAAATATGATGCATTTGGTAATGCAGACATCAAAGCAACAATTGAAGGTCCAACAAATGATGCACCGTTCAGTTGTTCATCCTCCATAACCTCTTGTTCAATGCGTCTTGACTCTTGGATACTTTTCACGGCAGAAGTGGACTCAGTGTTATCGAAACCAAACGAAACCTTGCGTTTTTTCCTTGAAAGATCGGCATAGTCAACGTGGTCATCTCGGTTTAGTTCATCTCGTTTGATGATGTTGACGACATCTAGCTTGTACCTATCAGTAAACAAGTCGACCGGATCATCATCGGGAAACAATTGCTCGTATTTTTTGGCAAAGCTACTTGTTATATCTAAGGACAAATAGTTTGCCGAAAATGATATATATCGTTTGTACAATCTTTTTAAAAACGTCTTTTGCGAATTCAATTTCTGCTCCTTCTCTTCCGTGAGAACAGGATCCAACCCAGCAAAAGTTAACTCCTCCGTGATTTGAGTAATTTCTTTCGAAATGTTCGTATCTGAGCTTTGGATAGTGCTTCTGAGTTTGTCAACGTCGTTGGTCATAATCAAATAATCCAAAAATTTGAACAAAAAATTCCCATTGGTAGGGAATGCCTTTTGCCCTATACCAAAAACTTTCAATGCGGTTTTCTTATTATCAGCATAATGTTCCAACAAAGCATTTTCGACATATATCTGGTATCCCACCGAGTCATTTTTCCTAGCTTGACGAAACACGTCTCTGGCCTCCTTCATCCCTTCCGCCCTTTTACTCGCAACCATGAACTTGATATACGTAAGTGAAATTGTATCAACCAATTGATCACGCTCTTTCTTCAATTTGAGGAATGTTTTTCTCTCAGTTCCCGAAAGTTTTGAACTTACTAAATCTGGCTTAGTCAAAGTCAGATCATCTACATCTGACACTGGTGCCAAATTGTTTGGTATTTGAGGCAAACAGGGAATATTGGGCTTGGGAGGTAGATTAGGGTTCCCATGTCCGTTCAGTTTACCATTGGTAAGAACGTGAACGACATTTGCACCACCCATTTCATTCTCATCCTCTTCATTATTCATATGGTCATCCTCCTCATTCTTGTCATTTGTTCCTGGACTGATGCGGTCATACAAGCCATTCAATTTCTCTGTCACCTTCTTATGATCTTCGGTCAAGTTTGCGATCAATTGATTGTAAATTACCTTCGCGTCGTTGAATGTATTGTCCTTTTCGTACAATTCGGCTAGCTGGAAAGAGAGAAGCAAGCTCTTAGGATTTAATTTTAGACCATCGTTTAGTATAGAAATGCACTTACTCAAATTGCTTTCTTCGTTATCGTTTAGCAAATGTTTTACATATTCAAACCAAAGTTGCGACACAAAGGGTAGAGCGTAAGTAGCTTCCTTGTAAACATAATTTATTCGTCGTTGAAGCAATGACTCATCCTTTATCTGCAACGAGTTTTTTTTCTCCAACTGTAACCAACTTGCCCAGTATTTCATTTGGGCTTCCACTAAATCATTGTCCAAACCGTGGGGTATTATAGAACGTTTCAACTTCTTCTTGGTAAGGTTTTGCCACTCCGTATTCCATGATCGCGCGGCCATAAACTCAGCAGACTTCTCAGACACAAATTTTTGAGCAGTCGCCTGATTGAGTTCGTTTTCCCATTTCGTGTATTGCGACCATAAAGGTTCAATGTTTTCTGTTGGCACAACTAAAGCCTTCTTGTAAACCTTACGTATCAAGTCGATCTTTTGCTGCTGTTCCCAATTGGCACCTGGAGTCCATGACTTGATGAAGTTGATATAATCTTGCCATAAGCTGCCACTTTGTACATCTATCCCAACTTTGTCGATGGCAAATTCAAATGCTTGGATAATAGTTGCTCTTGCCTTGTCACCACCTGTGATCATATCAGTGACACTTCGCACGTAATCAACATACAGACGACACAAGTCAACATTCTCCGTGATGGCAAAACACTTTTGGAAAAGTGCTTCTGCTTTCTCCTTCTCACCCCGGCTGAGCTCATACTTGATGTATTTATTCCATTGTGCTGCATCAAATTTAAATATATCGAGATATTTCTCATACGCCTTCCTAACTTGCTCTTGGTTGTCCTTTGCAACTACATTATCCAATAATTTAATCCACTTATTGTAGTCCAATGGGTTGATCTTTAAGTCATCTTCCAATTGTCCTATTTTATCCAATGATAAAGTTTTAGGCTTATTATTTGTAATGAAAATAGGATTACTCATCCTTGAAAGAGCTATTAAAGGGACAAGTCCGATGGAAACTGACTTTTGATAGGATTAAGATAGAAGCTATTGATGAGTGCAATGGTGAAGTTATTTCTGATGAAACTCTACAAGCTTTTTTTTTTTCCTTCTTCTGTTGAAAATTCTATTGTGCTACCAACAAAGAACTTGTTCTTTCTACAACTATGATTGAGCTACATGTATGGGGATTTGATGGAGATATCTCAATTGTGTCACCACCATGTATAGCGTCAGCGTGGATTCTCAATTTGATAGTAATGTCTCAAAATGTACCATTCAGAATTATACCATCCAACAATACACATTTATCGAAGTTGAATGAGTTGCCACTTTTATTTGATGATGGGATGCAGTACAGTGGGTACAGAAGTATTGTATCTTACTTATCAAGCAGGTATGGGAATGGAAACACAATTCCACTTTTGGAGAACGATAAATTACTTGATGATAGCTTGATATCATTCTTGGAAACCAAATTAGAGGCTCTAAACAAGTACAACCTTTTCTCAAATAGCAAAAACTATGAAAACTATACAAGAAAGTTGTTTTCGAAATTTTTCCCATTCCCAATGATGTACAACCAGGCTCTGAATTTTTATAACGAAGCCCAGCGTCAGGTACAATTGTTAGGATTGGGGGAGACTAAATCATCATTTTTGAATTTCACAAGCAGTGGTGACAATACTCAGACAGAGTATTTCAATGGTGAGCTAGATGAAGGTGCTGAAAACTCAAAGGCAATTAGCGGTCTTCACGAAAAGTCTTTGATGCAAAAATCGGAGGCGAAGAAAGCTTTGAGAGAATCCAAGAGTTCTATGAGATGCCTTATATTGGCAGAACAGTTCTTAGAGAGGCTCGAAAAGCTCAAGGCTGAGCAGAATAAAGAAGGAAAATTTACTTTTGGCGATCTACCATCAGCCGGGGATATTTTGTGCTTGGCTTACTTTTCCTCTCTAACTCACCCAAGCCTACCAGATAGATTTATCAATAATTTTTTGACAACAAATAACTCAGCTTGGTTTAGATCCTACCTGGATCGTTTACGAGATGTACAATTTGGTAGTCCTAAAGCTAGTGCATTTAGAAAACCAACTGGAAAGGAAGTACCTAGTTTATTTAATGAGGTAGGCTATTGGACCGGGCTAATTAGCTATTAACTGAGATAGCTCTAGGCTTCGGTGTATATAGTGATTGCAGGTAAGGAAATACACATTCTACTTTCAAATAACTCACATCTGTCTAATATTTATCTTTGTATATATAAGTTGTGCAATTTTCTTCTCTTCTTCTCAATCTCGGCTATAAAATTCCGTCAGTTGGTGTCTAATTTTTTTTTTTGTTTTATTTCTTCAATGGGATCAAAACAAAGAAACCTTTCTATAACTCATCTCCTGACAACAAGACATTCCCCTCAATGAAATTACCATTAGCATTAGTAAGTTTGTTTGTTGTCAATGCCTGTTCGTTGACCTTGACTCAACCAGTGGCAACACCAGAGCCTAGTCTGGCTTTTTCCACAGCTTTGTCGGAACCTACTCAACATCTATTCAAAAGACAGAAGGAAGTGATAATCAACAAGGACCATGCAAAACATCAGGCTCAAAAAACATCGTCATCATCTTCAATCAAACCTCCCGATCCTTGGTACCGTACAGTTGATGGTCAAGTTGAGATCGTTAGACCAACTGTGATTGCAGGAGTTACGATTAGTGCTAAGCCGCCAAAGACAACTGACCCATTACAAGAGTGGGTCAGCTTGGATAAAACGGGTAAACCAAAAACAATTAGACCGGAGATAAAGAATGGAAGAACTAAAAAAGGGCGTCCCGATTATAGTACTTACTTTCAGAGTGCTACTACCGTGACTTACAACAAAGAACAATTGAAGGCACATAATATGGCCGAGGACGAAGTGTTTGAGGAAGTAATACAAATCGAGGAATCGGACTTGGAAGACCATTTGTTGAATCCCATAATACGGTGCACCCCAGACAGGTACAAAAAGAAAGGTATTGCTAAGGATGTATTAACTGAACCATTTTGCACTCCAGAAGATGACGTTAGATTAATATTGGACAAGACTCATTTTATAACGTGGTATTCACGTTATTTTGCTCCAGAGGTGAAAAAGGTTAGAATTCATTTGTCCAATGTGAAAGAGAGCGCCAAACAAAAAGGTTTCAAAAAGAGGGATCTTGACGATCTCAATGAAGCAGATGACATTGATTATACACCATTCGACAAAAGGTCAAAGGTCCTTGAACATGGAGGTAAAGTCAAAGAAGGCTTTTTTGTATCTGAATGGGTGAGCAATGAAGACGGATTTTATCCATTAACCATTATTCAAGATTGGTTCCCCAAAAATGTATATGAGAAAAAGGTTCTTATTTCTTTACAACCTGACAACGTTCCCGATGACGAGTTTAATGTATTGACAGACTCGATAGTGGTGGAGTTTTGGAAAGGTGCAAAAGTTGGTAAAGGTGAATTTGCTGATTTGCAACGACAGGAGGAGAAGCATGTGAACAAGTACTTGACTGGTGACAATATTGAAGAAGGTATCGATTACGAGGAGTATATAGTGATGATGACTTTGCCAACTTGTGTTGTGATTGCAGCATTCGGTATGTGGCTTTTCGTTAGAATCAATCGTTTTGATCTAAGTCATTTGAAAAAGAAAAAGTTTGCCAGAGAGAAGACAACTCACAGAATGATTCCATTTGTTTCTAAAAAGAAGAGGAACTATGAAAGCTTGCCACTCAGCAATATGGATATAGGTGGATCGAAACGAGATTAAGTCGTATATAGGATAAAGTTTTTAAAAAGACTGTGCAACTTTAAGCCATGTCGTAGAGTGTAGTAGTTGCTTTATTTCAAATGTCACAAATATTAGTAACCACCAAGGTTTGGTAGGTGGTGCGTCCTGCAATGCCAACAACACGAACTTGTGATTGTTTCTTTTCTTGAATTGATTCAGGATCGACATCACTGACAGATCAACTCCGCCTTTCTTTCCAATCAAAGTATAACTTACTTATTGCAGTAAGAGTTTGTTGAAAAAGCATCGCTGAAACTCCGTTGATTAGATTTCGGAAAAATTACAAAAAAACCGTAATCTGAGCAAAGTTTGTTCTGACTGCTCCACTATTTCATACGCAACATGATGCAGAGCTTACCAGAGTTATCTCAAGGATGGATATTAACCATCATTTCATCGTCGCTATGCGTTCTAGGGACTTTGATCATCTACTTTGATAACATATACTATTTAATATTTCCCAAGTTCATTACATCGAAATACAAATTCAAATTGAAAGAAAACTACGCCTTCCTTAATGGTTCATTGGCACTAAGTTCAGGCTGTTTGATTATTACTGCACTATACAGGCTCTTACCAGAGGCTTCGAATTACTTGTCTATGGTGAATGAAGAATCGAACAAAGTGCACTTCACCAAAAGATGGCAACAAATCTACTTGATGGGTAGCTATTTTGTTGGCATTTTGATTTGCACAAGCTTTAATTTTACTTTACATTTATTGACCAGTGAAAGTGTGGTGCATTGTAATCATGGAAGTACCGTCAAAGAAGATGATCGCGGTATGCAAGAAGTTGACCACCATAATCATTCACACAATCATCAGCATTCGCATGGCGGTCATGACCCTAACGCCAGTCCATCAAAATCCAGTACAGCCAGTAATGAGAATGAAATCAGAGACTACATAGTGGAGCAGGCCCCTATCGAAGTTGAGGTTCAAGAGCACGAAAACGAGACAACGCCACTCATACGCGCAACTTTGAAACCAAGAAAGTCCATCATACAACTTTTCTTGAATGATGAAGCAGCCGGAGAATGTAAAGGGTACACGTCTGCCGAACTTTGTACATACCATCACCATGAACATGGAGTTGACAAGTTACACTTTTGTGAGATTCCTCAATTGACAAATCATCACCATCATCATGATGAGAATGACGAAGCAGAGCACGTGGATGATTGTTGTGAAGCAGCTCATGATGAGCCCACATTCCATCTGAATCAACTGCACCATCTGCATGAAGTCGATCACCACCACCATGTCAATTCACCACTCTCTCGGTTGTTTTTGATTGGGATTGAAACAACCTTGGCAATAACTCTACACAAACTACCAGAAGGGTTCATTACGTTTGTTACTTCAGAGACAAATCCTAAATTAGGATTTTCAATATTCATCAGTTTAATATTACACAACTTTACGGAAGGGTTTTCAATGTGTCTTCCATTATACTATGCCATGTCAACATCGAAACATGCAAAGGTAAAAGCAGTTTCAATCAGTGCTGTATTAGGTGGGATCTCACAACCTTTGGGAGCACTTTTGGGGTACTTGTTTCTCAAGGTCAACTCCAACAAGTATGATGTGCATTCCTTAAGATTGATATTTGGAGTCACCATGGCTGTTACCAGTGGGTTTTTAACCATTGTCGCATTGACAATGTTTGGAAGTGCTGTATCTTTTGGAGGGAACATGAACTTTGTCATATCATGGTGCACCGTTGGTATAATGTTGATTGGATTGTCTAGTATATTCTCTAGTTAGTAAGAAATGTATATAGTAGTCCTATCTATATGTCGCTACCAATTACGATCTGTCCATTTTGCACGACTTTTAATGTGTCACTTGTGGGAAAAGGAGAACAAGCAAAAAGAAATAAAAAGAAATTGTGTCCATTTTTAGGTTTTTGTTCTTCTCAAAGATTACTACATTGACTCAGATAACAGATAGACTTGATTTACCAGATACCGGTCAGAGTATAACGTGTGTAACCAAAAGCACCACGTATTTATTACCAAGTTTATGATATAACAACAAGACAAAGGATATACTAGAAAACAATTTATTTACAATGATGGCACACGAAATATCCACTCCCGTTCAAATACATGGGAACGAAAATAGTCCTTCATTTCAAAACACTTTGAAGAAACCTTCACGCTCGAACAAAGCAAATCAAAACGCAGGACGGGGTGATGAGATAAGATTGCTTCCTAGTGGGGCTCCTGTTGATTTTGGACATGGTTCAGCCAAGAATAAAACCAGTAGTCCCAAGAAGCTCAAAGAACCTATAAGATTATCATCATTACCCTCTTTGCCAAACGGAGAGAAACCGCAGTTTCACAATGAAAAGAGTGATTCAAGAAGAAGAAAGGAGAGTGAACAACCACCACCAAACAAATCGCTGACAAAATCTAAAAAATCTCAAAGGGATAAACCTGTGGTGGACATTTCCTTACCTAATGGTGAAAAGCCCAACTTCAACAACAACCCGAGATCCAAAAAGAGTGGTAACAAGAAAGAAAAGGAACCAGTTGCGGTAGTTTTGAAAGAAGATTCGTCAACGTATGCTGGTTCATCATTTCATTCTTCACCAGCTGCTTTGAATTTACCTAAACCAAAATTCAAGCCTTCGCCCAAACAAACGGTGTCGAAGGATGAAACTGATTCGATTTTACTGAAACGGGTTGAATCGACGTCGTCGCCCTTTTCAACGAGCGTGGCAGCAAGCCCTACTGATATCCCTGTTGCTCAAAGTCCACCAATTCAAGCAACAACAGTATCAGGTCCAGCACAAGTATATTCCAATCAAAGTAGTCAACCAATTCATTCTAGCCCTTTTGCCCCCCAGCAGCAACCAGTGTATGCTGCTCAAGCAGGTCAACCAGCTTTTTCCCATTTTGTTCCGCAACCAGTTCCACCACCTCCTTTACCACCAAACCAGCTTTATCATCCATATATTGGACATGTTCCTCAAATGCATTACCCTCAGCCATTGCATGCACAACCAACTCAACAAGGTCAAAAAATTACGTTTAACCAGTTATTGAGCTCTTCGAAATGAGGACGAGTGTGATTTGACACATTATGATGCGGATTATACTTTCTATCTGCCAAGAGACAATTATTTAACTAGCCAACTTTCGCTTTTTGTTGATGTATTTTATGCTTGATGCATACCTTGATTCTTTCATGTATTCAATTCTTGATGCTTCCCAGGTGTGTTTTCAAGCCCTTTCTTTATTGAGCAGGCAACAATTTGTCGTTGCATGTGTTTTTGTTTTGCATTTTGATTATACTGAATGGTGTTTCAAAGAAGCTGTTTATGTTGTTCACAAAGTAGAGTACAAAGTATGTATTTTTTTTTTAGGAATGAATGACGATTGGATCTGAAAGAAGTGGACCAAACCTTACGTAGAAGCTATCGGTTCTAGAACAGGCACAACTTTCTCCAAGAGCTATAGCTATAAAAGATCGGGTTTTGTCGCACTTTTATACGGTGTTAGATTCGGATTTATAATGAAGTGCTGTCATAAGTTGCATTTGTAGTGCTGTATACAACGCTAATTCGACAAATCTTCAAAACGAAGCCAATCGGCTATCCGTGTTCACATCCATTGTTCTTGTAAATCTTTTTGAGTTAACTTGTGGTAACCACTATAGTTTGTATCATTGTATTATAGTTTAGTATTGTATAGTCTTTTAATTAAATTAGTTTTGTTTTGTAATTCACACGACCTCTACCATTTTACAGCCTCACACACAAAATAAATTTTATTCCGTAATTTTTAAGCATCCTAAATGCATACACAAAATAATCATCCAGAAGAAGAAGAAGAAGAAGAAGCATTATCATCAATACACTTTTCAAATTCTTTCATCGAACAAATATTATGCAATATTAAAGATCTTCACATACATCTTGACTCAACTTTTTTACTTTAACTTAAGCAAATTTCGATCCCATAACATCAGCTCACTCCACAACACACGTCCCCCTTTTTTCATCTTACACCTTTCACGATTACAAATCAAATAAAAATTTTGGAATCATGAATAACAAAGAAGTTAGAATCAGTGCATTGTTAGTGTTGGACACCATTTTCTTCCTTTTGGAAGCCATCATTGGTTACACCGTTCAGTCCTTAGCATTGATTGCTGATTCATTCCATATGTTGAATGATATCATATCATTAATCATTGCCCTTTGGGCCGTGCGTGTGAAAAAATTAAAACCTGCTGATGGGAAGTACACTTATGGTTGGCAAAGAGCAGAAATCTTGGGTGCTTTAATCAATGCTGTTTTCTTGATTGCCTTGTGTTTTACTATTATCATGGATGCTATTCAACGGTTTTTCAAACCAACGGAAATCTCCAATCCTCAGTTGATTTTGGTGGTTGGTGTAGCCGGGTTATTGAGTAATGGTATTGGGTTGGTATTGTTTCATGAACACGGTCATTCACACTCTCATGGTGGTGGCGGTGGCGACGGTGCATCTGCTGGACATTCACATTCACATGCCGATGGTGGTGCAGCATCAGGGCATGTTTCCAATGGTGAAATCGAGTCGAGAATCGGGTTAGATGAGAGAACTCCGTTGATTGATTCCACCGTACGCTCTTCTCCATCTGAGGTGTTTGATTATTTCCCTGACAATGTTGTTGAGAGGTACAATTCGGAAACTCCAGCAGTGAAAACAAATGAAGATGAACATGGTCATGCAAATGAAGATACAACCAAAAAGAGTATCGAGACAAGGAAGAAAAAATCAATGAATATGGAAGGGGTCTTTTTGCACGTGTTGGGTGATGCATTGGGAAATGTTGGTGTTATTATCACGGCTTTAATTATTTGGAAAACTGATTATTGGTGGAAGTACTACTCAGATCCGGTTACATCATTGGTCATCACTTTGATCATTTTCAATAGTGCATTACCGTTGTGTCGTAAATCATCCAAGATTTTATTACAAGCTACACCACCATATATTGATTCTGAACAGATTGTACAAGATATTTTGAAGTTGCCATTGGTTAACAGTGTCCATGATTTCCATGTGTGGAATTTGAATGAAGATATCTTGATTGCTTCACTACATATTGAATTGACTCCGAAATGTGAAGTAACTGTGCCACCACCAGCAACGACACTGGATCAATCTGCATCCAACACAGTTGCTACTAATGATTATTCAAATACACAGATTGACAGAAACTTGTTTTTAACAGTTGTGTCTCAAGTACGTGACACTTTACACAAGTATGGCATTCATTCAGTCACCATCCAACCGGAATTTCCTAGTTTGAAGGGCAAGTCAGTCAAATCAAATAATATAGTGGGGAAAGATGATTCAAATGCATTTGGCAACACATCAAAACAAAACTGTTTAGTTGATGGATTCACCAATTGTGATACTCAAACATGTCATTAAAGAGAAGATGAAGTTGTAAGGGAAAGTCATGGCTAGGGTGTGTATAGTAGAAATAGAGCTTGTTTTTTGAGAGGTGCGGATTTTAGTTGGACAACCGTTATCAATACACAGACTATAATATGATTACAAAAAAACATCATTGTATAGAGTTTATTTTTTCTAATCTACCTACGACTGATTATTCGATAAAGTCCATTTTTGGAATGTTGTTTTTCCATCGATTGTCCTTGAGTGAGTTGACTTTGTAGTGGAGTTTCATTACCTTTCCTTTTCAGTAAACTCCATTTCCTTCTTGATGAAGAAGAAGAAGATGTTTTAGAAAATGATCGTTTGAGCTTAGCATACTTGCTCTCTTCAATGGGTGTTTTGTAACATCTAAATGAGTTCAAATAGTCATAGGTATCATCAGTTATGGATTCCAAAGATACCGAACGTGCGAGAGAAAGCTCTTTGTCGTCCTGTTTGATTAAATGATTGGTTTTTTTCTCTGGTGCAGATGGTTGTGGATTGTGTATCTTGTTGATGTCAGTTTCCAGTAGATGATCAAATGGTTCATTATTGAAACTTTGAGTGTGATGTAGGGACATTTGGGATGATTTGTCTGATGGTAACGTAGATGTGGTTGATAATCTCGTTGATGATCTCGCTGACGACGACGACGACCTAGTTGATGGTTTAACAGGTTGTGCCAAATGAGAATATGGACTTGTAACATTTGCCATGTCGGATATAGTTGGACCTGGGTAGCTTTCACCTACCAATGTTCTTTTCCCCGCATGGTCTCGGTTGTTTGATATTGCAGAGTCATTAGGAAACGCCACGGTAGACTCTTTACTATGATATGCCAAAAAACTCAATACTTGAGATAAAAACTTGTTAAAGATAAATTGTTCTTCACCTTGAAACTTGCTAGCATCAGTTATACTCAATTTATCAACCATGGACTCTATAAGACATTCGCCCCAAAGTTGATATTTTGCAAAAGACATGTCGTATAAACGGACATTTCGATTCAGAAAATTTGTAATCATTGATTGACCAGGTTGGATCATATTGAATTCTAAATGGTTAATCATAATGGTTATGAATTGAAGTAATGGTTCTAATTGATAATCATTGATGATTGCACTAATCTCAGAATCGGATATTGAAGATGGAGTAGTAGTGGCATGGTGGCTGTTGAATAAATCATTGTCGAGAATATGGGTTCCAGTAATGAAGTTGGGCAAATCCAGCAGGTCCTTTGTGGCGGATTTGTGGTATATTTTCGTGGCTAGGTTTTGTTCAAATTCACGCAAGTTGAAATCATTGTTGATCACTTTGGGGCCTCCATTTTGTCCGGTGGTGTTTAAGTTGTGATAATTGGTGAATAAGTTTAAAGCAAGCCAAGCTTGTTTGATTATGGAGATTTCGTATTGGGAAATGTCAATCATTGGAGGTGACATAGCCGATGCTTGAGGGTGGGTATTGTGTAGTAACTGAATGTGGTGTGGTTTTCAAAGACGAAGAAAGATACAGGTATAAATAAGCAGTCTGAGGAAAGCTTGTTGTTCAATCTATGGTGCATTAGCTCGTCAAGTGCAAAGTTAAAATATCTCCTTTCTATTGTCCCGCCCCCCTTTTGTTGTGGTTACATTGTTAGTAATTATACATCACAAAGTAATAGGTTTCTATAGTGCAATATGCAAAGGGTGCAAAAACAAAGTTTGATTTTTTGTAATTGTTGATTTTTTCTAGAATTGGGTAGGATGTCAAGTTTGTGTAATAATTGGACATATTTTTCTTTCTTGAGCCAGGATGTAAGCCTGGGGGTGCCCAGTCTTAAGACATAATTGACGTTGTGTCAACTAGTTTCCAGTGTGGGTTGTAGGTCATTGACTGATGAGTAAATCTCCCAATCCTGGTGATGAAGAGGTCTTGAGCTGTTTCTTGGAACTTCACAGAGCACGCGTTCATATTGTAGATTTGAATGCATAACGGGGTAAGAATAAAAATTGTGTGTCTTTTGATGTGGCGAGAAAACAATAACCATAAGGAAATGGTGGCAATAAAGGCGAGACTTTCTTATTGTCTCAAACAATACAAGCGTGTGTTTCAAACTTTAATGAATTGCATAATAATATACATTGTCTTTATTGCTCGTCGTCTAACCCTTTACGCTTTGTTCATCGGGAACAACAAAGTATCCGAAGATGACAAGAGATGTTTATCCGCAATCGTGAACCAATTCCATTTGAGTTTAATTACTGATTGTCAACGTGTTACCAAAAAGAAACAAAAAATGTGTAATTGTGCGCTCTATTGTAGATTTAAGGGGGTATGTGCGTAAATTACAAAAATGGTAATGAGATCTTTACTAGTAGTCAAACGTTTGATGAGCTCAGATTACAGTCTTATACAAAGAAAGACTAACGTTTCCATAGCGCGATGTACAGTTAATTTAACTGAATTGGGTTAAAATTAGTTGCAATTTGAATTCAGATAGACTTTCAAAAAAAACACAAACTAATCATTCTACTAGTATCTTGCTAGATTTCAATATTACATCTGTAATTGCAAATTTTCTTGAACGGTGAAGTGGTGGAGTACTATTAAAAGGTTTATAGTTTGAAAGAGATGCGTTTGCTTAGATGGGGACCCCCCCCCCCCCCCCCCTCCCCTCCCAACTATAACTTATTGTTGAGAAAAACGGAGGCGTCAGTACTATCCCAAGGTTGTTGACATTATCATTGACTAGAGGTTTCCTAGTCAGTATATCATTGTCGCGACATAATTTTTGGTGACACTGAAAAGAGACAAAAGTTTCTAAAAAAGATCCATTACAAAAACCTCAATACCTCAATTATTGCAGAGTCGTTACCACACACCCACACTAGACGTACTATCAAAAATGAGGCTTAAAGTAGCATTAGTACAAATTGATTCCCTATTAGGTCATCCACAACACAACATTTCCAAAATCAATCACCTTTTGTCAACAATCAAGGGCAAATTTCCTGATTTGGTGGTACTTTCGGAATTGGCAATAACTGGGTACAATTTCCCCCTGAGTAAAGCCATTAGACCATTTTTGGAATCGCCTAGTCGATATGGTGCATCTCTTAATTTTGCTCATGAGTTGAGTTTAAAACATCAATGTTTTACAGTTGTGGGGTACCCTGAAATAGCACACGGAAAAGATGAAGGAACAGGTTCAGGTGGTGAAGGGGCAGAAGATGTGGTGATTTATAATTCGTGTGCTGTTTTTGATCAAGGTGGTGAGTTAGTTTACAATTATCGCAAGACGTTTTTATATGAAACTGATGAAAAATGGGGATGTTTAGAGAATCCTCAACGTGGGTTTGTACCAGTACAGTTGCAATTCAAACCAAGAGTAAACCCAGAAGAGGGCAACACCAATGGAATTAATAATGCGAGGAGCAGTTCCATATTGACTAATTTCGGTATATGTATGGATCTAAACCCGTATAAGTTTGAAGCACCATTCAATAAATTTGAATTTAGTGCACAATGTTATCATAACAAGTCCAAGTTGATTGTATGTCCCATGGCGTGGTTATCATCACAATCACCATCAATCAAGACTGAATTAACTCAGGAGGAGAAGTTGCAACAAGCTAAACAAGTGCAATTACCACTGGAACCATGTAATGATACGATCAATTATTGGATATTGAGATTTTTCCCATTTTTGAAACATAAATATAGTTTCATGCCTAAATGGTGGCATGGTGGGGGATCTTCTTCTACTACGACTACTAGTACTACTACTAGTACTACTACTAATAATAATAATGAGGGAGTTAATGTATTGATTTGTAATCGAGTGGGGAAAGAAGATGATGTGGTTTACGGTGGTAGTTCATGTATTTTGCAGTTTGGCAATGATGAAGGAAGGAGAAGTGATGGTTGTAATGCTGGTAGTGCTGGTAGTGCTGGTAGTGCTGGTGGCGCTGATGGTGATTATGATGCAATAGATGAATCGAACCCCAGTGTTGATGTTATTGGTAGATTGTCACAAAGTGAAGAAGGAATATTGGTGAAGGAGATTGATGTTTAGACAAAGAGGAGGAGGAACACGTTGTAGATTAGAGTAGAGCCTTGTGTATATGGTGTTTGCATTTTGAACCTAGAATGTGATATTATAGAAGTTTTGAAAAAGGCTTTGATACAAAAGGAGGTGTGATACGAGCACAGAGATGTTAAGGTTTAGGTTTCTGTTTTTAGGGGGAGATTTACGCGTTTCGAAATGTTGGTAATCTAATCACAAAATCATGAAAACTTTAAAAAATCTTTGTGCCAACACAAGAGGGAGAGGGAAAGAGAGAGGGAAAGGGAGAGAGAGAAAGAAAGAGAAAAAGTATGTGTATTTATGTGTTGGAGTTGTGTTTCAAATATGCTTTCTGTGGAGTATTCCGATTGAGAAAGTCGTAATTGGGTTGAGAGAAAGAAAGGGTGGAGTATATAGATACGTGTTTTTGTGTGTATGCTTGTGGGAGTCGTGTGACTGACTTCTTTTGATCTTGAATGTTTTTCGTATTCTCTTATTCGTGTGTGTTTGTGTAAGCTAGTGGTGGTAATGGTAGAGAAGGACAGATATTCGGCGTATACGTTTGATGAGATATTTGATCTTTTGTGTTTGTATTGATATGTATATATTGGTGAAGAATATGGGGTGGGGGGTGGGGGGGGGGGATCTAATCTAAATGGTCTTTTTTTGTTTCTTGAAGATTATAATTATTGTCTTCTGTCTTTTTTGGGTAAAGAAACACGACTCAAACGCAGTAGAAGAAACATAAAATAAAATAAAATAAAATAAAATAAAATAAAATAGATTAGAATAAAAATTAATACAATGTTTTCTTTTTCTTGGCAATAATATTAGAGAAGAGAGTAAAGTAAAAATATTGTGTAAAAGAATAAAAGAACAATGGAATGTTTATAGTTAGTAGTAGGAATTTAGTAGTAATCCAAATAGAAGAAGAAGAAGAAGAAGTAGAGGTAAGTGTTGGTGGAGTTGTAAGTACTTTAAATAATAGAGAAAGAGAAAGATAGTATAGCTCCAGTAAAGTGTAAGCTACGTCATAAATTAAGTACATTAATATACAGTTAAGGTTATTTAGGTTTCCGGAAAAAAAATAAGGTGTATGTGTATATGTGTATATGTGTATATGTGTGTTGTAATTTTGTGTGTGTTAGTGTGTATGTGTGTGTTAGTGTGTGTGTGTGTGGAAGAAGACAAGGGGAAGAAGAATAGTGGTCGTGTGAGTCTAAAATCATTCAATAAAGGTAGTGTGACCTGTTACTAATAGCTAAGTGTTATTTAAATTTCTTTTTTCTTTTTTTTTTTTTCTTGTTGCTGTGTTACTATAATAGTAGTTGTGGTGGTGGGTATTTGTGTTATATATTTATGTATACATACATACATACATACATACATCCATAATAATAATGCTACTACTATACTACTATACTACTGCTACTATTATAATTATTATTATTACTGAAGGATGATGAATGAAGAAAAAACTTCTATGGGCTTTATATATATATATGTGTGTATATGTGTGTATGTGTGTATGTGTGTTTATATATAAATACTTTTATTTATCCTCCCTATTTCCGTATATAATAAACACACACATACAATCAAAGTATATTATACTGGCTTTGATAATTAAGATACAACCACATTTGTACAATACACCACTACTACTACTGACACATTTTCAACATTAAATACCCAAACCAAACCACTTGACAAAACAAATCAAACCAATTGTATAACAAACAAATAACAAATTTGATGATTCAACATATTCAGCACACCATTTGAGTATACCTTTTTTTACACCTATATCCATAGAATACAAATTGCATTACAACATTAGTCTACCATGTTGTCAAAATTCCATCCTCGTCGAATAGTTGTTAAACTACTTTTATTACTAACCATTGCATATACCATTCTTGTATCATTGAAACTGATTATAACTAAACCAAGTTTACAACAATATCGTAAACTACTTAATCAACAATTTACTCATAAATATAATCAAATTTATTACAATTTTCTTGCATCTAATTACGATTTAGCTAATGACACCAAATTCAATAAACAATTGAGTATAATACGACAAGATGCTGTTGAAGAAGATAGAGGGGGTAATGAACTTTGGATGTTGAATGAAGAAATTACAAACAATTTACCATTAACTGTTGCCATACCATCGTATTTCACATCACAACAGCAACAACCACTACTGCTGGAACTAAATGATGGTGGTGCTTCTTCTCCACCGCTTGTTCACAAGTTTGATCCTAGATTCACATTTGGCGCTTATTATCAATATATCGCAAGAACATCACCACCATCTACAGACTCATCATCTGACTTGGTTGTACCATTTCATTGGTCAGATTGGGTTGATTTATCCATACTCGATAAATATATCAACACTTACCCCAAGACTGACTTGTGTACAACATTATTTGATATATCAACTAAAGAAGATCTCATCAAAGGCTCAAAACTTCGTAAAGTTGAAGAATATTGTCAGTTTAATCCAGTTGATGAAACAGCATCACAAACTTTTCCTTCTTTGGGATTCAAAATCACTGACCAACCAGGTCCACAATCCATACCTAATCGTGAACTCATTGGTCGTGCATACTTGTTTGATACAGCACCTTCACCCAAGAAGTTGATTTTCTTGACTAATAATGGATCATATCAAGTTGATGTACACAATCCACTGGAAAATAATTTCAACAATTCATTACTTCGTAATGGTATGATTGATACTTTACCAGTAGATAGTTTTAACGTAGTGGAGGATTACAAGTATTTACAATCGCACAAGCCAGAAACTTTTCAACAACAACAACAACAACAACAACAACAACGTGTGTCAGGTTCATCACGTCATGAATTACCCATCCCACAATCGGATTTCCATAATGATCCAGAATCAGCAATCAATGCAATGAAACGTAGACAACAGGAAACAAAGTTGTCGTTAATGGAGCAAGACTATCTCGATTCAATTATATTCAGTCACAATTGTAACAATCCACCAAAGTATTTTTATGAAGCTAAACTTCTTAAATCGATTCCAGATGATTGGCAAGGTGAACATTATGATTGGCGTTTTTTCCAAGGTATCACATTAGATTCACCAGAGAATGCCATCATTTTACATCGTTTAATCAAGAATTATCTCAATTTTGCTCGTATTCATGGAATCACCACTTGGATAGCTCATGGTTCCTTACTCGCTTGGTACTGGAATGGGATTGCTTTCCCATGGGATGGTGATATCGATGTACAAGTGCCCGTTTCTGAATTGTACAAGTTGGGTCAATATTTTAATCAAACTATGGTTATTGAAAATGGGGTAGACTCTGTTGGTAAATTTGATGGCTTTGGTCGTTATTTTGTTGATATTGGGTCCTCTATAACGCATCGTGTAAGAGGTAATGGAAACAATGCCATTGATGGTAGATTTATTGATGTTGATACTGGATTATACATTGATATTACTGGATTAGCATTAACTGACGCTCCATCACCAGACAGGTACGATTTGATTGTTCCCTTGTTGGATAAAGAACAACAAATTGTTTTAAACAATGCCAAAACCGTGGATAGCGAAGGCTCATTGAAAAAGAATTATTCCGTGATTAATCGTGAATTACAATTGTACAATTGTCGAAATCAACATTTCACCTCGTATCAAGAATTATCACCATTAATTACATCAATTTCGGAAAACCAAATTGCATACATCCCCAAAAACTTTATGATGATTTTAAATGATGAATACAATCTCAATGCACTATCAAGAAAACAGCATCGTAAATATACCTATTTGAACAATTTACGAATTTGGTTCACCACTAAAATCATAAAGCAATATGCTCACATGGCCAATGTTGATTCTGAAGGATACGATTTCAAATCTTGGAAACAATTGAATTCATTGACAAAGGAGGATCATTTACAATTGTTGGCTCAAAATGTAAACTTGTTGCAAGAATGGGAATTGACAAAGAATTTCACCCATTTGCATCAATGTGAAATGGAATTGATATATGATGGGAAAGTTGATAAAGCTGGTGAATTGATTAAAGAGAATGTTGCCAAAGGTGATGGTGTGGGAAAAGCTTTGAGAGCTGATTACTTTATGCATAAATTGATCATGAGTGGTGCGGGAACACAATAGATTGTTAATACTGTACAATTAATATATTAATAAAAGTTTTACTAATCTTGAAATACGGGGAATGTAGAGGATATGGGTAATTATCAAATGTATAAGCAACTCTATAACCACATGTATAAATAATTGAAAAAAACTCTAGCAAAAACTGCATCAACTGCATCAACTGCATCAACTGCATCAGCTACAACTTTGCATCAACTCCAGATTTCAACTTGCCCTTATTATCAACCTTATCATGCAATTGCCGCGACTTATCAGCCACATCCTTGGGTACAAACCCATACATTTCTTGCACAACAGTAGCAATCAATTTGCCATCATTTGCCAAAGTGTAGAAATTTACAATTGCCAACACTCGATTATTGCCCATTGATACAAATTGCGTTTCTAAATAAAGCCAATTGTTGTCACTGTTGCTACTATTATTACTGTTGTCGTTGCTGTCATCTGTGCTCTTTGTTGCTCTGCCGAGTTCGAAATTGGAATCATGGAAATACAATGTATGATCCAAACTTACATTTGCTGCTGTTGTTGTACCCATGGGTAATCCCAATGCTTTGATCCAAGTAGCGGCCCAAAATGCATCACTAGCGTACGCCAATGCTAAATATTTACGACGAATTAATTCGGTAGCAGAAGGAGCACCAGCATCAGTACCAACACCGCCACCGTTAGCATTAGACCCATAACCTCCATCGCGTTCATCTTTATTAGGTATTCTCGCTCCTAAGTCATCATTAATCTTGACAAAAAAACCCCGTTCTTGATCACCAGTAGTTGCCAAATTGAAGTCATCACTTGGTTCATAATATTCCTGAGGTATCCCGTGGGTCAAATGACCACCATAATATCTAGTTCTAATATCCAATCGGTGCAAATTATCACGATACTGATAAAACATCGGGCCTGGGTGTCGTTTGAAAACCACGGGCCAACTTTTGGGCATGGTTCCCGACGCAACTTGTTGTTCAAATTGACGTTGTTTGGCAATTTGGCAGTTATCTTTGGTGAATGATACTTGTAATGTGACTACTAATGAATTATTGTGTGATTGGTACCCCAATACGCATCGATTGGCAAAGTTGCGTGAGTCGCTCACTTTGAGAACTTCCCAACGCATGACACTTTCAGTTGACCCGGCTCTGACAAAATAAGCGTGTAATGAATGTGGTTGGAATGAAGCACCATCATTGCTAGATCCGTTGCTGTTATTTGTTTTATTGCTGGTTGGTGCAGCTCGATTGATGACTGATTGCCAGGCTGCGTTTAACCCTTGACAGATCAAGTCTCCCCCGTATGTACCTCGTGATGTAGAACTCCATGGTTCAACAACATAACAACCCTCGTAAAATTCTCGTGATGGTGGGTCCAATGAAGATGAAGGTGCTGGTGAAGGGGGGTGCAGGAGTTTTTTGACTGATGCCTTGGCGGCGATTCGTGACACTGGTGGCGTGGCTTCGTACACTTCTTTTTGGAGAACGTCCATGATCGAATTACGTTGACGACTTGAACGGTGGATGGGGGATGTGAGAGAAAATGGTTCAATTTTTTCTGTGATTTCCTATATGCCTTTAATGTTCTTTTGTCTTTCAGATTTAACCGCGCTTGAACCGAGGTCTAAATCCGACGAAAATTTGAAAAAAAAAAAAAAAAATTTGGGGAAAAGAGGAGTGAGAAGAAGGTAGTCAAAACCATTGGGATTGGAAAAACCTTTCTGAAGCAAAAAATAAAAGGTCTATGATGAGGGTTTCAGCTTTAGATGCGTGTGTATGTTATAAACAGTTATAAGCAATTGTAATCAGGTAGAGAGATAAAGCAACGGGAAATTGAGTTTCGATTTGTATTATGATTATGGTTTAGACTGTGATTAAGAAACGTTAAAGAACCGTTTTTTTCTTTTGTTCCCCTGTTTGATCTAAATTCTAAATAAATATAGTGTACAGTACAGTACTTATTTGAAGAACCATATAATTAAGCACCGGTGTGTCTTTACTATTTTACTATTTGTGAAAAGCAAAAGGTACATCGGTTTGTAAAGTAAACAGTGATCCGTTATCAGACAGTAAAGAAGCTTAATCTTTAGTGTTGTAGTGCTTTTTTTTTTATTATTATTTATTCAATTTGTGAACGAAATGTTGCGAAAACTTGGATACTCAACAATATGTTTGTTCACGGCCTCAAAACACGATTGCAGCCACTCTTGTCGCGTCTAGTTTGCACATTGAGACGTCCTCGCTTTCACAGTTTCAACCAAGTGTGCTTTTGCTTTACAAGCCCTTAACTTCAACATGTGTGAAGAATTAACCTAGAGAGACATTTTTTTATTTTGCAATCATCTACCACATGAAACACACACGCACGTGCCTGTGTTTACTCTAAAACCGCTAGTCCGCTAGACGTACCTCTTTGTCGTGGCGGTTCAAATGTATAGCCACATTGTAAAATCGTGGGAAACAATAGGAACCATTGTTTTTCTCATTCATTTCTTTTTTTTTTTTTTTGATATTCTTAACCCCTTCCCCTATATTGATATGATTTTCAGGTACCATTTGAAAACGAAATTCGATGATAATGTAAAGAAACATTGTCCACAAATGACTCATATACTGCATGATTCTTTGGATAATTTGAATAAGCAAGTTTCATCACTAGATTGCTGCAATTTCGAATATCCACTGCGCTTTCATTTCCGTAACCAAGTGATATTTCTTGATTTCTAGAGAAGCATGAAAACTTTATGGCGCAGAAGGGAGTGGTTGGGGGGGCATTTATCCCATAGGCTCGTATAGAGATTGTAACCACTTATGACAAGGTATGAAACTTTTGCTTAACAATTGAAGAAGAGAAAAAAGAAAGAATTGAAGCATGCAATGTGGCTGTACGGTGAAACATTACATCATAGTTTATTGTCGGCGGAGTAGTCTCACTGCATTTTTGCTAGAAATACCTCTATATGTCACTAAACCCTCTCTCCAAACCCTTTGGATTTATTGTCTCTTTGACGTTGAACACTTTATTTCAAGTATCATTGCCGTTGTTGCTGTTTTGCACACCTTATCGATAAAAAAAGTCGTTATATGATGTAATTGAGTATTTATTTTTTTTTTTGAATCGATTATACGTTTTTGTGTGATGTACCCTTACGTTTCCGGCAACGGCAAATCAAAACAACAGAATGCGTTTAGTTCTCAGTTGTCGAGATGTTTGCAAGTGAAAGTGGCTGTTCACTCAACTCACAGCCTTCTTCTCATAGCCCCTCATCTCCCCTACCCACTTATATGACATCATAACCAAGCAAACAGGTCTAAGATCTCGTTCTGTTTCATACTTTCTTAATGCCGCTCTTCGGCCGATTATACTCAGAGATGTTTTATTTTCATTTTTATCTGCTTCGTAAAATTTTCTTGGCCGGCATTGGTTTCAAGATTCCCCGAAAAAAACGGCATTATTAGCCCGCAAAAACAAGCCTACACTTCCGAGAGCCTGTGCAACTGTGTATGACCTGTTTGGATTACGCAGTGGAAACATAACCACTCCTCAACCCTTGGCTGTTGGGTGAATGTAGATTTTCCTTGTTAGTCACAAAACTAAACTAAGAGATCTATAGATAACCACGCGGAGAGAGAGAGGGAGAGAGAGAGAGAGAAATCAAAGTTTATTTTGTCCAATTTGTGCTGTTTGCATCATCGATTTATTGTCAAATGTCCACATAAAATGTAATGATTCTAGATGAGTTTCTCTCACGTTTCTTTGAATAAAAGTCAGTTGAAACATGAAATACATATTCCGTAAAGGAAGTGATACTTCTTGCAAATTGCAATTCTTTTTCTTATATTTTTTTTTTCGATTTCGATTGCTGTCACTGATGAATGCATCATTCAATTTCTAAACAGTATTCTCCACACTGCTGCAAAATATCTTTCTCTTGAACTCTGTTCCGATTCACCTTCACTTCCCCTCTCGTGAGAAAGGCAGTGTCTATGTGAGTGTGTTGATGGCTTATCCTCACCTTCTTCTTTTTTGTACCATTTGATTAGTTTGCTCGGTCTTTGTTTTCATTTTCTTTTTTTCTCAACCAGTGCAAACTTTGTATACCTTCCTTAAACTAACCGATGGAAAGCAAGATGGGGTCACACGATAATTGCTATAACATATATATATATATACCCACGCGGCTGGACTGGTTTCTACATAACAGCAATTTAAACAAATTGTTCCTTAAAGTATGTGTGCGTTTAAGTTGAAACATGAATGAAAAAATAAAAAAACAAAAAAATTGAACACAATAAACCTATCGCAAGTGAAATTATGTTTTTCGTTTTCTTCGGTTATTAAAATTGCTTTAAAGAAAGAGAGAAAAAAAAAAAATTCTTGAGCATTAGGAACAACCTAACTGGTTCCTTTTTTCTTGTAACTATACTGAAATGTAGAGAGAAAGAGATCTTGGGTACCCCAATAAGTTCCTCATACTCTTTTTGGCTTTTGCTGTTTTTGTTAGTGCTTGCCTTGCTATAAAAACTGTGGATTTTAATTAATTCTAAAAAGCATTTTGCTGCATTTTGTGCAACTTCTTATTGTTCTCTTTTTTCTCTTCTTCTTCTCATTTAGAAAAAAAAAAAAAAAAAGAACCGGTTCAGTTTTTTTATCTAGTATGGGAGAACCTAATTATCTCCTATATAGTTAGATATATTTTCCCTATTTTTACTGTCTGTTCTACTTCTTCTTTCTAGATTCCTTCTCTTGTTGTTCTCATTCTTTATCCTCCATCTTTTGAAACCAAGTCACCGCTTCATACTTGTCTTTATTTCCAACTAAGACAGATCCACCGTCACTTTCTCCTCAAAATGTCCTTTAGTAGTCTACTTTCTTCACCAAAGAAATTGCTTAATAAATCAAAAGGTGCTTCTTCTGAAAAGAAGTTTGCAACCAACAACCAGAACCAGGAGGAGCAACAACAACAGCCATTGTATAACCCCAAGCCTCGTGATACACAACAACAAGGTTCTACAACAACAGCCACCTCATGTTCCGCACCTTCCGCACAATATAATGGCAATATTGTGTCACCGCAGTACATTACACCGAAATCTCCAGTATCGAACAGAGCCCCACCACCACAAATTGATACTACTGGTACTACATATACACAACCATCACCAGCTGCATTACCACGTATAAGATCTCCTTTATCACAACTGGCAAATTTCGGTGATTTCACTCAAGAACTGCAGCAGCAACAGTCACAACCGAACTACCAATACGGCAATCCTGCACAACAACAAAAACCTGTACAACCGATTTTTGCCTTGGCAAATAGCGACAATAGCAGTTCTAGTGCCGATTCTGCATCAACGCAAAATAAATTGTTGCCGTCTAAAATGAATGGGTCCAACACTAATGCTGAATCAACTGAAGTTTCATCAATATACGACCAATATTCATTAAACTCACCCACTTATTCACAGTTTCCTAATCAAACATCACCACGAGTGCGTCACCTGTCGAAATTATCGGATGCGTTTTCAGACACAACCATTAATCTGCCCAGACGCACTTTGTCGGAAAAAGCCCGCAAAACTCCATCGTCATTTGTACGTCAATCGCGACTTTTTTCAAATGATTTATCCGACATTGATTCACACCTGTTGAATTCAATAACTGGCCAATCGTTGTTATTACAGAATAAACTGCAAACGGAAAACTTGTCCCCCGAGTTTCGTCCAATTGTTAATTTGCTCAATGCACAAAGATTGAGAACTTATTGTATTGGTTCATTTCAAGTACCAGTACGTATGGATAATGAACAAGCTTGGTTTGAAGTTGATGCTAAATTGACTGGTAATGAGTTGGCCATTTGGAGACCACTGGATGATGAGTATACAATGGAGGATGGGAATGATGAGTTTAGACCAAAGTATATCAATTTGATTGATTTTAGAGTGGAATTTCTCGGTGATTTACAACTTCGTATATCGCAGGATTATCGTGAGGATTCAAGTGTTTTGATTCGGTTCCATAATGAACTTGACTTCAACAAATGGATTAGTGCAATTTCGTTGTCCAAGTTTGAATACACTAAATTAAATGAAGCATTTACTGCTGTGTTGTTGAGTTCCAGAGGGTCGAAGTTGCTGGATATCCATGTATTGCTCACTCATAAAAAGAGATTTGTTGAGTATGAATGGTGTAATATTAGATTGCCAGAGATTTCCACTAAATGGATCAAAGTTTACATGGTTATTTTACCAAGTGATAAGCACCATTTAGGCAGGATTGAAATTTATCCACTGGATAAAAAGATGCAAAAGAAGCATCTCATTGCTTATATCAGTGACTTGACAAGTTTGTTCAATGTGTACCCAGAACAATCCAACTTGATTGATTTCAATTCAATCATGAGTGCATCGGGTCTGATTCATGTAAACAAGCTGTATGAGTATTTGTTTCCATACAATAATCATGAGGATAAACAACTGTCACCTAGGAAACTCATTGCAAAGAATTATGCATCAATGTCACGTTCAGGATCCAACAAGTCCCTTTCATCTTTAGCTGATAATGGCAACAACGCTACCACCAATGCTAACAACTTACAAGTTCCATCGACTCCTAAACTCAATGGTGGAGATTCTCGCTCAAGATCAGATTCACTAAACTCGACAAATTCATTTTTTGCCAATTCACCAACCACTGCTACCCCATTAACCAGAGATCGATCAATATCAAATGCATCCAATTCAGAAAAGACAAAGAGGTTTAAACCCAAGAGTAAAACCACCACTGAATTTGATTTAAACAGAACCAATTCAACCTTTTTCAAGAAACATGCCGAGGATTTTGCTTCTACAAACACGATGTATATAATGCCAATACCTCATCCTGGTGTCAATGCAGTTGAAACAATGGTGCGCAATTTCATTCCCATTATTGATTCGTTTAAATTGTATGGTCGTCCACGCCATTTGGCTAGTGAAAAGACTAATCCTGATTCAATGTTGTTTGGATTGCCTTCATTACCTCATTATCAATACTTGTCTACACGTGATGCCCAAGATGCATTTGCTGAGTATTTCCGTTTAAACATGAACCAATTTGAAATGGAGGATATTTTGCGGGACAAGATTCTTGCATTGATGGAAAATCGTCGTCATCATCATGGTAAAGCATATAGAGGACATGGAGATGTGAGGAAATTGTATGAAGGATTGGATGTCAATTTTGATGAACTTACTTCTCCTGTTTTAAGTGGGGTTGAAAGTATCAATGGTGGTGGAGGGGCTGATGGTGATGATAATTTGCTGTTGAACTTGGGCGACCCAATCAATTTAGGATCACCAAGAATAACAAGTCCATTGAGTGTTTGATTGAGGTTGAGGATTGTAGCTACGATTTGGTTGTTATCGTTCATTTTCATTGACAGGGGCATTTCCCCTTCACTATTGAAAACATTCATTCTGCTAAGAAAACAATTCAAGTTCTTTGCTAAAGACATTCTCTACTATTTTGCTGGTATCTAAACAAATAGAACGTGTATGACCACATTCGCTTATAAGGCTGTTTTTTTATAGAATGTTATCTGAAATTGCTATTTGATTTTTAAGTGAAAAAGAATGGGAATGTAGGTGCGTCATATCGCATTGGATGATAAAGAGTAGATGCATGGATGTTATTGCGTGATTTGCAACTTGTGGAGAATAGACCAGCAACCATTGCGTGTTTGTATTTTAACTTTGATAATCCGAAGATCGGAAAGATAAAATAAGTTGTTGTACTTATTCAAGTTTCTAGATTTTGATCAAATAAGCGATAAGCATTCCATAAATGGAACCGAGTCGCCATCGATCCCGAGCAAAAAGTCGAGGAGCCGGTCTTGCTTAAACTTTGCGTTTCATCAGTAAACTGTGATTTAAAAGGACTTGGCAAAAGCTAAAGCTAAACAACAATGTCTCTCTGTGTCTGTGTATTTCAATTTTGTGATGGATGCGCTCAAAGAGAAATAAGAGACGCTCCTTATTGTATAATTTTCGCGTTGTATTTTTAGACGTGTAACTTTGCACAAATGAACGTGGCGTGTGAGTCTTTTATAAAGCACTATCATTAGTAAGAACTTACTATTGAGTACAATGTCATATTTGTAAGCTTGCATTTGGTGAAATCGATGGTTGAAGTTGTTGTTGCTGTTGCTGTGGTTTCGTTGTTTTGGCACTAAGAGTGCAGTTTTCTTGAATATACCACGTGTTTTTTGTTTGAATATTTTAGACGCGGACGTGTTGTTTCCATATACATTCCGTTGAGAAAATGTACGTGTATTGCCTGTTTCTTATTGTGGGATTTGTTTGGTTTAATTTTCGGGCTTTTGTTCATCAATTGTCGTTCCACTCTTGTGTTTTGATTTTGATTTTGTGGGTAAGTTGCAAAATAAAGAAACATAAAATTACTTAATATGGTTCATATCAAAACATACATTTGATGTACAATATGCAACTATACAACATAGTTTTAGTTGCTTTACAATTTTGATTCAATTTCATTGCTTAAACTCTTGGAATTGTCTATGGAAGTTGTGTATATAGGGGTCTGTAGTGTATAGATCAGCTTCGTTGTTATTGTAAGTAGTGCATGTGAGTCCAAAAGTAAGTCTAAAATTTCAAATTCTCCCGTTCATCACGGAAACCACTTCTTACAAAAAAAAAAAATCAAATCCAACTAAGAGCTAAACATCACATCACAAAAGTACACCAAAAATAGCACACTCCCTTTCTTAACAACAAACAGTCGTTGCTTTTGCATCTTTGTATCATAGTTTCATCATCAATCATTAGCTTTAGTTTTAGGTTGTTATTATTTTTGTTTATATTATATTTGCATATCTCGGAATACCACAAACTCAAACCACACACACACACACACTCGACACACGACACACGACATAGTCACAACACACGTCCGTATAAAAAAAAAATTATATATAAATCAGACGAGTCCCGTCACGTCTTACATCAACCCCAATTCTTCTTTTTCAACTTATCCAATTCGAATTCACATTAATACCCATAGATCCCCACACACATAAACCACATCTACAAATGTCATCAGTATTACCAAAAGAAACTCCAACTAGAGGCTTGACTGGAAAAATTTCTGGTCTTGACATGTCAAACACACAAGGCAAATCATTAACTGACAAATTGGCAGCTGAAGCATTGGCCAAAGACGAAGCTCAAACTATACACGAAGTTAAAAACGCCATGAGCAAACCAGCAACTGAAGAAGAAACTAAGAAGTACGAAAAACAACTCGAAGATATGAACGCTGAACATGAAAAATTCTTGAGCACTCATAAAGTACACAGACACGAATTGAAAGGATTGGAGGCTGAAGAACCACTTTTGAAGGAAAACAAACGTCGTTATGTCATGTTTCCTATTAGATACCATGAAATTTGGCAAATGTACAAGAAGGCTGAAGCATCATTCTGGACTGCAGAAGAAATTGATTTAGGTAAAGATCTTCATGATTGGAGAGAGAAATTGAATGACAATGAAAGGTTTTTCATTGGAAGAATCTTGGCCTTTTTCGCTGCCTCTGATGGTATTGTTAATGAAAACTTGGTGGAAAACTTTTCTGCTGAAGTTCAAATTCCTGAAGCCAAATCATTTTATGGTTTCCAAATCATGATGGAAAACATTCATTCAGAAACTTATTCATTATTGATTGAAACTTATATCAAGGATCCAAAGGAAGCCGATTTCTTATTCAATGCTATTGAAACCATCCCTCAAATTAAAAAGAAGGCTGATTGGGCCATCAGATGGATTCAAGATTCCGATGCATTGTTTGCTGAGAGATTGGTTGCTTTTGCTGCTGTTGAGGGTATCTTTTTCAGTGGATCGTTTGCTTCCATTTTCTGGTTGAAGAAGAGAGGATTAATGCCAGGATTGACCTTTTCCAATGAATTGATTTGTCGTGATGAAGGTTTACACACTGATTTTGCATGCTTGTTGTTTGCTCATTTACAACATAGACCTGACCCAAAGATTGTTGAAAGAATTATTACTGAAGCAGTTGAAATTGAAAAAGAATTCTTTACTGATGCATTGCCAGTTAGTTTGTTGGGAATGAATTGTAAGTTGATGTGTCAATATGTTGAATTTGTTGCCGACAGATTATTGGTTGCTTTGGGTAACAAAAAAGTTTACAATGTCACCAATCCATTTGATTTTATGGAGAATATCTCCTTGGCTGGTAAGACCAATTTCTTTGAAAAAAGAGTTTCTGATTACCAAAAGGCTGGTGTCATGGCCAAGAGTGAAAATAAAGATGCCAATGATTTTGCATTTGATGAAGATTTCTAAAAAAGCTCAAAGGGAGTTGGATCTTATGAGAATGGATATTTTGCCTTTTTTTTCTTAATGACTTGGTTGGTTGATATTGATTGTTTTTGTTTTTGTTTGACTTTGTAATTGTTTGTTTCATTTCATGTTTGTTTCCCGGTTTTGGATAGAACCTCAACAAACACATTGCTGGGTTGGTACACTCCAATTGGCATCCCCATCGTTTAGTTTACTATTCGTTTATACATTTAATGTTTGATTTAAGGAAGAGCGAGTTCTCGTAGTTAGGTTAAAGGCCAAGATATCCTAGGTTCGTGAGTAACAATCGGCGTCTTGGATGTGTAAAATCAACTTTTGCAACTCGACATTTGTAATACGCATCTCCTGCATATAGTGCTCCTTTAGTGAAAAGCGAACACAATCAAAATCAATCCTCTTCAACCCATGCTCATCTCAGGACTATGGGGAAAGGGAAGAATAAATCTAGTGAGGATAGACTGAACAAAAGTCGAACTTCAAATGGGCATAAAGCCAAACAACATCACATACGAAAGGGAAGACAAGAAGTGGCGGCATCATCATCAACATCAGTTGCCACTCCTTTATCCTTAACATCGCAAGACACTTCTCTTCCTCAATCAAAGCACAAGTTTCCCACTAAACTTGCCATGTGGGATTTCGATCATTGTGATCCCAAGAGATGCAGTGGTAAGAAACTCGAACGGTTAGGTCTCATAAAGAATTTACGTGTAGGACAAAAATTTCAAGGTGTCGTCGTTAGTCCTAATGGTAAATCCACAGTTTGTCCAAATGATAAAGATATTGTTGAAGAGAATGGTGCGGCGGTGGTGGAATGCTCATGGGCAAGATTGGATGAAGTACCGTTTGGTAAAATTGGTGGTAAACATGAACGTCTTTTACCATATTTAGTTGCTGCCAATCCAGTAAATTATGGACGTCCGTGGAAATTGAATTGTGTTGAAGCACTAGCTGCCTGCTTTGCTATAGTTGGTCACACAGACTGGGCTGAGTTGTTGCTTGAGAATTTTTCGTGGGGGCCAACATTCTTGAAAATCAATGAGGAGTTGTTGCAAGTGTATCAACAATGTACTGATTCTGAATCGGTATTAAAGGCGCAGGATGAGTGGTTAGATAAGATTGAGAAGGAGGCTAAGGAGAGAAAAGAACAAGGTCAGAAGGAAGATATTTGGATGATGGGCAATGTGAATAGAAACAATGGCGGATTGGAGAGCGACGAAGAAGAGGAGGGGGATGAGGAAGACGAAGAGGACGACCTCGATGATGATGATGATGTGGAGTATGACACCTTAGGGAATGTGATACCAAAGAAAAAGACTGATACTCTAGAGAATATTATAGATAACACAAGTGATCAGAATGAACTTGAGTATGATGCATCGGGTACTGTCGTGAACAATAAATCCTTGGAGGAGGCCGTTTATGACAAATTGGGAAATCTTGTCACCAAAAGCGACGTAACTAACCAGCTAAACTCATTGAGTATATAGACTACAATAAATTTCACCTATCGAGCATAATTTTGTTCGGGTCTAGTGGGCGACTCTACTTGCCGCAAAACAAACACTTTGCACATGTAGTTTGCGCCACAAAGTCGTTTCGAACGGCACCCTCCAAAAAAAAAATTGGATTTGTCATGCATCTCGCGAAGTACCCGATTTGGTAATAAGCGCTTCAAGTTTATACCAAGGGAGGTGACTATCCTTTGTATGTATGAACTAAGCGGTAAGCGACAGGACTCGATTGATTAAAGTAGTTAACGTCTGGATCAACACTATATATAAGGCGGTTACATTCTCCTTGATTCACTTCAGCTATCTAACTTTCACAACGACGGACTCCAATAAAGCTATCCATGACTATTCAAGGAATTCAAATTGCAATTGATCGAGGTGGAACATTTTGCGATGTTATTGCCAAAATTCCCGGACAAGAAGATTACGTATTCAAGTTGTTATCGGTTGACCCTCAAAATTACAAAGATGCACCAACAGAAGGTATAAGACGAGTTTTGGAACATGTAAATCGTGTATCGATTTCCAAGAGTGCCAAGTTGAAATTGGATCAGATTCAGAGTATAAGAATGGGTACAACTGTTGCTACAAACGCATTACTTGAAAGGAAAGGTGCTAATGTGTTGTTGGTCACGACAACGGGGTTTAAAGATGTTTTGGTAATTGGAAATCAAACTAGACCCCATATTTTCGATTTGACGGCCAAGAAGTTGGGTCATTTGTATAAACAAGTGCTTGAAATTGATGAAAGAGTGACGATTGAAGGGTTTTCTGAAGGCGGTGGCGATAAGTTACTTATTGACAAACTGCAACCTAATTTGACTGAGGGAGTCACTGGTGATACGATTCGAATCATTAAGGAGCCAAATTATGCGCAAGTTGAAAAGGATTTCAGGGAAATTTATAATCAAGGTGAAATCAAAGCCATTGCATTGTCATTACTTCATGCGTACGCTTATCCAAAACATGAAGCTGAGATTGCCAAGATTGCTAAAAAAATTGGATTTGAAGTCTCGGTGTCGCATGAATTGCAACCAATGATTGGATTTGTTAATCGAACATCGTCAACTGTTGCTGATGCATACTTGTCACCTGTGATCAACGAATATATTCAAAACTTTGGTTCTGGATTTGAAGGTGGTTTGGACGCTTTTGGCAACAAGCTTTTGTTTATGCAATCAAATGGTGGATTATGCCCCTGGTACAAATTTACTGGTCTCAAAGCAATCTTGTCAGGACCCGCTGGTGGTATGGTCGGGTTTGGAGAAACTTGTTATGATGAAACTTCAAGGAAAGCCACCATCGGGTTTGATGCCGGTGGTACATCTACTGATGTTTCTAGATATGATGGACAGTATGAGCACATTCATGAAACTATTGTGAGTGAGATCAACTTGCAAACTCCCCAATTGGATATTTCCACAGTTGCAGCAGGTGGTGGATCGATTTTGTTTTGGAAAAATGATTTGTTTGTTACTGGTCCCGAGTCAGCTGGGTCTGATCCGGGGCCAGCATGCTATAGAAAAGGAGGTCCGTTAACTGTCACCGATGCAAATTTGTATTTGGGTAGATTAGTTCCCGAACATTTCCCCAAAATATTTGGCCCCAATCACGATCAAGGCTTGGATTATGAAATTGTTGATCAAAAATTCAAAGAATTGACCCAACAAATCAACAAAGATCAAGCATCAAAGGGGATCAAATTGAAGCCAGTTGAGGTTGCCAGTGGGTTTTTGAAAGTTGCCGTTGAATCAATGGCTAGGCCTATTAGAAACATGACTGAAGCGAAAGGTCATGAAACTTCAAATCATAACTTAGCCTGTTTTGGAGGGTCGGGTGGACAGTTTGCTGTTTCATTGGCAAAGAATTTGGGTATCACGAGCGTTGCTGTACACAAGTACTCTTCATTGTTATCGGCTTATGGTATTCAACTTGCTGATATAGTCATTGAAAAACAATCACCAGCTTCAATCACTTATGCTAAGGAGAACTTATCGGCACTTGATTCTAAGATTGAATTGCTTATTGCCGCTGCTCAAGAAGATTACCAGAAACAAAATTTGACTGACTTCAGTACCAGATTGGATATTCTTTTGAATATGAGGTATGTTGGAAGTGATACACACTTGTTGATTCCTACTAAAGTTGGCGAATCAGATGCTGCTGAAAAATTCATCAAGAGACACAGGAATGAGTTCGGTTTCAATTTGGATAGAGAGGTTTTAGTTAGTGATGTTGAAGTCATGTTGATTGTTGAGTCAAAGGACAAAGAAGAGCACAATCCGTACCAAGAAGCAGCTCAGTTGTCATCCACTTTGGAACCACCAACTACATCATTCACAAAACCAGTATATTTTGAAACGTTTGGTTGGTTGGATTCACCGGTGCATTTATTGCCTGATTTACCAAAAGGAGCCCTTGTCAAAGGTCCTGCGGTTATTATTGACAATACTCAAACACTAATCATTGAACCACGCTCACGAGCAAGAATCTTGGCCCATCATGTGTTGATCGAGGTGGAGCAAGAAGAGAAGCCACAATTGTCATCAACTACAGTGGACCCTATTCAACTATCAGTCTTTGGTCATAGATTCATGTCAGTTGCAGAACAAATGGGGAGAACGTTGCAACAAACCGCCATTTCAACTAATATTAAAGAGAGATTAGATTTTTCATGCGCAATTTTTGACCACAATGGTGATTTAATTGCCAATGCCCCCCACATCCCTATACATTTGGGTTCCATGTCATATGCCGTCAAGGCACAGATTAAAATGTGGGAGGGTAAATTGGAGCCTGGCGATGTGCTTGTATCTAATCACCCAATTGCTGGAGGATCTCACTTACCTGATATAACAGTCATCACACCTGTGCTCGATGAACATAATGAACCAATCTTTTGGACTGCATCAAGAGGTCATCATGCTGATATTGGATCAATTGCAGCGGGGTCAATGCCGCCGAATTCTAAAACTATCTACGATGAAGGTGCAGCTATTGTGACCCACAAGTTATGTGTCAGAGGTAAGTTTGATGAAGAAGGAATTACCAAAATATTGGTAGATGAGCCAGCCAAGTATCCTGGCGGATCAGGTACCAGAACATTGAGTGATAATCTTTCCGATTTGAAAGCGCAAGTAGCGGCAAACTACAAGGGTATCGTATTGTTGCAACGGTTGGTTGATGACTTCACTTATGAAGTTGTCAAATTATACATGGGTGGAATTCAATCCACTGCTGAAGTTGCCGTAAGGAACTTGCTTAAGTTGGCGTACGAAAAGTTTGGATCTCATGAATTGAAAGGTATTGACTACATTGATGATGGTACACCTATTGCATTGACTGTTACGATCAACCCTGAAACTGGATCAGCGTTATTTGATTTTAGTGAGACTGGTGATGAGATTTATGGCAATTTAAATGCTCCCACTGCAATTTTGTATTCTGCTGTGTTGTATGTTCTTAGGTGTCTTATAAGTACTGATATACCATTGAATAATGGGTGTTTGAGACCTATTGAGTTCAAGACTAGGCAAGGGTCTTTGGTTGCGCCATCGGATGATGCAGCAGTTGTCGGTGGAAACGTTGAAACTACACAAAGGATCGTCGACGTAATGTTAAAGACTTTCCAAGCCGCTGCTGGTTCTCAGGGTACTTGTAACAATTTCACCTTTGGTATCAATGACAAGGAGAATGGTGTTTGTTTTGGCTATTATGAGACAATATGTGGTGGTGCTGGTGCAGGACCTGATTGGGATGGTCAATCAGTAGTGCAATGTCACACCACAAATACGAGAATGACCGATTCTGAGATTTTCGAAAAACGATACCCGGTTTTGCTTCATGAGTATTCGGTGCGATTAGGATCCGGGGGTAATGGATTACACAAAGGTGGTGATGGGGTGGTTAGAGATATCGAGTTTTTGTACCCATTAGAAGTATCGTGTTTGATGGAAAGAAGATCATTGGCACCTTATGGCTTACATGGTGGTGAAGAAGGCGCTCGAGGTGTTAACAAATGGATCTACAAGTCTCCTTCTGGTGGATACAAGAGTAAGTCATTGGGTGGTAAATGTACCGTTCAAGTTAGCAAAGGTGATAGGGTCATTATTAATACCCCAGGCGGTGGTGGATATGGCTGTGCCGAGTCGAATGGTCAGTCAAGTAGCGGCAATAAAGAAGTGTCCAATGGGGTTCAATATCCTATTAAAAGAGCAACTCCTTCAAGGTTGACTGGATCCGTTGGTATGAGAGACCACATCCAAACGACAAATTGAAGGAACGAGTCATATGTTTGCAATGTATAGTTAGAATTATTTTGACTGGTTGAAGAGATTGTAGATGTTGCACTAAAGCTCCGTGTTTATTGCATCGGACTTGAGCTCGGAATATTCTTTACCAAAAATGGCTCTTTCCGCTTTTGTGTCAGATCTATTGGCGCCACACCTTTTCATATAAATTGATACCATTTTTACTGAAAAATTACGAAAAAAAAAAAAAGGTTTTAACCTTTGTCTCCATCGTTGTGCAATCAACCGCTATGTTTTGTATTGGAAGGAAGAGAGTTTCCAGTCTAGCTAAGGCTACCTTGAGATACAACAGCAGCTCTACTCTGAAACCGCCACGATCGAGATTATTCAATTATGCAGCACTTGGAGCGGGGTCATTAGGTGCTGGATACTTTATTGGAAGATACTATAACAAATCGAAAGAAACCAAAGGGACTTCCAGCGCTACACTTCAGGTGGTTTCTGTAGATGCATCTACAGCCCCACTTTCAACATTGGACTCACCAGTCTATGCCAATGAAGAACAATTCAAACAAGGATTATCAAAAATCATTGATATTGTCGGCAAAGACCATGCTCTGTTTGATCCAGAAGTTTTATCATCACACAATGACTCCTTTTATTCAACTCATCACCCTCCTCAACCAGATAAACAAAAACCCAATGTTGTTATAACCCCAACTTCAACTGAACAAGTATCTCAAATCATGAAAATTGCTCATGAATATCGACTCCCTGTGGTTGCCAGTTCTGGGTTGACTTCACTTGAAGGGCAAAATATTCACACCAGAGGGCCATTTAGTATATCGATTTCATTTGCTGAAATGAATCGAATTTTGGCGTTCCACCCGGACGATTTGGATATTGTTGTTCAACCAGGTGTAGGGTGGGTTGATCTTGCTGACTATTTGAGCGACGATCCAAAGGGCAAAGATTTATTGTTTGGACCTGATCCGGGGATTGGTGCCAATATTGGTGGAATGGTGGGGACTAGCGCTTCAGGAACTAATGCTTTCCGATATGGTACAATGAAGGAAAATGTTGTCAACTTGACGGTTGTTTTGGCTGATGGAACCGTGATCAAGACTAGACAGAGACCAAGAAAGTCAAGTGCTGGGTATGACTTGACAAGATTTTTCATTGGTACTGAAGGAACAGCTGGGATTATTACCGAAATAACATTGAAACTACACGTACGTCCTAAAGTAGAGCTTATAACTACCGCCGCATTCCCTACTATCAAGGACGCGGCAGCGGCAGCTCAGACTATAATTGGGAAAGGAATCCAACCAAACGCTATGGAATTGTTGAATGATACAATGATGTCATTTGTAAATGAAGCTTCTGATGGTGAACACAGATTGGAAAAACCAACCTTGTTTTTCAAATTAGGAGGTCCTACAACCAAAGCAGTTGATGAGCAATCTCGGGTTGTGGAAGACATTGCCAATGTAAATCATGCTATAAAAGTTGAGCGAAGCGAAAATGCTGAGCAAAACGCCGAGTTGTGGGCAGCAAGAAGAAACGGTCTTTGGTCCACTTTCCAAGCTGGTGCTAGTCGTCTTGCCAATCCTGATGATACACAAATTTGGACCACAGATGTGGCTGTCCCTGTATCCAATCTTTCTGAAGCCATCTCCCAAATCAATGATGATTTGATCAAAGCTGGATTTGATGGTAAATTCTCAGTATTGGGTCATATTGGTGATGGAAATTGTCATTTTCTCATCATTTACAACTCACCTGACTATAGCAAAGTCCATGCCGCGGTTGACCGTATGGTCTCACGCGCTTTACAGCTTGAAGGTACATGTACTGGTGAACACGGTGTTGGGGTAGGCAAAAGAAAGTATCTTTCTGAGGAATTGAGTGAATCAACTATTGACACAATGAGAAAATTGAAATTGGCGTTAGATCCGAGAAGAATATTGAATCCCGATAAGGTTTTCAAGATTGATCCAAATGATGATTTGGATGAACAGTTGAACTCTGGTCATGTTATTGAGAAACATGAGTGTATGCATAATCATTAGAATAAAAAGACTGTATAGAAATAGAGATGCTTTTCGCGCTAACAAAAAAAAAAAAAAGATGTAGTACAAATCCAGACTGCTATCCACAATTTTCCAAATTGATGCAGTGCCATGGGTAAACAGTTGTGGTTCAAGGGGCCCGTATGCGGTACCGACAACTGTAGATCACGACTATACAGAAACAGAGATGGTCTAACCATTTGTCAATACGGCCACGTTCTTGAAGGCGCAGTTGAATATAATGACGATCAAGATCAACAACCGGTACAAACGAGAAGACTAAACGTTGTTGCTGTTGACGAACGAGGGAATTTTGCCAGTCAATCAAGTCAACGACTGATCAGGAAACACAAATTGGACAAATTAACTGGGAGTGAAGCGTTGCCGATATATTTTCGATGTTTGCAAATCATTTTGAAGAGCCAGTTGGATGCAGTGGTGCGACAGTATTTCAGTGATGGAGTTAAATCTGATTTAACAGATATAGTCAAGACGTATTGGTGCAGAGCGTTGGGTCACTATTACCACATAGATGAACATGATGAAGATGAGAGCGGGAATAAACGAAAACGCTCTTTGGATGTGTTGGATTTGATATGTATTATCTATACGGCCAGTTTGGAGCTCAAAGCATACCCATTTTATCTCACTGATGTTGTTGAATGTGTTACTTTGGACAAAGTACCCTTCTTCAAAACGTATAATCTACTACCGACAGAGGAGTTGGAAAAATTGCACGGTTCATATCAAGGGAGATTACAAGCACACCAAGTACCCAGTGAAGGACAGATATTGCGACGAATATTTTACTTGAGTCAAGTCATTTTGGATAAAGAGTTGAATGTTCCTACCAGTTACTACTACCCCTTCATTTATGATAGATTAGCCCATACTTTACTCCTACCGAATACGCCTGATTTGTTTATGTTGATTTACCAATTTCTTCATCTTTGCAAAGAGACTGGATTCGAAATTCCCAAGAAAATCAAAAGTGCAAACAAGCTCACTGAGTGCTTTCCTGAAGTATATTTGACTGTGGTCATTATATACATTACAAAAATGCATTTTGAATTTGGTAAACTCAAATTTCAACCTAATGACTGGTTGAAACAAGTCAAGGCATACAATCAAGAGTATGAATATACCAATGAAGTGAGTGATGGTACTTTACTCAATTGGTCAGTTGATAAAACTGAACGTTATGCTGATTGGATCTATAACCACTTGATGCCGGAAAAGTATAAAGATGAGAGGGGAAATGGGGACACGGGTGATCTTTCGGTAATGGAGAGGCGACTTTTCCAAATATTTACGCTAGAGGGTGTTACAAAGGAACTGGATATACCGAAATTGGTTATGGATAATGAAGAATCCTTCACACCCAAGCTCAAAACACTCAAGAATATAATGGATGCAGGGATGAAGCTTGAGGCAGACACTGATTATTCCAAAGTTGATAAATTGTTGTTCACATTGTTGAGTAAAGCCATAAATGTATCAACGACTGAGTTGAATAGCATATACGAGAGTACGATCAAACATTTTACTAAAAAGGCTAGGTAAATATACGGTGCTGTGCGTGGTTCCTTGCTCATTGAACTGATTTTTTTTTTATTTTTTTTATTGACCCAACAAAGTTGTAAGACGGGAACTGGCGGGCTCACTTGCAAAGATGCGGACTTTGTTGGTGATTTTTCGATGCATATTGATTAAACACAAAAAGAAGTGGGGTAAACCCATTGGTTTACCACATCCTGAAGTCCGAAATGGCCCTCACTGAGATAAGCTCTTGTAAATTTGTGGCTCAATACGGTACTGACATGATCTACTTGTCTATCATTGCTCGACGCAGAACGAGTTATTCCTCTTTAATGGGTGGGTCGAAGTGGAGGTGGTCTAATAACGACACAAAATACAAACTCCGAGAATTCCCTCAAATGCATTAAAAATCAAAACTTACCGGTGATTAACCCGATAGGGTAAGTTATCGCGCAAAACCGAGAAATTCAGGACCCAATATAAAACTTATAACTTATTCACAAAATTTGACAAAGAGGGTGTAGCACACGTCATTTGATTTGCTGTTGATGATGGCTTCACAAGCTCCCTTTGATCCGAGTTTGCAAATGGCATCAATTTCTAAGTCTATTATATTAATAAACGACAGAAAAGAACGTTGGTTGTAAAAAATTTAGTTTGTTTTAGTTCGAATCAATTAGGCACTTATGCATTCGAAAGAGCAGCCCACACTCAACATAAGTAAATCTCACCCACTTTTAATTATGGAGTATCTGATCATTATTGTTCTGTCTTCCTTATTTCCAGTGGGGGAAGGGGAGAGGGTGCTATGTAAATTAAACCCACTTGATCAAAATGAATGAATCAGTCGTCAGCCCTTGTTGACAGCAATTGAGGAAGTTTTGTTTCACTGTCCTTTTATTTTGATGAAGAAGGTTTCGCCATTGCATATTACTAATATAGTAGTTATACATTATTAACTTTAAGACTTTGAAAAAAGTAACTTTGAAGCCAATTGCACCAGGTACGTTGGAATGTTATAGTACGATCGAAAGTAGTACTTATAGAGGACTATACACCTTGTATCTGTATAGATATATAGATATATAGATATATGAATGACGAGAAAAGGTCGTGTCAAGATGGAGAGACTGTTCGATAGGGGTTGTTACTCTTATATACAGTACATATTAACTAAAACTGGAAACCGAAAAAAAAAAAAAAAAAAAACCCCACAAAATATTTAAAAGGTTTGTCCTCTTAGTTAACTGACCAACACTCTCTCTCTCTCGCAAACTGACTCCGAAAATTTGTCAACTGACAAGAAACGCTATAAATACCCAACAAAATTTCCCTTCATCAAGAGTTTGTACTTTCGTATTCTTTTCTCTTTTTCTCGATAGTCAATTGACTTTATTACAACTTTCACATTATTCAAAACAACTCAGTCAACTAGATTATTTTTTTTACAATGGGTGGCGATTTACCTTTAGAAATTGATGTTAAAATCCCAACCGGATTAACTTACAAACAACCAACGGGTTTGTTCATCAACAATGAATTTACCTACCCAAAACAAAAGAGAACTTTTGAAGTTATTTCCCCAGTTAATGAAGAAGTAGTTGCCAGTGTTTATGAAGCATTGGAGGAAGATGTTGACGTTGCCGTTGATGCCGCAATTGCTGCTTATCAAACTTGGTCAACTAGTGCTCCGGAGCTTAGATCTTCTGTATTGTACAAAGTCGCTGATTTGGTTGAGAAGAATGCTGATACTTTGGCTCAAATTGAAACATTGGACAATGGTAAATCCATTTCAAATGCAAAAGGTGACGTTCAATTGGTTGCCAACTACTTTAGATCATGTGCTGGTTGGTGTGACAAGATTTTGGGTTCTGTCATCAACACTGGGGGTACTCATTTCAACTATACTGAAAGAGTTCCATTGGTTTGTGGTCAAATTATTCCATGGAACTTTCCTCTTTTGATGTTGTCGTGGAAATTGGGTCCAGTTTTGGCCAGTGGTTCCACAACTGTGTTAAAAACCGCTGAACAAACACCATTGTCAGCCTTGTTTTTCGCCAAATTATTGGTTGAAGCTGGCTTGCCAAAAGGTGTTGTCAATATCATTTCTGGTTTTGGTAAGACTGCTGGTGCTGCTATTGCCAGCCACATGAAGTTGGAAAAGGTTGCTTTTACTGGATCCACTCTTGTTGGTAAAACCATTATGAAGGCTGCTGCCGACTCAAACTTGAAAAAGGTGACATTGGAATTGGGTGGTAAGTCTCCAAATATCGTGTTTGATGATGCTGATGTTGATAATACCATTAAAAACATTATTGCTGGTATTTTTTACAACTCTGGTGAAGTCTGCTGTGCCGGTTCACGTGTCTTGATTCAATCTGGAGTTTATGATGAAGTTGTAAAGAAATTGAAGGCTGCTGCTGAAAATATCAAATGTGGTGATCCATTTGACCCAAACACCTTTATGGGTGCTCAAGTTTCCGAAATTCAAATGTCAAAGATTTTACAATACATTGAATCAGGTAAGGAACAAGGTGCAAAGATCATCACTGGTGGTTGCAGAGCTGACGGTAAAGGTTACTTTGTCAAGCCAACCATTTTCGGAGATGTTGCTGGTCACATGAAGATTGTCAAGGAAGAAATCTTTGGTCCAGTTGTCACATTGATCAAGTTTGATACTGTTGATGAAGCAATTGAATTGGCCAACAACACTGAATATGGTTTAGCTGCAGGTGTTCACTCAAGAGACGTTAACAAGTGTATCTATGTCTCAAGCAAAATCAAGGCCGGTACCATTTGGGTCAACACTTACAATGATTTCCACCCAATGGTTCCATTTGGTGGATTCAGTGCTTCTGGTATTGGTAGAGAAATGGGTGAAGAAGTGTTCCATGAGTACACTCAAACTAAAGCTGTGAGAATCAGATTAAACACAAAGTTTTAAACTCGGTTTGTAATGTTTGTATGATCTATAGCAAAAAAGAGAACGATATTTAAGAGTTAAGATAGTTCGTCGTAGATAATTTTAATTATAGCAGTTACTGTGTCCCAGCGCTCTATTTTTGTAGATCAGTGTTGGTAGCACCAAAATCAACAACAAACAAATCAATTCACCAATCCATAACCTACATTTATTTTGTTTTCAATCATGGCACATGGTCACGATGAACAGCTGAAAGGACGGAAAAAAGACTCTATCGAGCTCTTTCTTGGAAGCTCACAACTTTTCCTCGAAAATGGTCTATCACAATTACGATACATGATATTAACAGAAGGACTTTCAATTCCTGAAGGATATGACCAATGTCCTTACAGATCCTATGTGTGGTCAATTTTAAGTCGTACACAGACGTTCTCCACCGAACATTACTTGCAGCTATTGTCAGAACTGGAAAACAGCTTGAGCAAAGAGCTACGAATGAAAATTAAGAATGACACTTTTCGTACATTAATGAATGATCAAAGGTTTCATCAAAAAGTAAGTGAAGATCTGCTAATTAGAATTTTGTCATGTGTTGCAATGACCAATGATGTGGGCTATGTTCAAGGGCTCAATGTGCTACTTGCTCCTATTGCATACAGTTGTCATCGAAGTGAACCACAAGCATTTGCTATACTACACTCCGTAATCACCTACCATATCCCACTATACATCACACCGAATTTAGAAGGTGTTCATACTGGTCTTAGTCTAGTTGATGTTGTGCTTAAGCTGATTGATCCAGTGTTAAGTGAAGCATTGGACTCAAAATTTTTGAAAACGGAGATTTATGCGTTTCCCTCAGTACTTACATTAAGTGCATGCACGCCACCGTTGCAAGCAGTTTTGAAATTGTGGGATTTTTTATTTGCATATGGGTTCCATATGAATATCTTGTTCATTGTGGCCCAATTGATTATTCATAGGACGGTAATTTTGGAATCGGAACAACCAATGAAAATTTTGCGTAATTTCCCTAGTTTGGAAGCTAATGAAATTATCAAGTTGAGTTTGAGTTTTATACCTGAGTTGCCGAAACCACTTTTTGAGTTGATTGCAAGGCATGGATACGATAAATCTGTCCCCAAAAGATTGAAGGCATTTTTAGCTGATGGGGAATAATTGATGGGGAGAGGGAAGACGCACAGGAAGCCGTTGTAACCAGACGCTTTGGTATTCATTACATCTAGAGGAAAATGCAACGTCATGTATTAAGCTTTTTCTATCAAAGATTATTGAATCCATACATTGTAAATAATATTGGATGTAATGACGATGAAGCTATTTCATTACACTTTCAGCCAAGATCTCATCGCGAGAGAAAGTACGGCGAACAAATTCCGATGCTCATAACCGAATATGGGCCCTTTACTGGCCTTATTGAAAGTCTCAACAACCTGATGGCTGCAAAATGTCCCATTAAGCTCCTGCGCGAAAATAATTGGACCCTTGTGCATTTTCTATTGAAAAGTACATTTGGACTAACGCACACAAGTTGACCACTATATGAGCACCAGCTATTTAGTCTATTGGAACTGGGGTCAGTACGCCTTATTTTTTTTTTTTTCTCCCAACTAAGTCATGATAAAGTTCCATGCCCAGAAAATAGAGCCAGATATGAAATATAATACACCAGTAACATAACATCTGCTAAGATAATTTCCACCCCATGAATCCAGCACTTTTCCGCCGAGGTAAGAGTTGCGTTTACGAGAGTCGAGTTTGACCTGTGCTGCATATTGATTAAGAGTAAAAGAAATGTATTTTAGTGGAGCCGATTTCCCCACTAGAAACTTTCAAGTGAGATTATAAGTACCACACATTTTGCCCTTATTCTTACTTTTGCATCTATTTCAAACCCCAAGTGAGAAACTATGAAAGCAGATGCAATCAGCAGCGGGCTTCGTCACATTACCTCAAACGCATCAGAGGTTAGGGTTGTTGACCCAAAACACAATGCAGGTGATGTTGATTTGTTACACCAAATTGGCTACAAGCAAGAATTGAGACGTCATTACTCCATCATTCAAGTATTTGGTATCGCATTCTCCATTATGGGATTGTTGCCCAGTATTTCATCAGTTCTTGCAATTGGGTTGGCATCAGGTCCAGCAGGTTTAGTATGGGGATGGTTTATCGCCAGTTGTTTCATCTTTAGTGTTGGCACCTCAATGTCGTTTTTGGGTAGTGCAATCCCTACAAGTGGTGGCTTGTACTACTATTGCAATTACTATTGTCCTGATATTGTTCGAGTTCCCTTGAGTTACCTTATAGCATGTTCAAATTCATTAGGTTTATTGGGCGGGTTATGCAGTATTAGTTATGGTTTCGCCGTGGAGGTGTTGTCTGCCATTTCCATTGCCCGAGACAATACATTTGAAATTACCAATTTCAAATGTTATGGAATCTTTTGTGCTTGTATCGCTCTGAATGTTGTCATTTCGTGTTTGACCACTCGCCACGCCGCCAAGTTTCAAACATTGTCCATTATTGTCAATATGTTTTTGGTGATACTTTTTCTCATTGCGGTTCCCATTGGGTTTTCAAGAAATAATAGTTTCAACTCAGCAAAGTATATGTTCACCCACTTTGAAAATGCCAGGGATTGGCCAACTGGTTGGAGTACAATCATGTCTTTTCAAACTGCGATTTGGACAATTGGAGCATTTGATTCTGTAATTCATTGTTCAGAAGAAGCATTAAATGCACAAAGATCAATTCCGTACGGAATTTTGGGCTCTATTGGGGCTTGCTGGTGGTTTGGCTGGTTCATCATGATTGTTTGTGCTGCTTGTATCAAAGATGCCGATGTTGGTAGGGTTTTGGCTTCGGAAACGGGCTCACCAATGGCACAAATTATCCTTGATTCATTGGGGAAGAAGTGGGCAGTGGCATTCATGGCAATGATTGCAGTTGGACAATATTGTATGGCCATCTCAATCATGATTGCATTGTCACGACAAATTTGGTCTTTTGCTCGCGATGATGGATTACCAGTTATTTACAAGTGGGTCAAATATATTGATCCCAAAATTAAAGTGCCCGTTAGAGCTACAATCTTTGCTGGCTGTTTGGGATTGATTATGGGTTTATTAGTCACGATTCCAGGCACCGCTGGCGCAAACGCCTTGTTTTCACTTTGTATCACGTCGAATGGTCTCTCATGGGGAATGCCAGTTTTTCTTGTGACATTATCATACGGAAGAAACAAGTTTATCTCCGGCCCTTTTTACTTTGGACTCAAGTGGAGCACCGTTGTCAATTTGATTACAATTTGTTGGTTAAGTTTTGCAATTGTTATGAGCATGTTTCCCGACTCTACCCGTGTAACCAAGGATACTATGAATTACACGGTTGCAGTGAATGCTGGCGTTTGGATTTTATCATTGACTTACTATTTTGTTTGGGGTCATAGAGCCTATTCTGGACCGAAATCCAATCTTGACGACTCCGATTCAGAAATTTCAAGCGTCAAGAATTTGGATGAACTTTTGAATGAGAAAAAATAGAATTGGTGCAAAGGCGGTTTACATTAGTTGAGTGGTTTATGAATACTCTCTTTGATTCGATTTGTAGTACGTATGTACAAACAGCTACACTTTGCACTATTTTGCTTTACCCCCTGCGCATTCCTCGTTTAGATGATGTTTCTCTTGAAATCTTCATGGTCAAAATAAGTTGCAAGAACTGTACGGTCATTGTACAGTCTTCCTGAAAGCTCCATTATCGCCTTCAATGCGGACTTTTCGTCATCAAATTCAATAAATATTTTCCCCAATCCGGCGATATTCAACTGCTGCAATCCTGGTGTAAAATCATTGGCTGGTCGTGGAATTTTGATGGACACAACTGTCCCAAACTGAGATGCTTCATCTTTTATATCTTTGTGCAAAAACCTTACATTCGAATCATCCATCAAGTCTTTTATCGAAACAGCATTTATCAACTGAACCACATTTGAACTAGCTCTAGGGCAAACTAGTTCATTATTTACTAATTTTGGCAACGTATAGTAATCAATAGGTCCATTTTGTATTGGTGTTTTTTTATTTGGAAGGCACGAGTAAAAAGCATTCGTCACAAAAGACAATCCCATCAACTTGTCAATGATACCTTCCTCATTCAGTCTGAATTCTGCAAATATCAACCCCAAAGGCTCTTTAGTACCTTTTTCTCGGAAATATTGCATTCCAACGAGAGGGGCCAATGTCAGAAGATGTTCCCTTGCATCATCAGAGGAAACATTGGGCGACACAACAAGGGAAATCTTTCTTGGGCTATCTTTGACAATTTCCTGGACCTCCTCTGAGGTAGTCGCTTCATCCTGAACAACATACTCATTTGGTCTGGATATTTGTAATCGGAATTTATCCGCCAATTCCCTTCTTTCAACATGATTCTCCTTATAAGCATTGAAAAGTAGTTCTGTGCCATTTAACGAGTAAATAATTGTTGCACACTCACTATTATTGAATTCAATAATCAACGTCTTGTCATCCTTTGATTTCCTTTTACTGTGTACATTATTACTTGAGCTTTGTTCGAAATCAATCATTCTTAAATAGTCGTTAAAAAATTCAACAATCTTCAAGTAATTAATCGATTCAATGCCACTAATGACTAGAGTTTTCGCCACTCTTGAATCAACGGGATCAATCCTACTTGCTTCGTTCAAAATATCGTTGCTATTCGATAGTCTATCTTTCACCAACCCTTCTAGCTTTGTAAAATCAACAGGACGTGGGAATCCAGGCAATGGAAACAACCCTGATAGTTTTGCTCTTGGCGCACTTACTTTTTCAAAGCCCTTTGCCTTGACACCCCACCGCGAGTCAATAACCTTGATTTCATTCAATGGTTGTACCCCACTTAAGCTTTCCAAATGGCGTTCCAATTCTTTAATACCGTTTTCAATGTCAGCTTTCGACAATTTTGCTTCTGACCTAGGAGGGAGTGTTTGCTGAAATCTGCGAGGCTCAGAATGATAGCTTGTGTCGTACTGATCTCTCTTTCGCGACTGGTTAGGCCAATAAGAGTTTTCTTGGTAGTCATCGTACCGCCTCTTGTTGTTCCTAGGCCTATAGCTGTCACCATGGTACGAATTCGGCCCATTCTGTGGTTCGGGATACCGCTGCTTTGCTCGATATGAATTTGACCCATCGAAATACCTCTGCTGCTCTCCATATGAGATCGATTCATTACCTCTCTCGAGGTGACTGCTTCGAGCGACATTATTACCCCTCTCGACATTTCTTTCATTACCTCGAGAAAAGTTCGATTGGTTAAGTGTTTCAGAATTTCCTTCATTTCCTTCATTTCCTTGATGTGCGATTGGCTCCTGTGGTGTATCGGCATATCTTTCCTTTCCACGATCTCGGTACGCATAAGCTTGATAGATACTTCTGTCATTACCACTTATATTTTGACGTAGGGGATGAGAGGGATCATTGTGTGTGCCTGAACTGTGGTATTTTTGGGGGTATTCTTCACGCGATCGAATCGATGAACCTGAGCGTGCTGATGATGTCCTGTTAGTATCACCGTATTTTCCTCTTCGCGAATATTCGTGTGGTGATGGGTTTGACATACTGGTGTTGAACAATAGCGAGAGCAGGCGATGTAGCTAAAAATGATGATGCACACTGTTGCTAACTTTTCGTTAGATTTTTCTGATTTTTTTTTTTTTGCTTCCCAAGCAGTGACTCTACAAAGGGGATCAATGAAAAATTACTTTACTGTTAAATACTCTATGTCTACAATTCATCATGCGCTATCTTCACATCGTCACCATCAACTTCACCTAATGGCACCTCGTCGTGTGTTTCAGATGCATTCTCGTGTACGGTATTGGATGCAATTTGAGTTGGAGAGCTGATTTCACTCTCCTCTGTATCGTCATCCTCATCCTTTTTGTTCTCATTAGCAGCTTTCCTCTCCGCCTCTTTAGCAGCCTCTCTCAACTTCTTTCTATATTCCTTTTGTAATTGTCTTTCCGTCAATTTGTCAAATTGTTCGTCAAAGAGCTTAAGCCGTTCAATGTGGGTGTTCTCCAATTCCATGAGATCAATTACCATTTGAGCGACCCCCTTGGCTAATGACTCGTGGAAGGTGTACAACTCACTCTTGCTAATCTTATTGAACTTTGAATCCGAAAAGTTTAGCAACTCCCCAATTTTACTTATGACTTCTCTATACTCTTGTAAATTCTTATCAAAGGATAGCATTTTGTCTTCTTTACCCATGAGCTTCAACTTGATCCTATCGTTTTCTTTATCAAAGTTGAAACGAGCCTCGTCATATTTCTTACGAATTTCTGCAATTTGCTCACCAAACTTCAACATGCTTGATTGAATCTTCATGATCAACTTTGAGCCATCTTCGTACAAGTTCTTCATGCCGTCTTTTGACAAATCGGTGCTTGACATCTCGAGATATCTCTTGACTTCCTGTTCGCGCTTACCTGCGTTTTTAATCTTTTGCCTCAAGTTATCAATCAGGGCATCATCGCTTTCAAAATCCAACCACTCGATTTGTTCACTCACGTAGTTGGTGAATTTGGAAATTTCCTTTGAGCTCAATTCTTTTGACAAGGTCTCTTCATTAGATTCGATGAGGTCCCTTAACTTGTACAATTGACTCTCCAACTGGTTCCTCGCAGCTGTCAACTCAATCTTGGCATCGTCCAAGTAATTCAAGTAGGCAAGTTTTCGAAGTAACTTTTTCTTTTCGTCCTTAGCTATTGGTTCAATATGAGGGTATACTGCAGGAGGAATTGAAACATAGGTCGACTTTAATGCTTTTGATCTTTTGGATTTGGAATTAGTATCGGTCGAATTCGTGTCACTCGATGTAGAGTTGAATTCGCCTTCCGTTTCTTGTTCGTCATCAGACCCATCAACCAAAACTTCTTGCTCTCCACTGTTCTTAAGCAAATTCTTCAAAAATGAGCCAGATTTCTTGGGTTGGCATTGTATGTTGGCTTTTACGAGATCAAATATCTTGCTCCTGTTGAGCTCAAAAGTAGCTAAGACTTCTTTGTTTTCATCAGACTTGCATCCCAATTTTTCAATCGCACTGGAAACATCACCAAAGTTGTATGATTTGATCAACGAGCCATCCTCAAACAATGAAATAGACAACGAGTCACCAACCTCACCTAGACTAACTTTTGTTGTATTGTCCACCACCGATCCTTCTGGGAATACAACCAACTGCTCTTCATTTCCATTCACACTCACCTCGAAATTATGGTAGCTTTTGTCAACTAGTTTGATATCTTTGGGGCTTTGCGTTTTCGTTTTCAATTTCAAGCCCATTTGAGTGGTTCCCAAGGCGGAACTTTCATCAGTGTTGACCGACTTGGAAATCTTGTCCTCGCCAACAAATAAGGAAACGTGTTTCTGTACAAATGGAACTCTTGTGGAACCTCCGTTCAATATCACCGACTTTAAACTCTCAACAGATAAGCCAGATTTCTTCAAGGCGGTTTCAATTGGTTTGGTAACTCTGTCCATTAAATCTGAATTGATTTCCTCAAACTCGTCTCTTGTAATCAGAACTTTGAAATCCTTGTCTCCATATATAGACTCCAAGGTCGTGTGGTATTCCGTATTTGCCGACAAGATGATTTTTGCCTTTTCTGCAACCTCATACAATCTGGCGTGAATTTTATCGCTGAGATCTGACGATTCCAAGTTGAAATGATTAAGAAGTTTTTCCAATATAATGGAATAAACCGATTCCGTCAATGTCTTTCCGCCAAACAATAAATCCTCTCCTACACTTTCCATTTGCAAGACAACCTTCCCATTGGATTGTGGGGTGATGGAAAATAACGTTGCCGTAGTATAACCAGCACCAGCATCAAAGACCAAATGATATTCTGAGACATCATTATAATCAGATTGGTCATATTTCTTGTTTCCAGCAAAGTTGAGTGCTACAGAAGTTCCCTCATCTACCAACCCCAAAACGTTTGAAAAATTTGCCAAGTACAAGGAGTCCAAATAGGCTCGACGAGTTGCTTGAGAAGAAAAAGGAGGTATGCTGATTGCAACATCTTCAACTAATGCTGCAGCATTTGGATTTTCTTCAAGATCATTCAAAGCCCTTGCCTTTATTTCATTCAACGACATGGCCAACAATTCCTCCACAGAAAATTGATATGTTGAATTTTCCAATCCGAGATCAAACTTGATAGCATTGTTTCTAGAATCATCTGCCACTAACTTGATGCCAAAATGGGTCCGTAAATACTTTTCAGTGGCAGGATCATCAAAAGATTTCCCAATCAATTGTTTCAAATCCAAAACTGTGTTTTGAGGAAATCTGGTCATCAACGAACCCATTTGGGATCCGTAAGATCTTTCCAAGCCACCATTTAGCTCTTTTCTGATACAGATTCCTGACAAGTCTTTTCTTTTCCCCTCATCTGTCAAAACTAACTCAAATGGAATACCTGGTGCTAATAGCACGGCTTTAGTGAACTGTTGCCCATAGTCAATTCCCACAATCGCTGAAAAGACAGACGATAGTATGCACGCTAACGTGAGAAATAATCTCATTTCTAAAAGCAAAACTGGATTAACGAATGGTATTGGTGAGTTGAAATTGCTTGCGGTGATAAATACAATTTGTTGGCACTTTTCATGTTTTTCATGATTTTTTTCTTTTTTTCTCTCACTTCACAAAACCTGGAGTCGATAATTTTTCATCTTTTGGGGGTGGCGAGGGTAATTCACTGCGAGACTGAGTTCCACTGTGTTGGCGAGAAAGAGTTTTATAAATAGGAGACTGTGATTGAAAACGACAGCTAATAGTCCCACCAGTCTAGCGTAGATTCAACCGATTCTTTTCTTGTATAGTATCGTGGACGTAACACGGAAAAATGAATGAAAAGGACAACACATCAAAAGCAAAGGCACAAAAAAAAAACAAAAAAAGAAAAAGAAACATTAATACATTAATCCCGTAACTACTCTATCGTGTACTCGGATCCCTGATTACATCCTAAGGTAAGTTACAAATGTCTAGGCTAGCCAATCGTTCACGTTTGTGATACGAGAAAGTGTTGGTAGCATAACAAACTCTCATTACTTTGATATGTATGGTAGCGCCAAGGGACTTCAACTTTAAGCAACTTGAATGGGGTAGAGATTTATATAAATGGTCGAAGCTCCACAATTGTATCGATGTAACGAGCCCAATACTCAAGCATCTGCTAGAAACTCAAAGGATGTTGAAATCAGACAAACCCGTCATTCAAAACGACAACGACTCGGTCAACAAGACCAAGGGCACTGTTGTAAATGGCTTAGGCGAAAAAGAGGAGCAGGGTAAGGATACCACGGGCGAAGTTTTGAATGACAATCAATTGAAACAAGTCCATCTCCCGGCCAATGCTGGAGGAGCTGAAGGTGGCAACAATTCTCCATTGGGAAATGAAAAAAACTCCTTGGCTGCAAATGTGGATTTTTCTGATACCAAAAATGTTCCGGCATTGAGTGGAGACGGCAAAGATGGGAATCTGAGTGGTAATGCCATGACGAACTCACTGAACAATTTGGTTTCGAACAATATTGAAAGATTTTTCAGAAGGAGTAAACAGAAAGAAGAGTCTGTTAAAAAAAAAGAACAAGCTGTCTCCGGTGATGTGTCTTTGATCCCACTTGAAGAAGACGGAACACCCCGTAATACACCACCAAATGACACCAATGTGGATACCCAAAGTGTAAAGTCGGCGGACTCAACCAAATGGAGCAAAAAACAAATTTTAAGTCTGGTCTTTTCGTTATTTGCTGGCACACCTCCACAAGACAATCCCAAAAGCAATCCAAACTCCAGCGATGAGGATTCTGATTTTACGACTCCAAATATACAGTTGATTGAGATGCCGAAGATTCCTTCGCGATTTCGGGCAAGAGAGATTAATGGATTTGGGATCCTTTCAAATTCTCAATCTTTGCCAATGGAGACGAAAAAGCAATATCAAAATCTCTTGAATAGTGGTGTCACTTGCGTTTTGCAATTTTGCAAGTATTTGGAAATCACGAGTGAGAGATCTAAGAAACAAGATATAAGAAAGAGCTTTATTGTTCAATTCTCTAGAATGCATTCGGAATTGGCATTCACTGTGGCAAATTTGAATGGGACAGAAAAAGTTAATACTGAGCTTTTGTTGCTGCTAAAGACTTTGTTCAATGATTTGTTTAGCTGCAACCACATTATTTGGATTGCCAATAAGTTTGAGTATGATGATTTTGGAAGAAAGTTTAGAAAAACAATTGCGGAGGTTTTGCGTGAAGAGTTTCAGTATGAGGTTAGTCACAACAGAGATGATTTCTACCGTCATGTTATTGCCGCTAGTTTATTACAATGGAAGAGAAATATCCCATTTCCAAAATAGTTTATATATATATATATATATATATTGTATTACATTAGTTTTATTGCATATGAAGAAACGTAAATTTTTTTTCTCTATATGGGTGCAAAATCTTTGCCTCTATTTACTCCGACGGAATGTCCGAGATACGAACTACTGGTACGTTACAAGGGGCAACAGATAGAGATTCCAGAGCAGGCGCTTCAGATAGACAAAACATTTATTGCATCCTCCACAGCTGACCCCTCCTGTAATATATCCACTTTGCTTACCTCCACTATGAAGTCTTCTTCTAACCTTATCACATCGCATCGGAAAAATTCTCAATAGCAAAAACAAAAAAAAAATTGTCTTTCAACAAGAGAAGCTGTTTGCACATTTTCTTTTTCCCTCTTTTCTTGGGCTTGGTACATATTACCCTCCTCCCGCTGGATTCGATTGGAATAAAACCCCTTTCAAGAACTCAAGATTGATCACACTCAACCATGTCCGATGAAAAGATGTATATTTCGTACAATAATGTACACCAATTGTGTCAGGAATCAGCTGACAAGATCAAACAATTTAAACCCGATTTGATCATTGCAATTGGTGGAGGTGGGTTTATCCCAGCGAGAATGTTGCGTTCATTTTTGAAAGAACCAGGCCAACCAAATGTTAGAATCATGGCCATCATTTTGTCCTTGTATGAAGAGATTGAAAACTCTGATGGAGTGCAAGAAAAGCCAGGTACTAGAGTCAGCAGAACTCAATGGATTGATTATGCTCAGTCCAAAATCGACTTGGTTGGGAAGAACATCTTGATCATTGATGAGGTTGATGACACAAGAACTACATTACATTATGCCGTCTCAGAGTTGAAGAAGGATGTCGAGGAACAAGCCAAAGCTTCCAACGCTGATCCCAAGAGCACTAAGTTTGGTATCTTTGTTTTGCACGATAAAGATAAGAAAAAGAAAGCGGATTTACCAGACGAAATAATGAAGACCGGCAACTACTTTGCTGCAAGAACTGTGCCTGATGCCTGGATTGCTTACCCGTGGGAATCAACGGACATTGTGTACCATCAAAAGAAGGCCGAAGAACAAGGTAATGATGTGTTCCTTCCTTCTACTACAAAAGAATAGAGTTGTGTATAGATGTTAAAGCATAGATTCCAATTTCAATCAATCTCTATAACCTCGGGACTTCGTTCATGGTTTTTTAATGATGGATGGCTTGTATTTTTATCCTTTCTCTTTTTGCTTTGTCGCAAAGACTGACCAGATCCGGCAAATGCCTCTTTACTTTTCGCTTCATCCCTCATGCCTTCATCAATCTCCTCTTGAGTAGGTAAAACCACAGGAAATCCAAAGAATAGCTGATTATCAGGTAGAGTTAATGGCACTGCAGGAGCATTAGGATCCAAATCATCCATTGTGTATTTTCCATTTAAAGATTTGGTATCCTCCACTTTCTTCCCCGATAACTTTTGCCCCGATCCTCCGAATTTTGAAGCTGATCCACTATTCGATATCGCATCGCCCACGATTTGCGCATAATTGATAGATTTGGCCATTGTAGCAGCACCAGCTCCTCTATTTACACTAGATGGGTCGATCGGTTTCAGCAGTGATGGTGTGACACTTTTCGGTTTATATTCAGGCTCCACATATCCAACCGGAGGAGCAAAATCGGTCTCTAAATCAGTCTCCACAACACAAATACCATGAGTTGAACTCTCTGGCTTCACTTCCAAAACCTTAATTCCGTATATGGAATCGTTATAATTTACTTCAATCACGTCATTCACGGTCAATGTTGAAAATTTTCGCAAAACATTCTCCAACACTGCTTTGGGATCACTAATATCCAAAAAGTCTACACTTTGTGGTTCTATTTTGACAAATTTCCCTAAACTAAGATCACAATTCCTGATTTTGATCAAGCTTCCTGGTTGTAGTTGTAACGTGTCCATCATCCATTGAGGGATGTAACATCTTCCTTCTTCACTGGTAAACTCCAAAACACCACTGTGTGTCAAAAGATCTTTCTGTTCATTTCTAAGCTCAAACAACATAGGGTATCTGATGTGCAACATTGTTAACTTGTTCAATGCTGATGGTGGCAAAAAGATCTTGCCTCCATAGTTTGCATCATCCTTGCGAACTAAATCAGGCATCATTGCAATTGGATAGCATCTAAAGTATTCTTCAAACGTGTTACTGGCTGGCATTCCAAAACCGGACATCCCTCCTCCGAATACGGAGGATCCAAAACTAGAAAACATGTAGCGTGTTGATGAAGGGGAGAGGATAAGTACGTGGGTATTATGCTTTTTTTTCATTTGCCGTTAAATATTTTTGTTAGTGCGCACTGATATACAAATACTACATAGGTACATGGAATCTCCCCTCAACTTCAGCGTCTGGTTTGTTGAGTTACTCTTACAAGTTCTTGAATCATCTCCTTTTTGCTATCATCCAAATCACCAAACAAAATGTGATACTTTTCTGGTTCATTTTGTTGCATAGAAAGGAAAACTTGAACAAACTCTTCAAATCCATTAACCCTATCAATAGGTGTTTCCCTGAGAGCTTCCATTTCCGCTTCGTCCATCTCATACTCATCATCTAAATCGCCTATGTCAGCGAACTCATCATTGTCATCATCATCTGTTACCTCGGTTTTAACCTGGTCCTTTTGACTAATTTCATTAGTTAAGATTGAATTTTTGGTTCTGATCGCATTTGGCAAAGCAGCCACGTTGTTTATAAGTAAATCAACAGTTTCTCCAACCAAGTCTTCCTGAATGCTTTTGACGGCTTCACTTTTAAGGATGGCCAAAGCGCATAAAATCTGTAATTTGCATCCATAGACACTCTGGAAATCATCACTATGTTTGATCCATAATTTGTAAAACTCCACAGTAAAACCTCTGGATCCTATAAAGTTGACTGTATTTACTGGATCAACAAAAATGGCAGCAAAAAGAATACGAAGTAATGATAAACGGTGCAACATGAATCCGTCAAATGCATTTTGGGCGTCCAAGTTATGGTAAATTTCAAATATTTCAGTCAAGAAGTTTGGTAAAAGAGATGCAATTCGCGTATCCATGGCCAAAATGGTTAGTTCAATATCTTCAAACGCCGAGTGAGCAAATATTGGATCCATGTCTTCTTGTTTCAAAACACCGAAGCACACATTCATCATTGATTGGACATAAGGATGCTGCATGGTAACTTGAGGATTGGTAAATCCTTTGTTGACAATACCCACAAAGAATGGTTGAAACAGATCAAAATATTCGTAAGCATAAGTCTCGAATGCATCAATCACACTCTGGTACATTGACCACATAGTAGTTGTCACCTCTTGATTCAAGTACAACAATGACTCCATAATCTCAACGATTTCCGTCAAAAATACCACCATCGCATTTTCCAAAACAAAGCTGATTAACTCTTGAACCACCGTCTCCAAACGAGTTCCTATTTTCGAGGCATGTGAGGTGGAAAGAATCAAGGTGGTCAATGTACTCAATAAGCCACTTGCCTGGTACTCCTTGTCGGTTTCGATCGCTCCTCCTGCGCTTTGCAGTTCAAGAATATCATTGCACAATTGAAGAAATTGTTCAACCAACTTAGTTCCAAGCTCAACGGCATAAGGTTCAAGACTTTTGGCAAACTTCTCAACAAAAGTGTCCATCACATTGGTTAAAATCTCACTTTCGTACTTTTTCGATTTCTCCAACAAATTCTCCAATAATTGAGGCGCTTGGTCTGCAACATGGGCTGCTACTGAGTCCTCCTGAACCAAAGTAGCCAATGCATCTGCAGCTGTCAACTGGATTGGGAATTGGTTCTCATTTTGGAAACAAGTGATGATTCCTTGGAAAATCGATTGCAAGACTTGCATATCACTGTATTTGTGATTGTGGAACATAGCAATCGTATCACAAGCTCTTGCAGTAAGCCAAGGTGTTTTTGTAGCATTCTCATTTGACAACTCAGGAAGAACATACGTTGCAAGCATATTGTCCACTTGTCCATGACATGGTGAAGATTTTTGGTCCAACTTGTATGAAATTGTGGAAAGTATTCTGAGGGCTCCCTCAGTTTTCATTGCAACCTCCTGGTTTCCTCGATCGTTTGTTCTTTGCGTAAAGATGTCATTGATGATTCCGAAAACCACATTTATAGTCAGCTTGAACTTTTTATTGGAAAGTCTGAACACAAAATTGATGGCAGCAACATCACTGGTCTTTTGTTCCCTATTGACATCAAAAAATCTTCTAATATATTCAAATGTGTCGTCTTCGTAAAGTTCCATTGTTTCTTGCGTAGCTTGCAAAGATGGAAGTATCAAATGTCCGATTATAGCATCCAATTTATCACCCACCAATTCCCAACATGGCGTTTCAATTATGAGCTCCAAAAATGAAATCATATAAAACAATGATGCTTCACTCAACCATATCTTTCTGCTCGACCAATCTTCAATTATCTTCCAATAGGAGCTGAGGATTTCAGGAACGAAATTTGTGAGAAATATTTGAGTAAAATCGTTCTTTTCCTTGGTTAAATACCCGCCACCATGTTTGTTCAATAAACGATTCATATTGGCAAAACACCACTTAACTGCTTTCACTCGAGGGTGTAAAGCACGCTGTTCTGGTATATCTTCCTCCATAAGCTCTTTGGGTAAAGGCTTGTTGATTATCAGAATATGTATTTTACACCAGAGACCCAATTTGTTTATATCCATCAAATATGCCGGAAGGGAGGAATATGTGGCATTCTTGAATGATTTAACAATGAGGTAGAGCATTTCGTCGGTCACAGTACTTCCATCGTTGGAAATCAATGTCTGGGCCAACTGTTCAATAATTGGAAAGATCTCTTGGGCAATCGTTTCCACAACGGGGTTGGAAAAATTTTTCAGTTCAAGACCAGCCCATCTATAACTCTTAACATATTCATGCAAGCAAATCAACCCCACTAATATTTGGTCTTGATCTTGTGATGAAAGTAAATTGACAATCAATGCTGTTAGCTCATCCCACTTATCGTAGCTCAATATCCCGTTCAATGCAGTTGACAACGAAAATTTAATCTGGTTTATCTTGTGTGCTTTCATCAACGTGGGGACCAATTTGCTCTTTATATCACTTTTTTCATTTTCAAGAAGGAAATAGCTTGCTGGTTGTTTGGTACTTTCAGGCGCAATCCAATAGTTCAAAACTCTATTCTTGAAGAAAATTGCAGCTGCAATCTGTGTGCCAAGTTGAACCCCAGGCTCAATAATCAAGTCCAACAAATAACTCGTAAATCCGGGTTGTTGTTCATAAACGTGTAGTGACTGCTCGCTACTTTTTCTGACATGTTGGTCTGCGTCTAGAGTACCACCCAAAGCTTGAAGAAGTGAATCTTTATCCATTTTGAAATCAATTTAATGGTAAGGGAATGTACAGGATAAATGCGGTATGACTTCTATGGATATTTCAAACCTTTGTGCTAGCAAACTTTGGTTCGGAATATTGCCCTGGGTGCCAAAATATCAAAACTATGTCAATAATATATAACTCTGACGAAAAATTTGTTAAGTCAAAATTTTTTTTCTCGAACAGTCGCGATGGAGTAGTAAAGGACACTACCTATCAAAGAAGCTCTTCCAAGTCAACACTTGAGGAATCATTTACACCCCAAACTGTCAACAAAGTCGGCTCCGGTTACCACGATGGTGAAAACGGAGATCAAAGGATTTCAAATACTACCAATAAACATACGAGGAACAGTGTCAACCCATTACGTATATTTCAAGAAGCATGATTCTAGGACTAATCCCGATAGCACCAACAATACATCAATCTTTCTTTGCAACTTGCCAATACTAAGCGACTTGCAAACGATTAAGAAATACTTTCAATCGGTGGCTTTAGGAGCAACGATTGAAGGTTACACCCAATCATACTTGACAGACACCACAGAAGATGTATGGCTAGATTTGACAAAGTTAACATCTGACTTACCTGTGGGGAATACCGACGAAACTGCCAGTAAGTTACCCAAAAATTGTGCAGTGGTTACATTTATAGATAAGAGCTCCTTCCAGTTGGCGTTCAATTCATTGAAAAGGTTAGCGTCAAGTGGTACTGTATCTACTTGGCCAATGAAGGAAATTACCTCCTCGTACTTCTTGAACCTTTACAAGCTGAAGATCTTGGACAAGGAAAAGCTTTCTGAGAAGGTGGCACAAGCGTTGAAAGATTTTGATAATGCAGAACAAGAGAGTATTGAGAATTTGCAAAACCAAGCAAGCTTGGTTGATGAAGATGGGTTCCAGTTGGTGGTAGGATCCCATAGGAAAACGAAAGCTGGTATACTTGGAAAACAGAACTTGGCATCAACCGTTGAAAGTGAAAAAGCAAAGAATAAAATGAAGAAGAAGGAGAAACAAGATTTCTATAGATTCCAGTTGAGGCAGCGAAAAAAAGAGGAAATGAATGAGCTATTGAGTAAGTTCAAGTCCGACCAAGAGAAGGTTAGATTGATGAAGGAGAAGAAACGTTTTAGGCCTTATTAGTTGTGTACACTATTAGAAGCTTGTAAAAGAGATGTTGCTACCATGCGAATTCAATCGACAGCAGAACTTCCATCACATTCATCATGAAGTCCCTTCAATTAGAGGACGACTTGAAATCTATTTATTCCGATTATATAGAGAGATATTTTCCTAATTCCAAATCCCCTACGATTACACCAGACGATTTTGAAATACTATCAACGATTAGATACGATCCATCTTTATCAAAGCATCCCCCAACAACTTACCATGAAATATCGCCCCTGAATGTGTTTCTCTTGCCAGAGCACGTTGCAAGATTACGATATACCTTCCAGTTTTTCCACTATCTATATGGCACCCCCTTTGACTCGGAGATCACTGAAGATTTTTTGTTGAAGCAGATCAAGGAGAGTCTTGAGCAAATGGGGAAGCCTTTGGATAAACCATACAAGATACGAGGATTGTTTAAATTGGGTGGGACGGCAAGGTTGGAGATACATGAAACGACCAACCGGGAGAACTTGTTACTGGGATTACAGGAGATCAGTCACCAAGACGGTTCAACTACTTCGTCCATGGATGAGGCTGAACAAAAGTGGGACGTCTACGTAAACACAAGGAGCTCACTTATTTCGCCATTCACATCATTTAAAACCACCAAGAGGGACGTATATAATGAAGCTAGAAAGATTCTTCCAGGCTTGAGACCCGGAAACGAGGAAGTGCTGCTTTTCAATTCTCAAGGTCAATTGATGGAAGGTTCTATTACGAATGTTGCCATCAAAAGAAAGCGTGATGGCAAATGGGTTACACCTTTATTGAGTTCTGGTTGTTTGTGTGGTGTGATGAGGCATTTTCTTTTGCGCAGAAATTACATTGAGGAAGATATAGTTTTGATTAAAGATGTATCTATCGGAGACGAAATGATATTGTTCAATGGAGTAATGGGTGTGGTAAGGGGGCGAGTTGTGGGTTGATGAAATATACAGTCTATGCTATTCTACTCTATTAAATCTTTAATATCCACGTCGCTGTAACCCAAAATGTACAACACATCAAGTAACGATTTTGTATTTAAACAAGATGGCGCTTGTAGTTGTACCTTTGGTTTCGCATTCCATGCAATACCAAACCCAGCAACTGACATCATTTTCAAATCATTGGCGCCGTCACCTATGGCAACTGCATTTTTAGGGTCAATGGCATGCTTTTGAGCTATTTCTAATAAAAGTTCGGCTTTCCTTTCCCCATTGACAATGTCACCAATTGTTTCTCCATTCAAAATGTTGTTTTCATCGACTCCCAAAGTGTTTGCATATGCATAATCCAATCCCAACTCGTTTTTCACATGCTCAGCCAAGGGTATAAAGCCACCAGAGCAAACACCCAATACACACCCCAACTTTTTCAAAGCTTTACTCAACGGTTTCACACCATTAGTGATCTCAATCTTTTCCTCCAACTCTTTCCAAATCGTTGTTGAGTCTATTCCACGAAGTAAACTAACACGCTCTTTCAAGCTCTCATTGAAATCTATCTCACCATTCATTGCTCGAGTTGTGATTTCAGCAACTTTATCTTCAATGCCTGCATAAGCTGCAATCAATTCAATAACCTCTTGGTAAATCAATGTCGAATCCATATCAAAAATAAACAACTGCTTATTTCTTCTTGTTAAGCTCGGTTGAAGGATCAAGTCGTATGGCTGACTCAAACAATGAGATTTGACCAAGCTAAGCGCCTCCTCGTAATTTTCCAATTCGAGTTCATAGTCCCACGCACGTGGGGAAAGTTGAGTTTTGCCAAAACTGGCATGCAATGAGTCTGCGATAAATGTGTCTACAATGGAGACAATAGATTCGGGTGAGTGATCTTCGTGAATGATTAAAGTCAATGCATATAAAGACTTCGCAGACATTGCATTAGCTATGGAGTGGTATTGGCCCGGATCTGAAAAAAAAAAAAATTTAGTTTAATATTACTTATCAACCGTTTTGGAATGTGGAACCATTAGGATCGTGGACACACCACAAAATTGCAACAAGATCTGAGATGCGGCAGGCCTCGCTATTCGCATGAAGGATCAGTTAGGATCTCTACTTTTGCCTCAAGCTTGTGGTGTACAATCAACCATATCTGTCGGGTCGCTACCAAATGAATAACAGTAACTATTCCACAACGCGAAAATGATCCAACTTGAATGTCATTTGCAGACGGGTTCCCTTAAACATGTCTCAATCAACAATAATTAGCAGATCCAAAAATTCAGAAGCACCTTTCTCCGAAACTCAATTGACTGAGATCATTGATAAAAATGCCAAGCTACCACCACAAGAACTTGCCTCCGAGCTAACGAACAAATTAGCGTCGATTTCATCAAAACACAAGTTTATTGTTCAATACACATCGATTGCTGCCAATGAAGAAAAATCATTTGATTTGAACATTGTCACGGATTTTGTTGCCAGTTGGGAGCCTACAAAAGATGGCTGTGTTACTGTTAAACTTGACTTAATAATAGCAAACGAGGCCGGTGGCGAAGCCTCCACTTTGAAACAAATCAATTCGTTATTTATAACTGTCTACTGGATTGCTATATAGGTACTCAATCTAATAAATTATATACAGACTCCAATCGATCATTAAAAGATCTCAAAGATGCACTCTTTTCTAGTAAACTACTTAGCTTGGATTGTAATACTTGAAGCCTCTTACTTACGTCAGAATCCTCGTTGGGATTGAAATCACTAATGGACTCATACCCAACAAGCGAAATTCCTTCATCACCAACCTCTTGTCCCAATTTCATCTCGTGTTGTAGCTCTTCTACTTGGACGTCCATCAAGGAAAGTAGATTCTCGACTGATTCACGATACAGTTTCAATGCTGCATGATCTCGAATCCTATCCTGTTCCATTTTGAAAAAATGCTCTTTTATCCCATTGAGCTGTTTTATCTCCTCGATGAGGTAGGCATCTAGCATTTTTTGTTTATCACTCAATTCCTTGGCACTCAACACATTTTTCACTTCCACAGCGTCATTCGTTACGTTACCTAAAACGTCCAAATCTAATGACAATGGTAGTTGTGTAACCTTGAGTCTTGATCGGAAGGACTCTGGATTCGTATCTTGACTCCAACAGTCTGACAATTGCTTTGATATTTGATGACGCAAATCTCTCGATACTCCATCCTCAATTGCGTTGTTGATAGTTTTAGAAATCGCTATGCTGAAGATGTTGTTTAATGACTGCAATAGGAAATCATCAGGTGTTTGCCAATTAGATTCTTTGTTCCCACTTCTGTGACGTTGTCGAAATGAGGTTTCATGATGATAGAGAGCAGTTTTATGTGACAAATTTCCATTACACGTTTCTTTTGAGGAATCTTGTGGCATGATCGTTTTAGAAAGTTATTTTGATATATGTTGGGATTTTGCCATGTTGAAAAAAAAAAAGCATTACGTCAGATGCACAAAAACATAGTCGTACTTAACCCCAAGGGCAGGACTGTCTCCTTTCAGTGGCTGCAAAAGAGATTTTACACCCGAGCTCATTTTTAGACTAAATTTACTATATAAGCCTATAAAATTTATATATCAAGCATCCTTTTCCTCCAACACCTCGTCGAGTTTTTTCTCTTCTTCTGACTCCAGACCATCTAGATTACTCTTTGGACCAGTGTAGCTTCTCCAACCCCAAGCATAATAGTATATCACAGACAATAACCAAACACCTCCGTTGATCACACAAGTATAGTTCATGCTGTCTTTGTCAACATGCTTGTTATCGGGGAACATGTTCATAATGATGGCAAACACGATGTAAAGAACAGTGATGACATTGACGCTGTAGGTTAACGTGTCACCAAAGTAGAACGGCCCGGGAATAAACTTTTTTCTACCATATGGTAGAATTACTAAGAACACAGGCATTCCCCAAGCCAAGTTCGTGGAAGCTATAGCGAGGGAGAATAAAGCATTTGATCCAGCGGTGCCTGGAATGATACACAAGCACCCCATGATCAAAGCACATGTCCCAGCAAATATTGTGGCCCTTACTGGCACTTTCAACTTCGGGTTGACATACTTGACAAACTCATAAACAATGGGCAACCCATCATCTCTTGCGAATGACCAAATCTGTCTCGACAATGCCGTAATGAAGGAAACTGACATAAGGTACTGCCCCACAGAAATCAATGACATAAATGCTACTGCCCATCTTTTCCCCAAAGCATCGTAAATAATTTGAGCTATTGCTGATCTTGTTTCCGTGCTGAGAACACGAGCAGTATCGCCATCTTTAATACAGGCTGCGCAAACGACGTTTACCGTCCACCCCAAGACCCACACAATAGTGATCGAGCCTAATATACCCACAGGAATTGACCTCTGGGCATTCAAGGCTTCTTCCGAGCAATATATGACCGAGTCAAAAGATCCAATAGCCCATATCGCAGTGTTAAATGACATGATGGCGCTCCAGCCAATTGGCCATTCCCTTGCATTCTCATACTTGCCAAAGATAAAGCCTCTCGAGTTGAAAGAGTTGTGTCTTGAGAATCCAATAGGCACTGCGATGAAAAACAACAACATCAAGAATATGTTGACACCGATTGACATAAATTGCAACTTCTCTGCCTTTCTAGATGTCAAGGTTGATACAGCTGTCACCGTCACAATGCAAGCAGCAAATACCCCATAAGTCTTTGCATTTGTGATTTCAAAGTTGTTGTCAGTAGATATTGAAACAGCAGACATTACTTCAGTTGCAAAACCGTAAGTTACACTACAAATAGCCCCCATCAACCCAAGTGAGTTTGAACAACCAATCAAATAGCTCAAGGGTACCCTATACTTGTCGGGGCAATAGTAGTTTGTATAATAATAAAGCCCACCACTAGTTGGTATGGCACTCCCCAAAAAACTCAAGGAAAGACCAACGCAAAATACCAAGCATCCTGCAATAAACCAACCCCAAACTAGACCAGCAGGACCACATTCCAAACCCATGCTAAGAACAGAAGCCACGCTAGGTACAATCGACCCCATGATGGAAAGTGGTATACCAATGACTTGCAACGTGGTGTAATGACGGCGTAACTCTTGCTTGTATCCAATTTGATGCAAAAGATCAATGTCACCAGCATTGTGTTGTGGATCAATGATCCTTACATCTGATGCCACTGTGTTTATGTGATGTAAACTGTGTACTGGTGATAGTGCTTTCATGTTTGAACGTATATTGCAAAATTTTCCTAAATCACAGAGATACAAGGATTTTGCAGCACTTTTATAAGACCCCAACAAACTTTTGCCATTTAAGGTTAGGTGGGGAACAAAACTTTATTATAGCTTTGACTCGGCAGTACTGTAACTCAAAATAACGTTACTGTTTGATACATGTATGACAGAAAAGTTAAACTTCTGGATAAAGCCAACACGGAATTGGCATTGATTTGAATAGACAGACACCAGTTTAGAGGCAACTATAATTACCTCTTATGTAAGACTAGTAGTAATATGACAGTCTGATTGTTTCAGTTGGAAAAGCTAACCCTAGTTTATTTCGGGAGAGTGTGACGGTTCGGAACAACATTTCCTTTATTCTGAATTTAGGGTTTTCACGCCACTAACCCCACAACGACAAAGTTTAGAGATTCAAGATCAATGCGTCAGAAAATTTTCTTTTCTTTTGGAAGCTCACTTCAGTTGACTTGTGTGCAATAGGTACCACACTTTGTAAACTATGACGAGCGTTAACCAGTGAGAGAAACAAATTGAAGTATTTTCCTAAATACTCATGCTCAAGGATTTGGCTCTACTCGATCGAACATTTTTGATGTCTTCATCGTTAAGCAGGCGCCTCACGCATGTGGCATTTATATTCATTGGTTACAATTGCAATTAACCAGCAATGCCAGAGCTTCGGAAGCTATCATCACGGAATGCGATGTCTATCTTTGTTGAGTCGTATGATGTTTATGGGCTTGCCTCTGGGTAGGACAACTCTCCCCGCTTTTGCTAGTATGGGATTTCACAGCTAAATGGAAGAAATAAAAGTGACACAAAGTAGATTCATGGAATATTTTAAAACTTGAACTTGTTTTCCGCGTTATCAATTCCGTCTGCAGATTCCGCGCAGGTGAGTGTTGTTTGTGACGTTGAGATTGCATTACCACGAATACAGGGTGTGCTGTCAAATGCACCACATTAACTGCGATCAATAAAACGTTTAAACTCTAGAGCATCGTTACTTTGATTGTTGACATCTGAAGTCGCGCGAGAAGCAATGAATCAACACACAAAATGTCGTAATCATAGATAACACTTTTTGCAAGCTCTTGACTAACATATATTTTCTTGGCCAGATCTTTATCCAACAAATTGTGTCCACGACAAATTAAAAATACAAAATTGCGGATTTGATTATTTTTTTTTCACCCTAATTATTGCGGATATTGGTAAGAGAATCGAACTAGAGAGTTTTGGAATGGTACGAATGTCGTATTCGAAGTGTCCGAGCACCATGCTAAGCTAGTACGGTCGTACGAAAATCCGCACTAGGGAGATAAAAAAGATAAAGAACACCAAGTTCTGGCACGTGTTAAATCACATTTCGACAAAGTACAATGTGAGAAGAGAGGTTTGTATGAGAGAAAGATCTACAGTTAATTGAAAGAAATATACGTAAAAATTTGTATTCCACTTGTCTACACTTTCTCGTGCAAAACCTCATCCAAGGCTGGGATACTTTCACCATCGATGTACTCCTCGTCAAGATTACTCTTTGGCCCGGTGTATACTCTGTAACCCCAAGTGTAGTAATAAGCCAATGACAAAATCCAAACCCCGACATTGATCACAACCGTATAGTTCATGGATTCTTTATCAACAGCCTTTGAATCAGGAAACATGGCCAACACAATAATGAATACCGACCAGCAGCTAGCAACAAGACAAATGGCTCTGGTCAACCACTTGCCAAAGTAAAAGGGCCCGGGAATAAACTTTCTTCTACCATAGGGCAACAATACCAAAATCACCGGCGTAACCCATGCAAGATTATTGGAGCAAATTCCCAATGAAAACAACGCACTAGACCCAGCTGACCCAGGAATGAGACACAAGCAGCCAATCACCAATGCACAACAACCAGCAAAGACTGTTGCTCTTACTGGCACTTTTATCTTTGGATCAACATACTTGGCCCATTTGTAAACCCCTGGCAACCCATCATCCCTAGCAAAAGACCAAATTTGTCTCGATAATGCAATTGTTATGGAAATTGCCATCAAATATTGACCCATGGATATTAATGACATAAATGCAACAGCCCATCTTTTGCCCAATGCATCATAAATGATTTGAGCCATCGGCGATCCTGTTGCTGAATCCAAAACTCTTGCTACATCACCATCTTTGATACATGCGGCACATACAATAACCACAAACCAACCAAGGAACCAACATGCAGCAATTGAACCCAAGATTCCCACAGGTATTGATCGTTGCGCACTCAAGGCTTCTTCAGAACAATGAATCACTGAGTCAAATGCACCAATAACCCAGACCGCTGGTTGTAACGAAATGAAGAAACTCCATCCCACGCTCCAGTCCCGAGCATTTTCGAAGTTACCAAAAATGAATCCTCTTGAGTTGAAACCAGAGCCGAACCCAGCTGGAACAGCAATCAAAAACAACAACACAAGAAAAACATTAATGATTATCGAAGCTGTTTGCAATGACGCAGCATGCTTTGTTGCCAAGCAGGACACGATCATATTGCTGACAACACATGCTGCAAATACCCCATAGCATTTCCCATTGGTTATATCAAAATCACCGTCTTGCGAAATCGAAACTGCAGACAATACTTGCACAGCGAAACCATAACTGATACTGCACAAGCCACCGATTAAACCGAGCGAGTTTGCGCACCCGATTAAAAAGCTCAATGGGACTCTGAATGTATCGGGACAGTAGTAGTTTGTGTAATAATACAACCCTCCACTGGTTGGTATGGCACTACCCAAGAAACTCATTGACAATCCAACGCAAAAGATGAAGACACTGGCAATAAACCAACCCCACACAAGACCAGCGGGGCCAGCCTCTAAACCTTGTGCTAGGACTGAGGCAATGCTGGGCAACAATCCCATAATTGAAAATGCTATTCCAAACACTTGCAATGTGGAGTAGTGACGGCGTAACTCTTGCTTGTAACCAATTTGATGCAATAATTCGACATCTCCTAAATTGTGTTGTGGATCAACATGTCTGACCTCAGACCTCGAGGAGACTATGTTGTGGAGGTGTTGGTCTGTTTTCGATTTGATCGCTTCCATTACTCAAGTGAGAGGGTGAATCTACAGCCAAGCAGTTTACAGTTTTAACTTTGAGCATATGGCTGTCTGGGAGCTTTTATACCTCGTAGTAATTTGTATAGCACAAAGACGATGGCAATTAACTCCCCCGTCATTTTGTGAATAAAAATTCCCTCAAAATTGTAATCTAGATTGTAATCTAGATTGTGTGTGGCTTTTCGGGGCGTTTGGGGCAAGTGGAATGACAATGGCAATCTGAAAACTCATTATTTCATGTAGAATAGGCGGTTAAAACTTGAACTTTTGCAACACAAAATGACGGCAAAGTGCCAAAATTTGAGATTGATTACCTGCATATAGAGAAATTGTTATCTTTTTTTGCAGATGTCCAACTCGTTTCTTATCAAGAATGGGAACAACACAAAATATAGTTATTCATTTGAAAGCCATTGCCGAAATGTTTCAGTAAAATCTATTGTTTGTGCTAAGTCGAGATTACCGTCTAAGCGGAATTTACTAATTGGGAAAGAGAAGACGCATCAACATCATGGCTATCATAGAGCAGTTCGCTCTATCCGACAGGTTTCAAGCGGGTAAGTCTATCTCCGGTGTAAGAACACGATGAGTTTTTCATTCTCTGAATCCCTGATACAGCTTTGTAAGGAATGACGTTCCGTGTGCATATATATTGTGCTTATATTGTAGAGCAAGCACCCCCAAATATGACAACCCATGGTGCAGATACCGCAATGTGAGCCTCAATCCAATATCAAGTGTTCGGGGTTGAAGATTTCAAAAATGTTTTGGAAACTTAAACTTTAACGTTATGTTTCAAGCCCTATGGATATTTTGTTCATTGGTTACAATTGCATCCTACGATATGGCCTACTGCGTCAGAAAAGATGATCACGGAATGCGGTATCTAGCTTGTTGAGCCATACGATGTTGCTTGCCAACCTCTGGGTAGGACAACTCTCCCTACTTTTGCCAACGCGACATTTCCAAATGGAAAAACAAACGTATCCAAAGTAGACTCAAAGTGGCTTCATAGAAAGTTTCAAAATTTGAAGTTGTTTTCCGAGTTATTGATTTCGTCTCTCAGTTCATCGCACAAGAATGGTATCCCTGGCCCTCCTCCGTTCAAAATCCTCTATCCCTACAGATGGACCTCATCTATTGTAACCAAAATATAGAAATTAAAACAGGGGAAGGGTGGTGTGCATTGTTTTCTTTTTTGGTTGTCAATATATTATCAATTACTATTTTTGCACTCATTAATGAAATGATGATTACACGTGCAATAAGAAACATTCAAGTATGATGGTTGTGTATTTGGCCAGATCTTCCATAAGTTACTGCAAATAATATTGGCACTGAGGATACCCAACACTTCGGTAGGGAAAGCTTCAATCTTCGGCCCATTAGAAGAGCTTTACAATAAATATAACTATGCGAAGTTGCTAATCAAGCAACAAAGTGGACACATAAATTCAGATTGAAATGCAATATTGTAACAAACTAAATACAAAAACTACATAAACTACTTAACTAAACAATTCACGCTTTCTCTCCCAATACTTCATCAACATTTTTAACACTATGTTGCTCCTCATAATCTGATTCTGTGCCATCAAGGTTACTCTTTGGTCCAGTGTATGTTCTCCAAGCCCAAGCATAATAATAAATAACTGACAATAACCAAATTCCTCCATTGATTACGCATGTGTAATTCATGCTATCTTTGTCAACCGTCCTATTCTCTGGGAACATGCTCATAATGATGGCAAAGACAATCCACAAAACCGTAATTATATTGATGATGAATGTTAATGTGTTTCCAAAATGGAATGGTCCTGGGATGAACTTTTTACGGCCGTAGGGTAAGCACACAAGAAATACAGGCATACCCCAGGCTAAGTTGTTGGACGTAATTGCCAACGAGAACAATGCCCCTGACCCGGCAGAGCCTGGAATAAGACATAAGCAGCCAATCACCAATGCGCAAATGGCTGCAAATATGGTTGCTCTGATTGGTACTTTGATTTTTGGATCAACATACTTCACCCACTTGTAAACCCCTGGTAAGCCATCATCTCTTGCAAAAGACCAGATTTGCCTCGATAATGCGATTGTCAATGAGATTGCCATAAGGTATTGACCCACACAAATCAACGACATGAAAGCCACAGTCCATTTCTTTCCCAATGCATCGTAGATTATTTGAGCTAAAGGTGAGCCGGTTTCTGCTGCAACAATACGAGCAACATTTCCATCCTTAATACATGCAGCACAAACAACAATAACTACCCATCCCAAGAACCAGCAAGCACAGATGGATCCCAAGATTCCCACAGGAATAGACCTTTGTGCGTTCAAAGCCTCTTCTGAGCAATGGATAACTGAGTCAAATGAACCGATGGTCCAAACTGCTGTATTGAACGACATTATGGCACTCCATCCAATGGGCCACTCTCTTGAATTTTCATATGTGCCAAAGATAAATCCTCTTCCATTGAAACTATGATGTCTTCCAAAGCCAGCGGGTACTGCAATGATGAATAGTAAAACCAAGAATACATTGACACAAATTGATACTGTTTGAAACTTGGCAGCATGCTTGGTGGTTAAACAGGATATGACCATACACAGGACAATACAAGCAGCAAATACACCATATGATTTTGCATTGGTAATATTAAAATCATTGTCCTTTGAAACTGAAACAGCCGACAACACCTCGGTTGCAAACCCAAAACTGATACTGCAAATAGCACCAGTCAATCCAAGTGAATTTGAGCAACCGATCATAAAGCTCAATGGGACTCTGAATGTATCGGGACAGTAGTAGTTTGTGTAATAATACAACCCTCCACTGGTTGGTATGGCACTACCCAAGAAACTCATTGACAATCCAATGCAAAAGATGAAGAAACTAGCAATAAACCAACCCCAGACAAGACCAGCCGGTCCAGAGGCTATACCAATATTGAACACTGAGGCAATACTGGGTAGAAGACCCATAATTGAAAACGCTATTCCAAAAACTTGTATGGTTGAATAATGACGTCTCAACTCTTGCTTGTAACCAATTTGGTGCAATAATTCGACATCTCCTAAATTGTGTTGTGGATCAACGTGTCTAACCTCTGATGCTGAGGTGACAATGTGATGTAAACTGTGCACGGGTGAAAACGTTGACATGTTTGATACGAGGTGAATCAATTGGGTACATTGTTGAGATCTTTACGAAGAGTAGACGATTACGACTCTTTTATACACTGTTGCAAAAATGATGTTGCAAACTAATCAAATCTCCACAACTCTATCTTAGCGGCTTTTTTACCAGTCAGTTGGCGGAGTTTGCTTCAAGATAACACGTATAAACTGCCTATGGAAAATGATATCATGGGACGATAAAGTATAGCTTAATCTAAAAAGCCTTTTTTTCTTAATAAAGTTTCACAAAGGAACAACAGTATAGGGTAAACTAATTTCCAACAACGTAATACTATATCGGCGTTTGTGGTGTAGTCTCTTCTGCAGTAATCACTGCCCCTCCTTTTTTCCAACACCAAAGTTTAGTCTAATTAAACCCACCTTCCCCCCCCCCCACTCCACTACGAAGCTTTGCTGCATACTTTTCGCATGTGTATGTAACGGAAATTTCAATGAAAAGGAACGAAACGTTTGTCACTTTTATGCGGGCTATTCCGAAGACGATGTTATAAACCCATAATTTCAAAGGGGGTTATAAAAAAATTGTTGGAAAATAATATATCAAAGGTTGTATTTTCTGATTCAATTATATAATAAACTTAAGTGGCAAAACTAACACAATGGTTGCGGCTCCTGGTGTTAAGATGGAACGTCTGAAATTATTACAACTTTAAAATCTAAAATGTTGTGTTTTTTCTGTTTTTTCTTTGGGGGGAAGGCACTTTGATTAGATCTATTTTGTTACTCATTTTGCTCCACTTTGAAAATTTATAAAACTTTAAATGTGTCAAAAGATCAACAACAACAATCAATATTTTTTCTTAGCTATATATCCTTTTAAAGCAATCTCTTTCTTACAAATATTGACTAAAAGCATGTGAGCCGTTTAAGCGATACCAAATAGAGGAGGCGTAGGTGGGAAAAAGGTGGGGGGGAGTGAGGCAGAGAAAATGTCAGGACTGGATTGTTACTCAGGACGCGTTAAGTTACACAAAATTTAATTACACACTGGCGGACATTGACTAATTAGGCAACTCGTCTTAGTAAAGCTCTCTTTTTGCAGCTGAAGCTCATAAATAAAAGCATGCATTATCCCCACAATGTGTCCTAAGAGATACATACGTCCATGACATTTACAGCTCACCCTGTTCCTCAAGGGCAATACCTCAGTAGTGACAAGTAGATCTACCAAGAAATTTTTCCTTGCTTGTTTGTCCAGCACATCGTTTATGGGAGGTTCACATTCGTGAGGAGAAGGCTCTATCGGGATGTTGTTTATGTAGTTGGACGATTGTAACATGTTTATAGGGAATGCTGAACTGAAAATGTTCATTCTCTTCGTCTCAAATGCAATTTTGCGCCAAAACATAGACAAATTACAGTGAACACTTCACCTTACAAATTTCTCATATGCATTACACTACAAACACATCAACGCAAGCATCGTGAGCATTTCTAATTATTGATAATGGTTGATGCTAAACTATGATTATGTTGCTTGTTAACAATTGTGTATCGTGATCACACTTGGTAGCCACAAACATAAAAAAAAAATTGCTCCCTGACACATCAACACGTATTCGACCTACACTATTCATCACAATTTTACAATGTTTGGTTTGGGTAAATTATTTTACGTCATAGTGTTGACTATCAATGGAATAGCTGTCTTAAGTGAAGACAGATTTTTGAATAGAATAGGATGGGGATCAACGACGACTTCATCTTCTGCCAATGCCAACTTGCAAAACCAATTTAATCAATTCAATACTGGGTTGGAAAGTAGTGAAGGGTCAATCAAGACGAAGTTGATCAACCTAATAAGTGCGGTGCGCACATTATTGAGGATACCGTTGATTGCTATAAACATATTAATTATCTTGTACGAAATTGTGTTGGGTTAAGCGGTGGTGTTGGTTGTTTCCAAGCCTTAGCCTTATAATGTCGGCAAAAACCCTTCTTGACAGGGACGACTGATTGTTACAGAGTATATAAGTTTTTAAAATACATACTACAAACATCCCCCTTTATGCACTTTCTTCCTGTTTGACTTCGTGTGGAGGTGAACCAGACTGACTTTGTAAACGGTCTCTTGACTTTTTAAACAATTCTTCTTGCTGCCTCAACAATTCCTCCTCACTCAATCCCGAGCTCTGAAACTTGTTATTCCTTTTCTCTTTACCCTTTAACAATTCCTTTTGTTCACTGAGAATCTTGTTTATAATTTCCAAGTAGTTTTTAAAATCCAATTCCTCTAATGCTTTGACAACATGATCAGACGCAATCGTCTTTTTGGCCTCCTTTTCAGCAATATCATTCAGTTGTGTAGATAGCATCATTATAAATTCAATACTGCATTCCGTTATTGCTTCCCTTGCTTCTTTTGATATGGCGATGTCCTTGGGCAAGATTTCAGCGATTATTTTTTGAACTGTTGCTTTAGGTAGTGATAAGTCTTCACTATTCGATCCTGGGTAATCCGACATTTCAAGTTTGAAAGCGCCTTTGGTGTTGAAGATGGTGTGTGTGTGTATGTGGGGGGGGGTGCAAACACAGAGCTTTCTCTCGGCTATAGTAAGAACTTCTCTACTTTAATCCTTGTTTTCAATTGCGACATTTTTATTTTATCGCGATCAAAAAGTGAATCTCCGGTTTTCCTTGGACCAAAAACTTTGCCTTTAATTATGCTTCCACGAAGGCTCTGCAGGTCGGTCCTGTACATCGTATTTCTACTATTCACAGCATTGGGCTTACTACTTTTAGCCAACAAACATCAAATTGTCGATCTTAATAAGTATGTGCCGTATGATTTGTTTGCCAGTACAGCCCCATCTTTCTTCCAACCTCCATCGGATTTGTTCCTTCTAGATATATCTATTAACAACTGTAACTTTTACAACTATAAGAATCCAAGTTGTGGGACACCAGGTCCCGAGATGGGAAAGTTTGGTGATTTAACTGAATATGAAGGTGGATGGGTTAGACTAAAAAAGGATTTATGTCTTGGAAAGTCATGGCTCAGAAAGGAGATATTTTCAGTGAAAGAGATTAATCATGCCAATTATCAAAAACTTCTAAGTAAGACGCAATTGAAAGACGAAGTGATTGTTGATATTGCTGTGCAAGATCCGGAGAATGATTTGAAAATTAAGGGAAATGGAAAATTAAAGTTGCCACGATATGTGATTGAAGATTATCACAAGCAAAAGACATATGACGGAACAACGCAGGAGAGTTTAATTGAACAAAATAAAGATGAAACACTAGATGGATCAACCCCAGACTCGTCGAAAGCGAGCCACAAGATTCAAGAAATGAATGAGAAAGTGAACTCAGAGAATGCGAAAGACGATAAGGATTCATCAGGGGATGCAACTCACAACAAAAGGGAAAAAGTTGCAAACAAGGATGATTTGGCTAGGACGTATTACATACCTACAAAAGAGGAGCTAACAAATAGCGGATGGCAGTGTAAGTCGCATGGTATTTGGGTAAAGTATGGTCCCCACAATAGCAAAAATGTAATCACTGCCTTTGACATTTTGTTTGGGCTTGACGCGGTTGACCCTAGACCAAATTGGAACTTGGTGAAACTGCCGCTTAAGGGTGTTTGCAGTTTAGTGGGCATCCCACCTTTCATAACCTACCGTCGCGGACCTAAACTTGATTACAAAAAGGAGTTTTCCAAGCCCTTAGTTATGAATGATAACGATGAATTCAAGATCCTTCAAGTTGCCGATTTGCATTTTTCCACTGGCTATGGTAAATGTCTCGACCCGGAACCTGCCTCGTCGGCATCCGGGTGTCAGGCTGACCCTAGAACATTGAAATTTGTAAACAAAGTTCTCGATATTGAGCAACCGGATTTTGTTGTTTTAACTGGTGACCAAGTCTTTGGTTCATCGGCGCCTGATTCAGAAACGGCTGCTTTGAAAGCTTTGAGCCCATTTATTGAACGTAAAATTCCATTTGCTATAGTGTTAGGAAATCATGATGCAGAGGGTTCTCTAAGTGCCAAGGAGTTGATGGGATTATATTCGGATCTACCTTATAGTACTGCTGCTATGGGACCTGATTCAATCGATGGTTATGGAAACTACATGGCCACCGTGCAGGGTAAAACCAAATCATCGGTTGCTTTGTCATTCTTTTTTGTTGACTCGCATGCTTATAGTAAAAACAAAAAAGTGTATCCTGGATACGATTGGATCAAGGATAATCAATTGATATACATGAAGGAAGAGGCTGTGTCTATTAAAGACGGAGTTATCGAATTTGAAAATGAGAAACACACCGAGAATGGCGAATCAAAAAATAAAATACATCTTTCAATGGCGTTTTTCCATATCCCATTGCCAGAGTTCAAGAAGACAAAACAACCTGTGATTGGTCAACATAGGGAAGGTGTCATATCTCCGATGTACAATTCCGGTGCTCGTGATGCATTTCATGACATAGGTGTGAAAGCGATAAGCGTGGGACATGATCATTGTAATGACTACTGCTTATTGGACGAGCAACAATCTCCTACAGATGATAACAAGATATGGTTGTGTTATGGAGGTGGAGTGGGACTAGGTGGTTATGGCGGATATGGTGGATACGTTAGAAGAATGAGAACATTTGTGTTGAATACTGCAAAGGGTGAAATTAAATCATGGAAGAGGACGGAAGATGAGCCTGAAAAGAAAATCGATGAGCAAGTGTTGGTTTCAGGAGGGAACGTCGTCAATTGGAAGTAGAGATGCGGTATATAAACAAATATTCGAGGTAACGAGTAGCTCTAATGAAATTTATTCTATTCTAGATCTAGCCCTGGTGGGTAACGCCCCGGTCTAGGGGGTCTAGGCTTCTTCTTTGGTCTTCTAATCACTTTCTCATGTTTTTCTCCTCTTTCCCAAGGAGGTGCAATGAACTTTACTAATTCGTTAACAAACTCCCCTGGCAAATCATGCGATATCCAGTGTCCGCAATTAAACTCTCGGAATTTTAAATCAGTAAAATATTCTTCAAATACAGGAAAGTATTCTGGTTTCACAAATGGTGATTGGTTCCCGTACATGGCCAAAGTAGGATGAGTGAATTTTTCAAAATCTGGAGGTAAATCTGGCCATGACTCAACGGTTTTAATGATATCATGTTTCCAAAAATTCATCACCGGAATTCGAAATACTTCTTTCAAGCGATTTTTTACATGGGGATTGGCAATATCCTTATGAGTTAAAAGCAAATTACTCATCAATAACAGTCGAACAAGTGGACTCTTTTCATACCGGGAAAGAAACTTGCTTATCGGTTTAACTTCGGTGACTCTTCTTCCATTCGAACCCTTCTTGTATAGTTCCGGATGCACTTCGACTTCGCACATACCTAATACATCCGACCTGTAATGGGGGTCTAATGGCATCGAATGTGGAGTGTTGTCAATAACAACCAATTTCGAAACGAGATCTGGGTATAACAAACTTACCAACATGGCTACTTTAGCCCCCATTGAGTGTCCAACAAGTATACACTTGTCCCATTTGCGTTCCTTGATGAAATGAAACACATCCTGGGCCATTTGAGTATAGGAAAATGGCAATACGTGAGGTGATTCACCATGGTTGCGCAAGTCAACTGCAAAAGTAGGGACCTTGGTTACTTCACTAAACAATCGGCCCACTTTATTGAAGCTCAATTTGGAGCCAAACAATCCATGAAGGAAAAGAACTGGCGTTTCCTCTTTGTTGAGTTTGACTTTGTAAGGGATAAGTTGTTTCCACAGTAAGGATATTTTGTCATTGAATGGGAGATCTTGGATTTTCTCAATGTCGAAGGTGGGGTGAAGAGCTGGTAGGTTTGATGAGTTCAGCAATGCTGCAAAAGATTGAAAGAACCTCCTCCTTAATACAAGTGTTCGTAGTAGCATATGGCGAAGAGGACAGATTGGATTTTAGTTTCATCGATGTGCTGCTCTCTATTTCTTCGCGCTCGAATCAATTTGCAATTTTATTGAACCATCTACTTACTAATCGTCTACTCACTTTTATGACTCGTTATTTCCTTCACCACCTTCATTGTTGTCACTGTTGCCTCTACCTCCTCTGAATCCATTAAGTGCCGGGTGGTTCATCATGTCCGACAAATCTGGTCCGTTAGGTCCACCCAATCCTAAAGATTCAGCCATTTGACGAACAGCTGGATTGTTGAACATTTCTTGCATAGCACCTGGGTTTGACATCATGCTTTGGGCAGCTTGCATTAATTGAGGATTGCTCATCAAATTGGCAAATAAACCGCTTGGACCTCCAGATTCACCGCCAAAGAGAGAACTGAAATCAGGCATGCCTCCAGCACCAGCACCAGCACCGGAACCAGTACCGGAACCAGCACCTCCACCTGGTGCTGATCTGGAACTAGATTCACCAACATTACCACCACTTTTATCAGAGCTGGAAATTGAATTTTCCAAATCTTGCTCTACCCTCTTCTTTGCCGTTTCGTATCCTTTCTTCATACCATCTGATGGCTTATCACCTTCGATTTCTAAACCTTTCTTGTAAGCCTCCATGGATTCCTTTGCATTCCCAAGAGCGTATTGAGCTAAACCTAATCTGGAATAAGCTCTTGAAAAATCTGGATTCAATTTGATAGCTTTTTCAGCATCTTCAACTGCTTGTGCGTGTTTTTGTGCTGATGAGTATGCAGCAGCTCTGTTGGAGAGGTATACAACATTGGTTGGATCTAAACCAATTGCTTCAGTATATTTGGCAATCGCCGCCTCATAGTCCTTAGCCCCCATCAATCTGTTACCTTCGAGTTTCAACTTATCAGCCTTTTCCTTTGTGTTGTCATCAACAACAATAGATGATGGTTTGGCATCATCATCAGTCTTGGAGCCACTAGTTGATGGTGACGAAGCAATTGAAGCCTTGATCAATTCTGATAAGGACTTGCCATGGAATTTAGACTCAATTACTGACTTGTCGTCGTCTTTGTTTACATCAAATGCGTCAGCAATACAATCAATGGCAACATCCATCGATTCCACGAAATCCTCAGCAATGGTTTTGTCAGCTACTGATTGCTTCAAGAACCCAATAATTGACAAAGCAACGTCCTGATTAGAAACTGATGACATGGTTATAAAAAATAGCTTTTCGTGAGTGGGGTTACTATTGGTGAGTGAATCAGTCAGTGTCTTTTTATTTTCGTTGGAGATTTAAAAAACATGTAAGATTTTCGCCTCTTCTGAACATTGTAAATCTTTCATCATTATAATATTTGTGTAACAAAAACCTGGTCTATTATTTTTACCTATATTTTACTCTATACAAGTATTTGCTCAACTCCAATTGTCTTTGCTTCAAACACCGAATCTCTTCCTTGACATAAATCGATAAGCCAAACTTCAAGAATTGAGTTCGAAATGTTAAAAAGTTTGAAATCTGGGTAGCCATTATTTCGTATTCCCATTTGAGGTCAATGTTCAGCTTCATAATCTGCTTTACCAAATCCGCTTTTGAAACGACTAACTTCTTATATCGATTTCGTTTGCTGCTTCCAAGACCAAAAAGGTTCAATCCCTCACTTTCGTCAGGTATCAGTTCAGCATGGGTATGGGTGGAAGTTGAAAATAAAGAGCTGTTTGTTCCAGTACGATGAAGATTTTCGGCTTCTCCTTGATGATTCCCCTCTTGTGGGACCCCATTAGGAACATTTGTTTCGGGTGTCGGTTCCATTGATCTTAATTCCAGATTGATGTTACAAATCTCATGATACAACTTCTTCCAAGCGTTCACATCCAGATGAATTTTTTGAAAATGCTTCAACAACTCATCTCCAATCATATCGAGCCATACAACATATTGCGCTAAAGCACCAAGACTGCACTGTTGATAATGATACTCAGGTATATTAAACATTTTCGAAAAGAATGCCCGTTCATTTATACGACTCATTGATAAATCCTCAACATTTCTCAAATCCAATTGTTTGTGTTCCCCAATACAAACTAATTTAGCAAATTTGTTGAAAAGTGACCCGTGTTTCTTGACATCTTGAAACGAAAAGTCAAGGAAAAACTCCATCTCCTGAATGTTGCTGAATTTCAACTTGACCTGACCATAGTCCTGCTTTTGCGATTCAATAACTGCCAGAATCACTTGCTTTTGCTCCAAGACGGACAAGTTGTGAGAGATGTCTCCTAGGAACGTAGTGAATAGTTGTTCTGGATTGACGTCATTTTGAAACATCATGCTTTGAAACAAAACATTGAGCTGGGCTATTAACTTGTTTATTCTCAATTTTTGAAACATTGGACTTGTCGAAACATTCATTGCATGATTGCGCCAAATGAGATCAGCATCAGGAAATATAGACATTGGCCGTTGTAATTTCTCGACATACAACACTTGCTTTATCGATCTTAAAGACTGTGGTTTGGATCTGCAATCTTCATTTCTCAAATGAATTACCCATTCTTTTAAATTAGAGTCAAATTTGCCATTGAAAGCGGCAAGCTTATCTGGTCTATTAGCAGGAAAAAAATTCTGAAAATAATGATCAACAATAAGTCTTTCAATCTTTCTGTACTCTTTTGAAGTTGATGATTTAGTACTAACAAAACTCAAATAATCAAATACATTGTAGAAAGTCTTGTGATCTTCATGTAGGAAATCAAGCCGGTCGTCTTTCAAAATGTTGCATAGATTTTCCAAACGACTGTACTTGACATACAACATCAATGGAGTGAGATTTTTCGCATTCGTTGAATTGAGATTCACCAAATTCTCTTCTTTAGATAAAATTTGCGTCTGTGGTAGTCCCATGAGGATGATGTGTAGTAATGTGTTCCCTGACTTATCCATATGCTTATCAAAATCAATACCTTTTTTACCATATTTCTTGTAAACCGCGTTGAACCCCACTTCTAGCAATTCGGGATAGCTTGGGTGGTCATAACAACGGCACAAGCTGAATAAAGGAGTGTGTGAATTATGATCTTTAATCTCCCAATCAATCAAGTGACCAATTCTGGTGATTAGGTGATGGTTGTGAAACAAGTAATGTCCAATAGTGCGCCCTGTATTATCGGGAGTGTTAAAATAGGCAACTTGTTCACATATAGTGGCATTTTGAGTAACAACCGCTAAAAGATCATCCAATATTTGATCATCTGTTTCTTCGATCAACGCAGTCATGAAAAGATTTTGATTTGAGATCACATTCTTATCAAATAGGACAAAATCAATGGAAAACCACAGCATGGAGGTGTTTATTATCAAATTGTAGATTTCATAGTTCTTCGCCTTGATTGCAAAATCAATTACACTTTCACCATTGATATTTTTACTCAACAAGCAGTGCTTTGCAGGCAAATCAGTACCCAGGTACTCCTCACAAGCTTTTGAAACAATTTGCTTAACTTTTTCCACATCCTGATCCACTATACCACTCCACAAATCAAAGTTTTCTTGTGAGCTAATGGCGAGCGATTGCAACGAATCGCTCTCCGACAAATGACAAATGACCGCATCCAAATTACTTATTATGTAATTGAACTGACCATCGTTGGTTCTGTCAATGGCGTTGAAATTTTTGATATAGTATACGTGTGCTTCTATGTTGTCAATTTTGGCATGGACGACTGTCATAACCAACAATCCAATCAAGGTGTCTGCATCCACAACCAACTCACTGCCCTTTTTCGCTTGCGAAAGAATTTCCATGGTTTTGTAAACAATGCTAGTTTTCACGGTCAGGTTCATTACTGACGAATCCGACAACTTTTTAAACTCCTGAATTGCGAGGTATATGCGCTGGTGTAGCTCATTGATCAACCACGGTTTGCTAACCGGTAAGTCCAACTGATTCAACGACAAGCAAGAAAGACTTTCGTATTTAGAGGCCGTAAGATATTTCATTGCCTCTGGGTCGTACTCTTGCTTATCATCATTGGGGTAATTAAATTGGAAAATCATTTGCGACCACATTAGGTCGTATAAATTTATTTCAACGTATTCATGAACAAGTTTATTCAAATCAAGTTCAGGGTAGGTACTAACAATATGATTTAACAAGTTGTATGTTTGCTCGCTATTTGGATTTTCAACCCGAACACTATCCAGAATAATTTTATAAGCTTCTTCTTGCATTTTAGTAAACTCCCCTTTTATAAGACTCAATTTCTTTCTCGTTCTTGTCCTTAATTGATGAAATTGGCGATTGTTATGATGGAATAGTCGATAAAATTTGTCACTCACTGCTTTGGACAAAAGGGGAAAGTTACGCAATAATTTTTCAAATGTAACATTGGCCACATTTTCTGGCTTGGTTGACGATGAGGAACTAACTGGTGGTGGTGGCAAGCTCGGTAGTGGTTTAAAGGGCGGTGATCCACCAATGAGTGAGCTCTCAATATGAATAATCATAAACTGGGATCCTTTGGGGAAATAGTCGCAAAATGATTTGAAATACAGCACCGATGTAATTTTCAACTTAAGACTGCGTTTGAACCCTTTCCCGGTGTATATCATTTGATTTTTGATGAGTATTTGCTTCCCATTCATAGTGTTGTAAATAATCAGCTGCTCTTTAGAAATCGGTGTCACTGTTGATGAGACTGGCGCCCCCGTCTTTAGTATATGAGACCTAATAAAGTCCTCATTGTTGTAGCATAAGGTTTTTAATAGCACCTTTGTGCTTGAGTCGTCAGAGGCTGGATCATGAAACTCATTTAAAATGTATGCTGGAGGTAGAAGTATAGTATACTGGTTATGCTTGGTACTTAAATCCTCAATGGTTCTTTTAAAGGGGGCTTTGGAATGATGGGGATTGTTGAAAATGCAATTTAGTAGTGGGTTGTATAGAACAGGTAGATGAGAAGATGATCTTTGCTCTTGTTGTTGTTGTTGTTGTTGTCGGATCATGACCCGTTGAACATGTTGCTCATGTTTTGGCGAATATTATAGCCACCGAGATTTTTGCATAGAATCAGCGCTACCTTCATTTCGAAACATTCACCACCAAAATCCACCACAGCATTAGGACTTTCATACTGCAGTGAGATAGTGCTAGAGGGTATTGAACTAATAATGCACAGGGATTCAGAGAATGAAAAACTCATCGTGTTCTTACACCGGAGATAGACTTACCCGCTTGAAACCTGTCGGATAGAGCGAACTGCTCTATGATAGCCATGATGTTGATGCGTCTTCTCTTTCCCAATTAGTAAATTCCGCTTAGACGGTAATCTCGACTTAGCACAAACAATAGATTTTACTGAAACATTTCGGCAATGGCTTTCAAATGAATAACTATATTTTGTGTTGTTCCCATTCTTGATAAGAAACGAGTTGGACATCTGCAAAAAAAGATAACAATTTCTCTATATGCAGGTAATCAATCTCAAATTTTGGCACTTTGCCGTCATTTTGTGTTGCAAAAGTTCAAGTTTTAACCGCCTATTCTACATGAAATAATGAGTTTTCAGATTGCCATTGTCATTCCACTTGCCCCAAACGCCCCGAAAAGCCACACACAATCTAGATTACAATCTAGATTACAATTTTGAGGGAATTTTTATTCACAAAATGACGGGGGAGTTAATTGCCATCGTCTTTGTGCTATACAAATTACTACGAGGTATAAAAGCTCCCAGACAGCCATATGCTCAAAGTTAAAACTGTAAACTGCTTGGCTGTAGATTCACCCTCTCACTTGAGTAATGGAAGCGATCAAATCGAAAACAGACCAACACCTCCACAACATAGTCTCCTCGAGGTCTGAGGTCAGACATGTTGATCCACAACACAATTTAGGAGATGTCGAATTATTGCATCAAATTGGTTACAAGCAAGAGTTACGCCGTCACTACTCCACATTGCAAGTGTTTGGAATAGCATTTTCAATTATGGGATTGTTGCCCAGCATTGCCTCAGTCCTAGCACAAGGTTTAGAGGCTGGCCCCGCTGGTCTTGTGTGGGGTTGGTTTATTGCCAGTGTCTTCATCTTTTGCGTTGGATTGTCAATGAGTTTCTTGGGTAGTGCCATACCAACCAGTGGAGGGTTGTATTATTACACAAACTACTACTGTCCCGATACATTCAGAGTCCCATTGAGCTTTTTAATCGGGTGCGCAAACTCGCTCGGTTTAATCGGTGGCTTGTGCAGTATCAGTTATGGTTTCGCTGTGCAAGTATTGTCTGCAGTTTCGATTTCGCAAGACGGTGATTTTGATATAACCAATGGGAAATGCTATGGGGTATTTGCAGCATGTGTTGTCAGCAATATGATCGTGTCCTGCTTGGCAACAAAGCATGCTGCGTCATTGCAAACAGCTTCGATAATCATTAATGTTTTTCTTGTGTTGTTGTTTTTGATTGCTGTTCCAGCTGGGTTCGGCTCTGGTTTCAACTCAAGAGGATTCATTTTTGGTAACTTCGAAAATGCTCGGGACTGGAGCGTGGGATGGAGTTTCTTCATTTCGTTACAACCAGCGGTCTGGGTTATTGGTGCATTTGACTCAGTGATTCATTGTTCTGAAGAAGCCTTGAGTGCGCAACGATCAATACCTGTGGGAATCTTGGGTTCAATTGCTGCATGTTGGTTCCTTGGTTGGTTTGTGGTTATTGTATGTGCCGCATGTATCAAAGATGGTGATGTAGCAAGAGTTTTGGATTCAGCAACAGGATCGCCGATGGCTCAAATCATTTATGATGCATTGGGCAAAAGATGGGCTGTTGCATTTATGTCATTAATATCCATGGGTCAATATTTGATGGCAATTTCCATAACAATTGCATTATCGAGACAAATTTGGTCTTTTGCTAGGGATGATGGGTTGCCAGGGGTTTACAAATGGGCCAAGTATGTTGATCCAAAGATAAAAGTGCCAGTAAGAGCAACAGTCTTTGCTGGTTGTTGTGCATTGGTGATTGGCTGCTTGTGTCTCATTCCTGGGTCAGCTGGGTCTAGTGCGTTGTTTTCATTGGGAATTTGCTCCAATAATCTTGCATGGGTTACGCCGGTGATTTTGGTATTGTTGCCCTATGGTAGAAGAAAGTTTATTCCCGGGCCCTTTTACTTTGGCAAGTGGTTGACCAGAGCCATTTGTCTTGTTGCTAGCTGCTGGTCGGTATTCATTATTGTGTTGGCCATGTTTCCTGATTCAAAGGCTGTTGATAAAGAATCCATGAACTATACGGTTGTGATCAATGTCGGGGTTTGGATTTTGTCATTGGCTTATTACTACACTTGGGGTTACAGAGTATACACCGGGCCAAAGAGTAATCTTGACGAGGAGTACATCGATGGTGAAAGTATCCCAGCCTTGGATGAGGTTTTGCACGAGAAAGTGTAGACAAGTGGAATACAAATTTTTACGTATATTTCTTTCAATTAACTGTAGATCTTTCTCTCATACAAACCTCTCTTCTCACATTGTACTTTGTCGAAATGTGATTTAACACGTGCCAGAACTTGGTGTTCTTTATTTTTTTTGATGCTGGCTCCTTAGTTACATCCGACTCCTCCTTCATTCTCTTTGATTGTTGTTCTTGAATAAACTCGGTCATGAATATTTCATAACTTGAAATGCAATCGCCACAAACAAACTCTTTCAAATTTAAGTTGGATTTGGAATTGATAATTGAGGAAATTTCATAAAGTGGTTTATCACATAGATCACAATGTTTGAGAAGATGGAAAGATGGCAAGTCACCAAATATGGCTTGGAGATCATCTGAGTGGTGTCGCGGCTGTTTATGTGCAATTATTGATGATGATGAAGGTGATATCGTATTTGGATTAGTTGTTACATTTTGCTCAGGCTGTATGATTATGGTATCGGTAGAATTATTTGAGCTGGAAGATAAAACTCTCTTCTTAAAATTGGCAAGCGATTGTTGGCGTAGTAGATGATGATCTGAGTTGGAACGTGATGTCAATGTCCTGTGAGATAAAGAAGATGCAGGTGCTGCCGTGTAATAATCTTCAACCAAGACTATCGGGTCCTCTTCTTCGTACGAATATTCATATAGAGACTCATCCTCATCCTCCACCTCCTCTCCAATATTTTGAAAATCTAAATCACCAACGTATTCCGTTTCCGTTTGATCCGTGTGCCTCGATGGGTTAGAATCAAGGAGCGCATTCAGTCGTCGATCTCTTTCCGAAGATGGTCTTTTAATTGGAGGTGGCGGTGGAAACGGTAAGGAAGTTAGTGTAGTATCATCTACCAAGTCTAGTTTTGAAGGTTGTTGTTTTATAGCTTTGGGCATTTGAAAAGATCCAAAGGGGAGGGATATGAAATGAATCAATTGTTTACTTCAACGAGGGCTCCACTAAAAGGGGGTGGGTTTGCAAGCGAGCGTGGGAAAGGTGCTGTTTGATAAGCAACTTTGTTTCAATATATATAAATCAAAGAAATCATAAATTGTTTGATCCAAAATTATCAATTGGAATCTAAAAAAGTGAAATAAGCCAAAAGACATATATCTCCATTACACAAAACACTTTTTTTCTCTCTTACCGATTTCAATGAATTTCAAAATAAAAAAAAAAAAAATAAAAAAATAAAACTCTCTTATATGCAGTACATTCTATGCATAGAGTTACAACTTCTGACACTCTTTACACGCCTAGTTCTGTACGTCTAAAAGAATCTAGACCTTTTTTTGAAGCTGGCCCCACGACCCCCGACCTTTTACATTTGCCTCAATCGTTAAATCTGGTTAGACACACCCGCCTTTGCAATAAAAGCCGCAACGAATGATGATCATTGTCACTACATTCACCCCCTGTCGTAGTTAGCAACAAACAGTAAATACGGATCATTTTAACTTCTAAATTTAGAACTTCCTACATATTTTGATCACAGGTATAGCGTTTATTGTTGCCACGTACAAATTTTGTTGGAGACACACAAAAGAATTTTGATAGTGGGTTATGCAACTATGGTCTCACTTTGCTATACGAGACAAAAATTTTGTATGATATATTTGGCAATTGTGGGGAAACATATCGAAACAAGGTTGCTCAACCACTAGGGGTCGTAGTGAATGACACCTTTGATCTGAGCAATCTTACAAGATTGTGCAAGTTGGTATACTCACTCGAGGAAACTACGCTGATTTTCAATGCTAAATATTCTATTGGCGCTTTCTCTTTCTGCTATTTAACAATTCCAAGTAAGGTAAGTCACCATCATTTTCCCATTGATCATTAATCCAATACAAGATGTCATTCATGATCTTGTTGGAAATTAACTTATCTAGATCCAATTCCTGACGTCTCATTCTATACATGAGAGTTTCACAAAGTTCCACTAGCAACAAGTCCCCAGCACTGTTTTGTTCTTGGTGATAATATTGGTAGTTTTTTCTATTTTTGAAATGTATCAAACTTTTCAAATCAGTTAATTGTAGATTAAATCGCAACTCCAACACTGTCAAATGAGGAAAGAATCGAGATTGATTCAATGCATTAGCCACGCCCGAATTGGTCAACCTTGGACAGTTATTTAGTGATAGACGCGACAAGTGTTTCAAATTGTAACCTATTTGCCACAACACGACATCCGATATGTACGAGCCAGCAAGTCCTAATGTGTGTAGATGATGGTTATTCTTCACTAAGGTCCCAATAGAAGTATCAGTGATTAAATGCCCTTTGTTCTTTCGACCCACATTAACCAATTGAAGCTTATGATTGGCTTTAAAAATGTGATACAATCCTGAGTCAGTGAGCAATTCACACGCTCGCAAGTCCAAATGCGTCAAATTGGGACAATTCTGACTGATCATGTAACAAAAATCATCATCTATTGTCTTGGACCCGGTAATTATCAATGATTGAAGATTGGCACCGCAAGTTTGGAATATGTCCCATGATGGGTATATTTTAGGACACATGAATAATTCAAATGAAGTAAGATTATGAAAATTAATATTGTTAATTGCCTGATTGAATAGGAACTGGTTGGAATGGAATAACCTATAAAGATTAAACAGTTGTGGTTGGAATTGTACCGAATTGGGTCCTCCAATGGTGGTTGATTTGACATATTTTTGGAATTGAACATCATTGGAAAAGTAAAACTTTTTAGCTAGTAACTCCGTGGTGATTCTATTGAATAGTTTATTAACAAGAAGACAATTGAATAAGGGGTTGGTAGTGGTGAGGTGTTGTTGGAGCTGTTGTTCACTATTTTCAGCCATTGCCTGTTGAGCCAGCTCTTTATCGCCATAAATCAACAATGCATGATTATAACTCATTGGTTTTCTTCGAATTGGAGTAGGTTCATGAGGCTGGTGATCATTTTGAGCCTCCACAAACAAGAGTATACGATGAACAAGTTCAGGCACTTGAAATACAGATAAGACGCTTGATTTTGGTATGTTGTGGTTCTGTTGTTGCTCGTGAGTATCATTATCTGCAAAGATGAGTCTCTTTCCCGGTGAAATTGTATCAAGGAAAGTAAACTTGTGAATTGGTTTAATAGGAGTTGTTTCAGGGGTGTCAGCATCATCATCAGTTAAATCGGGCAAACTTTCCAAATCAGAAGACGATGGTGAAGACGCATATGAAGTATAAACATCCCCCACAACAGAAACATCGTCTCCTTTCAACCTTCGACTTGATTTGCGGCTCCTACTTCCCATGCGTTGACTTTTTCTCCTCTGTAAGAATGCCGATAATGAATTTGATGAAACCACTCTCCTAGCTTTCTTCAAGGGAATGCTACCTCTATCATCTTCCCCACTTGTATGCGATGGGGATGAAAATGGATTATAAATGGGACAATTATCTGATGAATCATAAGGCAATGGTTTAGTTGGGCTATAACTCATAATTGGAAGCTTTAAAAATGCAGATTGAAAAGGGTGATTGAATGAAAATTGAATGGAGTGGTTTCCAAGTGTAACATTAAAATTAAGGTAGAACCTGTAAAAAAATGTAGTTTCTAATGACTGAATATGCAAAAAGCAATGGTAATTAAATGATAGACTGGGGTGAGTTAGATGTAATTGACAAAGTGTTGGATGCTGATGATGAAAGATGAGGTGCAGACGTAGGTGTAGGTGTTTGAGTAGGCCAGTGGTGATGTGCCTCCCCAACGTTAGGTTAAACAATTAAAAAAAGGGGCTTTCGAAGTTGATGGAAAGATGTGTGTTCTCGAGGGATGGAGGGGGGCTATGGCCGTGTTTATATACCTGTTCCGCGTCCAGCACGTTAATGCAAGTAAGGAGGAAAGGAATGTCACAAATGTACGCTAAACAATAAAGCACCCAAATATGTTGATTTAATGTAAAACCCTTTCTATTTGTTTGAAAACAATGGTGAGTTGATGCAGACACTTTGGCAAAGCCAGCTACTTTAATTGGTATGTGAACGTGAAAAATGTTCGGTGAGTTTTGACGATCAAAAAACAATAAGAAAAGTACGACAACCCAGAAACAAAACCTTTTGTCTATATTTCAATGTTTACGTTTCTAAAACTGGCTTCTGAAACAAGCTGGAGTTTGTGGTCGTATCACGCTGTTGCATTGTGTAGTGGCACTTTAAAGTGAAAAAGATGGCTGGTTTTGATAACTGAAAAGAGAATTGAATTTTTTTCGTTGCGTTTATTTGTGTAACCTTAGAGCTTTATTTCCGCTTGAACACAAAGAAACAACCCAATCGTATCGAGTCGAAAAATCACTTCAACAACCGGACCAAAGTACTCGACTGTGAGTTGGATTGCGTTCAAAAAGGAAGAAGTAGTACCCAGTTGTTTGCACAATGTTGCGACGTTCCAGATTTACGATTTCCGCTACTTCTTTTAAGCAAATTCTCCTCGAGGAACACAATACTCAACTGGGTCATTCCAAAACTCAACTGGAGCGGTGCAACAACAACTACCTAATCTCGAGGGACTCCTTTGAATGAACATAAGCTTTATAGTTTTCGTGCCTTAAAAAAGAACATTTGTAGACATCCTTTTTCGTTATTCATTTTTGTTTTTTTCGACCACAAAGCGCCAATCTTGGGGAGCATGAACGCGCAAGGCTGGCTCATAATTTCTGCAAATCTTTCTCACCACCTTTTTTCGATATGCAGAAAGTATTTTTTTGATCAAATTAGACAGGGGGTACAGCTCTTTGTATCCCCTTGTTGTTACTCTCTATCGGAATTTAGTAGGAAATAAGTAAATATTATATGACTACAAAAGGCTTGGTATTTGTTACGAATTGGGGAATAGTCAAAGTGAAAGATATTTTGTACAAGTTTCACAAGATAATGCAATCCAACAACAGGCTCGGATCACAAACGAAAAACAGGCTCTTCGCCCTTTCTTTCAAGACACTTCCAGCAAGCCAAGTTGTTTTCGAAGTTGGACGAAAAATCATCGTCTACTCGTAACTTAGAGACGGACTAGGTTGGCTTTTAGTAGTGACCACTGTTGAGAGTAATCTGATGTCCGTTGTTTGGGTCCCTCCCAAGCTGACGGGAGCAGCTCTTCGTCACTCATAGTCGTCATCAGGATATAGTTCCAGCCAATATTTGCTTTTACGAAGGATTTAGAGAGAAAAGTGGTTAGCATTGTCGTACAGTTTTGACACAGGCTACCGTGAGTCGCGGTTGAGATTCACCCAAAGAAGTGTCTACAATCCGCCACGCATCTTGAAAATCCTCTTTCACTATTCACATACGTTTGCTTCTTCATCTTGTCATTCGGACAAGTGACTTCAATGTTGTATGAATTTCAAAGCTTGAGGAGTTGGAAAAGTTAGACATTCTTTCGGCAAAGCTATCTCGATAAGCAACAATCAGGACAAACAACTAAATTTTACTGTATCTTTATCACATCTCTGAGTTTCGGCAACAAAAAGTCCGAAATCGATAAGAAAAATCTGTCATTTTGTGGCTTTACACGACAACACGGAAAAACTTTTTTGCGATGCTTATTATACTACAGTTGCTTGAGGTCAGCAAAACCTTGTAGATCCAAAGCCACAGGCATTGGGTGGGTAGCAGGGTCTCGAGTGGGTAAGTGGGTCGTTCTGGCTATTCCTCTTGCACGTTGTCGATTCCATGTGTAGAATCAGTTCGGAAAATTGTCCTGCATTCTTAAGAGAGAACAATTTATTTTAATTTTGGTCCGTTGAGTGTTGGTGCAAAGAAAGGGTCCAGCATCTTTAATTGGTGTAGTAAACGGTACATTCCCAAGTCTTATGATCACCTATTTGAGTCTTCCTCACCGACCTTCGCAAGGCTGAAATCATCTAAAGTGAATCTATGAGTCAAATATGGAAGGAAAAGAAGAATTAGTTTCTTTTTTTTCGCTTTTGTGTAACAGTACCAAATTCCTTTTGTTTTTTGATGAACTGCCGACTTTTCTCTTTTGTTGAAGTCAATATTACTCAAAAGTTGTGTTGTTAAGCTTTCACTTCTCCTTCCATAAGATAGCTTGCTTTGGTCTCATCTTGGAAAGTACACACTAACAAGCTACAACAACTACAATTTACAAAGGTTGAGCTCAAACAGTGGAAACCCCCGAAATATTCAAAACATATCCCCATCGCTTTTGAGATCTTGTGACAACAGTTCAGTGATCACTTAGATATCACCACCACTTATGATGTTGAAGAAACAACACAATACGTCAAAATCGACGTCATTATTCCAAATCAGATTAAAGAACCTTGAACACGATGTGCTTGTGTTGAAAGGAAGCCCTCACGAAGCTGCTTCAGCATTGTTATCAGGAAACATTGCCTTGTCTGTCAATGAGCCAATCACAATCAAAAAAGTCACCCTTAGGCTTTATGCAACTTTGAAATTGCGTGCTGATTTAACGTCGGCATCATCGGCTGCTGCTGGAACGAGCCGAAAATTGTTGAATTTCTCCAAAAAGGTGTATGAATATGATTGGGATTCAAATGAGTTTAATCAATATTTTGACCATATGTATGAGAATAACTCTCACTCGACGCCACAATTGTCCAAAAACGGCTCCTCAACTTCACTCAAAAACTTGAGGTCAAGAAGTGGTTTAAACTTGGCACAATTGTCACAATCAAGTCATAGTTTATTGTCAAGTCCAAGCAGCAGCTCAACCAATGTTTCAAGAACCGCCGTTTCTGGTGGTGCTACTAATCATGTTTTGGTCCAGGGTAACTATGAAATCCCATTTAGTGCCATTTTACCTGGAGATATGCCAGAATCGATTGAAGGTTTGCCAGGTTGCTCATCCGTTTATAAACTTGAAGCAACTATCGACCGAGGCAAATTCCATAGTGCATTGGTTACAAAAAAGCACCTTCGTGTGGTTAGAACGTTAACTACTGATGCTGTTGAATTGTCAGAAACTATTGCTGTTGACAATACTTGGCCTAAGAAGGTTGAGTATTCGTTGAGTTGCCCGACTCGTGCTTTGGCTATTGGAAGTGGAACTCCAATTAGTATGATGCTTGTTCCATTACTAAAAGGATTGACATTAGGAGAAATCAAGATTCAATTGGTCGAGTTTTACTCGTATGTGGGGAATGTACCACCCATGCATCAAGCAGAAAGAGTAATTGCTTCCAAAAAAATACCAAAGCCAGATCCTGATGCATTTAATATGGACAAGTGGGAAATTGAAACATTTTTACGAATCCCGGCCAGTTTATCCAAATGCTGTCAGGATGTTGACTTGCAACTGCATGTAAAAGTTAGACACAAGTTGAAATTTGGAATCGGATTGGTGAATCCCGACAACCATGTATCCGAATTGAGGGCATCATTACCTGTGCAATTGTTTATTTCCCCCTTTGTTACTGTTAGTTCCAAACATGAGATTGATTCAGCAACACCAAATGAAAACAATGAGGAGGATATCTTATTCACGAGCGACTCGTATGACCAACTCAGCGGACTCAATAATAGAGCTAATAACAATAATAGTGCTGCAAATTCAGCTAGCAATTCTCATACATCACTTACTGGATTGGTTGCACCACCAATGTACGATCAACACATTTATGATCGGTTGTGGTCAGACGTTTCTCCAATTGAAACCCCATTAACATCTGGAGCCTCGACTCCAAGGAGTAGAGGTGGTGGCTATCTTGGTGGCGACGTGGGTCAGTTTGCCATGTCTCCATTGGATTCAAATGCATTGAGTGAAAACCTTAGACAATTGAGCTTACAGAGACAAGCTCAAGAGGCGGAAGCAAACTCACAGAGCTCTCGCAACGGTCGAGCAACATTTAATTTTGACGAAGAAGATTCACATTCAACTCCACCATCCCTACCAAGCAATGATTACTTTAGTCGAGTTCCTGGAGTAATTCCAAGAAACCGTAGCTTTTTGCAAGACCATGTAATGACACCTCCTGTACACTTGTCAAGGGTCAATTCTGATGTCAATATGCTTAGCAGCAGTGACTTGTCACGAGTCCCTTCCTATAGCCAAGCGATGAAAAGTGTTGCTTCGGGCGATGATGACGTTGCTCCAGCATATGAACCACCATCTCCGGACTCTCACATCAACTTACAAGAAGTGAATCGAAACTTGTTACAGAATAATCAATCATCATTACTTCGTCCAAGTTTGCCACAACGAGGTCCAAGCGGACGCAAATCTGGTTCTCGCTCATCTTCAAACAACACTTCACCGTCGGTTTCTCGTAATGTGTCATCCACCAGTTTATCAAACTTGATCCCGTCGCGTAAATCATCAAGCAATTTAGCTGCTTCATCGGGAGGTAATGGATCACATTTGACACCCTTGCGAGCAGCTTCAGCAACCAATGGTGTTGGATCGTCAAGTAACTCATTATCAACTAGTCCTGTGAATATACGAGGTCCAAGTCCAAATCTGTCGAGTGATGCATCGAGTGTGAGTAAATTGTCACGAAGTGCTTCCGATAGACACGCTGGTGTTCCAATGAGAACTTCGTCGAGTTTGAGTTTGCACAATTTGCACTTTTTGTCAAAGAAGAAAGATAAGAGGTAAGTGTATAGATTTGGGAGTAGATTATAGAAGGTAAATGCATTTACACCTGTCGCTGTTTTTGGCGGTTTTCGCAATAACTTGCAACCGCGAAATCGGTTCATTAAAAATTTCAAAAACCTCTTTGATATCAACGTAATCCCGCTACGTCTATCAATCATATACAAATATTTTCCCACATGATTAAGACTAGCACAAGATTGGGTCTCACCCGCTTCTTAAGTTCAGGAAACAAACCGCCATCACATTTCAACTCGGGTGAAGTTCCACAAACATACAGTTATCATAGCCACGGCAACCAATACGGACATTCTCCACCACCCCCACCACAATCATCAGCACAATCATCCCCTCCACAACAATCGTCAGCTTCCTCCAACAAACATGAAGGATCAATAAGAGAAATCACCAGCTTACTAGCCATGTTTGCCCTCGCTTATCTTGCCATTGACAATTATACCGAACGAGTCAAGATTGAAAAACTTCATCATGATACAACAGCAATAAATTTAAAAGCCCTTCAAGTACAACAAATCAACTATGCGCAAGAGAGGAAGAAGCGGGATTTGGCCATGTTGCAAGAGCGAAGGGAAGTTGCTAAACGAGATTTCAAAATGGGATTACATATTGCCATGTTGAGGAAACAGTTGCTTGATGCTGGCATGAAACCGGTGGATTTGGAAGAAGCAGTTAAGGAATTTGAAAATAGTGTTAAAGCTGATAATTCGATAAAGAATGTCACTGGCCAGTACCTATGGCTTGACGATAAATCAGGTATGTTAAATCCGCTTAATCATTATCTTGGATCTTTACTAACAATTTAATCTAGAATTCAAGCCGTATTTACCAAATGCCATGGAATACGCAAAGAACCGCAAAAGTAAATAGGTAATAAACATTATAAAGCGTATTGAGCTATTTCACCGTAAAGTAAAAGTCATTGTGAGTGTTATAGGTCGTGCACAGGCTGACAAGCTTTTCTCATCTCGTGCACCACCAAGCTAAGAGGAAAAAAAATTTCCACCCATTTAACCACATTTCATCTCCTTTTTTCCTTCATCAATGTCTTTAATTATTGGCGCCCATTAGAGTCACGGTTTATATGGTATTTTCTTCTACATATTAACTACAATCACCTTGTGATTGTTTTCGTGCTCGGGTAAAAGCCATAAATTGAAATTACCAATGTTTTTACCAGCCTTGTTTTGTTCGTGTCTATTTCGTACAGATGAATTGACTACGCGGTTCTAAACATACATTTAGTGAGAAGATGTGATTTTATATGCATTGACGGGGAAAGATCTATGTAGGTTGAATGTAGGTGAGGGAAAGTCTATGTGCACAGTATGAATTTGACTATGCTCTTCCTTGTTTGATCATCTCGGCATCGATTTTGCCTAATGATCGTTGTTCTAATTTCAATTGTAGCAAGTTAAACTTTGGACAGCAGACGCTTTTGGCATCACGGCCGTGCTGTTCGTAGAATTCTTTGCAACATTTATATAGGTCATCGATGTACTTTGTACATTTTGATTCGTTGTATCCATTGGCCATAAGACAATCTTGGATGGCGCATGCTTTGGGTTTGCACGTTTGAGATAAATCGGTTTCACAGCTTTCGGACATGGTGGTGATTCTGTGGTAATGGGTTCTGTCGTACACTTTCCAAAAGAAAGAAAGTGTTCCCCCAATATCATTTCTCGGTCAAAAGCAATTGAAAAACGGTTCCAAATTTATTTTTTTCTACGGGACATAAAAATTATTCTACACTAGATCTATCTAAATCAGTATGATAATCATCCTCATCGTATTCGCTAGGTTCGCGAATAACCAAGGGAACAAACTCCTTTTTTGCTTCATTCTTTTCATTCTTGAACTTGTTGCTGAAAAAGATCAAACTGGCAAGAAACAATGAGACCAACAATGTAATCAACCCCCATCGCGATAAATACCATCGCAAACTCTCAATTTCTGATCTGATTGCAGAATTTAGCTCAGTAGTGATCTTGTGATTTGTTTCTTGGATTCTTAAAAACAATTTCTTTACATTCAATGTGTTTTCCGATTTTTGTTCATGGATTGCCACTTTTGAATCATTACGAAGTTTTAAATTATCATTGTTTAATTCATCAGAAATAATGTTGAAATCTCGTTCCAAAATGTTCACCAAGGTAATCAATTCATTAACATGTTGCTCTCTGCTTCGAGTTATATCAACCAAAATTTCTTGTTGAGCACTCTCAAATAAATACTGTTCACTTTCCATCTCATGTTTTTGCGCATATATTGTTGACAATTTCGATAGCTTTGAATTCAACTGGTATATTAGTAACTTGATTATCATATCAGCTTGTGCTTCGGTAAATCCAGCTCCTGTGAGACGTTTAAACACTTCATATGTATCAATATATGGCTCCAAGTTGTCAAAAATCTCGGTTAAGAAATCATCCTTGTTTGAACCTTCAGGTATCACCTTGGCCTCGCCCGGTATTATTGAACTATTCAATTCATTGTTTAGTACGTTGAGACTTGGTCGACTGGTGGTGGTTGCTGTGTCATGCTTAGTTGTTGTTGACTTTGACTGCTCGGTTTGTTTCTTGTCCTTTCCATCGCCATTAACGTTAGTACCTTTTGAAGTCGACGAAGAATTACCCTTTATCGCCTGGTTAAGTGTACGAAATGTGGATAGATGTCGAATAAACGTGTTGTGACTATGCGCCTGGAGGTACTTATGGATTAGTTGCTTATTGGTGTAACATTGATATACCTTGGGTGTGGCTAAGTAGATACTATATAATCTGCCGAGACATTGTTTCATTGTTCAACACGTGGTGTCCAGTTCCTTGTTGAGTCGGTGTTGTGGTGGAGAAGTGTGTCTTTTCTCGATGGTGTTTACTCTTGACAATAAAGCCGTGGCACACAGGTCAGGAACGAAGACATAAAGGGAGATCTTTTTTTTTAGAGAGAGAAGAAAATCTGGATTCACTTGACGCGCACAAGACAAAACAATACAACCCACACACACACAAACAGCACTGCAGCAATTGAAATTATACAATACGAAAATGGGAATTTTTAGCGAGAAGACGACCACCACCACTCTCATTTCTATGCAACAAATCATAGCTTGCACACTCTAACCTCACCGAATCCCCTAGCTCAACTAACAAAAGGTACTGTTTGCCTGAGGCTCATCTTTTAGGGGAGGTGCATAAGGCTTTTCTAATGCATAATGGTATAGTGATCTCGAAAAAAATGGAAACCCAAATTTGAGATGCAAAAAGTGCACTACTGCCATGTTCAGTTTGTTGGGGTCTTCATCAACACAAACGTAACCTTCAAGCAGATGATTAAACCCACGAGTGCTTTTTGGTGCAATAATGTACCCAGGTGTAGGTGGAAACTGGATGTTGAATTCTGGATCATCAGCTTTCAAATCATCTGATTTTGACGTTACGATTTTATAATTAGTAATACGGACACGAGAGTCGCAAAGGATAACAGTGAGCGTTCTTTGATCCTGATAAACTGCAATTATATTCTCCAAAGTATCCTCTAGCTCTGTCGTCACCTCATGCGGCTGAACCTCACTCTCATTCACGGTATAAGTAGCTTTTGTAAACTTGTTCACCACGACGATTTGCGGTAGCAACCCCTTGAGCTTTGTCAACTCTTCTGGATCACAAGTGTTACTCAAAGCAACTAATTCCACTAAAATTGCATTTTTCACGGAATCAATGAAATCTGCTTCCACTTCCCAGCAAGTTGCCTTCTTTTCGACAATTGTAACCGTTTCAATTGACGGAACTAAGCAACACCAAGTAACAAACTGACCAATTTCTCTCAATAACCGAACTCGTTCTGAAGCAACATGTGCTTGGTGCTGGGCAAAATATTCGCTTCTGATAGCAATAGCATATTGGACATCCTTTTTCTGGGGAACCTGAATCTTCCTATCTGAGTCCAAATACGGTTGAGGAATATCCGGTGGGGGTTTCAACAATGGTGGATGGTAGTGCAAAATTAAACCTAATGAAGTTGGTATATTGGATTTGGGGACATGTTGCAAAAATTGGTCCAACCCAATGGGAGAACCAGACCATGGGTTAAACACTCTCCAAAAAAGACCTGGTATTGATGTTGCAATGTACCAGTAAAACAGAATCTCTGTCAACAAATTTTGAAAGTACAGCAGTGACGAAATCTTGACATAATCATAGATCAAGTATTTCACATCTAAACGCAAAATCCGAAACAATTCAACCGAATGCAATATCCATTCATGAATGTCGAACAATCTCATATACACAAAGATGATATAAGTTAACAAGATCTTCAATACATGGGCAACAAAGATGTCATAAGTGGTGTAATTTTCTTTCCCTGAATCCAACCCATGATTGTAACTAGAATATATGTTTAAACTTGTTGCAGGTAATGTACTGATATCTTGAACACCAGCTATGGTCTCATACAAAGCAACTTTTTCCTTTCTGTTCTTGAACATGATTGTGGGGAGTAGCCAAAGAAATGTGACTACGGATTGGTGAAAACTGTTGCAAAAAAAAAATAGAATCTTTCTACAATTTTATGCTATAAATAAACAAAAGATATTCTGTATAATACTTCTTCTAAATGTAAACGGTATAATATCACTGAACTGAATAGTTGAATATCGGAGCCTCCACTAAGCTGCTTCAACTGCTTCCAAGAGTTCGTCCAAGTCACGCAAAACAGGAACGTTTCCATCAATTTCTTCAGTAGTACTACTATCTTCATCTTCATCGGATGAGTCAACAGTAATTGCAAAAGAGTTATCTTCCTCGACTGTGACATTCTTGGTTGGTATTATCAATTCCAACTCATCGTCGCTGATGTATTTGGCCTTAATCTTGTTGAATTTGATAACTTTATCAAATTGGAAATGCTTTTCAAAAAACACTTCTTTATTTTTGAATTCATTGATAAGGTCTTCAGCGTCTTCTTGTAATTCTTCATCTTCTGAAGATTCTGATTCCGACTCCTCTTCTGACTCTGATTCCTCTTCTGACTCTTCTGATTCATCTTCATAAGATCCTTCAAAATCAGCAGTCTCTTCATTCTCGCTATCAATTTCGTAGTCGTCGTCTGACTCTTCATTGTAACCATCCTCTTTCTCCAATTTCTCAATTTGTGACATAATGTAGTCCCTCTTGGCTCTCTCAGCCAAGCCTCTATCCCTGGCAACAGCAACCAATGAATCTTCATCACCTGAATACTCTTCTTCAGAAACATTTTCCGGTTCAACGTAGTAGTATTCATGGTCATCTTCATCATCTTCGTCTTCCAAAGCAAAGTTGATGAATTCTGCTGGAGTCAATTCAGTGACATCAACATCTCCATTTTCATCTTCATCTTCATCTTCATCTTCATCTTCATCTTCGGTCTCAGCACCAATAAAATTTAACTTTCCTTTGATAACCAATTCGTTTTCGTTTTTAAGAAATTCAACTTTCAACTCATCCCTAACCAATGATGGGAACCTGACATTCAATTTGTAAGAACCATCATCTAATTCTTCCAATTGATAGTCTTGGCTGTTAGCGACATCATCGGATAAATCCACCACCGAAAACTCTTCATCATCGTCTCTGATAACTTGCAAGTCACCACCCTCTTCTTCTTCTTCCTCATCGTCTTCGCAATTACACTCAGCACATAGCAACCTCTTGTCAATGGCTTCTTCATCTTCCTCCTCGCTGTCAACTTCGATGTATTCCGGTTCTGAACCCAATTTTGAATCTTCATCTCTTGATTCATACTCATCAGGACTTACCAACTCGCCCTCAAATTCTTGTCTAATGTTTTCAAGGAGCAACTTTTCATTCAACTTATTGGTATCAACAATGTAGCCAATTATTTCATCTTCACTTCCAGAATCTTCTTCTTCTTCGGAACTGTCGCCATCTTCAGTAACGTGGACAACAGCTTCAACACCATCGTCAGAATCGTCTGCTTCGTCAGAATCTGAATTCGAAACGGAATTTGAATCTGAGGTTGACTCCAAATCTGAACTTGATTCAGAGCTGTTGCTAGAGCTTAATTCTCCATCATCATAGTAAGCCACAATCTCATCGTTCAAGTCATGAACTTGAGGAGCTCCAACATCTTCAGCAGTGACCAAATTGCCATCCAAATCTACATAAAACTCATTACCATCAGAATCTAACTCAACATCGCTAGCATCAATGATATCAACGTCATCTTCGGAACTATCCTCTTCGGCATAGTCACGAGGTTTAAGTTCAAACTCATATACTTCCTCTTCTTCTTCTTCTTCTGAGGAAGAGTCGGATGAAGACTCGGAGCTGGAGTCTGAGTCTGAGTCTGAGTCTGATTCTGAGTCTTCACTGGAGGAAGATTCTTCATCGACGAGATCTTCCTCACCTATTTCAGCATCTTCACTTTCATCTCCTTCGCTATCTGGCTCCTCAACATATACGACACGTTGGGAAGGTTGTTGATGGTAGTACTTTCTGTACTGCTGCTTTTGAGGTTTTGCAACTCTAGAACCCCTCCTTGGTGTATCGTAATGAGCACTTTTCTTGTTATATTTGCTTTTATTTGGTCTATTGTACGCCATTCTATCTGTAGTTCACAAAGAATTTAAAAAATGGTTGTAATATCTATTGCAAATCTAGCGAAAGTTCCTTCCCCTTATATAATCATGTCAAGTTTGAAAAATTTAAGAAGCATCTTTTTGTAATGAGATGCTGCGGCGCAAATTGCCTAATGCGTACTTTGCCACCAGTATAGAACATTAAGGAAAATGTCACAAAATTGGATTTGGAGAAAAAAAAAATTTGCAACATCTCAGCTTCATTCAGTGGCAAAACGTGGGAAAAGTTGTCTCCACTATAGTAACCATCAACATGTTTCTGGCGAGACAGCCTCTTAAGTGCAATTTGTAAATAAACACTTTGGCCACATGACCGTACGGCATCAAAATTGTATTTGGATTTTGACCCGAAAGAGTAGGTACACGTTGCTCAACAAAGTGCCACCATCGAGAAGCATTGTTCTTGTTGATTGTAAAGTATGGACAGGTTAAATCATTAAAATTCGGACAGTCTTTTTGTGAAGGTTGTCAGACAGTCTTTTACGTAAGTGATGCAGACAGTCACCTTCGTTGATGTCATTGTCGAAAATGTGCTGTTTTGTTTTCGGGACTTAGGTAGTGTTACCTCAACACGATTATTCAAGATAGTATGATATCTACACGTGTGAATACTGACCATGTTGGACTGGTTATGCAGGAGATGCTGATAATCACTCAGTTAGTTATAAGTGGAAAGTTTGTGCACCCTCTACGAAACCTCGAGATTCGTTGATTTGCTGACATAGAAGATTGTGTCCACTGTAGTTCACACCGTATCTACTTCAATTACCACAACGGGTTAAAACCAAAATACATTCAAACAGAAAGACCTCTTTATCATTGTCAATTGAGCCCACCATGTCGCTGTCGGAGAATTTGTCCGATGAAATGTCTGTCAAAATGTCTGTCAAAATGTCTGTCAAAATGTCTGTCAAAATGTCGTGGAATGTGTCAGTTGCGCAATTGTTGTAGATAACCATCCAATTGTGGCTGCGGTAGTGCCATATCGTGCAGTGGCATCAACTTCATTGGCCCTTATCGAGTAACTGATAACAGTTATTGAAGTAAATAGATTTGTTTTGATTTCGCGAATTTAGCGAATTTCGCGACAAACTGGAATCAGACAGACAAAAATATTATCTATATTCAGACAGACAAAATGTACTTACAGACAGACAAATTGTGCTTACAGACAGACAAATTGTACTTACAGACAGACAGACATTTTTAAAATCCTGGGAATGTTGAGAAAAGGTGTGGTCAATTCACTACATCGGGCCGAGCTTCCACGAATGTTTGCTTGACGGAGTCAAATTCGTCAGTTTGGACCTTTCGTTGTCACATAGAGGTTTATTGAAACAGGGAAATCATAGCCCTACTTGATGCCTATCGAATTGAAAAGTGATCGTCGTGGGTGGAGGGGGGGTCCCCTTTTCGTAATTAAATACCGGTGCTGTTGAGGAGGTTCATTATTGTTCCTTCTGAGTGTGTATAGTTGAAACATAAATAATGTTATACAACTAGTGTAGATAAACTCTCCCACACTAAAAAATTTCATCTTGAATTGCTGCGAAAATTTCAAAATTTAAGCAACGACACTTGAGCCGAATTAAACATCTGCTTTTGATATGAAAAAACGTTCTAACTGGTTGATTAGAACCCGAACAATTGTCTACACCTTTTTTTACTATGACCCACTCCACTATCAGAGATTCTCTCCATCTTACAAACTTATTCGGTCAAAGTTGCTGGTTATTTTTCACATGTCAAAATTAAGAAATCATTGCCTCGCAATTTTAAGTGATTTATTTTTTATTTTTATTTTTCGCTCACTTTCAACTTCTTTTACCCCAAGCTTTCTGAAAACCACACACAAGTTGATTGGCCTTAATTACCACCCTTATAGACAATCACGATAACAATGCCCGAGTTCTCTCACCACATAAGAGCATCTTTTGAACCCAGTGAAACTAAATTATTGACATCTACACCTACAAACAAATTATTGACTGACTCGCCGGTTTTGGCAACAGCATTGTCACAGATATTTCCATACATTTTATTAATTGATGGTGTGCTAGAAACAATAACATGGACAAATGACGACCACTATCGTAACTTTTTGATATTAACGGTGTACTCATGTGTTGTTATGTATTGGAATTTGGTTAGCCATTTTGCACTTCCGTTGATTTTGGCATTGACATTTGCAAGTGTAGTTTGGCTGATTAGCTCAATTGTTTATGACTCCAAGTATGATGAGAAGCCAACAATAGAAGAAGTGTTGTATACATTGCATAATATCACAATACGATGTGAGATGATTTTCAGGCCAATTAAAAAATTCCCATTTACAATTCAAAATTATACAAGGTTATTCGTTGCCACGATATTGTTGTCACCGGTGTATTGGTTTTTGGTAAAGACAGTGATACCACCTCAGAAGTTTTTGTGGTACTCGGGTTTATTTGCCTTGACATTTCATAGTCCTCATGCATATGCCATTAGACAATTGCTTTGGAGATCAATATATCTTAGGCTTCTAGTTGTTTATATTACTGGATTGGATGTGAAAGTAACGAAAAAGTATGATCCGAGTGAGTATCAAGAAGTGTCGCGGGTACAAACACCAGCAACAAGTGACACTGAGGGTAAAAACATTGCCATTCCGACATTATCCAACTTTACAGTATTGAAAAAGAAAATGGTGTCACCAACTCAATTGAAACAAACGGTCGTATTTGAGATTTTGGAGAATGAAAGACGGTGGATCGGGTTGGGTTGGTCATCATTGCTATATCCTAGCGAGAGGTCCAACTTTTGTTACGAAAAAACACTCCAACCAGCACCTCCTATAACTATTCATAAGGAGAACTTCCCATTCCCCATTTTTGAAAACGACATATATTCGTACCAATGGGAATGGGCCGAGGATGACTGGAAGATAGATACCGAGTTCAACAAGGCTAAATCAGCCGATGGTTGGGTTTATTATGACTCCAAATGGGAACATCCTCGGTATCGCGATGGGTTCAGCAAGTTTACGAGGTCAAGGAAATGGACTAGAACTGCAATCTTGATGATTGACAAGCAGAACACTGTTTATGATGAGTAACATCTATAGTTGTATCGAATATACGTTGCAAAGAAAGTGTCGTGATTTACCTTTTCACGACATAGTAATCAATTTTTGTGTAGAGGACAAAATAGATAAAAAAAAAAAATAACAGTGCAATGGCATCTCGCTATCTCTCACTCACGTTGCAACCCACTTTCCTTGATAAGCATGAGTTCCACTTCGAATCTTGAGTATGAGAAAATACCGAAGAGATATATAGATCCACTTGCCCCAAAGGACAAAAGTGAGGGTTCAAGGGTCAATGGAAAAGATTGGAAGATTAAGAAAGATGCATTTAGAGTAAAGACATTGGGAGTAGCTAAAAAGAGTTCATTTAAGGAGAGAGAGTTGAAGAAGCTTCAGGAGCAACAATACAAGGAAAGGTTGAAGGAGCTTAAGGAGGAAAAGGAGTCTGCCAAGAAGCAAAAGATTGATGATTTGAAAAGAAGACGTGAAATCAAAGCCGAGAAGGAGAGACATGAAAAGTTGGCAGCAAAGATGCATCAAAAGAAGGTGGAGAGGTTAAAAAAACGTGAAAAGAGAAACAAGCTTCTCAAAGAACGTTGAGTGTTTTGGTGAGAAGGGTATACCACAAGATCAAATGTTTTGATATATTGAGGTTAACAGTGGTATATTGTATGTTCATCAGCTAGCAGGACAATGGCATACTATCGAATACAAACATTTGCAAAGCACCCCAACTCAAAACCCAAGAGTCAACCCTCGGGCTTTTCAATACCTCCTACCTCTTGTCATGTATATTGTTTATTGCTTGCTTTTTCCGTTTTCTTCTTTTAGATACTCAATCTAATTATTACTGTATGCTTTGATATTGTTTGCTTTTATTATTTCTTTTTGCCATTGAGTAAAATAATAATTAAAAAAAAAAAAAGAAAATAAAAAATAAGAAAGAAATGATCCACACACCAGGTCATTGCTCATCAGTTACCCGGCTACAACGTAAGAAGTATAAATAGGAGCGAAAATTCCTCACAAAATACAAAAAAAAAATTGACAACCTTGAATTTTTTAATCCTGCATATAGAAGAATTTTGTTTTTTATCAATATCAAACCAAACCAAATCAAGGATCTCCAGTATTCATTTATTTGGGGGTTGACTTAATTCTATATACTATATAAACACACACACACACACCACCACGCTACAACACATTATATCACTGAAGTCCATCATTCTCAACAGAGATATATTGTTAAGGTGTTATTTTGTCTTTTTTTATTTAACTCATTTTGTATTATATTAAAATTACATTTCCATTTTTCCATTTCTACTTTATCCAATATCAAAAACACAGTTGGGATACATTTATTTGTTCATCTCAGATATTAGATACTATTGCATATTCACACACACATACACACACATACAGCGGGGTATTTTATTTGCATATTTGATACTTTATTTTTGCATTACACACACTTGAACAAACACAAACCATGGATTCATTAAAGTTGCCACAAACAGCTGCTCAAGCTAAAGTATTCACTGCACCAAATTCGATATTGTTCCCCAAAGGTATAGATGGTGAAACCGGTGAAGAAAATGATAATAAAGACTTTGTTGCCAATGGAGCTAATGCCACTGTCAAAAAGGAAAAAAGTGTTGATGTACTTGAATCGAAACCTCAACTGCAACAGGAGCAACAACAACAACAAGAAGATGATGGTGCTACTTCGGGGATTGTCCCCACTTTACAAAATATAGTTGCCACGGTCAATCTAGATTGTCGTTTGGATTTGAAAACCATTGCATTGCATGCCCGTAATGCTGAATACAATCCAAAACGTTTTGCCGCAGTCATCATGAGAATTAGAGATCCCAAAACTACAGCATTGATTTTCGCAAGTGGTAAAATGGTTGTTACTGGTGCCAAATCTGAAGATGATTCCAAATTAGCATCAAGAAAATATGCTCGAATTATTCAAAAATTGGGGTTTAATGCCAAATTTACCGATTTCAAGATTCAAAATATTGTTGGTTCATGTGATGTCAAATTCCCCATTCGATTGGAAGGATTGGCATTTTCACATGGTACTTTCTCGTCATATGAACCTGAATTATTTCCTGGGTTGATTTATAGAATGGTTAAACCCAAGATTGTGCTTTTGATTTTCGTTTCTGGAAAAATTGTGTTGACGGGTGCTAAACAAAGAGAGGAGATTTATGCTGCTTTTGAAGCTATATATCCCGTATTGAGTGAATTTCGAAAATCTTAGAATGGGAATGATCACTATGGATTTATCCTCCTTTTTTTTTTTTTTTTTATAGATATCTGTATTAACAAAGAATGTCATGATTGAAACGAGGAATAGGAAGGGATTGTAGAATGGGTAATAAGTGTAGGCTTTTACTATGAAAAATAATCATTTATTGCTTTTGGTTTGGCGTCCTTTTTAACTATTTTCCTACTGGTGTATACCAACTTTGGTCTTTTTGAAGTGGTGGAATGTGGGTAAAGATCATTCTTCAATTGTGATGAGTCTGGCGTTGCCAGTTTACTACTACTCAGAGGTGTTGGCTCAACACTAGAGGAAGTCTCTGTATCTGACTGTTGAATAGATCTCTTTTTCGCATTACCAAATAATGTTGAAATATCTCTCATTTTGTTCAACTTGAAATGAGTTTTAGCTTCAAATTGAAGCTTATAGCAGTTGTCAACTACTGAGTCAGCTATTAGTGATGATGAATCTTGTCGCCATGGAATATCAAAATCAGTAAACACGGGGCAATGATCACTACCGAGTATAAACGGCCAAATATCAGCATTTGAAACTTGCTTAACCATTTCTGGTGAGCTACACAAGATTAAATCTATTCTTGATCCATAGTTGACTTGCCGTGAATTAGTCAATGTGTTCCAGACTGTGTACATTTTCCTTCTTCGTCCTTGAATATACCGGGTAGTGTCATAAAGAAACTGGTTTGTCAATGTCTGGGATGTACATTCTTGAATCATGGATCGTATAACGTACTCATTCATTAATTCACGAGCACGTTTTGATTGTTTAAATTTACAACATTCGTCATAATTTGCAACTTCAAACTGGTTTCCATCTGATACATCGGTGATCTGTTTTGCCATTATTCGTTCATTAATTCCTTCAGCACTATCAATCAAATCAAGACATACATTAATATCGCCCATTATAATGACATCTTTCCCCTCGTTGAATTTCAAATTATGGCAACGTTTCATCAATTGTTGCAAAAATTGTAATCGAAATTCTTCACCTTCATCTGTACCCAGTGAATTTGCTGGACAGTACAATGCAAACACAACACAATTACTCGCCAATTCAACAACAACGCATCTTCCTTCACTATCTATATGAAGCCCTTGTTGCTCATTGATATCGGTGTATCCACCAATATTGTCATCTTGTGATCGATATGGGTTCCCGGTCTTATCACAAAGCCAACCAGTAAGACCTTCTTCGGCTTTGGTCACAGTAAGGTATCGCTTTTGTAATGGTGTTTGAGGAATTCTAACAAAAAGACCTACGCCACTATACCCTTTTTTCCTTGTCGGTAGACTTATGAATGATTTGTAACTTTGCAAATGACCAATGTTTTTCAAAGTGGTTAGTGATTGTTCAGTTAGTTTCAATTCTTGTAGGGTAATAATGTCAGCTTCGAGTAAATCAAACATTGTGTTGAAATCATTGTTGATTTTGTTCCATGGATGGTAGTTGAATACTGTCTTGATACCGTTAACGTTGAATGTGATGAATCTGATGGAGTTTCCATTCTTGGCAATGATTTTAGTAAATGGTTGTTGCAGCCGTAGATCTGCCATTCTTGAATCTCATGTAAAGGGAATCGTGCCGGTCAGTTTTGATATTTCTTGTCCTATTGTTTTGGATTTTGTTCGTGAATTTGGTAGCTTTCAGAATCATTATGGGATTGTGCGTCTCACTCTTCCCCCCCATGGGATTTACGATAGTTCAGAATTTAGGCTTATTAGTCAAAGAACTAGTTATTTGAAGGTATAAGCAACCTTCTGCGAGTTGTGCTCTTTACGTAGCATAACTACTTTCTTTTTTTATCAGGTATGTAAAATTGCCAAATATGAGATACGCTTTAAACTTTAGATTATGCATTCTTCTTGTGCCTTGATTTTTTTGGCAAAATCAGAAGTCTAGATTTGCCATTTAGGTGGAGTGGCGTGAATTACACACAAATGAGAAGAGTAGAGATCTCGAGACAGACAAAGAAGAAGACGTTTCTCTATTGTTTTCTTTATGGTTTTGTTAATTTGGGCGGTGTATTTTCTTTCACTTGTGGTTTTACACAAACACGTCTAAACAAGGGAATAAAATTTTGTGCAGTAGTACACTACTCTTTGTTTATATTTTTTTTCTCTTTTTCTTAAATTGAAATACGGATGATGGATGATTCTGAAATTTTATTTCAAACAGTTTCAAGAGTTATCAAATTTCTATTTATAATAACTGCAACCCAATTATTCAACTTTTGAAACCCACTCGCTACTGCTGCTTGGTATATACCCAAACGTATACCATAGACCCCACGCACCCCACTTACATCGTCTACTTAGCTCACAAAATAGTTTTTGTTGAACCAAAGACCACTAACCGCAAAAGAACGCTCATGCATAATTAACTCAATCAACGATTTAATTCCCCCCCACACACACATAATAATATGATTGATACACAGGAATTCAGCCACGAATCTCCTTTCAAGCAAGCTCATAATGACTCTGCCAGTAACTATAATCTTACAAATACCACACCAGATTTGGTCAAGTTTCAGCTTCAAGAACAATACCGATCATCATTAAACACTGACGCCAATAATAACGAGCCACCATCGTCATTTTCACTTCATCAAAATGGGGCATACCCTTTTCAAAACTCATTCAACCATCAACTAGAAAAGAATGCTGCTTTATACCCTTCCTTGGTCAACATACCTAGTTTGTCATCCACGCCAACTTCAACTGACGATGATGAGGGTGATAACATTAGTCTTGATACGTTTTTACACTCTGGTAAACCAAACTATCTTAATTTGAAAGTTTTGATTGAAAATGCCGCATTCGATTCTAGCCAACTCGGAAAAGATTCGGTATTACCTTTGAATGAAGTGCAAAAGCTTAAACAAAAAGTTGCGGGGAAATTGGAACTACAACAATATTTGCTTTCTAAAATTTCTGTGTCGCAACAATTTATCAATGAGGTTGTATTCAAAGATGGTGCTGAGCCGGAGATTTTACTTAGAGTCATCAAAACCGTATCGTCTTTACAAGCACAACTAATTTCCAACAATAAAGAATTGGATGAAGCCAGACAAAAAGTCAACAATCATAACTTGTCGTGCATGCTTTTAGGATATATCGAAGATGTAAAACGCAGTCGTCTTGATGATGATGATGATGTTGTTGAACGCACTGCAGATAGTTACCCAGAAGAGAAACTGGGCAAAGTATCGTCTTCAGTCTCATCGTCTCCAGTAAAACAACGTCGCTCGTCACCAATATTATTTGAACTGCTTTCATCACATATTGCCAGTATAGCTGCACAAAGAAATGTCACACTCTCTCCTCCACCTACTGATGATGATGTTGAAATGAAAATCAGCTGGTTACAACAATGCATCGATGCCATACTTTTGAAACCCGTGACTTCCCAATCTACTGAAGACACCACTTCCATCGCCAACAATTCAATGTTGGACAAACTGTTCACGACATCTCCATCCTCAGACCCAAACAAGACCCTAACTGAGTACAAGACAGCATTGACAGATTTGAAATTCTCCTATCAATACTTGGCCAAGGAATATGAACTCTCTAGAATTAGCTCATCCAAACTCATCCAAGATTATAGGAAAAAAATTGACAAGTTGGAAAAAGACAAAGGTATAGTTGACCCGGTATCTTGTCGAAGCTCAGTGTCGGAAGCATTATCTCCTACTCACTCGACATCGCTTGAAAACAAGAATAAGGAGATTACTAAGCTACGTAAAGAGCTCAACTTGCTTAAAGTTGACAACATTGGTGTTTCCAAACGTTCGTCTTTGGCCATTTCACCAAGGTACAACGGTGGTGATTACTCATCCCCCGCGACTGGTAAAACACCGGGAAATAGTGATGATGACGATGCAACTAGTCAAATCCTGTCAATAACATCGAGAAATGCTACCACCTCAGCAAGTGGCGTAAGCAACAGCATATTGAGGAGCGAGTTTAAGAAAATAGTAAGTGAGATGCAAGACTTTTATGAACAAGAGTTGGCAGAGGAGCGAATGTTGCGAAAGAGATTAGAAGAGGAATTTGATCGATTTAGAAGTGGGCAAAACTAGAGCATAGTGTTGACACGTTGCTAGCATTCTTTAAGCATATGTATAAGTACATCTTACTTTCATTCTGTAATACACATTATCAATAGACTATAGCAGTTATCGTTTGGTGTAGACTTTTCTAAGATGGGTTTAAATAGGTTTGGTTGTAAAAAAAAAAAACACATAGAACGCGATTTACAGCACTGTATAGAAATCACCACACCAAAGTCGTATATACACCCCTAAAGAATAGTTAAACATGGCACGCAAGAGGAAGACATTCCCACCTAGACCACGACCACCGCCACCACGAAACAACGACCTGGCGAGTAACATTGGCGCAGTGTATGCTCTTGTACTGCGAGGTGTTAGTACATCAGGACAACAATCAGAAAGTAATGCAACTTTAGAACTTTTGAGTAAGTTGCAACAAGAGAAAGAAACAGAGGAACAAGATAATAATGAGCAGGATTCTGATGAGCAGGTCGACTATTACCATAGTGGATATAACCCGTACAATGTAGTTGAGACAGACTCGCTATATTCCAAGGATCAAGAATCAAGTGCGTACCCGGAGTATAACCAATATCAAGGTGACGCTTCAACTCAGTTTGAGACTCAAGAAGTTGACAAAGAAGATATAATGCGTGCTTCGACACAACTAACGAATTCTAGTGGTAGCTATCAGCAAGCTCACTCATCTACGCAGCCACCAGCACCGACTTACCAGGAACAGACCGTGGAGGTTGAAAAGGAAACGATACCAAATTCTGAAATAATTGGAGCTTCACAACAGCTAGCTCCACCAGCATCAAAACTGACGCTGCCGCAAGATGACCTTGTTCATGCACATGTTAAAAATAATGAGTCCCTCACATCCAATAAACACCAAAATGAAGATGAAAATGCACCGACTGCCCTTGCACTGAATATCAAAAGTGTATTGGAAAACCTTTCAAATCTTGGGGCTATGCAAAATGTTGGAGCTTTAAAGGCGGCAGAGGGGGAAGAAACCACTATTGAGACAACAGGGAATAAACCTATTCAAGTCAGTGGTGATGTCCTTATAAACAATTCGAACGACAAAGCACAACAGCATTCAACTTGCAACGTGTTGGAGAACTCAAGCATCAAAACAGCTGAAGGTGCGTCCCCCCTTTCTATTGGTAAATCAGAAAACGTGATATCTCATCACTACACAAATGGATCATCATTTACTGATCCAGAGAGAGATCACGATAAACCAGAGGATCTTCCTCACGCTACTTCTTTTAACAATGTATCACATAAGCCAGTGGAAAAGCCATTACATGAAATACGCAAAGGAAATGAAGTCAATCAACTGGTTATACGAACAAACGACGCATTTAATCAACAAGCAGAGAATGCTTTTCAAGCCCCGTGGGAGAGAATGCCTGCTTTACATCATGAAGAAAGAATCAACTGGGTAGGAAACACTTCCATAAAGTCAGACCTAAGCTTTCTCAATAAACTCAATGAGCAAGGTTTCGGGCATGCAGAGTTGAAAAAAGATGCACCCTCTATAAACCTTCCAGTACCGGAATTTTCAAAATCTACATATTCAACGAGTCCCGTTGGTGAACCGAACCAGGCACACAGTTTCGATTCTCAATCGGATGCGGCTTACAGTAGTAAGTCACAAGACTCACATTCCAATAATACGAAACCAAGCAAGGACACGTTTCAAGAGTACCTGAGGTTTGGCCGTCACGACATATTTAAAGGGGAAAGCTGGGCATCTCACAAGGACTCCGCTAGAACCTCACATACCGATTCATATTCTGCAAAATGTACACTGGGGCCTCGTCTGTCGCCGATGCTACTGCTGGAGCATAGAGGAACCGATTCACACAAGCCACGAACGTGGGTACGTGAAGGATTTGAACCACCTACTAAAAAGCACAAGTTGAATTCCGTAAATCCCAAGTTTGATTCATATAGGCCCAAGCACCCCGGTGATCGGAGAAATTTGGGAGGTTCCAACCACGGCTCACTGAAATCCCCATATCAAAGGAGTGGGTTCAACAACTCATCCAACAAAAAAAATACTGCTAATTTCAAGATTTTTGGTAACCTCAAGTTCGAAACGATTCCATATACAAGCGAAGAAGTGCAAGAATTTCTAAACATTAATCCTTCACATCCCAATTTGAAGGTTGCCTATTTTGTTCAAACATCTCAAGAATTAATTCACAAAGCTCACGAATCGTTAGTGGTTGACAAGTCCTTTCAAAGTGTGTTGAACTACTACAAGTTTATTAGAGGTGCCATTAAATGTTTATTGATACTCGTTAAAAAATACCCAAAGGACTTGACTCCGCACCAGTTGGCTTCACTATACTACAAAATTGCCAAGTTGTATCTAACTGAGACGGAAAGCTTTGACTTGGCAGAGGCATATGCGTTGAAAACGCAGACTATTAGTCGAGACCATTCGATTGTTGAGTTTGAATTTTATTGTGATTTGTTATTGATTGATATTTATGAAAAAATTAACATCTCAACGATTGGAGCATTTGCTTTAAGGAGAGAAGCTTATTATGAAGAAGCTGGCTATCATTTGCTCTCTAACTGCATGAAAATGGTAAGGATAAAATATTTGATGATATCAGATGCGTCCTTTGCATTGGTTAATCTACAACGTTTGGTTAATGACCCCAAATTGGATCCTACGGTCAAAAAGATTGCCATTGTTTATTTGGCTGGGTTACATAATCATCGAGGCAATCCCGCCGCCGTGGCGGATTTGCTACGAGGATTTGAAGTAAATATATCTCAGCCATTTGCTGCATATATTTTGATGACTAGGTTATTAGCCAGTGTCAGTTTGAATAACGTTTCCGAATCCAAACATCTTTTGAAGGAGCTAATGTCTCTTTCCAATGATGGTGAGAAATCCCACTGGAATCAATGGCTGATTAACGGTGACATCAAATTCCACATAGGTGGTGAGTCAGGTCTTGAGTTGGATTTTGTAATCTCGTGGCTACCTGTTGTCGATTTCAAAATCATGTTGTATTTTTTGAGTGGAGTTGCATATTTGCATTTAACTGGTGATCGATCCAAACTTTGTTTCGAGAAAGCAATTGCATTGATTCAAAGTGCACAGGATGATTTAGAAATGAATCGCAATTTAGCAAAACACTTGTCTGCCCATGAGTCCAGACAACGTGAATTGAAGTTGCGATATTATCGGTATTCGGTCCAGTATTATCGTCAATGGCAACTTTTCCTCAATGGTGATTCCAAAATTGTGTATTTGAATGAGTTTATGAATGCAAATAATAGGCTCTTTACAAGGGAGGAGTATACAATGTTTAAGCCAATTTACACATATGTTCATTACATGTTTGCATTGTATTACCACAGTCGAGGTGATTTGCAAGCGGCCAAGTTCTACTACCTAAAAGTGAGGAATATGACTGGTATACTTTACGATAATGATGCCTCCATGTCATTACAACAAATGACCAATGGTCTTGGTGGAGATAGCATTCGTCCACAGGGTAAATTTAGTGATTTAAATGTTTACTCTACATTCCATTTGATTATTCTTTTGGATTATGAAGTCAATGAAATTATGCTGAAGGAAGAAAATGATGAATCAAAATTAGCAGTGGAGAAGTTAACAGCTATTGAAAACAACCTTTTGGATGACTTTGCACAGGTTAATAAACCCCCGAAAAATGGCCCATTCCAATGTTGTTTTGTCATCAATAACAGGCTTTTGCAAATGACGTTGGAAATTGTTATGCGAATGGTTCACAATCTTGAACCCGATTTCAATGTGAAAAATGTCATGCAAATGTTGGGAGAAATTGGTGACAGGACAACATTTTATTTCATTTACTTTTTTTTAACTTATGTCTTGGTTCTCAATATCTCAAGCACAAGTGATAAAACTCGATATATTAAGCGATGTTTGCACATGTTGCCCCAACCAAAGACGGAAGTGGTTGAAACACCAGTGGGTAAGGAACAAGTGTCAACATCAGAGTCTGTGGATTCATGTCGTGTGTTTTTATTGAGGAGTTTGATGGAAGTGGATGAAAGCAACGGGTTGCATACTCAAGTGGATTTGGAAAAAGGTCAATTGGAGAGATTATGCAAATTAGTGGCTCATAGGTATACTACATTGGAGGAAAATGTCACTTATGATCCAACTTTCAAAGTATTGTCGCAAGTCAAGTCAGTAAAGAATGATGTGGAAATAAAAGATGTGTGAATTTGAGGTTATTCAAAATATGTTCGTCTTTTTGATAATATACAAAATAAATGTACCTAAAAATCTACTACTCCTTTTTAGATTTCTTCTTCTTTTCACTCTTTTCATCATCTCCATCCTCAGCTTTCCTCTTTTTATCCTTCTTTTCCTTCTTTTCTTTCTTATCCTTCTTTTCCTTTTTATCCTTCTTTTCTTTCTTTTCTTTCTTATCTGAGTCTTCGCCTTCAGCCTTGACCTCGACTTCTTCGATCAATGTCTTTTTAGGTAATTGCGGTTCAGGAGCAATCAATTTCGATTCTGGAACAGCTGGCGCTGGTTGTTCATCCAAGTCATTGTACTCCTTTTTCCAAGTTTCTGGAGTATTTTCATTTACTCTTCCATATTTATCCAATTTACCATCGGCTTTCAATTGTTTCTTCTTTTGAGCAACTGGTCCCAACCCCCATCTTCTTGGATAAGTGTCTCTTTCCATAATACATCTCTTGACTTTAGCAACAACACCATGGTCACAGCCTTGTAAATCAACGGTGGTCATCTGAGCAATACCAATGGCAATGGCTTCTCCTTTGGTGGTGATCAAGACAACTTCATCATACAATTCTATACCTTGTTCATATCTCAAAAGACCGGGTATCATTAATTTGGCACCATAACATACAGAGTTAACAGCAGAGTCCTTGACGACAATTCTCTTGTATCCAACCAATAAAGTTTCCAATGGTTGAATAATTTTTCTCAAGTATGATTCATCTCTAGTGTTGTCATAAACGTATTGAGCATCCAAAACATCATGCAAGGTGACCAAATTGTCCAGTTCGCTCATGGCACCAGAACGTACACGACGCAATTCTTGCATATGACCACCTACACCCAACAACATACCCAAATGAACACACAAAGTTCTCATATAGGTACCAGCTTCACAAGAGGCCCAAAATACACCCAAACCTCTCTTGTTGTCAAACTCAATCAATTTCGAATCGTAAACAGTTCTAACTCTCAATTGTCTCTTGACGGCGGAAATCAATGGTGGTCTTTGAAACAAAGCACCAGTTAAATTTTCCAAAGCTCTATTTAACTCCTTGGGGTCTTGCAACTGATCATGTAATCTAACAATACAAACATACTCCTTACCTGCACCTTGTTGCGACTTGACTAATCTAGTAGCACGGTCAATACAAACAATCAAACACCCAGTAACTTTAGGATCAAGAGTACCTGAATGACCAGTTTTCTCGACTCTCAATATCCTTTTGATCCAAGCGACAACTTCATGTGATGATGGGTTAGAAGGTTTGTCCAAGTTAATAACACCCGATGAAACGTATGATTTAAGGTCTCTACTATTGGGTGATGAACCAGCTGGGATAGGAGTATAGTGGCTAGATCTAACGAGTAATTTGTCGTAGTTTTTCAACAAAAGTGGCCATTCTGAAGTGTTGTTGGACGGAGTGACACTCTCTGGCTTGATTTGAAACTCTTCTTTCGACATGGTTTGTGGTGTGAGAGTAGCGGATGCAAGAAGGTGACAAATGGGTTTTGAGAATTGAAAATTTAGCAGATGAGCTCGCACGAAAAAGAATTTTCTTTCCAAAAAGGGCTATATGCAGGAATATATATAGAAGTATACCACGAAAACCAAGTCATTTCAACAACCCAGGCGGGGAGAGCTCCCCCTACACGTAGATGGTTCACGCCTGCAAGTTCATTATGTTACTTGCAATCTCGTTCTTGGTTAGTTCCAACCAGAACAACTCCCTACCCAAATTTCTGACCGTTTTGACACAAACATCCAAGTTCTTATCATTAACCACTTCTTTACACCCATGAAAGTTGCCTGAAATCAAGTTGAGTGTATCTTTGATAGCTTTGATTTCCAGGACTACTTCATACAACTGTTTAACCAAAGGCAGATCAGGTATGATCAACTCGTCTAAAGGTAGCTCAAACGTGTTACTAAGAATGACTTTATCTTGAGCTTGATTATTGAGTTCATGAAGTATACTCAATTCTTGATTCAAATTGGTCAAGTTTGATAGTCGTGTAGAAATGTGAGTTATATGATCGTCCAAGTTTTTAGAGTTTTCCAATGCTTGCTGATTGTGACGGGTTAATTGAGTGAACAATGCATTTGTCTTTTGAATATTTTCGTTGATGTACTGCGTATCATAGTGAATTTGATCTTGGGCAAAGTAGTTGTTGAATTGGTGTGATAGATTTTCTAGGGATGCTCTTCGTTCATTGTCAACTACAGATAGTTGAGCAATGCTATCGACCAAGTCTATAGGTTCAGGTTGTAATTGCCTAGGGGGGGCATTATGGTAGTTTTGGGACCCTAACCCCTCCTGTGGTGTGGGTGACCTGTATTGCTCGAAGGCGTGCGGCTGTGTATATTGTGAGGTGACAGGAGCCACATTAGCAGTCGGGAACACTGGGCTAGGTGAATCTTGAGGCAAAGGCAAGGGCCGCTGGTACTTTTCCGGCACTCCATTATTCTGCGTATGTTGTGGTGATACGACTTTTGGTGGCTTTACTGGTAACTCTGGACGTCCTGTACTTTGCGGGGATACAACAGCTGATCGACTAGGTGATAATTGATACAGAGGAGTTGGAGCTTGCTGTCCCCTTGGTGGTAAAGACGATTCACCTGCAATTTTGGCCGGTTTTGGTGGTGCATCAGTTGGTGGGACTGGTGGGTGCAATACAATAGGGACTTCAAGTCTGACACTTTGACAAATGACATTCACCAACTCAATCAAATTGTAGGTTCTTGATATATCACCACTAACTTCAATGCAATCACGATACCAACTTGAAAGATAAGGATGGTAGAACTTTCCTTGTGGGTCGACATTGTTTGTTGGTTTCAAGTACCATTCTTTAGCATGATCAGGAACAACATACACCAATGGGGCACCTTTTCTGTCGTAATCTGAATATGGGTAGGTGAATGGAAGCCATATTTCAATAGGGACACCAATATGCTCGTCAACTACAATTGTGCCAAACAAATTTATCAATAGCTCTGATTGTCCAGTTTCTTCAGATGTATGCACTTGTGTTCGTATCCTGAAATTTAGATTCCTTTTGAGATGTTGTTGTAGAAATTGATACACATGAGTGTAGACTAGCTGCTTGTACAAATACAGTGGTTGAATGACATTGAATAGCCAGTTCGATACCAGTTGAGGTAACGGTGGTTGTGACATTTGACCGTGGAGAGTTGTGTATAGCTCGAGATCAATGTTTCGCAAACAAAGAGAGAAAAAAACTGATTATCAAGACCACTCGGAAAATAATTCTTGCTGACTTTATATATTTAGCACGTTATCTACAAACTACAAATAAATCAATCAAGCAAATGAGTGGGTATGTATTAGGGTGATACTAATAGCCTATTTGAAGGAAAGTACTAACATTCTCGCCCCTATAGATATACTGTTGTCATTGTACTAGTTGTTGTTGTTGGTCTTTCGGCGTTAGCATGGGTATTTGCTCCACAAGAAAATAGGACAGTGTTTAGATCATCAGTGATACTTGGTTTGGCCATGTGTTATCTCATGTGGGCAATTACGTACTTGGCCCAATTACATCCATTGGAAGCACCAAGGAGGTCGGACTTGAGACCAGAACATGTGAAATGAGAGGGGATGGTGTGAAATGAAGAATTGAGACTGAAGAGTCAATCATGGGAGATGATGGTATTACCCGTTTATACACTGCTGAAAAGAGTATGCAATTGTTTGGACGGGTTACATCTAAAATGTGTAATAAAAAAAATACTACAAAAATTATTGAAATTGATAAAGCTTGAAAAAGCTCATAAACAAGCATCGTAGGTAGAGATATAATATCCAATGGGGCTGTTCATTGAGTAGATAAATATGTGAAACAAATCACTTATTAAAATCATCTCTTCTGAACGTGTCATGTTCCTCTCTATGTTGAAAAAACAAACTCAACGTGTAGTGCCATAGCTAGAATTCTTTATCAAAATATAGTGGGACCGATCAGGCTTTTCAAATGTTCAAAGTCATTTCAAAAGCCACACGACGGATACAAAGCCATCCACACGATCCATGAAACCAGGCAATTCCAAGTATCAAATGCAAAAGCCCAATTTCATGGCTTGATCTTCTCCATCACCAGAACCCATAATTCGACGGATGCGAAACGAATTTGAGGCAGAAACAGGAGCGTGTGGAGAAGAAAAAGGAGAGGAAAAGCAAGTAAGTGAGTAAAAAATTTTTTTTGTCTATGATATGGCGATGATGTGCGAAAGAAGTTACCCGGTTTAGAGAGGTCGTAAAATGTCGTGCCGAAAGAAAACGACATCGCACCCATACGACATAGGCCTTACACCTCGGCTATATTATGTTTGCGAGAGTAGGACCAAACTCAAAGCAGTTAGATTGATACACAAAAGGATGCAAGAGAATGGCCCTTGCAATGAACCAGTTTGTCCTTCTTTTGTCAAGTTGCTTTCAGAGGTTCTGTGCCAGCTGAAATAGCCCGCTTCTAAACTTGATCCGTTTTGGTGTGTTTCAAACAACTTCCATACTACTTCAAAGCACAAATCCTGCTTCAAGCAAGAAAAGCAGAAGCTCTAGTTTCCATTTTACACTCAAAGAGTCGCTTGTGTAGTAGTCTTACATCTATTGTGACTAAGGTTAATCTAGGAATCTGGTGTTAGTTACGAGGTCGTCGTGTTAAAGTAAACTGTGGCGTCCAAAGTATAATACGTAATTTTGCATATTGTATTTGCCATGTTTTACTTTAGTTTTCTTTTTGTGTTCTCACTTCCCTAATATTTAGCAAGTTTTACACGACTAAGATTGTTAAAGAAATGACAACAACAATAATTTAAGTAGTGTTGCATTACTAGTATAAATTGGTTTTGCAACCACAGTTTTTTATAATTTTCTTTTCCTTAATCAAGGGGTCATCACATTTCACGTGACCAATTTAATTCATCAATAAACAAACGATTCTTTATTTACGCTAAGGGGAGCTATCGCCCTGGCCAAGACTCACTAAATTTTTTTAGAGGGTAGACGGAACCACAATGATTAAACCTTATTCGCGGGTACTAGGAGGCTCACGAAAAAACTGTCTATTATAATAGCGTAAGTCTTTCCGTTTTGCTATTATACTTTCTCTCTCACCACAAAGAACAGTTGCTTTCTGCATTATATATTAAAAAAATGCCTGGAACTGCCTCGACACAACCAGTCAAGTAATTTTCTTACAATTGTGTAGAACCATTGTGCGTCAAGGTGTGGCGTGTCAATTTCAGAACGGCTAGGATCGCTCATAAGTTCCACTTCTTTAGGTGTGACTCTTTAACGATTAGCGATAGAGATAAAGCACTTGTTGAAGGTCGAATGAGTTTAGCGGGGGCGGAGATGTAACAGCGGCTAAAAATGCCGGAAATTAACGACGAACGCTCGACTTACTAAAAAGAGCAATTGAAAATAGCGTTGCATGAGGCAAATTGGAAAACCGACACACCGGTAGAGACTACATTACAATCCAACGTCCTGAGATAGTCATTGGTGGACATGAATCATGTCTTTATGGTAGTAAAGGGATCAGTTGACTCTTTGCCTATTCCATCTCATATAGATTAATTAAAACACAAAAATGAAATGAATGTGTATACATTTCTTTTTTTTTACAAATTGCATCATCACAATAGAAGTTGATTCTTTTTTTTTTTTGTTTTTTCTTCTTCTTCTTTAACACAATAACCCAAGAAAACAATTTAAAAATGCTATCAAAATGCCTTATCCAAATGTCAATGTCATCAATATTGTATGTATATATATATATGCACGCCCACCCTTCTGTTTAGCTCCCTTCATTTCTCTTCTCCTCCTTGCAAACCACTCGTTTCCAAAATAACTCGCTTACCTTTTAATACCCTGAACTCGACCACTAGCCGACATACAGCCCTTAGAGAGCAACTCAAAATATAGTTTGTGAAAAATGTCGCAGCCGTTTGAAAATTCGCCATCACACGAGCAATACCCCGAGCACAATAAAGACACTTTCCAGCTGGTAAAATCAGCTGAATTAGTCGACCAAGAATCTGGCTCACTGCAATACAATACCAGCAGCTCGGTTCTGTCTACTGATGATCGTGGTTTGAAACATGGACTTAAAGATCGTCATTTATCGTTGATGGCACTTGCCGGAATCATTGGCCCTGGTATTCTTGTTGGTGCTTCAAATGCATTGGCAGAAGGTCCAGCAGCCATTTTGATTGGGTTTGGTGCTATTGGAGTCATTGCATTTTTCATGATGCAGTCATTGGGTGAATTGGCAACATTGTATCCGTCTGGTGGTGCTTTTTCAACATTAGGAATCAAGTTTGTTGATTTTGGATGGGGTGCCAGTGTTGGATGGATGTATGTCATTATCTGGATTGCTGTTTTAAGTAACGAATATAATGCCGTTGCCAGTATATTGCAATTTTGGGGACCTCAAGTGCCACTTTATGCGTATGTGTTGATAATTTGGCTCCCATTTTTGTTGTTTCAATTCTTGGGTGTTGCCGTTTTTGGAGAAGTTGAATTTTGGTTGGCGTTGTTCAAGATTTTGGGATTGGTGGCATTTTACATCTTTTCAATTGTTTATGCAGCTGGTGGTGTTAAGGGACAGAAGGCATTTGGTTTCCATTATTGGAATGATCCTGGCCCTTTTGCTTCTGGATTTAAATCGGTTGCTAGTTGTTTTACATTTGCCAGTACTTTCTACAGTGGTACTGAAATTGTTGCTGTTTGTGCCGCTGAAACAAGGAACCCAAGTAAGGCTGTCCCCACTGCTATTAGACAAACTTTTTGGCGTATCTTGCTTGTTTACATGGGAATTGCCATATTTTATGGAATGACTGTTCCATACAATGATGATAGATTGGGCAGAGACACCAAAGCTTTGAAATCACCAATGACCATTGCCATTCAAAGAGCTGGATGGGAAGGAGGTGCCCATTTGATAAATGCCTTCATTGTCGCAGTTTGTGTTTCGGCTATTAATTCATCAATCTACACTGGATCAAGAGCTATGGTACATTTGGCAAATGAAAGGTGCGCACCTTCAATCTTGAAATGGGTCAACAAGCAAGGTGTGCCTTATGCATCAGTCATTCTTATGAACTTGTTCGGATTGATTTCCTTGATGAACCAAAGTACTGGTGCAGCTGAAGCATACAACTACATTGTCAACATTTCCGGTGTTGCCGTGTTTATTGTTTGGGGTAATGTTTGTTTCTACCATTTACGTTTCAGAAGAGCTATGAAATTGCAAGGAAGATCTACTGATGAATTGCCTTACAAGGGTTTATGGTACCCAGTTTTGCCTATTGCTGGTGTTGTTTTAAACATCTTCTTAGCTTTGATTCAAGGTTGGTCTACTTTCAAACCATTTTCCGGAAAGGATTTCGTTGATGCTTATATTTTGTTGCCAGTGTTTTTTATCTTCTTCATTGGATTCAAGTTGTGGCATAAATCCAAATGGGTCAATTTGAATGAAGTTGACTTGGATGAAGGAAGAAGACATGATACCGATTTTATTGAAGATGGTGAAAAGGGTGTTGATATTCCTGTTGGTGGAAAACACAAGATTAAGTGGAAGCCATGGGAATTGTTTTAGAGAGGTGCGGTGTTGAAGTGTGTTGTTCTTCTTTTTTTCAGTTCTTGACGTTTTATTTAGAGTTTAAAGGGCTCGACTCGAGTCGTAAATTATGTAAATTAGACTTACCTTTCGAATATATTTTAAACTAAATCCAGGATGCTTTCGTAGCGGTGATATAGAATTATCTGAAAGTGGAAAATCTATTCTTATATGGTACTACTTGGGTGACGTTGAATCATTCATCTCCTATACAAGCAAACTTCACCATAGTGGAAGAATTCAGAATTATGTTTTTGCAAACCTTTGTCAGTAATTGGCATCGAAACCCTTTTCCAAACAATAACAGCCGCAAAAGTTTTTATTACAATGTCTTTTTTCACTCATTTTGACGATTCCTGATGATCCGCTGCCTAAAAGAAGCAAAGTTGTCAGTATTTAGTACGAGTAAACAACACGCTAGAGCGCAAAAAATACTCATTAAATAATCTCCATCAAACATCTCCACAGGACAAAATAAAGCAAGTCAAAATGTCCAGGCAACAGCTATTGTATAACTCAATGCCATCCTCCACATATTAATAAAGAAATCATTCGAATCTGTTTCTTTCGAGTCATCTGATTGAGTCTTGAACTTGTGCATATAATACAGCTTGAGTCCTTGTGCGGATAGAGAAAACAACACCAAAGACAGTTGAGTAAAGAAAACACCACAAATGGCAATGAGAACACAAAGGACAGCGTCCTCATTCTTATATGTTCGATATATTCTAACTGCACACACAACCGCCATGATTGAAGGAAACCACTTCAAAAACTCAAACTTTTTCATCTTTTGCGAAACTATAGCTTTAACCAAGTCCATTTCCTCAATGTCTGTCTCCTTTAATTCCTCAAGATTAATGAAACCTTGCTTTTCATCGATGACTGATGACGTATGGAGGTGACTCTTTGAAGGCTTTTCAACGTCTGAAAGGGCCTTTTTTTCTTCGTATACCATGGTGTAACGAAGTTAGATGTTTTCCAATGGTAATTTTTCTTTGAGTACTTTTTTTGATGAAGTTGTCATGAGATTAAATTGCGCGCGAAAATTGTAAAGTTTTCTTAAGCGGTTGCGCACAGTCCGCTCATAGTGTTGCGGAAATTAATGAAGTCTTCGACGTATTTTTGTCCAAAAGCAAAACTTTCTCATTCTCTGTGCTAAAAGTGCACAACTATAGCAGAGAGTTCATTAGCTGTCAAATTTTTCGTTAAGTTTTTGCACTAGAGTAGATATAATTACTAAACACCATAAACAATTTTAATTAATGTTAAACATGGCTTCACAGCACCATCCGACCATCCAACTCTTGCTAAACCTAAAATACTGTTTCAACAATTCCACGCCGTTGTCAAAGCTCGCGATTGTATTAAACTTAATCAGCTGAGTGATAATTGTCGAAAATGGTCTACACAACAGATCACCCCACTTTGTTGGGTATCTTTCGGTACGAAATTCTTTCAATCACTGAGCCACCTTTAAACTGTGGCGTAAAAAATATCTCGATGTTTGTTCCTTCCTTGAAAACCACCTCGAGTAACCTTTCGACATCATCGTAATCAACACATCGTCGAGGAATTATTGGTGGCCATGGCTTTCCTCGAGTGAGCAAATGCATGCCGCAGGATTGCAAAGGGAGTATACTGAGAAGTATTAGCTCGCCCCTATTGTCGAAGGGTTTGTGAGGAATAAACGTACCCATTACTAATATGCAACATACTGACATAACGAATACTGCACCAGACACACACTTAGTTAATAGTCCAATATCACATATATCATGTTTGTTCAAGTTGGTCTCTTGTTGTAGATTTCTCAATACAACCATAGTCATACAATACTGCAAATCCAAGCTTGAGACCACTATAGATAGTAGCATCAAAATTATTCCCACAAACCTTGAAAGGTAGACATCCATCAACTCATCAATACATCCCATGTAAATGGCCCACGAGGGAACTGCAAGGGATGTAATGGCCACAAAGTATGCAAGGGCAGCTTCACAGGTTTTCAATCTCCCATATTTCCAATTCACCGTAACCTGGGCAATCTCGAGTAAATGATCTTTTGGTTTCTTGTAATCTTGAGCTTCCAAGTCGACAGGTGGCTCTTTCCCACTAGCCACGTATAATCTCTTGTCTCCTGTCGATTGCTGCATCTTATTACCGGCATTGTTGATCTGAGTGTTCTTGGCTGTTTCCCATTTCACAAACTTTTCATCAAGACTTCTGATGAGAGCCACTTTGGAAAACGATGTATAGCACATGTATATTTTCTTGATGACTACTAGTAGTGGTATGTCTTTAAGGTTACTCAAAAGATTGAATGTGGCAAATTATAAGGATGTTATTGAAAACGAACGTCAAGCTTTCTTAAAGAATGATTTGGTTTCATATGGGCTCATAAAATCAAGTGCAATTGTGACACTAATTCAAAATTGCGATCTATGACACTCACCTTTCAACAACAGACATGGCCACTGGAAATCCAACAACGACTTCACTAACCAATGAAACTAAACACAGCTGGCTACATGAAGATCGGTAAACGTGACTTCTCATGAAATCCATTAACACTTGGCTCCTTATTGATGCTCGTTCATCGTGTATTTTGAAAGATTATTCTCGACATCACTTCATAAATATTGAGGTTCTTGAGCTTAGAATGACTGTTCACGAATTCGTTGAAATGAAGTCTCGCAATTCATCCAAGGGTAACCATTTGAGGCCTAGATAGTTGAAAATACATTTCGATATGGTCCAAAGATGTGCAGGGAAGATTGTGAGTGCAAAACACTCAAGAAATTTTTCTATCAATTGGGTCACAGACATATTTGATGTTTGGAATGCACAAACCTTTGGTTTGCATTATTGCCTGCCCGTAACTCATTTCATGATCTTGATTATTTACTTTTAGAGATGCCCAATCTTTTGGAAATTGAGAGTATTATCAGGTTTGTGTCTTTTCAAAAAGATGACGTCTACATTCTAATACAGGTTGGCAGATGCTTTTTCGATCTGTACCGGTTTGATCATATTGAAATCTTCTTTGGACGCTTGACATTCGGGAAATGTTCGTTTCAGCCGGATATGTTAAAAAAGCGATTATTTATGATCCCACCGCGGAACGTTTGACGATGTCCTCGTGTCTTGATTCTTGGTTTCAGTACAAAAGATGGAAACATAAACAGGGTAGACTTGGATCTATAAAGGATGTTCTGTCCACGAAAACTTCAAAGTAGATATTTAGATTAGAATCGGAACAAAGACACTATACAGTAAAGCAATCAGCATACTCGATTCCTTAACTTCGGCAAAACGCCCTCAAGCTAAACCCTGTTTCTCATTGCTTTGGCTTTATTTTTGAAGGCAAGATAGCTTCCAGTAGTAGCTTTGTTGGTCACAAAGATCAACACTAATACTAAAAATAGGTTAAAAACACATTCAGAGTTCGTCCCATTAATATGAAATGCCATTATTATTATCCATACAATTGTCAAAAAGTAACTAGAAACCAAAGTGCAGATTCGGTCTGAGGCTTTCAATCTGCATGTAGTATTGTCCCGCATGTTTGGCAAATGCTCTACCACATACTTGATTAGCATTATTTGCATACTCTTTTTATTGAGTCTGCCAATAATGAAGAATGATACTGAAATCAATACCTCATTCAATGCAAATGAGTATTCAACAACTGCTCCTTTGTTGTTTCTTATCACCCAATATGTTCGAACCGCGTGAATTATGATGCATGATACTGGAAATACAAATTGAAACATCTTATACTTTTTCATTCTCTGGTGTACCTTCAGTGCTGATTCTTTAATCACGGGCTCAAAGTCAACTCCTAGGATTTCACTCACCTCATTTCTTCTCTTTACCGATCCATTCTTAAATAACTGTTCCAAATTCTCTAAACCAGCGAATCTTTCTTTTAATTCTTCTCAAGAAAAGTCGTTTCCTTTACCACTCTCATTATTTGACACACCCTGACTGCTCTTGGAACGGTCAACCCGTTCGTTTCGAATGAACCTGTCAATAAACATATGAAGCAAGTAAAAACCAACCATTATAAAGAAGAAATAATCGGAATTGAAAAAATCAAGAGGGGAAAAAACGGCCACCCATGATGTGCCAATAATAATTGCAATGTAACCGAAACTTAACACGGGGTCTCTCAAAATGTGCAGTGCTATTGCTCGGTTCCCGCTCGAAAGGTTGCCAATGGGGAAACTGGTTCTGCTAGTCGCAATGTTTCTCTCCAGCTTGCAATCCGAAAGGTCAAGAAAAACACTCTGCCCGAATATCAAACCAATTCGACGCAAACAAAAACCAAAACGCTTGCTCCGTGTATAGCCTTGTAATCTGATGAGAGTGACAACCACACCAACAAATGCCATCAGTAGAATGTAAGCCGATCCAAGCAAAAACAATCGAAATTTGCCTAATATATCTGCTTGGTCATAATTAACAATCTTTTCATCGACCTTGGACTGAGCTTTAGTGTCAGGATCCATCAACTTCTCATTCATGGTCAGCACACTATGTCTCAAAGACGCACTTTCAATCTCATCGTGATTATCATTTGGCACTTGAGGAGATTCTTGAGGCATAATGACCAATTGTATTTGTGTATTAAGTCGCTCAAGAAATTTTTAAGCCTCGGAAAGTTATTTTCTTCAACAAAATGGCGAGCAAAGTTGAAACTAAAATTCTTAGATGGTAGCTCAAAGCGCAATTTGCCCAATTGTGTCTATCCAACTCCTTCAACACTATGTATCCGAGAAGTGAAATCAAGTATACAATTTTAAACCCTTCTTTACCCAACACATTGTAATACGAAATTAAAGGCGGGTGCATTATTCAATCTTGAAATTGGTCGTGGAGTACATACAAGCGAGAGGGATGAAACAACTATGATACTTGCATGTATGAGGCAAGGTTATTGAATAAGTTAGATCTATAGATCATCCGCAATCAATGGCATTGACTAACAGCTTTGCAAGAGGATGAGCTTTCCACCAATCAGTTCAAAATAAATTGCCCACATTTGGAACATGCATATTGCAAGAATGATTCTCCTTGGATTAGTGGTGCGGAGCAAGACGACCAATTCATCGAAACCCGCATCGTTTCAGTAAGTCAGACAATAAATCTAATGAATGACCTTTGAAAGTGCGGGTTGACATGTATTGTTATATGCCTTTTCACCATGATTGTGTGTGGTTAGAAATACGAGAGAACAACGACACAAAATTACGACCAAGGTTTCAAGGAGAGGTAAAAGGAAGGCAACCACAAGCACCAGTTGCATCGCGTTTGTATACTATTGAGTCTTGGCAGTTATTATTAAAGTTGTTACTGGAGAATTAATGAGAGAATATATACAATAATTGAATGCTATCAATAGTAGCCTTGTGTCAAATGGGTCGTCTGACTCACAGGAAAGTATAACTAGAGCAATATTTAGTTCATATGACTCATCAATGTTTATATCAAAGTGTGACTCAAATTCAATTCTGATCTTATGCGTTTTGGTCGTCTTCCCCTCTTTCATGTTAGTGTCAAACGTTCGATATGTTTCCACCTAATCAAAATCCACCCCGCAATTGGATCATAATTCTACCACCAATATCCAATTGCAACACATTCAACCATGCTGCCATCTCTCCTCATATGGTTGATTCGGCACGGCAAAACCTACTTTATCAGTTTCGAGTATCGGTTGTCATATAATCGAGTTGTGGGGTTAAGGATATGTTACATGTCACCATAGCGATTTGACTCAATGCTACATAGGCGTATTAATACATCGAGTCCATACGCAAGAATTATCTTATCATACTGTTAACAGGGATAGAAGCCTCAAGAGTGCCATTTGTGCAATCTAATTAAAAAACGTGCATAGATTGTATATATACTTTATCGCATTTGCTCAACAATGAGCACAATTTGAGCTTCTTTTAGTTGGGATCTGCATAGACTGATCTTGAACGCATATAGGTCCGAAGTGTGGGGTCACAATGATAAATCATCGTTGATCTAATGAACTCTATCCACAAGTCTCGATGTGGTACATAAAAACTGAACTGATTCACATTCAACACATCCACCCACATATCCCTTTGCATCACTCTCCAACGTTATATCCAACGAACAGGCGGATGATCCTTGAGCAAAAACTAAAACACCCGTCCGCCCAATTATGTTCTAAAGGATTCACACTTTACAACCGACACCAATTTAAGAAAAAACGCGAAACCATCCCCTCCTTTATGTATCCTTTGTAATGAGTGGCTAGTTCTAAAAGCCACGTACATGTAAAACTATCACCCCTGTTGCTCAACCACTTTGGTTTCTCCACAAACGCCGTACTCAAAACATTTCTCAATCAGTCCTTGGCCCATGTTACGAACTTTATGAAAGTTGCTATAAATATGCAAAAATTTCCACATGCTGGTGGTGGAAAATGAATTGTAATCAAACCTTTAAAACCTTCCAAACTTTATAGCTCCCATAATGCAGCACTAAGAGAATCAACTGCAACTGAGAACCAATTCAGGTAGCTACACACCACAACCTGACTCATATCCCACTGCTTGTTCCTATAGCTATTCGTTATCATGTCTCCATTAACTGCAATTTTGCAATCATATCATGCCAAGGTAGAAGATGAGAGTTCTATCTACCATTTATTGAAAAAAAGTGGATCGCAGCCAAGTCTAAGCATTGATGAAGTTGTCGTACGTGTGCCATCTGTGGGTGAGCCAAGTTTTACTTGCCAATCCGCCATGTTGTTGAATGAGTTGTTGGCTAAAGCTTCAAACCACCAATCAATTGAAGGTATCGGGACTACCCAAATTAGACCAGTCAGTGCTCTTTTTGGTGCCAAAGATCGCATTGCTGATAATTCTACCATTGAGTTAGTGAACCACCACTACTCTCAATTGAGCACAAGCTACCCCGACAAATCAACCGGGTTCATGGTTTATGGGAAATGTGAAATTGACAATACATTATTACATGATCCAGAAACATTACGCAACCCATCAAGCTCTTCCTCGATGTCATCCGCCAACACTGTGCTTTCGTCTCTGCCAGTATCTCAAATGTATCAAAATCCTGATAAAGCAATTGAGCAATCGCGATTGAGTCAGATACAAACAAACAGTGAATTGTACTCTTTGGTGGAGCAAGACTTGAGATTTACACCTGCATTATATCGAATGTCACCATTTGCAATAAGTCATGAAGTTGATGACCACGTCGAAGAGTCATTTCCGCACTCGATTTGCCCTTGGCAATTACAGTCAAACAATATCATTTACCTGCAACCTACACCGGTTCATTTAAAGCTTAAAAGGGGATTACTAGAGAACATTCAGGATGTGTTTAATCTCACAATTGACGACGATGATGACAAGGGTGTTTCGGAGTACCACGAAGGTTCAACAATACAAGATTGTATAATGTGTATGTCAGTTTCTCCATCGATTTCACCAAGGCAGTACGCATTGTCAAGGTTGTGTTCGCCAAAGATGAACAATTTGGCAGTATTTAAGTTTGCAACTACACCTGCTCCTCCGGAATCTTTTGAAACGCCAGTGGCTCCCGAAACCACTCCAGTGTCGACTGCTGACATCTCTGTCCATGGCACTCCGGCTGTAGATCCTGTTAATAATAACCATTCTGATGATGATGATGGTGATGATGATGATGACATCACACCTCATCCAACTGAAGCAACCTCAAAAGCGAGTTGGACCAACTCATCTGATTTTTGCAACGCAGCCACCTCAGGAATCGATGCATCAAAATTGGAAGAATACAAGAAAGCATTCTTCAGTCAATACAGTAAGGTTTCCATCACCAAAATCAAAGTGGCGGAATCTGATAAAAAGTTTTTACCCAAAAATGATCTGAAACCAAACTATTACACTTTAGTTGACAATTTGGATATATTCACATGTTCAAAATTGGCTTGTACAAAAAGGTACAAATGTCCTGTCAAGGAGTGTCCCATGCATTTCCTCGGTATCAAAAAGAGAGCTGAGTTGAAACATCATGTGCATTATGAGCACTTGAAAAATGGATTTGTTAAACTTGGTTGTCGTGAATATGAAGACGAGATCATGAGGATCCTATTTGTGTGCAATGAAGCTGGATGTGGTAAGGCATTTTATCGTTGCGATTCATTAAACAGGCATCTCCATTTGGTTCATGGGAACAAACGGAAGGGAGGAGGTGCCAAAAGAAAGTTTGTTGTTAATGATGAGGTCGAACTTGCTGATGTTGAACTCGTGGAAAATTATAATATTGATCGTGAATTAAATTGCCAAGATGATGGTGATATAGAAGTATGCACCACATTAAAGAGAAGAAAAAAAGTTATTTAGTTGATTGCTTGTTTTGTATTCAAGGTTCAATCCGTTTTTGTTGGTTTGTATTGGTTTCATTTTGGATAAATAGAGTAATATTTGGTTGTAGAATAATACAGTCAATTATGGGCTAAAGCGATGGTAATGAGAACAACTTTTGTGTAATTGTTTAGTAAAACTGTAATCATGCTACCAGTTGCTTTATAAATACAATCCGTTTCTTCGTTTCAGCCAATGCAATATGCATATACTGAGCACTGGTGGATACACAAGTCGCGATTCAGCTCCAACAGTAAGGGTTTAGGTAGAAGATTCACGTTGACAAAACAGTGTAATGGTTAGCTCATTGTGTATATTACGCGTCTGTAATCTCGAAAATGAATGCTCTGTTGAGGGGGAACATCCTAGCTACTCTATTTCACACAACACGTTCCATGAAAAAGTAACTCATCAAGATCCCTCCTTTCTGATCATCGTCACCCGCAAGTTCCACCATAAATCACTGGGAAAGAAAATTCCAACACGGTCTGGAATCACAGAAAAAAAAAAACAAAAAAAAAATTCATTACGGGCATAAACACGTTGCTATTGATAAGGATTCAACAACTATGAGTTCAATAGAAGGGGTATGTGACTACAAGTCTTGCAATTACACCCATTAGCTCTTACTAACAATTTCACTAGACTCCTTCACTGGAACTTGACGAAGTACTTCAAAATAGAAACCAACTCGTGTTTCTGAATAATGCCAGTAAATATTTCACCAAATCGGAGAAACAACAAGTTGATATTGAAAAGACCAGTAATAGATTCAAATATCTTCTTGGATTAACTGGTCTATTCCGTCACTTCATTGAAGCCAAAGCAAATAAAGATCCACTTTTCCGCAAAATTGTCGATGATTTGCACGATCTGGAAGCAAAGCATAAATCAACTAATCATGACTCGATGAGGAGAAGAAAAACGGAAAAGGAAGAAGATGCTGAATTGTTGAAAGAGCAAGGGTCAAGTAAACAGCCATTTGAGTTTACTGAGAGTCCCGGTTATGTCAACGGTGAATTGAGACCATATCAAATACAAGGTTTGAATTGGCTAGTTTCATTATATGAGAATAACCTATCGGGAATCTTGGCTGATGAGATGGGTTTGGGAAAAACATTACAAACGATTTCTTTTTTAGGGTATTTGCGATTCATGTACAAAATTAATGGTCCCCATTTGGTTATTGCTCCCAAATCAACCTTGGATAATTGGTATAGAGAGTTTCAAAGATGGATCCCTGATATCAATGTATTGGTATTACAAGGTGATAAAGATGAGAGGTCTGATATGATCAAGAATCGAGTCATGACTTGTGATTTCGATGTTATTGTTGCTTCGTATGAGATTGTAATTAGAGAGAAAGCGACATTTAAAAAGTTTGATTGGGAGTATATTGTCATTGATGAAGCTCATCGAATCAAGAACGAAGAAAGTTTATTGTCGCAGATTATCAGAATGTTTCATTCAAAAAATAGATTGTTGATTACTGGTACTCCATTGCAGAATAATTTACGTGAATTATGGGCATTGTTGAATTTTATCTTACCGGACGTGTTTGCTGATACGGATTCTTTTGATGAATGGTTTCAAAAAGATGAAACTAGTGAAGATGGGGAAGTGATTTCGCAATTGCATAAAGTGTTGAAGCCATTCTTGTTGAGAAGAATCAAGGCTGATGTTGAGAAATCGCTATTACCAAAGAAGGAGTTAAATATATACACCAAGATGACTCCCATGCAAAAAAATTTGTATCAAAAGATTTTGGAAAAGGATATTGATGCAGTGAATGGCGCCAACAAAAAGGAATCCAAAACGAGGTTATTAAACATTGTTATGCAATTGAGAAAATGTTGTAATCATCCATACTTGTTTGACGGAGTGGAACCTGGGCCTCCATACACCACGGATGAGCATTTGGTGTACAATGCACAAAAGATGATCATTTTGGACAAGTTACTAAAAAAGTTTAAGACTGAAGGATCAAGGGTCTTGATTTTTTCACAAATGAGTAGAATGTTGGATATTTTGGAAGATTACTGTTATTTCAGAGAGTTCCCTTATTGTCGAATTGACGGACAAACAGAGCACGCTGATAGAATCAATGCTATTGATGAATATAATAAACCTGGTAGTGAAAAATTTGTGTTTTTATTGACTACAAGGGCTGGTGGGTTGGGTATCAACTTGACCACTGCTGATGTTGTTATTTTGTTTGATTCGGATTGGAACCCACAAGCTGATTTACAAGCTATGGATCGTGCACACAGAATTGGTCAAACAAAACAAGTCAAGGTATTTAGATTCATCACTGAGAATGCCATTGAAGAAAAAGTGTTGGAAAGAGCAACACAGAAGTTGCGGCTAGATCAATTGGTTATTCAGCAAGGTCGTAATAATACTGTTGGTTTAGATGGACAACAGAGTGGCAAAGCTGCTTCCAAGAATGAGTTGTTGGATATGATTCAATTTGGTGCAGCTGATGTGTTTAAAAAGGGGCAAGACCAAGCACAAGATCAAGATCAGGGTGGAGATCAACAAGATTTGGATATTGATGAGTTGTTGAGACATTCTGAAGAGAAAACACAAGAATTAAACGAAAAGTATGCCAAGTTGAATTTGAATGCATTGCAGAATTTCACCAATGATGAAAGTGTTTATGAATGGAATGGTGAAAACTTTAAGAAAAAGGAACCAACAGCAATAACCAATGTTGGACATGCATGGATCAACCCGGGTAAACGTGAACGTAAAGAGAATTATTCCATTGATATGTATTATAAAGATGTGTTGCATACTGGGGGCGGTCGTTCACAACCAACCGTTTCCAAATCCGGCCCCAAGCCACCCAAACAACTAAACTTGTACGATCATCAATTTTTTCCAGCAAAAGTATTTGAATTATATGAATTGGAAAAGAATTATTACAAAAAGCAAATACAGTATCAAGTACCTTTGAAAGCTGGTGATGCGTCAACTTTGAAGCAACGAGAATTGGAGCAGAAATTGGAGCAAGAGGAAATCGCTCAATCGCGTCCATTAACTGAAGAAGAACGACAATTGAAGTTGGATTTGATGAAGCAAGGTTTTAGTAATTGGAATAGAAAAGATTTCTATCATTTTATATCCAGTTGTGCCAAATATGGTCGTAATTCGATCCCACTAATTGCATTGGAATTTCAAGGCGACAAAACTGAAGAACAAGTGCGTGAATATGCCAAACAATTTTGGCTCAAATATCAAGAAATCGAAGGATTCGAAAAATACATTAATCAAATTGAACAAGGCGAAGAGAAAATCATCAAGTTACAAGCGCAAAAGGAAGCATTGAGGAGAAAACTATCACAGTACAAGTATCCCCTCTTGGAATCGAAATTGAAATATCCACCTTCTTCAAACACCAAAAAAGTTTATAGTGAAGAAGAAGATCGGTTTTTGCTTGTACAAATGTATCGATTTGGCATTGATCTGCCCAATGTTTATGAATTGATTAAGGAGGCCATACGTGATTCACCGCTTTTTCAATTTGATTTCTTTTTGCAAAGTCGAAATGTTACTGAATTGGCTAGAAGATGTACTACTTTACTTGGATGTGTTTTGAAAGAAATTAATCCAGAGATACAAAAGCAAGTTAATGGTGGAGTTAAACGGTCAAAAGAGTCTACTCCTGTTGCTTCAAAGAAGAGTAAAAAGTAAGGGCCTAAGGAGGAGTTTGTAACAATTTAAATCAACATTTTGTATATTACATTCATTAATTGCAGTGGCATAATTTTTGTTAGCTCTCCTCACCTTCGTCTAGCAATTTTTGTATAAACCCATCAAATTGGCTAGGAGTGATCCAAGAATCAAACCTAGCAACAACATCACCCTTACGATTAATTATAAATTTTTCAAAATTCCATCGTACACCTTTAAACCCAAACATTCCACATTTAGCATCCTTTAAAAACTGATATAATGCAGATTGGTCTTCACCATTGACTTTAGTCTTCTTCATTATCGGAAATTTAACGCCAAAATCACGTCGACATTGTGACGCAATCTTGTGATCAGATTGAGGTTCTTGATTGCCAAATTGATTACAGGGGAATCCCAAAATTTCCAAACCTTTGGCATGGTATTTATCGTAGAGCTGTTGTAGTTCGTGATATTGTGGGGTAAATCCACATAAACTCGCCACATTGACTATGAGGAGGACTTTGTTGTGGAATTGGGTAAAATCTATGAGGTGATTGTCGGCATCTGGAAGCGAAAAGTTGTAAATTGATGTTGAAGGGGGTGGGGGTGATAAATGTAATGGGTCTCGTAGCGTGTGGGAGGCTATTGTAGTGGTTTTGGAGTCAGTAGATTCTGACATGAATAAGGCAGGTGTGTCAATTGATTTGATCGAATGATGTTCTTATATTGTGCAAAACAAAAGCCGTTATACGTCTTTGTCTTTGTCTTCTCCTTTTTCGTATAAATTTGATACTGTGTCGTACAATAGTTGTTTATGTCGTGGTTTGGTATATTACGACACTACTTTTCAAAAATTGCGACAAAGATTACTTTTTCACTAACCCTTCGAATGTAACTGAATCCCTCATACAAGTTAATCCCATGAAAGATTCGTGACACCTCATACGGACTTTCTACGTTCTCTATGTGCTCTAATTCTATATGGCTCTGCTTTTTATTTCCGAGTCATTTTTTCTGTTTGAATGTCATATGATGTAATGCATTACCACCTTATTGGTCGTGTGACCGGAGCAAAAAGAAGACGGATTTATTACTTTTGCCAAACTTCAAAGCAACAACCTTCCACACACAGCTTGTACATTGAAAGACAAGCAAGTCAAGGAAACGAGTACACTACACACACAGGGATGGTTTAATCAATTTGGTAACTACTTGTTTGCCTTTGAAACTCTGGGGTACGTCATTTTCTTTGGCTGTTCAGTGCGTCTTTCTAAACTCCGGAGTAATATTTCCTTCAAGCGTTCCGTGTTATCCCGATATATGTCGTAAATTCATATATTACGACAATGGCTAACTTGACTAAAAAAAAAATTTTCTTTTGATTTTTGTACTATTTGAAAGGGGCAAAAATCATATAATCACATCATACCATACATACCACACATACTACACAACACACACGCATCATACCAATAAAGTAAGCGTTCATCAACCACTTTCTTTTCTCATTACATCCAACCTCAACAGTTGAGATATCAATCATCATTCAACACTACTTTTACATATTCACTCACTTATTGTTTACTTCATCAAACACATTTGATTTATTAAGATACACAGTCTTTGTTTACCACATAAAACAATGTCATTCAAGGTCAATTGGGATTCACTAGATACCGATTCTCTTGCTCATTGGACTAAAGATATTCTCACTGATGCTTTAAACTCGGGTAAATCACCCAATATACTAGCATCAAACATCACCATCAAGGATCTAAATTTTGGTAAAGTTGCTCCTGATTTTGAAATTTTGGAAATTGGTGAATTGGATAAAGATCGATTTAGAGGTATATTCAAGATTAACTACCATGGGGATTTTCATCTTACGTTGCATACACAAGTACAAGCTAATCCATTGAATATTTACTACTCAAATTCATTAGAAACTGAAGTTAATTACCAAGGAGTAAACATGTACAATGATGAGGATAATTCATTTGTTACTCCACAATTTGTTATGGCTAATGAGCAATTTGCCATACCATTGGATTTGAAGTTGTCTGATATCAAGATTAATGGTATTGGTATTATTGTATTTTCAAAATCAAAAGGGTTAACACTTGTTTTTAGAAATGATCCTTTGGATTCAATCAAAGTTAGTTCAACTTTTGATACGGTTCAAGTATTGGCTAATTTCTTGCAAAAGCAAATTGAATCACAAATTAGAGACTTGTTTAGAGAGACGTTGCCAACCTTGATTCATCAATTATCATTAAAGTATCTTAGTCTCGATAATCATATGAATGAGTTTAAAAATAAATTGGCAGCAAATGCGACAGCAACAACTGAACCAACAACATCAATTGCAACTGATGGAAGTAGTGATACTACTAATGTCTCACCTGCGTCAGCTTATAAGATGTTGGAAAATGATGAGGATGTTTCATTAGTTTATTCAACAAAACATTTGCAAAAAATTCTTGAATTGTTTAAATCTCGTGAAACAATGAGTTTGAAGTTACCCAAGTTCAAGCATGTCATACAAAGGACACACATGGACAGATTTGATAAGAATTATCCTAATTTGCTCAGCTCGTTGTCGGTTCATAACAATGAGGTGAGAAGGTATATTGGTTCTACTCCACAAGCCTTAATTGCAGGTGGTACGCATGCTAGTAGCAACAGTGGTTTCAACAATAATGGAATTCCTATTGATATACTATTGGATGAATCGTTTAACGAGAAAGATAATCTTTTAAAGGATATATCATCAATACAAGCTAACAATTACTACAAGTATGCCAAAGATGCCCCAATCAAGCCAAAGAGAAGAGTGATTAAACTAGGAGGAAAGAGCAAAAAGAGTCAACACAAACAAGAGGGAGAAGTCACACCTGAATCATTGTCATCAGAACCAGTTACCCCAACTTCAGTCAGTTCCAATTCAACTTTAATTGATTATGAACGTGCTGTTGGCGCTAAAACCCCATCGAACAAGTCAGTTGTAGAGGAATACAAGACTCCAGAGAAGCAACAACAACAACTCCCACAACGTCCTAAATTACAACAAGTTCAAAAATCGCCAAATTCTTTGCAACACCCCACACCAAAGAAGTCACATGACCCTCACAATTACAGTCGCTACAACCATCATCATCATTCAACTTTCAACAATTGTGCTATCTACCAAGAAGTTATTCGTTCGACTCAATCTCCTTCTTTGATTTATGATAAAGGTTTAGGAAGTGCTAGTGCTGGTGTGGGTGTGGGATTAGGAAATACTGGATATTTCAATTTTGCACCACAAAGAACTATAAGCACATCTCCAATAAGAAGAACAAATAGCAGTCGTGATAGGGGAGTCAGTTTAAGTGGTGATAAAGAGCCCCAGTTGAAGGAAAAGAAGTCAATCAATCATATTGATATCAATAAAGTTAATCAAAGATTAGAAGAGAGTTTGAAACCACAACAGAAGGAACAAAAGCGTAATGAAGTTGATGTTGCTATTGTTGTAGATGAAAAGAAAAGAGGTAGAAGTGGTGAAGACTCTGCTAATGTTGCATCTGCTCCATCGTCGAGTCTTTTGCAACAAGATATATTTAATAATGCTTATGGACAACCTGTTTTCACTACTGCTCCTCCACCTTATTATCATTGAAACAATGGGGGGGGGGGGAAAGATTGATGCATTCTGATTATGACATGATTCAATTCTAATATACTTTTTGGAGTATATACGCGTGTACATACTTTTGGTTTATTTATTTATTCTACGTTGTTATATTTATGAGCATCTTGTTGTAGGTTAACTGATAAATTTAATTGGTATGTTGTTGTTTAATATTCCTTTTTTGGTATTCAGTTTATGCACATGAGTCTAAATTTAGAATTCATCTTTGTCTTTTTGTGTTGATTACAGTAATGTATGGTTTTCGTTTTTTCTATTTTCTGCTTCTTGTTTCATTTTGAATGAAAGGAGTGAAACCATAAAAAAAAAAAAAAAAAAGGCAGATCAAAGCACAGCAGGCGTCAAAAATTGAATACGTCAAAAAAGACACCCACCACACACACACGTTAATAGTTGACCTTTTTCAAACCATCTGTCATTTGGTTACATTTTTGCATAGCATAGCTAAAGTACAAAAAGTTATATTTGACATACACTCGCTAAGAAGATACTCAATCACATAGCCATTCGCTAAACAGCACACCATCTATACATTTACTTATTCACAGTTACCAGATCCCTCTCCATGTCGTTTGGTTCATTTGATCATATATGCAACAAGACTTCCCTACCTTTATGTTCAGTAGTTGGGGCGGTCAACCAATCATCCTATTTCCAGCGTGGTATTGTACCTCAATGTTATGCTCGTAGTGTTGAGTTGGCAAACACAATGATTTTCCAAATTGGTAATGCATTTGTCCATTTTGGTGGACTAATCATTATATTGATTATCATATTCAATATGAGGGCGAAATATACTGCGATAGGTAGAGCAGAGATGTTGAATTTGATGTATTTGTTGATTGGATTGATTGTATCGAGTTTGATTGTTGATTGTGGCGTAGCACCACCTAGTTCTGCAACGTATGCTTATTTTGTTTCATTGCAAATTGGTATTGCTAGTGGTGTTGTTGTATGTTTATTGTATAATGGATTATTATGTTTTCAATTTTGGGAAGATGGGACTAGGAAATCATTGTTTATTATGAGACTGGTGAGTTTTGTTTGGTTTGCCATCAATTTCATCATCTGTTTAATCACGTTTAAACATTGGGATACTGCGTTGGATTTCCGCAAGACTACTGCAATGTTTGTTGTGTCTTATGTATTGAATGCAATACTTTTGGCGGTGTATGTTGTATCACAATTGATTTTGGTGTTTTTCGCCTTGAAGTCATGGTGGGCCATGGGAGCAATCTTGCTTGGGTGTTTTTTTTTCATTGCTGGTCAAATCTTGACTTATGTATTCTCAATGCAAATATGTCAAGGAGCTAGTCACTATATTGATGGGTTGTTTTTTGGTAGCTTGTGCAATGTTTTCACCATTATGATGATTTACAAATATTGGGATATGATTACTGATGATGATTTGGAGTTTAGTGTTGCTAATGTTGAACAAGTTGTTAATGAGTTTGGTCCAAATAGTAATGGTGGTGTTGGTGTGCTTTACGATGATGAGAAGAGAGCATCCAGTGTGTTTTATTGAGAAAGTAGCATCCCAAAATAAAAAAGGAAAAGAAGAGAGCTTTAGCAGAAGCAGTTTGACATTGTAGCATGTAATACTAGTTTAACTTTTTCTTTTTAAACGTATAAATAGATGAATCAAAAAACTATACATAGCCAATAAGCTTTGTTCTGCTCTAAACTTTTTGCCTTTTTGCTTCTGACTCCTCAACAACTTCCTCCTCGACTGAAGCAACCGGTTCATTACTTTTATCAGTTGGTTTCAAAGCAGGTGTAGTTTGTTGTTGATGAAAATCTTTAATAATTGAATCAACATCATCAATGTTCAATTGTCTTACATCACCCAACAATTTGATCTTTGTGGTAACTTCTTTAACTTGATCATCAGTTAAATTCAAATTCAATTGATCAACTCTTGATTTAATTGCATTCCATCCAGTCAACCTATTGGCAAAATGAATATACCTTGTTAATCCAAAATCACTAGGGTTTAAAATTTCATAAGTTGATGGATTAGCCAAGATTGCTTTAGCGTGAATACCAGCTTTATGAGTGAATGCACAGAATCCAGTGATGGGGTTATTAAATGGGATATTTACTTGTACTGCATCAGCAACCAAATTTTCCAAATCTCTCAATTTATGTAATTTATATTTGGACAAGACATAATCACGATCAGCAGTAATCATTCTTGCCATTAATGCACCAAGTGGAGTAATTCCATTACGTTCACCAATACCCAATACTGAAACATCAATCAATTTGGCACCAGCCTCCAATGCAGTGTATGCGTTTGCAATAGCACATCCAGTATCATTATGGAAATGACATTCAATGTCACATGAAACCACCGATTTCAATGTCTTGACTAATTCATAAACTTGTCTTGGGTTGGCACAACCAACAGTATCAGCAATACCTACTCTATTGACTCCGATTTTATCAACCGTACGGTAAATGTTTAACAAATCAACAATATCTGATCTAAAACTATCCTCACTGGAGAAACGAATCTCTATTCCCTTTGATTTGACAAATTCAATAACTTCAATAGCACTTTGAGCGATATAATTCATATCTTTACCATGACTATATTTTCTTAAAAATTGTGATGTTCCAATAACAACATCAACTCCATCAACACCAGTCTCAACGGCAACTCTAGCATCATCCATATGACATCTAATATGAGTTAAGATCTTGGCTTTTAATCCCAATTTACAAATGGCTTCACAATCCCTTCTACTTTGTTCAGAAGCCACTGGCGATGTCAACTCGATATAATCAACCCCAAAATCATCCAAAGCTTTAGCTATTTCAATCTTCTTTTCAGTGGAAAAAAATGCATTGGCAAATTGTTCACCTTCTCTCAACGTACTTTCAATCAATTCGAATTTGTTGACGTTGGAAAGAAAATCTGATGGGTTGGGACCATATGGGTTGGACGTGACTGACATTTTTCGGAAATACTCGTGCGTGTATATGTATGTGTGGGTAAGCTTTATGAAAAGAAGAGTGTGGTTTCAAAGTTGTGAAAAATTATGAAAAACTTTTTAAGTTATATATGGGGAAGTATATACTTTGGCTGTGAAAAAAAAAAAAAAACTTTGTGCTGAAGAAATTTTCTTAGTCAAAGAGTAAAAAAGAGCAAATTGTAGTATGAGTAATAGAGAATGAAGGTGTGCTAATGAGGCAAAGCGGGAAAGTCTTAATTGCCTCTATTGTGTGTCATACATAAGCTTTTGTTCCTTCTAGACTTTCTTTGGCTTCATATTCCATTTTAGTCAACTTTGTTCAGTTGCTTAACCGCGCCGATAAGAGAAGGAGAAAAAAAATTTTCTTTGTGTCATAGCAATACGGTAGCGTTTTTTCACTGCAATCAAAATTGCCTTTTGGGGATGACTCATAATGGGATTACTCACATTGTAAAAGAGCGACATTGAAATTTCACGACTTTACACGTGACCCTAATTTTTATTAGTTTTTACTTCAATTTGCAACTGAGCACTCTCATCAAAGAGTACGCAAATAAACCCAATATAACTTTAGTGCTCTTGTGAAAATGCTACGTCGTTAAGAAGTAGCTATATTAAGAGCCACGCAGACTCTATCGTGTAATCTAATAAAACTCTAAAATAGAACCTATTGGTAAACGGTGTAGATCTGCTCGAGTTGAGAAAGAAATATCAGAACGCAAAGTTGACACCAGCGTATAATACGTAATCATATTTCTTTCCCGCTTTTAAGGAAACCGGGGGAACTAGATTGCCAAAATTTTCCTTCAAATTGATTATTGATGGGTCAAAATTGTGCCCAGGTTCTTGTACAACTAGGTGGACTTCTTCAATTTTGTTACCGCTGAGGATCAAATGCTCCAATGAGTTTGATTTAAGGTAACAGTCTACTTTCTGAAACTTGTTTCCTGACAAATCCAAACTCCTCAAACTCGAGAGAGAAGTGATACAAGATGGCATCTCTTCAAGGTTGTTCTGGGACAAATCAACAAACCGAACCGAGCAAGGAAAATCGACATCCACCAGGATCAATCCGTTATCGCTCAATTCAAACCAATCTCAATAAGAGTCACTTGGAAACTCAGCATCAATCTCAGAGAACGGAAAGATTTGAATGCTGCACAAAACTTTACTCCACAACAAACGACGTCCTATAAGCACAAAATGGTAATGAAATGGTCGATATGCAGGAAAAGAAGAAACAGAAGAGTAATTTCTTGCATTGGGGGTTGTTTTCGCATACAGCGGATTATTTAAATACTTGGTTCATGACCAGTTAGCTTTAAAATATTATACAACTTGTGTAAAAGTGTAATGCGTCCCCAAGAGTTCAACAGAAAACTCAAAATTCAATCAAAAATCTCTCAAAGATTCATATACACCACTATAAAAAACGAAACAAAAAGCAAAATCAAACTCAATCTTCCCCCCCTATAAGCATAGATTGATAAATCTATACATTTCATTCTTCATTCTCACCACTTCAACATCCTTGATATTCAACTTCCCATTCATACGATTAACCAATTGTTTGACAATAGAGTTAATCTCTTGATTAGTCAACCCAGTCACATGTTGCCAATCCACTTGTAATTTCCTTGAAGATACTCTATTCTCCTTGATAATTGTCAATTTGAAGCATCCAACAATCAACTTTTTTAATTCAAACCCCATGTCGTTGTAGTTGACAAAATTGTTGGTTTGATTGAGGTATCTCAAAAGGTATATAATATCCATGTACCTAAACAAGTAAATTATAGCCTTCAAAAACGTCGTCAATGAGACTCTCAATCTACTTGTTAGCAACAACAAAAATTTGTCCAATGGTAACTCATTGCGCGTGGGGGGTGCTTTAGAAGTTGTTGTTGTTGGTGACGCTGGAGATGATGAGCCCCTTCTCTTTGGTGCTTCTGGTGGGAACGTGTTGTATATCTTTGTTGCCACATACTTGACTATAATAGTCATCAACTGCGTACGCTGATGTTTGAACTGTTCCGGCGTGATGCCACTGCTTGGCTTAACATACGGTTGCAAGCTGTTGATTATGTTTTGCTTGATATGAGGATTGGGCCCACCAATAGCAAGTTGGGATTGTCTTTTCAATTGTTGAACTTGATGATGGATACTTCTTTGAGGTTGTGGTTGTGGTTGAGGTTGTTGTGGGGATTTGATTGATTCGTTCTGAGTGGACACTGGAGTCGGTTGCAATGATCTTTGTTGATTCCAGTGTCCCCCACTCTTTGTCAGCACGGTAATAACTTCATCAGAGTCATTATCGGATACCAAATTGGGAATATCAATGAATTCATTGAATTCCTCTAACTCTTCACTATCTTGCACTGACGTAATGTCAAGTGAAGAAGTGAAATCATTCTGCAACAAACTCCCATTATCTTGATTGCCAATCTTACCCTTCGGATTCTTCTTCTCCCAGTTACCCTCCTGTCTTCCTGCTGCTTCCACTGCTTGCTGTTGCTCTTGCTGTTGTTGTTGTTGTTGTTGATGATGATGATGATGATGATGATGTTGTTGTTGATGATGATGATGATGTTGTTGTTGTTGTTGTTGTTGTTGTTGTTGTTGGTTTGGCAATGGTGATTTGAATTCATTCGCAAGAGCAACACCGTCCCATCTTTCTCCAAGACGTTCGCCATCAACACCGTCCCCTGAAGCAGCAGGGCCAAATCCATTGTTGTTTATATTGTCATTAATCATGTTGAAAAAAATGTATTCTTCCACTCACAATCTAAATAATTTATAACAATTTGAATTTGAACTTATACCTCAAACCAAAATATTTCCAAAACGTAACCTTTTTCAATCAAAAACAGGAGCAACGGCTTAAATGAGCAAATACATTGCAATCGGTTGATGTATGTAATAATTAAAAATAAAGGGTTACTATAGTAAAAAGGAAAGCACTGTTGAAATCAAACCTTGTTGTTGGCTAAGTTGACTCTTTGAACTCGGTTTTAGTATACTTTGTTGATGAAAACTACCTTTGTTGTTTTGGAGTCTTCAGTCACTTATTGTAGTTGTGGGTTGGTTTCAGTGGTTATATCCAATAGGGTTGTGTTTGATTGGTGAAGGTCTATTGGTTCTAGTTTAAATGATTTTTGTTGATGAGTCAAGGGACTTTCCCAAAAAAAAGAAAAGAAAAAACGAGAGGTTTTCTTGACTTCCTAATGTAGTAATTAACTGCAAAACAGACTCTATCTAATGTATTCTACGCTACCAACCACCTTGGGCCATACAAAGAACCAAAATTCAAGAGACGTTCGTACCCTATTGAATGCAATAACCACTCCCCCACTATATGACAACCCTGATGTCTTCTCTTTCCAAGTGCATATCCATTGTATCCATTTTCAATAGGCTGTTCCAAACTAATCTTACTGTTGTCTCTTTGTGTAATGATGTAAATGCAATTTTTTTTTTTTTTTAGAGTCACAGACATCAAAGGTCAACCACACTATCCCTGGTGGTTACCTGGAATGAGAATACCGAGGATGAGTTCACGTACATATACAGATGCCATAAATGCTCTCAACTCGTTGCAATCAAATTTTGCTTCCATTGAAGCAATGAAGAAATTAGGACCCAACGTCAATCGGAATGAATTGTCAATTAATGAAGTTCGTGAATACACTTCACGATTAGGCTACACTCCCAAAGACTTCAACAAGTTGAACATAATTCATGTCACTGGAACTAAAGGTAAAGGATCTACTTGCGCATTCACTGAAAGTATTTTGAAACAGTATCAATTGAAATATATCTCCAAGATTGGATTGTATACATCACCACATTTGAAATCAGTTCGTGAAAGAATAAGAATCAATGGGCAGCCAATTGGTAAAAAATTGTTTACAAAATACTTTTTCGAAGTCTGGGATAAGCTTACAAACACCAAATCTGATCCTAATGAATGGCCAAGTTTACAACCAAGTGACGTTGTGAAACCAATGTATTTCAAATACTTAACCATCCTATCATTCCATGTGTTTTTACAAGAAGGTGTTGACACTGCGATTTACGAAGTTGGTGTTGGGGGCACATTCGATTCAACAAACATCATCGATAAACCAACAGTCACTGGTATAAGTGCATTGGGAATTGATCACACATTTATGTTGGGAAATACAATAGAAAGCATTACTGATAACAAGACAGGTATTTTTAAAAAGGACACACCTGCCTTTGTGAGCGAACAAAAGGAGTACCCTAAAACACATGCTCTTATTGAGAAGCGAGCAAACGAGTTGGGTGTATCTTCATTAGAATTTGTTCACCCTGATGATATACCAAATGTTGAGTTGGGACTACTGGGAGAATTTCAAAAGGAAAATGCAGCATTGGCTGTGAGGTTGGCCGATACTCATTTAAAGTCCATTGGAGTTGACAGCGGGCTCACGTTGAACAGTGGCAAGGTGGAATCACTTCCCAACCAGTTCATCAAGGGGTTGAAGGATGTTGATTGGCCAGGAAGATGTCAAATCATCGCCAACAATCCAACAGGTATAACATGGTACGTTGATGGTGCACATACAATAGAATCAATAACTGCATCATCGACTTGGTTCAAAGGCGAACAGTTAAAGTCTGCTCCCAAAAAAAGGGTACTTTTATTCAATCAACAAGGTCGTGACAACTATGCTGAGTTGCTCACCACATTGTATCAAGCCATTTCTACAAAAGATCCTAAAGTCTCCTTCGATGAGGTGATTTTCACGCCAAACATTACATGGTCTTCTGGACAATACAATCCAGAATTATTGGCAAAAAACACGTCTGAAGATGCAGTAAAGAAATTAGAAATTCAACACCAGTTTAGTGAATTATGGAAGCAGCTAGATGGTGGCAGGGCCAAGAGACAGGTGTTTCCTGACATTGAATCAGCAGTAGAACATCTCAAGAAAGAGAAACAAGAATTGAATGTTTTTGTATGTGGGTCCCTACACTTGGTTGGTGGGTTTTTAGTCGTTTTAGATAACGAAAGAGAATAGATCGTAAAAATTCTTTTAAACTTCTATATCAATTACCACTACTCTTGACAAGGTTCTCTCTAGTAGCTTTAACAATATCATCAATGTTGCGAATCGAATCTAACCATTGTTGTAATGCCCTTTTAACTAGATTCCAATTTTCAGCATTTGCTTCATCTTCGCCAGCCAATATAAATCTGTTGACTCTACTCAAGTAGAAAGTTTCATCAATTTGGTTAATCTTTCCTTCCAATACACCAGCTTTGATAGCCTCAACCAACAACTCTTCCAATTCGGTAGAATTTGATGCAGTTTCAATTTCGCTATATTTGAAAATGATATCATCATGATCAGATGATAAAGATTTGCTAGCAAAGAATCTTGCCAAGTTCAAAATTCTTGATTTTTGGTGGATAAATGATACTGGTAAGGACGAGTCAGCGGCTGAAATGTCATCAGTTGAAATTGTTTCTCCTCGAACGTATTGAGCAAAAAGTTGGGTCAATTTGTCATTATTCTTCTTTAATGCTGATGCAACATTATTATTAACTAAAAATGAAACGTCAACAATCTTTGACTCCAATGCAAACTTAATCAACTTGGTCAATTCTGATTCCGATACGGTAAACTCGTGAGTAAATGATTTGATAAAATTCAAAGACTTTAACGAATAACCCTTATCCAAGGCAATGAAATTCCAAAAAATCTCCTTAATCTCGTCGTCCTTTGCATTACACTCTTTCAACCAATTGACCAAGTTTCCCGATATGTTATCTTCAATAGCGTTAAACTCGACATCTGATGTCTGGATCACCTTCAAAATTTGTTTAATCACATATATCCTAGTCTTGGAATCCCTAGGTATCAAATTGAAAATTGTACTCAAAACCGACAATACAGAAGTTGATCTGATTGATTTCCTGTCTCTTAAAGATAATGGTTGTTTGGGGTTGATTGTTAAAAGTAAATTGTAAATTGGTGATGATTCATTGATCAATACCGAATCAATGGAATCCAATTGGGAAAGGATATGGATCAACAAGTAAACAGTAGGTTCAAATTCCTTATCAGTCAAATGTTTCAACGTTTCGGCAGTCGATGCTTGTTGAAGTATGGTAAACAACTTGCTTTTGTTTGAGATGGCTTGATCTTGTTGCGAGGGTAATAATGACTCCACTTTTGTCGCGAGTTCGGTGTTTCCATTGAGGCCATCAACGACTTGGACATATTCTCTAACTGAGTCTTTCAAATCATTATCAACGACTATTACAGATGCCATGATGTATGATAAACGTCTACCTCAAACCTTTGTTCAAGTGAAAATCTGTATTTCAAAAAAATTTTCCAAAGAGCACGGCTTACATGCAGGAGAAAACGAAATGTACTAAAGTCGTGTATTGAGAGACAAAAAGAATTCAATTTTGCAGCCAAGTGATATACCCCTACACATCATCTTCATCCTCCTCATCAATGATTGGCCCATACATGGTTTTATTAGCATACCCATGAGATCCTGTATTGTTATTCAACGGATTACTCAACCAGTCATTAACTTGTTTTGTATCTTGATAATTATGAGGAACATTGTTATTCTTGAAATTAGGTGAAAACAACTTCCTACTCGTTTTCTCATTTCTTGGTGTTGATTTCGATTTAAAATTGAATGGTGGTGAATGGGATCGGTACCCCTGCATTCTTTTTATTTCATTGGTGTTGAAATTGGGGTGGATTGAGTTGCTGTGTAAAACTGGAGTTGGCGTGACAAGACTCGAGGGTTTGCTTTTAACCATGAATTGAGAATGCGCATTATTGGATTCTCCATTCATTGGCGGCACTTCATCGCCATACTTGGATTCACTGGGCGTATCATCGGACGAGTTACTCGTGACTCTTGACATGGACAGTTTCTTTTTCACAGTGGATTGACCACCAGTCGTCGACACTGATTGGATCGATTGATCCGAAGACATGCCTCTTCTATAGCTAGGTCTCTTTTTGGTTGGAATTCGACTACTTCCAATAACCACTCCAGTGGAGGATCTTCCATCTTGAGACATACTGATACTTGAATCATACGCATCATCTTCGTCATCATCATCGTCCAATGTGTCTGTCTCATCTAATATGTCTAGCTCTGATTCCGACAACATTGTTGATAACTGACTCAACCTGCTAATTTGACTAATTTGGGAAATCATCGATGAAGGTCTCGTCCTAGTTAAGCCTCTACCTTCACCAGAAGTTGGAGTTAAATGATTAGATCCTGATGCTTGTACATCAAGAGCTGGATCCAAGCCAGTTTCGTTTGGTCTGATATCGGACCCAGTAGTTGCCGGCGTTTGTTCAAAACCTCCCACTTCAAAAGACGTTTGACTGTGTTGGAATCTTTGTGGGCTTTGCTGCAATTGCAACTCCAGGTTACCACTACCGGTATCATTTTCATACTTTTCTGACATCTTACTCGCAACTGAAGTAGAATCTTCTTTATCCCCATCGTTTTTGTCCTTTTTCCAAAATTGCAACTTATTTAGGATTTTCCCACTCTTATTTGGCTTCTTCACTGACTCTCCAGTAGATGCTGTATCAGATGGTCTTCTCTCTTGTGGGACAAATGACACTATTCTATGCAAGGGAGCATCAATTTTTGTTGATGTAGGAGAGATGGCTTGCAACTGTTCCGTCACGCCAGTGCGTCCCAGTTCGCCCACAGAGTTTCGAATGGAATTATCGCGGTCAATATTGAAATGTGCATTTTGTGGCGACCTTGGCAGGTTGTTGCGCAAGTCGGAATTGTCGGTTGATTTTCTTGAGTACGTTGACAATCGAGCCAAATTAGTTTTGCTGGTATTTTTGTTTGAAGTTATGCTTAAAGTTGAGATTATCCGTTCCAATGGTTGGGATCCTGATAACTGATCTGACATGGAAAGGGCACTCTTGACCTTTTTACGAGATTTCCTCAACGAGTTTCTTGCTTCAAAGTATTTTCTTTTTTTATCTCTAATATATCGTTTCTTTTTCTTTGAAAATTCTCGAGTCAACAATAATTCATAGAAAGCGGTCAACGAATTCGTTTCATTGCCGTATATGCTTGCTTGGAGTTCGTCAATGTCAACATTTAATTTCTGTAATTTACCAATCAATTCACGTTCTATCCTCGTGTCGAAAGGTCTCTTCATAGAATTATAGTGTTGGTTGATCGAAAGGATTGACTCACCATCTCCAATCACCTTTTTCTGAGTCTTTTCTAAATGCTTGTTATACGAGTCAATCAAGAATGATGAATTTAAAATCTCACCAACGCCTATTCTCTTTGTTGGGTCTTTATTCAACATTTTCAAAATTAACTGATTCACTTCTTCTGGTACAAAGTCGGCAAAAGTCGGATCCTCGTTCACAATCTTTGATTTAGTCTTCATTTCGTCATCATCATCAAACGGTAGTACCCCATAAAGCATAGTGTACAATATTATACCTAAAGACCATACATCAATTGCAAACCCCGAATACTTCTGTCCCGATAACAATTCCGGTGCCATATACACAGTTGTACCACAAATTGTTGTTAAAAACCTCCTAGATTGTGGGTTAAACTCTCTTATGAATCCAAAATCGGTCAACTTAACACAACTCTTTTTCTTATCTGACAAGAGAATATTCTCCAACTTCAAGTCACGATGACTCAAATTCATGGAATGTACAAATTGTACACCAAGCATTATCTGAAAGAAAATATGACGACACTCGTTCAATTCCAATCGCCTCTTTTCGTAAACCAAATAGTACAATTCACCACCTTCGCAATATTCCATTGCAATCCATAAATGATTTTCAGTTTTAATGACTTCGTAAAGACTAACAATATTCTTATGCTTCAATTGCTTATGATAATAAATCTCCCTTACAATATTAGGATCATCAATTAGTCCACATTTCAATACTACATTAACATTTAGTAGTATGTGGGTCGCAAGATACACTTTTCCAAATGCACCTTCACCAATTTCTTTTGTAATTCTGTAGTTTCCAATTTGGCTAATTTTGGGTGACGAAATTGCCATGTAAAAGTTGTTGAACTCATTAGCCAACTGTGCTGTGTTGTTATTGTCCTTTGAATACTTCGCAACTGGTCGAGTTCCATTCATTTGTGTAAACTAATGCGGAAAAGGAATGAATGTAGGGACTGTGGATGGTTCGAAAAGATTAGGGTAGTTAACTGTCGATATGTACAAAGTGAAGCAGCGTTTGGTGGATCCGAGGATGTCCCAGAAGAGCCTGTCAGTATTACCTTTTATGCAACGTGAAAACGGGTGTCTATGGAAGGCGTGAAAACTATCTCTTGGTGAGCTAAGCAGGTGATTTAAAGTTTGCATGTGGCTGTCGAGATTTACACATTGAACCTGCATATAAATAGCAAACTTTTTGTTTTGTTATTTACCCTCTACGACTATAATTAGTACTACAATAGGTTCAAAGGTCATCGCGTTGAGAATACAGGGTCTATTTGACAGGGTGAATCATAGAAGGGATATATATGATTGGATATAGGGTGCTACCGCGTACACGACTACATGTGAGGGTGAGGGGCTTACCCTCACCACATTTATACAAAGCATATGCCTCGCAGCGTCTGCTTATACAACTACGGCTTGCAACTACTCAACACAGCCCGACTTCGTCAGCAGTACTGTCTCTTGAGGGCCTGCGTATTATAAACGGTGCTAATCCTATCCAGGTAAACAAGAAGGAGCTTCTAAAATCCATCGCAAACCCACTACAGACGATAAAGGAAAAGATTAAATCAAAAGCCTTTACATATCCATATAACTACCTAAATGAAGAGACAGAGCTGCAATTGGATCTTCTTGAAAACTTCACATCCACAGTCAGTGAACAAGTATCAAAGTGTGACAATTTTGACAATGGGTATCTTACTTTTACTGAATTTATAAATCCCAACATCAATCTTTTACCGGTACTCATAAACTCCATACAAGATGGCAATTATCCCAAAGAGATGCTAGAAATATACAACCTCCAAGACAAGGGTGCATTATTTGAACACATTCTTACACATGTGCTATACAAAGACTACCTCGAGTACAAGATCCAAACCACGCCATACGAAAAATCATTGATTGATTTTTCCAACCCTGCTCAATGGTTCCCTGAGGCAAGAAAGATGAAACGAAAAATTGTCATGCATGTGGGGCCAACAAACAGTGGAAAGACTCATCATTCGTTACAAAAACTTTCGACTGTAAGGACGGGTTACTACGCTGGCCCATTGAGATTGTTGGCACGTGAAATATACGAACGATTCAATGATCAAGGCATTGGATGTAATTTGATTACTGGTGAAGAAGTTATCCCATCGATTGATGAGTATGGAAGAGTGAGTGGCTTGGCCTCGGGGACTATTGAAATGATTCCATTGCACAAGAAAATGGATCTTTGCGTTATTGATGAAATACAAATGATTGGAGATGCACAAAGAGGATCGGTTTGGACTAATGCCGTCTTGGGTGTTTTGGCACATGAAATTCATCTTTGCGGGGAGGAAAGTGCTGTCCCATTGATTGAGAAATTGGTGGAAATCACTGGTGATGAGCTAGAAGTGAAGAAATTTGATCGATTGGGGAAATTGACAATGGAAAAGAAACCAACAAGTTTGAAAACATTGAAAAAAGGCGATTGTTTGGTTGTATTTTCCAAAAGAAAAATTTTGGAGTACAAATGTCGTATAGAGCAGGAGACTAAGTTAAAAGTTGGTATGATTTATGGTGCGTTACCGCCAGAAATTAGAGCTCAGGAAGCTGCAAGATTCAACAATGGTGAATACGATGTACTTGTTGCTTCAGATGCTATTGGCATGGGGTTGAATTTAAAAATCAATCGTATTGTTTTCAGTGGGATCAACAAATTCAATGGATCTGAGGTGGAGAATTTGACTACGTCGCAAGTTAAACAAATTGCTGGTAGGGCTGGTAGGTTCAGCGTTGAACACGGATCGAGGGAAGGGTTGGTAACTGCGTTGCAGCGTTCAAGCTTATTGTACATCAAAGAGTGTCTTGAACTGCCAATTGCGGAACTTGAGAAGGCATGTCTTTGGCCAACTGACCTTGTGTGGAAATACTACATGACAAACTACTCCACTACTAGTCCCTTATCAGAAACTCTTTCTCGTTTCATCAGTAGCACTTCCAACTTCAAATCTGACCTTTATTTCTTAGCTGATTTGGAGGTCAAGACTGGAATTTTGGACATTATATCAAAGGACAAGCTATTGAAAAACATGACTATTGATGACCAATTGACGCTAAGTGAGACCCCCATTTCCATTCACGGTCCCATGAATAGAGAACTTGTAATTCCCACAGTCAAGAAGTTTTTCAAAACCATTGTGGAGAGAAGTTGTAAAACAGTTTTTGATTTTGGGTTTTTGGATTTACATCTCTTATCTGCTAAACCAATGTTGAACAAAAACATCAAGATTCCTTTGGGAAATGTTGAGCAATTGGAAAGTATGCACAAATTGATATTGTTGTCTTTGTGGTTGAGTCAACGATTCCCCACTTTGTTTATTGATAAGCAATCAGCAATGGAGTTGAAAGCTCTTGTTGAAAAGAGAATTACTGAAGAGTTGAATAATGTCAGACGAATGAATAAGATGGGAAGGAGGTGATGTAGAGACTTGTAAATAGAATTGTATACATTCATAGACCTTAAATTACATTGTAACCAGATTTTGAGTGACATTGGCGTTTATTTTTAATTTTTGTTGGTGAAAAATGCGATATCGCTATTGTATCTTCCCCCCACTTCTCCCCCAAACACAAAACCAATTTTTGCTTCCTAACTTTGTTTCCCCCCAAAATTTTTCACTTTCGAAAAGACTCCGATTTCGACTTGGCAACTACATAAAGTCCAACAATCGTCACCAAAAGAGTTCGTTTTATTCAGCCTCTCTCAAATTATCAAAATCTCAATCTCAAACATGCCTACAGTTATCGTCGTTGGTGGTCCAGCAGGAACTGGTAAAACAACTCAAGGTGAATTACTTGCGCAATATTACCAATGCCCATTCATAGAAGGAGATTCATTACACCCACAAGCCAACATTGACAAAATGTCTCGAGGAGAACCATTGACTGACGATGATAGATGGGGGTGGCTTGCGAAACTAGCACAAGAAGCAAGTGTAAAAGCTATTGAAGATCCGAGTAAAAAAAGTGTTGTATCTTGTTCAATGTTGAAAAAGGTATATCGTGACTATATCAAGCAGAATGCTTCGACTTCGGGGGAAGGCAACGATTTAAAGTTTCGATTTGTGTTTCTTTACACCACGTTTGAAGAATTGATCAAACGGGTTGAAAATAGGAAAGGTCATTATATGAAGTCTGACATGGTGAAGTCACAATACGATATTATGGAAGTACCACAAGGTGACGAATTGTTGGAGAATGGTGGAGAGGCCGTTAGTGTTGATTCTACGGGCAAATCGGAACAAGTTATATTTGATGATATCCTCAAGCAATTGAGCTTACCAAGGGGGGCGTAGATTTAAATAGCAGGGATAGAAACATGGTTGTATATACACATTGTGCTTCATCGCTATATGCTCTACGTAGTGTCATGGAACGTAAGCACATGTGTAAGTGTCATATAAGCGTTAATGCTACTAACATACATTAGTCTAGATTCATTCATTGTTCCCACCCGAGAAAAGCCCTTTGGTAGAAACCAGAAAAAATAAAAAAAGAAATTCATTTTGCACTTTTAGTACAAGACACAGAATTGAACACACAGAATATATATCAGCTGCCTCGAGGTTATCACACACGACACACCACGCTTAAACCCCCTTTCTCCTTTGACACTTGAACAAACTAAGTTCATAGCTCCACATTCCTCGCTGCCATCAACTACAAGCTAGATACAACAACTAATCAACACCCTATCTTGAATATTTCTCCTTCATATTACATGTCATCAATACCACTTGATATTGATACACTCCCGTATTTCAATCCCAATGTCGATCGAAGAGTAGCTATAATAACTGGAGGGAACAGTGGTATTGGTTTTTACACAGTTTTGCATCTATATCTACACGGATACGTAGTTTACATCGCCAGTCGGTCAAAGTCACGATGCTTGAAGCTGATTAATGAGTTGGAATATCGGGCTAGTCAGATGAGACTTTTGGGCCAGGGGAGTAATCCTCAACAGCATAGTTTCAATGAGGCCGCAGGGACTAATGCTAATAGTGAAGTGAGCCAGCGTAGTGTAGGTGAAGTGCATTATCTAGAAATGGATTTGAGTAATCTACAATCGATTGTTAATGCTGTTGAAACATTCAAGTTGAAAGAACGATATCTTCATTTATTAATCAACAATGCCGGTGCAATGGCCTTGCCGTATACCAAAACAGTTGACGATTTTGAAATCCAACTACAAACCAACTTTATATCACCATTTTTGTTAACTTTAAAGTTGTTACCTATACTTGAGCGGACAAGTGACACGTTCCCCGACATTGAACCAAGACCAAGAGTCATTTATCTAAGCTCTTTTGGTCATCAATTTGCTTTTCGGTATTTCAACTTGAAAACAGTGTTGGATTACAGACCCAATTTCATCTTGACCTGGATAAGATATGGAGTTGCCAAAACTGCAGGAATCCATTTCATCAAGATGTTGGCCCTACGCAACCCTAAAGTATTGTGCATTTCAGTACATCCTGGACTAATCATGAATACCAATGTGTTTGCCTATTGGACAAATTTACCAATTGTGGGCATCATTTTCTGGTGTCTTTTCCAAATTTTCGCTTGGGTGTTTGGTGTTAGTTCAGAGCAAGGGGCATTGGAAGTGATACGATGCTCTTTGAATCCACGATTGTCAGTTGAGGAGAATAATGGGAAATATTTTGGATCGAATGGAAAAGAGTTGCAACCTTCCAAGGTGGCTAATGATATGGATTATGCCGCAAGAACTTGGATTTGGACTGTACATGAGTTGAGTAAACGAGGGTTTGTTATACCGGGAGCATAGAGAGGAGGGAAAGTTAAAAAGAGTAAAACTATTTAATCAGCATTATAGGTCACAAGTGGCTCTTGCATATCCATTGCTAATTCAATTCCAAACTAATTGACTTGTTAATAAATTATTCTTGTTGTTCAGTTTCTTTTCTTCATTTTCAGCTCAAGATTGGCATCATCGCTAGTCTTGAGTGTCTTCATTGTTGTAGTAAGTCGTTCAATTTCCCTTTTGGACAATTTAGGATCCAATCCTTCATACCCAAGTGGCGGTTCTTCATCCAACGTTTCAAGCACGGGTCTCTGCACATATTTATTGGCAATATCATCACTATCATCACTGAACACGTGTTCTTCTTCATCTTCTTCTTCAACACTCTCCCAATCACCGTCGTTATCATCATAGTCGAGCTCCTCTTCACTGAAATTTGCACCTTCTTGTCTTAGCTTATTTTTGAACTCCATGTACTCTTCGTATGCCATGTCACCCTGGTATTCATCCTCAACATCACTTTGGTAATCCGAGTCATCATTGTACGTCTTGTTGCCACCACCACTCATTTCCAATATGATCTCCAGTTCCATAAATTCAGGAAAATCTTCAAACTCGGTGTTTTTAAATTCGTCTTTGAATTGGGTTGTCATTGCCAAAATTGATGACTTGAACTCTTGATATTTCTGAGCAACTTGGTCGCGAGGTATCCATTCTGATGCAATATCGTAATATTTCCATCGAAATTCGTTCAACTCGTCATCAGTTAAATCGCTTTCGTCGTCATCATCTTCTTCTTCATCTTCATCAATCAAGTCTTCAATGTCGTCGAGACCCTCTTCAAAAACTTGTTGTAGATTTTTAGCATATTGTTCTTCATCCTCCATTTGAGGTCCATTTATATCTGCAATCATTTCAACCAATTCAGTATCTTCGGGGACTTTTTCCGATATTATCCCTCTTTTAAGTAGTTCTTCTTGTAGCACCAATCGTGACGATGGTTTGATCGTACCGGGAACTTTTGGTTCTTCTTTACCTTGGTAATATTGTTGCAACCCTGATAGCACAATCCCACTCAACTCCTTTGGCTTCCCCAACGCTGAAGCAATACCTAACAACACACCAAGATGCACACTGTTGACGGGAGCAGTAACTTCCACTCCTTCGTTGAAAACAAGTGGTTTAACTTCCTCTTCATCTTCCAATGCCTCCAAGCTTTTGGCCACCATCATTGGGTCCATAGCGACAAGTTTCGCAACAGGGACAGGTAAAGTTAAGTTGACGTCATGAACGTGACTCAATCCAGTGATAAGGTTACATTTCTCCTTCAATGCTATAGTCAATTTCTCGTCCAGCTTGTAATCACCCACAAATATTTGCTTGATAGCGTCTAGCAAGGGCAAATATCCACCTTGGTCAATGAGTCTATTTAGTACGATACACCCTCCATTATGTAACCAAACTCTATTTCTTGAAGTTGTTACGTCCTGCAAATCATCATGGAGTTCAGCATGGCAAGTAGCTAGCACAGGCTCAATTGTCACGGAGTCAAACACATGAATATAGCAATCTTCGTACTTTGTGAAATCAAGTAGAATTGCGATAAGCAACTCCATGTCCAAAACATGTTCATGATAATTGAGTTCCCCGTAAATGTATTCGACGACATTTAAAGTCATTGCTTGAAATTGTGGCTGTCTAAAGTTCCAAGGATATTGCAACCATGGCTCCATATACTTGACATAATTGGATAAGGTTTGATCTATATGTTTGGAGATGATCACAAACGATATTGTAGTGTCTTGGAATATTGACTGAATCTCATGTGGTTGTAATTCGTCGTTGGTCCATAGATAATCTGCTGATGCCATCTTCGATCTTTTGCAGAACGCAATGTCAATTTGAGATGCGCAGAATAAATTTTGAAGAGAAAATCGATTGCAAAAATGCGCTCTACAAACAGTATAGCAGCGCCATAGACTTCTTTTTTATAATATATGCTTAGCTAAACACTTTTTTTTTGTCAAGCAATCTATAATTTGGTATCGTGCTCAACCCTTTCAATAACGATGGATGAAGCACCACCACCACCATTACAAACACCAGCACATCCAATCTTACCACCCTCTTGTGACAATACAGAAATCAAGGTGATGATGATTCTAGCACCAGAACATCCCAATGGGTGACCCATAGCAACAGCACCACCATAAGCATTAACTTTCTCTTCTGGAAGGTTACAAAGTTTAGTATTGGCTAAGCCAACAACTGAGAACGCTTCATTTAATTCAAAGAAATCAACCTTGTCTTGTGAAATGCTGGCATGCTTCAAAGCCTTTGGAATAGCCAACGATGGAGCAGTGGTGAAATCAATTGGAGCCCTAGCAGCTTCACCCCAACCGACAATCTTGGCCAATGGTTTCAATCCCAATTCTTTCAACTTGGCTTCAGAAACCAAAATCAAAGCTGCACCACCGTCGTTCAATTTGGATGCATTTGGTGCAGTAACGGTACCGTTTTCCTTTTGGAACACTGTTCTGGCAGATTTGACCTTAGCTTCATTAAAGTTTTTCACTTCCTCATCTTCGCTAATAGTTATATCTGGCTTACCTCTGACGCCCTTTATGGTGATTGGACTAATTTCATTACTGAACTTTCCCTTTGCAGTAGCATCAGCAGCCTTTTTATACGAATTGATGGCAAATGCATCTTGTTCTTCTCTGGAGATTGAATAATCCTTGGCACATTTCTCAGCAGCAACACCCATCAATTTGGAACTGTAAACATCCAATAACCCATCCTTTTGAATACCATCAACGATGGATGCATCACCGTATCTGGCACCGCTTCTTCCAGTTGGCAAGTAGTATGGCGTGTTGCTCATAGACTCAGCGCCACCAACAATAACAATATCACTGCTTCCAGTGATGATGTTTTGAGCCCCAATAATGGTTGCTTTCATACCTGAAGCACAAACTTTGTTAATAGTAGAAGCAACAATAGTTTCTGGTAAACCAGCTTTCAAAGCAACTTGTCTTGCTGGTGCTTGACCAACATTGGCTTGTAAAACTCCACCAAAAACGATTTCGTCGACATTTTCTGGTTTGATTTGTGGGACTTTAGCCAAAGCAGCTTTGACGGCGTGGGCACCCAATTCAGGGTAGCTCAATGAAGACAAACCACCTTGGAATGACCCGATTGGGGTACGAGCAGTGGAAACGATGTATACTGGAGGAACAGTCATTATTTTTCGGTATGTGCAGGTGTTGAATAAGTAAGACTTACTGAGGTAAAAGTAAGATAAATAGCTGATTTGTTTAAAATCGTATGGTTTTATTTCAAAAAAAAAGGAATATTGGGATAATCTTTGATATTTTTATATATTTTGCCCACACAAAATTCGATGTTTCAGTCCTTGCTCGTATAACTTTTTACTATTTTTTTTTTTTTTCAAAGAGACGCGCAGTATGCAGGATATTGCCGACGGCTAATCAAAAGGGAACGAAAGCGAGGTTAAAGTGGAGTCATACGGAAGTATATCTCCGTTGTCACGTGAATTGTTTCAGTTGAAGCAACTGAGTCTCATTTATTTTTGAGTTTTCTAAGAAGAGTGAATATTAGCACCTTTCAACAACAGAGAATTACAACTACGGGTCAAATGTTTCGTTTTCATCGTATGGTTGCTATTGCCTCGCCGCGGGTATCTCTTCGACAGATTCCAATCGTTTCCAGACCATTGCTTACTCGCTCCTTTCAAACATCATCAATACAATATAAACTATTTGGAGGACACAAGAAACATGCCGAACAGGTGACGAGTCAAAGCTCCAGTATCAAACCGCAGACTATTGAGACTACACAAGATGATCAATTAAAAGTATCACAGTCGACACTCCCCGCAGGAGGCCCTACTGAACACGACTTTAAAACTCATCCCATATTGAAACGTGTACCTAAATTTCTTCGTAACTATACAGCTAAATTCGTCAATGCTCCCTTTTCACACTTGATTGCATTTATTGTACTTCATGAAATAACGGCGATTGTACCCTTGATTGGTATTTGGTATTATTTACATCAACACCCTGGTTTCATCCCCTTAGATCTTCCTCAATGGGCATTGACTAAAGGCGCCAAGGTTATTGATTCAGCAATGGGACAGTTTGATTGGAGTTTCAACACCAGTGACAAATTGGCAGTTATTATGGAGGGGGCATATGCGTTTACTATTGTTAAATTGTTTTTGCCAGTAAGGGTTATCATAAGTTTATGGGGGATGCCATGGTTTGCGAAATGGTTTGTTTTACCGATAACCAATTTGTTTAGTAATTGGAAAAAGTTGAGAAAGGCCAAAGGGGAAGTCAAGTCTGTTGATTCAAAAGTGAAAACAAAACAGATTGATAAGCCGAGATTATAGGTCTTTGAGTTATTGCCAGTATCTTTCTAAGAGCGGTTATGTGAAGAGGTTTATGTTTTTAAAGAGATGCATGGATAACATAGCATGGATAACATAGTATGATATAACTTGTATATACAATATATCGTCGAATAGAGACCGCTCCTGAGCAATTTCATTTGACATGGTTAATTTGCTCAAAGTTGTAGTGCAGTGTCGCAGGATACCCTTAGTTTATTGGGTGTTCCCAATTCTAGAGTTTCCCTATTTCTTTAAGTCCATTTCAAGCTCCTTAGACCAGCTATTGAGCTCATTTACAATCTCCTCAAGTCTCATCACTTTTTTCTCAATGTCAACCAATAGATTTGCATGTTGATCAAATTCTTCCTCTGAGGCAAGAGTTAGTAGAATTTCCTTCATCATGTTAGCATATCGCTCCAGTTCTAACATACTCAAAAGTTTTAAATGTTTTCCATTTGCTTCAAGATCATTCAAATTATTTTCCAATTTGATGTAGTTCAATGACTGATTAGTATTTAGATTCTCTAGTAGATTCAAATCGATTGTGGATATATTGGTATCGGATTCAATTACTTTTGAGAGGGTAGTGAGAGCATGTTCAACAAGCTTTGGTGTATCCTTGGACATGTGTGGAAGTTGAAGTGCAAACAATGGAAGCTTAATTTATTTTTCATCCACAATTTTGATTCCATCAACAAACGTAACCAACTACAAAATTCTCTCATTGCGTAAGTCATTGGGATCATCATTATTCTTTATTTACAAGAGCATATACAAAACACCTACCTCCCGCTATACAACTTATACATTGGGTTGGTCTTGAAATCTTGGATATTTCTCCACTTTTTACTTGGTTGAGCATTCAATTTTTCAACATAATTAATCTTTTCTGGTTTATCAATCAAATCAGTCATACTCACCCTAATTTTCGATTCTGGAGTTATAATCTCATATAATCCGGGCAACTTGTCAGCCGCTTTACGCAATGCTTCTCTAGCCACTTTGTCATGAATACCTCCATCTATCTCAAAAAGCACTTTTCCTGTAGGGACTCTTGTTGCCCAGTGATCAAAGGGACCTTTACCTTTACCCATTCTTGTTTGATTACCTTTTATACAAACGGCCAAATCACAAACAAAACGAGTAAAAAGTTTCGATTTCGTGGGACGTAATTCACGACGCAACACTTTGTCAGCTGCTAATAATTGATTAGCGCTCATTCTCAATCCACGTGATTTCAAACGTAATCCAATCTTGCCAAACTCTAAACTGTTTCCTTTGATTGAACCACCTGTTCTGACAGAAACCCTTCCCTTTTGAGCTTTCTCAACTTCTCTGAACCTGGGAGCATATTCGTGTTTGAAACGTTTAAATATTGAGGTGAATACCAGCGTGTTTTTGGATAGGCTAGTGAACATGATATAAGGAGATAGGGACAAGGTGTTGAAATATGTGGTTCTGTTTTAGCTGGATTAGTCGAAGATTGTATCAAAAATTTTCATTATTTTTTCGTTCACAGTTTCATGACGTGCAACTATGTCGTAAAAAGTTGATCTCAGACAACCCCCCTTTGCCCGTGGCACGGGTATAGCTATAACATCCGACCGAGATTTTTCCAAGCCAAGAAGAGTTCATGAACGTCAAGACGTCATTGATGTGTTTCCTTCTGTGGCTTTCATTTCAGTTTTTCAATTTTTTACAGTTTTCAACATTTTCATTTATGTATCATTTTGCAACAAATTAAGGCAAAATTGCAACAAGAGATAAAAACACTCTCATCTCAAGAGTACTGCGTAGAGAACACTTTGAATGCAGGGCTATGAGTACGTGGTTTACGACTCGAAACCCGATTTGTTGCAAAATGGTAGAGATGAAAACTAGGGCCACTTTATTCTGTTTGGCCGTTAGAAGTGTCCAACAGCAGCGAGTACTGGCTAATGGAAAAGTTTGGCTTCAGATGAAAATAGCCAAGTTTTAAATGCTTACTGGTTTACCTCTAATTTCAATGGGAAACTTCACTTTATGCAATTTACTTTAATGCGAAACCAGGTTTTGATTGATGTGGAAGGGCCATTGCTGGATATTTACGCATGTCAGATGGATGGGCTTTTATGGAACAAGCGAGTTCATGAACGTAGCGAACACCAAACCAAATCTATTACGAAGATGCGAACTGTTCAATTCAATGTATTGAGGGCCGTCGCAGTAGTCTGTAGAGATATTTACAGGCCGGTTTCAAGAGAAAGGTTGTAATTAAATAACTGCAAGATGATGAGCTTAAAGCAACCTTTAAATAGAGGGGACATCAACATCGTTCAGGTAATACACGCGATAGTACGGAATTTCGATCTTTACTATCTACTAACGACAAGCTCAAAACTGAGTAGAATGGAAGGGAAATGGTCTTTGCACCATCTGCTGGTGTAACATCAATCAAGCAATAAATATTCAAAGTTACACAACCTTCAATTCTTGAGCTTCCAGTGCAGGAGAAAACGGGGATAAAAAAATATCAATTTGAGAGTATAAGAAGATGATGTTCAAGAATACAAGGTGCATACTACGATAAAGTCTCAATGACGATTAGACAATGGGCATTGAATGTATCTACTGACATATATAGCAACCATCGGGGTTCACGGGACCGTCTTGACAATGGTCATAATGTCTTGAAATAACTTTTCAATGTATTGTTTCCAGAAATGAGCGCCCACATGTCAAAGTTAAAATTGAGGAAATTATTGGGAAAGGAATTGACAAAGAGATTACACAAGACTTGACTTGTTCCACCATACCCATGCCTATGTCCTACTTGCTTTACACCAATGCTCTGCCTCACGTGTCTACCTCATAAAACTATGGAAGAGCTTTTCCATCAACTCAATCAGCACAAATCATTGGCGTTTTGTCCCCCCCCCCCCCACGCGGGTCTGGAACTGACAAATAATGGCGAAACAAAATTGAGTTCTTCCTTTTGGAAGCTACATTGAAATAGTGTGTCAAGAGAGAGACAAATAGCTCATGGACCATTCAGAGACTGCTAGTGACACTTTGAGAAACATCACGAGTACCCAGAAGTTAACCCAGATAGCAATAGTGACAGTGCTGAGGATATCAAATTAGCTTTGGAGCTTTCAAGGACTGATGCTTGCACTTCGGGATTGCCAGTGGAGACTGGGGATATAGTTGAAGAAGACAATGAGGTTGACGAGGAATTGAAACATGCATTAGAATTGTCATCAATAGAGCATTGAGTAGTTATTTATTGGTTGAAAAGAAGTCAAAGCCACATTCGCGTGAATATACACCTCAGTGGTATTGGGTACGGAAGCGGTTGTGGAGTATTGCAATAAATGGTAAATCCGAAATGTGAGGCAGATCAATGACGGGTCTTGGATTGATGAAGTGGTGAAAGATAGTTTGTTGTTCTTGTATAAACATTGAGTGTTAAAATATTGAGAGAGAGACATGCAACATGAACTGAAGAAAAGACGCTACCGTTTCAAGTGGCCCATACTATGAGTGAATACTTTGAAATAGGTTCAGGGATAGCTCGTCAAGCCCAATTTCCTTCTCGGTGTTTGCATCTGTTAACAACAAAACCATAACTTCTAGCCAATTCTCTACATTGATCAATGTACCTCCATAATAAAGTCATTCATTGTATAAACTCATATGTATATATATATATATACCTCTATCCTGTATAATCTATTTTCAGAACACCCTTATGTGTGTAGTCCTTATGCTACAACCTTTAATTGCTATTGCTTTGTACAAGCTCGTCATCATTGACATGTTCATTTTGTGGTTTGGAGTAAGCAGCGTAACCGGTTGAAGTGGCCATCTCTTCTTCTGAAGGTGGAGTCCATTTAGAAGATTTCCAAGCAGGTATGCCACTTTGATACAATTCATCAACATCTTCCAAACTAAGTCCCTTTGTTTCGTAAACCATAAAGTAAACGAAAAAGATTGAGAACAACAAACATCCAAAAAAGACAAATCCATAGTAGAAATGAATTGCTTGAGTAATGAACGAAGTAAAGAATGAAATCAAGAAACCAAAAATCCAATTTGCAGCACTAGCAACACCAATAGCCTTTGATCTCACCTTCAATGGATATAACTCTGAGACAATAGAGTAGACACCACCAGCCCATGTCGAAGCAAAAATGAAAACGAAAAGACATGTAATGAAAATCAATGCTCTTCCTGATGGTTGTCTAGTTGGACCATCAGGACCATCAATGTAAAGACTTTGGGTACCGATCAATGAGTAGATCAAAAAACAAATTGACATACCAACTGAACCAACCAACAAACATTGTCTTCTACCTAATTTCTCAATCAAGTAGATACCCAAGAAAGTGGAGGCAAAGTTGATAACACCAATAATGATGGAAGTTTGAAATGAATCGTCTAAACCAATGGCTTGGAAAATGGTGGTACTGTAGTAGAAAAAGTAATTGTTACCAGTCAATTGTTGCAAAGCTTGACAGAGAGCACCCACAACAACTCTTTCAAAAATTCTTGGCTTACCAGTGATCAAAGTCATCCAACCTGCTTTTCCTGCTAATCTTTCTCTTTCTACACCAGCTTGAATTAATCTGGCTTCCTTTAACAATGCTGGATCTTCTTCAGAAACTTTGTTTGTCTTTGCAAGTGATGCCTTGGCCTTTTCAATCTTGTCTTTACCAATGAGGTATCTTGGTGATTCGGGCATATCAATCATACCACCAGCTAAAAACAAAGCCCATGCAAAACACAAACCCAATGGGATTCTCCATTGTCTCGAGTCAGAGTAACTTTGCTTGGTACCATAGGTAGTACAGTAACCCAAAAAGATACCCATAGTGATCATCAATTGGAAACAACAAACCAATGTACCTCTCAAATGTTTAGGTGAAGTTTCCGAGATAAACAATGGACAAACAACTGATAAAGTTCCAACAGCGAGACCAGTAAAGATTCTTCCAATCATTATTTGGTACCATTTATCTGTAGACGAAATTTGCACAATGATACCAACAATGTAAATAACCATAGCCATCATAATAGCCAATCTTCTTCCCCATAGATCAGCAGCTTTTGAAAGGAAAATTGCTCCTACAGCACATCCGGCGTTAAACATAGCAATAATCAAACCAGTTCTAACATTGGAAAAGTAGTGCGTTCCATCCGATCTTTGTTGACCAAATCTTCTTTTAAAATCAGTCATGTTAACAAACCCAGAAATGGTACCAGTATCGAAACCAAAAACAAATCCACCAAAAGCTATAAGTACACACATAAAGCATACTCCAATATAAGCGCTCATTGGCTTCTTGGCTAGCTCATGGTTACTGTGTTGTTCATCCTTTTCAAGATCCTCTGGTAGTTCTTCTTGGTTTTCGTACTTTTCTTGTATTTCATGAGTAGGGGTATTTTCTGTTTGTGATGATGATGCAGCATCTGCATGCGTTGCTGGTTGTGACATAATTAAGGAATGTAAGTAATAAAATGTATAGATACCGAAGAGGGTATGGATAAAGGAAGAGATGATTTTGATGTCTTTATATAGATTTTTACAAAGGGCAAAGAGAAAAGCACTCCACAAGCATTACGTAGTTAAGCTATTTTATTTTCTTTTCTTTTTTTTCTTTTTGTTCCGTCTTGGTATATATGCTGTAATGTATACTACTTCTTGCCTCAGTACAGGGCAGAGCAAACAATAGTGTCTCTAGTAAGTTAATGCAAAACCTATTTTTGTGCGCCCATATTAATATGTAGAAGGTGGCTCTGCTTCTTTGTGTTAAAATACCAAGCTTTTTTATTGTTTTTGCAGCAATAGCAAGCAAAAAAAAAAGAAAAGAGAAAAGAGTGATGGAAGCTATTTACCTGCATAGAATAGCAAAGTAAACAAAAAAAAAAAAAAAAAAAAAATTATCCCGAGCAAAAGCCGTGAAAAGGATTTGAACGATATGCACTACCTATTGTGAAGGATCTTAGATATGCACGTGTGTAATGAGTTTATCGTATGATGACGTGGAGATGAACGGCATCTATCAAGTTATATTTGTAAGCGTTGGATATGGCTTAGGTGGATAATAAATACCTGATATGTACAATTATGTCATTTTCAGCGATTTCAAAAATAAAACAAGATAACTGGATTACTAACGACCGTACTTGTTCAAATAAAAACAAAACAATAGACCCGAAACAGGTAATGATAGCAAAAGCTCGCTTACACAAGAACAGAATCTGCCTTACGATTCTGCTCAACAAAAGTTCGGATTATTTCAATTTTGCCTCAAATAAATTTTTCAGTAACCATTGTCGGAAAAACTTTTCGACCATTACGTAATTGAAGACTACCAATTTTTATCAGACACGAATATCAAGGGAATACACACTCGAGATTTACATTCTCAATGAATTTGTGTTTCGACACAGAAAATGGTCGGTGGTTGGTGGATGTGGAAACGTGACCCCATGGTCACCCCAACTCTAAGAAATTTCTTGTCAAGACCAATCACACCACCTCTATATTTGGAAGTTCAAGAAATATCGGCACATAAATAATCATTCGAGACACACATTTTGTGGCACCCTTTGGGTCAAAACTCGGAGGTAAGAGAGGGGAATCATACAATGATACAAAACATATGATTTATCTGTTTCGGAAAAACCAAGAGAAAGTCCGAACCGTATTCAAAACCAAGAAAAACCATATATTTAGAAAAAAAGAAACGACTCTACTAAAAAAGTATGTTTGTGTATCCTCACGTCTCCGAAAATGTCCCATGACACAAAAGAGTATACGAAGACACACACAATGTCTCTAAAGCCCTATGTGATCGACTATTATAACATCAGATACGAGTTTTGGGGTTGCAGAGATAAACCCCTGAATCTACTCTACAGCAGGCTGCATAAACGCTTGTATGTAACAATTTGTATTAAAAGCTTTTGCAAAATCAATCTATATCAATCTATAAAGTGGCAAATGCCTGAGTATATGTAAAAAAAAAGAATAAAAGTCCGTGAATTCATAACATTTATGTGTGTGTCTCTGTGGTCATCGAAATGATAAAGTTTAGACAGTGTCTTGAACATGTTCCTCTTCTGGTTTAGCATAAGCAGCATAACCTGTCGAATGCTTCATTTCTTCTTCTGATGGTGGAGTCCAACTGCTTGACTTCCATGGGACAACCTTAGCAGCATATAATTCATCAACTTCTTCCAAACTAAGTCCCTTTGTTTCGTAAACCATAAAGTAAACGAAAAAGATTGAGAACAACAAACATCCAAAGAAAACAAAACCATAGTAGAAATGGATTGCACTAGTGATGAAGGAGGTGAAGAAAGAAATGAGGAAACCGAAGACCCAGTTACCGGCACTAGCAACACCAATAGCTTTCGATCTAACTTGTAATGGGTACAACTCTGAAACAATGGAATAAACACCACCAGCCCATGTCGAAGCAAAGATGAAAACGTAGAGTGACGTGATAAATATCATAGCATCACCATCTGGGTGTCTTGTGGCGCCACTGCTTCCATGGTAGTACAAGTGTTGGGTACCAATCAATGCATAAATCAAGAAACAAATTGACATACCAACTGAACCAACCAACAAACATTGTCTTCTACCTAATTTCTCAATCAAGTAGATACCCAAGAAAGTGGAGGCAAAGTTGATAACACCAATGACAATAGATGTTTCAAATGAATCATCTAAACCAACAGCTTGGAAAATGGTGGTACTGTAATAGAAGAAATAGTTATCACCAGTCAATTGTTGTAAACATTGCAACATAAGACCAACAGCAACTCTTTCAAAGATTCTTGGTTTACCTTTGATCAAGGTCAACCATCCAGCATTTCCAGCCAACCTTTCTCTCTCAACACCGGCTTGAAGTAATTGCAATTCAGCGTATAAAGCTGGGTCATCTGGTGAAACTTTATTGGTTCTGGCCAATGCTTGTTTAGCGTCATCAATCTTGTCTTTACCAATGAGGTATCTTGGTGATTCTGGTAAACGAATCATACCACCAACCAACAACAAAGCCCATGCAAAACACAAACCCAATGGGATTCTCCATTGTCTCGAGTCAGAGTAACTTTGTTTGGTACCGTAATCAGTACAGTAACCCAAAAAGATACCCAATGTAATCATCAATTGAAAACAACAAACCAATGTACCTCTCAAATGTTTTGGGGAAACTTCGGAAATGAAAAGTGGACACAAAACAGACAAGCATCCAACAGCAATACCGGTAAAGATTCTTCCAATCATTATTTGGTACCACTTGTTTGAAGATGAGATCTGCACAATGATACCAACAACATAAATAATCATCGTACCAGCAATACCAAGTCTACGTCCAAAAACATCACCAACTTTTGACAAAAACAAAGCACCAATGGCGCAACCTGCATTGAACATGGCAACAATCAAACCAGTTCTAACATTGGAAAAGTAGTAAGTACCATCTGATTTCTGTTGACCAAATCTTCTCTTGAAATCAGTCATATTGATAAAACCGGAAATAGTACCAGTATCAAAACCGAAAACAAACCCACCAAAAGCAATTAGGAAACACATAATGATAACCCCAATATAGGATTTAAGTGGCTTTTGATTTAATTCATTAGCGCTGTGCTCTAGTTTTTCTTCTTCATCTAATGGTTGTTCTTGTTCGTATTTGGCTTCAATTTCGTTTAAATTTGCATCTGCTGTGGATGCAGAATGATTATCTTCTTGTGACATAATATTCAAGAAAAAGGGTATTTAAAGACTCGTTGATATGAATAATAAAGTAATGACAAGAAAAAAGAAGGTAAATTTAGCCAAGACTAGTTCAAGGTAGGAGAAGTCAATACTTATTTATATAGACGGAAAAATTTTCTTTTCTACGTGTATGCATCATCCTTCTTGCCCCCAATAATAACCCGACTTACTCCAAGTTTTTCTCCAATTGCTTCTCCAAAGTTTCTCCAAGTAGCATTAAAGCCCTCCCCCAAAATCATGTGTATGCATTGTCTTTGTCTATTTTTTGCTTTACATGCATTAAAAAAAAAAGTGGCATGGTCGGAAGCTTTACCGCCGCGCTTCTAAGAGGTTTTAGTGGTTGTAGGTTTTTAGTCAGCTTTTCATTGTGCAGGTAAAAGTCTAAAATCTGTTTTACTGTAGTATTTCGCCAGCAGGATTCATAGTAGTCCGGACCATTGTTGGCATTACTTGTGCAACAAACCGGGGCAAAGTTTTTTCGTGATTGTGCTTAGTTCACGAACGGGCCGAAATGTGGTTAACACAATTGAAGATGGAATATCTATACTTGTTCGATTTTCATTAGCGAGTCTAGAGCAATAGAGGGCAATATTGGTTATGAGTTTGGAATCAAATCGCTCAACGTCATCAGAGTTCGATCGCATTTCGTTTCGTTCGGAATTAGAACATTCGAAAAAGAAAAAATATTAGACGTTGTTCTCGATGACGTCTGATTTTTTCAATTCCCTATGTATGAGAAAAAGAAATTAAATTTTTTTTTCTCTTCTTTCCATCTGAGCAACTTCGGAATAACTTTAAACACACAAAACAGAAATAATTATTCCGATACAATAACAAACAATAGCACACAAATGCTGAATTGTTCCGAGTATTCCAATATAACTAAAACAACAAACAACCAAACGAAAAAAAATAAAAAAAATGCCTCAAGTAAAGCCATCATACAAGAAGAATCTAACGTGTTTAACTGGAACAATAAGAACCGATGTGGCATTTGAATTGAAAAAAATACAAACATGAGATATCGGGGAAATTTATTGTTAGATCTCCGTTCCTTTCTTATGTGAGTGGAGCACCTCCCACTTTCCCCCCACACTATTGCCCAACATCTACTGCCCGATCTTCCCAATGCTTGCACACAATAGTATCCACATGCTTTATGATTTTTTCGGACGAGAGTGGGGGATATGCGACCACCTCAAACATTGTTTTCAAATGGCCCTGACAGTTATTGGTGGTTCCACTTTTGAGCCTCGTTACAAATAGCAAAGCAAAACACACAATGTTTCCATTGCATACCTAAATCTCAATAGAATCGTAAACCAATTACGAAGCAAGCCTACGTTACAACATTTGACTACTACTACACTTCTTGTAGCTCAACCCCAGTATGACATAATTAATCGAAAAGGATCAAAGGGTGGTCGTGCACTAGCACAATTGGCTCAAGAAAAAAACAAAAGAAAAAAAAGAAAATTTCTCCACGACACAAGTTTTCCAAGATCTCCGAATATATGACGACAATAACTCGGAGTTAGATCATAGCATCACCAGACAATTAATCCATTTTACATATACGTATTCAAAATTTAAAGGTGGAGTTACATTTTTAACAATAGTGGACTGCGAGAAATAAAAATAGCAAATTAATTACACCCATGCCTGTTGCAGATGAACGGCTCCCTTATGGAGATGGTGCCTTCAAAGTATTTGGCATGGAGAATTTTGGCAACACATGTTATTGCAATTCAATTCTTCAATGCCTATACTATACCGAATCTTTTCGAACCAAGTTGATACAGCATAATCAGACTCAGCATGACCCGAAATTGGTAGTCAATGGGATCAAGTTTCATGGATTCACGACAAAATATGAACAATTGTTACAGAAAAGGTTAAAAGAGCAAGGAGTCACACAATTCACGCCAAGCGAAGAGAGACCAAAACTGAGTCGAAAGAGCTCATTATTTGGTATCAAGTTCAATAATCAATCGAGTGTTCCCACAACCATTGTTGAACAACGGAATGAATACATTGACGAAGCAGGCAATTGTGAAGCTTTACCTTTGGACCAAAGAATTTTGATCAATAAGAACCCAGAATTTCTGAAGTTGGAAATGATGATTACTAGACCTATTATGAGTATCGGTGGCTATACCTCTGGACTGAACAATGGGAGCGCTAGTTCCATGTCGTTCTCAAATGCCGGAGTCAGTTTGTTCAACGGATCAAGTAATACTTCTGTAACCAGTGCCACTAACCCCAACAAAGCTGACTATTCACAAAGCTCATCGATGCTACTCAATGATCAACCACAACAAACGACACAAGAGGGTTCAATTAATAGCAAATCGAGTGCTATCATAGTGGGAATCCCCAAACCAGAAGCAAATTTGGTCAATCCCATCAATCCATTCAATGCAAATCCCAGTTCTGATCAAAGGAAACGATCGGCATTGATAAATGGACCAATAATCAATTTGGATACGTCATTACAAATGCCGAGTGAGCAAAGAGACGAAACTACTCTACTTTATGCGCTCAAGGATTTGTTTGAAAGTATGGTTGAGAATAAATCCCCTATTGGTGTTGTTTCGCCAACTTACTTCATAACGAAATTGAAAGATAAGAACTACTTGTTCCGTCAAAACAACATGCATCATGACGCTCACGAATTCTTCAACTACTTGATCAATGAGATTATTGAGAGTCTAGCCAAGGAAATTCCTGACCCAACAAAGAATTGGTGTAACGATATCTTCCAGGGCATCATAACTAATGAAACTAAATGTCTATCATGCGAAACTGTGACGTCAAAGCATGAGTTTTTCCTAGATTTATCAATCGATATTCCACCGGGTGACAGTGCTTATTCGTTAAATTTTGCCATCAATAATTTTTCCAAACAAGAGACATTGACAAATCAAAATAAGTTTCACTGTAATACTTGTTCTGCATTACAAGAAGCGGTGAAAACTATCAAGGTGAAAAAATTGCCTCAAGTTTTGGTCATCAATCTCAAACGATTCAAGTACGACGAGCAAATGGATAAAATGGTGAAATTATTTGACTCGATTAGCTATCCATTTAAGCTTCGTTTATTCAACACTACCGAAGATGCCAATCAGAACATCCTTTATGACTTGTATGCTCTAGTTATTCACATTGGAGGTGGGCCCATGCATGGACATTATGTTTCCATTTGCAAAATCAAAGCTGGTCTTTGGTTATTGTTTGATGATGAAACTGTGGAATTAGTTGAAGATAACTATGTCATGAGATTTTTTGGCAATGGACCAGGACTAGCTAGTGCTTATATTCTATTCTATCAAAGAATTGAATTTGATGAAGCGTCAGAGCACTTTGGATTTGACGTTTCTACACTATACAATGGTAATGATTATGAAGTTCCCGTTCATGCATCTTCCAACAGCACTGACGAAGAGTCCAAAGCAACTGCTGTGCCTATGGCAGAGACTGATACCAAGTCGGATATATCATCAATTAATTCATTTGCACCGCCGGAAGGCAATCGAAAGCCATCGCTAACTTCAGGCGGTATGTTCAAGAGCTTCAAGTTTGAAAAGGACGATAAACAACAACAACATCATCAGCAACAACAGCAATCATTATCTCGAAGCAGTAGTTCAGGACCTTCTGCAAAGAAGGAACCACCAATTAAAGAACCCAAAGAGAAAAAGTCTTGGGTGGGTAGTTTGAAACGTGGTGGTCTTGAACGCAAATTGTCATTAAAGAACACATCTGTGAATTCAGAGAGCAATGGTAGTCAACCAGCTCCGCCTGCATCGTCGGCAACTATCGCTTCTCCCGCACCCACTCCTGTATTGGAAAAGAGGCGAAGCTTATTTGGATTTAAAAAGAAGAACTCATCGTGAGAGAAGAGCCATATAGACAGTACGTTGATCATATAGACAAATTGATGAAATCATTAGGAAATTGGTGGAGAAGAAACCTAGTAGTTGCAAGTGCCCCGCAGATGCCATGCTCATAAGAGATGTACGATGCAAGTAATTTGTTCAATACTTGTCGGAAAAACTCTCATGCATTGCCATTACTTTTTGGGTTGCTGTTTTCCTTTTGTGTGCCACACTCATAAAATTAGGTAAAAGGAAAATTCCTCACTAGTAAATACCCAAATACTATTAACAACCATAGTATCTCTCCGTAGCAGTCCATTACAAGGTCGAGTAAAATTTAGTCAATGGTGAACAACAATTGTATAATGTTTCAGGGGCATGCTTCTAGAACTTCAAAAACGGAAAAGAACTTTTCATTTACTTTTTGGTGGTACAAAATCCACCATCGTGCTTATATTTTAAAAGCCGATCCGTTCAAGCTTCTAGCCGCTTTTGAAATACCCGCATTTAAAAAAGAGGAAGAAAGGCACGCCGTTTTGATGAGTTGTTGAGATACATAACGAACGTGCCAATACAACAGCTCAAGAATTGATGTACTGACATCTAGTGGCTCTGCTACCATGACACTCTGCGGTAAGGCCTCTCCTCTGATGATAGCAATGAGTATGCTTTCTGCACAATCAAGAGTTTTGAGCGCAATCTTATCTTTCCTCTTCTCCAAATTGTACAAAAGTGAGTCAGGTAGAGGTCGAAAGTGTGGCGTGTAATGCTGATGTCTCTGGCGAGACACGACAAGGTTAAAGCGTTGCAATCTTACGCGTAAGAGCGTAATTGTTTGTTGGATCACTGCGTGGCCAATTGTGCTGATTCCACAGTCCGGATGCAAGTTAAACTATTTATAGTTACCAAATCAGCCGTTCCGTTGAGCAACCTCCCAATGAGAGACTCCATCACGAAAGGGGAGTCAGTACATACGAAAAGATTTGTCAGAGATATCTTCAGTGGAAGTATAAATCAACAGTTGCCATTATTTGTACTCGTTTTTCCATGCCACTCTCTAAAAGATTACCCGCGGAGTAAAGAAGTTCTAGGTTTTGTAGTGTATAGGGACTTTGATGACAAACCACAGTGATGATGGGATGGCTACACTTATATGCAGGAGTCACTAATGTCCTCCAGAATATATATACATATGAGAATGAGATGCTTATGAACCATTTTTTGCCATCAAGTAAACCACACACCACTTTTCTTTCAATTTCAATAGTATATCTTTACTACTATTCACATTAGAAACAAACAATGACAGTATCAAGCAAGGTTTTAGTATTAGGAGCAGGATGTTTCTGGGGAACAGAACATGTCTTTGCAAAAGCATTTGCCAAAAACAAAGGTTTAGTCAGTAACATAGTTGGTTACGCCAATGGCAATGAAAAGTACCACGGAGTTTCGTATCAACAAGTTTGCAGTGGAAACACTGGTTTTGTTGAAGTCGCCAAGTTAACATATGATCCAGCTGAATTGTCCACTGAATCTATCCTTGATCTTTTCTTTAGGATGCACGATCCTACACAACTCAATTCTCAAGGTCCAGATGTCGGACAACAGTACAAGTCGGCCATTTACTACACTGACGAGGAACAACACAAGGTTGCTGAACAATTGAAGGAAAAATACCAAAAGGAATGGTACCCAAACAAAAAGATTCAAACTGAAATTGCCCCATTGAAGGTGTTTTATGATGCTGAAACTTATCACCAAAAATATCTTGACAACAACCCAGGTGGATACGAATGCCCTACGCACTACATTAGAACCGAACCACCCCGTCAAGGTTGGTTTTAATATAAAGGGATTTTTATAGGAGGTGTATAGTGTTAATGTACATGAATTGTTAGAGGACAAGCGGAACGCAGATAGATGAGTAGCCTCTGTGTTAGATGAGTACTTTCGGGGTCTATTTTAGCTTTACGCATCAAATGAAAGATTAAAATTGACACTCAGGTATGTAAAACTTTCGGATCTATTCTCTGGTGGTATGAAGCGTAGAGAAAATCTTCTCTTCCAAGAAACGCGTCAACTAGAATACGATTTTTCAAAATCTTCATTCCTCCAGAATTCCATTCCTTCATCACAGCATGTCTTTATGGGTAGATAAATACAGACCGAAGACGTTATCACAACTATCATATCATGACAGTATAACTCAAAACTTACGTGCACTTTCCAAGTCAGGTGATTTCCCACATCTTTTAGTTTATGGACCCAGTGGAGCAGGAAAGAAGACGAGAATATACTGCACGTTACATGAGATATTTGGATCATCGGTCGAAAAGCTCAAAATCGATGTCAAAAACTTTGTAACTACGTCCAATCGAAAATTAGAGTTTAACGTGTTGAGTTCCCCTTACCATTTGGAAATCACGCCTTCAGACATGGGTAACAATGATCGTGTCGTGATTCAGGATTTATTGAAAGATGTCGCCTCAACGGAACAAGTTGATTTCGGGAACCAAAGCAGTAAGAAACATAGATTTAAGGTTGTAATTATCAATGAGGCAGATTCATTAAGCAGGGATGCACAAGCAGCGTTGAGAAGAACAATGGAAAAGTATTCGTCAAATATTAGATTGATTTTGGTTTGTAACTCAATCTCAAACATTATTGCCCCTATCAAGTCCAGAACTTTGTTGGTGAGAATACCCAGTCCTTCAATTGAAGATATCAGCTCTATTTTAGGTCATGTTGCAGAGAAGGAACATGTCAAGTTTTCATCAACCAATGGTCAAGATGTTGATCAATTCTACAATCAGGTGGCAACTACGAGTAATCGCAACTTGAGAAGATCCTTGTTAGCGTTTGAAACTATATATATGCAAAACGAAACCATCAATGTGAAACAATTGCATTCAGTTATTGTATTGGATTGGGAAACTGTTATAAAGAATATGGCTAAAACAATAACCAATAGTAGAACAGTTGCAACATTGGCCAAATTGAGAACTGTATCCTATGAGTTGTTATCACATTGTATCCCGGCAAGAACAATATTGAAGAATTTATTGTTCGAATTGATCAATTTGGCGAAAGGAAAAACGGCCTTGATTCAAGAAATTGTAAAGATTGCATCTACTTTTGATGAGAGGTTGAGTCTTGGACAAAAGAGTATCTTTCATTTGGAAGGTTTTGTGGCAAAGACAATGGTTGCAATTGATACCTATAGTTGAAGAATCGTATCTGTGTATACTTTGATATATAATAAACCTGCTATATCTCAAAAAAGTTCAAAAAGCAAAAAGGACGCAACATCAATGCTGAACTTTGTTATCAGCTGTTTTGCCAGTCTTGACCGTCTTTTTGTGCTTGCTATCAACGATGTCGTCGTATGCTGGAAGATCACTGGCATTCAAAAGCGGAGCTCCCGGGTTTTCCACATCTCCTTCAACGTCATCATGGTACGGAGAATGGGGGCCATGTGATCCGCTTTCCCTTGAAGCATTATGATGAATGATACCATGTTGTTGCTCCGAGATGGTATGATCCTCTCCACCAAGTCTGTGTCCTGGGCCTCTCTGTTGATCGCGGTTGTGACTTTGCGAGCCTGCGTTACCACCCTGCTGGGCACCACCACTACCACCTACTTGATTCTCATCATCTCCAATCCTAGTGTATCCCTCAACACCACGACTAGGGAAATCAATGCAAAATAAAAAGTAGATGGCAAATACACTCCCTGGTATGTGACCAAATAAAGTCAACACCACTGTAACAAGAAACTCCTTAGTGAAAATTGTTCGTTGAGCCAAAAATGTTGCCAATGGTGGGAGAAAGATGGCTGCTAATACCAAAACAAACTGTTCTGGTGGACTGGGTGCTGCTTGTGGTGTCGTCATTGATTGTGGTTACTGCTTTATCGTTTGGTTGGCGTGGCAATGTCAGGTTTTAAATGCGACTTAAATTTGGAATTTTTTCTATTTATAGGTTTTCCTATCGCGGATCCTTGGTCCTTTGAGACTGAAAATGGAAAACAACACTCAATTGAATGAACCATACCTTTGATTATCTTTCGCTTAGCTTTTGCTGAAGTAACTACAGGGAGATGGAACAGAAAACGGGCCCTCGAATAGAATAGGGCGGAATGGTGAAGAATTGGTGATTCTGATTTTGTAGTCAATGTACAAGCTCTACAATCCAGAAATATCTCCTCCTTATAAAGTGAAGACGGAGAAGAACCTTAAATTAACTTTCCACAAAGCATGCAACACCTCTCATCTCGTAGCGTAGAGCTGGCATGTTGCAAAGTTATTGTTAGCAATCAGTACGAGACAAATGTTGATAAAAAAAAGAAGACAAAAAAATAGTTTGGGAACCACAGAAGTCCAACACTACAGCTAAAACATGGACTACATTAAAAAGCAGATATGGGGGCCCGATCCTAAAGAACAGGTATGTTCATCTATTCAATCATATATCGCTCTTTTGCAAGGACTAACATCATTTTAGATGAGAAAGATTAACCAGCTTCTTCGAAAGAATAAGCGCGAGTTGGACAGGTCAATTAATCAACTCCAACCATTGAAAAAGAAAACTGAAGGGTTAATCAGAAAGTCCGCCAAGGAGAAGGACTACAAAACTGCCAGACTATATGCCAAAGAGTTAATAAATATCAATAGACAGTACAATAAATTATACACCTCCAGAACTAGAGTCGAATCGATAACAATGTCCATCAATGAGCAATATCTGATGAACAAATTAACTAAATCTATACATTCATCCACTTCAATCATGAAGGATGTTAATTCGTTGATTCACATTGGCGCTGTTTCCCAAACAATGCAAGAATTGTCAAAAGAATTGACTAAAGCTGGCATAATCAATGAAATGATGGACGACATGGTGGATTTGGACTACGAGGAAGATGAAGAATTGGAAAGCGAATCACAAGAAGAAGTCAACAAGATTATTGCTAGCTTGACCGAAGAGAAGACCAGCAAAGTGTCAGAAGTGCCAACTACCCAATTCGAGGCACCACAAATCGAGGAAGAGGCATCAGTCGCCGAAGCAGAGGACGAAGAGGATGCTATTGCAATTGATGAGATAAAACAGAGGCTTAAAGCATTACAATCATAGTCGAATACCATGTTCAATTACAACAAGATTATAATAAACAGAATGCAACTAACAATACTGTCAAAAAGCATGTTTGGGGATTGTAAGAAAACGAGTTGCTAGAGCTTTCTTCATCGTCTTCATATACGCCATTTGCCAGGTCTTTTGAAGTTTCTTGGAATTGGGCACCATCAGTGGTATTGGTATAATGAATAGATTTGTAATCAGTGACATTCTCGGCAAACAATGAGTGGGTGTTGGGACTGGCCCTAGCAACAACCAAAGAACTCGGGATTTGGAAAACACTTCCATCTTCAACTTCATTATTATCGATAATTGTATAAGTGCTATCATTACCGTTGCTAGACATGAGTGCAAATCCACCTTTTCCAGCCTTTTTTAAAAGTTTCTTGTTGACCTTCTTTTCAAGATATATACCCGCATTATATTGCCATTTGGGGATCAACTTCTTTTTTTTTTTAATCAAGGCTTCAAGTTCAGGGTCGGATGCGTTGGCGTTGGTGTTAGCGTAAACCAATGGATCAAAAGTGTTGAGGCTAGAATTTTGGTAGGCTAAATTGGACACATTGGCATGAATTAATTCCGTTAAACTAATACTGGTGGAGACAGGACTTCCTTTCACTGAAATGGCTATTGTAATCAATAGCAAGATGTAAAATTGCATCATAAGCTTTTTCTTTTCTTGTTCGAGTGGATGTGGAAGCAAAATCAGGAATGATATGGAAAACAGTCAAAAAAGGGAAAAAAAAGTGAAGAAGGGATGGCAACTTTTGTTTATTATTTCGGGATTCGGTTGTAGTGTATGAACTTTTACGTATCAAAATAATGATTTATATTAAAAAGAGGTACACACTGCATAAGCATATATACGCGAGAGAACGAATTTGCAATATGAACCCTTTTGAGTCAAACATTGCGTCCATGACATCCGAATGGTTATTGAGGGAATAATCAAGGGTTGTAGCGTTTTTTAAGCCCACAGTCCTTTCAACAACAATTTTCTGATTCTCTTTATCAGTGATCACTTCATCCAAACTAAACAACTTGAACGTCTTTTTCTTTTTGTTATTTCTCTTGCCATCACTTTCAGACGATGAATCGCAATCAGAATCCTCCTCGTCCGAGTCCGATTCTGAATCTGAGGATTTCAGTTCGATGATGGTTGGTATGAATGTAGTTTCCTTCTCGGTAGATCCCTCGTCAATTTCCTTGTTCAAAAATGCACCAGCACCAAGACGCCATTTGGGTGTACCCACTTTCTTCTCCTTCTTTGTACCTTGTGCTTGAAACTCTTCACTTGCTTGAACCCTACCTTCTAAGCTATTTTTGGGTGCTTGTTGAACGAGGTGAGCTTGAAATGCATCTTCACTTTTTGAGAAGTCTGGATTCTGGTGATTGATTACTTGTGATGTGAAAATTGTAGACTGCCCTTGAGGCAACTGTTGCTCGTGATGATAACTCAACGGCAAGACGTATTCTGCAAAGAACAACCAAATGAAGTATATCGTCAACATTGATTGTAGAAGCTTGTGGTGATTTCTGAGAGACAGATAAATTTGCATAGGGAGAGAAAATTCGCCTTTCTGTAATTTTTTTTTTGCAGTCAAAATTTTGTTACACAATTTTGATATGTTAACTTTTGTTAGAAACAATATAAATTGAATATACACCATAATCGAGAAGCTTTGGACTCAGCAAAAACATGAACTGGTAACAACTGATCAAACATGACACTTGTAGAAGTGCTTTCACTGATGTCAGCAACCTGGGTTTTCAATGGAATTGTATCACTTAAACTCACATTGGACCCCACCATCCAAGCCCTAAATTTATTCTCAAATTTATCCAGTTCTTTTTGGAAACTTTCCGCTTCAATAACATAGTTATCTTCAGTGTAGTCTCTTTTTGAATTGCTCGTAAAATTTCTGTATGGACGGAATTTGTCCTCATGAAGTAAATCGTGGCGATCAAAATATAAACCTGGGTAGTTTTTGCCCACTTTCGTTACTAAAATATCCTCACGAACCAAATGAGGCCTACCTCCATTAGCCGCATCAGGGACACTGAGGCCTAGAAACCAAAGCTTTCCCTCATTCTCAGATGAATCACTATCTTCGTCAGACTCGGACTCTGAAAATTGAATGTCTTCTTCTTTCCCTGCATCACTTTCTTCTTCTTCACTTGAAGAAGAGTCCAATAGCCACTGTGGTGGTGGACCCTTGGGTTTGGACTTTGACTTTTTTGGCTTTGGCTTTTTCACTGGTTTTTCCTCGACGACTTCTGGCTCAGTTTCAATAATGGTAATAGGTCTTTTCTTGTACTTTGCAATCTCACGGCAATCCTGATACCCCATTTCCTGTGCCTTGTTTGCAAAAATTCCGGTACTGAATGACCATTTGGGCACTTTATCCTTTCCCTGGATGGTGAAAATTGTATTGTTGACGTCCCCTGTTGCATTTGTAGTGGACTGGAAGGTATATTTTGACTCTTGTCGTGCATTTGTCATAAAGTCTGTTGTAGTATTACTTTCTGGGTGTGAAGTTTGCCACTTTGCAAGGTCCTTAACCAGATCGTAGAACGACTGGTCCTCAATACAGCAGGCGCCAGTGAAGATGATTATTAATGACACTAGATTCGTATACACCCACATGTCATGCAACACTATTTGACAACTTTAAAAAGAATCTGTTATGGAAAGTAGTTCAAATTAACGCGTTTTGCATCCAATAAAAAAAAAAAGAGACATTAAAATCTCGACTTCTAGTATACAAATGGTACACAATCGCGATTGCATCAATCCTGCTCATAAGAAAGCCCATTCTCTTTCCTAATATCATCCATCACACCCATTACAAGTAAGCTCTCAGCGTGGGGCATTATTTCGTTCTCCAATTTACCATCATGAATATCTTTGGCAACAGCATCTGCCTCATAGATGAACCCATTATAACCCGAGTTGTCCTTGTATTCATAGATTTCTAGTCCTTTTTTGTTGAAAATTTTGAAATGTTTGGCTCTGGCTGGGTTATCACTATACATTTCAACCCAGCCATCTGACCCTTCAAGTCTAACATACGCTTTCGGCCCATCAACCAACTCCGACGAAGTAAGTAATGCATGCTTGCCATCTTCGTATTTGATGATAATGGAGGCAAGGTGGTCCACCAAGTCGTTTTCGTCTATCGTGAGAAAGCTTTTTTGATTAAATTTTGAAGCATTCTCACCAACTTGATCATCCAATAAAATTCTTGAATAAGTGATCGGATATATACCGATATCCAAGAGAGATCCCGCAGCTAGTGATCTATCTCTGACCCTTGACGTCAAAGGCAAGCTTTTGACATCACCATTATAGCTTAAATCAGCAAACAATCTGTGAATATCACCAATCACTTTTTCATGGTACACTTTTTCTTTAAGCTCTTTGATTGCTGGGAAGAATCTTGTCCAAACAGCTTCCATACAAAACTTTCCCTGCTTTTTCGCAACTTCAAATATTCTCTCCCCATCCTTCTTATTCACTGTGATTGGCTTTTCACATAACACATGTTTACCGTTCTCTAAACATGCAATGGCTTGCTCAACATGAAAGTTGTGTGGAGTGCCAATATAAACCACGTCCACATCCAGATTTTCGTAAAGCTCTTTGTATGATTGAACGATCGGGGTTATATTGTAGTTTCGCTCTGCAACGATGTTATTCCGTTTGATGAAATCTTGTCCCTTTTCTGCATTGGAACAACCTATACTCCTAATGATATGGTGATACTCGGTCTTTCGATCGTTGTTGAGCAATAAATCATAGACAAACTGGGAGGAGATATTTCCAGCTCCTAAGATAGCCCAATTGATAGTGATTGTCATTTGTGTAGGTAGTGGGGGAAGTTGTGGTGAAGAGACTCAAGTGGATACTATTTTTTTTTTTGTTCCGATTTTCAACTCCACCCCTCAAAACTCGAGACCATGAATGAGCCAATCTACAACCAGCTACTCTATAGATAGTAAACAGTGTTTCATCGTATTATCGTATTAACACTAAAACTTTAAATATAGAGGCTCTTTGACAGAGATTGTACACCCTTGTCGTACATTTTCGGGAAATATCTTTGTTTGTTCAACCACTTTTGCTTTATCACTTTGACTGTAAACATATGGGTATGTTCTTGCGCCTCCATCTCCGACTTTGTCAACGTTTGATTCATAATTGCCCTCGCTGTTATTCAAATGGGGCTGGAGTAGTTGTGATTGCGATTGTGATTGAATCCCAGACATATTACCTTTGTTTAGAAATGAAGTGACATCAATCAAGTTTTCTGATAAGTCGTTAACTATACTGTTGAGCTCTTGCTGCCTTTGTTGCTGCTTAATCAATTCCTCTTCTTGCAACTGATCAAACCCTCCTTGTTGGTTTCTCCTTAGTAGTGAAGTAGTCTCATCGTATTCGTCCTCAGACCTACTGCCACCCAAACATGATAAGCAAGCTCCCATTGATTTAAGAAATAGCCGTGTTGCAGTAGTATATTCGCGATTCTAAAGGGAGAGTATGTAACTATGCTGCCTAATTTTGCTATCACTGGTTACGATGTTTGGGCAAAAAAAGAATGTCTTTGTTGTGTAATAAAATTGACTTCCTCTCCTCGATTCGCCCCTTGAATAGTTAACACTTTAATTCACCACAACCAAATTTTAACGCTATCTAAAACCATGTCAAAGGCGTTATGTTGCTATGCGTTTGAGACATTACTCAACAAGCTTGATTTCGAACTGACAAAAGTTCCATTAAAGTCTTATTTTAAAGCTTTACTGGAGGATTCAAGCAAGCTTCCACAGTCCGCCCCACTTTTCGTCACTTGGAATAAGAACTCACAGTTGCGGGGCTGTATAGGTACATTCCAATCTTTACCCGTTGAATCGGGAGTTGCAAAATTCACCATAAGCTCAGCATTTCAAGATCCCAGGTTTCCACCTATTTCTACCAAGGAAGTTGCTAGTTTAGAGGTGGATGTGACATTACTAGACAACTTTCAGCCAATTTATGATTACAATGATTGGACAGTTGGCGTGCATGGCTTGAAAATATCATTCGAAGTGGACAACGAACATTACCTGGGGACATTTTTACCCTCAGTGGCGGAAGAACAAGAGTGGGACAAATTTACGACATTGTATTACTTGCTCAAGAAAGCAGACTACCCTGTAAGGAAGAGCCTGACAGAGCAATTCTATTCAACTGGTTTGAAGGAAGGATGGCTAAAGTTGACGAGATACGAAGGATTGAAGGCACATTTGACTTATGATAGATTCATCGATATACGAAAAGAGATTTTGGAATAAAGAATAAGAAGGGCACATGGAGAAGAAAGGGATTTGACACTGTTGTACGAGTCGAGAGTGTTGCTTTGTGAATATTTGGTTATTAGAGCCTCAATGGTACATAACAGCAGCAGAATTCTATTTAAATCAGTACGTTTACACTAAAAGTGTTACAGCCTCTCGATATGATATCTTTTAAGCGCACCACTGTAGAATGGACCAAAACGTCTCTTCGTTTAAATCGCCTTCGTGCTCTTATAATTGTTTTTTTTGCAGCTATTTATGCCTATTTCCGTGGCTCTAACGTTTTTTTCCCGCCAGATCGGAAAAACGTTCTTCCTCTCCACAACTCTAAAAGCTAAATATCGTAGCATAAGATGATATAAAAAGTGAAAACTTTTAAAAATGGTTACCTGCTACAACACCACAGCTTCTTATTCTGTTAAGAGACCGCAATGTTTAAAAAAGCAGCAAAAGATATAGTCGTTTTGTCTGCGTTGAGGACTGCAGTGACCAAGTCCGTCAAAGGTGGATTAGCTCAGCTTTATCCGGAGGAGTTGTTATATCAAGTTTTGCGAGGCTCAATTTCCAAGTCCAATGTGGACCCAAACTTGGTTGATGACGTTCTCGTCGGTACAGTTTTGCAAACTCTAGGCGGGCAAAAAGCTTCATCCTTAGCCGTGAAGAAAGCTGGATTTCCAATCAAAACAACAGTCAACACAATTAACCGCCAATGCGCATCTTCTGCTCAGGCTATAACCTACAGTGCTGGATCCATTTTGAGCGGTGAGAACAAGTTTACTATTGCAGCAGGTGTGGAATCCATGACGCATGATTATTTCCCGCATCGTGGTATTCCTCAAAGAATCTACCAACCATTTTTTGAGGATGCCAGTGAGGAGGCCAAAAACGTGTTGACCCCAATGGGCATTACAAGCGAGCTGGTTGCCGAAAAGTTTGGAATCGGAAGGCAATCACAAGATGAGTTTGCCGTGCAATCGCATTTGAAAGCAGCAAAGGCAACTGAATCTGGACACTTTGCAAAAGAAATTATACCAATTGAAGCACGTAACGAGGCAGGTGAAGCGAAACTTGTCGAAAAAGACGATGGAATAAGACCTGGATCGACATATGAAAAATTGCTGACTTTGAAACCCGTCTTCAAGGAGAATGGAGTTACCACTGCAGGTAATTCTTCTCAAATATCAGATGGTGCTTCAGCTGTAATCTTGACAACTCGTGAGAATGCCGAAAAACACGGATACAAGCCAATAGCACGATTTGTAGGTTCCAGTGTTGCTGGTGTTCCTTCCGGATTGATGGGAATTGGTCCCTCAGAAGGTATACCGCTATTGTTGGAGAGATTCGGCTTGACTAATATGGACATTGGCATTTTCGAATTGAACGAAGCGTTTGCTTCACAGCTGATTTATTGCATTGAGAAGTTGGGATTAGATTATGACAAAGTAAATCCTTACGGTGGCGCAATAGCCATTGGTCATCCCTTGGGAGCTACAGGGGGTAGAGTTGTTTCAACTCTATTGAATGGATTGAAAGCTCAAAATAAAGAACTCGGTGTTGTGTCAATGTGCACCTCTACAGGCCAAGGCTACGCAGGATTGTTCATCAATGAAGATTAAATAACATTCTCAATTAAAAAAGTTAGCAAAAAATTCGAGTCAAATCAATTGCATCTCTTTCTCTATAAATCACTCTAAACATGGAACACACGAACTAGCCAATAAATTAATGTTCCGCTTAATACAGGAATTGTAAAATTATCATCCAAGCCCCAAATATCGATAAGCTCGGAGATACTAGCAATGAAACCAACAAGAATCGAATAGATATGAATGTTTAACTTACTCAGCTCTGGGGTCCAGTAGATATCACCCGGGTTGTTGACATTGTAACCAGGAATAAAATATTCATAAAGCAAATATGCTGCAAATGTTCCGACTGCAAAGCTACCTAATGAACCAGCCAAAGACTTTCTGTTTCCAAGTTTGGGTGTATACTTACCCCATTTGCGCCCAACTGTGGAAGCTGCTGTGTCAGCCCAACTCAATAATAGAATGCTTAAAACACTGATGTCCTTTGGGTACAAGTATAACACAATTAATACACCTGCCAAGTAAAACAACGTTCCATTATAAGAATTCTTCTCACTTTCACGAATGATGAACCACATTTGAGATGTGACAAACTTGTTAATTTCGGGGTTGTGGAGTCTAATCAAATCGTTGATCAAAACCCCTGAAAAGCATGTGAATAATGGAACAAACAATTGTGGGATGGTGGTTCCCTTAGTATACAACCACAATGTTAAAACACCAATAGATGAGTGAAACACTTTTCTGGGTATTTCATGCTTTACCAAAAACTGTTTGAACTTGCCCTGAACGGGGGGTGGAGTAGCTGTATCAACTGCTTTTTGACTTTTCAAATTTAGCTTTTCCGTTACCCCTGAATCAGTTACGTCCAAATCAGTGTCAGAGCTTTTTCTTGACAAACCTTGATTTTCACTTTCATCGTCGTCTTCAGCTTCATCATCGTCCTCCTCTTCCGAAGAAACACCTTCATTGGTTGTATTATAGATGTATGTTCTGTCTTCTTCCTCAATGTACGAATTTTTGGCTTCGTCGAAATTTAACATGCTGAATGATGCCATATTTTGAGGCTTAGGTTTTGGTGATGAGGTCGTTTTCAATGTACCGGCAGCGGCTGACATTTTAAGTGGGAGGTGTTTGATTCGGACGTTAAAGTATAGCCTAGTAGGGACGTATGAAGTGGACCGCAATAATATACTGAATATGCAGAATACCAGAAGGGTGCACTTTATAATGTTTATATTTTTGTATGATCTCCCAATCTTTGTGTGGAAACAAGTTGTGCTTTCTGTGCATATAAAAAAAAAAAATTAGTCCGACTGCGTAAAGAAGAAAGCCCATTTAACCGAGAAACCGAACAAACGGAGTCGCATAGAAAATGGAATATTAAACCTACGAAAAACCTCAAAAATCTGACAGTGCCACACATGTAATGTTTTGCGCCGCCAGTCAGTATATTACCAGCAATATTATATAATAAAGAAAAGCTAATGACTTCCGTATAGCACTCCCTGAGTTGAGTTTTGTTTGAGAATCAAAGTCAAATATGTCAAAATTGAAACTCTTTGTAGCAACCAGTTTTAGTCTTCGCACTCTTGACGTAGAAACTTCCTTCTCAGTTGGTCGAGTCCCAAGCTGGTGCACGTGAACTGGAAGTGTTGCCTTTTTAGGTGGTGCATGAATCAGGTCTTGGTCATAAAATGGGCTAGTCGTCATTGGTGAGGTGACAGACTGATGAGTGGTCGACGATTGGCCCATCTCGAGTCCATCGAGTGTTTCAGTTGTGGGGACGGTTTTGACATCCCCATCCACCAGGGTTTGTATGGGGAGGTACTCTTCATACTGGGTCGTAGAAGGTACAATATCTGCGTCGGTGACTCCTGCGAATTGAATAACATTTGAATCAATGTAACCTATGTGGTTATCCGTATCAAAAAGAATGGTGTACTCTCCCTCCTTCAACACGCCCAACGTCTCAATAGAGTCCATTTCTGTTACACTCGAGGCAGTAGCTACTGGAATTGGGAAATCCGTCCACGCGACTTTAGGTTTGCGATAAGTTGGACCCTGTTGAGGATTATGTCTTGCATGATGTTGAAACTGAGGCATGATTAAAACCGAGTTTGACGGGGGCTTCCTCATCATGATTTGCCTGCCATTCACTTTTGATGCTGAAACACTATCATCGTTCACTGAGAGCACGTCCTCAGTAGCAGATACAAAAAACAGTCTTGATCTTGAATATTGTTCAGCATTTTGGGCCACTTCCGAGGCGGTGGTAGTTGGTGTAGTTTGTCCTGTTAGCTCCAATTGCTTTCGCAAATTCATCTCCTGACGACTCATTTGACCCCTTAATTCTACCAATAGTTGCTCCAATCGTCTTATTTCTGCTAGCATGTCCAACTTTGACACTGTTTTCGGTTTATTTGATGAGTAACTAGCCGATAATGATCTTGTAGGCGGTACCGTCACAATGTCGTCCTCATTAGTCGATGACGAATACAAAAACTCGAGCGAGGTTAAAGGTTGCACAATTTCAAGCAAAGACGATGGTAATTTGGAAGGCATAGATGATCCACTTGTAGCTAAGCTTTTTGACGAATTTGGACTGAAATTATGAATGTCAACGAGTGACGGAAGGTTGGACAGGGGAATTACACCAAAGTTTACTGGTACACCTTTATGCAGAATACTGACCAATGCACTAGCACGATTAATGTCAAGTGTTTTGCGTCGGGGTATCACCTCTTTCAAAAAATTGATATGCTGTTGAAATTGTTGCTCGACGGATGATATGTTACGACCTAAAACAGGTTGCAACATAAGCAGTGCAAATGCTGTAAATAGAATGACAAAACGCATGGTGAATGTAATGGCGGTAAATTATGCAGGCTCGGTGAAACAACTACTCCATAAAATATGGCTTCGTTCTCTGTTCTTATTTGTGTTGCATTTTTTCAAAACTTGTTATTGCCTTTGCAATATCAAAATAGTCCTTTGAAATTTGTGAATCTGGATCCGATACTACAATTGGTTTACCTAGATCGGATTGAAGGCAAATATTCTCATTGAGTGGAATATTAGCGACAACTTTGATTCCGTATTCCTTTGCCACTTTCTCTGCACCGTCAGACTTGAATATATGAGACTTGTGATTGCAATTGGGGCATATATAGTGACTCATATTCTGCACAATTCCAATCAATGGTATTTTAACTTTGTTGAACATTGTAATTCCTTTCACAGCGTCAATTAATGCAATATCTTGTGGGGTGGTGACAATAAGTGCACCAGAGATATCCAACAATTGACTAATAGAGAGCTGGGTGTCCCCTGTACCAGGGGGCATGTCTATGATCAAGTAATCTATTGGTGTCCACTCCACATCAAATAGCAACTGCTGAATTGCCTTCATCACCATTAATCCTCGCCACACCACAGCCTGTTCATCTTTGATCAAATATCCCATTGACATTGTTTGTATGCCGTAATTTGATAGTGGTAATAGCTTACCTGAAGTTTGTGATAAACGAGGCTCGCCTTTCAAATTCATCAACTTCGGAACCGATGGTCCAAAAATATCCGCATCCAACAAGCCCACCTTTTTACCAAGCTTTTGGAGAGCCAACGCGGTATTGACGGACACTGTCGATTTCCCAACACCACCTTTAGCTGACGATACCAAAATGATGTCTTTTACATTTGAAATGTGTTGCTTTACCGGGAGTCCCTTAGATGGGGGATTAGGAGATGCAGCTGAACCTTTTCTCTGAAATTGAGGAAGACCCAATGGATTTTCATGACTAAGTAATCTTGGAAATGTAGCTAATCCTCTGATAGTCCTAATCATCTTGAAATGGATCTTGGAGTTGAGAATTGATTTTCAAATTGAAAAGAAAATCTGTCACAGCGATTAGAATTTTATAAATAAACTTTACCATCATCAATGTTTAGAAGAATATGCGTTTCAAGATTCTATAGCGTTGCAATAAACTCCTCACAGCCAACCATATTTGCATTGTCTACTCCATTTTCCAAATCGGCAATTGCAGTGGTTCGAATATCGGGGCCACAGGCTTCGTACGTGTACAACACTTTGACAAAAACAAAGACAGCACCAGACCATCGAGTTGCAAAAGTTCGAAAGCTATATTCTGTCAAGGACTCCACACTTCTAGATGAAGCTCTTACCGTTTTCTTCAAGCTGCCGAATACATATACTGGTCTAGATCTCCTCGAACTTCATTTGCATGGTGGAACAGCCATTATAAAAGCAGTGTTGAAATCTATAAGGGAGTTACATGATCCAACTAATGGCAAAATTATACGACAGGCTGACCATGGCGAGTTCTCCCACCAAGCTTTTATTAATGGAAAATATGATCTTACCGCTTTGGAAGGTATAAGTGAGATGATCAATGCCGAAACAGAGCTGCAGAGAATGGCTTCTTTGGCGTCGATGTCTGGACAAACAAAAGACTTGTTTGTGAAATGGAGACAGGGAATTTTAGAAAATGTAGCTAATCTTACCACGTTGATTGATTTCGGTGAGGACCAAGATCTTTCCGAAGCCGACTCACTTTTCCATGACGTTGAGACGAGTATCTCGAAACTAGAAGAGGAAATCAGGACGTATCTCAAAAACGTAAAGTCGTCTCAAGTTTTGTTGAACGGGATCCAGCTCACGTTATTGGGACCTCCCAATGCCGGCAAATCATCCATATTGAATACTTTGACAAATAAGGACGCTGCGATAGTTAGTGATATTGCTGGAACTACTCGAGATGTATTGGACATCCCTTTAGATATCGGTGGTTACAAGGTGATTTTGGGCGACACCGCAGGGATAAGGCTATTGTCTGAGGCCGATCAGATAGAACAAGAGGGAATCAAAAGAGCCAAGATGAAATCCCTTTCGGCAGATTTGGTTTTAGTGGTGCTCGATCCAACTGATGACCAGCACAATGATGCCATATTCGATCATGTACTGGAGTTGGTCAACAAATATGGCAAAGACGTCGTGGTCATTCTAAATAAGGAGGATTTATTCTTGGAAGAAAAGAGTAAGCTTGTTGCAAAACACGCCAGTTTGTTGAATATATCAAGCAATCTTATTCATGTGGTGTCATGCACGACGGGGTTCGGGATTGAACCGCTTCGTAAAGAGCTTATTGAAAAGTTCAAGGAAATGTCTCACTTCGGATCTCAAAATGCAGCCGTTGTTTCATCTAGAGTTCAAGACATATTGGAATTCGATGTTTTGAGTGGTTTTCGAGAGTTTCGTCATTGGAAAGACGAAAGTGATGTGGTTTTGGCAACCGAAGGTTTGAGGCAGTCAATAGAAGGGATCGGTAAGGTCACCGGGGAAGCCATTGGTGTAGAGGAAATACTAGGTGTGGTATTTGCAAACTTTTGTATTGGTAAATAAAGGTTTGTATATAGCACATTAATTTCAACTAACACTGTTACAAACAACGAAAAACGTAATACTCTCCACATCCCAGGACATTTTCATCTGTTGGAGTTGATGTCTTGTGTGTCGACTTCCAGGCAATTCATCAGCTTGCTCCTGTATAGTCGTGTTCTTCACCTTTTTACTCAATGACGGTGCTACTTTGCATTCAAAATTCAAAACATTCAAGCCATGGGCTAACCTAATATCATATTGTACGGCCAAAAGGTTCTCTTTGCCTTTCACCTCTTCAAAGCAATCATTTGGTTGGTTAAGTACCTCCCCATTAACAACTAGGCTGCATTGGAACTCGTCATCGGATGTCAGGTTGAGATACCCATGCCCATCAGTCAAATCCGGCTTCTTTGCAAGGTACAAAAGGTGATGTAAAGACGCTTTCAATGACACATAAGGCAGAACATCATTGGGTAACGATATACTATATGACTGGTCAACATAGCCATTTGCAGGTACCTTGTAGGAAAACAAAGTCGCGATTGACAGTTGTGACTGTGCCGGAAACAACGCTTGCTTTGTTTCCGTATCCAATGACGCTGACCTTGACAAAGAGGCGACTATCTTGTCTTGGGCGTATCTAGTAATGTGAGACATGATTGCTGGAGATGAAAACAAGGAAGACTCTTGTATAATCGAGTTGCTCTCCAAAAGAGATGGTAATGTTTTTCCCATGGTGTTGTCAGTTGTTTTGTCCAAATGAATTTCAATCGGTCCTACTCGTGTACGGTCTTCCTCAACTTTGACCCTAACTTTAGTTTCATCATTGTCAATCCTTGACACATCTTCCAGATCATCGGCTGCATCCTCAACATCCTCGTCTTCCGTATGCCTCAAAAGTTGCCGATTTTTCTTATCCTGGTTTTTGCTCAAGCTTATCTTTAATTTAGCTGGTTTTGCCTTGTTGGCATCCACTGCTTCAACTTTCCTCTTCAAGACGTCATATTGTTTTTCAAAATATTCTTGAAGTAGAATTGCGTCCTGGTGTATTTGCGATTCTTCATTATTATAAGCTTTTGCATTGGTAAAAATGAGAGTTGCGGTGTCATGAAACTTTCGCAAATTGTCAAGTAAAGGGTACTTTGGGCTGAACAATTTTCTTGATTCCAACATCGATAAAAGTGTGTTGAAGGCCATTGGTTTAGACACAAAGTTTGAATAGTCTGTGTAAATGGCTTGGTCAACTTCATCCAAGAATGGCCCGCTAATTATTCCGATATTCTCAAACTCGTGATTCGTAACATCCTTGAGAAGCTCGGCGCATAGTTCTGGCAACTTACCAAAAGTAATTTCCTCCGTTTTCGAGGCAGCATGTGTTTGCACCGATGGACTCTTTAATTTTAACTTGATCTTGGGGTGCTTTGCATCGCCAGTATTGGAAGCACTGCTTTCGTACTCCCGCACCTGATCATTTACAAAGTCAACAATCTTCTTTGCATTGGCCACAATCCAAGAGTCCGCGTCATTATACGTTGAGGCATTGTCAAGTAATAAATTGAAATCATCAAGAAACTCATCCGTAGACTCGCCTGTGTATCTAGTATTGATCCGCTTTTGAATTTCATTAATCGATATGGGACTTTTTATGAGGTGGTAATAGTCAGGATACAACTTCTTGGATGGTAGTTTGATGAAAGCCGCAGCAATTTGCTCTTCTCCTTCACGCAAGTTGAATACCAAATTGATAGTAGATTGATAAAACCTTTTATTCTCCTCAGGTGAATGGGAGCTTACTCTTGCCTTTTTTAAAGTGGCAACAGGTGAGCCGATTCCTTTCCTCTTTGGTGGCATGATCGCTTATTTAACGGTTAACAAACAATTTTTCCAATTCAAGACTGTTATGATTGTGTTTTTGATTGTCAGTTGAATAATTTTTTTTTTTTTTTTTTCATTTCTTGCGTGGATTTTGTATCTGTGACGCCAATTTGTAATACGTCTTACATATACAACACTTTAGTTAGCAGGAGACATAGATGTCGAATAGGATCACCATCTTATACGGTTCTGAGACAGGAAATGCAGAAGAATATGCTAAGTACTTAAAACTTCGATTAAAAAGCTACAATCTAAAACCAACTTTATCATCACTAGATGCATTTCCCTTGAAAAATTTAGTGACAGACACAGACTATTTAATAATCATATGTTCGACCACAGGACAAGGTGAGTTACCTCGTAACTCCAAATCATTTATGAAATTCATTTGCAAAAAGAAACTTCCGAGGGATTTTTTCCAACATTTGCGATTAACAACTTTAGGCTTGGGTGATTCATCGTATACAAAGTACAACTATGCAATAAAAAAGATACACGCAAGGATGATGCAACTTGGATGCCAAGAGCTATCGCCGAGGTGTGAAGCTGATGAAATGTCACCAGAGGGTGTAGACGGGTTCTATTTAGAGTGGGAAACTCAATTACTTGCTGCATTGAGTAAATTCCTCCCCATGCTGACTGAGCCTGACAACAACACTGTGCCCATGCCCGAGTATAAAATGTCACTAGGGCTTGCTGCAGACCTGTTAGCGCAAAATTCATTGCTAACAAAAATTTACAACAATTTACAAGTGGGAACTGTGGTTTCAAATGAACGAATAACCACTGCCGATCATTTTCAAGACGTGCGACGTTTGAAAATATCCTCCCAAAACCTAAAGTATAACCCAGGAGATACAATTTCACTATACCCATGTAATTTTGATCAGGATGTCGAGACTTTGCTCGAGCTCCAACCACAGTGGCTAGAGGTGGCCGATAAACCATTAAGAATAAGAAACTTGGTAGATGAAGAACAATTTATAACTTTGAGGAATTTGATTAAATACCACTTGGATATAATGTCAATTCCAAGACGAAGCTTTTTTGCAGTATTATGGCATTTTTGTGACTCTAGTACCGAGGATGGTAAAAGGGAACAAGAAAAATTGAGAGAGTTTGGTTCATTTTCTGACCCTGAGGAACTTTACAACTATGCAAATCGACCAAGAAGACTGATTTTAGAAACCTTGACTGAGTTTAAAAATAATTTAACCATTCCTGTCTCTTATATACTTGACTTGATACCATTGATCAAGCCTAGGATGTTTCTGATCGCATCACGTTCCAGCGAGACAGAAATAGAGGTGGTGGTGGCAATTGTGGAGTATAGGACTATAATAAGACGCATCCGTCGTGGACTTTGCACGCGATGGTTAAAGTCGTTGAAGGTAGGGGATGAGGTACATTTGAGTATTGATAGATCTTCATTCAAAATCACACAGAGCCCCATCATTATGGTTGCACCAGGGACTGGTATAGCACCAATGAAGTCACTAGTTGACGAAATTTTGCACCAAAACTCATTGCAAGAGATGTATCTCTTTTTTGGTTGTCGCCATGCAGAAAAGGATCACCTCATAAAACTGTTTTGGGAAAAATCAAGCAATTTGCATATATACAATTGCTTTTCGCGAGATGAGGACTCCGAGTTTAAATATGTTCAGGATGCAATCATTGCCGAATACAAGTTGCTTGGTGATTTGTTGTTGAATCAAGATGCAAAAGTCTTTGTGTGTGGCTCAAGTGGGAAGATGCCCAGAGAAGTGAAACTAACATTTGTTGAAGTGGTGAAAAGATTCAAAAACATATCAAAAGAAGACGCAAAACGCTACATTAACGAAATGGAAGATTGTGTGAGATATAAGGAAGACGCTTGGTAAAGTACATAGCTCAGTAGATAACAAGTGAAAAAAATGAAAGAAAAAAAAAAAAAAAGACAAAAATCATTTGATTCGAGACCTCTGCAATCCAATGTTCAAGATATCAGCCAGACCCCTAAGGTCTGCATTCGTTCGCTACTCCAGCAATACCGTGAAACCCATTGTGGTGGATAATAAGTCATATCATGCAGATGAGTGGACGAACGTGCCTCCTTACATTCTCAAACTTATTGACCGAAAATTGCATAAAAATGTTAACCATCCAATTGGTATATTGCACGATTTAATACGACAGAATATGGAAGGTATGGGGTACACTATATATGACAATTTCCACCCCATTGTTTCCAGGTACCAGAATTTTGACAGTTTGGGGTTCCCAGAGGATCACGTTGGAAGATCAACGTCAGACACATACTACCTTAACAAAGACTATTTGTTAAGGACCCACACCTCTGCTCATGAGCAAGAGTGTTTTATCAATTCAAAAACACCGGGGTATCTCATCACAGCCGATGTTTATAGACGTGATGAAGTTGATAGAACGCATTACCCTGCTTTCCACCAATTGGAAGGTGCTAGAGTATACGACAAGGGAGATTTGGAACAGATTCAACAGGATATCGACGCAATTCCACAGACAAATATCATTGTTGAGGATCCATTTAGGGAGAATCCTGTCACACCAAATAACCCGGGACAAAAATATATGACTGATGAAGAGATCAGACTTGTTTCAACGCATTTGAAGAAAACAGTTGAATACCTAGTTAATCAAGTGTTTGAACGAGCTAGAGAATCAGCCAAGAAGGCTGGATCTACTGAACCTTATTTGAACGAGCCTTTGAAAGTACGCTGGGTTGAAGCTTACTTTCCATGGACCTCACCTTCATGGGAAATTGAGGTTTGGTGGAAAGGAGAATGGTTGGAATGTTGTGGATGTGGTGTTGTCCAACAACAAGTTTTACTCAATTCGAATTTAGGTGATCAAAAGATCAGTTGGGCCTTTGGAATCGGATTGGACAGGATCGCGATGCTATTGTTTGATATCCCTGACATTAGACTTTTTTGGACCCAGGATGAAAGATTTCATAAACAATTTAAGCAAGGTGAGATCAACACATTTGTCCCTTACTCAAAGTATCCGGGAGTTAAGAGGGATGTTTCCTTTTGGCTCAATCGCGATTACAAATTGCATGCAAATGATGTGATGGAAATTGTCAGAAATCGTGCTGGAGACTTGGCTGAAAGTGTTGTTAATGTTGACGAATTTACCCACCCAAAGACAGGTAAGAAATCGCAATGTTATAGAATAAATTATCAATCAATGGATCGAAACTTGACAAACAGCGAAATCAACTCAATTCATGACAAGGTAGTAGAGGATCTTGTAAACAGGTTCAAAGTTGAAATCAGATGATATTTAGATTTTACAAAGTGTATATAGTTTTTTCATGTATGATAGGAGGCGAACTGACACACCTATACACAGACAAGGCTTTGTGTTTATTCAAAAAAATTTTAAGTATTTTTGCGTACGGAGTTTACACGGAGCTGGTAGCGATTTGCCCTTTCAATTTTTGCAGCTCTTGGTCATGCAGAAACACTTGACCTTGTGTTAAGAATTGGATTGTGCGTCAAAGCAAAGGGAGGGTGGCTATAAAAGGGAGGCAAAATGCAACTCCAAAAAGAATTTGGGTTTACTTTCGTTAGGTTTTATCTTTTGTCAAAGCAATTACAGTATCATGAGAAGGTTCTATCCAGGTTATCGTCCACATCACTTTGGGTTCGGTGGATTATTTATTGTAGTCGGTGCTTTCATATTAGGAAGGGTGTCGGCAAATCATTATGGCCCGGGTCCAAATTGGAGGCATCAACGTTGTGGATTTGATCACCATTCAAGCTGCCAATGTCCAAATTGTGTTAACTACCATCAAAACAGAAAGGATCAGGAGATCAGGTCTATGCATTTACATCAACAATGATGTAGAGTTTAGGGAGCATGTATATATTCCGATGAAGTCATGTATATAGTAAAACTATCACGAGATGTGATAAAAGTATATTTCCAGGCAAAGTGTATTCCAGACGTAGAATTGCATGAAATTGCATTGCTCTGTATCATATATAAGGGGGTACCATCAACCCGTCGAGTGACAAACTAGCAATGACATTAATCAACAATGAAGTCGCAAATTGGCTTAGCTACTATAGCATTGGGTACCGCCTTATTTTCATACAGGTTGTTTCTTCAAACTCACGAAAAGTCCGAATCCCCAACAATGAAACCGAAACACAAATTCTATACTGATTTTGACAAGGAATATGATGCTTACAAGTTGGAAATTGACAATCAGGTTGACTTTTAGCATGGCCGATGTTGAAAGTGAGGAGAGAAGGCGCTAACTGAAAGTAATCGGGATCGTGGAGAGGAGAGACACTTTCAAACAGGTGTTCGAGCAATATTATAATCGATATCTTCAATAAATTATTCACTAATTTCTTCAAGATGATACACTAACTTGTAAATTTTACACACTCTATATCCAACATAGGAGATCTATTGATACTCCATAACCCATTCGATGATTCACCACTTGTAATGAGCAATTAATAAAATGATATTAGCCAAAATCTCCGGATACAAAGCCAAGCAGCCGTAAAATTTGGGTTTACCAAACATCAAAATGTATTCGCTTGGTGAATTGAAATTAATACCATGGAAAGCACTTAACAATGAATAAACGCATCGAACAATCAACACCACCAATGCTGCAATCAATATCTGAGCTATACAAGCACAGTGTGATGCAGTTATTGATATGTGCACCAACACAGCGATAAGACCCACAACACCAACGACAAAAAGCACAGCTGAAACTTTGATCAATGTTTGCTCAGTAGAGTTTGATGACAGACCATCACTTTCTAATTGGCTTGTTCCAATAATGTTTGTGATCACGGCGGCGATTAAAACCACAGTAAGGATTTTGAATGGTGCCTTTTTCAAATTTTCAACTCTGCTAAAGGGGGATATTGAAACTTCGCTTACATTGTGGTGATGTGCAGACTCCTCGTCCTCCGGACCTTTTGTAAAACCTCTGATGGACCCATTAGTATCACTATCCGAGTCGATAACATCGTTATCATCACCGCCCACGGGGGTTTGCAGTTTCTTCGTCATGACATCCTGCACCAATGAACTAATTGCTCTTGTTATGAAGCCTAAACTGATCGAATCACAAATATAAGTAGCAATAAATAAACCATTGTTGAAGTGGTCATTTCCAAGAAACACCAACCCAAGGATCCCACCAACAATTTTAACACCGTTGAAGATTATCATGAGGATAAAGAATGGTAAGATAGTCTTGATTTTAAATCCTTTTCTGACTTGGATGACTGTGATGCAGATGAATGCACCAATAGCAAGTACAAACAAACCAAGCTGTGATCCACTAATTGCTTTCCATCCGTTGGTGTGTTGTAAGTCCATGGTAAATTTGTAGTGATTTTAGCATAACGTAGATGGAAGATTGCCCGGAATACGCTCAGTATTTATAACCATCTCCACGTGGTGTGGCACAGGTATGGCTCAACTTTTCGCATTGATAGTGATTTGAGTCTCAAATTGGGGCTATTTTCGCAGCCTCAAATTAAAAACGGTTACTGTTAACGCCGTATTTTATTACGTAAGCGCATATTATTTTACGCGCTTATGTAAGCGCGTATATCTCAAATGTATGATGAAATTTCGGAAAGCTGCCAAAAGCCTCGTTTCGATATCGCTTTCCTTGTAGATTGTGCGAATAAGGTATAGTATATCATAGCAGCGCCTTACCCTCGAAGCTTAAATGGATGATGTGTTCAATCTAAATTCAAGCATATAAGCGTCTTGAAACATTCTTACTATAAAATCCCTGCATTCGCTTTTATTGATAAGCTATACAACTTAACAAGTAAAGGCTAGTGGCTGACGGTGTAGCTTGAGTACTCTTGTGTTTCAAGACTAATTTTAGCACGACATGCTACTGATTGACCTCCTTTTACAAACTACTCGAGAAGATACTCATGATCCTAAGAAGTATAACCAACATTTTATGTATTACTCTAAATGTCTAAATATGAGAAGCATCTCGAAACGATTCTTTTGATGGAACTTAGCTATATTCTATTACGGGCTTCAATTAAATTAACAAAGCAGCGGCACCAGCAAGAGCACCAGCGAGCAAACCACCGGTTTGCAAGTTTCCAGCACCGTTAGCAGTTGAAACACCAGCTTCACTTGAAGAAGTACTATTTGAGCCACCTCCATTTGATTCCAATTCAGTCAAGTTTGAACAGGTGATTCTACTAGTGTTGGCAAAGTGGATAACAATGGACAAATCACCAAAGTAAGTTTTGGAATCTGGGTTCAAGGAGATATAGTTGTCTACATATTCAGTAGACAACAGTGTACCTTGAATCTTACCGTGTCTTCCTGACAAGTCACCAGCTTCTAAACCTTGTGGAGTAGTAGCATTTTCATTACCTCCATATGGGTTCAAGTGCATCTTGGTTCCGGTACAGTTTCCATCGGCTGGAACAGGACGCTCGTGAATGTGGTAAGGGAATGGTCCTCCAGAAGATGGCAATCCTTCAACATCAACTTTAACCAAAACTGAACCATTGTTTGCTGGTTCAAAAGTGATTGTACCAGTGATGTCAGATTTTTCTGACTTTTCAAACTTTGCTTGCAAAGATGGTTGGTCGGCAGAGTCGGATTGAATTGGTGTGTCTCCGGCAATAGCAACTGAGGCAAGAGCCAAAACAGACAAGATCGAATAAGAAACCATTTTTTAAGTTGTAGTTTTGTCTTAGTTGTGAAGAAAAAGCTATGAGCAATTTAGTTTTATCAGAATTCGGCAACTTTACCGCCTTTTTATAGTATTTCCTTAAACAAACGAGCGACGGCGAATAGGGAAACCTCCTCCCCCTATAGTGTCTGAATTCACTGATTAATCAGATAATATTGACGCTAGCTTTTGTGCTAGTACTCAATGTAGGCACACACCAACCAGGAAAGGGTTACAAAGCAAGGTGTAACAATAGCAGCAATGTAATCCAAACAATGCAATTAAGTTCTTCCAATACAATTTCTCATCTCCTATTGGCTTATTCCCCAAAACAATGGCTTCCAAATTGAGGTACTTTTTGTCTGTAATTTAGTTATGAAAAGATAATTTTGTCAAACAATTGGGAGCTTGAGCTTTTGTGTCTTTAAATAGAGCACAATATATGGGTCGTGCGTTTTGGAGAATTAGCTTTTTTTGGTTAGCACATTGTTTTCTTTGTCGATACACATCTAAAGTATTCGAGAAAAGTAAGCCTCTCTAACATTGTCTCAATACAATAGCAATGTTCAAAAGTATCGCTTCGTTTGATTGGCCATGCATTGTTCAACATTTGTTTTTTGTAAAGTCAATTTTCAACCGATCCTCCAAATAAAACAAAAATCAGAGTCGGATTTAATGAATGTAATTCTTGGCGCTGTCAGATATACACATTCCCTTTGAAAAAACCTAATAACGTGCCTCTAAATTTTGCTTGCTTTTTCTCCGATTTCTGAACCGCAATGCTAAACTGAGAGTGGGGGGGTTCATGGAGAAAGTATTTATTTTTCCGTAAACATTGCTTGATGTAAATGTATGGGAAAATTCAAGAATATTTGTTTCAATCTTTGAAAAAATTGTATGCGTGTTGGATCACAACTAGAAATTATTCAATTGAAGAGAGCTATGTGGATATGTTGGGGATACAAATAGATATATATACTTTTGAAATCTGGTAGATGGAAAGCTCTTGTCAAGTTGAGTAATATATTTTTATTCAAATAGAGAAAGCCAAAATTTGCTCACACCAACAATAATGCTTTGAAAATTAAACCTTTTCGTGAGTGAATTTCACAGAGAAATTTGTCAAGGATAGAGACCACGGGGAAGAGAGTTGGTTTGTTACGTAGATGGTTTTTGGTGGTGCACTTGTGCCACCATGTTTGTATACAGTAGGGGTGCAAAAGAAATGATTATAGTTCGTAACGGAATATGACATCATCTCAAATTTCTATACGAGTATTTTTCTGCTGATTGAAAGTTGTACCTCGATTTCCCCCACCCCTATGGAATGTAATTCGGTGTTAGTGATAGCCTACATTCCTTCTTATTTAACCTCTTTTGCTTGACCTTGTAACCAAAACACACTCTTTACTTTTAGAGTAGTCTTTATCTGGGGATCTGTCACGTATATCTCTGCAGAAATTGCGATCCCTCGATTGTGGCACATTAACCAGCACTTCAAAGAGAGCGACAAAAAAAAAAAAATTGTTGTCTCCATGTGATAATTTCAACTCCATTTAGCAAGTCGAGACGAGCTTAGAAGTCTCATTAACAAAAAGTCAGAGCAACTGTCAGATATCATCATCAGCCACCTTAGACTTCCACTTAAATAAGAATTCATCCCCCCTTTTTCTGCCTTTCAGTCATGACAATTCCACTTCTAGGGAGATTGAATATCCTTGATTGGCCCATCATTATTGTTTCATTTTCGTTAGCGTGGTTTGAGTTTCTAGTATCGACCATTACCACCCTTCTTCCGTGGCAATTCATCAATGCTTGCACTGAAGTGGTCAAGCAGCTTTTTCGCTTTACATCCAACCCGATTAATTTGATGACGCAACTGAGACCTCGAGCAGATAGCATTGAACACGAGGAAAAATACCACTATTTGAAAGACAAAGATGTGGCAAAGACCCAGGTGAATAAACAAAGCTACGACTTGATGATTGAAATGTTGAATGCAGACACCATTCACGATATGGTTAGCTTATTTGGCTACGAAATTGAAAGTAGAATTGTTACAACCAAAGATTCTTATTTGTTAACATTGCACAGACTCCGGGGTGGCTCATCGATAAGAGTACCTAATGGGAAGGTGGTTTATCTTCATCATGGATTGTTGATGTGCAGTGAAGTTTGGGTCACCATGATTGAAAAATATCAAAACCTACCTTTCATCTTGTATGATTTGGGTTATGATGTTTGGATGGGTAATAATCGGGGTAACAAGTACAGCCAGAAGCATTTGAACTACGATGTTCGTTCGCTGCAATTTTGGAATTTTTCCATTGATGAATTTGCCTTGTTTGATATTCCTAATCTGATTGAATACATTTTGAATAATACTGGTAGAGAGAAGTTGACATACATTGGATTCAGTCAAGGGAGTGCTCAAGCATTTGCTAGTGTGTCGGTAAATTCGGATTTAAACAACAAGATTGATCAACTAATTGCAATTTCGCCTGCAACAACACCACACGGACTTCACTCAAAATTTCTTGATATTTTGTTAAAGTCTTCACCCAATGTCACGTATTTATTGTTTGGTCGGAAAGTACTTATGCCATCCTGCATCTTTTGGCAAAGAATAATGTATCCTCCATTATTTGACAAAGTAATTGATATCGCGGATTATATGTTGTTCAATTGGAAATCTTTAAATATATCCAAGTTACAAAAGTTAAGTAGCTATGCTCATTTGTATTCCACAACAAGTGTTAAATGTGTTGTGCACTGGTTCCAAGTTATGAGCTCAAAGAATTTTCAAATGTACTTTGATACAACAACGTCATCGTCATTATCGGGTTTGAATCCAATTAGCTATCCTTTAAAGAATATACAGGTACCAGTGCACTTGATTTATGGTACGATTGACTCATTGGTTGATATTGATGTTATGAAATCGCAGTTACCAAAGAAGATGACAACAACCTTTGCCGTGCCTGATCATGAACATTTGGATAATTTGTGGGGTGAAGACGTTTTTGAATCGGTGTTTAAAAGAGTGTTGCAATACTTGGGAGAAGATATTGATGATGCATATTCGAGATTATTCAGAACCAATGAAAATGTTAAATTGATTGAGGACATATTTCGACCTGATATAGGCTTGAGTGGGCTAGCAATTGATAATGAACTGACACAGTATGACAGTACGAGCTTGAACAACATTGGTGAAGCCAAACTGGATAACGACTACGAATTCGATATAACACAAATTTCCAATGTTTCGGTAAGCGGTCAGTTTACAAATCTGCCATCCTCACAAGGAGGAAGATTGTCGTATTTAAAGTTGGCTAACAATAAGGGAAAGAGTAGTAGTGCATCCAGAAGTGACAAAAAGTCACAAAGCATTGATAGTACCAATACTGCTGATTACAAAACACCTCAATCCGTAGGCTCAACGTCGGTATTTATATAGATATTAAAAATGTGTATATCAAGTTGTTCAAACCGATGAGCTAGTCTCAACTTGTAGGGGTCTTTGGCATTAGATTGTAATCGATAAAGTCCGCTACCACCTCCATTAAAATGCGATCCTCGTATCATCTCTCTTTTTGTGTTACTCAAAAGTCGTGTCCCGTTGTCTTGTTGCAGAATGGAATCAATACAATAGCTATCACTTGGCCAGGGTTCGCAATGGTGCATGTAGAACCAGCATAAATCAGTATTGCAAGAAAGTTGCTACTTCTTTGTAAAAGAAGCCGTAATCCACATTCAAGATCTTTTCACGTAGTTTCTTTCCACTGCTGTTTGAGCAGAGTGTACGGCTCTGTGTAAAAAACTGTGTTGTGTTGCAGAATTTTCGTTAAAGTTTAAAAATGAGGCAAAAAAAAAAAAAAATAAAGCGAAAGGACAGACTAATTCACCCACAATTTAATAACACACCCAAATACAAATAGAATCCTGTGTCACATCCTACAAACCAAGTCGCTTGACGGAAACACCATTTTGACACGTTACGGGGATGGCATCAAACGGGCACATTGTATGTACTGCTCAGTCTGACCAAGCTACGGATTTAAGTGCAAGTGGTCATAATCGCTACAAGTCCCCCATACTAACAATTTTCGAACTTTTAGAGAACTTTCCACGTCATTGGAGATTTTCATCCCGATTGTATGTATTACATTTCATCATTGCATAATAAGGCTTATACTAACATTCTTCCAGCTTTGGTAAAGAGAGTTGTCCGTCTGATCCCTCGCTCATTGCCATACTACGAGAATACTGGTGATCATCGTGCGGAAGATGAGTCGGACTCTTTGGTACGCGAGTTGATGAAGATCAGACCACACAAACCGCTGTTTACTATTTTATCTCAGTATAACAGTGAAAGTATAACACAATATTCCTCGAAATTACTGGAGTTGTTGTACCTTTTGTTGAAGGAAAAACAATTGGATGATAGTATAAGAATAGAGCTTGAAAATTCATTGACTAATTTAATTTCATTTATCCCGTGGGTTCATCCCGACTCCACAGAAAAATTGAAGATTGATAACGATGTCAGTTTCAAAAATAGACAAAGTATTCCACAACCAAAACACATGCCAGGTGATACTAGTCCAACTTATCCAAATGGATACTTGTCAAAGATTTTGATTGATAATTTTGACGCTTTGACTGAATTCTCTTCGTCATACTTCAATTTAACTTTGAGCACAATGGTGACAAAATATATTGTGGAGTTGATATATCAATTGTATTATTGGGAGGTGGTTCATTTGGTTCATATAAATCCCAAGATTAGTGATTTTCTTGAATTGATTGGATTTGAGTTAACTCAAACCACATTTGGACCTATCATCAAGCCACCTGCAAATTACCTTAATGATAACCTATTACAAGGGTTGCAATACCCATTTCCCTATCCATTTTACAACTATAGTTACCATTCTTTTGACACCAAGGTTGAGCAAAAGAAGTTTGATCGGGTTAATATAAAGCCATACTTGGACATCACTTTAAAAAACGTTGACGGCAGTTTGAAAAAGAGGAGGAAAAGCTCGGCGAAACATTCATTCAGTGAAGAAGCAATCACGACTGGTGTACGCCATCTTGAAGGCATGTCGGATAGTTGGCTACGAGAAAATGAGAATAATCAACTGGGAGCTACACGTGCTTCAGGAAGTCTCTTTGCCGGTCCCGGCGACAGCAAGCATGCTATGAGCCGGTCATCAAGTGAGGCTGGAAGAGCTTGGAAGAGTAATCAAGACGAACGCAAACCAAGCCATAAATTGGTTGATCAAGGTTTAGAGTCTCACCCGCCTCAACTCACTGGACTTAAAGCGAGTCCCCCAGCATCCACTCCAGCAGTACAATACGGCCCATTTTTCCCACTGCAGTCACCGTTCCTTAGAAATCACCTGCAACATGGATTGTCTCCTGTTCCATATCAACACTATTCATTCCAGTCACTTCCACCTCCGACCAGCCAATCTCCACAACAACCACACCAAAGTCACCAATTTTCTAATAGCCCTCTGCTCCCGATTGGTTCTCGGAACCCATCACTTGCACAATCTACAAAGAGTAATGAAGCTTCACCTACATTAAGTCAACAGGAGCAGCGTAAAGAGTTTCCAAACATTACCCCCATATCAAATTATCCATCTTCACAGAGTAATATTTTGCCATCAATTTCGAAACTCACTGACCAACTGGAACGTGGCTTGTCAGAAAGGCTGTTGTATCTGGGACTGCTACCCGGAGCATCTTTTCAAAGTACTGGATTGGGAATAACAACACCCATCCAATCACTGTCTCAGCAACTCCCTCGTTACTCACCACGGTTGGGTGTAGCTCAACAGAATGAACTGCATCCTGAGATCAAGTATAATACACCTCATGAAGAACATAAAGAGACAATATCTCACCCGCCAACTCCTGTTGGCGAAGCAAGATCACAGCCACCACCAGCGCCACCGCAATTAGGAAAACTTCGTGCTGACCATAGTGATCCTGAACCCTCACTTTCGGAAAAGAATAAACGATTTCCTCGTCATGGAGTTATCCATCAGTGTCATCTAATTGATCCCTCCACCAACGCAAAGTGTCTCAAAATATTTTATGGAAAGAATGAGTTACTGAGACACCAAGAATTTGTTCATGCAACAAAGAAAAGGATATACAAATGCTTATATTGTGAACGTAGTGGGGCTAGAGTTCAACAATATCCACGCCATGATTCACTAGCACGGCATATTAGAAGAAAACATGGTATAACGGGGAGGGAAAACAAAATGGCTGTTAATTATGCTAAAGAGAATGTTATAATTGTTGATGATGCTGAAGCAATAAACATTCAGTATGCTCCAGAGGAGCCATTGAATAAACTTCAACCTGGCGAATCCATCGGTCCTCTGAGGTCACCGGATTTTCAAGACGAAGAGTCATATGCATACGAAAAGTTCAAAGAAGAAGTGGATCTGGATTTGCGTGAAATGAGGAAAGGTGGTTTTGGGAACCAAATAGCAGTGCAACCGACAAGCCAAGTACCAATTTCGATCCCACTACCCCCAAGAAATCCACAGGAGTCACAAGATTTCAAGAAGCCACAGAGACACATGACACTACTTTATGATCAAGGACGTAAAGCTCATTCACATACTCACCAACAATTTCCTGTTGCCGGGAACCCTTCATTATACCATCATGAAACACTTTCAAACGCGGGGCCAACTAGACAACACGCAGATGATAATTCCAACTCGTCACGTTCGCAAAATTATAGCCCTAGTGATGCAACGAATCGTCTGTTTTCCATATATATGGGCCCCAATTCAGTACCTTCGAGCTATACTAAATCAGGCCCGAATAAGAGTCAGACGTCGCCATCATTGAATGAACCTGGTTCATCATCGGCCGGGGCACCATCACAGAAGCCACCAGCTATGCATCAATTTCAGGGTTCAACTAGCACAGGAAGCAGTGAACATCAGACACAACATCGCGCCAGCTATGATTCACAACGATCCAGTGTAAAACTTCCGCTGATACATGATATAGACAATGAGATTGGACATATTTATCGGGATCGCGGTTGAGAGGGGAAATATATATAGGGCAGGCATTTAGTGAGATTTTGTAAAATATATACATGTATATATACAATTCATTTGCATCTGATGTGATGAAACTTCGCACTGAGTAATGTGATACAATTTGGAAAAGTCCTATATTTTGTTGATGGTGTGTGATATGAAAAGTGGAGAAAGCGTCATTTACCGGAAGAGAAACTGTGTGTGTGTGTAAAAGAAATGACTGCGAAAAAAAAAAAAAAATAAAAATAAAAAAAAAATAAATTATTTTGCGATTTTTCGTTTAAAAGAGAAAGTCGTGTGCGTACAAGAAAACAAACTTACCAGTCATAATCTTAGGCGACTTTGAAGAGACAAAGGAGTTGAGAAGGGCTTTCAATGTCCTTATGTTTCGTTTCAAAGGCATGTCTAAATCTCCTTTTTCTATTGTCAAATTTGTTAAGCCTTGTTAAATCTCCCACCAAAGAAAAAAGGTCGTGTATTATATTACAATTGTTTTTCACAGCCAAAGATTGTACATATTGCACTACTCTGTAAGTATAACAACATTAAAGACTGTAAGTTCGGGTTGTTAGAGCTAAGGGACATATAAATATAAGCTTGGGGGAAATAGGCCCCTGTACAAAGCAAATAGAGGTACTGAGATTAGCTCTGTTTATGTTGTGCTGAACTTAAGTTACGACACAAACCACGTCATATTCGTAACCACCTCTCTTCATTCTTTTACAGCCAAATTATTTTTAAAACTCAATTTTACAAAAGAAAAAAATTAGAAAAAAGAATACCCTAGTTGTTCTTTAGCAAATTATCCTGTCATTTAACCTATATCACCAACTTCACGTTATTACTATCCTCCATATAGCTATCAAAGCGTAGTATCACCTACATTAACTTCATACGCATCAACAGCCACTATTGATTTTCTATTGGTGTTCATTAAAAGAAGTTAGGAAAGAAAAAAAAAGAAAAAGGGGCAAGATTTTTGCAATCAAAATCTTCAACATAGCATTTCCACTTGCACAACCCATCACGTCTCATTAACAGAAATCTAAGCTACGTATTACGCTTGGGTATGTCTATTTCCAGTACAGAGAATTCTACAATAGCAACCATCATTAATTCCATGGATATGCAGGAGACTAAACCACAATCATCAATTTCAAATAGTAATCACCAGATTAAGGATGCAACAATGAAAGACGCAGAAAGTACTGAAGGCTCGTCAAGTGGAGACTCTTTATCTTCAAGTCACGCAAGTAGCGATAACGAGGACTTGGGTGAAGAGAGAAAAAGTCGTGAAGAAGATTCTAGTTCAAGTTTTGCAGCGGCTAGAACAAACTCCCCATCGCCACAAGAGGGTCCAGCTGAATCCATCACTTCAGACGATTTTTCAATAACCCGGCGACATCACACAGGAAGTGTATCATCCAGAACGACCGACATACCAGCAAACAACATGGTATCCACGAATTCCACGGTTCTTGCAAAGCAAACTTTAGTAGAAACGGCACCAACTCAAAATAACGGGTCACTTGATTCAAGAAAAAGGATATCTCAAACTGGTGGTGCCCCATCTGAGTCTGAAAAGGGCCCGGCAGATCCCACAAAGGATTTGAATCGCACCAAGGAGATGCGTACTGATGAGATTGACAAAATTTTCTCACGGTTGAGCAATGCCACGGCATCAAACTCCCCAAACGTTGATAATTTGCTACTTGAACATCAAATTTCTATTTTGATAAAAGCGTTGCCGTTGAGCACAGAGGAGTATGCCAATCATTTGAACAAGATTGCAAATATCCTAGTCGAGGAAAAGTTTGATCCCAAACACACCACAGCTTTGCATAATAAATATCGAGAGTTGATGGACATGGTTGAACAGTTTGTCAATTTTGCCGACCCATTAAAATCACAACTTTATCTTGTTATTGAACGCAATTTCGAAATCATGATGAAAATCTCCACCAGTTACAAATCACTTGAAATTTCGACGCTAACAATTCGATTCTTAACAACCGTGTTTATGAATTTGAATTATTGGGAGTTGTATAACTTGTTAACCTGGAAGCCAGTCATTTATCACTTTTTGAATCTCATAGGTTTGGATATCCACGAATGTTATCAGAGATTTCTCAATGACTATGAATATTATTCGTATGATAAAGTTAAGCAACCATTAGCATTACCTAGATCAAGGGCGAGGGCAAGGAAAAGAAAAATTAGAAAAATGATTGATGACCTGGAAATGACAGCTGAAGAGAAGGAGCGCACTCAACAGTTCTTTTCCTTAAACCCCGATACTGCCGATCACGATAAATATGTTGCTGATATCATTTCCGGAGCCAACAAACAAAAGAGAACTTTCAGACCGGACGTTAAACTAGAACATCACAAGATTATCAAAAAGCCAGTTCATGCACCTACCTACGACAGGGCGGCAGGAAAATCATCCAATTATGATCCTGATGTTGTCCATGAGTGTCAGTTGCCATCAGCTGAAGTACCTCATAAGCTATGTTTGAGGAGATTCTCGAGAAAATACGAATTAATTCGGCATCAAGAAACTGTACATTCTAAAAAGAAGAAACTATTCAAGTGCTTTGTCTGTGTTAAACAAAACCCAGCTGTGGGGCCCAGAATATTCACGCGTCATGACACATTGGCCAAACATATTAGAGTGAATCATGAAATTTTCGGTAAAGAAGCCAAAGCCGAAGTTGCCTACTCAAAGAAGCATGCTGAAGTAGTTGAGGAAGGTGATATAACTGTGCATGTAGGGAGGCGGAAAACAAAAGTTGATTTCGAATTGAGGGCACATATGGAAAAAACGGGAAATGAATCTTTTGGTGGTTACTTGGAGACTAGCGATTTAGAATCTGGAGATGAAGAGGTTGTGTTTAATAATGCCACCCCAGCTTCTTCATAAACGGAAATCTTACAAAGATCGGGCTGTGAATTGGGACTTACTGCTGTTTTTATTCACTTTTATAGTAACCTTATTTCTATAATACAGATGCGATTTCGTACTTTTGTTGATCAAGTATGGCTTGTTTGATCTCTTTGTCGTCAATCTCATCAATAATCTCTTTAGGAACACTAGCCAATCCGGTTATTGGGCGCTTCAAATCTCCACTCTTGAAATAGATATCATAAGTCAATTTATCATCGCCAGTGTCACTACCGACTTTGTCAATTTTAAGCTTGTGGGGTTGCGTCGACGCGGGAAATTGAACAATATTCGTGAACACATCCCTAAATCCATTGGCAGCAACTTGTAGACGCAAATCAGTCAATTTACGATTATACTCTGAAGTTTGCGATGCAATTTGATAAATCCACGTTTCATCAGTTTGATAGTCAACCAAAGTTGCTGGCGCCATTGGAGTTGCATTCCCACCCAGTCCAATACCACCACCACCACCAACACCTCCAGCGCCAATACCTTCACCCAATACATTTGACAATTTGGTCTTGTACAACTCATCAGGATCAGCATATTCACCGGGTATATCACCATTATCAATTGCACGTTGTTCCCAAAAATCATCAATTACTTTCTTTCCCTCCTTTATCATCTTTGCCCCAAATTCTCGAAAAATTGAACGTGCACTAACTAAATTCACGGCTCTACCTTTATACGAGTTTGGAATGATTCCACGATTGATCAAATCTTGCTTTTGATCATTGTCACAAACTCGTTTGAATAATGTTCGATGGGTTTTGAATAGCAAGTATGAGTCTCTAAATCCAACCATACGGGCAGGAATTGTTGATATGACGTACAATCGGTCACCCTCACCGAGAATCTTGAATGTCTTCATTCGAAATTCTCTACCGCCTTTCAAGTATCCCAATTCATCGATTTTTTCTTTACCTTTTGAATCTTCGTTGGGGATGTATACTTCATCGTTTTCAGTACTTAGTGGATTCCCATCAGCATCAAAAACTTCCTCCTCATTGTAGTAGTATTTCTTTTCCTTCTTTTTACGACCTCTTCTTTTCTTGCCGGTTTCAGTTCCATCCTCCCCTGTTTCTGTGGCTGCTGCTCCATCATCATCATCGTCATCGTCCTCTTCGTCCTCATTGTCTTCATTATCGTCTTCATCAACCTCCACCTCTTCCTCTTCTTCTTCAACAACCGCATCTGATTCGTTATCATCGTCGACAACGTTCAGCGCATTGGTCTTCCTCTTCTTGCTTCTTGGTCCAACCTCTGTATCTTCATCCTCTTCGTCATCCTCATCGTCATTTTCTACATTTTTCTTGTCTGCCTCTTCATCATTCTTTTTACCCACATCTCCCTCGTTGTGCTGCTCCTGTGAAGCTCGGTCGACATTAACTAGCTTTTTTTCAATGCTCCTCTTAACCATGTTTTGCGATACCAACTATTCGTTGATGAATGGTATTCTAAACAAATATTCTGTTCAAAATGTTTTTCTTTACATGCAGGATAAAACTATACTACAAAATTGGCGATACAAGCCTATTCATGTATTTTATTCTATCTACAGGGTAACAACTATCAACACAACTAAAAGTCAATTTACTTTTTCTCTTCACCATCGTCCTTCTTCTCCTCATTGTTCTTCTCACTGTCCTTCTTTTCATTCTCTGGCTTTATATTCTTGAACGCATCCTTACCATCAAGATACTTGTCAAAGGCATCATTAGTTTCCGGAAATGGTCTTTTACCCAATAACCTTATCATATCTTCTCTAGTGATGAATTCTTTCTTTAATAATTCTTCAGCCACCAATTTAACCTCTTTAGCTTTTTCGGTCAACAATTGCTTACATTTATCATGACATTCTTTTACAATTCGTTTCACTTCAGCATCAATTTCTCTACTGGTCTCCTCACTGAAAGGCTTAGTCAAATCGTCTTGTGACCTTGTATCGTAATAATTAACCATTCCAATTTTGGGCGACATACCAAATCGTAACACCATTGACTGGGCGATATTGGTAACCTTTTTAAAGTCATCATGTGCACCTCCAGTCACCGAGGCAAAATGTAACTCCTCTGAAACTCTCCCTCCAAGAGTCATAACCATTCTATCGTACAATTGAGCCGTGGACATCAAGTATTGATCAGGTGGTAAGTATTGGGCATAACCTAAAGTACCTTTTCCTCTAGGGATGATCGACACTTTCAATAAAGGATGTGCATGCTTTAAAAACCAACCACAGATTGCATGGCCAGCTTCGTGGAATGCAACAATTCTTTGTTCCTCAGGGTTCAATAATTTAGATTTCTTTTCCACTCCACCAATGACTCTTTCAATTGCCAATTCGAAATGCCTCAAAGTCACAGCGTCGGCATTGAATCTAGCAGCTATCAAAGCAGCTTCGTTACAAACATTGGCAATATCAGCTCCAGAAAACCCTGGAGTTAAAGCAGCCAATCTCCCTGACAAATCACGATCAACGTCCTTTTCCAAAGTAATTTTTCTCAAATGAACATCAAAAATCTCCTTTCTCCCTTGTAACTCAGGGTTGTCGATATGAATGTGTCTATCGAATCTACCAGGTCTCAATAATGCTCTGTCTAAAATGTCGGCTCTATTTGTACCAGCCAATACAACGACGTGGTCAGTACTATCAAACCCATCCATTTCAACCAATAGTTGATTCAATGTAGTTTCTCTTTCGTCATTAGCTCCTGTTGCATTTCCCTTGGATCTTTGCTTACCAATGGCATCGATTTCGTCAACAAACACAATAGATGGTGCATTTTCCCTTGCAGTCTTGAATAAATCACGCACACGTGAGGCACCCACACCAACAAACATTTCAACGAATTCGGAACCGGATACAGAATAAAACGGAACGCCAGCTTCCCCAGCTGTGGCTTTGGCGAGCAATGTCTTACCTGTTCCCGGCGGCCCTGAAAGAATAGCACCACGGGGGATCTTGGCACCCAATCTCTCATATTTATCAGGATTTTGTAAAAAGCTCACAAATTCGGTAACTTCTTGTTTAGCCTCAGCCATACCAGCAACATCCTTGAACTTTGTCTTCACTTCAGTTTCTTGATTAAACTTTTTAGCAGTAGATTTTCCAAAACCCATAGGTCCCATTCCACCCATTGAGGAAGCAGCCTTTTTTGTCATCCAATAAATTGCACCCAAAAATAGAACCGTTGGCAAAAAGTTGATCAAAAATTTGGTTGTGTTACCTTTGGTCGTGTAGACAACTGGAACTCTCATCTGTGGGGGGATATTGTACTTGTCTTGCGCTTCCCTCAAGTTGCGTTCAAACGTTTCCACTGAACCTATGCTGAAATGTAACTTGTCGGTGTGATTTTGACGTAAACCGTTCTCATTCAATTCCAAGTACGCAACAGAGTTGTTAACCACAATAACCTTGGACACCATATTTTTGCTTAAATAATTGGCAACAAAATCTTGAAATGTAATTTCTTTACCGTTGTCACTGTTAGTATAAGTGACGAAAAAGACAACAAGTAAGATTAAAGCAACAGCTTGAGCCATTTGTTTGGGTGTGAACTCAACTTCAATGTTGATTGGCCCTTTACCCTTTTTACCGCCCTTATTCTGATTCTTGTTATTTTCATTTGCTTGTTTGAAAAACGTGGAGAATAAATCACTGCTATTGTGCCTTTGCTTCAATACTTGTTTGAGCTTTTGAAAGTCATTGATGATTTGGTACTCGTTTGGACAAAGTGCAAATGTCTTTTTCCCATCAACAGCAAATGGAGTTGCAAGAAGTGTGCTAAATATTTTGAACCAAAGTTGAACTGCTTTTGGATTGATGTTCAAATCGCGAGCTACATCAGAAGGATTCAAATCTTCGGTCTCTGTCGTTGCTTTGTCAAATTCAGTTAACAATTTCTGTACATCCATATTGCTAAACTTTAATTGATCCAAGTATTCCAAATTATTGGACAAAACATAGTAAATACGAACGGTTTGTAATATCTCATCCTTGGTCAATGGCGAGAAATTAGGGTGTTGTCTTGTGAATGTATCTTGGATATCCTTTATCTCCTTCTCGGCCACGTTGTCCTCCAACAATAAAATCCCACCGGACTTTTCAAACTCGTTGCATTTCCGTTCAAATTCACGTAACATAAACTCGTAAACAACAGACATTCTGTCAAGATATCTTATATCAAACGGATCGATAGGAAGCTGAATCTCGGGAAGCGTTGCAACCGGTAGGTCCTGACTCTTGAACATCTTTTCAAACTTCTGTCTTACTTTCTTTAATTGAGCCTCGTAGTCATCAGAATTGTTGTTCTTCTGTAGGAAATATGAGGACGAGTGGAAGGATCTCCTCAATATAGGCGCACATCTAGGTACACTACGTCTTAGGACATTCATCACACTCCTCCTACTTCGTGGTATGAGAAAGCTCATCGAGACTGAGATAGATGTATTGTATGGATAGTATTATGTTATCAGGTCACTTGGAATCGTCGTTTTGCCTCTCTGAAAAAAAAAAAAATAAAAGCTGAAGATTTTGATCCATGTTACACGCACTTCTGCCTTGTATGGACTCTCAAAAGTCCTTTTTTTGCAGCAATTAGTAATTGCTAATAGAACAGTAAAAAAATGCTGTAATAAAGTGACTTCTTGAAATTTTAATGCAACTTAAAGAACTATATGCTACGATTACTTAGGTCTATTGAAATCGAGGTGCCATGCTCCTCATCTCTCTAGCTCCTCGACGGCTACTTCATCCTCAGTGTCATCATCTATCAAAATACTTTCATCCATATCGTACATCTCACCCACAAGTCCCTTCACAACAATCATGATCTCATCCAATCTATTGTATATCATATGTGCAATCAACAATGACAAGATGTTCAATTGTCCATCTCGACTGAAAAACTTGTTGTAATCTAGATGTTCTGTCAAAGCATTATGACCACTTTCGTCGACATTAGTTTTAAAGTTGTAAAATCTCTCACTCAATGAGATTTTGTTAATACCCCACTGTCGACGCAACAACTCCATATGTCTTAATGAAACATTCGCTTCTGTAATTTTGGGCAACGCATCTTTTGTCTTTATTGCGTCTGAAGCCATATGGATGAGAGAAAAGAGTTCTGCATCCAACTCAGAATAGCAAAATCCAACACGTTTCATTATTATCGGTACCCAAGTTGCTGGATCCTCGAGCTCATTCAAAGCAATCAACATCATCAAGTACAATTGCACCGTGTCACCAATTAACCCTTGAAGTCGTAAATATTTCGATTCTGGCCAGTATCCTGAAATAGGCAATTCAAATTTCAACGGAACTAAAAGTTTACTCAACAGCGAGATCCTCATAAAGTAATACCTGAATCTAGCCAAAAGAAGGTCATGCCTCTCCTTAATATGGTAAGAAGGGTCGTTACTTCTTTTTACAGCAAACTTGGAAATATCACAGTGGATATTACCAACCTCAGATAATGAGGATCCCAAGATTTGTCTCACAATAAACTTTGAGGACTTGGGCTTAGGGAGCACTGCTGTCAATGACCCTATACATAACCCGATGACAACTCCGATAAATCGCAAGTAAGCTGGCTCCCATCCATAACCGACATTCGCAGCTTTTCCTCCATTAGCATCTAGCCATGATGTTCCCAATACCAAAATTGTAGTCACGCCAAGCAAAACTTGAGGTAGCAATGTCAGGTGCACAGAAAAATGTCTGAAAAATATCAAGTAAAGATAAACGACACCACTAACAGCACCGTAACCATAATAATTACCAGCGCCTTTTCCACATGAAATATACCAGCAGACAAGTCCAAGTAAACACCCCGCAAATGTGTAAATAAGCTTTGAAATGAACACATATGTGGTTTGGCCCGTACTCTCACTAATGGAAACAGCAATCATAATAACAAGCCAAACCATTCTTATGTTGTAGTACCAATTTGCTGTAGTTCTTACAAAGTATGGTGTAGCACCAAGGCAGATCAATCCACCCGCACGAATCCAAAACCAAAATTTGTCGGATATCAAAAAGTAAAATGCCTTGGTGATATAGAGCCCAATGTATTGACCCAAGTTGGCTGGAGGCAAATTATCAGCATCTCTTCTCTGCGTTTCTTGCCGCAAATAATCGGGAACTTCTCCGTCAAGATCACTAGTTAAATGACGGGGTTTCGAATACTTGGTCTTTGTAAAATACGATATAAATGTGGGCGTGGGACGCTTCTCATCCAAATCGATAAGAAGATCAATTAGTTTGACAATGTTATCACACTGGTGTCTAGCGATTTGAAGAAACAACACGCCTTGACTAATGAGGAACAAAAGCCATTCCTCACTACGACTGTTGTCGAGCATCATGTTCTTTAAAGTATCAACGTCTTCGAATTTGGCAAGTAATTCCAAAATCTCCTTCTTTGTTTGTTTCACCTTTTCCGCCATTTCTTTTTGTTTTGCAACATGCTTTTTATATTCCCACGGCACTAGAGCAAAAAATCTAAAGTTGTTTGCAGCAGCAACCCATTCAAGTATTACCTCTAGTGCATTGTCCGATACTTCCAATAAAGGACTAAGTTTGTCTGTGAGTATTTTAGCAATTTGATCAATCTCATCGGGTGACAACCTATGCCCTCGTCCATGATATGCAATTCGATTTCGCAATGTCTTTACACGTTTCCTGTTTTCGTATTCACCAACTTTTCTGTAGGAATCTTGGAATGCACTATAAATCTTGGCGTGTCCATGGGTCAAGGAGGACACAGTTGACCTACGCCTGGGCATATGGAAATCATCTTTGGCAAAAAAAGTCCGTTCCTGTAACAATTGGAAAAAATGAGCGTAGCTTGCAGTAGATGTAACCAAGTTTTTAGCCAAAGATCTAAATTGCCCAACATCACCGACGTCGAACCTCCCATAAGAATACTCTAACCAAATTGTGGATGCGATAACCTCCATCGGTGCCATTTTGCCTCGAATGCTTGTCATTTCCTTCTTGAAAGCTTTATAGTTGGCAAAATTTGGAGCTGAGGGTTTCATTGTTTTGAAAAGACGCATATTCTTGGCTGAGGCTTGCTTTAATTGGGAGAGAATGCCCTGTGCACCAGCAATGTATCTAAAGTTGGAAGTCAGTGGGAACACAAAAAAAGCTGCTCCAACTTTCAAAAGAAGGGCACACCCAACAGGTCTCAACACAGTGTATCCCATATCCAACGGCAGGTACAACGGTGAAAAATGTCCATAACATGAGAAAATCACATTCCCTATCTGGCCAATGATATAACACGAATTCCAAAACGGGTGGATGCCTCTAATGTTGCCCAAGATGACTGTGTTTGTTATCATTGAAATCATTGTTATGACAACAGCACTCGTTTTGATGTACCTCCCACTATAAATCTGATCAATCACACAGTCTTGAAGCTCAGAACCCATTTGACAAACACCTTCATTTATCAAGTTTTGCACTAACTGCAGCTGTGTAATTCCGCCGTGTAAGTCATTGATAATCTTGGATCTAACAACATGGTGCACAAAGGAAATCAACACCCCAATCAACATAGCCAAAGCAATCAAAACATTTTGAATAATTGATGTGCCACCAGAAATACCGATAAACGACACAATCAAAGCCAAGTAAGGTGCGCCTGAGAGCCAGTTGCTTGTCTTTGGTACAATTGTTAAAATTGCCGCAGAGAAAATCTGAGCCCAGCTCTGTAGCACCACTTTTAATGAGTTGTAATTCAAATGTTTTAAGACGTAATCAGGATATAAGACGTCATAAACCTTTCTCCATAAAGGTTTTTTTCTTACTGGCTCTTCTGTTATGATAGTAGATCCAATATTTCGATTATCGCCCTCGGGATAGTATTCATTGCAAATTATCGTATTATCATTGTGCTCTTCATACTTGGAGTTAAATGCGATTGGGTTCTCTCTATTTGTTGGTGATGTTCTTGATGCAGCCGACGAAGAAATTGAACTCAAAGAGATGCTCTCCTGTTCATCTCGTGAATTAGGCATTAAGAGCTATATTTGAATCAAACTGTAGTAGCGGCTTTATGCTTGGGTAGTTTCTTTAGACTAACGGTAAGACAAACGCTTCCAGGTATGAAGCTCTGTTTCTGTGTGTGTATGTACTTGAAAATTCTATAGAAGGGCTTACTTTATATTGTATGATGTTTATAATTCCGGTTGATGTACCGTTAATTACGTAATCAATGTTACTATGGTGCGGACATTTGCTCTTATATCCACTTCAGCGAGGCTTTAAAAAAGACTTCTAACCGACAAACCGTTAAAACTGGATTGTTATGCATTTTTTTACTTGCGATTTATTCATGAGGTCAATCTCGTATCCAACTGGCCGCTGAATGAGTATACGGCGCTTGGGAAGTTTTCCGTATTGTGATTGACTTGTGGAGAGATCTCTAGCGTAAATATATCCCGTTTTTGTGTTCTTGCAAGAAAAGATGAAAATCCCTGGAACGAATCATAGCTAGGGGGTGGTGAGAAAAAGGAGTATAGCTTTCTACGCTCGACACGTTAAATATCTACTGAAATGAGATCCATGTGTTTCGATGCCTGATGGCTGTCGAATTTGAACTTCTACATGTCGCGTGACTTAGTCTAAACAATTGCAAAACAAAACCACACCAGTCTGAAAACCACAACTACCAAGTAACAACCCAAACAACATCTTTCATATCCAAACTGTGATGAAAGTGGAGAACTGGACTCAATCATTCACATGTCACAATTATTAATAAAACAAGCGCCATATTTTGTGCGGCGCAATTATGCGAGCCACACGATTACTCGGGATTTGCCGAAAAGTGTATCTTGAGTATAAATAACCCAGATAATTTTCATTTCTTGTTACCCAAACTAGCTTCACATTCAACTCCACACAGCTTACCATATATACGATTCACCAAAACATGGCCAAAGTTTTAACAGAATCACAATTCCAATCCCAGATCGTTTCCAAGTATGTCGATGTTATCGGTGAAAAATTAGGTGGAAAAGTTCACTCATTCTCAGACGAATGGTTTGCTCAAGCTGGGAACTTGATAAAACCAAAGGCACCAATTAGAGATGCCACGAGATTTACCTACGCGGGCGCATGGTATGATGGATGGGAAACAAGAAGACATAATGAACAAGAGGCAGATTGGGTCATTTTCAAATTTGGTGTTAGTTCAGCAAACTTGATAGGGTGTGAGGTAGACACCACGTTTTTCAATGGTAATCATGCACCAGCAATTTCCGTTGAGGCGGTTCAGATCTTTGATGATGGAGAGTTGGCCAAACTTGATGAAAAGGATTGGGAACCTGTCATACCCAAAACCGAATGTGGCCCCAGTCAAAAGCACTTTTTTGCTAGAGACAAACTTACTGCAAAGAACTACACTCATGCCAGATTAAGAATGTATCCAGATGGAGGCATTGCCAGATTTAGGTTGTACGGACATGTTGTGCCAGTCACCAAAAACACTGCCGAAGTGATTGATTTTGCATCAGTGAAGAACGGAGGTGTTGCAATTAAAGTTAGCGATCAACACTTTGGTACTGCTGACAACTTGTTGTTGCCTGGAAGAGGACATGACATGAGTGATGGTTGGGAGACAAAGAGGTCCAGAGAACCGGGCCACACTGATTGGGTCGTGATAAGATTAGGAGCTCCTGCTCAATTGCAAAAGGTTGTCATCGACACTGCTCACTTTAGAGGCAATTTCCCACAAAAGGTCAATGTGAAGGGAGCTGAGGTCAAGGATGAAAATGACATTGATAGTGCTGATTGGGTCACTATTATACCAGACTCCAAAACCAGTGCAGACAAAGAGCATGAATTCGACGTCAAAAACAACGATACCTTTTCACATATAAAGGTGACAATTATTCCTGATGGTGGAGTAAAGAGAATTAGAGCATTTGGTGTGAAAGCCTGAGCTTTCGTTAGTCTCACTTTATAGTATATACACGTATCTCCGGAGTATTTGCATCAAAATAACAATTTGCCTCAATTTTGCCTAGACTCCCTTCTCGAATAGCAATACCCCATCTTTTGGGGAACCACTTTTCTAGCTCTTTTTCCCATAAATTGATTGTGTCTATGTTTCTCACTGTTGCAGCGATTACTGCGCATTGTAGCAGTTTTAGGTTGAAGAAGTCATCTATGGTTCGACATAGTGGTTCTAGTATTCTCAGATCGTACGTTATATCAGCAGCGACAATAACTTCCACGCTGCCCTCAATCGTCAAAGGCTCACCCCAAATAAGTTGCTGAAATTGAAGCACTTTTAAATCTTGTAGACTATTGCTCCTCAACGTCTCATTTATGTTGTCAAATACTGTACCTGAACCGTCAGTCATAATAACCCTTTTCAAAGGTGATAACCTTTTATGGTGATGCTTTGCTAATGAGAGTCCTAGTAGTCCCGTACCACATCCGAGCTCAACAACAGTTTTGTCTGTCAAATCAAAAGGCAAAATTTTAGAGCATGCCTCATGGACATTGAGAATATTCGATAAGTATAAAGCTGCCTCCCATGTACGTAAGCCCGTTGTATTGTTCCCAGATATTAATTTTGGCATCTCCTTCATCACTACCACATCATCATCACCAAAAGAGTCTGTATTGAAGCCACTAATATGATACTTGATCATATCTGGAACATCTGGTGGTAACTCTTTTGCATTGAGAATTTTTTCATCCACGTATAACTCGTAAAGCTCGTCAGAAGTCTCTTCGTTCAACTCCTCAATCTCGTTAATATACTTTGAGAGGAGCTTCCTAAAGTAAAAGGGATTATTTTCAATTTGTGGTTTAACAAAATCAACGAGCTCCAATTGTGAAGCGTAACTGGTTAGTTCATTTGGTATATGGATGTTCTTGATAGGTACTCGCTGCTCAATCAATATTCGTAGCTTGTTCATAGTAAGGAAGAACAGATTTTTGCAGACGGTGTAGAGGGAAAACCAGTTATCCTGTATATAACTCTTGTCCAATTATATGGGAACAAAAATTTCATAATCCGAACGAACGAAAAAATTTGTTGCATAGAGAGAGACTAAACACGATAAAATTTCAACAACAACAGAAAGGTGTTTACACAGTTTGCTTTTAGATTGTACTATTCACACATATTCTGGTCTACACACATAATGTCATCACTTCCAAAATTCCCATTCCCAGTTTTGAAGACTTACTGGCCATACGCCGTTGGAGGTATGTAAATTTTGGTGTGGAGACCGCTACAAATTGGTTAGTTTTGCATTGGTCGATGGGCACTGGGGGCGTAGAAAAATAACAAGGTGATGATCAATTGCGATGTTGTTTTGTCAATGATACACGTGAGAGCTCACCGTTTCAAGCAATTACTCGATTGAAGGACATGTTTTGGGGAGAAACGCTATCTAGGTCATGCTATTTATTTGTCCTCGCTTCAACGACCAATAATGCTTCTTCTCTTTCAAAAAGCAGATTTTACTAACTATGTAAATACTAGCTGGTGTTACATATTATTTGATCTACAAAGCATCGATTGCTTCAGCCAATTCTGATGAATTCATTAACGATCCAAGAAACCCAAGATTCAAAAACGGAGGAAAATTCATTGACTTGAACAAGAAGGAAGAAGCTCACTAGGTCTGATAGAGCAGGGTTTTAAGCTGATAGATGCGGGTTAGGCTATATAGCTGAGTCCATCGAAAATTGTTTTATACAGGGTAAACACAGGTAATACACATTTAACAAGTTACGAAAAAAAAACTGATTCATGAACTCTAGTAATAATGAAGTGATCTCTATAATACCTTTACTAGTAGCTGTTTATCCTCCCATGATGCCTTCCCCAAATGCATCCAATTAAATGTGCCCATTATGTAAGAGAGCCATACGATATATGCGCTACCGTGTTGATTTCTAATATCCTTAAAGGTCATCTTTCACATTCTTTCCTCTAATTTGCATTTAATAGATCACTTTTGGACCAAAAAATTTTGCAACAATCTCCTTAGTGGCGAAAGACCTATTGAATCAAATCGACTACTACCTTCCCATCAAAGATGATGTTATCGAGAACTTATTTTATTCGAAACATAAATGCTAACTTGGCCAGACGCCTACTCCACATCAAAACAGCATCTACTCCTAACGAAAACGCCTTGAAATTCATCTCGCCAGATAAGCCTATCTTACCCATCGAGAATACCACATTCGAATTCACATCGACGTTACAAGCCATCCATTCTCCATTGGCGTTGCAACTATTCAAACTTCCTGGCATTAAATCAATATTGCTAGGACCCGACTTTTTGACAGTGAACAAGTTGGACAATTACGACTGGCATGAGCTATCACAAGAAGTTACTGACACTATGAAACAATTCTTGGATCACAAAGATGCCAAGCCAGTTATCACGAATGAACTTGTTGAGAAAATTCAACAAGATAAACAAGCGTTGGAAGATGAAGACGAATCCGATATTGTACTGATGATCAAGGAACTTATTGAAACAAGGATACGTCCTGCTATTCAAGATGATGGCGGGGATATTGAGTACAAAGGTTTTGACGAGGAAACTGGAACTGTATTTTTAAAATTACAAGGTGCATGTAAATCATGTAGTGCTAGTGAGGATACGCTAAAAAGTGGTATTGAAGGCATGTTGAAGCATTACATAGAGGAGGTTCAAGAAGTACAGCAGATCTTGGATCCAGAAGAGGAGATAGCCATGAAGGAATTTGAAAGATTGGAGTCACAGTTGAAAGGAACCAGAGAAAATGCAGTCGATGAAGGACCGCCATCGTTATAGGAAAGCTAGAGCTTTGTATTTATTAATTAGAGTTTATTTATTCCAGCAGGTAACTTTCTTTCTATGTCACGTAGAATCTTTTGACGAATACTGTTTTCATTCTCAATTCTAATCACTTGTTCATTCGATTCTTTCATGAGTCCATTGTCGATACATTTGCTTCCCACAGTGACTCTCACTTCTTCGAATAACTGGTTCATCCACTTGTTCATGAAATTAATCCAGTCTCTTGACACCTGATTGAATCCCAAAATCCATCCCAAACTGCACAATGCTATGCATGCATTCCCGCTGAAATCGAAAAACTGGTAAGACAATGCAGCGATGACTGATATGGGCAATTGATAGTAAACGAATGCTTTAGATAGAACCGAATACACCTCAGGCTGTACTTCCAGACTAACTCGCCTGTTGATGACTTCATTTTTTAACTCTAAGAGTGGGTTTTCCACTACTTCATCAGTTGAGAGAATCTTTCCTCGAAGAAAGTTGTAGTTTTCAATTGCCTTATTCATGAATTGATTGTTGAGGAAATCTTTCAAGTCGTACTCAACATTGTCATTCTTGTAGTATAATTTCCACCAAGACAATTTTTTTTGAACATAGTTGGTGGTTTCTGGAATAAATTCGTATTGGAGTTCCGAGTTCACCATTTGTCCAAAATTTTCAATCTCGGATTTGACCACGTCTGAACCCTCGCTTATAACGGTATTTGCCCTTTTGATTTTGCTCAGAATGGTTTGAATGATCTTTGCCAAATACCAGGAGGTTAAGTTGTCTGTCCTCAGAAAGTGATCAACAAATTTGAATAGTTCGTAGACGTTGCTTTTAGTCATGCTCTCTATGTATTCGTCAGCGGCATGAACATCCCTTTGTATGAACTGGACAATACCATTGTATGCAAGATTGCTGTTAATTTTAATTAGATGTGTCTGTATTCCGTCCTCGATTGAAAGTGGTGACAGTTCGGTACTTACTGGTGAGTATTCGGTATTGTCAATAACTTGTAAAAGAAGTCTATCTTTTATTGACGAAGGCAAACTTGTCGTGACATAATTAAATTGAGGAGTAACATAGACGACATATGTGCACTCGTCAACGGCTTTTTCCAACTGCGCGGCATTTTCATACTCCTCTATAATCAAGTCATTTGCAACGTCAGGAGCTTCCCTTTTGAATGTATTTCTGTATAGACCACTGAGGATTGGCGACGGTATTCGGTACTCCAAATCATCTTCATCTACTAGGTCCTTTGCATACTCTCCAAAGAAGAACCTCGCCAACCCATGTCTTTTTCTTATTCTCTCGAACCATACTTGATTGTTGGACGCCAATGGATCAGCTAACAAAACTTCCACGATTTTGGAATTTCGACGCACCTTCGCTGATTCATACAAGACAGCTACCTTGAATACTTGCGGTTCATGCCTGTTTTGTAGTAATTGTTTGAGAGTTGTTATGTCTTTGTTTAATGCCTTGTCCTGCGGAAAGCTACTTTGGTAATTGCTTAAATTGTAAACCAAAGTGTTTGACTCAAATGTCGCTTTCTTGTGAGTGGAAGCCTGTGAGTAAAGCTTAGTGCCCTTGCCCGAAAACGTAAAGCGTAGACGGGTTCTTAAACAATGCAAACCCCCTATTTGCGATGACTTTAATGATGGAAACATGTAATTGTTCCTCCACCGATGAGCGCTATTGCAGCAATTGAGATCTGAAGTCGGGAAGAACTATTGGTTAATGAAAAAAATATATATATACGGCGCGGGATTGGTAGCGGAGAGCTGGTATGCCACAGTACACACACATTCGTAGTACCCGTCGCTATGTTCAACTCAGAGCTGACCACCCATGTTATCGCTGGATGGAGTATTGTTGTTTGACATGTCAGTTTGCAGCTAACTGCTCTTGCTGTCATTATGTTCCATGTGTTACACGAGTGTATTGCGCTGGATATCAGACAAACGCGAACTAAAAAAAAAGCGGAATTGTGAAATCGATCACCTTACTTCTTGAATCTTCTCCTGTTTAAGACACATCTATTTAAATACGCAAGTCAGAGACAATTCAGAGGGCCTCTGCCAGATTCAATAAGGACTCATTCCAAATCCAAACCGATACGACACAAGCCACTCATTACCGAAAAAAGATGCACCCCGCAATCAAATCCTCCATACAAACATTCAAAAAGTATCTCACGTTCATAGGACCAGGTTTGGTGGTTTCAGTTTCCTACTTGGATCCGGGCAACTACTCCACCTCAACTTCTGGTGGATCAATGTACCAATATAAACTATGTTTTATCATTTTCATGTCAAACATATTTGCAGTCATTTTGCAAACACTATGCGTAAAGTTGGGGACCATAACTGGGCTCGATCTAGCTGAAATGTGTCGTTTGAACTTGACTCCCAAATGGAACTTGTTTATGTATTTGTGTGCTGAAATTGCCATCATTGCTACAGATTTAGCTGAAGTGGTTGGAACGGCAATTTCCTTGGAGATATTATTCGGTATACCCTTGCTTTATGGTGTTCTTATAACAGTTCTCGATGTATTGATAATCTTGATGGCATACCACAAAGACGGATCATTGAAGCAGACCAAAGTGTTTGAGATCTTGGTATCTATCTTGGTCATGGCCACGTGTATTTGCTTTATTTTGGAGTTGTTCAAGTGTCCTTTTGAGCCTGGTGCGGGATGGGAAATCTTTAAAGGATTTCTCCCTGTGAATAAGGAAATATTCAAGGAAAAGAATGCGTTGTTTTTAAGCTGTGGGATTGTGGGGAGTACAGTGATGCCACACTCCTTGTTTCTTGGATCTGCTTTGGTTCAACCAAGATTGAAAGATTTCGACGAAAAAAATGGAATGAAAGAAGAGGTTATCATCGATTCAGATAATGAGCAGGCAATTGTTATATCTTCAAACACAAATATGACTGAAACATCTTCGGATTCACCAGCCACGCCAATGTCAAGATTGAGAAGCTTGTCCAATGGATCTATGCTTGTGAGAAAATACAAGCCCTCATACGAAGCGATAAAGTATTGTTTGAACTATTCGTACGTCGAGTTAGTATTATCCTTGTTCATTGTCGCGGTATTTGTCAACTCTGCCATATTGATTGTGGCTGGAGCTACACTCTATGGCAAGCCCGATGCTGCTGATGCCGACTTGTTATCTATATACGAAATGTTGTCCCGCTATATTTCGCCAGCTGCTGGGTTGTTGTTTGCATTGAGCATGTTGTTTTCAGGCCAGAGTGCCGGGATTGTATGTACTATGGCTGGCCAAATAGTTTCTGAAGGGTTCATAAACTGGACGATTGCTCCATGGAAAAGAAGAATTATGACAAGAGTCATTGCAATTGTGCCAGTAATCATAGTTATTGGCATTCTTGGTCGTGAAGGTGTCAACAAAGTAATGAATTCCTCGCAAGTTGTGCTCAGTTTTATCTTGCCAATAGTTAGTGCACCATTGATTTATTTCACTGGTAAAAAAAAATTCATGGTGGTTTACAAAACCAGTGGCTCGTCTGATGAAACAAGTCCACTACTCTTGTCTGGTGAAGAGAGCAATGTTGCATCCAAGCCAATCACGTACGAAAATGGCAAATTTTTGCAAATAACGAGTATCCTCACATGGATTATTATTACAGCTCTAAACATCTACTTAATTATTGCATTCGCTAATGGTGCAGACATATAGTAATCCGCCAAAGAATAAACGACATTTTCTTTACCGGTCTAATGAAGTCTTCTTCTTCCACGAGTACCAGATGACCGCAAGCTAGGCAACCTGCCTGGTCTTGTCAAATGATTTGCTGTGAGTGGTGGTCCCAATCCCGCCAATGACCTCGATGCAGGCATACCTGGTAAAGTACCATTATATTCGCTAGTTAAAGTTGGAATTTTATTACTAACTTTGAATCCCAAGCCGTTTGGTCCAACATTGTACAACTTCATAGCCAATAAAATCAATTGTTGCACGCACCTATACAATTGTTTTTCTTCATCATTGGGTGGGAGAATATTTCCAGCGTCGCTTTTAAAGTACCTTTCTTGACGCAACTTGTTGAGTTTCAACAAGGAGCTTGAAATTAAGCGTTGTAATTTTGAAGGTTGCAACAATTCCTGACGATGAGTTTTTAAAAACTTTAGACTTTTCATTTCAAGTGGATCCCATTTCAACAAATTGGTCAAGCTTAGCACAGGTGAATCTTTCTCACTTTCATTCTCATCTTTGATTTCAACATCTTCCTCATTGGTGGTCTCTTCAAGCTTCAATTCTTCTTCTCGGCCATTCTCAACCTCCCTTGAACCTTCCGGTTGAGTGACTTCCAATTCTTCGACTTCTGTGTCCTCATCCATCTCATCACCATCACGCAAGAAGCTCTTCTTCAACTTCTCAATTTCAGCAAAACCAATGTGTTGCAACCATATATTGGCTTTGAGTCTGTCGGAAACTACTGCACCTTTGTTGTCTTTACTGGGGGCAAAGGATTGATAATTATGACCCTGACCCCAAGAAGAACTGGCGCCTCCTTTGTCAATGTCATGACTTCGTAACAAGTTCAACGTTGGTGGTTCGTTCGACGCAATTGGAAGGTCAGCATATTGAGGCAAGCTAGGACTTGGTCTCAAAGTCAATGCTTTGTATGTCAACCAATTGGGCATGGCAACAGTGTACCATGTAGGATGGAAAAAATCGTGCAAAATATTAGCGGGTCCTTCCAATGGTGGTGGGATTGTAGCACTAGATGGGGAGGTGTTTTCCAACAAATTGTTCGAACTAGAATCCTTTATTGTAGGTACGACTTTTGTTACGCTGAATGGCTCTGGAACCAAAGTAGGTGTTGTATCTAGGCTTGATTTGGATATGACTGAAGAGAACAACGGCTGGATTTTTTGTTTAACTGGTGGTGGATGATGTGGATTATAGATGCTAGAGCGACTTTGATAATCTTCCTCTTCTGTTTTCGAAATGTAGGTTATAATTTCCCCATTAGTAAGTGTGTATGTGGTCAAAATCTTGTTGAAATCGTCCTCAATTTGGGATTCTAATTCGTTGTCGATATCGTTCGACTTAATTGATGTACTTTGAACAAGTGTTCCAACCTCTCTTAGTAACAATTCAGTGGAAAATTTGTAAAAAAAATCAATTTCCTTGTACTTTTCTGACTTTTCACTTTCTTTATTTAACAAAATTGACGAGATTGCTTTGATATCATGAAACAACTTGTATGGCGAAGTGTTGTACTTACCATCTTGATATTGTTGGGATAGACTAGTCAACTCCTTTGCGTCATTTCCCTCCAATGAGGAAATAATGTTGGCTGGATTAGGCTCATGAAAATTCTTTGGCAAAACCTCTTCGGTAATTACATCATTGTTGGTATACTGGTAGACAGTGAATAAATCTGGTAATATTTGGCTAAAGTCTTTGTGAACTGAAAAAGGTGTTAGTACTTTTACTATGTGTGTGTGTGTGCATTACACGTCAGCAAATAAAACATACTTCCTGAGCCACCATTCACGTAATCTTTTGTCATATTTGATTTTATTTGATTTTTGTAGACAAAAGTGTTGTTGTTACTCGAAAAAATAGATCAAACTGATTATGGATATGGAAAAGACGAAAAGTTGTAGGAAAGTTGTGTTTTGGTATTAAAACCAATTTTTATTTTTTTTTCTCTTTCTTTAATATGAAGAAGAAGAATGATTTCTTTTTCTCTCGTTCTCTTTTTTGTGCACTTTTACACGCCTATGGTGAACCAACTATTGCCCAGTTCTTTTACCTTCGTCACTTTGTTGGGGTTGCAACCAACCATTGAAGCGAAAGTGGAAAGCAATTTCTCCGTAGGACTTCCTTTCCTACTGTTCAAAAGAGCTGTGCTTTTCCAGAACAACACATCTTTGTTCTTTTGTGACATTGGGTGAACTCTCTTGAGCACTTTGTCTCTTGGGACAACCACCTTCTTATCGTACACTCTTAGCTTAACCTTCGATGATCTCCTTTTGAAATAGCTTATTTTAGTCAAAAGAAAAGGATTGTAAACATTAATTGGTACCCCGCTCTCTTTCCCAGGCATTTCCAGTATACTCTCTTCAGGCAAGATTGAAGTTTTGCTAACATCCTCGTGATACTCTTCATCCGTAGACTGGTAAGTGTCATCAAAGCTCTCCTCATAAAATGAAAAGCTCCAATTGTTACATGAGATACTCATTGTGATTGCGGGGATAAAAGGCTGCCGTTTCAGATCAAAGGGATGGGGAAAGGGGGGGATGGGAGAGATTTAACACAACAAAAGTTTTGCAACCACACAATCAGAACAAAAATTCCAAACGTAAAGAAATAAATATTATTTACTCGTATGTGACATCAATACTTCAAGTCTGGATACTTGGTTCGAAAGTTCATGTGTCAAGTCGTCCTTGTGTCTTTCTCTCTCTTCGATATCAACAAATTCTCTTCTGCCTCGTACGATCCAGTCACAGAAGAAGAGTACAAACACGACACCAAACACAGCTGATGAATAGTTCATGTTACCAGCATTGACAGGCATTACCGATGGAAAGTTATAAAACACTGTAGTAAATATAGTCCAAATAACAAGTACAATGTTACAAACCAAGCCAACCTTGTTTAACCAAAATGGTCCATGTTGTATTTGATTTCTTTTGAAAATGAGGCAAAGTGTAGGAACCATATAAGACAATAACAAAAACATGACACACGATACAAGGATTGAGTTGAATGCTGTGTCTGATCCCAAGTAGATGCATCCAATGACACCAACCCAAAAGCATGACAAGAAATGTGCATTCACAGTAGTGCCTGTCTTGTGGTTCACTTGTGCCCAAAACTTGGAAAATGGCAACCCATTGTCCCTTGCAAATCCCCAACATATTCTTGCCGACCATGTATGGCACCCTATGTTGCATCCGACAGCGGTCACAATCACCAAGATTCCCAATCCAAGGGCGGCAGCTTTGGAGTCAGTTGCTTGGTGTAGTATATCCAATATCGGGATACCAGTGTTTGATGTCAACACCGCTTCTAAGTTCCTTATGCAAAAGAATATGGCAATGCAGTACGAAAATGTTGTAACAAAGCCAATGATGACAGTACTAATAAGTGCTATGGGAATGTCCACAGCAGGATTGAGTGATTCCTCCGCAATGTGTGTGGCTGCATCTAATCCATTAAAACTCCAGTTGGGATTAATCAATCCAACAATAAATGCAATGCCTGCTGAGCTCCATCCTGTTTGGTTTTGAAAGTCAACAAATACAAACTTGGCGCTCTCAAAGTCTCCTTTATGCATGGCCAACACCGTGATAATTATAATAATGAATGACAAAATCGAGATACCGAGAGTTCCCACGAATATAGTTGGCAAGGGACGATCATAGATGTTGAATAACAGGACCAAGATGTTGAATATCTCATATACAACAAATACTTGCCACTTGTGAACCACGAATGTAGGACGAAACAAGGCATACATTCCAACGATGCCCACTGAGATTGTGACCGTGATACTTGCAGAGGTGAACACAGACCCAGCCCATGACAACACCCCAGTAATGTAGGCCAACAACCTTGAGTATTTACGTGGCGCCAACTTCATTGTCCAATATATTTGTCCTGATGCATTGGGGAATGCGGAGGCCATCTCTGCCAACGTCAACACGACACACATTGAAAAAAATGAAACGATTATGATTCCATACACAATCATCATGGGTCCCCCGGAAGCAATACCTGTGATTAAAGATCCACTGATACCCGCCCACGAATTGGTAATACCAAATCCAACTCCAATCAATGATAGCATGTTAAAGTTCCTTCTTAATTCTGGTGCATAACCGGTCTCAGTCAGAAATTCCAAATTAGCTTGGGCTTCCTTCAAGGCTTTAGCTGCTTCCTCATCATTTACGATTGCAATATTATCCAAGCTTCTAATATTTGCAGGCAGACTAATCCTATTAGGAATTGCATCGTGGACGAACTCCCCTTCGCCAATGCTGTGACTATCCCAATATGATTCAGGTTTGTTGAATGGCTTTGTCATTTTGAGTAGTTATTAGTCAATGAAGAGTTGAGTCTCACTGCTCTTTTGACCACTGGAATGGCTTTAACTTTATATATGCCAGATAGTTTTGTAAGATTTTCGTATTCGTTAATAGTTAGTGCCTCATTGCATGTATGTAAAGGAATGATGTGGGGAAAGCTCTATGCAATGTGTGGACTATTTTCGAAGTTGAAATTGACTTTTATGTTAGCCTTGTATCATGGTGCATGTAAGAAAATTGACAAACGTTTAGGGAACGTCACCATAGACTCAAATAGGAGTTAACTCAGTACTTCAAGTACAATAGGCCTCGCAAAATGAGGAGAAGAGAGTTCGAGCTTTATTTTGTGTTGTCAATATCGGAGATGGAAATTATAGAACGGATAAAAAGATGTTGCAATTTTGTGTCACATATAGTTTTGAGGCGACTTCTCCAACATTTATCAACGAATTATTTCTGTTCATCATTAATAGTAGAAGCTAAAGACAACTTCTCACGAGCAGGGTTGTGTTTTGGATATCTCACGAATCTCGGCTACTCTGTTGATGACCTCAGCATTTCCCCTTCGCTGCTTGATTCAATCTCATACTTCTTGTAGATCTTTTTTGGCTCCCGCTGATGCTTCTAAAATTACTAAAGAGTTAAGCTTTCATAGAGTCACGCAAGGTATAGTATTGCTCCCTCACTCCCTTCTGCCAGCACTGAATTTCTTTGGCTTGGTGGGGACAATTGGCAACAATCTGTAGATAAACATTTGCCACAAACTCCGAAAGATTTTCCCCACATTTTGATTATTTCCAAATTTGGAATACACAACCGCGTCTTTGGCGTAATTCATCTTGAATGTGTCCCAATATCTCGAACAAAAAATGGTTTGCTCAGTTTAGAATAAGTTACTAGCGTTTGAGAGTATATCTTTTTGATTGGAGCTGCAGAATTCGGCCTTGAAGCTAGTGATCGTTTGTTCCTTGTGTTGAGGTAAGACAATTCTATCTAACTCTTGTACACCAATTCTGTAATGAAGGCGGATAATAGTCAAATTATGAGTTACTCATCCTTTAGTTCCGTTGCTCGTGCTTGAAAAAGAATTATTCCAAGGTTGGAAAAAACTGATTCACACGCCATGTTGATACAATCGAATAAAAGGAAACCGTAAATTTTTAGTGTCCCATTCCTCCAACTTGTTGAATTAAGTGTAACAATTTATAGCAAGCAGATTACATACACACCCTATGGATGATGCTGAGAAAAAGATCCGAGTGCAAAGAGAGTTAACATCTCCAATATCTACGTAACCAAGATAATATAAATTCTAAAGAAAACATGCGAATGTTCCATTCATGCTTCACGACTTGGATGCGACAATAATGCTTCAATATTCGACACCTGATTCGAAAGTTCGTTTGTCAAATTGTCCTTGTGTCTTTCTCTTTCTTCGATATCAACAAATTCTCTTCTGCCTCGTACGATCCAGTCACAGAAGAAGAGTACAAACACGACACCAAACACAGCTGATGAATAGTTCATGTTACCAGCATTGACAGGCATCACCGATGGAAAGTTATAAAACACTGTAGTAAATATAGTCCAAATAACAAGTACAATGTTACAAACCAAGCCAACCTTGTTTAACCAAAATGGTCCATGTTGTATTTGATTTCTTTTGAAAATGAGGCAAAGTGTAGGAACCATATAAGACAATAACAAAAACATGACACACGATACAAGGATTGAGTTGAATGCTGTGTCTGATCCCAAGTAGATGCATCCAATGACACCAACCCAAAAGCATGACAAGAAATGTGCATTCACAGTAGTGCCTGTCTTGTGGTTCACTTGTGCCCAAAACTTGGAAAATGGCAACCCATTGTCCCTTGCAAATCCCCAGCATATTCTTGCCGACCATGTATGGCACCCTATGTTGCATCCAACAGCAGTCACAATCACCAAGATTCCCAATCCAAGGGCGGCAGCTTTGGAGTCAGTTGCTTGGTGTAGTATATCCAATATCGGGATACCAGTGTTTGATGTCAACACCGCTTCTAAGTTCCTTATGCAAAAGAATATGGCAATGCAGTACGAAAATGTTGTAACAAAGCCAATGATGACAGTACTAATAAGTGCTATGGGAATGTCCACAGCAGGATTGAGTGATTCCTCCGCAATGTGTGTGGCTGCATCTAATCCATTAAAACTCCAGTTGGGATTAATCAATCCAACAATAAATGCAATGCCTGCTGAGCTCCATCCTGTTTGGTTTTGAAAGTCAACAAATACAAACTTGGCGCTCTCAAAGTCTCCTTTATGCATGGCCAACACCGTGATAATTATAATAATGAATGACAAAATCGAGATACCGAGAGTTCCCACGAATATAGCTGGCAAGGGACGATCATAGACGTTGAATAACAGGACCAAGATGTTGAATATCTCATATACAACAAATACTTGCCACTTGTGAACCACGAATGTAGGACGAAACAAGGCATACATTCCAACGATGCCCACTGAGATTGTGACCGTGATACTTGCAGAGGTGAACACAGACCCAGCCCATGACAACACCCCAGTAATGTAGGCCAACAACCTTGAGTATTTACGTGGCGCCAACTTCATTGTCCAATATATTTGTCCTGATGCATTGGGGAATGCGGAGGCCATCTCTGCCAACGTCAACACGACACACATTGAAAAAAATGAAACGATTATGATTCCATACACAATCATCATGGGTCCCCCGGAAGCAATACCTGTGATTAAAGATCCACTGATACCCGCCCACGAATTGGTAATACCAAATCCAACTCCAATCAATGATAGCATGTTAAAGTTCCTTCTCAATTCTGGTGCATAACCGGTCTCAGTCAGAAATTCCAAATTAGCTTGGGCTTCCTTTAGCAACCTGGAAGCATCTTTTTCCTTTGCCATTGCAATGTTGTCTAATTGTTGAACTCGGGTAGGTTGTTGGAAAATTCTATTTGAGGTTGTATGGCTTATGACTTCGCCATAGCTAACACTGGGTCTAACATCCCCCGTACTCTTCTTTTCCACTAAGTTTGAAATTGTCATTATCTATCTGATTTGAGGAGCAGTTTCGATGAACGAAGCAACCAATTGTTGAGGTACCCATCGATGAAATCCCATTTTATTTATATGGTTGTTTGAAGAAGCAACACTCATCAATCGAACAAATATGTAAGAAGCTCCAATGACTTAGTTGGAAAGTACAACAATAATCTTATCTTTCTCACATATCAGCTTATCAGTTTAGTAGTAACTTTCTCAAATTTTTTGGCCGACCCAACTTCTCAATTTGTGATGCTGCATTGTTTTTGCATCAAATTGGATGGACTTTGTGAAACCTTTGATAGTAGAAAGCGGATATTCAAGATTTTTCCGTCTTAAGTTTATTGTTTGGGCACCATACCAATTGGGAAACTGAAAACGCAGTCGTCTTGCAACCCTTGCGTAATTTAGGTTCTTCTGCATTGTTAGTGGTGGGAATAAATGTTAAAAATAGCCTTCTATTGTTCTCTCACGAAATCTACAATCAATCGAATTGCTCAATGTACTCTGCCTGTGTGATTGAAGAGGGGAAGTTTTCGATAGAGTGTGGATTGTGCGACCGCCAGGCTTACGCTTTGTGTACCTTATTTAATGTGCGATACCTTTTTCATTGAACCGATTCTGAAATTCCCGCATAATGAAGAGTGAAATCTCACCAATGAGGAATTTTGCAGCTTACCAGTATTCTATTCTAAATTGTGTCATCTGTATACATAATCACACCGACTCCTCTTCGTCTTCCTCGTCAGAGTCATTGAGTAGACCTGCCTGCATCAATATCAGATCCCAATCACTGAACAATATGAAACATGTTTCGCTCAATGAGATCACCACCATACCACTTCCAATACCAAACCATAATCCGAAAAGACCATAGCCTAAATTCTTACTCAAAATTAAAGCTAATGGTAATGCAAATGCATAGTATGCAATCAAGTTTATCACTCCTCCGATTTTCTGTTGCCCTTGTGCTCTCAAAATACCACTATCAACACAAGCTACTCCATCAAATACTTGCAATATTGCCACCAAAGGATCAAGTAAGTTAGCTATTAACCCAATGACATCTTTGTCATTGGTGAATATCTTTGCCAACTGGTTCTTAAAAGTGACGAATGCTAAACAGTTGGCACTGGCCACGACTAAACCTCCAAGCATGGCCACTCTAGTAGCAATGATTGCCCCCTCCATATTCTGACCACCAATGAAATGAGCTATACGTGTTGAAGCAGCAATACCCAAAGCAAAGGGAACCATGTAAGATAATGATGCAATACTAGAAACCGCACTTTGAGCTGCCAACGGTTTCGTGCCGAAATACGATGCAAAAAGGGTCATTATCTCGTATGCCAAATACTCTGATTCTATCATCACAATTCCTGGTAATGCCAAATGAGCAAATTGACCCCAATCTTTCAATAACTCCGAGACCTTAGCGAGTCCATACCAGCATTTCTTTCCGTCAATGAATCTGACGTACAATACAAGCAAGAGTGACATGACCCAAAAGTTAAGTGCAGTGGCAATAGGTGCACCAATGTATCCCAATCCATAAGTTTTATTCCACACCAAGAACCAAGACAAACATATATTGATTGGCGCGCTGATGAATAACACGCCAGTTCCTGCTTCGAATATACCCTGTGCTTGCAAGAATCTTTTACCGTTTTCAAATACAATATACCCTGGAGCACCCACAATCAATATTCTCAAAAATTGAGATGTTAATTGAACGACACCGTCGTCGTCAATGATAAACTGTAGGATATATGCGCTGAACCACCACAAAAGGCCACAAGGTACAAACAATACCCATGAAAATAAAACACATCGCTGAACGTAAACACTCATTAGCTCGTAATTCTTGGCTCCATAAGCTTGAGAGCACAACGTATCTAGTGCAGTTGCTGTTCCTTCAAAGATCCCAAATGTTATTGTCGAGGTCATGGTGGCCAAACTCACTGCTGCTAACTCCTTTGTCCCCAATTTCCCCACCACTATCAAACAAACAATTGAGAAAAGATGCTCTAGTATAAATGTGACAATTAAAGGCAATGCATGACGGAACAAGACTTTGGCTTCAGTGGCATAGTTTGTTTTTAAATTCATAAAGTTGTCTAAATCATAGCTCTTTGACGATTTCAAGCTCGTTCGCCTTCTCCCTGATCCGTAGATATTTTCCCCAAATATGTGATCGTGATCTAAGTCATCCTCGTCGGAAGTGGCGGCCGATGACATACGTCGATGATGTTCTTCAATTAACCATGAATGAAACAGTTCCTGATCTTCAGTGGCTTGTGCACTGCTCAAAGAGTCTGGTAATGACCTTGAAGTGCTAACACTCGCAGTATCACTGACATCCTGCTCTGCTCCAAACTCCGACCCATTTTCAATCAACGATAAAAACGATCTTTGATCTTCTCCTTCTCCATAACTGAACAACGGACGCTTAGTTGACGGTGGAACGAATATTCGTCTGCGTCTGTTCCCTGTGAGACCAGCCCCGGTGTTCGGGTCTGCTAGTCTATTAATTGACTGAAATAACACCATTTTTAATTGGCTTTGGGTGGTGCCTAGAATTACATATTTTTTCGCTTTTTTTTTTGCGCAAGTTTATAGAGAGACAAAAATGTTGAGGAGCTTACAGGTTAATAATCCACACATATGAATATACTAGATAATACATACATCTTTTTAGAATACCATCCAGATACCACCACCCAATAAGACTGCCAACACAACTGCTGTCAAGACACCCGCACCTGCTCTATCTTTACCAGTTATATCAATCTTATTCTTGTTTGTGGTATCTTCAGTGTCAGTACCTGCTGCATAATTGGTTCTGTTTGTTCCCCCTGTTTCAACACTTATTGGCTTCTCGGCAATAAGAGACAAGATCACTTCCAAGGCCGACATCTGTTCACCTAATCCGTAAACACCATCCCAACCACTAACTGACCAATTTTCTCCACACGTGACGCCATCCAGACCTCCTGAGCACGATTGTGCTGCTGCTGCTGCACTTGTTTCCAAATAAGGTCTAATCATATCTTCAAAGTCGGGTATAATCACCATAGTCAATCCGAGACAACGTGAAAATAAACTACGGAAAGACCTTTGATCATTGTTGCACCTTTTACTAGGTAGACATGTGGTTTCCTGCATTACCTGGTTGGTCGAGTTGAAAAAATAAGCCGTTGATGCTTCAACAATTTCTTGAGTGCGAAACTTCCACGTTTCATCTCCCGTAACATTGTACAAGTATGCACAACCAGTCATGAATACTCCATAGGTATAAGACCATCTCAAGTCTGTTACGTCTGTACAATTCTCTTCGATATTTGCACCATCATATATACGCAATTTTCCGTTTGTTTCCTCAGTCAAGAAATTGACCTCCTCCATCCAATCCCACACTCGCTCTGCGGTGGGGAGATATGCTGACTCGTTTCCTGTATACCTAGCCAATCTTGCGGCAATGTGGAAAAGACAACCATTTGAGATTGTATTTTTATAATTGTAACCCGAATTCCAAGTAAAAATTTGCCATCTCAATCCACCTCCACAATGTTCTGTATCCCATCTTGCATCCATTGTGTTGAAGATTGCTTGTGCCATTTCTAGCCACGAATGCAGTTCAGGGTTTGTAAAATTTCTCTCAACAGCCTCCATGATTGCCATTCCCCAAACACCTTGATCATCATTACCTTCAGTTGTTGACTGATTTGAAGGAATATAATTGTAGTTGTCACCTGCTTGATGGTACATTCCCTCATAAATCCATTTTTCCAAAGTTGAATTGTCTGAATCGCAGTATGAAAAATAATCTACAAACCCACCAAAGGCTTCGCCTGCATTCCACCAATAGTTGGGAGACGCAAACATACCAATAGTACCTCCGACTCTAAAACCTTCATAGTAGTTCCACATACCATCAGACACGATTTTCGCAGCTGCACAAATAGAGTCCTTGCTATTAATATCCAATTCAATGGAGTACACAGTTGCAGTGTACAATACAATCGTCGTCGTTATAAGCTTATTTAGTCCAAACATGATTTCAATGGGATGTGGACTTATGACTGAAGATACCTTTTGGTGAAAATATGGCTACTATTTGATGTCGTTTTCAAGACTGTAGGGACAGTTTTTAATTTCAAGCTTCTCACGTTTTCAACAAATTCTGCAAAAAACAAAAACTCGCGTTTGAGTGTTGCGAAGAAAAAGTTGATGATTGCTTCTGTGGTTAGAGTGTAGTATTATGTTGCTTGGATGACTAGTGTTCTAGGCAAATACACTTTGTGGGATGATGGTAACGTCGTTAAAGGCTGAGCTTTCTCCCTTGTTCTCTTGTTTTTTGTCCTGGTTTATTTTTAAATTCGTTTTCTGTTTTTCTTCTTTTTACTCTAGATGGTTTTTGTGTACCATTCTACATTTTACAAGTTTAATGCGTGTTTCAACTTAACCCCAAGTCCACTGCAACATCAAAAGTGGGGAGCCACACTTGAGTGTCTGAATTTCGCATCTATTGAATCGATAAATAATTCTCTATACAAACACCTCATCTCATTACATATCTTACCAATTATACAACTGCAATAGTTGTGTGAGACGTGACAAGACAACTCTATTATTTGCCAAGATTAATGGACCATCACTATCCTCTTCCTTTTTGCCTAGTCCTTGGGACATATAGCAAGCGTCATAAGTTGATTTATTTTGTCTTTTCTTTCCTGTACTCAATTCACTTGTTCCATCTCTATCCACCAAAATTCCATTCCAGCCGGCTCTAATAGCACCAACAAAGTCTTTTGCGTGACTGTCACCAACATGCCAACATCCCGATAAGTAATCTCCTGGTGGAGTTGGTCCTCTGTACCTGTTATCGATTTGAACTCTGTACTCATTCACCGCGATGGCGTCAAAGAATGACTTTTTTGGCTTGCCAACTTCATAATCGTAAGATAAATTAACACTGGTGAAGTAATCTTTCAATTTTAAGCTTTCCAATATTTTGATTGCTCGCGTATCTGAATTACTAGAAGTAACCATGGTTACTCCTTTTTCTCTCAATCCTTTCAAAGTCGGTATGACGTCGTCATAAACATCATAAGCCTCATTACTAGTGAAATGATTAACTAAACGATCGCAAATCTCCTTTGTTTTGGGATCTTTTCTCAGCAATCCATAAACCCTAATCACAAGCTCTCTCCACCAGGCATCCGAATTTTCAAAGTGTGCCACACCTTTTCCATAATTGGGGAATTCATCCTGTAACTCCTCGTAAGTTTTGGCAAAATCGTGGCGAATTGACTCTGCTGTTTTCAGTATACCAAACTCCAGGCTTGTTATTTGGTGGTATTGTTCAGGAACAGGAATTTTTGGTTTGTAGATGGTGCCGAACAAATCAAAGGATATAAAATTTGGTTTGGGAAACTTCTTTTCTGATTCTCGAATCATTCTCGTATTTTCGGCATTGAAAGGTTGGGAAATAAGGTGTGACTGGGTTGACACTGACCGGTTAAAGCTTTTAAGTGATTGAGTAGGTGCTTTGAGTGTAAATATCATGGCTGTTGTCCAGAGAATGTAGTGAATCAGTATCTTTTTCCCGATTCACCGTATGTTCTCTCGATCGGCAAAACCAATGATTAGGTAAAAAATTACTTAATGAAAGCATGGAAGAGGTTGCTGCAACGGTCCCAATGTTTAGCCTAGACTTCATTGTGATAGAGAATAAATATATGCTTCACTTGGTAAGTACTACATTGTGAATGAAACCTATGGACAGCAAAATTGTGAATAATAGTGAATTTTCAAAAACTTATTACTTGAGTAAATGCTGTACTAACTTTCCACATTTGGTTGCGAAATGATTCAAAACAAAGTCATGGGATTGACAAAAAAATTTGTGCAACCTAGAAGGTACCATAAAAAGGATTTGACACCACTAACTACGCATGTAAATTATCCACTATGTCCGTGAAAAATTGGGTTTGATTGTTTCACTAGTAAATGGCATGTTGGCTGGGTACACCAGGAGATACGCTACCAATTCCATCTTACTTGAATATACACGCAACCTTTACTTCGATGCAGAATGTTTTCTACAGAACAAGCATATGCCTGATGATCACATCATACTCAGTCGCCTAGCCCAAGAGTACTTCCCATCCCCATTCTTTCATGATATTACTCCAATGGACTTTCGACTCAATCCCATTCAACTCAGAGCTATTCAATGTAGCATTTTCATTATTTACCACTGACATCAAACCATTAAGTGGATTATGATAATTACCCAGCAAAGTGGTTTCAATGCTGGAACTGTCTCCCTTGTTGTCACTAATTGGCAATTTATCCTTTCTTCTCCACACTTCTTCAACCACTTCAAATGCACGATCAACATTACCAATCCACATCTTGTCCACCAACAACTTCCATCGTGCTTTGCACCACTCTCTTTCTTCACCAGGCTCAGCCTCACATGACGCAACCAAGAGGGGGAAGATATGCACTACACTTGTATTTGATGATTTCGAAATTGATGCTAAAAGGATGAAAATCTTTTCAGCAAGTTCATGTGATGATAATGACGGAATTTCGGGCACAGCTTGGTGAAGAAAAAGCAACGTCGCGTAACGATATGCTTCTGCTGTAGCAATACAACTTGGTAAATCCCAGGTTTTGGACCCGTTTTCTTCTTCATTCTTGATCATATTCACATTGATCGTTGACTTCCACTCTAAAAGCAAATGACGCAACTCAGACGCTTGTGTGATTGAATTCAACGAATTTCTCTTTTTCCACTTCTCACTAGCCTTTGTCTTTCGAATTTTGGAAACTAAAGCAGCCACTTTTCCAATGATGCAGAACAAGTTCTGGCCACATCCCAACAACGGATCGACAATCTCTGAGTCATAATTGAAAGCATCAAACTCCTCAAAGAATGTATATCCTTTATCCGATGATTCACTGAGATCAGATGCAGATGGGGAATCTTGTCCATCTTTTACCTTATTGTTCAGAATCATTGATGTTATCGTCGCCACCAAGTCCACTCCTTTCTCGTCGTAATTTGTTTCCGTGGTCATTTGGGCAATCACCAGGAAATATATCCAAGTGTTGAATAATATTTGAACCGGATTGGGTATAACCAATGTAGTGCTCTTTGTTTTGCAGTCGTGAATCATTTTTTCATACTCAAATTGATCAATTAAAACTAGCTTACTTTTTAGTTGCAAGTAGCTTTCATGAGAAACTTCAGATCTATCTTGTGTCAACACATTGCTACGGACCGACTCCTGATGTTCCCTCAATAATGACAAAATTTTGTTGATCATAGTCTTTGCTCCTTTCAAGTGAGCAATACCACTTGATGTCAGAACATCCCATGATTCACATACTGCCAAATTCAAACAAGTCGCTAATGCTATATCAGCGGGAAAATCGACTTCAGCTCCATTTTCCATCTTGGACAATCCACTTGCAAGTTCCAAAATGCATCTCTTCATGTAAGTTTGCGCTTTTGATCGCAACTCTTTCGTTGATGCAACGATACCATGTGAACCAGCTAAATGAAAAAGAGTCATTGCTGCTATTGAGTTGAAAAGACAGCCATACCTAGACGCTAGTGGGACGAGCAAATTTCTCCAGGGGTTTTCGTGCATCCCGTTTTTGATTGACATGATTCCCGACGTGTATTCCGAGTACAAGTGGAGGATCTGATCATGTTCTGCAGTTTTCGTCAACGGTTTGTTGATTTCACAAACGGGAGAAGAGCCTGATGACAATTCATGAGTCCGGCTTAATGTAAGTGGACTCATTATTGTTTCAACCGAAGGAACATCAATATCTCCCAGATTTAATGCAAAATTCAATATCGCTGAAAGGGATGGGGTTAGACTAATGTCAAAATTAAAATCCTTCCTCTCCTTGACAAGTGTAGGCGGGTTCAAAATATTTTCAAAACTGGGTGAAAGAATTGACTGAGTAGAAGTATCGATAGCGTTGATTGGCAGTTTGGCACTCACTTGTTCTGTTTGGGTAATAGCTCTCAACCTTTGTACATCTTTAAAGGGATACGTGTCACTGTAAGATCTTATAGTGAGTGGCGTTTCTTGTGTTGGACTGTTGGTTGGTACCGTTGCACTAAATCTTCGTCTCCCCTCAAGCACAGTTGGATTCAACCCTTTGGAGATCAAATCATTCTCTCTCGTAATCTGCTCAATGCTCTTCCCAGTGACAGAATAGCTTGCAAGTTGTAGATGTCCTTTCAAGACTTGATCACCGCTAGAAGCTTTTGATTCATTAAACAGTTTCCATTTGAAGTTGGTCGCATACCCGCCACATACTATATTCTTCTTGCTGCAATTCACACAAGAAGGCTTCGTTTCATCACACTTGAGTCTTTTCTTCTTACATGTGATACATCCATTTCTTGACTTTGTACGTGGCTTATTAATTGTACCTGACGTCGCTCGCGACAAGTTCGGTACTGATGTTGTTGCTGATTTCATAATTTGTTTTGGTGACATTAAAGTGGGTGTTTCGACTGTATAATAACCTGTAATGATTCTGAGCGAGTTGTTACCAAAAGTGAATAACCAAAGCGGAAAACTTTGCAAAACTTTCAAAGGATGTAGCCTGAGTTACTCTTTACAGCTAAAAGCTACCATGATTTATCGGATAAGTTTGGAAAGCGGGAATCTGTGCAGAGCCGGTCTTATTACTGATAAGAGAAAAATAATTGTACTGTAGAGTACACTACTGATAAACAAAAATTAGAGTTTCCCCTTTTTTGTTGTTTTGCGATCTATTTTTTTTTGGGATACGCTTTATGTTTCCCAATTTGGATATACAGTCCGATGGGCACAACCAATTACAATTTCCAGATTACCAACGAGCATAGAGGGGTAAGAAGAACGTTCTCAATATTTATGTCTATTATGCTACAACAAAGCAGTCCATCGACAACTTGAACCGATAAGTGCAATTTTGCCCCATGATTGATGGGCTATGTTGTCCATCAAGGTCCAGACTTTGAGTTAGATAACGTATCCATGGAAAACACGGGTATTTTAATTGTTCCTCATCGACGGAAATGTACGACAATTTCAACCCTGAGTAAGTAAACATGGGAATTTTAAACGATAAAACAATGTCATCGTTTTGGAAATTGCGCTTCACTTCTTGTAATAGTTCCTTCTGGGTAGACGTTATGGCTTTGCCATTGACTCCGTAAAATGCCTCCAAGTCGTGTCGCACATCTGCAGCTTCGTCATCACCTTGAGCCGTGGTGCCATTCAAATCAACTTTATCCATTTTACGCAACAAATGGTGAGATATCTTTTCCAAGGACACTTGTTCACAATTTATTAAGGGCAACTCACACATCATTCTTACTGTCTGTTTACCATCAATGCTGTCAATTCTCCAAATAATCTCCATTGTATCATACTTGAATGACACCTCTCCACTCTCAGTCTTGTACATCAAATTGGGGTCGGTTATACCCAACTCAAAATAGTATGGATTCAACGGTATCCTCACAAGCAAACTCTTACAATGTCGTCTTCTAGGGAAAGTAGTATTCAATGTGCACATAACTAACAACCGCTTTGTTTTTTGAATAACTTTGAATACAGGCTTGATGGATATTAATGGAAGTTTCTTTTTGTTCTTGTGTTGCTCAACCTGATACGACATCAACTCAAACTTGTCATCTGGCGGAATGAATGTGACAATGTTGTCGCGGTATATTTTTGATAGTTCAATACATTGATGGAATTGGATGTTTCTTATGGGTATTCGATGCTTAAATGACTTGGCAGTGGTCTTGGGGACTTTGTTTTCGAGCGACTTCTCAGACTCCTCTTCGTGGTTCAGATGAGCATCTCCTCCAAGGTCATCTAAAGATGGTGCTACCAGCGTCTTTGATTCCTTTTCCTCATGATCTTCCTCCCCCCCTTCTAGTAGACTCTCGCCCTCCTCAATGTTCTCGATTCTCATTTGGTTCTCCGGTAAAGGTTCAGTATCGGTATTCTTCGATACATCATTGTTTTCTATCGAAGATATGTAGTTTTCATTAAATCCCATTCGACACACCGGTATACCCGATAGATAAGATTTAACCATACAGCTTCCATATATTTCATTTCGTTTTACCGTATTCGTTTTCAAATCATATATGAATTCAACATTTTCAATAATGTCAACAAATATTTCATTCTTTGCATAAAAAATACCTTTCGGTCGCCAATTGATAGCCAGTGAATATGTACGCAAAATTGAACTGTTGATGATGTTTGCATTGTTTTCCAAAACGTCGGTCTTGATTGATTGATTATGGGTTGACTTGATATCAGTGTTCGGCTTACTTTTGCTATTTTTCTTTTTGTCCTTTACCTTCGTGTCATGATCAGACTCTTCCTCACCACTGTTGTTGGAGTCGTCTTCATCATCAAGTAATTTGGGAAAGTTTGGCTCCACTTTGATGTACTCCTCAAGTAGCTTATAGTCTGTTATCTGTAGTACACCAAAATCCAAGCACTCATCAACTAGCTCAGTAATGAGCACTGAATTATCCAAAATTAATTCAAAGTCCATCGTCTTTACCTTGCCCTTGCATAAAAAGTGAATCATTATTACTTGAAAGCTTCTTAGGAATGCAATAACCAGCATCACATTGACATTTTGATGCATAACAGCTAAAAGCACAATATTGGTTTCACATTTAATGTAAACATATGATAGATTTTGGATACACAATACTGGCACTTGTTCATGTATAGGCGTTCGACTAAGATGTTGATAAAATTGGGATAGTATGCTTGTGTCGTCTGGGACAACTTCAGTGAACCTCCTACTGATCAAACACTTATAAGAAGCTAACTCCGACGGGCTCCCATAGTTGAAGGGGATATGTAAAACATAAAAGGCTGAAATCATTACCCAACTTCATTAAACGAGTTACCTGTTATGCTATAATGCTATAGTTTTTTTCGTTCTACCATATAGATTTTTTTGATGGGAATAACGCGAATTCCTTATTTTGTGTACAGTGTCACAAAACCAAATTGTTTGAATGTAAAAGTGGTTCAAAGAGCTTGCTTGGCGTCATACTGATAGAGGATCAAGGTGATAAGGCGAAGCAAATTAATTATTAACAAAGAGAAACCCACCTCAGACAAGAAGTACTAGGATGTTGCCCAATGGAAGATGGAAAGTGATCTATTAAAAAAATGGTGAACTAGGGAATGAAAATCCCACAAAGGCAAATCATCATACCTCCTCCCCTATACAACTCATTTATCGACGAAAAGCAAAACAGGATACTTATACACTAAAGCCTTCAATTGCGTTTCTCTTTGGATAAAGTTGCAAAATAATCTCAGACTTGATAGAGTGAAAAAAATTAAGTAGTAGTTTGCACCTAAACAAAAACCTTAAAGTTGCCAAAAAGCAAAACAAAAGTCTAAAAAGCAAAAAAACAGCCAATTCGACTCAGTTTTCTAAAACTGGAGCCACCCATATCAACCGAGTAACACAATACAATGTCGTTATCAGCCTTACACGAGGAATCAATTCGTAAAGGTCTTCTGAGAATCAATGGTTTGGGGTTGCCTCACTGGTCATTGACGGTTTTGGATACGGTTCCACCTTCTCATGTTTTGGAAGTTCATTACAAGTTGAAAAATTTTAAAAAAACTTGGGAGTTTTTGAATTTGATTGCTAAGCAAGCAGATTTGAAGAAACATCATCCAAAGATTACAACCGTATACAATAAAATTGATATTGAATTAACGACTCATGACGTGGGAAATAACATAACGGAAGCAGATATTGGGCTTGCTCAAGCTATACATCAAGAGTTTCAAAAACTAGAGAATCCTGAAAGCGGAAGCAAATGATGATTAGTTGGTCTATGTAACACATGTCTATTCTATGTAATTGATTGATTTTACTGCTCGACAGAATTTGTCTTGTACCTCAATTGCCTCATATGTTCCTTCAAGACTGGCCGATACGATGAAATCACGATCCCATATATCACTGATTGTTTCCTTCTCCAATAATTTTCTCACTTTCTTTTGGTCACGTTTAACTTCGATAGTTCTAATGTATGTTAATTTGAATGGAGGTTCTCCAGTGAATGTGAAAATCAACTCTGTGTGGTCGCCTTGGTGGATGTCCTCTACTATGTAATCACCCTTGTTGACTTCAACACTGGGTAATTCATGCACCTGTAGTTGCAACTCTTTAAACTTTTGACTATCCGAAGTAAAATTAACCAAACACGAATTTTCACCAGCATCTTTCAATGCTTGTATGTTTAATGTTCCCGGCTTTGATGCTAGTCTGATAAATTGGTGATGAACATCAGCTTTCCTGGGCGTGTTGTTGTACTCGTAAAAAATAGTAATGGGTGATACACCCGTCAAGTTGTAACCAACATGATCTCCCACACAATAGTGCACTTTGTCCGACAATTTATATACATTTGGAGGCTCAGTAATGGATAAAACGTACTTGACTGCTTGTTGTAGCTTTACATTGACGCAACCATTACTGTCCTTTACACTAACCAATGTGATTGAGTAGTCTCCAAGTGTCAAAAACTTCATACTCTGCAATGACAAGAAAGGTTCCATAACATTTCTAAACTTGAGTTCTTGACTTTCGCCTGATGCTTCATTCTTTATAACTGCGCCGATCTCAAATGGGTAGGTTCCAGAGAACTTAACCGGAATCTTGGCAACAACCTCCTCATCATGGACTCTATTTTCACACACTTGGGTAAAATGCTTGTCTGGGATAAACAGAGCTGTAGGTAAACGGTTGACTTGGTAAACGACTTTTGGTACATCGGCAAGCGGCACCTTTCTTTGTCTCGTGTAATGAGCATCATACACCCTCTTGAACGTGTGCTCATACTGACCGTGTTCCCTTGTTGGTAGCTTGATTTTGATGTGATGACCTTCAACGTTCATTGTGTGACTTTCAACTTTACCATTCGGTAATTTGATTTCATAATCAATCAAAAAAGGTGCTTTTCCTTTCAATTGTAATCCAATTTCATTAGCAGCACCATTGCAAACGGGTTTCAAATGAAGCATTGAATCATCCTTGTGTTGTAAATATTGGTCAGCAAAAGTTATATTCATTGATGGTTTGTCATAGTAAGTGACAGTCACAACCTTGCTTTTGTTAACAACTTTACCTTCACAATTATCATTCAAAAAGGATTCTACACTATAGATTCCTTCCTTGAAAATTCGAATTGAAGACAGTCTCAAATCTGCTCTCTGGTTTTGCAATGCCTCACCTTGCAAACTGAAACATTTCAAGATCACCACGTCATTCTTTTGTTGACCAATTGATGATTTGTACTTTACAGGTACATCCACATACTGACCTTCAACTATTTGGATTGTTGAGCTTGGGTTGATCAACTCGAGTTCGGGAATATCTGGTCTGCTCACAATTTTCACTTGCTTCGCGTTGTCGCTTATGATCGCATTGCAACCAAACTTATCCTTGGCATTGCTCAAGACAAGGTGGCACGTCTTCCCAATTAGTGATTGAGGCGTCTCAATTTCGTAGTTGGAAACTTCACTCACATATTGTACAACACCCAATTTTTTCCTTGTCACAAAGTCAACAAACTCGTAATCAAAAGAGTAAGGACCATTGCCTTTAAAAATCACGGGTATCTTTGCAGACACGCCATAACATGTGTGCAATTCACGTCCAGCTAATTTCAAAGACAACTCAGACGCCAGTCTGAAATACGTCAGGTATGTGTATTTTACTTTGTCAAGAGGAAAACCCTTTTCGTAATAATTTCCGTCCTTCAAGTTGGCAAACACAATACTGTAGCTTCCCTCTCCCGGTGGTTTGAATTTGAATGAGTGCTGATTCAGTGTAGAAACCAACTCACGAACCTTTCCACCAGACGATGATACCACTGGCTTCAAAATGCCAGAATTGTTTGAATATATTTGATATTGCACTTTAAATGGCGCCCTTCCAGTAAAGTTAAAGTCAAACTTGTACCCTACAACTCCCAAGCACCTATCGCTCTCTGGTTGTGCATGTATATTCAATTCTGGTACCTGTGCCAACTCAAGTTGTATTGCCGGCGTATCAATAACCTCACAAGGACAATATACATCCTTTGCAGAAATCAACTTATACTGCCCTGGCTCAGGGACTTTGAACCCCTTTTGTAATTGTGCTTTGTTGGAAAAAGTTTTGGTAAAGTTGGATCCATCGTGTGATATGACAACATCAAGTGGGAAATCCTTGTCATCAAACTTGTCCCAATTTGATATTGTCATGGTTTTTTCTCCACCTAACAAAAGTGGGGACTCTCTTTCAGGGTTTATAAGTGTAATGGACGGCGACTTGCGGAGGACTAATTTGTACCATACATCCTTGTCTTTGGAAAGTGGCTGGTACCGATGCAAGTTTCCAAATGAATCTTGCACTGAAATCAATTGAAACTCAACTGAGGTTTCCTTACTCCATTTGAAGTCGTCAATGTGCTGAAGAATCGCTTCTTCCAACGAGTTTCTAACTAGTTTGGTGGGTTTTAAATATGAAAAGTCGGTTCTTGATCGCTTATGGTGTTCAGTGTCGCTGGTAATTGTAATATTCATTGATTTGTACTCATTTCCATTCACTCTGATTACAAGATTCACATATGCAGGCGAAGGACCATATACTTCCAACCAGGGCACGGGGAACGCTTCTTCCTCAAGGGAGGTCAAACACTTGTGGTTGTTTTGAAAGTCAAAATGTGGTGGATAGAAGAATTTTCCCAGTGGACAGTCCGATACAACAAACTCAGATTTATATGTCCTAATGCTGTTACCCTTTTTATCCAAAACACTCTTTATCTTATACGACCCTGGTTCGTTAATTGGGTATTCTAAATAAAACAAAGTGTCACTTGGTTTGGATTGAATTTTGTTTGTCAAATGGGAGTAATCGCTTTTGAATAATTTTTTTAGTAAGGAGCCAGTATAATTGTAAAGTTTAAGTTCGTTGTTTGCAGTATTTTGTTGAATTTGTAGAAATCCAATGCCCGATGTTGTATTAAATTCGATTGGCATTTGAATGGTGTTGCCATTGGCAGGACCCAAACAAGTTTGATCAATGTGAAATGGATTCATTTTCGCTGACGAGTCAGGTAGGTAATGAATTGTCAATTTACCTTTGAAATGGGAATCCATGTCAATAACTTTCGCTACATTGATTGATTCTCCCGCAATGTTAAGTTCATTTCTTTGCAATAATACCCTCCAAATTGGCAAAAATATATTGGATAGCAACGGCAATGCCAAATTGCTCACCAAAAACAATGTGAACCCATTCAAAATGAATATGTAAAGTAGCGTCTTTGATGGTGAAAATGTAAGACGCGGTATCCTTAGTATCGGGAGGAGCCACAAGAACACCCCATCAATAAACAAGTATTTGAGAACAAATGTGAAGTTTGTCAAGCTTGTCAATTGCTCATCAGAAGATGCAATCTCTGACTTGACTAAAACTAGATCATAAATCTTCCAACTTTGAATCAACATAAATAATGAAACCGCAAATAGTCGTTGCGAAGCAGGATCTAATATGCTACTAGGAATTAAGAGGTTAAGCTCCCTCCTCTGCTGTCGCCTATATCTGTAATTGGCATTTCCTGGACGCATGGTGATTGACCTTGTTTGTGGTGTCAAAGCTCTTCTGGCGATGTCTTGACTGTTTTTTTTTTGTTTTTCGTTTGTTTACTATTTTTCTATTCAATATCTACACAGTCACCCAAGACCCATTACGCTTCTCTTGTATCACTTTGATTGCCGGCAAATCCCAACCAACACCCCCACTTCCTACCGATGCACCAAATCTGGGCACTACGTAACATTCTCGTTTGGTAGGAGTTAGATTCTTTGGTGCGTATGGATGACCCAATGGCTTAGAGTACGTTATCAAGCCCGAACTTTTTGCAATATTTGTCAATTGCTTGCCAGTGATATCGACCAATGGTTTCATTCTTATTTTTGAATGCTTGTCGTCGTCGGTAGAATTCGACTTCGAACTAAGACTTTGATAAACCAAGTATGGGCTCGGTAATTTACCACTTTTACTCATCAACGAGTTTGCATGTATGTAAACAAACGGGTCCAGCTCGATAGGAAACACGGGGCAGTAGGGGATATTGCTGATGTTTGTCTTGTTGGCAATTTTGACATCAGAGGATATCAAATCACCTCTGATCGCCACATGGTCAATAAATCCAGATGCAATCATTTGTTTCATTGCTGATACCTGTTTTGTAGTAGGGACGTCTAGTTTTGCCCTGTGGGATAAGTAAACCCCATTTTTGGTCATTAAACATCGTTCAACAATTTGCCCCACTTGTGTCCTAAGCTTTTGAATCTCTTGCATCATCTTTTGTCTCAAGTAATTAGTGGACAAGAACTCACTCACATTTTCGCTGGGAATATGATCTAAAGCACAAACCGCGGACAACAACATTAAACACTCACTTGATGGATCTAATTTTGAAAACAAGGCTCTTGATTGATAAAACTTGCTTCTGAAATTCTTCCTTTCTTCGTCAGTCATGTTTCCAACCAACTCATTCTCTGGAATGAATGGATCCCCAACAGACAATGCAGATACAATGGCTATAATGTAATCCAAACAATTTTGTTGGTTTCCAATGATTAATATTTTGGCGAATCTTGGACTCAATGGGAATAAAGACATTTTCCTTCCCAAATCGGTGATTTGCTTCTGTTCTTTATCAAGCGCACCTAAAGTTACCAATAAATCTTCAGCTTGCTTCAATGAGGCCCTATCAGGAGGAGTCGGAAAAGGAAAATTGACAATTTGATCAATTGCCATACTTTTCATGCTTAAGACAATACTTTCAAAAGGAGTTCGAAGTATCTCGGGAATGCTAAATTGTGGAAAGAATTCCTCATACACGGCAGAAGAAAACAACCGATAACAGTGCCCAGGTCCGGTTCTACCAGCTCTACCAGCTCTTTGATCTGCCGAGGCTTTTGAAATCCAATCAACATCGAACGATTGCACTCCACTTTCTTTGTTGTAATTTCGTTCTTTCGATCTGCCACAATCGATAACGTAACGAATTCCCGGTATAGTTAATGAAGTTTCTGCAACATTGGTGGACACAATGCATAGTCTGCTTCCTTTTGGTGGCTCGTCAAAAACCCGCATTTGTTGGTTGGTGGGCAAAAGGGAGTATAATGGTAATACATGAAGTGGACCAACTTCAGAATCAATAGTGTTTTGAGCTTCCCCAAACCCTTCCTCTTCCCCTTCGGAGTCATCGTAGTCGTCATAATTGTTCTCTTCATCTATTTTTACACTAAAGTCCACATCTTCAATCTCTTGTTGCATATTTTCCGAAACCCTCACGTCGGGGACCTCTTCAGCCTCAATTGCTTTGCTTTTTCTTTTCGAGAACTCTTCTTTTAGTCTTTTCACTAATGTTTTGATTTCATTCTGACCGGTTAAAAAAATCAAAATACCTCCAGGTGGAAGCTTTCGATGGATTTTACATGCCTTGTTGAATGCAGACTCGATGTAGTTGAAGTCTGTTTTTCGATCAAAATGTACCGATACAGGATATTGTCTTGCCTCTACATTGATAATTGGAGGAGGGGTTTTGAACAAAACTGGATTTTCCGAAAAATCAGTAACACGTAAAGTAGCAGACATGATTATAAGCTTCAATGGTTTCACTTCTTTCCTATTCTCCAAAAAGTACTTTCTTCTTAGTTTTATCACCCTGGTGAGCATTCCGATTAGAATATCTGTATTGATGTTTCGCTCATGAGCCTCATCGATGATTATAGCAGAATACTTTGTTAAAAGAAAATCTGACATCATTTCTCTTAACAAAACACCATCAGTCATAAACTTAAGTGCTGTCCCTGATTCAGTTCCTTCATTTTTGATCGACGTGTCAAATCTAACTTGATAACCAACTCTATGTTTATGATTGCCCAACTCATTTCCGACCCTCTCTGCCATTGACACTGCTGCCACCCTTCTCGGTTGTGTTACTCCAATCATTCCTGGATGCAGCTTGTTACCATGATTCCCAAATCCAGCCTCATACAAAAATTGAGGAACCTGAGTTGTTTTACCTGAACCAGTTTCACCACAGAGTATTACACAATCGTGATGGTAAATTGCCTCCATTATTCTGTGTTCTTCAGCATACACAGGTAGCAATACTCTTTGTTGTTGCACTTTGTCTGATCTTTGAACTTCCACCACGAACGCCTCTCTGTTCATGTCGTTATCAATTGGTATGTAACCTTCCTCGTCAGACAAATGGTCAACATCTTCAGGTCTAACTTGACGTTTTGAGTACTTCTTTTTAACTTCATCAGACACTTCTGCCACAAGGGGGACATTCTCGCGACCCTCAATGTGTCGAAGCTGATTCTCTGCCCATTCTTTAAACGAAGCGGCAGTTTTTGAGTGTCTAGGTTTATTTTGCATAAGCTTAGTTGGGAACTCCTCTTCCTCCTCGTCATCTTCGTCGTCATCATCTTCGTCGTCATCATCTTCGTCGTCATCATCTTCGTCGTCATCATCTTCGTCGTCATCTTCACTAACCTCCTCCCCACTCACTTCTTTCATTCCGTTCACACTACCATGGCCAAGTTCGCTGGAGCTATCCTCCTCCCCCGACGACGAAAACTCCTCTGAGGAGCTCCCCAGGTTATACTTTAACTTACTCAATTCTCCTTCACTTAACTCCTCCTTTGTTCCTAATGATTCGTCCTCCGATGCGTCATCCCCTTCCGCAATTTCATCAGACAGCTCGTTCTCTTCTGAGCTTGAGGCAAAATCATCTAAATCCTCTTGCTTTAACCTTTTCCTGTCCTCTTCTTGAACCCTTTTCCTCCAACTGTACTTCTTTTTCGAAATGTTAGGCTCCCGCTTGATTACTGGAATATTCTTGAATCCAAAACCCATTCCTGAACCTCCAAATTTGGATGGTCTGTTGTCGACAAATGAACTTAGTGAGGCACCGCTCTCGAAAGAAAAAGTTTTCTTATTGTCACGTTCATCCTCACTACTCACATCACTAACATCTTTGACAACTCTTTCTTCGTACAATATATCTCGTGTGGCATCATCACCTCTTCCTTGCTTTTCCAACTCTAGGGCCTCAAGCATTTGCTCCTTCTTAGTCAACTTCCCTTTCCCTAAATCTTTCATTCCTGTGAGCTTCGACGTATCCATTTTTGTCTCCTCCAATTTCTTCAAAAGCTCCTTCTTTTCCTCTCTTTTAAGCTGATGCTCAATGTACTTTTCAAGTCTCTTCTTCTTGGCTTTGGATAGCTTTTCATCTTTGGCATTTTGCGTATACAAATTCTCCTCCAAGGCTCTTTTTCTTGCTAGTCGCTCCTCTTCACTGATTGGTGCGAGTATCTCGGCGTTAGAGTCAGAATTGGAAACATCCGTTGAAGCTTTGGGTTCTGTCTTTTCTTCGGGATCTATCGTGGTTCCATCGTCTTGGGTATAGAATTGCTTATTTCTTGCTCTTTTCAAAGCCGCTTGCTTAGCAAGCATACCAGTTCTTGCCTTCTCATTGAACCTTTTCCTATATTTTCCCATAATATGCTAAAAGTGGATGGTGTTACATTGAAAGAAACCAAAAAGCTGTAAATTATTTTTCTTACCAAATCAAAACCGATGAGATGTGTTCTTGTTTTGTGACACTTGATTGATGAAACCAACTACTTTGAACTAAACCACCTCACCGACTTCACCAAAGGCTTCAATGGAACCAACAACAGAACCGTGAAGTTAAAAACTAGCCGAGATAAAGGCGTATAGTGAGAGCTGCGCAAGGTCAAAGTAAAAGGCGCTGGCAATTATTTGCTTAAGCTTAATCTCTTCCATTTCTCGACCCAGGGTGGATTCATCCATAAAAATTAATGCTAGTTATCAAACATCAACAACATTTACTCATTCAACATACTTGAATTGGGTGAGACGAAACCCAGAAGGTGGAGACTAACAATAGAGTCATTCATATTGAGCAGTGTATAATAGATTGTCTAAGAACGGCTTGATGAATTGGTTGCATGGTCACATACTAGAAAGTGCATACTCGGAGTAAAGACCCTCGAGCCATTGACCTAACTTTAGTAGTCTGACCTTGCCAACTTGATGCTAATTGGGGGTCTTATAACCTGAGAGTGATTAGATAATAATTACATAATCAATTTTACATCATACTTTGTGTGATGTTTTGCCTTGCATGAATTCCCAAATACAACTTTGCTAAGTGACTTGGGTTGAATCGATTCCTTTAATACAGACATTGACCATGAGTCACTCAGATATACATAAACACTGTATGTTGAAAGTAATTCCCTTATTTGTACATGTACTAACCTGATTTTTCTACAGTGATTTATTGCACCTTGACAATCAACTCCACCACATTATACACCTATGAGAACCACCAACTCATATCTCACTTCCCTCGTACAAATTGTTCTGAAATCATCTCTCAGGAATTGGGGTTGATAAACTCTTCCAAAACATTGGTCGGCTCCATTCCAGTTTCAACAAATACTCCAAGAAAATTGTCGCTTTATTTTATGAAAAAGTACATGAATGTGGATGGGAGTAGAGACTTGGTGACAATAGTTTCCATTGCTCATAACGATGTTAACAAGACTTTCATTTTGGTGGTGTTGAAAACCATCATGGACAAGTATATTGATTTCAAGAATCGTCAACAAGATCAAAACGATCCAGCATCCAAGGCCAAACCAGGAGAGTTTAAATTATACATGAAGCAAATCATCAAACACGAAGAGCAAAACTATGATGTAAACCATCAGAGTTATAATTACGGATCCACGAATGATGCCAATGACGGCAGTGGGTCTGTAAACCAAATTGGACCGAATCAATTACTACTTGCGAATGAAGAAGTTGGAGAGGTTAGACAGCTCATGTTGGATAATATCCATAAACTATTGAGCAGAGGTGACAAGATCAACTCTTTGGTGGATCAAACAGACAGACTCAATACTTCTTCGCTGGTGTTTCTGAAAAAGGCACAACAGATAAAGAGACGCATGTGGTTTCACAAAACAAAGTTTATTCTATCCGCTATTGGCGGTATATTGGTGTTGCTTTATCTATTTATTGCCAGTCAGTGTGGATTTCCTTTATTCAACCAGTGTATAAATTAAGTAGAATCTGTAGACTAGTATGCAATTTCGTTAATCTGCGTCTTCATCGTCTTCATCTTCGTCTTCTCCTTCACTTTGTCTATCGTCGTCAGCTTCTTCGCCACGCAATTCCCGCTCGTCCTTGTCTAGCTCAGATATAGGGTTAGCTGCAGCACTCTCGTCCTCATCCAGTCCATCTTCGATTTCATCACTCAGCTCCTCACGAATCTCCACATCTTCAGTGTCAACCTCAACATCGTTGCCATCGTCAACAACATCGTCATCGTCACCTTCGTCTTCGGTGTCGCTTGCAGCAGGTTTCAGCGAATCACCATCGGCAGTGTCCAATCTCGGTTTCTTTGTCACATTTTCACTTTCCCCTTCTTCTTGTTCTTCTTTTCCTGCACTCTTTTCTTCCAATTTCTTTTGTTTCTTTGCCTTTGCCATTGATTCAAACTCTGCCAATCTCTGTTTCACTTCCGGAAGAAATCCAGCAAATTCAGCTCGTTCCAAAGCTGCCATAATATCTTGAGCAGTTACAGTCTTTCTACCATTAGCTTTTGACACTTGTTTTGAATGGAATAACATATAGCTTACAAACACAGTAGCGGACCTTTGCAAGGCTAATAGGGAGTCTTTTGCTAATGTCATATTGTTTTGGTTGTCTTCATCCAAGGTGATTGATCTCGCCAATTTCAGAATAGTTGAACGAGGAAACAATATGTCGTCAATCAAAACAGGGTCCGTGTCCCTGAAAGGCTGCTCACTTGGATCAGCATTCTTTTTCCATCCCTTTGGTGGCATCTTTGTGGAGATTGTTGTTGTGGAACTCTTGTTGATTAGCAGAGCATTACGCGTCGTGATAAAATATATAGCGCATCCTGATTTTCCTAAATTTTTCTTGCAAGCCTACCCAACCTACCACCCACTCCTCAGGTGACAGGTATTCCTTACCCAATTTGACTAACACGCATTGAATGCTGTTGACCATTTCACCCATAACTCAAGAACAGAATCGACAAGCTGCGTCTTCAAAGGCTACATCGTATTATGGACGACTAGAGAAGCCGAATATAGGAAAAGTTACATTTGGAAAATATGAGTTTGAGCCTTGGTATGGTAACCCGGCTTATTTCAACCCTTACGAGGGAGTACCGAATATGTTGGGGTATGAGTACTCCAACATGATTGCTGCAGATCCAATGTCTCGGAAACGACAAAAGTCATATTCGTCTGAGGAATGCTTTATTGATCATTTATTTGTATGTGAGTATTGTTTCAAGTACTCAGTCAACGAGAATGAGATGCTAGAGCATTGGGAAATTTGCCGCTTCCATAGAGAAAATCCAGATGTTGGAACGATGGTGTATTATGATCGCAAGAAAAATCACATAATTCGAGAAGTCAAAGGTTACCAAGACCCCTTATTTTGCCAAAATTTGTGTTTATTTGGAAAATTGTTTCTTGATGATAAATCAGTGTATTTCAACATTGATCATTTCAATTTTTATGTATTTTATTGCAAAGATGGCGAAAGAGATTATATACCGATGGGGTTTTTCTCAAAAGAAATGATTGCGTATGATCCGACCACAAATTTGGCATGCATTTGTGTGTTTCCTCCGTTCCAACGAAGACACATTGGTGCTATGCTCATTGAGTTTCTGTATACCCTAGCGCGACTATCGCAAGCAACCAGTGGGCCTGAAATACCTTTATCGCCGTTTGGCAAGGTGAGTTACTTAAACTATTGGTCGAAAAATTTGGCAAAGCAATTGATACAAACACGATCGAGAAACTTCACTCTTGAAGAATTGTCCACGGCTACAGGCTATAGAAAGGAAGATGTGTTGTACACTTTGGAACACATGGGAGTTTTAACTCAAGAGCCTAATGGTAAGGTTGTTTTAGCCAGTGACAAATTACAAGAATGGGTAAATGCCACTAAATTTGACGTCAACAAGCAACATCCACTACTCGATGCAAAGTCTTTCTATAAATAACACTATGTAAAAATATGACTTGAATGTAAAAAAAGCTAAAACAATAGGTACTTGTTAACGTATTTGCAGAAAGGCACCCAACAACACAGACGAAGGCGAATCGTTATTCTTGTTCTTTTCAAAAACATTCCAAAATCGTAATGTTTCATCACCAGCACCAGTAACAATTGTTTCCCCATCAGGTGATAGTGATAAATACAAGACACGATAAGTATGACCTGTTAACTGAGCAATTTGCTGCATCGATGGATATTTCCAAACAATGATTTGGTTTCTGGAGTACCCATGAGTCGATACAAGCTCATTCGAGTTCTTTGACCAAATCAAGTTACAAACTTGTGAGCCGGTATCAACATTGTGAATCATGTTTCCTGTCAAAGTATTCCAAGTCTTGATGGTCTTGTCTGCAGTTCCACCACCGGAAGCCAAAATTCCTCTTTGGTGTGGCGACCAAGCAATGGCTTTGACAGCAGCAGTGTGTTCGGTAAATTGATACAAGGGTTTGGGATTTAGTCCATCCCACACAAACAAATTGTTATCATTGCCACCACTTGCCAATTTGTTTTCATCAACATTCCATTTCAACCCACAAATCTCCTGCTTGTGACTCTCAAACTTGTTGACAAAATGGTCTTCAATTCGAACATCACGGTTTAAAATAGTTCTATCTCTTGACCCACTTGATAAAATGTGCTCATTCCATGCTAAAGAGCTCACCCGTAAAGAATGGCCCGTCATTGTCCTAATACACTTGATTTTAGTTGCATCCCAGATTTCAACCAAACCTTTTGAAGTTCCAATTGCTAGATGGGTACCAGTACCAATCCAGTTTAAGCTTGTCACTTTATCCTTGTTTGACAAGTTACACAATCGGTCAACTGATTGCGTTGATCCATCCCACAAGTATACACTATCGCCCAATCCAACCGCCAATACATCTTGTTGTCCCCAATCAACCAAATTCAAATAAAAGTCATCGGAAAGCTCGGGTGCATCAAGCACACGATAGGGCACTTTTGCAATAGCACGAGCTTTCTTTTGTGGTGATAAAAGAAACTTTTGCGACTCTTGACGAACTGGTGATAGAGAATATAGTTCTTGTTGTAAATCTCGCGACACTGGTCTTGACTTTTTTGGGGACTGATACGTGAATAAATTAGTTTTACGACGTGGGGTGGACAACACATCATCTGAATCGTAAGTGGATATTGAGCTGGTATTTCCTGGCTGCCTTGCTGATGATGTGGCAGACATCGGTAGATGGGGTAATGAGCTAGATGATCTTGGTGGTGTGCCAGCAGTTGATATGCTGGAGCTGGCACCAGTACTGCCGGGTCGCAGATTAGATGCTTTCGCTCTGTTATTGTTCCCATTTGATGATGCAACACTGCCTGTCAAGTCTGCTGTTGCCATCGGCACATTATCTCCAAACAATTCTGCCTTCAAAACAGTTGCAAAAGTTCTATTCGCCTCCTCTTCCTTTCTAATCTCAATCTCATTATCGGCATTCCTGTTACTTCTTATATCCGGTAGTACTTCTTCATTTGTTAAACTGAATGCAGCTTGTAAATCCACGCCCATACGATTCGGTATATATCGGTCACTAAAAATTGTATTTTGATTTCTTCGTCTCGACGGTGATGAAGATAACAATGGGTCATTTGGTCTTAATGGATCCACGTTTCGGGTTGATCTCGAAGGCGACTTTGGAGTCTCGTATGACTGTAGGCTACCGCGTGAATGTTTTGAAAAGTTGTTGTTCATTGGCAGGGTGTAATGCTTCAATGATGTAAAAGTATTGGAGTAATATTGCCTTTCACCACTGGTATCGAGCTAAATCACTTTTTATAACAAAGGGTTCAATGCTGAATTTAGTCGTGGTAGCTGATGTATATGAAGGAAGTTTGAGATACGTGTCGCTTTAACACAGTTCTGCTTGACCTCTTGATGTGAGGTTTTTCTCATTATTGTTTCCTTGAAAACTGACAATCCTGCATATTGTTGCTATAGTTGACAAAAATAAATGGTAGCTCCCTTACTGAGGCGGACCCAGTCATTGCAACATTGAGGTATCCCACCAAGTTGAATGAACACACATATATCGGAAGAATACTAAGCAGGGGAAGGGAGACGCTTTATTGCTTCGTCTTTGAGTTCAGCATGCTTTTCGTGTGCCCATGATGGAGCAGATTTTTAAGAAACCTACCGGACATTTAAAACTGCGAGATGTACCTAGTGAAGAGTTGTTGATTTTGGTTGTTTATTAAATCACAAAGTTCACCCTGTCCCGATGATTCAATGAAACTAAGTGGTAACTGTTCACGCAACCCTTAAAGATTTATTGTTTCAAAACCTGATTTTGGTTGTTGTTAATCAAAACTTTCGAATTTGAATTTCATTGTGGTACTTCAATTGGGAAGTTTTTGCGAAACATATTTTCATTGAGTCTGTTGATCGAAAATGGGTGCAAAAAAGGGAAGAGAGATACACTAACATGTCTAAAATGCTGAATAAGTTGAGCTTTGGCGTAGGTAAGAGCTTATCATCTCCAAATATTGACTGAAACAAGCCTTCTATTTAAATCTGTCCATAGCGACAAACATTTCAACAGCATTGATTTTCATCATATCAACTACAAAAATTCAACATATTGAAACTTTTATTGTTTGCACTTGTGTCATCAGATCCAACCAGTTACAAGTTCGATCGTAGAGAGGCAAATGAACTCTATTATATTCAAGATTTCTTTCTTGGAACTCCACCACAAGAATTACATCAAATTCTCATTGACACTGGTTCATCTGATTTGATCGTATTTCAATCAGACTTCAATCACGAAAAATCAACATCATTCATCAACATCACAAATGAATTCACTGGATTATATGGTTCTATTGATTTATTTGAAATGGCCGAAACTAAAGACATAGTGGCATCACCACTGAATGGATTAATTTTACAAAATAAGACTTTTGGATTGGCTGACGTTGGTGTTTTACTGGAGAAGTTTGATGCTGAAAATGGCATATTGGGACTGGTTATACTAGAACTGAATTTGTCAGACCAATTTATAATAATTTCACTTATTTGTTGAAGGAGCAAGGCAAGATTAAGAGAATATTGTTTGCCATCAATGGTCAACCCAATGCACCTCCGTCGATTATCTTTGGTGGTTTACATGCAGGGGTATATGAAGAGCTATTTACAAGAATACCATTATTGCCAAGACTGGGAACAATTGAAGATTTTTACGTACCAATGATAACTGTTAACCAACTTAAGTTGGGAGATACGGTTGTTTCCAAACAACTTTGTGCATTTACAATTGATATTAGTGCTGATGTATTTATGCCTCCAACACTGGTATAGGTTACTTTGCTAGCTGCAATTGGAACTGATAGACTTGAAGATAACGATGAAGGTCACATTTATTTCAACATTGATAGTTTTGAGGGTAGATTAATAGCACTTGATGTTCAAGGATTACAGTCTAACATCAAGTTGACTGATTTGATTCAAGATGAAAAAGTAGTTGATGGAGTCACTTATGTTGCTATTCCACGATATTCTGTATATATTGGCATAAATGCTGATGCTGGTACATTACCTGGTTTATTGCTTAAGCAATGGTGTATGGTTTGGAAGTACGATAATCATCAAATGCATCTTGCCAAATACAAACCTGTGGGTGAGCAAGTCGAAGCAATTATTGAAGTGTTGAATGGGTATGAGTTACCAGTTGCTACACAAGATGCACCAAAACCTATGAACACGTATACTGAAGTTTACCTAGCAGATTTGGAAACCACTATAGCCGTTGCAAAGACTACTCAGGTGACAAGTTCGGAGCTAGAGAGTATAAAGGAAAATGAGTTCCAACTGTAGGTCAAATCTAACGATGATGCCTGAAATTGCACCGGCATATATGGACGTCATTCCTGGCTTAAGGAAAGTTCAAACCACATTGATTTCATTAACTGAAGATGAACAAAGAACTGAACCCGTGTTCAATTTACTTAGCCAAACACAGGAAATCTCTTTCGCTTTACATAAAGGGTAAGCCAGTGCTACTCAATTAGTGGTTACTGTCACAGAGTATGCTTATGTTCGTAGAGCAAATTAAATGTTTTATATTCGTTATAAACCTATATACGTTTGAATCAACATCCTCTCTTTTTGGTAAAGTCCTGCTTCACCATAAAAACATTCCCCAAAATGATTCCACTCTTTCATGTGCAATATTTCGCTCATCATCGATAGCACCATCAACACCGTCGTCATTAGCAACAACATGCAACGAGGTGCCTTTACCCCAAAAAGTTGAGGAGGTCATCAACTGGCTCCTCATGTTGTTGTTGATGCTGGTGTTCCAAGGACTCACTTTTGGAATCATTCTCCTTCATTGCTTCGTGTAGTGAATTTTGCACACCAGTAGTGAACTCCTTCATCTCATCAACTTTTTTATCCATATCTAAATTCATATTCATATCCATATTGGACATTGATTGAGCTGAATTTTTCTGTCCTTCTTCTTTTGCATTGGGGTCATAATGCGGCATTGACTCATCAGTCAGGAAATTGTCTTCCAACCAAAATGGGTCAGTATCAGTGTGAAACTCTTTGTGCTGTTTTGAAACTATAGGCATTTTCTATAATTGCGATTTGATGAGAAGAAGAAGAAGAAGAGGGAGGGAAGATTCAGTGGCAAAGGATGACGTTCTAGGTGTTATATATACTGCAGTTATTTTTGAGTAGTGTTGTTGTTATACGTGACTATCTCTTCCCCGCAAAAAAAAAAAAGTGGAAAAGGAACGAGACAAGGGAAGGGATGATGATGATGCTGTGGTAGAATAGATACATAAAATAATAATTGAGCAAGAAACATATGGAAAAAGAGAGAAAAATAAGGGGGGTCACATGATTTGATAGTTGTAATAAAAGGGTGATCAGAGCTATTGAATGATTCATGTATTATATCTACTGTGAGGGCATATGTATATTATGCATATATGTATTGAGTGAGGTCTGAACTAGGTGTGATTGCAAAAATAATGAACATGGTAGCACTTATAAATATAAAAATAAAAAATGTAACACGTGACAAATAATTGTACTGCATATAGTACCCTAACCAATCAAACAAATGTAAAATTTTATTACTACGCAACACAACATACACCTCCATAGCACAAACAAATTTTTTTTTTTTTTATTCTCTCTTCAAAGAATACCGGAACTATAGACATTACAAGAGTACATCACCTGTTGAAGCAGTAACTTAACCTATAAGAACCGCTTTGAAGAACCAGTCATACATCCATTTGCATCAAACCAAACCCACTCAAGACTTTAATCAGCGTCACTTACTTTTTACTTACTCCCTAATCATTATCATCATCACCATCATTGGCCATATACACACAGTACAATGTTGTCACGTTTCATAAGTAAATCTTCAGTATCGACTGTACTCAACACGTCCAAAAGATACTCATCCATTATTTCAGTTCACAGAGAAACCAAAGAAGACAATACCAATATACCATTTGAATTTACATCTGAAAATAAAAAAAGAGCTGATGAAATCATTGCCAAATACCCACCACAGTACAAAAAGGGAGCAACAATGCCCCTTTTAGATCTTGGCCAACGTCAATTGGGTTTCACTTCTATAGCAGTTATGAATTATGTTGCAAAATTACTCGATATGCCACCAATGAGAGTCTACGAGGTGGCTACTTTCTACACCATGTACAATAGACACCCAATGGGTAAATACAATGTCCAAGTATGCACCACTACACCATGTCAATTATGTGGTAGTGATGGAATAATGGATGCCATAAAGGATTATCTTCAAATCAAACCAGGTCAAACCACTGCCAATGGATTATTTACTTTACAAGAAGTTGAATGTTTGGGTGCTTGTGTTAATGCACCAATGATTGCCATCAATGATGATTATCATGAAGATTTGTCACCAGGTGGTGTGGTTGATCTTTTGAAGAAATTGGAAAATGGTGAAGAATTGAGTCAAATTGGACCTGAAACTGGTAAAAGACATTCATGTGAACCTTTCAGTGGTCAAAAAGTATTGTTGGGTAAAGAACCAAATGATATAAGGAAGTTTACTAGATCTGATTTGTGAAAAATATCGGGTATTAAATGAAGAGAGTCATCGATTTAATGACATTATATATATTTGATAGATTAATGAAGGTGGATTTAGCAAGCAAGTTTGTAGAGACAAGCACTCTTGGAGAGTAACAAGTGAACTGCTCTTCAATTGATAGTATGTAACTTTATATAGGGAGGTAGAGAATGCACGTGACTCTTTATATTTGATGATGCAATAGCGTTTGAGGTTAACTGCGGAAAAAAAAGAAAAGAAATTGTTTTTTCAGTCATAATTTTACATTATCTTTTTCCATTTGATATTGCAACCCAAGAAGAAGTCAAGAGTTCGTACAACACAAGAAAACATAACTAAAAGGTCCGAAACACAGAGCTAATAAACTATCACATACACATATTCAACACCTAATGGCACCTAAACAGAGTTATAGTCTTGAGACCGAATTGGTTCTCGCCAAGTCGAACGATCAACACAATGCATCGGTTCCACCATTATATCAATCAGCTACTTTTAAACAACCTTCACTTTCTAATATGGGTGAATATGATTACACTAGATCAGGTAATCCTACAAGAACCCATTTGCAAAACCACATTGCCAAAATCATGAAGGCAAAACATGCATTTGCCGTCTCATCAGGTATGGGATGTCTTGATGTTATTACGAGACTTTTAAATCCTGGTGATGAAGTTATTGCTGGTGACGACTTGTATGGAGGAACTCATAGATTGTTGACATATTTGAATAAAAAGGGAGACTTGATTGTGCATCATTATGATACAACAAATACAGAATTGATTAAATCCAAAATAACCACAAACACAAAGATGATCTTTTTGGAATCACCTACAAACCCATTGATTAAAGTGGTGGATGTAAAATCGATAACTGAACATGCACATAATGTCAATCCTGATGTAATTGTTGTATTTGACAATACTATGATGTCACCAGTTTTCATGACTCCCTTGGACTTGGGGGTAGATATACACTATGAATCAGCTACAAAATACCTCAATGGTCATCATGATATTATGGCCGGTGTCTTAGCCACTAGATCCGCAGCATTGGCGGAAAGATTATACTATGTAATAAACTCGACTGGTTGTGGATTGTCACCATTTGATTGTTGGCTTTTGAGCCGGGGTTTAAAGACACTAGCCATTAGAGTTGAAAGACAACAAGATAATTGTATCAAGATTGCCAAGTTTTTAGAAACTGTTGGGTTTAAAGTTAGGTATCCGGGTTTGAAAACGCATCCACAATATGAATTGCACAACTCCATGTGTTCTGGATACGGTGCCGTATTATCATTTGAAACAGGATCTATCAAACTTAGTGAAAAGATTGTTGAAAGTACCGATATTTTCGGCATTGCTGTATCATTTGGATGTGTAAACTCGTTGATTTCCATGCCATGCAAAATGTCACATGCTTCTATAGATGCGAAAACTAGAGAAGAAAGAGAGTTTCCTGAGGATCTAATCAGATTGTGTATTGGGATTGAAAATGTTGATGATTTGATTGATGATTTGACCAAGGCATTATTGAAGAGTGGAGCTGTTAGAGTTAATGATAAAGATGAGTTGTTTAATGCTGTTCCTATACAACCAAAGTTATAGAAAAGTGGTACAGGACACTAATGGGGGAGAATTTAAATGACTGGAAAGAATCGAAATATCATAAATCAGTAGCCTTTTCAGTACCTATCTCTTCTTCTTCTTCTTCTTCTTCTTTGTCTTCTATACAATTCTCTCGAATGATACGCGGTCACAAAATTGGGGGGAAAAAATCTTCAAAACAAAAGAGAAAAAAAACAAGGAGAACGCGTTATTCACCAATATATACCCACCTTTCAGCTCAACTACGAAATCAGAACATGACATCGTTTCCATTATCTACTGGTGCTTTGAAACAGGCTTTTTCAAAAGACGGCCATGACAAAGTTAAATGTCCCTTGGTTTTCCAAGTCACCAACTTGAAATCGGTAAACACCATGAATAATCTGAAGAAATATCGTATTTTATTGTCTGATGGCGTTTACTCAACGCAAGGAATCATTGAAGAGAAATGTACACCATATTTGGAAAATAACAACTGGAGCAGGTACTGTACTATTCAGGTGAATGCTTTCCGTACATTGGCTACTGCTAAACACTTTTTAATTATTGAAGATGTTGAGATTTTGACGCCAACCGGTGAGAAGCCCACGACGCCATTGATTAATATTGATACTTATTTCGCTGAACATCCAGAAGAAGCAGCATTGACTGTGACGAAAAAGCAAAATTCAGTTGATGAAAAGGAACAAATTCCAAGTACCACCAATACTCCACCTGTGGCACAATCTACCGCCTCTAGTATTGGTGCAGCACCAGCATCGTCAACAACAACAGCTACTGCAACCAAGCAACAGTATCCTCCACTGAAGGGAGTAGGTCAGCCAGCGCCAGCAAGAATTTCTCCTATTGAAACTATATCTCCATACCAAAACACTTGGACTATCAAGGCAAGAGTCTCATACAAGGGTGAACTCAGATCATGGTCCAATGCTAAAGGTGAAGGTAAAGTGTTTAGTATCAACTTTTTGGATGAATCAGATGAAATCAAGGCGTCTGCATTCAATGAATCTGCTGAGAGAGCTTACAATTTACTTGAAGAAGGTAAAGTTTACTACATCTCCAAGGCCAAAGTTGGTGCTGCCAGAAAGAAGTTTAACAATTTAACCCATCCATACGAGTTAACATTGGAAAAGGATACTGAAATTACTGAATGTTTTGATGAATCAGATGTGCCTAAATTGAATTTCAATTTTGTTAAATTGGACAAGATTCAAAATTTGGAACCAAATGCCATTGTTGACGTGTTGGGAGCTCTAAAAGTTGTTAATCCACCATTCCAAATTACTGCCAAATCCACCGGTAAAGCTTTTGATAGAAGGGATATCACAATTGTTGATGAGACTGGTTTTGCTGTTGATGTTGGTCTTTGGAACAATACTGCAGTTGATTTTAGTGTTGAAGAAGGTACCGTGATTGCATTCAAAGGCTGTAAAGTATCTGATTTCAATGGTAGATCATTGAGTTTAACTCAAGCTGGATCAATTGTTCCCAACCCAGGAACACCAGAAAGTTATCAATTGAAAGGATGGTTTGATAACGTTGGTGTTAAGGAGAATTTCAAATCAATGAAGACGGAAACGAACGCTTCATCTTCATTGGATAGATTAGCCAATCGTAAAACCATTGCTCAAGTTGAAGAAGAAACCAACAACAATATAGATGGTGGTGATCAACAACAACAACTGGGCTATTTCACTGTCAAGGCGTGTTTTTCATTCACCAAACCGGAAAACTTTGCATACCCAGCTTGCACAAACATTGTTTCCAACAATACTGATTCTTCTAAACCCGGTTTACCCTGTAACAAAAAACTAGTTGAAGTTAATGATAAATGGAGATGTGAAAGATGTGATTTATCCTACGATGAACCAACGTATCGGTATATTCTCTATATATCAATTACTGATGCCACGGGACAATTGTGGACAACATTGTTTGATGAACAAGCCAAGAAATTATTGGGCATAGATGCCAATGAATTGATGAAATTGTCTTTGCCAAATGAATCACACGCTGTTGCTGAATATATATCAAGAGCTTATTTCAAAGAGTATAATTTCAGACTTAGAGTTAAACAGGATACGTTTAATGATCAATTGAAGTTGAGGTATCAATGTGTTGGGTTGAGTGATATTGATTATAATACCGAGTGTGAGTTCTTGTGTTCGGAATTGGATGCGTTATTGGGATAAAAATGGCTCTAGTTGTGTGTGTGTAGCGTGTAGTTTGTATGAGTGTAGTATTTAGTGTTTGTGTTTCTTTAGTATAATCATTATTAATAAGTTGTGTATTGCTTTTGGATTGGACAGATTCAGCGTTAAGGTAGTGGTGTAGATTGTGTGAACCCCAGCTACAAAATTGTTTGCGTTACAAAGCTCACCAAATTGAAATGAATGGTTTGATTTGAAAAGTAAAACTCGCCCCAGATGCCAATAACTAGACTTTGTACAATCAGTCAACAAGTGTCATGGCTGAGTATGAACCAAGAATCATGCCAAACAAATGCTGCAACAAATAGAGTACGCGTCTCCACAACCCATTTCTTTTTTTTTTGCATTTTTCAATTTTGTGTTATATGTTACTTTTGTCAAGGAGATTAAAAAAAAAAGAGCTATAAAAAGGAGAGGACAATTCCCCAATTTTCTATTCTTTCTTTCGTTCTGAGCAATGATCTGTCGTCATATCTAGTTCGTCCCGTTATGGCTGTATGTCGTTGTACGAAAACTGTTAAACCAAAACACTTGAAAACTTATACCTATCTGCTTCTGCGAAAATATTAAATGGATTATTCATTGTGTTTGATATATTTTCTGAGGGGTGGATATAATGGTCAATTTGGGGATTCCGAAAAGAAATCGAGGCGTGTTTGATGTATGAGGCAGTGCTTTCTAGCAAGTACGTCTTCGCTGTCCTTTTACCCGCGCTTTCCCCCTCGCCCTTGGGTTATTTGTTTACTTCGTGATTAGTTTTGATTACTTCTCGGATGTTTGAAAACCAATTAGTAATGTCTTTACTTGTTATTTCGACAATTCGCTTCGTCGGGGGTTTAGATCAGTATATTGCACACTGACACACATTTTGATGATTAGTATCACAAATGTATTGTATTAAATTTAGGATGGTAATTCCATCATTATGTAAGCCTCTCACATTCTGTCTACTCTCACCAAACATCCGACTATAATCGTTTTGATTTTGCTATCAAGAGTGTTTACATATTTGTAAGTAATGTGCAACTGTCTCTACGAACTTTCTCAGAAACCTTGCTATCCAAAAATCATACGGGCACTATCATACTTCATTGATGCAAACTTGCACAATTTGGCAATTGACGCTTTGCGCTAAAGTACATAAAAATGTATTCAGAATAGATTGATTTGTTTTGCGCACATGTAAATGGGCGAAGAATTTCCAATTGAACTCCAAAAAAATGGAAAATGAAAAACTCACTTTTTTTGACAATCTTGGTCTTGCTTAGGTCAGACATGTATCCACAATATCGTGAATGTGTTTTGGAATAAAATGTCGGTAGACTTTTTTGATTCTCTGGTCGTATAGTTTAAAGGCTTTGGCCTTTTGGCTCATTGAGGATCGACTTATTTTCTATTTCGAAACTATCAAAAACTGATTTGATATTGTTTTGAGGATGGAAGATTCAAACGTGGATGAAAATCATTGCGCATTTGATGAGTGGTGGTTGTTAGCCGTCATCGGATGTGTGTTTTGTTCTCATTTCCCCATTGTGACTTTGTTTGGAGATTGATTTTAAATTCAAAGTATTAGGATAGCCTCTAGTTTCAAAGAGGGGTTGACCATTCTTGAAATTCAGAGAATGCTGTTTTTGGAATGTTCTGAATCAGTCTTTTTTCCGGAGTGTCGCATGCCACACAATAACAAGTTATGGACTGATAATGTTGATTCAACATCTCTCGATCACATCTAGATTACTGTCGTTTTTCCTCAGAAGAATAGTACACAGTATTGGGCTCCTTCCTTAGTGGCGAATCATTGCCTTTTGGGTTTTCTGAAATTTTTGAACAGAATTTGTTCGTTGATATAACGGTAACCTCTGTCATTGTTTACTTTGTAAGGCGTCGTTAATTATTATAAATTTGTTAATTGTTATAATTCCCATCATCATTGTGTAAGTCTCCCGCGTTACTCTACTCTCATCAACTAAAAAGATTGCACTTTCTACAAAAGAATCTATCTCTGTCCTCTACAAACTCAACCCCCAGCTGGCTAACCAAAAATCTTTGAGTACGTTATGTGCCATTCGTTGGCCTCGTGTAAGCATCAATTTATTGACAAATTGACGTTTGGTATCATGATCCAACTTGTCTTTACCCATGGGTGTGTTGTCAACTATGCACAAAAGCCATTTTTTAATCTCTAATGGATACTTATTGATGAGGTATCTAAACAAAGGATAGTAATAATCTAAACTTGATCTTGGTGAAGCCATGAATGCATTCATCAACTGATTAGTCAACTGGAAACCCAAACTGACACCATTTTGTTCTGCTGTCATCCAATGCCTCACCACTTCTTGGTCTTGTTGGACACCTTTCTTTGTTGTGATTAATGCATTCCAAAATTTGATTGTTGATCGAATAATTGGGACTTCTTGTTTGGCAAATGCATTCAAGGCAAAGGGAAACACAAATCCTTCCAAAACAGGGGTATACAATATCAATTTCGGTTTAGTGTCGACTATAGCAGCAAATGCATCTAACGACGACTTGATCAAATCTTCATCAGATTCAATAGTAGATCGAATGTCAACAAAAGCCAGGATCAATACATTTTCAAATCGCTTTTCATTTATGTCCCTTGCGTGGGTTAACACCACACTTACAATCAATTGATGCAAATAATCAATTGAATGTGGAGTTGAAACTTGTAACTTGGCAAGGATGTACTGAAAAATCAAGTCCAAGTCAAATGTAAATGGTCCCACAATGGGTTCATTAAATCCACTTTTGAGTATGCTACAACATTTTTCAGTCACAATCGTCTTTTCAGCCAACAATGGCGAGTCAAGTGAAAACGCTCTCAATTGTTGCAATATCAAACTTCTAATTTGTGAAGGATCTTCATTCCAATATGCCTTGACTTGTTGTAGCTGATCTTCATTTAAATATTCGTCAATTTCTTCAGGATATGCACAAGCTTTTCCAATTTCGTCAATACATGCAACTAAACTGATTGCATAATCCTCTAAAGATTCATCATTTATTTTACCCCTCTGTTGATCAATCACTTGCAAAATTGCAAATATTTTTTCACCCAATTCTGATGCAATTTTCCTTGACCGAACTATGGAAATGTATGAATTGGTGATTCTTTCCCGAATAACATTGTCAATTGCTGGGTTTTGCAACATTTCAACCAATACCAACTCCAATTGTGGTAAGAAAGGAATGAGATTCTCCTCGGCATCTTGACAAATGCGGAAAACTGTACGCGACGCTATTAGTGGCAAGTTCCCCTTTTTATGAGTTGTTATGACTCGAAATAGAAAATCAAAACTAGGGGCAAGATACTGGCTCCCAGTTTTGGATTTAAAAAAGAATGGCAAAACTGAAATGAAATTGAGTAAGCTTGTAGTGAAGTATTCGTTACCAATGTGGTTCTCCACTAATGCTAGTACATTCTTTTCGAACACTTTTGCAATTTCAAGTATCAACGGATAAGTGCTTGAGTTTTCGTCATCCCCCTCATCATCGAAAAATTGAATGTCAACGGTAATTTTATGAAGTAAATACAATGCTGCTTCACTTTGAGTTAAATCTGTCCCCACAGTATTGCACAACGTTGCATATATTGGTACGCCCAAGATAGAGTAAAGTACAATGAACAAGTCGGACACTAGAACGCGGTAGCGTGTAAACTCTTGCGACACATTATCTGAGTTTCTTTGAATCTTTTTAAAATAGGATACAGCCACTTCCATCAAAATTTCGTGACTTCTTCGCTTGTTGTCGGCCAAAAGTGTTGGAAATGATTCCTTCAACACATCGGCATCATCAATCAAAGTGTTAGCAAATTCATCCCAAAATGATATCAATTGAAAACTGATATTCTCTTCTGCTATTGGTTGGCCAGGGGCATTTGTCAAAGAAATGACCGTTTGTATGATTCTTGCGGTATCGTCGTGTGAAATGTTTCTCGTAAGTTGAATGATGTTGAGTTCAAGGTAGCTAATTATCAAGTTGATGTAGTTGTCTATTTCCAATCGATAAGTTTCCATCAATTCTTGGTCTGCAAATATGGTATTTAGCATTTGCATTCCAAACTTGTTTCCGCCAAAGAAGATATCCATCAACGTAGCTTTAAATGGATTCATTGCTCGCGAAATGTGATCAACAATCTCGGTTAAAACGGAAAATGTCTTGTTATAGAGTTCCATTTTATCAATATCAAAAGTGGTGTCCAATTGTTTTAAAAGTAAATTGACAAACATACCCAAGTCATCGGCGTACCTAACTTCTGAACGAGCCTCTGCCGTTGATGCGTAAACCACCCATGAATTCAAACATTCAAGAAGGAGAAGTTTGAATTCTTCTGGTAGCAGAGAATATTGCTGCAGTAGATAATCAAGCACAATTTGTAAATGATTGAAAATAGTAGTGTGTATGGTTGAGTGCAACTCTGCTACCAAAGATGGAATTTTTTGTACTTCCTCGGCTATTGTTGATAAAAAGTATAGGAGAAGTTCCAATTGTTTTGGTTCTTGCAAATTGGTGATAAAGTTGGTGATTAATGTGGTATCAGGGTTCAACAACTTTGTAAATGCAAGAATAGGGTCGAAATGTTGATAATTCTGTATGTAGATCAATGACAAGCAGCTCGATAGCTTCTTTATTATAAACAAGTTTGAGTAAAAGTTTTCATTGGTCAATTCCTTAATGACAAGCAGAATTTGTTGAAAAGTTTGCTCATAATTGTTACAACCAAATGTATTGAGGTACACTGTAATTGTCAATGCACCAAAGTACTTAACTGTAGAATGTGGATGTTGTAGTAGTTGTAGTCCTAGTTCATCGCCATGCTCACTTTTCTGGTAAGTTTGTAGTTTATCCTGAATAAAGTGTATCTGCTCAGCATCTTGAGAAGTGTAAAGAAGCTCTATATCCTAGTGAACTTGTTAGTTGATTATACAATAAAAGGCAATGTAATGTTTACAAACTTACCTTAATGACATCATTCAAGTCCAACGGAGTGATCATCTGGCTCTATAATTTGGAAAATTGTATTTGATTGATGCTGGTTGCCAAACTGAAAAAGATGTGCTTTTATTGTTTTTATGACAAAGATGAAAAATGCAAAAAAAATATTGACTTCCGGATAAGGAAGGTGGTTTCAAAGTGCGTGTTATGAGCAGTTTGAGAATAAGTCGTGTATTTTTGGTTTGATTATGTAAAGAAAAAGAAAAAAAGAGTAATGCCATAGTTCTATGTGGCTCGCTTATGTCGTATTTTTTTGTCTTCAGTTATTGAAAAAAAAAAATGTCGTACTTATTAATGTCTCCTTATCTTTCGGCATCAGCAGTTTTTGTTGTTTCTAAGTAGCATGACGTATACTGCATATAAGCACAGAGCAGTAAGCAGTAGACAAACAGACAGACAGACAGAAAAATTTAAATTAACTCCTACAGTAACAACAAGTTAATAATATCCAGCAAAAAGAATTGCACACTTCTTTCTTTACGATCATTCATCCCACATAAGAGAAGCAGAGGGTATTTTTAACGATGTCAAGAGTAGCTAGAGCACAGTGCGCGAACTGTACCTGTTCACCAGGTTTGTTATCAAGGACTAATAAAAAGTCTGTGTCATTTGCTAAAAGAATTAATCTCAATAGACTCAACAGCAGTGGCAGTATCAAAGATGGACAACAATCGAGAAAGGGTTCTGTCTTTACTTTAGATCCATCTTTGTGCTTGCCTGAAACTAAAGAGGTCAACACTACTCAAAGATTGGAAAGATTGAGACAAGAAATGAAGAAACAAGATTTAGGTATCTATATTGTCCCCAGTGAAGATCAACATCAATCCGAATACACTTCTGCTTATGACCAAAAAAGAAGCTTTATTAGTGGTTTCAGTGGTAGTGCAGGTATTGCCACTATCACTAGAGATTTGAATAGTGTTGGGGGCGATGACTTTACTCAAGGTAGTGCAGCATTATCAACTGATGGTCGTTATTTCACTCAAGCACTTGATGAGTTGGACTTTAATTGGATCTTGTTGAAACAAGGAGCCAAAGGTGAACCTACTTGGGAGGAATGGACGGCACAACAAGCATCTCAGTTGAGCTTGGATAGTGGGTCTAAAGTGAAAATCGGTATTGATCCTAAATTGTGGAGTTACAAACAGTATCAAAAGTTCAAAGGCATTGTTGATAAGCAGTTGGAAAAGACACCAAAGGCCCAGATTGAAATTACACCAGTGACCGATAACTTAGTAAACAAGATTTGGGAGGAATTTGAGACTTTGCCTCCATCAACGCTTGGGGAAATAAAACATTTGGATCTGACTTTTACCGGTAAAGAGGCAAGTGATAAGATAAAGGAGATAAGAGACCAGGTAATTAAAGATGACGTTGATGGTTTGGTAGTTACCGGATTGGATGAAATTGCTTGGTTGTTGAATTTGCGTGGACTGGATATTCCATATAACCCAGTATTTTACGGTTTTGCCATACTCACAAAGACTCAATTAAAGCTATTCGTAGGGGAGAATAGGCTATCTTCAAACATCATCGAAAATTTGGGAAAGGTTGGCGTTACAGTTGAACCTTATGAACAGTTTTACACATCGCTAAGCTCACTTTCAAAGGAGTTTGCAGTTGACAACAAGAAACTATTTGTACCAAATAATGCAAATTGGGAGGTTGTACGAAGCTTGCAGTGTTCATTCACTGAAGGATTATCACCAGTTGAATTACAAAAGTCAATCAAGAATGAAACTGAATTGAAAGGAGCACAAATTGCCCATTTGAAAGATGGTAGAGCATTGATTAAATTTCTTGCTTGGTTAGAACATGAAGTCGTAGAAAAGGGAGAATTAATTGATGAAATTACTGCTGATGAAAAATTGACTGAATTTAGACAAAAGGAGGATAACTTTGTTGGATTGTCTTTTGAAACTATTAGTGCTACTGGAGCCAATGGTGCAGTAATACATTATGCACCTGTGAAAGGAGGATGCTCTGTGATTAACCCAGACAAGATATATCTCAATGATTCAGGTTCGCAGTTTTTGGAAGGTACAACCGACACCACCAGAACTGTTCACTTCACCACCCCATCTAGAGAGGAAATAAGAAACTATACCTTGGTGTTGAAGGGAAACATTGCTTTATCAACGTTGAAATTCCCTGAAGGAACAACTGGAAATCTAATTGACTCAGTAGCAAGGCAGTTTCTTTGGGATTATGGGTTAGACTACGGTCATGGAACATCTCATGGCATTGGTGCATATCTCAATGTTCATGAGGGTCCAATAGGTATTGGTCCAAGACCAAACGCCGCTGCAAACCAATTGCAACTGGGCAATTTGATTTCAAATGAACCTGGTTTTTATAAAGAAGGCGAGTATGGAATTCGTATCGAAAATGTCATGTACATCAGGCCAAGCAAGTATACGTTTGCCGGAAAAAAGTTTTTGGAATTTGAGACTGTAACTAGAGTTCCATTTTGCAAAAAATTGATTGATCCTTGCATGTTGACTGAAAAGGAAATTAGATGGATTAACAAGTATCATTCTACAATTTGGAGGGAATTGAGTGATAGCTTGGACAAGAATAGTATCACTTACAAGTGGTTAAAGAGAGAAACTGAGCCTATCGCTCCATGAAGAAAGAAAAACTTTGTCAACAACAGTGTCCACTTTTATATACAGGTTAATGTTTAAAACTATGCACAACGTTGTATGTCTTATTACTCTTCGAAAAGTATTTGAATCTCTTCAATCCTTCTTTTTCGTCTCTCTTCTTCTTCAACTCCCACAGCTTCACCAATTTGCTTTTTACGTTCCTGAATCTTGAGCATTTTCGTTTCAATGCTATTCTCCATGATAAATCGAACTACTTTCACAGTTTCATTTTGGCCAATTCGATGGATTCGATCAATTGCTTGATCTTCGATACTGGGACTCCACCATGGGTCCATCATGAATGCTCTTGAAGCCGTGGTCAAGTTTAACCCAACACCTCCAGCTTTCAAACTCAACAACAAAATGGCAATTTTACCATTAGTTAATGGTGCATTAAACAGATTGAGTAATTTCCCACGACCATTCATGTTTAATCGACCATCGAATTTGTAAACAATAAAATCATCACTGGTTAGGTTTAATTCCACTTCCAATATGTCCAAATATGAAGCAAATTGAGAAAAAACAATAACTTTCAGATTTGGTTCATTGCATTGAATCAGTTTTAAATGTTTCACAAGCGCTTGTATTTTGGAACTGGTTCTGTTGGGATCATGTAAATAAATTTGAAAGTCATAACTTTGATCATGGGTTCGATCTTGTGTATGGAATCGAATTTCATTACCGGTGGTTTTTTGATTGCGAATTCGAAACAACTTGTATTTCGATATTGGTTCACGACAATTTGGACATTGTTTATCACGTTTTAAATCCAGTTGGAAATCCAAATGCTCCAAGATACAAGAATAGCAAAAAGTGTGTCCGCATGGAGTAATGGTGAGTTCATTCATGGGAATTGGTGATGTTGTACATATTGAACATTCATTCTCGGGTTTAACACAATCGTACAATTTGTAAATGATTTGCTTCACTTCGGTATCATTAGCAAACTTGCCACCACTTTGATCCTTTATGGTCTTCAAAAATGTCTTCATTTCCTCATCAACTTCTAAATCAATCACATCATCATCCATTTCATGAGCACCACCAATCAAATCAACATGACAACAAACTTGTCTCAATCGTAAAATGTGAGTTAGAATTTGTGTGTATTGACGCATCAATTGCCCAGTTTTCACCCCCTCCGTAAACGATTCAAATGCTCTTGATTTGAACCAATTGTAAAGTTTAGCCTCTTGGTCATTAAACTTGATTTCTTCAATAACGACTTCTTTTTCAGGAAGTTCAACTAATGGTTTACCGTTTTTTTTCTGATTCTTGGTTCTCCTTAGGAAAATCGGTTCCAAGATCGATTTTATCACATCCAATGTTTGTGAAATCTTCTTTTGTTCAAATGGTAAGGTAACAAATGTTTTCCAGTAAGAGAAATTATTCCAAGGATCTAGTTCCAAGAATTTCGCCAATGAATACAAATCGTCTAATCGATTGACAATGGGTGTACCAGTAAGAACCCATTTCCGATTCAGTTGTAGTTCATAAACCGATTTTGCAGTTTTGGTATTTCGGTTACGAATATTGTGTCCTTCGTCAAGAATGATGCGGAAAAACTTGACCGAGTAAAGACCCAATTTGGGGAGTTCACCCTTTGCAGTTCGATTTTTGGAGATTCTTGTATACTCGTTTAATATGGTCCCATAAGTGGTGATTACAACTATGGGGATTTTTGAATCTGGCTTGATGTTGCATAATGACGATGATAAATCAGATTCAGTTTCATCTCCATAGTACAAACGACAGGTGTGTCTAACGTTATTGTTGGCTTTTTCAAACTCCTCCTTCCATTGAGTAAGCAATGACATTGGAACAACAATCAAAGTTGTTTTCGAAGCATATCGATTCTCTTGTAAGTTGTGTGCATTATCGTAGGGAACAGAGTTGACCAATGCCAAAGTAGCAATAGTTTTCCCCAATCCCATTTCATCAGCAAGAATTCCTCCTTGTAAACTGGTTTTGATTATCGGTTTCTCCAATGACAATTCACCATTGTATAAATTTGCGTAAAAGTAGTTATCTTGATTTTGAGTAGACAATTGCGTAGACCCGACCCGAGTTTGCATCGTGTTATCTTCACTAGGCCACCTGTATTTTCTCCAAAGGGGGTTCATTGTACCTGCTTCTTCTATATTTTTCCTAGTCTCTAGCGACAACTTATCCTCACCCATGCATTGTTCTAAAACATCAACTTCTTTCTCCCTAGCCAACATCCATGAAAGTCCATGTTTTTGATATTCTCTCAACGATAGGTTAAAGTTTTCCTTTGGTGGTTCCGTAGTCTCCGGCAAACTCTCCAATAGCTTGGACTGGTTATTTGCTTGATAAAATTGTCTTAATTGATCAAAGTTGACTTCATCGGCAACTTCCTCAACTTCTGAGCCAGTAATTTCCATCGGTTGAGAAGAGCTTAAGTCATCTTCTCTGTTATCGTTGTTCAACTTTAGTGGCTTGAGCCTGAGCCTTTCAAACAAGCTTGACACACCCGCTTGTCGTAATCTCATTGATGCCTCACCCTCACTTTCAGTTGCAAAATTAAAATTAAGACCTTTTTTCAATCCTGGTTGTTCCATTGCCAAATCGATATTTTTCACAAACCCGGTACTTTTGAGATAAACCACTATTTGAACAAAAAATGAATCTCCAGTTGATAATCGACGTTTTGTTGTCTCTAGTACAATAACTTCAAAATCGGCAATATTTTGATCAATCAAGGGACTGAAAATCCTTGTCAAATCTTCTGGCAATCTACCTATTTCCCTTTCATTTAAACATAATCTTATGATGGAGCTTTTTTGAGCTGTTGAATTTCTTGGTACTAATCTTTTAACCACGAGTTCGTCTTTATATTTGAGCGGCTTCATGGTTGGCCTCGTCGCCCACGCTTGAACATCCAATGTACCAACATACCTGTGCCACGAATCGGCTTCAACTAGAACATCAGCTTCATTCTTCTCTGAATGGTGACGTTTGCGAAACTGTCCAAACTCAAGATTATCGTTTATTCGCTTTAATGGCGAGGATGAGTGGGTGGAAGAGCTCTTTGCCAGCAGGTGCTTCTGTGAACGTATGGATGATATGCTACTTGTTGGAGATGAGCATAGTGGCAGCTCCAAACGCGTTGTACCATCACGTTGCAACTCATCGATGTCAGGAGGGTTTGTGAATAATTCATGAGTGGCATGCTTGACACTCGAGGAGTGGGATGAGTATTTGTCGTATAGGTAATGTAGTATAATGGGTGAGATTTGACCTACTATTGCTTGGAGGTCCTTGGTAAATTTCTCAAGCGATATAGTTGAGTTTGCAAGAGATGAATCTTGGGTCTGTTTTATGTTCGCCTTCTTATCTTCCTCCTCGTCTTCATCTTGTACAAATAAACTATCTTCATGCGTACCTGGTTCTGTTTTAACTTCTTGTTGCTTTTCTTCCTTCGGTAGAAAGAATCTCTTTTTTGTGATTTGCATTCAATAAGGTAGAGTTGTAAGATGAAAAAGTTGATGCAATGACGAGTGGTTTCACAATCATTGCGAATAAAAAAAAAAAGTGATATTTGGTGTTGCAAAAACAAGACGCGACAAAGGAAGAGACGCATTTCCACACAAAGGAAGTAATTTACCAAAGCGCTTGAAAGCAGGTGTTAGTAGCATTTTGTTCTCTTTATGTAACTTGATAACTCATACGAGCAAATGTTACTGATGGAGTGGTAATACTGAACGTATTGATGAGTGTGCAGTATCGTCACTTCACACTGGTGTGGTACACTTTCCCAATTCAGTAGCATCAACGAGATCAAAACAGCACTGATGAAGTGTCACAAATGCTTTGTGTCTTGGTGAATAATCAATGCTGCTCATCCAGTATGGGATTCTTGGTCTAGCGTCTATAGCCGACTAAAACCGCGTGGAGCATCCGAACTGGTAAGTTACAGCGAACTTACATATCGTATCTTCAAAAGAAGCTGTATAGCAACTTTATTGCAAATTGTCAGGAACATACGAAATTCGTAGTAACTACTATTACCCTTATTGAGTCATACACTTACCCACGACCTTCCTTATCAATTGTGGAAACGGTAATCAAAACTATTGATTAATGGAGTAATTTGATAACTCCGGTTCAGGCAATAAGCGCTAAAAGTGCGCGGTAATCTTTTTTTTCTTTCTTTAGTGGAGTCAAAAACTCTCCGATTTCAAATACGAAAAATTTAGTCATAAAGATACGAAACTTTTTCTTTTATAAGGACTAGCTCATCCAGTATCAGCAAGTACAACCACTTACTGCACTATTACAAACATCTAATTTATTTAAGACAACAACATGACTAAAGACGGTACTCAAAACGCTAAGGATTTGACTCATTTGTTATCCCCAGAAGCCAAATCAAGACAAAATTCACCTTTGAAAGATGCTTTCAAATATTACAAGTTGCCAAATATGACCTTTTTGGGTGGTGGTTTACCATTGTCTGATTATTTTCCATTCAACAGAGTAAGTGCTGATATTCCCACACCATCTTTTCCGAATGGGATTGGCGCACCATTGACTGAGGAAAGTAAAACCACTATTGAAGTGTTTAAGAAAGCTGACCAAAACAAACCAAATGAAATTGAATTGGCTAGGTCTTTACAATATGGCTACACTGAAGGTCAACCAGAATTGACTGCCTTTTTGAAAGAGCACACTGAAATGATCCACAAGATTCCTTACAAAGATTGGGATTTAGTTGCATCGGTTGGAAATACCGAATCATGGGACTCTACATTGAGAACCTTTTGTGCTAGGGGAGACTCAATCTTGGTTGAGGAATACTCCTTTTCCTCAGCTTTGGAAACTGCCAATGGTCAAGGTATCAATACTGTTCCTGTTCCTATGGATGATTATGGTATCATTCCAAGCGGGTTAGAAACTTTGTTATCCAACTGGATTGGCAATAAGCCAAAGTTGTTGTACACAATTTCAACTGGTCAAAATCCAACTGGATCTAGCTTAAGTGCTGAGAGAAGAAAACAAATTTACGAAATTGCCTGTAAATACGATTTCATTATTATCGAAGATGAGCCATACTATTTTTTGCAAATGGAAACTTACACTAAGGACAAAAAGGCGAGAGAAGGTAAAACTGTACATGAACATAAAGAGTTTATCAAAGCTTTGGTGCCATCTTTCATCTCATTGGATACTGAAGGTAGAGTTATTAGATTGGACTCTTTCTCCAAAGTTTTGGCACCAGGATTGAGATTAGGATGGATTGTTGGACAAGAGAAATTATTGGAAAGATATGTCAGATTGCATGAGGTTTCGATCCAATGTCCTTCAGGTTTAACTCAATCAATGACAAACGCATTGTTGCAAAGTTGGGGGCAAAAGGGTTATTTGGACTGGTTGATTGGTTTGAGAGCAGAATACACTCATAAAAGAGATGTCGCCATTGATGCATTGGAAGAATATTGTCCAAAAGAAGTTACATCTTATGTCCCACCAGTAGCAGGAATGTTCTTCACCGTCAATATTGATGCATCCAAACATCCTAAATTTCATGAATTGGGTGAGGATCCATTGAAAATTGAAAGTTTGCTCTATGAACAGAGTATCAAACAGGGGACATTGATGATTCCTGGTTCGTGGTTCAAATCTCAAGGTCAATCAACTCCTCCACAAAGAAACTTGCCACAAAACCCAGCTGCAAAAACACATATTTTCTTTAGAGGAACCTATGCTGCTGTTCCGTTGGATCAATTGGTTTTCGGATTACAAAAGTTTGGTAAAGCTGTCAAGATTGAGTTTGGCTTAGATTAAAATATGAGATAAAAATGTAAGCTTTGTGTGTAATAATATAAAATGTTCTGCTTATGTTCTGCTAGATGCGAAAATGCGATTCTTGTATAAACAAAACAAGACTTAAGTAGGAATAACATTGCACCCGTGTCTTTACATAGAATGCAAATCTTGAAGATACCCTGGCTAGGGCACAAAGGTATGTTTCCTTCATCTATGATGCTTTACGCTTATTATGCTCCTTACTAACTATCCTGTAGCTGAAAATAAAAAAGTGGAATGTTATACAGTTACTATCAATTCACAAGGAACCCGACTAGCATCAGGCGGTCTTGATGGTTGTATCAAGATTTGGGACACCAATACTATCAATCTGTTTTTCAGAATCCTGGACAAACCATACAACAAAAACAAGAAACCGCAATCCGGTGCCTCAAGTGCCCCCGGTGCTGATGTAGATAATACGCCAGACTTGCCTGATAAATCTCTACGTCGACCACTTTGCTCCATGTCGAGACACAATGGTGCTGTCACATCATTGAAATTTTCTCCAGATGGACGATGGTTAGCTAGTGGGTCTGATGATAAAATTGTTTTGATTTGGGAAAAGGATGATTCACAAGCACCAGTTACATTTGGCGTTGAGCAAGCAGATTTAGAACATTGGACAGTGAGAAAAAGACTTGTGGCACATGATAATGACATTCAAGATATATGCTGGTCTCCTGATGGGAATTTATTAGTCACTGTTGGACTTGATCGATCAATTATAATATGGAATGCATTGACATTTGAAAAGATTAAACGATACGATATTCACCAATCAATGGTTAAAGGAATTGTGTTTGATCCTGCCAATAAGTTTTTTGCCACTGCTTCCGACGATAGAACTGTTCGAATATTTCGTTATTACAAGAAAATGAATGAGTACAACAACTATGAGTTTCAAATGGAGCATATTGTCATTGACCCGTTGAGAAAGTCACCATTGACTTCGTATTTCAGAAGAATGAGTTGGTCGCCAGATGGTCAACATCTTGCCGTACCTAATGCCACCAATGGACCCGTTCCTTCAGTGGCGATTGTAAATAGAGGTAACTGGGGGTCAGATGTGTCATTAATTGGGCACGAGGCGCCAGTTGAAGTGTGTTCATTTTCACCACGGCTTTTCCAGATTGATGCAGAACAGAATAAAGATGAACCTAAATTTCAAACCGTATTGGCTACTGGTGGCCAAGACCGTACATTGGCCATATGGTCTACATCTAATTCTAAACCCATAGTTGTGTGTCAAGATATTGTTGATAGTTCAATTACTGATATATGCTGGGCTCCAAATGGTGAGACTCTTTACTTTAGTTGTTTGGATGGATCGGTCACATGCGTTAGCTTTAATAAAGGAGAGTTGGGCCAGGTTGTCAGTGAGGAACTAATAGATCAACAGTTGAATAGATATGGTGCTGATAGGGAATCAACAATTTTACCTGAAAGTGTTGAGCAGTTACGGTTGGAGGAAAATTCGACAGAAGCTAGGGCAATTGCCATTAGGAAAATGATGCCCATGGAAACAGTCACTGGCCAATTTGAAAAGTTGGACAAAAGTCATGGTGCTGATCCAGCAAAAGCAAAGCCTGCAGGAACGTCACCACCAGCACCACCACTAACACCAGTTGTTAAAATTGATGCGTCCAGGCTACGCAAACAAGCTGTTTCAATGACTAAAACCGGTAAAAAGAGGGTGACACCTTTGCTTGTGTCGTCTTCGTCTTCGTCGTCGTCGTCGACTAACGTGACTCCAACCAAGACAATTGTCCAGACCGAATCCAAGAAAAGGAAGTTGCACTCTAATTCAAAACTATCACAGTCGAATTATGTGTTACCTCGACGCGGGTTTCAAACTTGCGTTTCTGGATTCAAAGAACGAGACTCCTTATCTACCTTGGAGCCAGAACAAGATGAAAATAATGATAATTTGGACATTGGTGGTGTTAATGCATTAGAGGAAGAAATAAATACACCACAACTTTCAGAAGCAGCTTTGAGAAGACACAAGAATCGTCAAAAACGAAAATGGTTAGAAGCAAAGTACCCTCATTCATTTAAGCAAGTGTCGCATTTGCCAGACTCCTTATTTGTAAACAATTCTTTACAAAATATTTCAATCAACAGAATCTATAAAGCATATGCTAATAATAAAGAAATCCTGGCGGAGCTATCTAGAGGATCAGCCATAGATTTTGATGAAGACTTGATGTTTTCTGTGGTTGTTAATAAAGCGGTGCATAACCGAGAAGCTAATGATGTTTTGGGTGAATTGAAGGTGGAGAAGATTACAACTACTGTTGAAGTTCGAAACGGAAAGCCATGGCATGAAAACGCATTGGAAAATGATCGAGATTTTGATGATCCCACTAAAGTGATTGTCTACAATGACCGGGATGGTGAGAATAGACAATTTACATTGTTTTTCCCATTTAGAATACAACTGGTCCTTCCTATCATCGATGACGGCCACTTGAAATATTTTGTGCTTTGCTCCTTCAATGGCAGTATACAGATTGTTTCAGCCAAAACTGGTCGGTATATCTTCCCCACCATTGAATTACTTGAAAATGTGATTTCCATGAAATATAGCAATGAAAAGTTGCTTGTTTTAACCAGTTCGGGGCTCTTTTATGGATGGGACTTGAAAATGGGGAAAGTGTACATGAACAAAGTTTCAATTGCTACAGTTGTCAATGCTTTTGATATTCGGGATCGGAAACATGTGATCATGCCCAATGTCAAAGCATTGGAGATGAATCCCAATGATGGGACGCCATACATTTTGACTGACTTTTGTAGCGATGTATTTGGCTATTCGTTGGATTTAGAGTGTTGGACAAAGGTGATTAATTCATGGTATTTCAATGTTGGAAAGCAAAAAGTCACGAGTAATGTTATAGTGGAAAGGGTGTACACTAGTCTGAGTCTAGAGTTTAAAGAGAGTGTATTACAGGGGAATATTTACATGTATAAATTTGACAATGATGCATCTCGTATATTGCGAAACTCAATGGTGAATAGAAGCAAGGAGATGATGGCGTTGATTCAGTGACTCAGTAACAATTTCACATACAAGTTATAGACCATTCCAAAGTAAAATGTAATATTTAACCATCAACGATATTCACCTCTTTAACCTTTGGCTTCTCTTCGACTTTCACAGGGGTTTCCGGTTTATCAACTTTCGCTTGAAATGGGAAAGAAACCATAAAGATTAAATCACTCAAGACATAATTCACAGCAAACATCCAACACGTTAACCCAATGGTCCCGGTCTTAAAAAATGGTAATGCCAACCACCATTCAATATAATGAGGTAAAATACCCACACGAATATAAAACAAGCTTGTCTTTCTCAACAAGACTCTCATTATCCAAATTGGTAATACCGTACTTATCCAAATCAATGAATTAGTCAAGGAGTTTACTTTTGTCTTGTCAACACTAATACTCTCATTCAACTCTTGCAATTCCAGCTTCAATTTGTCCAATTTACGATTCAATTTAGTCCATTTTGCATACTCATCTTGCGCACTTATAGATCTTTGCTCATGAGTTAAAATTCTAATCTCATGCTGTTTTGCTGCGTATTCTTTAATGGATTTGCTTTGAGTTAGCAAGGGTGTTGATGTGTAGAAATTCCAAACGATGGATTGGATTGTGGATTTGCCTATCAAGGTAATCAATTTCTGTAATAGGAGTAGTGTAAATGATGTTATTAGAATCGTATATGGGTTCAAGTCGAGTGAGAACATTTTTTGGGGGAGCGGGAGAATGATCGATGAAGGAGTAGTAGTGGTGGGTACGTTGATTGGATTTTTCAGAACTGCATCAAATGAAGTTGTTTTTAGACTGATGTCGGAATATAAAGTTTTGTGACACATGACTTTTAACGACACTCCATTCAGAGGAAAGTATACACATAGGAAGTCAATGTCTCTCTTAAAAAAGACTACAAACAGTTACACTTTTTGGTTTTTGAAGTGATACAGTAGACTCCTACATTACCACCCAATCAAAACCGACTTTAGCTTTTACTTGTTCTAGTTACTCCTCTTTTGCAAAAGTGTGTAAATAATACAGTTAAAAGTAGTGTGTGTGTATGTGTGTGTGTATGCCATTAAAATTTTCTTGCCTTTTAATGCAGAGAGACGACGAAAAAAAAAAAAGGATTTTCTCTCTGTCATTAGATAGAAAAGTGTTCAAGAGAAGAGGATAAAGAAGGAAGGTTTCCGCAAGTCGTTCTTAGGTATCCCCTCATTCATTTAAAACAGGCATCGTCAATTTCATAATCGCTTGAAGATACCATATTAGTATTACGTGTTTGCTTGTACAGAACAATTATAGTGTTTCACGTTATTCTCACGCTTTTTTATCAATCAGACGCACACACTCATCTTTAAATCTTCAAATTAAAGGCGCTGCCCACCACCAACATAACCACCATCGGCACAGCGCACATATAACTTACCCAACTATTATCATCATTGTCTTGCATAACATAATCAACTACATAACTCCACAATCAAATGCCCAGTGACCTAGAAGACGATTACATATCTTGGATTCAACAATTTTGTGAGGTTTTCGGTCATGATTACTTCGTACAAGTATCACAAGACTTTATTGAGGATGACTTTAATCTAACAGGTTTGTCCCTGCAAGTACCGTTTTATAGAGAAGCATTATACACGATATTAGATTATCAAGTGGAAACAGCTGAAGATCACGCCAATACCAACAACAATAATAGCATAAGTACAAATAACAACAACAACAACAACAACAACAGTAATAGCAATAATTCACGAGGGGCAAACAGTACGGGGAATGGTAACAACAACAATAGCGGCAGTAACAAAAAGTCATCTAGCAATGCGCCTGAATTACCTAATAAAGCCCTTTTGGCACATCTGGCTGAATTACTATATGGATTAATCCATGCGAGATATATTGTGTCTAAACCTGGTCTAACGGCAATGGCATCAAAATTTGAAAAAAATGATTTCGGCTCATGTCCGAGATACTTTTGTGATGGAATGCATTTGATACCGGTGGGGTCAACCGATGTACCGGGTCAAGAAACTGTTCGATTATATTGCCCTTGTTGTAATGACATTTACATACCCTCAAGCTCAAGATACTTGAATATTGATGGAGCTTATTTCGGCACCACTTTTCCTGGGTTATTGGTCAAGATGTTTCCCGAAATTGAAAATCAATGTCGTATAAGAATAAGCAAATTTAGTGCAAATGATTTCGGGTTGAAGTTGTTTGGTTTCAAAATCAATGAATTGAGCTCAACGGGGCCAAGAATGAAATGGTTAAGGCAGCATCCAAAGACTGAGGAAGATAAGCAAGAATATGAATATTGTGAGTATAGTGTACCAAAGTTGAAATATTTGGACGGAGAAGGAGGAGATGACGAAGAAGATGCCAGTATGGGTGAAGAAGAGGATAATATGGAGGAAGAAGAAGATGATGATGATAAAACCATGGCTAGCGAGTAGAGAAGAAAAGAGAAAAGGAATAACTTGGAAAAACTGGAGAAAATATATGCATAAGTGTGATAACCTATAACTATCTCCCTTTTTTCTAATGAGTCAAATGTACTGGTTTACCTGGTTCCCAATCCTTGATACCATTCAGTATATTGACCCAATATTTCAATTTTATAGCATCAGTAATCAACTCATCCCAATCTATAGGCTCCTTCTTTAATTCCAGCTCAATTTTCTCTTCAGCTTGTTTTATACGATCATTGTTTTCATCTTCCAATTCATCCAATTCTTGTTCCTTTTCAGCAAATTCCAATTGCTCATGAGCTTCCATCACTTGTAACAACATTGACTTGTACGCCATTGCATTTGCATCACTAGAGTTTTGAAATTTTGCAATCATTGATTTCGATACTGCATCGTCGGTTATATCTACTCCATGCAACAATTTGATTAGATGAGCCAAGCGTAAATATGGATTACGCAAATGAGTAAATGCTTGATTGATATTCAGTGATGCTATAGTATCTGATGACACATCCGGGTGATTTGAGCTTTGCAAAGTACGATACTCTTTACGGAGTTGTTTTTCATTGATAAAGAATGGATCTTTTGGTGGGCCACCCTGAGGGAAATTATGAGGAAATAGTTTGAAGTATGATGGTGTTGCTTCTGTAGAGAACCACACCCTTCTGAGAGCGGTGGTCAGTTTTGGTTTAAGTAGCTGGTTGATTCCTTTAAATAACATCATGTCCTGTCAGTCAAAGCTGTAGTAAGTGATGACCTGGAACGAGAATGCATAGAACTGATGCTTAATCATGTGGATTTTTGTTTGTTCGGTGTAAGTTGCGAAAGTTTTTGAGGATGCGGAAAAAAAAAAAAAAAAAAAAAAGATAAATAAAGCCGAATAGTTGAAATTTGACTTTGCCATCCCATACTCATATGTTCAAGAAAAGAGTCGTCAAGGATCCCACTAGCAGCTTCAAGAGAAAAACCACGGAGCTTGGAAATGATGATCCAGAAGGCACGTTCACTCCGGAGGAACGAAAATCGATAAAACGGTCAAAGTTGACCAATGCTACTGCATCCACACCACCAAGAAAGATTTTACCGACGTCCACATCTTCTTCGTCATCACTGCTACTACCGAAAGCTGAAAATGACAATGAAGAGTTGCCCCCAGTGGCCACTGTAGCAAAGACGTCATCGATAAAGCCGGTTCCTGAAAGTATCAACATCACAACAATTATGGATTTTCAACCTGATGTGTGTAAAGATTTCCAACAGACGGGTTATTGTGGATACGGTGATACTTGCAAATTCCTTCACATTAGAGATGAATCAAAACAGAAGAAACCAATCAAGAAAGAATGGGAAGACGTAGTCGCAAACAACGAAAACAATAAGAAGAGCATCAAGATCAACAACTCCCTAACTTCAACCATACCGTTCAAGTGTATACTTTGCAAGAAAGATTACCAGAAACCAATCAAGACTCAATGTGGTCATTTATTCTGTCAAGCTTGCTTTTTGAATCGGTTTAAAGTGCAAAAGATATCCAGTTGTGCTATATGTAATAAAGATGTTGAAGGAGTTATGATTCCGGTGTCGAAAAAGGAGTTGAATGAGTTGATTGGATGAAACATTTTAGGTGTTGGGAGAATAAACATTGATCAATCTATGCTATGGTGACGAAAGCTGCCGTGTTGTGCTTGGTTCACGAATTGAACAATTTGCGGCTCTTAGAATAGCAATTCCTCATATGGCTAACAAACACCATGTATTGCTTGATTGTCATAATCACGTCAATTTACCGAATTCTTTGGAAAAAGCGATGACGCCAGGTGTTTTGCACCCTTATGAAATGAAAATCATTTTTAACTACAAGGATGATTAATGAACAAATTTGGGAAATCCTCGTCTACTTTTAATATGGCTGGAGTTTCTACAACTCTAACATGACGTACAATCACAGAAACACACGTGTAAACCATAAAATGACCCCATGTGTGGATGATTATATATTCGTCGTCACGACTCCAAAATACGTAAATTTGGGAAAAATGATATCTCTTTGAAAATGAGGTCCTTCACATAGTGATAATCAAATACCAAATACTTTTTAAAATACTTGTTTCCAACCTGTGGGCCAAAGTTGATAAATAAAATATCACTAAAGAGCCTCTCCAACATTATCTTTTATCCAATCGTCTTTCATTCTTTTTCCCGTGTAAACATACAAGGAATTTTCCCGGGGTCGTCATTACTTCAATCGCTCCTGTGCTTGTAGCTATACGATATCCAATGCCACTTTGAGCTAGTAGCTCAATCCATTATCGTTGTGAGAGAAATTTAAGCCAAATTATGATTGTTGTTCTGGGAAGACACCTCAAATTCTGCTTTATTGGAAGCACTCTGATGAGATTCTCAATTGGTAAGCCGTGAAGTTCCATGGGTGTATGAGTTGATCCTCTTTTTCTATAAAAGAAACGGCACGTTGTTGTATAATTGTCCCTTTCTTTCATAGATTACGTTTAAGGAAAGTACAAGGTAGCAGAAGTTTTGATGCCCCGTAATGCATATTTAAAGTGTTCCTCTACCATTTTAATAAAATAGTGTAGTTTTGCTCAAGAGCGTTTTTTAAAACGGGATTTATCGAAACCATCACGGTGTTTTGGTTTTAGGATTGATGTAATAACCACAATGTCCCGGATGGTGATTGTTGTGTCGAATTTAAGTGCGATAAGATCAAAGATGCCATGCTTCTTGAGGTTTTGAAAGTCCCCATACTTTTTAAGAAAGGGAAACGGGATCTTTCTGAGCAATGTCTAACATCTTTCATATATTGGTAAGTGAACTTGCGAATGTGTATAAAATCAATCAACCAGGACAGAAGAAAATAATTAAGGTGTCAAAATACTCCGCGACAATAAAAAGATATCACAAGCCACAAAATCGTGCCAAATAGCAAAAACTTTTAGAGCCGACTTCTACAAATCATAGCGCTTCGACTAACTCATTCTTTTTTATTCACGCAAGGCTTGTAACCCTACTATCAAGTGAATACAAATCAGTAATCATCTACGACCTTTTCATCTATTCCCCGATAAGCTAATATGTCACAATTTCAAGAGCAACTAGAGAATATCCCCGGGTATGGTATCGTCATGGACAAATTTAATGACTACGCCGAAGATCATTGGAACAACACTGACCCATACACTGATAAAACCACTGGCAAAAAATTGAAGCTCCCACCCGATATTACTACAAAGCAGGAACAAAAAGCGTGGGCCAAGATCCAATCTATGGCCTGGACCCATGACAAATGTCTTTGTGGATCTTGTGGCGTAGGAATGGATTGTGGGTTAGGACTCGTACCATTTGCCGTGTTTTTCTTTCCGGTGTTGGGTCCTTTAGTCATGTATTTGATCCACATGAGATTGGTTTCATTAGCCAATGAACAATTCCATTTGCCAAACAAGTTGATGGCTCAAATGCAAGCCAATATTGGATTTGATTTATTGATTACATTCCCACCGATAATTGGTAGTTTTTTTGGGTGGATTCATCAGTGCTCGACAAGAAATGCCGGAATGATTTATTGCTGTGTTGTGAAGATGGCTAAAGAGAGGCAAGCACAGGGTGGAGTAAAGTATAGTGGGAGTGGTGTTACTGCTGGAACCTATGGTGGGAGTGAAGCACATTTTGGTCAAGCGCAGACACAAACAAGAGGTATGCAAGGCGGTGGGTGGTCACAGCAACAGCAACAACAACAACCATATTATTCATATGATCAACAGAGGAATGTACGAGGTGGACAGTATGGTCAACCACAACAGCCTAAACCGGCTTATACGCAACGTCAACTGAGGAATAAACGAAATGCGCAAAATTCCATCGAAGTTGGTCAACAACAACAATCAGGGTTTATATAAGGGAGGAGATGGTGCAGTCTTTGTAGATGTATATGTATTTTACATAGTTGGTTCAAAAAAGAAGATGATTGCAATCGGGTGACTCACTCTGTTGGTTTTAAACAACAGTACGTGTGTGTGTAGGGGAGGGGGGGGATTGACTTGTTGTAGCTGGCAATTGGTGAGTTACTTTTTGCATCTTTGTGAGGCTGAAACAAATTCTAGCGGGGCAACTGGTAGCTGCTGTCTTTGAGTTTTGCGCGTGCCTGTGAAAATATGAAAATTACCTTTTTTGACGTCTCTTTTTTGGAAGTTTCTACACATTCTTCATCATTGTTTGCACGCTCTTTTGCCACAGATAGTTGCACCGTTACTGATTTCCCCAATATGTTTGAAAGACCAGAGGGAATTGAAAATTGTCGAATTTGGGTCGATGGCTGCTTTGATTTCGCCCATCATGGTATGTTTTTCAAATAAGAATACTGGATCTTTTTTAGAAACCGTCCGTGAATACTAACCCTTTTTGTCTTGTAGGACACGCAGGTGCAATGTTACAAGCACGTCAATTAGGTAAAGAGCTCTACGTTGGTGTTCATTCCGATGAAGAGATTCTTGCCAATAAGGGACCCTGTGTCATGAAATTAGATGAACGAATGACTGCCGTTGATGCCTGTAAGTGGTCAACTAAAGCCATTGCCAATGCACCATACGTCACCGACCCCAAAGTCATGGATGAATACGGATGTAAATACGTTGTTCATGGAGATGACATTACAACTGATGCCAATGGTGAAGATACTTATCAAGTGGTTAAAGATTTAGGTAAATTTGTTGTTGTTAAACGTACTCCCAACATTAGTACTACTGATTTAGTTGGAAGAATGTTGTTGATGTCCAAGAACCATCATTATCATGATTTGAATGTGGCCAAAAACTGGCAAAAATTGATTAACGATGGTGATAATTTGGACAGGTTTACGCAGTATGCTACTGATGAAACCGGGTTGAAACCGGGTGCTGTTGTCTATTTAAACACTCCCGATGAGTTGAAGACGATTGTTGAACCAAGTAAAACAGTTGCGGAAAAGGACAACACTAGAGATGAAGATTCCAAATATGTTTACATTGATGGTGGATTTGATTTATTCCACCCAGGGCATATAGAAGTATTGAAGCTAGTTCACCACCGAGCTCAACAATTGGGAGCTAAAGTAATTGTTGGAATCCATGACGATTTGACGGTAAACAAATACAAAGGATTAAACTACCCCATTATGAATATTTTTGAACGATCATTGTGTGTATTACAATGTCGCTATGTTGATGGGATTGTTTTGAATGCACCGTATGTCCCCACGAGACAATTTCTTGCCCGCATTGGCAATGTGGTTAAAGTGTATCATGGACCTACTGATGTTGATGAATCAGTTTATGATGAAGTTGCCAAAAAGAATGAAGATAATGGTGGTGGTGCTGGTGCTGGTGTTTATGAAACTTTACCTAAACATAAATATGATCATATGAGTACTGAATTTATTGTTGATCGAGTGTTGCAGAATAAAGCTGTTTATGTTGAACGACAAAAGAAGAAAGGATGGAAAGCAGAGATGGAGAAAGTGTTGGAAGCTAATGAACGAAACAAGAGAAATGCCGAGGAAGGGGAGCTAAAAAATTAGTTTTCAAAGGATGGTTACTGAGTGGTTTGGTCATATAGAGTAGGTGTCATTTCTATCATTATAAACATCATTGTGATTATATGAAATCCTTTCTATACAAACAAAAGCTCTTATATACAAAGAAATTGTAATTAAATCATATAACACCTCATCAAATCATCAAATCATCATCATCATCATCATCATCAAAAAAAAAAGAAAAACATCGTAGCAAGTGGTGTATGTCAAACGTCTCTCATTACAGCTAAATCCTTGTTTTTTTTTTATGCAAATTTAGCATCAATTGAATTATTCAATTGCATCAATTTCAATTCATTGACATCATGATTGGAGTTTCTTCTTGTACTCTTTTTGTTAAACAATGTGTAATCGGATTCATCACCATCTTGACCCCAATTGTTTCTGCCAGCACCGTTTTTCTTAATCTTGGTTGGGTCAGTGTTGATGTAACCGTTATGAGTAAACCATTTTGGTTCTTGGGGGCGTTTTTCATGGACTGTCCATTTCTTTGTTTTTGACATGGTATTGTAAAGTGTTGATATAGTTAGTTAGTTAGTATATATGAGTTAGTGTGTGTGTGTGTGTGTGTGTGTAATAGTTGTTTGTTTCTTGATGTATAAAGAAGGTAGTGAAGGAAAGTAAGTGGTATTTGGATTTTTGGGGAATTTGCTCAAGTATTTATAGTTTTTTGTCAACAACGGGGGGGAGAAATGTTGTTGAGATTGTTGAAAAAAAGTTGTATTACGTATTACGTATTACTTTTATTTGTGTGTGTGTTATATAACTAAAAAGTGTGGAGTAGTAAAACACTAAAAGCCTTTTAGATGTTCCTTCCACTCAACAAGTATTTTTAACAATAGATAAATAGATAACACTCAATTTCAAGGTGTATACAGTCTACGTGTATCACACCACACTTTACACTTGTAGTGTATATAGTGACTCATTTCATCAGCCAGCATTTTGCCATCAATTGAGTGACCCTCAGTAGTTGACTGCTGATGGTTGGCAAAATCAGGTGGTGCATATTGATTTTTGATCACTGATTCCATTGCATTTTTGTGTTTTGTTTTCGGATGAAAGAACGACAAAAAAGGAGAAGTATGTGCTACCAGATGCTCTTCAGATAAAGGAGAGGGGATATATATATACTAAGGCATATATTGTCATACGTTTGTTGACGAAAAAAAAAGAAATCAAATTTGAAATTGGATTCTTCGATTTCGGTACTTTGGTGATGATACGAATTACTTCTACTTTAGCTGTGGGCTTGTGGACACCAGACTTAATCCTACAATCAGTCGGAATGCTTTTTACTCACCAACTTCATCCTCCCCTCCCCTTTTTCCTCTTTTATCTCTCGTAGAAGAGTCACGCGAGAATTAGTTTTTGTGTTTTAATAGAAACAAAAAAAGGAAAACAGTTGGAAAGCCCAAACTGGGAATAATAATAATAATAGTACAAAGCGCATTCGGAGGGCTTAACTAATTGGCCTGTTCCGGCCACCGTTGTTCTTCAATAACCCCAACAGGTTTTTTGTTTTGTTTTGTTTTTTTGTAAACCAGTACACTCAACCAGCTAATTTCTTAGGAGAAATCACACACATTTTAGAGCTTTCCACCAAGTTGAATACTATACTTCAAGAGTCAGAGAGTAACTCATCAAAAAGATAGGTTCTTATTTTTTAGAGAGGGTTCACTCGTACTTGTCTTTGTACACTGGGAAACAATTCTGTTAATGATTACCCTTGTCTTTGCAAATGCTACAGAAACTTTATGTTACAAACTCTCTACAATCTCCAACTCTTTTGCACTAGTCATAACCAAGTCTGTGATGTCGCAAAAGTCTAGGTGATTATGGCCATGACTGTTAATGGCCAGCTGAATGCTTCAAGACTGTTGATACTATGTCTTTATACGTTTGAATGGCGTTTTCGCTACCAGGTTCAAATTTCCCATTTTTTTTGTTTTTTTTTTTGGTTGTTTTTTTTTTTTGCAACTTCTCCATAACAAAAACACCATTCTATCAGAAAAAACTTAATACATTTATATACAACTCTATAACATTCCAACATTTCCATAACACTTCCCTTTCTTCCTCTCTTTCCCTCCTTTCAGCACAGTACCATCAACAACCTAATCTTCCTCCCCACCATGAAGTTACTTTCATCCATATTCTTTCTCAGTCTCACTTTAGCAACAACTTGTCTATCAGATAAAGCTCCTAAAATCAAAAAGAATCCCAAAAACATTGTCGCCATTGCTGATTTTCCATTTGGTGGCAATAAGGATATCAAAGGAAATGTTGTCTTTACTTCATCAGGTAAACATGTAAATGTTCACGTTGACATGACTGGATTCCCTCATAATGAAGGTCCATTTTATTACCATATTCATGAACGATCAGTACCGGAAAACGGCAATTGTGAAGCTTGTGGATTGCATTTCAACCCATACAACTCCAGTCCTGATTGTCTTGCTCAAAAACATGATGGGTATTGTCAAGTGGGTGATTTATCAGGTAAACATGGTGCTGTAAATAGTACTTGTTTTGAATTCAAATTCACTGATCCATATTTGTCATTAAACAAGAGATCAAAGAGCTATATTGTTGGTAGAAGTTTGGTTTTCCATTATGCAAACATGACGAAATTGGCTTGTGCTGATATTGAATTGGCAAATGATTTGCGCCTTCAAAGTTTAATGGATGAATATGTTCAAACTGATGATACGGTACAAATAGCCCAGTTGAAACAATCATTGGATCAAGGTTACTCTTTTGATGCTTTGGAAGCTTTGAGAAATGAAGTGTATGAAAGTGAGGATGATGAAGTGACGAATGAGTTATTGCCACCATCTTTGGAACAGGAAATCAAACAGCCAAATGAAGAACCAGCAGCACCGGTGATTATTGATAACGAGCAAAATGACAAAGACAATTCGGAAGATCTTTCTCGATCAAAGAATTTCAAACACATCTTGCAAGACGTCAAAGTGTTGCCGCAAAAACTAGTCAACAAAACCAAAAATCATTGGTCCAAAGAAGACGAGGGCAAATTTGGCAAAACCAAATTGGACAAGTTAATTCATCACTCATCAATCGATTCACCAAATTCATCGGAATTGAAATTGTATCAAAACCAAACCAATGTCACCTTGCATGGAATTTCTGAAGATTGTTCACCAAATTCAAGTTCTGCCTTGTTTGCAACCTTGTCAACTTCGTTTCTTTATGCAATGATGAATTCATTAATGATTGGGTTTATCATCATGTTGTTGATATGATTCTGTTGAAACCAATATTGGTTTTGCAAAATATTGTTTTCTTTTTTTTACTCTCATCCCTTGGACGTCATCTTCCTTTGGAATTCCCATCTCAAGTATATATTAATATAAGATAATTGATAAAGCAGAAAAGAGCACAACATCATTCTCTTGTGAGATTTTGTCCCCTATTGTAAGATCATGGTTGAGTTTTGCATCTTTTCTAACCCAAACAATCTAATACAATCAATGTAAAAGCCCCTTCCTTCATGATTCAATTTGCCAAATTGGAATTTATGTACCCCACCAAACATGTTGATCTTGATTGGTGTGTCTTCATCAATGACTTCTTCATCTAACCACAGTAGTATCTTCAGTAATGGAATCAACCCCGGCATCACTTGTGGCAACTTGTACTCATCAGTTCTACCTATATCATAATCACTAAGTAGTTGCTTAGCTTCTCTCTTTGCATTAGCATAAACCTCTTCCCCACCATACAAATCCTCAGCTGCATTATAATTAACTTCACAAATTGTTGCAGATTTAGCATGCCCCGTAGCTTCACACTCCGACTCTTTCCCCTGTTTGGTTTCACCAATGGTTCCAATAACAAATAATCGACCATTTGCCAAGTATGGCTTCACATCTTCTATGGGATAAAACGTCTCACTACAAACATCAAGCACTTCGCCTCCAAATTTAGCCTTGTAGTTCATCTTGTCACAATCTTCAATATAATATCCCAAGTAGTACCAATCAAACCCCAATGCTTGACACATTTGAACTTCATTGATCCCCAGAATAGTCCCCAATGACAAATGTGCATAATCGGGATCCCAAATGAAATATATTGATGATATCCCACTAGGTAAGAAATCCAATATGGAAATTGCAATTAGCTTGTCATTGAGATAATAGCATGCATGAGTAGGACCAATTCTTTTCTCTTGACTATTTACGGACCAGTTGTTAACATCAAGACTTTGCCATTGCGCATCAATACCGCGTATCTCATCACTTGTGAATGGTGAGTGACAAAGAAACCTCGTGAATGATTTCTCAGTAATATCATCGGGATCATCATTATGTACTGCCACTTGATATTTCTTGTATAGTTGAAATTTTTCTTTACTAAACTTTGATGGTTCATACTCGATTTTAAATGTCGTTGATTTCAATTGTGCTTCCACCAATCGATCCAAATTGAATGAATTCTTCACCACAGGGCTCAATTGCGATTCATCAGGGACAATCTCTTTAATAAACTTGTTGATTGCCTTGCGTTGTTTCTTTGTTGGTTTAAAATATGACATATTGGTACGAATTGTATACAAGCGACAACACGTCCTTAGTAAATCACTCTTGTATAAAAAAGTTCCTGATCGTCTGAATCCCTGATTTATCAATTCATCATAGTTCTGACACGTCATTGATGTAATTGTAGACCCCACCATTATCGATTGCTTGTCCCTGCCACGCTGTTGTGTCCCCGTTGATGCTGCTTTTGCTTGGCTTTCCAATGCATAGTAGTCCTGTTTAGTATCATTGCAATATCCGCAATGTCTCTCCTTTATATACAACGGAGCTGAGAAGATCATAGTACAATGGTGACGGTTATGTTGGGTCACGATGTGAGACCCTTTTAAATATGTTTCCTTTGTCGCGACACAACTCTTTCTTTTTCTTTGCCATTTGAAAACATTGCACTCAAGTTACGACACCCCCTTACTCTTCCCTTATCTTTATCGAGGGCAGGAAAGGACACTCATCACTCACTCGTTTCCACATACGCAACACTCCATTGCATATCACTCTAACCTATCTACTATGAGCTCAGCCAAGACGAGTCCCGTCAAAAAGCCCACTCAAACTCCTGAACCCAAGAAAGAATCTGGCATTACAACAACAAATGGCACTGACGACGCCCCTCCTTCTACGACGAGTGAATTTGATGAAGACCCATCAATCCTCTCTGACCCAGAAGATTACTTAGAAGAGAATGAATCACTAGATATGAACTTGAGCCGAGGTGATCAAAAAGTGTGGCTTGTGAAGTTGCCCAAGTATTTGATGGAGAAATGGAATGATCCCGAATCAATGAAGAAAGGCAATCAACTAGGAAATGTTAAAATTCGTAAAGACCCCAAAGGTAAACTAGAAGTAAAGCTTGTTTTAGAAAAGAAGGAAGCTGATATCCCACAAGAATATGATATCAAAATGCTCAATACGCAGGTTCGTAATTCTTACGCCTTCACAGAGGAGAACTTGAAGAAGTTTAAACAAGAATTGACTGAAGTTGGTGAAATGCCCCAACAACCAGTATTGAAAGAAACTGACGATAAGAAGAAAAAGTTTCAGCCAAGAAGAAAATTCAAATATTTCCGAGTGCAAAAGAATGGGGATGGCTCCGATGGACAACCAGTTAAAAAGTACATTCCATTCGTTAAAACCATTCCTAAAAAGACTAGTCTTTTGGGTAAAGTTGTTCACGATTGTTCTATTGTTCCGTCAAGAAGAGATCAAAACTACTCGGCATTAATCAAGAGTCGTGATGCTAATATTCAAGGTCCGCCACGACCAAAAGTCACTTTACTTAATGAGATCCCTGGAGTTATTCAATCAAATGCTGGCCCTTCAATCAAAGGTAACAATACTTCTGTGTTTCTTAAATCTACTCAACCCAAGAATAAAGCTGATGGTAGAGCCATCAGAATGCCCAAACAAGATCTATTGGACTTGTTGTTTAGATTGTTTGAAGAGTACGAGTACTGGTCTATTAAGGGGTTAAAAGAACGAACAAAGCAACCGGAATCGTACCTCAAAGAATCATTGGATTCAATTGCCATATTGATTAAAAAAGGTCCCTATACTTCGAAATGGGTGTTGAAGCCTGAATACAGAAAATTAAGGGATGCTGAGAGAGCAGCAAGGTTAGGACTCAATGATGACGACCAAGGTAAGGAGAATGAAGATCAAGCGGAAGGGGACAATGATGATGAGGAAATGGAGGATGTTATTTGAGCAGAGACCTCTTCTCTATAGCAAGTTGGTTGATTAGATTCATTATATACTGTAATGAGATATAACACAAAAACATTTCTCAAGTAGATATCGTTTTTTGAAGGTTAACTTACGTGTATTGAGTAGGTCTAGTGGGCGGTACTGAGGGAAGTATAATTATCAATCTGCAGAAGAAGATTGGATACACATGTTCCAATAAGGTGTATACGGTCAGGTGTGTTAATCTAATGATCAAATTTAGAAAACACAAGAGAGAAGAGGATTACAAATCGAGCAGTTGTACAATTCAGAGCACTCCGTTTAAGGATACAGAGACTGGTCACTGAACAGAGCTGTTTGGGTTGTTGCTCACATTGGACAAACTTGAGTAAAAACAAATCCCATTCGTCCAATGGTCCAAACTCAAAAGCTCTTAATCCAAAACACAATTACTCGTCCAAATCTCCTTGTTTGTACTTGTTCGTTCTCCTACATTACAACGCTCCGTTCTCTCTAGTAATGCAAAAAAAAATTATATATCATTCCATTAAAAAAGTGTTACACACATTCCCATCATCATTCAAATCTCCATTCAACAAGTCGTTTATAAGTTGGTGATTTTCAAAGTTGGTGGCAATGATTGTTGCAATTTCTTGGCTTTAGTAGCATCGTTGACAACCAAAGTGTATTGATATTTAGAACCTCTGACTTTGAATTTAGTTTGTCTAAACTTTTTACCATTGGCGTTGATCTTGGTGTTGACTTTGACAATAGCTGATTTGACGTCTGATCTTCTAGCTAATTCAACAAACTCTTTTATGTCTTTGATTTCCTTGGCCATTGTTGTATAGTGTAGGTTGGTATGTGGATGGTTAACAGAGGTTTCGTTATCAGAATTTAATTTTTCACCCAAATTACGAGAAGGATTCGTGGTGATTTTTTTTTCTCTGTTGATAGTGACGGTCGTGTGAATGTCAAATTAGGGCTCAGCCCTAAAAGGTTACCGAGTTAAACACCTATATTGAGCTAAACAAGGTGGAGCATAGAAGACGAAACAGAAGGACATATGTAACTCATTTAAAGCTATCGAAACTCCCACTACTAGAGCTACAATATACTGTGCGATGTTACTATCGGCTGCAAATTATCGGTAGCGCTATACACCAGACTGATTGTACCTTCTCTCCTTGAAGTTGATGAGCCTCTTGACACTTATGATCCACTTCCGTGTTAATTCGTTCATCATGATGTTACTGACATTCTTACTTCCCGTGATCCTCAGACTGGAGCTTCGTGCGTGAATTCCTACATTAACAACACCAATTGGCCAACAAACATTACCAATGCTCAATTTCATATAACTTTCATTGGCTTTATTGAATTGGTTTGATTGTAGGTAATAGATTATAGTTGACAATGAAACGAGTGCTTCTGTTGGGATCTTGCCACTCCTCAACTTGTACAAGAGATTAACAATTCCTTTTTTCGTTTCTTTTAGTAGTGAAGCATCCTCATCAGACTTGTTATGCTGTGAATCCCATTCTCGAATGATTTCTTTCAAGTATACCCGGATCTGGATTCGTAATTGACGTTGATTCTGTTCTGCTTCGATTATGGAATTAAGGGTGATGGTTTGCTTCAGCGGGTCTTGATAAAACGGCTCTTCCTGATCAAGCCAATCTTTATACTTTTTATTTCGGAGATCTAATTGCAACAAGTACTGTAGCTTTCTCGATTTGTCGTCCTTGGTCAAGCTGCTGTCGTATTCGTTGTACTGTTTCAATTTTTCATCGATTTCGGATTCGCTCAATTCATTCTTCCTGGGGTTAGACAAGACAAATTCAGCATCTGGCGATAAATCTGTGATAACACCGTTCGGATTCGCTTCATTTGTTTCTACAGCACCATCCTCATTTTGCTTATCTATTCTCTCATCCCGTAGTCCAAAACTCTTGTCTGGGTTGTGTTTTACTCTTTTGGACTTGTTGAAGCTTTTATGTGACTGCTTCTTTCGCTTGTTGATCTCTTTTGATAAGATGTTGGAGAAATTCATTGTCTATATCATATAAGCGTGATACGTTTGTGGTTATACATTGTATGTAAACTCCACTCAACGTTTGATGAATATCACAGGCTATTTTGGTTGCGCTTACAACAGAAAAATCACAATTGATAAAAACCCCCAACATTATTTATTTTACCAACAGCAACTACTTACAAGTGACTACAGAGTACAAATTGTTGGTCGCATTCAGGTATTAGGGACCTGAAAAAATCCATATCCAATCCATCTATTCAATTCGTCTCTTACTACACACTTATATCTAGCATGTCAAGTTCTGACAGTACCGCAAAAAAGCCCACCACCAGATCAAATTCGGATACTCAATCACGGCTTGACAACATTGCCAACACTCTAGCAGATGCTGGAAACACAAGTGGTGAGTTGAGAGCCAACTTTGCCTCCACCGATGAATCATCCAAAAGCAAGTCACATTCTGAAGACAAGAAACTACAATCCTCGCCATTGTTGTCATCCACTCCACCAGTTGTGTCGAAAGCTCTTGTCAGAGCATACCCGTATTTATTAATTATAAATAAATTACTAGCAATTGCCACTTGGACTAATGAGGATTACTGGGTAAATATTGTTCTCGTGAGTTTATATGCTTTTGCAGTGTTGTATTTTGAAAACTTGGTGACATGGTTTGGTCACTTGATAATTGTGGGTGTAATTACGTTGTTTGCATTGTTGAATGAAAAGATTATTGAGGAAACAAAAGTGAGTCCCACATTGGATGATGTGGTTCATGCATTGACTGCAACTTGTATCAAGGCAGATATGTTGATATTTCCCATCACTTCGTTATCATTGACTGCTTATGATATCAAGAGACTTTTGTTTACAACATTGTTCCTTACTCCTATTTACTTGATAATCACATTCTTATTGATCAAGCCTCGTATCGTATTGTTGTTTACGGGGTTATTTTTGCTTACTTACCACTCATCCTATTCTGTCGTGATTAGGAGAATAGTCTGGAAGATCAAAGCTGCTAGAGTCATTTCCTTTTATTTGACAGGATTGGATTTATCACAGTCGAGGAAGAACTCGTTATTTGCAGCTGCATTTGCCAAGGTACAAAAGAACGAGAATGTCGATAACCCATCAAACAAACCTGTTCGATTTACCTACGTCATTTATGAGAACCAAAGAAGATGGCTTGGAATTGGTTGGACGTCAAACTTGTTATCTTATGAAAGAACGCCTTGGACTGATGAGTTTTTGAACGAAAGCAGCTCAATCGATACGTTCAAACTTCCAAATGCTGCAACTGATGATACAAACTTGTCGAGCGACCCCAATTTACAAGGAGCAACTTGGAGGTGGGTAGACAAGACTTGGAGATTGGATTTGACTAATGATGGGGCCATAACTTTGCCAAGTTCCAAGCGATCAAAGACAACAGCCAATCCTTCAACGGATGAGGGGTACATTTACTACGATAATGTATGGAAGAAGCCATCTACCGAAGACACATTTTCCAAATATACAAGAAGAAGGAGATGGATAAGAACTGCGGAGTTGATCTACAGCAACAATACCAACACCAATACTAACACCAAAGCATCCACAATTGAGGAGAATTTGGAAACCATAACTGATTCGGTCAAGTCCACTGGGGTAGATACACAAGCTACAAGTCCTTCGAGAACTAAGAATTTGAGATTTGCTGAGGAACCAGAGTCAAAAGAAACCAATGCAAGTGAAGCAGTAGAAGTTACTGATAAGAAGAGTATATAGTAGTAATGAGAAAACAACTGCATCGGCATTAGCCACAATGTAATTCAAAAAAAAATGGTCTGACTTTTTTCACCAGTGGAGGAGAAGGAAGTGGAACTTGCCGTTTGGATTGTGTGTCTTGACGTTCGGCATTCTCCGCAGTGCGCCAACAGAAACAAAACAAATCTTCGTTTTAACCCGAACTACATCGCGCGGTTTTGCGAAATCAAAATATAATCTCCCCCTTTATCCAAAATTAAATTGGATTATTGATAACAAAATATGGTTCGCCTAAAGTGTATATAAATAGGACAGTAAATCACCATTACAATTGTTTGTTCAGCTTTTTCCTTTCCCCTATCATCAAATCATATTACAGACAAACATTCATACAATACAATGGCAGAATTATTCGATAGCTCCTACGGTAAAGCAAACGTCAAGTTTTTAAAAGTTAGAAAAGACGCTCATGATCCAAACATTCAAGATGTTCTCGAAGCCAATGTGCAAGTATTGTTGAGAGGTAAATTCGAAACTTCATATACCAAAGCTGACAACTCATCAGTTGTTCCTACAGATACTGTTAAAAACACCATTTTGGTTGAAGCAAAAAATAACAACGTTTGGCCAATTGAATCGTTCGCTGCTCATTTAGCAAAACACTTCACTTCAAAATATGAACAAGTTGAAGGTGCTGAAGTTTACATTGTTCAAGCCAAGTGGACAAAGATTAAGTTGGAGGGTAGGGATCACCCACATTCATTCAAACATGAAGGACCAGAAACTCGTCAAACTTTTTTGACTTACGACTCATTAACAAAGAAATTAACCTTGTCTTCATCAATCAAGGATTTAACTGTTTTGAAATCAACTGGATCTATGTTTTACGGATACAATGTTTGTGACTACACTACTTTGCAGCCAACCGAGGATAGAATCTTATCGACTGATGTGTCATCCACTTGGACTTTTGACCCAAAGCAAGTCAGTTCATTAGAATATATCATGAAGAATGGACAAGTGTTTGACCGTGCCTACAATGAAGCAAGAGGTGTCACTTTGGAATTGTTTTGCAAGGAGAATTCACCATCTGTGCAAGCAACCATGTACAATATGTGTGAAAAGATTTTGGCCAATGTTAAACAAATTGCTACTGTTACTTATGTCTTACCAAACAAGCACTACATTTTGTTCAATTTGGAATGGAAGGGAATCAAAGACAACAAGGAGTTGTTTTACCCATCATCGGATCCAAATGGTTTGATTAAATGTACCGTTGGAAGAAAAGGCGAAAAGTCAAAGTTGTAGGTTGACCTGCAACGAGGTCGTCCTTTCAGTTTGAGCTTGCTCATTTGTGGGTTTTCAATTCAGCAGGGTTGTATAGTTTTTGAGAATATATATTTCAAAGAAAAGAAGACAATATTGTAGATTGAATCATGATGATCAGCGCGACTCAAGTTTTGTAAAAGAATAAAAAAAAAAATAGAAAATTATTACATCGAGATGATTTCGATAAGCACAAAATTAAAGTATTGAATCAAATGTCAAGAAACGTGGTGCTAACAGTGGTTGCCACAGCCGCTATAACTACTGCAGCGGTGGAACTATACCACAGATACTGTGCTCCACTCAAGAAATCCACAACGAAGAAGACTTTGCAGCCACCCAGACAACGAAAATTTTCACCTGATGAATATTCAGAAGAGCTCATTCGTGAACAACTAGCAAGAAACTATGCATTCCTCACTGTAGAAGGAATGGCCAAAGTACGAAATCAGAGGATTATAGTTGTTGGTGCTGGTGGTGTTGGATCTTGGGTTGCAACCATGCTTGCACGTTCGGGAGTTGAGCATTTACGAATAATTGATTTTGATCAAGTGTCATTGAGTTCATTAAACCGTCATGCTGTGGCGACGATATCGGATGTTGGTATTTCCAAAGTTGATTGTTTGAAAACCCACTTGTTGCAAATTGTACCATGGATTGAAATTGATGTGCAAAATAAGTTGTGGAATTTGGACCTGGCCCAAGAGTTGCTAGATTTCAACCCCACTTATGTCATTGATTGTATTGATAATTTCGATACCAAGTGTGATTTATTGACCTATTGTCATCAGCATGGCATCCCCATTGTTTCATCAGGTGGTGCAGCTACTAAGTCTGACCCAACTCGAATCAATGTTGCTGATATATCCAAAACTGAAGAAGATCCCTTGTGTAAAAAAATTCGTATTGTATTGAAAAAGAGAGGTATAACCACTGGTATTCCATTTATATTCTCAGCCGAGAAGCCTGATCCAAGAAAGGCTAAACTTTTACCATTGGCGGAAGAAGAGATTGTCAAGGGTGAAGTTGATCAATTATCTGCGTTGAAGGATTTTCGTGTTCGTATATTACCGGTGTTGGGAACTATGCCTGGTATGTTTGGTTTGGCAATTGCTACATATATCTTGACTACAGTATCTGGCTATCCAATGGAACCAATTGAAGGTAAAAACAGGTACAAAATCTATGATGACATGTTGCAAAGTTTGGCAGGACAGCAATTGCGTATCGGTGAAGAAGATCAACGGGTCAAGATTTCCATGGCTGATGTAAGTTACATCTTGGAAGAAGTGTTTAGAGGTAAATCACCCATATCAAACTATTCAACTAGATTAGCATTGAGTAAATGGGATCCATCAAAGGAAATTAGTTTGCAAAATGTTGTGGTTATGACGAAAGATGAGCAAAGAAAACATGAAAAGAGAGTATTGATTGGTGGGGAAAAATTAGAGGATGTTTATCTGAAAGAGGTTATTGATTTGGTGAAATCTAGACATGCTGATGAAGCGTACTATTCAAAGTTTAGATAGAGTTTGTTTGTACATAGAGGATAAAAAAAAGGATTTGAATTGGAGTCTTAACTCCGAATGTCTCTGTAGAGCTACACAGAGCATAAGAAAACTATAAGCAAGGTGGCCCTCGATATTGATAGTTGCATAGCATAGAAAGACAGGATTGATCCAGTCATTTCGACTCCAATGTGAGCACCCTTCTACGTCGCCGGAATATCATCCTTCTAGAATCCCATTGTGCGAAAATTGGCCGTTGACGTAGAAGCGAAAAAACTCAAACATCTAAGTTTCTCATCCTCAAGAGGATTCTACATCGAATACACTATACTCAACTAGTTGTCCCCTCCCCACGATGTACCCATTCAGACCTGTATCTCCATTACGGTCATTTTTCCGTATCACAACAATACCCTCCCCCACGCGAACCTACTTCAATGCATTGCGCAATTCAATCAAGAGTCCCTTCAAGCGTACATCAATTCGATTCAACTCGACGTCTTCATCATCAGCAACTCACAATGCCCATGCTCCTCCACCACCAAGAGGAAAAAAACCACAGGGAATCAAGGCGTTAATGAAGGAGTACGGATACCCTGCTTTGGCGGTATACTTGGCCCTTTCAATGATTGATTTACCCATATGTTATGTCCTTGTTCATTCAATGGGACAAGATAAGATCCAATATTATGAAAACAAGGTCAAACAGACATTCGGATATGGTGTTAGTGATGGTGAATTGAAGCATCAACAAGAAGTGCAAAAAATTGAAGCTGGTATTGATGAAGATGGTAATGCAAACCAAAAGCAAGAAGAAGAAAAAGAAGCAGCAGCTAAAGCCAATCAGAATATGTTTCAATACATTTTGAGTCAATTTTCATGGACTGAGTTTGCTATTGCTTATGGATTACACAAGAGTTTAATATTCATCAGATTGCCAATAACAGCGGCCATAACTCCTGGTATAGTTAAATTGTTGCGTGGATGGGGTTTTAGAATTGGTACTGATAAATTGAGTACTACTGCCAATTTAGCCAAGGACTTGGCCAAGAGTGGATACAAGGATATCACTGCTAGCAGTGCTAAATTTGGTACTAGACCGGGCAAGAGAAAATGGTGGTGGTTCTTTTGAATGAGGAGTAACTATAGACGTTTTGATTGCAATTTAATGTAGATAGATTTAGTTCACCCAATGGGCGAGATTTTTGGATAAAGATAACTTTGAGAATGGTGTAGTAAATTCTAATGTTTACCCGTATAAATAATATCTCTAACTTCTTCCTCTATCTCCCTTGCTTCCCTCTCTCTATATACCCAAGAATTTCTTCATTCGTTCATAAACAAAGAATGAACAAGCAAACATTGGCACAACTTTCATATACCCAATACTCAACCCAACGAAAAACCCTTTGATTCCACTTTCACGATAAATCAACCCGGCAGTATTTTTAAACGACAAGAATTGACCGCCACCAACAGCACCACCAACTTGCATTCTTCTTCGTATAACTTCAAACGGATACGCAGCCGTTTGTGAACATAGCCCCGATATACCACCAGCTATAAGTTGAGCGTACGCTTTCAAAGGCGGGCGTGATTCTCTTGACGATTTGGTTTTAACTGATGTTGATGTAGATGTCCTAGTTGCTGGTTGTACTGTATACTTGCGCAATGGTTTTGATCGCAAGATATCATGTAGTAAATCATGGGCATAAAAAGATACACCAGCATAAGGGATCATTCCCATTATAGTTGGAGCAAACCCACGATAAAAATTACTAATGCGTTGAATATTGAATGGTAAAACTCTTCTCATCATAGTCAACCAACGGGGATCATTAGGTCTAACTGGTGGATTTTCATTATAAATCATCTTGACAGTTTGCAAAATTCGACCACGATGACTTTGATAAAACTGTTGATGTTGTGGATGTATTTTCAAATGATGTAAATTCCTCGTTTCAAAAGCTAATCGAACTCTAATCAAATCCAAAGGGTACGTGAAAAAAACCGATGCTAAACCTGACAACGACCCAGCAAGAAACCTCCGACCAGCAGTTTCATAAACGTCACTTGGTATTAATATGGTTCTAATTTGTTCATAAGCGACAAACTTGATGGCAGCATAGGGAAAAATACGCAACAATGTAATTGAATGACCTTGATACAATCCCCACATTCCATCACTTGACCAAATTCGTTTCCCAGCTAGTACCAAGCCATGAAACGTGCCTCGATATTTAAGGAATTCCGGGTTTGATGTTTGAAACAAGATTTTGATACGGTCCAATGGTGCAACTAATGTTTTGGCGGCCGATCCAGCTACCCCACCAGCGATACCGGAAAGTAGAACATAATGAAGACTTTGTTTGTCAATGACTTTGATGCTTTTGATTGGTGTCGATTGATCATTGGAGTAGTGGCCCGGTAATGGGATTGTTTCATTTAAGTCGTCGTCGTCGTCCGGGATACTCTTGTTTGGTTGAGTGTAAAGTAAACTTTTTAGTCCCTTTGATAGTCTAGTTGTGCTGAGTTGATGTTGTGGTGGTGATTGTGGTGGTGGTGGTGGCGGTACGTTTTGTTCATGAGTCGATGAGAACAGCAGTGGCATCGGCGGCAGCGATGATGCTTGGTTTCGTAGTATTATTTCATTCTCCGACATCTAGGGACTTATGCAAGGGGGGGGAAGAAAGTGTGTGTGGGTGTGTTGGATATATATAATCTATTTGAGATCTCTAAGTGATGTATTGAGGGACTCGCTCCACTGAAAGTTTTTTTATTTTTTTTCTCTTACTTCGTTGTTAATAAATTTTTTTTTTTTTTATTACTGTCGTGCAGGCTATCTCGTCCGGGGTAATAAAGAAACTACACCACCACCTAGTGCAATGACTCCAAGAATATCATACGACTTAATAGTGATGTTAACCTCGCGTCATGTGACAAAAGAAGAGTGCATTCCTTGAGCATCTACATTCCAATACTACACATGACATAACTATTTACTAGTGATGTAGAAGGGAAAAGGAGAAAACGGAGTAAAGCCTCTTCCTAATGAAGAGATATTGTTGATTTACAAATAGGTGAATGACTGTTGGTTTAAACTCGTTGGATCTTTAACCAATTTTTATTTTAGAGTTTTTCCGACACCACTCAGCTTATAACAATTTGGTAGCTCAAAAGTGGGGAAGAGGAAAGTCAGTGGGGGGGGGGGGGGGGGAAATTATGGATGCCACAAAAATCCATCAAGTTTGTACAGTTTGTGAATTTTTTTGCAACAAATAAAAAACCATGGCCATCTACTGTTTCAAGGGAACAATTTCTTGTTCGGACACCTCTACTTTCAAAGAACTGATAATAGTGCAATTTGTGGAGTTTTCTTTTCTTGTTTTTGAGAATTTATATAAGTTGTTGAGTTGCAAGCCATACTCTTTACTCTATTCAACTGAGTACTATGCAATGAGATGGCATTGTAGTCAGTAGCATCCGGAATCTCCATTTGCATCCGCAAAAGTGCAAAGTCACCATGCAAAATCAATGACAGTTTGACCTTACCCACTCGCGACTCTAAAAATGTACCAATCTAACGTTATCAACAAAGAAACACATGTCCAATAAAATAATTTATATCAGCATTACAAAGCAACAAGCGACAAGCAACAGTTCAAAACAAAACAATACAATACAATACAAAGCAAAACAAAACAAAACAAAACAAAACAAAAATCTAACAACAAAAATCAATAAAGCTAGTGTAAAATTTCAACAAAGTATAAAAAGTATAACAAACAAATAAACGAACAAACAAACAAATAAACAAACAAACAAACAACAACAAAAAAAAATGGATTTAATAATTAACAAGGTTCATTAATAGTTTTGTAAGGATTGGATAATACAAGGTTCAGTTTTTTCTCCCATCACTCTATCAAAAGTACAACATCATCTTAGTCTCGCATACACAGTCTCTCTTTGTCTCTTTACTGAACTGCAGGCGAAGCACTACTTGGCGGTCTGTACCCCGAAGTTCTATCCTTGTGATAACTCGAAGGTGATCTACCTCTAATTACCAAAGGTGGCGATTCAATTGACCCCAACAAAATCGGTTGAATTTGTGAATCTTCATCTTCAACGATACCCAACAATTCACAAGACAATGTAAAATAACGAGCAGCAGTACTAGTTGATTTAACTCTAATTGAACTAGTAAATTGAATACGCTCAAATCTAGCCACTTTGGAAATAGAATCACTAGGATAGTTACGCAAGATTGAATGATCCTTATTGCTATCCAAACCGTAATCACCATAATATTGAGCACGATCGAAAAAGAAAATCTTATTCATATTTTCAATCTTGTTATTGTTACGCTTATTACAACTGGCTCTAACTGTTTCATGATCAGGTAAATCGCCGGGCAAAGCTGGGTAAATTGGTGGTGGGAATTGTGGACCTTTATCTCTCTTGGCAGTATGTTGAATTAATGAAATGGCAACATCATCATCGGAGCATTTAGCAACTAAACGAATGGCAAAATAACTGATATCCAATCTGGTTTCACCGGCATGGTGAGCATGGTGTGGATGGTGTGGATGATGATGAGGTTGTGCGGTACGTGGATGATGTGGGTGATGATGTAATCCATTACCATTCATACCGCCCTTTGATTTATCATAGGTGTAAAATTGATTTTGAATAAATCTACCAAAGTCAAAATCTTGTAAATTGAATGAAGCAACCAATGTGAAATAGTTACGCTTGTATCCAATCCAAGTGCCAGTTTCACCCATTTCAAACCCACGATCAATTCTTGCATGCAACATGGGGAAAACTTGCATATCATTGGCTTTACAATATACAGCTGCATGATGTTTCATCATACCAAATGGTGGTCCAACTCTAAACAAATCACTTGATCTAGGAGCAACTTTTCTACCAGCTGATTCCATCATTTCATTTTGACTAGCACGGGCCAACATCTCCATATGATGTTGTTGAGCCAAAGAGTGAGCATCAAGAGATCCTTGGTCATGAGCATTTGGATCAATACTGCCTGTATGCAGATGCAAGTGAGCAGCAGCAGAAGCGGCTTGCTGTTGTTGTTGCTGCTGCTTTTGCTTCTTAGTTTGACGTGGTTGTCTTCCTCCGGCACCTTGTGGTTGTGGTGTTGGTTGAGGAGTTTGATGATGAGAAATTGGCACCGATTGAGAAAGAGGATTGTGAGAGAGGTGGTGCAATTGAGGTGGCAATGGAGTTGGCTGCTGAGTTTGCGCTTGTTGTTGTGGTTGCTGTTGTTGTTGGGCAACATTTGGGATTTGGTGACCCAAATGATGCAATTGTTGTTGTTGAGATTGTTGTTGATAAGCCATTGGGTTAAATTGGAGGTTAAGATGATCATGAGAGTCATGTCCTCCAGTGGCTCCTCCAACACCAGCAGTTGGATGCAAGTGAGGCAATTGTTGTTGTTGATAATGTTGTTGGTAAGGATTTGGAGTCATCAATTGATGGTGCATTTGTTGATGAAGTTGATTTTGTCCTCCATAATGGGCTTGTCCTTGTGCTGCTGCTGCGGCAGCGGCAGCTTGTTGTTGTTGATAAGAAATTTGAGGAGTGTGCAGCTGAGAATGTCCCTGTTGGCCCAAAGAGTGGATTGGATAATGGTGAGTTTGCTGAGGAAGTGAGTGCATAGGCAAATGTTGCATTGGTTGTTGTTGAAGTGGTTGCAAGTGAGTAGCACCATTCAAGTGACCGGAAGCATCATATCCATAAGCAGAAGGAACACCTCCCGCAGCACCACCAGCACCACCAGCAGTAGCACCTGGATGTTGTTGAGGGAGTGAAGAAGTGCCACCACCACCAAGTGAGTTAGGTTGTTGATAATGTGAGTGTAAGCCACTACCATCATCATTAGCACCACCAGAGGCACCACCAGCAGTAGAGTGACTAGTGGTTGGAGTACCTGAAGATTTCAAATGTTGATTCATACTTGATAAAGAACTTGCAATATTGTTTGAGTTGACTTGAATAATACTTGGATCTTCATGCAATAACTTTATAATCCTTCTTCCAAACTAAAGAAGAAGAAACAAAAACAAAGATATCGGGCACGAGAAACTTGTGAATGAGGAAGAATAAATTGGGACAAGTCTCAGCAGTTCTTTGATAACGTCTGGTGTAGCGCTTTTGAAAATGTACCTGTTGATAGTTTCAGTACCAAAGCTTCTTTCCTTCTTTGATGGGTGTATATGTGTATGGTTAGGTCAGGGTAAAAGTGAAAAAAAAAAAAAACCGACCTTGTTCTTTGATTGTGATACTTTATTCAACGATGAAGAAAAAAGAAGTTGAAAAAAAAAAAAAAGAAAAGAAAATTTTTTGTGAACCCAAAAATCAAAATTGCCAAAAGTCTAAACAAAAAAATTCAATGAGTTTGAAGGATGATGATAGTAATGATAGTGAATTGTAGTGATTAGTTTTGAGTGTCTATCACGCGTAAACAAGTTTGACTTCGATAGATGTAAAAGGCACAATAGTAAAATGAGATACGTAGTTGTGTTTATTTCTCAAAGTGTTTTGTAGTACTGTGTGCTTGTGTTGATGAAGATTTTGTTGTGGTTTTGTCTTCTTGATAAATGATTCGCAAAAATGAAGCAAAAGAAGAAGAAGAAGAAGAAGAAGAGAAGTTGTCTTTTTTTTTCCTGTTTGGTTGTTGAAATTTTCAATTCACAAAAATCCAAAATTGTTTAGTAAAATTGTTTGTAATGCTCTCTGCATGCAGTACAATGCTCTCCCTAGTTCTTTTGTGTCCGCGTGTATCTGTGTAATATTGTCTGAGACCTGTTACTTGGTTAGGGTTGTTTTAGACTTGGGGGCTAACTTTCCTTAGGCAACTGTGGTTTTGGGTGGTGAGATGGTTTTGAAGGGAGTAGTCGAGAAAAGTACAGGAGCAAGCACCAACAGGGAAGGAGGTGGTGAAGTTGCTGTCGAAAAGGGTGGCAAAAAGGGAAACAAAAAAAAAAAAAAAAAAAGACAAAACGACACTAAAAAAAAAAAGAGACCTAAATTTATTCAGAGGGACAAAATCAAAACATCCTATATGTTATACGATGATTGTCAAACACTGGTGTATACTACTCAATTCGAACCCAGTAAAAGGGAGTAGTGTACTAACCCAGGTAAACCAGGCGTAGGACCTACTCTATCAACTGTGACACATATCATAGACCTTGGATAGAAAGAGTCTTCTGTGTTGTCTGATGTTTTATCTATCAGGGAGGCAGTACGAGTTTAAAAAAAGAATAAAATAAAAAATGAATGACAAAAATGAATTTTGAATTTTGTATAAATTTCTTTTTGTATTTTGTGTCGTAAACGGGGAAAGAAAAAGTAGTACAAGAAATACCAACTAAATGAGTTTCACATTTATAGCATCAGCTTCAACAGTACCACAATCCCCATCAAACACCACCACTACTGGCGTACTGTCTATCTTAACCACTACATCAATGGCATCCCGTCAATAGGGTAAAGCGAGCTTCAAAAGAGAGCAAAAATGGTATTGCAGACAACTCTTTCAATTTTAAACCTCTTCGCATAAACTTTTAGTAATTTTTGCTTTCACGTTCTTTTTTATTTTTGTCCTTTGTGCACACCTCTTTCGTAATACAGCTTTGTACACGCTACACTACTCGATCACCCTTCATTCATTTACAACTAGTCAATGTATTAGATTCCAAAGCTCTAGCCTTTTGACTTGTACCTTATGACGCTGACAGTGTCCATGAGTCTAGTGTATACACATGAAACAAACAACCATTGAAGAGCTCTCCCCTTTGAGAAGAGGTAGTGTACTTTTGTTAAATTGTAATTTCTTTTTTTCTTTTTTTTTTTTTTCTGTTTGCTATTGTTCTCTTTGTCCACTATGGTTGCTATTTTTTGTAACCAAAAACAACAACTCCAACAGAAACGCCATTTTTATTTTTTTGTATTTTTATATTTTCGCGTACTAACTTGAAATTCCTATTGTTCGTTTTTATACACTGTACACGGTGCTATTGCTCAATCTGTTTGATGTTGTCTATTTTATGACGACCAATAAGAACTTAGACTAAAAATAGTGGGGGATGTTTATTGACCGTTTCTCTTCAAACACACATACTCATTGGGAAACACACACTAACACACTAACACACATACACACATACACACGCACACACACTACTTCCTCGAGGAATGATTTGTCACAAGCACAAAGCAAACTATCAAAAAATAAAAAAGAAAAGTACAGTAATGCAAAGTCCAAAAAATTCACTATGAAACTGAACGAAAGAAGAAGAAAAAAAAGTTTAGTGTCATGAATTTGATCTTGTGTGTGTCGCACTTTTTTTCCTCTAATTTCTGTGTCACTACTTTTCCCTTTTAGAAAGACATTATAAAATGGAGCAATAAAATTACTTTTCCAACTATACGAGAGACTCAACAAGTAGGAGTCTCCCCTCTCAACTGACAGTCAACAAAACTTTTTTGTCCAATTTTAGAGCTGAGTAAGAGGGATGATTTCCAAGTTGGACTTGCTTCTTTCGCAAAACTTATTTTTTTGAAAATATGTATGTACACAAAAAAAAAAGCTTTATAACAACCTCAACGGCACTTTGATCCTCTTCGCGATTCTGTAACTTCTTTTTTTGGGGGGTTCGGGTTCTGTGAAATCCCGATTTTGTTTTTTATAATACATCAATTGCAGCAATAGCCTAACGAAACTAGATTCTGGGGTTGTCACTACTGGCAGAATGTGATGAAATACAACGCTGTGTTTCCAGTATACAACATATTGTACTAATAAATAATCTTTTCATCCCCAAACCCCCCCCCCCCCCCCACTTTTCTTTTCTATTGTTGATTCGGTTTAAGCCGAGGGACAAAAAAAGAACGGTTTTCTTTTCGTTTTTTTTCTCGAAGCAGTGTCGGCAAATACTACGTCACAAAAAATGACAATTATTGTCGTAAAAAAAGAACAAAAACTTTACAAAAATTTTTGAAACTCAAAATCATATTCTTTAATTCATTTTTGTTTCCAACGGTTTTTTCCATTCTTGTTTTTGTTTCTTGCATTCTTCCAGTGGGGGAGTAACAAAAAGTACAAAAAAAGAAAAAAAAAAAGATTACAGAGAGTTGTACTTTGCAACAAGGTAAATGCATGGTTCTGTAGCTCACTAATGTGATCACAGAATTTGAAAGAGAGGTTAAGCCCAACCCTCATGATGAAAGCACCAATTAATAGAGTCTTGCTCTCTCTCCTCTGGATCGTTTTTATTATTCTAACAAGTAAGAAGTAATAGGGAATTTCTACTTTAACTTTCCCTCCGCATCTTTTCCATACGTAATGCAAGTTTAAAGCTTTGCTCTACCTTCTTTCAAGATTTTTAGTTTTAACTCTAAACGGTTATTGTCCTACTACCTGAATGTGGGTTGAGGCAGGGTGGTATCTTACTATACTTTTCCTTTTTGTTTTGTGTTGTTGGGCCATGAGGAAGAACCCTTTTCCAAGCTATAAATACAAAGCCATATTCACACACATATGTTGGAGAAGCTTTGCTTCGTAACAAAAATGACATAATATATCCTGGGGTTTTTAGCTTCAGCAGGTAGGACACTCCATTACAGTTACGGTGATGACAGTGTTTCCTCAAAGGTAATATACTTCATTGGGTCAAGTTCTTTCGCAGCTACCCCGCAGATGACAACTCACTTAAGCCACAATCTTGTCATTCCACATTTAGCTATCAAGCCTATGTGCACAAGACTCGCTGAGTGCTCCCTTACAAGCTTTTTTGGTTGTTCTTGAGTCTAACACAGAAAATCGTGGCCAATGTCGAAAAAAAAAAAGATTCTCCACGCGTCTTCTATATTGTCGCGTCACAACGATATCCCCTACTAGTGTCGAGTGACACATTTTCTTCAATGTCGCGCATTTTGACGGCGCACAAAAAATCGAGAGAGCGGAAATAGGAGCAAAAGAAAATAGTACTGATGAACGGATGCAAAGTGGTTTCCCCTATAAATTGTGTGTGCACACCAACACATATCATAACTCTCATCGTACATCTGCTTTTTAACTCTGAAGTATGATGAATGCGTTTGCTACGTTACTATCTATTGTCAACACATACCTCGCTAGTCCACATCGTACAGCCTCCTACAGTAGTATTCTCTGCTCATATTTTTTGTCTTACTCTTCTGTATAAGAATTGAGTGGAACGAAGTTGAAAAAAAAAAAAAAAAAAAAAAATTAAAGCAAAAGCAAAGCAGCCAAAAATTTTGCAAACTTTCTGAAAATACCAAAAACCTTTGTATGAACCTTCCTTGGTGAAAGAGATAAAGACCCATAGAGTCAACTTGAGAAGGAATATTGAATAGGTTCATTGCAATACAGTCACACACATACACGCGGAGATATCTACTACACTTCCACTACTTACTTTGGTTTTGCCAAATTTTGAATCCATTCAATCAAAAATACATATATATACATGATTAAATGCATCAAACACTGACCACTGTGAATAGAAAATCGAGGTCTCTGTCTTCAGTTACGTCTCAGTCACAGTCACAGTCACAATCACAATCACAATCACAACCACAATCACATTCAACCTCCTCGACCTCGGTTCCTTCAAACAATAAGTCATCAGTGTTTTCAAAAACATCATCATCACGTATGCATTCACAGTCGCAACCAACTTCGTTTCATCATCACTATCACTTGAATGGAAAGAATGGAGTCAGTAGCAATGGAGGTAATGCCGGACGTGTCGAGTCTGTTGGGGAGAAAAGAGCATTACCAACACCAACACCAGCAACTTCAACTACAACGACGGTGACCAATGATTCATCGGAAACCCCTGCAGTTGAGCACCACCATCATTACCATCATCATCACCATCATCATCCTCAACCATCGTCAATCTTTCCTAATTCATCCAGTTTACGCGATATTTTATCACTTGTCTTTGTCACATTATCATTACCTCAAACTGTGTCATTGCTCATTTGCATCATGTATCTAATTTTGGGCTCAAATTTCATGGGTGGCAAGTTTTTGATCAATTTCATGCTTCCAAGGTCTCAAAGACCCGTGTTCAAAGGTATCAAATATATACCATTTTCAGCAACAAAAGTTGCCTTGATTGATTCAATTGTTTATTTGACATTGGTAAAGTTTATCAAGAAAAAGAGTTATTTCAATTATTTGATTATGTTGTCGAAATCAATAGTTTCAAGCGAGTTGATTGGTGCATCATCGATATACTATATCAATTCAATTTCAAACAAAAAAATCACTAGCAAGATTCAGTATGATGACAGAAGACGAACTTTTTTCAACAATAGCTTAATGAATGCAATTTTTTGCTTTGTAATTATCAATTATATCAACTACTTGTTGAACTGGTTTCAATTTGCATCAGTATCGATTAATCCAACAACAACTACATCAAACAACACTAGCACCGCCGCCATTTTAGCCACAGCCACTACTACAACTTCATCGCCATTGACATTGTCATCCTTAAAATCGTTTAATAATCTTGCATCGAAAATTATTCCAATTAATATTTCATACATTAACAATTTGAATTTCAATGAGTACAAGATTCAGCTATATTTATTCCTATCCATTCATATCATCAATCGTGCTTTTTTTGTCAAAAAGTCAACAATTGTTCAAAATTCAATACCCAGTGTCAATGAAGAGATATCTGTTAATGTGGATGAGAATAGATTGATGAATATTGAAGTTGATTTAAGTCAAGCATCATCCTCAAAGAATAATTGGAATGCCATTGCTTATAAAAACTTTGAAAATTTTGTCGTTTCTCCATTCAATAGCAAGTTGACAAATTTGAAAAATAGAATGAGAGCAACATCATTATCGAGACCTCGTGTGGGATCTTCTGCTGTGTCCAATTTGAGTCCATATGCTTTGGGAGCAGCGTCTACAAGTACTGTCAAGTCGATGTCTGGATCGGTGACATCTACTGCTGCAGCTGCATCATCATCGTCGTCTACCACATCGGCAATTGCAGCACCTACAACCGTTGCGTCAACGTCTTCTTCGTCACCAACATCTGTCACCACTTTATCAAAACAGACTCCAGTGTCCAAATCATTGACTACAACGACAATATCACCCAATGTTACTGTTGTTGAGAATACAATCATTATTCAGCCATTTTGGTCAATTGTAGCTGCATGCAAAGCCATTTTGAAAAACCCCAACTTGTTCAACGGAGAACCAACGAGAAAGAATAATGAGAATGGGGCTGTCGCTTGTAGCGATGTTGACAGTAAGGAGTTGCCGATTGCCGTTGTTGCCATTGATTCTAGTAAAGTTGTTTTGAAATTGTTATTCAATGACACTGTTTCCAACTTGAAAATCAAATTAAACAATGTCGATTGGTCATACTTTAAATTTGGTCAAGAATCGTGCACACGTTATGTTACAATTTATGGATTAACGCCATTGTTTCAATATGAAGTGGAGATTTTAGACAATGATGTATTGCTCAATCATTTCTTGGTCAACACTACCAACGGCAAGGATGAAATTATCAACAAATCCAGTGGAGAAACATCCTCACTTGTCACATTGCAAACTTCATTGACTTCAACAATGACAAACTTGAACGATTTAAAACTCAAATTGAAAAAGTTCAAAAAAGATGAAAACAAAAAAGTTTCCGATTTGAAAAATTCCATTGAATTAGTCAAGAATAAAATCTCCAAGTACAACAATGCCAAACCAGTGAATGAGAATCGTGTACATGGTAAGATTCAAGGATTGAAGCATCTTGTATTGCAATTGGAGAACGAAATCGATTGTATTCAATCGGAAATTGATAGTTTGACTCAAGAAGAGAAACAGCTCCAACAACAACTGAAATCAAAACAAGATGCTCAAGTACAAGAGATCAACTCATTGGAAATGGAATATGCTCAATACGAATCTCGTTTAAAAGGGTATAAATTCAATTTGACTAAATTGCAACAAGAACAAGCTAATTTATCAACAAAGATTCAAAAATTGGCTCTGCGTTATGAATCAAAACAAGAAGAATTGAAGCTGATTCAATTGGAATTGAAGAACTTAAAACGGGGAGAAATTTTGAACAAGTTTGCTAAACGGATTAAAAAAACCAATGAGAAGTTTGATACAATCATTCCTCGTATTTTGCACGAAACTGAATTGTTGAGACAAGAATTGATTGAATTTGATGAATGAGTCATAGAAGATCAACGGAGGTAGAGTATAGTTGAATATTTGAATAGATTGATGACTTTCATCTTGTTTTACTAAGCGTAAAAATGTATATCGTAGCTCTGTATACTCTATTCACATGCTAATGATTGTAACTTATACTGTACAAGTTATTCTTCCGATATCGACTCACCAACTTTATGAAATCCTTTATTGAAGTACAAGATCCCACCCGTTTTACCAGTACTACTATTGATGATATCGATCACTTGAGCAACCCAGATTTCGTGATCATCAATGGTGAAATTATGTGTGGCTTTGCAAGTGAAAATCACTTCAGCATGAGTCAAGACTGGTATTGCGATGCCATCTTGTTCTCGTTTGATGAATGTATAATCCCGCCCTTCGACCAAATCGGTGAATGGAGTTGTCATTTCATGGAAAAATTCACCATCGTCATCGTCATCGTAATTTTCACAAGAATCAACGATACCATTTTTGTCATTCTTGATGTCACCGTCACTGTCATTGGCCACTACTGCTTTTGCATCTGGTTCGCTACTGGTCCATTTAGTGCCGCGCTTATTCAATTTGACGCCTTTGGCGAACACACGACAAGTTTTGGCACTTTGGTGCGTTGGTGGCATAAGATGAATAGCAAGATACTTGTGGTTGTGCAATGCGGTTGACGTATACGACGGTAAATGTAAATTGAATTCGAGGTATGGGGTGGGATAAACTGATAATGAGCAGACTGAACTTAGTGTCATTCCATGTAGGTCTTGTTTGGGGTCTATGTGGTGTGAAGATTGATTTGATGGAGCGGGAGATGTGGAACCAGTCTCAGTGATGCTATTGTTGTTGGTGGTGGTGCTGCTAGAAGCGGTGGTTTTTGACATGGGCACTGCCGACGTCAACACCATTGCTGGTGATGCTAAGCGGGACATTGTTAGTCGAAACGTATCCGAAATCTTCAGGTGACGATTATGCTGATGATTGTTGCGTGGAGGATGAGTACTGGTGTTCCGAACATGTTGCTTGGTGGATGCATTGATGAGACGCTTAGTGTAAATGGGGACCCTCTTGTATTGCAATTGACATATTCGATGCATTGATCCAGACTTTGATTGAGTTCGAAAGACGGTGGTATGAAGGTCGAGGAAATAGATCTTTGAAATGGTGTAGGTTCCCGTTTCTAGCTGCAATTTTGAAATATTTTTTTTTTCTTTGCTTTGCTTCTTCATAAAAACGTTCCTGATATTCGAAGTCAATAGCGAACGTTTCTTCGATGATAATCAATCGTGTTTGTGAATAAGGACTGTGTCTTCAATGAAGATGAAATCTGCGATGAGTTATGGACGAAAGTCGTGACAAAGTTGGTTCCATGCAGGGTTGACCAGGGAGAATCGTCCTCAGCTATGTTTTTAACTCCGCAAAATGGGGTTTGTCTCTGCTTTAAAGCGGCATACGATAGAAGCTCTTCGACTAAAGCGTTGCAATATACATGGTGTGAGGAGGTATAAACAGATGGAGAGGAGCATTTATATATCACTAGCGGAGCCCACAAGTTCCATAATCGATACCGATCTGTGTGATTTTCATGTGATGCAAAAAATCTCCAAGTGGGAACACATTAGACATCTTACAGATCAGATCTAACACCTATTATCCTTTCTTTCAAATTTCACTTCCCACGTGGTGAGGAAATTAGAGGTAAGATTTAAAGTCAATAATCGTCTACAGAGTCCAAGATCGTAATCAGCATTCCCCTTTGCAGCCATGTTGATACGCTTCATCGCCCAGCCTCTCAATTCTTCAACCCATGCCGTCCAATCTTGCAAGGCTTAGGATTCGGACCGGCGTTACTGCTCCTTCGGAAATAGAGGCTTTTTCTCATGGTCACGTGCATGTGTTTTGATTTTCGTTCTGTTTCAGGCAAACTAATTAAAAAATTTCGATGCGAATGAAAATGGGCACGATCGGATCTAAAAATAGACAAATAGACATCACGTTATTATGAAAAGAAAAAAGGATTGCATCATCGAAAGGAGATTTATCGGGGTATAATGTAGTGGAGGATGTCTCGCGTCATGCTCCCCTTTTGAGACCTTTTAACAAGGCTTCGAAGCGGCAAAGGCTTCCACATTTCAATAAAGCTTTTCTTCTTTGGCTCCGAAAAAAAAAAGAGCTGATTTTGTGTTGAAATTACAAAACCCAAAAAAGAAAAATGAAATAAGCCGATGATGGATGTTTCTGTCACATTGTTTTTGAAAACGGTTATTAAGTTTATCATGTAAAATTTTAGAATCCCCAAAAAAATCTTTAAACAGTTTAAATAGAAAATAAGCTGCTGATCTTTTTTTTTAAAAGGAAAAAGGGGTGTTTATTGAGTTTTGCTTTCATCTTTCGCTTTTTTACATTTTCCTACCCGTCATCGACACAAGATTCAACAAGGAATGATTCAAGTGTTATTCTTACTCTATCTTGCTGTGGCTGTTCTCGCCAAAGAGGCTGTTCAAGTCCTTCAATTCGATAACTTCGGATATTCGGGAGCTTATTCACGAGTGAGTAAACTTAATGACATTTACAAAGACTCATGCTCATGTGAAGTTGATTCAGATCAAGTGACATTTTCGGGTCCAAATACTCCATTGAATGAAGAGGTCTCGGTTCATTTTAGAGGTCCATTGATTTTGAACAAGTTTGGATCATACGTTTCAAATGGGTTTACGCTTGGTGATGACTCTTCGGGAGATTGGACTAGACTCAGTTACTATGATGCATCGAGTGGTACTGCTGATAATGTCACCTTTTTAACTCGTGCTGGTAAAAATTCTTCGTGTTTGGGTTTTGGATTGACTTATGCTAGTGATAATGGAACTGGTGCTGCAGATTCACCAACGGTTTTGGCTGAAGATACTTTGATCAACTCCAATGATGAATATGTAATCTTTTCCAACATAAGTTGTGAGGATTCAGGATTGGATAAGGATTGTGGAGTTTATAGATCAGATATACCGGCATACCACGGTTTTTACGGAACCACCAAGATGTTTTTATTTGAGTTTAAGATGCCAAATGAAACCAAAACATCAACCAAAATTTCCAACTACAATATGCCAGCCATTTGGTTATTGAATGCTCAGATTCCAAGAACCGCTCAATACTCAATGAATGTCAATTGTTCTTGTTGGAGAAGTGGATGTGGTGAATTTGATATTTTTGAAGTGATGAACACCACTGAATATCTTCATTTGTATTCCACAATTCACGATTATCAAGGTACTGATGATATTGAAAGTGGTATAGCAATCAGCTCTTACATTGAACGTGACTTGACTGGAACCATGGTTGGTGGTGTTGTTTTTGATTCCAATGGTGATGTGTCTGTTTGGGTAAGTAACTCAACTTCATTTGATGAAGCTGTTGCGGCATCAGATGTGAATCTGTGGTCAAACAAGGATAGTTCCGCTGCCGCTACTACTACTTTGAGCTCTGTGTCATTGGCTTTGACTACGGCTTCAGGCAGTTCAAGTAGTAAGAAAGGTGAAGGTTTCGCTTACAAACCTTCGGCATTGCTCAATTTACTTGCGGCTGGTTTGGTATATTTGATTTAAACGTTACTTTTCTTCTTTCGTAATAAAGGTTATAGTTATAGAAACTAGCTCTTGTAATCACTATAGGCGATAATGAGTCGAGCAAGCTCGGGGTTACTTGCAAAGGAAACAAATGTGTTGTTTGTTACTCCAATCAAAGACTTGTTGATTTTGAGTATGCCATCCTCCCATCGAGTTATACCTTCCATTTCTATGAGCTCGATTCCATCTCCCAGGTCGTTCTCCCGCTTGGCTTTTAGCAACAACGACTTTATCCTATCCTTGTACAACGTGTCAATTTCATCACTCATATTTTCAATAAATTTAACCTTGAATTTCAGTGGTAACTCCAGTTTATCCATTTGCATCGGCCTATAAGCCTGGGATGTCTTTGCGTTTTCCTGGATCGATTCAATGTATGACTTATTGTTGCTGATCAATCGGCTGGGTTCGGTTTTCGTCAAATTCAAACTTGGTAAAAGTGTAACTAGTGATTTTTCACTTTTGTTGGTTCCATTGGTCCTAGTCGCTGTTAATCTAATGGCGTTACCCACAGGTAGAACCGTGGTGCTTGAGTTGGCATCAACTTTGATCAAGGATTGAGCATAGGGGTTATTGTCTAGCTCATTGCGATTGTAAAATCCATTCTGAATGAGGTCACTATGATGTTTCTTTGGCACATTATCGAGCCACTTCGTTGAGTTAGTTAAAAGTGGGTTTCGTAGTATCCTCTGCTTATTTGACATTTCTTTCTGGGAAAATTAAGGAGATTATATATGTGGGGTTAATTGGACCGGAGGACGAGGAGTAAAATTCGTAAAATTCGATCTTTTTGACTAGCCCCACTGCTTCACTCTAGTGTCCGAAGAAATATTTTTTTTTCCGGTGTGTCTCTTCTTTGCGTAATGATTCAGATTGCCTATCTAAGTAATACCTTGAATGAGCTCACTCCTGTTGCTATTGGGGCACAATAAAGAGAGGTGGAGCAAACTGGTCACTTGTGTTAAGCTCCAAGGTCTCCTTTCGGATATTGGTTTGGCTTCTTGAACCTTCTCAAAGCTTGTGCTAAACTATTTCATGTTTTGGCTATTTTTTTTTTTCTTGTAAGATTGCCCTCTTTCTATTTTTAGTCTGAAGGGGATGCCCTCGTGGGTGTGTGCTCTTCAGGAGAAACGATAACTGCAATTTAAGTAGTAAAGATTTACATCCTGTCGCTGATTATTTTATCGTCTATTTAAAATTCGATTTTCTTTTTTTAATTTTCTTTGCGCCTATTGTGTTTGATTTGATTTTGTGTATAAACAGCTGCTGCAAATTTACTTAAAATGGTTAATCTTTATTGTGGAAACCCTCTTTATTGTTCGACAGGAGCTTTCATTTGTTAGCGATTCTGGAATTTTTCTTCTCTTGTTTTTCTTTTTTGAAACTGGTATGTGATATACTGGTTGCTATGGAAACCTGAAACAAATCCATCCTGTTTACATACTTTCCTTGGCTGAAACTATAATGGTCTGCAGAGGTATAAAATGGAATCAATATTCTCTCAGAGTGAGAGTATACGAGACTCGTGATGGTCAAAGGGTCCACCAAACATCTTTAATTACTATCGTTTGAATATAACACCATTTGGTCCGACACCCTTTATGCTTGTCCTTTTGCCATTCATTTTCACCTTGGGTGCAACTGCACCAGTAGTGATAAACACCGTCATAGTCACTCAAACATATGGAGCAAATCAGAATTTACAAACGGCTCAAACAAAGAATGTACAGACAACACCATCACCAGTGCAAGCTAGTCAAATTCAAGCACAACAAACAGCCAGTACTAGTAGCTTCAACATTTTTGGAGAAATAGCTCAACTTTTTGGTTTTGGGTCCACCTCTGAAGCATCAAACGTTGCCAATACATCGCCAGCTGCTGTCACTGCTACATCACCAGCTGTTACAACAACTCCAGTTGCAGGAACAGCAACACCAACACCAACAACATTTCTGGCTATTTCGTCAATTGCATCCCTGCCGTCGTCCGAATCTCCCTTTACTACAACACAACTACAAACAGACACCCCCTCCACGCAGACCAACTCCGCATCCTCGGCAATAGAATCATCACAATCCTCAAACTTTGTACTTGACGAAGCAGTTTCCTCCACGCCACAATCAGGCAACGCGTATTTAACTACAGTGAACAAAATTTGGCAAAGGTTTTGGGAAAATGGGAAATGGAATCAGGAGGATAGCATTTGCCAAGATGATTCCTACCAAATTCCATCAGTTTGGGATATGGCAGTTTTGGGTAAGGCCATAGCTGATTCTGGTGATACTAATGGAGTCGAGACCACCATTTCACGAATCTTGGAATATTACGACTCAAACACTGGTGCTTTCTCATCAACGCCAAACTCATCTCTGGAGATTTATAGTGATGATAACTCGCAGTTATTGTGGGTCTTTTTGGATGCGTACAAGATGACCAACAAAGAACAGTACTTGAAATACGCTGAAGGTATCATGGATTATTTGAAAACGCAAAACTATCAAAATACTGGTGGGATCATTTGGAAAAGAGACCAGTCATATATTGCATCTATATCCACAACAGAAGTTGCTTTGAGTGCCATGAGATTGTACGAGTTCAATAATGACGAGTCTTTGGTTGAGTTGGCACAAAACTGCATGGACTTCATGTTTAATCATTTGCAAGATAGTGATTCCTTGTTTTTTGATGGATTAGATAAAGAGACTTTTTCAGTCAATAAGGGAAAATTGACATATACTGTTGGTTGTGCCATCAGCACCTTGGTGAAGCTTGGAACGCAAGATGCCTTGAACAAGGCATTGGATCTTGCCACGGCCGCTACAAACACAGATGGGGCTTTTTACACTTCTGAGGGTATTTGGAACAATAGCCTTCAGTACGTACATTTATTATTTGTTGGTTTCGGTGACGCTTTTGGAACTGGCAAATTTGACAAATTCAAAGATGAAGTGACAAGACAAGGAAATTACATTTACGAATTCGTTCAGGACCCTGATGATGCGAACCTTTACTTTGATCTGGCCACCAGTGGAACGCCAAGTACCTATGCCAAATACGCCAAAGTTTTTTCTACGTCTGGAGCAACATACAAACCTAATGAGGATCTCTACTGTAGTGGAAGCTCCTCAGGGCCAGCTCCCAAAAGTTTGTTGACAAACGCCAGTGCGGGTCAGATTTTGTACCAATTGGCAAATTATTGATCATCATTTTCAATTCAGTAAAACGTTGAAAGTTTTTTAAATAATACCCTTATTAGAGTTATAGTAATAGATGGATTTTTGTTGATTCTTGGCGGTTGCGAAAATCAAACAATGATACACTGAGTTGGTCTTGGCTTGGAAAATGATTGCCTTCTGTAAAAAATAAGTCGTCTGCCTTGGTCTTTGTAGTATAACCTCAAGACGCACTTTTGGCAAAGTGATATCCCGAACCGATGTCTTTTCGTGTTGTGGCTCGCGATAAATTATTGACAAATCACTCTGGATGATTGACAAAAAACAGCCACAGTTGACACAAAACTCAAAAGTGACAACGAAAGTTAACCTTAATCTAACTAAAGTTTGTAACCTGAAAACTGATGCACGCAATAAACGGCAATCAATGTGTCAGAGTCAAACTGTTCAGACTTTCTGGTTCCTGCATACATCTCCCCCTTTATCATGATAATGCTAACCCCGAGTACTTAAAGGGGTGTGCATTCCCAAAAGCTTCCACTCTCTTATTGTGTTTCAACCTCCAATGGAACCATCATTATCACAAGGAGTAGGCTACGGCCTAATTGTTGGCGGAGGAGCTTTCTTTGCTATTGTTATGAACTATGTCACCTTTTTACAAAACAAGTTCAGCGTCTTCAACTCTAGGAAAGTTGATGAGTTTGTATCTGGAAGTAGATCAGTTGGATTTGGTTTGCTACTCAGTGGTATTCTATCCAACTGGACTTGGAGTTTGACCTTGTTGGAGTCTGCTGTCAAGAGTTACGATATTGGCATAAGTGGCAGTTATTGGTACGCAATTGGTGGATTGATGCAAGTCAGCGTATTTTCAGTTGTGTCGTCAAAGATCAAAAAGAATGCAAATTTGGTAACCACTTTTCCTGAAATGGGTTATTTTAGATTTGGAAAAGCAGGACATTTGAGTTTCCTATGGTGTGGGTTTGTGTGTAATTCCATTGTTAGTTCGTGCATCTTATTGGGAGGTTCAGCTGTTTTCAATGCTGTGACTGGAATAAGCCAATATGCAGCATTGTTTTTAATACCGTTTGGATGTGCCATCTATGTCAGTTTCGGTGGTTTACGAGCTACATTTATATCTGATGCTACTCATACATGTATCATATTGGTATTTATTATAGTATTCATGTTTGAGGTTTACTTTGGCAGCGACAAAATTGGGTCTCCTAAAAAAATGTGGGAGTTGCTTGAGTCCTTGCCTCCCGTCGATGATAACTACCATGGTTCATACTTGACATTTAGATCCAAGCAAGGTGCCATCTTTTCCATAATTAGTATTGTCACAGGTTTTGGCCTTGTGGTGAATGATCAAGCTTATTTGTCAAGAGCTGTTGCAGCTGATCCAAAGATTACTTCAAGAGCTTATTTTTTTGCATCAGTCTGCTGGTTTGTGATCCCTTTTGCCATGGGTGCTGGATTAGGTCTCGCAGGGAGAGCTCTCTCCGTGTACTCCGATTACCCAACCCTTTCAGAATTCGAAGTTGGTGAAGGTTTGGCCCCAGTAGCTGCAGCCACGTACTTGATGGGAAAATCAGGTTCGGCAATGATCTTAGTAATGATCTTTTTCTCAGTAACTTCCTCGTTTGCAGGTGAGCTAATTGGCACCTCGACCTTGATCAGTTATGACATATACAAGCGATACGTAAAACCTGATGCAACACCAGGACAGGTTGTGAGAGCTGCTAAAGTTAGCGTTTTTGGCTGGGCTTTGTTTTCATCGTGTTTGGCGTCAATCTTTTATGGTGCTGCAAAAATAAGTATGGGATGGTTATTCAACTTTCTTGGATGCGCTACTGGCGCTGGTGTATTCCCCATTGCACTTAGTTTTACTTGGAAAGATCTCAACAAGATTGGCGCTGTTGGAGGAGCCGTCGGTGGTATGTTTTTGGGTATCATTGCATGGTTGGTGACATGCAAGGCATACACTGGTGAAGTCAACGTCACAAATTTGTCAACCCAATGGGTTTCTTTCACAGGTAATGTGACAGCATTGTTTATGGGCGGGATTATTTCTATTGTGTTGTCGTTAATATGGCCAGCAAATTTTGACTTTGAAGAAACTAGAAACAGAACTAGTTTGGTAAAGAAGAGGCAACAGAACACTGGTGCGGATGTTGAAGTTGAAAAGGCATCTGTATTGAAGCAGTCGCTGGTTGAAATTAGTCAATCCTCTGCCGATGTATCGAATGACGAAGAAGAGTCTCTGTCCACGCACGAGTTAGATATGAATTTAGAAGCAGTGATTGACCACAAACATTTGGACCACCAATTCAAAAAGTATGGTATATTAGTTGCCATACTTGCGTTGGTCATGGCAATTATTATTCCCGTTCCATTGGGTGCTTCCACTTATATCTTTAGTCCTGATTTTTTGTTGGGGACGGTCATCGTCATTATAATTTGGTTGTTTTGTTCATTCTTTTACGTTGTCGTGTTGCCAGTGGTTGAGGCTAGAAATAGTATTTGGCATATCTTGAAGATGTTGGTGGGAAGACGTGACATTGTGGAGTAATCGGGGTGAGGCTTGGAGAAGTAGCTGCGATTTCATAGAGTTATAGAGTAGTAATAGCTTGTGTTTCCGGTGGTGGCTGCAAATTAGGCATGTCTATATGAAGTATTGTATTTAAAGCACGTATTTTCAAAGACAATACGAATAGCTTCTATACATGTACCCAATTTACTGCTCCAGCAGCAACGATTCAGGCGCGGCTTGTAGCTATCACATGTCAAGATAGATACCAATTCTATAATCTTTGTGTATTGTTCTCTCTGGTGTGCATACAAACCCACATCCCATCTCGTAAAAAAGAAAAAAAATTGAAGGCACACCAAAGACTAACCGATATTATAGAACACACTAGGCACACGCTCGTACTTCACATACAATGAGCCAAGATATAATACAAAACTTGATCCATAATCCTCAAGATATATTCAAGCTACATAATGATGGAGAGTCTGACACTAACATTTTCAACGACTTAACGAAAAGTATATTGAATCCAATTGTGAAAAACTATTCGGTACTTGATGAGTTGTATACTGATGGATTGGACTCATCACAAGTGTTTGGGCAGACAAAGATGGTGTTGGATGGAATAGGAAGTAAGTTGTTGGGGGAGGATATACCACAGGTTAGGGAAAAGATTGGAGAGATTGAACAAAGTGAAGATGAAGATGAACACGAGGAAGATGATGAGGATGAACATGAACATGAATATGAACATGAAGAGGAAGGGGAAGAGGAAGAGGAAGTAGACCTGGAAAGCAAGGTAAGAGAGGGCGAAGACGAAGAACAAAATGAAGCAGATGAGAGCTCTGAGGAGATAGAAGAAGGTTCAGAAGATGAGGAGGAGAAGTTTTTCGACGACGGTGAAACATTGGTTGGTGAAGATGACGACGAGGAAGAAGGTTCTGACACCGAGGTGAAGCACAAGAAGGATGTGTTTGGATTAAATGACGGATTTTTCGACATTGACGAATACAATAAGCAAGTCCTTGCACTTGAAAACGAAAAAGAATTAGGAGACAACGATGACGAAGAGATCGATTTTTTTGGTAGTTTGAGTGATGAAGATGAGGAACAAATGGATTACTATGATGATTTTTATGATAAACCAGGCAAAGTGGATGTAAATACAAAGCCAGCAAAGAAAGTTAGCGCGGATGAAGAGGATGATTTAAGCGAAGGGGAGTTTGCTGATGAAGATTACGATAATGCCGTCAATTCTGCCAGACTTGATTTGTTTGCTGAAAATGAGGAGAGAAAACTGAAACAAGGTGATAACCTATCGTCATATGAGAAACAGCAATTGGCTTTGCAACGTGAAATTGAAAAATTGGAAGCTGAACTAGTCGCTGACAAGAAATGGACTCTCAAGGGTGAACTTACATCAAACGAGAGACCGAAAGAATCTTTGTTGGAAGAAAATGAACTTTCATTTGACCGTACTGCTAAACCAGTGCCAACAATCACCCAAGAAGTGACAGAAACCATTGAAGACTTGATTAGAAAAAGAATAAAGAACGATGAATTTGATGATTTGCCACGAAGGATTGTTCAAGATTTATCCAAATTTCACCAGGGACCTCAAGCTGACGTTTCTCAACAAAAATCGTCAAAATCGTTGGCAGAATTGTATGAAGACGAATACAATCAAGTTGACGCACAGCAAGAGGAACTCGATGATGCAGTGAAGAAACAACATGACGAAATAAGTGAGTTGTTTATGAAAGTAACGCATAGATTGGATGCATTGTGTTCGGCCCATTTCATTCCGAAACCACATGAGGTAAAGAATATTGAAATCAAGGTGACTGATGCTAGTGCTCCTTCTATTAGTATGGAAGATGCCCAACCATTGAACGTATCGAGTGAGTCAAGATTAGCACCACAAGAGGTTTACAAAATTGGAGATGATTCCATCAAAGGAAATGGTGTCAAAGGTAAATCTGAAGTTCTGTTAAAATCCGGTCTTTCGTATTCCAAAGATGAGCTTAATCGTGAGGAAAAACAAAGATTGAGAAGAGCTAACAAGAGAAAGAAATCAAAACAATTCAATGAAAGACAAGAACTCAAGAGACAAAAGTTGAAACAAACACCTGAATCCAAGCAAAGGAAAACAAAGAATAGTGAAGTTGTTGATACATTGTCTAAGGCAAGAAACGTCACCGTTATTGGGCAAAAGGGTGAATTGAGAGATGCAAAGGGGAACTTGAAAAAGAACAACGGACCACAAACGGGAAATAGTTTGAAACTATAGGCAAATGTTTAGAGCTGCAGTACTGACGCGTGTGTGTAGGAGCTCAATAATACGGTTGTATCGTGTAAAAGACAATGTCGGAGTTTAATTACTGCCGAAAGATTTACAAAAGTAAGATTTTTGTATTTTGTGTTTGATCGGCTGATTCAATAAAAAAATATTTAGCGGTTAACAACCTACAGGAATTTTTTAAGTTCCGGTGTGCATTTAGTGGCACTAAAAACCAAAATACAATACCATCAAAATCTTGCTGAGACACGCATAGTGCACATTGTCGTATAAATTCTTGGCAGGGGATGGGAGGGGAGGGGACGTGAGGCAAAACAAGAACAATATGCTTGGTGTGAAGACATCAAGAGATGAGAGGACGCTTTATCTCCACTTGGTCAGACCCAGTTACTTCTTGAGTTGTTTGTTCCGTGAGGCTCATAGAATTTTCCAACAAATAGACGATGCTACACGGTTAAGTCGGCACAGGCATTGGCTTAAAGATATTGCTTTCTGTTACGGAAGAAAAAAAAATAAAAGATACGTGACAGCAACAAATTTCGAACAAGCCTTGTTTTTGAGGCTATTCATTTGGAACACGATAAATGTATACCGTAGTATTTTCATACATTGCTGGTTACAGGAAAGATTTTTTTATGTTTCGGGTAATATTTATCTCCGAAGGGATTTTGTCAATTGGTCGCGTAACAAAAATCCATTTTTTCTCTTTCTTTACGCAGAAAATTCACTCGTTTAGCGTCATTACACGCCTGATACGACTTTTTAACTCATTATATAAAATAACCCATTCATTTCCATCATTTCAAAAAAGAACACGGGTGTGTTTAGATATACATCTCCTATGAAATACCACCTGAGTTTCAAATAAAGAGGATTCATCATCTCATTACTACATTTAAGCTTCACCAAAAGAGCTAGTCATTCATTCAAAAGCTCATTTATTTACACTCGCTCATTTTGATGGAGCTATCTTCAATATCCCCAACATCGATACAACCCACGATGCTTTCCTCGCAGTTTATTGCAAAGTTGTGCACTTTGCCGTATCCTATTGTTAAAATTATACTACAATACTACACTGTTGGGACAGTGTATTCCAAAACCAACAGAGAGTTTAAGCGATCGTTGTACAAGAATGTCTTGATCGCTATGGAAGCTCATATGGCAATGAATCTTCAAAAAAACGATATGAAGGCTGTTTGTTACGAGCCGATTGGTCATTTATTGAAACGGTTCAAGAAAAACCCCATGTCGAAACAATTGAATGCATTTGGTGAGCAATTTGATGAATGCAGCTATTGGATCCACAAATGTGATATACCGATTGAAAAGACAAACGTGGTGGTTTATTTTCATGGAGGTGGGTACCTCTTGAATATGATTGATTCTCAACTTACATTTAGCGCTGCTTTGCATTTTGCATTGGATGATAAAACAGCAGCAAGGACTTCCATAATGATTGTTGATTATTCATTGACAATGTTTGATCATATATATCCTACTCAGTTGTACGAATGTTTACGTACTTACAACAACTTGGTTCAACTGGGGTATAACAACATTATTTTGATGGGAGATTCAGCCGGTGCTCATATGTCATTGTCATTAGCTAGGGCCATTGCGTATCCAGAAGAAATCAAACAACAATTCGAATATTTTAGTGAGTTCAAGTTGAAATTCAACGTATCCAACTTACCTCAACCTAAAGCTTTGATATTGGATGCTCCTTGGGTCCAGCCGTGTACTCCACCACTTCCATCACGACACCATGTCGACACCACTGGTGACGTTATTGGCTATGATATAAACTTGGGTAACTATTTCGTTGAAGATTTAGATCAAAAGTTTATCAACAATTTCCTCAAATTTACAAACACAAATTGGGAAGACCATTGGGCAAAAGTTGAAGCAATAAACAATGGAAACACCATCATGATTGTTGGTGAACGTGAAGTATTGCGTGATGGTATGGAAGATTTCTACAACATTGCCAATAAAAAAGGAAGCATTGAGTATTATATTGAGCCTGGTGGAATTCATGCTGGCATGGTTTACGTTGAGAGTTTGGATTACATGAGTAAGAAAGGAGCTAAACGCGCTTTGAAAGGTGATTTTAAGGACAAGTTTGGTATAAATTTAGTAGCGCAGTTTCTCAATAAGCGTGATTTTGTATAGAATTGGGTAGAAGTGTGATAATGCATAAATCGAGAAGAAAAAAAAGAGGTGACTTGTAGAAGTGTAGTACTACTGAGGCGAAATCATTTGGCTAAAAAGATGCATCTGTGTTGAATGGAAAGATGATCACCTTTGTTGAGTCTCAACAGGGTTTCCACATATCTTACAAGCGTTTATAGACTACGAAGCAACTGATTCAAACTTTCCAAGTTTACAAGTAACATTCATGATTTTCTCGATAACCAAATATTCAAAATATATTTGGTTGCAAAATCATGCAAACTTTTGATCAACTATACAATTTCAAAAGTTTAAAAACTCAGCACTAATCTGAGAAGAGTTAAAAACCAGTAGCTATGCTTATTGTATTACTCCCATTCTCCCAAACATGCTAATTTGTTCATATAGAAAACCTGAACCCAATTCGGAGTCTATTGAACTTCATTCAAAAACCATCAAAAATGAAATGACTTGTACAACATAGGGTTCAAAAAATGGTAATTTTAGTGCTCTGACGCAGTTGTCGAGCGATGTTCTGGTGGCGTAGCCCGGTAGCGCGCCCCGCTCACAGTACTTGCTTAGAACCGGGGAGGTCGCGAGTTCAAGTCTCGCCTGGAACATCTAAATTATCAACCTTTTTTTTTATCCCTCCTTGATAAGGTGCAACCAACATTATTTGGTGCAAGCACACCCCGGAAAAGCTTCTAAGCAGCATTCGCTCAAATTTACACGCTGTTTTTGCAGTGTCACTTTAATGAATATACACCTATAACCTAAATAAACCATAATTGATGCAATATGCTTAATCATCATCACTTTCAATGTCGTCATCATCTTCACTATCATCGGTGGTGTCGCTCTCCTCGCTGTCATCATCGTCATCGTCATCGTCATCATCGTCATCGTCGTCATCGTCGTCATCCTCCATATGGCTTCCAGAGGCACTGTCTTCATCATCATCTTCGTCTGGATTAACTTCTGACCATTCAACGTAGTAACTTCCGACTATTTTCTTACACTTGGGTAATACCAATGGATCAAAGGGAAAGTAAGCTTCCAAATCCAAAAACTCTTGTTTTTGCTTGAAATTACCCACTGCTGATGGTAAAACAGTAGACCCATTAGTTTGCAACATTCTTTCTCTCTTGTTATGTTCGATGATAGAATAGCAATAGCAAACATTCAACTTAGTCGCTAATTTGGCAAAGATGTAAACCACAGTTTCGTCGCAGAATTTCAATGGATTGAATTTGACAATAATTACACGTTGGAAAAACTTGTCAATGTCGCACTCCCATTCTGAGGATGATGTTGATGAAGACGAGGAGGAGGTGGTTGCAGTGGTTGATGATGAGGGGTCTTTGCGTAATTGTTCATGTCTGAAACAAAATATGTATAACAACGCTTGAAATGCCGAATAAAAAAGCTTGAATCTTTCCATACCACCGGTTTGTTGACGTGAAGTCAGATTTTGCTTTTGCTTGTTTTCAATGTCGAAAGTTTCTTGTTCTCTTTCTATGATGTACTTGTTTAACCAGCCCATGAGATAGCTCACAATGAATACAATCTGATGCCGAGACAAGTTCTTAGCTCTAGCGATATAGGAAGAGAGATACTGCATTGCTTTCAATCTCTTTTCAACAATTTCATTCGGATTAAAGGCAACATCAATGAGCAACACTAAGAACGAGTCGGCTAGTTCTTGTTGATATTGAGTGATGCGAAACAAAATGAATTGAATCAGTTTTGTGAAATGCGTAGGTAAAATGTGGCTTTTGAACAATGAGTTTATAGTATTGAATAAGGCTACTCCATTGCCATTGTTGAGTTCCTCAGTAGTAAATGAGTTGGAAGTTTTTGTAAGTAATAAGTGCATGATATTGTCCAATTTGGATGCAAGTGTCTTGATGCTTCTTGTTGTATTCACAGATTCAACCCATTCAACTTCTCCCATGTTTTCGTCATCGGAGTTAGCTTCAGCGTCCACGGTTTCTTGATCTTCTCCAGACACCCCGTCTTCTTCCTCAGTAACTTCAAGTAATTCGGCATCATCATCTTTACCATTAATCAATTCTTCAACCTCGTCATCATCCAAATCGTCCAATTCATTTTGCAATTCAACATCTAGTTTGATGCAACATTCGAAAACCAATTGCCAAACACTGAATTGTAATTCAGAACAATATGTCAAAATCTGCATTAAATTATCCACATAATTTAGTATCTCCCCCGTGGATGACGATATATGGTGCGGGAAATTGGCTTGTAATATTTGTGGAATCATATTTATACTTGTAGGAATATACCTCAATATTTTTTGTAAAATTTGATGATGTTGAGTGGATTTGCCATTTGAGTCAAATAGTTCAAATTCACGAACTAGTTTGTTCAAAACTTCAATTAAGAACTTAGGGAACGTACTCACCAACACAGTTACGAAATGTGCGTATAAATCTATAAATGTGGTGTAAACTTCATGATCAAGTTCCAGCACAGCCAACCATTTATATCGAAGAATGGCAAAGATTAAATTATTGCATGCACGGTCATCTAGTTTTGACGTATGGTTGATGAGACCTTTGAGTAAAATGCTGAAATGTGGTATCGATATAGCTTCTGAGCTATTTATTGGTGCATTGATCTTATCAGCTAATGTCTCAATTTGCATAGAATCGCCCTAAAAAAAAAAAGTATTGTTAGTACTCCAATCAGTAAAACATATGGACACCAAGGCCCTGTCTCTGTCTATAGCAACATACTTTTTCCAAAGAAGTAAATGCAGATTTGACATAAGCTGAATACATCTTTTCCGTAAACTCATCATCGTTGGTCATCGCAGTGGCAGTTGATGCCTCATCGTCTAGCATCATTTTCTTGCTCCTTTTCCTGGCTGGTACAACAGCTTGCGTATCTATCTCTCGAATCCTCTTTAATGGATCCTCTAGTGACATTTGTGATGGAATGGGGTGAGTTTCAGTTGATGAAACCGAGATAGCTTGTAATAAGGAGAAGAGCAGAGAAGGAAAATGAAAAAAAAAAATTTCCCTTTAAGAAAAAAAAGAGGGAAAGAGGGGCATTTTGTGCGACTTTTCAGAATCACCTGAACGCACATCCACAGTTTTCGAAAATACTAACATCTTATAGAACACTAGCAATTACACTAGCAATTACTATACTAGTATATTGGACAAGGTGTCCTTTCATGCAGTGGATACAACCACACAATTAGTATTCACAGCCGACATAACTTTACCAGCTAAATAAGAAGCTCTCTCCTCCATTTCGATGGCGATTGAACGTACCCAAGCCCTTCTCGTTGAGTTAGGTGCTTGCCAAACTGTCCCAGTTAAGATATCCAGGTGGACGAGATCGCCCGCCCACTTTTCCCTCTTTTGGGTAAAGCACTGTTAAAGGCTTTTGCAGCTGATTTCGATGAGAAATTGGTAGCTCTCAATTTTGTTTTCCTAAATCTATTTCTTGAGGAAAGTCCACAACATATATTTACTTTCAATTGACAGAAACAACCACCTCAACCACCACTCAAATGCCCATCGTTGAATTACATTCAAAGTTTTTGCTTAACGTATCTGATATTGAGGCAAGAAAGATTAACTTTCATTACGGCGTCCTACTTGGTTTTCAAGATAATGACAAGCTTGTCGTTGCCACATCATTCGAAATTATCCACGACGACAAGGCAATTGATTATGAGTTTTTGTACAAGAGATACAATCAATTGAAGCTAGTGTATCCTGGCTTTACCATACTTGGAATATACCATATGAATGAAAGAAATTCGTCAACTATAGCTATGTTTCAAGAAATTCAGAGATGCTGCAATTCTTACGACATACCGATGAATTCACAACAGATTTATGTAATTTACGACAAAGCTGACGAAAAGCACCCATTCAAGTCGTATTCTGCTGAAAACTCTCAAGCTTTAGAGACTACAGTCAATACTAGCGAAACTGAAAACATCACTGTTTCCACAATTGAAAAACACAAGGTGTATTTTGAAACAAGTGGTAAACGACAAAGACAACCTATAAACATAAAGAAACATATAGACGATGTTGCCAATGTGGTTAAAAATTTGCAAAAGCTTGATGAAAAGAGCGTAAACTTGAATAAAGCGGCTAATAGCAACCAAACTAATTATGCCAATATGTTGAAATTACAAACGACGCAGTTGGCATTATTGACAGAACAGAAAGCAGTATTGGATAGTGCGCAAAGTAATCTTGTGAGACTTTGGCAGTTGTCGTAGCATCCAATATTACAAATGGTCCTTGAATTCCTACGTGCTGGCATTTATTTAGGGAATATCTAACTTTCTGCGCAGCAGACGCATAGATGCGGTGCTTCATAGAAAAATGAACGGGGTTGATTACTGTTGATTTGAAGTCAATCGAGTTACTGTCGTATCTATAGTTAACTCAGTAGAATGAATCAGTCGTTAATACACCGACTTATCGCTATTATACCCATTTGAATAAGTCTTTTTTTAGAACATTGTCTCATATAAACTGTGCTTTGATCCTTTATTACACTTTTCTTTGTAGATCAACTTGGTGTTTACTAGTTGGTTCCAAATTGGTGGTCTATAAAAAATAGGCGTACTAAATTTCGAGACAATACTTTCGAGTCAGTGTGACAAGGTGATCAAATGTTCTTCCTTCACCTCTTCAAAGCTGACCTCTTTGAGTCAATGTGAAGAGCAGAAAGTTTGAAGGAGTAGAGCAAATTTTTCTTTACTACATAAAATCTTTTTGGTTGCAAAAACAGTGAGAATCGTCAATGGTTTGTTTTTGCTTTGCAACCTAGCCGACGAAATCTAAAATCATTCTGAGTAAAAGAACTTTGCATCAACTGTATGCGCTATGTTTCAATTATGGTGACTCTGATGGAATTCATAAATTCTTTAACAAAATTCGAACAAACAGGAAAGAGCATTGGAAGTAGTTGTGAATCTATATGAAGTGGGAACAGAGACAAGACAGAGAGACGAGCTAGATGATGAAGACACTGTAAGGTCTTTCACAAGTAAACACAATAATGTATTTGAGTCAACAAAGAGGTGAAACCGCCATCGAGGAGTAGCCCGAGCCTTGACAAATTGTCATTCAAGACATATTTGAACGAATTCACGATGATCTGTGCCAATTAGTTATATGTTCTACACCAGAAGAGATTATCAATATTACACAGTGACAACTTCCGCAGCAGTCAAAAACTCAACAATTGGAAAGGTGGCCGAGTTGGTCTAAGGCGCTAGACTCAAGAATTAAGTTTCTTACAGCTTAATATGTTGTGATTTCTAGTATCGTAAGATGCGCGAGTTCGAATCTCGTCCTTTTCAATATATTTTTATTTTTTTTCTTTCCGAATCACACTTGCTTATTTTTTGTTTAATTTTTTTGCAACTTTCTTTATTTCAAATTTAACGGTTCATTTAGGTAATTATATGCTAAACATACGCCTCCATTCGAGCTTGGTATACGGGTGACAAACGTGTCTGAAGTTGGTTGGTTGGGCGTATTTCATATCGAACTATCTTTGCTAAAGAAACAACAAATTATGGTTTTGTATAGGAAGCAGGATATCTCTCTACAGAGGTACCCCACAATGAGTTAAGGTTCTTGATACTTTACATATAAAAAGTCACCAGTACATTAAATTATTCAAAAATCAACATATTTACAGCTATTGCTATACAAATGCACACCTTCCGATACCCCCTCCCTCCGTTAAAACACATAGTAATCCTTGTACAACCACATCCAAGCTAAACTCAAACTACTCACAACTAAAGGTCCTGCCAAACCTTTACCCAACAGAGTGGTTCTGAAGATTAGCCATTCACTCAAAAAATGGAATGCAGCCACGCCAAAGGTAAATTGAGTCAATTGATAAACTTGTGGGTTGGTAATATAGTAAGCCCCATACAATCTCACTATAGAAGTGATCAAAGTCCAAGTTCCAAAAGTTCTTGCTGACAAGTTTGTCACTTGTTGTGGTTTGGCATTGTATACTCGCTTAGTTAAGGTCAAATCCTTTTGATAGGTTTGTAATGAGTTAAAAATGGACACGATGGAGATAAATAGCAACCAGTATGGTAATTTGCCACCACGAGTGAATGGTAAGATCCCGATATTCATTGTGTGTAGGCTGTTTGTCTAGAGGTGTGGATTGGTTTCCGAAAAAGTTCGATTCTTACCAATTTGAAAGAAAAAAGAAAAAAAAAAAAAAAAAAAAAAATTATACGCTTATTTTACTTTACTGAAACAAACTAGTTTAATGCACAATTGTTGGATCTTGAACTTTAGTTGGATCTTTATCTTTCAACACATCAACCACAGGACCCAACAATCTCTGAAACCCTGATTTACCCAAGGTTGCAACTATAACATTATCTAAAGCTTCAACGGTAGCCTGTCTAGGTAACTCTTTAATCAATGCCAACTCTCCGAAATAATCGCCTTTACCCAACTTCTTGATTTCTCCCAATTTATTGTTATAAACTTGACATGTGCCACTCTCAATGAGGTAAAAGTTTTCACCTTGTTCACCTTCAGTGACAATTTTATCACCCTTTTGATACTTTTCGGTGCTTAAGGCATCAGCCAATTTGGAACGCTCTTGATCAGAAAGTGATTTTAAGATTTCAACGTCTTTGAGGAAATCTTCATACATCAATCGTCTATTGAAACTACCTTCCAATAGGATCCGACGGAAAGTTAAACGGTCCAATGCCCATACGGTGACATCAGTGACAGCAATCACAGTAGCAGCTCTTGGTGCATTGTACATTAATGCCAATTCCCCAAACGATGATCCGTCACTGCTTGTACTGACCTTGACGTCATTAACATAAAAGTCAACTGTTCCGGATTCTATTATGTAAAAGAAGTCACCTTCATCTCCCTGTTTAATGATTACCGAGTCCTTCTTGAAGTTTTTGGATTCCAACGCTGATATGACAGTTTTCTTTGACTTTTCATCCAATTGCTTGAAAAGGAAATTGTTTTTCAAGCTATCAGCAACTGATTCCTCTTCTGTCGTTGATAAATTATTCTGTGGTGGTTTCCAACTCTCTGACTTTAACTTTGCTGGATTCAACGCTTCTGCTGACACCGAGGTTCTTCTATTGGTATTGAAAGATTTAGGTATTTCGCCATGTGGAGAAGGGTCCATTGTTGCAATTGTGGGCTCTAAGGTTTAGGATATATATGTGTTGTGGACTAGAATGCCTTTTTTTTTTTTTCTCTTTAGATCGATCAAAATGGTGAGTGCAAGGGGGGTGGGAGAGGGGATAAGAAAATGAAGAGGGAGATTTTCGAGAGTCATACATTGAGATTTTGGGCATTGCATAATTTGTATATCGGTACACGACCTTGGGAAGAAAAACACAAAAGCACACACTTAAGAAGAAAGAAAGAGAGACAGAAAGAGAGAGAGAGAGAGAAGGTTAAAGCTACCATATCATTAAAGGAAAAGATGAGAGGGCTTTTCATAGTGGCACACACAGCTTTACTGAAGAGTCCATCGAAAGACTCAAAAAAAAAAGAGGAAAATAGAATTGTGTTATATACCATGAAACAACCTGAACTTAGGCGCAACTAGATAGTGAATTCTGTTATCACTTGGTAGCGTTAGATCTGAAATCAGCATTTGGTAGCACTAGATTGTTGAAATTGCCACGTCATATGTAATTTTAACACATACCATAGCGCAATTTTTTCTATTGCATTCTCTGGGGTTCCACATTGAACACGTTTTGACTATGACACAAGTGGTCACTTTGTTGAGGATTGAGTACAGGCATGTAAATCTAATACGGGATCCACCCACAATTGGACACGTAAACACTTGTTATGCTACTGCGTACGTATAGATTGCGTAGTACATTTATGTATCTCTCTCTCTCTCTCTCTCTCTCTCTCTTTTTTTTTTTAGTGAACGAAATCTGACACGTCAAGAGGCAGCAGCAGCCACTGAAAAAATAAAAAAAAAAATATATAAGAATCCAAAAGTCAAATTTTCAGACAACCATAGATCCTATTCTTTTCCTTCCTTTCCTACCACACACACATACACACATATAGATAGAAAGATGAGATCAAACTCTTGGTTTCCACGTCTTGGGTTGCTTTATGTGGCTTTAGTGGTATTGATTCCTTTTTTAGCCTCGTCTAAACATTCATTTGCACTTGCCGCTTCTTCTGATGAAGATGCTCATGAAAATTATGGAACTGTTATTGGAATCGATTTGGGTACTACGTACTCATGTGTTGGTGTTATGAAGAATGGAAAAGTTGAAATACTAGCCAACGATCAAGGTAATAGAATAACTCCATCGTATGTTGCATTCAATGGTGATGAAAGATTGGTTGGTGACGCAGCCAAAAATCAAGCTGCTTCCAATGTCAACAACACAGTGTTTGATATCAAAAGATTGATTGGCTTAAAGTATAATGATGACACTGTTCAAAAGGAATTGAAGCATATGCCATACAAGATTGAAAACAAGGGCAACAGACCGGTTGTATCTGTTGAATACAATGGCGAACAAAAAGTATTCACACCAGAAGAAATTTCGGGTATGATTTTGGGGAAGATGAAGTCAATCGCTGAGGAGTACCTTGGTAAGAAAGTTACCCACGCTGTTGTCACTGTTCCAGCCTACTTTAATGATGCCCAAAGACAAGCAACTAAGGATGCTGGTACTATTGCTGGTTTAAACGTTTTGAGAATTGTTAATGAACCAACAGCCGCCGCTATTGCCTATGGATTGGACAAGACCAACGAAGAGAAGCAAATTATCGTTTATGACTTGGGTGGAGGTACTTTTGATGTCTCCTTGTTGTCGATTGAAGGTGGTGTTTTCGAAGTCTTGGCTACTGCTGGTGACACTCACTTGGGTGGTGAGGATTTTGACCACAAGATTGTTAGATACTTGGCCAAACAATTTAAAAAGAAACACAATATCGATGTTTCATCAAACGCAAAGGCAATTTCAAAATTAAAGAGAGAAGCTGAAAAGGCCAAGAGAACATTGTCATCTCAAATGTCAACTAGAGTTGAAATTGACTCCTTTGTTGATGGTATTGATTTTTCAGAAACTCTTTCTAGAGCCAAATTTGAAGAATTAAACATGGCTTCATTCAGAAAGACCTTGAAGCCAGTTGAACAAGTTTTGAAGGATGGTAATGTTAAAAAGTCCGATATTGATGATATTGTCTTGGTTGGTGGTTCCACAAGAATTCCAAAAGTTCAAGAATTATTGGAACAATTCTTTGATGGCAAAAAGGCATCCAAAGGTATTAATCCAGATGAAGCTGTTGCTTATGGTGCTGCTGTTCAAGCAGGTGTCTTGAGTGGTGAAGAAGGTGTCGATGATATTGTCTTGTTGGATGTCAATCCATTGACTTTGGGTATTGAAACTTCAGGTGGTGTTATGACCACTTTGATTAGAAGAAATACCGCTATTCCAACCAAGAAGTCTCAAATTTTCTCCACTGCTGCTGATAACCAACCAACTGTTTTAATTCAAGTTTACGAAGGTGAAAGAACAATGGCCAAAGACAACAACAGATTGGGTAAATTCGAATTGACTGGTATTCCACCAGCACCAAGAGGTGTTCCACAAATTGAAGTCACATTCTCTTTGGATGCCAATGGTATCTTGAAAGTTGAAGCTGCTGATAAGGGAACTGGTAAGTCTGAGAGTATTACCATCACCAACGAAAAGGGTAGATTATCAAAAGAAGATATTGATAGAATGGTTGAAGAAGCAGAGAAATACGCTCAACAAGATCAAGAATTGAAGGAAAAGATTGAGGCAAGAAACTCATTAGAAAACTATGCTCATCTTTTGAAAGGTCAATTGAGTGATAAATCTGAAACCGGTTTGGGATCTAAATTGGAAGAGGACGATAGGGAAACTTTAGACGATGCCATCAAGGAAACTTTGGAATTCATCGAAGACAACTTTGATACTGCAACTGCTGAAGAATTCGAAGAACAAAAACAAAAATTGATTGATGTTGCAAACCCAATAACTGCCAAATTGTATGGCGGTGCCGGTGGAGCAGCCCCAGGAGGAGAAGGAGATGCCAAATTCGGCGATGATGACTCAGATGATGATATAGATCATGATGAATTGTAAGACTAGAGAAGACCCATATACATGTATAGCTTTATCGTTTTTATATAGAGAAAAGAGAAGGAAGAAATGTAAAATAGGTTACATAAAGTAAACCCTACGACATTTGACAATGTTTTGTACTTTTTGCATTTTAATTTTTTTTTTTTTTTTTTTTTTTTCCCTCTTTTGCACCAAACAAATTTTTCGTTTTTGACGGCTTTGAGAAACCATTTTCAGAGTTAGCGTTTATTAAGTTAGGAGTAGTACAAGTTAAAAATGGCGAATCGAAAGCTACAAAAGTATGTAGATGATTTACTTGATGAGCGTTTGTTTGTTTGACGTATACTGACGATATATTAGGGACATAGATGTCATTTTCAAACGAATCCAAGAGGGTTTACAAGATTTCAACTACCATTACGAAAGGTATGAGAGTCTAACGAATACAGAAGATGATTCCGACAACCAAAGGGAAAAAGAGAAGCTCGCGAATGATTTGAAAAAGGAGATTAAAAAACTACAAAAGTTTCGTGAACAAATCAAGCACTGGCTACTGAATGACGCCGTCAATACCTTGGGTCCAGTAGGAACTTCATATAGTGCCAAGCTTTCTGAAAACAAGAGCACGATTGAAGATGCAATGGAAACGTACAAACTAGTGGAAAAGCAGACTAAATTGAAGTCATTTTCCAATCAGTCAATCATGATGGCATTTGCCGATAATGAAAATGGCGAAGAAGATGAAGAAGAAAGCGAAGATGAAGAGAGCAGTGAAGAAGAGGATGAAAGTCTATACGATGAGTTGTCAGAAGAAGCAGTGGATTTGATTAGATATTTCAAAGATTCGATATCGCAACTCAAGGAACAAACAGACAAGTGTACTCACGAATATGACAAATTGGCATCAAAAAAGTTGAGAAAGAACAATCTTGCCACTATTGAGGCTAAAAAGGAAAAAATACAAACTACAATCTCCAATAACAAGTTTCACCAAAAGAAGTTGCGCAAGTTGATTAAACAGTTGAAAAATGGAATGGTTACTGATTTCAACCTCATTTTCGCATTAAAGAATGATTTGGAGGAATATTTGGAAAAGCACGGAGATACTGTTTTTGGCAAAGACACTGAGTTGTATGATGATATTTTCAACCAAATTTCAGCTACAGATGAAGATTTCTCGGAAATCCATGAAGATACTTCTACAGTAGCCACGTCCGTTGATAGCGCCAACGTAGTCAAGAATGGACACGTTGAAAAAAAATCGAAATCGCCATCCCCACCAAAATCATTGAGTCGAAGCTCAAGTGAGCAGCCCAGCCAGCAGCATTATCATCAACACCAGCCACAACAACACCAGCCACAACAACACCACCACCATACCCAGCAGCCGCAACCGCAACAGCAGCAATCACAAACTCTACCCAAAGTGCATCCGGTTCATGCGGCACATTCAAATGATAACGGAGAGCATCGACATGTATCACAGACACATTCGGCTGCCCAGGGTGCAAATCACGCACCAACTATGCAACAGAGTCCAGAGATGGCATCTCCAGCTATTGTGCGGACATTAAGACCAGCAACAACTCCCTCAAAACCGGTGGGTGGACTCAAATGGTCGGCAGCTGCGGCAGTTGGCTTACCAGAACCCCTCGAAAAACCAACATTTTATGAAGAAGTGCCTGAGACGACCCTTACAAAGCCTACAGCTAGCACACCTTTTGAACCATTGGAACTTGAAGACATTGACCTAGAAAAGTACAAGATGGTGATTTCCAACTCTTCGTTGTCCAAAACAGAACGCAATTTGTTTTCCGACATGGATTTGGTTCGTGTGCCACCAGGTATTCAAGATTTGGTTATTTCATTTGCTTCGAAACGCAACAATGAAGAGTTCAAAATTCTTATCGACTCAACTGAGTTTAATCAGTTTACGACCCCAATTTACAAGCCATATTTACCTAAAAGTGTTCAACCAAACTACTATTCACAATTTACAAATTTCAGCTTTAAACATCCAACTCAGTTGAGCAAGTTTCAATCACATTGGAACAAAATCAGAGCTTACTATGGATTCAAGAGTTTGACAGATGAGATCAAGAGCTTGTCGCTGCAAGATTCTCCTGAGGCGATAGCTTTGGTTACAGAATTGACATTTGTATTATTTTATGGATACTATTATGGCTTAACACCGGCTGAAAATTTGATTGCCGAAAGTTGTCTTTTTGAAGTAGGTTGGAAGCCATATAGGAGCCAATTTGAATCCAACAATAGAAGTTCATCGCCTTTTGGTGATGCGTCAGCTGATAAAAGACTGGGCCAAAGTCAAAGTCAAAGCCAAAGTCAAAGTCAAATATTATATTGGTTTAAAAGGTTGAAGCTTATATCAAATGATACAATGAATGGACCACATCCAACATTTGAAGTTGGAGATTATCAAGTGTTTGACTTGAACTTTTGGGAAATTTTTGTAAAGCATGGATTCAAGTTTGAATACAACTTGTGTCAAATAGAACCTTCAACATTGTTGGTTTAGACAATTTATATAGCCATTCCCACTTTATTTTTTTTTTTCTATATATTATTATCTGATAACATTAACTCTTGCGATGTTTGTAAAGTTGAATCGATAATCTCTGAAAACTGTGAAGCCTCAGAGCAAGGGCGAGAAGTTAGCAAGTTGGGGTCGTACATTTGATTAGGTGTAGTTCCTTTGCCCAAATTGTGGATGGTGCCATCTTTTGCAACCAAACGAAGGCGGATGATTGAATACCTGGCAGCATTAGGCATCTGTGCAACGTCTGTGAATCTATCTATATGAGATTGTACCAACCCGAGCTCCTTTAACTTACGTTGAGGTGTATTATAGCTAGCTATAACCTGTTTTAAACTTGGTATCGTAGTCATATCAAATGTGTGTGTGAGTATGTACTATGCCTCGGTTTGATCTGAGAGATTTCTCCGCAAAAAAGATGAAAAAAAAAAAATTAAATCCATCAGTTCAGTTGCCATTGAGAGAACCCAAAGCAATTCATAAAGCAACGCACCATGGAATATTATTCATCGTTAGATGCTTCACAGCTAGACTCAGAAAGACCTACCTTATTTGAGTTGATATCGGCCAACCAGTTGGAATCGTTGTTATCACCATCATTGAGGTATATACTTGTTCATTATGCTAGCAGATACCCTAGGTACTTGTTGAAAGTAAATAACTACTTCGATGAAATTAATTTAGCATTGAGGAGCTTTATAGAATGGTATTTCCTTACATATTGGCAAGGATCATTTACTGAAAACTTCTATGGTTTAAAAAGAGTGAATCAAACACCCTTGTCTCAAGGTGAATTCAATAGTTCCAAATTGACCCAACTAGTACCTTCCATGATTGAAGAGAGAAGAAAGATCACTTCCTTGCAAAAATTTGTATCCATCTTTGAAGTTACTGGAACTGCATTCTTGTCGGAGAAGCTTAACTACTGTTATGAAGTGTGGTATACAAAATACATCACTAATCAACTAAATACCCACGAGTCACTTACAAGGAAGGAGAATATCAAGATTCAAATAAAGAGAAAATTTGTCGAAATATACCCTTATGCTCAAAGTGTATATCGTTTGGCTAACTTTATCACTACATTGATGTACTTGAGTGGGTCATCCAAATCTCCTACCATTTTAACATATTTATTCAAAATGAACTATTCACGATTGAATCAATACGATTATGATAAAAATGAACCACAACAGAAGCTATCAGATAAAAAGAAACACAACAAGATTGCACCACCAACCACTGCTGAGTTGCTCTTGCATTTTGTGCTGAACAGTATCACCAACCCTTCATGGAAGATGATAAAACTTGTTTTGGGAACATTTTTCCCCGTGGCAATTTTCACATTGAAGTTTCTTGAATGGTGGAATAATTCCAATTTCGCCGCAAAACTACTTAAAAATCTGGGAAATTCACTCAACTTTACGTTACCACCACCATCCAAATTATCTGCTGTATTGCGTTCATGTACCAAACGTGACCAACAAGTGAAACCGAAAAAGCCACACAAATCGGGTAAAGTTTGTCCCTTGTGTAAGAAAGAATTGACAAATCCCGCAGTCATTGAAACAGGATACGTGTTTGATTATTCTTGTATTTACAATTACTTGGAAAAATCCCACATTATAGTTTCAAAGAAAATCGAGGCGCAATCTGAAGGAAAAGAGGAAGTAAACTCAGAAGATGAGGATGAGGAGGAGAAGGAGGCAGAAGAAAATGAACCAAAAGAGGAAAAGACATATGACATAAACAAAGGCGGCAGGTGTCCCATAACTGGACAAAAGTTGCTCGGTTGTAAGTGGAACCCATTGAAAGAAGAATGGCAAATTGAGGGTATCAGACGTTTGATTCTTTAGATTTATTTTAGTGTTACCATTCCAGGAAACGAACATACCGCAACGTTGTAGTTTTCTTTAGATTCCATAATCATCTTTGTATGCCTTTCTCTCCCTCTTGAGCCACAATTTTCTAAATTTGCAACAAGAAAAAAAAAAAAATAGAATATCTTCAACTAATGAAGCCCACGAGGGTCCTTCATTATACCGCCATCAATGAACAATCAGACAAAAACACTCGAAGCCATTAAGTTTGATAGAGACAACATAAAGTTGGAGATCTTAAATCAATTGGTATTACCCTACGCGACAACTTACATTCCAATTACGACAATTGAAGATGCTTTCAATGCAATTAAGTCCATGCAAGTCAGAGGTGCACCGGCTATCGCCATTGTTGGAGCTTTCGCTGTTGTAGTTGATACGTTCAACTATTTGCATTCAAAAACTGATGACCGCGATATAGATTACCTTTTTCAATCGTTAGATTACTTGATTAGTTCACGTCCAACAGCTGTTAACTTGGCCAATGCAATCAACGACATTAAAAAAATATTGGCTAGTTACAATGGTACACAACCACTAAACGAGGAAATATATCATGAGATACTCGCATACGCTACTAAGTTGTATGACGAAGATTTGGCAAATAATTTCAAGATCGGGGACAATGGGTTGAGTTATATCAGAGAGTCTTTGAAGGAAGAGGGGTTTGAGGGTCCGTTTTCCATAGTCACTATCTGTAACACTGGGTCATTGGCCACTTCAGGGCATGGTACAGCCCTTGGAATTATTCGATCAACATATCGTGCCTTGAACAAAACCGAGTCGAATGAAAAGTTTTATTTGGATAAAGTCTATCCATTGGAGACGAGGCCATACAATCAAGGTGCAAAGTTGACCACCTATGAGTTGGATTACGAAAAGATCCCTTTTGTTTTAATTTGTGACAACATGGTTTCATCATTGATAAACACTTTGAATAGCCAACACAAGGCTAACAACAAAGCCCCTGTCAAATTTATCATTGTTGGAGCAGATAGAATTGTTGAAAATGGTGATACTGCAAACAAGATTGGTACTTTCCAATTAGCCACAATTGCCAACTACTTCAATTCGACTCAGAATGCAAATATCAAGTTCATTGTGGCCGCTCCAAGAACTACAATAGACTTAAAGACAAGTCAAGGATCCGATATCAAGATTGAAGAGAGACCAAAGCATGAGTTAACAACTCTTGTTGGCCCACAATTAGCAGAGAGTGGCGACGTAGGAGATAAAGTTACCGTGGGTATTGCTACACCTGGGATCGATGTCTGGAATCCTGCATTTGATGTCACACCCCACTCATTGATTGATGCAATAGTTACAGAAAACACCAAGGTTTACACAAAAAATCTGAATGGTGAATTCAACCTTTCCAATTAGACAGAGTAGATTGAGGCTTCAAAGATTATACAACAATTACTATTACTTCTTCTTCTTGTTCTTCTTGTTTTTCTTCTTCTGGTTCTTGGTCTTGTTTGATGCATTGTTGGAAGATTTATCGGGACTATCCTTCGACGTGACCTTGGAGTCCTTTGCAGGTTCGTCCTTTGCAGGTTCGTCCTTTGCAGGTTCGTCCTTTGCAGGTTCATCATTTGCAGGTTCGTCCTTTGCAGGTTCGTCCTTTGCAGGTTCGTCCTTTGCAGGTTCGTCCTTTGCAGGTTCGTCCTTTGCAGGTTCGTCTACTGGGAGCTCTTTAACTCCTTGGGCGGTCTCGGTAGAATTCCTATCGATCTCACCTTGGTCATCTGCAAGTTGGGCATCCGCAAGTTGACCTACTTGAGGTTTTGTCTCTTTAACTTCATCAGCGTCATTAGCTTGCTCTTTTTGAAGTTCATTAGCTTCACTTTTCTCATTTGTAGAATCTTCGCCTTCTGAAGTTTTCTTTGAGGAAGATTTCTCCTTGTTTGCTGATCCATTGGCAATAACTTCTTCGTCTGTAGAAAGAGCTTTACTTGTAGATGTTGTTTGGTTTCGAGTAGGAACCTCACTTGTAGTAGTACCTTGTTCATTTGTAATAAGATCTCGTCCATTCTCTTCTCCTGCTTCATTCTTGTCTGGATCATCAACTTTTTCAGATTGTGCACTCGAATCCACTCTCTGTGAGTCATCTAAAATAGTCATCTCCACTGGCGCATCTCTTCTATCCTCTTTCTTTTCCAAGTCAGTGAGTTTAGTTATGGGTTCCTTATTGGTCGGAAGCTCGTTACTGGCTGCTACTTCTTGAGTGGCATTCTTCTCTGTGTCATTTGATTTGCTGTTGTTAGGTGCTTGCAACAGTACAATTGTATTAGTTGCCACTTTTCCATTATCCGATTTCTTACCTTCGTCCACTGAGTCTCCTTCAAAAGCTTGTTTCACTGGATTAGAGCCAGTTTGTTCTTTGTCATTTTCCACCACCGCAGAAGACTCTTCCTTCAACTCTTGGTCATCAACAACATCGGCGTTAAACAACACGTTTGAATCATCTTCGGACATCTTTCCATCCTCTTGAGTTTGAACCTCTTCTGCAACTGGCTCATTTGCTTTTTCATCTTCTTCCTTGATGCTACTATTTGATTCTGTTGGCCCAAGAGGTGACTCCTGTTTCGCGGCAGGTCCCCTTTCAAAAGAGCTCCTTGCAGATGATACAAGCCGTTCAAAAGTATTTCTCAGTTTCGCGGCTGGTTCTTGCTTTGCCTCGACAATGGTGTTACTAAGCATCACTTCATCCATCTTTGTATCCTCCTCTGTAGGCATCAGATTGACATTTTCCCAAATCACTTGACCAGAATTTTTGTAACCAGATATATCACTCAACTTGACTCTAAAATAATCAACATCTCGAAGAACATTGTGTTTTTCATTAAAGTCTTTGAATGGTGGAAGCCTTGTGCAATATGCCTCGACGAAAAGTCGTTTGTAATTGTCAAAGATTCGCAGAAGAATTATTGAATACTTTGCTTCCGGTAGGTATCTCATCAAAACTTTGGCAACAGTCAATGTATCCCGAACTAGACTTTCCATGTATGGATGGCACTGTTGAGGATGCTTGATTGGTTCAGCCCAATTTATCTCCGGCAATTTGTTACAATTTGAGACTGTTCTTTCCTCCATAATTGTGATAACCTTGGCAAATAATTCAGTCTCATGGCCCTTGTACTCACCAATCATTTTCTTGAATGTTAACTGCTCAGTTTGTTCAGGTGCTTCTTTAAAACCGCCTTGTACAACGCTAAGCAACGCAATATTGAATTCAATAAATCGAGTACAAAGTGCCAAATGCTTTGTTGTGATGTGCTTTAATCCTGCGGTTCTTGTTGCACCAGCTCCCAAAACTGCTTGTGAAACTCTTGAATTCAAGTCACGGAAGTAAACCAAAAGGTTGTTTTCAATCTCGAGCGAATGATTGGGAAAGGCTTTAGACGCAGCCATATACTCCTTGACATGCCCCAGAACAACAACGGCCAAATTAGGAACCATGAATTCATCTCCATAAATGTTCAACTTGGTAGCTGATGACTCCTCCTTTGGGGAAACTTCATCAGAAACTCCTGCATCATAAAAATCCATGGATGACAACCATTCAGATCCAGAAAATCCTTTTGTACCAGTCGATTGGATAAACTCCGTGTAACCGGAAACCTCGTTCAAGGCAATTTGAGCAGGTTGCAAAACCTTGGGGTCATCCAAAACTTTCCAAGTTTCACTCATACAACTCTTGGCAGCCAGTCTAGAAAGATTAGTATGAAGCCTGTGTATATAATAGACCAACTTGTTGGGAAACCACTCTTTCAAGACATTTCCCGCGCCAGTAAACTCAAATGATGGATTTATCATTTCACATTCATTCAAATATGCTGACGTTATCGAATACAAACGGAGGTACAATGAGAGTGGCAAGTCAGTTATTTGCTCTTGACGCACGTTCATCACCTTCATTAAGCGGATTTGGGTCAACTCAATTGCTTTGTGAATTGCTTTGGTTATGTCCAATGACATAATATTAACATTAGATGTAGGAGGGATGCTACTTAGTGCAACATCAAGCAAGAGTTTCTGATGTACTGAAAGTCTTCGCAAACATTCCGACAATTGAGCAAACGTCTCTGCAAGCATACTTTCAAATTCCTTTGGTGTGAGTATTCTAATGTTAGTACTAAGCGGGTTGGGTTTACTTTCAATTTGATTAGGCGCAGGCGAACTCTCCGTTGATGTTTGCGATAATTCTTCTTGTTTTTGAGTGGGTAGATTCTGTTTGATGATATTTTTTATTTCTCCCATGAATTGGTTTTGATAAACTGTGTAAGCATTGACGAGTTGACCGGATTTTGCCAAGTATCCCACGTATTCTCTCAACTTTTGTTTCACTCCCTCTTTCAAATCGAGATAGGATGTGTTGAAAGAATTAGATGCGTATTTTCGAGAGCTATCCATCTTGGAATACATTCGATTTAGCGTGTCTTTTGGAGGCACGTTGTGGTAATGGGACCTGAGATCATTCAAAAGAAGTTCAACAAAGTCATCAGTAAATTTCTTTGAACAGTCCGTCTTTAAAGTTTGCAAATCGTTTCTTATATGTATTAATGCAGGAACGTCGCTCAAATTGGATACATTGATACGTGGGTAAATGCGTCTTATTTCTGGATCCTCCACATTTTCAAGCTCCACTCCAGCAATTAAAGTCTCCGTAGCAACAATTTCATTCAAGCATTTAAAGTAATCATCGTCACGAAATGATATGTTTGCTAGCTGGAATAATGTCGTAACGTACTGAAGTTGTATCGTGGTTCTTTCCAATGCCTCTACATTTTGTTTGCGAAGCATCAGTTCGAGAATTCGCAACCCTTGTTTGGCTTGGTTCTTTTCAAGTGAATCAAGCTTCTTCATCAATGTATTGTAATCCTGTACACATTGATCCGATTTTGATTGTATTTTCTCAATGTCACCAATCGCATCAAAGAACGAATCCGATGATTTTTCAATCTCCGATATCAAACTTATTTCCACGCTGTCCAAGTAGTTTGAAAATTTCTCCTGTAGCCCTGTATCATTGACAATATGGTCCTCCTCCAACTTGAGGTTGGTATTTTCCAACACCTTTTTGAATGTTCTTGGATCATCGAGCTTGAAATCAGGTTCAAGAAACACTTCTGGAATCATTGATAGCAGATTGTTCAGATCAATCTGCTCAGAGGAAGAGAATGCAGAAACTGTACTATTGTCTGAGTTGGATAACTTGCGTAATGATTCCTCCGTCAATGCTTTATAGCTCTCCTCAAATTTTTTATACTCGTCAAGTATATCATCAACAAATCGAGTCTCTAGTTGCCGATTTGAAACTTTCTTTTTCAATCTTTCTAATTGTATCTGAGGGATATCATGCGACGTTGGCGTATTTAAATTAGACACAAGCGTCATTCCACCATTCAACTTTACTGAACTTCTTGGTGCTTTGTTTTTCCTGGACCTAGCCTGATCAGATCCCACAGTCAATTCATATATCGAGTTTGGTCCCAATGGTGAATAAACCCCTGATGCTGATTTATCATCGATATTGAAGAATGTCCCCGACAGTACGACGCTCTCATTGTCTACACTTCTTCTGTATGATGTCAAAGAGCCTGTTCTTCTATGTGAATGGGATAAACGTTGTTGTGCACTGGCTGATAAAGGTTGATCAACTGAGCTGAACGAGTGCTCGGATGACTCCATTGGAAGGTCATCATTCAAATTAATGACACTCTCATCTAATGAAGATTCATTAATGTTATTCGATGATTCATCTGCCATGTGTCAATGATTTTTTTATGCAAAACTAGCTTTTGGTTAATTCGGGCGCAGGTCTTGTCCTGTTGAACTTTTTTGGTGTTTACGCATTGAAGTATCTTTTTTTTTTCTTTGGGTTTGTCAAGACTGAAATTTTTCATCCTTTTGGAATGGGATACAGACGCAGATACTCCGACTGTGAAGGCTCTTTATGTGGTAAATGATGTGGGAGCTAGAGTGATAAGGGGTCAGTTTTGAGTACTCTATGCTACATCACGAAAGCTTATTGAGGGAAGCCTAGGAAGACAGTAGGAGAGCAAAAGTAAACCTTCGGACATTTAGATCACAAAGTATAACTCCGCTGATCAATGCTTGAATCAGCATATACCGCAGACTTTCTCCACCACTCTAGACGATACTAGAGTGCAAACCCATTGTATTTCTTCGTAGTATTTTTTTACATTTCTTGAAGTTTCCATAGCAAATCAATGTCGCAGGCCCATATGTCACAGATCCGACATTTTCGACACTGTGCTCATTACTAATAAATGACATCACGTCAGATCCAACCCACACACAGTTTTCTACGAAAATCTTTCCTAATCGTTAACCCAAAACCTTTCTTCCACACTACATCTTGCCAAAAATAAGTTTCCCAAATGTCATCCTCCTCCTCCTCATCCGAACAAAAACCCAAGCCATGCTGTGTCTGTCTTGATGAAAGAAAAGAACGAGACAAATGTCTTTTGTTTCATGGTGCTGAAAGTGATGATTGCAAATCAATTCTTGAAAAGTATACTTCATGTATGAAGAGTTATGGCTTTACACCCAATCCAGTTAAGAATTGAATCTTTTGCTACTCACTTGTCATCTACGAAACCTTTTATAAAAGTTTGATGAAAGCTTTTCAGCTTTGTATATATAAAAAAGACGTTTCGAACCTTGTATATATTCAAAATACACAGCATCTATTTATATATTTCACTCGTTTGTTGCAGTAGATCCATAACTCTTGTGTCTCCCATTTACATTCCCAGTTCCGTGATAATCGCCACCCCATCGGCGTTCCTCCCGTTCCCGTTCTTCATTCAATACCTCATCGATTTCACGCTGCCTAGTACTAGCAGTCTCTTCGTCGAAATTAGGAAACTTAAATTTGATCAATTTGTTACTTTCAAACCAAACTTGATTTCGAATAAAATTATCAACAAGAATTAATTGTAAACAATTCATGAATATGGGGATGATAAACATAACAATGAAAATTTCCACTTCATCGGGATACTCATTTAGCCAACCTAGTAATATATGCGATGTAATCCAAAGTAATTCACGTTCAAAAATCTCCACTAATCCATACAAGATCAATTTGGTAATCATTAAACTAGTGAAGTAAATTGCCAATTGTTTACTAAATGCCTTCCAACTCGGATTGTTTGCATCGCCGTACTCACCGCTTTCTATCTGAGTTATATGGAGTATTCGTTTGCAAATGTAATTTACTCCTTTAAACACCAAATAGAGGATATACACTCCGATAGTGCAATCAAACACAATGTTTAAGAAATACCAATCACAAGGGTCATCTTTATCTGGGTCATCTATCTCATCCCCTCCGTTTCCGTTTCCGTTTCCGTTTCCGTTTCCATTTCCGCCACCGCTACTGTACTTTAGCACCAACACCATGAACCCAGGAGCAGTTTTGATCACTGATAAGATAACGTTGAACACATGCACACCCAATGCCCCGATTAATTGCTTACTCACATCAAAACTCCACACAGGCCACGTTCGTCGTATAGGATGCTCATAAAATCTTTTGATTATCAAGCTCGATAGACAAATAAATCCAAGAAATGCTTGAGTTAGGAGTGAAAATGTACCTATTAGTTCACATTTCCCATCGTCGTCTGGTGGAGACGGCGTTATTTTGTGACTTGAAAGTGGCAATACTGTAAACGGCATGTAGTACTGAGGAAATGGTCAGCTGGTATGGTATAGGGTGTAAGTCTCTCGTGGTTAAAGGAAGGCAAGGTATATATCACAAATAGCAAGAATGAAATCTAGAGGGGCGGGATTGTACTCTTTCTTTTTTTTTTTACAACCTTTTAGTGCATGTCGCAAAAAAGAATATCGTGCGTCATGCGTCGGAGGAAAGCACGTTTTTGAACCTGGTTGCACTACATTATTCAAATGAAGAAATTGGTTCTCTACTCGATAGATCTTTTTCATTTATTTCAAATCTATGTTTACACCACTATAATTCTGGGTTATAGCACTCGTGAGTCCCACGCACTAATTCCCTCTAGTTCTTATTCTCTGTTAATGGGTTATGTCCATGGAAAATCAGTTCTGCCAAAGCTTGGCTCAGCCTTCGAGTGCCTATGCTCAATCCTTCTTCTTCTTCTTCATCTGAATCACTTTCAGAGTCACTCAACTGGAATGGCATGTGCATAGCTTGAGAATGAGGTTGGTGGGGGCTGTGAGATGTGGAAGTAGATGCAGGTGGTATAAACTGTGATACAGGTGCCTTGGGTCCTGCTAATGGTGAGGTCGGTGAACTATGCGATGTAGGTGACACATCTCCATCACCATGAGCATTGGACTGATTATATTGCGCGGGGTTGGCATGTCCACTACTATGCTCGCTATGTTCTGATGTACCAATCGCCATGTCGTTACTATTATCAATCAAATCATAATTGACATTTGACCCCACATCTAAATTTTCAGGAACATCAACGACATCAGGTGTTTGGTAACCTTGATATTGGTAAGGATCGCTAGGATACACCGTATTGTAATCATAATAATAATCATATCCTCTACTGATATCGTTGCCAACATTATGAGATAAGCTTGAAGTGTATGGATAATCCTCATCACTCGAATCCTCATCTGATCCATAATTCAAAGTTGTTGGTGGTAATGGCTTAATTGATGTGCATCGTCTGAGCGGTGGCAACGATTCTATATCAGATTGAGTGTGTGTTTGCAGTGATGGTGAATAACTTTGGCTCTGGGCCAATTTCAATGCCGGATTTGAGTTGGATTTCACTTTTAAGAAAAACCCTCCTTCGTCATCATTGTCATCGTCATCATCATCGTCATCATCGTCTTCATTGTCCTCACTCTCGTCATTTTCCAAGTCACCTTCGTATAGATGACTTCTAATCAAATTGTTATTCACTCGGTCTTCGTAGTCGTCATACACTTCATCAGTATCATCATAGTCACTATAGCCTCCTCCACTACCTCCTCCTTCATCATCATCTGAAAATGAGTCATACGCAATACACTGTTGGACAACATCATTAAAGTGAATATGCCTTTCTTGGTTATCGTCCTCTTCCTCTCCTACATTTTGCTCTAAAGCGGATTCTTTTGATACAGAATGCCCAGGTTTATCGCCCTCTTTTGTATCAGTAACCAGTGATGACGCATTTGAGTTTGATTTTGACTTTGAGTTGAGTAAATTTTGAAATTTTGCCACATTTGTGTTTGCTGTAGTTTGGTTATTGGCATACTGACTGTTTAGTTTATTCAGAAGCGCATTGTAATCAAAATACTCATCAGTTCCTTGACTTTGCTTTTGTGACTCTTGTTGTTGTTGTTTCAACTGTTGTTCTCTCTTTTTTTGGTGAATACTTGATGCCAATTCCAATTTAAGCAAATTCGTGTGACTTATAATTGATTCTTCAATAGTTCGCTTCTTTAAAATTGGCTTTGGAGCATTTTTGTTTTTCAGTTTTTTGGGTATTGATATATCTCCTGCAACAGCACTTGTGGCAGTGGGTTCGTGATTTATGTCATCCTCATTTTCGTCAGTTCCTCGATGTCCATCACCACCACCATTGGAGGATACACCATTGTTGTTCAATATTGGGCCATAAAGCCATGTAACATCGGTATCCTTTGCCCAGTTTACCACTTCAGGACTGATTGTTTTCAAATTTGATCTTCTTTGTGCCCACGTTCTCCAAGATGCATTTTCCAAACGAGCAGCATTTGCTACATCATGTTTATTTGATACAACATATCTCCATGACTTGGAGATCTCTGATACATCCCACTGGTGTGATAAATAGTCAACATGGCGTGAAGGTTCAGCTGCTAAATCAGTGTCGTCGTATGGGATCAATTCCGGAGATTGTACATTCAAAGCGGACGTTGTTGTAGGAGAGGCAACTGGTGAAGGTGAAGACGATACAGAAGTTGACTGATTGCTGTTTTGATTGTTGGCAATATCCAGCTGATCATTTGCTGTTGATGCATTTGTTGTTGTTGTTGTTGTTGTGTTGGCGCCGCCATTGTCGTTATTTCTCGGCGATTTCCCAGTTTCCAACGCTTGTTCTTTAACTTTTTCTGGGATGAATTCATCAAGTAAACCCAAAGACCTGGTACGTTTCAACTTGAAAGTAGTGTTTTCAAAATGATCATCATCTTCAGCGTCCACGTGTTGTGAAGTAGTGGCTCCGCCAGAAAATACTTCGTCAGACATTATTCTTTGTAGAGCTTTGGGTCTAGTGGTGGTGCTATTGTCTGTCTAAGGATGGATATATGTGAGTAGTTGTTTATCTCTGTGTGTGTACGTGTGTATGTATGTCTAATGTGTTGATAATCTATGGATAGATGGATGGATGAGGGGTTAGTTGTATAAGGAATTACTCTGTTTGGTTCACTTCCAATGCGATTGGGGGAGGGAGAGAACAATTGAGTGTTTTTTGTTTTTTTTTTTTTATTTTTTTTTTTTTTTTTCTGTCTCTCTTTTCTCTCTTCTCTTTTCTCTTTTCTTTTTCTCTTTTTCTCTTTTTGTTGTTTGTTGTTTGTTGTTTGTTGTTTGTTGTTTGTTATTGTTCTCTTTGCACTGTAAGCTTTAATTACAGCGAGAAATTAGAAAGGAGTAGAAGAGGGTTGGCTGGACATGAGTATGAGGAATACTATCTACGCAGTCAAATGCCACTTGCGATTATTAGGTAAGTCAGTAGAAAACACTTTGCGTTTGATGCTAGCGGAAATCATGGACCACCGACAGCTATAGCAAGCTGAGGTACTTTTGTCTCTATTCTACCTCTCACAAAGCCAAACCCAAAGTGCACCTAAACCTTCCACAACGGAACTCCTTCAATGACTTCAAGATAGCTCCTTGTGGGAAGAATACATGGAAGAGGCACTCCCATTACTTTACTGTTGTAGCATCTTCCACAGCCTAAAGAATGCTCAGCTGTTTTAGAATACATTCTTTGTGCATTTTCGTTTTTTTTTTTCGTTATGGAGGAGGAGGGGTAAAAAGCGTTTGAAGGTCAGACGAAACCTTATAAGCGGGTTCATTCAAGTTGACTCGGATTTAGGTACCTCCACTCAACTATTTTTTCGATAACAACGCCAGCAGTTTAGATGCAACTTTGAAAGCTCATCACCCAACTTTTTTTTACACTACTCAGCATATTAATTAATCTAGGTTAATGGCCTATTGCTTCAACCTCAACCACAAAAAGTTATGTACAACAGACAAAATAAAAAAAAAAAAATGACGTGACAAAATTGAAAAGACGATGAAGACATCCACCTTGTCCCCAATTGCCTCAACATGACGTAGAGTGTATCAGAAGAAGCAATCTAACGTATATGTATCTCTAGACTAATTTTTGCTCAGCGTTTGAAGTACTTGACCTGAATCTATACGTTAACAAAAGGATCTACTGAGATGCTGAGCTCCACCAATTCTGCTTCGTAAAATTCGAAATGAATGATCAAGAAAATTACAGCTTGACACTAGCGAGGTAGTTTACTTCTTACGGAAGCCAAGCTTGTCCTATAAATCTCTTTAGTGAGGGTTTCGACTTTTCTCAAAGTTACTCGTTGGGGTCTTTTTGCTGAAAAATAATAATAAAAATAAAAACCAAAATTAATTAATCCGATTTGTGGGGATGGACAAACTCGGAAAAGATGATCCGTTTTGTGTCATACTTTCAGTTCTCGTAAATTACAATACTCATTTACAACTAGTTGAAGACAGCATGAAAATCACGATTGTATCAACAAGCAACCTTTGTATAACACAGATCGCAACAGCCGTCCCAAACTTCTTACTCAAAATTGTCCTATATAGGTTCTGTTTCCATTAATATGACAATAATCAATAACACGTCGAAGTGTATCCACTATCGGTGCATTTAAATCACCATATAAATAATTACAGAATGCCAATTCATCCATCTTGGTTTTTCCATCAACAATTGGTATCCTAGTCAAGTCGCAAAACCTCCAAAAACGTCCTTGTGTTGAACAAATCATATTAGTCTTGATCAAGGTGTCATCATCGTTCAAATTAATGACAAATTCTTCAACTAGGTTATTACCTACTTTAAGTTTAGCTTTATCCAAATCATTTAATTTCATTTCAACTCCCATTCCTAACGCTAGCAATGAAAATCTATCAACTTCATTCTCAATATATTTGTCGCGGTATATTCGAAATAACAATTCCACAATGTATCTAGTTATTGTTTCATTTAGATTGAATTGTAATAACCCGACTCGTGTAAGCAACTGCCTGGCCATTTCATTACCGGAGTTTTGGATACTCCCTACTGCCAATAATAATAGTCTTGACAAACAATGTTTAAATTGATTCTCGGCAACATCTCTATTGTGAACAAAATTGTTAATCAAATCCTGCTCCAAGTCACCACTTATTGTTTCAGGCTGTGGCAATTGTTTGGGTTGCAACATCTCATCTACAAATACTTGTAGTTGTGGTACAAACACATCAATCTTGTCCATTTGTGACATGGTCAAATCATCAATCACCGTTGGGATGGTTGTGAAATTTTCAAGATAGAAACAGGCAAGCTTAGCAATAGATGTATTGATTACTGGGTGTTTGAGCAGCCCCATAGATGATTCGAGTTGGATAAATGTCAAACTGACACTAAGTTCAGACGGTATTCTGAAATGGAGTGCATTTTTGGGTAAAACTTTGTACACCACCGCTAGTATTTTGTCGGAAATTGGTTGAATGCCATGTAGGATCATGCTGCCTTCTGTTGTGGCATCTTCCAAGGACATTTGAAACATATTCAATGCCCTATCCTTGAACAATGACCATGACAAGTCATTAGCCACCTTTGATATGCAACTTCTATCAAACTTGATTGTGAGAATAGTTGAATCTTCATAAGCCAACATAATAAGCAATGTTTCGCCCATTCCGGTGACAATAGACGTACATGTGTACCAAGTTTCTGTATCATATTCGTAGATGTTGTCATTTGCAAAAATCACGACTTTCGACATAAATACAGCAATAATCAAACTCTTGCCATTAAACTGTGTGATTTTTACTTTCTGACAATAACCTTGCTGGGCTGGATAAATCTCTCGTGTTTCATCCGTAGCCACCAGTAGTGAATTATCCTTTCCAACAATCAAAAAGGTGTCCTTCACCCAATATATTTTTGCAACAACTTTTTCAACATCAATTTGTTTCACCACATTCATCTTGAAATCAAAAATTGTGATACGGTTATCCAAGTCAACAACTGCCAACTCATTTTCATGAAATGCAAAAAACTTGATTTTCAATTGCCTAAACTCTTTGCCACTAACATACCATTTCCCTTCATGAAACGGAATATCGTATAATTTCACCAATGCTTCAAAAACATTCATCTTTATTTTGTAGTTGTATATCTGATTGTGATTTTCTCTACCCAACACCAAGACTTCTCCCGTGTTGAACAATACTCCTAACCACGAATCTCTTGTATGTGGATTGATCGAAGTCCATTGATGTTCAACAATGATTGGATCTTGAACAGTGATATTATAAGGCTCATCACCATTTTTAAACACAACGTCCTTAAATCGGCCCACTGGTAAACTACTAACTGCTTCCGAGTACAATATAGTCCCCACAGAAAAAATTTCCTTGGTATTTAATACTGTGCGATGTTGATTCTTGATGATGGCATTGTGATACGAGGGGTTTCGTGGCTCAACTATAGTCAACTCTGTATACAGGTTTAATGTTAGCTGGAGATTATCCGATAACTGAATAGGGTCATGGCGTGCCAATGCGAGGTCAACCCGGTTTAATTTTATGTCCGCGATGGTTGACATTTTTTGGGTCAATGTTGTGGGTTTAAAAGGTTTGAATATATATTTTATGCGGACTTATTTTTCTTTTTATTTGGCACGACGCGTTGTGGGATAGTATCAGCATCCATCTAGATACTCTACCCTTCAAGGCTACTTAATATTAAAGTATCTTCTTGCACTGTTTATACGACGCATGTACAACTAACAGCCTATTGTACATCGGTTACTGCAAAATGTGTCCAACAAGCATACGACGAAATTACCACCATCCATTCGCCCCATATGACATTCAACTCAAGCTCATGGATGCCATATACGACACCATCGAGAACGGTTACAAAATTGGTCTTTTTGAAAGTCCGACAGGAACGGGGAAAACGTTGTCAATCATATGCTCTACCATGACTTGGCTAAGAGATTACAAGAGAAACCATGTATTTGAAATTGATGCTGAATCCGAGGAGAGCAGTGATGATGAACCAGAGTGGGTGAAAAATGCCTATAGAAGCTCCATAGTTGATAAATCAAAAGACAAACTTAAACAATTTGAACAACATTTAGATCAAGTAGAGCAAAGCCATGGTGATAAAGTAAGAACAGAATTTACGACTCATCAAAAGATCAAAAGGCGACAAGTCACTCAAGAAGAAACATTTTTGCCTGATGATTACCACAGTGATGGCGGACCTGATTTATTGGAAGCACAAAACGTCAAGCTTAACAAAGAGATTAATCGATTGATGCACCGTGAAGAAAATGAAGCAAAGGATTACCATTGCAAAACCAAAATATTCTTCTCATCAAGAACCCACTCCCAATTGAATCAGTTTTCAAGTCAACTACGGCTCACGTCATTTGATTCTTCATTCGATGATTTGACGGAGAGGACTAAATACTTACCAATAGGGTCTAGAAAGCAATTGTGCGTCAATGAAAAAGTATCCAAATGCGGTGATCAAAGCATCAACGACGCTTGCATAGATTTACAGAAAACCAAAGAGGGTTGCACGTATTTAACAAAAGACCAATCATTAGTCAAAGAATTTTCCGATTTAAGTCTATCACGAATTCGTGATATTGAAGACCTTGCAACCTTAGGTACCGAACTCCACGCATGTCCATACTATTCTGTTAGAAAGGGTCTAGAGTCTGCTGAAGTGGTGTCATTACCATATCAATTGCTATTTCAAAAATCTGCACGTGATGCATGGGGGCTCGATATCAAAGATGCAATCATCATCATAGACGAAGCACATAATGTTATTGATTCGATTACATCATTGTACTCGGTTCAAATCTCAGTCCGCCAACTTCACAAAGTTATGCAATCTTTGAAAGTGTACTTGACGAAATTTGCCAAGAGATTGAACAGTGGGAATCGAATCAATATTATCAAGTTGACAAAGATTTGTAAAGTATTGGCCACGTTTATGGAGTCACAAGAAGTATCACCTGGCAAAGAAGTCAAAGTAGAGGATATTTTCCAGGACTCTACTGGTGATTTGGTTAACATACATAAACTAGACGAATATTTAACCAAGTCCAAAATTGCATACAAGATTGAATCTTATATAGAAAAGTCTGAAGATTCACCAGGTGCTTCCTCACCTGCACTTTTTGAAATTGCCAAATTTCTTCGTGCATTGACCAACCCTAGAAAGGAAGGCAAATTTTATTGGGATAAAATTGCAAACGAGTTTCAACTTCGATATATGCTACTAGATCCAAGCATAGTGTTTAATGAAATCGTGGCGGATGCTAAATGTGTATTGCTTTGTGGAGGTACAATGGAACCAATGACAGACTTTACCGACTTTTTAATGCCGCAAGTTCCACAGCACCAGATAAAGGCATTTTCGTGCCAGCATATTGTTCCAAACGATAACTTGAAAGTATTTACAATTGACAAGTGGGGCATAGAGTTTGATTTTCTGTACAATAGACGGGAAGATAAGTCACAGATGGAAAAATTGGGACAATTTATTTTACAAATCTGCAAAGTGGTTCCTCATGGTGTTGTCATATTCTTCAGCAGTTATAATTTTCTCTACAAAGTGGTACAATACTGGCAACAAACCAACTTGTTTCAAAAATTAACTGCTTTCAAGACCATTTTCCAAGAACCTACAAACTCTTCCAATGTCGACGCTGTGTTATCTGAATACTCAAATGTTATCACTTCACAAGAGAAAGGAGCTCTCTTATTATCTGTTGTTGGTGGGAAACTATCCGAAGGTATCAACTTTTCAGACAATCTAGCTCGAGCAGTTATCATGATTGGTTTGCCATACCCCAATGCATTTCTGGGTGAAATAATTGCTAAACGAGCATTCATTGAATCTCAAGTTTTGGCAAAAGGTGGCTCATTGCAAAGCGCCAAAGAAAGCTCCAATGAGTATTACGAAAACTTATGCATGAAGGCAATCAACCAAAGCATTGGTCGTTGTATCCGACATGGTAACGATTATGCGTTGATTTACTTGGTTGACAAGAGATATAAACAACCGCGGGTGCAGAATAAGTTGAGCAAATGGGTCAAAGATCGACTTGTTACTGATGACAGTGTTCTTGATGATTCTACAAAGTTTTTCTCCTCTAAAAGGTGAAAAACGAGGGGCATAACAAATGGTAATCTGAATCTATATAAAGCTTGTTGTACATAGCGATCACGCTGTTGCGGATTTGAACCGATATATAAAGCATCTCTTTACTCAGGTCACAGTATGTATATGCTATGCATTTACAAAAAAAAAAAATCCTCAGAGTAAACAAGAGTTGCAAAAAAATTAAAACAAAAAATAAGCAAGTGATTCGGAAAGAGAAAAAAATAAAAAATATATTGAAAAGGACGAGATTCGAACTCGCGCATCTTACGATACTAGAAATCACAACTTATTAAGTTGTAAGAAACTTAATTCTTGAGTCTAGCGCCTTAGACCAACTCGGCCACCTTTCCAATTGTTGAGTTTTTGACTGCCTGGGAAGTAGTTTCTGTGTAATATTGATAATCTCTTCTGGTGTAGAACATATAACTAATTGGCACAGATCATCGTGAATTCGTTCAAATATGTCTTGAATGACAATTTGTCAAGGTTCGGGCTACTCCTCGATGGCGGTTTCACCTCTTTGTTGACTCAAATACATTATTGTGTTTACTTGTGAAAGACCTTACAGTGTCTTCATCATCTAGCTCGTCTCTCTGTCTTGTCCCTGTTCCCACTTCATATAGATTCACAACTACTTCAAATGCTCTTTCCTGTTTGTTCGAATTTTGTTTCAGCAACTCTGTCATTTTACAATCAATGACTTTAACATTTACAATCGTAACTTTTTTTGCAACCATTTGCACCCCAATTTAATGACAAGTCGATTTACTCGTGTTTCCCTACCCAAAATGGAAAGGTGCATTTTCGAGTTGAGCATCACCGTTTCTAGGAATGAGGATTTTCCACAAGAATTCAAATTCGAAACACCTTTGAAGAAGTTATCCATTGTTGGTTTCTCAAATGCTTACTCGAGATGCATTGGAGAAATGTTCAATATTTCCATGCTCCAAAGGCTTATCAGTATTCCACAAGATGGTTTCCAGACATCAATCTCCCCATGAATGAACTTGATGATGAGTCTCCTAAACTTTTGAACTTGTCCTTAGCCGAGCTATCAGAATTCAGTCTTCTGAATTTGAAGGCGTTGCAACTAAAGAGCCATCAGACTTTGCAATCATTGGATGTTGGCTCAATCAATGAACGTTTGAGTCATATCAAGTCAACCGCTCCATTATTTTTCAACCTCCTGAAAGACTCTGTTGATTGGTGGATCGATGCGCCTAGTCCTTACAACGCCCATCCACAAATGATTTTGATGAATAAGTCGTCCCCTACTCTCCCCAGTGATACACTTGGTTACCATTTCTGGAGGCTGCCTAATGCCGTGCTGAAACTGAATCGTATGTGGTTTTTGATTTCGAGGGGGAGAAGAAAGTAATCTGCATCAAGAGAATCTACTCGAACACTGAGTGGGAATCATTCGAAAGATTTGATTGACAGATACGTTTGGTGAATCCTCTTTATCCACTTACTAACGAAATCACTAGGGAAAGAAAAATGTATAATAGGGTAGGAGATCACACAAGCGAATATAGCGGAAATGAGAGTTGAATGACCGAAAGAGACGACGTTACACAATCAGCAGAGAAAGGCAACAGTGTTTACACCAGTAAGCGTGCTGGTGGTAGTGACGTGAGCACACTTTGAAAAAGCGTGCTCCGGATGGCAAATTAACTATCACCATTCAATTGAATGAATACAAAGATTGTGTTGATGAATACCACTGTTTTTTCAACCAAAGATATTCTACATTCGAATTAAAAAAGTTTCTCGCAAATTCTCAAACTCTTTGCGTTTTGAAAAGGAAATTAGCTTCGACCACATATAAATGGGCCATTCAAAACGTTGTAGTTACACGCGTTCAAAGATGCAGACCCCTACCAGCTCAAAAAAATCTAAGTAATAACAAGCAATGTCTTGAAGTGTTGATTTGCTTCAAATCTAATCTAGATTTATATACAAGCTCGCTTATCGTACGCATTTTGCTTGTTTTGCATCAAGTGAAGCGACGAAATAGCGAAGTTCAAGTGTTCCCGACCGAGTTATCGTCGTTTGTGAGTACTCTATTTCATAAAGTAGTGAGCTTCAAGAGATACCATGAAACAGGCACGTTAGTTTCCATCAAAAGGATTACCCAGGTCAATTTCTTTCAGCAACATCACGGAAAGGTCAAAGAGATACCACCAAAAAATCCTTTTCACATCGGAAATACAACATCACTGCGCAAAACCCATTTTACACCCTTTTTCACCAACTCCGCCTCATGTCGTAAACAAGCATCGCCATGCTTATGCAACAATGCCAATCCTTTACTTGGATGTATATTTAGTACATCACTTCCATCATCAGGATAAAAAATTGTACCGCCACCTTTGAACTCATCATCTCCAGTCAAGTATACAAGTAGTGTCCATTGGGTTTTACCCTTGGATCTACCGTCTGGTGGAACTTCACATATTACTGAATCATCATAATGAGCACCGAAATGATGTCCTTGGGTATATCGATATATCCTCAATTGTGGATTTAGTCCAATTGCATATTGAAAAATGTCAACAACCTCCTGCTGCAATTGCGGATCCTCGTATGGGTTTGATGCTAGAATGTGTTTCATATATTGCCATAATGTATCGGCTGATTTCAAATCAGTTACTAGTGCTCTATCATTGTATCTTGCCGCATAGTCTTTGCTTTTGATGAGTGGAGTTGTTTCCAAATTCAATTTGGTTTCAAAAGATTTGATCAAGTCTTGACACAAGTCTGGTTTGAAGAAATTGTTGATGGTGATTATTTGGTCTTGGATGATTACGTTTGGTTCAGGGATGTAGTAGGAGTTTAGTGATTTTGGTAAATCTTGAAACTTTTTGGGGAATTCAAATGCATTTAGCTTCTTTTTGGACATGGGTTCGAGTGGGAGATGATGTGTGTTTGGGATTTTGCTTTTTAATTTTTTTTGTGGCTCATGCAATTTTGCAACAAATAAAAATTCTCATCACCAAAGAAGACGCCACTATATTCACTACATTATAACTCACTCAGTTTGTTTTATATTCAAAATATGTTTCTATAACAGTGCCTCTAAAGAAATCAATAAACTGTACACCTCTCTTGGCATCTTGTATTGCACCATACCCGCATAAACGACACAGTTTCTAGCAATCTTTTTCCAACGACTCAATTCTTCTCGTTCACTACTTAAGGGTTGAAATTTCCTAGCAAGGACCTCGTAATTCAAATTGGATATGCAAGTCATGACCAATACAAGTAGTGACGGCAATACTTTGACCAAGTTTTCATCCAACTTGTTATTGGTTATCAAGTCACTATAACTTCGAACTTTGAGTAAATCATCCTGTGCATCAGCTGGAATCAAATCGAGTTTGTTGATTTTGGCAATCACTTCGCGCCATTGTCTCTTGACAAACAAATCACGAATCTTGATTATTGAAATGAGCAAATCGCAAGTTTGTTTAGCTTGAGGAGAAACTTTGCTAATGTAGCTGGTTTGGCACAAGTTGCGCCAAATGTGTTCTGAAAGTAGAACCAAGTTGTTGTCAATTGTACCACCACTTGAAATGGATTTGTCCAATTCGCTGGTGGCAATTATGTCAGCCAATTTGTTATTCATGAGCAAAACGGTTGCTTCATAGTCACGAGCAAGTTGATAAAGTAACAATGCATCAAAAACTCTTCCTTCGTCTTCGCATTTGATAGCAGTAGCTCTGACAATATCATGTTGAAATGCATTTATATCTTCCAACCCAATCAATTTGCGTTGAAGTTCCAAAACACCCGGCTCTATAAAGCCAGTTTCAGGGTATAGCTCTCCAATGAGAGCACCAAATTCTCTTGTCACAAGTAAAAGCTCCTTTAATGCATCGTGTGAGAGTTGTGCATCAACCAAGGCAATCGTTATGAGATACTCACAAGCAACTTTAGGATCACTGATTTTAAATGCAGTTGTATAAGATCCAATAATTCTGCCGAAATTTATCTCATACTTGTTATTGGTTACAGAAATGACTTCATTTTTGTTTGAGTTGTAAACGTGGAGTGCACCATAGTATGCTAACCCAATGGCCAAGTGCACTGCATCAGCTTCATTGATGAAATCGTAGCAATATTGAATCGCCAACTCGTACAAACCTGTTAGAATCAATGTTTTCAAGTATAAGGGATTATTGGAAGATGTGAAATACTTTGCACCCAACAGAAGCACTTTACTTTGAAGATTGGTTAATGAATAATTTTCAAAAATAGATGACTCGCTTTCATTGATGATGGATAAGTGGAACCACAACCAATCTTCAACACTTAGATTAACTGCTTGAGGGAGCGATGGATTGCTCAAGTCACATTTACCAATGATTTTATAGACTGAATACTTGTAAGGATCGAAATTGACACTGGTATCAATATCATTTAAGATGTATTGAAATTGCTGACTGAACTCCAGATGAATTCTTTCACCAAGATTTGATGACAATTTGTGATCATTGACAAATGATTTCATGTATACAGGGAAATTCCTATCGAATTTATTGAATAATTCTCCATTCTTGGTGACAATTTCGTTGGCATCGGCATATAGACCAGCACGCATCAAGTAGTAAATCAATGCCCAAATGGGTGTTCCATTCACTAGTAATGTTTTGTTGACCAACTCAGGTTCATTTTTGAGAATCACCTGATGTATGAAGAAAGATACTTTATTGATATTAGTTCCTGGAAGAAAATTTTGTGGTTTTTCATGCTTGACATAAATGTGTTCAATATAATTCAAGAACTGGCCCTCCAAAAATTGTTTACTTTTCAACAGTATCTCATTTTGTAAATCAACTTCATCATAATTGGCAAATTTTTTTTCTTGACTTGTTTTGGCGAATTTTTCCAGGGTAAGATTTTGCAAAATCTTCCAAGCTTCAGCAACTTGTTTAGATTTCAAATCATCTTGTAATTTATTCAATTCGTAAAAGTTTAAACACAATGAAAAAGGTTCATCAACAAGACGTGATTCATTCAATGCATAAATGACTTGAGCATAATTTTCAAACTTCTCTCGCGATATTTGCTTCAATGAGGCAGTTTTTGTTGTGGTTAATGGTGTGAAAATATTGGCAGCTGCTGAAGTTGATTTCCATACAACTGATAATTTTGCTGCCTCTTCTTTAAACTTGGCACTGTCTTTAATACCCATTGACTTTCTTAGTTGTTCTCTTCTTGCCTTCCAATCAATGGAGATATTCGCATTGATGTAGTTGTCAAAATCATTGGAAGCTACAGCAAATGATTGTTCAATTGTGTTTAATATGCTTTCTTCTTTCCTTCTTTTGAGGTGACTCTCAACGGTTTCGGCACTTGCAGGCTGGTAAAAGGAAGTAGATTTGGGAAATTGAATCTTGTTTAATTCATCCTCGATATCACCAGTAGCAACAACACCAGCACCAGCTAAAAGATAATGTGCCTTGGCGTTGTTATTGTTGTTCCCACTAGCACAATCTGCTTCCGCTTCTTTTCTCAACTGTTGTGACTTACGTTCAAGTTCATCCAAAGTTAAACGTATTGATCCAAGATTGTTGTACTTGATGTGTGATTTGGGCAAGTTGCTAGCAGATTCTAAAAGATCTTTTAAAATTTTGTCGCTGCTGGAGTTGTCTAAAGAAGCAGTGATATCAATTTGGGTTGTGTTTAGTGATGTTGGTGGATTGATTGTGGATTGTGTTGTTGAACCAATCGTGACTTGAGGTTGTTGTTGTTGCTGCTGCTGCTGCTGCTGCTGTGGTTGTTGCTGTGGTTGTTGCTGTGGCTGTTGTTGCTGTGGCTGACCAAAATTGAGCCCTCCACCAAACGTGGGTCCACTCAGCTTATTAGCAAACATTGTCTACAATGTTAAATGTTGCTTGGTGTATATGTGTTGTCTTTCCACTGTATTGCGTTCGTTGGGTAAACAAAAATTGACAATTATTTGAGAATGTAAGAGTAGCGGTTGTAATGTATTGATGTGTGGATGCAATTGAAAATCTCATCAACCTTTCTTTTAACAACAAAGAAAATTTTCACTCTTTCCACCAACTTCTTCTTCTTCTTCTTCTTCTTTAACTTTGTCCAAAAAGTTTTCCATCACTATAGACAGTGCATTATAATTGGTGTCTATAAAACATCACTTTAGCTTTGACGGTTAGTCAAACCCACGCACTTTACAAGGCTTCAGTTTTTGAATGTTCCTTTCGCTGTGGTGAGGATTAAACCTGATTTCTAATGGGTGAATATTTATATGACCATTGTTTTTCAATCAATATTAAATGCGATGCGTTGATGGATAGAATAAAACCAATTGTATCTTTTAAGAACCTGTCTGGATTGTTATAAAATGAAAGAGAGGTGTCAGTAGGTGCAAATATTTTCTTTTTGTAAGAGCCTCCATTGTTGTTGTTGTAGTAGTAGTAGTAGTAGTAGTAGTAGTTGGTGACTAACCTTTATTGATGAGCTGATTCTTATAGAGTGGGAATGTTCTAAGTGTTGTATTCATTTGCACATTGAGCTGCACTTTGCCAGCTTGTGTGCAAACCACATCAGGATGGCTAATTTACACGAAAATCCAAAAGAAGCTTAGATCCTCTCTGGGCGGTTATGAAATCGCTACCGCGATATCTTCTTGAGTTCAGAAAGTGCCTCAATAACTATTAAAGGTGCTAATATCAGTCATCTCTCTGTAGCCAGAAACACTCAACGGAAGCTGCTTCGTCAAAAACAGAATATAACCCCACCCAGCAAAAGGTTGTTTCAGAACCATTAAATGGCAGTCTTCTGGTTGAATGCTAGAGGAGGAACAGTCCTTGCTGGATCTTGTGTAGAGCAAATTGTCTAGCTCTTCGTAATTTCGTACTTGTTATGCAAGGTCCAATGTACACAAACCTGAAATTGGACGCATTCCATTCATAATGTGATTAAAAGCTAGGGTTCAATGCAAAAGATGACACACACATGGCAATTCAAGTGAGAAAGTACCATCGTCTTCTTCCCCCATAGATTTTAGTCTTCCATTCACCAATAAGAACTCTACAACTCATGAATATTTTAGTGTCGTGTGCGTTTTAAAATCTCAATTGGAAACGAATTCTTCTTCTTTTGTGTCTTTATTTTCATGTGATAATTTGCATGTGGTTACAACTTTACGAGAACTTTTCCGAAATCAAAACAAAGAGATACTTATACTCCAATACAATACACCGTTGGGATTATCAAACAATGAGATCCAAACACCTTAGTATATTAAACCTATGGATCCACACTGCTGACTAGATTCTTCCGCAGTGCATATCGTATATTGAAATAGTTCTTTGTGTATCTCAAAACAGAGATTTCAGATCTCATACCCGTTTGAAGCCCCTATATAATAGTCTACAATAGAAGCCAACAATGATTAGAAACTCAATTCTTTAACGCTTACGGTAAGCGATCCACGCACTTGTACTTAATATGGTATTTGAATCTACGAGTGCATTAACATCCAAATCCATCAACATATGACACAACTCGATAGCAATTTACAGTCTGCAAAGTGAGTGGTTTAAGAAGCCCCAACAAGGAAAACTTTACCCGTTGCATAGAGTAATAGTAGTGTTTATTGTAAACTAATATTGAATTTTGATTTTGACTCTGAGACTTCTTCTTCTACTTCTTCTCATTGGTTTGTGTAACGATTGTCAATTATTCGTTTCTTTTTCTATGGATGCGTTTGGACTGATACTGATGCCTACAATTGTATAGTTCAATATTCATTAACTGATTCTAAATAGTATGAATACACATATGAGGATAAACTATACTGCGTATGTATTCATTAATCCCCTCTTCTTTCCCGTGTAGAGGATATCTGAATTGAGTATAAGAACCCTAAAGTCAATTATACTTGTTTTTTTTTTTTTTTTTTTTTTTTTCAATTTAACCGCCTTAAAAAGCCTTTCTCAATAAAAAATTAAATAGATTAAATTTTTTTTCTCTCTATATATACTCCAATCGTATATAAGTACGATTGAAAATTTCTCCAAATATCAAATCTTTCTTTCTCTTAGAGGTACCACAAGATCTACACGTTTCACTCATTGCATACAACTTAAAAGACAGGCTCTTTTCAGTCTTGCATCTATTCAACATATTATCTCGCATTTTTGTCTACCATTGATACCCAAAAGATTAAGCTGAACAATTATGAGTAGCATCAAATCTCATGATAAAGAGTTTATCTCTTCATTTCCAGAGAATGAAAAAAACATTGAAGCTGAAGAAAGCAAAAGCACTCTTTCATTTAAAGATGGATTGGATGCTCCAAAGGGAGAGATGAAGAGGAATTTCTCCAACCTAAGCCTTGCCATGATTGGGTTTTCTTTGACAAACAGTTGGTTGGGTATTTCTTCAAGTTTGGTTACTGGTATCCAATCTGGTGGTCCCATCTTGATTGTTTATGGTATTCTCATTGTTGCTTCTGTATCTGTTTGTATTGCTATAACATTGGGTGAAATGGCTAGTGCTATGCCCTCGGCTGGTGGTCAATATGTTTGGGCAAGAGTATTGGCGCCAAAAAGATATGCTAGTTTTTGGGCTTATATTACTGGTAGTATATCATGGGGTGGTTCCATTTTCACTTCAGCATCAATGTGTTTGGCATTGGCTTTGGAGTTGTTGGGATTTTGGAATTTAAACCATCCAGATCATGTCACCAAGAAATGGGAGATTTTCATCATTTACAATATTGTCAATTGGTTTTTGTTTTTGTTTAATGTTTGGCATCGGTTCCTACCATTTATTGGAAACAGTATCTTCACCATTAGTTTATCTTCATACACAATCATCTTGATTACAGTGTTGGTTTGTTCAAGAGGCAACTACAATTCACCTCATTTTGTCTTTGTTGAATTCACAAATGGTACAGGCTGGCCATCAAAGGGTATTGCATTTATTGTGGGGTTAATTAACCCAGCTTGGTCATTTGCTTGTCTTGATAGTGTTACCCATTTGAGTGAGGAAACTTCACAGCCAGAAAGAGATATTCCCAAGGCGGTTTTATCAACAGTGGCTATTGGCTTCACCACTGCATTTACATATTCCATTGCCATGTTTTTCTGTATTCGTAATCTTGATACCATTATCAATTCTACTACTGGTATGCCAGTTCTTGATATTTATTACCAAGCATTGAACAACAAGGTTGGTGCTACGTGTTTGGGATCATTGGTTTTCCTCACTGCTTCAGGATGTACCGTTGCTTGTCAAACATGGCAAGCTAGATTATGTTGGAGTTTCGCAAGAGACAATGGTATGCCAGGTTCCAAATACTTGTCAATCATTGATCCAAAGACTGGTGGCCCATTGTATGCCCATTTATTTTCAACGGTTATTGTGAGTATTGTTTCAGTATTGGTGTTTTCCGATGCTGCATTGCAAGCCACGGCATTGGCATGTGTTTCGTTTTTGGTCATTGCTTATGCCATCCCAACAATCTGTTTATTAGTAAGAAGGCGTCAAATTCGTCATGGACCATTTTGGTTGGGTAAAGTAGGTGCTTTTTGCAATTGGGTCCTTTTGGCGTGGATGGTGTTTGTTTTGGTGTTTTTCTCATTCCCAGCATACTACCCTGTTACAGCCGAAGGTATGAATTATTTCTGTGTTGTGTTGGTGGTTTACGTTGCTTGTATGCTTATTTATTGGTGGTTCCCCATTAAAAAATACGCTTGTAAATACAATTTCAGAGGTGGACAACACAACAAAGAGGAAGTAGAGTTTCCCCATGTTTGTTTGACCGAGTGGTGATATATATGTATGCATTGTATTTGTAATTTTTTCTATTTATAATAAACATAAACGTTCAAAAACAATCACTCAGAATTTGTTACTCCAAGAATTTTGCATGTCCATCCCAAACACTTTCGGTGATGGACCATGTTGCCATATCTTTCAAGTTGTCGGGCATCTCCGTGGTAAAAGTAGTGATCAAGAAACCCATGTTGAAGATTGCATTTGAGTACAACACGGCTGATATTAGTGGAATTTCTAGAATGGCCAAGTAGTAAAATAATCCAATACCGAAAACTACCCCTATACGAGTTTTGAGCCATTGTTTCCGTTCCAATGGGGTAAATTGTACACGATCAAAGTATGGAATTAGCAAATCTTCGGCCAAGTTCCAAGTTCCATAAAATGTCGTCAAGACTCGTATCGTGTAATGAACATCCATCATTTGTAACACAGCGACAAATAAGCATGAGAAAACTGTCCCCAATTTATCCAAGAATGTTTGAAATGCAATGAAACCCAACACTGTTGATGATATCTTTTCCGGAAAGAAATGAATGGAAATAAACATCGACATGTTTAATAAATACACGTTGGTGTATCTTCTGATGAATAATCGAAACTCTCGTGAAAAATTGTACAAGCTTTTATAAGTTGAGACCCAATCCAGTTCATGTTCAACTCGATGCAGCGGCAACTTGGAGTAATGTTCACTATAATGAGTACCATTTAGTTCATCCTGATGTCTCAATTGGCACATAAACAATTGCTCACCATCTTTATCGAAAAATGAATACAATGCTAGGAAGAAGTAACTAAGATTGAGGTAGTATTTGAAAAAATACTCATATTGATCCATAAGCTCAGCTCCATTTATATGCACAAGTCCAATATAATTGAGTGATGCAATAACCAATTTGGTTAAAAAAATCGGCCCATTCAACAGGACAAACAATAGAATGGAAATCTTCAAATATTTCAGAAACAAGTAAATGTTGTTGTAGGTATAGAAATCTCTATTGAATAGTGAGGAGTAAGCTGTAGCTAGTGTAAGAAGGAAACTTCGTAGCACAATCCATATCGAAAAATGTTCGGATCGGGTGGAAAATAGAATTGGTGATGCCATTGAGAAAACAAAAAAAAAAAAAACGTGGGGGTCGGTAAGCTCTTGTGCAACTGGGGGCAGTGTGTAGGTATGGTTAAACACAATAGGTTGTCTATCCCTGGGTGACAGTCTTGATGAGGCACGTTTGATAAGTGGTATGTTTAGGAGTGTGACTTTTTGGGTTGTGGTAGGCTCTAACAAATCATTGCCAAGATTTTTCAAAACACGAAGAAGAAGAGCAATGAATTTGAGAGTCGCTCTTATGTTAATTATTATTTTCGTTTTTCATTTTTTTGCGCATTCGATTTATGGCTGGTGAGGTTGCTGCACATATGCAAGATTGCAAAAAAAAAATGGCACTATTCAAGGACTCTAAAGCAAAGGGGAGTGCATTATCTCGCTAGTTCGAGTCACTCACTCATTCATTCGGCTTGATTCGAAGAGGTGATACTGCTCATTACACAGAAAGGATGGATCTCCTTGTTTTGTCCACTTTGTGACAGTTTTCCCTGCACTCATCGATTCTATATAATGATGTTAAATGCCTTGAATGCCTTGATGGTGAAATACCACAGGGGGGGATGTGAAAGTCCATAGATCGTATGCTTCTCCATCTGCATTTCCCCCCTCTTGCAAACAAACTAGATCATTGCTAGAACCAAAAGTGGAGTGTTATGAACTTCGGTTGTAAAAAAGGACAGTTGCGATTGGGAAATAAACACCGAAGAAACCTTTATGTTATTTAAATACTATCCCTTAGCTCATCTTGAGGGAATTTTCGGTTATTTGTGGCTCGCAATTGTCGTTTGATGTCAAAAAAAAAAAGCACCGAGTCAAAAAAGCGAGTGAACTCCGCCTTTGTTCTGTTTTTCTTTTTTCCTTTTTTCTTACACCGAGTCACAAAAGTGTCCCCCTTGTGGCGCTTTTTACTTTTGACTCTGATAGATAGAGACAGAAAGTGCCGTTAGGGGAGGAGAGTGAGATACTCTCCACTTCGACAACCCCAAACGGCACCAAATAAATATCATAACTTCTTCCTCTACTTATGTTATAAATCTAAACGAAGTGTCACTAGCCCATTTTCTTCTTCCTTTCTCTTTGCAAGCTTCAAAAGACTTCAACATGTCTACGTCAAATTTGCAGCCAAATACACAATCAAACACAAGCACCGTTCCATATATCAAAACAAGTTTAATTGAAGTGACAAACCGTTTACCTCACAAACCACCATGTCGGGTATTTTTTAAGAATGAAAGCGAGCAACCTTCAGGTAGTTTCAAATTGAGAGGAATTGGTTACTTGGTGAAACAATCTATAGACAAGGCTAAAGCTGAGGGAGTATCCTTGGCCAACATTCATGTGTTTGCATCGAGTGGTGGAAATGCTGGATTAGCTGCTGCTTACCTGGCCCAATTCTACAATGTCAAATGCACTGTTGTTATTCCCACTATTGCCAAACCTATTATACAACTGAAATTGAAGGAGTATGGCGCTAGAGTCATTTTGTTTGGTAATTCAATCTATGAAGCTGACAATTACTTGAAAACGTTGATTGATTCAGCACCGGATGGGATCCATTCCATTTATTGCCATCCGTTTAATAATCCCGAAATCTGGACTGGTCATTCCTCATTAGTGGACGAAGTTAATCAGCAATTGGGATCCAATAAGACCAACCTCAGGAGCATGGTGTGTTCATTTGGTGGAGGTGGACTATACAATGGGATATATCAAGGTATGGTAAACAACAATATACAAGGAGATATTTTATTGATTGAAACTGCACAGGCGCCAACTTTTAGGGAATCAATCAAGGCGAAAAGCATAATCACATTGGAAAATGTTAATTCTTTAGCCACATCATTAGCCTGCTCATATACCACCCAGCAATCACTAGACTACTTCCATGAGAAACTGGCAGGAATAGATACAACTTTGGAAGTGATTGACGACCTTGATGCACTCCGTGCATGTGTAGCTTACAAGAGATGTTGCGGCAAGACAGTGGAGCCTGCGTGTGGAGCTGCTTTATCCGTGTGTTACGATAGAATAGATTTGTTATACAAGAGCCTTTCACATTTGCAGCAAGATGATATTTTGGTGATCGTTGTTTGTGGAGGTTCATGTACCACCGACTCTGACTTGAAACATTACGAAATGGCAATTAGGAAAGCAGAATCAAGACTTTAGAGATTGAGTAGTTACTCGTTTTAAATATTTTCAGTAGCGATGTAGTTATTTTAATGTGAGTGTTTACGTTTGGCTTTGGTTGTAAAAATTTCTTGTGATTTCAATTCTTGACTTATTGTTGGGTCGAGGGGGGGTGGTTTACGAGGTCTTGAAACATTCGTGCGAAATAATAAATATGTGGAACCTGACTTAAATATTAGTCTGATATATAACTCATAAGTAATTTATTGAAAAATTAATTTTGTGAAATATGGAGAGTTGACCGAGTTGGTTAAGGTGACAGACTTAAGTTGGAGGATTAATTTCCTTTTCAAGAGTAATCTGTTGGTATGTTTACCGCGCGAGTTCGAATCTCGTACTCTTCAATAATTTTTAATTTTTTTTTTTGAATTTTGCCATTATAAAGGTTATATCGCTTTTACACCAAATATTGTCTTTTTTAAAGACAAGAGACCCAAAGTTTACCGAGCCATGATACCCCGCACAATCAAGTTTGAAGCTGGGACAGTGACGAATCACTATAAATAAATAAAAAATTCAAACTTTAATCGAATTAACAAGTTGCAATGTACCAGCTTGATCAAAGGAGCAGTATCACCTCTCAGGTGCTACTATCTCACCACCTTCATGATTGGGTTTAACCGTCTACTGCCCCCCCCCCCAGAGTACATGACGTTAGAAGCTTTTTGTTGGATATTTATGAATAAGTACCCCATCTTTATTACACATGATAATTCCTGTTTCCAACCACCACGCACCACTGGCGCAAAGCTAACTTGTATTCGATCAGTAGGTGTCACCATCCGAAAACTCGGCTCTATAAGTTACATCTTGCTTCCATAAGTCGGTTCGCGCAAAACAATTTTGGTTGCGAAAGTCTCATCAAGAAAAAAAAAAAGAAAAAAGCTGTAGCTAGAAAAGTGGTTGCAAACTCATCCTTAAGTGCAGATTTGCTAGTTGTCTGACAGCTTTGTATTCTTCATCCCATCACCCAACTGCACTAGAGCCGACGTCGGTTCAGTCATAAAATCCGTTTCATTTTTCGATTGTTTCATCAAGCACACGTGACTTCTTGAATCTTTGTATCAAAAAAAAAAAAAAAGAAGGCAAAAAAAAAAATTCGACGAAAGGTAGTTCTGAAAGATTGTTCATCACCATTGAAAGCTACAATCAGTAACTATCAGCTTGTCAACAGCTTGGAAATCATTTGACAGGCACAATCAACTACTAGCATCATTTTCGTTTATTTCACATCATCGACCTAATCGTGAAAAATTCAATATTGAACGAGATTCGCAGTGGGAGAGAAAAAAAAAAGAAAGGCAGCAGGTCTCATCGACGCAGTGTATTGATCTAAGCTTGAGTGAATTTCTACTCATATCAATAAACAACGATTGTCGTTTCTACACCAAAATGATGAGAAGTGATATTCGGAGATGCCGCAGGTGCAAAAGAAAGAGATTGGATGATGAGCCTATGGAGGTGAGGCAGTACAAGACATGTGCCAAATGCAGAATAATAGAGAGAAATAAAAAGAATCTGCGTAAACCATTAGCCATAGAGACTATGCTTTATGGTTTGAAACAATTTCGAGAACAACAATCCACTGAAAATTACATTGAAGAGGAAGGACTTTTAAAAGATGAATTTTTCAAACGATATCACAACAAGCCATTCAATTACGATGCGGAGATTGCAAAAGTATTGAATGACCCAAACTATGAGCCTCCGGTTATTACAAACATCACAGACGAGATAATAGAGACATCGGACGTCGCATCACCAAATGGGACCAGATATCAGGTGACTATTAGGCGTGAAGAGCCAAGTTCACCTACGAGAACGAGGATACCTCGAGCAGAAAAGATTAAAAAACCAAGACAGCCCTACAAAAAAAGCACTGCACAGTATAAGCAAATGCTTTCACATGTCAGTGCACACCATGTACCACATCCGATCTCTATTGTTACTCGCTCGCAACCATCTGTGGACCGAATTGATGAAAAGGAGGAACTCATTGGCGAACTTTTAGCATTGGGTGAGGGAAAGAATTTGGAATGTTCTTTCAATGGTCATGCAAATCCATATCAATTTGCTAATGTGTATTCCAATTTTGAGCAATATTTGCAGCGCATACTCGAATTAAAATCATCCAAAAAGAATATTTCCAATTTGGTGTTTTTAAAAGAGTTTAGGGACTCATTTCCCAAGGAGATGTCGAAGTATCATGCCGATGCGTCAGTTGGTGATCGAAGTTCCCAAAACCTTGATTTGAATGAAAGGCAATCGCGAATGAATTTATTAAGCAATTTGAAAGCATTGTATGTTGACCCTATCATAGCGTCCACATCATTACCATTTGAGCAAAAATCCAACAACTTGCACGATTTCAAATACCCCAGTGAATTGAGATGTTATTACCAATATCGGGACAGGGTAGAAGTCGCCGATAACAAACTGGATCCCGTTAACTCGACAATCAGTCTTAGTTATCATAAAAAATACAATATATTGACGATCAAGTTCAATTTGGTTGTCATTGATAAGCTTAGCCAATACCCTAGCGCCTTAAAGGATGCAGTAGTGGAGTTATTGAAGAAGACAGATGCAAAGCCTGTGTATGACGATGATAAGAATGTACAAGAACTGGTATTTCAAGAACTACAAAGCATGCGTGACACATTCGAAGAGAGCGTGAAGGTATACATTGATAGCTTTACATTGGAGAAATTGAGTGACTTGCTTGCAGCCATCAACGACGAAGTGCTTCCTGAAGATGGTGATGTGGTTGTCGAAGAGGAACTAGATGATGAGCTCGATGGATCAGATGATGATGTTGAAGCTGGCGTTGAAGGTAATGCTGAGGTCGACGATGAGGATGATGAGGATGATGATGATGATGATGATGATGATGATGATGACGGTGTTCTCGAGGAGAATGGCGAGGATGACGTCGATGTTGACAACAACAACAACGACGATGGCGACGATGAAGTTGACGATTCAAAACATCTGCAACCGGGTAACGATGATGTAGCTGAGACTCCAACCACAAAGAGTGATGTTTTGTACAAATCCATTTCGGAGGTTGCTACAGAGGCGGTCGACCCGACTTTAAAGCTGTGAGTGTGTACACTCGTGATGACCGGTATATCGTTACTAAGCATAGATGTGTTTTGACTGATATCTCTCTCCTTCATGTTATGACGCCAAATGTAGAAATAATGATAGATCACTTTTGTGCTCTTTACGTATGGGTGTTCCCCTTTCGCGCGTGAGCAGGAAAGGAAAAAAAAAAAAAGAGGTTAAAAAAATAATCAATCAAAATCAACCCTTTATTATTTGTATTTACAATTATTATCACAGCCAACTCAAACTTTGTTTTAACCTTACCTATTGAAGCTATTCAACTTTCACAAGTCAAACGATGAAGTTTTGGTTGTCACTCGCTTTACTATTGGCAAATTTATTGCCATTCTTGCAAGCTTTACCCCTTGATACCAACAATGTCACCTCAGTACGAGAAGCGTGTAATTTGATTGCCAAGGGTTTGCTCGACTATTACGAAGGAACTAAGTATGGGGGAACTATTGGTGAATTTACTTCACCTTATTATTGGTGGGAAGCCGGTGGTGCATGGGGTGGAATGATTGACTACACTTTTTACTTTCAAAATGATACTTTAGTGCCTTTGATCAAGCAAGCTTTGGAATACCAAGTGGGAGACGACAACAATTATATACCATTGAATCAAAGTACTACCGAAGGTAATGATGATCAAGGCTTTTGGGGTATCGCTGTGATGGGTGCGGCAGAAAGAAATTTCAGTAATCCCAATAATAAAGAGTTGAGTTGGTTGGGTTTAGCGCAAGCTGTGTTTAATACAATGACAGCGAGATGGGATGTTGATGACTGTAATGGTGGTTTGAGATGGCAGATTTTCCAGTGGAACTCTGGTTATGATTACAAGAATTCAGTTTCCAATGGATGTTTATTCCACTTGGCAGCCAGATTAGCAAGGTATACACAAAACGATTCTTACGTTGAATGGGCGCAAAAGACGTGGGATTGGATGTATGGAGTTGGTTTGTTAACTGAGGGAGACCATTGGTTTGTATACGATGGTGTCAAGATTGCCAACAATTGTTCGAATATAACCAAATATCAATGGACTTATAATCAAGGTCTTATGTTGGCAGGGTGTGCATACCTTTACAACTACACTGAAGATCAAAAATGGTACAACTATACCGTGCAATTATTGAATAGTGCACAAGTGTTTTTCAAAAACATGTCGGGAAGCAGTGTCATGTATGAAGCTGCTTGTCAACCATCTAATACATGTAACAATGATCAAAGGTCGTTTAAGGCATACTTTTCCCGATTCTTGGCCCTTACAGCACAGTTGGTGCCAGAAACTTCGGGTATCATTTATAAATGGTTGGTTGATTCTGCAAATGCAGCTGCAGGTGCTTGTTCTGGTGGTATTGATGGCCACACTTGTGGTCTTTCATGGACAAACTGGACAGTGGGATATGATGGATACTATGGATTGGGGGAACAAATGTCAGCGTTGGAGGTTATACAAAGTGTAATGATTTACCATGATGCGCCAGCACCGTACACAGCTGAGACTGGTGGTTCGTCTGAGTCACAACCTGATAGTGGATACGGAACCGTGGCTACCAACGCTAAACCATTGAGCTTGGATTCAGGTGATAAAGCTGGTGCGGGTATAATCACAGCCATTATCGGTGCTTCCTTGATTGGATGCTGTGTCTGGTTGATACTATAGATGTTTTAGACAATAAGTAACAAAAGAATGAAAAAAATGGACTGGTTTTTGATATTAGCATGTAGACTGTAGAGACGGCGATGGCGCAACTGGAATACCAGCCGAGTAGCCTTCTGTGTAGGAGTTTAACCTTAATCGCAATGTGCGTTATCAATGGCTCATGCTCACAAGCAAAATTTCCCCACCACAAACAAACAACAGAAAAAAAAAGACACACATATAATATACCCACACAATACCAAGGAGTCATCACACAACTCTACTATCTGCAACTATACCCATGAGTTCTGAAGATCAATTTACTTCTATCCAGTGGGATAGGGAGGAGTTGGGGAAAGATCAGACCAGCAATACGACCGCAAAGATAGATTCCATTTCTGAGGAATCGAACTCGCAGCACAACTCCGAAGGCAAGTCGAATGACGTAGGTGAAACCGGTATAGCAAAGACAACAGTTACAAATGAGCAAGAGGGAATTGCAGAAGCTGAAGATTACCATAGTAGTAAGTCCAATGGGGACGATCCCAGTGCTTCTTTACTCATTTCCAGTGAGCAAGTGGGTCATTCAGGGCAAGAATCGAGCAACACGGACAACAATGAGCAATCACAACATGCCGAAGCTGTTGAGGGCGAACGAGAGGCTAGCGAGCAAACTGCAAATGCGGCAACATCACATACTGGTGTCGAGCCTGTGGACACCACTCTATTCGATAAATACAAGATTGAGGTTTCAGCCACACATCCAAGTAGGGATCTAGATGCATCATCAAAACCATTCATTTCTTACTTGGTCACGACAACTACTGATAACCCCAACATTCTCAAGCTTATCAAAGAGAAACCGTCATCAGAAGGCGAAGATGATGAGCAGTATCACACTTTCAGTGTTCGTCGTCGGTATGGAGATTTTCGCTACTTGTATGAGAGTTTGACGAATGATTTCCCTACAGTCATGATTCCTCCATTGCCATCAAAGCTGAATATAAAATACTTGACGGGGGACACTTTTAGTCATGAATTTGTCCACAAACGATTGCATTCGTTGGATAGATTCTTAAGATTTATTGTTCAACATCGTGTTTTATCTCAACTGTCAATTTTTCATTTGTTTATCAGCGATTCTAGTGATTGGAATACTTTTACAACTTCTTTGAAACTTAAAGAATTGAATGTCAATGGAGACCAAGGAGGTTTGGTGAATAAAGTTGTCAATGAAGAGTTGATTACAGAAAAATTGATGAATTTTTTAACCTCATCCAAGCACAAGAAGGAAACTAATCGTGACATATTGGAGATCAATGACAAGTTGAAGAAATTGTATGAGAATCTTGTCAAGTTGGATCGTATTTTCACCAAATTGAATAGGAAGAATCGTGATTTGAAAAGTGATTATGAACAGCTTCTGAAGCAACTTTTGAAAATTTCAAATTTACAAAATGGTCAACCAGAAGATGCAGCAATTACATCCAATTTCAAGATTTTTGCTGAAGCTCTTGATTTCTTCCTGGAGTCATGGGGTCTGTTGTACACATATATGGATGAGTCGTTTTTGATTCTGTTGAGGGATTGCTCAAAGTACATTATTGGTCTCACAAACTTGATTGAATTGCTACATAATAAAAAGATTGATTTGCAAGTGTTGCAGGACTACTTAAATAAAAGTAGAAATGAATTGGGGAATGCAACGGGGCAACATCACCAATCAGCGCATCAAACCACTAGCAATGGTGGCATAGTGAGTAGTACAACCCAATTGATCAAAGATACGATATCAACCTCAGCTACATCTCATATAGGGTCTAGCGCCACTGATGCCAAGATACATAAGTTGCAGGTCAAGGTACAAGAATTGGAAAATGAGATTGGATTACAAGTGAAGTTGATCAATGAGTTTACCGATAAGATTATCAATGAAGAGTATCCAAACTGGGAACGGTTCAACAAATCAGAGTTGAAGAATTCCATGCTTGGATTGTGTGATCAGCAAATCGATTTCTACAAGGGATTAGTTGATAATTGGAGTGATGTTGAATTGAAACTTTCTAAACGATTAGAAGAGTTGAGTTGAGAAAGAGTCAGTTTGTGTTGTGTTGATTTTAAAGTTGTTTCTTTTAATTTTTTGAGAAGTTGTTATAGTAGATTTCAATGCAACTATTGTACAGCAGTCTATTTACAGTGAAAGATGTGTCAGTTTTCTTTATAACTCTATACTAATCTTTCTTCTTTAAACGGTCATCCTGTCCAGCATTCTCATCATCATCATCATCGTCATCCTCTTCTTCCCCCAAATCAAATAGGGTTGCACCATCATCATGACTATTTCTATGATCAACTTCTTCATAACCCGGTGGTGGTGCAGCCGTTGACAAAGATGACTGATCCGCCGATTTCTTGGCTTTTGGCAGCAGTTGATGTCCCTCATCAATTTCAAAACTATCTCTATCAACATTTCTTCTGGCATTTCTACTGGCATCCAAATCGTCATCGTTGTCGTTATCATCATCATTATCATCATCATCGTGGCTCATCAAAGACAAATCATCCAATTCAAATTCGTTTCCTCCTGGACCTTGATAGTTGGGGTTTTCAGGATCAAAGTTTGGATCATCTTCATCACCACCACCAGTTGACAATTGCTGTGATACTGCCAACATATAACTGGTTTCGGTTGGACGCCATAACCATGCAATAATCATAAACACCATGAAAAACACGACACTTGGCCAGAAATCAAAAATAAAGAACGAGCTCTTCCAGTGTTGTTCAAACATTTCTGTAGTTGACATTGACAAGTAGATGAACGAACTTAGTGTTAACCCAAGGAATGTGATTATGATTGCAGCAAAGACAATCTTGAACAAGTTTTGATACAATTGAAGCTTGATGATTTGACGTTGTTGGTGTAATGATTGGGTGGTTTTACGCAATGATGTTAATATGGTGACATAGTAAATCGACAATACAATCGATATTGGAATCAATGGCAATAATCCCAAAAAGTTTCCCGCATCGCCATTATCGATACTATCACTATTAACCAACGCTGTTGATGACCCACTGACATAATTGAATATCAAATACGTCAATGAAGAAGCGAAATTAAAACCAGCAAGAATCTTGCAATAAAGCATAGTTCTTTTGTTCAATTTCAATTTAACAACACCATACCCCAAGGCAATACAAAGCAAAAGGAAAAATGAAAATGTAATCTTGACTGAGTTCAAAATGGCCATAAATATCATGTAAAAAATTCCAAATCCATTTGATGGATTTGAAACACGATTGACATAATCATAATACGACCAAATCACCAATGTATCAAATGTTAAGAATCCCAACATTGCCAACAAGTATCGTTGCAACGGCAAGATTTGATTCTGTTTCCTCTTTTTGAAAAATTGAAAACCAAACAATGCCAACGCAATTGCATAACACAAGGTTAAGATTCCATATGCTGGCAATTTCGGTATTTCACTAGCATTTAATTGGCCAAATGCATTTTGGAAATTAATTGTGCCTCTGTACTTGATGTTATTTCCCAGTGGAGAAAACGTCGAGATACAATAATACCCAGTTTGATTTATTGGATAATTTATATTGGCATTACCCAATTGATGCAATTGTGAAGTTAAAATTGTTGAATTTGTCGAATTGGAATTGACGATAAATTGACCCAATTGATCTTTTGAACAAACGTGCAACTCATCAACAGCATACTCATCACAAATAAATTTATATCCTTCTTCACCAAGATAAACTCCAATATTGACAAGATCCTTGTACTCAAAAATAATATAACTTACATTTATATCATCAAATTTGGCATCTTTATTTTTGGAGTTGTATTTATGATCCTGGTATTGTTTTAAAGATAACCCAATGTGAGGCTTTATCGACCCACCCCAATCCTTTTTTGAATAAACTCCAGCACATACTTGTGAATGTTGATTACTGTCAAACCGAGCGAGATTGGCTAGTGCAAAGGTGCAGTATAGAAGCAATGACAAGAAAATCATCGTGGAAGGAGGAGCGGGAAGGGATTAGTTACTACTGGTTTTTGGTTGGAGTTTGATGAGAACTCGGTTAATCAGGGTTTTTGCTAAGGGTAATCGGAAGGGGAAAGAACCTCACTGGTCTCTTTTTTTTTTGGCCAGTTGTTCGATTTTTGGTGAAAAGAAGATTTAATCGCCGAGAACTTCCCTCAGGTAGCGCAAAGTCAGCTTTGGGGTTTGGAGGTCTCCAGGCACCCAAGCCTCAAACACCAAAAATGTTTCTAAAGAGTAAGTCTACATCGCACAAGCTTCTTCACAAACGAATCTTTCTTTGTATTTCTATACCAACTGGGTTACACTTTTATATACCGGCCCATACTGTTCCTCCACTTTGATACACAAGGTTACCCAATTGTTCAACTTTATGATCCCAATCAACCAAATGAGTATACAAGTTATGCACTTGTTTCAAATTCAAAATTCGTGGTTGCAACCAAGTGATAACCAATACCTGATCGATTTGATTAATATACCCCTGAATCAACTTCAATGAAAAACATTTGATAATCAAATGTTCAACATCATTAACTGGAGTGCCAGTAAACTCACTAATTTCTTTAAAAGTGATGCGTTTATTGGTGGTAGATTTAGTAGAAATCAATTCCAACAATGCCATTATTATAATCTTTTGCTTGATAAACACTTGATGCAGTTGTAATTGCGGAGATTTAGTAAATGCAATCGATAACCAATGATTAAATTGTGATAAATCACCAGCATTCAACGCTTGAATTAAATGATATAGCCAATTGTATGGGGAGTTGTCGGTAGCTATTTCTTGCAAGATATCATGCAAGATCAATTCGCCAAAATTGTAAACTTTATCACCCAAGATGGCCGCAATACACAAATCATAGCATAATTGTACTTTCTCCTCTGAAGTTAATGAAGGAACCGAAGAAAGAAACAATAATCCATTAGTATAATAAGCATTGTAATTCTCATGTAATTTGTACTCGATTGATTTAGTCAAGTAGTAAGCGGCATTGATCTTGGCACTTAAATCATTGTTTAAATTATCAAACTTCAGTTCGATTTTACTCATGGTTTGTTCACTAGATTCAAATTGATTCAAGTACAAGTAATAACGACTTATTTGTAAATCAATATAAATCAATGATTCATCATTGGATAAAAGGGCACTAAACTCGGGATCTTCCGACCCATCTTCATTCTCCTTGTAATTGTGTTCGCGTTTGAGATACTTGATGTACTCTTGTTTCAAATTAATCAATTTATCCAAGGCGGTTTCATTATTGAACTGCGAAGCAATTAAAAAATCAACAACTTTAATAATGTTCAACTTCATGGCAAATTGTTGAATGAACTGAGTATAGATCTTGTGTTTCAATTCAGGCAGGATTTGACTCTGGTCGAATGTGTAGTAAAACTCATCCAATTGTTGAGTTAATTGATGCCATAATTTACGTTCATAGTAATCTTCCAATTGGTAAAATAACGATATTAATTCTGAGTTATCTAGTTCCAGTCTAATAGTAGCTAAGACTGTGGAAACGTCTGTTGAGTCTATGTCCATGGCTGACATTGTAGGGAAAGCGTTGTTGGTTGGTAGGTTATATTAAGTTTGGTGTTTTTTTGTTCTTGAAAACTGTGCAGTGGCAAAAGAAATATTTCACCACCCAAAAGTTGTGCAAATATACACTACCTTTACCTTGAAGATAGGCTGCAACATCTACACAATCCCTGACTCCTGCCAAATTGCGTGTAGAGCACGCAGTCGGCAAGCAGTAGGGGGGGTTCTATTTCTCAAAAATGTATTAATGCAAAGACTCAAAACACTATATAATGTACTCATCATCATCATCATCATCATCATCATCATCGTTACCACCACCTCCTCCTCCTTCACTTAAAAGTCCCCCCAAAACATCATTACCTATAGCTCCACCCTCATCATCATCTTCATTTATTAATGAACTTTTAAAGCTTTGCCAAGTTGTCAAATTCTCCTCAAATAATGCTTTACCATTTCGTATATAATTAATCATGATTATCAACCATTTACGTTCCAATTTCTTGATAAATTCTTCAAATGTAGCCATTAAAGCTTGAGTTAAATGTTGCATATCTTTATTACACAATTCAATCAATTGATTGATTTTATCCAATTCTTTTTCAAGGTGTTGGATTTTGAATTTGATGGAAGATGTATGTGAGGAAGGTATCATTGTTTGCACCGTGGATGATGACGAGGAGGATCCAATTAGTGGTGCAGCAGATGATGCTGACCCAGTGGGTGGTTGTGTGGATTCAGACGAAGCTCTTTCACCGGCCTCAGGTGTTGTTCCGTTGGTTTGTTCTACCGGTAATTGGAAATTAAATTTCTTGGTTTGGTTGTTACCACCAAATAATCCATACCAAGATGACTTTTTTTGAACTTTCTTCATTGATATATTTTTCAAAGCGTTGTTTAAAGTGGGACTGTTTAATTCTTTTAAATGATCAAGCGAATTTATAACAACTGCATCTTCTTCCTCTTGAGGGTGAGATTTAGTAAAACTTGGAGGTTTCCCGGAGACCCCCATTGTTTTTCCAACATCATCACTAAGTTTGCCACCTCCATTTAGACTATTTATAGTAATCAATTGTTGAAATTTGTTGAATTTTAACTTGTACAAGATCTTAAACTGGATAATCTTGTATTTATAAAACTTTATCAAATTTAATGCTGTTTGATTATATTGAACCAACTGATGTATAGGTTCTTGCCATTGAGGTATCAATTGATTCAAGACGAAATTTTCAAAGTTTAAGAACACTTGATCCATTGTTGATCCAAATTTTTCAATTGCTTCTGATAATGCATTGTTACGGGTTTCAGATTCTGAAAACATACTAGTATCAGGTTGTTGTTGGTTCTGCTGTTGTTGTCGTAAATGATGGGGTTTTTGATGATAGATTTGTAATGAAAAATTATTCAAGTTTCCACCTAAATCAATCAATACATTAATCAAACTCTTGTAATCTTTGGTTGTTTTTATATCCAATTTATTTAAAAATGACAAACCGGTGATGATTTTATGAAACTTAGTTTCAAATGTAATCAATTCTTGAGGAATGGTGAATTTCAAATCATCTTCAAAGTGACCACCGCCAGTTTTTATTTCGCCCAATTCAAATAATTTCATCAGATCATTCAATTTTGCCAAATCATCATTGATTTTTTTCAAACTGGATAAATTATCACTGTTGGACCCAATATTAAAACCATTAACAATGGGTAAAATAGAATATAATCCATTTTGATCAGCTGGATTTACTGGGTTAGCCAATAACAAGTTATTTGGTAAATAACTGACTGGTGGTTCATTCAATGCATTATACCAACACAATTCATAATTGGGATCAAGAAACTTGTGTAAAAGTGGACATTTCTTCAATTCGATATTTGAATCCAAAATCAAATCATTTAAAAATAACTTGAAAAACCGTCTTCTCAGTTCAATTATATTTGATTCATTGTTTAAATTGATTGAATTGAGTAAGTAGCTGAGTATGGAATGTTTTTCAGGTATTGGTGGTACAATCAATGTCGGGAACAATTTGAGTAAATTATCTCGTAATGATTTAAACTCACGGTATCTTCGTTTAACAACAATTTTGCTGTGGACAACCGATGGTGATTGTAGTTGAATAGTGTATACTATTATTGATGAGTTGATTAATCGTTCAGAGTTTATGACATCTATAGTTAAATCCGATGCTTCCAATAGTTGGGTGATTTGATTGGATAAGCCCAATGTGCTATTGACTAAATCAGTGGGGTATTCGTCATTGTCACTAAGGGCATTAGATATAGGTGATAATTGCTGCTGCTGCTGTTTATGCGACTGTTGTTTACGAGAATTTGGTTGTTTAGGTGTCAGTTGTGGAGGTGGGGAGAGTGTTGCCACATGGAGTTCTTGTTCTTGTTGTTCTTGTTGTCGTTGTTGTTGCTGTTTCTCCTTCCTTAATGTCAATTTTGATGATCCAATGGATTCACGATGAACACCACTCTGTATTCCATTAATGTCTGAATGTGGATCCTGTGATGAGTTATGGTTGTTGTGAGCAGCGTGTGGTGTATGTGATGTATTGTATGGATTAGTTAGTATAGATGCATTACCATATAAAGATGGGTTGTTATCTTGTTCTAAATCATCGAATAAAGAGTAATCATTAGACATAGTCGTAAAGATATGCTATGCGTGTGTGTGTAAAAAGAGTAATGTAGCGGACTTCCTAATTAACAGGTGGTTGTCAGTGGTGGCTGATTTGATTTTGATTTTTGTTGTCTGGTGTGGGTGTTGTCTCTGTTGTTGTCTGTTATTTCTAACTGATAATGACACACACACACACACACACACGATTTTATTAGTTTGGTGTGTCGTAGAATGTATATTTGTGACATTGCTTTATAAAAAGGAAAATGAGTCACGTGTAAATCGGAAGTATATTGCCGAAAAGAATAGTTTTGTGTACTTGTGGTTTTTTCTGTTGTTTAGCGTTACTATTAATAATAACAACAACAACAACAACAACAACAACAACAACATTTTATGAAGGAGGGGTGATACTGCATATACATATACATATACATATACATATACATACACTAAAGGAGGTTTTAGTGTCTAGTTTTTTTCTTAATTAACTTTGCGTAATCAGACAAAAAAAAAATTTAGATCAGACACTAAAACAAAAGGTGAGTTAAAATAAGATCTTATCTTTCTCTTCTCATAATACAAGTGATATGTTCCTGGAAAACAGGGGTTGGTTGGTTGCAGCAAGTTTCATTGGTAGTAGTAGTAGTAGTAGTGGTAGTGTTTACTACAATCTCTTTATTATATGATGAATATCATCTCTTGTATTCAGTGAATCTACAATATTAGTTTTTTGTGCAGGATAATGTTTTTCTTCAGTCAGGAACGTTTTTTTTGTTTTTTTTATTTTTCTTCGCAATACAACCTTAAATATCTTCATCATCATCCAGATTCAAATTCAACTTGAAATTCAACAATTTCTTACATCTTTTCAAGAGAAAGTTAACTGACAATATATATACACAAATCATCTCAGTAAGTCTCACAGAGTAAAGGTAACTTACTAAACCAACAGCTAAAAGCATCTATTATCTAACAGGCACGTACATCTGGGCCAAAAGCACGTGCCTTATTACTCAAGGCGCTATCTACGTCACTTCAACCTTTTATACCTAGCCACTACTTCCATACCACTATATATCGTTCTCAGCTATGCCACTCGTTTTTCCAACTAAATTCAAGGCTACTCAGATAGTACTATCAGTATTATTTCTATTCACATTAATCAATATACTATTGGCACTCTATTCAACGGATGGTTCCGCCGCAAACAATCAAAACATTAAATCCAAGGGAAGCTACTATGGTAAAGATGGTGTATCGGCAATATTTGGTAAATTATCATCACTAACTTTACCTACGCTGCTGCTGTCACAACAACTGAAGCAAGACTATAAGGTAGTTGGCTACCACCACAACGAAGATAATGACTTTGTTGTTTTCCAAAAGGAGTATTTAAGTAATGAACATCTTGCTACAGACACTACTCATCATTTCTGGAACTTTGTCAATTCTGATCTCAATTCACATCAAAATTATGATATCAAATTAATCAATGGCTACAACTACAAGGAATACGTGTCCAAATTAAACCATGATCATGAATTAATGTTGAATAGTTCATTCTCTGATCACTATGATATGGAAATGAAGTTTACCACAGCATTTGTTGAATTTTTCAACACTGTTTTGAAAACCATTGAAGATTGTAAACCAACCATCAATGCAATTAATAATGATGAACATTACCCCAATGCAGCTAAATTGGAGAAATATTATCAAACTATAAACAAATTGACTGATGATCAAATGAATGGTTTCAAATACAAACGTGAATTGATACACAAGAATGGAAGAATGCCAGTTTATGGTGGTCATTTACGAGAAAACTATCAACAAGAATTGATTAGAAACAGGGAATTGTTATCAACGTATATCACATTGAATGATATGGAGATGGAAACATTGAAGAATTCACATCAAGTATTTATCAACTCATTGATGAAGGATTGGCCTGAAGACTTGATCAAATTTAACAAGTATAATGATTTCCTCAAGGGAGATGGTATTGTCTACCTAGCTGGAGGTAAATATAATCAGTTGGCTTTACTTTCAATCAAAGTATTACGAGAAAATGGTTCTCGTTTACCAGTTGAAGTCATTATCCCCAAACATGAAGATTATGATGAACAGTTTTGCAATCGAATTTTACCACAATTGAATGGTAAATGTAAACTAATGAGTGATTATATCCCCAAATCATATTATGAACGAGTCATCAAAAATGGTGGCTCAGCAGCTGGGTTTCAAATGAAGAATGTTGCCATTCTCGTGTCGTCATTTGAGCGGGTATTGTACCTCGATGCCGATAATATTCCCATTAAAAACCCCGATATCTTGTTTGTTAATAAACCTTTTACAAACAAACACCTAGTCGTATGGCCTGATTTATGGAGAAGATCCACATCACCCAAATTTTATGAAATTGCTGGAATTAGGGTCGATCCTGCCAAAAAAGTTAGAAACTCATATACAAAAGGTGATCCAAGAGGTGTTTTCCAAAGTGCTGATACTGAAACATCAATTGCTCACAATTCATATCATGATTGCTTGGGTGCCATACCTGAGCCAAGTTCAGAAACCGGTCAATTGCTCATCAATAAGAAGGTACATTTCAAAACATTGTTGCTTTCATTGTATTACAATACTTATGGGCCTGATTACTACTACCCACTATTAAGTCAAGGTGCTGCTGGTGAAGGTGATAAAGAAACTTTTATTGCTGCTGCTCACAAGTTAAACTTACCTTATTATCAAGTACAAGAATTTAATCGAGAGTTTGGACCCAAAGATGGCACTACTAATAAACATTTGTATTTTGCCATGGGACAATATGACCCGATTATTGATTATATTCAAGCAAACAACGATACCGAATTCGAAGCATCCACTAGCAAGCAAAAGCTGAAGCAAGGCAATAAGTTGCAGCAGGAGGATGAAACCATTTCAGACGACGACAATCCATACTTGTCTACCCCCCCTACTCAATTTGCCAACCACGAAAAAGACAATACCAAGTACAACTACGACTACCACTTGTACAAATCATCATCGTTATTCTTCCTTCATGCAAATTGGCCCAAATACTATTTCCAACAATTATTCACCAATGATGAACGAGGTCCAGTTGATAACAAGGGCAATAGAAGACGCCTTTATGGTAATGAATTACGACTGGAATTGAGTGCTGGTGCTATTTCTGGATACGATTTTGAATTGAAGGTGATTGAACAGTTGCAGATGTTGTTTTGTACTGCACCTAAATTTAATTTGGGTGGTGGAGTACCTGATGCTGATAGCAATGAGCGGAGGGAAGTTTGTGACAAAGTTGAAGAACAGAGACTGTTTTTGAAGATCTCCTAGAGTAGAGTAGAGTAGAGTAAAGGATTTATATTAGCATTGAAAGAATTTATATTTGGAAAAAAGTTTTGTTAAATTTTTGTAGTGGCAAGTGAAGTTGGTCTTGCAATGAGCCGCAACAGATACATTGTGCAATGATGTAGGAATTATGAAGGGGTTAATGGATGATAACGATTTGGATATAAAAGTGTCTGATTTTAAACTCCATAGATCTCGTAAAACATAGCAACGCCTATTGTTGATATCTTACACAAGGCAGGCTTTTTAGTCTATTGCACATATACGCGTAACCTGCAAGAAAAAATCTTATTTTCGAGTTTTGTGTAACTGTTTAAGTGAGCTCTGAGGAGTGCACATTATCATTTCCTTGAACTAAGTCTCTTATTTTTTGCATCCGTACCTTAGTTGCAGGAGATACAATAACTCCAGAGCCGCTGTTTAGAAAATTAAGACTGAAATTAAACCGTGCCCCCCAGACTGGTCTTGGACTCTGCTTCTGTTTTTTCTTTTTTTTTTCCGAATAGCGTTATATCGAACCTTACACATAGTTTCTTGGCTAATTGAATCATACTGCAATTGATGAGCTTTATGAATGTGGAATATGGTAAAAGTTGAAATGTAGACATTGATCCAGCATTCTAAATTAAATGGTCACAATTATTATTACTCTCGACAGAGATATCTTTGACGTTTACCACTTTTTCAACACAATTTTGTACAAAAAAAAAAAGGAGAGAGAGAAAAACAAGGTTTATACCTGTGACCCACTTCCAAAGCCTAAATCTAGGAAAAGTCTCTCCGTCTGTTATTACTGGCTACTCAGAGTCGATTTTGGAGTCTAGATACTGCGACGTAGCTCAACTCCGTTATTGTCTTGAACAGATGCACGCACACACACGGCCTATTCTAAGGCGAAAAATTAAGTCGACTCTCGCCCCAAGTTGGGTTTTTTAAATACACGGTATTTTAAAATAAACCTCAAATTTTGCAGAAAATTGGAGAGTTGACCGAGTTGGTTAAGGTGACAGACTTAAGTTGGAGGATTAATTTCCTTTTCAAAAGAGTAATCTGTTGGTATGTTTACCGCGCGAGTTCGAATCTCGTACTCTTCACTATTTTTTTTTTTTAATTTTTGTGACGAGTTTTCTTTTAGCGGTGGACTTTATTGTGAGCCTACAAAGATGATTCAAAGTGCCCAGTGTTTAGTGACAACTGTGCTTCGTTTCAATGTGATCATTTTCACAAAACAATAGGGCTTTCTTTTGTTTTTCCTGACAAATTTTTGCTATACACAGTTGTCCAAGGAATTCTTCCCCTTTTTCTGCTTCCTCTGACACGCATTTATAAATTGAACATTCCTGATCACCTGAACTAAGTCTCTCAGACCTAACCATACTTTCAATTTACTACCGTTCTTTGTAGCTGCAAAAAATCAATTAAAACAACACTGGAAAGAATATAACCACAAGTCGTGTACATGTTACCAAAATTTATCCTAATCATCTAAACCAACTTTCCGATTGCATGACAGACTCAACAAGTCTCGGCTCGTGGAAAAATGGACAAAATTGCATAATCATCACTTTTTGCTTTCACCTTAGTTGATTCAACTTCAATCTATTTATAGAAGAGTGTCATTGTGGAATATCCTCATACAACAGTTACTATCAGAGATACAAAGCAACTTGCTAACTTACGATTTGTTTTTACATTGCTGACTACATTTCCATTAGCAATCAAATTTTCCCCAAAAACATCGGAAACTGGTAGATTTACGACAATAGAATTATACAACACCCAGCAATAGAATATACACCATGTCCAAGATAGTGAGGTCTATGAAGAATGTTGTTGGCGGCTACTCATCAGCACAAGTTTTGGTGAGAAACGCAACTTCGAACGACGCCACGGGGCCAACAACTTATGATATGGAAGAAATAGCATCATGCACATATCAGTCACAAACCGAATTTATGGAAGTTATGGATATGCTAGATCGCCGTCTTAACGATAAAGGTAAAAATTGGAGACATATTGCTAAATCTTTGACAGTGTTGGATTACTTGGTTAGGTTTGGTTCGGAAAAATGTGTCTTGTGGGCTAAAGATAACATCTATATTGTCAAGACATTAAGGGAATTTATTCATCTTGATGACCTGGACAAGGATCAAGGGGCGATAATTAGAGTCAAGGCGAAGGAATTGGTTTCATTGTTGAGGGATGATGAGAGATTAAAACATGAGCGTGCATTGGCCAAACGTGGAAGACGTACTGGTACGTTTGATGATGGTGACGACGATGACAATTTTGGCGAGGGCAGAAGAGACAGAGACAGAAGAAGGGAACAGAGAAGAGATAGAGGCGGTGATGAGCCATATGACGCGGATTTGCAAAGGGCATTGGAATTGTCAAGAATGACGGCTGAGGAGGAGCAACTTCGTGCTAGAGAAGCTGAGAATGATCCTGAATTAGAAGCTGCAATTAAGCTTTCGTTAGAGGAGGAGGAATTGAGAAGGCAAAATCAAAATGCAAACTTGTTGGATTTGAATGAAGGGCAGCAGCAGCAGCAGCAACAACCACAACAACAGTATTTCTTGACTGGCTACTACCAACAACCACAACAACAACAATTCTTTCAACAACCAACCCAGCAGTATCAACAATATGACATGTTTGGAAATCCTATTCAAAATTCGATGGAGACGGGATTGTATCAAAACCAATTTGACCAACAACAACAACAGCAACAACAACAGCAGCAACCTCAGTATCAACCTAATCAGTTTACCGGTTTCAATTATGGACAACCCCAACAGCAGGAACAGTTACAGCCTTTGAAAACAGGATCCAATAATCCATTCGCTCTCGTATCCGACTCAGGAAACAATCAATCTAAATCACAGTCTCAAACATTGAATGCATTGGCTGAACAAAAGACACAAGAGCAATACCAACAACAACAACAACAACAACAACAAGCTCAATTCTATACTCAACCTACAGCTTCATTGAAACAACAAAACACTGCATCATCGAGATTCAATGAGACTCATGAGTTGAATGACCTTTTGACCCAGGGAACAGGCTTGGATACTTTTGGAAACACTGGTGCTGCTCGTATTCCACATCAACACACAAGAACTCAAAACTTTATCAACTCTAGTGGAACTGGTTATAAGCAAGTTAGCAATGATCAACATAGAGTTAGTTCAAATGCTACAGGAAATCCATTCTTAAACACTGGCATTGGCTACCAACAACAAAATGCACCACCACCACCACAACAACAGCAGATCAATACGGCGTACACTGGGTACGGGTTTGGGAATGCTCAACCACAGCCACAGCCACAACAATACCAAAGACAAGCAAATGGAGAGGGTCCTAGTTTGATAGATATCTGAGGGCAAAGAGGGGGGACAACTACTACAAGCCAGATAGGAATTTTCATATGTTAGACATATATTTTGTATATTACCTTTTTTTTTTCTCCTTAAGAAACCTTGTTTACAATTCGAACTCGTCAAACTTTTGTAACTTCATGGCAAAAATCGATTTCACACACCAGTCCCAACTAAGAACCATTGCGTTGGTGTGGTTCCTTTTGAAACTAGTGATAAGTTTTAGGTCTTTAGTCTTATTGGCGATCAATATAGACACTTTCTTGCCATTGTAACTGCAGCTACAAATTGGAGTCTTTTTTGTAATTGTAGCTGGCACTTCCTCAAACTCTTTAAGTCCATGATCTTGCAAAATTCTCGAAATGACATCAATCCCCCCATTCAAGTTTTTACTAAGATTCAAGCTGATTCCTTGCAAAAGATTCCCACGAGTGTCATTTTTCAGCAACAACAGTTGTAAATTTTCGACACCCAAGTCTGCATTTGCCAAGGGATTCACTTTATCCAAGGCATAGTCATCAATTCGATACAAGCTTAAAACGTCGCCGTTATTCTCAGCATTTGCCAACACATCGATAATGAATGAAGGATGAACAATACGATCAACTTTACTCAAGCTTCTCAAAAATTTCTCAGTTCGTAGAATTTTGGGTGCAATTAATGTATTGGGAGTGTACTTTGACAAATCAGTGATTACTTTTATACCAATTGATTGTAATTTGGTGTAATCGCTCTTGGATAATTCGATATCTTGTTCACAACCGGTCATGATGGCGATAATGCTACATTCATCTGTGCGTGGGCGTTTCAAATCGGAGCTATCAACGTCAGCTTTGGAGTCATTAGTTCCCTGCAAATGTTTCCGTTTAGAATGTATTGTATTTTCTAACTCATTCATGTAACTCTCCATCTTTTTGCTGCTTTTGGACATTTTCAAATAGGCATTTAAGTCACTCATGTTGTCATGCAATTTTGCCGCTGCTTTTTTGGCCGCTGATCTTCCTCCATAGCGGGAGTTGAAAACACCAGGCTCATCAAAATCATTGGGTGTTTTGGGTGAATTGATTTCGGCACTGATGTCAGACTTACTAGGGGTGCCATTAGGTGGCGAGTTTATACTCATCGCATCGTCGTCGTCGTTCTCTGCCTCGGCTGGTTTCTGTGCAAACTTTATCAAATCACCGCTAGATGTGACTTCTCTCTTGGCGGTGGATAATGGTGCCGGATGAATCAATTTTCTTGATTGTGTACTTTCATCCTCGCTCATACTATCATCAACATTGCTAGTGACATTTGCATTGTCTGCATCGGGTTCGTCCAAATGATCACTATTCAAATGTGCTCCACCAACTAGTGGTTCCATCCCCAAGTCCAGGTTGCCAAAGTTTGTATACTTGGCATCGGTATGATCAAGTTTCATCCATTGAACAAAACAATCTTCCAACCACATGTGATTCACTATTTTAACCTCTGGTTTACCATCCATACCAATCCATTTCGACGTAGCTGCATCATATTTCTTACCTTCAGGTTTGGCGCAAACAAGAAAATCATTATCTCTAGTCAATGTTTTGGTGAATGTTGCACCCATCAAAGTTATCAATTTCGACAAGTATGCTCTCGAGTCACCACTATAGTTGGAAATGGAGATTTTCAAGTTTTTAAATTCGTCAATATGTTTGGATGGGATCGGGTAGTAGAGGATGTTTGAGTTTAATGGCAACACCCATTTCTTTGTAACAATAATGGAATATAACCACTGCAAATTTGCAATGATGATGCGTTTGTTTTGACGACTCTTTTGGTAAGCTTCACCACTGCGATATTTTCCAAGATAGATATCAATATCCTCTTTGTGGGTGGTGGCAATTACACCACCGAGTTTCTCGATCAATGCTTTGATTGAGTTTGCAAGTCTTTGAGAAAGGTTAAAGTCAGAGCAAAGGTAAAACCGCTTACCCCGAAAGTAATCAACTTTTGCGAACGATTCGCTGTCAGAAGATCTAGGCACGGAGTCATTCAATATCGGTGCACTGAAATCATTTTTGATTTCATTCAACAACTCACCCGCTTGATCACTAGCGTTCATATCAAAAGAATCCGAATCTGGAAGAACATAACTTTCTTCATCGAGTTTTCTTCCCATTACCAAGCAATGGTCTATCCAATGAGGCAAGACAATCTTGATATCCATAACAGGGTCTTTGCAGTTGGAATCGTGAACGAGACTAGATGCAATTATTGATTTTTCATTCGTCATATCCATTGCTATCAAATGAGTGGTGTACTTGGATAACACGTCCAAGTAGTTGCCTCCAAAAGCTTGCACTGCTGCATATATGAGCTCTTTATCCCCCTGAGGCAAATTGTCAGCACAACAAACAAAACAGTTTCTGAAAAAGTAGTTAGGGTTGGGATTGTATGACTTTATTGGTAACATCATGCTTCGCTCTACTGAATCGTAAATCCATCCTGGGGTCACTATTGGGATCATGGACTTTTGTGCTTGTGAATACTCGATAAAGTTAATGGAATGGGTGATAATATGTGTGATTGATGGTGGATCAAAGTAATTGATTGAGTTGTCAAATTCATCCTTGGAGTAAACTCTGGTTGCATTGTGTCTGTTCAAGATTGCTTCAAGCTGAGCAGCTTCCTTGTCATCCAAGTCAAGGGACTTGATGATGAGAAATGTGTAACCTTGGAACATGGTAAAGAAAAAAACGCGTGTGGTGTAAAAGCTTTCTTTGGGGAAATGTATGCGTAGGTCAAAAGTTTTTGCAAAATAGCCTCAACAGATATAGTCCCCTCCAAATGTAGTTTTGTAATGTGCCAATTATTAGCTTTTATTAACCAGTTATGGTGGCAACCCCAATATTGTGCTGTGGTAGTAAAGAAAAATTGTTAGCTCTATTTTGTTTACATTGTGAGGAAAAGAAATGACGCGTATAAGTAAAATGGTTCACGTGACTTTTCTTCAATTCCATTTCTTTACAATTCCCTCTTCTAGCTAATATGGATTATATTACTATACAATCGAATGTGGGTTTTATTCAAAACAAACAAGATTTCAAACAAGAGTCGTGGCGTCATTAAATATTAGATGTCATCATGTCATGGGGTATGTATTTTCTCAATTATCTACTTCAATCGATAACCGATGAGTAGATAAGTTTTCATCAAACAAATCTCTGCCTTCCAATTGAAACTTTTCCCCCCATTTGCGGCACAATGTACTTGCTCTCATGAATTTTCTCATTGCATATTTTTTGAAAAATTCATCGTGCTCAATGGGTGAGATGATGTATTGAAACATTAACTCCACACATTCCCTCATATCGTTGATACGGTAGCCTCCACTATAGTGAATCAAGTTCCCATTCCATACAGGTATTTTCCCCAATATTAAACGCGACAAATACATGGCCAGGGCACAACACAAGGATGGTTTCATTCCAATAAACTTGTAATCTATAATGGTGATTTCCAAAAGGTATTTCCCCAATGTTCTTGATTGCACGTCATAATCATCTGCCTTGGATATCCTTCGAAGGAAATTCATTGGGTTGGGGTAGTTCAAGTCAAAATTTAGGACTGTCAAGATGTACTTTTCGGCTTGCAAGATTTCTTCAACCAGGTATGATCCATCTGTGAAAAAGGCGTAATTTTTAACCAGTGGTGAAAACACTTCTTCGTATTTTGCTGCAATGAATAACGAGCCAGTGGCCAATAATTGCAACTTGTCTATTTCCACAGCCTCAATGGACATAAATCGGTCCATTATATTAATGGCAAGAAATAATGACTCTGGTAATAACTTGAACTTTAAATGCATTTCAACTAGCCAATCAACTAAAATTGATCTCATTTTGGGTTTCAAATTCTTTTGTTTGTAAAGATATTGAGAGTCAGGCAACATCCGTTGTTCCAACTCGTAAAAGTATGTAAATATATCATTGACGTATTCACTAGCCATTAATGGGTCATCATAATCCTCTTCGTCAAGGTCCTGCCACTCATAATCTATCAACCGCGATTTTTTGTAGGTTGAGGTGGATGCAATGGTGTGTGAAGATGCTAAAGGTTGAGGTTCGGGTATTTTCAATTTTTCGACCAAATTCGTTGATGATTCAGTTGCTTGTCTTTTTTGTGGCAACCGTGATGGTACAAGTAAAGTAGTCTGTTGTGGTTTCTGACTTGCATGTACTCCGTCAGGCACAATAGGTATTACTCTGTTGGTTTTGGTTTGTAAAGGTTGAACCTCCTTGGCAAAAGGCTTTCTTTTCTTCAGTGGTTGTAGCTGCACCTGCACCTGCGCTGACGAGGGTGCTGCTGGTTTGAGGCCACTGCTATGGTATTGATTAGAAACATCACCCAAGTATTGACGCGTTGATGTGGTTGTGGTTGATTTTGTCATCACCGATTTACTCTGCTTTGTGGAGGATGCCGATGTTGGGGGCCTATTTTCTTCGTATTGATCTTGAGTTGAGCTTTCAATGGGTTCTTGTGATGATCTATCGTGTTGTAGACACAGCTGTTCAGATAGGCTTTTTGCCTTTGTTAGCTTATAATCGTTTTCATTACTCGCAGAGTGTGTAAATGTGGCTTGTGGCATATCAATGCGGGGCAATGTATGAAGTTCGTCAATGCTTTATTATGATGATGTAGCAAGAGGAGACACTCTTGCTAATCTTTATGAAATGAACGGGTGATATGAAAGTTTAAACTCGAGTACCGATGAGTGGATTTGTAAATGCCAAAGTCGAAATGTTGAATGACTCGGCTATGCAAAAACTTGTAAAGTATGGGGTCAGCAGTTGAAAATGTGACTGACTTGGCGAATGCTAGATTAGTTGATTATTATGGTGATCTGCTGACGAAGAAAACCTGCTCGTGATTATAAGATTCTCTTTCAAAACTTCGAGAAATGTTAACAATAATTTTTTTTCTGTCTCCTTAGAGCGTGTGTGTGTTCAAAGTGTCGTCTTTGGGTTTGTGAAAAGTGTCTGATGTTGCTTTTAAACGAGTCTGTGAAACAAACACTAAGGACTTATCGAGGAAAAGCGATTGGTGTTGGTTGTCGAAAATTGTAATTTTCAAAAGGCGGGCTTGTGGGCAGATTATAATTTCTTCTATTCTATCTGCTTTGAAACGAATGTATGAGTTTTTGTTGATGCCTGTTCACCCGAATAATTATACAACACAAATCACGACTTGGCGCAAAACAAAAGGGTTGGTGGAGGGAAGTTGCAGGCGGGATTACTCGTGAGCTGTAACCTAAACGTAATGCAGTTGATGAATTATTATGTAGGATCTTCGTGAGTAGTGGTACTTTATAAAAAAATGAAAGAAACTAAAAAGAAAGGGATGATAGCAACATTAAGTAAGGATATATTGTTGATCCTACAATGCATGCAAGTAACTAAAGATAGAACAAAAACAAGGATACGATTGTTTTCAAAAGAAGCAGTCATGTTTGGGTGAGTGAGAGGGTTATGTAGCGGGTAGTATGCTGCATGCTTCTACCTTTTTGTTTTTCATAACACTATTGTTTCAAACCTTCGGTGGTACATAATGCAACCGTTTGTGATACTTGCTTCTTGGTTACATGGTTTGTAGAAAAGAGAAGTAACCCAAGTAGGTTGAAATTATAAACAAATGATGAAGAAATATTTAAGTTTGTGTTTTGTAGGTTGGGTATTGTTGTGGTGAAATTGGGTTACAGAGTTGAGAGAAATGTTACACAATTCAACAATGGCCAAAGTAGGTTTGATTATGTCATAAGTTCAACAACACAAAAGGTGCGAGGAGGGAGGTGGTATCCACAATTTACACTTCTTGGGAGATAGTGCTGAGGAGCATGGAAAGGATCATGTTGCGCCTAATGACACGATGAGCTTTTCTAAAATTAGCGCAAGAGTGATCATCAAGTGCATAGGTCATCTGTTTCACTGCACGCTCTAAACAACCACATATATATATATATATATAAACATAGACGTCAGAGTAATAGTGAATTTATTTAGCAGAGAGATTTCGAGATTGGTAATTTTTTGTTGTGTTTATGTTTACCATTATTCCTAATTTGGGGGGAGGATTCGCTGCAGATTGGCTTAAAAAAAAAAAGTAAATTTGATTTTGTGAAACAAACTTTACTTTCCATTGTCAAACACTTTTTTTTAGTCTGTTTACTATCCAAGCACTTATGTTGAGAGAGTGTTTCTTGCCTCTTTAATTCTTAGCAGGGACAGGACGATATGCCAAAATAGGATGAGAACATGCAAAGTATTAACGTTCTATAGTTGCTGTTTTCTATTTTAAGGTTGCTACATTGGATTCATTAGTAATGGTTCAATAAAGGAGTAACGCACGAATGTGAGTACGGGAAATGTTGCAAGACTCGATGTGTGTCGAGCATGTCGTTTCCGACATGTAGTTACAATCCCTCATCAAGCGTGAAATCTCTTTCCAATTTTTTGGTCTGTTCAAACAAGTGCATAAATCCGAAAAAAAAAAAAGAAAAGAAGAAATAGGAATTCTAATCTTGCGAACAAGCCGCAGTCTCATCAAACACAATAATCACGTTTCAGTTTGCAAAAAAAGATGAAATTAATCAAAAGGACATAAGGCTTATATTCGACTCGTGTCATTTCACAAAATTGGAATCTGAACAATAAACATCAAAAAGTGGTAGAAAAAAAAAAAAAAAACAAAAACAAAAAACAAAATGTTTGCATACAATTGAGGGCGCGATTTTTTTTATGAAATTTTACATTTCCAAAATAAACAACCTATAACCCACTGTGAAAACTAAGACTTACGGTATTCCGGATACAGTGGTTTGTTCAAAGTTGAGCCGTAAGGACTTATAACCTTCATCAACAGCTTTAGAAACTCAAGCAGTGTCGTCGTGGTTTGTGCTTCTTAATGTTCTGTGACGACACTCGTGCTTGGCTCAAAAACTATTCTGCTTTGAGGGACCTCCCTCCCGTACTCGCTATGTATCTTGACCTCCAGTGCCGTATGCAATTTAGCGCCTTACACGGGATCGTACTCATACTGGGATATGTAGGGATACTTAAGTATCACCGAAAAACGTTTGGCTCAATCATCGAAAAAAATCATGTTTTGTTCACGCGTCACTATAATTTTAGATTTTAACTTACGCAAAGTTTTGGTCCTCTTCCTCATCATCAGCGCAGTCAAATAACATTGTCTAACCAATTTGTGTAGCTTTCTTCTATTGTGGATTAGAATTTGACTGTTTTTAATACACCCCGCTTTGCTTCATCTAATGCATAAACTATTTCATCTTCGTGGGAATATCTCACTCTCAATTTAATCGTCCCATACTTTTGAAGCGAAGAAGCAGACACTTTTTTCCGCAATTAGACTTCGTCTAAGAGGAGAGGGGTAGAGGGACACAAGACTCAGAAAAGGAAGCGTTATTTTATAGTCGAACTAGCCCTATTTTTTACATCATCAAATTAATCCTGCGTAAAATCGTAAAGGTTTTCATAGTTCTACAGATTGTCAAAAAATTTCACAATAGTTCTCGATAGTATAATCAGTTAGCTGGGGTCATCAACGTAGGTTTACTTTCAATTTCAGTTACCCAGCCCCTGTTGGAATTAGTATAGTCACGATTGGCCAGACACTTGGTGCATAAGCATGTAATTTCGAGATCATCTACGCCAGAACAAAACTGCAAGTGCTCTGGGATTGAATCCTGATCACCATTCGAATAAGTTGGCAAGATACGGGGGTCACTATTGCTCTTCAAACCCTCCTTGATGGATATAACCGTTGATTCTTGCACGGTGCCACCCCTTTCAGCACCAACTTGTGCCTCGAAAGGTGGTGCAGCATACGTTTGCGTAGATTTTTCAAAGCTTGCTCTACGATCGTTGGTCTTTGAGCCATCATGTTGTCGATAATAGCGATCATTTTCGGAGTCATTAGTCGAGGGCGTGGAATCAGTTTGCGTTTGTACATTTATATGGGGCCCTTTATGATTTGGTAATTGCTCATGGTGACACTGTTGAGGTTGTGACACTTGTCCCATCAGGCCATACTTATCATCTGATTTGAAATTGGTCCGAGGAGGATGATGCCGTTCTCGATATTGCAGTTGCGATTTTGTTTTACTGTGGATAACAGGGTCAGTTGATTCTCCAGAACCAGCAAGCTTTTCTCCGTTTTCTTGACTCTTTTCCCAAGCTCGTGCCTTATTCTTTAGCTCATTTATATCGTTGAGTAAAGTTTCAATCACTTTGAGGTTTTGTGCTGGTGTACCATCCGTATGTGGGTAGTTCTGTTGGTTATGGTCGCTATCGTACCCTTTTGCTTTCAATGTGTTTTCATGAACAAGCAGATCTTTGTTGAACCGTACTGCAAATGCACCATTTTGGTCCTTTGACCCTGATACTCCTTCGTTTCTCGTTACGTTATCGGGCATCAAATTATGATCGCTGTATTGTTTATGCAATGCGTCTGCAAGATCTTGCGCCTTGGAGCTACTCTGATTGATATTCTGCGACTTGGTACGCTGTTCCGCTCCAAATGTTCCTTGTGGTGTTGCTTCAACACCAATCTGAGATCGCATCAAACTTGGTAACTTTTCTGAGATAACTTCTTCAAAGAGTTCTCGTATCCTTTCAACGTCAAGGGCTCTACTATCCAGTTCTGATTCACGACTTGCCTGTGACAGACCTTCATTTCCCCCGGATCTAGTTTTCCCCATGGGTGCTCGTGTATTTGCAAATTCACCATCAAAATGGCTTCGAAGATTGTGCTGCTTTTCTCTTGTTTCTTTTCCCTTCAAGTCTCGTATGTGCTGTTTCAATTTTCTGATTTCCACTGCCATAGAATCAATCATCTCGCACCACTTGTCGCTATAAGCTATTGATAAGTTTAAAGATTTTCTTAATTCAGCAATCTTCGTATCTCGTTTTGCAATAATGGATGCCTGCATCGTTTTATGTTTAGTCAACTTCTCATTTTCAATTTGTAAATGGTCCAATTTTGAGTCTTTTGAATCAAGAGTGGTTTGCAAGCGCGTATTTTCCTCTTTCAAGCGTGAGCTCTCTTCTTTCAAGCGTGAGCTCTCTTGTTTCAAGTATTCAATCTCCGTCTTCCAATAACTTGCATCCTTTTGAGCCTGTGCACAATCAAGTTTCACACTTTCCAACTTTTCCATCTCTTTCTGCAACCGAAGGTTCTCCTTTCGATAAATTTCATTCTTTTCAGCATCTCTATGCAATTTTGACATCTCCTCTTCCAAGCTATTAATACGTGATGTCGGTGACCATTTGTATTTTCCACTATCTGTAACTTTGTTTTCTGTTTTCACTGGGCTTCCTCGTGCTGCTCTTAACCTATTTACCAGCTCGGAATAGTTTTTGGTGGGAGAGAGAATTGACTTTTTTGGAGAACGTTGAGCTTTCGGAGCTTGTGAGTAGATATCCGTGAAAGCTCCCACACTAGGACTGGAAAAGCTTGAATACCTTTGTTTACTTGACTTTGGTGTTTTAGGTCCGATTGAGGGACTAGGATTTGATATCTCATCGTCAAAATTGAGTCCTTCATGGTACTTTTTCTCCTTCAAGTCCATTGAAAGGTTGTCCAACGTAGTTGGACTTATCGGATTCATGGAAGGACTTGCACTCTTTATTCTCTTGAATGTGTCCAGAGAGTCCATGATGACAAGTAGTAGTAGTTGTTGTAACTTTGCTGAGTCCTGCTTTGATGTTGTTGAATTTTTTTGAAATCTTTTGCGCTTGTGTTGACATTTTCCTTACGCGTCAGTTCAGTGTAGTAAATTGAATAAAGCTGCAGTGTCGCAAATCTCATGTTATCTTCTGACATAACTTTTTTTTTCCCAAATTTTTTTCCATCTTCTCCTCTCACGATCCTATCTCCCTGTACTGATTAGAGACTACAATGTCGGACAAAGTGAAAGAAATAAGCTCCTTAGCAAGAGAGTTGAAAACTCATTTAAAACAATTCCCCAATTTTCCCAAGGAAGGGATTCTTTTTGAAGATTTTTTACCAATATTTGCAGAGCCTGATTTGTTCAACAAATTGATTACTGCCTTCAAATTGCACGTGGGCCACAAAAAAGTTGATTATGTTATCGGGTTGGAAAGCAGAGGGTTTTTGTTTGGTCCAACTTTGGCCTTGGCTTTAAATGCTGGATTTGTACCGGTTAGGAAGCCAGGCAAATTGCCAGGACCAACTTATCAAGTTGAGTTTCAAAAGGAATATGGCTCAGATGTGTTTGAGCTTCAACAAGATGTCATTCCAAAAGGCGCAAAGGTTTTGATTGTTGATGACATCTTGGCAACAGGAGGGTCAGCTTATGGTGCTGGTGAGTTAGCTCTCAAAGCTGGTGCTGAAATCGTGGAATTTTTGTTTGTTATGGAATTGGATTTCTTGAAAGGCAGAGATAGATTACATGCACCAGTGTTTACATTATTTGGGGGACAAGAAGAAAAATTTAAAGATTCATAGACATACATAGACTACCTCCTCTTTTATCCACTTTTGAATACTAGGAATGCCAACTCTCCAATGTAGAAATAGACGAAATAACCTTGTTCATGGGTGACATAGCTTCCAAAACTTTTCCCGACTATCACATGCCAGGTTGGACCATAGACTTGATCTAGCTCCTTCTTTAAAAATGCAGCAATATCCTTTTCAAGTTTGTAGTTTTGTATAGCTTGATCGGCTAGCTCGAATATCTTCAATTGTATATCTTCCGCCAAATCGGAAGCTTTTAATATTGCTAAATATGATCTGTGGACTTTCTCCACTGGTTGTGCTTCACCATTTCAAAACATTTCGGGCACACCCATGAGAAAGCACATTGAATTGTTAATAAAGCTGATCGCGATCTCTTCTTAGGACTTCAACATACGTGCGTTGTCTTGCTCGGACATTTGTGTACTTAGGTAGGAGAAAGTAAAAAGTGTGGATTTTTTTTTTTGTTTACAGAATTTTTGATCAATCTCTCCGTTCTTAACCACCATCGCTAATCTGTTTGCAATCATCAATTCTCTACAATGAGCGGAACTCACATCTGTCATTACAAACAGTCCTTTACAGCTTCATATACTGTAAACATGTAACCGTGAACAACACATCATACTCCACAACATTATTATATCCTACTATGCAATAGGGTCTTTTGGACTTGTTGGCACCGCAGGAATATAGCCAACACTCCAAACGGACATAAGCTTGCTATCTCTATCATCACACAACCTATTGGCCAAGCTCCAAAACAATTGAGCCAATTAGAACTTACTATTGAACCAAAAAAAAAGGTGTAATTGCATTGCTTTCACTACAATAATGTGCCCTACTTACAACTTCTCGTATTTTACCTTATTACCCAAAACACTGTCTCTAAACTCGGTCACTCCCAAGGAACTAGTGTGGCCCCATGGTTTTAATTTATTTTCGTTATCAATAGCTCCACCAAAGCATGTAGCCCATCCTTCACGACCATACTTTTTATTAACGGCATCTAAAGTATCGAGATGGATCAAGTTGGTATTTGCACCGATGTTGTCCAAAGTGGTAGCAATTTGTAATATAAGCCCCAAGGTAGTAATGTAGCCGCTTTCTCCTAAATCTTGGTGCCTAATGATTGCTTCGCTAACAGCTTCAGCGTAATCCTGATTCTTAGTTTGGTTCAACACCAAATCACGGGATAGCAAACCACCATAAAATTCGAAGGACATTTTTGTAGCTTTCATGTTTTGGTCGGTAGTTCCAATGTCGTGCAATAAGCTGGTTACAAACACCACCTCATCATCAAGGTTCCAATCAGGGAATTGATCCTTGATTATAGCCCTCGAATACAAATACACACGCAAGGAGTGGTTAAGCACCTTGGTTGGTAATTTCTCTTGTGCATATTCAAGAATATATTGCGAGACTTTGGAGTTTGGCAAGTCAGTGTTGAGTTGTGGGGTAGGTGGTTTTGGGTTTGGGACTGCTTTTGCAACATCCCTTTCAATTTTTACAAATCCGTATTCAGACATGATGATTCCCCTAAGCAAAATGTGTGTGAGTGAGTGAGTGAGTGTATGTGTGTGTGAGTGTGTGTGTATGTGAGTGTGTGTGCGTGGTATTGGAAGATTGAGGTCAAGTTCAGTCAAGTGGCGACTACTTATTCAAGTTTGGAAAGGGAGCAACAACCGGTATCACGATGGTAGCACAGCAATTTTACCGAGCTCTCGAGTTTATTGAGTACAAAGAATTGCGTCCATCCAATGCGCTTTGCGCGTTGCAAATGAATGTCTGGAAGTGCCAAGGCAAGTTCCTTTTTGAATTATGGATTCAGCATGGGATTCCAGCACGCTTGTAAGCAAAACCTTTTTGACACCAGCCACTGAAGCAACAAGAGTAACCGTAAGTTCCGAAAGCACACCGCCAATGTGGAGTAGTTCTCACACATCCCACACACACCTCTTTCTCTGTTTTGACCATATGAAAACCCCATCAGCTTGTGAACTATGCTCAGAAAACATGCTTATTGAAGGGTAATTCATTCATTATGATTTATTGGTCCTTCTGCTACCATTCAGGTGTCACAAAACCATGCCATTCACTGAATTCTTTTTCGGGTGTACAACCAATACATAATTACTTTATTTGATCTATCACCACCAGAAAACACCAAACACAACCACCCCTCCCTCACCAAGGCTGAAATGCTAGATAGGCAGGCTTCAGATATAAAGACAAACTATTTCAAAATTGGCCACGTAAAGAACATTCAATACACGATATACACAACTGCAAACAATAATGAACAAGAGCTTTTGGAGTTAGAATTGAGTTTACGTCACCAACACCCAAACATCCTACTCACGTACTACAATAAATGTTTGTTTTATTTTTTGGTAGATGACGCCATTCACGATACACCCTCGTTGGTTGAGTCTAACCCTATTGTGAAGACCAAGTTTCAATCAACCGTGATTGCAGAAAAGTTGGCCAATCCACCAAAGACAGTTGACAATGAGGAATATCTCGCATTTGCAAACATAAGCTTTCTCAGAGCATTGAAAAAAATGATTTTATACAACTTGTCGATACAGCAGGTGGTTAAGGTGTTTGGGAATCATTGCGTTGTTTCTGAGGATAATGAAACATACAGAATTGTATGTATAGATCCCATACTTCTTGCTACTGGAGATATGCTTATGTCTTGTGTTGAGAGAAAAACACCTCATTTTTACAATTCATCGTTGTTGTTCCCAAATGAAACTATCAAAAGCCAAGCCTTTGTTGTATATATTCTACCTAGTGGAATTAGGTGCCATTTATTCGACCCTACAAACCTCAAAAGCAATTTTGTAAGTAAACCCCAATTTGAAAATGAACAACTACTACGGTTGCTTCAATTGAACACCGGGATTGAAAGCTTGCAAGGGGCGACGTGGGTGAAACTAATACCAAACTTGAAGCACTTGAACAATCAAACATCGTCTATTTCCAAATTCGTGCATACAGTTGAAAACAAAAAGTACATATTGTGGCCATGGAATCTTTGTCTTTTGCAGTTGGGTTTGCGAGAGAAAATCAGAGATTATAGAGATTCAACTCCGAATTACTCCAATCCAATGAACTTGTTATCTGAATTTCTTGATTTCACGATTTCGCACAAAGCAGAACTGGAGAGAGCAGAGCAGATATTATACAATCAACATCTGCAACAAATGCAGCAACTGTCACAGCTTGAAACGCAACCAACAAATGTGCGTCAGGACAACGAGAGACAGTCTCCTTCTTTGAAACAAGAGCAACGTAGTCCTTCAACGGGCTCTACTAACACTGTAAACGAAGCGCCCAGGAACTTGGGACCGCTTGATATAGGGCTCAACACGCCGTTAGGAGGCGATATCTTCAATTTACAAGTGAACGACAATTTTTTCCCCAAACAGGAAAATAGTGTCCCGGAGGAGAGAAATGCTGATGCTGAAGATGACAACGATATGGAAATCGACGAATTATTTGGTGGGCACGAGGATGCAAGTGAAGACGCTTTTTTGGAGGAGGGGAATCAATCAGGTGGCAATATAGAAAATATTAAAGATGAAGCCGACGATTTATTTAAAAGCGGGACAAACCTGGAATCCCCTTTTTCAGACGGCGCCACACAAAGATTAGAGCCACCTAGACCTGAATCTAACTCGGAAAGCAAATCAAAGAAAGTTTTGCCATATATTGATATTTTAAGTACCGGAATGACGGTGGGAAAGTCAGTCAGTCCCAACTATTCTGACCCTGGCGCTCCCCCGCCAGTCAATCCAACGCCTATGATGTATATGAGCAAAACCTCAGCTGATAGCTCGTCATCTCAATCTCAATGTCAATCACAGGGAGATATTGTGAAGAGTGACAACGAGGTGATGGGAAAAAACAAACAAACACTTTTCTCTCCATTGGCTTTCCATCCGGTGATCAAAAAGGACATTGATACAAAGTATGGAAAAGGTGGTAAATTCTATTTCGACAAAGATGTCGACGGAGTAGAGAAATCGGGCTTTAGAGCAACAAGTGTGAGTGGAGCGTCACCCCTGTCTTTGAGCACATTCAAAAAGCAACGTATCCAAACAGATGATTTATCTGGAAGTGAGGAAAGTGATGAGGACGCAGATCTGGAAGAAGGGTCACAATACTCCGATGAACACCATGACACATTTGTTAAGTCAAACCAAGGCAACATAGTAGGGGCAAACACGGTATTGGATTTTGGTGCGCCTAGTATTGGCCCTGAAAAATCTATATTTACACCAATGTTGCATTCTGGTGGATTTAGTTCTCCATTTGTCAACAATTTTGGAAAGATGGGAGCTAAACCCGAATCACCGCTCCCGTTGAACGACATTCAATCTTCCATTATGACTCCCGCATTTTATGATGCTTCAATTGGACACCACTCGCCGCAAATGAATCATTTGGAGAACAAGAAGGAAACCGACCCCCCCAGCAAAGCTACTGAAACATCAAATTTTTTGCCGTTGATCTTGAGAAATGTGAATGTGTCAACTATTCCAAGTTTGTATTTGATGAACAATTTGATTAGTGATAGAGTAATACCCACGTTTTCCATGACGGAGGATGAAGGTGACAATGACTTGGAAACAACAAATAGTGATGAGTTAATTGTGAAGCTGAGACATTTGAAAGAGTTATTGCATTTTATTTCGAAAAGCATTGTTTTCGATTTGGGAACTACTTCGAAAATGTACTCACAGCTCAAGTCAGAATACAATGAGGACTTTAGTTTGACAGAATCGAATGCGATCGAGTACCAAACGCCAAAATTCAGTTTTTTAGAACAAATTGGATCAGTGTTTCCCCATTCTTATCAAGTATGTTTGCTGGAACTTGTTGTTGATACCAAACACGAAGAAGGGGGGGAGGAGGAGGATTTACTCGACGGTGACTTGAATTTTTTGGAACAAATTACGCACCACGAAAGTCCCAAAACTAGACGCCGAATCAAAAAGGAGCTTGATTCTTTAACTTGGAATTTTTTAGATGGCACCACTTCCCAAGCTGACTTTGAAAAGTACTCCAATTTACTACAAGAATTCAACTCCTTTCCAAGTTCCACTGATGTTAGCATATTCAAAACAAAGGAGGTGAAAGTCAAAGTAAACAAGAACGGTAGTCTCATCAAACTTAACTGCGTCGGACTCGACTTTTGGAGTTACTTAGATTTTAGTCCCGTGGGGGGCCAGAGGGATTTTCAGATGCTCGCAATCGGCGAAACATCCGGATTTGAATCGAGCTCCTATCTTCACAAGCTCACGGATAGACTCATTAGTAACTACAAAAGCTGCAACTTTGGCTCAATATCCAAATTAAACTTATCAACTGTCGATACTATACCCGATTTGGAACCTGTCAGTGATGGTGTTATGCGAGTTACTGAAAGCCTATCATGCAATTGTGGCGGCTACAATCAAGTGAATAAGAAGCTTAATTCCCTAGCCGAATTGATAAAATTGGATTTAATTAACAAGACAAACAACTTTGAGTTTGACAGACCATTATTGATCCTTTTTATAAATTTTGACCAAAGCTTCAACTCAATCCTCCAGATATCAAAAGTTTTGCGAAACTTTAAGGTGGCACTTTTGAATTTCCAAGTGCCCTTGGTTCAAATTTTTGCAAAAATTATCCCTGCATCCATGATTGCCAATAAAGTTGGATCTGACATAACGCTAAAGTTGTTCAATAACCACATGTTGTCAAAAATCTCACTGAGCTTATACAACGAATGTCCCCAAGATGCGGGCGCAAAGCTTTCATCGTGTCAATTTTACGCACCTTTGGTAAAAGAAGCTCCATCAAGAATACCGTTCAAATTTATCAACAACAGTTATCGTGACATATCAGGCTCGGACGATACATTCATTCACGTGGCTTACGAGAGATCAATTGATAGAAACTGGTTTGCTGCGGCTTGGACCGATCCTTTGGGTCTCGTGAAACATACAAAGTCATGGTATTGCTCACCCAATGGGAATGAGCAAAACGGAGCAAAGCCATCTATGCACAGCTTTCGAGATGAGAGGATAGACGTTGCCACAATTGCTGACGATATCTGGAATATCTCTGCTGAACTTTTTAGTGCTTTGAGTCGAGTGAACGAGCGGGAAAATTCAGCGGGAGGGAAAAAGTTTTTGGTATTGACGAGAATCAACAGTGTGATTCCTGATGATGAATTGATTCACTGGAAGCGTCTTAGTATGAGATTCAAAGATATTTCGTTAATCGTGTTATCTGTCAATAGAACTCCTAAATTGACGCTATCGGTGAAAGGAGAAAACTCAAATTCGACTTTCAACTCACCAGACAGAGACAGAGACAGCTTTTTCAGCTTCAAGAATCCAAACAATATCAATAATACGTCACCCAACACATCAAGTGGGGGTTCGGTTTTGGCAACATCACCGAATGGTTTGGCGTTTCATTCACCACAACAGTTTTTGAATATGCCATCAAATTTTTTGTCTCCGCAAGAGATACCAACTCCGGGCACCGCGGGAAGTGCATTGGAGAGTCAAAATGAACCTGACGCGATACTAAAGAGTGCTGATGGAGATATCTACGGTGTAATTCCTCAAGTACAGCTCCCTTCATTCAACTCACCAAGCAGAATGAACATGAAGACTGGATTTTTAGTCAAAGAGCAACCTGTGACCTCGAGCGACAACGAAAAGGGATTGTTGGTGTTTGAAGTTAACTTACTAAGCTGCTCGAACTATTGGAATTTGGACAACTTGATGAAGATGATGTTGAGTCAGTACAAGAACTTGACTACTTTGAATGATATTCTTGGGATGAGGCCAATACATGGAACCGAAGCTGATACAGCTAGTTTAGGATATTCTCAAACCACATGTGTGGTTCCTTGGCATATCAACGCCGTGGGAAAACTACTAAACTATGTGGTACATATATATGTAGAAGAATAGAATTGAATTTAGGTAAGCATTATGAGGAGACGTGCATTTTTGCAAAAGAGTTTTATGAAAGAAAAATAAGAATGGAAAAAAAAAAAAAAAGAAAATTGCCATAAGAGAAAAAAAAAAAAGCCTGACAAACTACTGCAATCATCAGCATCCAAGTCATGTCAGATCAACCAGAAACCAAACAGGAAGGCGAGAAGTTGAGTTTTGATGAAGAATTTAGAAGGGCTGAAGAGAGAGCACCGAAAAGACCTAGAGAAGACGAGGAGGAGGAGTCAGAGAATGGTAACAATGTGGAAGAAGACGAGGAGCGAGACGAAGATAACGACGATGAAGGAGAAGAAGAAGAAGAAGATGATGATGATGAGGAGAACGAACCAAGTAGAAAAAGAAAGAAAAAGAGAGGTGCAAATCAGTTTTTCGATATTGAAGCCGAGGTTGATGAAGAAGAGGACGAAGCAGACGAGGATGACGAAGAAGCAGAAATGTTGAGACAAGAATTCATCACCGATGATCATGCAGGTGATGACCGAGATGAAATCAATAGGGACGATAGGATGCACAGGCAGTTTGATCGTCGTCGTCAAGAGGCAGAAGACCAAGATGCAGAACAGTTGGCTGAAACTTTAAAGCAAAGATATAGAAAGTCACATGTTGCATACAGAGGTGATACAGCAGCGGGTGGAACAGTATCGCAAAAGTTGTTGATGCCATCGATCAATGATCCATCTATTTATGCTATAAGGTGTACCCCAGGTAAGGAAAAAGAGTTGGTTAGAAAGCTTTACGATAAAAAGAGGACGTTGGAGAGACGAAAGATGCCATTAGATATCTTGACTGTTTTTCAACGAGATTCATTTAAAGGATATATCTACATCGAAGCAAAGAGATCTGATGCAATTGATAAGGCATTGCAAGGGATGGTGAATGTTTTTTTAAAGGATAAACTTTTGGTCTCTGTTAAAGAGTATCCTGATTTACTTAAACAAGTCAAGTCATCTGATATTGAAATAGTACCAGGAATTTACGTGAGAATCACTCGAGGCAAATATAAGGGCGACCTTGCTATTGTCGAAAATTTGTCAGAGAACGGGTTGGATGTTTTGTGCAAGGTTGTGCCAAGACTCGATTATGGCAAGAATGATGAGTTTACAGAAGACGGAAAAAGGATAAAACTGACTATCAGGCCACCACCAAGATTATTCAATGCACAGGATGCAAAAATGTATGATCCTTCTAATCTACAACAGAGAAGTCTGAGGAGATATACCTACAAGGGAGATGATTACGAAGATGGTTTCTTGTACAAGGACTTCAAATTGCAGTACATCCAAACTAAAGATGTTCACCCAACTTTGGCAGAGCTTGATTTATTCCAAACCGGGAAGGATAGTGATGGTATTGATCTTGCTAAGATAGCTGCATCTTTAAAGAATAAAAAATTGAACGATGGCAAACAGTCTACAGCATTTCAGCCAGGTGACAAAGTTGAAGTTCGTCGTGGTGAACAGGCAAAGACGGTAGGTCTTGTTGTCGAAACTGCATTAAATGAAATCAAAATAACAGTGACAGATAGTGGTGATCCAAAATTCGTTAATCAGAAGTTAACAGTACCGGCAAATGATTTGAGAAAGATTTTTAATGAGGGTGATCACGTCAGGATTGTAGAGGGTAAACATTTTGACGAGACAGGGTTGGTTATCAAAATTGACGGGGATTCAGTCATTTTGGTTAGTGATCAAACGAAAGAAGATGTTAGAGTGTTTGCCAATTTCTTGGTCAAGGCAACTGACGCATCTTCAAATGTGGACAACAAGAATTTCAAGTACGATATTAAGGACTTGGTTGAATTAAGTGCCTCTACAGTCGGGGTAATTGTAAAAGCGGAAAAAAACATTTACGAAATACTCACAACAGATGGAAGATTGATAAATGTCAAGCCAACGGCCATTGCGTCAAAGGTTACTCAAACTCGTCGTGAGCAAATTGCTACTGACAAAAATGGTTTTACAATCAGGGTGGGTGATACCGTTAAGGAATCAGTTGGTGACAAGGGCAGAGAAGGAGCAATATTGCATATTTACAAGAATGCATTATTTATCAAATCCAATGAAATTATAGAAAACTTGGGTATTTTTGTCACAAATCGAATGAATGTTAGCACTATTGCCACCAAAGATTCGATGATTTCCAAGAGCCTTGGCCCCGATCTAACCAGCATGAATCCAAACTTGAAACTCCCCGATCAGCTTGCAATACAGGGTTTGAAGACTCGTGTGCATGGTCGAGATAAGTTGTTATATAAAGACGTCGCCATCAAAAGTGGAAGTTACAAAGGATTGAAAGGAAAGGTGGTTGAAGCGGACGACGTGTATGCTAGAATCGAGTTGCATACAAAGAGCAAAAAGGTCAAGGTACTTAAAAAGAATTTGAATGTGTTGATCAAAGGGGAGGTAATTCCTTACTTGCGATTTATTGGTGCGGCACCAGAGGAGGTAGCAGCAACTTACACTCAACCCGTGGCCAATCCTGCGTTTAGCAGCGGAGGAGAGAGGTCTGTTTGGAGTGGGGGTGCGACACCTGCAGTTGGTGCTGCTGGAGGTGCTTCCACATGGAATAGAAGCGGTGGCGCCTCTACTTGGAATAGTGGAAGAGCAGGCGGTGCATCGTCGTGGGGTGGTAGTGCATCTTCTTGGAACAATACTGATAGTGCATCTGCTTGGAATGCTGGAGGTGGAGGTGGAGGTGGTGCTTCTGCTTGGGGTAGCGCCAAAGGGAATGGGTCGACTTGGGGTGGCAATAAAGGAGGCAGTTCCTCATGGGGTGGTTCTAAAGGCGCCAATGGAGGAGGCTCAGCTTGGGGTGGTGGCTCTACCTGGGGAAAGAAGGGTAATAATAGTAGCTGGGGAAGTCGATAATCTCAGAGTAAGAGTAAAGGTTTGATTCTATGTATTTCCAGTAAATAAAGTTTAAAGAATAAAAAACAATCGTCTTTAGTGAGCATTTTCACAACCAGGACAATTGTGCAACACTTCATGAATAAAGACATCGCAATTTATGCAAAAATCGTTGCAGCAATTGGCACACCTGTATCTTGAGCTTGTGAGAGAATCGATAGTTCCAGTGTTTTTAGTTGACTTTACTCCTGAAGGAAATATCAACTGGCACCCGTAGCAGTATTCTCTATCGTAAGACGTAGATAGAGGAACTTCCTTATATGGGGCAAGAGGTACCAAGTGATGATAAGATCTCGCCAAATGCGTAGAGAGTATAAGCATGAGCCCACACACTGGACAAATCGTAGGTAAATTGCACACTTTGCTCTTGCATTGGGGACATTGGTAGCCAAAAGTTTGCGACATTGCTAAACCAGAATTCACTTCAACAACATCTTTCGAATCGTTGGAGCCTTGCGTTGGGTACGATGCATTGAGTTGAGGGAACTCCACTGTATATTCCGAGTTTCCTATAGTGGAGGTTGCATTGGGTTGTACTTTGGAAGGGAACCCCATCTTGATCAAAGGCACCCCTTTTGTTTCAATCTTGATTTCCTCACTCTCTGGCAATGGCAATGGTGTCACACAGTCCATTAACAACTCTTTAAAGTGTGTCTCATTCATTATTACCCCGTAATGCTTTGATGATGAATTTCGCAGCTCGTGGTTAGTTTTATTAACCAATTCTTGACATATGGCAACTTGAGCTGAAAGCCCAATCACACTGACCTTAATGTTATCCTTGACTAAGCTGTCTATTGTCTTGTGGATGTCACCTGGGTCACTGGTGAATAGCGAGCCAAATACTAACAATATCTCCTTTGAGTTTTTTGAATTATTTGAAGCAGAGCCAAAGTTGAATTTTAGCAAGGATCGTGCCATTTCTAAACAATTTTGCAACGAAGGGTCTCCTTTTGGTTCGTATTTGTTATGTTGCCTTGCTTTCAATTGTCGCAACCTGTCTATATGATATTGAGGCAGTCCGCTCACCTCGCTGATCAAATTAGCCACACCATTTCTCATTAATATTATACCTAGTTGTGATATAGGATTTTGATCAAAGAATTCCACAACAAACTCCAGTAAATAGTTTAGTGTTAGTGATAGTCGCGTTGGGCGCAAGTCTTTTTCTGCCATCGCTAGCGTCCCGTCAACGATAATGACCAATGTTCTAATGATTCCCCTTTGGAATGGTGTGCTAGGATTTTTCATAATCTTTTTCTTCCTATTTTCAATGATTGATTGCACCATTGCCTCAAATGAGCCACTGCCCAGTTCGTCATCCTTTACTATATCCCATGATCTCTGATACTCATCCTCCCATGCATATCCATTTGCCCTTTTCAAGTCACTCACTTTGCCATTATGCTGTGACCTTGTTCTTGCTGAGACTCCTGCTCGCGGTACTGCATCGGATACGGCAGAAGACAACCGTGATGAAGGAGATCGAGAACCACTAGGCGTCGATACAAACTCCTCGTCTGAATCATCCATTTTTTCTGGTGGTTGATGCAAAATAGAGAAACTAGTTTTTGGTTTATTTTTTCTTTTTCTTCACATCTTCTTTGCTACATTCCAATCTTTTAGGACATTCTGGGGAAAAAATTTGAGAAGGGACTAATTTCGAAAAGATTGGGAATTTGGTTTTTTATTAATTACACCGTTCTACGTTTCTTATGAAGATACTTATCTATTGATTGCTCGTAGTTGACACGCCCGTCATTGCTGATTTCATAGAATAGCGAGGAGAAAGAATCAAGTTGATTCAAACCAACTTGACCTAGCTCTTCTTCCAAATACGGAACTTGCTTCAATTCATTAAGAGTGAGCAATTGCGAAATGAAATACCCCTGTCCATCATTTGGGGTTATTTCCACGTCACTACTGAAACGTTCCCATCTCAAGCTCCCAAAAAACTTGATGAAGTCAGCTTTAGATAAGTTAGTGGTGTTTGGAGGAAACTCTTTCTCTTCTATGTTTTTGTTCTTCTTTACTTGTGGTATAGGTGCCGATTCGTTTTCTTGGATGTAAAAATTTCGAAGCAACTGGATTGCTTCTGTTCTGCAAATACCACCTATGCTGGGATAACCTCTATGGGGCAAGCTTGTGTCGTTGTGAATAGAAAGGATTGTGCCGTTGCCTCCAAATCGATCGTTCCCGCATCCAAAGTATACTCTACCAATTCCCAATTGCCGAAGATAAGACGCACACATTATACAAGGCTCAACTGTTACATATAGCGTAAGCTCGCTGTAGTCAATATCTCTACCAAGTCGTTCTAATGCAATAAATTCGGCATGTTTGGTGCCATTTAGGGAGATGTTTGTGTAGTTGTACCCTATACTAATAATATCGTCTCCTCTGGTCACTATACAAGATACAGGTGTCTCATTGATGAGCAAGGCCTTGTAGCCTACAAACAAGGCCGTTGACATGAACTGGAAATGACGCGTTAGGTCGGACATGGTGAAGACGGTTCTGGAAGAAGGTGATATTCTTTTTTTTTTTTTCTTGGTTTTTCCTCTGAATGCCAAAACCTATTATAACTCGGAAGATGTCCGATTTACACAAGGCGCTTTTGCTGAGAGTAAAGAAAAGAGAAACTGAACTTGGACTTCTGCTGTTGGATGAAGAGCCTGTGAGTGATGATCCAAAAACTAAAGTCAAAGAAGACACCAGTCAAATTGATGAGGAGATAGTGGAGGAGTACGAACAATTCAAATCTGATTTCTTTGTCAACGAGGATTATACTCATGGACTGTCAACATTCAACACCTATTTTATGAAGTCTAAGAAACCGGGGCCAGTGTTGGTCTGTGGCCATGGTGCCGGCTCATCATCAATGACATTTGCCGAATTGTGCCGGAATATCACCGATGAAACCATTAGTGTGTTTTTATACGATATGAGGGGTCATGGTGGTTCACACGGGGAGCTTGATTTCTCACTAGATACACTCGTTGAGGATTTCCATTTCGTTTTGGAGGAGTTTGTATCAAGACATAATCCACAGGGCATATTTTTGTTGGGACATTCATTGGGAGGGGCAATTTTTGCAAAATATGTGCACAATCACCCACAAGAACTCGTGAAAGGTTTGATACTTTTGGATATCGTTGAGGAAACCGCCGTCACTTCTTTAACCGTCATGCCATTTTTTCTTGAAAAATTACCCAAGTCATTTCCGTCACTATCAAAAGCTATTGATTGGCATATGAATTTCCTCCTTTTTAATGAGAAATCGGCTAGATTGAGCTTGCCGGATATATTCAATTTGAATACAATGACATGGAAAACGGATTTGAAGCAGACAGAGCCCTATTGGAACACCTGGTTCAATGGCTTGTCCAATAATTTCGTAAACTTTCCCAAGGCTAAACTTTTAATATTAGCGGCTCATGAAACGTTAGATAAGGAGCTTATTATAGGCCAAATGCAAGGAAAGTACGAGTTAGTCGTGTTCAACAATAGTCAAAAAAGTGGTCATTTTGTGCATGAGGATTTGCCAAAACATGTTGCTATTCGTGTGGAAGAGTTTGTGTGCAAGGTGTTTGCCCCTGAAAGGTATATAAAAGATCATCTAGGGGTTACTCCAAGATGGGGAGGTAAAGTTACATAAAATGTATATTAATCTACACTAATATTGCTAAGTTTAACTTCTTCGCGCCTGTTGTTGATCTGCTCAACTACTTCATCAATCTTTTTACTTGCATATGGGAATCTTGGATTGATTAAAAATGGTCTCAAGTCGAATCTATTGTCATCGGGAGAATATTGCTCGGCATGATATGCTGGTGTCATGGTTGTCATTTTGTGTCTATTGATAGCATAAAAGAACCAAAACCTCTTCACTTTCTCTGCTACTTGTTCGGCTGTCAAGTTGTATGGCGGTTGAGACCATTCGTGGTACAATTTTATAAACATCGCTAATGGCCCACATTTATCAACCTTTCTCAAAGTACCAAAGCGAGACAACTCGTCGTAGGTCATGCCCATATCAACCTCATCACTTTGAACGTAATCTTTGGTAATTGGTTCTAATTCTGCAGTAGGCGTAGCAGTTATAAACTCATGTAAAATAGGCAAATCAAACTCTTTCTCAGCCCATGCAATGAACCTTTTTAAGTCCGTTTTGGAAATTCCACCAATAGGGTTGACATCGGCCGATGAGCAGTCATACTTTGTCAAGTATCCACGAAGGCATTCGTCAACATTGGCACTACCCAATACTAATAAACCAGGAACTGAAAGACCACGTGTCCATGGCAACAACTGTGCAAACAAGTAACTCAAAACCATACGCAATCTTGCTTGAATGTTTTGCAAAGCCAAGTTTTCTGTCTGTGAGCCCCCGAATATTTTAAACATGGGCTTTTTACCAGTTGCTACTTCAAATAATGAAACAACTGCAGAGACGAGATTATCCATATTTAAGTCCACATGGTATGAACCAATCTTCTCTGCCAACTCTTTTGCTCTTGATCTAGTCTCTGATGATGAGTTTTTTGTACCCATAAATGAGGTGCAAAAGATTTTCTTGGCCAACTCTTGAGGAGTTTTTGGAGTAAAACTTGAATCGCGGGTAAGAGCTCTAGCATCTGCTAGGACTTGCTCGTTGTTTGACTTCACCACCAATCGACACATCAGATGGACAATCACGGCTGTTGCACAAGAGTCGATCCCCCCACTCAACGGAAGGAAATATCCTCCACATTTTGATCTTCTCAAATAATCCCAAAGCCAGCACGCGGGCCCGTAAGCAATTTCCTCTTCTGGTGAGTGATATTTTATCTTTTGTGGCCTTGTGGGGGAAACATTTGGATCATAAACATTCTCACTTGGGGAAAGCTCTATATCAGCATAAACAGCCTTGTATGGCTTCTCTTGGTCGACGGCTTGCATCCCTGCAGATTTTTGATTTCTGTACGATCGAACATCATCAAGATCAATGGTTGCACTAATCACCTCCACATCGTTTAAGGAGAATTGAGATCCTTGAGCAAGTAGTTGACCATTGACCACGATACAGGCACACCCGTCATAATACAATCTGTCCCCATCACATCCCCTTTGATTTGCATACAAGTAGACTCCACCACACTTTTTAGTGGCATTTGTGATTAAATGCATACGAGTATCCAACTTTCTCAACTCATGGTGGGAACCACTGGAGTTTGTGAATATCTCTACCCCATCCAAACTCATGGCAATATGTGGGGATTCTGGAGTGAAGAGTTCTTCGCATGTTTCACATCCAAGTTTGGTATCCATAGTTTCAATCACACAGTCACCAAACGTAACCTTTGATTGGCAAGTTGCTTTGGCAATGTTTCGAGGGAGGTAGTGCTCCTCATAGTATTTTGGGCGATTCCAAGGGGTAAAGTATCTCATTTCTCTGTAGTTTCCATTATTTGCGAGAAATAACTTGGGTCTGATTAACAAGATTTTGCCATTGTAGGAGATGATACGACAATTGTACTTTATGGTTTTGTGGATTATGGGTATACCAATGTCTAACAAAATCCCGTGTGTTTCTGGGTTTGATATAATTTCAGCATACACCTCCCAACTGTGCTCGTACAAGTCATTTTCGTCAAAGTGATCTAAACAGCCATACCCGCAAATCTCGAGCTCAGGCCCAACTCGAAGTTTGGCACCTTGTTTTTTGGCTTCGATTATACTAGCAAGGATTCTGTCTCTGTTTCCTTCAAAGTCTAGGGCCCATTGGTTGAGGTTACAAGTGGCAAGCGTTACGTAGTGTCCCATTGATGGAGTTGAAGAAGCTGGGAGAGGGGGGTTTTTTTTTTTTTTTTTTCGGAAGTTAAAAGATTTTTATAAACAGAGTTGGATGGGTAAGAGGAAGGCGAATGGATGGATAAGTGGCCCATGCCAACAGTCCCCCCAAACTGTTGCAGATGGAATAACCGAGAGGATTTTCTAGAAAAATGGCTCATTTCTTGAAAGAGAAGCAAGTTGACAGATTCAAATGCACCTGGAGTTTGTACATCCTTGCGAGCCTCCCACTTTTCCAACTCAAACAAGCGCGAATTAGTGATGTATCTCCTTCGGTGTGTTCCATCTTTGATGAATAGGTGCGAAGTCGTGAATTGTGATGCCAATGTTTTCAATGCTGACCTTCCGACGGAACAGATATGAGATCGGAACTTTCCTCTCTTTATATACAGGATAATTTATGAGTTCCTTATCAGTGTGACCCCAGACATATCGAATATAAAAACCCCGCCAGCGGCCCCTTCGTTTTATGATAAAATCCAAACACCACACTTGTTCAGCAAAATGCATAAGGACACAGTTGTTGTTGAGCGCTTAGAAGGTACTCCATTTGGCTGCACTGTTAAACTCCCCAAGTACTGCCACAATGATCCTGCCAACTTGAATGATGATGATTTTCGCGTATTGAATGAAGCAGTTCAAACCCATTTGGTGGTGGTTGTTCCCGATCAGGCTGATCTTGCTCCTAAATCGCAATATTTATTAACAAAGAGATTTGACCCCTCTATTCCAGAACCAAAAGAGGACAATGGAGCTGGATATGGACACGGCAAAGAGTTTAGACATGATAAGTCAGTGTTGAAGAAGGATGGATGCTCGGTAAAGTCTCAACCTCAAGTTCAAATTCTCGGACAAGGTACGTTCGAAGCAGATGAACCAGGTAATGAAAATGGGGAGGCTATCAATTTGACCCACCCATCACACACCACGTTTCATCACACCCCTTTGACTGAGAAACAAATTAAGGAGGAGAAAAGAACCAGATTTTACAGGTGGCATATTGATAGTGCCTTATATGGTTTGTCACCACCCATGGTAACAACTTTGCTTGGTATCAAGGTACCTCCAGCTACTCAATACCAAACTATCAAATACGAAGATGATGGTAGTGAATTAAAGTTGACTCAGGGTGCCACTTGTTTCATCAGTGGTGCACAAGCATTCGAAGGATTGAGTGAAGAGGATAAGCAGTTTGCTTTAAACACTACAGTCGAGTATGCGCCACACCCATATATCTTTATCTCACCTGCAAGAGCCACATCCGATGGGTTAACAATGGTTTCTGAGGGTAAGGAAATGGACTTTAAGGACTTACCAGAGTGGGAAAGTCTGAAAGTTAAGAAGTTGCCAATGGTTTGGACAAACCCGACAACCAAGGAGCATCACTTGCAAGTACATGGTTGTTGTTTGTACAAATTGCATACAAATGTAAATGGTGAGGTTAAGACCTTGAATTTGAAAGAGTCTAGGGAAAAGGTACACCAAATGATGAGACCAGCTATAGCTCCAAAAAGAGTTTTGGCTCATTCTTGGAAGCAAGGCGATTTAGTGTTGTTTTTCAATCGTGGTGTATGGCATTCTGTCACTGGTGAGTTTAAAGGTTTGGGAAGTGACGGAATGGATGAAAGAAGGTTGATGCACCAATGTAATATTGCTAGTGGATTAGATCCAGTAACTATAAGTGTATAAGCAAGTCGTATAAATTCTTATTTTTTTTTTCGAATCTAAAAGTTTGCGCAATTTTATATTTAGCTCCGCATTTTTTTTAGGTTGATTTCCTTCTTTCTTTTCAGCTCTAATCAACATTCAATCATGCAATACGTGGGAAAAGTCGGTGGCTACGTTTACAATCAATGGAACTCTTTGAATCCAGCTACACTATCAGGGGCTATTGATGTCATTGTCATTGAACATCCTGATGGCACTCGTTACACGTCACCATGGCACGTTCGGTTTGGGCTACTTCAAATTATCAAGCCATCACAAAAGAAAATCGATTTGTATGTGAACGATGTCAAGACCAACTTGCCGATGAAGCTAGGTGAAGGTGGTGAGGCTCATTTTGTTTTTGAAGTGAATGACACTGATCATGAATTGTCAAATAGTGTCTTGACATCTCCAGTGATTTCTCCAGTATCCTCACCATTGAGTACGCCGGCCAATAGTGATAATGAACCCGATGAGCTTGACTTGGATGAAAAAGTAAAGTTGAGTGACAGTCCTAGCCCAAGAAGCCCCTCACAACTGAAACGATTGGCAATTGAGAATGTCAAGAAAATCACCCAAAAATTGAATATTCCAACGAAAATAGACATGAATGGGGATATCCTAATTGACATGGATGGGTATAAACCAAACTCGCAGAAAAATATTGACAATTCTGACGAATTGTTCAAGAAAATTCTTGTGGAGGAAATTGAAGGCGATTTGGGCGAAAATTCAGTGAAAGCATGGAATCAGATTATCACAAAAGATGAGAATGGAAACATAAGGATATCCAATGTTTCAGAAGACGGAGCTGAATCTGATGAGGAGATCAAACTTCCACCAACAACAAATACTTCTTCATCTATTACAACTGTGGGTACCTCAACATCAGGAGAAAGTGACAAAGTTTACTTCAAAACTTTAAGATTAACATCTGAGCAATTACAAATGATGAATTTAAATTATGGAGTGAATACGCTTAAATTCAAGTCTCGTGAAAGCTCGTCACAAGTGACTGCGAATTTGTTCTTGTGGAAGTCGACCACTCCTATCGTCATTTCGGATATCGACGGAACCATCACCAAATCCGACGCTTTGGGACATGTATTGAATTTGATTGGTAGAGATTGGACGCATCCCGGTGTGGCTAGTTTGTTCCAAGAGATAAACCAAAATGGGTACAATATTCTTTATTTAACAGCTCGGTCCGTTGGCCAAGCTGATTCAACAAGGCAATACTTGACAGGAGTGAACCAAGATGGTGTCAAGTTGCCCAGTGGACCGGTTATTTTGAGTCCAGATCGAACGTTTGCCGCTTTGCGACGAGAGGTTGTGTTAAAGAAACCAGAGGTGTTCAAAATGGCTTGTCTATCTGACATTATGCATTTATTTTTTGAAGGGGAGGCGACAGTATTGGACGAGGATGACGACCAAACTCCATTTTACGCTGGGTTTGGTAACAGAATCACAGATGCGATTAGTTACCGATCAGTACACATTCCAAGTCATCGAATCTTTACCATCAATCCAGATGGAGAAGTTCATATGGAGTTGTTGGAGTTGGCTGGTTATAAATCGTCGTACTTGCATATAGGTGAATTGGTTGACCAGTTTTTTCCTCCAATCAGAGTGGTTAGTTCGATTTCAACAAACTGGAACAATGCGCAATGGTCAGAATATGTAAACAACCATGAAACAAATGATGCATCAGATGCAAGATCTTTCACGTCAATACGTCTGCCTACACCGGGATCACCAAGGTCTCCTGGATCGCCACGCAACTTTGTTGAAGATTACAAAACCGATGAAAAGTTTAACGATGTTAATTATTGGAGGAGCACGTTAAATTTTGATGATTTGAGTGATAGTGATATTGAAAAAGATGATTTGGATTTGAAAAAGAGTGCCTCCCCCAAATTGAGTAAGCACGAAAAGTTGCTGCATCATGAACATGAAAAAGAGGCACATACAGATAACCCTGAGCTTTTGCAAAAGAGCAAAAGGTCAAGATCCCCTACTTTGGAGAGACCACTTTCAGCATCATCGTTTACTTCACCACTAAAGAACTTTATGAGTTTCAGAAAGAAGAAGGACGATGAGGAGAGTTACAAAGATGGTGAAAAAGTTGATGAGGATGACTTTACTGATGATGATGGTGAAGAGGATGACGAAGGTGACGACGATTACACAGATGACGATTATGACGATGATGACTACGATGATGAAGATTACGATGATGAGGGGGAGGAAGACGATGACGATGATGAAGATGACGATGATGAAGATGACGATGATGAAGATGACGTTGATGGTGATGAGACAAGTCAGAGCTCCATCAAAGATGTCCCAGTGCCCGAGGCCATTAGAGACGAAATCATTGACAGAGGATCTACCGAATTCATCAAAGCTAGTGATTTCGAGAAATTGCAAATTTAGATTAACTAGTGAGGAAACTCACATTTCTATAAAAATCCAACATTGGATTTTCTCCATCCTTTGTCGTTGTAGCCTCCACATCAGCCCACTGTTCTAGAAATCCTCTATGTGTATTTATTCTAGAGTCTTTGCCTGTCACCCTTTGGTACATGTCATTGGCTATTTCAAAATCAGTAGCAAACATTATATCAAAGTATCCTTGTTGCACCATGTAGGTTCGAACATCCACCATCTCCTTCTTTAGCATTGTTTGAACTACAGGTGCATTGAACCCTCTGATGGTATTGGGCAAATAGTGGAAGTCCGAGCTGATCAATGAGTGATTGGGAAATTTGTGTTTCAAAATTTGAAAGAATTGGAGAAGCCTTGTTGGGATGTATTCAGGAGTCGACAAGTCATCATTGAATGGGAATACCATTTGTTTTATTTTAAGCTTGGTTGCTGATTCTAGCAATGGGTGTACTGACTTGTAGAAGCTCTTTGCACTTTCGAATTTTCCTTTGAACGTCGTTTGGTACTTGAGGACCGAAAACTTTCCATGCTCTCTGAGTTGTAGATACGCATTGGTATAAGGGCTCAACTCGCGTGTGAAAAATTGGTAGAAATCACCCTTTTTATCAATTAAAACCTTACCCTCCGTTGGCTCTCCTGTATTCATATCATATGCAATCAAATCATGAGCAAAATTATCAAACACTTCCAAAGCTATGAAAAAACAAGGTTCTTCAACAACTTTTTTCCAATCGAATATGGAAACATTGTGGATTTCCAACATGTCTGTATTCAATCCTTCCTCCTGTAATCTTTTGCTGTATGATGCTTTCTGTTTTTTTGCTAGCTGTTGGGATATTTCAATAATTTTGTACTGCGTTTTAGCGTATATCAGCGGTTCATGTTTTTTAATGTAATTGAGGATATTGCACATAAGTGTTCCGTTACCTCCCCCCATTTCGTATATTATCAAATCCTCATAAGGATAGTTGCCATTGAGTTTGTAATTGAATAGAATATAACGAGCCAAACTCTCTCCATAATAAGGATTGAACAACTCAGTAGGGGTGTGCCATAATTGGAGTGGTTTGGTGTCATCTTGTTCATACTTTGAATACGACTCGCCCCAAGCCTCCATGAATCCATCGATATCCTTCACATTTGGGTAGCTGAATGGTTTGTCGGGATGATAAATTTCTGCTTCTTTGGCAAAGTAACCATAATGCTTATTATACAACAGGTCTTCAATGAAATCAGCGGTGCTCATCAGCACTCCTCTTGGTCGACTCTTTCTATCAAGCAACTGATTTGCCGTCACCTTCGGGTAGGAGTTGTAGACTTCTTCATTCGATTTGTCAAACGGAAAATTAACTGCCTTTTGATATATTAGTTGTATCGGGTTGAGCGTTTGTTTCGTTGAAGGAACTTTGAAGTTATACGTTTTTGGTGAGATTGAATATTCATAATGACTTGGTGGAGGAGGCTCGAGTGCCTTTTTCAACCTGCCTTTGAACAATTGTCTTCGTAGGGTTAACATTGGGTTGACTTGTCGTGAGATGGAAGTTTTTTTTTCGTTTTACGGCGAGAAAATTGAAAGTAACCCACAAATGGGCTGGTATGGTACAAATCTTTGAGGCAGATCTCATTGGCCTACATTGAAAGTCGTTTCTAATTGATGGCAAAGTCAGATTCTCATATACTACAAAGACTGTAACCACCCCTATACCCACTATGCCAAAGGATCCTAGAGTATTGAGATTGACTTGTGTTGGAGTTAAGCGGTTGATTACAATGATGTAATGAGTTACGATGGAGGTAATATCCAAATGTGATTGAGAAGCGAAAGTTTGACCACATGGATTTCCCTTACGTGATTTACGTAGTTCAGAATCGGGGTGATGATGCTACTGTTGCAGCGGAGGAAGTAGGATCTGGAGTTGTGTTTCATGTCAAAGTCGGTAATACAATTCCTGTTGAATTGACTGTCTTTAGAAACTGATGAGGCGTTGTTGACAGGAGAATCACTACAAGTGCAAGAGGGGTATACCGTTGTATTTGACCACTATTCGTTGCCGGTGCCTGTTGATGGTCGATTGGACCTGGTTTGCTCGTCATCGGTTGTATCCAAGAGAAGAGGGTTTGGCATTGTTTATGCAATTGGTTTGAATACATCGGTCAAATTGCGCAATCATTGAGAGGCGATACTGGATTGATCCGTAGAGTAGAAAAGTCAAATGGTAAACCTAGAAAGAGAGATAATAGCCGTGCCTGTGCTGGAACTATTTACGATGTTGTTGGAAACGTTCTTATAACCACTGTGGAACATCTTTGCAAAAGAGGCTTTCAAGGTTGACAGTTTTCCTTTTCAGGGTCGCTGTTATGTTTTCCTTTGTTTTTATTGATCACAAAAGAAGGATGTCACCAAGATTGTGGTAATATGGTTCCATGAAATGGCTGATACAAAGTGAGGGATTTGCCATTTTGTGATTGTTTTTATGATTTTTTTGCCCGCAATATTGCAAGACTGTGCTACTGTGTTTTCACGTCTGGATCCCGAGTTTCAATTCTCGATTCATAGACAAACCATTTATAGCTCAAGCATTATAGCATTTTACATCAGCCTATTGGTCTCTAAGGGACAAGTAGCCACATTCTAATAGCTCCACCAGTATTGGACATTATGCATTCATAGTAGTGTCAGTGGACATCACATGCGCATATAGTACAATGTCCACATCTTCTTAGTACCATATCATACAAAGTTGTGTCTTCGTTTGATGTGTGTTCTCATTTGTTGTAGTCTCGTTGTGGTTTTGTTGATCTTCTTTGCTTTCATCGTAAACACGCGTTTTTGTGTTTTGACGCAAATATTTTACGATACAAAAGAATATGAGACTGTCAAGACTCAATAAGCACACCATTCAAGGGGAGAGTGTGATCTCTAAAGAGACCAAGACCATGTGTTTCTTATTAGAGGGCACAGTAACCATCATTTGACAGTCTTACCTACGTTCTATCAAACAAGTTACAGATTGTTTGTTCTTTTATATTTTGTAAAGAAATCAAGAGAAACATCATAAACCTCAAAAATAATTGCATGCACAATGAACTAAAAATAAAGATGATGAGTGGGTAAGTTATTGTAAGACGCAGGTAAGACAATGGATACACCAACTAATTCATAGTGGTGTGTGTAAGTGTAGATAGATGGGGTGGGGGTAATTTGACTGAGGTCTGGATGGGGATGTTGATTATACTGAGGTCCGGATGTTGATTATACTGAGGTCCGGATGTTGATTATACTGAGGTCCGGATGTTGATTATACTGAGGTCCGGATGTTGATTATACTGAGGTCCGGATGTTGATTATACTGAGGTCCGGATGTTGATTATACTGAGGTCCGGATGTTGATTATACTGAGGTCCGGATGTTGATTACACTGAGGTCCGGATGTTGATTATACTGAGGTCCGGATGTTGATTATACTGAGGTCCGGATGTTGATTATACTGAGGTCCGGATGTTGATTATACTGAGGTCCGGATGTTGATTATACTGAGGTCCGGATGTTGATTATACTGAGGTCCGGATGTTGATTATACTGAGGTCCGGATGTTGATTATACTGAGGTCCGGATGTTGA